AACTTGAAGCTCCCTCCAGGGCTCAAGCCTGAGGCTTGTACACAGTCAGATTGTACCTAAGGTTCTTTTCTGATTTCCCTTTTGGTGTCTAGTACGGAGTCCATCGTAGGGCTTGTGCCCCTATGAACGCTCAGGCTCTGGCACCGGGTACTTGTTTCAGCTGGGGTAGTGTATCTTCCGTGCCTTAAATATACTGGCAGGTACAACTAGTACATCGGGGTGCCCGTGGATGGTCTGCATGAGATTCATGGGGGCGAGGAGGTTTCAGACTGTTCTGGTGCGGGATTGAAGATCAAGCCATGTGGCTTTCTATCTTTTTGTCTGATTGGCATGGAAAGATGGAGGAGACAGCCACAGTGGACAGGATGAATGCATGGATGGTTCTTTGGTGGATCGTGGGCTTGCAGATGCATTAAGATTCTTTATTTCTGTCTTTATTTAGTGCAGGAGCACATGGTGTCTGTGTTTAGGGTTTCAGGGGATGGTTGTTTTGGATTGTTATATCAGCTTTGAACTGAGTCGAGTATGGAATTTCCCAAAATGGAAATTCATGATCCTCGAGGCCGCCTCTTCCGCGGTGGTTGGGAAGACCTCACTTACCTTGAACCTTGAAGGTTGATGGTGTATCCAATTTTAGATGCATATGTGGAAAACTTTACACTGAACCCAGACACACACTTGATATTCCTTCAGCGGTGACGTCTATAGTGACGAGGTAATTGAGGGGAGTTCCGATGAATACCGATGAAGGCCAAAATCTAGGTCTTGTCTGAAGGATTCATTCGTCCCCTCTATAGTTCTATAGAAGCAGGTACACACAGACCTAGCCTGAAGAATCCATAGTCAAATATGCATCTAAGCTCCACTTAGCAGCTAGCTTAGAAGACAATCACTATGGAGTATGTACTCTGTTGCAATCAATTGTCATGCATGTTAAAGGGGGGTGGGGTTCAGGAATGCCTTCAACCCTCAAGTTTAATGACAATCAAGTCAAAAATCAATAGTTCGCTACAGCGTTGCATTGTACTTAGATGAGAATCTTGGAATTTCCGGACTGGAGGATTTGGATTTGCCGACGGCCGAATGGTGAGGGATTGTACATAACACATGGCAAATGGGGCACTTGTGGGTAAATTGCAAATTGGTAAACCTTGGAAGATGGATAGTATCAGGATTCTAATCTCATTTCCCGTGCGGTAACGGCCAAGGTGGGAATCCCTGCTCAACCATGTGGTGGTGTGGATACGAAGGATTCAGGATTAAAATCAAATAAAAATAATAATCAAATCGAGAATATATTAACGAGACTAAATGACTAAATGGAATATCCGTTAATTAACCATAATATCATCCCAATCAGTCAAAGGATTCAGTCCCCAGTCTCAAGAATAACTGTGGAGATATTGGGGGCCACACTACTGCAACATAATGCAATCCTGCGAACTAAGCTCATAAAGGTAATGATAATGGTTGATTCCCATATTGGAGTAAGGCGGTTTCAGGTTTGCTTACACGTGGACTTGGTGTGGGTTGGTAGTGTTGATCATGAATTATTTTTATCTCACAACATGGGTTTATGCACGTTCATGCATGCCCGTGCGTACAATCATCACATCTTTTCCCCACCTTCTGAGTGACTGAGGCACATACACCACGCGAAGAAGGGCCGAAACGAACCCCCTTACCAGCCACATGTGGATCAGCCGTTTCAGAATGCAGTTGACGATGTGACAAGCACTTGCAGATGATGACCTGTTTCTATTCTGGGTCGACGAGGACTAGATCTGATCTCCGATCATCAAGAAGGGGGGGTTGATCCTCAGTTTCAGACTTACAGATTCGCCACCACCATGTGGTTGAGGACTCCATACAACCACATGGCATTTCAAGCCAACGTCTAGTAGATCAGGTGATTGGGGCTGCTTTCTAGACAAGCGTCTCATAAGCATCATTGTGCATGATTTCTATCATCATTCTATTAGATTATACTTCTTTTTCATCCTTCAGGATTCCCAAAATTTGGGGTTAAACCAACACTCTACTATAGTCAGTGATGCTATATTGAACTATCTGCTGACATCCATGGATGCAATATAACCTTTTTTGCGCATTCCTGATTATCTAGTAGATCAGCGCGAACTACGGAGTATGTTACCTTGATCCACTTATCAGTGGAAAAGATCGGCATGCTTACCATGGTTCTAGCAGGAATACATCTGGTTTAGCTTGTGGTTGATCTTCTGGATTAATGAAGCCATGCTAAGTGAGTACCAGGATTGGAGTCACTCATCCCATAGACCTTGGTCGAGTGGCTTGTAATGCTCCGAGATTTCCGGATCATTGCGCGAGGCCCCACTGATGAGAACGCCTTGATAAACCACATGGAGACATCTAGAGGCGCAGATCGCGGAAATATGGTGGGCCGGCGATCACTCACATCTATTTTTCGCGCACTTCTTCCTCGATTAGTAAGGCTAAAGTTGAAGTTGTTGGTTCAAGCGGGCTTCCAGATTGTCCGGTTCAAAGATCGGAGTACTTTCCATACCCTAGGGCTAGGTCATAGGTCTGATACAATGGGATTGATAACAAGGTCCCCGGAAATGAGATCTTGACCCCTCTTTTCCAACTGACGGAGGTCTACGGAGTACTAGTACAAAGCTGCCTTGTCGTCTTAACATATTAATATCATTTCTTTGTTAATGTTGATAATTTTCATTCATCTAGACTTAGAACCAAATTAATGATCAAATGCAAGAAAGGAAAAACCCCGCGACTATTTACTGGAATTACTAGTAAATGCAAGATCAACGCAATCAGATCCTCAATTAGAAAGAGATAACCAACTGACTCTTTGCTGGGTTAACTTAATCAACCACATCCAATCATCCCACCCAACCCAACTAACAGCGCACCATAATCTACGAATCGAGTAATCTTCCATCCGCCTCATTACACCGCGATCTCACGCTAACCTGCAGTTTTAGTTCAAGCCTCCTGACGTTTAGGTGGTCTGTCAGCCTATAGAAAAGCGCAGAGAACCGGCGGACAGGGATCTACGCACGCACAATGACATCATGTCCCTGGCGCCGCAACAATATTGGCGAGTTAGATTTCACAGCCGCTGTTGGTTTGGGGGACACCGCTTATTCGCCCAAGGAATAAGCTGCACGACCGCGATGGCGGTTTCAAATCCACTTAGGAGAATTTCCGGGGATCATTCAAATGCATCCTTCGGAGAGAATGGACAACGCAACCGTTCTAAATGCAGAAATCAAAGTCTAGATTTTGGCACATGCTTTCTTCATTCTATGCACAGGACACATAGAATACCCTGTACATGACACTGCATGAGAGTCTATTCATCCATTCAGGTTCGTTCTTTATTGTTGGTTCAAGTTGGTGTACTGCCAACAGGATTACCCCAACTCCTAGTCTGGAAATTGTTGTCGAGTCAGCCGCCATCGCGGCAGGCGTGTGAAGAATAATCGAATTCCTTTAAGCCATACACTCCTCACTGCATGTTGACTTGCATCCTTCAATATTGAAGATTGCCACTTCGAGTCTGTCACACGTCATTTTAAGGATTGTAGTTGCTGACTGCCTTTACCCTGTACCGAAGCTGTGCATAGCTCCGTGGTGAAGGAAGCAATAGTTGAGGAAGTATGAGGTCTAGAGTTCGAACACGAAAGGGATGCGAGATCCTTCTCTAGGGTCTTCCCGTATACAGCTCTGGGGACGGCAGATAATCATCCCTCAGGATCGCATGATCTCATCGCACTCACACTGTTGGATGTGGGTTAACATCAACCCGAGATGTAAATTAGAGTGGGTGGGAGACCCAAAAGTCGATTTCAGATAAATCATCTCGATCCTTCGAGGGGTCCCTCCACCTCCCTAATTGAGGTCGTGATAATCGCCACCCCACTCAAAGCTCGAGACCCAAGGCAACAAAGAAAAAAGAAAACACCAAAATCAAAGAATTGGCGCAAGGATCCAATCCTTCCAAATTCATTGCCGTCCTTTGAAATCACACTAAAGAAGGATGTCTCCAATTTTTGAACGTCGGATCATGTCCGCCTTACCGCCGTTGGTTACGGTGGCGAATATCGCGTCTTTCCAATTGTTAGTCGCATCGGGAAGAGTGGGCGCGCGAACGAGTCAACAGCGCTGAGTGGGTCTGATTCACCCAACATACGACAGGTCAAACATGAAAGACGTAGACACAGTGGATGAGGAGATGCGAAATTCGGGAATCAGGCGGTGATTGGGTTTAGTTTCATGCGAGTCGAGAATTGTGTTGACCCCATTTTTTGGATCATGACCTCAGAGGCGCACTTAGGACTCATTTCCCGTGCACCGGGGGTGAGGTCTGACTCGCATCTCCGTACGACTACGACGGCGTGATCCCGTTGCTGGTAACTGATGTCATGCCAGTGGTATTCGAGGGGCTCGGAACATTGAGGAGAATTGAACGACTATAGTTAGTGTAGATGTGTTGAGGTCAATCGAAGTGGGTGGTGTGGTCGAGTCTTCAAAGTCCATTGTGGGTTTCTTGGTGTCATGCGCAGCTTAGCTTTGTTGCCCATCCGCCGACATTGGAACAAAATCAACTAGTTCGAAATTTTGAACATTGGAGTCTTTTTTTATCGTGTAGACTTTGTGATATCCATCCATTGGTTTTGATATTATGCGAAAATTGATTATTGCGACCTTAATCAGTGCTAGTGGTACTAGATGTGTTCGTGATCACTGGTTGTAGTAGTATGTAACGGCCCCGGGGGTGATATATATCGTTGCGGATACTAAGTAGTAGTACTTAGGTGTAGATGGGTGTGGATTGCGAACACAAAATCGAGCAACATCGACTTGGATAACTCCCGAGGTCACGAGCAGCCTGGAACCAACGTCAATCCCAATCACTGCGCTAATTAATATATCAAATCCACAAACAATTGAAAAATCTCATCCATACCTAGGCCTGGAAGTACCATGGCGTCCAATTAATCCTGGAACTCCCTCCATTTAACCATTCTCTCTCTCAAATCCAACACCTCCCCATCAACAACAAAGGACCCATCACCACGATGATGGAACATTCGCATCCTCTGCCCAGATGCATCATCCTCATCAAACCCTCCCCTCACCCAAGCCCGCACAGCCTTAAGTACCCAAAGGTTATATCGCTCAACCATGGAATCATCATGAACCACACACTCAATGTTAGCGATAATACCATCTCCGCCAACCAGCGGTGCCTCGACCTTCGCAGCAGGTAACGCTTGAAATCCGAACTTCGTCCACTTATCCACCTCGTCACCACTGCAGTTCCCGATATCGATTACTGAGGTCGCGATCGAGATATCTGGGATGGCGAGGACGCAGGAGCGGGACTCGGAGAGTAAGGTGAAGCTAGCATCCCATGGGCCGAGACATATGTTCATTAATGCGGGAGTGTCGTGTCGCAGCATCATGTGGAAGCCTAGGGTCATGAGGTTGTGAGTTTTTGAGGAAAGGGAGCCTGTTGAGACGAGGAGGATGGGTCCTGGTTCGATGAGGCGGTAGATTTTGGAGGCGGGGTAGGGTTTGAATGGGTGTTTTGTGGAGTGCCTCTGGTATTGTTCTTTTAATCCATGTCGCTCCGAGTTGTCGGGGTTTGCAAGGGATACCTTGCGCTTTAGAGGCATTTTGGGTGGAAATGCTGTATTTGGTGGGGATGGAGGGGTTCACGGAGATCAGTTTACAAGATATGTTTGAGTGCTAACACGGTGGCGAAATGCATCGATCAGAGACGGAATTGACGATATGCGGGGAAAGGTGCAATGTCGTTGCCCAGATGTCTACAATGCGTAGACATGTCGTTGAAATAGAGGAGTATGGGGTTCCGTGGAACACAAGTGGTGACCAAGTCCCACGGTCCAAGGTTAGGTTCCCGCATTCAGAAAAGAAAAGTGTATGGAATCAAGAGGGAAACTTGAAGAGGATATCTATTATGAATTCCTGGAGGGGCTAATATGGGACTACAAGACTAGGATATCGCCACCCGGGGAACGAAATACGACAAAACCCAAGAAGAGATGTCGTTTGTCGATCGCCGGTGTGTTGCGAAACACCCCCAAGAGAACAATTCTAGCGACTTAAAAGGTAAGCTACGAGTAGTATCATATATTGAACATATACATTCCTGCTTTGAATGTCTGTTGATAAGTCTTAAAAATAAGAGACCAAGATTCATGATCGGGATGAAATGGCGACCTAGATAAGGGCCCGACGAATGGACGGTATGAGATATTAGAAGCTGTTAGGAAGAATCGTGTTGGTAGTAGTCTTAAAAAAGAGATAAAATGATCTGCTCAAGTGATACGAGCATCGATAATTGAAATGAAACGCCTTTTCGGATACAAAATCCTGCCAACATTCCTTTCTGCTGAGACAGTGATTGATAAATTGGCCTGAGCAAACCAAAGGTGGATGCTAGCCTTTGGTAAGATGCCACAGGGCTGAGATAAATTGGTCAAGTAAGAGTCCACTGAAAACATGTTCAAGAACGTGATCAACAAGAAAAAGTAAATCAAAATAACTCAATATGGACATCGAATCGGGTCGAGCCATATGCCTTTCGGATATCGTAACTCCGCTTAAAAACCCGAACAAAATCTGACGCAACATGTAGGAAAACTAACATAACCAGGGAGGAGTGAAGGATGAAGGAGATGGTTATGCGAGCTAGGAACGGTCAGGATTGGTGACCTAGGGCAAAGAGGTTAGCTAAAAGTTCATAATTAGGATAGCTCGGAGCTACGAACCTGCAGGATTCGGCGAGAAAAGTCGTGATCATCATCGATACTGCCATTGCTTTGGCGGCGCTGTGCCATGTACTGGCCATCAAAGCGCGAGTCCGTCATGGGGAGCTGCGAATTGCGACCGTAACCTCGGGCACCACCACCAAATCCTTGTGACTTTTGCTTGCGAGATCGGTGGAAAAAGAATATCGCACCAGCCAAAGCGGCGACACCAACAACACCCACCACGACACCTGCGGCAATCGAGGCTGTGTTATGTTCACTTTTGGCTTTCTGTGTCTCTGACTTTTGGGCATCGGCGGCATTTTGAACATGACTAACAGCCGTCATCGTGACTGTCTCACCAACGGAATTGGTTGAGACCGTACTTCCTGTATTGTCGGTATGGGAAGCAGTCGAGTTATTATTGCTGGCGCTGCTCGTCGATGTAGATGACGACGACGACGCCGACGCTGTCTCACTACCATATGTACCAACATTGGTTTCTAAGCCAGTTGTGTAGAGGGAGTAGTACCCACTTCCACCACCTATAAGAATGTTAATATTCAAATTGCCCCCCATAGGTGACCCTGATGAGACGTACACATATCTGATGGCCATCCATCACATTCTGTATTGCACTTGCTCGAATCGACCTTGTCTGATGTGGGAGGGAGTTCTTCTCCACAAAGACAATCAGAACCAGCAGTCAATGCAAATACAGCTGCATTGTATTCAACACATCTGTCTTCACACCATCCTGAACTCTGGAATTCATATGATGTTTGATTGGTGAGACCTTCTGAGCTGCTGTAGCAGCCTACAAGTGTCAGAGAGGCCCGCGGTGCGAGGAATTCAAAAGGTTTGGCGATCGAGTTGCCCGCGAAGAGCATGCTTGATACCAGGAGAGTGGAGCGCATCGTGAAAGGCATGTCGATATTAGAAAGAAATGATGTCGAGTTGAGTTATGAAAAGCGAATGATACACCGCAAGACGCAGTCTGCAGCGCAAATAGAAAGAAAGAGAAGAGCAAGGAACGACCTGCGTTATCCTTCAGAGCTTCTTGAGTCAAAAATGTTATGAGAAATTCGATTCCCGTGGCCGGCGTGGCTTTTTTAGACGTGGCGATACGTCTTGTGTGGTTGATGTTCGTCGAGTTTATTTCGGGTCGAAGTACAAGGACACCACGGTCGGAAAGGGATAGAAGTAGAGAAGAACCGGTGAGCGATAGGAATCGGTTACAAGTAGCCTGGTGGTAGGTTGCACAAAGAGGTGAAGAGGGGATTGTGTTCTATCCCCTTCAGCTTTGTTTAGATATTTGGACCAGTGGATCGGGGGAGACCAGTCGCGTTGGTAACTGAAAGGTCGCGGTTGATCGGGGTCGATAATCGAGAGAAACCAAGTTGAATAGGGCGTTAAATGAGTGATCCCTGTGGTTAATGAGCGTGTGAGTTGAGAGAAAAGAAAAGGAAGGAGATATTATTCCTCATCTTCGGGGAGTCAATGGGGTCCTTGCTCAGGGTCAAGGGGTCTGTTCCCGATACCCACACAAAACCATTTACTTACCATCTTGGCGGCATTCTGCAGTGTGTTTACAACCCCTTTTTCGGGTCTGTTTGGTTCAGTTTGTTTGGGTATGATAATGTACTGTTACAAAGAAGTATTTACTTTCCATCATTATACGCATTCTCCACCAATAATAAGCCAAGAAATGATATGTCATCAGGCACTGACCCACTTATGTATGGTTCCCTGGGATAAGCGGCCGATCGCCTTCCACTTTAATCACACGCGGGCCCGTGAATGGAGTGAATGGAGTCTCTAATGGGCCCTGAGTGGAGTTAAGTTGTGCCCTAAGCCCCTTTAAGTGTGTCCCTGAGTGCTGCTGCGACTTGCTCGTGATTCATCGTCATCTTGATCTGCGAGTCCCTACATAATTTTGCCACAAGATGACCTCTGTATACCCACATTCAGAGTTTGTGCGGGTACTGAATATGTCTAAGGAAATACCAATACGGAGTACTTCAAGGCTCTTTTGAGAAACTTCAAATGTTATTGACCAAGGGAAGTAGATGGCAGAAAGACTCGTGCGAGCCACCACACTGAATCCATCCCTAGGGACATCTGGATAAACTGATATTTCAGACCATACCACCCGTTTTCAAGCGCCCTCTTCCGGAGGCCTCAGCGACAGAATTTTCCGGGGAGACACACAGCGTTTATTCCGCCCCCCTCTTTCCCATGGAAGAAAACTCTCTATCGCATGGTGCCAATTTCCCTGCCGTGTCTGGGGTGGGAGGGGTCCATTCACGCTAAAAACGACCAGAAAGGCTTGGCTCCTTTTGCAGACCTGCCATGGACCCTTTGAGCTAATTACTCCCGAGGTCTGGAGTACATTTTACCACACTGGACTGTGTATCTTTTTATGATGATGTATTCCTGGAAGACAGAGCAACCATACCAGATCTCTATATTTTGGATTGACCACGGTTTTTGAACGGCCACTCCCGAGTGGATCAAGCACTCAATGGTGGACGAGTTGTCATCGTTAATACCGTTTCTGAATTACCCATATAGATTTCAATTTTACCACCCGCTTGGCAGTGCCCATTATGGCCGAATACATATTACAACGCAAATGAGCGCAATTTATTCTGACGGCACACCGTCTCGGTTCCAAGGTTATCTACCAGCTGCTGGGCCTGGGACTGACTAATGCATAGCCCTGGAGGTACTGTTCGTTTGTTATGATCAATGTCTCATGGTCTTGCTGAATTTAGACTTCGCTCGTTGGTTCAATTGATTTAAGGATCATTCATCACAGGAAACTTACCGGCTGGGATACGGTCATGTGAGACATGGCTGCTTACTTGAGACCTATTCTTCGTGATGTTTAAAGAGCTCAGCCACAATTAATCATTGGCAGCCGTAAAGCTCACACGACCTCGGGAACAACCTTGGAAACTATATATCCATGTCTTATGACCGCCAATCAATTGATGAATTCAACACCCTACAGCCTCGAGATTTAGTCTTGAATCTAAAAGGAGCCCAAGTCTTGATTGGCCATTTTAAACCATGGAAAAGATCACGCTTTTACATTTGGCCTTTATAGAGCTCAATATCGCGATCTAATGACAACATATGAATATTTCTGATAGCCGGAAGACAGCGGACCCTGACTCACTACTCCGTCCCTGCGACACGGAGGATTTAATTTCAGTCCGTGGCGGTCACTAGCCCGGACACGATCCCCACCCACCAAAAGAAACACCAAAGTGATAGAACAACCCCTTGCGCAGTCAAAACCAGAATAAACACAGCAAGTTTGAAAAACAAAAACACGGTATGAAGAAGGAAAATTCTTCTTGTTTGGTTTCCACGTGACCTGACCTTACCTAGGTATGAATACGTGAAACCCTTCGGGTGTTCTAGACAGAAAAATCCTGAAAGTGGATCATCATCTCGAAGCGTAGTAGATAATATGGGGCTTCGATCGTGGTCTAGAACTACTCTCAAGATTGAGTATAGCCAATCCCTTTTCTATTTATAAGCGTATTTTGAGATCTCTTCCAAGTTGACACCTACATAGTGCTAGGCAGAACAGATCTATCAATGCCGGAAGACCCGGTTTCGGGAAATGGTGGCCCTGCGTACCCCGTAGGTATGATACATAGACTGTGCATCTGGAGTGCGCTGGTAGTAGCTAGGTAACATCGAATGTGAATCTTCAAGTTGGAGCGAAGTAATGAATAATCCCAAGGTGAATACGAGAAAAGTGATCGCCGCGGCATCAAGCACTGAGGGCTCGAGCAGTTACGGAGTAGACATCTGGTCTCAAATAAGTCGTTTGCTGGAGGCTCTACTGCATATTTGTGACATGCAAACGATGCATAGTAGCTTGAGGTAGCTTTCACGAGTATATCCGATTCCGAATGCGCGGCACGTGTGTAGTATTTCCAACATTTGAATTCTCAATTAGATACAGGCAACTGCCACGGTAGCACTAGAGATACTTGATATATTCAAACTGCACATGTAGGGTGACCTCGGGATCGAGTTGGAATAGTAACTTGAAGTCAACATTTTAAAGTTGCATACATATCGCCAGTGTCCAGTAGAAAACCCCGGAGTCCTGAAGTGGTATGTGGTGCAGGTGCCCAGGTGTTGAGTCTGACTCGGAGTCAATGACTCAGATGCGCAAGTAGAGACATTAGTCAACTGGTCCATGTGCTGTTAGAGGTCCGTCATTAAGCTGTCTTTCCCGCGGACTACTTGATGACGGGGTTCTTCCTCGATTTCCTCGATTTGAACATCTTAACATCTTGAACGCCGCATTCGGGGAATTCGGTCTTTGTTTGCCAGAACTTGAAGACTACATCACGGTGGATCAATAGATACTTTCTTTGCGATAGGGCCACATGCATACACCGTGACCCTGAATTGATGTCCGTTCTCTCTGATATATAGCTAACGAGGAGGCCTGGCCATGCGCAATTGACCGGTCCGTCTTGCAGGTTATGCTTTGTAAAGAATCCACAATTCTAATTCATGTCATTGCTCTTTCTTTCCCCTAATTATTCATATGCATGTTCTTGAATTTATAACTTGTGTATGCCAAATTAGCTTGTCTCTGTCCATCAGTTCTCTTCACGTACGTTGGCTGGGGTATCGCGTTGCAAGGAGTATTTGGCAGTGGATTTGCTCCGCTTGCAAGGTTGTCACGCTGGCGGTAACATTTGTTTCAGTTCTACCCTCAGACGTTGTATATTTTGCATGCTGCTTATCATTTTCATACTGGCAACAGTCCCTGTAGCTCTCAGTGATAGCCCAGGTGAGCTGCCTCATCTTTGGGCCCCGAAAGGGAAATCTAGCAAGTGCAAGTAAAGCGAAAGAGAAAAAGAAATCAGAAATCAGACCAACACCCGCTAAATTCAAACTGAAAAAAGAGAAAAAATAAAGATGTAAAAATGCGAATATAAAAACAAGCGTAGAAATAAGCCCAGAGATGAGCGCAAAGACAATTTAAGGTCACAGGCATCAATATCTTATGTTAAGCCGTAGCAGATGAGTTAGTAAATAGAACAATGAGGTTGAAATGATGTGATAGCCAGGTGAATAAAGGTGAGACCAATAGACGATGAAACCACAGCAAGCACACCATTCCTCAAGTCACGCTATCTTATTCTTGATGAGTGGAGAGGTTTATATGGATATAATTGCTCTCAGTTTCAGTCTGTAGGTTATAGAAATTGGCTTATCGCGGTTATCGTCGGTATATCTTATCGCATTAGAAACCGGGAATGACCAGGAACATGGAGAGGGGAAATGTCATCATTGGGAATAACCTCGTTTTACATCTACAATGTCCTTTGAGGCCAGTTCCCTTACTTCTGTAGTCACCGCCCTTCAGATTCTTCAGTCATAATCCCAAAGGCGGAGAATCAAATTCCACAATCATCCCACTCGGAACAAGATAGCCGTACCCAGCAATACCACGATTGGCGACGAGTTCTCGACTATAAAGGCCAACCCCACAGAGGGAAAAAGATCTCATCTTATCTGATGAGCTGATTCATCTAAGAGAGCCTCTGATGGCAGTAGCAGTATGGTGAGGTTCGTCGACCTTGAGGGTGATGCCTTCACTGAGCATCCAGGCGCTACCTTTTCCTTGGAGAAGCCGTTCCCGCCCAGGCTGATGGTCGCGCCTATCGCGTCCATGGCAGCAGCTTCAAATGATTTTCCCTCTTCTCCAACCTCGCCAGACGATGAACGCGATATCCAGAACAAACCCTCCAGCTCTGCCACCAACGCAGACACAGTTCAGAATCCGGACAATCCCAACCGGAATGCCTTCTCCGCAGCGTTGAACTGTTATCCGTACGTTGTGGGGCTTGGACCAACCACGTCCGCCAACTATCCCTTTCCATGAATCCATGATACAGAGTATCCACTAACACATCTTCTTATACTATAATAGTGTGGTCAAGGAAATTGCTCGTGCGGTCGATCTAAACACTTTACACGCCCTGTCGCGAACATGTCGCCAATTCCACGTAAACCTGGCACAATTCCGACACCAGCTAGTGCGTGAGACGCTCCGCTGTGAGAACGAGTATATCGAAACAGTTACGGACATGTTAGATGGCGGAGCCATGATCTCTAACAATGTCAAGTCGATATTGAGAATTTTGAGTCAGGAAAGCTCAGAGTCAGGCCGTATGACACGCGGGAAAGTAGGCAGATGTGCACGCGACATGGTGGGCGAGTGTCGTCGATGCGGTAAGGTTGTTTGCAGGGTAAGTCTTGGTCTCTTTTATGCAGAGGAAGACATCAGCACCAGTGACTAATGTATCTTTGATATAGAATTGCACAATCAAACCGCCGTCCCAAACAGCCATGAAGGCTCGTATTCGTCGTCTCTGTCGCACATGCAATACTGCACCACTATCTCGCCATCTTTTGTTAGTGGAAAATCCATCAATATGCACGGAATCTACATCTAAGGCTGAAAAAGACCTTTGTAGCAAAGGCTTCAAGGCTGCCGCTCTCGCACAGAGTATTTGCAATTGCTCTGATGCACTCTGGCTTTGTGTCCAGTGTGGGCAAACGCTCCGCAGCAACGACACAACCTACCGCCGTGTCTGGGCCTGGAGAACACGATACAGTACGTATCTAGGTGGTGGACTGGGAACAGGTATCGGTGAAGGATGCCAAGGTGTGAAGTGTGGACGTGGTGAAGGCTGTCTTGCAGCACAGGAGATCGAACTTGAAGTCGACTGTGAGGCGGATGAGGGATCGAGTGGTACTAGCAGTCCTGGCTATTATAGCCCTGGAAGCCATCCCTCTGTACCTGTGTCTGCCTCGTCAGTCTATCATCAAGAACTTGTTGCATCAGATGGCCATGATGATGAAGAACCTGGATATTTTCGACAAGAGGTCATTGGGCTTGGTGGAGTTGTCAAGCATAAGTCAAAGAAGAGGGTTATGGTTGGCGCTTGCGTTGTTGAGTATGAGGATGAAAGAGAGACAGGGAAATATCTTCTTAGAGAGGAGTGTGGATCGCATCGTTCTTGGTGTGGGTGGTGTTCAAGAGTTATTCCCGCAGACAGGGAAATTTGATGTCTTTATGACATTGCCAGTGGTCATTGCCGTTTGGTATGGCATAACAATTACCTAGGTATCGTATAATATGGATTGTGTAGGGATTACTGGGACCTTATCCATCCAGAACTAATATACTAGGTAGTGATTGTAGTTTGATACGATTATATGGCAATTTCCACGATCTATGGCAGCCACGATGTCAATAGCTCAGGCTTGATATACTGGCATTAGCCTTATTAGTATTATGTCTAGAATTGTACACTAGTACTCATGACTGGATTGTATTCAGAGTCTCTGAGTCTCTAACTTGATAATTTATTGAATTTCTTACAATTCTTCAAAAAAGATTTGAAACACTACAAGTAGAGATTCGTTGTTCAGGCATGAAACTGATTGAATTCCAGAATTCAATCGATCAATAAATCATCATAACATTCAAGTATTTGGAAACAGCAAATTTGATGGATGTAGCACTTGACCAGTCTTGTAGAAAAAAAGCAGATAGTACTCCGACAATGCAATGCATCGCTCCTCCATGCAATAAATCATGATCATACACCGACGGCATCGATTAAAATCGGCCGGAATCAAACATAAACAAAAACAATGTCGAGGTACAGGATCAATCAAATATTGATTCATTTCAGTGGGCAGCAATGGATCGGAAAAATCCCTTCACCTTGGACTCTTTCACGGGCGAGGGCTCACGTTTGCGACGATGGCGACGTTCTCTGTCGGGCCTCTCTTTCTCGGAAGTCCTCTCTCGTTCTCTTTCTCGTTCTCTGTCGCGAGGCTTGCTGCTACTCGCTTCAGGTTCTTCGCGTCGTCTGCGATGCCGTCTCTCTCGTTCCTTCTCCTTCTCTCTCTGCCTCTCCTTCTCCTTCTCTCGTTCCATCTCTCGCTCCCTTTCAATTTCTCTCTCCCTCTCCCTCTCCTTCTGTTTTGATATCTCTCTCTCCTCTCTTTCTTTCTCTTTCGCCCGCTCTCTCTCCTTTGCCCTTTCTCTCTGTCTTCTCTCCTCCCTTCTCTGCGCACGAAGGGCGTCTTCCTCACGCTGAGACCGAGAGTCATTGAAACGGCTAATCGACTTCTTCTCCTCAGATGACCTCTCATGACTGCCATGACTTCCATGACTTCCATGACTCTGAGCCGTGGAAGACCGACGGGGTCGGTCAGAGCTTGGCATCGAGGATTTTGACGTGTTAACTCGCACAAGGGGCTTGACTGGATCAGAACCAGCTTGATTGTTCATGTATTTGAGGAAGTGACGCTTAGGTAGAGAGGCATCGGGTTCTTTGGAGGATGAGGTACGCTTTGGTCTGGCGTCGAGGGGAGGCAGGTCTTTTTCTTTTGAAGAAGAGCGTTCAGAGCGTTTGCCCTTATCAGAGGTGGATGAGACACCGCTGTGTAGCTTGTCTGCTTCGACAGCTGCCTTGTTTCGTTCAGCTCGTGAATTGTCACGCTTCTTCTCCTCATACTGTCTTTTGGCCTCTTCCAGGGCCTTGGCCCACCGGTTAGTGAAAACACCACGCTCGCTCTTCTGTCTCGAAAGTTGGCCCTTTTGTCCATCTAAAGAGATTCGTCGTCGTCGCTCGGAGTCGCCTGGCGAACGCTTCTTTCGGCGACGCCCGGAGTCTTTGCTTCCTGATGCCTCGACAGTCTCTCCCAGATCGCGGGTTGCCTCTGCTGGCTCTTCTTCTGGTTCTTCTGCTGCGGCCTCTGCTGGAGGTGCCTCCTCTGGCAAAGCTGGCTCTTCAGGAGCTGGGGGCTCCTCGGCGGCAGGAATATCTTCAGCGACTGGCTCAACTGGTGCTGGTTCTTCGACTGGTGCCGGTTCATCAACCGGTACAGGCTCTTCAACCGGAACTGTTTCTTCAACTGGCGCTGGTTCTTCAACCGGTGCAGGCTCTTCGACGACGGGTGCCGGCTCCTCCACTGGTGCTGGTTCTTCAGCCGGTGTAGGTTCCTCGGCTGAAGCTGGGGGCTCTTCAGGTGGAGGAGCAGGTTCTTCTGGCGCAGTTTCTGCAGGAACTTCTTCAGCAGGTTCAGGCTCAGGGGCAGGAGGAGCTTCTTCAGCTGGTGGTGCAGCCTCGACTGGTGGTTCTTCTGCCGGAATCTCCTTGGCTTCTTCCGCCTCAGCAGCGGGTTCATCCTGAGGTGTTTCTGCGGGAGCTTCAGCAGTCTCGGCTTCTGGCGCGGCTGGAGGATCCTCGGGAGGGGCTTCTTCGACGACGGGAGTCTCTTCAACAGCATGAGTTTCTTCGACAGCGGGAGGCTCTTCAGCGGCAGGAGGCTCCTCAGGTGCTGGTTCTTCAGCTGGCGCTGGCTCTTCAACCGGTGCAGGCTCTTCAACCGGTGCAGGCTCTTCAACCGGTGCAGGCTCTTCAACCGTCGCAGGCTCTTCAACCGGTACAGGCTCTTCAACCGTTGCAGGCCCTTCAACCGTTGCAGGCTCTTCAACCGTTGCAGGCTCTTCAACCGGTGCAGGCTCTTCAACTGGCGCGGGCTCTTCGACGGGTGCTGGTTCCTCCGCCGGAGCTGGTTCTTCAACTGGCGCTGGCTCCTCGGCGGGTGCTTCTTCCTCAGTTACAACAGGTTCCTCTGGGGCAGGCTCCGCGGGTGATTCCTCAGCTGGAGCTGGCTCGGCCGCTGGCTCTTCGACAGGAGGAGCTTCTTCAGGTGTGGGCTCTTCTACCACTGCTTCAGCTGGCGCTTCCTCGGCAATGGGTTCTTCCGCAGCAGGTTCCGGAGCAGGTTCTTCAGTTGGCTCCTCAGGGGTTGCTGGAGCTTCTTCTGCTGGTGCGGGCTCCTCGGCTGCAGGGGTAGCATCTTCAGTAACAGGAGGTTCCTCAACAGGGTCCGCCGCCACAGCCTCTTCCGGTGTAGGCTCAGCGACAGGCTCTACTTGAGGTTCTTCGGCAAGAGTCTCGGCAGGTGCCTCTGCTGGTTTCTCTGTAGAAGCATCGCCAGAAGGTTCATCCGAAGGAGCAGGATCTTCAGCGTTCGCAGCCTCAGGCGCAGGTTCCTCGGAGGCTGCCTCTGAAGCAGGTTCAGCGGCGGGCTCAGGCTCAGGAGCAGGCTCGGGATCTGCAGCGGGTTCTTCTGGTGCTGCTGGTTCTTCAGGTGCTGATGTTTCTGCCTGAGGTTCCTCAACAGCTTCTTCCTTAGCAGACTCTTCGACGATGGTTTCTTCCTCCTCCTGTGTCTCCTCTGCTGGCGCTTCTTCAGATGGTTCAGCGGCAGGTGACTCTTCTGGAGCAGACTCTGCGGGAGGTTCGTCTTTAGTTTCTTCCTCTGCAGCCGCCTCCGCCTCCGCCTCAGGGCTGGCATCACCCTCGGTTTGAGATTCAAGTTCTGCTGCTGGTTTTGCGGGAGCAGCGTCTTCGGAAGCTTCGACAGGAGCTTCGGTTTCTGCAGGCTCTGATGTCTCCTCTGGTGCAGCCTCAGCGGCAGGTGATTCTTCGGCAGGTGATTCTTCGACATGTGATTCTTCGGCAGGTGGTTCTTCGGCGGGTGGCTCTTCAGCAGGTGCGGCTTCAGATTCCTCAGTCGCCGCAGCCTCTGGTTCCTTGGCCTCTTCTGCTGGAGATTCGTCTGTTCCAGCTGGTGGTTGAGCATCTCCAGCATCTTCTGTCGTAGGTTCGGCAGGCTCTTCAGGTGATGATTCAGGAGCTTCCTCTGGTGCCGGTGCTTCCTCCGCCGCAGGTGTTTCTTCTGTGACTGGTGCTTCCTCTACAGGTGGAGGGCTCTCGACCTCAGGCTCCGGATCTGCAGGGGGTGCCATTTCGGGTTCGGGCTCGGGATCACTCTTACCCTTACCCTTCTTCTTCTTCTTTTTGGCATTCTTTTTTGCAACCTTGGACGTCGGCTTAAACTCCACAGGCGGTTCGGGTTCGGCTGCTGGTGCTGGTTCGTCTGTTTCGGCAGGGGCTTCATCTTCGGGTTTGGAATCCTCGGCTGCCTCGACTGCTGGCGTTTCATCCGGTTGGGCAGCTTCGTCAGGCTTAACAGCGGCAGGTTCCTCCTCGGCAGCAGGCTCTCCTTCAGCAGCAGGTTCCTCTTCGGCAGGTGGCGGGGCTTCCTTAGATGGAGCTTCTTCACCTGCAGCCTCATTGGCCCCATCCGCATCTGCTGGTGCATCCTCCGGATTCGCAGCATCGGCTTCGGCGTCTTCAGCTGCTTGCTTCGCAGCCTCTTCTTTCTCAGCCTCTACCTTGTCTGCTCCGTCTTCAGGGTCACAGTCTGGAAAATCTTCGTCTAGTCCGAATATTAGTAAGTGGTGAGGTATGCGACAGGGGCATCTATTACCATTGTTTCCACCGTCATTGTTCTTTGAACCACTGTCATCTGCTGGTGGCTCAGCGCCTTCATCTTCTTGTGCGGGCTCTGCAGCCTCCGGAGATGGCTCTTCAGCGGCTTCATCTGGCGTAGCTTCGCCTTCTGCGTCCGGCGCAGGCTCATCTGCAGGAGGCGCATCTGCGCCTTCTTCTTTGCCGTCGGCTGTGGCGTCAGGTGCATCTTGGGCGTCGGTTGGCTCAGCCGGAGTTGATGCCTCTGTTGATTCTGTCTCTCAAGTGAGTACTTGTTCCTCATGGTACACACCTTATATTTTTTCGATTATTCTTTTCTCAAGTGAGGATACTGACCAGTTGATTCTTCTGGATTGTCTGAGCCTTCTGTTGCCGGTGGGCTAGGTTCTTCTACAGCTGCTTCGGCTTCGGCTTCGGCTTCGGCAGCAGGTGGTTCTTCCTTCTGTTCAGCGTTGGAGTCTTTGTTGTCCTGATCATTGCCCCCCGTCAGATCTTCGGTCGAACCAGTAATTGAATAGTTTGTCAATTGAGCGTTGCCATAATCAAATGTTTGGTAGCTCAATCGTGGCGCGGCATAATTAAATTGGGGAATTTGTGCATACTGGTAGGGCGCCGCCGAGGGCATCTTCCGGTGTTAAAGCCGGAGGATCGACGGGAACCTCTGGCGAGACTTTGATATCGGTTGTATCTGGGGCAGGTTTCGATGTGCCAGCGGCAGAGCGGTTGTTGTTATTCTTATTTTTATTCTTTTTCTTAGCCATACCCTTGAATTAATGACGTATCATAAAAACAAATCGAACAGGTGCTGAGTGGCGCGGGATGAGAGAGAGTATTGGAACAATAATAGAAGAACCAATTCGAGATCGATTGATGTAGGTACTTTGGATCAGTAACAAAATTGGAATAAACAAGAGTTGAAATTTGAGAAAGTGGTGAGACAGGAAAAGGTATGTAGGTATTAGAACACCGAAATTTTAAGAAGCATATGCCTGTTTCTCAGGCGACAAAAGAATTGCAATTGGACAATTATGGTGAGGCAGCGTATAAGGGTTCGTCCGGCCCCCGTGGTGGATGAAATGGGCTACTTTCGTGCAGTTACGGTAATTGGGCCCTTGAACGTCATTAACGAACTGCCCGATGGCTGGATACTCCATTGGACCACGTCGCAAGTGGACTCCATAAAAAATTGGTGTCTGGCATGGGGAATTAGTGAATGACCGGTCCTTGATTAGGGCCGGGTGGAAACAGTATGATCTCCACTTTGCAGGGAGAAGCTGCAGCAACAAGCATCCCACGGCAGAATCGGATGGGGAATCATGATACACAATCACCCAGATAGGTCAAGTAATACTGCAGCTTCATGGAAACACGGTTTTTGGCAAAGTGGGGGGGTTTTGGAGTGGCACCAGTCAATGAATTTTGTCTCAATTTCTTTCTATAATTTCGGTTGAGTTGTTGTTGTTTTCGCCATCATTGTATAGGTACACCGTACACCGTACCTACACAACAACAACACACAGACACATTAGGGCCGTGGGGTTGGGAAGAAAAAATGGATCCATATTAAAGGTGGGTCACAAATCAATCGAGTGATTTCTAAGAAGCCACACCGAAAAGTACCCTGCAGTGTACCCAGGGGGAAGGCTTCCGGGATTCTCTGCCCAGTATGTACGGAGTAGAAACAAAAGTGATGCAGTCGAAATTGATCCATTTCTGCCCAACGTCCCCGGTAACGGCGGCAAATAGGATGTTCGGGGTGGAGAGGTGGAGAGTCACGAAACGAACGCGCAAAAAACCATGTACTCCGTACCCTCTGTACTCCGTTCAATATTCATATCCAAAATAGATCTACTGGAAACATTAGTAACCCCTGGAGCACTATTTTGATCCATTGAATCAATCCTGAGGGCGGAAAATGAAGTGGATGGAGTTGGAACTCGTAGTCATCAATGTCCCCACTCTGCGACACCGACAATTCATCAGGTCGATCCTCGTCGCCCACCCCTCTCGATGAAAACCCAACCAAAAAAAAAGTGATTTCTCAATGACGATAATCAGTCTCCAGTGTTGGGTACTGAGTACAGCAAGGGCGCGTTACAGTTGGAATGGAGATCGGATCATCCTGCAACACGATGCATCCAAGCGTGCAGCCATGAAAAAGTTGAAGTTCGTGGAACGAGGAATGATCAGGTGACGCCTCACACCGTGTGATTGATACCATTTTACCATTTGTACCTGGGCATATGTGCATGTCCGCTGGTATTTTCTTCGTTTACTCGATATCTTATTATAGTATTAATATCTGATCCCTATCATTTTCTTGACTATTGATCTTGGGCCCCCCTGAGTATATCCAATTGCGGACATCTCTTAGTGCACAAATTATCCTAATTAAGCGGGATGCATCGCCACCTAAACCATCAGATTCCTCTTCCAAGATTGCCACGGGGCGGCCCGACGGTGTTCCAAGAACTCCCGATACTTTATACGGGCGACAAGTTCAAAATAATCTGAAACCTCACCATGTGGACCGACTATCCATGCTACGCTTACTTCTATGCTCATCGACAGATCTGGGTGATCAGTAAGACATCGGCATTAAACAGTAGCATTTTCCTGCGAGCTACGGACCACACATTCTGTAACAGGTGTCTAATCGGGTAGACTGGCAGTAGAATTCGAAAACAGATTACCCCTTAGACACTCCTACTCCAGATGTCGGTTTCTCAGGCTGTAGCAGAAGCCACGGTAATCTTTATGACGTTAGTTTGATATTGTGTTATACTAGAACGTATTGGGAACTAGCAAACTAGCATCTAACTTGAATGAGTCATTCTAAATTATGATTTTCCCGTATCTTCGACTTCCCCGTTATCCAACAACTCGACGTCAATTCATTGCTTCAAGTTGCTCAACTTGAATCCACACCCAGTTCGCAATGCAACCAATTTCAAAAACTGACTGGGACAAAGGTGATAAGGATGGACTTGTCTCCATCGGTTCCCATAACCTCTATCTGTCCGTTTCAGGGCCAGATCGCAAGCCTGGAGGGCCTATCGTCATTCTCATGCAAGGCGTTGGCAGCACGATTGATGAGTGGGTTGTAGTGCGAAAGCTTGTGGTTCCATTTGCCCGTTGGTTGAACTATGATCGTTCAGGGATGGGTAGAAGTGAAGGTCCCAACCAAACACCAAGCAGCATATCTGCAGCATCAGTCGCAGCAGAGCTTGATACTCTCCTAAGGAACGCCGGTATTGAGCCTCCGTTTATCATTGTCGCTCACTCATGGGGAGGCTACACCTCTCGCGAATTTCTGGAACTCAGGCCCAATGATGTCGTGGGTATGGTGTTCGTGGATTGCAATACTGAACGTTTCTTTGACAGTGGTGCGTGGGGTTGGGAGGTTTTCAGCCCAGTCCTTGGTGACCAAGATTTTTTCGAAACCACTGGTCTTGCGACATCCCATGTCCTATCTGAGGAGGAGTGGAAGGCTGTCCAAGATGAGCAGGCTGATCCCCGACATCAAGCCACCGAGGCTGCTGAGTTGCAGGCAGTGCCGAATGACAGACGGGCATTGGTCCACAAGAATCAACTCGAAAAGCTACTTCTCAAGGATTATCCGGTCAGTGTCATCACTGCGGATACACCTAAAGATTTCCAGAAAATGTATGACTTTGGAGTGGCCGCAGGCAATGGAACAGAACAAGAACGAGCTCTGTTTCGAAAATGCCTCGATAGATGGTGCGAGATGAATGAGGACTGGCAAAGAGATCTTTTGAGGCTTTCTCGTCTCAGTAGATCTGTTCGTCTGGATTGCTGTCACAATGTGCAGCTTGTACAGCCACAGAGCATAATTCAAGAGATACAGTGGACAATGGATAGCTGTAGATAACTCTCAATCTGCTAATGAAACCTTCAGATTTTGAGATTCCGGCTTGCAAAATCTTCGGGGGCAAGCCCTGGAGTCGAGTTCTCGGAGATGAACAGCTCAACGACCCATACATAATAATAAACCTTGAAATGGATCCATTATATTGCGCTTTAACTCATCACGGATTAGCGTGGCTGTGGAAAGGGACGAGAAACAAAGTGTGAGTGTCTGGGAAGTACCCAACAAGTAGGTCCGAGTCTGAGATGAATCCCTCGTTCATCTTCTTCTTTACTTGACCGTCATCCACTTGATTTGCACTTATAAAGCATCAATTGTGATCAGTACTGCTTGCCTCTTAATTTTGGGTTTCTAACTGCATATAATGTAGCAAACAAACTATTGTATCTACGCGAGAGACGGCACAACCAGTCGACGAGTAATATGCACATTTATACTAGTCTCCCTCACTCGGAAGCTAACTTGAGTTGAAATAAGGCAACCAATAAGGCCAAAATCCTGGGATCACGTCAGGACCAGTAACTGAACCCCTCAAACGCCCGCAGATCAAAAAGGGAGCGGGGAAGTTTGGTCACACCAGAAATTCGGACTCATGCATATAGATTCGTCATCTGCAGTAGCGGCATGCACAACCAGTAGTGTCGGACCAATGAATCGAGTGGTACATATTTTTGTTCTGTGTGAAACAAGGACCCCAAATTCTAGTACCTCGGATGGAAGGAAAGAAGTCCGTCTCAATAAAATTGGCGAAGTGAATTTATGATAAGGAAAGATCAACAGTGACAGATATAATAGCATATCTATCACTTATCAACGTTGATCATTCAATTGCTTTATCTCTTCGATAATATCATATGTAAGCACCTACATACTAGGTCGTGCACGAGTCATTTTCGAGTTCAATCCCATCTTCTGTTGTACCTTGGGCATCAGCTGGTCGAGGCTTCGTTGGATCATATCCAAACAAACTAATTTCATTGCTCACTAGGAGTTTCGATATAGACTGATACTGATAAATCGATTGAAGCACAAGTTGATTAAATTCCAATTCGCTATCAATAGATCGTAATACAGCAAATATCCTGAAGATCGTAATTGAACTTATTCAAATTGACGTGGTCAGGCACAATGGATCATCACTGGCAAAATTCAACCCGAATTGTCAGCTTTTTAGGCGCTATTGTTTCCAAGGTTTAGTGGGGACTACCTCAACCTTGGAAGTGCTACCTAAATGATATAGTAAATTTCGAAACTTGAAACAGATTATCCCAAAACATTCAAGATGTTACCTCCTGCCGCTTTTGTTCACTGAGTAGATCTGAGCACGGAGTGATCGGATCACCAGTTGACTGATTCTGCGCAGTACACATGTGCATAGTAGTATGATTCGCTCACCGACAGCACTCCAGCGAGCCAATCCATTACACGTATGGGCTACCCCAATATACTGCATTCCACTTCACTACCTCAGGCCAAGGCCCAATACCATCAAGAAATAAATTTCATCCATTACCCTATCTAAAAGGCAATGACCATTCCCATTCGACTCCGAGTCCGAGGCGGCGGTGGCATGAAGAGAGAAGGAATTTGAAGGATGGACACCAAGGTGCATGTGTGTGCTCTGACCACAACTTGAAGAGGACAGACCTCGAGGCCTCGGACTATTACGTTCTCTCTCTCTCTCCCCCCCTAGGCTTTTCCTCTCTAGCATGGTCACTTTGGAAAAAGGAAAAAAGAAACATTGCTTTCTCACTAACAAGTGCTTCAATGAATGTGTACATACAAACTTGGGAATATTGGTCTCAAAATCTATGATTCTCCCCTGATTGCTTCAATATTCAGATGACTCTGAAGAAACAATCCAAAAGCAAATCACATATCTATTAGATCGAACGGCCATATCGAACGACCATTAAGTCCATTTTCCCCCTTGGCACAAAATTCACCCATAGTGATTTCAGCTGGACTGGTAAATAATCCTTGCGCTCCTCGAGAAACCTTTTTTCATCATAACCCTCGAAGGGCAAGATGTTAAATTCCCTCACAAGTCTCGCAAGAATAAGTCTCATCTCGTTCAACGCAACTTGTCTCCCAGGACACGAATGATGACCAGTCCCAAACGGAATGTAAGCTCGACGATCGAGAATCAGCTCTGGTGACTCCTCCGTCCACCGCTCGGGTATAAAGCATTCACCCTGGGGAAAATAACGGGGATCAGACATGAGGATGTCCACAGAAATCTTGACTTCGACATGGCCGGGAATATATGAACTCCCCAATTCAAGACCCTCCGCTGGTGTGACTGCATAAGCTCCACCCGGAACCGGGTTTCCTAGCCGAAGACCTTCATTGACGACACCATTCAAGTATGGTAGACTGCGAGTAGAGTCAATGGTTAACTCGAGTCCTTCCGCACACACCATGTCTATTTCCACCCTCAGCTTCTCTTGGACGTGGGGGGTCCTTGACCAAGAACCAGATTGTTTGAGCTGTTGCTACTGATACTGTATCAATGCCACCAGCCATGAGCAGAATCAAGTTTGATGTGAGATCGTCCGGAGTAAACTTCACCCCCATGTCAGGGCTTGGGTTAAGAAGATGCTCGAACATGTCCTTTTGGGTTGCTGCTTTGGCGCTTCTCTCAGATACTAACTCTGTTGCTCTGGCTCGGAGGCGTTTCACATCCGGAATATTTGGTAGACAGGCAAATATTTCACCAAGATTGCGAAGGTTGCTAAGGATCTGGAATAATGTTAATACAAAACTTATTACCCGACAATTCATTGATTCGTCTCACAGCTACTGCCCGTAAATATTTATGAATGAATTGGACGAAAAATGGATGTGTTCGCCCATCCTGTACGCCCGAATCTTTTCCGAGACCAATGTCCATCATGCTACTCAAGGTCAATACCGGAAGGACACCTTCAAGTTATGATGAACATAAGAGCTTACATATCATATAAGACACCAATCATTAGTCCTGAGAATTCGACACCCCCCGACTCGGAGGATTTGTTCTTTATCAAATTTACAAGTTTTGCGACATGATATTCAATGGACCGGTGATAATTTGGAAATTCCCTTTTTGAAAATGCTTTCTCCCTGTTTTTGTCAGCTCAAATGTTATTAATAGAAAATTATATGTATATCATTTACTACTAACCATGCTTTGCGCCACGGACCGTGTTTAGCATAATCCCTGGTTGTGTTTATGTTCAGTTCACCATTGGTAGCCCGGAGTTCGTAGAAGGAACCCCGAGGATACTTCCCTCGAAAGATTTTGGAAATTGCGTCCGCATTATTGATGGAAACCTCGTTGGGTCCGGTGCGAATAATCTCAGCATTGTATTTCTTGTGAAGAGCCCTGAGAGTCTCAGTAGTTCGCCCGTGCCGAGCTTCATTGGCTCCCCACAGCTTCGACAGAGCTGCTAACTTGGGGCCTGGAAAAGAAGAAAGAGGGGAGAAGAACAATCGATGGACAGCTGTCGACACTATTGCCGTGGACAAAAATATGGCGTTAAGCCGCGGAATATTCGGTCCACTTTCCACTGATAATGTACTTTCACTCCCAGCTTTGAGTATATACAGCAATAACCCGACATTCACAATTATGTAAGAAGATAGTACCTTTGTTGTAGATACTTCTGGAATTGGGGAAAGTAGTTTCTGTAGGATAACAGCTGTTACCGCTGCAATGGCCTCAGTAGCCATAATCTTGGAATGAGCAATGGATATCAAGATCGGAAAGGCAATTTGATCAATGCTCATCCTTCAAATATCTGGAAAAACCTGGAGAGTCTCGCTTATTTATTAGTTATCTCGTCAAATGAAAATCGAATATGCATCAACAAGACGGATATGATTTCCACTGGCATGGAGGGGTAAGTCAAGTCACCTTTGAGCGTGATTCTTCCAATAGCACAACGGATAACAATTCTAACCTAATTTTTTCTTTCGTGAAGCTCATTTAAGGCCACTTCTTACGTTTGTTACACCACCTTCCCCTTACAGGTCAAGAATCGGGGTTACACCGAGTTCTAAAAACATCATGATCGACATGCGTGGAAAATGCCAAATACTACAACATGCATGAAATTTGGTAACATCGAGCCACATGTTGACATTTATACTTTGCCCAGGTGGGCAATATCAATTATATCAAGTTGGTAGGTCATGGTAAAAACTTGAACTGTGTTGAGTGCTTATCAAGGATGACTCTTCAAGCCACGATACGGTTCATCAAGTTCAAACATCCCTGATAGTAGGTACTATGAGCTTCAAGACCCAAAGAACCTTGAATTCGATCGACAGGTAAGCCTGAAGGATCAAGTTGAAGTGGTCTATCCATTGTTTCGACCTTCTAAGGTTGAAATATCCCAAAATTAAGTCCGGGCTTATTGGAGTTCGGTGCATGCAGTGACTTTCCTTGGGCACTATTCCCCCAATTCTACCTCGAAGGCAATGGTTGAAGCCCAAAACAACCCTTACCGAACGCATTCACCTAATTTCCCTAATTTAGAGAAAACTTAGAAACATTATCAGGCATAGCGGGGGAGTATAGTAGCGGGGTCGTCCTCCATCTAGAGATCTACATTATCACATCCATGCATCCGAGTCGGCATCATGCACCGTGATCAATCTTTCGATTGGATAATGTAAATATCTAACGGCCGCATAATACCTCCAGAGGAGCAAGCAGTACCTAGTCAGAATATCTGCGAGGGCTCCTTCTTTGAAACATTGAAGTTGCTGTCTGAGCTTGAACTTTCGCTGTAACCCTGCACAATCAAGGCTGCCCTTGAATCAGCTGTATAGGTATAAATACCATTTGGTGGATCTTTAGAAGTCATACTTTTTGCTATACCTCCGAGCCCGTTCAAACTGTCATTCAAAATGAGAGTCGATTTTCATTATCTCCTTTCAAGTGAAGAGTTTGAATGTCTAGATTTCCACGATCTCACTGCCTTGGGTCCCGAAGAAAGGCAAACCGTCGCGCGGGCCTTACGCAAGCCTCTGGCTCTGCTGTTAGACAACGTGGATTATCAACACCATCAGGCGCCCGCAGACACAAAGCTTCGTCAAGACTTGCTTGACTGGTTAAAAGAGAATGGTATTATGGCTATGTTTCCCGGAAAGGAACAGAGACTTCAGTTCATCATTGATTGCTCTGCTGAGTCTTCTGAGTACTACTATCCGCTCCCGCTCTGGAAACACGACACCAGACTCGTTATGGCCATCGTCACCGCACTTTATGTGCTCTCAGATGACGATGCAGTTCTCAACCCGGATGAGCGCAAAAGTTTAGCGTCTTTTTCCTTCAACCACTTTCAGCACCTCACTGAAAACAGCCAGCTGTGTATTGCTATAGGGAAAGCATTAGCGATGGTTGTGGACCATTTCGGATCTCAGGATCCACTCGTTGGAAGCCGTTGTGGGCAAAGCTTTACAGGGTTTTTCGACTCCTGTGCTGAGGAGGAACGTTTAGAGCATGAGTTGCCTATCCATCTCTCCCACGGTCACCACAAGCGACCTCACTCGAGCTCTCAGAGATGTTCAGCGGAAGAATTCCCTACCCATCTTCGAGTCTCCACCGGTAGTGCTCTATTGTATGTGGCTCCAATATTTAAAAAGGGTCGCACAGATGAAGTCCCTTACATGTTCTGGATCTCAACCATTCCTGATATGTGCTACTTCATCAACAATGTAAACGATCTGCTGTCTTTCCCAAAAGAAGTTATTGCTGGGGAGACATGGAACTACATGTCCATGACCACGCGGACAAAGCGACAAGCAGGCAGACAGTCTATGTTCAAATCCAAGCATGGCACGTTATGGACATATCGTGATACATTGTGTGAAACACTCTCGGGACTGCGACAGCGGAGCATTGCGCTAGATGAAGCTTTCACCAGCTGTGTCCTCTTTGAAGGTCAGAAGGGCCAACATGATTTGAAAGGAGAGAGTCAAAAGGCAGCACAGCTCTGGAATGCCTTCAAACACGGCTTTATTTGCTGGCATCTCAACTGCTACAGATACGGATTGCAAAATCTCCCTTTTGAAAAGTTCACGTCAAGCCAAAAGCCCACTGGTGAGAGGGAGTTGGAACCAAGCCTTGGATTTCTATCTGCCCTATCCTCAAGGTTCTCAAGATTGATCTTACTCCTCTTTTTGACAATTGTGCTATTTTCAATTGGCCTCCTTAACTTCTACTGGTCTCCCTTTCATCTCGCTGATTGTGGAGTATTAGCTGTTGATGGAATTTGATACGTTCCATATTTGCTCAATTTTGGGGTTCTGCTATTTGTTTAATGAGTGAGAGAATTATCGTAAAACAGTCAAGGGAACAATTTGATTCACGGAGACATTCAAGCCGCAGAGGGCTCTCTCTTATCCATGAATGTAGAAATTTCTACGATATTATACTAATCGAAGAACCAATGAGCATCTCAAAAGTTACATCTTATATCTACACTTATTCTAATTCGGCATCACCGAGTAACAACCAAGTCACTCCGTAAAACCCACTTCTCCCCACCCGTAACTTCTTTCCCCTCATGCAACATACAATGATCCCCATGTCTATGCAAAAGTGCCATGCCAACCTCCGGCGCCACAGATATCGGTTCAGGATTTCTATCGGCGCGTGTAGGCTCAGGATAGAAAACCGTTTCACCACCAGAACAAGTCGTTAAATAAATAAGTAGAGTCCAAGTCGTACGCGCGGGGAAGGCTTTCGTGGTGAATTGCGGGAGGAAGGTCAAGGAATTAGATTCATCGTCTATACAAAACAACTCGAGTTAATTTTGGCCTTTTTTCGATTCCATAGGTTGGCAGTACGTACAATGTTGAGCGAAGAATTGGCCCGCAGAGTATCGATATATTCGAATATTAGGATTTAAACCCAGCGGTTCGCCGCCCCAGAGCTCTTTTGCACTTTGTGCTAGCTGCTCTTTTGATAAGGGCTCATATTCTCCCTCTTCGTTATATTCTGCGTCCTCGTCCAGAAATCGCGTCGTGACCAGCTCTTTAAGTGCTGTGCCGCTCCATAGCGTCTCCGCAAATCGCGCATCTTGGACCTGGAACCGATCGTTCACGCGTACCGCTTCATCTTTTTTCGGTTTTCCCGGTGTGGTAGTTAGTGGCAGGGATACGAGGAATGAGGCGTATGTTTTGCATAGGTTGCTCGTTAGGAAGTTACGAATAAGGTAGATTTGGTCTGGGACGAGAGGTTCGAGGGTGAGGTCTGTTGCGGGGAGGAGGGGCCGGAGGGGTGGCCAGTCTGGGGCTGGAGCGGAATTTGATGAAGGGGTTGCGCTGCGTGTCTGGGATTTCGGGTCGATGCCTGAGGTCTTTTTAGATTTGGGCATTTTTGCTCTTGTCTTCTGAGGGTGCATTTATTTGGAATTCTGGTGTAAGCGGGGCCGAGAGGGAAAATTTCATTTGGAGCATCTGTCGGTCTGGATGATATCCGCGAGGGTTCGATGAACACCCGACACTGTGAATATCATTTTTATCCAAATAAAATAGAAAAATGTATGACAATGACAATTATTGTTTAGGAAGGCATATCATGAATACCGAGTTGTTTTTAAAATGTACGCTTGATGTGAACTTTTATCATTTAAACGAAAGTCGAGTATAAGGTATCATCGCACTAGGTAACAGGAAAAGAGAGAATGCAACATGTCGGCCAGACAAAAAGAAAAACAATCTCAAAGCATTCCAGGGAACAAGAGAGTATCGATATACTGTTCCCGTACCAACACATCTATATGCAGAAAAAACCAAAGTCATTGCAACGTTTTTTCATCTTCTCAGATGAATAGCCTGGTAAAGGCAATAAGGATTTTGAAGTATGTATGCTGAACGCCGCGTAAAAATGCAAAATGCAGAGGTCAACCCAGAGACACCATTACTTCATGCGTTCATCCATCTTCAGTCTCCATCGAGGGCCATATCTTTTCATTAAAAAGATGACGGAGGCACTGGCAAAGCCGAGAACTCCGAGGATTGTAAAGAGCCAGCCGTTCCCGATAGCATTGATGATCGGAGCAGTGATGAATGATCCCACACAGGAGAAGATGTTTCGCACGAAGTTGTTCAGGGCGACGCCAGAGGAGGATTTCTTGGGCATGAACTCGGTAAGCATAGTAGTGACCATGGAGAAAATCAGCATGGATCCGATTCCAAAAAAGAAGTTGGCAATCATCTGAAAGCCAGTTAGTATTATCCAGTATTCTCATATTGAGTGTTGCATAGGACTTACCGGAGCTAGCCAGAACACGCCCTTGTCTACGGTCCAGCCGTACCAAATAAGAGCTGCAGGATACAGGAAAGCACCAAGATATGCGTTCTCGCGCATGCGATCCTCTGGGCGAAACACAAGCCTTCCCTTTTCGTCGTATCGATTTGCCTTCTTTGCTTCCCGATGCATGATGGAATCCATCCACCGCCCTCCAAAAACACTGGCAGCAAAATAGCCTAATGAGTTGGGAATATAAAGTAGACCGACAATGATTGTGCTGAAGTTGTATGGTGCTTTGCCAAATGTGTCTTCAATGCTGATGTTCAACACATAAAGTGAGCCAAAGGCGATGCTGCCGTAATACACACTCAACAGAACTGGGATGTATTGCAAATAGAAAACAATCTTCAGAGGATCAATAAAGCTCATCTTTAAGAATTTTAGCCACCTTGTCGTAGAATTGACCATTTGCTGGGTTGACACGCGGCTCAGTGGTCGATCAAGGGGCTCATTCTGATCTTCATCCATAGGCGGTAGAATGGGCTTTTGCACCATGAGTGTCTCTGGCAGGGCAAAGATAATGAAGATAAAAATAAGAGCACCAAATACTGCCGAGAACCACAGGGTGCTTCGCCAGCCCCAGCGCTGCGCCAATAGACCACCAATGATGGGTGCCAGCAGAGGTCCACAAAGAGGGCCTAAGTAGAAGATGCTCATGGCGCGGCCTCGTTCGTGAACATCCCACAGGTCTGCAATTGTTCCAGCACCCACAGCTTGGACCGAAGCAGAGGCACCACCCGCAAACATTCGCATAACAATGAGCATGGCGATTGTGTTTGATTTAGCGCAAAGGGAGTTGAAAACAATGTAGATGGCGAATGAAGAGATATAGATCGTTCGTCGCCCGAGTCGTTCACTGAATGATGACCACCAGAGGGGGAAGATAGACATAGACAGCATGTACAAGGAAATTGAGAGGTTGGCCAGGGTGGAACTCGTATGCAAATCTTTCGCTACCTGAGAAAGCGAAGCTGAAGTGGTGACCTGGTTAGTTTCAAGGCACAATAAAGTCAGAGTTATGAGAACTCACGTAAAAAGATGGCGCTTCCCATTGGCGCAACAACTCCAGCTAGGGCGACGATAAAAGTAATGAACCATTTCATGTGTCGGGAGTATGTTCTCGGGTTTTCAACCTCCGCAATAAGAGTAATCTGACCAAGCAGTCCCCTTCGTTTCAATCGTGGCACCACGACTGGCGGACCAAGCTCTATACTTTGGCGTGATACAGATCTTGCGGCTTCGGGGTCATTGTTCTTTTCATTCTCTTCGTTGGTGATACTTGAGCTGCGTGATCGCACATGAGAATGAGAGTCTGAATCGTGAATCTCGGATTCTACATCATGACTGGTGGTGCATTTTGCTTCGTTGCCAACGGCACTGATAGCTGGCAGTTCTGGATTAGTTGAAGCCATTTCGACGTTGTTGCCCACTATTGAGAGAGATGGCCGAGTTGCGAACCCGTTCGGTTTGTAGAGTTTCTTTCTAAGATCCTATGCAAGTGAACACAGAACTCAGATCGACAACGAGGCAGGCAACCTTATCTGTGAACATGGAACGACTGCAACAACCTTGGAATTCTCCGAAGATCGATAATAATATGACGATTCGAAGCACCGTAGTCTCCGGTTGTAATCAGTAAGTTTGAGGTGATTTATCTGATCAAAACGAATAAATTTGACCTAATGCGGCTGGATTGATACCGAATGTAGTAGTGATAGCAAGCATTCCAAACAATGCCAAGAGAAGAGATCTGATGAGATCGTCAAGTGTTCGGAGAACTGAAAAAACCCAGAAATCGGATGATATACCAGAAACTAAAACAGGAAGGTGTAGATCCTCTCTGCCTGGCAACTATATGAACAGAAAAGCAGGAACGATCCAGGGTAGTAGTTGGGGGTGGGCTCAATGATCGACCACAGCCTATTGATACTTGATTCGGCGTCGGAAAAGAAAAAATTCGTCTTTTGATTATCAATTCCCCCGAAGTAACTGATGGGGAAAAGAGAGTAAAATAATGATTGTGGGTAGTATACCAACTTGCGATACTCGAAGGAATCAAGTTCCACTAACACATTCGGAAACACCGACAGTCACCGAGACGGACCGAGACTCACTGGCAGAACATCCTTATAAGGCATTTAACAGTGGATAAAAATCCGTGTTATCTGATTAGCGAGCAATTTGAAGAGGGGACTTTGGGCAGACCCTATCCCCAGTTCGCCCCGTGGGCCTGTCATGACAAGAGCCAGTCATGATGAAGTACGATTTGCCGGTCTTCCGTCGGCAAATTGAAAAGGATTATTATCCTGAGGGGTACGACCCAAGATTGACTCCAAATACGACCGTTGATGAAATTTGAAGGTCATGATAGACTCATTTTGGCTCTCATAGTCCTGGGGTCGCGTGATTGTGGAAACTTGAATCCACTCTCTCATTGATTGGCAGTTTGTTAGAAACGTCAGACGCCTTGGCTGCGGGCCGACATATGGCGAGACCGGGATGGGCTACTGGGTCACCCAGGTCAGTATCAACAATCAATGACATTAACATCAATTGATATAACCATAGGTATCGTCTGGTAGATATGTGAGAGAATGCCATTCAAATTAACTTCAGAAAGCCCCAACACTCACATTGCAGGTTCAAGTTGGCACGGTCGCTCATCTGCAAGGAGGTGATTAATAAGCCCACTGGAAATCCACCTGTATGGAATGGCTCAAAAATGACGGTGAACTTGACAACTATTCACCTATTCAATTTCATCAGTCGTTGAGAAACGAGGAAAGAATCTCGGTGATACCAATCTCCACAGTAAACACACCAGTTGACCTGACTCGTGTTCAAGTTTGGATATAAGAGACCCTCATTCTTCCCGCTATAACCCCGCACCATTTTAAAACATCAACGATGACCGTCCCTACCACCATTCAACCCGAGGATATCCAGGCTCACCTTGCTCAATTCAAGGATAGCAAGTATGTCGATGGCTGGGCTTCTCTCTGGGAGAAAGGTGGCAAGCTCCCTTGGGATGAGGGATTCCCCAACCCTGCGTTGGAAGACACCTTGAATCAACAGCGTGGTACCATCGGTGGAGCCATTGGTGAAGATGCACAAGGTCAATCATACAGACGTAAAGTCCTGGTCCCTGGCTGCGGTAGAGGTGTGGACGTGCTTCTTCTGGCCAGTTTTGGATTTGATGCATATGGCCTGGAATACAGCCCTGGTGCCATTGAGGCGTGCAAAAAGGAGGAGACCGAGAATCATAGTTGGTACCGTGTTCGAGACCAATCTGTTGGTAAGGGGAAAGTCACATTTGTTCAAGGAGACTTCTTCGATGATGCGTGGCTGCAGACCATTGGTGTGCCACTCAATGGATTTGACCTGATCTACGACTATACTGTAAGTTGGGATTTAATGTTTTTGCTTTTGTCTAGTATTTATGCAATCATCCGTTTGGCTTATATGTATTGGTCACGCGACGAGGTGTATCATGTTTGCTTTTTCTTTTTATTCTTATTTATTCCTTGCAATATTCGCATTCTGACTGGTCGTTAGTTCTTTTGTGCATTGGAACCGGCGCTTCGCCCCAAGTGGGCACTTCGTCATACTCAGCTCTTGGCTCCATCCCCCAGGGGTAACTTGATTTGTCTCGAGTATCCTCGCCACAAGGATCCCAAGGCTAATGGACCTCCATTTGCCGCGCCTTCGGAGGCATATGTGGAACATTTAAGCCACCCCGGCGAGGACCTCCCATACAAAAATGGTCTCGTCAAGCAGGATCCCCTTCGGGAGCCAAGCAAGTCGGGTCTTGAAAGAGTGGCCTACTGGCAGCCAGGGAGAACCCATGTGAAGGGCCAGGGTGAGAACGGGGTTATCCACGATAGAGTTTCCATTTGGCGTCGACGAAACTAGATGTGCTGGGTGGCAACTCTACAGCGGGCGCGGAAGGCATATAACCGACATCTGGAAAGAGAAAAAAACGAATAGATAAGTCTGGAAGTGCACACGGTCCACCTCCAAATCATTTATAAATTATTCGAATGATTTGTATATCTATGCTTTCAAGACACTTAGATCCAGTGCGTAGCGGGTGCCTTGTCTAGGACTGCTTGGTGAGAGCATTGTAGTGCTCACCAAGTCCGTAGGAGTGTCGGTAGTAGGCCAACCAAATAACGCGCCGGCGTTTTTCTTCCTCATCGAAGCTATCCATGTCGCCAGCCTCGATCTTTTCCATCCGTCCATCGGTTTGAACAACATTAATATCCACTCCGTAGGCACGAGCGATCGCCTGCAATTCCAATTGGCCACCCCACTCCGCAGTCAGTCTAATCTTCCGCGTATATTCATCCAATGATTCCTCCATGAACGCCTCAAAGTCATCCTTATTTTCCAGAATAAAGTCTGCTGTAACTGCTCGGACAGCCCGGTAGCCGTCATGCTGTGGTGACGCGACGGTGTCGATGCGCGATTGTGTTGTCGGCTGGAGGATAATTCGGCTTGGGTCCGGCCGCAAACCGAGTCCGGATTCGTCCAATTGTTTGGCAACAGACGAATAGAGACAGTGTCCGTCGGGATTGACCTCAGTTTCTTTCAGCCCAAGCTTCTTGAATACAGCTTCCATCACCTCTTTCTCATTGCCTCTGTAGTCTGTTTGGTTGGCGGCTTCTTCGGCGGCTGCTTCTGCGGCAGCAACTTGCTCTGCTGCTCGTCGCGCTAGTCGAGCCTTTTGGCGATTGGGCTTCTTGCCTCGTTGGCTTTGCTCTTCCGAGTTTGGTGTTTGTTCTGTGGCTTGAGGGGAATTGTTCTCGGTGGGTTCGGAGTCGGCTGGTGTTTCGTCCTCTATACTGAGGTCTTCCAAAGCTTCAACTGGCTCAGTTGAGCCTCCGATTAATTCTGCGATCTCCGCTTGGTGTTTTTCTGAGAGCTCTCGTTGCATGCGCTCACAATCATCATTGACGCCCTTGCGAGTCTTTTTTGTGGCGGACTTTTTCTTCTGAGTGATGCGGCCTTGGAGCTCTTTTTGCTCCTTGCGATGTTTTGCCAATAGCTCCTCCATGGTGAATCTGAGTTATAAGACTCGATCGAAACAACAATGCAAGTAACGCTGGCGTGATTATAGTCCCAAAACAACCTGAGAATGTAGGACGCAAAGTCGCCCCGCGAAACCCTAAATTAGCTGCCCTAACTACATGCCAGATTCAGTCTAGCGTGAATAACGAGGAGATTAGTCATGATCAAATGGGCCTCGGCTCATCCCCTCGGTCTCGGGTATGTAGTGCAACGGGGGGAGCTTGCAGGGGAGGTTTATAAGATTTATGAACCATATGAGATAGTACAAGCTTGTCTCGGAACTATTCAAATTTGCAGTTATGGATGCACAGAGTCTTTTCAACGTTGAGGTACAGTCAAACCGAACTCCTTATTCCAAGTTTCCTGCTAACATGTCCAAGGGCAAAGTGGCGCTGGTCACTGGCGGAGCCAAAGGTATTGGTCGCATGATCTCTGAAGGATTCGTGACCAATGGTGCTACGGTCTACATCTCTTCACGAGATGTAAAGGCTTGCGAGCAGGCTGTTACCGAGCTAAACGCGCTCGGCAAGGGCAAGGCTCATGCTATCCCTGCTGACTTCTACAAGTATGACGATGTCAAGAAGTTAGCAGAGGAGCTCGGCAAGCGCGAGAGCAGTCAGTCCATTGACTTTCATCTGATGTGTGACAATCGCTAATTGCTTATTCAACTGATTCTAGAGCTCCACGTGCTTGTCAACAACTCCGGCTCCAACTGGGGCGCTCCCTACGATGAATATCCATCAGCCGCCTTTACCCGTGTCCTGACTCTCAACTTGCACCGAGTCTTCGACCTCACCCAGCTCGTGACTCCATTGCTGGAGAAGGCATCCGCCCCGAATGATCCCGCCCGTATTATCAACATTGGAAGCATTGATGGTCTCCGTGTTCCCTCATTGGAGACCTTTGCTTATAGTTCCAGCAAGGCCGGCCTGCACCACCTGAGCCGGGTACTGGCAAACCACCTGGGCCAGCGCAATATCACGTAAGGGGCAATGATACACCTCGTTTCTGACGAGTCACTTTCTGCCAAGCTTAAAGTGATCACGTCTTTTGCAGACCAATGCTAATAGTTGTTTCTCTCTGCAGCTCGAATACCTTGGCTTGTGGCCCCTTCGAAAGTAAGATGATGGCTGAGACTCTTAAGTCTATGGGCGACGTAATTAAGGCCGGGGTGCCACTCGGCCGAATTGGAACACCACAAGATGTGGCTGGTGCTTGCTTGTTCTTGAGCAGTCGTGCGGGCGCGTATGTCAATGGTGCAACCATCACGGTGGATGGAGGTAGTGCAATATCGGCCAAGCTGTAACATGGTCGCTAAACGCGCCAGGTGATCAAATGCAGTTTTGAGTCATGTATGTAGATAATCCAATAGCGTATTGTATAGTTCTATTCTTATCTGTTTTTTCTTTTTTTCTCTCCTTTTATTTCCATTCATTGGAGTACATTCCGGGGCCCCGATTGCGGAGTCCGGGGCAAATAGTGTTGGATCTGACATTCCGGTGAAAGGCTGGATACAATCTTATTGCTTTTTTTGTCTTTATTTGCCCCCTTTCCTGACTCGCTTATAATCTATAGATCCCATGACCAAAAAAAGAAATTCCCCTGAACTTAGTACTGCTTATCAACCATAAGCTCTTTTTTTTCATCTCTGACAACTGGTTTTATTACGGGTCCCGGGTTTACTGTTATCATCGCTTATCGGGGGCAACTCACGGTGGAGGTTGTGGAGCGGCGACATCATCGCTTTGCATGCCGTCATTATTGAAGATCATCCGACCATCCCACTTCACACAGCATATCTCAGATTCTAAACGACTCGTTGATTTTCATACAATCTTCCCGTCCGTTGCGTCCAATTGAAACTGTGACTGTCTCATTCTGTGACTCAATTTGCCCCTATCTCGCCTCTTAACCACCACCCAAACCCCTCCCACGAATACTTCCAATCCTCTTAGCTACTTAACACTACACACTACGAACTGGTGTGATTGAGTGCTGCCCAACGTCGATCTAGACTACCCCAGTCTGCCTTAAAGGGATTTCTGGAAGCTTTGACCCGGAAAAAGAACAACCCAAAACACAAAAGAGTCGGTGTGGAAACATACACCCACCATACCTTGCGTTACGCCCACTTTCGTACCCTGGAGATTATTGTATCCCTCTATTCTCCTCTGCATCGCTAGAGAATGAGCTCGTCAAACGCCCCTCAACGGCAGGGCTCTATTGATCCTTTTTCTCATCCGGATGATTATTATGGCAACGAAGAATCCCTGGCAAGGATTCGTCGCGGACGTACCTTTTCGGCGGTAAGCAGCCACCATCACCACACCATAGGTACCTAAACGCCCGGGACCTCCGGCTAATATACTTTTATCACGAACTTTTCAGAGCGTGAATGCCTACAGTCGCGAAGATATCAATGAGTTCCTAGGCACTTTGCCCTCCAGGCGAGGAAGTCAAGGTATGTTCTAAACGATTGATTCGAGAGTCCTGCGATTGACCCCGCCTTTACAGATGAGGCATCCCGCCGCCCCCGCAAATTCTTTATCGACGTGGAGGAGACCCTGGAAGCTCTATTGAAGCAGGAAGATACCGATCAGAATATGCAAATTACCATCGAGGATGTTGGCCCCAAGGTATGCCAATCGACCCACATATAGATCTACCGATTGCTAACTCCACTAGGTGCTCTCGGTCGGAACGGCGAACTCATCTGGAATTAATCGGGTAGATGTGCGCGGCACATACATGCTTTCCAACCTGCTTCAGGAGCTCACTATCGCGAAAGATTATGGTCGCAAGCATATCGAGCTCGATGAGGCCCGTCTCAGCGAGAACCCAGTTGCCCGACTTTCGCGACTGATCAAGAATATGTTCTGGAAGGCACTAACAAGACGTATTGATGGGTCGAACATTGAAATAGCTGGAAGAGATCCTAAGGACTGGACATCGGATCCTAGACCTCGTGTCTACATCCCGCCAGGTGCTCCGGAGCAATTTGAATACTATTCCAAGATTGCCGAGCAGCGTCCGGAATTGCGCCTGGAGGTACTTATGTTACAGTCTGATATTACCCCAGAATACATCAACCAGCTGAACGCGAAGCCTGGACTGCTGGCACTAGCTATGGAGAAGAACATTAACGAAGTTACTAAGGAAGAGGAACTGCAGGGTGTTCCATTCGTTGTGCCAGGAGGCCGATTTAATGAGCTTTATGGATGGGACAGCTACATGGAGTCTCTCGGTCTCCTTGTGAGTGATCGAGTTGATCTTGCCAAGGGCATGGTTGTCAATTTCTGTTTCGAGATCAAGCATTATGGAAAGGTCCCCAATGCCAACCGTACCTACTACTTGACTCGTTCGCAGCCCCCATTCCTGACTGACATGGCCCTGCGTGTCTATGACCGAATCAAGCTAGAGCCTGATGCCAAGGACTTCCTTAGAGACTCGATTCTCGCTGCTATCAAGGAGTATTACAGTGTCTGGGCCGCAGAGCCACGTCTCGATCCGGTCAGTGGCCTTTCCAGATACCGCCCAGAAGGATGGGGCGTGCCTCCCGAGACAGAGCCTACCCACTTCACTCATATCCTCACACCGTACGCTAAGAAGCACGGAATGTCATTCGATGGATTCGTTAAGGCCTACAACTCCCGTGAGGTGATTGAGCCCGAGCTAGATGAATACTTCCTGCATGACCGAGGAGTGCGTGAGTCCGGTCACGATACCAGCTACCGCCTTGAAAGAGTATGCGCCAACCTGGCCACCGTTGATCTTAACTCCCTGCTTTACAAGTATGAGGTTGATATCGCGCGTGTCATCCGAACTCACTTCAAGGATAAGTTGGAAATCCCAGCCGAGTTCCGTACCGCCCAGAGCCAGAACATCGACTTTGAGACCTCTGCATCCTGGGACCGTCGCGCTCGTAAGCGTAAGCAGAAGATGGATCAGCTCTGCTGGAGCGAAGAGAAGGGAATGTTCTTCGATTACGATACTGTGAAGAAGGAGCGCAAGGATTATGAGACTGCAACTACTTTCTGGGCCATGTGGGCTGGTCTCGCGACTCCACAGCAGGCTGCCAAGATGGTAGTCCAGGCTCTACCTCGCTTCGAGCACTTTGGTGGTCTTGTCTCTGGCACAGAGGAATCTCGCGGCGCGGTAGGCTTGGAGCGACCGAACCGACAGTGGGATTACCCTTACGGCTGGGCACCACAGCAGATGCTAGCATGGACTGGATTCCTGCGCTACGGATACCAGGATGAAGCGGAGAGATTGGCATACAAATGGTTGTACATGATCACCAAGGCGTTTGTGGATTTCAATGGTGTGGTTGTGGAGAAGTATGATGTGACACGGCCTATTGATCCACACCGTGTTGATGCCGAGTACGGTAACCAAGGCACCGATTTCAAGGGTGCACCGCGTGAAGGGTAAGCTTGGAATCCAATTGTCAATCCGCTCAGTGAATCTTTGCTAATATTTTCATAGTTTTGGCTGGGTCAACGCCAGTTACGTTTACGGATTGGAGATTCTTAACGCACACATGCGCCGTTCTCTGGGTACCATCACGCCTTACGACACATACAAGAAGGCGATTGATGCGCAGAATGCATTTTAATAGGACGGTGCTTTGATGTTGGATATTTTGACGAACCCATGAAAAGAAGCACCCAAAAACCATACCGTATGCGTTGAAGTCAGCTTGGAAGGAACTGACCCTTGGACTTGGTCGTTTGTTCAAGCATGAGTTCGAAAAAAATAAAAAAGGAGCATAGCACATCTTGGCAAAACTGGCACTGATGACATGAAACTTGAAGGCGGGTAAGGGGATGTGTACAGGCGCCGGGTTGATACATGCATGGTCTTTACTATTCTGTTTACGGATGATTTATTGAATTCTGGGGAGTTCCCAGCTCCCATTAGTAGCATGGTCTTGGTGGAGGAGCAATTAGAAACACATGTAGTTTTGTTTCAAACTTGAATGTTCAAATGTTATTTAGGACCCTCACGCTAGTTCAATATTATCGCTTGCTATCATGAGTATCCACAACCCTGAGGCTATAGTGTAGAAGCCCGGGTCCAATCCCCGCAGTTCCAACATTTGAATCAATACATCATGATGGATCCATATGTCCATTGACGCTTCAAGTTAAGCTCAAGTGCTTGGAGTCCAGGCTCTTACCTGTGTGTATTATAGCCCCTCAGCCACAGCGAAAATAATTCGGGCCCGCTCGGTAACCCCTAAGCATTCCGGTCAACGTCCGAAACGAGCGTTAGGGATCCCGATCCGCGTCAAATATAAACGCCATTGAACTGCTGTGGCTCTATAATTGGGACGGCTTGATGCCATAGTTTTGACCATTTGTCACAGTAGTGGGGCGTTCCTTGTTTTCCCGAGGTTGTTCTCGTGAGGAGTGAATCTAGACTGTCAAGCGGAGAGGAGTTACTATTTTGATGGTGATATCTACTAGATACTGGACCTCGGGACTTGTATCTTCTTACTAGTAGTTATACCTAGGTAGATGTTATAGTAAGAGAGTTAAAAGGCTACCATTTTCAGATGAATCTACTAATTCAAATTGTTATGCAAGGTGTCTATCATATTGAGTGGCGCAGAATACGGTCATATCTTCTTACTGGTACTAGTAGTACTTGAACACTATCTGAACCGGCACTGGGGCCCTTTGTCGATTCCGGGCCGCATACAGTAGGTCCAAGTTAGTGTCCTCAGGCTGCTACCAGATGACTCGACAGGGGCGACTAGCTACAAGTTGACCCCAAGGTGCGTAGAGAATGAGCCGAGGTCCAACGAAGGCGGTTAGACTGAGTCATTTAAGGATACACAGTGGATGACTCTTATTGGATACGCATTTACGACGAATGGACTGTTTGCTCCGGTCTATATTCGTGGTGTTTCCAAGTTGTTTCGTAGATTCGGACTCGAGTAATGTAGATCTTCAATGGTGCGAACGTGCCAGCGCTGGAGTGGTCCATCCTTATTCCCAGCTGCGGTAGATCCTGGGGTATTCGTTCTTCCCTGGGGTTCGGATAAACGTTTGGAATAAATCTGGGGACTATGCATGGTGGGTAAGATGTGGTTGAAACCGGGTGCATGTACAGAGGCGGGTCTGATGTATTCCAAGGTTGTGTTTTTTTAAATGTGAAAAGACATTGGAAACCACTAATGCATGCAGAGTCGGGTTCTTCATGGGTTGTTCAGCCCAATATGGGCGGGTGGAGATACACCGAATACCGGGGCATGACAGAACTGTATGGATGACTCAGATGTACCTTGAGGTTATTCCGTGAGATAAGATCAGGATTATGAGACTAAATGGGAAGAATAATCGGAAAAAAGCAGGTATAATGATCACAAATATTGATTTTAAATAGGTATCTCATTTTGGCCCTCACTCACATGCCTTTTAAAGCTCCAAATCCCATGATGTCTAATTTCGAGATGCACGTGAAAAATACAGTGTATTGTCACGGATCTCATCCACATGTTCAACGACGTCATTTTATCTTCGTCGTTCCGATCTATTCGCGTCCTTCGAATCCTTGTACGGAACCATAGACATAGATTCGGAAGATCAAAAAATAATTGTCGATATTGAACAGCTTCATTGATGAGATACCGATGGATTTTTCATATCTGAAGACAGAGAAAATGTTCGTGATGCGCCATGTTGCAGTGGCAAGTGCCTCCAAGAGCGCCGAGCCCAATTGTCCATTAGACCGAGGATCACCAGTATCTGGATCCTCTCTCCCGAACCGCACCCGCACACTCCGCCTTTCGGCGTATCATGTATAGTCAAATGTTAGAGAGCCTAGGCATTCTGTGGTTGGACTCTTGGTCTCGGTCAACCGAGCGTTTACCGACTGGGCTGTGACGCATTCGCAAAGTAAATAAGTACCCTGGTTTCCCAGCTGGCTTGTGATCGTGCTTTTCATTTATTATCAAGTGCTTCCCTTGGCTTGTCTTTGCTACAAACCTTTTCTATTCTCTTTTCATGACAATTTGCATTTGTCTATACTTTTATCTTTAATATCCGAGGATTCGCTGGACTATACAGTCATCCCTGAGTACATACATACCAGTCTACTAGATCACCTCTTCGATTGTCTTATTATCCCTACAAAAGTCATCATGGGTCTGTTTGAAGATGAGGACCGCCAATATGCGGCTGATGTTCAGGCTGTTCAGAACTGGTGGATGGATGACCGCTGGCGCTTCACCAAGCGACCATTCACGGCGGAGCAGATTGTGGCAAAGCGCGGCACTTTGACAATTGACTACCCGTCAAATGTCCAGGCCAAGAAGTTATGGCGTACTTTGGAAGGAAACTGGAAGGTATGATAGAAAATCAGCAGACCGTGACATGAATTCCAGTGTGGATAAGCTAACAAGTACTTCTCACATCTACAGACCAAGCAGGCTAGCTACACCTATGGCTGTCTCGAACCCACAATGATCACCCAAATGTGTCAATTCCTCGATACGATCTATGTTTCCGGCTGGCAGAGCTCCTCAACGGCCTCATCTACCGATGAGCCTTCCCCTGATCTGGCGGATTACCCCATGGTATGTGGAAAATGAAAAAAAGGATCCCTAGAAAGCTATACTCAGATGTGCATGGACTTACATATTGCGATTAGGATACCGTCCCCAAAAAGGTCAACCAGTTGTTCATGGCACAGCTCTTCCACGACAGGAAACAACGCGAAGAGCGCATTACTACCCCCAAGGACCAACGGTCCAAGGTGGCAAATGTTGACTACCTGCGTCCCATCATTGCTGATGCCGACACCGGTCACGGTGGTTTGACTGCCGTCATGAAATTGACCAAGCTGTTTGTTGAGCGCGGTGCTGCCGGTATTCACATTGAAGACCAAGCTCCTGGTACTAAGAAGTGCGGCCACATGGCCGGTAAGGTACTTGTCCCTATTAGCGAACACATCAACCGCCTCGTGGCTATTCGTGCCCAGGCCGACATTATGGGCTCCGATCTTCTGGCCATTGCCCGTACCGACTCCGAGGCCGCCACCCTCATCACCTCCACCATCGACCACCGAGACCACTCTTTTGTCGTCGGTGCCACAAACCCCAACATCCAACCCTTGAACGACCTGATGTTTGCCGCTGAGCAATCCGGCAAGAACGGTGCCGCTCTCCAGGCTATCGAAGACCAATGGGTCGCGCAGGCCGGTCTCAAGCTCTTCGATGAAGCTGTCATCGACACTATCAACGCCAGCGCGGGCAGTAACAAGCAGGCACTCATTGATCAATACCTCAAGGCTGCTAAGGGCAAGAGCAACGGCGAAGCCCGTGCTATCGCCAAGGCCATCACCGGTGTGGACATCTACTTCAACTGGGATGCTCCTCGTACCCGTGAGGGTTTCTACCGCTACAAGGGTGGTACTCAGTGCGCCGTGAACCGCGCGATTGCTTACGCACCATTCGCGGATCTCATCTGGATGGAGAGCAAGTTGCCAGACTACAAGCAGGCAAAGGAGTTCGCAGACGGTGTACACGCCATCTGGCCCGAGCAGAAGCTCGCATACAACCTCTCCCCCTCGTTTAACTGGAAGAAAGCGATGCCTCGTGATGAGCAGGAGACTTATATTAAGCGTCTCGGCGAGTTGGGTTACTGCTGGCAGTTTATCACTCTCGCTGGTCTGCACACTACTGCGCTTATCTCACACCAGTTCGCCAAGGCATATGCCAAGAATGGTATGCGTGCTTATGGTGAACTGGTTCAGGAACCAGAGATGGAACAAGGTGTTGATGTAGTGACTCACCAGAAATGGAGTGGTGCGAACTATGTTGATAACTTGCTCAAGATGGTTTCGGGTGGTGTGAGTAGTACTGCAGCTATGGGTAAGGGAGTGACCGAGGACCAATTCAAGCACTAGATTAGTGTTAATGTGGGTCTTAAACGTTTACGATTTGGCGTTGATTTTTTTTTTCTCTTTTCTTTGAAGTCATTTTTCTCTTTCCTGTCTATATTTTTTGATTCCCATCGGCATGCCCCCACGAGGCCATCATTTGCATTAGTCAAATTAATGCATGAGTTACCTAGTACTTGATGCTTGAATGAAACATGTTGGATTTTTCAAACTTGGAAATTTTGGGGGTTTCTGAGCCCCTGAATGTTTCACATCTCTCTCTGCTAGTATTATTAGAGTTATGATTAGGACAAAAAAGTACTAGTATTAGTACTCCCACTGGTTACCGTAATCTCACTCTCATTTACTGAGCTAAAATCCTCACATCTTACATGAACAAATGGGGCCACGGCCTTTTTTAACATTGGAACTGGGGCCGTGGCGTGAAACCGCGGCTCACGGGTGCAGGTGGGGGCTTCCTTAAGGGTTGGGGGCTTTTTGGGGGCGACAGGTTTCTGCAGTGACGTTGACTATATAGTGATTACTTTTAAAATAATCAGAAGGAATTGATTAGATGAACCATCGGCATAACTTATCTCTCCGATCAATACAAAAATAATTAAACTTCAAATTGAAGCAAAACATTTCCAAAATTCTACTAACCAAAACAGCAAAAGAGGTCCGGGATCGACATTCGGTTCAAGGTAAAGCGCCGAAGCGCATGTGGATATCTGTGATGCGGAGAACTTCCAACTTCCAAGGTTATTAAATAGTACCCGAGCTCCCCCTCCAGCTATACTCTTTTAATTTCTTAATCTTTTCTTCTCCTTTCTCCTTCTCAATTCTCCCATATTTCTTCACATCTCGACACAATGGGTGTGACACTCACCGAGTTACAATACACTCCCATCGAGGAGATCCCTGCTCGAGTCTCCACCGCCCAGAAGACTTTCCTTGAACACAAGACACGCGATGTGGAGTTCCGTCTTCTCCAGTTGCGCAAGTTTTATTGGGCGTAAGTTTGCATGCAAAACTGACCCTTGGAAGAAAACTAACAAAGTATTTGAATAGCATCAAGGACCACGGCGAGGAAATCGTCCAGGCTCTTGCCAAGGACCTGAACAAGCCGCGATTCGAGGCCGAGAATTTCGAGGTTGAATGGGTGCTCAATGATATTGTATTCACCTCCAAGAACCTGTACAAATGGATGGAGGATGAGAAACCCGCCGATATCGACTTCTCTTTCAAGTTTATGAACCCAAAGATCCGAAAGGATCCCCTGGGTTGTGTTTTGGTGATTGGGTATGTCGTGGCCTTTTCGAAAGCTCGGACTCGGAATGCGCAGACTAACCATTTTCTTCTTTTTTACTTCCAGCGCATACAACTTCCCCATCCAATTGACTCTGGGTCCCGTTATTGGTGCTATCGCAGCTGGAAACACCGTGGTTATCAAGCCCAGCGAGAGCGCTTCTTACAGCGCGGCTGTTATGCAAAAGATTATTGAGTCTAGCCTCGACCCCTCATGCTACACTGTTGTTCAAGGCGGTATTCCCGAAACACAAGCCTTGCTGGCTCAGCGCTGGGATAAGATCTTCTTCACCGGTAGTGCCAATGTTGGTCGCATCATCGCCAAGGCTGCGGCCCCTAACTTGACTCCGGTCGTTCTGGAGCTGGGTGGCATCAACCCGGCTATTATCTCCAGAAATGCCGACCCGCGATTGGTGGCCCGCCGTTTGCTCTGGGCTAAGGCCGTTAACGCGGGTCAGCTCTGTACCTCGCAGAACTATCTGCTTGTCGAGAAGTCTATTGTGCCACAGGTCGTTCAGGAGTTCAAGAACGCCTACAACGAGTTCTATCCCAATGGCGCTAAGAACTCAACTGATTTCGCGCATATCATCAATGATGGACATTTCCAGCGCCTGAAGGGTATGCTGGATAACACTAAGGGTGAAATTCTGATGGGTGGCACGATGGATGAGAAGTCCCGGTTTATCGATATTACCATGGTCCAGGTTGACTCAGTTGAGGACTCCATGTGTAGCCAAGAAAGCTTCGGTCCTTTCATTACGATCCTCCCCGTGGAGAATCTAGATGAGGCTATTAGAGTTGCGAATGGCGTTCAGAGTACCCCGCTGGGTGTGTACCCATTCGGCTCAAAGGCTGATACTGACAAGAGTAAGCAAAAGTCCCATTTACTATCCACTCAACCCCCAAGCTAACGTGTTCCAGTTATCAATTCTACTCGCTCCGGTGGTGTCGCCGTTAATGACGCTTCCCTGCACATCCCCACACTTCAATTCGGCGGTGTCGGTGAGAGTGGAAATGGCGCTTACCGTGGTCGTGCCAGCTTCGACGTCTGGGTCCACCGTCGTACAGTCACAACCAGTCCCAGCTGGGTTGAAAGATTCCTCGCTATCCGCTACCCGCCGTATGCTGGCAAGGTCGAGAAGTTCCAGGCTGCCAGCAGCTTGAAGCCCGACTTTGACCGCGACGGTCGCAAGCTGTCCTGCGGATGGTTGCGCTATTTCTTGACCCTCGGTGGTGGCAATGCCAAAACCGGTGCGGGTCGTGCCGTTGCTGTCGCTGCCAGTGAGTAAACCCCTTCTGCTGTTATTTTCTCCCTTTTGATATGTGTGATCTCCATTGTTGTATTTTGCTATATTCCCCAAATTTTTGCTCAAATACCCCTTGAGATTTTAATGCTTGGTCTTCTTGTCATTGTCTCATCTTCTCACCCTGTTCATCTCCATCAGACGAAGGAGACGACAAATGAACCTGGATACTTCCTGGCTTGGTCAACCCGACATCTTCATGTCATATTCAAATTCCCCAAAGCGAGCTTCTACAGATCGACTCGTCACCCTACACTCATTCTTTCCCCTTTTCCTTGATTCACAAGACTTGATACCCCCAAGACAAACCAGATACACTTCTTAAATGCTTAATTTTAATGGAGATTCACATTTCCTTTGTCAACGCAATTCAAAAGAGCATATTCTAACGACTCTGTAGTTGCCTACGTCGTGCTTCAATTTCTGGAACGCCGATCTTCAAAACTTTGAGGAACTTGAATGAGCATAACGCGGATGGGTTACGGAGTTTACTTTCTTTTTAAGTGTATATTAAAATGAATAGCTCTAGCGAATCGATTTCGGGACTTGATATTGCCGATCTTCATTTATGACCGGAGGTTGGCTACTGTGATCTGCAATAAACGTTTTTAATCTCGGCTTACGACCCACCTTGACACATCGGTGGACCCTGTCTCTTTTGATTGAGCCGTTTGTCTGGACCTTGATCGATTCGGAGGGTTTTGTGAAGCGTAATGATCCCTCAGTTGCTGTTCCGGTACTTGTAGCTTCGTTTTACCTGTGAATTACCGGCATCTTCAAATGTTGAAGTTGTCAATCTATGTCCAAGTTGGCTTGCGACGTCATAGTATGAGTTATCGGAGTTCGAAGTGGCTTGGGATATGAAGTCCAATCAAGAGCTGTACATGGATTGGTCGTGATCGTGCATATGTGGCGATAAAACAAGGATCCAATCAAAGCGACAGGTGACCCAGCAGGACAACGCATCATGCCCAGGTGGGCGCTTAGAGTCAACTCAGTCTCACCGGTGGATAGCGGGAGACTCCCATTTTTTGGGGGGTTTCAGTATTGATAACCTGATCTTTCTTGTTGTCTGCCATGGCCGAGCTTTCGCTGGTATCCAGCGTTGCTGGGGTCATATCTCTAGGCCTTTCTGTATGTCAAGGCTTAGTGACATATTCATCACATTTCAAATCCTTCCACGATGAGACCGGTGATGTCGCGACCAAGGCCAAAGGGCTTGAGATAGTTCTGAAGGCTATTTCCGACCTCATCTCGAATCCTGATGCTTTCAACCGTTCTTCCTCCATCGTTGCCGAGAAAATAAAAACGGCTAGCCAGTGCCTTTTGGATTGCAAGCAGGGTTTGGAGAAGTTGAAGTCATCTTTGGACGAAGTGAAGCGTGACTCCTCGTCAGGCAAGTCTCAGAAGGCGAAGCAATATCTCGAACGATGTCTTTACCCTCTTCGATGGGGGAATCTGGTGGGTCGAGTTGATACGATTGAGGGTTTGCAGAGCAACCTGGAGATGGCGCTCAGCTCGTTGAGAATGTACGCTAGGAATTTTTCCATCGGTCAACTCATATCGATAAGAAATTTGAGCTAACATGATGACTGCACAGTGCCATGGATATCGATGGAAAAGTTGAGAACGACAATCGAATGAAGTCAGTTGAGGCAGCGATTTTGAATATTGCCGTAGATACAGGGAAAATTGAAGGCTTGGAAGACATGCTCAGGAAGGTTGTCGAAAGACAAGAGAAGGCAAATGGGCGTTGCGACAAAATTGTCTGAGATTATCACCACCAACATGACGAAAGATGGAGACTAACAAGGTCTAGATCTCGATGGCGTTCAAATGGCAATTACAGCCAATTCTAGAGCCAGCCTTGCTGGAGACTTTCCAAAATGATCACCAGCAAAATCTCCAAGATTTCCATCACACAGGAGACATGATGGTTCGGGCTCGGCATCAACGTCACAAGTCTCAATCCACATGCTGGTGCTCTTATCCTCGTTCTAATCCCTTCTACTCTGTGCAGACATTTGCCTCTTTTGAATTGGTTCATAAGAAAGGTTGCCCATTCTATTACCCAGGTCAGAAAATCAAGGTTTGGCAAGCGAAGTACACTTTTTGCAACATGTTCCTTTGACGATCTATCTGGGTTGCCTGGAACTGGACCGTTGGAAAAGGACCGTTTAGAATTGGTCAACATCTCTCTGCTCGTCGAGTTGTGGAAAACTCACCGGTTTCAGCTTGATAGATGGTCTTAACCTTCATGATGTAAGTTGGTGGGTTAGGGTATCAGGACCAGATCGAATCAATGCCATCCAGGGCATGTACCGGAACGTGATCTATTTATTCAACAATAAGGATGCATGCCCCACGGATGTAGATGTACATGGACATAATTTCTTGGATGTAAGTGTCGTTCACCCAGGTTACGATGCCCAGATGTCACTGTCGGTATTCAGGTTATTGAGATCTCGGGACAGGAGTATAATGTTTTTAGCATTTTTGAAAGTTGTGGAACGAACCTTGGAGCTTGAAGCTAACTGGTATTCCTAATTCCAGCACATAGTTGATCGATTAATGCAATTTATGAAAATCTCCTGCACCAGCGTGGATTCAAGCTATGAAGTTGTTCTTCAATGCTTTCTCGACATCTTGCACGACATCGACGACCGCGGAATTTTACTCAATTGGTCGAACAATGAGGGGATAACTACTCTCGACAGATTGTCATCCCATTCAAACCGCATTATCTTCCCCAGTGAATATTCCGGTCGGCAGACCCTGGATTTTGTATCGGTGTTCTTGGAAGCAGGGTACATGATAACGGATTGGGGAATAGGTTGGCATGTTTTTCACCAACAAGCCTACCCTTTCCCATTCGGAACAACTTTCCTTCTCAATGAACTCCCAGAGGGAGGTAAGTAATCAAAATCCAATGCGTACTCCTCGGCTGGACTATATTAATTCCCGAAAAGTTATATTGGTCTCCGATCTGCTAGTCCCTTTAGTCTCAAAAGACAAACGACATGTTGAGTCCCTTATTCGAAGTCGATCCGACATGAACACCGTTTTCAATCATTACGTAATGTGGCCTGAGGGGTTGGATATTTTGTTGAATTTCGGGGTTACAATCAGACCAGTGGTCTTTGCGTTACGCAATTGGCATGTCGTTATTCGAAAGTGCCCGACTACTCTTATTCCACGAAAATTCAAACTCTCTCATCGGTTCATTGGAAATCGACTTATTGAGAAATCGAAACGTCCATATACAGGGATTAGTTGTCAGGAATCTGGCGAAGCGAAGGAAGGAGTTGCAATATCTTGCCGAGGCCAATTTACCCAACAATATCCTTGGTCAAGTTCGATTACGGCCAGATGCGCTTATTGGGTACCATGCTGGAAAAGTGTGGCGACTACTGAAATCCTACAAGGTGGAAACCGATTTTACTGAGGATGAAGACTGGCTAGTATATGCCAGCATCAGAATGGACATTCAACTCGCAGAAATGTTGTGGAATGCTGGCTTTAAAGACGTTGATGTACTGAGCGACGAAGGATTTACTTGTTTGATGGTATTAGGTGATCAGGATTGGACCTTAATTGGACTTTTTTCCCATTTGTGTTCTTCATTAACTGGTTGCTTGAAAAAGGTGCGGATCCGTACCGCAAGAGATTGGACTCCCCAGCTTTGCATTATGTCGCAAAGGGGTTTGGCTTGCGTTTGTTGAAGCTGGAAAAAGTTGACTTTGATCCATGGGATCATAAAGAAGCCTTGGAATTAATGAACCTTCTCCAGCGGGACTCATATCTGGATTCTTGTGTCTGTGCCTGCTCTAAGCGTGGCTGCTGTGTTGTTACCAGCTTTGTGCGGGCTTCTACAAGATCTCATTTAGAAAGACCCTTCATGGGTAGATTGGATGGAGTCCAACTTCCAGATTGGTATAAGTATGCCACCTTTGGGATAGGCACTCTGTTCGAAAACGACCCGGAAGCTCTTTTTCGAGCTCTCACTTTTGAAACTCTGGAAATCCGGCATACTTGTGTGCATGTCGCAGGGCCAGGGGACAAGCCGAAACATCCAGATGAAATCAAGGAGATGCAGTGGGAATGGGAGGAGCCCATCCAACTTCTAGAACAGTTGACAGATGAATTCGTTTTTGCATGTGAACACTCACATTTATCAATATTTGATTTTCTGGAAAATTATTGGAATGTTCGCATGGAGGAATGTCTTTTTCCCTCTCGATCTTCACGTCACAAAGATATCCGTCAATTGCGTGAGATCGGAATTATTCTAGAAAAGGACCATGCTATAAAAGACCAAGGAGGATCGGAAGAGAGATGGGAAGATGAATCAGAAGAGGAATCTGAAACTTGAAGGGAAGCGGAAGAAGAGGAAGACAATTATATGTCGTCTACCAAGGAACACGAGGGAGGTAACTTGGACTCGGAGGAGGCCGATGAAGCATACTAGGTCGAGGAGACTCGGACTACTCAAGTGCTATGTCACAACTAGTCCCTAGGTGCTAGCCCTGGAGGTGGGTACCATGTGTAGGTAATTGCCAGTGCCGCCTTAGTAGTACGCATGTATACCTAATGGGTCCATGGATGTGATGGATGAGAACGCACACATGTGCATACAACAACTTGAAGATAGGGCTAACCGGGTTTATACACAATCATAATAGCACTCGAGAGCTACCAGCTTCATTTAGGAAGGTATCTTAATACCAGTGTGAATACTTCCCCGCAATTTGAAGATTTCAAGATCAATCTGGAGTTTATGCCATATATGGTAAAAAAGACTAGCCAGATAAATGTCATACGCTTCATGCATGCCTCATAAATCTCATTGAATATATCAAATAAGTCCATGGATCTCGATCAACAACGACGCTCCACGCCGCGCCGACTCACGCATAAGTACTTCACACCCTTATACGGCTTAACATTTTCTCCAACGCCACGACTGCGGCGTTGATCAATGTTAAGACTGTCTACCTTGATACCAGATGGAAGCCAGCCACGCACTGAGAAGGAGACAGAAGCTGAATTTGGCATAAGGCTCGCGTTGACTTGGGCTTTGGTCCTGCGCGCCACGGGACGAGGTGCAGATGAAGGTGTAAAAAATGATGGGAGTTGCGACGCATTAGGAGAGAGGATATGTGATGGTGGAGGTGTTGGGGTGTGGGCTTTAGAGGGGATAGGGGAAGGAGAGGCAGAAGCCTTGACTCGCTCTTCAGAGACGCCCTCGGCCGGGGCGTCGCCTACGTCTTCTGCGAGGGTAGCAGCAGAACGAGATGACTTTTTGGTTGACTTCTTCTTCTTCTTTTTCTTCTTCGTAGGGTCGGATGATCGAGTTTTCCGGGAAGTGGATGCGGAAGGATTATCATATGAAGCAGGGTCTTCGTAATAACCTTGCAGTAGATTTGCATTGGCATCTTCATCAACCTCTTCTAGGCTGTCAAAGTCGTCATCCGCCGACGGGTAGCCAGCAACAGTACAGCGGAGAGTCGCAGTTCCCGTAATTGTTCCGGCATCGCGCCCAGTAGGAACTCGCCATTCGAGCAGACCAGTGCCAGGAGAGTACTGCGCATCACCACGGCTGGCCTGCATATCCGTAATGTGGCGCACAGACTTCGAAATTGGAACACTGACAACCACCTCCTCTAAGACCGGACCTGTGGAGCTGCTACCACCGAGGAAGGAAGGTGTAGATGTCCCTGATCCACCTCGAGAAGGGGCCGGTCGAGATGAAGATTGACCAGGGAAATCGGTATTGAGAGTTAATCGAACTTCAAAATCAGATCCAGTTGGGCCTATAGACTTGCGGATATCCACAATGGCGGGGAGAAATAGCTTTTCCATATGACTGGGTGGTTGATCGAGATCCGGGTCTATTGGGAGGAGATCGACTTCATATCCAGCTAGGATAAATCCACCATCCGGAGGCACAAAGCTCAGCTCACCTGGACGTTCCCGCCAACGGGCGAGACGAACACAGGGATGGAAGACGGGCAGTTCGACCTTGCGGGCGAGCGCTTGCTGACCACCGGGAGCTGATAGTGACAAAAGTAGATCGGGGACTCCGGATATTTTGGCAGTAAATGCGATAGTACCAGATACCAATGCTGATAGCAGCCGCCCTGATGGTGCCATAGTCACGTTAAGAGATTCGACAATATCGACATATAACTCGTTCGACGTATGCCGTACTCCGGGCCGTCTCCAAGGAATCGCTGGGCCTTGCGCAGCAGCCGCAGCGGCCAGCGACTGTTTGAGAGGATTGCTTGATGTGGGTGTAGAAGAGCTAGATTGAGGAAATTCATCAGGAATGTGATCAATGCGATGCGCAACTGGAAATACTTACCCAGGTACACTGATTCCCCCCAGAAGCTTCCCCATCCAGCCCGGGACCTCGACTACCTCCTGAAGAGAGTTGGGCTCCGTATTACATACCACTCCCGCATCGCACATCTCGTGTAGTAATTGAGCCACAACATCGTAGTTCCCTTGGATCTTCGTTGAAAGAAGCGGAGCACCAACGAAATCCTCCAATACATCCACCACGCGATGTAGGAACTCGAGCACCAAAAGTGGCTCTGTGTCCACTTCACTCACGGCAAGGAACAGTAGATTTGATTGAACTATGGAGTAAACTGTGACCGGCGGGATTGCACTAGGGAAATACAGCAAAGAAGGTCGCGGGGCTGCGTGCGCGAGGTAGAGGGGCAGGATGGCCGCGGCCGAGGGTGGGCGGGCACGGTACACATGTTCGACGATAGGGGCGCTAGGAGGTATGTCAGATCAATTTCAGGGGGTCAGGCTAAACCAGCTCACTTTTGCTCGTCAAATATGTAGAGGGCATCGATCTCGCCGCTCATTTTGGCTGTTGTTTAAGGCAGAAACTCGGAGTTGTATATCGGAGTAGCTCGCAATCAAGCTGTGGATTCTGCCACTGATTCCCGCCCTAGATTACATTTTGGCTGTTCATGATTCCCTCCTTTTGAATATACGTCACTCGATCATTTGAGATTGATATCATTCTTTATTCTACACATTTGTGAAGCTCTTGACTTCTTGTGCTTTATCATGGCTCCATCAACAGACACACAGCACTGGGATATCCAGCAGAAGGACGTCAAACAAGTATTGGCCGAGGAGAAGTACGATGACTGTTTGTCCTGCAGAGTTACTGGTTCGTTTTCAATAACCTCAACATTGTCATATGCTATGAAAATCATAGGGGAATAACTCAAGAACATTTTACTGATTTGTTGGAAATAGGCTCAGCGGCATTCATCGGCCTCGGCGTTTACAGCTACTATACCGGCATGCAAAACCTCCGCAAACAAGAAAAGATTATCATGCAAGGGCCAACAAAATACAAGATGGGCTCAAGGCAGCTTGGTATTGCAACCATCTCTGCTACACTTATTGGCATGGGACTTTGGCGAGCATTCAACTAAGCATTGTTATGTTTCAAAGGGGTTATGATGGGATGTATGATAGAGATGTATAATAAAGTCTACAAGATACTGCTTATGAAGCCAGGAAGCCTTTGGGGGTATTTTAAATTGAAGTTTGATTTGTTCGACTATCAGGACTCCGTGATAGCTACTAGAACTGGGTATCACCACTCAAATCCCTCTATATGCTGTATAAGAAGCCATAGGAAAGCAACGGGGGTTATATAAAAAAAGAGGAAAGAAACAAGAAAGAAAGCCCCAGAAGGCGAAAATGCAGCAAAAACATTATGCAAGAAACCCCTCGTAAGTATGCACCCGAAAAAGAAAGCCCCCAGTGTTAGTGACAATCAGAAAGGAAATTCGTCATCTCGTCTACCTCGTGTAGTCCAGGCAGATAGGTTGCCTAGGTGAAGCGTCCGCGTTTGCCGCCTCCAAACATATCCCGACCATTTGACATTCCAGATAGGTCGAAGAAATCGGGGACTGTGAACTTTCGCTTTGAACCAATGCTAGACGGGGACTCGCGAGGAGGGAAACGGTTGGCTGGACGGTTAAGATTGTTGTGGCGGTGTTGCTGGCGGGAGTTTCGAGGCATGACAGAGACGCTGACGGGAGCACCATCTTGCGAAGGCGATGTCGAATTATCTGAGGGCTGCAGATCCATATCGAGTTCTTGTGGGAAAGCTGGTCCAGCTGTAAAGGTGAAAATAGTGGGAGCTGCCATGGGGCTCTCCTGGGGCTGCGGAGTCACAACGGAGTTATTGGTGTCGGAGCGGGGGGCCGGGTTCGATGTAGAGGTTGTACGAGGCGTGGGTTCAGGGTCCTTGCGAGGGTTGGCTGGAGTGGCGCTTCGATCACGCTTCTCCGAGTCACGCTCCTCCTCATCACTGCTTTGAGATCCAGTTCCATCACATTTCTCTGTTGCCCATTGTCGAACTCGCCAGCCCTCTCCATCTCCCAGTCCTAAATTCTCACGGTCCAAGAAATGAAGAAGATCTTCCAGAGCGTCTTGATAGCCAGTTTGTCTGGCCTGAGCCTGCTCGCAAACCGCATTCTTATAAAGGTTGGTGACAGATAGAGCGGCGGCCTTGAAAGCTTGCAGGAGTTGCTCTGGTGGCTGCGAACGCGGGGTCGAGCTCGGCAGGGACGTGTTGAGAGATCTCATAGAATCCATGGTTGAAAGGAAGTCGGTAGTCAAGGAGTTTGCAGATTGACAGAAAGGGGGGGAAGGAAGCTGTGATCGCAGCGTAATCTGATGTATCGTGTCCGGTCAGGCCACAGGGATTCGGGTGGTTGAGGAGTTTGTAGCACGGAGACAAAGGCGGAAGGTAAATATAGAAGGATTTGTAGCAAAGAAAGTAAAAGAAAGTCACGGTATAAGCCGGAAAGCCTGCAAGATTATACCCAAGCTCTATAGTCTAAAAGAGACCAAGTTTATAGAGGGGGAGACTAGCGAGTACTTGTTGCTGCAGATGATCGGCTACTGCTTTTTGCACTGACCCGGTAACGTGACCCCACTTATCGGATCAATGGCTATTCCGAAGGGCGGTGAATACCCATGCTGACGTAAGATCATTCACCCAACCAGCGCGTGCAAATCGCCGCCTGCCGCGCTTTCCCATTTGCTCTTCTTCAGCGCGACTTGCACGGCGTTTCTTCCCTTCACTGATTGCGCCCATTGTCTTTCTTCTTACACGACTTTGGATTCAGTCTCTTTGGATAATTCGCAACTTGCAACTCTTGAAGCTCTACATTTTTTCATCTTTCTCCAATTTTTCAAACCCTCTTCCTTCATTACTATCTATCAAGCTACACAGTTTAACGTGACGGACGTGCTTGTGCTTAAGGAGTTCTTGCGCTCTGCGCATTGAAGCAAAAACCATGGCACCAGCCGCCGACTCCCCGTCTCAGGTTGACACCCCGATGACAGATGTCAATGATGAGGCTATCCCATCAGTTCCCGTGGACGCGCCGGTAAGTGAATCTTTATTATATGCCCCAGCCCTTAATTACCACATCGCTATGCTGGCATAAATTGGACAAAAATTGGCGTTCCAGAGTCTTGAGACTAATCATTATGGGTTTATTCATCCAGAGCTACCAAGATACCCCTGATTACACGGTAAATCACTATTTCTCCTCCCACAATCTTAAGAATCAACTGACGATTCCCCGCTATAGGACTCGGATACCAACCCTAATACCACAGCGAGCAGCGTCGCAGGCGATGTTGCTTTAGGAGATGGCCGACGACGCAGATCAGAGGCTACACAGTTGAGGAAAAGTATTCTGGGCAAGAAGCAAAGCCGCCTGGACGAGTCAAAGGTAAGATCGAGCGACTTGGTACATACAATGCCTACTTTGTGCAAAACTGATCGTCCGAACTACTACGAATAGGAAGATGATTCGATTCGCCGATTCCGTTACCTTCTCGGTCTGACTGATTTGTTCCGCCACTTCATCGAAACCAACCCTAACCCTCGTATCAAGGAGATCATGGCTGAGATCGATCGTCAAAACGAGGAGTCGGAGGCCAAGGCTCGCAAAGTGACTGCGCGGTCGGGTGGTGCAGGCGGAGATAGACGCCGCAGAACTGAGCAGGAAGAGGATGCAGAGCTTCTGCAAGATGAGAAAAGTGGTGGCGAAACGACTACAGTGTTCCGAGAATCACCCGCTTTCATTCACGGAGAGTTGCGTGACTACCAGATTGCCGGTCTCAACTGGCTGGTTTCTCTCCATGAGAATGGTATCTCCGGTATCCTTGCCGATGAGATGGGTCTTGGAAAGACCCTGCAGACTATCTCGTTCCTGGGTTATTTGCGCTACGTCTGTGACATCACTGGTCCCCACTTGGTTGCAGTTCCCAAGTCTACCCTGGACAACTGGAAGAGAGAATTCGCCAAGTGGATTCCGGAAGTTGATGTCGTGGTCCTTCAGGGTGACAAGGAGGAGCGCCAACGCCTCATCAATGAGCGCTTGGTGGATGAGAAATTCGACGTTTGCATTACCAGTTATGAGATGATTCTTCGCGAGAAGTCGGCCCTGAAGAAGTTCGCTTGGGAATACATCATTATCGATGAAGCTCACCGTATCAAGAATGAGGAGTCTTCGTTATCTCAGATCATCCGTCTATTCAACTCGCGCAACCGCCTTTTGATCACCGGAACTCCTCTACAGAATAATCTACATGAGCTATGGGCCCTACTTAATTTCTTGTTGCCGGATGTTTTCGGTGATTCAGAGGCATTTGATCAGTGGTTTTCCAACCAAGAATCTGACCAGGACACTGTTGTGCAACAGCTTCACCGTGTTCTTCGACCTTTCCTCCTTCGACGTGTTAAAAGCGATGTCGAAAAGAGTTTGCTTCCGAAGCAGGAGATGAATCTTTACGTGCCCATGTCTGATATGCAGGTGAAGTGGTACCAGAAGATTCTGGAAAAGGATATTGATGCCGTCAACGGTGCTGCTGGCAAGCGCGAGTCCAAGACCCGTCTGTTGAATATTGTTATGCAGTTGCGAAAGTGCTGCAACCACCCCTACCTCTTTGAAGGCGCCGAGCCTGGCCCTCCATACACGACTGATGAACATCTTGTATTCAACTCTGGCAAGATGGCTATCTTGGATAAGCTCCTAGGACGTATGCAGGCCGATGGAAGTCGTGTTCTGATCTTTTCCCAGATGAGCCGTGTCCTGGATATCCTGGAAGATTACTGTGTCTTCCGTGAATACAACTACTGTCGAATTGATGGTACCACGGCCCATGAGGACCGTATTGCTGCGATCGATGACTACAATAAGCCGGGCTCAGAGAAGTTCATTTTCCTTCTCACCACCCGTGCTGGTGGTCTGGGTATTAACCTGACCACTGCCGATATTGTGGTACTCTTTGACAGCGATTGGAATCCCCAAGCCGATTTACAGGCCATGGATCGTGCTCATCGAATTGGTCAGACCAAGCAGGTCAAGGTTTTCCGGTTTGTTACTGAAAATGCCATTGAGGAAAAGGTGCTCGAACGAGCAGCCCAAAAGTTGCGCCTGGATCAACTTGTCATTCAGCAAGGCCGTGCTCAGCAGCAGTCTAAGAACGCTCACTCGAAGGATGACTTGCTTGGAATGATTCAACACGGTGCGGCCAATGTTTTCAAAGCTAAGGGTGATGCGGAGGATAGTTCCAACGATATCACTCAGGACGACTTTGAAGCTATTCTGCGCAAGGGCGAAGAGCGAACCGCTGAGTTGAACAAGAAGTACGAGAAATTGGGTATCGATGATCTTCAAAAATTCAGCTCCGAGAGCGCCTACGAATGGAATGGCCAAGACTTTACCGAGCGCAAGAAGGATATCGGCATGACTTGGATCAACCCGGCCAAGCGTGAGCGTAAGGAACAGTTCTATTCTATTGATAAGTACTACCGCCAGGCTCTGGCTACAGGTGGCCGAACTGCCGACACAAAACCCAAGGCCCCGCGCGCTCCCAAACAAATCACAGTTCACGACTGGCAGTTCTTCCCGCCTGGTCTGCAGGAATTGCAGGAGAAGGAGACTGCCTACTTTCACAAAGAGATTGGATACAAGGCTCCTTTGCCTGAAGGTCCTGAGGAAGAGCTCAGTGAACGCGAAGCTGAGCGTGATCTCGAGCAACAAGAGATTGATAACGCTCAGCCATTGACTAAGGAAGAACGTGTCGAAAAGGAACGCATGTCAGAGGAAGGCTTCTCTACTTGGAACCGCCGTGATTTCCAACAATTCGTCAATGGATCCGCCAAGTTTGGTCGCACCGATTATGTGGGTATCGCCACAGAAGTTGACAGCAAAGAACCAGATGAGGTTGAGGAGTATGCCGAGGTCTTCTGGCAGCGATACACTGAAGTCCAAGATTACCCCAAATACCTTCGGGTGATCGACCAGGGTGAAGATAAGCTTCGCAAGATGAATCACCAGCGTAAGATGCTGCGTAAGAAGATGGAGATGTACCGCGTGCCGCTCCAGCAACTCAAAATTAACTACACTGTGTCTACGACCAACAAGAAGGTGTACACCGAAGAAGAGGATCGCTTCCTTTTGGTCATGCTGGATAAGTACGGAGTTGAAGGCGATGTCCTGTACGAGAAAATCCGTGACGAGGTTCGGGAATCGCCTCTTTTCCGCTTCGATTGGTTCTTCCTCAGCCGTACCCCAGTGGAGATTGGTCGGCGTTGCACTACCTTGCTGAACACTGTGGCAAAGGAATTTGAACCCGACACCAAGGCCAATGGGGAGAGCAAGACAGATGGTAAATCCCGCGGTCGAGACCGTGATGAGGATGAAGAGAACGATGACGCGGCGGCACCTGCAAAGAAGAAGGCTAAGAATGGCGCCACAGTAAGTTTCACTTGATTTTCACTTGTTGGATGATCTTTCCCGACCCCTGCTAACCTGTTTCAGACCAAGGCTAAAGCTGCCAAGGGTGCTAGCAAGACTGCCTCTGCCACAACTTCGCGGGCTGCCAGTGTCTCTAATGCCCCCAAGTCTAAGACTCGAAAGAGATGAATGAGCTGAGATGTATGGGAGACGTATGCCATTTTCCTATTTCTATTTTCTATTTTCTATCTTTATTCCTATTTTTTTTTATTCATTTCTAGTTGTATGTTTTATGGAATAGTTGCTTTTCTGGTGGGGTTCATTTCCGGTTCTGGGGTGTGGATTCGGCGTTGGCAGATGATGTCTTTGGAAAAATGTATCCAATAAGATAGAAATTAATCCAAGGCTTATCTTGTGGCCCTTTAGTGTGAAGTATCATTCAGCTCTCCACCTTTCGCCTGATACACATCATGCCGATCAATGCTACGTGTATCGTTAATAGCAGGTAACTAGACCATTCCCGACGCTAGTCCATGTCACCTGCGATGACGGAATACCCAACATTTAAAGGAGCCTGACGAAGCTCAAATGACCTTGAATCACATTCACAAAATTTCCTGCACACCATAATTCACTTTGAACAATCGGAAAGTTTTTTTTTTCCAGCATAAATAGGTATGTGAGCCCGCCGAGACCTGCCCAGACGCCACAAACCCAATGCATAGTTCCAAGCTTTTTCTAAGCTTCAAGTTACTGACATGTCTATCCTCAAGTTCCTGAAGTCAAAACTCTGCCGCAAATCTCGCACCATGTCGGTAGCTACGAAGATCAAGGTCATTGCGAACCCGCGCTACCAGAAGTCGGGGACCAAGTCGTACGTGCATATGATGCGCAAGTATGGCTTTAACCCGACTAAGCCTGGACCCTACTTCCTCGGCAAAAGTTTACAACAGACTGGCCGGCAGTATACTGATAAGGCCATCGGAGGGCGCGTGCATATGCGCCAGGTGCTGCAGAAGAAGAGTGCCGATAGTGATCAGGTGGGGGAGGTAAGTGCTGACGACGTGCAGAATGATTCGATGTATCTGGCCCAAGTGGGGATTGGTTCTCCGGCCCAGGACCTGAACCTGGACTTTGACACGGGTTCTGCAGATCTTTGGGTAAGTAATGTGATGTCAGAGATTATTTCTTTATTCCTCATCATGTTTAGACTTGTTGTCCTTTTACTTCTTCAACTTTGAAGGGTTGAAGTGGGGTAAAATGGTTCCAGGGTTACATGTCACCCGCTCCAAGGCTATAATGTAAAGTGGACTCCCGCGCTAACCATTTTAGGTTTGGTCCACTAAACTACCCTCAGCCACTCTGTCAAAGTACAATACTCATACTGTCTTTGACTCGAGCAAGTCAAGTACTTTCGAGACATCTGAGGGTTCAACCTGGGAAATCTCCTATGGAGATGGCTCATCTGCCTCTGGCATTGTCGGCACTGATGATGTTAACATCGGCGGCGTTGTTGTCAAGAACCAAGCTGTCGAGCTAGCGGAGAAGATGTCGGATCAATTTGCCAGTGGCGCCGGTGATGGCTTGCTGGGTCTTGCATTCAGTAACATCAACACAGTGAAGCCAACATCCGTCGCTACACCTGTGGAGAACATGATCACTCAGGATGATATCCCCAATAAGCTGTTCACCGCCAAGTTGGGCTCGTGGCGTGATGCTGATGAGCCAGACAAGGGTGCTTCATTCTATACCTTCGGCTTTATTGACCAGGCTACTGTCACGGCCGCGGGAGCGGATATCTCTTATACACCTGTTGACAAGAGCCAGGGATTCTGGCTCTTTGATTCTACTTCGGCTACCGTCAACGGGAAGACAATCACCCGATCTGGTAACACTGCTATCGCCGATACTGGTACCACCCTTGCGCTTGTCGATGACAGTACTTGCAAGGCTATCTACGATGCCATCGAGGGGGCTTACTATGATAGTGACAGCCAAGGATACATCTACCCCTCCGACACCACTGTCGATAATCTGCCTGTTGTATCCTTTGCCGTTGGTGACAAGCAGTTCACTGTTCAGAAGGAAGACCTTGGCTTTACTGAGGCAAAGTCTGGCTATATCTACGGTGGAATCCAGAGTCGTGGAGATATGACTATGGACATTCTGGGTGATACTTTCCTGAAGGGCATCTATGCCGTGAGTAATTCATGAGTATGCTTGATTGACTGTTTTGCTAACATGACCTTCCTATAGGTTTTCGACGTTGGAAATACTCGATTCGGTGCTGTGCAGCGAAAGGAGCTTAACCAGAACCTGTCTGTTCCTTCCGATGACTAGATCTCTGGATTCTGAGTACGATGCCGGGGATTTTTGGTATCATTTCAATTACTAGGGTTAGATTTTCACATACCTACCAGCTTTCACTTGGCTGTATACATAGTTGCCAATTCCAGAACTCAGTCAGATTCAAGTCATAACAGCCGTCGAGATAAGCCCAGGAATTTGTAAAACCAATATTTATGAATAATCAAATTGGCCGATCTCATTCAAGTTATCGATCATCTCCGAGTCTGGATGTACATATTTGAATACTAGGACCCACTTCGAGATTCCAAGTAACAATCCCTGTTCCTCATTCTCAGACGGGTAAGTCCGGTATCTTGTTTCAACCAGATCCACGGTGGGTCCCAGGCACTGCAGCTAGTATAGCTCAGCTTTGCGAAAAGCAAGTTTTGGCGAGGGGTATCGCTTCAGAACACCTTGTGTCAGGAAACCCACACATCTGACATTTGGAGTCATTATGCATATTCATGTAACAAAATGATCTATGCTATATCGATGACCACTTTTCCTGTCTTTTCATACCCATCATGAATTGCATCATCTAACTTGACTTTCGCAAAGTCTGCCTCGTTCTGCGCCTTCAATAGACCTTGATCAATCCAGTTATCCATGAACCGCAATTGCTCTGCCATCTCTTGAAGAGATGGTATGATTGAATTACACCCAAGAAGAGAAATTCCTTTTCGATATGCCTGGAAGATATCCAGCGGCATAGTGGTATCGACGTCTCCTCTGGGTGCAGCAATCCACGCATAACGCCCATTGAGTGCCAATTGTTCCAATGCGCCTGACATCAACGCCAGATCTCCGACTGTATCAATGACCACATCCACACCATGTCCATTCGTCAAGTCGGAAACTCGATCTTTTAATAGAGAAGGGATATCCTCAGCCGCTAGAACAATATCCGGATTTGAGTTCTTGTTCCTTGCGGCGCTCAAGACTTGTTTCGCTCCCATGGCCTTGGCCATCTGTACCGCTGCGGATCCTACTGCACCACTTGAGCCTAGTACAAGCACAACATCTTTCTCGTTAACTTGCGCACGACGAAGACAAAGTAAAGCGGTGGTGAATGGTACGCCCACGGTCGCAGCTTGGATATGAGAAAGTGATTTAGGCTTCTCGACTAGCGCATTGATCGGGATTAAACAGTATTGAGCGTGTGTTCCGTCAACAGAAAATCCTAGTGTGGGTCCACTGGTTCCGTAGACGCTTTTGCCAATCCATGAACTGAGTTCGCCTGTCTCACCGGCGATATCGATGACTATGCCTGAGTAGTCACGGCCTGGAACTCGGGGGTAGGTGGTATATGGGAACAGGCCCTTTGCATTCATACGATCAGATGGTTGGATGGAGGCATATTTGATTTGAACAAGAGCAAAGCCTGGCTCGAGATGTGGGAGGGGCAGAGTTTTTTTTGCGAGTGATGGCGGTGTATTCGCAGCAGCGCGTGTCAGTTGGAGCGCTTTCATGGAATTGGTGGCCATTGCCGCGATGTTTCTTCCACACTGATCTCAAGAGTTTGCTGTGTCCCAGTAGGTAGGTGATCACCTCAAGGACTTGAATCTTATGAAAGTTTAACAAGATCTGCAGTATCGGAATACTAAAATCAAGATAGTTAAATTAAGCGCATCAACCTCTTTATGTATGATGCGGCTCGTATTTGTAGATCGTTCTCGATCCCTTCCATTCTCGGAATCGGCCATGACATGATTGGGATTGAAGAATGCCGATTCAAAGGACCATGCGGACCGCGCGGACCGTGCGGTAATGAGTCGGGTTGCCGATTATTCAGTTTTTATCAATCAGCAAACCAAGGGAATGACGAGCCCCCAAGACTTTCGGCAGTTAGAGATTGGGTTAGCCGATTTTATTTACTTAAAATCAAAATGGATCCATTTACCAAGTCTTTCTCATATTTGGGTCGTGAAGATTCTTTCTATCTGACAACATGGCGTTTACAGCCTCTGATCCGAAAGAATTTGATATGAGCGTCGAGACGGGTAAGTTTTTTGAACTTTTGAACTTTTGATCTTGAAAAACGCGCAACAATGAAATTTATAATAAATTTACATTATACTGATATCACAAGCAAGGTAATATGTCCTCGGTGGAAAATAATCTCCACGCCGAGCAACGGTCTATTGCACCAACTTCATCTGATACCGATGTGGAGGCAAAAAAGGATGTTTCGCCTTATCCGCCACCGAAAACCTTCCCGCACGAAATCGCCTTTGTTACAGTTGTCTGCGCCGCCCAGCTTATGACCCAGTCCGGTCTAGCTCTTTCAATTGCACCATTAGAAGAGATTAGTGCCAGTTTCAACAGTACCTCAAGAGATCTGACCTGGGCTTCAGCAGCGTATAGTTTGACTGTTGGCACATTTATCTTGGTCTCCGGAAGATTGGGTGATGTATATGGACATCGCTTGATCTTTATCATTGGATTCCTGTGGTTTGCGCTTTGGTCATTGCTGGCTGGTTTCGCAGTATGGTCAAACCCCCCGATTCTTCGATTGTTGTCGCGCATTCCAGGGAATTGGCCCTGCATTGCTTCTTCCTAATGCAGTCGCAATTCTGGGAAGGACGTACCCGCCTGGTCAACGGAAGGGTATGGTGTTCTGTCTATTCGGAGCTGTGGCACCGGGAGGGTTTATCTTGGGTGCGACTTTCTCGTCTCTGATCGCTGAGCGTTTGTGGTGGCCCTGGGCGTACTGGATCTGTGCTATCGCATGTGCCATTTTTGCCGTGCTTGGGTTCTTGGTTATTCCTTATATGCCACAGGAAAAGCCACGCCCTGAGCTCTCTACTTTCGCTCGATTGGATGTTCTTGGTGGTACTCTTGGAGTCTCTGGGTTAATTTTGATTAATTTTGCGTGGAACCAGGCTGCCATGGTTGGATGGGCAGTCCCCTATACATATGTGCTACTGATTGTTGGCCTTGTGATCGTTGGACTTTTCCTCTATCTTGAAGGCAAAGCAGCTCACCCACTGCTTCCACGATCTGTATTTAAGGGCGAAACAGGCTGGGTTCTTGGTTGCATATGCGCTGGGTGGTCATCTTTTGGTATTGTGGTGTTTTACTACTACGCTATTATGACCAACGTGGAGTCAAATACTGGACTTCTTGTGACAGCCAAGTGGTCAGGTGCTGCGCTGTCAGGTGCGATCGCCGCTGTGACTACGGGTGTACTGCTCGCGCGTCTCCCGGCATGTGTGATCATGTTCTTGGCTATGCTGGCTTTCTCAGCAGGCCAAGCCCTATTGGCTTCAATGCCATTGGGTCAGATTTACTGGGCTAATGCTTTCCTTATCACTATTCTCACACCCTGGGGAATGTAAGTAGTTTTATAAACCCGGTAATTTTGACATTTGCTAATATGGAAATAGGGATATGTCCTTCCCGTCTGGCATCTTGATCTTGAGCAATGCTATGCCAGCGGAAGATCAAGGCGTGGCCGGCTCCCTTGTGACCACAGTCGTGAATTACTCTATCTCAATGGGATTGGGTTTTGCCGGGACCGTCGAAACCTACGTCAACGACGATGGAGAAAATATCCTCAAGGGTTACCGAGGAGCGTCGTATATGGGAGTGGGTTTCGCGGGGCTGGGTGTCATTGTCGCCAGCTGCTTCATGTTTGTGACCTGGAGAGCTTCCAGGGAAAAGTAACCAAATAATGTGATAGTATAGATACATTCGATAGCCCACACGGGCACTCATCATAATAATAGAGCCGCACTCCGTTGATTTAGAGAGGCATTTCAAAATTCATGGCCCATAAATATTCCAAGTCTATCGGAAGCTGAGCTGCCAGCGAGGGACTGAGCGACGCAATATCCTGCATAATTTGTGACTCCCTCGCCGGGGTGTCAGTATCTGGAGCAGATGCGCCAACGACTCGTTCAAGCGCTTCAACGCCCTTTCGCTTCTTTTCTAAGGATGCTCGCACAAGTTGTCGGACCGTCGAAAGTGCTTCCTTCGCCAAGTGTGTCTGGAATCGATCCACAATCATCTCCAGGGTATCCATTGTCTCTGAGAGCTTCTCGCAGCTTGCAGGTGTGTCCATGACGAGTAAAGAACAAGCGAATTGAAAGACACTACCAACAATGTTCCACCAGGGCTGGTTTTGACTGGCAAGTCTTCGTGCGGCTGGTAGAGCTGCAGTTCCAGCTGCAATTACTCGATCATTTTGGCCTTGCTGGAGACTTGGATCCATGACGCGAAGACGCCGATAGATACTCAAAGTAAGATCCGCACGCAACAAAATCAGAAAATCGTGATCCACATTTGTATTTGCAAGTTTTTCTAGAGCCGATAATAGCTCCTGTATTAGAATATCCACGTCCTCCGTGACCTGGTTTGTGGGTATAGTAGCGAGAAGGCTGCATAGTTGAGAGGTGAAACCTGGCCCTCGAGGTATGGTGCTGTTATGCCCAAGAATTTGTCGATTAAATGTCATAATGGACCTTCCATATTCGAATGCAATAAGTACGTGAACGCAATTGGCGACTTGTGCAGTGCGATTGATAATTTCCGAGGTCTCTGGGTTTGGATTGGTATTACCCATTGCCTGCATTATGAACTCTGGTGCATGATGCAGACCAGCTGCTTCAACGAGATGCATGAGGGTACAGCTGCAAAGCCAAGCCACATGGGGCCGTCCAGTACTGCGGACGTAAATTGTCCGAAGTATCCATGCCGCAATTGTTTCAAGTGTAGGAAATCGACTAATCACATCATCTTCCAGAATCTCTTTTGCATGCAAGACAACCCATGTTTCGGTTCCTTGGTCCAACGAGTCATTGAACAGGGATGCTAGCCCTAGAATCCCACAGATTAAAGCCTCGAATGCCATGTCCTGGGGTTGCCCGTGCCAATGCTTTTCGCAGAGTACGCAGATGCGATCCATGTCTAGAAATCCAAATACAGGGTGGATGACAGCTGTAAAGACTTCAATCAAGCTCCTTGCTATATTCCAGGGGACTTTCTCCACGATCTTGTGGGAAACCGCACATGGCGGTTCCCTACGCACACCAGTGTGATACGCGAAGGAATGCAGACGCGGAAGGTTTGTCGCCTGAACTTCCAATCCTACATACAATGGAAATGCAATGCATGAATACCTCCCCACATATCGAGGCTTTGATGGTTCTATGACCCCCGGCAAAATAGATGAGTCAGTGCTTCCTTTTGACGGCCCTGCTCCTAATGAATGCGTCAATCGCGTGGTTTTCTTAGGTAATTGTAATGGTGCTAGGTTTTCCGATCTAGAGCGCTTCGTTGATGTCGATGGAGATGTACTATCATATGCACAATCATAACCATACCCTTGACAGACATTGCAGGGTAATTTGCCATCACATTTCCTCTTGCGTCGGCGACAGGGAAGACAGGCTTGTCGAGAGCGTTGACGCACTGGGCCTGGGGCCTCTGGTGAGTCCACAGGACTTGAACGATGCTGCGGTTGAGCTGCCATAACAGTTCATTGAGTTGGTAGTTGGCGGTCAGCAGGTAATGTGGATTTTGAGGAAATGCTAATCGTGAAGGTGTTTCAAGCTGGTATAATTTAGCAAAGCCAAGTCTTTCTCCAACAAATGCCTTCGAATTTATTGACGTATATTCACAACGCTTGTTAAAGTTGAACAAGTATTCCCAGGTTTAGGGCAATGTTCAGTTGGATTAAGAGTTGAGCAAGAACCATCTTACTTGTCATCAAGACGCCAAGCGTGAAATAACGCAAAGTAACGATGCCAAGCATCCATGTTTCTGTCAGACTACAAGGTCTAATGCAGTAGGCGGTCGCAATGGGACGTATCAACAGGTCTGATTCTCTCATAACACTAATTTACACGAATAAGCGTCTGCTGCGACCGTAGATCACGTGGCTAATCATGTGATCCATTCTGGTTCGGCCAATCAGAAGCCAGGATTTAATCCTGTTAAAACCGTCCCAATTGGGCCTAGTTTATCACGTTATTTTGGCTGACAGTTTCCTTGATGCCTTATTAATCCGGCATACAATTGCGTTGTTAGTTAACTAGTTAATACCTATACCACACCTAAGGTTGGGAACACCTGGCAGTCGATATCTCTAGCTGGAATTGAGTACAATCCTTCTAATATTGTGAGATGGAGATCTCTCAAGATCAATATGGCTATACATATGCACCTAATTCGATCACAATGTTCACAAACCTCTGATGTTGTTCAAACGTCGAGTTAGAACATGATTGGAGCGTCTGAACAAAGCCCTAATTCTCTCAGAACTTCAAATCACAGGTCTCCCAGCAAATGCAAGACATCATGATCAAATTTCAAAATACTACCATCACTTCCTGGGATAATTGAGCCATTAAATGGAATCATGCAAAAATATTGAAGATTATATCCAAGCTCCAATCTTATTTTCTTTAGTGGGGTGCCGATAAGCCGGATAGCCGGAAGAACGTCGGCCCGAGGGCGGTCAGGCGCGTATCCGCGCCGCTTCGCGTCTTTGAATATCTCCATTTATCTACTTTCTTTGACATCGACACACGCTCGCTTTAACCTTCCTCATCGTCTTTTCGTGTCCATCAACCTACTTCATTCAGGAGTTTATTACCAAACCCCTGGATCTTCCCCAAAATCAATACGATCGTTTGCACAAAGTTACATACTCCCAGCTCATACAGTTCATCGCTCATTTGACCGCTCCTTCTACCCCAGACAAGCTATGTCTGAAGTAGGAGGAGCTGGGTCTCCTGGGTCTGAAGACCCAGACGCCTTGGCTGCTGAACTGTTGAGCCGATTTATCGGCTACAAACCCCCGAATCCCCCTTCCAATGAGAACTCAGCTGAGGAGACGCCTCCCAAGTCTCCAGCTCCTGATCCAATCCAGAAAAACGACTCTTCGTTGGAGATTGTGGTGCCGGACATCGATAACTTAAGCGAATATGAGTACCTACCAGGCCATTTCGCTGTCCGGCGCATCATGAAATTGATTTCGGAAAATCCCAAGAAGCCTGTTTACACAGTTCGACTTCGAAGCGGAGAACAAGAAACAGTATGGTGATGTCCATTTCCCATTTTTGAGACCTTTCTGATCATGTGTTTTTTCTATAGATGACGTACAATCGCCTCATGGAGCTGGAGAATAGCTCGCAAGCTCTTGACGAGTTCAATCCGGATTTTGGTTCCAGTGACGATGAGTTGGTTGTCACCGGTAGACGCCGACGCCGACACCGACGCTCACTGCTTTTTTCTGGGGATGGGGCTGATTCTTCAGCTTCTGATTTGGACTCTAAGCCCAACCATCGCACCTCACGCCGTCGTCGTACTACTGCTCGCCCAACGTACGATCACTATTTCCGCATTGAAAGCGAGAGTGACTCAGATCAAGGTTCTGGAGACTCTGAATCTTCGGCTGATGAACTTGCTGCTCAACAGCAAGGACGCAGATCCGGAAGGGTTGCTGCATTGAACCGCCGTGGTGCCTCCACAACCGATAGAGCGCGCAGATCAACTAGAAGAGGAAAATCTTCACGAAGTATGCGCGAACGATTGGAGGATGACTTATCTGAAGTTGAAAGTGGTGCTTCACGACAAACGAAGTACAGTGGAGCCAGAGAGGTCTTCCGCGAAATACCACGGGATGACGAGTTCAGGCTGCGACATTTTGCCTGCTGTTCTACCTGCAATTATTATGAAGACGATGAAGAGAAAGGTCCTCTTGTATTTTGCCAAGGCTGTACTTCTTCCTTTCATCAACTTTGCCTTGGTCCCCGTGGAAGTCGAGAGCATCTGGTCACAAAGATCGACGAAGGAAATTTTGTCCTTCAGTGCCGCCGCTGTCTTGGTGTCTCTCACGAAAAACATGATATCCGTCCTCATCTCGGCCGCTGTGCTATCTGCAGGGAAGAAGGACCAATGTCCACACCTCTTAGAGATCGTCTCACTTCAAAGGAGGAACAACAGCTTCGCATTGAGAATGGTGGGACAGATCCTGTTACTTTAATTGACATGTCGATGGCCGATAATGCCGACAATCTTCTTTTCAGATGCACCAGCTGCCAAAGAGGTTTCCATATCGAACACTTGCCGCCAATGGATGGCTCGGATGTCTCGGAAAATTTTGATAGATATGGCGCACATTGGCAATGCCACGACTGCACTGATGTGCCGGGTGAGATTGAGGGGTCTACTAGCTTGGCGTCCAATTGGAGCTGAAGCAAGCAGGCAATCTTCTTATCCACTGGCTCAGCTTGTCCCAGAAATTGACAAGGATTATCTCATCAAGTGGAAAACAAAGTCATATTTTCGTGCTACTTGGAAGCGAGGAGACTGGGTCTGGGGCCACAGCAATCATGCCATGATTAGAGCTTTCTACAACTCCCCCAAGGCGTTGAAGCCGATCTTTACCGCCGAGGAAGCAATTCCCGAGGAGAACCTGAGAATCGATATTCTTTTTGAGGTAACATGGAGACCAGACGTCAAAGACAAAGACCGAGAAGATCCTGAGATGGTTGAAGAGGTTTACGTGAAGTACAAGGGACTGAATTATGAAGACTCTGTTTGGGAGGCTCCCCCAAAGCCACATGAAACCGAACGATGGAACGATTATGTGGTCGCATTTCAAGACTGGGTGCGTCGTGATACCATTAGACTTCCGAACCGTGCCACCCTCAAACTACATTTCGAAACCGTCAGAAATCTGGACTTTGAACACCAGCTGCTTCTGGATGTTCAACCTGAAATGTTGACTTCTGGTGAGCTGATGGATTACCAACTCGAAGGTGTGAATTGGCTCTACTACAAGATTTACCAGCAGAAGAACGCAATCCTAGCAGATGATATGGGTCTGGGAAAGACAGTTCAAGTTATCGGTCTACTTGCAACCTTGATTCGGAAGCATACTTGCTGGCCATTCTTGATAGTTGTGCCCAATTCGACGGTCCCCAACTGGCGGCGCGAGATCAAGACATGGGCACCAGAAATTCAGGTTGTCACGTATTTTGGCTCCGCTTTTGCGCGGCAAACAGCGAAAGATCAAGAGATGTTCCCGAATAATAGCAGAGACCTCCGCTGCCATGTGGTCATTGCTTCTTATGAGAGCATGATTGATGAGGAAGCCAGAAAAGTACTTGCCAGGATCAATTGGGCAGCCCTTGTTGTTGATGAGGGACATCGCCTGAAGAACGACAAGTCCCAGCTCTATGAGCGCCTTTCCAAGATGAAGTTTGACTTCAAAGTCCTTCTCACGGGAACGCCGCTGCAGAACAATATTCGGGAGCTATTCAACCTCATCCAATTCATTGACCCCGAAAGCAATGCCGATGATTTGGAAGCACAATACGGGCAGCTTACACAGCAGAACATCCGGGCCCTCCACGAGATGATCCGGCCGTTTTTCCTTCGTCGTACAAAGGCTGAAGTGTTGCCATTTTTGCCACCCATGGTGCAGATCATTGTGCCAGTCTCCATGTCTAACGTGCAAAAGAAGCTCTACAAGTCGATTTTGGGAAAGAACCCACAGTTAATCAGAGCTATTTGCCAGAAGCAGACTAGCGAGCTGAAGAAGCACGAACGACACAATCTGAACAACATCCTCATGCAGCTTAGAAAATGTCTTTGTCACCCATTTGTTTACAGCCGCGAAATCGAAGAAGTCACGAACGATCCCATCCTGGCACACCAACGCCTGGTAGAGGCTTCGGGGAAGTTCCAGTTGTTGAATCTCATGCTGCCAAAGCTCCGTGAGCGAGGTCATCGCGTGTTGATTTTTAGCCAGTTCCTCGAAAATCTAGACCTGGTGGAGGACTTTCTTGTCGGTTCAGATCTGCTTTACTGCCGTTTGGATGGCAAATTGGCCGCTCGGGAGAAGCAACAGCAAATCGACAAGTTCAATACGCCGGATTCTCCGTTCTTTGCTTTCCTGCTTTCCACTCGATCCGGTGGTGTAGGCATTAATTTGGCAACTGCTGATACCGTGATCATCATGGACCCGGATTTCAATCCCAAGCAAGATATGCAAGCCTTGTCGCGTGCCCATCGAATCGGCCAAAAGAAGCCAGTCCTTGTATTTCATCTGACTACCAGGTCTTCTGTCGAAGAGAAGATCATGGAAAAGGGCAAGAAGAAGATGGCTCTTGAGCATGTTCTTATTGAGCGCATGGAGGCAGATGAGGAGGAGGAGGATTTGGAATCCATTTTGCGTCATGGTGCTCAGGCTTTGTTCGACGAGGATGATTCCGCTGATCATTACTACGACGCTGAGTCGATCGACAGACTCCTGGACCGAAGCCAAGCCGAGCAGGCTGAAAAATATGATGCCGATACCCCTGGCTCATCGGATCAACCACAATTCAGCTTCGCTCGCGTTTGGCAGAAGGATCGCAATACTCTGGAAGAGGTGTCTGTGAGTGAAGACAAGCCGGTCGACATGGATATCTGGGAGCAAATTTTGCGCGATCGTGAACACGCAGCTCGCGAGGAAGCGTATCTCAGAGCCGAGAAGCTTGGCCGTGGCAAGAGAAAAAGGCCTGCAATCAGCTACAAAACTCGAGAGGAAGACCTCAATGATCTTGATATGGACGTTGATAAGGACGACAGGAGTTCATCTGCCCAACCTTCATCATTCAAAAAGCGCAAGCCAAACGCAGCTGACAGTGATGTTGAGTTTCAGCACGACGAAAATGAACTTTCTGACTCGAATGACGGGGAGACTCCACAAGATGACCCGGATTTTGGCACCCCGCCGCCGAAAAAGACTCGTCCATTTAGACGTGTTCGGGTTAATGCCATTGTCCCTAATTTCGGCCTCGATGGTGCTATGGATGCAGATGCAGCTCCACCTAGAGTGTGTATCGTATGCAACACGAACCACGAGGTTGGCCGATGCCCTGTGAAAGAAGCCGGCGTTGAACATTGCCCACTGTGTGGACTTCCGCACTTAGGAGGACGTCGAATCTGCCCCCATTTCCATTCTCGAGTTCAGATACAACGAATGATGGATGCGCTGCGTTACAGTAATGAGAACCCGCAGATAATCGCTTCTGCCAAGAGGTACTTGCAGGGTGTACTCAGTCATCTGACCGTACAAGAACGCATATCATCCTCAATGCAGCCTTCGACTCTCGCCGCCTCGTCTTCAGCGGGCCCGGTCCAGTATCAAGTCCCAATTCTTGGCCTGCAAGCAACTCCAGGTCCATCCCAGCACCCTCAGAGAAACTTGCCACAGCAGAATCCCGAGCAGCCGGCTTTGACATTTGTGCAGAAGTACCCGTCTCCATATGTACACACGCACCCACCGGCCGGTCAACTCCCTCGTGCGGATTATTTCCTGCATCAGCCGCCTGTGCATCAGCAGCATGTAGCGCAGACTGGGCAACCTCCTCGTGTGGGTTCATTTGTGAATCATCAACCTGTATCCCGGTTCCATTTTCCTACCGTCCCACGACCTCTCAATTCCAATCGAACGGTTGTTGACTTGACGGGATCGGATACAGAGCCTACCACTACCACATCTTTCTCTGGTGCCCCACGCACTTCTGCTTTTTCTACCCATCACAACTATGGGAATTCCTCGGTTTCTAAGCCTGCAAATTGATATCTTTATTTTTCGAGATCTGTTTTTTGGGTGATTTTCTCGGGGTGATTTTTAAAACTTGCACAAAAAAATTTCTAAATTGCGTTTTTTTGTTTTTGTTTTTGGCGTCATCGATTTCAAGGAGTTAGTTCAAGGTGGAGGGAACTCTGGTTTCTCGCGGTCTTCTTGTTCTCTGTATTCATGGAGACATGGTTACATGGAGATGTTGAGGACAAACTTGCATTGCAATTTCCTTTTTTGATGGTCGGTGATACCTACTACTAGTACTACTACTGCATGATACCCCTTTTGCTTCGTTTGTTTTTAGTTCAGATAGCGCAGAATTTGAATGCAAGCTATTCTAACTTGAAGTTACATAAATATGCACGTGGTGCTTAGGGACTTGAAGTAATTGATTTCAAGTACACATGGATGTGCAAGTTGTAACGTTGGAACTTGAATCTACATTCTAATCAAAACATTTGTACATCCATTCAAATGTTCACCTGGGCAAGTTCGAGTTTGAACCGATCAATACATGATAGTAATAACTTCAAGTCAGGCGAACTTGAAGCACTTGCGGGCTTGAGGCAACTTCAAGCAGAACCTTTGAAATCTCAGTTGAGTCGAAATTGATACTAATAATGACCTGCCACTGAGGCCTCAGACTCGGAGTGCCAATACTAGTACTAGGTAGTAGGTCAAAGCACATGAATATTCGAGTACTCAGGGGCTAGTACATAATCACTGTACAAGTTGGCGATTCGCGTGCGGGGTCAACTGGTTGAATGGTGATGTGATCCTTCCAGTAATCCGAGTCCTTTCAGGGTAGCAATTTTATCTATATCCATCTTACATCTTCTCCAAGTCTGAACAGCACTAGCACTGGCAGAATTTCAAGTTCCAACATTTGAAGGTTGAAGGGCCACGTCATGGATCGTGCCTGCCCAGGTGCCTAGCTAGGTGGCCTGCATGAGCTCTGGCAGAAAGAATCAATTCGATGGTGCTCCAGTGCTGATAAATCATGTAGTAATATTAGTGGCTACATATTCAGAAATTTTCCAGCTTAAAGTTTCTCTTCTATGTCAAGAATGTTCAACTTGAAGGGTTGAGAGAGCATGGTCATGTAGACTCGGATCGGACATCTGGAGTGTCCGACTCGGTACCTACCTACTACATAGTACTACCTAGTAGTGCTTCAACTTAAAGTTCCCAGGTGCCTAGAACCTTATTTAGACGACACCATGACCTCCTGAGCAGACAAATGCGCACATGTGCACGAGCTTGATTCAAATGTTTCAAGTCTGTCAAATTTCAGGCCCTACATAGTTAATTGAAATAGAATGGTTTTCCTCTTCATACTACCTACTATGTACAGACTTTAAGATTTCCCGTGCAGTACTATGATGTTGCTCCAGTAGTATGGATGTATATAGATACTAGTACAATCTGAGCCCTTCCAAGGTTCAAGTTGATGGGACACGTATCTCCAGATGTCCCCAATAGTACTCATATATAAGTACTCTTCAAGTTGTCAATACTTACTACTCAAGTGCTCAACTGCAATAGATTTGGGTCCGAGTCTTCGCGGTATTAACTTCAATTCCAGCATGAAGGGGCATTCTGTCAAACAGAGTCGATTTAAATCTCTCTCAAAATAAAAAAAACCTATATTTCTCAGAGGAATTACAGATGATGTTCCTCGAACAACTCTGTGTACCTTGAGGCCCTTGGGAACGGGTAGGGCCAAAACAGTCACGAGACATTCCGCATAAACAACATTTGAACCTCGACCATTGAATGATGATGAATTCGATCTACGATTCACTCTTTCTTTGCGATTTGACTGTGTAGTTTGAGCCGGGAAAGATCCAGTGTAAGTGAGACGAACATTATAATACATTGTATATGTGGATTCTGGACTGTTATAAGTCTTATGACGTCGCAACTTCCAGATGTCTATTATTAGCTTTGCCCTAAGTCTTGGCGTCCTTCTTTGCTCCATCGACGTATGTATTCTGAGTTAGCTTCAACATCCCCGACGCGCTCTTTCTGGTATAAAGGACCAATTTCACTGCTCTATTCATGTGGATCATTTATTCCGTGTACTTTGATTCTTTCGACTAAGATTCCTTGATGGCTTTTGTTTGTCTTTCGGGAGTATCTCGAACCAACTCGATGTATCTCGGGGTCCGTCCATCGAGCAAGAGGGCTACCTTTCGAGGAATATCAATTGTAGCTTGGAATACATTTAGGTCTTTTTTGCTGCAAAATTGAGCCAACATGTCTGAATTTGCTTGCAATTGCCAACTTTCCATGACCAATGGAAGATTCTAGGCAGTTGCCCAGCAGCATTGGAGTCCAAGGGATAGAAATACATTGCACAATGTCCATTAGTTAAAATCCATGGGCAACAGGAACAAGAAGTTAAAGATACTGACAGTTGGCAAGTCCCGTGACCATTGTCACTTTCTGCCGAGTGTTTCCTTTTTCTGAGTATATGGCATTTCAAGGATGGTGTTCATATCCTGGGTGAATGAGTGCTGCAGGAAGGCAATCAACAACCTCCAAGGCTCCTGTGTCCAAGGTTATCATCAAACACTCTAGATTAGGAATATGACACGATCTCCAGTGAATGAGACGTGTCATTTCGTGACTTCGGACCACCGGGCACAACAAAAAAGTGTGTTCTCTCACTTCCGGCCCTGTGGCGCAGGAAATGTATAGAACCACCAACTCCAACTTCAGTAACAAAATCAGCCTTAACCCCGCAAATATTATATGACAGCCCCCATTTTTTTTTCGTTTGCACTATGAATGCCATAGCCGATAGTATAATATCCTGTCTTGTTTATATTAGAAAAGACCAGAATTCACATAGATCTGAAGATGTCTTTGACACTGTATCGAGAGTCCATTTCCTGCATGCCAGGATATTAAGAGGAAAAACGATCCAATACAATTCTTCGGACCAGGAAATCGCAGCCTGGTATAAATTGACTGTGAATCTCTGTTCCCTTCTTCTCTTCTTCCTTCCTCCTCCCCACCCCTTTCACAAGTCTTTCTTCTGCCCCATCCCTCTTGATACCTTTATCAATCCGTTACCCCTCTTCAGTCCTTCCTTCTTTGTTCAACATCGTTCCTCTTATCGATCCTGTGCAACGACTCCTTCACTGTCCCGATCTTGCCAAGCTTTGGTGTGCCTTGTGGGGTAGCTCCTGTATCCTTCAACCTTCTCTTGTTGGGGACATAGAGTAACTTCATCATGGCTCCCATGCTTGTCAACATGGATGCTACTCACTTTTGCGCGCGTCCTAATGGACACATCACCTCGATGATCTGTGTTGATGATCTTCCAAATGACATGATGATTGACGGTGCACCCCGCAAGCTAAATCCTGCAGAGACCCAAGGCATGACTAGCTGTGGTGTGATGCCTAATCGATCTGAGCCTTGGATAATCAACCAGGACAACAAATCGCCTGTACTTGCCAGTCACAAAGGTTTTGATCAAATGAAGTCGTTCTTGTATGAGCTCATGGAAGATGATTCGGTTCCTTCTTATCACCGTGATACCCTTGGGAAGCTCATCTGCGAATTGTCCGACGAGCCGATCCCTTCCAATGCTTTGGTCAAGATTTCCCCCACTCTTACAAACTCCTCCCGCTCAAGTGCCAACCGACGTGTAAGTTCCTTCTCATATTTGTGGATGTTTTGACAGAACTGACTCTCAATATCATCAGGCTCGCAATGGTTATGGCCGAAAGGAGTACTGTTCCTACTGGATTCGTCACGGCGAGTGTGATTACCAGCAGCAAGGTCAGTTGTCTCTGCTATGGAGAAATTCACTTTGCTAATGTTCCAAATGTTAGGTTGCCTGTTCAAACATGAGATGCCTCTCGACCAGGAGATGTTGGAGAGCCTTGGTCTCCGTGATATCCCTCGGTGGTATCGGGACAAGCATGGCCTTCGCAGTTTGTTAAGCACACCCGAGTATCCCAACCAGACCCGTCCAGGTCGCCTTGCAATTACCGATCGTCCTCGCTGCAAGGCAATTACGTACCCTGAGAACTGTACCGAATCCACCATTGACCTCTCGGTGGCCTCGAATGCACCCAGTCGCTCGACTCGAAACAATGGCAATGGCAAGAAGGGACGTGCTAATGGTGCCAATGGTCATCAGAAAGGTAATGGCGGCCGTGCAAATGGACACAACCAGAACCAGAAAGCTGGGGAGGCAATCCACGATGGTTCTTCTGCCATCTTAACTCCTGAGTCAATTGGTAGCGCAGCATTGATTTACAAGCCTGGAGGTCGTGCAAATGCAAAGAACCGCTCAAACTGGCGCAAGAAAGCAAATGGAGGGCCATCTGAAGTCTGGACTTCTCCTGCTGTGAATGGTGATGTCAATTCTGGGGCTGTGGTAAAGAAATCTAGTCCTCTTACTAATGAAGTGAGCTTGGTGAGTGAGACGCAAATTGTTCTTGATAGTTCGGTTCTTATTTCTAACGTGTCACTCACTTCACAGGACGATACAAACGATACAAACGGTCCAACCACTTCCCACACTTTGATTTCTTTGACCCCACCATCCACCAACCCTTCATCTGTTTCTTCTCTGGCAATTTCTGACTCGTCTCCTGTGATCGTGATGCCTGTTGCTGATTTCAACCCCAAAGCGGGGGCCGAGTCCTTCAAGACCGAGGATTCTGCCGAGGCCAATGTTGACGTTGACGTTCTGACTGTTGTCAAAGACGACGACAATACTGAAGCAAAAGTTGCTCCTACCGTTGCCTTGCCTGAGAGTGTTCCCACTGGACCCAAAGCTGATCGCATTCCTGCTGGACCTAAGGCGGATCGTCTTCCTCCTACTGCTACCCCGTTTAGTCCTGCACGCTCTATCCGTGGAAGATCCTTTGCCTCTCCCTCCCGCCACAATGAAGGCTCTTCCCCTGCTGCTGTCAGCCCATTTGGCACTGCTCGCTCTCACAAGGGAAATCATTCTGTTTCTTCTCGTCGCTCTCGCCGTGCCGGCAATATCTCTACCAGCTCCGTCGCTACTGTTCGTCCCCCTCAGCAGGCAAGCTTCTCTCAGCAGGTAAGCGCCTCTCAGTATGTGAGCCCTGTTCAGTATGCGAGCCCTGTTCAGTATGCGAACCCTGTCCACCATGCGAGCTCTGCCCAGCATATGACCTCGGCCCAGCAGGTTAATCCTCCTCAGCAGGCGAGCCATTCTACTTCTGGACATCCTGTTGGCCAAAATGTGTCTGCTTCGACTTCTGATTTTCAGCTGGCTCCTCACCCGTGGTATCCTAACGTTCGCAGCATGCAAGGTACTCGTGGTCCAATTACCGTTGTCGACAATTTCCCGTCTTTTGGTGGTGTCAAGCCAATTCCTTTTGACTACTCTGACCCCAGCTGCCCTGCTATCCAGATCACAGAGGCTTCGCCAGTTCAGGATGCTGGTCAAGGATTTTCTCGTCAAGATCTGGCTGGTCAAGGCCCCGCTGGTCAAGGATTTTCTCGTCAAGGTCTGGCTGGTCAAGGTTTTGTTAGTCCAGGATATCCTAGTCATGGATATGCTAGTCATGGATATGCTCAAGGTACTCCCGACTGGCGTATGCTACCCCCTGGTCTGCCAGTTCCTGCTAATTATGGCGGTACTGTCACTGGTGGTTCTCTGAACCCCAACACACCCTCGTTCGCCCCCATTCAGAGCAATCAGACTCCCGACCTCGCCATGACCCGCCGATCTGAGCGCCCTGTTCGACCCTATGATCCCTGGGACTCTTATGATCCTTTCACTAGCGCTTCACGTCACTGGGGTCAGTCCAGAACCCGCCCGTCTGACCGGGGCAATGGTCAGGGCAACATGGGCGGCGATGGTGGTTTTTCTGTTGATCTTTCCACCCATTGGTTGTCCGGTGATATTCGCGGCCTCTTGCGTGGAATGGCCCCAGATAACACTGGTGGCATTTCTGCTCAGCAGTGGTCTAATGATACTTTTGGCGAAGTGACCCCTGAGAATGTTAACGACCTGTTGGAATGTGACGGCGATGATCCTATTCCGCCCCGATACCAGCGAGGCGGTTTTATCCCTCGCGGTCTAGGTGACAATGAACCTTTCCGCAATGACGGTCTCTAATCGAATGGATATTTGATGAGTTATCTTTGCCGTTTATGATGACATGATAACATGATTTATGGAAGTTCATGATTCCATATGTTTCGCGATATTTCTCAATTTCCTTCGTTTTCACCGGTGTACCACGACTCGCATGTTTCAACAATTATGTGCAGATTCTCGAATGTCTCCATAAGCTGTTCCATTCTGATATCTTGCATAACCCTGAAGCCTTCTTCAGCAAATACAAATCTCAGCTTGCGCCTGTTTCCCCCTCTGCGCAACACAGATTGTCTCAATCCCTTCTCTTACCCTTTGTTTACCTCTCTTTTCATTGTGAAAAACAAAAAAAAACACAAAAGAAAGATTTCTTCTCGTGGTGTTTGCAGAGAAGTGGCACGGCTCCATCGTTTGTTTGTTCAATGGTTGGTCTCCCATTTAAATTAAACATATGGTGTTCGGCTTGGCCCTCTTTCAATTATCATTTATCTTTTCATTTTGCGTTTTGGGGTTTTATTTGTATTCCCCCAGGTCTTGTCTTGTCTGCAGCTGAGTGGATGCGCATGAATCCTTTCCAGGAGTCTCCTTCTTAAAGGCTATGCAGCTGGCCTACCTGTCTCTTTTAATTTTTTATTTCGCGTTGCTTGTTTTTCACTTCTTTCAGCCACCGGATTGATTTTGGACGTGCTCAGAAGATTGATTTGGAGCCCTGCCTCACGGCGGGAAGCCCTTTCTTCAAGGCGTGTTCTCCTTTACGTGCCCAGAAGATCGATTCGGAATCCTGCCTCACGGCGGGAAGCTATTTCTCTTCAAGGCGTGTTCGGTTCTCCTTTGGTTGTCCCTTGTTGTGACGTTCTTTTAGTGATATTCAGTTTAACAAAAATCAGAAAATCCAATTTGCGACAATTTCTTCTCTCTTGTAGACTTTAAATTTGACCTGGACTTGGGAAATGAATCGGCTTTAAGTATATAGAGTTGAGGTGACGTTAAATGAAGCTCGGACCGGGTGTAATTCCGAGTCCGGCTTAGGGCAAGGTAGGTGGTACCTGGCTCTACTATCTACAGGGATATCAGCAGGAACACTACCTGGGCGGAAATGATATTACAAGGGACACCAATAGTAGCGAGACACTAATAAAATTGAATACAATGGTTATAATACATCTAGAAATAACGAAGCCTGGGAAAGACCTCCAGGAAATGCGCCCGCGCCTCGCGAATGGTTTTTGTCCAACAACACACCAAATAGAAAGACCATGCAAAGCATTTACAACCCCACTAACATCTTACCGACGAGCAGGCTTTTTCCCACGAGCTCCAACCTTAACAGCAACACGCTCCCGCTCTTGTGTGGCCTTGGCCTGCAGGGCAGGGTTAAGCTCTGGAAGGGAAAGGACAGCACCGCCAACAACTTCATTACCATCAACGAGCTCACGCTGCTTCTCGGCATTGTAGCGCTCCTCTCGACGGGCAGCGAGCTGCCTGCGACGCTCCTCGGTCATCTTCCAGGAGTCAGGGAATTGGGGACGGAACTTGGGCTTGTGGTGGCGGAGATCGAGAGGAATATCAGCAAAGGCATCACCTGTCTTGGCCTCCTTGATAAGAGAGTTAACAATATCGGCAAGATAGCGCTTGTTCTGAGCGCGAGAGCCAAATTGCTCACAGGACATGCGCACAACGTCGGTCTGGGGGTTGTAGCGGGTGCCGACCAGCTTGAGGAAGGTTTGGCGCTGGGCTTCGGTGAGGATCTTGGGAGACAAATCCTTGGAGGCAAGCTCGACAACAACCTTGGGTTCAGCGGGGTGCTGTTCACCCATATAGGTAGTGTAACGGAAACGAAGGATGTGGTTTTCCGGGGGCAGGGTGAAGGGCTGTGCGAGTTCTGCGTGAGGGAGATGTTAGCAAGATACAAAACTGACAAGTAGAGGGAAGGGGGCAATCTTACTGCTCAACATTGGCATGTCCCAAGCGGCAATTCGAGCATACTCTCGCATTTCCCTGTGGAATTCCATCTCCGCATGAGCCATGGAGGTAATTTCGTCGTCGTTGACCTCCTCGTCACCGTCCTCAACCATCGCGAATTCATCGTCTTCATCCTCAGCCCAGAATCCACGTGAGGTGTTTCGGACATCCTCAAATCTTATGTCCTCCGCCTTGTCAATCTGATTGACCTTCTTCTCCAGCTCCGCAAATGCAGCAGTTCGCTTGGAGATATCGTTGTAATCGGCCACAAGACGCTTGTTCTCGGCATCAAAGGCCGCGCGCTCTGCTGGAGAAAGCATATCATACATCGAGCGCTGTTCCGGGTTCAATTGCTCTGGCGAGTACTCCGGCATTGGCGGAAAGTCCTCCGGTCTCATTTCCTTGGGCGGAGGAGGCACGACCGGATCTTCGGAGACAAATCGGTATGGTGAGACGGAAAATGAGCGTGTGGAGATTCTCCCTGGCCCCCTCTGGACCAGGAATCTGGTGGTTTGTACCAATGACCGTGTTGCTGAAGCCATTGCTATAGACGTGAACAGGAGACTATTCACCTGTATCTTGGTCGATGTTTTCCGCCTTGAAAGTCCGCTCTACGCTAAACCCAGATAGTATATAGTCACGTGATATATACACTGTAGGTGGGTAGTAGCCTGGAGTATGGTAGTTACAATAAAAAATATCATTACTAAGCAAGATGTGTCCCTCCAATTTTGGTCTAGTGGTAAGATCATGTGATTTCTGCTCATGTGAGCTTCAACCCCTTCAAAGGCGGTGAGTTCCTACAACATCTTCAAAGGCGGTGAGTATCTACGACCTTTACGGTCCCTGCCGATAAGAACGATAAGATGTGTTTCTCCACCTGCTTGAGCTTCCTTTACTCATGGTTCCATCTTCCAAGACGTCGCCGTCGCGTTCCCCATCGAATCATGGCCGAAACTACCCTCTCTCCTGGCAGCTCTGCCATTCCTCTTGAAGGCACGCCTCCCCCCTACATGAAACTATGTGTGGTGACTATTGGCGCTACAGCCGCCTTCAATACACTCATCAGTGAGGTCATGGACGAGCGTTTCTTTGCCAAGCTTTATCAGGCTGGATTCACCCATATCATTGTGCAGTATGGAAAAGCCGGGAAACCCATTTTTGATGAATTCCTTGAGAAGCACCCCTTTGGCCACCCTGGTCTTCACGGCATAGGAATTGGTGGATTTGAATTGAAGCCGAGCTTGCACCCTTTCTTCATGATGGCTAAGGACCGCCTGGATAAAGACCCACCTCAGAAACTTGGCTTGGTTATCTGCCACTCTGGTTAGTTGTCCTTCCATTCGACTCCAACTCAGACGTCGCGACTTGTTATGATCCTGTTAACACAAGGCAGGAACTGGAACTATTCTGGAGGCCCTTCGTCACGGTCTGCCAATGATTGTTGTACCCAACCCAGACCTTGCCGACAATCATCAGGAGGATCTGGCACGTAAGATTGACCAGATCAAGTGGGGTGTCATGGGCAAAATTGGGTATTTTCTCACGCACTCGTGTTCAGGGGGGTTTAACAACTAACAATACACTAGTAACGTCGCTGCTGCTATCGACAAGGCCGATGCCCTGCGAACTCGAGAGAATGAGTATGAAGAGGAGAGCGTGGATAGTATGAATTCAGCCATGGATGACGAGCTCTCATTTGTTGACTAGAATTGGTAACTAACAACCTTTTGTTTAAATAGCTCTCAGATTTTGGGCTCGTTTCAACTAGCCTCATTTGAAGTTTTCACAACCCTCACGTTTTCAGCGACTGGCTTTCTTTGTTTCTCCTTTGGCGCCCATATTTGATGCTTCAATTCGCATAGCGTGGCGCACACAATCAAGTCGCTTTTGAAAATCTGACCATTTCATTGCCCAGTATCAGCAAATGGCCTCACGGCTACAATAGTTAGTGACACAACTGCTGGCGTCACATAGAACTTCTCTTTGATCGAAGAAACAGAAGAGAATCCTTATAGCCGTCTGCCCTTCAAAGACTACCCCGGATGAGGCATAGTAGGAGCGCAATGGTGATATACTACTTACAGACTTCCACAGGCTAGTGACGCAAATACCCGAGGCTTGTAGCCGAACGGCCCCTCAGAACCCACGCTTTTGGAAAATCAGCTTCTAGTACCAAGGTTAAGTGCCAGTGGTCTTCTGCATCCACTTGGACCTTGAATTTCTTCTCGGCTTGACCTTGGTTCTGACTTACTTTATCACCCACAGTCACTCATTAGCTAACCTGACCTAGGTATACTCTCACACCTCTTCAGCCGTATGCGGACCCTGTGCTTATATTTTTCAATACTAACATTCATATATTCTCCCACGAATGGCACACATTGGCATCCGATCATTCCTTCTAGATCCTAAAGGAATCTCATTAAGTCATCCATTATGAATCCTCGGCATCATGTTGATCTCTCGGAAATGTGACCCTCATCTTTAAAAGCCCAATGGCTTTCAAGCTCGGTCTAGAAGCTAACACCTCTCCTCAGGACTAGGTAAGGACACAAATTGGGTTATCTGAGTCTCTTTGTGGTTGTCTTTTATCTGCTCGTGAGGCTTTGATCTACGACCATTCTGGCTCATGAACCTTGAATATCTCCCAGCACTTGAGTCAATTTGGGGCTATGAATCACCTACACATTTTGTGTAGATACACACAGCTCCCCATCCATCTAGGGATGAACGATTTGTAGGGCCAGCACTTGAGTGCCGAGGTAAGAGTGTTGAACAATACCAGGTACATCCAGGACTACTCTCGAGCTCGGCCCTGGAGGCACATGCTGGTGACTAACTTGAACATCCAAGGTTGAGCCTGGGAAGGCCACTATCTTAAGTAAATACCTAGTACATGTAGTATTGTGTAGGTGTATACTATTTATATCAGACGAGCTCTGAGTACTCCATGAGTCCAGCTTGAACTTGAAGTTGTACTAGTAGTACTATTTCCCTTAAATACTGGATGCCAGTATGGACAAAATATTGTAGTTGAAATATTCAACTAATTGATCATAGTATAAAAAGATATTTCAATGGAAATTCAATTTGTACAATCAACTTGTCTGAATGAGTATAGGTCCCAAGTCCAATATTGGAGTGGACGGGACGGGCGCCATCATCTAAGGTTGGCCAAAGCTTCTTGTTGACAACTCCCCGACGCGAAAACACTCTCAAGTGCTCCTGAATCCCCATCGGCGAGGTGAACCTGGTCGTCAACTATTACAATACTCCATGTCCTCTTGCTTTGGACAACGATTCCAAATATTTTGACCTGCCAGATCCTAGGCCCCGGGGCCGTGTCATAACTCTCCCAATTCTTACCCCCGAACCTCCCCGTTTACCACTCAACCCCCCGCAATGGCTGAGGCCACCCTTCATAACGTGCCAATTGTCATTGACAATGGCAGTGGAACTATCCGAGCAGGCTTCGCAGGAGAAGAGATTCCGTCATGTTATTTCCCTTCGTTCGTTGGTCGTCCCAAACACCCGCGGGTCATGGCGGGTGGTCTGGAAGGCGACTCCTTCATCGGCCAGCGCGCACAGGATCTCCGTGGTCTATTGAAGATCCGTTATCCTCTTGAACATGGTATTGTTACAAACTGGGAGGATATGGAATCTATCTGGCACTATGTCTACGAGAACGAACTCAAGACTCTCCCCGAGGAACACCCTGTACTGCTCACGGAACCTCCGCTGAACCCTCGCGCAAACCGGGATATCGCGGCCCAACTCATGTTCGAGGCTTTTAATGTGCCAGCATTGTACATGTCAATTCAAGCTGTGCTCTCCCTTTACGCGTCTGGGCGCACAACTGGTGTGGTTCTGGACTCTGGAGATGGTGTCTCTCATGCGGTGCCTGTGTTTGAGGGTTTCGCTATTCCGAACAGTATTCGCCGAATCGATGTGGCTGGTCGTGATGTCACAGAACAATTGCAATTACTTCTCCGCAAAGCTGGGCATGTTTTGCATACCAGTGCCGAGAAGGAGGTCGTCCGCATGATTAAGGAGAAGGTCTGCTACGTGTCGCTGGATCCGAAGCGCGAGGAGAAGGAGTGGATGAACAATTATCACAAGTCAGATGCAAAGGCAGTCGACTATGTTCTACCAGATGGACACAAGATTAAGGTGAGAAATCGACAATCTCAAAGCCCTATGCCTCTTTGGGGGTGGATTTTCAACTAACCAATTTCCCTCTTTATAGATCGGTCAAGAACGTTACCGTGCCCCTGAGATTCTCTTCGATCCCGAATTGATCGGCCTCGAATACCCTGGTGTGCACCAAATCGTGCAGGACGCTATCACTCGTACAGATCTCGATTTGCGCAAGTCACTATACCTTAACATTGTGCTTTCTGGTGGATCGACACTCTGCAAGAACTTCCCCGATCGTCTTATGCGTGAAATCAAGCGACTCGCCGTTGAGGATATGAAGATCCGTATTTCCGCGCCTGCAGAGCGCAAATACACCACCTGGATCGGTGGTAGTATTCTTGCAGGTCTCAGCACATTCAGAAAGGTTAGCAAGATTCTATATCAAATGTTTGCTGAACATGATCTAACAAATATCTTCTGTAGATGTGGGTCAGCGCAGATGAATGGCATGAGGACCCCGAGGTTATCTTCAAACGATTCGCATAGAACAATTGCCCCGTTCACTGAATTTCCATTGCCTTTGCAAAGTTGACTAGACTTCGAACACCCATATCCGCAACCCTCAACAAGAAGAGGGGTTTTATCCTCAAATAACCACGCTTGATCTCAGCAGGCCTTGCTCTGCAGAAGGAAGTGATCTGTGATCACTTGGAGACTTATTGAGTCGTACACATTGCGGCTTTTGATACCCATTTCCCCATGCCTATCCCATATCTCCCGGTTCTTACTTTGGTACCTTATCCACATAAATCTGTGCAAATATATTTTCTTCTTGTTTCTTCTAAGGTTGGAGTCTCGTGGTATGAGTTAGGTGTATACAAATGCGCTACTATCTTCGTATTTGATGAATAGCCCGGGCGCCTTCAAGATTTTCGAATTTCTTCAAAATACAAATACTATGCTACTGTGAATAAATTCTTTGGACTCGTTTTTTGGTAGTCAATAATACCTCGACTCAAAGCGTTCAAACTTCACATGTGCATGGATGACGTGACATCTACACTCAAGTGCTGGCACCTGGTTACTACTAGTACTTACTACCAGCCCTAGAACCTTGGGAATTTGTATGGGTGTACCTAAAAGTATTAGGTCCACGGGTACATACATTGACCTAGTAGCTCTGGAGGTACTATTCAAATGAAACTTCAACATTTGAACTGTGACGAACATCCATTCCAAGGTTTGACGGTATATAATATGTACTAGTACTCAGGCTATGGATGGATGTAGCGGCGCCCAGGTATACATATCGATGGTCCAAGTCCGAGTCTCTCAATGAGTCTGGTGCTTATTTAGGTACCAGGCTCCAGGCTCAAGGGCTAGAGCATACTAATGGTACCCGTGGACTGTGACGGTAGACATCATCATGATGCAGATCTGTAGGTATTATGGCCCCAGGCACTTGAGTGTTTATTAACTAACTAAGGTACTAGTACTACTATGACTCCAAGTTCAATGTTCTAATTGAAGTGCAATCTCAGGCTACAGATACGTCAGACTGATTGAAACTAGCATCATCTCGAGGTTGATATTTGTGATACAGCGGACGCATTTCAAGCATTTTAATACCTATTGGTCTTTGCTTTTTTCCAATGGCAAGTCTCTTTGTCTTACTTTTGCTTTGTCACTGACATTTTAACAGAAGGTAGAACAGGACATCCAGATGTCTAGCTGGGTCTTTCAATTGATCTAGATAGGATCTAAATTAATCATAGATTATAAAGGAGCCAAGTCTAGACAGTGGACATAAAACAAGCTGAAAGGTTTTCTCCCATGACTCAAGACCCAAAACTCGCCCCCAAGCGGCTCCCGTCGCCTTAAGTACGGCTACCACGTTACCACCAGTACGACCCACGCCACCATGGTACTATCGGCTAAGACTCCACCAAGTACAAAGGAGCACGTCTTCTTTATGAATACATCATCCATGGTGCATATTACAGCATACAGTATACGGATTACGAAAGAAAGTAAAAACTTGAGTGATTGAATAAAGCCATGTAGTTTATGACTTGCATATTGCATTGAATAAGGCCAAGACTAGGAAGTAGTAGTCAGGGTCGCGATAGGGGGAATCTGATGTTGAATAAAGGAAATAGAAGCACAGGAGATCAGAGAATAAAAGACTTAAAAAGAAATACAGGAGACTCCATTGGATGCGAGGAGATTCGAAAGAAGTTGAACGTCCAATTAGGCCCCATATACGCCATCCCAGAGAATAGAAAAGGGAAAAGGTTGAAAGAAGATAGACCGATCTTAAAAGACCCGGCGAGATGCAAGAATTGGGGATCACAAGTGTGAATCAACCAAAGTAACACAAACGCCGTTGTTCCCGTGAGTTGAAGTAGAGTGAAGAGTTCTCTGTGAAGCTGAAACGAGATAGAAAATGCAGTACAATAGATGCAGCAATTGGGGTATCGGCGAGACAGTGAATCGAGGAAAAGGAAAGCGACGGGTACAGAAGCGAAGCGCAATGCGATGCCCGTAGATTCATTTGATCCGTGATTCAGAATGGGACTCCGAAATTAAAAGACGAGGTAAGAAGGGCGAAAGAGCAAGAACTTTTTTGGTTTGGTCGTGAAGTTTGTCGTGATATCATGAATGATGAAGGTTCAAGATAAAGCCTTATGCGGTACCCTTAAGCTTGCCCCAACCCTTCTCAAGACCGCGGCGAGCCATCTCGCGAGCGCGATCAGCAACCGAACCAGTGGAGCTATTAGTAGCAGTGCTGGCGGCGGAGTACTTGCGACTGAGGCTGTAGTTGCTGCTGGAATCCTCGCGATACATCATGTTTCCAGCGCCACCGCGGCCAACATGGTAAACAGGAGCAGCACGGCGAAGGTCACGGGCGAGTTCCTCATCAAAGCTGAAAATAGCGCGCTCAGAGCTGGTGTGGACATTGCCAGCGCCACCACGGCCGGAAGTAAAAGTTGCGGGAGCACGAGAGTCGAGACGAGTGAGCGAAGCAGGACCGGTCGCAGTTCGAGATTCGGTAGTCTTGGTGTTCTTCAGACTGACGACATTTCCAGATCCTCCACGGCCAGTGTAGACTGCAGGGCGACCAGTATGGGGCACCGAAGGGTGCGGCTCAATAACACGGTAATTCGAAGCCATAGTTGTTGATGTGAGATTTAGATTGAAAGCTGCAAGAGCTATGAGGATTGCAAGGCCATGTGATGAAGTGAGAGCAGGTTGCTGAAAAAGGGTGCAAATTTCGATGATGGATCCAACGATTTTCAGCGGGGACAGGAAGTTTTATAGTGTCTTTATGAAATGGGGGGCATAGAGTCATTTGGACATTTGGCCAGGCACAACATCCATGGGTCACACGGTGTGTATGGGTGGGGCGTTGGTAAGTTGTGGAGTAATTTTTGCGAATTTTTATTTTATTTTTTCAGTTTTATTCAATTTTTTCCAATTTTTTCAATTTTTCTCCATCTTCTGGCAGTTTCGAACCATTGTGTCTGATGGGTAGCGTCATCGCTAGTTAAAAAGCGGCGACATAAAATTACCCCATTTAGATATAGAGTGGATCTGACTCAGCAGATTGGGTGCTGGAGCAACAACAATTTGGAACCAAGTGCCTCACTTAACAACAATGACTGGATCTAAATTGGTCTATTCTCCACTCACATTCCACTTGCTGCTTTAAGAGACGCCTCGTTGGCTATGATCATCTGACTGGGTCCTCAGCACCAATAATAGGCTCTCACACGTAACAGAAACTACTGCTGGCGCCAATCAGCTCTCCTGGCGTCTAAAAACAGGGATGAACGGTGGTTTCCTGGGGGTAATGAAAACTCCCTAAGCAGACATGACCAAGGAAAAAAAAACCTCATCTCCCCACAATTGGAACACGGTGGCCGTGTAAAATTACATCGTGCACACCGCAAAACCCTCGTGGCCCCGTCTCGCTCAATTGTTTGAACATGTCGCCATTGCCTCTTTTCCCGTGTGACCGAACTGACTGGTTCAGAATCTTCTTACTGTGCCGAGTGCTGAGCACTGACAGTTTACTATTATTGCATCATCCCGCAATTTTTCTCCCAACTATAGTGTTCACACCATATACTTGAACCCGGAGTACGCGGAATATTCAATGATGAAGCTAGATGATTCTATACTGTCGTGCTACAATATAAGCAATGAGCGATTTGCAAATGGCCCAATCTTGCGCAACAAGGACCCCGGAGCACGCTAGTATCACTTTCAATGAAGTTCCCAAGTTCCTTGTGTCCTACTATACAAAGAAAAAAATTAAGCATTGGAATACTTGAGCTTCGTACTATACCCCTCGGTAGTACATCCGTACAATACAGAGGTTTCATAATTCCAGGGGCCCGCCGATCCAAGCACGATGACTCCATACTGCGGGATAATTTCTCCCTTTAGCACGGTCGATCTGGTCTAGGGCCATACACTAGCCCACATGGTACCTGAGATCCTCAGCAACAATTCACGCAATTCATGTCCACTCTTCCCAAGACTCATTAATGGAGTATAGACTACGCCCAGAAGTGCCGAGAAAGAAGCCAGTTCATGATCAACGCCACTAAGGAGGGATTCTCTCCCTTTATTTTTTTTGCCCCTTACTACCGTTCTATCCGAACCACGTTGCTGATGCTCTCGGTTCCTTGCCGTATCCTATGACAAAGATGACCGGAACAGGTAAGGTGTTCCCCATATCAAGGACAGGGGTGACATTGAAAAAAAAAATGGAAAAAGAAAAAAAGAAGAAAATTTTTAAAATGGAAACATGACGAAACCAAGTGGATTCCAGCCTCGTAAGAAAATTTTTCCCGCTCATGTGCCCTGAATGGCCCAATGAACCGAAAACGCGGACTCAGTGGCAAATCAAAGACCACGTCTGTGCGTTATGGCCGCTTCCCCAGATTTTCCTCTTCCCCGGACTCCGTTCAGTTGCTTTTTTAAAGCAATCTCGTTCTATTGGGATCAGGAGGACATGAGATCCCGTGTGCTTGCAGTATGCAGATCCCGTGGCCCCTGTCCTTGTTTCTACTCGTGGTTGCTCCGGAATGAGCATAGAACTGCCCCCTGGGCGCTGCAGAAACTACTCTAATTAGTTGTCCCCTTTTGCAGTATGGCCGCTTTGAACCTCGGGAAACCCCGCCCTGTTACCCATATTGCTGCCCAGGGGCTTGCCGAGGAAAACTTTTATCCCAATGGTTCTGTTAGGCGTCGCGTGGACGTGTCAGTCGTATATCCATGGTTATTGGAATTCGAAAAGCTGGTACTATGGAGAGAACCCTCGCGTCGTGTACGGGGTTCACCGCAATTCTATTGCTATTCTAAGACAGGAGTCAATTTAATTGAACACATGACCAGTTTTCCGCACTATGTTCTTGGTACAATCACTAGAATGATTTGGAAATTCCATTCATCGCATAGACCTTCCCATATCATGGGTCTGTGTTGACACTGCTGGAAATCCAGGTACCTTTCTCCAGGGCTGCCTATTACATGATCGTGCGCGATTAAACACAAATATATGCACGACAGATCCAAATGGTATGTATTCCGAGCTTCTCTGGGCGTCGTACATCAATACCCTCTTACTATTAGATAATAGCGCCCAACATGACACATGATTATCACCCAGCAAAGGTCTCGACCACCCGGCCCGGTTACCGACTCTTATTGTCTTGGGCATGCATTTCCGGTAGGGTGTTCCGATGACGCATGATGCATTTAAGTTGACGGGGTTACGTTTTTGTTGGGGTTTGTTGCGTAAAAGTAACTTGAACTGCCCAGCTGGTCTTGTTGTCGAGGTGGTGCCTTGATCTCGATTGCGCAATATGATGGATCATGGCAATTTGCACGAGGTGCGGCAAGGACTCGGACTCAGCGTACAACTACAACCGGAAATTGAGCTTCTTGGTTTCCAATTTGTCGGGTCCTGTGTGAGCTCAAGGACTATGTTGGAAATAGATCTGGTGATAGATCTACAATTGAGAGCCAAGTATTTCAAGTCAACACTTGAGTTCAGATGATCATGAGGCGCATTCCCAAGGGCTTCTATTGAAAGTCAGTATCAAGGAACCACTAGCGGCACTTGGGCATGTTTGAGGTGACTTGGCAATGGTATTTTCAGAATCGAGTGCTCTGGGTAGCCTTGAATCTTCCCTCAAGTTCTTTTGAATGAATGTGGCACTTCATCCAACTTGAATACTATGTCTCATACTACTAGTAGTAGGTTTCGTTCGTCCAATGTGCTACCGGCCTTTGAATCATGTTCTAGACAAAGTGCTCAATTGGCCAAAATAAGACAGGTAAATTGATCCATTTTTTGGATCCCAATTTCACGAACTAGGCAGCTCAATTGAATATTGATCTTGACCCGCCAGCTAAACAAACAGTTATCGAAACCTGTCACGAATTCGGTGGCCGTCGGCGGTTCAAGTTTAATTAAGTTGGTCTAGTTTGCAAGGTGTTGTTTTACCATATTTTGAGAGAATGGATTGCTCATTGGATTAGAGATATATGAAGCTCAAGTGCTCAATCATACTATGTGACCCTATCACTGGCACTGGTTCTGTGACATGTTGGCCCCTTGCAAGACATAGCCCCCTTTTGCGTATAAATTGATACTTCATATCTAGGTATTCGCATCTAATAAGCTACACCGATGAGGTCCAAGTTCTTCAAGTTGAAGCCGGGTTCGGGAATCAGAGCATGAGCCATCAAAATGCTTGCATAGGTGTATAAGACACCTAGTATAGATGCCGTCCCATTATGGACGATATACAACTACTAGTAAGTGTCAGCCGCTATTCGGGGCAGTATGCACATATGTCTATATTTGCTTGATTTGAATCTCAAAAGAAATTTGAGGTAGTGTATCAACTGTAAGTAAGTAATATTCACACGATCCTAAATTTCTCAAGAAATTGATTCTTGAAGTAGGTAAGGGAAGTTGTACAGTTGGTGCCAAGCGATAAGAATGATGTGCAGTTTTGCCATCTTCACCGCCCTAACCTTCACCATCCGAATTGGGAGACGACCTCTATCTTGACACCTTCAGTTCATTGATTACCTTGCTTGCGACCTATCAAGAGGTGGTGTCTACTTTTTTACCTGAATTGAAATATCCTTATTGCTCAAACACCAGGCCATCCTCTGATTGGATCCTCTACACCTTGAACGGGAAATCTCCTCGCGCGGAACAGCAGCCGAAGACGCGCAAAGAAAGCTGTCAAGATGCCGAAATATAAGTCTTCCTCGATCCAGCTCCTTATGACTATCTATACTGACTTTCTGTGTACTCTTTTGTAGGTTGCAGTCCCGAGAACCATTCCCGCGATCGCTTTGTCTTTATCCCCTCCAGTGCGGAGATGAGACCATGATCCAAGCTTTTTATATCGACCGCCGTTGCGATAAGCTCCACAGATACTGACAGATAACTAACTTGAACTAAATGAACAGGCGACTACTGTGATGTTTACCTCACACACGACTCTATGAGTGTGCGCAAGGCGCATAACTCTGGTCGCAATCACTTGAGGAACGTGGTGGAGTACTATCAGCGTATGCCGCATTACCTCCCTCAGATATAATCATGGGCGCCGCTAACATGAAAATGCAGAGATCGGTCAAGAAAAGGCCCAATCAGTTATCGACTCCATCACCTCTTCCTACGCCGCGGAAGGCCAACCTCTCCCTAATCCCGCCATGGTTCCTCCAGGAGCATTCCCGCCACCATTCGGCTTCCCAGGTACGATGACCCCCGCAAATCGAACCCAACCACATCTCTTAACACATTGATATTCATACAGGTCGTCCAGGTCAACCTCTTCCATTCGGAATTCCTCCTCCAGGAGCTCCCGGCGCCCCAGGAATGCCGCCTCGTATGTTCCCTCCACCATTCGCAGATCATCTCCCTGGACCTCCTCCATTCCCAGTAACTAATCAATTCCCTCCCATCTGGATAGCTCCCGGTGGTCGCGGCATGCCTTTCCCTCCTCCATTCCCTAACGCCTCAGGAACCCCGCCAACAGGAGGTTTCCCTCCTCCAAACCTTCCTAACTTGCCCCCTGGCGCAAACCTCCCTCCTTTCCCCGCTGGGTTCCCTGCAAACTTCCCTATCCCTCCTCCCGGTGCAATGGGATCATTCCCTCCTTCCGCACCAGGTGCGACGCATTCGCCTATTCCTTCTGGTCCGCGGGGTTTAGATGCTTATCCCCCGCCTCCGGGTGGTGGAGCACCCCCTGGTATGGATCAAAAATGGTAAATCAGGGAAGTTTGCTTTCTTTCTCGATTAATGGGTTTGTTTGAGGTGTTTTCTGCTTTGACATCGTTTTTCTTTTCTTGATATCTCATCATAGTCATGATCACTACGTCTTTTCTTGATAAGACGTACAACGTTCTTCTTGTCTTGTGGCTGGAAATTTCTGCCGCTGGAAATCAAAATTCATCCTCCTAGGACGTGTCTTCCCCGGCGTTGCATAATAGCGTTTGGTTTGGGGTTTCTGCTGATCTCTCAATACTCAATATCATGTGTTCAATGAAGTTTTTCTGGTAAATATGTAGGCTTTATTAGTATTAAATTCGCTTGACTCATATTTTATACGTACATAGTTGGATAAGTGAAGACCTTGCAACCCTTTGCGGGTGGATCTCGAGTCTTGATTGGATACCTATGGATGCTTCAGCTGAAGCTTACAAGGCTACCTAAGTTGGTTGCAAGGGCTACAATCAATTGGGCAGGCCTACTACTAGTAGATGGGAATTTTGCTAAGGCTAGACGTTGACATAAACTACCTAGGTACTACATAATGCATAACCTGGGAAGTTTTATTGTAAAAGCTCGAATCGGAAAAGGAATTTATATTGCATTTGCCGTAAGTCCCAGGCCTAATCTCCGTACCCCAAATGCCTCAAAACGCCATAATCCTCAAGCTGAACTGGACAAAAAGGGAAGAGAAATACAGGACGACCATGAGCTTCCTTTCAAAGGAAAAGGAGGGTGGAATTGAGTGAATTCAAGAAGACTCAAGATCGATAAGAAGGGAAGAAGGGAGTGGTAGGGCCCAGGAAGCATCAAATCACGAGTAGCATGCGATGTCTGGAGATTGATGCCTGTTCGGAGCTCTGAACTGAAAGAAGAGAACCCATTTTTCATAGTGACACAGAGATAGGAAACGAAAAAAAGAAAATTACAAACACATAAAATACCCGACCCAAGGAATGACAAGCAACTTAGTCGACCGCTGTCCCAACGCTAATAACAAACGCATATCATCATATCTGGAAATTTTGGCAATCTCAGAGTGGACGAAACCTGACAATTACTCATAGCCCGCTCCTCGTTGCCAAGGAGTCGTACTCTGGGCTTTGTGGTTTGTCGCTAGTGCTGATTGCCCAACAGGCATGTTTTCATAATCTGGAGGACCACTCCGTTGACTCGATGCCTTGCTGGGCATGAGCGGCACTGATGGATCGACGGGTGATCGGGTATTTTGTGATTGTTGCATGTTCAGGGCATCAAAGCGTTGTTGCTGCTGACCAATACTAGAGGTGTGAGGACCGCTAGAGATGGAAACCGAATCTTCTTCAAATGGGCCTTGTTGGTAGGATTGTGATTTCATATCACCTCTAGCAGTAGCACCCAAGGCATCCAATTCTGTGTTGAGCTGGGTCTGCGACTTGATAAATGATCCTCGGTCATCGCGCATAGGCTGGTATCGAATATCAGGGTTCTTGGAGCAAATAGCATAGACCGAAGCGATCAAGACAAGAATAAGAAGGACGAGTGAGAATGCGGCGTTATACACAAAGAAGACAACGCCCATCACACCGATCATCAGACCTGGAGGGTTGAACACATTTGAGAAAACCAGCAGAAAAATGACGTTGACGAAGTTCACAACCGCAATTGAAATGTTGTAAACGTTGGTTTTCTTATCCATCCATGGCCGAAGGACACATACAGCAACCAACATGGCAGCCTCGATGACAACCAAAGCCACAGTTTGAACAACGGGGGCCGGCTGGCTCAACCCGATGAACATTCCCTTGACGAGAACGTACACGAGGTGGGGAACAACAAAGTAGTAAGCGGTTGCCCTGTACTGCACATACAGGAAACCCCATTTGTTCAAGCAAGCGGGATCAGAGTAGAGAATGTATGCCGGATTTCTGTGCATGGTGACCGAGCGTCTGGCCAAACGAATAACCTTTTGGGATGCCCAGCCCAGTGCAATGACCATAGAAACGATCATGACCACAGCCAAGACCACCTCGGCTGCCGAGTCACGCTGAGTAAATTCCCAGAGACAGAGGACAGCCATTTGAGGAAATCCAATCAAGGTGAGTCGAAATAGAATACCGCGAAGAACAATCTTCCACCCATGACGGAAGTCCTGAAACTTGTCGCTCTTGATCTTGCCATGCTTGGCGAGGAGTTCGCAGATGCCCTTGCAGGACGCAATGAAAATGACAACCAGAAAAACGAAGACAACGAAGAAAATGAGACCGGTTAAGAAAATGTTGGTCTCTTCAATATTGGCACGAAATCCAACACGATCGATGCCTCGCACAATCTCAACTTTCTGGCTGGCGTCCCGTTTGCCAAAAACATGGGCTCCTCGTTTCATGAGAGTAAGAGCAGGATCAATAGCGCGTTTCCTGAGCAGCTCCACTGAATTTGAGCTCAGTGAGGAAAGGAGCGTCGATGGAGTACCACCAGTTGCACGTTGATACCAAGTGCAAATAGTTTGTAGGAAGCCGACATGAATGATACCCATACTCCACTGGAATACCTGAGTCCACGATTCCACAATTGGAGGCATATGAACCGAGGTCATGCCAATCATAGCCTGTGACTGCATGAAACCAAATAGGGATAATGCATTTGCTGCAACATGAGCGGCAGTGTTGGAGTGGCCTAGCCCAGAGGTAATGGCGGATGCTGTGAGACCCAGGCCTGAAATGATTGCCGTCACCCAAGCCACTGAAACCTGGTAGACAGTTTTTCCATTGGAAAGTGCTGCTTCCACACAAGCAATTGCTTCGCCGGTATCCTTTTCCTTGATCACAATTCGCACATCCGCATCCAAATCTGGAACTGTGTACGCGATGCCCGGAATTTTCGAGGCGGTATTGTTTGGCAGTGTCAACGAAACAGAGGGCAAATCAATCGGACCCGGGGCCATGGGACACATGCCCATGCCTGCAATTGAGCAAGGATCGATCGTATTTGAGTACGCCTTGTAACCGTAAGCTGTTAGGGTCAAATCTGCCACGACCTTGCCCGAGATGTATGAGACACCATCAAAACCAAGCATAAGTGAGTTGTTGTTAGGGTAGAAAACCACATGGAAATAGGTGGCAGTGAAGTTACTGCTGTCCATACACACATTCAATGAATTGGATTCCAGGTATTTGACTGCCAATGCTGGTGCCACGAAGGCAACCAAGCAGGTGAGAAAAGATATCAACCTCATGCTGACCAACTCTTCAATTCTGATTTATAGAAGAGTGCTGGTCAATCCGAAGCCGAAATGAAGACCGAGGGAGACAAAGAAAAACGTGAGAATGACTGCCGAGGTGGTTACTCCAGAGTACCACGTTGCCAGCCGCCGGATGCGGAAGGTCTCTCAGCAGCTGAATGTCTCGGCGATTGATTTATGGTGGAGCCGAGGCGATTAATACTATCGTTGATGTGACGGCACAATACTTTGTCGTAGACACGAGAAAAAAAAGGTTCAATATGGTGGGTTTGGGGGATACCCTTTACCACATCGTCTGTTTGTGTTTGTGTCGAACAGATAACAGTCGGGATAACTAGGACGCGAATGTAGGAAGAGGAATTTGAACGAGAGTCGGCGGAGTAAAGTCTGAAATTAAAGGGATATCTGAGCTGACGTATTCATGGACTGCTAGGGACAATCTTCGGATCGAGGAAAATGTGAATTCGAGGTCGAAATATGAGGTCAAGTGGATAGAAGTACAACGAGTTGGAGGATAGAAGGGAGGTTAAGAGCGAGCGAAACTGGCAACACACACAGTATGAGCCAAAGGACAATAAGACCGAGACGAAGAGAATTAGAAAGAGAGAGGGGGTTGCCCTGTTGTCCGCGAAATTGGAATCCTCTAAAGGAGGAGAGGGTGAGTTGCTTTTGGTACAGGGACACACTGCGGGTCACCTGGAATGGAGGAATGCGGTTTGGTATGGTCATAAATGGTCCAGGCGCTTGGTATTGAACCAATCATAAAATAGGAAAATGTGTAACTTTGAGTAACCTTTGTAATAACCATGTTTTGGCGGGTGGACTAGTCCCTTTTGTGACAGGAACTAAGACCCTGGTCGATCACACTTGAAGAAACATTAGGATCTACTACATCACATCATCTATTTCTCTCTCTCTTTGCACTTTATTCCTTATACATATACGGAGTACCAATTTCAATGAACTCTCGCATTATGAACCATTATTACCCGTACTCTACCCTTCCATCTTTACCTTGAATCATCTCTACCCAGCCTGGGCATTCTCTTGGCCAGAAAGTAGTTGATGGACCGTGGCGCAACCGAGTGGGGCCTCCAGTCACCCTAAATAACTGCAGACAGATTACTTCATCCTACGTACCAAAGAAATCTGCTGTCATTTGTGGAGTGGTCAGTGGTTACAGGCTGCGGAAAATTTGAAGTGGAGCACTGCTTTGCAGGTACTCAGGTACAACCGCTCTCACAATAGGGAAAGATTTCTGACTCAAACCGCTTCTATTGTGGAGAAGTACTAGTTTTGTGCCCAGGTGGACGCATGGATGCATTGCGTCTGCCTGGTCTGGGCAATAATTGGCACGCAAAGCTCGATACATCCCAATATATCTCCCTTTTACTCATCCTTGGTCAACTAGTACCTCCTACACAGCCTTGATGGATCTTACTGAAACCCCTGAATCGGAATAAAGGGGCGAACCTATGAAACCTCTGGAATTTAAGCCCACGGGTCCCATGAGCTTTCATCTATAAGACAATGTAGTAACTTAAAAGGTTAGTATTCTCGAACAATGTGTCTCGTGGACATTGCATTTGTACCTTTATTACGTGCACTACAGATGCAGGGTCTTCCCTGTCATGTGTTGCCCCTCATGCGATTTTTAAACAGACAACCTTGCTCAGCCATTCTACTCAGCTCCTCTCCGGGGTATAACCCAATTCATTAAATTTGTCACGATATAATGACTCCCTCATTTTGCACAGCCCAGCCCGATCCTGATCAACTGATCTCATGATACTAAAATCCATGAGGAACTCAAGGTGTTTCAGATGCCTTCGACGTCCTGCATCCTGCGCCGACGAGCCCATACTTAGCGCCCGATACATATGAGCCTACCACTGGAGATGATCTTCTAGAGATTAGCGCAGGACCGATCGCCCGAGTCCTACTCGCATATCTGTGGGGCTATGTAGCCGCCCGTGCTCCCCTCTACTTTATAGATCGCCAACATGCGACCGGCGTGGACAGTCCTCATCAAACCCCTCGACTGCTGCTGCATCCCTCAAACTTCTCCGTACACCTACATGATTCCAATGCTCTTAAAAACAGAATTCTCCCCAACTTAAACTGGGGCAACATGAGATACCAACCATCCTTACCTCGACCGCGTAACAACGGATCATCTCGATCAACAGGCCCAACAGGAACATGGAATCCCCCCCAATTGTTTTAGCTCGCCAGACCGAAACCCACTTTTTCAGCCTAGTGAATCGAGTCATGGCCCCCAATCCCAAATGTCTTTATTTTTTAACTTAACATCAACAACTATCTGAAAAAAAAATGAAAAAAAGAAAAAGAAAGAGAAACCTCCTCAGCACATATGCACACATCAAGACTGTCCGAGTCTGGCCATGGATATATCAAAAATCGAAAATGGAAGCGCGTCTCCAACACCCGCCCAACTTGAACAGGATGAAGCTCCACCGCCCCTTTTCTCGCGTATCGAGACAAATACCAAGAGGTTTGTGCTCCTGTAAGTCTATTTCGGAATCATTCCAAATCTACCACAGAAAAAAAATAAGTCAAGGATTAACAGAAATCAGGCTTATCGTTGCCATGAGTGCTTATGTGTTGGCGGACTATCCAGTATGTCATTTCGTACTGGCCATGTATGAAGATACCTGTCAAAGCTGGGACAAATATATGAGCAGGCTTCGAGATCGCCTGTTCGGTGTATTTTCATTTTTACAGCTTATATTTGCAATTTATGCTCGTTACTGGGCGCCAGAGGATAGCCAGTCAACTCATGGGCCCAATGGCTGGGACAGCTTGGTGTGGACCGGATCTTTGGAACAGAGCTTATGGATTCTGCTTTTGGTGATATGTGTTCTTTTAGTATTGAGTTGAGCCAGGTATATGAATGGTGAGTATTTTGATTCATCGGGATGAGAGTTTGAGGTTGATCATTAATTTCAATGAAGGCTATAGATACTATGCAACTGATTGAAAACATTTTATATCGGGTCGAAAGAAGCATCTTTTCATGGGAATCCCTGATTTATTTTAAAATGCAAGAATGACAGTAAAGAGAAAGACAAAAAGAGGTCTACTATATAGTCGGTCTCTCACTAAACATCCTGGAGCAAAGCCAACGTACCAGGCCGACTAAAAGTGACATGGGACATGCTCAGGGCCTTGGTTTCGAACCCGGCTGCCGTGTATTCGAAGTAATACTATTTTTGTCAGTCATATCTCTAGAATCATCACAAAAGAAACATTTGAAGCTAAAACTTACAACGTATTTTCGGTAAAATATCTCAAGGTCATCGTCCGATAGTTGATATTTCTCACGCAACAGTGGAGAGATGATATCCTCATAATTTTCTTGGAATTTTCGATTCCACTCAAGGAGACATCGCGCATAATGAGAGCCGTACTGTATGACAGAGTCCAAGTCCAGTTGAGCGTTTACCTTCTGAACTGCTCCGAGCAATCTGGTGATACTTGAACAGTGACCGCCAGGGAAGATCTAAAGGTCACGTCTGCTTAGCGTTGGAACTTATCTCAGCCCAGAGTTAATATAAAGACTTACATATCGGCGAATGAACCTAGTCAGAACAGAAAGGTCAGGATCAAGTACATAGAGAAAAGAAAAGCAAGGGAAAAAGCAAGAGTGGCGAACTTACCCTTCACCCTTGGGAAACATGTTCTTATATCTCTGCAAGTCGAATAGGTTAGACAAATAATTCAGTAAAACAATTGAAGTAAGATGGCCTACCGATTCTGGCATGGTAGTTGTCTGGATCGAGCAAATACCACCATTAGGTTTCAAGACCCGATCGATCGTTGCCCACATTGTCTCCAATTCATGGTCACCCATAGCTTCCATCATCTCCACCGAAACAACTTTATCGTAAGGTGTTTCTGGAATGGGCAGCAAACGATAATCACATAAATGAATAGTAATCTTATTCTCCAACCCGAGTGTTTTCACACGCTTCCGCGCCAGCTGGTACTGCATCTCCGACAGCGTACAGGTCGTCACCTTACAGCCAATTGTTGTAGCTGCCCGAATACACATGGATCCCCATCCTGTTCCAAGCTCCAGAATATGATCCGTAGGCTGTGCATTCACGCTGGCCAATATCTTATCCAGCTTGCGCATTTGGGCCGCTTCGAGAGTGTCGCTTTCAAATTGTGGATCGGTCCGCTCCAGATAAATAGGACCAGAATAAGTCATGTCGGGCGAGAGAAAGGCTTCGAACATCTCATTGGAGAGATCATAAGCAGCGGTCATGTTGAGACGGGCATTTGTAAAGGTACCGGTATCAAAAGTTCGGAAGAGGAGATCTGAGACGGTTGAAATGAGCTGGTAGGGCCTGGTGGTTAGACTGGAGAGGTTCCGCTCATTGAAAATGAAAACCTGGAGGAACAAGAATCAATTTTAAAGACCCGCAAATTGCCTCGTACATTTTCAGAAAATCAATTACCTTGAATATTGCCATCAGGTCTGGCGTCGAGAACTCTCCCAGCAAAAAGGAGTCTGCGAAACCCTGATGTCCATATCGTCAGCACTTGAGATATGGTCAGAATGTCATATTGAGAGGCAAGAGGACTTACAAGATCGGCAGAAAGAAACACTCGATACCAAAAAGTGTCATTGTGTATATGGATAATGCCTTGTGGTCCATCACCTTTCCCAAATTTCCACTTTTGACCATCCCGAGAAACGATCTCTAGAGTGCCAGTTTCGATTTTTTCCAAAGCCGACAATATCTGGCTTCGCGCTATGCTCACTGGAAACCAGTAATTGGACAATGATATGGTGGTACTTTGGAGCTTATCGAGTAACTGTTTGCCCGTAGAGCCAAAAGAACGTCCTAGATCCATTTTTGTCGGCAAAGAATTGTTAGTTATACTGGATCTGGAAGTAGACTATGCTATGCTATCGCAGCAGAGGATGTCTTAATTCAAGTTGTTGAACCTTGGGATAAGTTAAGTAGAGGGAGATCCCTGCAGTTATCGAGAGATTCCTCCAATTTATACGGAGTACAGCATCTTACTATCATATTAGAGCGCATAATGGAAAACTTTTCTACCGACCACTCAACCGGAAACCAATTAAGACACAATTTGCCGCTATCATTTACTTGACTACCTCCAATTCACAGTTGGGTATAGCACTTGAAGATGCTAAAGGCTTTAGTATGTCTTGGCGTAATTCACAGCTGAGAAAAAGCAAAAATAGATATGCACCCTGAATCATATTCAGGGTCTAGAAAGCGATGGATTTTTAAAGACGCGCCACATTAGTGAGCATTGCCATGTCTATCCTGAACGTCGTCTATAACTTGAAAGCTGGCATGTATGACAGATCCCATCAACCGGGTTCAAATGTTCCTAACACGCTTATCAAATTAAATAGATATCCTATTGGACTCGACATCGGTTGAATGCCTTAACTCATTCACGAAATCAGAGATATTTTTGATCAGATACGAGCAAGTGCGAACAAGTGCGAGCAAGTGCGTCTCTTATTGGCTCGCTAAAAAGATCAATGGACGGCCCATATGCAGGATCGTAATCAGGATTCAATATGCACCTAGCGAGTAGCGTCAACATTTGAACCTTCAAGTTGGAACTCCGGCATGGACACATGTGCTCTACCTTACGAAGCAAGGATAGCCCTGGAGGGAGCTGTCACGATTGGATGTAACACCGAGAAAAAGAAAACATGTAGAACATTGATGTATCATATTTATATGGTATACCAGATGTTTATCCACAAATCGCAGCTTTCGATTGAACATTTGAATCATTTACTTATATTTGCCAAGCCTTCGTGCATGTCTCTGAATAAAATATTAGTCAACAAGTAATGCATAGCGCTAGTTAATCAAACCGTCTCATCTGATGTCATTTGATCAATAATCAATATTACATCGAAAATCATTTCTCATCGCGCCTTAAATGTCCCAAGCAAATTCGCATAAGAACTTATCGTGGTCCAATGACGCAAAAGGCAGTCCTGCCAACCTCATCGATCGCAGATAAGGAAACAGAGGAAGCAATTTTCCATCCCTTTCCTGTTGAGAGAATTCTTCCAGTACACTGTCAACAAACTCGAAGCCTAGCTGGGCAGATGCTTTTGAGTCTTTATTAAAGTGCAAACATAGATTCTCGAGAATCTGGATACAAGATTGGAAAACCGAAAGAAGTTAGTCCGGGCTATAGGCAGATCTCCTTCAAACTCTGGTAGTATCGCATCTTTGATCTTGTCCATGGTGATAGGGAAGACAGTTGAACTGAACTTCTGCGAGGCCGTTTTTAACTGACTCGGTGTATAATGCTGGATCCGTTGCCCTTCAGAGAATCGAATCAACAGATCATCAGCCAATCCATAGCCCATCATATGTTGGGAATAGAATTGAGACAGGCGATGACAGGAAGAGCCTCGTTGACTGTGAAACGGTCTCCCTCGAGAAACCCGAAAGTGATCGCGATCGTGAGATTCTGTCGTTTTCGAAAGTCGACCTCCACCTGACCGACAAAATACAGAACTAAAATTGGAACTCGGTACTGATCCAGGAAATAGAGATTTGCTAAAAACCTCACACATCTGATCCAGCCAAGCGACTCGCTGCATGTTTGAGTTTACTGTCCTGAGAGCATTATAGAGATGAAGCACTGCTGCCACATAATTGTTCTCACAACAAAGATAAATCCCTTCAAACATTGACCAGTAAAGGATCTCAAGTATATGACCAGAAGCAACCCAGGGCGCTTGGTAATAGAGATCAAATCTCTTTTCTTGCACATAACTCCTTAGCTTCCGTTGCAGATTGCAGACGAAATCCTTGGAAGAACAAATACAAATACCTTCAAGTTGACGCTGGCACCTGCAAAGTCGATTTAAGCATGGCAAGCAACTTTCAATGCTTTTTATGACCTAATTCGCAAACTTTAGCGATGAAAGCCGACAGTCAGCTGGATTGCGCTCTGTGTTTGACCAAGGGAAAGATTTATACGTCGAGAGCAGCATTTCCATGCCAAAAACAAGATATGTCGGAATTGGTGACGTCTTGTCACCTAATGCTTTATCTAGGGCTGGAAGAAGATGTTCAGCTCTCATAGGCTTCTCCTCCTCAAGGTCACTGATAGCTCGTCCTGAAACAAGGACTTGTCGCATACTCTCTTGTATTTTGTCCATAGCTTGGTTGTCAAGCCCAAAGGAATCATGACTATCCATTAAGGGTGTCTGAGATCTCTCAGGCGCTGAGGACCACCTGCAGTAGGCAAAATGTTTTTATATTCATCAAGTGTTTGACAGTGCTTGAGGATTTGGCAGTAATGCCTTAACCCGAAGCGTGCTGAAAAGCGTTGAAACCCAGGATGAAGCTCCGGAATATCAGTGAATCTTATTCGGAAGCTATGATTATTGAAGAACCACTTGTCAAATAATAATTTGACATCAATAAGATTGGGCGAGCTTTGTACGATCCTTTTGACCTCATGGTAAGCTATATTGGTCATAAAGCCAGCGACGGCGATGGAAAGCGTGCCAGACGCTATATCGGTCTAATATCCGTTTACTTTGGCGCAAATTGCACCAAGCTCCTATAATTCAAGCCGTTGGTACCTATTAGTTCTTCCAGAGATAGAGATAGATGAAACAGTATCCCTACATATATAAAAAGACTGAGTTCAATGTAATCCCCGATACTATCGTCCTGCAGAACTTGCTTGGTCTTTTCACACAACGGTACCCTTGAGTCATCTATCTTCGACTGTTGTAAATTCTCGCTGCAACTATCAGAATTATCGAACAGCTCAATGTCAACCAACGAAGCAAACCGGTTTAAAGCATGGGCGGGTATCTCTTCTTCCTGTCTGTTGATCGAAACTGGGTGTGAATGTGGTACTGTCTCAAATGGTAAAAGTATGTAGTAGGCCTGGTCAAGTCTTGAGACATGTCAGCCCGCCATTTCAAAGAAGTGATAAGGAAAAAATAGCACTTCCCTATCTATGAAAGCCTTGTGCTTCAAAACATCTTCCTCTTGGCCTAGACCCCGGTGTTCCACATAGACAGAATGAACGGCCCGTCTTTTGGCCAAGGCTTCCCGAAAGTTGGAGAGCACATATCCAGGTACTGCAATATTCTTTTCTTGAATGTGTTTCGCAGCGTTCACAATATCAGCGGTAGTAAGCCGGGAGTGGTGGAACTGTTCGTGGCCAACAGTAGAAAGAAGCCAATCTAGAATTAACTTTGTCGCTTTTTTATAGGAAAAGTACAGAGATATCAGCGAGCTTTCCATTTTTGCTTGATGAAAGTAGAGTAGAACCAGCTAGATGGTGGTGTTGTCAGAAAGAAGGTGAATAACCCCCCCCCCCCCCTTCACATCTCTCACCCCCCTTCACATCTCTCATACTCAATGCAAGTACACAAGTAAAAGCAATACCGCTAAGGCTGCAACTTGCATGGGTACCTCCCACTTGAAACAAATAGAGATCATGGTACACAGAGCTCCTTCAAATTTTTTTGGCTCTCTTTCCTAAGCTTCAAGTTTTCTTTGTTTGTCTAGACTTTCCTAAACTTTCATGCGAACGCATACTCATTACTCCACATGCTAGTCTATACTCTTCAACACATGTGCAGTGTTCTAAACCAAGTGAACGGACTATAGTAACTGCTTTACAATATATAAACCAGGCCCCAATGAATGAGAGTTTCACACATGCACATTGAGCTCTTGTAATTAACTTGAAGGCATTAGTGTAGCCCTTGGCAACAGAAGCCACGCAACTATCTACCTCACAGCCATGCATGAATTAACAATGTTTTCACCATAAAAGATTTAAATACCGTTGCAGCCTAGAGGCTCTGGGTTCTTTAAAGTAACTTCTATCAAAATATTTCAAGACATTCAAGTTCAATTTGTCATGGGAAGTCGGTTGGCCTCCGGGGCTTGTGAGATGTGGAGTCTTACGACCAAGCTGTTCATGTCAGATCTAGCCTTCTGTCAAATTTAAAAATTTAATTTTGACAGCAATCATTCAAATGTAATAGCTCTCAATAATCAAATCTCTACTAGATCTATGTCATACTAATATAAGAAGTGACAACATTTGAATTGTTGGCACTAAATGTTTGGTGCCTGAGGATAACATACTGACGCCTCATATTCAAGGTGTCAATATTGATGCTATCAGCACGTGATGCGGAGATTCTGCCCAATCTCACCGATCAGAAAAAAAAAGTAGCAGAACGATTTTCCGCAGCGATTAGGTCCGCATCCTCGAGATCAAAACACAACGGATTGAACCCCCGTTGATTTCACCGAGTATCTTAAATTTCACACGAGTGAATTGCATCGCCTTGCGATTCGCTTGATCCGACAAGATGCCCGGCCCTGTGGACACCTCAAAGTCCATCGACAAGAAGCGGAAGAGAAAGCACAGTTCTAAGCCTGCCGCCAATGGCGAAGATGTCCCGAAGCCTGTCGAGGCTAAGCCCAGCCCTGCAAAGAGCTCCAAGAAGGCCGCTCCCTCTCCCAAGCCTGCCGCCGACAAGTCGACCAAGAAGCGCAAAGTGAGCCACTCGCCCAGCGACGACGAGGAGAGCGCTGACGAGGCTGAGGATGTTGAGGAGCAGGCCGAGGAGGACGAAGACGTTGAGGAGGTCGAGGAGAAGGGCGATGGCTCTGCCAATCTCCCAACTATGGGTGACGTTCACCTGCCTAATGAGGTCCAATTGCAGAAGTTCTCTGAGCTGAACCTCTCCGAGAAGACCATGACGGCTATCCAGGGTATGGGCTTCACGACGATGACTGAGATCCAACAACGCACAATTCCGCCGCTCCTGGCTGGTCGTGATGTTCTGGGTGCGGCGAAGACTGGATCCGGCAAGACTCTGTCCTTCTTGATTCCCGCTGTGGAGATGCTCAGTGCTCTGCGCTTCAAGCCCAGAAACGGTACCGGTGTTCTGGTCATCTCTCCTACCCGTGAGCTGGCTCTTCAGATCTTCGGTGTTGCCCGTGAGCTCATGGAACACCACTCTCAGACATATGGTATCGTCATTGGTGGTGCCAACCGTCGCGCTGAGGCTGATAAGCTGGCCAAGGGTGTCAACCTGCTCATCGCAACCCCTGGTCGTCTGCTTGATCACCTCCAGAACACCCAAGGCTTCATTTTCAAGAACATGAAGACCCTTGTCATCGACGAGGCTGACCGTATTCTGGAAGTTGGTTTCGAAGATGAGATGCGCCAGATTATCAAGATTCTCCCCAAGGAGGAGCGTCAGACCTCTCTATTCTCTGCTACTCAAACAACCAAGGTCGAGGATTTGGCCCGTATCTCGCTGCGTCCCGGCCCTCTGTACATCAACGTTGACCACAGCAAGGAGCACAGTACCGTGGCGGGTCTGGAACAGGGCTACGTTATCTGTGAGGCCGATAAGCGCTTCCTGCTTTTGTTCTCGTTCCTCAAGCGCAACCTGAAGAAGAAGATTATTGTTTTCTTCTCCAGCTGTAACTGTGTGAAGTACCATGCCGAGCTTCTGAACTACATCGATCTTCCCGTCCTGGAGCTGCACGGAAAGCAGAAGCAGCAAAAACGAACCAACACCTTCTTCGAGTTCTGTAACGCTAGCCAGGGCACCCTGATCTGTACTGATGTTGCTGCCCGTGGTTTGGATGTTTGTCTCCCTCTACCATTGATTTTTCTCATGCGAATTCCACATAGCTAACTTGAGTCTAGATCCCCGCCGTCGACTGGATTATTCAGTTCGATCCCCCCTGATGACCCTCGTGACTACATCCACCGTGTCGGACGTACTGCTCGTGGTGCCAACGGCAAGGGTCGCAGTTTGATGTTCTTGCAGCCCTCTGAGGTCGGCTTCCTCAAGCACCTGAAGGAAGCCCGTGTTCCTGTCGTCGAATTCGAGTTCCCCCAGTCGAAGATTGTCAACGTCCAGTCTCAATTGGAGAAGCTCATTGGACAGAACTACTACCTCAACAAGGTCAGTGATAACCCAACCACTATACTATTTCCCCGGACGATTTTACTGATGCCCTTTTTTCTGTTTAGTCTGCCAAGGAAGGTTACAAGTCTTACCTCCAGGCTTACGCCTCCCACTCCCTCCGTTCCGTGTTCGACGTGAACAAGCTCGACTTGGTCAGGGTGGCCAAGGGCTTCGGTTTCAATACACCTCCCCGCATCGATATCCAGCTGGGTGCCAGTATGTCTCGGGATAAGAAGCAAGAGCAACAAAGTCGCCGCACATATGGTAGTCAGCCGAAGGGAGGGCTGAAGTTCAAGCGAAAGCACGAGGATTAAGGGTGCTACGAGGAATGTCAACTATTAAAAGTCCCTAGTCGCCTGCATTTATCATGGGAATTGTGGAGTTACAGTGTGTAGATATACTATTTCGATCTTTATTTTCAACTTGGATTTTACGATGTTTCTTTACCTGGTATCCTGTCAACTTGAAATGACAACTTGAGCTTGAAGCTTTCACTATTGCTAAGACTACGGTCAAATTACCCTCACATTCGCACAAGTCAGTAATCTACTACCTTGATTCACATGTGCATGCATGTATACTATCTACATGAATTTACTTTCAAATATTTGGTTCCACTGGCAGCCAAGCCTCGAAGTCACTCTGAGTCCTTTACACCACTCCTGCTTCTCCTACATGAAAGCTTGGAAAGGAAAAGAAATAATGAACTGACTGCTGGCTGAAACCCAAGCTTCTTGCTCAAAGAAGAAACTTGTACCTGCTTCACTTGAAGGAGAAGAAAGATTTGGCCGGTCTATACTCATGCTGCAGAAGTGGATATGACAGAATGAACAAGGTAACAGAGTTAAATGAGAGGTTCCAGACCTGAAAAGTGTGAGCTGATGAGCCTTCTTTAAGCATACTGCTTCTGCAACTGCAACTCTCACGAGAGTTCCGAGTCAAATACCGAGTACCTTTGTGTCTCTCCTCAGACGCCTTGAAAACTCCGCGATTTCATCGACTGCGCTGTACTGCGTGACTAGAGCGTTGCGTAACGAATACCGTGAGCGATACAACACACGGGAGAGCTCTATCTCACAATTATATCGACTGAACATCTTCATCGGATCGATAACGAGCAATAAGCAGACCCAACTGACGAGCACCTCATTGGACTTCCCTATATCTATCCCTTCTATCGTGGAGAGGTCTATTGCATATCATCCCGCTTTGGATATCGACAAGAGGACCTGAATATGCCTCTCATATTAGGCTCTGGCCGGTCTCATTTCCAGATTTGACTGAATGCAATTTGATCCGCGCCAAATTCAAAGAGACTATACTGTGAGTTATCTTCTTCTCTTGAAATAGTAAAATTTTTACTAATGCGAATCCATGGGGGTAGCTGGAATTGAGCATTGAGCATGAACCATTTTGTGTTTCTAAATTAGTTGGGAATACAGAAACCAAGACACTGTAAGTAAATCATTACCTTTTCCTTGTTAAAAGGAACTAGAAACTGACTTTATGCCTAGTTTCTGGGTTGGATTCGAGAATGCATTACATGTCCACCAGGCTCTACCGCACGATCTTTCATGGTTCATAACTTGAAAGTTTTTCTGTAGATTCATGCAACGCATAGTAATTTTCAAGTTATCAGTTGGCACTCAGTTTAAGCTAAGGTTGACTTGAACTGGAATGGCTACAATCTTCCATGCTTTTCAGTCCATCTGCCTTTCGTTTCACTACTCTCTCAATCTAAGGTGGCGTACCTACCTGAGTGGGACGAAGGCGTGTCTCAGCATCAGGGACACATATGTGGGTATATCACTCTGCCGATGAAGGGATTTAAAACCTCGAATGGCGGTGTTTCCTTTGATCTTTTCCTCTTTCTTTTTTTTTGTCTTTGCTTCCTGGCAATTTTCATCGCTGAAATTAAGAGCCACGGGATTTCTGGAAGAAGCTGAAATAATCGCAAGGTATCCTGTTCAGCTTGGCTGGTTCTTTCTCCTGCGTTGCAAAGAAATTTTGAAGAGAAAAATCAACATCTCCCTACCACTATTGCGGTTTTCCGGCGGATCAGGTCCAGTTGAAGCATCTGAGAGGTTGGAAATCTGGGTCATCCGTTCAACAAGGACACTTTATTTTCGCAAGAATCCTTTGGAGTTACCATCCCGCTTGCCTGAAAAAGGTGAATACTCCCAGAATCTCGCTTTCTTCACATAAATGGGGTCCGAGTGTGATGCGGGTGTGCTCTTGATAGATGCGATGCTGCTGCTGACAGCAGCAGCACAACATCATATCGAGAACTCTCGTGGTTGGAAGGGGTATCATGCGGATGTTGAGAGGGTTGGTGGAGAGAACCCAAACAAAATTGACGATTTGGAGCTGGGCCAATGTACGAATGTCCGCAGAATACAGTTCCAGGTGAAACAGAGGTCGGGGATGTGATTGATGTATTCAAATGCCATCATATTTCAGCTAAGATAATTCCATGTAGAAGTGCTTAATATTAGGAATGTCTACTCCGTAGGTACAGATTGAGTTAACTCCCTTGAAGGACATCTGGAATACTAGTACTTCCCAGCCATGTGGAAATCAATGGCCTAAGGCTGAAGGTTCAAGTTGCCTTCAGCGGCTCCACGTGGAGCCTTACTTCAAGTGCTTCTATCATATTCAAATTAGATAGAATACATGCATGTACTCGTACTATCAAGGGATCATCCATCCCAGCCATTCCAGTCACGGCCTACGGGTAGTGTCCCCGTCTAGATGGTGATCCATTGGGAGTTCTAGGAGTGATAATATGTCTAATTTCTCTCAATTTAGATTGGTGGACCACAATGATAGCCGCCTAGGATTGTGATTGCCTCATGTACGAGGTGCAGGAATCCCACCGCAACTGTGCAAGTGGTCCTGATGAGAATTTTGGTGACTTGCAGCCCCATATCAGCGCATAAGGGCCTAGAGTGATTAAGGAGTGATTCGATAGGTTCAAGTGATATGTGTGTTTCCGAAATTTATTATGATAATAATTAAAAAAGTACTGAATAGACAGTAAGATTGGTCAATATCTGATTCTCAAAATCCACGAAATCTCGGGGAAACCGACCCGCATGATGCGTTGGCAGTGGATGGGGGCCAATCACCGAGGCTCCATCACACCCTCATCGTCTGGGCGACCATTTCTCTCTTTTTGGCACATGTATGTTCTTGTGGGACAGAGTAATCTTGGTTTTGGAAGAATTCAAGTTGAGTATAAAGTAGTTTATACCACTCCAATATGAGTCCCCTTACTGCATTGAGAGTTGGAAGTTGAGTTGATATGTGAAAAGATTGAAGTTACTCTCTGGATTAGCGGAGTTAGATTCTTCTCCAGCCACCTCATTGTATTTACTAGTAATCATTTTCTACACCGCAATCTGTAAATCTTCCATGGAATAATTTAATTGAAATTGAACACTTCAAATGATAATGAAATAATCAGGTATGTACTTATGCACTTATGTTAAGTGCTTAATTGGAGCCCAATGGGTTTGTTTACGTAGTGATCAGGTACAATTTGTATTGGGTTAACCGCCTATCGTAACCTGTAGTGTACTTTACTGTTACTCTCTTTTAACTCACCAGCCATCGGGTTTTTTTTTTCTTTTTTTTTTGGAGGCTGGGGTCATCTTGATCGATTTCTTCTTATCCCTGGTGATCCTCTTCTATTCATCCTATTCTTTCCCCCCTTTCTCATTCCTATTCCATCATCTTAAATCCCAATACCCCTTCTTATGTGAGGGATCAGCGGATTCACTCATGAACTTATTCTGAACCGCTCCGTCCACATAGCAACCGATTGCTTCTTCTCTCTATCTCTCCCTTTTCTCGTCCTACTCTAGTTTTTTCCTTTTCTCTGTTCTCACTCGTTTTGAGAAACGTGACTGTGCGCTGGTACGCTTGACTTTCCTCTGAGATTCCCTCTCATCTTACCCTTTTACCCTATCTTCAATCTTCCTTCTCTCTCCCCCCACTATCGTGTCAATGAAAGCACGGAGCATCAACAAGTGACCACCATCATCTGGCCGCCCCGCCAAAACAGCCCACCCACCTGGATCCATTCTCTAGGAGTATGCGATTATCAGATTAAGGGGATCAGAAAAGGATCAGAAAAAAAAAATTTCATAAACAAAATACACACACCGGGACATTCGACTCCTAACCATGGGGGTCGATACCCGCCGACCCATGCTGCCTGCCCCTACAGAATCACTCGTCGATACTACGGTCGGCAGCAGCATAATAGGCACAGATCTGGCAACTGACCTTTCTCGCCGCACAGACAAGACGTCGTACTCCATTCCAGACGACGGAAGCCCTGTCATTATTCCTACCCGGCGCCATCGGGACCGGGACGACAAACTGTCTCGCTCACAGCCAGACTCGCAGACTTCCCTCCTCATCGAATACTTTGAGGGTGGGAAGGGCTCTAGCGGTATCGTCTCCCGACCCAGTGTCCGAGTTCGTGTTACTCCCTCGGGGGCGAGAAAGTCAAAAGACAACAAGGATCATATTCAGATCACCGAATCTGGCTCGAGTCGCCGGCCATCTTACACCCGTCGCATCTCCGTCACTTCGCCATCCACCAAATCAAAACAACTGGTCGACTCGAACGTCGATGATCAAAGCTTGAGTGATAGCAATTCTGTCGAGGACGAGGGCCATCATCGCCATTCGTCCCGACACCCGCCGGTGGAGATCGAATTCATGAATCGCGATCAAGGCAGCGAGCTGTCGACAGTTTCGCGCGAAAGATACATGCCTACCACTTCTGATATCTCGACTATGCCTGCGGATAGTATGCTTGAGGGCGGCTCTTCGGCGGGTCCCCGGCGGAAACGGAGCCAAAGTTTGGAACGTGGGGCTAAGCGTGAAGATAAGAATTTACTGAAGACTCCATCTCGACAACGCAGCCGCAGTCTGAGCCATGAGCGAATCGCTCATCGAGTCGCCGAGAAACTTACTGGATCGCCTCAGGAGGCATCAAGTGGCAAGCGGAGCCGTCGCAGAAGCAAAAACCGGAATGGCGGGAAGGATTATTTGGAGGCAGAGCCGACCAAATCCTCATCACGCCGGAAACGATATGGCTCTGGCGAAGACGAATACATTGCCAGTCCTGAATCCAGTCTGCTCAGTACCTCTGCAGTCTCTTCAAATCGCAAATCCGATGCTTATTCGGTTCGCTCTGGGGCTTCAAAATCGTCTATCAATAACCCCAAGTTGCTGGAGACTGTCGAAGATGCCATTCGCCGACTCATTCTTCCTGAATTGAAGGAGCTCAAGAAGGACCAGAAAACCATATCCAACAAGTCCAAATTCGATCGAGATATGACAACTTCCTATTCCTCTGCAAGCTCTCGTGATGAATTGGGCCGTCGTCTGTCAAAACACGCCAGTGCACCTGATGTCATGAAGCCCAAGGTGGTTTTGAACAAGGACAGCAAAGACGAGGGCATAGTACTTGCCGGAGGACCTGCGGTTCAGAACCAGACCCAGCCCCAGAACAAGGAGCGCAAATCCAGCAAGGGCAGCGATGCATCTGACAATGCGTGGGTGAAATGGGGCCGACCTGAGCTTAGCGACCAAGAGAAGCTTCGACGGCAAAAAAGCAAGGGCCTACGTGATGCCCAGGCGGCAGGACGAGTTGGCTCAGCGTTGACAGCAGCAACTCTCAGACACCATGACTCCCAGTCCAGCATCGGTCAGAGCGAGCGGAGAGACAGCGGATCCCACAAGAGCATTGAGGGATACAATGAGACAGAACTCGTTTTCCAGAAACACAATGTCCCTGCCATGCCTATGCGCAGTGCAATGGATTCCGAGTTGACCCGAACTTCATTGTTGTCAGAACGAACAGAGAGTCCCGCCCCGCGCAAGAGGCTTTCTCAAGCAGAATTCTCACAGGGCTCGCCGCGACAGCTGCCTTCTCCAACCTCTCGCACGCCGACCCGTACTCCCCTTGACTCTCGGTATGAACTTGGCATGCACCACACAAATCAATCACAGCGTGATCTCTCTATTCACAGCGCCTCAGACCGTGATCTCCGAGCCAAGAGCCAGTCTCCTGGAACTGATGGTGGTAGCGATTGGGCTATTGCTGCGGCGGCGGCGGCCAACTTGCTCGATGCTGCGCAGCCAGGTTTCCAGGATTCATACACTGATCAGTATGAAGCTGGTCGTGCACTCAGTCCGATCCAGAGCATTGCCAGTGAGCGTACTGAGACCCATGATGATCAATACCAGAACAAGCATCATGCCGAACTTCAACAAAACCTTGAACCTCGCCTTTCAATCGAAACTTTGTCCTCGGCCCCCAGCACAAACCTTGCCAGGTCCACCCGTCAAGACGGAGTCAGTCCTCACAGTCAAAGCCGACTCTCCATCCAGGGCGAAGAGGGTCTTGAGCTTGGATATGAGCAATCACGCCAAGTCTCTGCCGAAGAAGGTTTCTACGGACATGAGGAGGAGTCCAGATTGGATGGTTCCTTCCTCGGAGAGGAAAGCGAACTGGACTTCATGGACAGAATCAAGGAGGGTCAGCATGTGGTGCCCGCCATTGCTGCTAATCCTCAGATCGTCCACCATGGGCAAGTTATGGGTATTGAATCTGCTGTGGCCTCCTTGATGGATCCTTCCATTCTTGACACTCAGTCCAACAATTCTGCCAACCGTTCGCAGACTGACCTTTCTCCACGCTCGAGAAGCCGGAGCCCTGAGAAGCCTACCACTGAGCCTTTCCGTGGAAGTCCTCTGAAGCACCGCCAGGATGCTTCCAGTCCTGATGAGACCTCTTTCACACGTCGCATGGGTGTTAGTTCACCTCCTCAAAGTGTGACACAGTCAATTGAGGACCTTGAAGAAGAAGCTGCTATGGCGGCTGCCGGTACTCGTGGTATTGAGAGCCCTCTCCCCGAGGCTGATCACCACAGCGAGGCGGAATCCGAGTCTGAGATCAACACCAACCCCTCCATCATTCAAGGTCCGATTGGTGGCGTGCCCCAATCAGGTGTAGACCATTGGGGATATGATTCACGAACCCCGCCTGCTGGCCAGGCTGCATTCTACGACTCTGCTGATCAGACTGGTGGAGCCAAGGACATGGGTTCTGTGCGACCTCACAACCTCGATGCCGAGTACTATGAGACTGCCAAGAACATCTTCGGTGGTGACGAATACTATCCCGACCAGCACTCTCAGCAGCTCTTTGGCACTCCTCCAGGAGCGAAAGATGAAGGGTATGTCTCAGCTGCGAACCCCATGTCTCCAAGCGTTGGCACTCCCAAGCAAGGAAGCCGTGGCCTTGCACCTGCACCCGCTTTCGAAAGTCCTGTGGATGCGGAATCCTTCTCTCCTGGTCACCAGCGTGATTTCAGCGGGTACTCCCATGGAGTTGGCTCTCCTCTCTATGACAGTGCTACTGGTCACGGAATTGAGAGAATCAAATCTAAAGATATTGTCGCTCTTATGGATCACCTCACTGTTCGCGATGCTCAACGCAATGCCCGCGACACTGAGATGCTCGTCACCTTGGTTCGTAGCGCTGCCGAGATGCGCAACTCCTTCGACGAGATGAAGAAGTTCATTGCCCAGCAAGATGAGCTCCTCATGGACTCCAATGTCAAGCATCACGAGCGCACTCAAAAGGCTCTTGGTGGACCTCGCCCACTGCCTCCAAGTGGATCTCGCGCCCGCCAGTTGAACCTGGAAGACGAGGAGGATCTGCAATCGAAGCGCAAGAACATCTTCAAGCGTGCCCTCAAGGGTCTGAGCATGAAGTCCGGCAATGACCTTGCCAAGATTGAAGGTATGCTGGAACAGTTGCTTGATGAAGTTGAGGCTCTGCGAGAAGGTCGGGACATCGATAGTCCTCGCGCAGCTCCCCGAGCTGGCAGTGTCGACGCAACTTCGTTTGATGCCAATGGCCAAAATGGTGGTCACTCTCCTTTCATGAGCCCATCTCGCCAGCCTACCGGTGATCAGCGCGTGAGCACTGTCCCTGAAGAGGATGAGGACGATGATGATGTGCTTGATGAGGGTGATACCTACTTGACTGCACACCTCCCTGTGCAAGAGCCATCCCGTCACGAACGATCTGGATCTTTGCCTCTTGCTACGCCTCCCCGCAAGCCATTGGCTTCGGGCACCCGCAGCAACGAGACCACTCCCAAGGCGTCCGCTGACAAGGCTGAGAAAGCTCGCAAGCACAAGTCGAGCAGCTCATCAATCTTCCCCAAGATCTCTCGCTGGTCTAAGACTACCGCTTCTTCCATGGGTGACAACATCCGCAACAGCATTCAGCCTGGCCGAAAGGAGCGACCTTACTCTGAGAGCCACTCTCGATCCGGATCTGATCTGGCACCACATGGTCCATACAAAGCTGCCGATTACTATGATCCCGAGGGTGATGATCGCATCCGCTCCCACTACAGCCTGGACGAACAGCAAGAAAACCGTCCTCCATCCCCATTGGTGCCCTCCCAGGTCTCCGAGGCCCCAAAGTACCGCGCTCACCGTGGTAGTCTCGAGATCCAACATCCTCAGCCCCGACAGGGTCCAACCGGACGTTACCAGTCAGCCCTTGAGACTCAAGCTCAGACCTATGGAGCCACTGACTCTCCCACATCCGAGCAATGGGGTTCTAACCCCAGTTTGCCAGTTGTGCAGCCCGCCAACCGCTACAGCGCTGGTAGCCGCCTTTCCCCCATCTCTGATGCTGGATACTCCGAGAGCAGTTCCCGTGCTGCCGGTCCTCCTCGACCTCCAAAGGTCAAGGATGATGGTCCCTTAATTCCTGAGCGACCACCCAAGGTTGCTGAAGACGAGAGTCAGTCCTATGTCGACCGTGTTCCCTCACACGTAAGTTGCATCCATCATGCTTCAAATCATTATCCAAACTAACATCTTCTCAGGCGTCTACTATCCGCTCACCACCTACCCGTAAACCAACAGGCCCTCGCCCCCTGACCTCCGGCGGCTCCTACAGCCCCAGCAACGTCAAGCGTACCCGCTACCGAGGCAGTCCGATGCAAATCGACTATGACGACGAATATTGATTCAGCGTTATGATACCCCGGGTTGTATTTGTGTCTAGCGAGTTTTTTTATTATTTTTTTTGTTTTCTATTTCTTTATTCTATGACGAGTTTTCGGCGTGCGCGCCTATTACGAAAGTGACGACCCGCCTTTTACCTCATCCTCTCCCATCTACGAGCCATCTGCGTTGCAAAATATGTCTTTTTTTGTCTGGTTTCTTTTTGTTCTAATGTCCATAGGCTTTATGATGATGGGTGGGGCAGCCTGTATGTTTTCTTTGTTGGCTTTCGCTTCTTGATTTGTTACTTTTTGTCTCATTTCTTGGGCATGGCTTCTATCTTTCCTTGAGCTTCTTGTAGCCTTTTTTTTGTGGGGATGTGTAGATAGTTTGGTGTGGTGGTGTCTACGCCTATTCGGTGCTACATATTCATCGATAATGATTCAATATGTGAACCTTCAAGTTTCTCGAACCTTTTCATCTCAAGTAATGTAGTCTATACTAGTCTGATACTAGAAAATTCCGGTGCTCGCTTATAGAACGGTCCTGTATTCCAAGGTTCATCGTAAAGTGACAAGCAGTATAGAGTCGATTCTATAAGGAGAGGAACCCGTATCCACAGAATTAGTATAAATAAGGTAGCTCACAACTTGTAACAGCATAGAAAACATGAAACTCAAACCAAAAACTCCAAGCCCACCTCAAGAAAGAATAATGTATGTTCCACAACCGTCAACCAACCCTCATGATACTGGCGCTGGCCCTGAACCAGAGACTCATCCCAATCAGAATACAAAACCAAATCAATCAATCAAAATCAACAGTCTAATAATCGGAAAAAGGTCTCACAGTAACAGTCCCCCTCTCCCGAAACGCATACTCAGCTGTAGCAAGGGAACTAAACTCCATACCCTCACTAACAGGAAACTTACCAGGATAACTCTCGGTAGAATGACATTTCGTCGCACGCTTCATTTTCAATCCATCCTCTTTTCCATCTCCGTCCCCAGAGCTCGTACCCGATTCATTGTCATTATCCAGATCCGACTTCGCCGTCATAATAGACTGCACCGCAGACCCAAGGTCATGCGGACCATCCAACGAATTAACCGGGGATTTCTGACTTGGCCGAGGCGTACTCGGAAGATAGGATAGAGAAGCTGTATACGAGGGTCGGAAGAAAGCATTCAGATTATGAACCTGATGAAGAGGCTTGAACGAGGGATCATTCTCCTCATCTCGTTCCTCGATACTTTGCGCCGCATGATTGTTCTGCTCTGGATCATGGTGATGATGATGATGTCGATGCAGAGATTGAGTAGATCGTGTAGCCAGGGACTGAGCCTGAGGCTGAGAAGAATGGGAGTTCGTATGACCATGCGAGGCAAGTAAAGGTGTTTGGCTTAGGTCTGAGATTCCAGAGATCCGCACACGGCCATCTGGCGGTGATTTTGCCGGTGTCACTTTGACGCTGTCGTAGGTTGAGATCCCATTTTTGCCGTATCGGTCTATCACAGCGCTGGGCTTCGTTATAACTGAGCCGGTTGTACTGGCGTTCCCGAGCTTGAGATCACTTCGGTGCGCATGCGCCTGTGTTGGTGTCATGCGCTCAATCGCTGTCTCTGGGTAGCACTGTGGCATTGGGGGCCCAGATGTGTATGCTGCGGCAACTGCTTTCTGAGGCACTCCTGGAAAACCATCGATGGCCACATGGGTGCTGGATGCATAGGAAGTGACTTGGGCTCTATGGCCTAATCCATCTGGATGGAGGACGCTTGATGGGTTTGGTGAACGGTAATTCGAGAAAGGGACGATAGTGAGGATGAGGTCAATGATTCGTTTCTCCCAGGCTTCGATATTATGCCTATAAGGTGGAAATTCTCGGGATGAAGACCAAAATGGACGGGCGAAGTAGGATATGGCATAGAGGACTTGCAGGTAGAGTAGGGCAAAGATGAGGGCGATGGTGGTTGTTAGAGTGATGGGGAGGTTGGCGTGGGTACGGTTCGCCCTTTTGTAGACCACCAAAGGCATTTTGAGAATCAAAGAGCACCGACAGAGATAGTCTGATGATTTTGAAAGTGGATTGATCCATGTCGAGAATGATTTTACACGCAGAGATAGTAGTTTCCTGTAGATTCTGGTAGTATAGAGAAGGAGCGATGGTGTCCATGACGGAGAATCAGGTGACTATGGATCTATACATGATTTTCCACTAGTTTTAGGAAGTTGAGAGCTTGAGAATTCATATTCTAATTCAACTCTTCTAGGTAGTAGAATTGAACGAGTTGATAGAGGGGAATACTTCAAGTTTTGAGATTTGCAGCCTGAGCCGCAAAACAATGGGTCATACACTCAAAAATCACTACTATTCAATACTAGTCAAATCATGCTAAATCATGATTCAAATCTCCTATAGTTTGTTAAGTGTCTATCAGACTTGACCAGCAAAGAACCATTACCCGGACCATGATCCATCCGAAATACGCCAACTTGACGCTAAAGCACCTTAATGGTGGGTCTACCCCTGACATGATTTTTTTTTCTCGACGACCTGCTCATTCTGTTGAGTCGACTATAACTACAGATTGAATACCTTGTATGCAGAACAACGTTGGTCAATCTGCCCCAGAATAGGAGACAAATGAAGTATCAAAATCGACTATTACCGAGTCATAAGACTCATTATTAATTTGCATGGCATTCAAACTTGAACTCGCTCAAAATGTTTATGACTAGCGTAGTCCAAATATGGTATAAGCGAGGTTTGAACCAGTACAAGGCGCAGACTGTTGCTTCATCTCCGTGGTAATGTCTCTCCTTTCAATATTCCAATATTCCATTAGTCTCAACTCCTCCTCTACTATACCGTCCGAGAATCTTAGGGCTACACTGCTTATTTCTCTCTAAACTTGGAATTGACTGTATAATCTTCGAACATCCAAAATGGACTCAGCCCTGCCATCCTCAAATATTGACTCCCCTGTGGAATCAGCAAAAATCATATCGGAAACAAGCAATCAGCCAAATCCTTCCAGAGCTCGCGGTAGTCTATCTGTTGATAAAATCCTAATGTACGCAACCCTATTCAGCCCAAATGATAACACAGCTGAGACTCAACTATCCTAGTTTTATGCAAAACTTTTCCGCGTTCATTGGGATCTATGGGATGTTCTGCGATAAATGCCTCGACGAGCAAATGTGCAGTCGATACTGCCCGAGCTTCATCTACTGTGCGGTCATTATGATCATTGTGCAGAGCATTCGCGTTTACCGAATATTACCGGAGATTGAACGAGATATGAACATCAAATAGAGAATGTTTTCAACCTTGGAATTGAAAGTTGTTTCAATGTTTGAAATCTAAAACTCGTATAATCCAAACTTTCGTGAGGACCATCACATCGCTGTGCTTCCATAGCGACTATGGTTGTCGCGAACAATATGAGCGGCTGAGGCATCCTTGGGAGTTCAGACTGATAGAAAATTTCATTCGATAATGGCTGGTTTCAGAGTAAAGAATATAGCTATCAGAGGAAAGGCACTCGTTATCAGGTGAAGGTGTAGAGTGCCCATGAAGCGTATTGTTTGAAGTCATTCCTTGGTCCATGGCATAATTCATGGCGTCAACAGCCACAGTGCTATAGCAAGATGATCAAAATTTGTAATCGTAGCATCCAGTAGAACTTGGGGTGGGTGCAGGGATGAAACTTGCAACATGGCCTCTGTGAGAGATATCAGTGGAGAAACAGATATCGGTTCCCCGCGGAGTCGATCTTGGTTCATCACCTCGGCTCACCTCCAATTCACAACACTCCTTCAAGTTGACTCATGAAACCTCGTCTAACAGCTCTTCACCGAATACCTTTATCCACTATGGCTGGCCGCGCAGTAGATTGCCATGATATGCGCCCACGGAGATTCGCACCTCTCGACTCCACCATACAATCGGATGCACCCCCACTAAAGGGCATTGTCTTCGATGTCGATGGGACATTATGGTAAGTCCATTCTTACAGGCTATTACAATTTCATATTCTCGCCCAGTGTGTCCTGATGATATTGGAATTTACTCCCGATATCTCAGCTTCGTGGGCTTTGGAGTTCATTCCCGCTGTGGCGAGAAATGGAATGCAACTCTTGACTTTCGCGATAAGCTTCAAGCTATAGTCTACTCACTAATACTGTATATAGTCTTCCACAGCACCACATGTTCACCGAAATGAGGTAAGTCCTATACATAGAAACCATTCTGCTAGCACCGTAAATGAAAACCCAGAAAATAACTTTCATCTTGTATAGAGATGCACTAGGGATAGACCGCTCAATGGATATTCTCCATCACATTAACAGTCTCCCTGTGGAAGATCGTGCCACAGCAGTCGCAAAAATTCAGGCCGTCGAACGACGCGCCATGATAGATCAACAGCCACAACCTGGTCTTGTGCAGTTGATGGAGTACCTCCAGTCTAGAGGGTTGAAGCGCGCTCTATGCACACGGAACTTTGAGTATGTGACCTGCTAGCAAATGCTTCTTTTTGTCTATATTGACTGACCACAGGACCCCTGTCAAATACCTTCTACAAAACTGGCTTCCTGAACACTCTTTCCTACCCATCATTACTCGGGATACACCAAATGTGATTCCCAAGCCTGATCCTGCAGGTATTCTGCATATCGCTCAAGAATGGGGCTTGATGAATCGTGCAGAGAATCTGATTATGGTGGGTGATTGAATGAATCATTGTCCTTTGAGTCCAATACTAACTGCTTTGTTTAGGTTGGAGATAGTATCGACGATATGACATCAGGCCATAAGGCTGGTGCGGCGACTGTGCTAATTTTGAATGAGAAAAATATCCATTTGAAGGCACATCCGCATACAGATCTTTGTATCAGCAGATTGGATGATTTGATTAATATTCTTGAGAAGGGATTCGTTGGAGACCGATGTGAAGAGACGCACGGACATTGATCATATGTCTCTATGTATGTGACTTCAAGTTCAAGTTTCAATTTTGGTTGTCGTTGAGGGAGTATTTGCTATGTGGGCATCTGTCTACAAGATGAATAGGAGAATTGAATAAGTTTTGGAAATTTTGAATTCCTAGCAGGCGGTGTAAATACACACACAAGTACACTGGCACGAGGCTAGGTAGAAATAAATTTGAAAATGAAAAAGAAATTCATGGCCGGGTCGTTACTGGGTGACTGGCCTCGATGGGCTAATTGCCGCGTCGACCACCGCCACGAGGCCCGCCACGAGGCCCTCCACGAGGAGCCCCACGACCCCGACCACCCGGGGGTCCTCCACGACCTCCCGGCCCTCCGCGGCCATTTCCACGGCCTCGGCCAGATCCCCCAGGTCCCCCAGGTCCCTGAGCCGCTCCACGGGCTCCTCCACGGCCTCGACCCCGAGCTGGAGGGGGGGTTAGCTGCCCCACGACCTCTGCCTCGAGGGTTCCCTCGAGGAGGAGGGTTTCGGTTGCTCGCGGCCCTGAGAGGCAAGACATCATCACTACTAGACGAGTCAGAGCGGGCGTTAAAACCACCTCGTCGTCCTTGCGGTCTCCCACGACCCTCCTGGTAGTTGACTGGCCGTGGCGGCTCTGGATCGCGCTCGGTGTTGGTATTGATGATTCTGGAAGGAGAGATTCCTCGGAGCGAGATCCAAGCTGTCTCCTGAGTTTGGACGCGGTTTGGACAATCGCCGAGAATGTGACTGTTGCTCAGACAGTGAGAGCAGGAAATCGAGATTCTGAACTGGTTGGAGCCTGTCATGGTGTCAGGCTCATACATTGGTAACTGTATCCGGCGTAAACATCTACGCTCCACATGGTCGGTACGTCCGCAGATGTCGCAAGGGACTTCTCCAGCCGAGCTCCGAAGCGAGGATGTACACTCTGCTTCGGAGTGTCCTCTCTCACGGCACTTTTCGCATCGTAGCCAGACGGGACACCATAGAGCGGTATGTTCGCCCCATTGACCACAGTGAGGGCACTTGAAAGATATATGTTAATAATTTTGATACGCGCGAAGTTCTTGCAGAGGAAATTAAACTCACATCCTTGTCCGGGCATACTTCGCTCAGATGACCACGCTTCAGACATTCAAAGCAGCCGGGTGGGAGTGTACCATAATCAGCTGGGGCGACTTCTCGGAACCAGTACCAAAAGTCAACTTGTCGTTTCCGATCTTCTTCGGTAAGATCAGCCAAAACAGTCGGCGCAACGGGATATTTTTGGGCGAAACGTTGGAAGGCCTGCTCTTTGGTTTCCGTTGAGCGCTGCAGATGCGCTGAGGAGCTACCGGGAGTTCTGTTTGTGTCGCCATTTGCAATGCCATTGGCAGTAGGGCCATCGGCTGTAAGCTCATCGTGCGATTTATCCTCATTTCCATCCTCTGATTTGGTTCCGATATTCAACAAGATGGAATCGTCAGGGTCAGAATCCACAGAGTCGGAGTCAGATTCAGATTCATGATCCGGGGAGTTGGGATCAGAATTCATATTGTCAGAGTCAGAATTGACCTCTCCTTCTTCAAGGTCACTGGAGTCGTCTTGTTCCGACTGATCTTCTTCGTCTTCACTATGCTCGGATGATGCAGATTCGTCTTGAGGTTTCCAGTATGCATTGACTGCCGCGAATTGTTTTGGTTTTGTTGTTGTTGTAGCGGTGGTGGAGGGGAGAGAAGAAGAGGAAGAGGAAGCATTTTTGGAGGGTTTGATCTCGGGTTGGGAGGCAGACGTAGGCGCCAATGGCGGTGCTGATGGCGGTGCTAAATGCGGTGCTGCGTCGTCTGTCGCCTTGCGTTTACCAAGCGTAGTTCGGATCGCACTTTTCCTGCCCTGGTTCCAGCTAATGGCAGGTACTGTACTACCGGCATGGGGATTGGCAGGTTCTGCCTTCTCAGGCTCCAATTTGTCCGACTGTTCGGAATCACTTGAAGACTTTACATCTGAGCTAGAGCCTTCCACAGGGTCAACTTCAAGCGGTGTTGCACTGAAGGATGCACCGCGAGGTACTATATCTTTCATATCCTCGGCGCGGGACCGATTGCGCCGTCTTCGTTTCGCGGGTCGGGAATCACCATCGCGTGAGCTACGGGTTGATGAACGGGCTGACCGTGGTCGCTGTTGGCCAATTGAGGCGATTCGTGAGTCAGCCTCATCGCCGGTATCAGGCATGGCTGAAGTTGAGTATATATATTGAGGTCATTCTTTGAGTGCGTCGCAGCGCCGGAGCGCGAGATAATCAATTTTTTACGGTAAACGCGATGCACCAGAGATGCATTTTGATATACACGTGCCGGGTGGGGTTACCTATTTGGGTCAAATTTGAAGATATAGATCTTGGGTTTATCTGCTCTTTGCCACCTATAGGAAGATGTGACTAACTTTACTGTTAGTAATTTTGCACACACCCAGCATTTATTTGTGGTTTTTGTTCCCAATTAGGTAAGATATCTTTACTTGTAGTGAAACACTCAGGTTAGGGTGAACTGGTTGTTCAATACGAGAAAAGATTCCAAGGTGAACGGGTGAACGTTGACTATTACAGAATTCAATGCCCAGGTAAAGCTACATACTATCTATGGATGTACGCATGCAATCCAACTTATCAAAGTTTCAAGTTCAAGTTGGAAAATGAATTTTCACATGCATATAATACCACTGGCTATTTAGCCTACTCTCACTCGATTCCATAACCTCAGACAGTCAAGCATGTCAGATGATAGGTTGCCATCTCCCGCATTAGCCTGTTGAACCACGACAACCAACGCAGAGGCATAACAAAAAGCAATCTTGTTCTCCACTAACAATGTCAATTGAGGCTTCTGCATTCCTCCAAATTGACACCAAAGCATCCATCTTTCAAGAATATCAGTGATTGTCCTGGCCTGGTCCATATCAAGTATCATGAGATATAACACAGCCTGTGCTAGCTTGGACAGCGTATAATTGCCAGGCACAATCTTTTGATTAACAAGATATGTAAGACTCGCCTCAGCAATAACTTTGTTGTCAAGTCGCGGGGACTGGATAGCTTCGATTAGCCGACGTTGCTCGTACTCTTCCCGGGCTTCAATTCTCTTGAGATTATCATTGTGAAACCGGGTTGACTCCAGCATAACTCTGTTATTTCTTGCCTGTGCAGCTTGGCCTGGTGGCATTGCGTTTTCCATTCTTCGAGCCAGGGTTTCTTCATATAGGCGTTGTTGCATCTCAGCCGGGCTTTGAGTAAATTGTGGCGGCGGCGAGGCCCAAGGAGGCACATTATCTTCGCTTAGGATACCAAGAATAACCATCACACCACATGGAATTGATTTTTGTCGCGCGAAAGATGCAATATGGTCTGGAATTGCAAAGTTCCATAGTCCAGAGTCTCCATTTTGGCTCAATGCACAGGCAGTACAGGCGAACCACAAACCAAAGGTCTCATCAAGCTTAGATAAATCTTGATGCTCGCCAGTCATGATACTATCATGCTCAAAAAAAACACGCTTTACATGATCTTGCTCTATTTTGAATCGAATACTGTCATTGCTGGAAGATGTGGATTTTGCCTCGTTGATCCTTGCAAGAAGGGCATATGAGGTTGGATCTGCTGAATCAAGAGCAGTTGCCGTGGTTTGACGGCTGAAAGTCTTCAACTGTTCTGTCTCAGATGAGGGAATCTTGGATATCTCCATGCCAGATTTATCAATAATCCGCGGATGATCGTCTTTGATCAGTCCAGGCTGTTCCAATCTCATCCAGAAAGGAGGCATGCTGGCTGAGTTCCTAGAATCCCATTGCGTTCTCCATTGGACATGTAGGCTCAGCACACCATCTGAATCATCGGGAGACATAATCGTAAGAGCGATGCCTGGTATCCCTCGTGGCGGACGTAGCAGTGCAGTACCAGGAGGTGTCCATAATCCACTTGTTTTTAACATGCGCCAACCTTGAGGGTCTGGCACGGCTCCACGGTCAAGTAGAAAGGCAACCAGCTCTTCAAATTCAATATCGGCTTGTGGGATAGTTAGCTCATCTTTGAATTGGCATCGGTACAAAACTTTCCCAGTGACCAGGCGGTTCCAATGAAAGATTGACCAGCTCCCGCCTTTCAATGAGACTTGAAATCCGTTCAGCTTCCAGTAGCTAGCGTCTAGCTCGCGATCAAGTGGGCTGATAGTACATCTTGGGAGTTCTACTTCAACAATTCCTCCCATAAGACTCACGCGTGTTACGGCCGAGTCGAACAGATCATACCGTTTGAGTGTTGAACGGATCAATCGCTGGGTCCAAAGTGCGCGAAAGGACGTATATAGAATTGGGAGCACGCCCAGCACTGCGAGGGGAATACCAACGTATGTAACGACATCAGGAGCCGAGACCACCATTGCTCAAGTGCCAGTGGTTTAAGCTAGTATTGAACAGCCTTCTTACTTTGAACGCTGCCAGGTGACGACAGGCATAGTCACCACTGTTCTTATATCGCTGCCCAGGTGGACATTAAGTCAGCCTCACGCCGACCGCGTAAGAATAATCGAACTGGCGTGTTATTGGATTAGCTGGAAATCTAGCGCTGCTTCATACTGAAGTCTCATTGGTCTCCTTGGGAGTCTGAGCCCTGAAGGTATCAAGCCTGTACTGTAAATACGGTATTTCTCCGATCCGATTAGCCGGTGTTATTCTCGAACGTGTATGTTTTTGGTATTGATACATTGGGGCTTAGCTGTTCGAGCTACTGCGATGATCGAAATTGACGATCAGGAGTTCAATCTGAAAGATTGATGAGAGGTGAATTAGTCTTCGGAAAATCGTTTATCATTTTTCAGGGTTCAAATGTCCACACGGTAGATCGGACACCAGTTGCCAGTGATCATTCGTGCATTGGGGATCACTCCACTAACCATATCTTGCCTAGTAATGGATCCACTATAGTAGGCAGCAACTTGGGAAATCTTCGACTGGAAGTTCATCGTTATGCACTGCTTGTTTAGCATCAGCATGTTCTCAAGACTTAGCGTCGACTATTTTGACTCAAGCTAATAAATTCATCTCCATATGTTGTATGAAATACCTATATGTAGTCAAATCTAGGGTTCCTATCGCTGCATTGCACTTATAGCACTTGAGATCAACATCGAACCCGCTGACTGTACCATGTATATCATGATGTATGTACTAACTGCCAAGATAGGATGGTTAATAAAACTTGAATATGATGATTCTTTATGTCTACATCTATGACTTTGATGTTCTTTACGTGACATATGATCCATTGGTCCAATGTGCAATCTGTAAGGCCACCACCAATGTTGATTATGGGTCACTTGAGTTGACGAAGTGGGGATGAATGAGATAATTCTGCATTTGTATCACGAATTTTTAAGCGCCCATCGATCTTTTCGGTCTCTGGCCACCATAAATGTTCATAAATCAGCTGTTTGAATACAATTTGCTCTGTATAGTGAACTACAGTCTTGGCAGATCCCCCGGTCGTGCACGAACTGGCAAATCCTGGAGCGTTGACATCTGCCCACTCCAGTGCTCGTTATCTGTATTAGACGATAGGATAACTTGGAGCTAGCATTAATTATAATGACTCGACTCCACGATGAATTTTTCCATGTCGTGATCCGGAGTATGTTTATACCGGAAACTTGAAGAAACCAAAATTCATAGAATCATGATCATAACAGAGATCACAACAGTTCTCATATACATTGAAAAAAAGTTATAAGAATTCTCAAACAAATTCTATTGTTCCAGAAGCAAATAGGGGGGATCATTTCCAATTTTGTAGGTATAAATAGTTGTAAATAGGAGAGTGGCTTGACTATTTAATCCTTAGTTCGAAGTCCAGACTTTTTTGTAAAAAAAAAGCTCCAGGGCTGGAGTTGCGCGTTTGCACGTGTTTTCAACTTCTCTTTGGATTTTCCCTTCTCTTCTTCCTTTATACCCTCAAGAACCAAAAAAAGTACCACCATCAAAATCAAAACATTTGATTGTGGCTATTAGTATCAAGAGTGCTTGAAGCATAAAAAGAGAAACTGCCCCGTGACCCCCGAAAGCCGATCCGCCTTTCTCCAGTTTTGGGCCGTGTGTGCCACTTCCATCCCCACGCTCCTTTTTCCCACTCACCACCTTCTCGCCGTCACGCTGGCTACCGATACCTCTAAATCCTCCCTGTTGGTCCCTCGTTCCATCTCATTCTCCCCCGAGATGGACGGGCCACAGCGGTTATCGCCCAATACCCAGAAGCAGGGCCGTCGCCGACGTTCCAGCAGTCTCATCTACCAAGAGCCTCCCGAGTCCATCGAGCACACCAGCGATCAAGCTGCTTTACCGAATCTCAATGCCAACTGGGTCAATGCTAAGGGTGAGTGGTAGCGGCGCAAGTTTCCTCTTGCTCCTCCGACCGTCCCGCTCCGGACACGGTGGACAAGTTGACGGTTTTTTGGGGAAATATTGAACACAAAATACTGACATGAATCTCTGTCGCGTTAAATAGGCGCCTGGACTATCCATTTCGTTTGCATTGCCGCTCTCAAAATATTCTATGATATTATTCCCGGCGTCTCACAGGAGACCTCATGGACCCTGACCAACATCAGCTACATGTTTGGTTCCTTCCTCATGTTTCACTGGGTGCGGGGCATCCCATTCGAGTTCAATGCCGGCGCCTACGATAACTTGAACATGTGGGAGCAAATCGACAATGGCGACCAGTACACTCCTACTAAGAAGTTCCTGCTCTGCGTTCCGATTGTGCTCTTCCTCCTAAGCACCCACTATACCCACTACGACCTGACATACTTCACCATCAACGTTCTGGCGACGCTTGGTGTGGTTATTCCGAAACTGCCTTTCGTATGTCCATGCCCGGTTTTGAAACGTTCGGAGATAGAGAAGAACCATGAGAACCTGTTGCTAACATGTATTTTCCAGTCGCATCGTTTGCGAATAGGCTTATTCTCCGATTTACCAGACGAGTCATAAGGCTCCCTTATTTCTTTCCCTTTCTTTTGCTACATTGGCGTCTCTCGGCCTTCGAAGCTCACTCCTTGTCTTTCCTTCGCCTTTCTCCTCCTCCGTTCCCCCTCCTACTCTGCCTCCCCTTTTCACAATAAAGAGTTCCTTGCATTGCGTTGATTCGCGGACTTCGATCCGTTGTTGGCTCCTGGCAAATTTCTTCTTTCTTTTGGCAAATATGAGACGCAGCCGTGGGCTCGGCCCCCTTTAGTTCCAGCCTGTCCTTTGTCTAGATGTCCAGTTTTAGAGCCCTGCATATCTTATATTCTGCACCTTGCTTTTCCACTCCTTAGTACTCATAACACTTTGTTCTACTTCAATAATTAGTACGTCGTACATATGCATAACTGTGAAATCCCCGCAATTAAGAATGGGCCCTGGAGACTCGGAGCTCTGTCCTCAAGCTAGACACGCCGTAATGCAGGGCATTTTCTTGGCTGGGCCCATGCGGGGACACATTGCATCATCGCCTTGTATATAACATCCGACCTATGAGCGTGTAAGACAACGCATGAAGAAGAAAAATATGATAAATTTAATAAGACTGTAGGCTCAACATTAAGATAGAAATTTCCGGCTTTTTAAAGAAGGCTGCTGAGCTATATAGCTGTTGGAAGCGCCGATATACCCCACTTCTAATTACTATATGCCCAATATTGACATGGATGATGACGACCTTCTGCCCATCCTCTGGATTGAGTGGCTTCAAATGTTTCCTAGATATCATATCCTACACAAACATTGAAAGACACATGTGCATACCAGTGCCAATAGTTTCAACATGGCGAGAGTGATAAAGGCGGTGAAATCTCCAAGTATACGTAAGTATCCCATCCTTGCCCTATATTACACGGACACCTCTGCCAATTTGGGATGTATTTCTAAACCAGATTTTGAACACAAGCTGTTATTTCCATTCAACTTCCGAAATTCGAATGACCAAAGATCTTCTTTGATATCGAAAAATGCACTAGTACTAGCTGAAAAACCTAGTAGTAGTTTCACTTCTGAAATAAACAACCCATAGGGTCCTCCTCAAACCACGCCTTATTCTTGGTCCAAGCCTGTACGACCAAATTCCTACCTATTTCCACGACACCTTGAACTTGAGCCTCACTACCCCATCCAGAAACTCTGCTTCCCCAGCAAATGAGGTGAACTCCAATATGAATGGCAGTCCGGAATGCCATCTCATCACTCAAAGGTCCATATCCCTTCAAGAATCCCTCAATAATCCATAGCCCATGTTCAACCCCTTTGAAAAGCTTGGTCTCATACAATTCCGCAATCATTTGTCCTAGATCTGAGGATCGATGACCAATGTGTGTCAGTTCCCAGTCAATAGCGAAGATCTTAGTTTCGGTTTGTTCGACTTGAGGATTGCTTGAGATGAGGACACTGGCGGTGATATTAGTATACTAGAGATATATTAAGTGAGTGTCCTTGTAACTTACTTCCCAGTCCAGAAATCACCATGGAGAAGTCCATTAGTATCATCGATAACATCATTCTTCGATTCTGTTGTCGCGAGGTCTCGAACCTGCTCAAAGATACCGCGGTTCTCTTCTAGAATCCCAGGAAAGTTGTCGATTGTATCCAGCAGTAGACCATAGTTCACATAAAACTTCACTTGTTTCATGGAGATGTTTTTGGCGATAATGTCAATAGTCTTCTTTTGTTCAGCCTTAGCACCCCATTCATGAAACGATCGTAGCCACAACCCTAGCGATTGCCCTATCGAACGCGAATAAGACTCTGATACATTGCTGGTGATTTTCTCCAGAAGGAAGGCTTTCAAATCAACTGAGTCTAGAAGATCCTCATGTATTTGCGTGTTTGTTTCAGCATTGAAATGAAGAATGCGAGGCGTAGTGACTGTAATATTCTCCTGAGAATATGGAACAAGATCACCAAGTGCTGCCAAAATGACTTCTTCGAAGTACTAGTCGAGGTTAGGATTGGAATGTCTTGAACTTGAGATCAAAAAGGAATTGAAATACTAACAGATCGTTGGGTATCGAGCATGAAATTAGGATTCGATGCAACATAGTCTTTGCTGTGCTTGATGATAATGGAGTCATGGCTCCCAGAGAGAGTGCCTCGGTATATGAAGTTGGCGGTGCCACCAGATAGACGAGTGAGGGAGGAGCATGCATAAGGGGTTGATTCAAGTTGCTGGGCAATCAAGTCCCGTACTGCGTCTTTGTCGTTTAAGTTTGTAGTGTCCATGATGCCAGAGCATAGAACGAAGTGGCGAAGGAGTCTTAAGAGTTCGCTGTGTTGGTTGATTTTTCGATGATATCTCACACTACACTAGTGATATTTGACTTCTTATACTTGGCAGAATGGATACATTACCCAGTTAACGCCAAGCCAATTCCTTATACGAGTAAGCAGGCTCAAATGCTCGTATTATCATGACTCATAACCATTGCGGGGCAAACTATACATGACACATTCAGGGTAAGTTTGGGTTGGGAAACCATGAAAATGGATATAACTTCTAGTCTCTTGAGTCATCTCAAAAATAAGCTTAAATTATTCATATTTGAATTCTCTAATTCAAAGAAATAACTTTAGGACATGAAATCTCAGTTTCTTTGTTCACCTTTCAAGGCCGAGTAGGTATGGAGTACATGATGTACCTATCAAACTTGAACAAAGAACTTGGGTCAACCTTGTATCAACAAACATTTGAATTGCTTCGAGAATGAATTTCTGTCAATGTACATCAACCTCTAGAGCAACATCTAGAAATCTTCATGATCTTCTTACTGCCTTTTAGAATTGATCAACATCTCCACTTGGGCATAGATCCCCACATTCTGACTAAGTTCTTATCGATAAGAGCGCGTCTCCGCGCGAATTCGCGACGATGGATTCGATGGATTTGGACAGTTCGCAAGAATATTTGGATGCCATGGCTCCCCCAACTGGCATGGAATACCGCAAACCTGCGGTATTGCCAAACGAGCTATTTACACATGCCGGAATCTTCTTTGAAGAAAAACTTTGTTCGCAACCCACTTTGTCATTTAGCCATTATGATCTCCGCTAACCCCTACAGATACAACAGGATTGTCTCTCTTATTGAATACCCTCGCCTCGGGCACCTACGCCTCCAACAAAGCCATCATACCCGTCCCACAGCATATTGCTCTGTGTGTCACTTTTCTCGTCCATCCATCCACTACCACCCGTGCCAGAGTCGCCGAAGAACAAAATGCGTCGAACCTGGCACTGCGCCTATTGCGACTACTCGCCACTTTAGTCAATCCTGAGGATTGCAGGTTGGGTGACGCATTTAAATTCGCGGAAAGAGCGTCCCGATCTGGTCGTCTACACGAAACGAATGATCATGAGGGTGGCCGCCCAACTGATAAACCGCTAGGTCTGCCGATGGGTACAGACGACTCACTATGGTCTCGAGCAGAGGACTTCTGGCATGCTGTTGGATGGGCATTCAATTGCTCAGTACTTTACCCTGAGCGATGGGAACGATGGCAGATCTGGTTGCAGTATATGTGTGATATCATGCAGGATGACTGGACAGCACGAGTGGAGAAATGTGATAAGAGAAAGGAGGCAAGAAATAATGAGACGGAAAGCAATGGACAAGAGAATACAAGAGATAAAAAGAATAAGTGTGAAAAGGAGGATCTGGATATCTTCTGTGAAAGCTTGATTTTCCAGTTCATTGCTTCGGGTTCTCTCTCCGGACGAAATCGCAGAGTTCTCCGGGCTATCTTTGCAGATGGGGGTGTCAAGTCCGTCAATGAATTTGGACAGGTGTTCAAGAACGAGCTCAAGTCCTCGCGCACGCCGGAACAGGCCAAGAAAAGAGATCGAGAGGTCAATATTGAAATGGAAGAGTACGGTGACTACCTAGCTCAAGATGAGTCGGACGAGGAACTGAACGGGGTTAATGATTCGGCTTCGAATCGTGACTCCAGCTCCAAACCTCGAAAGTCAAAACGTACGAGACGAGGGACCAGATCCGCCGGGAAGGGAACTACTTCGCAACCTACAAATGAAGAGACATCTTTACCGCACAGTGAAGTAGGACTTGCGCCAATGGGTGGTTTAGGTGCTCTGAAACTGCGCAAACAGCTCCTCGCCATTCTGTCCAATGTCTCTGAACGACTTCCTTACCAGTTCATGCAGTGGTATGACCTCTACGACCTGTTCGTGGAGAACATCAGCCAGCTCTCCCTCCCAATCTTCCAGGCTATAGTTAGCCCAGCCATTCTTCCAGTTCTATCAGCAGCCGCGCAGACAACGCTTTGCGAAAAGTTACTCTTCCTATTACGGGAGAGTTCTGCACGGAGCTCAGATGAAGAGTTTCTCACTCAGTCGAAATTGGAAGAATGTTTTCTTCCCTACGCGGCAGCTTCAAATACTGCTGTTAATCATATCAAGATTTCAATACTTCTGGAATCAGTCATTATGCTTTTGGCTTCTAGTGAGCTGATTGTCATGAGACCCTCTTTCAAAGAAGCCGTTGTATCTGGTATCAACCATCGAGCAGATCGGGCACAGGATGAGTTCCGGCGCAACCAGGCTAGTCGAGATAATGAACCGCTTGAATGGTGTTGGTTGGTCGAAAGTGGGGAGAGATTGATGTATCTTGTTGAGATTTTGAGTCTGAATGAGCCAAATTCAAGTTGATACGGTGTTTGGCTCTATAGGATCATTTTATGACGATATGACTGTTTATATGCCTACTAGTACATTGCCACTGAACATATTATTCCTTCTCAAGACAGACTTCAGTCGTATTGAACGTTGAAAGCTTAGTTAAAGGCCTGCCAGCGCTGAAAAAAAGAGAACTGAATGAACATCATTCAAGTTCATATTCAAGTATGAGCATAATTATCTACAACCTCAAGTTGAATTGTGGTTTAGGTTACTCCACAATACAAACAAGGAAATCAGAAAAGGCCGTGGCTTCAAGTTCTGAGAATGATAAGCGAAATGAATCGCCCGAATCGCCAGTGCAAATAGGAGATGAAACAAAAAAAGAATTGGGGAAATCATATTGCCTGAAGCATAGAAAATGGAGTGTCGAAGATAATGAGAAGAAAAATAAGAAAAATAAGAAAAAGGATTCACTGGGTCAATACTTTCAGGGATATGGATCTATGGGGGAGGTCGAGGCCCAATAATCTGGCGTCTTGCACCTCCAACACCCAACCCTACGCCTCCACGGTTCTGGTTGTCTCCGCCCATGTAGCCATACTGATGAACATCCCAGGTCTGGCCAGGGCCTGAGCCATGCGTGCTGTCTCGCATGCCGCTATCAACGGCTGCTTGGGTCTGTTTCTGGTTCTCTTCCCACTCACGTTGACGCTCGCGCTCACGCTCCATCTCGCGTTCCAGTAAGGACTTTGAAGCCCAGCCTCCAGCGTGAGTCTTCTGCTGTGAGGCGTAACGGCGGCTGTTTTCTGCATCTATCTCTGCTGTTGAGCTGTAATCCTGAGTGCGGTGCGCAGTAGCAGGCGGTGCTGCAGGGGCAGGATTCGAGTTCAAGAAACGATCAGTGCGGCCTTGACCTCGGTTGGCGGAGTAGGCTACTGGATCCGGCAGAGGACGAGGAGCAGGAGGTAGTTCTCTAGCGGGTAGGGCTGGCGCTTTCTGTTGAGAGGGCACAGGCTCAGGGAGAGGTCGTGGAGGGGGAGGAGGAGCCTGTTCCTCGAAGTCATCTGGATGCTCATCGGCTGCTGGCATATCCTGATTCTTCTGCCATTCGCCGCGAAGGAGTCGTCGTTCCTGTTCAAGGGAAGAGAGACTATAGCTTGGCTTTGGAGGTACGGGAACAGGGCGTTGGCGGCTTCCACTAGCAGGCTGAGAGTCCACATCATTCTCTGGTACCTTTCGCTCATTCTCATAATTGCGCTCGCGTTCTTTAGCCAACTGTAGCTCACGCTCAAGTTCCTTGATGCGACGACTCTCAGAAGTCTCAGTGCTGGCAGTAGCTCCAGCTCCGACACTCTGGCCGGCCTGGTACTGGCTTAGAAATTGACCGTTGAGACGAGAGTCGTTCGCGCTCTTTCGGCGCTGTCGCTCTTGGTCGAGGCGCTCCTCGGTTGCCTTTTCCTCCGCAAGTCGGCGTTGCTCTTCCTCTTGCCATTGGCGCTTCTCATCATCCCATCGCCGTTTCTCATTTTCAATATCGAGGCGCTCCTTCTCTCTCAACCGATCGGTCTCTTCCTTCCATCGTCGCTGCTCTTCGGCTTTGGCACGAGCTTCCTGCTCTTCAGCCTCACGCTGGTGTACTCGCTCAGCCTCTCTCTCCTGTTCCATCCTGCGCTTCTCCTTCTCTGCCAGGTTAGGCACAGCCGGGCCTGGTGTCGTAATTTGTCTCCGAGCGCCAAATGCAATGCCCTGGTTTCCTTGGCTTGCACCGCCCATGTAACCGTACTGGTGAATGTTCCACGCTGGTGATGTCTTTGACACATCATCCTTTTTACTCCATGAGCTAAAGGACCCAGGGGCTGCATCACTAGCATTGCTCGAGGCACGACCGCTGCGCGTGTAGGATCCTGGAGTTGAAGACCCCGTCGCGTTAGGGCTTACCACTACGCGCTTACTTTGTGGACCGACAGTACGCGAAAATGTACTCGGCTGTAGGGCATTCGCTCTCCGGCTAAGTGCAGCCAGACATTGTAGAACCTGCGCAGGATCCTTGGCTTCGTAGAGATCGACCGTGAGGAAAACGTCGTGCGGAGGAAGACTGATTGGTGCCATTTGACATGCGCGCAAGAAATGCGAGATATTCTCCATCTGAACGAATGGCATTGGCGACTGCTTATACTTCACTCCGGGGGATACGGCCAGATTGACCAGTCTAGTAGACAAGGGGTTGTTAGTTCGGGTTTCAACCGCATATATGCATATAGATGACGCGATAACGCCGCAATTAAGACTCACTTGCACAAAGCTACACCATCCTTCAGTCCTTCCAGTAGATCAGACGCTGGGAGTTTCTCGCGCAAAACATCCTCTATCCATTCGCGCACCTCCGCGGCTGCCTGCGGGGTATACCGGGATAGGCGCATGTTGCGCAAATCTTTATCCAAGGAAGTGACCGAAGCCATGATGAATGTTGAGCTATTAGCTTCCGATCCAGACCAGTCAATATGCCACGCTGGTGTTGTAGGTGTTGAAAGAGTATCCCTTTACTCGTGTGCCTAATCAGCCCAGTGGAGACTTGGGTATCAGACGATGCGAAATTCGAAAAAAAAGCAATTTAAGGAGAAAAATTGAAAGCCCAAAGGATGACACAGCGCGTGCGAGCGCAGTAAACAAAATCTCCTTGAATGATCTTGGGTGAGATGTAAAAGGGAAGAGGAAGTTAGGGTGGAAGGTGGAATGGAATGCCTGGGGCTGTGTTTATTGGACTCCGCCGATGACGTTCCTAACGTTCCTAACGTTCTGGCTCAATTGGCCCGTAACTTTTTTTCTCCACGCTTCAATTCCTTCTCGACTATCCACTCTTGTATAACAACAATGGTTAATAGTCTTTGGTTTAAGTGGAAGAGCCTTCGGCTACCCTGGCGGAAATCCTACTTGGTCGGTGAGTTTCTTCGTCCCTCGTCGGCGCTTTATCCATGCTTTCGAGTCTGCATATCTAACGCCAACGCCGCCACCTATTACTATTAGGCCAGGACCTTGCCGGGAACACATTTTGGGAATTCAAAGATCAATTGAACGCCGGTCGATATCGACGTATCGTCAAGTTCGATCCGAAGACACACTACGGAGATGTCCAGGTTACTCGTAAGTTTGATTATACCTGGGGGATCATGATGTTCAAGCCTACAGCAATGTATTGCAGAGATATTACACCGTGTCGCAATTACTGACTATTATTTTCTTTCTTAGCACAATGGCACCAGTGGCTTCGATACGTCCGTCCGAATGCGCCAACCATCGAAGAACAGCGACAAGATCTGGTTCGACAGGCGCAAATGAAAGAACTCGCTCGATTAGCCGACGAACGCTGGGCCAGTAAACCCTCATTCCTCGACAAACCGACGACACAACAGCAGACTCCTGGTATTGCGCCAGGTTCTACTACTGCTGCTGCTAATATCACCTCTGAACCAACCACCACTACAGCAGATGCTCCTTCGTCCCCTGCCTCGGCACCAGAGCCCGAGCCTACCAGCCCACCCCCAAAGACTCAAAAGGAAAAAAACCCATGGGCAAAGGCAGATAAAAAGGGCCCTGGTGAATCCTGGCAGCCCGAGGCCTGGTCTCCTTCCTCGCAGCGATGAATTGAGCTACCCAGACAGCTACACCTATAAGCCTCGTCATTTGGCTAAAGAAAAGAGGGATGTATGACTGTGTGTAGAGGCCTGGGGGGACTTTATAAGATGCCAACAACCATGATCCCAGAGTGATATCTCGATTCTCGACACCGGCTTGCCCCTTCCAGATCAACATGCCTCGAAGTTTTATAATCACAGGGAGTTCTCCTCTCTGCAACCCTACCCACTTCAAGTTATATCCAAGTGGATCCTGAATGCGCTCAATGCATGGCCCTTTCCAAGCTACCTTACAGCCAATCCGTCAAAGCTGGGCTTCTGTACACTAGTTCTCTTTTCCTTGTTTCATATTCTAGATTCAGGCTAAGGCAGATCAGATTTGTTAATAAAATTCTACAACCTAGGATAATATTCAACTATATGACAATTGTCACTCAATTAAACTCAAGCATAGCGACTTGTAGATTCAGACCTCTTTTACTACTTGGGTATTGGAGGATTTTTGTTGAACGCCTGCTAAACACTATTCAACTTCTCCAGCTGACATATTCAATTTGACAGTTAGTCAAGCAGCCCATCGATACTTCTATGCAAATGTTTTTTCCTCCTTGTCCGAGTCCAACTTGAACTGTATAGCGGCTAGCCTACCAATTTAGATACTTACATACAGGAGTAGATAACATTCACCTACGGATACGACTAACAGCCCAGCTGCTTTGGTGCATACACCTCCGAGAGTCTGCATGTATGGATGCTAGCAAGTTGAATCTGATTCCAAGGTTGGGATATAGGGTGTCTATTTAACAGACCTTCCAAGGTTCAAAAATCTTCCTATGTGGCCAACATTGGACGTGGATAATCTCCTAATTCCGTTCAAGTTGCTATACCGCCACGAAAAGCGCGGTGCTATGACTTGTCTACTACTACTGGTTACTAGTAAATAGCTTAAGTGGTTGGGTCTAGCTTACGAGTCTTGAATCCACATCTTCTGGCCCAAATGGGCACTACAATTTGTATTTCAACGCTTAACTAACACTATCCTGATGCCTGATGCAGAACAAGGAAAAAATCATGATGAAGCAAAATCAAAGAAGGGAAACCAAAGAAGCATCTCCTTTTTTTTTGAAGCATTTGTGTTTTTTGTTTTTTTTTTTTGGTCTTCGTCGGTCTTTTCCCGTTTTTTTTCGCTTTCTTTTTTTTGTCGGATTCCATCGATGGTGGACTTCCAAATATCAACAAATCCAATCAGTGCTATAGATGTCATCTATGCCAAAACGAACCAAGATCCAGGGGTATCACGTCAAGAAAAAGCAAAAGAAGAGTAAAAAAAGACAGTGTAGAAGAGAAATGGCAGTCTAAAACAGAAAGGAAAGGAGCAGGTCAAAGAATCAATGTACACAGAATCAAATTTCAAGAAGAAATCAGATATAGCACATGTAGTTGGTAATGCCGCCGTTCTGGGTTACTTTCCTCGGCTCAGGAAACGGAATTTGGTCTCGTTCCTGTCCCATCTCAATCGCTTCATTGAAACAAGCCTTTGCCCAACGGCGTGCACGATCGCAGAATCGATCGGCAAGGAAAGCCGGAGTGCTGTAGGAGACTGAGCGAGTACAACGACCCATCATATAGCAGACGCCATGAGTCAAGTCCTGGAGAGCATCGGCGGGCTTTCCTTCTGGGTTCGCAGCCTTATTCGTGAAAATCTCATCATACATCACCACGTAGTGAGCAGGACGCGCAGAACCCATGATGGCCGATTGGGCTTGAAGATAGAAATCCCAGAGCACAGCACGAGTCACTCCACGGTCAACCACCATTCCAGGTTGAGGATTAGCGTTCCTGTCCAAGTCGTTGGACTTGGTCGGGAAAAATCGAACATGATGACGCTTGGTAACGATGATGAAGGTCACATTTGGCCCCTTGCGCGCTTGATAAACGCGTCTAAACATCGTCTTGATCTGTGCCACCTCGTCATCCATGACCGTTTTGTATTGGCCTTCACTCACACCGTCACGGTAGATGATAATGTTTTCAGGAAACACCTTGTTCAAGTTTTTCCAACGCATGATACAACCTTCAAGCATTGACCCCAAGTCCGTAATCATTTCCTTGCGTTCCTTTTGCGCTCGAGTGTCTCCTGGCCATTGACCCAGCCGTCCGTCTGTGCTTGCAACAATCGCAGCAATACTTGGAAAGAATTTTGGATCCGCCCCAGTTGGGTGGGTCACGTCGAGGCCAACGATCATGGTCTTTGCCTTTTGTAGCAGCTTACAGGCGTTGGTATCAAATGACTGACAGACACCGCCAAGTTTGAGGTTGACCTTCATGGCATTGTTCGCCATGTACTGCTTATCACCGCCGATGAATTTCTCAATCTTAGCGCAGTGAGTCAGGATTCCAAATCGAACATCTCCTTGCCACTTGACGTGATTGAAGACCTTCTCCTCATTGTCAAACATGAGAGTAAGCATGAAAAGATACTTGGGCTTCTTTGTCTCTGGGTCAATGGTAGATTGGAAGGCATTCGCAATCACGCTACGGTAGTTGCTTGAAGTGTAGACGAGAACTCTGATCACCTCTGGCTGACGCCACGAAATTCCCAAGCCTGCAAGTGTCCCAATGAATTCGTTGATCGAACGCTCTGGCTGTGATCCGGCTTTCCAGTGGTCTGCGACGTGGGGCCACTTATTACCGTTTGCGAAAACAAAAACCCCCCAAGGGTTATATTGTGGTGGTTGCGTAAACTTGAAATCTCTCAAATTCCAGCTTCCATTAGTAGGCCTGACACTCTTGTTGCCGCCATACCTCAAGGTGGGAGGGTTAAGCATTCGGGCAGGAACACCAATCATTTGCTTGCTAATGTCAAGGTTTACCTCACGGACCAATTGGTTCTCAATGCCCATGACCTTGAGACCGTCCCTAATGATCGATACGAAATTGTCTGGAGGGCGCCGACAACTGAACTTAATCATGGCCTGACGCTGGCTAGTGCAGAGCTCTCCGTTGAAAATCTGGCCTATAGGAACACGACAGACTTCCTGGGGCACGTACCGGGGTTTTTGCTTAGTGCCCAGGTTGAGAACTGGCCTTCTTCCTAGATTTGACGCAAATTTTGGGTACTCTATTAAAGGATGTTAGTGAATGTGACTTATATCAAAACTAATGAGCGAGAGCAGATAATTGAAGTCAAATACTTACTGCGTTGGAAGTATTCATGGACAGTTGTGTACTTTCCAGTCTTTCCAGTCTTGTCATCCTTGTCTGCTTCCCAGAACTCAACATTTTTGGGATGCGAGGCAACACGTGCGACATTGGGTTTATTAGGACCTTCACCATCACTCGGTGTTGCAACTCCCCAGATGTATTTCTTTTGCCGTAGTCTCTGGTGTTTCGGGGTAAGTGGATCATATTCGGGAAGATGCATCAATTCGACAGCGAGACCCTTAACAAATCGATTATATCCTTCACGGTCCTCGCCATGCGTGTTGACATACTCGTCGGTCAGTTTGGTCATTTCTCCTCCGCGAATAAAGGTGCCGTGATTCACATTCAAATTCAGCAGCAGCCGGTCAGCACCGAGTCGAACACTAGAGAAGAACCCACGAAGGACTTCAAGACCACCTCCCAGATCGGCGTATTGCTTTCGGTCATCGATCCAGAAGAACTTTTGACGGCCCTTACCGGTTGTAACGATGCCGGTGTCATTTTGAGGACAGCGGGTCAAAACAATATTGAGGATCCTTGTAGCAACCATCTCCCCTTCAAAGGGAATAGCTGCGAAGGGTTGCCAAGCTCCTTTAGGAGTTCTGCCGGTGTGAAGGTTCCATTTCTGCCGAACTTGATTTTGTGTTCATTGAACTTGCCTGGGCTGGGGCCGTGGATCTTGATGGTCATTCCTCTCTCCCAATCCTCGAGTGGGCCAAGCGTGACGAGCTCATTAACCATATCCGATGTGCCATGAAGAGCTTTCACGGCTCTGGTCAGAAGAATCTCCTGGAAAACCTCTCTCTTGAGTCGTGGCAGCTTGGGCTCTGGGTCCATCTTGACCGTGTAGCAATGAAAAGCCTTCTGCGGGTCTTTGAAGCCCAATTCAAAAAAGTTCGCCCGAAGAAGGGTTGACCTTCCAGTGGTTGCATAGTTTGGGCGCCGAATTACCCCAGCCTCACCAGTGTAGTTGAGGTTCTTTTTGATACAGTTATCCTCAAACTTACGGAGCTCGGCATTCTCAGCAGGTGGATCTTTTGTGAGGACTCTATCAAAAAATTTAGTAATGTGTTCGTTGGATCATCGGGGCTGGTAGACTTACTCAGATGTTTCAGCCTTAGCTGAAAACCCCCCTCCACGAGAGCCACCGCGACCACCACGATAATCGCCGCGAGGATGGGAAGAACCACGAATTGGTAAGTCCCCTCGGAAACTTCCACCTCCTCTGCCACGACCTCCTTGATGAGACATTGTGTCTCAGCTGGAAAGAAAATGACAGGGAAACGGATGTTTAGGAGTAGTTTGGTAAGAAAAAAGAAGGGTAAAGTGGAAAAAGGGGAGACTCGGAGTTGCGGATGGAGATGGATGATAGGAAGATGAATGGTGCATAGAATGAGGTCTTCAAGACCCAATGCACAAGGGAAAAGAGCAGGAGGAAGGTCGAGATGAAGAGGGTCGAGATGTATCAATGGGTTGATGGTGAAAGTGTCTTATGAGATTTCAATAGAAAGAAAAAGATCTAGAGTCTGTTAGTGTCAAGTCATAGTGTCAATGTGCATGGGATTAAGCAAGGCATGCATGTATAGAAGGAAGACACGCACGTAAAGGATATTGAGTATCCAATTGCAAAAAAACGATTGGGATGCTCAAATGTCGAGGGAGAGGGTTCAAAAGATCAAGATTTTCAAGATTGACACAGAGTGTGGGGAAGAAGAAAGAAAGAAAAAGAGAAGCAAAGTAGAAATCGACGAATAAATAGTCAAGATATCGCACAATTGTATTGCGCAAGAATATCGCACAATCGTATCGCACAGCAGGCAAATAAGTTGGGATTGAAGATATACTCACCAGGATGCTAGGGAACTGAATGAGCTGAAGAGAATGAGAATGTAAAGATCAGAATGAAGGTATTGATATTGAAATAAGTGCAGAGGTGAAAGCTTTGGGGGTGTTCAGTAAAGAAAGAATAGCAGAAATTGGAGTATTCAAGTGAGTGGAAATGATAGAAGCTGTGATAGAAAAGAGAATGACAAAGATAGCTGCAGTGGTAGCAAAGAGATTGACGAATATAAGCGAGGAAAGATCATTCACAGCGATGCACAAGCATACCTGGAACAGTATGTGTCGTTATCAGAAAGATATTGGCACGGAGAAGGAAGAAAGAGAAATTGAAATTGGAAGAAATTTCTTTAAATAGTAAGAAATTCCGCCTATTGCATCAACTCAGTCAAGGATCCAAGAGGAGAGTAGTATATAATCAGAATGAGTGAACTGCAAGCCCACCAGAAAGACTCACCATATCCATTTCCATGCAACTTGCACAGTAGGTCAGAGTTACTGATTTCGGATTTGAACCAAGTCCACAGGAAATATGGTATAAGTAGACATGGATATATTGTCTAGATATTAAAAATACATCTAACATTTTGGAGTATAACCCAGAGCCCAACAAAAAAGCTGATCACAACACCAGAAACAACCATGGAAGCATAGAAATCAAATGATATCAACCCAGAACACCGGCTTCGAAGTACATCAAGAAAAAGACAGAGGCAGGAAGTGGAAAATAAAACATAGAACAGGATTTGTTTCAGCAGAAGACAGCCTCGAGAGCCTCGACATCACCACCTGCATTACGGACAGCCATAAGAGCAGCTTCACTCAACTTACGGCGCTTATCACGAGCCTCTTGTTCCCGACGGGCCTTTGTCTTGGAGCTTCCAGAGGGCGCAACACCAGTGAGGATTTTTTGGCTGTCATGGGCAGTGAAGTTGACAAATGATACATTTGCAGCTTTGTTAGCCCCTCGGGGACTTGTGGACTTGACCGGTTTAGGGCCATTCATACTCTGCCCTGAGAGCTTGCGACTGTGCGTGCGGCGGTGGCTGGCTTTCTTTGGTGATGAGCCAGTCTTGGGAGATAATGATGGGGAGTGGGAAGTGTGAACTTGAGGGGCGGTGGCAGGTGCCATGAATGTATGAGAGTTGGTGGGGATCATGTTGTTGGAGAAGGAAGATTCGGCCGACATATCAAATGACGGATCCATTTTAATCATCAGTCCGCCTTGCATCATATCATTTTGGGATGCAACACCTTGCATTGAGCGCTGATGGGCCGGAGATGTCATTGTTTGGTAAGAGTTCTGCTGTTGTACGACTCGGGAAGGCATGGGCGATGACCACCAGGCCTGATCATGTGCTTGTAGATCGGGAGTGAAGGAGAGGGAAGAGGTGCCAAGAGCATCAGACTGCCATGAGGAGATAGACTGGGGATCTGAGGAGTGTGATGAGGAGAAGATATCATCTGCAGATGGAGGGCTTGAGTCGGTCAATCCAGAGGAGCTTGGGTGACTCATATATTGTTGTTGGTGTCGTGCAAGTGCACCAACAGAAGGTGAAGGCATAGAAACAGCAGGCGATTGTTGAAAGAACTGAGTGGGCATCTCAGTTGAGTCTCTGTGGTGGCTCATAGTGTCTGTATGAAGGTTCTCATGTTGAACCAGAACATCCGAAGGTGGGGGCGACAAAGGAAGATGGCCATCTGAGCCGGTCAGAGTAAAGCTCTGGATCCGTTGGGCCCAGGCCTCTGGGTATGCCATTCTTCCTTTAACAAGATTGGAAGAGCGTAACAAACTGGGGGAGAAGCTTTGCTTGCGCAGCAATGCGCGACGCTCATTCGGGTCGCGATGGCGGATAGACTTGGGAGTGACGATCGCACTCTTAGTAACTTTGCGGCGGGGAGTAGCCGGCGGGGTAGATGGGGAAGTTGAGGAATTGCCGTTTGTTGCTGCAGGGCCGGAAGAAACCTCGAAATTATTATTCAGACCAAAGTCTGAGATTGCAGAGGGGTGAATGGTGTCTTGAAAAGCGAACTGAGCCCCGTCGTCCTGCAGGGACCACTCTTTAGTCCAGGGTTGCGGTGATTGATGGCGCTTCAAAGTGGATCCAGTGGGGGAATGATCGCCACAGTCGCTCGATAGCGAGTCAAGCGGGAAGAGCTGATCAAAGTCACCCGAGAAGGAGTCTTTGTTGCCATCGGGGCCCGAGGGATCCACATCAACGTATTGGTTGAAGATGTCATTGAACGAATGGTCAAATGGCTGAGCGAACATCTTGACGGCTTTGTATCCGTTTGCGGCGAAGTAAGGATAGATTTGCAATATGAACACCCGGGGAGGAACAAAGGATGTGATTGGTAACCCAGAACCAACAGGGTTCGAGGAGGTTACTTAGGGCTTAACGAGATCAGTTGAAAAAGATCAAGTTGATGCTGATGTAGATGTAAATAATGCAAAAAAATGAATGCAAATGATGCAAAATCAAGTCAATGCAAATGATGCAAAAGTGTGGGGGAAGAAAAGGGAAGTGTTTGATAACAAGACAATCAGTGTAAACACTTGAAGAGTATGCATTGAAAGCAAATGAAACAAACAGCTCTCGCCGACTATTTGAATTGCTTTGAGGCATCCCAGCCTCGGGCTTTTCGCATACATTCTTCAGATCCTCTTTGATCAACGAGGAATGTGAAAGCAAAGAATCCGGTTGGCCCATCTTAGGATCCACATCTGCATCGAAGAATGATTCAAGACTCTTTTAGAGCTCCATAGCCAATTGTATACCACTAAAAGTGAGTGGCTAATAGAGCCACTCAATCTGGATCCACCCCTGTCAGAAGCTTGGGTCCGGATAGCCACCAGATAGAATGCAACCTCGTTCACTAGACCCGAAACGGCGACCGTTTGAATAAGTCAGTGTGGCGGGTGTGGGGGAAAAAACTCAGGCATGTCAAATCAGCACACTTGGAGAGCTATTGCTGTACCCTCATCAGGAGGAATAGGGGAGCATTGAGGTATTGAGGATGGATCGGATCGCCCGAGCCATCAAAGCATGATTAAGGGACCAGGAGCAAAGTTTCCCCCAGTTTGGAGATCTCTCTGCCCGGCTTATTCCCCCTAGGAGTTCGACAATAATGTATGCGTCATGACCATGGCAATCTAATCATTCATGTTCTCAAACAAGGTTAATTCGGGACGGTAGGATCCGCAGCATCGTGACAACCTGTTTGAACCTGCAGAGCTCTTTCCTGTACTCTATACTATCATTAGTTCATGCTCTTTACTTCAAATGGGGGTGCATAATCGTATCAAGGTGGGATCCAATGTGATGACCTCGATAAGACTGGAATGTGCTCCGGAATGTTGGAGTGCTTGGCAGAATGTCATGCCTCCGCCAAGTATGCAGCGAATATTCGAAGACTTTTTTTGACAAAATATTCCAGAATATCATATTCTGCTGGCCTGGGGCACAAGTCCGGAGAATAATACATCACAGCGTGCATGTGAGGGCCCGAGATCCTCCTGAATCTCAACTGCATGGCGATCGCCAAGGGCGATCCTTTCGGCCTCCGAGTCTTGATCAGATCTCATGTTCTATTATTATCAACACTGGAGTTTAATAAGCCGATCGCCCTATTTGTGGAGGTCTTTGTCGAATGCAGTCAGATGAAGTTTTGATCCATGCCTAAAATGGCACTGGGTATCTCTTCAGGGCTCTCGCACATGAGCGATCATCTACCCAAAATAATCCAGTTGGTCCATTGTGTGCATTAGTTCAATGAGCCTGAAGGACATTGGCCTTTCTAGCTGGGCAGAATTTGTCATTTGTAGCTGAAGGCCCAAGCATCTGGGCATCTTGATGCAAGGCGGCGTTCTTTGTATCCCGCTTTTATTGGCATCGCTCAGGCCTGTTGGGTAGGCTGCGCAGGCCTTAAATAGACACTGGCTTTTGCTTTCGCCTGAATCAAAATAGATGCAGGAGTGACAGGGAAGAAAGCACGCTAGGGAACTTGAAATTAGTACATATACCAAGGGCAATTAGGCACTCTGTCAGCCCTGGAAATCCGGAGTGGAGTCTGGAAGTATCAATCCTTTTAGCCAGAGGTAACCATCACACTGCAGGGCCATTGCCATTTCCGTATCATCGGTTGATTTCTTTTTCCTGCCATTTCAGCCTGATCGACAGTTCCACTACTCCGAACCCTCCTTGGGCTATTATTGTAAACCGGGCTAGGGAGCGCCTCACAGCTTCTCTGGGTATGAAGCTATTGTGCAGGATTGCTGCATATGAAGATCTTTCAACAATTCAATATATTTCAGATATAGTATATTGAGTGTCTTAATTCTTTCAAGCTGCCCAATATCAAACTTGAAATCAGGCCTGTAAATAGAAAGAATTGAGGTCATAGCTGGAACCAAGAACCAAAAACTAAGAAACAATTAGCCGGCTGACTCAGAATGACGATTCCGTAAGGCGAATAAGGAAGAAAAGAGAAGAAGACAGCGACCACTTGAAGATTCAAGGCTTCCAAGGTTGCTTACAAGTCATATGTCTTTTTTGTCTTATTGAGTATTAGTAGTGAATTAAAAAGGATAAGTCAGCTGGTGTTGACCACCTGGGCACCTGACACAGCATTCACTTATTACTACTTTGGGCGGCGGTTGTCCTCATTCACTCGCGGTCGGCCCAAAGTGACTCAATCCTTCACCCCGCGGAACGTGGAGTTTCTTTTCTCTCCTCGGCTCTCTTCTTCCCCTCAATTTCCCCTCCACAGCTTCGTTCTCTTTACTCTTCTCGATCTTCAAAAATATCCACCATTCAATACTCACCCACCCTACCAACCTCAGGCATTCCCGTGCCGTTTTCATCGCGCTCTCCGAGATCGCCTCAACTTCGCACCTACGCGCCACCTCCCATCTTATCCATCTCACCATCTATCCAACATCATCACAGACATCCCTTCACACCTTGCGACCTCTTTCTGACCCCCCGAAATTTAATCGCGCTTGGAGATACCTTCAAAACAAGATCACCACCTCACCCGGTCGCCGCGAACGGGTGCTTCAACAAACAATTTCCAATTTCAAGAACGACACACAATCATGTACTCATCTTGCTTCCTTGCTGGGGTCACCCCCGTCGAGTGCCAGTAGATGATCACACGATCAACGTGTGCTTTACCATGGAACTTTCTCCGCGTCTTGAAGGCCTTCGTCGCCAGTACTCTTCCGTCATCTTGATCTTCAACTGAAATTCATTCTCATCTCCCTGCTGCGAATAATCTGGTCGAGGATAATTCCTTACTAGGATCAGTATCGAAAAGTCGCAGTACCCCTCAAATTTACACCATTCCGAGTATCTCCGAAAGCACCTCTTGCTCAATTCGAATCATGGAGACCTTGCCGAACATGGCTGCTACAAATAACCACCGAGAGTCTTGGGATTCTCTCTCCTCCGCTTTCTCCCACCTCGATGCCTCTTTCTCCCAAGACAGTTGCTATGGCTCAGACGAAGTTTCAGTCTCCTCAACCACTACCGCGCCGCTTGAGTCCAGCGTTTCAACTTTTGTCGCCAAGAATGAGAAGCAACCTCTTCACTCAATCCTCAAATCAATCTTGAAAAACTCCACCGCCGATCTCCAAGAAGACGACGACAGCGACTCTGAATCTGAGTCTGAGTCTGGATATGGATCGGACGACATCGAACTCGAATACGATGCTCTCTCCGAAGATGAAGACGAGTCCGATGAGGACGACATGTCTGACTTCTCTGTGTGGGACGAGGATTCCTCGCACAATGTGCCGGAGACCCATGAGGATCATACCCATTCGTTTGACGATTCCTTCATCGGCTTTGAGACCTCGGTTCGATTTGATCCCCATATCGAATACATCGGAACTCCAGATACCGACCTATCCGAGGATGAGGAAGCTCCCCAGTCTGAAATGACCATGCATGAGATGATGCTCCTTGCCCTGAAGTCAGGCTCTGTGCAGAGTTCTCTGCATGAGTCCGATACCGAGGATGATGACTGTGAGGATAACCGTGATTCTTTCTTCCGCGCAAACGCACCACAGCTGGAAGATTTCACCCGCGACGCCGTCGATGTGGACCAGCGTCTCTTCATCGCATACATGAACGGGATTCATGGAATTGCGGATTCAAACTACAAAACTTATCTTCGCGCCCAGGCGGACAACATCAGAATGGGCCACGAAACCGAGTCCATGCACCCCGACGATCCTCCTTGCATGTATCTCGACTCGGTCCTCAATCATGTCATCGGTGTCTTCCGTAACCTCCTTGCTGTGGATGAGTTGAATGACTTGATTGCACTCCGCAAAGAAGACTCGACCTTCGAGCCCGCGAAGACCACTCTTTCTGTTGAGACTCCCGCCGAGACTCCAGCTGAGGCGTCTGGCCCGAACACACACCAAGCTCTACTGGATAAAATTGAACACTTCCTCCTTGACCGACTCACCAACGGCTGCGTGGATGTTTTCCCAGATGAGCTGAGCTTCTTCGCCGGTGGAATCGCACACGCGCTGGGCACTGAGGACTTGCCCGCAATCGTTTAACATTGCCGGACAACAACAAAACAACAACAACAACTTACGACATTACGACAAAGAAAAATGGGCTCGCCTGGATCATAGGCGAAGGGATCGCCTGGGTGTTCAACAACCAGGAAAAGTATTCGGATTTATCAGCACTGCGGGGACAGGCTATCCATACAATAGCCCTAGTATCTCTTTCCTAGCTATTACTTGAAATTCAAAAAAAAATTGAATCAAAGAAATCCCAGCTTCTCATAAAACTAGACCCATACCACTACCAGATGTCCGTGTCTCTGGCAGACACCGTCCAGTGTAGTACGCCGTGACCTGGGCACCTAAGTTACTTTATTATGACTGTGCAGACTGAGTGTCTCGTCCACGGGTGTCTCATGATTCGAATCAAATCTGAAACTTCCTCGCAGATGAGTCCTTTAACTCATCTAGCGTTCACTTAAACCCCGCCCACTATGCCTCAAAAGACTGAGCATTATGTTCCAGCCCTCTACAATCTGAAGTAATCAATTTCCTTGCTCCACATTATACGCAGGTAGTGTGAACAAAAACAAGAGGCGCCAATTGGGTATACCAATCCAACCGCAACAGCCGTATGCAAAATTTATCCCCTACAATGAACATCTTCATACTAACCCCGAAGCATGGTCCAACCACAGCCTCGAGACCGCGTGTTTCAGAGTTCCTTCGTCTCCTCTTCCTCGTTAACCTTATCCATTTTGGGTCTAAGTGATCCCCTCAACCCCACCTGTCATGCCGAGACCTCCCCTGATAGTCACTTCGAATTTTTACCGTTTATGCCTTCTGCAGCGTTCAACGATTCACTTCAAGATGCCCAGCCTCTACCGTGATGCCATTTCACCGTTATAATAGTCTCTAAATGAGGCTATTTCCCCGCCTCCTGGCACAGCAAGCATGGAGATATCCCTCGTGGAACCGTCTAGCCCTTGAGCCATAACCTGTTTATTGAATTATACTTCGGGCCCCCGGCCCAGTTAGTCAAGACTGCGTGGCCGTCGGAGCCGGTGGAGGTGAGTGGATATCCGTTTCTTTTGTCTTTCTCGGAGAATTTCTGTATTCTCTGCCTACTACGTATGTATGGGGTCCTACATATGCCGTCTTTTTCACCCGATAGAGTAACGATGCACACATGCGCTGCTTTCGCGTGGTGGTGGCCCTTGCGGCTTTCGGAATGTTAGCGGAGTTTACTGCCATCCCCTTTTCTAAGGTTCGGTCTTTATGGAGCAGGAGGAGGTTGAGTTTCGTCTCCACTATGGCCGTTATATGTCTCCATTTATGTGGTGCTTGAGCGTGCTGCTCGGCTACCACTTCCGGGGTTGCCGTTAAGACCGGTGCTCTGCTAATAATAGGCCGTCCTTAGCTATCATGATACTAGTATGTGTCTGTGAGATATTCATTGAGAGCGTTGCACTCACTGCGGACCTCTGGGGTCGGTGAGGCTTCAACTTGAACCTATATTATACAAACCTCAGTTATAAACCAAAAATAACCTCCAAATGGAAAGTCGGTTATTTCAGTCCACGGATCCGCATTGATCGACCTCAAGGCCCGCCTGTACATGTGCATACGCAGCATACTATTGATGATCAATTCAATGGCCAGCCTTGAAGTGAGACTTCAGATAGATGTTGTATTCCACCTGAGTCTCAACATTGCCCGAAGGCTCTCTAAATAGTAGCATTCAAGTGCTGTTACTGATATTATCTTACAAACACCTTTTCCGCTCACCTGGGTAGGCTTCCGAGTCATGTTGGGTAGCATCTATACATCTCCTACCCATCAACCGATGTATCTATACAAACTACTCTCTGGTGCCATTCAAGGTAGTATACATGATGCCACCTACGCTGACTTCTTTTTATAGATACACATAAAACCATAAAGGATAACTCCCTGCAGTTTTATTGGTGAGCAACGAAAAAGCGCAAAGTTTCGCAGGCTGACATACTGCAGTCTAGGCGCATGTGGTGGACATCCGAGGACTATGGAGCATGACATCATGTAAAGCAGCCCGGGGAGTACTAATGTGTAAGACAATGCAAGCAGAAAGATCAAAGAGGAGTGGATGTCGAAAGTGCGAGTGAGGAATAGTTTCTGTGACTATGATCTACCCAAGGCCTCTATGGGTGCAGCTAGTACATATAGTCCAGGTATCTATGCATACTAGAAGCAGGATTACCATGCACAAGTCCCCTCATACTAAGCAAGGAATACAAACATGCAGTTCATCGTGAAACCTATAGCATTTACCTATACTATTGATACACATCTCATCGTTCAAGTACTGTCTGGACTGGACTGGCGATAGCTCACATGGACAACAGTAAGGGGTAGCCGTTTTTTTGTTGTCGATCGCAACGGCGCCAACTGAGCAAAGACACCGGATCATCCACGGACATATTGCCGAAATCATGGTTTTTTTTTTCTTGCAGAGTTTTTTTGTCATGTTTCGGACTACATCGCTAGGTCATCTGCGCTGTTGCAGTGAAGATTCCCGGGATGTCCTATCTCGTCATCTGGATGTATTTATTTGGATGTATCATTCATCAGCGAGGAATTCCGCTTTTCTTAGCCAAGCATCAGCATGAATATCATTATTTCGGTATGGGTCTGGTGGAGAGGACTCAGACGTCAGTATGGAGTAGCCTGAGGTCGAGTACGTCTTCAAGTTGTTCTGCTAGTAGTAGGTCCAGATGTCCGCTTTAATGAAGGGTATGTCCATAGTTTTTGGACTAGGCAAACCCACTCCACCAGCCGGCATTTCAAATCTTACTATAGAATATAGTTAGTTGACTCACTATATAGATAAGCGCCTCAGAACATTTGAACTTGAAGTGCAAGGTGCAAGGTGCAAAGCCCTACTAGTATGTATAGATGGCATACTACTAATCACAACCGTGGTACGGTGTAAATCGAACTCAAAGGCCAAACTCAATTTATCCTAAATTTAAGAATATTCTCATCCAAGAATCCCAAAATCCCTTGGCCGTCCTCAGTGTGGAGAGCCTGAGCCTTTCAATGCCACAAGAATTCTGACAGCAAGCGGAGAGTGGATCAACCACATCCACCGCGTGGGTTTCTATTCGGGTCTTCATTGCCTATCTGCACCAACAAATGTATGTGAATACGGGTGCTGGGCTCCTAATAGTGGGAACTTGAACGTCAACAGAACCGGGTTTTTACCTTCCCCCTTTCGTCTCTTGACGATCCCTTCGATTTTTTTTCCTACCAGGAAAAGTAATTCGGGCTGCACCGATTCCTGCCAGTGCGAATATCCTTCCTTGTTGGGACTTTCTCTGATGTATATCTCTCACCTAGGGGCATAGGGGTAATATCTGCGGTAATTATCGTGTGATGAGAGTTCAAATGGTCTGGTTCAAGTTTCTCAGCTGAGATTCAGCTTTGATACCTCATGTAATGTGTAGTCTACGTGGAAACTTTGGAACCTTGAGACTAGTATGTGATGAGATGAGATCGCGAGGTAAGGCACTGATCAGATCAGATCATAGGTGCATACTTTTCTTTTCTTTTTCTCACTTTGCCCTATAAGCTTACACTACTAATGCAGGAATGCCCTGGGGTACGGAGTACAGGGAATGGCCTTTGAGATGAACCAATAGGAATACCGTTGATCGATGAATGCATTGTGATAGTCCATTGTGATATGATAGATCAAGTTGACCCCGGTTAACTCCCGGTCCGGGGGGTGCACCACGTTGTCCAGTCACCATGAAGAATGGTAATCACACATACCCCAAGATTTTGAGGATTTAGACTTGTATTTGTTTTTTAGTATATTTTCTTTTTGATCGTATTGAGTGTTTTCCATGCTAATAATAATTCATTGGTGATTCGTGGGGCTATTTTATTTTAATTTCAGTATCCGAGTCTTTTCATATGATACTACTAAAATGTAGCCGCGCGAAGCCTCCCGAGGTCAGTGGCGCCATTCCCCTAACTTCAAATGTTATCATGCAACCCCTTAGGCCAGATAATATGGATATGACTCCATTTCTCTACAGACTATTGTTCTGAGCTCCCCACGCTCTCCAAGGTTGCGGAGTTAACGGCAGACGGGATTGCTAGACGACCCGCCCAGCGCCGATCGTGGAACCTGTGTTGATATGTAGTACACGGAAGGCTCCGAACATGAATCAGGATCTACTTTGATTCTCAGGGGAATTGAGTTATGCGGCAGACCGCTTCCTGGGGTATACCAATTTTATGGAGACCTTCATTACGGTTCCACGGAGTACATACTCCATCAAGCCTCCATACATAGTACACGCGAATTGCGTTATCAAAGTCATTGTAACTTTATTTTCTCGGTACCGTGTGCGCTGGAGATCTTCCATGATTCGATCAGAAGGTCAAGGAACCCACAAGGTCATAAATCTGGGACCATCGGGCTTGTAGGATCTTATTTCCCGAAATGTGTTTCTTCCCGAACCAATCTATTACGGAGTACTCCGTACCAGTACTCAGTATCGAGGTGAATTTTTTTTTGGAGATTTTGGAGATTTCAGTGGCGGTTTTGTGGGTTATTGGAGATCGTCGGTGAACTCTACCGTGTTAGGGAGAGATTTGGTTCAGGTACCACGGATATGATTGGTCTTAATGTATGACAGTTTTACAATGTATGTCCGGGGTGGAGTTATGTATGTAATTTGGGGGAGTGCGATCGGGGAGGAATAAGAAAAAAAAAGGAAATGAGATGAAATGGTAAAGGATCGTGGTAGAATGCCAATTTCCATACTTAGTCTCAAACCTTAGAAGGATTTTCCTGCAGAATTGTAAGCGATAGAAGCGACATAGAAAGTCGTATTGGGGGCCAACCTTAGAGTACATTAGGGGTGTTTCCTTGCATATGGCCCCTCGTGGACAATGAGCACATCCATGGAACCTTGGAACGGGCCTGAGATCGGATATCATTTTGTTACAGACCAGGTACCAGTTACGAGGTCCATCATCGGGAGAAAAAAAAGTGATTTTGTGGTATTTAGGTGGGGAGGTTCTTGTTCTTGGTTATAGGGGCCCACTTAGAGGACCAAAGTTGCCCCGGACCAAAAAGAAGGGCACAAAAAAGGTATTTGGGATGCATGGAACCACGATCGAAGGCTTCGGAAGAATAAGCAAGAAGAAACAAGACCCGGGACACGAAACTTGCACTAAGACGAAACGGAGAAAGGCGCAGTCCAATTGTTTCGGAGAAACGACTCACTGTATGGAGTACCGGGGCGATGGAGCTGAGACTCGGAAACAAAAATTCAATAGAACGACTAAATAAGGGAAAGTGTTGAAGACTAAACCCCCCCATAGTGGACCCGCTGATTCCATTGATTGGCACTTTCAGTTCATGATTGGGTCTAGTATTAGGTATGAGTGGGGGTCACTTCGTGCTGCTGATCGTGCTCGGCTTGGTTAACCCCTGGTTTCTTCATAGGGTATTTGAGTATCCAAGGTTCGATTCAATCATGATGTATACTTGTATCAAGCTTAAGAGATAAGCATGAATATGATCAGAGCTGCACTGAACATACCTAGAACATAATAAAGAAATGATAATATTTGAAATACTTCTCGGGTACTCCGTAAGTCCGTACCGAGTACTCCGTTCAACTCAGGCTTGTATGAGTGTATGAGCTCGTGGAGAAACCAAGCCTCCCGCTGCAGGGGCTTAAAAGAGCCATGGCGTAATAGCGGTACAGCAAATATTCTTTATTCTTAAAATTATAATAAATTTAGGAAAATTGAGTCAAAAAAAAATAGAAAAAAAAAAATTGTCAAATATACTAAGTTCTCCACTATAGAAATCCATTTACTCCTGACTTTGGTTCCCCTCAAGTCATTCCACCTTTTTTCCATCCTTCAAGAATCCTCTCGTTTTTTACTGCATACACTCATTTTTTAAACAACACACAATATTCGAACGTTTCCCAGGTTGGAACATATACGATCTTTATGGTGGCGCATACGGGCAATTCGGGTACGTGGAACAATAATTCGTATCAGTACTGGGGGCCAAGAGTGACGTTGTGCTCGTGCATGTCGTACTACTCGGGGCGAAGCCACTACTAAAAAAAGGGCCCCCCGAAGACTAATTCCAAGCTTGTCAGCTGCAAGACTGGAATGTCAGACTGACGGTGTACAGGATGATTTAGAGATTTGATTTCCACCTAGTCCTGCTCATTTCTGTGAGATCCTAAGGGCGCAACCCCGGACCCTGGATCCTAAAGAAACAACAAGATCCAAGGAAAAACCGAAAAAAAGGGACTAAGAAAAAAAACAGTCCGTGGTGTTTTCAATCAAATAGATATATCTCCGGAGACACGACGTTTGTCACCCTTTCATCATGCAACACTACAGTCGATCCGATTTTCTGGAGGCCGGGAGCTTGTCCCGCTCTCGCAGTACCAGTCTTTCTAGCGACTCGCAACACCCTCGATTAAGCCTCATGTCGCCGCCTTCCGTTTCTCCCGCACCCGCTTTTATTTCTCCTTCCGCTGCTTCAGAGATCATTACATCAGACCAAGAATTCAATGCTGCCGATTTTGTCGCGGAAGAAGATACTGGTGCTACGGCTGATGTGCTCGTTACTCCTGCCGCACTTTCCCTCTTGAACGGGTTTCTCGACAATCTTCTGTTCAACATCTTGGCCGCGTCCAAATCTACACAACTGAGCTGCATCCGTCCGATCTTGGCGGATGTTCTGAAACCCCGCCTCGCACAAGAAGTCGTAGCAACTGCCGATGAAGAATTGTGTGAATATATGGGCGGCGAGGATGATGAGAAGACGGAATTTCGAGGAGGCCAAGAACCAGGTGGTGAATTTGATCTTGTTCACTCATGGAAGTTGACTCGTTTGCGATGTATGGTTTACACCAGATTGGGCGACATGGAAGAGGAGGATGAGGATGAATTCATTGCCCAGGATCGTTTGGGCGAGGCTGATGGTGCTCCCCGCCGATTTTCAAGTCACGTCGACAATATCACACCCGCAGCAGCGATTTTCTTAACTTCAATCATGGAGCATATTGGTGAGCGAGCACTCGTGATCGCTGGTGAGACAGCTCGGTCCAGGTTATCATCAAAGTTGAACGACACCGATAGTCATTTATCGGACGATTTTGAAGACCATCGGAAGCGAATTGAGCGATTGATTGTCGAAGATTTGGATATGGAGAAGCTGGCCCTGAATGCGACATTGGGTCGTTTGTGGCGTACATGGAGGAAGCGTAGACGTGGCACTACCCTCGCGCGAACTTTGTCCCGTGAGTCGTTCCGTCGTCGCACCTACACCATGGGAAACAGCCGAAGGAGCAGTATTGCAACCATTGAGGAGCCTGTGACTCCCAGAGAGCCGCTCACTGAGGAGAAGCTCCCACTGCTCGATCCAGCGACCGTACCATTGCCCCTTGGTGACCATGATGTTGAAGAGATTGAGGTTCCTGGATACAACCCAGAATTGGACGGTGAGGTGGTGCAGACAATGCAGGCCATTGTCGCTCACAAAGTGCGACCCCGGAGTTTGATGGTGGTCCCCTCACCGTCGCTCGTCGCTCGATCAGGCAATTCTCCCTTGAGTGCCTCAGCCGTTGATAATCCGATGTTGCTTCATCATGCTCGTTCAAGGTCTCTACCAAACCAGAAGACGCTCACACCACGAGAGCCTCGATCACAGACCGAGACAGACCGGGCGGTGGATGATGCCGCGGAAGAGGTTTCCCCAGGGCAGTCATCCCCCAATTCCAGTAAAACTTCTCGATCATCTTCCAGAGAGAAGCAGCTGGAAACCATGTACGAGGATGATGAATCCGCAGAATTTGTGGATGCAGCAGAGACCGCGACTGGTATCGCGACCGCGGCTGAAAAGGAGGAGGATGGAGAAATTGCTGCTGAGGAGAAGGAGCGCATGTCTATCGTGCAGGAGGAGGAAGAAGAGGAAGAGGACAAGTCTGTGCAAACAGTCAGTTTATCGATCGCATCATTGCGATCGCGTCTCCGAGACGACGAAAGCATGGATGACTCCAATAACAGCAGCAATCGTGTCTCAATAGCCTCGACGATAATAAGTGAAGGGTCAGCCAAGGACCCGGAGGTTATCGAGGGCCGTGGGATGTGTGAGAAACCTACGTTGACGTCGGCAATTCAACGACCCAAGAGAAAGTCCAGTAGGGATGTTTCTGGGTCGTATGCAAAGCCGATCATTGCAGAGACTAGTGATGCCGACGCACACCCGGTCGTGACGATCCCCCAATCTACGCAAGGGGCTGAACCCGCACTGGCACCACCCGCCGACGCCACGATCGAGGCTATCACTCCCGTGAGCGACAATGGCATTCTCGACTGTAATCAGGACTCGGATATATCAGGGTTGACACCCGTGTCCGAGATCGCCCCTTCCTGCGACGATCTTGATTTCAAGACACCTGTCGAAAACCTCGATATTTCTTCAGTGTCGGCTGTTCCTCACGACGCTGTATTCTTCCCAGGCGCTGATCCCAGCGCCGCTGAATTTGCTGCTGTGGCCGACTATCCTTCTTCGTACGAGCCTTCTTTGAACCCAGAGCCTGAGGCTTCTACTCTGGATCCTGTTTTTGCTGCAGAGTCCCCTCGACCAGCTTCAACTTCTGGAGACAGTGAACGCTCTGTGCAGCCGCGTACCCGCCACAGACCCACGCCACTGGTGGTCACCGCAAGTAACCGCACTTCTCCAAGCCTCGAACAGCGAGCCGCTGTACAACGCATGCCTACTCGACCATCTACGTCGATCTCCTCGTCTGCCCAGGCCAAGTCTCGCCGCTCCGAGAGCTTCAGTAGCGCTCGCGATAAGCGTCCAGTCACAGCTGGCTCTACTACATCGTCTCAGGTCTCAAACAAGCTTAAGGGCCTCATGATTCGACCAGCTGGCGAGTCCCCCACTCTGCGTCTCCGAAGCTCATCAGAGACAAGTCGAGCATCTGGCAGTGGAGAATCATTGAACGACACGACCGACCTGGACAAATTGATCAACAGCGACGAGACTATCCACTTTACGTTGACACCCCGCAGCGTGAGAGAGATGACCTTCCCGGACTTGCCTCGACCGATCCCCCGTTCCGACACGACCAACACCTCTGACCTAGCTCAGTTTTTGAAAAACACTGGACCGCCAGGTGCAGACCCTCGGGCTTCAGTGTCTTCCAAGGCTGCTGCAGCGGAGGCAGGACGTGCGGACTCACCAAAGCATATTCCTATCTCTTCGCGAATGACCTTGTCTCCCAATAGTGCGGCAGGTCAGTCTCGTGAGCTTCGACCTGGTAACTCTACTCTTGAGTCTGCAGAGGTCACCAGCGTTCCTAGTCAGGTTGCACCACCTCCTATCGATTCCCCCAAGTCTCCAAAGTCTCCCAAGTCACCGGCTCGAAGCAGCATGTCCTCCACTGCATCCCGGAACCCCAACCGACCTAAACTTCAGGCTCGCGCGGCTGAAACTCGAGGATCAGAAACTTCTGATCTGATTGACTTCATTCGCCAAGGCCCTCCAGAGTATGGCGCTCACCGCATCCCTCGTACTGTTGCACCATTCCGAAACACGATTGATTCGGATGATCTGCCATTTGATTCTCCTCAGGATGGCTCGCTAAACAGTAACCGTGGGGACTCAGCTCCGAACAAGTCACTGACCTCCATTGGCTCGCGGACTGGATTGCTTAATTCAGCAACCCGCCCTGGACAGGCCAAAGCCACTGCATCTAATAGCCGAGCTATGGATGAAGACCCTCACCCTGTTCGGAAGCAGCGACGTGTTCGGGATCCTTACGCTATCGACGACTCTGATGATGACGACCTGCTCGAGGAGATGATCAGCAATGCCAAGCCCCCGCGTCAGGAAGAGAGTCTACTCGATTTCCTGCGCAGCGAACCTCCGCCAGACTTCGATTCAAAACCCAAACCCTTGAGCTTTAGACAGCCCCCCCTCGTCAAGTTCAAGTGGCCCGGGCCGTGTGGTGTCAGGAAGAGTCCCGTCGTCAAAAATGTCCATCAGCTCGATGCGTTCCCAGGGTAGCAGTATCACCCACGCCCAATCCAACTACTCTTTCAAGGTGGGAATGGAGCGCAACCCTGGCATCATCCCATCCACTTCCAACCGCCAAACCGAGACCAGTGCGCTGGCAGACTTTCTCCGCAATACTGGCCCACCAGAGCCTGCTCCCCAAAGCCCTGCCGCCAACAAGTCTAAGGAAGGTGGCTTTGCCCGCTTCTTCAACCGTCGCAAGAAGATTGAGGCTTAATGCAGAAACAGCCTGCTATGATTCCGGCTGCTTAATGATATGCTCTTAGCGTTTCATTTCTATTTAACGATCACATACTATGATGTCTGTCTTTTTGTCATCATTTCAACTTCTCATCTCCATCTCTCACTTTTCCACCTCAAATCTTTCGCTTCATTTTCATCCATCTTGTTCCATAAAGCTGTCTTGCAGCGTCACCCATCTTTTTCATTTCCATTTCTTGTCATCTTCTTTTGAGGCTACGGCCTGGTGGTTTTCTTGTCTATTGTATCCTGCGTGCCGTTGAAGCCTTTTTGTCTCTGCTAAACTCGACTCTGACGACTAATATGGTACCTCTTCTCTTCTTTGGTTGACATCTCTATTGGATTTCTCATAGAGATTATCTTTGGTTTTTCTTTTTGTGAACTTTGCAAGATACCATGCTTCAAGTATTTATGTCTGTATCTAAGAGCCTCTACGCTTCAAGCCAATTCATTGATTGATATGCATCCTTAAGGTAGTCCAGAATCCTCACGATGTAGAATTGTAGTCCAGCGCCGAGTACTTTGTTGTCATCATCCAGTTGCCCACCAAACAATATCAACTCACTTCAAGTAGTGAAACTTGATGCTAGGTCTTTAAATAACTCGCTAACTGCGCCAGTTTAATTGCTATCAAACATCCTTGTATCAAGACTGGCATGCAGTAGATGTCTACTTCGAAGGTTAACATCTGGCTCTGTGGGCTGGCCCGGCTGGGCACTTTCGGAGGATTAGTCATCCCGCTCTCCCCTTTCCAAGTGGCATCAACACATCAAGCTCCTGTTTACCACGTCGAACTCTCCGCGCCACCATGGGTTCCTCTCCATTCACAATGAGGTCAATCTTGGCTCTCTTTTTGCTTGTCATTCAACTCGCTACCGCCCTGAAATTTGACCTCCCTGCCTCCTCCGCCAACGGCAAGAATGAGCGATGCATCCGCAACTTCGTCTCAAAGGACCAGCTGGTCGTAGTCACTGCCGTCGTGAGCGGTTCCAAGGGTGACGGCCAGCGCGTCAACATGCACGTATGTGATCTCCATGTCTTAGATAGTTCAAGGACTTCAATCCCGGATTCAAGTCCTATTGAGGACAACAAGCAACTACCTCCAGTGCTGGACAGTAACTAACATCTCTATAGATTAAGGATTCCATGGGCAACGACCACGGTCGTCCAAAGGATATTGTCGGTGAGGTCCGTCAGGCCTTCACCTCAGCCGCCGATACTGCTTTTGATGTGTGCATGGAGAACCAGCTCGTCGGTCGTAGTAAGTTTCCATTACTCGTCCTACCCATCTCTGATTCCCAGTCATTCCTAAACTGCTTCTTCCTATAGACGCCATCGCCAACCCTACCCGTGAAATCGAACTTGACGTTGAGATCGGTGCCGATGCCCGCGACTGGAACAGTATTCAGATCCAGGAGAAGCTTAAGCCCGTTGAGACAGATCTGCGTCGCATCGAAGAGATGGTTGCCGATATCGTTACTGAAATGGATTACCTCCGCACACGTGAGCAGCGTCTCCGTGATACGAACGAGAGTACCAATGAGCGCGTGAAATGGTTTGCGTTTGGTACTATGGGTATGCTGGTTGGATTGGGTGCGTGGCAGGTTGTCTACCTCCGTGCTTACTTCCGGTCTAAGCATCTTATTTAAGAATTTGCGGATGAGTATATGGATTGGGTGCAAGGGCTTAAGACATGAGGCTTTCTTGCATGGTATTTGAATTGCATTTTGCAGGTATTTGGTTTCCTTCGCTTTGCTTGTTTTTAGATGCAGCACTGCCAGCGTGGGAGTTGCTGTTGTCTTTATGTACTTTTTATGGTGCTCGTGTCTTATGGCTCTTTTGCTCCAATGATCATGAATTCGATGATATAAAATCTACTTTCTGTTTATGGATCAATTATTCAGTATTGTTGTAAATCTAATGCGGAGCACTCCGAGTCCATACATAAGGAAGTTGTATACATGAATTGCTGCTAGGATTTTACATCTATGGCTTATAAATCCTATGTCTAACATTACCCAGGTACCATCTTGGTCAAAAATAGTTATCTTTAATCCAATTCATCAATCAGCCAAGCGCCAACTATCTACATACCAATGCTGCGTAATTGTATGCAACTTGAGTGGTAGATACTCCTGCAAACTATGCAAACATCGGGTGATGCAGGTAGCTTTTTCGGGCCGGCTAATGATTCGAGATGATGTCAAGCCGAGCAAAAACAGCTTATCAACCAACGCCTCTCCTCGAAAGGACCTCTCTCACTACCTTACGGGGATAATAAAAAAAAAAAGACCAAAAATGTCTGCACCAAGACTAATTTTCCGCGCCTTGCGGCCAGTGCCATCATCGCACAAGCTCTCGGCAATTAACCGTTCGTTCGGCACATCTGCTCTACGCTTCAGCGATGCCAAAGATCGCGCTCATCCCAATGCCCCCGCCCACCGTGAGACCCAGGCGAAGAAGACGCCGAATCAATTCGTACCCAACACTACTTCTACTATGACCAAGGACTTTCCCAATGTCGGAAACAAGCCTGCGCCGCCGGAGATGCTGAACAGCGTTGATCCCAACTACCTTCCTGCGGATCCTTACCCCGGAAAGATTGAGCATTTTACTGGTGGTCGCCAGGACAATGGTGCACAGAAGCCTGAGTTGGGTGTTGGCGAGATGGAAGGTATTACCTTCAAGGTTGAGCCATTGAAGCGAGTTGGAGAGGACGCTGTTACCATGCGTGCTCGGTTATTATGTATGTTTTCTCCTGCCTTTTCCCCTCCCAGTATCTTCCTGGAAAGCTGGCATTTCATCTTTCATGCTTCTGTATGGCCATACATCCGAATGAACTGAACTAACCCAAGACGAATAGACCAAAGCCGCAAGCGCGGAATCCTGGAGTCCGACCTCCTTCTCTCCACCTTCGCCGATGTCTACCTCGGCAAAATGTCACTCCAGCAACTCCAAGAATACGACCGCTTCCTCGATGAAAACGACTGGGACATCTACTACTGGGCTACCCAGGACCCGCCCGAGGTTACCGGCGCAAACTCTCCAGCTGAGGACACACTAACGGAGACTTGGAAGGAAACTGGCGCAAAGAGCGGCGAGTGGGCACAGACTATTGGTGCTTTCCGAGCTGCCTACCGACCAGTTCCCCAGCGATGGAGCGGATCTGAGATTTTGGAGCAACTGAGGGACCATGTGCGTGATAAGAGCGCTGTTGGCTTCGAGTCGGCTAAGAAGAAGCGCAACGGTGGAGGTGGTGGATTGGGCCGTATGCCCAATGTTAAGGTTTTCAACTCTTGAGTGACTGGATATTTCAAGGCTTGGATTTTCTGTGTATGACTAAAGTATGGATCTCATGTGAGTAGATAGCTCTGGAGACAGGATTGATTGGACATGTATGTGGTTGAGCTTGTATTATAATTGCCGCAAGATGGTTGCGATGCCTAGTATAGTTTGGTTTTAGGTGGTCGAGACTGTGTTGATAGATGTATTCTAGAACCGCATTTCCAGATCATCAAAGAGACCAATCACATTGAAAGCAATTGTGGTCAGGAGTACCCGCTTCAAGAATTAGTAGGAAGATGTACGTGTATGGAGACTTCCAAGGATGGGTTGAGATGGAGCTGGGGAAGTGGTGGAGGTATGGTGTGAGATAATTGATTCGAGTACCAACAAAAAGCCATCGCCGTCATTCTATAACTACAGATTCATATTATAATCTACCTAGCTATTTAAATAGATCATCAATGCTTTTATCCATTAATATGAGATGCATATCCATGGTATAGAAGCCGATAAGATATCACCACGTGACCTTCGCTTAGTGTTAGGGCACGGCGGAACCACACAAGGAACCAGCCAACCGGGTTAGGGCTTTGGCGGGCACGCAGCACCTCCTTCCTCTGCGATTTTATCTCCCAGCGTCAACGACCTACTCCGCCCATCCTCTCCCCTTCATCGTCTCACTGCATCATGGCTGAGCAGCTGGTTCTTCGCGGCACCCTCGAGGGCCACAATGGCTGGGTTACTTCCCTGGCTACCTCCCTGGAGAAGTATGTTACGCCTTGACGAGTTTTCGAAAAACCTCTTATTCTGACTTGGCTATTAGCCCCAACATGCTGCTGTCCGGTTCTCGCGACAAGACCCTGATCATCTGGAACCTCACCCGCGATGAGCAGGCTTACGGTTACCCCAAGCGCAGCCTGGAGGGCCACTCCCACATCGTCTCTGACTGTGTATGCTACCATTTTGCCCCTCTCTATATGATCGAAAAAAAAAACGAAAACCATGATGGATGGATCCGCTCGGAAACGACAGATTGGAATCGGATTTTGATCCCGGGAAACAATTGAACGGTTTTTGGCTGACCGATGGTCTTTTTCATGGAATATAGGTGATCTCCTCCGACGGTGCCTACGCTCTGTCCTCCTCTTGGGACAAGTCCCTCCGCCTGTGGGAGCTCTCCACCGGTAACACCACCCGCACCTTTGTCGGCCACACCAACGACGTTCTCTCCGTCTCTTTCTCCGCCGACAACCGTCAGATCGTCTCCGGTTCCCGTGACCGCACCATCAAGCTGTGGAACACCCTCGGTGACTGCAAGTACACCATCACCGACAAGGGCCACACCGAGTGGGTTTCCTGCGTTCGCTTCAGCCCCAACCCCCAGAACCCCGTCATTGTCTCCGCTGGCTGGGACAAGCTCGTCAAGGTACGCTACATTCCCGATGTTTCAATTTTGTCAACAATTGTTGGCTTGTGCTCTTTTTATTTTGCCACCCACCCACATGATGTTTGCATAAACGTATTTGCTACTTCAGAGCCCTTCGGGGCCATGAGACAATTTTTCACCTTTTGCCTGATGGAATCCCAATACAACAATTTCTTGTTGAATTGATGATGAGGAAAAAAACCAAAAAGATTTTTTTACCTACTTTACAAGTTTATCGTTGCTGGACCTTGGCATGCTGACCATTTATCTCCGCAATTAGGTTTGGGAGCTCGCTTCCTGCCGCCTGCAGACCGACCACATCGGTCACACCGGCTACATCAACACCGTCACCATCTCTCCCGATGGATCCCTTTGCGCTTCCGGTGGCAAGGACGGTACCACCATGCTCTGGGACCTGAACGAGTCCAAGCACCTCTACTCCCTCCACGCCGGTGATGAGATCCACGCTCTCGTCTTCTCCCCCAACCGCTACTGGCTGTGCGCTGCCACCAGCAGCTCCATCACCATCTTCGACCTCGAGAAGAAGAGCAAGGTTGATGAGCTCAAGCCTGAGTACGTCGAGAAGGGCAAGAAGAGCCGTGACCCCGAGTGTATCTCCCTCGCCTGGTCCGCCGATGGCCAGACCCTGTTCGCCGGTTACACCGACAACAAGATCCGTGCCTGGGGTGTTATGTCGCGTGCTTAGATGAGTCAATGAGTGTGAAGGAGGAGGCCTCTTTTTGATCTATTGCCAAGGGAATCAAAAAAAAAGTTTCAAAATCCAGAACAAGAAGGGCTTTGGTTTTGGGATGTATGAGCCACGAGCAATGAAGCACTTTGGGGTCGGGAGACGGTTTTTCCCCGACCCCTGAGTTTTCTGACATGCCTAGCTTACTCGATTCCCCATTAAAATTCGAATGTCTGGAATCTTGTGGAGGCGTGTGATGTTCTAATACCACATAAGGCATCAAAACTGTTTTCCTATTTTTTCTTCACCCTGTTCTCTTCTGACTTGTGTCGGGTGTCCAGACTGTAGATTGTAGTGTTTCAACTTGCCAGATGAGGATATCCTCTTGCTAGTAGCTTCCCGCTTTGAAATGTATCAACTACCTCGTGGTCGTGCTTCTAGTTGGGTCTTGCTATCATATTGAAGTTGCCTTGAAGTTGTCTTGTAGCCTTCACGTCTCACTTGATCTTCATCTCGCCTTTGCTACTTCCGGTGCACAAGTAGATCCAAGCATTACCGAAGGGGCCATCGCATGAAGAGGAACTTCAAGTTCTTACTGATTGACCGATACCTTGAAGCCCTGCTCCGTATTGAACTCCTGTCATCGGCCATTTTCTAAGACTGGTCGTTTAACGTTATTACTACGAGCTATCCATATGAGCATGATATCTTATGGCAATATTTGTAGAAGTACTATCTAGATAGTATTCATATGTAATTCAAATATTCCTAATTATATGATGGTCTTGATCGAGTTGATTATAGAGGATACAGGATTGTCACTTTCCGTCCGAAATGTTGCAATCTGATCAATCTCCCGAGGTCACAACCCCGCATACTACATAAGGCTTATCAGCTGAATCTCACCATCAAGGAGGTCCTTCTCGTCATTGCGAATGGCCAGTCCGCTTTATAAATCCCGCTCTCGGCCTTGAGTAGGCTTGAGAATTTCTCAACCACTACCTGCTCGATAATTCGGGTCTCTATATGTCCAGGGGTGTGTTGTGTGGAACGCATGTTTACGTGCTCTGTCGAGGCCACCGATATCACACCCATTCCACGCCTTGACTCATTGACTCGCATGTCTTGAGAACCTTGAAAGACAAAAAGAAATCCAGGCCAAGGACAAAGAAACTCGACTAGAAATGCCGTCAAACAAACTTGCGATCTGGCTTTGGGGCTCAAATGCCCAAGACCGTGCTCTGCTATCCAAACTCGATATAACACTGCTCCCTTACTTTTCACTGATATGGTTTCTATTCGGCGTCACCCGATCCAGTTACTCATCAGCATATATCAGTGGTATGAAGGAAGCATTAGGATTCGAAGGTAAAGATTACAACTATATGAACACGGCATACCTGGTTGTTTACGCTGTCTGTCAAATGCCCGGAACCAGTCTTCTGACAATTCTCCGACCGAAATATGTCTTCGTTACTGCCAATGTAACTTGGAGTCTGTTGACTTTAATCACATTCAAGATGACACATGCCTGGCAGGTTATTCTGTTGAATGCTATTGAAGGTGGATTTTCTGCTATCGCTTAGTATGTCCCATGTCCCTTTGACCCAAGGTCCGATTGCGAGTGACTCTAATCTGACCTGTTTGTTACAGCGTTGGCGCACAGTTCATTCTTGGCTCATGGTATAGGAAATCCGAGCTAGGCGTGCGAGCTGCTGTGTTTTGTGTCTTTGGTCAGCTTGGGACTATGTCTGGCGGTTGGATTCAGGCTGGACTACTTAAGACTCTTGCGGACAAGAATGGTCTACCGGCATGGAAATGGATCTTTATCATTGTGTCAGTCATGACACTTCCAGTGGCTATATTCGGTATGCTAACTCGCTTCCATATTGATTCGATGTGGCATACTGATGATGGATAGGTTGGGTTTTTATCCCAGATCTCCCTGAGCACCGGGCTGCTTGGTATCTCACCGACGAACAGAAAGAGCACGCAGCTACCAGACTGGGCACTCCCCGTAAGGTGTCATGGGATCTAACCGTGTTCAAGCGAGTTTTGCTGAGCTGGCAGTTCTACCTCTTGCCAACAATGTTCATGTGTATGTGGACTTCCTTCTAGCTACCACTTTATCTTAAGCCTCTGACACACGTTCTATAGTATACTCGCTATGCGTGCAGATGCTACAGAATAATGTTATGGCATACTGGCTGGCCTCGAGAGGGTACACAACAGTTCAACAAAACAACTACCCCACAGGCATCTACGCCACAGCAATCCTGGGAACTGTGGTATATGCTGTCATTTCCGACAAGCTCCAATCCCGCTGGGAAGTGTCTGTCGTGATTGGCTTGAGCTTTATCATAGGCTCGGCTGTCTTGGTCTCCAGTCCTTCCACGGATGCTGGCTACTTTTTCGCATTCTACTTCTTGGGGACTACTTTCGCGCCTCAGGCTGTGTGGTACTCATGGATGGCCGATGTGACGAATCATGACTTTCAACTACGTGCCATTACGACAGGATTCATGAACTCATTTGACTTTGTTTTCGTATCCTGGTGGCCTCTAATATTCTATCCTGCAACTGATGCGCCTCATTACAGAAAGGGATACATCGCGAGTCTAATCACTGGAGCTTTGACGCTGCCTTTGATTGGCATCGTGGCTTATCTAGAAAAGAGAGATACGGCCCGTGGGATTCTTGGAAGGTCTCCGATAAATGACCTTTCCAACAACAGGGAATCATATGACCCTCACGATGAGCCAGCTGAGATCGATGACGATGAGCATGCGCCGATCAACGTGCAGCCGAAGACCAGCGTCTAACGAGATGATGTTCCCCATGGAAGACACGAGAGTACGATTTGATTATCAGGATGGTATGCTAGATTCCTTGACCAGAGCCAAATTTTATCTTTCAAATGTTATCTCAAGACAATAGCGATATAGGGAGGAGTTGGATTCTAGAATCATAATACAATACTATACATGCTGGCAGTTGTTAAGGTGATTTCTACTGTGAGATTCACCCTTATTTCTTCGCCAGTCTCTTCAATGCAGTATCCGCCATGGAGATACCCTCCTCAAACCCAAGTCCACTCGCCATCGACTTAGCCTCCAAGTATCGCTGCTTGGCCACTTCGGGTTTCTTCTGAAGCTCTGCGAGCTCACCCAAGTTGTATGTTGCGACAACACATGTGACATCACATTCCTCATCGCGAAACGGAGGTTGAATACGTGCGGCGACATCAAGAGACTTCTGCGCCCATTGGCGAGCTGCCTCGACGATTTGATCTTGCTTGACGGCTTGCTTTGGCTGGCCGCCAGGTGGGTGCTGTACCTGACCAACCATAGCACTAGCAACGTCATTAAGTAGTGTGACCTGCTTGCAAGACGGCGAACCACCTTCCGCCACACGAATCATCTCCAATGCACGCATGTACAGTGGCAAAGCCAGGTCATGGTTGTCCTTGGCACTGTAGGTAGTTGCGAGCTCCGTCAGAGCCGTCGCAATCTCAGTCATGTTCAGCCATGACTCTTCTCCACCTTCAATAGCAGCTGCACTGCCAACAGGGAGCCCAAGCTTCTGACGGCGGTGCATTTCCTTCAAACAGAGCTCCACAGCAGCGACCTGCGCAGCCTCGGCCTTCTTGTCATCCTGGATGTAGTCACTAGCATAGAGCTCTCCCAACTTCATCTGCATACCAACAACCTTCTTGAGGGCACGATCACGCTGCCGAGCCTCAAACTCCTGCAATTCCCGCAGTTCCTTCTCCGCATCCTCCAATGCCTCAGTATTGATCTGAATACTCTCCGCAATAGTCTTCAATGATTCGGGAGACTTGGCCGCCTGGGTCTTCGCAGGTCCAATCGAAGCAGACTCGGTATTCCGTCCCTGCTCAATCCATCTCAACGCCTCATCCTTTGTTCGCTCCAATACTTCGATTGCAGGTTTCACCAATCCAGCCTTCTCCAGCATCATAGCAACCTGTAACTTGATACCAAGCACTTCATCAGAGAATGGGTGCATCCCAAGCTCAATACCGATCCGCAATGCCTCCTTGTACGCCTGTAGGGCCTTGGGCGGGTTCAGGTCGATCTCAGTGTAATACACTGCTGTACGGAGCGCGTCCGCGACTGGTGGTGGGAACTTGTGGTATTGCGGTGCGACACGAGTAAGCTCTTCATATGAGATATAGGCGAATGCACCAATAGCACTGATGAGCGAGACGATTGCGAGTGGGAGGAGAATGGGGTTCTTGCGGAAGATGCCCTTCGAGGCCTCACGGTAGCCGAGTCGGATACGCTGGGCATAAGTGACATATCGTGGGCGGGTGATATTGGACAAAGTCAGGGGAGTGATATTTGTAGACTTTAATTGTGATGTTGGGCGTGCATTGTGAGTGTATATTGACCGGCTTAGGAACTGACGCTGTGCTGGTACGAGGTTTGAGGTGTAGGCGCTCGTGCGCCGCGACGCTGCGCGGAACATGGCAGAAGCAGTATACGTTGCAGAATATTCGAGTTGTTCTTCATTAAAGGTTCAATGCCAAATTGGAGATTGATGGGGTTCAAGGGTAATGGTACAATGAGTAGTGTCGAGAAGCATTGACGGATAGGAACGAGCCCGCATTTTGATTTTCTTTTGCCCCAAGCTTCTCTCCGCCATATGACGTTGCCCAGCCGTATCTTCGTGAACTACATTCTGGAGTCAGAGGTATTGAATTGCATGATCAAAGCGTCATTTTGTTTTTAAATACAAGAAACTCTGATAAATTCAGGTTGAAATGTGCGGTCGATATGCTTTGGGGGTGGTAAGTCGATCTTTATGTCAAGGTCCCTTGATCCTGGTGCTGATTCAACTTGAAATATATAGCGGATGGCGTATGTCCGACAACATCTCCAGGACAGAGGAATGCCCGTAGATGATGCGCCAGAAGATGACGAAGTCAGAGAGACCTACAATTTTGCCCCTGGCAACTTTGGTGCTGTCTACAGAGCTGAGATCCCTGACAAAGAGCGCGCGCATAATGAAGATCGTTCGGGACAGAACGCAGACCACGATTTGCACGAGGTGACCGATGATGCAGAGAAAACACATACAAGATATAAGATCCAGAGTATGAAATGGGGATTGATCCCATCCTGGACCAAGAGACAACCAGACTACGGATCTCTAATGCGCACCATTAATTGTCGGGATGACTCACTTATGGAGGATCGGGGGATGTGGACATCCATGAAGCGAGGAAAGAGGTGCATCGTAGTCTGCCAGGGCTTCTATGAATGGTTGAAGAAGGGCCCAGGAGGCAAGGACAGAATTCCACATTATGTCAAGCGCAAGGATGGTGCCATGATGTGCTTTGCGGGATTATGGGACCGTGTTTCATATGAAGGTCTGTTGGCCCCGAGCTCTTTTTTCATGGGAAAATCTCGAGATGGGATGCTGTAGCTGACAGGAAGAAGGAACCGACGAGAAATTATACACTTACACTGTCATCACAACCTCTTCAAATCCCTACTTGAAGTTCCTCCATGAGCGCATGCCCGTCATCCTGGAACCTGGTTCGGAAGCTATGAAGATGTGGCTTGATCCACATCGCAAGACATGGTCGAAGGAGCTACAATCCATTCTAAAACCCTATGAGGGTGAGCTGGAGTGCTACCAGGTCCCTAAGGAAGTCGGAAAAGTAGGGAACAACTCCCCTGGCTTTATTGTTCCAGTTGACAGCAAAGAAAACAAGAGCAACATTGCAAATTTCTTCCCTAGCACAAGAAAGAAAGATGAAAAGCCCAGTTCTACGATTGACGAATCTCCGAAAAAGGAGCCAGGGATTTCAAGTCCTGACATAAAGCCTAAAAAGGAAGAAGAAGAAACCGAAACGATAGCAGCCGGTGTGAAACGAGAACATTCCCCAGAGTCGCCAACCAAAAGGGCCCAAGAGACGAAAGTCCAGCAGGGTAGTCATTCTCCTAAGAAACCAAAAACACGAAGTGCTACATCTAATACACCGAAGAAAACTGGCGCAACAAAACCGACGGATGGATCTCAAAGAATCACAAACTTTTTCGAGAAATAGTATCCTAATGAGAATCGAAGAAACAAATTCAAGTTGATCAGAATACGTCTACATGATTATCTACTGCTACTATGCCTGTCCTAATAGCCTCCCATGATTGATCCCATGATTGGGAGATCTTAATACTACTGCCGGTTAGAAAGCTCTCAGTACTCCAAATCACTCGACCAATCTTTGCCTTACCATTAATCTCTCTATAATTGATGCATAGGCAACTCTCTATAGAAAACCGGTACAGACAGGTACAGATAATTTATTAGGAGGCAACATAGAATGTAGCTCTGAGGTAGGAAGATTGTCAGATTCGTACATATTGAAACAGTAGTAGAACACTATTATACAGGAGAATTCAAATCCGAACTCCTAAGAAGGTCTGTTCATTCCTTTTCGAGTTCCTTCAGCCTCTGAACAAGCTTCTCTCTGAGAAAAGGACTCAAACCGAGACTGTATACCAAAATCAGTATTAGGTGTGACAAGAGCGAACTAAGAAAAGACTTACATCCCATCACGAGTCACAGTTCGATAGGTGCCGCTAGATTGATAGTTTCCATGACCATCAACGAACTGGCCATTTGCATCTACCTCGAGGCTACCAAAGATGTCCTCTGGCCTTTAAAGCAGTCAGCAGCTGATCAAAAACTTTCAATGTATACATCCAGCGACATAGTCTTACCATGCAATTCGGCCATAATCAGGAGGTCGCCTGGCATCTGAAATATGAATCCAGCCACCTCGACCAGCGGATCCAGCACCACCTTGTCCACTAGCTCCACCACTGGAATCACCTATGTCGGTGCGTCGTTTACTTCTTCTGTTATTGGTTGAAGTAAGCACACCACCAGTGTACAAGTTTGCACCAGCAGTTGAGACCATGACTTGTGCCTGGGACTGCGCATCAGGATCCTCGTGAGCATGCTTGGAGAAGACCTCTTGAAGAATGCCCAGAAACTTTGGGTTCTCCCTCAGTGAATCTGTTGTAGGTGGTAGCTTCGATGTGACTCCAATTGCTAGGTCTGAGTTAACAGGCTCAGTTGGCAGCAGTGATAGGATGTGAGATCCTGATGGGCCATCACTGGGAAAAGCATACTGCTTCCAAGGTTAGTTACTATCAGGTAGATCAATTCAGATAGCTACTTACGATATGAGGGTTGCTTTCTAGTGTAGAAACATAGCGGAAATGTGTCAGCCTGGGGACCTTAAAGGCCTGGCAGTTCAATGTCCTTAATGCGAACATTTTAATGCAATTAATATGATGGAATCTATAAGAGGTGAATGTTCCTGGAACCCATTCGGTCATCGTGCAGACAAAGGAAAGCGGTCAGTGAAGCGGTGAGGCATCAACAGCTTAGACTGGTCCGCACGATGACTTGTTGGGGGATCTTGAAATAACGAAGCTCAAGTTGCGAGCTTGAACTTGTGCTCACTGATCAATTGCGCTGTTGTCAATCTTGAGGTGGGAGCTGTAGGTAACACTTAATACCCCTGTACAGTCTGAAACCTTTCATTCTGCGGCTCTCCAGGACTCTTCTCACAGCATCAAGGATCGTCCTTGAACTACCTGCTGCTTGAATCACACTATTACGTCTCAAAAGATCCCTACATTTCTCTTTTGTCTGAAAATAGATTGCGCTCACAATGGCGACACCATCAGCCAAGCCTGGTGCCACACCAACACATCTCACTTCCTCACCACACCCATCCTCCGCACCTCTCTCCCGCTCTATCGCTCATAAGTCGCCTACAAAAACCCCAACAGCTTCAGGACCAGGACACACACATCACATAAGCGTTTCCTCATTTCATCAATACGCTACACCTCTTGCCGTTTCAAGCGCAGTCGACGACCCTGTCAATTTCAGCTCTCCCTCCGCACTCCTTGCACTAAGCGGTTACACTGGAATTGGAATAAGTCCGTCCCCCGCAGTTCACGATGCGCTTGTTGGTCCAGGAATGAATGTCAACGATATTCAGAATCTCGGTATGCAGGGACTCAAGCTTGGAGTGGGTCGAGATGGTGACCAGGAGCAAAAACATCGAATCGAGGAAGTGGTGCAGTCTCTCCGTGCGCGCGTTGCCGGGCGAGGTGTGTCTAGAGAGGGGATTGAGCGACTTGGACGATTGGAGGGCTTTGAATCTCTCTGGCAAGACAATGACATCAATATTGCTGGCAATTTTGTGGACCTTGAAATCGAGTTTCATGCAGGTTATGATGTTGTCAAAGATGTGAGTTTGCGATATGCGACGCCCGAGTACACGGAAGGGGAACGAAGAGAGGAAGCGACTGCTGTCTTAAAGCGCAATCTTGTTCAGTCGACCCAAGACAGTGACACCGGGAACTGGAAATCTCTCCAAGGGTTCTACGAGAACCTACAATGGCTTGCAAAACTTGATAAACTCAGCCAAGAAGTGAATTGCTTTGAGGCGCTGGAGGGTCTGGAGGAGAACTTTAAGCGCCTATGGGCAGAAGAAGGCAAAATTAACAAGTATGGGGGCGACTACGAACATCTATGTTCAGGAATCATTGGCCGTCCGAGCATGCACAAGGGATCACGAATTGGACTCGGCTTGGAGTACTGGGTTGACCAGGCTAAGGTCTTGGATACGAAGCAGTCGCAGAAGTCGCCCGATGCCATGGTCATTGACGGAGAAGAAAATGACTTGGCAGATCAAGAACGAACGTGGACCGTTATGATTGAGTGTGAGGAGGGGTACCCGTCCCTTCGCATCTCCAAAGAATGGGTTAAAAGTGAAGTATTCACACCCAATGAAAAGACCGAGTCATCACCGTCAGTCGAAACTGTCAAATGGCTTGATCCTCCGCCGACTATGCGCATCTCTCATGGAAATCATCCCGACCCAATGGCGTTGGATTCTAGCATGCTGGAATCATCGCCGCCAAATCGTCGCTTTGTTGCTAGACTAGAACCTCCGCTTGTTGTTCCTTTCCTCACAGCATCTGAGATACATCGCCATCTCGTATTACCCGCTCCGATGTTCAAGTTCTCATATGATTGGCTACTTGTCTCTGATCCGACATCGCCTGATGCTTCACCTCAGCCTAGCCGACGAAAGCGCAGAATGTCTGTGGATGCTGTTGATTCAAAAGGAACGTCTTATTCTCAGCAACATAACTACACGTTCCAAGCCTTTGACCAGTCTCCGGGCTACACGATTCGCGAATTGCCATTCTCGCATCCTCGACATCTCGCCGACATTCTCCCGGTATGAACAATATACTTACGTCTTGTATTGTCATAACACAGCTAATTTGAAGTAGGTGCTCCGACAATACGCTTTGCTCTCTAGCTTGATCCGAAAGGTATTCTTGGTACGTCAGCAGAAGGAAGACGGATCGATGTCCCCTAAATCGACAGCAACGGTGACAGGAACGTCATCGACGATAGCAACAGGAACAGCGTTGAGATCGATCTCAACGGGCTCCCCGCTTGCACCAGGTTCGAGTCTCTTCGGTGGTCGAAAAGGACCCATCACTTTCAGCAATGACGATCATAATGAAGAAAGGCTCAATATGCTTCTCAGCAGTGGAATTTCTGCTTTGGATGGTTCCAGCGATATTCTCAGTGAAAGCTCAAAATTCATGGATGGTATCATGGTGGACGTGACATTACGAACACCCCTGGGACAGGCGCCAGCTCTCATGCTCTTGATTACAGACCCAGGCAAAACGGCTGGCAGCGTTGAAAAGTACGTGCGTGAGCTATTGCAGGTGTCGCTCTCTTTTGAGATTGGTCTCAATGGACGTGTCTCAGTAGTGGACAGCTCGGGCCTTGTGAAAGAGACCAATCAAGACCACTCGGATACAGAAATGCAAGGGACTGATGACAACAAGCCAAGCCTGCAAGATATTCACAAGAAGATTGTTAGGGTGATTGAGATCTCACAGGACCTGGGCATCCTGGTCGAGTGGGTCCTTCGTTCGCTGCGGGAGCGGGCCGACAGCGGTTGAGGCTGATTACTGGGATTCTCGGAAGCTACGGAGTGTTTACACTAGTGGACGTCCGAGATTCTTTTGTCATTTCTTCTGCAAGTTTGGCTTGTAAATGCATTGAGGTGTACATTGCAGGAGGCAACTCAATCCTGGTTACTCCATACCCTGCTGCATTATTGCCACCAACGATAAACCCTCCACCTGATCTGTCACAAGTGAGAGAGCCTCACAGCATGAAAGCTTAAGCTACAGACCCTCATCACTACCCCGGGAGGCAATGGCAGATATGCAAGGGTAATATGTGGTGGCACTCGTGCAGCAGCAGCACCATCACGAATGGCATTTTTTGCAATTTCTGCAAGGCCCCTTACACAAACTTAAGTACCAGCTCTGAGTGGTTGCCTTCAGCAATCCAATGAGTTTTAGCTATGGATGATGAATATGAGATCGCCTTCCAAGGTTTTGGATACACCACACTTCGCGGCCCCATGTAAGATGTAGTTCTATTCTACACCACAGTAGACACTCTAATCCCTTATCTTACCCGGGGTCCTCCGTACCCCGTCTCCCCACTCAGTAGTACTACTCCCGAGGTCCAGCATATGCACTGTGAATTAGATCAGTATCACATGACACAGACGCGAGACCCTGAAATGTAAATATGGTGGCGATATTGAATCTACATCACATCATTATGTCGCATGGCCGATCAGATATCCGAGGCTTTAAGTTTGCGGGGCTGGATTTTTGCTGCAGAGTTGCATTGTCCTGGCAGGATACGGAGTACTATGAACGAGATCTCATTTGATACTCATAAATGAAGTTGTCTAGATTGATATGAGGCATATAAACACCCTACAATGATCCGCTGGACGCGAAATAAAATCAAAAAGAAATAATCAACCCCAATCAGGTTGTTTCCCCGTAACGGGGTGCACTAGTATTGAATTCTTGAAACTGACCTTCTGTATGAGGGAGAAATCAGCACCCCACTGTTGAGGCTTTTGTCGCGTACTAGTACTGAGCAATGACATAGTTGTGCCTGGGAAACGAGCCCTTCTTTGATGTTGCTTCATAGCTCACATTCCGGTGAGGCATTTTGGAGCCTTGTTCCTAGAAATCCCTCGTAGTAACTAGCACTTTGTTTTCTTTTTCTTCACGTTTCTTCTTTTATTCGAAGTATGTACTCAGACCCTCAAGTATTTAGGGAGGTTTTCTTTTAGTCATATTTTCTTTTCTTTTCCTTTTTTTTTTTCATGGTCACTAGACTTGTGATCGGACGGACCTGGATATTACGTCTTAAGTATTAAAGCGATGACAATCACTAGTCAGCGGCGTGTGTCAACAGCATAATGGACCAATAAGGGGAAACCGATAAGAGATTCGTCGATCCATCCATAATTCCACCTGGGCAGCTCGTTTGGTTTTGCGGAGTCATTCATTTTGGGAATTGATATGAACTTGAATAATGGCTTGAAACTAGCCACTGGAGCATTTTGAGGCCCAAACGTTTCAGGTTACAATCGAGAACATTGAAGTCCACCTGGCTAAGGTACCACAGGTAGTCCACGGGTTCGGCTTGAATGCCGGATGACTAACACTATCTTTAGAATCATTGTCTCACAGTTCTATTCTTATCATTAGGCTGTGCAACACCGGAGACTTGAATCTACGGCGTGGCCGTGATGATACGGGGATCCCCATCTGGAACTTGAAACTGGATATAGTAGAACTATACATAGGTATTCATGTTCACTCTTGGCACAAAACATTGAATACCCAGAATAGAGCATCACGGAACAGACAGGGCTGAAAAGGTCGGGGAAAGGGTTCTTAGCCACTAGTTGTACCCCCAATTCCTGAAAGACCCGACTTTAACTCGTCGACGATTTGTCCAAAGAAAATACGGGGGTCGTTGCCACTTTTCCTATATGCATCTAGTTAAATTTGATTTCAATGGAATTTTAACCCTAAGGTACCTTCTATACTTTCCACTGAAAATTTTAAATATTTTATAAATTTTTTTTAATACTTTTTCCCATTGAAATTTCCCGACTGAAAATTCTGCAGGATCTTCACCTTTTCGCTAATCACACAATCGATGAATTCCCCCCTAATGCGGATATCTTACATAACTTAGCCGAGCGGAAAAACTAATAAAATCAAAAGCTCTGAATAAAGATAATGAATTTTTGGAAAATCTCCTACGAGACGCGTGACTCAGTGTGCTAGATCCCCATGAATCCCACAAACCCATGGCCGGTGTCGGGGCGGTGCAATCTTTGATTGGCGAGTTGAAGTTTCGAGAACGTTTTGCCACGCTCCACTCTGAACCAGGATGAAGTGATTCCTGTTCCAGTCCAAAAGGTGGCTGGGTTTCTCCAGTTCAAAATGGGGTTTGCGGATCATCGTGTATTGATACATGTATGAACATACCGGTTCTGAGTTAACCGGGGTCTTGTAACTGAATTATAAGAATGATAGAAATTATAGACTAAGATAGTTGATATTGATACTCAATCTTCAAGCTTCAAGTTCCTATATTGGATACTCTTCAATACTCAAATGCTGCATACTCCCCTTAGTGTCCGACTCCTTACTCCGGTCTTCCGATGCAGGTACACGGAACAATGTCCGCAAATCCTATCTTTGTACTCCGATTATCAAGCTGATAAGGTCTAGACAGTGAGCTAGTCTCATTGAGCATGCCACGCGGCGATACGAGAGGTAGATAACGAATCACAAATGGCGCAATTGGGAATTACTAGATAGCGGTTCAAATTCAGGAACAGCCTAATATAGTGCTTAGAGCGCGGAGATATGAGCCACTATCACGGTTCTACTAGCAGAGTATTTTCACCGAGTTGATATTGGGATCATATTTGTTTTGCATGGAAAAAGCAACCTTGAAATTAGAAGTAAAAGTAGAACTGGTGGATCATCTGATGGCTCGTTATTGTTTTATTTTATTTTTATTTTTTCCATCAGAAGTCTAGAAGTGTCTGCGCGGATCATCTAGGACCTATCCAACCGCGCTATGCAGCTGATATGCATCTTAACCGGGAAGAACCTGGTGGTTGCTAACAACGATTAGCAATAAATCATAGTACGTACTTATGCTCCTTCTATATCGTATATCGCGTAGTTATCTGGCTATCACTATAGAGTAAATTAAACCAATTGCACCGTGTGTAAGGATTATTCTTCCTGATCAGCTGGTACCAAGATCACGGGGAGAACGATCCCCCGGACTTTTCCCGCTCGGCATACCAGGCATCCAGACGTGGGGATGGTCAACGGGAACACAGACCACGGGGCCAGATCTGGGTAGCGGATGCGTAGGTACATCGAGGTATCCCCCAATTGATAATGATTGATTTGAAGCAGGATGCAGGGCGTTCCTGGTGTTATCGGTCCAACGGGAGTAAAGAGATTGATCATATTACTGGGGCTAATTACAAGGTCTGACCGCTGATTGGGCGTCAACGGGTTATCACGAGTAGGTGTATCTGAGTATCAAGAAGAGAGAGATCAGACGGCGGCGCGAGTGGCGGTCTATGTATTATGTTCAACATGGTTTTTACATACGGAGTATTCTAGACGAACCATGAACACCGCCAACGCCGCTAGCACCGCCATGAAGGCACACACAAAGTGTCAGGTCGATTTTCAAAACAACGAGGTCATAGCTGGAACCTAACCAAGTATACCGGGGTATCGGAGCTGCAATGCGGAAGAACGCTCTTTGATTTTCTCAAGATCTCGGCGACGACCGGCACCTGGACAACCAAGTCTGGATGATGCGACGATGATGACACGGGGGGTGGCGTTGATACTCGGTAGATAGAGGATCAAAATCCGGGTATTTGCGCTTGTCTCGCTTGCACTTGGTAAATCAAGCCGGTTTGTATATTACTTTTCGATATTTCTTTTTATTCCATCTCACTTTTAATAAGAAAAAAGCAATAAGAATTCCTTCTATCAATTCTATGAGAGATTTTTGGTTTCCCCAACGACCCCGGTTTCGGGCAAGAATGTCTCTATGAGGCACTTTGATGCTTTTTTAGGGGGAAAAGAACATGGTAACGAGGCCAACGCGAAACAGTAAGATTACCATAAGTACAATACAGATCCATACCACTAAACTCGATTAGGACGGAGATGAAGACCCCATCCAGTCAGAATCAATGTGGTCGTTGCCAGTATGGAATCCCAGTAAAATGATCCATAATTATAAAAATTTATTTAAAAAAAAAAAGATAAAAAATAATAAAGAATAAAAATATTATAAAATAAAATAATTATTTTAATGTAAAAATCGATTTTCCCTTTCCCGTAACTGCACACCCCACCTGGAAAGAAAAAGACTCAACTAAATTTAAATCTTTATCTTCCTCCCTTTCCCCCACCATCTAAAAACTCCCTTCCTTCCCTGGATTTTTCCATCCAGTTTCAACTCTCTTTCTGTTTTATCCTTCGGGATTCTCTTTACGAAAACATCTTTAAAACCCTCTCTGCTTGCTCGCAAGCTTACAGTTTTTGATTTCTATCTCTCACACACCCCATAACCATTCATTATGGTACGTCTTCACTCTCATGACTCATTGACTTCGCGATCTGAGTGATCGATCGCTAACCTCTCTCTCTTCTCTACAGGCTGATTCAACTGTCGTCTCCAACACGGAGAATGTGCGTTTGATTCTTTGATACTTTGGATTTCCGCAATGGCCTTAGAGCCAGAGAGGAATGACATATACTGACTTGCCGTGGGATGCATAGCTCATGAAGTACATGTCCCTTGACCAGCGTGGTCAGGTTCAGGCTGAGTACATCTGGATTGATGCCGTTGGTGGAACTCGCTCCAAGACCAAGGTAAGATTCTCTCAATTCTTTTCGATTCGTGTTATCTACCCCTCCTTTGGTGGCATTGGCCTCTATTTTCGCGTTTGTTATTCGGATTGGTTGTATGGGACGTGTGTTATCGCTGGATCGGAATTTCTCACGATAAGCCCTGTGCACGGGGTACCCGATCTCACACGCGACGACGCCTGCAACTATCCGCATCACGTGAAATGGAGGGGCTAGCTTCCCCCCCCAGATTTCAATTTTTCTTGAGCCCTTCACTAACATTACTTTTTTTTCTTCTTCTCTTGATAGACCCTCTCCAAGCCCGTTACCAGCGTCGACGAGCTCCCCGAATGGAACTTCGACGGTTCCTCCACCGGCCAGGCCCCCGGTGACAACTCCGATGTCTACCTCCGCCCCTGCGCTATCTTCCCCGACCCCTTCCGCCAGGGTGACAACATCCTTGTCCTCTGTGAGACCTGGGACGCCGATGGAAGCCCTAACAAGTTCAACTACCGTCACGATGCCGCCCGCCTTTTCGAGACCCACGCCAAGGAGGAGTTCTGGTTCGGTCTGGAGCAGGAGTACACTCTTCTCGGAACTGATGGCTGGCCCTACGGATGGCCCCACGGTGGTTTCCCCGGTGCCCAGGGTCCTTACTACTGTGGTGTCGGTACCGGCAAGGTCTACTGCCGTGACATCGTTGAGGCTCACTACCGTGCCTGTCTCTACGCCAAGGTCAACATCTCCGGTATCAACGCCGAGGTCATGCCCTCTCAGTGGGAGTACCAGGTTGGCCCTGTCCCCGGTATTGACAGTAAGTTTTCATGTGTTTTTTCTGCCTTGTAATTTGGCTATAAAGAGGCTAACCAAGTACACAGTGGGTGACCACCTCTGGATGTCCCGTTTCATTCTCCACCGTGTCGCTGAGGAGTTCGGTGTTCGCATCTCCTTCGAGCCCAAGCCCATCAAGGGTGACTGGAACGGCGCTGGTCTCCACACCAACGTCTCCACCGCTGCTACCCGTGCTGAGGGTGGTATGAAGGCCATCGAGGCTGCCATGAAGAAGCTCGAGGCCCGTCACGCTGAGCACATTGCCGTCTACGGTGAGGGTAACGAGGAGCGTCTCACTGGCCGTCACGAGACTGGTAACATTGAGAAGTTCTCATATGGTGTCGCTGACCGTGGTGGCTCCATCCGTATCCCCCGCCAGTGTGCTAAGGATGGCAAGGGTTACTTCGAGGATCGTCGCCCTGCTTCCAACGCTGATCCTTACCAGATCACTGGTATCATCGTTGAGACCATGTGTGGTGGCCTCTAAAGAATGAAATCGTTTTAGCGCTCCGATACCCTCCGGCATCAACTGGGAGTTCGGACACATGAGAGCGGCCTGATTGCATGAGGGAGCCCATAGAAGTTTTTTTTACCCTGTGTTTTCTTTTCATATTCTACTTATCTCGCGTTCCTGAACCGCATCTATCCTTCCTCCGCTCGGCGCCAGGTTCCGCCTCTTGCGTTCATTTGCCTCCCTCCTTGCACTCGCCGAATCTCGTTTTCTCTTTTTTTTTCTCTTGAATCACCCCACTTTATGGGCATTACGTGTGACGTACAATAGCATAGAACCATTACATGGATGGAAAATCAGCCATCGTTTTAAGATCATATTCTTTCTCAAGACTTTCCTCTAGAAATAACACACCTAACCCACCTAGCCACACCTGTGACCCTCTTTAGACTTATAGTACCCGTGGACATGGATCATCCGAGTCATGCATGACATCGGGTCTTCACCCGCCACATCTACTTACGTGCTTAATGTACATCAGGTACCCTGAAGCAGCTCCACATCTTTAATCCAACTCCCTCTTAATCGATCCCGCTTGATCCAAGGTCCGTGTGATTTCTGGTGGCTTGCAGGGCCCACACTAGGGATATGGGGTTCCGCCTCCGCAATCCCGGTCGTCGCCTAGTTGGGACTAGAATCAGATGGTAATTTTAAGCCGATAAAATGATTTCATCCTTTGATATCTACTTTACTCAAACAGAAGCTCTATATATCCAGTCATTCAAGGTTTGAAACAATCAGATGCATTCCTCATCCTGTGGCTTGTACGAGATGTTGACAGTTACTCAGAAAACAAGAAATGGAAAGACACACATACAAACTTGGTAGCCTGAACTTGGCAACATGAAGATTTCAGTAGGAAGTGAATATACAGGTGGAACAAGGGTGCATGACTCGGATGTCGACATTGCCGTTATTCTGACATTACCAGATTCCAAGCCCTGAGCATCGTGATGCGATGTTCGATGAGGCCGGTGAGAGAAGGTCCATGGCGACACCAATGGCTACTCTATTGGTCGGGTTGTCCAACATCCTCAGGCTGTGGCGCTGGTCAATGCATCGTATCGGCAAGCCATCAACAGCGTTCACCGCTGTCTTGTGCCTCAGCTCTTCCTCCATGCGAATTGGCTTACTGGTCAGCATTTGTAGTGGGGTACCTATCTCTGAAAGCAGCAAACGAAATATCATTTTAGATGACATTGTCCGTGACCTTACTATTGACCAACTAGATTTTGGCAGGCTATACCTGCACTCGTTAATTCGAAAAAGTATTCTCTCAGATAACCTTGGCTGACTATGGTATGTGGTTGATTGGTCACACACTATGCAGCTAGATCCTAGCGGTGGCACTCACATTCAAACCTTGGAATGTTGCTCGCTTCTGTTGACCCAGTTCAGACTTGAAGCAAGCCAACACCTGCACCTCTCCAGGGCTCACGCCAATCGCCCTACTAACATTTTAATCTCGTATTCTCGTAGACTGAAAAATTATAATATTAAATGAGCGTACCCATCCGGACCTGATCACATATTTCAACAATCCTGAATTGAGGAAACATAGGTACCACTCCGAATCTCTGCCATTCTCTTGAAGTTATACAAACATTAAATAAATGTCAAGCGCTCCAGTAATGGAAGCTTCGCAAGCGGGTAAGCTGCCAGTGCCTTCGCTTGTGGAAATGGAAAAGCTTTACGCATCATTTCCTGATGGATTGCTTCTAGAAATCGATCCATTCTTTCACTTTCAGAATGTATAAGTTGTTTGGATTCAAAAAGGGCATAATATATCAAAAAGCAGAGCGAAAAATTGTCAGTGAGCTTATGTGCGAGAAGGGTCTTTCCAGGATTGGACTACTCAGTCAAATGAACCCTTTTACAGGGTGGTCAGCAATATTTGCTCAATTTACTAAGGAATGGCGATATCATGAAAAGGTACAAGATATTACCTATAGCCTTGGAGCATGACACTTGAGCTACTTTACTGACAAGTGCATAGCGCCGATATGCGTTTCAGTCTAGATTTTTCTCAGATGACACGCCGCTCGATGAGTTGCAGATCAATTTTGAGAATAATGATAGTGTGCAGGCAGTTGATTCAATGGAAAATTTAACCTTCAACTTTGAGAAAGATTCTGATCTTTGGGGTATGGCATACTGCAAACTTCGAATTCAGGAGAGTGACCTCATCACTGGATACGAAAAGATTATGCATGAATATCTCCATAATACCCAGGACCAAGGGGTGAGGGACTTGGATGTTCCTTCGATCCAGCAGAGTCAACTGGTGGAATTTCTTCGTTGCAGTCTAGAGAATGTGACGAGCATGCAATCTACAGTTGGTAAAATGGGGCCTCATGTGAGGCAAGCACAATCCGCCATGCTATCATTGAAAAGTGGGATAACATTGGCTGTTCCACATGGCGCAATTCTATGGGCTTCACTCGCAGTCGCTCTCTCAGTAAGTCTATCAAATTTCTTACACCAGCGAACAAAATTCAATACTAATACTGTGATCTTTTTTAGATGGCAAGTTTGTTCTCCTCGGCTGTTCATGATGTGGCAAATGCTATAAACGGTGTGGCTGATATTACAGGGAAAATGAAGTGGTACACAAATTTGGCAGATGTTCTTGTCCACCATCAACACAGACAAGAGGAACCATTCTTGGCGATGCGCTGTGAACTTCTAAGTAAAATCTTAGACATGTACACGACGCTTCTTCACTTCGCGATTGAATGTGTGTGTGCATTCAGACAAGGTCTTTCTCAGGCCCTTACACAGCTTCAAATCTCCCCAAGCAAATGGGAGAGTTTACGGCAAAGCATCTATATCGCTGAGCAAGAAGTTGAGGATCTTTTAAGCCAATATTCTAACGCAAGCATCACTTCCTACGTCAGCCTTTTGGTTCATTTGGAACTTTCAAAAGAATACCGTGATATCATGCAACAGCTTTGCGTCATTGACGTCGATGCAGCCATCAAGTCTCTGAGGAAACAAAGCGAGAACAACGAAACATATCCGGAGGAGGCACAAAATCTTGCATCCAGAGAATGTAATGATCGTCATTTATGCCTTCCAAATGGCGAAGATGAAGCTACGACAACTCAAATGATACGAGCCTTTGATTTCCTGATCAAGCAACTCAACACGCGTTTTGACATATCTCATGTTTCCTATTTTTTTGTAACGACACGAAAAAAAAAACCGATGTTATGATCCTGCGAAGTTTGATCTGGACACTGGCTCGAGAAGACCATTTCCTCATTCAGTATTTGAAAATAAAATATGACAGTCTTGGTCGACAACTTTTCGAGGATACGAACGCCTTTCACAGCCTGAAATTCATTCTGCGGGAGATGCTTGCGGATGCGCGCATCCAGATGGCGATTCTAGTGACTGATCGATTGCACTGCTGTGTTGAAGAGAAAAACAGAGACTATCGTCTGAGAAATCTTCTCTCTGATATTTGTCATACAAATAAGAAAGTTAGATGGCTAAGAACTGGGAAAAGAACCGGAATTACGCCTCATTTCGATCACGAAAGTCTCGGATGTTCAAATTCATGAACCAAAGGCATCTGGTGGGGAAAGGTACGTGGAGGCTGTCTCCTGTGAGCTACAAGGGCATAATTATGCACAGCCTAGTCTAGCCTAGAATCAGTCTGGGCTGAATTGGCCTTTGAGTTGTATTAGATCTGGGTTACCGACGATATTGGATATAGGAAGACTGGGATGTTGAAAAATAGTTTAAAATTAATAAATTAAAATGTGAACCTAAGGGTTAGGGTGCAGGCTGCCAGATACCTAGGTAGACTACTAGAAGTTGCCCTGGAGGAGTCGGCGTCAGGCAGAATGTATTATCTCTATAGTCTAACCCATGAGAGTGGGAACATTGCCTTGGATGTAGTACCATGTTAAGCACTGGGCTTACCTACAACACAAAAACTTATTGAGATAAGGATGTTGCTTCACAATCTATTCAATCTATCGTTGAAGGTCTGAAATTTTGTATATAATGGATAGAGAGATCATTTCAGTCCATTAAAACACGGTAGAGGGTTGATAATATCAATTTGAAAGCAATAAAACTGGTTAGGAGCTTCGAGAACCTCAGGAACAGCAGTATAAACTATATCATTCTCACGGCAATTTGGTTGAACGACTTTTGAAAAACCCCTCGTTTCAAAGAATTGCCCCGATCTGAAAACTAAGCTCAATCTTGGAATATAGCAGGCATGACGAGTAAGTGGTCATCGACTAGATATGCAGCCAACGACGAAGACGGCACTTCACCTTTTTAGCCTTTTGATTCTCAACTACCTCAACCCAAGAGACCTTTGTCTGGTCAGAAGAGTCAACCTCCTTCTTTTCATCAATTCGGTTCTCTCCCAGGCGGTCGATTTCAGTTTCGACGTTCGTCACACGTTGCTTCAGTCCTTGCAATTCAGAACCCTTTTTCTCCAAATTTGTCAATCTGCTGTTTCCATCCCGGGTGTAGTAATAATTCGAGACTTGGACTCTGGCGTATCGAGAGCTGACGCCATGATTCTCTGGAATGTGAATGCAATGATAGTGGTGCGTGCCGCTGAATCGAGTGTTCTTCTTGAGGCGATTTATCTCCCGGTCTTTCTCAGCGATTTGGGCGTCAAGTGAATCAAGAAGCTTGCCATAGCAAGCATCCCACCCAGAGTGACACAGTCCAGGACAGCCGACAGGGTCAGTCTTCTTCGCGAGAACGGATTCGGAGTTGCCAGCCTCGGCCAAGCGCTTCTCGTAGCCCTCTATTGCCTTGTGAACATAGTAATCAAGCGCATCAAGATGTTCTTCGATCTGGTCAAATGTCTGGTCGCGATAGTGGGAGTTGTTCTCAGGAGCTGGGGCTTTGGCGTCGTAAATCTTCATCAAGCCTTTGCAGTCTTTGTACAGCGCATTTATCTCTCTCGCTATCTGCATCCGTTGGAAGTCCTTGGAATTCATTTCAGGGCAACTACTTGTCTTTCCTCCCTGAGAGGCATCCGGAGTCATGGCTGCCTGAGTTCTCTGAGGCTTGGAGGGTTGGTAAAACCACGGAGGAGAGGTGGAAGACATGTTGAAGGATGGATGATGAAGGATCAGTAAAGGCTAGTGATCATCCTTAGATGGTTAGTATTGATGACAGGAGAGATAGAGAGAGAGATAGAGAGGGGAGAGAACTCTTATATACTGACCTTGCCTGGATGTTGGGGAGATGAAAGATTTGAAAGGTCGAAGAAAGAAAAGAAGTTGTGGAGGGGTAATAAATGGAGGGTATCTACTTCTTGGATATAGATTTGTTTGCAAAAGCCAGCTCGATGCAAACGACTGAACTAGGAAAAATATTTCTTCAATATTTGCAGCTCTGGATGATGATATCTTCGAACGGCCATGGATTTTATTGGTGATAGATAGTATTTGGGAGTATCACTGTAGATTATACATAATATTTTTGGCTGCTCATGTGTCGAACCTTGTCAACTTGAATGGTTCAATGAGTCTACGTAGCTTCCAGGTACTTATAAGCCTGAGTCGACCCGACTAGCGAGTTCTCAAGTGTTCGCTCTATATAGCGACATAGCCTGGAGATGCTTTTTCATTCAAGACATCATACTGCGGCTCTATGCTCTATATCAATATGCAAGAAATAGTAGGAGTGACGAAGATCATATCCATATACGTAACAGAGCCCTAGCGCTAGACGTTTTTTAGTTTATGCAGGGTCTCAAGCCTTCCAATTAGTTCAATTTATCTTTCTCTTCATGTGCATCATTTTGAATGAGAAAATAAAGTTCATCTCGTATTCGCTCTCTCGTGATTTAATAAATCCTGGCAACCTTGAGAATCTTGGACATCAAGCTCGGTGCTCATCGGGAATTGCTAACCTCCAGATGTCAGGATTCTCATCATTTTTCAAGAGATATATCACAGATGACATGAGATACTGAAAGAAGAGCATCATGATACTTGATAGCGGCCCATGGTCCTGATATTACTCTCCAAATAAACTTGAACTCACTCATCTGTCACCTCAAGCGGCTCGACACGCCAAGCATAGATCTCGTATTTGCCAGCACTAACACACACTAAATTCGAGCTACTATCAAGCGAGGCACGATGGTTAGATACTTTGTCTTTTCCTGTCTCTGGGCATTCTCTTCTCCTCTTGATCAAGTCATAGCCAAGGTATCATCTTACGGAGTATAAAGACCTGGCTATTCGCGCTTACCCGCCATGTCTTCATATAACAGGTCAGGCCCGCATAGCAGGATCACGAGTGATACGATATCTACCTTAGAATCTCATCCCGAACTTGAGAGGTTCCAACACAATGACTCCTATCCTCAATAAACTAGGCTTGGCTCTCCTCTTCCTTCCCGCTACTTTCGCTGCGACCCCAGCTCTACAAAACCAGCCCCGTCTACGTTCAAACGCAACCCTGAACATTGGAAAGTCTTCCAAGCTGGATAGTCGCAGCCATTCCGGTATTTCGGAGCGCTACTTCTATTGGGAATGTCCCTCCGGCTACGATGAATGCAGCACAGATACCTCTGTATGCTGCCCTGCCGGCAACGGATGCTGCGAGAACGGCTACTGCTCTGACCCTGGCGATACTTGCTGTACTATAGGCACTTGTCCCAGTGGCTGGGACTGCTGTGGTAACGATGGATACTGCTCGCCTGCCGATGGGGAGTGTTGTGAGGGAGGGTACTACTGCAATGCTGGATACCAGTGCAAGATCTGGGACGGGGAAGAACTGTGTTGTCCTGATTCAGGGTGTATTGGGTCTAGTGGTGGTGGTGATCTGGGAAATACTGTTGATGTTGGAACGGGTGTTGCTGAGTCTACTACGACTTCGTACTCGTACACATATGATACCTATACCTATGATACTTACACCTACGACACCTACACCTACGCGAGCTATGACTATTATTATACGACATACTACTGGTAAGTTCTGTACCTCTTGTGCAAGCTGATTCCTGGCTATTTGTATGAAATTTCAAAAGACTGACTATGATAGGTCTTACTGGTTCTATCTCTGGACATCTTACTCTCCATATACTGTACAGACGGTCACCTCTACCGAGACAACTACTACCACTATCTGGTCTGCCTATGCGACAGACTCTTACGACGCCGATGAGTCTTTCACACTCAGTATCGAACTTTATACCTTCTATACACCATACTCGGCTACTTCCCTGAAGAGCTCGACAGATCCCGTGCCTATTAAAACAGGTGCTGCCGGTTCACCAACAGCGACAGGCAACGCTGGCTCTCACTCAGGTGTTGGTGCAGCTACTTCAGTGCACGTGAATAGATGGGTGCCTATTGCGTGTGCACTTTTCGGTGGACTGATGGGAGTTCTAGCTTTTGGGCTGTGATCCATAGTGGTGTCGCTCATTGCCATGTACAATGACTCGGTCTACATAAGAACCTGAGTCTACAAATAATGTCAATTCATCACTGCAATAGTGCAGTTATCAAAGATTTTGAACATCCCAGCTGTATTCTGTATATCTACCAACTTCAATACAGATCGTGTATATAAGCGATCTCAATGACAAGCGAAGATACAGTCCTCACAGCCTATCATCATGATCATCTTCTGCGAAGAAGGGTGCTATGCACATGGGTATCAAACAAGCAAAGTAAAAGAAACATCCACCAAATAGTGATATCTGAGCTCTATCTTCAAGATGAGATCGATATCACTTTCACCAAATCATAGCGGTTCCGTGCCAGCAGATTAGGAACATGCGCCCAAAGAACATCATTCGTAAATCCATTCGGTAACGCGAAGAATCACCATAGACGTAGATAAAAATTTTGTTTTTGTTTCTGTTGTGAGAGAAAAGAAGAGAGAAATAGCTTTTCGCGTTTAACTGCTGTTTGTGGAGACGTTATCCTGGTTCTCCACATGAGCACCCTTACCACCTTCCACATCGCCGCTCGCAGCGAAACTCTTGCCATGTTTCTCAGAAACGTGGCTAGCGCGGCGGAGATGCTCCTCGGTATCTTGGTAGTTGATCAACAGCTCGCCGTTCTTGCCGTAGCGGTGAGGCTGATTACGGGCGACGGAGACGACGTTGAAGACAGTGGTTGTATTCTGAAAGATGGTGTCCATCTCTTCGAGAGATCGGTAGGCGGTCTCGGGGTAGAAGAAGTAGACGACTGGGAAGATGAAGGCGTTGATCACTGCGAAGATAATGTAGGTTCGGTACTTGATGTTCTCGAATGCAACAGGAGTGACCATAACGACCATGAAGTTGAAGATCCTGTTATAATATTCAGTAGAAATTCAAAAGACATTTGTCTTAGGTTATAACTTACCAGTTTGCAGAAGTCGAGAGAGCGTTAGCGGGAGCACGAATACGCAGAGGGACAATCTCCGCCGGGTATAGCCAGGTCATACCCAACCATCCAAAGGCGAAGAAGGTGTTGAAAACAAAGAGGAATACAGCAGCAGCAATACCGGGCTTACTCTGTCCTTCAAAGCTGGTGCAGATGGCGAGGACTGCCATGGAGATGGACATACCAGCGGCACCAACCAACATCAGAGTACGACGGCCAACCTTCTCAATAATGAAGATAGGAACCAAAGATGCGATGAAGTACTCGGTACCGTTGCAAGCTGCCATAATTCGTGACGTGAGACCGTCCATTCCAAGGGAGTTCTCGTAGATGGTAGCTGCATAGTAGGTAATCAAGTTAATACCGGAGATCTGCTGAAACATCTGGTTGACATAGGCGAGAACAACACGGTGGAGATGGCGATTTTCATCCATGGTGCAAAGATCACGGAAGCTGACAGACTCAGATTCCATCACGGCATCCTTAATAGCGGCGAACTCAGAGTGTACATATGGATCGCTTTCGTCCATATCCAGGATAGCCGATAAGACCTCCATTGCCTCTTCTTCACGGCCTTTCATAATCAGCCAGCGAGGAGATTCGGGAAGGGGTAGTACGCAGGTCAGAATGACAAGGGTGAAGACGTTCTGGAAAGCAATTGGGAAGCGCCATGCGACAGAACTAGGGTCAAGGAAGGAGAATCCGAGATCAATCCAGTAACTGATCATGATTCCACCGGCAATCAAAGCACCTTCCAGCATGACAAGTGGACCACGATGGTGAGACTTGCTACATTCCGATTGCCAAGTAGCTATAGGAAATGGTTAGTTATCATGAGCAGATAGAAGTAACTATCACTATGAATTACTTACGAACGGTAGAAGTATTCATTCCGTTGCCAATACCAGTCACGATACGGCCGACAATCAGATGTGGGAGTGAATATGCGCAGGACTGTAGCGTTGCGCCAATGACCATGATAATCGAGCCGGTGAAGATAGTCTTACGACGCCCGAGGTAGTTACCAATCCAGATACAGGCAACAGCACCAACAAAACATCCCAGATTGTAAGAGGCAGTTGTGATGCCTTGTACGGTAGAACGATTGCTTCTTTGAGCCGCAGAGAGGCCGACCTCACCAGCTGCGGTGGTGTCGATTTGGGGAAATTGAACGACGAACGAGTTCAAGGTCAATAGACCTCCCATAACACCTCTGTAATCAGTTAGAATGCCGTCTACCCTTCCATCAATGCTTTAACATACTGATCATATCCGAAAAGTCTATACAGAAATATGCAGTTAGCAACCAGGACATTATATGATATCATTCACAATGCAGGCCTATACATACAAGAAGTCCAAACCAGCAATTATACTGATCATAATATTCAGGGACATGCCCCGCAATCCAAAATAAGGCTTCATGATGAGCGGAATGAAGCTATTTCGTACAATTGGCGTCGAATAGAGACAAGCTGTATACAAACAATGTGCCAGTCAAGTCCTCGACCAATCCAAATCAAGCAAAGTCGACAGTCAACGTCCAAACCTGTGAACGGAAAAAGATGAAGAGGAATGAAGTGGCTGAAGAAGAGGGGGGGGAAAGTCCTAACAAGATTCCGGGGAAGCAGCTGGGGTTTATGAACCCGGCCTCAAAACGGCCACGGCGCCATGAAACAGGGATCCACCCTTCTGGGCATCTGGAAAATCGTCCGAGTGTACTTGGGAATCGGGGCATTGGAAACGACCGGACCACCAAAAGGAGAGATTGACAGCAAGGTCGCATTCACGATGCGCTATAGATTCGCCGGATTGAGCAAGTCGGGGGGGGGGAGGTCTCCACCTTCATAGAGTGCATTTCCATACACACAGACCCAGGGTCCACCAGAAGTCCACCACATCAAATCATCGGCCTTCTCTTTTTGCTCTTTTTCGGCACGGGTTCCACCGGGTCAATGGACTCTTAAGAGTCTTAACCCGTGAGACTTGAGGCGCATCTCGGTAACTGTCCGGTATGACTTACGGCCCGTACGATGAAGTTACCGTACAAATTGCTGCTTGCGGGAGATACCGAAATGTATGACCATTATGATCCATATCGATGACGCAGGATTTCTTTTCTTTTCTTTTTTCTTGTTTTATTATTTTCCCTCGTGGTTCGCGTGGTTTTGTCTCACTTTTGGAGAATTGAGTGGAAACAGGGCCCTCATTTTTTTGTGGTCCCATCAGTCCCCCCGGATTCCCCACGACTCACGACATACTAAGTACTGTGCATAGTACTAGAGACTACCAAGAAGAGGAAAATACCATGCGACATCACACAATACCGCTAAAATGTTTTTCATTCATTGTTCCTTTCGGGTTCTCCTGCAGCACTAAGTTACGTTGAACAGGGATTAACACGGGAAATCTTGACAAACCAGCGAGTCGGCTTTACAGGAGGCCGTGCGGGCGCCCGAGGCTCTCCAGTCCGAATAGGCATTTTTCCCGGGTTTATACGGGGTACTCCATAGTGAGTGAACTCGGTGAACTCGGGAATCATTTGGGGGTTTCTCATTTGCTAATAGAAAAGCACTGCATCTGAATCTAGCCGACCACGCCTCAGTATCCCGTGGATTTGAACCAAGGCAGGACCTACCCCTCTTGGTGCGATAGTCTATCCTTTACCCGAAGAGGATTACCAGGACCTTCCAGAGTTGAACAGGTACGGGGGTACACTTGGGGATAGTGGGAAACTTAGAATTTATGGTGAAGATCGCCATTACCATTACGGAAGCGATTAAATGACATCATGGTCAGGAACATGAGAATGCCAGTGCTATGCATCAATTGATCTACGAAGTACTGAGATATGATGTTTTTTTCTACTCCGATCATTCATTCTAACGTCTTAATGTTGCAGAGTATCGATGGCTGATGAATCCTTAGAATAAAATTGTCAGTCAACTTCCAAGGTTCCCCGGCACATACCCCAGTATTCGGCCCCGGTTCTACTCCTGAGTACGGGGATTCGGGGTTGAGCCGAATCTTGGAGTTCGCCGGCTATCGGACCCGTTAACATTTGAACGGAGTACTCCGTTCACCACTTCATGCAGTGAAAAAAAAAAAAGACCGATTATGCATCATGTCGGATTCGGATTTGAGCATACTGCAAATCCCGGTGAATTAAAAATGTCCTTTCATATTGACCAGCATAGAATCCATGTTTTTTTCTAGAATGCCGTGCCGCGCTAATGATTTCCCAATTGGGGGAACCCGTTTCGCGATCTTTGTCGGTGTGGTCTGATCAGGAGTGTCAAGAACCTTGGAATTGATACATCGAATCCTTTGATCATACGGCTAAGTTGTTCCAAGTCCACGGGTTCTTTCTGGGGCACCACCTGGGCATGTACGAAGGACATTTGTGCATGTAGGCCTAATGCCCCCTGGCGTCGGTAGATGTACTCGGGCGTAAACTTAATGCTCGGACCATATACCATGAGCACTTTGAGAATTCTGAGGTTACATGTTCGTGTAAGCAAAATGCATGGGATTGAATTTTCTGTGTTCTCGAAGCCGTAGCCTATACCTAGATTGTGGCTGAGAAGTTACACAACACATACTAGGTATGACCAGCAAAAGGTAGGATGCCTAATTCAATTTCACCATAGACCAGGCTATTATTGCCATATTCAACTTGATAGCCTACACATGTGCAGTGACTGCTCATTATCCACAAGTCTCAATGCACCTTAGGCGTGCTTGTGCTTGTACGTGGAGAACCATACGAGACTCCAAACTCCGCATTCGGCGATATCTGGATTATCTGGATCCACCACAAATTACCAAAACCACGTATTACCCATTCTCCATACATGTCCATTAGTAAATTTCATAAAATCAATCGCTCAAATTTACGTCTATCACTGCCTTATTCATATTCTCTGAATACGAAACACATTAGAATGGGATATTTAGAATCGTACATTCCTCTTCTCGCGTGGGATGAGATCATGCTATGGGTACTAGTACTAGTATTATCAAGGACCTGATACCCAGGCAATGGTACCCGGGTTAAGCCATATGAACGTACTACATTGTGGCGGACAATCCAAAGGGAGGATTTCCGGTTTTGTGAACTTAATCTGATATCCCGTCCAGCTGGGCTGAGTTGATCGGCGTGGCCGACAAGGATGGGCCTTGGAGCCCGAGATTAGGGACACCGGAACTTTGTCGTCGCATTGTGGACGATTGACTGATTTCCCAAATTTCTTTGTGGCTCAGGATCGTGGTGTCATCATCATCTCTTAGAGGTACGCCAGGATGCAACCTCATCTCTTATTTTGGCGCTTGGACTATCGTGATATACCAGTGATTGGACTTGAGGAGAGATAAGGGTAGTTCAAGTTGAATTGGATTGACGAGGCTACGGATGGGGCTTCAGCACCATCTGGGCAGTAGTAAGTACTAGTAATGAATCCGGGTCTACATTTCTACAATGAATACATGTGATCAACTTGAATAGAGTATTGAATTTGATAAAAGCCAACGAAACTTCATTTTCTGGGGGGTTTTAGTTATTTTTTTGTGTTGGTCACTTTGCTTCTTTTCACTGTCCACTTGAATACCTCCTGATGAGCCTTTCGAATGCAATCCCATAGGTCCTCCATTGTCAGCTTTACACGCAGAAGCAAATCTCATCAAGACAGCCGAATGCCAATCCACTGGTAGGAATAAAAAGCATCATCCCGGGTCTCATAGTCGCATGTCAACATAAATCAACCTCGCAACATATCAAAACCAAAACCAAATAGATGCTGTCTCCCCTGGTGCAGATCAAAGCATTGTAATTCTCAACAAGATCTCTCTCCCGCCGAAGCAATCATGGCTCATTGATACCGATTTTCTTTTTGAAGTTGCATGTCTACCATGCCTGGGAGTCGTTATCCTGCTTGGAAGATTGCCACTGGTCATCATCACCCTGAGGATTCCAGCTCTGTTCATCTCCGCCGGTTTGATCCTGAGTGCCCCAGGCATCGTTGGCGGAAGAGTTATGGCCGTGGTCGCCATACTCACCAAAACCTTCTCCCTCAGGCTCGGGCTGAGGGCAGCGACGAACAGTGTGGCCCACTGATTTTGTTAGAAGAATTGGTTGGATGGGGGATATGAATGGGTTGACTTACTCTCGCCGCAGCGGTTGCACTTCACCTTCGACCAGTTCTTGGGCTCGGGGCAGTCACGAGAAACGTGGCCAGCTATGGAAAACAGAATGTTATTCATGATATCTTCACGTGGATTCCTTTGGAAATGTCAATACTTACTCTGGTCGCAGTTACGGCAGGTCATAGTGGATTCATCGCGTGGCTGATCACAGTCACGAGCGATGTGGTCCTCAGAACTATATCCGTTAGTCCAATGATTTCCGATCATGTCACTAGTTTGACTTACCCGCAGTTACGGCAGGTGCGAGGGCCACGAGCGTCCCCAGAATTGGGACAATCCTTGGCAAAGTGACCCGCTGCAATATGATTAGCTCATTTTCACATATTCCGAATGGTTCAACAGTCATCTTACTTTCATTGCAACGACGGCACTCAACACCCTCAGCAGATCGAGGCTCAGGGCACTCCTTGGACATGTGCTCCTCAGATCTGTGTAAAAAGTCAGCAGTGAATACATTTTCCAAATTTGATTCGAAAGAGATCATACCCGCAGTTACGGCAGCCATTCTTGCTGCGACGGGGCTTGGGGCAATCACGAACACGGTGGCCGATCTCCTGGCAGTTGACGCACAAGATCTCAACCTTCTCAACGTCGACATGCTCAGACTTGCAGGCACGGGATCCATGGCCCATTTCTATCGTGGGATCAGTCATAATATTCAAACATAATATTCACCCGCTTCATAGGAAACACACCTCCACAGTTGTGGCACTTGATAACCTGACGATCATAGGGCAAGCCAGCATTTGCCAAGCGCTCAAGATTCTCCTCGGGAGTAGTGGGCCAGCGAGATCGAAGGTGACGTCTCTGAGGAGTTGCATTGTAGTAAAAGCCAACAACAAACTCCCGATCAAGTACACCCTGGAGGTCGATGAGGCTCATCACATCCACTGGGTCTTTCTCCTAAATCCAGACCGGTCATTAGAATATTCATCTTTTGAAAGGGTCGGTTTCCAGCGCTGGCCTACCAGAGCAATGAGGTAGATGTTGAAGTTCTCCTCGCGCATCTTCTTCTCAATGTCAACGTAAGTAGCCAAAGGCTTAGACTTGGAGTACACCTGAAAGGCCTGTATTGACTCGTCAGCATGAGATCTCCACCAGCATCATTCTTCTGTCTCACATCGCGGAACTCCTGAAGGTCTCGCTCATCATTAGCGGCCTTCAGCATTGCCCAGGCCTCCTCGGGAGTCTTATCGGCAATATCGCCCAAGTCAAACTTGCGGTTCGCGGTGCAATCCTTGGCCAGGTGACCTGTATAGTAAGCACGTTAGTCAGGCTATTTGAAGTCTTGCAAAAGGTGTCTACTAACCTTCGCTCTTGCAGTTGCGGCAGAAGTCAGGAGGCCTCTCGGGGCACAGAGCGGCAGGGTGGCCCTCCTGCTCGCAAATACGGCAGGTTCCCTTGAATTCGCGTGGCTTGGGGCAATCAGCCTTCGAGTGTCTGTTGTTTTTTTAGTATGAAGAACTCAAATTGGACATCATCAGAAGATAGTATACCCTTCTTCACCACAGTTGAAGCAGGCACCGGTCATCTTTCGAGGCTCGGGACAATCGGCCTTGCTGTGACTATAAGAAGGACAATTGTCAGTGCATTCTCTAGTACACGCCAGTCAATGAACTTACCCTTCCTGGCCACAGTTGAAGCAGGCACCGGTCATCTTTCGAGGCTCAGGGCAATCGGCCTTGCTGTGACTATAACAAAAAGACATGTCAGTGCATTCTCTACCTAGCATCAGCCAATGTGAATTTACCCTTCCTGGCCACAGTTGAAGCAAGCACGAGAGGACTGCTCGTTAGATTCATTGGGACAGTTGCGCGCAAAGTGGTCAGTGGCACCACACCTTTCAAGGACTTGGTCAGTAACTGAAATGGACTCCATAATATCTTCCATCGCGGGGCAGCTTACTTGCGGCAAGTGTTGGCATCAGAACCCTCAGGGTTCAGATTTTCATCATTGGTGCCTGATGAGAATTAGTCATGTTCTTTGAAAGATGTTTTGGGAGATATGAAGGCCCATTGTTCAACATACCCCAAGGACTACCAGCATCCACGTCTTCGTCGGTTCGCCAGGGCGATCCCTCCGATGCCATTGGCCAAGGCTCAGACATCGTGAGGAGTTGGTTTTAGGTACTAGGATCCACGTGATTAGTTAAAACCTAAGCCGATGATATTGAGAATGTGTATCGTGGTTGTGAACATGTTGTGCTTGGTCCGTGAATTGGACGAAGCAAACAGACATGAGCGGAAAGGAGAGACATGAGCGGAAAGAGACATGAGCGGAAACGTTTCGTCTCAGGTTGCAACAGAATCAGTCAACACAAACGAGAGGGTGTAGCCATTTCGAAACGCCTCGATTTTGACTTGCTGGGAACTGACGAGCAACTGATGAGCTTTGTACTTACAAGCTTGAGGACTAAGTCCAGGTTTTGAAAAGGTTCGAAAAGAATGAAAGGGAAAGGGAGGGTGGTGAAGGGAGAGGGGGAAGAGATATGAAGGTGGGAAGAGGCGGGGGAAGAGAAAGGCGAAATGAGAGAAGGTCTTGATTTAAAAAAAGTCACCACGAGATTGGAAGTAAGACTGCCTACGCGTTTAACACATACAAAAAACTGACACAAAATCGTAAAGTGACTTTAATCTTTCGTTCACAAATCGGCCTACGCATCGATGCTGGCCTACGCACCGATGCTGGCTCTGGCGATGCTTCAAAGATAATCGATTTGTTTGAGCATAAGGCTATTGTTAGAACTTTATTGGAACACTTTAACCATACAATGAAGAGAAATGAATAATGCAAGGAGTCATTACTGCTCATTTAGAAGCAGCCAGGGAATTTACAGATCAAGTATCTGCAGTCAACTCATTAGCGGAAGAACCTGCCCAGCAGGCCTCCAGCCAAGTTGGTCACAATACCACCTCCCAGTGCACTGTTGGCAAATGTCGAGGCTTGACTGAACTTATCGCACCGGGAGAAAGCCACAGTGTTTGTGATAGTCAGAATGAGAGCAATAACTGAGATCATGGGTTAGTATAAGAATCCAACAGAGATAGCCCTTGTGGGTCATTGTGCAGGATCCACTTACCAACTAAGCTAAGCCAAATGACACCACCTAATGACACGATGGCCACAATAGCAAGTCCAATCCACAGAGCTGGAGTCACATATAGACTCAGCCAGAAGAATCGCCTGTCGGTTGCCGTAATTGTACGGACGTTGGGGTCGGACGACTCGAAGACCCAATGCGAGTCACCGGAGGCTGTGTTGACTTCATTCCACCATCTGAGACCTACAAGACGACGCCCAGCAATATTCTTGAGGTAATAGAAGTCGGCAGATAGAAGGAGGAGGGTCAGGATGAAGACGAGAATGCTAGAAGCGGTATAGTTAGCTCGGGATCACTATACAGACAATGGGGGTAGATATCGCCATACAAGTTATCGATAAAAAGGACTCCAAAGAGGTACATCAACAAAGCGCCTATCGAATGAATAGTTAGCCGGATACTTCATTTAACTGAGTCTTCCATTGGTGATCATAACGAGGGCTGGTACGAACCGATCCGGATGCCTAAGAAGACAAGTAGCGTGATCGGGTGGGCGCTCAGGCGCCAGTTCAAATCTCCTTGGCCTCCCTGATCCATGATGGGCAACCAACAGCCAATGTTCTTGCAGCTTCGAAGCTATGTTTTGTCAAGAAATGGCTGCCACAGTAGTTGCAGTGCAAGCTAGACAATCAGATCCCTGATGTGTTCACAACACAGCAGGAGTCAGGCGGTGTATATAGGCAGAATAATGATGCGCTTAATTATGATTGGTGCTTCTATACTGTTGGATCCACTCATGTTCAGAACTACATATGCATCCATCAGATAGAACAGAACAACTCCACGGCCACTGCATATGACCGGAGTAGCGAAATGGTCAGGTACATATGTAGGGTAACAGTTTATATGAGTAGACATCACCTATTCCACCTCAAGTGCTCATTGACCATACCATAATTTGAGAATTTTAAATACCAAAGCTTGGCCAAAAGGTCTTTAGGTAGGCATCTGGGCAGGATTATGATGATTCTGATGTAATATTCGGTAAATTTAGAATTTAGGGTAATTACATATTGTAGTATAAGCACTACTAGAAGAAATTCGAAGGATCTCCGCAATATCTTCCAAAGCATGTACATTCTTGTGTTGAAACTCGACTCCACGAGTCGAATAGAGCTCAGTGATCTCGGAGTGGGTCTCAGCATATAGGCTATTCCGAGAACTACCCGAAATCGGCTGGGACAGGACCTCCGAGAACAAGATGCTTTTACCACCACCACGCCTTCATTAAGATCCCAATATTTCAACAGCAGAAGCACTGAGGTTCTAGGACCTTTCAATCGCTCACAATGGCTGCCCGCAACACTCTTCGCCGTTCTCTCCTCTATGGTAAGCTCTGAAATCTCCCACCATCTTCCCCGCATTTTCAAACCCGTCAAAGCTTCCAATCATCCCAAAGACTAGTAACCAGCTAACCCAATTCCTAGTCCCCGGCTCCTCGCAGCGCTTTCTCGACAAGTCCCGCTCCTTAGCGGCAGACTGTCTGACCTATGACCTCGAAGACAGCGTGACTCCGCATATGAAAGCTGAAGCTCGCACCCTCGTGCGGAGAGCAATCGACCTACCAACCCCGAGCACCATCCGCGAACGTGCCGTGCGTATTAACTCCGTAGACAGTGGACTCGCCCTGGGTGATCTGACTGAAGTAGTAAGTGACATCTGAATATCAACCTCTCGAATATCAAATTAACTCTCCCACAGCTTCAATCCCCCCAACCTGACCACAATCGTCATTCCCAAGGTCAACTCTGCCTCAGACCTCACCTTTGTCACGGATGTGATAACCCACACATTGGCTCAACAACCCCAAACCTCAACCCCTCGCCCTCCAATCTCTCTTCTCGCCCTCATCGAATCCGCCAAATCCCTCACAAACCTCTCCGGCATAACAGCCTCCACACCTTTACTTCAAGGCCTAATCTTCGCAGCGGAGGACTTCGCCCTAGATCTGAGTCTTACACGAACCCCTTCCTTAACCGAATTCCTCTTCGCCCGCTCCGCAATCGCAACAGCTGCCCGGGCCGCAGATCTCCCATCTACAATTGATCTTGTTTGCACATCCTACAAATCCGATAAAGCGGATGGGAGTCCACCTGCGGCACTGGAAGAGGAGTGTCGGGATGGAAGACGGTTGGGATTTAACGGGAAACAGTGTATTCATCCTACTCAGGTGAAGACTGCGAATGCGATTTTTGGACCGGATGCTGAGGAGACGAAGTGGGCTGTTAGGTGCGTGATTGCGGATGAGAAGGCAGCTGCGCAGGGCAGAGGTGCTTGGACGCTCGATGGCAAGATGATTGATGTGCCGGTTGCGGAGAAGGCGAGGGCTATTGTTAGGAAGGCGGAGGCTTGTGGGTTTGATGTTGAGGGATTGAGGAAGGAGTGGCAGCATCAGGAGCCAGAGTAAATTCTGTATTATCTTGTATGAGTCTCCCAGGTGCCCCTCCAAGGGATTTTGAGGTCTATATAGTGTTGAAATTGTATAGAAAATTGAATACATCCTACTTCAAGTTTTGACCAAGATCCAATCCAGTCCAAGTCCAAGAGCTGCTTTACTACTACGAGTATGTTCATGTTTTACATAGTGATGTGATGGTGGACCAGAGTCTGAGTGAACTTATGTTAAGAAGTGCCTGAGCCACAGACATCTGGAAGCATTCAAATGTTTAGTGAACTAGTGACTCCGATAGACTGCCTGGAAATATTGACCTGTCAATTGCCAGTGCCTGAGAAAGGTCAAGCTGAGAGTGGAAGTCTGAGTCTTATGGCTACTAAGTTAGTGTGGTGCCTCCAGATGTCAATTTGTGGGAAGATCCATGTCTCTCTAAGTGTTTGCTACACCTCGTATTCAAAGGACAGTACTAGGGATGCCTCTTTTCAACATTCAAATGGTTTTTAACCTTTTACTTTTCTTTGAACTGACCAATGTACACTTCAAATTTTGCTCTTCCTTTTCATATGATGTTTATACTTTTATCTATTTGATTCGATTTCTGATTGGGTCTAAGTCTATTGGTTCATATACTGGATACTACTAGTACTAAGTTACCCGGGTCTAAAGAGTAGAATGGTGGTTCATTGAGAAAAAAACGCTGGCTTAAGGACATTTTGATTCTGATGCAAAGGGTATCGTATCGCATCCAAAGTTGAACTTGAAGTCACACTAAAGTCATTGATTGGTCGTTTCTAAATCCTCACGTTTAAGAAGTTGAATCTTCCCCACAACAAGGTTGGGCTGTCCAGCTCCCGCCCTCATTGCTTCTTCCTCTTCCGCAAAGGTCCTAGCCAGTGACTTGTCATAACTCGTTGGGTCAATACCAAGAATGCCTCCAACGTAGCCACCTCGCTCACCTGGCACACTAAACTCGCGGAATAGGTACCGCCACTCGTTGAGCCACGCCTTCACAGCCTTGCCGATCTTATCTTTGCCGTTCTTGGAGTGGTGGCCGGTACCTGTGATCGCATAGACTACCCGTAGACCCTCGCGTGCGTGTTTCAGGAGAATCTTTTCCAAGTATTCGATGGCTTCTTCTGGGTGGAGGCCGTGCAGATCTACGTAGAGTTCTTCTGAGGATTCATCCAGGCCAGCCTGGAGAAGGTGTTGATTGCGCTCTTCGTATAGCTGGCGCGCGGCTTCCCGATGACAACGTCGCATTGCATCATTCTCAGCTTGGCCTCGTAAAGACAGAGCCTTGGCAGCTCGTGCATCATTTCGGTTCCATGCTTGGGCAGCACTAATCGATTATTAGTCAGGAAATGACATCCAAGGTATGTATGTGCATCACTCGTATGAAACTTACCTCTGCAAAAATTTATTTCGTACGGTTCCATGGCGAATTGCTTCGGTACGGTATTTGATATATTGTTGATTTGCGCGTGCTCCTGTCTCAAGCCAAGGAATATTCTGCGGGGCTTGAATTGATTGAGCCGCTGCGCTGTTCTCACGGCTCTTGAGATCCTTGCTGTTCTTTGATGATTTGGGCTTTCCTGGCGGCGTGGGCGATGGAGACATACGAACCACATCTGCCAATGATGATGGAATATTCTCCTTGCTATCACGGCCGTGAGCGCCTCGCTTCCCATGATGCTTCTTTCCGGCATTCTTTGCGCTGACAGCGGCAAGGGTTGGGAATGCATCAGGATCATCAACGGACAGAGCAGCAGGGTTCAATTCTCGATTCTGATGCCGACTGCTTGGGCGCGAATTCGGACGTCCCAAATGGGTCATGCTGCCATTCCGTCTCCCCATGCCTGGATGAAGACCTGGAGGAAGATGCTTACTCCCTTGCATACCCGAGAGATTGGTAGGGTATCGCGCGCCATATTGATTTGCCCACTGATCCTCAATGGAGATCGCTGGTTGCAGAGGAGGGAACGCATCGGATCCACTGTCAACTTGGAAAGGTGAGCCAGCCGGGGGCGAAGTTGGCCGACTACTCCCTGATACACTCAGGTTGGAAACAAGGGAAGACGGGTCGTGCGAAAACGGACATCCGTCTCCAGCAAGGCAATTGCCCATAACCCAGTATCTAAGGGCGCCAGGTTAGTTTTTCAATATTTCACAAATAGACAACTGATAGATGAGACATACTTGCACAAGTGGCTTGTTAAATCATGACTGAAATGACAGTCGGCACGAAGGCACTGTCCGGTAGACAGCCAGTACTTGCAGACCACAGGGCTTCGGCTCGGTCCCGAAGGTGTGATGGGTCGACTTTGTTCCATTACCATTGACTTGCCGACTAGAATTCGGCCATCGTCGCTCTGTTTGGCAAAGATATCGGTATCTGTATCTTGCGAAAGTGCTGCAATAGTGGCACCGAGATCGTAACTATTCGCTTCCAGCGCGGCTTCAATTTCATCATTTGACCGCTTGTCGCCCAAAACTGTGCGCAGAATATCATGCGGGCTCATATCCGGTACAAATTCCGCTGCGGTTGCGCTCAAGGCTCCCGGGACGCTCAGGCCCCCTGTGGATGAGGTAGTACTATTCGCATCATCGGCCACCAGCCAGTCGATGTTATTGTCGTTACCGAAATCTCCATAGAAATCCGAGATCTGACTTTGATCAGAAAATTCATAGGCGTTAAGATTTGGAGAATGAGGGATCGGCTGGGCCAGCGCAAGTCGTGGGGAGGGGCGCGGGGAGGTAAACGGGGATACGGTTGAGGAGAGCGGAGGTCGGGAGAATGCCCCGCGCGAGCTCTGCACCCACGAGGTACTCCCTGGGCTGGTTCCCAGATTTGAAGGTGATAAGGGAGTGGAAGATCGTACCATCTGCCATGGCGCTGGAGATGATCTGCGAATCACGGTATGACGAGGAGGAGGGGGTGACGAGTCGGGTAACGTTCGATTGCGATGTCGCCATAGAATGTCCAGCACCGCATTCTCCAATGAGGGACCGGTCAGCGATGAGTTGGCGCGTAGGTAATCCTCGACTTTTTCGACTTGTTCCTCTTCATCTAGTGCTTGATCCTGTAGGATCTCTAGCGATTTCTCGAGAAGTTCTTCGGAGACCATGATGAAAATAGCCGATGGTTAAGGGAGAGGTGTCAGCTCGAGTGAAGGCGGGGAAGATAGAAAGAAAAGCAAAACCAGGCCCCGTAGGGTCGGTAATGAATTTTCGAGAAGTTTGCGATGAGTATATTCTTTGATCTTGGATAACTGAAGGGATTCGTCAGAAAACCCGATCCATGTTCTTTGGTGGGTTCCAAGGTTGATGGTGTCGGCAACAAAGGGGGTTGAAGAAGGACAACAAAGGAGGAAACAGGGGGAGGAAGACTTTATGGGAAAAAGTAGATGTGATCACATCGCATTAGCCCCATAAAATCAAGATAGCAAAAATAAACGAAGAATGAAAAGAGGGATAAATTTGGTTGGTGAAGTAAAAGAAAGATAAAGAAAAAAAAAACACCGAGATCAACAAATTTTGGGTTTAGACATGGACAGTATAAGGTACTTTGCTGGTAGTACTAAGTAACTAAGTACGGGTGTACACTATGTACACTATGTTGTACTTTATCCCCCACATTATGATGCTAGGGAAAGAGTGTTAAGATGGATATTATCAACAGAATAATAATACTCAGAATATACTATTTTTTCTTTTCTTTTCAAGTACTTGAATCTCGTAATAAACAGTCATCCTATACTTATACTCTAAGTAGTATCTTTGATAAACTATCATGCAAGTGTATGTACGATGCTTTTCGTCCGATCTACTCAATCTACTCAATCCACCACCTAATAATAGTAGACAATATAGAATAACACTAAAATCAACGTCCACAAAAATTCTAATCCCCATATATATGTACTAACATCTTAAATTTGTAAAATAATCTCAAATCTCCCCAGAAACAATTGAATCTTCAATAATACTTGGTACTCTAATCAATAGTCTGCCCGGTCAGATCCGCCACAATGTGAGACATCCCGACCCCGACTTGATATTTGGCCCCGATCTCTGGATTGCCTAAATTCAGTACCTTCAACGGTTCAACCTCAATTATAGGACCCTATTCTTATAAAAATTCATATTTGATTAATAACAGCCCCTTGGACCCTTGCCTGAAAGCTTCTGTTGGTGATTATCTCCTTCCCGCCTCCACATCCGCCGATCGCGCGCCCAAAGCTTCTCTTCCTCTTCCCCCAGATCCTCGATCCCTGCATCCCTAGAATCCGCTTCATTTCCCACCATGCCCGCGGACTATGAGTCCACCGCACGGGCATTGGCTGTCTCAACCTCTCCAGAACCACACACCACCTCCCCCGATGAAGAGGAACGTCCGCTCTGGGGTCGGGCGGGCAGACGGAACTCCACCCGCGCCGACCAGGCAAGCAGCTTCCGCGACAGGATGATCATTAAGGGTAAGGTGTGGTATTGGAAAGCACTGGAACGATGGGAAGGCATGACCTTTTGGCAGAAAGTCGGCTTTTTTGCCGCATCTGTATTGTCTGTGGCTCTCGGCATTGGCTTCCTGGTCTTAACAGGGCAGGTGTTCATCTGGCTGGGGCCGGTCGCTGAGCGATGGGAAAAGTCTCCGCTCGTGGCCTTTGTCCTCTGGCTATGTGTCTTTTTCGTCTCATTCCCGCCATTATTGGGCTGGTCGACTTTTGGAACCGCCGCGGGCTTTATTTTTGGAGTGTGGAAAGGGTATGTCAATTTTCCGGTGTTCTCTAACACAAAGGGAATGAGAATTACATGAGGCCAGCACTGACAATATATCAACATTAGATGGCTCATCTACGCTACCGCTACTGTACTCGGGTCTACTGCCTCATTTTATGTATCGAGGACAATGCTATCGAAGTTTGTGACTCGCTTGATGAAACATGACAAGCGATTCGCCGCATTGTCATTGACTCTCAAGTATGACGGGCTGAAACTGCTCTGTATGATCCGCCTATGTCCTTTGCCATACTCCATCTGCAATGGCGCTATCTCAACTTTTCCAACTGTTCAGCCCTTGACATACGGACTGGCCACTGCCATCATTACCCCGAAGCTGCTGGTCCCGGCCTTCGTCGGCAGTCGTGTACGTCTTCTTACCGAGAAGGGAGAAGAAATGAGCGCAGGAACGAAGGCTGTCAATATCATCAGTATTATCATCACAGTTGCTATTGGTGTTAGTACCGGTTACTATATCTATCAAAGGTGAGTTTGGATCATCCCAGTTTGGACTTGGTTCTTGTCCCTCGAGTATCCCACCCTAGGTGACTAACTCATTTCATTCCAACAGAACTCTGGCTCGTGCCAAGGAACTTGAAGCACAGGAACGTGCCGATATTCGACACTCATTACGGGCCGATCATGCCGCCAACCGTCCTCACGGTCGATTCGCCGATGACGACAATGCAAACGCCGCTGCTGAAACCTTGGCCCGAGACGAGGAAGAACAGATCGGCTTTGGCGATCTGGATGATGATAACGTCGACCTCGATCTAGCTCTCGGTGATGACAGTGACAGTGAGAATGGTCGTCGGTGGGAACAATCCCGAAGATCCTATCATGATGAGTTTACGGATAATGATTCGGATGAGTATGCAAACGAAGGGGACGAAGCATTCGGTCTCCACTCACATGTTCAGCGTGATGTCTAGCTCAAGATAGAGCATATCTTAGACTCAAGGCTTTTATGTACATGATAATGTGATTAACAGGTAGACCTCTTGGTGTAGCATCATAGTTCATAGATCGTACTGGTAGCACCCATAAGCTTAGGACGAGCTTTGTCTAGTATCCTGAAGATCTCGACTCCGAGTGTCTCTCTACTTCGTCCCAGCACATAAGTATAAATTGTCAGTTATTTAACCATTTCCATAGAGATATCTCTTCATATATTGAAGTCATTGTGCAGAAGGTCGGAACCTTGGAACATTTTACCGGACTGAGAAATACGCGTTGTCCCGAAAGATTAACCTCCATCGGTCGGCTTCCCTTTCCCCTCTCATATTGCCCGATTATATAGGCCCCTGCAACAATTGACAGATCTTGAATGCTGGTCCGAATGTCAATCGGGGTTGGCTGTGTGGGGGATCTGGGCTTCTTCGACATTGAATGGTGCTAAGTATGTCCCCGTTTTGGCAATCCCTTCCTTCCCTGCCCATGTGCCTTATTCAGTGGGATATCTACTTGCAAAAGATTTTTATGCCAGCGCCACATTCACTCGTACATCTAACCCTAACTATTTTAGATATTCCATAACCCTAAGACGAGCTGTGATATCCTCGACTGGCGTTCGGGATCGTGTTGAAATTCAACATGATTTAACATGGGAGCTCTTGACCTTTAACATATCGTTCTCCTCCTCATCCCACCTTCCCTCCTTCATACAAGAGAGTGTCATCAACTGTCAGATTTTTTTGTTTGAGTTCTCTCTCAATCGAATATCGATCCTATCTCTTCCTCGAAGTCAGGTCCAAACTTGTTCGAACAATCGGGTGATAGCCACATTCCTTTGAAGATGGAGACATCTATGAAGATGCAGACAGCTCAATCAGCCGTCATCAACCAGTCTGTTTCAATCGGGAATTCCATTGAGTTCATTCAGGATCGGGTCTCTATGGATCCTGAATTTGAAGAATCTGACAGACCTGTGAAACGCCGACGAACCTCTACGCGTTCTGCATCCCAAATTACATCAGCCCTGTCATTTGAGAGCCAGCCCCAAAAGACCACTCGCAACGTGGCCCAACATTTTACCTCTATTGATCTACAAGCAAGCAACAATTCGCTGGTCGAATCTCTTGCTAGTGCCAGTAGCACTACTCCGGGGGACTCGACTTCTACCTTATTCTATCCCAGAAAATCCACAACCCCCGCGACGACCCCCGAGCAGTATTCATCATCTACTCCATGTGTTGCACGCCCATCTATCTTAGACAGTGGGATAGTTGATCTGGAAAGATGCCGACCCCGCTCATCCATTCCAACTCGACTGCCACCCAATATATACGGCCATCAGTGCGTAACATCCGCTTATGCATCTCGACTGGACCCGTTTGCGCTCCATCCAAAAGAGCAGAAAGCACTCGAAGATCAACTCTGTCATATGCACGTCACGATTTATCTTAACATTCGAAACAGTATTCTGCGACTCTGGACTCAAAATGCCATGGTCAGTGTTACAAGAGAAGAGGCGCTTGGATGTGCCAAAGATTACCGCTGGATGAATCTAGCTGCGTTTGCGTATGATTGGCTGGCACGCTATGGATACATTAATTTTGGCTGCATTGAGGTTCCAGTTGCTCCAGTGGCCCCTCGACGAGGTCGACGAAAGGAAGGGCCCGTCATCGCTGTTATCGGAGGCGGCGTAGCTGGTCTGGGCTGTGCACGGCAACTAGAAGGCCTTTTTCAGCATTACAAAGACGCAGACACCAACCCACGTGTGGTTGTTTTGGAGGGACGACGCAGAATCGGTGGAAGAATTTATTCGCATCCTCTTCACAGCATGAAGTCAAAAACACTACCACCCGGCCTGGTTCCTAAAGCAGAAATGGGAGCTCAGATTATCGTTGGCTTTGAACACGGAAACCCCCTTGACCAAATTGTTCGAGCCCAGCTAGCGCTTCACTACCATCTGCTACGCGACATCTCCACCATCTACGACATCGATGGCTCCCCCGTTGATGAATTGCAGGATGCAATGGATGAAAAGATATACAATGATGTCCTGGGTAGATCAGGTTTCTACCGACGCAAAGCACTCATTACTCCCACAGCCCATGGTGATCGTGACTTAATTGATGCGGGTCGTGACTCTACCATCGACGACGGTCTTACTATCAAACAGTACGAAGAGGCGCGACGTGCAGGTACCACTCATCTTCTCGTCCCAACTAAACGCGTTCGAAGACGCCGAGGAGCCGGTCACAAATCCGCTGAAATCGAGCCTATTGATGATGTCGCTGGAGACTCTCTTGACCCCTTGAAAGAAACTCCTGCTGCTTTGACTTGCCAGGCTGCTGGATGGACACTGAATCCCGGGTATGACGAAGATGATACAATTGACCTAGATGATATTGCTTCTGCGAGTCCAACACAAACTCTGGGTGCTGTTATGGACGACGGTGTCGATCAATACAAGCGTATGCTTCCGCTAAATCCCAAGGACATGCGACTTCTGAACTGGCACTTTGCAAATCTCGAATATGCCAATGCCACCAATATCAAGAACCTCAGTCTTTCCTCATGGGATCAGGATATCGGGAACGAGTTTGAGGGAGAACACTCCCAGGTGATCGGCGGATATCAGCAACTTCCGTACGGCCTATATTGCTTACCCACCAAGCTTGATGTTCGCACCGACAAGATAGTGCAGAAGATCTCATATGATTCATCGGGGAAGGGCAAGCGAAAATCAGTCATCCACTGCGAAGACGGCGAGAATTTCGAGGCAGACCATATTGTTTTCACCGGCTCTCTGGGTGTTCTCAAACAGCGAAACATCCAATTCGATCCGCCTCTTCCTGAGTGGAAGATGGGAGCTGTCGATCGACTCGGGTTTGGAGTCATGAACAAAGTGGTACTGGTATTCGAAGAGCCTTTCTGGGATACTGAGCGAGACATGTTTGGTCTTCTTCGCGAACCGACAACGCCTGATAGCATGGCGCAGGAAGATTACGCACAGAATCGCGGGCGATTCTATCTGTTCTGGAACTGCATGAAGACAACCGGACTACCTGTTCTCATTGCTTTGATGGCTGGCGATGCCGCACTCCAGGCGGAGAGAACGGCAGACACGGTGATCATCTCCGAGGTCGTGTCTCAGCTACGCAATGTGTTCAAGCACACTGCTGTTCCGGACCCACTTGAGACCATCATCACTCGCTGGGCCTCGGACAAGTTCACTTACGGCAGCTATTCTTATGTTGCGGCAGAGGCCCTGCCCGAAGACTACGATTTGATGGCCAGAAATATCGGCAACCTCCACTTTGCAGGTGAAGCCACTTGTGGCACACACCCGGCAACAGTACACGGGGCCTACATATCAGGTCTCCGAGCCGCCGCAGAGGTTATCGAGTCCGTCGTTGGGCCAATTGAGGTCCCTGAGCCCCTGGTCCCAGAAAAGGTGGGCGGTGTCACAGTGCCGGCATCCGTAGGCTCTAAGAGTTCTACAGCTAAGCGGCCAAGGCCTGCACCATCCCGCTCTGGGTCCAGGGCTCAGCTGAAGCCGGAGCCACAGCCACAGCAACCATCCGCCCCTGTCTCTTCCTCCCACAATGCCGGCCACGAGGAGAAGCTCCGTAGGGAAACCTACGAACAAGCAATGTGGACCACCATCTACGCCGAGATCGGAGGCCAACCACCACGCCCTCAGAAGCTTGGGCTGAACCCATTCCTCCTTTACCAGAAGGACTTCTGGGGAATATGCCGTGACCAGTGTGACGAGAGTCGTCGTGCAGCGTCGAATAACCACGACGCCAAAGCCCCCCCGTGATGAGATCCGGCACGCGCTCGGTCAGATGTGGCGGAATGCCCCGGCCGAAGAGAAGAAGCCCTACCTCGACAGCATTGAGGCCAATCGCACTGAGAATGCGCGGGTAAATGAAGCGTGGAAGGAGGCAGCTGCGGAGTGGGATCAGCGGTCGTTGGAGGTGAAGGACCGGTGGTGCACAGAGAACCCGTTTGATGCATGGGTTGTGCCTTCGTCTTTGGACGAGTGAGTTGTTACTGGCCACGGTTGCGGTGGCAGTCGATTATTGATTGTATTAGTATTTTTAAGAGCTTGCTCTATTATCCTAATTATTATATTCTTATCCTATTTCAAGCTTCTGTTTCTTAGTAAAGTCTGAAAGATGTAATCAGACGGACTTGGAATCAAGCTTCAGGTTCTAGATTTACTTCAACTTTAAGTTGACATCACCTAGCTCTCACCCGTGGACCACATCTTTGTCTCAAGCCTGTGTGATCAATACCTCATACTATCCATGCCACCTGAGCAGGGATCCTGTCACATATTCAGACTAAAGGTGGTCACAGTATGTAGCTACCAGCCTACAACATCTACATGAAGTAAATAGTTTGGAAATTTTGTCTATTTCTATTCTATCGGCGCCGATCACACCACGTAAACGAGCCAGATCGATCATAAGAGATCCAACATGCAGACCTCACAATCAAACCAAAGCAATAAACAGACATAAGGAAATCCGTGAACCATGAAAAAAAAGAAATATGCACGGGGAATTGAGGGAAAAGGTTGCGAACACGTAGGTCTAGAGATGTGCAAAGGCTGTCTAAACAAGATATTCCAAGTAATTCGCAGTCATAAATGTTTCGGGATTGATAAAGGTAAAGAGGAAGAAAGGGTATTTTGCATATAATCACACTTAGATCTTCTCCTTAGCGGGCTCGGGAACTTCGTGAAGTTCCGAGAGGTACTTCTCAGTGTCAAGGGCAGCGATACAGCCAGATCCTAATAGTGATGTTAGTAGTAGCTCAAAAATTATAGAAATTAGAGTTGATAGGAGTGGGGAAATGACATACCGGCACTGGTGATAGCCTGGCGGTAACGCTTGTCCTGGACATCACCACAAGCAAAGACACCCTCCAGGCTGGTGTAGCTGGTACCAGGCTTAGTGACGATGTAACCCTCATCATCAGTTTCGATCTGGCCCTTGACCAGAGCGCTAGCAGGGTCGTGACCAACAGCGTAGAACAGACCGTTAGCCTCAACAATCTCCTCCTTGCCGTCGACGGTGCTCTTGACACGGAGGTGAGACATCAGACCGTTAGGCTTGCTGTCACCAATAACCTCAGTGGCGACAGTGTTGAAGCGCACAATACACTTAGGGTGAGCGAGCAGACGCTCAGCCATAATGTTACTAGCACGAAGCTTGTCCTTGCGAACAAGCACAGTGACGGAGCTACCGTACTTAGCCAGGAACATAGCCTCCTCAGCGGCAGAGTCACCACCACCGATAACGTAGAGAGGCTTGTTACGGAAGATAGGGACGGCACCATCGCAGACAGCGCAGGCAGAGATACCGTTCTGCCAGAACTTCTCCTCGCCGGGCAGGTCCAGACGGCGAGCGTTGGCACCAGTGGCAATGATGACAGCGTCGGCGGTGCGGGCAGGCTCGCTGCCGGGGGCGTCGTTCCACTCAGTCCACATCTTGAAGGGCTTTGAAGAGAGATCCAGCTTGGAAATGGTCTCGGTGATGATCTCGGTGCCGAATCGCTCAGACTGCTTGCGCATGTTCTCCATCAGTTCCTGGCCACCGATACCGGCGGGGAAACCAGGGAAGTTCTCGACGTCGGTGGTGGTGGTGAGCTGGCCACCAGCGGCGGTGCCGTTGGCGAGCATACCCTCGTAGAGAACGGGCTGTAGCTCAGCACGAGACAGGTAGACGGCGGCGGTGTGAGCACCAGGGCCGGAGCCGATGACTATATAAAAAAGTATCTGATTAGGCTTGAACAGACAAATGATTTAAATTTGGTTGCCGCCATGGGCCAATTGCATAGTGGTATACATACTAACGACTTTAGAGTGAACCATTCTAGCGGGGTTTATAGAATTGACGCGCACGGGCGTCGATAAGGACTGCGAAAGGACCGAGGGAGGAGGGGGAGATTGTTGGTGGAGGGTTGAAGCAGCAGCAGCGGTTAACCCGAGAGAACGGAGAGCAGAAGGAAAACGACGAAATGTGGAGGAAAACAGCTTGAAGGTATTTCCAAGAGATCTCGGGAAAGAGAGAGGATATGTAGGCGAAAAATGGGAGTGGGCCGGAATGATAAGATCAGGGCAGTTCTTTCAAGTTCTGATACGAATCAAATTAATCATTTGCCCGCGTCGAGGCCCCTCGCTTTCTAAGCATTCGGCACGTGAGCCGTCGGGAGCCGCTGCAGGGCGGTCGAGACCTGCTTATGTCAACCATGATTACATTCAGATCTATGTTGGAGATATAGAAGTAATCTGGGAAAGATTGAAGACTGTTCAAAATTGTAACATAGATGCATAAACATTCTTTGAGTTATGTCACACTGAAGGACCTACATGGGATCGTTGCTCGTTGATAAAAGGTGAATTATGCCTTGCATACTATCTGCATCCTGAGCCATCATGATAGAAGATCTTAACACCGAGTTCCACTACATTGGTCCATTATGATGTAGTAGTACATTATGGATAAATTCAAAATTGATACCGAGGTTAAAGATAAGACTACTGATTTTTGATTCATATTGTAGATTACTATCAATCACTCCTCCTGGAATGTCCTTCCAAGGTTCCAGACCTAATCACCACTAATCAATCTTATCAATACGCAGATGCAGCCCTACTAGACCGCTCTCGGGAAGTGATGGTGTGATATGGACTTGACTTAATCCGAAACATCTCACCTGGGCATCTACTCCGGACTCCGTACTTCAAGATCAATTTCAAGTTTTTTATGTAGTTATGATCTAATATGATCTAATCAGAATGCCCAAGATACCTCCAGGTCTTACGTCAGTCTCAAGTACGAGACACCGTGGACCTGGGCACCTGGCACTGCATCCATCATGTCGGAACTTCTGCCTCTCCTTTCTCCTGCATAGTTGCCTGGTCTTCACACAATGAATCAACTTTGAATTAGCAGTGCATCTGTAATGCGTGATGGTGGCAACCTGATATCATGTTTTCAAATTGTAGTTATACAAAACCCGGTTTATGGGATTCTGAGAACTCTAACTTGCATAATCAGAAGGAAACTTCAAGTTGATACCAAGGAGGTCAATATTACCAATTTCTGGAATTATCATTGTTAGTATACTAGGTAGCTCTCAGTCAAAACTTCTTGAGAGAATATTTTAAGGTTTTAATATTGACCAACTTGACATCTCGAAGGTATATTGAAGTTTTCCAAGGTTGTATCGAGAAAGCAACTGATAGTGTAACGTAAATTCCATCACTGCTACCTAGGAACATTTGAAGTATATAAGCCGGAATCAAAAGATATTGATCATAGACCTCAGGACATCTGGGCCTAATATTGTTCAGATATTCAAATTTAGCGGATGATAGATGAATTGATGAATGTTCAAATGTGTTCTGACTACTTCAAATATTCAAAAACGTACTGGTACACCTACTTAGACACACTGGCAGTCAAGATGATTACACAAGTAGTAGCTGATATACAGGCAACTAAAGGAAATGTGTTTTGAATAAAAGTTAAGTTCAATTCGGGTTGTAGGACGCACGATGGCGTCCAAGGTTTGACACCTTGAATAAATGGTGGTCAATTTATAGCAATTCTAAGTGAGCGAAGTGCTGTGCTGAGCATCGGGCTCTTCTCAAGAACAGTCGCACCCTTAGAATGATACATTACTTAGGTTGTTGAAGTGTGATGAAGTTATAAAGGGAGGAAAAGCCGTTGGGGAGGAATGGTTGGTGGGTTATGAGCACCGATAACAACCACTATCACTATCTAATCCTATGCTAGCTTATGTCTACCCTATCTGTTAGAAGTTTTTTATATCTCTAATTTCAAAGACATAAGTCATGGAATAAGATTTGATAGATTGGAGGTTGTCTACTATGCGGTTGATTCTAGAAAATGGCATAGTAGGCATTGGGATGTGCGTAAACTTTACCATAGAAAAGCTTTGTGTAGTCTGTTCCTATATATATTTTCAACTGTTTCCGTCCGCCTGGGTAATCAGTCACAAACTCTGATATGTCATATACAATATTATCAATTAAAACCAATAAGCAACCGTTTTTGAGATAATCGAAGTATTCTATGATGGTTATAGCTGGGACCTCATAAGGCAGGATTCCCCAGCATATCTTTTGGCGCTTATGTTCCAATTCCGTTTCTAACCGCTGGAAACGAGTTTTCTCTCGATTTCATTTCGTGGAAATAGTTTGAGGTTAAAAGCAAGATTCAAATATTTAAATGTTATCTTGGGTACTCTTGGCGATTTGAGGAGGACTCGAATGATAAAATGATATTGAGCTTCATCTAACTCAACTACCAGCCTATAAGGTTGTTTTCAATTTACTCACCTTGGTATATATCTTTATTATATCTAGAGTATACGGCCTTCGGCGGTATACATAAATGGCGATCAGAACCAGTAGAAACAACCTTTGAACTATACACATATAGATCTAAAAAAAAAAGAGTCAAAAAAGCAAACATAAAAACATACAACAGTCAGGATTCGCATGTGGTCACCCACCATACTACTAACTGACCGGCGTGTGGCTTAAGTACGGCTGAGCGGACGGGAAGCCCTGTTCTCCACACCCTGTGGTCGTATGTAACAGAATCATAGAGAATAAGAGCTTATATAGAGTAAAACAGGAGAAATGAAAGTGTATTGTTTGACTGAGGTTCAAGGTTGAGATACTGGCGAGGAGTGTGTGGCTATATCCGGGAGCTGTTTTTCCGAGTCTCGTAGCATGTCAGAACCTTAGAAAATTCCATGCTGGAAGTTGTGTTAGATTAATATCTAGTCTTGACCTTGGGACTTGGAGGCTGGAGTTGTAATCAATTGATGCTCCCAACATTGGAAATAACTTGAAATCCACCTCACATGTGCAAATTCTATCGTCTAATAGAAGATGTCTTTGGAAGTCGCTCGCCACTTGCCCATCCAGCCCGCGAGGGCCATAAAGAATTAATTCAATATCTTCTAAAGGAGGGTGCCGATATAGATACTAAGGATATCTTGAATATGTCTCCTCTGGCCTTAGCAGCAGAGCAGGGACACAAGGGAGTGGTGTAAATTCTTCTTGAGAACAACGCTGAAGTCAATTCAAAAGATAACATATCTTCGCAACCGGCATCATAGTATACCATTGAAATACAACATTTCGATATTGCAGAGCTACTACTTGAGTATGGGACAGAAAACATAGATGACCATACTGCCTTAGGTCTTGCATTGAGAGACGCGGATAATGTATATGATACGATCATTTAATCACTACTCGAACATGTTATAAATTTAGAATCAATTCCCCTGGCTTATATAGATAAACTCTATATTTTTCATTGGGTAATATACAGCAGGAATAAGAGAATGTTTAAGCTACTGCTTAAGAAGGGTGCTGGAATAAACTTAAAAGCTTCTTACGGAAATACTAGTACCCCGCTGGCAATCGCTGTTGATTATGGATTTGAAGCATTTACACAGCTTATCCTGGATGAAGGGGTGATATAAATATAGCAAACAAGGGAGGCATCACCCTAATTAAGCTAGCAGCTAAAAGGGGAAGTGATTCTTTGATGCAGATGCTTTGCGAAAGAGGTGCAGATCAGTGGATGAAGAAAATATGCTACAAGAGTTGTTATTCGCTGCATCAATAGTTGGCAGTACAACGCTGGCTTGAATTGCCCTTGGTAAAGGTGCTGATATCAACGGAAGAGATACCAATAATATGACTGCTTTATCACCAGCAGCATTATATGGTCAAGATCCGTTGTTGCAGCTGTTTCTTGCGGAGGGTGCACAGATAGAGTCAAGATCATGCTATTTTCAATTCACTCCACGAAGACCAAGCAGCAATTGGTCGTCACATGGGCTCTGTGCAGGTTTCACTTGCCAAAGGTGCCGACCTGGAAGCGAGAGATGAAAATGGCAGGAGACCGCTCGCACTGGCAGCATTACATTTGCTTGATGAGGTAGCATTAGGCCTCTTTTACTCCTTGGGTTCCTGCACTTTTACCTATCGAAGGAGAGAGGCAGAATCGGCCTACAACTTATCTTTAGGGCTGCCGGTTGCCTATATTCAACTATTCACATGTAGCAGCTAACCTTCTTCCCCTTCAGGTAATCCCGTACGTAACACCGTACGTACTTACATAAAAAGAGATGTAGGTCAGCAGTCATCTCTAGATGCTTCTGACTGAGCCCTGTATTTAAGTATGTGAATACACCTAGCCAAGTACTTGAGTGCTTGGGACATACCTTTCCTAATTTCGCTCGACTCCATGCGAGTCTAGACTATACTACATACATCTAGATTTCCAATAAGCTTACGGGATACAAGATGCAATTAAACCTGAGTGATAGTCTAAAATTGTCGAATTCATTCACGTCGTAACGAGGAAATAGAAAGAAAACCGCCATAAATCATCATAATGTACATGTCCATTAAATCACTCACTTGAACCCGAACCACTTCTTGCGTCGTGGTTGTTCCTCCTCCTCCTCCTCATCATCATACTCCTCCTCGGGGGATGAAGCGAGCTCAGCGGATGGCAGCCGCTGAGGTACCTCACTCTCCGAGTCCTCGCTTCCTGGGTATTCGTCGTGGTGCTGTTGATGCTGATACTGCATCTGCTGTGGCTGAGTAGTGACAGTAGCAGCAGCATTCGCACGGGTATTATTGATAGTGTCGTCATCATCTTCGTAATCGTCAATGTCATCTTCCTCTTCCTCGGGTTCTCCCGAGTCTAAGGCCTTCTTGTTGCGACGCGGCAACCATTTTCGCCAGCCCTTGACGACCTGAGTGGGTGGGGGCTCGTTGTCATTGCCCTCATATCGCAGAGCAGGCACGAGGAGCTTGTATGTCGTGGTAATACCGGCAGGATCTTGTGGACTGATCTCCATATGCAAGGTTATAGCCAGACCTCCCTCAAGATCTATGAAGGCTCCCACGCCATCGTCGCCATGCTTAGCTGCTTTCTTAGCGGCCTTATCACTCAGGTTGGTTGGTCGTCGATGGAATTGACCAGGCCTTGGTTCGTTCACTGCTCCTGAAAAGTAACTGTCTCCGCTTTCCATAGGACGAGAAATAGTGGGAACATCAACGCTAGCCCGTCGAGTGGCTGCGTTTCCTTCTTGGCCAAAGCTCATGGTTCGGGAGGGTGGTGGTCTGCGGCCAGACAGTCTTCTAAAGAGACCACCGGACTTTGCACCCGATTCGTCCCTTTCGTCTCTATTGCCTCTGTCGCCACGTCCTAAAGACAATGTTCGTTGAAGTTTTCGGGGGCCGGGCACTGGTTGAAGGGTGAGGGAAGACTCGGGAGTATCAGGTGGTGTCATGCCAGGTCGATATTCTCTAATCGAACACCAGTTTCGGCGGGGCAGCAGGCGCTTGTTGTTGCGAGGCTTGCCATCGACATCCTGAGTAAAAATAGGAATGATGTCCTCATCGGTGTTGGAATCGATGTGATGCACCGTATTTCGTTTGTTGAGCATATCCGAAATGATTTCAGTTTCCGGCATGTCCGCAATAGCGGATGAAATAACATTCGGCATGTACCGATAATCCTTGTCCTTAGCAACGTTCAACTTGGGATTTGAGTAGAATTGCCCGACGGCTGCGAGATGAACATCACCACTGTAAAGATCACGATTAGCAGAGTTTGTGAAATAAGAGATGGATATGAAACTTACCTCAAGATTGTAACACGGACAGATTTTTCAGCAGCAAGGTCTTGCAGATCTTCTACCAGCCATGTTCGCTCCGACTTCAAATGTTTGCCAGCCCAGTGGTCATCGAAAACTTCAACACTCCCTCCAGCCCGATTGACCATTCTACCGAAACGACCGGACTTTCCGAGGGTGTTTCGACTATTCATGTAGTTTTTGAGCATCGCCTGAGGGTTTGTTAGTGGTTCTAATCGGGACAAAAAAAGAACAAACAGGGGTATATTTTACATACCATTCGAGGGTATGCGACAGGCACACTTGACAGTACAATCAAATGCTTGGTTTCACCTTGGATGATCTCTTTGTGGCATCGATCCCAGATCATATCGCAGGTCCCTTCGCTGAGAACCTGAGTGCTGGTTCGTTCAGTTCGGCAATCCAGACCCAAGAGAACAACATCACTTCCTAGAGACATGAAAAGATTCCGGCTTTTCTGCTGAATGTAAGGGCCAGGGTGCATACCAAGCAGCCAGCTAGGTTCGTCTGCCTCAGTCTCATCCGGAACGCTATGGTGCTGGAATAACAGATAATACTTGTGCGCAATTTTGCCCATGCCTGAGACAACCGAGCTCTGCATGAAATCTTCATTGTAGGACCCATAGCCCTCAAATAGTTCATGGTCATTCCACATGTTAACCATAGGAATTTGAGAGTTGGCAAGGGAGTAAAGACCCTGCGAGAACCAGGAGGCATAGCGTTGTAAGTAAAAGTGCTCCAACTCAGCTCGGAACTCAGGCGTGAAAGGCATGCCATATCGCTCTGCAGGATTCTTGATATTAATCCATTCTTGGAAATGGCGCGAGTCTGTCACGACACTGTCATTAAATATTTGATCTCCACCCCCGATCATTACGTGGAATGGTTTGGTTTGATGCTCATTGAGCACATCTCGCCAGAGGGGGTCGGGTCCGCAGAAACGATTAGAATCCACAGCTGGACTGAATCCGTTGCCACTATGGAACATAATATTCATGGGCTGTCCAGCAGCCGGTACCCAGAAGCCTAGGGCAGGTCCTTGGTTGATGCGGTATGCAATGCGCTGTTGCGTTGCGCCAAGCTCGACTTCTAGATTAAATCGCCAGAATGTGACGTCTCTAGCAGCATCGGCGTAAAGACGGACGCCGGGGATATCCCGGTGCAGATTGACTGTTTCGCCATCGACAGGGTGGATACGAGTTGCTGGGACGGGCTGATGATACCCTCCATGACTGTCATCGATGCCGCTCGGACTCAATTCGTAGATACCATCGTCATTCTCGACAGCACACAGATCGACTTGTTCCTCAATGTTGTCAATCGGCTTCACATACAGAGGCCGTCCATCCCGACCCACCTTCATCAGGCCAGCAATAGGATCAATGTATTCAGGCGCAAGCTGCATACCATCCTCATTACTGACCACTGCTGGTGGAGGAGGAAGTAGGTTCATTGGTTGAGAGAAAAGACGCAATGAAGGCGGGACCTCATATGAAGAGCGCGAGTCCTTTGAAACAATCATGATTGAGCCTCGCCAAACTTCCTTTGCTCTAACACCTTGAGGCCCATCAGCAGTGATTTTCTTGATTCCAGTGTACCTCAACAATGGTCCACAGCGAAGGAAAAGCTTTGGTTGGAAATTCTTGTGATATGTGATCCCTAGTGAGTGTGAGCTTCCATTTTTCTTTAGTTTGCATCGACTTCTTATCTCACCTGTCAACTTCTGGGCCGGAGTCTGATAGTTTTTAGGAAGCGCTCGACTCTTTCGCCGGTCTTTGTCCCCACCTTCCCACCACGCTCGACTTCGATCCATGTCAAGGTTCTGGAAATCGAAGTCTGTCGCTCCGAGGCGCGCGGGCTGTGCATTCTGCCACTCGAATATCGGAGGAGGTGTTGGTGGTGGCACGTTGAAAGAGACCGTTTGCTTTTTGGGCTTGGTGTGCGATTCGACACTTTGCTGAGCTGAGCGAACTGTTGGAGGTGTATCTAGCCTGTCTTCAGTGGCAACAGCTGCAATGACAGGCGCGGCAACCGCCGCCACAACCGGGGGCTTAACAGCCTGCTGGCGACCGGGAGGACCTGGAGGCCCTGATTGAGAAACTGCTCGGGCGTGCTGTATGCGTGCTCCGGGTCCTGGATTGGGGGCTGGGCCACTCATTGAGACTGGCTTCCGAGAAATAGTGCCCATTTTTGCGACTTGTGGCCCGACAGGCCCGGCAGGCCCAGCACGCATATGCTTGAATTCTTCGGGGTGATGAATTTCTGGGTATTGAGGGCCCATTGACACCGCTCGTTGGTGTCGTGCCACAGTACCTTGTGCTGGTCGTGCGTTTGGTGGGGCATTCCGGGAACTGCCTTCGAGTCCGTTTTTGCGTCCCTTGTCTCGACTTGCGCCGGCTGGTTGTCTATAGTCTGAATTCGAGCTCTGCTTGGAGCTAGGTCTCGGAGCGGAGGCTGCTGCCATTGCTGCTGCTGCTTCTGCTTGTTCTTTTTCGACTTTTTGACGGGCCAGACGCTCTCGAAGCTTCATCTCAGCTTCCTGGACTCGTGCACGCTTTTCCTCCTTGCTCATGCCAGTGAGAGCCACCTCGAGCTTCTGTAGAGGCGAGCGATCCGAGGCCCAATCGCGTTGTTGCGAAGATGATGATGAGCGCATATCCTTTGAGCGATTTGAAGGCGACGGTACACTTGGAACTGAGGGTGTCTTCGATACTTGCTCCGGTGCCTCATTTTCTGAAGTGGTCGCCCCACTTTCTGGTGGATGCGAAGATAGTGGCAGGTCTCGGGGTGGAATTGATTGTTTTGTAAAATTCGAAGGTTCCCCAGAACCAGAATTTGCTGTAGTATAGTTGTTGCTGTCGGCTGAGAATAATTGGTCTTGCTGGGCTTGTCTAGATCTCGGTTTTGTCCTTGATTTGGATTTAGATTTTGTAGATTTGATGGAGCCTTGCTCCGTTCCCGGCTCGGAATTTGGATATTCGGCATGGCTCATAATGTTCGTATTTCCTGCGCTTCGGGGGGTGCTGGTAGCGGCCCTTGGGTCGCCAGATGTCTGCGATTGAGAAACATCGCTGGACATCTCGGGCGGATTGCGCATTGCCGTTGTAGCCATCTCGATTTCGTGACACAAATTTCGGTTAATGGGAAGCTAAAAGCCCCAATGGAGCTGGTAGGGAAGCCGCTGATTGCTGTAATGCAAGAGTAGTCCCGACTAGAATGACCTTTCGTCAACCCCGGTCATCAGGGCATTATTCCAATGCCAACCAAGTCAAGGAATAGGAGGTTAAAACCTGAGCTTGACTTACGGTTTGGTTATCTTTTCCACAAATAATTCCGTTGCCTGACTCTGTGCCCGATGCCTGACACTTAACACATCATCAAGGAAAGAGTAAGTTGCGCGCGAGTCTTCGAAGAGTGGGGGCGCAGACTATGAGTTGTGCGGCGTTGTACAAGAAATTCCGGAAAGAATAGCGTAGATATTGGAGGAATCGGATTAAGCAAAGAGTCAAGAAGCGACAAAAGTTGGTGGGAGAAGTGGAGGTGTGAAGTGAGAAAAAAAAAACGAAGGATGTTGCGCAGGGCTCTATACTTTAACCCGGTGGCTGGTGTCAACCCAGCCTTCGCGCGGCCCAAGGCACCGCAAGTTACGATTGGCCCTTAATTGGCCCTTAAGGAACGTGAGGGGATTACATCTACGCGGCCTTTTCTCTGAAGTTAGTGCAGAAAATGCCAATTATTCCTCACTTTTTCCTGTGTCGTTGTATACCACTGACCTTTTTTATAGGAAGTATGCGCCGTCGAGTATGCATTCATAGACCCATGGATCTATTATGCCCCACTACGCAAATTTCCCTTTTACCTTATGTGAACGACTTCATTGTCGCTAACAGCCCATTAGTAACAGTATACAACATGAATAGCAATATTCTACGGTCATCAAGTGAACTTTTACATCGTTTTATATGCAAAACTTAGATCGAGAGACCTCAAGTGTTGACACCTGGAAGAGCCTAATATAGCATTGGCCAGTTGACAGTTCGAGAGTAAATATACGCACTCGCTGGCAATAGCTCGAAAACATTGAATCCATTGGATACATACATCATCAAAATACTACCTTACAGGTCCTAGCCTGTAGAATATCAAATGTTTCATTCAAGTTTGATTTTGCTGGGTTATAATATATGCAAGGAATCAGTAGATCTAACGGATTGCTGCAGCTCCCTGCACTGTGGATCGTGGTTAAAAGAATTGGTAGACACGTCGTAAAAGTAGGAGAACAACAGATAGCCGTTATAATCGTTATAATCATAATTCTGACCTTTTGAGTAAGAGCAAGGATTAACCCTAGGGATTAATAGGCACCAAGTTTACATATATATAGTACCTAGGTATCTATGATGCCTACAGTAAACGTCGAGCTGCAGAACCCTCACGTAAGCCACTTCCACCGCAATTAGTTAGCAATTAGCAATTGGCAAACGTGGCCATTGTCAAGGATTAGACCAAAAACAAAGAAATAATTAGGAGAAAAAGAGAAAAAGTAAATCTAATACATCATAATTCATGTCTAAGTAAAAGAACCCCTGGTACAAGCATAAGTTAGAAAGCCAATGCAAAGAGTGTCCATTACTTCCTCAATTAGTTCCCGTGTTAGTCTTGGTCCCCGACGATCCTCCTATTCGACTCCGCGACTTGCCACCTCCATCTTTCTCCTCCCCTTGAATTCACTAGGAGAAATATTCACCAATCTTTTGATCTGTTCTTTCGCTGCAGGGCTCTCAGTACCCCTTGTTCATGGCAGCTGTTTCATATAGTATCCGAGCTTGATCGTGAGATCGAGCATCTACCGCAACCCGCCCCCATTGAAACTATGCGTCTCGCTGGCGGCATCGCCCTGGTCCTCGGCCTGGCCAGCGCATCCTCCTCCAGGCCTCATCCTCGCTCTTTAGATTCCCGCGACTTTTTCGCTCTTCACATTGACGCCACAACCTCCCCCCACCATGTTGCCCGCTCCCTAGGTGCCCGTTACGAGGGCCAAATTGGCCAACTGGCAGATCACCATACCTTCTCCCTACCACGCGATCAAAGCGAAGATTTAAGTACATTACTGGAAAATATAAAGACAAATCGGAAACTTCGTCGCCGGTCTGGTGAAAATGTTGGCCGGAGTGCAGATCCGTTGGACGCCATCTTATGGTCCGAGAAGCTTGCGCCGCCGAGGCAACGACTACAGAAGCGTGCACCTCCCTCCACCGATTTTACCCGTCGATCGGACGATTCCCCTGAAAAGAGTGCTCTTGATATTCAGAGCGATATTGCTTCAACCTTGGGGATCAAGGATCCTATATTCAAGGACCAGTGGCACCTTTTCAACCCTTTACAACCCGGACATGATCTCAACGTTACGGGAGTCTGGCTTGAAGGGATAACTGGAGAGGGCATTGTCACAGCTATTGTCGATGATGGACTGGACTTTGATAGTAATGATCTCAAGCCCAACTATTTTGCTGAGGGATCTTGGGATTTCAACGAGCATGGTCCGGAGCCTCGTCCTCTACTTTCGGACGACCGACACGGCACCCGTTGCTCAGGAGAAATCGGTGCTGCAAAGAACGATGCCTGTGGTGTTGGAGTTGCGTATGGTAGCAAGGTCGCGGGTATTCGCATTCTATCAAAGCCGATTGACGATGTGGATGAGGCGGCTGCTATTAACTACGAGTTCCAGAAGAATGACATCTACTCTTGCTCATGGGGCCCCATCGATGATGGCGCCACCATGGATGCACCGGGTGTTTTGATCAAGCGAGCAATGGTCAACGGTGTGCAAAAAGGACGCGGTGGAAAGGGTTCCATCTTTGTCTTCGCTGCCGGCAATGGTGCACAATTTGGTGACAACTGCAACTTCGACGGGTATACCAACAGTATTTACAGTGTCACGGTGGGAGCCATCGATCGGCAAGGAGGTCATCCCTCATATTCGGAATCTTGCTCGGCCCAGCTGGTAGTTGCATATAGTAGTGGAGCTGGCGATGCGATTCACACCACAGACGTCGGCCATGACTCTTGCTATTCGAACCACGGTGGTACCTCCGCGGCTGGTCCGCTCGCTGCAGGCAGCATCGCCCTTGCACTGAGTGCTCGACCGGATCTGACTTGGCGTGATGTTCAATACTTGATGGTAGACACTGCCGTTCCGGTCAGCGAGAATGATGGAAGCTGGCAAACCCTTCCATCCGGCCGGAAATTCAGCCATGACTGGGGTTTTGGTAAGGTCGATACATACTCGCTGGTCTCAAAGGCTCGTACCTGGGAATTAGTGAAGCCGCAAGCTTACTTCCATTCGCCGTGGCTGCGAGTTCACCACAATATTCCCCAGGGCTCGCAGGGCTTGCTTAGCCGATTCACAGTGACGGCTGACCAGCTCAAGGGTGCTAACTTTGATCGCCTGGAGCATGTCACCATTACTATGAATATCGATCATGCTCGTCGTGGTGATCTCAGCGTGGAACTACGTAGTCCCTCTGGCATCGTTAGCCATCTGAGTGTTGCTCGCCGTCATGACAAGGAACCTGTTGGGTATGTTGATTGGACTTTCATGTCCGTTGCTCACTGGTACGTTACCCCCTCCCACCTATCTTTTGCCGTGTCTGTTAGATTCAAATTCTGATTAACTTTTTTCTAGGGGTGAACCCGCTGTCGGCGAGTGGACGGTGATCGTTAAAGATACGGAGGTCAATGAGTTTAGTGGTGAATTCGTTGATTGGAGACTGAACCTTTGGGGTGAGGCTGTCGATGCATCCAAGCAGCATCTTCACCCATTACCCGATGAGCATGAAGATGACCATCCCTATGAGGAGGCTCATGTGGCTACAACAACCCTACCACCTGGCCCATCAAATACCGCCCCGCCCATCAGCAACCCCGATGATCATCACGATCGTCCTGTAAATCAGAAGCCGGGAGATCCCACAGTTACTCAACCAGCAGACGAGGAGCTCGAGGTGGTGAACAATGGTACCACTACCGGTGATGCTGCTGGTCCTAGCAAGACTGATGCATCGGATAATTATCTGTCCTCTTATCTGCCGACATTTGGCGCCTCCAAGCGCACTCAGATCTGGATCTACGCATCGCTGGGTATGATTATTGTCTTCTTTATTGGTCTTGGTGTATTCTTCCAAATCCAACGTCTGAAACGCCGTCGTACCAACCCTCAAGATGACTACGAGTTTGAGATGATTGAAGACGAAGATGAGATGCAACCCATGGCCGGGTCAGGTGGACGTACCCAGCGCCGTGGCGGTGAATTGTATAATGCATTTGCTGGCGAAAGTGATGAAGAAATCTTCAGCGATGACGAGGAGAAACCATATCGGGATGGATTGGCTAATATCCCGGAGAATGATGATGAAGATGCGTCTGCAGGCAGCCACCTTTTGTCTGAGAAGCATTAGATTATCTACTTGGCTACCTTGTTTGTTTGTTTTTTTTTCTTGCATTGGGCTGGTCTTTTATGTCAGATCTATATTTGGGCTATATTGATTTAGAAGGCAGTCTTTTTCAAGTGCACCGAAAAAATCGGCTGCCTGGAGTTGTGTAAATCTATCATCACATATGCAAATTATCATGACTTGGAATGGAAAAGTCATTCTCCATAAAACGAACTAGTTGAAATAAACCATTATAGATTGTAAAGTGAGCTTTTCATACAAGTGAGAAACAGATAAGACCATCTATGAATATTAGTGCTCATAGCTCACGCTGTAGAATCATTACACTAAACAGCGATGACGACGTTTCCCGTTTCGGGGTCTCTCCGCCTTGGGGATCGCCGATCATCAATTCCCAACTCCCCAGCTCTCTTTCAGCTTCTCCCGCTTCTGCCCCCACTGTTCCCACTATTCCATGATTTATCCCTCTGACCTTTCATAATTCTCTCTTTGCAAGACTGAGCACACCCTTGACAGTATCATCGTATTAGGTGATCCACCTTATCACTTCTTCCCCGCCATGGATCAACACGACGACTTCGATAGTGTTTCCTGGAAACATGACGGCGACAGTGATCTTTCGCGACCAACCACTTCGGGAACGGATGCAGAGGAATCACATAGATATGACCAAGATGTCAATGGCAAGCGTAGAATGAGCTCAGCTCATGAGGAACCACAAGCTGGCCCACTAGCCGACGCAGTTGACTTGGCTGGCATCGGAGACGGTGTACTCGAGTGTCAGGTCGACGCACCCTTGAAAGAGAATGATGGCACAAAGGATGCCTATATCTCATACCTGGTCACAACGCATGTGCGTATATAATATTTTCCCTTCTCTTTCATGCATCCTAGGAAGCTTGATATTGTTGCTTGGGCAGCCTCGGCACCTTGCAGATAGCAGCCAACCTTTTTAATAAGTCCATCACTAATAATTAGGGTTCTCTAGACCGATTTCAAGTCATTCCAAAAGCCCGAATTTCATGTTCGGCGACGATTCACGGATTTCTATTTCCTGTACAAGACTCTATACCGCGAATACCCAGCATGCGCCGTCCCACCGCTGCCGGATAAGCATAAGATGGAGTACGTCCGAGGCGACCGGTTCGGCACGGAATTCACATCGCGACGAGCATGGTCCTTACACCGGTTTCTCAAGCGCCTGTCACTGCACCCTGTACTCCGGCGCGCGCCCCTGCTTGCGATTTTCTTAGAATCGCCGGACTGGAATGCACATATGCGACTACATTCGACTCGCGGGTCAACAACTGCTTCGTCCGAGAATGCCTCCACTAAGATATTCGATAATTTCACCGATACATTTGTCAACGCTTTCACCAAGGTACACAAACCTGATCGTCGATTTATTGAGGTGAAGGAGAAGGCAGATAAGCTGGATGAAGATCTATCGCATGTGGAGAAAACCGTGGTGCGGGTCGCCCGGCGTGAATCGGACTTGGAGACGGATTACACAGATCTAGCGAATCAGTTTCGCAAACTGGTCCCTCTGGAACCTGCAGTTGAAATGCCATTACAGGTCTTCGCAGCATCAGTGGAGGAGACCGCTCGTGGAGTACGGGGGTTGAAAGATCACACAGATCAGAACTACTTGGGCTCTCTGCGTGATATGGAGGCATACATACTATCAGTCAAGTCTCTTTTAAAGACTCGCGAGCAGAAACAACTCGACTTTGAGGCCTTGATTGATTATCGCAACAAAGCCGTCGCTGAGCGAGACTCCTTGACTGCAAACCCTGCTGCTTACTATGCATCCAATCCTCTTACCTCTTCACCTGCCTCCTTCATCCGCTCAAAGATGGAGGATATGCGAGGCGTTGATCATGAACAATCCCGTCGTGAACGTGTTCGCAAGCTTGAGCTTCGTATCGATGAACTGACACGTGAAGTTGAATCCGCCAAGACCACATCTGAGATGTTTGACGAAGAAGTTGTTCGCGAAGTGGCTGATTTCGAGCGTATCAAGGCTGTTGAATTTCGCGATTCTCTCGGTGCTCTTGCTGAGTCTCATATTGACTTCTACCAAGGTGTCATGTCTACTTGGGAGCGCTTCATTGTAGAGATGGAAGGGGACTCAGACCTTGGGCAAGAATCAGAGGCTGCTGCTCTGGGAGCACGGTAATGACTATCACTACATAAGGCTTTATTCACCATTCAGCTTCCGAAAACGCATGTGTTAAATAACGGCAGAATCTTCCAATGGCTTGTGTTTCCTTGCGATTTCATACCCACAATACCACATTTTCTCTTGAGCTTCATAGTCTTGCCAACCATACTTAGGTGTCCCTTGCTAGATCTCCGAACCCGCATCTAAGCTCCAACTGCAAAAAGTAGTTCATATATTATTCATTCCATCTCATCTCAATCAAGACTTGTACATGACCCATAAGCATCAAGCATCTGCCAAACAACAACTATCCGTCCAATAGACACCGCATTCACAGCAATATTATAAACAATCATGTTAAATGTATTCAAGATAAAAATCCATAAATCACCATAAAAACCAAGTCGATTATGATACCGGTCCTCCTCGAATATTGTCCTCAGCGCAGCCGGGCGATCAAGATAAAGACCTACAGCATAATCCGCAAAATAAGGGTGAGGGTCAACGACCATACCCCCAATCAACCAGAGCATAATCCAGACTCGTTCAGCCAGCGTACTGGATGCGGGTTTAAAATGAGATATCACACCAATTGCTATTAGCGGAATCCCACTGATAAACCACCGTAAAAATGTCGCGATTCTTGTTCGAGGCATAATACTCCAGAACATGGGTCCTGTTCGCACCATGATTGGGGGACTGGGAGGAATTTGCTTGAAGTTATAGCAAGATGGTACGATTATCCGAGGCTGGTATCGTGAAAGCTCTTTCTTTTCGTCTTCTGGTGGAGAGGAAGCAGAGGAAATGTTGGTAGTATTTTTTTCTTGTTCGGTGACGGTAGCAGAAGATACACCGACCTCCTGCTGGGTATTCTCAGTGTCATCGGGAATTGGCTCAGTTTCATCGATATTGTAGACCTTGGAAGTAAGTTGCAGATTCCATAGATTGTTACCCCCTTTCTGAGGCTGAAATGAACCCCCGAACACATAAAACTCTTTCACTGGGAGAGCATCACTCTTCAGTTTTCCAACAATTGTATCGAAATGACCCCCTCTCTTGATAGCTTCGTCCATTATTTCGGTGTGCACCAGGTACGCCGATGGATAACTCGGGGTGACAAGATTGCCGACAAGGTTTATCACAGACATAACCAAATAAGGCAGAACCGTGAAGCCGAAGGCTGCATACCCATATCGACTGATCTGATACCCTTTTGACTCGTATAATGTAGATGCTGCATAAAGAACTTGGAGTATAGCGATCAACGCGGATGAAGCACTATAAGAGGGCTGTATGATTAATTCCTCTGACACATTGGGATCGTCCAGGGACTCCACGCATGCATGCGGTGGGACAAGAGTAAATTCATAACCTGGCGGCAATTTGTAATCTCCAAATACAGAAGCTCTGCTTGATAGAGGATACGGTGTCCCATGGGATAAGAAGGAGTTAAGTCCAGAGCACCAGCTCGGTGTATCTACTACAACTTCAAAGGTATCGTAGTACGCTTGTTCCCTATATTAATATTTAGTGAAAGTTTCTCAGCCCTGGAGATAAATGTATGCTAACAATTTCTTGATATGCTCGCCGAATTCCTTCTTTCTTGTTCCTGTTTGGAAAGAGTCAGAATGACACTATCTTGTTATCAAGGATGGTCAAGATTCTTACTCTGCAACTGATAATACTGCCGAGGGGTATAGTCATCAGGTCTTGAGAGAATGTAATCAAGATCGACGAGTTTGTAGTAGAGACGAGTCATCCATGGATCCTTTTCTGTGGATTCTGATGCATCTTCTCTGCGCGCTATATGTGGCCAAAATGCCATCGAGCGCACTGGCTCTCCAGGCTTAGGTTTCCATTTTCTAGATCGAACCACCATACAGAGTGCAGCGGCACGGTGAGCTTGCTGAACTGGATCTTTCCAGAAGACTGCACGTCGAAAAATGACAAGCATTCCACGCCTGACTCCCTGTCCAGGCCAAAGGAGGGCTACAAGCATATTATGGATGTTGCCAAATGACGACTCGCCGGGTAAGGTAACTGTTGACGCAGCATGGGCTACATAGTTACCAAAGAAGAAAGTGAGGATATCAGTCCATGATGTGGGAGTGCATATTGATTCTGAATCTTGGTGATAAGTAACTCCATCTGGAACTGTGATCGTTGTGTTTCGTTTTGGGAGAACAGCAGCTGAACTGGTGAAGACGAGAGCTAGTACAATGGCAACCACATGCAGTGTATTTGACCTCCACACATCCATTGCACTAGTCTAGCTGCAGTGAGCGGACTGGTCCAAGGGTTCTCGGCCTGCAGATGTGTCAAAAATCACATCCTGGGGAATTAGGGTCTTGTCACTCTTGTGCAAGGATTAAACTGCCACTTGCGCCCCTCACCAGCCGCTCAGTATCCACATCACAAGTGCAATGGCTTGGTGCCATTTGTCCGGTTTATAGCTAGTGCTTTTTTAGCGTCTGAGCTCAGGGTTTTAGTCGTCAAATAATAGATGAATTGGTACATATTTCTGTCGGGTGGGGAACACCAGTCATGGGCCGCCCCGGGGGCCGTGAAAGGCGCACACAACTTAAGTAGATGCACATGGGTGCTTCGTATGAGAGTCCTGATAAACTTGAAGTGACGCGGCAATTTTGCAGACAAACACCAGTAGATAGATACTAACAAATAACTTGAAAGTCTATTGTCTGAGTGAGTAGGTAAAATTGAGGGGAAATAGTGTTTGCAAGCACTCAGGCTGGCATAACTCAAGTTACCGGTCTGGTCAACATCCATTTAAATGATTATGTAGTATCAATTTCCAAGGTTGTACAAGAGCCTATTTGCTGAACCTACTAGTACGAGTATGATTTCACACATGTGCAGGTTCTCTAGGCTCTAAGCCCTGGAGTATCCATATTGTGTAAGGTTTTGAATTGATCCCACCGGTAGGTTTGGGCTTGTTCAAGATTTTGTCCGATAAAGAAGGCCTATATAATACTACCTATTTATATACCTACATGTATGCATCCATGGATACGTACATTCAAAAATTTGATTATCCTATCACTCCAGAGCTGAGTTGTAGTATCAATCTCAATACTTAGAATTGATGGAAAACATGGAATTCCTGGGCGTCAGTGGCATATTTGTAAACAAGGCTATAAGCCGAAACTATATACATGCACATGTGTGACTCCGAGTCGTGAAATCCCCTCAATCATGGATCTACAAGGTTACTCGTAAGTTTCGTAAGGTCGTGACATATCATGAGGGATGCATCCAGGCTGGATATTCACATACAGACAGACGTTTTTTTTTTTTAAAAAAAAGGGTTGTTAAAATAATGAAGAAAGAGAAATGAAAAAGATGAGAAAAAGAAAAAAGAAACTCCGAATAGGGGAATCGAACCCCTGGCCTCGGCGATGAATTCTACCAAGATATGGTGAAAAGCCGATAGGTTAGCCACTACCCCAATTCGGATGAGGACCCCTAGACCAACTCAGGTCTGCGGATATTGACTTTCTCAGTTTAATACATCATAACCATAGACAGCCTGAGATTTATGCATGTTTGCTAAATATATTCTGTTCCTTCCTCACTTTATCTATATATGCCCAGGTGGATAATTAATAGACCCCTAAGCAATCTACTGGGGCAAACAATATTAAACTGTACTTATTGGCAACATAAACCTTGCAAAATGAAGTTGGTATCAGAATATCAGACAGAGCTTGGATTCTCCTTTATGAAACCTATAGTAACTTCAAAACCATTAAGATGACATCTTACATCGACCAGTACATATAGCACTACTCAGTACATATAAATATGTAGGATCCTAACTACCATTCCAAGGATCCTATCATACTATGATGCAACCATTCAAATTTTCACAAATGTCCAAGTTATGTTACTGATTCAGTAGTCTGGTACATACTATAGTTTGGACCTGGTGGGGCGGGAAGAACAAGTTGTTCCGGGTGTCATGCCAGAGAGCCTATCTTCTTCATCTTCCGCCAACCTCCACAGCTAAGCATGATGAGGCCAATTTCAAGGGGCGTATTGCGCCCATATGTTTGCCGGTCCTGTCGCAATGGAGTTGCTGCAAGCCGACGGAGATTTGGGACCCAATCCGACCAAACCCCCGAAATCTACGATGTAGTCTGCGTCGGTGGTGGTCCGGCAGGCTTGGGGTTACTCGCAGCATTGCGTACGTCATATGATGCTTCAGCTTAAAAGACTGGGAATAAATCTAACCTTCACGAATTATAGGTGCCTCGCCGATCACATCGAAGCTTAAGGTCGCCCTCGTCGAAACCCAGGACCTCAATAAGGCGCGCGACTGGAAGCTTGACTCTAGTCAGTTCTCGAACCGAGTCAGCAGTCTGACCCCGTCGACTGTTGCATTTCTGCAGAGGATTGGTGCATGGGAGCATCTAGATATTGAGAGAGTTCAGGACTACCAAGAGATGCAGGTCTGGGATGGCGAGACCGGATCGCGAATATCGTTTGATTGGTCCTCCGAGACACCTGCGTTTGAGGATCTGCGAACAGTTGCTACCATGACCGAGAATTCGAATCTTGTGCGCGGACTGCTAGGCCGTATTGCTGCGTCTGGAGACGAGAACCTCACTCTTTTCTCCAATCACACGGTTGCTTCGATCGAGAATGGCTCCGATCTCAAGCCTAACGGACCCGATCTCTCGGCTTGGCCTATTCTCTCTGTGAAGCCGACAGGACCTGGCGCAGACACGAAATCACTGTCGCGAATTGCCGCACGACTTCTTGTTGGTGCAGACGGCATCAACAGTCCCGTTCGCACCTTCGCCGACATTCCCACTCAGGGTTGGGATTACAACCGCCATGGAATTGTCGCAACCCTCGCGCTCGCAGATCTAGATCCTCTTGTATCTAACAGCAAAATTCACACTGCTTACCAGCGCTTCCTGCCAACACTGGGTGGCCCTATCGCCTTGCTCCCGCTACCTAACAACCATGCGACCTTGGTGTGGTCCACTCGACCAGAGCACGCCGCTTACCTCAAATCTCTCCCCACCCCCGCCTTCCTCGCTATGGTCAACGCCGCCTTCAGACTGGAAATGACAGATCTCGCATATATGATGGGCATGTCAACCTCAGAATCGATATCTCACGAAGACGAACTTTCCTGGCGTCTCCAGCACACCTCACCACCATCTCAAATTCCTCCCAAAGCTATTGGAGTGCAAGAAGGCACCGTCGCCTCATTCCCCCTTCGATTCCGCCATGCGGCACAGTACATCTCTCCCCGTGTTGCTCTCGTCGGTGATGCCGCTCATGTCATTCATCCTCTTGCCGGCCAAGGTCTAAATCTTGGAATGGCAGATGTCGCTGCCTTGTCACGAACAATTGAGTATGCCGTAAGCCACGGTATGGACGTCGGAGACCTTCTTACTTTAGAGCGATACTCGTCTGAGCGATATCTACCCAACGCGAAGATTGGAGGTGCCTGTGACCTGCTACATAAAATGTACTCAGTTCCCGGACAGGGTCCTATTACCTGGGCTCGTAGTCTAGGACTGGATGTCATCGATCGACTGCCATTTGTCAAGTCTTTCCTGATGAAGAACGCAGAAGGATATTAGACAGATAAGCAATCTGGTGCCCTGATATTAGCATTTTGTATGAATATTGTATAACCATTTTTTCGAGTCAATACACAACGAATCATTTACTACCTGGCATGTATAATTTGGGCTCCATACTATCATATTTTGGTAACTTGTTTACATAATGCGACATCACAAATTGTATATGATAGATCACGTTTATCATCTTGGATTTTTCCACCTGCAAGTAGGATCATATACAAGGCCAGCTAGCTTAGGAAGCGAGCCGTCCCAATTCTGCATATGTCCCAGGCAGTGTTTGTCTTGTCTTACCTATGAGAATTTTGTCCCGCCCCCGAGGCCACATGAGGAGTGCAAGAATTTGCAAATGGATGAATTATTTTAAGAATCTAGACTGCATACAACATTAGTAACTAATTGGCCGATTCATTCGGTGTTCGGTGACTTCATCCCCTCCGATAAGCCCGAGGAACGCCGTACTGTACTCAGCAGCGCTTTGATTGCAGATGGAAGAAGCAATATTCATCAATTTTTCGATAGCTTACACTCAAACCACGGAAGTATGCAAGTATGCCCGGTATTTTCTATTCTAGGTTAAGTCCGAGGGGTACTCCGTACAAGAGGTGCATTGTGACTTCTGCAGCCAATCTGTCAATTATAAGAAGCTGCCTGCTGACCGACCACCTCCATAGATCAGATGAACTCACTTCCAAGGTTCCAACCAACATTTTGAAGCACTCTGGCCAGAACGCAATCACAAAAAACCCATACATACACATTTACATCGACCATAATGGAGGTCCCAGACGTCCCTTTGAACTTCGTCCCTGCCAAAGCAGGTGAAATCATTACTGTCGGGCCTATAAAGCTGCGTGTTATGGAAGATGGTTCAAACACAGGTACATACTCAGCTCCCACAAGAATTTAACCTGAAGATAGTCCTTTTTTAACCAGCGAACAAATAGATATGCGTCTCAGTTGCGTGGAAATCACCATTCCCCCAAGAACCCGCGGCCCTCTCCCACATTGGCATGAAATGCATGACGAGACTTTCCTCGTTCTCAAAGGGACTGCTCGATTCCATATCCCCGGCAAAGATCACATTGATGCCACGGTCGGTGACTATGTTGTTGTTCCAACAAGGAGTCCTCATACATTTTCGAACCCGACGGATGAAGAGGCTGTTATCTACAATTCTTTTACACCGGCGTTCTATATCAATTACTTCAAATTGCTTGGTGGGTTTGTGAGGGATGGGGAGTTCACTCCGGAAGCGAACGCGAGGGCTATGTCGTACTTCGCGACTATTCCTGTTCCTGAGCCTTAATGGCGAGAATGAGAGTATCCAGAGAGACTATGACCAGTTGCCATTGATCTATCTCCGTCCAATTTATGATAAAGCTATAGTACGAAGCATACTTCAAGTTCACCTGTAGTAAGGCCTTCTGACTGCACACAAGTGCAGTTGTATCAACATGTATACCACAAAAGTGGTCTCAAGTATTTCTCTGATTCGATATATGTCAGTGTAGACCTGAAATCATGGCTGTAATTAAGGTGATGAGATTATAACATCCTGTCATAACGCTTGACAGGATGGGTTCAAATGTTTCCGGCCGAGAAGTGTGTGTTGTACCCGAGGGTTAGCTATGTTCTCCGCACTGAACCCCACACATGCATACACCTGGGACTATAAAAGTCAACAAAAATAGCAGGGCTCACTTAAGTTGTAGTTTACATCTTATTCAAGGTCAAGCACTTGAGGATTTGCTTCTCTGCTTTATCAGAACATTTGAACTGTCCATCATGCCGCTCTACGAGGTACGCATGCAGATCTGATCTTATAGAGCTAGTATCTATACAGATCAGAGTCAAGTATATCAAGAATTTGTATGTATTCAAATGCTGATCGATATAATATTCCACAGATCTGTCACTCTTATCCTCTGACTCGTTCCCAAAAAGATACACTAGCTTCCTTCATCACCATCCTCCATTCCCAGACCTTCACAACACCAACGCAATTCGTCAATATTCAATTCACCACTCCAGAGCCAGTAGGAGATTACTATGTTGGCGGGAAATCTCAGCAACTAGTCTCACCAAATCGTCTCATTGCCACCGTGCGTGTTGGTCCAAGTAGAACGAAGTCCATGTTCGATGATGTTGGCATCAAGATTCGACAAAAGTGGGATGAAGTTGTTGAACGGCCATATGGGGAGCTGGATATGAAGAATCCAGCTGTGGAGGAGCGGGAGAGGAAAAATTTGCGTTTTATTGTCTTCAAGCCCATGACGGCTGCGATTGAAAACGGGGTTGTTGTTCCTGGTGTAAGTACCGTCCGGTCTTTCAGTTGTCCTGATGCTGATATATTTTTTGTTTACATGATAGGCTGGTGAAGAGGGCACTTGGTTAAAAGATAACATGGATTTTTTTCGCGAACAGGTGAAGATGTATGATGATGATGAGTTCAAGGAATTGCTGGAAGAGGTACAGGCGCGTGATGATCTGTGTGTTCAGTAGTAGATTGTGCTCAAAATTCTTGACTCGGAAGATATACATATGTCCACGATGTGGAGGTAAAAACCAGGGGTAGAGTGAGAGATAGAAAAAGAATGGGGATGGGGATGCTTGTGCAGGGGGAAAAGAAAGCTCAGAGGTTGCATAATAGTGTTTATAACACTGCATCTCATCATGTGCTTCCAGCATGAGTAGATAGGGGGGCCTCTCCTAGTCAAGAGCTGTCTGAGCTTATCACGTTCCCAGAGACTCGGTTGACCTTCATGGGGTAGGGCTTAACGTCTCAGTTGGTTCCACTCCATGAGCGAAACTACTAAGAGACAGTGCATCAGGATTGCTCCATCTGCCAAGCAAAAATGGTTCAGTAAACTCTCCCTAGCTGAATCCAGTCTCCGGAGAGAACACCCTATAAGTATCATAGTGCCTGTTGAAGGCATGCGTAAGAGGGACTTGATACGGTGTAGCTGAATGGAGGTCGTAAGGGTCGAAAACATCCGCAAAATCACAGGTGGGGGAGAAAGAAGAAGAAAAGGAAGGAAATAGAGAGAGAAGAGGTTTGAATAGTCTGGGAGGTGGGGGAGAAAGAAGAAGAAGAAAAGGAAGGAAATAGAGAGAGAAGAGGTTTGAATAGTCTGGGAGGTGGGGGAGAAAGAAGAAGAGAGGGAGGGAAAGATATAGAGAAGAGGATTAAATAGTCTGGGAGGTGGGAACGCGTCTGGGGGACAAACAATCATTCACTTCGCTCACTTCGTGTCATTGCCTAATTAGGAAACCATCACTGCACAAACATTTGAAGCACCCTAGTGACAACTACATACCATTTACTGCCTAGGTGATAAGGAAAAAAATTTCTGGTGATAATGCAATGAATTGGGTATTGATAGTTCAGCTTTTTTTCTTTCATATATTGCAACATCCTGCTTTTGTATGATGGTCTGAATGATAATCCAGACATGCAACGGGAGAGAAAAAAGCATATATAATCTATGTATTTTGGGATGAAGAAGAAACAGTGCTAACCATGACCAGGAACGAAAGGGAAAGGAAATTTAAACGCCAGTTTTGAGGTTTTGCTCCGTTCAGATCTGAGTAGTCTGGAGCTGTTCAGCCAAGCTGCTGACAGTACCAGTCTGCTTCTGAGCGAGGCGGGATCGAAGCTCAGCCACCAAGGAAGCAACCTCAACTTCGACACCCTCCTTCTCGGGGTGATCAGCGGGAAGACCCATCTCCTTAATGCGGACCTTGCCATTGGCCAGCTCCTCTTCACCGAGAATAACGGCGAAGGGAATGGCACCCTGCTCAGCAGCCTTGAATTGTTGTGGAAGCTTAGGCTTCAGCTTGTAGGAGAACTCAGCCTAAGAAGAAGTGTTAGTAAGTCTTGTAAGACAAGAGATATGTGTAAGGAATTGAATTGAAAGGCATACCTTGATGTTGGCACTCCACAGCTTTTGGCAGATCTCCATACGCTCCTTCAGCATGCCAGTGAAACCCTTGCCACCGAAAGCCATAACGTAGGCATCAACCTCACTGCGGCGGAGACTCTGGGTGTTCTGCTCACGCTCGAGACGAGCCTTGGTAATAGAGAAGATACGGTCCACACCGAAGGAGACACCAACACAGGGAATCTGGGCCTTGGGCAGGAACATGCCGACCAGATTGTCGTAACGACCTCCAGCAGCAACACTACCAACACCAAGAGTAGGGTCGTTGGATCGGTCGTCATCTTCGGAGGTCTTGGACTTGTCCTTCTTCTGGAGCTTCTTCGCCTCGGGGGCGTCAGACTGAATAGCAGGGGCAGAGCCTTCAGTGACAACCTCGTAGATGACACCGGTGTAGTAGTCCAGGCCACGAGCCAAGGACATATCGAATGAGATCTTGTCCAGAGCATTGAAAGCCTCAAGGTAGTCCATCATCAGAGCCATATCATCAAGACCAGCCTTGGCAGAGGCGTTGGCAGTGAGAGTCTCATCCGCCAGCAGCTTGTTCAGCAGCTCACGTCCTCCCTTGTGCATCACATATTGTTCGATGCGGTCTGCAACGGCACCATCCAGACCTTTCTCATCGACCATCTCCTTCCGCACATCGGCCCATGGCATCTTATCCAGCTTATCAACGGCACTCGAGATGGGACGAATCTTGTCCTCGGGCACACCACAAACAGCAAAGACACCATCCAGAATCTTACGGTGGTTGATCTTGATAGTGTAACGGCCGTTCCAGCCCAGTTCCTCGAAAACTTCGCTCACAATGCGCAGAACCTCGGCATCGGGCACCATAGGGTCAAACGCACCAGCGATATCGAAATCGCACTGGTAGAACTCGCGCATACGGCCCTTGCTGACAGCAGGCTGGTCACGACGGTAGACCTTAGCAATGTGGTAACGCTTGATGCTGCGCACATCGGTGTTCATGGCGAGCCAGCGCGCAAAGGGCACGGTCAGGTCGTAACGCAGGGAGCAAATTTCACCACCCTGGTCCTTCAGGTCGTAGATGAGCTTGGAGTCCTCACCATACTTTCCGGCCAGGATCTCGCGCAGCTCAAAAACGGGGGTATCGAGGGCAGTACCGCCATGGCGCTTGAAGACATCGGCGATGGTGGTGAAGATACGGTCACGGAGGAGGGCGTCGGAGCCGGCCCAGTCCTTGGTACCCTTGGGGGTTTTGAGGTTGAAGGATACCTTTTCCTTAGGCATTGTTTCGGTTGAGTAGGATCGAGGGGTTGAGAAAGGGAAACGAGAGCGGCGGGGATGGTTTTGATGGTGGGGGGTGGTGGGGGCACGGAGACAAATTTGATTCGAGACTGTATGCTGGCTTTGGGCTGGCAAATGAGTCAGACAATAAAGTGAGCCTGCGCTAATGGAATTTGGAAATGTTCGCCGTGCAGAATGCAGACGCAAAGGACCAGAGAGGGACGTCATAAAAGCGACGCGCACAATTTGGCGAAATATGCCCGTCACTCAAATTGGTTCAACCGGGCCATCTTGCTTCTTCGGGCGAGTTTTTCCGGATATTAATCCGAAGTATACCAATGTGTCAGTGGATTGAGATGGAGACATTTGATGAAGCTTGCATGCGTAGTTGCAAGTATGAATAGAAAAATGATTAACCTAGTAGGAAGATCTGCTGTATTTCTTAATCTTGGAGCTATGTTATGAGTCATATGAGTCATTGATTCTGGTAGAGTTGCACAATCCCAATGGGACTTGACTGGAGATGGAATATTGATGTGAATATGCTTCAGAGAAGAGGTCCACAGTGTAGATTTTTAATTTCCATACCTCCTTAATCCACAAATCAGCACTTCAAAGATATTCTCTTCAAAGTCCGGTGCATCTTTGCCAAGGCAGACATCCATAGAAAATAGAAAGTCTCGAACGCTAGATAATATGCAGCGCCTCTAAAACAGGCAAGGTCAGCTTGAAATCAGACTGGATGATATTGAATAGTATAAGTTGAATTTTACAGCCTCAGACTAATGAGCAACAGCCTCGAGCAAAACTTTGTTGTTGTTTGCAACGGTATTCGGTCTGGCCTGGGACACAGTTGCGGCACCTGGGCATCTATACTAACATTTGAATAGCACTGTAATCACTGTAATACGTAGAGACCTCGAGAGTAGGCTAATATACGAGGTAGTAGCTCAGCCTCACCATGGATGCTTATTTTCAGGGCTCTGTCGATCACTTTGTGGATCCTTGTCCATGTTAGTGCACGCCCGGTGCCCCGTTCAGCAACTTGAAATCCTGGATAATATCTTGTAGTACGGACTGAGGATCTCATGTGTCATGGACGAACCCGACGACATACAACTCTAATCAATTGCACCGTGAGGGTTGGCAGTGATAAAACCAACGAGAGCATAAATGCTAGGAAGGCCAATTGATGGGGTAAACATTTGATGTGAGTAGCCTTGACTCGGGGCCGTTTGCCGCTTCCGTATTTTGGCCCCATGCTGGTCTGCAGTGGGCTTATCTTATTCCCGTCGCTTGACATTATGTGACACAACCGTATGTTTTTGATGATTTACAATGATCTCAAGTTTAGAAGATAGGAAGATAGATCTCCAGGGCTAGATTGTCAGTCTCTCGGGTGCACGCTTAGCACATGAGTATTCGGGGTTGGAACTAATTAGGATCAAAGCCTCGAGGGATTTAATCCTGGTACCTGGTGAGCAGGGGCCAGTAGTGCAAATTGTTCTTGTTTATCCAAAATTCACTTGAGCATTTTGAGCTGCCTAGAATTAATCCCAGCCTAAATATTGGAAGTCAAAGTCATATATCTGCAAATTATGTTATCCGGAATCTGACATCGTCTCGGAGATAATCATAGGCACCGAGTATCATGTGGAAGGTGGTCACGAGAGAAAGGCGCAGAGTCATCTACTAGTAATACAAGGCTGAAAACTTGAATGTAGAGATTGCCACTTAGATTATAGAACGCCAGGGCCCATGTCATGACTCGGACCTGTCACTACTAGTACCGCTAGCCACTCAGATAGGTAGTCCGAGTTAGAAGTCCAGGTTACATTGGATATCACACCACTATGTATGCGCCAGTTATAACATCTGGGATAAATGTCAGAAGATCCAGATCATGTGTTTAGCCCATAGCTTAGTATGGAGCTATGGGCGCTCCGATCCAGGCGACTAAACATTTGAACCACCTATGTATCCCCGGGTAGAAATAGTAGAAACACAATGGTCTGATATATAGAACCTTGAAACTCAGTTTACCCCGTACTTCTTGTTTCATCGTGCGGTTTCTCCTAACTGACCCTGCCGATCTGAGCTCCAAATGAGATACCTTCACTTTTCCTGTTTGGGTTATTGGGGTAGAACGTCATCATATCTACGGAGCCTCGAGGTCCGAGACCCACAGAAGATGTCGCTGTGGAAACTCCAATACACAGCATATCTAACCGACGTAAGGAGAGAACCACATCTGATCCATGGAGCCTGGATTTGATTTTCTATTCCTCATACGAGTCATACCTGGATAAGGTTAGGGTATAAGTTGTTAGCCCCTCAGGATTTCTTCAACGAAGGAGGCCAAGCTCAGTGCTTGAACAGACTCTGTTAGAATCCCACAAGTGAGGTGGAATATGATATATTGGCTGTTATTATTTGCCTCGTCTCCAGTCTCCAGTCACCAGGGATCTTCTCACTGGATCTTTGCGTAACGACTAGACCCGGAATAAACTTTGTATAAATTAACCCATCCCAGTCGGCATTCGCATTTGAGCTTCGGCTACATACAGACGAGCTCTCGGGACCTCGAATGGGCGTCGAATCAACCTGTAGGATCCAAACCGCCACCCCCACCGTGATGTACAATACATGGCACGGGTCGATGGATTTGAATCGCAACCTGCAATGCGCCCGCCTGGGCGTAGTCTTAACCTTTATTTTCTTTTGCCATATGTCCAATGAGCGCGGCATAAGTTGTCTCGGCGCCTTGGGGGGGTTCAGACCCCTTGACGCTGGGGGAGTGAAGGGGGGGAGGGGTAGGGGGGGTGACGGTATGTCCGTACGGAGTCCAGCCTCCGGGTTTGCTTAGCGCGCAAGGCCCCGCAAAGACCTTCGGGAGCCTATGTTATACTGACATCCAGCGGGCGGTGGGTGCGCTACTGCATGCGCTGCATAATGTAACGACCCGAGACAAAGGACACCTGGGGGGAGGGGGGGTTGTGTGGAGGAATACAATTGCACAATCGGAAAGTTGCCGCAAACTGTTGCTGCTCTGGGCGATGAGAGGGCCGCGCGGCCAAGAAATCCATTGGAAATTAGGATGCAAGGCCCCCTTTGTAGGGAGGGATTGGAATTCTGGATGGTCTATTTGTACTCCCGTACACCGTATAATTTCTCTGTATATCCTTGGTATACCCAACGTTGGAAGTGGATATTCTCGTTTTTTTGGTTTTTTTTTTCTTTAATTCTTCCACTCTGGGCTATTTTTCCCTTCCTTTTTTAATTCGACTTCCATCCCCCGCATGATGGTCAAGGCAACATCCAACGAAAAGAGGATAGACTCCACCGCCACCAATGTCTGTTCCGGCAAGGACCTCCACAGCAAAGGAGATAATTGGTTAATGAACCACGCCATGCGAGGGGCGGACACATGGTCTAAGAGGTTGACCAATAGGTGTATCACGGTTAATGGAGACAGATGAACCTCCATTACGAGGGTTCCATGGGATACCGTGGGGGCTTCTGGGGAGGGGAGAAGAGGTTAGAACCAATCATGACATGACTAGGAATTTTTTTTTTTCATCCAGATATTAGTTCTGGTATTTTTGGTTCAAAATTGATCATTTGGTTTGGACTCTTGTTTTGACTTCCTAGTTGATGTATATGGTCAAGGTTGGTACTAATAAACGAAAAAAAAAGAAAAGAAAATCGGCGATTGGATCAGTACCTGCCTAAGGACCCCACGTGGCTTGAGCGGCAATTGTACTATTTAGTGTATTAGTGTTAACGGGGTTAACTATATGGACTTATGCTCGTTATTACTAGGTACCTAAGTAGAGACTGCTTTCTGGATCATTCTATACATATTCCCCGGGTCATTTACTCCGTACTTTTCATAATGTATATTACATTAAAATAGAGAGAGTTATTGAATATTGAATAGTATATATCCTATATAGGCTTAGAAATATCCACGCAATAGTAATAATATGGGGAATCAGTCATCAAAGTGGATGATTACTGTACAGTCAGATAAAGCGAAAGGCGCTCAAACGCCACTTAGATTCCCTCTCCTTCTTTACTCCTTCTCCCTTTTCACTTTCTCTTTACAATCTTTCCCCCATTATCTAAACTTCCCTTATCTGGTCGCTCACCGAGGCCCCGTATGCCGTTCCTGCGTTTCAAGCCTACTTTGGTGGCTTCCCCGGACACTCTCCGCGACTGAACGTGCTCGGCCTAAACTCTTTCCCCGATCTTACCCCAACCCACTTCCGCCCTCTCGGACTGGAGCGATTTCCAACACAATTCACATCTACATATGTCATAATCAGACCAGCGATCATCAATCAACTTTCACCTTTCGTGACTCCATGCCGCCGAGTGCGATCGGTTCTACTATTCAGTCATGAAGAAGGGCATCTTTCACAGAGGCCCCCGCAATGGGGTGAGGCTTGAAACTCCCTCGAACGAGCATCATCCTTTCTGAAGGGTGTCACAGCATCCGCCCGTGTGCTCGTGAGACGATTCTGATTTGAACGGTATACTGACGTTGGATTCCCGCATAGGCTACGAACACCCCTTCGCCCGCTCCTCCGAACCCCAAAAAGGACCTTCAACCTCCCCAGATAAGTCCGCTGGAGAAGAGATTACAGGATATGGGACCAATCCGTGTAGATGGAAGCGACAAGTTCTTTGGCATGGAAAATGTAAGTTTCAACCTCTTTGGTGCCCCGCATCCTCAACCCGCGGGTCTTTGTTCTTATATACTGATAACCCGAGGCTCAGTATGGAAACACTTGCTACTGCAATTCCATTCTCCAATGCCTCTACTACTCGGTTCCGTTCCGCGAGGCGGTTATCAACTACCCACAGCGCACTCCTCTCGAAAGCCTCGAGGCTGCGCTCGCTCAGAACTTGCGATTCCCGAACCCGAATGCGCACCTGGAAGCCGAGGCGCAAGCAGCGAAACAGAAGGCCACCGCACCCTCGGCGCGCCAAGCTGGTGTGACCCCCAATCAACCACAGAAACCAGAAGACAAGGAATCCCCGGAATATAAGAAGAAAATCGCCTTACAGACCTTGCCGATCCTCGAGGCAAAGAATAACGCCACCAGCTATGGCATGTCGGAATCACTCTTCACATCGTTGAAAGACATCTTCGAGTCCTTGGTAGGCAGTCAGTCTCGAATTGGAATTATCCGCCCGCAGCAGTTCCTGGATGTGCTGCGCCGCGAGCACGAAATGTTCCGGACGGCCATGCATCAAGATGCACATGAGTTTTTGAATCTTTTACTGAACGAGGTCGTGTCGAATGTTGAAGCCGAGGCCACAAAACAGAGTTTCACAGAAAAGGCACTGCCACCGAGTGAGAGCGCAGACTCTTTGGGCCTGACTAGTAGCTCTGGGTCAAAATCCCCGAATACAACGAGATGGGTTCATGAATTATTTGAGGGGATTTTGACGTCGGAAACCAAATGTTTGACATGCGAGAAAGTCTCCCAGCGAGATGAGGTCTTCCTTGACCTTTCCGTGGATCTCGAACAGCACTCGTCGGTCACATCTTGCCTGCGCAAATTCTCCGCGGAGGAAATGCTATGCGAGAGGAACAAGTTCCACTGCGACAATTGCGGCGGTCTTCAGGAGGCCGAAAAGCGCATGAAGATCAAGCGTCTTCCTCGTGTATTGGCTTTGCATCTGAAACGCTTTAAATATACCGAGGATTTGCAACGGTTGCAGAAGTTGTTTCATCGTGTGGTCTACCCTTATCATCTCCGCCTGTTCAATACCACCGATGATGCCGAGGATCCGGATCGACTTTACGAACTCTATGCCGTTGTCGTTCACATTGGAGGAGGTCCTTATCATGGCCACTATGTTGCGATCATCAAAACAGAAGATCGCGGCTGGTTGCTGTTTGACGATGAACTGGTGGAGCCTGTAGACAAAAGTTATGTTCGCAACTTCTTCGGCGACCGGCCAGGACTGGCCTGTGCATACGTGCTCTTCTACCAGGAGACAACCTTAGAGGCTGTCCTCCGAGAACAGGCGGCAGAAGATCAGGCATCTTCTGCGGCTGCCGCAGAATCTGGCGCCCAGCAGCCCAATGGAAACCTGTTCCATGTGCATAGTGTACCCACGGACGATGCGAATCGATTGACCCCAATCCATAAAATCACCACGGCACCTGGTCAGATGCCTGTGCATCCCGAAGTCCCTGAAAACGAGTCAACGACACCACATGCACCACTCGCACCACAGCCTGTTCAACCTCCCGAGGCTCCGCAAGCACCCCCGATTCCTAGTGAGCCCCCCTCGCGCACTGAGCCCCAAGAAAAGTGACGTTCAGTCTCGAAAGGAGAAGGCTCGAGAGGAAAAGGAGCTGCGCGCAGCGCAAAAGGCCGCAGACAAAGCGGCCAAAGAGGAGCGCGAACAATATGAAAAGATGGAAAGGATTCGTCGCAAGGAGGCAGACCACCTGAGGCAAGCTCAGATCAAACAAGAGGCCGCCGATCTTGAAAAGGCTCTCAAGGACAGCAAACAAGCGAGTAAAGCTGCCGCTGTCGACATCGGACCGGAGAATGGATCTCCTCGAGACTCGTCCAAATTCAACATATTCAGACGTGGAAGTCGCAGCATAAGCCACCGTCTTAGCAAGGACAAAGAGAAAGAACCACGAGTCTCGACCTCGGCATCGGACGTTGCACCAACCCCAGTCCCTGAAGTGCCGGCTCAACAAAGCGAGCCAGTGTCCCTACCTGTCGTTACGAAGGACCCCTCGGAGCTCTCTAGTTCATACACGTCGGTGCAGACATTCCCACCGATCCAGGAAAATCCCTCCAACGATAACCACGTTTACAATGCCAACTCCAAGGCCAACGGAAGCCCCAGCCATACCAATCTCCCATTTATTTCTACCTCTCCTACCACCCTCAACAATTCCAACAACATCAACTTCCATAGCCCCGTCTACAGCCCCAATGGTAACGGCAGCAGCGAGAAATCCGGCAATGGCACTGGCAATAGCAATGGGCATACAACTCGATGGAGATCGTTCAGCTTCAAAAAATCAGCCGCGTCATGATCCATGACCCGTTTATTCCAGCGAGCGTGTTCTTTTTCTTGCATCTGCCTACTTCTGATTTTATACGGAGATACCCTCACCCCCAATCGTTATGCACATAGAAGCTACCTTCGCTTTTTGCACATATCTTCTGTGGATGTATCATCATTTTTGATTTTTTACGACACGATATGCATTATTGCTTCTCATCAAATTTCTCAGGCTGATTTCCACAAACTCACCACAATGTCTTTTTAGATCCCTTGGCTCTTTATCAGGACTTTTTCTTTCCTCTTTTCTCACTGCAGCTGCTCATCTATGTAATATCTACGGCGGCATGGCACTTGACGCTCACGCCGACTCGGGGATTTCCCGTCTGGCGCAAAAACAGGCGTTTGGTTTTGCAGTGCTGGCAAGCATGGATTTTTAAATCTATCTGGCGTTTTCGCTTTTCCGTTCACTTTTTTTCTTGCTACGGGTTCGAACTTGGAAACCTACCATTTCTATGCATATCTTGCTTCTCAATCTTCTGCGCGTGCGTTAGCGACCACTGAAGGGTGGTTAACTTGCTGTGATATCCATGATTTCTGGCTCTTCTATCCACTGTATAGCTTTCTCCACAATACCAATCTATGCACTTGATCTTCAATATTACCACCACTAAGCTTAGCTAGACTTCTATATGGCAGTGAAAGCAAGTCCTTGAGATGACTTGGCTTTTTGAATTGGTGAAGGCTGGGTATATACATAGAACGAAGAGAAGCGACCAAGGACTCGAAAAATCAATCTTCATACTCTGGTACAATACAGCGCGCTCCTTTGACTTCAAATGCGGATTAAGACTCCCGAGGTCCAGCAAGCCAATCCAGATCAACACCCAATTGAATTCACCATGCATCCATCTAGTGCGCTAGTAGCTCGTGTACATCATGCCGCGTGTCTTATAGTAATTTTAATAGGTAAGCAGGATACGAGCCCGCATTGGCTCAAATACGCCGGAAGGAATAGGATCGGTTGCATGCGACGAGGCGCTGAAGCGCAAGCGAGCGCTCATTCGCGACGCGATTTAGTTTTCGTACGTAATGGAGTCGGGACGATCAGCCGAGAATAAGCTCGTAGACGATGATAACGGTATTAATGACAATGAGCGGTACTGGAATTTTGGGTTGTTGGTTAGCTTTGCCTGCTTGTTTTGTATCTTGTTGTGGCCTGCGCCTGTACTTGACTCGAGCCAGGAGGACCGAAGTTCAAGTATGCTTCGAGATCAAGCACTCGAGACTGCCTTGCATCGCTGATAGAGAATAGGAGAGAGGAACGTACTCCGCATTACTGTTCGCACACTGGCAATCAGGTTGATTGATTTGGCTTTCACGCTGGTACTGTCGTAGCTTGAGCCGAAACCTGGCTCAGCTTGTGTTCGGCCCCATCCAACTTTACAAAATTGATTATTAGCTAGTATTCTGCAGTTTTGAGGGCCTTGGAAAAGATGTGTATTTGTATTTGGTGGAAAGGGGGAGGACGTACTGCGGGCAAGGAAGCGATCTTCGGATAAGACAGCGATGGCGTTGATGAAGAGGATGATCACTAGATAGAATATTAGATTTCATTCAAGCTGGTATGGGTATGATGTCTGTCATACCATAGACAAGCTTCCCAAGACCGAAGAGTAGCATTGTGGCGAGTCAGGTCTGAAGATGATGTGGTGCGGTGCGGAGTGGGAGTTGGAAGTGATCAAGGTGAGGTGCGGGAAGCGCCAGATCTCCGGATCAACTATCAATCAACTCTGTTGGTCGCCGCAACCATGAGATATGGTCAGTTCGCTATACACAAGCTATAGATTTCTAGTGACTGATAATTCTATTTAGGGGCTGCATTTTTTGGGCTTGTGCTTCTGCTCCCAGTTTTGATCACACTTCACCTCCTCGTTGCGCCTTATACTAAGGTCGAGGAATCCTTCCATGTTCAAGCTGTGCATGACATCTTGGTACATGGGTTTCCGGTTAAGACGCTGCTGACCCCGGAAGAGCGCATTAATTATGATCATTTTGAATTCCCGGGTGCTGTACCTCGGACAGCGGTTGGTGATGTCGTGTTAGCGAAGCTGTTGCAGTTGGTACTTACACTGGATGGACGGATTGATCCCCAGATCCTAGGTAAGTGTCGTTGATACGAGAAATGATAAGACATCTGGATTGCGATAGAAAAATACTGATACGCTGCTAGCTCGAGGTATACTGGGTCTCTATAATGCATTTGCCCTGGGTGTATTTGCATACGGTCTTCGTCGTAGCTTTGGCCAAACAGTGGCAACATGGTACCTTCTCTTCCAAAGCAGCCAGTTCCATTTAATCTACTATGCTTCACGGCCGCTTTCAAATATGTTTGCCTTCGGGCTGACTACCCTGGGAATGCGATTTCTCCTACCGGATAAAGTCGATAGACCCCATGACCAAACGCAGGGCATGTACCGTCTATCATTGTGTCTTTTTACCATTGCAGGAGTTATCTTCCGATCCGAGCTAGCAGTTCTGGTTGCGACTCAAACGCTCTTTCTGCTAGTATCGCGCCGGATTGACCTGTTCAAAACTGCTGTTCCAGCCGGTTTGATCGGCTTGATCCTCGGCCTTGCCATCACAGTCTCCGTTGACTCGCTCTTCTGGCAACGCATCCCGCTCTGGCCCGAGCTTGAAGCTTTTATCTTCAATGTTATCCATGGACAGTCTTCTGAATGGGGCACAGATCCATGGTACTTTTACTTTTTCAATGCTCTTCCTCGTCTCCTTCTCAACCCTCTGCTTTACCTGCTTGCTATTCCTGTTGCTCTCCGCCAACCAGCAACACGCAGCCCAACACTTTCTTTCCTTATTCCTTCACTATCCTTTGTTGCACTTTACAGTATTCAACCGCACAAGGAATGGCGCTTCATCGTTTACATCATTCCATCTCTGACAGCTTCTGCTGCTCTGGGCGCCGCATACCTCTGGACACACCGTTCCCGCTCCTGGTTCTCCCGAAACGCCTCTCGCCTGTTGATACTTTCCACTTTTGCTGCATTCTCACTTTCCAATTTTGTCCTACTCCCTGCCTCTGCGGCAAATTACCCCGGTGCCCAAGCTCTGAATGCTCTGCATCAGTACCATTCTAAGACTTCATCCTCGCACAAGTCTGCCTCTGACGATACATCAGTATCAGTCTACCTTGGTAACCTTGCGTGTCAAACAGGTGTCACCCGCTTCCTACAGCTTCCTAGTGATGAAAACATGAAGTGGACCTACGATAAAACAGAAGACGAGACTACGAAGTCCACGTCTACGTTTTGGGACCAATTTGATTATATTACTGTTGAGGCATCGATCGATGCAGAGTCTTATGATGCGGATGAGACGCGCATGCGTATTGCACTTCCTTCTTCGCAGTGGGAAACTGTTGAGGTTATTGAAGGATTTGCTGGTGTCTCAATCATCAGACCCGGGGCTGTAGCGGAAGGGGCTGCTGAAAGGCGGCTTTTATCTTTCATTGATGGGGAACAAGCTGTTGACATCTTTGAGAATTTGCGAGAGGTGGCTAGGAAGGTTGTATTGAAGGGCTGGTGGGTTGAGTTGAAGATGAAGCCTAGACTTAAGGTGTTGAGACGGATTAGAGATTCTGCGCATGTATAAGGTGATATAATTGGAATAAATAGAGAATGATCATTAGTTCAAATGTTGCTATCTAAGAGTGTCTTCTCGATCTGAATGCGCATACTTCTTTATCGAGGTCCCGAGCCGCCATTTATAGGATCTAAAAACATTTGATATCCTGGAGGGGTTCACCTAGAATCTAGAATCATTTCATAGTCATACCTAGGTATAAATGTATCAACAAGTCATGGACACAACCATACATCAATGAAATACATGCGAAAACAAGAATAGGGTATTATTTATCATGAGATATCTCCATCTAGACTCAAAGAAGCCCAGATTCAAAATAACAATAGGGAACTTCATGCATCACTCTACAATGAGCCCGGTGGACCTTCCAGCCTAGCCATACGCGACTCCAGTTCACGCACCCAAGGCTCAACAGTTTCAACATTCGAGCGGAGTGCCGCCTCGCCCTGGCCCATCTTCTCTTCAACAGCTGATAGACCTTCACGCCACTGCTCAATCTCCGATGCCATTTCCGCATGTCGCTTTTCTAGCTCATTGAGAGAGTCTGCGGCTTGTGCGGCGCCAGCGTGGCACGCTCGCAACGAGCGAAGACGCTCTAGCACGCTGGGCAAGAGAGGGTGTAGGGACTGGATAGTTGGGAGGGTAGCGTAAAGAGCCTGGATCTTAGCGGTTTGTTCGTCATCCGCGGGGTGAGATCCATCGATGTTTGCAGCGGCGCCGGCTTCTTCTGAGCCTGAAGAAGCGATGCGAACTGATTGTGCTGCTTTGGCAGCATCGGCGGCGCGTCTCCGGGCCGAGGCTAGTGCTTCAGCGTCGGTGGTCAATTTACGGACTCGAGATGAAAGTGCTTCAAGATGTGGCGTTGTCAGTCCTGGGACTGCGGTTGGGATCCCAGATGTTGGATTGCTGCCCACGAGGAGACCGGTCAGGGCGCCGATTCGGGAGGTCAATTGGTCTAGGGCCGGGAGAACAGGCTGAAGAGCAGGGTCGCTGAGTGCGTCTCCAATGAAAGGATTCGAAGAACTTGAGATTCCCATTGAAGCTTCAAGGAGCGCTAGTCGGCTTTCAAAAGCAGCGGCATGAGAGATAATACCAGTTGGCGCTAAAGCTACAACAGCTGATGATCCGGCGTCCTCGGGCTTTAATTCTTGGTGCTGTTGCTTCTGAGTATCCGGTTTTGGTGCAGATAACTCTAAGCTAAGTTTCTGAACGAGCACAGCGGCAGCCGAGTAAGATGTGTTCGATGCGCCTCGCGAGGAAGCATGCAGATTATCCAAGGCGCGGCTCAACTCGGCAACACCATCGCCTAGTTCTTCATCTGCCTGAGATGGCTCCGAGGCAGGAGCACCTGATCCACTCTCCACGACTGTCTTCTGATCGGAAGCTTTATTTGCCATCTCCACTTTCAAATCCTCCACCTCTCGTCGCAAACGAGCGAGGCGCCGTTCGACCGACTCGTCCCCACTGTCGCTCAAGTCGCCGACCTCTTCGGTACCGTCCTGGCGTCTTCGTCGTCGATGCTGACTCTTATCCTTGGTTCGGTATGCTTGTCGTTTCATGGAGATACTGTCAGAGAAATTTGTATCGCGAGCGTCGACCGCAGCGCCCATAAAATGAGCGCGTGCTTTGTCGGCGTTAACACCTCCGCGGTCAATATCGGGGCTTGAGCCAATGTCATCATGATCGGAGTCTGTGCGAATTGTGGCAGTCTGCACCAAGAAAATTGTGGATTAGCTCCAAATTAAAGCGTTTGCAATGTTTATATCGGACTCACTGGGAGAGTGGACGCTTCGTCGGTCAGGTCAGGGGTCTCATAGATATCTGGAGCAGGGTCCTATCTTATAATTAGATACGCTCCTTCATAAAATTGATCACTGTTGACCTACCAGATCCGGAAGACCAGCATATTTCTTGTTAAAAGCCATGGTTGTTAATTAGGAGAAGAGGTCAACAACGCGGGATTAACTATAGCTGCCCGCGATAGACAAGTCCGCAATTGGCGCCCGAACAATCAGGAAATAACTTATATCCCGAAATCTCAGGCATAAATGACATAATTTCGGATGACCTAAATAACTTACTCAGCATGCACGTGTGAGCCTCGGAAAGCACATGCGCAAGGAAAGAGCATCACGAGCAAGTGTATATAGAGGGAAAGATCGACTGGTGAATTCCGCTCCTTTTCTCGTCTCATTCTTAAAATCTGTTCTTCTCTCCTGAATATTACTTCTCTCAACTCGCCGTACTTCATTGCAATCTCAATTTTCTCTACAACCTCATAGCCCCACCACCCCGCATTCTATAAGCTTGCTGCTTTAGTACACTTCAGTACAATGGCTGCTCCTGCTGATATCACGATCAAGAACCTTAATGGACAATGGGTGATGGTATGTTTGTGCCATTCTCACTTGGGCAGCTTGAGAAAGCCCCGGCCAGTAAATAGCGAAGCAGAATTCATAACTAATGATTTTCACTTTGTTTGTGTCACAGGACTCTAGCCTGTCCGACCCTACGGACCCTATTCTAGCTCTGGTATGCTTCAATTCCGCTTCAATACCTCTTGGTGCAGTCCCACAAGCTTGAACACCGGGAGAGCCGCACCACTAAATGGCACATATCACATGCATCCTTCACCGTATTCGCCATTTCCTGCGGGTATGCATAAGGCTAATTTACTGGTTTACAGCAAGGCATGAGCTGGTTCCTCCGCAAGGGACTCTCATATGCTACTGTCACTCTGCACATTCATGAGTATACTGACTCTGAAAACCCGTTGGTGTACCACATCGACGCCGACCAGGTCATCACTGGCGGTATCAAGGGTACATCCGAGCGACGTGTACTAGACTGGACAGAGCGCGAGCATACCGATGATATCTTCGGTACTGTCCGTGGCCTTTCGAAGATGGTCCGAGGTGCAAAGAATGAGAATGGCAAGCTCGTCCCATCTGTGGAGCTGCAATCCAGAGTCGGAGAGCCCGAGCTCGATGCCAAGGTGCAGAAGTTCTTGCGTGGAGAGATCCTCCTAGATGGATCCGAAAATGAGGGCTTCCTGCTCGATGAGGAGGGTGCTGAATTTGGTGAAGGCGAGGGCTTGTTTGTGCACAGCTGGGTTGTGAACGAAAAGAGCCAATGGACTGCTGAGCAGGTAGGTTAATATCTCGCTTGTCTTTTCCTTTGCGTGTAGTCGTAGACATGAAGCTAACTTGTTTAGACCTGGGGATTCGAGACCATTGGAGGAGAGCGCCGTTATGTCCGCCGTGCTGCTGTTGTGAAGAATGGCCAGGTTGAGCTCGCTCGTCTGGTTTACACTTTCAAGTCGCGACGGGCTGAGTAGAAATATTGAAGTGAATTTCCTTAAATGATAGGGACTGTGCTCTATAGAACTTGAATCAATGAACAAATAATTATTCGAAAAATTAGTGGGATCGTGCTGATACTAGTAATTGTGATTATTTTTGTTCTCTACCAAGCCTGTCTGTACTAAAGCACTTTGTTTCATTGCGATGCTTATAGATTACATTTTGAGTATACCATAACCAAAGGGAATAAATGACTAGATAAGAAATGCCTTCACTGCGATCTCGTAACGGGCATTGGGATCAATTTATGAATGAGTAGGCATGACAACATTGGCCTTAGTGCTCACAGCATCCTCACTCTTCCAGTGGCTGGTCACAGTCTTCTGCTGAGTGTAGAACTGCAAACCAGGCTTACCGTAGAAGGTGTTAGCACCGCCACCGGCGATACTCTTCTTGTTACCAGTGAAGGAGAACATGGGAAGCGGGACGGGAATGGGAACGTTAATACCAAGCTGACCGGCCTCGATGTCCTTCTGGAATCGAGAGGCGGTGGAGCCGGACTTGGTAAAGATGGCGGCACCGTTACCGTACTCGTTGGCGTTAATGAGGTTGATGGCGTCGTCCAGAGTCTCGACGTTCAGGCAGACAAGGACGGGACCGAAGATCTCTTCCTTATAGCACTTCATGTCGGGAGTAACATTGGTGATGATAGTAGGGCCGACCTAATGAATGTCAGAAGTTACTCTTGATAATGTAGACTCTTGGAACAGTGAACTTACGAAGTTGCCGTTGGGGTACTTCTCAGGCTTGCAGCCACGGCCATCCAGCAGAATGGTAGCACCCTCAGCCTCGGCACTGGCAATAAGCTCCTCGATGCGCTTCTTGCTCTCGGGACTGATCACAGGGCCAAGGTCGGCACCTTCTTCGAAACCACCGTTTACGTTGAGAGCCTTGGCACGCTCAGCAATCTCAGGCAACCACTCCTTAGTCTCACCAACCATAACAACTGTACTCAGAGCCATACAGCGCTGACCGGCAGCACCGAAAGCAGCACCAGTAATAGCGTTCAGAGCGTGGTTCTTGTTACAGTCAGGCAGGACGGCGGCGTGGTTCTTTGCGCCCAGGTTGGCCTGCACACGCTTGCCATTGGCAGAGCCACGAGTGTAGATGTATTCACCAGCACGGTTGCTGCCAACGAAGCTAATAGCCTTAATAGCGGGCTCGTCGATGATGAAGTCGACGGTACGGGCGGAACCGTGCACAATGTTAATCACACCGGGAGGGAATCCAGCCTCCTTAGCCAATTCGGCCAGAATCATAGCCGCACCGGGGTCACGCTCGGATGGCTTGAGAATGAGACAGTTTCCAGTGGCAGTGGCAACTGGGATGCACCACAGAGGGATCATGGCGGGGAAGTCTAAATCAAAGAATCAGCAATTCAATCGAATCGAGCTATGAATCTTCTGTCTAACTTACTGAAAGGGCAGATAGCTGCGACGACACCGAGTGGCTCGCGGTAGCTTCGGGTCTCCATATCCTTGGCTACTTCAAGCACCTCACCGGTCATCTGGGTGGTGATACCGCAGGCGGTCTCGGCGACCTGCAAACCACGCAGAACATCACCCTTAGCATCAGCGAAGGTCTTACCCTGCTCAAGGGTAATCGAAGCAGCCAGGCGGTCCCAGTTCTCACGAATCAAGCTGGTGAACTTGAAAAGAATCTGCTGCTTAGCGATGATGCTGGTGTTGCGCCAAGCGGGGAAAGCCTCCTCGGCTGACCTGACCGCAGCCTGCAACTCCTCATCGGTACTCTGTGGCACTCGGGTAACGAGGTTGTTGGTAGCAGGATCATGAAGATCGATCCAAGTGGTAGCTTGAGATGCCACGAATTCATTATTCAGAAAATTTGCTGTGTCAATGGGATTGGCAATTGGTTTGTGATCTGTCGGGTATTCAGTTGTTGATGTGGCTGCCGAGGTAGTAGCAGGAGCAAGATGTTGGGCTGTGACATGAAGTTTTCGGGAAGCAGAAGCTCCTACAGGGTAGGAAATAGCGCCCCGAGAAGCAAGCCTAGCAGCAGGGGTGGTGGCGGTGAGGGAGCATGTGTTGCGAGAGGCCGCGCGAGCAACAGCGGGCGTGCGGGGAGCGGAGCGGAGAGCGGGGATGGAACGAGCTAGAGACCGGCGGGCGGCCATGATGAAAGTGTGAGGTACAGATGAATTGGGAGAAACGAGACGACAAGTACAAAGAGAGAAAGAAGGTGAATTAGCAGAGGTTCAATATATGTATGGAGTGGGGGAATGTGTTACTCCAAGGCCCGAGGTCAACCGTCATCCGCCCTACCGCCTAGGATCGGATTTCCCCACACAACCTTAGTGAACAGGCGACGATAAGCTCCCTTTCGGCAATATAAACCAATCATAATGAGCCAAAGTACAGTGGGAATCGCCGAGATCTGTCCTCTAATCAGGGCAATCAATTCCCAGAGCTCATCGACCTGATGTTTTAGGCAGGCTAATCCGAGGAAAAGTAAGCCTCTGTAGCTAATCCAATATACGTAGCAGGTACTATTTACTAGTAGAGATGCGATGAATATTCATCTAACTCCGAGTTCAAATTGGGCTGAATTCATTTTTTATTTTTATTTTTCAAAACTTTGCTTTCAACATTTCAATTGCATTTGGGGAATTTAAGAAAAAAAAATCAATAAAAGTCAGAACTAAAAAAGACCAGGTGAAGGTGTATATCGGGTTCTCCATTCTGGGAATCTTCCGACTAGCTAAAGTACAACTACACGTATCATAGGCAATAAAAAAAGACATGGGAATAGGGAATCGCCGCGAAAATGATGTGATCATGCGATCTCAACTGTTTGGGTGTATGGTTCTGCTTCATTCTTCCTTCAAGCCTCGCCTTTACTCGGCAGAGGAGCGAGTGGTGCGCTTGGTGGCACCGCCCTTGCCAGTATCGGCGGAAGAGCTAGTGGCCTCGCCGGCCTTCTCCTTGGGAGCGCTGGCGGGCTGCTTGCCCTTCTTCTCAGCGGAGGGAGCAGGGCTGCTGGAGCTGATGGCACCCACAACGACGAGAATGGAAGCAAGGAGCAGAGCGAACAGACCACCGGCAACCTCAGGAACAGTCTTGACAGCGTTGATGGGGTCCTCCTTAGCCAGGTTGACGAAGAAGTCGACCTTCTGGCGGACAAAGGTGACAGGGTCTTCCTGGAAAGTGGTGGTGGTGCCCTCGGCGGGCTTCACAGGCTCGGGCTGGGAAGCCTTCTCCTCGGCCTCCTCAACAGCGAGCTTAACATCGAATGTCTCCTGGCGGAGCTTCTCGGCATCCTCAACGGAGTGACCAATGTAGATGTTGTCAAACAGGATATCGTTCTGCATAGTCCAGATCTCAAAACCAATGGCACCCATGGGCTCTAAGTTGGAGGGAGTCTTATCTTCGTAGTAGGCGGGGTTGGCAATCTTGCGAGGAGCCCAGATACCCTTGTAGGCAGGGTTATCGATGAGAGGGGCAGACCACTTGCCCTTGTATTCGGGGTTCTTGGTCATGGGACGAGTCCACTCGCCACAGCCAGAGACATCAGCACACTTGGGGTTGGGAACAGTGGGGGGAACCCAATCGCCATCCTCCTCGTCATCCCAGTCCTCGGGCTTCTCAGCCTCGGGGTCGGGAATGCTTGTGGCCTCATCCTCCAACCAGTCCTCGGGCTGCTCAGCCTCCTCATCCAGGATCTCGAAAGGAGCCTCCTCATCCCAGTCAGCGGGCTTGGAAGCCTCAGGGTCGGCGATCTTAACCTCGTCAACCCAGTTGGCGGGCTTGCTGTCCTTAGGGTCATCAATCTCCTTCTCGGGGTTGACAGCAGGGGTGAAATCCTCCAGAAGGTTACCCTCCTTGACGGATTCACCGTTGACGAGGATCTCGAAGGTCTGATCGGGCTTGACAATCAGGGTGTAGAGGGAGGTGACCTTGGAGGTACGGGCGACGGGAGGAGTCTTCAGGTGTTTCTCCTCGTACTCGCCGGTCTTGGGGTTCTTGTGGCGGAAGATGAAGTGAACCTATGCAAAGGGAATAGGGTGAGTACGCGTTTTCAATGGAAAGATTTCTCTAAGAAACAGAATTCGTACCTTGTTAGTGGCACCGCACTTGTCAGGACCAAACATGATCACGTAGGGAGTTCCATTGGAGAACTCCTCTTGGTGGAGCTTCTTGTTCTCCTGCAGTAGCTTCAGGTAGGCACCACCACAGACCAGAGAGTTCTGGGGCTTGACCTCATACTGAACAACCAAGGTCTTACCCTTGTTGTCGATCTTCTTGGGGAACTTGGCGGAGATCGCGTGATGGGCAGCTGCGTTCTTGACAACCAGACCCTTGTCGCCCTCAATTCCCTTGAAAACGGAAGGCTCCTCAACAGCCCACTCACCAACGTAAGCCCAGTCCTCCTCAGACTTGGGGTCGTCCTTCTTGGCGCTGGAACGCTTCCATCGAGACTCCCAGTCGTCGGTGAACTGCTCCAGGAAAGGAGCCTTGAGGGCAGTAGGCTAAAATGACCAGTTAGATCCGCTTTGAACTCAATTGCATAGTGGGGTATATTTGGGCAAGGCAGCGGTGGATATGGAACATACAGTGAAAGTGGGCTTCTCAATGTCAGCCGCAGCATTAGGAATAGCTTCAGCCTCCTCGGCGTGGGCATAGCCCATGAGGGTAGCCGAAGAGACCAGAGCTGTGAAAGCGGCGTCGAGACGCATATTGACACGACGAAGAAAAGAACAAGGAAGGGTGGGGGGAGAAGAAAGCTTGGGAACGGCAAAAGAGGAGTAAAAGCGGAGGTTATATAGAAGATTGGAGAAGGTGCACAGAAGGTCCAGGTGGCCTCTTCGAGCGGTCCCCAGCTTTCTCCCCCAATCGGGATTAGCCATAAGGTACAGAATATTATACATTACTGCATAAGATCTTATTTCGGACTTATTAGTTTCAAAATTACATATTTAATGAGTAAGGATTAATAATTATTTATTAATAATTATTTTCTTACTTATTTTCGTCTAATTGCTGTAAATATATTCAATCTAAACAATTGATGTTTTAGTGCTTGGTGCTCAATGTAAATTCCCTTAGTCAACCAACTGGCGTAGAGCCCTTGAGAGTTCACCCCGCTTCATTAATCTCAATTGGTTGCCGCTAATATAATACTCCCGTTACACTTTGATTCTTTAGCTGACCACGTCTCACCTTTTTTAGACACTCTGTAAGTCTATTAATTGATCGCAAATCCTGGTTCGGTTTCAAATACTCCCTTTAGTTACTTCCTCGAACCCCTTCTGTGGCCTCCTTAGTGGAACCCTAGCGGGCGGTGCTTCTTTACTGACCCCTCCATCAGCCCACCATGTGCGCCGATAACCTTAAGGCCCTGGAAGTCGGAACAAACGACCATTTGGTTCAATCAGATGACCCCGAGCACCCTGCGAACTTGATTCCCGACCTTTGTCGCCGATTCTATAACTGGGGATGGGTAACTGGAACCGGTGGTGGTACCTCCATTCGCCATGGTGACCACATCTTCATTGCTCCCTCTGGCGTCCAGAAAGAGATGATGAAGTCGGAGAACATCTTTGTCATTCAGTGGCCTACCAAGAAGTATCCCGCCACCGAGCGCAACTATATTCGCAAGCCTCTCAAGCTGAACCCTTCTGCTTGCACTCCACTATTCTTGACAGCCTTTGAGCATGGTGCTGGATGCTGCATCCACACTCACTCGCAATGGGCTGTCCTGGTGACTCTCTTGGTCGAGCGGGAGAAGGGCCCTGATGCTTCTTTCGAGATCAACAACATCGAGCAGATCAAGGGAATTCCTCGTGGAAAGGGCAAGGGAATGCTCGGATTTTTCGACACTCTTAGCATTCCTATTATCGAGAACACTGCTTTCGAAGAGGATTTGACCAGCGGTCTGGAAGCTGCGATGAATAAGTACCCCGATACCTACGCGGTGCTTGTTCGTCGACATGGAATGTGAGTACAAAACCCAGGGCCATAGGAAGTTAATTCGCTAATATGAATATAGCTACGTCTGGGGTGACGATGTTGTCAAGGCGAAGACTCAGTGCGAGTCTTTGGATTATCTGTTCCAGTTAGCAGTTGAGATGCACAAGCTGGGTCTCCCTTGGATCAAATAGACTCGGACTGCTTGATGTGACATATGCCTAGCAAAGCAACGTTGGTAGAAGATATATTCGTAGCTAGTACACGGAGATCATTGAATCACCATAGCTGTGCAATAATTGTAGGATGTAGCCAATTATCTCAAAATTCATGAGTTCAAAGGTCAATGGCAAAGGTGTTTCAAGAAATCAGTGTGGGACAACAACACACCTTGGGGGTGTAAGGCGGGATCCCGTGAGTGACTAAGGGAGTGCGGATCCTCCTCCACTCTCCAACTGCCAGCTTCCCACTTCCAACAAGCGCTCTTAAGCTTACTTCGCAACTTTGAGCAATCCCCTTGAATCTACTTCAATCCGGAATCCCTCGCTCTCGCATTCGATACCCCTTTGATCCTCTCCAGTTGCCATATTATCCCGAAAACAATGGACCTCGATAATGGCGACTCCCCGTGGGGCGGTAGGCAGTCATGATCCCGCAGCTCCCAGAATTACGATCTAATACAGAAGGCAGATGAACCCTCGTCTTCCACTTCACCTCATGCGACGCCAAAGCCAGAGACTGGGGATAGTGGTAAGCTCCATTTCGCAACCGCCCGATTTGCTCAGCCCCTCACTAATGTCTCCGTTTGACTCCTTGCAGCTCCCGCTCAGCCAGCCGTCTCAGAGAACAGGGCCGAGGTTCGCGTGCCTGGAAGACGAGGCCCGCGCGGTACTCGGAAGATAAGCGCACAAGCAACGCGATTGGAGGTCGTTGATGACACCGTCGACCCCCTTGGCCCCCTAGGAGAGGCTCCTGTCGAGAACAGTGCGACACCTACCGATGAAGCTCCAGCACCTCCCCAGAAAGAATCATTTGCCACACGGGCCCCTCAGCCACCTTCAACTTTCTCTCAAATCGCAGGCGTAGGGGGGCTTGGGCGACTCGGTAACCCTAGAAGAAGATGGCTCCGGATTCAGAGGGCCTCCGCCCGTGCAACCCGCGGCCGATATGGATGGATCTAAGCGACAGACCCAACCTAGTATGAGTGTGGAACAAGCTGCAAAGCCGACATTTGAAATATCTGTTGGAGATCCCCACAAAGTTGGAGATCTGACGAGCAGTCACATTGTTTACCAGGTCCGGACAAAGGTAAGGATTTCTTGTCACAACCACCAATAATATGACCAAAATGGAGATTCTAAGAATTTTTCGCGATCTAGACTTCATCCAAAGCATATCGCCAGTCTGAATTTGCTGTCAGCCGTCGATACCGTGATTTCCTCTGGCTGTATAACTCCATGCACAATAACAACCCCGGTGTGGTTGTTGCTCCTCCGCCAGAGAAGCAAGCTGTGGGTCGATTTGATACTAACTTCGTTGAGTCCCGGAGAGCTGCTCTGGAACGAATGTTAAACAAAATTGCTACCCACCCAATCCTCCAGCATGATGCCGACCTAAAGATCTTTTTGGAGAGCGAGGCCTTTAATGTCGATGTCAAGAATAAAGAGAACAGGGAGCCCGACCTGGGCCAAAGTAAAGGCATGTTTGGGTCCTTCGGTATCTCTGTCGGCGGAGGAAGCAAGTTCGTAGAACACGATGATGTAAGTGACCTCTACCAAGGGACACTGGATACGCCTATTAACTTATCAACAGTGGTTCCACGATCGAAAGGTTTATCTCGATGCTCTAGAGAATCAGTTAAAGGCACTTATGAAATCCATGGATACGGTGGTTGCGCAAAGAAAGGGACTCGCTGAAGCCGCGGGCGACTTTTCGAGCTCCCTGCACGCACTCGCTGCTGTCGAGCTATCGCCAGCACTTTCTTACCCCTTGGACGGTCTCTCGGAACTCCAGTTACGAATCCGGGAACTATATGAGCGCCAGGCCCAACAGGATGTTTTGACATTAGGAATTACCATCGACGAGTATATCCGTTTGATTGGCAGCGTCAAAACGGCCTTTAGTCAACGACAAAAGGCTTTCCACAGCTGGCATGCTGCGGAGTCTGACCTTCAAAAGCGCAAGAACACTCAAGAGAAGCTACTACGCCAAGGAAAGACGCAGCAGGACCGCTTAAATCAAGCGAACGCCGATGTTGCTGATGCCGAGCGCAAGGTCCACTCGACACGATTACTATTTGAAGATATGGGCCGCCTCATGCGTAATGAGTTACAAAGATTCGAGAAAGAGAAGGTGGAAGACTTCAAGTCTGGCGTTGAGACCTTCTTGGAAAGCGCTGTGGAGGCTCAGAAGGAGGTACATTTTCCTTGGACATATTCACAACTAAATTCCGGGCTAACTGAGGCATAATAGTTGATTGAGCTGTGGGAGACATTCCTTTTGCGTCTCGATGCTGGAGAGGATGGCCTTCCATACTATGTACCGGCTTCGCAGCCCGGTGAGGCTGGCGAGGGTTTTGCCCCAGACTCTACATCATCACACCCAGAGCCTACCCCAGTAGCCGGTGATGACGAGTAATTATGCGACAATATCTTTACACCCGCTGAGTAGGAGGCTTGGAATTGAATCACCGTGTACTAAATACACTTGTATCTCGTTTGCTTTGGTTGGATGGGGAGCTTTGCAAACTTATTGAAAATAGTTTAAACCCAATTTTGAATATGAATCGAAGTAGTTCGATGACCACTTTCTAAACAAGTACTCGTAATGAAGGTCCATTCAAGCGTTCAAAGCGATATATCCAAGGACTATGCAGACAACAGATCCCTGCCCAGGTGGGACTGAATGTCCTAATATCACTAATACTAGTAGTCACATATTCCCTCCCTCCAGGGCTTTAATGCGAACTTGAACTTGAAGGCACCGACTTTGGGCACCGTGCAAAGTTCGTTGACTTCTGACTTGAGGATTCTGAAGTTTACAACAAGGTTGGAGGGAAAAATATGCATAGTACAAGTGCTTTCCTTATAAACAGCCCAAGAAAATGATCAAGGCCGGGTAAATGCATAGAACAAGATAAGATGTGTATAATGTACAAAAGAGATGGCAAGAATAAGAAACCAACTACCAAAAAATGGTCTTACACTCTGTAAATTTTCCTTCCACTTCCATCCACAGAAATCAATCAACCGCAGCAAAGCCTACTGCCAACTCATTTCTTCTTCTTATCCTTCTCCTTCTCTGTGAGAGGCGCCTCCTGTTGACCAAAAGCACTAATCAAATCCAAAAGGTTATCCTCCTCCTCCTGGTCCGCCAACTCCTGAGCCTTAGCAGCCTCCGCCGCAGCCTTCTTCGCATCAGGGTCAGTCTCCGCAGCAGGGACACTAGCATCAAAACTACGACCAAAACGCGCACGGAAAGCCGCCAATCGACCAGCCTCATCGTCTTCCACGTTCATCAGCTTGCTGCTGGACGGGTTCCATAGAAGTGAGTTACGGGTATCACGCGTAGAGCGGTACACGGGGGCAGGAGAACTGGTGCGGTGTGTGAAAGCGCTACCGTCGGAGAGGGTGATGAGCTGAGTGAAGGTGTAGGGACGCTTAGGGCGGCGGAGAAGAGTGGCGTGGCGGCATTGAGAGCAGACAAAAGTTGTGCTCTTGGATTGGGAGGTAATGATTTGGCTGGAGGGGAGGATGGTGTTTGTTGAGCTGGGTAATGTGGCGGCGGTGCGGCGGAGGGTGGTGTGCATAGACATTATGGTTGGTGGTGCTGCGATGCAGCGGTGGCGGGTTTGGATGAACCGGGATTTCAAAATCTGTGTTGGCTTCTCAGATTGAGAGGGTGGGTTGAGGTCTGGAATGCGATTTCAATTGCGAGGGAGAGGGTGTTGGTGCTATACAACTTGCGTTGCGGAAACATTTGAAGAGAAATTATTGGGTTATGTAAGCAGGTCGGGATTTTTGCGGCAGAAGGAACTTGCTCGTCTGAGGCTCTAGATATCGCGACTTTGGCTTTGAGATAAATTGATTGAGGCCATCGATCTTTTATCCTTTGAGGTCTTCTGTTTTCAAGCGTTTTGGGATCCTTATCACACAGTGAACCCACACAAACCGCCCTTATGAGGCTATCAGTCCCGCGACATGCGGCCCGCAGAGCACTCGGAGGTGAGTTTCGATGCGCGTTGGTCCAACGCAACGTTAAAAGGATTTCGTCTCACATTCGTCTAGAACCATTATACTCTGGAAATCAATTAGCTCGATCCTCATATGCTCCATCTTTTACCCGACCCGAACTCCTAAGCCCATCAGCACGGCCATGCTATCAACACTCTATACAATCCTCCCGGCATATCAGCAGCAATGCTACAGCATCCAAGCCCGAGGGAACTCATACAACACCTAAAACCCAACCAAACCCCTCCTCAGAACCCAATACACAGTCAAGAATTTCGCCCCCATCCTCAATATCCGAACATGTCCGCCTCCTCATGCGCCGAGTCCCTTACCCAGTCGCTATCATCACATCAACAGATCCAAGCGGTCCCCACGATACATCCTCATTTCGCGGCATGACAGTCTCCTCATTCAATACCGTAACCCTCTCACCACACCCTGTGATCTCATTCAATGTTCGCAGACCATCCGAAACATTAAACGCTCTTCTCGCCTCGCGCCGATTCCTAGTCCATCTCCTTGCGCCCAGCGCTGCGACTGCCACACTAGCGCGGGATTTCTCCAAAGGAAATACTACGCTCGCTGGTATGCTGAGTGGACATGGAGACTTTGAGTTTGGAGCATTAGATGTTTCTAAGGTTGATTCAGAATCGGATATAACATCCGACGAGAACCCTCTCCCGTTGCCTATTTTGAGGAGAAGGGAAACCTCAAGAAAACCGGATGCTGATGCTGATTTCCCATTTATCTTGGAATGTACACTCCACCCACACAAGATCGATGTGCATGATCATTCGATCATACTGGGAACTGTTGTACGAGCGATTGAGGGTCTGGGTGTACCCAGTGTGCAGAGTGGCCAGGAGTCCCCAGATAGCTTGTCTTTGACATATGCTAATACTAAGTTCTGGAAGATGGGAAGGGAGATTTGAATAGATCTAGGCTGTTTACCACGATGAATGAGACGTGGAATTGTACATTAGACCATATATACCATCGCGTTTGAACTGCCAGTGGATTGGTTCCAAAGTTGACGCTGGAATCTCATGTCTGGCATTTATAGATTTTACATTTAGATCAAAAGGAATTTTGAATACTTGTTTTGAACTTGAATATTGATTCAGATATCACTAGTGAGCGTACTACTTAAGTACATAGTGGCTTTTCAAACTAAGATTCAATCTGTGTTCAAGTTCCTCCCGAGGTCATTCGGTATCCCGCCAGGCGTACTATATAATAAATACTAGTAGTTCATATATGGATGCACTACTTAGGGTTTTACAAGCCTATAATACGATTTCATCAGGTACTACTAGTATTGGCCATGAACTTCAGATGATATGAACCAGGGTCAATGTATGTAGAACAAGCTTTTGGTCTTAAGAACTGAACTATAATCCATCTCAACCTTGGAACCGAACCCTTCAACCTTGCACATCACCACGAGATACAAATCAAGGCGACAGCCAAGTAAACCGAGACCGCTGCAACATGACTCGATGAGAGGTACAAATAAAGATATGGTAGGCTAGAAATGCAGTACAATGATTCCTTCAGGTGTAGCTGAAAGCATAGGAACAAACATGTTAGGCAAAGCATTCAACAGATACGCGAAGACTCAAGGCTCGGAAAGTCCTACATAGGACTAGATGGCCGTCACTATGCAGGATATTCGACAAGACATTTTCAATCGCGTGCAGACTTAGGACTGCCACTGCCACTTCCACTCCCGCTGCCACCGCTACCACTGCCACTGCCAGCTCCGCTACCGCCACTGGTTGCTCTTTGAAAGGGACTCAGCCTAGACGGGCCATTCTGGAACAGAAAACCATTGCTATCTGATCCAGGGCGCGGCTTCTCAGAGAGTAAATCGGATAAATCAATCTGGAGAGGCGGTAAACGATTGGAATCAAATAATTCCGAATCATATAAGCTGCTGCGAGTGGAGCGGTTCGAGAATGAGCGATCACGGTGGTTGATGTCAGATGCGAAGTATGAATTCCCATTACCAAACGGCGAAGCAGGGAATTGAGACATGAATGCGTCCTGCACAGGGCTGGTTGGATACGAAGAGGAAGACGTAGCGTGAACAGGAGAAGAAGAGGCCTGCAGAGGACTGAGACTTCGCCGGAGGAAAGCTGAGTGCCAACAAAGAGCGACTATGGAGGGGATTACCAATAGTGGTCTCAGGCATAGGGTTGGTCCCTGGCAGATTGCCCTCAGGAGTCAGAGGACCAGAATCAATGAGCATCTGCTGCTGTTGCTGCTGGATCGATTGCTCGATTGTAGATGCCTGCTGCCACAATTGACTAGTGCGCAGTTGAAAGTCTTGGACAGATTGGCTAATGCTGGCAAACTGCTCGTGGAAATTGGCCTCCATCTTGGCTTGGTCTTGCTCTCTCGCAAATTGTTCAGCCGCACGCCGCTCGCGCTCGTTCAACCCCTGGGCATTAGCAGAAATGATACGGTCATATTGTTCGTTGACACGGGTACGGCGACCCTGCAGTCGCTCGCGTTTCTGAATGACCATATTTAGCTCTTGCTCCAGTCCCGACGCTTGTTGAGCGGCGGCAAGGCGAGCTTCTTGAAGCTCTTCCTTAGCCATATTGAATTGCTCCAATTCTCGGTCAAATTCGGCTTTGTGTGCATTCCATTGCTCGATTTCCTCCTCTGGGACGTTCTCCAACTTGTCCAGCTGTTGTTCCAACGCTGCGGTAGCTTCCTCCGTCTGTCGAATATTGCGCTCCAATTGAAGCGAACGTTGTTTTTGTTTGTTCTCGTCGGTTCCACTTTGCAGGCGATGATTAAAGTTGTCCAGCTCCTTCCGGATCTTCGATATAAGAAGCTTGTGGTCGTTCTTCGTTTTCTTCAACCGGGAGCGTTTTTCGTTCAGTTTGCCTTCCGCGTTAACGATGGAATTCTTCAGGGTCGTAGTGGGTGAGGAAGGTCTATAGAGGGGTTGCAAAGGCGCCGGGACCGCGGAAACAGCTAATGAATCAGTGAGATTTATGCCAAGCCAGGATTCTGTGTTGATGTGGAAATTACCTTGTTCTGCATCGGCAGTCGCAGGCGTCTTGACGCTCATCGCGCAGATCTCCTCGTCGGTATCGCTACGAACAAAGGAGCAAGTATAAGCGCAATTAGGAGCCAACCCTGAGATTTCACCCCGCCATTGAACCATACTTGGTCCCTTCGAGGAATCCGATACCCGAACGAGAGTAGCTGTAGCCCAAAGAGCCCCATTCACACAAACATAGAACGGCTCCATATCACCTTCTAAGCGACTGGCTTCGCAAGAATTTGATCCAATTGAATCATCGTTGAGATCGCCGGCGGCAAACTTGATCGAAGAACTATCCACATCTGTAATCCATACCAATCCATCATCGAGAGAAATGCCTTGAAGATCCTGCTCTGTCATTGTGAGACCGCGGGAGGTTTTGGAAGATGCTCGTGAATGTTCATATTCTCGCATAACGGTGACCTTTGTACTGGCGAGAGCGGCCCAGAACGGTTGACGACTTCGGACTTGATTGGCTTGCCTCCTCCGTTTCTTAGCTGAGGTTAACCGATCTCTGCCATCCTTGGCAAACTGTCCATCAATACCCACGAGAGAAGATGAAAGACTAGCGGCAGACTCCAGAGCAGAATCAGGTTGACCCTGAGACCCAGCAGAAGCCTCCGTATCCCCACGCTTCCCACTCCGAGGAGGTGTGGGAGATCGGTTCTTTGCCATAGATCGTCGTGCCATTGCGGTTCCGGCTTGCGCTAAAATATGTACAGCGAGGAGACTCCTGAGCCAACTCGGAGATGTTGATGACTCGGAGCGTCGGAATTCGGCGGGTAGGAGGTTCGAATACTGAGAGAGAAGATCTGGACTGATGATTTGGGCGGAAACGAGGTGACCCAGGACAAAGTCCTGAATACCTTTGCTGCGAACTATGTGAAGAAGCAGAACAATTCCAACACAGAGAGAATTGACCCCGCCGTTCTTCCCTGATCCCCCGCCGCCAAGAGTGATGGCGACTTGGACATGAGCTAGATCAATTGCAAAATTCTGTGCCCATGTCCACATAAAGAGACCCCAGACAAGAAGACAGAACGTATCCATGGCCATCATCGTCCCCAATGAGGGTGTACCGGCGGGACCCTGGAAAATATCGAAATTGGCGGACAAAGATCCGGCGGCGGCACCACTCGGAGGCATGAATGTCAAGGAAGCGAACAGGAATTGAACGAGCGTGAGGACCATCGGTGGGAGTTGTAACAGAAAAATCAAGATGGCGATAGTGTCGTACATTGGACAGGATTTCAGTATTGTAGACGCGAGTTGAAGCGGATTTATCGAAGCATTGGATCCTGAGCGTTTGGCAGTGCCATTGCGAGAAGCTACACCTGCGATGCCACCATTGTGAGGCACCGCACCGTTAGCCTGGCCACCTGCCATGTCTACACCCTTGCTATGCCCATTCGCCATCCCACGGCCATTGCCATCAACCTTCGCCCCATCCACACCTTTGACACCGGCTACTGGAGAGGTGACAGCGGTGTCACTTGAAGAACGATGGACGGACAGGTCGACAGGCGCGGCGGCAGCCGCAGAAGCGGACCCGTTGGTGGCCGAGCCGTTGAGATGGCTACTTGATTTTTGCTTTGTTACTTTCTTGCCGGGACCGACGAGGCCATTCTCGTGTCGATTGCTCTGGTTCTTCCTACCCGCAGCAGATGAGCGTGGCATGGACGAGGGAGCCCGAAACCCAGGTCCGAGTCAGCTTGGCGGGACAAGGCCAAGGACTGGGACCAGGATGGAAGGGGAGGGGAGGGAGCGGGAAATAAAGAAAAGAAAAAGAAAACACGCTCTCCCAGGGCGTTGATTAAAATGAAGGAAAAGATGTTATGACAAAAAAGTTGGGTTAAAAGGGAAAGGGAAAAGGGTAAAGAAAAAGGAAGTAGTACGGGAGGGAGAAAAGTGTATGAGGTTTTGAAGAGGTGGAAAAGGTTGGTAACGGTATTGTATTGTGGTAGTGTAGTAAAGAAAAAAAAGGGTGTCGATCATTCAAGTATCAGGAAGGCGGTACCTGCCGCTTTAACATTTGAATCTTGGAATCTCTCTATAAACGGGGTTTTGGGCTTGAGATTTCTTTGGTTGATTATTAGAAATGGCGCTTTTTAAACTTCACATCTATTAATCTACTTTCTTCACAATTATGCTTGTTTCTGTTTATATCTCAGGGTCTTAAAGATAACAAATCCAAAAGATACCGCCCCTACCATACACTGCTTCTAGTCCTGCATTACGGATAGCAGCTTATATTCCCCCAAAGGAATTCTGAAACCCACAGACTACATGAAGGGGGGGGGGAAACAGAAACAAAGAAATCATATAAAAAAACTCTCCGCTTATTGACAATTCACCACTCAATCTTACAACATATACGGCCTTTGTTGAACCTAAAAACACTTGAAATATCCTGTCGGCCAAGTTTCGGCTCTCGGCTGGTTGCTGATTTACCATTGTCAGCCCTCAATGGCCCCCCTCATATGATGCAGCTAAGATAGGACAAGTGGATGCACGGCCAGACTCTAAAAGAGGTGTCAAACCCTAGCTTATGATCGCCGTTTGGTATGCGACTACAACCGTTTGCTAAGCCGTGTGTGCTGCGGGGTCATCCTTGCTGTGCGAAGTAGACCTGGGGGAGATATGCATAGCCCTGGAGTGTACACGAATCATCTTAGGCCACCACTGGTCATTGGGGGATGCTTCGGATGAATTCACTTGCGAAAATAGTCAAGCTAGACCAGACGGAGTTCACACTAACTTAATCATTCAAAAAAGGAAATATTTTACTCATGTTTGAAGAAATTTTCTGTCAGGGTCTTCACATGCTCAAATACTCGGTTATGTCTTAGAGAGAGAGAGAGGCTCCGCCTACGCAATGACCAACTTACGATCCATGATCTCCCAAAACAGGAAGAAGAAGAAAAAAAAACTCCTATGAAGAGAAATTTGTTAATCACTGATCAGACTTGCAGATCCTGGCACGAGGACAATGATAAGTGTTTTATCTCCCAATGTTCTCTCTCCCAGGCTTCTCACCCCTCCTGTGGACGCATTTACTTCTTGGCATCAAGGTTTCGTTCGTAGATCATCATCCGATTCAGTAAAGATCGACCACGTAGCCGGTCTTGGACAGGCTTGTCCTTTCGGTTTCGTCTTTGCATGCGGGGACATTTTAGACCTTGATCGTGATATTCAACTAGGTTATATGGAGTATTCTGTATAGAATCGCGGTAGACCATACTCGCTAACAAAAGATGAGATGCCGCGCTACTTACCCCATTTGATCTCGCACTCCTGATCCAAAATTAGAGTGGATTTGAATCGAGCCAGATAAGTCAAAGAACAGTTCACAAAGTTACAAAGTTACAAAGTTATGTCGATCTTCTTACTCACTGGATTGACTGGTTGTCCCAGACTTCTCCACCCTGTTCGATATCACATACGATTCTTCCACTGTGTCAATGAATTTCATCGTACGACTACAAGGCATCGGCAGTACCTAGGTAGTGTCGGATATTTTCTTTTTCCCATTTTGGCAATGACAAATTGACTATCAAATATTTCCTGCACAATAGTCGTTCAGCCACATTCCAATACGCGGGAGACTTATCACCAAGTTTCTAGTTGGTGCGAGGCTTGGCGGTGTGTATCTGGCCATGATATGGATTTCTCCTCGCGTCCAAGGATCAATTGATCATTCAACATCTAGGCAGCACTCAAGAATCCAGGTGTTATTGGGCCACAGAGGTATTCGGACCAGGGCTTGTCTGAAATCACCTCAAATCATTTGTGTTATCTGCTGTTACATACTCCATACTGGTACTTGAGTATCCTGGATTGCGCACGGAGGCTTCATTGATGCGAATAGGACCTTGATTTGGATGATCATTCTACTAGTAGCTATTCAACAGATATGATATCATGATGATCATGGATGTACATCCATATACTGTCTCTAGTTGAAGGGGATTTCGACAAGTCAAACGGCCATTCAAGCTCTATCCATGTGCATGACTTCGGGAAGGTCAACTGGCGTTCAGTATAACTTCTGATGGCTAGCACTGGCTATAGGCTCGGACGTCTGCAGTATAGAACTATAAAAGAGCGAGAGCACCTGCTACTCGTTCAGTAAAGCAAATGTTCATAAATTAACAGCACTAGTAAGCAACTCGATACTAGGTAGTACTACCTAGTAGTAACCAAAACAACTCCAAGAGGACTAGAGCTATACATAGCATCTAGGTAGCTGAGTCGTTCAAATCGGGCCTCTGGACTCAAACTAGACAACCTCCTCCTCGTCCTCATCAAAATCATCTTGGTCAGCATAATTACCATAATCTTCAGTCTCCTCTTCATCCTCCTCATCTTCCTCGTAGTATTCTTCGTACTCGCCCTCCTCTTCACCTTCACCAACAGTCTCTTGGATCTCGCCTGTCTCCACAACCTCGCTCTCTCCTCCCACATCAACGACTTCTTCCTGGCTTTCCATTATTTCTACCGTTGTCTCTTGATTTGCTTGCATTTTTAGTCTGAACTCGTCGCAATAGCTCGGCGCTTTCGGATGTATAATCGAATGGAGTTGATAAAATATGAGTATCGACCGACCTATGTTCACTATGAAGTGAAGTTAGATCAGAACTCCAAAGCCGCGCCTTGAGGCTTGCACGTACGGCGGTGGTATTTCCGATCGGGACAATCCAACAAGACTCGTACTCGCTGTCAGAAGATCCTAGGCTAGTTCTCGTCACGGCGAGGTCAAGCTTTCCAAGGTTGGATAAGACTATAGGACCCAGTAGTTAGCTTTTCAAGTATGGCCATGGTGCATAGGAGAGAGAAAGATAGTATTAGTTTATCATCAGCACTGATTCAGCATTTTAAGATCTGGAGGCACAGTATGCACTTGCACATTAGGTACCTAGTAGATATGCTTACATGTAGGCAATTAATAATTGCGGTACTGAGCACTTGGGATGGTAAACGATGTACTTAGGAGGAAAAGACTACGGGGGTTGCTCTGGCTTATATGTCTAGTATTCATCGGTTTAATTTATTCTATCAAGTGTCAGATCTTAGATATTAGCAACACGTTATGAGGGATTAAAAGACGTTTTATAGCCCAGGGAAATTTCCCCGACTTGCCGACTCGGAACAATAGAGGGGAATACATTTGAAAGTGACATGCAGCCGCAATCACGCCCACCGGAGCAAGCGGTGTTTGGGCTGAAAAGACAGCTCTAGATGTTGGGCTTTGGGCAGGGATGCAGACATGGCGCTATACCTCTCCTATTTCTAAACATAGAAATCTAGTAGCCAAAGAACGTCTAGCAATTTGACCTTTCAAATGTAGAGATTTGAGCACATGCAACTCAAAGAAGCTTTGGTACTAACCCTGTGGGTTCAACTTGAGCCGCTAGGACCACATATGTAGTGGTACATATGTTCGGGAGAGTGAAAATGATATGAAGACTCGGATATGTAGTAATATACACGGCAGATTTAAGTTCCATAATTGTACCCCTCAAAAGTACTAGTACTAGGTGGTATTGAGTAGTAGTTTTTGGAAGCCCACTAGAAGGAAAATCCGTTGAGACTCGTCTCACCTTCCAGATTCCAAGCTCTTTCAATCAACTGATTGACTCGGGCGACATCGGTAAAGCCACCATAAGTCGCTAGCGCTCGCGCTTTTCTCTCAATTTCCTCCCTGCAGAAACCGTTAGAAGAAACCCAAATCGGACAGAAAGCTAGGGAGCTTACTTGGTTAATGGAAGCTCAGGATCTCCTTTCGCGAACTCGACCGACTCGGTGAACTTTTCCCCAGATTTACAGGTCACGATCACAGTTCCCTGCCACTTTTCAGGAAACTTGCTATCAATAACCTCATCAAATTCCATAGAAACTCGTTTCTGGAAGTGCCGCAGTGATGTATCTTTCAGGTCCTCCTCGGTAAAGTCGGTAATCATAGCCTGGCCCTTCTTAGCCGCAATAGCCAGGACAAAGCCCATGGAAAATTTGCTTTGATGCACCGTTTCACCATCTCCACTAAGTCCAAGGACATTGAGAGCAGCTTGATATGTACGCGCAACAACAGAGTCGATGTCGTCGAAGGAAATATTGTTCTTCTTCATTAAACTCAGAAGTGCATCAACACTCGGGTGAGTATGCCGACAAGATGCATGCCACTTGAAACTGGAACTGACGACAGCCCAATCTGAGCCGAGATTTTGATCGATTGCTTCTGGGTTCGGACTGCCGGTTACTAAAGCGACACCCATCGCTCGAGGTCCTTCGAGGATATCTCGTGGTCCCAGAAGACCGTCTCGAGCGGTATAGGCTGCGAAGATACCATCAAAGCAAGCTTTACCTGTGTGTACTTGCTTTGAGTGCGTAGCATCTAGAAGGAACTGCCAGAGTCCTGCTGCTTGTGTACCGGCTGTTCCGATTGCCGACAAGGTCTTTGCTGCGTCGAGCTTTAGGAGGTGTGCTGTGGCTGCTGCAACTCCAATGACACCACCTGTGGCAGTTGAATGGAAACGCTATATACAATGAGAACCCATCTTCATGGAAAAGGGAGTCTCAGAGCGATTGGTGCTTATGAAGATTCTAGAGATGTCTAGTACATACCTCGTAGTGGGATTTACCCAAGTACTCCCCGACTCGACAACCAACCTCATAGCCGACCACGCAAGCCGCAATAAATTCTTCGCCTGTAGCATTCACCTCTTGTGCAACGGCTAATGCGGCAGGGTAGATAACAGTAGCCTGTCTGGATATTAGTCAATCCGTTTCCTCCAGCCTAGGTATGGTTTAACATACGGGATGCATGATACTCCGGTTATGAAGATCATCCTGTTCGACAACATGAGAGGAAGCACCATTAACCAAACTAGCAAAGGCTGGACTGGTCATAAACTTCAAGGATCCATCAATCAATTCACTCTTCCCATTTGATGGCCCCATCTGCTTTGCGAATTGAGCCATGGCGGAAACGGCGGGGTGGTGTCGGCCAGCAATAGCACAACCCAACCAGTCTAAGAAGAAATCTTTGGTTTTTTGGACGACATCTTGAGGGATATCTTTATAACTTAGGTTAGCAGACCATTCTGCAAGATGGTCGGTTCGCGTTCCGTTCAATAGCGATGTTGACGTTGCGGCTTGAGACATGGCGAATTGGATCCTTGTTTAGTCTTACTTCAAGTTGTTACAGGTTTCCTAATAGACCTTTCAAATATTGTGTTCGTTAATGAATATGGAAGGTGCAGTGAGATAGTTAGCATCTACCCCCACATCTTCCGAGGTAAATGTCCAAGTAGGCGACTTGGGTTGGTGGGGTAGCTGTGTCGGTGGAGCTGTAGAGCCGATTCAATTGGGGAGCATCGTGGGATGCAGGAGCATGCACGTGTGCGTTCTCCCAAGGTTTCACGGGGGAAACTCTGAATCTAATGTGTATCCAAGCATTTCAATGTTGTTTTGTAACTAAAATGAAGCAAGTCATACATGTACAGAGTGACCTTTTCTGTTCAACACAGAGTTCTAGCTGTGTAGTAGTAACTACAGGCTGCGTATGTACATCCTTACAGATCTATCTTTCGAGAATTCCTGGCTAGAGAAGAAAACATTCAGTTCCAGCAGTGAAATGTGTGTTCATTGCTTTGCAGATCCAGTATCTTCAACTGCATCAGCCCGGTCCCAGCTTTCAACCTCTAGCGTTCGGACTCGGCTCTCAATCTCCAGAATTCGCTGTTTCCATTCTGCCTCCGCCTTCAATTGTTGCTCCCAGATAGTCTTGAATTGATCGAGCATGAAAGGCGGGAGTTCAGGGGTCTTTCGATTCTTAATATAATCGTAGGTGACGATATCCTCATAACAGTATGCTGCAAGCCGCTGGCGAGCCTCGGATAAAATCATGACCTGAAGCTCAAAGGCAGAGTGTGAGAATAATGAGGAAGATGGATCGTGAACGAGCTTTTGGTAAACCGTGATCTTGTCTGGTGATTTCATGGGCTGCGAAATTCATGTTATTCAAACGATCATTGGAGGAATTGGGTAGAAGACATACAAATTTGTAATTGATCTTGATACTTCGCAAGATAAGTCCGATTCCTGTTGAGTTGAGCAAGTTGAGCCATTCTTTCTTATTTGTAGGATCAATGTGAATGCCGATATTGCGTGTCCAATTGACTCGAGCGGTCTCGGCGTATCTGACATAGGTGACGTTGTTGACATGACCTAATGATAGCCAATGCCAGTGTTAGCCTCATCAAAGTCTTGGAGAAGCAGTCGGAGTAATGTTGAGAATGCAAGTCTTACCCTGGTATGTATGTTAGTATAAAGCCGATAGTAGCCGAGAGCTGTCGAGTACCAGAGGGAACTTACCATGATGTCCTAACCAAGAAAACAGCAGGATCGTGTCAGCCATTGTCACTCAAAGCTCCTGGTGGGTTGAAGATATGAATCCAGAGCATACCTGTTCTCCCCACACTACATTATGCCGATACAAGCTCCGCCGCTTCTCATCGGTCAAGAATCCCTCACTTCCCGCGATCAATTCTCGCCAATCCCTTGCTAATTCCTGAAGAATCTTCCCGGCAGTGTCCACTTGAGCTGGTTTCATCCCAAACATTATGCATCTTCCAATTCGCCGTTTCATCATGGTAAGCCACCGAGGGTCGATTCGGTGCGGTTGTGCAGGTGGGTCCTGCGGAGTCGGCAATTGAACATTTTGGGCCGATGTGATCGATGAAAAGAAGTTAAGGGTCGAAGGGGAGGAGTTATATCGTAGCAGGTGCCTCGAGAAGGCAGATCGGGGGATCATTGTGAGAGGTTGTTGGGGATTGAAGAGAGAGAAGCTGACAATCACATCATCGCGGCCGAGGCGCATTCCGGAGCTTGGGCCATAGCTCGGCTAGAACCCCGCGTAGTTCAGATCTGTGCAATGGTCCCTTGGGCATGGATGAATAAAAGGTGCTTTTTGGGTTTGGCCAGGCGCTTTTTGGATAATATGATGGTGCTGGATAATTTAATTTTATTATCGATATATACCTAGGTACTAGTAACGCAATGTCATACCTCCGCCAGGGGATTTCTTCAAGTTCGACTTGAAGTTGAGGGATCGGATGGAATCCTTCAAATCTTCAAGTTGCTAATGTAGTGATTTCGAACTGACCTATCTATTTGATCAAATGCGTAAATTTAAATAAAATCATACTCTTTCATCTTTTGAATATCAGAGTGGCCATCTTTAATGGTACCGCAGCCGATAAACAGCTCTCCGCATTCCCGACGTCACCGATAACCGCCGAAGCTTTCTCCAACCTCCTAACCACATGCACATTTGACCTCAGGCCCATTTTAACTACAACTTGAACAACTCCTGTGATCCTCACAATACTTTGGCTGGTCTGAAGCAGATATTTGAACAGGTTGATCATGGTCAACTCCGAGCTGCGTCGGCAGGTAATCAACATTTACAAAGGTAAGATCAGACCAGTGTAAAGACATCACGGTAGAGGCTGATATAAACATTTCTGAGCTTTAGAGCTTCTCTGGCTAGGGCGTGAATACCCTCTGGGATACAAGTATTTCCGAGATCAACTCCATCGTGCGTTTTCGAGCCAAATTCATCTTCAGGATGAAGAGCAGATTCGCAAGGGGATTGCCAGGGCTGAATTTGTCAAGAAAGGTTCGTATATGTCTATCCAACCGCCGCCATGTCTTCCCGGGAGAACATCCGCTAATTCTTATTTCTTTACAGAAGTTGAAGCATTGTAAGATTGACCTTTCCCCTCCTCTCTACAACCTAAAATTTCTACTTCGTGCTCTCTGGCAATCATCGAAATGGATTTGCAGATGTCATTGTGTTATATTTCAAATATATACTGCATGCCGTGGGCAGCATTGGCTAGATACCGTGGACTTTGATTCACACTTTTTTTTGTCATACATCATGGCATCGTGCGAGCACAGCTTGCTCTCCCCTCGACAAATATCTCGTCATTATCAGACGCTGACAAAATGAACAATCTCCAGATACTATTTGAAGCGGTATCGAACGCTGAAAAAACGATATGAGGGTTGATTAACCTCGGAAGCGAACACATGGACCAAGTGTTTCAAACAATTTCCAGCAGGAAGTGGCCAGGGGATGCAACGTCGGAACCTCCGAAAGAAACATTTTAAAAGACATAGACAAAAACGAAGAGAGATAGAGAAGGAGAAAAAAAATCACAAATTTGAGGGGTATCATCAATACGAAGCGCAATGATTCACTTGTTCTGCGCCCACCGAAACACCGGAATTTCACTTGGGGGAAGGATTGGGATGGGTTCATTTCTTTCGACCCCACCAGGCACTCACTTCGAGACACTCGCCACTAGCAAGGCCCCCCTTTTGGAAGAGGTCTGCAGTCATTGCGGCCCACCACCTATCCCATTCATCACGGCCTTTCCCGCTGGCTTCCATAAGCATGGGCTCCAGCCCTTCGATCATTTGGACCACAGTGAGAAGAGCAGTTCGACGAATAGAAATCTGGTCAGGAGTCAATGCCTTGCGTGGACGGCCCTTGGGATCTTTCCCTTGACCCTCTCGCTCCCATCGCGAATCTCCCAGTGGAATTGCAATTCGTCGGCTATCCACATGCTCCAAGAGGTCGACCTCGGAGTTGAAGGACAAGCCAATGGTGGCACAAGGAACTGCAGTGAGTTTTCGCCGGTCAAAGGACTTCTCGACCCATGAGTTGTAGTCGACAAGATATTTGTTCTGAGCCGCTGTAAAGGGCGTGGCAGATGAAAATGTATAGGTAGCGGTAGCCTCCGCAGTCTCTTGTTCTTTCGAAGAACTTTTCCGGGCTGGTGCCGGGTTGGGTAGTAGCGAGCGAAACACCCAGTCTGAATCCCACACTTCCAAGACTCCTCCCGATTTCAAGACTCGAAGAGGTTCACTTAATCCCGAGGCTTGTTGCGCCGGGCTAGAGGGACACATGCCCGCATCTTTAATAAAGACAAAATCAAAATAGTCATCCGGGAACGGGAGGCGTGGCTTTCGCAGGTCATGTCGCTTAAACTGCCAATTCATTCCCTGTTTGCGCAGATCTGGAGCCAAGGAAATAAAGTCGATTCCGACAAACCCCACGTTTGGCTGGCCACGACGAACAAAATGTTCGTGACACAGACCAGACCATAGACCAGACCCACACGCGATCTCCAGGATGCGTTTAGGTGGGCGATTGGCCAGATACGGATTGCAAAACGGGCCGCCAAAGACGCGCAGCAGCATCATTGTGCGCAGGGTCTGACGGTGGATTTCGGGTAGATCGCATGGTAAAGGATAGATATTTTCCGGGTCGCGGAGATAGGTACGGTCACCTTGTCGTGCCAGAGGGTAGTTGGAATAGTCCGTTAGAGAACCCAAAGATGAAGACGAAGTCGCGGCAAAATTCGAGCTCAAATTCGAATGGATATCTGACCCAGACGCCGTGGCCGGCGTAAACGAGACTGTCCCTGCCGTCATCATGTCCATCTCCGATTCACACTTCTCATCGAATATCCCCGTTATAGTTTATTGTGGTTCCGCAGTCGGTCGCATTCTCGGCGTGCAATTCGAAGGTGTTCATGAGCTGTGAGACATATTTTTTGTCTTTTTTTTTCGAGGCGGAAGAGTATATATAGTATGGATTGAGAAACAGAGAAGATTTCAAGATGATGTCAGATCCGAGTCTTCGGCGTAACCCACGAGCAACCTTGCGAAAGGGAGATATAAAAAGATAAAAAAAATAAGAAAAATTTGGAGATGTTCGGAGGAATGCCAACGGTTCGGAAAATATTCTTCTAGTGTAGTTTGAAGGGTGAAAAAATAATAACCTCGGACTTAGGTCGAGTTCCACGGGTTCTTAGTCACAGTACTAATTTTTTTTTCCTCTCTGCAAGTTCCAAGTTGACCAGATCTCCCATGAAGATATCAAATCTTTCACAGTGGAACCTTGGAATTGACCTGAACTAATGCAAGAAGAAAAAGAAACCACACTGCAGGAGGGGGAAAAAGAAGGGAAACAAGAATGAACAAGGCCCCCGGTCTGGTCCCGACGACCCCTGGATCGAAAAGTGGCATTGAACAGTATCCACTCGAGTCCAGAAGAGGCGTTAGTCTCTGTTTTCACGTAATGGTGAATAAACCGTAGTGTATTAAATATTAAAATCAATTTAAAATAGTGTATCTAGTGGATTGTAGTCGCTCCAGACTATCGGGACAACACTGCAGCATTGCTGCAACATTACAACACTGCACCTCTCTTACGCCCAAAAAATAGGAGAAACAAGTCCAACTTTTCCCCGCCAATGACGAGCATTTATCAATGTTTCGGCTAAGCTCGAAGGAGCAAAAGAAAATGTCTGGGTTGATAGTCCACGGTAGAATGGAATGTGAACCTTCGCCTTGTTGGGTTAGGGCACGCGACGGCGTGAAAATCCTGTCTGGGCGAAAACCGCTGTTTCTCCGTTCAGGAGGCAAAAAAAAAGAAAAGAAAACGAGGCTATCAGTAAGCTTGAGCTATTCAATTGAACCCGAGGTCATTGACATCATGAGTTTCCATAGTGCCATGGTCCATGGATCTCGGGGTGTCCACTATAATTGTGCCACACCCAAACCTATTCTGTCTGACCAGAAGTGGAAATAGGTTTTGTGTTAGTAGAGTGTATACTAGTATACACTTCATCACGCGGCAAACTATTAGCCGGGCTATCCCGAGATAGCTAGCTTCAAATTGACCATGAAATTGTTCCCCGTCCCTTTTGCCCCCTCCTATTTAGCCCCACGAACATGAAATATGATCCTTACCCCTCTTGGAGGGGCACGCAACTGAAATCCTTCCCCAGCAAGGATGCTATATCGGTGCGTGCGTGACACGTGCAGGCGCAGGCGCAGGGGCATCTTTCTAGCTGCAAGACTTATCCCATAGTGCCGTTTTATCATTGTTATTTTGTTATTCTGTTTTTCCATTTTCTTACCTTGTATTTTCCCGGAGATGGATCATTATGGATCAGTATTGATTTGAACAAGACAAAGATCTGCAACTGGATATCATACGGAATACTCGGAAATGCAATTCCAAGGAGAAAACTTGAAATTCGCCTGCGCGATGTATCATTGATCAAAAGTACATGTGCATCTGAGCAACTTGAACTGTCTTAAGTGACAGAATATCGCCTCCTGGTTGATACAGTACGGATGTATACAAGGTGAATACACGGCCAACGGAGATCCCTGCCCGCCATGTCCACCATGTCCACCCTATTCTCAGGTACCCGGGCCCGGACTAGCTAGAGATGAGACTTAGCCTCCGCTCTATCTGATACCGCTTGGTGCCCCGTGCCCAGATAAATGAAGCGCAGTCTATGTTCGATAGTGTCCCAACTCCATGGCCCTGCTGTCCCGACTTACCCTTGCATCTATGACCCGCATCACGGGATTTTTTTGTTTAGATGATCCAAACTTGAACCATCTAACCTTGGAAAACCTTATGTCGCCCCTGTAGAACAGCGATTGTTGCCTAAGTGAGATATACGGAGTTATCCACAGATCCATTCAATCGGTCTTCTATACATTGTTTGTCTTATATGGACTTCCGACACTCTCAAGTGCTCAAGTGCTGATAGATGTCGATCCAATGAACAGTACGGAGTCCAGCGTGGGCCTCGTAATTTGAGACTTTGACGCATATCCTGATAGACATGTCAATTTTTGATCCCCCTGTTCTTTTAAACGTTCCCCGACTGGACTCTCAGACCCTTCATGCGCGATACGAGGACTATATAGGTATCGTGCATAGATAGATACGGGTCTGGGGCAAATGCCCAGGTGACCCCATCCCAACAACGTTTTTGGGTGGCGGGGAAATGATGGGGGTTTAGGGACTCGGTCGCTGCGCCTACATTGAGGCAACCATATCGGTGTTACCGACGGGTTTCCCCCCCTAGTGGAGCCTGGGGAGTTGCGTATGACCTTAGGGGTCATGTCCACGCGCACATTCAATCCCAAATTTGGGTTGGGACTGGAGCCAATAGTTCGATGTTGGCTCAATAGGCTTTTTTTTTGCCTCGACTGTATGGAGTAATAGCGATTAGCCTTGCTGCATCACCCAATGATTGGGCTAGCATAACACTGATGGTCCACTTTTCATAAGCGCTGGTGCTGATAATGGTACGGAATACTTAGACATGTTTGGAGATGTGAGTTTGGCTAGAGTTATTTATTATGATATCTACTACATTTAAGTAGATTGAAGGCGTCAAGGTTTACGGAGTATACTGTACCTAGTAAGATTAGGTAGAGACGGGTATCTGGAAATGGTTCACTAGTAGGATTCGATAAGATCCATTCAGTTTCATTTATATCGACCCGTAGAAAACCAATTCCTGGAAACCCAGAGGCTCTATAAACGAGTAGCACATACTAAATGTAGTATAAATACCATATATAACATTTCATTGAAGCCCACGAGTATACCTGAGTATAACGATAGGCTGAATGCTGTGCGACACAGCAATCAGCTGTTCCAGGCCGAGAATGTTCAGAGACACGCTGTAGTTTCGAGGACGTCCTTCGAGATAAAAGCCTTGCAAGCTGTTCTATGTGAACACTGTCACTCAATCTCTAAATTTCCTATCTCACTGCAATGACTCTGGAAATATTCTCCCATCGCCAGATATACGAGAAAAGGCAAACCCCAAGTGCGCATTTTGAACAAGACAGTCCTGCGAGGCCAACTAAAGCATAACCCTTCGCTCGGCTTGGAAAACCTTTGCACTGGTGAACATGCAGCTGACTGGAATTCTCTGGAATTCCTCAGAAGATCAATATAGGACAAGAGGGAATGAGAAGATCAGGGACCGTACAGAAAGAGAAGAGCGGAGCCAAGATGGGAAGGCGGTCTTGGCATCGATGGATCCGGACAGGTGATATCACGTGACAAGACTCCCGCCTTCGATGCAAACCGTGGACCCAATACTGTCATCTCGACCTACGATCAGTCAGTCTACAACCCCTCAAATGAGATACAACTGTATGAATCGCCCAAATCCTCAACCCCTGACTTTATTGAGCTTTTTACTCATTGATTGTTTCCTTTCCGCCCTGGCAGATTAGAATCTCAAACCCACCTGTGACTCCGCCCGCCCTCCGCCCTTAGGTCTTTCCCTCACCCTCAACTTGGACCACAAGCCCCACGAACCATCTGGTACTGCGCGGCCCGAAGTTATCGACCTGAGTTGAGCTCTCGTAAGACGGTGTTGTTTCACTGTAGAACTTAATGTGGAAGAAGAGAAGAGATCGTGCTCGATTCTTAACTCCTCTCCTCACTTCTTCCGCTCCGACTCGCGCACCACTCACCCGCCACCCGGTTTATCGCAAGGGAAACCCCCCCGCGGTCTCGTCTGCCCCGTTAAATGGCAGATGGTACCTACAGGTTCCAGCAGCCTGGGGCCGGGCCGTTCTCTTTCCAAACACAACCTCACTCTCATCAACGACACGGCATCCAGAACGGCACCAATTCCCCGGTTCGCCTAAAGCTGAATCACGACACTCCCTCCCCTTCACGCTCTCCTCCAATTAACCAAAGTGCTGCTTTAAATCCATTCGCCATGTATCAGAGTCAACAACACCATATGTTGATGAATGGCGCTCATCATCAGCACCAACCCCATCAACGATTTGGGACCATTTCAAATGTGGGCATGTCGGTCACAACAAACAAGTTTCAGTCCCAAGCTCAAATCCACACACAACAAACAATCCACACCTCTCACCAAGCCACACACCCTTTCCCTCCTCAACACCCCCACTTCAACCAAACTCATCAGAACGGCGCACCTGCTATGGTTGATGACGATATGGACGAAACCATTACCGAACACTGGCAACAGCAGCTTCAGCTTTATGCTGAGTCGAGGCAGGCCAACTCACCCCACTACTACGCCCGGATAACAGCCCACCAAGCCAAAGGAGTTCAGCTCATGTCTAGCCAATCCGACGCCAACGAGACCACGACCGACGCACGAACCGGAGCTCCAGTTTCTAAGCCAGCTTCACGACAAGGATGGAATGCGCTTGACTTTGGAGGGCAGGGCCTGCGGGCCATTTCCCCCTCACTATTTGGATACACCTTCCTTGAGAAACTGTACCTGAATCACAACAAGTTGAAGCAAATTCCCGCTGAAATTGGCCAGCTTCGCAAGTTGACTCATCTCGATCTTTCCGGCAATGAGTTGACCGAGGTCCCCGAAGAAATTGGAATGTTGACAAGCCTCAAGAAGCTTTACCTCTTCGACAACAATATTCGGACTCTCCCTTATGAGATGGGCTACCTCTATCGGTTGGAAACATTGGGTATCGAAGGCAATCCCTTCAGCGAGGTCCTCAAGTCTCACATCATGAAGGATGGTACGAAGGCGCTGATCAAATATCTGAAAGAAGAGATGCCAGGTGAGTTACGAATGAGAAGTTGCTTGATTATGTCGACATACGTATATGCGGTTAGATGATGATTTGCTAACCATTGTCTCTCTATTGCAGTTCACTTGCCTCCTCCTGATCGGGACTGGGTCATTCTAGACGATACAGGCAACAGCCCGAATGAAAAGATCACAGTCGTCTCCTACAACACCCTCTGTGACTCCTCCGCAACCGCCTCTCACTACGGATATGTCCCCCTACGTGTGCTCTCTTGGGAGTTCCGTCGCGAGCTCATCCTTAACGAACTACGATCTCACAACTCGGATATTGTCTGCCTGCAAGAGGTTGATCAAGGCAGTTACAACAGCTTCTATCGGGAGCAACTCGCCTACAATGACTACAAGGGAGTCTATTCGCCTCGAGGTCGTGCCATGGGAATGCAAGAGGAAGATGCGAAGGTCATTGACGGATGCGCCACATTCTTCAAGGGAAGCAAGTACGTTCTGTTGGACAAGCAGGTGATCAACTTTGGTCAAATTGCCGTGCGTCGCCCAGATGCTAAAGGCCAAGATGACATTTACAATCGCCTGTGGCAGAAGGATCACATTGCGGTTGTTGTTTTCCTGGAGAACCGACAGACTGGAGCGCGGTTCATTGTTGTGAATGCCCATCTTTATTGGGACCCGGCGTTCAAGGATGTGAAGCTTATCCAGACTGCCATTCTGATGGAGGAGCTCACTAAGCTGTCCGACAAGTACGCCAAGATGGGAGCCTGCAATGACAAGACTGCATTCCGTTTCTCTGAGGCAGAGGACGGAGCCGAAAAAGCCCCTGAAGTTGAGTGTGCGCCATCCATGGAGTATGCTAGCGGTGATCAGATTCCTGTCCTTATGTGCGGTGATTTCAACTCGTCGCCTCTTTCCGCCGCCTACAATGTCATTGCAGATGGACGTCTTGACCAGGGACACCCTGAGCTTCAGAATCGTCTTTACGGCAATATCAGTAAGAATGGTATGACACACCCATTCAAGCTCAAGTCGGCTTATGACGCCATTGGGGAACTCAGTTTCACCAACTACACTCCTGATTTCAGTGACATTCTTGATTACGTCTGGTACTCTTCCAACACACTCTACGTATCGGCTTTGCTGGGTGAGGTGGATAAAGAATACCTTCGCCGGGTACCTGGCTTCCCCAATTTTCATTTTCCAAGTGATCATATCGCATTGTTCGCGGAGTTTACACTTAAAGGGAAGAAGGGTAAGGTTGTTGAGGCAGATTTTGGGCCTCAGCGACACTGATTTGATGACCGGAGCATCTTTGGGAGATGGGTGTTTGCGCTTTTGCGCTTTTGGTTTTTTTGTGATTTCTTTTCTTTTCTTTCTCATGTTTTTTATCTCGGAATCTCTTGGGGGTAGTGGGTGACCCTTATTCACTCCTGTCTTTCTTGGTTTTTTGGTATCGCGGCTTTTTCTCTCTTCATATTTCTTCAGTGTGCTTCCTCTATTACGAATGAGCTCTTTTCTTTCTCTATTTTCTTCCTTGTCTTGCTATCTTTCTCCCTCTATCCTCAAATTCTCCTCAAACTGCTGCTGAAGTACCTCTATTCTAAACTAGTTCAAATCTTGATTTGTTCTTGGGAAGTAGTCTACGGCGTGGCAATCTTGCTTTTTTTCGCATCTTCTCGACGTCTCTGTCATTTTCTCCGTTGCTCTTGTCGGGGTTTCCTGATATCTCTTGGTTTCACATCTCACCTAATCTCTAACGTCATTTGAGATGGCTTCACGACTTTAGGGGAGTTGGTGTTCAGGTGGAACAGGTGACTGAAGGGCTTGAGGGTTGCTCTTTGTTTTCACGTGGCGATGGGCGTTCTCTGATCCATGTACTTTTGTTCTGCCCAGGTGCTATCTCTCAATTATTCGTGAATAGAATGTGGCTATGTTTATTCCACTGGTATTCTACCTGTAGTTCTCCTAGTATTGCGCGGTCTCTTGCGAGGAATAGTAGACCACTGCACATATGCATATTAAAATTGAACATTTTGAATCGAGGCCCCGGGCAGCACATTCAAATGTTAGAAATGCCGATCATCTCTGCCTAGTATGATATACTATTCATACACACCTACACACTGGCAAGCACGGGTGTTAAAAAAAATAGCTACCAGATTCACTGTGGACAGGTACATATCGAAGAGGAGACATCTGGAGGACCTGAATCTCTACCTAGTATCCAATGATATCCTGAAATTACTATCTCAACGTATTATTGGCTCCAATCACGAGGTCTCAAGACTTTTAGACCCTTCCTGGGAGAATCAGCGGTGGAGTTTTCCCTTTTATATTCCGCATGCATGGTAGAATGCAGTTCTTCGTCATGCCAGCTATGAGCGGGGTAGAGTGAGGGCTCTTCTACTACATGAGGGGTGCTCCCATATGCAGAATGTGCTCAGACCCTTTCAAAAGCTGATGGGTCTATTCAGCTCAGGCTTGAATGAGAATTGCTGATAATTGATCTCTCAAATGTTCTAAGGTTGTCCCCATTGACCTGAAATCTTACCCAGGTGGAATACTATCCGGTACCATCTACTACCTGAATCAAGCTATTGAACAACTTACACCTGGGCACCAACCATGACACTCTACTTCACCATGTCTAGCCCTTTATATTTCTTTGGATTATTCTCCAGTCTGATTGTTCTATTTCTATCGCAATATGCTATTAAAAGTCGTCGACCACAGAACTTCCCTCCTGGTCCTAAAGGCCTCCCTATCATTGGTAATCTGTATCAGTTACCTCTACGAAAAGGGTTTCTAGTGTATGCAATACTTGTATCTGGCGAACTCTTGGAAAGTCAATAGTCTAATTTAAAGCACGAATTTAGACAAAAAGAATGGTCCAAACAATATGGCACTATCGTTGGATTCAAGCTAGGGCCCCTCAACGCCGTGGTCTTGAACAGTTACCATCATGTCAAAGAGTATGTCGTCTACAACCGAAACCTAGGTACTGATATTTTAACACAAAAGAAAGATCTAAAGACGCTAAAAATTTCTACTCTAGGCTATTCGATAAAAGGGGAGCAATTTACTCTAGTCGTCCAGAGAATTACGCCGGCCAGCAGATTATATGCCCCAACAGCATCCACATACTGTTAGCACAACACGGCCCAGAGTGGAGAGCCCTTCGAAAAGCCGTCCAAGGTCTCTTGAATTTTAATGCTGATACTGCGTTGCATCCAATTCAGGTATCCGAAGCCACAGAAACAATGTGTCAGCTACTGGAGGATCCAGAGAATTATGATAACCACATTCGCCGTTACTCCACAGCTGTCATATTGGCTTCTGTTTTTGGTCAAAGAGGAGAGAAATTCGAATCTCCTAACGTTCAAGCCTTATATCATGCACAGGAACGTTTTACTGGAATTCTGGAGCCGGGGGCAACTCCTCCCATTGACGCTTTTCCGTTTCTGAGATTGTTACCCGAGTTTATGAGTCCCTGGAAGAAAGAAGCAAAAGAGATCCGAGCGGAACAAATTGCACTCTATTATGGTCTTCTAAACGAAACAAAAGCTAGATCAAGTAACAAGAGCTTGTCACCTTGTTTTATGGGGAAGTTATTAGAGTCTCAAGAGAAGGACGGCTTCACCAATGAACAGTTGGCCTATCTAGGTGGAGTTCTGGTAGGTTATTCAAATCTCGCGATTGGAAAATAACCTTGGAAGTGCTAGAGATGCTTATACTGGAACAGATGGAAGGTGGATCGGATACTACATCGTCGACTCTGCTTGCATTTGTCCTTGCAATGGCGTCGCACCCACATGTCCTACGAAAGGCACAAGAGGAACTAGATCATGTTTGTGGCATTACTCAATCACCGGGGCTCTATGATCTTGGTAAGCTGGAGTATATGAGAGCATGCATGAATGAGGTTAGTCCAAGTTATCCTTTCACCTTTCAGTACTAGGTTGATGTCCTTATTGTTGAAACCACATGCAATATCAAACCTTGGAAATCAATCCCGATGTTGACTCGGATCAGACTTTACGATGGCGTCCAATAGCGCCAGGTGGTATACCGCATATGTTGACGCAGGATGATATCTATGAGGGCCATTTCATTCCCAAGGGTACAATCATGTTCATGAATACATGGGCTATTCACATGGATGAAGATGAATATGACGAGCCGGAGAAATTCATGCCGGAACGTTTCATTCACAACAAATTCGGCTGCAAAGGTGACAAGAATCTACTTGATGATCAGCGCAGAGTGACTTACGGGTTTGGAGCTGGTCGGCGAAATTGCCCTGGTCAAAGAATGGCTGAAAACTCACTGGTACGAAGACAAAATTGATTTACATGACTCTGGCTATTTTGACTGAATGATTCTAGATGCTTAACATGTCAAAGATGGTGTGGCTTTTTAACGTCCTCCCTCTTGGTTCTGAGCCACTGGATGTGAGTATAAGCTCAGCATTCGATGTTGGATTCCTGGTTGCACCCAAGAAATTTCCTGTTCAGTTTGTTCCTCGTTCTGATGCACATGTGCAAGTCATTCGTGATGAGTTGGAGGAAGCCAAGGAGCTATTCGCCCGATATAAGTGATAATGGGAGATTGCGATATAATGGAAATTATTGAGTTTGATTCATGTGAGGCTGTCCAGTCTATTCATATCAATGTGCCTACATTTGGATATCATTCCCACCTGGGCAGTCCTTACTAGTATTCATCTGGAATTATAGTAATCGTGCCCCATATCTACTCTCCACTAGTATAGTATGTACCTGCACTGGTAGTCCTGTGAGATGAATATGTGCTCTGAGTTTGCTATTGTACAATTGTCCAAGAATTCTGCCTAAGTGTACTAGGCTATTTAGTGTACAGGTGATATAATTACATGATATACTATACAAGTAGTATGACTTGAAGACCCTACGGATGATCCTCAATGCGGCGCCAGACTCCGATGAAACCACCACCCATGGTACGCAGTCCAACCTTTGGACGGCAAACCATGACAGTATTCTTTTCATCATATGCCGGGTTCAAAGTTGAGCTTTCAACACTAGCTTCAACATTGGTGATGGCTTCAGATTCCGATGCTTCGTCTCCTTGGGTTCCTTCCTCGCCCTCAGTCACTGATTCCCAAGTCGAAGGATCAGAGCCAGACTTCTTCACAGTGAGACGAACATCCCAGTTTCGCCCACTTGTTAATCCTGACCCAAGTTCAACAACTCGTTCCAAGACAAAAGGCCGGTTCATCCCGTGAATCGTTCTTACGCAGTCTCCAATCTGCGTAATGCTAGGGGCGAAGACAAGTAACTTACCATCGCGCATGATGGAATCCTTCACCAGTGGGATTCGCTCATGTGCGGATGGCATGTCTAGCATAACATAGGACAGGAAAGGCTTGAGTGCTTGCGAGTCCTTTGTTCGTCGGGCCACTTGCGCACTGATCCATTCCTCTACCGCGCCAACATAGAAGTCCACAGTTCCAGAGTATATACCACGGCGGAATCCCTTCACATTTTGTTCGGCCAGTTTGGCGAACTTGGATGAAACGTCCACCGTGTGAATTATAGCACCACGCTCACTTCGCCATGCGTCCCAGTCTTCTTGGGCTTGTATCTCGTTGTTCTCCGTCGAAGCTTCCTGATTTGTTTCTGACGCTTCGGTCTCCTCTGGTCCTCGATTTCGCCCTGTTACGTACTCAATCTGCGATGCTGATGGTCGGGGTGGTGGGTTTGTGTTGGCGGCGTGGAGGGCGCGTGCCAAGTGCAATGTTAATGATCCATGGCCAGTACCAGATTCAAGCATCTCAATGGGAGCTTGTTTTTCGCCGTCAGCAGGTGGGTTCACGTGAATATCAAGGAGGGAGACGATCAGATTGGCATCGTGGGAATAGATCTGTGACAATTGCGACAATTAGCTACTCGCTCTCCCCAGTTTCAATTATCATTTCGAGAGAATTTTCATACCGGTGTTACATGGCGAGGGGTCAATGTAACATATTCCTCGAGAGTTGGAAGACTTAGTCGAAGCTCAGGGCCTACAATGAGATGTCAATCGCATGTATTATGGATATCGTGGAGTTGTCCCTACCCTTATGGGTCTGTACTGCATCCCATGCCCGACTTCCAATAACGCGATCATGTTCTAGATTCCCCCGTCGAAGATTGGTCTTTCCACCCTGCTTCAATGGCTTCGTCAATGTGGGCTGCTTGGTGTGCAACACGACTCGATCGCCCTCTGCACCTTGTTAGATTATCTGGGATCCAGGGCGGAGAATCTACCCCGTACCTTGGAAGATTGAGAAGTCGGTATTGATAGACCGGGGTCGAGTAACACGAGGCCCTGGCCTTAATGGGGTTATAGAAACCTCTGGACTGGGAGATCCCAGGAATCTCTGTAATGAACGCAACAGACGAGCCATATTTGGAGCTTCAAATACCCTGAAAGGGAAATGCAAGTGTTAATCCACTTTTTTTTCATGAGCGGCGGCGTTGTGCCCCACATCTCAATCCCCGGTTCCCCCTCGTTCACCGGGGAATCATCTTTTCTTCTTACAACTATTCTTTGACTTATATTGTACCTATTTGGTCAAATAAGATATACAGGATCTACTATACCTTGTATACAAATTTCTCCATCTTTTTTGAATTCTCATTCTATCACAATGGGTTCAGTTGCGCTTCCTTATATGCAGACCAAGCCTAAGGTCATCTTTTTCACCGATTTCGATGGCACAATCACAGTGGACGACAGTGAGTATACAACTGAGATATATACCCAAGTGTAATATACTAACGGTATTATAGGCAATGACTATATGGTTCGTTGAGCGCACATCTCTTTCCTACTCTTCCCGCGACTAATCGCTATGGCAGATCGACAACCTGGGGTTCGGTGGTGACCGCCGTCGTGTGTTGAACAAGCAGGTTCTTGAGGAGACTCTGGGTTTCCGGTGAGCCTTTGTCGAATCATATATACGGATCAAATCGACTCAAAACCAAGTGCTGACTGGTCCGGATCAGCGACGCTTTCCGCGAGATGCTCGACAGCATTAAGACTCCCTACAACGAGTGCATCGAGACCCTCCTAGGCAGAATGAAGCTGGATCCATACTTTGAGGAGTTTTACCACTGGGCTAAGGAAAACAATGTCCCCATTGTTATCTTGTCCTCTGGTATGCGCCCTATTATTAGTGCCCTTCTGGAGAAGTTCTTGGGCCACAAGCCTGGTAGCCACCTGACCATCATCTCCAACGAGGCCATCCCCCGCGATGGCAAGGATATCAACAGTGAGGGTGGCTGGCAGATCCAGTACCACGATGAGAGGTAAGCGCCCAATGGAGGCCCATAATATATTCAGTTTCCCATGGTTCTGTACTTACATGAGAGTTTGTTCTAGTCACTTTGGCCATGACAAGTCTCTCGAGATCAAGCCTTATGCGGCTCTGCCCGATGGAGAGCGTCCAGTTCTTCTGTACGCTGGTGATGGTGTATCTGACCTATCGGCTGCTGCTGAGACCGACCTTCTGTTTGCTAAGGAAGGCAAAGGTAACACCGATTCTGCTTACCCATGGGCTAGACCTTATTTGCTGACAATGATTTAGACCTGGTGACTTTCTGTGAGCGCCGAGGAATGCCATACACAACCTTCCAGAACTGGTCTTCAATTCTGGAAACCACTAAGGATATCCTTGCTGGAAAGGTTTCTCCTAGTGATGTGGCCAAGCAGACCAAGTCAGCGTAAATATGGGACGAAACATAGATGGAACTAGACTGACCTAGATGGGTTTTATTATTATTTTTTTTGAGTGGTATATACAATCACCACATATGAACTTTGAATATGACATGTATTTAAAACCTGAAGCATGAAAGATAGAACTTGAACATGAAATGAAAATGATTCCTAGCATGTGTCTACTGTTGTACATCAAAGCGGAGAGACGGAGGATATCGTTGATCAGGAGTAATAGTGACCGCCTTCACGGGTCCAAGCGTTCTCTTCCCCCCAAAAACAACTGCCTTCCTACCTTGTATTCTCTCCCTTTTGACCTTCTTTTTTTTTATGATCTGGCTTTGATGTGTTGACCTGAATCTTTCGGTCTTCTGGCCTTGATTACTACCTTCAAAACACTCTGGGGGACATCATGCGCCAGTGCGCATCCCGGCTTTTATCCAAGTCCTTGCCAGGGTGATAGAGTGACAATAACATCATGGCTCGCCGACTCGTATGAACCTCTACTTGACTGCTCTGAGAGACTTGTGAATGAGGAGCTAACATAATTCTTGAAACACAGGTCCGCACGGGCATACAGCTCAGTTTATTCACTGCATTCATTCTACTCATCGTCCTATTCCTCGACAATCGATTCAGCGTCCTTCCAACTTCCATCCATGGCCACCTCCCGATGCACTATTCTGGCTACGTAATCACAGATGTAACAGTCACAACATGCTCATCACTCAATCCTTTTACCAGTTGCCATATGGACTCGGACATATGGCATCGAGTCGAAAAAGACCTATACTTGCGCTCAGGCTGGACCTCAGCCGCCTTTGTCCAATTCCAAAGAAAGAAAGAGGAGGAACTGGGTCCAGATGATAAGGTTGTCATTGACCTAAAGATTGGTCGTCTCACACCCCCGACCGAATATTCAGGCAAGGGAGAGCCGGAGATCTGGGAGCCACGCCCTGGTGGAATTTGGCTGAAACGGACGGCGTCTCGTCATGCAAGCGACTCAGGGCAGGCAGTGACCTACGTCGACGTACTCTTCGGCGCTGACGCTGTGGACCCCCGACCAAATTGGGAAATCAAAGATACACCTTTACTATTGGATGGTTGGACTGAGAAGCTGGAGACTCGCCTCAGTATTCGACGGGGAAACCCGACCAAAAGCAAAAAGCCCGTTCCTAGAATCAACGAGAATGGAAAGTTCAAGGTGATGCAGCTGGCGGATATTCACCTGAGTACAGGTACCGGTCACTGTCGAGACCCTATCCCCGCAGAGGCTGTAGCAGGACAAAGGTGCGAGGCCGATCCACGAACCTTGGAGTTCATCGAACGACTGCTTGATGAAGAGAAGCCAGATATGGTTGTTTTCTCAGGTGATCAGGTGAACGGCGAGACAGCCCCGGATGCGCAAAGTGCTCTGTTTAAATCTGTGAAACTCATCACCGATCGCAAAATTCCCTACGCTGCCATCTTTGGAAACCATGACGACGAGGGCGACCTCAACCGCGAACAACTCATGGCTATATATGAAGATCTCCCCTACTCTCTTTCAACAGCAGGGCCCGAAGACATTGATGGGGTCGGCAATTACATCGTCGAGGTTCTCGACCGCGGCAAGAGCACACACTCTGCCCTAACATTCTACCTTCTCGACACTCATTCTTACTCCCCCGATGAACGTCAGTTCCGGGGTTACGATTGGATCAAACCAAGTCAAATTCGCTGGTTCAAAAACACGGCCCAGAGCCTGCGACGAAAACATCAAGAATACACTCACATCCACATGAATATGGCATTCATTCATATTCCGCTACCTGAATACCGGACCAGCGGAAAGTACTGGCATGGCGCGTGGGATGAAAACCCTACCGCACCAGGATTTAACTCTGGCTTCAAATCTGCTCTCGAAGAGGAGGGTGTTCTCTTCGTCAGTTGTGGACAGTAAGTACATGAACTGTTGCACTGCGATTCATTCCTGTTATAGCCGCTAACTGCTATTTAGTGACCATGTCAACGACTATTGCATGCTCGAGCAAGATGCGAATGAGCAACCGTCTCTCTGGATGTGCTACGGTGGTGGCGGCGGTTTTGGCGGATACGGTGGCTACAACGACTACGTCCGTCGAGTACGATTCTTCGACTTCGACATGAACACCGGCCGCGTCATGACCTATAAACGTCTGGAATGGGGCCAGACCGATGATAAGATCGATGAGATGATGATTGTCGATGGTGGCGCTGTAAAAGGCCCTAACGCAGCATCACAATGAATTGGCCTGATCACAATACACCTTCCCTTCTTGAAATGCGAGAGTAGATATTCTATCTGCGCTTGTCATACTGTCGTTTTTGATTTAATTTTGACCCGTGGTCAACTCCATCATTTACTTTCTCTGTACATATAGTGTTTCCCTTGCCTGCAAAAAGGCGTCCGCAGGGTGTCTATCTTTATTGAATATCCCATCATCTCCTTTTCTCCATTCAGTGCCTATGAAAAAAATGAACATTTGAATCCATACTTTTTCTTCAATTTTAACAATTAGCTAGACCTGGGTATCTAATACCTTTCAGGCACCCAGTTATCCCTTCACCACCACTTTTCAAAAAATACTCTCTGACTCCCACCCTCTCCCAGAATTTCCTGCATTTGCTCAACAAGTTCATCCGTCATAGCTGGTGGCCCACATACATAAGCTACTGTTTCCTGTGGATCAAGCTCTCCCCTTTGGCCCTCAATCGCAAGACGAAGATCCTCATCGCGAATCCGCCTAGGGTAAATTGTAAGATCAGCTGGCGACTCCAATGAGAAACCAGCCTTAGATGCATTAGTAAGGAACAGACTTAAAGAGAGGTGAAGTCGAGATGAGGGTCCCTGAGAACGAATGATCTGGCGCAGTCGCGGTAGGAAAAGAATCTGATCCAGGATGAAGTCCGTTGCTTTTGTGTCCTGGTTCTGGGGAACTCGACTGGAGTATAAGAAATGGACATTCAGCGGTTGGGCATTCTGGATCTGGTTCAGATGGGATAATATAGAAATCAATGGACTATGCATTCGTTAGTATCAATACCATAGTTATCTGAAGATGCTACAGTAGTAGGAAATGATACTCACTTGATTCCCACGCCACCAGCAATCAATACCACATTCTTGACATTCTTCGCGTTTAGACCATTTGGTGGCCACACAAAGCTACCACCAACTCGAATATTCACGCCCTTGCCGATAATATCATCTTTGGGCTTCCAGAGCCACGCTGCAGCCGGATTCCCTGGGGAGTCCTGAACAGCTAATTCTACATAGGGTTCTCTACCCTCAAAGGTAGGGGGAGACGGAGTGACCGATTCATCAATGATAGCTGCTTCAGGATTTTGAAGTAGTGGCAGTATTTGGGCATCAGCTGGAGTTGATGTGATTGTGAAGCCTCCAGCGTTGGGAATAGATGGGATATGGACATCTAGCCATTGGCCTGGTAAGAATGAGAATGGCTGTTGTTCATCACCCTGATTAATTGTTAGTTCTTCGCACTCATATAGAATATGAAATAGTTTTTAATATCAGAGAGTATTCTCTGGATGTTTTTTGAGATGTACTCTTGATGTCAGGACTAATAATAGTCGCTGTATCGGGGGATATCAGAATCACAAAGCAGCCAATCACCATTTCCACCGGATGGTGGAACATCGATGCGACATTCGTACAGAGTACAGTAATCAAGATTAAAATGCCAGATACTTACATTAATTTCCAGTTCTTGTCGCGGAATCGCAAATTGTAGAAGTCGGATAGATCGATTCACCTGCTCCACATGAGCCAGACGCACCGGGTATAGTCGGTTCTGCCGGGGTTCGGCAGCAGTACGCAGCTCATGCGGGATGGAGTCTTCTCGCAGGGAACTCATGAAGACTGCTAGTCTGTTTAGTCTTGTTGGCGGTTGGGTCCGGAGGTAAGTCCGAGCTGTGAGTGGGATTTGGATTGGTTGTGGCGGTCGGATACCCCTCATTGAAATGTGATTAGATGCGCGATCTGTGTGATGGATTTTGGGCTCATGGAGCTAAGGCATGGTCTAATGGCCAGGCACATATGCTCGATATTGGTGGATTCTAACTTGAAGTTGTGATTTGGTGTAAATGTGAAGTTGGTCTTAGGTAACGCATCAACTGGTTCATCCGTGGTTCTATGCGGAGCTCCACCAGTGCTTTTCTACGGAGTACATCTAGGATGGATGTTATGAATTTAGTATTAAGTATGGAGTTTTCGAGTATCATTTTTCTATTTCGTATTAATTATTGTTGTTCAACTTGAATGTTTTGAGAGATACTATTGAGATCTGCCATGTATTAATCGGAGGTTGTGGACAGGTTCAAGTTAGGGTAGCAAACAAGTGCGTGTCCGAGGTCACAATGATTATTCCAAGGTTCTTTCAGCCCACGGATAAACACTTTAAATTAACGAAATAACTAATCCTCATAGCGCCGAAATTTCCACTGACCTTGCATCCTTTGGGCAATTCATGCACGTTATATTTTGCCGGTGATAATCTCAACCCAAGTCCGGCGGCTATATACAGCTGGAGAGAAGCCCTGGAGCCTGCCCCACATGATGGGCCACATCCATGAATGTTCTTACTCAATATTCTATACCCACTTGATCAGCATGGAGTATGTACTTCATGCATGGAACCAAATTTCAGCAAAGGAAATCATTTGAAAGATTGCCCGACAAGAAAACAGGTTACCTCCGAGGTTGTCCACCCGAGAGCGATCGTCGCAGGTCCACGAGTTACAACATGCATGGACCATACAGATGTCACAAAAGAAAAGCACATTTTTCCCCCTCTCAATCTTTGGCACCTTGGAAACGCCCCACTCCAGCGTCTCGCTGTACTCTCTCCTAGGTCAAATTACTCTAGGGATGCCGTGTGTTGCTGTGATGCGGAGAGACTCGTGCAGATCCACTAACCTATCACACCGACTAGTGTGTGACGAAGGACAGCCCATCCCCCGATCTGCAACTCTCATTGGTGCGACATGCTCACCACCTGCTTTTGCTGGCGCTTTGCCGCCATCAAGCATTGGCCAGATGCACCTCCTGGAAACACTCCCAGGATGCTCAGCACTCAGCGCTTCCGTTGATTCGTGCCCCTCTCTGCATGAGAGCCATGGACGGATAGTGTTCACGGCCCGGGGGGTCGAGAGCTCATATCTAACGCCCATCATCCGGATCGCCCAGAACTTTATGTGTTTCTGATTTTCTCTCCGTCTTCCTCTGGAGTTCCCATTTCTTCTTTATCCAAGTCTTGGCTGTTTGACGTGCGATCTCACTGCCAGCCGGTCTGGCCGAATCGCATTGTTACTCCATTAATCTTCTGGGGTCTTGTTTTTTTTCTCACTGAGAAACATCTTTTGTCTTACTTTATTACTATTCTCCCCCTCAAGGCGCTTAAAAGATTGTCGTCGGGTTTGAACTGAACGACAAATCGCCCACCATGCACAAACAAGAGCTCCAGTTCAAGATCGAGGCGATCAAGGACTTTGAGTGGTTTCGAGGATGGTTCATACCTAAGAAATGGCGCGACCGCAAGCTCATGTTCTATATCATGGCAGCCGAGTTCCCCTTCTGTGTTGCCATTCTGACCTTGACTGGTATTGCCTCTCACAACACATACCGCACATTATTATGGCAAGATGGATACGAGAATGGCTTCAACAGTTCGCCTGATCAATCTCTCTACGCTGCTGCCAACTACCAACCCTACACAGCTCCTCTGGTGTGGTCCTCATTGTAAGCTGCGCTCTGCTTCCATTTTGTCAATGGCTTATTCGATTATCAAACTCTTACTGACTCTATACTAGCTTGACCAACTTTAACCTCGTTATTGGTGTCTTGAGTGTCTTCCTGTTGATTGTGAAGCTCCCTGTTCATTTCATGCACTTGCTCTGGCCTCCCATTGCTGTCTTCATCAATGGAGGGTGCATTGTGGTTTACGCCTTCGCCGCTCGGTATCAAGCTGGTCCCGATATGTCAGACCCAAGCCATCCCCAGCCCGGACCACCATGGTATATCGCAAAGAGCTGCACTGTCGCCTACTCTAAAAGTGATATCGGTTATTGCAGACAGGCAAAGTCTCTCTTTTATCTCTGTGTTATCCTCATGTAAGAAACACTCAACCTCCTCACTACCCTAAAACCTTCTAACATATCCGTAGTCTCGTCTACGTCATTGAATTCTGTGTCTGTCTCCGTTCCTGCTGGATCACCTATACCGAGCGCGATGAAATCCTCGAGGCCCGCGAAGAGAGACGCATCGAGACAGAATTCGAGGAAGAAATCATGAAGTCTCCCTACTACCCTACAACCCCCGGTCCTATTCCTCGTACCCCCGGATTCCCACCTATGGCCGCTCAAGTACCCGGTCGTGGAGGCCCCTTGCCTCCAGGCGTTGGAGGTGTGTACCCTTACACACCGCGCCACCTAGCCTTCAACAGACTAGATAGTCAATCCTCCGATCTGCCGCTGCGACACAAGAATGGCGAAGGATCTAGCTCCTCTTCACCGCAGGTCTCGAATCCATCTCCTGGTGGGTCCCAGAGCCAGATGTATTTCCCTCCGCCACCGAAGAAAGCGACAAACTAAGCTCGTGGCCTTTGGTGATGATGCGCGGGACTGAATGGTTGATGAATTTATTACCTATTTTTGAGGTCTTTGTTTTGTGATACCAGATACCATCCTTTATTTGTTTTATACACACCTGGCACTCTCTTTTATCCCGTTCAGTCGGTTCACTGTGGACTTGGGTTGAAAGAATCAAAATAAACTTGAACCAAGTACATATCATTTATGGCGTTATCTTGGGGTGTGATTATTTTATTTCTCCCACCTTGTGTTGGTGAGAGCTGTTATCTAATGAAGAAACTGGAGTTAACAGAAAACATTTGAACTAAGATGAAATCAAAAAAGACGAAAATAAGTAGCATTACAATTTCAACCAAGTTAAGCTGGTACAAATCACTTGGAGCCAAGCTTCAAGTCACTTGTCGTCTGACGCTCTAGACATCCACAAGGCCGTATCCCGCACTGCTCATCTAGCACTTTTGGAATCAACAGCAATTCAAAGCCTAGGACGCAATGATTACTCTCAGTTAGGAATGACAGGGAGTGTTAGGTAATTGACGTATTGAGGGCCAAAATGCACGTGGTTCGTGCCTTGAAGCTTCGACGCGGGCCTGAAAATTGATTAGCAGCTGAAGATGTCAGCGGTAGGTGCTTGGGGAAGAAGAAGGGGTCAAGTGTACGGTGATATCTACAGGGAGAACACGTGGACACCACTGGTCTCAACAGAAGATTTAGATAAAACACAGAAACACTTACCTATCAAGTGGATGCGTGTGCTGAAAAATACCGCTGTCCTTCGAATCTCCCGAGCTCACCTCCAGGAGAAGACGACCACCCTTGTCAACAACAACATTGGTGGGCCAAATTTCAACGTCAACGGGGTAAATATCCCCAGGAATCACAGGCAGAACGTCTGTTGAGCAGTACTCACGGTAGGGCAACCAGGGTCGGTGACGAGGGTGGTCTGGTTTTGTGGCACGCATGCTAACTCGAAGCCAGCCGCGAGTGACGGGCACACCTTCACCCGATGAGCCAGTGTACAGGATTTCCTTTCCGGTGGCAGAGATGTGACGAAGAGTGAGGAAGAGATCAATCTCCGACGGAGGGGGGGGCAACTAGCATCTCGTGTTACAGAGACGTTCAAGTGAGCAACAATGTGGCCAGTAATCTCTGTTTCTGTGTCAAAAGGCAGAGTAAGGAAGTCCAAATGTTGAGGAGACTGCGATGATCCCAAAGCGCGGTAAATGAGCTTGGACAGCTCGGTAGACGGCGACTCAAGTGTCATCTGATTGTCTGGTGTCAGATACATGCGTGTATACCTGGTACGAGCAATGGGCCACTCATTTTCAGATCGTCGTGGAAAAGCGAGCTCCGCCTCGGGATCATTGACACCCACATCGCCCTTGCGGAGGACAAGGTCGATTCTAGGAGCCTTGCCTGTCGACCAGCCGACACGATCATCGTTCTTGAGGAAGGCATCCAAGAAGCTCCGCTGCAGCTCGACCGCCTCAGCATAATAAAAGGGAATATCATGTCGACCGACAATGAATCGCAAATACTTCAATTTGGACCCAGCATGAGTGAATCCCTCAACGTTGCCGCGGAGATGCAGACCAAGGCCACCCAGGTTCGCAACACTGAGAAATGGGACTTTGACGTCTTCCAAATTGTAATTGATAGATGCCCAGCGTTCATCGTCTCTATACCTGGGCTGCTCAGAGTCATTGGGTGCGTTCCATTCATTGGCAAGTAATTCAGCTTCGGTGAGATCTCCGTCGACAGTATCAGGGCCACGCTTATTGGCCTCACGGCCTGGGCGACCATACTGGTTGGTTTTCACTTGGCGGTTATACCAGACCTTGAGAAAATTCGAAGAAAGAATACCACCATGACGTTCTCCATCGCGATAATAATCCGATAACCCTTCCCAGGGGATCATACAGGCCAGGCCTTTTGGTTGGCGCGCGGCAACCTGCCATTGAGTCAATGCGAGGTAGCTCACACCCAACAGGCCAACCTTCCCAGTTGACCACTTTTGCTGGGAAGCCCATTCAATCAACTCTTCGTAAGCATCAAAGGTAGTGGAAGAGAGTTGGTTCAACGGGCCAGGTGATTGACCTGTACCTGGTTCATCAGCCCGGAGCACAGCATATCCGTGGCGCGTCCAGTACGAGGGGGTAGGAGTCTCCCAGGAGGAATGATCGGTCTGGTACTCTGGGTTCAGGTCCTGAAAGCTGGATATTTTGAAGCTAGAATCTGGAATTAGCATTGAGTTCGAGGTCGTATCAGAATGGTTGTGACATACTCCTTGTAAGGCACATCTTTGCCATAAGGCCCGTAGCTGGCGATGACAGGGTATCTTCCACCCTCAGACACTCCACGTGGGAGGTACACATTGCATCGAATCACGCCACCGATTCTCAAGGGAACAGAAACGTTCTGGTAAATGATATAGGGGTGCGTGCTGTCGATGATGGTTTGAACATCTCGAATGGGGTTTGGCATTTTGGCGGATTTTCGGAAATGAGGAAGAATTCTACCTGTCATGGAGTTCTAGCACAGGGCTTGAGATGACATGATAACTGCAACAGCTACTATCACGCAGGCTTTATATAACATTTGAATCATGCACAATCCAGGGCTCAAGTGCCGGCATGTGGCGCTGGCTGATCACCAAGAGCCAAGGATCAATCTATGTACTAGGTCCGTTTGAATCCGATCCGCTCCGTTCCGAGTTTGACTATTGGAGAGCTCGGTGGAATAGAATAGTTACCTAGGGCTAGTTGGATCCGGATCCGCTTAGCCGTCACTGTTTTGACAGGTTCAAATTTGTCTGAGAAAATAACATCAACTATTAGTCACTGGCATTGACTGGTTATCAACATCCGGTACGAGGTTGGCTTTTCAATCACCCCTCAGGGTTCTCATACTTCACTACGTATCCTCTGTTCAATGATTTTGAAGTATCAGTAACTGGAAGTCAAACTGCGTTAATAGCTCCCATAACTCCGTAGAACTCCCAATCAAACATCAGGCGTGAAAATTCTGGCATTGCGCTATCAAAATCGAGAATTTATTAAATTGGTAGCCGTCGAATTATTCAAGCTCGAGCCTTAGAATCTCTTAAGTGAAAACAGTCCGCGTACTCAGAGTCACACTGAAGAAATGAAGAGAAGTTGAACTTGAAGTAGATTTATTTGACATTCTATCTTGTTTTTCTAACCTAGAATCTGAACCCGAGCCAGACAGGTGAACTCGACATACTCAGAACTTTCTAAAACATCTTCAACACAGTCTGTTTCTCTGGAGAAATCTTATAGCCCTTCTCAACGGCGTCATCCAAGTTGACTACATTCATTGAAGACTCATCTCGCGCCTGAATCAGGGTTCGTTCGAAGAATTGAGTCAATTTTTGCATCTCTTCTGCCACGTCATCGATCGTAGCAAGGCCAGAATTGCATCCTATCAACTCAATCTCCTTTCGATATGCCTCGAAGATATTCAGACTGAGTTTTGTGGGAGCTCCTCCTCGCGGTGCAGCGATCCATGCATACCGACCCTTGACAGCTAAAGCATGGATGGCAGCGTTCATGATGTCGAGCTTGCCAATCGTATCGATCACCACGTTGACACCTTTTCCATCGGTAAGGGATGGAATCTTGCCCAGAAACTCTACATCAATATCCCAGTCCAGTAGAACATCGGGATTGTCGAGTTTGTTTCGAGTGGCAGTCAATACGCGCTTGCAGCCCATCGCTTGAGCGACTTGAACGACAGAAGACCCGACCGCCCCCTTGGCGCCTAGCACCAGAACAATATCGTCTGCCTGTACTCTTGCGCGGGTAAGGCAGCGTAGGGCGGTCGTGAAAGGGACGCCAACGGTAGCGGCTTGAATCATGGAAAGCGAGGTAGGCTTCTCAACAAGTAACTTTTCGAGAACAACACAATATTGCGCATGGGGACCATCCATCCTGAATCCAAGTTCAGCACCGCCAGTTCCGTAAACGGTTTTTCCAATCCACTGGGAGCGCATATCAACCGAATCTCGCCCTAATGCAATCACCGTACCGGAGTAATCACGACCGGGAATGCGTGGGAAGGATGTCTTTGGGAATCCACCGATACTGTTGTATCTATCGGACGGGTGGATACATGAATATTGAATCTTGATGAGGGCACAATCTAAGGTAGGAGTAGGAGTTGGAAGATTGGTGAGCGACAAACTTGGTAGAGAGCCCTCAAGCTCTTTCGAAAGTTGCAAGGCCTTCATCATTGCGAACTCTGAGTGCGGTGAGAAGGGTTAAGGAACCAAGGAAAGCGGATGAATAGTGTAGACAATCAAACTCGTAATTTCTTGGTGCATGCCTACCCATTCCTATTTATTGATTTTATTTCCGATGGAGTCATCTATGTGCCGTTTCAGGCCTCTATCTATACCTAGGTAGTAATCTTAACTCCGTTCCCCGATCCAATCCGTCCCGACCCGACCCTTTCAGCGGTATTTACATCGTCAGTCGATGCCGAATACCCCAGGTGCCAGGAGCTAATAGCGAGAAGGACTAAAATGCTTTGCTAGCTACATAAACCACCCGCTATTCACAAATGAGCTTTCCTACTTATCTAAGTTCTGCTCACTGACATCGGATGCAATCTTCCTTTATATAGTCCAATTTTTGGCAGACTAGGTCGCCTGTACCCGATCTGCCCATCAACCCTTCGACACTTCATCGTTCCTTTCCGTTCTACATTGCTCGTGAATATGTCCAACAAAGAAGAATTTCACGAAGAGTCTTCGAATGACCCCGAACCCCATTCGTCTTGCGGGAAGCTCGCAATTTCCTCAGGGCGAGCTGGCTCGCGCGGTCACCAACCAGTCAGCCATGGAGATACCCAAGAGCTTATTGCAAGAGTCTATCTTCATTGGCGTGGTTTGTGCCGCTCAGTTCATGACTCAAGTGGGTCTTGCTCTTGCTATTGTTCCTCTACACATCATCGGCGATAGCTTCAACGTCACCAATTCCGGGAAGTTAAGTTGGTACGCAGCCGCGTATAGTCTTACAGTCGGCACATTTATCCTCATTGCAGGAAGACTCGGGGACCTCTATGGACATAGACTCATGTTCATTGGTGGCTTCCCCTGGTTTGGTTTATGGTCCCTTCTGGGAGGGTTTTCTGTTTGGTCAAACCAAGTATTCTTTGATATTTGCCGCGCATTTCAAGGAATCGGTCCGGCTTTCTTGCTGCCAAATGCCATGGCTATTTTGGGACGTACGTACCCTCCCGGCCCTCGCAAGGATATGGTTTTTAGCATCTTCGGTGCTACCGCACCAGGAGGATTTGCCATTGGGGGTGGGTTCTCGGCTCTCATATCACAGCGTGTCTGGTGGCCATGGGCATACTGGATCATGGGGATTGTTTGTATTGCCTTTGCGATCTTTGGAATCTTCGCTATACCAAATTCCCCCTCTCCAAAGCTATCAAAGGACACGCCGTGGTGGGTCAAATGCGATCTGGCAGGAGGCATGCTTGGTATTACTGCTCTGATTTTGATCAATTTCGCCTGGAATCAAGGGCCAAGCGTCGGTTGGTCTAGGGTCTATGTATATATTCTGCTGATCCTCAGCTTCCTGTGCCTAGCCCTGTTTCTTTGGATCGAGCAGCATGTGGCATGTCCCTTACTTCCTCGAGGGATTTTCTCCGAGGAGGTCGCATGGGTACTAGCGTGCATGGCTGCGGGTTGGTCCAGCTTTGGGATTGTGGTGTTCTACTTCTTCCAGTTCATGGAAGTGATCAAAGGAGACACTCCCCTATTAGTGCTTGCGAAGTGGACACCGTCGGCCATCTCCGGTGCAGTTGCGGCTGTTACAACCGGCTTTATTCTGGCTCGGTTGCGCCCCAGTCTGATCATGCTTATTGCAATGCTTGCATTCACTGGTGGCCAAATTCTCCTGGCCACACTGCCTGTTCACCAAACATACTGGGCACAAGCCTTTGTCATTTGTACCTTAACCCCATGGGAATGTAAGGATACTACACATACTGCCTCGTCAAGAACTTTTCGAAATCAACTAACTGTCTATCAGGGACATGTCGTTTCCATCAGGAACAATTATACTCAGCAACAGTATGCCTCGGGAGCACCAAGGACTTGCTGCCTCATTGATCAACACCATTGTAAATTATTCAATCTCCATTGGGCTAGGGCTTGCGGGAACCGTCGAAAGTCGAGTCAATCGCGACGGCACAGACATACTGAGAGGTTATCGTGGTGCAGCTTACATGGGTGTCGGCCTCGCTGGTCTGGGAGTTGGAATAGCGACCGTATCAGTCATTCGAAGCGTGACTAAACGTCCCAAAGCCGACTCCGCGTCTGAAGCCTGAAAAGAACCTTGGAAGTGGACAAAGTTTGGGATAGTATGATTCCGATGTGTATATATTCTGTATATTATTGAGCAGCCAGAACTAGATATTGAATATTGTTTGTAAATCGATAAATGGTGGCTCATGGTAGGTTTCAAAAAGAGAAGCAAGTGGAGAATCAATTATTGGCACCTGGGACAAATCAACCTGTTCCTGGGAGGCGCCACTTTCTTGTCCCAGTCCTCTAAGCTGAAGGAAGCTGACTTGTTTTTCCTTCTCTTTCTGACATGCATTGATTAAAAACAGTGCGGTGTTGAAGGCTTCGCGAGTGAGATGCGTGTTAAAATGCCGAGTGACCGACTCGAACGTTTCAACTGTTGGCTGGATATTTGCCAGGGTCTCGTTTGTACCAACTGAGAGACAAGCACATATGAACTGGAAAAGGGCGTTTGTAATATTCCACCATGGATGGTGCTGAGCTGACAAACGTCGGGCTGCGGGCAGAGCAGCTGTTCCCGCCGCAACTATGAGCTTGATCTGTTGCCCAGTTAGGCCAAGCCCAAGGACGCGAAGACGACGGTGAATGGCGAAACATAGCTCAGCTCTCGCAAGTATCAGAAAGTCATGGTCTACTGTAGTTTCCATTAACTGCTCCATAGCCTGCAAAAGCTGAGCCTGATGAGAGATGGGGTCCGAATAACTCGTCGTAGTGAAGACTTTGTTGGTAAGTTCAGATAGTTGCAAAGTGAAATCGCCTGGTCGTGGTTGGATGCGATCACATGCCGTAGGATCAAGATGTGTAATAGTCTTTCCATAGTCATACGCGATCAGCACATGAAGACTTTGAGCAACAGACGTGATACGTGCGCGTTCATCACCTTCGTGGCCTGGTGGTGGTCCGGTATTCTCTGCACCATAGGCCACTGGTACTTCATTATAATGTATTCCAGTAATTTCAATGAGATTCATTGTGGTGCTACTGTGCAGCCACGCTACATTGGGTCGACTGGTTGCACGAGAGTAAATGGTCCTCAAAATCCAGGCCACTACTAGATCTTGTGAGGGGCGACGACTGATGACAGGGTCATCGAGCAGAGCCTTTGCATGAAGAACAACTTGCAGCTCCTTTTCCTCGTCAAGCAAATTCGAAAACAAAGATCCTAGTGCAACGATACCACTGATGACGGCGTCAAAGGAAAATTCCAATCCTTCGGGAGAGGCCTGCCAGTGTTCCCGGGCTCTCTGACACATGTATTCCATATCCATCAAGCCAAATACTGGATGAATAACGGCTGTAAAGACGTCGATGCAGTCTCTCGCTTGGCCCCAGGGAAGAAGCTGTGGAAGTTGAGCCGATGTGGCTCTCTCTGGCTCTTTCCGAACCCCAGTATGATATCCAAATGAATGGAGACGTGGAGGTTCCGGCAATCCGAGACCCAAGCCTAAAGACCGAGCCTGAGAAATAGATGAAGCATGGCTAATGAACCTTGCTGTTCCTCGATCCAGAAAACTTGATAGTTGTTCAATCCCTCCCGTCGGGACAAGATTGTCGGTAGGAAAGCTTTCGCGGGGTGCTACCAAACGATCTGTGGGGCTTGTCTGCAAGGATGTGTGCACAGCACGGGAGGCCCTGGCCGCCTTACTGTATTCATATTGACATGTGTATTCATAGTGGGTACAGGTCGCGCAGGGCAGTTCACCATCACATTTTCGCTTTCGCTTTCGACATTCGTCGCACGCACGGCGTGGCCGTAGTCGCGCGGTTTCAGGTTTTGTGTTCGGGAGGTGGGAACTTGAACTCATTTCCGGATGGAGCGGAATTAGACTATGCAACTTGAAGGATTCAAGTTGCAGCCTGAAATTGGAAAAGAATGGAACGGAGCAAGCGGAAGATATCGGATACGATCGGTGTTCAAGTTGGATCGAGGATTCCAGATGTCACGGAATTTACCCGGATTTAAGCTTTGTAGTAAATATTTGATCAATATCGGATTTTAAAGGAGGAAGCAGGAAAACATTGAATAATATCACTCAAACATTGAATTTCAAGTATATAAAGGAACATTTGGAACAATTCCTGAAGTCAGAAAAACCCATAATTGTTCAATAATCTTACGAGTCCTACAAAATATGCTGCCATCACCATTTCTCAATGCCGTTGTCGGCAGGCGCTCCGTGTACAAGATTGCCAATACCTCGCCGATTTGCGACAAGGAAATACGCAACTTGGTATCTACGACGATGCTCAATGCCCCCTCTTGTTTCAACAGCCAATCTACTCGCATCGTTCTTCTTCTTCTCAAAGAAGAGCACCAGAAATTTTGGAGAAATACTTCGAGCATTCTGAAGGCTAAGATCGGAGAAGATGCTTTCAAAGGCAACACGGAACAGAAACTGAAGGGCTTTCGAAATGGTTATGGGACAATGCTCTTCTTTGAGGACCCTCAACAAAGCTTTGTCAGACAAGTTCCCAACTTATGCTAGCAATTTTTCCACATGGTCGGAACATACAAATGCGATTCATCAATTTATCCTATGGACGGCTATGAGTGAGCGCGGCCTGGGTGCTTCACTCCAACATTACAGTCCGTTAGTGGACTCTATGGTTGTCGAGCAATGGAAAGTTCCAGCGACATGGCAGTTAAAGGCCCAGCTTGTTTTTGGTGAGCTGACTGGAAGACCACCGCAGAAGGCTTCACTTCCTTTGGAGGACAGAATGTTTGTGTACGGAGAGAGCAGTAAGGGAGATGAGTCGAAACTCAACACCTCAAATTATGTACAAAAACATATGAGATTATGATGGAAAGAGTGTCCTTCATACTTAAATACTGGATTAATAGTTGAATCTAAACTACTAGTAAAACTTGAAGTATCGGCCGAGACATAAAGGCATCGGATAATAAGCCTGATTTCGAGCTCCGTTCCATTCCGCTCCACTCCGATGCGATCCGATGGTACTCACTGCCAGTGAGCCTGAGCGCCCTTATTAAAGCGGCACCTGGCAGAACCAGCCTATAGCTTAGACCATAGATTTATCAATAGATTCTATTTGTCTTTTGTTTATTCCATCTAAACATTAGTATATCCCCCTTAATTCAGCACTTGAGTTATGTCTTACTTTAGGATATCTCTCAGTTTAGATATTCCTACTAGGGTCACCAGTTGCCTTTATCTAACTATATAGCAGCTAGTAGCCTTCCCCTCCAGGTAATCATGTAGGTAGCAGGTAACCCTGTAGGTAACCCTGTGGGTACTTGCATACAAAGAGGTGTAGGTCATCGCTCACCTGTAGATGCTACTGACTCGGACTAAGCCCTGTACTTCATAATGTGAACATCCCTGTCTGAGAGGATGGATATGAACATACCCGTGGACCTAGCCAAGCACTTGAGTGCTGAAGACCTACATTTTCAATGTCAAATTCTCGCTGCTTCACTGCCAGGTTGCCGCGCGAAGCACGGTGTGAGGACTTTTATGCCAGTGACTCGGAAAGCCCTACCTGTACCAGCAAAAAAAAATCCAGTATGTAAACTAGTGCCTACCTACATGGATGGGTCCTAACCTAGGAACTGAACTGAAGACTGAGACTCAATGTGAGAAAATAAACTTATACAATCTATGTAATAAAAATCAAAGATACAAGCACCAAAGAACCAATATTGGGTCATTATTTCATCAGTCATGCTATATGATCCAGCATGGGGATAATTCAAATCGCTTGAAAATTCCAAATTGCAAGAATCGTCACATGAATTGCAGATGGCAAAGGGTATCGTGACGCAAAATACTCGAACCAATGAGATAAACAAAAGATACAGTGTTCCCCCGAGCCCCGAAATACTCCAGACTGTCAATCTGCGATGCGATGATGGGTTGATGGGACTAGGTGGACTCTTGGCGCTTTTTTTCTTTCTTCGACCAGCGTACTAGAAATAAGGCAAGGAATCAAGTTAGTTTATGCATGGGGGTAAAGAAGTGACTAGTCGGTGAAAACTTACAGCCGCAGGCATTGCATAATGTCTTGGGACCCTTAGGACCCTTTCGCCATTCAGGAGAATCTCCCGTTCCGCAGTCAGTGCAATGATGTTGACCCTTGAGTCTTTTGCGCCGGTCTCCCTCTTGAGCACTTCTTGCTTGATCAGCCGTAGTGGTGATGTCAATATCACAGTGAACTAATCGACCCCGACGCAAGCCAGTGCTCAAACCCTGTGACCGCTCGCCGTCGCCATAGTGAAGACCTGTCATCACTTCGATGCCATCAATATGTGACAAGCCTATGTTCTGTAGAGATGGTCTTTCCGAGAAGTAATCAGGGCCTGCGCTGGCATCCGAATCATCTGAAATGGCGGCAGCAGTTTCACTGGAGTCTTGGTCGCTTAATACTCCTTGTCCATTTCCACCATCCATAAGTACGCCGTCTCCCTTTCCAAAGTCGCCGCGGGTTAAGATGGCTTCTTCCTCTTCCTCTTGTTTCAATTTTGCGATTTGTTGCACTAGTCGCGCATTCTCAATTTTGTGTTCCAGGAAAGAGTCGAGAAGCAGTGAATTTTTCGATGGATAGGGCCGACACATGAGGAAAAATCCTCTGCACCGATTTTGGTTGGAGGTATCCCGACCCTGTGATACACCATCGCCCGCAATATGCGGGTGTCCGTAAATCTCGACGAGACCATAGGTGTTATTACTCCTCTGGAATCGCACATGTGCGCGGAATGGTCGATTATCTGTAATCGCCTCGCTCATATCGCGCTCAAAAATATATCTATCGTCTTCATGAATGTGTTCTGTAAGGGTGGTCCCTTCCAACTGCGTTGAGACTCGACCGGTGATTTGTTTCGCGGACGGCGAGGCATATGTAATGTGGCCTTCGCCACTCACGAGCAGGAGCATGTCCTTCATTTCTTCCAGCACTTGCTCCGTCCAACCAGGATCATTCTGTCCCGCATTATATCCTCCCCGTTGGCCCATCTGCAGCCCAAAGTGTGCATAAGACCCTGCCATGTTCTGCTGTGCGCTCGGGTACCCTTGATTGGAGATGGACTGGCGCTGCTGTGCGGGTGCGTGCAGGCTATCGTACGTTGAATGCTGACTTAGAGCCATACCGAAGTGGCTGAGGCCCGGAGGAAAGGAAGAGGAAATATATCGTCGGTCAGGGATGTGGAAATTGCCGTTAGGCGATTCGGGGCGAGCGTAAGTCCGAGCTCAGCGACCCTAACGGGCGGGCGGGTGCATTCCCCGCAAAGTCAGGGTGTATCTCCTATAGATCCGAGCCAGAGAGGATCATATCTGATTACCTAGAGTCAGGTACCAGAAGTTTTATTCCACAGCGATATAACAAGAAGGAAATTTAGAATATTCACAATTCCCCCTGCTCTGCTTATCGCAGTGAAACCAACGCCGAAAAAAAGCGTGGGAAATCCCAAGAGGAGGGAAATTAGACCCGGTTCGCTCAGGGTGATAGATGCGGTGCTGATCGCTGTGGGGCGCTGCTTATCTAACGTACCATTTACGCCACGTGACTTCGTGTCGCTCTGAGCGCGAACGAAAAGTGGAGAAAGTTGATGCATCATAAAGCCCCGTTGAGATCTGACCACCATTTGGGACTTTGGAAAACAGACCTGTGGATGACCTTGAGATTCACCATTCGCCACTAGAAGACTCTGTGGTGCGTCCTGTCGCCACAGCGCTTCAAAATGTGAGATACACTCAGCGTCCGTTAATGAAACCTATGTATGCTAATAGTGAACTAGGTGTAAGTGTAATCGAACGCGGTTTACGAGCCACCGGATGGATCTGACGATGGAAATGAATTTCGACAGCAAAGATCGACAAGCTTTCAATTTTGGGGTATGGACTTTTGCTATCGCTGTTGGCCGAAAACCAAATACTAACCGGGTTCTGGATTCTAGCGTACGGTCCTTCGATAACACCCGCAGCGAGACGATCCAATTTCACACACCTTTGACATTGATTGTCGGATACAATGGATCAGGTAAAACAGTACGCATGCCAGCAACTATATCTTACAGGTGCTAGGTAGAAACTGACAGGCCTAGACAATTATCGAGTGTTTGAAGTACGCTACCACCGGCGATCTCCCTCCGAACAGCAAAGGCGGCGCTTTCATCCACGATCCGAGATTATGCGGCGAAAAAGAGGTTCTTGCGCAGGTGAAGCTCTCCTTCAAAGGAACTTCTGGCGCTAAGATGGTGGCTACGCGAAGCTTACAGCTCACGGTCAAGAAGACAACGAGACAACAAAAGACACTGGAAGGTCATTTGATGATGATGAAAAATGGCGAGCGAACGGCTATCTCATCACGAGTAGCTGAGCTTGACCAGATCATGCCTCAGTACCTGGGTGTTTCTAAGGCTGTTCTCGACTCGGTCATATTTTGTCACCAAGATGAGAGTCTCTGGCCGATGAGTGAACCTTCCGTCTTGAAAAAGAAATTCGACGAAATCTTCGAAGCCTTGAAGTACACAAAGGCCATCGACAATATCAAGGTGCTACGCAAGAAACAAAATGAGGAGCTTGCAAAGTACAAGATTATGGAGCAGCACGCCAAAGAAGATAAGGACAAGGCGGATCGTGCAGAGAAACGATCTGTTAAGCTCCAGGATGAAATTGAGGAAATACGCGAAGAGACTCAGAACATGTCCAAAGAGATGCGCCGAGTTTCGGATCTCGCTGACAAAGCCTGGAAACAATCAGAGGGTTATGCAAAGGTGCTTGGAGCACTTGAAGGCAGAAGAATCCAGGCAGAAAGTATCCAGAACACCATCGACAACCTCAAAAAACACCTGGTTGAGCTCGATGACTCAGATGAGTGGTTGGAATCTAACTTGGAGCAATTCGAGACGAAGCAGTTCGAATACCAGCAACAAGAAGAAGCTCAAAAGGAGAATTACATGGAGATCAAGGCGCGCATTGAACAGATTCGGCGCAGTCTGGGCTTGAAACAGGCTGAAAATGGAAAATACGAGAACGACAAGGCCAACTTCGAGAGGCAGGTCCAAAAACGCCAAGAGATGATCAACGAAGTTGCGCGCGGAAACAATATTCGCGGCGTGACTGGGGAGATGGACCAGGACGATATTGATGCTTTCATGCAGAAAGTCAAACGATTTTTACGAGAGCAAAATCAGAGCCTCGATCGGGTGAAACGTGAAGCTCAGAAGGAGCTTCGTGAAGTTCAAGACACGCTCAATGAAATTGGACAGCGGAAGTCTGCTTTACAGGAAAGCAAGAATGCTGCTAAAAGACAAATTTCGATCAATGAAAGAGAAGCCACAAACTACCGGCGGAAACTCGATGAAATCGAAGTTGACGAAGGCGTCCAGGCAGCTCTAGAAGCCAAGATTGAAGACATCACCGCAAACCTCGACCAAGCCAAAGATCGTACGAAGAATGCTTCATGGGACCAAGAAATTCAGGCCCTCGACACTCAAATCCACAAACTTGAAGATGAAAATTCGAAGCTGAATGCTGAGTTGATTGAGTCTACAAAGAAGGCTGGAGAGCTCGCTCGATTGGATCACCTCAAAAAGGAAATCAAGGAGAGGGAAGGCAGCCTTCAAACAATGAAAGGTGTCCATGGAGACCGGCTTTTGAAGGTCGTTGGCGCAGACTGGCAACCCGAAACACTGGAGCGAGAGTTTCAGCGGGCAGTTGAGGCTGAATCTAAGCAGGTATCCGATGCCGAGCGAGATCGAGATGGTGTTAGTCGAGAGCTGGAGCAGGTTGAGTTCAAACTCAAGAATGCAAAGAAGACTCTCAAACAGCGACAAGAAGAGCTCGAAGATTGTGTGAGAGAAATCAAAGAAGCAGTCGATGCAGAGCCTAACGACTACCCTGACATCCTCCAAGATCGGCAAGCGCACTACGATATCACGCGCAAAGATCTTGATCAATACGCCGGTATGGGCGAGTACCTCAGTAAATGTCTTGATGCAGCGAAGCGTGCCAAGGTGTGCCGTACGTGTCAGAGAGGGTTCAAGACCGACACCGAGTTCCAAACGTTCACTAAGAAGCTAGAAGCCTTGGTGAAGAAAGCTGCCATGGATGCAGACGATGGTTCTTTGGAAGAACTCGAAAAAGAGCTACAAGTTACCCGCAGTGCAGGTGTATATTATGACACATGGGTCCGTCTTTCTGAAACAGACATTCCGGAGATCGAGAAAGAAGTGCAAGAATTTGAGAGTCAGCACGATCAACTTTCAGATAAGCTTGAAGTTCATGACAGAACCGTAAGCGATAAGCAGGAAAGTAAGAAGGACGTGGAAGGCCTGACCAAGACGGTTACTACCATTGCAAGATATGACGCCGAGATCAAGACCATTACCTCTCAAATCCAGGAACTCGCAGCAAACCAAGAGGATGCGTCTGCAAGTCGTACCTTGGAGGACATCCAAGATGAGATCTCCGCAAACAGTGAAAAGGCGCGCGAGTTGAAAAAGACTCTGACCAAACTCACGAACGAAAGAGAGCAGACTCGAACCGAGATGAATAAACTGGAGCTTCATCTGAAGGACGCTGAGGCCAATTTGGTTAATGCCAGACATCAGCTGGATAAGAAGACTGACTTGGTCGTTCGCTTGGATGAGTACAAGAAACTCAATTCGCAGCAGCGAGATGCGATCGAGAAAGCGGACCGAGACATTGAGGGTCTAACGCCGGAGTTGCTTCAAGCTCAAGGTCGTTACGACGATATCAGCCAGCGGGCCGAGTCGCGTGAGCGAGATCTGCAACATGATATCACCCGTCTCTCCGAAAGTATTCACCAGCTTGACTTGGCGAATGAAGACATCAATTCATACAATGAGCGAGGAGGCCCAGATCAGCTCAAACGAAGCAAGGAAGAACTATCTGAGCTAGAGGCTGAAATCAGTAAACTCGAGTCCGAACAAGGCGAGATCACAAGAGAAATTAACAAGATCTCAGCTCAGCTCATGGACAGCGAGAATACAAAGCGCCAGTACTCAGATAACTTGACCTATCGCCAATCTACAAGGGATTTGCACAGCGTCGAGCAAGAAATCGAGGAATTGGAAGGGCAGAATGCCGAGGTTGATCGCAGCCGGTTTAAGCAGGAATCGGAGCGCTGGACGCGAGAGCACAACGCCCTGGCTGCTAAACAGGCCAGCAAGATGGGCGAGATGAAATCCAAAGATGACCAGCTGATGCAGCTTCTGAAGGACTGGAACACCGACTACAAAGATGCAGCATTCAAGTACAAGGAATCGCACATCAAGGTTGAGACAACCAAAGCAGCCGTGGAAGATCTCGGCCGATACGGTGGCGCCCTCGACAAAGCCATCATGCGATACCACGGTCTGAAGATGGAAGAAATTAATGCCATTGTCAGCGAGCTGTGGCAGAAGACCTACCGCGGCACAGATATCGACACGGTTCTCATTCGATCGGATAATGAGAATGCGAAGGGCAATCGGTCATACAACTATCGAGTCTGCATGGTCAAGCAGGGCGCTGAGATGGATATGCGAGGCCGCTGCAGTGCTGGTCAAAAGGTGCTGGCTAGTATCATTATCCGCCTTGCGTTGGCAGAGTGTTTTGGTGTCAACTGCGGATTGATTGCTCTGGATGAACCAACCACCAATCTGGATCGTGACAACATTCGCTCCCTGGCTGAAGCACTGCATGATATCATCAAAGCTCGACAGCAACAGGCGAACTTCCAGCTGATTGTCATCACACACGACGAAGAGTTCTTGCGGCACATGCAATGTGGAGACTTCAGTGACTACTATTATCGCGTCTCGCGTAATGAGAGACAGAAGTCGATAATTGAAAGGCAGTCAATTGCTGAGGTATGTTAACCCATCAAAACATTTGAATCTTTTGAGCTTTTACTAATCGCGAATCAGGTCATGTAAACCCTCCCGTCATCAAAAATGGTTCCATTTTCTAGACTCCTCCTAGACAACATGGTCACCTCTTATTTCACGTTTCGCAGCATTTACGTTTCATACCCATTCAAATTCAGGCGTCAGTGGCTCGCTATCTTGATAGCTAGTATCAATAGTGTAACATTCTTTTACTGTATCTGTGTGGTTCATATGTACTAGCTAACGTAGAGCCTAAGCTCATGTTTAAAGACCATCACCGGGAGTCCATAGCTTCATCCAGCGGTCATCCATATCACTTCCATCTTCATAAAATCTCAAGTCTGTACTAACACGGATTCTTCCATCCAATCCCTCATTCTTCAAACTAGCATGCACAATATATGGATCATGAAATACCACATCGCCGGCTTCATAGTCTGCAGCAAGCCAATGACGACGTGATTTTTCACCATCTGACTGGTGTAACTCTCCAAACTCACTCGCGTTCTGAGATAATTGACCGTATTTCTCCATGTGAACATTGAAGGCACTCAATCTTTCCTCGTCTGACAATTCCTTTGCTCTTCGCGTAAAGTCTTCCTCGATTTCACGACCAACAGAGACTGAGTCCGAAAGGTACATCAGCCCACCACCTGTTGCCTTTGTATCTCCTGTGATTTCCATGATTAGAATTAACCTGCACCGAGAATGAAAAAATGGTATACTTACCAATAGGAACCCAAGCAGTCAGGAACTCCGCCTCCCCTTTTCTCAGAAATAATTTATCGTAATGAACCCCAGTACTCAACGCACCTGGTGCATTATGTCTTATCATTGTACGCGTAAGTAATATCTCTTTCTCCCAGCCCATGATTCCTCTAACGAATGCCCGAAATTCCACATTTTCCAACATCTGCAGGTATTCCGGTCGGGTGTGCGCTTCAATCATAGTCTTCACTTGTAGATCGGTAGGAGGGAGTTCTCCCGCTCCGATACCTCCATGGGCAAGTGGATCATTTTCATCATTGAAGATACCGTCTTCGAGGGGAGTCCCAGGCTTTACTATCCCCGTTGGTTCGTAATGGGCGAAGTATCTTAAACAACATTGTCAGTTAGTTTATTCTTGGAATCGTTGAGGTGATAGCACTTACTCTTTTCGAACACATTGGACCTCCTCTCGTGGGAGTAGGTTTTTCACAAAGACGTAGCCATCTGTCCGGAGCCTTTTTTGCATTTCTTCGAATGAGGTGTCTTTTGGTGTTGGGCGAAGCCACTGTGCAGGCACTGGGGGACCTTGGTTGGAGCGAACATTGATGGTCATTTTGAATATGGCTTCTGAGTGGGAGTGCAAGATATTGTTCAAGAGGGTAGATGAAATGAAAGCTGCTTGAAACAATCTTTATGGAAACCTGGCATTTATATTCAAATGTTGCTGGTGTCCACCGGTTGCACACCCCCACGCATGGTGTTGCTGAAGCTCCCGCTCGAATCCTCACATTGTTATTGGTCGGCGTTACGCATTTTGATCATAAGATTTGAATTTCCTGAGATCAAGCATTCAAATATTGGAATTATATGGATGATTGGACCGATGAAAATAAAATTGAGTCTAAAGCCGGAGGGCAATCACTGTGCTTGGTTGTATGGACATTGATCGGCACCTACACTACCTACTACTACTACTACTACTAACTGGTACCTACGTTCACGGGTAGGTACAGCGTACTAGTACTAAGTAGGGTCCTGTTTCATTTTCATAGCATTTAGAAATTATAATAAATTCCAATGAAGTCAAGTCCGAGTCTTTAAAATCACTAACCTTACCTAGGTGAAGCCTCAATGTTACCAACTTGGACTTCAATTTTCTCTTATCCTGAGGGATGAACCATGATAGTATGATATATGAGATGAATGATAACCTTGGAACTGTTTATGAGATCAGGTGATTAGCGGTGGAATATCATGCCGATTTAAAGAGAAATAAGGGGCTAACACTTTGAACTAGTTCAACGGCATAATAAAGCCAAGACCTGGAATTGGCCTGGGCTTTATTCGCTTGTACATTTCTAGAAGATCCTTCGTCATTGCCAACGCATTAGCTGCTCACATATGAGGTGGACAATACTAACGATCGGTACTCCGAAAAACCGTATCATAGTAGCCTAGTTCAGGCTAGTACTCCGAAATTGTTTGTTTTCGAATTGCTGCAGAAGAACCTGCATGTGCATGTACCCGTGAAGAACAAAAAGCCCACATGATAAAACCGGTATTAAGCACTTGAGCACATTACTATGTACTATGTAGTCAAAAATTATACAGGAGGTGGCAAGTTGAGAACTATATTAACTTGAATCCTGCCGGATATTCCGTGAATTAATCCGATTATCATGAATACTACTGATACTACTAGTATCTCGGTTGCACACATAACGTGAACTTATAGGCTGGTTTCCCGCTTCCCGAGTCCTTTTCCCGTTCCCACATCTCTTTTCCTCATATCACTTTCACTCGCAGAATTCACTTCTTTTGTGATCCAACCTCCGGACTCATTTAGTATCTTCTGTTTCGGGGCAAGAACTAGAATAGAAAAGTAACCCTCTGGGTTGATCAGCAACCTCGTGGTGGCGTCCACGGAAACGTCTTCCACTTTGATATTTAGTGGCTCTCTCCTCTTTAGTCTCTCCCGGCCCCTTCATGCTATCCCCACTGCGGAGTGGAATTTCAAAGTATCAATCCAATCATTGAAATTCCTGTTTTGATACTTGAAAAGTGACTTCCCGTTGTTCCCGTCAAAAGTCCTACAATTTAGCCTTTTGATTGACATAAAGTGGGATAACGGCGCGCGCCGCCCCGCTTAAGAACAGTTTTCTTCGTCAAAGAAATTCCCTCTGGAATGTTCAATTTTCTTCTTTCAAGTATTCCAAAATGATTGAAGATACAATTGCTGTGGTGGGTGATCTTCTCCTTGCATGGATGATGCATGGTACTTATGCTTATTTGTCAATTCCATAGGACACAAATGTCTATCAACCCGATGATAACCAATATCCTGATGACTGGCAATCGTGAGTAACCTTTTTTCTTCATTTCAAATCCAATATCTACTGTCCATTTTCAGGCAGAACATCTTTCAAATGTTCTTGAGAGATTGAGCTGACTCCATTTTAGGGAAACAACATCAATAGGTTCTTCCATCTATAGGGGTCTTATGGAAAATGGCCGCCGGTAGGTCTCTTTCATCCGGAATTAATCTCTCTAATCTAATATTGTCTTATATAGATATCAATCCCTGAGAAGTGACGATTATCTGTAAGTCAAAACCAATATACACCTCAAAGCTGGACGTCCTTATTGACTTTACATAGACTTCCTGTAGATGATCAATCATTCGAGACCTATGAAGCTGCGTATGCTACCAATTTCTCCATAGCCCCCGGCTTTTGTTCGTTCCTCTATTAAACAATCCCAGGCACCTTCTAGCCATGATCATGGATTCCGACAGAGATAATCCACTTTTCCGCGCACCTATTGGCGAAAACCCGACGCATATATTGGATTTGGGGACTGGAAAAGGCAATTGGGCCATGTGCGTGATCTCGAGAAGAACCTCCAGATGACACACGAGGACACATCACTGACACGATGAATAGTGATGTGGCTGATATGTTCCCGACCGGTGAGTCTTCAACGGTATCATCTGCATTATACCCGTACTGGCACTAACGGAAATCACAAGCAACTGTTCGCGGCGTCGATCTTTTCCCGCCTCCTATTACATGGATGCCACCAAATTGTGTATTAGAAGTTGACGATGCTATCCAGCAATGGACCTGGAAAGAGCCATTTGATCTTATTCACTTGCGTATTATGACAGCCTCTTGGACTGACGGTGAATGGGATAAGATCTACAAACAGTGCTATGAGTAAGCATTCCTCCAGCCCCAAGAATGAAGATCATACACTCATTTTCACTTCTTACTTTCAGCAATTTGAAGCCTGGAGCCTGGATCGAACAACTCGAGGCTTTGGCCCCCATCGAGTGCGATGACGGTAGTGTGCCCAAAGACAGTATGCTCAATACATGGGGCACGACTATCATGGGTAGTGCCGAGAGGTCAGGTCGAGGACTGGACGCTATGCTCACCATGACAGAGGGAATCCGCAAAGCTGGATTTGTGGATATCCATGAAAAGAAATATAAGTGGCCGATCGGCCCATGGCCCAAGGACAAGCAACTCAAAGAAGCTGGCATGGTGAACTTCCAGCATTGGTTGTCCGGTCTGGAGGGTTGGTGCATGTACCTGCTCACGAAATTCGGGGCACCGAGACCTTGGACTAAGGAGGAGGTGCTTGTTTATGTGTCTACTCTGCGCAAGGAACTGCAGAACCCACATTACCACAGCTATGTCAGATCGTGAGTCAAATTACTTCGGATATCTGGTGATGGGAAGACTAACTGGTATCTTGCAGGAAACGTGTATGGGCTCGCAAGCCGTTCCCGGAGGAGGTGGCATTGAAGAAGAAGGCGGCAATAGAGATCAAGAGGGAATAGTGATGACACTGGAAGTTGCGACGCAATTGATCTATCTGTTTTCGGTTTATGCCCTTCTCTGTCCATATTGGCTTTCATTCACATATCAACGACCAGTCTGTGCACATGTGGGTTCACCTGTTTGCTGGGCCAGTTCAAGTTTAATATTAAATACCTCAATAGCGTGCTACTTCTCATGTATATGGAATTCTCAAGGCTTATTATACTAGTACTGCCTACTAGTCGTTGGAAGGAATAGTGAAGAAAAGTCTGACTTGACAAAATCATGATTGAATCGCGTTGAAGGGTAACACTAATAGACTGACATCATTATGTTGCCTCCAGGGCTAGACTGTTCGAATCAGAGTCTTCAAATATTTCTTCACGCGTTCAACATCACCAAGCTCAGAGATGACACCAATGTATCCATCTGGTCGAACGATAGCGAGTGCACCTTTAGCGGGATCCACGCCATACGTCGCATATACATCATCCAACTCATACCCGCTGTAAAATGACATCTCCGAATACTCCTTCACGTCTGCGGGTATATCATTCCATGAGAAGTCCCGGGAGAGATGAGGGTGAATGACAACCTGCTCAAGAACAGAGGGAGGGAACTGGGGAATAATAGAACCGATATTGGTTAGCGCTCTAGCAGACACGCCTTGAGGATCCAGCAGGTCCGACGAGGTCAAACACAAGATACGGAATCGGCCAGTCGACAGAAGATCTAAAAGGTCAGAAATGACACAGAAAATGATTCTCAGGAGATTCTATCTCACCATCTTGTAAATCACGACGGTACCCATCAGCATGTCGAACAAGGCGCACATTTAGCAATCTTCTTCCTGGACGCAGAATACCAGATAGAAAGTCAGTGCCACTGATCGGATCGGCACTGTCATTCAAATCTCGTTGAACGGTCATGTTCTCGGGATATTCGATTCCACAGCCACTGGTAAATCCATTGCCTCGACTGAACACCTGGAGGAACTCGTCGTGGGTCAATCCTCCAGCGCTATTTTCTGATGCACCAATTTTGCCTGAGAACATGGATGAGAATGCACGGTCAAAACCGATCAGTTGTTGGGCAATGGTGTGTCGCTCTGTGTGGTATGTGTCGAGAAGAGGATCTTCCTCAGTGCTAGCGGATGCGGGCGTAAGGCCATGGATTGCATATGCTAATTTCCATGCAAGATTGTAGGAATCCATCATGGACACGTTCATTCCTTGGCCAGCCTTGAAACGTTAGAGTGTTGAAGATGAGACATGATGATTCCGTCTGCTTACCTTGGGGCTATGTGTATGACATGCTGCAGTCGAAGCGTCAGTAAAATGTCCTAGAACGTCTCTCCACATACTACATACCGTCACCAGCAATAAATACCCGGTTCACGCCCTTGGAGTCCTTTACTGAAAAGTTGTCTGTGACTCGCTGTCCGATCTGATAAGCTGCCCACCAATCCACCGCACCCTCCGACTTTGGTCGAATATAATATGGCTTGAACGCTGCAGCCGCGTTCTCAAATATCGTCTCCTGGGTAACCTTGCTTCTTCGAGCCCTGGCATCCTCCGTGGGAGATGTATCTGCTCCATCTTCACTGTCAGGATCAATATCTCCAGGTACTTGAACATACAATCGTGTCAGATAATCACCGGTAGCGATACGCTCACGGGGAATAACCATGACAGAGCCTGCAGGAGAGTGAATCGCGCATCGCCGTCTGATATCAGGAAAATCTGTATCAACGATCAAGTCCACCACGCCCCAGATATGATCCAGTGACTCGCCCTCCAGCTTAAGTCCCATACAGCGCCGCACTATTGAGTGTGCTCCATCCGCTCCTACGAGGTACTTTGACCGCACGATACGTCGGTGACCTTCTGTTTCAATTTCCGCTAAGACCGGGTACTCCGGGTCACCTTCTTCGTCGATCTTCATATCCAGCAGTTTTGTGTTTCTCTGGACTCCACGCTTAGAATAGCGGTGTAAGTCAGTCTCCAGGATTCGTTCAATTCGGCCTTGGTGAATTGTGACTTCGTATGGGAATCTCGCAGGGACGGCGACATCAGCAATGATTGAGGTCCGTTCGATTATCTTCTCTTTATCATCCGAGGGGTTCCAAAATGCGACCTTTGTTTCATTATACAATCAGACTTTGCTTCACAACCATAAGTACAGGGATTCCCCGCTTACCTGCCACATTTGACATCCCTCTGTGAGGATCTCATCCGCTAGACCTAGCGATTTCAATGTCTCCAGTGTACGAGGCTGCAATCCATCTGCTTGTCCAGACTTGAGTGTTGTAGGCTTAGAGTCTACGCATAGGAGGGAGTCGTCTGTTAAACCATATCGTGCTAAGAGTAACTCAAGCATTAATCCAGCCGGCCCAGCACCGACAATCACAACTTCATATCGTTCTGTCTCCTTATCCACTGAGATAGTAGGTGTCAGGCGAGGTAACGGGGGCGCGAAAGAAGGCAAGACACGAAGCTCGCGCGACGCCGCGGCATATTCAGTGAAGACGGGCATGACGAGTCTTTATGGATGAAATTGCGCTGTAATTCAAAGAAATTGAGGTTGGTAGATTCAATTTCCGCGTCTGGGCTCGCTCCTTATATCTATATTCCGTACATGAGTGGATATATGGCTGTTAATCCGAACACAAGACCCACGAAGAACGCGGCATTATCGACGTGTCCCGAGGTCGCGGACAGCAATTCTTCAATAGCGGGGAACTAGGCCCGGGGAAAAGTGTAGAACTACGTACGCGGTGAAGCATTTCATGGGTCCAGTGCATGGGCCGGGTGGATCAAGTAGCACCATTTTAGCCAGTCATGATTTGTTATCGGCGATTGGAATTCCCGCTGTTGTGGATTTGTGAGATTCAAGTAATCAATAGTCATGCTATGTATGTACATCCTTCTGCTGTCTGTGGGGGGAGTGATCGACTGGAATTTCCTTGGTTTACGGAAATAACCTTGGAAGGCATAACCCTAATTGTCAGTGTATATCCATATATCCATACTCACTATGTACGTCACGGTGCGGATGTCGATTTCAAAACTGATCCCCACAATTTATAATTTCTTTTTCTTAATAAATTACATATATTAGGTGAAATTTAATAAACTTTAGATATAAATCAGACCAAAATATATACCGAAATATAGCTAGAAACAAAGAAAATTTCACATATCTTCTCGCATATTACTATCACCGTCACTATCGCTGTCGCTACTAATATGACTGATTTAAGTGATGATACAGAGTATTTAAGTATTGCACTCAACTGGAATATAAAGCATAACATCTGAAAAATTCTCAAAAAGTCTGGAGTGAAAGTTGAAAACAACACATGTGCATGAACGGTTCAAAATTTGCAATATTGACTGCCCGGTTCCCGTCACTCCCCAACTTCGTCAATCCACTGATAAATGATCTCCTCTGCTCCCGGATTGCCCATATGACCTTTGCCGTCAATAAACTGAGCATCTTTAGTTCTTCCTCGTCTGCATAGCAGGATCATATCCTCAATTGGAAAAATGCTGTCTTCCATACCATTGATGACCAACAGCCGGGTGCAAGGCATATCAAGAATACCGTTCTCTTCAAGGCTAAACCTAGCACGAGGATTGCTATTGATATACTCCTCTACAGAGAAGAATCCAAACTTCGCAGCCAATGAATCCGCAAGAGCGAAGGGGTATTCCATATGGTTCTGTGCGCGTATCCATGTCTCATCAAACATATGGTGAGAGCCACCCCCCTGGGCAACTGCCGCCTTCAAGCGGTTGGAATGGGTGTGTGCTATGCGCATTGCAAAGTAACCACCTGTACTGATTCCGCGAACAGTGACTCTCTTAGCATCCAAACTGTACTCCTGCCCCCGGACGGATTTGCGATACAGTCAAAAACACTGCTCCACTGACGATCAGGACTAAGAGGATCTCCTGGAGCAGCGGGCGAGTCGCCAGTTCCAGGGATCTCGATGGATAAGCAGGCAAATCCATGGTCAACGTGAGATTGGGTACGAACGGTATGGTCTGTCCGATACGCATCTAATCCACATATGAACAGGATGACAGGCCAGCCGCCCTCTGGTTTCTCAATCTTGGAAGGAACGCGGAGGTACGAGTATATTGTATCCCCATCACCAGTTGACGCATCTTGGTGTGTATGTGGAATGGCAATTTGCTGGTTTGGTGGGTCCAAGTAAGGCGATGCAGCCATGTATGCCTCCTTGCCATACTGCCAGGCTTTATGAGAGGCCGGGGAGCGGTTGATTGGGAATCGAGCGATACGAAACACAGCTGCGGCACGCAGGTAGAGGTCCCGCGCTGCGCTGCTAGGCTATCCGTGGTCTCTGCGACTTTGGCTTCTTCAAGTAATCACTTACCCACTGGAAAGAAAGGGGCTGCGTATGCGTCTGGGTCATGAAAGACATTGTAGTCATCACCGCTCGCCTCGATCAGGTTGTCAAAGATTTCCTGGAAGTCCTCAACTTTGCCATCCACAAAGGGATATATCCCCATGGTAGCTAGTGCTTTCCATTTTGAGTTCCACACAGCGCTAGCAGAGGAATGATGTGGGAAAAAATTGGGATCATCCAGAAACTTCTTGTACGTGGTATGGTTTCCGAGGCGTTGACTCCATAGCGAGACTATGCGATTCAAGGTTTCAAATTTAATGAAAATCGCAGATGGGAATTCACTTTTTCCTAGTCAGCCCTCGGGCTTGATGGTGACTTATGAACCGCATTTATATGAAAAATTGTGGGTTCGGAGTACATTAGCTCTTGAATCCATCAGGCGTCTGACTTGATTTATGGAGGTGGTTTCACTTTGCGCCATATCCATACGCACGAGCACACGGACCCAGGAGGTGGATGATATTTGGACATTGAATGGAAGAAGTACCTGCTGACACGGGGGAAATCTGGGTGTAGCGAGATAAGACATGCTGGAGGCTTTCTTTTCCCTTGACCTATCTCAGGACTCTCCCATCCCCACACATCCCCCACTTCGGATCCTTCTCCTGTGTATTTCCGGACTTGGACTCCACAGGAACCAGGACCGGTACTTCCTTATTCAACATCAAATCACTTGTGACATTTTGAATGGTATCTAGTCTCTCTGTGGGACTTTTTGGCTTCAAAATACGCTTAGATATATGAATGAACTGGAATTTTGGTCTATGGTTATACAAAAGGCTGATAGGACACGCTATGGGAACCTTTCCTTTTCCAGAGCCAGATTTTCAATTTTGACAGACAAAGCCAAGGTAAAAAGACAGGAAAGAGTGGGAAAAGTTGGTGAGGTTGAAAAGAGCGAAGAGAAAATAAAAACCAGGTAAGAGGAAAGGAAAGGGGAAAAGGGCAAAGGTTTGACAGCAAATGGCGAAAGGAAGAGAAAGTGAGTGAAAAGAAGAAAGATCCGAGTCTTTAATCCAAAACCTTGGAAATGTTAGTACATCTATTCGATTAGAGTCTCCAAAGTAGTACGTGCCCAGGTGGAAACATGCCGTTTGACTAGGAGAGTTCTAAGTACAGATATACATAAGATTATTCCAAGGTTGTAGGGGATTATCCCTCTAAAAAGAAGAGAAATGCATCTAGAGTATATACTACTAACCATAATCTCAATCTAGGATATTTTCTATATTAAGGCCTAGACCAGGGTGTCTAAGTATAGGAGCTGCCCAGGTGCTCTCTCCCGCGCGGAATGGATGCGGGCGGGGATGAAGTGTTTCATCGCTGAGTCATTCTGATGATGTCATGATTGATTACAATGTGGGGACTATCATCGATGATATTGACCAGTTGATGCTGGAAGATTGGAGATTAGAGATATGTATAAAGTATAGTACTCTGTATTAGTCCTGAGCCTCTGACTTGGGAAGAAAAAGCAAAATGGGGGTTTAGAACATTTGAATAGTAGCCATATCTCTGTTAAGAGTCATCGTGAACACTGCAAAGCTTTGGCTTCAAAGCTCAAGTTCTCACCGAGGTATGCAAGGAGGTTGATGAGATCGACCGAAAGCACCTGGACAACTTGAATATGCTCGATGAGATAAGAAAAGCACTAATAGAGTCGGATGTACTAGGTACATATGATGAGATCCTGTACTGAGTCGGACCGATAATGATCCGACTCTCGTTGAAGTGCTACGCGCCCGACATTTCGCATATTCATTGGTGCCTCACCGTATTGCATTTATGCAACTTTGAGGCACGATCCTCAGCACCACCGCTAAGATGCGAATGTTCCGTGCGCTTTCCGTGATGATGGTCGCTGGGGTTTATGGGGCGGGTTTAAACCGTAGCGTACTTCCAAGGCCTTGATACATGTTTGGCGTTGACCCCATTCTGCAGAAGCGCTCCATGACCCCACCATCGATGACGATGGGGAGAACCACATCATGTTACCCCAAGACAACCGTGGTGGCTGGGTGAACCCTGAAGATCTCAGTCCTATGCCCCAGTGTATCGCTCAACAAGATCAGTCCGCCTGGCTGAGTACTATGACAAAATGCACCAAGAGACGATGCACCCGCCATTTCGGCGTCATTTGCACCCATCATCAATGGCTCACTCAGCTCAGCTGTCTCAGCACTTCCTTCTCCCCCGATGTTATTGCCAGCTATTTGCCATACTGCGATAGATCTATACTCGCTAAGGCGCAACTTTACTCATGGATTCGAACAATCACAGGTAGAACGTGGATGGTCGAAGTCGGAGATGCAAATGGGCTTCAAAATCTCTCTCCATCTTCCCTAGCTGAAGGATATGCAGCCGTTGACATAATTTCTAATGCACCCAAATGCCTGACCGGTTCAACCTCTTCTGTGTCAAGGGAACCCTTTCGATATGTGATAGCATCTTGCGGTTTCACAAGCACCAGCCAAGACACCGGCAATGCTGCTCGTCCTTGGGAATATAGTGGATCTTTACATTCTATGGTTGCGCTGGATTTTGAAACTGTTGGTTATGATCTCGTCGGGGCTCGCATCAAAGACGGCGACTACTTTGATAAAGATTGCTTCTGCGGTGTCTTCACGATAAACCTCGAACAAGAACCCTGCACAAGGTCAGAGAAGTTGGACATCACGAAGGAGTGTCTTTGGATTAATGCCACCTGTGGATCAACATCCTTACCAGATGGTTGGGCGGATACACTCATGACCACACAATTCTCATTTATACCTATCGAAGATTGGCAATGGCCAATGTGTGTCGCAGATATGCCAAAGGATGTGATTGAGCTTACTGATCAGTGCGCGACTGATGCTTGTGAGGTCGACTCCAGTGGCTATTGTAACGTTAGGCGTGCAGTTGACAGGACATGCTTTTGCCGCAACATCAGCTATGAGTCTTGTACAGGTTTGTGCCATATATTTGAGACCAGAATAGACTATGTGAAGTGGCTCCACAGTCTCTGTGGGAATGTGCAGGACTGGCATGGCCTGCCAGATAATTGGCATCAATTAACCGCGCCCACTCCTGCCGAGTTGATTCCTTGGGGATGGACTATCACGCCGCGCTTCGACAATCTAACTATCGCCAATGTTACCAGTTTTGCATACCCAGGGGAAACGCAAATATGTCCCCTGAAAGAGTGGAAGCTCAGAAGCTTTGCTGTGGTCAACATAGCTACTTTCCTTGCAACATTCCTTGGCCTAAGAATACCTTCACATCAAATCACACGCAGTTTTCAAAGGAAATCGTTCATACGGTCTTGTTTACTTAAGGGGACGTTCCTTATTTCTTTACAGCTTCTTGCTAACTTGCTCAATTCTTTGATTGTTCAGAAAAGCCATGGGTATAACCATATCCCGGTTGTTCAATTGATGCTTCTTTGGTGCTCGGTGCCTCGCCTTACATGGCTAACAATTGTCCTGACTGGTGCACATTCACTTGAATCCAGCAATCTATCCGCGGCTGCGTCGTTGTCATTTGCGGAAATATGTCTTCAGTCTCTATCGTCGTATCATATGATCATGACCTTCAATTATGGTAAAGAACACAACTTATACCTAGGAGGTCGGGAGATTGGGTTACCAGCGAAACTCATGTATGCTGGAGCACTCATGTGGCTTGTTATTTTCAGCATTGCGCTCATTAAATTGATGCGGACCGCTCTCAGGATGAAGCGGTTGTCTGAATTTGGTGGTCCAGACCAACCTAGGTGGCAGGAAGCCAAAACAACGTTGGAAATTGCTAAGATGATGGCCGGCTTGGATGGATGGTACACGAAGTTAAATAAAAAGCCTACTCATCATTCGCCGCACCAAGTTCTGAGCTCCGAACGAACGCCATTGACACGCAGGCAAAACGAAGAGTGTACTCCGAATAACGCGGTATATGGCACCTTCTCTGATCAAGAAAATCACCGCCAGCTTTGCCAGAGCGTACTGTATTCAGAATTCTATGCTATCATGGTCTTGAGCATGTTCCTTCTCTGGATTTCCCAGTGGCTGTTCTGGGGTGGATTCATTTTTCTGATTTCGGATGAGTAAGTGTCCAGATGTCGAAGCACATACTTAATTATGCCCTCAACTAATTGGAGTTAGGTTTTGTGTCCCCAGGCTTGTGACTATTACAGCTGTCTGGGTTGCTTTCTCATTTCTTAGCACTATCGCCGGTCTTCGACAATAACTTTTCATGTGTGGTTTATCGGGAGCATTTGAAGTTTGAATTTACAGCGGCTATCGTGCTTATTCTGTGGCTCTCACAATTTGCTTAAATACAAGGCCAGAGTTATTTCACATTTTTGAATGCAGCAAGTATTAGTTGTCTATCAGATTGCATGTCATCCAAACTTGAAATTTCAAACAAATCAAGAAACATAACCCACTGGTACTGGTACATTCAGTCTCGAAATCGGCTTAACCGATATACATACTAACATTTGAATACACGCAATCAGATCCACTGCCAAGGCCTTATCGCCACCCATATTGGTCAGATCGCAATAAATTGAGGGCCGTTGAAAGTTCATTATCTCTTTCCCTAACCTTCAATATCATGTTTATACTATCTATAGCGAGAATATTTTGAATGGTAAAAGTCATTTACATGCCTTTTATGAAAAGGTGATCAGGGGATTGTACGGCTGCACAGGTTCTTCCTTTACCAAGATGATGGAACTTGAATGCCCAGGTGGTATTATAGCGGGTTGAATGATCATCGATAGTCTAGTGTTAATTAGGCCGCTCGTCCATGTCTGTTTGTGCACATGTGGTCTCACATAAGAACAAGGGTTCCAAGCCTGGAAACGATCTTCATCTCAAGTTTGATCAGGCAAACATTTATTAGTACATGCTGGTAATAATTAGTATTCAATTTCAAATGGTACTATGTAGATATTAAATTAAATTGTACATATTACCTTGACAGTGATACATAATAGTTCGAATGTTCACTCTCACAGCCTCGCCAGCCTTCCGAAGTTCAAGTTTATACAGTAATTGCGCAGGGTGGGTTCTGCTTTAACGTACGCTTAAAGGTGTCCATGCGGGGTTAAATTTGAATGTTCCAAGGTTCACGTTGTCTACATGGACCCATTGGTACTATGAGTATTCAGCTGCTGACTCTCACTGGCAGTGACAAGCGAGCCGCTGATGCAGTAGTTCACGCCTTGGGTGGCCTGAATTCTGCCAGTGAGAAGTGAAGGTTTTCATTGGAGAACATTTATACTAGGCAAGCCACTACTGCATCAAGCCTTCCTTAACGAGAAAGAGGGGCATGCCTAAGTGTCTACTAGTCTGATCAAAAGTACCAGTTAACAATCTCACAATCTCAACCGCTCGACCCCTCAACCCTTTGACCTCGGGATATCGTTAAGCGTCTCTGTTAATATGTCGGATAAATTTACCACCATTGGCCGCATGGGGGTTTTGACTGGGGTATTTCCGATTAATCGATTAGATCATAGTCCAAAAGTGTGGATCATTATCAGCTCAATGGTACATGATACCTATATACTCAGAATGACCCATATTATGGATGTCATGCAACCTTTGAAACTCCCCGAACGCGGGATCTTTTTGCGAGCAGTTGTGATATCCTGTGGGTCCTGCACAGGGGACCGTCTACGTATCAGTGTTCGGGGTCTTCTTAGATATCTCTAATTGGATTAAGAAATGCACCTAAACGGTAGACTGCGTGGAGAATCCCAATAAATCTTTAGGCTGCAGATAGATACGTGAAAGGATTTTTAGTTTGTCCCAATACGATGGTTGAGTCAGTTGTCATGTCGGGCCCCCCAATTTTGTTTGCTCAGCCTTAAGATTTTGTAGATCATGAAGGCCTCCCTTCAACAAGTTGTTTGACATAAGATCAACTTTTCTCCCTCAACCACTCTTCAATCATTCTTGCTTTTTCTCCAAAAAGAAAACCATCATGGTGCGCTCTTCTCGTGCTTTTAACGGCCCAACTCCTGTACCTGTAGTTGAAGAGTCGACAGAACGCACTGCGGCCATCGAAAATACGCTCAGTGGATGATCACCGTCCACTGAGAGTTGTTGTGATTGGAGCCGGTATCTCAGGAATACTGGCTTGTATACGACTTGCCCAGAGGATTCCAAATCTCGATCTATGCATATATGAGAAGAATGCTGATATTGGAGGTACTTGGCACGAGAATGTGTACCCTGGTTGCGCGTGTGGTATGTCAAGTCATCACTAATAGTGTTCCCTTCACTAGTCCTGATTTACTGACCATTTTCAATCCTCGCCCAGATATTCCTGCGAATACCTATCAAGCCAGCTTCGAGCCGAACAAAGAGTGGTCCTCTTTTTACGCCCCGGCAGCGGAGATCCATCAATATTGGAAGCGGGTCGTTGAGAAATATGGTTGTATGGAACATATCAAGCTTCAGCAGCAAGTAACTAGTGCAGCTTGGAATGAGAGAAGCTCTAAATGGCAATTAGGTGTGAGTAGGAGGTTTCTTCTGCTTTGGAGTACATTTGAGACTAACAAAGAAACCCAAGGTCCACAATGTTGATCGTGATATCAAATATGAAGACCGGTGTGATATCTTAGTCCAGGCCACTGGCTCCCTGAACAATTGGAAGTGGCCAAAGATTCCTGGTCTTCATGATTTTAAGGGTAAAGTGATGCATAGCGCCACCTGGGATACCCAGTATGATTATACGGTATGCCTATATTTCAAGGTTGAGTTTACCATATGATTCATTGTTGACCTCTTCAAAGAACCAACGCATTGCTGTCATTGGTAATGGCTCGAGTGGAATTCAAATTGTTCCTGGCATATTGCCGAAGGTTGCTCATATCGACCATTACATGCGAAATCGTACTTGGATCGCCCCTGGCTTTGCCCGCGGTGAGCTCGATAGGCGCGGAATCGATGCTGAAAATTGTAAGTATGCCGAGGTTAGTCCTTAGTCGCTCATGCTAAATTTATTCAACAGACTCTTTCACGGCAGAGGAAATTGAGACTTTTAAAAATGATTCTGAAGCATATCAGAAGTTTCGTAAAGGTGAAATACCACCCATATGTTGATGATATAAGAAGAATTTCAACAAGTCTAACGGAGAGAATAGATACCGAGTTTCTGTTGCAATCCGACCACCCATTCACAATCACTGGAACGCCTAAGCAAGTCGGCTCAATCCCATTCTTCATCGATAACATGACGCGTCGGTTAGCGAAAAAGCCGGAGCTTCTTGATCAGATCCTTCCAGATTTCCCGGTCGCATGCCGCCGTCTGACACCAGGTCCCGGTTACCTCGAAGCTCTGACAGACCCCAAAGTGGATTTAATCAAGACAGAGATTGTCCAGGTGAACGAGACCGGGATCTTAACCGCGGATGGTGTGCATCGGCAAGTCGATATGATTGCCTGCGCCACAGGATTCGATACCACCTATGTGCCACGCTTCCCCATCACGGGGCGTGGTGGATTATCTCTATCTGACCGGTGGAGAGAAAGCCCTGAAACATACATCTCTGTCGCCACGGACGGCTTTCCAAATCACTTCATGATCTTTGGACCGAACTCTGCTCTTGGTGCAGGAAATCTCATCTTACTGTTTGAGAAGCAGGTCGAATACCTCACCGAGTGCATTTTAAAGATTCAACGTGATAATATTCGCACCATGACCGCACGGCCTCATGCTGTTCAGCAGTTCTCTCGGTACTGTCGAGAGTATTTCAAAGGAACTGTGTATAACAGCAAGTGTCGCAGCTGGTACAGGGGTGGGAAAGAGCAGGGAGATATTATGGCGCTTTGGCCAGGTAAGTCTCAATATCCAATGGGAATCTTTCTATTTCCCTGTATGTATTAAGAATGAGTCTTATAGGGTCATCACTTCATGCTATGAGGGTCTTTTCTAATCCTCGCTGGGAGGACTTTGACTATGACTATCTCAACAATAATCCCATGGGCTGGTTTGGGGATGGATGGACTGCAAATGAAAGGAACAATACGATCAACGTCGATTACTTAGACGATGATCAAATCGATTTCCCCACTCCGAGTCCACGAATGGTAGAGGGCAAATAAGAAGTGAGGGAAACTATATCCACATGAGCAGCCTGATGTCAGAGCAATGATACTCCAGGGCTCGAGGGTTCAACGGGAAAGGATTTTTACACTTTGTATGACATGATATCCTTGCAAGATGATCACAATCATTTCACTTGAACATTGATTCATCGAACCAGAAATTCAAATTCTTCTCATTCTTTGGGCAAAACTATTTGAGTATGATCAACCTTGATTATAACCGCATTTAGTCTATTAAGTGGTGATATCATTCACTTTACCATACCATACCAAATTAAGTATTTGAGCTGTGTACTCTTCCCCGCATTCTTCTATTGTGGAGGTACTTAAGTAAGGGATCAGCCCCCTAATACCATATGGAATACCAATACCGGGCACTTCCCCCCCTGCAACCCTTTCTTCACCCCAGACCTGCTCCTCCTTCTTATCACCCCGGGTCTCCTCCCCGATGGACCACAATGAAGCCCGCCGAGAAGCATTTTCGCTGTACGATCTGTCAGCGAGGCTTCACACGCATTGATCATTTGAAAAGACATCATTTAAGACGTATGTATTTGATCCCGGTCGTCTTTTTGGATTCCGCCCGCTCATGTTTCGAAAGATTCCGGTCAGAAGCCATACTCATGCGTTTTCTGCAACGAGGCGTTTGCGCGTTGGTACGTGCACCCACCACTTCCAACCCCTGCTAGGTCTTATTTAAAGTCTGACCGAGTGATCTATGAAACAGTGACAACCTCCGAGATCACTATGCTGATTGTGCTCAACGTGGGGATCGCCAAATCCCCGAAACCGGACAGAGGGGTCGCCGCCGCCATGCATGCCAATCGGTGAGCCTCAAGCTTCGGTATTGTGGGAACCAACATACTTACTCTCCATTCAAAATTTACAGTGTATGTCTATGAAGCTTCGTTGCGATGGTCAAAGCCCCTGTGGTTCTTGCGTGAAACGAAATCTCGAATGCAATAATGAACGACTCACCCGCCCGTTACAACTCGATCTGGACGAAGGTATGGCATTTGAAGACAGAAAAAAAATATTTTTGGAGAGTCGAATAGCTCATACTTTGCAGGATCAGGGTCAGGATCACCTTCAGGAAAGACTGAGATTTACCCTGAACAATCCGACCGTGGATCTATTAAGTTCCTGCTGAATGGTGGTACGGATACCTTCACGGAACACTGGAGTCTTCCCCCGAGGGGAGACCGTACACGAAGTCTGGTGTTTCATCATAGTCAAGATCAACAGGATTCTCCGACGGAGATGTTTCAATACGAAGTCCAACAAGTCAATCAGCCTGACTTTACGCCGGCAATGGTAGACTCAGATCCAGCTGCCCTCGCATACTGCCAACCCACATTCCTCGATTTCTTCAACGCACCTTATGGCGAACAAAAGCCTATAGAGGATCCATATACCGGACAGATGACTTATCCACCAGCAGGTCAAGACCCATGTCTGACCATACCGTCACAACAGGACGTCTTCGAGCCTGAACCGGAGCGTCCGTTCGCTCTGGCCCTTATTCAGTCCATATCATCTCGAGCATGGATATTGCCTTTGGATCCAAAAGCTCAAGAAGAGATATCTCAATGCCTGAGTACATTGCTCACCACTGCTCGCATCAGGAAATTCATTGCGTTGTACTTCAAGAATTGGCAACCGAGCTGTCCAATGGTTCATCTTCCTTCTTTTGACCCGGAAACGGTACCACTACCACTACTAGCTGGAGTTGTCTTCATGGGAGCTATGTATAGCCACGACCTGAGAGAAGTTTACATGGCCAAGCGGGTTGTTGACTTCGCTGAGCTTTTCATCTTCTCGACTCAAGTCTACTCACCCGACGTCGAGATTGCGACCACATTCCTAGGAAATCGAAATACAGAGGAAGAGGCGACTGATTGGATCAAATTTCAGAATTTCCAAGCAGGATTCATCATAGTCTTAGTTCAATTTTGGTCAGGCAATGCTGCGAGCCGGGCGCGCGTGATGGAGACCCGCTTCAGTGAAGTTGTCAAGGTACATTTCCCTCCCTGGTCCAGCGGAACACTCACTAACTCATAATCAAAGTTAACTCGTCATCTTGGTCTTACCAAATGTCGGCACCTGCCACAAGAACATACCAGTGAAACGATGTGGATTCAAATGGAGTCACGCATTAGGTGAGCGCTAGAGTCTTGTTATTCTCGATCACTCTCTAACACCTCTCAGAACCATGTCAATTGTCTCATTACTGGACTGCGCATTCTATTTCTATCAAAATTACCCCTATCGCTACGGCATCTTCGAAATGGAGCTAGATCTCCCCTGCGAACAGTCCCTATTTTGGTCTGATCATCCATTTTCCGAGCCAAATTTCCGCCTTTCCCGCAACCTCAGCCTATACCAAGCATTCCAGAACCTTTTTGCTCCAACACCAGCGGAGTCTCCTGGCAGGCCACCCGAGTACTATCAGATGGATATGACTATATTTGATATGTTCATGCTTATACATGGTACGCATCACTACATGACACTGGTTATTTCCAAATGCTAATCCGTCATCCAGTTCTTTTCGCTTTCATTAACACACAAATCATGCTTATCGGCCTCACGAAGCGACCAGGCTCTCCTTTATTATCGTTGCATAGCCCTTCTGATACCACAAGTCCACTTCCTGAAATCTCATTCCTCAACAACATCAGAGTGGCCCTCTCTCGTTGGAGAGAGCATTGGATCTCATTACGAAACCGAATCTCAGATGATGAATGGACTGCAATGGGCTTCTACAAAAATGGGTATAGTCTTTGGCTTGTCTCACAGTTGCTGGTCACTAATAAGGATGCCGTTGACGTTCTAATGGAAATGGAGGTGAACTGCGAAGATAAACTGGACAAATTGAAGGTCTTGTTAAAAGATGAACAGGAGTAAATCGTTTCTCGGCAACGGTTAGATCTTTCTGGCTCTGGGGAGGGTGCTACTTTTGGCAGCTCTTTATTAATATATGGTGTTTCGGGTTTACTTGGAGGGTTAGAGGTCTTGGAGTTTCTTCTATTTCGATATCCTCGAACTAATGTTTAGCTTGTGCTGGGCTGGATTCCCCAGCTTCATGTATACAGGGACAAAAGCCTTTTTTCTTACATATCACTCAGTGGTTCATTATAGCCTTGAATCTTATATCAATTTGAGGTTATCGCCATGCTGCTTAGTGCGTAGCACTAACGGTAAAATCCTAAGTTGTCGCACGGGTTCCAGCTTCTTATGCAATACCTAGATTCCAAAACGTTTCAATATTTCTCCCAGTATCCTCATCCACATATGCTGGGGGCTCTGCAAAGGTGACAGATCCTCCATGTAGTTCGGCAACTTTCCCTGTTAGAGTGATATCGTCCACCAACTGCGTCACAGCTTTAGTTACTGTGGACATGGGAGTAATAACCATTGATTGGAACAAATCCTTATTAGAAGCGATGTTTGTTTCTAATAGCACTCAGTCAGCCTTGTTTCGTATATCCGATCCATTGTTACTACCAACTCACCGACGACAGCAGGTGCTAGCGCATTAATACGAATATTTTCTGGTAAAAGTGATCTCCCCAATGATCGAACCAGACCGATCACTCCATGCTTTGTAGCTGCGTATAATGGAGCGATTGGTAATGGATATAATCCAGCATTTGATGCAGTGCATACAATCAGACCATTTGAGGAGTCCTCGCTAGGTGCCAGTTTATTACGAGCCATATAGTGAATCGCTAGTTGTACCGCTGCACAGTTGATGAAGTTCACGTTAGCATTCTACTCGACCTTGCCGGACTTGTCTCAATGTCTTTCTCACTCACAGTAGATCACCCCAACAAAGTTCACATTTACGGTCGCTAGGTTCGGCTTCGATGGCCTGGTGCTAAGATCTCCACCCTTCAGGGGCAGCAAACTCCCACACTCTGTGATTCCTGCATTGGCGAAGACAATGTCAATTTGACCTTGCTGCTCGAAGATCTTTTCAAAGGCCGACGCTTGACTTTCCCATGAAGAGACATCACATTCCTCGAAGGAGATTCTGGCTGATGGAAATTCTGCAAGAAGTTTCTCGATAGTTTCGGCGCCAGTTTTGGGGTTGATATCCAAGATAGTAATTTGGGTATTAGGGTCCTGGATAAAATGCTTCGTAATACCCAGTCCTATCCCGGATGCGCCTCCTAGTCCAAGTTAGAATAATAAATTCAACATACTATCTTCATAGTTGCTGTAGATAGGGTCGAACTCTCACCGGTGACGACAACACTGCGTTTTGATGCCATGATAAAGCTCGATCAACCGTTTCCCACTTGATGGATTACGGTTAGATGCAGTTGGACTTCAGGTACATGTATTTTACATATCGGCTTCTTGCAGGTGGTCGGCAGTTGCCCCTCTTCCCTTCTCCACATTAACGTGGAGCTGGGGGTTTTCCGGTGGTCTGTGGAGAAGGGGTCATGGCGTATCGTCGGTTATGTCCTTTGTATAGTTCTGAGTATTGGCTTTAATTCCGCGTTCTGATTCAATTCTTGTAGGGATCTGGTCGATCTAAATATTTCGTCTATGGTAGTTAGATCTAAACATTAGAAGAGTTCAAGTTTTATGGCTCTACCAGATGGGCTTGTTCCAAGGTTCCAATGTTATTGTTTTGCCGGTTATGGTAGAAACATAACCAACGCCATGATACCATGATCAGATCTAGTATCAAGTATCAAGTAATTCATTAGCTATTTTAGGAGATATATTGGACTTTGGAATTACTAGTAGAGTATATTGCTTCACATGGTATGTCGCACTTTTCGAATGTTGTTCTAAGTAAGCTCTCACCTCACTTCCAAGGTTCCCGACCGTGCAGAGTATTCCGATATTGGTTTCTTCCCTGTCACACAACATCAAATCTTAATATACTTATTTGAAATATTTGATTCCAGCTGATAGATATCATTCTAATACTTGGGAGAAATTTCAGAGAAAAATAATTGCTCAACGTTGAGTGGCGAGGTTGTCCAAAAAAAGCATTGACAAACTACAACTCCTCCATGGCTTAGTGATGTGAAAGAGCGTTTTCTTCAAACAACTTGAATGTCAATGTTGACTCTTAATTTCAATACTCAAAAACAACTAACTTGTTTATTCTCAACTGTAATGTACCCATATTCAAATTGAGCCTCCATTGGTTCGTTCTATCATATTTTTCTAAATCACCTACTAGTCAAGTGAAATGAACCATGAAGACCTCGGGATACTGGGGTAAAGTGTGGGGTACTAGATTCAAGTTTCCCCATTATGGGGCTTGATAGCTGCCCCATATACCCCCACTACTTCTATGGCGAGCTTGTAAATGTATGTATAGCTTGGAAGAACGTATCTCTATATGGTCCGATATAGCATAGGTAGCGAATGATGTAGACCTGTCCTTCCAGGATCTATGGGGTACTAGTTAGTAGTTCTTGTGACCTTAGTTGGAGGGACTTAGTATTTACTCAACTATTACTCCATGATCTAATGGCCAAGATCAGCAAGCCCGAGTTTACTTGTCAATAATACCGTTTGGCAGTGCACGTTTGCATGGCATTGTCTACGTCAGCATCGTTTAGCTCGACTCTACTCCGCATTTTAAGCACTAGCACCTCCCACAACTCGAAAATTTCCTATCCATTTATGCAATAATCAACATTTCCAAGTCCTTTACAGCCTTCAAAATGGGTTTAGGTATTCTAGAAACGAAGTCGGAGCATGTGCCAGGAACGGCGCCTTTGAGTGGTGGTCACGACTCTGAAACTTACACTGGTATTGACCCCAGTTTACTAAAATACGATAGCACAGGTAAAATAGTGCTTGTACCTCAGCCTTCTGAATCTCCTAATGACCCTTACAACTGGTCCCGGACAAAGAAGGAGCTTTTTACAATTGCGTACGGATGGGGTTGCGGCTGTGTCGGTGGTAAGTCAACAACTTTTAGAGAAAAAGCACCCTGATACTCGGCTCATACTCACTCCTCTCATATTTAGCTGTCGGTCCTCTGCTTGGAGGAGCATTTGTGCCTCTGGCCGAAGAGTTCAACGTGTCATTGTCAACCTTCATCTCTGCTGTTCAGGGTGGCGCCATTGTAGCGATCGCTGTGGGAAGCCTCCTCTTCAACTCTCTAGCCGTCAAGTATGGGAAACGCCCCGTTTACCTTGGAACAACTCTTGGACTCACTATATCCTGCTTCTGGGCCGCCGGCGCAAAGAGCTTTGAATCTTTCGTTGCAGCCAGAGTCTTCTGTGGACTTTGCATGGCACCGATGGAGGCTTTGGTCCCAGCTTCTATTTCCGACATATGGTGAGTCTCCTCAATCACGTTTCTGGAATAGGGTATCTCAATTTTTCAATAGGCATGTTCATGAGCGAGGATTCCGAACCGCAATTTTCAACCTTGGTGTCTTAGGTGGTATCAACCTAGCCGTCCCAATTGGTATACGCCTCTTGACCTATTCGCTTCGATTCCTATGTTGACGCATCCACCTCTAGCTGCTGCAATTATTCAGTATTCTTCATACCATGAGGCATTATACGGCATGGGTGGAGCCTTTGCACTGACCTTTATCCTGGTGTTCATTTGGATGCCTGAATCGGCCTTCAAACGAGATGCTCTGAACATTGACACAGGACGGAACGATGTATGCTCCATTCTTTGACAAATTACGATTAAAGTCTGATAATCCCAGGTCAACATCGATTCAAAGGAAATGGTAGAAGAGTCTGAGCTTCAAGTTTCGACACGCACACTGTCTCCACCCGAAGAAGTCGAAAAGCGTATTTCGTGGCTCCAGGAACTGTCACCTTGGAGTGGCTATGTCAATCATGTTCCATTTTCGAATACTATTATTCGACCTTTTTACTTACTGGCATCACCGCCTGTGTTATGGGCCGTCTTTCTCTTCACAATTTGCATCTCATGGCTTGTTGGTGTATCTCTTGTCATCTCACAGATTTTCTCCGCGCCACCATATAACTTCTCGGTCATCGCTGTTGGAGCAACAAACTTGTCATCCTTTGTGGCATCTGTACTTGGCACAATCGTGTCAGGTCCTCTTATTGACGGTCTTGTCACTAGGATGTCCAAGAGGAACGGTGGCATCTTTGGTATCGTTTATTTCATTATCAAGGTTCATGACAAGACTGGGCTAATTAGATGACAGAACCGGAATTCCGCCTTCCCATTATGTTGACATATCTTCTTTTCACCTCGACTGGTTTCTTCGCCTGGGGCCAGTCCTCCGCAGTGCAAGATCCTTGGCCTGTCCCCGTGATTGTTGGCTTAGGATTAATCAACTTTGGAGCGCAACTAGGAACTACCGGTGTTGTCACTTATGTGGTGGACTGTCACCGTGAGAAGGCTGGTGAAGCATTTGCAACAATGAATTTTGTGAAGAATATGTTCTCTTTCGGGTTGACATTTTACATGAATGATTGGATTGACAGCCAAGGGGTTCGCAATTGCTTCTTCACGATTGGTGGAATCACTATCGGTGTCACTTTATTGACGATTCCAATGTGAGTTTTGACCCTTTCATATCTTTCTTCTTCAAGCTAGTACTTACCATCCATGAAAACAGGTACATCTTTGGCAAGCGAGCGCGAAGCTGGGCTCACCAATCTGGGCTGTCGGGTCGTATAGGATAAGATGCAGTGAATAACGTCACTCATTTTGCTTCTATAGACCTCGAAGACCGCAGATATCTCCGTCTCAAACATCTAACACATGCTCTCCATTGATTTTCGAACCTCATCTGATAGACTTGAATTATGTCATTCATGCTATGCGATTGCTTCAAGTTCTTATCCAGATCAATGACTGGAAATTTAAGGTAGTTTCTATGTATCAAACATAAATTTGAATTTAATAGAGTGAAGATTTCAAGATTATTGATTATAGTACACATGTGAGGTTCACTTCAGACGGCCAGAACATTTGAATCAGACCGTCATGCGAAACTTGAACAAATCCCTCTCAACAATCTCCTCCTTCTTCCCTTCAAGCTCTTGCATATCCCAGGGACTAGAGACATATCTTCCATTCAACCATTCGCGTCGCTCTTTCGTAAGCCACACGATTGTATCGCCTGGAAGGTCGGCAGTATCCGTCAAGGAAAAGTGCATCACCTCGGGTAAGTTATCGCCCATGTCAGTTTTCACTCCGCCAGGATGCACTGAAATAGCGATCAGACCCTCCTCTTCATAGTCCCGAGCCAGGAACTCGGTAATACGACAATTAGTAAATCGCGATGCCTGATATGATGCTCCGCCAATCGTCAAGAGATTCGCCCCAATGGAAGTCAGATTAATCACGATTTTCGTATCGGATCTCAACAAGAGTGGCAGGAAATAATGCGCGCAGAGGAAAGTTCCCTTCAAGTTGACTTCGAATCCCTTCCACCATTCACTGGGGTCTGCCTCGCCAATACGAACAAGTTTCGGTAGATAGCCCGCGTTGTTAATGAGGATATCGATCTTCCCTCCAAATGCATCTTCGACTGTTTGTGCTGCTGCTTTCACGGATTCGTCGGACGTGACATCTACCTGGACAGGAAGGATTGTTGGGGGATCGAGGCCGAGTTGTTGTGCCTCCAATTTGAGCTCCTCGGCCACTTTGTCAAGACCTGTACGGGCTGCGATCGCAATCTTGCTGCAACCAGCCTTGACAAGGCGACTTGCTGTTGCACGGCCAATCCCTTTGGAAGCACCGGTTATAATGACGGATTTACCGGCTAGCTCCGTTCCAGTTGGGGTGATGAATGGGTAGGTATCGGTGTGGCGTGTTGGAACAAATGCCCCAACTTCAAGAGCATTGGTAAAACCAACGTACTCTGCGAGCTTTGCGAAGTCATCCATCTTATGCTGTGAAATATGGATTCAAGTAGAGTGGAATTTCACACTAAAATGTAGACTTTTCGGAATGCTTTACTATGGGAGAGTTCAGAGACTAGAGAAAGGCGTGGGATTGTGAGAACAACTTGAACTTGAATGGAAACCTCCAGGGCTCAGCTCACTATTTATAATCTACTCTAGGGACTTTTGACGGTCAATCTATCCAGGCAACAATGGGATCGGCTCCAGATATCAGCACTTGAGGCTTGAGCTAGGCTCAAAACAACCTGCGGGCAGCGTTATCGCCCGACGCCGAGTCAATGTTTACTAGTACATATCCCGGGATTCCCGGCGGCCCCTCATGGCCCCGGGGGTCGAGTCTTAAGTCCGTCGACCTGCATGTGGTGATGAATATCAGATCTCCTTAAGAGGGCGCTACTGGATTGCGTCATATTATTCAAGCAAGAGCCTGGAATTCAATAACGAGCTATGTACTATTGATTCAAGATGTACAAAATCCTTCACGCAGAAGATACACGCATTTTGATTTCGAATGTCTATCAGGAGAATAATTCATCCATGAGTCCATATGAAACCGTAGCATCTCAAGTTGAGGTACAGTTGACAGCCAGAAGGGTCTCATTAACCTGAGGGAAGAGGTTAGTACTTGAGGGAAAAAATCATAAAATCATTGACGGTGTGCGGCTTACATTGGCACAAGAAAAGACGTTGTAATCACCACCAGTTGGGTTAGTGAGAGAAATATCGGAGGCGTAGATGTTTGAGCAGACCTGGGAATGTTAGATAGGCGCCTTGGTCTTATAGATAAGGAAGGGTAACTCACATCTGGGCTCGAGCAAACAATGGTTCCAACGTCAGGGTTGTAGGCGCCTGAGCTTGTACCATGGATATTCTTGAAGTACACATCGGAGATTGTGAGGCTGCTCTATATTCGCGGAAGAAGATATTAGTAACATGTATGAGAGCAGAGAAATTAATCTGGTAGAGGATCTCTTACGGGGTATTCGTTGCAAAGAGTGAGGTTGCTTTGTCCGTAGCATTGGGTGACATCGATGGGATAGTCGACATTGTAAACGTACATCCCGTCGTAGGTGATGTTCTTGACACTTCCTGAGCCACCTCCACCCTGCAGATCTGCAGAGAGCTCTGAAGAAACACCAGGCCAAACCTTGATGCGCGCACCGTTCTGTTATAAATTAGAATTTATGCTTCATGATTCCTTTCAAATTAACTTACCTCTGCATTCGACATAGAGATGTTGTAAACGTAAATGTTCTCGACAATGTCAACTTCTCCCTCATACTGTCCCAGAGATCCAACGGAGATACCGTGGGAGCCGTTGCAGGAGAGGTTTTGTACGACAACATTCGTGGTGTTGGGCTTGAAAGAGACACAGTCTGCGAAACTATTAGTATGGTATAAACTTGAACTTGAATGATTTCTGAGTCTTCGTACCATCACCGTTGATGATAATAGAGTCCTGAATGACAATGTTGCTTGAGCGGTAGATATCCCTGTTCTATGTTAATATCATGATGATCAATTAGTTTACAGGGGCTTGAACACACCATCCATCAGTGTTTGAAGCAGTGATATTGTTGTTGCTGAGTCCTCCGATATTGATCTGATCGAACAACAGGTCGGTGGAGTTGGCAACGAAGTGGTACCATTGGGGCGAGTAGCGGAGATTAATGGGACCAATTGTACCTCCATTCAGACCAATAATTCCGACAAGAATAGGTCGGAGGATGAGGTCATCCACGGCATACAGGTCGTACCAAGCTTGGCCATTTCCATCGATAGTGCCGTTGCCGTAGATATTGACGTCCTCTCCTCCCAGCTGGAAGAAGGTGGTGGCATTCTGGTATGTCTGGTAGAAAGCATTTTCTTGCCAGTAATCCGTATCATTTGTGAACTTAATGTATCCTTGGATATCTGTTCAAAATTATCAGCAAGGGAGAGCACGGTCTCGAAGTGTTAGATTGCCTACCAAGATCAATATGTTTCAGGAAAGTCATATCCAATGCAGTGCCAATTGTGTAAAATTTATCCGCATCAAACACAACCTTTCCACCATTGTTACATTCCTTCAGCGCAGAAAGAATGAACTTGGAGTCATCCCGCGAGTCATCGCCATAGCTGGATACGTGACAAGTCTTGGTTCGGGGCGGGCTGGACGGAAGAGGCTTGAATGGCTGATGTGGTTTGCATAGCTCACTTCGCGAGTAACCCTTAGCTGCTGGACTTGGAGCAACAGATCTAGCTTCAGTTGTCAGACCAAGAGACAACAAAAGACCTGTGGTCTGTAACAAGGTGCTGGTGATCTTCATTTTTCCTCTTCAACCTAGTAAATATAGGATATGCTTGAGGGATGAATGATGCAACTCTGCGGGGATTGATTCAAACATTTTGAAAGATCGGCATCACAGGTTCTTATATACTTACAGCTTTCAAGGAGATAATAACCCCATACCCACCTGCGGTCAGGGCCTCAACGCTAAGCAATTCCGTGGATACGGGTTGAGTGGGGTATGGCGCGGTGCAGAGTCTACATCCGGGGAAACCGCATTGTGGGTTGTGGGGAAACTCAGAGGTCAATTTAATGAATCTGTTGAATTGGCGTGTTTTTACTGAGCGGCAGGGAAATTGGAGGTCTAGTTTTTAGGTGAGGGGAGGTCGTAGCATAAGTCCGATAGGAGGAAAGTTGACATGGGATTTCACCGATTGGGAGGAAAAACCCGGGAAAATGACGGACCTGGAGAACATCCATGCATAAACGGCATGAGGAATGATGGAAATTTATTTGAATATTCAATGCATGATGTAATTTGGGAACATTTGAAGGGAGATTGAATGATACATTCTACCTAGTAGTAATTATTCTTGATCTTGATTTACTCAGCTTCTTACTCTTGTGCTGCTTACTATTTCCGGGACATTGACTCCAGGTAAGAACAAATGAATAAGTTGCCATAGTGTTATATGTACAGCGGGTCTCCCCTGAATAGAGCAGGCGACACAGAACAACGAAATAATAGAGTTCTCAACAGACTCACATCTGAGCTAGCCAGCTCGGAGCGCATTGAGTGACCTCGCTGTTAAGTCTGAGGCCTCTATGGGGACTATTGAAGGTGGAATCCTGTCTTCTCTCATCTTTTTGCACCCGCGCTTCATCGTCAGATGCACAATTCTATAAAATGAATAGCGCATTTTAGTTAGCCTTCTCGCCGACCGCCTTGACAGCACCCTCTGCGGCAGTGACAACGCCCTTGGCAGAGTCAACAACCTCCTTCTCCATATCCTTGGCGGCCTCCTCGGGGGAGCCCTCAAGACTCTTGCGGTACGCGTAGATACGGGAGACCTGAACAACACCAACACATCCGAGGAAGAAGTTGACAGCGGCAAGCCTTGGGAAGCAATGGTTAGTTGGAGGTGATCGTCGGGATTGGAGCTCAAGAGGGTCTGGAAACATACAGGACGTTGCGAGGCTTGATGATCAAGCACCAACGGGTCCAGATGGCACCGGTACCCATGAGGGCGGCGTTCTGGGTGAGGGAGAGCTTCTCAGCAGGGCGGTTGAAGTCGGAGATACCGGCGATGACCAGAGCCCACTATAAAGGCACATATGTCAGCTTATGACACCCGGGAACATGAAAAAAATCTCAATTCAAAATTTGTAGTCCGTATGCGCAGAAAATTCCAACAATATGACGACTGGGGAACGAGAGATGCGTATCAGGGAAAGGGTTCATCGAGTCATCGAGTTTCGTACCTTCATGACGGGGGCCCTGTGGGATATCACAGTTAGATAAAATGGCCATTATAGTATGTGACAGTATCTTGGAGTATAAATATCAATCGCAATAGCTTACCAGAAGTGAACGGTCTTCACGCCGACAGGGCTGGTCCACATGCGCTGGAAGAAGCTGCTCTGCTGCTCCGCACCGGCCTCGGTGCTCTGGAAGCGGAAGCCCTGACCGGCCTGCCGGCGGAAGGGAGCAGTGGCATTGCGGAAAGCAAAGCGAGAGTTATTAAGGAATCGGAAGCCCACACGAGACGACATGGTGATGGATTGAGATATGACGACTTGGGAAGTGAAGAGGGAAGAAGGGCGGAATCGGCCGGTGACCGGGAGGAGCAAGTTTTCCGTCGGGAATAGTTCACAACTATGAAATCACAACACTTCGAGGTTTTAGATGAAAGCTAGTATGTAGATAAACACTCGAACACCTTCAAGCTTCTCTCGATATCAATTACAACAGTTAGGTTAGACCTTCTTGATTATGACTAGCCCCGACGTCGCTCCTGCTTCTACGGGTTATGTAATCTTATATCCACTAACCCTAACTAGGTATAGCGGGATCCCTCTCTGGTCGAGCGAATCACGGGGCTTGTGAATAATGCTCTCTTTCTCTTGCTTGAGACTCTCTTGATACCCCCCTCCTATACCCTCCACTCTACCTCACTTCACCATGTCTGGCAAATACGTCTTCAGCAAGAGCCTGAAGGAGCTCCGCTTCCTTTTCTGCCAGACCTCTGAGCAGAGTGCTGCCACAAGGTATGTGGTCGTGTCCCTCTTAACGGCATCGGGTCCAGCTCCAGTTTCAATGGTCCGCAACCATCTTGACCAGATGCATTGACTAACTCCACCATGTCGCCAATACAGATCTTTCCTGAACCGCGCCTACCCCACCATGAAGAAGCACAACCCTCAGACTCCCATCCTCATGCGCGATGCCTCTAACACCGTGCCTCGAGTCTTCGCTCGATACGGTACGAATCACCTTCCACGAAATCGATACAATTCTAGTCGAATGGACTCAATCTGGACAATAGCGCTAATTTCGGGTCAATTGAATTACAGAGTTCGGAAAGGAGGTTCAAGAAGGACTGTCGGGTGAGTTATTCTCGAATCGCCGGTACATCCGCAATGTGCAATTGCTGACTGTGATACAGGTCTCTCCGACGCACAGATCGAAGAGCGCATCACCAACCTCGTGAAGCAGACCTCATAATGACCTTCTCTTTTTTAATTCACACCAATTCTCATCTGCCCCATGTCTCTGCCGCAATTGCGCGTTTTGCCGTCCTACAATCCTGTGTACCTATAGATGAAAATCGAACCAACTTTCACGCATTATTTTTCGCTCGGCTCGAAGAAATACTCGATCAAGACAATCTGGGTCTTCTATATGACTATCTTACTACCTATCATTACAGCGCACAAGACAATTTTCGCGGTCGTCATTCTCGCTATTGTACCATGCCATACAAATCAGACTCCAAAACAAGATCAACCTAAAACGTCAACGCTATCTACTCTTACAGCGAAGAACTAGCATTTCCAACCTCTCCAAACCGATACTGCGCCCAGCTCATACTTCCCTCCGGGAATGTCCAAAGCCGTTTCCCGAGATCCTGACCTGCAGCCCCCGCTCCAACATGAATCGGCAGGAGATGATCAAAAGACGGGTGCGCCTGTCTGGCATCCGGCCTCTTCAACAATTCCGTCATAGCATTTTCCCGCTCTTCCGGTGCAGTGGTGACGGCCTCCTTCAGCGCTTCGTCGAAACTGACAGTGTAAGGTAGTGGTTGTGGCTTCCCAAACGCAAACCGCATATCACGCAAATTGTGCACCGACATACCAGACACAATAATCAGGATGTTTTCCTCGCGGAGACGCGAAACCGCTTCTCCCAGACGGTAGTGCTGGACCGGGTCTTCGGTATCAAAGAGGGAGACCTGGACGATTGGGACGTTGAGTGGGTTCTCTTCTGGTTCAAAGGCTATAGTCGCACATATAACATCGCATGGTCAGAACTCGCATACCCAGTTTGCCCATTTTTATAAGGGGAGAACCTACCACACTTGAAACTTGCCCAAACTCCATGATCCAATCCACGCTTCACACCCTTAGCGTCGATGCCTGCTTCCTTCAACAGGTCAAGCACCCTATGCGAGACTTCCTTGCTTCCCACATTTGGATACTTCTCTTTGTAGTAGTGATCCGGAAATCCATAGAAGCTGTAATAGCATGGTCATTAGCCACCTTTCCTGCACTTTAGTACATCCATGGATTCAAGTTATTCCATGGGTGTCTCATGTAGATTTAGAAACATACTCATAGATCAAATCCGTCGTTTCGGCTGTGTTCACATGGATAGTATCCTTGCCACCCTGCCAATGAGCGGAGAACACTACGACAGCACGAGGCTTCACCTTGGTTGTGATCTCGCGGCCGATCTGGCCTAATTTGCGGTATGCTGGATGGTCCTGGTCATACATGACGCTAGGCTAAAGAAGAATTAGCATATACATTTCCATTCAATCCAAGATACTCTGAGACGTAAAGTTGCACTGAGTATAGAGAAAACAAAATGCACTCTATATCCAGATGTCAAAATTTCCAGATTCAAGTTGGTACAATCAACTCACCCCACCATGACTCAAAAAGTAAATGGGAGTCTTCATTTTGAACGAAGTCGTATTTTCGATAGACGATGTCTTTCCTTTCAAAGCAGCTGCGCTGGTAACAGCCGCAAGAGAAGCAGAAGCGGATAGAGGACCTGCAGCTGAACGAGCAGCTGTCGAAGATCCGAAAAGACGCCGAAAAGCGGACAGGTTGGTGGTTTCGCTGTTGGAGAGTAGAGCAATGAGGATACCAAATATGAGCGGGAGCAGCAAGATAATAATGAGCTTGCGACCGCTTTGGATAGTATTGAACGCGTTTGAAGTTGTCTCAGGATTAGAATTCTGATTGTTATGTTCCGTTTCCGAAGACATATATCCAGGTTCAAATGTTCAATGATCAACTTGAGGACAGAGAAGCGTTTGTGTCAGTGGCAATGAACTTTGTTAAACAAAGGGTTGAGAAGTCAAGTAATAGTCAAATGCCGATTATGAGATATCACCATAGAGTATAGCGTAATAATTGGTCAGTATTAGAAGTCGTAGCATTTGAGAAATACAGTTGCTTCGGAAGTATCTGGAAGCCGATGCATAAGCCGAGCCGATGTGTGTCAGCCAGCGCGGAATGAGACCGCTCGGTAATACGGATATACACGATCTATTCCAATCATTCAAGGGTCAAAAACATCATGATTCAACTTGAATCTTTTAAATGTCGATAAAATGTTCGATAAAATGTTCGTAAATGTAAAGCCATAATAAATCACACCATAGCTATCAGTTCTATTACAATGCAAATGCAGCCAGACCTAGCTCCAGGATATTCGCCCCATTGTAACCATACCGATCATATCTCCGTAGAGAGGCATCCTCCCAGAAAACCCTAGAACATGAGAGAAGAGCAAAAAGAGAAAATCGGAATCAAGAAAGAGTGGAAAGTGCTGCGAGGAAGTGAAAGTGGTGCAGTGCAGGAACCAGAGATTGTACAGCCGAAACCAAAGTGACAGGTTCTTCCTTGAGAGCACAGGGCATTGTCGTCGTTGGAAGGGGATTTGTTAGGTAGAAAGATACATAGATGGGAGAAATGAGACAGGCAAAAGCATAAGTTGCGCCAGAAGCAATCGTGATTTGGGAATTATCGCAAAAACAGCAGGAAAGAAAAGAAATTCGACAATCATCAAAACATTTTACATCAACACACAATCACCGTCACTTTGTTTGTTGACAGCTGAACGAGAGAGACGGGTCTTTTGCATCCGACCTCCGCCTTTCTTGAGTTCTTCAAGACGTTCTCTGGCCTTGGGGAATCCTTGTGCTGTGAAGAAACAGTAACGTTAGCAGAGTTTCATCAGAAGGCGGAAAAGGGAGTGTGTTATAGATTTTACTTACCAGCTGCACGCCAGTACCATCGTTTAGCATCATCGAGATTCGAAGCAGCACCGATTCCAACTTCGGTGAAGTATCCCATTGCGTACTCGGCCTTTGCAAGACCAGCCACGGCCGCTTTTCGGGCCCAAAGGTATGCCTCAGTGTCGCTTTGTTGCAGGACACCTTCTGTTCCAGTCAAGTACCAACCACTAAGCGCGAGTTCACTTTGATGCTCACCCTGGGCAGCAGCACGAGTATACCAGATAATACTCATGCGGTTGTCGACAGGACATCCCATTAAGCCATATTCATAGGCTGAACCAAGACGGAACTGTGAGAACTTGTAACCCAGCTCGGCGGCTTGATGGAAGAGCTGGCTAGCATATGCCTCATCGCGGACGATGGAATCATTACCAGAGGCAGTTTGATACATGAGAGCAAGCTCATGGAGAGCGTGAGGGTTCTCTTCATCGGCACGCTCAGCGGCGCGCTTCAGCCATGAAACACCCTCACGAGGACTTCGGGGTTGTCCCAGCAAGCCCTTCAGACTAATCATACCCATTTTATACATCGCAGGCGTATCACCCAGAGCCGCGGCACGCTTGTACCATTGAACGGCTTTTAGCGGGTCTCGCTTGGTTCCACCACCTTCCTCCTGTCCGATTTCGCTGCAAACAGCCACGCGATAGGCGGATTGGGCATGGCCTGCCTTTGCGGCTGAATGATAAAGGTTAAATGCTTCCTTGGGATCAGCTTCTAATCCGAGTTGACCTTCTCCGTAGCAGTCAGCTAGGAAGAATTGTGCATCTGGGTAACCACTCTGAGCCAGTTTCTTCAAAATCTTGTGCGCATCCTGATGATACTTCTCCTGTGCTTTGACTTTGGTTTTAGGGTCAAGACGAGTATTTTCGGCCGCAAGAACAGTTGCGGCTTCTACCAGTTTCTTGGCTAGGAGGAGTGACGTTGCCTGATCAGCGGGATTGCCTCGTGCTTTTTGTTGCAGTCTCTCTAGTTCTTGTGCTGTAACAGGCGTATGGCCTTCCGGAGTCGCCGGTAAGGGAGCAGCGGGTGCTTGAGAAGGAGCCGGAGAGTTATTGTAATTTCTGATGGGAGCGGGTTTCGCTGCTTGATCGTGGCCTGGTCGGAAGGGTGGCGGGGGAGAAGGCAAGGCATCGGGACTTTGTTGAGCGTCAGGTGCTTGATGTTGCTCATATGAGTATCCAGCTTGCATGGGAGGACCAGGAGGACCAGGAGGACCGGAATAAGCTGGATTATGAGGGAAATATCCACCAGATTGTTCAAAGCTGCCTGGCGAAGGCGCATATCCAGAAGCTGCTGGAGAGGTGTCGCCCCCACCAATGTCGAAATTGAACCCGGCATTTTCAAATTGATTCGGCGCAGTGCCCTGTCGAGGAGCTGACAAACCTCCATCGGGACTATAAGGGGCATACTGGCCATTAGCAGTGGAGGCTGGCGAAACAGGAGTTTGTAGATTTGGCTTTGGTGTCTCCAAAGCCATCTCATCTATCGGTCCATTCTTATGAGGAAGAGGAATGGCATCGAAATTAGGCATTTCAGGCTCATCTTCGTGGCTGCTGTCGTAGTAGTAGCTATCCAAGAATTCTTTGGGCGCGTATGAAACACGGTTGGGAGGATCAGGGGGCGGTAGCATTCGGGCCGGATCCATATCATTAACAAATCGTCCGCGCGGAGGTCGCATACCACCGGCAGTGTTGGGACGTGGAGGAGGTATGTCGCCCATTGGACCACCTTGAGCACCATATTCGTCATAGGGTGCACCATGCGGAGGTTCTCGTAGTGGCATTGTTGCGCTTCGCGAGGGCCCTGGTCCCATAGGTGGCCGTCCTGCCCGTGGTGGACCTGGTGGACCTGGTTGACCTGGGTAATAGCCTCCCCTGCCTCGACCAGGAGGTGGTCCACGTGGTGGAGGTGCGCGCATATCTGGTCTTCGTCCATTCGATGTATGTGGCCGGGGTGGTGGTCGTCCATTGATATCCATCGCGGCCATGTCTCTTTCTAGGCCTCCAGGCGGAGGGCGGCGGTTTCGGGGGTCTCTTGGGTCTCTTGGGTCTCGGGGATCTCTGGGGTCTCTGCCTGGTGGGACTGCAGGGAATGGGCTGTCGAAACTTTCGCCTTGTCGAGGACGGCCTCCCGCTATAGATCGGAGTCGTCAGATCGTGATCCGAAGAGAAAGGGTTCACATGCACTTACGAGTCCTAGATCGCTTCTCCGATGGTGGTCTATCACGAGGGTGACCACGTCGACTGTCATATCCTGGAGGAGGCCGGTTTGAGCCTGGCCCTGGAGGTCCGCCTGGTGGGCGCATTGGGCGCGGCTGTCCCCTGGGTGGTGCAGAGGCAGGAGGGCCCGGTGGAATACCATATGATGAGTTGTCGTATGCTGAATCCGAATATCCGGAGTCTGAAGGAGCATATCCGCCTGGTGAGTTGTACATGGCATCAGGCGCATAGCCACCAGGGGCCGAGGCAGGGGCCGGAGAATTAGTGTACTGCCTCATAGGCGGGGGTCTCTGAGCTGCCGACGGAGGGTATGCCATGATTCTGGGTTGTAAAAGGGAAGACGAGTCGCTCCCCTTTTTTATTTTCTCTTATCTTTTGCGCAACTCTCAGGAGGTTGTTGGTGCAACCGCGCAGTCTCGGATGCAAGGAGACTCAAGGGCTACCAAGCCGTCAGTTTACATGGAACACGAGTCACCCCGCAAAATATGGCACGTGCCCTTAGAAGAATTATACATTCCAAGAAACAAGAAGAACACTTTACCTTCAACAGGGAGAAAAAGAAAAAGAATGTTGACCCTGAAGATTCAAGACGCGGGGGAAACGGGAATTTGAGAGGAAACAGGTGACTTTAATAAAACACCCCGACCCACTTTCAACGCCGTCATGGTCTTTTCATCCTTCAGATTAAATGGCACTTTTCAAACGGTTTGCCTAAGGGGAAATCTTGGCAACCATGGATCCGAGTGGATCATGACAATATTTTCTTATTCAGATGAGATGCTAATTAATCTACAGAAATGTACTTAATGCACAAAAAGAGAAAGCGCGCGGGTACTACTCCTATAGAACCCTAGACGAATACATGTGTACCTGACGATCAGGGGCAGTATACTACAAGCACGCAAGTACGTGTGTGTACTCGATTCCGTGTCCTTAGTCCCATGTACAACCAGGTACAATCAGGTACAAAATCCTCCAGCCGCTCGGAGAAATCACACGGACCACTCTTAGGTGTCCACTGCAGGTTGTATCACATTGCGGCTTACGGAGTACTTCCTTTGTCGCAATAAGTGTTATGGGTTTGTTTCCATCTTCTTGGCCCAGGCTACAATTTCTCTTTCTCTCTTTCTCATTCGATCAATCATGATTCTCCAGGGCTTGAATCACAATGTTTTGCAAGGCCCCCACTCAGATATGGAGGCCGAGAAATTTTGTGCCCGACAAAGACTTCCTTCATAGGAGATTGTATGCCAATCAAATCCATAATGACGCAGAGACCCTGAACCAACATTTGATGCAAATAGTTTAGTCATTGTAAGACCATAGGAACCAATAAGATTCATTAAATAGGTATCAATTAAGAAGAACAAAACAATTGAGACAGAGCCTCTATAGTACGGAGTACCAGAGAAAGATATCGACGTCACAGGGTCTTAGCGTGTGTGGGGAACCATTGTACAGAAGAAAAAGAAATCAAAAAGTTTAGTTCAAATAGTTCAGAATCACTTTCGAATGTGAATCGAAGCCACTTCCCGAGATTCCGGGTGTAAGACATGCTGCGCCACTTCAAATACTGGTACTAGCCACTACTGCGCCACATACTGATCCCGCAAATGAGAGCTAAGATGATGCAGATGATCTCCATGCACGCTGTGTATCACCCTTGACCCTCCAAACCACGTCCCAATCCGAATATACGTATCCATTCGGCTTCACGCGCATCCATCACTTGCAACCTCCGGAAGACGAAAATTCCGAAACATCCCCACTGAACGTCCGAGATCTCCGCGCTAAAGAAAACCCATCCATCATGTCTCGTGCTGGATTGTGGGCTAAGGTCATCATTGGGTGAGTGTGGAACTGAGCATATGGGTCTTGTGAACTGGGTACAGAGAGACTGATTGGGTTTCTATTAGTGGTATCGCCCTCTCTGTCGGCGGTCCTGCCTTTGTGGAATACATCCGACCCACGGACGAAGAACTCGTGAAGCGATACAATCCGGATCTACAGAAGCGAAGTGCCGAGCAGGGCGACCGCCGTGCACAGGAATTCGATGATTACGTCAAGAAATTGAAGGAATGGTCCAAGTCGGATAAGTCAAGTACGTGTCTAGTCAGCATGACTACGTCTATGGACACTTTGATGCTGATACATAGTCTCTTTTTTTAGTTTGGTTCGCAGCGCAAGAAGAGCTCGATCAGAAGCGTGCTTTGGCCGAAGCCCAAAAAGCCAAGGCAAAGGAAGAGACTCGAGTACAACGGGAGGAGATGCGTAAGGAGATGCTGGGCAAGGAATAGATATCATCGCTTCAACGGTTACTGGCGTCTCTGTGACAGCGTTCTATTTTTTGATTTTATCTGGGGATATTTCTTGCTCACATCTTTCCCTGAGGATTACCCACTGTGAAACTCTCACATGCAGGCGCCTTTTGATACTTCTATGATAATAATGGTGTGTACGATATGCTAGTTGGATTGGATGAGGATGCATTTGTATATTGATATCCCTATCTCCGCTTCAAAAGATGTTCTCATACTTGGAACCAATCAAAATTTGAATGAAATTCGTTCTATAGGGGGAAATGGTATTGTAGCATATTACTATACACGCCGTACTAGTTCTCAATCCTCTGCCCAGGTGGGTGACATTGATACCGGTACTATATACTAGTTAGTAGCGGGCCTAATGCCTGACATCTGGACATTCGGAGGCCTGAAGCACCCACCTACTTAGTAACAAACACAACAAATGTTCACTTGCTAGTAAAGCGCCAGCCCTGCCCAGGTATGGGAGTGCACGTGTGCTCATTCAAATGTTGGAATAATTTGGCCTCGGTATTCAGAATTTTCTTGCTAGCCTCGCGTCGGAAGTTCACATACCTGCTAGTAAAAAAAAGCCCACTAGTCCTTCCATTATATGTGGAAACACCTATCAATAGCACTCCAGGACTGGAGTCATGAAGATTGTAGCAATTGAGCAATGGAGGATACATTTTATCCCATTTAAATGTAGCCACCGAGCCCCGGGAAATTGTATCTTACATCCACACATTATATTCTTCAGCTTTTATACCCAGCTACCAAGCTACGCGTCTTCGCTGCAAGGAGACATTCTAGTGTTCCGATCAGTCCGAGTCCACGTTAGTTCGGAGAAATCTCCACTATCGGGGGATCGGCAGTTCAATTGCTCCTGTATACTTTTTTAGTCATCCCTGCAGAGTTCGGGAGTTGTGATAGACAAGGATGTGGCGGCATATCACGAGACCTCATCATTTCAATGTATAGAATTGAAATCAAGTGAACTGTATAGGCTGAGTTGCGCCAAATGACGATGTTCAAGTTGAGCGGCGACTTAGCCGTACCGATCCGGGGCGTGTTACTAAGATTAGTATCCGCAACCTTGGAACGCGTTCCTCAAGCAACGTGTTATACTTGGGAGGAAAACTGTAGGCAGCCACGTACTGCTAATTTAACAACGAAAAAAAAGGAGACAAGAAGGAAGTTGCAGATGCAAAAATTCAAACAAAAGTTGCGACAGCAATTGATAATATATTAATATTAAAATATCTGTAAAATTTACATCAGAATATGATCAAAGACTCAGATGTGGCTTGTTTGTAGTAGATTGCAGCTCATTTCCCAATCCTAGATCATATGCAAGAGATGCTTGCCAATCCCACAAAACACAGCAGCCCCTCAATGACAACAAAAACAATCAACATAGCCTCGTAGATACCTTCCCCAGTCATCTGTAATTGAGGCTTATCCTTTTAACCAAAAATAAAAAGAAAGTGTGTGTCTAGTCGCTTTGAGACAGCGCCACGCTCACGTGACTCCAAACCCGCCATCAGCGGCAACTCCAACTTGTCAGCTTCACAGGCAATCCCTCCGTTCATCTCAAGTCCCCTCACGTCCTTCACCTCCCTCACTATCCAGTGATTTGCGACATCTCTCACTTGACTAATACCATCAACGTCCTCTCCTACCCCTTTCAGTCTCCTTGGCAACGACCTTGGTTGGTTTATCCCCGTCCAAACAAAGCGTCCCTGACTACTTGATCGAGGTAGCCTGGTCGCTAATCATCCGCTCACGAACCCATATCTAAGACCTTTGATATTAGTCCCGATCTTCACGATGTCCAGCAACGAACAGCCCTACGACCCTTATATCCCGGCCAACCAGACCGGAGCTACGGCCGGTGCCTCCCAGCAGAATGGAAACCAGCGAACTGCCGCACTGCAAGCGGTTAGTACTTTTATCCTCCCTCGATAAATACATGGAGACGCCCGACTATAAACAGACAAGCTTTCGCATGGTTTTGTCTGTCTGCTTTGCGCGCGAGACGATGCGCGCTGCTTGATTATAGTCGAGGTCACTATTATTTGTGGCAACCACAACTAACATGTATCCGATAATAGCAAATCGATGACACCGTCGGTGTAATGCGCGAGAACATCAACAAGGTCTCCCAGCGTGGTGAGCGCCTGGACTCTCTGCAGGATAAGACCGACAATCTGGCAGTATCGGCCCAAGGGTTCCGCCGAGGCGCCAATCGTGTGCGCAAGCAGATGTGGTGGAAGGACATGAAGATGCGTGTATGCCTGGTTATTTGCGTGATCATCCTTTTGGTGGTTATCATTGTGCCCTGTAAGTGAATTCGATATTTCATAGTGGCCCCGTTTGAGCCTCGCCGGGGAAACAACGGGTGTCGGATCCGGGTATGGACATGCGACGCTAACATCGATCGACAGCTGTTGTAGCAACACGCTAAAGGCACCCGGTGGGCCGGTAATTACCACGCATAAGCCATGCGCGACGTTGTTCTTTTTCTTTTTTTCACTTGGGAACATGGGATCTTGAATTTTTCCTGGGTTTACTATTGTTGAGGCCATGGAGCCCCATCGTTTTCCTCCCCAGCTGCTAATACCTCCTGCTGTTTTGTTGTTTTTCTTTGGGCGTGTTCTGAATGACCAATATGCTTCTCGACTCTCTTTTTTTGTTTTATCGTTCTAGGTGCCTATTTGTGGACCTGTCACGAAATGAGCTGAATCCTAGTCCTTGCCGATTAGGTGTATCCCCTGACCACCACATGCTCCTCGATTTTGTTTTTTAAGCCAAATGAGATCTCTGTGGTAGGAAAGGGGGAAAGATGTAAATGATACTGCTGCTGATGCTGTGTTTGAGTATGTTACCATTATGCAACTTGGAAAAATTCTCTGTTGGTTCTCTTCTACTAGTATTAAATCTGCCAACGGCCATGGAAGCTCCGCCCGTTTCCGTCAAAGCTCGAGCTGTCCTGGCTCTGTCGCATGGAAGCGACCTACGTAGGCTCCATTCTTGTCCTCATCCGTGAATTTGACCGGTTCGTTCTGCCCGGTTTGTTTCGTAACTTGCCGATTGATAACAAGAGACCCGCCTATAGAGGGTCCTTCTCAGGAACCAATCTCCTGGTCCGGTCAGATTCCGAGTCGATTATTCGGTCAGACCTCGTGTTTACCACAAGCGGGACTAGACAAATCCAGGCTAAGTCGAGAAGGCTGGGTGGATGAAGTGGATAGTTGCGTGGCGGGCTGGAACGAGTAATATTCATGGAGAGGATCAGATAACTGGGACTAGATCCAATTCGGATGACGTTTCAAGGGATCTCGGAGCAACTGAGGTCCATAGTGGGTTATTTCCAAGGTTCATATGTTCCTTGGTCTTTTTTTTTCTTTCTCTTCTTGGTCTAAGGAATTTATTTTACGGGGCTAGATTTCGCTTGCTCAAGGTGGAGGTGTCTTGCAGTGCCGATCCCCGTGAAGAATCTTTCCGTAGGAGAAATTTAGTATATGTACCTAGGTACGAAGTAGGGTTGGGCACATCGTCATTTGGACCTTAACTACGGGCGAAATCTCGTTGGCCCCGGGGCTATTTTGCTTTTTTCTTATATTAGATATGCAGTAACTCTGATTCGTAGTATAATAAATGTCGCGCTTGGAGAGGTAGAGAGATATTTAAATAAAAACCACCAGAAATTCTTGGATATAAAAAACCACTCATCCCATATTTAATTCCATTGAAAACGATAAATCGCTCGCTAATTCATCGGCTCCACCGCCTTTCTACATTTGGGTGGGAACCTGACCTCCGAGGGCCGGCCGTTCACTTGTACGGGTATCAGGAAAATCTCTCCAGAGTTAGTCACCTCCAGTTAATTCCCCTCTCCCACCTCCACTTTTCATCTTTTTCTATATCACTCTTTCACTCTATCTTTCTTTTTTCATATAATAAAAGGGGGATTCCTCCCTGCTAACTTGCAAATCTCCCCTCAATTGCAGCTGCCGCATGTTGGTGAACAAGATGCTGTCCCTTCGCTCCGCTGTGCGGAGAGCTTCTACTAAGCCCCTCCGATCCCTCTCCGCACCGCTCACTGCATCTCCTCTTCGTGGTGTTGCTGCCCGTGCCGTTTCCACCCCTCTGCGCCAGGACCGTGGTTACTCGCGTGCAACTGATCCTCATCTCAGCTCCACCCGCAACACTGTGGTGCAGTTGTTGAGCAACATCGGCTCCAAGCGTGAGGTTCAGCAGTACCTCTCCCACTTCACCTCGGTCTCTTCTCAGCAGTTCGCGGTCATCAAGGTCGGTGGCGCCATTATTACCGAGCACCTCCAGACCCTGTCCTCCGCGCTCGCTTTCCTCAACCATGTCGGCCTTTACCCGATCGTCGTTCACGGTGCCGGTCCCCAACTCAACCGTATGCTCGAGGCTGCTGGTGTCGAGCCCCATTTTGAGGACGGAATCCGGGTCACAGATGGTAAGACCCTCGCGTTGGCCCGTAAGCTGTTCCTTGAGGAGAACATGAAGTTGGTGGAGGAGCTTGAGCGTATGGGTGTGCGTGCTCGTCCTTTGACTGCCGGCGTTTTCTCCGCCGACTACTTGGACAAGGAGAAGTACAACCTGGTCGGTAAGATCAATGGCGTTGACAAGAAGCCCATTGAGGCTGCTATTGCCGCTGGTTGTCTGCCTATCCTGACCTCCATGGCTGAGACCCCCGATGGTCAGGTCCTGAATGTCAACGCGGATGTTGCTGCCGGTGAGCTTGCCCATGCTCTGCAGCCACTGAAGATTGTCTACCTGGCTGAGAAGGGTGGTCTGTTCAACGGTGACACTGGCGAGAAGATCTCCGTCATTAACCTGGATGAGGAGTATGAGCACCTGATGAGTCAGTGGTGGGTGCGCCACGGTACTCGCTTGAAGATCAAGGAGATGAAGGAGCTTCTGAGCGATCTTCCCCGCTCTTCCAGTGTGGCTATCATTCACCCTGCTGATCTGCAGAAGGAGCTGTTCACCGACTCTGGTGCTGGTACCCTGATCCGCCGCGGTAACAAGATTCACGTCAAGACCTCTCTTTCCGAGTTCGAGGACCTCCAGGCTCTGAAGGACGTTCTGGTTCGTGACCGTGAGGGCCTGGATGCTCGCGCTGTTGTTGACCGTTACGTCGAGGGTCTGAAGGAGCACGACTTCAAGGTTTACTACGATGACCCCATGGAGGCTCTGGCTGTTGTCCTGCCCCCTCAGCAGGGCTCCTTGATCGCCCAGATGGCTACTTTCACCATCACCAAGTCTGGATGGTTGACTAACGTTGCCGACAATGTCTTCGCTAGCGTCAAGAAGGACTTCTCCAAGCTGGCTTGGACTGTCAAGGAGGACGATGAGAACCTGACCTGGTTCTTTGACAAGGCTGACGGCAGCCTGAGCCGTGACGGTGAAGTTCTCTTCTGGTACGGTGTCGAGGAGGGTGAGGAGGTCAAGCAGCTGGTTCAGGAATTCACCAAGAACGGCCGCCAGATGTTCGGTGACATCAACCTGGAGTCCCGCCTCCACCGCGCCCACCAGGCTGCTTCCTTGCCCAAGGGCTTCGGTGCCAGCGGTGCCTCCGCTGAGCAGAAGCGTGCTTTCTCTACCACCTCTAACGTTCTGCGTGCTGCCCGCGCTGTGCGCCCTGCCGTTGCTGTCAAGGGTATCCGCACTTACGCCACCACCAACCCCAACCCTCCCCTCGGTGAGAAGAACGCCTCCAACTCCACCCCTGCCAAGGTCGCTCTTATCGGTGCCCGTGGTTACACTGGCCAGGCCTTGATCAACCTGCTCAATGCCCACCCCAACATGGATCTCCGCCACGTCTCATCGCGTGAGCTTGCCGGTCAGAAGCTCAAGGGCTACGACAAGCGCGAGATCATCTACGAGAACCTCAGCCCCGATGATGTCCGCAAGATGTCCGCTAACGGTGATGTTGACTGCTGGGTTATGGCTCTGCCTAACGGTGTTTGCAAGCCTTTCGTTGACGCTGTTGACGAGGGCGCTGCCCAGGGCAATGTCATTGTTGACCTGAGCGCTGACTACCGTTTCGATTCTAAGTGGACTTACGGTCTGCCCGAGCTGGTCGACCGCTCCAAGATTGCTCGTGCTACCCGTATCGCCAACCCTGGATGCTACGCCACTGCTGCTCAGCTCGGCATTGCTCCCCTTGTTCCCTTCCTTGGTGGCCAGCCTACCACTTTCGGTGTTTCTGGCTACTCCGGTGCCGGTACCAAGCCCAGCCCCAAGAACGACGTCAACTTTCTCACCAACAACCTCATCCCTTACAGTTTGACTGACCACATCCACGAGCGCGAGATCAGCGCTCAACTCGGTGCCAACGTTGCGTTCATTCCCCACGTTGCTGTCTGGTTCCAGGGTATCTCCCACACCATTAGCATTCCCCTCAACAAGGAGATGACATCTCGTGACATCCGCAACATCTACCAGGATCGTTACGCTGGCGAGAACCTCGTCAAGGTCGTCGGTGAGGCTCCTTTGGTTAAGGACATTGCTGGTCGTCACGGTGTTGACATTGGTGGCTTTGCTGTTCACTCCAGCGGCAAGCGTGTTGTTGTCTGTGCTACTATTGACAACCTGCTTAAGGGTGCCGCTACTCAGTGTCTCCGTAAGTTTTCCCCAACTATAATTTTATCAAGTCCTTCGTACTAATATTCATTTACAGAGAACATGAACTTGGCTCTGGGTTACTCTGAGTACCAGGGTATTCCCCTTGAGTAAGCGCTTGAATCAATATCATCTCAAGCTGCTCATTTATGTATGAAATATGGCTATAAAGTGGTCCTCACGTCGTTGTTTCCCATTGTCTTATAATCCTCGTGCATCGTAAGAGCCACGATGGGTCTTGTAGGGTTTGCAGTGAACCCGTCTCTGGATAAAACTGTCTTTTTTATGTCTTGGTATCGATCAGCACCCTGATCTACTATCCCATTTTGGCCCGATTGTGTCTATCTACATTGTTCTTCTGCGTGTTCAAGGAGCTATTGCTCTGTTGATGCTGGTGTCTTGTCCCATTTCGCCATTTTGTCTCGTTTAGATTCCATGGATTCTTGATCGTCTCTTTCCCTCTTTTTCTATCCCCCTCTCCTCCGGTTCTTTATATTCGGCTCATATATTGCCAAGCCCCTGCTCCATCTGCGAATTATTTGGTATAGTAGACATGCTTTTGGGACACTTCAGACACTAAAAAAGTAAATTTCTTCGCAATATAAATCATTTATAACTATTGACTTGCATCTATTGGCGCTATGATATTATGGAAAGGGCCGTATCAAATATTGTAAAGCGAGACGGCTAGTGTTCAAGTTGCTGAGTTGGGATGGAACAAGCTTGTTGTCTGGCACGCATCATGCAAACATGTTGTGACTCGGTGTCATCTCTCACTTTCTCTCACCACCGGTTCCTCTAATTCACTCTCCATAAATTTCATGATCATATCCTCCCCTCAATCGTTGACTGCATTTATCTCCTGTGGTTGGTACTTGCTGAACCCTCCATCACCCTGAGACATTTCCTATCATCCACACAGCTCCTCTTACTACCTCGGACCTGAAGCTCTCTAACGAGTGACTTACCTTCGCATCCAGATGGTCTCTACCCCATCTATTTGACACAACTCACAGTACCCATTGACCCTCCATCATTACTCTTTGCAGCAAGTGTGGATCCATTACTGTAGACTCGCCAGTATGTTCTACAGCCATGAAAGTAAGTCCCGTTCAACAGCTCATGGAGGAAGCGAGAAGATGATGCTTAAAGTCTGCTATAGTCCTCACGTCGCCGGAGCATGGGGTCGCAACGATCTGGTAAGTAATTTTCGAAGCTTGCCTGTTCTTGCAAGGAAGCGGCTCACACTCACAGGCTCGTCGCGACACTTGGTTCGCGATCCATTACTCGAAGAGTCAATCGAAAGGCGATTCTCGATGTCGATGTCCCCGAAGCGTGCAGAGTGATAGTCAACCCTCAGGCGCCTATGGCGTTGCGATTGCAAGGAAATTTGCTGTATGGTGCCCGGGAAATCAACTCAACACAGTTCGATCAACTAACGTACTTCTGAATCCAGGTACGGCGTTTCACGGGTTTACGATCAACAGTGTGGTTACACTCTCCTCGACACGCAGACAATGCATGATAAAATGATCTCCACGCTGAAGCTCATTCCGGGAGGAGGATTGGATCCAAGTGTCGGACAGACGAAGTATGAACCATCAGCGCCTTCATTCAAATACCAAGGCAGCGCTAATCAACCTCGTACAGGCCGAGCACTCTAGTCTTACCGTACGATCCATCATTCTTTCCAGAGACAAATCTCCCTGGTTTGGACTTTGATTTCTCTTTATTCGACATTGGAAACCAAGCCGACTTGACCCAGCGTTCCGGTCTCTGGACAAAATCTCCTCCTGGTAGCCATTCCAGTGCCTCTCATACCAGCGTGCGTCTTGATCTTGGCTCGGATGATCTGATTCACAATTCGCAATTTATTGGAATGGATAATGAATTGTCGCCTTCTCGAAAGCGTGGCCTCTTCGGGGGTCCTGCCAAAGATGAAGGCCCGGAAGAAGAGGCAGGTATCTTACTCCAGCCTGATTTCGAGTTTGATGAGACTGGTGCGCTCGTTGAACTTGATGTCACTCATCTCTCACCGCGGAAACGACGAAAGCTGAGTACTCATGGAAGCGAGAATCAAGGCGATGAGATCCCACTTCCTGGAAATGACAATGTTGGGGGAGACATGATGGATCTTGATCTTCCTGTTAGAGCAGAACAGGAAGATCTGCAGCTCCCTGGCGAGGAGCCAGTCCCGAACCAGGAACAACCAGCAGAGGAGGAAGTCGAACCTGTGATCCATCGCCAGCGTCGCCAGAGGACTCGAGTGACAAAAAACATTGATCCAGATAATACGACAACGCTGCGCAACTCAGAACTCGCTCAATGGAACAACGGGTATATTGAAAACATGGCAATCGCATCGAAGCAAAAACAGCAGAACAAGTTGCAGACTATCACCAAGAAGAACGCTGTATTCTGCGTCTTCGGGCAGGGCATCGGGTCTGTGGGTGTTGGCTTGGGTTTACAAAAGAAACCTCACCCTCTGGCACAATTTTCCGGCGAAGCACTCTACGACATGTTCTTCGAGGATCATGAAGAATCGAGTACCAACAACGAGAGTTATCGCCCTGGTGGAGAAAGTGTGACTACCACGCCTCATCAAGCTCGTATCCAAGGTAAATTACCCGACTCTGTCGATGTTGAATATGGTCGTCAGGGACCTTCGAGCGTACTAGATGAACACTCATCCCAGATGCCATGGAACATCACCACCTCAGCACGCAGCTCTCGACTGGGGCGTCTGGGTAGTATCGGCGACTTCTCAGCCGCACTGGGAAGCACAGGACTCAGGGATCCCAGCCTCCACGGACAAGCATCAGGTATCGGAATGAAGGGACGTTCTCGAGGCCGTCTTACCAGTGCCAGTCCCCTCTCGGGCCGTGGATACCTTGATCCTCACGAGAGACAAAGCAGTTTATCAGTCCTTGGTATCGAGAACGCGCTGGATGGTCTTGACGAAGACCTCGAAATTACGCGATATCTGGAAGGCGAGCTTGCAACAGATAACGAAGACATCGGCGCACTCTCACGACGTGCTTCGGCGATTCAACACCTAGCCGGACAACTCGATCAAGAAAGTTTGAATTTCTTCGATTTCATTCAAGATCACGTGAAAATGAAGGAAAATAGCGGTGATAGTGGTGATAAGCCCATGTTGGCGTTTTCGGAGTTACTGCCGCCTAAACAGACGTCCCGGACTGTTGCTACGCAGGGTCTTATGAATGTGCTCACGCTTGCGACGAAGGGAGTCCTTACCGTGGAGCAGGACCCTTATCGAGATGCGGGCGCTGAAGTCTGGGGCCAGCGTTATGATTATGGAGAAATCTTCATGCGGATGTAGGGCCGTGCCTGGGGTATGGCCTTGCTCCCGTTTCAGAGTGAGATTCATTTGGGGAAATCGGCGTTCTAGTGATTAGGGGAGGGTTCATTATTATTTTTCTGGTTATTTCTTCAAGATTGATCTAGCATGCATTTTATTATTTCTAGGATGCCAGTGAGTTAGCTTATTTCAAATTTATGCTAATTTTTTTTCTCGCCCTTTATTTCGAAATTTATCAATTAGAACCTTTACTAGGTAGCAGTAGTAGTATGATGATGACATCAGGAAGTGCGAAAATTGTGCGTCAACTGGTACTACCCACTGTAGGTACTTATCTGATGCTCACCGGCGAGGTTGAATGAGATCCAAGGTTGAAATGTTGAATCCCGAGTGTATTAGCAGTAGTAGATTTTGACATCTGAAGTATATAAAAGTGCTGGGCATTGTTTACGCGGGCAATCTTACCAGGAACCCGTAAGGCTCTCAGTATCGCGTATGGAGTAATGGAGTATGGAGTACGGGATACCAGAACAAGGTGGAAAAACGCTTCAGTAACAATACTGGCATACCTGAACCGATCTATAGATCCAACTCTTTGACCATGTAGATATCGATGGAATTGCGAGATAATTATTAGATATTGATAGATAAGACTTCGCAACAATATTCCCCTTAAGGCCTATGTATCAATTGATATGCCTCTTCCCATTCCTTTTTCTTGATTGTGCGTCTAGAAGGGGTGTTTTAACCGAGCGCGTCCGGGAACGTGCTGGAGCTTGGCGTCTATTAAGGTAAGAACCAGTTGACTAGTTGTTGTGATATCAGATATTGAGAAGGACTACGAATTCTAATAGTCCTGGTACCCTAATCTATTTGTATCTTATTAAAATTGAAGCTTGAAAACATTGAAGAACAATCTTGTTTGCTGTTTAGCTCGCATACCAAGTTGCCTATAGTTAGCTGACGCCCGCTTGGCGATGATGCGTAATCATGGATGTGTCGGAAATCTCTCACCTCGCCAAATAGTCAGTAATCTTGATTGTACAACTTTCCAAATATTCATTCAAATGAAAATTTTCTATCAAAACTTGATCTTAAATACTGGTAAGTTATTTTGCAGTTATTATTGCGGTGTAAAATGATGAGTACACAGTACACACGATACACATTCTGAAATACTCCGAACCGGACTCATAGTTACGCGCAGGTCAACAAGTAACGCGCCACTCGTATTCTCGTCTTGGTCTTTCCATTTCTTCCTTTTCTCTCCCCTAACTCAACTACCCCCCACCCTTCATCATCTCCTTCCCCAGGTTCCCCCTCGCGTTTTATCGCGTTTTTGTATCGTTGATCCTTTTGGGCTCTTCTCTCTTTCTTGACCTCTTTCATCATGGGTCGAACCGTCGACCAGGAGGTGCACGCGGCGTTTGTCGAGTTCCGCGCCAAGGAAGATGACAAGGTGCGTGACTGCGTATTTCGTAATATTTCAAACCCACCACCAGCGTCACTAACATACGGAAAACCCGCGTTTTTGGGTGTTCTGCATTCTAGTGTCTCTCGGTCCAGTGTATCTACTGCCAGCAAATTCGCGCAAAGAATACTTCGCGACAGAAACAACACCTCTTGGAATGTCCTGGCCTGCGTGGTCACCCTAACGCGCCACAAGCCGCCCAGGCTGCCCAAGCCCCTAATGGCATCGGTCCTACCAATGGATACCCCGGTACCCCCCAATGGTCCGACAGCTACTGCTCCCGGCCCAACAGGCCCTTCCATCCCAACACCAAACGGTACCTTGATGGGAAATGGTGTCAATCCTCATGCGACTCCGATCGGCACCCCGTTAGCCAACCTAAACCGTCCGCCGATGGCAACCCCAGGCCCGCCGCCTGTCAGCGTCCCTCCCGGTTCGGCGCCTTCATCTGTTCCTCCGCCGCGTCCTACCCCGAAATCAAAGTCCAAGCCGAATACTTCTAGCCTGCCGGCGCCCCCATTGGATGATGTACACGCTGCCTTCGTTGAGTTCCGCGCCAAAGAAGAGGACAAGGTATGTAATTATTCATGACATACTTCTGTATCGGGTGTATACCTTCACCTGCTTCGGTCTCGCATGTGTCAAAAATTCAGATTGGAGCGAAGCTAACAATTCGATCGCAGTGTTTGTCAGTGCAATGTATATACTGCCAGCAAGTCCGCGCAAAGAACACCAGCCGTCAGCGTCAGCATCTATTGGAGTGTCCGACCTATCTCAGTGTCATGAAGGATTCTATTCCTGCCAATAACCTACTTCACACATTCCCCGAGGGTGATGTTGCACGTTCGCTCCAGATCCCCGCTCCTACACTCGAACTTGATTTCCGTATGAGCATCAAGTTGAACCCTAAGGTTCCTGTGGGTCAGAGCATCTGGGGTCACCGCGAATGGGTCTCGTTTGTTGGTGGTCAGTGGGCTGGTCGATGGGGTAAGGGTATTGTCTTGGTAAGTTCCTGGAGTATTCATGCATACTGTTCCACCATTCTAACATCACAAACAGCCCGGCGGTCAAGACGAACAGATTGTCACCAAGGACCAGACTACCAAACTTCGCGCAAACTACCTCCTCCAGACTGCCGAGGATCCTCCGGCCTTCATCATGGTCAAGGCTGAAGGTTGGCTCACTGGTGCTAAGGACATTCTCGAGAAGGTCAACGACCAGGGTCTCGCCGATGGTATCAACCCCGGTAGCTACAAGTACCGCATCAACCTCTCTATGGAAACTGGAGATGAGCGTTTCACCTTCCTCAACACTCTGATGTGGATTGGCAGTGGCTGCCGTCGCGGTCAAGAAGGTATGTCATATCAAGTCCCACAACATCTTCCATGCCACAACGTACTAATTCCCTATACAGTTATCTTCGACGCGTTCCGTGTCAACTAAACTTACATGATATTTTCACTATTGTGTCGTTCTTAAGCGTGTTCTCTATTTTAGTGTGGGAAAATGGTGTTTTCTTCAGTCTGCTTTCCATGGCGCTATTACGATCAGTCCTTCCAAGGTTTTATTGTTACTTTATTTTTTCGTCCGGATGAATTTGTCTCCAGAGCCGTCGCGAGGTCACGCGAATTCCCAATCTAGCAAGTCGTCTTTCTTCGTTCGACTTTGCTCTTCCAGTCCTCTTCTATTCTATGTATCTCTTATCTGAACTTGTTCTCCGCTATGGGCTCTGGGTCCTGGATACCATGACGCGATTGATGTATGCGTTCACTGTTAGTCCCGATCACTCCCTGAGAGTTTGTTATTGTGATCTTTATATTATGAATTTTTGAGCTTTGCTTCTTGCTAAATTTCCGTTTGGTTACTCGATTTCATGAGCTCACGTAATTTTGCTTTGACCGTCGTTAGATGTTGATCTATTTGTGATTTATTCAAGTGTTTAGCTTATTTTCCAATTTGAATGTTCTCTCACATAGATTAGAAGATCTAGTATGTGTTCAAAGGAGGTACTTAGCTCCAATACATCCATGTCCTTCCAGATGTCCAAGGTTGAAACTTTCAAGGGTTGAAAAATGTCACGCCTTGGTGTTGATACTAGCTGGCCCGTATCGAGTATTATAGATGAGTTTTAGCGTTCCAAAGTTATAATTTCGGTATCCACTCACCTGCATAGCAATACCGAGAACAGTGAAAGAGTCAACTGGTATTGAAGAAAATTTCAATACGATATTCAAATGTTTGAATCTTGAAAATTCAAGTTCAAATTTTGAAATCAGGATATCGATGATAGGACAACTCTGGTCTGTTCTAGTTGTACACAATATCAAAAATTTCCTTCATTCTTAAACTAAATCTACACATTGTGTAGTCAAATTCATGTTTGACGATTTCTGATTCCAAGGTGATGTTCCACCTGTTTTTTTGTGCACTAGGGGCTCGGATAAGATCACTGGCATGAACCATCAACTGGTATAGTTAAGAAAAGACCTTGAAAATTGGTTCAGCAGTTGGATCCCAGCGCCTACACCGTAGGATGGGTGTGTGCCCTGAAGGACGAGATGACTTCCTCTCGACTCAAGTGCCCCTACTAAACGAGGAACACAAAAGACCCCTGAGACAATCAAATGATGACAGCAAGTCTATCGATGGTCGAATGGAGCAGTATCACAATGCTATGATTGCATTCCCGGGCGCGGGATCTTATGGCTTAGATGTCATCTCGCAGACTGCAGCACATATGAATGCGAACGTTTAATAATAATAGAAGATTCGGGCCGATGGTCAGAATACTAGTAAGTGGAGCGGCTCCCGATCCTCCGAATTTGAATCATCTACTTAATGATATTCGTCTTAGCGATGTTGTTGTTATTGAATCAAAGAAACCACAGTCCAGCTTCAGCGGATTCGTGGTTTGCCATTTAAAGAGGGAGTCCTGTAGTATGACATGGGCCAGTGGAAAGAGAATGTGTTCGAAATCAGGTCTCATCTTGAACCGACATCTAACAGCCTACTGACTGCGATGAAATCGTTGCAAAGTCACCACGAGATGGGTGAAATGAATCGCTGTTTCAATGACACCAGTAAAGGATCGACGAGGCTACAGAAGTGGGGGCTTCAATTTCCTGGTCCGCATCTTGATCGGTTATTCAAGCCGAGTTATACGTACACAGGGTGCACATGTGCACTTGACGAGGTATTCTCTCGCACTCTCGCACTTGAGGACTTAAACTGGAAGACCCCGCAGAGCTTAGACTCTCTAGTGAGTCTCTAGTGAGTTTAGTCTCAATCTCGGTTGTCGGGCTGACTCGAGGCCCCGCAGCCCCCGCTATTTGACCCCCACTGCATATGATGGAGCCTAGGCATCTTCCAGGATGTCAAGTTATGTATTCCCTATGCTTGGTCCTGTTTGATCCAATGATTCCTGCACTAAGCTGTAATGGTCAATATTCACATCACGGAACTCCTCGGCACATAATCCCAGGCGTACCTCGTGTGACGCGTCAATCTCACATAAAAGCCAGAGAGAGGGGTCACTCAATACACATTGAAGCTTGAATTCACACCAATCATTCTAATTTATTTGTCAAACACTGGGTTTTTATAACGGTTTTTTTACCTCATAGGTCTAATAACAACATGGAGAACCTTATTATTTCCGATGAGGCTTTGACGGGTAGTATCCAGGACAAAGTCATCTTGATTACCGGTGTGTACTATCTGTTGTCTATGAAAAAAGGAGCCTCACTAATCGAAACAGGGGGATCCGCCGGTATTGGTCGAGCCACTGCGCAACTTTGTCTTGATCTGGGCGCATATGTCGTGGTGGGAGATATGAGCACGCCAAACCCTCCGTTTCAGGAGACTGATAAGCTCAAATTCCTCGAAGTCAATGTGATCAAGTGGGAAAGCCTGCGAAACTTATTTGTCGAAGCGGAAAAGTGGCAAGGTCGCATTGATCATGTCTTTGCCAATGCCGGGGTTTCCCCAAGTGAAGACTTCTTGGACGTGAAGCTTGACGAAGCTGGCCAACTACAGCCACCGAATTATCGCACGATCGACGTCAACTTCACTGCGGTGATTAATACCATTCATCTTGCAAAAGCCTACATGACTGAGCTGGGTACTCACAAAACAGCAGGTGCTGCAAGTATCGTGCTCGCCGCTTCTGCAAGTTCATTCCAGAATTTCACTACACCAGACTACACCATATCCAAGCACGGGGTGTTAGGTATGATTCGCGGCTTGGTCGGAATCCTCGGTGAACAGGTCCGAATCAATGCCATCTCTCCATCCTGGACAAATACAGGAATTATCACAACATATTCACCATTATTTGAAAGAATCGGCGTTGCCATGCAAAGTCCAGATGTGGTCGCTCGAAGTGTGGTTTTGCTATTTGCGGACCAGCAACGAAATGGCGACGTAATCTACAGCTGGGAGGGGCATTATCGAGAGGTCAACAATCAGCAAGGTGGACTTTTAGAGCACGCCACGGGTATACTCCCTAATTCAGAGAATGAGGAGGGTGCAATCCAGAAACTTCGGGCGTATGCGCGAAGCCGAGCTGAGCAGAGTCAACAATAGTTTTGATTTCAATTCTGATGGCTCGGATGCCCGTGGCTCTTATATCAGTTGGGAACTGCCTTCATGGCTCAAATGGTCATTCAAGATTGACTCCGAGTCAATATGTATCGGTTATTTAGCTCTCAAATATCTCTTTCACGCATGATGGTCTGGGCTATATTCGAATCATCATCCACATTGGTAGTATCATAGCCCCGTTTTTCAGGTCCAACAATGATCAACAGCACACTGTAAGCATAAATCGCTCCCATGAAAATACATATAACCTTTCCATAATTATAGCGGGCTACAACGGAGCCATCGCTCTGAGCAAGCGGAGCAAGAGGGTAACGCTCTCCAAGTGTAGCCTCGATAGTCGACGAAGCTGAGGAGGCAAGATTCCCAAACTGATAGGCTGACCCAACAACAAAAGTTTGGAACGAGCTCGGCGCCAGCTCCATCATGTATATAGGCATGACGCTCCAAGCACCCTGAACACAGAATTGGACAAAGAACGCCGCAGCAGTCACTGCCTCGGTCTTCACGAAGCTATATGGGTATAGAAGAGCCCCACCGATGACACAAACAACAAGAATGCTGAATCGTCGGCCGAAGATTTGTGAGCAATAACCGGTTGTCGCACCACCGGTCATTGCGCCTAAGTTTGCAATAACCTCGGTCACAGTAACAGCGTCGGCCGAGAAACCTCGCTCGTTTTCAAGCATCGTTGGGTATAGATCTTGGGTGCCATGTGACATGAAGTTGAAGCCGGTGGATAATAGCACCAGATAAATAAAGACGAGCCAGTGGTCTCTTAGTGCCCTCCCTCCCTCGGATATGAATGTTTTCGCTACTAGATTCCCCTGTCCGGTTTGCAGCTCACGTCGATTTCTGAATGCATTTGTCTCGGGTAAAGAGAGGCGGAAGATAATTATAAGGACTGGTGGACAGGCGCCGAACCAAAAGTATGGTCGCCAACCATGAGAGGTTGTGTTTACCAGAGCGCGAGAGAATGCCGTCGCGAGGAGGTATCCAAAAGCGTATCCTTGTTGCATCAAGCCTCCTACAAGGCCGCGCGCTTCAACGGGACAGTCTTCTAGAGCAGTGACTGCCGCATTCCCGTAGAGACCACCCATCGCGATTCCAAATAAAGCACGAACTGCGAGGAACTGCTTATATGTTTGACAGAAGCCAGTTGCAAGCTCTAGGATGATGAATAAGATAAGTGCGGCGATAAAGGGCCTAAAAATTGCGAGTCAGTGTAAGCGCCAGTAGATGGCTTCTCCCAAACTAGTTATGCGTACCATTTTCTTCCATATCGATCGGCTGCGATGCCAAATATAATTGAACCAACGGATCGTAGCATCAGGACCAAGGTGATACCCCAGGTGATATCGGTTGTTGATTTATTGAATGATTCAGCCAGATCATCGACAGTAAGAGATACGGTGAAGAAGTCGAAGGAGTCCCATGACCATGCAAAAAATGAGACCATAAAGAAAGCCCATTGTTTTTTATTCAACATTGCTAGTAGCTTGACAGGATTAGGCACCTTTGCCATAGGCGGCTTGAGGGAGGTCACTCTGGTCGCAGCATACTTGCGAATCGAAAGGGGTTCGTAAACACTGGAGTCCTCATAGTTATTGGATTGAATTGATTTCTCCTCATCCTGGACTAGGTGATCAGGATGCATTTTGATTTGGGATACCCGTAACCCGCGTATAGTACCTGCTTGGTCTATATTAAGTTGTCTTTATTATGAACCAGGATCACTAAGTGGTAGATAGAGCAAATTTGAGAGGAAAACAGGCGGGCTTTTGTATGGATATTTTGAATGATCAAGTATATTGGAATATGATGATCGTCTCCGAGTCTGCTCCAAAAGATAACGACGAATTGTACAGCCAATCCGAGTCCATTGGTTGATAGTCTTTCAGATGTTTCTATACGTGCGGTCTAAAACCTTCTGGATCTAGAGCCATAACCAGATTACAACTTCTTTTTTCGAGGAAAGTCTCAGTGTAGCACGCAGCTACGAGCCAGCTGGCCTAATCTTCTTCTAGTAATAAGAGACTTGGAGTATAGGTATTCGATGGAGGTTTCAATGAGTAGATAGTATACATGTATCACTATAAGCATATTCTATAAGTACCCCAGACTAGTCAGCCACATAAGTTTCCAGCTGAGAGTTTTCGTCTTGTTCAAGTGTCGAGAAAGTACCAGTTGAAACCAGTTGATTGTAAAGAAGATCTTATCATAACTACCCCACCTAGCGGGGTCTGATGAATCCCGAAACCGAGTTCCGTTGGAGTAGAAACGAGATAAGGGATTGATATCGATTGTATGCGGGGGTTCAACCCCGATTTTGATTCCCACAGCAATTTTGTCTCAAGCTTGAGCTCTTGCAAGGCTATATCTTACAACGCGCAGTGAAATTGATGCCATCACGTTGATCGATCGAGACACGCACTCATTTCAAATCATGAACATCGAAAATCATGAGTTCCAACACGACTCCATCTCCCAGAACAGTTACAGTGGCTGCTTGCCAACTTGGCCCTATTCATCTGGCAGATTCTCGACAAGATGTTCTTAAGCGGATGTTCTCACTTTTGGATCAAGCCTCGGAACAAGGAGTGAAATTGGCTGTTTTTCCGGAGCTCGCATTCACTACTTTCTTTCCTCGGTGGCTCTTGAAGGAGAACGAGCTGGACCAGTACTTCGATGTTGAAGATTCCAGCAAGGGTGGTATCGAGCAATCTCCAAATGTGAAACCGCTCTTCGATCATGCAAGATCCCTTGGGATTGATGTTTATGTTGGGTATGCGGAGCGAAGCCTTCAATCTGACGGATCACATATCGACTACAATTCTAGTGTGTATTATTCTGCTCAGAGAAATCAGATTGTGGCAAAGTACCGCAAGGTTCATCTTCCTGGTTCTGTAGAGCCCAAGACTGAACCCGGTGCCTATCAACAATTGGAGAAGCGCTACTTCCGCCCCGGCGATCTTGGCTTCCCTGCATTCAGAGCGCCTGGCCTTATCGAAGGTGCATTGAAGAAGAATTCTGAATCTGATGGAGATCAGGATTTTACAGGCAAAGGCGATCCCATCATTGGGATGCTGATCTGCAATGACCGCCGATGGGCCGAAGCATGGCGGGTATACGGATTGCAAGGGATGGAGATCTTGTGCTGTGGGTACAATACGACTGCATTCCAGACTACAAGTAGTGGTCATGCTGTGGATATGAGTCCTGAAGATGCGGAAGACTTGGTTATGCAACACCACAAGCTTTCCTGTCAAGGAAATAGTTACATGAATGCTTGCTTCAGCATTAATGTGGCCAAGACGGGCGCGGAAGATGGAAACCCCTTGGTTGGTGGAACTATTATTGTGCATCCTCTTGGTCATATTATAAAAGAGGCGAAGACGAAGGAAGATGAACTTGTGATTGCTACTATCGACCTGGCGGATTGTGTTCGGTTGAAGAGTACGGTGTTTGCCTTTGAGAAGCATCGGAGACCAGAGCATTACCATTCTATCATTGAGCGCACTGGGGTTATTGAGCCAGATCTGCTGTAAGATTGAGATTTTGTTTGAGTCTACTGTGTATGCATTTTTCTTCAATTCAAGGCTTTGTTTTTAGGTCTATAGATCAGACCAATTCGGACATATCGTTATTTCCTGGCATTACACATGTGCATACAACCTTGTAATAGATTATGAAATGCCACGATATCGCCTAATTCTGACCCGGAATAAGACATGCTCTTTCAAGTTTAGTCAAGGCGTCTTTATTCAAGTAGAATAACCAGCGACTGGGAAGTAAGACATGTAAGATAGCCCCGGAGCCCTGGAGATGGCCTGTGTATAGCAGCGTATTGATGGCCGGGCGCTATCAAGTGGAGACGTTCGGATACGTGTCGTGTAAAGTTGGGGTAATTTACTGTGTAATCTGATTGTAAGATAAGAATGAGGAGAATTTCGGGGTAAATACTTCAAGTCTAAGCACGACGTATCAGCACGACGTATCAGCTGGAGATATGGCAGATTCATGGATTAAAAATGGGGGCTCGATATGATTTGATCCGAATATTTGAACTATCTTTGGATGGTTCACCTGGTATCTTCAAGTTGAATATTGCAAATAATTAGTTTTTCATCTGAATTTGACCACCTGGGCAGCCGGCATGGGTTTAGATACTATTGTCAAGAATGGTCTTATTGTGAGTTCTTTCATTTTCAGCTTCCAGCAATTTCATAATTCATACGTACCTTCGCTACAACTACTACTCTCCATGTGATAGTAGGATATGACCGTTTCTGGTGGAAAACTGACTTGTATAGGTGACGGAGAGCGGAGTTCTTCCCGCTGGTCAAAGCATTGGAATTTCGAAAGGGAAAATATCACTCATAGGATACGACTTGCCTGAGGGCCCTGAAACGAAGATAATTGACGCAGAAGGAGCTTACATTACCCCTGGGGGTGTTGATTCTCATGTTCATCTCGCCCAAATAAATGCTCCAACTGGAGACAGCTGGGAGACTGGTACGCGCAGTGCCATCGCTGGCGGCACAACAACTGTCCTAGCATTCACATCGCAGACCAAAGAGATGAAGACACTGTTCCCTGTTCTTGAGGAGTATCACGGAAAAGCTCGAGGACAAGCTTATTGTGATTACGGATTTCATTTCATCATTACCAAGCCAAATGAAAAAATATTAAAGGAAGAGTTACCCAGAATCGCCAAGGAAGAAGGGATCACCAGTGTGAAGCTTTATATGACATACGAGCTGTATGAACTTTCTGATCATGAGCTTCTCGATACATTACTCGCCTGTCGAGCCCTTGGAATGACAACAATGATTCATGCAGAAAACGGAGATATGATTCAATTTTTGGTGCAAGGCCTCGAACGAAATGGCAATACAGCACCTTTCTTCCATGCAATCGCGGGTCCAAAAATTGCGGAAGATGAAGCATCGTATCGCGCTATAAGGCTGGCAGAACTAGTAGATGCTCCCATCTTACTGGTTCATGTATCTGCAGACGGAGCAATGAAGCACATCAGAGACGCTCAAACGAAATTGCTTCCAGTTCATGCAGAAACATGTCCTCATTACCTCTTTCTACTCTCCAATAAGTTAGCAAACCAAGAGCATGACCATTTTCATGGCGCAAAAGGTGTTTGTTCTCCACCTCTGCGTCACAACGTGGAAGATCTGGAAGCTCTCTGGCGTGGAATTGCCAATGATACCTTTACTGTTTTCTCCTCCGACCACGCTCCAACCAAGTATAATCATCCGCAGGGAAAGAAAGCTGGTATCATTAACGGAATTCCGAAGTTCAGCAAAATCCCCAAGGGAATTCCAGGAATCGAAACCAGACTTTCTCTACTCTTCAGTGAATCCGAGGGATGTCTCCCAAAGAACCAGGCAAGACTTAGCCTTGCTCGCTTTGTGCAGCTTACATCGGGTAATCCGGCTAGGCTGTACGGTCTCACACAGAAAGGGTGCATATTACCCGGATACGATGCCGATCTCGTTATCTGGCATCCGCAGGGTAAAGGTGGGCGAGTCATTTCTCAACAGAATCTACATCATGATGTCGATTATACTCCATTTGAAGGGATGCATGTCAGGAATTGGCCCCGACTCACAATTTTACGTGGTGAGATTGTTTGGAACGCAGACCAGAACAGCATTACTGGTACAAAAGGATTTGGAAACTTCATTAAGCGAGAGAATGGGCATCTTATTGTCGGCAAGCTTGGCCAGCTTCCAAAAGGCATGGTTGAGGGCGAAAGAGATTTCTGGCTGCCCAAACCTGATGTATGATTGGAGAGAAAACGACAATATTCTTAAGGCATTTGATTCATCCTTTTTGGGTACTCTTCATCCGCTCGTCGGTTAGACTTAGTTACCGAGGATTTTGGACTTGATGAATGCAGCAGCATCATAGTTCCAAACATCGGTGTAGCTCTCGTGGGCAGTAAGGCTGGTGCCAGATGCACAGACAATGTCGTTGACATTGCAGTAGTCAGCAGTGGCGGAGCCGATAGCCTTGTTGAAGTAAGCCAATTTCTCCTTAGTCTTGGGGTATTTCTAGAACATAATTAGCGTTCTGCGACGAGCATAAAAACGAACATGGGCTTAAAGTTCATACGCCAGTAACATTTTGAGTCAGATTGAACACGTTGTAGGGCTGGTAAGGCATGTGGCGAGGGTTTCCGTAGAGGACGAGAGCAGTTACTGTCGTAGAGAGTTAGAAAAAAGCCTTTTACATCGATGGTAAAAGTCAGACAGGGAAAGGCTCACCAGACTGTGTCACATCAATGGGTACAAGGGGCTGAGAAACGTTGCCAAGATACTCATTTCCACTGCTACCTGTGATAGCATCATCGATACACAATGCACCCTAGTCGACTGTCAGATGACGTGGAGCCTCACTCATACCTTTGAAGAACTTACTTCAGAGTAGCCAAGAACAACAATTTTCGACTCAGGACACTTCTCCCGGTAGGCAATTAATTGCTTAGCGGCAGCCACACGGCCGAGAAAATAGCTGTCGCTGGTAGTCTCATCAGTAGCCGGATAGTCAATGTTCTCGTAATTGGCCTCTGGAAAGTCGGCAGTGACCAGGGTGACCAGACTTTCCAAAGAACCGGGCACGGTCTCAGTACTGCCCCGTCCCAGGATCATATGAACTGAGGCACATGCAGTCGAGTTGGTGACGGTGACATTAGCTTCCTGAGTGGACAAGGCAGAGGTCATCTGAAAGGCAAGGGCCATGAAAGCAGCTGAGGTTATATGTTGAATGGTAGGCATCTTGATGATTGCTAAACGCTGTCTTTGGTCTGATCTAGTGTGAATTGGATAGAAATAGAGGACTTCAGACCTGTGTTGCCAGTGAGAGCTGTTATATCAATGTCTCCTCGGTCATATTTCGGCAGCAAAGATCCATCCACCATTTCGTGACGACTGCTTTATTCTGAGTCCCCGCTTGAGTCTAATTGCTCAAAATCCACATAGAACGTCGGATCAACTACCCCTTGGTATATTGCTCGAACAGTTTCTCCATATAATTGGCTGATTCCGGATTCTTCAATTGAGACTTTCCTTGGCGGTGGGGCGATTGCTTCATGTTCTCGGAGATTAACCTTGCAATGTACTTATACCTACGTGGCTCCGCCCCATCAGGCTTGCAAAACTATGTAGATCGCCGGACGAAGGGTCTTCAACCATATCTGTACTATGTCCTCAGAAAATCTTGGATTCGACGCTCTTCAGTAGATATGATGGTCTACTCACCTAATACGGGGATTTGCCATTATAGCTTCCAAGGTTTTATCCCTGGGATCCTATCATGATATTGTAGCTAGATCTCCCATGATTGCAATGAAATGGTTCTTTCTATTCAACCCAAGTGTTTTGAGGAGTCTCAACTTCGGATAATAAATCCATAATATGACACGCGGTGCTATATGAACTCCCGGATATTCTAACCTTTTCTGCAAGTATGCATGGAGTGACTGCCATTTCAAGTTTGTGTCCGGAAACTTAAATTTAAGCACCTGGAGAACTCGCCCGAAGCTACCCAATTTGGCTCTAACAGCCGAAAAAGCCGAACAAAGGTACAGTTAATTATCCGATTTGAATCCATCCATGGTTTCACGTTCCAGAGCAAAAAGAACGTGGAACTCACGGCTGTACCGTAATGCTCTCCACATGCGCGCTTACTAAATTCTTAATTGTAACTAGGTAGTAGCTGCAAAAGTTTTCAAGGTTAACTCACTTGAAACATTTGAATTTTCCAAGGTTCCCGATCGGCATCATTCAAGTTTGTACCTAAATATGGGCCTAGCTCCGAGTGTGGAGATTGGAATATTCACAGCACCCATCATACGATCCACGTCCGAGTCTCCGGGTGTTGGCCATGGAGGCTGGATAAGTTTTATAACTCATGAACTACATGTTCATATGCAGGATATCCATGATTCAAATTTGAAGGTTTCAAAAGCTGTGAAATTTCCAAGGTTGGACTTTTGGATGTTCATAAAAATTATAGATCAATCGAAAAAAATAGCAAAAGAAATGGTCCCAGAGGGGCCCGACCTTCCAATTTGGTGTTATTAGCACCCCACCTGGGCACTCTAACCAACTGAGTTAGTATGGGACCGTTGAGATAAAACTCGATTTTTGGCTATATCATCAGACGAAAAGCTCGTGGGGAGTAAACCTGCACATGTGGAGGAAGGTGATTCAAAATATGATCCACTGGCAGTGACTGCATATGGCTGGAGCCCTGGGCTGGAAGGACGGCTGTGGCAAAATAAGAAGCCTGCGAAATCATTCCAAAAGTGTCTCGATGCGATGTTATAGTATACGAGCTTGCCAGTGGCTACATGTACATTCAGGCTCAGCTTGGACTCGGAACCCTCAAAGGGAAACTTCAAGTTCCAGAACTTGAAGTTCGGGACCTCGGGATATATAAAGGGCCGACGTGTACATATGTAAACATAGAACTTTTGGGTGTACCATTCCAGATGTCCAAACTTGAAGGTTAGTCATGGCGTTGAATATTGCCTGAATCACCTTCAAGTTGGAGTAGTAGGATGTGATGATAGATTGAAAGTGCGAGTGACTCGGACCTCAGACATCTGGAGGCTCAACCTTGGAACTCAATTCTCAAGACGCATCAATGTTCAACATTTGAATAGAGCTATCATTTGTTAGGATCAACATTTTGAACCATCCTTATCAGGTTCAGTATGAAAATCGGGGTAAAAACCCCCACTGGCACATCCCCGCTAACCCCACCTGGGCAGTATTCACTGTGACTTGTAATATTCCAAGGTTTATATAAATTACTGAATCTTCAGTCTGCTAGTACTAGTCATTTATAGCATTCAAATGTTATTACTTGGGAAAAAACATGGCTTGAATTAACAAGCCTGCATATCTCACATTTAAAGGCTGGCTGTGTCACTGAGTAGAAACGGGAGAACAATACAGGCAAATATGACCTCCCCTCAAGTCAAAGATGACGATGCATTCATCCCAAGTGTATCAGGGACCTCAGCAGATCGCAAGATGAACATCCTGCTAATCAATCCGAATTCGACAAAATACATGACAACGGACTGTTTAAAAGCTATCGCACCTAGCCTGCCTCCAGGCGTGATTGTCCATGGATTTACTGCTCCATACCCCGCGCCAACTGCAATCGAGTCTCAAACAGACGCAGTGCTGTCCACTGAGGCGTGTATCAGAGCAATCAAGCCCATTGCATCGCAATACGATGCATTTGTAGTCGCATGTTTTCGCCACCATCCCCTCATTGCTGTCTTGAAGGAGGAGTTTTCACAACCCGTTCTCGGCATTATGGAGGCAGCAATGTACGCTGCACGTATGCTTGGTGACAGGATGGGGATAATCTGTACATCAGACCGGTCGATGATGACCCACTCCCGAACTGTCTCAGCATATGGCTTTGCAGATTACTTTGCTGGCTGTGAGTCCGCCAAGCTCGGCGTGCTCGAGCTTGATTCAAAGCCTAAAGACGAGGTCTATGCGAATATCACGCAAAAACTTAGACAACTCGTTGAAAATGACGGCGCTGACTGTGTTCTCTTGGGATGTGCGGGCATGGCAGAGTTACGAACTGTCTGCGAGAGAGCTGTGGAAGGAACTGGTGTGAGAATTATAGATGGGGTAACTGTAGGAGTTCAGTTTCTGATTGCGCTCGTGAGGGAAAACCTCCAGACAGCCAAATCTGGTGTGTATCGAGAGTCTTCGGCGGATAGAGTGAAGCGGAATCAGAACTGGCTCTAGACTATCACGTTCGCCATTGTTTAACGACTCATAGTAGCACAGCATTCTTCGCAGCATTATCAAATGTCCCTCAAATGTCCAGCTGTAATAAGTATTATTCTTGATTCGATTAAACTCAGATTTCATTACCTGACATTTTCCAACTAGCCAATACCGGTGTATCGCGCCCGCTTGTTCCTAGGCGTATGTAACGTATTGTAACGGTATTTGAAGCAGGTCTTGCCGATGACCGCTTCCAAGGTTATCTCCAGCTCCAGGGCTCTTCTTCTCAATATGCAAGACAAGTGAACAACACTTCAGGTCTCCTGCTAATAATGCGACCGCGTATTGAAGTGGCGCCGTGTAAATTTTGTCGAAGACGATTCTCAAGAAGAGAACATCTACTTCGACATGAGCGAACCCGTTGGTGATCCCTGCAAACCAGCCTCTAAGAATGCCGTTATTGACCAAAGACAGATACACGCGAGAAGCCATTTTGCTGTCGCTGTAATAGGAAATTTGGAAGACGGTAGACTGAAGGCTATCTCCTGATGGATTCTGGATATGAAGTCTGACGAATGCATAACAGTGATCTACTCTCCAGGCACTTGAGACTAAATGATGATCCCGCACGTCATATGGAAGTGAAGACACCTGGCGCGCAACAACTTGAAACAGAAGTGGAAACGAACGTCGATGCTGGAATGCTTGAACTAGCAATACATACATCGGCTGTAGCTGCCCAGCATATGGATCCACACGACCAAAGTCTGTCCCGGCTTATCAATCTGCAGACAGATCAAGTGAGCGAGGTGCATAATATACATCAAGTTCAAGTTGAGGCTCCAAGCAGGGACTTGGTCTCTTCCGATGCTACACAACCATTTTTCGAAGACAGTATCCACGATCTCAATATCCTGTGGGGTGGAATGGACGGCAGTTTTGCATTAGAAGATTCATTCTCTCTGGGATTCACCTTTCCCTTCGGACTTCCCAGTGGCACAGCTCCTGGACTCGACTTTTCAGAGCAGACATATCTCTCGTTTTCGGGGGCGTCAACTAGCGGAGCCTCTGGAGAAACAATAGCGGATAATCATCATTCAGACGACGACGCGTCTCTATGCAATTATCAATTACCACCGTTGAATCAGAATGACGGGTACAATTCTCAAGATATGGAAAACACTTCGGAGCGGCCCAATACTCCAGTTGAGCGGCCAGAAGGCTCCGAGATTAACTATCCTTGGCGTATTGGAAAAGATGACTATAATGCTATTATTTCGGAAATTGAACAAGTTCGCCATATCCTTCCGGATGGCTTTATATTCCCTTCGAAGTATGTATTTTGCCGATACATTGAGGGATTCTTTACTGGGAGTCATGGGCATCTGCCTTTTCTCCATCTTCCCACAGTATCTATCTCCAATTTGACACCATCTTTGATCCTGGCAATCATAGCAATGGGTGCACAATATCGATTTGAGATCGATCGCGCAGCTTGTTATTTCAAAGCATCAAAGTCACTAATCGATAATCATTCTTTCGCTCTTGTGTCCTTCAACTCTGATTTTCATCCAGGATTAGATGTGGAGACCTTTGACTCTTCTCAGAAAGTCGAGTTTGAAGTCTTACAGTCTCAGATCATCCTGTCGACCCTTGGGATCTGGGGTCATCATAATCTTCTTCGCGACTCACTGTCAATGACGGCAAATATAGTTCAGTCCTTGAGAGCGATCGGAAATTGTCTACACGAAGATAATTCAGATAATGAATCATGGCAGACTTGGATCCAGAAAGAGGGTAACCGACGAACTGTGTTTATTGCCTACATGCTATCGAATAATCAAACAATTCTATACAATGTTCCTCCCAAAATTCTGAGCAGTGAACTAAGGTCGCTATATCTTCCCTGGCCTGAGGAGCTTTGGAAAGCCTCCAGCGCTACAGAATGGAAGGCTCTTCGCTCAAAGTGGCCCCATTCTGTTTCATTTGGCGATGCTTACACCCAGTTGTTTCGCTCGAAACAGAGTCGAAGAAAAAGAACGAGGCTATCGTCTTTTGGAAATCTAGTTCTTGTTCATGCTATTTTCCAGCAAATATTTCTTGCATGGGAATCAGAGTGCTGCATGTCGCAATCTGAGCATTTGGTGTCCTTGCCAGATGAATCTCTCACGAAATTCCACACCGCGCTGAGACGATGGCAACGAAGCTGGGAGACCAGTTCAGATCCCTCAATAACGCCATCGTCCCCGAAAGGTCCATTGGGGTTTAATGCGACCGCAATCTTTCGCATGGCTTGTATCAGATTACACCTTAACCTCGGTCCCCACCGTTGTCTATCGACATGGCAACCAGGAATAATAGCGCATGCTTTCCTGAACGCACCAGTACCTACACAGTCACCTCAAGTCTATCATGCCGTTCTCCAGTCCATCCACGCCCTTTCTATCCCTGTTCGTCTCGGCGTAGAGTATGTTGCAAGAACGCAAACACTCACATGGAGCACTATTCACTCGCTTTGCAACCTTGAGTGTGCTATATTTCTATGCAAATGGCTGGAGACCCTTGCTATGAACCCGACAGATCTCCACGATGACACGAAGAAGCTCCTTCGAATCATCACTTCCGTTCTGCGGGAAGCTGATTTGCTGGTGCCTAATATCAATATGGAATTCATCAAAAGCAGCGATCTACGTCAGATAGGTGCGGTTCTGGTGCGCTTGCTATCTCGGATACTCAAAGGAACCCATGTGTTCGAGATGATGCATGTCTTCTGCGAAGCGCTTCGGATATACGCCAATTTGTTGGAGAAAAATATTTAGTTTAGTGGTGCCAGATATAATGTTCAAGAATCATTAACAGCTACTAGCCCCTATACAGGACCTTTCCAAGGTTCTTGCGAGAAGCACCCTTCCGAGTCCCCAATACTTTCCCCTTACTAGCCTCATATGTAATCGTCACCTCTCGCGTCTGCTTAATTCCCGATATACTCAGAATACTCTTGTCACTTGAATCATCTCTCTGTTTACTCAATGTGATAATGTCTCCACCCATCATATAGTACTGTTCCGACCAGTAGGGACTGATCCTAGAGGCGCAGTCATCATTGTTGGCACTGCGAGCAGTGCTTTGATTTTTCCTGGAGGCGTTGTAGTTTCTGGGAGACTCTGCATCACCGCTGGATGAGTGCATGCGTACGAACAAGATGCGAAGGGCAGGGATAGAGGAGGCAAAAATGGTCAAGCCTGTTTCGGCGGAGGCCCAAAGGAGGATAGGTGAGCAGTAGTCTGAGTGAAAAATCAGCATGGTGGGTTGGAATCAGTCTTCAATATGCGGATGAAAAAAAGGGGCGCCGAGTCGGGAATCTGGGATGCGTACACGTAAAGTCGGTGATTGCAGCGACGTTTTTCAGCTTTGATGTCTTGATGAAGGCTGCTATGGCGGCACTGTTATCGTTAAATTAGATATTAGTATCCCTGGAATGACTACTGAGAGCGCAAGTTTATTTTAACTCACAATACACCCATGCTCATGGCAAGAATAATTCCAAACTTCTCATGCTTCTTCATTTGAAGATTCCAAACAATGAGCCAAGGGAAGAAAGCAAGAATGAAATCCATACACCCAGAGTACGCTGAAAGATGGGTCAATACAAATTTCCAATGGTCAAAAGCACAATCCTACCTCCAGCGACCATGGCAATATTCTCGAGGATGTAGGTTGGCCAGCATTGGGCTTCAGCGAACAACTTTGTGTTCCAGAGTGCAGCCGCTGGCCGACACTGAGCCAGATAACAAATACCACATAGCCACATCAACACATTCATAGTGATTAAAATAAACCACAATGTCACTTTCTGCCAAGGTTGAGTCACTATGCGCAGCAGTGTGATAACGAATGAAGTTTTAGCGAATACGCAGCCAAAGATGATTATCACAAAGCCAATGTATAAAAGCTTGAGTCTATGGGGAATAGACGCTTGATTCTCAATGTCCTCGACATGTCTTCCAAGAACACCCATTTGAACTCCTTTTGTAACCAGCACTGTAAAGATAATTTGTAACAACTGGGATAAAGATAGCTGAATTAGTGAGGACGAAAATAGGTGTGGTATTCTCAATATCCTTACCCAAGAAAAGACACAAACACCATCATCCCATCCGAACCCTCGCGAGAGCATCAATTTACAATAAACTCGTAAAGCGACCAATATACCTGGGATACCAATAAGAATCCAGCCCACAGCTAGAACCAGCAGGCCCTCATTTTGAGCTGCCTCCGATATGCTGAGGGTCATGATGACCGCGCAACTGGGAAGTCTGCCTCTCGCTTCTGTGATTGATTTTGAGCGAAAAACGAGATTTAGGTGTTCAAGCACTTGAGTTTTTTAAGGGTTCAAGGACACCAGAAGATGAAAGATTACTCAATATGCCTCCGAGTCTCATTATGCAACGATAATCGAGTCAACGGGCTACTGGAGATAATAGCCACAGTCTGTTGGTCCAATATAAGCCTTGGAAGATCACCTGGGCAATTGATACAGTGGTGTAACATAAGTATTTAACCTCGACTACTTTCGGACCGGAGGACCCACTTTTTAATACTGCCATGCAGAAACCTCCAAAATTCATGTCCTATGCTAAGGCCTCAATAGCTAGTATGCCAGCCCTCATACTTGATAACATCTGCCACTCTATGGGGCATAGTGTCTGATAGGTGCTTAAAGATCTCAATATCTAACGCTTCCCATGCTTCCTGCGCAGCTTTAACCAATAGATCTAATGTAGATGTGTTATTTGGTAGGTGCATAAGCTCAGGGTAACGCTTCAATATTTCAGCCTTTAGTAAAGCCCATAGGTTCTCAATTGGATTTAAATCAGGTGAATAGGGAGGCCATTCCATAATATCGCAGTTTAGGTCATCAAGAGTGTTCCGTACAATCCAAGCTGTGTGTACTGGTGCATTATCTTGTTGAAAGATAGCATCATGATCAAGGCTATTAAGAAGGGTAGGTAAAACACACCTATAAAGCTCTTCAATCGTACGAGAAGAGACACCACCCCGTTGAGATGTAGGATCTCCAAAAAGTGGAATAAGACCAGATCGACGTGGTTGACCAGAAAAAGCAGCCCAAAACATCTGTTTAATTTGCTTTCCTCGTGCTGGAATCATTTGGATCTGAGACCCTTCTTGTGGATGCTGAAAAAGCTGGTCTTTTGGGCGTATAAAGCTCCATTCTTGACGCTGGCCAATTCCACGCTCAATTGTACATTCATCTGACCAATAGACACGGGCCCAATCTGAAGGTGTAAAATGTTGGTATTGTCGGGCCCATCGTAGGCGTTTTTCCGCATGTAAAGGTGTTAAGGAAGGCCTTTGCATCTTCCTCCATTTTCGAAGGCCCATTTCATGGGTTAAACGCCAAATTGACATACGATGGACCTTAAAATCAACCTCTGCAAGTAGGTCTTTGATTAATATTGATGGGTTTTCTTGTATAGTCTCGTATATATGGTCACGATCATCTTCGGTGAGCTTCTTTGGGGCGCCTGAGCGTGGTAGGCTCTCTTGTTTTTGACGATTTTTCTCTTGGGTAAGAGTATACTGAATAGTTGAGCGTGGAATATCGGGAAAGCGCATCTTTTTAATAGTAGTTGCGCCCCAGCCATTTGTAGCATGTAGCTCGCAGATCTTAGCCCTAGTAAGGCAATCAAGCTCAGGGCCTCTTTTCCCACGTATAGGGGGCATAATATAGCAATATAACTGTAGGCGATATATGTTCGAATAATAATAGATTGTGTATAACAGCAGGTTACGCTACGCGTGGGAGAACGCGGTGTACTAATATAGTAGGCGGTATAAAATAGCGGTCAGACTCAAAGTGGTCCCAAAAGTAGTCGAGGTTAAATACTTATGTTACACCACTGTATGTCTACTTGGATGTATATTAATCCGAACCTGAAGCTTCCAAGGTTTGATCGGAGCTACTAGCATTTGAAAACCACAGGGTCTGCACCGAATAATGTGGAACCGCATCGTATTAATTTATTTTGGAAATTTGTTCCCAGTTTTATGCTCGTGTTTCTTGAACTGGGCCTAATCCTTGGTTCAGACCCTCTCTTGAATTGATTGCAAACTGGAGATTTCAAAAATAAGATCGATCTTTTAGTCAATCTGAAACAGCCACATGGACATGGATATGAGCATAGAGACTGGAAATTGGTGGGGACCAGTGCACAGATGCCTACTGTGGGCTTCCATTTGGTACCATGAGCAATGGCATTTAGGGACGGGCGGGCCTAGTTTCCGGTGCCATTTAGTGCATCTGGAACACTAATACAGTGGGGCGCAGTTGGACTGTAGACCATTGTGTTTCTCCACCTGAACCTTGACATGTTTCATTTGAACTCAGAAAATTGATCTATCAAGAATTTCACCTGTCATACGAGAAGATCATCACTTAAATGAGCCTCGAAGTTTAGCCAAGCTCTGATAGCGTGGGCCATGGCCGGGTTTGGTCGTAGAAAAAAAAAAAAATTCCGGCTCTCAGCACATGGGCCTGCGCTGGTGAACTTTTTTTTTCGTTTTGGATCATCTAATTGTATATTAGAAATTCTAAAAAAAAGATATGCGGTGAGTGTGGATTGAACACACGACCTCCAGATTATATGATTGAAGTTGACTTCAGTCTGGCGCTCTCCCAACTGAGCTATCCCCGCTGGTGATTTTTATCTCCGATAATCAGCATTTCCTGCTCGAGGTCTGGCCTGGATGCGCGCATTTCCTCATTTCCCTCAATAAACAGTAAAGCTTCATGAACTGTCTTTTGTTTCCGATCTCTCTGTTTCCTCTAAGATGCAGAATATGAGGACCTGTGAAATCCACACTGAGAATGACGGCTTTAGAGGGCGAGGAGCTTCACTCCAGGCGGCCCCGTGGCCCGTGGGCGTCCATGCCTAGGCGCCCGCGGGCCCGGGTGTCTCGCACCGTTAGTCATTATCACCCAGAGGCCTCCAAGCTTCTGGACTCCAGGGCCGCCCTGGTGCCCAGTTAGTGTTTGGTAGTTCAAGATAAGGAACAGATCAATTGTGAAAAACAAACAAAAATAAAATAAAATAAAATAAAAAAAACCCCTGCATACTCAACGGAGACTCGTTGGCACTGAAAATTGTCTCTCCTAGCGGCACACAGTATCAACCTCCTATAGTAAATAGTATTCTCCGTAGATAACCTTGGAATAATTCCACGATGCCCATCTATATTATTAGTCTTCTACATTTTTGGGCCCACCGCTAGCTGCAGCCACGCGTCTTTTATGCTAAAATGCTAGCCGGGAACTAGCATAGAAAATGGTCCAATAATGGCTAAATTCTGAATCTGATTTGGCTCTCCGCTCTCAGACCCCATTTAAAGATGGCTATTTGTACCGGTATGTATAGAATAACAGTCTCAACGTGAGTCACTGGCACTAGATATAACCAGAAGTTACCAACTAACTAGGGACCTTCTTGTCTGCACATGGGAATACTACCTTCAACACACATATTCCTCACACTATTCTAAGAGATGGAGGCAGCTCAAGATCGGGATCTCTTGCCCCCCTCATTTGCTTGGCCTAGCCAAAGAACTTCTGACAAAGCTCGCGGACTATGATTACGAACAACCTCTGCCAACCTCGCGAACGGGCCCCAAAGCTGCGATACTGATTCTTGCCTTCCTCGAAGATGTTGCTTCTCCAGATGAGCTTTTGAATTCATTCGTCGCCCACTACGTCTCCGAAAATCCATATGCTTCTCATTTATTCAACCTCGACACCGAATCTGCTTTATCTGACCTAGCATCTTTTCTTTCCTGGGAACGAGAAAGACTCGACGCTTTGGACGAGACTTTGCATAGTTTTATCGAGATATTGACCGATGGGAATCAGCCTCTTGCCTACGCGGCAGAGCATGGCTATGTCGAAGCGGTCAAGACTATTATATCTACGGAAAGAGGCAATACTGGCAGTCAAAGCGACGACCCGGATGATCCACAGCCACTATCCTTAGCAGCGCGGAACGGACATGAAGCGGTAGTGAGTATTCTACTCGGCACAGATGGCATCGACCCCGACCACCGCGAGGAGATCTGGAACGGACAGACGGCGCTTTCATCAGCAGCAGAAGGTGGACATGAAGCAGTCGTCAAGCTACTGCTTGAAACGCCGGGGGTTGACCCAAATATTGAGGACTGGAATTATCAGACGCCGCTTTTGCTCGCCTCGCGTGGTGGATATGGTGCCGTTGTGAAGCTGTTACTCTCCAAAGATGTCGATCCAAATTTCAAAAATTACTGGGGAGAAACGGCTCTTATTGTGGCCGCAGAGCTAGGACACGAAGAAGTCATCAAGCCACTACTAGCTGCAAATGATATCCATCCCGAGATTCAAAATTCAAAAGGCGAAACAGCCTTCTCGGTGGCCGCTGAACTTGGTCACACGGCCATAGTTAAACTGCTTCTTGCCACTGGCACTGTCGATCCTAACTTCAAGGACTCGGACGGACATAAAAAACTCTGTTGGGCTGCGAGAAATGGTCATAATGCGGTCGTTCAGCTGTTATTGACAATGAAACCTGTTGATCCCAATACTAAAGGCGTCGATGGGTATACGCCGCTATCATGGGCTGCAGGACATGGCCATCGGGAAGTGGTCAGTACATTGCTCGCAACCAATGGGGTAATGCTGGATGTGAGAGACTCGGATGGACGCACCCCTCTCTCCCTGGCAGCTGAAGCTGGGCACGAGACAGTGATCAAACTCCTGCTCTCCACAAATGGGGTCGATCCAAACTCCTCAGATTTTAACGAACGCAAGCCGATATGGTGGGTTGCATGTGGCGGAAACGAGCCTACCGCCAAGTTATTACTCGCAGTGAAGAATCTTATTATAGATTCTAAAGACTTCGACGGAGAGACGCCATTGAATTGCGCAGCTCGGAATGGGCATGAGGGAATGGTTCGACTGATTCTTGCTAATGGCGCCAATCCTGGCTCGGAAGATTCCGAGGGTCGATCACCTCTCTTCTGGGCAGTTCACAACGGGCTTGAAAAACTAGTCGAGGAGCTGGTTGTCATGCAAGGAGTCGATCCTGATTCTGCAAGCTCCGACCGACAGACACTGTTGCTCCATGCCGTAGAACACGGCAATGAAGTCATAGTGAAACTGCTGCTCTCTACAAGACGTGTCAATATTGAATCTCGGAATTCAAACATGGAGACACCAGTGTGGTGGGCGGCAAGAAACGGGCTCGGAGCTGTAGTTGAGCTACTACTTGCCGACGGCGCGGATCCAGATCCAAGGAATTCCGCTGGAGAGACACCAATATGGTGGGCAGCACAAAACGGACACGAGATGATAGTCAAGCTTCTTCTCCAAGCAGGAGTCAGTCCCGAGCCCCATATCTCTGGTCGGGAAACGCCATTGTGGTTAGCGGCACGAAATGGGCATGAGAAAGTTGTTGAGCTGCTTCTTACAACTGGGCGAGTCAATACAAACTTCAAAGACTCGATGGGAGAGACACCACTCTGGTGGGAAGCACGCAATGGGCACGAAGCAACAGTTAGTCTGCTGCTCGCAATGGGAGCGTTTCCAGATTCGGAGAATGAAGATGGCCAGACACCTTTGTCCTGTGCAGCGGAATTTGGACATGAAGATGTAGTCAAGCTTTTTCTTGCTTATAATGTCAATCTCAATTCTCAGAATTCTATTGGAGAGACAGCGCTTTCTTTGGCAAGAGAAAACGGACATGAGTCATTGGTTAAACTGTTAACTCCTGGGTGATATTTTTATGCCAGTTCAATAATATTCCAATTTACCATTTCAGATGTCATGATTCGTCATCCACACATGGTTTACATTCGCAATAGACACACTAGAATGCAATAATCTTATGTTCAGTTTTGAAAGTGACCACTACATCAATTCAATGTTTGAGGAATTAGGGGGTAGAAGAGTCCGACTTGGAGTATTCTGGCAATTTGAGTCTCCATGATTTATCATGTTAACATGGATTGATTTGAAGCACTTGAGAAATAGATCAATCCTATAATCTCTTTTCGATGGACTAATACTAATACTATATCATCCATGGATGTTTTCCCACCACATTCTTCTCAAAATCTTGGAATTCGATCACTGCGCATATGTACCTACATGTACTATCTCACAATTTCTCAAAGATTCTTAGTGCCACTCAACCAGGCTAACGCGCTCTTCTTCCCAGTAAACAATCCATAAAAGGAATACGTGGTCCTAGTATGACATGCACTCAACTCCAGAGGATAAAGAACGATCTTTCTCGCCTGACCCTTCTCACACCGATGATGAGGCCAAATTTCAACCTCCAAGTAGTAAATAAGCGAAGGATTCTCAAACTTTACGCTCGCATACGCCTGATTATAAGTATGACACTCATTCGCATACGGGACCAGAAGATCCTCACTAGCACAAGACTTTTAGTCAGACACGTATGCCCAGAAGTGAGAAAATGATCTCTTCAGAAGTCCACTTGCATTCATCTCGTCCACATCCCGAGAAGCCAGACTGGCGTCAAGCTGAATAGATGATCCGGGCTTCTGGGTACCAATCACCTGCAGACCAGCAGCACCCTGGCTGACGAGCCAAGAGAATATTGCCCGCGAAGCATGGATACTGTCGATGTTTTCATTTTCGGAAGCAGCAAAGTCCTCGGCCGCGATTGACATGTTTCAGGTCGACAGTATCATACAGTCGAAGAGACGTTCGTCAGCTCCATCGAAGTCGATGGTTCGATTCACGACTGGGTACACGACTGTGACACCTTCATCGATGTAGAGTCCGTATCGGACTTGGGTGGCGTTGAGGCAGAACAGGAAAGAGTCTGCAACGTCTTTATCGAGAGCAGTAGGTCCGCACACGGTTATATTGTGTGTTTGGCCCACTGCAACGGCATGTGCGCACATCGGCACAGCCAAGAGGGCTGCTAGCCATGATTTAAACTGCATGACTGAGCTCAACAGCGCGAGATAAACGAAAGTTTTCTGGGCTAGTGATCACCAAAGAAGTTCTTGGGCGTTGCGCAACTAAGGGTGTTAGTAGATGCTTTGGTCCATAGCTTGGATATAAAATCTCGGACCAAACACTTACAAGAAATGTGATTTTTCCTTCGGCTTCCAATGATATTGGAAATTCATCAGAGATCTAGAGGCTACCAACAGTTATATAGCTCGATAAAAAATTCCGATTCATTGATACTATACAGTAGTAGATCAATTTAGTCAAGGCTAGTACTATCGGCTCCTTTGCTCTTTTCTTGTCTTCATACTTACCCATACCTACTTCAGTTACCGCTAGATAATTTCAACAATCTCTTTACTTCAATTCTATACACTAACCCACAGTCTGGGACCGCCCCCGAGTCAACATCTTGAACGCGTACCTCAACTCTATCCGAAAATCCCGAGATATCCCATAGTTCCCAAATCTCGGCCCTCAGTGGGGCTGAACGCGTGTTTTGTAGACATCAGGTGAACGATTAAAGACTTTCGCCCCTTGAGGATAGTCTAAACAGACCTTACTAGCTGGATAGACCCTACGGCCGGTTTTAGTGTTCCAGGTTTGCCTCCTGAATTGATATTTCAAGTTTTCACTTGCCAATTCCTCGAACAAGTACCGGGAGATCATGAGGATCCTTTGAGCCATTTGAAAAAGCAAAGCTTTATCGGTACGGGCCGTATCGGCATATTTAACCCGGTCACTGTATGCTAGTAGCTTATTTAGATTTAGGAATTATAAAATTCAACGAAGAAATACGCTAAAGGCTGCGCTACCATGCCCCGAATGAGAATCATGTTGCGACTTGACGGTTACGCACGTAGTTTAGAGGATGATTGGGGCGAAGAATCAAGAATCGAGAAATTCGCTCGATCTTTTGATAATAGTATAGTAAATAGGAGAGTAGTTCGTGCAATGCCTATTAAACAGGGGTATTCTCTAAGCTATATACAGTGATCTCAAATAAACTAGTACACGGGTTGATTCAGCTGCAATAGACCAACTTGAAACCACAACCACCCTTCTATCGTACTAGTAGTAGACACCAGAATAACACATATGGGTACATTCAGAGATCAATAGTGTATATGTAGGTAGTAGAAACGTGTACTAGTATTACTAACCTTGGAACTAGCTAGAATTCAAGTTTTCAAACTTGTACGTAGTATAATAACAAAACACAACATCTCGAGGTCAATTGATCAGAAAAAAGAGAGCTTCAAGTTCTATATATCGTTGGTATAATACTAGCACGTAACGGGACATTGCCCACACTACTACTAGTAGTACTAGTAGGTACCCACGTGGACACTATAACTTTGATGATCAGTCAAATCCGAGTCCACTTCCGAGTCTAAGCACTTGAGGTTGAGTATCTTGAATGGTTTAGCTAAGAAACCTGTTATAGGGCCCCGGGGCCACACCATTTTCTTTTGCCCCATATTTCTGTCTCTAGAAACACTCGCTTGGAAGTTGCCTAGAGATAGTCAATTTATTGCCGCCCCCTTTTGTGGCTATTCCAAGGTTATCATGTTATTGAGTGGCGTATAGGACTGAATATTTAGGAGACGGACACTAAGTATGCTTTTGAGTACTCCGAGCCTTGCCTGCCCTGATCAAGCGAAATGAATGTATAGCTTTATTGCCCCGGGCCCCTTTCAAGAAGGATTATGATAACGGAGTCTGAACCCCCCTGATCAATAGTAACATTGGCGAGGGTGGCAAAGAGCAAAACAGGGTTGAGAGCCCATATCATGGAGGATAGTAAGTATGATATCCAGGTCTAAGGTAGTCTGATTTATCATAGATTTATCATGGCGCTTGTCCCAAAAGAGGTTAAACAGAAATCAGGGTCAACTTTCCAAGGCTTGTCTTTAGCCTTTTACAGCCTCAGAGCATCTGGATCCATACAAACTCAAGCGACGAACCCAGCCAGCAAGCTAAGCTATTGAGACAGTAATATCTGTGGAAACTCGGGTGAGCTAGCAGCAATGCCTACGATCCTTCAAATTCCAGTGTTTTTTTCGTATTTATTCTCGGCACCTCTGAGAGAGCTCGGCCGACGTTTCCAAGGTTGGCATATGAATGCCAAATGGATTAACATAAATACCACTAAACCAAGACCTATTTTGTCTATTATTCTCAGCAGAAGCCTTTCTACGTTCTCAACTATTACCCTCCTCCAATCTATCTCACTTCATGGAAATTGAGGACGTCCAAAGTTTTCACGATGGTCAAAATCCAAATCATGATGGCTGCCCTTGTCGGCGCCATCAATGTCATCGCCTCCCCTTACAATGTCTCTTATTCTCGAAACTTCGCGACAGAGAAACGTAACATTGACTCCGATTTCTATGACCTCTCCGACTTTGGCTACTTTGGCGGCCAGCTCCCCAAAGTCTACTCTCTTCATGAGAGCAACTCCACTGGTCCCATCTACCTACCAGAAGAAAGCTACCAGGAGTTCCAAAAGATTATCTCTGGCAAGAACAATGCTTCAGACGAGTTCATCGGCCAGCAAAGAGCGCTCTCGACTATGAAGCGGTCTACCGTCGGTAAAATCAGCATGCTCCTGCGCAATGCTGCTGGGACAGGAGATACTTTCGCCATCGAGGCCAATAAGGTGTGTCGTACTGCGTCGAATGCCCCGTGGCACTATGTCATCATTTACTCGATCACCGAGGCATATATTGCCTTTTGGAAGAGTGATGTGTGTAATGGTCATAAGGGTAGCTTTAACCCTGTTTGCGATTGGTATGATGACCCATCGGAGGCTTGTGTGTTCAACTTCAAGCCCAAGTCATTCCGTGCCTACTCTGGTTGCCACCACGATGATGGCTGGGGTGAAGGATGTGCCTCGCATACTCTGTAAGGGGTTGAACTACTATCGAAGTGCTACTTGAACATTTGAAGTTTTTCAACATCATCAAGAGGGCTTTTGGTGTGGATTGGGTTTGCAATTTTGTATACTATGAATGCGGCTGGTTTTTCCAATTCTGGAGGTTGGCTCCACCTGGGCAGAGGTCGAAATTTGTTACAGATGTCAGGTGTCTGCTCTGGAAAAAGAATAAATGTATGAAGGCTGGAGCTCTTTTATGTGGAATATTTGAAATGCATTTATAGAGATAGAAAAACGTCAGCAATAGTATTCTTGTTCAATTTTACTAAGAAGGATCCCAAATACATACTAGTAGTAGATATCCTTAAGGCTCACCCCGTGGAACAGCCCTGGAGACTGAGATGATAACATCTCAATTTCTAGGTCGTTCCAGATGTCCTTTTCTACAACAGGAACATTGAAATATACTACTATATACGACATGTGCAAACTTGCAGAGACTGCTTCAAGCTCAGAGGCTCTTGAGGAAATCCAAGAATGTATAACATCCGCGGCTAGGTAAATCTCGAGATCGTTATAAATCGTTAGATATTATAAGGAATTCTTATAAATCGTAAGGAGTTGTTAGATGTTGTTAAAAATCGTTAGAAATCGTTAGATGTCGTTGGATTGCAGCTTAATACTAGTAAGCTCCTGCAAATTTGGGCCCTAGTGGTGTTTTACTCGACTTATTCCAGAGAAGCACCAGGCAAAGACAAATGTGAAATTTCCGCAATCTGCTCAAACAACCCCCAACTTCAAACTCGGGAGGCATAAGACCTTCATGCAATAAAGCGAGTACTAGTAGACCTTGCTTTGAATTCGTCTAAAAGGTTTCCAGGCCTAGAATGGGAAAGCGAGATTGAAATTGAAGATTTCTAAATACAACTAAAAGCCTAAATTGAATAAGTCAGTATCCGTGAAACTATCTCATCAGAAGATGTATACTCACTCTTCTCCGTGTTGCCCTCTCCCATACTCTTGCTGCTACTACTTCCACTTTGGATAGCACCTAGAATGCCATCAATGTAAGGAGCGCCGCTCCACTTCTGGTGAGTAAGTACATCCACGCCAAGCTCCTTCTCACGAGCCTGAACGAGGCGCACGTAGGCGAGCATTCCGTCCTCCTTGAAGGCGCGGGATAACTCTGTTGTGATAGTGGCGTTACTGTGAAGACCTGCCAGCGAGATCAATTGCAAAACAAATCTACCACTCGTTAGTAACATGACGATGAACATAATTTTCACTGGGGAAAACCGTACCCATGCTGTGCCAGATCCCAAATAAACGATTTTAATGTCGCTTTGGTAAAACCATGTGACATCCAGTTAAATGACGGGCTTAGATTGTAGACGAATTTCTTGCCCGGGCATGCTGCACGAACATCTCGAGCAAGTTTACCTGCTTTCTCCACGTCAGGATCTCCGGTTTCAACCCAGAGGAGATCGGCATATGGCGCAAATTCCTTAGCACGCTTTGTTGCGGCGGGGAATCCGGCACGGTAGTGATAGAAGCCTTCGCGAGTACGAGGGCTGTCGCATGACCAGACAACTGGAGTCTTAGTATAGTCACTAGCTAAGGCCCGGCGACGGGAGAAAGACAAGTCAGGGTTCTTTTCGACGTATGACTTGTATGCATCTCGAGCAGCCTGAGGGGCGCCCTCAGCCTTAAGGTGGGTATCGACAGCTGATTAATGTTAGTTCGAATCCATCCAAATATCTTCGTGAATACTGACCCTCGTCTAAAGTGACAAGTTTATGCTCCTTGACCCAGTCGAGCTCATATGCGTCGATCTCGGCAGGAGAGGCACCTTCACGCTCCATTGCCTGCAATGTCTCCGCTAGTGGCTCCACCTCCTCTGTGATACCGAGAATGAACTCGTGATCGCGTACATCAATGGCACTGCTAATGAGCTTGCCACTTTCTGAGTCAGTGCGCGCAATTGCCAAGGTCTCACAGCCCATCATGTCCCACTGGAATCGCGCAGCCACGAGTCGGTTAATGTGTTCGCCCATCGGCACAAGAACCTTGCCCGCTAAGTGGCCGCATTTCTTGCCGCCGTGAAGCTGATCCTCGAAATGCACCGCTGCTGCGCCATTCTCTGCAAACAATTTGGCCAGCTTGAGAACCGCCGACAGACCGCCATGGCTATAAAACCCCCGTTTATCAGCAACTGCAGTTTCTTCCATCATAGAATCAAAACATACCCAGTGTCACCATCAGCAACAATTGGTCGCAAATAATCCACATAAGGAGTCTTCTTGCGCTCATTTGGTGTTAACTTCCGTCTAGCATCCCATTGTTTCCGATCGTGCATTGATTGCGCCTTGAAGAGTCGCTGAACTTGATTCGGTACTGTGTTGTAGGGGTAATCGCCGAAGTCGGGAGATACCTCGTTAGTCGACGTGAGAAGGGATGAACATGCCCATCCGGAAATATACAACACCTCCTGATGAGGCGCTTGCTGGGTCATTTGCACAGGGTCAATCGCACCCACTACATACCCCACATGTTAGCCGGTCGGAGTCCCACAGGGCGCAACACGGCGTCCGGGATGGCACTCACTGGTGTGTACTGGTTCCCCCGCTGCTGCGCGCTCGCTCAGCAGATTGAATAATTTGCGTGCCATCAATGAGCTAGGATAATTCTGTTGTAACGAGCCACGTTTGCTCACGACGTCCTCGGCCGAGTACGGTCGCTTGATCCCCTCATACCGCGGCGACTCCCACCATGCTTGCACATCTCGGACTTGTTGTTCAAATAGGGCATCCTCTGCGGCGCCTAATTTCTCGCTAGATGAGAGAAGCTGGAAGCCGTCGGAGGGCAGTGTGGTAGACACTGGGTGTTGAATGGGAGCAGACATCCGAGGATAAGCGCATGTGAAGGAGCGGAGGGTTAGGCGGGAAGAGGGTGTAGTTCTAAGAGGGAGTCGGTGGGGGGATTCGTCTGGGTATCGAGCGGAGCATTCTGAGTGCTTCTGTATCAGAAGGAACCTTGAATTGGGAGGATTCCGACAAGGGAAGAGATGAATTGAAGTGGTGAGGGGAGATGATACACTCTGCTTTATTTACCTTCTCCGCCTCCAACTCGGGACCTCGGGCCGGTTGTATCTGGGGAAGCTCATCCTCCGATAACCGCTACTTAATTTATGTCAATAGAACATAAAATGGCATTATGTTAATAGGTACAGAGTATGGGACTTTCTGTACTAGCAGTGGCTTTAATTGTCTGATTTGAGTAGTATACAGCATCAAATCCCTAGTATATAAGCACTAGCAGGTCCTATGTGATATACTAATATACATGACAGTAGTATATTTCTAGATATCGGATATACACTACTAGTGTTAGTTAATAGGTAGGTAGCTCATTGGATTAAATAATAGGCACTTGGGACATCTGGAGTGAATCATTGATGAGAAACCATCTAAGTATTATGGAAAGAAACCAAAAAAAGAAATGGAGAGGACAGGGATTGAACCGGGAACTTCTAGATTTCGCGATGTTTTTCTCAAGTGAGGCATCAATATGAACAAGACGATGAAAGCTTTAACTTTCAAAAAATCATAACAAATCTAATAAAATAGATAGAAATATGAAAGTAATATTAAAAGAAAGAGCAAAAAGAAAAAGGCTCCGCAGAAGTCTTTCACATAGTCCGCTGCATGCTTTCTCACGGTGGTGTTCCACTTAGGCAAGTCTCACGCTCGCTGATGCTACTTGACAACCCTCAGTCCCAGCATTCTAGTCTTATGGTATCATAGTGTCAAATCACATCGGGACAGACACGATAGCCCGCTGAGCTACTACGATGCGGATGGTTACTGGAACTCCTGATTTTACCCCCATAACTGAGAAAAAAGTAAGGCCACAATTTGCAGGCACCACATCACCAGTTAACTTCTATACCTAGGAGACTTTCAAATACTAACACCTAGGCATATACTTTTAATTTCTATAATCTTTGATGGTTTTTTTAAAGTTCCTATAACCATCGGGATGGTGGTAGGTATGGGAAGAAGCAGTACTCTACTTGATTTTATTATACTAATCAAGCATACAGCATATACAGTGGCCCAGTGAGAAAGAATACAAAATTGCCATACATGTATTGAAGCCTTGAATATGGTTTTGCTGATGTCTGTATAAATTAAGGCCATAGTCAAAGGCCGATCAATGCACAAACTACTAATAGCACCTGGTCACATGCATGTGAGCTTCTGCAGGCCACCCTCGTTCAAGTTTAAGCCATCGTGATGTTTCCCTTCTTATCCTTTTTATACTCTCAGTGTCAGCCTATCAAGCAAAATTTTAGGACAGCCTCTGAAGTAAGGGGAAGGGGGCCTTATAGCAGCTGCCAGAAAGATTTCCGATACCAGAATTGTATCGTTGTCTCACACGATATTCTCATGGCGGTGTTACAACTTACAACTTGAAGGAATGTGGAATGGCGACGCGCGGTCATCAATGATCATGAATGTGGTGGGGTTCTCCGGCCCGAGCCTCATATTGAACGCCACTACGGAGCAGTAGTGACTCGTCTTTGATTAAGATGGTGATCCCAAATCTACGCAATTTGCGAGCACGAATGAATGCGTCAGCCCTGTACAAAGGTTGATGTACCTTAACTAAGAGTGGTCTAGTCACTCTAGTGGGGGTTGGGGGCCATCTCGCGGATAATCGCTAGGCCCCCCTAATCAAGCTCTCGGGAACTTGAAGAGTTTCCCCCATCTTCATACAATAAACCTCTGAGATTTCCTCAGGGGGAGCTACCCCACACAAATACTTTCTTCAGCTTCCTATCCACCTCAATATCGACAGTTGTTTTGGTCTACTAATACGACATGTCTTTTCCCTTCAAAGTTATCGAGCATACTATCCCGGGTCAACATATCCGAGAGTACCCGCGCAGTATAAGGAAGCACCTGGAACAGGAGACTACCCTCCACCTCGCGATTAAGCAGTACATTCCATTGGACCTGCCAGCCCCAGTTCCCGATAACGCAATTACCATCATTGGGGCCCCAGGCAACGCTACTCCAAAGGAAGTGTACGAGCCTATCTGGGAGGACCTGTATGCCGACCTGAAGAAGAAACAAATTCCACTCCGAGGGATCTGGGTGGCGGACGGGACAAACCATGCAGCAAGCGGAGTCCTCAATGAATACCTCCAGGGCGATCAAAGTATTAACATCCTTTCTTTCGTGGCATTAGATGCTCACACCCTGAGCGCTGGATACTAACACGTGTAATAATATAAAGCAAACTGGTATGACCACTCGCGAGACTTGCTCTACATGACCAACCACTTCCGTGATCAAATTCCCCGCCCGATTGTCGGTGTCGCACATAGCATGGGCTGTGCTCAGCTGTATGAATTTATCCCCTCTCCGCTGTGTGCTGAAACTGCAGAGAAGAAATCTAATAGGAGTATAGGATAAACCTTGCAATTATCCACCCACGTCTTCTCTCCGCTTTGGTTCTCTATGAGCCAGTCCTGGTAGAGGAAGCTTTTGACGCACCCCATCCGGTCAACTTCTCCAGTCGCCGCCGGGATCTATGGCCTAGCTCCGAGAAGGCTAAAGAAGCTCTCTCAAAATCCTTCAACAAATGGGACCCCCGTTCGCTTGAAATATTCCTAAAATACGGCCTTCGCAGTGTCCCAACTGCGATTTATGACCCTGCTGATCCAAAGGTTGGCCCAGAAGCAGTGACCCTGACAACAAGCAAACATCAAGAGTCATGGAGCTTCTCAGTACTAAACCTCGATTCCGAAAATTTGGATAGGCTGTTGATCCCTGACTGGCATAACGAAAAGGAACGTCCCTACCTGGTTTCCCGACCGGAGTGTTGGTCAGCCATGAGAAACCTACCATATCTGAGACCCGATGTCCTATGGGTCTTTGGTGGTAAGAGCTATCTCTCTTCGCCCAAGGAACAAGACGACAAAATGCGTAGAACAGGTACTGGGACAGGAGGAAATGGTGGAGTCAAAGCTGGGGCGGTTGAAAAGGCTGTCTTGCCTGAGGGAGAACACTTGATATGTTTCGAGCAGCCAGGCTGGTGTGCTAGTACTACTGCGGATTGGATTCAAAGGTGGTTCAAGAAGTGGCTGGCCGATGAGAAGTTCTGGGAGGAATATCAAAGTCGGGGCTCGGAGGACATGCTGAGAATTTCCAAAGAGGGTCTGGCGGCTATGAAGATGCCGACCATGACGAAGCGGGGAGACTTCAAGTTCCCACCTAAAGGGAAGCTGTGAACTCCGAGTCTGTGAATTCAAATGCCATGCTCTTGAAAATTCTCGAGTTGCGAACATTATCCCTTGAAATGTTTGAATTCAAATTTGGACTCATTCGCCAAATTTTAATATTGAAGGTTCACATGTTGTTTGTTCAAGGGGTACATAGTAGATACCTTTCAACTGCCCCGGTGGTGATATGGGTTGAACTTGAATGTATTAAAATCCATATGCTCTGACCACGGAATAAATTTTGAACAGGCGTACCTGTACTCGTAACCATTTCCCATACTAGGACTTACTGGTAGGTGATAATGGATTCTAGAGCCCCATTGTCGATAGGTCCGAGTCCGAGTCAGTTTACGAGTAAAGGGTATCGTTTAGAGACGAAAAAAAGTGACAACTGTAAGTCCTACTAAAAGTATTTGATATTATGGTGGCTTGCATACTCCTGCATGAATACCAGGTGACCACAGTTGAGCTGTCACATTCGAATGTTTCTACGTGTACTCCATACAGCCCCTGAGTAAATCTCTACATGAATCCGATCTCGAGTAACTTCCAGGTTTATTTTGATGCAAAGAGTATGTTTACTTTTTTGAATTCTTTGTTAAACATTATCCCCGCACAGCCTACTTCGTATCTACCTCCAATACCAGTTCGTGATTTCTTTGATGTTCATTACTCTGATCACCCTACATGCAGAGGGAATACTCATATAAGCCGCTCTTCCCTCCTGAATTACACCCATCACGCCTTAAATAATACCTGCCAGCGCATAGAATCCAGCAGTCCAAATTCCAATTGACCCATAACATCCCCCTCAGACGGCGTTTCTCCAAGATCGGCACCCCCGCATGGGCCTTATCACCCAACTCCTCCCGGCTCGCGCGTATTCCTATCTACTCTCTCGTCATTCGCTATAGGTGCCTTCTTATCTTCATCTCCCCGAATCCTTATTTATCTATCTACTTGAGTCATCCTGTATACTTTATACGCTTTTAAAATATTCTTGTGAATGGGCTCGCTTGGTATGGCAACGATTAAAATCCCATCACCGTCCACGATTCTAGACTCGACCGACCCGGCTCCGGAGTCAACGCGGGGAAAACCTACTTCATTCTCCAAGGCAAAGGTCACCACACAAAAGCCGAAACAGACCAAAAGTCGCAATGGTACGGAACCGTCTTTGATAGGAAAATAATAGCAGGAATTTGCAAATGGGCACTTGCGGCCCAACTGCCTACGCAGAAGTGCTGACCCGATTACTCCGTGCTGCCCAGGTTGTATCACCTGCAAGGCGAAGCGGTTGAAGTGCGACGAGACGAAACCTTCCTGCCATCAGTGTGAGCGCCGTAAGGTGTCCTGTGGTGGATACAAGAAGGACTTTAAATGGCGACCATTTGAAGAGACCAACTTGGCTGTGGGTCGCCCTACGGCCAAACCAAAACAAGGTACGAATGAGATATACACCGCAAGTACCTTCCACTGGAGGTTCTAATGCGCGCATGGAATATAGAAAATCCCTCGCATCCGCCGTTCGCATTGCCAAATCATGACCTTTCGTCGACATCGCCTACCATCGAGCTATTACCGTCTCCGAAAAGAGCGCAGTCCAATATCGCAAATACATCACCGCAAGACTCGGCTTCGATACATAGCTCACCGCAATCTATCACGAGCTATGTATCAGGGGATACGCATTTGTTCGACGAGTTCCCAGTAGTAACGGAGCATTCCTCGACGGGGCAGGATACAATTCCGGGCATCGCGGTGTCGCATGGCTTGGATTCCGACTCATTCAATTTTCTTTCTTATCTCGAACCCTTTCCGACTAATATTTCCTTGGATGATGATTTAATTTCAAGTACAAACGTGGACACAATATCAGGCCCTTTGGCCTTCGGTCCTCAGGCTTTTCAACCAACATCGGAAGCAGGATTCGACTTATCCCAATTGCTTAAAGATGACAATGAGGAAATTGAAGAGATCATCCGACTGAGTAACCGGTCGTCCGGTTCCTGGGATTCAATCCTCTCAAGGCAGAGTGTGAACATTTTTGATTTCTCTCGCTTGCCCGGGCAGCCTTCATTGGGACCAGAAAGTCCAGAAATGCTAGCGATGCGATTTGACAAATTAACATGCGGCATCTTGTCTGTCAAAGACGGCAGCACGGAGAATCCCTGGCGGACATTGATCTGGCCCCTCGCGAAGGAAACACCAGCTTTGTACCATGCTCTATTTGCGCTAACCGCTTTCCACTCTTGCAAGGAGAACCCCTCCTTACGCGTTCAAGGCGTGAAGCATATGCGACAGAGTATGACTTGTTTGCGACAACAAATTCAAAGTATGCGAGCGGATATGGCACTGGCTACGAGCTTAGCTCTAGCATTTGCTGATACTTGGGATCAAAATACCCGTACATGTGTCCAGCATCTGCGTGGAGCAAAAGCGTTGATGTTTAAGGTGCTAAATGCAGGTCTACAGGGTCGGCTTAATCCAGAGGAGCTGGAGCGGATTCGATTTCTCTACAATACTTGGACATATATGGATGTCATTGCAAGACTTACCTCTTTAGATGAGTCCGGTCCGCAGGATCTTAATCCAGCGATTTTCCACTTACCCGGTGATGCTGTGCATGAAATAGACCCTTTGATGGGCTGTGCGGCAACCCTGTTCCCTATAATTGGCCGCGTTGCACGGTTAGTTCAGAAAGTGCGCAAGTGCTCATCTAATTCCGTTTCCATTGTATCTCAAGGAATGGAGCTCAAGTCACTTGTTGAGCAATGGGAGCCACCACAATGGTTTGAAGCACCTGAAGACCCCACATCCGAGGTTCAGCATAGCATTCAGGTGGCGCATGCGTATCGCTGGGCAACACTCTTGTACCTCCATCAAGCCGTTCCAGAAATTCCATCCGATCCACCTGAAGAATTAGCGCAACGGGTTCTACTTCTATTGGCAACAGTACCACCTTCATCCCGTGCGACCATCATTCAAATGTTCCCACTTCTGGCTGCTGGATCTGAAGTTGATGGAGACGATGATAGGAAGTGGGTTATGGATAGATGGTTTGTCGTTCAGTCACGATTAATGCTTGGAGGCATTGATCGCTGCCTCGATGTTGTACGGGAAGTTTGGGCACGTCGAGATAAGCTCAAGGCTCAAAAGGAACAGCAGAACATTGTATCCCCTGGCGCAACCGGATCAGGCTCTGCTGATACTGAAGCTAAGCTCAAGTCTGGGTTCCGATTACCTGATAACAAACCCAACCCCAGAGGTTTTCATGCTCGCACGACCTCGAATGTCAGTGATCAGCATGAGAGATCTATGCAAGGGATACCGAGCGCTACTCCAAAGAGTGGGACCGCTAGACGAGGCTCTACACTGTCGCCGTTGGAGAATATCGAATTTGAGAGAACTGTTCGAAGTCCATTGCATTGGGTGAATGTTATGGCAGAATGGGGATGGGAAGGTAAGACTGCCTTGTCTCCATTGATTATGTTCGAGCTAACCATTTATTCGATGCAAGTTTTCCTTGGGTGACAATCTTTGTTTTCAATGAGTCTAATTTATGGTTCATACCTCAGCCTCGCTACTAGTAATGGCAACCCCGAGGCACGAGGCAAAAGTCAACCATTTAACATATAATTTCACGACTAACGACTGGTTTCCTTTGTCTCTCCTTGAGTTCTATTTTGATTTTTCTCTGGTTTAACTGTAGGAGCTCAACCCAGCGCGGCGTCAAGGATTTTCAATATTTGATCTTGTCAGAATAATGTTTTCACCAAAACTGGTTGCTTTCTTGAAACTTGAACGCAATGATTAATTATCTGACTACCATTCTATCAGCTCAGGTATTCATGCATCAGCATGCCATATATTACATCCCAACAGATACAGTCTCAGCAATCCTCGAGCAAAAACACTGAACAAGGATTTCATCATTCCGATACTGCCCATTCCATGTTCCTCATTAAACAATAGCCCGACGCAACAAACTCACGACTCCTTATTCCACTGCTTTCCACTCCAAAGGCCACCAGTTGTCCAGAGCCAATAATCCCGACCCTTGATCGCCCAGATCAAGAAGCTAGGCAATTGGAATCCCATCGCAGCACCCACCCCCTTACTCCGACCAATCGGCACCATCTGCGTCTCCCGCGTATCCTCCTTGTATTCCCGATCCGGACCCAAAGAAGCCTCATCGGTCCCGGCACCAAGGAGTAAATCGCGCTTGATATTAGCGCCAAGAACAGGGATAGCATTCAAAATAGCATGCACGGCCGGTTTCGCGTAAGAACCAACATCACCAACAGCGTAGACACGGATACCAGCATTATCAACTCTCAGCGTTGTCGCATTAGTATCCACCCGTCCATCTCCTGTAAGTAGTGTGGCATCCAGGAATGCTGTATTCGGCGTCATGCCCATGGCAGGAATGTAAATATCGGCGTCAAGTTCTTGTCCATCTGACAAGGTGACCTTCGTATCGGTCGCAAGTGTAATCTCAGTGCCTGATTCCGAAGGTGACACGGAGGTGACTTTCGTATTCTTAATGACTGTCACACCAACACGAGCCAAGTACCCCTCCGCCTTCTCGGCAATACTGGATCGAAGCACAGGCAGGATCTGTGCAGCTGAGGTAACGACAGTAATTCGAACCTTAGGATTCTCCTGTTTACACGAGAACCATCCAGCCTGACCGTTTAGGTATTCACCCAGTTCACCAGCGGTCTCAATACCAGCGGGTCCACCACCTGCGATAACGATGGATTTGGCAGTCTTCATTTTCTCACGGAAGAGAGACCACTGTGAGCGGATGAATGTAGAATCTTTGTTTAGACTGAGTAGTGGAGAAGTGGTTGATGCACCAGTTGCGATAACGAGAGCATAGTACTCGAGGACTTTCTCTGATCCATCTTCAGCAGAGCGAATGAGAACAGTACGGCTTTCATGGTCGACTTTTTCAGCAGTCGCGTGCTCGAACTGGATGTTTTGACTGGGGTATTGTTCAAAGACACTGGGGATAGAGACGAAGAGCTTTTCTTGTGGGAGGAGATCATCTGAGATCAATGCGCGGGGACATGCGGGGCGACAGAGGATCTCATTTGAGGCGCTGACTAGAACAATCCGGTAGTCCTGAGGAGTAGGGAGCTTGGGGATAGCATGTTTGAGGAGGTAATGAGCTGTAGAGATACCACCGTACGAGCCACCCAGAATAACGATAGATTTGGTAGGAGCCTTTGATTCCATTTTGGGATCTGGAAAAAAGAGAAAAAGAAAAGATGGAGAAAAATAAATTCTTTGGGTAGGAAGTCTTTATACTGGTATTTTAGTCACGTAACCTTGGAGTAGAATAATCTCGCCCCTAAAAGAAACTTGGAGCTGTAAGACGCCACCCGATACGAGAAAAGATAAGTTACTATTCTCTACTCTTGTATTCACATTCTCTTTCTTTTTTCCCTATTATTCACCAATCATAGTTAACGATACTGTGTATCCCTGTCAAGTCTCGGCTTAAGCTCGCGACAACGGAACCCCGAAGCGCCGAGCGCATCCACTATAGATGTTCATGATTGGTGCGATCTTGAATGCAAGTCAGAAATCGGGGATAAATAAAGTGATAAAATTGATAAAATCTGCAAATTGGAATATTTAAATATTGAGACACGGAGGTCGGACAATACTTCTATTGATTACTGAGAATCGACTCAGCAACTTGGCGCGAGATGTTTCAAGGGTTCATGCTGGCCTTACCTTGGGTGAACTCAGGCTCCAGGACTAGCAGGGTCCAGGTCCAGTATTGAAATTGTGACATCAAGTTGGTCTAGGTCGCAATTTTCAAGGTTAAGAGACAGCAATAGTTTCAGTATTTGTATGAATTTGGTATTTGAGATCCTATATTCAAAAATAGTATATGTACTGCCACTGTCTGCCTGACAGACAATTAATGATTATGTCGCGGAGCTTCATTTTGTTGCGCAAGACGCTGATATTTAACAGCCTTTCGTAGCACCATTCCATTAGAGAGCTGATCTGTCTCCTGACGGAAGATTTCTTGCCATGGGGTACCACTCGGGACAAGCGGGTATTCCTTCGAGAGCATTTCCTGCCTCCTTTGTTGAAGTTCTTCATCACTGATGAGAATATCGACTCGTCGCTTCGGCAAGTCAATGCGTAACTTATCGCCGTCGCGGATAATAGCTAGGTTTCCACCCGCTGCAGCCTCCGGGCTGGCGTTGAGAATAGAGGGGCTCGCCGAGGTTCCGGATTGTCGCCCGTCTCCAATACAGAATAGGGCATCGACACCTTGCTTTAGAAGTCGGCCTGGGGGATGCATGTTCACCACCTCTGCTGCACCGGGATAACCCAATGGACCGACGCCACGCATAACTAAGATGGTCTTATCGTCGATCTCAGGTAGGTGTTCCAGGCGACTGTGGTAATCTTCAGGGCCATCAAAGACCATCACGGATCCTTCAAAGGCCATCGGGTCTTCGGGGTTCGAGAGATATCGCTCCCGGAATGCGGGTGAGATCACACAGGTCTTCATAATCGCAGAATCAAAGAGTGTTCCCTTCAAATGAATGAACCCGGCATCCTTCATCAAGGGGTCATCATAAGGACGAATCACTCGTCGGTCCCACGAATGCTTTCCGCGCACGTTTTGCGCCATTGTCTTTCCATTACATGTCAAGACATCGCCGTGGATCTTCCCAACATCTAGTAACTCAGCCATGATAGCTGGGAGACCTCCTGCACGGAAGTACTCCTCACCAAGGTACTCGCCTGATGGCATCATGTTCAACAAGAGAGGGATATGAGATCCTAAATTGTCCCAGTCATCCATGGAGAGTTCGACTCCCATGTGCTGCGCTATGGCGAGAAGATGAATCGGAGCGTTGGTGCTGCCACCAAACGCGGCATTCGCTACGATGGCATTCTCGAATGCTTCACGGGTCATCAGGTCGCTGGGCTTACGGTCGGATTCCACCATCTCCACGATTTGCTTGCCTGTTTCATAGGCGCATTGCCCTCTGTGTCGGTAGGCAGCGGGAATCGCAGCTGATCCGGGTAATGCCATACCGAGAGCCTCTGCGAGGGCGTTCATTGTTGATGCTGTTCCCATTGTGTTGCAGTGGCCAACAGATGGAGTTCTGTAGATTATTAGATATGAAATTTGGATGAATATTTCTGGCATTTTTACTCACCCTCTGGAAATGTAGTCCATAAACTCTCCATCATCGATTTCTCCGGTGGCATACATCTCTCGTCCCTTCCATAGAACTGAGCCCGCACCCGTTAATGCACCCTCGGAATACCCATTCAACATAGGTCCAACATTTAAACAAATCGCAGGAATATTCTGAAAAATCTTTAGCAATCATCTCACAATATAATTCTCAAACTTGGATAAAGCTCACCACAGTAGCCGCAGCCATCAAACAAGCCGGCGTCGTCTTATCACAACCAGTTAAGAGCACAACTCCATCCAGGAAGTATCCCGTCAAAACTTCAACGAGACTCAGATACGCCAAATTGCGATCCAAAGTAGCAGTAGGTCGTCTCGAGGTTTCTTGAATAGGATGCGTCGGAAATTCAAAAGCAATACCACCCGCCGTGCGAATACCTTCACGAACGCGCTTCGACAATTCAATATGGTGTCGATTACAAGGAGCAATATCTGAACCTGTCTGCGCGATTCCAATCATCGGTTTACCAGACATAAGCTCCTCGCGCGTGATTCCAAAATTAAAATATCGCTCCATGTAGATGGCCGTCATGCCAGGATCACTGCGGCAGTCAAACCATGCTGATGAACGAAGTGTTCGACCCGGTTGACGAATAATTGCCTTAGAGCCATTCTCAGCTGCGAGACTTAGTCTTGTCTCGAGCTCTTGGTTTCTTCTGCGTAGTGCCTTGAGCTCTTCGAGACAGTCTTCAATTTGGACGGGTGCTGCATCTTTCTTGTCGCTGCAGACGCAACCTTCACAGGATTTTTTGGATGAACACGACATTTTCCAAGGTATCCAAGGTTGTCGTTCTCTTTCTGGGGTAGATGTTGCACAGGGATATTAAGGGTCCTGTGCTGGTTTTGTACATTCTTTTTCCGATCGGATTGTGAGGTTCCCATTGGGAGCCCCGCTATATGAACCAACGTTCCGCTTTGGATTTCCAAGTTGGTGGAGTCAATGTTGTTCGGTTCCGAGTGTTGAGTTTCCGGTTATTGGGGGTCAATGTGTCATCCCGGGAACTCATTCTCCGGGAGTCATTCCTGCCCAGGTGAACTTCACTTTGAAGCACTTGATATGCCTTGGTCAAGATCGAATTCTTTTGAATGGATATTCAAATGTTAATTAAAAGTATGGTTTGTGTAATACGAGTACAGTATTCTGTCCGACAATCGCTGTTTCGCTTCAAATCCGAGCCTATTCGGAGAGTTACTTCCAATGCTACATGGGTCTTTGTAAGTACTTTCATCTCTATAACTCAGTCATACTTTCACTCATTCTCGTTCTCATCATCTTCAATGCTCCTACAGACTACGTACTCCACATATCCTCGGCTAAAGCCTTGTCCATGTCACCCGGAGCCATTGTCATCTTGAACTCGGAAACTCATCCCCCGGATCTCTACCCCACTGCATTATCAAGTACCCCGGAACGTCATCATCAGAATTGCCGATATACTGTTTAAATATTAACAATCAGTGATTGGGCCACATATTTCGACAACCCCATACCCCTCCAAAATACCCTCGGACCTTGATCTTCCTATTATCATCTTACTCCTATTCAAGTGCCAGTGTCAGTATCAGTGCCAACCTTGGAATACTTCAACTCCTCATACAACCTACAAATGGGAAAAAGCATCATTGTAACCGGTGGCTCCGGCAAAGCTGGTCAACATATAATCACATACCTCCTCGATCAAGGCCATGACATCCTCAATCTGGATCTAGTCCCTCTGCCCGCTCCTCTCAGCGAGCGAGTGCACACAATGCGCGTCGATTTAACCGACGCAGGCCAAGTGTACAGCGCATTTGGATCCCATTTCCACCTTACAGAACCATTCCGTGAACCACTAGGTCTGGTACCAGATGCTGTGATTCACCTTGCTTCATATGCGCGGAACATGTTGGTTCCTGATACCGAGACGTTTCGCTGTAACACTACGGGCCAGTACAATGTGATCGAAGCTGCTTCTCGGCTAGGAATTAAGAAGATTATCCTGGCTAGCTCGGTTTCTGTTTATGGAATTGCATACGCAGAAGGAGATATCGAGTATCCTTCTTTCCCTGTTGATGAGGATGTTGATGTTAATCCAATGGATACGTATGCACTTACGAAATTGTGTGGTGAGCGTGTCGCACGTGGTTTCGCCCGAAGATATGGATCTGATATCTATGTCCTCCGTATTGGGCGAATCGTTGCACCGGAGGAGTACAAGGAGGAGATGTTTGATTCATATGTCAAGAAGCCTGAAGAATGGGCTGTGCATGGCTGGTCGTATACCGATACGCGAGATCTGGGACAGATTTGTGACCTAGCGGTTCATAAGGCTGGACTTGGATTTCAGGTATTCAATGCCGTGAATGATGAAATCACGAATTATGAGTCTTCTACTACGGAGTTCCTGAAGAGGGTGTGCCCAAATACGCCATTCACGAGGGATATAGGACCGAGGGAAGCTCCTATTCCAAACAAAAAGATCAGGGAGTTGCTTGGGTTCCGTCAGAATCATCCTTGGCAGCGGTATTATGAATGATTGAGAGATAGTGTATCACATGTTCAGTTTTCTAAGATCTGTCTATAATTTGTTAGCATCATCTGGCATCCCGTTAGGCTAATCTGATCTCTCCTGCATAACCTGACGAATGCATGAAATTCGCTTGTAACATTTTGAAAGGTGTGACACTTGAGTTTAATGTCAGCCTGGTCGATGAAATGTGCTTTGCCAATCCATGAGCGTTGCTGGTTGGGCAGAACTATGTACTGATACAACGTGGCCAGTTGATTCTAGCGCGACCTCGAGAGAATGAACATATGATGATGAACTTGCATCTGGGGGGCCCATCGTCATTCGCTACCTATTGTCTTGTTAGATGTTAAAATCATATTACCCGGTCGCATCGATGTTGTGCCTACCAGAATATGCATCTTTATTGCAGCAATGATTTTCGCCGGAGATACTCTCTTGAAACTTTCAAGTGGTATTAAAGTTCCAAATTATTCATTGCCTCTCAATTCAAATTCCCGGGGGCTGGTATTTACTCGGTGGCGAGGTTATTGGTGCGAGACTCCACTCCATACTGAAATCCCGGAATGAGAGCATCCGATTGGGTGAGACTGCATATCCGCAGTCAATTGATTCTCCAAGCTATGTCACAAGGGTACAATTTTAGAACCCAGATGGGCGCATGAGATAATCCAATTCCCCTTCAAGTCGAAACCCTTGAGCAATTGCCTCGAGATCAAGGTCCGACAGTTCCAAGTTTAGCTGTGCGGAATGTAACTCCAGATTTTGCGGAGCAAGACTTGATGCATCCAGTGTTGGAATGGACTCTTCGGATAGGAGGTCATTTCTACTAGCACTGTTTCCCTCCATGCACGATGCTAGTGTGTATTTATCATCGTCGAGGATGCGAATGTTTAGATTAGCGATGAGTCTGTTCAGATTTGCTCTGGCTTTCCCGGCTGCTGCGTATAATCTCTCATGCTCTTTGAGGATGTGTCGACAGAGAAGCAGGGACTGGAACGAACTGGAGTTCCTTCCCTTCTGCGCGACTATCCTGGCATGAATCGTTGCGCTGATATATGTCGCATAGGAAAGCATGTATGGCGCACTTCCTATTGAAAAATGTAGCGTGTAGTCGCGGAGGATTTGGACAATTTGGTTTGCGGCTGTTGTGCATATGTTGACGGATTCGTGGGCGGTTCCTGGGGTGTCGGCTTGGTAGCTACCAGTGAATAGACGTCGTTGGGAGAGAATCAGTAGCACGTTAAAAAGAGCGCTATTACATGTATTAGTAAATGGTCCATAATGAGCTGCTGAGCACACGTACAGAAGACAGAGAGCTTGGGGTAGAAGAGCGGCTTCCGTCGGATGGCAAATGTAGTCTAGCTGCGGTGGAAGATTTTTGCGCCAGCTTCCCAGCTCGGAGTTGATCTCATTGGAAATGACCTCGCTTTGACTTAGGCTCATTTGTTGAGACTCGGAGTATAATTCGCACAGGATTCGATCAATGATGATTGATAGTTCACACAGCTTAGTCAACAAGGATACATTGAGAGATGGTATAGCTGCTTGTTGTTTTACTGGAGCATATGTTATTCCCTGGAAGGGATCGAGCTCGTCATACTCATCCAAGAAGTTTAGCGATGCTTTGAAATTCATGTACCGGAGGAGTGGTGGTCTTCCTTGGTAGAGACATTGGATTTTGTCGATAGCTAATTTTGTAAGTGAGATTCAGCGATCGGTCGGGATTTCTTCAATGGACTCACAGTATGCACCCCACAAAACGCGTTTTCGGATCTCAAGATCTTCAGCAGACATTTTCTCTGGAGAAGGAAGCACGTGAAGGCCAAGGTCAATGATCATATTGAATGCGTTTCCTGCATACAGCCACGAAATACTTCGTTCATCACATCTGGAGAAGAGAGAATTTGACATGATAAGAAGTGCTTGCAATGTCGTAATATTGCTCTTATCGAAGTTGTCGCGTAAGAGCTCTGAAAATCGCTGGCGAAAACTCCACCCGGTGGTAGTAATGTCATCAGGGTCTGATCGAAGCTCAGGTCGTGAACAGTGCTTCGAAACCGTAAAAAATATAGCATTAAGAAGAAGTTTGGAAAAGTATGGTCCGTCGCAAGCCATGTCTCGCATGAAGGCTGGCCGGTAGATGATCTGAGCTGTATACAGCTGACGACACCAATAAATCGATAGCAGATGCATACCAATCTCGGGATCCACACCATCGAAGTCAAGCTTCCCAGCGGAGAACTCTAGAAGCTCCAATTGCCCTGTTCTAATTAGTGGAATTTCAATTGAAGGATTTGAGATTGATTAATACTTTGCCTAGCTGTTTCCGCAAATAATTGACTTCTAGTCCATGCTTCATTGATAGGGTAACTGGGGAATCCCGTATTTTCTTCACTATTTCTTGAGTTGGCGGTCTCATCGTAAACTGCACTGGTTGGACCATGGTACAGTGAGGTTGCCCTTCTGCGGGGATCGCTGTCCGGAGCTTCGGGATGAGAACCGTTGCTTAATACAGTAGGACGGTCAATTGGCGACGAGCTGACATCGCAAGGCATCGAACTATTTCTCCGATCTTGACTAGGACTGATAGACATGAAAGAAGCATCTGTAGATATCATGGATGGCTCGTCGTCCATGGGACTCCTATCTGGCACGGAAGCCCCCTGTCGACGCAGCAGTGCATTTTCACGCTCCAATTGGGCTATGCGACGATTCGTTGGTCTAACATTAGGTTAGATGGTGTAACTCTTCTGGTGGGTCTCGGTAGGAGACAATACTGACCGTGGCTTATGTCGGATAGAACCCTGTTGACAATCGACACCCTTGGTCATGCAATTACCACATGTCGGTTTTTGAGCATCGCACTTAAGCTATTGAAGAGGACGTCAATTACCTCCTTTTTCTTGAGCTTGACGGTGCTGGCTTACCTTCTTTTCCCGACAAAAGACACAAGCCGCTACTGCTCGGGTCTTTCGGAGGGGCATATTGCAGGTTTATCGCCCTTGTAAATGGCCTTGTAAATGATAGAGCACTCACATCGGCTCTCGTATGCCTTTTAAGGTCTGAAAAGGTAGCAATTTCCAGGTCTAATCATAGTGACATGTTGTAACTTGTAAGTTGAAGATGGCAGAATCTCTGTTCGGCTCCACAGTGCGGTCTGTTCCGGTTAGCTTTCCCTTTTCCACCAATGCCGCAATTAACTCGATGTATACGAAGAGACGAAGACCGTGTGTTGGGATAATAAAACAAAAATTAATTTCAAAGTACTCAGAAAAATTTTCTTGGGATTTCCATTTTAATTTTCTCTCAATTTTCAGATCTCTGAACGCAACAATTAAAGACTCGGAAGAGAAGACGTTTTCACCAGCCGGCGAGTCCACCTAGTCAGGGTAAACAGAAGTGAATGTCTGATCCTCGCCCGCACAGATTTTGTAGGAAATTTTGTCCTACTGCTTAGCTTGATCAGCCAGGTTGGATCTCAGATGTTTGTAGGCTCGGGACAGAGTCATCCAGCACGAAACAACACTATCCACGACAAGTCCCCACTTTGTCATGACAAGAGTCTCTTGCTTAGAGTCTCGGTTGTCTTCGACATTGATAATGTATCCAAGCGACTCCAAAGCCTTCAAAGAAAACTCAATAACCTTTTCATGATTCTTTTCCGCTTCATGAGCATTTGCAAGAGTCAAGTATTGACTCCAGAGGCTCAGGCGGGGAGCTTCAGCTGCAGGCGACGTGTATGTTCCTCGAAGCTGAGCAATAATGCTTTCGGCTTGAGCCAGATTGATCTTGGGCTCGGAAAGGAGTCTCTGGAAGCTGATTCCTTGCCCCTTTCGTTTCTCAGACATTCCGGCAGGTGTATTGAGGGCATCTTGGCAGATAACGCAGGTGTACTTGAAGCCCCAGTGCTTAAGATCCATTTGCTTATTCAAACTAACTGGGGTCATTGGTGACTTGTACCAGAAGGTAATCTCGGTGTTTTCCGGCATATCTCATGCAGCACGAACAATCATCATATCTCCGATAAATGCGCGGTGGGCGTTGCTATCACATGAATGGTTGATCGTAGCAGCCAAGGACCAAAGACCGCAATCCTCGTAATTCGCGTCAGTCTCTTCAGGTCGATGTTTGGGAGGGAGGCTCTTGTAGACATGGTATGAGGATTTGGGACAACCGAAACAGTTCAAGGCGATGATGCGCTCAATCAGGAATCTATAATATGTTAGTGTTGTGTGCAACTCAAATGACTAACTCGGGTAGACTCACATATCGACAACGGGATGAACTCCCCCGTTTGCCATCTGAATATGATCGTAGTTGCCGTGATGAAGATCTCTGATCTTCGACCAATGACAGGACGACATGGTAACCGTTTCAGCAATGCTCGAATTGAGATATGGCTGGGTTCCTATGGTTACAATCCCATGCTCTGGATTGACCAGGATAGAAGGCTGAGGAGTCGATTTTGCCGGGGTATGACATGCGTATACAAATGCTTTCTCGCAAAAAAGAAGGTCGCCTGCTTTGACCGACTTATTTGTGAACAACCCTCTTCCGGAAGAGGGCGCAGTGCGAACAGACACAGGACCAACATGGGTGGCGCAGGTTTGGATGTATTTGCCATCCTCAACTCTGGCTTGGAGCTCTTTAAACTTGTATCAGCCGTATTCCTCCTCCGCAAAAAGTGTATTGGAGTGATTAAGCGCATTTTGGGCAGCCGCACTCTCCGGAAGAAGAGTAGCAATCTTTGTGACTGTGTCGTGAAATTCTCGAAATCTCCGAAGCTCCTGCAGTAGGATGCTCATCCAAGTTAGAGCCCGGGGTGCTAGTTCCGGCAATGACGACAAGTCCTCTAAGTCACACAGAGCAGCGTCAAATTGACCGTTGCTCATCAACATGCCCGCTCGGCCAAATTTGCAGTTTGCTTTCAGGTCTGCATTCTCCCCAGCAAGATCAACAAGCTTGGACCACCTATAAGGTTGTTAGTTTGTTATTTTTGAAAAATATATGTTGTTTAGAGGATTCTTACATCTGAATGGCATAAAAAGGCGCCGTCGGGCCGCAAATCGTTTCCGTAAAGTTCTTCCAGCCCGAAAAGGTTTGTGCCTCTTCAGGTATGGGAAGTCTCCAGCATGGAGGAACCAGTTCACCATATGGCGGCGGCAACAAGGCGTCCGAGATATGATCAACTCGGATCTCAGGAGCCCCATTCTCCGCTGCTGTAATATACGGCTCCTTGATAAGGAGCACAACTCTGCGCCCGGCAGGTCTCTGAAGGAATCTATTGACCCGATATCGTAGGTTCAAGATTATGGCGTTATCTGTCTCATCGCATCCAACAGCACGGATGGCGGATTTGTGGCTATCTTTCTCAAGGGTCGGGTCGTCGGGAAGAGAAGCCACAATCAACACAACGTATGACCCACGGTGATGTCTCTCCAGGGTCAGGTCCGCAAGCAAGACTTTTCGAAGCTCAGCCAATGGTATGGTGCTAGTAGGGTAGGCCTTTGGTATGATGACTGTTCTTTTTCTTAGGCTGTGAATCGGATCGCGAGCGCTGTACGTCTTGCAGGGCGCGCATGTAGAAGCCTTCGAGAAGCCTTCGAGACGCTCCACGGAAGGCTGACGGGGAATTGGTTGGCCCCTTCTGTCCTTGGCCTTTCGAAGGTCTTCCTGCTGGATTCGGAGCACTTTGACATACTCAGGGCCAGTAGAAACATCATGAACATCCATGGTGTTGGTGCTGGTGCTGATTTTGATAGATGTGATGGATTTTGATGATGGGGATGAGAGGAAGAGGAGTTGGGAGTAGGATAATAAATAATGGAAGATGCCGAGTTGAGTGAATTAATGTTTGAGCAAACGTTTAAGCAGGCACTGGGTTGGGCTTGAGAAAAAGATGAGTCGTTGTGGTATGGCACCCAGGTAGCTCTACGTACTGGATTTTTCCAGTCGGGTGAGGCATATCTACTATTTCACTTACCGCCGCTACTAATGAGGGCGCTCGATCCTAAGCTTCCTGATACAAATTCATTGCAACTACTCTTCTAGTAGGATAGTGTCCCAATAAGCTCACATGTGCAAGTTATTATGATAGTATTTCAAATGTTCTTCTCGTAAAACAAAGATGCTCCATCCACTATAATAATAGCTACCTTCTTCGACTGCCTCTATATACTGTTCGAAAAAAAATCAATTGATTGATGATAATGGAAGGCTTTCTTGCAAAATGAAGTTGAAATATAATCAGTATTTCTCAACCAAGGACGATAGTTTTGAGTACTGGATTGGCCATCATCCAAGCTGTCTTCTTCACCCTTCCCAGACCCAGCCTGGTCGAGACTCCCGTTTCACTATTATGTTCCACCAGCATGATCGAATAATTAGGGAATTCCCCAACATCAAGCTTTTCCTGGTCGAGGCCAAAGTACTGAGCCTCCGAAATGAGAATAAATGCATGTTGTCCTCTATAAATCCATTCTGGTCCCTCGCCGTCGAGAAGAACGCTGCCGATCCACTGCATCTCTGAATCTGTAATTGAAAATCGCAGTGCTCTGTGCCCAGTCAATGTTGATGGTACGTTTGAATTAAGTCTCTCCAAATCACTACGTTGACGGATGGAGTCTCCGAGTTGAAATGTGTCAACACAGCTTGTAACAAATACCAGGTGTGGCACTTCGCTCTTTGAGAAATACCGGAGCTGCGAGGACGTCAGATCAGAGAGATTAAGTGGTTGATTCAATTTTGTGTGACCGTTTTGATGGCTCGCAAAGTAGGGACTTGCCTCCCATTCCAGTGGGAGATCACCTAGAAGCGGGATGCCCCAGCCATGACCATTCACACGGTGTAGCTGGGAGCAAGACTCGCTGTAAATGTGCCATCGAAGTGATGACTGGATACCTTCTTCACCAAATTCTGCTTTCTTGGCGGATTTGAGCCGACCTGCATCGTCTCTTTCAATTTTCATTGGCTTGTTGTACGTGACTTGGCCCTCCCAGCCAGCCCAGGACCAAGAGGGAAATCCTTCACATCTCTTCAATCGCTGTGTTGGTCTCCACAATAGAGCGACATCGAGTATGCAGTTTGGCAGTCCGGCGATGAATTCTGATTTAAAACTCAATTGAAAAACGTGGAGCAGGCCATGCAGGGCCCTAATAACATCCGATTTGTATGTACTTTGGCGTGATGTATAGCTTTCAATGGCTTTTTCATACGCGGCAAATGTTCCAGAGCGAACGACACGCGTTCTTCCATGTCGATCCACTTCCAAACTTCCGTCAACCCAGTTTTTATCAATATCGATACCAAAATACTGGGATTTCAGGGAAAGCGACTCGAGAGGCTCAGTGACGCATCCAGAATCTTCGGTTCGCATATCTTCTCTGCATGTCATCCTCCGACAATACCAGACAGTCTCATCGCCAGCGAATACGAGAAGTCTTTTCGACATGAGCTTTTCTTGGAAAGTCCATGCTCGAGAATTCCAGGTTGTCCATGATAGATGCTGAGTAGAATCAAAAGGTGCGATGATATGTGCCCCATCTTTTATTTCAGCTGAATTTTGTATTATTTCGCGTAGCAAACTTGGGTTTTGGGTGCAAAATTCGTTTCTCTGGACTCCTCGGGGTCCACTGTTAGCATTATTACCTTGGGCTGCGACAATGGTCAACAATGCACTCCCATAAACTCGGTCCATTGTGGCAATCTGCTCTCGTGCTTCCGTGGTGTCATCTTGCATTATACACTACGGAGAAATTTAGTATCCACATAAGTGTATCCAAAATAGAGCTTTGAGAATTTGAGAAAGGCAGACAACTACCAGAGAATGCACCCATAAGTACCTTTCACCCAGGGCCTTAACAACCTCCATCGCATCGACAATAGTTCGTGGAAGAATATCGAGTACTTTTCCGAGACCTTGAAACTGCATCATCGCAGCTTGATTCCTGTAGGTAAGTGTGGTTTTGTTTGCACAACCCCAGACATATGACAATGCCAGAAAACGGCAGTTCTTTGGATCTTGAGGCTGAACAAGGCAAAGCCTGTTGACATCAATAACACGCAAGAACTGCGGACGCTGCGTAACAATGCCCCAGTCGTGCTCTTTACAGTGTTTTCCATGATCCTGCTCACAGTGAGCCAACCACTGTCTTACAATAGATATGTCAATCCAATTTTTGTCAAGCAGTCTGCCGTATGATAGAGGCCTCCATGTAGCGGGGTTTTGATCCATTTTTGGGTGGGTGACGCGAAGACGAAAGTGACTCAGTACCTGTGGATCTCCACCTGGGCGGTTTCAAAAGCCAACGAGGGTTGCAAAAACCAAGCCTGGAAACTCGGAATGTCTGCTTGACAGAATCGAGACCTCAAGATCGCAGCTCAGAGGCTACTTTGTTGCTGCCTCCATTCCTTTTTTCATTCTCTTTTTCAATCCTTCCTGATACGTACCGTTATTCAGACTAGGATACTTTATTTGGGGTCGATTTTGCTGGGCTCGCATGCCATTCAAAACAGTACCCATGAGTACTGTTGTTATCATCGTTGGTGTGACAACTTCCTTAAATACCTCCCGCGCGGGGCCAAGCATGTATGTCGCACCATCGTGACGATAATCGCTTCGTCCAAATGGCCAGTTGACGTCGGTGAATCTCCAACCCTGGTCCGCCCAATCCAACATCGACATTCCCTGGACTGATTCCTGAAGATACCGAGCGACCTCAGGGTGCTTTAAAGGGTCATACTCTGGACGGGTAAGCATGGAGAGCAACAACCGGCACATTCGACACCAATCTGAGTGAAATATGATTCGAGACAATGTCGTAGTCCAATGAACTTCCTCTGCATCTGTGTCATTGGCTAATTCATCGTAACAGGACTCAATGGGTAGTGATCGACACTTGGAGCATAGACCGTCCTTCATAAACGACTTATTAATCACGTCGTTGAAATCGTCGTTGGTTTGAATGAAGGCCTTAGGAGGTTGAATCTTGCGAATGACATCTTTGAAGCCATCTTTGACACGTCCGCTGGCTTTGATGATTATGGGTATCTGGGGTGGTTTTAAGGTAAAGGGCATCCTCAAGTTTGTGGCCCGGCTGAAAATTGAATTCCCATGTAGATTCGTGTTGATAATAGTATCTTCCAAAGCGGGGTTTCTGATAGAAATGGAAGATCGCTGGAGTACTGTAAGAGACTCTTCACCTGTAGGTGAGTCAGACACCACAGGTTCACTTTCATGGTCAACAAGACTACTTTGAGAAGCGTGTTCCCGTATATACCCCTGGGCTGGAGGTGCCCTAAGATGTTGGGGCTTTGCTGGTATTAGAGGTCGATTCAGCGCGGACATCTAGTCGGTCAACATTCATTTCTTGAGATTCTGAACTCATGGAACCTCAAGGTTGCGGGGCGCTACTACTACATAGATAAAGATGGCATGGTTCAAGTTGGACCCCGCACCTTAAGCCCCACAGGCTACAGCCGCATAGGCTTATGTGCCTATCTTGTGTTGCGATTGGTTTGAAAACTATCAGGCAGCCCAAGTGCTGATCCTAAATCTTGAATTGAAATACACCCAAGAATGCATGCTCTCTACCTATATAGTTTACTACTTTACATGTAATAGTGCCCCTAGCATAACTATACGACAACAGGGGGAGATGGAGAACATGACTTGCCGCCCACTGGTACTCAGCTGTACTTGAAATTAGATACTAGTTGGCTCACTGCCAGGTGCCCAGCTGAAGCCTGAACATGAGCAAGGCTTATGTACATGGGGCTCACTGATCCGCCTCCGGGCCGGGTGCCTGGGCGATCACCTGGGCACTTCGTGCTCAGATCTACTCACTGAGCAAAATCGATGAAAGGGTAAGCACTAATACGGAAAGGGAAATCGAGATGCGCCAGGAAAAACCCAGTACGTAGGTGGTTCTTTTTTCAATTTGGACGGCCATGATGTGGCCCGCCAGTGCTTAGTCGTTGTTTGTACCAAAGCCCTGGAGGTTGCGGTGGATGCAACGCCAAGAATATTTGCTTTCATGACCTGATCACGTAGATAGCTTTCTCATTGGCAGTACCTAATCACATATTTTCCGTTGAGAATGTAAGCTGAGAGTCTCCTGCTAATTTCAAGTTGGAAGCCAACATTAGGATGGGACATTAGAGCCGTCCATGACTGAAACCAAGACTGGTCACTTGAAGTCGCTCCATTTTGTCCAAAGATTCACTCAGTGGGATCCATTTTGCATTCATCAACAACTTGAAAGATTTCGTCTCTGGAATGGCGGATGAATTCCATGTAGGTCTAACACATTTGAGTCACTGTGAAGACCTTTGATGTGACTTGATCTTTGGGGGCGGCGTAGTGATTTGCCTTGGTGGTAAGAAGATGGGAATGGAACTCCATGAGCCATCTGCTTTTTCGTATCAATTAATAGCTTTGCCCTGCATTGTTTTTTGAAGGCCTTAGGCCAAATTTCTTGAGCGCTGGTTGATTTTTGATAGGCTGAAACAGTTCCAACGCCATTCAAATCACTCTCCTCCCACTATAGGAGATGATTTTGTTGTCTTTGGGAAAGAAGTGTTAGTTGCATAAGCTGGATTCACTAACTAACTATGTGGTTCTGGAGTAATGGATTCATTGACTCCAAGGTCCACGGGTGATGAAGATAAGGTTGACTAACGCGATTGGGAAAAGAAGTCCTGCCCAGTCTCCCCTACACAGCCTTTGAACTATACGAGCACATATGGCTTTAAGAGAAAGAACACCTTGACTGATCAGGAATTATCTTTGCGCGAGAGCTTGTGTATTGTGGTTTTGGTCTCTTCTATTCATCAACAGTCATGGAACTTGAAGCAAGTTTATTGAGCTTCGACAACATACTGCTTATTCAAGTCTCTGGAAAGCTTTCAAACTATCCCCTCACTCGGATCCGAGGATAGAACCCCTCACCATGCTACAGTTTGCTATCAATCAATTCTCTAGGTATTTGCCTAGTCTGGACAACGATTCCGAGTTTGTTCAACTCCAAGGTTTGCAGCAAGCTGCTCTCTACTTGTTCATCAACCAATGACCCCACGTCCTGGACTTTCCTCCATGGGAACATCTGGATATAAAAGAGATCGGGTCCTCAAAAAGAGGTAGCTTCAATTCGTCCTTCTTTCTCAACCTTATCCATCGTGCAGATAATACCATCATCTCGCAAATTACCCATAACATTCGCCATGCCGCTCGCATTTACCTATCACGCCAAGGCCCAGTCCACGTTTAAGCCCCCGCTTATTGCCAACGAGAATGCGTACTTGGGCGACATCTGTTCCAAGTAGGCGACATCTACTACACACCTGCCACTTTACTCGAGCTTGTACTAATATTCAATAGTCACAAGGAAGTCCCCGACAAGCCCCTCTCGTGTGGGTTTTACCGGCTAGAGAAGGGTACTCCGCTCGTGTACACTTATACCTACGAGGAGATGAAGATTATTCTGGAAGGACAGTTTGAAATTTCCGATGAGACAGGTCAAAAAGTGATTGCTGGTCCTGGGGATGTATTCCATTTCCCCAAGGGTTCTACAATTACCTTTACGACCCCGGATTATGGACTGGCATTTTATGTGAGTGTAAATCGGAACTCGAATGCCCTTGCATTCAAAAATTTCCCCAATTGATTTGAGTTTTTATCATGTGAATATCCCTTCGTGTATTTTTTGTTTTTTTCTGTCTTTGATTTTTTATTTTTTATTTTTATTTTTATTTTTTTTTTCAGAAGCTTAGCGCTAACTGGGTCCATAGACGGGTCAACGCGCCGAGGGAGCAGCATGAATATGACATCTTCTAGCGCCAGGTACAAGAAACCAGCAAAATATTCATGAATAAACGCCGGATCAAATCAAATCATCATATCATCATATCGATGGATATAATTTCCTTCCCGTGCCTAACAGTAGATCCATGGATAGAAAACTGATACCCCCACTGTTTATTCCTAATACGGTAGTTTGATTACCCGGTGGTGGAGTGAAGTGGAGAGTTACTCCCTTGCGATCGCGTTTCCAAGGTTCGTATTTTCAGCTTGAACTACGAGTTCAATTCTTGATACTCGAAGCACGGAAGATGCATAGAAAATAATAATTCAAGTTCCCCCTTGATAAAATCCATCTTATAAGTACTGAGCTGTACAGAGTACCCCTCTCGGAGATTTATTAGGAAGTATGGAGTACATGCATACATTAGGAGTATAATGAGATTATGGCCGAGACTATTGATCTCACTAGCGATGACAAGGAACACTAAGTTTCAGCTCCGAGTCCCATCAGCCTTGAAAGAAAGAGCGGGGGTGTTTTGAAGGACTATGAGCCTGTAACAGGGTGTTTGGAGGCGATCCCCGGAAATGACCTGCAGGGCGCACAACTTGAAGTCCGATCCCTAGTGGAGCTCCATTCAGCTTCAGCTGACTAGCGTGAAAGCCACGAAGAACCAATTCCACATACAATGTGTACTCCGAAGTTGTTCGTTTGAGAATCATAGTGGGCTGTGCACATCCTGAATGACGTGAGAGGAAAGTTGCTAGGGCAACTATATAGGGGGGTTACAGCCTAAGAAGACCACTTAAGAGATCAAAAGTGGGTATAATGGGTATAACACTTCATTTCCTTGGGAGAAAATCAAATAAAATCAAAATCAAAATTTTAAAATAGAAAATTTAATTTAAACAAAGAAAAAAAACCAAGATCCAATTCGATCGGTGGATCTTCAAGGTTCCTAGATCCCTTGAATTGCGCATTTCGATTTCTTGTTTCCCGTTGTTCGGTATTAGTTCCTTATCAAGGGGGGAACCACTTAGAAACCCCTCTATCGCTCCTCTTCCTCTTCCCCATCATCTACTTCCAAATCCCCCCCCCCCAAAAAATGGCCGTCGACATTGGTGATGACCGTTTAGGTCTCCGTCTTCCTAACCCTCCTCCATTGCTACATACGCGATCTGGGAATGATTCATTTGATCGTCCCTCGACACCATCTGGAAATGGTTTTACAAGTCCCTCACAGACTCCTCAAGGAAGTCCGAGCAAGTCGCGGGCGCCGCCTGGCGCGTTGGACTTGCCAAATGTCTTCGATAAAGCTATGAAACTTACGCCAACCTCCCCCTCAAAATCAACATACAATCATTTCAACCATCCTATGTTCACAGCCGACAAGAGCAATATTGAAGATTTTAACGAGAGCGTGATTCATCAGCGCCCAACCAGCCCGACGCGCAAGTCAAACAAGGAAAACACCCCTCCCACCCGTATCCCCAAGGACTTAGGCCCCAATCCCACAGCTGCTGCATTGTCGCGCCATGAACCGTATCAGACGGCGCGCGAAAGCGATACTACCAGGCGCCAGGTGCAGTTGCGGGGGCTGACAGCGGAGGAGATGGAGAAACTACAACAACCCCGGGTAAAACGCCTGACGAACGTGACTCAGCTCTGTATGTCTCAAAACCTTGGAACCAAAGATCGCCCCACAATTGGGTATCCTCTCTAATTGTGAACCAGATTTCCTCGACCATTATTTCGACCTCCTTAGTTACGTCCACAATCGCCAAACCCGTCACGCTCAATTCAAAGCCGCACACCCTGAACCTCCCGTTACCCCCGCCGAAGAATACGAACCCGCGCTCCTGAAGTATTTGGGTCGCGAACGGGCGCATCTGCGCAAGCGTCGTACTCGTCTGCGCCAACATGACTTCCAAATCCTGACGCAGGTCGGCCAGGGTGGATATGGACAGGTGTACCTCGCCCAGAAGAAGGATACCCGTGAAGTGTGTGCATTGAAAGTCATGAGCAAGAAGTTGCTGTTTAAGCTGGACGAGATTCGACATATCCTGACCGAGCGCGATATTCTCACCGCTGCTAAGAGCGAGTGGCTTGTCAAGCTGTTTTATGCGTTCCAGGACGATGACCAGATTTATTTGGCGATGGAATACGTGCCCGGTGGAGATTTCCGTACTCTATTGAATAACACGGGTGTATTGCATAATCGCCATGCTCGATTCTACATCGCCGAGATGTTCAGCTGTATCGATGCTCTGCATATCCTCGGCTACATTCACCGTGATCTCAAGCCCGAGAACTTCCTCATCGATTCCACAGGTCATGTGAAACTGACCGACTTTGGTCTCGCGGCGGGTATGTTGAGTCCTGGTAAAATCGAGTCGATGCGCGTGAAGTTGGAAGAAGTGGGTAACACCCCCGTTCCGTTCGGTCGACCCATGGAACAGCGCACAATGGCCGAACGACGACAAGGGTACCGAACTCTTCGCGAACGAGAAGTCAATTACGCCAAGTCTATTGTTGGATCCCCCGATTACATGGCACCCGAGGTGCTGAAGGGAGAGCAGTATGATTTCACAGTCGACTACTGGAGTCTAGGCTGTATGCTTTTCGAAGCACTCGCTGGATACCCACCGTTTGCGGGTGCGACTGTTGATGAGACATGGCAGAATCTCAAGCGCTGGCAGAAGGTGCTTCGTAAGCCGGTCTACGAGGATCCGAACTATTTCCTCTCACGACGCACATGGGATTTGATTACCAAGCTGGTTGCGGCGAAGGAGCAGCGGTTTAAGAATATTCAGGAGATCCACGCACATGACTATTTCGCCGAAGTCGACTTCAATAATCTACGGGAGCAACGTGCGCCTTTTGTGCCGGAGCTGGATTCCGAAACCGATGCTGGGTATTTCGATGATTTTAGCAATGAAGCCGATATGGCCAAGTACAAGGAGGTTCACGACAAACAACGAGCATTGGAGGAAATGGCTGATCGGGATGATAAGATGGGCAAGGGTCTATTTGTTGGATTCACCTTCCGGTATGTAATCTCTGCCATGAACTTTCATAGCTACCTCTATCTCGTCTTCACAAACTAACAAGTCTCTAGTCACCGTAAGCCAGCTGTAGACAACTCTGGCCGCAGCTCTCCTCGCAAAGCCATTGCAACGGACGGCACCTTTGGAACGATGTTTTGATCTGATGACGGAGTGTGGAGGTGGCAGATACTCATCTCCTCTCTTATTTTGTTTTGTATCTCTTCTCTTCTCCCGTCCACTGGAGGCCGCGTCGAAGCCAAGCTGGATCTTGATTTCATGGTGCCCCGGGCAGACGTCCGCGTATGGTATGAGTATGAGTTTTAATGGCGCATTTCTTCTCCTGTTTGTTTATTACCATGTGCGCTTTTGTCCGAAATTCAAGCTTGATTAGGTTTTAGAACTCTAAATAAGAGTATCGTTAGGTTCCCTACTTTTTCACCAAGAACATGTGCTGTTTTAAGTCCAGAATTCCTGTAGTTTATTTGTATTGGTTGGAGTGGAATCAATAACATAGTATGATACATTGATACATTCTAAACCCTGGACCCGCACTGGGTCATCCATCAAATCGCCCACTATACTTCCAAGTAGATGTGGAGTAGATAAAGAGCTAACTTAAGCTCTCAATCAAGACGGGAATATCACCAAGATATTAAGCCGCTTAGTTACTAGGCAACTTGCGCACCATCTTCAAAATCTCAGACTCATGGTCTCCAATAACAGCGCGACCATTCACCCAATCAACAGTCTAGATTCCAGTTAGTAACTCAAACTTCGACAAGTTTATCTCCAGGGTAAACATACCACAGGTCTAACAAAGGAACCCTGGTCCTCCTTAAACCTCTTAATAGCATCCTCCGCATCCCGAGCTCCCTTCACGAGCTCCGCAACTCCATAAGTCGCCTTATCGCCCTGTCCACCAAGTCCCGAAACAGGAGAGATGTAATCCAGGATACTGCGCAGCTGATCCGACGTAGGCGCGTTGGTGGTAACCTCTAGCTCAAACTCGCCGCGCTGCTGCTTCGCGTGCGAGGAGTGGTCGCTAGCCTGGTCTTCTGTGGCGGTTTCGCTAGCGTTGATGGAGGCTTGTTTGAGGATGTTTAGGGTGCGAGTACTGCTTGCCAGGCTGGGGGAGTGGAAGAGGGTGATTGGGTCGAGGGTTTTGCTCTGAGGGATTGTTAGATGTTAATGTTCTTAATGAGAATTTCTGGATCGGGCTTGAGTCGTTCGTACAAAGCGAAACATTATGATGTGTTATTTGAATGAATTGGTTGGAGTGTGTGGTTTGTGGTGGTGTCAGAGGATGAATGTTCAGTTGAGTCAAGGTGAGTTGGAGCTTGCGGATGATGTCATGTGCCGGGGTCCCAATCAGGTTACTTCAATGTTGAAACTTGAAGTCATTGTGGATTCTACATTATATTACTAACATTTGAAGGACTTGGAATTTGAATCATTGATGAAATCGTGTTCTCGTACGTCTATCGTAAGCTATAATACATCTCAAGTTATACATTTACATCTCGGTTGCCCAGGTGCGGTAGGCTGTGCAGCAACTGACTCAAGTGCTTCAGTGGTGTAGGTTTCGTTAAGAATTCATCAACGCCGCTGATCTGTGCTTCTCCTTGCTTTTCTGAGGACAGAACAGCTGTGAGAATAATGAGATATGCTGGGTTCAGTTTATGGGATTTTTCAAAGTGTCTCATCTCTCGTGTGGCAGTTAAGCCGTCCATATGTGGCATGGAAATATCTGTCATGATATTATCAGCAAAACTTCAAGTTTCCAGATGTCGTAGGCGTAATCTGAATTTGAGATCTCTAAGTCTAATTTGACTCACCCATGACAATAACGTCGAATCTCTCCTTCTTGAATTTTTCTAAGGCTTCGAGCCCATTCGTTGCTGTTTTGTAGGCGAACCCGGCATTCTTCACGCACGTCTCGATGATCTGACCATACTTCTTGTTAGAATGTTTGCTGCTCCGTTAGCAGAAGTAAAAATTCCACTAACCTTCAAATTAACCGGGTTATCTTCGACGAGAAGAACTCTCTTCTCAGATTCCTCGGTCGCTTGTTGTACAACACCGTTATTCTTGTCCGAGCTTTCAGACATTGATCGTGCTTTTTCTATGGATGGGGCAACATTGAGGTCTTCCTCGATCCTCTGAGGATGCAAACAATGCTCGAACACTATTGCTAGCGTCTTGGGACTCACACTGAATACCAGTTAGCTATTTGATGCGCAAGGTTGAAACTGTTAGACTCAGGAGGACATACGGCTGTGACAAAAAGATCGCACGATCGCGATTGTTCTCTTTTACGAGCTTCCAATTACTGGCCTGAGAACTCAGAACAATAAGTGGATATGCGCTATTTGACTCAATGGAGCTTCGCACGTCGGATTCAGCGGAAGCATGTGCCATAGTCCGGTATTCGTGCTCCGTCACAATCAAGAAGTCAGCCGTTCGTTGACCGAGCTCATCGGAACTCATCACTTCAAGTCCGAACCAGTCGCTGACCATTCGACCCAGACTAAAACGAATGTTATCAAAAACGTCTTCCCGAATACCAAGGTCTCCCCGTTGGAAGCTCTTGGTGAAAAATGAGACACTCTTGCCCTTTAACTCCTGTCTCAATTTGTGGTCCGGGGTTGGTTGATTAATTGGAGGCTGCGATCCTGTCATGGGAATATAGACATCCACACTTGTACCTCGGTCAACCTCACTGTCAAATTGAATTTGGCCATCCAGAGACTTAACAATCTGGTGCACCAGATGAAGTCCCACACCGAGACCAGGTGATTGTGTATCTTCTTGAAGGAAGGGGATGTAGAGGTTGTGAAGTAGGAAGTCTTGAGACATGCCGCGTCCCGAGTCGCTGATCGTGATATGCACGGCTGGTACATTCTCATTTCCCTTGACAGTCATAATATCCTTCCTCATGAAAAGCCGGATATAGCCCGTCCGCGTGTATTTGAGGGCATTCCCGAAAAGATTCATCACCACTCGGCGCCACGCACCTGCATATACAGAGTAGTGCCAGTTATCTTGCCATTCAATGTCTATGATCGTCATCATCTGATTTCTGTTGTCATCGGTCGCTGAAGATCGTCTATCATTGTTCTTTGTGGTGTCTCTGGATGTACCGTTCTCTCGACTGTTGAAAGTCGCACCAGCTAGCAGACCCTCCACAACTTCTTGTACCAATGAACCAAGGTCCTCGTCTTGCTCAAGACCTGGCACAGCAAGCTTCGGATGAAAACCGGATGTTCCCTTCCCATTCGGCTCAGTGGAATTGTCTGCTGAGGCTCGAGATGCCGTGAGAGTGTTGATCCTTGCATAATCCAGAAGATGATTCAAGGTGTCCAACAGGGTACGTCCACAACTATGGACAGTATCAATCAGGCCCTGTTGGGTGTAGCTCCTGGCTGTCTCCTGGAGAAGCTCTATAGTTCCAAGGGCACCATGTAGAGGAGATCGCAACTCATGAGAGATCGAAGAGATGAAATCTCCTTTCGCCCGATCAGCCGCCTCAATATCCATTCGAGACACCTCAGCCATCACGGTATTACTGAATGCTGCCATGTACGTAAGATCCTTTGGCTCCGATAACACACGACCAGGATCATTCGTCCAAGTCAGGTTCACCGTGAACCATCGACCGCGATGAAAATCCCAGACGGGGTAGATAGCAAGACAGCGAGCCTCAGGTAGGATTTTGTGGAAATACTTGATCTCCATCGTCTCTTGCCGATACTCTTCTTCCTTGGGAGAACCTGGCTTGACTTCATTTTCTTTGCCGAGGTACGTTTGGCTAACTTCGGTTGCTAGTCCTTCGTAACTCAATGCAATGCTGCCGTCTTTTTCGATGTGGAAGATTTTGCCTCGCGGATATTGATCGATCAGACGGTTCACAAAGGCACCGGGTAAAGGGACGTAATGACTTTCTTGGTTGCTATCGCTCCTAGCAGCAGCGGATGATGTTGAGTAGCCCAGGACCAAGCTTTTAGGACCATGAATATCTTCATCAATACTTAACGCTTCAGGGTCTTCATTCGGCTCGCCCTTATTTTTTTGTGCATCATCGCTCGTGCCATTGTCAACTCCAATCATCTGGCGTCGAGTATATACACTCGCATCAATGAACATGGCGCCCTCTATTTCCAGTGCCTGATTCATAAGACATGAAGCCCTATTGAGGACAGATTGAACATTTGATGGGGCGAACGATTTTTGTAATCTCTCAGTCGTGGGCGTGAGAGAAGGTCGTTGTTCATTTTCCTCTTTATCAGTTCCTGACTCTTCACGCTGGCTCTCATTTGCCTTGAACTTGCGAACAGGTGATCGACTTTTACTCTGCTCAATGCTTTTGACTGCTGTGGTGTCAACCGAAGGTTCAGAAACTCGACCCCGATCGTTAGGGTGGTCGCTCGTCGCCTTTTTTTCATTTGAAACTTGAAAGTCTTCAAGCTTCTTGCTGACATGCTCAAGTCCACCACGGCTTTCCTCCTCCTCGGTTATATCTTGATTGTCCATTCCTTCGCTGAGGTCTGATTTGCCGCGCACAAATAATCCCAAGGCTCGGACCATCTTCTCTTCGCGGTTTTCTTCCCGCATGGCTCGCTGAGAAAGCAGATACTCCATGACCGTCGTGCTTAGCTCTATCAGCAACTGCATATCTGTCTTGCTGAGTCCTTCCCGAGGTTTATCATCAAGCACTGCGACGCTACCAATAATATAGTTCTCTGGCGATCGGATCGGGACGGATATATAGAACCGATGGAATGGGGCACCAGCGACGCAAGAAGCAGACTGAAATCGCGGGTCCTTGGACAAGTCCGAGACTATGAACTCGGACCTTCCTTCACTAATGAAAGTTTTCATTGCCTGGTTGCACATTGGTATGTTTTCTCGGGGCAGCTGCTGCACACCGCGCCATAGCGAGTCAGATCCCTCTCCACTCGCCGCGCTGCGCAGGCCAAGGTGTTGCGTTGATTCCGCCACAACGTGTTGTGTTGTGCGATCGAAAAGAGATATGAGAGCGCATTTCGTATCTAGCCTGAGACTTGCGAGTTGCGCAAATACCGTCAACACATTGTCGCGCGAGGCAGTTGGTCGTTGACCAACTGGTTGCTGTGCGAACTTTTCTGATTGCGAAAATCCCCAATAAGGAAGGTACCTAAATGGTTTCATTTGTTAGATACAAATTGGCATGATCATCTTAGACAATTGATCACTTACAAGTGCATCTCCCGCTCACGGGCCGCGTCGATATTGTATGCATACTTGCGCGGGCCTTCACGGCCTCTAGCTCTCGTACTTGGTGTCATTAATCGGTGAGATGTGCGCTTTTTCGCGAAATATGATTGGTACAGTGAATAAATTAGTCTTATATGTAGCAATAGGCAATTTGAAAATCATCTCAATTCTTAGGTTATCGCACGCCTACCTGCCAGGTGGTGGTAGGCGAGCTTAAAGCTGGAGTAAAAGTAATAACGTCATAACCCACTATCCCCTATGCATTCCGAGATCTGACGTCCGATTCAATTGAGTTACAACATTTGAAGGGTCAAAATTTCTGGGACTTTCGACATCTCAACCAACCGGTTTCAAATGTGGGTTTACTACAGTCGTCCATCGTTTAATGTGACGTCATGTTATATGGACCCGATGTGGAACTTGAACTTCAGGGAATGACGATATCCAACATGGAAGTGCACTTCTTATTGGAGCTTAATGAACTATAGATTTGGAACTTCTAGTGCCTAGACTGGGCTCAAACTTTTGGTCGGTCATGGTACGTCTCGAGATGCCTTCATATGAATGCACCTACTAGTACTCCGATGAGTGCAGCTCTGAGTCTGAGTACACAGGCAAAGATTATTATGATTGGACTTGGGAAAACTGAATTGAGATTGATGTCTCATTCTACTAGTATATTAAAAGTTCCTTCGTAGAGAAATTGTTGATACCGCTTCAGGTCCACGCGTTGTAGATATCACATTCCCTCTCCTTCATATGAGAAACACACACACACACACACACACACACACACACACACACACACACAAAACACACATACACATTCTTCAATCACGTCCTCCATCACTTCTCATAAAAGTCATGTTAACTCTTTCAAGGCTCATCGATAGGTACCATTCTCATAATTCCTCTGGTCCCAGGGTAGTGATAGTAGTTCAAACAGGGGAGGGGGAGGGGATGGGGTAAAGGGTCAATGAAAACTCAGAGTTTGCATAATAGCATGTCATCACGGTTTCCAAAGGTGCCTGTTCTACCTAGTCAATTAGCTGCCTGAGTATAATGTCAAAGCCGATACATCAGAGACTTGGTTGGCATCATCGGTTCGTAGGCTTAACGTCCAACGTCGTTCCATTCCATACTTTTTGATTAAGATCATCGGAGAAGGACACCAGAGAGACGGACATGCTTCCATCTCAATCCCTACCCAGGATCACACTATATCATCCACTCGCGCGAGAAAATACGAACGGCCGGAGCCTCTTTTGCATCGGCTTATGAACAACATAGGTGAGTGTGGGATCCTTAGGTCTGAAACTTCCGCACCGTCTGGAGGGGGGAAAAGAAGGAGAAGGAGAGAAAGAGAGAGAGAAGAAGAGTAAATAGTCTGGGGCGGTGGGGGACGCGTCTGGGGGACAAACAAACACTTCGCTTCACTCACTTCGTGTCATCGCCTAATTAGGAAACCATCACTGCACAGAACCTCAGGAGCAAACAGCCTTGGAATCAATACAGCCCTGGAGCAAATCACATGCACAAGGATACATTTTGAATTCAAATTCTACTACTAAAGTACTTGGTATATTTCATTCGTAGAATTTACCCTGGATATGTACAGCTCTCCGTGCGCTCATACTTCAATTTGAACTACTACCTGCGCATGCTCATATGTTGGTAGAAATCATTCAGTCCTGTCAGATATCTTGATCGGTCACCGACTTGTCAAAACAAATAACTTGAAACCTGCCAGTGGAAATTGATCACTAGCTCGGAAGATATTGTACTCAAGATTACCACTGGCAGCTACATAAGGGATATCTGGTTGAAGGTTGCCTTCAAAAAAGATGACTGCGGACCTTTGAAGTTCGGTTAATATCATATTGCCAGTGTGTAATATAATTGAGACCATTTGAAGTGTGTATTTTGCGATCCCTGAGCAAAAGCCGGAATCATGCGTCTGGTCAATTCCCGATCTCTCAATATTAAATCAGACTCGGACATTCAGCGAGTGTAAGACACATGCCAGTGCATGTGTACATAGCTTCAAGTGAAGTGGGGGCGCTTATGATCCGGGCGCTTCCGAGTCAATTTTATCAGCTGCTAGTGGCTCTTCAAGTTGATTGAATAATTAATTGATGGTCTTGGTTTTATACATATCCATACCTTCTATCGGTGTGATGATTTAGGTTTGTCTGATATAGAATAGAAGACGTGGGGGTTTGGGGGTCACCTTTCATATCTTTCGTCTCCTACAAAGTTGTACTATATACGTCCTTATAGCGCCGATATCAAAGCTTCTGTCTTGGCAACGATGTGAAACGAGCATTCGAGGCTTCTGTGATAAACTCAGGTGCTCAGCTCATGCACGCGCGGCGTTTTGTCGGCATTTGACTGTTAATGAAAGTCAATTTCTTTCGGGCCGATATGGATATTATCCCAATGAGCACTGGCAATCGATTCAGTATCGAATACACAGAGAACTTAGAGAAGTCATGGCTCATGTAGTATGTCAGGTGAAGTGTCAGTAGAATGTTGGAGATATTGACCAAAATTCAACACTCGGTTCAACAATTTCGGCGCACAAGATAAGAAGCCAGAGCTGATCCCGACTCCTTTCATAGCCGACCTCCATGTGACCCAGCCACAAGTCGGTCTGCGTCCGTGTAAAGCCGTCACTCTCAAAGCTGGAAAGTGGGTAGCGGGCAAGGAGTGCGGAGAATCTCCGCGATTACGAGCGTGACTCCGAGGTATGATTGGCCGAGAACACTGAACATTCAGGAGAGTTTGTTTTTCCAAAAATCAGGAACCAATGATAATCTCGGGACTAGAATCAACCCAGAAAGTATGACCGCATTCAAGTCGGCATCGGACAGGCGGAGTCGTGGGGGAACGCGGGGAAGGGAATCCCCCACAAAATGGCGTCCCGGAGTGTGGTACGACTGGTACGAGCGTGGGGGGTTAGAAAGGGATAAAACTCCAGGCATTGGCATCCGTGAAAATTAAGTCTTGCACTTTGTGTAGGGATTATATCTACACTCAACATCATGTCGTCGTCAAAACCTCACGCCGTTCACGATGAGGATCCCATCAAAGATACCCCAGCTCCTCCACATGTCTCCTTGACGGAAGAGGAGAACAAGCGCATTTGTCACAAGACCGACCGGACTATTTTGTTGGTCCTCATCTGGGTCTACTTTTTACAGATCCTTGACAAGACCGTGCTCGGATACGGTGCAACATATGGATTGGAGACCGATACTGGGTTGACAGGAAACCAATATTCAATGCTGGGCTCGATCGCTCCGATCGCTCAACTGTGTTGGCAGCCATTCTCGTCTTACCTGATCGTCAAGGTACCTCCCAAAATTCTCATGCCAATTCTTTGCCTTGGATGGGGCATTGCACAGGCTTGTATGGCAGCTTGCCATAACTTTAGTGGCTTGATGGCGACTCGGTTTTTCTTGGGACTGTTTGAAGCTGGATGCTTGCCTCTGTTCGGTATCATTACTAGCCAGTGGTATCTTCGTGCGGAGCAACCTATTCGCATTGCAGCTTGGTACAGTACCAATGGACTGGCTACCATCGTTGCCGCTGCGTTGTCATATGGTCTGGCACATATCAACTCACCTGTTCTGGAGTCATGGCAAATGTGAGTGGACCGTTTTCCAGATCGTTGCGCAGCTCACTAACTTCATGTTTTAGCATCTTCCTCTTTGTAGGACTCGTCACTATTGTCTCCTCTCCGATAGTCTACTGGCGATTAGACAACGACGTGACAACGGCTCGATTCTTGGATGAGACCGAGAAGATCCAAGCTATGGAGCGCCTACGAGCTAACCAAACTGGCACTGGAAGCGGAGAGTTCAAAATGAGTCATGTATGGGAATGCGTACTCGAGCCGAAAACATACCTGTGGATTGGGATGTCGATGCTGCTTAACATCGGTGCCAGCGTGACCAACACTTTCGGTCCTCTGATTCTGGATGGTTTAGGTTACGGCACTTATCGCACCAGTCTATTGACAATGCCATTCGGAGCACTACAGTTTGTCATCATCCTGGTTGCCAGCTGGCTTGCTCAAACCGCCCGGATTAAGAGCATTATTCTCGCCACATTCATGTTGCCAGTCATTGCCGGGTTGGCCATATTGTATGTTGTCACTCATACCGACGCCAACCAGGGCAAGCTTCTTGCCGGGTACTACTTACTGGCATTTTTGTTTGGCGGAAACCCTCTGATCGTCACTTGGATCGTCGGTAATACGGCAGGCAGCACTAAGAAGTCTGTGGTGATGAGTCTATTCAACGCTGCTTCTTCTGCTGGAAATATTGTGGGCCCTCTGCTGTTTAACTCTAAAGATAAGCCCACGTATCACCCAGGCTTGCGTGCTTGCTTGGGCATCTTCTGTACCCTGGCTGCTATTGTCCTCATTCAGTGGGCCAATCTATGGGTTCTCAACAAACAGCAGGCTAAGCGCCGTGTTCGCAATGGCAAGAGTGCCCAGATTGTCGATCACTCTATGCAGTCCCATTTCCACGGAGTTCAAGCTGAGGAAGGCAGTGAAGAAGGGGTCACCCATGCCGGGACCCATGTGATGGACGACATTACGGATAAGGAGAATGACGAGTTTGTATATCTATATTAGTTTTTTAACCTTGGATGTTGACTCCATTATTCATGAGAAATGCCACTGTCATTGATATTCCATTGCCAAAAACCAGAGTTTTTGATGCCTCAATCCTTTCGACCAGTTAATTGGCTATCTGATTTCGAATAACTTCAAGCTAGAGTTACTTTCCAACAGTTTAGAGACAACGACTACATAGTTTCGATTGAGATCGTCTTCACCGCTTGTTACATCAGTAATTAAAAGTGCGAAAAAGATGGTCTCATATCTTTTTGGAACTCTTGCTGCCAATAACTGCCCAGGTAGCGTTAGCTATGAACGTTACTGACTAAGGAGTAATCGTGTTTCAAAAAGAGCGTATCGTCCTCGATGTGGCGCGCGGTCAGAAAATCAAAAAGCATAGCAAATGAGCGACAAAACAATCAGAATGGAAAAAGCAAAAGAACATAGGAAAAGATGGTCGAAAGCGAGGAATGGAAGAACTAACTCGATTCCGTAGAAGAGTAGGCTCAATCCTGGTCCGCGCTGACGAAGGAAGACTGCATCGCTAAAGACCAGTCCGATCTCGCAAGTACTTGCGCTCTTCCGAGTCTGGCGGGAGAAGGCGAATCATGTCCAATACGTCCTTCTTTGCATTCTCATATTGCTCAGTTAAGTTTTTATATCGTTCGAGAACGTTTTTTCATTGTTCAGGCGCGTTTTTGAATCATTCACCTGCTTCAAGTTCCTCAGTTTTGGTCAGTCGAGCGCAAACCTCATCCAAAGATAGTCGCGCCGGTGGGGAACGGGAACGATATGGCAAGGTAGATCGTGACAGAGAAGAGCAATCACGGTCTGGGTTCCCATCGTTGCACTCGAGGACTGGGGTCTCATTGGGTTCGACGGTCTTCTTTGCAGCTGGAGTTTTGTTGTGCTCGACAGTCTCTTCGGCAGTCGTCTCCTTTGCAGATTCGACATTTTCGACAGTCAAAGGTTCACTTTTGACGGGCATATTGACGGCGTTTCACGCTTTTGGGAAGGTTCGAGGCAAAGAATTGATCAGCTGGAGAGTTCAATCACAAGGTGAGAGCTCAATCTGGGGCGAGGAATGTGTGGTGAAGTGAGAACTCGATTCAGGGCAGGTGATGTCCAGTACAAGAGGGTGAACTCTTGAAGCCAGTTCCAAATGTGTTCAAGTTGAGGAGGGCAGTGAAGAAGGAACCTAAGAATTAAGATGATTTTCAAATTGCCTATTGATATAGGACTAAATTATTCACTGTACCAATCATATTTTGTGACAAATAGCGCATATCTCACTAATTAACGACACTGGACGATATCACAGATAGGGAGAATGACAAGTTTGTATACCTCCAGGGCTATGATCTATACTAGGTTTCTTTCAAGCTCGATGATGACTACATTATTCATGAGATTTGAATGACATTGCCATTGATACATATTTCATTGCCAAAAGCCTGGACTTTAAATACCTTAAGCCTTAAAGTTTCGCCAATGAATTCCAAGGTTGACCATTTGATTTCCAATAAGTTGAAGCCAATTTCACTTTCCAATAGTTGAGAGACAATGAATAAATAGATTAGATCTAGATCGCCTTCACCGCTGTTCTCTCAAACATAGATCCCTGTAACCTGCCTAACTGGGCTCTAAATTAGGGCATAGGGCATGTATTTTGTTTATGTTGACAGAGCCTCATCCGTCTCAGCCTAATCCCCCCTATACGGAGTTCTCTAGAGAATGAAACTGATAGACTTTACTTTCTCATCTCTCATCTGCTTTGCATCAACCGAAATGGAGCAATATCTTTTGGATAGCGTTACCCGCTATCAAACCCTGATTCAAAGATTCAAGCCCCCGCCCGGAAAGCGACCGGCAACGACTCCGACAATGATGCTAGCATAATCGTGACTACGCGTATAAGACCCCTCCTTGAAGATGAGATTTTTTCGGGGCAGGTGGTTGCTACATTTCCCCGTGGGGATGGGAGTGGAGTCATAGATCTCCATGAGCTAAAGCGGGCTGTCAGGGGGCTGCCCAGTATGAACGTTAGTATTAAGCTTGTTCGATCGTTTTCCCTACGAATGCATTGAATAAAAGTCGGGGTATCATTAGCGTCTAAATTTTCAGCTAATTTGTTGGGACGAAAAGTCTTTTGCTTTCAAAGCTGGCAGGATCTTCGACGCCGATAAGACGACTGAAATGATCTACGAAGAGACCGCAAAGCCTCTTCTTCCTTACGCTTGGCAAGGCAATATCGGAACCCTTTTCGCCTACGGACAGACAGGTTCTGGAAAGACTTACACTGTCAGCGGAATGGAAAGATTGATCGCCAAATCCTTGTTTGATGGGACATTGGCAGGAGAACGCAAAATACATGTCAGCATCTTTGAACTTGCTGGAAATTCCGCATTTGGTGAGACCAGATGCATCTGTTAAGACTTTTCACTCTCATGGTACTGACAATACGCAATATTGCAAACATAGATCTGCTAAATTCGCGGGCCCCGTTTATGATATTGGAGGACTCGCTCGGCAGCACCCAACTCGTCGGCATTCAAGAGCATCACGTTCAAAGCACAGACGACTTGCTTGGTCTAGTCGATAGCGCAAACAAATTTCGACAAACAGCATCGACAGAAAAGAACGATGGCTCTTCTCGCTCGCACGCCATCTGTCGCATCAGGATCGAGAACCCTGCACCCGAGGCTGTCGAAGATGGCATTTTGTACCTCATCGATCTTGCGGGGTCAGAGATGGCCCGGGATATTTGTAACCATGCTGCCGATCGGATGAAAGAAACAAAAGAGATTAATATCAGTCTTTCTGTTCTAAAAGACTGTATCCGGGGCATGGCTGAGCTCGAAAATACTGGGAAATCTTCGAAGAAGCCATACATTCCGTTCCGACAGAGTACATTGACTAAAGTCCTGAAGCATCTTTTTGATCCAGATCGAAGCCGTGCCTGTAAAACCTCAGTCCTTGCGTGTGTCAACCCCAGTTTCTTGGATACTGGCGCAACAAAGAATACACTTCGGTACGCCGAGATGCTTCGCTCTTCCCAGCCGACACAAAAAGCTGCCGCATATAATCCAGCAATACCGACGACGTGGAGCAACAAGGATCTACGAAGCTACATTAGAATCAAGGTATGTCTCATCTCAGAAAATTCTGTGATTTTAAAAATACATGTCTCTAACTCATTTCTCTGATTTTCTTTTCAGTCTGGAAACCCATCGATCTCGCCTATAGATCTTGCGCCTCATGAGTCTGGTACTCAACTTCTGCGACTCCCAGCAGAGGAGTTTGTACAGCGCTGTTTGAAAAGCGACGGGGTCACTAAAGATCAGGCCGATGCATTTCACGCTAAACTTTGGAAATTGCATATTGATTCTCGACGTGCTACTCGGTGAAGACAGAAAACTTAAGATGGGAGAATCTTCAAGACACATGAGCTAGATTTCGGTTAACTTCACTAGATTATCTTCGGTCTTTTCTCTAATAAGAGTAATACATTTCATGTGTACTTACCAACACTGACGATCATAGCTTGCCGAGTTGGGGCCCGGAGCCCGGGAGCCGCTATACTACTACGACCTGGCATCAATTTTCAATGGTTCAACCCCTAGTCACATAAAATTCGAGTGAAATTCAAGTTCCCTGTGGATTTTCCACTCCATATGACTTATTGTGCATTTTCTGTGTATTTTCCTGCTGTAATCCCCTATTTTTGACTACGTCTGCTCTTATCACAGGCGGTGTACCCGATAAAACATTAGCGGCAGAATAGTGAAATCAATTAAGAGCGCGCCAATTCCGAGTTTCTCTTCCTACATTCATCATCTTCAGATAGAACAAGATGGCATCCCAAGCCCCCTTCGTTGTTCCCGCTTTGACGAGGCACACCGCTACGGTGATCATGGCCCACGGCCTTGGTGACAAGTACCTACATCCCCAGATACCCCGCAAAGAACCTCGGAAACTAACACATTTCTCTGTATAGCGGTGCAGGATGGTATGCCTCCGATCCCTCGATGCGTGAATTTGTCCCATATTGACCGTGGTTTTTCTGGCCAGGATGGCTCTTGCTTCGAACTGGCGCCGTCGTGGCAAGTTCGACGAAGTTTCCTTCATTTTTCCTAATGCGCCCAACATTCCCATCACAGTGGTATGAATATGTGATATGATCGAGTACGCGCCTTTGCTTATAATGGGATCAGAACTTTGGAATGAAGATGCCTGGATGGTATGATATCTCTAAGCTGGGCGGAGATGTAAGAATCTCAAATTATCTTCCTTGTCTATGGATCTATATCGACGCTAACATTCTTGTTTGGAACAGCTCAATATCGAAGAATCGGCCCGTAGCCAAGACGAAACTGGTATCCTCCGCTCCCGTGAATACTTCAACGGCCTCATTAAGGAGGAAATTGAGAAGGGTATCAAGCCCTCGCGCATTGTGTTGGGTGGATTCTCTCAGGGCGGTGCCATGTCGGTCTTTACTGGATTGACTATGGAGAAGAAGATCGGTGGTATTTTCGGATTGTCTTGCTACCTCCTTCTTCACGACCGTATTAAGAGCTTCATCCCTGAGGAATTCCCTAACAAGCAGACTCCTTTCTTCTTGGCTCACGGTCTGGAGGATGGAGTTGTCAAGTACGAGCTTGGTGAGATGTCGTCGAAGATTGTCAAGGATCTCGGCGTTGAGAAGGTCTCATTCAACTCTTACCCGTACGTTGAAAACAATTCTCCTTTCTTCGTTTCAGGGTATGACTTGCTAATGAACTCGATAGTGAACTTGGACATTCCGCCGACCCAGTCGAGATTGATGACCTGGAGAAGTACCTTGAGAAGATCGTTTCTAACGAGGATGCTACTAGCGCATGAATGGATGGCAGGACGCCCGAGATACCCGCTAGAAATATGCTGTTTGATATGTTTCCCATGCTGGTATATGGGATTTTGTTTATGCTGGCTGTCATATTCTTCCTGAAATACCGAGCCAAGACACCAGTGGGTGCATCGAAGCCAGAGAAACCAGAGAAGCAAAACTAGAATTGGAATTTCTTAGTTCCACTTGCATGTTTTGTATGTGCAGAATCCATGAATATCATAATTAAGAATGCGCTTAGCCAAGAGGCAACCCTGAACAATAATGCAAAACAAAAAAAACTGACGTATAAATAGTAAATCCAGTATCACCTCAGGACATGCAGAGTAGTCAGGTTGACGATAGTAATTCAGCCCCAACCTAACACAACACCAATCTCATTGGGTTCAACTTAGGTATCTCAGTAGCATTTTCTAAAGCACAGCCTTCGCAATTGTGTCCTCGATAACCTTAATCATCCCCTCCGTATGCTTCATATCGAAGGGGATCATATGCCTAGAGCCATGATCATATAGCATCGCCTTGGAAGGCTCACAAAGTCCATAAAGCTTCATACTAGCTTCATAGATCGGATCCTGACGTCCCACAACATTGGCAGTGGGGATATTAATCGGATACGTATCCGGTGTGGGATGGATAAGCATCAAGCCGGAGCTTTCCCAAGGCGACGCGCCACACAAAAAGACCGCGGCCCGGAAAAGTGGTGGTTGACCTGGGTGGGTCTTTGCATGCTCGATGATCATTGCAGCAGCGAGGGCAGCACCTTGTGAGAAGCCCATCACGGCATCAAAAGGTCCTTGTTCTTCAATGAAACGTTGTGTGTGTTCGATTGCTTCGCCGACTGTTGCGCCTGGGCTAGTGTCGCGATCATAATGGTTAAAGAATGGACCGTCTACCACGCCCTCGAGTTCTATACAATATTAGTGTTTCAGTATTCCTTTCCAAATTTGAGTCTCATTGTATCTCGGCGAATTTGTAGATTTCAGTTTCGAGGAGCGGGGTATATGTGGTGTGGATCATGATGTTTCATTTTTTGGAAGCTCTTACCCCCTTCAACTGGCGACGCGAGTCTGCCATTCATGAACTTGAATGTGTGACCTTTTTTCGAAAGTTGCTGTCTCAATCCACCAGTTTGGATCTCGAAGATCTGGACGAGAGAGTTAGTGGGGCTCTTTTGATTCAAATTCCAGCTGTGTAGCTCTGCAGATCGGTGAAATTGTCCATACCTCGGAGTTGGTACTCGCGCCATGTAAACAGAGGAACTTCATCGCGATTGAAAGATTGACTTTGACTGATACTCGATAGTTGATGCTAAAGTGATAAGTGTTCGGTTTATTTTTGTAGATCGAGATCAAGTGGAAGAGATTGAGGAAAGAGCCGACAGAACAAAAATAGGTAACTGCCAAGTGAAATTGGGGGCGTCAGCTCCAATTTGCCAAAACGCGATGGGTCTCGTGTGCATTCACTGGAGCTTTTTCGGGGGCGATGACGGAGTTAGATTCGTCACAAATGTATGCAGGGGGCCAAATAGTCTAGTATTTGACTGCAGAACTTGAAGATACTAGCGGCGGGGTCGAAAATCGGGAAAAAATCACCCTTTCGACCATGCGAAGCCGCTGCATGTGTTTTTACGAGTAGTATTTTTGCCTTCACTGTCGCCATATTTTAGCGGAATATTAACCCTGGAGTGAACCCATTTCTCAAGTTCTGGCAAATTTTGTATTGGGGTCAAACTTTGAGATAGCTAACATTTCATCTATTTTCTTTACGCTTTCGCGAATGCGAACTGTCCTGGTGCCTGCACCATACCCGTCTCAGCATAATAGCGCTCCCAATGCTCAACTAATCGGTCCATGACTTCTTTTTCAATCTCTGATAAGTCATTCAGCTCCGCTGGGTCGGCTTCCATGTTATATAGCTCCCAATCACCCTTTCCACGCGGCGGGTCAATGAAGACAGCTTTCCACTTGCCTTCGCGAATAGCCCGTTGTCCAAATAACTCCCATCCATGAATATGCACATCTTCACCATGGATAGTTGAGTCGGCAGCACTATAGTCAGGGGATTTCAGGTGAGGCACCCACGACTTGCCTCGCGGGATGACGACCTCGCGCCCTCTGAAGGTATTGCCTGGATGAGGAATCTGAGCAAGTTCCAAAATTGTGGGCAGGATGTCCATGACCGTGGAGAACCGGTTGGTCACAGCATATTCTTCGGGCTTGAATCCAGGATAGCGAATCAGGCATGGGCAGCGGATTCCACCTTCTGTGATCCACGCTTTGAATCCTCGGGATGGAGCCTCAGCGGCACAAGCCCAGCGAGGACCTAACAAAATCTTATTAGCACTGAATCCCAGTATCATTTGAGCTGGGGCAAGAGATCGCAGCTACTTACCATACCAAGTGTAGGAATTCTTGTTTCCGATATTTTCGAGAGAATTATCATAATATTCTTCGATAATATCTCCGAATGATTTTTTACCTCCCATGAGCTGATTCGGTCAGTAAGAAGGTAACTCAAAGAATTAGGAGAAAGAACTCACTGGAAGGGCTTCAAGGGAAGCACCCTCTGCTCCATTGTCAGACATGAAGAGAATAAAGGTATTATCTAATTCTCCGGTAGATTCCAGATGATCGATGAGACGTCCAATATGGTCGTCCATCACCTCGACCATGGCGGCGAATACTTCCATTTTTCTCGCGGAGATCTTTCTTTCTTCTTCACTGAGCTCATTCCATGGCTGACCCAAACGGCCAGATGGGGGAGCAGCCTCAACGTTCTCTGCAACAAGACCAAGTTCTTTCAGACGTTGCAGACGTTTCTGCGCCAAGGCGTCTGGGCCATCGTCATAAACACCAGCTAGGAGCTGTTAGCTGGAGTGAATCAGTTTATTAAGGAGCCCATCACGTACCATATTTTTCGACAACCTCCTTTGGAGCTTGCAATGGCCAGTGGGGCGCAGTATAAGGCAGATAGGCGAAGAACGGCTGCTCCTTCTCAGTCTCTGTTCTACCATCCAGGTAGCCCAGAATACGGTCTGTGAAGGATTTTGTCGAATAGAAGTCTTCACCCAGCTCCTTCGCATTAACAAACTCGCCATCGCTCATCCAATGACCATTGGCTGCGATAATAGGATGTTTTCCTATCGCCGCATCAAACTGAGGCTCCCAAGCATGGTGATTACCAGCTCCAGGCAAAAGAGAGAAATCCTTGGTGAAGCCACGATTCGAAGGGGAAAGCTCTTTTGTTAATCCAAGATGCCTATTAAACATTCGTTAGTAACATTAAAGACAGTCTCCGCCGACAGTCTAAGATATGCGCTTACCATTTACCGGACATGATAGTCAGGTAATCGTTATCCTGCAGAATCTCGGACAAAGCCGCAACACGCCAGTTGAGATATCCCTCATACCCTGGCTTGTCATTATAATAATTTCCGAAGGCCTGCATCACCTCAGCCATTTGACCTTGAATTCATGCATTAGTTCAACTTTCTTTCGGGAAGAGATCGGATCAAAGGTTGATGTTATACATACCAAGACCAGCGATATGGTTATCAGTGCCAGAGAAAAGCATTGATCGAGTAGGAGAGCAAGCAGATGCAGTATGGAAGTTTGTCATTCGAATTCCATCCTTTGCAAGCTTCTCCAATGTTGGAGTTTTGATTTCACCTCCATAGGGAGAGATATCACTGAAGCCAAGATCATCGGCGACAATGACCAAGAAATTGGGGCGTTTGGATGTCATTTTTATTTTCTATTTTCAAAAATTGAACGAAATATTCCTAATTCAAGCCATTCTTTCTGTGGTATATCTGTTTATATGTACATTCAAGTGAGCTCTCGGCTAACTGAACCGATTGCGCCATATCGACTAAATGTAGCAAATCGTGGGCTTAGATTAAACCAACCAACTTGAATGCTGAGACTCGGCAATTGTGGTAGTTTACCACGCGTCTTCCCCACAATATGTGCCGCCCAAGTGCTTTAACTCCGTGAGTTCGAGATTTACAAAACCCGGCCATTGATGAGAGTTGTGTGCTTTATGCTGTACTCGTGTACATACTCCGGAGTGTGGATCTGATAACACTGATAACGAGATCCCGATCGGAATTGCCGAGAGACAGTTATGGCCATTCTGGTTAGATTATGAATATACATTAGATTTTGACTCTGATTTATTCATATTAGAAGAATTGACTATAACATTGAACTTCTACCACTAGTACTTACTTCCAGTGTGCAATGTGCATAGTAGGTGAGGTGCTATCTCTAATTATTGGTGGTACACATGCCGATGCAGAACTCTCCCCACTTCCACCTCGGCATTGACACCTTGGAGCTCTGAGCTTCAGAGCTCACTCCAATGTCTCACCTATTGTAAAATATCCAAGATGTCCGAGGTTTTCGGTGCCATCGTTGCTGGATGTGGATTCCTTTCCTATGGCCTGTGGCACCCTCTTGAGTCTATCTCAAGTGTTGGTCCAACACTAAACGAAGCCACATTCGGTCTGCTGGGGTCCAGCTTCAAGCCAGATCGCGACATACCTAGCCTGGAGGGAAAGGTGATCTTACTCACCGGAGGTGCCTATAATTCCTGGCTCAAGATAAACGATGACCATAACAAGCTAACCCAAGCTTCCTTCTCCAGGAAATGCCGGTATTGGCAAGGAAACCATTCGCCAACTCGCCAAACACCAACCTGCCAGGATCTATCTCGCCGCGCGAACAGAAAGCAAAGCGTTGTCTACGATTGAAGCCATCCAGTCCGAGCTAGCCTTCCCCATCGATATCCGTTACCTCTCTCTAGACCTATGCTCCTTCAAGTCCATTCGCGCCGCCGTAGCCAAGTTCCAAGCCGACAGCGACCGGCTAGATGTCCTCATCCTCAATGCAGGGACAATGGGAAATCCCGCAGTAACAACGGAGGAAGGTTTCGAGGTTCAGCTGGGTACTAACCACGTAGGGCATTTCCTACTCACGAAACTGCTTCTACCTACACTGCAGGCGACGGTCGCCCGGGATCGCGCCAGGGGTGTTACCCCGGACGTTCGCGTCTTGAGCGTGTCATCTGTCGCACATGCGTTAAGCCCGACAACGTTCGAGGAGATGACATCCACTCCTTTGCTATTGGAAAAGCTCACATGGTACCGCTATGGTGCTTCCAAAGCGGCGAATATCTTCTTTGCTACGGAGTTGGCGCGTCGGTACCCTGAGATCACTACGGTCGCTGTGCACCCGGGTGCAGTTCAGAGTGGTTTATATGGACATGCAAAGGCCATTAACTCATTTTCGAAGCACTCTTTAGATACAATGTTGTCTATCTTCTTCAGAAGCGTCTCCACAGGTGCTCTGAGCTCTCTATGGGCAGCTACTACTGCGCAAGAGAACCTAATTAGTGGCGCATATTATACTTCCGCTGGATATCGCAGTAAGGGAACGTCCTTTGTACAGAGACAAGATATCGCAGAGAAGCTTTGGGACTGGACTGAGGCCCAAATCGCCGAGCGAAGCTAGATGGTATTTGACCATTGAGAGTTGGATATCTAGATGATTGTCAATAACTCTGCCCTTTTGATTCGAGTACTCGGTTGATGATCCCTCTCAGTCCAGTAAATTTTACAGTCTATCTTTCTATGTCCCGGCAGTCGCTCACTAGTAAGGCCTTGTGTTCTCTTGCCCTGGGAGGCAAATGTCATCATGATGATCTCGGGTGTCAGGCATGATTTGCCTTCTCGTGTTCTGGCGGCGCTGAAAATCTTACAATTTCACTCCGTTCTCTAGATTCTGATCTAATCCGCCTTGTTTGTCTTAGCGACAGCTCTCATCGGATGTTTAGAGCCACTCTCGCAGCTATGGGCCGCATCGTTGTGACCGGCGGCTCCGGCAAGGCCGGACAATCCATCATCGCCGAGCTCCTCGACGCCGGACATACAGTCCTGAATCTGGATCTGGCCTCCATGTCCCATCCCAGCGTGCACACCTTGAAAACCGATCTCACCGATAGTGGACAGGTCTTCAACGCCTTGTCCGGACAGTGGGCATTGACCGAGCCCTTCCCCGAAGGACTTCCACCTCGACCAGATGCCGTGATCCATATGGCTGGTTACGCACGTAACATGCTTGTCCCAGATAACGAGACATTCCGCTCCAACACTCAGGGAACCTACAATATCTGTGAAGCGGCTTGCAAGCTAGGGATCCGCAAGATTATCATCGCCAGTAGCACCACTGTGTACGGCGTCGCGTTTGCACAGGGCGACGTAAATTATCCTTCATTTCCAATCGAGGAAGATCAGGATGTCTGTCCTACGGATACCTATGCTATCGCGAAACTATGCAATGAGCGCGTGGCCCGCGGTTTTGCTGCCCGCTTCGGCGCAGATATCTATATCCTGCGTATTGGCCATGTCATTGGTCCCGATGAATACAATGAAGAAATATTTTCCAGTTACGTGCATGAGCCTTCGCGATGGAAGGTACATGGATGGTCGTATATCGATTCGCGCGATCTTGGAGGGATGTGCGAGGCTGGTTTACGAACTGATGGGCTGGGGTTCCAAGTCTTTAATGCGACCAATGATACGATCACCAACTTGACTCCTACTGAGGATTTTCTACGGACGTCTTACCCGGAAACACCTATCACGCGCAAGTTGGAGGAGTTCGAGGCTCCGTTGTCGAATGCGAAGATGAAGAGAATGCTTGGATTCCAAGAGAAACATGGGTGGCGAAAATACTTTAATCTGTGGGATAAGAAACGAGTGGTCGTAGATTGATAGAAGATCTGCATTAAAAGAGTTATCAATTGATATACTTTGATATATTATTTAATATCGTGAAGTTCTGCAACATTGAAGATCTAGATATTCATATTGTAGTATAACTGCGGGTGAAGTCAACTGGTATCACTGTTAGGGTTTAGCCGAGTCTTTTTGTGTGTTTCGCCCACAATCAATTCCCCATCATCAGGTACAATCTTCAACATCAATAATACTTCAAACTAGATAGATAATTAAAATAAAAGTGAAACTGGAATCAATCAAATCATAGTAAAGTAGACGTGTGTAGAGAATCTGATGGCGCATTAGCGAATCTTCCGTTTTGGTAACTCCCCACACAAAACTCTCGATAGTGCATCATCATCTTTCCCTCTCTTGATCCCGAACTTCCTCCACTACGAACCTCCATCCCGGTAAGAACCCCCCCCCTCGAATTTCCAGCGATATTTCCGGTATCCTCGCCAATCTCCCTCTTCAACGAATTCTCCGTCTCGCTTTTCTCGTTCCCCGCGGTCTCATCGTCGGACATCATCGGCTAACCCGCACTCACGGTTCAGAAGTTACACCCCGTCACACCATCACAATGGATCAAGCAAAGTTGGCTAGAATGCAGGCGAGCGTTCGCATTGGTATGTGCTATCCAGATCTAGGATTGCGCGGTGGAATACTGCTGGGGATTGAAGCAGGTGGTACAGGGAAATGGAGCTTGAGCATAGTGGGATAGCACCCATCAAAGGTGCTGTGTGCGGCTCCAAGACTTCATGAACTGCCATTTCATGCCGAAATATCTCCAGCAGCTCCCAGTGCAATACTTGAATCTATAACTTCCCTTTCTGCGAATCGTGATTACTAACTTGTTTATGTCGCAGGGTACGTATAATCTTCCATTCTGAAACTCTTCCCACAAACCCCTCCATTCCGGTCTGTCGACACTGTGGATTCGATGAACGCGAAATCTTCCCATTCAATCAAAAGTCGACAATAATTATCCCCGCCATACTACCATTATATACATTACCGCCAAGGGAAATTACACCAATATGCGATCTTCATGTCCACAACTCTCGACCATCGAAAACCTCTTTCAAGATCCACTTTTGACCGTTCCCACTCGAATCATAATCGCTATCACTCAACACAGCTCTGAACATCGACTGACATGATATTTACTTATACAGTGGCAAGGGTACTCCCCGCCGCAAGGTCAAGAAGGTCCACAAGACCAGCGGTGCCGACGACAAGAAGCTCCAGGCTACCCTCAAGAAGATGAACACCCAGCCCATCCAGGGTATTGAGGAGGTCAACATGTTCAAGGAGGACGGCAACGTCATCCACTTCGCCAACCCCCGCGGTAAGCAAAATTCCTATCACCAGTACCCAATGCTATAACCCGGGTTCAATGAGATCGGGTTCCTCCACCGGACAGATGTAGCCTCATTAAACGAATTTGCAAAAATCTAATACATTTATTTTAGTTCACGGTGCCGTCGCCTCCAACACCTACGCTCTGTACGGTAACGGTGAGGAGAAGGAGCTCACTGAGCTCGTTCCCGGTATCCTGAACCAGCTCGGCCCCGACTCCCTCGCCTCCCTGCGCAAGCTCGCCGAGAGCTACCAGAACATGCAGAAGGCTCAGGGTGAGAAGGGTGATGATGAGGATGATATCCCCGACCTTGTCGAGGGTGAGAACTTCGAGGACAAGGCTGAATAAGCGAATCTTTTCAAAAACCATGGTCTATGATATCGATCAATGAAATGTACTCATTTTGGTTCTACTTGCTTCGTACTTTATCTCTGGTATTTGTAGGATTGGTTCATGGTTCTTTATTTGATTATGAAAATGGACATATAGTCCTGCCTGGTTGAGTGTATCGACGGACGCTATGCCATAGCTGTAAGGCTAGATTTAGAAGCTCTACGGACGAAAACAATTGGAAATATAAAGTCCTTTTTTTCATATTCTGCATCATGCGCACCAGGACTATTATACACCAAATAAAAACAATAAAAAAGCCAAGAAAAATTAAATAGAATTTCAATCCGCGACGCCTGTGAATGCTCGTTGGTTTCCTATTCTCATTTCGCTCCGCGAAATATCTTCACAGATAATTCGTTGGGGTTTTGGTTGCAGCAACAGTGCTTGGTATACACTCTCAAGACTCCTCTTTCAATCCACAAACATCAGTTCCCAGTATGCTATCCAGCATATACCAGAATCGCCAATAGGCATTGGACTTGTCATAATCAAAGGACCCGTCTTCCCGTAATTGGGGTCCATCACCCACAATATCACCAGTGAACCAGCTCAAAATTGGGATTGATCGTAAAACACGTTCAGTAACGGTCGGCTGCGGAGGAAGGGCTTCGGCGAGGGGGCGCAGCTTAGTGCGTCGGACAGTGGGGATATGTGTCATGAACTCGGACTCAGGCTTAGGCTCTGTGGGAACATTCCGCTGGTGAAGAGAAGAGGAGCGATCGAGACCAGTTGAGGTGCCGGTAGCAGTGAGGGTTGACCCGGTGGCAGTGGTGGTAGAGGTGAAGGTCGTCGTTGTGGAATCGATCGAGTGGCCTTCATCACCTTCACTGGCGTCAGGAACGCTGGAGAGGTTGTTCATTGCGAAAGAGCGAGGTAGCGTAAACCTGTCTTGGTCCTTGCTGCTACTGGAAAGGAAAGAGGAGGATTGTGTGGAGGTCAAGGTGCGTGGCGCACGATTGCGCAGCTTGTTTGCAGTCGGCGAGTCTGCAGGAATGGCGGCATCTTGGGTTGGGCCATGGCCGTGGTAGAGTTCACAGAAGATAAGGTGGCCATCGATTTCCTGTGGGGAGTAGAAGCACGCGCGGTCGGCAGCTTGGGTAGAGTCGAAGGTGACTTTAATCCAGTGGTATCCACCATCGTAGCGCTTAGATTTGCGGTTTGCATCATCGGACAAGTTCGCGCGGATGACAATGTCGCCGCCACTCAACAGCTGGGCATATTGGGATGAGGAATTCGGGTCGCTTCGTGGGTAATCTTCGCAGATGACACCTTGTGAGATGCGCTCGTACTTGTCGATGGCCTTCCACTCGGTATCCTTCGCCTTGTAGCCGTAGAGGAAACACTCGGTCGCAACCTTCTCGGTCTGCTTGCGCGGGTTGTCGAGGCTCGATGATGAGTTTGATTTGGGGAGGCCGTGTGATTTCTCCTCGTCTACTTGCTGGGCGAATAGTCGGCCGAACTCGGCGACATTGGGGTTCTCACGCTTGGCTGGTGTGCCGGTTCGTGTGCGGGATCGAGCGTGCTCATATCGGGCGTTCCTCCTCTTGCCAAAGGGACCTGATTCCTCTGGTGGTCGTCGGGGATTGCGAGATTCGCTTAGTTTTGTTAGCTTGAGATCTAGTCGATTGGATGCTCCGTAGTTTGTGGGAATAGCTAGGCTGTGGATTGAAACTCACTCTTTGTAAACATATCCCCAAGGGAGAAGGTTGCCATGCTCATCTCTGGCGCGCTCCTCTGGTGGGACAGCGTGGTACTCCATGGCAAGGGAAGTGTGTGGCCGTTTTTGAAAAGAGTATTTAGAAATGGAATGTAGAAGGAGATGAATAAAAGATCAATCAATGATCAAATGGTCCCACTTGGGATTATGCAAAGCTCAAATCAAGCCGTCAAGCAACAAAAAGCGATAGGAACTTTTTGGTAAACAGTGGTTCGCCGGGATACCGCAGGTCACATGATCACCTGGCATAAGATGAAAGTGAAACACAAATATAATTATAAAGATTGATAACTATCTTTTAAAATTTAAGTATATGGATTTTGTCTCTTTCTGGACCATATCTATTCTTAATAATAAATTTTCAAAATACCCGTTCAATTCAGTGGTTTTGCTAAGGCGCAAAACTTGAAGCATCGACTCGGAAGTATATCTATCACATCAAGACCTACTTTCTAATGGTAGCCCTGGCACAACTTCCAAGGTTCAAGTTGGAAAATGGAAATCGAATCTGAAACTTCAAGTTGAACCTTCAGGTTTGAGCTCGAATGAAGTAGAGCTCCATTCTAAGGTTTTATACATTCATATTTTCAATTCAGGTGTAGGAACCTGTTTGTCGCGGGCGTCTGACATACAGGTGTGCATAGCATTTGAAGAACTTGAAGTGCCAGTGCGTGCCACTAGCAGTTAATCCCCCAGAATAATATTGAACTTGAGTGACCAATTACCTAGGTAGGAGATTCGATTTCAAAATATCCCAGCTTCGTAATTTGGTATCCCCTTCCAGCTCCGAATCCACATGTGCATAGATATACCTCTCCTGGATACTGCTCTACTATCTTCGCTTCTTCGATTGGAACAACCCAGTGAATCCCCTTGAAGCATATAGAGTCCCACAAGCCCAATCCAATATACCAACAGCCCCAAAGTTGTACTTTGGGTGCACGATATGACGTTCATGGGACATGATCCCTGAGATATCCTTCCCAGTGTGCAAATACATCATCGTCAAATTCGCAAGAGCCCCAGATAACCAAAGACTGAAAACATGACTCCGTTGCAGAGCTGCCGCGACGATCGGGAGGCTAAACGTAAATAACGATTGGACGGGATGTGTGTAGAAAAGCGCAAACGGGACTTGCTGTGAATGCGCTTCTGCGAAACGATGATAGCGCTCGTGGAAGAGTTTATACAGTCGAGGTCGATGCATCAGTCGGTGACCAAAGTAGAAGAGGATTTCAAAAATCAGGACCGCTCCACTAAGCTCCTTCAAAACTCGATTCGAGCTAGGGGATGTTCTTGTCACATCGGAAAATGAGACATCAAATGGCTGAAGTCCATGGATCCAGCTGGCTAAGAGCAAACAGCATGCGTGGATGAGGTATACAATGATGGAATTCAGGATCATAGTGGGAATCGGTAGGAGGAGCACATATCTCGATCTGGTATCTGGGGCAGTGAAACAGTAGTGTATGCCAAATGCCACAACCACGATACCTTGCGTAATCATAATGCCGTAAAGCTCAATCAAACCTGCCAGTGTTACGGTTCCCCACATAGGTTGCAAGGTTTTCATTATATTGATGTATGACATTAAATCGAATGTTTTTGGTCTGAGCGAACAACCTGGTGTGGAAATGGAGGATTCAGATATCGAACAACGGCTGCTCCCAAGGTCAATATAAGATTATAAGCGTTATTTCGTAATGGCGAAGTGTTTGCTGTTCTATTTTCGTTTCCTTTGTCCTCGTCCTTCAAAGGAGAGACATGGCACCGGAGGGCACTCGAACTCTTTCGACTGTAGACTCGCTGTAACCGTCTTTGTCTACTCGGCCGCTACCATCAGCCCTCAGCTGTGTTATCTTCAGTCAAAGGAAGTCCTGGAGGGAGATGCAAGCTGAGCAGTTATGGAAAGTTCATTGCATCTTCGGCAAGTTATTCTTATCCTTGAAGATCATCAATGAGGTGGTCTCAATATCCATTTTCCTTTTCACCCACGCAAGAGCTCCCTCCCATCGAAGGCTATGACAGCTCAAGACAGTAAGCAGCTCAGTTGTTAGAGCCTTGCCTGAGCTACGCGCCCACCAACATCGTCCATCCAACCCTCCAAGAAGTACGCCCCAATACATGAGTATCAAAAGTGAAAATGGCTCTCTACATCTCAGACTGTCTACAAATTCCTTATCAACTGCTGCAAGCCAAGCCAGAACTGGGGATGGATCGGGCGAATGGGAAAATTTGGTAAAGCAGTGGCGCAGATGAGACAAAACCCTTTGGTAAATGAGATGACGCTTTGCATCTACACAAATCACGGAATCATCACTCAGTGATGCGAGATTCGTCAAAGCGGCATCGGTATCGTCGTCTAGTTTGGTTGCAGTCCTTCTCCAGAATTCACCATGGATGAATAGTTCCAGGCGAATCCAAGGTTTACTAGCCTGTAAAATTTTCTTCACGCCTTGAAGCAACTCGAATAGGACGACGATGTTCTCGGTTATGCTTGAGCTTTCGTCTTTTACAGCTGTCAGACGAGGCGAGGCAATGCTGATGGCTATCATAATGATAGAATGTGCAAATACAGCATCACAATTTTGTGGTGTGATGTTGTCGATCTCATGCCGAAATGGCGCCAGACTTCGGTGATAGTACCGGAGGCCCCTATCCTGATATAGGGGAGCCTCGGCAGGCTCCGCAGATGTGGCTAAATGCAATGAAGCCAAAGCAAGAATACCATCCATGAGATAGTAGTGTCTGAGCGCCAAACGAGGAACAACAATTTGCCAGATCTTTTTTTCCGATTCGCTCACGCATAGACTTTCAAACGTTTCAGTAGAAAATTTGTGCATTAATTCCAGATTGTCGAGTTCATGAGGAATGAAAAGATTTGATGCTGGCAAATCAGTTGTATTGAGAGAAAGCGACAGTGATAAAGTCCTGAAATCGGACTTGACGCGAGTAGGAAGAGAATGTTTTGTGGTGCTCTTCCTCGAGGCACTTTGGTGACGGGCCGCGGCAACTTTCAGGTATGTGCAATTTAGTTGACGCTTGGTGCAGTTGGAGCATGGTGGACCCCTTTCGTCGCATTTAACTCGCCTCTCTCGGCATCGATCGCACCCATTTCGAGACTTTTGATGTGGTCTTAAAGGTGGCATGTTGATATCCACACAATCTTAGGAGGCCAGTTGTGACCCACCTAGACATGGGGTGCGCGTGGAAGAAATAATAATCCGGATGACGGCCAGATCAAGGCACTTCGTACTTTTGACATTCATGTGAGAGTGTGTTTAATTTCAAGTTTTAAGTGTCTACCTAACAGCTATGAGAATTTGATTGCTGTTCTAGCTAAAAGGGGGATTTTTATACCCCACAGTGACAGGTAATGTGGGTCTACAATCATTTCACAAGTACGACAGGGAAAAATTCTGACCAGGATGTATACGGTCTTGATTCAACGCAGGTAATTCATTGTTCTACGATTTTTTCAGAATGGGTAGAATATCGCGATGATGATGTCCGAGAAGAATGGGAGGACAATCATTACAGCCCTACCACTGAAAGTATTCACAGGGCAAGTTGTGAACTTGAAGAGTCCACGGCTCTGAAGAGTCAAGACATGGATCACATCCCTGAAGACTGGGATCCACAAATGTACCTATCAAGTACTGTAACGGAAGCGGGGATTCTGGTCCCCAAGCTCCTCAATTTCCTCCTCCAACAGAGTCGAAATTCGTTCATCCTCAGCCCCTTGATCACGTCGCTTATTGATGAAGCGAAGGCATATCCACATAACACCATAGATGACACCAGCAAATCCCACTAGGCTCAGAGTCACCGCGTTTCCTCTGACATATCGTGGACCCTCGGAAGACGGGTACAAGAATGGGGACATGACACCACTGATATTTCCAAAGGTAAGCTGCAATCCTGTCGCAAATGTACGCTTTCCATAGCGAGGAAGGTTGGTGGGTAACCAGGCAAGGGGTAGCCCGACAGTCACATATAAACCCAACGCAACCAACAGCGCCCCAAAATAATGCACTCCAGAGGAGCTATCTGAGATCAGAATTCCATATCCGACCACAGATATCGCACCGAATAGGCAAGTAAATAATGCTCGCTGCTGGAGGCGGTCACTGAGCCAGGCCACAGTAAGGTACGCAATAGCACCCACTCCATAGCAGGGTATAGTCAGAGCCTGGACTTCCGGAGTAGTCCAATTTCCCATCCCTTCAATGATAGTAGGTAAAAATGTGCTGTACCCATACAACATAGTGTCGACTCCAAATTGACCAATACAAAAGGCATAAATCTTCCAGTCGAGAACGCCTTCTTTCACATCAGCCCAATGGAATTTCTGCGCAGATTCAGTTTGGCCGGTATATCGGCTGCGAATACGCACAACGAGTGCCTTCTCTTCTTTGTTGAGATAGTATGCCGTGTCAGGGTCATCTGCTAAGACGAACCAAGAGATAATGCCGAGAATAACAGTTGGAATGCCTTCGAGAATCATGATCCAGCGCCATCCTCGGAGACCAGAGATGCCATCCATGAATCCAATTCCGTATGCGAGTAATCCACCAAAGGCCCCGGCAATTGCGGCACTACTGAAGAGATATCCCGTTCTCAAGGCTATCTCACGCTTGCTGTAGAAGATAGTGAGATAGGTCAGAAAGCCTGGGAAGAGACCTGCTTCGACCACACCCAGTAATATACGGCATGCAATGAGATCGCCATAGCTCTGAGTGATTCCTGTGAGGGTCGCTATGATACCCCAGAGCACAGAGATGGTCGCAATATAGCGAGATGGCTTCAGTTTTTTGATGACTAGATTTGACGGCACCTCAAAGAACTGACATCAACATGCTTAGTTAGCCACAGTTCATCCAGATGGTAGCTTCCAGAGTTGTAAGGGATGAGCTTACACAATAGGTCACGAAGAGAATTGACACAGCAACTTGATATTGATTTCCCACGAGGCCCAGATCTTCTTCAAGACCATACAAGCGAGCATTTCCAATGTTGACTGTAAAGTTGAAGTCAGCAAGGTCCATCCATATGTCAACTGGTGTGTGGCCATCCATGGATCCGAGTCGGCACTTTAAAATTTTGGGTTTCACAAACCTCGATCAAGAAAACTGAAGAGATAGAGCAAGACCATAACTGGAAGAATATGGAGATCGATTTTTCGAATGAGGTTTCTCTCCAGTCTCTCCTCACTGCTAGACATCGAATTGACACTGTCAAGGAGCTCCGGGTCATTTGTTGCGGGTGGACCCAAGTCCGGCTTCTCACCGTACCCCACCATCTCGCAAGTGCTCCAGCTGTAGCAGTAGGGGATGAACTGTGACAATTGACTCGCTAAGAAAAGGAAAATCTTAAAGCGTTGCCTGTATCCATAGATGATCAGCTTTAAGGAACTCAACCGGCCTGGGGAAGAAAAATTTTCGAGTGATTTAGGATCATCAGGGTCCAAAGTTAGGATTAAGATTGCCAAGCCAAGGGTCTGACATGCTATTGGATAATTGCATAAGGGATCAATTAGATTCTGGTCCAGACCAAATTTCACTGAAAGTAAGAATATGGACTGAAGACTATGAGATATTGAAGTTGATATAGAATAATGTCAGAATTTCTGGAAAAAACTTGGTCTCCCTATTCCTCCAGGCTCATAGTAGGGAATTTCCTGTATTTCCATAGCATAGGTAGATGTTGATTATCGTAATTGATCGAACGTAGCATAGCATGATAGTCAATTATCTTCTCGTTAGCTACCTATTGAGTCTTCACTCATAAATGAATGAATCACTAGAGTTTAGATGATACATATTAACTCGAAACTAAACTAATTGCGGTTAGTCGAATCTTACCTAGTCCGCGAACTGGTGTGCGATCTACTTCTAACTACTTGACGATTTGATCTATCGTCCAAAAAAAAAAGAAAAATAAAAAATATTCAAGGCCCAATTTCGTACAGATGTTCCTGTGAGGTTCTCTAGGCGCTTTGAGCTGTGGTAGGTTATGTAGTAAACATAACGCCTCCATATAGAGCCATTTCATCCTATATTCGTGCTATCGATTGATCTGAAGAAAATAGAAAGTGTGCTGTACTGGATGAAACCAACTTCAACAAAATGCTAGCATATCAGCAGGAAAGTGTACATGCCGCCATTCAAATTCCTTGGCAACTATATTCACTCAGCAGGTACACACTCCAAGACCGAATCATATCTGGTATTATAGGTGTAGATTTGCTTGATCTTGAGACCCGCTTTCTCCATAAGAGCATACCACTGTGTTATCGTACGCTCATGAGAGGCTAGTGTGGTCATCATGGTGATATCGATTTGGGTTGCGTGAAAATGAATACCGCTTCCCGGTAGGACCATATCGTCAATCAGAATGACCGAGTCGGGGCCGAGGGCAGAAATGAGATTCTTCAAAATGATGACTGCTTTCTCCTCCGGGTAGTCATGCATAATATTGCGCATATAGTAGAATCGACTGCCTGTAATCATTCTCTGTCAGATTATAACCCCAAAGCTCGTGGAAAGGGGAAATGGGAAAAATTACCCTTGATTGGTTGAAGCTGCAAGAAGTCATGAGCCATTGTCTCGACTCCTTCATGTTTGATTGCCTGGGTAACAACTACATCCAGATCCTGTAAAATGACCTTGTTTTTGAATGTTGGTAGTCGTTCCTTCAGCGCGATACATTGGTGACCAATTCCACCGCCGACATCGACGAACAGAACTTGCTCTGGTGCGATGCCTTGACATCTCTGCTCAATTGGATACAAATCGAGCCAATGTGGCATATCGGCATGTTGTGCCATCATGAACCGATTGAAATGGCGGAAAACATCTGGCTCTGTTTGCGCCCAGAGAAAGCCCGGCAACTCGGTATTGAAGGCTTTCTGAAGCGGAGTGTTAACTGGAGATGTAATATCCTGGTACTTAGTTTGAACTAAGAACTCCGGCAATGCAAGTAGTGCTGAGGCTAAGGTTTGAATGCTTTATCGGTTTAGTTATTAGTATCTGATGACCAGATCTGTCAAAAGAAAAGCGAGAATAGGGTACTGACTTATGATATACTGCACTCTGAACTCCTAATCACTTAGGTGCTTGATGGTATTATTGGCCGTAAAGGTGTCTTCACCTGTCTCTTTGACAGCCCCAACTGAGGCCAAGTAACGTAGGATGCGTCCTATATTGGAATGTTTAGAATATGGAACGTGGGAGGGGTTGCTAGAAGAATTGCTTTGCGGTAGCATCCATACCTAGTAAATCAGAGGCAGCACCAGTTCGATCACAAAGCTGGGCAATAGTTAAGGGAGTTTGGCTTTCAACCAAGATGTTGAAAAGATTCAAGTCTAATCCAACTTCAACGAGGATTGGCTCTAGGTGCTAGAAATGAAAATAGACGATTGAATCAGCGGATGTCCAATAGAGCCGAATGTAAATTAGTAACAAAAAGTTTATGAGAGAAGGGAGCGGAAGCAGCCTACCGCATAAGAGATTCTTTGCATTGTATCCTGGCGAGTTTCAAGCGAAAGATAGAGATCACGGAGACTCTGGAGAATAGAGTTGTGGGTCGCCTCATCAACTCCCTCTGCCAATGATTTGACCTGAGCGACAATGCCTTCCATTGTGACAAGATTTGTTTCTTTGCGCTGAATTGGAAAATTCTTGAACTACAAAGTAATTGAGCTGCTTTGTTTTATCGGAGAGAATCATCAAGCTATTTATGTATTGTTGGATGTTATGCACAGTCCCTGGTGATCGCAATGCTAAGTACATAGTGGTGAGCCTGAGTCTGGTGACCCACAAGGCTAGAAAGCACAGAGCACGTTTACCTATTTGGGACAAGTGGTAAATCCATCATCGCAGCATTATCAACCGCCCCCACTTGGTTCGCAGATTTATCATTTTGCGGTGCACTGGGCACCTTTACCTGTTCTGGCTCATGGGTCTTTTAGGCGAGACAAATAAATTGAAATTGTGATTCGAAGGACTAACTGAGATGGACATTACAACAAAATGGCCTCCACTATGTCTCGGATTGGGGGCTGAATTGAGCCATTTCCCATAGGTGGATTCTGTCGGATTGGTGAGAACTGGCGTGGCTAGTTAACCCACTTGATCAATAATGCAGTGGTGTCTAAGCTATGAAAATCAAGCGGGGCTTGTTGAGCAAGACTCAGAGCGCTCCAGGGTTGTCTAGCATCTTACAGTCCTGATATGGATTCCGGAGATACCCGGTTTTCCATACAAAACCATAGAGAATTCAGGATTTTTGTAATGGACTGACTTATGCGGACTCGTGCGGGTCTGCGCAGGAAGGTACGTCTTCTTCCTCTCGAAAGAATCTCATAAGCGATTCATTAATATAGTCACACATTGAGTATTTAGCTCGGTCTCAATGAGATTGACTAAACCTGATACTATCTCTCTGCAATTTTGAATTTCCATGCCGAATGACAGATTCCCACAAACACCTCGCATCCCTGTCGTGGGAGTGAGGAAAGAAATACCCCCGAAGTAGATGGGCTGCCTTATCCCAGTCTACTAAACAGAGCTCCTCGACCAGTTCTGCTAGACGCTCCAAAAACCATGTGAGAGGAAGAGATTGGGGGTGTCTGAGATGCTAGTGCCCCTGTGAACAAGATCCAGAAGAGCAAGTCGGGGGCTGCCAAGTGAAGTTCAGAATAACTATGATCTAAACTCAGGCAAAGGTTGTTCGAAAGAACTGCAAGACATGGGCATCCTTGAGACTTCCAGATCTGAATCATGCAATATGTTATCGTTGATAGTCGAAGGGATTCTTGAAATGCAATATGAGAGCATTCAGTGACTGGTTTGTATAATTGGAGCATCAGAATAATGAGGAAATCATTTCCAAGAGCATTCCATGCAGAGCCTTCAAAGAGTTGGCGTTCGTAGTAGCTGATGAATTCCTGGAGTGATTGAAGGGTCGATACCAGTTCTGGACAGATGTTACAGGACCAGGGCGAATTAAAGAATTGAGTTCCCAGTGAAGGAAGAATTGTTGATCGATCAGCCGTTCCGAGGAAAGAACACTGTGACAGTACTCTTGCCGCCCAGGTCTTAGAAATAGGGAATACGGCCCAGGGTTGAGCGTACGAGATCATACCTCTCATCACTTCGCAGCTAGATGAAAAGAACAGTTAGGAGAAGCGTACATAGCTGCTCAAAGAGATTTGTTCAAGAGTATACCAATATACAGTAGAGATGATTCTGTTTCCTAGTGTATCCAGGCCACCAGCCATATCTACCAGTTTTTTGAGGCCATGTATATGTGCATCGACTGCCACTGTATTAGCCTCGGCTGCCTAGTGGGTCTTCATTAGCCAGTTCTCAGCTTTATGCTAATTTAGAGAGAAAGATTTGCAAGATAACAATACCTCTATGCAAGTTAGGTGAGCAGCAATCAATATGGTCGATTCAAGCGAGGCTTGAGGTATGTGATTCAGCATCTGTTGTAGTAATTTGATACTTTGCGACCAAAAGAAATGTGAATCTTTGGTTGCATTTCCGATAGCTGTTGGAGATGCATTTTGAAGCCGTAGTGTCGAAGCTAGCTGTGATGCGCTGGTCGATAGAATAACATGTCCCAAAGCGGGATGGTCATAAGTCTTCTGCCAGAGCCATATTGAAATATCTTGGAAATCAATAGGCCAGGTTGATTTGCTTGTCTGGAGACGATCTTGGATTTGTGAGTGAAGATTCCTTGATCTGGCCAATTCAAGTTCTTGCTCTGATTTGACTGCTCAAACGAGGCTCACTCAAAATGGTGAAAATAGATATCAGATTTGTCGGCCCGACAGTCTGGAGACGAGGGTAAATTATCAATTACTCTTATTGTCGGTGGTCGCAATACCATATTCCCCCAGAAGAAGCTAGAGCCGGTACTAGTATTACCATCGACTTTCTCTTGGCTGCTGATGATCGGATCCTTATGGGTATCGTCACTTGTTTGATTGGCCAAGCCACCATCTGACTGCGGAGGCTTATGGATCGGCACTTTTTGGCACCGAGGCATCGAATGCGGCATCTTTGGATTTCTTCGTGCCTCGTAATGTTTATTCTTCAAAAATGAATGCTTGTAGCATGTAAGAGCCTTTTTCTGGGATTTTTCTTGTTCATGGTTTACCCAGAAAAAGCGCCGCGGCGGCGGCATTTCCTCAGTAAGAGAGGTAGATCTAGAATTGTTGATGGCCATGACTGTATGGAGTAGACTAACAAGTGACTAGACTGTCACACTAGACGTGAATCCCCTCCCGAGGTCCAGGGTTGCCCTTGTGTACATTCAGACGCCGGTGCGTTTTCTTCAGATAAGGGAGTTAGATATTTTGACGTTAAACTGTGTGTGTTGCCCAGGTGGTAACTCGTGAGAGTTTTAAGGCCCCAAACTTGCCCAGGTGAACTTGAACTTGTGACAAAGCATTTCAAATGTTTGGTTCTCGCACTTTATTACTCTATTAGATCCATGGATGTAAGCCTAGTGCCATTTTAGAATTATTTAAGACAGAATACTAGTACGGAGTACCTAGTAGGTAGTGCATCAGATGCTCTAATAAGTTGTCTCTTTCATCGTCAAAAACTATTTTCTCTATCCAGCAGAACTTGAAACACTTAACATTTGAAGGAAGAAGTTATGTTTACTAGTATTTCCATGGATAGCGACTTGGATATCTGTAAAAGGATACTAGTAGCAACTTGAATGGAGTTGTAACCTTGGAAGGCAGTAACAGCAGAAGGAGAAGGTATAATACTAATTTCACTTTGAACAATCGACAAAGATTGAAATAATGAATCCAAGCCTCAAATTCCATATTCAAATTCATACATACATTTTAACTGGTGATTACTAGTCCAGATGTCTGTACTCTGTTACTCTGTACCCCTGGGCATTAATACGTCATTCAGTCCCAACAAAGTGGGAATCACATGTCAAGCACATTTATGCTTGTAGGTTATTCATCCATTGATCCATATTACATCTGATCACATACGATCATCTATATCTCTATCTTCTACTACTATTTTAATTTCTTAGAATCTATTCAAATGTTCATATCTATGGATCATCATGACAGAACCCCCTGAAGAACCCCAGACCCAGTTAACTCATGCCCCCGCAACGTCGGGCACCACTCTGCTCCCGCGACCATTAGCATCACTGGTATCCCTGCTGACCCAATCCACCTCACTATCACTACGGATTGGATCCTTCTTTGGTGGAGTCGCCCTGGATGGCGCGAGAGCAACAACCTTGACCAGCTTAGAATTGAGTCGTGCCGTAATTGAAAGCATCTTGACGCGTGCTGGACGTGATGTCGCGCTTCGTAGCAGCGACGATCATGGACGGGTAGAGGCAGAATCATTGTTAGAAAGAAGTGTATGTCATTTTCAGTCCATTTCTCCCTTCCAAATCCTAAATTTCAAATTGAACTCTAGTTGGCGACCCTGCATACCACTGTGACCTCGGCATCCTTCTTCGCAGCCGCAACTTTCCATTTCTCGTCAACAACACTAGCCTCGGTTATCAATTTCTCACAGGCCCTGCTATCAACTCTAGATGCGATTCTAGGATCCACCGAGTCGTCAAGGGCCATTGCTGCGATCATTACCCTGATCCGACGTGAGTTCAGGTCGGTGGATGTCGGCGCCAGTAGCGAGAAGATCGGCGTGGGGGACCTTTTAATGGGCACTGTGAGCTTTGCATTGCTTCAACGTTGGGGTAAAAGAAATACAGAAAGACGCTTGCGAGAGAATGGTGGCGATGAGATCATCTGGGATACTGTCATTCTCGATAACGGAGCCAGGGCAGATGTGGTTGGAACACAACTACAAATTGCTAATGGAGACCTGGAAGAGGTACCAAATGAGGCTGACGGTGCTTCATTTGTGATGCCGGGCAGTAATGATCAAGCCCTTAACGCCGTTCAACGTCGGTCCAGCATAGGAGATCCTTCGACGGCATCTCGGCTGTCCTTCTCACTGGATGGTCAGCAGCAGATCTCAGATGAAGATGTCCAATCGTACATCATGAGTCAATTGCCTCAGGAATGCCATGCCTCAATCAAATCTGAGATTTTGACAGCGCGAACAATCACTGTGGACATATTCGATGATGATATAGCTGAAATCACTGCTCCCCCTGGAACTACCATGGTTGAAGAACGTTTCCATCACCAAGACTACGCCAATTCCAGGGTTCCAGAGCATCAACGACTTCCGAAGCATACTGTGGTTTTTCGAACTGCCTTCAATAAATCCCAGAGTACACAGCTGCGACCCCATGATTCATCGCCCCCTCGCGAGCCCTTTGGGCCTGGTAATCACTCTCACCAGCGGGGAAGCTCTACGTTGAATAGCAGACATCCGAGAAACACTCTCAAAAGAGCACAGTCGGAAGATTCTTCTAGTGATGCCACAATCAAGGATGATGCACCGGCTCCTGGCTATACTGGTGATCAAAAGAAGGCTACTGGCAGTAAAGGCTCAATTGCAAAATTAGCCCAGCGTGTCAAGCAGACGGGGCAAGAGAAGCCCGATGATACCAAGCGCCAAAATCTGAAAAAGCCTACCGCCAAAGGACTTACATCATCAGGGTCATCAGGAGATCGTCCACCTGTCAAGCCTGCACGAGGCACATCGTCTGTAAAAGAAGCAACAGCTCGAGAGAACACTAATCGACTGGTCTTGAGAAGACCGAGCCAACAACCTGAGAATCGACCCCCCCACTCCTGCTCCAAACCGTGGACTACGAAGATCCCCTCTGCCCAATTCTCCACAGACCTATTCTCCACATTCTCAAGTCAAACATACTCCATCTCGAAGCCTGCATGACCGGACGAACTCTATGACAGGTCATTATGTAGCTCATGAAAGGAGTCAAGAATCTTTGCTCACACACACTGACGCTTACTCACGTCGATCTTCAGACTTTCGCACAGGATCTCCTTCCACCTCGCGAACCTTCGTTCGAAGTAGCAGCTCTTTGTCAGTGACAAGATCTGAAACTGAGGGGCCTGTATCAGCTAGTGACACTCGCCCGAGCTCGTCACACTTCCACAGAAGGTCACAGTCTTACACGCCCAGTATGTATTCAGTTGCAACTGCGGGCTCTGAGACATCCCTGCTATTAGCCCACCGTCCGCGCAAGAGTGCCTATGAAGACATGGATACTATTCAAGCGCTCAACCGTGATGGGATGATACCAGGAATCTTCCCCGAGAGACATTTTGTTCGCAATATTCGCCGATTCTGTCGATTCTCCTCTGCCTCGTACGGTTCTAGTGCATTAAAGGTCATGGGCGTGCGCAAGGACCCACAGGACATACCTCATACCCCTGCAGATAGCCACGAACACAGTGCATTCGAGCAAAATGCCGGTCTTCCTCCGTCAACCATACTGTTATCTTCATTTGTGGACCCAGCTGGCGGGTCCAACGCAGCCGGTGAAACAGAGAGTGGATTCCCACTTGTACACTACCTTTCCATCGATCATGAATCTAAGGCCGTAGTGCTCACACTGCGTGGCACCTGGGGATTTGAGGATATTCTCACTGACATGACATGTGACTACGATGATCTCGAATGGCAGGGCAAGAACTGGAAAGTACATAAGGGCATGCACGCCTCTGCAAAGAGACTCCTCGAAGGCGGCGGTGGCCGAGTCATGATCACCCTACGCGCTGCCCTGGAAGAATTCCACGACTACGGCGTCGTTCTATGCGGTCATTCCCTTGGTGGTGGCGTCGCCGCTCTCCTCGCAACCATGATCGCAGAGCCCAGCACCTCTATTACTGGCACATCCTTCGTCACAGCACCTTACCAACCCTCTCCACAGCCTCATCTCCTAACAGACATCACCGCTCCCTCACAATCTGCACCTCCATCTCCGCCACATTACGATCTTCCAAGCGGCCGGCCAATCCATGTCTATGCCTATGGACCGCCAGCAGTGATGTCCCCGTTCCTCCGTCTGGCCACTCGCGCCCTAATAACCACAGTGGTAAACGGTCAAGACATCGTTCCTAGTCTGTCCCTCGGCATCTTACACGATATGCACACAGCCTCATCTCTCTTCAAGCGTGACGTCTCCGGCGCAAAGTCCCATATTCGCCAACGTCTCCACGAGAGTCTCCGCCAAAGCATCGTCCACAAATTCTACGTAAACCAGCCCCCACTCGTCGTAAATGCCGGTGACGGCGTTGGCGAAGATGCTTGGGCCTGGAAAACACTCGCTTTACTCCGCGATGAGATGCGTGCGCCGAAACTCGTGCCGCCTGGTGAAGTCTTTGTCGTGGAGACGATGCGCGTCTTACAGCGGGAGGCGTTTACCGCGCAGCCGGAGTTTAGTGCGGATGGGTATCCTAGGCTTGGGAGACCGGCTACTAGAGTGCAGATGAAGTTCATCAGGGATGTGGATGCTTGGTTTGGGGAGTTGAGGTTTGCATCGGGGATGTTGAGCGATCATAATCCTGTGAGGTATGAGACTAGCTTGGCTGCTTTGGTGAGGGGGGGTTTTGGATGAGTGAGTAATGAATGATCTTGGCATGATTTCATAAAATATTTATGATGATGGATTTATGAGTGCGTTTGATAGTATTTTTTTTGATATTTTGTCTCTCGTTGTTTCGGATCTTGGTATAGTTGGTTTTGGATTCAGGCTTCATGGTAGAAAGGATGTTGGCGGATTGGACTTATCTAGGATGAATATTTCGGTTTACACAGGGGTTACTAGAAAGATAGATCTTTGTTCTTAATAGAATGCGAGTTCAATTTCCTCAGGCTGCTTTCAAGTCTTTACCAGTTGACCAGTGCTACTTAGATGACAACTTAAACTCATGAGTTGATGAAAGATTTCTATGTAGTAGGTATTGACCCTCCACTTGTTAAACAACGCAAATATCGAAGCGATGATGAATGAATACTATCCACTTGTAAAGGCTGCTTTCAATGTTGATATCAATACATTAGTATGACATCAACCTGTGAGAGATGACCATAGATACTTACAATTCGGCCCGGTTTACTAGGCGTCTAAAAGAGTTCCATGGCAGCTCTGGCAACCATGACAGCCAACAAGGATGAAGAGAATGCGAAGAGGCAGAATCTGACTGCCAGAGCATTACTCGTCACTTGTACCAATGAGTGTACAACTCGAGTCCCCATATACAGCCACGCAAGCAAGACATCCAGATCCTCGTCTTGACCTCCCCGAATGATAGCCAATGTGAGAGCAATCGCGTAGAATTGGGTAGGTTGCTCCATGAGATGATTGAAGTTATCTTTCTTCCATCGCGCACTTGCTGGTGTCTGTGCCTCGAGTTGACTCTTTGTAGTAGCGGGGGTGGGCTTGATCTCCTGGGAGACTGGAATGATGACTGCGTACATCCAAACTTCCATGACTAGGGTCCATGCATTGAGGGCGACCACAGGTCCTAGAAGACCTGAAGCTGTGATGTTGAGCATTTTGAGTGATGTGAAGTGAGAGAGAGGAGGTAGGTAGAAGCAAATAAAAGAATGGGTGAGAATCCCTTCTGGCGCCGAACTGGCTTTAATTATGAGGAACAACTATAGAGTCCCCGGCCTTTTCCTCTTTATTAATACCGACAGGAAGCCGAAATCCAACGGACTTCGGCTGTGGCTCACGCTAATTAATTAGAACATTTGAAAGGCTGACTTGAATGGCCACAGCACTTGACGCTAAGCCCTGGACATACAATCCAACGGCCCCGGCGGACCCGGGGCTTGACTAGAGTTGATTGCTAGATTCATCAATATAGATCATCCCACTACACTTAGGCAACATCATTGAATACTTCTTTAACCACACACATCTTCTATATGTGAAATCTGGAGCTAAGTCACTGGCCATATTTTCGTCAACCCATCAAGATCTTACGGAGGTGATAAAAAGTCGATCAACTTGCTGTACAAGTGCCTTCAAGTTGAAACATTCATACCTCTACCCACCAGTTGACGCCCCTACATACTAGAATAAAAGGGTTCACCATGGATTTTTTCCTGTTTCATGTTTGAGCACTTCAAATGTTGAGGACCCGAATTTATGATCTCATTTTCTAGGTAGGTTTCTTCGTCGCCTGATATTCAGGCTCTTTTTTAAAAACTACATCATATAATGCTTCCACTATCACTATTTGATAGCCAGTTTCATCTCACGGTGCATCTAGAATGAGTATCATTGGATAAAACTGTTTTTATCTCAGGCTTGGAAGCTATCACTTGATTCCGATTGAGCAAATTGCAATACAACTGGTCTGAATTCCAATCTTTACATCGCTTATCATTCCAGACTGAAAGGGCATTCAAGCTGTCAAGTTCATTGACCTCAACTAATCTGGCTACGATCGACTTGTCCCCGCTCCCTTTCAAGTTGAACACCAAGAATCATCTACGTAATCATACGCCACCTAGTATCTGCAAATGCAAGCAGATCCCGAGACTCAGATCCAGATTCTAGTTAAGAAATGAAAATCGCCAAGCGCCGCGATCTACACGACGCAGAAGGCAACCGATGGCCGTATTAGGAGATAACGGGCCGGTTAAAAGGCCATGCTTAAAAGGACTGGACGGAATTCCCGACCCTTGGAAACAAAGAGCACAAACTTCCGCTTGACAAATGGGGATGCAGAAGAGACTGGGGAATCATGGTAATAATCGAACATGGGGTACGTAGCCTGCAGCTAATAATAATGGACCAAAAATGAGTTCAAATGTAAGATTTGGTACGTGTATTCCATGTTGACCCCTGACTAGTTGCAGATCCGGAGGTCCAGACCTTCGATCGGATCTATCCTTCGCTTAATTTGAGATTAAACTTGAAAAATGACCCCTGAAATGAGCCCTGGAGATCAAGGGTTTGATCTATGTTTTCTGCAGGACTTCTCCTCCCAAGGAGTATGTCAAGTTGTACGAAGGAAAATATGTAGAGCACGTATAGGAGATCTTTTACTAGTTTTGACAAATACATTTCGGATTAATTGTATGAATCTGCATACAAATATTATACTTTTCATGCCAGCGGGATTTGAAATTGATTGTGGTATGCAGCATACATGATACCTCGAGTGTTGTAGTAGTAACAAGTGGCGTTGGGTGAGGCGGCTAAATGGTAGGGCAGCAAGAGCCCTGCATTCAAGGGCTCTGAACGAAAACAACATTAGAACTATATCAAATATTTTTATGCACAGAAAACAATCAATAATCTTGAATACAATGATTTTTGAACGGCGCAAGATAACCAGGCTCCCGTCACTTACATTCTTTGGCCAGTCGTTTAGTCTGATTTCAAGTTGAGTATACTGGGCAAATGAGCACCCGGTCAAGTCTATGGAGACGAACAAATGAAGTGACAGTGCCCAAAAGCTGTCGCATCATTAAACAACCTGGGAATGACGCCTCTAGACATAAGAGGGACCACCATACCTCAAACCCTTGGAAACTATATTCAATTTTAGCTTCTTGGGAGATGAATGCCTTTTTTGAACGCTTTGTGTTATGTCATACCTCTTTCAACAGTCGCCACATACTCGTATCGATGAAGCTATCAACTTAAAGACCGAGACTGATCATCTCGAGGGCCCGGGAATATTTACCCACAAATATGTAGGCATCAGCCATTCACAAGGATGCGATACGCGACAAAAGTCAGGCTACTCAGATATGATGGCATCGTGAGATCGTCGATGTTCTCTGTCATCTGCATCAGGTTGGTGTTGCCCGTGGAAATATACGAGGCGAGAAGATCCAGTGATCTTCGATAATTGAGGCTCTAATCCCCCGACGGCGATATTCAAATGTTGGTCAAGAGAATCATGATGCCTGACTCGGAATACACTCATGTGCAAAGTCAACTTCTTCAGTGAGGGATCGACAGGTTAGAGTATGAACTTGAAGTAAAGAACCTCCAGATGTCGCATTGTGGGCGAAAAGTGCATGTGGTAAGAACTGCCTCGGATAGCCATGATACCTGCTATTCCCTTTTACTCGTATATAGTTATTAGCATGGTCTTTAGACTGTGTACTCGAGGGTATATTGTCAGACTATCGGAGGCAAGTACTAGAAAATACTAGCTAAGAACAATGTTGAATTGCGTTTCACTATGAATAGCTATAAAAAAGCGCGCGTGAAGGATTGAACTCACAATAGGCCTGTCACATGTACAGGGAAATAGAAGATGAGATAAATATTGATTGAAGACCTGATTCATCCAAAGTGGACTCATCATGGACTCGTAGAATCGGAAGTAGACCGAAACAGGGATAAGTGCAAATTTTTGTATAGCCAAAAGTACGACATGAGTGATAAGTAACACCAACATTTGACTATCTGGATTTCAAGATGCAGGAGTCGGGGAATTGTAGAATGTCATTTCAGTCTCTCATGTAGGTATCCAAACCCCCCTCGTTTCATTCAGCTTGACACGCAAGTCACCCCACATAAGAAGATACCTCGATTGCATGTTCCGAGATTCGGTCTAGGGGATTTTCTCGCAGTCCAAACCAAAATGTTTGCTGCGACTGATCCCGGAGCATTATCTTGGAGCGGAAAAGCGGGTGCCAGAGATGTGAGGACCCGGGAAGAATCAAACATTTCAAATGGTGTTGAGTGGGTGGAGATATCCATAGAAATTTGGCATTATGTACATTCAGAGATCGAAGCATAATTCAAATTTTCCTTAATATTGATTCTGATTAGTATTATTATTATGCATAGGAGGTTCAAGTTGGGACTCACATACATGCAGTGGTTGATGATGTATCACTCAAGTGCTGGGACTTCGACGTTTCGGCCATGAATCCAAATACTGTAGAAGGATTTTACAAAGGAGGAAATCTTGGAAAGAATATAATCGTAAAATAATACATTGACTCATAATTTTCAATATTTATCTTGTCCCATATCCATCTATTGAGACCCAACCATAACCAAAAAGAATCCAGAATCCAGGGTATCACGGCGATAAGCACCAGACAACATGAAACCAAACCAACGCCGAGGGAAAACAAACCCCTCCACGCGCCATAATATAACAAAGGGAATAAACAAAATAAACAAGAAATGAAAAGGAGGAATATGTCAACTCCAATTCAATCCGTATAGGGTATGATTTTAGTACTGAGAACTTTCAATGTTCTTCAGACTAGCTCTTGTCTCTTTTGTATTTATTTAAGAGACAAGAGCAGTAGGAGCAGCAGCTGGAACTTGAACAACTGTGCCAACACGAGCAGAGTGACAACCACGTTCATGGCGCTTCATATTACTGCGCACAGAGAAGGCCTTTCCACATCCCGGGACGGTACAACGGAATGGCTTCTCGCCTGTGTGAGAGTGGGAGTGGATGCGCAAAGAGGAAGGACGAGAGAAAGCCTTGTGGCATGTGCGGCAGATATACCGATCATGGTTCTGCTGGTAAGGTGTAGCGGTGGAAGGCGGGAAGTAGTGGTGGTGTTGCCAAGCAGGAGTCACAGGCGAGATGAGAGAGGGAGAAGATTGAGAGGGTTGGTGGTGGTGATGCTGGTGTTGAGGGATTTGAACCTGAGGAGCAGGTGGTTGTGAATGTTGGCGCGACTGTTGTTGAGGCATGGGAGGTGCAGTAACTGTAGTAGCCGGCTGGAAGGTGGTTGTTGTTGGTGGGCGAGGGTAGTAGATATTTTGAGGAGCGTCAATGGGAGATGAGTAGGATGAGACGCTAGGAGCGGGGGAGGCGTATGGACCAGCGCGGGAGATTGGAGCCGCAGAGCTAGTGCTGGAGATGGAAGAGCGGTGCACATGGTGAGATGGCTTGTGGGTTAGCTCTGATGGAGAGCGCACACTGTGTCCGGATCCAGAGCCAGGGCGCATTGGAGGTGTTGGTGGAAGGTGGACTGAGTCGTAGCGGACATCACGATCCTGGCATGGGCTAAGGCGTTGACGCTCTGGATAGAATGTTAGTTATATAGTTCATGATATTGATGGTATATCATAGTAAGAACATACTAGCTGCATGTTGAGCTCCATCGGCACCCTCCAGCAAAGTAGAAATGGAAGGTAGCGAAAATTTGACCTGATCCTCGACCGGCGGGGAAGGAGGGGCTGAACGCTTGTAGGATTCGGTATATCGGGGAGCGGACAGGAGATTGGCCAGATCCATGATGGCGGTTTTTTTTGATGTGAAGAACTTGGGGAGAAGAACCGAAGTATGGGGGACACGAGGGTTTATAGAACTCGCGTGGATGATCTACGATGCCGGGAGCAAATTAACCAGGGTTTGGAGAATCGCCAAAGGTGAGACAGACTGTTCTAAAGCTTAATTTAATTTAATTAAATAAATTTTCTTTTTTTTTGGAGTTCTTATTATTCTCATATTTAAAAGGGTATATTTATTTAATAATTTTTTTTATTCGGAGATTAAGCAGTGGGGAAACATGACGATGCACGCGAGTAAAGAGAACCTTTGGAACCACTTTTTTCAAGTACCTAAGTACGGGGATATAGACCAATTAGGGAAGAAGGATGTGCCTTAGTGTCGGGAAGCATTACACTAGTCCCGATATGGGAGGCCGGAAAGTCCCCGTAAAAAATGGATTTTATTTTTTTATTTTTTTATTTTTTTTTTAAAATTACTATTTATCATTTATTATTATTTAATATCTATTTAATTCTATTTATTCCTTTATATCATATTATCATCCTCGGCTAGTGCAGATCCTGGCTTACCTGTCACATACGAATGTGAGCCCCATAAACGGCTGATCGTAACCTGATCCCGTCGATCGGGCTCGTATTAGTCGTATTCATCACCGACTTTCCGTAGACATAATATGATTCTATATCGGATAAATATTAGTTATAGAATAAATTATCTATGGATAACTAAAGTGTCCCATATATAATATTTGAAAATATCGAGTCCCAAGTACCAAGTAATTGAGGGAATATGCAAGAACAAGGGGCGGCCCCGGATTCCCGAATGTATGAAAAGGGAAGGTCATAACAGGAGACCCACATCACTCAACGCTAAACCCAAAGAACGCAAACCTCCGTTGGGGCCAGACTGACTGGACTTGGCTGACTGATTTAAACTGATTTGACTTGAATGACGGGGGTGGCGGCTCTAAGCGCTCGGGGCTCGCTTACATTAACCTTACGAATTCTCGTATATGAGAGTTTTCTGTGGGGATGAGAAGTTTATCAAAATAACAAAGAAATAGTCAAAGATAAAAATAAATCATTAGAACAGATCCTAATTTACTAAGAACTTAATAAGACAAGGTCGATCCCAGGGTCTCCTGAAGATCTTAGTACAAAGAGAGAGAGAATGAACAAAGAAAAAAGAAGAAAAACCGCTTAGTAAACGGACCTCCACTTTTCATCCACTAAAAGGGATCAAACGATCTGATCGGCGTTCTGGAACAGCCGGGGCCGTTGCCTACACTGGGAATTCAACGGTCTGTGCACGATTTCTGCAGCGAGTGGATGGTCCAGGACTGGATCCCACGTCCCGACCTCGTGGAAGCGAGGCTCCACTGCATTTTAGCCCATTACAAGGATCGCCTGCTCCGTGCGTGCCCGTTTTTTTTTCTTTTTCTTTTTCTTTTTCTTTTTCTTTTTCTTTTTCTTTTTCTTTTTCTTTTTCTTTTCTTTTCTTTTTTAATCGAAATGAGCAAAGCACCAGCCCCTCAAACCCAATGCAAGAATGGAATCGCGTGGTTTCATCAGCATTGCTGATTTCCTCATTCGGAGATCACCTGGTAACCTTGTTCGAACTTTGGATGTATGTAAATCCCTCCATCACTAGATGCAGGTGGTTATCATCCCTGTCGTTTAGTCAGTCTATTGTAAGCCTGCAGGTCCTCCTAGCGAGGACGAGGATCTAATCCGGAAGGATCCCGATACGCCCGATTTCTTCAATGCAGTAAACTAGTGGCACTATGTAACTCCATTGTATTCGGTACTCGGGAACTCGGAACAGGTAGACGGTACGGAAGTACGGCGTAGACAAAGAACGGAGAACGGGATAGAAAGAACGGAGTACGACTACGAACTGACTCGGATGGAGTCATGGAGTTAACGGATATACAAGACAAAATCAAGATCAAAATCGATAATCAGGAAATCAATCACTAAACTAAATCCAGCCTCCACCGATGCATGGGAAAAGAAAACCCACCCCTTTATCCACTAAAATTGTAACCGCATAGAAATCGTATCGCGTGGGCTTGAGCGTCATGATCCACGCCTGGGGGCGATCCTCCTGATCGGCCTTTCGAGAAAATTATTATATACGTCTCCACCATTTATAAACGGAGGTCCACGGTCGGCACTTCTATTCGGGATCGACTAGTCGGTTTTCGCATCCCGGCTTTAATATTCCACCCGGCTTGATTGGCGCACTCTGCGGCTCCGAAGAAGAGACTCAAGAGAGAAGGGGGCTGGGTCTTGACGCTCTTCATTTCCACATCTAAACCCAATTCCACTTTTGGGTATGCGATAGACCCAGTTTGGCCCCGGTGCAGTGGTACCTCACATGAAACCGGCACTGGCACCTTTGTTTTCGATGCCGATGTTTTGGTACTGAGAACTTTGTCGACAAGACATTCCTCTCTTGTTGAAGTCCAAGCCACGAGAAAGTTAATTTATGGTAGAATTTATGGTCCAAGTGGAATTTTGATGGATACTTGTGATTTAATTTCTAATGAGAATAGAAATTTATTTTTATGTACGTACATCTATAGTGGAAACTTGAATGGAATATTGGAACAGTGCAGCCTTGGAGGCACTCTTTACCAGGTTTCTGTATGAAATTTCTGATTTTGATTCTTGATTATCTGGTTCAAATGTTACTCTTCCGAGGGGAGCTTGACAAAAGGGACCTCGCCTAGATTTCTTACGTAGCATGTACGTAGATCCTTGGATCCCGCGTGGCTCGCTAAAAAATTTAGTATAATTCTTTATTCCTCTCTCGAGGGTAACACGATGAGACTGACACTAATACTCTTTAAGCCATTTGCCCGGGTCCGCGCGATGATCGATCGGGGATCATCCGGGGGCGTCCATGCGTGGCCCCATGGCCACGCGAGAATTGTCTTACCCCCTTTTTTCTTTTCCTTTTGGTTTCTGTTAATTATTGGAAATCATCACATGTTGATGTGGGGCCTATAATTCTCACCCCAATAATAGCTACCCTTTGCGTCTGATTCATGGATTTCTGCAAAACGGAGCACGCCGTAGCCACGCGGAGATTGACGAACGCATGGCACCTGCAGGATGCATTTCATCTGACCTGGAACTGCAAGATATAATTTCCTTTAGAATAAAAGCAATTATGTGACCGATTCCAAGCGAAGGTGGTCATGTTTCATTTCCCCCTTCACACCCCCGGAGATCAGAGATCTGCGTCGGAGCCGGGGGGGGGGATCCATTTCTAGAGTTGAGACTGATAACCATCTTGGGAAGGTGAGAAAGAGAGTTGGATCAGATGGGAGTAGCGGAGTAGAGTAGCTCTAAGGAATTAATCTCATTTTGGTAATAATCTGGATCATAGCGGAGCCTATCCGATCATAGTGATCTTCATGATTCATGTTACTAGGGTATGATTAAATTAGCGGTCGAGTCAAGTGTGTCTAATCAGTATGATCACTAAGGAAATGCATTCGAATCATTCGAATCACAGTACTTAGGTGGAGATCAAATGATTATTCCGTGGTCCAACAGCCGAGACCCCCATCTCACGTGGAAATGAGTAATAAGAATCCCTTCCACCTAGGGCAGGGCTTGACGTGTTCAACTGACGCGGATGCGGACCTGTCACTCTGCGTCTATCCTCCTTCCTCTTTCGGCTGATCGCCCCGGAGTGGATCTTCATCAACTGCTGGCCATAGCTCCATTCGGGTAGTCTCTCCGATACTAACGGTACTTCTTTTAATTCTCAGGATCCGGAGTAAATTTATGAAATTTATTAAATTAACTCAATTAATCCAGAATAATTCAACTATAAGGCGTTTCATCTAATTTTTTAGTTTTAATCTGATTATACACTATTACCTAGGTAGAAAACATCGGCATTTTCGGACATGCCGATATTCATAGTAAGATTGTGATTGTAGTGAGATTGTGACGCTGGCGCAGTAACCCAGCCTCAGGGTTTCCAAGGTTAACTTCACCGTACATTTGGGATCTCCACGTATTCGTATAGAGCCCCCCCTGAATACCGCCTTTAACCAGGTTTTTTTTTTTGCCGTACATCCGTCCCTATACGGAATACAGTCCTCACCGCGAACATCTAAACTTACTCAAAACCATATCTTAATTAAATTCAATGCAGCTCACAATTGATTTCTCATCCCAAGGTTTACGGAATCCATCCATGGATGTATGAAGTAAATTAATCTGGGATACACAGAATAAGCAAATCTTCCAACAGAAGATTGAAGGGCAATCAAAAAGCAAACCCCTTCCGTATCCGTATCCGTCTCATAGATGTACATGTACAGCCCTGGAGCACTTTTATGAGCGTTGCACAAAATCCACATAGCCAAGGACTCCACAATTCACAACCAAGTTCCATACGAATTAAAAAAAAAGTAATAACTTAACACCAAACACCAGAACGCACAAGCCCCTCGTATGCAACAGTAACAAGTCCCGTGTTAACACCCCTGACTGCGATCGACGGATGATCGCACCAAGATCTTACCTCGGGAAAACCGAGCGATGTGTCAGCCACGCTGAAACACGACCTGTTCGTCACAGTGATCGACCCTCGGCAGGTTGTTGACTGGGATCTTAGCGATGTACACTAATCCAAGTTAGGTATAAACCCCGTGTTGGGATCGGCCGACGCTTTGTTAAAGTGGAGAGACGTGGGACAGGGTTATTATTCATCGAGAGGACTACTCGCCGTTTAGGGGAGGTGATTTAAAGTGGAGATTGATTATGGGGGTGATGCGGATGCGATGTGATGATGCTTTGTGGATTTTCTTACTATTCTTGCTGGGGGCGTTGGAACTAATGATTTCCACGAAATCGTAGAACGGAGTATCTACTAAATTGATCTACGATTATCAAGATATGGAACCTCCGAACTGGAAATAGATTCAATAGTAATCTCGATGAAAACGTATAGTTCTCCATGCATCTACGGAGTTCATACGGAGTATAGATGCCTTTCTCTAACCGAACGGTATCCATTTCGGAGTACTAATATCATAGTCTGAGTAGATCCTGATCCTGATCCTCAAGTGCCGATAGGATTCAATATCCATGTCTTTACTTGAATAGTCTTCCTTTGGGTGTGATTTTTGGGTTTGAAATACGTATGTCAACTAAAATTCGAACTTTGATACTTGGAAATCCCAAGTTCTCCATCTAGGTATCTGTCAGTGCCAATGTCTATGCTTCAATTGCTGAATAAACTTCCACTCGCATACTCCGTATGACATTATATGCCTCAATTTCATCCATAATTTATGCTTCATCTGGAGGTATATTGCAGTGGATTCCAAAGTTTAGAGGCTACGCCTTGTCTTTGATTAATGTCCTGCCTAAACGGGTTCAATCCGACCTCTTAAAAAAATGACCCCCAAAAAATCATTCGTCATTTAGTAAGCATTACTATATCTCGCAATGACAACGGAGGGGGGCTATTCTCTTTGTGATGACTTGCCTTTCCACGCGGATAGTACCTAGATAGGCGTAGTCTACGACAGGGATACATCCAGTAATCTGGGTCGGCGTCCTCCGTCCAAAGATCCTTTTAGGGATTCGCTCTAGCCCCTCCAAGTTCTAATATCCGTACCCTCTGACCTCCTTGTACTTTCCCCCCCTACTTCCAAGGTTTCTTTTGAAGTTCTAGCCTAGCCCGGCGATCGTTTCAGACCCTGATGCGGGTAATGATCTGGTGATGAGGTGTGGAAGACGTGGCACCGGTGCCCGGCCTGACGGTTCACCACACTAATGGTAGATCCTGCGCTATGATCGACTATAATTGTCCCCAATCCTGAAGCTTACCGGCAATGATTTTTTCCACTGTGCAAGGATTCATGCAACTTTTCTATCAGTTGACTGGATTATTGTCGCAAAGAAAGTTTCTAGACTTTTGCCCCAGGATTCACACTGCGTTCTTGTTGGCTATGGGGGTTTGGAGATATGGGGAACATTGAGTCTCATGCGGAGATTTGGAGATGTACATTATTAGGCTTTGTTCTTGAGCTCATGGTGTCGCATTCATGATTCATGATTGCAAGTTGATCATCCCACGGTTGCATTGCTATTTTTCTTTGATTCAAGTTCTTCCTTGTTCTCATCCTTGACCTAACCCTTGACCCCTCATGCTTGCGCAGAGTAGATCATTTAATCAGGAAAGTGAGGATGCGAGAAAAAAGAAAACAAAATTATATTAAATTAAATGAATTCGTGTCTTTGAAACTCCAATGAGCCACTACAGAGGATGTGATTGCCGCCGGCAACGTAGCCCCCGCGCAGGACTTTTTTCCTTGATTTACTTGGACGGAACATTTGGATCTATTTTCTAATATGCAGATTCGGTCCAAGGACCAATGCAATGCGTAGTAAGACCTGAGGGCTAATATGTATCATGCATAGTAGAAGAGCAAGGCAAAAGCAAAATACATAAAAAGTACATGCGAAATTCGGATCCGAGTCCCTAAAAATGAGCAGCTTGAGGTCTACGTAATTAAATGCATATCGTATATTCAATAGTCTATACATAGTAAGATTTACAATGTATTCCCTCAAATCCTCAATCCTCCCCTCTTTTTACAGTTGAATTAACCAAAATTGAAAGTTTACTGTACAGTGGACACGAACAAACATCTGTGGATCCAAGCGAACCCGAACCCGAGTGACTAGAACTTTGAATGTCAATTCAGGGGGAATGCGAACATGAACAGCGTGACATAGCATTCTCAGCCGTCCAGATCTGAATATCCAGCGCAACGTGACTGACATGTGGAGGTCATGATTCAAAATTCTGACTATGTTGTACAAGTTCGCCCCCATCGTGTATCGTGCGACACTGGATCGGAAACACGGCCCAGGTTTTGATATTCCTACTAGACTACATAATATACGGGGCTCTATTTCGCTTCCAGTGAGGTATATCTCCGAGAGCCTCGGCCACGTTTTATTGGGGCCATTAGGGATGAGGTTATGGAGACATTGTGTGGTCCCGGAACTAGACTTTCTTGGGTGCGAAATGCGATGTGTCGATTTTGGTGAACTAATCTGATTTGGACTAATTTAAGATGATCGCCCGGGCGCTGGAGTTTATTCGTGGGGTTGAATGAGCGTTTAGACTCGAGTGCAAGTTTGATTATTTGAAACTTGAATATCATGATGATTAAACATCAATGGGATTTCCATCTGGCAAGGATTATCATAACTATATTTTCTATATTCCACACATTGGACTAAAACCAAAGTTTATACGGAGAAATTCGGAGTACAAGTAGGAATTCCCTCGAACAAGGTTTACGGATACTATTTCTACCACTGAAATACATTCCAGTGCCACATATTAGTCTTTTCTTCCTTTCCTGCGTATGTTTCTTGGCTCAAGTGCTATGTTAGGTTTATTGGATAGTGTATCTCATGGGTATCCCAACCGATATCCGTAGGTCCGTGCGTGACCTTGTTGCGTCTTGACTCTTGACTCTTCTGGGTCCGGATCATCTTGGGGGCGAATTTGGTGATTTTCAAGTTGGGAGGCAATCTCAAGCGCCCGCATCCACTATGTATCACCTGGTAAGGTCATACTTGGAGCCGAAGGGGGGGCGCATAAGCACGATGCATCACCCTTTGAACACCGGTCGATTGGGAGGGATTCTTCCAAGGCCCCGGGCTCCCGGACAACAATCAAGCCACCCTTGGGGTGGCTTTGAGGGCGGTTCCGAGAATCTTACAGGCTAGACTTCAGGCGTTCCTAGTTTACAGTAGTCTGATCGGGCTGCGGGTGATGGCTGGGATCCTAAATGGTGGGATGAAAACGGCGCCATAGATTATAGTCCACGCGTCAGGCTTGCGATCTGACAAGGATTATCCGTGGGCTGATTTTGAAGGAATAAGTAGATTTGAGTACTACTAGTTGTTAGGCAGTATCTCTCTCTCCTTTCTATGAACAGTAGTATTTGGGGGTCGTAGTTGTATGGATGCGTCATATTTAGTGGGGAGAATGGCAAATAACATTCAATGTCCCATACTAAAGTGTTCGGTAACTTGAAGAAGACCAGCGGTGAAGGTAAAAGAAAGTATGTACTGCAAAGTTGACTTTCTGTGGGAACTAAGTCAAAGCGGGATTAGAAAATAAAATCCAGGCCAAAAAAACTAGGCCTCCGGTCGCAATTCATCTAGTCCCATGCGTGGATTTGAATGCAACGTGTAGGTGCATCCTGAATGTTTGGTCAAATGGTCGTACCCAAAAAAAGAACATGCAGATTATTCGTGGTAGCAGAGTTGTTCTTCCCTGACTGGTGGATCATCCATGTGCTTTCTCTGCGGCATCGTGGAATAGCAAACCAATCATTCCCCCAACCTCTCCACCAGCGCAGATGAGGCGCAGTGTCGATCAGCCTTGTACGCACGTATATGCACCTGGTGGAAAGGGAAAAAATGATGGTGCATAGCGGAGACTTGAGCCATCCAGTTGTGGAAAATCATGTACGGAGACACGCCGATGAGGGGGTTGAACCAGTCAGAGGGAGAAGCCCAAAGGTCCCAACCACGGAATTAGAGTTGACTGAAGCGAGGGGTTGTCTAAACGTCGTTCATCCATTGGCAAGAAAGCTCCGAGAATGGAGCCTGTGATCTGCGGCGGAAACGCCCGGTGGTCGATCTGCATGACAAGGAGCCGTAAATGCAATGCTTTTGCACGAGGATCGACTCTGCACCCATTGGTTACTTTTTGCCTCCTCTAACCGAAATTACAAGCGCAAGAGGTGTGATGGTCTGATCATGACTATTTCTGTTCACCTTTCTCATTCGAGCATGGATGCAAATCCTTTGATCCTCCCCCTCCCCCTCCCTCCTTCTGCAGAAGTATCTAGCCCAAACCCACTGTCGGCATTGACCTGCAACAACTTTTCAGCCTGATCGACGGCAAATCGTCCGCTAACTATTGTAGGGAGAATGCCTGACCTGATGCAGCTTTGTCGCACATACACACAGGATCTTGATCCACTTCATTCCTTAGGTCATCCCGCACTCCGTGTCTTGTTTGTGGCTCTTCATTTCCGGTCGTATCAGTCCTACAACCGAAGAAAATGAGGGGGCCGGGAGGAGAGAGAAATGAAAAGCGGGCACAGACACGGAGTGGCCGATCATGCATGGAGTCAAGGAATAAGAAAAACACTCCGAAGCAAGGTGGGTACGAGGTTCTCCACGGCGCCAATACCCATTCAGGCAGGTCCTGAAATCTTGAAATTGTTGTTCATTAGGATGGTGCTATGTGCAAAGCTGATATTAAATGAAAATGCTATCAAATGATGTAGGAAAAGTGGAAATAGAATGATCGTGGTTGCGCCACCCGCTCCAACGAGATCCATGATAGATAATCTGAAAAGAATGAGTAAAAGCCAAGCAAAGGACGAAACATTTGAGGTATCTCCAGTCATTATGCCGTATGGGTATTTTGATAAAGAAAAAAAAACACGTATGAAATGATGAATGCATCCAGTAAACCAGCCACTCGTTAAGCAGTAATATCAACTTGACTCCTCTGCTGGCTCCCCATAGCCGCAGCTTTGGCCTGGCGCGCTCTTGTAATTTTCTTCATCGTGCGGATTGCCATGGACATGTTAAGCTTGTTAGCGTCCTCAGGGACATGCTCACCACTCCAAATGCAGAGGACTCTCATGCCAGGCTTATAAGTGAGTCCAGTGAGGAGTTTCGGTGTGATCAGGAAGTACTGGCCGCCTCCACCACCGCCGACAGAGTTTCCTTCCTCGTCGGTGCCTTCTTCTGATGCGCAAGCAATGTCTACCAAACGACCATGAACCATTCTTTCGTTTCTTGGATCCATTCCCTGATTGATCTCGTCCACAACGCGGAATGGTGACGCCGAGAGAGATTGGAGCGCCATGAGGTAGAAGATGGTGCTCACGGCTCGCTCGCCACCAGATTGCCGATGAGAGTTTAGGACGGACAGTTCCTCAATTTCACGGAACTTGACGTGAATCAGGATTGACCATTCCTGGAATTCGCTGCCACCGGGCTCACCATTTGGCCCAGCTTCGGCTTCGACTTTGTCTAGGCTCACCTGTCCTGCGCATCCAATCCGCCTGAAGGAGTCTGAAAAGGCCTCGCTGATCTTGACGATGAGGGCGTCTAACCTGGGTTCCCAACGTTGACGAACTTCGTTGATAGCTGCCTGGCAACCGTCCAATTGCTCTTGGAAACTGGTGAGCTTCTCGCGCAATCTTTCGATTTTCCGCTCCCGCTCTTCAAACTCTTGGATCATGTTTGCACTGCCACCCTGAGTCAGTTCCAAATGTGCCTTTGCCGAGTCAATGTCGGCATTTAGGTCGTCACTGTTGTAATCCGGCCGAGTGACTTCTGCCCAGATCTCCGCGCATTCAGGTCTGGTCTGGACATCGTCCCTGATGCGATTTCCCGCCGATCGAATCAATTTGCCCTTGGTTCGTGCTTCTTGATATTCTTTTTGAGCCTGCTGCATCTGGAGGGACTTCTCCTGCAGCAGCTTTCCATGCTCGCTATTTCGGGATCTGAGGGTTTGCAAGTCCGACATTGCTTCAAGATACCTCACTGAATGTTTGATCAGCTCCTCATGGGCCTCACGGAACTTCTCGACCGCATCCTGTATACAGTTAGAACCATCAAAGTCGGCCAGTGAAATTGAATGTTAACTTACGGCATAGGCTACGACGGCCTCTGCTTTCCTCAGTGCTACTTCATCTTGTCGAGCACGGATTTCCGTGACACGCTCCCGTATTTCCTCGAAAAGCTTCATCTGGCTTTTCAACTTAGTCTCTTGTTGAGCTGCAGGTTGATTTAGTCTTTGATACCCAAAAAGCCTTGAAAAGTGAAAAATTAACCTACCCAGTTTCGCAGGAATGCCACGATAATTTGTGAAAGCGGATTGTTTCTGGGCTTTTTCATCATCATTCTCTTTCTATCATGGCAGTTAGCATATAGACCATTAAGTGGTGAAACGCATAATATAAGTACCATTTCGCGCTTTGCCCGCTCGTTTTGAGCTCGGAGGCCTTCGAGTTCAGATCGCTGTCCATTCATCTCCGCCTCAATCGCTTCTCTCCTCACTTCCAGATCGCGGATCGTAGCCCGGTGGCCATCCTTCACGGATGCATCTAAAGGCCTCGACGTCCAAACTTGAGCAGCCCTAATATTTCGCGTACGAGTTGAGGTAGCCCAGTCACCCAGATCAGGTCGTCGTGCAACACTGTAGTTTTTTGTGCCAGAGATCCACGAGCTGAGGTCTTTGTTCCCTTCTAGCTCATTAAATGCTTCGTCTGATATGTCGCGTAGACCGATGGGTGTCCTGTGGAAAGCGTACTCGTTGCAAAGCATGGCGATCACAGTGTCAGGCCCTTGAATGAGGTCTTTGGCCCACTTATCAAGCCCAAGCCTCCGAATGTTGTCATTTGACAGTGGGGGTGCGACCGTTAGAATATTGGTCGACGAGCATGTCTTGATGCTGATGTCCGAAAGTTTCAGGTCACGATCCAAGATTCTTTGGAGGGTTCGAAAGTCATTTCTGCTTTGCGTAGTGAATGCCGTAAGATCGGTGCGATTCAGCAAACTTTCAATGGCTGGCGCATACTGGGAATCAACGACAGAGCAAGTGACAATCGGCGGACCAAAAACTTCCTTCTCGAACTTGTCCTGGTTGTCTCGGAGCCATCGATACGCTTTCAATGAGTCTGACGAGAGGTTTGACAGTTTATTCTCCCGTTGACCAATTTGCGAGTCGAGATTTTTCAACTGCTCTTCTTCTTCCCTGATACGCTTCGTCACGTCTTGGAAGTCACTGGCCAGGATGCGCTTGCCGGAATTTATTGCTTCGGCTTTCGTCTCAAGCTCTCGCACCTGGAGCCTAAGTTCTTTCTGTTGGAGAAGTTAGCTTCGCTCGCCTGGCCCGGATTTGATGTAAACCTACCGATTTTTCGTTGTACTGATCGGGGTCAAATTCCACGACCTCTTCCTCTTGCTGACGTTTAAGCTTGTTAATTGTCTGTTTCACCTGGGTAGCATCTGTTCTGGTCTTGGTAAGGGACTTCTTTTCAGCCTCAACCTGATTTTCGAGGTCTTTGAATGACTGATCCAAGTTCTCAATCTTGTTGCCGCATGTTTGTGCAATATTAGAGAACCGTTCTACCTGCTGCTTCTGCAGGTCTTTGGCATGATTTATTCGATCCGCATATGCTTCCTTTGCATGCACAGCCGCAAGAGCAGGTTCGAGATCTTTTTTTAATTGATCGTACTCCTGCTCGTTACGTCTTGTTCTCTCTTTGATCTCAAGAAAACGCCGTTGATAGTCCACCCACTCGACCCAGGGTCGAACAAGCTCCAGATTCTCGATTTTCTTTTGAATGTCGGCCCTCTGTCGCATTCTCTCAACGTCGGCTCTTTGCATCTCTTGCCGATCTTCCAAGTTGTTGAGCATCTCTTTCTCGCCACGATTGTTTAGCTCGATCTCTTTTTGTTTCTGGCGGAGAGTGTTCAGATTATCATGAAGGGAGAGCATTTCTTCTCCGCCTGCGGCTCTTTCAGTAGAACGTAGGAGATCGACGGGCTTGAGTGCAGCAAACTCCGCAACTTTGTCTTGCGGCAGAAATTGGCAGAGATTGTCAACTTGGATCGCATACTCTTCTGCAAGCTTCGCTACTGCATCTTTCGTAACCCGATGGCCGTTCAACGTGAAGGAGCTCTTGTTTCCATCACGTTGTATCGTCCGGGTGATGACTGGGTTCGGGGAGCCGCGGTGTCCTTGCAGCTCGATCTCGATTTTCGCTTCCTGGTGTTCATGCTTGACGAATTCGCCGATATCTTTAGCGCGTCCAAGGTGCTACAAGGTGAATAGTTCATTGTTAGTGGATATTTGGGCCGATTGAAAAACCCCGCAATTGATTCGTGTTCAATATCATACCTGAGGTCCCCATCCAAGTCCGAGACAGATAGCGCAAACTAAAGTACTCTTGCCGGTTCCGTTGGGGCCGATCACCATGTTCAACTTTGGACCAGGGAAAAACTCCGCTGACTTGTAAGTCACAAAGTTGGTCATTTTGATACGAACAATTGCGCCAGGCTTGTAGCTTTCGGCATTTTGAAGTGACCTCGATCCTTCCTTCTTAGGTCGTTGTCTCTGCTCAGCCTCCACATCTTCGGATTCATCCTCGCTTGGTAAATTTCGAGTTTGGCGTTGATTAAAAGATCTTTGCGCAGAGGCCGGGTCGGCATTAGTTTCATCAGACTCATCACTTGCTTCCTCCTCATCTCCTGATGTTTCACCCGGCGATTCTACATCCTCGTTGGTGGGGGTTAAACGAGGGCGTTTCCTATTCGATCGCGGGGACTGTACGGGAGATTCAGACTCATTGGCATGTAAATAGTCAGTTCGGTTTCGACGCTGAGGTATGGAGCTGCTGGATAACATCCTGCTCGTTCGTAGTCTGATGTTGACCCATCGAACTAGATTTAGATGTCTTGAGTGGGAAAATGCGAAGATGGAACGCGACGCGTCTTCGATAAATCCAATAGTGGGTCCTGTTAAGGTAGGCGGTCAGGGAAACCCCGGACATTTCTTGGTCAACTTGTAATTACTTAGACATCAACCACGTCTTCAAGATGCCCTCACCTCAAAATGTGCGCCGGTTGGTGCTAACTGCTGCTGTGACCTCAATCACAATAGCAGGCAGCTTGTACGGAGCGGGAATAAAGACCCAGGAGGAGATTTCGGAGGTAAGGATTGTCTAAACCTTCTCTCAAGATACAAGCCCGTGTGGATCACAGACTCTATTCTGGCCAGTGTCTAATTGTCGTTATTGCGTACTAGAATACCAAAAAGCGTCAGGAAGCAACATTTGATGAGCAAATGGGCGCTCTTCAAGGCATGCGCTCAAACTTGATGGCCCGAAAAGGAATATTACAAACCCAAATTCAAGAGCTGGATACGAGGATTCAAGAAAGGAAAGAAAAAAGTGCGGCCTCTAGTGACAAAGAGAGACCACAAGATGGTCGGTAAACCCGTTGATTGTACCTCGATTGAGATATCCGCCTCCCGTCAGTTCAAGACAAAGCCAGTTTGCCAACTGTCAATGGCTTTCGAGACTAGTTGAAGCAATGTCCGCTTTGTTCGAATTACCTCCTCTGCCACCATATCCTGCGAACCACATTTTTCATCGCTAGCATCCAACCTCGCGGTCAAAATCCGGATTCGACGACGTTTTGTCACCGAGCACCAGCAGCATGTGCTCCCTAATTGCAACACATAGACGCTACCCCGGCGCATACATTCCGGCTTTTCACTTTCATGGCGTCAAATTGATTACGAAACTGAGCGCATATTTGGAGTTAAGAACACTATTTGGGCATTATTCATGAGGAGTCGCCAAAACTTGATACCAACACTTCATACTGTACAAAAGCGCACTTGAGAGAGGACCCCAGTCTTCCGGGAGCAATATCCATAATCGGACTGATGTGTATTTCTAGAATTTCGTCATTCCACTATGTACAAATGATATGTATATATGACTAGTTTGTCCAATTTCTCTCACATGCAAAAATTCTTGTAAATGTCGTGAGATCGTCTAGTAGAGACAACCTAGCCATGGATCCGCCATGTTGCCAATTGGCTAGAAAAACGTCTCTAACTTGGAGGCTTATTAAGCCTCGTAGTTTAGGACTTCCAGCAGATTCTCGAGCTTTTCCATGAGAATCTCATAATTCATTGCATCTTCATCGAATTCATCTTCCACGATAGCGCCGTCCAAAGTACGGATCTCGCGGAGAGATCCAGGCACCTGCTGCTTTTCGTGTGCGTCTGGAACTATTCCGTTGAGTTGAGCAGTTTCAGCTACAGCGAGTGCTTTGACACCCTCTGCGATTTGAGAAATATCTTCCGGTTGCTCGGCTGGATCGCTCTCTGCAGGCTTCTCCTGTTCATTTATCATTTCGTCAATACCGGCATCGTCAAATCTCAATCGGAAACGTTCATTCAAATAAAACCGAATATCATCAATCAGTTCAATAGAGTCAACCTCTTGACGCTCCTTGATACGTGATGCTGACTCTCGAATGAGTTCCGCAAATTCGGGCGTATCGATATGGGCTTCCAATCGATACGCCAGGAATCTACCAGCGAATTCCTCAAGACGTTGGACACGAGTCAACCATGCAGCACGCATGATTGCATAAATGTCAATATCATCTTCATCTTTGCCTCGAGTCTTCGCTGCCTCGGCTTGAGACATGCCGGAACTACCCAGTGTGCTGATTACGACGGCGGCTTTGGTCTTTAATTTTTCAATTAAGAGCATGTCGGCGGCAAAGAGAACGTCCACTGCAACCTCCAAAGAGAAGTCTGCACGCTCGGTGTACAGAAAGGTGAGAACGATTTCCAGTACATCTGGAGAGCAGTCAATGTCAATAACATGCAGGTGTTCTGAGCTTTGCGCTTCAAGGAAACCAGAGGAGAACATGGTTTGGAAAAACTCAGAGCGGAGCAGCATGGCCCGGTGGCATGGGAATATCGTTGATTTCGGGCATTCGCCCTGCTCAACTTCTTCAGGAAGTTCATCAGACTGAAGAAGAACATCTGCAAAAATTGCATTGCTGTGATCCCACTTCACTTCACTGACCTGTGAGGTCGGAAGAATGATTTTGTTGGCAAGAATATTGGCACGGTACCATTTTTCGAGTTGGTCTCGACCCTTCGCCAGCTCCGTAGTTCGCCGCTGTCTAGCCAGTCTCCTGTCCCCACTGTCCATAATACTATCCATCAGACTTTGAATTTCGAGGTCTTTGGAGATTCTGTCAATCGCCGCAAATACTTCTGACTCAGTGAACCCAGTACCAGGCCCACTTCGAAGCTCTCGAGGAGGTTCTCCAAAATAGAGATATCGAATTGCAGCGATAAATGCTGCTGGGGCAATGTTACTAGGGAGTTTCCATGCTGTGGATTCTGGGGATGTTGCGAGTTTCCTGTGGAAATAGGGAGAGCGAGCTGCCAAGATGAATTTATGCAGGTGAACTGACTCGTCAGAGGAAGTCACGACAATATCTGTAGTGACTGGGATCTCTCGAGTCAAAAGGGAGGCTATATGGCTTGCGAGTGGTTGCAGCGGGTCGGTCGACTTGGAATAATCATAGTCAAGCAAGAGGTTTCGTATCCGGTCATTCAATGCATTATATAGACATCTTTCTCATTGTACATTCATTAGCTAACTGATGCGTTTATTAGGGTTGAGGTAAGAGAGTACCTTTCTCCTTGGAAAGTATCTCTTTCACACAATGCACCTGATTCCAGCAAAAGCTGGGCTACTTCATAGTGCCCACAAAGACTGGCCTAGTCCCAGGAAGATATTGGTTACTGTACGTTCCCATAGGCACAGACTATACAACTTGAATTCGTATAGTATTCCCAGAACTCACCAGGATCAATGGTGTATAATCATATGAATCACGGGCATTGACATTGACACCCTCCGTAATCTTTTCCTGGCACACCTTCAAATCGCCCTGTCGACAAGCGCTGCATAATTCCCGAAAAGGCTCACTTAGGTCCAATGGGTTATCATCTTTGATAGTACCTTCTTGGATGAGCTTCTTTTCTTTGTACAGACTGACCTCAAGCTGGTCCTTTCTCAGCACAGTCGGCTCCGAATCAGCCATTTTTCTAGGCCACAAGTTCTAGCTTGCCACTTAAGAGCGGGAGAGAAAGAGAGAATGCGGGACTGTAACTCCGGCTTATCAAAATCTTATCGATAACGTCACGTGTGGACCATTGAAGGCGGGCCGATGATGCCATTGGGAAGTATTTCATGTTCAGTGATATGTAGAATTTTGTGGTTAATAGAAATGACCTCGAATGTTTGCTTAAACATATGGTTCAGTCTAAACACTTTCTCTTCAATCACAATTTTTTCGAAAAGGTCACAATTCTGTCGTCTCATCCCTACTTACAGTGTTTGCTTCGTGGACCGCCTTCCCCACTAGGACAAGCGCATCATAGTTCAGTTGTTGCTGGGCAACGGTGATCACCCAAACACCCAAGGATCTCCAGAGCTTTAAACCCCATATTGCCAGACACCTTTTTCCTCCACCTACGTGCTCGACCAATTTTTACTAACAAGACAGGGACATCTGCATTACTTTTTTCCATGCACAGCCTTTAGTTCTTTTGACTCTGGTTACCTGTTTACTCTGTCTTACTCATTGTTTTGGTCACATTGTCTTGCAATCCACAGCCATGGCGATTGCTTTGGCAGAAGCGGACAAGTATGAAATCTTGGAGAAGATTGGTGAGTTCATTCATACCCATTGCAACCTGCTATAATCATGGCATGCCATGGCCTCATACTAATTGATATTTCTTAGGGTGCGGTTCATTCGGCATCATCCGCAAGGTTAAGCGAAAGTCAGATGGATTCGTAAGTGGACGCAGTTTTGTCGCATCAGGACACAATGGAATCCTCCTAACATGCCCTAGATCCTGTGCCGAAAAGAGATCAATTACATCAAAATGTCTCAAAAGGAACGCGAACAGCTCACCGCCGAATTCAACATCCTCAGTTCCCTTCGACACCCGAACATCGTTGCCTACTACCACCGTGAACACCTGAAGGCGAGCCAGGATCTCTACTTGTACATGGAATACTGCGGTGGTGGTGACTTGAGCATGGTCATCAAGAACCTCAAAAAGGCAAACAAGTTTGCTGAGGAGGAATTCGTTTGGCGGATTTTGTCGCAATTGATCACTGCTCTGTTCCGCTGCCACTATGGCTCCGACCCTGCGGAAGTTGGATCGAATATTCTTGGCGCACCTCCCAAGCCATCTGGGTTGAAGGGTAAACAGGGACAGGTTACCATCTTGCACCGTGATCTCAAGCCTGAGAATATTTTCTTGGGTACTGATAACACTGTCAAGCTTGGTGATTTTGGCCTCTCTAAGCAAATGCAGTCGCACGACTTCGCATCCACCTATGTCGGAACCCCCTTCTACATGTCACCCGAAATCTGTGCTGCCGAGAAGTACACTCTTCGCTCTGATATCTGGGCTGTTGGATGCATCATGTATGAGCTTTGTGCAAAGGAGCCTCCCTTCAACGCCCGCACACACATCCAATTGGTCCAGAAAATCCGCGAAGGGAAGTTTGCTCCTCTGCCAGACTTCTATTCCCCAGAACTGAAGAATGTCATCGGAAGCTGTCTGCGGGTCAACCCCGATCATCGCCCGGACACTGCTGCGCTCATCAATCTCCCCATCATTCGCCTCATGCGAAAGGAGAAGGAAGTTGTTGACCTTGGCCGTACCTTGCGCCGTCGAGAGGAGGTGGCAGTTCAGAAGGTCCGAGAAATGGAGCAGAATCTGGCCAAAATTGAAAAGGAGAAGCAACAAGTGAAGGCTGAGATCGAAAGCACTGTTCGACGAGAATGGGAAGTCAAGGCTCGTCTGGAGATTGACAGACAGGTTCAAGCCGAACTCGACAGATTGCGAAAGCGATTTGAGACTGAAGTCCAGGAACGGGTTGCGTTGGAATTGCAGAAGGAGAAGAGCAAGAGGAACACCAACCCTAATGATGTCTTCCGGAACAGCATGCAGGCCTTGAGCTCATCTCAGTCCCACTCATCTCGTCACACCAGTCGTACCACTCACAATTCTGGCGTTTCTTCGGATGATAGCGATAGTTCTGCCAATACTGTTGTCAGTCAGGTCATGCCTGAGTCTCCAACCTCCAATGGCCGTAAGAAGCCAAAGCGCGAGGCTCGTACTCCCTTTTGTCGCTCTAAAACTACTGTGGTGGATTCCCCCATGGATGTTCAAATGGCTGAGCCTTCTCCCATCTCAATTGCTTCACTTTCGCTTTCTCCTCGACGTACATCTGCCACCGCCAGCTCTGGTCGCAACATCTTTGCTGAGGCTGAGCGTAATAAGGCCAAGTGGGAACCCACACTCGCACACTCCGATGATGAGGACGATACCCCCGATTTGCCATCACCAACCCGCCCAAAGGTGAAGCCGGACCCATTCAAGGCGCCTTCCCGACCTCTTTTACGACAGAACACCGCAACCCTAATGCAGAAGCTCAGCACACAGCCTCCGCTTTTCCCGTCCAATAGCTCTCGCCTTCCTCAAATGTCTGTTGGCCCCTCGTCATCCCAGTCGGAGACCCGCAACATGGGTGACAGCCGCTCCAAGTCCCCCCCACCGTCGTCTCTCTAAGATTCCTTCATCTGCCAACCTGGCCGCTGATGCTGGCTCTGGCTCGCCTACTCGCAAGAATAGCTGCAAGCAAAGCCCCACCAAGGGCAACGGTGGAGGTGAAGAGATGTTCAAGGCTGTAATGCAGCGCAACATGGGCGGTCGTACCCTTGTGGAACTCGCTCAGGCTCGGGCTGGTGGTCGTCCCATGGATGAAGTCAAGCGATGTGCTAGTGACTCCCGCGCTACTGCTCCTATGTCTCTCAAGGTTTCTGAGCGTGATCCCCCTGCTATCTGGGACCCTGAGCGTGATGAGATGCCCAGTCCATTCTTGGCTCGCGGAAAGAAGATTATCCGCAACTTGCGATAAATCTGCCCACGTTTCTTCTCACCGTTCATTCACCTTTTCCTTTCGTTTTCACCAATTTTCCTTTTTCTCTAAACCATACTGGAGCGGTTTTCTCCCTGGTGTCATGGCGTTGCGATCATGGAATTTGCTTAACTTTTTTCTAGCTTTGAAAGACCATTATGCTCTCTGATTCTTCGACTCATGTCCATCGTTGAACATTGTGTCTTCATTTCTTGCGCATACCTCTTTGTTTTTCAGGCGTTTTTAACATGGGTTGGCCTTTTTTATGGATGCTCATCATCCATGCATTCGGAGTTTGATCTGTATTGTGTTTTCGGGCCTCCCAACCCCTTTTCTACATGGGCTTCATGCTCTACGCCCTTTCTGACTCGACTGATTTTGTTTCCTTTGTTACGTTTGTGATGCCCCATTTTCTAATGTTTCCCCGTGGTGAGGAGTTTCTTGTACATTTATTTTGGAGCATCGGTCGTACAATGGTGACTCGAGTCCCTTTTTTCAAGTTTGACTTTAAAATTTCCTTGCTGCATTTATACGTACCTCCATTGATCATAATCCAGAGATCTAATATTGCATCAAGCTATTTATCGGCTAGATAATAATCTTCATCGTCCGAGTCTTGCGATTTTCAGCGTTGTTTGTTAGCACAACATGAGCAGTTGACACTACCATTGACCAATCGATCCATCTCAGCTTGAAGTCCAGATGGAGATATTGATATACCTGCGACAGAATGGGATTTTTAGATGTCCAATTTAAGCTCTTTTAATGGTCATTCATATAGTACATAATGTGCACTTTGAGGTGCATGCAAATCTTGAGAATCATGTCTATGCGTCTTCATCCTCGACCTCCTCAATCTGAACAGTCTTTAGTTCACGATTGAACCTTCTTTCTTCCTCCTCCAATAAGTCCAGCTCACTAGCTGTATTCGCAAGTTGCTGTGTTCCAGCTGTATACCCAGCTTTCTCGAGTCTGTCCATCTCTTCAGGCTCAAGCAATTTCCCTGTGCCCTTAATAGAGTCCTGCTTCATCCGGACCGCAGCAGGAATGAACTTATTAACAGCTTCCTTCCGCAGATCGCGAATCTCAGCTTGAGACTCGTAGACCTTTTTAGCCTCGACAGCAGGCGGCCTAGACGGGAGGGCATGTGGTCCACGCCGTTCCGACTCCTCTCCGCCTCGTTTCCGTGGCTGCCGTGGAATCGGCGGCGGTGTATCCCGAGGCATGGGTATCCGACGGACATCCTCATCTGTGTCACTGCTGTCACTGTCTGCGGGTGGAGCAAATTCATCACGCCTCCGCTTCCCAAGCACTGCATCTCCTCCATCATGTCCATCTCCTCCATCATGTCCGTAATCTCCTCCCCGCCCACTGTGAAATTTGGGTGCCTTATCGCCGAGAGCTTCGCGCGCCTTCAAGACTGCACGATGATCCTTTTCCAAAGCTTCAAGGACCTCTTTATCCCGTGGTCGTAATTTGCCACCTGACTCCTCGACTGATTTCAGGTCGTTGATTTGTCGCTGGATGCGCTCTGGGTTGCGTCGGGCTAGCTTTTCATTGCGTCGCACTAATGCCTCAGCCTTTCCTTTCTTCAAACTCTTCTGCTTCTCCTGTTTCCGGTGTGCCGCTGCCGGATTGATGGAACGCTCCTTGTCCTTGGCCATATTGAAATTCCCTTATCACCACTGCAGTATTGATTGGATATTCGGTGTGTATGGTACTGTATCGCCGGGGAAACCCTGAAAGCGATCGTTTCAAAAAGAAAACTAGACCAAGAAAAAATGATTCAACGCAAAGTTCAAGCCGGGATTGACTTTAGTGCTGTGTGAACAACACCAATCACACGTGGAAAGCGTCGTCAGCTGGAGCGTAGAGCCTCACGTCCCCGCGGGTACAGCTTTCCGGTAAGGAGAGTTTTCTGACACGGGTTGGGTTTCGCAACCACCTAGCGAGCAGAAATGGACCCCGCAAATGCAAATGGCTGCACGGCGGTGACCAAAGCGTCAGATTACTAGTTCCGCGAGCTCGTCACCGTCGCGTTGAACCAGGTCGGGCTGTCGGGTCGAGACCGTGGTGCAGGGCGCACTAAGGATCGGAGCAATGAGCGAGCGATACTCAACCGGGGCTATGTACGCTGTGCGTCTTGCGTGGGGTCGATGGCGCGCGCGCGTCTGTGAGTCGACTGCAAGCCTCTTTGGTCGTAGGCCCGTAGTGTCTGTGCCAATGCAGTGGTGAGATCACCGACTCTTTGTTCCGCGGGTTGGGTGATTGGGAGCGAGTATGATTCAGCCTCACAGTTTAGGCAGCGTAGGAATAAGGAATTTGATTGGATTTTTGGGGGAGGATCGGGTTGGGATAAGGCGCGAAGAAGGTGTTGGGTGAAAAAGCGGTTTTGGGTCAAGGCGGAGTAGGCGGAGGAGCTTTCCATGGTTCGGAATGGAGTACGGGAGTAGATGTCGACGACATACTATGTTAGTAGTAGTATCATACTAGTATGTACTTGACAATCATTTATGCTAAGTATTTGTGAAATTTTCTATTTTTTGAAACTGATTTTTCTATTTCTCTATGAAGCATTATGTACTTAAAATTCTAACTAGTCGGATGCTCTCCCCGTCTTCTCCCCGATCCACCCAGAGTTCCAGACTATACATATAAGGGCTGCAATATACTATACACCCACATATGTAGTGCAAGAATGATGATAAACCGGGATATGGAATCTCACAGGAACATCCAGGTCCAACTATTTTGAATGCCTGATTCAGCTTCTCTCATGTAGCACTGCATTTTCTTGTTTTCTCCTAGTATCATAGTCCAAACCTCTGCCCAATCATTTTTATGGTGAAACACCAATAGAATCATGAAGAAATACATTTCCCCCCTCCTTATTAATATTAAAAGGTTATGATTTCTTCTTCTGGATCCCGAGGTATCATATTTCCGGGAAGCCTGTGCTCCCTATTAAAAGTACGATAATTTGAACTTTAGTAATTGGAGTATAGTTGATAAAGAATATATATCCACTTATGTAGTAGATTATGACTCCCTGTAATTGTACTTGAATTATTCAATAAAACCTTGGAACATTTCAAGTTTTGAAGAAAAATCAAAGCTGAAAATATAAAACTTCTTGTCACCCCACACGGAATATCCCCACTTATATATATATCAGTCCAGGAGGTCAAAGGTCAAAGGTTAACCTACTAAAAACCACACGGTGTAACGGAGATTTCTCACGAGCCGCGCGCTGCAGTTGCCGCCGAAATTCAAGCGGCTCCCTTCTCTTCTCCGCTTCTTTCCTTTCTCCTCATGAGAAAGCTCCACAAGAGATCTCCAAGAGTTGCACTCCGGATTTTGTCCATTTAACATCTTGTCCACCATGACCTGCGGTCCGCTCGGTCTTACCTCGAGTTTGATCGGCGCTTCGTAGACCGTTGCCGTCGGAGCATGTCTCTGGAACCAAATGTCCGCAGCCTCGATCCCCGACACTTCGCTTGGCCTCACCTCCTCCGAGATCCAGATTCTTCGACAGCAGCAGCAGATTGCCCTTCAGAACAACCATGCCGGCAATGGTGCTTCCAGAGGTCGTGGCGCGGGGAGAGTCAGTAATTCTAGCTCTCGCGCGACCAGTGCCGCCAGCAGTCAGGGCCGCTTACTGCTGGACCCCGATAGTCTTCATGCCCTGTCGCATCAGTTGGGCTCCTTGGAACGTCGTATCAGCGGTCAGATCGACTATGTAGGCTTTTTGTCCCTTCCCGCCTCTCCTTTATCCCCCTTGAAAAAAGAAAAGAAAAATACGATTCCCCGCCTTATTGCGACAGGGCTCTTCTTGGCTCATGGCTAATTCGTGATCAAAAAAGCTCTCGCAACAAATCACAGATTCCGTTAAACGCAGTCGCAGCGGCGCATTGCAAACAATCCACGAGGTCGAGGCGGAGATGGCCCGGACCCGCTCCATGATGGAACATGCGGACGAGTTGGAGAACGAGTTGGCCAAGATCGCTCATATTCGAGATATCGTGAAATCATTTCGCGGTCGAATCGAAGTTCTGGATCGTCGCATGGAGCAGTCTCGTCGCCGCCGCTGATATAACTTGTCCCGCTTTTTACCTACCATGAACAACTCCTCCTCATGGTCCCATACCGCTTCTTCAATTCGCACCACCTCGATATGTCTACCTCCCATGATGCGAAAACGCGCATTTCCCACCATCTCCATATCCTCTCTCCATATCCCTTGACCTCAAGGAAAGAGGTCAACCAGAAAAGAAAAAAAAGGCAAAGCAAAAACAGGTATATACGGTGTTGGTCCTCGCGGACATTCTTGGCTTACATGAAGGTGATATCTTCATGTTACTTTCGTCTCATTTTTCTGTTTATTTTTGGTATAATCAACGATCGACAGTCGGAAAGAGCTGCATACATGCCTCGCGGCACCTTCGGTCCTGGTGACCCCTCCAGCAAGCCTGTGGCTTGACTGAGACTTGCAGTATATGGTTGGCGTAGGAGGGGTCATTTTCTTCTATTTGTCCCACTACACTTTTTTTTTCTGATTTTCTGCGTTCCCAATGTTCAAATTCAATGATTACCCTGACGATGAATTTTTTATGGCTTGTTCAATGTGTGGCGTGGATAAACATGTTTTTTTTGATGTATTTGCTTCGGCTTCATGTACTTGCTATGTTGACCCAGTGGTTTCGATTCCCCCTCTCTGTATGTTCGTACATTGGCTTGTTGTGTCCATGTTTGCTTTTCTTTCCCGGGCCATTGCTTATCCCAAGATGATCATGGTTTTGATTTAAACGGTTTTTCTGTCCGAGCTCTCTGTAGATGCAGGTAAATGCTCACTTTTCATCTCAATAGACGAGGCTGTGGTGAAAAAAGGTTTGTCGTTTTGTCCTATCAATAGCTTAGGGCAGAGTCATCTCGGTAACTTATGACCGTTTGGCTGGCTGAGGATGAAGACGGCCTTTGATTGAGATCGGAAACCAGAGATCATAGTAGACCCGAAAGTTAATTGAACTAGTGTCATCCCTGGCGACTTTGCTGCCTGGAATGATTGGATCTGACGCCTGCCGTAGCGGCATAGAGACTGGGATCGCCTGACTGCTTCACAACGTGGCTCTCAAGGTGGGCTGGTGCTTAGCTTATGGATAATACGCCAGAAAATGCATTATTTCAAGGCTGCATGCTTCCCCCATTCTGATTCGATGGTGTTGTGGTCTGACCATCAGATTGCTTTTCTTTCTGACGGATCACAAGTTTCTTGCTGCGCCTGTCTGTCTGAGGAAACCGCCTCACAGTGGAGCAGCCAAAGCACCGGATCTCTAGGACATCAGCCCAGGGTTTTCTCCCACCCCTGCTTGAATTCCGGATCTCCTGGGAACAATCAACTCCAGGGACAAGCAGGGTATCGCAGTGTTTGCAAAATGATCGCTTCACTGACACCGGGAGTCGTGTCAGCGTTTTTAGCGAAACGCCACGCATCTGTGAAGCACACATCCGAGACAGATTCACCAGAGGCGCACAATCTCCTTGCTTGGGGACTGCGCAGCCCTGAGAGGGGTCTATATCGCATCCTCTTGAATTTGCTTGTAGCTCGATATTGTTGATAGTGCTTTTAGTAGCATCCTTTGCCGGTGTGGTGCTAAAGAGATACTGTGCAGCTTGATTTAAATAGTCAAGGCGAGCCTTCAAATGGCTCTTTGAATTTTTGGGTTCCTTTTGAACCTTAGCCTTTGCCATTTTATTTATCTTTGAAGTAAAGATGCAGCTGGAAGGTAAACAGCCATTCAATTAGCTGTTGAAAGAGCTCGACTGCTAAGATCAAAATCAGGGTTCTTGAGCTAAGCCCAATCCGGCATACGTGTCAGTCAACACGTGACACGTATGCCTCAGGAACTCTTCATCGCTGACTCCCATCCCTCACAGCCGCATCTCTTCCCCCAATCCTTCACTTATTGTCGACAACCACACTCAGCCGCTGGCCCAATTCTTCAGGCTACGACGTCAACAAACTTCTTATAACCCGTGTCACTCTTCCTGACTTCCCTCCCCTTCCCTTTCTCCTGTTTCCTGAAGTCTTTCTTTGCGAAGCACCACTTCCCGACCCACTTCCCTTTCGATTACCAACACCAACTTAGCTTTCGCCAACCATTTCTTTCAACATGTCTCACGAAGAAGATTTGATCGACTACTCCGATGAGGAGATCCAGACCACGACTGCGCCCGCTGTCGCAGCTGCCCCCGCCGATGCCAACGGCGACGCGGATAAGAAGGGCGACCTGACCGTCTCTGGTGGTCGTCCCGACAAGAAGGGTAGCTACGTCGGCATCCACTCGACCGGTTTCCGTGATTTCCTGCTCAAGGGCGAGCTCCTGCGTGCTATTACCGACTGCGGATTCGAACATCCTTCGGAGGGTTAGTCTAACTTGTCCCACATGCCTTCCAATTATACTGCAAGTTGCAACGTCCGTCCATCTCCGCGAAATTTCCATCGGTCAATGTCGGTCTTACGTGGGGATAAAACCTACAGGCGACATGAGGATCATTGGCCAGATCCAGTAACATGAAGAGATACTTCCTATCTCGGCCTCAGGCATCTGGCCCGCGCGCTGTGGTGCAGCGGTGCCGCGTTGGTGTCTAGCCATGGTCGTAATTCTTTTCCACCTGAATGTTTTTTGTTTTGTGTCGCGTGGATGATTACAAACATTCAAGGTGGAATGCAGATGCGATTCGAATGGCTGGCACCTCAAAAGAGAGGCGCCCCCTCATGTTGTCTGTAGGACTTGGTCCGATTGAGGTATATAGCCACTATTTGCTTGTGACGGTGTGGCCTGCTGGGAGGAAACCAGAAGGAGATGCGATATATATTCATATGTATCCATTCCCATTCTACGATCATTTCGACAGATGGACGGACCTTGCGATGCGCAATTTGTTTCTTTTTCTTGCTACTTCATCATGAGTCGAACCCAAATCTAACCACCGCTCCGCCTTCACACAGTCCAGCAAGTCTGCATCCCGACTGCAATTTTGAACGTCGATGTTCTTTGCCAGGCCAAGTCCGGTCTCGGTAAGACCGCTGTCTTTGTTCTCACCACTCTGCACCAGCTGGAGCCTGTTCCCGGCGAGTGCTCCATCCTGGTCATGTGCCACACCCGTGAGCTGGCCTACCAGATCAAGAACGAGTACGCCCGTTTCTCCAAGTACCTGCCCGATGTCAAGACTGCTGTTTTCTACGGTGGTACCCCCATGCAGAAGGACGTCGAGCTCCTTGCCAACAAGGATACCCACCCTAACATCGTTGTCGCCACTCCGGGTCGTCTGAATGCCCTGGTCCGCGAGAAGAAGCTCTCTCTGCGCAATGTTAAGGCCTTTGTTCTGGATGAGTGTGATAAGATGCTCGACCAAATCGGTATGTAAACCACAGCTTCCCAAAGGAAATACACCGAGGCGGTGATCTAATAGAATCTTTTTTTCCATACAGACATGCGCCGCGATGTTCAGGAGATTTTCCGTGCCACCCCCGCCGACAAGCAGGTCATGATGTTCAGCGCTACCCTCTCCCAGGAGATCCGCCCTATTTGCAAGAAGTTCATGCGTAACCCTCTGGAGGTCTACGTCGACGATGACACCAAGCTCACCCTGCACGGTCTTCAGCAGTACTACATCAAGCTCGATGAGAAGGAGAAGAACCGCAAGCTGAATGAGCTTCTGGACAACCTTGAGTTCAACCAGGTTATCATCTTCGTCAAGAGCACTCTTCGCGCCAACGAGCTGGACAAGCTGCTCCGCGAGTGCAACTTCCCCAGTATCGCTGTGCACTCTGGTGTCAGCCAGGAGGAGCGGTAATTATCTCCCCCATTCGATAAATTTATGAATTCTACTAACAATCGTTCTAGTATCAAACGCTACAAGGAGTTCAAGGAGTTTAACAAGCGTATCTGTGTTGCTACCGATGTCTTTGGCCGTGGTATCGATATTGAGCGCATCAACTTGGCTATCAACTACGATCTGCCTGCTGATGCTGACTCTTACCTCCACCGTGTCGGTCGTGCTGGTCGTTTCGGTACCAAGGGTCTCTCCATCTCCTTCGTCAGCAACGAGGATGATGAGAAGGTCCTCAAGGACATTGAGAAGCGTTTCGAGGTTGCTCTGCCGTAAGTTCCAGTTTCACTATTCACATTCTGTTTCAACATATGCTAATATTCCATAAAAGTGAGTACCCCGAGGGCGGTGTTGACTCTACCACCTACATGGCTTAAAGAATCGCATCCCGAGATTCTATCTACTTGGGCGAACAAATGATCTCGCGTCACCAAAGGTTTCTTTTCTCTTCTCTGTTCTCTTTTTCTTTTCGCTTTCAAATTCTTCTTTGTTTCAAACGGCGCAATAGCTCGGTCGTGGTTGATTTCTTCACGGGATTGCTGCTAGGTAAATCCCATTTGTATCCAGTCTCAAGATAAGAATGCAATATGGTCAAAAGTGCAAATTACCAGACATAAGATCGGTCCAAATACCTTTTAAACAGGCTTCTACGCTGCATTGGCTCTTCACTAACGACAGTTTCGGTCCCCACATTCTTTACTTGACGATCTTCCCCCGCTCACTATGATCATTCCCGAGGTCATGAATGACGGTCCGCATTACCGCAGCCGCCGGATTTCGGGTATGAGCGGACCACGTGGGGTGACGATATTGTATACCATGTGTCATTGTCGCGCTACCTTTAGCAGGTCAATATTTGAAGAGAATCAGAAGTACTGCCAAAATGGGTTATAAAGGCCACTGCAATTGCGAGAGCATTCAAGTTACTCTACCACAACAGCCTGAATGTTCAATTCTATGCCACTGGTAAGTCGTGGAACGTTTCCATCACTGGCAGTCCCATCACCAGCTAATGCAGGTACAATGCAGTGATAATTGCAAGCGATCTGGTGCAGGTAATAATATCATACCAAGGTTCAACCATTGGTGGAATCCCCTCGACAAATTGAATCCACCCCTATACTTATACACTATTTTTGAAGCATTCTCTGTCAACTGCCTTACCCTCGAGGCGGATTTAACCTTGCAGGATCCAAGAGGCGCGTTGAAAATATTTGAGGACCCCAAAACAGCAAGTGGAAACATCATTGAGGTATGGTACTTTGATTTTGCCTTTTATGATGATTTCCAATGCTAATACTGACTCGGAGCTTGAAGCGCCATTTTTGCTCTATCTGTGGAAGGTATTGCATGCCATACAAATGTTTTGCTTTTTTTTTTTTTGGTCCTCTGCCTTATGATCAGCATTCCCTATATGCTCAAATATTTTACTAACTCAGATTATAGTGCTATCTTCAGCAAGACCCCCAGAGGCACCTGGTCAAGTCTTTCTCAAGGCAACTTTGTTTGATAGTATCTCGCCTAAGGAGAAGGAGGTTTTTGGTGACAAGCGGCTTCAGCTTTAGGTATTGTAATATTCATCCATTAATGAATAGTCTCATTTGCTACATACAAAATTACTAGATTTATATCAACTTTATTCACTCTATCGATCACTCTCTACCTACCAAAACTTAAATCTTCTCCCAGGGTCACGACCATATCGCTTTAGATGTGTGCCACTCACGACTTGGCACCTTTGTTCCTACGAGCAGTTGGCTGGAGCTTGGAAGAAACCAAAAAGAGAGAAACAGAAGTGAAGCACCAAGAAACCTCAAAAATCAGTTTTCGAACGTCTTTGTGAGATAGGGATGTCGATCAAAACATCCCGAGGTTGTTATGTAGCCCCAGGGCTGCAAGCGATTATTATTTGTGAATACTAAAATTCCGAAAAAATTAAGTTCCGGAGAGAACTCCAAGCTGAAGCTTTATCGCAAGACATGTCAAGCATTGCCAAGGGTTTTGCATACTAAAGCTTAAAATGAATGCAATCGAACCTTGGAAGTAGTACTGAGTTAAAACAAGTCAATGTTGCTCGGACTTTCACCGATCCAGTCCTTACCTCGGTCTGTGAATCTCCAGATGCCATGAATGAAGTAGGAAACATTTGAATATTCGGTTAAATGTATTTTTATTATCCGACCAATTGATACTAGTAGCGCCCAGAAAAAACAAATAAGCGAGTAGATGAGTAGAGAACACACTGGGTAGTCATTTGAAGGCTTTAACCTCGAATTTGGATCAAATGATACTTTGGTCTTATATCATAAGTTCATAACCTTGATAAGTTCATAACTTGGAAATCATAAATAATTTTCCAGGACGTTTCCATCATGCAGCCTGTAGCTCAAGATGCTCTGACCTGTGCTCAGCTCCAGATATCTCCTCTTGTTTCTCTGCCCTCAGCATTGCTCTTTCTTGCAGCTGTCTCTCAACTCCACGAACAAAATCCTTATTGAGAGAGTCTTGAACCACTCTCCAAAGCGATGGTCTCTTGCCATCTCGATCAGCAAAGAAAAGATCCACTGCTTCCAGGGGCATCTTGCTGGTCTCCGGGAATGTAAAATAGACAAGTGGCACTGTTGCGAAGTTGATGATTGCAAACACAACATAGCACTTGTACCCGATGTAATCGATCATAACAGGAGTAATCTCCACAACGAGGAACGTAAATAACCATTGAGAGACAACAGCCAGGGCGCCTCCTCGTAATCGTAGCTTCAATGGCAAAATTTCACTGGGGTAGATCCACATATTGGATTGCCAGCCTAAAGTGAAGAAACTTTGAAATAGATATAGCACAACGGCTGCACCATATCCAAGATTCTGACTTCCAAGCGCAACGAAAATGGCTGAAAGTGTCATGCATACACCCATGCCTGCAGATCCAATCATGAAGAGAGGGCGTCGCCCGAATCTTTCAATGGCCCACCAGGGAAAAAGACTGCTGAGGAAGTACCATACTTGAAGACCCCCCCGATACAAGCATCGCATTATGATGTGACATTCCGATCGAGTCTTCGAAGACGTATGGTCCAAGTGACGACATCACATTACATCCCGACATCTGCTGAAAAAAGTTCGCAGCGAACCCGATCGCCACCCGAGTAAAACCGCTGATCCCATTATCCTTGAACACGTCACTCCATGACCCTTGTTCTTCAGCTTCAACTGAAATCGCATACTGGATTTCTTTCATCTCTTCAACAACGACTGGGTCATCGGGAAAACCGGCTCGGAGGGCGGCTAGGGAGATTCTTGCATTTGCGATATCACCCCTTGCGCAAAGATAACGTGGAGACTCGGGGAGGAAAGGCATGATGACGAGCGTAATGCAGCAGAAGACGATCTGAAACGCACATGGAAATCGCCACTGTATTGATCCAGCATATGACTCCAATCCATAGTCCAGCCAGTTCGCCAAAATAAGACCAACGATTAAATTGGATAATTGCATGGCCATCATCCGACCTCTAGATTGTGGCATACTGCACTCTGATAACCAGATAGGAATGACAGTCGTCATTATACCCAGTCCAAAGCCAGCGATAATCCGACCGATGAGAAATTGGGGAAGGCTGAATGTAGTAGCCTGAAGAATGGCTCCGATTGAGACGATTACTGCACCGGCCATATTATTTGGTTTCCGTCCGAATCGATCACCCATGATGAATTGGAATAATGCACCTAATAGAGCGCCGACTTCGTAGGATGAGACGAGGAACGCCAGTAATGATGCATGAGGGTCCCCGAAGACATCTAGGAATTCTGTAGAGGTGGTTAAACCACCCATGAAACCCAGATCATAGCCGAAAAGAAGAAATCCAACTGAACATGCGAATGTTACGGCGTAGATGAGGTTTTGGCCCTTGAGCCCGAGGAATGTCGGTGAGTTCGTGGACGACATTCTATTAGCATTAGTGTCAAGGTTGATCAAATGTGTTTCTCAATTTTCCGGTGCAAGTATCTGTTTCGCTCACATTTTATAGCTCGGAAATTCCCCGCAACTCGTGGGACTCGTGGGGGTTCAAGTTGGGCTGACTTTCTGGGGTGATCGGCTATCTCTAGTCGGCCTATGTCCGAATGATGATGATTCAGGTTCTTGAAATGTTACTTCTCCACCGCTTGCAACCATATGAGGGGTTGATGCTAGATAAAAATTTAGGTAACTACATCAGGGTTTCCCTCGTTCCTTCCTCTTGCCCCAAATTTGTGAATGCACATGTGATAAATGTCTAGGGTAGTTGCGTGCCTAATACAACGTGGATCAAGCAGACTTCATGTATTACTTCAATTTACTTGTGAGTACACCATGGACATCTGGAATGGATCTTCTAGTACATGACTCAGAAATGCTTTGAATGGTATTTTTTCTAATAGACAAGTGTACACATCGAGAATACAGACAATGGTTAAATGAGGCTCGGACTAGCCCACTCGAGTACAATGCCGATGATTTGACCGTCTGCTCTGCTCCAGATCTTCTTCAACCTGTATCCACTTCCTGGTCACTTCCGCCCTATCTGCAGCTGTAGATGCCCGCATCTCTTCATGACCTTGGGCTATGCGAGATATAATGATTTGTCCTTCCTGTGTTTTGCCCAATGAGTCGAGGAGTTTTCGGCGTATACCACTTAGCGGATAGCCGGCGAGTCCCCAGAGGCCTAAATAGAATGGGGAAGGTTAGAAGCCAATCGATAGTTTGATGGAAATGGACGCGTGACGCAAAAGCGCCGATCATGCATACCCGCGAAAGGTTTGATCAATACTCCACCCACACCTTTCCCCACGCCCTTCAACATCCCCTTGGTCCCTTTGTGCTTATAGCCATACCGAGGCTGAGTGACCAAGCCTGTAATACCGTGATAAAAACCATCGCGGAATTCCTATATTTTGTTAGGAAATCTAATATTTGAACTTGGGAAGGTTAACGAACCACTCCTGCAGCTCGGAAGCCACTGCGAATCCCTTTCACCTTCGGCGTGGATTTTACCATAGGGTCATTGTAAAGTTTGGGTGCGTTGTGGAATCCCTTAGCAAGACTGAGAGAAAGATCGGTCGGAAGCCAAATAACCAGATTAACAAATTTCATAGACATGCGTCGACCGTGGCTTGCAGCCTCCAAGAAGGCATTATGTGTGCGCGAAGGCACGATTTCATCTCCCATAGTTTGAGTATGTTCAAGCTGTAAACTGTGTCTTCGATCAAGTTCTGCATCTGTAAAGAAGTCCACTTCTTGAGCTTCATCTGCATCCATCATTTCTTCATCTTCGTCTTCGTCTAGGTCCTCGTCTTCGTCTGCCTCACGCTCTATGTCGTCACTTGAGTGATTCAAATCTCGTGGAGCACGCTGCGAGCTCGTCCTATTTGAAGATGATTCATCGCTCACAACCTCACCATCACTGTGTCTTTTTCGATGCCATTTTGAATGTGGTTTGATATGCGGTTTTGCGTTTCCTATGGCTCGACCGGCGGAGTAAAGGTCAATCATGATCTCTGTTGGTATTTCTGCTAACCCAGTAACAAAACTGGAAATGGCTCCGTAGAGGACTCCAGCAGAAGCAGTAAGAGGTCCAGCAGGATCGCGATATGTATCATGTTCCATTGGTCGGTTACTGTAGCTGCAATTAGTTGATGTTCCATTGTGAAATCCTGTACACATCGCAAAGTAAACTCACAGAACCAATGATTCGGGTTGAATCCTACCCATCTCAACCAGAACAGCTGCTGCAAATGCACTGAAGCCCAGATCACTGTGTCTCATGTGCCACACTGCCGGACGTGAAGGGCAGATGCAACATCTCAACGACTTCATATCCAGATGACGATGGAAGCTGCGTACTCCATCTTTCACGCCGGATTCATTCTGCATCTTCGCTGCTATGGATTGCGCCTTTTCCTTTGTACTTGATTCCAATGCCATATTTATTGCATCGCGCAGCTTATCGACTGTCAGTTGTTTATGAGGAATTGGAAGTGGCCCGGCGCCTGCGCGTGCAACAATCTCGCCCCAGAATTGCTGATCACCAAAGAACGGGATGATGATGGTCGGACGTCCGAGGGCAAGACCAGCTGCAGTTGTACCTGCACCTCCATGGTGTATCACGCACGAGACTTGTCGAAATAGCCAGTCATGAGGGCAGCTACCTATTATGAGAATATTTTCTGGAACATCAACATCGTCCACACCGAGATTTCCCCATCCCTTTGAAATGATTGCGCGCTGGCCGGATTTTTGAACTGCTTCAAATACAATTTTTGTTAACTTTATCTGGTCGTCAACAACAATTGAACCGAATCCGACATAAATCGGGGGTGGACTGGCGTCCAGAAATGCAGCAATATCGTCCGGAGGGGTGTAGTCGGGCTTCGATGGAAGGAAACTGAATCCACAGATGTCAATGTTGTCACCCCAATCGCTTGGCTTGGGTAGTACTGCAGGAGACCTGGGACATAACAATGTCAGCTCAGCTTGAAATAATAGCCTTCGAGAGTTGGGACACCCTTACCAAAGGTATGAACATGGAATTCGTAATCTGTGAATCAAACTTGGAGCAGTGATGCCATCTAGTGGATCGAGGGACAAAGTATGTTTGCGGAACGTATTGATCAAATCACCCAATCCTTCCCATACCATCATCTCTACAACGGCATAGGAGACAAAATTTGCGACTGTTGGTTTGCAGTCTTGATGGTGAATGATGGCAAGAGGATGTGGAAAGGATTGTGTAGGAGACCATGGCATTCTGTAAATCTGAGATTAGTATTAAAAAGACTCCATATGAGCAGGATAAAATCGACACTCACGTAAACATTACATGCAGAGGTACGCCTAGTCTTTGAGCACAATGTATATGCGCCAAACTTGGAGGATTGGCAATGATCGTATCAGCAACAAATGGACGCCGGCGATAGTCGACCGTATCACCCCAGAGATCTTCTTTGATTTGATGTAGATTTGTTCCATCGCCCATTTCGTAGCATGACTTCCAGCACCCATGGATAATCTCTTTCATTTCTCGTCTTCGCTTTTGTATTGCCCCACTCCGGATTGTGTCGAACCCAGGGAGGAGCCCAGGGTTCTTCACCATGAATGCCATAAGCTCTGCCGGATCTCCACCGATATTGAAGAATTCAAGACCTCCCTCGAGAACGAAATCGCGAAAGGCTAGATGTGTTGCAAGTCGAACACGGTGCCCATGTGCTTTTAACTCCTTTCCCAGTGCGACGAATGGTTGTATGTCACCCCGCGATCCGATCACCTGAATCACAATATTCAAGTGAAGTGGAAATGAGTCGGGCTTCGCGTGTAGGCTATCCATGCCGGACTTATCTTCGATCTGTTCTAACTCTGACGGTATGGGTGTTTGGAGGTGGCCCAATAGGCCAGCAAGGCTTGGCTTGTGCTGGTTGATCCGGATATCAAGGCGTCCGTCTCCTATCGGATGAGTATGAAGTTAGTACTATCGAGGAGTGAAAGAGAAGTTCCTTTGATTTTTGTTGGATGTCGAACCTAAGACGCGGACACCAGTGTTCAATCCATCACCACTGAATTGAACCCGATTGCTCTCATTACTATCATGTGAATTAACATCGCGGATCTCCCTCGACCAATCCTCACTATGCGATCCATTGCTCCTGTCAGAATCGGACTCTGCTTCTTCAGCACTGGCAGTATTGTATATCCCAGGCATTATGCACGGGAGATCGGCAATTAGCTTCAGGCCGATGCCCAACTGGCTCTTGTCGAATATGAGATCAAGATAGATCGACACAAAGCGACTATGAGATTATGCGACTATGTCCAAAGATCCAACTTTGAATTCTTCATGGATCTATGTTACAAATTTGATTTCAGACGATCGAGAACTTCCCCAGGTCTTCCTGAACAGTCAATGATGTCAGATGTGCCCTGCTCAGTCAGCTCCATATCGACCCACTCGGTTCCACTCGATAAACTTGGTGTATGTTTATTGCTCATTGAGATAATAGTGATTGATATGATATGACGGATTCTGCGGTATATGTAGCTTCTTTTTCATTATTTCTGACGAATCTCTATATTTACCTTTCAAAGTTATATTGTCTAAAATGGATGGGGGATAAGCTATCGGTGACACCGCAGTTGCGAACCTTCCCGCTTATTCTATACGTCACTTCAAGTATCTTCTCTAATCGCGCCCGATTTTTCGATATGTGCAAAAGGAAAAAAGATGACAGTTTACGGTGAAGACTGTCAGAAAGCCAAGCTCTCTCATATAGTCTGACAAAAACTCCGTATCTGGAACTTATGAGTGATAAGATGAGAGAGGCTGACATTTGATTCCCAGTTCAAGGAATGATCGGCAACGATTACCCCAGCCACTCCAAAGATCGCAACAATGAAAAAGCATCTGGCGGTCATCTACAAGGTTCGTACCTGAAATCATATGATAAACTCGTTATCCGTCATCACCGGCACTGGTGCCTGCAGCCTGGGGGCTATGCTTGGCAGTTATAGAGGGCTCGGGCCTATGACGTTTCCCCTTGTGGCTAGTTTATTCAACCAAGATGGACCAGAGATACACATATGTATGGTTGATTTATGGTGTTAATAAAGCAGATAAGTGCTCATAGTCGGTGATAACTACTGATTATGGATTGTGCATGCATTGTTAACATAAAGTAGTAGAGAAACATGTACTTCAACCCGGGAGACAGCCGGAGCTCCGGTAACTCCACATTAAGGCCTCTGATCCTGGAGATAAAGAACTCCAACTTTGGAGAATTGACCACTTAGCTTAGCTGTAAGAATTATGGCACGGGGATCATACCTTCCGAATTGATCCTAGCGATCTGCAGAATGACTATAGCTATATAAGACCATGCCCCAGCCGAGCGGGGTTATTTGATCGCGAATTTAGCATTCCTCGCAAAGCTGAGATTGTCCATTTCCACGAATTTGAAAGAAAAAACATCCAGATTTTGGTAAAATGGGTGCTTTCTCCAAAGCGACATTAGCATTGGCGCTGGCGCACTATGCCACAGCCCAATTTGTGCCTGCGCCGACGGACTTGATCACGAAAAAGGGCTATGCAGGTATTGATGTCCGGTACAAGGAGGTGCCAGCCGGTATTTGTGAACAGGATCCCGATGTGAAGAGTTACTCTGGTTATGCTGATGTAGGAGAGAATGAACATATTTTCTGGTGAGCGTGAACCCTTTCCAAGATTCCCTGATGGGCCCAATGCTGGGGCTATCACTAGGTAGCACTTGCAGGGAGTGATCGGCATCATCACCATTGCCCCCAACGGCACGAGGCTTGAACTTTATCTCTTTGAGGAGACTGCATATATGCGCTCTAGGTCAAAACTTCGAGTACCAAATTGAACATATTTTTCTTGGGCATTTTTTGCAAGTTTCTCGCTGACAGAATTAATGTAAATAGGTGGTTTTTTGAGAGTAGAAATAGTGATCCTGAAAAAGTAAGCCGTCGGATCCTTTGGACGCTTAAATTGAGATGAAACAGAACTTAACACTAACATGATCAGGCTCCACTTACCGTCTGGATCAATGGTGGACCTGGATCATCTTCAATGATTGGATTGTTTCAAGAACTAGGCCCTTGCGGAGTGGACTATGATGGCAATGTATACAATAATCCGCACTCTTGGAGCAACGTCAGCAATATGGTAAATACCCAAAATAATGTAAGATTTGGGTATTCAAAGCTCACCTCGCGCTAGATTTTCATCGATCAACCAACAACCACTGGTTTTTCCTATACAATTCCTGTTCCAGGGTACACCGATGATAATGGGTATATCATTCAGCTGCCCGACAACACATGCCCTGATTACGCTGAAGCATATGGAACATGCGGTACTTATTCCAAGGCGGATATCAAGCTAGTCCCCAATTCAACAGAGGGTGCTGCGCCAAATATGTGGAAGACATTGCAAGGTTTCATGGGAGCGTTCCCGCAGTACTCGCAAAATGGCTTCAATTTCGCAACTGAGAGTTATGGAGGCCACTATGGACCAGTCTTTACTAGTAAGATCCTAAAAGTTGTGCAAAAACAAGGAGACACATTGCTAACATTTGAACAATGCATAGCCTATATCCTTGAACAAAATGCGAAAAAGGTCCCGGGAACAGTTCAAATCGACCTTCAAAACGTCCTTATCGGAAATGGCTGGTTTGATCCCCTGATCCAATACCAGGCCTATTACAATTTCTCCGTGTGGCCGGGAAATACATACGACTTCGACCCATATAATGATTCTATCAAGGCAGAGTGGTATAACAACCTCTATGGAGAAGGCAACTGTGTTGATCAGACCCTTGAATGCTATGCCACCGGACGAGATGACATTTGCTCCACGGCAGATGATTTCTGCGCTTATGAGGTTGAATTGATGTACGACACTTATGCCGGTCGTGACGAATACGATTTCCGTGAGCTCGAGTCTGACCCGTTCCCATACGTCTTCTACGTGGACTACCTCAACTCTCCTAAGGTTCAGGCTGCTATTGGTGCTTACCAGAATTTCTCGGAGTCCTCTGAAACTATCGGCAATAGCTTCGGCAGTACTGGTGATGATGATCGCAAGTCTGGCACAATAGGCGATGTGAAGCACTTGCTGGAGTCTGGTGTTCAAGTGGTAATGTATTTTGGAGATGCGTAAGGATTCCAAGTCTTATTTCGGAAATGAAACAAAATGAGCTAATCTCGATATTTACCTAGTGATTACAACTGCAACTGGCTGGGTGGACAAGTCGTTGCGAAAGAAATAAATGCTCCTGGATTTGAGCAAGCGGGTTTCGTTAACCTCACTACCTCAGATGGAATTGTCCATGGCCAAGTCCGACAGAGTGACTTGTACACCTTCATTCGGATCTACGAGTCCGGTCATGAAGTTCCGTTCTACCAGCCCCTGGCTGCGCTTTCATTCTTTGAGAGAGCCATCTCTAGGAAAGACATCGCGACCGGTAAACAGAGTGTCACTCAATACGGGGGCTATCACACGGTGGGAACACCGACGAGTGACTTCCGTGAGGGTAACAGTACCATTGTCTTCGTGAATCTCCCTGCCAATGCCACATACAACACCACTCTCAATGGACCAAATACTCCCTATTAGGTCGGGTAGGTCCGATGAGAGAGGATTATGGAAGCAAGAGCTTGAAGTCACATCGGGAGTTGATCATGTATAGCATCAACAATCTGAAGCAATTTTGAGACTAACACACGTCGGAACCATACATACTTTGCATATCCAATTAATATCCGATGAGTGACTCTTTGGAAGGTAATGTGTAAAAATTCTTATTTTTAAATGGGATCACCGAGGACATAATGCGTAGGGTTTATCAAAACAGTCATCCCACGTAGTCAAACCCGAAGTCCAAAATTCTTCCAAGATTTCCTTCGCAGCGAGTGGTCGATACGAAGCACTGAAATGGCTCAGTTCCGAAAGCCTCGTTCGCACGTATTCACGCATATTTCCACCAGCATGAACGGCCTGGACACCTAGCACAACGAAATACCACGTCAAAGATCTTCGGCTCCGCGGTGATCTCATCGCTTGGTCGAGATGCGTCTTCACTAGTCCGGCAAGTGTACTGCGACTATTTCTTAAAGATGGCGTATCAGGTAAAATGGAGACACTCTGCAAGGAAATTATGCAGTATAAGGCTATCGCAGCCTGATTTAATCGTGCAAGGAGAGTCCACTCCTCTATTCCCCAGTGTCTATTAGAAGCCCACACTTCTGGTCCGAACATGTGGATCCGAGTTAGTGTTTGATATGCCTCGGATGTGAGAGTGCTCATTAGAGTCAACTCCTGCGTAGCTCTTGATCGTAGATGGTTGATGTTAACCACTTCACGGAACAATTCTGGAGGAAAGGAGGCGAATGCTCCGTTTCGCTCGCCGTATTCCTCGACGACAAATTCAAAATCATCAATATTCATTTTTGAGATCATCATATCTGATGCTGGGGATGTTGAGTCAGACAGGACTGTGGTACTGTCATAACTGTTAGACGAATGAACGAATTCTCTTTTGAGGGAATACTCACTGTGCGAACGTAGGGAGAATTGATTCGGCTCCTGGTGCTTTTGCTACACCTCGAGCTCCACCACGCAGTGCCATGAGTTGCTGAAGACCTTTTAGATGGAATCGCCAGTGTGGTGTAGAACCTTGATGTGCCTAAAGAGAAGGTGAATTCGTCAGCTTTGATGCTCAAGCGGACCATATTATTTCCAAGTTATAGGTTGAGATGTGCTCACTTCAAGTAGCAGTAAATTAAGAGTTCCAGCAATAACAGTATTGCTTGTACGAAGATGTTCCACAGTCATGGCTTCTAACAAAGATCGAATCACGACCCCGCGAAAGTGGAGAAATTCATGATTCAGAGCATCAATATCGAGGTCGATGCCTCGTAAACGGTTTGATCTATGCATGAGGACCATACATACAAACCCATAACGAAGATAATCAGGACGCTCAGCCGTGAGTGCAAATGTTTGTGGGGAAATGGGATAGACATTGATATTATGGCCTAATCCGAGTAAACTTGAGATCTCGGGATAGATACAAGTGTTGTCTGGACAGCAGATTAGATTTGCATCCATGGGTGGAAAAAGAGTCGATAATATTGGATGAATTTTTACTGTCTCATACTTACAGTATTCTACCGCTTCACCCAATGCAGCGGCATCTGTGCGAATTTGAAAAGTGGGCGAAGCCACGTAAGGAGTGATATCCCGTGTGGCTGGTGAGCAGATAGAAGGTGATTTTGAAGCAGCTTTTGATGATCCCCCCGGAGATTTATCCTTCTTCGCTGTATCATTTTTATTGTTGGATCTTCGTGTTCTTGAACTGATCCTTCCTGGTGCAAGCCATTTTAATCTCCGTTGAGCTGTTTCTCCATATCCAGAGCAAGTCACCCCTTTTGATTTACACCGCTTGCATTCAGGACGCGTACGGTCGCATGTCACAGAGCGTTTTCGACACTCCCAGCATGGAGTACTTTCTTCGTCTAAGACCATTATTATGATATTGTCTTGGAGATCTCCACACTTTTTTCAGCTGGAAGAAGGCGACGATAATTTAACAATTCAGTTAAAATTGGTTTCGTCCGAGCGGTCGGACGGAATAACAGCCATGGCCCCCACTGCTACAGGGCTGAGGGCTGTGCTGCGCCTCCTGAACAATTGGCAGTGGGGCACCTGAACATTTATAAGCTGACCTATACTCTATATGATGTGATTCATTGCCTGGTCAAGCTTAGTTCACTGTTTAGCTCATCGGCCTAACCCGGTGAATGCTCCGATGCGCTGTCATCACTGTCAATGCCTAATGGGTCAATGCGACGCCGTATAACGCTGATCCGATCATGACGGAGGTTAAAGATTCGCCAGGCATGGATGACGTACTGAGAAGAGATTCGGATGAGATTATATCCCCAGATTCTGTTCATATTCATTTAGTGATATCAGAGAGAACATTTGGAAATTGAATCAGGATCACCAAATAGGACCCACCTGGTTCTATTTCAAGTTATTGTACTAGTGCATTCAAGCTGTTGCTAAAAGAAAGATGAATCGATCGACCTTGAATTCAAGTTCACAATGAAATCACAACGCCTTCAAAAGAATACTCCGTAAATGATTCCATGATATAACTCTGAGGCCTCGGCTAAACGACATCACTGGTTTCCTCAGGTCTGGTGTCATATGTCTTTGGGAACATAAAGTTCCACATGCCAAGACTGATAAGATTCAGTATCAAGCGTATTAGTGACTGTGCGGCAGCAGGCTTCTCGGTGCGTGGGATTCCAGTCTCGAGTCCATCGAGTCCAATCCATGTCTCAGTCGAGCGGGGCAAAAAGCGACCAAAAGCGACCAGGATTGAATAGATTCCATAAAAGCGAGTTGGCAAGCATGGTAGCTCCCTCAAAGACCCAGAAGCCCCATTCATAACGCTCCAGGGCAGAGTCTTGATTTTCCTCCTCAATGTTCGTTAAGTCGATAGTTGTTTGGCCAGCATGTTCTACTAAACGGTAGATGCAGCGGATGAAAATAAGCGCCATGCTACCAAAAAAATGAAGAAGAGTTTTGGGACAGCCTGCTTTTTAATGTTGTTCTTCACGCACCGGTACCAGAAAATGTCTGTAATCACGAAAAAGCTGAGGATCACGCAAATTTGAATCGATAGGGAGGTCAGGACTAAGATCCTTCCTGCATTTTGTTCATTACCTGTTGCGTTTGAGCTGAATGCGACACCCAACCCGTTGAAAATCTCGACCAGCGACATGAGAGAACCAAAGATGACGAAGACTTTGTTGGGTGCGATTGGCGTGCAGTAAGGAATATAGAAGAAGACTCGGCTTAAGACGTGATAATTGGATAATTCTAGGAGTGGTCGGTGAAGAATAATTAGTTATTGCAGGATTTCCCAGAAGATAGGTTTGTTACTTACGGAGGAACATAGATGAATACTTGACTCATAGTGAATGTCAATAGTGGGGTTTGAGAGTCTGAGGCATCTTCGTTGTAGATGTAATGGCTCCAGGCGCCGTATGCACGCAAAGCATAACCAGCGACATATAACAAGGCACAGAATGCCTGTAGCCCAGTCAACTCCTAGGCATCAAAGCGACTAGGCAGAGTGTAAGTCCAAGCGTTATCTTTGATATAGTATAGCCTGGATATGCATAGACTCACTGGGACTGATACACATGGCCGATAAATGAAATGGCGAATACAACAGCGAAAACAATGGGTGCGATCTTATTCGGGGCATAGATGTAAAGACTTCCAAGAACTTTTGAAGTTAGACCTGAATCGAGAAAATATAGCGTTGTTCAAATTTCTGGGAGACTCACTCGCTTCTCCATTTTCCATATTGAAGTATAGCTCGCGATTATATGAAGAAAATCAGCCAAAGCTGCCTTCAACTTTCTTGTTGAGATTGTCAAGGAGATTTTGAATTGTGATAAAACAAGAAAATCAAAAATAAGAATGTTGTTAGTGGCACAAAATTCCAGCAGAAACCCATGGTCAACTTATATCTGGATTCAAGAAGGCCCCGAGAGAGAGGAAGTCAAGGTTGTTGCTTCAGATAACATAGTTCCGCAAAGTTGCGCAATGTCGTCGATCCTCATGATTGCGCAAATGTTTCTGTGCAATCTATACGCTTGAAACCACCGAGAGACTTTCCAGGATGTTAAGGTTATTCATTAGTTTTCTCACTGGATATTCTGGTCTTTTTATCCCCAAGGGCCCCCAAGGCCCCAAAAGGGTACCTCACGTGGAGTTGTGATGCAGAAAACCCGAGGCGGGAATGAGGAAACACACAGCCTCAAATAACAATGAGATGAGATTGGATCAAACATTCGGATGAAGAGAAAATAGATTTTGACTAAGGGAATGAGCACCCAGCAGAAACTTCGACCACGTCTCTTTCGCTTTCTCATATTGTGAACGATCCAGTGGTAGGAACCCCTTTTGCGATGTCGCTACAACCACACCTCGAGGTTCCTGAATGCGAGGTTCATGAAAGCGACCGATCATATTGACAGTGGAATTTCCAGATTTGCCAGCATGGTGTGAATACGGCAAACATGAAGCGCGGGGCGCTTATTGGGGTCCAGGTGATCTTATAGCTCCATCCTAATACCGGAATGTACAACAGGTACCAACTTGAATCTGAAGGCACTGCTGACAACGATGGGGTTTAAATATGCAAAATCTGTCAGCTCAGGCTACCCCTTGAAACTCGACTTCAAACCGATGAACGATCAGAATCGTGCCAGTGAGAATTGATTCTCAAGCTTGATTGGCGCCCGAACGAGATATTTGCGTTTTCAACAACATCAACATATCCCAAGTCTCCGGGGAACTTGAAGAAGCTCCGAGTCCCCCTGAGCTGATAGCCGAGGTCCTTGAGACATCTACCATACTTCAAATCTGGATACGATCCCTTATCGCGGGGTTGGGGTAATAAGGTTGACCAATATACACTCCACAACTCCCGACCGTCGGAGTTGCGGTACTTCGACCATTTTTGTTACCCTATAAGAATTCATTTGAAGGTGGCGTTGCTCTCAAAGCTTGATGGAACTAAGACTTTGAGCCATTAACAGCGCCACTAGTCAGCTTTGGTTTCAGGCTAACACTTGCTTACTAGCTGAATGCGGGTGATAGCGCGGGATGAAAGGAGATTGGACCCTTGAAGGAGGGCGCTTAGACCCTTTGGCATTTCCACGACCAACTAGAAGTGCCCCAAATTGCTTAAGCTTTGTCAACCCTTATCTATGTCTCATGACCGATTCGAGGACGCTAGTCATCAAACCAATCTCCAATTGGTACCATTGGATGTCTAATTCGCGTAAAACTGCCGGCTGATAAGGTGAATGCAACATCAAAGTCTTTAGCGGCATCGGGAAACCCCCCAATGCACCAACTGCAGTGCCACTTGAATTTGTTTAAAAGGTGGATGGGGCCCTAGAGGCTGAGCGCCCGTGGACGATCTTTACCATAATTCACAGTTCATTTCGGGCGCGACAGAAAGATGGAACCTTCGATCGCCGAGACGACATCCGAGAAGGTGCCAATTGAATCTGCAGACAAGGATTCGAACATCTCTACAGAGAGTCAGCATGTTGTGACAAAGGAGGTAGACGAGAAGGGTAAAGATACTTCAATCCTCAAGCCTGGGGATGAAGTGGTCGTGAGACAAATGCCGTTGTGAGCACGGCCGATGATCTTGTCACCCATATTATTCGTGTCGAGGATGACCCTTCTGTCAGTCCATGGACGATTCGAATGGTCTTTCTAGGTAAACTCCGAAAATAAAATATTCGTATTGGCGAATATAGTTTCTGATTGCAACGGTTTTAGGTGCTGGATTATCCATTTTCGGCGGTGTTCTCCAGGAAATCTTCTACTTCAAACCCCAAACTATCTACGTCTCTCAAGTCTTTTTGACTGTCATCGCTTACGTTCTCGGAGAGGGCCTCGCCTGGGCAATTCCTCGCAAGGGACGAATTGGAAACCTGCTGAATCCAGGTCCCTTCAATGCCAAGGAACATGCAGCTGTGGCCCTCATGGCATCAGCGGCATCCCAATCGGCCTTAGCCACAGAGGCCCTGGCCGCACAACAGCTATTCTATGGTGGATACCCGAGTCATGCAGCTGGTGTCTTTATCACTTTGTCATCCCAGCTCATTGGTTACGGAATTGCCGGATTGCTTCGGGATGTGATTGTCCGACCTACTAAAATGCTGTGGCCTATGACCCTTCCCATTAGTAGTTTGTTGGAATCATTACACCGGGACAAGCTGGAGTCAAAAGCGCGGCTTAAGATATTCTACATCGTTTTCACCGCTCTTTTCTTCTGGACCATTGTTCCTGAGGTGAGTTATTCCAAGCTTTCTGGTTGTATTACATTTGGGTTCATTCTGACCGTTTTAAGTGGATTTTCCCGGTACTGGAAGGTGTTTCAATCTTTTGTCTCGCTAATCAGTCCAGCCTTGTCTTTACCAACCTCTTTGGTGGTGCATCTGGAAATGAAGGACTGGGATTCTGTATGTTTCTTCACAATACTCGGACACACCTCAATGGGACAGAGATGCTAACAGCGAAATTAACAGTGTCTTTCTGCTTCGATTGGAATTATGTTGCCTCCCTCGGATCGCCATTATGGTACCCGCTATACGCACTGACAAACACATTCATCGGATATGTAAGTCTACCATTGATAGATAGAGACTTGTGACAGCGCTCTTACAAATGCCTTCTTCCAGCTCGGCTGCATCATTCTATTTCTGGGTGTCTACTATGCGAATATTTTCAACTCCCAGAATTTCCCCTTCCTCTCACAGCTGTTATTCTACGGTGACTCGAACTCTACCTACTTCCACACCTACAACCAAACTGCAATTCTAAATCCCGATTTCACCGTTAATGAGACCCTGTTGAAAGAGCAAGGAATTCCTTGGCTTACCGGAAGCTACCTTTGCTACTTGATCACATCCAACATGGGCCTGACTGCGACTTTTACTCATATGCTACTATGGAACTTCGATGACATCAAGCCTGGATGGGCTTGGGCTACTCCGTCTGCTCTCAAGAAGTGGTTCGAGGTGGAAACTTACAAATTCTGGGCAAATCAGGAGACCCCTGAACAGCGCTTAGAGCGAAAGTTGAACGATGAGTCGTTGGATCCTCACTACAGACTGATGCTTCGCAACTTATACGATGAGTGTCCTCAATGGTGGTGGGGAGCCGTGTTACTCGGCAGTTTCATTGCCGGCATCGCTTGTCTTTACTCTATCAAGTCTACACTGCCGTGGTGGGGTTTCATTGTCGCCAATATCCTCACTGTCGTTTTTATGCTTTTCTTTGGGGCTCAATATGGTCTTACAGGATTTCAGTTTAATGTGAGAATTCGATCAAAGAATCTCCATAAGTACACCTATTGACTGCTTTACCTACAGATTCAACCCATTGCACAGATGCTTGCTGGATACATGTTTCCCGGAAAGCCCCTTGCGAGTCAGTGTTACAAGTGCCCATATCATGTCCTGTGCCCGCTAATCAGTGTCATTTTACAGATCTTTACTTCACTTGCTATACCTACAACTCTCTTCAGATGGGGCAAGTCTTGGCTAAGGATCTTCGACTCGCTCAAAACGTTCACTTGTCCCCACGAAGCACATTCTTCGTCCAGGTTGTCGGTTGTGTGGTTGGAGCTCTATTCAACTACGTTATGATGTTGACGTGAGTACTAGAAGATTATATTCGTCTTCTCTTCTAACCTTCCTATCATCTAGGATTGTCCGATCTCAAGCCGATGTTCTCATTTCAATTGATGGTACAAACATCTGGAGTGGCCAGAACGTTCAGATAAGTACTCTCCCACTATAGTGTGCGCGCTTAGTACTGACATCTCTATACCAGTTCAATACTCTCGCCATTGCCTGGAGCATAGCCAAGGACATGTTTTCCATCGGTGCCCGCTACCAGTGGGTCACGATATCCTACCTTATTGGCTTCTTCGTCCCATTCCCATTCTGGATAGCGAATAAGTTCTACCCTCACCGCGCCTTCTCCTACATTAACCTGTCCATTATTCTTTGGTACATGGGCTGGTTGTTCGTGGGTATCAATGCCTCGATCCTGATGTACTTCATTCTGGGCTTCGGCGCACAATGGTGGCTTCGAAAGTACCACCCACATCTCTTCAACAAGTACAACTATATCGTCAGTGCTGCCTTGGACGGCGGTACCCAAGTTTGTGTCTTTATTTTGACATTTGCGGTTTTCGGTGGAAGTGGTACTGCGCAGTCCTTCCCGTGAGTTATACTTCTTTCAGTGTGTGTGTGCTATGCTAACCAATCTATAGGACATGGGCTGGAAACCCGAGTGCGAGCCATAACCTTGACTATTGTATGGTCAACCCGGCTGTTAGTGTATAATCATACTATCTTGTAATCTGGCCCAGTGGGACATCCTCATTAGGATGTCTGTAGCTGTCTATATGTTTTCTCGAACACTGTTCTTTGCTGTATATGAACGCCTGAAGCCGCTCATTTCTTCTACCTGTGAATTATTATTTGAACTTAATGAGATCAAATGAATTTTGAACATAAACTGTGGGGGGTATTGTCACATCGAATGAAAGGTCAAAGCTCGTACATCAACGATTTCAAGGCATCAAGTTTTAAGTCGTAGGTATCATGAAATCCACCTTCACTTAGAGCTTGAAAGTGGGAATAAATTTATCCGAGTCCTTCTCCTGCTGGCTGAAGGACTCTGGGAATGCGGCAATTCCACCAATAATCCCAATGGCCATAAAGCATAGAGAGATGATAGACCAAATAACACCCCAGCATTGAGAAGATCCTCCATATTTCTTGGCGAAGACACTGGCATCGGAACTGTTGACTTTGCGAAGGATAAGGTCGTCACACTGTGATGATCTATTAGTCAAGTTCCGCCGAGAATAAACAAAAGCATAAAAGGACTTACAATATCCCACACGCTGTAAAGAGAAGACATAACGCCAATAAAAAGCTACAAGGTTATGTTAGTACAAAAAAAAACTATCTGACACCGTCTCAGAAGAGTTCAGAACTTACCACGAACCACCTCAAGGCCTCAGCATGTGCAATGAACCAGCATGCCACAAGCAGGCCGATCGCAATGAAAATGGTCATGATAGTCAACCAATCCTTACGCGCCCACCACATGGTCAACAGGAAACAGACTCCCAAGACAAAACTAGCAACTTTGCTAGCCACGATATCAAAACCAGCAAAGATCAGGAGAGCGCCAATAATAGATGAGCCTAGGTACCCAGCTGGCAAGGTAATAGCGGACATTCCTCCACGCATATGCGTAACTCCGCCCTCATGAGGATCAAGTGAGATTGACTCGACTCTTCCGCCAGTGCAGCAGGCTGTGATCGCATGACCGAATTCGTGAAACGCAATAACCAACATCTATTTTATTAGCTTAATTCGACTTCCAAGATTCGTTTGGATATGGCTTAGTATTTACCTTGAAGGGCCAGAGTGAGTAACGAAGATATGGTACGTTCCATAGGATAGCGATAACAACCACATAGACTGCCATAATCCCCAGCGTAACGGACTGTGTATGATTCACGCTTAGACTGCGTTGGGCAAGGTGCGGGGCCATGTGGGCCGCCCGATCCTCCAGGGCTGCGTACACAGCGGGCATGTTGACAAGAAGGATGTATGTAGTTGATGAGAGCGCTTGAGGTCGTCGAAAAGCTGCAAAAAAGCCGTTAAATGTGGTTGCAAGGTAATGAAACACTTTTAGGTTCCCTGCCCCCCTTTTAATAATATTGCGGCTGGAGCCTGGGATCATCTCCCGACGCGTCAGGAATGGACGCGCATTCTCATCTTGGCGGTTTATTTTTGTGTGTGGCGTTGATACTCTGTCCAGCTGATAGGTCAACTTTGTGGCTGTGATGATATCTGCCACGGTTGACCGCTTTGTCCTCCCCCGGTAGGCGCGACAGTCTAACGCCCATTGTCAGTCTAACGCCCACTCTTCAAATGAAAACAAGTCACATCGATTCCAAACGCCAAGCGCAATTTATAATGAAAGAAATTCCAGAATTATATATAGATAACACCCTTTAATCTGATATATTGATCAACCTGTCTTTCACCTGATTGCTGTAGTGTAAGATATCGCATTTTATCATATATTTGACGGTCCTCCCTCTCTAATTGATCGATTTGTATCTCTGACAGTTAAAATTACAGGCACCTCATCCAACATAGCCAAGAGACCAACTATAACCTTGGAATTGAACTTCAAGTTCATGTTCAATCATCGAATATGACCAATATTTCCACAGTTCTTGCTACTTCAGTAACCCTCCCGGGAGCCGCTTTCAACGGTCTCGCCGTTAGCGACCTTCAGCTCTCCTAGCATCCCAGTCCGGAAAACACCAACATCAGTGGTAATAGAAATCATGTCGAAGCCTTGTTCTGCACGTCTGCGGGCATTCAGCCCATCGGTACCTAATTGGCGAATGTTAGTGGCCTGGTTTTAACTCCGAAGACGGCGAGAGGACATACAAAATATAGCAGCTTTCTTTCCAAAAGCATGAGTAGCATCCAGAATCCTTTTAATAGCAGCTTCATGCTCGTCACCACCCCGGGTTACCCGCATCATCTTGGAGAGGTCGAAGGGCCCGATGAATAAGACATCAATGCCTGGGACTGCCGCGATTTTCTCAACATTCTCAACTCCAGCCCTTGACTCTATCTGAACGCAGACCGTCACGAAGCCATTGATATTGTCGTCATAGTCTGATCCAGGACTAACTCCGGGCATTGAGTGAGGAGCGAACATTGGACCATAACCCCGTGTACCTAAGGGTGGGTACTTGGTATATTTCACGATATTCGCAGCATCGACCTGAAGATCCGATACCACTTCATTTAGCGAATGGTTCCAGAGGTATTCATATCTGAAAAATTCACGGTGGAATCTTTAGTAATTACCTCATTGTGGCACATAGGCGTCATAATACCATGGGCACCAGCATCAAGCGCCCGCTTTATCATCCAATACTCCGCAAAGGGAACACGGATAATAGGGCTCGCATTCTCAGAACCAATGGCGTTGCACAGCTATATATTATTTGGAAGAATTCGTCAGGCAAAGGTTCTTCGCCGAAACTTTAAAACTCTCGACGGTATTAAAGACTAACCTCATAATAGTGATGATCGGATATCAATCCATGCTCCGCATCAACCAAGACCCAACTGAACTTGGTCAAAGACCCTGAAGGTCCATGTAAGATTGTCTTAGCGACACCGGAGCTTGGAAGGCTGCACAAATTCTGTTATTGATGTTACGAATCATTTGGGACGGTTCAACTAACGGGAGCCAAAAGCCGAATGCGACAGCGGAACATTGAAGGGAAGAATGGATGGAAGTGGTGGCTGACATCTTGAAAGTCACAGTGTTGCATAGTATGACACAAATGAGACTCGGAATTCTGTAGTATTTAGATCAATGTATATTTTGATCCATACTGGTGGTGTTGGATTTCCTTTCGGAGGAGTGATCGGAAAACCGACTGAAAAATACGGAAAACACTGGAAAGACCGGATAAGCCCATCAGACCCCCGAGGTCCGTGGTCTCCGAGTCCCCACTGGCACTCATAGTACTTCGTGAGATTAACTTTAAAGTGAAATGATATATGTGGGGGTACTAAGAGAGCCACCTAGGTAGGAAGTTCTACTATTTCACATGGCCAATAACGCCTACTAGTACTCATGCATCCTTTACTCCCGAAGTTGATACAGTCACCGTGGATGGTACTTACGAAGTGTTCATCGACCCTATATCCTCTTCTAGGCTGTCTAGACGGACAAAAAGGTCCGAGTCCTACAATGTAGCAATCCAGCTAGTGCGATATGAGAAAAAGTTGTTTAACATTCCGTCCATGGGTGTCTAAAAGTTTTATCAGCTCAGCTTCTACAACTTAGATGAGGTGCGATAAATATAGTTATTCAACCTTCGAAGTCTTTACTGTAAAAGCTTTTGTGCGCGATAAATGCCTCAGCCTACAATGGATATGTATGCAAACATTGGAATTCGGCTCTAATTATGCGCACGTAGATTCAAGTTCATAGTATCATAGGAATAGAAGCAATGTTTGGATCATTATGATAAAGGCTTGAGTGACGTCAGTTTGTATTGCGATGACATTTATCTAACCAAGGGAATAAAAGAAATATATAAACATTTGAAGGCGCGAATTCAACAGATGGTGTGAAAGAAAAGCAAAAATCACCATCGCGATGCCCATGAATCCACGAATCTCTTGATCAAGCCAGCATCAATCAATTCCACCCCACCGCTCAGCGAGGGACTAGCTGATTCTGTCTTCTCCATGGCAAATGATAGTCCTGATCGACCAGGTGCATCATTATCATATTTGTCAGTGAAAAAGTCCAGCAACTTTATCGTTGGGTTCCTCAGAGGATCTTGCTCGGATTCACGTAGACGCTGGACCCATTCTCGCTTGTGAAGGATCTCAAACTGTAAGCCTGCCCTTTGTAGAGCGGGTAGTAGATCCTCAGTCCATCGGAAAGTGGTGGAGTTCTGAAGATGATAAACCACGTTGGGGTCGTGAGCAAAAGACTTGGCTTTCTCATTGGGGAAGATCCCAGTGAGTTCCAACACGGCGTTCGCAACCACATCAACTGGAAGCCATGAGGGAGTCTCATCTAACGCTGGCAATGCCCTCAATGTCTTAGCATTCTGGAGCATTAGTGGAATTGCTTCGGTTGGATTCCAATAACCAGTCGTAGTGTCTCCAACAATTTGTCCAATTCTGAGAACTTTGGCAACCATCCCGGTATTTTTGGCAGCTGCATGAACGATTCGCTCAGCCACAAGCTTGGACCGGGCGTAGCCCATGTTTTGGGCATGTTCGAGCTCAGGGATGGGGCCTTCAGCGATATTAGCTGGAAGGGGTGTAGCGGCTGCTGCAGAGATCGAAGAGCAGAAGTAAAACTCCGCGGGAGAAGATTTGCGACTCGATAGACATAGATTGATCATCTTCTGAATGCCCTTGATGTGTTGTTGCTCAAAACTGCGAACACCCAAGGTGAAATTGACAGCCCAGGCTGCATGAACCACATGTGTCAGGGAACTGCGCAGTTCGTCGATGGTCGCCGATGGAAGACCTAGATCTTCCTGCCCAAGGATTGAAGGGAATGCAGCAATCACGCGTTCACGATGGGGAGGGCTCTTGAGGATAGACTCGACAGCACGCGATCTAATGCGCTGCGCTCAGAGTCTGCACGCACAAGACAGAAAATCTTTTTCACTAAAGGATCCTGTAATAATTTTGAGAGGATGTAAACACCCAAGGAGCCGGTGGTACCTGTGAGAATCTATGAGAATGAATTGTTAGAACAAACATCTGAGGAATGGAGAGATTTGACTACTTACCACAACTCGATCACTGGGTGGTCGATTGAGAAATGTCGAATATTGCGTGATCATTTGAGACATTGCTTGCAATTCGTCCTCGGTAACGGAAGCACTCCCTTCTCCCGTACGTAGCGCATGCAAATGCATGGCTAATCTTTCAACAGTCCCGCAGTCAAAGACAACATTGTGAGCCAGAGACGAAGCTCCAATGTCAATTTCAGACTGCAGAATGCCACGCGCTTTGATTGCCTGTAGGCTATCGACACCAGCCTCAAAGAGATCACTATCCATCGAGATATTTGGGAAGCCGAGATCTTTCCTGAAGACATTCAACACAAAGTCTTTCAATTGGGGTAACTCCAAAACGCGACGATGCTCGTTGTTACAATCGCCATTCTCTAGACGTGCGTACGCGGCCTCAATCAGATCATTGAACTCCACATAGCACCTGTTGCGGATCATGGTTCCCTTGTCAGTCATTGGGTAAGAGCACCCGTGATCCAGGATAATGACCATATTGCGCGAGATTTGACTGAAAGCTTCGGCATTTTGGTTGGCTGCCGCAATGTCAAGCCAGATGCGATCCAGAATCACCTCAGATGACAGACTCTCAGATTCGATACTGGGTACCACAATCAACCCAGGCAGTGGCTTCGAAACCCCGAACACGAGGTTATCCTTGACAAATATGTTTTGCCGGATACGATGTTCAATCGGTACAGGTAGAACTTTCTCTCCATTTACCAGAGTGATTCTGTCATCAATTCGCCCCAGGTACTTCCATGCATCGGGAATTGAGGGATGTTTCAGAAATGTGTCACGGCTGTGGAAAGATTTTGGAGGATCGTCAGAATTGGAGGCGACTTTGGATTGCAGCCCATCGAGCACTACACACTCATAGGAATCATTTTCGTGAAGCTTCCATTTCAAGAAGGGCTTCACCTTTTCCAATGGCCGAAGATAGTTCCAAGCCTTGTCTTCGGGGCCTCGCGCCGACGTCATCAATTGACCGAGCTCGGTAGCTCCGTAGTGACTGATCAGTCGGACGCCAGCATTTACTAGCAGATCACCAAGAGTATCGGGACAGCTGCTGCCTCCGAAGAGAACTTGCTCACATTTCGCTAATTCATTGATGCCCTCGTCCGTTTCACTCAAAAGTTTCAAGACGTAAGGGACACCGTGAAAGCTCTCTGGGGCCGTGACTTTCATTGTCTCGATAATATTCTTCCCTGTTAGCGGAAGATTGGCGTTGTAAATACAAATTCTCTTTCTTTTGAAAAGTGAACGGAAGAAAGTAGAGAGACCATGGTTGTGGAAGAGTGGAAGGGTGAGCAGAGCTCGATAGCCCTTGCTTGTGCTGTAGTTGGAAATGCAAGCCCCGTGGGTTTGGAAGATCGGTTTCGGAAGACCAGTAGAGCCAGAAGAATGGATAATAAAAGCCCATCGATGGGAAGCCTCCAGTGTTCCACGTGCTTGTGAGGCTATAACGGGTTGCTCCTTTGAGTAGTTTACGAATTCCGAGATTAGAAATGTGGATGCAGGTGAATGCTCAACCAACTGTTCGACCGCCTTTTTGTTGCTTGGGGCGTATACAATATTGGTACAGTTTGTCAGAGCGAGAAGGTTGGCATATGCCTCGGTGCTGAGACGGGTGGAAAGGAGCAGAATACTGTATCCCATCCGAGACAATGCGAAAAGTGACACGATGTAGTCTAGGTTCGAGGGCCCGAGGATGGCGATGACGTGGTTCTCAGTCAAATTGGAGAGCTGCAATCAATCTTGAGTAATCTGAACTTTACGCGTGTTAAACCTGACTCGGATCTATATATACCTCTTCAACCCCGGCCTCCTTGTACTCCTTGACAGCGCCATTGGCGAACCTGTCCAGATCACGGGGGGTATAATATTCATAATCGGTGACTCCATGTGCAGTCTTTGGGTAGCCCACAAGGAGCTCATCAGGTGCATCCCGGACCAAATTTTGTAGAACATCGTCGATTATGTAGGGAGGGTGGGATCCGTCGGCTGGTGGACTTGGGGGGCATTCTTTGAGCAAATCCAGCCTTCGCGGTATCTTCATTCCGAAGCGCGGGCGCAAATGAATTTTCAAATAACATGAGGTATGATAGCTTATTTCAATATCTTCTTATCGAGCACAGGAAAGCTGTCCTGGTAAAAACTGTCACGACGTTTAAATACGAAATTGGCCGAGTTGACTGAGAGCTTCATAGTATAAGTTATCCAATCGGATAGAGATTCGGGACCCACAATGCTTATCCGTATGGTAGACATTTCCGTTCCCCGCGAAGTTGAATATCCGGATATTTGGTCGCATGGTATGTGGAACCGGGGCTAGGAAAAAGAAAGGGTAGAAAGTAAGACCGGAAAAAGGTACGAGAAAGATCGGGTGGATGTGCAGAGAGTGAAGAAGAGGGTGGAAATGCAGCGAAAAGAGGTTAGTTGAAACATACCGGCGTGATGCAGACAGAGTAGGAGAAAAGGAATGCTTGTGATTCTAGTGGCCGAAAAGAAAAGATAATCTCAGACTTCTATAAGATAGCTCCATCAGCTGGTTCCGTAATGCATGGCCATATCGATCTTTATATGAGAGAAATATGGCTGCAAAGCATTTCATCAACGATGGCGCAACACTCGTCCAAGATGCCTTGCATGGATTAGCTCTGTCTAACCCTTCTTTGCGTTATGATGAAGATATCAAAGGTAAATAGAATACTAGCAAATCATTTTCATCACATTCTCCCTGTCTGTCCTTTTGTTTTCAGTGTGAGATAAATGAGCCACGCTAATGGTGCAAAGCTATCGTCAATCCCCATCATGACGGGAACAAAGATGTAACAATCATCTCCGGGGGAGGAGCTGGACATGAACCCTCTTTTGTAGGTTTTGTTGGTGACGGTTTTCTCAGTGCCGCCGTTTCGGGATTAATCTTCGCCTCACCTAGTGTGCACCAAATCCAAAGTACAATTTCTCGAGTAGGCGGGTCCGCTGGAACCTTGCTGGTCATCATGAATTATACGGGTGATGTACTGCAGTTTCATCTAGCTGCTGAAAAGGCCCGACTTGCTGGTTTTGACACTGCCGTGCTGGTGGTGGGGGATGATGTGTCGCTTGGTCGACGCAAGAGCGGCAAGGTTGGAAGACGAGGCCTGGCAGGTACCGTTCTCGTTGAGAAGATTCTCGGAGGTCTGGCCAAGCAAGGCAAGATGACACTCCAGGAACTCTACAAAGCCGGCCAAGATGTCGTGAAAAATCTTGCCACTGTTGGTGCTGCGTTAGACCATGTCCACATTGTGGGGAAACCGGCAATGGATTCGACAAAATATGTTGATCAGGTCGAACTGGGCATGGGAATTCATAATGAGTCTGGGTGTTATGTGATCAAATCCCAACCCGCCATTTCAGACCTGGTGGATCAGATGTTGGACAAAATCCTAGATCCGAATGATTCGGATCGGGCGTATGTCTCATTCTCTCGTGACGGAAACATCTGCCTAATGGTAAATAACCTGGGAGGTATATCGAAAATTGAGTTTTCTGCTATGACAAAGGTTGTTGTCGATCGACTGGGTAAGCAGACAATTTCCTCATTTCCCCCACAATTTCTGATGTCATGAAACAGAGCGGCGAGGCATTAAGCCTACTAGAATATATTCTGGCTCTTTCATGACTAGTTTGGACGGAAAAGGATTTAGCATCACGCTTCTGGAGGCTACTTCTCAAATGCTCGAGGCTCTGGACGCACCAGCTACCACCCCAGGATGGAGCATCACGCCAAGGCCCCAACAGGCTTATGGTGAAGAACCATGCAAACAGGATACCGTTGAAACGAGGACCGAGGAACTTCGGTCCAGGCCCCCCCTCTTTGCTGAAAGGTATTTAGTCCCCCATTGCCATTATCATGGTTGATAGCCTGACAATTCTTCTTGGGTAGTTGATGAACGCGATCTGCTGAAGTCCCTCGAGCGGGCTTGCAATAAGTTAATAGCGGTCGAGGCAGAGATTGATGGATTCGACTCGATTGTGGGCGATGAAGATTGCGGTTCGACACTTGCGCGAACAGCCCGCGCCATTCTTCGGGAAATGATCAATAAAGGTGATCATACCAGCGATAGCGGAGATATCATCCAGACTCTTGAAGTTCTGGCAGAAGTCGTGGAGAACAATATGGATGGTACCTCGGGGGCGCTTTATGCAATCTTCTTAAACGCTTTAGCTGCATCTCTTTGGGACATCAGCTCGAAGTTGCCAGAGAGGAGACTGGTTGAGCGTTCGGATTGGGCTCAGGCGTCCGGTAACGCACTCCAAGCTGTGCGTCAAGCTACACCAGCGACTGTGGGTGATCGTACTGTCATGGACGCTCTTTTCCCCTTCAAAGAATCATTGCAATCCGGTGCATCAGTAGCTGCAGCTATTTCTGCCGCACAAGCGGGACGCGACAGCACAAAAGGCATGACCGCTTCTCTTGGACGCGCGGTTTACGTGCCCGAGCAGGAGTGGAGCAAGGTTCCCGACCCTGGGGCAGTAGGCCTGGTGTGTCTTTTGGAGGGATTGTTAAGTAAGTGAGGAACTTGAAGGTTAATAGCTCGCTTAAAACCTTATGTCGTAATTCAATTAGTAAGTGCTATGTGTGACTATATTCTTTGTTCAACAACGCGATAAATTGATCATCTCTCATGAGCACGTCAAAATACTATAAGAAGATTTCAGTCGGCATACAATGTTAGCCGCGAAGACTAGTACCGTCCGATCGCATATCGTGGCTTTGAACAATTACCGATTGGGCTCACTCGTTGGATTGCCAACCATGAGAAAAAAAGAACGTCCAATTCCCCCATTCCTGCAACAGCCAAAGAATCAAGATGTTCCCAGTCTGGGATCCCGAATTCACCATCCATTGGAGAGTTATCCTGGACCCTGGCTTCTATCCACTGAGAAGTATTGGACTGCCTTGATGGGTTTATTGACAAATCAGCACCTTGTAGTCTCTCATTCTCTTGAGTGTGACTTTCAACAACATCGTTGTTTATTTGCACTAGGCCATTCCCAAACTCAAATTCGGCTGGAGGGCCGCCCTCATGGCCGTACATGGCCCGAATATTCTGGTTCGCATGACCAAAAGAGATTATGTTATTTGTGGTGATATTAGAAGCTGGATGTTGACCATATTGTTCCATTGCAGATCGAGCGTCATGGCGAAGCTCCTCCAGAACAACGAGATATCGTTGCACAAAAGATGACTGTGAGCAACAACTAGCCAGGTCCCGTTGAGATTGCTCTCCTATTTGTAAATACTTGGCAGTCTCCTCTGGACTTCGGCTTTGCGTAGCGAGCTGGATGACGCGCACATATAAAACCATGATGGCGGAAAAGGCGTAATAATGGGTGAACTGTGTCAGTAGTGTCAGTTTCTGAAGGACTCGGGCGGTAAGAAGGTTTTATTCCTTACCCAGAACATGCTATACATTCGGTGTTTTTCGCAGAGCTCGTGAACTACCGCGGCAATATTTGTTGCAGCCGTGATGCAAACATCGACATATTGATTGGAAGTTTCACTTCGCACGTTATTTTGAGATCTTTCTTGACCGACAAAATTCCCAAAGTGCTTTATCAAGAATGGTCGATAAAGCAAAATTTGTGCATGATAGAAAGCGAGATTGAGAACTGTATATTGGCATTGATATATCAGGATCAGAAGGTCAACATTCGAGGAATCAAGAAAGCCAGAGATTTCTTGTCGCCATCGAGTGAGATCGGCACCGTGCTGAGCAGCGGCCGCTTCTTCTTCTTGAGAGGTTGCTTTATGAGGTCCGTACATATCACGTAATATACGGCCAACAATGACCGATAGTTTGTCGTGATATAAGGGAGCTAGCATTATGCTCTGTGCAGTCGATTTTGAGGGGAGGATCTGGTGTCGCAAGATTCTTGAGTCATCAATCACGCCAGGAAAGTCTTGATCAATATCGTCATCGTGAAATATTCGTGGACGACCCAAAGCGGCACTGGGATAGTTGTCTAGGCTGTAGGCACACCAAAGGACACGTTTCCGACACTCGGAATCAATATAATCCACTCCAGCTCCAGTCTCTCGCTTTCGATTGCGATGCAGACCGATAGCCATTGCGAGGCGAGCCGTTGTCCCGAATAGACTCCAGCAATGATTGATACGAGACTGAGATAGAAGATAGAAGCACTGTGCTAACCGTGCTTGAACGCTAGTCAACCGAATAGGACCTGTCTCAGCGACGAGTTGTTGCTCCGAGGCCGCAAAAGAAGCCGCACTATCAAGTTAATAAGCCAAAGTAAGAAAAAAGGGAAATGGAGACACAGAAGTAGTGAAAACAACCCCTATTCTAGGAAAGCAAAAGAATTTGTAGTCTAATGACGAAACTGTTTGTTGGGGAATGGCTTTGTGGCTGATTCATGCTTAACAGGGATTGCTTTGCTTGAGCAAAAACCATCAACACTAAAGCCCGTTTCCCTCGCACACCAGGGCCAACAGCCTCGGACTTCAAAACGCTGCAGTAGAACTCATCCACCCAGCTTTCCACCTGCTGTTGGTGGAGAAATCGATGCGTAGGGAAGGTAAAATCGAAGTACCGCGCCACGAGCATGTCTGCTTCGTTTCTCACGGGGAGTAGCATGAAGGTTGACTCGCCTACAGGCAACGGAGTATCTTCAAATGTGAAGATCGGTGTGTTGAGCGGAAGCGACAGATGCTTATACAGCTTTCTTTGCACTCGAATCAGGAATGAGACACCGGATGATGGGCCAACATAGTGACCCTCTAGATCCGTTTGATGAGACTCGAGAGAGGCACGAGAGGGTGGGTTATCGCCCATTCGATTTATCTCTGGCATGTTAAAGCTCTGTCCAAGTTGATACTGTGGCAATGGGGGTGACTGGGCTGATTCTTCTGTAAAGTTCAATTGTTGCTGTTGCTCATTACTGTTCTGCGTAGGCTTCCGAGCAATACGAACAGCGGGCACTTTGCCCCTATTATAATCAGCGGTATATTCACATTTCTTGCCAGTTTGACTGCAACTGTCGCAAGGTAGCGTCCCGGTGCAGCGTAACTTTTTCCTAGGTTGATCATTGGGGTAAGCTTCCAAGGTTTATTCTGCTGTTTCACTCCCCGGCCCCCTTCTTCCACAACACGAAGGCAAGTGATGACTATACAGAACATCTCAGCAGCATAAATTCACTGACCTCTTGCATATATCGCAAGCCCGAGTTACGCGTACGCGTTCTCTGTCGCATGGCCGCTTACTAGGTCGTTCTCCAGTCATCGGATTCTTTGTTTAAAAACAATGAAGAGATAATGCAAATAGTGATGTTGGCGTGGCAAAGGCCTTTTGATTCAAATGGCCTAGTATCGATGTCTCTGTAAATTGGGTTGCGTTCTTGATCAAGTGGAGAAGACGCACAAGGCAAATCACGATAAATGTGATTATGTATGTATAGAATGTAAAGAACGCAGTCGCTATGATCCGGATTACCTTACAACTGCCAAGGTTCCCGCCCTAGATGATTATATATGCCCCTAACATCACCTGACACTCGGTTATAATTTGTGGCTGTCTTTCTGGTATTCCCCACTTACCTTCCCTTGAATGCATTCTATCTTTTACCACCCATTATAATCCGGTTGACCGCTAATTCTGCTGCAAGCAATAAGTCGTACCTCAGGCTACTTCGCAACAGCGAATTTACCTTTCAAGTTGGTTATAAGACTATATTTTCTGACCACAGGGGCAGAAAATTGGCCACGCTGCACAGATGGGCTCCGGGGCCCCGCAGCGGCGTTGCGGGAGTGGACTCTCGTATCGAATCCCCACGTACTCCGTACTGCGGTATACAGTGGCATTGCATGAGTTTGAAACCCCATCCCAGGCTTACTTGATTCCACCTGGGCATTATGACTCGTTCTGTCCGGGCTCCTAGTACCTGTTCTTTTGCCAGTCAATTGCTCAAACATCATGATCGCATCACTGACTAATTCAAAACAGAATACTCTCTGAGGACTAATTGATTGCTAGTCAATAAGTTCAACGATTTTTATATGATAAAGAAATCTGTGTCCACGGGTGTGATCAAGTGGACTGATGGTTGTTCGGCTCAATACATACCCGTGGACGGTGGGCGGATGGATGAAAAGGCCATTCAAATCATATTTAGAGGGGGGTTCTGACTAATTGATGCAGCTCTGAGTCCACATATGAGGATCCGGAACCTTCAAATGTTTTTGAATGATGGACTCTGAACCAACTTGAAGTTAAACATTTGAACCTTTAAAGGGCACTTTTTAATCCACTCCATCTTTAAAAATATGGCGGAATATCATGACTCAGATCTTCCAAGGTGATCAACAGACTCGGGGGCATTTCAGTTACCTATTTGCACCTAGTACCACTCAAGTCACGGTGCTGGCAGTAGCATTCTAGTGCTGGCATATGTTCAAGTTTCATTTTAAAATATATCCGCACTATTAAGAGGTAGGTAGTTCACCCACCTAAAATCGTCACGGTCACAAGTGACCTGCACGCAAACGTTGGAAGATATTACCACTCTCTCCATTCACCCCCAGGACCTTCAAAGCAAGGGCTCCGCCAAGCTTTGGCACCGATTGCTGCAGCTCTGATCTTCTCCTCATCGATCTCTATGCCCAGACCGGGGCCCTGCATAAGATCCAACATACCCTCCTTCACGGTCCAAACCTCCGGGTTCTTGATCTAAGTCTCGATATCTGCCGAATCTTTGTTATAGTGGATACCGAGGCTCATTTCTTGAATCGCGAAGTTAGCCGACACGGCATCAACCTGGATATTCGCAGCCAAAGCGATCGGGCCAAGAGGGCAATGTGGTGCCAAAGCCACATCATAGGCTTCACCCATGATGGCAATACGACGCAGTTCAGAGATTCCTCCAACATGACTGATATCAGGCTGGAGAATACTAACAGATGCCGCCTCTAAGAATGGTTTGACGTCCCAACGAGAGTGTAAACGTTCTCCAAGGGCAATGGGGGTCGGGACAAGTTTGGATAAAGCGGCCACAGACTCTGGGTGCTCAGAGAGCAGGGGCTCCTCAATGAACAACGGCTCGTGTGGGGCGAGCTTGTGTGCAAGTTGAATAGCCATTGCCTTGTGTACTCTTCCGTGGAAATCCACGCCAGCGTCCAATCCTAAAGACTTTACGGTCTTCAACCGCTCCACTGATGCATTCAGCGCGGCGGGTGAGTCCAGCCAGCCAAGATCTTCGGTAGCGTTCATTTTAACTGTCTTGAATCCCTGAGCAATGCGACCGCGACTAGACACAAGAAACTAATCAGATCAAATGAAAGAGTGGGTTAGTTGAGCAAGGAGGGTGCGGATGCTTACGCCTGTGACTCCACATCTCCAGGGCGATCCCCGCCGATCCAAGCATAAACCCGTAGTTTGTCGCGGACCTTCCCGCCCAGGAACTCGTATATGGGTACACCAAAGCGCGAAGCTGAATAAAAGCGGATTCATGTTAGCCTGATATCATTCTTTCAGAGCGCCAACTTGCTTAATCCTACCTTTCAAATCTCATAGAGCGATATCGATCCCGGACAGGGCACTCATCAAGATTGGTCCCCCTCTGTAGAAGCCCATGCGATAGCCATTTTGCCATATATGCTCAATATCACTAGCATCATGAATGAGCATACAGCAAATAAAAAAGGAGGGCAGGAAGGAGTTATTTCATGAACATACTTAGCCTCAAAGCCAAAAAACCGCTCAATGAAGGCATCGAGACAGCCTTCGACCGCCTCTGTATGACCCTCTAGGGAAGCTTCACCCCAACCGACATTATTATCAGAATCCGTGACTTTGACGAACAGCCATCGTGGAGGGACTCTAAAATATTCAATCTGCTTGATTGGCGCCATTTCTTCGTCGGTTTGGCTGTGATTTGATGACGGTAGAGAGTTGATACCGCGAGTCCGATGTTACTGCTGAGGAAATCAACAATCTTAACTTCGCGTTATCGCTATGTAGACGGAAAATCAAAATATCGTCACTGGTTGAATCAAATATCCAGGAAATGCACTGATAGCAACACAGAAGACCTCGGGAGTATGTGATGAACAATACCATACTGTCAGCACTCAGACTATTGTAATTTCGGAAGAAATCCACTTATCCGAGAGTACTATGGCAAGCGGACTCTTCAGCAAGACCATCCGGAAAAACAAGGCCATTTGGAGGTATGCATTTCCACTGACCTCCAGCCACTTATCCGACCCTCGGTTATTCTGGCGACTCAAGATGTAATCAATAACTCTTTAATCAATATCTCTTTTGGTGAGTTTCATGAAGTCTGGCACTTCTAACACGCGAAGTCTGCTCTTTCATTCTGGAATCACACAATTCTTCTTCATAAATTTTTATTACAACAATGGCTTCAGGTAGAACCTACAAGCTGAACAGCGGCTACAGCATGCCTGCTGTTGGCCTGGGCACATGGGTTAGTATAAACTCCAGGAAATTATTGCCTTCACAAATAGCTAACACATATCTCTACAGCAATTGAAGAACGATAAGGTCCGCGATGCAGTGAAGACGGCTCTGGAAGCGGGCTACAGACACATCGATGCTGCTGCTGTGTACGGCAACGAAAAGCAAGTCGGAGATGGAATTAAAGCTTCCGGAGTTCCCCGCAGCGAAATATTTGTATGTGAATACAAATTCCAACCCCTCCTATTATGAAAAACATTTTGAACAGTACATTGACCGTTGCGTTGAAACTCATAGTTGACCAGCAAGTTATGGAACACCCATCACGGACCAGAACATGTTGAAGAGGCTGTGAACAAATCACTTGCTGATCTTCAGACGGATTATCTTGATCTTTACCTGGTAGGTTAACATTGAAAGTTGCTGGTCTTCGAAAGACTACTGACTCGAGCCTCCTCCCACAGATCCACTGGCCTGTAGCCTTTCGACACTCCAATGAAACCATCCAGCCTGTCGACGCCAAGACAGGACTCATCGACGTTATCGACGTACCGACTAAGGATACCTGGGCAGTGATGGAGCGTCTGGTGGATCAAGGAAAGATTCGCTCGATTGGTGTTAGCAACTTCACCCATTTGAAAATTGATGAATTATTCAAGACGTATGTGACCTTGTTCAGGGCTGAAAATTCGATCATCCGCAAGCTGACCTGATTGTAGTGCAAGGATTCGCCCTGCCGTCAACCAAATTGAAGCTCACCCCTACCTTCAGCAACGCGAATTTCTTCAGTGGAGTAAAGACAATGTACGTATGGTTCTCATGGCGCATATGTCACCCACCTGCGGTGCTGATCCTAATTCCGATTGCAGCAAATTTTGATCACAGCCTACTCCCCTCTTGGAAACAACATTTACAATATCCCCCGGTGCGTTGATAAAGTCATATCAAGAGACAATGTTCATTTACTTACATCATTCTTCCAGTGCCGTTGACGATGACCTGGTGATTGAGACTGCCCACCAACTTGGTAAGACACCAGCGCAAGTTTTGATCAGCTGGGCCGTTGGTCGCGGAACGGCGGTTCTTCCTAAATCAGTTACGGCTAAGCGAATTCGCAGCAATTTTGATGGTATGATTTCCACGAATCTGATTCTCCAGTCCTCCCGTATATCTCCGCATCTGGGCTAACATAGCATTTGTATCAGACTTCGTACTTCCCGATCACGCATTTGAATCTATCCAGAGCTTAGAGAAGCACCAACGTATGAACTTCCCAGCAAGACTAGGTGTTGATATTTTTGGGGAGGTCGGTGAAGCTAGCGCTCGGCAGAGTGCAGAGGCATGGGCCGCGGAGCAGAAGAAGCTTGCGAACCATTGAAAAAAACACTTTCCTAAAGTGATTCTCGACAGATGAATTCAATTTTTTGCTTTAGATAAAACAATTGGAAATCCAGCATTTTTATAGAATATTTTTGAACCTACTTCTGCAATTCAGTGCTTCATTTGCAAATCTGAGCTTTAAGGATACGCTATATGCAAAACACGCACAAGAACTATCATCAATATCATAACCATGAGCTTGGTAATTCTTTGTTTAATAAACTTTTAAATTCAAGTGTTATAAATGAGAGCGTTTTTAATGCTTGTCAGTCATTTGGTGTTCCATCAGGTCCACAAGGTATCCTCTAGGCCAGCAACCATGGGGTCAAAGTCCCGAGCAGAAGAGTGTATCCATAAACACGTAAAATCAGATTCCACCATGTTATTGACAGAGAGTGTTCACCTGGCATTTATTATTTTTGTGGTAGCTACCAATAAAACAAAATAGTTTCATAGTTTTTGATAAAGACTTTCGTTATCCTGATACGGGGGTCCGACCAATTCACTTATCCGAGATCTGTGACCGGATATGAAAATTGGGGTTGGATGGAAACGTAGCCTGTATCTCGCTTGACAAATCAGCATGATGAGTCGTCCCTCTTTTCCTCTTTGGAAATCCGAGTGGTCTAAGCTCCTCTTTCGGGCCAATCCCTTACCCCATGGGGAACTTACCCCAGAGGCACTAAATTAGGACATGGAGCGAAGCCCAGGAACTTAAAATGAAACCCCACTGGCCCCAGACTTCTCCCTTTCCATTTTCATTCGGCCATTTTGCTTGGCCTTTTTTCGTCCCTCTCTTTCTTTCGAAGTTCAATCCATTATTGAATTTCATCCTGAGCTATGGACGGTGCCAAATGTTCAGAAAACCAACACATCGAGCAATATGTGCTCGAAAATCCTAAGGCTCAAGGCCTGAAGGCTGTGCCTGAAGTGTTGTTGACTTTGTCTTCGGAAGAGAGAGAACAAAAGGAGAAGGCATTGGTCAGAAAGATTGACACCAGACTGTTGATAATCATGTTGGTTATGTATATCCTCAACTACCTAGATCGCAACAACATCGCAGCCGCGAAATTGGCGGGGCTACAGGATGATTTGAATCTTACAGGTGACGAGTACCAGGTAAGGAATTGCCAAGCTATAGAAACTATGATGAGGGGTGAAAGTGGCCTAGAAGTCTGACTGCAATGCATAGGTCTGTGTTAGCATCTTGTTTGTCGGATACCTCCTAATGCAAGGTAAATGGATCTGAGCTTTGTGACATTTTCCGTGTTCTGAGAGTTAATTGTGACAGTGCCTTCAAATATGATTCTTAAAAAGTTCGGTAAACCTTCAATCTATTTGCCCAGCTGCATGGTAGTATGGGGTGTCATCTCTTGTTGCACTGCTGTCACAAAGGACTTCGGGGGCTTGCTGGCCGTCCGATTCTTCCTCGGATTTATTGAGGCTGCTTATTTTGTGAGAATTCATCAGCTTCTGCTTAATAAAACCTTGCTAATTTCCTCTAGCCCGGTTGTCTTTATCTCCTGTCGGCATGGTATACAAGGAAGGAACTAGTGAAGCGAACTGCATTACTATACGCGGGATCATTGATTTCAGGAGCCTTTTCAGGCTTGATATCTGCTGGTATTACTAGTGGCCTGAATGGGGCCCGAGGTATCGCAGCATGGAGATGGCTCTTTATCATAGAGGGCTCACTGACGGTACGTCTCACTACCATGGTGCCAAGCCATTATTAGAGCTAAATCTATTAGATTTTTGCGGCTTTAGTCGCTTTCTTCATTGTTCCTGATCTTCCCAGAACCACACTCTGGTTGAGTGATGATGAGAAAGTGCTTGCAGCTTGGAGATTAGAAGAAGATATTGGTGAGGACGATTGGGTGGATAGTGAACATCAAAGCATGTTCCATGGTGCAAAGCTGGCTTTCCTGTAAGTTCGATATCCAATCCCTAATATTCGCCCTTGCATTAATAATGTTTTTTCGATCAGAGATCCGAAAACCTGGCTACTGCTCGGTCTCATTTACGGCTGTACATCGGCCGGCGCTGTTACCACTTTCTTCCCGAGGTATGAAATTTTCGCTGTACACATTTTGTGTGAACAATCAAACTGACAACTGACGCATCCAAGTGTAATGGCTGGACTTGGCAGGAATAAAATCGATACCTTGCTCCTGACAACACCGCCATATCTCATAGGAACAATTGTTGTGTTGATCAATGCCTGGCATGCAGACCGCACAGGTGAACGATACCTGCACATGTGTCTTCCACCATTATTGCTATTGTGTCTTTCGTCCTGGCTATGGCAGGAAATAACTTTGCCGCTCGTTATGTGTAAGTCTAGGCAACTATATGATGCAAATTGGACAATGACTGACGGAAAAAATAAAGGGCAATGTGCATCATGCTAGGTGGTATTTACTCCAGTTACGTTGTTGCCCTCGGATACATTTCAAACAGTAAGGGCTCTTCTGCTGCCATACTTCAAATAACTCAGACTAATGAGCACAGTCTTGCCTCGTCCTGCCGCAAAGCGTGCAGCTGCTTTGGCCTTGATCAATTGTCTCAGTAATGTGTGCCAAATTTACACGCCTTATCTTTACCCTGGTAAGTCCGAAACTTGGGACGAGCGTATACAATTTCTAATTCATTCACACCAAGATTCCGCCGCACCTCGATATATCACCGCTTTTAGTATCGACATCGGAATGTGCGTCATGACGATCATATTTGCCACCATCCTTCGCATTTATCTTGGAAGGCTGAACAAGCAACTGGACCAAGAGGAGGGTACGGATCTGACCACAGACGCTATGTCCAGTGAAGGAAATGGCCCCTCCGGATTGACTGTTAGAAGTTTCCGATACTTGCTTTAATTCTTGAATGTCGTTGCTCAGCTTCAAGTTGCGGGTGGCTTTCTTCGAATCTTTCATTGGGTAGTTGAAGCAATAAATCTGGGGTATACGCACAAAGTTGGGATTTATGTTCAAATATTACTAAATCTTTTCCTACAATGATAATTGATATCCTTTATCAAGAATTCCATAAAATGTAGAAAATTTGCCAGCATGGATCCACTGGCAGCGCATAGGAAAGATGGTGTATTGAATCACCGCCCGGGTGCAATGCACATGTGCAGAGACTTCAAACATTTGAACGATATAGACCTCTTTTCCTACTTGTGTCGCAGTAGTTTTTCGAGTTTCAGTTTCCTCACCACTGGCATCTGGCAGACTACTTAACATTGAAGGAGGAGTACCCAGCCCAAAGCTTAGACCACAGATTCCCCGATAACTTGAAACAAGATTTTTCTTCCGTTTATCCAATCTAAAAATGAATATCTCCCTCTTAATTCAGCTATCTCTCACTTTTGATATCGGGGCCCTATGGTTGCCAGTTAGGTACTCATATCTAACTATATAGCAGTTAGCCTTCCCCTCCAGGTAATCATATAACGTAACCATGTAGGTAACCATGTAGGTACATAAGTACTAGTACATAACCATGTACTAGTAGGTAACCCCATACTAGGTACTTACATACAAAGAGGTGCAGCTTATCACTCACCTGTCTCCATACGCTACCGTGACCGACTCGGACTGAGCCCTGTACTTACTACTAAGTATGTGAACATCCCTACCTATCTGAGAGGATGTAGACATGTCTGGCCAAGTACTCGTGTGCTGAGGACATAAATTTCCAAATTTCAGATGCTGGCTGCTTCAAATGTTCACTCGCAGTGCCGCGCGGAGCGCGGCGTGAGGACTTGTTTCTTACAACTTGAACATCCATAGAAAACAGCATTCACCAAGAACATTTGAAGAGAGTCTGGCCTAGGGTCCTCATTTATTATTTCAAAGTCTTACCTATTCAAGTGTAACATTTGAAGTACATCTCCGATTCAAGTCTGGGGACCTTGAGCTCTCAAGATTTCAAGTTCCTTTTTAGTATTTGTAGATTAACCTGGATTGAGTAAATGATTCCTTGCTCAATCCTTTTCCCATGCAGCCAGAGGCTCCCACTGGCAGGAAGCCTGAGACATCACATGTGCAACACTGATCCATTCACATTCTCCCCATAACGAAATCTCTTTGAGAGGCATATTCCACATTCAGTAGGCATAGAGATTTATCTCCTCCGGATTGTCAGTCAGAATCTTCTTGTTCTGTTTGACCAGGATAAACCTCATTACCCAAGCCAAGATGACGACTCCCGCCGAGAATCCGATACTACAGTACATGGCCGTGGCAAACTTCGGGGCATCACTGTCAGGCCACAAATATGGGGAGTATACACTAGCCAGATTTCCCAAAGTATTGGTAATTGCGATCGCCACAGCCTTTTTCTCATCTGTTTGGCCGACCGTTGCCGCAACCCAAGCGATGTTGATGTTGTTTACACCGTAGGTCGCAGCCACAAACAAAATCATGGCAAAATACCGAGCTCCGATATTCAAAGTACCACATCCAACAGCAAATCCCACAATGGCTAATAGTTTCGAGATAGTTGTATGCCAGGTCCGCTCATTTTGACGACCAGAAGACCAAGATACGGCCACTGAAGTGAACGTCGCGAGGAGATAAGGTGGACAGGTGAGCACCAGAGTGATGGTGTCATTGAAGCCAAGTGTCTTTACAACAGTTGGCATGAAGTTCTTGAATCCATTTGCGGAAAGGTGAAGATTGCACATCAATGCAAAGATCCAGGTACGGCAGTCAGTACAAGCCTCTCTCAGTCCTCCCCATGTGCTGGTACCTTCTTGCTTTTGGGTTGTATCGCGAGCGATGCGGTGATGGGCCAGTTGTCTCTCCTCTGGGGTAAGCCATGGCGTCTGAAGCGGCGAGTTTGGTAGGACGAAAAATGCAAGAATAGCCACGGCGACAGTGACGACACCCTGAATCAGGAAAAGCCACTGCCATCCGGCTATGCCAGCCTTCTTGTCTAGACCGGAAAATACCACAGCCGAGATTAGACCAGAGAGTGCACTTGCCAGCATGTTTCCAGTGTAGAGAATAGCCATTCGTGTGGTGACTTCCTTTCTGTTGTAAAAAAGCGATATCATGAACAAGGCTCCAGGGTAAGATGGGGCTTCAACAATTCCGAGAATCAAGCGACAAACCAGCATCCCATAGTAGTCCTTGACAAGACAAGTCAAGGTGGAGACAATAGCCCAGGCCATCATAAAGCCCGCCATATAGTGAGCTGGCTTGACGCGATTGAGGAGCATGTTGGATGGGACCTGGCCTAGTAAATAACTTCAATCTGATCAGTATATTGTTTATTGCAGCAAAGGCACTGTATGATTGTACATACCCAACAAATAAGATACTGATGCAGGTATTGTACTGTGTTACCTCTAGTTTTAGGTCCTCGGAAAGGCTGTTGAGCTTGTCATTCACCATGGCGTTCCGATCAAGGAAATTCAAGAAGTACATAAACCACAATATTGGCTTGCTCGAATTAGCATGATCGCATCTGTTTGAGCATTGGTGTAAAAAACTTACCATCATGTAAATATCGATTTTCCGAACGAGTGCGATCTCTTTTGGGTCAACCTTCGCCGCCGAGCCAAACTGATCATACTGAGGAGTCACTTCCAAATCCCCCTTGAGCATATCTACATGCTCCACATGGCCCTCATCTTTATCTGAGGTCTTGGTCATTGTCTTCATTATGAAGGTTTACTCTCTTCGCAGTCATATGACTCCGAGTCTCAAAAAACAAGATCGCCAGTAGGGCTTTTGGACATGTATTTGTAGAAATGAAAATATCATGATTAAGCTCGACACATGGATCTATATCTACCCCGTGGGGAAGTGTTTGCCAAGACACAGGCACAGACTGCCAAGAGAGGAATGAGCGGACTGCTAGCTATAATGGTCGTGAACGAGGCCATTTTGAGAGTACCAAGAAACCTGTCAAGTGCTTTTCCGATCGGTTATTCACCTGGGAGCAACCGGAAGTTACGACAGAGTTCCCTTATCCGAGTCGGAGAATGAGAGTGACAGCTCTCATTGGAGGAAGGTTGACAAGAAAGTATCATGATACTATATTATTTTACTTTTCCAATTTTGTTGGATTCCTTTGCCTTCAAGTTCCTGATTACCAGTCGTATAGTACTATTAGTCAATCCAAGGCTCATTTATCTTGGCAGAAATTAGAAGCTAGATCATTTGATAACTCTCGGATTTTCAAATAGGTGTAGGATGGTTCGAATGATAGAGCGCATTTTCCGAGTCGATGCACTTCCAAGGTTTCCGGGTGTGAGAAATTAGCCATCATTTCTTTGTCAGTTGAACTTCAAGATCAGTAGGCGTCAACCTCAAAATGTAAGCTTGGAATAAGATAGGGAGTGGTCCATATTGATCCAGGACTACGAGAAAAAGAATAAGAAGAAATGTAATGAGCAGGGATCGAACCGAGGACTTTTAGATTTCGCGATGTTTATGCCAAGTGAGGCATCAAGATGAGCATGATAAAAGCCTCAACTTTTAAAAAATAATAACAAATCCAATAAAAAATAGATAAAGATATAAAAGTAATATCAAAAGAAAGAGCAAAAAGAAAAAGGCTCCGCAGAAGTCTTTCACATAGTCCGCTGCATGCTTTCTCACGGTGGTGTTCCACTTAGGCAAGTCTCACGCTCGCGGATGCTACTTGACAACCCTCAGTCCCAGCATTCTAGTCTTATGGTATCATAGTGTCAAATCACATCGGGACAGACACGATAGCCCGCTGAGCTACTACGATGCGTATGGTTATCTGGACTCCCAAATTTACCCCTATAACTGAGAAACGATATTAATGCCAGAATTCCCAGGCAGCCCTCCCCAGTCCACCCAGGCTTCTTTGACTCAAAACGTCTGACCTCAGGCTGGAAGTATGGTATTCTTTTCCCTACTAAATATAGACCTATCACATTATAAAATAAAACAACTCAAGATTCATAATCTGCGCTTTAAATCATTCTAGAGCTTTATGATCTCCAGGACTAGTCCACTTAGTACTGTAAATCACTAGTCTAGGTAGCGTGAGCCCCATACATCACTTTTTACTGGTACATTTAACTACCAGTCGATAAATGACTTGACCTGGCCCAATAATAGTGATCTCTTATCTCTTCATTCCCTTTGGCGCTCTCTATCTCGCACTCTGAAACATTCAAATTGTTACCCCTCTCTTCAATTTACGCCCCCACCCCTCCACATTGGCTTTAAGACCAATTAATTGCTCAGCCAGGACTCTGCTCGCCGGAGAAAACGGCGCTATCAGATTAACTCCGAAACTAAGATCATTCTGGCCAATGTTAGCTGCCTACCATGCCATGTAAGCAGAAACGCAGAAATCCCACGGTGATCTAGGCCATATCTGCCCTATCTTTACATTATTTTCAGAGCTATTTGCTTGCCAGTGCCCACCATAAACTTGAACTCTTTCAAGGTGTAGTAGCTTTGGAGGTCTGTAATAATTCACTTCTTTTTTGATATGTAAGACAATCTGATTGGTACTATTCTTGTTGATTTTTTGTCATTATCTGCATCTGGATATCGTGCTTGGTACATTTAACCTTGGGATCATGATGTTCCAAGGTTCGGTCTTGTCGGATTTAACCACTGCAGCTTTATGTACTGAAGGTTTGAAGCAGGATTCTCATTCTTGATTGATATAGTGGAGCACACATGTGCAAACAGCGCATATGCTATGGTCTCATCTTCACCTTCATGTGCAAGTGAAAACCTTCAATGAATCATCACATATTTATATACCGCTTCCTCTCCACCTTCGATATCGCATCTGATACAACTCGTAGTCGATTAAAGTTCTTCTGTTCCACATCATTGAACTGATAATCTGCACATTATGTCCGAGTCATCTCCTGTTTGGCTTATCACAGGCGCTTCTAATGGCCTTGGTCTTGAAATGTGTCTCCGTGCTCTACGCGCGGGACACCGTGTTATCGGGTCGATACGCAGTAAGACCAAAGGCGCCACAGCAGTTGAGCAGATCGAGCAGGCTGGAGGCTCGGTGATCGAGTTGGATATGACAGAGTCACAGTCCAGCATCTCAAGCAAGGTACAGGCCCTTGGTCGCATCGATTATCTGATCAATGTTGCCGGCTACTCCATCCTGGCCCCGTGCGAGGACATCACGTACGTAACGACCAATATGAAGCGCATAATGGAAATTGCCCCGTCTGACATCTTGTAGTGACCAGGAGGCAACCCTACAAATGACAACAAACTTCTTCGGTCCATTGTACACCCTGCAGGCTGTCCTTCCTGGCATGCGTGCCCAGGGCTCTGGTACTATTGTCAATATCTCCAGCGTTGCCGCCCAGGACCCAATGCCAGCATGCTCATTGTACAGTGCCTCTAAGGCCGCGCTAGAGGCAGCATCCGAGTCGCTTGCTAAGGAAGTTGCTCCCCATAACATCCGCGTGCTGATTGTTGAGCCTGGTAATTTCCGCACGAACTTTGTTAGCGCAGTAAGTTTTCGATAAATTTTTCGCTTGTGATTTCGATATCTGCAATCAGTGCTAATTTTGTGGTGTTGTAGTTGGCTGATGCAAGTCCTGACCCGGCCAAGGTGGCGCCACACTATGATGACCCGGTCGGAGTGATAATGCGGAAGTTTCTTACTATCCATGGGAAGCAGGCTGGTGATCCCCAGAAAGGAGTCGATCGCATTTTCGAGGTTGTCACAGGCACTGGAATAGCTGGTCCCCTGTCAGGCAAGATCTCTAGACTTGTTCTGGGGAATGATGCGTATGCCAGGATCCAGAAGAGCTGCGAGAGACTTGAAAATGACTTGAAGGTGCAGGAAGAAGTTTCCACTAGCACGAATTATGCCTGAGATGAATAGACCTTGGGCGCATGTGAGCATCATGATGGATCTTATTATATTGGTGATAAGACTAGAGCAATAGATTACGTTCAAAAAATAAAGTGCCGAGGATAAGTGATGAAAAGAAAAAGTTCTCATTAACCAGCCTCCACGGCTGAATTATTCAAGTTGTATTCAAATCTTGTTCATGTTCACGGCCAACTGGTATACACCGTGACGGAATATCATTTTCCCTGTCCCGTGCTGCTGCTCCTGAATGAGGAATACAATCCTATTCTACGCACAATATTATCTTGCGGCCATAATTCAGAGCTGCCAAATTCCATGTGTGGCGAAGCATTGCAGAATGATCCGAGATTGTCTTTGTGCATAAATGTTTGCAGACGCCGAAGTAGTCGGCAGCTCTAGCGAAATACCCGCTTGAATGTGACCCTGAATCCCTGACCCCGCATATTCGTCATGGAGAATTATGATCGGCGCTATAACAAAGCCACAGGGTTACTTCCACCCCACGTCCTCGGCGCCTTAGCTTACCTTCAACCAGAGTTTTAAAGCTTCATAGCCGGGATTCGACTGCCGAGCTGGACTGGTGTCTCCTTGTACCCGTTTTACTAACCCGTCCTGTGTTCTGATATAAAATGCTTCATCCCTTGAACCGCATCTCCAGCTGCTAAAGAGACCTACTTACTAGCAGTGCGCACTTGTCCTGCAAGATGAAGGACTATACGGCTGCTACGCTGTTCCTAGCCCTAGCGTGTGTTTCTGCCCAACCGACGCGTCGTACTAGTCGCTGCGCAATCAAAAGCATTCCCAACTATCATGAGAATGCCGGCGTACTCCAATTCGTCGACCCTCTTATCGGGACATATGGCGATTCGCCGAACAACAATGGCGGAATGATCCCCTCCGTCGCGCCTCCATTCGCAATGACTCGATGGACACCACAAACACGAGAAAACTTCATTTCCCAATGTCCATATGGTGACAGCGATCGCCGCATCCATGGATTTCAGGCTACACATCAGCCGGCTATTTGGATGGGGGAGGCGGGTCAAATTGTTTTGAGCCCTGGAATGGGCGAAGTCCAGCCCGCGTTTATCAACCGGGGACTTGCATTCCGAAAAGAGGACGAAAAGAGCACACCCTATGTTTACGAGGTTCTTCTTGATGCTACGCAGCTTTTGAACCGCGATTTGAATGCTACAGCGGCCTATGCTAATGATGGACCTGATCCTGGCGGCGCTGGTGCGGTCCCAGAGGAGGTTGAAGAAGGAGCCAATGGTCGGACGAGAAAGCGGAATGAGGCGCAGGTGGAGATCAGCTCCAAATCTCACGATGAAACGTACCCGAAGTCAATTCAGGTACTGCCACTCAACCTCTATATCATAAAACTGGAAATAAATTCTAACTAAATTATAGGTAGCTCTAGCAGCGGATTCGCACGCAGGACATCTCCGATTTGACTTCCAGGACTGCAGTGGGAAGTCGGAGCCATGGGTCTTCATTGAGATTTCTCGCCAGAACTGGACTGGAGAAGCCCATATTGATCCTAATGCCAATGAGGTTTATGGTTATAACTCTGAAAGACAAGACTACTTACTCGGACCGGACCATGCATCCTCATTCAAGGGGTACTTTGTCTCGCGATTCTCCGAGCCATTTGCGAGTTATGGCGTGACCAACGGAAACACCTCCCTGGAAGGTCAGAGTGACCGTACTGGCAATTTTACCGGTGCATTTGTCCGATTCAGTCCAAACGTGACTGCCGTAGAAGTCCGAACTGGCATTTCATATGTTAGTGTGGAACAAGCACGACGCAATCTAGAGATTGAGACTCCGGCTGGCTCTAAATTTGAAGATACCGTTCAAAATGTCAAGGAAGCATGGCTTGAAAAGCTAAGTCGCGTAACAATCGAAGGTGTCAACAAAACCGACTCTGATCATGACCCCCGCAAGATCTTTTATACCGGTCTCTTTCATGCTTTGCAATATCCAAGTGATTTCTCCGAGCCTGCTTCGCATGATGGAAATGAACGGACGTTTTACTCGGGATACACTGACAGTGTACACACTGCAAACGATTCCTACTATCAGTCATGGTCCATTTGGGACACTTATCGAGCAGAGCATTCCCTATTGACACTCTTCGCGCCTGAGCGAGTGAACAGCATGATGCGTTCGATGCTTCAAATTTTTGATTGGTCTGGGTGGTTACCCATGTGGGCTAATATGATCGAAACCAATATCATGATCGCCACAAACGCTGACGCAGTCTTGGCAAACGCCTTAGAGAGAGGGTTCCGAGATTTCGACATTGCGAAAGCGTGGGCTGCAGTTAAGAAAGACGCATATACACCCCCAGAGCACGACCTTGAGACTCTTTACTATGACAGAGAGCCTTACACCTCGTACGAGGTGCGTGCTGGTCTTACAGCCTATATGAAGCAGGGTTGGGTATCAAATGATGGATGGTCTGAAGCCGGCAGTAGGACTTTGGACTATGCGTTCGATGACTATGCCTGCTCCATTGTCGGGGCTCATGCTGGCGCGGACAATGCGTCCATCGAAGCGCTCCGCGTCCGTAGTGGTAACTATGCTACCATTTGGAACAATGAGACTCAGTTCATGCAGGCACGGAATGGAAATGGAACTTGGGCGAATAGTGAATGGGGCTGGACGGAAGGAGATGACTGGGTCTACACTTTCGACGTGTTGCATGATATCGAAGGCTTGTCTCAACTGTTTGGCAGCCGGGAATCCATGCGCGGCAAATTGGATGTTTACTTTCAAGGCGGACATAATGACCAGACGAATGAGCCAAGTCATCATGTTCCTTATCTTTATTCAGTCCTCGGCTACCCGGCTAGCTCTGCGGAGACCATTCCTGGCATCGCCTGGTCCAACTACAATGCTACAAGCGGGGGCCTGAGTGGGAACGATGATTTGGGTCAGACAAGTGCTTGGTATATTTTCTCAGCTTTGGGATTTTATCCGGTCAATCCTGCAAGCGATGAATACATTGTTGGGACGCCATTCTTCGAGAAGACTACCATTCGATTCCCAGCGGAGGCTGCTACGGGTGGTCGACCCACAGATAGACCGGATAGAGTGCTCGTTATCACTGCCCCGGGAGCACCTACCAAGCCATACATCAAGAGCTTGAAAGTCGGCGGCAAGATCCTCATGTCTCCAGTTTTGACGCACACCGATATTCTACATGCAGGAAGCATCCAGTTCGAGATGAGCGATGCTCCTACATCCTGGGGAACAGTTCCACTATGGGAAGAATAACGATGGGCCTCATTTCAAGACGAAGAATATCATTCCGTACCATTATTCAGGCTCCTTTTATTCAGTCATTTGACCCGGCTTACCTCCATCTGTGCCTGAATGGGTCCCTAACTCAATACACACTGTTGCATCCCAATCGTGAGACCCTACAAAGTGCCCTTTTAGTCTCATATTTCAATTTTAAAATTTCAGAACTTCAATTTGCATCGGATACCCCAGTCCTCAGTGACGTTGAAGGCTTTCCAAGATTCCCAACCGCGGTCCACTATCTCCCGCCATTTAGTCATAGTAACCATGCCACGGAGGACTACGGGGTTATTGCCTTGAACGATTTAGTTCACTCTCACCACCTGGGCACTTTTACCGGCTATTCGTTACTCATTTTAGCCGTTAAAGACGTGCTTGGCAACTTGGACGAAGAAAATCGGAAAACCAATGCGGAGGCCCCACATTTCGTCAAAAGATGCAGGATTGAAGAAATGAAAAGTGAAACTCAATTGTTCGGCTCATCGGCATACCGACCCGGGATTTATTCAATTACAGATCAATCCCCAATGATAATCTCAAAAATCCCTGAAAAAAATGGAGAGCGACATAGGTGATATGCACCTTGCAGATTCGTCACTTTCCACCCCCATTCAAATCCGGGGGACGGCAATGTGTTTAGGAGGAGAAAGTCGGGCAGTTTCCGAGCGGAGAACTCGACACGAGCCGATGGGGTCGACAATTGTGGAGCTCATGGCGCCATTGACCTCTTAAATAGCTCCATTACAGAACGGAACAAGCTGATCGTCATTAAATCAATGGGTCTTTATGTCTATCATCCACTCGGATTGGATTATTTGTGACGTAGGGACCCGAGTTGTCACGGAATTTCCCCGGTGGGTCATCAACTAATGTATCTGGGGAGCCCTTCGGCAAAATCGGAGGCAATGCAAGATGCAAGATGCTTAAATAGTTAAGGATTGCCGCTTGTCTGATGAGATTTTTGTTGTGTTTCTCTTCCAGTTTGATATTTTGTTCGGTATCACTGTTTGGAAGATGATTGGTCCGAAGTCTTGGATCTGGTCGACCCTTGCGGCATCAGCCTTCGCGGCTCAGGCCCCATGGGACCTCGGCAGTGGCTTTACGCTTAATGTGGACCAGGCTGCTAACCACCTGGCTGTCACCGGCCAGAACAAGACAATCTGGGAGACTGTCCCCGGCAAGGCATTCTTGAGCGCCAGTGCAGGACTCGATGATATCGTCGACTCAAGTGGTAACTTCGAGATCACCCAGGTCGATGAAAACAAGTGCTCCTCTGAGCGTATCACTCGGGTCGCTCAACAGTCATACCAAGGAAGTGTCAACGGTCACGCTGCAGTCGTTCAAGGCACTCTCTCTGGTTGTGGCAATGAGACTGCCCAATTCTTGTTGACTCTCTATGTCCCTATTGAGTACCCGGATCGTATTGCGTTTAGCATCAATGTTGACCAGAGTGCCTCTTCTGGTGATTCATTGGCCAATATTTTCCTCACATACCGCTCCTCCCCATCTGAAGACTTCTACGGTCTCGGTGGTCAAGGCTCCTTTGCCTCCTTGAAAAACCAGTCTGTCCCTATCTTCTCTCGCGAGGGTGGTGTCGGTCGTGGTGACCAGCCCACTACCAACCTGGAGAACAACTACAGCTTCTTCTCCGGTGGTGACAAGCACACCACTTACTCTGCTATTCCTCAGTACATCAGTTCGGATGCTCGAGTCTTCCACCTGAGCGATGAGAGCACTGCTTACGCCAACTTTGATTTCACCAACGCCAGCTCCGTCACTGTGCGTTATGCCGAGCTGAGCGTGGAGGGTTACTTCATGCAGGCTAGCAACATGCTCAACGGTATCACCATGCTTACCGAGTACACTGGACGCATGCCTGAGATCCCCAAGTGGGCTGATACTGGTGCCGTTCTTGGTATCCAGGGTGGACAAACCAAGGTCAACAGCATTGTCAACTGGGGTCTCAACCTCTCGTGCCCCATTGCTGGTGTCTGGCTCCAGGACTGGTCTGGTACCCACACTCAGACTGCGTCCTACCTGAATGGCCTCACTGTTTCCCGTTTGTGGTGGAACTGGGAGAACGATGAGGATCTCTACCCAACATGGGACGCCTTTGTTCAAAACCTGCGTGATGAGCACAACGTTCGAACTCTGTCTTACATTAACCCCTTCTTGGCCAATGTCAGCACCAAGCCTGATGGCTACCGTCGCAACCTTTACCTGGAAGCTACCGAGGGCGGTTACATGATTCAAAACTCCACTATCAACTCTACTGCGGTTATCTCCAGTGGTGTCGGTATTGATGCGGGTATTGTGGATCTAACCAACCCCAAGGCTTGGGCCTGGTTCAAGGATGTCCTCGTTGAGCAGGTCTGGAGCGCTAATGTCTCTGGATACATGTGTGATTTCGGCGAGTACACCCCCGTCACTCCCGATACCGTGTTCGCCAACAAGAGCGTCAACCCGCGTACCTACCACAACAAGTACCCCCGCCAGTGGTCTATTCTGCATGACTCCCTTCGCAAGAGTGTCTCTGCTGTTGCCGAGTCGCTCATCTTCCACCGTTCCTCTTCCCTGTCCGCTAACCGCAACATGAACTTGTACTGGGTTGGAGACCAGAACACCGACTGGGGTGTTAACGATGGAATCAAGTCTGCTGTGACTATTCTCGGCCACATGGGTCTGTCTGGCTATGCCCACGGACACGTCGAGATCGGTGGATACACTACCACCTGGAACAGCAACGGAATTGTCAACCGTACCGCTGAGCTGCTCGGTCGCTGGGGTGAACTGTCCGCCGTTTCCAGCGCTGTTTTCCGATCGCACGAGGGTAACGTTCCCGAGGTGAACACTCAATTCTACACCAACAGTTCTACCTACTCCTACTACGCCTACAATGCCCGCATGTTCGCCAGTCTGGGCAAGTACCGTCGTCAGATTCTGGACACTGAGAGCAAGCACCTTGGCTGGCCTCTTGTTCGCATGCCCGTTATCTACCACCCCACTGATCTGAAGGCCAAGCAGATCAGCTACGAGAGCTTCTTCCTCGGTGCTGATCTCTACGTCGCTCCTGTCCTGGACCCTGGCCACAAGGCTGTGCGCGTCTACTTCCCTGGTCACGGTGAGACCTACAAGCATGTCTGGACTGGCAAGGAGTACCACAGTGGAGAGACCGCTGTTGTCCCTGCACCTTACGGAAAGCCTGCTGTCTTCGTTGTTGGCCAGCCTAAGCACAACAACCTGAAGGACTTCTTCGACTTCATTCGCAAGGAGAATGGTACTGTTATCCGGGTTTAATCGTGTTGCCCAAGTACCACTGAACATTACTGCCATTGGCGGCTTGATGCCTGATGAAAATGAAACTTCATGTCTCTGTATATCTACCACTATGGTTTGATGACTTCTTTCTTGAATGTACTAGTATTTGAATATCAATCACAGCCTCTTGAATAACTGAGCATACTACAATGTAGTGTATTTATCCGATGATCCTCTTCAAATTCGCCAATATTGGGTTCTTAGCGACTCACATTCAACTTATTGTCATTGCGGTCAAATCAATTTTGGAAATCTTGGAATGGAGCACTAGCCCTCCTACATCATTGAGAGTTTTTGACTTCAACGTGAGCATTGACATAAAGAACCGAGTCACGGTCCGAGTCCTAACGTCAAACGATGATTCATGACATCCACAACATCTCCGCAGCGTAACGTTATTCTTTTCTGGCAATTTACCGATGGAACGGCTTAATCTGTGACTTGTAAGAGAAAGATCTGCAAGATGCATAGAATTCAAATCGGGTCGAGCCCCACGACGGTTACATTTCTCCTCATTCTCAAGCTGTAGATCACTGAGACCCTTTTGGGCCCGGGGTTAGTGAGCATATACTCCATCGCTCACATTAGTCTCCGATTTCATTACTTAATATGGCCTCAGGGACGTATGCATACTACTCACTCGAATAGATCGCAACTAGGGATAGCCCCTAGTAACCCATCACTCAACGATGCTTTCGAAGAGGTCTGTGCTTTGGCTTTTGCCATTCGCATTGAATCTTGTCAAAGAGACAGAAGCGAATACACCTCGTGAGTAGGAATCAAAGACCATGATTACTTTTGAGATCAGTTATATTAATTAACTGAGCTGTCTTCAGTCGTCCCATTTGCATATGACCCCCTTCCGTTGGGTAGCATCACTCCGAACGGCTGGTTGAAAACCGAACTTGAGACCTCTGCTGCAGGTCTTGGTGGTCACTTATATGACTTTTATCGCTTTGTCAAACATTCATCGTGGATTGGTGGAGATCAGGAATATAGTGATCTGAATGAAGCGCTGCCATACTGGGTGAATGCGCTCGTACCCCTCGCATACACAGCACAAGATGATCGTCTCAAAGCACAAGTCCACGACATTGTTGACAACGTTATTAGTCGAATTCAACCCGATGGTTGGATTGGCCCAGAGACTTTGGATGGCAATGAACGGATGATCTGGGCTCGAACTCTGCTGTCAGTATACTCGTTGACCTTGGTGAACTTATCTCTGTCTCTAACATAACACTCAGGTTCCTCGGCTGGATGAACTTGGCAGATGCGAATTCCACCTACGAAACACCAATCGTCGATGCGATGCTTCGTTTCAATGGACTTATGAATACCATGTTGAAGGATAACGGAACAGGAATGATCTGGCATGAAGGTGACATACCCTCGGCTGATGATTTCCTTTGGTTCCGCGCTCGGGCGGAGGATATGATGGTCAGTGTTCAGTGGCTCATCGATAACCATCCACGGAATCAGACCCAGATTTTGATGGAAAATCTTGATATGATGCATCAATATGCCTACAAGTGGGAAGGGTGGTACACTGAGCAGACCTATATTAAGGAAGACTTTTATGATCTCCCCCAGTCCGTTACAGACGATAATTGGCAGTTTTTACATGGAGTGACTATTGCGGAAGGTCAGTTTGCGATGCCCAACAATGAGCATCATATGATAGGACTAACTTGATGGAGTTCCCAGGTCTGAAATATGCCGCCGTTCTAAGGCGATCTACTTTCAACGATAGCCTTCTAACAACTGCAATGAACGGAGTGAGTCAAATATCCTGAAAGCTATGAATAACTTACTTATTTATCTAGGTAAACTGGACTTTTGAATACCACGGATCTCCCAGTGGCACCATTCTCGCAGATGAGCGAATCGATGGACTCAACCCGTACTATGGGTCGGAGCTCTGCACAGATGTAGAGACCATGTACTCTCTCGCATACAACTACTTCGCAATCGGCGACCCATATTATGCCGATCGCGCTGAGCTGGCGGCGTATAACGCTTTGCCTGCGGCTCTTATGGGCGACTGGTGGAGTCACCAATATATGACTGAGCCAAACCAGCCATACTCCAAGGATCTTTCTGCAACACCATTCTATGATGACAACTCACTGGCCAATACGTTTGCACTTGAGCCAAACTATCCTTGCTGTACCGTCAATCATCCACAGGGGTATCCGAAGTTCGTTCTTTACTCATACGTGAAGAAAGGCGATACAGGCCTTGTACATGCTCTACTCAGCCCGGGAAGAGTGCAGACTGAAATAAGCGGGAAGACAGTGTCTGTGAACTGTGATACAGACTATCCATTCGATAACACTCTTTCTTATACCGTTGATAGTGACACCGAATTGCAGTTGTATCTCCGGGTACCCAACTGGTCAACTGGAGTCACAATCGAGGGTCTAGACACCCCTGCCACAGACAGCAGCACTGGCCTGATGCAGTTCGATATCCCATCCGGCATAACCAAATTTAACTACACCATCGGAACAGAACTAGTAGTGACACCCCGTGCAAATGATACCGTCTCGGTCTATCGAGGGGCGCTTCTCTATGCCTTGTACATCAAACCTGATATCTCGCCCGGTCCACCCAAATTCTACAATAACCAGTCCGAATACCCAGCTGGAACCTACCCACCTCAGGCTCAGGATTATGTTCTTCTCAATACAACTGAATGGAATGTTGCGATTGACCCAACTACTCTGGCTTATAATCCTGGTTCGGGACCTCTTCCAGAGCCTACCTTCCAGGATGGCGCTCTTCCAATGTCCATGACTGCCACAGGCTGTCTCATTGATTGGCCAATGTTTTTGGGAGCCGTTCCTGGGTCGCCCATCCCGAAGAAAGATAGAACGTGCTTAGGGGATGCTTTTAACGTCACGCTTCGTCCTTATGGTAGTGCAAAGTTGCATATGTCTGAAATTCCGACAATCGATCTGTCTGGAAATTGAGAGTTTGATTGTGATGCCGCGCGAATTTAGTAATATACTACCTCTAGGAAGTGCGTTCGCAGCTTGACGGGGCGGATGAATATGACTCGGATTTTCCGCATTGAATATTAGGAAGTTGATTTACCAAAGAAATGTGAAAGCTTTTTAATTCAAGTTGTACTTGAAGCGAATCATTCATTGTTAGAGTATGTAGGAGATATCTCTGAATTATCCAGATAAATTTATGTATTCTTGATCGGATCCTTCTCAGCTCCCTCAATCTGCTTCAAAAAGTCCTCCGCTGCCTCTTTATCATTACCAAAAATATGTTCCGCAACCAAGCGTCGTGGCGACTCTCCAAGCCACTGAAACAACGAAAAATCTTGGAATTTATCAGAGCGGAAAATCTCCAGCACCTCCAGGGGCTCGTCATCACTCAAATTCTCAATGAAGTGACCCATGTTCCGCGGTACAATCCCCACATCTCCAGCCATGTAGTTGAATGTTCGGGCATTCCCTTCAGCTGCAAAAACAGTAACACGCGCTCGACCTTTCTTGAAATATGTCCACTCATCCGCGTTAGGATGCCAATGCATTTCCCGAAGTGCGCCCGGAGCAATCTCGAGGTGAGCTGCAGCCACTGTCTTTGAGATCGGGAAATTGGTAGAATCCGTGATGCGTACTAGACCACCTGTAGTTTGAAGAGGATATTGAGCGTGCATGTGGTGGGTGAATTGGATCTTGCTCTTGTGGAATCCACGGGGTTTCTCGTGATCAATGCTGCCTGGTACGGAACCCTTGAAAATGTACTTTTCCGCGGTCGGGATAGAGAGGAATTTCTCGGGCTTTACTCTAAAGTTCTCGGCCAGTACTGCCTTAGGTGTATGTGCTGTCACGTAGGTTAGTCGATTGCAGATTCAATGCTCCTTGGTTGATCTCATACCCATCCAATCCGTCAACAAGAATGTTGACTCCTCAGAAAAATTTCCATCGTCGAAGATGAGGAGGAACTCGGTGCCATTGGGACTCAATCCTTGCAAAGAGTGAGGAAATCCTGCAGGAAAGTACCACAAATCGCCTGCTTCCAGATCATCCATGAAGCTGCCGCCATCCGGGTCGAGTGCAGTCACCCTGACCTTACCCACGAGCACATACGCCCTTGGCAAGTTAGCACGAGTGTAAAATGGTTATCTTCATTCGTAAGATTGATTACACCTTACCATTCTGCTTCTGTATGCCAGTGTAACTCGCGATACACCCCCTCATCCAGGCGCATGTTCACACCTGCTAGCTCGCGACTGGTTGGTAGCTCCCGAATCGTGGTCTGGCGAGTCCATCCTCCTTCCTAGATTTTAGTTAGAAGTGCCTTCAAGCTAAGCACGCGGCGCGACGACATACCTCGATCCGAATATGCGAATCGGCAAAGCTCCAGCGCATATTGGCCATACTGCCATGGTCAGTGCTGGGAGGACGAACAAGGTCGGGATTCTGCTTCTCGCGATCTTTGTTTCTGGGACCTTCAATTGAAGCACCGTTACCTCCACTGTACGGTAAAGGCTCTCGATCATCCCCAATCGAGTCTACCTTGTGATCAAATGGGTCACGATGACCTGGTGTGAAGGGAGGATTGCCAAACAGTACATCTTGGCTGCGACCTGGAGGAATCTTGAGTAGCTTCTGAATAGCTTGATCGGGAACAGGTATTCCCTGAACAAGTAGAAATCCAAGTTGCAATAAAGCAACAGACTTCATGGAAAGCATGTGCATAATGAGATATGGTGGTATTCAACCTTTAACTCTTCATGCTGTGCAAGGGGAAGATCTTTTAAGGTCTCAAGGTCCCAACCCCGCACAAAGGTACGTCAAGCTTTCACCAAGACCATCCGATTGATCCGGTTCATCCTTGCTGATTCATTCTTTTAAAAGACGCAATGAACTCTCATCTCATCGTATTAAAGGTCAAGCTCATTCATGGCCCCACAATCCTTGTTAAGTGGGCCTATGACGTATAGCGGCTGTATTTTCCCGTGAGGAGACAATCGGTTAGGGAGAAGACGCTAGGAGGAAAAAATGAATCCCCGCACGCAGGAAGTACAAAGACACGAGGATATCGACGAAGAACTCATTTTTGAGAAATCGCAAGTCGATAACGAAACTATGGTCAATGAAAGTGATCCTCTCCTTGGAGATGTGCCACCACTCCGACGCCGTGGCCTAGGCGAATATCTCCGTGAAGAAATCGACACTTATCGAGGAGACTTCCTTCTCCTCACCTGCTACATTATCACCGGGTTACTGGATAGCTCTGCAGTATTCATCTGGGGCAGCTTTGTCTCCATGCAGACAGGAAATACTGTTTACTTCGGTCTCGGTCTAGTTGGCACAGATGATGACCGATGGATCAAATCTGGTGTTTCCATCTGTGGTTTCTGTCTTGGATCACTATGTTTCGCGGCATTTCATCGGATATTTTCTCCTAGACACCGCTGGGTTTTGACAGTCTCCTTCTTGATACAACTGCTCTGTATCACGGCTGCTGCTACGATCGTCACCATCTATCGCCCTGGTCGCAATGCGCCATTAAGCTGGCAGGTCCTTGTACCCCTTGGTCTGGTAGCATTCCAGAGCAGCGGACAAGCAGTAGCAAGTCGCGTCTTGAAATATAATGGCCTCACAAGTGTTGTCCTGACGAGCATCTACTGTGATCTTTTCTCTCATGAAGACTTCCTCTCTATGAAAGTGTTCCAGAACACTGAGGAAATGCGTCGACTTGGAGCTGTGATATGCCTCCTTCTGGGAGTCATTTTTGGTGGCCTTTGGGCCCATAGCTCTGTTGGAATGATGGGCGCCCTTTGGACAGCTGCTAGTCTCAAGGGATTCATGGTTTTGGCTTGGCTTGGTTGGAAGAAAAAGCAGGAGTGAAGACCGTGAGTTAATAGATATCTTGTGAGAATTTGTTTCGCCGATCTAGGCAACCCCGGGTCATCAAAACACGATATACAACTCCTTGGAACAGTCCCTCAAATACAAATAATACATGTGAAATAATATATGAAATAATCTAACAGTTTCATCTCTTCGGTGTCAGCACTGGCAAGATCATCATTTTGCCAATTGACGATCAGCTGGAAGCGGACTCTTCATCAACAGAACTCCATTTGATCATTCTCAAATCCTAGTCATCCGCACTGAACTTGCTCCAACTCCGAATTTTGGGCCCAAAGATGAAAAAGGCAATTGGAACAGGGAACAGGATAGCTGTCAAGCATCCCAGTAGTGTCATCGCCCAGTTGACTCCCAGGTTGTGAAACTGAGGTTATTTGCATCTCGTTAGCCCCATGTGAAACCTCATATTTCAGGATTGGAATAATCAACTGACCATAGCATTCGCAAATATGGGAAACCCAGCACCAAGCCACGATCTGAAAAAGGTATTTGCGGCGATCGCCGAATTGGCATGAACGGTATAGACATCGATTATATAGTTTAATCCCTTCCGAGGTTCATCAGTTTAGTATGCACGTTGACAGGCTCGGATGTATTATAGTATGGTGGTGATTGAAGAGTCTCACCTGTAAGAAGATCAGCAACACTCCAGCTCCCAGCAAGACCCCAGCGAGAGCTTCCGGGACCCAAATGATATGCGGAGATGATGTCCAGCCGAACCAAAACATTCCTGCTGGCAACAGAATACCCCCAATCATCATGGGAATAAGCCTCTCTTCGGGATTCACACTCCCAGTACGGCGGATTATATTCCGATATCGTGTCAGAGAAAAGGCAATGATGATCCCACAACCTATAAACACCCCACAGGCAATTCCGACAAATGGAAGCGCACCAACACCATCATTCCAACCTCGATGTTCTTGAAACGCGATAGGATAAGCTTCAAAACAAAGGTACAGGAAACCATAGATGAAGCCCATATACAGTGTGATGAGAATCAATATCGGCTCTTGAGCAAGCATCACAAACGGTCTGAGGAGATATCGAGTTGCAATGTCCTTTGGATTCACGACCTTCTCCTCGGCTTTAGCATGGAGAGACCAATTTCCTGTCTCGGCTCGTCGACGCTGTGCACGCTGGGTCAACAAAGTCGCTTCAAATGTTTCTGGGATGATAAAATATCCGATGGATGAGAAAAAGAATGCCATGATAGCAGTTATGTACCCGGTCCAACGCCAGCCTAAATGAGACATGGTGATGAATCCACCGACGATGGGACCCGCAACAGGACCGATGAAAGTAGCACCAGCGAATATAGAGACTGCGATTCCACGTTCAACTGATTCAAATAAATCCGCTAAGATCCCAGAGACCTAGACCACGGGTCAATAAATACTTTTGCCTTAGATCAATCGAATAAGGGGATGTCAACTCACGATCGCCAGCGGTGCACTAGCAAATAAACCACCAAGGAAACGACAGATAAATATTGTCTGGAGATTTTGAGCCACGGCAACTGGGATTTGAAATATGGCGAATACGAAAAGCCCAAGAAATAACGGTCGCTTACGCCCGTAGAGCTCTGATAGAGGACCAAAAATGATGGGCCCGAATGCGAAGCCCAAGACGAAGAGGCTGGTGGCTAGTACCATCACTTCCGGCGAGACATGGAAGTGCTTTGCAGTAACAATCGTCGCAGTGCTAAATACAGAGGAAGCAAATGTGACACAAAATGTCATTAGTCCGAGCATGATTGTTATGATCCACTTCCGTCGCGGTGTAAAGTTGGTGGGTTTTTCCTAACAACAATATCAGATTGAATGGTAGAGATTCAGATGTGAAGGGTCTTACTGGGTCATTATCATCTTCCCAGTCAACAATTGTTGATTCCTTGGATCTCTCAGACATGGGTGTGGCCTCTGACTGATTCATATGATCATCCGACAAGGTCCCGGACGTGGTACCGGTAGAGATGAGGGTTCTGAAGCTGGCCGAGTCGCTGTCTTCTTTATGCAGGTTGGCTGTAGTAGCCGTCAAATCCGTTTGGCAGCCTTTATCACTGGCATATTGCATTGTTTCTGGCGGGTCCATGAATACATCTTCTGTTGAACTTTCGGCCATGATACAAGTCGCGCGGCTAGGCCTTAGATCAAATGATAAATTGATTTTTTATTCCTTATAAGCGCTTGATAGCTTTGAGATCAATCAGAGACCAATTCCACGCATTCTAAAAATGCCATCAAAGCGCTGGAATAATAAAATCAATGCGTGCTGACTCAGGTGACGCCGGGTAGACGAGACTCTTACGCATATCAGCAGCCGAAGACGTAGGCACGTATGTTGTCAGGTGGAAAAAGGAACTGAATTCCTGCGGAACGCAATGGTCATTTTCCCTCACTAATTTCGACGGAATTTGCTCCGAAATATTGAATTGAGCTGCGACTTGCATTGATAACATGCGCACCTGGATAATATGTGTAGCCAAATTATCCTGGCTAGTCCCTCGCTCCAGCCTGAGGTGGACCCATCACCGGGGTTGTGACAATTTTCTATTCCTTTCTCTTCAAGTTCCGATTTCCACTCCAGAATGGAGGTTTCAAGCCGGCTGTGACTCAGTCACAGTGTTTCGAGGTGATAGCTCCAGGGTTCTTCTATCAACACAAATGTGGACACTTTTCAGAATTCGATTATTTGATGCAGGTACCCTAGGTAGACTCTCATCCTGGGTCCATAGATAGGGATCACGGCTCCTCGACGAGAATGCGCCTTTGAGCGTCCAGCTACGGGAATGATGAGGACTTCTTGACTTTGAAACATCGTCTGTGTATGCTAATCCGTCGTTGTCAACGTAAGCTGCTATGAAAGGCTTCATTACAGGTGCGATGAGAACGAGTACGCTCAGTGCAACATGAATCTCGGCCACAACAGTGGTTGCAGTCCCGGCGAGTGTTGGGTCCGATGACTCAACTTGCCGATGCACATAATATAAGTGAACAGCTGATAGTGGTATGAGACTGGGAGAAAGTCAGGAGATGATCTGGATTTTTGTGAACATATTTGGAGATTGCAGTTAGATACATACATAACACGACAACCCAGTATCGCAATCACAATCAATTTGTTGCTGAGACTTGTTTGAAGCTTTTGAATAACGTGGATTGGGTATAGGATGAGTGATACCTCAAGAATCACATCGATGGCAGTGATGACTTGCCATCTAGAAAACTAGATGTATCAAAGCCTTTAGTACGAGCGAACAGATGACTCGGAAGATAATAGGTATAGCTTCAGGTTGCATCATGTCCAGGGGATTTCTTAGAACTTCAATTGAACTGGCTCACCAATAAACTGCAGTCACTATCGATATCATTCCACGGTCGGCTATCGCAGCGCACGCTTGTTAAAACTCTATTCATGATATCAGTATTTATTTAAATGCCAATATCATTTGAGATGAGAGAAGCCGGGAATAGTTTGAGCGGTCGGGTTAAAATGAAGGGGATGCCCAGGTGGGCAGGGACTTTGATTACATAGACGTAGGCTCCCATGAGGCTATCACGATAAGAAGAGCATAAAGAATGCATTGTGCACTTCGCATGGTGATTGTGCGATAGAAAATTGTTGTCGATGCTTTAGAAAAGCCCAATAGCACAACATAGAGAATGTCTGATGCATAGACGGCCTATGATATCTCTCAGATCAGTTCGGTCGTTCTATTCCCCGGATCAGTCTCAGGTAGTAGGTATCCATACTTTGTTCATTTCATCTTTGTTTGATATCAATATGGCTGTCTGTCCCCAGCCAAGATGAATTGCGACGGATGTTGCAGAGGCCTGGGCTAGTGCAACAATCTAGCAAAATTAAGGATCAGTTTTCTTATCGATGTGTGCGCGCCCATAGAATCTACAACATACCACTATGAAACCAAAGAAAAGGTCATCCTTTCCCCTCACGTGCCTCGAGTACGCTGAGTACACCCTGATCCCCAGAGATCCTAAAACAAGGAAAATCGTGAATGACGTGATGATCGCAAGTAGCCCACTGTGATTTGTATCATTATCCACAGTGAGTGGGGGTATCATCCCCGGCGGCGTCGAAGTACCCGCCATGGCCAACAATGCAGATCAGCATCTGAATGCAAGAGCAACTCGGTCAGTCTTGGGACAGTTGGGAGATATATTCAGTGATTCAAAAAGAAAATGCTAGTAGTAATTGTTTTTCGCATCTTGGCGAGCATACTAGGCGAGACTCGGACAAGAAGCCCCCAGAGTACGAGACGCTGACGCATGCACCACCAGCCCCAAAGCCAAGGGTATTTCTGCAATTGTTTGGTTGGAGTTCATGATTATGGCTACACAACAGTCCACACCCCTCTCCCCTCTCAAACCATCTCCTTTTTTTCTCATGATCCATGGCCTAATAATTCTCTAGCCTGCATAAAACTGGATCTAAGAATCCGCCCAGTCTTTCTGATGTCCGTTTCGCTCGTTTGATGCCTGTATGGGGTCATATCATCCCATGTATCTCTATTGATACATTTTTGTATCTGATAGAATCGTCCAAGGTTGGGGATGGATCTTCCTATCCTTCTGGAAGGAACTTTGAAATAAAATTCCCCGAATTCTCAAGTGCTCTGTCGGATCCTTTCTGGTCGTAAAGTGCCTAGACCATGTAACCGTGGAGAAATTGCGACTGTCAGGCTTTCGGCGTCGGCGAGTAAACTGAGACTGTACAGCTGGATCTGGGATATTGTCACACTCTTAGTTCACCCCACGCGCCTTTTTCAAGTCCTCAGAAAGATGCATATTCCCTTGTATCCTGGTACTGGGGAGGTATTGTGTTATTCCTGTTTGGATGACAACCGCGGGTAGCCTGAATCTATGTGGCCAATTGTTTTAGTCTCAGCCGAACAGTAATATACGTCGGAAGCTTGCATTTCAGGAGACGTTGAAATTTTCGAGTCATCAAACATCGGGATATCCGTGCAATTATGCGATGTGCCGTTTAAGATGGTCCAAAATTGAGCCGGTTTGGAAACATTGATGGTTCATCCAAACATGTCCTGGTAGAGTGATTATGTCGCCCTTGAAAGTGTCTGAAAAAGGAAATCTAGAGGATTCCATCTCTCCAGGCCATGCAACACTCTTTTCAATCCCCGTACCTAACCTTTCAAGGTCCCTCATATATGCCCAGGTGGGTAGGAGAAACTTGAGACGTTTATGATCATGTATCCTTGTAGTTAATACGGGATGGAGATTGTCTCACAGAGCCCAACCTTGGAAGAACTCAGGGATCCCGCCTCAATCATTTCCCCTTGGAGATTCCCTTATAGCATAGGTACATAAGGTCCTTTGCCTATAGGTTACTCAAAGTCCACGGGCGGTTCTCAATTACTCGGAATTCTCCGTATCAACGTCCGGTCAAACACCTGGACATATATGGAAAAGACCAACCGGCGCTGTTTAACCAACACGGACCACTGGTAGGAAAGTTGCATCTCGGATTCATTTGAGGCTCAAGAACTTGAACCGGCTTCCCAATTTTATCTATCCAACCGCATTTTCGAGTGCTTTATCCCTTCGATCGAGATCTTCACCCCTTCGTTCCCTCCAGAGCTCTCCACGCGACCACGTCGAGCATATCACAAATATCTGCAATATACTGGTACTGAGTCCAGCCGGTCTGTACGCAATCAATGGACAACAACATAACCCTCTCACGACTGGACACGATGGACGTGGATTGTGTTGTGAAGGATCCGCCTGAATCGGGTTCAACATTAAACGACCAAAATGATATGAGCCGCATGGGCAAGGTTCAAGAATTCAAGGTATCTCTCAAATCGAAAGTTGTGGAGTCTTTCATTGACAATATTGAAGCGCAACTTTCGCCCGTTAGCAGCATTAAGCTTCTCGGCTGTTTTGCAGGCCACGTGGGAGTTTATTTTAATGTGAGATACGGTCTATTCATACTTTGGAAATGTTTATGCACATACTGAGCTGCTTTATTTTGCGGTAGATCCAACTCACAGGGCCTTCAGAATGGTGGTTTCGCTGGCCTATTTTGGTCGTTCGTGTGGACCTTCTTTGGATTTGGATTTATCATTGTCAGCCTTGCTGAGATGGCATCGATGGCTCCAACATCTGGCGGGCAGTACCATTGGGTGTCAGAATTTGCTCCAGCTCGTCATCAAAAGTTCTTGAGCTATACCACAGGTCTGACGGAGAGAATGTCTAGGATCACGAGCTTCACTAACATATACTCCCAAATCTAGGATGGATGTCAGTTTTGGCCTGGCAAGCAGGGGCAGCCAGCGGCTCCTTTCTTACGGGGACGATTATTCAAGGCCTAATCAGCATTCGAGACCCAAGCTACAAACCGCAGAATTGGCAGGGAACTTTGTTTGTGTTTGCAATGATTGCGATTATCTACTTCTTCAACGTTCATGCCGCGAATTGGATACCCAGGATACAGAATTTGCTCCTGGCTCTACATCTCATGTCCTGGGTAATCGTTGTTGTTGTTCTGTTTGTCATGACTCCTCAGCAGCCAGCCAAAGTCGTCTTCACTGAGTTTTATAACGGTGGTAACTGGCCAACAATAGGTGTCAGTTTGATGGTCGGCCAAATATCAGCTATATATGGGTCATTGAGTTCGTTGTGGTCCCCGTCATTCTAGCGCCATCGCTAATATCTGTCAACTGGTAGGTTCCGATGCGACCGCACACATGTCCGAAGAGGTGAAAGATGCCGGTCGCTATGTGCCGATTGCGATCGCGTGGGGATATTTCGGAAATGGAATTTTGGCGATCATTGTTCTCGTCGGACTATTACTATCAATACCATCGGTTCCAGCGGCTCTCAAAGATAGCTCCGGCTTTCCATTCCTTTATGTGTTTCGGAATACGCTGTCACTTGCTGGAGTTAATGGATTGGCTTCCACAATACTGATCCCGGTTATCTTTAGCAATATCCTATTCAACGCCTCAACTGCCAGACAAACACATGCCTTTGCTCGAGATAAAGGACTGCCATTCGCAGAATGGATATCCCATGTTGATCGTCGTCGTCGTATCCCGGTCAGGGCGATCTTTCTCTCGTGTCTGATAAGTGGCTTGTTATCCGTGATTAATATCGGCTCCACTGTCGCGTTCAATGCGATCATATCCCTTAATGTGGCAGCGCTAATGTACACATACGCAATTTCTATCAGCTGTGTGATTTATCGAAAGATTCACTGTCCTGAGACACTACCTCCACGCCGCTGGTCAATGGGTAGGCTTGGACTCTCAATCAATATCATAGGGTTGGTCTACGTATGCTTCGCTCTATTTTGGTCATTCTGGCCGCCGACTCCGTCCGTGACGGCCGAAGACTTCAATTGGAGCGTGGTTATTTTCGTGGGGATCTTCATTCTGAGCTTGATGGTGTATGCATTTCAAGGACGATACCAATATGTCGGGCCAGTTGTCATTGTACAGCGACGGGAATAAGTACCTCAAGAAATGCAGTTCATTGATGCATAGAAAATCATTCAAATGTTGGGCCTTAAAAATGGTAGGAATAAGAGGCACACTGGTGTGATATTCAACTAAAACAGAACATATGAACGAGTGGCTATTGATAAATATCTCTATCTCCATGTCGCCGACACGGTAGCTGTCGCTCCAGAGCATCCAGTCGGCACGGTGTAGCTCCGATTTGGATCGCTCTCCCAAACAATACTGCCATCTGTCTCCTTTTTGATGAATTTATACTCGAAGCTGGTGCCAGCCGGAAGGCTGATCGTCGCCAGCCACAGTGGATTGGAAGATGTGTAGGAGCTAGCGGATAAAGCGACCGCAGAGGATGTGTCCCAGGAGCCAAGTTGGCTAATGGATCCCGAAATGTACACATTTTCGCCATATGTTGTGGTCACCAATTCGTCAAATGTAACCACTACACTAGTCGCCGCTGTACACGTTGAGGTAGTTGTTGAGACACTGGTTGTACTTGTAGCCTTGCTTGTAGTCGTACTGCTGCTGCTCGTGGTACTGCTGCTCGAGCCGGACCCAGACCCAGAAATGGCAATATCCGCACAATGTAGATAGATTTGACCAGTCTGATACGAATTCCATCGGAATCGAAGCAGAGTATGGTCTGAGTTGTAGTCTGGTATCTTGATCTTTTTCGTTACAGTATAGCCACCCGAGATAGTTGTCGTACAGGAGAATTCTGCAGCTCCATCGACTCCCTCGCAGCCGCGATTGGTAGTTGCTGCAAATGCATTGCAGGTAAACCAGTCATTCCGATAGCATGCTTCATCGGAGGTGCAATCTGGATTGTATCCACAGGTCTGTCCATCCACATCCGTACACTTTAGCTCTCCCTCCAAGAAACAGTCTTCTGCCAATTGTTTCTCATCGGTACTGGGGAGGTAGTCAGGATCGAGGAACAGATCAACAAGTGTCTGGTTTTGGCAAATTCCGTAGGTGAACATTCCACCGTGATCACCATTGTTGTCGACACACCATTGTACTTCGATGATGTCTCCGCCAGCATAGGTAGCAACAACTGAGTTTCCCCAGTAGTCACTTGGCTGGTTGTAGTCTACGCTCACTCTCGCGTTGTAGCCACACGGTCCGCTGCGACCCACTTCAGCAACTTCTAGGTCGGGCCATGATTCAACTGGCTCGAGAATGGAGCACTCAGGGCATGTGTCAATTCCAGCCTAGAAATTGTTAGTTAGATGATATTCCAAACAGGATATTCCAGAGTTTATAATTATTGGCACCAATACTTACCTCGAATCCAAGTCGGGTGCGACTATACGGAATCGTCAAGTAGCCATGAGCATCAACTCTTGTTAAAGTGCCAGCAAGGGCGAGAAGACAGGCGATTTTCATCATCGAACTTGAACGTTGAACTGATCCGTCGTCTTGATAGTTGAGATGTGATCCAAATATCAAAGACTCTACAGTTCTGCAGAAAGATCACATCGCTTTTATATCATTCTCTCATAGAAAGCTACAAAATGAACATGGAAATGGCATAGATACCGGCTTTGAGGCCCCAAGACCTTGGCATTTCATCTTGTGCATATTCGGCATTGCCAGCTGGGCTGATGTTAGCGAGCCGACGAATGTCCGCTTGAAAATCGAATATGACAAAAATGGGCCATAGGAATAGAGAGTCACTCGACACGGATGCCAAGTAAACTATGCCCTTTGAAGAAACTAAGACCTTGCTCTACATAGAACAAAAGTGCATGTAGGCTTCTCAATGCCTGGCCATCAAACTGCTTGGCGAAGCCGATAAATCTCCGCTACCCCGCTGTTTCCACTTTGCCGGATGAGTTTAAGTTTCTTCAGACATTTGGCGGATGACTGGGATGATCGAAGGCGATTGGGTGGCTTGAGTTCGACACTGGTTCAGAGGCTCATACACAGGGTCATTCAGGGCGGAAAACGGGACAGGGAGGATGTAGCCGAGGCCAAGGAAAGCTTGGCACGGAGGACCACTCCATTGAATATGGGGTTTCGATCTTGTGATTGGGCTATCTGTGCCATGATTCATACGTGTCGGAGTGTGGTGTGAGGCTGGGATCTTTGATGAATGGTGAAGGGTTGTAGAAGTTGAAACGAACTACCGCTCTAATAATAACAGCGGACTTGGCATTTGACTCGTCAGATATAAACTACCAACTGGGCAAAACAGTAGGCATAGCAAATTTGCTAGACTTGGCACAAAATCAGGGATAATCACTCGGCTCAAATTGATACCGCACCATTCGAACATTCTCTTGTACGAATAGTATCAAGTGCTAGTGGTAACAGTTGTAGAACGAACTCAGTCAAGAGACCTAGCAGAATAATAGGGAGGGCAAAAAAACGAATATCGAAGTGATAGGCACTCTGGGGCTTATCCTTGCAGGACTCCAATTTCAGAAGTTTCAGGAAGGGTTGAAAATGTGGAAGGGAAATGTAATATCGATATCAAAGAGAGATCATTCAACTTTGGGTCAATTTTAATGGATGCAGGTATAGTCCTGATGGGACGCAATGTCAACTCGACCGCACCCATCAAACACATTCGCCGTATTCTTCTGGAAGCATGACCAAGAATTTAAGAATCTTCAGGCAAATCTGCTTCCCTACAAAGATTATTGCCATCATCATCAGTGCCGGGATGAAGAATCATACCCAGTCGGTTGATCATGAACGTTGGGCCACCAACCGTAATATCGCTGGGCATTCATTGCAGATCTCACATCACATTAATCAATATAGGCTCTTTCCTCATCACTAAAGCTTCTGATGATCACCTGGGCAGATCAGTTCAATACGGTCTACTTAGTCTGATATCTTTCAACAATGATTCATCAGAACTATTCCACCATACGAAATAAAAACAATATCAATTGATTCAAACACTGATCTGATCCCCATGATATCGAATGTTCCGTTTTCATTTCGTGCTATATGTAATCGCGACTAGTAATAGATCAAATCGGAGTCTTGTTTAAGCGGGTGATAAACGCCGAAAATGCTTCCTTATTGGATCGGATGTCTTCAGTGGACAGGAGAAATGATCCTTTTCAATGTTCATGAGTCACTTATCAGCTTGGCATGTGGCAATTACAATTGCGTGTTAGTATTACTCCAATGGGTATATGAAAGCGTGACGAAAGAAGGTTTAGTGTACGGGGCACGCAAAATCCGGCATCCGGGGTAAGAATACTATCATGATGGATGGAGGAGGAGACAAATACTCATGACATCCATTTCTGTTATCTTGGACCGAGGTTAATTCTTACTGGTCATCGGCCGGGTCCGATGGCACGAAGTGGAGCACGATTACAGCTAGGTCAGGGTCTGTGCTATCACTTTAAAGTGCAAGTCTCGATCCAAGGCTTCGTTTAAAGTTATTTAAAAGATTGCGGCTCTCATCTGAATTGAAACTAGGCAAGCCGAGTGAAAAAGCACCATTCTGGGGAAGCTTTACAGCACAGGTCCCAGAATCTGGAGTGTACAAGGGGCGAATCCGGGGAAACCAAGATTTTATGTAATAGTATTTCCTTTTCGGCCTCGGCTGGAGACTTTTTCTCCACATTTCCGAAGATCGGGCCAAATTCATCCATGCCTAGTCCTTGTTCTCGCCAATGGGCACGGCGACACTCGGTCCGGGGTGGGTGAATGGCCCACGCATTGTTGGAGCCCTTGTACCCATCGATCGGGGGACGCCGATAACCGTTTTGAACATCGTCTCTTGTATATATCAATTGAGGCATCTCTAGCTTCATGTTTCTTCTTGGCGGAGATAGCTCTTTCATGATCGTTGCATGATCACCAACTTTAACTCAACTCCAATTTGACGCCTCTTTTTTTGATTCGATTTGCAATATGGCGCCCTACTTTGGCCTTCGTGGCGAGGCTTTGAGTCGAGCCATTATGTGGCTAGTTGTCTGTCCTGCTTTCGTGACATATGGATACAACCAAGGTGTCACTGGAGGTCTGTTGACACTTAAGTCATTTGTTGAGGAATTTCCTCAGATGAATACCCTCACAACGACTGGTGCTCAAGAGCGTTATAATTCAACAATTCAAGGTGAGTCTAGCACCACGAGATGTTGAAATGGGTACCGGATCTTTGTTAACAGAAGATATTGTAGGAACCGTGGTCGCGCTATATACCGTGGGAGGAATGTTTGGCTCATTATCATGTGTCCAATTGGGAGATATTCTTGGTCGCCGTCGAGTTATTTTCATCACAACATTCATCTCACTCGTCGGAGCAATCTTGATGGCCACATCTTTCTCTCTCGCCCAGTTCATCGTCGCTCGATTAGTTCTTGGATACGGCACAGGTGGATATGTTGCTACTGTGCCTGTTTGGCAATCAGAAATCTCGAAACCAGTTAAACGTGGTGCTCACGTAGTTACAGATGGAATCTTTATTGGTGCTGGTATCACCATCTCCCTCTGGATTGACTTCGGTTTCTATTTCGTCACAGGAAGCTCTGTGTCGTGGCGCTTTCCTCTCGCCTTTCAAATCGTTCTCTCATTGGTCGTTATGGCCTTCGTCATGTTCTTCCCTGAGTCCCCACGCTGGCTGATCAAGAAGGGTCGGGTTGAAGAGGCACGGACAATTTTAGCAGCCCTCGCAGACGTGGATGAGGATTGTGAAGAGATTAATCTTGAGATCCGTGACATTGAGACCTCTCTTGTTCTTTCAGGATCTGGGTCTTTCAAGGATATGTTCACAATGGGTGAGCAGCGCCTCTTTCACCGTACTGTCCTGGCAGCCTGTGGCCAAATGTTTCAACAGATGTGTGGTATCAATCTGATCACATACTATGCGACTACAATTTTCGAACAATACCTCGGCCTTGACGCAGTACAATCTCGAATCCTTGCGGCATCCATGTGCCTGACACAACCCTTGGGTGGATTTTTGGCATACTTCACTATCGATCGTCTCGGTCGGCGTGTTCTTATGCTGTGGAGTGCCGTTGGCATGTCAATCTCCATGACAATTCTGGCCGGAACAAATTCTCTCAGCAACAGCAATGGCGCTATGATTGCTGCGGTTGTTTTCCTCTTCGTCTTTGAATTTATTTTCACTGTCGGATATTCCGGTTTAACCTTTCTCTACGCAACCGAAGTCGCTCCTCTGCAGCTACGAGCAGCTATCAGCGCCGTATCTACTACCGCGGTGTGGATGTTCAATTTCCTCCTGGCTGAGGTCACACCTGTAGGATTTGACACTATTTCATGGCGATACTATATCATTTTCGCCGTTTTGAATGCTGCAATCGTGCCCGTTGTGTACTTTTGTTTCCCTGAAACAAACGGTCGTTCTTTGGAGGAAATCGACGAAATCTTCCTTCAATCGAAGAGCATTTTCGATCCACCACGAATTGCCCGCTCCTTGCCCAGAATTCACGTTGCTGAAACCCAGGGCATGGATGCCGAGTTCGCAAAAGGTGTTGAGAGTGATGACGCAGGCATGCAGGAGGCCAAGGCCTAAACTGCTACGATTTTACGAATTCTCATATATAATTTGCATCGCAACGACTATGTACATTAGATAGATTTTAGAATAGCGAGTGTTTTCCGCTTCAGCAAAATGTCAATACACGCATCATTGACTTTGTCATTTATTACCGTCGCAATTGCGTCTAGTCAGTTCCCTGACTTCATTAGAAGATGTGAATTTTTCTGCTTCAAGATTCCCCTCAAATGTTCAACTTTTGAATGGTACTTAAGTTTGCAAGATAGATTCAGTCAACCCAATAGATTCAGTCAAACCGATAGATTCAACTGTTCTCTATATGTACGGTCAGGGTCTATGCCACTGGAAATCCACTTGACGCTCTCTTGCATGCATGAATTCAATGTTTGCTTAGGTACTCTTTAATCGTCTAGTCCAGCGCTTCAGAGATGAAATTGAGCTTATGACTTTCAGAACTATGCTACTACACAGCTCGGTATATTTCTGAGATCCCCAGCTACCGACAAACGACTCATTAGTGCTCTGGATGTTAGCAAGGAAGCTCCGATCACGGCACTTGTGGGTCGAGAGAAGAGGATGGGGCGTCGGACAGCCCCGTGAACAGGTTTATCTGATGAGAAAACAAATGGAATTATGTACGAAACTCCTTATTTGATTCGAGTTTTGATCTGTCATATTGATCTCAAATTGTTGTGCTTGAATCCCTTTCATCCTGTCTTCCAAAGTTCTACGGATGAATAGCATCAATGGCTTTGAAAGAACTGTAAATTGTGATCGGATGGTCATATTAGGCGACTTCTTTTGTCTTATTTTCCTTCTCATAAGAAATCAATTAATTCTTCCTGGATCATATCCACAAATAGAATACGCGCGTGCGATCGGCAACCGATGCCCAGCCCTTGGATGTGATGACATAGATCCATTGCCCCCTCCAAGGTCCAATGTTGCAACATCCATGATCTCATGGGCTTCGCGACTCAGATGTACAGTAGACTGCATTTCCTCTCATCGGGATGCTCGGGATCTTGATGGAGAACGGCATGAGTTCATCAAGCATTGGGAAGGAAAATTTCTCGTCACCGGAGCAATCCATATTGCTGGAATATATCTTAGTGCTGACTTTCATATATTCCGTTTGGGGAGCATTTTTCATGACATCTTACCTGAAAAATTGACAGCCATTGGACGCTGAGACCCATTTTGCATTTCCTCTGGTCTGTATTAGTCAAATAGTACAAGGTGTAGGAGTAATTGACGGGGAAGACTCACGGGTGGTTTAAGGCGGTACACTGGTTTGCATCAACGCGCTGAAATGCGCAATTTCCCGAAAGCTCGTCATCGCAGAATTGAACCTGTATTCAAAGAGAAATTTTAGTAAGGTACCTAGGGCGGCAATTTCATCAGAGACTCTCTCATTACCATCGAATGATCATCTGCCAGTGGAGCGGCAAGCCCGCGGCTAAAAGTGAGACAGGCAACAGCCGCCATAACAAAACTCTTCAGACTCGGAGACATGATGCTCTGTAGTTTTGAATGGGCTTCTTGTTTTGTTTTGACTTGGAATGAAATCTGATAGTGTGAGAGGAGGCTGATTCAATGAATCAAATCAAATGTTGACATCCAAGCAGAAAAAACCAGATCTCCTGGACTCTTCCGGCTTTATTTATCTATTCATCCCACTTCTATGCACAATTACTGATCGTTTCCATTTCACTATTTTTGATCTTTGTTCATCGGCAGGTTACACTAATTTGAACCGAAATTGAGCATTATTGGAAATTGAACTATGGGGAGATTGTGACAAAATCTATTTAAACGTTGAATGGCACAGATAGTTTAATTTGCTGATAAATTCTTTGTACTGCATACCTCAGGCAAGGAGCCGGTCTATTTCCTTTCAGAGATAAGATGAAAAGAAAGGGGATCTGGCGAATCTTTTCTCAATCTCGCCGTTTATCTCTTGGGCCACCAGCTTTCTAGTCGGAACTGGGATATGATAACTTTGAAATATGAACGGCCATATGCAGGGTTCACGTTGTACATATTCATCTGGGCTACACCAGTTTGAATAATTAACAAGAAGTCCAATCAATCCACCTAGGCACTCCAAGAACTTGAACATTGAATGATGGTTCAGTGGTGCATTTGAAGATTCATCTGCGGTGGCCGTATGTAGAACTGTTCCACTGATATGCCAGACAATATCCAAACATTTGATTAAATTGATAGGCGTTAGGTGATTTTCCCCGGTATTTCAAACCTCAAGGGTTGATACCTCCTATTTGTCGACCTTGGAAGATGAAGTCCGTGTTCATGTACCGAGATGTTCTATCTTCATGCCGAGAAGCAATTTTCATTCTTTCAAAGTGAAGTTTATCTGAGTCAATATTTGTAATAGTGGTCTTATGCGACTAGCACATTCAGGCTGTGCTGCTTTGAAACCTGCATAGCTCTCAGGAATTCTCCAGGCTTTTATTAATTACCTCTTATGTTACTGGCGTGGTGGAACTTATTTGCAGTGATTTCTGAGGAAAGGAAGCCGAGTTTAATGACTCCACATTGCTATTTTTTCAATCGACCCCTTGAGATCTCTTTGAGATTGAACCCTGCAGCTCTAGGCCTTAGATTGCTTAAGGCTATGAACTACCTTGTGATTTGTCACAAGACTGGGACTCGGGACTAAATGCTCACCTGAAAGGTCAAGTCCCTTGCATCGCCTGCTTCTGCTTTTCATTGCAACAATCTAAAATCCTGAAATTAATCTCGCATATCGAGCTGACGAGTCGTTACCTTCTATATTTGGTGATGAACATACATTGGCCAACTGCCCATCAGAACTTTGAACCAAGAATTAAACTTGAAACACGGCACGGCAAGACATTACCACGTCGTGCCGGTCGTTTTTACATAGTCGTTATCCAGATGCCAAGATCTTCAATGTCAGTTCTGACGCGGTCGCCGATCTATGACTTCCAATTGCCGTTCATAATCCGGGATTTGTTGAGCATGTGAATACATTCCATTCAAGGGATTCGCTGGGTTTCAAGAAAATGACCATATCGTCAATTGAAAATATCCCATTCGTCAGCCTAGCGTCGATCGTTTGCCATGTCAAGGTAAGCTCATGGGGCTCTGGACTTTCTTGGCTATTTCGGCACTGTTGACACGCGGCGCCAAGCATCTACAACCTCGGGCAGATACTATGAGGAAATGCCCAGTTCAAGGCAACCATCATGATGGAGATTTGCAGTGGAGGATATTCGAAACCTAATGGAGCTCTTGATTTGGTCTTTATGCTGGGCATGACGCGTCTCTTGGGGACGTCCCCAGATGGAGGGACTGATCTGATCTGCTCAAAGGTTATATAAATGTGTGTTGTCGAGTCGTCGTTTTCTGAGATTCAAATTCCTTAGAGCAATTCTTTTTCAGTATATCTGTTATAAATTCTTTTCATCATGGTTCACTTCTCCAAATTGTTCGCTGTGCCCACCCTGGCGAGAAGCACGACCCGCAGGTTGTGAAGCGTGAGACCTATGCCCGTGAGGCTATGGCTTCATCTGCGAAGCGGGCACTGAGTGGATGTGAGAACAGTCTGCATGCGCGAGAGCTATCGAAGCGAAATGTCGCTCGTCGTTCGCGTACAGTCCAAAGCCTTCGCGAGAAGCGTGGCGTCACTAGCGATAACGTCTACTTGGTTCACATTGGCAAAAGATTCCTGACTGATAATGAACAGCTCCCCAGAAATGGCGACGTAATCTTGCAGCTCTCGAAAAGTGGGAGGCTGTCAACCACAACAAGACAGGGATCCTGAACTACAGCCCTGCCACCTCCGAGTACGACGTCTTCGCAGCCGACACCAGTTGTATCCTAACCCCGACCGTCACCGATGGCCCATACTATGTCTGGGGAGAACTCGTTCGCGAGAACGTCAAGGAGGATGTGTACTCAGATGGTGTTGATGTCTTCTTGGAGATCCAATACATTGACATCAACACATGCACGGCTGTTCCCGGCGCCCTGGTTGATATCTGGCAAGCCAACGCCACTGGCGTGTACAGGTATGCATCATAAGTCCCATAATGCGACCAATGGCATAGGCTAATCGGAATAGTGGTATCTCGGAGTCCGGCAATTACGCAGCCGACGGATGGGACAGTACCTACCTCAGAGGCATCCAACAAACCGACCAAGACGGCGTGGTGACCTTCGACACAATTTTCCCCGGTCACTATGAGGGACGTGCGACACACACTCACTTGTTGACACATCTTAACGCAACTCTTCTACCCAACAACACCTTGGAAGTGGACACCGGCAGCGTGGCGCACATCGGACAACTATTCTGGAACGAGGTTCTTAGGTCCGCGGTGGAGGACACTTACCCCTATACCACGAACACCCAAAGTGTGACAACAAACGCTGAAGATATGTGGGCCAAGACACAGGCAGATAGTGCTTACGACCCGTTCCCCGAGTACATTTACCTCGGGGACCACCTAGATGATGGCCTCTTCGCGTGGATCCAGATTGGCATCAACGCTTCGGCCGATTACACGGACAACTCCTACTATAGCATTGCTGCCTATTACGATGCAGATGGAGGGCACGAGAATTCTGATAGCTCCGCTATGGGTAGTGGCAGTGTTCCAAGCGGTACCAACAGCACGGTACCTTCTGCCAGTGCTTCTGCCAGCACCGCTGCTTAATCAAATGTGGAGAGAGTGGCGCACTGTTCATCCATGGAAGCTAGCTTCAGGGGATGCGCAATGCAATTGATAGGACAGCAGGGCTGTCATTGAGACATAAACATTTGAAGCGAGCATGAGGATTCAAGGATTGGTCATAGATTGCACAGAATGGATCCGGTGTGATCCGGTGTCGATAGAGAAACATATACTAGTTCATAGAAGTGTCTCAAGTTTGAAAACCCTCAAGGTGCCTGAAACTGCATTGCTATTCATTAAACCTTCACTGGTCCCTCTTACCGGAAGAGTCTAACGTTTCATTAAAAGTAAATATACCTTCAGGGTTGTCGATCACTGATCAAAATCCATGTTTTCCCGCGCGCATGTAAACACCTATTCGTGATGGAGGGTCCTTAATGGGTCTAGCGCGTCAATAGGCGCGCACGGATAGCAATAATGAGGATTTGCAGATTTGCAACCCCGATGAGCGGGTCACAAAGTGCGTAATGTGAGCGACCAAAGCGCACATGGAATCTTGAATCGAAGGTTCTCTCGGGCGCCACGCGATCCACCACCTTGGAATGTGCATTGAATGCCCTGTAGCAAGGAGTTGAAGATGGAGAACGGAGTCTAGATATCCCCATAGACGCTAGTCCTATTCTAGAAGGTGTAGTCGAATCCATGGTTTTAGGGTAATAGCCCTTGCGTTAGGCTGAAATAGGATCATGCTTAGACTACTTCTAGGTGCCCCAGGCATCAATTTTTGCCTTTTTCATCTTAAAACGCCAGCTTGGCAGCCACCACCTCGTGGCATTTCCACTCTAGCTCCATAGACTTCCATGGTTTTATATCTCAGATATCCCGAGTCTAGTACGTCATGCCATGGTTGCAATATTGTATTGAGCTCGGCTACAAGATTCAGAGCGCATTCAATCATGGAATAAGTCCGTATACTGAACATACTTGCGCTTTGACCCCCAAGTGCCCAGCGGACAACGGAGATTGAAGATAACAGCCAATCATGATAGAGTGAGTGAGTGACCGGGCGTTACCGGCTTTCACTATAGATGCGGCTCCTTACTCTTCTGAAACTCAGCAATGCACGAGGAATGTTCTAAGATCTATGTTCCGATCTTCGCCGCCGGGCATCCGAGGCACTTGTATTGCGGGATCATGACAATGGGATTGAAACCTTGGAAGGATTGCCCCCCCTGGAGCTGTTTTGGATTACTCTATAGACGATACCCGAATCAGAACCCTGGAACTATGCAGACCCCACATTCAGTACTTCAGGCTTCCAGGCCTGCAGCCTCCCATGCATGATAAATTACCCATATTTGAGCCTGGTGGACATTGAATCCGGAAAACTCGGCTTTTGTTCAAGTCTGTAAGTGAAAATATGCACTAAAATCGCATGGGTTCATCTCTCAAATGCCGATCCATTAGATTTAGACTCGGCCCTAGAAATCAATACCCCCCACCAGTACCAACAGATGCACTTATTCACAACTCGGAGGGGGTCTCCACCTGGAACCAAAAGTCTAGAGCTGCAGGTTTTCCACAGTCCAAAATAGCCGGCGGCGTGGGGAGGCGATCTTCAGTAAAACATAAAACCACGAGGCAGCCTCTCCATCTCATTCTCCCTCTCTTCTCTCCTTTAGCCTCCCCGACTCGATATACCCCCGTCCATGTGGAGAGGCTTGCTCTTCGCGTTCACGGACCATCATGGCAGTGGACGATGACAGCCATAGCAAGGCTATCGTGATTGTCACTGCGATCTTTCTCGCCATTTCACTCCTTTCCGTTGGTCTGCGCATTTTCGTTCGAACTCGAGTTGTTAAAGCATTCGGCAACGATGACATCGTTATGACTATAGCCATGGTTCTGAACCTGGCCTTTGCGATTTGTGGATTCCTGGGAGTGAAGTATGGAATGGGCAGGAAAATGATACATTTCGTGGGGCGGGATGATGATCTCCATAAGGCTTTACTGGTAAGGCGTGCAATTGATCCTTATTGATCTGCGACTCGATTCTAATTTACATCTAGTGCTGGTGGCTGGGCCAAATATTCTATGTCATTACTTGTGTCGTCGCCAAAGTTTCTATCATTATCAGTCTTCTGCGCATTACCGTTGATCGCATTCACGCCTACATTCTCTACGCTGCCATCTCCCTCGCCACGGCCGTTGGCGTTATTTTCCTTTTCTTCACTATTTTCCAATGCAATCCCGTCCCCTATTTCTGGAACCGCAATTCGGGTACCCGTATCAGCACAGATCTCCTTATCGACATCGCATACCTATACAGTGCTGGCGCAGCAGTTACTGATCTAACAATCGGTCTTCTCCCTGTCGCATTAATCTGGAACCTACGAATGAACCGTCGTACGAAGATCGCCATCGCCGGAATTTTAAGTGTTGGCTGCATGTAAGTCACGCAATTGACTTTGTGACAAAGTCCCGAACAATGCAGCTAATCCCCATATTTACAACAGTGCGAGCGCTGCCGTGATTATCCGCATCCCATTCGTCAAGTACTATAAGAGCGAAGAATTCCTTTGTATGTTCCTTCATCTACAATGGACCCGCTTGCCCAATTGGCCCCATCGGCTAATACTGACTTACGATATAGACCAGACTTACCAGATCTCAATCTGGTCCAACGTCGAAGCAGGCCTTGGCATCACAGCAGGATGTCTCAGCACTCTTCGCCCCCTCATCCGATTTCTACGGGATGGCTCCTCCGCTGCACCAAGCCACAATATCCGCAGTCCCGGCTCTTTCCCCTTATCCAGCAATGTGGCGCAATTCAACCGCAATTCACGCTCTAAGCATGATAATAATCGCTCAGATATTGATCAGCTTTGGACTGGAAATGATCCAGAGGAATATCATGGAATTACGACGACGATCATGGGTAGTAAACACCCTAATCCTCGGAGTAGCAGTGAAGAGGATCTGAATCCAAATACAGCGTGGAAAGTCGAGCGGTCCATTCGGGTGTCTGTGCGCGATGATTGAACCGAGGCCTCTCCACCTTTGCGCCAGGTGGAGGGCTCTTACGTATTCTAATATATGTACTATATAGTGATGACTACAGAAAAAGATATAATGTACATGATGATTTAAATGTTTTCATACGGAATACGGAGTCTACTACTGTAATTGGGAAAAGTAAGCATTGAAACTTTCTTACATTCAAGTTCTCAACAGGATTTGCTTTTCTTTTCCGTCCATAAGGCCCACAACCCCAGTTTATTCCTTGTTAATGGCAAAGATCGGACTCGGAGTGGCGCCTGTGGGTCTTTCTTTTTTGCCCGTAAGCGAGATGATTTTGGCCCGAAGGCACTGGATGAGGAATTGAGTCAAGCGACCGATGTTTCACTCTTGCTTACCTATTGACTATTGAACATTGGCACCTGCGCAGTCTTTCGCCATCCAGCCACTTCATCCTTCGAATACTCAACATGGCAACTGAATACAAATTGCGTGGAAATTATTGCATTGCAGAATTCAAATGTTGTAGAATAACCTAAACAGGAAATAATACACCGGCACTGATCGCCACTCAGTATTGAACCTAAAGATCCTAAAGATCCCTGGCCAGCGGCCACTAGTGTGACACCCGTAGCCTGTGGAGTAGAGCGGTCGAGACTTTTTAGGGGTTTGACTCTCAAATAGATTACATGCCCATACTCCGTACTAAAGTCATCCCTACATGACACACCCGCAGGGACTACAATCAGAGCTAGTTGTTGAACCGGGACTACAGGGGAATCTTTGAAGCCGTTGTTTGAATGAATCGATCACCGGTGGAGCCCGTGTTTCATGATTGGATTTTGTAATTAATATTCATGAACTGCGACCGTTCGCCGGCACTCAGAACGCACTAGCTATTAGATAGATGCATGACGAAACAGATATGCGACAAGAGAGAAAGCTAGAGACCCGCTGCTGTTTCACTCCTTGACCTCCTCCACAACCTGCTCTTGAACGAGACCTTCTCGGGAAGAAGCAGATACACCCGCATACGCGTCAACATGCGTTGAGGAAAACTTGCGCGCGGAAACCTTGGTGGCAAATAGAAGATCCAACTCCGCGTAGGTGCGGTCCTTGGGCTCCGGAAGACGGAAGTAGGACCAGATGAAGGCGATCAACGCTGTGGTACCCCAGAAAAATCCAGTCTTACCGGATGCGTTCCAGGCGGTGGGGTTCATGAAATATGGCTCCAGGACTTGGGAGACGACATTGATGATCTGGTATGCTGTTCGTGCACAACAGACTGTCAGTGTGCGTAGGCGAACAGAAGATATCTCAGATACAACGGCGTAAGCGACCGGGCCGACAGTCAATGAATAGACGAATAGCCAAACCATGCAGAGGGCTGCTTGCGCCCACATGGCTCCACTGTTACTAGTAGATGAGGCGGCACTGATAATGCCGACCAAGTAGAGCAGCGTGCAGAGAGTACCCTGACCCCAGACGTAGAGAGTTCGTCGACCAAAGTGGGTAATGAGGAACCACGACAGCATTGTTCCAACAAGACCGACGGAAGTACATCCCACTCCAAGTTGGAATGATTTACTGATGCTCATGCCAGCTTGTTCGAAGAAGTAAGTAGGTGTGTAGGCGAATGTACTACCGGCCATGATCTGGCCGATGAATGCGCAGCAGCAGATCTCGGTTCGGCGCAGGTCAACTCCCTTGAAGCATTCCAGATAGGTGGTTCCTTCCTCGATCTCAGCTTCAATCTTAGTCGTATGCACCATCATGGCTAGCTGTCCATTGATTTGATCCTCTGTCTTGGCACCCGCTAGACGACGTAAACTGCGTTTTGCGTCTTCGAGTCGATCTTTGCGAACTAGATACCATGGGCTTTCAGGCGCAAACCAACAAATAACAATCAATGGAACGGGCCAGATCCATTGCAAAGCAAAGGGAATCCGATACGACCATTGTCCAGTTTTGTTGACGAGACCATCCAATACACCTGATGCAATAAGCTGCCCAATAGCCCAGCAACAGTTGACATATGTGGTGAGATAACCTCGGAGATTGGTCGGGCAGACTTCAGAGGCGTAGGCGGGACCGACTGTTGCAAAGACTCCCCAGGCAAATCCACAGAAAATTTGACCGACGATCAGTACAGTAGCTGAATTGGCGAAGACTGTGATGAAAATGAAGCATGTCAAAAGTGCGAGCGCCACCATCATGACGCCTCGGTAACCGAATTTGGACGCGAAGTATCCGTTCATGATACCGCCTGAAAACTAATCAGTGGATGTATTCTCGATCGAAGGGTCTTCTGGGCAACTCACCAAAGATACAGCCAACAGTACTAGCCATACTGAGACCCGACTGCCATGCGGCAGAAACTTGATAGCCAGTTTCCGGGCCATAGTACTGACCATACTTTTCCTGAAAGGAGGGATAGCCGTAGAAATTTCCCAGCAGAATGGTATCATATCCCTCCATGATAATCGATAGGGATATCAACATTGACCATCCAACTGCCTTCCGATTCTCGCGCAAACCCTGGAACAAAGTTTGCGAATGCTCTTCATCGGAAGCTTGTTTCGCCTCAATAATCGCACCATGACCTAGAGTATCCTCAACATGGTGCGCGGCGGTCTTCTCCAGCGCAATCTCAGTCTGGTGCAAGTCGGTGATCGCCATAATTAATGTCGCACGTGGTGACTGTAGAACCCGGTATACCAATAAGAATACCTAGTCTCGACAATCCCATCGTAAGGGATGGGCAAGCCCAGAATATAAAACTTTCTTCCCGACATGTTGTAGCCCACCTTCCACATGCCAGATTGAATCCCGGGGAATAATGTGGAGAAAGAGAAAAGCAACCAAGCGGCCCAAGATGCATTCAGGCTAATCTGGCAATCAGATGAAAGCTCAATTGAGGTGATTCAGCCAGTCAAATCGCGATGGTGGTCATTGTCTGGCCACATACCGGAATGGGAGCATCACGCCAGACCAGAATTTCGCACCTACCACAGCACTGAAATCCCTTGAAAGGATAGTAGTTGTGGAGAGAGATGGAGTAACCCGTATTTCTGATTAATTTCTGGGGAAGCGAGGGGCATTAATTGAGAAGCGGTACTGTGATTGGGTCCGAGCTTTGAAGGCGTTGACGCCTCCAAGACAAAAAATGCGCCTATTCCATTCAGGTAACGGAGCTTCGCCCCGAGACTCTCTCCGGCTGGCTTCATGATCAAATAAGGCTGGAATTAACACGCAATTGCCCCTTCTATTTCATCGTCCCGATCCTTTGTTTCTTTTTATCCCGGGGTCTCGGTCCGGGGTGTTGGCCTTGACCAATCTAGCAGCCAACGTGGTTGGTTTCCAATGTCATGATCCCGGAGAACTGGTGACTTATTAGCCGCGAAGCCGGATCATGTCCATTTGATATCTTGTTTTCAACATTATTTTTCGAGCCGTAGGGAGTTTGATGCTGGCACGCGGGTAAAAAGATGATCTCGTGCAGGGATTCAGCGACGATCCGGGGGGGTTCCACAGCCTCCGCACAGACCTCCGAGTCGTTATGCTGCTGACAGACTACTCCGCTTCAAGTTTTACTATGACATCTGGATTTTCCCGAAATTTCATCTTTTAAAATGTCAAACCAAAGACTATGACCGGAGCCCGGGATCTGGAGTAGCATCGTTCCGTGTTTCCAGCTCCGGAAAGCCGTCAAGTCCACTCAGGCTGGGAATTTATAACCTGGGCAGTTCTGCACCTCAACATGTGCCCAGACACCTGGAAACCTTGGCAGCTAATACTAGAAGTATCCCCGTGCGGTTGTTTCTGATCGATGTGGAAATGGTATTATGCATGATGCCAGTGATGGAGCAAATCGAATTTCGCGTTGGACTCAGACCCAGCGGTGCTAGCAGCCGCAGCAGTCAAAACAGAAATAATAGCACTTGGCGATGGAAAGGTGCTGGCATTGACCATTTATGAACATTCGAACTTGTAGCGTGATTTTCAATTTCTTGGCTATCGTTAATATGTGTATGATCGAACCTTATCTAAACATTTAAAGTCATGAAGCCCACTCTTGAAAATGAAAACCCGAGTCAGCATTTGAATGGGCAGTGCATGTCTATATGAGATTGAAAACTGTGAGGTTTATTGCTCGCGCGCGAGTAAACCTTCGGCTTCCTGTGCATCTTCTGCTGGGCCACCATGTGACTTCTCCAACACCTCGCCCATGGCAAGAGCTTCGCGACGGCCTTTATCGGCATTGACCATCCATACCAAGGGCATTGGCAACACAATGATGACTGCAATGAAGAAAAATCCCGATCGGACTTGACCAGTCGCATCAATAAGTACACCTACCACGGCGGGTCCAATGAAGGAGCTGCCCTTATCTGTGGCCGCATATAGTGCATAAAATGCAGCTTCGTTACCCGGAGGAATCAGCAATCCAAAAAAGGACCTGCAATACGAAGCTAGACCACCAGATACAAGACCATGAATGATTCCAAGTGGGAAGATCTCCCATGGCTTTTGTAGACCGATGACACCCCAATTCTTGACGAACGGAATATAGGCTAGCATCCCGTAGAGCGGAATAATTTCGAACAACGCGATGCAAACCAAGATTGTATGGTTAGGCTTCAGCGAAAATCTTCGGGAGACATGAGGCCAGAGAAATGCACCTGTCATGCCTGATAGCGTAACCGTGATTGATAAGAGTGCGACAGAAACAGTACTCATTTGCAACTCCGTGCGTGCAAAAAGGATTGCTGTACCAGAGACGGTGGCCATTGCATCCGATAAAAGAAACCACGCGACCAAGAAAATGATAACCTCGCGCAATTTCACGGCCAATTTGACAGTCCGCCATAGCGATTTCCATGCGAACCCCACGAGTCGCAACCACACACGCCACTTTGATGCACCCGGACTAGATGAGGTATCGAGATGAGGCCCAGGTCGAGTGCGTAGCCAGCGGCGAGAAACGAAGGTAAACGCACACCACCATATTCCAACCAACAGCAATACAAACCGCATCGGGAGCGTTGCAGATGTTTCAGAGAGCTTGGTCTTGGATAATACGACCAACAATACGATACTGATGATTTGAACAAACACCGCCGCGAAATACCCCAAGCCAATTCCTTTGGAAGAGATTTTCGTAGAAAGCTGAAGCTCCGGGGCAGAACTCTGGTCCTTGCTCTTGAGATCCTCCTCTCCGGATGGAATATTGTGACCCAGTGGGTTCATACCATCAAGACTATCAGCGTCGTCCCAAGGGTTCCATTCGTCGTTTTCGGTGTTATGGTCACGATGCAGGCTCGACATTTCCTCACCTCTTCTACCCTGTTGTTCCTGAATAGAGGGATCATTGGCTACCAAAACAGGTAAGAACGAGTTAAGAACGACAAATGAGGATCCGAGGCAGGTGACACCAATGACGACCAAAATCGAGCCGATGATATACATGGACGGAGCGATCAGCACGAAGAGCATGCTAGTAGCTGAACCGATGAATCCAAACGACAACAATAAAGTTTTACGGTTATTTTCTATGATAGTGAAGGAGAAACCAGGGTTAGTGGTGCATTTAGATCAGCCAACGGCGAGCTTACCATAGTCTGCCAAGGCGCTGAACGAAATCAATGTCAACGCCTGTATGAGAACCGCCAAAGAGAACGTATACATGGCAAAGCTAGATGTCGTTACTCGAAGACCCATCACTCCGACCATACACTGTTCATCAGTCTGTGTGCCATTAGCTGGGGCTTCGGTGCCCCAGCAAGGCAGGTGGCTTGTCTGCAGTGTGCCATGCTCGCGGGCAAGTTGCTCCAGAGTAAGAGGGAGGAAAGATCCTATTTAAATGAGTTAATACATAGGTGGACGAGATTCGAAGGTTGGGCGATCACTCACCTACACCACACACCGCAAAAACTTCGGCCGCGATGCCGTATGCATACCAGCCGAGAATCTCACGGTGAGTTGTTGGTGTAGTATCATCCCCGGCATAGCGCGGTGGCCTCTGCTGGGTCCCTTCTACCGGCTCGGAAGAGGGTCTAAAAGCTGCGAATATAGACGACAGCATGAAGCAAAGGCAAGGTTGAGAGTGAAAACCTTGCAGCCTCCATTGCGGTGGATTTCAATCCGGATGACGACGGAAACGGGGCGGGGACGCACGATGCCATCATTGTTGATCGCCAACGCTCAGGAACCCCAGGGCGGACCCACTTTTCGTACTAGATCATTTCCGGCAAGGCGTGAGGATACAACTCGATTCAATCAACATCTGGCAGGAAGACAGGGCGAAACAAGAATATAATAAGAGGGAAAGTGAATCAGATCAAAACAATGGTAGCCTTGTTAGATGATATGCAAACTAGACAAACCAAGCAAAATTGTCGATTCCCAGGCTCCTGCCGTCTCCGGACCGGAACCGGGATCGCGCCTGCCTAATTAAGTAACTTGTCTCTTTTGCATTGTATATATATTTTTTGCCTCGCGTCTTTTGCTCTTTCTCTTCTTCTTCCCCGCGCGTCAACTGTTTTCATCCATCCACTGACAATGTCTACTCTCGAGTACCACGCTCTGATGTTCGCTATCGATTACACGGCCTGGTATCTGGGCCGACTGTTCTACCGTATTCGTGGCCATGACTCGCGTCAGTTCATCTACTGCCCCGCCTTCAAGGACATTCCGAAGCCCAACATGACCCTGGAATGTGAGGAATGTGGCCCCTCCGGCTCCAAGCTTCTACTTCACCACACCAGCCTTGCTGAAGATGGCATCGGTTCCATTCCCGACTTGAAGTGGACTCCTCCCCAGGCTACTGAGCCAGTCAAGGAATACGTCTTGATCTGCGAGGATATCGATCTCCCAATTCCTTTCCTTGTCGTCCACCACGGCCTCTTCTGGGGCATTGACGCCACCAAGCACAACCGCGTCACTTCTACGCAGATCTCTGTTCCTAAGAACAGCCCTCGCTGGAAGACCAGCTCGTCCTGGAATTACGTTCCCAACCTTCGTCGTACTGCTTACGTTGGCGCCAACCCTGTTCTCGGCCATGGTGCACACCGTTATGTCTTCACTATCGTCGCCCTCAAGGAAGCCTTGCAGTTTGATAAGCCCGCCAAGGTCACCAAGTCCGACATCAAGAAAGCGATCGCTGGCAAGGTCGTGGGATGGGGTCAGTGGACCGGGGAGTTCGAGAAGCCTTGGACTTGGTCCCAGTAAGCTCTCTCTGTTTCCTGTGGGACGACCTTCGGATGGAAATGACAGAGGACTTTCAAAAAATGGGCGGCGTTCACGGTGAAGCCATTGAAAGGGTGAAAAGTTTCAAATATGGTTATCAATGGGTGGTTGTTTTTATTTCTCTTATGTTGTTGATCAGTCAACTTGAAGATCTCCCTGTCCTTTGTCTTGAATGACTCGAATTATGAGCTTAAATTATGATATCCAACAATCAAAACACTTCAATCACAATGTCCAGTTCTCATTAGGTTGTGTTCCCAGCGCTTAAAATTATCCTCGGGCTGTTAGGCACCTTAAATCTACTGGCCGTTATGTCTGACTCCTATTAGTCACAATTAATTGGACACTGTTTACCCTTCAGAATGATCTCGGTGTCCCTTTTCATAGTCCATATAAGCTCCGAGTCCGATTGATAATTAATTCAAAGAAGACTGTGCTCAAGTGCTCTCAAGTGCTTCAAGGCCAATAATGATTAGTATGGCAAAATAAATCTTTCACATGTTGTATTATCAGAGTTGTCTCATGCCAGATATTACACTCAATGCTATCGATGAGAGGTCTTTCGCATCGAAGTTTAGTACCCAGCGGTGTTGAACTTGAGCAGTCAATTTCCATTTATTCAATAGTACTCATGATACTACACATAAAAAGCAAATCCGGTGGGTAACGTCGTGCCTTAAGCTCCCTGGCCCTAGGCTTCACCCAACAGCCATCTTAATCTTCATCATAATAAGTTGTAACCTCCGGTCAGTCTCCATAATCATAAGTAGCCTTCCGCGGGACAAGACTGCAGTCAAATGCTGCTGCATACAAACACGTATCCGCCGAATCGTAACCAAAAGCATGGAAAGACGAACTTGCAAAACCTGTCTGATGAAATATGATCTTTCTTCCAAGGGTACTCTGAGTCCATCAATGATTAGCGGGCAGACATCGACATGGGACTTGTATCCACCACCCGGATGCACTTGATCGGGAGAGATATTCTCATCTTCCATACCCGACCTGGCTGTACTTGCAATAACATCAAGTGTAGACAACAGACTATCAATAGTCACAATGATAATCATTAGCATATTAGCCTGCACCTCGGACTGTGAGCACATTTTGCATTCCAGAATACACTCTGTCTGAAGTAGTAAATCTTTCTGACATGCAATGATGCCGTCAATACTGCACGATCCATCTGGGCCAGCGCGAAGGCCTGATCGTATAAGTTCACTCATCGCTTGTTTGTAACAATTGCAACTGAAGCTGAGGTTATTGTCAAGTGGGTTTAGAAATTCTGGTTCTTCGGGTGAGTATGTCTCGCTCTCATGACTCGTACTTGGTGACTGAAGTTGGCAGTAACTCAATGTTGAGTGGTCTAATATGGAATTGTTTGGTAGATGACTTCGGTCCAGATTCCATGGATCTGAGGCTGGTTGCATTTCGAACTTCAATGGTGAGGATTCGTATATCCATGGTGATGATTCGGTATCTTTCACTTCATGAGATACAAGATGCTCCGAATTATGGAAGCCTTTCATATCAGGTTCGAAATTTTGGCTCATTTCGAGTCCGGTTGAGCCAACTGGAAAATAAGGATCTCCGACCATGTGAGGAGGTAATGATCCCGGATGTCTGATATATTCTGATGTCGCGTCAAATGTATCTTCTGAATCAATAGCATCGCCATACGCTTCTTCAAATTGAAAGGCTGAATTGCTAGGTCCGCCACCAGAACGACAAGACATGAGGTCTTGAAGCCATGTCTCAGAAGTGAAATCCATTTCGAGTGCTAGAAGTGAGATGAGATCAGTGGACTCGGGAACATTTCTCATGACGTGTCAAACATACTGGAACATTCATCCATCTTTGCCTCTGGCGAGATGGGAACTGGGTATTGCTCATCCTCAACTTTCACATTGGTCTTACTTGCTCGCAAACGAACTAAAGTTTCTGAGGCGTGTTTCTGGACTTTTTTTCGTGGAGCCTTTCGTGTCTTTTTCCCAAGCTCAGGACGATCCAATGTCTCGGGTGATGAACTGGCCCCCTGTTCTTCCACCCTCGATTCCTTCTTCTTTGCTGGGCGTCCCAGTCGCCGGGACACACTGTAAATACAATCAATATTGTGCTTTTGACAGCGACGACATGAAGGTTTCTCGTGACTGCAGCGGATCTTGGCTTGCTGACATGCATTACATGTAGAGCGAACCTTGACACTTTTGGGCATTGGACCCGTTCCACCCTTAGCTTGCTTCGATAAGTTCATTCTGAAAATGCAAGTTAAACTTCAGGATGCCTTCACGGGGAATCTTCAAAAACTCAGACTGTGACAAAATGTCTCAAATAATAGGGATCGCAGCGGAATTATTGCCACCAGAGGGCCCGTTTATCTACTCGGATTCCTTCCCCTATCAGCCGCTACCTCGGACCTAAGATCACGTTCACGAATCCCCATCTCTTTCCGAATTCGTGAGTCGGCCTTGTCCCCTAGATCTATCTACCTCTTGGATACTCGGGTGCAGAGTTAAAAGTTACATCCGGAGACCCCGTGTTGACAAATGGGTCTGTCCCACCCGACCCCGATGGAATGCTCCGTGTGTGTGTTGGGCTACGTATTTGAGTAGTTCCATGCACCTGTACCGGAAGGAGACAAGATTTTAATTGGGAAATAGCTCCATGAGAAGTACCTTCATGAGCCCTGAAGCGAGATCTTGGTCAGGCAATGGTATGGTATTTCAATTTCGCTGGAATCCGCTCTATACGTGGATATTCCCATGTGGATGAATATCAAGCTATGACGAATACTGAGCTCTATCATGGCTGATATTGGTCTTCTGTGTCATTCAAGACTTCCTGAAAACGCCCGACAGCATGATACGGATATTTTGGAGCCCTGCAGACTCAGTGTAAAATTTGGGAGAGCCTCCAGGGCTGATATTTGAGAGATTAAGGCCTGGCAATAGGCTTCGAAATTACTGTCTGACTCTAGCCCAATTTGATTTCACCATCACTTCAAGGCTTGCTGAATCAGGCTCTGAACTTCCACCATACATCTTTTCATGGGTGCCCAATGCCAGGAATGTATTCCAACCCTCAGAAGGCTGCCCCATTTCAATGATAACGGGATCTTTCACGTTCACCAAACAGGCAATAGACAAAATCGAGCAGTTCTTCACGAGCCGAGGAAGTCACATGTCGGTCACCATATCAGTCTCGTCAATGTCCGTATTTGGGTACAGACACAGAAAACGGGAGACAAGGCATGCATCCGCCAAAGTGGTCGCTTCGTCCCGCTCGGCGAATTTGATAGCTCGATTGGACTCGATGCAAGATTCGTCAGGTAAGAACGGATCAGATAAGCTATCCACGAGGATCAAGTGACCAGCAGCGAGGTGTTTGTGCTTGGTTAGTTACATTCTGGGTTAGCTGTTCTTGCTATCCATACCGGAAGCTTGCTCAGGGATAATCCCCGATGGAACAAGTGCTATTAGGACTGCCTTTAAGGACTCTACACGGACCAGGTGATGAGCATCAAATTGTAGATTCGAGCACTTCACCCTGCAGGTTGGACGTTTCAGGGTTCATGGGCCTAAATATTCGCTTACACATATCATAATGAGCTCCAGGGCTTATATGTACAAAGTAATCAGCTCTATCACAGTGGCATTCAATGGATCATGGTTGAAGGAAATACAAACCTTTAGCGGTCTTGTGAGTCTCAAAGCAATCGTTCAATGGATAGCTACCCAGTTGCACCATGACGCTTTTTATGATGTGCTACTAGTGCTAGCTTGAACCTCCCAACTCACATGTGCACCTACTATCACTGCATTATGTACTCGAGAATTTTATGAACGGTACATTATGCCAGTGCTCTTCAAAATTTCAAGTTGGTTTGTATCATATTTCAATGTTTATGTCCACTATTGATTACTAGTAGAATCTCGAGACGATATTTTGACTATTATTCGTAAGAAAATCGTTAAATCCTAGAAGCAATGGAACCCGCCCATAAGGATTATTCTAATCTCAAGTTCCAGGATATATTAATCCTCCAATGCATCTACTGAGGTACTGGCATCTGCTCGAAAGGGTGATCCAGTTCCTGCTTGCAGAAGGGAAGCTTGCTGACGGTCCAGATCTCGGTATCCTGAGAGAAACTATTAGCCCCGCCATTTAGCGCGTTTCGATATTCCCCACGTACCGGCTCCAGGCTCCGCTTGATTTCCGTGTCCAGGGTACCAGCCTTCAGAGCAATGATCTCAGGGGCCGAATCGGGATCATGAGCGATCGGGGAACCGCACTCAGAGCAGAAAATTCGGTGAACAGCCATGCCAGAGGTACCAACACCAGCCCAGGACTTGGTGGGGCCGTTAATAGTGAGAGTGGCCTTGGGGACGACGGCGACCAGAGCTAAAAAGTAAGCAATTAGTCATTGCCATCGTTATTTTGAGAATTGGGAGCTCCATACAGTAGGTGGAACCACTTTGGCGCTGGCAGTCATCACAGTGATCGTAAGCAGTGAGCAGAGGCTTGTCAATGTCCGCAGAGTAAGTGACCGCCTTGCAAAGGCAGTGTCCAGTTAAAGGCATGATGAAATCGATTCTCGCAAGGTTCTCAATAGTATCAAGGGGGAATAGATCTCTGGTTGAGTTTGAGGACCTTGAGGGGAGAAGAGAGCGTATTTAAAGGTAATGGGGAATCAGCCTTGACTTCCCTTTAAGACACTTTTTGACCCAAGGATCTCAGCTCTCCGAGTCAGCGCTACTCCCTCCTCCCCCTTCTTGCTTCTCACTCCTTTTACTGGATCCAAATGAAGCTGCATGTTGCGTCATACTAGAGTCAATTCCAAATTCCGCATGACAAATTGTTCCCAGCCCCGCCTGCCCCGCCCTTCTATTAGCTCACGACTTGAGACTTACTTTTCTAGGTACATGATGCGCTTCTCAGCCACGCCAGTAGTAATGTGAGATAGTATTCGGATTTGGAACGACGAGAACTGAGTTCTGCACAATCCGTATGTGCAGGTCTAGTGTATAGTTTCTCAGACTTGTCCTCCCGTCTTCAGTCAAAATCGGGATCTCCTCCGCGACCGAGTTGTGTTTCAATGCGACGGGAATGAGGACCCCACTGGTACGAGGTTATCGGATCAAATTCCCTGTGGGGTTCCAGAGGAAACTCTCAGAAAATAAGCCCGATATCAGCAAGACAATGCGCCTTCAAATCATCCCACTGACTTCCGGCATACATATACATGACTGATAAGCCTTGGGACCAGTGAAATGTCTTCGATGACTTTGGATGTATCAACTCGCATCGAATGCATCGGGAAGTCTTCGGATGCTGGAATTTCAGTAAGTAACAAGTGGGAATGTGCGCAAGTGGGAAGTACTTCATCCGGAAGTACTCCGTACTGGCTATGCCGGTGGTTGCTCTACTCGGTGAGCGGAGTAATGAGCTGCATCTGAGAATTAATTCTCACGGCATGACAAATTTCTTCAATCTGCAGCGAACAAGTCAACTCAGGAGTATCAATCGTGTGGCATTTGGTGCATTTGGTACCATAGCGTCGGGCATATGCGCTGGGTCAATGCGTCGATCCATTTCCCTGCGGATCCAGTAAAGTGGATCAGGGCCAGACTTGGACCCCAAACTTTGCATGCATGGCCATGCTCAGGCCCGAGCTATTGATAGTGCACATGTGGGTTCTTTTTGAGGGGAAAATATGTAGCCTCAATGACTCGAGACTATTTGCATTATCGCTTACTCGACCCTCGTTTTCCGAGAATGCTTGGATCATTCGCTTCCCAATAAGCCTGCATGCAGATCTGTGTACAAATATCTTCTTGTTATTCATCATTATATACGTTATAGTATTTGATTTTTATTTACTGATATGTTCAAATGTCCAATTTCGGTGTACAAACTGGCACCGGAGGCTACCAGATGTCTCGGCGGACATTCTCGATCTTATCCGCAGCGCTCTATGCAATCCGATCAACAAATAATTCATTCAATAGCTCGTTGAGCTTCGAATATTTCACTTACCTGCATCTGGGCCGCCATACCCTGTCGCGGGATTTGACCTCCATACACCATTGATTCAGCTCGTTGCGCCTCCCGAGCGTCATCCTTCGTCACATACACCGGCATTTCAGTCGGCACAGGAGGGATACCGAGTATCTCGTTCCGATCTGCAATGGAGCGCACTTGTTCGGATACAGAGCCTCTCCCGGGAGGACGACCAAAAGCTCGACCCTTTTACCAGTGTTAATATATGCAATCTCATTTGGAATGAAATCAGGCTTACTTCGGCCGCTTGCATCTCTCGTGCATCTTCGTGCGTAATATGACTTTGCGGTTTTCGGGATACTTCCTCGAACTTAGTATCGAAGTTCATCTGTCGCATGGCGAGACTTTGCGCGACCGCTACATCTTGATCAGTGGTGACGAGCTATGGGCGTCGATAACAAGGTCAAGCAGACTCACCGGCTGGTCCGCCCCGCAGCGGGCCGCGTCCAGTTAATTGACTTTCAGCATGAGAGATGGTCGATACGTCTCCTGGAGTGATTCTTTGTCCAGCCTCCACGGCTTGCTTGAGATCAGCAACAGATGGAAGATCGACGACCATGTTTGCTTCTAAGCAATATCCAAGTAGAATCCAGATGTCCCAGAATTGTCTCTGATTTCGATTGCTATCGTAGGTATTTGCCACGTTGTGCTGGGGGATATATAGAGGATCTGGTGGCTCTGATGTCACATTTAGAACATTCGTTCTCGCCGCGCGCCATCGTTGTGGCGCTGCCACTCTGGGGTAAAGACAGATATCAAGTCCCTAGATAAGGACTCAGTGGAGCAGATTTGAGTAATGAACCATAGACATAGAGATAACCAGGTCGGGGTTTGGAGAATTCGGTATTTGGGTACTCAGCATAACCTGAGAATGGAAGTTATCGCCACCAGGGGCGTGGATTAATTGACCCAGATCCTTGGATTCCTAGGTGGGCAAGAGCTCGATCACGAACAATATCACATCCCATGATATGTTCTGGAAATCGAATTTTCAGTATCTCTGTTGCACCGCCATCCCCATTACCTGCACCTATCCTACTCCGTACTCGTGCCCTCTTACACAACATGGAATGACAAATTCTGCAAAAGCTGCACTTACCCGCCAGACACCATCTTCCAACTCCACGAACTGCGGGGTCCTTCAAAGAAGATTTATAGCTCTCACCGAGTGTGACGACCCTTGACATCACATATATCCGGATCGAAGGAAGTAATCGCGCAAACAGGAGGGGTTAAAAGCCACATCGTGTGCTCTTGGTGATACACCAAATTCCCTGCGACGGCCTCTTTGGGAAACCCCCGAACCTCGGTATAAGCCATAGGCATGGATAATATTTGGTAATTCTTCGATTTACCTAGGCAGGCAACACTCAGCTGTGTATCGTTCCACCAAGTTCAACGAGCAGTGCGAACAGTTGGAAGTCGCATTAACCTGGCCTCTGCAGTGAAAGTCGTACTCTGTACTATTGCCCTGTCGGGCTTGTCATGTATTGTTATGCTGGTCATTTCCTAATGCTGTAATTTTCTGTCTTCTATTTCTATTTTCACAGGAGGCTTAATATAGAAATACTGATAACGACCGAGGTAGAATATTTGAATGTTGAAGCTTGAAGAGCTATAGCTGCCCATCTGGGCATACTCTTATCATCCAATCAGCGGACATGATGATGCCGGTTCCGGGATTGAATTTCCTTGGATATCCCCGGTACCGGAATAAATCCCCTCCCATTCTCACCTCCAGAGGTCGAGAATGACTTGTCATCCTCAGTCTATCAACCCGGTTACGCTTGATTGTAATTGCAGCTGATCCCGCTTGGCATCTGAACCCCTTGCGAATGACGACGTAAGGATAACCACTCAGTCATACATCCACAGCAGCTAATATGGTGCACCGCAGGCCGTTGAAGAAAGGGAAAAAGGCGTGCACAGAGTGCCGTCAACAGAAGGTAAATATTTCGTATTTGATGTGCCAAAAAAAAGAGAACAGAAAACTTCCAGTTTATACTGATACTGTGCAGGCAAAATGTGATGTTTATTTGAATCCGGATGAGCCTTGTACTCGATGTCGCAAGGTGAAGGCACAATGCATCATTTCAGACCCCTTCAAGAGAGAGCATAAGCGCAAGTATGTATATCAATTCTCATGTATATTTGGTGGTCATTCTAATTATGTGTCAGGCGACTCTCCGATCTAGAGCGCGAGTCGGCAGATCTGCGGCAAAAGCTTCGCGCCTCACAACCTGCTGATCCCCACCCATCCCCGATTGCCCTATTGACAGCCGCGGCGGAGATGGGGGTCCATGCAGGCCCACGAAGCGACACACTTTCAGGCCCCTCACAAGTCTCCCCAGAGTCTTATCCACTCCAGCTGCTAGCTCCAAGTAGCTTAGGATCTGGTACTCCGGGACCGGCATTGGAGAATACCAGTGATGTGACATTATCAAGGACTTTGAATGGTGTGGGGGTGAGTAGTGACGAGATTGATGATCTTTTTGCAATGTAAGTCCACATTCACAAGTAAGTGCTATTCGTACCCCTTCTAATCTCATGCAGATACTTCCGTCACTATGCTCAGTTCATCCCCATTCTTGACCCTAATACCCGACCCAATGCCTACTATGCACAATCGCCCTTCCTTTTTTGGGCAATCATTGGCGTCTCATGCCGTATATACCCCCGAAACCCAACCCTTCTCATGGCCCTGGCATGCAGTATTGTTGAAATGGCACTACTATCCACACTCTCCACTTCACCACCATGGCATACTGTACAGGCATTCTTGTTGATCTTGACATGGCCATTTCCGAAGGGTGATCATCCTGATGCATCGTTCCCTCTGGCTGGAATGATGCTTCACATTGCCATGCAAAATGGTCTTCACATCCCAATGTCAAGTCATGAGTTCTTTCGTGTAAAGATGTCAGCGCCTTCAGAAGCTGATTTGCAGCGTCGGTCGGAATTATGGGCGCTTTCCATGGTTATGTATCAACAGTGAGTTCCCTGGAGTAAAGGTCAAATTTAGGAGCAATAGTTAACATCCGAAAGGGTCTCTATGCAAAAGGGTCACTTGCCTCGAATGAATCAGACACAAGATCCAGCACAGCGCCAGTTGATGATCGATAAAATTTCACCATTGATGGCGCTCAAGTTACGAAGTCAGGAACTGATACGTCGTTGCTGTGAGGAGGTTCTAGAGAATGGGCTACGCACGATGTCTTTGGAACAGGAAAGATCTCTGGATATTCTGCTTCGCACCTACGAAAACCAGATAGACGAGTTGGAGCTAGAAGCGGTGACGGGTAACTCACTCCCCCATTCATGATCTCAAAATGTTGCATCTAACAATTGATAGATGATGAAAGATTCAACATCTTCCTTTGTCGCATGGCTGTCCAAAGCTTCCACTTTTATAAGACTCAAACACTGGTCTCCAGTGCCTGTTTCCCACGAGTCCTAATAACCGCCTGCAACCTCATCGACTACATCCAATCGCTTATAGACCGAGTGCAAAACCTAGCAATGTCTCCCTCTCAAATGCAATTTGCAGTTCTCTTAGCATCATGCTCCCTGATGCGAATCCTAAAAAGTCCCTCCGCATCACACGGCCTCGAGACCATTCGTGCCCGCTCCTCTCTTTTTACCGCCATCAACCTTGCCAAACAAATGTCCGTCGATAGTGCCGACCTTCCATCTAAGACTGTGACTATCCTCAACGCACTCTGGAATAGCACTAAAGCCTTCCGTAAGGCCGATGGGTCAGAATTTAATGCTCTTCGTATCCGCGGTCGCCTCGTTATAGGCCCTGTCATTGATACAATATGGTGGTGGCGAGATGAATACGATCCTCCGACTCGGATGCGCTCTGTTATTGAGCCTAGCAATGGCACTGTGTACTGCCAGTCACGCTCCTATGCTGCAGCTGACTCTGGTAATGTGGGTGTCGGCCTTGACTCAATCCAGCAAGACCCGATGGGGGCTGCTCTTAGCCAGGATGCCTTTCTTCTTGATGAGCAGTTTCTGGCGGATTTTGAGTGGGCATTGGGTGATGACTCGCTGTTCTCTCTGGATGCCATGCCTAATACCTGGCCCGTGGCAAACAATATGCTATAGGGCTTGTGTGAGAGCTCGATCTCTCAGATCTACGCATCTTCAATTTAGACAGAATCTTAATATACGACTTACAAAATACCCAAGCAATATCATGATCCTATCACCCAGTATTCTCAATAAATGGAATTCTTCTATTCAAGCATTTTTGGTCTCTGTATCACTGTACACCATGAGTATAACGTTTCCTATTCCAAGCCTCTACCCACAACAAAAAGAGCCTGACCGGTGTAGAAACTTCCTCACGATTATTTCCGGCATATGGCGCACAGACTGAGCAAGAAACCGAGTCATTTACCACTGGGCACCTGGGCACCTGGGCTGGTATTCTAATTTGTATTTGGTAAGCAGCAGACCGCGCAATAATTTATACCGGAATTCCATCGAAACTTCCAAGGTTTTGCGCATCGTGTAATATACGGGTATGATTCAAAGGAAAACAGCTGCCCGGGCAGCATTAGAACTTGAAGCCCGAGGACTCCCTGGTACGGAATGCTATAGCGGCCACAGCTCACATGCCTCCAGGACTGTTTGGGAATTACATATAAAAAAACCAAGTGGGCATGCTCGGAATGATTTTTCGAGCGGCAGAAAACCATTATTACCAGATTTACTACTATCATCCGCCACCGCTTCCAAAATAGGCACATGCCCAGCACTTGAGTGAGCTGTGGCCGCACCCGTGGACACATAAACTACGGCGGTCCATAGCGGCCACCCCCCGGACATAATCCAATTAGGAAATTCTGATTCACCGCCCCAGTATTTGTATCGTCCCGTCGATGTTTATTATACACCGCTTTCCTAATATGGTACACAGTGTCTGCCCAGGTGATTTCAAAATGTTTAAATTGGTAGGTACAGAGTACTGAAATGCTAGTTCAGTTGAAGAGAACTTATGTAGTATAATGGCTTATTTGGGTGATATAAATATTCAAGTTGAAAACTTTGATATGGATGGCTTTAAACTTAATAGTTAACTTAGAAGAGGTGAAGATTTTAGTTTGGTTCCCAGTACTCCGTAGTAGAAGTTCAAGTTAGAACCTTGCAGCGTTTAAAGCCTTAGAACACGATCCTTCAACTGGACAGTGCCTATAGCCTTCAAGTTCTCTAACATTTAAAGATTTCCTTCTTCCCCTACCGATAATCCACACACACCAGTTAACTTCTCCTCTACAGAATATGTACTACTTTTCCCCCTCAAAACTTGAATTTATATTCAGGTTCCAAGGTTACTTATTTCAACTAAAAAATATTAGGCCACTGACCCTGCCCCGGTGTAGATATTAGCCCCTATACAGAGATATTACAGTAATTTACAATTCTGCCCGTTTTAAATTTTGAGATTTAATTTTGTCCGGGCGGTGGCCGCTATGGACCGCCGTACATAAACTCTCTTTCCAATATCAATGGATAGAATTTACTAATTCAACATTTTTCATAATATTAACCTTGGAACATAATATACCGGAAAATATTTCCAAGGTTCCACACCTGGACAGATACAATAGTTTGATTACAGTTTTTTTGTACTTTTCATTATATCAACTCCATTTTCAAAATCCCCAATCCTCCGGGGGCCTGCATAGGGGAACTTCCATACGATTCCACCCGGTTTCAAGTTTACACGTGACTTCAACAGTTCCAGGTGGGCGCTATTGGGAATCATGACTGCCCAGATGGTTCCACTGGCAAGAACGGGTCGGTCCGAACACCTTAACATTGTTGAAGCGCCTTGATGAGTATCAGAAAGCATATTCTACGGATCCATTTATTCAACTCAATCAATATTTCTCAACATCGTATTACGGCCACCTAATCTTCCTCGCCACGCCCTTTTTCACTATACGCAACTGGAGTGTGTGTCTGCATACCCTGCCTTGTGTATCACTCACCTTTGTCAACGGCAAGGACGAGGGCGCACGACGACCTCTCTACTTCACTTTGAAGAAACCTCCCAGCCACCACAGTCGGATAAGATACATCCTCTCGAAATTGATAAAAGATGGAGAGCAGTGGGCAAGCAGGCTTTCGTCGACGTGTAAAAGAACGGCTGAAACACCCTTTCAAGTCCCCTGAATCCAAGCTCCAGGATACATCCGCCCCGAAGAACATCTGTGACATGCAGTGTAATTTAACCAGTAAATCCGCACCAGCTCCAATCACTCAGCAAAGCGCACAAAAACCCGAAGTGCAGGACTCTACAGAGCCCAAAGACCTATGGAAAGCTGCTTATGATCAATTAAATAAAGCCCAAAAAGACACCCTCCAGATGGCCATTTAGTGGCATCAGGCTCAGATGATAATACAGTATGTCTATGGGACACTGTTATAGGTACTCTACATCAAAAGTTTGAGCATGAAAATCAAGTAAAGACAGTGGTCTTCTCCCTGGATGGCCATTTAGTGGCATCAGGCTCATGGGATAACACAGTTTGTCTCTGGAACACCATTACAGGCACCCAGAAAAGGCTTAAGCATCATCGTAACCCTAATACAGTGGTCTTCTCTCCAGATGGTCACTTACCGGCATCAAGCTCAAACGATAAAACAATCTATCTCTGGGACACTGTTACAGGCACCCAGCAACAGAGGCTTAAGGGCCATAAAGGTACGGTCCAAGAAGTGGTCTTCTCCCCAGATGGCCGTTTATTGGCGTCGTGCTCAGATGATAAAATAGTACGCCTCTGGGACACCGTCACAGGCACCGTGCAACAAAAGCTTGAGGGCCATAGATTTTCGGTCAGCGCAGTGGCGTTCTCCCCAGATGGCCGTTTAGTGGCATCAGGCTCACACGGCGACGTAGTGCGCCTCTGGGACATCGCCACGGGCTCATTGAAACAAATCATGCATTTCAAGAACACCATTTACAGTCTCAAATCTTCCGAGGACGGTTTCTATCTACATAGCAACCGTGGCTCCATACCCATTAACTCCCCCCTCGACCTGCCCATCCATATGTCAACATCCAGGCATAACCAAGTGTCTAAAGAGGGTGAATGGATCGTGATGGACGGTGAGAATGTGTTATGAGTTCCATTTGAGTATCGTTTCCCTAGCGCCTTGGCTGTTCAAAATGGGACCCTTGCCCTTGGCTACCCATCTGGAAACGTTTTTGTTGTAGGTATTCGTCCACATTAGAATTATATAGTCAAGTTCCATTCCAAGTTGACATTTTCTATATCTCGTGACATAAAACCAAAATTTGCAAACATTCAAGTTGAAACTTCACTGCGAGTTTCTGTGTAATATGATTCCGAGTCGCATTAATCACATTATGTATGAGATGGATGGGGCTACTAGTTGTATCATCTAATCAATCTTTTCTCCCAGGTCAACTGGTGCGTGCTCTATGCGTCAGAGTCCCGAGGTCGCATTTATGTTCTTTCATTGACCGCCGGCGATATTAGTATGAACATCGATCTCCCCCATGAATTGCACCTTATGATCCACTTCCAAGATTGAAAATTCGAGTCCATTTTGTCTTGAATTGCTTACACATAGTAGTACTACCCAGTTTTACAGTTTTATGGATGTATACTGGGTACCTAGCCATGCTACCTAGTACTAGTAGCACTGTGACTTTGCTCTGGTCCATATATGGGCAGCCCTCAGGCTGTCACTGGCAGTAAAGGGTGTACAACACTAAAAGCTTCCAAGTTTATGATTTAACATCTAACATTTGAGAAGATCTATCCTAATTATTGTAAGGTCCGTCTCTTCAAATTGGAGACCTGAAAGTCGAAATAATACTACCAGTGAAAATTGACTCAGTGATCGACAAATTGAATCGGAAATAATTCAAATTTGAGCTACATCTTATATTCCTTTTCCTTCCGAGATTCTCCTACTTTCAAGATTAACATTCGACATCTTACAGCACTGCCATTTCGGAAATTCCAAGGGTCGTTAATTTGAGCTTTGTCCTGCATCTATTCTCCTCAAGTTGCCTTATCATTTTCCAACGCTTCATTTGGTTCTTGCTCTTACCATCGATATCTTACCATCGATATCTTACCATCGTCCTTCCTTCCAACCTACATCTCTCTCCCCAGATGTCACTTCAAGCGCACCATCATTTTTCACAACCTTCACACTCCTGACTTCTCGGTCTTTTCACTTCTAAAACCCTCCCCTACTAACGGTCCCCATAGTCTGTTCCCCACACTCGGTGTGCGAGGGTACAGTTTCACCGTTCGTCTAGGTATTGGCTACGGACGAAAAGAGGGACCTCGTCAGCATCTCTTCGATCTTGAGAGCTAGTTGTGTCTTCTTCCTCTTCTTACAACTTTCAACCTTGATCCCTTCCCACAATCTTCCCTGTCATTAACAATCTGAGAGAACGTTCTCAATTTCGCCCGGCGGTCATCATGGACGACATCACCCACGATGCCGAATTCAGACCTGATATGAACCATTATCCTTTGAAAATCATGGAGGGAAAAGAAGAGCCCACTGAACATCATGTTTCTGATATTGTAGCTGGCGGGAAAGCTTCCGATGAATTGGAGCAACAGCTCCATGACTTACAGCAGCACCATCACTGGGACCTCAACTTACCCGACGATGTAATTGATGAGGTTCAAGACGCGTTGACCACAACAGATTCACAAAACCGAGCTCAATTGGCTTATGCTCTTTTGGACAACTCTCCTTATCCTGAAGTACGCGCTGCCGTTCTCAATATCGATGAAGGAGGTCATAGCAACACCATTCGTGCCTGGATTCTTGGGCTTATCTTTACCACCATTGTGTCCGCACTGAACGCACTATTCTATTTGCGCCAACCTTATATCATTATTCCGATTTACATTGTTCAGGTCCTTGTGTACCCCATTGGCAAAGCCTGGGAGAAATGGATTCCGAGCAAGGAGTTCAGCTTCTTTGGCATCAAGTGCAACACGAACCCAGGTCGGTTCAGCAAGAAGGAACATGTCATTGCTGTCATCATGGCGAATGCCAGTTTCGGTAATGGGCCTGCCTATGCTACTGATGTCATTGTGGCACAACGGAAATTTTATGGTCAGCGCTGGGGCTGGGCATTTGAGCTCCTGTTGTGCATCAGCAATCAAATGCTTGGGTTCGGTTTATCAGGGTTCTTCAGTAAATACCTGGTAGACCCTGCAGCCATGATCTGGCCAACAAATCTTGTGAATACCTCACTTTTCAATGCATTGCATGACCACTCAGAAAGTGATCCGCGTATGGCCTCAGGGTGGAAGATCGGTCGATACCGACTATTTCTCTGGGTGATGCTGGGATCATTTTGCTGGTATTGGTTCCCAGGCTACATCGCACCGTTTCTCAGTATCTTTGCCTGGGTAACTTGGATCAAGCCTGAGAGTGTGGTCATCAACCAGCTTTTTGGGGGCATGACAGGGCTTTCGCTGATTCCAATGACATTTGACTGGACACAGATCTCCGGATTCAACTTCTCGCCTCTCATTGCACCTTGGCATGCGATTGCGAACACGCTGATTGGGATGGTTCTATGGTTCTGGATTGTGACCCCTGCCATTCATTACTCGGGCTTATTCAACGCTGAATACCTTCCCATCATGGATTCAAGCATTCGTGACAATACGGGTCATAGGTACAATGTCTCTAAGATTATTACGCCGGAATTCGTATTGGATACGCAGAAGTATGAAAGCTATTCGCCGTTGTTCCTTCCAACCGCGTACATGGTGAACTACGGGCTCGGCTTTGCTGGCATCGTAGCCGTACTTGTTCATTGTGGCCTCTTCCACGGCCCAGATATCTGGTTCCGGTTCCGCCATGTCGGCCGTGAGGCAGAAGATGTGCACAGCCGACTAATGGCACGATTCAAGCCCATTCCGCTTTGGTGGTATGGCACAGTCACTTTGGTCATGTTGGGGGTGGGACTTGGTCTAACCCAGGGTTATGACACTCATTTGACTTGGTGGGCCTTTTTCCTTGCAATTTTTATCTCGATTGTGTGGTGGCTTCCTCTTGCGATTATCTATGCAACTACCAACATATCTATTGGGTTAAACCTTATCACTGAGTTCATCTTTGGCTTTATGCAGCCTGGGAGGCCAATGGGTATGATGCTTTTCAAGACATATGGATATATAACCATGCTGCAGGGGATTTCATTTTTATCAGACTTGAAGTTAGGTACTGTTCAAGACGTCCCATCTCTGCAGGATGACTTACTGACTATTTTCTAGGCCACTACATGAAGGTCCCTCCACGTGTTACCTTCGCTGCGCAGATGGTCGCCTGCTTTTGGGCGTCGTTTGTCCAAATTGCAACGACTAATTGGGCCCTGGGGACAATCAAAGATATCTGCACCCTCCAACAGGAAAATCACTACACCTGTCCCAACGGTCGGGTCTTCTTCAATGCCTCCGTAATTTGGGGACTGATTGGACCCAAGCACATGCTCTCCAGAGGTCAGATTTATTTTTCGTTGGTGTATTTCTGGGTTGCCGGCATTGTCTTCCCCGTTGCACTCTACATTGGAGCCCGCATGTTCCCACGCAGTCCAATTCGGTACATCTCTGCGCCCATAATCTTTTCTGGCGCAAACTTGATGCCACCCGCTACTCCACTGAACTATTTCTCCTGGGGAATTTTTGGCTTTATCTTCAACAAGTTTATCCGAAACCATTACCGAGGCTGGTGGATGACTTACAAGTATGTAATCTTTGATATTTGTTTCATTTCCGCGTCGACTCCGGGTCATGTTTCCGTCGGTTCGAGTCGAAAATATATCTTTGCCGTTGCTAACATGTATCTCTATTTAGCTACATCGTATCTGCCGGATTGGATATTGGTCTCACAATCGGTACAATCGTGATCTTCTTGACCCTCACCTTGACCAATACCGAGTTTCCAAGTTGGTGGGGCACCAGAATTGCATCAGGGACTTTGGATACCACCGGCCAAGCCATCCAGAAGATTCCCGCTCCAGGTGAAACGTTTGGCCCTTCCAAGTGGTGATCCTTACACCCGAGAACTTGCATATTCAAAGATTTAAACTGCTTTTATTTGGTTTTATCTTGGTTCATGATCTTTTTAATATTATTCGCTTGATCTCTTCGTTTCGCATTTCGCATTTATCATTTCCGGTGGAGGGTGGCGGTAGTTCATTTCACAGCCGATCTGAGCTTGAAGTTGCAACTTGAATTTTTTAGCTATACTAGAAGCTCAGCTAGGTATCGTTCAAATTTTGTTGATTTTCTACGTCCTCATTCATGGTCATTATTCCAACTGGGTTTTCAAATTCGAGATATCTCCCAAATTCAAGTTTCTACTATTCCTAGTAGTAGTACGAAGACCCAGCACTTCAGGTCACTGTACTGTGACTGTGACTGTACTCTTCGTAGAATAAAAGGGCCAAGGGCTGCCAGTTGCACATGTGCAATTAAAGATTTTGAATCCCATCTAGACTCCGAGTCCGAATCATCGATTTGCAGGGCCGGATTGAATTTTAAGGCGCGTGAGGATCAATGTGAAACTTGAAATTTGAACGGTAAATTGAAAGTAAATTGCCTCGATATAAGCAAACGGAAGCATTTCCTAAAGAGTAGTAAGATCACATGCGTCGAGTACAGGTGTCATAATCGCCATACAGATCATCAACAAAATGCATAAATACCGCCATTCCATCAGGCGAGGGCCTTCTCAAAAACCACCTTTTTAAGCACGAGTTCTCCGGCGCATACCAACCTGCAAACCCAATGGCTTCCTCAAGAATCCCTCCCGGGTCTCCATAGGGAAGTCCTGCTCAAGCTGGAACTCAAACAACCGGAAAACAGTGGCTCCCATGACAAGCAGCTCCATCTCAGCAACGTTGCGTCCAACGCAAGCACGAGGTCCATGGCTGAAAGGAATGAAGGCGGCCTTTTGTCTGGGGGTAAGGCGCTCAGGGCTCCATCGCTCAGGAACAAACTCTTCGGCATCAGGTCCCCAGATCACCTTACTGCGGTGAATAGTGTAACTTGGGACACTGAGCACATCACCAGGTCCGAAAACATGTCCCGAGATAGTAACAGGTGCCGCACCAGCAGGGATCTCACGCGGTAATCCCATTGCAGATGTACTGTGAATTCGCATAGTCTCCCAAATAACCCATTGGAGGTAAGGAATTTCCTTAACCATAGCATGAGTAGGGACCTCCACATCCTTAGGAATGGCCTCATCGAGAGCCTTGTGCAATTTCGGAATAACACCGGGTGTACGGAGACACCAGTACAGAATTGCGCAAGCAGTGTTAGATGTGGTATCCGAACCAGCAATCAACTGAGTCAAAGCCTCAGCAGTGAGTTCCTCGCGACCGAGTGTATTTCCCGATTCGTCCTTTCCTTCCATAAGTCGGGCCAGGAGATCCACACGGGTATTGTTCGCCATAACCTCTGGCTTAACACGCTCGCTTACACGTGCAATGGCCATACCAGCTAGGTTCTCAACAGCGGCCATACCCTCAGTGAAGAACTTATCAGGAATGTATTTGGCAAAGGGGATAAGAGATGGCATGCAACCCAATGTAGCGGAGACTTCACCACGACGGTTAAGAACTTCGATCGCGGCGACGTATTTGGGTGGTTCGTTGGGGCTCTTGCGCATCTCAGCGAAGTCCTTTCCTTTCTCCAGCATGCCGAAGGGTGCACCGAAAGCGAGATCACCAATGATGTCGAAGGCGAGGTAGTTGAACCAGTTCAGAGCGTCTAGAGAGGCGTATCCGGTTTTGGGGTTCTTCTGGATATCGGACATCTTGTTCCATTGCTTGACGAACATTTCGATGTTGCCGTGAATGTATTGCTCAAATTGGCCGATGGATTTGGCGCTGAACGTGTGGGAGACTGTCTTGCGCTTGCGGGTGTGTTCGTGGCGGTCCCGGGTGTTGAAGAGGCCGCGGCGGATAGAGACGAAGGCGTCGTAGAAGTCGCTATGACAGTTAGTTTTTGTTCATTTTTGATTTCCATCGTATTTTTGAGAGCCTTGACTCTGTAGTTCATAAAATGGGCTACTTACGCCTTCAAGAATCCATTTCCGTGTCCATAGATTGCGGTAACGGCCTCGTCATCCGCAACGGAGATGTGTTTGGGTGCAATGCGCACAAACTTGCCATACTTCTTGTGGGCTGCATCCACAGACAGGTATCGCTTACCCTGACGGGCTTGCAGTAGTAGCCAGAAGTTGGTAAATGCAGCTACACCTGGAGCAGGAATATCCCGTAGTCGAGACCGTTGGAGGTATGGGACAAGGAAGTAGGCTAGGAATAATCCCGCAGCCAAGTAGGGGAGGTTCTCAATTGAAACAAGCATGATGAGATGTGATTTGAAAAAAAGGGAAAAGAAAGAAGAGAAGTAGGGCTCAGGCCCAGAATAGGGTAGAGATGTACGTCGATCAGCCGAAAGCCGGGGAAAGACCCTGAAAGCTTTACAAAGTTGAATAGCTGAATTTCAGAGGATAGATCAATTGATGGTCGAATAAAGTTGAATAGATAGAGAAGGTAAGAAGTTCAAATTGATGATTTTCAGCCGTATTTATGCTTTTTGGGGTAGTATTGGGACATGATGGTATCCCCGAGGGTAAAGGTGATGAACGGGAAGGAATTCGGTATCTGGGGAAGAAGAAATAGAGTGGGTCCCGCCATCTTTACTATGAGTGATAGTTGCCGGGTCTGAACCCCGAACTTCGGGTTCGGCTATCATGGATGTTTAGACAAATCATGTCACGAGGATTTGCGATGGAGATGGGGTTTAGACTAATAATTTCAGCATTCTGATTGATTCAAATTGTAGAATTTGTGGGACTTCCAGATAAAGTGCTGGAAATGATGAAATCACACACTTTGCCCCCCCGCATAGGAGCATTTTACTACATTAGGCAAGATGAAGAGAGCGCCACCAAGTGATTGTGGGGTATTATTGATAGATTCCAAGGTTTGTAAATAAGAAAATCGATAGATTGGTATTAGACAGTTGATAATGAATAGTATGAATGTGGCTGGGGCATCATCACCACTCCTCCACGGGGAATAATCCATTTCGCTTCTTCTCCCCTTCCCAGCGTTCCATCCAAATCTTCATATTATCTCGACTCTTCTGACTACCCACATTCACCGTGGGTATCACTTTACCAATTCGTAGCGCGCAGCAGAACATGGTAAGTTCCCGAAAAGAGCTATGTTCGCTGTAGGGTACACCGAAACATGAGCTCTCCCGTGTGCTTCCGCGCTGCGGCGTGAGATTCTCAACTGTGAACGGCGTCTTCCAATGTTCGCCACGCAGTACAGTCGGAACGGGCGGGTTCTCCAGCATTCGCCCCGCGGGGGGCCGGTACGACCATCCAGTGGGCCGAAAGCCTACCACGCGAGAGAAGTGAGGTTTGAGGGAGTCCAGGTAGTCGGCCAGAGTGTCTGCGCGAATTTCGAATAAAGTCTGCATATGCACTTGCGCTTCTTTCGGGTCGCTGGTCAACATTGCTGATAGCTCTGGGTCTTCGAGACAGGAGCAGATGCGCTGTTTCTGTGGTGTAGCAAAGATCTTGGATCCCAGGGCTCTTGCAATTCCCATACATATTCTCTCTTTGCCAATGCTATACGTTCCAATTACCACCAGCAAGCGGCCGCCAGATTGTGGTTTCTCTTTCGGACCATTACTAGTGACTGATGACAAGAACTTGTTCATCAAACCACCAGCTCCGGATTTCCCAAATTCCAAGCCTACGCCTGCCTCCTCGTTCAGACGAACGCAAAGCTCGGCACATGCTGTGATCACGCTCTCCTGGCTAGGAAAGGCATATTTTGGGCTGAGATAGGTAGTATCCAAATAGCACTGGTCGAGCCGCTGCTGTCTGGGTTGACGAGTCACAGGGTTTATCGGGTTTGGGCAGAGGAGTGGATGACGGACATGATCGGGCGACGCGCGAAAGTCACCACAGTGAAGTATGCGTTGTCGACGGATATTCGGTCCACTACCAAAGTTTTTTTCAAAGACAAACAAGGCACTGCCGGGACAGTGGTTTGCTTGGATCATAGTAACTTGGACTCCTTCCGTGTTTGGAACTTCAGTGGTGGTTTCAAAATCCAGATCTACAACCCACTTGGGATCTACACGTAGCTGCTGACGGACAAGATTACCCGTAGCTCGACTGCAGTAGATAGGGCCGTGAGACCAGGACTTGCTGAGTCCGATATAGTGATCACTGTGGAAGTGGCTGAGGAAATAGGCATTGCATCCCTCCACAGCCCCGTAGCGAAAGGCGTCCACGCATATTGAAAACCCATTCATGATTTTGTAGAATGGACAAGTCCGCTGGTAGGCCTGCTTACCACGGGAGGATACCTCATGTGCAGCCGCATTCGCCCATGCGGTATCCTCAGCATTCCCTGCCATCATTTTAGAGAATGCAGATGAATTGGCTTGCTTGGTTTGCGAGTAGGGATCGCGCTGGGCAGGCCGAGCCACGGCAGCTCGTTCAAGTCTTGTTAAGCCTGCATTAATGTTCGTTGATTGGAATACCGTGGCTGAAGGTTTCAATGCAGTTGCCACTGGCTTTGGCTTAGATAGAGGTATCGTGTTGGGTTTTCCATCTAAGCAATCGTTTACATGTATCATTCGTTGCTGCCGAGTAGTCAGAATACAGATCCGGTTCAAGCATGAGTAGTAGGGCGCTTACTTGTTCATTAAGTTCCCCCAGCGGTCCCATACACGATGGACAGGCAGGCTCGTCCTCGATATGCATGTTCACTGATTCATCCTCCTGGGCCTGTATTTCCTTTATCAGAACAAGGTCCTCAGGACAAAGCTCCGTCGGTAGGCCATCCATGTTTTCATTGTCGGGTATTTGCTCTCGGAACTCGTCTCCTAAAAACTCATCTTCTCCTTCATAGTCGTCAAAATTCTCGTATTCGTCATTATCGTCATAATTGGTGGCTTCTCTTACCAATGGCGGTTGCTCTGCGTCGGCAGATGGGTTTCCAGTGGCGTCGCCATTGCTTGAGCGTGATATTAGAGGATCTGCATTGAAATTGGAGGGCAAGGTCGTCTCCTCTATGTCTTGATACGCATCCAGGTCATCCTCACTATCCGATTCATCGATAAATGGTCCACTGGTAGCCTTCTTGGGCGGGATGGAAGACTTCACGGGTTTGGTCTCATCTTCGGGTTGTTCGTTTTGCATTGATCCATCCGCTGAGCTGACTTTTCGTCGCTTTACTGAGGACTCATTCTCATTGTAGCGTCCATCGTTCCCTCCCATGAAATCATCGCCCTCGCCCCAGATATCGTCCGGTGTGTGAGAGCGTGGACGGTCTTCTGTTTCACGCTTGGATGGCGTTTGATGCATCCTCGCCAATGCCTTCTTGTCTTCTAGAAAAAGCCCCTCGTTGGTATCCTGTCTTGGGCCGTTGGTTGCTGGTGTTCCGCGGCCGGAACTAGGAGATCGAGACGAGGTAACGAACTGCGACATTCGAAGTTGGGTCGATTTAGCGCCTTGTGGAGAGTCGGTCTTTTGGAAGAAATTTAAAATGCTCTTATTTCGTTTAGTCGAAGATGATTTCCCGCTGGAAGGCGCCTTGGAGGGCGTGGACGCCTTCCGTGTATTTGAACCGGCCATTGTCGAGGGAAACTGGAGAGAGGCAATGGGATCGTTTCGAGGGATGGGCGGAGAGCGACCGGGGCAATAGTTGCTCAAGTAAACGCCGTGCGTAGATTATGTACAAAGGACTATGTTGGAGCCCCGATCATCGACCATGTCTTGATAAGAAACCTGGTTGCTCGAGTGGCGTGTGGAAATCCCTGGACCGCGTGGAGCCGCGACACGTAGTCACATGACCTATTTTATGGGATCGTTAGGGACAACTGCTAGACTTACATCAGAGAACAATAATTTAGTATTGGAGAGTGAATACATCTAGTTTGAAAATTTCGATGATTGAAAGGGTATTGAACACATAATGGAGAAAACCAGGCCTAGTGAACCCCCCCGTAGGCCTTCCAACTTTTGTTTGCATATTGCAGATGCGCTGATGGAAATGAAGTATACTAGATAGTATATTTGATTTCCAGTTTCGTTCCACTGCCCAATGCTATCGCATATAAAGCAATGCTGACAGTTAACGATAGGAAATGAAAGAAACACTTGGTTCTAAAATGTGGCTAGAAGGGGGTCATTGATTCCCTTCAGGCGCCCGCAAGTGGGCCCTGTACGCCCTAATATTCCTCTCGGTTCCTTCGGAGAGACATCACATCGTGGAAAAGCGTCGAAAGGCATTAGCAAGGATATAGATTGTGACGTTGAGATTGTTGCGTAAATGTCGTGGTGGTTTAACGAGCCTTGCCCACCTGGTTGGCAGCCTCTGCGAGGTGTATTAGCATTTTTGGTTGCCAAATAGTGAGAGAAATGACAGGATTATATGCGCTCAATCTGCGTCAACGCTGCTAGCGTATGGCGGATCATTTGCGCAGTCCGTAGATTGCATTTGGGTTATTTACCTCGTCGTGTAGCGTCCTCCAATAGGCCGACGTCAACCTCCGATCGGGGCAACATCACGTAGCGCACCACACTTCCACGAATGAACATGTTCTTCACCGATGACAGGTGAGGGTACTTGTCCAGATCCAAAACCTCGACGTCATCCAACTTGATGTTCAGGTACTGGTCAACTGACTTGAGGATTCCCCGGATGCGAATGTCATTCTTGAGCTCGATAGTGACGGTTTGGTTGGTGAGGGTCTTGAAGAAACTAGAACACGGTGATATTAGCGCGAGTTTCGCGGCATGAAATTCATAATGAGCTGCGAACGTACCTGAAGAAAAGCATGATGGCGGATGGTAATGCCCAGGGCGCTTGCGGGAAATTGAAGGTCGGAAGATCGTGTACGGAGAGTGAAAGCAATCAATTATTAGTATGATCACCTGATTAAGAGATCAAGTTGACGTGTTGAAGCTCAAATCTGGAAGGCGCGGGGGAATCTTGTCACGGCAAAAGGGAAGGAACGATGCTGGAGTGGTGGGTAATGATCACGTGGTGTGCTCCACCCGGTGTTGATCCGTCTGAACTGGATGTGCGGAATCATCTCCCTGCTCACTTCACTAGAGTCAAGGAATACTGAGGAGATGATTTATTTTCCAATATTACTCGAGGAATCTCCATCTGATTATCATGCTAATCAAATCAACTCATTCGCGTCTCTCATCTCACATTAAATTACTACATAAGAGACCACCCGGTGCGCAAGTAGTCAATGGTATCAATGCAAACAGGGAAGAAAAGAAAAAAAAACTCCAAGTGCCATCTTATAACCAAGAAATCTGTGTCATCTGTGGCATCTTCTTCACAACCTTGGGCTTCATCGCCCAGCCAGAGAGACATGTCCAACCCGCACCATTCTTCCGCCCCTCATCAAAGATCGCCCCGACACCCTCCAGCAACTTATCTCGCTCTCGACCCATCTCCATCCGGAATTGAACCAGCCATTGCTCCCACATCCAACCTCCGAGCAATCCCGAAATGCTGGCAATGTCTGAGGTGCTACCAATAGGTCCTTGGACAGCCTCGTAATCCTCGATGTGGCTCTGCACGCGAGGTGCTGGAGTCTCCCGAGGAGGTTCAGGCTCAATTGGCTCCATGCCCATTGGTAGAAACATCCAAGCACGCTTCATGCCGACAAATCCAGTGTCGCGCAGACGGGCAAGGAAGGTCTTTGATGCTGCAGGATCATAACCGCGATTACGCAAATTGAAAGCAAACTCAACCGACGAGGCACTAGACTGGGTGCCTGCGCGGGAAATCTCAGCGTCTAACAGCATGTACTCAAAAAAGCCGCCCGGCTTCAACACACGGAGACATTCTTTCAAGACAAGGTCGTACTCGTCTTGATCGAAACCGGTGGGACATTCTGTCTTCAGCAGAGCGTGCAAGGAACGTGTAGTGATGACGTCGAACTTGTTGGCGCCAAATGGAAGTTCCCAGAGATTGGCGACGGAGATCACACGGTGATTTGACGGTCCCTTAATTCCGCTGTTGATGATTTGTTTCTTGTTGTTGACGGAATAAACCTTCGTATTCGGGAACTCATGAGCTATATGCCATGCCCATTCACATGACCCTTGACCACCAAGATCAAGGATACGAAGGGCACGCTTGGGCGGGGCTTGCGGGTCGAGTGGTGGTTTATTGGTCAGTGCAAGGCGGTTTGCAGCAGGACTTGTGAGAAGCTTGCCACCGTTGAGAGCGCGGAGGGCCTCCATCGCCCACATAGGCTCACAGAGCTGGGCGAGGACGAGCTGCTCCTTCTCTAGCTTCGCAAACTGAGCCTTGTCTGCCAGCTCTGTTGTGATTGTGGAGTTCCGGGGTGCCTTAGAGAATGGTCCCTTGTATGCAGGTCGCTCTGGTAGAACAAGCTCGTATTTTCCTGTGAGGCAGTTGATGTGGTTGTCCACCAATCCCAAACGGAATGACTGCACAGCATCGTAACGCATGTTGCGGTGCATGAAGCCATCAGGTGTATCACCTCGATCCAGAATGGACTGGAATCCACGCCAGTAAATCGAGTCTTTGCTGGCAAGCATCGGAGGTAGAGGGCTGGGAGCCAATGGAGTACCCTCAGCGAACCGGACAGATTTCTTAGGTTGAGTGTCCAGCAGCTCCGAATCGTCCTCCTCTTCTTCCACCTCGGTAGCAGGTGTAGCAACAGTCTCATTCATGGGATTTGTCTCACTCAAAGCAGACATGTAAGATACCTGAGCTGCAAGCCAGACACTGGTTCGGTCTAGACTAGCCGCAGCACGTTCCTGCATTTCCTGATCGTAGCTCTCTTCATACTCGTGCACAGTCGCAGAATGCGGGATTTCTTGAACTGCTTCAAAGGTTGCAGTCATAGGGCTGTCTTGGTGGGTGACAGTGCGAGTCGGAGTTTCACAAGGGACGCGAATCGCAGTTGGGGGGCCTTCCTCATCGCGCACTGCGGTTAAGGGATCATCGTCTTCATTGGGATGTTGAGGCCATTCAATGACCTGCTCGACGACCTCTCCTTCATCTTGATGCCATGGTAGATTGTAAAACCGCTCTGCCACGGCCGAGGATGGAGGCAAGTTGGAAATGTTGGGAATAGACCAGGTATGGCGAGCACGAGGAGCGAGCGAAGCAAAGAACCCTCCAGGGGAAGGAATGCTCAGCTCGGTGAAGCTGTAAGACGACATTTCAGACACTGCTGATACGGGTGCAGGACCATCAGCGCTTCGAGGACGTCTCGGAGGTGGCTGGAGCTCCCACATCTCGCCATTTTCCTCGGATGTTTCGGAGTAGGTTTCTGGGGCACCATCGAGTTGGATGTGATGCAGCATGGCCAGAGCTCCATCGGGAAGAAAAACACCATCATTTGACGGAGTTGTCCCTCGGGACTGCTCATCGTATGAATTTTGAAGCGCCGCAGGAATTTGAGGGAAGCTTCCCAGAACACGGTTCCAATCCACTTCCTCCGGGCCCTCGATAGTAATTGGAATGTCATGGAGATCGGAGTTTTCCTGCTCCATATCTTCCGTGTCACTCCCATCAGCATAAGGCCGTACGTGAATGTCTCGTGCATCCCAGTTCATGTCAGGAAGCGATTGGGTATCTGGCGTGGCCAGTCCGCTCATATGCGAGTCCTGGTCAGACGAAATACTTCCATCGAGCGAGGGTGGAGCGTATGATGCCGGTACAGATCGACCCAGCATAGAAAGCGCTGCAGGAGAGACAGGAATCTTGGGTGGAGGTGTTGGAGGTACTGGCGAGCTCTTGTGAGTTCCATTCATCGATAGCCGGCAGGTCGGTGATGGAATCTCCAGAGTCAGCGAGCGTCTTCGACTTCCAGTTGAGGTGTATGAATTCCTTGTGATTGGTGTGACCAGGCTGGACGGGCGTGTTCCCGGAGAGAAACACGAAGAAACGATATCAGTAGAGTCGTCATCGATATCTTCAAGTTCCTCATCAGTAGCATCATAAAGATCGTCAAACCCTTGCACTTGTCGTTGCCAGTCCACATCAGAGCAACATGAAGAAACTGCAGAGAGAGGCGACATAAGTTTGGCAAGACGAGCATTGGTCGGGGCTGATAGGCCAGTGGTCTTCAAGGTCAACTTTGGACTGGCCAACTTCGGGCTAGCCATACTGGCAGGTTTCTGAAGCGGCGGACTGCTAGCAGTCTTGTTGATATATTGTGACTCCCGGGTATCCTCCATTATAGTATTAAGCAACGTCCCTCGGGCCTGCCGAAGGGGTGGGCATCGTGCAGGATAAGGTCGAACTGTGCTAGCCATTTCGATTTTGAATACTGCTTGATATCGTGCTTATTGGTCTTTGTTTCCGCAGCGTGGCGTATATAATCGCGGTGGGACTGAAAAGATCTCTATGTGTAGTTGAGACTCGTAGGAAACTGCATGAACACCGATCAACGGGTCAAAAGGATTGAAATCGCACAATAAAAAAAACAAGCGACAGTTAGAATAGAATGAAACCACCTTAGCTACCAGAGCCAGATGATGAACAGCAAAGAAAAGAAAAGGAAAAAAAACGTGATGACGAAATGAAGCACGCAAGTTCGATCAAGTCACTCGGAGCGTGGGGAAAGACTATAATAATATACAAGGACGGCGTTCGTCGGAATGTCTCTCCCAGGGCTGGGGATTTGTGCATGGATCGATCCTTGCTCTCAGATAATCACAAATGTGCATGAGCTACTGCAGGATTGGGCACGACCAAGACCAACCACCCTTGCCAAATGGATATATTTCATGATGGTGATTGGCTGTGAGGCAATGGGCGCGTCGCCCGGCAGCAATTTCTTGCCTTTGACCGGTTCATACCTCCCAAATTTCTTGCAACAGAGGTAAAGTGATTGAGAATAATGCAGAGGGTGGACGAATCAAGATGGGAGAAAGTGTGACGAAGTTCCCACCCTGGTGATGCAGCCAGTGAGAAGTTCTCTGTAACCGCTGTGGATGCTATGTTTAGTTCCCCCTCACGGCCCGTGCGGGTTCAATATGACTCTTTTGGGCCCACGAGAACCATGCATTGCTGGATAATTAGTCTAGCATGATGCAGATCAAAAATTGGATGTCGGTCAAGGTCACTCACACCGTAGAGAATAGGGCGAGGGACTCGGAGTAAGTGAAAGAGAGCCCTAGAGGCGGAGAATTGAAGCAGAATCAATGACACAACATTGCTCTTGAGACCTATACAGCTTCAGACTGGATTAATTATAGAATCTCCGATTAATTAATAGCCAGTGCACTCAAGTTGCATTTAGTTTCCAAACCTGAATCAGTTCAAATCGGTGTCACCTGAGAATTTCTTAATGCCAATTTACCGAGTGATTGACCTGCAATTCCCCTGGGCGCATAAATTCGGGCATCGGATTGGTGCCTTACTACTCCTTATGGAGTATGTCCCATGGTGGAGTATGCCAGTGGGACATAATAGGAGTACTAAGAGTACTAAGACGTCAATATTGAAAGCTAAAACCGGTCAACACCTGGCTAATATCATGATACATTCTCAATCTCAGCTTGATGAAGAAAAATCCCATGATTGGTATTCCCAGTCCAAAGGCTTCATCTCTATTACTGTGGATCCCATAATTGAAACCTTGGAACCCTGAATAATTGCATTCATCCGATTAAAAATCTGGTTGGACTCTTCGGTTTCATCCCTGAGAGGATAGCGCCGAATAGCCGCCCAACGTGGCCAGACAAAAGAAATGTGTAACGAGATAATCTCCATCTGTGAGACGGTGGCATTCGACTGCATCGAATTTTTAATCAACTCAAGTCCGGAATTAGGCTCCAATGCTGGTCCCTAGAAGAGGATGAAGATCGACGGGGGATTGCAGATTAAGATCATACTCGCAGTGATCTATGAATATCTTGTGTCCTCAAGTGCTTGACACCGAGACGTTGTTACTTGGTTTTGATCTGATCTAAATTAGAATTTCAAGGCCTTAATTGGGTTTTTGTACGTGCCCAAGTGGTGACGGTGGTGGTGATGGGTGGCTTCCGTACCATCCAGATGTCGAATCCTCTATCCACTGGCAATGATTTGATATCAATCACAATTTCATACATTTTAACGCATCGTAAGATAGAAATTAAAGCCTGTACAAGAAGACACATCGATTGAAACTCATACGCCGTAGATAGTACCGCACATGTGTAGTGTAGGAATATTCAAGTTCCAGCCAAATCTGGGAGACCCCTCTCTATGCTGGAATGCAAGCCACATGTGGATGTCCTTGGATTGTGAGCAGCATATCAGGTGCCATAACCAAAATCAATGACCGCCAAACTTATGCCTTCACAGCTTCATATAATACGCGCTCAAGTGGACCACTAGGCGCAGATTTCCAAACCTTCACCACATTAAATCCGCCCTTTTCAAGTAGAGAATTCCACTCTGCCTCAGTTCGCTCCAAAGAAGAGAAAACTTCCATCATGTCCTGGTCGATTGCAGTAGAGGCGTTCGACTGGTTCGACTCTGGCATGTTGTGTTCATTTATAAGCAAAATCGAATCCTCGGCCATGGCTTCCCGAACCATCTTGAGAGTTTCGAGTGCTTGCTTATCAGGCCAGTCATGTAGGACAGTGCGAAGATAATAGGCTTTGGCGCCCTTCACTGGCTGTGTCTCGAACATGTTGTAAGTCATAGCGCTGACTCCTTCAGGCAGTGGACCCTTGATGTCATTGATCACACCGGGCAGGTCCTGAACTACCAGTTTGCCAGGTAGCTGGGGGAAGTGTTTTTTGAACAATAAAACATCAGCTCCAATGCCACCACCAATATCAACGAGCAAAGTTCGATCAGGAGACTCGGAGACATTGAGTTTTTCCTCCACGGGGAAGGCCTCATACCATTCACCCTGGCTAAATTGACGATTCATGGTCATCACAGAATTGAATGCCAATTGGTCCTCTATGTTATGGTCCAGCCATTCGAAGAAATGCTCCTTTGTATTGTGGGCATACTGGAAAACCGTATCATTGGCATCGTCGGGATTAGTGTAGTTTCTGTCCCGAAGATATTCATTGAGGAAGCTCGTGCCTCTCATGTTGAGATAGCTATGTTTATCAGTTCAAAGTCCATCCATGGTCTTCTAAGCAGCCTAAGATGTGAACGTACAAATGCTTCACACAGTCACCCACCGGCGAGCCGTCTGCAAGTGTCAATGCCAATGGCGAAGGACGATATTTCGAGCCATCCACCAATGTGAATATTTTAGAAGCAGAGAGATGGCGCATTATGCGAACTAGTAATAGTCACCTTAGTCAGCACAGTATATTGGAACGGAGAAACATTTGGCATCATTCATGAAGCCCTCATATTAGTCTCAAATGATTCAACTTACAGAGGAGTTGCTTATCACCCTTTGTCTGCTCATCGAGCTCTTCCAATGTCAATTCCTTTGAGCCCTCCGCCTGGGCGAATGCATTGAAGATGCCCATTCCCTGGGCAACTCGAGTTGCACTCAGAGCATACGGCTAGTACAAGAATCAGAATAAATCATCTTCTGGTCCAGAGTAGGTTCCTTACTCACCGCAATACTTAGCTTGATCACAGCAAGATTAGGTGGCTCAAGCATCGTGCGAAGATCATCCATTGCGCCGAGCAGTTGCATTGCTGTCCCAATATTGATGCTTTCAGGGGATGGCGGGCTAGCCAAAGCCTCTGTCACTGCGGACAGTGCTTTAGACAAGACATCAGTCATTTTGAAGAGTTCACAAATCACAGTAGTATGGAGTAACAAAAAACGGGATTGAATGCACTGGAAATTCTAGGCTTGAATCTTTCAAGTTTCCAACTTTCTGAATGATCTGAAGATATAAGCAGCTTGCTTTATACTTTACTCTGTTCAAAATTTCGCACTGATTTGCCTGATTCAATACTTGTATGCGCAGCCTGGTTGAGCTGATTAGAAGACCCGCTCATCCACAATAGGCGGTTTGACCAATAATAATTAAGCTTACCCCCTGGTGGCCCCTTGACGTAACTACGAGCCTATGAGCAGCCCGTGTCGTCGCAAATGGGGCCTAAAATATCTGAGTCCGCATGACAGCTTGAAGCTCCGAGCCCTATCTCTTGCCTTGTTGGACGTGTAAAAATATAGGGTGTATCATCCATACCGGATCTTTGCAGCTGATCTGGAAGTCAGCCTGTCTCAGGCTTTCCGACTTAATCAATTCCAAGGCTGTAATTTGATGAAACGATCCATTGGAACGGCCCCATCGTATGATTCGTATCCAATATCGCATTCAAGTTACTAACCTGAGCCTTGAGGTATACCCACAATATTTTTTGATTACTCCCGGGCCAATCCTGCTGTCAAAGGATGGAGTTCCACCTGGGCAAGGTTAAAGCCGAGCACTTAAGTCACCTCGACTTGAAGTTCAAGTTCTGCTCTCAAATATATTTGTCAGTCAGCACTCGTGTTGTCTCGTTATTTTCCGAAGCATCACGCTGAATCTGAACGGCACCCAGAATGATTTCAACGATGCCTTCAACGTATTTCATTCAATGTTGGGTTTCATTCCTTCCAAGGTTCGACATGAAATTTCTTAGTGCAATTCACCTGCTCCAAGACTGTCGACCTCGGGAATGCTTCAAAATCATCTCTCTTCATATTTCATAAAGTCCATCTCTCATAAAAGACGATCAAAACTTTAAGAGACGACAAATAATGGTGAAACTTCAACTTTCTAACTTCGTAAATCAAGGCGACTACCCAGGTGGTGCTCGATCAAACAGGTAAACTACAGCATGTCAATTTCCAAGGTTCTAATGGGACTTGGACATTTTGAACTGACAACCGCTGGCTGCCAGTTTTTAGCGCACCGAGCTTTCTAAGAAAAAGGACCCAGATGGATGCACGTGCACATGTGTCCTCCATTTTAGTTGCAAGAAAATATGTCTCCAACTTGAAGTTCACTTGCTGGCCCCATGTCGCTTGAACTTCCCGTGGAAGCACCTTTACCCCGGGCTGATGGAGTTACATCTGGGCATAACCGAGAATATTCTTCCGCGGCCCCCTAGTTGCCATCAGCTTCAGCTCTAGCGCAATCGCCTCGATTGAAAATTTCTCACTTGAGCAAGATCACATGTCCCAAGTATGGGGTTTTTCCCGCTAGGATAAGTGAATATCCATCAACAATCCCTGCTAAACCTTGGAATTAAAGAGTCAGCCATGGGCGCTTGTTGAATAGGGAACAGCGGGGATACACATGTGAAATTAAGTCTTGCCATTGGTGGTAAGTGAGGCCTGACCCTTTGCTCTAAGCTTGATCTGGGGAAGCAGTCCGGGGACCGAGCCCCTAGACCCCACACCTCCACGTTCTCCGGCTCGGACTTTTCCCCGGAATCGGTCATCCCTGCCTTTTGGATGTCCTTCTTGCGTATAACAATGAAATCCGGTTATGGTATAAGCCGCCAAGCCGGCTCCAAAAAAAACCATCCGGAGCAAAAAGCTTAGCCCTCCCCGCAACCTTGGAACTTGGGGTACTGGAGACCCTGGCATCGCAAGAATTGTTTTGGCGAGAGAAAAATGGAGTTCCCACAGTAGCTGTGTATAAATTTCTCCGCTCCCCCGGCTTTCAGAAATTTCTGATCTGATTCTTCAGGGCGCTGATATAGTCAACATTGTCAAAGACTTGTCAATCACAATGGCCACTGAAATTGATACCTCGTTGTCACGAAAATTATATTATGCCATCCCCCCTGCCATTGCGGGCTTTGCCTATGGCTGGGAAAATGCCTCCATGAGTGGAATCCTCACCATGACCCAGTTTCTGGATTATTTCCACACTCCATCTGCATTCCGACAGGGTGTCATGACCGCCGCCTTGCTGGCAGGTGAATTCGGAGGCTCTCTCATGATTGGATTTCTGATCTCCGATCGCTTCGGTCGTCGGATCACCATTTTGGTATGTGTCTTGATCTATCTGATCGGACAAGCCATCATTGTCGCTTCCCAAAACCAAGCAATGTTCATCACTGGACGAGTCGTGAATGGTTTAGGAGCGGGTGGTCTATTCCAGACAATCTCCTTGTAAGAACTCAACATCGACCCTCAAATGCCAACCATCGCTAACATTCTCTCAGATACACTGCCGAAATCACACCACCACAAATCCGCGGTATGATGACCTCCATGATGAGTCTGGGTATCGCAATGGGTCTCCTCGTCGCGTACTGGGTCCAGTACGGTGCCAATAACATCCAGGGCACTGCAGCATGGCGCATGTGCTATGCTCTGCAGCTCGTCCCTGGTGCAATCGTCGGTGCTATCATGATCTTCCGTCCTGAGTCTCCCCGTTGGCTCTTTCGACACGACCGCGCCGACGAAGCCCTACAAGTCCTCGCTACGCTCCATGCAAATGGTGACCAGAACGCTCCTGTCGTACAGTCCGAGTTTGAGGAAATCCGCGTCGTTGTCGAATACGAGCGTGGCACACCTGCCCCTTCATACCTGGCTCTCTTGACTAGCAAGCAGTACCGTCGCAGAACAGCCTTGGCTATGGGTCTTCAGTTCATGCAGCAGATTACTGGTGTCAATATCATTCTATACTATGCTGCGAAGGTCTTCGCGCAGACAGGTCGCACAGGTACGCAAGCTGCATTGCTGTCGAACGGTATTGAGTCCGCGTTGTTCCTTGTTGCATCATTCTCGTTGACGATGCTCATGGATGTATATGGTCGTCGAAAGCCGCTGATTATTGGTCCCATTCTGATGGGTATCTGCATGATCATCGTGGCCTCGATGTTACTTGGTTATGGCTCGCCTTACTTTGATAGCGCGACCCAGGAACTAAAGTTCAACTTCGTTGATAAGAACGCTGGTAATGCGGCGGTGACTTTCATGTTCCTCTACATGGTTACCTTTGGTGCGAGTATGGCGTCACTTCCGTGGACATATCAGAACGAGGTCTTCCCGATCAATGCTCGTGGTCGAGGTACTGCGCTCTCAACCTCCGTTAACTGGTTTGTTAACTTTTGGTTGGGCCTGTACATGCCCACAGCCTTGAATGAGGGATCTTACATTGTTTACTATACCTTTGGTGGGATCAATATCTGTATCTCGTTCGTGGTGTACTTTTTCTTCCCTGAGACTTCACGACGGACACTGGAGGAGCTGGATCTTCTGTTTACGCCGAATCGACGCAAGCTTGTGTTTTTGGATAAGGAGGCTTGTCAAAAGGGAACTCTGCTGAAGCATGGCCTGGAAGATGGGGCTAGCGCTGCAAGAGATCTGGAGACTGCTTTGGTTATGGGCGCGGTTGGCAGAGAGAAAAGAGAGAAGCAAGTTGCTTTACATGACGAGTACGTCGAGTGATTTGGATTGTTTCCGATCTATGTTTGAGATTTACAGTGCATCTCAGCTCTGATCTGAGCCTGGGGCTATCAAGTCTTCAAGTGAATGTATGCGCGATCTTCCCTGGACATTTTAAATAGTCTTGTCATATTTTGAATGTCAAGAAATTTCATGCCCTATCTGATAACAAATTTGAATATCATGTTTCGATACATATGATCAACCATAACTGGACATGTGAGATTTTAGAACTTGATCTCTTCAACTCGATAGCTCTGGAACTTGCACAGAATCAACCAATGTGCTACCGTGACTGATGTCCGGAACTTCTACTTTCGTACCATCCAGAAATGTTACGGTTATGGTGCGTCATCTTAAACCTACTGATGGTGGTGTTCACTGCATGCCAGGTGTACTACCTGTAGCAATCTATAGCGGGTCCTGTCCACTGATGCAATACTCGAGCCTCGAAGAATGCTGGAGATATTCCTCAAACCCTCCATTGCGGGGTATAGAGGGGCACCGACTTCAATTTGCAATGACAACATAGTACCATAGAATCAGCACAGTACAGCACACATGTCCAACTCACATGCGATATTCACCGAGTTCATGACTCGGAAGTTCCTACAAGTGCCGTTATCAGGGACCTCTATGCGGATATGCGGATCCGATCAGCGATCTGACGCAATGGGCTAGAATTGGATTAACAAGCAATCTGTCTGAGACCCTCGGCTCAGGCACTAAGTATCACGATGGTCTATGCCAGGTGTTGATCTATGGATCTCGGCTTTGTACGAAGTAGTCCGTATAGTAAGTACATTGGATGAATTATTGTCGCCCGACGAGGGTCCTTGGGTATTCTCTTTGTATAATGCGACTCCCGCGGTTAAACTGATCTCATTCTATTTTTATTTGATTTTTCTTCTGATGTTGAACTGTTGTCAAGTTGACGTGTGGCTTTAGTATTTACCCCTCTCTGTGGCGTGTGACTGTTTTCCCAACACGATAACACGATAACAAGATTACAGTAATGTGAGTGATGAAGTGATACTATTGGGTAACTATAATCAGGAACAGGAAACTCTTGTACTTCCATCAATTACAAAATGTTGGGTTCAATATTTCCGTGAGATTGGGGCTGGGCTCGGACTACAGTGCGCCGATAGTACTAAGTGTCTAAGAAAGTCCCCGCTGATCGTGATCCGCTTTCATATCCGCTTTCATACACTCCGTTTCCTACAACTAAAGAGCGGTTAATCGTGCTTTTGCCGGCTATTGATCTGTATATTTCCAGCCTATGAGGGGTTCATCTCACTCAATGAGTACTCAAGAAGTATTATGTATGGCTCCAAGATTGTCGGTGTCCACGGTGTCTTACTACATACTCCGTACTCCGGGGCAAATTCTGCGATAAGTGAGGGATATTGTAGGAGATGTAATATGTACATACCCGGTGATCCTATACTCGGAATAGTGGTGTCTTTCAATCCACTGGAATAGTTATTTCAGTTACATTTATGCTTTTACCTGTTTCATAGTAGAGTATACACTGGACATTTGGAGTATACCATTGTATGATTGGCGGATCCTAACATTGAGGCTTCGACAAAGATTCTAAGGATTCCAGAGTAATTCCAGAGTATTCCCCCAATAAGAATCATGCCGATCGGAGCTTATAATCCTTGTCAAAGCTTCGGGTCACCGGACTTGACGATTTTTCTGTTTCTGCTTTTTTTTTCTTGGAAGCACGGAATCACCAAACTGGGTAATCCAGGATGAGACTTTGATGAGAACTCCTTTTCACCGCATACTCCATAATAGTACACTCCGTTGCAGACTCTTCTCGATGAAGCACGCAGCACGTGAGTTCAAGAGCCCTTATCACCGTTTTCAGCAGAATTTTCTTGTAGATCATTCAGAAATGTTCAATTATAAAGTAGAAGAGCTATTGTATTTATCCATGGATGTTTTCAAGTAATCAGACCCATTTTACGGATATCCACCCTTAGGTTCCAAGGTTGCCACTCGGCCTGATGTAAATGCGATAAAAGAGCTTCATTTCTTTTTTTTTACTCCTATCTCTCCATCCCTCCCCAACCTTCGACTCCCCCATCCATATTACTCCTTCGCCTCCTCAAACTCATATTCAAAATGGCGCCGCCCGCTATCATTGCCCCCTCTATCCTCAGCGCCAACTTCGCCGACCTAGGCCATGATTGCTCTAAAAAGATGGAACAAGGCGCCGACTGGCTCCACGTCGACATCATGGACGGTCACTTCGTTCCAAACATGACAATCGGATGTCCTGTTGTCTCTCAAATCCGCGGTTGCGTCGACCGTCCCCTTGAACCCTGTGCCCGCGGCACTTTCGACTGCCACATGATGATCATGGAGGTACGCGACACTCGGAGTCCCTCCGATCCTCTCTGATTTTCTCCAATTCAGCCCGCTAATTGAGATACTATCTAGCCCCATAAATGGGTAAAGGAATTCCAGAAAGCAGGATGTGATCTGTACTGCTTTCACTATGAAGCAGCCGTCTCCTCTGTCGCCGCGACCGATCCTACCGATAAAGAAACCACTAAGCGAACCTCACCGCGCGAATTGATTAAGTATATTCACGAGGAGGGTATGCAGGCTGGTATTGCTATTAAGCCTGATACCCCTGTTGATGTGCTCTGGGATATTCTCGATAGTCCTGATCTTGCGGAACGACCTGAGGTGAGTACCGTATACCAATGACTCCGTTCAAATTTCCCATTTCCTTGTTTCGGTCACTTTTTTTTTCTGTTATGCCCCGCAATCACACTAGCCCGAGTCCAGTACTTACACTTATGATTCATAGATGGTCCTCGTAATGACCGTTCATCCCGGTTTCGGCGGTCAGAAATTCATGGCTTCCGAACTTCCTAAAGTCGCCGCTCTGCGCGCTCGCTATCCCGACTTGAATATCGAGGTTGATGGAGGTCTGGGACTCGGTACGATTGAACAGGCGGCGGATGCGGGCGCAAATGTTATTGTGGCGGGGTCTGCGATTTTCGGCGCGGCGGATCCGGCGGATGTTATTGCGAAGTTGAGGGAAGCTGTGCAGAAGAGGAGAGGACTTGAGGCTTCGTCTTGAGTTCATTGTATTCTGAAGGATATTGTGGCATTACAGGTATCTGGTCTGCTCTCTGCTGCTTTACGAGCTGCGTTGAGTCTGTACCGGATGCGCTGCATGGTGGGGGTTCGAACGTCCTGCTCGATTAAAAAGGGGTTTGGTATAAAGGGATATTGATTTCTTCCATTCCCTCCCAATAATAGGGATGGTATAATGATGAGCTATGATTCGCATTCCAGGACTTATGATTATTAACACTAGAATTGAACCCAGATACTAATAACAGGAATTTTAAAATTGAATAAAAAAACATGAATAGAAAATAAGACACTAGAGGTATAGAACAGCTGCTTCGAAATCACAAATTGCTTCTCGCTGGCCACTGGTATCATACTGCTACTCCATGACATTTCGGAATCCGCGCATTCCTAAGTAAACTCGTCAAAGTCGTAAATAGCGCAAAAACATCCCCCTCACTCCTTCGCTGATGACTTAGTCTCCGTCTCTGCAGATGCATCTGCAGCTGCAGGGGCGGGGTCCGCAGGGTCAGAGGTACCGGAGGTTCCAGCCTCGGCTTGAGGAGCTTCCTTGACATCCTTGTCCTGATCCTTAAGTCTCAGGCTCTGTCTCGACCTTCTCAGTTGTCTCAATATTCTCCTCTTCAGGTTTAGTCACAGGAGCTTCCTTGGTCTCTTCCTTCTCAGTAGCAACAACATCCTCCTTGGGTTCCTCCTTCTTCTCCTCAGCAACAACATCCTCCGTGACCGGACTCTCCTCAATAGTCTCACTCGGACGCTTGATTTCCGCCGCCTCCTTCCGCAAAGCAGCCACAGATCCCGAAGGATCCTCCGACGAAATGGATGCCCGAATCTCATGCACTGCCTTATCTTGCTCTTCCTTGTTGTCCGCCGAGATGATCAATCCACGATGATGTTCCACAAGACCCATCATCTCAGCATTATCAGCATGGAAATTCGCCGATGACATAGCCGCAACTTCAGGCACAAGAGGGGGTCTCTTGGGACCATTAGGCGACTCAGGTGCTGTGTCAGGGAGCTCGGGCGCAACAGAGCCCTTACGATGCTTAGCGGTCAGGCTAGAAGATGATGATTGCTCATCCTCAGGTTTCGTCTCCGGCTCTTTCTTCTCGTCGGTCTTGCTTTTTGCCTTCGAGGCAGCTTCAGCACTAGCTTGTCGCAGTGCAAGCACGGCGGAGGTATCTTTCTTTTCGCTTTCGTCGGGCTTTGTTGCGGGCGGACTTTGGATTTTGATTGTGACAGGCTTGGGGGTCTTGGGTTCGGGCTCTTTGGGCGGGGAGGGTGCAGCGACCGGGTAACTTGTTGCTGGCATGCCATCCAGATCTGGGGCACTGTTTACGACCATGCGCAGCTCGCCGAATTCGTTCCATTCTTCGATTTCTTCGAGGTCCTATTGAACATAAGTTAGCTTATGCTCTCTTCCCCTGTGTTCGGATTGTTTCTAGAACGGTTATCTGATGCCGTGTTACTTACTCCTACTATGTTACCGTACTTCACAAGCCCTGGCAACTTCTTTCCCTTGGAACGGCGACCCCACAGCTTGCGGGCGGCTTCATCTGTGGCAACATCAATGGCTCGGAAAGGAAGCTTGTTTGCCTTGAGGATAGTCTCTATGCGGGCAGTGGCGGTGACAATATGGGACGAACCCGCCGTCAAGGAGGTGTAGAGATAAAGGGTTGAGTCGGACATCGTGTTCAGGGGTGTTTGGAGAAATAAAGTAGAGGGGTGAAGCCGCTAAGCTAGATGTGAATGTTAAATGGTTGAGGAAGCGGTCAAGACTCAGTGGATTCCAATTCATTCATTCAGTACAACACGGGTTTTAACATGAATCAGGTGTAAGACACCATCAAGTTGAAAAAGAATGTCGTAGGTATGAAAGCCTTTGTGCAGCATGAAACTGTTTGCTTATGACGTGGCTGGGGAAGATCACGTGTATGCCTTCGAGTCCAATCTGCGTTGTTTTCTCTACAAAGAAGTCGATTTCTTATGATTTACTCTCTTTAAACCAATGTTTTATGACTGTCTTTGATCGTGATTCGCGGCTGCTTCGCCGGCTTGTTCGTCTATCACTTCTCCACATCTCCCTGGGCTTCCAAGATTACTCCAGCGTGGCAACTTGACGTCAGCCCGACCCGATCTTTGGCGGTTATCCGTGTTACGCAATTAGCCAGGGACCATATGGACATCGGGAGAACATAGCACAAAAGCCATGGTACAGAATCTGGAGACTATGAAGATGGGGTATGAGCGTGAGATTGGTGGAGATTGGTCTCCATGTCCTGTCCGAGTCCCAGACCAGACAGGAGTTCGCCATAAGCTCAACCATGGGAAGTATATGAATTCGCGGTTCGGTTTTTAGAAACCTGAGATCGAATTTCGCGTAGGTTCCTCGGATATCCCCTGAGTTCCTAAATCCAAGCTTTAGCCTTGTCGGGTAATGTAGTTGCCACATTATCCATGGACACTAAGAGCCTCATACTGATATCGTACCGACGATCGAGTGCAGTGGCAGACTGCAGATACTTCAAGCAGTGCAGTGCGACACCAAGCACATGAGATATCACACGTAGTCAACGAAAACAGAATAGATCAGCCTAGTAGAGTAGCGGTCAGTATGGTGCGGAATATATCTTCAAACAACACACCGAATCGATAACGGCCTGACAACCGTTCCATCATGTGCCAAATCACGCGAAATCACCCTCAACCATTCAAGGGAAATCGAAGCAAGTCCAGGTCCGTATACTTAGGTATAGCTTTATCGATAAATTTCAAATCTGGCCACATCTGGTTCCAACGGCTGCAGGATGGCGCCGTCAAAGACAATAGAATCCCAGTATCCCGGTTCCCATGTTTCCGGCTGCTGCATGGTGCGTTTATGTCTCCAGTGGATTAATAGGCGGTATATTCTCGTGATGCGCCACATGCATGTTGAGCAAGGGGTGGATGCAGAGACAGGCTACGACGTAGCGCACGCGACATCCGCGTGACGAGGCAGGTCAGCCTTGTGATGTGATTTAATCCTTTGGATTTCAGCTGAGTCTGGTTATAGCCACTAGTAACTGGAGAGACGGGCCTATATGATAGCTATTAAGAGGCGGAGGCTCTGTTGGGAGGAGTTGGGCGCCTTACTATCGCAATGAGCATGGATCTTGTTGGCAGTGCTCTGTTCTAGTCTACATACTCTGCTTCCTGCGTGGTATTCTGGCAGCGAATTGCGTATTTGTAATTCTCGCTCATGTGCAATCATAGCCAAATTTTATCGATTTAGCTAAAGTAATAGTAAGCATATCAATATTAAGAGAAATAATGTGGGCAGGCAACCTCATACTAGGCGTTCAATTTGACTGAATGTAATGGGGGGGCTATATAGTTGAGTCGAGGGGGAGAAGGGTAGCAACTCAGCCCAGCTTGCCTACCTAGGTAGTGGTTAGTGGTCTCTGACTCGTAAGAGGACAGAGGTATTGATCAGGATAATGTCGGGTCCTGTTCAGTGGCTGAACTCACACCGGCGGGCGGGCGGGCAGGGAAGTAGCTTCGACCGAAGCTACGGGCATTCTTTTTTTTTAAATTTCTTTTTTGATATTTTGATGAAAGATACTTTCAAACTCGTTCTTTCTATTTCTTTCGTCAGAAATCAAAAATAATCCAGAATGAGTGAGATATCAAGGATTACGGTGTGGTGATGAAGGTATCAAGTGAGGGTATTCGCAACATCATGTATTTTGTACAATGAAGGGGTTCGATCCCCGCCATGGACAACATGGATCTGAGATCTTTTTCAATCCTTCGAAACTGTTTGGTCTGCTGCATTCAACCTTGGAAGCTTTCTATATCCTGTCTTCGAAACGCCAGCCGCATCCATGACCACTCTCCCAGGCCCAACTTGAAAAGCAACTTGAAGTTCAACTTGAACATAAAAACACTCTCCACCTGGGCATGAATATACACCCAAGTAAGCATCAGGCTTGGGAGCCTCACGGTCATCTCTTTCCACTTCTGCGCTAGTATCCTCCGAGTCCGAGTCGCAGAGCACACAAGATACAGTGCTTCATTGAGCCACAAGAGCCATTTTTAACTTGAACAGGTAATCCTCGCGATGTCTCTCTTTCAACCCCGGTATTGCATAGAACTCCTCGTGTATTCCATTTGAGTCCTGGATCCTTTTCTCCTCCCACTGGCAGCCCTCGACACAAAACCATACACACATGCGCTATGAATTCTATGCACTTATTTTCAATACCTATGAATATTCGTTACATTCCATGATTTGCCACTGCTGCTCTTGAAGCTGGTTGGAAATATCTCGAAGAGGCACTGGCAAGAGAATAGCAATATATTCCCACAAAGGTCTGGGATCGGGCACGTTGACTTCAAGTTTGCTACTATAGTCTGTGAATGGATAGATAAGGAGATCAACAATTCCTGAGGTCGAATCCAGCGATGTCAAGCAAGAACATTGAAGAACATTGAATACTACCTAGGATACTACTACCAACCAGTAGCCACCCTAAGGTTCAACTTGAACCGATGCCCACATGTGCAGATATGTAGTACTACGTGGATGGATGCTTCATTTCCATAATTGAAATGCTATGATCACTTCTTTTCTCCCAGTCTCGAGGTCCTGCCTAGATCTCTATTTTTCTACCTCCAGGCTATCCATGCACATTTGTACTATGCGCGATGGAAAATTCACCTTAGTGAAGGCTTGATAGCCCTGGGGTGTGTCCAAGTTCATATTCGGAATTTCCAGAGATGCTCGGAGTCATTCTCTCAAATACACGTAATATTACCCCATTCTCCGCTGGTTTTCACCACGGAGTCTCAAGCGTCCAACTTTAACCTGCGATTTGTACTACTATTGACTTCAAAAATCACGCATGATCATGTCATTCTCTACATCATGATGTCGAGATCACTCGACACACGATCTACTACTTCGCTACGTGTTCTTTTCGTGAGTCGGCCGACACTAGACTAAGGTGGATCATGATATTCTCATGAGAATGCGTTTTCATCCCAAATCCACCAAGCCAAATATAGCTCTAACCGACCGCCAATTGACGTTGTGGTACTTTGGCGCTCTCCACAATACGATTAGACACAAGAATCCTCCATCGATAGCCAATCAACATAGCAGAACAGGGTCTTTTGGGCAGAAAACGATACACCGCATGTATCTGTGCAAAAAAATGACGAAATTATTGGGAGGTGCGTTGTATGCCATGTATCAAGTTGATCGTCGTTCTCAAGGGGTCCAAACAGTACCAATGTTCGCTAGTTAATTGACGCCCTTGATGAAACAAAGCAAGCATGGATTTTTCGATTTTTGACTCTCGACTTTCATTCCGATGATTCAATAACCCCTAATCCACTCCTTCGAGTTAAGAAATAGAACAGTGACACATCGAAACTGACAGATAACAGGCGGAGAGGGAGTGGAGTCGTGAACTGGAGCACGGGGTTGGGCGAAGTCTCCCCGATCGGGATTGGGTTGATTTTGATGTTAGGTGTTCAGTGTAAGCACTTGAGAGTTAGGTTCTTGGGTTGAAATCCATCTGCGATGTCGATCCTCCATGACCGAATTCGATCATCCTATGAAGGTTAAATGGGGGTGTCTGGATGAAACGCAGTTACCGCTGTGAATTTATTGTCATGGGGTGGTTTGATTTGGTGGCCTACATCCCTCTAAACCTTGAAAAAAACAAATATGTCCCTGTTGGCGCCTTTGGAGCCTCCAATCATGCTATTGTAGACGTCTAGAAGATGTCTTGCTGTGATCGTCGTGATGGAGTACATGCCAACACTGCAAAATGGGATTTTCTCTCCTGAAGAAAAAAAAGAATCAAGCGGGTCAACTGGTTCTCTATGGAGACGTTTGATTATCTTATTGATAATTTTATTGAGTATGCAAACTTTTGATTATTCAATTTTGAGGCATACTATATGTACCTTGTCCACTAAACTATGTTTTTCTAGGCTGATTCTATAGATTGAGAACCATGGAACGTTCCCGTGTGGATTGACCTCTTCTTCTCTTCTGGGCAACAATTGGGCGCTGAGCCACCAGCCACGGGGAGGCGTCACCTGCAGGGCCCGATTCCCCCGGCTGCAGGACGACGTGGCATCCATTCAGACGTTCATTTCACTCTTAGTTTGAAACCAATGGAGTTGGATGGTGGACTAGTGAAGTCGTAGACGTCAATGTGGAAGGACAGTTTTTTTTTTCATGGGATCCGCTGAGGATCCATTAGGGAGAGAGTACCGACTCTCCGAGTAGAACTCCGTACGGAGTAGAAACCGAATTTGTATGAGATTTTCTGTAGGTGATGAGTGATGAGTGCATGAGTGATAACTGGATTGAATATGCATACTTTGAGACCCCCCCCCTGAAAACACTCAATGATTATTTAATCTTATGCATCATGAACATCGGGTCACGCTCGGGGCGATCCGGTTCGCTGCCTCACTTTGATCCGAATTTCCCATGGAGGACCGTCCGTTTACAGCTTTACAGAAAAGCAACCAACCAGATAATTCTAGTCAGTACGGAGCTTGTATCCATCCCTTCAGGTTCAATAATAGACGTCACTGGGCTGTGTGGGAAGTCACAAATACCGTATGGACATCCTGGGGTCCTCGGGACGAAGTACTGTGGAGAAAAATGCGCTATAGGAGATTTATCGCCCCTTAACCCAGGTAAATCGGGTCAATCATCATGGTCCAGACCTCTAGAGGATTGACCCTCCATTCTTAGTCTCATGTTAAGCGTCTGGTGTATATCTCTTCGTATCTGTGGAGTTTCCAAGTTCTTTTCTCCCGGACTTTTGTTTCTCTTCTCTCTTTCTCATCTTGCATGCTGCCCAATCTTCCCCATTCTTTTTTTTTATTTTATTTCCAAGAATCTTTTTTTTCATACATCGTAATTCTTTTTAATCACTTATTCACCCCTTTTTCGATATAGCAGATCTAATCCGAAGATCGTAAGTTTCCCCATTTTTTTCCCGGAAAACGTACGTGCACGCATTCCTGATCCAGTGCGGCTCCTAATATGTGTATAGGAAAACCGACTTCATCTCAGCTTCGAGTTCCAACTTCAGAGTTCCACACCAACGTCGACAAAGTACTAGTAGCAAGGACGCATCTGCATCTGCATCTGCATCTGCATTTAATATTTGCTTGCCCTTCTGCTCTGCTTCCCCCAAATATCTTATATGCTGATTGACCAGTTTGGGCTCAACCATCCATATCAGAGCTCCCCTCTGATCCACTATGACGTTCAATCAAGACGATGAGCTCTTCATGAGGGCCATCTCCGGATACCGGGATGCATTTTTGGATCGATATTCCCACCTTCCGGAAGCTGAGCGCATGCAACTCTGGAGTAGTCGGATCAGCCCATTCATTCCGGCCATCAACGGTGACGACTCGACCCCCGGTAAATCGGGCAAACGGACTCGACAGGATACTCCGCGGACGCTTCCCTCTGGTTCTGGTCTTCCGCAAGCGAAACGACGAGCCACCGTATGTGTGACCTTGGTCTCTTGCTCCCGCTCCCTTTGATCAAGAAATCTTTATCCCATTCTTGCTCTCCTTCTCTCTATCCTTTCTTTCTTTTTTTCTTCTTCTCTTCTCTCCCCTCCAGCCATAATCCTTGGATTGACAATTGGCAGAGCCCGGAACTTCCGGTGACCGTCGAACTGAGACGCGCACTCTCTCAAGTATCCAATGCAGCTACCCCGCGAGAGGATGCTTCGACGTCAACTTACCGGCATACGGCCCCCATGGCACGCTCTCAGAGCCAACAAATCCCCATATCTCACTGGCACCCGCCCGCCGGGGCCACTATGGCCAAGCGACAATCCTACGGACCTCCGAGGACGCATCAGCTCTCATTTGACCATGCCATCGACGAATACTCGCCTTCCGAATACACGAGGCAGCTGCAACTGGACGATAGCGAAAATCAGTCATATCCTGGTCTTGGCCACTCTGGTTCTGGTCCTGGTTCGACTCTGTCCCTCGGCCTCGCAGCGCAGGGATTATCAAATGGAGCAACTCCTCTGTCGCATCATAGTCATCATGATGGTCAGGTCTCTCCCATGGCGGATGCTTCCCCCGCGACAGCTGTGCAAATGACTCGCAGCACGACCACCGATTCCATCATCAATAATTTCGACAATTTCCGGTTTGATGGTACCACCAGTGCAGCTGCGACCTCGGATCTGGATCTGGCTTCCTCTTATTCCATCTCCCCAGAGTGGGTGCCAACCTCCGCATCTGGTTTGCCCTTTCATCACCCTCAATCCATGTATCCTAACATAGAACAACACCCCTTCCCAATCTCTTATGCAAACTTCTCCACCTCCGCACCCTGCACATCTTCCTTTCCCCATCCCATCCCTGCAACCCGCATCCCCGCTCCTGTTCAAATCCACCATGCCTTATCAGCAGTGGAAATGAAACCCTCCCTCTCAATCGAGTCCCCTCCATCCCCCACAAACCCTTCAGCACCAACCCGCGCCGCGAGACGAACCCAAGAGCAAATTGCACACGCGACCCGCCCTATCGCTCCAAAACGCGAGTCCGAATCTTCCTCTTCTCCAACAACCATTCTCCTTCAACCCGACTCCAAAGACCCCCACCAAATGGTCCGCATCTGTCCCACAGATGGCACCGCCAAGCCAGTTCAAGCAATCCCCAAAGCTTCAATACAGCGTCCACCACGACCAAAGACATATTGTCATCTCTGTAACGACCAGCCAGAGGGATTCCACGGTGACCACGAACTCCGTCGACATATCGACCGAGTCCATGCTTCCGTGCGTAAGGTATGGGTTTGTGTCGATATTTCACCTGATAAGACCTTCCTAGCAAATTGCAAGGCTTGTCGCAATGGGAAGAAGTACGGTGCGAATTATAACGCTGCAGCGCATCTTCGCCGAACACATTTCAATCCCTGTCAGCGTGGTCGTGGAGGCCGTGGCAAAGAGACCGAGAAGCGTGGTGGGAAGGGTGGAGGAAACCATCCTCCTATGGATGTATTGAAGCATTGGATGCGACAAACCGTCGAGCGGGCAGGTGAGGATGATGAATACGACGGTGATGAGGCCGGAGAGACTGGGGCTGTAAACGTGAAGAATGTGGATGATGTTTGTGGAACGAGTTATGGATCAGAGGAATACTTTGATGAGGGAAATGGGGAAGCTGAGATTGAGCTTGAGCAAGAAGTGGAACAGGAGCATGAGTCCAATCAGACACAAGAACATCTGGGACACGGATTCCAGGGTACTTCTGTTGGCTTGACGAGCTCTCATCCTCATGTTGCTTCGTTCGGTATGGAGTCGACCCTCATGCATGGGTATGATCCGTATTCCATTCCTGGATTCGAGTTGGATCCCTCGCTCAATGGGCCATTTTATATGGACTCGCAGCCTCCGTTCCCTCCAGAGATGGAGTCGTATGTTATGTGAGCTGTGTAAGTTTGGTCTTGATATCTTGTTCATGAGTTAGTCCTTTCTTTCTGCATTCTTGTCATTTTGGTCTTGTTTTTATCCTCATTTGGTGAGGCGTGTTGTAATTTATGTGCTCATCCACATGTGTGGTGCACAGTTATCATGGTCGGAGCACTGAGTGGACGGTATTTGTTACATCAATTGATGATATATGGGTGTCTGTGTGGGTATATAAGGCTAATGGTGTTGGGATTTGCTTGGAATCTCCAGAGCTACCACTGTGGTTCTGAGAATGAATGAATGACCACATCCAGAATCCAGCATTGATTTCGATATTGAATCATCATGGGGAGGTGGTTAGTTATAACGTTTTCTCGGTTGAATGTTTTGATTTGATCGGATCGATCAGGCGTCGGCGCAACGTGACATCATTTCGTCTTTGGCTTTGCGGCTTCTTATGACAGTCTTTGATCCTGTCCAGTCTCACACCGGACTGGGTGAGTGGGCTGGATATGGTGAGATGACGCACTAATGATTATTAATTTCCCTTGAATGGCAATTGAGCATTGGTTTTTTTTTTTAATTTGAGATTCATCCTTTTTTGTCATTCTCATAGTGTGACAGGGTTGCAGTTATCTTGTGACAAGATCCCCTGCAGTGTCTTGGTGATGTCTGTGGAACAAACATAGCGAGTTATTTCCTAGGCTGGGAATGTTGAGTGGCTGAAATGGGGGCCTGTAAATTACGGCACTAGAACTGCCCTTTTCGGGAAAGTCAGGATCAAGCCATATGTAATTACGAGTATTTACTTGTAATACGTAATCAAGGTCCACTTGGGCATCTGGATCCCGCTTGTAGATTCTACCACTGTGGATAATGTTAGATGAGTGTCTAATCATGGCAGCCTTGAGGCTTGAAGGAACATTGAAAAGAGGCTGAGTGCTGCTGAGTACATTTAGGATTAAAATGGCGCCAAAGATTACCCTGCCACTATGAAGAATGCACCCCTTTCTATGAACGAAGGATGGTAAGATTCAACAACTCCACATTGAAATTTAAAAAAAGGTACGGAGTACATTCGGAGGTACATTTACAGGCTCCTCGGTACAAAATGCAAAGTACTTTAATGCCTATCTTGGCAAATGGTGGGATTTGCTCTATTTCGGTAAGCTTCATCTGGGCACACTCAACACCTCACGCACAGGCAGCAACAATCGGCGGTCAGCTCTCAATCCTGGGCGATAAACAGGCCGGGCGGGCCGGGGTTCATCCAGTACCAGGTTCTGAGTGGATAGGCACCCGCTCGTGGTGGAGATCTTAGTGATTCGGTGGCTGCCTTGTACACCAATGAGTATCTCCCCGTGGAGATGTAATTGTGGCTGACCCAGTTGCTCTGATGATACATTGTGGTAGGGCTGTGGGATGTGGCTGTGTATTACCGCTAGTACCGGGTCTGTTTCTTTGTAACATACATTACAGAGGTAAAATACTTCCAAGGTTCCTTGAAGAGCTCTACTGAATATTGAGTAGTTTGAGAGGTAAATGATCCATAGATCCTGCATTATTACTTAGTTCCGAGCAGTGATCTATATATGAATTATGATATTAATAATGTCATTTCTTTATTTATCTCTATATCAAATAATCAATTCAATCTAGACTTCAACCCATTTCCAGCCTTACGGTGCCAAGAAGGAGAACGAAAAGGAGTTCCCAAGTTGTATTATGCAGAGTTCATTTCCATCGGGGCTTCGGTAAACCTTGTCTCCTCTTTTTATTTCCCTCACTTCTCACTCTTCTCTCCAACCTCACGATTTCGCTCGTTTCGTTAGCCTTTCCACTTTCCCTCTAACAATCCCCTTTGTCGTTAGTGTTAAGGTATGATTACCCTGGCTCTTACCTGGCCATTGTTTACCCCTGCTCTTAACTGCCCATTCCAGCCACTCGCGACCCTGGTCATTCCGGGCCGCAATCACGCCAGTGAGCCCATAGTGGCTGCCACAGCGCCAACACACTCCCTCTCGTTGGTTCGATCGCGTCGCTCACTTGTCACCCTTGAAATCCTAGACCTTAGTGCGCTGCTACTATGTCCTACCAGCAACAGCCTTACGGCTACCCTCAGCACCCTCAGCCGGCGTAAGTCATCCGAGCGAAATACCAATCTTCACAAATCCCGGCAAATCCTCTCAATATCCCTGAACCGATCCTATATACCGGTCGGCAATATTGCGCGACCGCGAAGCCACTTTCAATACTGCTTGTCCGGCGATGAACATTTCTCGAATCGGTATACTGATACTGTTTGGAACATAGTTACGGCTACCAGGGCGGTCCTCCACCTGGCCCTCCTCCTGGCGCTGGACAAGAGTACTATCAGCAGCCCGGACAGTATCCTGTACGTCGGATCACCGCCCGCTATAAATCAAAATCATTCCTATAATCGATTCTAACATTATGACAGCCTCCTGGTCAATACCCGCCGCCCCAGCAGGGATACCAGCAACCTGGCCAACCACAATACCAACAGCCGCCTCTCCCTCAAAACAACAGCGGTGGTGGAGATAAGGGATGTCTCGCTAGCTGGTGAGTTACAATCTGGATTTAAAGGTTTGATTTTATCCGCATGCTGATTCTTTCTTATAGCTTGGCCGTTCTGTGCTGCTGCTTCGTCTGTGAGGAGGGTTGCGAATGCTGCGCTGATTGCATCGAGTGCTGCGAGTTCTGCTAAGCGCCATGATCAATGATCTCTACGATACCTTGCTCTTCATTCGGCGTTTCGATTCTTGATCCTCCAGTAGGATCTGGGCTGAGCCCAAATCATATTCATTGGGCCTTTTTATCCCCTTTCCTGTTTCTGCCTATTAATTCCCTCTATGCTGTGCCTCTGTAATGTGAATTCAGCTTAAAAATTTACTTCCTACCTTACATCAGGAACATTCGGTGCTCGCATAACATATTGTTCTATCATGCAGTGAGTGTAAAGTTTGGCCTTTGCGTATATACTATGGCAGGAATCTTGATCTGTATTATTTTTTTTAATTTGTAGTCGCCCCGGCGGAGGTGCACGTTTCAATGTTTTTGACATGCGCTGCATTTGAACTCGGTCATGGAATTTACATACCGACTTCGTCGATCGTCCTCCCTCTGGCTGCTCAGTGCTAGTATGAGTGTCCTCATGTATCCTGCGGATTCATTTCTGAACGAGGCGAGCGGTATTCCTGCTGCTTATTGGTTGGCTGCACGATCCTACGCGCCCTGACCAACGCATCATGTCCAGGGCGGCTATGCTCCAGGGCTGGATCATAATAAATGTTGCTAAGCCCCCAAAAATTGCGAATCATTTCCTCGTGTTTGAGTTAGCTTTTTGGTGAATAGCGCAACCCAAGACTAATCCAAGGTCTTATATCAACGTCTATATTATCCATGTCAACAGGTACCCGGGCGCTCGGGCCTAATCCAGTTGACCGCCATGGATTGTGTCTACTTTCACTCGATGGAGGTGGTGTGCGTGGTCTATCAAGCTTGTATATTCTCAAGTGTATCATGGATCTTGTGAATGCGAAAATCTCGCATCACGCTCATGTCAAACCATGCGATCTGTTTGATTTAATTGGGGGGACGAGTACTGGAGGGTGAGTCGTCCAAATTTCGCATTGATTTCTTCTCTTTCGAGTTGTTTGAACTAATGAAATACCTGCAAGATTAATTGCTATCATGCTAGGGCGCCTGGAAATGGATGTTGACGAATGTATTGAAGCTTATCGTGAACTCATGGAGTCTGTTTTCAGTGAAAAATCTCGAAGAATAGCTCTTGATTGGTCGGGTAATATTAAAGCGCAGTATGACTCGCAAAAGCTTCGAGCTGCTATCGAAAATGTCATAGTTCGTGCAGGGGTATCTCCCGATGCCTTGATGAATGATGGAAATTCTCGACGCTGCAGGGTCTTTGTTTGCACCACATCGAAAGAGACACTCGAAGTCACTCGCTTACGAAGTTATGATTCCCTCGACAAAAATGCACCATCACCTACCATTTGCGAGGCCGCTTTGGCAACATCAGCCGCCACACGGTTCTTCGATCCAGTGTCAATAGGTGACCGGCAATTCGTCGATGGAGCCTTCGGGGCAAACAATCCGATAGAAGAGGTGGAAGAGGAGGCTTGTGATATCTGGTGTTCATCAAAGAGAAATTTGCAAGACCTTGTGAAGTGTTTGATCTCTGTGGGCACAGGTGTTGCTGGGAACCAAGCCTTGGACGATAATATTGTGAAATTTCTGTCAAAAACACTGGTCAGGATGGCTACAAAGCCGGCAGGTGTGGAACGGAGGTTTATGGCTCGGTGGAGACGCGAATGCGAGGAGAATCGTTGCTTTCGGTTCAACGTGGTACGAGCAATGGAAGATGTGCTCATGACTGATTACCAGAAGCGAAGTTTGATTGAGACTGCTACGCATGATTATCTCCATCTTCCTCGTCAGAAGTCCGCTGTGGATCAGTGTACACTTAACCTCGCTGGGAAGCGAGGTGCGTATTCCCAGCTGCGAACTGTCGATTTACTCAGGAACTAGACTGACATAATCTACAGGTAAAACCGACTTTGAGTTTAAAACTTTAGTGGAAGTGAGCATGCCATCATGAGTCGATTTGAGTTTTCCTAACAGAAGTCACAGACGTATAAACTTAGAGCGATGCAGATGCGGATTGAGACTGAAGTAAATGAATCTAATCACCAAGGATCAGCACCCAAGCCTGCAAGCTGGGTTGTTCCATTTGATCGAAATGACCACTATGTGGATGGTGACATAATGAGTCATGTTTCAGAACGACTTTTGCACCAGTCGTCTGCGTCGAAGCTTGCTATATATGGTCTTGGAGGTGTCGGGAAAACACAGATTGCCCTTGAACTGGCATACCGGGCCCAAGAGAGCGATACCGACTGCTCCGTGTTTTGGGTTCCTGCCATGAGCCCCGAAAGTATTCACCAAGCTTACCTGGGTATATGTGATAACTTAGGTCTCGGGGTGGCTTGCAAAGAGAAAAATGAAGTTCTTCAAACCGTCCAAGAATACTTCAGTCATCAAAAATCCGGTCGTTGGCTTCTTATTTTTGATAACGCGGACGACATCGAAATGTGGGGGAAATCCTCTGAACCAGGCGTCAGGACCAACTTCCAACAATTTCTGCCAGCGAATTCTCTGGGACGTATTCTTTTCACTACTCGCAGCACGAAAGTTGCGCTGGCGCTCGCACCCAACAAGATGATTCACATCCCGGAAATGGATTTCAGCCGAGCCCATCGCATGATGAAAAACCTGCTTGTTCGTCAAGAGCACTTGAATGACGAGGAAAAAACACGCGAAATGCTGGAAAAATTAACCTATCTCCCACTTGCGATTGTGCAAGCTGCTGCTTTTATCAATCAGAATGGAACAAGTATCACCGAATACATTGCTCTCATGGATGGACAGGAGCAAGATGCCATCCTTCTGCTGAGTGAAGATTTCGAAGATAAAGGGAGATATAAGAGCATAAGAAACCCGGTCGCTACAACATGGCTCACATCCTTCGATCAAATACTGAAAGAGAGCCCGTCTTCATTCAATGTTATGGCTATCATGGCATGTTTAAATTCGCGCGGCATTCCAATATCCTTATTGCCAGACTTGAACAAGCTTGAACAACAGAAAACACTTGGGCTACTTGAGGCCTATAGTTTGATACGGTATCAGCCTAATCGACAACGATTAGATCTTCATCGATTGGTTCATTTGGCTATGCGTAACAACTTGAGGGTACATGGAACTCTACAGCAGTGGGAGCAGTGGGTCATGGGTATTCTCGCCAATAGATTTCCACCAGCAGCTACCGTCCATCAAAATCTGTGGAGAGAATACTGTCCTCATGCCTTTCATATCTTGGATCTTACCTCATCCTACGGACCTTCAGAGGATAGAGCAAGTTTGCAGTGGAAAATCATGACCTGTTTCATACTGGACGGAAGGTTTACGGATGGAATCGCTTTGGCACACAAGGTAATAAAATACAGGAAAGAAAAGTTTGGTCCTGAAGATGGAGAAACACTGAGAGCAGTCAGTGCTCTGTCAACCCTATATACAGGACAGGGTCTCCGGAAGGAAGCAGCAGAGTTGCAGTATCAGGTGCTGCAATCGAATCTCAGAATCTTCGGTCCCGATAGCTTTGACGTCTGTTCTAGCTTAGGAACTCTTTGCAATATCCACTTGTTGCTGGGTAACGTGAGAATTGCAGAATGGTTGGGAACAGCCGCGCTCAAGTCCTTGTTAAAGCAGAATGCGTTAGAGTGTCGAGATGCTCGACTTATAACTGCCATGATGATTGAAGTCTACTTGAAGGAAGGTCGATTAAAGAACGCTATTCGACTTGCAGAGAAACTCCTTTCCGTGACCACTCGGGTTTGTGGAGCTGAGGATCGGGATACATTTTTGGTACAGTTGAGCATTTTGTGGATCAATGTTGAGCAGGGCCTCTTTAAAAAAGCTGCAGCCTTTGGCACGGACCAATTGGCAAAAGTTGAGATATTGTTTGGGCAGGAGCATCCAATTACGATTAGTTATATGCAGCTGCTTATGCAAATTTTTGGCCATCAAGGTCGGAATTTGGAAGCTGCCACACTGGCGATCAAATTGGCCCACATGTTTGAACGCATGTATGGACCGGAGAATAAGCTTGTCGAGGAGAGTTTTGATCATGCTAATTTTTTCAAGAACTTGAAGTCAGTGCTATCCATAGATATCCCTTAAGTCGATCTTCCAATTTTCAGCGGCTCTTTGATTGCTAACCCAGGTCATTATATTATCAGGCCATTCTCTGAGCGTACGGCCGAGCTACTTAGTCATACTTGGAGACCAAAGAAAGTTCTGCAGCGCAGGCGGCTCAACCCTCGCGTTCGTCTTTACGGTGGGCTTTACTGTCCCAGACGACAGTTGAATGATGAGTCATTGATTCTCCTGGTTGAAAGAGCCAACCAATTGAGTATCAATCAAGCAGCGAGTCAATCATCGAGCACAAGCTCCGAGTCAGAAGCTTGCTCGATCGAGAAACTGAAAAATGTCAGGGCTGATACGTTTATATCGGAAATGTTCAGCTATCCATCATATGTGAGTAAGGTAGGTACTAGGCCTGAGCCCAAGTTCTGCTTCGGGGGTGGGTTGTTCTCTTGAATAAATTTTTGAGGTCGTTAACTGTTAAACTCTCTTGGTATGAGATACGTATCATGATGTACATGGGCTTCTTTAAATTTGTGTTAGTGGACTTGAATTCAACTTTTAGTAGTATCAGGAACCCAGTATTCTGCCATCAAGTTTGAACCAGATCATACTAACTGCACATGTGTGGACACCATTGTCCTGAAAACCTCCATCAAATAAGATCACCACCATATCCTTCCATGAGCATTCTCAATACCGCTCAAATTCATAAATACCAAGACTGGCAGCTTTGTACTAAGTGGTGACATTCAAATCCTTTTCAAAATACTTGTAGGTATTATGCACGGAGGCTCTACTAATGCGGGAAGAGCCCCGTATTTTACCCATTTTATCCGTAGTAATCAAGTTCACATTGTCAATCATGATAATCTCACATTCCCGCGTTGACTCGTTGCTTTCGAGGTTTTTTTCCCCAAAAATTGAATCACCTTCAAGCCACATGTGCACATTCAACTTGTGAATATTCCGAAGTTATGCGGCTTACGCCTCAGATAAACACTCACCCGGATACTACCTACTGTCTACGGCTTCTCCGCGAGCTCTTGACGGAGCCTTAGATGAATTATGACTAATTTGGACTGTTTTTGTACAATGATCGGACCTTATTCTACCGAAGTTTTCCCATGCCATGTGCTCCGAAGAGGGGGGCATACTACTCTCCCCATGGGAATTTACCCAAAATGGATGCATAATGCCGGTGATTGTCAATTGATCAGCAAGGGTATCAGCCGGTATGTGACATTTAGTAGGAATGATCGTCGGAAATTCAAAATCTCCCAGACTTATGTTGATTACAATGAGGGGAAAGAACCTTGGAAGCCACTTGAGAGCAACATGAATGTAGTGTAGTCGGTGATTTGTCTCAATTCGGAAACATAGTTAAGATTAATAAATATTGGAGCAATGCCTCATCTGAAAAGTTTCCCTTTGTTTATTCCGAGCAAGATTGGTAGTCTCTGTAGATTGTCTCTTGAATTGTGATCATGTTACGAGAATATCTTCTCTTGCCGCTGCTGGCAGCATACAGCGCAGCTTATACAATCACCGTCGCGAAGTCCGGCGGTAATGTTACGAGCAATCTACAGTACGGTGCCATGGAAGAAGTAAGATCTATTTCTCTACTATTACTATCTAGCTCAGTGCTGACAGAATGATTAGGAGATCAATCATGGTGGTGAGGGAGGTTTATACGCAGAGTTGATCCGCAACCGAGCCTTCCAAGGCAGTGAACTCTACCCATCCAATCTGGATGGGTGGAGTGCAGTAGGTGAATCAACATTGACTCTTCAGAATCTGAGTGCTCCTCTGTCATCCGCTCTCCCAACATCTGTCAAGGTCGAAGGAAGCGGAACCATCGGTTTCACGAATATGGGATTCTGGGGGATCGACGTGCAGCCTCAGAAGTACACCGGATCTTTCTACGTCAAGGGATCTTACTCTGGCTCGTTCAAGGCATCTCTTCAGTCCAGCACCGGAAAGACTCTTGCCAGTGTTGAGATTACTTCAAAGAGTGTGTCCAGCAAATGGGTTCAGCATGATTTTACTCTCACTCCAACGACCACGGCGTCTAATGTGAACAATACCTTTTCACTGACGTTCGATGCTTCGGTTAGTCCAGCAATACTGAATCGTTTGTGCAAAACTGATATTTCTTAGCAAGCTTCCAGTGGCTCTCTGGATTTCAATTTGATTAGTCTATTCCCACCCACCTGGAATAACCGTCCAAATGGACTGCGAAAAGACCTCATGCAAGCCTTGAGTGACTTTGGTCCGGTGAGTGCCCGCAATATTTATGGTATGTTTGCGGCCGATACTTATGCTTGTTAGAAATTCCTCCGGTTTCCCGGTGGAAATAACTTGGAAGGTGAAACCATTGACACCCGGTGGAAGTGGAATGAGACAATTGGGCCCCTCACAGAGCGACCTGGACGACCCACCACCTGGGGCTACGAAGAAACTGGTGGAATGGGACTGGTCGAGTATATGGAATGGTGTGATGATCTCAGCATGGAGCCAAGTAGGCGCCCGATTCCACCACCACGTATGACGTGTTATTAATCTATGTAGTCCTTGCCATATGGAGCGGTCTCGCTCTTAACGAAGATGTTGTCCCTGAGGCCGACCTTGATATCTATGTCGAAGATGCTCTCAATGAGTTGGAGTTCCTGACTGGCTCCGTTGACACTGAGTATGGTGCTCTTCGAGCTAAATATGGTCACCCTGACCCGTGGACGATCAACTATGTTGAGGTTGGTAACGAAGATAACGACAGCGGCGGATTGAGCACCTACACCGCATACCGCTTTGCAGCATTTAATGATGCTATCGCTGCAAAACACCCTAACATCCAGGTTCTTGCCTCAACAATTGATATGACACTTCCGGGTTCTACCGGTGGTGATTATCATCAGTATGATGTTCCAGACAATTTTGTCAGTGAATTTGACATGTGGGATAGCTACACTGATGCTCACCCTATCCTGCTTGGTAAGTACTGATCATTACCCACGACAATTAGTAGCTGACATTTCGGCAGGTGAAATTGCGGCACTTGAATATAACAACGGGGTTGGTCTCGACTGGAGTGACTACACTGCTTCGTTGTACCCATGGTGGATCGGATCAGTTGCGGAAGCGGTCTTCCTCCTTGGAGCAGAGAGAAATGCTGACAAAATTATTGGAGCAACATATGTGAGTACATATTTCGATTTATATACTGGCTGGACTAACATCATCAGGCGCCTTTCTTCATGAATCTCGATTCCTACGAGTGGAGCCCGACATTTCTGGCTTTTGACTCCAAAACCGGTAGTGTAACCAAGTCCACAAGTTACTATGTCTATACTGTAAGTCATGAAGCTTTTTATGCCAGTCGTAATATTACTGATCGTCGCAAATATAGCTCTTCAACCATAATCATATGACGAATACCCTTCCTGCAACATCTGCCGATGCCTTTGGCCCCCTTTACTATGTGTCAGGCCTCGACAACAAGACCAATTCGCACATCTGGAAGGGTGCTGTATATAACAGCACTGCCGATGTTCCTGTGTCCTTGAAATTCGAGAGCATTGGACAAGGAACAACAGCTGACTTGACTATTTTGACTGCCCCCGACGCTTACTCAATGAACGAGGTGGGAGAAGCCAACATCGTGAACACGAAAACCACAATAATCAAGGCCGGTAAAAGTGGAGTATTCAGCTTCAGCTTGCCTAACCTAAGTGTTGCAGTTCTTACAACCAACTAAGTGGACCCTATCCATACAGACTTATATAGTGTCAATTACAACAAGATACATGCTGTTGATCTCGGAAATTCCGATGATACTAAACATTCCTTGAACCAAAACCACTGGGCCAGTCCAACTCACGCTAAGATTGATATTCCTCTCCCTAGCTGTAATCTAAGTGACACCTTCCATTCTCAGCCCTAGCAGTCTATAGTAACTCAACTTGATCTAAATCCGACTTCCCCGACCACTCGGTCTCCACTTTCATTTCGCTAAGCCCTTGAGCTTCCGACGAGGCTGAGCACATACCAGTTCCAACTTACCGGGTCACATCAACACGCTCCACTTAAAGATAGAGCCGCGTTAAGAATTACGCCTTGTCTCTGGTTTATACCTCGCTCCCCCTCTCCTGATATGGACCGTTGAGTCTATCAGATAAAGGCATACTAGAGTATCTTAGGCTCCACCGGGGCGTTCCAGCCCCTTTCCACGAGTAAACAGGGCTGCGACTGTAGCGATCAAGCCAAATACGGCCGACGCTGCAAAGGATAGTCGGATTCCTCGATAGTATACTATACGCACGGCCATTTGTATATCCTCGGGTAAGTCATGGACTGCAGAGACGGAATGACGAATTTCATCGATCAACTAGATTGAAACAATAGGGGTCAGCTTATTTGCTCTTTTTCGCTATTGTTATTGTCTTGTTGGGTGGATTGGATTGTACTTTCCATTTGTCTGGTACTCCACTCAAGGCCTCTGGCAGGCCTGAGCTAAGTGTGTTTTGGATAATCGCAGACGTAATGGCGACGCCCCAGACGGTACCTAGGGAGCGAATAAGGTAGACGGTAGAGGCGGAGACTGCATGGTCTGAGGAACGAATTAATTAGAAACAGTGATACGCAAATTGAAAAGTTTTGTATGACATACCGTTATGATCGAATGCAGAAAGAAATGTGAACAGAATCCCAGGGTAAACGATTCCTTGTCCCAAGTTTGCAGGGATAATATATGCAAAGTACTTCCAATCGGAGTCGTTGAAGCCAAGGAATGTCACAAGAAGATTACCGATGAACATCAATGCTGCTCCAGTGCGTACAAGCTGAGCTAGTTTACCCCAGCGCGACATCACTATGCCTGCAGTAAGCCCACCAACTGGGGTCATGAGAGATGGAATAACCAGTCGGGCACCGGCTCGGGTTGGTGTATCTATCAAAATGACCTGGAAGAAAAGTGGCAGAGTGAAGAGGAACTGGAAAGTCAGCTTTGTGTCATCTCAGAAATGAGGACTCAACTTACAGCATATGCTGCCATGCCAACACAGACGTTGGCAATCTGAGTGGATATAGGATGAAGACCACGCAACATTTTTAGTGGAATGAGAGGGATAGCCTTAGTCTTTGCCTCGATAGTAACAAAAGTAGCGAGGAAGAAGACACTGCCAATCAGAGGGAGAATCACCCAGATACTCATCCATGGCAACTCGTTTCCACCCAGACTCAATCCAATCAACTGTGTTGAAAGAGCTAGTACAAGCAGAACTGACCCCAGTAGATCGATTTGGTGCCAAAGTCCTTTCGGCTGACCATTTGCAGCAAGATTCTGCTTGGGTGGAAATTGGAGGACAAAATAACCCAGGATCAGCACAGTCAAAGAGACAGGAACCTGGATCAAGAAGCACCAACGCCAACCGATGGTGTCAACGATGGCACCTCCGAATGAAGCACCACAGATTGCACCGAATCCATACGCGCCATTCTGGACAGCTTGGTACATCCCACGATTTTTTAAAGGGATCAGATCCGAATTAATGATCGTCGCTTTTCAAGTCAGTATCTATGTATTTCCTTATATTTTTTTATCATTACTTACCCATTGTCATTAGGCCACCACCCCCAATACCAGTCAGTGCGCGCATGATATTCAAAAAGACAATATCTCTAGCTCCAGCGCATCCTAGACATCCGGTGAAAAAAGTGATAGTCGCAATAAAAAAGCAGGTTCTACGGCCAAACAGATCTGAAAAGCGACCGTACAATGGTTGAAAGGCCGTACTGGTGATCAAGTATGAAGTTGTCAACCATGATGCAGTATTCGCAGCATTGAACTCTGAACTGATGACTGCGTATGTTGAAGCAGTTATTGTTCCATCGAATCCAGCCAGGAAAACATTGGACATTATAGCTAATTTTGGATGAATTAGTTTCGCAACACACATGACATATTTCCATCTTAGTAGTATTTACTTACCCAGTTGTATCCAGATGAACCCCCGCGGCGGGGTCCAAACAGCATCTATAGCCGATCGGAGAAGAGGTTGTTCTTCATTTGGAGGTGACATTGTAGACTCGAGCTCTGGTCTGATACCTTGCATAGTGCTACTTAGATCTCTGTCATCTGAAGAAAAGACTGTCATAGTGAGCTTATACAATGATCAATCAATCCAAACGAGATGCAAAAACCCTGAAAGTAATGATAAAGTTTTTTTTTTCATTCTTGATATTTAACCATTAATGTGCCAGCATAGCCGAAAAATCGGAACGAAAGGAGAATTCTTTACCTAATTACATTAAACATGCGTTGTGTCGTGGCCATCGGGCTCATCGGGCTCCCTATTGGGAAATGAGGGACAAGAGCCCCGCTGAAATGCGAGCACGACATTTGATGCACCATTGGCATGATTCACGATGAAAACGATGAAAAGAAGATTCGAACCTGGATTATTGCACAAAATGCCCAGAAATGACGTTGAAGAATACGAGACTGCTGAAGTATTTAAACCCCGCGTTGGAGGGTTTGGAAGATACTATTCACAATACATCCAGATCTAAATCGACCAGTTGACTCAATAAACCCAAACTAAAGCGTCGACGACGACTTTCAAGTGCAGAGTACCCATCTAAGGTTAATGTACCCATTGCTACAAACTAAAACCAGCATCATGGAAACTGATCGCCGGACTAGTCTCCCTCCCCAAGATGAAGGTTCTTGAAACCCTCCTCTGCGCCGCTGCGTTGATGCCTTTTGCGACTGCGGATTGGCAATTCAAGTCTCGCACTGACTTGGCACCGCCTCGTCTGAATATCACCATACCAGCCACTAAGGATGTGGAGAAAGGGTATCTCTTTGTCGCTCCATTCCCTGGACAATTCGTTGATCCAGAACATCATGGTCCGCGCCAGGAGGGCCCGTACATCTTTCGTGATGACGGTGAGCTCGTCTGGTCTGGATATACATACTTCTCTATCTGGGCTGCAAACTTTCACAAAGGAGTGTGGAAGGGTCAAGATGTCTTGTATAGCTTCGAGGGTGATCATAACCCAGCGTATGGACATGGTCATGGCCATGCGACGATCCTGGATCATCATTATGAAACTATTCGGGAATTGCGTGCTGGAAACCACAAGCTAATGGACAAGCATGAACTTCATTCTGTTGATGGGAAGACTGCCTTAATTCAAATCTATCAGCCGATTCCCATTGATCTGAGTCGTTGGGGTGGAAGCCCGGAGCAGCAGTGGGTTGTTGATGCGATATTTCAAGGTACGTACTGTACTAGCTGCTTGGTTCAGTATAGTGCTTGGCTGATGTTAGTTAGAATTGGATATTGAAACCGGCGAGCTCCTCTTTGAGTGGTCCAGCCTGGAACATGTTACACCAGATGGTATGTGGGCTCTGCTCTCCAGATTCAAGATTCTCTACTAATAATCACCAGAGGCCGTTCTCCCCTTGAACCCAGGTCAAGCAGGCGCTGGATGGAATTCTTCAGATGCTTGGGACTATTTCCATATCAACTCTGTGGACAAGGACGCATCTGGTGATTATTTGATCTCTGCACGCGATGCCTGTGCTGTTCACAAGATTAACGGGAAAACCGGCGAGATCATTTGGCGCCTGGGTGGTCTCAAGTCAGACTTTGAACTTGGACCCAATGTCGCATTCTGCTTCCAACACCATGCCCGTTTCATCTCCCAAGATGGAGACGAAGAGATTATTTCACTTTTTGATAACTCTGCTCATGGTACGGAGAATCATCGTGGACATGAAGTTCACACCCACCCATTCTCGCAAGGTAAAATCATATCAGTCAACACTGCGACCTGGACTGCGGAGATCGTCCAAGCCTTCCAGCCCCCAGATGGACTACTGGCTAAATCCCAAGGCAGCACACAGATCTTGCCTAACGGTAATGCACTGGTCAACTGGGGCTCCGAGGGTGCGATGACCGAATTCAAGCCTGATGGTACTCCCATCTTCCACGCATATATGGATTCGGGTTTGCTTGGTGAAGGTGTTGAGAACTATCGTGCCTTTCGCTTCAACTGGACCGGACTCCCCAATGAAGAACCTTCTCTTGTTGCGTACAAAACCCCTTCCGGTACCGCACTTTTTGTGTCTTGGAATGGTGATACTGGAACATCCGCTTGGCGTTTCTACTCTGTAACCGACCGATATGGGTCGCGGTCATTCCTCGGTGAAGCTGTCCGCAGTGGTTTCGAAACTTCCTTGCTTTTGTCTGGTCATACCTATAATCACATTATTGCTGAGGCTATTTCCACCTGGGGTAGTATCCTTCGCACTCCTCGAGCCACTCGGGTTCAAGATCAGTTGTTCCCGCTTATCCCTAGCGCTGAGGTCATTGCGCCGGGCTTGGCCGACCGGTCATCTTGGAAGCAAATGGTGATGCAAGCATAAGCAGAGCGATGGAGACTCGGACCTGTGATTTCTGTTTCCAAGGTTTAGTTCTTAGAATCAGAGAAGGGAGCAGTAAGGAGGAAATTGAAGCTAAGTAGCAGTAGTTAAGGATAGTGCAGAGAAGATCATCCAGATCGGGAATATACTTGCCACATGGATGGTGTTTCTGAAACCTGAAACATTTGTAATCATACGAGATCAACCGTGGAAGAAAGTTGAAAAATCCAGTAGAGTTTCCTAATCTCACTTGAAGTTAGTGAGATTTCATCATCGTATGACTTGATGGAAAATGAATAAAACGAACTCACTGGTTCTCATTCCCCGCATTGACCTCGGGAAGCTATCCCAAAGAGGCCAATGCAGCGGAGACTTAAGCCGTGGTTCTCCAGTTTTTCACCACCATATTAAAGGATGTGGGGAATACGACACGAATACGTACCCAATCACATATTATTCCAGTGATTAACATGATCTGTTGACGGAGGAGCATGATTCCTGATCGCATCAAGCTGTCCTTGGTAACGGAATTATGGAGAGGATCTTAAGAGATCCGTTCATATCGGTAGGGGGAAGTACCAAGTTCCGATTGAGAAAAGTATAGATACAAGGCTGCACCTATTCAATATAGTATTAGATCAAGTACTTCTACTACCATCGGAATCACATTTAAGGCACCCAATATCCCAGTTTCGATCAATCCTTGACCTACGGAATAAGACATCCCTCCGGATCACTTAGTATCCGGGGTCCGGGTATCGGCTTCCTTATTAGGACGCGTATGGGTTATCCTAGTAGTCATAATTTCGTGTCGTGGTCTTTAACACAACCTCTCATCTGGTCATATTTTCATCCTTCTTCTCCTACCCCCGCGCACCATTTTCCCTTTGTACCACACGCAGATTTGATCAAAGTCTCACCGGAAATGTGATAACATGTCAGCTCCAATAAACCCTGTACTGTTTGACGGCGGCACTACAGCTGCACGAGCAGTCCAAAACACAATGGAGCAGCATACATCTGGGGAAATCTCAGAAGAGACGCGTATCGAAAAGAGCGATCCAAAAACCCGGCACGAGGATATCACCAAGTTAGCTCGCGCTTTCTCTCGTCTTTCAGAGGAACAGAACCCAGGCTCCTTGTCCCATGATGCTATCAACACCTTCCTTGACCCGACCAAGGACCCAGAGCTCGACCCAAATTCCTCTGAATTCAGTTCCCGCAAATGGGTCCGCAATATCTTGCACATCACTCGCGACCCAGAAAGATTCCCGCATCGTACATCAGGTGTCTCCTTCCGAAATTTGAATGTCTTTGGCTATGGCACTGCAGCAGACTATCAATTGAATTTTGGCAATGTGTGGTTGAAGATGGTAGATGTGGCACGCCATTTCTTTGGACTGGCGCAAAAAGTGCGCATTGATATTCTCCGCGATTTTGAGGGTATTGTAGATCATGGAGAGATGCTGGTTGTGTTGGGTCGTCCAGGCAGGTGAGTATTCATTCAAGAACTCAGGGTCTGGTTTTGTGAACGAATTGTTAACTTCTCTTTGTGCAACATAGTGGCTGTACCACGTTTCTCAAGACACTTGCCGGTGAAACACATGGCCTGTTCCTGGACGATGGGGCTGATATTCAGTATGAAGGGATCTCTTGGGATCAAATGCATGGACGTTTTCGCGGCGAAGTCATCTATCAGGCTGAAACTGAGGCCCACTTTCCTCAATTGACTGCTGGCGAAACTTTGCTTTTTGCGGCTCAAGCTCGTACTCCGAGTAATCGACTACCAGGTGTGACCCGAGATCAATATGCCTTGCATTTGCGCGATGTTACCATGGCGATGCTGGGTCTCTCGCATACTATGAACACCAAGGTAGGCAATGAGTTTATTCGAGGTGTATCTGGAGGTGAGCGAAAGCGTGTCAGCATTGCCGAGACGACCTTGTGCGGTAGTCCCCTACAGTGTTGGGACAATAGTACTCGCGGTTTGGATAGTTCTACAGCACTTGAATTCGTCAAGAACATGCGCCTGTCAACTGATTACAACGGTACCACAACAATCGTTGCGATCTATCAAGCGAGTCAGTCAATCTATGATCTCTTTGATAAAGTCATTGTTCTTTATGAAGGACGGCAGATTTATTTCGGTAGAGCGGGTGATGCACGCAGGTTCTTCATTGAAATGGGCTTTGACTGTCCAGATCGACAGACGACCGCGGATTTCCTTACCTCCCTTACCAGTCCATCTGAACGCCAGGCTCATCCAGGCTTTGAAGATCGGATCCCTCGTACACCTGATGAATTTGCCGCTCGCTGGAAAGCAAGTCCTGAGCGACAGGAGCTTCTGGCTGAAATTACACAGAAGAATGCAAAGAATCCGATTGGAGGTCATCAACTTCAGGAATTCAACAAATCCCGCGCAGCTGAAAAGGCTAAGAGTGCCCGCGCTGGTTCTCCATACACCCTCTCATACCTGATGCAAATTAAGCTCTGCCTCTGGCGAGGCTTTTTACGAATGAAGGGTGATATGAGTATGACCATCTCGACTATTATTGGCAACACAATCATGGGTGTTATCATTTCCACTGTCTTCGTTAATCTGCCAAATGACACGTCTAGCTTCTTTCAACGAGGTGCACTGCTTTTCTTTGCTATTTTGATGAACGCATTTGCGAGCTCATTAGAAATTCTCACTTTGTGGCAACAACGACCAATTGTAGAGAAGCATTACAAGTATGCTCTTTATCATCCATCAGCGGAAGCCATTAGTGCATACATCGTGGAGCTACCATCCAAGATATTGGTCGCCATCACATTCAACCTCATCATCTACTTCGTTGCGGATCTTCGACGAACCGCAGCTCATTTCTTCATATTCTTCTTATTCTCGTTCACTACAACATTGGTCATGTCAAATATCTTCCGATGGATCGGAGCTGTTTCTCGTGCCATGGCTCAAGCCATGGTTCCATCTTCGATTTTCATGATGGTCCTAGTCATTTACACCGGTTTTGCCATTCCGACGCGTGATATGCATGTTTGGTTTAGATGGTTGAATTACCTCAATCCAATTGCGGTAAGTTCAAGTCTCCAAATTCTAACATACATATAATCTCTCTTGCTGATCATCTCTAGTACGCTTTCGAATCATTGATGGTCAATGAGTTCAGTGGTCGTGACTTTAACTGCACGGCTTATGTTCCAGATGGCCCAGGGTATGCAGACGCCCCTCTGAGCTCAAAGATTTGTGGCGAGAATGGCGCTGTGGCTGGTCAAACCTTTGTCAATGGGGATAACTACATCAACACAACTTACGAGTACTATAAGGAACATCTTTGGCGAAACTTCGGGATTCTTATCGGATTTTTCGTCTTTTTCTTCATCCTCTACGTTGTCTGCAGCGAGTTCATTCGAGCCAAGCCCTCAAAGGGTGAGATTCTCGTTTTTCCTCGTGGCAAGATCCCAACTTTTGCGAAGAAGATCCGCAATAATGATTCAGAAAGTGGACTGTCTGAGAAAGAAAATATTGGAGAGCCGCAACCTGAATCTGAAAATCAGACTGCCCACCTTGCAAAGCAAACTGCCATATTTCATTGGGAGAATGTCTGTTATGACATCAAGATCAAAGGAAATCCTCGTCGTATCCTTGATGGCGTAGATGGCTGGGTTAAACCGGGTACACTGACAGCTCTTATGGGAGTGACTGGTGCCGGAAAAACCTCATTGCTGGATGTGCTAGCTGATCGTGTGACTATGGGAGTGATCACTGGAGATATGCTCGTTGATGGGCGCCAGCGAGATAGTTCGTTCCAGCGCAAGACAGGTTATGTGCAACAACAGGATCTACATCTAGAGACTAGCACCGTTCGTGAAGCCCTCACTTTTAGTGCACTTCTCCGACAGCCTCACAGCATTCCCTACAAAGAGAAGATCGCATATGTTGAGGAAGTCATCAAGATGCTCGATATGGATGAATACGCAGAAGCGGTCGTTGGTGTTCTAGGCGAGGGATTGAATGTCGAACAGCGCAAGCGTTTGACCATTGGTGTGGAAATTGCTGCTAAACCCGATCTACTTCTTTTCTTTGATGAGCCTACATCTGGTCTTGATAGTCAGACGGCCTGGTCAATTTGCTCGCTGATGCGCAAACTGGCTAATCATGGGCAAGCGGTGCTCTGTACGATCCACCAGCCCTCTGCGATCCTGATGCAAGAGTTTGATCGTCTGCTATTCCTGGCTAAAGGTGGTCGCACTGTGTATTTCGGAGAACTTGGCTCAAACATGGAGACACTGATCAAATATTTCGAGGATAAAGGCTCAATCAGCTGTCCCAAGGATGCCAATCCCGCAGAATGGATGCTTGAAGTCATCGGTGCTGCGCCAGGCTCCCATGCTGACCGTGACTGGGCCGATGAGTGGGTTAATAGCCCTGAGCGTGTTGCTGTTCGTGCGGAATTGGTCCAGCTGAAGGAGAAGCTCTTACAGAAGCCTGTCAAACCTACGACCACAGGCTACGGGGAATTCGCAACGCCTATCTGGTATCAATTTCTCATCTGCATTCGCCGTATGTATCAACAGTACTTCCGAAGCCCAGGATATCTTTACTCCAAGACCGCAATGTGTGTGTTTCCAGTAGGTACTACTTTTTGCATGAATGCTTTACTACTGTTCCACCCAACATGTTCTAATTTCATACAGCCTATCTTCATCGGATTCAGTTTCTGGCGCGAACCAAATACCGAACAAGGCCTTCAAAATCAACTCTTTGCAATCTTCATGTTACTCATCATTTTCCCCAATCTGGTCCAGCAGATGATGCCCAGTTTCTGTGTGCAGCGCGCTTTGTATGAAGTGCGCGAGCGTCCTTCCAAGGCATACTCCTGGAAAGCATTCATGTTGGCCAGCATATTCACCGAGCTTCCGTGGAATATCATCATGTCTGTGCCTGTCTATTTCTCATGGTACTATCCAATTGGACTCTATCGCAACGCAGCGGCTGGCGAGGTGACAAACCGGGGTGGGACCATGTTTTTACTCATTCTGGTCTTCTTGATGTTTGCTTCGACATTTAGCTCGATGATGATTGCTGGGATTGAGCAGGCTGACACTGGTTCTAATCTTGCTCAACTTCTTTTCTCGCTTTGTTTGGTGTTTAACGGGTAGGTCATTCCCCTCTGCATAGCCTTGGAGCATTCCAGGATTCTTGGAGGAGGTTGTTCCTTTACACTGGAATCTCGATGGTTATGCATGGTCTTTTTTCAAATAAGAAAATCCATTGACTAACTTAATTATGCAGTGTCCTTGCAAGTCCTAGCCAGTTACCCCGGTTCTGGATCTTCATGTACCGCGTCTCACCATTCACCTATCTGGTCTCCGCAGTTCTCTCGGTCGGTCTATCGGGAAATGAGGCTAAATGCTCCAGCATCGAGCTGTTAACTGTGAACCCACCTGACGGACAGAATTGCTCTACCTATCTGGACACCTACACGAACAATTACGGAGCGACGCTAATGAACCCCGGTGCCATCAAGGATTGTCAGATGTGTTCCATTTCAACAACTGATCAGTTCCTCGCAGAAGTCAATGTTTACTACAGTGACCACTGGCGGAATATCGGTCTGCTCTTCGTCTACATTGTATTCAATATCTTCATGGCTATTTTCCTGTACTGGCTTGCGCGGGTCCCGAAGAACTGGTCTCGTAAGGTTAAGCAGGCATGAGCGGGGCACTGGCACATCCTTGGGCGAATTTTATGTCTACCACCTGGCCCCGGGGGCAACTTGAATGTTGGGAAGTTACCCAAAACATTTCTTTTCATACACATAATTGATCACAAATTTTACAACTCTTTTATTTCAAATTCCGATCTTGGCATAAATCCTAATTATGTTTTTAAATTTAAATGAATAGGATTATCAAAGAACTTGAAATTAGATTTCGCTTGGGGCCACTGCAACTTGAATAGGCCTCCGTTTCCGAGTCCGGACCTGACCCCGTTTACCTACGGAGCTCGCGGAGTTAGGTATGACTGATTATCACTGATATCATCATATTCAAAATGTTCACAGTTAGTTACGGCGAAGAAAAGGGGGTGAAAGATAACTAAGATCATGAACTATACAAAATAAAGAAGGTGAGAAGACGATAGTTCAATATTCCGGGTCTCGGTCTGATATCCCGCGGAAACATAGTAATTAAGGTCTCAAATGCTTCATTAGAAATTATTAGACTTGGACCCGAGCGTTTGGATTAACTAAGTTGAACTAAATTGTACTAGAATGTGTACTAAGCGGCTCATCTTCGGGGGTTTCGGGATCAAACGGACCACACATGAATAGAAGCGAAGTGACTGTGGGGGCCATTCCCAGCACTTAGGTGTTAATTTAATTTTTATTATAATTCTTTTTAGGAAAATAGTGCGCATCGGGGCTCTTTGATCTGTGTCTCTTTCTATCTGGTTAGTATCACTGATTCAGTTTGGTCATTGTTCTTCGTGCAGGTGATGGCTCCATATGGGTTTGCCTTGCTGCATATGCGGTCGATCGGTGGGAATGGTAATAGTACACCGATTCTCTGGAATGTAACCACCATTTATCATAATATTTTTATATTTTACTCGATTAAATTAGATCGGTTAATAAAATTCATTCACGGAGCTCTAAGGCTATATTCATTAGATTCTGTTACTAAAAATGTCATTTACCAGATATCTGGATCATCAGGGGACGGGTAAGGAGGCAATGTCGATCTACGGAGTAACTATCATAAAAAATGCTCCATACAGTAATTTAAAGCCACATGTGCACATGTGCATAAGCATTGCAAGACGGTGAAGGACCCGAAGTTCGGGGGAGAAGCTATAACTGAGGGGGGTGATTCTCGCTTGATATTCGCTATGTGAGAGACACGATTGGCTTCAATATCCCAAGACAGCCGTTAGGGCAAGCCAAGGCAGACTCCGGGTCGGTGGTCCTCGGTGTCCAGACCAATGATCAACACGGGGCGAGCAGATACCGAAGAAAATTGAGGATAGACAGGTCTCCATCTCGCATGGGCTACTTCATTGAGCGCGGGAGTCCGGGCGCACATTGGTCGGTGCGGATATTGGGGAAGAGCCACGGAGCCACTAAACTGACTTGGGCAGGTAGAGAATTGTTACGAGTCAGGAAGACAATTAACTTACATTACCATCGGAACAGAGAGGCATTATCCAGAATTGAAAGAAAAGAAAAGAAATTGGGTCCTATAAATTTCAAGTTGGGGTCCAAGAACCAGTTCCAGTTAACCCTGAGATCTCCCGTGTGTACATACTCTACTTTAGGATTAGTGGCAATTAAGACCAGTGGAGAATAATATTTGGACTTTTGGGATTTTGGGATTTTGGGATTTTTCATGACTCTTATAACCAATTATGAGTCTTGGAAATGGTGGAGTGATGTATTTTTTTTACTCCCAGCTGTTGTTCCAGGTTGTATTTTCTATGAAGTTTTCTATCTAGGGAGGAGTATAATTTCCAAATTTCATCATATAGTACATCCTGAACTCTGTATCCATGAATTTAATGTAGATCTAGATGCTTTTCTGTATATTGCTAACGTGAAATAAAACTCTAGTATGTAAATTCAATCAATTTACCCGTGGATTCCGTACAGGATGTCTCAATACTAGTACACTCGATACATGCAGATCACCCAGATATAATCATTGCCCAGGTGAACTGCATTCTTCAATGCGCCGCCAAAGTGAGTTCAGCTTGAAGCACATAGTTCCGTCATTATACAGAGACTTGTAACGAGGACCTGCAAATTCACAGCCCCTAACGCTCTAGTTTCAACTATTCCCAGTTCAGTCCCCGCGGGCTAAGTCTTTGGAGACCCACGTCCTCCAAAGTTGGAACTTTCTTGAGGCTCAGTCCCGGCCCCACAGATCCGCTACACTGGTCTGCTCTTTTTTATGGGTCGTTAGAAATGGGTTAAGAGCAGTCATCTACTGATGCAACGCACTGGGCCCGACATTGTGGTTCTGGATGGAGCTCGTCACCGAGAACCTGCAGCCTATTATTTATACCGGGGGCATCCTTCATCACAATTTTTTCATTTCTATTATTTCCCTTTTACATTTTTCTTCAATCAAAATATTCAAAATTACCTTCCACATTCACCTAAACAAGAAAGTTAGACCAACTTGAACTCGGTGATGATGGATTCCTACTCTTTCACAGATATCCACCACATGGTTCCCATGCCAGTGTCTGGCATGGCCAGCCAAATATACGACGCTTATGATCCCTCTTTACCTTCCGATAATCCTTTTCTCACCCGAATTTCGCAATTCCAATTTCATTCATCTCCGATGGAGCAGAGTAACTTGAAACCCCGCGAGTTCATCCCTCAACAACATTGGTGGAAAGCCGAGGAACAGTCCGTGGGCATGGGATATTACAATCCTGAGTTCTCAACATACACAAATCAAGTTTCTCCATGGCACAGTGGAATCTCTACACAGGCAACTTCCGCTTCTCAAAGTCCACGAAGTAGCAATAGCGGCAGTATCCCAGGAATAAATTGCTACCCCCAAGATGATACTGCTATTACTACCGTCGACGAATCAACCGGTTATCCAGCTCCTGATGGAGTTGTTGAAATTGATCACTCTATGATGATGCCCAAGACTCACGTATTCGATATTCCTCTCAACCACCGTTCATCCTTTGATACAGAATTCGACCCTTGGTCCGATACATGCAGCCATTCAGATCGCAATGTGACCCCAGAGCAACAATGGTCTTCTCCTCTTCCTCCAGATTCTATGGGATTCCCACAACAAATTCGTCGCTCAAAAAGTCGTCCCGCTGGTACGGGTAGCACATCTGCCCCAAGCGGAGTCCGCAAATCTACTACAGAACGTCGCACAACTTCTGTACCGGGTCGTAATCGTCGTCGTCGCGCCGCAACCAGCACAAGCGGCACAGGAAGTTCTCCTCGAACATTCGTCTGCAGTTTCTCACGCTACGGATGTGAAAGTACATTTGTTTCTAAGAACGAATGGAAACGCCATATTACATCTCAACACCTACAGCTGGGATTCTACCGTTGTGATGTGGGGAAATGCAGCATGAACACACATACTTCTTCCTGTTCCTCTACACATTCTCCTTTCTCTCAATCACATACCCCATCTCCTGCTCCTGGTCAACCGAACGATTTCAACCGAAAAGATCTCTTCACACAACATCAGCGCCGTATGCATGCGCCTTGGTTACAATCTGGACGCAGGCGATCCCCGACAGATGCGGAACATGCCGCCTTCGAGGCTAGTCTCGAGGAAGTACGTCAGCGGTGCTGGGTTGGACTCCGGACTCAGCCGCTGCAGAGCCACTGTGTGTTCTGTAATGAAACGTTTACCGGTGACGGAAGTTGGGACGTGCGCATGGAACATATCGGTCGCCACTTCGAGAGAGATGACCGACAATCCCTGGGAGAAGAGAGTGAGGATCTTTCATTGAAAGGGTGGGGCCTCAATGAGGGTATTCTTGTTTCTGTCGATGGCAAATGCTTATTGTCGTCACACGTGGCGGTTGGAGTCTGATCCCCATTGAAGGTGGAGATGATTGTCTCAGATTGAGTCATGCATCTCTGGTTATAGCATGGCATTGGTGTTTTTACTCGAGGGCTGTCCACAGGGCTGGACTTTGCTTCTACTGTGTTTGGAAATTTGTCAATATTCGTTCGGTGTTGGGGTTTCACGGCTTAACGCATCCATTATTCCAAGACTTTGTTTTATATATTGGATGATGGTTTCTTTTGTTGATACATTTCTATCGTGTCATTTACTCTATATTGAGAATGGTGTCTGGACATCATTACTACTTGGTACTAGTAGACCAATCAATACTATAAAAAGATAAGACTCACTATCTACGGCCATCTCCATATTTCTATATTTCCAGCGTTGTAAGCATGGTTACAGTTCGGTTGATCGGCCGAATACCTCCGGGTTTCAGATTCAGCTCATGCATTCAATGTTGACTGTAAACAGGATTTTGTCCAATTTGACAAGACCAACTAGTTCAATATGTTCCGCTATCCCGGTACCTCAGCTGCACATGGATGTGCAGAGTCTGGTGTCAATGTTAATCTAAGTAGTAAGATGACATATTCGTACTAGTATGGCAGGTCAGTCGAGTTAGTAGAATTAATAATAAACTTGAATTAGTACTAGTATGGGACAGAACAGAACAGATTTAGGCAGCAACCATCAATTTTAAGATCATATGAACCTTGGAACCACAATCAGATCTAGATCGCCTATAGAACTTCCCAATCGGGTAAATACTCGAAGACCGGAAAAGAGTATAGTAGGGACTAGAAGCCCTGGAGGAAGTTGGGGCTCCAGTCTGCACATGTATAGGATGAGCAAGGTACAGAATATCCCACATTACGGAGTAGATCGACCTGAATGAACTCCTTTCCAGAATCCTTCGTTTCAAACAAGGGCTGTTGTACTACTAGTACGATGGTACGAATTACGGCTTCAGAGTAGGCCCCGGGGGTATTGGGGCTGTAGATTCCCATGTGTGAGCTGTTAATTCAATGTTTTGGCCCCAAGGCCCTAATGCACGTTTTAATATACTACCTTGCTACCACGTTTTATGACCGGGGTGACTCCAACGTCGTCGGAGGGTCATTATGATGGCAAGGCTGTGAGCTAATCGTTCCATTCAATCCATTCGATGCCATTCCCACAATCTTATTCTGAGCCTTACATAGGTCCGTGTTCCTTCAAGGCGCTTTGTTACGGTAACCCCCGGGGCCCTTGTCCAGATGTCGACTTTTTTGAAGAAAAAAAAAATAATAATTGTATTTTTATTTATCACTCATCGTATGAGTCTAACTGGTTTTGGAGCGTTGAATACTGTCTTTCATTGGTCTGCTCGGGTTCTTGACGGAGTCTAAGCAACGGCTTCGTCTCGCATCCGACTCGTCGGCTCGTCAAGATGGGTCCTCGCCCCGCTTAATTTTCAATTTCATTCCTCTTTATCCCTTTTCTCTATCTTTCGTCCGGCTGTTCCGGCCCGATCGACGAAAATTACATAGTGGGGAGCGATTACGGAGTATTTGTCCTACGCGATCTAAATCAGGGCGTTTCCTAACCATGGATCCATGGACATAGCTTAGGTTACGGCGTAGAACTGTGGAGAACGGACAATCCACGGATTCACCGTTCAGAATTCAGAATTCCAAATCCTTGTGCCGTGGCATTCCTTCTCATCGGTCGATCTCGTCGATCAGGGGGATTGGGGTTAAGGCGTTTCTTACATTTCTTAGTGTCAGCTGTCATTGTAGGACACCTGGAAGATCGCTCGTGTTCCCCGAGGCTCATTCGCTTGAGGATTAACTTGGCATGCACCTCGCTACATGGCTACACATTTAGTTTAGTTCTTATGTATTGATTTGTGCATAAACTTTCAGTGGAGACGCCACGTATCTGCTCTGCCATGCGGTATAGGGTATACAGGGATCGGCATCCTGCCGGTCTTCAGCTCGGAGAATCTCTTGATATTCCAATCTTGGAATAAAGTGCGAATAGGGGGAATTGCCCTTAATTAATCAACGTGATGACCCTGATAGTTTGTATACTATGTCAGCATTGATATCTAGATGGTCAACTGGTCCTGGAGATGACAGAGAACAAAGTAACTTGAACCTTTTTAAACACTTTCAAGTTGTGAACATGCAACTGCCAGTGGGCACTCATGGTCTACCAGTGCACTACTCGAAGCCATAAAAGAGGTCTCATTCATCTTAAAATATGATTACTAATTTCAGTACTCACAAGTGAAACTTGATGCACAGTGCCGCTGTCAACGGTATCTGATCTAAAACCACAGATAATGGATTGATCTTTCTCAAAAAAGCCGCTAGCATTTCGGCAGGAAGTATCCGACTTTATTTCCTTTTGATGTCATTCGATTCTTCAGTCTTTTCCGTTAAAACAAGCTCATCTGGTCCGTGGTGAGACTCCACAGCAGGTCGTCGACAAAAGAAGCAATCTTGACGACAAGGCTGGCCCGTCGCGGCGCCGCAGCGGAATTAACCGCCAGATTGGCTTAAGGTTGCTTTCCATGCTATTCATTGGCGCAGGCTCTCCAGAAATAATCACTTTCGATTAACGCGTGTCTCATTTTGTGGGAACAATGGAGTTGACAGGTGGACTTCGGGACGCCTGTGATTCCCGAGCTCATCGGCTTTGAGGTTATTTGAACCTGAACCCTTCATATGTAGTCCGTGAGCCTTGACGCTTCAGAGCTGACTACACGCACATCAGAGCATTCCCGAACTCACCCAATGATAATTCTCATTCATTCATTCAATTGATACCAAGGTATGGATTGATTGCACCACTAATTATAAATTAGAACCTCTCCGAGTCTGTGCTATGCTACCGAAATTGATACCGTGCAGGCGCATAGCAATAAGCTGAGGCATGGTTGGGCAATCACCTATCAACATCCCCATTCTCAAAGATCCTAAGCTCTATGTAAGATGCGTTATTGAATACTCAACAAAAGTGATATGGCCTACTACCCGAAAAATATGGCAGTCAGCACGTCCACTGCCAGCATAAGTTGTTTGCCTGAATCATCAGCCTGCAATATCGAATAACTATGTCATTCCGAGGTGATCATCTCAATTGAGAGAGAGCCTGGAACTTGTTTCTCGTTATGATTGATGCGATAAAGCATCTAGACTGACCAATACAGCAGCAATGCCACTATCAATGATCCATATGGTACGACAACTAGCTCAATAGCGTGCTCAGATCTCCCATTCTTTCCTCCACACGGAATACTCCGTACTCTTTTCGGCTTCGACTTCAGTCATCTGACCCAACCATCCACTTCGCTGGGATTCCTCGGAGTAAGGACGTCGGTTGAAAAGGCTTAGTTCATGCGACATTATCTGATGAGAATTTGCCGGCGATATTCAATTTGTCGGTCTTTATTGAACTGCCGGTCTCAAGTTCCTAATTAGGTTTCAAACCCCGAAGCTCGGTCATATTATGCAATAAACGGCACATTCCAAGGTTATATTCGAGGATCTACCGATATAGATCACGTACTTGGCATAATGAAGCCGGCATTCAGGGTCCATAGGGCTCGTTATTGGGTGTAAATCTTCACCCGACCCTCCACCGTTCAGCATCCAGCCATAGATATCAATGTGTGCAGCCGGAGACCCCGTCGGAGTGTACAATGCTCGGAGAAGAGGGTCTCCAGGGTTCCCGCCGACCCACAAGTTAACGAATAGCATACGTAGCCAACCTGAATTACTCAAGCTGTTGCCTGTGGCGGTGTTGATATAAAAGGAGGGACGTAGACGGTTTCCAAAGGTCTTTTCTCCCTTTATCATGTTTTCTATCCATCCCTTTATCATGTTTTCTATCCAGCCTCGTTACCTCCTCATTCTCTCTACTCTCTCTTTGATCCCTCTATCTATCTATCTTCAATCCACTTCCCCATTTCAGCGCCTCAAAACTAAATTGATCAGTATGGCCGACAACGGTTTGCAAGCAGTCTTCGCCAAGCGCGCTGAGGAGCTGCGCGAGTATATCTTCTCTCAGCCTGCTAGCAACTTCGAGAATAACCCATGGGCTTTGGCGGATGCCATTGAGACATTCGCAAATGAAAAGGGCCACATGATGATTTTCCGTGCTACGAAGTTGGCTGTTGCTAAGGAGGCGCTTGTTGCTCAACAGCCTGCTCCTCGCACTATTCTGGAATTCGGCACATTTGTCGGCAAGTCTGCCCTGGCTTGGGGTGCTATGCTCCGTGATATTCACGGCGAGAATGTTCCTGAGGATGTCAATGTGTACACCTTTGATCCCAACCCACAAATGGTGGCCTTGACACGCGACTTTGTCAAGTTGTCAGGTCTGGAGGGTGTTGTGCATGTTATCGAGGGACCGGGATCTGAGTCCGTGAAGAAGCTTGTTGAGGAAGGCAAGGTCACCAGTGTTGACATGGCATTCTTTGATCACTGGGAGAAGTTTTACCTCTCTGATCTCCAGTTGATTGAGGAACTCAAGTTGTGGCGTGAGGGATCTCTGGCTATCGCCGATAACACTGATATGCCTGGTGCTCCAGACTACCTGGCGTATGTCCGGGCTGGTGGCAGTGGGGTGGCTGGAGCCGTGAAATATGAGACCAAGACTATGAAGACTGTTAACACACGAGGCCCGGTAAGCTTCCAGCATGGGAATGTTTGAGCCTTTTATTTGACAATAGCTAATGTTTGGATTTACAGAGCGTTGTGGAAATTAGCACGGTGCTGGCCACCAAGTAGATTTTTCCAGCAGCAGATTATTTGCTTCCAAGATTGACGATCAATTGATCATATCTCTCTATTTCCTCCGATACCCCGCTACCTGATAAATGTACTATCTCTCCGAGTCCCTGGGCATGGGAGAGTTGAAATGTTTACCTTCAGGCTGGATCCCAGTATCTCAATGACCATTTCCATTATTATTTTATCAACAGCAACTTGAATATTACGATTCTAGATAAGCATGAGACCAGTGAATGAATCTCAATTCATTATTTGAATCTCAGATAAATATTGCTAATTCCCTGTGGTACGTGGAGTAGTATATAGGTGCTGACCAGTAGCCCATTTATAATGTAGACAAGCTCATGGAATGACCGCCTTCTATTGACTGCAGGAAGGGGTGACCCACTTTTAGTAAGGGACAACCCGCACAGAATAAATGGCCCCTGACCTCGAGTCTCCCCGCCTTACCCAGCTCCGAGGTCCTGCATAACATTTAATATTGAATACCATGTCGATCTAAATTCTTTCAATCACACCGGTGGAGGAGTCCTTGACCTCTCGTTTATAAACCGAACGCCTAATACTGTATAGAATCCACTGGCAACCTCGACAAAGAATGCTAGAGGTGCAGTAGCCCCTGATCTTTCTCCGACTACGTCCGCTTAACAGTCCGGCTTTCTACACCAACTCATCACCATGTGCGTTTTCACAAAGTTATGGGCCAGGAGAGCTTTCTATCTCCTGACTGCGAACCTGGAAAACTAATGAAATCTCTAGGGCCGTCTTCTCCCTCATAATCATTAACAAGGCCGGTGGTCTAATCTACCAACGTGAATTCCAAGCCGGCCTGCGCAAGCTCTCCACAAACGACTACCTGGTCCTCGCCGGTACCTTCCATGGGTAAATCATCTTATCACCAATCCTTTCCTCCAGCGCGACCGTACTAGACCACTGAAATTTCAATGCGAGAAACAAGGACTAATTGAGCTCTCGAACACAGTGTTCACGCCATCACGCGCTCCATCACCCCGAAACTCCCCCTCCAAAATACCGCTTCTCTCGTCGCCTCATCGCCCGGTACAAGCGCCCCTACTACATCAGGATTCTCCTATCCCAACCCTGGCGTCCCTGTATCCGGCCTTGAGTACCTCGAGACAGACAAGTTTCGATTGACCTGTTTCCAGACGTTGACAGGGACCAAGTTCTTGCTCTTCACAGACCCCATGACTGGGACCGTTGAAACAATTGTGAATAAGATTTATGAGCTCTATGCCGACTATGTGATGAAGAACCCGTTCTACCAGCTTGAAATGCCGATTCGTTGTGAGGCTTTTGATCGTCATCTTGGAGCTTGGTTGAGGGGGCGGACATAGCCTTGACAATACTTGTGAGGATGGCTTCCGTTGAGCTTGAATGATGTATACACATGTGCAGGGTTATGCGGAACTGAAATTGGATTATGACCTTATGACTAGACATTACTTCTCAACAAATATTGTTTTTTATTTGCAATGTTGCTTTTGTGGCTGTAGATTCCATGGACTCGGGAACTGGCAGGTTTACATTACTGAAGCTCTATGTAAAATGCTGGGTACTAACCGCAAGAATATTGCCCTCGTTCCTGGTAAGAGTTGGCACTTGATCGCCATCTAGCGTGGGAAGCATCGAGTATACAGTAATACATGAACACAATCAAAAACACAAGTAGTAAAACGCCGGGTATGCATCACAGATCGTTTCCACCAGAAGAAATTCGGCAAATCTAAGCAGTATCCATCTTGTCATCATCCTTCTTGTCACCGCTAGACTCGCCCTGTCCTTCCTCGGGAATTCCACTCAGCTCCGTCTTACCCTCCTGTGCCTCACGATCACGCTTCTCCTTCTCCTGTCGGGTCTTCTCCTCCTCAAGGGATAACCGCAGGGCAAATGCCAACTCGGGATCATTCTCCGCCGCATCCTCGAAGTTGAAACCACCGGCATCACCACCGTCACCGCCAGATGCAGCAGCACCGCCACCACCGCTGGCACCCTCACCAGCCAAGATTGGGGTGGTTTGGAGCTCCTCGCTCAGAAGGTGGGGACCCGGTGGGATAATAGCCAGGAAGGAGCTATCACTGCTATTCACGTTGTCGACAAAGGACTCCAGCTTCTTAGTTTGGTCGGACTCCAGATCACCGAATGCCACCACATCGATCGAGACGTTGTTCTTCTTCATTTTCTTGGCGAGCTTGATGAGGGACTTTTCATCTTCTGCGATGGGCGAGCAAGAGAATACGATGATACGTTGTCGTTGCGATTTCTCCATTCGGTGCTTCAAGGCTAGCTGTATTGATAATCTGGGTTAGTGATTAACTTGGTCATCACCACTGATGAGGCTGTACGTACTGCTGCAACCTGGATACTCGAGCTAAGATGCGATGTGCCGTGAATCTTGGTCCGATGCAGACCGGCAAGGATGCTGCCAAATTCCGAGGTAAATGTTGATAGCACCTCGGGGCCCTTGCCGCCCATGCTCATCAGACCAACTGCGGACTGCGGGTGTACGCGCATCTTGACACTGTGAATAATGCTAACAGCATCTACTTGAGCTTGCCAACGAGTTGATCTGAGTCCATTAGACTATATGAAATGAATGGAAAGGATCAAGGAAGCTCACGTGTAGTCTCCATTGCGACTGCTTTCGCTGTTGTCGACACTGCGGGAGAGGTCAGCACTTTGATTAACTTATGGATTCGGAGACAATGACGAACATGATCATAGTAGCTTCGAGAGACATTATGGCGAGGATATTTAGGAAGCTATTAGATAGGGGATGTGGAGGATGGTGGATTAGATAAAAGAGTTGATCGTTGGAGAACGGGGCTTAAAGACGCTGATGACGATGGAGTTAGAGCTTCGGTTCTGCCGGATTTGTCCGCCCGCATCTTGTTTGTTGTGACTCCGCGCTCCACAATGCCCTCTCTACACTTACAATCTTCAATTCTTCGATTCAGACTAACCACCACAATCATGACTACTTTAAAGCGAAAGTCTCCCGAGTTTCTGGCTGCATCTGATGCTACACCTACAGGTAGACCAGCTAAGAAGCTTCGTCTGACCCAGAGCCAGAAGCAAGCATTGATCGATAACCTGCAACTTGAAAGTACGTGGGATATACAGTTTTAAATTTAAGAATGAGAGTTAATATGCAATACAGTAACTGAGAGAGCTCGCAAGCTTCGGGCGCAGTACTCTCTACAGCAACATGACCTTCGATCCCGACTTGAACGACGCGTCAACCGCATCCCAAGATCGCTCCGCAAAGCGAATATGGGCGAGCTCTTCGAAAAGCACCAGGCAGCCTTAGCTCAAGCCACTTCACCCACACGAAAATTCTCACCTACGAAGATTCAACGGACCGTTCCCACAATTGGATCTATCGACCAGGCTCTTTCTCCAGCTGGGACTCGTACCCGACGACCAAGGTAAGAGCCCCGCCCTGTGCATTCAATTGAACCACTTCCAGACTAACACGTTGCACAGCCATGATAACCTCTACTCCGACAAAGAAAATGGTGGACCGGAAGGACTCAACAATCCTAAGCGCCGCGGTAAGGCCGCTGCTGCGGGTGGTGCATCGCGCGTCGTTTCACAAGAAGTGCGAGGTCACGACCACCGCATTCTCTCTCCCAAATCTCTCAACTCCCGCACATATCCCCAATCGCCTTTCCGCGCATCACCAGAAAAGGGTCAACCGGCTTATCTTTCACGCCCTACTTCCCCGCTCAAGCCATCTAGTCCCTTGCGTGCTGCAGGCCCAGCAGGCATCACCCGACCCCGTGGCGCCACCACATCTACTGTCAGGGATCCATGGCAACAACCCGCACCAGCAAAGAAAACAGGTCGGGCAGCAACGGGACCAAAGACCACGACACGGTCTCCTCTCCCTCGTCCTGCGACTCGCCAGGGCGAGCGCAAGAATAGCTTCTCTTCTAACGCGTCTTCCGGTACTACTATAACCAAGACTACGCGTACCGGTACCGCTGGTCGCAAAGCTACTGCTTCATCCACGGCGAAGAAACCAGTGGGTGCGCCTCGTACGCAGACTGCTTCTTTGGCTGTGAAGAAGACGGCTAGTACGGCGGCTATGAGGAAGACTACCGCACCAGCTTCTTCGAATGAGGCTACGACGCGGGGAACTCGGGCGCTGCGAAAGCGTGTATAAAATTGTCGTTTTAAGATTCTATCGATGTTGATTGGTCTGAGATTTGTTGTGGTGCTTTTCATCCCTTGCGTGGTGATGAACATACGTCTTTCAGCGTGGAGTAATGTTCCTTTTGCAGGCATTGTGTCAAGTTGGGAGGCCATTTTTGCTCTCCTGCTTTTTTATCCATGGTTTTATTTGTTGAACGGTGTTCTAATGAGGGACTGGTATGGGGTTATATGTTTTGTTTTATCATTTTTCTACGGGAGTTTGGCCAAGCGGTTTGCCTAGGTATCTCATTAATCGCTGAATTCATCTATTGGTACCCTCCAGGGCTATTTGAATATGAACTTGAAGTGTAGTCGCCTTAAATAATTTATCTTAATGCCAAATATTCCTTCTCGCTTGTGGAAAATGAAGTCCTTAGGTACAAGTACTGATGGTACTTTACACCACTACTAGGGATGTTCTCTATTTCCCTGAGTGTTGGCAAATGACTTGGAAGAAAAAGAAGTGGCATTTGGTAAGAATAGGACTTGGAGAGTCAGGCTGTGGGTGCTACATAGGAGTGTTAGCAATACTTAGAGCTAATAAGGACTCAAATAATGTACGGAGACTCTGGAAGATGAAGTTCAGCGTTGCTTAGAGAAAGCTAAATTGAGGCTAGCACTGGTATCATGGCAATCATGCTGGTTGAAATGACCAACAATCGACAGAAGAAGAGAAACAAGAGAAGGCAGCACAATAAAAACAGAGGTCTTTGGCCTTATAGGCTGGATCCTACAACGAAGGACCCAGAATGGCAGAGTAGGCAGGACACGACGCGGGGAAAACAGACCAAGGTAGCTGGAGCCCTGGTCTAGGAAGCAAGAAACACGAAATAAGTAGGCTTTCAATCATGGTCAGATTTAAATGAACGAGGGACAAACAGGAGTCCAGCGAAGTAGGTATGGTATGGTATGGGTATGACTGATCCCCAGAATCAGATGCAAGCAAAGGCAGAAAAAGAAAACACGACAGAAAGAAATGGGTTGAGAAGCGAAATCCTGGTTTAATCAATTCAAAGATGGAATGGCAAAGCCACAGACACCAACCCATCGAAACCAATCAGCTCGCTGATGACTTTTGAAGGAATTTTGGATGTATGAAGGAGGTAGTAGGAAAAAGAGAAAGAGATGGAATGAAGAGGAATGAAGAGGAAGAAAAAAAAACTCCGTCAACCAAGCCCGTCAGTCGAGATGAAAGGAGGCAAGACAAAACAACGCTAAAACAAGCCCCCGTGAGCTAGAAAGAAAATAGGCGTGTGGGTAAAAAGGCGAAGAGAAGAAAGTACACCGTGGGCAAGAAGGTATTGGGGGGGCGACAGGTTGGTTGATGCAAATCAAGGTCATCATCGATGAAGGGTGTATTAGCTGTGCATGAGAAGAGAAGAGAAACTAAAGACGGAACAACAAAGGAGCCCGGAGTCTATCCTGTAACGCCCATGGCACCTGCGCTAGGACGCGGCCGGTACGGAGGATTTTGAGACGTTCCATCGGGGTTTTGTTGGCTGCTGTTACTAGCACTGCGTTCGCGCTGGTAGCTCGGCTCTGGCGGACCAAAGTCTAGACCGGCTTGGGGAGCAGCACTGGAGGAGTGGGCGTGACCGCTCGGTCCAGGCACATGGCGAACAGAGCTTTGCATCTGCCAAGCTGTATCTTGAGACGGGTCGGTCTCGATGCGAGCCGAGGTCGGAGTGTTGTGTCGGTTAGAATTAGTGATGGTAAAGGTCTCGCCGCCATTATCTGGTCGGGTTGAGAAGCTTCCACGGGCGATGTCTCCATATCGCTTAAGAATCTCCTTGGTTGTCACTTCAGCATTTTCTTTGAAAAGAGTGGGATCGCTGAGAATGGATTGTAGATCCTCAGGAATCTGGCGGGAAAGAAGACAATTAGAATTTTCGAGCGGTGACGCATCCAATTGAAAAGGAAATACTTACCTCGCACATATTATCGTTATACGTTATGAGGGCATTGACCGCTTCGATGGCCATAAAACTCTCATCCACAGTGCTGTTCTTGGTGTTGGGGTAAAGAATATTCGGTGTGATCACTGTGGCAAGGTTGTGGATGTCCATCTTGCTTCCGGAATCTTCATCTACATGCGAAAAGGATGATGTCCAGTTGAGGAAGGAGAAGAGCACTTCCAAGGTATCGCGGTGAGCCTTGGGAAGAAGACAGCACGTGAGATGAAGCACTCGTTTCTGCGTCTCGGGGTCGGGCAGTTCTACAGCCGGGGTTAGTATCCTGTATAATAGAGGTGGGATACAAATTAAACTTACTCTGCGCAGCAACGAAAAGACGGTGTAGCTTGAAGGTCATCAATGGATCCGGCATCTCACGAAGGAATTTCTTCAAAAGCGCTGCAATTTGGACGGGGTTCTCCTTTGTCATGTCAACCTGGTCATACTTCTTGTCAATAAGCTCAGCGAGATCCTTGAGGCGTCGAATGTTGCCGTTCTTTCGGAAAACACCTTCGACGGACATGTCCATTTGACGCATGGCAGATACGGCATCATCCACAAGTGTTGGGATACGCAAAGCGCCAGGGCCAACACCATGGCTAGATTCAGTTCCCTCCTTTTCGACTAAATAGTCTAGAGAAACACCAAAGATACCCTTCTTCTTCCCAGCCTTCTTGTTATCCTTGAAAGCACGCCCGAAGATGTTCCACACGGTCGGTTTCCGAGACTCAATAAGAGACAACAGCTCTTCCATATTGAATTCACCATCAAGCAGAGGTTCCATGGATAGGACGGCAACATGACGGACGATAAAGTATTCCAGGGCCGTAAGCTCCGAAAAGTATCGCTTTGTACGTGTGGCAGGCTCCAGAATCATATCTAATCTGCCATGTGAGATATCACGCTGATGACCGGGCTTGTAAACAGGCATAGGGTCCTGTGGCAAGACGAGTTTTGAGCCAGCATGTCTGTAAGCGTTTGGTCGTTGCTCCTTGGCTTGCTCGGCGGCCACAATACGGGGGATATCATCCAAGGTGAGCGCATCCTGGGCTCCGAATGTCAAATCCTTCACAGTCTCGCCGTTGGCATCCCTTTCTTCCACAATTTGGAAGCCAGGACCTCGTGGATCAGTACCGTCGTTGCCTGATGATCCTGGACGAGCACTTCTACCCTCCGGACCGTCGATAATTCGGGACGCGCGTGCCTTCTTGTAGGTTGTGGATAAAGTTCGCTCGTTACGAATCGACCGAAGTCGGCGCATCTCACCCACAGTCTGTTCCAACGATGACTCGGCAAACCCATCGCGGCCGCCTGCGCTGTATGACATGGAACGGGTGTTGGACCGACGAGGCTCGCTACCCTGGGGTCGATGGCCCTCCTTGTTTTGATAATCAGTGAGATTGGGGTCATCTGAAGTGTGAGGTAGTGTGCCTCCCGCTCGAAGGACCTCGAGCAGTCTGGCTAGGGCAACTCTTAATAGGAACACGAATTGCTGAAGCTTGGTCACCTGAACAAAGCCACCTCGGGCCTCCGATGCCACGTTATGCTGATCAGCGCAGGCGGAGCAATATATGCTCTTTTCATTCTCGCTCCAGAGTGCATCGGGAAGATCAGAGCTCAAATCCTTTTCACAAGAAGAGCATGACAGATGAGGTGGCTTAAGATGCCATCTCTTGTCACCCAGCAGAAGACACTCATCGTCGATAGGTTCCTTGCATTGGATACAGCAATCCGACAATTGATCTGCGAGGCCTTCCACTCCAGCATTCAGGTCAACGGGGCCTTCGTCATCCTCTGGGGGTGTAAGGGCTTCTGCTTGCGCAAGATGTCCTAAGAACTCATGCAAGCCGGTTGGGGCTGATTTCTCCCGTTCCAGCTTTAAGGCACCCTGAAGACCAATACGGATGAGAAGCTTAAGATAGTGGGCTAGACCAGTCACCAGTGAGAGCAGCTCCTGTGTGACACCTAATTTGCGGACCCCAGTTTCTTGAGTCTTTGACAAAAGAGCGAAGAATGCCACGATCTTTTTGCAGAGTAGCTTGGCTTCCCGACCAAACGAGAGTTCCTTTACTCCCTCGGACTTGATGAAGGCAGCCAACTCATCGACTGCGGTAAAAAGTACCTCAACATGTGCGATGAATCTCTTGGCCACAAGCACACCATCAATATACACGCCATTGCTGACGTGCAGAAGCATATCTGAGATACAAGCCGCCGAGGATTCCTCAAATGTTGACAGCGTACTCCAGATATTGTAAACTTTCTCCTCCATTGTATCCTCCTCTTGGCGAATACGTTCGCGCTCTTCTGCACTGACATCTTCGTCGAATGGAGGTGTTTCCCAAGCCGCACCGGCGGGGGACAATCGCACATTCCAAAATTTGTGAATCATGTAACACTCCGGGTGCCAATGTTGGTTTTGACCATTGCGGAAAATCTCCACGAACTGCTTGAGAATCGCGGTATGACATCCATGACACCTTTGCGCAAATTGGGTCGAATAGTGAAAGTGGCAGTAGACTTTGCCTTCATGCTCGTAATAAGAGTCCTGTGCGCCGAATACGGTCGGACATACTGAGCAAGTAAAATGTTCAATGTGGTATTTGCGATCCAGGGCGGTGATGTAGGAGCCACGCAGAGCGCCACCGCAGTCATGGCAGAGCAAGTTGAGTCGTCGGAAGTAATCAGTCTCGCAGAGGGGGAATTGGACGCTCCGGTCTTCTGAGTCAACGGGGAAGAATTTGGAAGCGACGATCTCACCACAATCCTGAGAGAACAAAGGATTAGCATGAGACAAACACCCAGCCACACTTCACTGTCAGGGGGAGGCTGCGCTTCATGGTCCAACTTACTTGACACTTGAAACATTCCAGATGGAATGTACCACCTAGCGCTCGAACAAATTGACCAGTCAATGGTTCATTGCACTTCTGGCAGATACGAGATGAGCCCGGTGACTTGTTGTGGGATCTTCCATTGGTTCGAGATCGGTCCCGAGCATTTGAGCGCTCTCGATACCCAGGTTGCTCAGGTTCCAGTCCTCGACTGGACCTATCCTCCTGGCTCAGTGGACTATGATTTCCGCCTGTGCGCGTAGTAGGGGAGTCAAATGGTATCAAACTGTCTTCGGGGGAGGTAGGTGTGTTTTTGGAATAGCTGCCTCCATAACCAGCAGTATTCAGTGTTGGAGTGGGCTTGCCTGCGACCAGGCTGGCCGGAAGTTCACCAGGGGGCATGATGGTCCCCCGTTAGAAAGTCAACGAGATCGAATTGTTGGCACGGAAACACGGCGAACGCATGCAAGGGAACTAAAGGAGTGACAGCGGGGTGGGTTCTTTATTGTTGTGTTGGGGTAAACACAACGAGAAGAAGGCAATGCGGGGATGATTGCAAAAGAATGGTCGCGTTCTATCCAAACCCCTCCAAAAAGGTCACGTTAGAATCAAAGGTTGATCTGGGCCAGTATAGGTATGGGACGGGATCAAGTCTGGACAGATGAATTCATTACTCACTTCTCACGCCATGTAGTTCAGCCACGCGGGGTTGACAATCGGTGAAAGCAGGAAGCTGGTGGACACAGAAACTCCAGTCCCCTCAAGAGATGAGCAGTCAATATACACAAGACTGATCTTTGAGAGGTTGTGGCTTTCACGCGCAGGTAGTTGGGGATTCGAGGGTCAAGACGCGGGGAGGGGGGATTCACAACTGGGGAGCTTTGCGGCGCAGTTGATTCACAAGGGGCTCTAGAAAGGCGGCTAAGGAATAATGTAAAGCAGCCACTGGCAATAAACTCCAGATGAAAACTAGGAACTCCAGACCAAAAATGGAGGTGAGAAGGTGGCAGGGTTAAAGAAGTGGGCTGGGGGGGGCTGAGGAATGGAGATGGAGAAGGTAATTGGACTTCGTAGTGGTGCCCCCCCTAATTGAATATTGCCTATACGAGACTGGTCCCTGAGGTCACGTGGTACACCGCCTATCTAACCTTTTTATGTACACAAGGAGGAAACTGTCGCATAATATATGAGTTTTCTGATTCAAAAAATTTTTAAAATTTCTAAAAAATTAATGCAGTTCATTTTAAACTTGTTGAACCTCTCATATATTTGATATTTGTCAATATCTTATTTCGTCGGATGTGTTTTTATGATCAAAACATCTGATGTTCCCGAAGTGTCCACTCCTTGACCCATGGCCCAAGGGTTTCCCGCCGCTTTTTATAGCATCGGAGCCACCTATATACTACTGGTACATACTTTGTGTAGTACTACTAGTAGTCTAGTACTGCAACTTAAAGTAGCCTACATCATGATCCATGGACAAGTACTATCCAATTTTCGATATTCTAAATTGAATCTCACGCTTTCTTTTCATGGCGGGTATTAGTAGATTCGTCTAAAATAAGTTACATTAAGCATTCGAGCCCTAAGTGGAAAACATCCTCCTCTGTCATTATCGTGAAAACTTATAACTTTGGAATACTTTCCACCAAAGGAGTAATCACAAGATTAAATGTTACAGGGAAATCATTAAAGGCAGCACAATTCTAAATAAAGCTATTAATCGAGCTAGGAGGGAAACATTTTTAAACAAAGAGACATTGTCAGTATTTGCACTGTATAGAAACATATAAGCCTACAGCTTCAACGCCCTGCCCAGGTTGTACTAGCTTGAAGTGGTGAATTATACCACTACATAATAGTAGACAGAGTGGGGTGTCGAGGATCTTGGTCTACCTAAACTTTAACAGCTTGATTAGTCGTCGTTGTTGTTGTCGATGTCGTCGTCGCCGGGGCGCCCAAGGCAATCGAATCACACACACTCACTCACAGTCTTTCCCTCGCTTTTCATTCTCTCACTCTCCTACAATCGTTTCACCCATCTCCCTCCCTTGCTACTTATCGATTGAATCATCTTTTTTTGCTTTCTCTTCTTTCAACTTGACATCTGACACGTCCTGAATTGAAAATGGCAGACTTTGGGACCCAGCGAATCCTCCGGGTGAGATGGCACACGAGTCAAGATGTGACTTGCGATTGTCCAATTGCAAGTGGATGAAAACGAGGCACAGTCAGCTGACATCAATCTAGGAGCTTCTCGACTTTGGGGATAATGATGAACTGGGTACGCGCCGGCTCCTTGGATTTAGACTGAATTGTGTGAGCGCTAATGCAAATTCTACGCCCGAGCAGCTATGAAGATTCATTACGAGGATAACAACATCCGCAATATCAAGGCTATTCTCGTTGGAACCCCGGGCACCCCCTATGCCTATGGCTTCTACCAGGTATGTCTCTTGATGACACCGCAGAAGTGGATCCATCATAGGACATGTTACTGATCAGAAATACTTCAATAGCTAGAAATTGAAATGCCTCCTCGTATGGCGAATAAGGCATGATTTGATGTTACAAATTGACTAATTTTCTTGCAGAGTATCCTGAAGTACCTCCCAAGGTAACTCTCTGCACCACGAACTATGGGAACACCCGATTTGGCCCGAATCTCTATGCATCAGGCAAGGTTTGCTTGTATGTACACCTCCAAAGAATTCATCTCGTGCTTTATAACTAATACTAACAACATGCTCAGGTCGATTCTTGGGTATGACATCACATGAGATCACTAAAATGCTTGTAAAGAAGTCTGAATCAGTGTTTGCTAACGTTGGTGGAATTTAGCACCTGGACGGCTCATCCTGGTGAGGGCTGGTCCGCGGCTCAAGGACTTGAGTCTACTTTGATCTCGATTCAGAGCCTTTTCAGCGAAAACCCATACTTTCTGGAGCCTGGCATGGGATCCAGAAACCCCTCAGAACTTGTGATCGCACGCAAGTACGCTATGAAGGTAACATTTATCCGACTCATGCCAGTGCTCAATCGTGCCACTGGCAGTGGACTCGCACAAGTTCAAGTCACAATGATATCAGAATGTGTACTGACGAGGTTAAATACTAGGTTGCCCACGAAAACATTCGACTGACAGTGCTTGCCCCTCTGCACCATGCTATGCATGGAAATGAAAGCAACCGCCTGGGTCCTTTCGCCGAGTTCTACAAGAAGCGCTTCTTATGGTACCGGGAGAACTACATCGCCACCATCGACAAGTACCGTGAGAATGCGGAGTGCCAGGGAATCTTCCCCTTGGCATTGTTCGAATGTCATGGGAACAATGCAATGCGAGGCATCTGGGATTGGGACAGACTAAAGCGGAATCTGGGGGCCCTAGAGCACGATTTAATCACCGAAATCAACGGCTGGCCCACCGCGGGCCTAGATGCTCTCGCCAATGACTTATTTGTCGCCCACAAGCTCAAGGACAAATTTGAGAGCCTCGAGAAAGCGATGTCCGAGCGCGCTTCGGGAACTTGTGCTCTGGAGTTGGTTGATGGAAACCCGTTCGTCTGGCAGATTACCTACTTCGGCCAGTCAGAGTCCATGTTGAGTGATGGGGTTTTTAACGTCAAGATCTGCATCAGCACTGATTTCCCCCGCGTTCAACCTCGGGTGTTCGTCACGACACCCATCTTCCACGCCCGCGTCACCGGTGGCCATCAGGTGATGGCCTACTTGCCCGTGCGGTCCGACGATATGGCCGTCCACCTTGAGGGGATCCTCAATGTGCTGGAGGAGGCCTCGCCTCCTCCGTACAATCCCCTCATGGTGGTGAACACCGAGGCGGCTCGTCTGTGCTGGGAGTCTTCGGATAACCAGCGGGAGTACCGCCGTCGGGTGCGCCGCAGCGCCCAGGATAGCACCGAGTAAGTGATCATTCCTTAGTTGACATTTCTTAAAATTAATTTCATTACTGACTCTTGATTTTCAGGGCTCTGTGAGCTGGAGGTGAGGTGGCCGGGGGGGCCGGAAGTGAGGTGGGGGGAGATGTACGAGTAGCAAGTTTGAATGGCCCTAGGGGCAAATGCAATCGCGTTGTTTTTCGAGCTCCGAGCGTAGTCAACTGGTAGTATTTCTGGCCATTCCATACATACTACTAGGCTCAGTTTTACGTTGGTCACCCTGGACATGGCACCTCGGTGTTCAAGTTTCAACTTGAAGGTTGTAGTACTAGTAGTAATCGGTCGACAGCGTAAGGTCAGAGTCATAGTATGTCGATCATCCAACTTGTGAACATCGAAGTACCTAGTACTAGCAGTGGTACCCTGATTCAAGTTTCAAGTTGTGGAGCAAAATAACATTAGCAACATTTCCAAGGCTGAGCCTCAGGCTTGGAACTTCAAGTTGAAGGTTGGAACATTTGGACTAGGTAACTATACTACCTCAAGTGCTACTAGAGAGTACTAGTACTAGTTAATGTGATTCCAAGGTTGTACATACTACACCTGGGACCTCCGGGCTGGAGGTCAATACAACTATATATAACCGGCCCGGGAGTAGGGAGTAATTAGTAGCCACAGGCACTCAGGCAACTTCCAACCTTGGAAGGCGGTGACCAACAAATTGAACATTTGTCTCAGTAGATATCAATTCTTCCAATGATTGCTTATAGCTAGCTAGTAACCATCTCATAACTATGACAAGATCACCAAATAGCCAGAATGTTGCGGTCTTCAAGAAGGTTGTAGCTGGAAGAGCTGTACTCCCGGGTACTAGACACGATAACACTTATCGCGCGATCAGCTGATCCCGCCCCGTGTTCCTCCCCTTTTCACTCCACATCTTCTTAACTCCATTCTTCTCGCCAAATCGTCATCATGTCTGCAAAGGTGCGAAACTTGGAAATAGGCAATGTGTTGGTGGTCGGTGGCTGTGGTTTTCTCGGGTGGCACATTGTCGATCATCTCCTGAATTTCCCCTCCGAGACCGACCCCAGCGTCGCTCTTCCCAAGGTGACCGGAGATGCGCGCTTCGATGTCCCCACGTTGGGCTCCCGATTCCCAAACTACAAGGCCAATGTCTCGGTTGTGGATTTGCGCACCTCAAACAACCGACTTCCTGGCGCGAATTACTACGATGGCGACATTACCTCCGTTGAATCCATGCTAGAGGTCTTCCGCGCTGTCAAGCCCGACGTTGTGATCCACACTGCGACCCCCTCAGTACTTGATGGAAACAAGGCATTGCTGTACAAGGTGAATGTTGAGGGTACTAATACCCTGGTCCAGGTGGCTGGGGGTGAGCATGGTGATTGGGGTGGCAAGTGCAAGGCCTTCGTTTACACAAGCTCTAGCTCTGTGGTGCACGATACCCAGAGCGACTTGATCAACGTTGATGAGGAATGGCCTCTTATCCGGGGCAAGAGACAGAAGGAGTACTACTCCGAGACCAAGGTAAACTCAACTTCAATATTTCTCTTAATTCTGCAAGTTCAATAAGCTAATCTCACCGTTATATAGGCTGACGCCGAGGAACTCGTCCTGAAATATAACCGTCAATCCCCGACTGGAATGGTCACAACCGCAATCCGCCCCGCCGGTATCCTCGGCGAGAAAGACACAACAGTCACCCACAAGATCCTCGAGCACGGCTCCAAAGCCTCGAGCACAGTCCTGAAGATGCAGCTTGGTGACAACGATAACCTCTTCGACTTCACCTACGTCGGCAACATTGCCTACGCTCACATTCTGGCTGCACACCGTCTGCTGGCCACTTACAGCCGCTACGAATCTGGCCAGGGCGGGCCCTTGGACCACGAGCGCGTTGATGGTGAAGCGTTCAACATCACTAACGACTCTCCTATCTATTTCTGGGATGCTACACGTGCTATGTGGGCGTTGATTGATCGTGTTGTGGAGCCTACTCAGGTTTGGGCCCTGCCGGAGGGCCTACTGGGTGTTATTGGTGGTCTTGCGGAGAGCGTGATGGGTATCTTTGGTAAGACCCCGCGTTTGACACAACGGATGGTGCGGTATTCGTGTATGACACGGTACTACTCCATCGAGAAGGCCAAATACCGTCTGGCTTATTTGCCCGTGGTTCCTGTCGATGAGGGTATCACCCGTGCTGTTGGTTATGTGATCCAGAAGCAACGCGAGGAGGATGTCAAGAAGGCGTTATAAATGGAAGGGGGGCTTATTGCAAAATTATTGTCTATACTGTAATACTATGTGAGGCGACTTATCTTGAGTAATGATCAATACGTTTGAACCGCTCAAAATTCCGCTGAGCGTAATGAAGATCGCGATTGTACACCTTGAGTTTTGAGAAGAAAGAAACTGGAAATTTTGAATCTATAAAATCAAGTTCCAATGGAACTGAGTATTCGTCGTTATATGTTTGTCTAGCTAAGCCTGCAGCTGGAAACATCACGGTATAATGCATCATGTCACCATCACAAATGGAGCATTGGATATAAAACCGCATCAAAAAATTGAAACAAAACAAAAATTATAATCAATCTGCACCTACAAGGAAGAGTCATGACTCTTCTTGGTGCCAAGTCCCGAATGTTGCACCTCCACAGCGCTCACATTCTCATCCTCGATCGCCTGACCCTCATGACGAGCAATCTCCACATCAAATGCAGCCCGGCCGTTGAAGATAGTCTCCATCTCCTCAAGGGACCTGCCCCGGGTTTCCTTCACAAAGAAGAAGACCATAATAGCCATGATGATGTCAAGGCCTGCATAGAAAATGAAGGTATATGTGCCCCATGCACTAATCATATAAGGCGTGACCAGTGAGAAAAGGAAATTGAAGAGCCACTGTGATGAGACAGCAACCGAGGAACCAACCTCACGGATCCGAGATGGGAAGATCTCTGTGGTGTATGGCCATGGTAGCGGGCCCCAACTGAACTGATAGATGGAGTTGCTCAGGAAAATCATGAAGACGGTCGCGATACCAGCGCTCGTGGGGTCTCCTGCTGCGTTCGTAGATTCGGTGGTGTGGTTCACGATCACAACAATAATGAAACAGAGAGCCATTAAGATATTCGCAATCCACAGAGTCGGCTTCCGGTCCCACCTCTCAGAGAAGATGAGAATGTATGTTCCCACAGTGACGAACTTCTCGGCACCGAACAGTCCTGTAACTAACAGGTCACGACCGGCGTCGCCACCAACAATGAGCTTGAAGAACTGAGGTCCGTAGTATGCGAGTGCGGTCATTCCGGTACATTGCTGACCACAAAACATCAAGAAAGCTAGTGCGAATCGGTAGCGGTTGGCAGGCTGCAGGAGTTCTTTCTTTGTGAGACCCTCGGTTGCTTTTCGCTCCTCTTCCAGGCCAATTTCAATTTCGCGAAACTCAGCTTTGACAGCAGGGCCTAGTTTAAACAGAAGTGATATTAGCGTCAAATGTCACTGAAACCAGACATTTAATATGAGGGGGTATTTACCATCATCAGCACGCATCCAAGTCAGACTCTTCCATGCCTCTTCCATGCGTCCCTTCTTGGCCAACCAACGACAGCTCTCAGGTTGAGTGAACAGGCCGATAGCAAGAATACTCGATGGCACTAATTGCAGACCAACAGGGATCTGCCACTCCTTCGACTGACCGGCCAGTGTTTGCTCAACGGCATAGTCAATCCAGTAACTAACCATGACACCCAATGCGAACAACCACTGTACACCGGATCCCACCATACCACGAATCTCCTTAGGGGCCATCTCCGCGCTGTATGTGGGAACAACAGTGGTGGCACCACCGAGACCAACACCAGACACGACACGGCCGATATAGAAGCAGACCAGAGAGTATGACGGCACAACCTGAATAATGACACCGATACAGAAGATGAACATCGAAACCTGGATGGTCTTCTTACGACCGTAACGCTCAGAAATAGGGAAAATGGCCAGCGCTGAGAAGAACGCTCCCACGTTCTGCAAGCTAACCATTACCGAATCGACAGTTGTCTCATCAGTGTATCCAAAATCCCGCATGTACGATGGAAATGTCAGAATACCACCTGAATAATCCAATGTCAGATGTCTGATTTCATGATATCGACGCGATGATTAGGGATCTGTTTCAACTTACCAACAATACCAGTGTCATATCCAAACAAGAAACCCGCCAGACAAATGAAGAAACCAAAGAAGTATGCACGGAAAGCACCGAGATTGGTACCGTTTAACCTCCCCATGGTGAAGATGTATATGATTCAATCCGCTGAAAAGCTCAACCACAATGAAACCTGACACCACAGCAAGAAAGAAGAAAAAAAGAAGAAGACGAGGATGAAGATGAAATAGAAAAAAGGAAGGTCTTAATGGCCAAACCCTCGTGGCTTAAAGCCTAAATTATACTGTTGTTCCAATGCGGGCTGGGCGCGGATCAAACAGCACGCAAGCGTCGCCCATCGATTTCGCCATAGCACGCCATGGAGCTAGATCACCATTTTACCTATCATCTTATGTGCGGGTCCCATCGTACAGGTCTCATTGCTGCAGCTGACGCAAGTCACTAGATATTTTTTTGGATTAAATTGCGCTCATTTTGGATGAACTGATTCCTATCAGATCATTTAATTTGTAGCATGTTGTTGGCATCATGACATCCAGATCCAGATCAGATCCCGTTTTCTCCGCAATTCAACTTTTGCCCCACATATTTTTCCCTTTCCCTACGCTATGACTTCAGTCACTTCACCTGGGCATTCGGCTGGTCGGGTCGATCGCCCCGATACAATTGGAATTGTAATCCGTGGCTTTTTGTTCGTGATTTCTTGAAGCTGATTTTACATGTGCTCAAATGATGTGATATTTAGAAACGCGCGTTGTGATTTATTATGTGCTTCAACATTAGTGGTTTGGGTTGCCCCTTGCGGCCCATATCGAGTCCCGAGATCCAATGATGAGCCTCATTTTCCCTGAGGCACCTTTGTCGGCTGTCGGCTAAAGAGAGACCGTAAGATGACGAGGTAAAAAGTACGGAGATGATCATGAGACTGAGCGCTGAGATGGTATCTCCCATCAGTTTTCGGTTCTTATGGACCTCGGGAGTTTCTACGCGTGAATTGCAAGTCATTTTGCTGCGTTTCGGTGTCGCCGAGTGTGTATATGCACTCGGGAATACTCCTGAGTCGGCACTCGTCTGTGCGAGGGCTATACGACAGTCATGCATGTATCCCGGCCATTTTTCTTTTTCCCATGTGCAAGGAATGTATGTGGCAAATTGAAGATGGCACTTGATCGTCTATATGGTAGAAGACGAATCCACTGAATGGGGGCTTCGAGGTCTACGCAGTCCCTATCACAGGCTAAGCATTCGCTGCACAACTTGATAATATCACATCACGAAACGGCCCCTTTCACAGAGTGGGTAATGGACCCTCCGCTATGTGGGTTATGGCGCAGTCAAAGAAGCAATCCTTCGAAGTGGATTCATGTTGCAGGCTGTCTGGTCGGCTAGAGCTACAAGTCCACGAATACCGAAAACACGACCAATAGGAAAGATCATGCTAGCGAGGTGCTTCCCTGCACAGATCAGGGTGGATATGCAGCTCGTGTATTGGTCCCACTGGGTCTTCTCAGAACTGGAAAGTCGTCAGAGCCGAATCTCTGACCACGAGATATTCATTATTCAAGCCATAGACACACTCGAATTTCTGTCAAATTCAAGCGAGTGGATGAAAAGCTTAGCTTTCGGTAACTGGGACTCGTACCACGGCTTTCACTGGAGCTTTTTCTCCGAGCTGATATCAAATGGAAGGACCTTCCCGGATGGGAAGAAAAGGACGAGTGGGTCTAAGGGCGCATATGTTCCACGGAATGTAATTCAGAACTTGAACTTCGGGCTCATGCAAATAACCTCTCCAGTATTTATTTAATCTCCAAGCTGCCTATGGCAAATTGCGACTTTTTTAAAGTCCACTCGTGGGTCACAGTCGTGACTTGCTCCCGGGGCTGATACACACAAGGAATCCTCCCTGTCCGATACATATGCACATAAACCCTTCTGACACAAGCAATTTAATTCAACTTTTGAATTTCTTTTGTAAAGTTCGAGGTTAGTACGGAGTAGACGAGCAAAGATCAATACATGTCTCCTGGTAGACCTGCTTATTCGTTACATGACTTGTTGATACATCAATATTACCGAAGAGGACAAAATGGAAGAGCCCGAGACCCTCAAAATCCTTACACGCAATACCCAGACAGTACTATGCCTACCACGGCATTGCTAACTTTTCATAGCCCCCGGGCCGCCTGCGTGGGTCCCCACTGGCTTATTCTAACATCAAACCTACACAGTACTAGTACTAGTATTTGTGGGATACTAAATAAATGGTGCGTATTACATTTATTTGGGTATCCAACATATCAAACACAGAATAGTCAAGGAGTTTATGGTTTCTATATGCCTCACCCTTTCTTTGGTCTTATCAGACTAAACAGACCTATACGCTATGCTGCCAAAAAGGTTCAATATTAGCGACAGATCCAGCTTATTAGATGAATTTAGAGTCGTAAATAGAAGACACACTCAATCAACAGATCAAACGAATGATTCTACCAAGAGTAGAATCCAAAACAACACAATGCCTCTGCAAACATTGCATGACAATCTTGAATATTCAAATGTGGGAGCTAGGTAGTATGTTTCACTACCTACTATAGTAGCACTTGAGTGCTTGTGATTATGAAATCTTGATTCACTGGACGAAGTAACGTTTGGAACTTGCAAGATTATTTTATTTGACATACATTGCATTGCCGGCTTTCTTCAACCCCAATTCAGTTTCAACTCGAGGTTTGACTTGAAGTTCCACCATACCCATTCAAGTTGATCCGAAAATACATATCGATAACCTTCAAGTTCAAGTTGAAAAGTAATAGTACCGAACAGGTTCAACAGATTTTTGTATTCTCAAATTACTACCTAGGGAGTGCTAGTATTAAACACCTTGGAGATGCCAGTGTGCACATGTGCAGTAAAGAAATGCATACCTAGTATGTGCCAGTGCATGTGGGACCAAATGGTAAATAAACTGGAATAATCCCAGCATTTTCACCCACTGGCATGTAGATAATGTGATATCTTCAAAAATTGAGAATTCCGAAGCTGTTTCAAGGTTTAATATCCAGAAAATTTGAACAGACTGAGGCTATACAACATGAAATATCTACTAATATACTATAGTAGAGTACGATAACGGTTCTCTTGATCCTTCTGATATTCCACCAATCAAAGATAGTCCCTTCTAAGTAGCGGATGATCCGGGACGATCAGTGATGACATAATGACCAATTGCCAGCAAATCACTGCAAACATTTGCAAACAGGCTGACCTCTAACCAATAAGCTTAAATGAATTGGCTTGAGTTCCCCACGTGTATCCTCTATCTCCCGGTCGTGGATCCATTTCAGACCCCCTTTATTGCCAAAGGAATCAGGGTTTCACTTAAACTCTGCTTGGCATTGAGCAAGCGCTAAATGAGAGAATTGGAGCCCAATTTGCTCTATATCAAGTTTTGTTATCAAATCTAAACATCTGTTCCGTTAACGATATTGAATTTTCTTATAGTGCTTCACTATTGATGACTAGTCTCATCTACTCAAAATGATAGGTCAACAAATTTTGCAGCCTGCTAAAATGGAGCTCACATAACCTAAGACCCGCAAGGTTCTGCTGAAGAATCCTGTTCACCGGTCCATGTAAGATTGCAAGTGGATCCCCCCTATGGAACTGTGCAGGTCATGTACCGTCATGATAAACCAGCCTTTCCATGGCACGTAGTTAATATCTTTCTTCTTCTCCCTCGCTTTGGAGTTCTCATGTCACATACTTTAGGCAATGTGGTCTAGACATACGGGCGCGGTCCCATCAAGGAGAGCTTTCCATGTCTTGACCTTTGCGTTTGCATTTTGCTTCTCGCTGGTGGGGTTCCTACTATTGACGCGCTCGCGAGACCATTTTATTATTGCCCTTCCGACTGGGAAAAAGGCTGGATCAAGGTAAGATGAGCTCCTACAAAGCTTTTTACTTACCCAATACTCAGCGTGGGCATGATATGGTTGTTTGGGTGCTAATCTTGATGACCAGCCACAATCAAACGGAAGAATGCGGTACTCATTGCGACAAGGGTTTACCTTTCCTCAAGACCTCACACAGCGAACTGCCTATACCATACGATCCCTATCCAGATTATAATAGTCCCGAATGGAAGCAAAAATGGGCAGGAAATTTCCAGCGTTGTGTTGGTCCGGATGGTTCCGAGTTGGATAGTCAAAATGTTAATGCAGCTATGAAGGGCTTCAAATGGAATGAATTTGGTAAGGCGCAAGATATCTGATTGGGTTCCATGCACAGTAATACTCATGCCTGTTTTGTGCAGATTCCCCTTCGCCGATGTTCGGTTCCTATGAAGCGTGGAAGCTTGATAATCGCTTCTGTACGAATCGCTATTCCCGATATGGTGCATATGGCTACGAAGATGATACCGAGAACCGAAATGAAACAACAATCTCGGGTTCTACAACATGGGAAGGCGTCAACTGGGGCCGTTTACATCAGGATTGTCTGCAGCGGAATGCCGACCGATTCGAAAGCTCGGCGCTCGAGGAAAAGACTTGGATTCTTCATAAGGATTTCGATTTCGATGAGGCAGCAAATGGCACTAACGCGGAAGAGCAGCCCGATATTGGAACTCGTGGTCTGGTACCGGAGTATCATTCCCGGACGGCGGTTATTATTCGTGGATGGATCGGGATGGACTTCTCTGAAGATGGAATTCATAATATGCGTTCTATGATCATGGAGCTCTCCCTCTTTTCTGGAGCGGAATATGAGGTTATCCTTTTGGTTGACTGTAAGGATACAGAGCTTCCACCTGCAGGAGATGAGAAAGCACTGGAGGACTTCAAGAAGGACCACCTCCCTGAAGAGTTTCGAGATATGGCAGTCTTTTTCAACACCAAGATTTTGGAAGACTGGTACCCGAAAATCGACGACCATGGGTAACGTTCGCCCTTGCAGCTTGAATTTCGATTTCCATGCTAACCTTGATCAGAGCGATGGCGGAATACTTCCAACCAGTACAAATCTTCTCCCGACTTCATCCACAGTATGAGCATATCTGGCAGTTTGAGATGGATTCCCGTTATACTGGGCATTGGTATCACCTCTTGCAGCAAGCCTCGACCTTCGCGAAGCAGCAGCCCCGGAAGAACATGTGGGAGCGGAACTCATACTTTTATATTCCTTCTATCCACGGCCCCTGGGATGACTTTGTCGACTCTGTAGATCAAAGCATGATTGACCAAGACAACATTTTGGGACCTCGTCCAGCTAATGGAACCTCATTTGAATCGTTCAAGGATGAAACGCCCATGCCTCCACAAGCAGAGGATGATATCTGGAGCTGGGGTGTAGGTGAGGACGCAGATATCATGACTTGGCTACCAAGCTTTGACCCCACTCACACTGGCTGGCCATTCCGTGATCATCTGTCAAATTTCCCAGCACAGGAAAACATGCCGCGTCGAGTTTCCATCGTTGCGATGTCCCGTGTCTCAGCGCGGTTGTTACGACGGATGCATGTGGATAAAGTGAACCTGGGATTGGGAATGCACTCGGAAATGTCTCCATTAACCTGGGCTTTGTTCTATGGATTGAAATCAGTCCAAGTCCCTCAGCCTATATATCACGCGCACAAGTGGGATCCTGTGGATTTGAATGGCAGGGCTAATCCTGGTGAACCAGGATCCATCAATGCTGGGGGTGATAGCATGTGGAATCCTAATCCGCAGACAGCTGAGGTGCTGCTGAATATTACATACATGTTCGCCACGCCGTTTCCTGAGCGTCTTTATCGTGCTTGGCTGGGCTATGACGAGGGAGAAGAAGTCGATCCAATCTGTTTGCCTCCGATGTTGTTGCACCCTGTGAAAAACACGAAGAGGTGATTCAACAGCTGGTGACTCGGCCAACTCGGCTGAGTCGAACATTATGAACCTGACGAGTGGTCTGAAGTCATGGCCCGGTAACAATCAATGTTCGTCATTGACAGAGTCACGTCGTGCGCTTGATAGTCCGTGAACGGCACCGCGAAGACGTGAGACCGACAGGCGAATTAGCTTTCCCATGCAATTGACCCACACGGGATTATCATGGATACCCTGGATAGAGAAGGGCTTAATCCATCCCGTTTTGCGCACACAGGGGTGCAAAGGATCGGAATCCCGGGAACCATATACTCTGTCGACCTGATAAGCCTCTCGGGCTCTGAGAACACGACACATGCTCCCTCCGATGGGTTTGACATGAACAAAAAGCAATCGTGTCGGATAGAAGCTTTTAGGTCACCGCGACACTAGCGCTTATCAACGGCGCTACTCAACGCGAATGTCACTCTGATGCTAAATTCAAGTCGCGAGTTGATAAATAATCCTATAATGAATCAGGCATTGATGCCCATTTTGATGTTTTTTGACCGTATAAATACAGACCATGAAGCTACCTATAATGGCTATAGCGAATCGGAGTAAAAAATTGTCTTCAAATTGATACAAACGTTCTAATTTTGCATGCGCTTATTAGTGGCTTGCCTGGTACAGTGAGCTTCCAAGGTTGTACTAGTAGATCCGGAACATTGCCGACAATCTACACATAAATGTTCAATGGCATTGTTTATTGATCCCAACACTTTGAATTTAGATTGTGGCACAGAGTCCATCGGCAATGCTTGATTCCCGATGTTATGAAGAACCAATGGCCCGTCCCAGTGAGGTAGCGTGTTTACAGCATGACCCACTTAGTTCCTGTCATCTCCAACCCCTGATCCATACAATCATCTTCTCCCCGCACGTGGAATATGCACCATGTTATGAAAGTGGGAATAGTGTTGATGAAGCGAGATTACCGATGCGCTAAACAGGCTGAATAGGCTTAGCAGGGAATTTCCTGGGTGGTCAGATGAAGACTCCAGGGCTGCATTCCCGGGTAGTAACCATGCAGATAGCCACGTATATTAAAAGGTCCAATTCCCATGAAACCATGCTAGCTAACAGTACTTGAGGGGATCTTCTAGTTAATTTCGAAAATGTGGCACGCACTAGCTCTCACTGCTCTCTTCGCAGCGCCATCCCTTCAAAGCGCCATCCCGAAGAAGTTCTCTCCTCTGAAGTTCGCAAAGGATGGTACTTTCCAGATCGCAGTCCTTGAAGATCTGCACTTCGGAGAAAGTTAGTTTCCATCGGTCTCTTTACTTGATTTATGCTTACCTGAATAACGAATAGATGCATGGGACACATGGGGCCCTGAGCAGGACGTGAATTCCGTGACGGTCATCAATAGAATCCTGAATGCCGAATCTCCAGACCTCGTTGTACTCAACGGTGACTTGATCACCGGTGACAATGCCTTCCTGCAGAATGCCACCGTTTACATTGATGAGATCGTGGCTCCACTAGTTGAGCGCGGATTAACATGGGCATCTACCTATGGTAACCACGACAGTTCCTACAATCTCTCTCGCGAGGCAATCCTGGAACGCGAACACCTCTGGTCAAACTCCCGTACCGAGAAAATGGTTTCCGGTCGTGATGCAGGCGTGTCAAATTACTATCTCCCTGTTTACGCATCCGATGACAGCAAATTCGATGGTGCGCCCGAGATGCTTCTCTGGTTCTTTGATAGTCGTGGTGGATACTACTACCAGGAACTCGATTCAAATGGCGATGAAGTTGCGCAGCCCAATTGGGTCGACGAGAGTGTCGTGAACTGGTTTACCAAGACCAACAAGGAGCTTGTGAACAAGTATAAGAAGACTATTCCTTCGCTTGTTTTCGTGCATATCCCCACCAATGCTTCTCTGGCTGCGCAGACTGAGATTGGAATCAACGCCGAAAAGGAGCCTGGTATCAATGATGATTATACCCTGGCTCAACAAGGAGAGGGTTGGTGCGCTGATGGTAATGATGATGGATCATGCACCTATGGTGGCCAGGATGTGCCATTTATGAAGGCCCTTGTTGAGACTGAGGGTATCATTGGTGTGTTTTCCGGCCATGACCACGGAGATACTTGGTGCTACAAGTGGGATACTTTGATTGAGGGTATGGATGTCAAGGGTAACGGTATCAATCTCTGCTTTGGGCAGCATTCTGGATATGGTGGATATGGAAGCTGGATTCGTGGATCGAGACAGATTCTCGTTACCGAATCAAAGCTTAAGGAGAAGGTCATCGATACGTGGATTCGATTGGAGTCGAATGGAACCACGGGTGCTGTCTCGCTGAATGCCACCTATGGTGAGGATGATTACCCCGAGACTGTTGATCTCCTCTCCTCTTGCCCGACTTGTGAATATACCCTCTACTAGGTACTATGGAGATGAGATAATGATAGAAGGCTGATGAGCCTCCATATTCTTTCAACTTCAAACGCGAGCCGTAATCTGGCTAGTGGAATCCTTTATCAGTGCCCAGGTGTGCCATTTCCTTTGAGGTGTTTCCCTCGCGTTCCATAGAAACTACTCATCCATATGTATTCCAACTGAAACATGACAAAAAGTCGAAGTCCACCTGTTTCACCCTTCGTTAACGCAGTACAGTTGTCTCAGAATTTTTCAAATACTATTTTCTTTATCTGACCACAAAGCTTCCATTGCTTGATGAATCGCCCACTGGCTAACCTTGGATTAATGTTCTAAAATAAACTCATTCAAATGTTCAATGTTACCTCAAGTCTGCCCAGATGGATTTCTTGGCCCTTTGTCAGTTTATGTGTCTATTCTCTTTGAGATGAGCATCACAAGTACTCAAGTTCTCACCTGGGCAGGGCTCAAGCACTGGAATTGACCTTGTTTGAAAAGTTATTCCTGAAACATTGTTCCCTTATAAAATCCGGTCAAATCCCCTTTATTCATACCACGAGACTAAACGTTCCAATTTCCTTTTACATCAATTCCAGACTGTCAGTACATCATGGCCCGAGCCAAACTTGAAGTGAATAGCGAATCTGGCTCTGCGCCTGATGCAACCTCAAAACCCAGGGAGAAAGGAGGCAAAGTAAAAAAGAGTAGCTCAAAGCGAAAGTCAAAATCCAGATCCAAATCGAAGGGGAGATCTTCGTCAAATGTCTTGAGCGGGGGAACTGCCTCGTGGCCTACAAACATGAATGAGCAAGTTGAGGGAATCGCGAAATATGATTCGAATTCCGTCTGGCCCCATAAAGACCTTGATCTGAATATTGAAACTGAGTAAGTCCTAAGGGCTCTGAGATGAAATAAGGAGTTCATGAAGGTAAAAGGGACGAATAATGCTAAGTAGAAATGACTATAGTCCAAGTGATTACGAATCACAAATCGCCTGTTGCAAGGAGCGTATAGCGGAAGGAGTTCTTGTTTACGTCTTCGAGGAGAAATTAAAGACTTTAGAGGCGCGCGTGAAGAAGCGAGAGTATGTTTCTGATAAGCCTACCCAGAAGTGAAACATTGCTTTCTTCTCTCTAACATCATACAGCTCCTTAATGGCAAAATGGCCTTCGCATTCTCACGCGATAGTGGAACGCTTGGACTTCTTCGAAGCACTTAGAAACTTTCTTCTCAAAGATGGAGATAAGAACGAAGTGATTTCTACTATCAAGGCTATCGCGCAGGCCTACTTGTCGAAAAGGCTGGACTGGGTTCCGGGTTATGTGACATACTGGTCATATGGTAAACAGCTTACTGGGCTCAGAGAATTCGACTGGGGTGAATTTCTTTATTGGAATTTTGAGCATAAAGGCTCAAAGGGATTTTGGGTTGAAGGGGTATGTAGGCTGTTTGCGATCGAGACTCGGCTTATGCCATTTCAAGATATCGAAAGAGAGATATTAGTACTGATACATTATGTCTAGCTGCGCGATTCAAGACCTTCACCCAGGTTGTGGAAACGAAGAGTCTGTTGGCCTGCGACATATGATATGCCAGGAGAGACAAGCAGCCGCGGCACGCACGTAAAGGTATACTAATTCCCTTGATACGTCTTTAGGTCTTGTCCTAGATTCAATCACCCCCTCTCCCGAGTATTACGTACCATGCTAATATATTGCCCTTCATAGGTTCCAGTTTCCCTTAGACTTATTGTACCGGCCCAAATGCGTGGCGTACCGGACGCTAGTACAACCTTAGATCCCAACCGCCCACCCCCCTTGAAAGACGCAACGGATAGGCAAATCAGTGTGGTACCCAGAGATCCAGTTCCATTTAATCTTCCACTCGCTGGTGAACAGCCGCCGAACCCGTCGAGTTCAATTACGGGAATTGCGCATTCAAAATGGCCACGTGAGCCGTGGGAGAGACACTTTGTATGGGATAATCATATTTTCTGGATGATAGATGACACTGGAGCCGATCTTTGCAGTATAACCGAGAGTGACGTTGAGCATTTGGTCAAAGAAGCTACTAAGTGGTTCTTTCGCCAAACTGAGGATATTAATATCGAAGTCCCACATGTCTCCCGGGTTGAAGACGTTGCTCCGCCCCTTCTTGGTTATGTTCGGGTTCGATTTGCCAATGATGAAATGGGATTCCAGCCAGTCCGAGCCATGGAAATTAACTTATTGGGCCAGAATCCTAGTAAGTCTAATAAAGGCGCATTCATGCTCAAAACTTGGGATATCATAGAGGTTGGCATAGCGCCCAATCCCCCGTCGCCTGAGCATGAGCCCACCAGACTACTAGGACCTTGGCTGAGGCACAGATTTTATACTGCGACAAGTCCTGATGGCTCGGGACGTCTTTATATTATTAAGAAGAAGCGAAGATTTGTGGAGGTGCCACATGCTAATGTCGGAGACTCCGGCTTGCTTCCAGGAGTTGGCGTACGACAGAATGTTCCAGCGCAGGAACTGCACGGGCATCTGCGTGTACGAAGTTAACATTTCAAAACTAGCAAATATCAGCCCTAGAGATTGAGATGAAGTCTCAGGCTTGGCTAGGATTCCAAAGGTTTATATATCGGAACCTTGGAATTAGCGGAATTTTGAGGGATGCATGTGGTGATTCAAATGTTGTGTTTACTTCTGCCGCCAGTGCCCAGTGGTAGTATGGGGCTTGAGCTTTAAGTTAAGATGTTGTTTCATTCAAATTGGTCTAAAATTTTTACTTTCATGCCAATGAATATTCATTCAAGTTGCTGTTTCAATTTGAAAATACTTGTATTTGAGGGCTGCGGTCTCTTTTTCTTCCAGTAAACTCTTCCACTTAGACATGTAGAACGGGGGAATAAACCGCCCGTCTTCGGAACCCGAAGCCACTATCGGTTTATGTAGGAACTCATGCAAAATCCCCGGATCGGACCGAATGCAAGTTGAATAGTCCCGTCATAAGGTATATAATTCAAAGATAATCTTGGAATAATTAAGACTGATATGAGATCTCGAAAGTGTTTCAGTTTTCTATTCTTTCTTTTAAATCAACTTGAATACTGCTTCCGCAAAAGATTTAGACAAAATGGGGCGCAGACCAGCACGCTGTTACCGTTATTGCAAGAACAAGGTATGTGATGAAAGAAATATCTCCTAGTTGGCTCTAAGTATAGAGCTAAATTATGTATTGCCAGCCATTTCCAAAGTCTCGTTTCAACCGCGGCGTCCCAGATTCCAAGATTCGCATATTCGATCTAGGAAGAAAGAAGGCGTCTGTGGATGATTTCCCTGCCTGTGTGCACTTGGTATCAAATGAATATGAGCAGCTCAGCTCCGAAGCATTAGAGGCTGCACGTATCTGTGCCAATAAGTAAGTCAGTCATAAATGAATTCCATAACATACTAACATCTATTAGATGCTTGGTCAAAATGTCAGGCAAGGAATCCTTCCATATGCGTGTCCGAGTTCATCCACACCATGTCATTCGGATCAACAAGATGCTAAGTGTTGCCGGTGCGGATCGTCTGCAGACTGGTATGCGAGGAGCCTGGGGGAAACCTGCTGGAAAAGTGGCGCGAGTGAATGTGGGCCAGATTCTCATCTCTGTCAGGACGACTGATAGACATTTACATCTTGCGATTGAGGCTTTGCGTCGTTCCATGTATAAGTTCCCAGGGCGCCAAAAGGTCATCGTTAGCAAGAAATGGGGTTTCACTTCTTTGCGCCGTGATCAATATCTGCGACTCAAATCCGAGGGTCTTTTGCGGAATGATGGGGCATATGTCCAATTTTGTCGGAGGAAGGGAGAGATAGAGACGAATGTCAGGAGTTTCCCAGGCGCATACACGTTGGCTTTGGAAGCTTGAAGGGGTACTGTATTTTTTTTTTTGGACAGAACGCCATATATTGTACCTAGGTTGATATATGATTCTTTGAGATAAACAGTCCAGATGTTTGAATCCTAGCATTGTTATAAGCAGCCTAGTTGTTTGGACAAAACGCCCGGATATAGTACTAGTTGTCGTATATCCTTTTTGAAACCCTTACCACTCAACGTAGAGCGATTATTTTTCACTAAAATCTCCTGGCATTCTGGAAAGAAATCTCATCAGTCAGAATCGATTATTTCGTACAATTATACTAAGAGTTGATGCTGTACAACGGGGGACAAGCCAACGTGGTATAGTCTACACGGTCGGGAAAGGTAGGGTTGGAGATATCTCATCTCCAGAGCTATAAAGATATCTACAGGTTGTCCGAATGGTTCCTACAAACTAAAAAGCTTCAGTGGGCCGGTAAATGGGGGCAGTTAAACTCATTGCTACTGATTATAGACTGGCGGTTATGTTGGTTTCGACATAATGAACATCGGACATATCATCTCGGAACCCGTTGGCTGCCATACAAATGCAATCGGCCCCCAAAAACCCAGCAAGCTCTCCCCTGATCTTCTCTCCACCTTGACACTTCGAACCCAAGAAGGACTCAGGGGATTTCAAGGCTCCTTGTGGATTCTATCCCATCACAGGTCAGATGCAGGCTCATGATCAAACACCAACTCAACCCCAGACCTCTAAAAGGGTCCAACGCAAGAGTAAATCGCGTCTCGAATTTCGGTCTTCATGCGATTCATGCTCCTCATCGAAAGTACGTTGCACCAAAGAACAGCCGCATTGCTCTCGCTGTGTCCACAACGGCTTGAAATGTATCTACGGTCGATCGCTAAGAAGGGGAAAACCGCCATCCAGCAAGCCCCTTACCCAAGTACCCTTCTCATTTCCGCTATCGCAACCATCGCTATCTCAACCAACGACTACACGGGCGAATTTACCGCTAAATAAAAACACCAACTACAACTACGCTTGTCCCTGGTCTAGGTCGCCCATGTTTCCGACCAACAACAGTGCAATTCCAAATATCGAAGAATTGCCCGACGAGTTGGAAGGGATAGATTCCAATGAGGTACAAGCCTGTCAGGCCACATCGGAAGGTGGGTCGTGGGAGTTGTACACAAATGGGACTCGGGAGATCACCGAAGTGGGCCATGTTGACCGGTCTGCGGAGTAGATCGAATAGTGACGGACAGGGAAGATCTTGGTCTACTGTACGGCACGGAACAAGATTGCCAAGATGACTATAATAACGAATCCGAGACCCTGAATGAAGAAGAAGAAGAGAGCTATATGGAGAATGATGGGCTAGCAGCCCCAGAAAAACAGGATGAACCATGTGTGGTTGTGGCTTGCAATACGCTGTCATCTCTATCCCAATACGTGCCTCCCGGCTGTGGGAACGGTCCTCCTGGGCAACAAACTTCAGAAAGTCATTTGGCATTTCTCATGATTCGATCGGCCACGGAGAAGATGAATCGGCTACTGGATTGCAAGTGTGTCCCCTGCTCACACGATCCATCCATACTGATGGTGATAAACGCGGTCCTCTTCAAGATCTTGACTTGGTATGAATTTATCTACCAAGCCGATATTCAAAGTCATATCAATGTGCCCGATTTTTCGCAAAATGACAAGAACTTTTCGTTACCTCGGGATTTTGAATCCAATAGCAGCCGTTACTCTCCTACCAGTTACTCTCCCAACCAGTCTTCCCGATCAGGCGACAGCATTCCGGATTCCTCTTATAGAATCCCATTGAAATTTGACTCGCTCAATCTTCCTCAGATGACAGAGAGGAGATTGAAGGCTCAGCTCATGCTATGTGAGTTGCAACCTTTAAATCAAGCATGTAGACTCCTACATCGGCGGGCTCAGGCTATAGAGGATCCAACGGGCAATGAAAATATTCGTCATGGATCACGCTCTGTCTTGCAACAAAGGACGAGGGATTTACAGAAAAATTTGAGTGAGATTTGTACAAAGTCCACTGTTGTTTAGATACTTCTAGTGGTTGTTTAAAAATATCTGGAATCTCCTTATCACAAATTCTACAGACAATGGCAGCTCACCATCTCATGAGACGATGTATGCATATGCCTGGGTTACCTTCAAGTTGAGATTTTGACGCGACAAAAATTCATTCTGGTTCCGTGATCATAAGTACAACAGCTCAAGTTCACGCTGCTGCATCCTATTGCAGGATGATCTCAAAGCACCGCACTAATAGTTCTTACTGTTCACTTGGAACACCTTCAGTAATTTCTTGTCCAGCCTCAATTTTCAAAGGCCAGAATGTCCCATCCGCGTTGGGAATCGGAGGGATCGCCGACTTCCGGATATAGATCATCACATTACCATGAAGTCCGTCCACAGTCGGTTCAAATTCAAAAATATCATAATCGGCCATCATTGTCCTCACTCTGGATGTACTGGGATCCGTTCTGCGAATCGAAGATGTTAGCAATAGGCTGTGTGATCAAGAGTGAAGCAAAATACTCACGAGTATTCATCCTTGTCTGGAACCTTGAACCAGATCGCAATGGCGGGTCTAGCAATGTCCGCAATTATCTCCTTGACAGGCACATTGGGAGCTACCGAGAGCACAACAGATCTCTCGTCAACCTTGAGCCAGCCTCGTGGATCATCGAGTATCTCAACGTCCCAATCTGCAAGAACCTCTCGATCCACATCAGTGTTCATCGGATCCTGCAGATAACATGGAATGCGTTTATCTTGGTCTCGCTCTTTCAGCCAGTTCCTCACAGTGAGAAGCAATGCAGTTTGCACAGCACATTGCTCGTTGGCCTCCAGAGCAATGCTTCCACATGCGAATCCAATGATGTTGTCGATTTCATGGTTACTGACCACTGAGCGCAAGATTGACTTGAAGTTCTCGCAAGTCTCACTTTTCTCCCAGGCCTCTGACTTCTCCTGGAAATCATGAGCGACATCCTCACGCTCACCGATGGGCGCTGTTGGGATCCACTTCCGGGTCTCACTCTCCTTGTCTGGTCGATCGACGCTATGAATTAGGCTTATTGGCGCATAAGCCCAATCAGGGACATCAATCTTATCATGGTCAAGATCCCGAATAAGTCTCTCTTTGGGATTGTATGTCAAGGCGCACTGTGAACTACATAATATCAATATCCAACGTCATCAAAAGAGAAGGAATATAATTTACTCACAATGTAAATTCCTGCTCATTCCAGTTGTTCTCGTCATCACGGACACAAAGCTCCTTTGACAGCCCGAGTCTCACTTTCCATTTGAGAGATGCACCTGTTAGATCTTTGGTGATAATCTCATCTCCCGCAGTGGGATGACTGTCCAGCTGGTCAACCACATCCTGGAATGCCTTTTTGGCGAAGAATGGCACACCCGATTCGTAGAGGGCATTAATGTGAGCCTTGACTTCCCCTCCGTTGAGCTTTTCCCTAGGCTCAGCTAAAGTGGGCCAATGACATGCCCATGTCGTGCATGACTGTCGAGACGTAGACCCGAAAAGCATGGGTATGTCATCCTCGTCCTGGTTAGCCATTTTGATGATTCTTGGTCACTCTCCTGATGGAAATGGAACTATTTAATTTTCTGAAATCAAAAGAAAAAAGGCTTGAATTGCCTCATTTTTGAGCGTATTAAAGTACACCCCGCACAGGAGGCTGAAGCCTGAGAGGTCCATGCGACTGGCGCCTAAATTGAAACGTGAACGGCCAACGCATCGCAACACATCCCCTGTCAGTTTGACGTGGCACACTGATCCGATCTGGTCCTCCACCTCTCAATGGTCTTTTTATATCCTTAACATCACATTCTATAAGAGGTAGTGGCTTATAAGCAAACTTGACATCGGGCGCGGAGGCTCCAGTTGAGGTCCAACATAGCCATGGATTCATCCATCTCTGCCGATAGGTGAAATACCTTGCTTTTTTTAGCTGGCCTATCCATCTCCTTGCATGCCATACTAGCAGTGCGCGAATTACTTTTGCGATTCAATTATGCATCATAGGTACCCCAAAAACCCCTCAAAATTTCCCCTCCAATGTTGTCATGTGCTTGCGAATGTGATAGGTTTCTTTCTGTGGACTCGATTTTTGCAAACTGTCTCGGATCTTGACGCACATCATGAACGGCTCAAGTAATAAAAGAGGGATACTACACAGAGTACATATGTACTCAAAAGCATTTGAATAAAAATATAGCATTCTTTCTAGCCTCTAGCTCTGGGCCTGGTGTTGCTTGCTTATTCGGTTGATATCTATATGGACTTCAGCTTGATTACAACCCTAGAATTTGCACATGTGCTATCAATCTAACAAGACTTCTCTGAGTCGACCACCTTGAAAAACGCGCTGATGCCCAGGTGTAAAAATATTCATTCCGAGTCGTTGTCCCGAACAAATCACTCGGAGCAAATCCGAGTCAATGCAGCATCGATGCCTGCCAAAATATCCTTGACAAACATTTCTTCGTCGGGAACACCCAAAACTCCCAGCTGCCAGTTCAACGTAATAACCATATCACCACCCTTCATGCTAACCAACTGAAAGCTTAACGCACTTCCAGTGGCGTCTGCAGGTTGTGAGAATATCATCCTCTCAATATCCCAGCCCCTTGGCTCAATATTTGAAGCAGTTTCGGACAAACCACCAGCCTTTGGATCAAAAACGACGAGATTGCTAATTTCGTACGACATATCCCTCTTTTTGCCTAATTTCTCAAGCAGCCACGGGCGGAACTTGCCAACATATGGCATGAGGCCAATAGGCTGATCAGAAAGGGTATTCGCACACTCGGCAAGTCGGGCTGTAGTTTCCCGTGCAGATTCCCAAAACGCATCGCTGTATCTCAAGCCATCTGTTGAATTCATATGCGATCTCCGTTGAGAAGGAGTGGAGGTCTCATACAAAGCTGAAACAGAATTCGTCATGTCATTCGGGGCAAAGGCGGGAATAAGCGATCGGAGATCGACCACAATGTCACCGTGGAATGTCCGAGCATGGGTATCTTTGGGAAGAATTTTGTCCACCACAGATACCAATAGATGATTGAAAACTCCAGTGAACCTGACTTTGTGTTCTCTGCATATTTTCAGGATTGAATCGAGCTGGGCCTTTTTGATAATAAGGATTTCTGAACCAGTGCGAAAATTCGAAGGGTCGTAAGAGGTCGGTTCTCCAGTCCAAATATTCGGTGAACCCGACGACTGAAAGCTGAGAACTCTTTGCACCACATCCGGGAGAGCGGTTTTTAGGAAAGTTTGAAAAAGGAAGGACCAGCTAATTGGTAATTTGCACGCTTCTTCTAAGGGCGGCAGAAGAGGTGATGCAGGAGGCAGGTACATGTAGTTCCGATCGTATCGGGACTCCCCCATTTTAAGACCCTGAAGGAAGGTTCTATGGAATGATAATCCCGATTTCCCATCGCCATGAGAGTGAGAGTATGCGAAAATGATATACACCCGCTGTGGTCCGGGTTCACCTGGTTTATTAGGCAACGGCACAACAACAATCTTCCATGGAGGTATTTGATCCACCTGGGGAAAGAGTTTGTCGTGTACACCTTTGGTAATCTGAGTTATAAGGGCAATATCATCCCCGGAAGATGGCTCTGCAGATAGAGCTGTATCAACAAGTTCAATATGATTTTGAAGATTGAGTGATGTCGGCCGGATGAAGCGAGGAGTCTCCGTATGTTCATCTTGCACCGCTGCACTTAAGATGGGATGGACAGCGATGCAATGTTTTAATGCCGGTATGAAGTAACTCGGGTCCTTTACATCAAATGGGTCTGTGTCGTGTAGCGTGTAAAGGCCATTCAAAATCAAGGCGCGATAGAATCCCAGCGAATGACGTACAACGGTACGCTTGTCATTGTCACCTTTGTACGATCGTCAGCATTGTATCTCACTAGTAAATTGTTCAATATTTCTCTTACTAGCTTCGCGCAATATCTGAAAGGTCTTTTCATCACCCATGATTACTCAAACCGATTGAGCTCCAGATCTCAGTGATAACCTCCGATAGGCGATTTCTTTATTGGAGGAAATAAAAAGAAGTTCCTTTTCACGACTAAAGAATAAATACTTGATATCCGAAACCCAGGGGCCCCTTTCTAAGCGAACTTAACTCTCAGGTCTCGGATCTTGAAGGGACGGAGCATCCGGGCTCGTTCATTTCGTTCATTTCGGTTAATTCGTTTAACTCGGTCAATCGGCCCCACATTAATCAATGTCGGAGAGTCGAAACAAGTTACAAGATAGGTATCTCTTACGTGGAATGGATTTGCTCAAATAGATTTTGGTGAAATATAGATTGAATTAGAAAGATAGAATTCATTATCTGACTATTTTGGACTAAAGTGTCTCGGGAACCCATCCAATCTCTTCTATGGCCCATCGGATCCATAGCCGATGCTCTCCATCCAAGAGCATATGAATTCCCTGGATTAGACGGACCGACCAGCCTTCCATCCACCAATATCTCTCCAGGTCTTTTAAGAGAACCGCATAAAATCCAAGTACACACAGAGCTGCATTATCGCCGCTTTTAACAAGCGCCAGGTATGGTTCTTCAATTTCGAAGAGCCACTGATAGAACCCTCGTAGTTTATCCTGATCCGAAAAGAATGGTCCATATAGAAATGAATAACTTCGATTCAAAGCTTGAATTGTTGCCATCAAGATTTCTCGCCGCTCTGAGTCCGTATCTGCTCTCGCTTCTGCACATATTTTTTCTTCCAGTTCCTTGAGGGATAGATATTCTTCAGGAGTATGAGACTGCCAATACTCCATACTTCCCCAGGTAATTTTAAAGATCAGTGCGACAGGAGATGAATTGACTGCTGATCCTTCAGCCATCACGACTGTGTCGATCCCTCTGATGAGATATAGCCATTCTGGAATGATTTTGTTACTAGAACTTTGCTCGTCGCTTTGCTCAAGGGGTCGTGCCAGGTTGTAAAATAGCGTCAGTATCCCAAAGATATAAAGGGAGCTGGAATTTCGCGGCGTGACCCCAGGGATCAGAGGAGTGGCTCTGGATACAGATCGCGAATGACATTCAATTGCGTACGGGAGGAGGGAATGTCTCCGGCCCTGATTGTAGCGCGCAATATGGAGAGCCGCCAAGGCAAGAATCCCATCGAGAACATAATCAGCGCTGAATCCCATCGGGGGAATAGTGACTCGCCATAGGTCTCGGACTTGAGGGTCAGTAGATAATGTGGATGCAGTGGAAATTGTGAAATGATGAAGTAGCTCCAGGTTTAATGTTTCTGAGTGTGGGATGATTGAAGTGGGAGTTTCGGGAGCTTGAAGAAAATCACATTGCAGTCCCTTTTTAAGGCAATGGAGACATGACGGGCGTCGCTCGTCACACTAGATACTGGTCAGCCGTTCAAGTTGCTAGCATGAAACATCGTGATGCCGAAGTTAATTGAAACAAATAAATACCTTGATTTTTCGGGATCTACAAAGTTGACATCCTGTCCGAGACTTTGTATGCCACTTGCGTCGATTACTGGCCGTGGCTCTTAGTTGTGGCATATCCAAAGCAGATATAATTGTTGGACGATTCAGTTGCCAACTGGTGTTTTGGATGGAGAGTTGAACGAGAAGAACGAGAGAACGAGGGAGTATTACAACTTACCGAGAAGCCGCAAGCCCACGCTTGAGACCCACTTCTAAGGGGCCGAGACCACCAAATCCGAGACCAAATCCACCATTCCTTCAACAGTTCCTTTTACCCATGCAGACAAATCCAGGTTTGGGAACGACCGAACAAAATGAACCCCTATAGCTCGGAAGCTTCAGCGGATATCAACTCGCTGGCCGAGTTTCTGGCCGACTCGGAGGTCTCTGATCTCTCTTCGGTACCTCCAGTGGACTGCATAATCTTATGCGCGTCGCAGGTCCTATATGGAGCAGAGATGATCTTCGAGACCCTGCGAAGTCGGCCAGGCATAACAAAGTATCTGGTACTATGCGGAGGAATCGGCCACTCAACGGCCCTTCTCTATGACTCCGTAACGCAACATAATCGCTATTCAGCACTTGCCGATAGAATTCAAGGTCTTCCTGAAGCACGCGTCCTGGAAAATATTTTAGATGAATTTTTTGATCGAGCTAGAATCACTGCAGAACGGTGTCAAATTCTGGTGGAAGATCGCTCTACCAACTGCGGTCAGAATGCGATGTTCAGTCGACAAATACTTGAACAAGCTGGCGTCGTGGCGCCAAAGACATGCATCATCAGTCAAGATCCGACTATGATGCTGAGGACAAAGGCTTCGTTTGAGAAAACTTATCAAAATCTATCATCGCCCGTTTGTTTCCTAGGCTATCCTGGATTCGTTCCGTCGGTACAACTTCGGCAGGATGAATGGATTTACACATCCCCGGCAGCTACAGCTGGGCTCTGGACAGTGGAACGCTTTCTTGAGCTCATATTGGGTGAAGTGCCAAGATTAAGAGATGGTAAAGACGGTTACGGTCCAGAAGGGCGGAATTTCATCTCTCATGTTGATATTCCGCCTAGTGTGGAGATGGCCTGGTCCCGTTTGAGTGTTATGTTCAAACATCACAAACTGAGATGAGGACACATATGCAATGTATGTGGACATTCGATCACTTCAGATTTGCATATACATTTAATATTTCATCAAAATCATTTGTGTATGCAGCTTTCGCCATCTCGATCTCGGAATCATCACCGAAAACTGTTGATGACATAAGCGGCGCTCATCCCAAAGAGGAAATCATTCCACCGGAGTCAAGACCAACGATGAGAAGTCACACAACAGATGTGCCACTTCAAACCTTGGAAGATCAGTTCAGAAGTTTTTATAGGAAGGTATTCCACCGGAATATGCGGCAACCTGAAATCTGAGAGTAAATATAAATACCCCAGATGATCCCAACAGTCCAAGTCTACACCATCTACATTGAAACTCAACATTGCCTTCACGTTTCTTCTCTACAATTCAATCATGGCATCATCCAACTCTATCACAGTGACGCTGTCACAGCTCGCGAAGATGATCGATCATTCCCTCCTTCATCCCACCATGACTGACGCCGACATCATTGCGGGCCTCAAGATCGCTAAGGAGAACAGTGTCGCCACGGCCTGCATCAAGCCCTACTCCATTGGACTCGCCAAGAAAGAGCTCGCAGGCACCGATGTTGAAATTTGTGCAGTCATCGGCTTCCCTCACGGGAACAGCACCACCGAATGCAAAGTGCACGAAGCCACCGAGGCAGGTTTGGAGGGTGCGAAGGAGATCGATATGGTCGTCAACGTCGGAAAAGTCCTGGGCGGAGATTGGCAATATGTTACCGAAGAGATCAAGTTGATCAATGAGGCCGTCATACGCACCGGCGCCATTCTGAAGGTTATTTTCGAAAATGATTACCTTCAACCTGAGCACATCATCAAGCTGTGCAAGATCTGTACTGAATTAAAGGTCGCGTTTGTCAAGACCTCATCTGGATATGGATTTGTCAAGCAGTCGGATGGATCATACAATTATCTTGGTGCCACTGTTCGAGACCTGAAGCTGATGCGTGAGCACTCCGGTGCTAATGTTCAGATCAAGGCCGCTGGTGGTGTTCGCACTCTTGATGATCTGCTGCATGTTATGAGTCTGGGTGTTACACGTATTGGTGCCACTGCCACAATCCCTATTCTGGTGGCTGCAAAGGAGCGAGGAATTGGCGACGAGCCAACTGTTGTCACTTTCAAGCCCATGGCGAATACGAGTGGAGGATATTGATCACGCACGCCTTTCAGAAACAGGCTCGCTTTGTGGTTTCGGGATCTCTTTCAGCTCGTCTGTGTAGACACAAAGCTACCTAGTGGAGAGATATTTTTTGTTGCCCCTTTCATTTTTAATTCCATTTCAGCTGTCAAGTTCTTACGCTCCACCGTTGTGGCTTTGATGTACTAGTACAAATTTCAGTATATGACTTCTTTGTTTACAAATTTTGACGCTCGAGGCCAATTTTTCAAGTACCCTGTACAGTTTCAGTTTCATGAAATTCTCTTTGAATGAGGTCAAGCAATGCATGGACAGCCGAGTCTCAAAGAAATATCCCAAGGTCTTCCAATTTGTACCACTGATTAAGTCCATTGAGGGTTTCTGGATCAAGGACTGGGGCTCAAAGCAAGTCTTCCTTTGAAGAATCTACGCAACCATTCCGGTCTTGCAAATCTTAGAAAATGTGTGATCTTAAATGAACGAAGCAGCCCACTTACTCTGAATATGTGTCATTTTTCTCAATTTCTCTGCAGGAGAATTTCGCCATCTCAAGTCAAAATACCACCAGCATGTCGACGGTTAACCCAAAAAAAGAGGCGAGTTAGCATTCTTCAGAACAGCAAAGTTGGCAAGAAAAAGCGTACGAAGACCAAGAAGTCCGACCCAGATGCGGGTCTATCTTGGACAGGATCGCCCTGGGACAAGACTGTATGGGGTGACCCTGATGTCAACGAGCTGGATTTAAACACGTCCTATGATAATGAGGAGAGGGAAGAACAGATAAAGAACTTGAGATGAAGGCACAATCTCAGACGCGACCCGAAAGGCAGACTAGATGGAGACACGCAGGTTCAAGGCCCCTGACAGATTGTTCGCGACTCCCGAAAGGTTGGAATATGAATGAGCCGGATTTGGATTCCGAATGAGTATTGGAAGTCCCAGATTTCCAGTGCAGAGCAGTAGTTGATATTGAAAAGAGTGATATCGAAGGTCAAATTGTTCGAGCCCAAGAAAGACTCGAAGATAACATCATGCCCCATGCCTTCGAATGGAAATTGGAACGGTATCAGGGGATGCTATCCAAGAAAAAGTAAGGCTTGAACATCCATCTCTACCTCCGGGTTTCACGACGTAGCTAATCAATAATTTGCCTCCCTGCAGGGCTTCCAATCGAGGTTGTTGAGCGATTGGAGGGTCTAAACTCCATAAGACAAGCACTAGAGAAGAAAGATGAATATGAGCAGCTTCCAAATGTGATTGCTATCATGGAAGCGTATACTTCGAGAAAAATTCGACTCTGTGGACTTGTCACGTATTGGTCCAAAGGAGTTCAGCTCTGTCAACCGCGACCGTTTAGTTGGGATGAGTGTGTGGCGCTCAATATGCATCACCAGGGTAGCAAAGGATTTTGGGTTGAAGGGGTAATTGACCTTGGAACATTCCCCCTCAACTGCGTTATTAGGATATTACTTCGTTTCATGATGTTAATACCGGAATGCAGACTCGGATTTGGTTCTCATAAGCTAACATATTGTCGTATTCACCCACAGACTCGTGGAAACAAGCCGACATTGAGTTATGTCTGAATTAGTTTGAGGACAATGAATGCGCATAATTGTCGTGAAGTACGTCGTCGTTTCACAGTTTTTCTATTCTCGATTGGTTATGCTGATACTAATCAATACTACCTATCATGTAGTATGACATTGCCGTGAGGATGCCGAATAATGACTGGTGGGCCACGTTGACCTTCCTATTCGACACTGGATCGGATGTAATTGAGATATTCCCCAATGATCTGCCTCTTATCCTCGGCCTCAATCGTCCAGACGTCATGAGTTTTGGAACTTCGGTTGTAGATCAGCACGGTGGTCAAGTGCACTGCCCTTCGATCCAGGTTGAAGTGTGTCTGCTCGACAACAACGGAAAGCGAATGACCCCATGGACCGTAATAGAGTGTGACATATATCCCTCGGATGAACGAGCTAAGGGTCTGCCAAACTTTAGGATAGATGGTCCAGTTTTCCGGAATCTCCTCTATTGTTGCTATGTCCCGGATGGAAAACACTCGCTTATCGCTGCGACGGAGGAGCTTGGAATGCATTTACCCAAAAGCGTTCCCCAAAGCAGGAGAAGGCTGAATGTGAGAGAATTCATGCCTTATGTGGCCCCTGAGAATAGAAGACCAGTTAGCGGTATCCCTCCTGTCGCTGCGGGAGAAGAGCTCAGACACCCAGGGTGGCCTTCAAGAGCGCGTGGTGTCCCTGAAAATGCTCCACCCCGGCCACCCCCTCCAGCTGGCGGCACTTAATAGAACTTCAAGTTGATATTAGTATTCAGAGATTGAATTTCGATCATATATTGGGCTCCTTTGCCTTCCTGGTTTCAATTGAAATTTTCAATGCAATCTATATTTTCTTTTTTCCAGATTCCCGAACATGAATCCTATAAACGATTATCATTGGTACAAAACGCAACTGAGTCTCTAGCGTGGGTTGAGCCTCACTCGTAGCCTAGAAGTGGGGTAATAATGACACGGACCCTGAGTTGCAGCCTAAAACAAAAGATATTATAAAAGACCAGCTGAATAGCCTAGGATCTGCTGGATTATTTCTTATTTCACTTCACATTCATACTTGAACTATATCGATTTTACCATCAATTCACAATGGAAACAGAACCAACGTTAGCCCCGGCGACATTCACCGATTCCAACCCCCAAACACAATGTCCCTTATTTTCCCTCCCTCCAGAAATCCGATATGAAATATTTGCCTGTGCTCTAAGCAGCGCCCCAGATACAACTCAGCCTATCGACCAAGATGCATACTGCACTCGACCGGGCTATGAAACCATCTCTCATACATATACGGAACTCCTTCGAACCTGCAAACGGATTTACATGGAAGCATGGTTTATGCCATTCCTCTGCTCAGAACACTCCTTTTACATGGCCTGGCGACAGCGCTCCCCAAAACGCGTGATGTCCGTTCCTAGAATGCAAGCCTGTCTTGATTTTATTCACGCGCGCCATGGAGAGGTACAAGGCGGAAGTGTGCGGATCTTCCCACAACTGTGGGCTCTGCAGGGTACCAAGGACTGCGGTGGAGTCTTTAGTATGAGGAACTTCCATCCGAAAACCGTCACAATCACGATAAGATATACCGATACATGGGAGTGGGAATATAATAAAGCGTTATATATGGAAGGAGCTTGGGCTGGGAGGGTTCGACTTCCGGCTAGCGTGACGAAGTTCAAAATAGACTTTGAAAGTATTGAGAGGAGAAAGGACGAAGTCGATCATATCGCGCGTGAACTCGCGGAGAAATGGCGATTCAGGAGATCTGACGGCGTGGATATGGTGGCATCAGGGGAGGATTGTATCAGTTTTTCTCGTTGGACGGGTAGCTCGACGTTAGGTGGTCAAAGATGGCTGCGTGATGAGACACGTCCAGGTCAGCTTGACTATTATGTTGGCACTGTTACTTGGCGTCCTTCGAAGGAACCACCGACGAATGGTCCACTTTCCAACCCTCGTGTACAGGTGACATCGGATCGCCCTGCTGTGAAATCACTGAGATATACCAGTGTCTCAACGGACAGACTTCGGAACGCTGGTGTTCCGGAGGACTGTAATGCTGAAGAAGCTGCTCAATTGCTCTATGAATTTGACAGACAAGTTCAGAGCAGCGATGACGAGGATATGTCTGATGACGTTGATTCGGACGACGATGAAGGAAGCGATGAAGGAAGCGATGAAGAAAGCGAAGAAGAAAGCGAAGAGGAAAGCGATGAAGATGATGAGTCTGAAGAGGACTGAGTTTCGCGTTTTTTGTATGAACCTAGTGATGATCTTGTCCTCCGAGCGATTAGAAAATGTTCTTGCTATACGTGAATTCGATTAGAGCATTTCTGATGGCGGGCAAGTAGTCAACTGGTAATATGGACTGTCAAATGTGACCTTGCGAGAGTAACACTGGCATGGGCAAATTGTATCATTTGTCTTGCCTCTCATAAAATTTGAAGATTTCATTTAGTCTTTAGATTTCTCATGTGCTGTTTTAATATGAGGCTCGATTGGTAGAAAATATGATTGTCGCTGAATACTATAACAGACACGTATTGGTTGCTCATACCTAGTCACAATGGGTTGAAAAAATCAAATTATTTTTTCGTCCAAAGAACAACACAGCATCTTACAGTAGAAGGCAACAGATCATCCTCCATAAGAAAAGAATGCGCAACACTTGGAAGTATGAGAGCGAACGAAGAGCTGGAAGGAATAGCCACACAATCTTGGCGTAAGAGGTCATTCAGTGGTACAGAGTAGAGAAGCCATACATGAAGAATGGAAATTTCAGCCATAGTAGCACTTAAGGCCGCACTTCATTTCGCCCCGAGCGCACTCAATGTAAATGCATCTTTGCTGCGTAGGGGCCCATGCCTCAAAGGGGCTAAAGGTGGCATATGGCGGATATTCGTCATCGGGCACTGTATCACGCGGGCTAAGGCCTTGAAATGGGCCGATGTTGACTTGAGAGAGTTTGGCATCTGAGAGTTGCTCGACACGACTGATAAGGTTTTGAGGGTTGATTGGTTAACTATCAGAGGGTAGGATCCCATCTGTCTTTTTTTTGATAGTCGCATATCGGGCGCCGTGAGATGATGTCTTCGAATGTTTTGGGCGAGATGGGTCTGTGAGTATGCGTGGACAACAATGGTAGTACATAGTACTACCAAGTAATAGATCCCTGATTTTATCTCAAGTCCCTTTCCACTCCCGTACGGATCGGTCCGATCACGGCTGAGAAGGCCCCAGTTAACTCCACTATCCCCACGCAAAATTGAGGGGGAAAAGTAAAGAAAAGAAAAGAAAAGACAGTGAAAATAAACGGTATTTCGGTACTTGTACATCTGGAAATGTCAATTATTTACATGCATGGTGGTAGCACATATTTCCACTATGTCTACCCGATCAACAACTCTTTACTCTTGTATCTTGTATCTTCGTATGTCGCATTGGTCCAGGGTTGTCGCGAGGGTTCAAGGCCGCTTGGGAATCCAGAATAGATCGGGTTTGTCGCAATGGTAAAATATACAAGAGTCCGGAAGGGGAAATGGCAAAGTTGGAAATCGTCTGCAAGGGTTATTTTCGCGTAAGATGGTGTGGGAGTTGAGTATGGATCGAGGAAATGGCAAGGGTTAAATGTCGCAATGGCGTTGATCGGCAAGAGGCATATCGCAAGGGCCAAGGGTATTTTTTTTGGGAGCGCCGGTAGGGGTATATGGCGGGAATTAATGTCGCTGTGGGTCCAGGCTTCGAAGGGTGGCCGGAATGTGTCGCATTGGAACCGCTGAGGAATTTTGAGTGATTAGACAGACGGACCGTGATCCTTCTTCTTGTCCTCAACGAGTACACCATCCTCGGAGAGGTCATCAGCCACGGCCTCGGTAACTGGACCGGTGTATACAGCCTTGCCACGGAGGTACCAGTATACCAACGAGAAGAGCAAGACTGCTGCGACATAAACAGATGAGTAGTTCATCTGCGATCGTATTAGCATAAAGAGCCAGGAGGGAAAGAATTTGAAACCTACGTTCTCAGGTGTAACCGGACGATCAGTTGGCAAGACGAAGATAACGCTGACAAACAATGTCCACAAGCAAGCCCAAGCGTTGACGAAGGGACTCAGAGGTCCCATGTGCCAGGGGCCAGGCTGAAAGTTTCCGAAAAATAACTTGCAGAGAATGGGAATGCAGTAACTCCAGTCCAAGGCAATGGAGCATAGAGTGAAGATACCATCAATGGCAGTGTAAGAACCGAGACCAATCAGGTTGATCGCGATGCAGAAGAAAACGGAAATCCAGACGGCGTACAAAGGTGTTCCAGTCCAGGGTGAAACCTTGGTCCAAACATTGGAGAATGGCAGCATACGGTCTCGGGAAAAGGCGAAGACAGTACGACCAAGGGACTGCATAGCAGTGAATGTGACAAACTTGATGATAAGAAGACCCGCAATGGTGAAGAACATGCCACCACCCTTACCAAGGCTGTTGTAGAAAATCTGAGCAACGGGCTGTTCCATCGCGGAACTGAGAATGGAAGTTGGGTCACCCATGCAGAAGCAAAGAACGATGTTGAACAAAAAGCCAGCAACGTAAGTGAAAAGCATAGCCATAGAGATAGCCCAGGGAGCCTTCTTCTCGGGCTCGCTCATCTCTTCGGTGATATGGGCAGTCGCATCGTAGTCAGTCATGGTCCAACTGACAGAAAGGAAACCAAAGAGCCAGCTGAAGCCGATGGGGGTCCAACCAGTGCTAGATTCCACATTAGTGAAGACATAGTTCGCATCATGTTTGTCCTTGGTCAACACCAGCAGGGCGATAGCACATGCCACAAGCACCGCAATGTGGAAGATCACGTAGAACTTGGTCATTTTCTCCATCCAGTAAGTTGACAAGGAGTTGACAACACCAGTAAGAACAGTCAAAGCAGCCATAACTCCGACAGTAGTATCGGTGGTGATGGTGTAGTTAAAGTCCCGACTCATAGATACAGCAGCCAAAAGCATTTGGGCGGCACCATACTCAGATGAAGCGACACCGGCGACTTGACCCAAGAGATTGAGCCAACCAGTAAGCCAACTGATAGAGGGAACCCATTTAGAAGGCGCCATACGAGAGATCGTGAAGTATAATCCACCAGAGGTGGGGTACGCAGAAACCAATTCAGCGACAGAGCACTATTGGACATGATTAGTTCATGCTTGAACCAAGTGAGGTCATCTAGAAGGGCATATTAAGACTTACCGCGATGCACATACAGCCAGCACCAGAGATAGCCCAAGACCAGACCACTGAACTGCTGCCACCCGCTTCCAAGGGATAGGACAAAGTGGTCATGATAGTTGCGAACACACCACTGATACTGACTGCAAATGAGAAAGTTGCCAGGTATCCAAACTCACGTTTGAATACCGGGTTGTAACCAAACTTCACCGCAAGCTCATTATCGGCTTCAGTCATATCTGCGACAGCGATCCTCTTATGTTGGCCATCTGGTCCGGTGATCTCAACCTGACGTGAATCACGACGATTTCGAAGCTCGTTGATATTAGCCTCGTTGGCCATAGTTAGCTCGCCCATAGTGATGATAAAGCTTGCAGAAAAAAAAAGATAAAAATTTTTCTTTATCGATTTTGCGCGAAGGCCACTCGAGATTAAAAAGAAAAGAAAAAAAAAGAAGTAAAAAAGATCGCGGCCCGAGAACAATTCGGTGGAACCCGGAGAGAAAGAGAAACCGGGCACGAGAGTATGTACGTGAGCGGCTGTCGTGGTTTTGCTTTTTTCCGACCCGCACAGGCTCTTAATCAAGTTAATCAAGATTTAGGAGGTGGTTCTCAATCTACCATTGTGTTATCATTGGGTTAGAGGATTACTGAAATTTCTGCGGAGACCACTCAGCAACCTAGATGTCATCATACGGCAGACAAGATAGCCCCACGGGGCCGAGTTGAAAGCTTGAGATCCTTATTGGCCTATCATACGATTAATACTAATGTAGCTGGTTCCACCTTGTTTAAACGGGCGTTGACTATTGGTGTTTTGGCTATCGGTACCAGCAAAGACCTTCCTAAACTACATTGGGTGTGCATAAGGGGCTTGTCCCTGTCTCAGGATCTTACGCTAGACTGCGACTTTTCCGGGATGATAGATCGGGGAAGCGATCACATGAGCGGATGTGAAAAGTGAGATATCATTCAATCATTTAATCATTCCTTTAGCTTCACGGGGAAGATACCTAGAGTAGATAAAATGTTCCCCCAAGATAAGAACCTGTATGATTTCCAAGGTTATCTCCGAAATGCCGAAGTAAAGAACCCACCCAAAAAAAGTCAAGAAAATCAGTCTAAGTAACGCCTGCTAACGCCACCAGCTAAGCGATAACAAGTTGAACCCGAATGGGTCAGTGCAAGCGATAACATCTTAGAAGATACGCTTGAGCAAGCCAGCCAACGCCTTATCCTGCTTCACAATCTTTCGACTGACAAACATACACTCTGCCTTGGTGTATTCAGCCAATGCCGTATGACTGCGGAACCGTTTCGGGCACTTGTCGCTCTCCCAGCAATCCAGTAGATCCACTAAATTCACGAAGGTTCCCGATAGTGCCTATGCAAGCAATCGTGTTAGTGTAATTCGTCATCGTGGACACCCTTGTCCCTGACAGGGGTTGACAGTGGACCCACCTTGCGACACTGGCGAATGGAAGTGAATTCGCCGGTGATCATGAGTTTTTGACACATTTGCTGCCAAGTATCGAGGTTATTGACCCGAGTGCCAATAAGTCGATCATACTGCTCATCCATGCAGAGATTCCAGTTCTTCTTCCACTTTCTGGATCCTTGGCGCCAACCCATTTTCACTCCCAGGCGTTTGAACTCCTGACTCACAGGCTTCTGAGGGTCATATTCGAAGCGAGGGAATTTGGTAAAGAAATTCAAGGCAGGAATTTCTTCATCAGTGTCTGATTCAAGTGACGGGGACAGGCGAGGCTTTCGGCGAGTCATGATGGATACCTAAGCTTGATAGAGAGAGCCTGAGAAGGAAATAAGATATGATTCAGAGAGGTTTGATGTATCAAGAGGATGATGGATGAAGAAGGAAGGAAGAAGCTAAACTTGGAAGAGGTAAGCGAACGTTTGATAGAACTTAGAGAGAGCAAGGAGACCTTTCAAAGGAATATATGCATGATTGTATGCAAAAACAAAGTTCAAGTTGGCCACATGAGAGATCTCATCTCAAATTTAAGCTTATTTCAACGACTGCATCTCTCATTTCACCATGTGGGGATGCCAGTGGATATTAAATTTCATGACTACGAATAATATACCTGGGGATCTAGTTGAATAAGGAAACTGCGATATAGATGGCTCAAGTTCATGATATTTGTCCAAATAAGTAGGCATAAACGACTGCCCAGGTGTGGTGATTAATGTTGGAAGCTGATTAAAATAGGAAGGCGCGCCCACAACATTTGTTTGAGGCTGTTTTGATAATGTGACGGGCATCTTCATCTGAATTGAACACACTTGACTGATTTGCATATTGCCCCAATGGTTCTTTCTTTCTTGCATATCGGAGCGGCCCTGTTAGGATTTTGTATGAGCTTTCTTGCTTTGAATGCATGGGTTCCATTCAGTTCTAGCTTTGACTATGTGGTGGTCGGGGGTGGAACGGCGGGAATCACAATTGGCGCGCGCCTGGCTCAGCACGGCTCTCGAGTTGCAATAGTGGAGGCGGGAGGCTTCTATGAACTTCAACATCCTGTCGCCAAGGTACCTGGGGCAGCGATCATTGGCATTGGGTCCAATCCAAAGACGGCATCGCCCATCGATTGGAGATTTGTGGTTCATGGTGCTCCTGGTGCAGACTATCGCGACATTCACTACCCTAGAGGCAAGTGTTTGGGTGGATCGTAAGTTCGGTCTTCTTCATTGAGATGTTTCAAATGCCAACTAATAATTCTCCAAAGGTCAGCAGTCAATTTCTTGTTATATCAGCGGTTCGAGCTTGTGGACATTCAAAGAAATACCAGAAACTGACAATCAAATAGGCCAACCCAAGAGGCAATGATGAAGTGGGCTCAGCTGGTCGATGATCCGAGTTATACGCTAGAGAACTCTTTTCCCTTTTTCAAACAAACAATCGAATTCACACCTCCTGGCCTGCGAGATGGAGTCGCCATGCCCTACAACGAGTCTTCATTTAGCCCTTTGGGCGGTCCGTTGCATTTGTCGTATCCGAAATACCCTATGCCATTTTCCAGCTGGGCGCAGCGAGCGTTCACAGAGGCTGGTATACATGAAGCGGAGGACTTCAGTAGTGGATCACTGATCGGACACCAATTCTGTCCGATGACAATTCGACCCAGAGATCAAACGAGGAGTACATCTGAGTCCGCATTTATCGGGGCTTTCCATTATATGGAGAATCTTACCGTTTACCAAAAGACGATGGCCACAAGGATATTGTTTGACAATGACAATCGTGCTGTTGGAGTGAGAGTGAAACACAAATGGTCATACACTTTGACAGCAACGAAGGAAGTAATACTATCGGCGGGCGCATTTCAATCTCCGCAACTCTTGATGGTGTCAGGGGTTGGCCCAGCCGAAATCCTTCAAAAACATGGAATCGAGCTCATCGCTAATCGCTCCGGTGTTGGCCAGAATATGTGGGATCACATATTCTTTGGACCTTCATACCCAGTCGCAATAAACACTTATACCAAGCTGGCGCAAAGTACGAACCATCTTTTGACTCAGATCTTGAACTGGTTTCTATGGAAGAAAGGAATTTTGTCCAACCCTTCAACAGACTATCTTGCCTTTGAGAAAATTCCTCTACAATTTAGATCGACTTTGACAGCCCAAGACGAGCAGGACCTCTCTTGGTTTCCTTCAGATTGGCCTGAATTAGAGGTGAGATTTTCCCAGCACTTCATTTGACCAGGCTGAAAAATTAATTTGTCAAAAGTATCTAGTCGCCTCTGCATATGTTGGTAATTTTTCGAACCCATTTTGGCAGCAGCCGATCACTGGGCAATATGCGAGCATTGTTGCTAGCATTGTTGCACCCACCTCTCGCGGGAATGTGAGCATTCGATCAGCGAACATGGCAGACCTACCGATAATCAATCCAAACTGGCTAGAAACGGAGACCGACCGCAAGATGGCAATCATTGCTTATAGACGTATCCGTGATTTTTTCAACACAAAAGCCCTGGCCCATGTTCTAGCGGGACCTGAGTACTTCCCGGGCCGATGGATTCAAAGCGATGATGAAATATTATCTGTGATCAAACAGACAATGATGACAATATACCATGCTTCATGCACTTGTAAGATGGGGGTTGAGAATGACAGCATGGCGGTCGTGGATAGCCATGCAAGGGTCTTTGGAGTCTCCGGTTTGAGGGTAGTGGATGCCAGTGCATTCCCTATTTTACCACCGGGACACCCTCAATCCACTGTTTGTAAGTTGACAACTTCCCTCCAAGGTTCATTACTTTCTTGCACATACTGACTTCTTTCAAGATATGCTGGCTGAGAAGATTGCTGCCGACATAATATCATCATGATTGTATACAGTCTCACTTCCTAGTATTTCGATCGTGAAGTGGTTCAATTGACTCTGTTGGGTGGACGTTGGGCAGTAAAATACCTTTGGAATCATGAAAAAATGCGCGAAATCATTCATGAGAATTCTAATGCATGTTTCTTTTGAGCGCTATTTAGTTCTAATACCACTTCTCCTCTAGATACATTTGATTCAAAGTATCAAACATATTATAATCGCTTGGCAAAGAATCGGAAGAAAATGCAAAGCCCAAATTGTTCGCAAATAGCTCATCAGAATCAGGAAAATTTTGAGCATCGACAGAGGAATTGGTAGCAAACCCTGGAAGATTCGGCCTGTTCAGGGTGGGATTCTGATTAAGATAGAATGCAAGCGGATTCTCAGAGAACAAGCTCTTGGCATTGAGAATATCATCCAAGATCTCCAGATTTGGAACTGTAGATTCCCAAGAAGCCGTTGAATCAAGTAACTGACATCCGGTATCGCAGGTAGTTTTGCCTTCTCCATCTCCTGGAAGACATGGAAGATGCTCGTTTCCGTAACGATCAAAGTAGAGCTTCTCCAAATTCCTTCCAATTCGCTTGGCAATGTTCCAGGACGTGGAAAGCTCCCTTAGGACCTGGAAGCATAGAGCAACAGCGGCGTGCGGTGACAAGCTGTAAGAGCCTTCTTCCGGCGGATGATGCTTCGTTGTAGACTGTCCAGGGCAGCATAGCTCAATGATAATCAACGCTGTTGACAGTGTGCAGTGAGTGGCCGTGATTGGACTCAGCTTGAAACTGCCGAAGGTTTGTCTGTATTTTTGTGCGATGATGCAAACTGAGCGGACTGAAGAACTGCTACTTGAAAGGGCTTTTTGTAAACGTATGCTTTTTGGTGAGTTTTGATCCATCTCGACTAGCTTTCTTGTTGCGTCACCTTCTTTGTCTTTAAATTGTTCGTAACGGGATATGAAGGGGCAGCAGAGCAACATCACGGTTTGGTGGTATACCATGGACAACGTGTAGGCGTGGGGAAATTGTGAGAGGCCTGATGGGCGATCGACCTTGAGTTCGGAGGGTAAGTCATAGTACCATGTTTTGAGCTCTAGGATACAAGAATCAAAGAATGCTGAGCGCTGGCCGCATTGAGTAAGTGGCTTTGGGGACCATCTAGTAGGAAAGTCAGCAAGAGATCTCGGACGGTAGCACGGAATCTTACAATGACTGCAACACCTTCTCGATGATACGGCACAAATCAATCATCGACCGATGTAACTGGACTGTATCCCTCTGAGATGCCGCTCGAGGATTTCCGTTGGCAGACGGTGAAGAAAGGTCCGATACGCATTGGAGAGAAGGCTTGTTCACAGCACCCTGAGAGTCCTTTGCGGTTGTTATTGAAAAGTTCTACAAAATGTAGCACAGTTGGGAGTAATTCAATGATAGCATACCAATAATGTGCAAACCCTTCCAGTGTAACTTGCCGACAACTTGTCGTGGCAGTATAGAGCCCAATAAATTTGTCTCCGTAACTCAATCTCAATTTTTGGAAGCGAGACAGTTCCAGTGAGAACTGCAGGGTCCATATTGAGTCCCATATCAATTGCAAGGCGATTAGCCATGCCTTGGTGAAGCCAACCAGCAGCATCAGATCCCATTGCCTAAAATAATTCGTAATTAGTATGTTGAATATGAACTGAGGGGAAGGATGCGACTCACGATGTAAAATATTCCCATAATCGCTAAAGACTGAATTGTTGTAATCTTAGGCCAGCGAAGGTCATTTTGAATCAGCTTCTCTGCCGTGCGAATAAACATCTTTCCCGCCGTATTAGAATCATTTGGGTCGGTTCGAATTTCGATTCGGTCACAATAACGTGAGCCAACGGCAAGGATGCAGTTCAATAGAAGGTTACTGCAATATCGACCCCCACAAGCTAGACTTTCGCGGAACAACGTCTCGTTCACAACTTGGGACCACGGTTGTTCCCAGTCAAAATATAAATTAATCAAATGAGCTTGAAGCTCGGCGGATATGATTGGTGCGACTGGTTCGATCTGATCATCACAAACTTGATTGACACAATGTGGAGATACTAAACTTGCTGTTCCTCCTGTACTTGTAGAGCAGCTGGCACCACAAACATCCGTCTGGTCGTGATGAGTTTCCGGGGAGTCTTTCAAGTTGGATCATTAGAGAATACTTGTCAGGCGGGATGCACCTGCAAAGACTCACATTTTGTTGAAGACTGGAAGAGGAGTCTGCCGCTAGTTGGTCCAAAGTAGCGAACCTCACCATCCTGGTCGAAATTCAAAGATTCATCTATAGTTAGAGCACCCTCAAATGTCACGCATAAATCATCCTCCACAGGCGAGAGACCTCCGTTATTAGAGTCCTTGGATTGATATTGGACATCGTTTTCTGCTACAATCTCTGCAACAGAAGCTTCGACATCAATGCCGTGATTTTTCAGAACTTGTTCTAGGAGGTCTATCCTATTCCGCAGCATGACGACATATGACTTTGGAGCCGGCTGCCTCCCATCTTCAGCAGTAGAATATTGGCAGCGAACGCCTCGGTCGAGACATCTTGAGCAAGAGGGACGTGTGCCATCACACTAATCAATTATTATTATTAAGGGTTTCATTCATAAAACATCAAATTGGTCTTACATACCTTCGCTCGTCTTCGGCGACATTCTTCGCAGGCTCTGGACGTATATTTTCTCCCAGCCCGTTTACGCCTGGCCGTGTCATCATTGGGTATCGTCTGGTTTGATGACATTTTTCCTTCGCCAGCCTCAAAGCAAGCTAGAGAATGATCTCAGAACTCATATGGAAGAAAGAAGAAACGACATCTCGTATTACAAAGCAATATTTACACCATATTCCCCAGGCATCAAGTACGTCAGTTTTGCTGCCTGATAGTAGGCCTAAGGCCAAAAGTTGTTTAACCTGACTCCTAAGGCACCCCGAGGTTAAAAAACATCACAAAACATCTCACATTCAAATATTAACACGCGCAATCATGGCTCATCCTAATTCTTCTTTTACACTAACCCCTTCAAAATGAACCCATACTTTACCATTCGAATGCCTCCTCAAAATAGTCAATGTCCTGGAATCCCCTCCTCATGGCGTCAAATAAAGAACTACGGCACTCGTCGGCCATCTGGGCGGGGCCACAGGTTAGAACACCCAGGTTGGTGGAACTATTACGAGCTTCGTTCACCTCAGTGGCAATAGTAACCCGAATGTTGGGACGACCGGGCATGAACTGAGCACTTGCACCACTGCTGGTGGGTGACACGGTACCCGAGGCTTTGGTCTCGCCCACAGAAGCAACAGTCGGGGAAACTTCCTTGGAGGCACTGATGTCGGAATCCGACTTAGCTTCCACAGATGTAAGACGGGTACAGAAAAGTGTTGTTGTGATATCGGGATGCTCGAGAACATGGGCTAACTGCTCACTGAAGACATCATCGAAGATCTCTCGCTGTCGAACAGACCACACAAGTTGGATTCTTGTGGTCTTGGTCTTGCCCTCTTTCACACGCTGGATGTGATCCAGAAGATACGGCACCGCTGCGGCAATACCCGTTCTACCGAAAACGATGAGAATGGTGTTGAATGCGTACAGTGGCTCGGAATGACAATAAGGACCCTCGAGAAGAAGCTTGGGGTGGATAGGGGATTGAGCCTTGCGACATTGATTGCGAAGTCGACGAGTCCATCCATCATACGGACGAATCCAGAAGACGAGTTTGTTTCCAGCAGCTGTCGAAGCTGAGCCCTCAGTTTCGGCTTTGGAGGCAGGCACCCAGGCACCGAGTGAAAAGGGGTGGTTTTCCCAGCCTCGCAAAGTGACGGGTTGATACAAGAAAAAGTGTTGTCCGATGCTTGGCTTCAATCCCGTTGCAGCTGGCGTCATCTCAATAGTGATCAAATCGCTTGACTCGTTGTAGGTAACTGTAGCGGACGTTGTAGACTGGAATTGCTTTCCAAATCGGACGTTCAAATTGCAGCATGCAAGGCGTCCGAAACGCACGAGACGCTCCAGAATCCAAAGGGCAACTGGAGACCAGAGGTAACCAACGAACTCTTGTCCATCAAAGTTGGTATGACTGTGGAGACGTTAAACCTTGTTTGTATTCGATTCTGATTCCAGCATTGACTTACCGGAAAAGTGCATATATCGTGACCAAGGCGAAGACAACATGGATGATGATGAAAGTCTCATACGAGCGTCGACGGAATAAAGTCATAGATTGGATCAGCATGAGTGACATGAGAATTGTGGCCTGGTGGCATGTCAGTTTTAACCAAGTCAGCTCAGCGATAAGGAGCACTAACCACTACGCCCATATAGAAATAGTTTTGCTTCCAAGCAGAGTAGTATCGAGGGTCTTAAAAAGATCAGCATATAGAACTTTGTTTCCCCATCATACCACCATGCAATAGGAGGGTAAAAGGTCGGTACTCACCATAAAGGATAAACACGACTGTATAATTGATGGAATGAACAATGGCGTAGATAGTGCATACCCAAGCGACGTGGCGATGGAACATGTTAAACGATTGGACATTGAAGTTTGTGACCCATAGGAAGATGTTGTTACGACCGCTAAAGAGCCACAGGAAAGGAAGGCAGGCGTATGAAAGAATTCCAGTTCTGTCAGAGGTATACTGCCAGTTCTGTTGAAAGAGATTTGGTGTCCTATAATAAGAGAATGATGAGATTTCAAAATTCTTGAGACCTTGGAAAGGCGAGGAAGGCTTACTCGAGATTGCCAACGAAGCTCTCGTAGTTCACACAGCCAAGAATAATACTGACAGCCCAGAATCCGAAAACGATCAGAGCGTCGAATCGCTTGGGGATAGCGTGTGACCACCAAAGTTGCTGATGTCTATCAGATGCTGGGGCAAATGTAGCCGGCGTCATGATATAGGTACGGAAAGCGTGATAAACTGATGCGATAGGGTTCTTCTTGGTGGCGACACTCCGCATTGCAAGACGTGTTTCTGGGTCATAAGTCCCACGAGTGGCTCGCTCGCTTGCTTGAAAACACTGTCCAAGCTTTGGAAATCATGCCAAGAACCAAGATATCACCCCAATATCCCATCAGGGCCCATCCAAATCGCTTGTCCTTCGAGATTTCATAGTCGTGTGTGACCTGTTGATGATGGTCAGTCAATGCCATGTCACCAAAAGGGAACTTCAAAACTTTTCGTTCACTCACATAAGACTTATAGGCTATCTTGTAGTAATGCTGACTGAGCAGAACCACTTCATCGATGGTTCCAGTAGTAGTTGTACTGTTGTTGTCTGGGTCGATTTTTGATAACCCATCGATATACTCATCGGTAAGTTTGGCTTCAATTGAAGTCAAGTTCATGAGGGTCAAGCTACTTTGTTCGCAGAGACTTTGCCAGTATGGGATTGCGGCTTTGAAATCTTTACCAGAACGCCAGGCTTTGGCACTGGCATACATTGAAGTCACCTCGATTGTGCTATTGCAAGGTCCGGTTGAAGTACCGGATGATCCTCCATGCCCTCTTTTGTCCAAGGTGAAGTCGCGCTTCCTGCCATGAGGTGTCACTTGAACATTGGCGGAAGATGAGGCGGAGGCAGAGGAGGAGCTCGACGTTCCGTTCGATGAAGAGCTTGACGAAGAGCTGGAAGAAGATCCATGGGACTCGCTCCCACTGGAACTAGATGAGATCGTTACACAACCTTCGAACGCTATACTCTGACAATATGGTATAGATGGTGTAAAAACAATACTCATTTAGGTTGGAAGCTTGGTTGTGACTCGAACTGCCACCACCTTGACCGGCCAATACTGGCCTGCTGGCCAGGAGAAGGGCCAGGGCAGAGGCGGCAAAACGCATTTTCATTTATTTGGCGGACAGAAACGATGCATGCATCAGATTGAAGATATTGGACTATCTTTATACTTATATGGCCCAAAATGGCGTATGGGGCGCCGATTACACGGAAAAACCAATACCAATCGAGGTATATGGGCCCAAGCCACAGAAGCACTGGTATCCAGATTTTCCGACGTCGGTTTAAGCCGACATCATATTTCGACGAGAATTCTTCATCTATATGCATGTATGAAGGTGGGTCAACGGTCTCTCGCGCACCAACCACCAAGGTCCGCTGACCAGCTGTAGCATGCGTGTACTATCTCCGCTGCGAAGTTGACTCGGATATTAAACAGGGAAAATGGATATTTAGTAAGTAATTCAATAGGATTGCCTAGGGCGCAAGCTCATATTCCCTCTTGGCTCCCAAGGGAGAAAATGTATAGATATCTCAGCCGAGGGTATGACTACCAAGTTAGCAGTCATTTTTTCTACTCCGGCACCGTCCGGGTGGATACATTGAAGTCCGAAATATCCATTTCTAGAAAGACATTAGAGAGTGGGATGTGTATATGGGTCCATTTCATTTTTGGTGGATCTTTATGGAAGTTGGATTACGCGTTTGGTAGACCTTGGAAGTATATCCAATTGCCCCGCATGCATTTGCTACGCGGACCATGAGGGGTTCAAAGTTGACAGTTGGAGAACTTGAATTCCTAGTCGAGACAATACTTCATAATAAAAAAGTAATATTCATCATAACGGAAAATAAAAGGTTAAGCCTTGCAAACTTGGAGCAAAAAGTGAGTGTTGAATGCGTATTGACAGTCATCGTACTAGCATGAGCGCTTCAATTGGGAGTACTACTGCCGAGTCTCCGAGGATTTTTGAAATCTCCGCACGCGCACGGTAGTATTAACAAAAACACTCGGGATATTCTCTTTTTTCAATACCGAGATCTTGGAGCCTTTGAATATTTGCTAGAGACAGTGCTGAAGCCCTAGAGCGTAAGTTCTTGGCAATGTATGGATACTCTCGGCGATATACAAGATTCACCTACAAAAAGCACACAATTGGATTAAGAGGGTGCATATGTGGAGTCAAATTCCGGAAAACTCAAACCAGTGCCAAAACTTGAGCCCAAGTTGGCACCAAGACCAGCGGAGCTTCCCACGCATACTAAACTTGGTAGCTGAGGCCGAGGCGTGGCGACAATTCGAGCTATACCCTTTTAAAAGAACATTGTAAAAACCCTGCCGAGAAGTCATACCACCAGTGGGGCAAGACGCAGTGTCAAATGGGTGAATGGAACTTGAAGTTGGATTACATTTGCGTGGCCTGTATTTCTTCAAAGATTGATCTCGGTATACTCCGAACCCTTTGACCCAAGGATGGAAGAGTGGATCCGTCGTGGGTAACTTAAGGAAAATCCGATCTTGATGCAATGCGAGATACAATCCTTCAACTAGTCTCCACTAACATTGACCCTTCGTCCAAGCAAATCGAAGCATTCGGGAGCTAGTACCATGGACTGCCAAGCCACGGAGTCAAATGCCAAGCAAGCTTGGATATTCTTCATCGTCTTGGCACGCCCTCTTATCCCAATTCAGGACGAGTTTGCGAAGAGCCCCACTGCAGGTTCAGAAGTTAATCTTATCTGACCATCACCTGGAACAGACCATGACTCGCGTGAGTGCCTGCGCGCACCTCAACCATTTTTCGAATCTCGTGAACCAACTTTAACTTCCACTACATTAAGTCTGAATTACACTCTCACAATAGACCTATACCCGCTTTCATACTTTCCAGTACCAACCCACTCTTAAAACTTGACCCCTTCTGCCTCAGGGTGAAGAGATCAATTGAATCTTTTGGATTTCTCCCATGTCTCATGCCCTGACGCCTGGTATAGACCCCAGGCCTAACATTTAAAAATGTAACGCTCATTTGGTGGGCTCAACAGTCTCCCTGGTAACTTCAACGGTGGTTTTGTCGTTGAAAATGGCGGATTTAATCTGGTGGATGGCACTCTCATCCCTTGTATCCATTCCATCCAGCTTCTTGTTGGCAAGGGTCTTCAAGCCCGGAACACGGCCCATCAGAGTCCAAAACTGATGTGCCAGCGGAGCTCGGCCAGTACGTTCCGAGTACATCATCCAGGAAACACAGCCGATAATGAAGATCCAGTAAACGTTGTAGCTGATGATAGATCCATATGTACCGGTGTTTTGCCATCCCAAGATAGCCTGGAACACATCCCATGCGTTATCACTCTCGGGATTGCAGCAGTTGACATGCCAAACAGTTTCCAGGATGTTATATGAGCCTGCTCCAGAGCCCTCCTCCGATACGTCACTACCAACTCCAACCTCAAACTGGTAGTACTGGAGACTCCAAACCGCCTTGGAGAACATACCAACTGCGATAAGGTAAAGAACGCAAGTGGAAGCAATAAGAAAAATTTGGATTGACACGACATTACCACCGCGGTAGATCAGCCAGCCACATAGGAGTCCAGTGATAATGCCAGTAACGACGGGAAGAGGGAAGGCAGTTGCAAGATATCCGAGTGAGACACCACCCACGAAAACCACGGCCTCGACACCCTCACGCATTGTTGTAATCAATGGCAGAATGAACATGGCGTAACGACGACCCCAGTCACTGCGCATCCACCGAGACTTTCCTTGGTTCTTCTCGACAAGAGTCTTTGCAATCTTCACTCGCCACTTCTGCTTGGTCTTGTTGATGCGAAGAAGAGCAAGACCCATGACAGTGATCATAACCTTTTGATATAATTAGCAAGTCAAATTATTATTAAGATGCTGAAGGAGAGCTCACAGTTGCAATAACATAGAAGATACCCTCCCACAAATCCTCCGAAGTTGACCAGGCATCATGACCAAGACCATAGAAAAGACCGATGAAGATAGCACTGATACACAAGCATAGTATTACTCCCACTATTGATCCGACATATACTTGTTTCTTTAACTTCTTGTATATGACCTGGTCCTGGTGTGGCTGACCAAGAAATTGCTTCAGGAAGGAAAGGAGGACTGAAACAATGATGATAGCCTCCAGACACTCACGGAGGACAATGAAGAAAACTTGAACAGCGAAAACGTTGACCATTGTGGCGGTTGTGGAGGATTTTGGTGAAAGAATTTGAGCACTTGAGTGTTTTCTTGGGTCAAATGTCCACTCTTCTAAGTATTTTAAAGAAGTAGAACAGCGTCTGATGATAACGGCCCGTGCATTGAAACTTCAATCCCTTCTTCAGACTAGTTTCTTGGGCTCATGGAAAGTCAAGCTACGCCAAAATCAGATAAAAGCTCCGCCGGCAATTTCGACAACAGAATTCCGCCCGCTTCACGGATCCGAAGCGCTCCACTACGAGACACATTTTGATCTTGATCACCCGATCCATGGACCTTCAGTTGCCCGGATCCCTAGTTGCTTGGCATTCTGGTATAGAGTCACCTCGCTTGAATTAGATTGAAAATGCCGCGTAGATGGCAAGTGAAAAAAGTTGTATGCCAAGGTTTGATATAATTTCGGGACCAAGGTGGACGATCAATGTAAGAAGAGTTTTCAACTGTTTTAAATCTATTGTTTGCGATACTATCCATGTGGCTAAAATGAGTAGTATGACTTGGAAATATTCTTATATTCTCCACTGTAATGATACCAATGAGTTATCCAAACCTTGCTTCAAATTCTTCAAAAATGTTAATGAGAAGGCTCTAGCGATTTACTCATTTTCATCTTGAATATCTGTCCCATTTCGTCTCTTTGATGCCCAAGTGCGAGAACTCAGTGAGACCTTTGTTTTTTTTCGATTTCTTTCAAAGTTGAATCTCACGTCGTCCCTCAAGTGCCGGAGATCCACAATTTCAGCCTTCTTGGCAGCCCTGTAAGCCATAGCTACGATCTCGGAGGCATACAACGCGCCAAGTGGATCTGCGGCGTTAGAGCCGCGTGGAATAGCAGCTTGGGTTTTTTATCAGACCCCACCAGTCCCACGCCTGTCATTGCCGTAAACGGTAGATGTTTGCGAAATTTACAAAGTGGAGGGATGAGGCGAAGAGATGAACTAGTGACCCTTTATCTGATTTGGAAATAACCACCGAATTTTTTCTCGGTCTCGTGGCGCAAACTCTGAGTATCAATCAGTAAGTATCCACGACACTAAATTAGTGTCTGGTATTTTTCGGAATGTATATCACGCGATATGCAAGAGGGCCAAGTCGTGGCAGGCTGGAAAGGAAAAATTTGAAGAGTGAGGATCTGGAATTCTGGGATGAATACAAGAATTATTCCCCTGGGCCGGGAATCATCCCAAGTTCCCCTCTCAGCTTTCACATCTGGTTCTGACTCGCAACGATGTGGAACCCCATTGCTGTTCTTGGAGCTCTCCAGCTCCTCGTGGGAGCTTGTGCAGCCGCAACTCATGAACTCAACTGGAATGTGACCTGGGTCATGGCCAACCCCGATGGCCTGAAGGAGCGCAAGGTCGTCGGCATCAACAACCAATGGCCCCTCCCAACTCTCAAAGTCAACAAGGGTGATCGAGTTGTTGTTCACATGCACAATGGACTGGGGGACAAGAGCACATCTATTCATTGGCACGGAATGTACCAGAATACGACAAATGATATGGATGGTCCCTCCATGATTACCCAATGTCCTGTCGCTCTCGGATTAGCTACGACCTACAACTTCACTGTCAACCAGAACGGCACATACTGGTATCACTGTCACACTGACTATTGTTATCCCGACGGTTACCGCGCTCCTTTTATCGTTCATGATAATTCATCTTATTTCTACGATGACTACGATGACGAGATGACGATTACCATGAGTGACTGGTACCACAAGCTCGCTGAAGACATAAAGCCCACATTCATGTCTTTATACAACTCTACAGGTGCTGAGCCCATCCCACAATCCTTCTTGTTCAACAACTCGATCAGCCAGAGCTATCCTGTTGAGCCTGGAAAGACATATCTCATTCGTCTCCTCAATATCGCTGCATTTGTTGCCCAGTATTTTTGGATCGAGGATCACACAATGCGAATTGTTGAGATTGATGGTGTTTATGTCGATGAGGCTGAAGCGGACAAATTGTATATTGCTGTCGCTCAGAGATACTGAGTTCTTGTTACAATGAAGGAACTCCACTGAGAAGAATTGCGGCATGGTTATGGTGGCCGATTTGAGTCTTCTGGATACGATTCCCTCGGATCTCCTGCTGAATCAAACTAATTGGCTTGAATATAACTCAAGTGCCGCCCACAAAAATGTGACCATGCCTGTTTCGGATTCTAGTGACCTGATTCCATTTGATGATATCAGCCTTGTCGCTCATGATCGTCTTGAATTATTCACAGATGTAAAAAAGAAGATTGAGCTCACTGTCGTTATGGAAGATCTCGACAACGGGCAAAGGATATGCTCTTTTGAACAAAATTTCCTACACAGCACCAGTAGTCCCAACTTTATACACCGCTATGAGTGCAGGAGATCAGGCGAATGATGCGGAGATATACGGAACCTACACTCATAGTGTCGTTCTTGAAAAAGATGAGGTTGTAGAGGTCATTCTCAGCAACCAAGACACAGGGTCTCATCCCTTCCCTTACATGGCCACAACTTCCAGCTATTGGACAGATTTCCACCGTACGGAGCCAGCTTCTTTGACTACGATGCCGGAACCTCCTTTGCCACGTTTGATGAAAACAATCACACTGCATTCCCGACTTATCCTGCTCGCCGCGACAATTTCATTCTTCCTCCCGGTGGATTTTATGTCATTCGTTTCAAGGCCGATAACCCTGGTGTTTGGATATTCCACTGTCACATTGACTGGCATTTGATGCAAGGTCTAGCCATGACTTTCGTGGAGGATCCCTTTGCCATTCAAGACACTACTACCATTCCTGAAGATCACATTGAGGTCTGCAAAGCTGCTGGTGTGCCCTATGAAGGCAATGCTGCTGGTAACACAGAGGACTACACTGATTTGAAGGGTCAGAATAAGCCCCCCTGGTTTCATTCCACCAGGCTTCACTACGCGTGGTATTGTTGCTCTTGTCTTCTCTGTTGTCTCTGCCGCCGTGGGTATGATCGCTATTTCTATATACGGTGTTTCCGATCTCAAATTTACTATGACTGAGTCGGGCATGGGCGATGAGAGTGCATCCATTGGTGAAGTCACTGAGGTTTCATCTGAGTATCGGGATTAGATGAACACGGTATTTTGTAACTAGTAATAGCTGGAGCTTGAAGAGTGGGTTTGACCTATTCAAATGGTGCTTTTTGTTATCTGTTTTAATATGCAGTCTGTCGATTTTATGATAAAGAATCAAATGACTTGATTATATGACCTGGATGTTTTCATCTGAGGTAATAACTCTGGAAAAGTACATATTTTGACGAGTCTGAGGATGACCTATACACACTGCAGGTACCCTTGGAAAATTGACAGGCTCTCAATTATCCATATTCCAATGTTCCTCTCACATTTAATTACCATCTATGCTTGGAACATGATATTATCAATCTGGTCGCATCGCTTCTCCCTTTGTAGATTTCCACTAGTGAAGTACTCAGTCAGTAGTATGTACAGGTACTTGGTGACGTACCCCTCTTTTCATGTAAGTAGCTACAGGGTTACCTACGGGGTTACCTGCATGATAACCTGGAAGGGAGGGCTACCTGCTATATAGTTAGATAAAGTAGGCAACTGGCCTATGTAGGGAGAAGCTATAGGTTAATTCTGCCCCTCTGTTGCCAGGCGGGGAGGAAACTCGAAAAACCACTGCAGCCCAACTTGAAGTAGGAAAAGAGGTCTATTTTGGCAAATTTCGTTAGTAGCATCTGTGTTCCAGGGAATATTTCCCCCTGTGAGTCTCAGGCCTTCAATTATCAAACCTGGTATACCAGGCATCAATCCCATACTAGCACCTGGCAGCTGCACGGTGCACCAGTAGACATATCCCCCATGAAAAACTATTAAAGGAATTCTCCATGGCTAGTGCCTTGATTTATGAGAACTTGCCAGTGATTGGCATATAGGTGCATATGTGGACTCGGATGAGTACTAGTACTAGCTGATGATAACTACATCTGTAACTACTAGGAACTAGTATACTAGTGGTGACATCTGGGCTTCCTTAAACACTGGCATCCATTCAAACGTTTGGACCTTGGACGGTTGGCAGTCGTGATGTTCGGATGAATACTAGTATTTGAATATACCACTACTCAGCAAGTGCTAGTATGTATTACTAAATAAAACCTTGGGTGCACATACTACTGGCACTGAAAAGAGCTGAGGCGGATCAATTCCAGACATATACCAAACGGGTTTTAACTTCAGTGTTCGAATGTTAAACTGAACCGAGTCCAAGAACGTACTGGATCTCTACTAAATCCATGCATGCCCTGAGAAAATTATGGAAACGGCGGCATCTCATATAGACGCCACCCAGTCAATCTGTTACGTAGAGCAATAGCGGCTTCATGCAGACAGACTAACAAAGATGATGATTGGGCCACGATATGTGGGGGAGTTAGAGAAGCATAAAGTTTCTTCGGGGAGTATCATCATCCTAGGTCAGTCACTCGGAGGTACAGCCAGTCATAACGTGGAGAATGTTTGAGGTCATGCCGGATCCTCGTCACAGAGATGAAATGTTGCCACCTTCCAATAGAAAGGATGTTTTCATAACAACGTCCATGGGGGTTTCTCTGTTTCATCCTTGGGAATAATCACGAAAACGGATAGCATTTCCACTTCTCCTTACCTATGTCATATTTGTATCATATATTTCCCATCAGCTGACACTACCCCGCAGACCCGGGGATCTGAAAGACAGTGGAGTCAAGGGATCGCCGGTCCACCCAAACCTAACATTCAACATTCCAGGAGAGTCATGAGTTCTCAAAAATGGGGGTTTAGAATGAGTTTGTTTTTATCCTCTTCGGATCCTGGCGGTACCAGTAAAGGCATCAAACCCAGGTTTCTTTGTGGGACAGGTTGGTGCAACTGGTCCTGTCCATAACAGTTGAAAGGAAGTCAATATTTCGGATTAAACGTTCTCAAGAAGGGTAATCTCAGATGTCCCTCCTTATTGAGTTTTTATCTGATTCTTTTATTCCTTCTCTTGACATGTGGGGTCAATTTTGTCCAGTTAATAGTAGGTGCTTGTAGACCGCTTTAGATATTCAAGTTACGCCGTGTACAAGCGAAGTCCGAGTCAGTGTTTTGTCCTGATTGGTCTAAAATGGGACTCAATGATTCCTATCAATCGGAATCATCTCCTAATGGACACAGGGATTGAATTTCCTATATGAAGTGGAGGCGAGGTGCAGCTCGTTACGAGAGCTATAATAGGATTCGGAATTCTAATGTTATTATTGCGCACTATTTTCTTTGTGCGTGTGTACCCAAAAAACCGCACAAATGAATGAATTTCTGTCAGGGATTAAGGGTATAGACTCTTTCAAGGTTGGGTAGATCTTTTTTTCAAATTCTGTCTCCTTCAGGGGGGAAACACTGCATAAACTCCTCCATACTCGTACCCAACCTGATAATGCAGGCTATCATAGACTGATCAAAAGTACCAAAACAAAAAAACCAAAATCCTCGCATCCAGACTTAAAAGCTAATGAAGACTGCATCTGCAGAGACTCCGAGTCCTCAACTTGAAGTACCCCAAATTAGTAGTAATAGGATATTATAGGTCAGGATATATTAAACAACGTCGTGAGTAAGGGTGGTCAGCAAACAAGGGTTACGATAAGAGAGACAGAAAAAAAAATATAAGATCAAAAAAATGAATGAAATGAGATCAAAATCAACTAAGATCCATGAATCTCCCACCATATATGAAAGAAACAAGATGACATTCCGGGGGGTTTCTCCTTGTAGAACCAGTGTCAAGACTATGAGAAACACCGCGTAAGGTGGTGCAGAAGGGAAAAAAGAGACACACGACCCAGTTTTCTTCTCTCTCCGCCCAATCATTCCTCAACTTTCCACCTCCCCTCCCTCTCAGATCACCCTTCTCCTTCTTGTCCCTTTTTTTTTATTTCTTTTTTTTTCTTGCTTGAAAGTAAAAAAAGGGTTACGAAAAAGGATCTCTCCCCTAAGATCCCTCGATTCTGGCTATTCTCATCCCTTGTCTTTAGGCCCCCCCGTCGACGTTGACGTCGATGATACTGCGCGTCGACTCGAATCGCGCTGTTCCCCGCATAACGGTTTCCGTTATCCTCCGTCTCACTAAACGAAGAGTTGTCTGTGTGCCCAACTGACACGAGCCGTCGAACGTCGTGTACCAACCGATTGCCATTGATCCTCGTCGAAAAACCATGGCCTGTTGATGTCACGGATGAATTCATAGTCAACCAGGCCCAAGAGCACCCGCTCTGCCCTCCAGCAGACGGTTCTGCTTGGCTCTCCACAAAACTCAAGTGGACTAGCTTCTTCTCTTGTTTCGATTTGCTCACCCCTAGTGGTCGGCTGGATCTACTCATTTGCGGTAGATTCTAGCCCATCCGCGTCACCATGGCCGACAATGGCTCTCCGAAACCCCAATTCCTCGCGCCTCCGGCCGTGACCGCGCTGCGGCAGGAGGCCCGGAACATCAACCCGAAAATGACAAGATCCTTGAGTGAGAATATGAGAGAGGAGCGAGAGGACCTGAAGGAAGCGGCGGAACAGACCCTCAACATTATTGTTGACTTGGATCTGGAAGGTCGTATCAAATGGGTCAGTCCTTCGTGGCGACAAGTGGTGGGATCGGCCCCGGAGTCGGTGGAAGGCCGTATGATCTCAGAATTGTTGCTGGGAAACAAGGATGTTTTTCGAGATGCGATTGAGGCTTTGAAGGAGGATGATTCACGGAGTCGCTTTATCCGCTTTGCAGTGCAAATGGGGCCGGACTCTGTTCTGAAATATGCGCCTGAATCGCGTCCGCTTGAAACACCGGAAGAGACTGAAGAATCAAAAATTGAGGGGACGATATCAGACCCTTCGCAGGTCGAGGGTGACCAAAACAATGATGTGCTTACCATGGAGGGGCAAGGTATCATGGTTTATGAGCGCGACGAAGATGGACATGTATGTTGTTTTTACGATCTCCCTTCTTCCCATTTCTCTTAAACATGCTTTTTGGGGTCAGGTATTGACAATCAGTTAAAAAAAAATGCAGTCGATGTGGATGTTACGACCGTTTACCAAACCGAGAGAAGTGACCATTGATCTCCCACATCTTCTGGTGGAGTCCCTAGGTGTGGGAGCTGAAGTGCTCGCGAATTACTTGACAACACTGGCCGAGGCCGCTGCCAACGAACCGGATCCTTCGAAGCACCCTGCCCCTACTCCTGTATTGTGTCGAATTTGCGAGCGTCAGATTACACCATGGTGGTTCGAGAAGCACTCGGATTTGTGCTTGCAAGAACATCGAGCGGAGATGGATGTACAACTCGCCCAGGAAAATCTGAATGAGCATCGACATGTGATTGTGAAAGTATTGGATGCCCTGGAGGCTCGACAAGGACGACCGTTGATCGGCCCCGATGGGAATGTGATGCCACTTTCTCAGCCGGAGTACAAAGGCTTACCCATCGGTCCGTCTCCTGTCAGCTCAACCCCGTCATCCGCTCCAGTATCAAGTGGAAACTCGGCACCTGGAACACCACCTCGATCTAGAGACCATTCGGCTTCTGGTCTCCCTGCGATGGGTCGTCCCCGATCTTTCACTGTACGCCGTCCGTTGGCTCGCATCGTGGAGCTGGTTCTCGACCTCTGCGATACTGCCTTGGAAATCAGCATGCCAATGATCAAAGAATCATCACGGGCAGAAAACCCAGAAGATTTCCGAACACTATCTCCACAATCGGAATCTAGAATTACTCAGGTGTTTCAGTGGCAGTCCCCCAGCGCCAACACATTGGAGCAGGAGCAGGGCCTTGCCGCTCTGGCGAGCGATACGGAACAAGTTGCAAAGTTAAAAGTTGATTCTGTGGTCCGTCATCGGAAAATTGTTGAGTATGCCGAGAGAATCCGTATTGAATATACTGTTCTAGTGGAAGAATGCATTACAGCTGCCCTCAGCAAGGCTGAGCGTATAGCAGCTGGCCAGCTCAGTGATTCATCATGTTCATCCGATGAGGAGGTCTCCGAGGGCACTGCTCTTGGACAGAACTGCATCATTGACTACAACCATCCACTTGTTCCTCTCCCAACACACGATTCGCCAATGCCAGACCCCTCTAGTCAGGAATCTTTGCTATCCCAGTCCCGACCCGCAGGACCAACCCCGCGTAAATCGACAACATCTGCACTTACAATGTCCATGCGCAATTCCCCAGATCGTTCCTTGCTGGGGCAGATAGATGGAAAGTCATCCTCGTCTGCAGCAGTCTCAACAGGGTCGAACAGTCCCATGGAGTGTCCTACTCCACGATCTTACAAAAGTGCTGCAGGATTGCTGGGAACTTCCCAGCCAGGCCGCAGAGGTATTTCGCTTGCGGATATTGATCCTGGAGATAGTAGCGATAGTAGTATGCCGTCCTCAATCTTTCCAAGTGCTATGCGAACTGATTCGCCATCATCCGAGCGAAGTTTCGATCGAAAGCGGAGAAGCCTGGTGCTTCCCGGGTTGTCTAGTTCTCCTCGTCGACAGCCATCTCCTGCGCGAGTTTCTGGTCCGCACTCCCCATTACGGATGCCCAAACCTAGGCAATCCTATGGTGCAGAAAGCTTACCATCACCGGTAGTATCTCCGTCTACCTACGCATCCGAGCTCGCTCACAGCTACCGTCACCACCGTCGCCAGTCATCGGCTACTTCGTCAGATGTCGCAAAACCACCACCTTCGCCCCGTCTTCCATCGGTCAGCCAGCAGCCGCGCCCTGCCCCACCGTCAATCAAAGATTTCGAGATTATCAAGCCAATCAGTAAAGGTGCCTTTGGTAGCGTATACCTGTCTAAGAAGAAGTCAACAGGCGAGTACTATGCCATCAAGGTCTTGAAGAAGGCGGACATGATTGCCAAGAATCAGGTTACCAATGTTAAAGCTGAACGTGCCATTATGATGTGGCAAGGAGAGAGTGACTTTGTTGCTAAGCTCTATTGGACATTTTCAAGCAAGGAGTACCTCTATCTGGTCATGGAGTACTTGAATGGAGGCGACTGTGCCTCTCTTGTTAAAATCCTTGGCGGTCTCTCTGAAGATTGGACCAAGAAGTACATAGCTGAAGTTGTTCTTGGCGTTGAGCATCTACATAACCGAGGCATTGTCCATCGTGACTTAAAGCCAGACAATCTTCTTATTGACGCAACTGGCCACCTAAAATTGACTGATTTTGGTCTATCCCGCATGGGTTTGGTAGGCCGTCAGAAGCGTGTCTTGAAGAGCCCAAATGAACCCGCCCCGGATCTACTCAAACAAGGTCCCTTTCCACGCGCCGTATCAATTGCTTCCTCTCGCTCAGCATCCTTCGATTTTCAGGCTGGTTCCCCTGGTTCAACGCCACTGATCACGCCTGATAATGCTGTCAGCACAAGTCAGCCATCTTACTTCAGTTTGAACCAGACCAATTTAAACCAGACTGGCCTCAGCCGTCAAAGCTCCAGGAGAGCATCTGGATATCGCAGTGATAGCGCAGGGAGTGACAGCCTGAATGGAATGTTCCGTACGTTTTCACTTAATGACAATGTCAATGAGCCAGCTGCTCCTTCTCCAAGCATGCTCTCGACTAGCTTGGCTGAAGAAGATGCAGAGAGTGAAATTGATGATTCACCACATCTCTTTCCATTGCACCCAACATTTAGCCATCCGATGCAGAATACACCGCCCCAACAAAGCATGCTCCCCCCAGTTATGGCACTTTTTGACCCCGAGGATCACGATAGACGTTTTGTCGGAACACCAGATTATCTGGCTCCAGAGACTATCAACGGCATTGGCCAGGATGAAATCAGTGATTGGTGGTCTTTGGGCTGCATCATGTTCGAATTCTTCTTTGGTTACCCACCCTTCAATGCTGCGACCCCCGATGAGGTGTTTGAGAACATCTTACAACGCAGGATCAATTGGCCAGAGGATCCAGAGGACGAGGCCTCACCCGAGGCGTTGGATCTCATGAACAGGCTCATGACCGTGAACCCTCGTGAGCGCATTGGTGCGAATGTAGATGAGAAATACCCCAATGGCGGCGCAGAAATTCGCGCTCATTGCTGGTTTTCTGACATCCATTGGGCTACACTGTTAGAAGACCAAGCGGAGTTTGTTCCTAATCCTCCAAATCCTGAAGATACGGAGTACTTTGATGCTCGTGGAGCTACACTCCAGGCCTTCGCGGAAGAAATGGAAGATGAACCTTCGCCGCAACCTCCAGCTCCGGCAGGATCTTCGTACCCGGACCGACCGCATGATGCGCTATTCAAAGTTCGCTCACAGGTAAATTCCATGAAGCGCCCATTGATGCCGCTTCATATTCCTCCTCACGTACGTGATGCTCGTGACTCTCGTAGCCGAAGACTGAGTGAACCGGCGTTGGCGGATGATTTCGGAAGTTTCAACTTCAAGAATCTTCCCATGTTGGAAAAAGCGAACAAGGATGTCATCCAGAAAATGCGTCAGGAAGCCCTGCAAGCCCAACACCGCCAGTCTACCTCATCATCGGCCGCTCAGACCCCGCTGACTGCTTCCCAACCCTCCCTGGACGGCAGCCCACTTCCAATGTCACTCCAGCGGACCATGTCACAGACCAAGGGTAATAATCGACCATCTTCACCTTCTGGCTTGAGTCAAGCAAATTCATCTCCGAGTCGACCCTCTCAGCCGTCGTCTCCACTGTTAGTCCAATTTAGCACGGGAGCCAACCACGAGCGACGCAAGACATCTGGATCTTCATCCACAGCGTCTCATCAGTCTAGTGGCACTTTCCAGCCTTCATCCTTTGACCAGAATCGTTTGCCAAATGCCCGTATGGGCTCAGTAGCATCTTCTCCTGTCAAAGCAAATCGCATACCGGCTCACTCTCCTGACAAGCATCCTTCAAGTCAACGCCATGGTAGTGCCCCTGCCAGTCGCGCAAGATCTCAGACTATTGGCTCCCAGGATGGCGGTGATTTGTCCTCATTCCCCAAAGAATCTTTTGTACCTTCTCACCACAAGCGTCGGAGTCAACTATTTGACATATCGCCATCGTCTTCGGACAACGAGGATCCACGTACCAAGGCCCTACTAAAAGTCCAGCGTCGTCGGCAAAGCTCTCGTCGTTTATCTCAATTCAATCTTCAGGATGCGCCGTTCTTCCGGCCCCTTGATATCCTCATCTGCGAAGACCACCCTGTCTCCCGTTTGGTCATGGAGCGTCTGTTCGAAAAACTTCGTTGCCGTACCATCACTGTGACAAATGGCGCCGAAGCAGTGCGGTATGCTCTTAGTGAAGTTCAATTCGATATTATTATGACGGAGTATAAACTGCCCCAAGTCAACGGCGCAGACTTTGCCCGGATGGTACGGGAAACTCGCAGTCCCAACAGACATACACCCATCATCGCTGTTACTGGATATCTAAAGGATCTTCCTGAGACTCATTACTTTGACGCGCTTGTGCAAAAGCCTCCTACTCTTTCAAAACTTACGGAGACGTTGTGCAAGTGGTGCGTTTGGAAGCCTCCTCCTAAGGACTACAGCCCATCTCAGCCTCTTCCGGTTCCAATGCCCAGTGTGCGCCCTTCACAACTGTCCAACGATGATAACAATAGCCCCAGCTCGGCCTCATCGGGATTTGTCCCCAATCCACCAAGTTCATACCGTGGCTCTAGCCGTGATGATTCAGTCACTAGCAGTGTGTTTGGTGATATGGACAATATCAAGCCAGAAGAAGTTCCGGTTATTGTAAGTCGTCATACTGATGACTGGGACCACGGTGGCCTGGGAATTTCCGAGGATGCTCACCCGGGAAGTCCTGATCCCAAGGCAGTACCTGTTCCCCAGCTGCTGCACGCTGCTACGGCGCCAGCTGCCATGGATGGAAGCGGTGCACTCACGCCTCGAAAGCAACGCTCCAGTGAGGCCATTCGCGCAAAGCGAGAATCTCTGGAACGAAAGCGGTATGAGGGTGCTGAGTCTGGAGACGACGAAGACGAGGAGCTTGGAAACTCCCAATCCAGACGAAGCCCACCGACTCGCAGTCGGCGTCCAGGTTCTAAACTCGGAATTGAGATGATGCGAACCAACAGTCGTGGAAGCGTAGTCAGCGGAAGTGAGGAACTTCTCAAAAAAGAAAGAGAAGCACTGCGTCGCAGGAGCGGAGAGTTTGCTGATACGGACACTGACGATGGTCCTTTGGGATCACCGGCTAGTACCACCCTGGAAGAAAGATTCGAGGGTCTCAGCATCCCAGAAGAATCGGAAGCTGAAGAGCAACTCAGCCAAGGCTCTCCCTTATCAGGAGGATCGCCAATCTCGAGACATCGTCGACCATCGCTGTTGCATAATGATACCGAGATTTACAGTGGATCTGGACCAACCTCCCACCCTCTGTCAGAAACGCGTGCCAAAAGTGGTCTAAAGCCGGGCCAAACTACACCTCCGTGGGAGATTGGTGGCAAGAGAAGCCCCATCACACCCGAGGTGAAGGTTTTCGCCAGCGGCTCTTCAGCCGACGCATCTGGTGTGGATACGGATTTTAGCCCAACCCCAGACTCTGAGGCTACTCCGCGGCCTTTGCATCCTTCACCGAGTCTAGATCCAGAGGAGACACCTCGTCCCCCTGATCGCTACCGATCTGACTTATCTACAACCTTCAAGAGGTGACGATGCCTGCGTCCACTAAGCCTCGCGATACATTCTTCTCTACTCATCTTACATTACCATTTGCCTTCATTCATGTAAACATTTTTCCTTGTTTTTTTTTTCATATTCCTTTCTTTGGGAATCACTCACAATGTCCAGCGGGCATGTCATCATATGCTTTACTTTACGTCTCTTATGTTTTATGGCTTCAGGAGCAGGGTGTTCCGGTCAATTATCCTTTTATCATTTTTTATTGCCATTTCCCTTTATCCTATGCAACTGGTGTGGATGGAATAATGGGTTCAGGTAGTTCTTTTACCATGGCACCTGTGTTTTATTTTGCTCTCTACATTTCGAGTATTTAACTTGACTGCTTTCTTTCCCTTTCTTTTATGCAACGATCCCTGTGTATTCCCAAAAGAAAACTTAAGTAGATCGCAGTTTCCAAGACTGCTTGCTGCAGATGCCACACGCAACAAAACATATGAAAAGTGGATCTTATCGGATGTTTTCCGGTCAGGGTCAGGGGTACGTACCACACATGACTTCGAACTGATCCATTTCATCTGCTATGTAGTAGGCCGATGTATCCAATAGTATGAATATTTACTGACAATATCCGACTTGAAACCCAACGTGGATTCAATTGGTCTCTAACTTGAATCTTGGAACGAATCTTGGAACATTCTATATTCGAATATATCGATATCTGAAACTTCGCCTATACTATGAACATTGAATGTCCCGGTTCAATTTCACGTTTTATCCAGAGCGCGAGGCCCCAGGCCCGGGGGTACTACCATGCTATACGCGTTTCGAATGTCAATAAATGTATTTTCTACGTTATTTTTAGGCCCCTAGTCAAGTCAGGTGATGTTTTTTTCACGTCAACAGAAGGAAGCGGGTCGACTACTGGGTCCACACTTCCATATCATGTATACTATTGGCCGAAACGTAAACAATCTCGCGCCAAGTATCTTTGGCGGGTCTACTGAGTCCGAGCTACTGAACTGTTCAGATTATGAGTACACTGGAAAAAAACTGAGAAGGCCCGAGTCATGAGGGGGAAAATTCATATGAATACTGAGCTTCATGTTCACTGCCTGTATCCAAAAAAATCTCTATCACAAACAGTATGAAGTATGCCGCATTATAATATACCAACTTCAATAGGGAATGCGAAGGATCATTCTGCAGTTTATGCACAAGCAATGATAGAGTTTACTTCATAGTGCAGAGCACATATACCCGGTACAGTGGATTCTATAAAGCGAGGAGTCCCATAGATGGGTCTGGTTAAAATTGGGTGAAAGGCCCGCAGGGATCCAACCTTCCGCGAAATCGTGCATTCCACTTCATCTCACCTACCACCTTCGAACTTGACAAGCCAAGTGTACTTTCCTTGGGATTTTTGATACTGATGACAGTGATGACTACCTGTTTGTGACAGCTGGTACTCATATATGCATGCCCAGGTGCACATGTGTGTATTACATCAAAAACTCTCTACAACCCAAGTGTACTCGTTTGAGCCACCAGTGGGCACCTGGGCAGATTCATGAAGGGGGTCGGGAAGAATTGATAGAAAATTTTTGCATTACTGAGTTCTTCTTTTCACATGTCCACAGACAAATATATGGATAATTCCTTGTCGCAGGATCATACTGGACCCTCTTGAAGAATTTGAGCTGATCGGACAGGCGACCACTTCTCAAGCTGCGGCACCGACCTGACTGTTTCAGACCAAAACTTGGTCAATTCTTCACTCTCGTTTTCATTAAAAAAAGGCATCTCTCCTTGGCCCTTTCTCAGGAGCTCCGCTTTCAGACACTCTATTCCCACACACGCGATCACGTTGGAATTCAAGAATCCCTCACAATGAGGCCAAGAGGACAAGGCTTTAAGTGCTCTCAATCGAATGGAGTATGTTGGGCCTCGGGTAACGACTACACCAAGGGCAGGGATAACGCCGTGACCCAAGGAAATCGTTGGGCGCTCGGGAAACAAGGCCATGAAGCGCTCATGGGCCTCCATGTGCCGGGTGAACGAAGCTAGCAAGGATTCAGGTGCTGGTCCCTCCATGAGACAGGTTTCTAAGCTTATATAGTGACCAGGTATTTGAAGTCGCAGGAGTTCGACCCCCTTTCGTTCTTGATACGTGGCATTGGGCTCAAACTCGCGATAGAAGTCATCCAGCATCAACTCTATCCTACGGAAACTGGCGATGTAGATATCTCTATCATGGGCAAGTTCAACATAATCTGCTGCTCTTTGGGCGGGTGAAAGTGACCAGCACTTTGCCAGGAATGGAACGGCAACATTCGAGTAGCCGCACACGATTCTATGCACATCGGCAGGTGTCTTGAAAGGAGAGACGCTTAAATCCAGTTCAGGCGATCCCAACTCAACGGCTGGAAAGAGGGGTTGGTGCCCTGTTCCAAAATGAGGTGCCAGGGCCTCCAGCCGTGCATATGTCTCGCGCAGGCATTTATTAATATTTTGCTTTTGTTGTGCTTCCTTCAAGACCCGAAGACCACTTCGCAGGTGATTGAAAGCATTTTCATATCGTCCGAGGACCATGTCACCCATGATAAAAAGCAGACAACACAACAGAACCACTTCCTGGAACTGAGGGTCTTGGGACGCCTTGCGAGCGTGCAGATGCGCAAAAGATCGCGATGCTTGCTCCAGCGCAACACGATGCTGAGACCTACGGAGATTCTCGCCGGAAAGACGCATATTATTGTCATTGGAATCCTCGTGTAGTGCACCAAGCATATTCGCCGCATGGTAAACTGCACGGTCGCCCAGACTCATCTGCAACGCTTGTTTCTGCCAGAGAGGAGCATTGAATAGATCCGTCAAATCTGGAACAGAGCAGTGCATGAAAAAAGAGAAGCATCGTTGTTCGTCACTGGTCGCGACCCAACCTAAGTGGACTCCCACATCTTGCAGCGCCGCCACGGAGGCCTTCCTCTTCTTTCCTTGTAACCGACCAAGATCATATCCGTCGCAGTGTCGTTTCGTCGATGTACAGTTGTTACACGCACCAGGCGCTTCATCGCATTTAATGTGTCGCGCTCTGCATTGCTCGTCAGCTTTAGCTTGAACGTTCACCTAGGATCCGTCTTACCGGCATGTCCGGCAGCCGTTCCTGGAACGTCGAGTGGACTTCCTGCTGGTCTTTGTGACCACCTCCATGTTATAAATGGAGATGAAGGTGGTTCGGGGAACCTATAGTCGTGATGTTCGGACTTCGGAGTGATTCTCCAGGGGGATCCAGATTGAAGTTCAGTGGGGCAAGTCGGGTAAATGGCCCCCAACTTGAGCGGAAGCAGAGGGTGTGGCTGAATCAACCTTTTCAATGGATCTTACCCAGTGCAATAGGGTTTGAGGTATAGTATCAGTGGCTGAATTAATTCGCAATTAACAGTCTACACAGTATCACTGACCAAAATGATGCCCAGATGGCGTTCCAAGGTTGTCAGGATAAGCTTAAAATGCTACCAAGATTGTGATACAGTGACTCATAAAGACCATCTGGGCAGTGCATTTTTGATTTCAAAGCTCACAATATCACGATAACTCAATATCAGCTGAATCGATCTCATGATTGATCATTCTGTTTTTTTGAAATAGCATGCTCATTGACCCCATGTTACGAGTGGCGAGGCGCCAACAATCTTGCTTATTGGCAAGAATTGTCATGTTCTAACATTCAAGCTTCAATGTCCCTCAAATCTCGTGCTGTACAGCGGGATTTTCTGTTCATTATTGATCCTTCTCTATATCATCATATCACTGACACCCTGAATGGGCTCTTCAGATACGACATAACCGTCCATCGTCATTTTCCACCCACCGGTCACTCCCAACCCCAGTGCGACCATAGAAGATCTGATCAGGATCATATTTATCCTTGATAGCCTGGAGTTGGTCATAGTGCCCACCGTAAAATTCGGATTGCCAATCCAGGGTGTTGAAGTCGGCTTCGTTGTTATAGATACCAGAAACCTCACCAGGAAGCACCAGTGCATCGAGTTTGGGTATCAACACATCTGCCATGAGCTTTTGTCCGTCAACATTGAATTGGCGGTCCGTGTGGAGGTATGGGCTAGAAGAGATGGTTGTCGTTAGATATTGAGCTGCTGACGCGAGTAAGAATGAAGACTTACATTCCAATCACAACAGAAGATGCCGTTGTCTGCCAGACGGGATTGGCTGCATTCGAGTAGAAAACTTGATCTTCCATGTTCCCAGGCCGAGAGACATTCATATGGTAACCGGAGAAGGCCGTGTTGAGGTCAATAATATCTCTGGCTGTGGAGATGAAGCGATCTGGCTGAGACTGGATCGAGGCTCGAGAGATAAGGCGACCTCCAACGTGAGCATCGGTGAGATTCACTGCCTGGTTTGCGACTGCGGCATGGTAGCTTGGGAAGCTATTGATCTTGTATTCTAAAAGGGTTCGGTTAGAGAATTTGCAGTCTTAGCAAGGTGAGTAAACGTACGATACGGCATTTCATGTTCCTTTAGTTTCAGTAATGTGGAGTCCAGATGAGATTGGAGTTCATCTTCTCCACCTCCAGGTAGAGTGATGGGCCCACCCAAAAACATCAATGGACCGCCAGTCATGAAGCAGGGAGAGCGATCCAGATATGCGCACCACCAGCATCCAGAAGAGATTGTGTATCCACAACGAAAGCTTTGACTACTGACCAGAAATGATCAACATCTTCTGGGTCAGTTCCAGCTCCGGAGGTGAAAGACAGTGAAGCAACAGAAGTTTCCTCTTCGGGATAAACTCGAACTGTCATGCTGAGCACGACAGCATACGTTCCACCACCGCCTCCACTCAGCGCCCAGTAAAGGTCCGCATTTTGAGTAGGTGAAGCAGTCTTCAACTCGCCTCCCGCGGTAATCACTTCCCACTCCAGGACTTGGTCGGCGGACAACCCATATCGTGAAGCCAGTGAGCCATGACCTCCCCTGGGTATAGCCACCCGCAATGCCCACATCCGGGCAGAGACCTGTCACAATCACATATCCTGATTCATGAGCAGCATTTTGAGCTTCAAATCCCTGAACACCGGCGCCAATTCTCATAGCAGGGCCTTTGTAGCCCGATGAAGCATAGCTTGGTATGGTCTTAATGGACTTGAGATTATGCGTCCATAAGTTCACCGCACCTGCGCCAGTGGATCTTCCGAGGTAATCATGACCTGTGTTGCGGATGACCAAGCGAATGTTGTGCTTTTTCACAAAATCCAGGACTTCCCTCACGTTAGCAGCTGATGTAACATTTGCTGCGTATTGAGCCAGAGGTCCAATCGTGCAAGGGCTATCAGCTGGAGCGAATGGTGAGCAAGAGCCGTTACTCCACCAAGGTGCCATCGGCGAAGATGGGTGACTCGAGTGAGTTTCGGGAATTGGCCAGCGAGCGAGCAAATCTGAGCACTTCTCGCTGTCATATGAAGCGGAGTCAGTATGGCATACGCTGCCAATGGGATGAACAGAAATGAGATTGCCTGAGAGAGACACATTCAAAGACTTCCATTCATTGACCGAAGGCCAGCATGGATCACCAGGGTAGCAGCGGCAACTTGAAGATGGTGATTGAGAGCCTGCCCTTAGCCATATCGCAAGCGGGACAATCGCAACTGCAAACAGCAGCGCAGCATATGATCGCCTCTCCATAGTTTTTTTTTTATAAATAAGAAGCAATGTGCTGAGCAAATTCAAATGCTCAATCGATATGGATGATTGTATTACCAGCACCCATGCACAGAAAAGAGCTATAAACGCGGATCCAGGCGGGAGTAACTGGCCGAGCCTGACTTTCAGCGAAAGGCGAAAAGACCAGTTCATTAATTGCGCAAGAGCTCCAGGGCTTTCAGCGGGTCTACATTACATTGACCCATGTAAAAAGCGGGAATGCTCCGAGTCGTTACTAGTCAATAACAACTTGAACCTGAAAGTAGGGAATAAAGGTAGAGAGACCGGGGTGCAGTGTCCGACCAAGCACTAATTTAGAAACTTACACCTAAAACACCAGGTAAGTGCCACTGTAATATGCGTATGCTCCGCATTTTCTTCGTCTCTTTGATCCGTGACGTATAACCAAAGATATTTGTGCCTCAAAATCGACAATAAAGTAGACTCTTTAGCGCTGGGAGTGGAGTCGTGCTGTGGTAGATCGGGGGCCAAATACCGCCTTACACGCCGATCTATCCTGTATTCCGCTCAGATCGACCTGGACACATCATGCCTGTGCGCTGAATCAATACAATTTGAAGTCCAAATTGCAGATTGATACTAATTTGAGTGTTAATGGCAGAAAAGCACATAGCCAGCTACTCGGTTCCACATACAAGCAAGGACTTCAAAGGTCAATTATGACTTCAGCAACCTAACGACTCCTCTATTCCTCCTGATTTAGATCTCATACCAGCTTGGACTGATCCCACTGGCATGGCTTCCGAGCTATTGAGGCCCAGAATTTGATTCAGCTCCTTTCTATCACACGCTAAGCATGCTGCTTTCAGCGACGTACATTGTTTCACCAATCACCTACCCTCGTGACTCCACAGCCCCAGATATTGGGGCCAAATACGCCCTCATACACCCGGCAATACCCATAACAAGAGGAGAAGTCAAGTTGAATGAGCTGTGGGTTTACACTGTACCTTGATGGTCCCGTCTCCAGTCTCCAGTCACAACAACTAAGCGATAAGCCACCCGTCCGGATCTACGTGGATCAGTTCAAATTCGATTTCTACGAAGCATTTTACGGCGTCACGGTATTTTAAGCTAAATTGGGAAAAGGAGCGCGAGGAGTGCGCAATTTCGCGTTAATTGAAACCTGGAATTTCCCCACACATTAATATATAAGAGTTGAGAATTGCCTCCAGGGCCTTCGGGTCCAACTTGAACTTGAACTATTATATTTGAATTTTCAAGTCTCATTTCCGCTTCAATACAACAAGATGTCCTCATCTCCAGAATTTGTTGTTGGTTGCCTCAGCTGGGGTGAAAAATGGAACGCGGAGAATGTCCAGCGCTTGTTAGAGCGCCTTGACGCAGCGGGAATCAAGCACTTTGACACTGCCAGCTATTATCCCCCAACTAATTTGGGAGCTTCCGAGAAGCTTCTGGGAACTGTCAAACGACCTGGATTTACCATTGATACCAAGATTCTCTTAAGACCTGAGGCCCTGCGAAAGGATCTCATGGAGGGATCCCTGCGCCAGAGCTTGGAAAGCCTTGGTTTAACAAAGGTACTTCTTCCCTTTCATGCTTTTAACCCCTCAAATTCCAAGCTAGAACCCACTTTCATATTGATACCCACTTAGGTCAAGACTCTCTATGCACATGCTCCGGACAAAATCACCTCGATCGCCGACCAAGCCGCCAACTTCAACCACTTTTATGAGGCTGGATACTTTGAGCAGCTCGGTCTATGCAACTATTCGCCCGAGCAACTGTCTGAATTCATTGAAATCGCGAAAGCCAAAGGCTATATCCTCCCCGCAATCTACCAAGGCCAGTATAACCTGTTTTGTCGCCAATACGAGACCGATCTCTTCCCTCTTCTCCGAGAGAACGGAATACAATTTGTCGCCAACTCCCCTCTGGCTGGAGGGTTTGTGACAGGGAAGATTAGTGGAGACCAGGATGCCGAAAAGCTAAAGGGTACTCGATTCGAGCAGAGCGAAACCAATATGTTGGGCTTCCTTTACCGCATGTGGTACGACAAGCCGGTATTCCAAGCCGCGATGGATGAGCTCAAAGCTGCGGTCGCTCAGTACCAAGGCGAGGCGACTAGCTCAGCTCTGGCCCAGGCGGCATTTCGCTGGCTTTTGTTCCATTCTGGTCTTCGGAGCACAGACCAAGTTGCAATTGGACCTAATAGTGTTCAACAACTTAATGATTACCTCGATGCTCGTGACGCTGGTCCACTGTCAGAGGAGCTAGCAAAGACTATTGATAACCTCTATCAGCCGCTTCGTGAGCAGGCTGCGCCATTGGTGCAGGTTGGTTGGTGGTCCTGATTATGATTGAAATTGGAATATTCTGAAGATAGCAAATCAATTCAACTCATATGACCTTGCAACTTGAATACTAATATCCGGGCCCGGATATACATCGACTGCAACTTGAAACCTGGGGCTCTTCTAGTACCTCCATACTAGGTATCGGACATATCTATATTCCGTTGTCGAGTGTTTCCATACCAGCGGAAATACCCAGATTCTCAAGAGCATTTTCTTTCACCGAAAGTAGAAAATTTTCAACAAATTCACTCGTATAGAAGGCCTCATTAAAATTTGCGCTGATATGCATCCTACCATCCCAGGTGAACACCTCAGTTGGAGTCTGTTTGGTCAGAACCGAGTTGTTGTAACTGACATGCTCAACTTTGACAGCTCCGTACTGATGCTGAATGAGATTTGAGTCGATAATACCGAGACTGTTGAGCACAGGTTCTGCGGGCTGCGGTGCATCCGGCGGGGTTTTGACTCTCACAGCATGACTCGCATCTATAAATGGGCGGCGGAGGAATATCGCATCGTCATTTCTCCAGTCCCAGGATTGGTGGTAAAGTTCCTGGAGAGTGTGTGCGAGCTCATCCCACGAGGCACGGGCGTCGACATTGATCGCTTGGAAATGCATTCGCAATGTACCTGCATCTCCCGGGCCGTTTCTTGGTGGCTTACAGTATTTCCGCATGTCGAAGAGACCAATCGACATAAACCGTGTTGCGGGGGAGTCCGGGTTCCTAATCAGAGTTTCCACGATCATAGAGGCATGCAGTACTGAAGTAATTGTGAAGCCATGCTGACGTGCCGCTGTTCTGAGCGCAGTGGTTTCTTCTTCAGACAGAACAATCTCTATTCGGTCTGTCCCACCAGGCAGCACATTCGGGTAGGATGGTTGAAGTCCAATTCCCGGTCCACCCTCAACTTCCTTAGCTTGAAGATCAAGGGCGCGTTGCTCCCAGCTTGGATCCCATCTGTCAGGCAAGGCAAGAGCCTCGTCAAAAGAGACTGCGAGGTTCTTCACTTCCTCGCCAGTGAAAGTGGGAGGGTCAAGCGATGGGTCCCCCCAAGGAATTGAGAAGACTACTCAAAATCCATGTGGTACCATATGCATCCAATCGCCAGTGAGAGGTTACCAATGCAATCTGGTTTGCCGCTGGGATCCAGTGACATGTTACTTGGGGTCCTGCCACACGTATATGGTTCTTGAATAAGTCATCAGACGAAAGGGCATCCGACTCAACATGGAATGTCGCATCACACCATGCTTCCAATGCTGGCTCGTCGCGGACGGTTTCGTATCTTTTTTCGGTATCAATGAGCTGCACTGCAATTCCGGGGTGAATGAAACGTTGGGCTCTCCAGGCATTGCGCACATCCCGAGCTGGATCGGCAGACGCGAATTGAACTCGTGCGCTAACCATCACCACCCATAATTCACACCCGATGGGCTTTCCCAGGTCACCAACCCACGCAAACTCCCTCTCAGCGGGGTCTAGTGGCATGCACCAATAGCCGTCTTTCTGATTCCACTGCATTATGTCTGGCATTTTTTAAGGGTCGCTTGCAAGGTTGATTTTCGCGTCGATAGGTTTGAACTCTAGAGGCGCAGATGTTTCAAATAATTTAAGTTCATGGAAACTTCAAGTTCTGGGATATGACGTTATATGAAGGCCATCTGAACAAACACTATCTCTAATTCCCCGCAATTCATGGGGCTGTTTGAACGCTCTCCTGGACACCCATCTCTATGAATAGATCAGACAAATATAGAAGTCCGTCTATCACATATGCACTAGGAGGCCTATCCCGTGCAGTGAGCTGCCTATCCAAGTTAGTAGCCTAATGCACATGTGCAGGAGGTTATCCATTATCCAACCAGACTTGCAGGGATTCGTCAAAATAGTACTTGCAACGCCTCGAAATATTCGAACATTTGAACGAGGTACCTCGCACGTTTATCAGATCCTCGAATAAACACGGTTGAGATATCATGAGGCACAAGCAGACTCCCCTCAGAAATTTGGTCCGAGATGATTTGGAATGATAGAGCGCCTTATCAAGACTGGGAGTTAATCTAGGTCAAGTGAATCCTTCGTACCTATTTTTGTTTAGGCGACTCAGGTAGTGGGACCCAGACAGGGATATCGCATATTATAAAGCCCTCAAGCGCTAATATACTACCAGTTATCACTATAATGAACTTGAATGGCCCCACAAGCTAAGCTTTCTCAGTGTTTCTATATAAAGACCAATGGATTTCATGCCCTTATATACGTGTGCAAAATATGGACCAATTCAGAAACATTCGAGTCCACATATGTGCATATGTGGGATGTAAAAACACTGGCATCGAAAGTCCCTGGCTATGGATAGTATGAAGCTTAATCAACTCAGGCTTCCATGAATTCTAGGTATGCACGTTTGACTAAAATAAAACCCATGCAATTCTGAGGCTCGGTAGGCAGGAATACAAGATACTAGTAGCAGACCAAGCATTCAAATTGATCAATCTTTTAGATAGGATAGTGAGAATGAGACTAGATGAAGATATCAGATGAGATAGATTAATTCGTGGAGTCTGTATCTGCCACACTCCGTGAATGGATGATTTGAACAACTTGGAGTGGCCTTGTGAGCAAAAGGACCCCTTAGCTCCTCCATAGCATGGCGGGAAGAAAGAAAGACATCTGGAGGAAGTAGGATGTGTTGGTATGAATTATGTGGATTATAGACCGGTACAAAATGATCAAGGTTCTGATCCTGGAGGGGGCCTGAATGAAAGGGCGACGTATACTAGTACACACAACGTACTTTTGGAAACGAAAATTTGCATCATGGAAACTGATTGGCTCGCCTTGCAATTTCCCATTTGTTCTGTGACCTTAGGTATCCTAATCAATCCCAGTCACAAGGGAGATATTCCATTAATGTTCTACGGTGTACCTTTTGTATTATATCGCCATATAAAAGATACATATCTGATCCACCCCAGTGTACCCGCACACTGAAGATCAAGCCCATAGATAAAGCTTGACATAACCACCGGGAGAATCAGAATAGTAGTATTTATCCTAATTAAACACTCGAGCCCTGCCCAGGTGGAGGATCAGAGAACGGTACGCGTCGCGGCTCAACAAGACCCCCGTAGTTCAATTGTTTCTTAATTGAGAACCTGATTTCCCGAGTTTATTGAGGCTGTTGCTTGAATTAAACTCGAAATTAATCAACCCTAGAGGCGACTCTTTCTTCCAAAAGTTTGAAATGCTTAGATCACTCCTATAGTTTCATCTTGAATTGCTCTAAAACAATCTTCTACTAGTAATAGTACTTCGAAATTTGAGCCTTCAAATATTCACTTTCAAGGTTGCCATAAATGGAGATACAGAGATGCACATCTTCACCAGCACTTGATACTAGGGAGATCTGTATACATGCTAGTGCTACATAGTATGTACACGGGAACTTCCAGATGTCCCTTTGATCATATTAGAAGTATTCATATCCAACTAATCCACGGAAAACCATCACTGGCAACTCCGGGCTTGGCACTTGTCCTCCCGATAATCCGCCGATCTTCTTCCTTTACAGCGGAATTCTAGGCAAGTCTGGCGCACGGGGAGATAGCTCACAGACCACTCGCAGTAGTCCATGCAGGCCATCCCCCCTCCTTCCAAGGTTATCAGTTTCTCACCGTGATACCTGATTTTATCTCTGATCGGCCAAGTTGGTAGTCAACTGGTTACATTTAATTCCTAAGGTGTGCTTGGAAGACTTTCAAATGTTCTTCTCATCAGCTTGTGTGGATTCCATATCGCTGACAGTCGTAATACTCTTTTTTGGCATTAGAATACTCCACTTCAAAGGTGCGTTCATTGTCATTTCCCCGTAGAAAGTTTCTAGACTTGCCCATGGCGTGGATCTGCGGATTGGCAACCTCCACGGGAAGGTGTTGATCCACTAAGACGCGGGATCAGAAATGATATCACGACTCGGTGGGTAAATAAATGAAGATGCTCATTTCAGGGGGAATTAACACTGCATGAACATAATAAACAAAATACTCTGCATTTATTGATTTTTCATCTCATTTCTACTAGTACCATGCCAAGATGGTGTTTGTGGTTATGTTTTACAGGTTTGCTTTTGGGTGCATGGTGGCGCAGTGGCGTTTCCATGGCGTTTACATAGCGGAGAAAAACCAGGAAATGAATGTATAAAACTATATTAGAAACTCAGCATAGGGAACATAAAACGTCAGAGCATCCAAAATAGAAGTTCCAGATTTGGGTTTCTATTTTTCGGTGCATTTTTCATGGGTTTCTCCTCAACGCCACCCGGTGGAGATCAACCAGACGTGGAGTCCCGTCAAATCCAGTGAACATCGAGGACACATAATGCGGGCTTGGCAGATTCAAATGGTTCTTACCTGATTGATCAATTGGTTATATGCCCAGAGAAGGGATTTAGTGGTGGTTAATCATGATCAGAAACTGTAGATATGAAATCTTTTATCGGATTTGGCTTCAACTAGGTAGCAATATCGTTCATGAGTGATATGAACCATGAACCATGTATATTTAGAGGACCCTGATTTATGTGCATAAGCTCCGACTTAATTAGTCTCGACCCTTAATCTTCGCAAAGTCCAGAGTCCAGACTATGGGATCCACTCTGGGTCTCACTTGTCCAAGGGTTCTATTTCTCGTAACGATCTTCCCCCGAAGCTTCACATGGACGGTTTTCCTTTTTTCTATCACGCTCGTTACCTGTAGCTTTTAACTTTCATTTCTCCTGGAGGTTGCCTCTTCTTTCAAACAACTGTTTAAAAGCGCTGCATTCTACAGAAACATCTCGAGCCATTTCATACTTGATATCTTTCCCTCACTTTCGTACTCTACTGGCCGGTCCATAGAGCTCTCTCCTCCGCATCGCAACGTTTCCCCTTACTGGCTAGTACCAAAATGGCGAGTCCTGTGGAGGACCGCAAGACCCTCCATGTCCCGGAGCATAGAGAGGGAGTATCAAATTCCGACGAAGTATCACCTCTCTCCGATGACGGCACGTACGTTCACGAATCATCCGCTGGCCCGAGAAATCGGCTACGAGTCGATACTACTACGATACAAGATGAGGAAGGACGCCCAATAATGAGTACACCTTCTGCACGTCGCGAAGAAGCAACTCGTTTGGAGGATGATTTATTACTATTACAAGCGGAGCGCGTGGCATCCCGGTCAACGCAAGGACCCGATGATGGGGAAGCTTCGTTAAGCCGGACCAGATCAAGACGCACAGAAGTGATTGATGAATTCGATGAAGCTACGAACCCTCTTCATGAAAAAGCAGCTGTGTATAGCCCTCCCGAGAACCCGCAGACAGAGCTTTCTGCCTTTGTGAAGAAGATACACCAGTCCAGCTTTATTGTTCGATATCTTACATACATCTTACCTGTGGTTATACTTTTGTTAATTCCTCTGCTTCTCGGAGCTCTCAAGTTTCAGGATACCGGCGTTGGCGGTGTCAGATTAATGTGGTTCGCAATCTGGCTGGAAATTTTCTGGCTAACGCTTTGGGCTGGGCGAATTGCCAGTAAGGCTCTGCCAGCAGTGGTCAGCATAGTCGCTAGCATTTTCACCAATAATGCGAAGAAATGGCGCGATATGGCGAAGCAATTGGAGGTTCACTTTGCGCTCTTCTTGTGGTGGCTCGGTGTTGAGATCTCGTTTCTACCCACTATGACGAATCATCATGTGGATGGTACGAAGGGAACCAAGAGCTGGGAAGTAACCTTTAACAAGATTATCATCACGATCTTTGTGTGGACAATTCTCAATCTGATCGAGAAAGTTATCATTCAGCTCATTGCTATCAGCTTTCACCTGCGCACTTACGCCGATCGAATCGAGATCAATAAGTTTCAAATCGGTAGCTTGACCAAGCTATACAGTTGGTCTCGTGCTCGTATTGAGGAAACCGATGAGGCCTTTCAGGAGAAAGAACCCGAGGAGAATACAACTAGTACCAAAACCCCACTTCACTATGCTGGCAAGGCCGCTGGTAAGGCGCATCGCAAAGCAAAGGGCGCTGTCAAGAAGGTCGGAAATAAGGTCGGCGATGTGGCTGGGGCTGTTGCTGCAGATTTCACTGGTCGGACAACTACTAGGAGCAGTGATCCCTACCAAGTCATTCTCACCCTGTTGCGTACAACATCTGGGTGTCAGGTCCTTGCCCGTCGTCTTTACCGCACTTTTGTCCGCGATGGCTTTGACACTGTGTTCTCGGGCGACCTAAAGGAGGCTTTTGAGAATAACGAAGAAGCCGAGGCCGCTTTCGTTATGTTTGATCGTGATATGAATGGCGATATTTCCATGGAGGAGTTGGAGGCTGTCTGTGTGGATATTGGACGCGAGCGCAAATCTATCACCGCATCATTGAAAGATCTGGACTCGGTGGTGTCTAAGCTCGACAATGTCTTCATGTTCTTTGTCATTATCATTATTATTATCGTGTTCTTGTCGCTGATCTCGACCTCAGCAGCTGGTGTTCTGACTTCAGCTGGATCAAGTATTCTCGCTCTTTCTTGGCTATTCTCTGCGACCGCCCAGGAATTCCTTCAATCCGTGATTTTCGTCTTCGTCAAGCACCCCTTCGATGTTGGCGACCGTGTGACTGTCTATGGAAACTCCGGCGATTCAGGCCTCGGTGATGATTACTTCGTCAAGGAGATCACTTTGTTGTATACTGAGTTCAAAAAGATGCAGGGTCATGTTGTCCAGGCACCAAACAGCTACCTGAACGGGCTCTTCATTCTGAATCAGCGTCGCTCTGGTGCACTGGCCGAGGCTATTCCCATCATCATCAAATACGGCACAACAATTGACCAAATTGATGGCCTTCGCCAGCGTCTCTTGGAATTCGTACGCAGCGAGAAGCGTGATTTCCAAAGCAACATCTTGACCGAGTTGCGCGCTGTGACCGAGAACTTCTCTTTGACTCTCAACGTTGTCTTTTTCTACAAATCGAACTGGCAAAATGAAGGTCTCCGTCTGCAGCGTCGCAACAAGTTCATCTGCATGCTTATGATCGCCCTTCAGGAGATTGGCATCGAGGGTCCTCGCATGAACCTCCAGGGTGCCAATGTGGACATCCCCTTCCACGTCAACTACGGTACGCCTATGGTCGCCCCAACACCAAAGCACGAAGGTCCCACCGATGCAGAGGAAATTCCAATTGGCGAGGACTTTAGTGCTCTTCATGAGAACACCGCTATGACAAGCGGAAGCACGGCGCGTCATCCCTCGATTCTACGCAAGGGAATGAACACCGCCGCCGCCCGAGCCCGTGGTGCGTCCACATCCCGTAAACACGTGGATTTCTCCTCGGGTATGTCCAATATGTCTTCGCACGATATCATGGGTGATGTTTTCGAAGATCGCGGTGTACGCATTGACGATGTCGTCCGCACTACAAACCGGGAAGCGGCTGAGCGCCGTATGCAGGAGGTAGCCGAGGAAGAAGAAGAACGTCGTAGCCAGACATCATCGTCCCAGCGTCGACGACCTTCAAACCTTAGTGCCCCTTCTGAACCTCGCCAGTCTACCGATGCACATAGTTATCGCAGCGGCGGCTCGTCGACGAGGAACCGCTTCTTCCGTCATCGTAGCAGTATGAGCGTCGATCATGGAGATGTGGAGCAGGGCGTTGTCGAGCAGTCCCCCCCTCCTACGAAAAATGATTAAGTGATCGGCGGAATAAAATGTGGCATTTTTGTCAGCGATTTTTTGTTTGATGATCTTATTTGCACATATACTTGACTAATATTGCTATACTGTGGTTCATATATCCCTTAGTGTACGTTTACAAGATCGAACTTATGCAGTTTTATGTACTTCTTTCCATTTGATGGCTTACTATGAGCTACATTCTCGAATACCGATTCACCTACCACTGCAGCTCAAGCTCGCGTGTCTCCACTAAATGCTCTACTAGTTCTCAAGCTTTCATGCAAGTTCAGTGATGTGATAAAGCGCCACATCGTCAGACAAGACCGAGGTTAAAGCCTGGGCGCTTTGAGCCACTATCCACCGACAAATAGACTTGACAGTCGGTCAATTTTACACTCCGACTCCGTGTCTTCACAGAGATTCTTGTTCTGATGCTGCATTTACCTAGAGTGGCATGCATAGTATTTGTTATGTCTCGCTTATTTACTTCCGGACTTTTCGTACGGATCATTTCTTGTTTGATCAGCCGTGCCTGATGTAGTATTTCTTCCGGGATGGTAGCCCATCACATCCAGGTTCCTTGATGTCCTGAAAATGCATGAGCAAGTGATCATTCAGCACGGCCACTTCGGGCATCTGGGTTGTTTTCTGAGTGGTTCGTCCCGTGCGATCGACAAGCACCCATCCTTCGCTTAACCATCTACGCACTAGTCTTCATGCATGAGCTCAGTCACTCCACGAGGAACCTAATATCACATCTGCGGGGTTATCACACTGTTCCTGAATTGGCAAAGCTGAGACTTAGTCCTCTGACTTCAAGTACAAAGTAGCTATTGTTACTTTGGATTATAAATAAGAATAGCAGGATGGCACACTCAGATGGATGGGTTAGTGCTTGTCGGTTGTCAGCCAACACCAGGTATCCAAAGTCGTGATTGTTTGAAGTTAAGATAAAATGAGGACATCATTTACTCTCTTACCGCTTCTTTCCTCTCTATTTTATCTTATCTCCGAGGCTACAATCACTCCTCCATCTGAAGACTCCTTCTATGATCAGCCGAGTAACATCAGTGACTATGATAACGGCGAAGTAGTTCGCTCCCGTTCCGTGTCCCCTGAACTTGTGTCTTTTCTATCACTCCCAGTCGATGTATCCGTCCAGACTGTTCACCAATATTTTTTCCGAACTACCGACAGTCTCGGTGATGCCGCTGGGTCAGTGGTGACTCTTATAGAACCATATAATTCTGATCCATCCAAGTTGCTCGGGTATCAGGCATTCTATGATAGTGCCAATGTAGATTGCAGTCCTTCTTATACTCTACGCGCGGACTATCAGAATCTTGGTTTGACCGTCTCCGGATTGAATGTGTCAGAAGATATCCCTTTTGTGAGTTCTCTCTGCTTATATTCCAGCACTCATTGTCCGTCAAATCTGACCTCGCATTTTAGATTGCCGCAGCTCTCAATCTGGGCTGGTGGGTCTTCACAACCGATTACGAAGGACTCAATGCAGAATTCACTGTCGGACTACAAACAGGTCATGCTGTCCTAGATTCTACCCGCGCAGTCCTTAGTTCTGGCCCTTCAGTTGGACTATCAAGCGATCCCGTATATGCACTATGGGGCTACTCTGGTGGCTCGCTGGCATGCACATGGGCTGCAGAGTTACAGCCTTCGTATGCGCCGGAACTAAGCTATGCTGGTATCGCCGTTGGAGGCACAACACCGAATATTAGTTCTGTCTTGGAGACTATCAATAATGGCTCAGATGCTGGTCTTGCATTCTCTGGTATTTACGGCCAGGCAAAGGCGTTTCCCAACCTGACAGAGTGGATGAGTTCAAATCTAGTGTCTTCGAAGTCAGATCAATTCTACTCCATCGCAAATGGATGTCTTTCTCAGGCTACTGATACTGGTGCTGATCAAGATATCTATTCTTATTTTGAGGATGGAGAAGACTCATTCTATGATGCCGTGCCTGAGTCTATCTTTACGTGGTCGGGGCAGCTGGGACTTCACGGCACTCCGACAGTACCTTTGTTTATCTATAAAGCTATTGGTGATGAGATCAGTCCTGTGGCAGATACGGATTACATTGTGTCCAAGTATTGTGATGAAGGTGCTACTATTGAATATCATCGGGATTTGGTTGGGAATCATGAGACTGAGGCGATCTCGGGTTCAGCAAGTGCGTTGGCATGGTTGTCGGATCGCTTGAATGGGGAGAGTGTGAGCAGTGGGTGTACTACTGAGGATGTTATTCTTTCTTCCTTCAGTGTTGAGACGCTGGTACTACTTGGAGAGGAATTGTTCTCACTGCTCGAGGCAACACTGGGGGGACTGCTATAATTGCCTAATATTACTATCAGGACTAGCTGCAGTGAGGACAGCAACTTTGGAGCATTAGGCAGCATTCCAAACTCAAAGTTTAATGTTAGGGCAATTGGGACGAAGTACTATGTGGTGGCCATCAACAACTTGAAGGTTCAAGTTAGTATTATTGACTCAAGTGCTTGAAAACCGAACTCCCATTTCAAATTGCAATATCAATTTCTTTCTCACTTGCACAAATACCAGTACACCATTAAAAATTGAATAAAAAAAACGAGGGAAATATTAAACTAGAGATCCCACACATGCCAGTCTGAGTTTAGGTACTAGTCAACTGGTCGTTCTAGATATAAAATCAACGACCGTATGTTTAACCAGTTGACGCAAACCTTGGTAATACATATGTACCAAATACTGGTTAATATGCTTCCTTGAAAGACATCTGGATGATCTTTTTAAAATATTACCAAATCATAATGAGAGGTATTGTAGGCAATGCATAGTAGGCCTTCAGTGTCCTATCCCCCGCATAGCACATACCACATACCACGGGACGCACAGTCCCATGCTTAAATTAACATTTGAAACAATGTATATATATAAAAAAAAAATTCAAATGCTTTTGATTAATTGATCATGATTCAGTAGAATTATAAGAGTTTGAATAAATAAAGATCCATGTCAATATTGTAACTAGGTAAGACTGGTCAGAGATCGACATCTCCGCATGACTATCGGTGACCGCCAGTTCAATACTTTTTTTTGGTTGGAAGGATCAGGGGCCCATCTCGCCCCACTGGTTTCCTTCTCTTTTCTCCTCACCCACCTCTGTGAGTGTCTTCACTTTCACACCTTCATCCATCTTCAGCTTCAACTTCAATTTCATTCAAAATGCGTGGCGAGGTATGTTCCTGTTAGGCTTATCCACATTGTTTACTGGGGCCGATTATCCTCCTTCAGGACCCATAAAAACGCGGGCCCCGTTCTACCACCCGTGGAATGCTAGATCGGGTCAACAACAACAATGTATGCTAACTCCATTCACTAATTAGATCTTACACCTGAACATTGGCCAGGCTGGTGTTCAGCTCGGTAATGCCGCATGGGAGCTGTAAGTTCTTTGACTACTTTCAAGATTCTCCATACCGTCATACCCCATGCTTATTCCCGACCGTTGTATAGGTACCTGCTCGAACACGGTCTGACTCCCGAGGGTCGCTACAACCCCGAACTCACCGACGAGGTTGGCCAAAGTGGCTCTTATGAGACTTTCTTCACTGAAACCTCGGGCGGCAAATACGTTCCCCGTTCCGTCTTTGTCGATCTCGACCCTTCCGTACGTTGATATAGTTCCTGGTGTGGTGAGGTGGAATATACAATCGTCCTAACATGGTCGGAAATAGCCTATCGATGAGATCCGCACTGGCACCTACCGCCAACTGTTCCACCCTGAGCAGCTGATTAGCGGCAAAGAGGATGCTGCCAACAACTGTATGATTTCCACCTTTGGAATATCTGGAGACCAAAAGGCTAATCCGCTCTAGATGCCCGTGGTCACTACACTGTTGGCAAGGAACTTGCCGATACTGTGCTTGACCGTATCCGCCGTCTCGTTGGTATGAATTCGAAATTGAACCCGATAGGATGCATTGAATATTAATTTGTTATTAGACAACTGCTCTTGCCTGCAGGGCTTCTTGATCTTCCACTCCTTCGGCGGTGGTACTGGCTCCGGCTTTGGTGCCCTTCTGCTTGAGCGTCTTGCTACTGAGTATGGCAAGAAGTCCAAGCTGGAGTTCTCCGTCTACCCTTCACCCCGCGTCTCCAACGCTGTTGTTGAGCCCTACAACGCGGTGCTTTCCACCCACAGCACCATCGAGAACTCTGACTGTACATTCCTTGTCGACAATGAAGCTGTTTACGATATCTGCCGCCGCCACCTGGACATTCCCCGTCCCGGCTACGAGCACTTGAACCGTCTCATTGCTCAGGTTGTCAGCTCCATTACTTCCAGCTTGCGCTTCGACGGTGCCCTGAACGTCGACCTGAACGAGTTCCAGACCAACCTGGTGCCTTACCCCCGTATCCATTACCCTCTCATCTCCTACGCCCCCGTTGTCTCGTCCAACCGTAGCTCGCACGAGAGCTTCAAGGTCCAGGACCTGACCTTCCAGTGTACGTCAAAATATTATACTCCTGTCCCCACTTTTCTCAGACTCTAGGCGTATCTCATTCTAACTTATTTTTAGGTGTGGAGCCAAACAACCAGATGGTGGTCTGCGATCCTCGTAACGGCAAGTACATGGCTGTGGCTCTGCTCTACCGTGGCGATGTCGTTCCTCGTGACTGTAACGCCGCCGTTGCCGCCCTAAAGGCCAAGCCTTCCTTCAACCTGGTCGAGTGGTGCCCCACTGGTTTCAAGCTGGGTATCAACTACCAGAAGCCCGTCCGTGTTCCCAATAGTGAGCTGGCCCCTGTCGACCGCTCCATCAGCATGCTTTCCAACACCACCGCCATTTCGGAGGCCTGGAGCCGTCTGGACCACAAGTTCGACCTCATGTACTCCAAGCGTGCTTTCGTGCACTGGTACGTTGGTGAGGGTATGGAAGAAGGTGAATTCTCTGAGGCTCGTGAGGATCTGGCCGCTCTGGAGAAGGACTACGAGGAGGTCGCTGGCGACACTATTGACGATGAGGAGGAGCCCGAGTACTAATCGAATTGGTCTCTCGATATCAACCTTACTTGACAATATTTCTCCTGGTTTTTTCTGCTGTCTGAAAATATGCGTCTACTCTGCACGTGTATTTTTGACTGGCTTTTTGTTCCGTTTGAGCTAGCTCTCCCAGCGTTCCTTGTATCCTCTTTTGGTGTGTGACGATAGGTCAGCACAATTTTCGATGATTATTAAAATCAATGAGTTTCTTATTTCCTGGCTGTGTCTAGTCTAGACCCTAAAGTAATATTGTAAAAAATGAGATATAAAAAATGAAAGTATTACCCTGGTTATTTTCCACCAACGCCATCCAATGCCCTGTTTTATGAGACCAATTCAAATGCAATGTAAACACAGCAACTCAATACGCAGCTGCCACCTCCGTCTCTTGCAAAATCCTCAACACGCGCTCATACGTCCACATCGTCACCGCACTAGCTGGCGCAGCCTTCAACAGACTAACCGTCAACCCACGATACAAACCCCGTACACCCTGCGTCCGCAAAATCATCATAATCGACCGCGCAACACCATCGTACTCGGGAATATTCCGGTGCACATATCGCGTCCGCGTAGGACCCTGGACTTGGAGTCTCTTCCGCACGAGGTCAAGTGGGAAAATACCCGTTTTCGCAAGCACGCTAGCCACAACTCCTGCAGCTGCATCCCCCGTTCCGAATGGCAAGTGATCTAATTCCGCCATTACAGGTCTGAATCCCTCGTACGCGGTGAAGAACAGACCCATATACGGAACTATTTGCACCACTGCGGCGGAACATCCGCGGAAGAATCCTGCTGGCCCTTCTTGTTGCGCTATCTCTACTATTGATGAGCGGAGAGATCTGTAAACCTGTTCGGGGCCTTGCGCGGCAAATCGGGTGCGCAGGAGATCCAGTGGGTAGGTTGTTGCTGTTGCCATTCCACCTGCTACAGCGCCGGAGAGGAAGGATTCGGCGGCTGGTGGAAGTCGGTAGGGGTCTAGTTCGGCGAGGAATTGGGTTGTTGTGCGGTATGCGGTGAATTGGAGAGCGCCATAGCAGACGTACATCATTTCGGCCGGGATGTTTCCTTTCCAGAGACCCTAAAATTGAGAGACTGGTTAGTAAATGTTTTGCAATCTTTGCCGCGGAGATAAGGTATTGTCGATATCTTGGTATCTCGTCGTTGGGATTTCAAGGTAAAGGCGACGCGAGTAGAGACATACTGTAATTCCTTCTTGTCGCACAATGGCCCGCATCGTCGACAACGTCCCCTTGTATACAGGCCCCACGACTGTTGAATGCGACGCCGGGTCCGAGAGCGAGTGGATCTGCAGCTGCAGGCGGATCTTGACCACGTCGAGCGGCGCAATGCAAAACCGCGAGATCAGTCCTGCTATCCCGCCTGCCAGCACGGTTTGCCGTTTTGTGCCCTCATCCTTGAGATGTTCACCCCCGGCTGACATTTCGAGAGATTGGTTATGGGAGGGAAGAAGCCATGTTGCGAGCTTTATTGGATTTATTTTTGTTATGGATCTCCCGGGGGCAAAAATGGCCGGAATGGATCTCGTCGGGGTGTTACGTAAGTTGTAATTTTGCCTGATACATTAGGCGTCGATCAGCACTTGAGGGACAGTGATTATTTCGAGATACTACAGACGACGCATCAAAGTATTCAGTTATCGCTGACAGAGAAATATACTCAAAATTGAGGGTCCAGACATTGGGTTAACTCGGTTCCAAGTCGGATGACGGGAAATTATATCCATTTCCATTCTGAAAACTGCCAGTGAACTATATAAAGTCCGAGTCCAGGCCGGGACTAATTCAAGTGGTATGTACTACTCCAGATGTCCCTACTCGTAATATTAGTACATAGTCAAGAGTTATCTATCACTGGCACCTGGGCAAAATGTCAAATTCTCAGTAATCACTTCAAATTGAAACCTTGGGACGAATATTTCGGTCTGAATAAGTGGTGCTCCGCGCCATTGATCTTTCCCCCCCTGTTTTTCTCTGACCTGTCAATAGCTCTAGCCAGAGGCTCGGTAACATTGAAGGCAATAAGTACCTCGATCTGCAAGGCTATACTGTATATCTCACATCACACTGCATGGTTAAGATCATGCATGATGATTAGCCTAAATTTTTGAGAAGTGTCAAAAACTGGGTGTGGTCACTATGCAAGCTGGTAACTGATAATGCCCACAGACTCTGAGTCTAGACCGTCCAAGGCTAAACACGTATTCAAAATGTTTCTACCAGTGATTTTTAAGGCCATCGACCACCACTACCTAGGTAGCTTCGGGTCGGAGTATAACATAAAATATTAACAGAATACATGTAGAGTATCAAGTGTGAGGTACCTCAGGGCACATACTTAATTGTATGTGAGCCGAGGTACCTGGTACTGCGGGGTCGAAGTCCGGGGAAAGCACTGACCACGGGCAACATCACATGCCTCAGTTCTCCGATTTCCATTTATCCTGATACTTCTTCCATCCTCGATCATCATAGCTATTTCTCCTCTTGATCCCTTCAATTTCTTCTTGTCGCCAACCCTGAAATGCGACTATTTCCCTCGCCAATTTTCCGCCATGTCGCGCGAGGAATGACCGGGCCGGCCCAGCGGAGTTTCGTCACTTCAACCCGACGATTCCAAGTCCAAGATGCGAACATGTCAGACTTACTTGCAGCCGCTCATAGGCTAGAAGGTGCCAAGAAAGCGCATCCGACTGCGGAACATATGCCCTTATCAGAAGTGGATGCAAATACCAGCTCACCGGGGACCACGGATCTGATGAATGGCGCGCGCATTACAATGAGGGATCGGCATTTGTGGTTATCAGTTCCAGATATGGATATGAAAGAGTTGAAGCTGTCATATGTTTACCTTCGTGATTTATGTAAATGTCCTCGATGTGTGGATCCCAACTCGAAACAGCGAACCTTCCGCTCAAGTGACATACCACTCAACATCCAACCGCAGCATGTTAGATGGGATAATGAATATCTGGAGATTGAGTGGAATAAGGATACTGAAGGGACAGAAGGGACTCACTTCTCGCGATGGCACTATACCTATCTCGTGAACCCTTCTATCAACACACATGACTCTACTCTCAAGTCCATGCCTCCTTTGCTGTGGAACTTGGCTCGTATGGAGAAGGCACAGCACTGGATTGACTATGAAGATTACATGACCGATCGCAATCAATTTATTATTGCAATGCGAAGTTTGCAGCGAACTGGTCTGATATTCGTCAAGGGTATTCCGGACTCTCGTGAAATGGTTGAGAAAATTGCAACGCGAATGGGACCCTTGCGGAACACCTTTTATGGAATGACTTGGGATGTCCGCAAAGTTCCCCAAGCCAAGAATGTCGCCTATACCAATCAATTTCTCGGTTTCCATATGGACCTCATGTACATGAATGAACCTCCAGGATACCAACTCCTACACTGTCTGGAAAACTCCTGCCAGGGAGGCGAGTCCCTATTTGCTGATGCATTTTACGCGGCAAATCAAATGAAAGCACAGCGCCGAGAGCAATACGATTTTCTCACAAAGGTCCATCTGGCTTACGAATACGTCCACAAGGATCAGATCTACTACAATACCCGACCTGTTTTCGAGCTCGACGAGAGAACGGGGGAACTGGGTCATGTGAACTACTCGCCGCCATTCCAAGCTGCTATTCCTGAACCAAAGAGGCTTGATGACATCGAATCTAAGCTTGATGACCTCGATTCCGAGCTTTTTAATCCTGATTCCGAGCTTCTTAATCCCGATCCCAAGCTAAATTACATTGATTTCGTCCATTTACAACAGAGTCTCCAGATTTTTACCAATCATTTGGAGTCACCTGGTAATGTCTTTGAGTTGAAGCTGAACCCAGGCGAATGTGTCATCTTCGACAATCGACGAATTGTCCACGCGCGTCGTCAATTCAACACTGCTACGGGCTCTCGATGGTTGGCTGGAGCCTATGTTGATACAGACGCAGTGCGATCTCGCTTCCATATTTGCACTAAGCAAGAACCGCAAATATGGAGGCATTTCAATCCCGACGCTTACCTTGTGCCGTTTGACTTGGATAATCCTCGATCCTCTGACCGGGCTATCAAAGCTGCGTACAGGATGGGACATGAAATGACTAATAGAGGAGCAGGGAAGTATGTGAAATATGAACCGGAGCAAATTGCTGGAAAGCGGGGGAAATCACGGAATACTCGTCGGAAAATAGCAAGGAAAGATTGATGGGCTTGATATTGTGCATAGTATGAATAGGATGGTCTGTAATTAGAACATTTGAAAGTACAGATTTTGGGTTTTTAGATCGAATGGACACAGACCCTTGAAGTCACACTAAAAACCGACTGCATAGTATCCTTGGATTGTTCACATGCCAGTGTGCCAGTGCATCCTCAAGTGCTTGACCAATCTCTAGACTCGGACATTCAAGTAGTACGCTCAAGTTCAAACCTTGGAATGCATCATCTGTACTAGTACAATTCTCAAATGCTGCCAATGGTAGATGGAGTTTCTCAATCATTGTGAACTTGAATTTGAATATTTTTTTTGTTTCATACGGTAGAAAACATATATCATCAAGATAGTCATCCGGGGTGACTACCAGTACTAGTAAGTATCTCCGCACTTCATGGGTATCATGCCAAGGCCAATCCTCTACTTGTTGACAGAGTAGCCGTTTAAGAAGTCAGGATCGCCGTTAATCTCCTCACGAACCTGCGTCAAGTAATTAGAAATGCTGGATCTTTATAGGTAAATGGGGAAGAGAACATACAATATCCAGACCGCCAACAAGCTCTCCACCAACCCACAGTTGAGGGAAAGTGGGCCAATCAGCGAACTCCTTCAGACCCTGTCGCACGTCTTCATCTGCCAGAATATTGAAGAATCCGTACTTGACGCTTCGCTCACGGAGAATACCAACCAATTGCCGGGAAAAGCCACACTGCGGTGAGCTAGGAGTTCCCTTCATGAACAGCATGACGGGTGCAGCCTTGACAAGCTCAGCCAGACGGGCGAAGAGTGCTTCCTTGGACTGCTCAGGTGTAAGGGTAGGAGCAGCAGCGACAGGAGTAGCATTAGCAGCTGGACCAACGGCATCCGGAGCAGCAACCGGAGACTGGGTGGCAGTCATCGGACCATCGTCGCGTGGCACGGCAGACAGGGCAGGTGGAATGTGCGCTCTGTGGACACCGTCGGCGGGGCCTGGGGCAACGGCGCCATTTCCGCGGCCAGCATGACGCTCAATAGCATCACGGACTTTGATAGCGTCGCTGCCGCTAATAGACTCGAGGATCTGGCCACTGCGTAGACAAACGACAAATGGAACCGCGGAAACATCATACTCCTCCGAGATGTCGGGCAACTCTTCGGCATTGATGCTGATAAACGAAATGGTCGGCGGGGCCGTAGCGGGGTACTGGGAGGCAAGAGCGGAGAGAACAGTGCGCATCTGAGCGCAAGGCGCGGCCCATGGAGTGTGGAAGTATAGGACGACAAGCGCAGAGGGCGAGAGTGAGCTGAGCTGTGCCGCGAACTCGGTCTCAGTCGTGATTTCGATGAGTGCCGACATGATGAAGGAGGGGGGTATATGAGGAGGATATCGCAGGGAGTGGAGAGTAGTCGAGGAAGAGACCCAGAAAAATGATAACTGCCTCTGGACAGGCAATTGAGTGGCGGGTCTGTGCTGGATATAGATGCAATATACCAACTACCTCGGAAAATGAACCAGGGTGGTGCAAGTGAGTTTCTATACAGGATGAAGATTGATTGCGTGACTGAGGCGAATTTTACCCGGCGATCCCTGTTATCAGATCGGGCCTGAATACGTAATTTACCGAGGGGTTGATACCGGTCACATGGAGATAGGAAAGAAATTAGGCGGCTCTTCAAGGCGGTCAATGTAATGAATTTGTAATTCGACGGTCTGATATTTACACATGAACACGCTGACTTTTTGCGATAATGTCAATGCTAAAAGGCTCATATTGCTATCGATGAGTAATGAATATTCAGATCCAATTCAAAATGAAAAAAGTTAATACATAATGATGAAATGAAAACAACTGGAAATCTTGAAGTATGGGGATGGTAGCACCGCCTAGCCAGTTCATCTGACCGCCTGCTGAATCCAAGGCTTTCTGCCCACCGAAAAGCTTCCATTTTAGTCGAGCTTTCGTTTGGCCTTAACGTGTCGCTCTCAAGTTTCAACATGTCGCAGGCCACCCTATGTACAGGAATGAAGCGCAAACATGACGAGAATGATTCTTCCATCGCTATGGATGCAGTAGATCATGCAACCAACGTTATCCCCGCAAATCAAGACCCAAATGACCCCCCTTCATCCTCCGACGCCTCAAATAAACCTGCCAACTCGAACACGCAAAATCAATCAAAGAAGCGACGAGTTGATGGAGAAAAAACAAAATACCCAGATGTTAAATATGTGGGTGGCAAGTTACAGTCTTCAATTCGAATCGCCGACCTCCAGGGTTTACTTCTGTACTGCTTTGCAGACGGAATTGCTCCCAAATGGATCTCTGTCAAACACTCTGGACGCATGCAAAAAGTGGCTGTCCTGATGGTTCCTGGGCTAGAAATTGGTATGTTTGATGGGTCAATTCCATTGGAACCTATCAGCGAAAAAAAATATGCCAATTCCTGAGCAGACGGGAATGACAGAGCAAACTGCCGAAGACCGAAAGGCCGCCGACTTCGAAAAGTGGAAGCAGGGACTCCCACTCGAGGACCGGTCTGATCAATTCAATCCACGACCCCTTTCCCAGGATACGCTTCCTTTGCCCTTGCGCGAGCTCGCAAAGATATTCCCAGATATCTGGCCCGTTAGAGCTCCTGGCGATACCAAATACAATAAAGTGCATTCGCCCCTGCAGGCAATCCTGCTATCTCAGCTACCCAAGTCCAAGGACAACTCAGAACCCAAGCGCAAAGGGGCGCAGCCGGCTCGAACTAAGGATGGCTTCGTCGCAAAACGAACCCCTATCACAAAGTTTATTAGTACTATGGAGCAACTGCAAGAGAACGAGTACACCTTACACCCGGCGTTTTTCAATTCAGAGGAAGAAAAGGCTTCATACAACAATACTCGTCGTTCAAACAATGAATCTACGGAAGATGGCTGGGTTGACTCGTTGGTTCCAAGCTTGGAGGCCGGTGATGTACCCGACGCTGAAACCGAACAGGGCAGCATGACCGCCGGTCGCGATGTGTTGGCCCTTGACTGTGAGATGTGTATGACGGAAGGTGGTAAGTCCGAGCTTACTCGTATCAGTATGATGCGCTGGGATGGCGAGGTCATCTTAGACGAGTTGGTAAAGCCTGCCCGACCAATCGTTGACTACCTTACCCAATATTCTGGCATCACTGAGGAAATGCTGGACCCCGTCACAACTACCCTGTCCGATATCCAACAGAAACTTCTTTCCATTCTGACGCCTCGCTCCATTCTGGTCGGACACTCCCTCAACTCAGATTTGACGGCGCTGAAATTCACCCACCCCTTCATCGTTGACACGGGTATCATATACCCCCACCCACGTGGCCCTCCCTTAAAGTGCAGCCTCAAGTGGCTCACTCAAAAGTACCTGAACAAATCCATTCAGACCGGTAGCGCCGGCCATGACTCGATTGAAGATGCCCGTGCTGTCCTGGACTTGGTGAAATTGAAGTGTGAGAAGGGCGTTGGTTGGGGTACCAGCGATGCCTCTAATGAAAGCATCTTCCACCGACTCGCCCGCTCCAAGCGCTCCACTCTCCCAGCTTCCAATCGACCCCGAACTGGAGCTGGAGCTGTGGTCGATTGGGGAAACCCAGAGCGCGGGTTTGGAGCGCAGGCGACTGCTGCCATCGGATGCAAGAACGATGATGCTGTGGTGAAGGGCATATCTTCCGCTATCAACGGCGATGCTGCATACCCTGCTGTTCCTAGTGGTGGTGTGGATTTCGTTTGGGGTCGTCTTCGCGAGCTGGAGCAATTCCGTGGCTGGTGTACACGTCTTCCCGATGCGAACAACGCCAACCAATCTAGTGAAGTTTCTGCCTTGCCCGAGGAGACCACGCCTACCACCAGCACCGACGATGCCTCGGCACGCATCTTTGACCCTGTTCTTGCCACCACGGTCTCGCAGACAGTCTCAAACATTACCCGGATTTACGAATCTCTGCCCTCATGCACTTTGTTTATTGTGTACTCGGGTACCGGAGATCCTCGCGAGGTCTCCCGTCTTCAGGCAATGCAAAAGACTTTCCGCGAGGAGTTCAAAGGACGCAAGCCTTGGGATGAACTGAGTGTAAAGTGGACAGACGTGGAGGAACAGGCTCTAAAGAAAGCATGTGAACGAGCCCGGGACGGCTGTGGCTTCATGTGTGTTAAACAATAATACCGAAATCCTTTCCAAGGGTGTTGACACCAAAAATGAATACTCTTTGATCTACTAACAAATTGTTATATACTCCTCATGATATCTGTAAATATTGCTCTCAATGCAAACAATTTAAAACTCATATTTATCCCAGGGTATAACCTGAACACCGATCGCCTGAAGCTCCTCCTCAATCTCGCTTTCGATTTCTTCTGCGCTTTTCCCCGTTTCTTGGTTGTGATATGTCGAGTGCGCCCCTTGCAGCAACACCACTTCAAATCCCGCACTGATGGCCCCGCGACTAGTAGCGCGAACGCAACACTCACTCTGCACCCCAAAGGCTACAATGGTAGTCACTCCTCGAGCTTTCAAATCATTTGCCAAGGTTGGGTTAGATTCGAATGTGTCCCCTAGGTACAGCCTATGAGTCATTTTCTATTTAACCCCGAGGAGAGTACATTACTAACCAGTGGTTTTATGAACAACTCTCTCATTTTCAGCATCTTCACGAGGAGGTAGAGCGAGTTCCCACGCTTCGTTGCCACGTAACAAAGTCGCGTTAGGATCTTCTGGATCGTCGGAGTGTTGCACCATAATAATGTCGAGCTCTTTGGCTGGTTGGGTTCTCGCACGGTTGAGGATCTTGGTCCCAACCTCACAGATACGCGCTCCATACGGCATCGCAGTACTGGAGATTGAAACAAGCTCCGCTTGGGTGTCAATCACAAAGAGGGCTTTCTTGGGCATCTTGCTGGGGTTTGAGCTCAATGGGAAGGATGAGTCAAAAGCTCAGGGCTCCATGTCGGAGAGGTTTCGGAAACCTTAGCCTCCGTGCGCCACTAATTGCTCTAAATGTTTAAGTGGCTTTCGATTTTTATTTACCTAAGAATTGCACCATCCTCCGATGACTCAGTTACTACATCTATTGATAATGATTTCAGGGTTGAGCAAAGCCAAGAATTGAATCAAATGCAAGTGTTAAACATTGGAATCTCCCAAGTCAACATCGAAGTTAACTACATGAGTTACTACTAGTATCAGAACCACGCCACATAAATTCAACACAAATCGACATGAAGTATCACCAAGAACTTGGGATTGAGAATTTTCACTGCTCCATCAATCGGCAGTGGGGGTACCCAAGGACCAGCGGTATGTATTCGGCGGCGATTTCTTGAGAGGTAAATCCGCACGAGATCGTAAGTACTCATCTGAAAGCGGAGGTCCTACTCCTCCGGGTGGGTGCAATTCTGAATACGCTGGCAGTTGTGGATCAGCCTCTGGGAGGGGCGGATTCCATGGAGCTGGCTGGATGTTAACATCTTGATCTGTGCCCCCATACCTATCCAGTCGTGGAAGCCGCCGCTGACCTAGAGGGATCTCAGATGAGCCCCGTCGCCACCAACGGTTCTGGGTGTCGAAATAGAGCTCGTTTCTTCCATTGGGCTCCGTTAGAGTATGCATGAAATAGCGTATCCAGGGCCCGTCGAGTCTTCTGGGCGAATCGGTTGGACAATTTCCATCAGTCACTGCACACTGAATCCTGACCCAGGGGGTGAGGCGAGTATCTTCAATGCCAGGATGCCTCAGGGCAACTTCAACCATGACGACCCTATCCCCAGTGAAGCTCGAGTGCTCTTCTGCTAGTACTGTGCCCATAAGAGGGATATTATGGCCTGGGTCTCTGACATTCCAGTGTCCTTGGAGCTGACGTAGATCATCCTCGAAGAGCCTGCACATAGTTGATCCAGTGTCGTATAAGAATGTAAATTCTTCCCACCAATCCACGCCGGGAAGCCGTACCATAACGTTATACTATAATGTGTGAGGATTTGCTTCAGTGTTATAGTAGCATTTTCCGGTAGGACTTACAGTATTCAAAAAGGGGTGAAAGGGCGACGCGGGCACGATGAATCGATACTTTGCAGACTCAGGTCCCGGTCCATCAAGCTGGTCGGGTATGGTCAGAAATGAACTAAAAAAAGTATCCGTACTGGAAGATTACTCACCCCTTCAGTCCAGAATGATTGATTTCCATCATAATATTTGTTAATCGTCTCAAATTCGTCCCAGCTAAATGGTCGAGGTTCACAGAGTTTATTGCCATTTGACCAATAGGTAACAAGCCCAGTCCAGGTCAGCTTGCCTGATCTATATGCATCCAAAACAGCTTCAATATTGACCAGTTGCTTGTCTTTATCTCCCTTTCTCCGAACTATGTCCCAAAGTTGTTCTAATGTGCTCACTCGCTTGCGAACCGCGGGGCATAGGAAAGGATCCTCGTTGCGTTTCTGGATTCTGATATTTCCCATGTTAGCGGTTTGGAAAAAAGGTAGAATTCGGTCTTTTATTTTCTCTTTTCGAGTTGGAAATCTTTTGGTACTCACTGGATCTCCAGTCTGTCCTTTTCAAGCTTCAACAACCTTGATTCAAATAGCTGCGGCATGATTCCCTCCTCAATTCGCTCAAAGCAACGTTGGATTTGACCTTCAATGTCACTATGTTCAACAATTAATTAGTGGGTTGCCTTTCTCATTAATATTCTGGGGACGTGCCTTGGGTCTATATCATGCTCAATTGGATGCCACTGTTGAGGTATTTCTGAAATGTGCCACACTGGCGGCTCAGCTACCTCGGGCTTTTTCCAAAGGTGTGTTGAAGTCTTCTCCAGCGCCATCACTTGTTTTTCTTCATTCTGAGCATCAACGGGCTTTTCAACCTTAAGATATTGTACGTAGGAATGGGTAAGGTCCAAGGCTTCGATGCCGACAGGCTTGCGATTCACAGAATCCCATACAGATCCAAATCCTCCTTCAGATTCTTCTGATGTAGGCGTTGCAGGGCCATCAGGTGCTTCTCGACGCTCCTCTTCCAACTCCAAACTTTCTTCACGCTTTCTACGAGGCATGGTGTCTAATGGACAATGTGATCGCACGGAAGGGTGCAGAGAGAGCTGAAATTATCAAGTCTTCTCCTTCAAATAGAAGGCAAATGATTTCGAGAACTTAGAACAAATTCTCTTGTATGAGAGCGAGAGGCTGTCTTTCCTTATAAGAGAATGTAAGAAATCATTGCTTAGTTTAGAGTGACAAAGGACCTCGGAGTCACAACCCACATAATAACGAATCGCTCTTTCAATATGAATTGAAAGCAAACCTGGGCGCAGAGTGAGCATTTGATGAGAGGAGAATGAAAAAAATTCAATATGAGACACGCACAAAGAGCCTTGGAAACTTCTGTGACTCCTTTTGATTGCGGATATCCTTTCAGTTGATCTCATATCTGTTTTGAAGAATCATGTCTTATATTATCCTTCGAGTTTTTGGTTTGTTGTTGAAAGTTGACTTAGCTCAAACTTCAAATGTTGAAGTATTCATTCAATTTCTTCTGAAAATCTTTTATATGTGCTTTCACCTAACTTCCATTTAGCTTGTTATCCTAAAGTGGGTTCTTTCATCCCTCCATGGGTATTACTACTCTGGCCATTTCATATTCCCTTTGTTACTTTCGCCCGATGTACTTGGTATGTTGAATATCCTTGGAATTAGGGTCCACTTTTTATTCAAAGGACTATGTACTGAGCACAGAGAAACTCAAGCCCTGGAGCATCAGACAGATGCGACCGTAAACCCCCACCCAGTCTTTCAAGTTGTCAACGTGATTGGATACCCTTCTTTCAAATGTTAGATTTCTATATATAGTCTAGTGAATTGTCTAACCTTCATACCAGGGCGCCCCCCCCCCGCGCCTGCGGTCCATTTAGGGTCTTAATTATAGACCATGTCTGCGGTTACTATCGCCTCGAATTCAGATCAAGAAAGTACAGTCGATAGCGAAAACAGCTTCTACCCTGATGACTGCTTTTCTTTTCTCAGGCCCCACTGCCAAGGAACTAGCCTGTAAATTTATTTCATGGACCATAGTAAAGTGATAACCACCTAAGGTCATGTTTGGTATCAGATAACAGAGTTACGGTATTATAATTACTGAATATTACGAACTTGTTTTCTTCGTTCTTTGTCGAGGGTGTACTTGGGTATTGGATAATACACGTGACTGTGGTCATGGATAATAATTGGCTGCTCAAGACCCATCGCGCGGCCCTCAACTTACTGATCGTGGGATCTTGAAAGACCTTCATGTATAATTTATTGTAAAAAAGCACCAGCACGGAAACCAACGATATGAGAGTTGGTGACCCGGATAGTGTTGACTGATCGTGGGGTACAATGGGCAGCCTCAGAAATTTGCGCGTTAGTATACAGTTGGGGGCCTTAGATCATGTCACGGATGAGTTCAGGTTGCCATGCTTCAAGTGTAGGTGCCATATCTCTACTTCTGATGTTGCTCCAACCACCAGTGCTGATTGGACTTCGTAGTGCCACAACATCGGTCGGTCACAGGCCATGCTGTCACGTGCGACGCACTCTAGCTAGCGGCTGGTGGCTATCTCCAATCGCAATTGCTCTAGTGCCGCGCTACGCTCCTCCCCTCAGCCCGGGCTGAGTTTCTGCTGCTGGTGACGGGGCTGCTCCTGCACGCGATGGGGCTCTTTTCTCGTGGCGACCCCGCACAGGAGTCATGAACCTCTTTTCTTATTCAACTTTTCCTAATCTTCATCATCAAAAAAAAAAACCACCATTCTTTCCGCAAAACCACAGCAGCCGTCTACATGGCCCATCCTCCACAAGATGCCTTTCAAATCGGCTGGATCTGTGCTCTTCCGATCGAGGCTGCAGCAGCAGCCGAAATGCTAGATGAGCATTTTGGTATTCTCGAGGAGCAAGATGCAGCGGACTCGAATACCTACACGTTGGGACGAATCGGCAAACATTACGTCGTGATCGCCTGCCTTCCTGGAGGCCAGTACGGAACCACCTCAGCGGCTACGGTCGCAACCAACATGCTTCGCTCTTTCTCCAAGTCACTTCGAATCGGACTGATGGTCGGTATTGGGGGTGGAATCCCTTCCGCTGCTCATGATATCCGCCTTGGCGATATCGTGATTAGCTACCCCCAGGGCACTTGCGGCGGGGTAATTCAATATGATATGGGCAAGATTATTGCAGATGGCGAATTTGAACGAACGGGCTCGTTAAACAGCCCGCCGAGGGCAATATTGACCGCGGTTGGCACGATGAGAGCTGCCACGCTGAGGGATGACCCCCGCTACCTGGAATATGTTCAAAGCGCAATCGGAAGAACCACTCGGACTCGGAAGAATTTTGGCCGGCCTACTGCACAGTCCGATCGACTCTTTCAGGCGCAGCATGATCATCCTGCCAGTGTAGGGAGCTGTGATGGATGTCTAGCTGAGTGGGAAGAGACCAGAGGTGAACGCGAGGACGAGGATCCACAGCCCCATTATGGTATCATTGCTTCTGGGAATAGGGTCATCAAGCACGGACGGACAAGAGAGCAACTTCGTTTAGAGACTGGGGCTCTGTGCTTCGAGATGGAGGCAGCTGGTTTGATGTTGGACTTCCCCTGCGTTGTCATCCGCGGTGTTTGTGATTATGCCGACTCGCACAAGAACAAGCAATGGCAGGGATATGCTGCTCTAGCAGCCGCAGCATATACAAAAGAGCTGCTGTGCTACATCCCTGTTGGCCGTGTTTCACAAGAGAGCTTGGTAGTAGATATATGCAGTAAGTAAGATTAATCCTAGCTCAATTAGTCCCGAATAAACGGTGGCTTACTCATATGGCTCTATGTAGACGGGTTGAAGGCCGAAATCAAAGGCACAAATCGACGCCTGGATCAAGCATACAGTCAACAAGAAAAATATCATCGTGAGAAGGTTGCATTTACTTTAACAGATCAGCAACACCGCTGCCACCAAATATTCAAGGTATCAAGTTACGAGGAGCAAAAGAATATCAATCCTAGAAAAGTGGAAGGGACCTGCCTGTGGGCTACACAGAGCCCTGAATATATCCGTTGGTCAGAAAGCAACTGTAACGATCTTCTCATAGTGTCTGCTGACCCAGGCTGTGGAAAGTCTGTGCTCTCCCGATCGATAATCGAAGGCTATTTAGAAGGTTCTGCTCCAGGGGTAACCATGTGTTACTTTTTTTTCAAGGACAACGACGAGCAGAATCATCTTGCTACAGCACTCTGCTCAGTACTCCATCAGCTTTTTGGCCAGCGGCCTCAGCTCTTGCGTCATGCCATACCGTCATGGGAAAAAAATGGTGAAAAGCTGCGACAAGAGGTTGACGAACTATGGCGAATTTTTACAACCGCCGTATTATCAGATGAATCATGCAAGACGATTTGTCTACTCGATGCGCTTGACGAGTGCCGTGAGATTGATCAGAATCGACTTATTGAGAAGCTACAGTCATTTCATCGTCTGCCACGTTCGCAGAGACAGGGTACCTGGTTGAAATTCCTAGTCACTAGTCGCCCCTATGATGATACCCAGAATGGGTTCCAAAAAATTACAGACTTTTTTCCACATCTCCATCTGAAAGGCGAGGAAGAAAACGCTCAAATCCACCAAGAAATTGATCTTGTTGTAAAGATGCGAGTGAAACAGCTCGCTGAAAGAGCGAAGTTATCAAAGGCCACAGAGCAGCGACTCAGGCAGCAGCTTCTGCAAATGGAGCACCGTACGTATCTCTGGCTACATTTAGCCATTGACGATATTGAGTCTATGTTCAAGTATAGTATTCGACCTACTGAGGAACAAATACAGTTAATACCCCAATCAGTGGATAAGGCATACGAGAAGATTCTTAGTCGAGTGCACCCGGGTCAAGTAGACACTGCGAGGAAGATCTTACAAATTATCATCGCAGCACGGCGCCCTTTAACGACAGCGGAAATGGCCATGGCGCTCGGTATTGCCACTTCTCCACAAGCCCAAACTGCAGCCGAAGCTGGACTTGAATCATTTCATATCGACAAAAAGCTGCGTCGATTATGTGGTCTTTTTGTTTTCATCAAGAACTCCAAGATCTACTTGATTCATCAGACAGCAAGAGAATTTCTTGTTAAAAGGAGTAGTTCTAACAGTTCCAACGGCTTATACTCGTGGAACATAACAGACACCGAGGATCAAATGGCTATTATCTGTTTACGATACCTATTGATGGAAGATCTGGAATACAATGAGGATTCAAACTCTAACATTCGGAGCTTCCTGGAGTATTCAGCAGTACATTGGCCGGACCACAAACGGAAGATGAGTCTGACCCAAGACCAAGAAGCGACCGATCAAGTTCAGCAAATCTACGATATGAGTAGAAGGATATTTTCATTGTGGTTCCCTATCTTTTGGACAGCTCTCGAGAGTTATAGGTCTCCACCTTCGATGACTGCTTTACATCTGGCGTCATTTAACGGGCATGAACGGGAGGTTGAGTTTCTACTGTCTCTCGATGGGAAAGGTATCAATTCAACCGATGGCACCGGAACCTACCCTATCATCTGGGCCTCACTGAATGGTTATGAGAAGGTCGTGGAGTTTCTGGTGGAGAAAGGAGCGCACGTCGACGCCCAAGGTGGAGAGTATGGAAATGCTCTCCAAGCTGCGTCTTTACAAGGGCACGATAAGGTAGTGCAGCTCCTGCTGGAGGAGGGAGCTGAGGTCAACACCCAAGGTGGAGAGTATGAAAATGCTCTCCAAGCTGCGTCTTTACGAGGGCACGATGATGTAGTGCAGCTGCTGCTGGAGGAGGGAGCTGAGGTCAACACCCAAGGTGGATACTATGGAAATGCTCTCCAAGCTGCGTCTTTGCAAGGACACGATAGGATTGTGCAGCTCCTGCTGGAGAAAGGAGCGCACGTCGACGCCCAAGGTGGAGAGTATGGAAATGCTCTCCAAGCTGCGTCTTTACAAGGGCACGATAAGGTAGTGCAGCTCCTGCTGGAGGAGGGAGCTGAGGTCAACGCCCAAGGTGGATACTATGGAAATGCTCTTCAAGCTGCGTCTTATGGAGGGCACGATGAGGTAGTGCAGCTCCTGCTGGAGGAGGGAGCTGAGGTCAACGCCCAAGGTGGAGAGTATGGAAATGCTCTCCAAGCTACGTCTTTGGAAGGACACGATAAGATTATGCAGCTGCTGCTGGAGGAGGGAGCTGAGGTCAACGCCCAAGGTGGAGAGTATGGAAATGCTCTCCAAGCTGCGTCTTTGGAAGGACACGATAGGATTGTGCAGCTCCTGCTGGAGAAGGGAGCTGAGGTCAATGCCCAAGGTGGAGAGTATGAAAATGCTCTCCAAGCTGCGTCTTTACGAGGGCACGATGATGTAGTGCAGCTGCTGCTGGAGGAGGGAGCTGAGGTCAACGCCCAAGGTGGATACTATGGAAATGCTCTCCAAGCTGCGTCTTTGCAAGGACACGATAGGATTGTGCAGCTCCTGCTGGAGAAGGGAGCTGAGGTCAATGCCCAAGGTGGAGAGTATGAAAATGCTCTCCAAGCTGCGTCTTTGGAAGGACACGATAAGATTATGCAGCTGCTGCTGGAGGAGGGAGCTGAGGTCAACGCCCAAGGTGGAGAGTATGGAAATGCTCTCCAAGCTGCGTCTTTGGAAGGACACGATAGGATTGTGCAGCTCCTGCTGGAGAAGGGAGCTGAGGTCAATGCCCAAGGTGGAGAGTATGAAAATGCTCTCCAAGCTGCGTCTTTACGAGGGCACGATGATGTAGTGCAGCTGCTGCTGGAGGAGGGAGCTGAGGTCAACGCCCAAGGTGGATACTATGGAAATGCTCTCCAAGCTGCGTCTTTACGAGGGCACGATGATGTAGTGCAGCTGCTGCTGGAGGAGGGAGCTGAGGTCAACGCCCAAGGTGGATACTATGGAAATGCTCTTCAAGCTGCGTCTTATGGAGGGCACGATGAGGTAGTGCAGCTGCTGCTGGAGGAGGGAGCTGAGGTCAACGCCCAAGGTGGATACTATGGAAATGCTCTTCAAGCTGCGTCTTATGGAGGGCACGATAAGGTAGTGCAGCTGCTGCTGGAGGAGGGAGCTGAGGTCAACACCCAAGGTGGATACTATGGAAATGCTCTTCAAGCTGCGTCTTATGGAGGGCACGATGAGGTAGTGCAGCTGCTGCTGGAGGAGGGAGCTGAGGTCAACGCCCAAGGTGGAGAGTATGGAAATGCTCTCCAAGCTGCTTCTTTGGCAGGATACGATAAGATAGTGCAGCTCCTGCTGGAGGAGGGAGCTGAGGTCAACGCCCAAGGTGGAGAAGATGGAAACAATGTCCAAGCCGTGTCTTTGGTAGAATAATACAGTATAAGATTTTGGAAATACTCAGCGCGTCTGCTTCCCAATTAGTCCACATCCCTCTCTATCTCTCCCTTACGAGGTCGAAGGTCCCATGACCTCGAAATTTGTACATCAAGTAGCTGCTACTGTAACTAACGGCATTAGCTCAGTGGCTTCCCGTTGTCGCCATATCGTAGCCTCGCTGGATATGAATACAGGAATTGTCATCTATGAATGACTGAAGAGGTCTCTTTGTAAAATTCAAAATTTCTGTCTTACTATCGCACTTACTTACGCTGGAGATTCTTACAAGGCTGTTTTAGGAACAAGGCTGTTTTAGGAACAAGGCTGTTTTAGGAACAAGGCTGTTTTAGGAACAAGGCTGTTTTAGGAACAAGGCTGTTTTGTAAAGCGCCCGTAAGTTACAGTATGTGTACCGTCATATTTATGAGTTCTATCTATTTTTGAAACAATAGTGGAGTAAAGACCCCTTGGCAGTGGGGCCTGAGAAAAGAAAAGCAGTCATCAGGGTAGAAGCTGTTTTCGCTATCAACTGTACCTCTTCGGTACTTAGCGATGCCGTTAGTACTCATCCTATGCAGACTTCCAAGGTTGGACTAGAGATCAAATGGAGATAAGAAACACTTGAGCGCGAAATTTACCCCGCTAAAACGCGGAATATTGGATTTCGCATTTCAAATATAATGTACAGCCAAGTGCCAGTATGAGAGTTAATTCATGCAAAGAATAATAAATTCAAGTTAGCGGTATCTGTCAAGTTTCACTTGGAGTGGACTCTGTCATAAGATGTCGGCTAATTGATAAGTGAAAAGTACGTCTCACCCAAGACTGGTACTATCTCCACCCCCTCATCTCGAAACTTCAAAGTTCAAGCTATTGTTCTTCTGAGATCGCGATGTCGCAACCTGCTACTGTTCGGGTTGCCGTTACTCAGGCTGAACCAGAGTGGCTTGATCTTGCCGCTGGCGTGACTAAAACCTGCGAGTTAATTGCAGAAGCCGCGAAGAATGGAGCAAAGCTGATTGCTTTTCCCGAATGCTGGATACCTGGATATCCTTGCTGGATTTGGTAAGATCCTAAAGCGAGTGATACTTTGAAATAAGGAGATACTAACTGCTGTAGGACGCGACCACTCGATGTTAGTCTCAACGTGGCATATGTCAAGAACTCTCTCCGTCTATACTCTCCAGAGATAAAGAAAATTCAACTTTGCGCTCTACAGAACTCCATTGCTGTGTCCTTGGGTTTCTCAGAGAACAGTAATGACTCGGTGTACATTGCTCAGGTAATGATTGGTCCGGATGGCCAAATCAAAAATCACCGCCGAAAGATGAAACCGACACACATGGAGAGAACTATATTCGGCGACGCTTCGGGTGAATGTTTTGACAGCGTTGCGGAGCTTCCTTTCACCCGTGTGGGCGCCTTGTCATGCTGGGAGCATATTCAGCCACTGTTGAAGTATCATACCATCTCCCAGCAAGAAGATATTCACGTTGCTGCATGGCCGAGTCTTTTCCCGCATACTGGGGGGTCCGACCTGTGGTCTATGTCTGCTGAAGGTGAGTAGCTTTAAATGTTGATTCGAAGAAGCCTGAGAGTAACATCTACTAATTGGATGATGCTCCCATTCTATCAGGTTGTCAGAGTCTCTCTCAGACATATGCTATTGAGTCGCAGTGTTTCGTGCTTCATTGCACGACACTACTCACCAAAAAGGGCATCGAGCAGATGAATACCTCAGGGGGCACATTAATGTCTTCTCCAGGTGGAGGCAGTTCGGCTATATTTGGACCTGATGGAAGAAGATTGACTGAGCCAGTTGAAAGCACCACGGAGAAAATAATTTACGCTGATTTGGATATGGACATGATCTTAGCGGCGAAGCTTTTCGCGGATGCAACGGGTCATTATAGTCGGCCTGATCTGATGTGCCTCAATATCAATAAACGAGTCAGGAAAATGGTTTATGAAGACGAGGATGCGGATGTTGTGGAAACCAAAGACGAGATTAAAGGCGAAGAATAATTCTGCTTGCTGCAATTCGTCTTCTTTGGAGGGACGTTACATCTATTGGAAGATACTATGGATGTTTGAAATCCGGCCTACTTGAGGAACATTTGTCTATATTGAGGAAAGCCAATTCATGATGTCAAATGTAACGATAGCTCTGCACAGCGGGAATTTCAAATACCGCCTCTCGAGTCTATTGTGAACAGACACTGATCAACACCTGAAACTACACAAACTCTGCATACTTAAGCCTTCGTCATATGTCAAAGCACCCGCTAGTGTGAGGGGAAGATATGTCACGAACTCTGTTTTCTATGCGAAAAACGCATCAATATACACACTGCGGATTAATCCGCATCTGCTAGCCCAAGTGAGTAACAGATGTGCAATCGGCATATGAAAGCATCACAGCCAATACCCGCTTGGAGCTTATATGCTAATGCCATCTATAGATCTTTTGAAGCGGCAAATGCTCTCATTAAAATCCAAACCTTGATGGAACATGAGCTCGGGCCGTCTGAATGTGGAGCGATCAGGGTCCAAGAGATCAAGCTTTAATCGAATCCGGGGTAAAGAGTATAAAAGACCTCGTTATTTCCAACATCCTCACCAGAAATCTCAAAACTTACACGCATCAAGTGTATCTGGGCACTTGTTTCCAATATGAAATTTTGGCTTCTCACAATCTGGGTCGTTTCTGCGGCATCATATGTTGTCAACGAAAACACTACATGCACCTTATACCCGGAATCCCTCACCCATAATGGAGAGCCAGTTGATGATTCCCCATCAATTCACCAAGCTTTCGATCTCTGTGGTACAAATGGCACGATCATCTTTTCTCAAAACACGTTTCATATCAACTCAGTTCTCAACACCACAAACCTGCTGAACTGCGATGTGAAGCTCCGAGGCGAGCTCCGCTTCTCCACCAATATCCCGTATTGGCGATTGCACTCTTATAATGTGGTCTTGCAGAATCAATCTACAGCGTGGCTGTTTGGTGGGACCAATGTGACACTTCGTGGAGAAGATGGCGGTTGGTATAACGGAAATGGCCAGGCTTGGTACACCCAAAATCGCAATGGGGCAAATGAACCAGGACGTCCAATTAGCATCACATTTTACAACTCAACCAACCTCCTGGCTGACGGTCTTGCAATAATTCAACCTCAGTTCTGGGCAACTTTCGTTTGGGCTAGTAAGAATGTTTCTATCACCAACTTTCTTGTCAACGCGACGAGCGATAATCAATGGGACACGACAAATACAGACGGATACGACTCCTGGAATAGTGATATGCTCTTGGTTGAGAATGCGACCATTACGAATGGTGATGATTGTATCGCTGCTAAAGGCAACACTACCAACCTTTTCGTTAAGAATGTCACCTGTCATGGATCCAACGGTATGACAATTGGCTCTGTCGGACAGTATCCTACCATGCCAGACTATGATATCAATATCACATTTCAAGACGTCAAATGTTTGAATTGTGCCGATGGCGCATACATCAAAACATGGCAAGGGGTACCGGAGACAGATGATTCCAACGGAGATGCTGGTGGTGGTGGTAGTGGATTAATCAAAAACATCACATTCAAGAATTTCGAGATGACAAATGTTGGCCTTCCAATCCAGATCTCGCAATGCATCTATACTGAGGCAAGCAATAAATATTGCAACACTTCTAAGATGCAGATCGAGGATGTGACATGGGCGAATATTACCGGAACATCACGCTACAACATTGCGGCATCGATCTATTGTTCGGCTCTTCATCCATGCCCGAATATTACTTTTGACAACGTCAACTTGACAAGTGTTAACGGCACTCTTGGATTGCCCAATTATGGTACTACCATTCAGCATGAAGTGTTTCAGTGTGCCAATATAATTGGGCAAGATGGTTCTGGTATTCCATGTAATCATGTCGCTCCTAATAACTTCAGCCAGGGCGTTTCTGGGAATATCAAGACTTAGGTGTTGGTCAAAGCAGCTTGAACCGTGACATTGAGATGCTTTAATGCTAGCACCTGAGAACATGCACATGATATGGCCAGATAATGTGAAATTTATTGATACTGTAATGATACAGTGCAAACTTCTGGGACAAACATTTAGTGTTTTTACTGTATGTATCAAGCCGTGGAGAAGTTCTTCCCGAGTTCAAGTTCTCACCAATGTTTGCCCAGGGGATACTAGCTTTCTCACCTGGGCACATACTAGCACTAATGGTTCCAAGGTTGCTTAGTGACCGACTAGTACCTAGACTCGGAGCAATCAAATCTCGCCATAGGCTGAATTCATAATTTTTCAAATTGTTCAAAAACTTCAAAAAAGTATTGAATACTACTAGTGTGTGCCAGAAACATATAGTAGTAGTACTGATAACGTACTACCTAGGTGGCATCCATGTGAATAAGCACAATCATGATGTTCCTAATATGTACATGTAGTGTCGAGCACTAGGGAAACAAGAATAGGGATCATTAGTAGCAATAATTCAAATGTTTGCTTTACTAGGTCCACGAGTAGGTGCTGGCAGAAACTGTTCAGCTTGTCCTGAATGCACTCTATAGAAACAGAAGGCTAGGCAGCACTGCCCCACCAAGTAGATTCAATGTAAATTAATGTGGGGCGGTGTTAAGTGGCTAAAGTGATACATCACTTCAGTAGAGACGAGAGGGAAACTCATCTCAAATTTACAGATTCTGAAAATAATAAACGTCTTTTATAATAACTTGAACTTGATATCTAAAGTCAATAATAATAGTAATCATGTTATTATATAGAGCATAAACCTTGGAAGGGCCATAGATCCGAATCCATGGTTGGAAGGGTTTGCGGGAACCAAAATTGACCAAAATTGACCAATCAAAAGTAATAAAGTTGATCAGTCATCCAGGAACCAATGATGCCTAAGGCTAACTAATTGAATCACTTTGCGGCTCGAGTTGGTTCTTGTTTCTCGGACGACGACCCTCTCCCAGGACTTCTTTCGTCCCGGCTCTCCCCTGTCCGCTCTATCCACAACCTGGTTTGCGATCAGTGATGGATATGACGAAAAGGGTGCCTGCCAACTTGTGTAAGTACAACTTCCACTCGAGTCCAGGTCAAAACAATCGCCTTCAATGGCCTTCTAGATAGCACCAAGCTAACAACTTCACCCAATCTCTACAGAGATAATTCTCCGCCCTACTTCCATCTATGCACAGCTTTCAGGCTTTTCACGAAATCACTTCTTATCATCCTTCGCCCTCGCAAAATACCTGAATAGATCCTCTGCAAACGCCTAGTGCTACCACTGTCTCGACAAAAGTCATTACCCTCGAAACGCAAACCATATCCTACTACACCTTACAAGAGCCCAGGTCACTAAAGCCAAAATCTTGCCTGGGAGTCCCGTGATTGAAAAGATAGCCTCTCATCGGATCAATAAGGGAATTGGAGATTCGACAATAGCCCCGCAATCCAGACCCGAAACGCCCATTCTAGCTCCTCTTTCCTTACCACTTTCTTCTTCTCCATAATTTCTGTGTGGTGGAGGAGTTACAAATTGGTTCTGTGATATCTCTACTTTTTCCTGTGTTTCCCCCGATCTTGTTGTGGTGACTTGCCCGGGTGCATCGCCCTGGTGATCCCGTGCCCTCTCCAAGGTATATAAATACTCTTGTCCCTGATGTTTCCCTCTTTTACTTGTTCATCTACTTACAGGCCGTACCTTAGGCCAGAAAATCCTGTTTATTCATGCCCCTGTTATGCAAAAGTTTATCGTTCAATCAGCACATATACCCTTCGCCATCTGCCTCCAGCTCTAGTAGTCGTTTTTCGTTCCATCATTAGCGCATTGCATCATTCATCCTTCCTATCTTCATCATGGAGGCAACACAAGAATCTACTCAGCCGACTGCCGATCCTCGTCGTATGGGACTGCACAACTCGGGACTGCACGATCAGGACCTGGCCGACATCATCTGTATCCTCCATCCCAATTCTCATGCTGCTCACGATGCCGTCGCAGCTACAGCCTCACTAGGCACCCAACACATCTTGCAGCAAGCGGCTCTAGATTATGAATCATCGGAAACTGCGGCACTAGATGTTGCGCTGCGTTTATCATCAGATGTCCATGATCTTTCCACTGGATTTTGTTTCGGTCGCAATAGTGCTCGCTGTGATGTTCTCCTGGCATCCAATGATGACGCCAAGAAAGTCTCAAACTGCCATTTTCGAATCCACCTCACAGGAGACGGCATCATCATGTTGCAGGATACGTCGACGAACGGAACTATTGTAGACAATTGTCGTCTGCGCAAGAATTCCAAGGATAATAGCCGCATGCTTGTGAATGGATCCGTCATACAGGTTGTGACTGGAAGCCATGGCTCAGATGAAGTACGATTTATTGTACGAATTCCTTCACGAGAGAATTTCGCTGTAAAATACACGCAGAATGTGCTGCAGTATTTTCAGCGAGTGCAGGCCGCCTTGGCTGATGCTGGAAATAACAACGGTCGACCAGTTCCAACTCAGCCAGTTCTGCCATGGTCTGTTGGTAATGCATTTGGCATGCATTGGACTGGTAGTCCAATGTACAATGTGACTGGGCAGATCGGCAAGGGTGCTTTCGCTACTGTGTACAAAATCGCCACCAAGCAGCATGGCTCAATTTACGCAGCCAAGGAGCTAGATAAGCGTCGATTCATGAGAAATGGCATCCTTGATCAAAAGGTTGACAACGAGATGAAGATCATGAGAGACCTCAAGCATGTGAGTTATTCTTCGATCGAAATCCGAAAAAAAAAGACGATGAGTATTGATCAATTTACTAACCACTGTTGTCGAATATAGCCAAACATTGTTCAGTACATTGACCATCATGAGCATGATCGATGGATCTACATCATAATGGAATACGTCCCTGGTGGTGAACTGTCAACATTCTTGCAGAGTCCCGGCAAGATTCCCGAGGAAATGGTCCAAACTATTACTCGCCAACTATTGCGCGCACTGCACTATCTGCACCAACGCCGAATCACCCATCGTGACATCAAGCCAGACAACATCTTGATTGCATCACTTGATCCGCTGCGAGTCAAGATTTCCGACTTTGGATTATCCAAGGTCACGCAGGAGGAAACCTTTCTCAAGACCTTCTGTGGAACACTACTATATTGTGCGCCAGAGGTCTATCCAGACTACGAAACATACCGAATAGGTGAAGCTAGGAAAAGGCGTCGTGTGGGAGATCCGTGAGTAAAAAATCTTCTTGAGAATTCAATTGTGATGGTGGCTAATTTGTAGACCTCCAAAAACCTCTCCGTACAGCCAAGCCGTCGATATGTGGTCACTTGGTGCAGTGCTGTACCATATCCTGTGTGGATTGCCCCCATTTCAAGGCCGCGCTGAAGATCGAGGTGTTGCGATGCTGCGTAGTATCATGACAAGCGAAGCCGATTACAACATCTTGCGCCAGGCTGGGATCTCCGAGTGCGGAATTGACTTTGTCTCCAAACTTTTGAACCGTGATCCCTTCGCTCGACCCACGGAAAAGGAATGTTTTCAACATCCATGGATTGTCGATGTCGCTGATGTGGACGAGTATGATGACGATGAGCTTCTGGACGATCCGCGAGATGGCCTTTCTGTCATTGGTGAGGACGATGAAGGGGAACTTGATGCATCCCAACTGTCTCTTCATGATAACGGATTATATGGCTATCAAGCTGGGGCCGATGAGGAAAGCAGTCAAGAGGGGCTTGCTAAGCGGCCACGCATTGAGCACATACCGGCCGATATTCGCTACCCTTCACTTCCACGAATCGAGAGCTTCCAGGAAAGCCAGGTCGCGGCCGACCACCAAGCAAGACGCTTATTCGGCGAGATCACACCGTCTGCTCTACGCAGTTCTCATGCGCTCGGTAATCCAGACGCATGGAATCCCGACTCTCATATCGAGGACTTTGCTTCTTCCGGTGAGTCGATGTCCGATGAGCGCAGTGTCTACTCGGTCGTCTCCCTCCCGGAACATCCTTTTGGCGGCATTGCACCCAGCTTGATGGGAGCGGAGAACCTCGTTGGACGACTGAACATGAACTCCTCACACCCTATTCTCCATCCCGAGATCGCTCCGATTAACGAAGTATCGATCCGGCAGACCAACCTTCGACACCAAATAGGACTTGACAGTGCGCGCAGTACCCCTTCGGAAGAAAATATGGCCCCCCCATTCCATTCAAGACGAGACCCCCAAGGCGCCCAAGGGAACTAGAGCAAGGGTCACCCGTCGATTCGAATTCGACTTGCCTGAGACAGCCAGCGAACAATCCAGTGATACGAGTCCCCAGCAAAGTCAAACTTCCTTATGCCCCCCCTGGTCATACTCCGGAGGCACAACTTGATATCGAACTTTTAACTACGATTGACGAAAGAACTGGAAAGGCGATCCTTGCGCAGCAGATGAGCGCTCGTGAAGCTGAGACATCGGATATTATCGTCCACCGCCCCGATCCCCCCTCGATTCCATCTCAAATGCCCAACGACGATTTTGCCAGGCCACCCAAGCTTCTGGGTCGACTAAAGAGTGTACCTGGCTCCATTTTCGACCTCAACCTACGCCTGGAGGGTCGAATGACCTCATGGGGCCGGGGTTCTCTCGCGTCAGTCGTCCATGAAGACTCGGAGGACACGCGAATCCCTGCCTACGCATTGGAGATCACATTCCATGCCCCTGGAATCAGTGGCGCGGTCGCGAAAGGTGAAGATTGGATGCAGCTGCCCGGGCTTGAAACCATAGTGTCTACCAAAACTAGCAAGTGCATTTGGGTAAATGGTACAGAGCTCCGGCGGGCCACCAGGCTGAAAGGGGGATCGGAAGGCCTGAATTATGGGACAGTCTACACAGGTGATATTATCACTATCTATCGACGCAAGGACAAGTACTTAGACCTCGAATGCGAGTTCTACCATGGAGAGAGTGCCCAAACTCGACCTGTGGATGAGGCAGAGTTCACTATCAAGCAAATCCCAGCCTCTAAGCCTCTCTCCAATCGCATGCCTCTTCGACCAACTCAGGTCAACGAAGCCGTGGCATAGAGCTCTTCTTCCCAAGTTTTGTTTTCTCATTCATTTCATGGTTTTTTTCACTGGACCTCTCTACTCTCAGGAAATTGCAAATTGCATCATGAGGTGGGACTTTATGGTAGTATGTGCCATGTGGAGTCATTTTATCCGCATGCAGAGGATTCAAATCTCGTGGATTTTGAATCGGATCATTTTGATTTCAGATAAGAGTGGATCTCCCCATCATGCGTGCTAGTTTGGCGTTTTAGTGCTTGATGATACTTGATCCCGATGTAATTTATCTGGGACCGCGATAGAAATAGTACCTAACCCAGTGTTTCACCTTACTTGAGATTCATCACAGACATTAAATTATCCAGTATGTCACAATCATAATAATTATCCATATAGGATATATAGGCTGAGACAATGAATTGTTCCTGGTACCTGGTGTATCGTAGCATCGTGCGATGATGATGTCTGCTTGCGGCCTAGTATTATTAACACTTTGTCCAACCACAATATGATCATCGATCACCCGTGGAGACTTGGTCTGTGCAGTTGTATGTCACCTTCAATCTTAATCTTAATCCGTTTTTTTTAATCTCAAGTTCTACCTCATTTATGTATTCTCCTTTTCCTTCCGACGATCGATCATCCTGACCTCACTCTCATTTCTAAAGTTCCCGAACTTGCCAGATTCCAATCACCCGCGAATAAACAACCTCAATCAACGCTACAAATACCTCCCCCGACTCTCACTCTCGACCTCTATCCCGCCGATCATATCCCATGTCCCTCTCCCGATCACCCTCTCCCCACCCGGGCGGAGGGTGGTCCAGTCCGGGCTTAACACCCGGCAGCGGAACCTCCACTCCGCGCGGTTACTCGCCCTCGAACTTGACACCGAGTGGGATCTCCTGGGCTGTTGCAAAGGCCAAAAGCGACGAAGTACGCGGATACCCGTCCTTCGCGACGCGAAATAGTGGCTTCTTCTCCAGACAAAAACATAAGCTCTCGGCCCGATTACCCAGTTTCAGAGGCTCTGGGTACGTGGATAAGGATGCATATGGTCACGCGCAATGGAATCCCAGTACCGGTGGACGAGGCATTCTAGGCGTTGCGGGGAACTTTCTACGACGTGGAAGGGGTCGCGTATTAGCGGTACTGGCTTTGGTTTGGATTGGGTACCTTTTACTTTGGTCTAGTGAGTTTCTACACTCTGTTTATCTGCGTTCAATTGAACTGACCGCTTTGCTCTTTTAGCATTGGTTTGGACATATCGAAGATCTCCGCTGGGTGGAGGTCGGAAAGTGGTGATTATCCTGGGCTCGAATACCGAGGGTGGTGTTATGGAGTGGAAGGGCGCGCGCGAATGGGCAATTGAGCGCAATAGTATCTGGAATAAGGAGCGCTATGCCAACAAGTGGGGGTATGAGCTTGAGGTTGCCAACATGCTGGCTAAGAAGCGATATTCACATGAGTGGCGCGAAAGCTGGGAGAAGGGCGATGTGATCCGTGAGGCCATGCGAAAGTACCCGAACGCGGAATGGTTCTGGTGGCTTGATCTGAATACATGGGTGATGGAATACGGGTCCTCATTGCAAGATTATCTCTTGAATGATCTCGACTCGCATGTCTATCGCGACATTAACGACTACAACCCGCTCAATATTACTCACCCACTGCCTGAGTTCTACCTCGATGAATTAGGCCGCTCGCGGGAGGGTGACAGGGATCCAAGCTCATTGAATATGCTTCTCACACAGGACTGTGGAGGGTTCAATCTGGGCTCGTTCTTGGTTCGACGGTCTGCCTGGACCGATCGACTCTTGGATGCTTGGTGGGATCCTGTTATGTACGAGCAGATGCACATGAACTGGGAACACAAGGAGCAGAATGCGCTGGAATACATATACCAGAGTCAGCCCTGGATTCGCAGTAGCATTGGCTTCTTACCTCAGCGCATGATTAACGCGTTCCCGCCTGGTGCGTGTGGCGATGAGATCAATCCTAACATCCACTATCAAGAGAAAGACCATGATCTTGTGGTCAATATGGCGGGATGCTCGTTTGGTCGTGATTGCTGGGCGGAGATCTACTTCTACCGAGCAATCAGCAATCGGTTGAACCGAAATTTATGGGGATCCTTTAAGGACACGCTGAGCGGAGCTTATGACAGGGTATTCTCACGAAGTTGACCAAGAGGATGATTCATAGTCTGGCTACTGTATGGATTTTCTTCGACTGCCTCCTATTTTCTTTTCTTTTTATTGCTATGTTCTATGTTTTTTACGCTTTTACGCACGGTCAATGCTGAACTTTTGTATCATATGGATTGTCTGGAGTCTGGGTTTGTATATTGGCGTTGGATCTGCATCAAGGCTACTGGTGTTGGAAGGTTGGAGTTAGATCACGAAATATTATGGCTTCTCCCAATTAGATTTACACTATGTCAATTCATGTTGGATTCTCCACATTAGCCTATTTTAATTCATTTTCATACATCCTGTCCTGTATACTATCGAGTTGTCTGAAAGCAGCCATTATATAGAATATCACGTGATAAAGGTGCTGACATCTCAGGCCACAAGGCCGCGATTGAAGATCCACCGCCTTCGCCCACAACCAATCACAACTCACATAATCCAACCTCCAGACACATCGGATTCGACGGCATCCAACTCCCAGCGCAGCAACCTCTAAAAACCCCCCACACCAGCTCACCAACGCGGATCACCCCTCCAGACGGGATCTCTCACTCCGCTCCTCCCTACCAAAAGCCGTCCACACATCAATTACCCACAATGCCTACTCCGGAGTCCGCCGCCTTCCTCGCCAAAAAGCCTACCGTCCCCCCGACCTACGAGGGTGTCGATTTCGAGGACAACGTCGCCGTTCACAATGCCCGTGACGCTATCATCCGTGAGCAGTGGGTTCGCTCAATGATGTCACGACTTGTTGGTGAGGAGCTTGGAAAGTGCTATGCGCGCGAGGGCGTGAATCACTTCGAGAAGTGTGGTGTCTTGCGAGGTAAATCTCCTTCTGTGCAATATATCCCCGATTTTTGAAATCCCGGGGATGAGAGCGGTACAATTGAATGCTGTTTTGCATTAGTGGCCCAATTGACTCGGGATTTCTGTGTTGAGCTATTCTTTGGATTCAAGCTGTTTCGTGGGTCTACAATTACTAACGATTGCGTACAGAGAAGTACTTCGAGCTCCTGAAGGAACGTAAGGTCAAGGGTTACTTGTTCCAGGAGAAGAACCACTTTGGTGGCGAGAAGGCCTAAATGCGACTATATTACAATCTGATTTAGTCTGCTTTATGCTTATGATGGATCCTTGGACGAAATCGGTTTCCTTTACCTCCATTCATGCCGAAATTATGCCGTGGGATTGTGGTATACATTTTCGGTGCTCTGTGACTGCGCAACACTGAGTCACGATTGGCTTCGAGTGAGAAACTGGTGGGATCGTTTCAGACTTCGAGGTCTTGCCCATTCCGTGCTTTGGGGATGGTTGGAGCTTTAAGGGAGGGTTCTCTCTGTACTGTACATATACAATATCATTGCCTGCTCAAATTTATTCATTCGCCGTCTACGGTCTATTGTACAAAGCACATGCTTGAAGTGGATACAGTGATGCTTTGCAACCACTTCAACGTCCACAGGCGCAGTTCTGAGATACAGGAACACATGCATACGTAGTGAGTTTGAAACCCTTGCTTCCTTTCCTGAAATCATTGTTTTCAAGAGATGTTGTAACGAGACTCGTAGCTGATGAAGGGTGTGGATGCTGTGGGTAGTACACTCTAGGAGTAGGTATGCGAGTCGATCCAGAAATGAGTGAGACCCGTGGACACATCAATATAGACTGAGCGGTATAGTGTAAGCAGAAGAGAAGAAGATAGTCTTGAGTTTCGACGTTATATACACAACATCGCGTAGTCGGGCTGCACAGCTATCCTGTCTTCCCTTTCTCAACATTCAATGTGGTCATTTGGGTATCATATCAATAGTATGCCGTCGAGGCAGTCTCGCTACGGTCTGGGAATCCACCAGGCAGTCCACGGGCATCAGCTGGGGTATCCTCATCATCACTATCAGGGTCATTCCCAAAGAATGCTGCGTCTCCAGTCTCTTCTGGTGGCGCTCGCATGCGCATCAACTGATCCCCATCTAGAGACGCAGGATTATATGGAGGTGGTACTGAGTGGATATCCCGACCAGATGGGAAATTAGACAGCAAAGGCCCCGAGGGGGGAATTGGCTGGGTATTCATCTAGAATCAGGTTAGTTCGACAGAGATACAAATATAATACTTCGTTGCGATAGAACTGACCGTGTCATTCGTTCGCACCCATTTGGTCTCCAGCATCGTAATCACTCTTCCCTCCTCGTCGCGCCCTGCATCATCTCCCGGCTCCAAGGGACCTTTATCGCGTCGTCCCGCACCACCAGCACTCTTCCCAATCTTCTTTTCTTCCCGCCTTTCTGCCCACTCGCGCTTTAAGCGGGAGAATCCGCCCTTGGAGGACGCTTCACTCTTCTCACCAGGAGCAGGAGCCGCACCAGTGCTTCGCAAACCGAGCGCCGTCCGCGCAGCCCTTAACCACGCGATGCCTTCTCCAGCCTTGGCAGCAAGCTCCGCATCAATTCCAAAGAATCGACACGCTCGCGCCCGCGCTACACGACTCAAAACCTCGGCATATCGCGTAACCTCATCATCGAGACGACCATTCTTTCCCGATCCAACACTCCCCAGCCCTGCTGAAGCTTGCTCCGCATACTCCGCTGCGCGTACACAAAGACGCGCAAAGAGCAGCGCGCGCACCTTGGGTATCTCGGGAGCTTTCACCATCCACTCCTTATCATTTGGATTCCGCTCTTGTATGCACACTGCTACGTATGCGTCGTCCTTGAGTACAGCGAGTAGCGTCGCTTCAGCTAACGCAAGGGAGGCGAGTGCAGACTGGGTTGTAGGGTCGATATCTGGAGCACTGGACCCTGCTGTTGTAGAACCTGTAAAGCTTGGCGAGGAGGTGAGGAGCGCGTGTACCGAGCTAGCTTCTAGCAGGTATCGCGTCGCAGTCTGAATGGCTGCTACTCGCTGCTCTGTACTTTGCGTCTGTGTCGCATAGAGTGACTCATTGATCCCCACTCGTGCAAGTTGGCTTAATACGTAGCCCAGTGTAGTGAGGGTGAACCCGATCTCGAAGTCGATTCCTCGACCGGAGACTCGTTTGCCGCGCTTTCGGAGACCCTTGCTATTTGTAGCATTCCCCGATGCTGAAATTGACCCGAGGTTCAATGTGTGTGTGTTTCTGGATGAAAGGGTTGGTTTCCAGGCTGATTCGATTTCCGCGTGAATGGTGATCTCGATCTCTTCGCCGGATCGGGGGTTCTGTGTAGAGCTTTCGTGGCCTCCATTGGGAATAGTGCTTCTAACAGGCCGACCAATGAGCCCATTAGATATGGCGAACAGAAATGGGATATATTTGTTTAGTTCGGAGAGAACGATTTGGAGGTGGGCGTCTTGTCGAGGACCGCGGGGAAGTCGTTTATGGGACTGTAGAGCGTGGTAGAGGCCATATCGAGCTGTGGATGCCAGTTGGGGAAGTGAAGGATGCGTGGGAGATGATATAAAGGACTGGAAGGAGAGAGGCGAGGTGGTTGGGAGAGTAAAGTCGTAAACCATGATGATGCGGGGTGGTGGAGTTGGGAAGTTGGAGATGAAGGCGGAATTGGTGGATCTATGCTACATAATGCTAGTATCTGAGATCTGGGCATAGACATGAGCCTAACCAATTTTGATTGGTTTAATTCGGGATAAGTTCCGTTTGACTGGACAGAAAAGCACAAATTGGAAATCTGAGATTTCACTTTACTATTATCTGATTGTTGTGGTCTGTACACATCACTACATGGGATGCCAGTTTGCATGTTTAACAGAAGACCACCTACTCCGGGGATAACCTGAACTAGCCTTGAAATTTCCCCATCCATAACTGCCAGTGCTCTACATTCATATCCATCACAAGCCCATCCAAAGCATACTTGTGCTTAGGAGATTAGGAAAACATTTGGCCCAACTCAGAAAGTGTATCACCATGCAGTAAGTACTCCAGGCTGTGTTGACTTGGACGCGGTCTTGACTCTTCAGGTATTCGGGCGCCATGGTTTAGTTTTTGGAACATCCCTTATTTCACGGTTAGATTGAAACAGCCAAGAGAAATATTCTTGCCAGAAAAACTCACCTGGGTCATCTTGCAGAGCGCATAGACAGTCATTTTTTGATAGGCCCGAAGATTCTGCCAGATATGCTACTGCAAAATAGTGAACATCATCAAGGACGAGATTGAACATGATAGGGAGATGTCCCGGTATGCTGAACAACCTGTGAGGATCTTCGACTATGTGGAAATTCAAGTCGACCATTTGTATCCGTGTATATAAATGGACATCATTGCTGTTATCTTTTGGTTCTTCCAACGAATCCCAAGAAATCTTTTGTTGCTTATTAGTAGCCCCTTTGGTTGCCAGATGTGATGTTAACTTTAGCTCAGGCTTACTGAGCGGAATTGATACTTCTTGGATACCTATTCCCCCGACCTCTTCAGTTCGTCCATAACTCCCGGAGCATTTCTGACTTTGTAGAATCATTGTCAATACAAGTGCATGGGCTTCATGTTTGCTTTAAGGGCCACTTACCACTGGATAGGCTGTTCATCTGACGAACGCTCATTTTCTGTTTTGCACCAAGGACATAAGTTCGTCGGGAGGCTCCGCCTTCCAAATGTCATACTCATGTCAAGAATTTGTCCAGACTGGATCATATCAGAGCTAAGCACTTGAATTTTTAAGGTATCAGAGTGACCCACCTTGATTATCGCTTTCCAGCTATTTTTGAGGTTTAATGAATGACCAGTACGATGATCCTGGAGCACCCATTCGTATCGTTCAATTTTGCCCAAGCCAACATGCTCGAACTTCCTTCTCAGGATTGCCATGAAAAGCTATAAACTTCAGCTTAGTATTAAGTCCAATGTTGAGACATATTACCGGATTATCAAACCTCAAAAGAATCAATCAAGTTCCGGGAGAAATAGTAGGTCTCCCCCAGAGCGTCATTCAACACCACAAGATCTCCCCATTTTGGCTGATAAGGCAGGGAAGTGGAATTTCTTGATTGATGCATTCGCGCCAGATTTTCATGGTCAATGGAGTTACCGTGAATAGAAATTTGGCTTCTCATGTGAACCCAACTCGTTGAACATAGTGAAACTAATTTGTGGTAAGTATAGGTGGCAATACTGGATTATACCAATGCAAAGGACTTGACTTACCTTTAGTAGTCCTTGGTGTCCAGTACCCAAGCAAGACTTTGGCGCATGATGCAGCAGTTGCTGCAGCATAATCTTGCCAAAGCTTGTTCTTATGACTGTCTGCATAATCACAAACTCCCTTGATAATGATACAAGGTACACTGTCCCAAACTCCAGCTCCTTCCATCTCGAAGCCAATGACTCCCTCTCGTTCAGCTATTCTGTCGCGGTGCTCTCCAGATTTCATAACTGTGTTGGCTGATGCAAGTGACCCTATATGGACGGATGGTTTGGTAGTGGAATTAATGCCACATCGACGGCGAGTGATCTGATTCTCTGTACATCCCAGGCTACTGCAGTCCTTTTGGACTGCCTCATCGCAAACAATTCCAGAAGCGAGAATCGGATCAAAACATATGCACGTGGCACTAGGGCGTTGCTGATGGTGCTTATGGTGATAGGAAGCCTCAAAAAGCACATCATGTACAAGGCCTGGGTGCTTCCAGATATCTTCCTCTTCTCCAAGAAACTGCAGATGTTGGCGGATCTGATCTTCTAATTCTCTTCGCGTCCTGCGACCCTTTAAGGCCGCAAGCAAGGCTCTGATCTCCTGGCTAGGTCGTCCAAGAACTTCTTTCACATTGCTCTTTTGTCTGAAGCCATCCGGGTACTGCCTTCCAAAATCATATTGGATGACACAGTCACTGATGATGATATCCCCCAGTATGATTTCCGTGTTTGGAGCTGGGAATGGAACAGCTCCACAGATTCCAACCACAAGTGCCAGATGAATCCGAGTGAAGCTGACTTGCAAATTCGCTGCTGCACCTGCTGCACTTCCTATGCCTATACCTGGTAAATAGCACAGTACAACATTATGTTGACCGATCCTGCCAGTAATGTACACGTTCGTATCTCCTGGCTGCTTCCCGTAAACTTGACCAAACTTATCGTAGGTCTCATCGAACAAAGCTTCGATGGCGTCGGCTTCGAGAGTGAGAGCACAGATTATGGCGATTCCGAATTCACTGCGATCCGTCGGTCGCATTCTGAATGAATCTTGGTACCTGTCTACCGGATAGGGATACTTGCTGACTTGGTTGATTAGATGTCAAATTTCCACGCTTCTTCGATAGAAGACATTCTCTACTACCTTTGATCATGAAACCGATCGTACCTTGGACCCTGGGGTCTTCAGTCTGATGTTACAGGAATCTCACGCAATGATATTGAGATAAGCCGCCTCATTTCCCCGCCTACGCCTATGCTGCGCCGCGTTCTCAGCCAATGAGAGCTGAATCACGGATCTCTTCAGTGTTTATCAGGACTTTGTTGAATACGTTTACACATTCCTAAGTATTATAGTATATTGTGTTCCTTAGAGCATTCTAGTCTAAGAATCTCGGTACAAAAGTAGGTTGTCCTGTAACCATTATTCTCAGTGTTGATAATAAATGAGGTATGCTGTACTCAGTGTGGAGCTTTACAGGATCAGTCGCGACGGTACAGCTTGCTGCCTTTCCACTGCAAAAACACCGTGGGGAAGAAACTAGCAACCATGAGCATCGCTGTCACAACTCCCGAGCTCTTCGCAATACCGACAGAATCGAACAGATCAGTGAACCTATTGAGCTTATTAGTAAACATTCAAAGATTTACGATAAGTGAACATACCAGAATGGACCAATGAATCCCCATGTCGAACGAACAAAGTTGATAAAAACACCCACGCTCCCAGCATCCTGGGGATAAGTATCCACAGCGTAGGTTGTCATCACAGTAGTAACAACCTGATTTCCAAAAGCCGCGATCGCGGTTCCAATAATCGGCTTCACTGACCACTTGCCAACTTCAGACTGCTCAGTGCATACCAAGAAGACAACCATTCCAGCAATGGTCAACAAGAATCCAATGTAGCTGAGCCAAAGTCGGAACTCAGGTTCAGGCTTGCGGCCAATACTTTTGGCACGACGGTTCATCCACACATCAGACATGAATCCTCCTAGCTGTTCACCAAGCAGAGAGCCAATGATCAGACCCAAAAATTGAAGGCCAAGTGATTGGGCATCAAGCCCCCATTTCACCTGTAGCAATTGGGGAACTTCGACAGAGTTCATTACTGAGGCGAAGAGGAAGACCATAGAGTATGCGATCGCTGCCAGGAGAACTGGGATGTTGGTGAACAGAGTGAGAGGGTGGAGAAATTCCTTCACGGTGAATGGAGTCTTATCAATGCGGCGGAAGGATGTGTATTCGCGTTTAAATGCGGAAGATTCAGCTTCAACATCTGCGCCGGTGTAGCGGGTTTCGGGACCGAAAAAGACATAGAGGAAAAACTGCACAGCGTTGGTCTGCTTTGTGTTAGCGAGAGTCTTGGTATAATATAGATAAGGAAAATCTCACAATTGCCAGGATCCAGTAAATCCAGCGATATCCAACACGTTGCGCAACAAATCCGAAGATAAAGGGCCCAATAGGAACTCCCAATGTCACCATAACAGTCCAAATACCCATATAACGTGCTCTTTCGTGTCGGAAAAATGTCTCTGTGACAACACCACTACCGATCGCCATAGCCGGGGAGATGAAGAAAGCGACTAGGGCTCGACACGCCGCCATGGACGCATAATCAGGGCTCTTCGCACAGCCAATGTTGCAGACGCAGCTTAGAAGAAGCGATAGGAGGAAAATCGGTCGGCGTCCAAATCGGTTAGACAGTGGCTTCCAGAATAATGGTGCTCCACCAAGAATCGCAATCTGTAACGAGGTGAGATAGCTGACTCGCTGAAGCGAGACTCCAACATCAAGGGCGATATCTTCATAGGCGCAAATAATAGCCGCAGCTGTGAACGTTCCCATACACGCGTGGAATGCGACGAGTCCTAGGTTGGTCACTTTCTAAATCCGAGTTAGTTATGGTGTTAGATTTCCCCTTCGTTTCCCGTTTGCTTCTTACCTTCCACAGAGGCCAATTGTAAGGATCAGCTGGATCCGTGCTAGGAATAGGATCGAGATCGAACGTGCCATGGCGCTCAATCAGGTATGATTTGTGTGCCTCCGATAGAAATCTCGTTGGATCACTATCAGGACTCACACCCTTTTCTTCCACATAATTAGAACTTGTCTTGTCGAATGTTTCATTCTGCTCCGGGGTCGCCATAGTGGAAAGACGATGGGTTAGAAGAAAGAAAGAGAGTGAGAAAAAATGAAACAGTGACCAGCCATGACACATAAAAGGGTTTCAGAACCCCGCGGATCTAGAAGGCTTGCGTCGGTCATTTTCCGTGCTATGGGGCTACTCGTAACCCTGGGACCGGTGAGAATACAGGAATATACTAATAACTTCAATAATTACAAGAATGCGGAGTATTGAGGGGGAATGGAGACAAGAAATCTGGGGGAAACTGGAGACAGTGGAGACAATAAATGAGCTGACATGTGTTCTGACGTGTATGTGGAGGGATTCTCCGGTAATTCGAGCATTTTCATTGCCGGCATCTGGGGGAATTTGCTCGGGGGCCTAGTGGTTGGACCCTGAACCGTACAAATCTCGGTGGAGTCCGTGGTAGAAGGGTTAGTAGATCGGCAATTTGAATACCGCGATCAACGCCACTCCGAGATGCCTCGCTTCATTGAATTGAACTGCCGATATAGTATCCCGAGAGGCTTTGATTGGGTTGAGGTTTGAGTCTAAAAGAGTTGAACCTCGTGGCTATTGTGCTTATTGTGCTTATTGAGATGACCAATCGGAGACTTTCCGGTGGAGAATCGGGAATCTTATACGAGTCTAGACACGATTATAAGGGATATACTACTTTTTTTCTACTCCTAACCTTGGAACTACTCTCACTAGTGATAAAGATTGAACTTTTCCATCGTGACACTCATTGTACACCCCAGATTGTTTAGGAGCGGGGAGGTCCGGGGAAATATCCACTGTATTGCGCAATCCTCGTCGAATTGGTGCTAGTGCTAGTCCTCGCCCCATCTAGGGTGAAAATGACCGCCCACAATTAATCATAGCTGGCTGGACTGAGATGTGTTCAGACTGAATGAGGCCAAAAGAAGCCTAAGAGGATGCAAGTTTTATTTTGAAAATTTCAAGTGCTGATCTATGTCTATTACCGCTACTCAACATGACTGCATGAATTTGATACAAGCCTAAACAGTGTGCTTGCTCCACTCGCCACGAGCACGGATCTTTTCTCCCCAAAAGAAAAACAAGAATGGAACAGGAATCAAAGCAGCCGCAAAAAATCCAAACACTGAAGTGCCCCAGTCAACACCAATCTTATCATACATGGGAATGACGAATAGAGGGAACGCGCTCGCCGTAATGGACCGCAAGAAGGTGTTCGCAGCAACGGCGCTGGCACTGTAGCGAGTAAAAGTATCGATCAAATAGTTGAGTGAAGCTTGGAAGATCGTTGTGAATCCGAACCCAGTCAGACCAATTCCAATGATGGAAGGCCAGGGGTTTATGGTCGTCTTAGATGTCCCTGATTGAGTCTTCATTAGAACCGTTATAGTAACATCGAAAGGAAGCTTCACTTACAAGCAAAAAGGAAAAGGCCAGCTGTGAAGGCAATTCCTCCAGGCATCATTGGAGGTAGACGAGCCTCCGGAACAGGTCTGTTGTTGTTGGCTTGGAATTGCTTGAAGTAATACCTGTTATTGTAGATGTTGAGAGCGGCGGCGAAGAGGATACCGGTAAGCAGGGCAAGAAACGGGAGATTGCCGATCACGGTACTCCAACCTCGAATTTGTTGAAATTCAATAGAGAAACTCTCAAGATTCGCGTACAGAATACCTTCGTAGTGTTAGTCTTCGTCATTGAGGAAGAACTCTGGGTGTCGACAGGACTTACCGTATACAAAGGCAGCATAAACACTCATGAAAAAACAGATTGGAGTGGCCAGCATCTGGAAAGGACGAATAAGATACTTTTGACGCAACTCTTTAAATGAGACATCCCACTCCTCATGCTAAAAGTTCCCAAACGTCAGAGAATAATCGTTAGGTAGATGGAATAGATGACAGTATCTCACCTTGGCATGTAACGCCCAATTCTTTGTTTCGAATCGCAACCGACGAGCTTTGTACTTGAGCAAGACTGGAGGATAGCTCTCGTCGATCAACAAGAGATCGAGGACGATCTGAGACACCATCAGGATTCCTGTTAAGTATTCCGTCCAACGCCAACCCGGAGAGCTTGATACAAGGGCCCCACCGACGATCGGCCCAATGGTTGGTCCACCGACAAGAGTGAGGGCATATCCGACAATCGCAATTCCACGCTGTTGAGGGGCCCAGATATCGGCCAGGACACCTCCGGTGTTTGTCACGGGCGCGCTACCGAAGAACCCGGCGAAGAATCGAGTGATGAGAAGTGTTTGAGTATCTTTGGCTGTTGCCGATCCAAAGGAAAATGCAGCGGCGACAAAGTAAGGCTAGTAAGGTTCATTAATATTGACTATTTGGATTTATTCCTACAGTCTGGTGTGTACTCACAACAATGACAACCCATTTCCGACCGTAAACCTCACTCAGCGGTGCCCATATCAGAGGTCCTAGACCAAAGCCAAAAACAATCAGACTAACGCCAGAAGCCGCAGTCTCTGAGTTGACGTGGAATTCTTTCTTCACTGGTTCGATTGCCGCGGAGAAAATAGCAGACGCGAATGTGATCCAACATGTCGTGAGCCCGTACAACATTGTTGTCATCACCTTCTTTCGGAAAGACCAGTTAAGCGGATGGTAAGGATCATCTGGACCCTCGAAATCAACTACCGTATTCTGGGGAGGGGGTTGGGGAGGCATTTCGGGAGGGGGTTGTTCAGCCATATTTTTGCCATGGAGTGTTGACTGGCTCTCTGATTTCTTTTCGTCGCCAAGTGGCCATACTGAGTTACCATTTTCCAGATCTCCCGTTGAAGAGCTCGACATGCTGATTAATACCCAAACCTGCAGGTACTTTTCAACAGTGATTTTTGAATGTAGCTAATCCAAATACTAGGGAAAGTGTGATACCTGAGTATTTAAGGCCTGTTGGAACGCCTGGCCTTTAAGGGGCTAAGATAACACCATATCACAAAGAACCCATCTCGCATTTCCTTATGCGGGCGGCAATTCGGATCCCTGTCGCACCGATCAAGATCACACATGACTTGAAAGCACGACGGGATCACACACAGAGCTGCTCATACTGAGGTGGATTGGTACTACGCCGACTCCACTTCTGATCGCGGATAAGCTTATGCGAACCCCCGAATCCGAGCGATCCCGATTACTGCGACCAGAGCCCGATTGGTTTAAATACTGTATGAGAATGGGACCCACGGAAACACCTGAAATCCGAATGGAAGGGGTTTATGAGTTTTTGGCACTATTGATTTCCGAGATCAGCCCTGGAGGCTCCGATGAGAACTCGGAGATAGTAATAAGAGGACTCGGACTTGTATATAGGATAGCTGTTCACCGTATCTCCAGAGTTTGGGTTAACGTACGTTTTCTCAATGATTGAATTTCAAATGCATCCAACTTTATTAAACAGGCAGGGGTTATTGTCGATCTTCAATAGTCCCCTTGGCATTCTTATTCCTGTCTTTGTGGTGGGTTAAGCACGGGTCTACACGTGCCTGGATCGTTCCAAATAACCACAATCTGACCTCCATGGATGAAGCTAAATGAAGCTAATGATGATTATTCTTAGATTATAAGTGCCTTGCTTATTCGTGGCGTTTACAATGCTTACTTCCATCCTTTAGTACGCTCATATCCCGGCCCCAAATTATGGGCTTCCACCCAGCTAGTCCGGGTGTACTATCGGCTGACGGGCCAATTGCCTTGGAAAAGTCTTAAGCTGCATAGAAGATACGGGACTGCTGTGCGTGTCGCGCCTGATCATGTTTCTTACGCCACCGAAACGGCATGGAAGACATATGGCCTGCGCAAGGTGGAAATGGAGAAGTACACTCAGGCCGGCTTCAGCCGGCCTCCAATCAAGGTATAAAAAAGTTTAATGTGTGGGCGGCAGATACGAGGAGAAAACTAACAGTTCAAGGATGCTCATTCTATTTTGAGTGCGGATAAAGCAAATCACTCACGACTGCGACGAATTCTATCTCCGGCACTGTCAAAGAAATCCATCAAGGGATATGACGATACCATCTTGAAATATGTGGATCTACTGGTGAAAGAGCTTGGATCTAGATGCGATCCCGTTGATCTAAACAAGTATTTTGAATGGGTATGTGGATACCATTGGGTTTTTGCAGATCATATAACTGACAGGTATCCTGCACAAGACTACGATGGACCTCATTACGGACCTGATCTGTGGACATCCGCAGGGCGCACTTGATCAAAAAAATGGTGGTAAATGGCTAGAGATTCTGACACGTATTATTCAATCCCAGGTTTGGTATTTATCTCCCCTTGCTCCGAGACAGTGAGAAATAAGTGACTGATAGGACCCGAGCACTAGAAGCAAACAATCTGGTACGATGGGAAGAGTATCTGATACCCAAAGCGCGCTTGACTGCAGCATACGAAAAGTCCAAGATCATCGCTGCAAAGATTGAAAAGCAACTCTCTATCAAGACATCGTCATGATATCATGAGCTATATGGTCCGTGAGAAAGATGGCATGTCACAACTTGAGATGTGACTCAACTCGGCCATCATCATCGGTGCTGGAACTGGTACAACAGCAACATGGCTCTCAACTAACTTCCATTCCCTGACGAGGAATCCAGATGCTTACAAGAGACTCGCCGCGGAGATCCGTGAGTCATTTCCATCCGATAAAGACATCACATCTGAGAGTATTACTGCCCTACCATACTTATCAGCGGTTATGCAAGAGTCACTTCGCATCCATTCGCCCTCGCCCTCACCAACTGGTCGCTTTGTGTCAGTTGGTGGGGAGACGATTGATGGGGAATTTGTGCCAGAAGGCACGACAGTCGGTGTTCATCAGCATTCGGCATATCACGCAGTGTGGAACTTCCATAGACCAGGTGACTTTTGTCCAGAAAGATGGCTACCCGAATCAAGAGGGAGTAGCTCGCCTTTTTCAGGTGATAACTTGGGAGTACTGGACTCATTTAGCTATGGTCCTCGAACTTGTCTTGGTGTTAAGTATGTCAATTCCCTGATCCGATTGTCGATCCCAGCTAACTAAATTGGTAGGCTAACCACCGCTGAGACGCGCTTGATTCTCGCCAAGGTGCTGTGGCATTTTGATGTCGAGCTTATGCTGGAGTCGCAAGATTGGCAAGATTCTCAGAAAGCCACGGTATCCTGGCATCGCACTCCTTTGATGTGTCGGATCAAGAGAAGGTAAATATACCTGGTATAGCGTCATCCTTTAGTCAAGCTGTGGTCCAGGTGGTCGGTTTGACTGAACGTTTGCCCAGGTGAGCTTTTGAATTTGATATACCGTGATATATCATAGAGCTAAGGCGACGGGATGGGGAATTTTGAATCCTACATCTCGACTCAAGTGCTTCAATTTATTTCAATAAATAGAAAATACAATCTAGCTTCAAGGTTTTCTTTACACCCAAGCAGGTATGCAATCAATAATTAAGCCGTCTTCAGTGACCTAGAAGGGCTTTAAGTAAGTTATATACTATGAGGAAATATGAAGAGAACTTCTTTGAAATTTCGAATTGATTTCCGAAAGCACGTGGCTTCTGGTTACTTGGGACCCATAGTTGAAGCGGCTTTGGAGAAGCATCAGCCTGAACCTGTTAGCATATGTAGTGAAGCAATAGGCCATAAGGGAAATTACCATCCTGCACCATAATAGCAGCCGAAACCCCCATAAACATGGCTTCAAGTTGACAACTGCGTCAAGACTCATAGGTTTTCAAGATCGAGAGCGAGTTTGGGAGACATTGGTAGCTCGATTGCTAGCCTTCCTTTGCAAAAGAACGAGCGTTAAGGTCACTGGTCTGCCAGATAGCCAGTAAGCTGCATGTCTCAGTGGCTCATGGTCTCTTCTGCTGAGCTCCGAAATATCCACGAGCTAACTCCCCAATCGGTGCGATCAATAAAGTCACGGAAAAAGGTAAGAGCCGAATTTGCTGCAGATTTCTGAGAGAATAAAGACTTGAAGGACTGCAGTAATTGAGACGGAATTGGTCAATCAAGTTGGTTGGAGCCTTCATATAAGCCCCATTGCTGGGAAACAAACCTGTTGGTCGCCAAAAAACATACCCCAACATGAATGGCTTCATGGTGGGGCTCAATGTATGGAATATGCGAGATACAGAGATCTGAAAAATGGACACTTGTGATTAACCGGGGTTCAGAAGTGGATGCAGAGTTCAAGGAGTTCATTGGAGGAGGTCATGTTTACAAGTCTATACAATGAGGCATCTTCCCCGGATTATCTTAACCCCGGGGTATACCTGCTTAACTCCGGGATCGGCTTATCGGCTTATCGGTTCCGAGACCCCGAGCTAGGCCCCATTTCTAGCTCCCCGCATAAGCTTATCCGGCCCCCACCACTGAACCCGTTCCTTGCGCCACCATCTCCCAGGAATAATCGCTATCAATATTCACCGTTCAAATTCGCCATGATGAATTCCACATCGCCCAAGTTGCCAGATGCATCAGTTTGTGAGCCTACTCCTAACACTGCTACAATAGGCCAGGCATCTTCTGAGTCGCCTGCGACCGGGACATCACATACGCGTCTCCGCAGCTGTACCTTCTGTAGGTCTCGCAAGATCAAATGTGATCGCCAGCAACCATGCGCGAACTGTGTGCGCACAACCAATCAATGCATCTACCCATCGGGATCAGGCAGAGCTCCTAAGCGACCGCGACCCAGCGAGCAAGAGATGTTGCGTGGCATACTGAAACACATGATGGAGCAGGATGCACTACGAAGAGGAAACCTGGAAGGTTCCACGGTGGCTGGGACGAAAGAAAGGTCATTTCATGATACGCCATCTGGGACTAAATTTGGATATGTGCCTCCAACAATCCCAAACCCGGCTGATGAATTAAGGGAAATCGACGCGACACGAAAGATAATGATCCAGCAAATTAAAGGAGTGCGGGATATGTGTCTATCCGAGGGACATCAGTCTAGAGCACTTAAACTGAAGGAGACATTGCAGAAATTCTCAGACCTGGAGGAGACAATTCAGACATTATCTGGGGATACATCGGGAAATTTACCTTCGAAAATCCCTAGCTTGGATGGATCAAACGATTCAAGCCAAATGGAACAACAATTCGGCCGCTTAGCGATTGACGACACCCGGAGCTGCTACGTTAGCAACGTTCTATGGGCCACCCTTTCGGATGATGTAGGTCTCGCCAAATCCATGGTTGAATAAATTTCTAATGAGCCTTTCACTTTACTAGATTGAAGAGCTGCGCGAATTGCTAGATGATCCATGGTCGGAACCAGACGACCCAGATGACAAATTTGATAAATCAACAGAAGCTTCGTTCGGAGATACGGCTTCAGATCAGGGTTCAAACGCAGCGATAATGGGATTCCACACCTTAGCGCAGTCATTGTGCACTTACCATCCTTCTGTCTCCATGTCGGTAGCATTACTCGAGATTTTCCAAAGCAACGTGGCACCGACGGTCCATATTTTCCATATGCCAACAATGATTTGCTCCTACTGGGATGCCGTAGGCTCATATGGAGAAATGAGCCGTCCGACCGAGGCCCTACTCTTTGCGATTTATTATTCCGCCGTGATCAGTATGGAATCTCACCAATGTGAACAAATTTTACATATGCCGCGAGCGACAGCCCTGAAGCATCTTCAGTTTGCGACACAGCAAGCTATGGCACGTGCAAACCTCCTGAACACGCAGAGTATGGTGCTGGTTCAAGCGGCAGTCCTTTTCTTATCTGCTCTACGTAACGAAGATGCCTCGCGCACTGTTTGGTCTCTCACTGCACTTGTCGTCCATATCGCCCGGTCTATGGGTTTACATCGTGATGGTGCAGCTTTTGGCCTGCGACCCTTGGAGACGGAGCTTCGGCGACGTCTTTGGTGGCACATATGTCTCTTGGATATTCGATCATCCGAATATCATGGCTGCGAGCCTATTGTGCACGAGTCCATGTTCGACACACGAACTCCCCTTAATATCAATGACAGTGACTTGACAGCTGAGATGATAGAGCCACCTGCTGAGCGTGAGGGGGCGACAGAGATGACATTCTGCTTGATTCGCTGCGAGTCCATGCGCGTTGTGTGGAAGACCGGGTACACCCAACCGAATATGCCGCCCTTGGGTCAACCTACAGAAGGGCTTTCTTTTCATGATCGCACGGCTCTAGCCAAGGGTCTGGAAGTTTGCTTACAAGAGCGCTATCTGAAACACTGTGACCCATCCAACCCATTCTCGATCCTTTGCGTGACTGTAGCACAGCTAATCATCGCTCGCACCTGGCTGGTGGTTTACTACCCGCTCATCCACAAGGATCGTGGAGCTGTATTGCCTTCGAACACACGCGACCGACTATTTTTGACAGCGATCAAAGTTCTTGAAATGTCAAACATTCTCCTGACGAACCCGGATCTCGCACAATGGCAGTGGCACTCAAAGACACACATTCAATGGCATGCTGTAGCCTTTGTCTTGTCAGAGATTTGCGCGCGCCCACCCTCTGCAGACTGCGACCGTGCTTGGGAATATGTTCAGACAGTCTACAATCGGTGGAAGATGAAGGAATACAAAGGCAATCGGTGGCGGCCGATCAAGCGTCTTAAGGTAAAAGCACGGTATACTCGTGAGATCCAGAGGACCAGCACCATTGGCACCAGATCAAATAGCGTTGGTCCCGCTCCGCCTTTCACAGTACCAGGATTTATTCCTCGCGAGGGTGTAACTCCAGAGTCGGCGGTTCAAACTTCAAGCTTCGATGAAGAAGGTAGGCCTCTGCCTCCAAGGCCATTGGATCCATTGTTCTTCGAAATGTTTTCGGGAGAAAATATGTTCAATCCACCTCCAATCCTTGCGAATCCAGGTGAACTTGATGATATCAGCATGGCAGACTGGATTATGTATCCATATGATTCAAACATGGAATACTGATGATGTACCATAGCAACTTGAAATAGCCCCAATACAATCTATGTACTATTAGTCTTACTTGATCCAGTCTGTTCTCATACCTCTTGATTTTTAAGTTGTCAACTGGTATACCTCGATGTCTCACTTCGGCACTCGTACTGTAGATCCAATTCCTTCTAGATGTCATATCTCTGTGCCTGTAGAAATCATCAAACTTAAAAAAATTTATGATACTCGCCCCCAGTTTCACGCTGTGCGGTGAAGCTTTCCAAGAAGCGTTCATATTTTACTGGTGCCTTGAAGATTCAAATCTCTCAACATTGAATTCCTACATACTAGTCACCCATGTGCATGTACTACTAGTATCGCAAAAGTTTGAACGGGCACCTGCAAATGTGGGTACAAACTCCAAAGTCATATTTCCTCCATATCTCGTGTGTTATCTAGACCGAAAACATACAACCGCATGGACATATGTGCACTTGCAAATAACCCAAGCGCTCACTGAAAATCTAAAAGCACATTCTATTCTGCAGTCACTCAAATTTCAATATCAAAGAGAGCTGAGTTTGAGGCATTCTGACCACCGCTTCGTCTCTCCTGGACCCGCTGTTGAAACTGCTCGGTTGCACGCTGATAAAATTCACCCTGAGATGACAGAGGCAGGGTCGTCCAGTATAGGCGCGTCCGAGAATCCCATAAACCCCCGGAAAAATCAGTCCCCATCGTTCATAAATGGCAACTCGTGACGAATACCTGCCGCAGCTCCGTAATGACATAACTGAGCCCAGCAAGCCACGCCCGCCATTTGCACAACCATACCAGCTCGTGGCGGGCGGGGATTAGCATATCGCTCAGAAGCAGCTGCTAGAGCTGAGGATGGGAGACAGCCACTTTCATGGCTGTTCAAGACCTCTCGCAGTTCATTTATCAAAATAGTGGATGCCTCAATAGTCTGGTTACCGCCCATTGCTGCACTTGGAGTGGACTGGTCGAGATATTGGCCAAGCCTCATGCAAAGGAAAACGCTTTGGCACTTACCTTGTGTGCGGCATCACCCACAATAACCATATGATCAGTGTGCCATACGAGAGCAATTCCCTCCTCCAGGCTTACCTTCACTGCTACTGACCGGTTTTTATAAACATCACAGAAACAAACAGTGAGCGAGATTCGGAGATGAGCCACGGAGGCGCAGATGGCATCTACATCATTCTTGGCGTATCTTGGAGCAGAAGACAACCCATACTCCTGTTCCAGATCTTCAAACACAAACCAGAAGATGATAAAGTTCTGTCCTGTAAACAAGGGGATGGTTGCCCCGGGGCGGTAAACGGAGAAAGACTCGCCCTCGCCGATTCCATTGACAGATGACGAGATGCCATAGACACAAGCAAAACTTGTTTTCATATCTATACAAGGTAAATTTTGATTCAACAGAAATATCATCTTCATTATCTAAATTTGAACCTTTGGTAGATGAATCAATTTATTCGAAAAAGTATCATGAGTTCCATGGATTATGCAACCCCGGTCGTGACTCGTTATCATCGGCGCAGGGCTGGATGGCCTTACATCCGCAATTGCACTCGGTGTCCACGGAATACCTACCGTGCTTATTGAGCGTCGACCAAAAACATTGGAGCATCCACAAGCCGATGGCTTTACATCTCGAACTGTCGAAATTTTTCGGCCCCTGGGACTTGGAAGCGATGTAATCCCTGAAACTGTTCGGGGATTCAAGACTCAACGTACCCGTTCGGAGAGCCTGACAGGCCAGTGGTTCGAAGAACTGGCTTGGAATCCGCAGAAGCAACAGAAAACAGATGTGCGAATCCCAGCACTCACCTTACGAGGGTGCATCCACGCCTCAGAATCAGCTGGAACCGGTCTTGCTAGAACATGCAGCGAAGCATGGGGTCGATATTCGCATGCACCACGAGTTCGTTGGACTGTCTCAAGATGCGAAAATCGTGACTGCGATCATCAAAGATAATGCCGCTGGCTCAATTTATACATCAAAGCGCAGTATCTTGTGGCAGCCGATGGCCACCGCAGCGCTGTTCGCGAGACCTTAGCGATACCACGAAGTGGCCATGGTCCAGTGAACTCGATTCAGAGTGTTCTGTTTAAAGCACCTGAAGTGAGACCATTTTTGCAAAAGGCTTCAAGCAATTCACGATTGATCAGCTGGGTCTGAAAGCTTTCATGATTGCCTACCAGGATGACCGCCTTGTCCTACATCTTCCCAACGATCGAGAATACAACAACCTTAGAAGAACGTCTTCCGCGAATTGACGTTGAAGGATATTGGTCCCGCCAATGTTAATCTGAATACTATCACCACCAGCAGATTCATATGGATCAATTCTCACGTGGCAGGGTTTTCCTAGTCGGTAATGCAGCTCATGCTCTCCCCCCCGAATCGAGGAGGCTATGGAACAAACACTGGGATTGCGGATGCGCACAACATTGCCTGGAAATTAGCACACGTCATTCAAGGTGTCTCAGATCCATCGATATTGTCAACTTGAACTTATGAGTCTGAGCGACTTCCCGTTGCATGCTTGAGACACGATCAGATTTTCGCCCGATCAGATTACAAGACATTGCTTTATTGTAAAAAGCAATGATACTTCAGTGCCGAAATTCAAGTTCAGATCAGGTTCCATCCATTCCGAGTCTTGGAGGACTAGTATACTGTTTCCACTTCCGATTCCTTCTAGCCTGAGATTAATCAATCGAGTCAAGCCTGAGGCTATGTCAGTGCTAGACATGTGTTGCGAGCACCGAGTCGTCTCGGTGGTTGCTGAGCATGATAGTACCCAGGAAGGCCGACTCCTAGACTGTACATCATGATGCACCATATGGTGAAGGATGTTCAAACTTCAAAATGTTCATTACATGTTGAGGTTCCAAGATTTACATTCAAATTTTCTCTATTGTTCTTTCTCAATTGGCATAAAGGTATGAGCCATAATCAATATTTTAATCTTTTAAGTTCAAGATTATCCGATATAAATCATCTGATTGGGACTATAAATCCATTTATCTGACAATTCCAGAATGGTAGTGTTGGTGCGTGCCCCGGTGTCCGGGAATAGAAGGAGAGACTTTCCCAGGAACGTGATGTTTGCTTCTAGGAAGAGGGATTGTTCCTTGTCTCCCGTTTCTTGGACACGAATTGGTCCTATTGACCGACATAGCTGTGAGGGGTAGGTCTTGCAACGCTGGCGCATATTGAATGAAAACTTGTATCAGCAAGCTTCTCGGGTTCCGTAGGTGGAACTGCGTCACATGGTTTTGAAGATGTATGTCCGATGTACAGAGTACATAACACGTCGTTGAGCTGATGCCGAGGTTTGTTGTAATTGGGCGATTACAGAAGATGAATCGCTCCAAATGAATCAAGTTTTCAAGTTCCCTAGCTATGCAAACGAGAGGGAAGAAATCCTGCACATAAGTTTGGGTGTTTGGCAAAGGTATCATGGTTTGCTTCAATTCAATTCCATATTGGGAAATTCCGATCAGAGTGTTGGGGAGATGTTGATCAGGATATTGCAGATATTGTGTTGTTGCGGGTTTCTTCTTAAGCCCTTCACACCTCCATCGGATCTTCTGAAAGTTGGCTTGGCGCACTGCTTACCCCAGAAGAGTCGCTATTCGGGCTAGTCGGCGCACGCGAGCGAACCTGGTGTCCCCAATCGCGAATGCTTGGAGCTCCACCATCAATAATGAGGGGATGCTCTTCAGCGCTCTTTCCAAGCACAGTACCGGCATATCGAGATTCTTCACCAGTCTTACTGTGTTTCTTTTTCAGTGCTGTCAGAAAGTCCTCCTTCTCGATCGCGTCGGGATCCACCATGTCGCCTTCGCTGGGGACACGTCCAGCAATACGCAGAATTTCATGGTGAGCTGGTCCCTTTATCCATTCAATCAAGGACTCTAAGCCACGCAAATCCTCATCACCTGCCCAATCTTCCTCCCATTCTCGCAATTGTGGTCGTATGGCACCAGCATCCTGGAGCGCTTGGTAAACATCTTCAAGGCCTGGGCTTGGCTCGTCAGGGTGGGCGTTGTGTGCATGTGTGGCGGTTGCTTTCGCGAGAATCATAATATATCGTGCCGTAAGATCTGCTAGCGATTCAAGAACAGATGGTTTTGTAGAATGGAACCCTTGGGCGCGGAGAATCTGAATAATGGGGGGACGAAGGAGAGCAATGTGGAGGTTTGGGCCGGACATGATGATTATCGGCTTCTCATATGTTGAAGGGTCTGATTTGAAGATAAATTGTAGAATTGATGAGATAGATAGAGATTCGCAGGAACTTCTTTACTCGGTGATGAGAGAGTAGTGAATGGTGAAATAGCGTGAAAACATTGAATGTTTGCGGCAAGAAGAACGGACTCGCAAGACTCGCAAGGCGGAGAAATTCACTGTTCCGCGACCTGATCTTATCTCCTTCAACCCTTCTCACCTTGAAATCGTCCTATAATATCAACTTTCGCGACCTTTTACAACTCCTTAGATATTCCCTTTTCTTCTTGATCTAACCCTCATTTCCACATAATACTTCTCTTGTTATTAATCCTTCCCTCTTGCATCATGTCGGATGCGCCCCGACCAGCTCTTAAGCTCAAGCTTGGGAAACGGCCAGTAACAGACTCTCCAGCTCCTGCAAAATCATCTGGCGAACCATCCACACCAAAGCTCACTCTCAAGATCGGCAAGCCTAAAGCGCAACCTGAAGCGACTGAGGAAAAGCCCAAGAAGAAGAAGTCAACGAAGAAGCGACCTGCCGATAATGCGGTTGTCCCCGATCCAGCCCCCGAACAACCAGGTCCTAAACGCCTGAAGTTAAATCCTTCCAAAAAGCCCGGTCTACAGTCGATCCGAATCAAAAATCGAGCAGTCGTCGCTCAACGACCAGTGGGTGTTGGATACGACTCAGAGGCGTCTGATACGGAAGCCGATCCAGCCATCGAAGAACAGTTCGTCCTACGAATGGAACCGGGTGAAGATTGCGAATATCTGCGACAAGCCATCAATGAACGCCGTTTTGATAAATCAGAGTTCTCGTTCAAACCGTTGAATCGCGAAGGCCGACGGGCAATCCTGAAGATTCGAGATCAAATGTATGCCGCGTCCCTGGTGGACCTACCCTGTATTATAGAGGGGATGAAAAGTTGGGATCGCCGCGGTTGGTACAAAGCAGCAGATATTTGTCAGATGTTGTTGGTACTTGGACCCGTGACAAGCGATCAAGAAGCCCTCGACTATCCTCTTCCTTCCGAAATAGAGCATCCGGACGACAAATCTTTACACTACCCTCATGGTCTCACACCACCATTGAAATGGGTTCGCAAGCGCCGCTTCCGCGACCGGGTGAGCTCACGCACGATTGAGCAGGTTGAAAAGGCCGTCGAAGAGTTGATCGCACAAGATGAAACATCCGTTTTCCCGCCCCGGTTTGAGTTAGTGGACAGCGCCGCACTCAATCGCGCTGAAGGATTCGTGCAGGATGAATACGATGAATACTACGACGAAGACCAAGATGCTGAGGGCGAGGCCGATGAAGAAATGATGGATGACTTCGATGATGACCTAGCAGCCGAGATGGAGGCGGCTTTGGCAGGCGAAGACGATACCTCTGCGGTGCCTGTTGAGCAACCAGAGACCCCATCTGCTATGCCCCAACAGCACCGGGCGGACCAGCTGATGGAGAATCATCAGATGAGGATGATGATTCAGATGGTGAAGACGATCTAGACGAAGAAGAACTAGAGCAACAAAGACAGTTACAGCAAGCGCGTGAGGAGATCGCAGAATTGGAAGCTCTCATCCGCACAGAAACAGCACAGTGGGAGCGTGTGCAAAATCATATTTTACGAAACAAGATGGGACGGCGCATTCAAGAGCTCAAGAAAGATCTTTCATTGAAAAAGGTATCAGCTGGATTGGGCGACGACACGGATATGTGATTTTTTTGGTGGAAATTTTAATATTAATATTGCATATGATATGGATATCAAACGGGTTTCTATTAGCTCGATGTTAGAAGAATTCAATTTGAACAATAACAATTCTTTTTATAGTCTGATGAGAATACTATAGAAACTACCTTGTCACTCCCGAGGGTCGGCAAGAACTGCCCTTTGCACATAGTGAGTCCGTGACATAGTAGAGTTTTCCCCGCAGAACACATCATCTTAACTTCATTCACATCAACTTGAATCGAGTATCCTTTCATAATTTAACATGTCACAGCTGCCAACACTGGTTTTAGTCCATGGCTCATGGCATCAACCATCATGCTATGACAAAATCACCAAACTACTACAAGAGCAATACAAGCTAAAATGTGTCTGTCCATCTCTACCTTCAACCAGAGATAACCCGGCCGCAACCTTCAAAGATGATCTGGATGCTACCCAGAAAGCCATTGCGGATGAGGTAAATCAAGGCCGAGATGTTATTGTCGTGGCGCACTCCTATGGCGGCATTGTTGGCAGCAGTGCTATCAAAGGATTCGCGCCGCCACGAGATGGCGATAGCACGTCTGGCCAGTGTCAATCACCGTCAGTACATGGACACGTTATTGGCCTGATTCTCATTGCCTCTGGCTTTGCCTTCACCGGACTCTCTTTTATGGATCCTTTCCTTGGAAATCCACCCCCTGGCTGGCGTGTCAATAAGGAAACTGGCTACGCAGAGATTGTCACACCTCCCCGCGAACTGTTCTACCACGATCTACCAGAAGAGGAAGCAGCGTTCTGGGTCTCACAGCTTAAGACTCAGAGTTTGAAATCGTTGTTCGAAGGTGGCGAACACGTTTATGCTGGCTGGCAGGATGTTCCCTCTTGGTATATTGGAACGGTCGAAGATCATGGGTTACCCGTCTTGGCTCAACGGATGGCAGTTGGGATGGCGAGGGAAATGGGTGCTAACGTCGAGCATCGAGAACTGCAGACAAGCCATTCTCCGTTCCTCAGTCAACCAGAGGCCACAGTTGGTATTATGATTCAGGCGATCGAGGCGTTTTTAGGGAAGCCAGTCGTGGGTGAATCTGTGCCTCCGGTCCGTGCTGTGGCTACTTTACCAAAGGCTCAACTTTGGAAACCTCTCTCTTGGTTTAAATTTGGACTGCCACTGGCTTTTGGTCATTTTGTTGGAAGGAGTATTCTTCTTTTTGGATGGGGAAGGAGGACATGGAGGTCGATTTTCAGTTCACACTAATGAGTCATGACTTATCGGAGAGATAATGTAGCTTTATGTAACACCACACAGACAAATTCCACTCTTTACTTCAAGTTTCAACAGAAATAGTATTTGAGGACTTCTTATTTCTGGTAGATCAAGGCCCTTCAATACTGGTCTGTATCCAAAGATCCATTGCTCCCAAGTGCTCGATCCGATTTTCGCATCTCATACAGACAAGATCCACACATTTAGGTACCCCAAGCACCACCAAGCAAACCCCCTGCAGATTTCTTGGCCACCTCATTTAGACACAGGCGGATGATAAAAACAAGTTTTAAACAAAAAGTGCCTCGTGGATAAATCTCTCATGAGCCAATGCTTCTTTTCCTTTCCAAGTCATGACTGACTTTCTCCTCTCAGTACAACAAACTTAAATCCCTCACCTCAATTTGGAACTTCAAAGAAGGATTTCGCCCAAGCACGCGTTGGTCTTCATTTGAAGGCAGGGGTTATAATGGCACGAAACAGACAGCACTCGCTGGCATCAGCAAGGATATGAGAGAGGATATGATCCTGATACACGCCAACTTATGAAAGGCGAGAAACTCTCCTGTGAGCGAGAATTCCTTTGGCTAGGCAATATTGGATCGGCTTTGAGATAGTGGCTGAAGGAAATGACAAATTGTTTCTGATCCTGTAATTGCTACCAGAGATATTTGGAAGAGCTTCAATGTTTACGGAAATTATTGGTGCTGAACGAGATTCTTTTGCGGATTACCCGAGCCTAGATCTCTCTACCAATGCTTTTGCGGTCCATTTCTTTCAGATTCTTCTAATTTGAACTTGTGTCAGACCTGAGAACAAATACATGTCCCCCAGATTGGTTCTATAGCTGCAGTGAATAGAGAGCTATTCTTAGCAGGCTGACCCCGCAGTACCAGATGGGATGGTTACACAGCGACCATTTGCCACAGCCAAAGATCATTCTACAGCTATTGGGAGATGCTGAATTAGGCAGACATAAGTTGTGGACGCATAAAGAGCACTATTATGATGATCACATCCATTATAGCGACTTCGTGCGATGATCCTCTTTGGTATCATCCTTGATACCATAAAGAAGACAAACTACTTTGCCTCAAATATCTTCCTCCCTCGGCTATGCAGACCTCTCAAACCATATAATGGCAGCTCAACTATCTTCCATGTCTATTCCACTTACCAAGTCTGATGAAAAAGAAATCAAGAATATTCTTGTCGATCCAGAGCATCTTGCTCATGCAAATATGACGCGGCATCATACCCGAAGGCAATATCTACAGTTTCGAGAGGCTGAGGTGAAATTGGAATAAAGGGGGGAGAGACGCAAGAGATTTCAAGTTTCTAATTTCTCAATAACCTAGATTTCAAAATGTTCTCCTGTTTGAGTAAACTTGGTCACAATATTGCTGTGCGGGACTTTAATCACTCGTGTAGAGCTGGCAACATTTAAATGAGGAAGCAAGCCGACATTATGAGAATGACCTCTGTTTCCATACTAGAAGATAAGAACGGTGTAAGGAGTAAGTGTTGAAATTTCCTCACATCTCCCGTTTCAGATGATTGCATGTTACACTACTGCATTTGTGTAGTTAATTCAACTTTGGACTTGAGAATGCGCATATAGAGTCCGAGTCCTGGCCGTAGATCTCGACATACAAGACAAAAATCACCACTAGAGATAATCCACCACATATAACTTCTATTTTATATTGATACTAGTAGTTCTCAAGTAGTTTTCATCATAGTTTTATCTCGTACACATATTGAACTGAAGTATTCATTCTACACCTGTGGACATCTCGATCCATAAAAGGCAAATCCGGGTGGCATGTGATGCCGCGGCGGTTTGATTACTATTCATAAATTGTGACTTGATCATCTTAGCTTACTAGCACTTGAGTACCCTTGCTTCAATACATACCCCAGCTAACCCTGGAACTTAAATCTCTTACAAGCTAATCTCCTACACTTCCAGCAACATGTCCGCGCTCTTCACCGTCCCGATCGTCTCGACTGGTGGCTCCATCGTATGCACCAATCCATCAGACCAGAAGAATATCTACCTGCTGACCTTCACTTCACCCGCGGATAACCGAATGACCCCGACATTCATCGATGCGCTTATCCTGGCTCTGGATATTATTGAACAACGGTATCCGAAGGGGGTGGTGGTGACAACCAGCGGGATTACCAAGTTCTACAGCAATGGTCTAGATCTCGAGCTTGCTGTCAGCACGGAAGGGTTCCTAGACAAATGGTTATGGCGCCTTTTCAGACGATTTTTAACGTATGTTTTTTTTTGAAACTCAAGTCGTACCCATATCTCGAAAATGACTAACCGATTTTTCCAGGTACCCCATGCCAACTGTATGTCTGCTCAACGGACACGCCTTTGCGGGCGGATTCATGTTGGCCATGTACCACGATTATCGCGTTCAAAATCCAGCAAAGGGATTCCTTTGTGTGAATGAGTTGGAATTTGGCGTACCGCTTCAGACACCCATGATGTCAATTTTTCGGGAAAAGTTGACCCCTAGCACATTCCGGAATGTTGTCTTGGAGGCTCATCGTTTTGGAGGCAAGGATTCACTGCAAGCTGGCATTGTTGACGGTTTGGGTGGATTAGATGAGGTTCTTGGGTTGATTCGCGACCGAAAACTTCTCACTAAGGCTTCCACTGGTATATATGGTACCATGAAAGAGGAAATGTATTCCCAGATATTAAATGGTCTGGATGATCATGCGGGGAATCTAGCCTGGCGGGAGAAGGTGGAACAAAAGAAAGGTGATTTGCAAACTCAGAGTCTACAAGATGTAGAGGAATGGGAGAAGAGCAAGGCCAAACTTTGAATGTTTTACCGTATTTTCCCAGGATCTTTGGGATACTTATCATACAGGCATTTCGGGTCAAAGTCCAAGTCTCATCACACATGTACATAGAGTGAAATTTCATATACTATTTTGACATCTGGAGTCATGTCCACAGATTAAGATACTTTTTGAGTGAAGCAATTTAAATTTTTCTAGTCGTTAAGGCTCTGAAAATAGCAATTTCTGAATGAGAAATTTAGTTCTTCTTCGAGGTACCATTGATGCAATATTGACCACTACAACCAACACTACCCTTACCACTCCAAGTTGACATCCAGATGATCAGCATATTCAAGTTCCACATGAAACTTGGACACTGCATAACTTGGATGACATCCCTATGTGCAAGCTTCACTAACTTAACCAGAGCATTTGAATACTATTAACAATCATCGTCTGAAAGTTCGCTAAGAGCAGGAAGAACTTGGAGTCTATTGGCGATATGTGCCATTCTTATTGTGAGATTTGTGAGACTGAGTTAATCCGAGACCCAATTTTGTCTCCTACAGATGGTTGGCGAGATAGTTGGCGTGCTTGTAAGTATTTGTTTCCAGTCAACTTCAACCTTGGAAGTTTTATGTTAGACCGCGAAGCTACGAATTTTCTAAACAAACGATAGTATACTCGATTGAGGGTAAAGCCTACCTGTCGGAGCCTCATACTGCTGATCAGGGCCAGAACCCCCTTTGGTACCGTAGCAACTATCTTAAAACGATTAGTGAATTAGTGCTTCCAAAGGAACATCAGTCTTATTTCCAGAAAACCCACAGAAACATCAGCCTCTTCCATTGTGCCTGCTGGGATCATCTTACTCGCTTCTTTCACAGCCCCCAAGTTGATTTCCAGAAACTTCTAGAAGTTTTGGATATCGCAAGATTCAAGCGCGGCTTCACTTCTCGGGAAACTCGAAGTAATTCATCCCCTATCCTATTTAGTCCCTGTTGCTAATTTAGGTCAAAGATGCATGGACCCCATTCTTCCCTAAATATGAGCTTTTCAAATTCCGCAATTACTTCTCGCTCTGTCCCTACTTGATCGAGTGTCGAAAGGGCCTGATGAGAAGTTCCACAGAAAATCACTGGCAGCAAGACCCTTTCGCTAGGCTTCCTGTTGAAATCAAACTTAAGGTAGCTGAGTACCTGCCAGTGAATGATTATCTTCATCTCCGATTGGTCTCTCGAGCTATGTTCCCTTTGTTTGACACCCCAGCCTTTTGGCGATCTAGATTTTATGTTGATTCTGATCGAGGCTTTCTTAATTTCATCCTAACGGAGTCGGGAGATGACTCGTATGGAAATTGGGAGCCTATAACCGCACAGGATTGGCATAAAATATATCGTCAAACTACTCCTCATCATACTAAACAACACCCGTTACTGTGTTTACAGTCATTTACTACTCAAAGTAGTAGATCAAGTGATAAAAGTCTGGATACCATCTTGGCCCATGATCAATGGATACTTTCAAGGCATAGTATATGGAATAAGATGAAATGGCTTCAAGTTTACCTAAATTACACCAGCACGATGACTAAAATCGGCACAGTCACGGTCAATGAAGGACCAGAATTTGAAATTGAATTGAGGGATTCAAATACCACTGCATACCGCTGGCATATACGCTGGCAGACTGTGAGGACTTGTTGGCAATCTTCCAGGGATTTCGATATCTTCAAAACGTCTAGTATTCAAAATCAGTCAACACTTCGGCCAAATATTACATGCTGCGGTTTGTACTTCCCTGAGCCTTTGTTCCCTGCCAGTAAGTTTCAAAGGCTGGTTCTACATGACTCTGTAACCCAGATTGGCTTTTGGGTTATAACTTTGGACGACGAAATTTATATCACCGGCCTCGAGCTTATCTCAAATAATGAGTCAATACTAAATGGGACTATGGGGTACAGAAATCCTTATGGCAAACTCATGACCGTGGATATTGAGTCTGCTAACCAGCTGAGGGGGTTTCGAGTTTTTGCTCCCAGGGAATACATTTCTGGTATTCAGCTCTATACTGGCGCTCCGGCTCGACTAAGCCCTGGCAAGGGTTTGAAAGAAATGCATTCATTAGAATGGGTGGGGGATGCACCACAGAACCAGAACGACTTTGGCTGTTCTAGCAAAAGGTGTACTGGAAAGAAAATCATTGCCTTGGGAGCAACATTTGACGTAAGCTGGGACTGTGACTCATTCATGATATTTCTTCATACTAACTAAAAGTTCAGGGGTGGAAAATGAATGGTTTGCAAATTGGGGTACAGCATATAAACTTGAACCAAAGGCGTTTCGGGGGAAAGAAAAATGCTGCCAGGCGAAAATGATCTACTTAAACTACAGTGAGGTCTATACATATGGATGTCACTGTCACTTCAAGTTTTTGCTTTGCTCCAATGTTGCTCGATTATCATATATGGTGCCAGTGGTCAATTGCTAGTACTAATAGCTACACTTCGTATCATTTCATATGGAGTCATATCCATAGGGTGCCGTGGTTCAAGTTTAAGGTTCTTTAAGAGAGGCTCTGTAATCAGCATTTGAGCAATTGAGCGTTTTTGAATGAAAAAGTTAGATCTATTTCGAGGCTCTATTGATGCAATATTGACCACTTGTTGACCACTACACCAACACTACCACTTGAAATCCAGATTAGACATTCCAAGGTTTGAACTTGAACATAACAATTTCAATTAATGTATCTCCACTAACTTAACCAGAATACTAACCCAGTCATCAACCAAAATTCTGCTAAGAGCAAAAAAGATCAGTCGAATCTACAGGCGACATGTGCTATTGGTATTGTGAAATTTGTGAGAATGAGTTAGCCTGGCCTATTCATGGTAATTGGCAAGATACCTGGCGTGCATGTAAGTATGGGTTTCAGTCAATTTCTAAGTTTAGTCGCAAGATCACACCAATTTCTAAGCAATGACATCTGGAATAGTATACTCGATTGAGGGTGACGCCTATCTATCAAACTCTTGTACTAGCGATCGCTCGACCATTAACAAACATCTTGGCGTGCAATTTCTTAGTTCAATTTTAGAAAGGTCACGACTTTCAGAATTTATTATTAAAATAGTCATCAGAGAGGAGCATCAGTCTTATTTCAAACAAAATCACAAAAACATCAGCTTATTCCATAGTGCCTGCTGGGATCATTTTTCTCGCTTCTTTGGTACTGTCAAGCTGGATCTTGAAAAGGTTTTTGGACTGTTTGCTAGTATTCACTTCAAACGCTACTTCTTGACTGATAGAATCAAAGGTAGATTATTTGTTACCCTTAACAAATTATGACATTAAGAACTCTGAGACTCCTGCTAATCTCTGTTAAAGCCAAATGGAATCCGTTATTACCGAATCGTCCAGTTTTCATGACTCGGAATTACCACTTAGTCTCCACCTCATTGATCAAGCGCCGTGAACACCTGATAAACACCCCCCGATGAGAACCGGCGAGATCCGTTTGCCAGGCTACCTGCTGAGATCAAACTTGAAATAACCGAGTTTCTATCCACGAACGATTACCTCCGTCTTCGACAGGTCTCTCGAGCTATGTTCTCTCTTTTCGATAGCCCAGCTTTTTGGCGGGCTAGATTTCTAGCTCATTCCGACCGAGGCTATCTTAATTTCCTTGTAGAACCTGGAGTTGATGGGACTTGGGATGCCCTAGAGGCAGAAGATTGGCGCAAAATCTATCGACAGACCAGTATTCGAGGCACTGTCGCCGGCCCCCGTACTAAAATCTCAAAAAAAGCAAAAGCCCCGGGCAAGGGTCGCGCCACCAGTAGTAGATGGATCCATTCGAGGCATGAAGTGTGGATTAAGATGAAATGGCTTCAAAAGCAACTGAAAATCAGCAACATGATGACTGAGATATCCAATGAAGTATCCGAATTTGAACCAGTAGACCCAGATGTCAACATTAAATGGCATTGTCAGATTGCGCAGACTAGACTTGCGGACAATTCAACTTCAACTTGCACAAGTTCATTCCCTGTGCCATTCTCCTATCAATGCAGATTACGTTCTGCGGGTCCTTCTTTTGACTCAACTCAGAAGCTAGCGCTACATGAATCTGTGACTCAGATTGGCTTTTGGATTGCGGTTTTTGACGGTCAAATTTATATCACCGGACTCGAGCTTATTTCAAACGAGTCGATACCAAATGGGACTATAGGATACCGGAGTTGCAATGGAGAACTGGTTACCGTGGATATAGGGTCCGCTGAACAGCTGAGAGGCTTTCAGATTTATGCTGCGCATGAAAGTATTTCTGGCATCCGATTATACCTTGGCCCTTCAGCTGAATTGATCCCTGGGAGGCGCTTGAAATTTCATTCATCGGAATGGGTAGTAGGGAGCTCACCGAGTGCTTCGGAATCCGAGAGCCATACTTTTTGCAAGCGTTCCGGAAAGAGAATTGTTGCTTTAGGGGCATCATTTATAGTCAGTCAAGAGACATGAATACTTTCTAGGTATTGATAGACACTGACGAAAGATCCAGGGATGGAAAATGGCTGCCTTACAACTTGGATTTGAGGATAAACCAAAACAGAGAAAGAGTACGAGCTACTATTAATCTACTTAAGCTCCGGTGTGATGGCCATATTTCACTTTCCTTTTTTTTGCTTCTCCCCGATGTTGCTTGATTACTATATAATGGGTGGCCAATTAAACCTTGGAATTTCAAGTTGTCAGGTATCATCGATCTAATTGCTACCTAGTCTAATAGCTATCCTTGATATGATCTATTGAGGGAACTTGAACCTTAGACATATGAAATTGACTATTAAAATCGGACTTCATCTGATATTTCATACTCTCGTAAGCTAGATCATATCAATGGATCCATTGGTTTCCTACTATCCAAATATCTGAAATATCTGAAATAGACTAGCTTTTGATCTCGCATGGCCTCCTCGCTCCACGCGGCCCTGTCACCTATGCAGGATGTAAGTAAACCCCTATTTAGCACACATTCATGTCTGGTCTAGGCTCATAGCCAACTCTGAACGTACCTCCTAGCTATCAAAGCAATATCCCAGTTATATCTAGTCCAGCTTGGAAGTTCTGCCATAATATTCCAATCCTGGCGATCGGAGAGGCGATATCACTGGTTTGTACCCCAATGATCTCCGAATCTAGTCAAGACATACTCGTCGAGATTCTGAGCTGATTTCAGCTAATGGGCTAGACTTCGAAATATGAAGTTGAGAATAGAGGCATTTATGGAGTTGGGAAAGGTATAAAGTGAAGGATATCTCGCTCGAATTCTGGTATCTCAGATCTCCAAGCCTCACAGTTCCTCAGTTCTCATCTGAGTCCTTTCCTCTCTCGAGTTAATCCCCAAGTTCGTCTGAATATTTTCTTCGAGGATTCTCTCTGGCTTCTGTTTAGCTAACATTTTCTAGCCATAGTTCAAGGTTTACCTTTACTACCGTCACCATGCAATTCACCTACCTTTTTGCTCTCCTTGCCTTGGGAGGTGTCGCTATTGCGGCCCCTGTTGCTGCTGAAGCTGGTTCGTAGTTTTCTCAACTTTTATTTTTCTCCCAAGATGACCCTGTCTAACTGAGAATACAGAAGCCGCTGCTTCCCAGGGTGGTATTGGTGAAGGAAGTGGACTTGGATTCGGTAGCGGAAGTGGTCTTGGTAGTGGCATCGGTGCCGGCGCTGGTAGTGGTAGCGGTATTGGTGCTGGTGCTGGAGAGGGCAGCGGAGAAGGCTTCGGCCTGGGCGCTGGTCTGGGTGGCGGTATTGGAAGCGGTATTGGAATCGGTATCGGAGAGGGCTCTGGCTCGGGTGGTGGCCTTGGATTTGGAGCTGGATCTGGATCTGGCATTGGCAAGTAAGAGATGCCAGCTTTGAGCCATCAGTTACTGGTAGGCGCTTTGGTCTATGCTTAGAACAGGCATACAAGTACGACAAGGGATTATATGGAATATTTCATGCAGCATCATCAATCGAAATATTCGTGTGATCTTCTAATTCTTTTCTCATAATAAAATACATCACATCGTAAGGCATAACAGTGCTATCATCAGGTGTTATCTTGAGGTTCATGTCTTCTTAGTCTTGCTTGATCGGCCCAGCCGTGTAGGAGTGTCTAACTGGTCAACCAGTGGACGATATGGTGAGGCTAGTACATGCTCTGGAGCAGGGTCTCGCCTTGGTTCGCCGAGATTCGGTCGGCGCAATTGCTCTTCATGCATGCGATCGAGAGGTTCCCCGACCACTTGGTATTTGGCCCAGTTGATCGGGGGCATTCGTACCACGTTTTGAGGAGTCGGGATACGACCAAATGCCGAGGGGCTATCGTCAGTTGTTGACTTCGGTGTTCCCGTTCCCTTCTCGTTCTCGTCCAAGTCCATTTCATTCTCATCGGAGAACTGGATTACAGCCCCGCGATCTTCGGTTCGCAAGCGACCCTCAGCCAAATCACGCGCAAAGCCCTCCGGATTCGCAGCAACTGCATCTTTCATGCGATCCAATGCTTTTATGTCCCGCAAGCTCTGCTGCTTTTGCATTTGCAATATTGATATCGCTGAGCGCAGCGCAATCACGTCCGGGTTCTCGCTCTCCGAGATCGGGACTGCTGGTGGCTCGGGCTTAAATACAGGTGGATGTGCTGGGGGTGGGGGTGGACGATAGGCAGGTTCAGATGAGAAGAAATGGCTGGTGGGTGAGGGTGACAAAGGTGGTGGTACAATCGTCGCATTCTTCGCGGCGTCTGGCTGAAGTTGCCGTAGCACGGGTGTGACTGGGGAGTAAGAGGGGCGGGGTGGAGTGCATGGTCGATAATCCGACATGGCACCGTCGCCTCCCATTGAATCAGGGATAAAATCCATGATAAATGAGGGTAAACAGCACAGGAAACCCCAGTCAATTTTTGGGAGTGACCTGGCGTGAGAGTGGAATGGAAAAACGAGAATAGAAATCGAAGGCTGGAGGGCCTTCCAGCGCTTTCTGGGCCTGCGGGAAGTGACGACACCGGTCTGGCGCGTACGAACACGAGGTGATTCGGTCAATTAAAACAGTACAGGGAAAGTTCTCCAACAACAACTATTTGGACAAAATTGTAACAGTGAGAGAGACTGGAGCTTCAAGGGTATTGTATCAGGTTCTCGGAGTCTCCGTGTAGATCATTTCAAGGCGAGGCGAGAGATCTCGAAGGGCCCAATGGGAGAATGAGGCTCTGTTCTAGAACCTGTCCCGTGGAACAACCACAGATTGCCTTCGCTATTAATCTCGGGGACCTGATACAGATTTTTGTATCCACCTGGGAGAGCTCGAGTAAAAGGTAGAATTCAGCAACGGACGCGCTCTTCTCTGCCCGGTAGAAGCAAGTAGTCGGATGCGCTGGTACCCAGTTAGGTACAAGCTGCCGATTGGATAAGACAGATCTGAGTCAGTTCCAACTTGAAACCGAATAGACACCTAAATCTGGTTTAAAAAAAATGAGTGAAAGAGCGACAAAAAAGATACGAAGTGTTCAAACTTGAAAGTAGAGACCTTTCTGCTCGTAAAGGTCAACAAAGTCAAGGTGGATGAGTAGTTTGACCGCCCAGTTGACGGGCTTCACCGCCCGAAAAATTTATTGATCATACCACCGACATAGTTTCCCTGAGCAACATTATAGCTATCAGCCAACATGAAGCGCAAGACTAATGCGACCGGCTCCAATGCCAGTGGACTTCCTAAGTCTAAAAAACGAGCTCTCTCTAGTGAGGAAGCTACTGCGCGATTCCGCGATGGATTGTTCGACTCCGCGGAGCAGCAGAAGTACACCGATGAATACGCCAATTCGAACCCGTAGGTTCTATACACATTGAAATAATTTTATTTTTTCTCAAGACTGATGATACTAATTGATACAGATACTACCATGGTGTTATCCACTCCCTAATTGAACCCTCGTTGCTCCGATCGGTCCGCGACGAGATCCAAACCCAGGTCGACTTCACTGAGAAAGAGACAGATATCTACAAGATCTTCCAGTCCGGTGATTTAGCGAACCTGGACGGCTTAGATGATTCCTCCTTGTCGAAGCTCCCCTCCCTTCTGAAGCTCCGCGACGCAATGTACTCGGCCCGATTCCGTGAATACCTGTCTTCTGTGACCGGCTCTGGCAAGTTGAGCGGTCGCAAGACTGACATGGCCATCAACGTCTACACCGAGGGTTGCCACCTGCTGTGTCACGACGATGTGATTGGTAGTCGCCGTGTTAGCTACATCCTCTATCTCACTGACCCCGATACCCCATGGCAGGCCGAGTGGGGTGGTGCTCTGCGACTCTACCCGACCAAGACCGAGAAGGATGCGAATGGAGACGACGTCAAGATTCCCAGCCCCGACTTCAGTCTTTCAATTCCCCCAGCTTTCAACCAATTGAGCTTCTTCACTGTGCAGCCCGGTGAGAGCTTCCACGATGTTGAGGAGGTCTACCACTACCGCGAGGGTGATGACAAAACTAAGAAGCGCGTGCGCATGGCTATCAGCGGTTGGTTCCACATTCCTCAAGAAGGCGAGGATGGATATGAGGAGGGATTGGAGGAGAAGCTTGCCGAACGCAGCAGTCTTGCTCAGCTTCAAGGCCGTGGAGACATTTACGATCTTCCCCAGCCCCAACCCACATCATGGGAGCCTGAGGTGAAGGGTAAGGGTAAAGGTAAGGTGGACGAGGAGACTGAGGGAGCTGAGTTCAGCGAGACTGACCTTGAATTCCTGATTCAATACCTGTCACCCACGTACTTGACACCGGATATTGCAGAGGAAATGTCGGACGCTTTCGCAAGCGAATCATCGCTTAGCCTTGAGCAGTTCCTCAACGAGAAGTTTGCTTCTCGGATCAGTGCTTACGTTGAGGACCAAGAGCGACAAACATTGCCTCCCTCATCGGAAGAAATCCAGGCCCAGACTGAATGGACTGTCGCTTGCCCGCCGCACAAGCATCGGTACCTGTACCAGCAGCCCTCGGCCAATGATACATCAAACCCTATTAAGGAATTGCTGAATGTGGTCTTCCCTTCGCAGGCTTTCCGCAAATGGTTGGCTCTGATCACAGGTGTGGACCACCTCAACAGCCATGACTTCCTTGCCCGTCGATTCCGTCGCGGTGGAGACTACACTCTGGCCAGTGAATACGCAGGCGAGGAGCCACGTCTTGAGTTTACTCTTGGCCTCACTCCTAGTATTGGATGGGAGAAGGAAGTGGATGAAGATGAGGAGGATGAGGAGGAGGAGAACGAGAGCGGCAAGGCATCCTCTTCTTCCAAGCCTAAGCAGAAGGCCGAGGACGATTCTGCCGAGCACCCGTCTGTGGGTGGATACGAGATCTACATGGCCGGAGATGACGATGAGGAAGAGGACGAAGAAGATGCGGAGAATGCGGACCAAGTCCTTCGCAAGAAGACCAAGGCTGATCCTGCAATTTACCGATCCGCTGGTGCAGACGAAGATGATGGAATTCTTTTCAGCACGCAAGCGGGATGGAACCGACTCAGCATTGTGCTCCGTGACAGCGGCACCTTGAAATTTGTCAAGTATGTCAGTGCGGCAGCCAAGGGTGACCGATGGGATATCACCGCTGATATCGGAGTTGAATTTGAGGATGACGATGATGAAGACGATGATGAGATGGAAGACGACGAGTAGACTGTTGCACAGCAATTTGAAAACAATCAAAAGTTATTTCGATATAACCAACCAATCTATGCATGATTTACTTTACCCTTTGTTCAAAATTAAACGAAGAGCCACCTGGGCAACGAGGGCACGGCCATATGCTTTCCTTCTGTTACAATTCTCCCGCTGGAACTATGCCTGATCCCCATGTGCAGTAACTTGCATCTGGCCTCCCTGATCTGCACCAGGTTCTTCTATTCTCGCCTGAGAGCGATTTTGACAGTCCAGTCCAAGTGGCAATCGAAGCAAAGTTTCTTTTTCAAAACCCAGATCAGGACCTGTCACAGCTTTTACAAGCCTCCGGGCCGTTTGGAAAGAGCCACTAAGGTCATTATACTGCACCTTGTTGCAATTCCCAGGTGGTGTTCCTGCATTATTTGCATTCAATCCAGCAGACTCATTGAGGCAGACCAAAATGGGTATTCAACGCACTGGTCTCAATGCATCTGCTTGAACAGGAGAACCCGAGTAACAAACTGTCAACCTTTTCGACTGTCTCTAACATTCCTAGTTGAGTTCCGCCTAGTCCTTTATTCCCGAGCCCTGCATCCATACTAGTACAATATGTGGCTCAAGTTCCTCATATCTCACATTCTACATGGATCGGAGATATATCGCGCAAGCAGACACACTCCCGAGATCCACCCCCATATAATGACAATTTGAACATTCAATTCAACTTGAACGTAAAGTGCTGCACATTTGTGTCTGCTGGTGGTTTTTGTGGCCACACTTAACATGGAATGGAGTGCTCCCTCAAGACTTGTACGGGCCTGCGAATTCTGTGTTGAATTATCACTCGAACTCATTTCGCATATCAACCTTGGAACCCTTGAAATCAGCGACAACTGGATTATCCTGCATTGTTAGCAGCGACTTCAAGCCTTCATCCTGCCTGATTATTCGCGCTTAAGACGGAGCTCGCATAAAAAACATCGGACTCGCATAAGAAACGCCCGAAATCCTTCAAACTACGCGGTTCAAGTTCCAAGCTTTTACCAAGAAGTACATAGCCCCCACAGGAGCGCAAGTCTTAGCTAAGAAACGGCTAACTCCAGGATCAGATAAAGCCCCGATCATAAGTCGTTATTTTCAGACAGACTTGTCGGGAGATTACAGGACTAAGAGGTATTTGGCCCCAAGTATTCAGCGGATCCGATCCTTCCGTGATGACACGCAGCCCTAGTAAGCGCAGCCCTAGTAAGAGACGACGCCGATCGTCTTATTCTGCGTAGTGAGATGAATACATGATGTAATCCAAGGGCTAGACGCCTGTTAAACGAATCGAAAAGGTACATAGTAGGAGCAGGATGAGCATTAAGGAACATTTGAATCTGAACCTCGGCATCCTTCAAGTTCATGTCAGCGTTAGCCCCAGGAACCTCTCCATGAACTCGAAACACTCCACAGCAGCGCTAATTCAATGGATCTGAATTTGAAGTTCCTTGTTGTGGACGAATTTAGAAATGACGGCTTATTGCAAAATGCTTCCAATGTTTATGTTCCAGCCATCGACGTAATTCTTCAGCGTTGGCGGCAGTTGAAACAAGTGGATCCCTGAGCGGGTCTTTGGTTAATACCTGAATGAAGCTGGGGCCGGGGAGAAAGGGGTTCAAATGTTAACATTTGAAGTTAATTTTATTTCACAAGGCTATGAAGGAATTAAGCCCTTTCCAGGTTTATTTTCCATCTTATTTAATAGGAATAATAAGATGAATACTACCCTAATTGTGTCCAGTACGAGTTATGTCAACTGGTATAGCCAAGGGATCCGCCCGGCGCGGACTGAAACAATCCACATGGCTTAATGAGATTGAGATATTCCCCCAGAATATCCCATACACAAATTATAGCACTGAATCAGTTTCAATTGAATGAATTTACAGTTTACTGTACCTCCTGAGTCACATATGAAGTGGCAATAGAAATCAATTTATGATTATCCCCCCTTTCTACGCCAATCCTGCGCTGTACCTGGTACACATGGGTTACCCGACAGCGGGTTAAGACATGACCATTGAGAAAAGACCAGGAATTCCGGGGGGTATCCCAAACAATTGTACTCGGGTCCGACGCATGTCTGCTTGCATGGTATACAATCCACGCGCGAAAGTACTATAAGCAGGGGCTACACTAGGCTTAACTTATCTAATTGGACCTCATTTCCTCTCCACTCATCTCATACCAGCACCACATGCAAGTGGCATGGCCTATCGGAGAATGGGATTAATTAACAAGGGGCTTTTTTGTGACGTGACGGTAAAGGGTGCCATGAGGAAGAAATTCTGTAAAAGGAAAATTGGGAATTAAATTCGAAATAGGTAATGCCTAGCTCATAGCATGGATGGAATGATCTACAACTTCATATCCATGATCCACTGTGTTGGTCCCCAGCTTCGGGGAGGAAGACCCGGTGCAATGATCGACGAGGGGGTATGGTGCTTTGTCTGTGTCATGAATAATATCGCGAGCTATGGAGTACATTACATAGAGAAAGTTAGATTCCGAACAAAAAGTACGTTTAAGGAATGAATGGATATCTGGATGAAGTCATATGAGACAACATGGACGACACGCTTGGTTAGATGGTCACTCGCGTGTCATATTGAGACAAACTATTGAGAGGCGGCAGCAAGGGAAATAGAGCCACGATTTTTTTTCATCCCCGTGGTTTTACAGGAATGCGGAAGGGGAGATTTTTTCCTGGTGACAGCGTCCGTGAACCACACTATTAGTTCATTACTAACTTTATCGCCAGGTGGATGCCATCCCTTGAGGCTAAATTTGAAACCCTTGGAGCAGAGAAGCTATGGCCACCAAGAATAAAGAGAGTCCCAGCATAAGGGTAGAGTCACATTTGGGGGATTCCCGTGTGCATAGAAGCTCAGATGGGCCCCGGAATGGAAGATTGCTACCGTATCAAAGGGAAAAAGCTGTGAGCATGTCCCGGCAGTGACGATCGGTGGCGATCTCCCAGAAACATTCTGCAAGGCTACGACGGTGCCATGTGGCCAGATCCTTGATGTTGGGATTTTGTATTTTCTTTGTTTCAACAGGATCCATACTTGTTGCATGGAAAATTCCTTATGATTCAGATTAGTTCAGCTTTTAGTTGGAGGGATCGACATTTCGAAGGCGTTCTTAGCCCGTAAAACCCCCTAAGCCACGCGTGAACCGTGGCGGTGTCCACCTGGTCTCAGCTTTGAGGACCCCGAGTCCACTGTATTTTTGGTTTTTTTAAGTGGGTAAGAAAAGTCAGATCATATTTTTTTTTGTATCTTGCTGCCTACGACGCGTCAACTTAGTACTGTGTTGGAACGCCGTATACTCCGTAGTGTTTATCCAAAGTTTAATATTACAAGCCTCGTTGCTCACCATGCATTATTGAATACGATTTGACAGAGACATGGGCTCCTCACTTGATCCTTAGTGTCGGATCTAGAATGTTTATAGAAACCAAGTCCGATTACAAGGGGCGAGAAAAAGCCCGAGATCAAATTGATACATCCATTAAGCAGCCAGCCACCATGTATGGTCTCGTCCAATCCCTGCTCTTTCTTTGTTATTGTTCCCAGCAAACATTTGAACCGCGGCAGGGAAAGCCGTTTTTTCTTTCATCCTCAACGCGGTGGCTGACGCCCGTGATCTGGTACAGGAGGTCTGCCTTCTACGAGATTAGGCTAGCTCGGGCAGCAAACCCTAGGGAAAACCCCCGAATACTACTCCGTACACCAAGAAGAAGAATCAAATCTAGGCTTGTGCCAAGAATGGTGCTGGTCGCACAGACTCGAGGGTTTCCGAGTAAGCAAGGTTGTTTGGAGAAGGCATCATAGCAAATCAAACGGGATTACTAGTTACGGAAGAGAGGAGAGTACTGAACATTTGAACCTTGGACATAACATAACAGATTTGAAGTAATTGAACTCATTTAAGTTTGCAATGATTTCCGATCAAAGCGCTAAATTTAAAAATAAAATAACTTGAATGTCTGCGTCAGAATGGTCCATCAACAGGATGCAACATATAAACAAGAATAGCATAAAGGTAGCCGCGCGCGGGTCCTCAGATCGATCCAGAACCCATCTTGACCGTGGGACCGCACAGTCAGTAACTGAAGTGGCATCTGGGCGGCAGCGGGTGGTTGCAGACCCGGTCCAGTCCCCGTTACGATCGTGTCAAGCTTCAATTCTGTTTTGAGCGGATGGCCATTCCAGGGTTCCAAAACACGCGGCTCGGACCAGAGCGTGTGTACCACTTGAACAACTTGGCGCGATTTAGTTCTGCGCGAAGCTGCCAGCCGGTGTAGGACAGACTGAGAGGTAAAAATTCAGATCAGACGAAATACGGAATTACAATTTGGATGGATATATCTCCATGGGGCTATATTTAACAAAAAAAAAAGTACTGGAATGGGATGGAACCGAATAGTTTTATGGGATTTAATTACTATAGGTCCCTAGACTATAAAGGTACAGCTATCTAGTAATTGTTTCACGCAGGGTATTCTGCAGAACACTAGCGTGTTTAGTGTAATTTGCCATGTGTGTAGGACACGATGGGTGCAGGTTGAGCGTGGCGTGGGTTGGACAGGGGGGAAATTAGTGGGAATTAGTGGTATTTGGTACCCCGAGTTCGGGGGGCGAGAAGGGTCGTTGTTAGTGTATTAGTGACAACCTTCATCCCTGTCGGGTGCCATGTGTCCAACGTTCGATGGGGGTTAGCGTGTGGCATGCACTCCTCCCCGGTCACCCATGCAGTTTGACACCTCTGTATTTTATTATTTTATTATTATGAAAAAAATAAAAAATAAAAATATTTTATTACTATTTTACATCATTCCTAGGGAAACTTGACCTCCCTTGGGGAAACCTTAGCCTGTACTCCGTGCTCCGTAGAGATCCTATTGAAGATGCCAAAAAGCTGCAAGGAGCCCCAACATGCTCTGATAGCCCCTCCTTCAGGTCGATCACTTGCCACGTGAGAAATGCAACATGATGTGATTCGAGAATCATTATACGAGTACTCCGTAGTATCCGTAGTTAATGGTTATAGTCAGATGGAAGACCCCACTATCGAAGCGGAGGAAAGACTGAAAAGAGAACTTGAGAGCGAACTCAACTGAATGAGGGGTGGAAAAATAATGTATCGGCTTATGCTTGTTTTTTGGGTTGAATCCCTTTGGCCTTAACAAGGCTCCAGTGAGTTCAATCTCTCTCCCAAAAGAGAGACTAAGGGCCCACTAGTCCATGGGTCGCGCGGGTCGTACAGAAAGTCAACCACGTTGGGAACGTTGTGACGTGAAGACTTATTTGGTCATGATGTAATGAAGAAACCAGACAAAGAGAGATGGAATGGAATATCAAATGAAAAAAAAACAACACAAAAAAGAATTATGAAAAAAAAAAAAGTTCTCCTTGCGTGACGAAGATCCAAGGGATTCGCGAGGATGTTTGGGGCGACTGGCCATGCCGAGTATTTAGGTATTTGGGGACTGGAGAATCTGGAGTTGGGATTCGAAGAATGTGAATAGAGACATGGTGGGGCTCATATTTGGTCATTCAGATTAACTGTTAATTCTGTTCTAGTAGAGGACATTCTGGAGTATGGAGTAGTAACCTTGGAAGTTGTTAGTATCTATTGTACGGGGTACATTGTACTGTGAAGGATTGATCTTAGTGTCTGATCCTCTGATCCCTGCCTTGCCAAACCTTTGTTCTCTTATTTTTATTTTCTTTTGAATTCAAACTTTTATCTTTATGTCGATTAGGATGGTTTCATCCGTAAAGTTTGTACTGGTATCCTATGGTCTGTGATATGATCTTCAATGTTCAATCTCTTTAACTACGTAGGTAGTAAGGGCTATTTTCTCTCTCTCCTTCACGGATGACTACGTCGGCGGATACGGGATAGCTCGATTTCCAACTTTGCCTAATTGATACCGTGAAGAAAGTCAAAGTTTTGGAATCTTAGCATTTTTAACAATTTTTTTTCACTATTATTATTAATTTTTTCAAATTTATTTTTTAAAATAATTAAGCTGGTGATGAGAAGGTTATAGGGTGGAGACTGGGGAGATGTAACACTGAAATCTGGTCTCTCCTTGCCTTTTTTAATTATTATTCTTTGTATTTTATTTTTCTTCATTACCGTTAAATCGACTGAATCGAGATTAATATTTTATTTTTATTTTTTATAAATTTATAAATTTATTTTTCATTCATTTTTGCCCCAGGTCAGCCTCGTGGCACAGGTGGAGAGTGTTGCGCGCAGTAGTGGCCTTGGCACATGGTAATACCATTACATTACAGAAGACCTCGGAGAGGGTTCATCTTATACTCACTATTCGTTCATGATTTCTTGACTATGACTTGAATACTAGGTTATTTGAGATATATTATCCTATAGATCATATTAAATAAAGTCTACGACTATCATGTATAGTAAATGTCTAGTTTATTCATGTTGGAATATCTGGACTGTGCCACGTTAATAAGTACTCCCTTGCAGGGATTACCGTACAGATACAGATCCAGATGAGACCTGAGAATATCTCACTAATAAAATGGGACTTTTGAATTCTCTTTTTTTTTATTCTCGCCCATTTAATCATTATTTTTTTATAATTTATATTTAAATCCAATACTCTTGAATCTGCGTACAGAAAAGTAACTTACACGGGTTTGGTTCCTTCTCGGCCCCTCTTTGCAACATTGCCTCGTTTGTCGTGTTTCCCGCTTTTTTACGCCCCCATTTCCCTGTTCAGTCCCATAAAAAAAGTCCTTCGTGACCAATTTGGTTATACTCCGTGATTCGTCTCTTCAAAGAATATGCAATAGTTCTTCTTGTTCACCTCGAACTTCACTTCCCTCGAGGTAGAACTTGATCACCAACTCTTTCACTCCCCACCCTCAATCATGGACTCGGTCGCCCGCCGGCCATGGGAACCTATTTCCTCGGGCCCTACAACACCGGCCGCCTCAGCCCAGACCCTACCCTCCATACAGACTTTGACGGCGACTATGAATGGTGTAGGAGGGAATACGGCTGAGAAATCTCCTGGTAATGCTTCCTTGAACACCATTGAGCGGGACTCCGGGAATTGGTCGATGCCGCAGAGTACAAGTAAGCAGTGATGCAGAAACTCCAGATGGCGCGGTCTCTCTCCCTTCTATACTGACGTGAGGTTCTACAGGATCCTCGACTTATTCGACTACCACCAATGGAACTGGCAACAACTATCCTACTCTCACTTTCTTGACCTCAACATCACATCCTTCACCTAACCGGGGCCACATCGCTCCGGATCGATCCCCATTCAGCCAGGAACAATCCACCACCCCATCCTCAGCTGGCGCGCAACACCCTTCTCCCAATTTCAATTCCTCACAACCGAACCCTGGCCTTCCTTCTATCAATCAGAACTTCGATGCCTCATCTCACCGAAATAGTGTGATCGAGGTGCCCGAGTCGCGCCGCAGCAGTGTCGACAGTCGTATGAATCAGGGCATCAGCTCACTCGCAATCAACCCCGCCTCACCATACCATAGCACAAATGCCTCTCAATCCTCAATCGTGTCGAGTCTTCAGCGGGAACGGGGGATCACAAATGATATGAACTCTTACCGAGGACCACGGTATTCCGCCGGCAGTCAGCCCTTGTCACCCTTAGGTCCGCATGCCGCCGAGCATCGTGGATTCGCAGCAGGACGAACTGCGCCTGCCATTTCGTCTAACCCGCGATCCGAGATTTACAATGCAGAGGCTCCCACGGCCGGTATGGCCTACGCTTTCCCAGATCCGGATGTGGCTCGTTCCAGCTCAATCTCGTCGACGGAAAAGTCAAACCCCCCCCATTCTCTCGCAAGGGTAGTACGGCAGAATCGCTAAGTAGTCTGTACTCGGAATCGCGGATGCCACGAGGACAACACGGTAGGTACCCACTCTACTCGGAAATGAAAAATGGCTTGAAACTAATGAACTCGATCAGATCTGCCGCAAAATGTGCATCATCACCATTCCTTACAGCACAAGCAAGTACGTGATCTGATCGGGGAGGCCGAGCAAGCGGGCAACACTCCTTACAGCCGAACTCCGGAATTACGAGTTACACATAAATTGGCAGAGCGCAAGCGACGAAGCGAAATGAAGGACTGTTTCGAGGCCTTGCGTATGCGCCTTCCTCAAAGTCAGAACAATAAATCCAGCAAATGGGAGACCCTTACTCGGGCGATCGAATACATCACAGGCTTGGAGAAGAATCTTGGTCAGGCTCGTCGTGAAGTTTCAGTACTGCGAACAGAGAATGATGAACTTCGAGCCCAATTGAATCAGCAACAAGCCAATGGATCTCGACCGGTCTCGACCTTCGAACATCATCCCATGTCTGCGACTCCGACCAATGGACAGGCCCAACCGCCTGTGTTCTCTGGGTTTGGAAATGGATCGGTGGTTCAGGACCAACCACGCACTCTTCCCCGCTCATGAACGGCTCCGTCGCTCCAATGCAGGGCATTGAGTATGAGCGACGATAAGCATCTTCTCCCCTTACTATTAAAGGGTGTTCTACGAGCGCCATGGATGAAAAAATGACTTGTCATGCAGCAAAATGCTACTCACACGACTTTCTCTGTTCACATTTATCATTCTATATATCCCAGTTTTTTTAGATGAACCTGGATGTGGTTTCTTCAAGAGACTAAACTCACCATGAGACATCTGGTTGCCTCCAGGTCTTTTTTTTATTCTGTTTTGTTTTATTTTACCCTATTGCATCTGCCTCGTCTGGAGTGGCTCTGTTTCAGCTTTGCGCGCGTTTCTTTTACTGGTTTTGTTTTGTTTTTGTTTTATCATCATACCCGCAATCGCTTTGCGATGGTGTTTTTTCTTGTGTTTTTGGGTCTTTTCTATGATCGGATCTACCGAATCATTAGTCTTGTGCATGTTTACTTTTCTTTTGTTATTGGACATGATGGGTCTTGGGAGATGGGGTTCTAGGTATATGGGTTGATGGGTGCGCGTGTTAACTGGTTTCATTCCCTATGGTCTTTTCTTTTTTCTCTTGGTTCCTCCATTTTCCGTCCTTTATCCGTGTTTCTCAACGGAGTCTGTATCAAATATCCAAAAGCGCGTACTTTACGCCAATATCCTAACCTTTGCTGTGCCAATACCACTTTTTTTTTCCTCTTGGGAACTTGAAGGACTGCCGTCTTCTTCTGAATACTAGGACCATATTCGAATTTCAATGTTGTCAAATGTTGTGCCATCCCCCATTTTCACTGTAGGATTCTGTGTTTCACAATAAATAGAACTCTCACTAGACTCATGACACAGCGCCTGAAGAAACAATGAACCAGTTAACTCCAGGTCTTGAACTCCACTTCATAACGCAGGATCTATTTTAGGGGCCGTGAGATAACTTCTTCTTATTGGTGTTAATACTTAAGCGCCCGAACCCGAACCCGGCGCGTACCCTGACAACTAAAAACAACTAGACATCTAAGACTAGGGTGATCTTCTCCTGAAACATCCAATGGCGGAGATTCAACATGCAGCTTGTGGTTTAGGTTGTCTGGGATCGCTGCAGAAGCAATAGCTGGAAGGTTGATGATTGGTCTCATGCAGATACTATGATTTCAAGCTGTCATGCTACTGCATAGTGATGGGACTGGACCACTGCAGACCATCGGAAAGCTCTTTTTTATCCTTGTCCTCCCATCTTTTTAGGGTCTCGATCTTATGTTTATTTTCTCTCTTATTCACTCAGTTTCTTATCTCCTTTGTTTTCTTTTCTACTTTCCTTGGTGTCTCTCTTTAATCCCCCGACTGCCTTCGTTTCCCGTGAATGCATCTCCGTGGCGTTTCTTTCACTGCATTGTTTCAGGCGTCGTCATTCATATTAATAGACTTTGCTTTGTTGTCCTCGATTCTGGAGAACTTCATCGTGTCTCTACGTGACTCTTGCATCTAACATATGGTATGTTGTGATTATGGCTATCAACGCCGCGATATCGATATCCATCTACTAAACAAACGCGTGAAAATACAGTCTTGGGATCATAATCAAAAATCAAAACAATGACCTCGAAGCGACTGAATGTCCCACCAACCCTTCAAGTCCCAGTCCCAAACTTCCCCCTCTCTTCCCCTATCAGTGAGGAGATCTCCAGTCCATCATGTTCATCAGCTGAGGACCGCGAAGACCGAGAGTTGGAACGCCATCGACCATTCGACTTCCTAGTAAAAGCGACTCGCCAAAAGATTGAGAGGTCCTCAAAAGATGGGAGTGGAGGAAAAGATGGGGGAAATACAGACGCAGAAAGCAGTTCAAGACTGAGTCTGGGTGGGAAGAAGAAGAAAACCACAAAACCGGTTGGGTTGAACTTGGTGACCAGCTTTGCATCAGCTATCTCAGCCAAACCAGCGAAGCCAGCCCAAAATCCACCCGTGGAAGCCAAGACAGCACCATTCGTGGATTTGAATGATCTCAAACAGCTCTCTAAGGCCCGAGAAAAGGAACGCACTGCACAAAAGCCAGCACCAAAAGCACCAAGCCTCCAAAAGGAAAAATCCAAAACTCTCTGGAAAGACTCATCGAAGAAGATGATGCCTCGCAGCTTCCTCAATCTCGATACTGATTCGGAGGAATCTATCAACGGACCGGGTACCTTTCTCAGTTCTAGTGCAGAGAATGTATCAAATGATCGCCCCGATCACGGTTTCTCGCCCTCTGACCGCAATGTCATGATTGGACTCATGGTTCCCCAGAATGAGTCCTCAGATCGCTCGAGGGAATTCGATCATGCAGCAGACCAGTACACACCACTCACCCCATCTATCATTGTTACGCCGGCCTGTGAAGAAGCACCTTGGTCGATAGATACATCCAGTCCAGAAGGTCTCCGGCCCCGAGTGACATCCAGCGTGTACTCCCAGCCGACTCCTCGCCTATGGTCCGACGATTCGGATATCCCACCTGTCCCTGCAATCCCAGAAGAGCATCACCATTACCTGGTCAAAGGACACAATGCTGATTTCCTGGATGCCCATTTCGCTGCTATGACACGGAAGCGCCGCTCTCTTTCTGCGGGAGCTGTACTCGAGCACGATAGCCCGGCTTCGGAGCAGCCCCGGTCTATGGTAGATGATGATGACCAGAATCCATTGAATCGGTTGAGTGTGAACTCAGAGGCAAGTCGACCGGCCTCTCAGGGATGGTGGAATGTGTTACTCTCGCCATTACTGGGTCGCTCGAATACGCTATCTAGTAAAAAGTCACCTACTAGCGCGAGCTTCCGATCTCCCTTACCAAGTCCTTCTGTTGTGCCCTCGGCGCTTGGAACAAACAGACACTGGTGGGAGAGAGGAAAGGAAAAGGAGACTTCCTGCTTCTCACCTGATACGCCTGATACAGTTGCGACAAGTATGTGGCAAGATGGGAGAAGGAGTATGGAGCAATCTCGAAGTCCAAATGCTCAGAATATGGATGAAGTTCCTCCAATGCCGAACCGAGATAACGCTATGTCGATGATGTTCCCTGGTAACCGTATTCAGGGCGAGGCGGCTGAGTACTTTCAGGCTTGTGCGCATGAACTATTCAGCAAAAGGCCCTATTTTGAATGCGTCAATCACACTTGCTCGATCACACCACCAGATGTTGTTGCTGCTCGGTTAGAGGCTCAGAATGTTATTACTGGAGATCGAGGACTAGTCTTAGATGGCACTGAGACTCATAAGACCGATTCTCTGATCAAAGGGGCCGATGCTGCGACAACGAAGGAGGGCTTGCTGATTGATGTTGATTCGCCTACTGAAGAAACGGCAAAGGAGACTCTATGTGTCAAATGCTCACATCGACGAGGCTCAACTGCTAGTACAGATTCATGGGCATCGACAGCTGTGGATACAATAGATGGTGATAATGAGAAGAATGAAAAGAGCTTGCCTGAGCTCCCAAAGGATATGGAGAAGGAGATTGATGCTGAATCTCCAGTCCAGCCTGCTCACGCACAGCCGTTGTCACGGCAGATTGTTGAGACTGCTGTCCAGCCGCCTGTTCAAGGGCCAGTTTCTATTCCTCCAGCCTATGTTGCGGTTGAGCCTCCTGCTCCCGCACCAGTCCCAGAGCCACTACCTCCAGCACCAGCACCTTATGCACCACCAGAGCCATTCATAAGAGAAGCTGAGCCGGCTCCACCGCCACCAGCACCTCCGGCAGCTTATTATCCGGAGCCTCCTGTGCCTCCTCCGGCGCCTGCGCCTTACGTGCCACCGGAACCATTGATCAGAGAGATTGAGCAACCTCCAGCTCCATACATTCCCCCAGAGCCTCCGGCTCCTGAGCCTCAGCCATACGTACCCCCTCCTCCACCTAACTATCAACCAGAGCCATTTTCTGAACCTCCTCCCGCTCCAACCCCACAGCCTCAAATCATCAACAACTATTACCATTATGGAGTGCCACCACCCCCCGAGCCTCCTATTGCTCCTCCTGCGGAAGATCGATCTATTACTTCAGGCTATCCGGCTAATTCTTCAAGCAATCCATTCTTACCACCACAAAATCAGCACCAACCTCAGTACCAGCAGGTACAGAAACAGCCAGACCAAGAAATTTCAGAATGGCCCTGGACCCCTCCTGTTCCTCAGCCCTATTCAAAAGAGCCTGCTCAGGAAGCAGACGTTGTGAAAGTGCCAGAAGAATTCCGAGAAATCCCCAATGAACACTCACGAGAGCCTCCTCAAGAAGCGGATATCGTAAAGGTCCCTGCGGAGTTCCAGGATAGACCACATGAATCCGGCCCAGAAATGGAACGCTCTGCTCCTCATCTCGGTCTATCTGAGAATCATGGAGCACCTCAGACCTCTGAGCCTATCTCACCTGGTTTTCAGCGTGCTGCAGGTGGTCCACGATCGATCCAGCTATCTGAAGTGAATGCACCAGCACCCGTGTATGGCCAGCACACAAGAGATATGCCTCTTCCCATGCGATATGATCTACACCCAGCTCCAGGTGCCGCGGTGATGAACCCCACCGGGGAAGCCGGTCCCGGTGAAGCTCAACGCCGTAGGTTAGAGCGCGAGGATGCAGTTGGAAAAAAGATTGGCGGTCTTTGGCGTGGACGAGGATGTTTCAGCAAAGCTGGCTGCTTTGGGCGCCCAGGGCGTGAAGGTCGTCTTCGTCGAAGATGGTACCTTGCTATCTTCATATTTTTCCTCATCATTATCATTATTGCAATCTCTTTGGCTACAACCCTGACGAGGAAACGCGGTGACTTGACCTCTGTGCAGTCACAGTGGGTTAATCTGACAAACTATCCACCTGTTCAAACAGGAATCATGACAATCACCGGCACAGAAACCCAGGATGCGAATTCGGCGTGCGTGACTATTGAGAAACTGTGGAGCTGTGCTCTTCCCAAGGGCTCACAGCAAACCGAGAACAAACCATACGATGCAGATGAGCCCACTTTCCGCATTGAGATTCAATATCGCAATTCGAGTTCCAGCGACAGCAACAGCACCGACACAAGTAGTTCCAACTCGACAACGACTAAGCGTGGTACCTGGACAGCAGATCCATCTCCACCAAGTATGGCAGACCAGATCTTCATTGGAAATACAACAGACGGAAACTCCAAGCCATATGCAGGCGAAGAAACACCCTTCTACATTTCCGTGTTATCACCAGCCCACCTCTCTTCCACGAATGTGTTCCGCCGCAGCACCTCATCTAACAGCTCATCATCAATCAACAGTTCCTCTGTAATTCCCGCTCCAACCGAGAACTCAGATGGAACTGCAGCCGCAGCAACATTGTACCCGCTTCCTTCGACGCAACCTCTCCGTCTCTACAATAGAGGCGAGTCATCCGAGCACTATGGTTTCTACACGTACTTCGACAAGTCTATTTTCACTCAATCCAGAGCCCCTCTAAACGGTAGCTCAGTAGACTACGACCCCGAAGATGATGATGGAGGCTCAACCGAAGCAGACGCAAAGGCGCGTTGTACATTTTCGCAAACTCGATTCCTCGTTCAGATTTGGACAAATCCTTCGGGAATGGGATACTCCCTTTCTCTCATCTGGTTCTACGTCAACTGCTACTTCTACAGCATCTACTACCACCAAAACTTCATCTACGTCTACATCTTCAACAGCGACTTCGTCTTCATCGGCAACGGACTATACACGTCCTGGGTCCTTTGCATACCCTGTTACCATTACGGTAGATCGACATGGTGGCGATGCAGATAAGAAAAAGGTTTACTGTTGGGGCATTGAGGATGATAGTCATTACAATATGACTGAGTGGAAAATTGAGTTGGAGCAGCGGGGAATTAGTGGGACTTTGATCAATCCTACTAACGATTCTTCTTCCGCTTATGGGGGGATTGATGGAGGCACTGGAGGTTGTAAGTGCGAGTGGATTAATTGGATATCTACTTCATAGATGGAGAGCAGTTTTTGCTTCTCCTCTCAAAATAATGTCTTTTTATTTGTATGAATTCATGTCTTGTTCTAATTTCTTTTGTTTTGTATTAAGCGACTTTTGACATGTCGCCATGGCCTTGATGAAACTTGAATTTAAAAAGTGATTGCGAGTCCTTAATCAATTCCTCTCTATTTTGGGGGTTAGAGTTATAATAGTATAATTCATAGAGCTATAGGTACCCGTGGACATATTAATTGGATCCGCAAAATCACCTACTAGGCTCAATGCATCACAGTAGATTTATCAGACCAAAGGGCTGCCTTGGTAACGCTGAAAGAAAAATCAATGTCTGAAGATTCAGAGTTTTATTTTGGCTACTAGTATCTTGGTTTCTTGCTCGTATTCTACTCTAAGGTTGAGCACTTTCATAGCCTCTATGTCAAAACGTGAAGGAGGTTTTCCGGGATTTCGTTGCATCTTTGGAGACTTCGACACCTTTCTAGAATCAAATTGTGGATATTTTGAGAGGCACTAAGGTCTTTTTGATTAGGCAAAGGATGGAATTGTTTTTTTGTAAAGAAATCCGGCGCTATCACTCTCGCCAGTGGATAGTAGCATAAGATCCAGAGGCTGAGTCGGAAATTGCGGATATCTCTGGGGTCACATCTGAATGTATCAACTGGGTTATAGACTAGGTAGCTACAGTGATATCAATTTGAGACAAAACTTGTATCAAGTGAAATTAGGAACTACTTCTGTAAGGTAGAGATTAACTTTTATGAATTCTAGTATACGACTAAATTTGAAGAGATGGCGCAATTCAATATGATATCATGAGACTTCAAATTGAAATCTTCCCAGGTTTTATGCATGATATTCTATCAGATGGTATGTATTTTTGAATAAATTGAATGAAAAGGTAAGGATCTACGTGACGACTTATGCTTGATTCACGCATTAATTGTTCTTATCAACTACTAGTACAGAGAATGTCTCCACCGAACTAGAATGAGGTATTAACTCAAGGTTGCATCCTTATCTTACTAGTAAAATCTTAATTCAAACCTAAATCTCCATCCTATAAGGAGCATTTGAGTACCTAGAAGAGCCATGAGAGAGATGACCCACCTGAACAGGGCTTGATTCAGCACATATGCCCTATTAATAGATGTATGACTTCGACAGGGCCAATGTTGCATTTGCCACTTTAAATTAAAGTTCAAGTCGATATATCATCGTTTATTTTTAGTTCTCAATCACTCCAGATGTCAGGCTGCCACTGAAGTATGGCACAAGAGATCAATAGTATCTACTGTACAAACAAGGAAGATTTGGAAGAAGCAGACTCGGAGCTCCATCCACGGTGAGTAGTAGACTTTTTAATTAAAATTATATTAGATCGGTATATATCCCAAACAATATCCATAAACATTGAAGAGCACGATCTAAAGACCTCCCTGAACGCCATTCTTCTCATCTTGATCACTCAAATTTCCATCCATTGATCCCATTCACAACAATAATTCAATTCAAGCTCTGGACAGCAGCCATTGAGCTCGTCTTGAATGTTTCATCAGATAGAAACGTAAGAACAGGAAAATTGTAGACCAAGAGATAGGAAATAAAAACCAGCAAATCCCAAAAGAAAAATCACAAGTATTAATTAAGAGCGACCGCTTATGCGAGGAGCATAAGACCGTAGACAGCACCACCGACCAGAGCACCGGCAGCACCCATGGGGGAGACGTTGGCACCAGCGTTGGAGGGAGTGAAGCCAGTAGAGCTGGGAGAGGCGGGGGTGTTGCTGGCAGTTCCAGAGCCAGCGGAGCCAGCGGAACCAGAACCAGAACCAGAACCAGAAGTGCTGGTAGGAACAGACACGGGGATGGTGGAAGCAGTGCCGTTGCCGCCGGAGGTGCCGTTGCTGGAACCGGAGCCAGTGACGATGGGGTGGGTGCCGGTCTGGGCAGCAGTACCCTGGACAGCAGTGCCGGCAGTGCCAACAGCGGCGCCACCCTCCTTCTGGTTAACTGGAGGCTCGGCCTGCTTGTGGCTGCTACCAGCCTGGACGCCAGCAGCGACGGCCAGCAGGGCAATGGAGGAGACAGTGAAGTGCATTTTGACTTTTGGTGGATGCTGGAAGCGATTGAATCAAGAAGAAATGGGCTTCTTGTCTAACGAATGACGAAGCGTGCTAGGAGTATAAAGTTAGCATATATGGTTCTTATCCTCATAAGCTCCTGTCAAGATGAACCTACCAGAGCTGGAGGAGAATATTAATGCGGTAAATGGACCTGAAGGAAGAACATCGGGAACTTTCTCTGAAGGCCCTGAGGACCTCATTCTTATAGACTGAGGTGTTGTCCAAATCCGGCATGGTTAGGAGATATCAGGACTAAGTAGATGATGACATTTCCTCAAGAGTGTGAAAAATTTTCCAGGTTAACTTTTATTGCCCTCGTATGTTCCTATCTATGACCACCTGTACCTCTCTGCCCTCGATTGGAGCCTTGGTACTGGTGCAAAGGAGATTTGCAATCTTGCGGCTTTCCGCATCCGGGGATAGACATTTGGATGTCACTCTGGGTAACGGAGCCAGGACCCACTGTGCCACTCTGGTACAACTCGGGAACGACAAGATGAGATTTTCGCCGAGAGCCCTGGAGATGAGCGAGAGACCGAGTATGGTGTGTAAAATGATCTCCGAATGCTAACGACGATGTGGTCACGTGAATGTTTCCCAAATAGGAAGGTGCCGGGTTCGCATGCGGAACAACGCAGATCACTTTCTCTCCGCATCTCAATCTTCATGGAGAGAGTTCCTGAGGGACTGACATGCAGTGGGTATTCAGAGAACAATTCCTTTTTCTTCTGAGGAACCAGAAACGCGAGACGACGTGGAGAAGGACCACCTTCTACATCCGCATAGCATGGGTTCGTAAGAGAACAAAGGGCGGAGTGATTAGTCGTACCTACAAGTTTCAAACACAGGACCATATTACCTAGCTTCATTTTATGAGAGTTGATCTTAAAAAAAAAATAATCAGAAACCATGTGCAATGATTATCCCGAACTGAATTCATCTGTATGCCTTCTGATGATGAGGTAGAAAAAGGGCCGATATGAGTTCATATGGCCCCATAATATCTACTATTGGCTTGAAGAAGAGACAAATTTCGAAGGTTAATAAGCTCCAATATTGTCTCAGAGTCCAGTTGCCTTGTCTGTTTATATACCATGATCTATCACCATATGTAGCATGATAGAGACACATGGCAGCATGTCAAGGTTAAACACTGATAATCCCCGAAGTCACAACTTCGCTCTCAAATTCACTGTACTGCATTCGGAATCATTGCCCAGGTATACACCTACCTCAGTGGCTTCCAAGATACAAAAAGTGACATGTCAACTTATGACATCTGTAACGTTGATCGACAATGGCGGAATGCAAGACACGAAACCCCACGATCAAGCATTCCCAATAACCTGCGTGGGAGTAGATTCCTCCGAGACAAGGCTGACATATTTCGGGATAACTGAGTCGTTTTTAGCATCTCTCATGCATGTACTTTGTTTCCGTGTTCAACCTAGCGCGTCCACGGGTATAAGCTGGACATTGGGTGATCGTCGCGGTCTCTATTTGTAGACAGGTCACTGGTTGCCTTTTCCGAGTCCAATTGATCTGGAATATATCGATTGATCATGGACCTAGGGAATTAGTTCATTCTCTCCAAGTCATTCTCTCCAGCGTGTTCAAGCTTCTGATGAAGTCCGAGTGACAAGGCAAACATCTATTCCAGATGTATATTATTCCACTGTATCTTCAATCCTCCTGGGAATTTCTCAGCTTCCAGCAAATATTCTCTTGCTTAGACTTATCAATACTTCCGGCACCGAAACCAAAATATAGCTGTGCCGAACAAATGGTTCCTGGAAAGATGAGTGCAATGTCACCAGTTGACGGTATCCATTGGGGGGGGGGGGCTTCAAATAGTCCCCTCATATGAAGAAAATAGATGTCAACTTGAAATAGGCAATGTGACCTATTGAAGTCAGAAATTAAATGCTCAGGTCTTCATAAAGTGAAGTTGAATAGTTCAATGTGAATGGAATCAAGGAACCTTGAAATACGCGTCTTGGCGGGTCAACCCCAGTCCCGCTGCCGATCTCCCTTTTTTCATGATTCAACTTCACCATCAATGCCGTGGCTGAAATGCCCGCCATGACACGTCACAGGAGTTCGGAATTGCTCTCGCCAGCAAATTATGATGATGATGCGGCCTCCTTACGATCGCCTTCCGAACAAGACTCCGACTCTGAAGATGACGAGTTCCTCCGCCATCCCCGCAGCACCCTGGAGCTCGCCAACCACGATCGCGCCGTGCTCGACGATGAAGATGAACTTGAGAAACTCTTAACAAGACGAGGACCAGCTCATGGTCTGCGCAGGATGTTCAGTCCCAACGGAAGTAGCGTGCGCATTGGGAGAAAGGAGAGGCGCCGGGCGCGAAAGGAAGCTCGACTTTCGCGCCGGGAGAGAGTTAGTGAGGAAGGAGAGTTGATGTATGAGATGGAAGAAGGATTGGGGGATGATGAGTCGCTGTTGAGCGAATCATCGATGGAATCAGAGGTAGATGACTTTATTTATGACCCGGTAAGGTCTCATCTGAACTTCTATGTTGTTTATTGCCTGATTGGTTGTACTAATTCTTGATTCCCATCAGCCATCTAAACCTTCCTTTTTGCGATACCTATTCATCTTCACCCTAATATCTGTACTCTTCCTTATCCTCGCTCTCGGTGCATACAAGGCCTCTAGTGGTTTCCGAGCTTCACAAGTTCTCTCGACACCACTCCTGTCCAACGGCACGGCTCTGTTTGCGCCTACGACCATTCTTATATCCCTGGATGGATTTCGAGCGGACTTCCTCGACCGTGGTATAACACCGGCTCTGAGCTCCCTCATCGCTGATGGAGTTTCTCCGCAATACATGAACCCCAGCTTCCCTAGTGTGACTTTCCCGAATCATTTTACACTGGTGACGGGCCTATACCCTGAGAGCCATGGAATAGTCGGAAATACATTTTGGGACCCGGCCCTACAGGAGGAGTTTTTCTATACACACCCTGCAGTCAGCATGCTGCCTAAATGGTGGAATGCTGAGCCTCTATGGGTAACAGCAGAGAAGATGGGTGTCAGATCGGCTATTCACATGTGGCCTGGATCTGAAGCTCATATTGCCATCCCAGAGCCCGCTTATATTGATAAATACAACGGGTCTGAGGCATTAATCAGGAAGGTGAACCGCGTGCTGGAACTTCTGGACCTACCTGGCGCAGAGGACGAGTCCCAAGTCTCGCCAGAGCGACCGCAGTTCATCGCGGCTTACGTGCCTGATGTGGACCGAGATGGTCACAACTTCGGACCCAACAGCACTGAAGTCCGCAGCACGATTTCTTATGCGGATGAGATGGTCGGCGGCATTCTTGCTGGTCTCAAAAGCCGCAATCTCACCGATGTAGTGAACATTGTAGTGGTTTCCGACCACGGCATGGCAACCACTTCGAACGAGCGTCTGGTGCAGCTAGACGATATCATCGATATGGATCTTATTGACCACCTGGATGGATGGCCCTCCCGCGGTATTCGCCCCAAGCAACTAGAAGATCTAGCAACTCTACAAGCACAATTAGAAAAGGCTGCACCTGATTATGAACACGCCTTTGAGTTTTACACCCGAGAAACGATGCCGGAGCGATATCATTTCTCAAAGAATGATCGTATTGCCCCCTTGTGGGTGATTCCCAAGACTGGGTGGGCGATCGTTGAACGGCCTGAGTTTGATGCGAAGGAGGCTCTGAAGACGGGTGAAGTCTATCACCCCAAGGGTATTCACGGCTACGATCATGAGCACCCTCTGATGCGCGCCATCTTCATCGCTCGAGGCCCAGCTTTTCCACACGCCCCCAACAGCCGCCTTGAACCTTTCCGTATGATTCCCTCCTTCTGTTTGCAACTAAGCCTGAACTAACACGTCATCTAGAAAACATTGAAGTATACAATATGATTTGTGACTCGCTGGGAATTAATCCATTGCCTAACAATGGAACACTCCGACTCCCCCTCCACCCAGTTGGGCTCCATACGGACGAGAATACACCCCCTGTGGAACACCCCTCTGACCCACCACAGCCCACACCAGCTGCGACTATTCCCCCGCAACCAACGAGTCCAGCATCCGAGGCCCCGACTGAGTCAAAAACTGTGTCTGATCCCGGTAGTAAGAATGAACAAGGGTCAAGCTGGTGGAGCAGTCTGGGCGACAAACTAGATGAATTGAAGCAGTGGGCGGGGGAGTTGTTCTCGGCAGAAAAGGACAATCATCCACAGGATGCATAGAGTGGTTCAATTTTGGAAGATGAGAGATGTTTGCTAATTTATTTTAATTGTGGCCGCCGCTGCCTATGATTTCTGAGAGATACCCCTGTTTATAAGAACACTACCTAGGCCATAATACAACATATGTGCAAGCCACGATTTTTATAACTTGAAACTTTTGAATGGATGAAGAGACATAGTCTAACTCCAGGGCTTTAAGTCACTCATGACTCAGAGCTGCTAGAATCAGTGTACATGTGCACATGTGCTTCCAGCTTGAAGGTTGAGTGGAAGTATACCCGTGGATCTCCCTGCCAAGGTTTAGTAGTATGGATGCCAGTGTCCACGCCTGCGCTGCAGAAGACAGGCCTAGAGTGCACATGCGCATGGAACATTTTTTTTTGACTCGAGCATCGCCGACAACTTCCAAGGTTCAAGTTCAAATCCATGTTGAACTTCCAGATTCGAACTTTTTTTTTCTTTTTTCCAAATTTCAATGGATGGATTGATGTTGGAACCAAAATGATCGGTTCACTCTTGGAACCTTGGAAATATATATCGCGCGTGACATTATCACTATCTACTACCTAGTACTTAACATTTTAGAGCCACCCCAGATTCACACCTCGAATCCAAGAATTTTTTTTTTTTTCGGAAATTTACTCAAGTGCTATGTCTGTGGCTTCGAGTAAATATGAAATTTGCACTTCAGTCATTGATCGACCAGTAAATATTACCCACAAACTTCTATCCTGCCTGTCATTCAATGTTGACAGTGTTGGATGAGTTAGTCCACAAAGTGGTGGGAATGATGCCAAAAGTTCAAATTTAGACATCAACCACCCCAAGTGGTCGAGTGGAACTCGATCATCTCATCTTCCTTGGTCTAGTGGTCATGATTTCCGCTTGTCATTAACACCGATAAGCGCGGGAGACCGGGGTTCGATTCCCCGAGGGAGAGTTTCTTTTTGCATCTTTTATTTTTTGAAAATCATTTTTTATGCCTCTCTATGTATCTCTGAAGCATTCTCAAGATGCTGGCAAATAGTCCATTCACCACAACGAATGTGGGAAAAAAGTCAAATCTGTATCATCAGGCAACCCCGCCCTAGAATCCAGGTGCGTGCGCCTGCAGGGGCGCAGCCGCGCAGGTAGAGTACATATCAGGATCTCAACGGGTCAAAGCGTGTAACGGCCAGATGCAAACCGGTGCAAACGAATCGTTATCTTTTGCATCCAAGTACTCAGTACCCAAGTTAAACATGGATGTAGTATATAAATGTATTCCTCCCGCCGACCCTATTTCGATGGAATATTGCGACCATTACTGCATTTCTTCCCCGACTCCAGATATGTCTCCACTCGTCTCACTTTACTTGGTTGATGCACATGTGTATCTCTGGACCAGGCTTTCTGGTAAGCTGCAGATCCCGGAGCCTAAGCAGTGCTACATCTATGCATGATTCAATGCTGTCATTAGGCAGCAGGCTGAGACCACTCATTCCTACTGGACCCTCAGACTCCCTTTCAGGCGATGCGGAGTCCAAACCATCTAAGCCCTGGAACTCCACCTAGATGAGGCTCTGTTACCTCACACCGTATAAAGTACTGTGCTGAATTTCCCCTCTTCCATGGTTTCTTTATTTTTCACACTGGTCAATTCCTTCTTTGCAAGGTTATCATGAATTTCAGTGATACCACTCCTTCCTCCACAAGCATGGGCTTGTCCTCGTCGGACTCGGCCATGCTGGAGATGCTGGTGCCGGGGTATACTTTCATCTCACGCATCCTGCTGTCCTACCTTCACATTGATCTCACTCTTTACCTACAACAACTCGTAGTGCTGGCAGTACTTGGTGCTGCCTTGCGATACGTTTCCATCTACATCACTGGCTTTTTCAAAGAATATCTCGTTTCCACAGCGGAGATTCGGCTTGATGATGAGATATTCAGTTACTTCATGTACTGGATCTCCCGCCAGCCTCACATGAAACGCACCAATCGTTTTGTCGCAGGTGTCAAGTCAAATGGCTATCTCAGTGACTCTGATGAGTCAGACAATGATGATAACCCAGACCCGACCGAGGGAGAGTGGAATGAGTCCGGTAATACCGAAGGAGGAGAATCATTCGATGAATACTGGGCCAAGGTTATCAGTCGTGACAAATACAAGCCCTTACGATTTACCCCATCCCAAGGCCGACATATCTTCTGGTACAAGAACCGACCTTTGATGCTCGAGCGCCAGAAGGAGCACACTACCAACCGCTACGTGTTGATCAACGAGCGGCTCTATCTGTCCTGCCTAGGTCGCGATGCATCGATTCTTCGAGATGTACTCAATGAAGCGCAGCAGGCCTATGTCGAGCGTGACGGAAACCGTACTATCATTTATCGAGGTCATCGATACTACTCTGGTGGTTCCTGGAACTGGACTCGGTGTATGGCTCGATCCCCGCGTCCTTTGTCCACTGTCGTTCTTGACCCAGAGCAGAAGCAGGATTTCCTTGACGACATTAAGGAATACCTTCACCCGCGTACTCGTCGCTGGTATTCTAATCGTGGAATTCCTTATCGTCGGGGTTATCTACTACATGGTCCACCCGGCACAGGCAAGACCAGTCTCTGCTTCGCTGCAGCAGGTCTACTAGGGCTGAAGCTTTACCTCCTTAACTTGAACTCCAAGGCCCTTGACGAGGACAACCTCGGCTCCTTGTTTTCCGAATTGCCTAATCGTTGTATCGTTCTCCTCGAGGACGTCGACACTGCAGGAATTACCCAGACTCGTGGAAAGCCAGTTGCCAAGACTGCTAATGAGGCGAATGGTGAAGTTGAAATCGAGGAGATTGACGATATCACTGCTGTTGATGAAGTCGCTAAACCCGATAAGGCTGATGGAATCAGCTTGTCTGGTCTGTTGAATGTTATTGATGGTGTTGCTGCTAGCGAAGGTCGTATTCTTGTGATGACCTCGAATCATCCAGAAAAACTGGATGCTGCCCTTCTTCGCCCTGGTCGTGTGGATATGAGCATTGCCTTTGGTTATGCAGGTGAAGCAGCTATCAAAGAGCTCTTTACCTCAATTTATTTCACTATGGATGGGGATTCTCTTCGAAAGAATGGATCCCGCCGTCACAGAACTGAACTTGTGAAGCATACCAATGGCAGTGCTCTGACTCCTAACGGGGTGAAGAAAAGCAAGAGCCAGGAGCTGCTGGAGGAAGCGGAGAAGGAGCACCAGGAATCTTTGGATGCTTTGCGCTCCCGAATCTCTGCTCTCGCAACACAGTTTGCTTCCATCATCCCTCTGAAGGAATTCACAGCCGCCGAGATCCAGGGTTATTTGCTTCATCACAAGAGTACTCCGGAGAAAGCCATCCAGGGTGCAGAGAAATGGGTACAGTCTTTACGTGAGAAGAAGAAATTGCGAGAAGAAAAGTCTGTCTAGAATGGCGTTATGAGTCGTCTGTTATATGAGGTCTTACGAAGCTACTAGTAACGATAGACGAGTGATCTTGAATAGTCTAATCATAATGATAACCTTGGAAGAAATGATCGAACTGAAATATTTGTCTTTAAATCCCAATAGCAAATGAGAAATAAATCAAATATGTACCACTAGTCATTTTCAAATATTGCAAGGCTGAATGCAGGTCTTATACTTCTGAAATTGGGCGTTGTGTAGATTAATTGATCTGGGATGGGGTCATAATGGCAAAACCGGGGTTTTTGTTCACCCACAGCATGTTAGCTCAGGGGAAGAGCGCCGGGCTCATAACCCGGAGGGTCAGTCTCACTACTCTACCACATGGTTGCCGAACAACAAACTAACTCAAAACAGACCCTGGATCGAAACCAGGACATGCTATCCTTTTTTTTCCTTTTTTTTCTTTTTTTTTTTCTCTCTCTCTCTTTCTTTCCTTCATACTATTAATTTAGCCTAGAATATGAACAGGTGGAAAAAAGCACTGGAGAATTCCGCAACATTGCACTCCTACATGGGCAGATGACGCGGAGGAAAAGTATGATCAAGTAATGGGGATGTTGACCTCGGGAACAGGGCTCTACTGTGGATTAGCATCTACATCTATGGATAAGGTAAAGTAGCTTATTTTCCACTCTAAAGATAACCATGCGGTCGCTTTGTGTAGCCAAGTCGAATATTCAAATGTTACTATTCGAAGACGCCTGGAGGTACTATGAGCGATCGCATCACCAAGGCTTGGAATTCCGTAACCACTTCCAAGCCTGAACATTTTTTGAAGCATCAAAGAAAATGAAAATGCTGAAATCACGTCAGTACGTAAACAGTCAATTGGCTAATTCTGGCATTCATTTAACTCTGATCTAAAAGCACTCAGAACCTTGAAGCTGAATACCTTGGAAGTTGCCAAGTTCAATGTGATTATTGGGTGCAGATAAAGTACGTATGCCGTCTTAATATCCCCCGCTGATGCAAGATACGTGGCCTGTGATACGGACATTCGAGGTTTTTTCTATAGCAATCCTAGATCCTTGGAACGTTTATGCAACTTGTACGCCAGTTGACAAGAGTGTACTCCGTAGGCTCGTCAAGACCGACAAACATTGACCTCGGGAGCACAAAAGAAAGAACAACAGGAGATTGATAAAGTCCACGTGAGGGACTAGATGAGATGATAATATCTATTGTGAATATTGAGATCTCAGGTCGTAAAGATAACCTGCCAAGGCTCGTACATTTATTGTCTCATTCATACTTGCAGGCACGACATGATGTGGCTGCAAGGCTAGTATACTGGGCGGGATGGCGTGACTGCAGCCATTATCCATGATGCATCTGAAAAAGCTATATAAACAATGTAGATTCGAATTCAAGCACTGATTTACATGGATCAAATGTTTTGCAATCATTGAAAAATTTATGAGAAATGGCCATCGAAGATCCAAAGATAGTGGAGATCTCTGCCACCCAGAAAGATTCTCCTGAGGCAAGTGATTCAAGTTTGGATGAATCAGATAGAGAATGGCAACAACAATATTCCCATTCTGGAGAAGGTACTTTTGAGGTCAAAGAGGGACACCAGTTTTATCGCCCCATTGATAGCTATGAGGGGATTCATCGTTGGGACCCCAACTTTGAATGGACGAAGGAGGAAGAGCAGAAGATTGTCAGAAAGGTTTGTCAAAGTTGAGAGAGAAATTCCTCCCTGATAAATTTTTAGTCTAATTCTGCTAGATTGACATTCGTGTCTTGACTTTTGCTTGCGTGACGTTCTTCGCATTACAACTTGATCGAGGTAACATCAGTCAAGCCTTGGCAAGTACCCTCTTGGAGGACTTGAAGATGACCAGCAATGATTATAACCTGGGGCAAACTATCTTTCTGGTTTGCTTTCTCCTAGCTGAGATGCCCTCTCAGTTAATATCCAAGCGATTAGGTCCCGACCGTTGGATTCCCACTCAGATGGTACTCTGGAGTATCGTTGCATCCTGTCAAGCTTTTCTCAAAAATAAACACGCATACTTTGCAACAAGGGCCTTACTAGGTCTTCTAGAAGGTGGTTTGTGAGTATAATCCCCTTTCAGTGAGCATATGCTAGGATATCTCTAACCACATCTTCTAGTATCCCCGACACCGTTCTCTTCTTATCCTTCTTTTTACAAATCCAACGAACTACCGAAGAGACTCACTTGCTTTTGGGTCACATATACATTCACTGGGATTATCGGAGCGTTTTTAGCATTCGGACTCCTCCATATCAAAAGCTCAGATGGCTTGGGTCCATGGCGATATGTCTTCGCCTACGAAGGTCTGATCACTGGGGTAATCGGAATTATCGCTGCTTTTTGGATGCCAGCCTCCCCAGTTCAAACAAAGGGCGGACTGCGGGGCAAGAATGGCTGGTTCAATGAGCACGAGGAGAAGATTATAGTGAATCGAGTTCTTCGAGATGACCCCAGCAAGGGCAGCATGCATAACCGCCAAGCCGTTACACCTAAGCTGCTGTGGCAGTCATTACAGGACTATCATATGTGGCCAATTTACGGCATAGGGTTGATTTGGCAGATTCCCTTCACACCAGCCACCAATTATCTGACTCTGCAACTAAAAGAAGTCGGCTTTGCCACGTTCCATGTCAATTTGTTGACGATTCCAGCTGCTATTGTTTCCATCATCACTATTACTGGAACCACTTGGCTTGCAGAACGCACAAACCAGCGCTTTTTCCTAGGTGCTGCAGTTGAAGTGTGGAGCTTGATTCTGCTAATTGTGCTCGAGGTGCTTCCCGAGAAAAGCATGCCATGGCCTAGATGGGCTATATTGACTCTTCTTGTTGGGAATCCCAGTATTCACCCTGTTCTTGTGGCCTTGACTTCACGGAATGCGGGATCTGTGCGGACACGCACAGTTGCCTCGGCACTATACAACATGTCGGTCCAATTAGGTGCTATCTCTGGTGCCAACGTAAGCCCAATAGAATTTCCGTTTGAATGCTATTACATTAATAGAGTACTCCGAGTCGGTGCTGACAAAATTACTATATCAGGTCTATCAAGCCTCCGATGCGCCCTATTATAAGCACGGAAACAAAGTTTTGATTGCACTTGCAGTAGTCAGCTTCTTCCTTTTCATTTCAGCCAAGTTTTACTACGATTGGTTGAACAGGCATGTGATTCTGACCTAAACAATAACATCTTGAATCTAGAAATGCTGACTCAGCCCAAGACGCAACGCTGCCAAATGGGAAGCAATGACTAGCGAGCAGCGGGAGCAATACCTCAGCGAGAACCCAATATTGACTAATAAAAGGTTTGTCACAATAGTTCAAAGATTTATACCAATTTCGCTCGAGCGATTAAAGACTAATCATTTACACAGGCTGGACTTTCGATTCTCTCGGTGAGGTTATGTCTTCTCAGATGTCATTCCAATAGTACCTAGGTACCGGGCAGGTAAATGCTACTTCATAGTGAGAAAGAATATCTCGACTTAAAATTACGAGCGGGTCCAGAAGTCCATCACCACGTTGCAGAATTTGCAGCAGTCTATACTAGAGCATTATGGCCTCTTTGTTAGTAACTCGGCTAGTCTATTTTTCTCGTGGTAGCCAAATGAACCATATATTGACCTAGCGTACTCCGGAATTGTCTTCTCCATAGTCTTCTTCACCACACGCACGCCATCATAAGATCGACGCAACATTTGAAGTCGTTCGCTTTTCGCCGCAAAAGCTTCCATCCTGGGTCCATTGAAATCTTGTTCTCAAAAAGGGCGCAATATTCAGAGATTTTTGGAATTGGCAGAATCACTAGATCAGTGAGGAGGGGGTTCTGGGGTTGATGGGTAGTTCTGATGTCGCCTGCGCCGTCAATCGTTCCGGACCATCGCTTTCCTTGATCAACTTGTTTCGTCTTGATTAAAAGATAAGACCTGCTCATTGGACAGCTCGTATTTGTCAGGGAGAAGGCTGATAAGCTTGTTTTTGGCCCATTTGAGACTGGGGAGCGAGTTGGCAATGGTGGAAGTCTATAATAATAGATGATGCAGTGCGTCCAACCTTGGAATGCGAGTCCCCAAGAGCTAATAATACCCTGGATCATGTCCACCGTATAATATGTGATATCGCTCCGCACACTTTGAATAGACTGAGCATGCTGCGAATAGTTCGATCCCTGTGAACTGGTATCGCCGAAATGTCCCTAAGTTCTACAAAAGACTGACCCGTCGTCGATAACCTCGGAGGCCAGCTACTCAGCGGTCTCCAAACTCGGATTCCAGGTCCGTGTCAACTGAAGGGCATAAGTAAGTGCTATAGATGAGGTAGGACCTGAATGTGAGGTGAAATGTGCTCTGTGTGTTGTGTTGGAGTGAGAGAGAAGGTAATATCTGACGGAGGATCAGGTGCCAGTGGCCTACACCCGCCTGGTCTCCAGGGCTCAACAAGAGAAGTATGTGCAGTTATATGAACCCACATGCATATATATTATCAGGCTGCTACTTGAATTCTAGGGGAATCTTGGAAGTTGAGATGGATTGGAGGCACTCCAGTACAATTTTAATTGATCAACATTAGCTTCTAGATTAAATTCTGCGCAGATTAGCTCCTCAGCTCTAGGCAGACATCAACATTGAAGTTTGACAATTCTCCCAAGACTTAGATATGGGCTGCGCCTTCTGAATTGATCTTTCTAAATGTCAGATACCAGTCGATAAAAACCTTCGATGTGGATAACTTCCAAGGTCAAAATAAATACCAAAAGTTTATAATTTACTGACGAGTCGTTTTTGCCGCCTATCCAGCTATAGGTCAGTTACGTGATGCAAGAAGTATTACAATACTACGAGACTGCAAAGCCATTACTTTACAAAAAAGACAAAGACTAACTAAGGATAAGTGAAAAGAAAGAGAAATAAGAAATAAGAAATGAGAAATGGGACGCCGAGACACCTGCTCAATTCAATCCGAAATAAGAAGTAGGAGAGAGAAGTAAGAGTGAGGGATAAAAGAAAAGTAAAAACAAAAGCAGTGTCTGGATCACGAATCTGGAGTCGGAAGGCCTGTGACAAGTAAATTAGTAAAGAGAATAATGAGGTTGAAGAGACGTGAATGTAAGGTGAATCAGAGGTTAGACTAACCGACAAAGAAACCACAGCTCACTGTCGCTGGCTCCGGTTCAAATTATGTTTTTGACGGCATGACAAACAATCCACGGTTTTAGAATGGGGAAGATATGTCGGCAATGTCCACACACTTCGTGACCAAACGGCGCCTGGTAACTAGGTGAAACACGGGGAACATTGCGAGGACGGCCAGTAGGAGTGAGACCAGTGGGAGTAGAACCAGTACGAGTAGAACCAGTACGAGTAGAACCAGTGCGAGTAGAACCAGTACGAGTAGGACCAGTAGGGGCGGAACCAGCCTGGGCGGACTGGCCAGCAGGGGCAGTATTGGCAGCCGGGGTAGCGGAAGCAGCTGGAGCACCAGGGCCAGAGGGGCCAGTGGGGCCAGAAGAGGACTTCGGACGGGAGGACTTAGGAAGGGGGGCCATGATTGTGCGTCGAAAGAGATTGGAGTGCGTGGAACTTAAAGGCGGTGAGAATATAAAGGAGGGAGAGTTCGGCTGGCAGAAAAATTTATATTTATAGTAGTCTAAAACACCGCACTCCTCTCATTCACACTTATACGGTTATACCTTGATTTCCTCAATCTTACACTTTATTAACCTTTGCTCTTCATTGAATAATAATATTCTAGCTAATTTGATGATTATAAAAGACTGAAGGTCTTGAAAAATTGTCTAATAAAGGAAAGTGGAGTGCTCAAGACTGAGATGGAGCCTCATCAGAGATATAAGAAGTCTCATATGGTCGTTCGGCCTGTGGAGTAATTCGTGCCAAATGACGGCGTTCACCGGTTGTCCAGTCAATAATTGCGGAGTGGGCAGTCACCCGGTTCTGCCGGCCTGTTAATATACAAAGATGTGAAAGGACTCTAGATGGGGTATTCAAGAACTTACATCCCAGACCACGACAGTCCCAGGGGCCCATCGAATCCGTGCTTGGTAGTCAATACCACGACCAACATGTGCTAACAAAAAGCCAAGAAGAGCGTCACTCTCTTCTTTTTTGAGCCCCACAATGCTTCGAGTGACTTGAAATCCATTAGTTGCACAGCAAGAAACTATTGATGAAGCGGAGCTACTTACAGCCAGCGTTGACAAAAAGTGCCTTTTCCCCAGTGACAGGATGTGTTCGAACAAGAGGGTGCTCATTCTTGACTGGCTCACGTCTCACAACTCCATCTCGATTTCGACTATTTTCAGCCTGCTCAAATCCAGAATGGATAGCCTTGAGACCATGCAAGCGCTGTTTTAGAGCTGGTGAGAGTCGATTATACGCCTCTACCTGGTCCACGAACGCTGTATCTCCCCCAATTTCGGGGCCATCCAGAAGATATAGGAAGGTGGTTCCTGGTGGTTGCTGCTCATAAGTAACATCTGAGTGCCAGGATACGCTGCTGTTTTTCTCAGCAAGGTATTGGTCAAATTCCCATGCGTTGTTGTTTCGATGAACAAGGTGGATTTCCGGATATCCTTCTGGAGACCCACTGGTGGGATGGATGTGGTGCCGACCAAAGTAACCACCAAAATCAAGGGCCTCTTGAATAGAGAGATCGGCAAAGTCTTGATCTCGGAATGCAACGACCTTGCGCTGAGCAACAAGGAGGGCGAGTTGATCCTTCCCAGCGGAGTTGAGCTTGCTCAACTGAATACCAGTCACCTCGGAACCAATCGTTGGTGTAAGTTTCTGGATCTTGGATCCTTCAGGCAAGAGATCTTTGAAGGATGAGTCGGCATCCTTGCCGTGATCAACATGGTTAAACGGTTCAAGTGGTGGGTACTTTTCCTCATAGTCCCATGTAGGGAGATAGTTGGGGTACTGCAGATCCTCCAAGTCAGCTGAGGGAAAGTAACTCATACAGGCTTCATCAAGTTACACTAGCTGTGGTCTTCCCACCTTCTTCATCGATAATTCTTCTCACTCGAGGCTTCTCTTGGATGGATCGAGGATCGGCCTTCACAGGGACGATGATTTGACTAGCAGGGGTTTCGGTAATAGACGGCGCCATTTCTAAATATTTGCTTGTGATTATAGAGGAATACTATAACAAGATGATTCGGAGATGAATCTGAGACCAATAATGGGTCTATATACCCCGTTTTCGATCCAAACGTCATTTTATCAAGGGATCACGTAGAGCTCATCTGGCTGCGATACGACAGCAACAGCCCATGAGAATGAGAACTCGTGATTTGAAACACCAATTACAAGTTCTGAAATACTAGTCATATCTTAAAATAATTGCAACTTGGAGTGGGGTACAGGAATCTTGACACTTCAAAGGGTGTTCATTCGACCTCGGGTTACCACTCAAGAGTGTTTACCATTAATGTTAATATGACGTGATACGATGCCAACAAAAAACCTCCGAGTTGATTGATAATATCCGAAGGGAATTTGATGAACCTTTGACCAGCATCTGCTATTAATATTCAAGAGCACCTAGTTCATTGGAGTTTTTACCGTGGGGTTCTCCCTCTACATACTACTCAAGGCAACGATAGCCACAGGCCAATATTAGTATGCACCGGCAACTTCAAGTTTCGATATCAAACTCTAGCCTCATATATCTGCGCACGTGAGGAAACCCAATCATATTCAAATTTTACAAGAGTTTCTGATCTTTCGATGTTCAAGTTTCCATTGATAACTAGTTAGTTAGTTAGTTACTATTAGTGAATATGTAATCAGTGATCTGCTGTTTTCATTGGCTTTCATCGGGAATTTAATTTCGCTGCCCAAGCATTTGTTGTACTCAGAGCACCTGGGACCATAACCACAACAACAACCAATCTTTGGAGATAATCGCTGACAGCATCCTCCAGATGCTGTATGTGATTGAATTCTCTTTAAAGAAGCATCTATTTTTATTTAATGAATTACTAGTACCTAGTGATAACGAATTATTTGAGATAAAAACCCCGGAACATTTTTAGAGGCTCTGAAATTAAAATTTATTTTAACTGGTGCCCAGGTGGCTAACAACTATCATCTACTAACTTTTGGACTTTCGTAACAATTTGAACTTGAATGGATGGCCTTCAGGTGACTCATTACAGAACCGCCCACATTCTCATCACACTGCATGTGGAAATTTGAAGCGCTTTGTCATGTCTCCGGATCCCGGTGAAAATAAGCTACGGCAACAAGCCCTTTTTCTTTGATCTAATTTGATTGTGGAGCGACAAATGTTACATTCTGAACTCAGGCTGGAAGCAATAACCAAGGGAAAGAGTGGGTACCCGAGGCTACTATGTAGCAGGGATTTGGAATACATCCATGCCCGGACTACTTCAAGTTCAAAGAAAACAAAGCATTGGTACCGTGACAGAATATTAGCGCAATATCTCCCAAGACTCCAATGTGCTGAAAGGATAATCCATGGGTTAATTCTACCAGAACGTAGATCCTACTTAGATTGGCTTTGCTAAACGGACTCAGTAAGCAGTACAGAGTGCCCATGGACGTCTTGTTGCCCAGGTACTTAAAAGCAATATTGTAAGCTACTACTACAGGTATTATTTGTGAAAACACCGGAATCAATGAGAAATATTGAGATGAGTGTTAGGGACCCACTATGGAGGGATCTCCCAAGAGTAGTGACAGACTACAATGTCTAATGCAGTAGGCGGTCGCAATGGGATGTATCAACAGGTCTGATTCTCTCCTTCTGATAATTACGCACATAAACTCTGCCTGGAGATCACCTGATCGGTCATGTGATCCATTCTGGTTCGACCAATCAGAGCTCTCCATTTAATACTGGTTTGAACTAACCCAATTGGGCTAGTTCTGCACCCGTGTTCTGTCAAGTAGTTATGACCTAATCAGTTGGCGGTCGGGCCAAGGGTGGACGACCAGCCATGATGGACGCACGACCCAGAGGGGCGCAGGGCTAAGTTGGTGCCCCAGGCACCAACGGGAGCCAGATATATTACTTGCCGTCTGAAAGTATACTGATTATTACGATACTAAGGCCAGACATTGACACGTGAGGGCACGTGACCGCGGATCTATTCCAACAATAGATCCCATCGGATGGATAGGACGGACCTGTCCTGACGGCAGGACAGGATGATAGGAAGGACTGGATATATAAAGGACACTCTCTACCGCATTATGTATTTAGTTCTTCGCGATTATTTCACTCATTGTTATTGGACCCTACGAATTAGATTACCTTTAATCAACCCTTGAAGACAAACCCAACTAGTTAGGAGAGCTTACTCGTGATAGCCTCACTCGTGACTGACCTGCTAGCGAACCCCTGACTCAAGCATTACCGTGCAAGGATCCCTAAAGACTCTAGCCCGTGTAAGGCCCGGACGGCGACGGTACAGTTGCAGGATAACGGCTTGCGGTAAGTATTGACACTACGTTTGTATACTCACGTTGCTTGACAGCCAGTTCGTAACAATGAGAAAAAAGAAAAAAGATAGTAATCAAACTTTGGAAAAAGTATACTGGAACTCATACACTCAGGTTCATGAGAATGATCTGAAAAGACTATGCCGACAGTAGACGACCTAAAACGGACAGCAACGGCATTCAACTCTACAAGGCGAATTTACCAGGCTGAAGCTGGGAAAACTAGCTTAGGGGAAGGAAAAGTTTTCCCTGATTCCATTCTTTTTTTTCCTTTTTGATTGTGATAGTTGACTCATTGTGGGGAACGCGCAGGGACTGGGCGAAATCAAAATAGTTTGCCTTGTAGGTTGATGACCAGGGTAAAGCATCAATCTGGCAAAAAAATGAAGAGAATAGGCTCAGGGGCTCAAAAATTGTGTTCCTGCAGGAAAGCAATCTTGGACAAACATTTGAAATGATCCGAGCACAACCTTGGAAAAACTTGGAAGAAAAATCCCTGTCATTGAATAGCTTGGTACTCCCGAGGCCCGTCGTTGTATAGTACAAATCTGCACATGACTCTAAATCACGGTGGCGCGCACACATACCAGGCAATTATATTATTCAAGAAAATCTGATCCAAAAATCACTCATAAGAAGCTCCAGCCTCCTATGTTAAAGATCGAATATCACGCTATTACGTGGACAATGTGTTATTTGCTAGTGGTGCGTTAGAAAAGAAGACCGGGATCTATTGGACTCATGCCCTTCCGGGCCCAGATACAAAGACGTCGGCAATTGAAATGTCTAATCTTAAAGTGTTGATCCTTTTGGTGGAAATGAGATAAAAAAGCAAGGCAATATTGACATAGACCTGGTCATCATGAGAATCCAGGTACCGATCGGCAAGCCCAAGCCCAGGAAGCATGTAAATAAACAAGGATGTTGCCTTTTCCTTGGTGCGGAGTACTCCATGAGCTCTGTCCGTCAAGCAATATAGGCACCTCGGCAATGCTGCAAAAAGGCCTAGAAATTAGAGCTAAGGCATGTCGGAGATGGAGGACCTAAGTACGCCGATAAATTCGAATGGAGAAGAGTCGGAGTACAAAAAGGCTGAGACAAAACCTGCTTGGTGGCTCCAGTAGCGAAAAAAAACAGTGGATATAGAGTGCAAGGACCAAGTGAATGACGCGGCCCGCTCTTGGAGCCAAAGCGGAGCTCTGCATTGTGGGAACAAGGCGAAGTGGGCAACATTTCGAACCCACCGATAATATTCAGGGATTTAGGTGTGAAAACCCTTCAATTGGATCTAGTCCACCCCTTCAGCAGATCTTTATCAAAATATGACCCATACTGGAACTGAAAATCCAAGTTGTTGACCTGTGTGTTCCTGAATTCTCTTGTCGCCCAACCAGGTCCTTCGATGTCTTGCCCCATGCGGACCATCAATGATGCAGCGAGTCTTGGCAGTGGCGTTCTTTTTAGCTCGAAAAGAGTTGAAAGAGGCATCTGGTGAGATCCATAATTGACAACAGTCAACTGTGGGCTTATCACATATGCATAGTCTGTACTCCATACTTTGTAGTGAGAGGTGTATAGTGAGGAGGCTGGGGGGTTTCCCACTTCGGGTGGCTGGTATTGGGCACAAATGAAGAACGTCAAACGGATGAGATATTCTGAACGAAACAATTTTTTTTAATTGTAGACTTGGAAGAGTAGGAGTAATGGTACAAACTAGTAGATAAGTAGCAATGTAAATTCCAGGAACAAAAAACTCAAAGAACTTATCGTAGTTTGACAGGGATCTTCCTCGTCAACACGCGTCCTGAGCCACGTTGGGTAGCCCCCGCTCTTCAATGTACATCCTATAGAATATACGGCTAGTGTCCGAGTAGTTTGTGAGCAATCAGCATAGTTGAACCAATTGAAAATGGTCTAGAATTGATCGATCCTTAACGGTGACCCGCAAATCATCAGAGATCATTGACCCCCCCTCGGGCTTTGGTTGTTATTCGTGGACGATTCGTAAGTCTCTTCCAGGATTCACCCGAGTTGCCTTGTACTTCTTGATCTACTTAAACCCCCTGGGGTGCTACAATAATTTTCATTCCGTTCGGGTCACTGTCGTTCATCGTGCAACTTATCTACACTCGCTTGTGGGTCTGACTTCAATCGTTATTACAATTTATCATCATGAAGAGTTTTATTGCTATTGCGGTCTTCGCCGCCGGTGCCAATGCCCTCGTTGGCCGCAGCAACAGCTGCTGCTTTGAGCTCACTGCCTCTGGTGGTGCCTCTGGCACTCTTGGTCAACTGACTGATGGCCAAGTCCGTGTCGGTGACACCACTCTCTCAGCTTCTGAGTTCTGTCTGTCTGGCTCCATCATCACTGACAGTGAGGGTCGTGGATGTGTTATCACTTGTAAGTATACCTCTACAAACGATAGTCAATGTCTGATACTAATCAAAAATTTAGCTGAGACTACCCAATTCCAGTGTGACCAGGGTTCTTCCGGTACCTCTGGTTTCTCCCTGACCTCATCTGGTCTGCTTGAGTTTGATGGCAGCTCCTCGTTCATCGCCTGCCAGACTGGCGAAGACAATGGAAGCAACATCTACACCACCGACAGTGACGCGGTGACTAACTGTGTCAGCGTTGAGTTGACCAGTGACTCCACCTGCGCTGTTTCCTCATCTTCCTCAGTTATTCCTGCAGCCACTCCTGCCCCAAGCTCTTCTACCCCTGTTCCTGTTGCCGTGAGCCCTGTTGCTTCCTCTGCCCCCGCTCCTGAAGAGACCACAACCACCTCTCGTCCTCTTATCCCTACCAGCACGGCTCAGTCTGTTACTCCTGTGCCTGTCTCCTCAACCCCAGTGGCCAAGGTCACTACCGCCTCCTCCACTTCCACTTCCACTTCCACCTCCACCACCAGCACTGCCAGCACTGTTGGCAGCTCTACTGGCGCCGCCGCCTCTGGTGCTGCATCCACCGCCCCTGCTGCAAGCAGTGCCACTGCCCCTGCCCTGGGTTTCGCTCACTGGGTTGCGGCATTGACTGTCATGGTTGGCATGATGGTTATCTCCTAAACTTACCAATAATGTTTGATATGCCGCCTTGATGGATTATGAAAACGAGTGATCAATCGAGGGAATGTTTTTGCTACGAGTCTGGACTCTAAATGTCCTGGATTTTGATCTTTTTTATGCGAGTAGGATTCAGTAATAATTTTGAAAGCCGTATGTATATTCCTTTACATATAATACACATAATATGGCACTTTTTGCCTTTTCGACTATATGGTAACGGTCAACAGTAATGAAATGATGAATATTCACATCGGTCATATTCGTAGCCCACTGAGATATCAAGCCTTGGAAGTTGAAAGTATGCCAAATCTACTATCTTCCGCGATTTAGTGTTTCTTTGCCAGTGGCTCTATATTAGGACCTTAGGCCCCCAAGCTACAGTAGAAAGTATTTTGTCGTGGTGCATAGCGTCCTGCAGCTCGGGTTATCTTCTCTCTGGGCTCTCAAAATGAGTGGATCCTCCGGTTATAACTAAAGAATGTGACCTCGGAAAAACTTGAACCTATCACGTTGTCTCGGATCATGAGAGTAGGCTTCATATCTTCGAGTATTCGGCAGTTTTTAGTGCAAGATTCTAGAGGGATGTCGACTATCATTGGAGCTATCACATACTAGCACATTTCTTACATACGGAGATGACGAATACACCTTAATGAGATTACGTTGACATGCAAAAAGCTTCTTCAAATGTTTCGATAAATATTATTCAGATTAATTCATTATAATTATTAACCTTGCCACCCTCCCTCAAATCCCATGCCAGCGCCACTGCTCTTTTGCCGCGATTGCGAGTATTTTCTAGTAGCAGCAAACTCAGCTCGATCCTTCTCCAATTGCTTTGCTCGGCTTTTCTCCCGTGTTTCCTCGTCCTCTCGGCGACCGAGGCTCCAGCGTGGCTGCTTAGTTTGGTGATCGTTTGCTACATATCAGTTAACATATGGTAAGATGTCAAATGGCATGATAAACTGTACCTGATGGTGCCTCAATGGGTGCTTCGACTCCTGGAGCTTCTGAACAAGGGGCGTTGGGGTCCGAAGTGGTAGACTTGGTTGAGTCAACTGACCCATGCCTTTGATTGCCAGTGTGATGCTTGAAGAAATCGGAGGTCCTGCGCAAGAAGGTAGACATTTTGCGCGTAAGAGAATTTCCTCGGATTGAAAGTTGTTGAAGATTTGATTTGAATAGTATTAAAACTATGATTGAGGAACTTAGTATGAAGAATATGAGCTTTTCTCTGTCTTATAAGGCTCTCCATAATCCTTGTCATATGATTTCAAGTTCTGCCATATCACCTGAACCAGAATTATCTTAGAAAAACTTGAATCGCCACATATTTTAAACTCATGATAAGCTCTTCGTGTTCAATGGAACCGAGGCATCATATGTGGGTCTATCAAAGAACTCATGATCTGGAACGGGCATGATCATCCCATTCAATCTTGGGTGATCTACCCGCTCTCATGTTCAATATTCTCCGTTGTACTCCGTAAACCGATCACAATAAAACTGGGTCAAATTGATTCGAAATTTCATGAGAATTGTGTCTTATTTCCGGCCATTCAATATCCTGATATCTTCAATTCCAGTCCAGTACCGTGGGTATTCACCAGTATCCAGTTATCTCGACCATCTCGCCTGCCACCCAAAGCATCATTATGTTGCAAGAATATTCAACTTCATGGTACCATCAACGAGACTTGTGGTTTGCGCCTTGCTTTCTTCATCCTGAAGCTCGTGCATGATTTCGTTCGCCATTTCTTGTAGCTTGTCGGGGGTGATATCGTTTGGACCTTGATTGTGCTTCAAAGTGTTCAAAATGCGAATTTTCTGATTAGAATGTTGAGCGCTCAAGCCATCGAGAATCTTCAAAAGGATAAAGTAAGGTGACTGGTGAATCTTCTGCTCATTCAACGCCGCTGCCCTCGTAAGTACTTCCCGCACAAAGGTCGATGTTTCGGGATAGTCGCTGGCGGTCATCTCTGTGTATGATTTCCACATTTCCAGGTCGGCATGCGGGTTGTATCCTGTCATTTGGTTTCGAATGTTGTCCCAGATCTCATGAGCGAGTGTAGGGGTGCCATCTCTTTCGTCAAGTTGAGAGTTGACTTTATTGCTCACATTGTCGCGTAGCCAACCACCAACACTCTTGGATACTAGAGACCAAGCCTTTGTTCCATTGTTTTCGTGCTCTGAGCGGGGGATTTTGGAGTCCAAAAGGGTTAGCAGCATGTACTTGCCCAGAATTGACCTCACTTCTCTCTCCCAGTCATCATAGCCCTCTGACTTCTCTAGCTGATGTGTAAGATTCGGAAGGATGGTTTTTGGAACAGGGCGACCCGTCAAAAGTTCTTTTGCTCGGCATTTCTGTTTAATGTAGTAGCGCCGATTAGTGGCTTTCTCACGGGTTGGGCTTGGAGTAGTCATTTCGTCCACCGGATGCTCAAGGGATGCGATTCAAAAGTTTGTTGAGCTCAAACAATGTCTCATTAGTTCTGGAAAGAAAAGAGACGGATCAAAGTTTGATGAAGGGATACCAAGAAACCCATGAAGGAGCATGAGAGGGAAGGAGAAGGGAAGGAGGGACAACCAGGTGAGAGATATCACTACGAGCGACCAGGTCACATCTACAACCGCATGGCCACATGGCCATCTGGTCCCAATGTTGAACAGTTATTCAGTTTATTGTTTCATTCACCGACGAGTGTAACAAAAAATCACCCAGATGATAACCTCCTCTCCGAACCAAGCCATTATGGTGATGCTTCAGATTTCATCATATTTCATGCCTTCTTGTCCTCAAGTGACGGCACATTTCACTGCGACTCAATGCCGGAAGCTACTTCATGGGAACCGTCTTCTCTATTAAAACAAGGTCAGCTTTTCACTAGTTCATCTTGCTCATCATTAGGTCGATTCTGCATCACGGAAAAAGGAGGTCAGACAAAGTCTACTGTGGTAACCTCACTTAAAGGTGGAGGGGCCAGTGGATTGAATGACAGCGACTTTGGAATGAACCCCCACTATCGATTTTCTAGCATTCGATGAACAATTTCTAAATTTCTAAACACCACACTGAGTGTCGATCAATTCTTGGCTGATTTCCATCTTATCGCTGGCCCATCTTGAGTCATGTTCGGCATACAAGGCACGGGGAGTGGGTCTTGAGATGAATGGCTTCATCAGAAAATCAATAGACCCGCAAGGCCCAACATATCATGATGTTGATACATTCTAAAAATCCTTAGAAACTTACATTATTCCAGTTCTTAATCAGAATGTTCCAGAATATGCGAGACCCTTTCATGTTCAGAAAGAATTGCCTCCAAACTTGAACGCGGAACCTCCATTCCGCTATAACTCGATGATTCTTGGTTCCGATAAAGGTTAACTTGAGGTCAATCAACGGATCCGAACCAATAAATTGGTATTGCGGGGTAATATCTCGTGCAAGACTCGACTAATGATGAGTCTATTGGAACTGCCGGGCGATCATGACCAAATGGAAGATGGACTCGGATGCTAACTTGCTTTTCGGCTTCAATATCGGCATCCAAAGGCTTCTCGAAGCCATGGACTTGAATAAACCATAAAGTTTGAAAAATGATCGCCTCTACACCAAGAAAGAAGTCCACATGTGCACCTCGTGCATCTCGTTCGCCAAAACTGGTATGGTCTACTCTTTATCTTCAGACTTGAGCACACGTGCATCTACCACCTTCGAACGAAAAAGGGGTAAGAAAATCCATCATTGGGTTTCTCTATCGGTTTTCTTATTGAGTCCTAAGAACACACTATATCTCTGGAATTTGGAATGAACCAAGGTTCTACTCCTCCCTGCGGCCAATGGTTTGCTTCAGACCAACATCAAGGTGGATCTGAACTGTGTTCATCTTGGAATGCGGGGATTTTCGTCTTGATGCCGAGATAACTTCCGATCGGATGCGTTCATAGTACGTAGTACTAGAGATGTAGATCTGGGGTGGTTCCGCTTTTCAAAGGGGCAGCTATTGTTATAAAGATCAAGCCTAGGACTATCATTTGAGGTGGATTGAGGATCAATCTCTCCACTCATTCATTACATCTTCTCACTATACCCTTTTACCTATTTCAGACTCTCTTTCTAATTCATACTTACCACTTATCATCATGGGTAACAAAATAATGGATGATGAGGCTGGACGTGGTAGCTCCAAGAGCTCCCACAGTGATGCTGCAGGCATGCCTGCTCTAGTTCAGGTCCCTACATCGGTGACTCTGACAGCCGAACAATTCGAGAAGCTTTATCTCAGTCCCATGATGCACCGTCAACCAACCCTCGCCAAGAACTTGGGTAATCCCACTCCGCTGTATGTGAAATACCCCCGGTCGGATCGTTGATCAAGCGCTCTATATGCTAATTTTGTTTTGTGATAACAGGGGAATTGGTGCTTTCGTCCTCACGGCTACGCCGCTGTCATGTTGCTTGATGGCATGGAGAGGTGCAGGTGGAGCTGGCGCTGCTTTCTCGTAAGATGCATTATGTTTTGGATGACACCAATTCATCTGGCTGACCTTGATAGGGGTGTTTTGATCTTGCTCGGTGGACTTTTGTTGGTTCTGTCGAGTATTCTTGAATTTATCCTTGGAAATACATTTTCATCTGTTGTCTTTGGTCACTTGGGTTAGTCAAAACATTCATTTTCACGCTTTGATGACCGGCAGAATAATCTCTGACTTTCTAATAGGTGGTTTTTGCTTGGCTTTCGGTGCGAGCATGACTCCTGCTTTCAACTCCGGAGGTACGTCAAGAATTTCTTCAAATCCCTGTTTGGCCCTAGCTCTCAATACCTTCAATACTAATACCATTAAAAAGCCCCTTATTCCTCCACTGGAACGAATAATCTGGCAGGCCTTCACAGTCCTGGCTTTGCAAACACATTCGGTATGTCTTCTTCCATGTAACAGTCTTAGCATCGGAACTGATCTGACATTGTCTAAAGCTTTTTTCTTTGTGTTCATGGCGCTATTGATGCTTATCTATACGGTCTGCGCAACTCGCACAAACTTGGTCTATGCTGTGATCTTCATGTGTCTTATCTTGAACTTCTCTCTGCTGGCCGCTGCCTATTGGGAGCTGGGTATGGAAAATGAGGTGATGGGCAACCGTCTAACTAAGGTAAGATTCCAATCATTATCATTTTTACCATTTGTCTCCGCTAAAACTAACTTGCTTCAGGCTGCTGGCGCTACCTTGTTTGCGGCTGCTATGCTAGGATGGTATTTGTTGACCGCACAGTTGTTGGACTCGGTCGGCTTTCCATTATCACTGCCAATTGGTGACTTGAGCTCACTCTGGAACCGTGCAAGCAGACAGTAAGTTTGATTCTGCCTCGTAGCTACATTTTCATCTGACAGTATGATAGGACCTACCCAGATCCCGAGGCTGCTCCAGGAAACAGCAAGTTTTGATCTTTATGCAAGTTACGTTCTTTCTATAAATCATGGCTGTGTCAGTTACGCGACAACGTTTATGGAATGCCTTACAGCTGAGATTCACCAAGAGTGGATCATGATATAGGCACGTCGCGCTATTTTACTGCACGAAGATGATCTTCTCTTCTTTTCTCGTCCCTTCTTTTATTCCCCCTTTTTGTCTCAACTTCCTTGTACTTCTTTGCCTATCCGGGAAATAAGTTCCTGGAGCTTTACCTCTTCGATTCGAATCACTACTGTTAAACCGCCATGTGAAGACGACTTGGGCGTGCTCTATTTTTTTATATTTTATTTGAACAGATGGATTTGTATGAAATAAAATTGATGAAGAATGTCAGGGATATCTGATCTTTTTAATACTATGTGCACGTAAACATTAATTGTCGAGTCCATTAACCAAGATCTGTCACACTGGTATCAGGGTTGACCAATATTCTAAGCTTAGCATCATCCATGGGAATATTGAACGTTTGAATAATTGAATTTCTTCCCTATTTCCAGATGTACAGGGCTAAATGCTCCATCTTTTACTTTGATGACTTGAGTTTATGAAGCAACCTTTCCTTTCCATCATGTGGCTTGAGCATGTACAAATTGGCAAACTGGAGCGATAGCGCCCGGCTGAGCTAGCCCATTAAGCCCATCTCCACTATACGGACCAGGCCGAGTTCCATGTGGCCAGGTCTGTGATGTGGGGCTTAGCACATTCGTCAACTCGGCCCGTCATGCAGAAAATACTGACATGTATGGAGTAAGTGATTTGGAATTTGAGTATGGGGTTATGGCAGCCGAGCTATAGCTTATTTTACATCCACATGCTCATATGGCGTCGGCCCCGAGCACTATTTTAGGTGACAGTCTGCAGGTACCTCCAAGCCATCGCTTCAAGGCTGAATGATTTTAATAATCCCGAGTTTTTCTTTTGTCACAAACCTTGGAATAGACACAGCGACCAGATCAATCTTGTGGGTCTATCCCTAGCTTCCCACATGTGCAGCAGTCCACTGCAGGTCCGAGTCCTAAGGAACAACGGATATACCCGCATTAATATATCGTGAATAAGAGACTTGGTTTTCATTCAGATTCAAATTATTTGAAGGCTTTTTTGAACTGCTTCAGGACCTCGGGATACAACATGTTTCCGAGAGAAATTGGAATCAAGCAGTATCAATCAACATCAATAGCATTTTAAAGCCACCTCTCCATAAAGCAGCATGAAGCCTTGAACTATTTCAATCTGGACTGGAAATAATCAATGGCTTGTGGAGTCGACGTACTCGTATGTACTGTCAGCATCTTAGCAACTTGAAAGTAGCAACTGGCTTTTCGGTGCGAGCTTCCCCCGGCCACTCCGTACGCCATCTCATTGCTTGTGTCAGGACAAGCTGAACCCCGGTTATCCTCCCCTTCTGCAGTTCAAGCCACAGCCTTAAGAGGAGACACCTCATAAAAAACCCGAGCAGAATTAGTAGTGATTGGACAATTCAATTTCGCACTTTAGTGGGGTTGATGAATCTCACTGTTTCAGCCGCGCATGTATCGTTTTCAGCTTCTTTTTGTCAGCCTTTCTGGTCTCTCCTGGTTTGATTTCGAGAGAAAATTTCCCGATGTACTCAGGTCATGAAGAATGAGGACACTGTTAGCGATGTATCTCAATGGGAAGAGGAAGAATGACGGTCGCTTAAAACTTATATAAAGACCTTCAATTCCACTCGGTTCAATCATACCAAACCCGACCATTCCTTCATTCCTTTCATACCAGCTTTTCCTGTCTTTGATTCAATTATCAAATTCATCTTGCCACAATGGTTATCGCACTTCCTGCCCCAGATTCCAGAATGGTTGCAGAAAAGCCTGTTCTGGTCAAGAATACCGATTACATTGATGGCAAGAGCAATGGCCACAGCAATGTGCACCACAACGGCGACAGCAATGGCCACGGTAGCCACGGGAATGGCACAATTGTTCTCCACGGAAAGCCTGCTCCTGTGATGCCCAGAATTCCTCCACCTCGTCTCGTCGAGCCGGACACTATCGCTGCTCTGGCTGATAGATTCAGCCTGGACAACTTCATCAACAAGCATGAGATCCACCAGCGAGAGCTTACCAAGATCGACGACATTGACACCACAATGATCCGAGATGATCGTTTCTTCTCCACTGTTACCAACATTGACTTCAAGCACGTTCACCACTGGGGCGTTGTCATGAAGGCTCGCGATAACATCTCATCCCACCTCCAAGTCGCCATCGCTGAAAGTGATAAACTTCTCGAAACCCTCACTAAGGTTATTGAGAAACTCGATATTGCCGAGCATGATCGGGCTGTGGCCTTTGCCAAGTTCGAGGCTGCTGAGAAGCGTCGCATGGAAATCGAGCATCAGCTGAAGATCGCCAACTGCGAGCTGGGCTCTGCCCGCTTCCGAATGATCGAGCTGGCTGAGGAGCGCGATGATATGATTGCCAAGGCTGAGGTTTCGCAAAAAGTCCTGCACATCAGGGACAAGCAGCTGTCAGCCCTCCAAACCGAAGTCTCCGACCTCCAGACTAAGGTGATTAATCTGACCGCCCTGCTTGCTGCTGCTGTCGAGGGTGCTCGGGATGCTCGACACGAACTCAACCTCGCCAAGATGGAGATTCAGGTGATGCGCCAGAAGATCGATGCTTTGAACAAGACAAACGAAGAGCTTTCTGAGACCAATGTTGATATCACCCGAAAATTGACTGAGCTCTCATTGAAATTCGCCGACGTTTCTCGGGACAACAAGGGCAAGACAAAACTTCTTGACGAGGCTGAAAAGGAGCTTGCCAGACTAGTCAGCATCAATGAAAAGCTCCAGGAGCGTCTCAAGGTTGCTGATGAGCACAGCACAACACTGAAAATTGCTCTGAAGGAAGCCTTGAAGGATCGCCAGCAGGCTGTTGACCGTGAGGAGGTCGCAATCAAAAACCTCAAGGATTCCGAACGCGCACGGGATGAGGCTATTCGGAACGAGTTGGAGTTCAGAACACGATACTCCTCCCTCCACATTATCTGGGAGGACACCGACTCCACTCTCAAGCAGGTCTCTCAAGAGAGAGATGACATGATGGAGGAGCGGGACCGTGCGCGTGAGCGAGCTTTCGCAGCTTGCCACCAGGTCCAGGAGAGCATCGAATGGGGACAGGCTCTCAACTTCATCAACCACCAGCTTCTTGGAGAGTGGGAGATTATGAAGACTGAGAAGATCACAGCTGTGAAGGCCAAGCTGGAGGCAGAGAAAGAAAAGTTCGTCGTTCGTGGTCAGAGAGATACCGACCGTGAGACAATTATTCAACTGCAGGCCCAGCTGGATGAGCTTCTCGATGGTCACAGAACCCTCGAAATGGACTGTGTCTTCCAGGCCAGCCAGTTCCAGCAAACCAGGGAGAAGCTTGAGGCTCAACTCAGCGACAAAGCTGACCAGCTTGATGGCGCTCAGATCTCCCAGCTCGGGTGGGACAAGGAGAAGGCCGAGTTGAACAAGACACTCCAAGGTGAAAAGGGTGAGCTCGCTAAGGCTACTGCCCGAATCGCCGAGCTTGAGGCTTCGCATACCAGCTCAGAGACTGTGCTGAAGCAGGATATCCAGAAACTCTCACAGACCATCAAGGAGCTCGAGGAAGGACGCGACAGCCACGCTCAGGAAATCCAAAAGCAATCCGAGGAGAAGTTGCGAATCGCCAAGCAAGAGATTGAAATATCCTTCAAGGAAACCGAGCTGGGTCTCAAGAAGAACTTGGAGCAATCGAAGCTCGGATTCGAGGCCGAGCAGATTTACATCCAGGGCATCTACTATGCTGGCCAGCGCCTGGAGGACAACAAGCAGTTGGATGATGTTAAGCGGAAGGAGATCTACACCCGAGTTGGGGGTGCATTTGGCTCTTCTGAGGCTTTCCATGTTGATCAGTTCTTCCCTGAGAACTTGAAGAAGAAGCAAGTTGTTGTTCTTTACCGTCTGAAGAAGGGTGATGAGTCCTCTCGCATTCTGACTGCTTCGGAGGGATCCGTGAAGTTCCCCAGCAAGAAGTAGTTCTATGTTGGACTTTGGCATTCGCTCTGAAATTTCCTTTTTGCTATTATATGTACTTTTTCCTCTTCTGACTTGTTTTCTTCTTTCTTTACTACTCTGTCCTGATTTTTTCATAAGACAATGAAATTTCATTTTTCTATTCTCAGTATTATTCTCCTATTCTCAGTATGAGACAAATACTTCAACCTCAAAATTTATTTTTATTGATTGACATATTGATATGAAAACTCTCATTGCCCAAAATTATTCTCTACTTAGAGTCAACAGACCCATAATGGACATCAAAGTTGTATTGAAACACACCCAGATTAAAATTACAGAATAATGGCGGCTCCCAATCCCATCGCAGCGAGAGACACTTCAATGACAGGAAGCAATCCATCCCACACAGACAACGCTGGAGCACGACGAGCAGCAGAGCTCGAGATTGCCACAGGTTGAGAAGTTGCTGAGGAGCTCACAGAGCCAGTCTCCGCTGCCTCTAAATCCTTCGCTTGATGAATCAGAGTCACTATGGGCATCCAGGTGACACCAACAAGGGTTGATACATCGTAGCCATCAAACGTCGTGGTTTCCGAGCTTGTCATAGGAAGTGTGTCCACGAGAGTCTGAATCAGCTGATGGTGAGTCGTTCCATTTACGATGACAGTCTTGGTCGCCCCTCCCATGTCGGTAACCGGTATGAGTTCATAACAACCCACTGACGGTTTATAATTAGGCAAGGTCGAATAGCATCCAGCCTTGAGATCCGCAGTCATAGAGCTGGATTCACAGTTAGTCAAATGAATGCACTGGTTAAAAGTTGCGCTAGCTTAGTACATACCTTGGGCAGCACATCACAGCAGTCTCGTTTGGATCCAGCAGGTCCATAAGTAATGTAGCTCGGTTTTCAAACTGAGGGAAGAAGGCGTCATATACCGGGGATGCAGTAATGCTTAGAATGCCCGAGGCACTAATACTCTTCTCATCACGAGCGGCAACACCCACAGTAGCCCATCCAGAAGGACAGTACAAGCCTGGAGAGTAATAGGCGGCTTCGAGGATCTGTGTTGGGTTTAGATCAGGGATTGATGCGGTTCTGGAGTAGTCGGATTGCGTTCCAGTTGGTGTACAATCCCAGTCTTCGACGCTAGAGCATTGCACGTCATACTGTATGTCAAATGGCCTGTCTTTCCAGGCTATCCCGATATTTGTTGTTCCAGTGACACAACTTGGAGGTGGTGTGAAAGTGGTTGTAAGTGGGCCCCAATTATTGAACGTATACCCATCTACGACAGTGGTGCTGGGCATGGTTGTAATTTCGTATCAATATGAACTTCAGATAGTGTAAACAAAAAATGGGATCAATAATGTGATAGGATCAGAAGAATCACAGAGAAAGATCATCTTAATTTCTGGGATATAATGGGATTAAATAGGATAAACAGTGTCTCAAAGTCCCACATGGTTCAAGCGCCTTGATATAAAGATTACAGAATAGCGCTGGAGTAGGGCCTTCGCGTATAATTTATGAGGCTCGTTTAATCAAAAAGACAACTCACTAACGAATCTCAGGGTCCAGACTAGGGCTCGTATTGGCTTAGTGAAAGACTTCCAAGGTTCCAGTGTTGTATGCCTAGTCGCCGAGATGATGGGGCTATCTTGGCATTAGTGGATTGAGCACAGCAAATTTTCGCATTTCAACGAGTCATGATCGGCTCCTGGGACTGCTCGGAGCTAGTGCTTTTACACTATTCAATTTCTAGCATTTCAAATTATGATTCGTGAAATGTGTTCCGGCTCGGATAGTCTGCCGGGTATGGAGTATGGAAGAACCTGAGATCATGATCTCCGTTTTGTTCCACCTGCTGAGCTTCAAATGTTTTAGAATATTCAATTGTTCACAGATTTAAATTGAAATTGCGATCAACTTGAATTTATCCAAGTGTATTCCAGTTACTCTCCCCTCCTCGCACCCACTGGTAGCCCATATCAGTTCAGACTCGGAGGAAGCTATTCGAACAGACGGGTTCAGGACTGGGAGAACATTCCCTAACAACCAGCTACATTTGACCTCTAAATTGCTCATTATTAGGCCTGTGGAATCACTGGCAAGTATACAGAACATGGAATCTAGGTATCAGTCAACATTTGAAATTTATGCCCCCGTGCTTCTCAAAAGCTGAAACCGGGATTTACTACTACATCACCGTACACATGTGCATATACCTACCATATAGGGTCACCGCGTGTGCTAAAATTCCAAGGTTTGAGGTGATCAACATTTGATTTCATGTAGGCTCGATCTGCATCCATTGATGTTTCATTGCACTCTCCAGCGACTATTCAAGGTCGTCGCATGGCACATACATATGCATATGCGGCAGTATGCACATGTGTAGTGATCATGCGAAAATTGGCCAGACCGCATGTGTCTGTATAGCAAGGTTCCAAAGTTGGGGCCTACATCGGGAGCGAGCCAGACTAGTACCTGTACACATGCATACCAGTCACCTGCAGGCGAGAGACCTATACCGCATCTTTTTGTCTCCTGATTCTAGGTAGCATTAGGTCTATTGTAGATACCTGCCAGTGGGCCTGAGCTTATGTAAAAATGCATAGTACCTACTACATAGTACTAGTGATACTAGAATCGAGCCTGAGTTGAACTTGAATTACTCAAGTCACGGTGCTACACACTTCTAGAAACTAGTCTACCTGACATTGGAAATCGTTCAAAACATTTTGAATCGTTAGATGTTGCACATGTGTTAGATGTTCAAGTTAGATATTGTTAGCAATAGTAGGTATAGGCTACTAGAAGTTAATGATAGGGTAGTTAGTAGTAGGAATAGGTATACATGCATGGCAATATTATTATGCATGGCAATATTATTAGTAAAAAAATATTAAGCAAACATTTCCAAGAACAAACCATTCGATGTTCGGATTCGAGCGTCTCAATGCCATCTGTATCCGTGGACCTAGTGGATTCCGAGTCTTTTTCATAGTGGGTCGGGACTGAAGCCCCCAGTCAACTGGCAGTGCAGGGATCTCTCCCATTAAGTACATTAACCCTTATGCACACTTTCAGGTTTTTTATCCACAAATATTCTTGTCTCTCCGCTTAGGAGCCGTTATCCCCCGGGCCGTTGGAAAATATGTGCATGTACTCCAGGGCTCCGTACGGAGTAGCGAAGTAGCGGGTATGAGAATAACATCCCTGTCTATGCTCGGTACTATCTATATGTACTAAATTGGCCGTCCAATGTGATCGTAAGACTTGTCTGAAGATTAGTTTAACTTCATATTGAAGCGTTGGGAACCTTGGAGCACATGATTTTCTTAACTCATTCTGGAACTTCTTATCTGTTCATATAAGTTCGGTCTGAGAACCCCCGGGGCCGTTAGCCTGCTTCGCGTCATGCATGGGTCTGATAGGGGCTAGCGAAACAAAGGCATTGTACGAGTGGAGACATGGATCCTGGAGATGAGTTATAGGTAAAGGATTATTGCAGTCAGGATGCTGTGTATGCAAGATACACCTCCCATTGAACTGATTATGCTTCATTTCCCTCATTTCTTGCATATCAATCTTGGTAATATGGATCCTTCACCTTGAATTTGTTTTGAAAGCCATATGCATGTTCGATTTGGGACAGAGAGTACGAAACCGATCGTGCCACTACTTAATCTCGTCATTTTACTCTCAATTTAATCAATGACATTAGTCCCCTGACCCGATTCAGCTATTTCGTCGCCGGTGACCAACTCTGTGTACAGAGAAGAGCTACAAGTCAAAATGAAAATCTTATGTCTTCATGGATTCGGCACCAATGCCTACATTATGAAGCAGCAGATGGGAACACTGTTCAAATATTGCAATCCCAAGTGGAGATTTGTCTTCTTAGAGGCAGAACTAGAATGCCCACCCGCCCATGGTAAGTCAAAGCTCGCATAACCCCACACTATTCTGAGTCCCTTTTCAATTTTAGATTTGGTCTGATATGTATTGTCAGGGGCTGCAAAATACCCTCCACCCTACTTCACCTGGTCAACAGAGCTCGATCCCACAAGTATCAGAGGTTCATGCGACTTGGTAAAGAAAGCCTTTGAGGAACAGGGCCCTTTCGATGGGGTCCTCGGTTACAGTTTAGGTGCGACGGTGATAATCAGTTATCTCCTTGAGCAAATAACCAGATACCCCCAAGAGCCTCTTCCTATAAAGTTTGGATTCTTCTGTGCGCCAGTCCCTATCATAACAGGCGACGTTGCGTATTCAGAATCTGTTTACGGCTCTCTATCACCGGAAGATCTCCAACGGCTACGCTCTGCAGATCTGGAACAACTTGATCTGCTACCGGAACCTGCTCGAACAACTGTGTATAATCTGATACACGCCGCTGGTTCCTTGGAATCGACTCTCTGTCGGACGAGAAAGGAGTTGCTGGATCGTCCGCTGGAAGATATTCCATGTGTTTTGCACCACGATTTTTACCCGGCACGTCTGCCTATTCCAACATTGCATGCACACTCCAAGAATGATCCGCCTATATTGAAGTTGTGTGCGGAACTGGCCCAAGAGTTTTGTGATCCTGCGTGGCGAGTGTCATACAAACATAGTGTCGTTCATGGCATTCCTCGTTCTGCTGCTGAAGCAGAGGAAATGATTGCTGCTATGGAGTTGGTGGTATCAAAAGTTCAGCACGCGAGATTGTAACTTACTAGTAATGAGTACGAGCCAAAGAATATTTTTTAAAATGAGTTTGATGGATATCAGTAGTAAAATGATTCAAGGTATCTTCAACGCCAAAGTATCTCCAAGAAAATCGCTCAAATGAGAAAATGAAAATTCGTAAACAAGTCCATATCCATCAATGCATAAGTAACCACGTCTCGTAGGGAACACCACGAGCTGACTTCTTCCCATCTCGATCCTTCGAGAATAGAACGGGCTCAAAATCACTGACAGCTGCATACTGTCTCACCAAATGTCGCCAATAACACGATTCAGCAGCAGGTGTCAAATAACGATCGCGGAACGTGCGCACCGCATTATTAGCGACCTGCTCTGCGACTTTCGGATTATCAATCAAGAAATCAATCTTGCTCGATAAATCACTAAAATCCTTCTTGACTTCGATGTAGTTTGCATCAACGCCGGATGAGACCAGAGCGCCATGATGCGCTTCTCGCCACTCCAGTTGATGCGAAATCATAACAGAGCGACAATTAAGTAAATACTTGCCACGACCCGAGAAACTGCGACCCTCGGTATGTGCAACAAACATGTAGCGACAGTGATCCTCAATCGCAAGCAAGTTAAATCGAAGATCATTCTCATCATCCCAGTCGATTACTCGAACACTAGCCCAGCTACTGCCTGCAGCAGATTTGAGTAGCTTGCTACGCACCCCGGGATTAGTCGCCAAGCTTCCGCGCCAAACAAGCTGCTTCTTTTTATCTTGGAAAGCTAATCCAGGAGATACTGTGCCATCTGGAAGTATTTCACCGTCATCGATTGCTGCGATGCGCCTTCTGACTTCCTGATATGGCCCGATTTGCACCTCCGGCCAGGCCCAGTATCCGAAGTCGGGCATTAACCAGACCGAATTGTCTCCATCTCTTTTTGAGTACGCCCAGACTGGGCCCGGACCGGAAGGGTCTTCGGCAAAGTCTTCTGTTGTGAGTACGAATTCAATGCTTGGAAGATGGTAGCGGTTTGGGTATGCTTTCAGGGCGCGGTGTAGCGAGTTTAATGTGGAACGTGCTCGGGTTGCGGTGACCGGCATTGCGGCATAATCGACAACGTACAACTATAGAACAGAAAATTGATATGTTAGATTTTCAGATTCGAAGAAGTTCAGATCGATAGTGTAAGGATTTCATTTACCTCGCCTTGGTCGATGATCACCCGCACCATACCATCTTCCACATCCCGAGAATCAAGCTCCTTATAGGAGATACGGTTGTCTTGCTTCAATGCAGCAGATTTATCAATTTCAACGAATAATTTTGGGAATGCGATATTGCATTGTTCTTCCGATAATCCATGATTCTGTCCGTCGCGCTCCACGAGAAACTCCCATGTTCCATTGCTTGGTGTTGTATCTGGTGACGGACACCGTAATTGGGTATGTGATTGAGATGACTTCGGGAAGTAAAGAGCGGGGCCTCCAGATCGATGAATGCCAATGAAGAGGAATGTAAGAATGAAGAGAGATCCCAGGACGCCGGTGGCTAGGAACCGGAATGAGGGTCTCTGTGCCAACATCCTGCCTTCTGGAAGGTATGCGAGAAAATCACCCTGAGTTGAATGGAAAATCAATTAATTCTTTAAGAAAACCTCCGTATAAACCAGTCCATCGAATCGTTATCGTGGTCGGCCGGTGCAATTGAAGACTGTAATAGATGTGGTTTCATCATGATGTCGAGCTGCGAGTAATCAACCATGATAGTTACCACAGCAACGGATACATAGGATCCTATCACATCCTGGACAGCCACCACTTGAGCAATGCAAGACAATTAAAACATCTAGAGATATTTAATACCACCTGGACATACAGATCTCAAAAAACAGCATGACATAAAAGCTATTATTTAATAAATTGTACTAAGTTAAATCAAGATGGCCACTCTTAAGAAAGAAATAAATGAGCACCTTCGAATCTATAGTCCCAAACAATATCGCACTATGTACAAGGGAGAGAGAAGCGCACCACAGCCAGTTGATATGTTCAAGGGGGGATCTCAGCAATAGGTCATAAAATGAGAAGCGGGTAGAAGTTTAGTAAAAACGAAAGAAAATGGTAGACTCCAGGCCCCATAATATCATCAAATACATGAAGGGCAACTCATGGGGCATCAGGCAAAGAAAAAAAAAGGGACGAGGAAGCAAAGAATAGTGCAAGAAAAGAGAGAAAGATTATCGTTCATCGCCACTTGCAATCGCACTACCGCCATTGCTGCTGAAATAACTTTCATCGATCTTAAGAATCCATTCAACCTTCTGCGCCTCAGTCCGCGTGGCGAAAAGGTATGTGTTTTGGGTTCCGTACACCGCGAAGATATTAGGTCGACCTCGTGCAGAGAGTGAGCGATCGGCTCCAGCTCCAGATCCATCAAGGAGACGTGCAAAGTCCGGTGCGTGGTCAACACGCGAGTTACGCAGGTTAATGGCGTTGATTTCGTCTCCTTCGGGTACCGAGTAGATGTGAAGATACGGCCGGCGAAGCTCCACAAATCGACGGACCCAGACACTGTTCGTATCATCGGGAGTGAGGACATGTCCTGATTTCAAGGCGGATGGATTCTTGGGTAAAGTCTGGATGGTGGCCACGAATCGAGGTTTCAGTGACATTTTATCCGAGATGCTGTTGGCTCCGTTGGACCTGGCTTGCGCGCCATCGGTCGGGGGTTCAGTATTACTACGGACCAGAATTGTCTCTGTCGGATCTTTCTTGGTTGACCAAAGGTCAAGGTATTTTCGAAGAAGCTGTGTTTTGCGCTCATTGAGGTCTTGGTTTCTCATAGGCGTGGATCTACCACTGTTTCGAGCGGACGATGCCATCAGACTACCTGCGCTGAGAGCCCCTCGGGCGGCATGGAGTTCAGCTATACGGTAGCGACGTTTGCGCGCAGCAATGTAATCTCGAACCAGGGACACTTTGCGAGGTGCCCAGCTTGTCAAAAGCTCTTCGCCCTTGACATAATCGTTTTGAGTGTTCATTCGCCACAGGTCAGCTGCACGCTTTGCGGAGATTGGTCGAATGACCAGGGAATACATCTGAGTGGTTGAATGCACGACTCGAGTGGAGCTCCAAAGCTGTTTGAACATAGACTGCTGGCGGACATAGGTACGTCCAAGGATTTGAATGGTCTGGTCGACCTCGAAGACAACGGGAGTCTGCAACCGAGAGGAGACCAGGTCCCAGCGCACTGTGACTTGGACTCGGTATTTATCCGCAGTGACTCGATCGAGGAGTAAAGAGCCATGTAAACTTGAATCCCACTGACCCACAATTGTCACATTGCAGGTTCCGTCAGCATTGTCCTTGACCATTGGTTCTTGGACAAACTTGAGAGGAACATCGGGGGTCTGCAGATCTTGATCGGGGATTTTACCCCAAGGATCCAGAAGACGAACAGATCCCACGCGGGCATGGGTGATATCATCCCATGGGAGGCTTTCCGTGGAACTATAGGTGATATTGATGGACACCCGACGTTGCAGACCCTGGTGAAGCTGGTAAGTGCCTGCATCGAGATTGTTACTTTGAACAACCTCCACAGGTAGGTATTCACCGGACTCCGCAAGTTCAAGTATTTGGACTCGAGCAAATACGTCATGTCGTTCTTCGGAGTAAAATTCGGATTCGGCGATGCGAGGGGCAGTACGCTTTTGAGTGGGAACACCCGCAGAGTCGCGCATATCGTCCCAGCTGAGAAGCTTGTCGAGATGGACTGATGTCACGCGAGCATAAACGCAAACTTTGAGAGCGGCTGTTCGGGGGCTTGATAGCGGTAGACTCATACTATGAACACTTTCAAACCGAACTGCACTTTCTTCAAACCCACTGATCATCTGGGTGGTTGTAGCGCCACCTTCTTCGGAGATTCCAGGCACAAAGAGTTGCGCATGAACTTCCGTGCCCTCCCATTCAGCGAAACCAACCATATCCCGCATAACAACATTGAATTTCAAGGTTGACGAGGGCGCCTCTGCAGAGGAAGGTTCCAGTGACAGCCGAATAATGCCAACAACACATTGGGTGTATGGCGATGTGATCTCCACTGAGAAGTCTTGAACGCGGGTCTCAAACACGGCCGTCAAGGGGATGTCAGCATCACCGACAAGAGAGTATTGCGGTGAACATGGTTCTGAGAATGGGTTCTCCAGTTTGAAATGCTGGATGTAGTCAGGGCGATCGATATACTGGTGCAACTGTCGCATGGATTGTACACGGCGCTGCAGTTTCTCCATCGACCAGAGATGGATAACACACTGCTTGTAATCAATGACCCGAACCCCGACGCACGGCTTCTTGGCCTCTTCTAGGACGATGTCTTCGTCGCCAGAAATTCCATTTAGTACAAGATCGTAGCATGAAGCCATGTTGTACCCATGGTCAACAACCGCAAATTGGAAGACCACGTTCTTATCCATGATCTGACTCATGATCTGCGCCTCCTTGATGAGAGATGCATGTTGGAGAATCTTCTCGGCCATGCGAACATAATTGCGCTGAGACCAGTGGCGGAAGACATTCCGGGCAATTTCGAGCTCTCGTTCGTCTAATTTGGCGAATCCGTTTTCAAAGATTTGAGGTATAGGTTTGCCCATATCTCGCATCTGGCTCTCGAACTCTTCCTTTTGCAGCCTCAGTTGCTCCTCATACTCCTCTTTCGCAGACTTAAGCGCATCCTCCATACGCTGTTTTTCGGTGCGAAGTTCTCCAGGATCCTGATTAGAGGATGCCTCTGCAGTCTTCAGCTTGTCCTGGTACTCCTCTCTTTGTCGATCCAGCTGGCGCTGCAAGTCTTGTCGAACAGAATTCAATGAAATTTCGGCATTGTTTCCTTCATCATCGCCATTTTGACGCGGAGTTCCTGGCATTGTGATCGCAGTGTCTAGGGAGAAGTTGTCGATCGTCCCATTGGACATGTACTTATCGCGTACGGGAAATGAACTGAGGGAATCTGAATCCTCCTCGTTGTCAGGAAGTCCACGACGTACCGCTCGAGCCTTTTGCACATCTTCAAATAGAGCATCAAGCTCGTCATCTGGCATGTGTGAGATATGATCAGGGCCCAACATAGCATTGACAGCCTCTCGTCGAGCCAAGAACCAGTCGGACTCGCGGCCACGCTGTGAGGGCATTGGAGAATCTGCCCTGCTCGAGTCTCCGTCGTTGTCAGATCCAGTCTTACTCATATTGCGATCGTGAGTCTTGTTCGGAGCAGGTGATCCAAGCTGGCTGGTTGTTACGGAATGTCGTAGTAAACTCTGTTCCACTCGTTCGGCGCGAGCTTCTTGTGGATGATTGAAACGAAAGATATGAAAATCTCCAAGAATGATGCGAAAACCACTCCTCAAGCGTTTGGGCTTGTCTATGCGCATGCCGTTAACCATGACTGCAGCACCGTCCGTAGGCACAATGGTCACAACGTTGTCCACATTCTCAAAGGTACAATGCTTTGAAAGAATCTTAGATCCATTCAACCGAATCTCAACGGTGTTTCCCTGGTCCATGTGGCCAACCGTCGTAGTACCTGGTTTGATGTTGTAGACCAGACATTCTGCTAGCAAGGGATCATCACTGAGGTTGACCAAGTGAGGCATCTTTTTTGGCGTGCTCAACCCGATGAAACCCTTTTCGATGTTGATACCAAGTTCTTCAAGAGCAGCTTCACGTTCCTTGTGGATTTCCTCGGTCTTTTGCAACTTCTCCTCCCAAGTTTGATTGAGGTCTTTATACAGCTTCTCGCTTTGGTTGAGCTGTTCCACGATTTCGGCTTTGCTCACTTTCTTGACTGTGCCATCTGCTTGCGCAATAGAGACCATCTGCTTTTCCAACGGTGTATCAGGAGGGTAGTATTCCTCAGCCGGCATGCTTCCTCCAGCAGCTGTACCGCCTCCTCCACCTCCAAGTTTTGATCGTAACTGTGCCAGCTCCTCTTTAAGCTCGCGGATCATGCGAGCATTCGGGTCTTCGTTCACCACAGCGTGGTTCTTGATTCTCTTCGCTGAGTCGGCGTATCGCAGTGTACTCAATGTTTCGTCAAAGTTGATATCGGCAGGTGAAATAGCTGCAATCATAGAGGTCATGGAGTTACCGCCCAGAGAATCTTTCAGCAACCAAGTGAGAATGGAGTCACGGTAAGGGACCATAGATGCGTTTTTCTTTTTTCCGACGGATACATCGGCCAGTGCTGCGATGACACGACCCAGCGTAGACAGCGAGCGGTTAATTTCGGCACCTTCCTTCAATCGAGCACCGGTGGCGCCAGTGGAATTAGCTCTCTCTGAACCTGCCAAATCTACCAAACTGATCTTTGACACCTTCTCCGTATCCATTGAGGTCTCTGCATCGTGTCGTTTCTGTGAGAGAGTCAAGGTGAAGACGGCGTGAGATCGACTCGAGGTTTCGTTCATGTTCGTCGCAGCCACCGTTCGAGCTTTATTTCCCTCGTCCATCAAGTGATCGATTTCTTCAAAGGATCGCACTACCAACTTGGCCAGATCTTCAACATACGGACCCGTCGATGGGTGCTCACGGACCTTGAGATTGCCTTTATTGGACGGGTTGAGCAAATCGCGAACCCTCTCGTTGTAAATTTCTAGGTATGACACCTCCACCGTACAGTTCAGATTTTTGTCTTGTTGGATAGCCGTGATTCGTTCGAACATCGACTGGCAAATACGAGGAATGACACCATATTCCTGTCCATATCCCATCATCGAGTATGACTTTCCGGAACCGGTCTGACCGTATGCGAAAATACAATTGTTGTACCCTCCAAAGGCGTTGTCCAGCAGCGGCTCACCCAGATCATCGAATAGGTTGTCTTGTCCGGCATAGTTTGCATCGTTTTTATCGAAGGACCAATATGAGCGATCGAATGCAAAGACCTTGGGTCCTTCGCCGCCGCCCTTTCCACCTTTCCGCGACGACGATTTTTCCTCCATACCCGGCGGTGCTGTAAGCACCGTCTGGGTGTCTTTCATTTGCACAATACATTTTGCACCACGGTCAATCTCTATGGATTGAAGTCTGAGTCAGTCCCAATTTTATGTTCTGCGGTTTCTTTTTTTGCTTTGATATGCTTCTCACCTCGACTGTTGAATGGCCGTACTCGGACTACTACTTTGATGTTACCTCCGCCGCCTGGAGCCATTTTGATCTCTCTGCCCCATGCACCAGGGGGTTGCTATTGGACTGCGCAAGGAAGGATTGCCTTAGATCGCACGGGTGACACAAAGCGGTGACGGAGCGATGCAGCGATGCGCTCACAGCGCGTGGTGAGGCCGATGTCACCAAATTCGAGGTTTGAAGACGTGTGTGATTTTCTCGATCAGGGTTTGTTGTTTCGTCTGGACCAGGGTTTCAGAAAGATCGGGAACGGTCGATGTCAACAAAGACGTCATGTAGCGAATATTCAACGCGTTTCGTGGAGTGTGGGGTGAGTTCACGGGGGGGTTCGGTGTCAGGGGGAGGTTGGAGAATGACCGGGCCGATCGACTCAAGAGCCGCGACTTTGATTGCGAAGAACTCAAAGCAGCGCACTGTATTGACGACAATTGTCGAGCCGGCCTGTTCATGTGGAAAAGCCACTTGCCCGGGGGACCCCTTGCTGAGGTAAGCGTAATTAGGTGGAGCTTCCCAAGTTCTATGCACAGATTCATCTTCAGGTTGTGTATAGATACCTAGACACAACTGGTCTTAAGAAGCTCAATGATGGTAACTGGATAGCTTAGGATTCTCAGCCTCATGAGATAGAGTGCAATACTGAGTAATAAAGCATAAAAGGCCCACATGAAAGAACCAGGGGTATGCCATGCATCTGGTCCAGGCCCTGTGGAGTGTCACATAGATCTCTATCATGGATTCGAGTTGAAGGGCATCAGGATTACAGGTAGTGAAACAACGCAAGTATTGAATAATAATTAACCGAATAAAATATTTTGATTCAAAACTCTTACGAACCTATTCAAAACTTCAATGTTTGGGTGTTTGGTCGAATTTATACTTAATTTAGTTAGGATAAAAGGACAGCCTCATGGCAGTGCCCTTACAGATACCCGCTGGCGGTTATATATATTGGTCTGAACAACCACCTGGGCACCATCAATAACATTCAAGTTTGAAGTTATTCGTATTATAATCCTATCAATATGTAGCAGCTCCAAGTCTGATATCTCTAGTATAATTTGAACTAATCCTGCATCACTTTTAAATTTGAAATAGCACTTGAGTCCACCCAGGGCGTGTGTGATGCCTGAAACCTCCAGGGCTCCAAGGTTCCAAGCCCAGATTGCCTTCCAAGATTTCCAAGCACTTGAGGTCACGGCCACTTCAAGACCTCAGCTGGAAAGGCCTGCAACGCCCATAAAGAATCCCATCATAATCCATCGTTATGAACTGTGCCAAGTCCACGGTGACCCTACATAACCCGTGATCTCAACCCTACAACACGTGGGATCGAGGGATCGGGATCGGTGAAGAGCGGGAGCTGAAGACGCTGAATGGTCACTTTGCTATAAAGTTGACGGTTCGCACGTGGTGATAGTCATATCTTCCCCAGAACTGATATTATATGACTCAGGGTTCTTCAATATAGAATTCCAGGTGAACTACGTCTACCACCTTACCAGTTGACATTGACGGATCTCTACTAAATAGGCGCTGCGCAAATCCGAAAACAACCTGGGCGACTCGCCCGCTCCCAAAGATGTGAAAAGATGTGACGACATGGGACAACAGATGGAAGGGAAGGCCTGACAATTTTAAATTTCCTGGGGGTGATTTGAGGAACTCCGACCCCAGTGAGTTGCCACAGTTGGACATGACGTCTCGTGCGTCATACCTGAATCTGTCCCTCTTACAAGAATCTGACCAAGAAGAGCTGGCCCCCTTGGACGCCGGATATCCAGTCAGAATGGTGGAGAGACATGGCAATCTCCCGGGGGAAGGGAAGTGACTTGATGGTTGAAATTGCAATTGCCGCCGATCACCGCCTGGTTTGGGGTTCTCATCACAGTGAACAACAAGTTGCGTGGCATCATAAGGGAACATGGGTCCAGGAAGATTTCCGAAACAGGAGACAGGGCCGAGATTTCAGTTCGTATTTGACCATTTTGATTAGTAGGTTATGATTCAGTTTAATATTTGTTCTTGAGATAAATATATAAATAATTAAAAAATTAGAATAAATTAGAATACTCATTACGAGTACGAACCTTGAAGTGCGAGAACATGGATCTTACCACCTCTCATGGACAACCCTACGGCGTACACCGTAGAAACCAAGTGAAAGACTTCACCGCCTCGAGTTGCACATGATTCCCGTGACTTCCGGGATGGCCGGATTGGATTGAGTTTGGTAATATTACAAAAATGACAATATGGTACAGATTTCATCTTTTTTTCCCATGGATCATGCATTCTCCACTATTTTTGGTCATATTTTCTCATATTTCTAAGTGAATTTGATTATTCTCGTTGGGCATGGCCCCCATTCCGCGTTCGGGATCCAATGGTACAATGGTAATAAGGTGGTATTGGGCTGCATTGAAGCGATACAATACAGCTAAACCCCACCCAGCGGGGATCACGTCACTCTCTGATACGTCGGCGCGTCGCGGTGGTGGCCAGCGGGCCAGGGCAACAAGCCAGACAAGCCAGTCAAGCCCGGAGATGAGGGAAAGCGGTATGAAAGAACTAAAATACTGCGTCTCCTGCCCCATCGTCCCCCCTTTCGCCCTTTTCCCTTTTCCCCCTTCTGCCTCTTCTCGTTGGTTGCCCACCATCTCCAGCTCTCTCTTTGCCTGCCAACCATCGCACAGAGTCGGTCACCCTTACTTCTTGTTTCCCACTTCATTCGTCCATTACTTGGTCTGGTTAGTGACCCCCAATCATCTTCTTTCCCGTTCTTTTTTATTTTATTTTATTATTCCCAATTTTTTATTTTTTGGGAATACAGTACACCAGAGAAGCACGATACTAAGATTGGATCTGCATTATCTTAGGTGTGCGATCATCGATTCTCTCTAATCAATTTTTTTATTAGCATTACGGCAAGATTAACCCCGGGTAAGTCATCACAGTTAAAACTCGTGCTTCTCTATGCCTCAAATTTGATTTTATTTTATTTTATGATGTTCGTCTAGTATTTTATTCTTTTTTTCTTTTGCGTATTGTTTTATGTTTCATTTTTTGCTTCTCATTTTATTTTCTTCTTCTTTTTCTCTTTTCTTTTCCCCCTTGAGATTTGATCGTGGGGTTCATATATGTTGATTCCCATCAACAACTTTCCCTTGATCAACTGGGATACATTATACTCGGATCTTCTGTTCTGGTACTTTTTTTCTGCCCTATTTCCTATTTTTCCTATTTTCATTTTTTATGTTGTTTTCTTTATGGCAATTTCCCACGCTTTGTTCTCTGATATCATCTGATACACTATGGTATCTGATATCACTGGTCTAAGCTTCAGTGGATTCTAACGCACAGAACCACTTGAACCACCAACTTTGAACCACCGCCTTTTCTCTCGTTGGCTTTTACCCTAGGATCTTCCCCTCTTTTTCATTCCTGGATTCCCCTCTCTTGTTTCCTCTCCAATCATCGCTTTCTCCCTTGTTATCCCATCCAATATCCTTTGTGCCCGGTAAATCCACCTCCCACGTTGCGCGCGCTTTTTCTTGCTCGGCCCGTGCCAAAACAACGCGCTCTGCAAAGCGGCTCGTGTCTCATCCCCAAATTTCTATTACCATTGGTTCTCTCTACCCTTTCTCGTTGGCTATTAAATTTCCATGTTCTTATTTTTTTTTATTGTTTGATTTTTGATCTATGAAATTCTGATTCGCGATTATTTTATCTTTATATGATATCATCGCCCTCCAAAACTAACATACGACTTATCTAGTTCCTGAAATCTTCCTCAAAAAATTTGGACACAATTCAATTTGTCCATCTCATCGGGTCTACTTTTTTTCTACTGCAGAAACCCAAGCCGATCGACAAGGTATGTCAACTTCTTCCCCTCCCAAGCTGCAGTCTCCAATTATTCCCGTGCCAACGCATGCATCCACCGGCCCTTCGCCTTGGGCCCTAATCCATTTCTGGGTCTTCAAGGCGTGCAATACCCTCCTCCCCTCCTAATTTGCCAGCGCATCACTGGGACTAAACTGGACTGGATGCACCCCCCAAAATACCAGAAGAATGGTTAAACTAACAGTCATAGTCTTGCTTCGTGGGGCCTTTCCCTCTTGCGCTCTGACGTTTTGATATCGCATTTCTTTTTGACCCCCGCTATTCCGGAGTGGCACCGCCTCCCCGAATTTTATCCAAGCTTAGCCTCGGTGTATTGAGATCAGAGGCCCAAAAAAGCAAAAAGGGGAAAAAAGAAGCCTGGAAAAAAAACAAAATAGGTTGCGTAGCCTCATCTGGGTGGCATCATCGTGAACAACGCATCAAATCGGTCGAGGGGCGCATCCCACCCCCGGTCTGCTGCATCACAGCCCAACCACGTTACACCCGACGGTAGGCATAGACCGATTTGCACAAAAGACCTCAAACCCTCCGGGTTCGGGAAATCTTGAAGGGACCTCTTCAGATACTATAGGGAGAGAGTAAGAGAGAAAGAGACGACAGGGAAGAAAAAAAGGACGGGACAACAAGTTTTTAAAGGTATGTCGCTCTTTTTGGTTCAATTTCCTATAGGCGCCCCCCCACCTTTACCCTCCCCCAATCCAGTGACTGCTCGGTGATGCGCTGTGTTGCTGTTGCTGACGCGAATACCCGGGCCTGCAGACTATTGAGCCCCGCTTCGTCGAATCACCTCAGTGATAATCTCCCTGGTGTACACCAAAAAAACAACGTGCCAATTGATCTACGAACCCACGACTATCGTATCCATCCATTTGATTTGATTTGCAAGTCATTCCCCAAGTTAATCTTGAATCACATTTGGATTAGACTAAGGTGTGGGCCTTTACGTATCTTACCGTTGGCTACCCCCATCTTTCTTTCCTCCCCGGGTCACTCAAGTGTGACATAACAAGTCGCGTCGCGGCTTCTTGAACCACCCCTGTTTCCTCCGCAACCATGGAATACCCTCCACAGTATCAACAGCCTCATGGCCAACATCCACATGCTCCGTCGCATATTCCTGGGCCTTATCAAACGGGCCCGCCAAATGCTGGTCCTCCAGTTGGGTCCATGGCATCCCCTACCAACCCCCAGGCGCCTATGCAACAGTCACACTCCGCTCATCAGACCTCCCCCATCGTTCCATCTCAACAGCATTATCAACAAGGCCCAAATGCGCCGGGTGCCGTCCACCAGCAGATGAACTTCCCACAAGGCTATGGAGTCACTACCGCTATGCCTCAATCATATGGTATCTCACCAACCCAGGCTGCTGCCATGGCTACTGCTGCCGCGTCGGGTCAGTTTTACCCACTTCATCAGGATGTGACCGGTCAAATGGCGCAAGGGTCTCGGGGCTCTCCACGCATGGCAGGGGTACAGATGAAGCCTGATCGGAACCCTCGATCCCCACCACAGATGCCCGGCCAGATGCCTCCGATGGGCTCTCAAGTTCAGATGGCCCCCAACAACCAACTGCCACCGCGTCGCATGAGTCATGTAGGAAGTCCCGGTGTACAAAGTGCTCAAGTCAACCATATCGGTCGACCCCAGGTAGCACCTCCCCCGATGGCGGCCCCCCCAGGCCCCTGTACAACAGAGTCAACCCTCCCCTGAGATGGTTGCCGGAAGCAACCAAGAAGAGTCCCCGCTTTATGTCAATGCCAAGCAGTTCCATCGCATCTTGAAGCGTCGTGTTGCGCGACAGAAGCTGGAGGAACAGTTGCGCCTGACTTCTAAGGGTCGCAAGCCTTATCTTCACGAATCACGACACAACCATGCGATGCGTCGCCCTCGTGGTCCTGGTGGTCGCTTTTTGACAGCGGATGAAGTGGCTGCCATGGAGAAGAAGGTAGCAGATGGTGACCCCGACCCCATGGCTGAGATCATGGGCAAGGAAAATGGCTCTGGTCAGAAGCGCAAGTCTAGCGAGGTCAACGAGGATCATGTGAACTTGAAGAAGTCCAAGACCAGCGCTAGTGCTGAGGCCAGTGAACAAGACTCTGCCGACGTATCTGATGATGATGGTTGAATGTCTCGTCAACACCAATCTTTGGTCTGATATAGAGAGAGAGACATGGTACGCTTTGGTTGAGGTTTCTACTGCTTCGCCTAGTTTTGTTTTTGTGTTTTTCTTATTTCTTTTGTTTCTTTTCCTTTTGTTCTTACGGCTTTATGGATGGACGCTTTTCTTGGACCTTTTCTCTAGCGAGCGATGTGTACGGATCCCCCCTTTTTCACTTCTACTCTATGTGCTTTTTTCTCCCCCATTTTGATCTTCCCTTCTTCCCCCATCACTTTTTTTCTTCTCTTCTTCATGATGTCTGTTTATAGCTTACGCTCGGACGATCTATCTTATCCCTCACATCTTTATGAAGTATCAACAACTCCCATGAACACGGCTTCTAGCCTGGAGGATCACGATCACTCATCACACGGGAAATGTCCGACTCTCAAACTTCAATGCCAATGAGCTTATATTGACGCGTGACCTTTCAAGTGTTGAACCAGAATACTTTATATCAGGTTTCCTCGTCCCCTGCAAGTCCCAAGGTCCGGGTGCATCATTTTGTGTATATGTCAACAGTACAGCCATTTTGTCTTTGTTCGTTTTACTGTTTTCCTCGCGTGTCTGTTTCTACTATTACCCATATCCACAATTAGGTTGTGATTTTGTTTCACTTTCTCCACGTTAGGCGAATTCGTGTGTTCTTCGGTGTCTTTGCGTTACGCGTTTATGGGTTTCCGGTTGGGAATTTAGAGAGGGTCTCCATCACTGGAAAAACAGATTGGGAATTGGACTTGGAAAGACGGGTTGTTGTTTCCTTTTTCTTTTCTCTTATGGATATGAATCAATTTGTCATTGCCTATACCAATCTACTTGGAGTTCTAAGGTTACAATGGAGATGTATCAATTGTATGGATGACTTTGGTATTCAAGATCCTGCTTAGATCAAATTTGCACACCTAGAGGCACTATTCCCTGATCAGTATAAGATAGATTTGAACCCGTAGGGTAGATTATCGTATCTGACGTCTACCTATGGTCGCATTGAGAACTGAAGCGAAACCCGTCGCCCTAGCTAAGTGATAGAGAATGTATGTACACCGAGTGATCACGAGGATCAAAAACCAAAGGCCTATAACAACTCCAAGTAATGCAATAAAGATTCGTCCCTTCAAGATCCAATCCTCAAACTGCCTCCCAATCCATAGCATCCACCATAAATACCCAATCTGACTCGGGCCCCAACTCTCCACTGACAGACTCATCTGGATCCCCAGGCTTCTTGCACAATTCCACATGGATCCTAGCACGCACATACGCTTCCTCCAAACCCCCAAAGATCCCGAGGAAGATCTCATCAAAATTGAAACTAGTAAGTGGTAAAATCGCCCTTCCCATCTCAAAAGGATCTCGTTCTCGTTCTTCCTTGGTCATATCTGCCGTTTTCCAGCGATTCCTTAACTCTTTCGCTTTGCGCAATAACCCAAGCACATGTCCCGAGCCCAATACAGGTGAGAGTGGTGTAGACTCTTCCTCAAGAGCTTGTAGAACATTCGCATGATATCGATGTATCCCCGCACCTTGATGATAACCACCTCCCATTACTTGAACCCCACCAGTCCCTCCCCGCCCGCCGACCGAAGATACCGCGATATTGAACACAGCGAGTAGATGCACAATCGCTCGTTCAAGCAATGCGTAGTATTCATGAAAATCAATCTTAAACATAATTTCCGCTTGTGCTACGTCCGCGTGAGCTACCCCACCTAACTCGTGAACGACCTGCGTTGCGAGTCGGTAACCCTCTGCTAGGAATGGTAGTTTCCAACGTAACCGCGCAACGATTTTCATAAATCGTGCTAGTTCCTCAGAGGGTGGGAGGATTGAACCTGATCCATAGGATTTGCCTGGAGCGGTACTTGTGAATGTTGGTTTGGGTTCGAGGTATGAGGTAGAGCTTGGCTCGGCGCCATAGGCTAGAGGTGAGTTTGGGGTTCGGATACGGTACTCTGAGCGCGGTCGCCTTAGGGATTGGGATTGTGGGGGGTTGTTTCGAGCTGTCCCACTCGCGCCAGGAGCCCAGCGCGAGTTGAGAAGATCTGACATTGCTTGAGGTTCAGGTTTTGATGTTGCTGGTTGCGCGTTGAGGGTTGGGTGTGGTGAGAGCTGGATGTGGGTGCACGGGCCTTCGATTGCTATTCCGTACTGGTTATCGATATTGATGATAATCATTATCAGCTCAATTCAAAGAAATGGGGCTTCTCCCTCTAGTTATTTGTTACCTGGTCTCTGGATTTCTTCTGGTTCTTCCCAGGTATACCTGCTTATAAGGTTAGTTAATTCTGAGTGTTCAAATATTGTGTTCAATGCTGTTGCGAAGCTCGTTTCCTATTATGTTCTTAATATCAAGATTCTGTTTCATACTCCAACATTGAACGTGGGGTTATGCATGCATTTAAATATAACATGAGTGGCCCTTTATTTAGTAAACCTTTCTTTTTATGGAAATTGAGGCTTTGTCCTATAGTTTATTCATGGTTCTTTCATGTATAGGAAAAGCCAGTTGTGATTTCAATGTTAGCTTTGTTCAGGTTTGCATGAATGAACTTGACTCATGTTCTACAAAGAGCTCCCAGCGCTATAAGCATCTTGAAACATACACATGGGCATTGTGTGTTCCCATAATTGGGGGTAGGTCCATTGACTTGGAGGGATAAATGCCGGTGTTGAGGGATCTGTGTGTCCTTTCTAAATACTATGTGCTTGAAATTGACAGGAGTCGTTTATGGGAGCTCCAAGGCTCTGCAGGTTGTGTGGATATCAGAACATTCATAATATCATATGGATCTTGGTGCTGAAAATAGGAGGAGCAGGTAAAAATACCCCAAATAACCATGGAATAGTGCAATCCTCTCTCGACTGCAGTGACCCGGCGCTTACCGTGAAAGGCAGAAACAGATCTGGGTCAAGTTGGAGTTCTAGACCAGAATCTAAGACAAATAGCTGTAATTTTGAAGAGATTACAGTGGGAACTTGCTTGGATCAAGCACTGCCACTGCACATATGCGCTCGTTATTCGGCCTGGGAGCGGATACATAGGGTGGTATAGAGGTTCCGGCGCGTGCGTGTTCGCGTTTCTTCGTGTTCGACTTGTGAGGTCTTTATTCTGAAATCGCCCCCCTTTTCTCACCTTCAATTTTCCCAAATACTTCAAATTTTGATTCCCACCATCTTATTGCCAAATTTTACTTCTTTCTTCCAAAACTACGAACATTCAAGAGTGATCATCTTTTATTTGTGATCAGACCAGGGACGATCAGGTGACTGCTGACCGCAGGAGTGCACTAACCTCAAAAAGGACTAGTGTTCTCCAGCTCTCCAGTCGCTTTTCGTCACTTTAGTCAACTTTACTTCTCCGTTCCTCCTGCGCGAGCTAGGTTGCTACCTCCACCAATCTTCCAATCCACTAAGGCTTCTTGTAGGTAGCCTAATCCCCTTTTTCTTCTTCAGTTCCTTTTCTCTGTTTCTTCAGATTTCCCCGAAATCCCCCCCCTCTGCTCCATTTCCCGTCTGGTTCCATGCCTTGTTCGTGCTTATCTTCTGTTTCCGCTCTCCATTCTCCGAGCCATACCTGCATCGCCGATACCTTTGCGGGGTCGACCTGCTCCTTGCGATCGTCTTGCCATGTGATTGCATCAACGATCTCAATTCTTTCTCTCTTTGAACTCCACCCTTCTTACACCGAATCATGTGGCTGGGAAACCGCCTCATGTTTCACGGTCACCGCGCCACCGCGTTGACCAGATCATCTTGTTTCTTTCCAATTCCTCAATAGCTTGTTCTTTGTGTTGCTCATGAGCCCCCCTCACTCCGTGCCGTCATCCATCGCTTTCTTCGCAAACTACTTTATCTGGATCTCATATTGACGATTCCAACCTCATAGCTTTTTGTCACGCTTAACCCAGCAACCCACCGATCTTTGCTGGTACCTGCACCCGCTTTGAAATTGCTCGGCTCTCGTGCTTGGGACCGTATCCCTGCCCACTTGTGGTAATAACTGTGGAATTGCACGAACTACCAACGCATCACAAATAAACATGGATTCATATGACGGCTACGCCTCCCCAGGCAGAAATCGCGATCTCGCGGATTCTCTTTCCGGACGAGGTCAAGGTGACTACCGTCGCCGATCACCTGGTAGGTCTCCTGATTGTATTCTTGATAACTTGGAATCGTTACTGACAATGCTATATAGCGTCACAGGACAGACGCCGGGCTCGAGGCCGTTCCCGTTCGCCCATGATTGACCGCTACGAACCATCAGACCGTCGTCCCAGGGAGGATTTCTACAACAACTCCCGAGAGCATGCTGCTCGCGAGCGCGAGGACCGCCGACGTCCCCCTTCACCCAATGTCGCTAACATCGATCGTTACGTACCCGGCCAGGACTCTGGCAAGAGACCGCTTCCGACCAATCCACTTCCTAACCCACTCAGTCTGGATTTCCAGGTTGGCTTTAACTGGTTTGCGGAATGGTGGAGGGCGGAAGAGGGAATCAAAGAGGAGAAAGAACGTGCCAAGCTTGGTGGACGTCGCCCATCTGACCGAGTCAAAGGAGAGCGGGAGGCCCGCGATGACCGAGAGAAAGAGCGAGCCCAGATCCAAGAAGCCTACGACAACTACAAAAGGAATCTACAAGTTACATTGGCTCGTCAATTCGTTATCCAACACCGATCAGAAGAATGGTTCAAAGAACGCTACGCGCCAGAAGTGCGAGATCCGCTTCACGACTGTATCAAACAATACCGGAAAGGTGCATACGATCAATGGGAGCGTGATGTGCAAGCAGGAGTTTTTGATGATTTCACCCTAGAGGGTATCTACAAGAATGACAGTGACGGTGCGGGAGGTGTGATCGAGAAAGAAGAAGGCGAGACTACTGCGGTGGGCGAAACCATGGGTGTGTTGGATCTCCTGCCTGTCCGTGGAGGCGATCTTCGAGACGAAGCATTATTACAGCCTGCCTTACTCATCAAGACCTTGGCTCCGAATGTTTGCCGCGATAAGATCGAGGCCTTCTGCAAAGAGCACCTTGGAGAAAACGACGGAGGGTTCAAATGGCTCAGCCTCAGCGACCCCAACCCATCTAAAAAGTTTCATCGTATGGGTTGGATCTTGCTTCATCCTACTTCCAATAACGGAGTCGTGGAACGAGGCGATGGCCGCGAAGAAGAAGGCGAGCAGATGGACCATGATGTCGGCAGTACCTTAAGCACCGCGGAAAAGGCCTTGGAGGCCGTTAACGACAAAACCATCCACGACCCGATCCATGGTGACTTTGTCTGTCACGTCGGCGTACATGTTCCCCCGTCGCAACCACGAAAGAAGGCACTTTGGGATTTGTTCTCAGCACCTGAGCGAATTGACCGTGACCTCGAACTTGCTCGCCGGTTGGTTTCCAAGCTGGATGCTGAGATGGGCTCGGATGTAGATGGGGTTTCCAAGATTGAGGAGCGCATCGAGGATCTTCGGGGCAAGGGTTGGCTGCAGCCCCCTGTCACAGGCCCTGTGAGTGTCAAGAAGCCATCCTACGATGTGGACGGTTTAGATGAGGGCGAGATGGAGGAGGGCGAAGAGAAAGAGCCTACTGAAGAAGATGAGATTGATGATGAAGAGCTGTTAGCTAAGAAAAAGAAGCTTGATTTGATGGTTGAATATCTTCGTCGAGTCTACAATTTCTGCTTTTTCTGTGTCTTTGAGAGTGATTCAGTTCATGAACTTGGCCGTAAATGTCCCGGTGGACATCTTCGTCGCCCCCGCTCTGGTCTCTCAAGTCAGGCTAAGCAAGTCGCTCGTGCTAGTGCATTGGGCCAACCATTTCCAGTCAAAAAGAAGGACCCCAGCGAAGAAGGCGAGGAACGAGGTTCCCCAGCCCCCGAAAAGCGACCACAGCGATTGACCAAGTCAGAACAGCAGCTTCAGCGCGCGTTCAATTGGGTCAAGACCTTTGAAGACAAATTGCTGCAGATTCTGGAACCTGAAAATGTTGACCTGCGCAAGCTTGGAGGAAAGCCTGTAGACCAGGCATTGGAAGATGAGCTGGCGGGTTACGTCAAGCAAGAAGATGACTCGCGCTATCGTTGCAAGGTGCCCGAATGCACAAAGCTCTTCAAGGCTCAAAACTTCTGGCACAAGCACATTGAGAAGCGCCATGCTGGATGGCTCGAGACCATAACACGAGAGGTTGGTTCAAATATCCCCCTTCCTGTACTGACTATCGCGCCCTACTAATTATTCTTCGTAGCTTGGTCTTGTGAATGCATACGTCTTGGATCCCTCTCGTATCGCCCCATCCCGATCCGACGCCAATAGCAATGGCCACTTCCCCTGTCCTCTGGTGGAAACCAAAGTGGAACCCCGCGTGGTTTCAGCCTTGCGAATGTTCCCTATGTGGCAAATCCAGGGTCTCTACCTGGCGGCTTCCCCGCAGGTGGAATGCCCGGGTTGATGGGACCTGGTGCTACCTGGAACGGAAACGTAATGATGGGTGCTGATGGTCCCAACCTGCACCAACCAGGTGTGATGCGACGTGGTCAAAACCGACACAACAATCGCTCCGGACCGTATGATCGTCGTCGATACAACAACAACGGCGGTGCTGGCCGACTGAGTCCTGTCCGTATGACCAATATGTATGGCTCCGGGGGTGGTCGTTTCCCTCCTGCTAATATCACGGTCCCTCCCGGTCATCCCGCTGCCAATCTGGTTGCTGCTAATCCATTCCCCGATGCCATGGGCGCTGGTGGTGGTCCTCAAGCCATGCCACCCCGGGAAGCGGTCCAAGGTCGCAGTCTGAAGAGTTACGAAGACTTGGATGCTATGGGTGGCTCTGGTAGTGGAGAGCTGAACTACTAGTCAGGTTTTTACGTTTTTCTTCTTATTTCCCCCTCATTTTTATCTGCCAGGCGTGCGCGGCGTATTTGCGAGGCGATGAAATAAATGAGATCTGTTAAGTGCCTCTGCTTTCTTTCTTTTCTTTGGTGGCATATCTTTCGCGGTGGATTTCTCTTCACTGGGTTTTAACATTCATTTCGAATTTCTTTTTGTTTCTCCTACTTTCCTCATGTTCTACACTTTTCATTTCTTTGTTAGGTGGGTGGGTGTTCTCCCTGGGCGTTTCTTTTGGGATCTCCGCCGCATTTACATGAGCATGTACAATATTCTTCCTCGCCATCAATGCAGAACTTTTAAAATATTTTCTTTCAAATGTAGGAGTAGTGGGCTTATTTCTGTACAGTAAAGCTGAACGCCTGATTCGCATCAATTGAGGCGATTATACTCCTTTGAAAGAGCAAAAGTAATCCAGAAGAACAAACATTTAAAGGAATAGATCATGGCATTTGAATAACAATTTTCTCATCGTAATCCCTCCACTGCAAGCCCATTTTTCGAACCTGTCGCTCACTCGCTAGAAACAAAAGCAGATAGACATGCATGGCGATCTCGCCCCACGCATAAACCTTCAACTGCATCTGAACCGACCCGTCTAGCGGGACCTGAATGTCCAGCGGGGCCGATGCTGAGGATTCAGGTACAGGTACAGTCGGGGAGGAAGTATTTGATGCATGCTCAAGGACGCACCAAACCCCCCCCAACCAGCACGAGCATCCTTCCCCACAAATCCCTCAAGAAAGGACCAAAACCGCTGGAAGAATGTCAGAGTCCAGTTTGAATCTGAATCTGATTCCTGATCCTGTGGCTGGGCTAGGTTTATTTCGCTATTAGCTGGATTCTTAGTTAATCCTTCTGACTGATGGTCTTGCTCTGGATTTGTATCTGGACCTTGTTTCAGACTCTGGTTTACTGCTTGGTTATCCGCCCGAATCCCAAGGCGGATGAACCAGTAGCCGCGTTCCAGGTCATGGAGGGGTCGTGTTTGAGTAATTGGTTTGTACGTTCGATCGGGTTTGAGTCGGTTTGAGAGCATGGATAGTGTGGGAGTGATATGGGTGGTGTATGAGGCTATGGAGATTGCGGGTAGTGGGGGGGTGGATCTCTAAGGGAAGAAGTGGGAGGAGATGACAAGGATTTTGGAGTTGGGAGATAGAGATAAGAGAGGGATTAGGATTGGGGGCATGATTAGTGCTAGATTGGAGTTCATGCTTTCCCTGTAAATGAACTGGAATCGGATTCGGTGGGATGAGAAAGCCCGTTGTGGTGGTTGGTGGTGCTGATACGCCTGAATTGAACATTGCTGCAGGGAGCGGAGACTCAATTCGGCATCTTTTAGATGGCGGATCCGACTGTGAATCATCCGGCTTCCCGTTTGATCGAGATTGACATGGATTTACTGTACTCTGAGAGGGAGGACATAGTGTATCCGGTTGAGAGTCTGGAATGACGCTGGCCACACTTCGAGTCTCGAGGGAATCGTGATCATGATCCTGCGCAGAAACCGTAAGGCGGCCACGATCTGAAGGAGCCAGTAGGCTGGAACCGATCTTAGTAGCGATCGACTCAAAATTGAGGGACTGGCCTGAAAGAGGTCTCGCAGGGAGATGGTCCGAGCGAGTACTGGGGGAAACCGAATCCTGCACGCCAGCAGTGACAGATTCGGGACGGACCACGGCGGGCTGCCTTGGGTTATCGCGGGTGTCCGTTGATTCGTGGGTCGCCTGTTCTTGTTGACTGGTCTGAAAGGCTAGAATAGCGGCGACCTGCGCTCGGTATCGTGCATCATCCTGGATAGTGCTTGGAGCAGAAACATGGACGAGGATCTCCATTGCCCGATTTGGATGAGAACCTTGGAAATGTATTTGTCACACAGATTGTGACGATGCAGGCACATGGGCACTAGTGATTTGGATGTGATATTCCAATGGTCTTTTTTTTTGGGGTTTGCGGGTTTCTTTTTCTGTGCCCCTTGCCCCCCTTTTGAGATTGATCACATTCGGGATTTTCAACAGTTTTTTTCTTCTTTTTTGACAGTGACGAGGTGGAGTCCGGGGAGGAGAGGTTTGCCACAGAGATTAGATGTGATAGACGGGTAAGCAGTTGAGTGTAGATGCAGAGGAAATGACTCAGAATATTCGTAGTAGTTATTATATAGAAGGAAGAGAAGTAGAGTAGGTAGAGTAGAGAGTAGGGAGTAGAGGTTGAAGTATAAGTTAAGATGAGTATAATAGCGTGGCAATAAGAGATTACAGATCACGACTATACGGAGTACAAAAAATCCAGTTTATTCAATCAATTCAATTCATTTCATACTGAAATAATTGGAATTTAATGATCAGGATATCATATTCTATAAGTATATACGGACTTTATTATACTTATAATTGCCCCTTTTTCTTACATTGTAGTACTAATAAGGCTTGCTTCACTTTAACTAGATATACCCCGATATACTCTATTATACAGATGATGATCAAAAACCCATCTTTAGTCCAAATCTTTCTCTCCTTTTTTCAAAATTTCAACTCCTTTATTTTTTTTTCTTTCTAATTTATCTCTATTCTTTATCTATTACTTATTCAATCATTGAATAAACCCCCAACTGGTTTATTCTTCATCTTTAACCTCGTACCATCTTCGGGGGGAAAACTAAGTGCCAAGAACCCCATGATTTTCTTCCCGATCACTCTTCTCTTTCTCCTCTAAAGTGCGCTCGGACTTTTCTTCATTCTTATCCCTTCCCAACTCCCCTTGCTCACCATGGCTACCGGTGGAGTTTATCCTATGGAAATGCAACAGCTGCCCGGTAAGTACTGAGCGAAACTTTGATGTGAGGACATGCATCTTGCATCTGGCATCTCGCATCTCTATATCTCCACCCCCTCCAAAGCCTCAAATCTTTAGCAGAAATGCTAGCAATGATACACTGGACTAACTGATTGTGTGCCCTTGAACCTCCCTATCGAGGGTGGTTAGGAGCACGATGCCATTGCAGAACCGCCAGAGACTCCCACTCGAGGCGGGTTCGGGGCCGAATTTATGAAGATGTTTCAACCAGGTCCAAAGAAAGTGACTCGAGGTGAGTGTTACCACTTATCCCCATGCTCATCAAGCGACAAATTCCCGCGATTCTAACCCAATTATCTAGATGGTCAACCACCTAAGCGCCGAGGTCCTAAACCAGATAGCAAACCAGCTCTCACTCGACGACAGGAGCTGAATCGCCAGGCTCAGAGGTACGACAACATATGATTTCCCATAAAAATATTGATCCCCAGCTAATCCCGCTTGTTTACCTCCAAAAGATCCCATCGCGAGCGAAAAGAACAGTATATGAAGTCATTGGAGACCGAGGTATCCCGACTACGGGAGGCTTATTCCAACGAAATCAACACGAACACCACGGTTCAACAGCAGAAGGAGTTCCTCCATAACCTCCGCGACGAGAACGAAATATTGAAGGAAATCTTACTCGCCAACGGGATCCAATTCGAGCCAGAGCTGGAGAGACGTCGCGCGGAACGTGCCTCGGTCGGAGGCTACCAGTCGAGCCCGGTCGCAGGAAGCAGTAATGGGTCCAATACGGCCGGTTTCACCAATTCGATCACACAACAGAATGTGACCCCTGGAACTTCCATCTCCACGGGGTTGAGCCCCCGTGCGACGGGTGGCGTGGATCATCCGGAAGTGTCGCCCGCAATGGCCTTTGCGCCCCCGCAGCAAGTATACCACTCTGGTCCGGGTGAACAGCTTGTTGGCTTCGATCAATCTGCATGCCATGCAATGGAGCCTCCGGTGCCGCCAATGCCAATGGCGAAGGGTGTATTTGAAAGCGATCCCCAACTCCAGATTGACTTTATTTTAACGTACGTGCTATCTCACTGAGATTAAGCCAAACTGGTTGACTAATATTCTTTCTCTTTACAGTTTGGAAGGGCCTTGTCGTGAACATACGGATTATCTCTGTCGACGGTCTATAACGGAGGCGGACGACGAGGATATGCCATTCTCAGGACATGCCCTGATGGCTACATGTCCGCCACCTAGCTATATCGCCAACACCACTGCCGAGCAGCCATATCCGCATAAGGCGCCAAATCTCCCACACGCCAATCTATCCACCCTACTCAACCTCAGTCGACAGCTCGTGACAGAAGGACAAATTACTCCGATCATGGCATTACAATGCCTGAAGAACCATGAGCTCTACCCAACACTTGGACGTGATGACGTCAAGATCATCATTGACACCCTCAACAACAAAGTGCGCTGTTACGGCTTTGGTGCTGTGGTCGAAGACTTCGAGCTCATGGATTGCCTGAGCAGCGTGTTGGGCACTAAGGTTGATGTTGGCGTTACTCGTGTCCGCGGCGACTCTATCTATGGATGAAGGAGAGAGAGAACGTAACCTTCCTCATCCCTCAACCTGAGAGGGCACGATAATGAATCTTATGTTTGCAAAATGGTTTGATATTGGCGCGCATTAAGGAGTGAACCTGGTGTTTCCCCTTTCTTGCTTCCGGTCCTTTTTTGCTTGTTTTCTTTGTGTTATCCCCCAGCTGAAGTCGCCCTTGACTTCTTTTCTTTTCTGTGCCACTGTCTTCCAATGACCTACTCTATTCGCTTTACTTCCAACCTTTCTTTGTGAATCTGTATATATTGGTGAAAAACGGCCATGGCTGAGCCATGGACCAAGGGAGTTGGTTATGTTTGATTTTTCTTTTGTTTTTTTCTTGGTCCCCAGTTGATGGTGGGACCCAATTTCTTTTCATACGTGTGATATATCTCGAATTGCTTTGATCAATTTGCCCTAACAATCTTATTTGATATTTGAATAACAGCCCATTTGGCTACTATTTATCATCTGAATCTTCTCAAACTGTAACTGCCAAAAATTTCTTGATGTCCTCTTGGCCACATGTATTCCGTATGATCTAGCCCCCGTCCAGCCCTGCCAGTGGGTTCTAGGATTGTCGAAAGGACTCAAGTCAAGGTGAAGTATACTGGCATATTGAAGATATCATGCCATCATAACCATTCCTAGCAACATTTTTATCCCAAGTCCACTTGACCTAGAGTATGGAAAAAATTGGATTGATCCTTATGAATTATTGAATTGTATTAATTTAGACCGATTATTCCCCAATGAGCAATTCTCGAGTCTTTTCTGATCGTGGTTTCATGACACATGCAAAGCTATCAGGAACGCCGCTCAACCCACTTGAGAAACTCACTTTTGGTTCAATCCTTTTACCAGATTCATCAACAGGGCAATTGAGCTCCATTGTGGCCACCAGAGTGACTAACACGATATAGACACCAGCAAGGGCGAGATGTTGACCTGGACAAACCCTTCTCCCAAAACCAAAGGGTCCCTCAGGTAATGGCTCACCCATCCCACCCTCAGACTTCGAAATGAACCGATCTGGGTTAAAATCATCCGGCGAAGAGTAATGGCGTTTATCGCGGGACATTGCCCATGCATTTGCGAAGACCACTGATCCCTTGGGAATGTAATAACCATCATAAATGTCATCTTCGATTGACGCATGAGGAACACCAAGTGGTGAAAGAGGCGCCCAGCGTGTTGCCTCTTGAATAACGCACTCAAGGTATTTTAATTGTGGTCTATCATCAAAATCCGGTAGTCGGAGGAGATTCCCATGTTCATCAGTACCTACCACGCGATCGATTTCTTGCTTAACCTTGGTTTGGATATGAGGGTGTTTCATTAAGTTGAAAATACACACAATCACGGTAGACCACGTTGTATTACCACCTGCAATAGATATTGCGCCTGCCGCACCTTTGAGATCAGCGATGGTAACCTCGTTCGGTATTCCCTTCTCTTCATTAGAGAGGTATTTCCCGAAATGCGTCAACATAAATGAAGGCTGAGTAGCTTTTCCAGAACGAATCGAAGACTCAGTCGCATCCCAAGGTGCATCGTGTAGATGTTGAATAGAAGGTTTTGTGCGACGAGCATGAGCAAGAGGCTGGAAAGCGGTGCAGAGTTTCTCGACGAAACTAGGAAGATATCGCAAGATTGGAAAAAAGTCCACGATTGATGCTCCCGGTACACCACCTTTCCCAGTAGCTTCCTCAACATCGAGAGCCATCTGAACATATGGATCATTCTCTTCTTGAACATCAATCCCGAACCCAATACGTAGAACGACAGCAGTTGAAAATTGTCGTAGGAGAGCTTCCCACTCATCTGGTTTTCGTAGAATTGCTTTAACAGCACGGCGAGCCTCTTCTTGCTGGATAGGTCGATAGGGCTTACAAGCAGACTGAGTAAAGGACTGCTGGAGTAATTTCCGGTGTAGTCTGAATCGTGGTGACCAGCGCAGAAATGTCAGAGTGACACCCCATCCCATCACTTCAAAGAGAACAAAACGTGGGCGATCGGCATAATTGGCTCCTTTTTTATCGAGAAGGTTGTGAGCGCTTTCGACACTGTTGAGTACAATCATGGGGCGAGATAAGACATTGAAATAGAGGATATCCGAGTCATACTCTTTTCCCCATTGTACGAATTGACGCTCTGGATGATCTTTTGGAATAATGCGAAGATGGCCCCAGATAGGATTACCTGAAGGACCAGGTGGCAAACGAGGACCTTGCCAGCTTTGTTTTGGTTTAAATGATCTGATGGTGATGATGAAGAGTATGAAACCAAGAAGTACTGCCCACACGAAGGGCATTGAAACATCCATGATGCATCTGTTGGATGTTCCGTGCACAACTAAACGAAATGATGAGTTTTGCTCTGGATTTCTCCTAGTAGCACCTAAAAGTGGCTGAATGCAGCTTACTTGAATCTGTTGGGGATCAGGCGTCCTGCAGCTTTCAAATAGAGCTGAGATCTTCACATATTATGTAGAAGATCGCTTGGAGGTTGGCTATCAACCGGAACTTCCCGGTGGAAGCGTCTGCTAGAAATGTGACTCAGTATGTTAGATGGGCTCCGTATGGAGTAAATGTATCACGATGATCCAACAAGCTTGGTAGTGGGGCATTCGACAAGGATGTTGGCTGGGTTATCCGAGGTTGATGAAAGGCGGAGATGGAGTACGAGTGCCAAGGATGAGACGAAGAGAAACACCAACGTTGGAAGCACTTCAAAATACTAGTATAGCGGACTTGAGATTTCAAAATTAATTGCTGTCAGCGTATCAATATTTGAATTAAGTTCAATGTTAGTAATGTTGTTCTGCTTGCAATTCTACGGCACCGGGCATAGAAGACAAGAATGAAGTGAAGGCATCAAATTTCGTTAACTCTTATAAAACTTTTGCATATGCAGAGTCCAAGGAAACAAAAATGGAATCTAGTTCAAACATAAAAAAGGACATAATTAGACTCCGGATATTTACTCATCATCCTCCTCCTCCTCGTTCTTCTCCTCCTCCTCGACCTCCTCCTCCTCATCGAAGGCAGTAGCCGGAACGCTGTAGAGACGCAGCACAGAGCGGTTGGGGTCCTTGATAAGGACGTACTTCTTGACAGCATCGGCGGGCTCCTCAGCATCGAGACCACGGATACGGTCGACAATGGTGCGAACAATACCCCAACCGTTGCCGAGGTTCAAGTTCATCTGAGTAGCGAACTCACGGGGCTTGTAGCCAACAACGCCGAGAACAACGTGGCCAGCAGCGGAGCGAGGGTTGGCACGGGAGATGAAACCAAGCTTCATGCCATCAGCCTGAGCCAGGATAGCCTGGGTGGTCCAGCGGGCCAGCTTGCAGGAGTTGTTCTTCATCTCAGTGGCGATGACAGCGCCACGCTGAGAGACGAGCTTGCTACGCCAGTCAAGAGCGCCACCAGAGCCAATGGCCTTGCTGTCAAACTCGTTGAGAGCCTTGACAATGAGCTGCTGGTCAGGACCGCCAGTGGGGCTCTTCATAACAGCATCGACCTCGGTACGGACGATCATCTGTAGAGGCTCCTCATCGCGCTCCAGGGAGATGTCGAAGCGGCGGTACTTGTAACCCTTGGAGGCGAGAGGCTCGGTCTCCTCGGCCTCGTTATAGAAGGGGTTGGGCTGAGCGAAGGAGATCTTGGCCTCCTCAGACTCGGTCACAGTCTGCAGAGCGAAGTTGTGGTTGATGAAAGTAGCTTCCATGGCAAGAGCGCCAGGGGTGTTGATCTGCTCTTGCTTGCCAGAGGCCTCAGCAACCTCAAGAGGGGCATCCTGAGCGTTCTCGTTAACACTGACGAGATCCATGGAGGCACCAGGGCGCTTGTCGAAGAAGATCTTGCCACCCTGGTGAGTGATAACAATATCCCAAGAGTAGACACTGCGTGTAGCACACATGAGCATGGACAGGATGTCGGCGGTAGCGAAAACGGTAGCCTCGCTCTTCTCGGAAAGCTCGTGGAGAATGGGATCCTGCGATGTGGTAACGTTGTAGGCGGCACGCTCGAGAGCCTGGAGTCTGCGCTCGGCGTTCTTGACGGGAGGGCGGTCGTAGGATCGGTCGTAGTAGTGCAGGAAACCGTAAGTGTCGATATCCTCACCCTCGGGGGTCTCAAGGTTCAGCTTGGACAGACGGTTGAAGTCAACCTCCTCCAGCATCTGCCAGTCGGGGCGAATATTGACGGAAGCCTCACGAGTGCGCTGAGGCTTGTCGTAATCCTTCCAGCCAAAGCGACGGCCACGGTTACCGCGATTACCGCGGTTATCGTAGTAGCGGTCACCCTGACCACGGCCACCAGCACCGGCGCGCTGGAAGCCACCACGTCCACCACGCTGTCCAACGGGACCACCACGCTGGCCACCACGGCCACGGAAAACGGTACCACCGCCACGACCGAAAGTGCGCTTGGTGGATGTGCGGGTGTTGTCGACAACGGAGAAAGAGGACTCATCCTCGGCGGCCTGGACAGTGAACAGGCTGGAGGAACCAGCACCATAAACCTGCTGATCTGAAAGAGAGAGAAAAAAGTTAGTTGATCATGAATTGGGATTGATTTCGAAACGAAGCACAAAGAAACTGGGAAAATACAACGCAAAAAAAAAAATGGTTGCGACCACGGGAAAAATAGTTACCTCTGAAGTTACGGTTGTACTGCTGGCGGCCCTGGTTGTTACGGTCCTTGGACTCGGCAGTCCAGTCGGCCATGCGGCCCAACTTGTCACCCTTAGAGAAGGGAGCATAGGGCACACCGTTGAGCATGTTGTCACCAGAGACGGAGGGACCCCAAGAGTCCTCCGCGGGGAGAGCGGCCACGAGGTCCGCGATCGAAATAGGAGCCATTTTGCAGGATTGGATGACAAGCAAAAACGGCCTCAGGTGGGTGTTTTGCGTGGGGTTGAGATTATCACCGGCAAGTTTTTTGTGTTGCGAGTGGATGTGGCTGAAGTGGGCCAAGCCCGATGCACCGCCACATCACGTGCTATTGCTTACGTAAAACGAAGTATATCCCCAGGGCCACTGGCAGGCCAAGTTTATCAAATTGCACTAGTTATAGAGTAATATTCATGGCTATGGATGAATATACCCAAAGCTGAGACATTTAAAAGAATAAGGATTTGAGGAGTAAACATTGAAATCTCAGACTCGGACCCGGAGTTGTGACTAGTAGAATCCTGGAGGATTGATATAGGTACCTTCAGGGCCATCAAGGGATGCATTACGGCCCGTGAAGACTTGCAAATGTTCGTTCAGACATCTCGCGATAGTCAAAATTTCATTGACTGTGATGTATGCATGCCTCGAAAAATATATTGTTTCTCATGGATTCAAATATTGCTACTAGTACAAAAATGGAACTTGAAAACTTCAAGTTGGGACAAATAAACTATCATCTGGGCATATCATATATGCCAGTACATGTGAACATGTGATATATTCCAACTTGAAGACTCTGAACTTTGAATGCTTAACCTTGAGTACATAAGCATACGGGAAAGATATCAATTTACGTGAAAAAACCTCTTTGTCTGCAATATCGAAGTCAAGCCTTTACAAAACGTTTAAATAGCTATCAGTGTCCAAGTGACCGAATGCATGTGAAATGATATTTTAAATTCTGACCTACTCTAATATTTCGCACTAAGACCGACTATCCAATTGATCTACCATCATTTCAAGTTCCTGAAACCGAGAAGGGCTGATCCTATGTAGAGGCAACATTGGTATGGAGTATATGGCCCTTATTGGTACATATTTGTCACATTTGAGCTGAACTACTCCAGAGCTTATTGCCGGAGCCATTTCCCAACATGCATGACTGTTTCGTCTTAAATTATAGGCTCTTCCGAGTTCCCCCCCGAACCCGCTTTAGATTTTTTTTTCCAGGCATCGACGGGTTGACAGATCACAATCCTCAATGCATGTCGGCACTAGTTATGATTACCTGAATTCTACGCATACAGATTTCTAGTAGTCCTGGAGTTGATATCTTAGTATCATATAACGAGTCAGATTCACGATAATACTTGAATCCTCGTGACGTAGACGATCTTCAAATGTTTGAATTATCAGCTATTGAATAGAATCTGAATCATATCCAATACACTAAAATAATTGAAGATCGATTCGGGAACACTTCAACATGCAGATCGGCTAAGAAGTGGATCTTCGGTTAGTTCAAGCACTTGAGTTGTAATCTCAAGCCCGGAAGATTAAATGGCGCCACCGATCAGAATGTATGTGCATAATTTCTATGTATCAACAACCTTGGAGCCCCTGGGGTTATTGTGGAGTGACTCAAAGCGGATCAATCAACGGGGAGAGGCTTATCACGGCTCTTCAGATAGACTGGCATCCAAGAGCCGAATTACCGCCGCATGCGCTCAATTGAATGAGGAAGATGACAAATACTAAGTGAGGCTATGTCTTCATATAATTGTTTGTTGACTTGCTTTTTCCCTCCCCGAGCCTCTTCTTTACCGATTCCCAGCTGGATGGGTCGGGATTTTCAGGACACTTCACAAGCATCTTGTTCCTGGCGATGGATCGACGCCTTGGCACCTCCATTGTATTCATTATACTGGAGCATAGTGGAGCCCACTGATAAGAACACTGCAGCTAACCATCAGGAACAATGAATTGAAGGATCAACTCAATCATCTCAATCAACTCAGGGGCCCCGCAAACTATTGAAGGCCAAACAGGAAATCTAGGATCATGGTTTCATGAACATGACTCGAATCATATGAGATCGACAGCCAAGAAAGATCACCTATGGCTTTGCATGAATGCTCGCCGAATCAGTTTCCACACAAGTTCGGACAATCCTCCTTGTAAGTTCGATCTATGAGCTGCGCTATCAAGGAACCATTAAACGCATTGATGCTGGTACAAACATATAGGCTATTTTTGTTCTGTGCCTCTCAGTGGACAGAACAATGTCTATCTGAAGTTTTTGCTGATCACCGAGGTTTTCGAGAATTGCTACCTGCATCTGCACTCTATACATGTGGAATAATGATGCATCTTGCTGCATTTCACTCTGTTTGGCATCAAATTGGCTTTAGTGACTGATAAGCCATCTGTACGTGGAGAGGCTTTCCCTCAAGGCCTGGTTGCAAAGCTATAAAGGACATCAGTTTTCCTCACCAGGACTTGAAATCCAAGCACTCAATTCTCTCAACCATAATACACTCTTTCAATTCCGAATCCTGACTCAACATCAAAATGCGTTTCTCCGTCATCTCTGTTCTCTTCATGGTCGGTGCTGTCATGGCATCTGCCCATGTCTCCCACGACAGCCACGCTGCTGTTGCGAAGCGCGGTGGTTGTGTTGGCTCGCTTCTCTGCTGCAGCGGTCTGACTACTCCTTTGGACCACATCGTGGATCCTATCCTTGAGGACCTCGGCATCAACGCCTCTGGAATTGTTGGCTCCATTGGTATTCTCTGTATGGCTCCCTCGAATTTGTGTAATCGGCGATGAAGATCTCTAACTATATGATAGGTGACCCCATCGAGGGCAGCCAATGCACCACTGCTCCTCAGTGCTGCACAGAGGCCAACCTTCTGGTAAGACCTACCCATGATTATCAGCAACTGATTAGATACTGACCGAATCATAGGGTGGCCTTGTTGCTCTTGGCTGCGAGAGCATTTAAACGACAACATTTGAAGTCAAAATTTGAATCTGTTTCAAGCCACCAGGTTATTTGACCTTGTGGCTGTGTACTATTACGCCAAGTACATATTCAACCTTGGATATTGTGGATACTGGGCCTCTTTACCAGGACATGGAAATATTTTCTTACTGAGGAGCATCCTTAGTTCTTACTACATTATACATGTACTTAATTTCATAATGTTACATACAGTTCGATGTTATCACTACTGAAGAATGATTGAAGTAAGATAACCTTGGAAGGTCTAGGACACGCCAGTTGGATGTTGATGTGATGCATCCAATTACGTGAAGTTATCCCAGGCAACAAATTAGAACATGGACAAAATTAGTGGTAATCGATTGATAAAAAGCTGACTCCATAAAGCTCCGCGAGGTGGCAAGCTTGGGGACTATTCCGAATATAAAATCTTACCTCCAGTGCCCGATACCTACTACTCCTTACTTTCCCCGGTTGCGACGCCACCCGCTTCTAAACGTTATATAACACTCACGTAACCTTCCAAGGTTCTAGGCAGCAGCTTTGCTCCTCAAATTACTCTCCCTGCCCACTCGTCAGTTCTCGTTACCAAAACAACGATTTAATTTATCTTGAGAAATCCTCAGCTTATCATACCTCATCACAGCAGTGAAACTCGCACGTTGCCTCGCGATCCATCATGATACCCATACCGAAGCAACCCAATGAGGCGCCAATAACATTCAACGACGAGAGAACCATCATCACTGAAGGGAATGAGATAAGTCGCTGCAATCTCAGCAACTGCAATATCTCTAACTCACGACTGAAACGCTCTACATTTAAGAATTGCGCGCTATCTCACGTTCGCAGCGCACGGTGGACGGAAGCTTCTGACAGTCGCCTACAGAATGTCGACTCGGTGAAACGAAGCCAAATATCCGCGAGTATGTTATGCGATGGAAGCTCTGTGGAACGCAGTACGGTGACGGCGTCTAATATTAGAAATGCGACTGAAATCAAACGAAGCGCTGTTGCAAATTCAACCATCTCACAGAGCACACTTCGGAGGTCACAGTTGAATGAATGTGAGGTAGAGAATTGTTTGATCTTTCGATCGAGCTTTGAAGGAATAGTTCTGAAACATGGTGTTTGGAAGAGGGGGAAATTGGTTTCTCGAATTGGAGACAAAGAGCCAGTTGCAATTCACAAAGATGGATCAGTCTTGGTAAGTAGAATCTACAGCCTCTACTCACGGTAGCAGATATTGAAGCTTCTAGAAAAATCCCTTCCATCTCGATAACGCACTACCTCATTGTGCAGAGCTAGACGCCAAGTCTCAGCTCCCAGTCGATGGACCTGAAGACTATGCTCTCGACTCCGACCCTAGTGATACCGACGACTCGGAAGATGAGAAGGACCTACCACCACCTTACAAACCGTGATGAAAGAGGTCAAGCATATTACTATTCATACCACATCCATAATTTCAGAGAAAATGTGGATCGGATTTCATATTGATGGAAACGAAGCAGAATTTCTTTTAGCAAAAATAAATTTATTACAACCACGGAGTAGTTATTGCATAAAAAAAAGTCCAAGAAACGAGTGATCTATCTGCATAATAATATGTCCAAAATAAGGCGGAAAGACAAAGTATTGTCGCTAGCTCAAGTGTTGCCGGCGACAACATACTGCTTGGTGGTATTGAGCGAAGCGAGTGTCTCTTTGCTCAAGTTCAAAGTATCCTTGACAATTTGTCTGGGAGTAGAAGCAAGCCATTGTCCAAGGGCCATATCTAAGAGAAGATTAGAAACGGAATGTGAGTGACGCAAGTTATAGCTCAGGAAGAAAACATACCTGTGAATTCTGTGGCTTGGAGTACCTCCACAAAGACCAAATCAGAATCGCCAGTATTCTCGATGTAATGACTGTTAGACTGAGGGAAGTAAGCGACATCACCAGCCCGGTAATCAAAAGTGGTTGCAGAATCAGCCGCAGTGAAGAGTGTGGCTCGACCCTGTCCTTCAATAAAGAATGTCCACTCATCACTAGTAGGGTGCCAGTGAATCTCACGCATTCCACCAGGGTGTACAGTAACAATAGCCGCCGAGAAATTCTCAGCAATGGGGAAAGTGAGCGGGTCCACGATTTTAACTGATCCTCCAGCAACCTCATGAGCTGGCTGTTCAGAGAAGTGATAGGAGTAGCTCTGGGTGCGTGGAACAACACCAGATGCGGTAGTAACGTTTTGCTCCTCAATGTCCTCTGGTGCAGGGGTTCCTTGGAAGATATACAGCTCATCATCCGGGATATTATCGAATGCCGAGACGGGAACACCAAGATCCTTGGCAAGAACAGAAAGCTGAACAATACAATGAGTATCAAAATTTTGAAGTGATGAGGAAGAGGGAGGTAGAGGTTTTTCTTACCGGGGTGTGCAGGAAGACCTCTGTAGCAAGGAATGTGTTGTCCTCATCGAAGGTTCCCTGATCAAAGACCAGAAGAAATTCGACACCATCGTCCAACGCCTGGATTGAATGGGGGATACCTCTGAAATTGATAATGAGCTTTCATACGCGTGTGAAAGAAATATCGATGGATTTAATCTCAACTTACGGCGGGAAAAACCAGACATCACCTGCAGTGAGATCATCAACGAATGTCTCTCCATTCTCATTGACGGCCTATAATGGTTGATTGGTACCTTTGTTATTTGATGGTCAGATTGTATTTGCTCACCTGAATTCGACATGATCCATTTAGCACTAGAGACCACTCTGCAGCAACGTGCCAATGCAGCTCCCGATAGGCACCAGGCTCAAGTCGCATATCAACTCCAGCCATTTCAGTCGCAGCGGGCATGACTTCGACGTTCTCCTGACGAGCCCATCCAGCATTATCAATACCTAGTCTGAGACTATATTAGTATGTCATTTTTGTTGGAGCTATAGGATAATCATTTACCGATTGTGACTGAGACCTGTACGGGGAATTAGTGACTAATTCTTGCTTTGGAGAGCCAGAGAACTTACCCATTGGCCATTGCGCATTGATAGTTAGACCGTTGTCTGTCCCAGGTGGCGCCAGCTTATCACTGTTGATTCTATCGTACCAGTAGTTACCTTGAAGAAGCTTGTTAGTTTTGATGCTCAGGCGATATATGAAAGGGGAGTGCATCTGTAGACTCACGTGGACCAGGATCATCACTACCAGTTGCTCCTCGGATAGGCTGAGGATTATCAGCATTTTCAAAGTCCAAGTATTGACCGAGATCCGCGCTGTCTGTTTGACCTGGAACAAGGCTATACTTTATATCCGGCTGAGTCCCGCTGGGGACCTTCTCAGTAGAGGAATAGCCGACTAAAGCCTCAGATCCTCTCAATGGTGGGTTGGTACTCCTTTTAGTTGGTGCTCCATTGACAGCGGCAAGGAGAGCAGGAAGGAGAAAGAGACTCCGACCCAAGGATGGTAAAGCCATTGTAGGAAGGAGATTCCTGTGAGGAATTCGATGCACTTAGAAGGAGACTTAGATTTGAATCTGTCCTAACCGGTGGACAAATAGGCTCTGCTGGGCTTTTCAATCCGGCTACCATGGGACCTTTTATAATGATTTCCATCACGATCATACGACCCTCGTCGATTCAAGCATGGAATCTCCCAGGTCCTTCCCCTCACTGAACGGCAATATCGGAAACTTGATGATGAGATGGTCAAATATTTCCCCTCACCAGAGGACCGTGTTGATCTAAAGTTGCGGCATACTGGAGCTGATAGTAGCCTATCAGAAGTAGAGCAAAGTTCTAAGAAGTTCCCGAAAAGAGGGGGAGCTTGAATGATTGACATGGAATGTCCTATGAATTAGGTATAGAGTGCCAATACACGTTGTGTTGATTCCCCACTTGAGAGAATGAAGGAGACGGTGGGTATTTGCTGCAAGTGAGGAATGAGAAAGCTCCATAGCAACGTAATTAGACTAGCAATTCTTTGATCCAATTAATATTCACAGTACATGTTTGTATCTGCATCATAAATTTGCTATTGGAGGAATCCATGTTTGTCCAAATTCTTCCCCTAGATGGGAGAAGCTTTGAGATCGTTACACAACCCTGAAAATTTATTCTATATATAGAGCCTGCATTTAAGCGAGACCGATCTCTCCAATGACTTCCGTGAGATATAAAAAGTTTGGCTTGAGGGGTACTTAAATGTGGTGCTCATTTCCGTTATAACTCCACTGCGGCCGGAGACGATTCGGTAAAAGCAATGTCCGGTGTCGTTCCTTGATTCATTCGTCGATTTATTCCCCGAAAATGATCTTATGCATCTAGGATATGACCTTATACACTAACTAGATTTAGGTAAAATCATGGTTCAAATGCTGATTTTTCATACATAGAACCAATAAAGCTCACTGATATGTACAGCACTGCACATGTAGGTACATACTAAAAACAAGCTCGCGCCAAGCTTTTCGAGCCAAGGCAAAGAATCTATGGAGAATACATTGGCGTTCAACTACATCCAAATGTGTTCTATAAGAAAAGGCACACCTTGAGTATTATGAAAACCTTCACTCTATTCCTGCCGATCATGACCATAATATGCCCCGCTATCCAACAGACAACCTTGGAATGACTTTTTTTCTCCGCGTGAGGGGATCCACAGGTGTATAGGCCTACACTAGCCTTGTGACGAGGACCTTGAAGTATTTTTAACTCCTAGGGCCAGTTACGGCCAAATCTTGAAAGTTTACCCGGAATAGGTAGGCTGTGAGGCCTCGCTTGGAAAGATGATCCGTGGGGCTTAGGTTTGATGTGCCACGGGCAGTGATTTCACCATCAATAGGTCGCATTTCATGCCGTTCATTGCCTTTTAGGAATAAAAAGTTCGCATGGACCTCGGGGTTCGGACGGGCTTACTACCGCCAGTCGTTCAAGTTAATGTAGTCCTACCAAGGCGGCAGATGCTCCACAGAGTCCGTCGTCTCAGAACCTTGGAATGCAGCCCTGTAAGATGGAGACCATGGAGCCTTCTATGCATGCGAGTTAAATATAGAAAATCTCGGAATCGGGTTGTTGCATCGGGTGTTACCCCGCGCGAAGTTTGTGCATATTGTACAGCACAACATACATGTACATGCATAGTACTTCCTACTAGCAGACAATGTTGCAATTTCTACTTGAAACACATTATTGCCCCGTGGATCTTTTAGTCAGTTTACATCAATATTATTCGTATAATCAATTCAAGATTGAAGTACATTCATTCTACCACTGGGAATCAAGGTCCTTATTACCGGAATACTTTGATTTTTCAAGCCGCAGTCTTCACAAACAATCTGTACTTTGGGAACCTTGTGCTGCAAGCTCCTCGTTAGACTCCACTTAAATCCGTGGCCCAATAATGCCCATCGATCTACATACAAGTTATGTGGGTCTATCGTCAAAGAACCTTGGAAGACCTCGGCTGTTCCCGGTCTATCCAGGATTATGGAAGGTCTTTATTTCAAGTTTTGGCCAGAATGGTCCAACTCCCTCGCAAACTACCCCCAATTCGGAAAAGCAGGTCAAGGAACTTGAGTGGATTCTCTTCAGTAATTGATATTGGGACATCTACGATTCTCATCCAAGAAGATTTGGTACTCATAAAGTTGTAGTAATCAAAGCTGCACGCTACAGGACCGAAGTCCATCAACAAAAATATTTGACTCAGAGTAAGCCGAATAATTCCGAGTCTCCCAAAAGCGATATGTAGCAATCAATATTTTAGATGATACTCAAGGGCTAGCACTTTTTCTCCCAAAATAAATCGGATGGGACTCCGGAATATTGAAACTTGAAATCACCCATCACCACTCGAGTGGGATTATTAGAGACCCAAAGCTGAAAAACCTGCAATTATCCACGGGTCACGTAGACATTATGAGACTCAGGTCTTGAAATATTCTATACCCATGTACCTGCGTGCATGAATAGACTATCCATTTATACTATATTTAACTCAAGTTCTTGAATATTGAAATGTCAAGCCCGCAGGAAATTTCGATCACCTGACCCTTTCGTTGGGCCAATGGATAGGAACGCCGCCAGTACAGCGTAGCTCAACTACTCCAAAAGAATTGATAAGACTGCATACATACATACATACATACATAGGTAGAATTTTATACGGATGCTGGGTTTCAATTGCAGTGATGCCCACCTGGGCAGCTTCCAAGGTTGAGGTTTTCTCCCGAGAGCACTTGAGTTAAAAACATGGACCTTTATAAGAGCGTCCACAGGTGAGGTACATTGATCTTCAATTTTATCACAACATTTGAATGTATATGTAAATGTATCCTGGTAGTTAATCAAATTGAGCCATATCCATGGATGTATATTTGCCTACTACCTCAGCTAAAAATCCACATATGTGCATACATATATTCAAATGTTGATACAATATCACCCCAAAAAAGCAACCGGAGCAGCTGCGCAGGTGAGAATTACTAACAGTTTTACCTGAGATGGAATGAATATTGATAAGGTGACCACATGAATAGGTATGATGTGATTAACATTATCATTTGATGCGAGTCAATAAATTTCTTCTGTTTTGTATTGTTCGAGATACTCATCATTCTTTTGCTGTGATGATGTGCCTCGAGATGTTTAGTCGATGGGGTGTACCACTAAGATCGCATGGATGCCCAGGTGTGCAACCTTGGAATGAATGATTGAAATTCGTCTTGAAAATTGGGCACATGTGAAGTCTGAATCCTAGGCTGGTATTAACATTCAAACTTGAATATACAGCCTTGGAAGGCGATTTACCCGTTTCACATCACCTAAAGGCTCCGAGTCGTTAGTCTCAATATTTACGAGACAGCTGTATGTCTCACTGCAAATGGTCCGAATATGATTCGCCAGCGAAGCTCGTTTGAATTAGCAGAGAGTAAAGATTGCCAGTGAGCAGAGGTCAGATGAAAGTACCCATAGGGTCATATTATTATTCATACAGTATCTCTCCATACCATCATGTGTCCATTACTACCTAGTAGTATGGATGTATATTAAGCCATCCCGTGCCCATGCAGGGACTCGGAGACATCCATCCAAAATGCTGCATTATTATTCCACCTCATGTACATAAATGTACACTGGTAGTCTTTTATCCCTAAATAGCTCTACTATAAATTAATCGATCTAAAGACTCCTCACACGTGAGTTTTTACTTTCTTTAATAGTACTATCCTTCAAATATTGCCCCCCGATTTCCCCACAAAGACCAAAAAATAACGACGGCCCCGATCGCCCACTGCGGGGTTGCCAAGGCACTAGCTGCGCTGTGTAAATAGTGATGAGCTCATCTCCTGCAAATCGTGACGACGCACTAAGTAAGAAACTAGCGATGATAGGTTGAGCAACAGTCCCAATCTGTGTCTAGGCTACAAAAGGCGGGCGGGCCCTGCACCGAATCCAATTTAGAAAAAGGGCGCCTAGAATAGACACTTTTGTTGTTATTGTAGTTGGGCTATCGAAGACCGCTGGTTTCCCCTCCTTCAAGTTGTTACCTACAACTTACAAGTAGGTACCACCTGGGCAGCTGACTCGAGACTTAGTAAGACACACAAATACCCATAGGTGGCTCACTGTCTTTGACCTTCATGTTGGTGCAAATGGCGCCACCTCCAGGGCTTGCCACTGGGACAGAAATACTCCGTAGATCGGGGTCTTTTAGTCTACAGTCACTGGCTCACGATGGGAAAAATGGACTCACATATTTTCCCGGAGCGAGATTATGGCCAGCTATCCGATTCTACTTTCTGCTGTGTAGTATGTCAACTGGTACTTCCAAGGTTCAATGTTGGTGTAACATTTGAATTCTTAAGTAATATATTTATATTGATTATGAGTGCTTCCATGCGGGAGAATTCTCAGTTTGGAAAATGGTAAATTAATTATAGTAAGTCAAAATACTGCAATTTGACAGTTTTAGCTGATTTGGTATATTAACCGTATTTTTAAAAGAAAATATTTTCAGATAAAAGATCTTTTATATTCTAAATTTTAGATTAAAAGAAAATTTTATAAAAACAATTTTGAAAGAGATCTACATCTTAGACTACTATATAATCATTAATACATTCAAAACATAGACTACCATTTTAATAATATTTTCATCCCATATTTTCACATCTAGCCCTAAAAACAACTTCGTACTTCATACTTCCTCCAGGGCTCCAGAAGCACTTCAACCTTGGAAGACTTCTAAAATTCTTCCAAGGTTTCCTTTACAACCTCCAAGATTACATCTTCTTCCAAGATCTTTCTCTTCATCTTTTAAATCAATCTACAAACCATCTATAGGCTATAGCTTATAACATTTACCACTACTATCATTTACCATTTACAATTTACCATTTACTACTATTTACAAACCATTAACATCTCCAGATCAACTTCCACATCTCCACCTGGGCAGAATCATCTTACAATTCACCTTGCAATCCTCCCTTAGGCCTAGTATAGATAGAAACAATATAAAATAAAGATTATAAACCCATACCAAGACCATACCACCTGGGCAGCTTTAAAATTCCAAAAATATTTTTTTAGTCCAAAGCATTTTACTAATAAAATATTTTAGACCATCAACATCAATTGGTATTTTCCAGCGCAAAATATTTTCTTATTCACAATGGCAGGATAAGTCTGTACCATAAGAAAATGTTTTCTACCCCACTATAGGCAACTTACCATTTTACACGCATTTTCCAAACTGAGATTCCTCCCGCATGGTTTCAACCTCAGAACTTATGTACGATTCAAGTTTTATTGATTATATAGCCAAAAGTTCGACTTTTCAAGCACGGTTCCATAACTCAGTTGGTTAGAGTGTGGTGCTAATAACGCCAAAGTCGAGGGTTCGACCCCCTCTGGGACCATTTTTTGGTCTCAATCTGAGTCTTTTTTTCATTCTACCCTGCTACTCCACTCTCCCTTATATAACCAAATTTTCACATTCTCACATATGGTTCCATAACTCAGTTGGTTAGAGTGTGGTGCTAATAACGCCAAAGTCGAGGGTTCGACCCCCTCTGGGACCACATATGTATTTTTTGGTCTTATCCTAGACCCTGTTATGGAGGTCGATTTTGAAACCAATCGCCAGAAGTCATAATTTATTTTTATAAATTTCATATATATCCTTGTCATATTTGGTAAATATTGCAACTTTTTGATTGCAATTCGGCTGAAATTTAGCAAGTTCATCCTCTAGGTAAACTTCTAGGCATCTTCCCACCCTGGCCCATGCCCATACCTAGGTAGTAATACTACATCTTTCTCATCTTCAAATTTTCTCTTGACTTATTCCCACATTTTAAGTGGATGATCTGCTTTATAGACTAATAAATAAATTAAACCTATCTTTAGGTATAGGTATGGCCTATTTTTATTACAAAATGACTCCTTATTCTAATCAATTTATCACAAAACATGTACTTAGGGTCTTGGGGTTGTATCTAGTTGACTGCGCCTTTCGGTAGCAGAAATAATACTAGCGGGAATCTGGCTACGGCTAGGGACAATTATTTCTTTAAATTTTGAATTTCTTTTACCCATTACACCTCTAGCTTTTTTCTTTCTATTCCAATTTTTCAATCGTTAAAATAAAAATAATTGAGAAAGGTAGAAGGGATTAATTATATGATGGGGATGGATGTATTAAGTGAGGCTGACCGCTGACCACGCTGGTCCACGCCTTTCTGATTTTGAAGGTCTTGGGTTCCTCTCCTGACCTTACTGGATTTCTTCCCTTCCTTGGATCCATTTACGTGGATGAATGTATCTTATGACAGCCAAGGCATAAAAAATCATTCAAATATGGGTATCGAGTCATAGCTAACGGCAGAATAGAATATACAAAGGTTTCTATCTTTCATCGAAAGACGATTCATCGAATCGTAGCGCGCACTCAGTGCAAACTAAGCCATAGCTCCCTCCTCAGTCCCTTCAGTTCCACTAGAATGTTGGATAGCAGAGTGACGGCGTTTATCGTTACCACCTTTAATGCGTTTGAGTCCAAACATTTGACCCACCTCTCGCCAGAAACCAACAGGAGGGTCAATGAAGCTAGCCTCGTACGCATCGATCAAGGGTCGTTCCCACACCAGATCAGCTTCGTGGGACTTAACAAGTTTGGTGCGCTTGAAAAGTTTCCAGAGAACGAAAAGACATGGGATCACGATCTGCATAGTGTAGTCGGACCAGAATGTCGATACAGACCATGGCTTGAATGCGGGATAGCCGTAGAAGAGGGTCACGAGGAACATCCAGACAAGAGCCAAGTAGGCACAGTATGGTTGGAATCGTCCGAAGTAGGAGAATTGTCGACGGTCCACACCTTGCACTTTGCAGGCGCGGTGGTAGAAGATAAATGTGATGCAGATAGTGATGTAGTTGATCAGACCTGGTTTTCGTCGTTAGCAATTTGTATCATCATATTCTAGCGATTGGAGTGAATAGCTTACCTCCAGCTGTAACTAGATCAGCAAACCAGGTGATCACAACTGAAGAGCCGCTTCCACATTGCAAGAAAGACAGCATTGGGAAAATCATCACAACGATGAAGCAATAGATTGGAACACCCTTTCTGCTTGTGTACGTAAGGAATCTGGGAGCCCGACCCTCGAGAGCCAAACTGTACAGGGTTCGGATCGCGCAGTACGTGTAGGTGTTACCAGCCGAGAAAATCGACGTTAGCAAAAGACTAAGAAATCAATTAGTATCCTGCAACTCCAGTTCTGAGTGAATCATGCTTACGCGTTGATAATGGAAGGGAAGATGGTAATTCCCATATTCCTCATGCCAATGACATACGGCGAAGCAGCTGCGGATGAACCGGAGGTATTTCCTGCAACGACGTTGTACAAGGTTTCGTCTCTGCAAGAGCACACAATACCCACGGCCAGGGCACCACCCATGAAGAAGAGACCGAATCGAACATAGACAGTCTGAAAGGCGGCCTTGATATAAATCCGGGGTCGCTTGGCTTCGGCTGCGACCATTGAGATGTACTCGGGACCAACAACGGCGAAAGCAGCAGACCACAAGGAACCTAGGAAACCTTCGAATCGACCAAGACTGCCGGTATCCAGGTACTCCATGAAGGCACCTGGGTTGTTCCAGTATCGGAAGCCGTACGCATCATGTTGCGGGTTGCCTCCTACCATTGTGATGAATGTGAAGAAGAACAACGCAAAGATCAAAACAACCTATAACGGTTATCGGTCAATTAAAGTAACTATTTCATTGGTCTTGAAGGAACTTACCTTGCCACCGGAAAGCCAAAATTCAGCTTCTCCATAAGCTTTGACAGCCAGGATGTTGAGGAATCTATAGAGGGATCAGTATGAACCTTGTAACACTTTAGTGTAAAGCTCTCATCTCACGTACGCGTAACACAAAACAATCGCCGCACAGATTCCAGCAACGGGACCAGGTTCGGATATTTTTTCAGACCAAAATGAGAGGACCAGAGTAAAAGCAGAGATCTCAAATGGGATCAATAGAGCCTCATAAAAGCTACAAACGGATTAGTCACATATATCAAACATGACAGTATAGAAAATTAGGACGAACAAGAAGTTCCATCCAACCATAAAACCAAGCGCATCATCTACCCATTTTCCCGCAAGTCGAATAAATCCACCACTCACGGGGAAAGCGGTAGTCATTTCAGCGAGGCAATTGTTGACCATAGCCAGGAAGATACATTGCACCGTAAAGGCAATGAACAAACTACCCGGACCACCATGGTACAAACCGGTTCCGATACTCACGAACAAGGCAGTTCCAATGGAACCACCAATTGCAATTAGCTGAATCTGACGATTGGCAAGATGACGCTGGAGGTTATCAGCATTATCGGCCATCAATCCTTCTTGGACATCCTGATGACCCTCGGCCACTTTCAGTCCAAGCGCATCTAGGACACCATGGTCATGGCTAGTGGCAGACTCTTTATCCGTGCTCTTAAACGCCATTTTGGGCCATTCCAGGGTAAAAGGGAGCTGGGGTAAGTGGTGCTCGGGGGAGCAATGGCGAGAAAAGGACGAAATGGGAAGCTTATCGGGCGTATAATTGCATGGGCTGCTGGTATTGTCGCGAACAGGGCAAATCCGGTTAGGGCAATACTTGGGGCAATTGTTGCGAAAGGGTTTGGTTCCGATGTGGCGTTGCGGGCAGAGGGCTTCTATGACGGGTAGTCCGAAATCCGGGGTAGTCGCTGGGGCTGGGGCCTATGGGGGGTTCTTTTTTCTTTCTGGTGTGAAGGCTGGGATCGGATCGAATGAGATATCCTAGTCGTGATTTCCATGCGCAGATCCGGGTGAATTGAATTGAAATATTCGTTTGGAGAAAGATATATCAACGGTAGATATGATCAAGGATATGATCAAGGATCAATGCTGGAAAGGGAAAAGATTCACTTTAAGTCAGAATAATAAGATTCTGCCTCGTATGAAGTGACCAGTGGGAAAGAAAGAAAAGAAAGAGAAAAAAATAATAATTTAAAGCGCGGTATGGCCGGAGGTGAGGGAAAGCACGCTAACCTCTTGGATAACAAGCGGGGAGACCTTGCACCCTCATGGTAACACACCATACCATTTGAGGAGAACATTATGGGAGCACGGGGGGCAATGTTTCTGACACCAATCATTCATTAGGGGTACCGTGGATTGCGGGTTCGTGACATGACGCATCCGGCGGTTTACTTTCTCTTACTCAGTCAAATCCAAAAAGAAACCTGGGAAGTTGGCGGGGCACCAGCAAGATAAGCCAATGCGACCTTTGCGCTAGGTCTGAGCCATGTTTTTGATCTGGTTAAGTCTTATATGATTGGATCATGAGTTCTTATGCCAAGAGGCTCTACAAGAGTTCCAAGCAGAACCTATATGAAGTTCATTTTTGCCGGATGGACAATCAAATATCGACGTCAGGGGCTTATGAGGAGGCTTCGGGGAACGGGGCTGAATTGGAGATTTTGCTGGATATAAACGACGTAGAATATGAAAAGGATCCAATCAATAGAGATACATGAACTCTATGCGACGTTGTCTTCCCTGGATGTGGGAGTGGCTTTTTCCTGGTGGCTTTGACCTAATGCCGTGGCTTCAAGAACGGGCCAACAAGCGGCACACTTCAACGCCCCTTTTTCCCCCTTTTCTCCACACTGTCCACACAATGGCCCCCATCTTCGGAGTACGGAGCATGCGAGCCGGAGAGGAGAAGAGGAGAAGAGTTGGAGAAAACATGGAGAAAACACGGGTGTCGCGTGAGATGATTCATCATCAATGTTCAAGTTGCTCAATCCTGACGATAAATAATTAAAATAAAAAATATATAAAATAAAAAAACAAATAAAATGCACTCACTCTAGGGAGAAAATGACTCGGAAATGCCCGTTAAAATCCTCTCGAGAGGCCAAGGCGCAAATTCATGGGGCGAATAAATATAACAGGTCTAACAGGATCCAGAACTTATCTTCTCCCCCACTATGAACACTCCGTAAACTCATTTTAAATGACACGGAACAAACTAGATATGGTAAACCGATCCCCTCACCGAGGACAGACTCAAAGTAATGTGGGATCATTTACTTAATAGAGGACTTCTAGATAACAAGAGTTCTAGACTTCTAGTATAAGTAATAGAACCCGCGGATAGCGCCTCTAGCAACATTAGGATGAAACAAAGGCAATGTGGGCCGATGGAAATACTCGGATTAGTCCGAGATATCAAGTCCAATGTTCGGAGTAGGATATTGACATTGACCGGATGCGGCGCCCGATCCGAGTGCAGCCTTGGGAGGTCAACTGGTCAACTGATGACCCCGGATTTGTTCCTGTCAGCCAAAATAACGTGATAAACTAGGCCCAATTGGGACGGTTTTAACAGGATTAAATCCTGGCTTCTGATTGGCCGAACCAGAATGGATCACATGATTAGCCACGTGATCTACGGTCGCAGCAGACGCTTATTCGTGTAAATTAGTGTTATGAGAATCAGACCTGTTGATACGTCCCATTGCGACCGCCTACTGCATTAGACCTTGTAGTCTGACAGTTCCCGTGTGCCTTACATCTCAAGGCTATCTATGTTTACACCTGAGGCACCAAGATATTTCCAATACTGTTAAGAATATCAGTCTACGCAAACTCTTTATGGATTAAATCGGACTAATATTATTAGATCTGCCCAAAAGTTATGTTCCTGAATTTTTGAAAAATTGAGAATTTGGTCTAAACCCGACCATTTTAACAAGCCCAAGTGCTCAGGGTAATCAACCTCAGATTAATTATCGGGGACTCTACTACGGAGTACAGTAATGAGCCTTTACTACTAGAGTCTACGAGTCCTGTCACTTTAAAATCATGTCCCGTCGTCTAGTATCTATGACTTCTTATATATTTTCGGCATCAAGGGCAGCCACCAACCTTCGAATGACCCTGAAGCTACTGAGGTAGTCAACTGGTAGTACTACTGGCATGCTATAATTGAAAGCTTCGCTAATCATTCACACCATCCATGTCAGGTGCATGATGTCTAGTATCATATTGCTCTCCTCCCCCAATGAAAAAATCTGATGACAAGTGCTGCCATCGCGCAATTCGGTTTGGTACTGATTGCCTGGGCAGTTTAAGTGGTTTCGAATGTCATCATTTTTTATTATCACTTGCATCTCGACCGTCTGCAATATGGGTTTTGGGGTTCCTTCACACCTTGTCCCAAGATCCTGGCTGGTCTAAGTAGAACTCCGCCATATAACCGCGGTGGCCAACGGCCAGGCTTTTCTTTTGTTTTTCTGTCGCCTAGCGCTATGTATAACATTTTGCACTATCGTAAACTTGGCTAGCTCAGGAGCTTTTGAGGATCATCAATTGTTTCCTTGCTGTTGCCAATTAGTGCCAATATAACGACTGCTCCTTGGATGTTGGATGTGTGAAGGACACCGGAGATTCATCAGTTTTCTCGATGACTGATAACCAGTTCCTTCCACCAGATATCGTAGTGTTTTTGCTGAGATCAAATTGTATCTCTGTACCTTGTTGCTGAAATCTCATATCTTGTAGGATATTCATCGAAGAAGCGCATTTTTATTAAGTGTGTCCAGAGGTCTGCAATGATCTCAATCGCAACAGAGTCAACGGTGGAGATCTGAGTGCAGGAAAACCCGAGTAGAACCTTCAACAATATCACCCATATCCTACATGAGTTGGTGGTACAAGTATGTAGCGTCACTGCCATGTCTGTGGCGTCAAAGAGCGATTCATGGTATACTGATGGCCAAATATAGGAATGCAGAGCTTTGGATCGACCATTCGTTCTTGTAATAATTCCCGACCGTATCACGATAACAGCTTTGCGTCAGCTTGGTGTCAGCTTGGTGTCAGTATACTGGGTAGATACTATCTGCCAGGTCCGAAGGATCAGAAAATCTCCTTGGACAGTTTACCATCAAGGATCACGAGGCGTGGATCGCATGGAAAAGGAGGAAAAGCAGGAGGAGGAGGAAGGATATCGCACGGTCGGGGAGGTCAGCGGTGTACAGCGGGGGGCTGCGGTTTGCAGGCTATGAGGTACAACTGTGTCGGGATGTATACCCTGTGAATCAGTTAATCTGTGGACCCGTATTGTCCTGCTAGTAGCTAGCAGAAAGAAGAGCCATAAAGAGTCAAATAGTCGTTAAATGTGGACTGTGTTATCAGGAGATGGACCTGAATTGCCAAGGCCTGGAGGCCATAATAGGTGTCAGTGACTCTTAGTGGAGCCCCGGGTAACAAAGACCCCCACAATATCCCCAGATTTCCACTTTCCCCCGGGATCCGCTGGGATCCACCTTCGATTTGAAGAATTATGGATGTTGATAAATATCGTCTAAAAGGACATGCAAAAATTTAATATATCAGAGTTGTGAAGAATATTCACGACCATGAGTTCTCATACGTAGGTGATGGCATGGTTGTGTAATCTCAGGGGTAACCACCTGTGACTGAATTTCCCCTCTTTGGCCCCTTGGGCGCTCATCAGGTGCTGTGACGAACAATGATTTGTTGTATGTTTCACCTGGGTATGATGTAGCGGTCTTTCAAACCAATCAAAGGAACTAATAGTTTGCTGGATGTGTGGGATTAGGGTTATCCTGGACGTTGATGTATCTCCCCCGCTGTGACCATCAGGCCACACGAGCACTGTACTGTAAACATTGAATATTAAGCTGTCCAACATCTGTACACAACTCGTCGAGAATAGTAGTCAGTATCTGAGTTTTAAAACTTCTGCTTCTATTTCCATTGTAAAGGATAGGGCTCTTGGGTCATATTGGAGAATATGGTGAGCGTTGTGGCTTGTATCGATGAGGTCAAGTTGGACATATGGTAAAACCTTACATCTTGCAAAGCATGTCCACTATGAAACAAATATTGCGTCGCCACTGCAGGGATGCCCCGGATGTCACCCTCCGCCACTCGTTTACTCGTCAACCCCGCGTTCAGGTGTCAGATGATTTGGGCTATATAAGTCAGGCTTAAAAGGTACCTTCACCTGTCCCCTTGGTACTCTCTCCCTTTCCCTTCTACCACATTGCAAACTCATCTTCAGATTCTTCAAAACTATCATAGCTTCAATCGGCTTTTATCAGAAACACAGCAAATATGTCTGCACCAGTTGGCCCTATCATGCAACAGCTCGCTACCCTGCCAGCTCGCTCCAGGCAGGGTCTGAGCAACTTACGACAGAGACTCTTCCAGCAGGGTACGTTCTTTTCCTCCACTCTTTCAGCTTCTTCCTTGGGCTCTAAGAGAAATGACTAAAACCTCACAGGAGAGAAGCCAAAGAAGGAAGGCCAGTTCCTTCGCACCTCGCTGAATGTCCATCGTCCAGTTTGGATCACTGCTAGTGGAGGTGTATACACCAGTCTGGCAGCTGTCTACCTAGCCACACGCTACCTCAAACGAGTCAGGTAGCTGAATACGGGTGACTGAAGGACATATACCCCCGTCACTTGACTGCTTTTACGACATCCGTCCTCGAGGCTCCTCCTCCTATACTGTCTCGTTTTGACGTCGTCATCCTCTTTCCAAGCTGGTCATGGTTCATGTTTCTTTTCATTTCGTCCGATCATCGTTTTTTGGCCAATATTTTCCTATGTTGTATTTCTTAGGACTCACAACAACATACATCAAATGCCATAGAATGGCAAGAAAGGCCTGGAGTTATAGGGCTACTTTTACCCTGAATACGATTTCTTTTCTTACTGTCGAAATGATCTTTCATATTCTGCCGTCTAAATACGATTGCACATGTGCGAGTAAGATCATATCGATAATCGTAGTTCGTAATGAAATTAAATAGAACTTTGCTCTGGTGAAACATACTACTAGCAGGCTGGGATTCCCACTAGCTACTTGCAATCATCGTTTACCTATCACTACGGAATCGCTTGGTAATATCCTCAAATACTACCATACGGGAAAGTTAATTTCGATAATCTTAAAATCTCTCACTGGCAAGATTATTTTTCTGTGCGAAGAGCATCAATTTCGTGCAGGCTTAGCGAGTCCTTTGACTATCTTTTAGATTACCTAGGTACTGTTACCCCTTAGCGGCATTAATTGATCCAAATTTAGATAGGAAGTTCTAGTAATTTTGGGAGACGGTGATGGGGCTCCAGCCTGAGGGGCCTAAGTACCCTCCTCAAACAGACCCAGAGTCGATTGCATCTACTACTAGTACTATTATTATGTATAGAGCGCCGTAAGGATCAAGGCGATAAACTACAATCAGTAGTATATAGTATAAGCTGTCTCCGAGTTTAGATTTTGCTCCTAGTCTTTTCCTATACTACCCATGCGGGAGAATTCTCAGTTTGGAAAATAGTACCTTCCAAGCCCTGGAGGTTTATAATAGTAGTATCTCTAGAACGGTAAATCAGGTCTTTTAGCTGGTTTGGTATATTTACCGTATTTTTTAAAGATAACATTTTCATAGAGAAAATATTTTATATTCTAAATTTTAGATCAAAAGAAATTTCTATAAAAGAAAATCTATATCGTAGACCACTAAAATATAATCACTATTCCAAACATAAACTACCATTTTAATAATATTTTAATCCCATATTGTCACATCTAGTCCTAGAAACAGCTTCATACTTTATACCTTCCTCCAGAAAGACTCCAAGACTTCGAAAATTCTTTCCTTTACAACCTCTAACTCTTCTTCCAAGACAGTCCTTTTTCTTCATCTTTCAATCAATCTACAAACCTTGGAAGCATCTATGACTTAAAGCTACAGCTTATAACATTTACCACTACCATCATTTACCATTTACAGTTTTCCATTTACTACTAATTACAAACCACTAACATCTCCAGTTCATCTTATAATTCATCTTATAATTCATCTTATAATTCATCTTATAGCCCTCCCTTAGGCCTAGTCTAGATCAAAAATAATATAAAACAAAAGTTACAAACCCATACCAAGACCATACTAGCTCTAAATTTCCAAAAAAAAAAAAAATCTTTTAGTCCAAAATATTTTACCCATAAAATATTTCAGACTATCATAATATTTTCTAGCCTAAAATATTTCCTTATCCACTATGGTAAAATGGGTTCGTACCATAAGAAATCATGTTCCACCCTAATATAGGTAACATACCATTTTACCCACATCTTCCAAACTAAGAATTCTCCTGTATGGACTAATTAGTAGGTAAAATCTCGTTGGATTCAAGAACCTTAGAAGGTTAGATGGAGTAGCGAAGACCTGAAGAATGAATATGTGTCATATGCCCAACTAGGTTACTGTATTAGCATGACACTCTAACCAACTAAGTTACGGAACAGTATGTGAAAATCTGCATTTTTGGCTATATAAGGGAGGGCGGAGTCCTAAAGTCTAGGATGAAAAAAGACTCAGATCGAGACCAAAAAATGGTCCCAGAGGGGGTCGAACCCTCGACTTTGGCGTTATTAGCACCACACTCTAACCAACTGAGTTATGGAACCGTGCTTGAAAAGTCGAGTTTTTGGCTATTCAAGCCTGGGGGATTTGAATATGCCAGTGTACTAATTGAAATAAAATATACTGAAAAATTAAAGAGCGGTACCACTGAGTACTTGGGAACATGGATGTTTTTTTAGTCTAATATAAGTTTTAGTGTTAAAATATTAGGTAAATCTTCAAAATATTTTGGACCGGAAAACATTTTGTAAAAAAAAAGAAACCAGTACACTCTCATACAGGCTAACTTTCAGCCTGGTAACTTTCATCTATATAGGTAGCTTCATACTTCATACCTTCCTTAGTGCTTTACAATTCATCATCTTTTTTTTCTTTAGATTTACAGGGGAATTAAACCCAGGACCTACAATCTACAGTTCATAAGCTATAATTTATAATTTACAACCTTGGAAGGCTTTACAAGCTAAAATTCACAACACTACAGCTACCAAGGTACCTATATTTTACGAACTACACCATCTACCTAGGTATATTCAAGTTATTTTAACATCTTTATAGGTAGCCTACATGATATCTTATACAGACTACATATACACTCCACAACTTGAACAAGCAATTCAACACAGGCAATTCCACAATCTATTTTCTAGGCTATATTATAGTAGCCATATTAAAGGTTAAATCACTGGCAATTTTAGTCCTATTTTTCACCTATATTAAATTAAAGAATATATGTGATAATGCTTTACTAGTCCAACATATTAAGCTTTCCAGCATATCTTTAATTCCATAACACCAACATACTACTACATATAATCCCGGGATCAACTGGAGTATCATAGTACCTGGAGGTGAAGAATCAAAAAACCACTACCTAGTGTAGTGGGGTACCCTGTCCCCTACTACACGTACCGTGCTAAGAATTACCGTTTGGTTACATCTCTGTTTTGTCATGTTTTCAGTCCCGTCTTTGTACGTACAAGAATGCCCGTCGTTATAGTCTAGAATACACACTCCTACACATCTCTCATCCCACCCCTACGGGGTAGTCCGGCCACAACGTACATGTTGGTTGGTGTTATCCATTCATGCTAGCTGGATCAACCCGTGTATCTAGAATACACTGCCTAACGGTTCCCCTCTTCACTAGGTACAAACCAAGTATCAAAAGAGGTCTATCTAGTGTACTATATCGACTAAAAGTATCGCATCATAAATGTACTAGTAGAATACCAGTTCAATATTGTTCAGATGAGAACATAGCAGCTTTATTTCGATCCGACTCGGGAGTCTTATCAGAATGAAATCTAGCTAAAGATGCAATGCTATATTACTCAATATTTGCTCTAATCTCAGCTTGAATTTGGATTGTTTCATTTCCAATAACTTTAGCAGTCATGACCGGGACTGCACTGGAATCATCCCATTCAGCCTGGATATACCCACCACCCGCTAAGGGGATTGAACCCTTCGCCCATTTCAGTCCCAATCCCCGCACAATGTCCCATGCCGGATCAAAAACCCACGTATATCTCTCAATGCTATCATCCCACTCAGTTCTAACGCCCAGAATATAATTGGAAAATATGTACGTCGCAGCACCACCCCAAGGGTGGCTTAAGCTCGTGAAAGTACCTATACCAGGGGTTCCATCGGCATAAAGGTATTCCCAGCTCGCACCCGTATAGTATTCATTCTGAGTTACCATTTTGGGCCATAAAGTCTTCGAGAGGATTTTGATTGCTGGGAGGACGCTTTCAGCGCTCACGTTATACTTAAGGTGAGCAATGAAGAGTGACTCGAATAGGAATCCTTGAGTGGTTGGTGATAATTGCGTGTTGACACTATCCCCCGTGACTGAATTGTACTTGTATCCAATGTCTAAGAAGACATCGCTGAGACGGCCAATGCTAGTTTCAACTTGCTCTGGTGATGCAATGCCTGCACGAATCGTGAATGCAGTAGCTAATATCGCGGTGTCATTGGGTTGTGACAGCGAGAGACTATAAGCTCCAAGACTCTCGTTCCAAAGAAGTTGGTTAATGGCATTGCTAGTATTGCTCGACAGTTCCTTCCAGGAGTTCGCCGTTTCTTTATCACTCATGATGTTTGCAATATTGATCAATTGGTTCAGAGCAACGACGAAGAGCGCGTTCGGAGCTGTGGCGTTCTGTGTCCCTTGTGCAGTAAACCAAGATGCGTCGGCATTTGCCATGAGGCCCGAAGATGGGTCAAGGTACCGATCAACCAGGGTCTCCACAAGCAGCTTTGTACCTTTCCAGTAATTCTTTATAGTGACTGTGTCATTTGTAAGAGCAAAGTAATCACCCAATGTGAGAAGAAAGAAGAATTGATAATCCGTTTCTCCAAACTCGGATGGGTAGTAAACCTCGCGATACTGTTTCCCAGCACCCATGTACGCCTGTATGGGAACAAGTCCATGTGCAGGGCCTGGTGGGTACTGCCAGTCGAACTCAAGGTCAATCATGCTCTTGATAAAATCAAAGCGACCGGTACTAGCTGCGATTATACGCGCTGTGTGGGCGAAATCTCCAATCCAGATTGCTCGATCTCGTTTGGCTCCATCAAGACATACCGCGTATGAGTTACTGGCTATGGCGTATTCTTCCAGAATCTCATCGGATGTCATTGGGTTGGAGTATATCAACGTGCCATTATTCGCGAAGGCAGAGACATTTTTGAAGTAGGCTGCATGATTGAGGTACGGTCCGAAGCCAAACGTTCCTTCTGTCAAGTCGCCTGTTCCCCATCCAGTGTTCAGATAGCTTTCAAATGGGCCACCAGTCACAAATGCGATGTCCTTTCCATTGAAAGAAACTGAATAGCCGGTTGCGTTGATTGTACTGCGGATAGTATACCATGTATCCTCCTCAATATCAACCTGAGAGACAGAGTATGTTTGCGGGGGAGCCGAGGATAGTATAATTTGGTCGATGATACTAAAGCCATACCCTGCAACGAGGCTATTCCGAGGCAGTGCCGTGATATTCGAGTTCTGTAATACTGGACCATTCGAGGTCAAGATGAACTATGCACCATATCCACCGTTTGCACCGCCTGCAACTCTCCATCCTGTGCCTCCGGTGGTGATTTTTGTTTGAAACTCAAGTGTATAGTTCGAAAACCCATTTCCTTTAGCGGAGACAGCAGGGTATTGACCTGGAATAAAGGCGCCATCTTGTGTTATCTGCCATGTTGAAGGTTGAGACCCCGCATCATAGCATGCTGCCTGCACGGCCCGGGCTCCGAGATCCCAAACCTCTTGGTAGCCGTCGTTGGATGTTGAAAAACTGCCTCGCAAGTCCTGGGTAACATTGATGATAACGGAGGGTCGTAAGCCAGCATTAGTGATAGTCAAGGTGTAGTTGTCGAGAAGAGTTATAGATTGCCAACGCAATCCACCCTGGAGCAAAAGGGCTTCACTCTTCCCTGCCGAGGTAATATTGAATGTCTCAGTGCGGAATGAGTTGGCAAGTCCATTGATGAATAGCCTAAGTTGATTCCACAGTTATAAATGGGTTCTCCTGAAAGTCAATATACGAAAGACAGCACTTACCATGGCCCGTCACCATATGGCAGTTGTAACCCATCAAAAGGCTCACTATACTTGAGCTCAATCTGAACAGGTTTTCTGGGTCTTCAGTCTCAACAAAAGGAAATCCGCCAACCTCAGTCCCATAATCTAGTGTCAAGACTGGATGAGTGCTGTTCAAGACAATACTCCCACCATTAAATTCGGAAAGCCCATCGATTGAAGGACCCGAGCCGACATGATATGCTTTTGGGGTGTAGTACTGAGACGCAAATGCCCCAGTCAAGGGAAGACTAAGTAACTTCACTACCGTACGCAACATGTTGCATGATAGATGTAAAGTTATGATTTTGTATGTAGCTGTTGCGGGAATGTTATTGATTAAGTATTCAATGTGAACTCTCCGTGCCTGAATGGAATACCAATTGACTCTCTATTTCGGTGTATCTTTGATAGCTCCCGCGCAGCCTGAGAGAAGTCTACGAAATTGGACCAAAGGCAATGTATAGTAGAATGCGGAGCCATTCATCGTATCCAGGACGGAATTATCGGACCTCGCCATATTTTGTACCGAATCAGATGTAACGTGGGAAATGTATTCCTAAAGTGTAATTCCTGGAGACGGTGCATTGATCTCCTGTTTCATAGATCAATGCAGATCTTCGGTAAGAATTGAAGCGAAACATAGATGAAGAAACCGAGAGAAGAAACACATATCATGTTAATGCGTAGCGGTACTGAATATCATGATGTAGTTATTATAATTCAATTGGCTGAATAGCTTTGAATAGACATACTATGTACGTGATTTCTATACAGGTACAGCCAGTGTTACCTGACTAGTTGATCTGAATGAACACCACTTGGGGTGCGGCATATACGTCTGGCCGTCTCAGGCATGGTTGTCCAAAGAACCTGACGGACTTCTTTTCCAACCTGCTCGATTGAATCCATGGCCCATAAAACGTCCAGATGTTCATATCCATTAATAATCTTTGAATGAACGACTCGCACATGCGGCTCGACTCCGTCCTGGAAGCGACGAAGAAGTCGACGGCCGTCAACGAGGGCATCGGATCCACCGACCCACATGGCGAGGGGAGGGGTCTGAGGGCCGAACCAGGACCTGTCTCTTTGTGGACCGAGGCATGGAGCCCGAGGATCATCGCAACGCTCAGTTGGAGATGATATGTAGTCCTCTCGATTGGAATCATATTTTGATTCATTGAGAGGACTTAAAATGCAACCATGTTTTGCAAAGCTTTCGCTGCCAAGCCACCAATGCATGCTCTCTGCACTGACATATACAGGGGCGAATTGAAACATGCGATGGCGGAGGTCTCGTTCCCAGCGATCATCGGACCAGCCGAAGAGAAATGAGAATACCCAATATGCAAGGGTTCCGTATACTTTTGGAGGAGCATAACGGCGGATAGTCATCATGAGCGGAATGAAAGAATGGATCCCGAAAACAGTCCGGAACATCCCCGGTGAAAGAGAGCTCATGAAACGGAAGTAAGGCTTCCTAACTAGTGGTCCGGCATAAACAGCTGGGGCAAGCGCGCAAAAAACCGAGATCCGTGAACCAAGCTCAGGGCGGTGTTCTTTTGCTAGTGCGACGAAGGTTTCAGTAGTGCCTTGTGAATGACAAACCAATCCCAATTTTTCAAATCCCGTTTCATAAAGAACACGCGAGGTCAAAGCTGTCAGGTCAAGGGTCCCGAGATGTCGAATATCCCATGACCACATACGAGGATCGGACGTGGAGAGAGTGGTGTGCTCGGGAGTTAACCCGCAGCGATTGTTACCTAACCAAACGTCATATCCTGACTTGCAAAGGTAAAATGCAAGACTGTCATCATCGTTGGTACAATATGCGCCCGCGCTTTGAAGTAATCCGTGAACGAGTAATACTGGATAGCGGCGGCCAGATGCCGACCCTGAGGGGCCTGGCTGTTTTTCTCCACTGAAGACTGCGGGGCCTCGTTCGCGTCTCTGCTCAGCGGAGAGAGCTGTATATTCTTGTGGATTATACACATGCCATAACGTGATAATAAAACCATCTTCCGTCTGGACACGAAAAGTCTCTACATCCAGACCGACCCTTCTGGCATAGTAGGCCACATCGCAGACGATTGGGTCTTTGCCCCCTTCCAAGGGAGGACATTCTTCTGAACCTTGCTCTTCGTCGACATGCTTTTTCTGTCGCTGAATGTGCCATTTGCGCTCCAAATCGGCTCTATTTGCCCTTCTTGTTTGTTCTTCGGTATGAAAAACTCGTTGCGATGGGGTATGACGTAAAATCGTGTTGGACAGTGTTGTTCCCGCTATGCATGCAAGCGCGCCTAGGAATATAATGGTGAGGAAAAGGAGGGAGAGAATAAACGAAATGATTTGTATGCAGGCGTATTGTACATTGCGAGCGAGATTCGGAGGGCCGTAGGATGGGAGGGGAGGGAACAGTGGATGGTCGATTGAGTCAACCGATACGACTGAAAAGCCATTTTCAGTCGACTTTTCGAGAAGAGAAGGCGATCTCCGATTCATATTGTTGTTCCTCGGGTATATATGTGTGGAAGATTCGGCCATGTCTTCTATAATGGGGGTTGACCGAGTTTGTTGATCCTGGGATCGGTCAGACTTCCGCGCGGGTGGAAGTGGAGCAAGATTTTCGAGAAGAATCGTGACCGACATGATCGCGCGGTCAAAAGGAGATAATATATGTACAGGGCCGCATCATGGAGTCACGATGTCAGTCAAACCGGAGAGTGAAAATAAGATCATGAGGAAACATCATTTCTTCTAGAAACTGGGGTCCGGGGATCACATGTGTTTGGATTGTTTGGATCAGGGACGGTCACGTGTGATAAGAGATGACCAATAATAAATGTCTGAAAAATGGAGAAGGCATGTGAGTCAACGCCACATACCTCAGGCATCAAGTTGTTACTAAATTTAGCTCTATAGGCATTGCAGACACTGGAACTAAACCAAAGTCCATATATTCAGAATTCAGAATCAAACTATTTGAGCACTTGGAAGAAGAGAAAAGCAACTTCGAGTTCGAAGGGAATCGACCGCTCATCCAGAAATCAACCCTCCAATCCCTATATTATATACTGTTAATAGTATACCCCGGTATCACTCTACCAAAACGACTCGCTGAGGGAAATCAGGTCCGAGCAAGAACCGTGATATCACATGTGCAGGAACAAAAAAAGGCCGGACACTCCTTTTAAACATTCGCTCTCATATCAATGCTCTCCATATGAGTCGCATGCTCCCCACTTCGCTTTTCATTAGCCTCCATTTCGAGCTGAGCAAGGTCACCCGGCTTAGACATGGAGACATCGCGAACATCAGTATAGTGAACCGAAGGGACAAAGTTCTTGGATTGCCAAGCAAACGGCACCTTCGAGTACAGTTCGTCAACCTGTTCCAGGGAGAGACCCTTCGTCTCATAGATACAGGTATAGACAAAGATGGCACAGATGAAGCAGAATCCACCCCAGATGAAGAAGACTTTGGACTGTAAATTGGCGTTGCTCGGGCCACTGTTCACCATGTATGGTGTTGCATATGCAATAGCCCAGTTGAGTAGCCAGTTGGTTGCGGTTGTAATCGAGAGACACTTGGCACGAGCTTTAAGAGGGAATAGTTCACCAGTAACGACCCAAGCAACGGGTCCCCAGGAGCTTGCAAAAAAGAAAATATAAACACAGACAAAGGCGATGAGAACCTTGTTCGCAACGGTTGAATTTGTTGTGGTGCCGACAATTGCCACAATAAATTGTGAGACACACATGCCGACGGCACCGAACATTAACAATGGACGTCGGCCCCATTTTTCAACCATATAGAGACCCGGGAAAGTTGAGAGAACATTGATAATGTTGGTGATTAGAGTAATGACGAAAGAGTTTTGGATACCGGAATTTTGGAAAAACGTGGTGCCGTAGTAAACTAGAAGGGGAGAATTAGCAAAAGAATTCTCAGCTTTGAGGAACTAGGGTAGACAAACAGATGAAATTGACACCAGCGAGTTGTTGTAGTGCCTGAACAGCACATCCTGTTGCCAGGCGCTTTCCAAGGGAGCCGCGCAAAATCTCAAGATAAGTAGCCTTGCCAAGCTGTAGCTCAAACTCGTGATTGGCCTGGATTTCTGCGAGCTCTTGAATAAGAGCAGAATCATCAACATCAAGACGACGAAGACGAGCAAGAGACTTAACAGCCTCTCCGGACTTGTTCTGTTTTATGAGGAATCGTGGTGTTTCAGGCAGAATGATCATTCCCGTGACCAAAATGATAGCCCACGCAAACTGAATTGCAACAGGAATCCGATAGCAGCCGGTATCGTTGCGATCTTTGGTAGAGTTGTTGACGATAGCAGCTAAGAGCAAACCAAATGTAATGGCAAGCTGATAGGCACCGACTATAGTTCCACGAATCCACTTAGGAGCTGTCTCGGACTGATACAGGGGGACTGAAGTAGAGTTAGCAACATGTAATAAAGACTGAAGTAATCAGAATGAGGAACCTACTGGTAGCAGAAAGAAGACCAACGCCTAGACCAGCAAAGAACCGGCCAGCCACAAATAATGGGATTGATGTCGATGCAGTTTGTAAAATGACACCAAAGCAGAAGACAAAAGTCTCGATGATCATAGCAATGCGACGACCAAAGTGGTCCGCAACAGGGGCAGCACCGAGTGCACCAAAGAAAGTTCCCGCAGAGAGGAGGGAAACGATCATGGAAGATTGCGAAGAGGTCACATCGGGGAAATTATCTTTAGGATTGATGTAGCCAGTTGAGAACATTTCACGCCAATGTTTCATGGCTAAAATCCCGCTGATAGTTCCAGTGTCATATCTAGAAAGAATGATCCTGTCAGCTAAATCCGTCTAGATATGCAAAGTGACAATCGACTCACCCAAATAGAACACCTCCAAAGGCAACAAATAGACCGATGATGATGGCTGGGGTTGCGGACCCGGTAGCATCATCTGGCCTCTTCAAAGCGAGGCCCATCGTGAGAGGACTGGGTCAAAGTAGATGCGAGAGAAGGGAGATAAATTGAACGTGAACGTGGACACTAGTATCTAATGATTGAATAAAAAGTTGATAGAGTGAAATAAATACACTCCAAGAATATGGAAAATAAGACTCAAATATGGCAAATCTCAAAATCATAATAAACAGAGGGCAATCAAATGTTTTTGTACTCCACTACCCCATCCCACGCGGGGCAAAGAGATCTCTAGACATGGAGTAAAGCCAAGGTCGGCCAATGCGTCCAAGAACCGCCGGAACCAGGAAATGCATCACATCGCCTCTCTTCCAGGCCCGTCTCTACTGTGTCCCATTCCTCCATGTTTTAGAGGATAGACATGGGGCGAAATAGGGTTGAAACAGAGCGACATGTGGAGCAGGAGAAGGCCAATGCGGCCACGAAGATACATGGAACCCGATGAGACTATTCGTGGATCTCATGTAAATCGGTTGCCTGATAGACGAATCAAGAGAAACATTTGAAAGTTCTCGAAGAGAGTCCGCTCTTGGGATCGGCGAGATATCGCGTGGTGTGTATTGCCTGCATTCGGGGTATAAATTGACTGTCGGCTCAACTTGCCACTCGATATTGAAAAGCCAATGAATATTGAGTCAGGCGGCTCATAATTCTGTTCCTCATTTAGCATGTGTGTGTTTTTTTTTATAGAGTAAACCGGAAACAGGATGATCCAGGGTCCGGATATGGGATCGGCGTCTTGAGAGCCGCATTAGGGGAACAAACAACCGTTTATCCCTTGCTGGGCACACTCTTCTCCGAAATTGGTCCAATATTCACAAGTGCTGCTTCAAGTGAGAAAATATGATTTAAGCCCATGGGGATATTGACAATTCAAGGTTGGGGTAGTGCTCGAGCCAATTTGGTGCCCGAGTTGGGTCTACACTGCCGGTTGTATTGCAGAGTCTCGTGCTCGTGTATCCCATCTCCGCATCAGGCTCCACATTCCCCAGTCTCATGTCATCCCCAGAATCTACCAAGTCGATCAGCATACAAGACACCATTGATCGGCGTGGGTATCATCGGACTTGCACCGGCATACTCCGTACGGGATACGCAGCACTGTGCATGGAGTAGTACCGGCCGATGAAATTAAACTCCAGTCCACTGGGATATGAAATGGCTCATCTCACCGGATCCTGATTAAGAGAAAGTGGCAACATTGACTTTCCTCTCAACCTTGAGACTTTGCGTTAAATGAAGGTGATACCAATGAAATGGAAATATTCTCAGTACCGGCCCGAATATCACGCTTGGCTAAAGGCTAATCAACAGATGGAGAGTCTTCCCGTGATAGGGATTGGGTAGTGGTTCCGATTGAGTCCCGAAATTAACCCGCTCTCGGTGCATTACGGTGAAATTCACGGCGAAATCCACGGCGTGCTGACAGTGTACTCGGGACTGATCAAACAGAGTATCTCGGGCCCGAGTAGCCAAGAATGGCCAATGCTGCTAGTGCAAGGAAGTTGAAACGGAGGAGCGGAAGACAAAATGCTGCCAAGGCGTTGTTAATAGATCCTGTTGTCGATCCAAGTTTATATACACAGTTGTTACTAAATCTATTTCCTATGTGCAATAGACCACAGAGAACCAGCTACCAGCGCCAGATCAAAAAGAAATACACCGGTAAAACGACCTGAGCGACCACTCGCACCGAGTGCACAAATTCGCGGCCCATTGAGTTCGATTTTTGACGAAATCCGCGAGCACGTACTGGGCGGTAACCTCCTTTGTCTTTCGAAGTGGTGGTTACTAGGTCATCTTGATCTAGGTTCCGATAAGCATCATGAGAAGCTTTGGTGGCTGGGTAGCGGGGGAAAGCAGTAATACCGACACGGCTAGCCAGGCCGTTTGGAGCCAATGTAGAACTGGACATACCGGAAGTTTGGTACTGGTGTTTATAAGAATCCCCACGACGTTCGGAGAGGGGAAGGACGGGGCTCTGGTTTGAAAGTGCTGGTTCGGAGGGGAAAAATGCATGAAAGGAGGACCTGAGGAATAGGACCAGGAGACTCAAGCCCAAGATACATCCATAGTGAATGAACATACCGAGTTGGTCGGGAAGGATACATAGATGGTTTTGAATCGTCGGTGCTGAGCCCTGTTGTAATGATTCACCAGTCTCTGGATTAATTGGATTCCATAGGCTGGTCATCAAGAAGCCTGGATGCCGAACACCCATGGCCCAAGAGAGACTCTTGACAGTGATTTCCCGAGGCGAACCATTGAACTCTCGGTGGATCAGCTCGCAGTAGTCATGATCATCACCCGAGTAGACCTGGACAACGTTGGGTCCTGACTTGGTGACCACTTCAGTTGAAATGGTTGGTGTCAGAACATTCTGATACTGATATCCACCAGAAATGCTGAGAGAATTCGGCTCATCTTCCTCTAACTCCTCACTTGCCGAGGACGGTGGATAACGCTCGCGAAGTGGACCGCAGGGAGTGGCAGGCTTGCGAAAAAGGGGAACGTGAGTGAGCAGGATGGTAGGGAGATTGACGGGTTCATCTTTGTCAATGCCGTAGATTGCTGAATCGGCTGGTTCCACGATGCGATAATCAAATTGAATACCCTCGGACCGATTTTGCATCATCCGAAGTTCACCCATTTCTGCCTTTCCTCGATGGTATGTCATCTTATTGAGAAAATCATTTGTCTGCTTCCAAATAGGATCAGGGTAAGCTTCGTTGACGACGGAGCTGGTGCTGCCAGTTTGGGGATCCACTTGATCCATTGCGCTCAACGAGACAGTATCCAGCGAGACGAAGGTATGGTTTCCAATAACATCCACCCGATTGCTCTGACCGAAATACGCCTGGAAACGGTCCCGCACGGGTTCCTGGATGCCATGTCCAAATCCCAGATCGTGGTTCCCAGGCAAGCTGGCGATTAACCGACGACCGCGACCGTCGATACGGAGTTCATTCTGATTCATCCACGGATCCAAGAATATCTTCATAAAGCGCCCGTATTCCTTCTTCCAAAAGGAATCTTTATATTTTTGATAACGCTCCTCTGGACTGGTAGTTGTACTAGTGGCCCACTCCCTTCCTCCATCAAACAGGTCGCCAAGGAATAATACGGAATCGGGAATGAGCGCATTCTGGATGGAGGAAAATGACCGACGAAGGTATTGGTCTGTGTACTCGACGGTCAATGTTGAGAGAGGCCACGGACGGCCAGGGTAGGTGTGGGGATCAACAAGTTGCGGGTCGGCGATAAAGGCGACGCGGTGCGGCGTAGCACCTTGCGGCTGTAAACAGGGAAATTGAGGTCAGCCTTAAATCCAGGTCACAGAGGTTGAAATGAGCGATGAAGCGAGTGCGCCACCTACCCATTTTTCCCAGTTCTCCCAAGCGCAAGCATCTATGCTTTCTTGGAAGACTGTGCGCTCCCCCCGCCATAAAGTAAAAAGCCATAATAAGATCAAGGCATTGACCAGAGTGAAGATGCGCCTGAAAATCAGCGACGCGAACCCGCGAATATCATGTCGGGCTTGGGATCTGGCTGTTTGGAAGGCCGCGGTCCCTTCCGCCATCCATTGGCTCGCCACGTTCGGTAGATCATTCCATGGCCGATCAGATGTTGATTTCGAAGAAGGAGCAGACGTAAAGGAAGGAAGGGAAGAAGCGCCTGTATTGCGTGGGTAGGCGTAGCTCATTTCTGATTAAAATAGAGGTAGTGGTTCGACCCTTGATGACACGGGGTCCAAAGTGGGGAATCAATAAAAGGAATGACGTTGCATGCTCTAGAAAAAAACAAGAACACCCAGATAGAATCGGTAAAGAAACGAAATCAAAAGAATGAATAGAAAAGGGGTAAAGTGAAGAGAAAAGAGACTTGAATTTCACAACCAAAATGTCTCAAGTCATGATGTGCAGGGTTGGTCTGGAGTCAAGGGGACTATGTCGATCCCGCGTCACGTGGGGATTGCCGCATTCATTTATATTATGATAACCGGCGATGAGGCTGTGCTAGCTGAATGAAAATTATTTTTAGTTCTACATTTGATTCAGGAGAAAAAAAAGAGAAGATAATGTGAGTTGACCAGGAATCTGGGGCTGTTCCAACTGGATAAGTAAAGCTCCTGGTAGAACAACCCATATCCAATCTCAATTGGTAACAATTCATTAAGGTAATAATACATGCACAATGAGGGGGTCGGATATCAAGATGAAGAGGATGATAGGAAAGAGGATTGAAGAACCAGACCATATGTCCTGGCATCAGTTTGTGGAAAAACTGGCCCACCAAGGACAAGAATGACGGGCCAGTTGTAGGGGTACAAGATACAATCTCGCCAATAGATCAATACTAGATACAAAAGGCAAAGATCACAACAAGGAAAAGAGGCTTAGCCGAGCCAAGAATCGAAAATGAAAGGGGATCGAATGAGGATGCATTCTAGACAGACTCAGTAGATTTTAGGAAAGACCGATCATGGCCTGGAGTCACAACAAAAAGACACCAAGAGCCAAGAAAAGTATGAAGAAAGAATGATTGTATGTGGGAATTGAAACGCGGAGAGAGAGGGAAAAACTCTCTAAGAAGACTTTTTAGGGCAGCATTGTCCTCCCTGAGCGCAATTGTCATCACACTCGAGAAGGCAAGCTTGGGTATCACTGTCCCGTACACTGGCGGCACCACTGGAGGTTGGGTCATCGCCTCCGTTACGGGATGATGATGCGTATGTTTGGTTTTGGAGCTCATCACCCTCGCTTCCAGGAGCAAACTCAGGTTGAATGGTTGAGGAATGAATTCCATAGGCATGGAGACACCGGCGTACCTGGCGAGCAAGGCGCATGTAGCGCGCTGAACCTTCGTCCTTGATTCCGGTATCCACTTGAATATGAATCGAAGCCACGAGCTTTGTATCACTAAGCTGCCAGACATGGAGATGGTGTGTTCCAATCACGCCCGGGAGGCCCTCAATATCTTCCTTGATGTGGTCGATGCTCAGGCCTTTGGGAACAGCCTGCAATAGAATTCGCGATGCAGCCTTGCAGAGGGGAATCGCCGATGCAAGAATGATGAGGGTGATGACGAGAGAAATTCCTGGGTCAACATAGTATCGCCATTCGTAGTCAGTCAGCCAAATGATGAGTGCAGATGCAATCACACCAATGTTGCCCAAAGCATCTCCCATGACATGCAAAAAGACTCCACGCATGTTGAGGTCATGACTATGCCCTCCCTTCTGGCTCTTGGGCTTAGGCTGGGCATGGTTGTGATCCCGGTGGACATCAACTTCCGCATGAGTGTGAGCCTTGATGGGGAGCGTCTCTTCATCAGTGTAGTTGGAGGCTCGGTCCCGATTGCGTAACAGACCAGATCGCTCTGTGGGAGTTTCATCTTCGCGCGTATCCGAATCGTCAGATGACTGACCGTTGTCAAAGGATTCCCGACTAGCAGCAATGATGTCCTGTCTCATGGTCGCTGGATGCACATAGATGTCCTCAACACTAGTCAGGCCTGTGCTGTACCGTCTTGGGCCCCGAGTCTGTGGATCCACCCGGCGCTTACGAGATGGAGATGATGGCAGGTCACTTGCAGTATGGTCATGGTCATGACCATTGGCGTGATGGTGATCATGATCAGTAATCGCAGAATCCTCGTGGTCATGGTGATCGTGGTCGTGATCATGGCCCGCCTCCACATCCTCTCCATGGCCGTGATCATGACCATGACTGTGACCATGGCCACCATGAGAGTGATCGTGGAACAACGCCAGTCCCACAATGTTAGAGAACAGTCCAAAGCAGCCAACAATGCAAACGAATTTAGGGTTCTGCACTTCCTGGGGCTCGACCAATCGTTGGATAGCCTCTAGGAAGATTGACATGCACAATGCAACCAGGAACACCCCGTTAACCAAAGCACCCAGAGTTTCGGCTCGTTGCCACTATATTTCCCCAGTTCCCATTATTAGATCATCGGTTGCAGAATGCGACAAGGTGGATGTGTATTGCACTTACACCATAAGTGTACATTTTCGAGTTGGTCTCGCTATTAGCGACCTTCACGGCCCATAGTCCCACACACAAGGAGAGAACATCATTCAGCTGTAGATTTATATCACATTAACATTTGTTGTGCGCGAGAGGAGGAGGAGGAGGGTTGTACCATGTGAAAGGAATCGGCGACCAGAGCAAGCGAGTGGACGGTATAACCTAAACAAGAGACGCGTGAGCCATAGTCAAACGGCAGGCCAAGAGACATTGCTTTCAAGCCTGGTGGATTTTGAGATTTTTCATACCAGTGATCAACTCAAGTAAAAAGAAGATAGTGTCGATTACCAGCAGGATGATAATCCTGTTGGTCTTTGAGAGTCCCATTTTCTTGAGCAGTACCGGTCGCGTATGCGCTTGATCGCGCGCGGAACTCCCGTGAGAGGGGGGTAATGAAGAATATCAAGGTCGCCTATCCCTTGATCAGAAATCTAGGTACTGAAGAGAGTTGCGAGAGCGACTTTTATGTAGGGGAAGAAAGGGCCCAAGGGGAAAAAACCGGGCCGATGTCCACTGACGCAAGTGGGGAGGTCTCACGGTTCAACGGGGCGGAAGCTGCTCCGATCGGCCCCGTAGAGAAATCAGCTTATCTAGGATAATTCTCTGGACTTGAATAGCATATATAGGATGAGAGGAACATTTCCATCTTGGAGGAAATGAAGATGTACTCTGGTTTTAAGTATTCTTGAGATCATTTTCCTTTGTCCTACCTGGTGAAATTTGGAATATTTGACCTCTTTGTACTGCATATAAAGCATACTCTTATGCCCCACTCCACTACAGATGGGTACAGCCTTAAAGAGCACTATAACCAATCGGAGGATGTAGAACTACTGCCCTGGCCAGCATGCAGCTTCGCGTAAAAAAAGAGCTAACAAAATAATTTTTGGATCCATAATATCATCCGGGTCCATATAATGAACCATGTCCAGGTTCAAATTGTTACTCGGTACGTACGCAGCTCCATATGGGCTTTTTGCCAAGATCCCGCTAGTCTCTGGATCAATTGATATAACCTCACCTTGACCAGTTCTGGACTTTCACTTCCATATACATTGCAAATACCAAGCGGTAGCACTTAGTTATAGTCTGACACATGTGCATATAATTTCGGCTATCTGAGTTGTAGTGCCGGCAGTTGATAGTAAATAAGTACTACTACGGGTTGCTAGTACTAACAGACCCTGAGGCTTAATCGTCAGGATCTAGGGCTCGGATTATACGGCAGACTCCGACATCTGGAGTCTCGGAATGAATTCTCATAGACCCGGACCACTAGAAACTTGATTATTCGTACCTGTGAAACTCGCTAGTGTTAAGTGCCAACTAGTATCTACAAATCGCTACTAGTAGACGCACAAGTGCCTGAGATATGTGGGTCTTATGAGTACCTTGAAGGTTAGTGAGATGAATTTTCGACTCGGTTTATGGGTTCAAGTTCAAATGTTGTGGCATGGAAAGGGAATCATGCACACTCAAGTTACAGTGCTATATGCCAGTGTCCAGCTGTGCTTCCTGATGATTGACTTCAGTACATCGTAGTAAACACTGGCAATGCATGGATAACATCATGATCAATACTATCCAGATGTCAATATTTGTACTTGCGTCCTGAGACATGAACACATAGTATGAATGGTCAGCCGGTACTTCAAGGCAGGTACTACTAGTACAAGTAGTGGAGTGCAGAATTTTCAAGCTCAAGTCTCATTCAAGTTGTGTAGGTTCGGAGTACTCCGTACGTTGTACTATTTTCGAGCTGATAGTATTATGCTCTAACTAGAACATTTGACTAAAGTTCTCAAGAGATAGATTTGGAGATGGAGCTTTCTGCCGTGGCTCCAACTATTGAACTTGGACCTAGAAACTGAGAGAAACTTCAAGTTAGCTCATTCAGCCTCAATTGAAGCCCATCCATATAGACCAGTTGACACCAGTTGACTGATATTGGCTCCACTCCCGACAACTTCCGTTTTGGGAATAACATAAGATCTTGGAGGCGAAATCTTGGCAGAAGAGTTCTCAGGTGATTAAGCCAATCATAAGAAAGTTTTGAATTCTGGGATTATCAATCTAATCCACGTTGCTTCCTATCGCCCATAATAGGAAGTTATGAGGAGGAGGCAAGACTCCCAACGGCTCGAGTTTTCCAGCACTAGTACCACCGGCAGTATTCGTCCTATATATATCAGCCACCATGGAATCATATAAAATTGGATCAAAGCCCTGGAGATCACAATTCTGGAGTTATCTGAAATATGTTCAGGTCGAAATCAAATAAACTGAAGCAGAAGTTGTGAAAGTCCAATCGTGGAATAGCCTCAACTGTCCACGGCATAAGTAGGAATACCGCAACCATGATATCCGATCACCAGAAACACGAGGGAAGAATGGATGGCCACGATGTTCCTCAGAATATGCCAGACTTAGAGAAACTTGGAAAAGAACGACCATCAACATTTTCAAGTCTATGGTCTGAAATTGCATTCTGTTTCTCGGTGGTGATGTCTCAAATACTCGGCGTTAGTTTTCTTCTCCATCTTTAAATCAGACAAATCAGTTTTGCATATGACAAGCTAACAAGTGAACTTGAATTTAAAGGAATTTTTCATCACTGGATCCAATGTCATCACGCCCACATTGGTGGTGGAGTTGGACATCCCCGAAGCATCAACGATATGGCCCGCAACCGCCCTCTCTCTAGCTGTTACCGCGACACTTCTCATTTTCGGTCGCTTGACAGATATGTACGGCGGATACGCAGTTTATAATATAGGATTGATGGCCTTGACTATTTCCTCCATATTAGTTGGGATATCTCAATCCTGGTTGATGTTGGTTATTTTTCGCGCATTCCAAGGTCTGGCCCTCGCAGCCTGTCTGCCATCGGGCATGATGTTACTTGGAAGTGTCTATCGTCCCGGACCAAGAAAGAATTTAGTCTTCAGTATTTATGGAGGCTGTGCTGTTCTGGGATTCTTTTCGGGATTCTTCTTCGCTGGCGTGTGCAGTGAGTTCACGACGTGGAGATGGTACTTTTTTATTGGTGCCATTCTCTCAGCTATCACCTTGTTCTCATCATTGTTCTCGATTCCTCGACACAATCTTGAAGAACCACGAAAGCCTGTTCGGATGGACTGGGCAGGTTGTTGTTTGTCCATTCCTGCAATTTCACTCGTCGTGTTTGCCATCGCGGACAGCCCTCATGCACCACAAGGTTGGAAGACACCGTACATTCTTGTACTCTTCATCGTGGGGTGTTTACTATTAGGCTTGCTGGTCTGGGTAGAAGGATGGATGGTGAAAAATCCTCTTCTTCCTGGTGACATATTTCATGTCCATTCGATGGTACCCTTGATCATAGCGTTGCTATATCTGTATGGCAGCTTGGGAATTTTCCTGCTTTATGGAGTTTTATAGTAAGTCGCCAAAGCCCTGAGGGTACTTCCAGCCAATTGCTAGCAAATCTAACACTTCACTAGTATGTCTGAAATTATGGGTGCATCCCCTCTTCAAATCGTGGCCTGGTCAACCCCAATGGCGGTAGGTGGTTTTATTCTTTCAATAACCGGTGGTCTGATCCTCCACAAAGTATCAGGGACTATTTTGATGATAGTCTCCTGTCTCGGATATGTGGGATCTGGATTATTGCTCGCAACAATTCCATTAGGTGGAAATTACTGGGCATTTATCTTTCCCGCCATGATCTGCGGGACGATCGGCATTGATATCAGCTTTAACTTGGCCAATGTCTTCATCACAACAAAGCTGCACCAATCAAGACAGGGGTTATCTGGTGCCATTATATATTGCACGATGCATATGGGAATTGCTGTGATGCTTGGGTTTGCGGATATAGTACAGACACAGACTTGTCATCTCGGTCGCCAGGAAAGCTACAAGGCTGTCTTCTGGTTTGAATCTGGACTAGCGATTCTTGGGTTGATCTTGGGTTTACTATTTGTTCGAATTGATCAGGCTGAGAGTGAGCTGACGGAAGATGAAAAGATGCAGTTTCAATCTTCAGGAAGAGAACACATCGCGACCGGTTTGGATGTATGAGTGAGATTAATGCAGATTTATTAATGTACTTGAAAAAATGGAATCTTGTCAAGCCGAAAGGAGTTATTACTTGTGACAGTAAAGCAATAAAGCAAAAAATTATACATGTAAATATTTCAACATAATACCGACGCGAACCGCATGATCGGAACTTTCATCGTTCTAGAAGACTACATAATTCGAGTCTAGCCGCAAAGATTGACGATGTCGGTGGGAACGTATGGGCTCATGATATCGACGAGCTCAGAGAGCTTGATCCAGTCGAGTGTACCGTGAATGGTCTCGATTGGCTGGCCACTGTACAGAACACGGACGTACAACTCATCGTGCTGACCTTCAGCCTCCCTGTGATGTATCAGTAACTGCAATATATAGATAGACACGGAAACTTCGAGACTTACCAAACTTCGAATGCGATGTTAGAGCCCATAGCTGGCCAGCGGAGCGCATTGATGCCCAAAGATCCGAGAACAGGGCCAAGATCACCATCATGAATGAAAATGTGGGTGTAATCCAGGGTAGAGGTACCATCCTGCACGGCTTGAATACGAGCAAGAACCTCACCAATGAAAAGACCCTCAACGACCTGAATGTACTTCTGAACGTACGCGTTGGTGCGCCAGTAGTAGTTCCATTCCCAGTCACCAGCACGGAAGACTTCATCAGCCATTTCAGTAGTGACACAGTCGGAAGAGTTGGTGGTGCTGCATGGGAGGTCATAGCCGTTACAAAGGCGAGCCTGAAAGTTGTCGGAGAAGTGGTCGAAAGTGTCCTGCCACGAGCTGGAGGTGGCACCGAGCATGGAGCCAAGCTTCGTGCGGAGCGTCTCTGTCACGGTGAGATGCTCATCCCACTCGGTAGTAGATTCGAGCTCATCAAGGGTGGTATCGATGGCACTGCAGGAGTAGCCCTCGTTGACGGTATCAACAGAAGCAACCATCTGATGGAGCGGCAAAGCACCATCGTATTCAGGCCAAACTCCGCGGAGGACGGCACCGGCTGAGCCCTGAGTAAGAGCGGAATCACTGGATCGGAACCAGACACGGTCATTGGGCTTGGCTGGGAGCAGCGAAAGCTTCTCACCGTAGACCTTCCACAGGTCACGACCATGCTGGTATCCATCTTGCACGCCGCCTACTGTGATCTGGGGATACTGACAAGTTCCATTCACTCCGGGAGTGAAAGGGTTTGTCGAATCCTGGTAGGTCTGAGCATACATGGGGATAGGTTGAACGCCGCTCTGGCTGTCCGGACCAGCATAGAGATATGGCCGCACATTGTCACACTGGTATGGTTGGTTCTAAAATTCAAATTAGTCGCCATAGTCAGATAGTGGAAATTTGAGATACATTTGCATACCTCTCCCCCAGGTAGAATGTTGTAAGGCGAACGTCTTTGGTGACGTTGTAAGTACTCAAGGTAGACAAGCTTGCCCTTGACCGATCCGTTGGCAATGGGCTCTGGTTCCTTATACTCCGTAGTGCGGGGATGGGGCATGGAACAATAATCATATGTTCCGTAAGGGGTTCCTTCAGTAGGACCATTTGTGGGAGCTTTGTAAATTCCACCGTATGTTCCAATTGAAGCATTTGAAATATAAGAAGTGTCGTTCAGAGTTGGGGGATAGAAAGTATCCAGGGGTGTCAGAGCCAAGACTGAGCTGGCAGCACTGAGCATAACGCTCGCAGTAGAGACAGTACGCATTTTGAAGAAGCAAGTGAAATAATCAAAGAAAACCTGAACAATTGACTTGAATGAAAATTTTTGAGGCATGAACTCGTATTTAACTCCTTCAGACTCGCATCTAATTCCCGGCACGGATGATATGGAAGATGCCGAACGCGCTAAGGATCAACTAAAGTAAGGATCCACTTTTCTTGACAGCCAGTCGTCGTATTAGCATCATTACACGTGGGATCAGCTCGCCTAAGATCATACGGGATCTTGAAGAAAAACGTGTAAATGTCTGATCTCTGATAGATCGATGATTGCCGACAATGGTGGTAAGCGAGATGACTCGGATGTTTACCGAACGCCGGAGAAGGGGTCCCGAATGCCGGGAAAGGGGTACAAGCGCCATAAAGGAGGCATATATTCCAATGGAATGACACACTCGTAGTTTTGATCAATTCCCGAAATTTTTTGTTTGTCCCACGTGGTGGCTGTATCCTCGCTGCGATGAAAGCCAATTCCCTCGCATTGGCTACCATGCTTGGCCTGTTGCCATTGCCTGGCCAGTGCTCCAAGCTGTCTAGCTTTGCGCTTGACAAAGTCCTTGAGGACGCATCCCAGATATTTGGCGACTATGTCAAGAATACGGGTAGCAAAGCAGAATGGATGAAGAATTATGCAGATGATACTTTGCTGGTTCACATGAACATTCCTGGTACCCATGATAGCTCCACCTGGAACTATACCCAGGCTACCCAGGATGCCATGCTGGGTATCACGGACTTGAACCAGGTGACTGTACCTGTCCCCGAGACATTCCGTTGTCAAGAGCTATCGTTCATCAAAATGCTTGACATGGGCATCCGGGCGTTCGACATGCGTTATGCTATGGACCCAACCAACACCTCCCTCGTGTTTTACCACTCCGAGGCCCTGTTGTCGGAGACCGCCAATGTGGACAATGTCCTCTTCGGCTTCTATCAATGGCTTGACGATCACCCATCCGAGACTCTCTTCTTGTCTTTCCAGTATGAGGGATCGACAGCCAAGTACGCCAGCAACGATGCTGCAGTACAGACACTGCTCTTCAACTCTCTCACCTCTCCCGCTGCCAAGTCCTACTTTGTTCAAAGAAAAGACTCACTCGGCACGCTAGGATCAGCTCGTGGAAAAATCAATTTGCTGCGCCGATTTGATCTCGATGAGCTTCCATCTTCATATGAGGATGCGATGCCAGGTCTCCACTTCTCGCCCAGCCTTTGGACTGACAACGATCCCAATATCGTGCTGACTTACAACACGAAGGAGAACTTGACTGCATACATTGAGGATTTCTATCAGCCCACTACCCCGACGGGCTCATCGGCCACGGAGAACATCCGCTGGAAGTACAATGCTACTTCCTCGCATATCGTCAAGGCCACTACTGAAGAGCCCGATAGTCTTTTCTGGACATGGGCCTCCAGTGAGAACACAGACAATACCCCTCCTGACTGGCCGCGAATCATGGCCATTGGAAATGGTACTGCCTCTACACCTACTGGAGGTGTCAATAACCTGCTGGTTCCGTTCCTCAAGGAGCAGAAGGATAAGCGTGTCGGCATTGTCATGTTTGACTTCTTCGATCAGCCAACGGACCTGATTGATGTTTTCCTCAGTCTTTAATAGAGAGTACTGCGATGTGCGGGTGTTGCACACTTTTCATCTGCGAGTCATTCGCTAGATCGTTATTGACACTTGATATTTGAAACATCACCCGAAGGGCAGCAAATAGTTTGTTTGGAAGATGGGATAGACGGAAGTCCAAGAACGGAGAGATGTAAATGAGCTTGAACATAAAGAATGAAAATGTGATTTTGTAATGGCTGGAATTCATGGGCCATGGCCTCCAAGGTTCATTAGGTGACCGCCAAGTAGAGCTATAATAAGTGAAAGGAGCCCCGTGCTTTAAACCTTCGAGGATTTCAAGCCACCACCAGTTCTAGTAACTTCAACCGGGAACTCGGATAAATCGAAGGTATCACCGAGGAGTAAGTTCAATGCAAGCCAGCCGGAGAGCCAAGCAACTCTAGTAGGTGTAGGTTATCACTTGCGTAAAGCTTGCCTTTGCCTTCCTCTTGGCGATCAGCGGCATTTTGAGGCTGATACCTGAAAATTTGTGGGGAATTTTATAAGCTTGGCTCGACGTAGAGGAGTAATGGAAAAAATCCATAGTAGATATAGCAAGTTCAGACATAGGAAAATGATATTATAGTAGAATATTTTGAGTTTATACTTGCAGCACTTCCAAGGTTTGGAGACACGCGTCTTTACAGTGTACATCGATATGGAATTGATTGCTCAGCGCTTGGAGAAGCCTTATAACTTTGTGGCTGTTCCTTGGTCGGAGTCGCGTGGTATTTGTTTGTTTGTCTCAACCAAGACTATCCCCATGTAGTGATGGTAAGACCCAACATTTTAGTGACGCATACTATCACCATTGATTAAAAGACCGGAATATGCTTTGAAATTGTGCATGGCATAGGGAACGCGTACGACTCATTGAAAGCCAAGCAAATTTAGCACCAGTGAGGATGCAGCTCCTGTACGCGACATATCCGTGCACGGTTTAGTCGCCGCCATGGGCTAAAGAGGCTTGCATCGGGTATGTCTTGAGCCTTGTTCTCCGTGTTCCCAGTACGGAGTATTTCAGAAACGTTGGGGCCGAAAGCTGGGGTTAATATCTCGGGGAGCCGATTTGGGATGCAGCTCCACCGGAGGCTGGATCTGGGAAAGTTGCGGTCAACTTGAACGGAGTGACCGTTTTTGAGTATCACCCTGGAATGCGATTGCATGATATGGAACAGGGCGGCGAGTGGGTCACCTTGGTCAGCTCTGGAGGCGTACCTATAGGAAGGAGGTATCCAAGGTTACTTCCGGGTAGAAGTTCCAGGAGAACGCATGTGGCTCGTGTTAGTTCCGAATCACAAAAAAACAAGCTTCTGTTTATTCCAAGTCAATAAGGGAATCTTGGTTGGAAAACGTTACGCTACACTCAGTCCTTTCTCCGGATTTCAACCAACAGTTGCTGTTAGCTATCCCCGGAAAATGAAAAAATAAAAAATAAAATAAAATTAGAATCCTGATCCTGCGCCTCCATGCTTCTGGGAACGGAAGTTAATCTAGGGGCTGGAGTGTAATGCCACTCCACGGGATAATTTCCAAATGCGAACAAAAAAGGTGAAGAAAGGACCAAAAAGGACCAAAAAGGACCAAAAAGGTGGTCAAAATTCATGTGACACGGACTTCGGTTAAACCTTGGATCCGAAGTGGACCAATAACAACGCGGGGAAGCTCCAATAACTTAATGAGATTGGTGGGATTACTCTCGGGTGGAGGACGCCACCCCAGGTTTTAACCGGAATTACTTGGAGGTCTTAGCACCTGGAGAGAGACACCACGAGATTGGGGTAAGATGAAAGCTGAAAATTATAGCAAATGATTGGATCCCAGATTTTTTAACGCTAGTCTCTCTGTAGTGCGACCCATTGGACCCTCAGGGACTGACAGACTCGGGAGTCGGACATGACTTTAACAGGTTCTAAGAGACCCCAAGGGACGATAATGGATCATAATGGACTGAATAGGGATTTGGGATGCCTTAGCCTGGTTGATCCGACCTATCACAAGCTATCACGGGCATCGGCTAGTAAATCTGCTTCGATCACACCTTAGAAACGGTCAAGCGTCTCAAGCCGGAAGCTCTCAGAACTCGGAGATAAAAAAAAAGATTTACCTATAAAGTCCCGTTGACGGCGAACTACATTCTATTGACTTCCTTCTTTTCTCTCAGTGCCCTTTTCGGTGAGTTTACTCTTTTCTTATCTCTTTCTCTATCTCTATCACTATCTCTGTCTCTGTCTCTTTCCTAATCCATTGCACCTTCCTGGCCGTGCCTTCCCCATCTGACTCTCTACTTTTCTCAACCCCTCACCATTTCTTTTCCTCTTCCTTCCTCTATCCTTCTCATCAACCTACCACACTCAATCTATCACACTGATCCCCCATTGCCACGAATAACCACTGATCAAATCCAGGAACTGGACATTCATCATGGGTTCCGATATTGAAAAGACCGAGCAGTCGGAGAAGACTCAGGAGACGCAAACCGTTGGAGTTCATCATGCGGAGGTCTTGGGTAAATCGGACCTCATGAACGATGCGTTGGAGGGAGAACAGCGGGAGCACGAGATGGGAGTTTGGGAGGCCGCCAAGTTACACCCATGGGCCTGCTTCTGGGCATTTATCATGTGTTTCACCATCGTAAGTAAATATCTTGATATTGACATGTGAGCGACCAAGTTGGAGATCATGATGATGGCTGACTATTGCTCCTCCTTTGCTTCACCCAGGTCATGGAATCCTTTGATATGTTCCTTAACACCAACTTCGTCGCCCTTACCAGGTTCAAACGTAATTTCGGCGTCGAGACCAGCCCCGGAGAGTGGTCTATCCCTACCAAGTGGCAAAGCGCACTCTTCCAATCTGGCCAGTGTGGTGCCTTCATCGGAGTTTTTTTGGCAGGTCCCATCACCAGCAAGATTGGATATCGATGGACCACAATTCTCGGCCTGGTTTTGATGAACGCTACAATCTTCATCTCCTTCTTCGTAAGTCAAGAGTCTTGGACGTGGCGAGAAATTAATTAACCAAGCTATCCGATTTAGGCCGATTCCCTGACAGTCCTAGTCATTGGACAAGCATTTGAAGGTCTGCCATGGGGATTCTTCATTGCCAACTCTCCAGCCTATGCGAGTGAAGTCGTGCCGATTCCTCTTCGAGCCGCAGTCACTGCAACCCTCCAAATGAGTTGGTCCATTGGTTCAATCATTGTTGCGGGTGCCTCGATGTCATACAATAACCGGAATGATGAATGGGCTTGGAAGGCTCCATTGGCGCTACAGTGGATGTTCCCTGTAAGTACTGGGATCTCCTACCTATAATTGACCAACAAAGCTGATTCCGGCAGCTCCCTCTATTGATCCTGATCCTTTTCGCCCCTGAGTCCCCTTGGTGGCTGATGCGTCGTGGGAGAAAGGAGGAGGCCCTGCGCTCGATCAAGCGGCTCGGCAGCAAGACCACCGAGGAGGCTCAGCAATCCTTGGCCATGATTGAGCGAACGATTGAAATTGAGCTTCAGATGGGAGATGCTCCGAACCTGCTAGATTTGCTGAAGGGCACAGATCGTCGACGAACTATCATCACCTGCTTAATCTACACCTCCCAGAACTTTGCCGGTAACCTGATTGCTAACCAGGCGACTTACTTCTTTGAGCGTACGTAACAGCCCACTCCTTCTCCAATGGAATGCACATTTGACTGACTCTTAACTACAGAGGCTGGAATGTCGACTGGATTTTCCTTCAAGTTGAACCTCATCACCACCTGTCTTCAATTCGTGGCGAACGCATGCTCGTGGTACTTTACATCTCGGTTCAGTCGTCGAGGCGTCTATCTCGGCGGCTTAGCCGTTAACATCGTGTTCCTCTATGGTCTCGCCATCATTTCCTCTGTGCCCCAGAATGTTCACACCAACTATGCTGTGGCGTGCTTCGGTGTCATTATTTCCGTCGTCTTTGCGGGTTCTCAGGGACCAATCTCATACACTATCATTGCAGAGACATCCTCGGTCCGTCTTCGTCCACTCAGCACTGCTGTAGGCCGAGCCGCCTATTACCTTACCGAGATCCCAATGATCTACCTTTCCTCGAGAATGCTGAACACTACCGGTTGGAATCTGGCGGGCAAGTGTGGCTACGTGTGGGGAAGTACCGCAGTGGTCTGTTGGATTACTGCGTATTTCTGGCTTCCAGAGCTCAAGGGCCGCTCCTACCGTGAGAGCGACATTCTCTTCAACCGCAAGGTGGCCGCAAGAGATTTCAGCTCGACTGAGATTGATGAGAGAGACAATGAGTAATTGGCGATCCTTGGTCAGAAAGACTCACTGCCCTTCTCAACGGCGAGTGAAACAAGGCAACCCTTCGTCTAACTCTATTCTTGAGTGCACATTTTTTGAAAGCCACCACCGGCTATTCATGGATTTACTCTTAGTACCGTTTGAAACCAATGCTACTTCCAACCATCTTTATGGAACTTTTGTAATTTAGCCCCTACTAGAAACCAAACAGGTCCGCAATATCAAGTTTGAAGTTTATACTGAGATAATGTAACCCTTTGTAATATGTGCCGGTGACTAGGGAAAAGTGTTATAAATTGAGTCAGAGAATCACCTGTGCATTGGTTCTTGATATAGTCGCAAGTTTCCTGCCACTTTCAGATAAAAAGAAATTGATGAAGAATTTCGATGAAATTGATCGACCGCTAGTGGATATCCATAGTGATATTCAACAAGTTGACAAGGGTCTCGGCATGTCTCCACCTCTCACCGGATAGTTCAAGGATCTAAACTCACCATCTTATCCTCCGTTCGCGTGATCGGCATTGTGGTTCCAAAACAGTGCTGATTTTCAGGCTGTCATGATCGGACTGAACGGAGAAGATAATCAAAACTAGCACTTGAGTGGAAATGTAAGCTTGTAAAGACATGAACCTCTTATAATTCGCAATACCCGGGAACTATGATATGATCAGGACTCGAAGTCCTGAGTAGACTATTAGAGAAGTATGATGTTCAGGCTCAAATTAATACTGTGCATACAAAAATAACCTTGGAATGCGGAGGGTTTCCGAGCCATGCAGGTTTGAAATTTCATATCTAAGACTTCGAGCACCCCTGACTGAAGCTTGTAGCTCACAAATCCCTCACTGCACCTGGAGCCACATTTTAGCAGGCTGTTCAAGTTGTATCACAGATATGCTAGATAAAGGGATCGCGCAGTCTACGCCCAAGGACTCGGGTAAATCATCAGCGACCGATATTGTATCTACTGATGAAACTGACTTTGAGTCAAGCCCTGAGCTTCATTATGCCAAACGTGGAGAGGTCCTGGAAGAAGGCCCATCGAGCCAGGAAAGTATCCAAGGCTATGATCCGACCTTGATGAATGGTAGGACACTGCTCACAGCTGAAGAGGAGAAAAAACTTCTTCGCAAGATTGATTCGCGATTGATGGCTCTTTGCTCAATCATCTTCATGTTCAAGAATCTTGACAGCAATAATGTGAGTATTCAATCAACTCCCAGTCTTCATCAGCTGACCATTTCAAAGTTGTCAAATGCGAGAATAATGAACAAGGGGACCGATCAGAATATTATGACGCAGGTGGGAATTTCATCAAACGAGTATAACCTGGTGACAGCGCTTTACTATGTGAGATCTCCTTGACATGCCGTAAACTCCAACTATATAATGACTCATGCTTTCTCTATAGATACCATATATTGTGCTGGAGGCACCGTCCAACCTATTGATAAAGAGATTTTCGCCTTCAAAATGGCAATCACGCATCATGGTTAGCTGGGGCATTATTTCCATGTGTGGTGCTGCTGTGAGCAATAAGGGCGGCTTATATACAGTCCGATTCATGCTGGGCGTGGTCAGTCTCGATCCCGTGAGCGCTGTGACAGCTCATACCAAAACCTTCCAACCTATGCATTATAATCTAACGCTTGGTCCAGGCCGAGGCTGGTCAATTCCCGGGGATCATTCTTCAGATGACTTATTGGTATCGCCCGGATGAAATGTCCCTAAGATTACTTTACTTTTGTATGTTTACTTTGAATTATACCATGCCCATTTTAGTGCTGACAAGTCTTGGACAGATATCTGTGGCAACTGTGCGAATATCTTGAGTGGTCTTCTTGCATACGCATTTGATACCGTATCTGGTGCTGGTGGACTTTCCGGATGGCAGTGGTAAATCAGTTGCAACCCTCCTTTCCTCCACAATCAACTAACGAACGTCAGGTTATTCCTCATTGAAGGCATTGCAACTGTCATTTACGGTGTTGCTATATGGTTCTTGCTCCCTGACTGTGAGTGGAACTTCGAGACCTCACATCAAACTCAATATCCTGCATCGACTAATTTAGAACGATGAGCAAAGTCCCCGAGACAGCAGACTGGTTGACTGAGAAGGAGAAGATATTCATTCAAGCTCGACTCCCATCGAATGCTCCTCGTGCCAGCGAGGAGAATTTCAACCTACGCGAAGTGATTGAGTGTCTCAAGGACATCAGGCTCTGGCTCTTCATGCTCATTTGGGCAACATTTACGGTGGGCACTAACGGCGTTACCTTCTATCAATCTACCGTCATTGCAGACCTCGGCTTTACGTATGTTAAGAGCCTCAGTGAACAGACCATTAAAACTGACTCTCTTTTAGTACAATTGCCGAAGCTCAATTGCTCAATATCCCCATCACAGCATGTGGCCTTCTTTTCATTGCGATCACAGGAATTACAGCCGACCGCAGCCGTATCCCTCGGCCGTTATACCCATTCTGTTTTCTTCTCATCATAATCGTCTGTTACGGAGTATTCGTCGCCTACCCCAGCGTCGGTGCCGTGTACGCCGTAACTTTAATCGGAAACGCATTGACTGCAGGGTGGTATCCTGTGATGTGGTGAGTTTGCCATCCCAGTTTATAGCCAGGTTTATGATATTCCGACACTTATTCTTATTCTAATAGGCCATGGCGAGTTCAAACCACGTCTCGGGCTACAGGCTCGGCGTTTTCAATCGGGTTCGTCAATAGTTACGGCCAAATTGGTGGTGCGATCGGTCCACAGCTGTTCAGAAGCACTTACGCACCACGTTATATTGTACCGTTTTCTGTTGCGATGGGCCTCGTAGGCGCCTGCGCGATATTGACTCTTGTGACATGGTGGGTAACTTGGGATACGGAGCGAGACACAAGGCGTCTGAAGCTCGCTAAATTGGCGGCGGAAAAACGTGGAGAAACACTGCTAGAAGATCTGGTCGATCGCGATTTGAAGACTCATTAATCATTATTCGCTCAAACACCGAATGTGTCGATCTTCTTGACGATATAGCATACTGCCCATTTTCGGTTGAATACCGTGAGTAAATTCGGAGCAGAACCTCATTCCCTTGTTCATCTCAAACTACTCCGTATAGACTTCAAGTTGTCGAAAAAACATCCGAGGGATCCAATGAAAATGGTGCGGTCTACCCGGCACTAGACAAAACCCTCCGATGCTGTAGGAACATTTGAGGACCTTAGCTCTACGCCATATGTGGACCTCTTGATGTGATTTTTAGACTTAAGATTCAAATCTATGACTTTGTGATATGTAAAGAATACTCAAAGACTCTATTGATTTTGAAGTCTTCACCTTGAAAATGAGTAATGAAGCCCAGCCACCCGCAATACCGTCTAGCGACCCCTATTTTAACCTGGGAACATTCGGTCGCAAAGTGAGCACAACTTCCAAGGAAGCTCAAATATGGTTTGACAGGGCCTTGGTCTGGACCTATTGCTTTAATCACGATGAGGCAATCGAATGCTATAAACAGGTGATCGCACATGATGATAGCTGTGCGATGGCTTATTGGGGGGGTTTCATTCTGCTCGGGATCCAATTACAACAAGACCTGGGCGCTTTTCGACGGACTAGATCGAACCAAGGCTATCCAGCGATGCTATGAATTTTCTAAACTGGCTTTGGAGCGATCGCATGGCGCGTCAGACTGGGAACGAGCTATCATTCATGCGCATGCGAAGCGATACCCGAATGATGATCCCAACCGTGATCTTCTTGCATGCAGTATAGCATATGCCAATGAAATGAGGGATGTCCATATCAATTTTGGATGTGACGACTTTGATATTATCACTCTTTTCGCTGATTCGTTGATGAACTGTGCTCCTCGAAAGTTGTACGATGCTTCTACCGGTCTGCCGATAGCAGCGTCTCCTGTCTTTGAAGTTAAGGACTTGCTTGAGAAAGCGCTCAAAATGCCTGGAGTAGAAAGCCATCCAGGCCCGGCTCACATGTATATCCACTTGATGGAGATGTCGTTGACTCCTGAGGCTGCTCTGCCTGCAGCGGACATGATCCGTGACATTTTTCCCGATACGGGTCATACATTCCACATGCCGGCTCATATCGATGTCCTTGTGGGTGACTACCGACGTGCTGTTGAATACAACTACAAAGCTACAGTGGCGGATGACAAGTACTTCAAACTCAAGGGTGGCTTGACATTCTACAGTTATTACCGTCTACACGATTACCATTCTCTGATTTATGCTGCTATGTTGGGAGGAAAGTCTAAAGCCGCTTTATCTGCAACAACCCGAATGGAGGCTACAATCACAGAGGAAATTCTTCGCGTGACAACACCTGCCCTGGCGGACTGGATGGAGTTTTTCAATGCTGTGAGGGTTCATGTCTTAATCCGCTTCGGTATGTGGGAGGAACTCAAACAATTGCACTCGCTCGAGGATAAGGAATTATATTGCGTTACAAATGTGATGCGACATTATGGAAAGGGTATCGCATATGCAGCCACGGCAAATCTCGAGGAAGCTGACAAGGAGAGGGAGTTATTCAAAAAAGCCTCTAAGCTGGTCCCGCCTACGAGACTCGACTTTCCTAATAAGATCACCGTCATTTTGGATGTGGCATCTGCTATGCTCGATGGGGAGATTGAATACAGGCGGGGGAATTATGAAGTCGCGTTCAAGAGACTACGGGACGCGATCAAGTACGAGGATGAACTTCCTTTTGCGGAGCCATGGGGTTGGATGCTTCCAGCACGACATGCTTTTGCAGCTTTATCATTAGAGCAAGGAAGAGTGGAACAAGCTACGCAGGCCTATGCTGAGGATCTGGGCTTGATTCCTACACCAGGACGCTCTCACCAGCACCCGAACAATGTTTGGGCACTTCAGGGCTATCATGAGTGTCTTCAGCTTTTAGGCCGTTATCAGGAGGCTACCATCATAAAGAAACAACTTTCCTGGGCATTGGCTGAGGCGGATGTTGAGATTAAGTCTTCATGCTTTTGTCGACTTGGAAACCCCTCCACTGGGAAGGTTGCAGCGAACGGATGTCAGAGCAAAGTTTCAAAGTGTCATAGCTAGGGTCAAGATATGAAGAATTGATAATATGATTACTCTCAAAGACTCATTAAAGAGCTAAAATCTTCCTTGTTGATAAAGTACAGCGAACATCGGTCAACGTGTCAACGTGTGAATATTATGACTGCGGACCTTGGGACAAGACACCAGACTCATGCAATTAAAGACATTATGCGGCAGCATCTGCAACTTGTTTGATCATCTCCCGAACCTCATCGACGATCCGAAAACAGGGTATTAGCTTCCGCGCTACGGAGTTATGAGGACAGACATCAAGCGGATCATGATCCACGCCATACTCCCGCCTTCGACAACGACCTTCAGTATCTGGACAAGTCTCATGACCAGCCATATGCCGATTACGCTGTCGAATTGCAAAATTATCTCCTAGTATCAATAATCTCTCGACGTCATGCTGAAGTCCTTCCATGATAAGTCCTCGAAGCTTTCCCCCGTTAATTTGTAGACTCATCTGCGAAGGAAATCCAAGCCCGGAGTCAAGGTAGATAGTATGATTCTCACTCATTGAGCCATCCTCAGAACCGTCACTTTTCAGCCACTGCAGGTACTTTTGGTAGCATGATGTAACCTCAAGCATCAGGTGTCCTATCAGAAGAACATTTTGCACAGTAACTCGCGGTGGCTTTGAGACATCGTAGCAGACAGGACAATGCAGTAGTCTTTCTGAAAGTGATGTTCCAGTGCGTAGGGTTGGAACGATATCGTGGGATATATTCGTTTGGGTTAGGCTTCGCACTATGCTTGAAACCTCTTCATCGCATTTACAGGATCGCGGCATTGACACAGCGGGTGGTAGTACCGGTGATTCCCTCGGCATTAAGGGCAGCCCGCCGTTGTGTAGCTCCAGCTCACCTGATCGCGACATTTGCCACAACTCAAGTGGAAGCGAACATAAACTTCCATTTGTGAGTGTTTCTCTTGAGAATGTGTCGAAACCACAGCTTGCTGATAATCCACAGGTCAATGCGTCCAGTTCACTGCTCCCTGCAAGCAAGTCCACGGCTTCTTGGGAAATTAATGATGATTCAGGTAATAAGGAGGAGAACTGCGACGAGCTTGATGATGACGCCGTTCGCTCTCGTCTGGTTAAGGTGTCGATGCCTGTTTGTTCTTGTCGTAGTCGCTTTCTCGGCCTCCCGGGTGCTCCTTTGTCTTTGAATTTACAAGGCAATGACAGTGACTTGCATCTGGAGCAACCAGTCTTATCCCCTGAGCATCTGAGCTTGCGCGCCCCTGTTCCTTGTTAGCGGATGTAGTCTAGGAACACTGCCCAGGTGGCAGGGGGATAACACGAATCGTACGGCATGTTTCGCAAGACTTCCTTTCCTGTCTGATATTACTCATGTCTGATGAACCCGATTATGTGAAGCAAAATCAATATCTGAAGCCGATCTGGAACAACTCCATCGAAAGATTGTTAATCTTGCGCTGACATGGCGTCAACCGTGCGGGGTTGTACAGTGGGGCCAGTCAATCAATCCCAAAGTCCGTGAATCCGTGATACATAATATGGAATGGTGTTCAATGTTCCAACTTGAAGCATGTATGCAGTAGTATTGATTTGTTTGTGTCAAATTTCAGTGCTCATTCTTGTGAGAAGTGTATGAGCAGACCGTTATCTGGATGTCACCAAGGTTGATTGAAGTAATGCAGTGGTAGCAGCAGATAGAATCCATGTTGTTTCTTCCCACACAACTTGACCTTTGAGACATTCTAATTGATGCACTCATTGACGCTGGTTTTTGAGAAACATCTGCATTCTCTTATAATTAGGGATGTCACAGCAGTCTTTCAGATATTAGGAAGCTGGAGAGTAATTTGTGGGTCCCTAATAAAACCATCCGAGACTCGGAACAGTTAGAAAATATCCGAGTGTCATATACTTCAAATTTCCAAGGTTCTCTCAGATCTTCAAGTTTTAATGAACATTCTCCAGTCATAAGAACCTCAACTTGAACTTCACACTGTTCAATCGAGGTGTGAAAAATCCCAAAATGGTCAAATCTATCACTGCGCACGAATTGCGCCATCATTGGGTGAATCGAAAGGAAATTGCCCTTCTCGACGTACGCGAAGAAGGCCCATATGCCGAGTCTCATCCTTTGTTCGCATTGAGTGTTCCGGTATCTGAGATAGAGATGAAGCTGCCTGCACTGATACCTCGGTTGTCAGCTCCGATTGTTGTCTACGATGATGGCGAGAACTATGTTCATCGCGCGGCCACCCGGATATTGGATTTGGGATACACCGATGTTGCCATCTTGGAAGGAGGAGTCTCTGGCTACGCCCTTGTTGGTGAGGTTTATCGCGATGTGAATGTCCCGTCCAAAGCGTTCGGCGAGCTCGTGGAGTCTATAAATCACACTCCTTCTTTACCAGCGCGGGAAATCAAAGATCTGCTGGAGAAAGAAAGTAAGGCAGTCATTTTAGATGCACGACGCTTTGAAGAGTTTAACACAATGTGCATTCCTCGGGGCCGCAGTTGTCCCGGTGGAGAGCTTCTTTACCGCGTGCTTGAGGCTGCACCTTCTCCCGACACAACTGTTATTGTGAACTGTGCCGGTCGCACACGAAGTATCATCGGTACCCAGTCTTTAGTCAACTCTCGAATCCCGAATAGGGTGATTGCTCTCCGGAATGGTACCATTGGGTGGACTCTAGAAGGCTTAAAGGTCGATACCGGGAAAACAGCGCGTGCGGAACCACCTTCCCCTGAGTCGTTACAAAAAGCGCGTCAATTTGCAGAGTCATGGGCTGCTTATGTTGGAGTTCCTGTGATTGATACGGAGAAATTGAACGAGCTTACTGCAGGGCATGAAACTCGAACTGTACACTTATTAGATGTGCGCGATCCAGAAGAATACGCGCTGGGTCACCCGACCGGCTTCGCCAACGCGCCCGGTGGCCAGTTGGTTCAAGCCACTGACGAGTGGGTCGGTGTTCGCGGCGCTCAAATTGTTCTCTACGACACGGATGGTGTGAGAGCACGCATGACAAGTACCTGGCTTTTGCAACTTGGATGGGAAGTTTATGTTCTCGACGGAAAGTCCGTCTTACCGCAGGACTTGTCGGCACCTAAGAAGTTGCCTGTGCGTATTCCGGAATCAGGAGTCATCACGATTGAGGAGCTGCAAGCACTCCCATCACCAACCATCGTAGATCTCGCCCGCAGCCCAGTATACCGAAAATGTCATATCCCTGGCGCATATTTCGCTTCTGGGCCTGAACTCGCTCGAGATTTGAAGACCATCAACGGTAGTGGTCCCATCGTGTTGACCTGCCCGGACGGTGATATCGCTGCGACAAACCTGAAGGACGTACAAAATTCAATCTCGCGACAGGTAGTTTATCTCAAAGGGGGAACTGCAGCCTGGGTCGCAGCTGGAAACTCACTCGAGACTGAGGCCCGCTGGCTTTCCCAGCCAATTGACGTGTATAAGAGACCGTATGAAGGAACAAGCAACGCTCAAAAGGATATGCAGGCTTATCTTGATTGGGAGTATGGGCTTGTTGCACAGTTGGCGAATGATGGGGTCTCATGTTTCCATGTCGTGCGCGATCGACGAGGCTAGTTAGAATGTTTTTTTAATATCATATGAAAGTACTAGTAGTCTTTCCCTTTACATACTCGTTCAAGTAGTGCTCATTGGTAGGTGTACGTTCTCCTTCCTGCTTGCCATCGTGGGAATTATCCATTTGAATATCCTCTAGCTCACGCTCTGAGGGATTTGCGCGCTGCAGAGTGCTTCCAGTGTAACGACGGCGGTCATCATGGTGGTCGTAAGCTAAAGAAAATGTCAAAGCTGAAGAATGAGAGCGGTTGAACCAAGTACAAATTAACTGATATGTAGCCAACCATGAGCTTTTGTCCGAGTCATCCACGGTTAAGTTTCTGTGATGATGGTAGTTTTCTTATAAAACTATTACCTATACGCACCTTTTAAGTCTGTTATAACACTGGCAGCCATCCTCCTAGTATGTACTACATTATCATAATAGCTAGTAGCAGGAAGAAAAGAGAACTACTAGTATAGTATATATCAGCTACCTCTTACTTTGTATATCTCTGACTTTCAAGTTAGCCATCTCTCACTGGCACTTTACTTATCTCTCACTTCAACCAGTTGAACTTGAATATTATTAAATTTTTTTATATCATAAAGTGACTAGGATGAGCTAGGGGTTCAAAATTCATTATCGGAAAATGGTCACTACAGCCCCACTCAAGTGCTAGAGTCAGTGTCTTCCAAGGTTATAATCCATCCCGATCAATAACAGCCAATTCTAATTAATCAAAATGAAATATATCAAATTAAAATAATGAGATGACCGCAGTTCACTATACCCCACGTTGAAATGTCATCACGTGCACGACTGGGGAAGGAAGAGGTGGGGTACAAGCTGAGGGACATCTTCCCCAAATATAACCTTGAAATTCTATCAACGTGTCAAAACTTGCATAAATGCCTTCCGATGAGTCAGCGCCAAAGGTCCCTGCGAGTCGCAGAGCTACAGTAGCCTGCAAATTCTGCCGTCAGAGGTAACAAGAAAAAAAGCCATGGTACACCTCGCATAGATATCAGCTCTGAACCCGCATCCCCAGGAAACGAAAATGTAATGAACAGCGACCAGTTGCGCGAATTGCGCATCCTCCAATGTGGAGTGTCATTACACTGATGTTGAACAACGAAGGTAAGCCATTTTATTACCTAGTGATTATTTCCAGGGACCATTTTAAAAGCTTTCCAGGTTTGACGCAGAAGCCTCACTGTCTGCCATTGCAGCCCGCCTGGAGGAGATGGAATCAGTCATGCGGGAGCATTCTAATACTCTCAGGCAATTAACAGTGTCAAATTCGGACTCTGGAACTACACCAGCTACCAACGTCTCACAAAGCCAATTGTCCAGTTCCCCTGCTGTTTATTCGGCATCTCCGCATGGCTCTGGTGTGTCTGCTCAACCCACTCCAAGCGGGATATCGGGAGTGTCAAGGGCCATAGATCTGGGAACAGACGTCGCACTTCCTCCAATGAGTATTCCGCTATGGCATTCGACAACTACTGGATCTCTGCTATCCTGCCCCTTGGTAAGATCCCTCCTGGGAGACTACCCGAGTGATGTTTTTCTTCGCATAGAAGAGCGTCGCAAACTACCGAGTCAGCTGAAAACAGCATTCCAACCTGGAGTTGCACCGGATATCCCATATTTTGATCGTGCAATCACCGATACTTTCATTGAGACATATTTCCAAACAGTGAACCTGCAACATCCGATTCTTTCCTATGAAGACTCCATCACACATTACCATTCATTTATCTCAGAGCCTCTACATGTATCCCTGGAATCTAGCTTTGTATTGGTGACGCTGGCATTGGCAGAAGCCGCGACGACGCAACCACCAGAACGACTCGAGGTAGATTGGTCGCCGGGGAGTATCTATATTTTACCAGCCCGGACCATTGCTCTAGATGCATATTTGAATGCGACTGTGACCAGTGCCGCCCTTCCCAGATGTCTGTATCTTATTGCTCTTTATTACAAGTACCTCTCGCGACCACTTGATGCCTGGAAACTCGTCCACATGGCATCCACCAGCTTCCAACGCCTATGGATAAGGTGAGCCCGAGCGCGACTCCTTTTCACATAAACTTCATGCTAACAGGCAAATACCTGGAAGGTCCAAGCCATCACCAGAAATGAGCGACCCAGAAACCCAATCATCAATCCGACTTTGTTGAGCGATATTCTCGCTTGAATGGTAAGCCGAGCCCAACTACCTTCTCACGCACAGTACTAAATTTCATATCCAGCGATCTTATTGCGGAGCACCACTTGCAACGAAGTGGAATCGAAGATCTTGTAAGATCTTGTTGATGGACTCCATCTTCCCTTGTGTGGGGACCCACCTGATCTGTCTTTACTTGCCTGGCTAGCCGAGCTGTCATCTCGCCGACTTCTCAATCGCGTACATCACGCCATGTATGCCGAGGAACAAGAATACATTCTCCAAGCAGATTATGTAACAAATCACGGCAATGGCGGGTATGTGGATGAAAACATCAACAGAATCATGAGTACCAGTCTAAATGTTTCACTTGAATTGGATGCGCAGTCAAGCAATTGGTATGATTTGATACCTCAAGTCATCAAGCCGAGTTTGATACCAACTGGCATTTCCATTCAAGAAACCATGCTGGTCCTCCGTTATTACTCTGCGAAGGACATTATATTCCGTCCTTTCCTTTTATTTGCGTGCAGCCTCCCTCCAACCATCCAGCCTCCGCAGGCCTTGCTCGAAATTTCGCAAACGGCAGCGTATAGCTGTCAACAGTATATTCGTGTTGCTGCAATGAGATTGAGCGAACCCTCTGCTTCAACAGAGATTGTCATTCACTCGTGAGTATCAATATGGTTCTTTTGTCTTGTGGAATTTTGGGGCACAGCTAAGTAATTCTAGATTTTTGCTTCGGCTGTGATTGCGACCACTGCAGCATTGAATCCGTGGCTGGCTGAATCTGTGCCAGATATCGATGCTCTCCAGGAACTTGCCATCTCTGCAGTACAACGCTGGGCGTTTCCGGATTCCTGTATCAAGGCCATGGTACTAATGCTTGAAGCAATTAGGAATAGGACGAAGATGCTCCGATTAAATATTGGATGAGTACTAGAATTATTTCAATATGATATTTGATGATTCTTAATTTACAAAACATTCAAGTCACAGAACAGAGGCATCCCCGGGATCAATCTTCCTTCATATATCATCCGAGTCCGAGTCTCTCTGTCTGCTAGTAGAACGCCCGACCCGAATTATAACTTATAAATACTGATTATACGAGATCCACGTATCATCTATTCTATAAGTCCTCACGCCGCGCTTCGCGCGGCACTGCCAGTGAAGCAGCGAGCATTTGAACCTGGGAGAGGTATGTCCTCGGCACGCGAGGGCTTGGCTAGATGTGTCCACATCCTCTCAGATAGGTATGTTCACATACTTAAGTACAGGACTCAGTCCGAGTCATTAGCATCTACAGGTGACTAATGACCGACACTTCTTTCAATGTTGTATATAAGTACCTACGGAGTTACCTACTGGGCTACCTGGAGGGAATTTCTACCTGTTAAATAGTTAGATATAGGCAACTGGCAGCCCTTCAGATATCTAAGGTGAGAGATATCTACATAAAATAGAAGTAAGAGATAGCTAAATAAAGCGGGATATATTCACATGCATGTTTAGATGCAATAAACAAAAATACTATACATGTAGTCTATTGGTAAATCTATGGTCTCTGATTATTCTGCCAGACGGCGAGGAAGCTCAAAAAACCACTGTAACCCAAGTAGAAAAACCTTGGAAGAGGTCTATCTACTACATCAAGATCTCACCCGGAACGTGCGCTAAATGGAATGACTCGGAAAATCATCGGCAGTGGTCCACCGCGTATGCCGTTCCCTATGAATCCGAGTCCGAGTCTACTTCGCCCTGTCGTATGACTCGCGATCGTGGCTTGACATGATAACTACAGGCTACAGCTAGTATGGACGGCCAGCGGCCCGCCATGACCCCACACATTCCCCGGATTCTCGGAAGTGGACCAATGAAGTGACATCATGCTACTATGGCGGGCCGCTCTCCGGTGCCCAGATTTCTGGAGTTGGAGCGATGTTCGGAGGTCAGAATGTGGGAACTTGAAGGCTGAAGCCCTGGAGTATGGGGTAAACAATGAGTCTACCCCGTGAGTACATGCCTACCAAAAAGTATATATAGTAACGAGCATTTCTCAGGTTCAACTGGTACCTATGGATACTCAAATCCAATATTGGTACGACTCAAGACTGCTCAGGTCTCAATTGAACAACCTTAAAGGACGATCTTCCTCTTGACTCCGATGAAAAATATAAGTCCGTCTACATCATGTCAAATCTCGCATCTGAGGAGACAAACAATGAGTCTCAAGACCAACCCGTGAACGTCCCATTTGACTATACCGTTCCTCATGTCTCTATTCTAAAGGCAACTTATCTATGGAAGGCCAGTTTCTGTGTTGCTGGCCTACGTCTATTTTGTGAGTCGCCATATGTGAGACCAGCATTGGATCTCACATGGTCTGGATATCTTGATGCCCTTTAATCGAGCATTGGAAAGTTGAAGTTCTAACTTTCACTTTGAATCCTCACAGCATCCGCAAATGGTTATGATGGGTCATTACTTAACGGACTACAGTCGCTAGACACTTGGCAGGAATTCATGAAACGACCGACAGGAGCATGGTTGGGATTTATCAATGCAATTTACTGGATAGGAACCTTCTTTGGTGCTCTTATTGCCGCGTGGACATCGAACCGATTCGGTCGAAAAGGTGGGAATATTCGTCGGCATTTTCCTCGTCTCTGTCGGTAGTGCATTACAAGCCGCCGCACCGAATGATAACGTATTCATTGTGGCTCGATTGATTGTTGGTACAAGTAGCAGCTTTTTAAACAACGCGGCTCCATTGCTATTGAATGAAACTTCGTATCCGACTCACAGACCCGTGGCCAACGCTCTATTCATGTGTGGCTACTATCTTGGAGCCTTAATCGCCGCATGGGTCACTTTTGGTACCAGAGTGATGGATTCTTCTTGGTCATGGCGCATTACTTCATTCACACAGATCATATGCCCGGCAGTCGCCCTTCCTGCTCTACTGATGGTTCCAGGGTGTCCTCGTTGGCTTGTGTCTGTGAATCGTATATTAGATGCTCGGGCGGCATTGGCCAATTTATACGCTTCCGGTGATATTGATTCACCCGTCGTTCATCATCAAATAATATAAATCCAGCATACGCTTGCTCTCAAAGAGGAAAATGCTAAAACCTCTGGATATGCCGAAATGATCTCCACTCCCGGGAACCGTCACAGGCTTTTTATTACGGTCTCGGTGGGCTTCTATGCCCAATGGGTCGACAATGTTGTTGTATCATACTACCTCTCACTAGTTCTAAAGGGAATCGGCATTACGAAAACCAGGGACCGACTGCTTATCTCTGGCTGCCTTCAAATCTGGAACTTGATCTTTGCAACAGTGGGCGCGTCATTGGTAGAAAGGGTAGGTCGTCGCACATTGTTCTTGCTCTCTGGTGCAGCCATGCTTGTGAGCTACATCACAATTGCTGGTCTTTCAGGAGGGTTTTATGAGACGAACCATCAAGCTGTGGTGACGTCTGTCGTACCATTCCTCTTCATATATTTTGCTGGTGATGACATTGCTTTGTACGTTCTCACCCTTAAAAATGAACGATGCGATGACAGCATCTTACTGAGATCATGAATACAGAACACCGCTCCTTACAGCTTATCCATGCAAAGTTTGGCTGTTTCGACTATGTTCCCGAGGCCTTACTGTTGCGTGGATCTCTGTGGTTTTTGGAAATATGTTCAATACCTTCGTCAACCCTATTGCGCTCGACTCAATTGGGTGAAAATACTATTTTGTCTTCGTGGCCGTTTTGATTGCCTACGAGATCACAGTTTACTTCAGTTATCCTGAAACACGTGGTCATACACTGGAGGATATGGCAATGATCTTCGATGAGGATATTGCTCGTGATGACAATGCTGGGGAAGGGATTGATAAGATCGGTCGTGCGGAGCAAGTTGAACGTGTTTGAGAGATTCAACGGGATGAAAGTGTGTGTAGTCACTTTCGAGTTGAATCGTTCAGTGCGGGGCTTCGTTATATCATCGTCCCGACTTCCTATGACATTCCAGCACACTGTTCATACTGCCCAGATGAATGTGAATTCTGATCACATTCCCTATCTCTTTTTTTATTTAGCGCCAAATCCTACACTCGCACTAGTGCATTGACGCCTTCTCGCAACCACTCATAGTCTTACGTGTGTGCACCTTGAGTTTATGCTCTCCTTAGCCAGTAAGCTATCGATGGCGTGAATTTAGCCTATATGTTGCTAGTCCTACACTATGTGGCCCCAAATGAGTGATAGTTGTGTGATTGATTTGTGACCAGAGAGGGGAAGGGAAGGCGTACTGAATTGAGAAGCCTTTTAATGCGCCCAGTCCCAGCATGGGGCAGTCGAGGAATATGGAACTCGCAACAAAACGTAGGCTGGATTCATAGAAATTGAGGCGCTTTGACGCGATCCCAACAATGGCCGATTTGTCTCCGTCTGCAATTGATCTCAAGCCTGTTGCTCCGAGTGCACCGGCCATCATGACCCAGGGGAAAGATGAAGAGCAGAATGTGGACACTCTGAAGGATGCAGCAAAAGCAGTGAAGGATGAGCAGGAGATGATTCTTCGGGATGCGATACGCAAGTATCCTCAAGCCATATTTTGGTCTGCTTGGTTTTCGGCAGCGCTTATCATGGAGGGGTTTGACCACTCCTTCATCTCAGGCTTCATTTCATTACCGGCCTTCCAAAAGCGCTACGGTGCTGAAGTATCTCCTGGTAAATACGAGATCCCTGCAGAGATGCAATCTGGAATTTCAAACGGGACACAAGCCGGCGAGATCATCGGATTGCTTATTTGTGGTCTATTTGCTGACTGGTTTGGGTCGAGGTGGATCATGATTGCCTGTCTTCTATTGATGATTTGCTTCATCTTCTTGCAGTTCTTTGCTACAAATATTGATATGTATCTTGGCGCTGAGATTCTTCTGGGTGCACCTTGGGGTGCATTCCAAAGCTTGACCAACGCCTATGCTGTGGAAGTCTGTCCCAGTACTCTGAGACCTTACCTCACCATGCGTGTTTCGATGTTTTGGAGTATAGGTTAATTGGTCGGAACTGGAGTCCTACGAGGGTTCCTCAAAATGACTACATCCGCCGCGTATAAGATACCCTTTGCGCTGCAATGGGTCTTCCCTATTCCCCTGGCTATTGGGATCTATTTCGCCCCTGAGTCCCCATGGTGGTATATCCGCAAAGGTAGACGTGGAGATGCCGAAAAGTCGCTTCGGAAACTTCGATTGAAGAAGTATATCAATGAGGAGGAGATTTCCGAAACCCTTGCCATAATTTAATATACGCACCAAGTCGAGATTGAGATGAAACAATCGAGTGCTTACTGGGATCTCTTCAAGGGGGTCAACCTTCGACGCACCGAAATTTGTGTCTGGACCCACTCTGTCCAGGTATGGTGTGCAGCACTCGTCGCTTATATAGTATTTTTCCTCGAGGAGGCTGGCCTTCCCGATACAGCATCTTTTGACTTTGGGATGGGCCAGTATGCACTTGCTATCGTTGGCGTCTTTGTTGCATTCTATTTCGTTCCACGAGTTGGCCGACGAACCCTTCTCTTGTATGGGACACTCTTCATGGTTTTTACGACTTTTGTGATCGGATTTTCGGGGATCCTTGGCACTGTCAGTCATCCTCCGCTTGCCTATGCTATTGGAAGTATTCTTCTCGTTCAATACTTTGTCTACTTCATCTCGATCGGACCCGTGGTCTATACTATTGTGGCGGAGATACCATCCAACATCCTCCGCTCTAAGACGATCGTGATTTCTCGAGCTACATACAACACAATCGCGCTTATCAAGGGAAAGATTTTGCCTCACATGATCACAACTTCTTCTTGGAATTGGGGGGGGGGGGGCTAAAGCTGGTTTCTTCTGGGGAGCATTCATGTTAATCATCCTCATTTGGGCTTACTTTCGCCTGCCTGAGACGAAGGATAGAGCCTTTGTGGAGATTGATATTTTGTTCAAGAATAATGTGGCAGCATGCGATTTCCACAAGACCAAAGTGGACCTTGCGAGCGAGACCATTATAAAATCCGAGTCTTGATAGTGGGCATCTGCATATGGAATATGATAACGAATCTTTATCAGTAACTAAATTAGGTGGCTTATGTACCATTATTCAGATAGTAGTAATTGATAAAGTAATTTCAGCTGATATTCCGGACTATGTCTGGTTAAACATTACTAGATGAACACATGTGCACTCTGTACATGTGTGACCTCGGTAGTTAGTTGTTGAGCAACTGAGGCCAACAACCTCCCCAATTGGAAACCGTCAGTTTGTGGAGAGCACCCTGGAGCGAAAAGCTTACTCGGCTTTGCTACCCCTTGCTTATAAGTAATTTGCGCCCAAAGTTGGCATTCAAAGCTCCCAAACCTCCAGATTTCGGTACTGTGCAACTAGCGGTGCCATCTGTCGGAAACCGATGGCCCCATCCCCCACTACTGGGCCTGTTTTCCCATCATCGTCCACCCATTCAAACAAGGGCAAGTCATTGATAGAGAATCGGATTTTTTGGTCATCCTTGATGACCTCAATACGATAAAAGGCACCTCGCGCATCCTCAACCGGTGGCAGTGGGTCCGCGCCCTGAGCCACGAGGTGGAATCCTGGGCTTTTACGCAGGTTGCATGTATGAAAGGCGCGCTCGTTCTCCCATCGGCGTCGGAAGTACGAGATGTGCAGTGTACGGATATCACTGGAATGATACTGGGGGTACGCGCCGTCGCGGTGAGCAAGGGATGGTGAGAAGATGGATGAATCTCCAGATTCAGGGGCTGCCGGCGCCGCTCCGAAGAAGAGCATAGCCAGGCCAGGCTCAAAAATGGGTGAAAATTCCCATTTGATTCGGATCTTGGAGGGAAATTTCTCCGGGCACCAGAAAGTAAAATGATCGTTCAAATCACCAGCAGAAGACAGCTCAATTGAATTCTTGTCGTCAGTTGTCACGGACTTGACTTTGACTGGCCCCTCTGGAATCCAATCTGCGACATCGCTTTCGGATTCGAGTGTGTTTTTATAAAGTAACTTGGGTTCCGTCATTTCTTTTTAGCAGGGTTGGCTTCGTATGGCTCTATATTGCAGAGATTGAAAACGAGGGATAATACCTAGTGCAGGAAAAATATCAACCACTCTTTTCAAGCGATCTGTCTGAGTTCAGATAAAATCGGGGCCACAATGCGGGGATACTCCGAAGGAGTAGTAGTTTGGTGACCCAGGTGGCGCCCGGGCGCTTGTGGGAATACGCTAGGAAGTCCGATGCAGGCACAAACGATTCCTTATGTGCACTCTATCAAGTCTACAGAATAGTCTCATATGGTATGTATTCTCATTTTGTAAGATTAAAACGTCGCTCAGGTTAGGCTTCATCATTGAAATAACTAGACTCAGGTTTCGAATGTGTTTTCAAGCCCACCCCTCCTTAACGTGGCCATTTCTTATGATTCCACTCATTACTAAAGAATGGAGAGGAAATTACTAAGAGTTGCCAGAGCGAGTGAATATTGACCTGGAGCCCAAGTCTAGCGCGTCAGTTGTCTGGGGAAAAGGACAAGCCTCATAATTGACATGTCCATTTCTTCTCCAGATTATCTGGCTTTAAGCGGACGAATGGATCAGATCTAACTTTTTAGACCAGAAATCATGTCTTCTTCAAGGTATTTGTTTATACTAGCGAGAGAACAAACGTGGTGATGGCTTCAATAGCAATCCGAGCAATCCTATCACCGTCTCCTGAATCGGGGTCAAAAGAACAAACGGTGAGGGATTTTGGGTTGCTTTTCTTGGGCACCAGGGACATGCACTGAATCAATTCTGACTCAAACAAGCTTCCTGATGAAGGGAAATCATTAACCTTTCCAAGGGAGTCGTCCAGCACGTCCAAGTCAAGATGAACTAAAGAGGCCCCATAGGACTTTGCGTCGAGCTCCTTGCTCAGCTCAGTCACAAAGTCGACCTTTTTTCCCGGTTCACCCCAGATAGAACTCATTCCAGCATCAATGACACGCTGTCGCTGCACTTCGCTTTGATCACGGAGTCCACAATACAGGAAATTAACATCATATTTCAGCGGCTTGAATCCAGGCACCGTTTTTGTGTGAGCGTGCCAACTCTCACCGCGGAGCATGGAGAGTCCCATCGCATCGAAATATCCGTTCTCGTTCACATCAGGGGAATCAAGGTCATCATGACCATCGAAGTAGATGAATTTCAAGTCGTCAATACCTAGGCCGCAGGCAACAGCTGCACTGGCCATGCAATTGCCGGACAGGATAAGCGGGAAAGTATACTGCTCAACGGCTCTCGTGACGGCCGTGGATAAACGGAGGAGGAGTACAAAACTTCGGCCAATCTCATCCTCAAATTCATCCACTGGGTCAAGTTCCACGACGTTAATAGTGACTCCGAGGTTTTCAAGTGTTTTCATAATTCCAAGGTCTCGAATGCGGTTAGGACCATTTCCCACACGATGATCACGAATCCCAACATGATAGGGCGAGAAGATGATCGTAATACCGTCCGCGAGCATTTTAACACTGACGAGAGTCGAATAGGAGAAACGTTGACAGAAGAGCGGATAGACTGCAAAAGAAAATCGTTTGAATTTTAACTTCAGCTGCTAGTCATAGCACTTTTGAATGTTTTCTTCGTGAGCTCAAAGGTATCATACTACGTACTAGCATGACGTATCCGCTTGGGCATACGGGGTTTGAAATTAGGTACAGTCCAGCAAATTTCAAACCCCGGGCACCTCCAGAGGACTGGAAATAAGAATAAGATGACAAATACAGCTTGACCCATACATCGGAATGTCATATTCTTGAAGCTTTGCTGCTTGGCATACCTCTAGCACTATGAATATAGTCAGAGTCAGTACCGAGATCATAGATCGGTGCCAGTGCATGTGGGGCTTCGAACAGAAATTTCTATGCAGAGATACGAATCGAAAGACATGGAAAGTTATGAAAACTTTGACAATTGGAGTTAAAATGACAGTCTGATAAAATCTAAAATTACAGCTGCAGACTCAAACCAGTTGGATGGTTATGAACTGATGTTTCAAACTGTTCTGCATTGAACCCGCCAACAAGAGGACGGATTTTCCAACCATTTGGCCGGATTCCCTCCCTCAATCGACAAACCTCTCATGCCATAGATGACGACTCCAGAAATTCACGACGAATAAGCCACTCTTCCACTATTCCAGCATACGCACGTGGCTCGTAAACACCTGTCATCTCTCTCCATCTCCAGCCTGCTAAACGGTGCGGATTCAAGCCTAGGTCGCGTAAGAGCATGTCATTGTACTATATCATCTATTAGCAGTGTTCAAGAGGCAGGTTCTCGGTCATCAAACATACATGAATGGCATCCACCTCTAATCCAGTACCAGTAAGTGATCCAAGAACGACATCCTCAGAAATTGACGCGTCCATGGATGACTTCGACAATTCTTTCAAATGGAGGGATCCTGGCGGCGATGGCACTGTTAGTTGATCTGTCTCAATATCGAATCCTCCGGTGAGGAATGCTGCCACCCATAATGCTTGCAACTCGGCAACGACTGAGATCGTAGAAGAAAGTATCACTCCCACGGTGGCGAATGATCTATCTCCACTGGCAACCAGTTCTGGGGCTACCATCCTTGGGAATAGACGATATGGAATGTATTCACCACTTTCTCCGGCCTCCGGCTTTCCTTCTCTATTGGAACACATCCGCTTGATGTGAGTCTTTCCCTGATACCACTCTCCAGTCCCGAGTCAATATCCTGCCAATATCGGCATTTCAGTTCTACTGCTGGCTCACAGAGAACATGGGCCGGGCTTTGAGGTTTCTCTCCGTCTGCTTCAGGCGAATCCTCAACAATAAAACTTGAAAGTCCAAGACTTAGCCGAAGGCTTGCCGGTTGGAACTGTATTGGAACAATAGGCTTGTACCCGGTGGGATACACGATAAGATCGATATTTTCTAACTTCTCTCCGTTCGACATCAAGACTGAGTGGCCTGTTTCATCGGTAGATTCTGATTGATTTTGTGTATCCGCAATGGCCTGGATTGCTGATCGGTAGATCGTGACATTAGGTGATTTGATTACCTCCCACAGGTCCGGTTGATTAGCAATGCCGATACTTGCACCACATGAGATGACACTATCAGGATAGATCGTTAGCAAGAATTTCATAAATATTCAGAGCTGGGTTCAAATGCCTTTTGCTTGGTCGAAGCTTCTTCATTTTGAGATCTGTGTCATATTTCGCGATATTTTCGAGGCTCCGATCGACTGAATTCCAGAACCAACGAACAAAGCGCCTTCCAAAACGGGTTCCATGAAAGATCCCAGCTAGCCACGACCCTTCTGTGGATGAGTACCATGAACGTGCCGAAAAAGACTTGGGCTGCTCATAGGAGCACGGACTCAAGTGGTGGAAAAACCTGGTACTGGCTGTCTTGTCACTGGCGACGACCTGTCCATTAGGTAGAGTTGATGTCGGCGGAACCATCCACGCTGGTCCAACCTCAGTATCCCTAATTATCCAATGCACATTCACAGGGTCCTTGGGGGTGAATTTAAGTGCAAGGCTGGATCATTTCGATGTAGTGTCGCGAATAAATTAACCAAATCAAAAGCAGACTTTGCTCCACCATAAACGACCACAGATTTTGGAAGCCGCGAGGCTGGTTGGTTCGAGCTTTCATTGATTGGATGTGGAAATGGATTTGAAAATGGATCATATCCCAGGTTATTTGAAGACCACTCTCCGATTTCTTTGGCATGAATGACCGAGGCTGTAGTCGATTCGGAAAGTTGAGAAGTTTCAACGTTCGGGAGACTTGGAATCGATGTCAACCCTGTTGCCAGGATCAATTTGTCGCAGATAATTGTGACGTATCTGCTTTCGCAGTCGATTTCTATGACATCAACACGGAGGGACCATTCCTTGCTTTGAAGACGGCGGATGCTGACAACCTGGAGATATCACGAGCAGAAGGAGTCAATTGAGAGTTTGAAAGAGGATAAAATAGCACAAACCTTGAGATCCAGCTTGATCCGATAATCTAGCCCCTGTTTTCCTGCCCATTTAGATAGGTAGGCACTGATTTTCCATCCTGGAATGAAGGATGAGTCCCTTGTCTTATCCTCGTCCGGGAAAGCCTGAGCCAGCGACATATCACTGAACTCGTAAAGACCATATGAGTTTTGACTGAGGAGATTTGGATAGAGTCAGTCCTTTGACCATGTCCCTCCAATGCTTGATCCAGCCTCAATGATAAGCATGTGGCATCCCGGGGCATTCACGGTGTAGTCGGCGCTGAAAAAGCATGGTGGAATATTCATGTCCGAATCGTAGTCAATGCTTTCATATCGTTTCTCACCGTTCATTCCGGAGACCTGGAGGTATGTCTCAGCGGCTATCAAGCCATAAAGACCTGCTTTAGGGAAAAGGGTCCAGGTTAGCAAGGTTATGTTGATCCAGGCTCTAGAGGCGCTCACCTGCTCCCACAACCACGACTCTCTCCATGACAGCGATTAGAGGTCTTTCTGAAGTGATGAAGGAATATGTAAAAAGAAAGACTGATGGAAAAGTTTGAAATATTGAAATATGTAGTGGGTTTTTTGCCACATCCCTATTCTGGGACAAACGGAGTGTGAAAGGAAATGACCGTGATATCTTAATATTGTTCCCACCAGAAAAATCAACCAGTCACCCGTAGATCAAAAGTTTCACAACATAGGATTTAAGAGTTCGGGATGACAAATTATGAGGCCTGGAATAGTCTAATTGAGATCAAATGAGCTTGCAACTTGGCTGAAAGGTTCAAAAGAATTGCATTTGTTTTACTTGACATGGCAGTTGATTTCTACTCAGTGCTTGATGATAATGATGATATCGATGATATTCTATTGAATGTGTTGGGCCACTCAAAAAGTAAAGACACGTAGGAAGTATTCAAAGTGTGGGTTAATTGTCCATGTATATAAAATACGTCCTATTGCTAAATAAGGTGATTCAATTGCTCTATGTACATGATGGAGTAGTGTTCAATGGATTTGGCCCATAACGTGATTCCCGGTCGCCCGAGCGACACATTAAAAAAAAGCACTTCTGTAGCAATCTATGTTTTTAATCATTCACCATGCCACCAATTCGCTCTCAAAGGTCTCAAAAATTAATACAGCAGGAGGTTGCTCTCTTATTAGCTATCAAAGCTATAAAAGACGGCCAATATCCCTCTGCTGCTGCTGCGCGTGCTTTTAGTGTGCCGGTCTCAACTTTGAAGCACCGAATCAAAGGACGACAATTTTGGGATGATTCTCGCCCCTCTGGCCATAGATTTACTATCTTAGAAGAGAAATCTATGGAAAAATGGCTACTTTCAATTGATTCTCGAGAAACAGCTCTTACACATACTATGTTACGAGATATGGCCAATTTATTGCTCCGATCGCGTGAATTATCACCTCATGGCACCCCTCCGAAAGTTGGCAAAAGTTGGAGTACAGAATTTGTCAAAAGACACCAATCTCTTTCTACTTGTCTTTCTCGTAAATACAATTATGAAAGAGCCCTTTCCGAAGATCCTACAGTGATCCTACCTTGGTTTAAGCTTGTTGAAAACACTATCAAAAAATATGGTATCATTTCTGATGATATCTATAATTTTGATGAGTCTGGTTTTGCAATGGGAATCAATTCTACTCAAAGAATTTTTACTTCTGCTAAATATCATGGAAAAAGAGGTGTTCTACAGCCTGGTTATCAAGAATGGGTTACTGTGATTGAATGTATTGGGTCTAATGGTGTTGCGCTTCCCCCATATATCATTTTTAAGGGAAAGGTCTTTTTGGAACACTGATTTCAAAAGCCACTACTTTGGGGTATGAATAAGAGTCCTAATGGATGGACAAGTGATAAGATTGGTATTGATTGGCTACAAAAGCACTTTTTACCTTATCTTCCTATACGGAAAGGGAAATATGTGTTGCTGATTCTGGATGGACACTCATCACATTTGACACCTGAGTTTGATAAAATCTGTAAAGAGAATAATATTATTTCTCTTTGTATGCCTGCTTATGTATCTCATTTATTATAGCCTCTTGATGTTGGATGTTTTGCAGTCCTAAAAAGGGTATATGGAGCACTTGTTATGGAAGAGATATGTCTTGGTGTTAAGTCTATTAACAAAGATGATTTCCTTGAACTCTACCCTATTGCCCAAGAAGCCGCTTTTAAAGCTCAGACTATACAGAATAGCTTTAAAGGTACTGGTCTAGTACCTTTAGATGCTAATTATGTACTAGATAAGCTTAATATTCAGCTTGAATCACTTCCATCTCCTAAGCCACTTGAGCCACGCCCAACATCTTCTAGAAGCACTAGTGATCAAGATACACTTTGGAGTCTCACAAAACTATAAAAATCTAATTCTAAGATCAAGAAAGGACTTGAAATTTCATCAGAGACTATGACTTCGCCATTGAAACGAGCTATTGATCGATCACATGATATGGCTATTCGGCTAGCTCATGAGCTTATCTTTATCCAAGATCGTTGCGCCAAGTTAGAGACTGCCAATAAGAAGCAGGTGAAAAAGAGGGCTACTAGTAGAAAGCAGATCTCGCATGAAGGCAGTCTGCGAAGTTTGGAAGAGATTGAATGTAATGTGGTGGAAAGAAAAGATGGTGGAGGGCAATGTATATCTACAACGGAGGGTGCTACGGAGCCACTGGTAGAGCCTACATTACCCCCTGTACCTTCCATACGGCGCCAGGTCACTTGTTCTGGTTGTGGAACTAAAGGAAATACCTATTCTGGATGTCCTACTAAAGTTATTTAATTATTAATTATGTTTTGGTGTTGAAATTTGAAATTGAAAAAGTAGGAAATTTGGAGTTCTTAGACCAGCGCTCGAGCGGCCGGGAATCACGTTAACGTGATTCCCGGTTACCCGAGCGTCCCGGTTACTTGAACGATGCTCCAAGAACTTCAAATTTCCTACTTTTTCAATCTCAAATTTCAACACCAAAACACAATTAAATAATTAAATAAGTTTAGTAGGACATTTAGAATAGGTATGTCCTTTAGTTCCACAACCAGAACAAGTGACCTGGCGCCGTATGATAGACACAGGGGGTAATGGAGGCTCTACCAGTGGCTCCGTAGCACCCTCCGTTGTAGATATATATTGCCTTCCACCATCTTTTTCTTCCACCACATTACACTCAATCTCTTTCAAACTTCGCAGACTGCCTTCATGCGAGATCTGCTTTTTACTAGCAGTCCTCTTGTTCACCTGCTTCTTATTGGCTGTCTCTAACTTGGCGCAACGATCTTGGATAAAGATGAGCTCATGAGCTAGTCGAATAGTCATATCATGCGACCGGTCAATAGCTCTTTTAAGCGGCGAGGTCATAGTCTCTGATGAAGGTTCAAGTCCTTTCTTGATCCTAGAATTCGTTTTTTGCAGTTTCGAGAGGCTCCAAAGTGTATCGAGATCACTAGTACTGCTAGAAGATCCTGGTCGTGGCTCAGGTGGTTGAGATGATGAAAATGATTCAAGCTGAATATTAAGCTTATCTAGTACATGATTAGCATCTAAAGGTACTAGACCAGCACCTCTAAAGCTATTCTGTATAGTCTGAGCTTTAAAAGCAGCTTCTCGGGCAATAGGATAGAGTTGAATAAAGTCATCTTTATCAATAGAATTAATACCAAGACGCATCTCTTCCATAACAAGCCCTCCATACACCTTTTTCAAGACTGCAAAACACCCAACATCAAGAGGCTGTAATAAGTGAGATACATAAGCAGGCATACAAAGAGAGATAACATTATTCTCTTTACAAATTTTATCAAATTCAGGTGTCAAGTGTGATGAGTGTCCATCTAGAATTAGCAACACATATTTCCCTTTCCGTATAGGAAGATAAGGTAAAAAATGCTTTTGTAGCCAATCAACACCAATCTCATCACTTGTCCATCCATTAGGACTTTTGTTCACACCCCAAAGTGGTGGCTTTTGAAACCAGCGCTCCAAAAAGACCTTTCCTTTGAAAATGATATATGGTGGAAGCACAACACCATTAGCACCGATACACTCAATAGCAGTGACCCATTCTCGATTCCCAGGTTGTAAGACACCTCTTTTGCCATGATATTCCGCAGAAGTGATAATTCTTTGAGTTGAATTGATTCCCATAGCAAATCCAGACTCGTCAAAGTTGTAGATATCATCAGATGTGATACCATATTTTTTGATAGTATTTTCAACAAGTTTAAACCAGGATAGAATGACTTCAGGATCCTCGAAAAGAGCTCTCTCATAATTATACTTACGAGAGAGACAAGAGGAAAGGGACTGGTGTCTTTTGACAAATTCTGTGGTCCAATTCTTGCCAACTTTCGGAGGGGGGTCAGAAGGTGTCAATCCACGCGATCGGAGTAGTAAGTTGGCCATATCTCTCAACATAGCATGTGTGAGAGCTGCTCCTCGAGAATCCATAGAGAGTAGCCATTTTTCCATAGACTTCTCTTCTAAAAGAGTAAATTTATGGCGAGGATGGCGAATTTCATCCCAAAATTCTCGCCCATTGATCCGGTGCTTCAAGGTTGAGACTGGGACGCTAAAAGCGCGTGCTGCAGCAGCAGCCGAGGGATATTGACCATCCTTTATAGCTTTAATAGCTAATAATAGGGGTCCCTCTTGCTGTACTAATTTTTGAGATCTTTGAGAGCGAATTGGTGGCATGATTAATGTTTAAAAAACTTAGGTTGCTACAGATGTGATTTTGTTTGATGTGTCGCTCGGGTTACCGGGACGCTCGGGTAACCGGGAATCACGTTAGTGGGCTTTGAAAAAATATTATGTAATAAATTGAGGGGCCTACGGCGGCCGATACCCAGTGGCCCCCGGACAAAATTAAATCTCAAATTTTAAAACTGGCAGAACTTAAACTACTGTAATATCTCTGTATAGGGACTAACATTAAATATCTCACTTGGGTAGGGTTAGTAGCCCAATATGTTTTAGTTACCTAGGTAAAATACCTAACCTGAAGATGAGTTGGAGTCTAAGGTTCGAGATGTGAGAATTGTTTATAATATTTTATAGAGGGGAAGAAGTGTATGTAGAACTTGAAGATGGTATAGAGGAATAAGGAAAGAGAAGGCTACTAGGTACGTATTAATTAATATTTAATACTACTAGGGGCTTACTACCTAGCTTCCAGGTTACTAGTTACCTAGTTCACTACCTAGTTCGCTACCTGGCTCACTACCTGGTTCACTACCTGGTTTACTACCTAGCTCACTAGTCAGTTAGTATAGGCCCTACTAGCCCTAGAGGTTACCTAATGTAGTGGGGTACCCTGTCCCCTACTACACGTACCGTACGGGTATGATATTTCGGTATTGTTCATTCCTTACGTTATGTTATGTTGTGTTATTGTACGTACAAGATTGGCGTTCGATACTAGAAGACAATACACACTCCTACACATCTCTGATCTGACCCCTACGGGTAGTCCGGACACATTGTCTTTGTTGGTTGGTGTTGTTCTTTCAGTCTAGCTGAATCGACCCGTGTATCTCGAATACACTGCCTCACGGTTCCCCTCTTTACTACTTAGTCTAATAGATAATATTCTAACTTCAAAGTGATAAGATTCTAGTTCTATCTAATCTTACTAAGTTTAAAGCCATCCACATCAACTTGAAACATTTAAAATTTCCCACATTTTAAAACTGATATCACCAACATTAAAACTAAACAGTATAAGTTCTCTTCAACGGTAGCATTTACTACATACAGGCACCTGGGCAGACATTACTTACCCGCATTAGGAAGGCAGTGTATCATAAACCTCAACGGGACGATACAAATACTGGATGATGTAAAGGGCGGTGAACTAGAATTGCCTAATTGAATTATGTCCAGGGGCCACTATCGGCCGCTGTAGGGGCCAGTGACAGACCTCCACTCCCCAGATTTGGGCATCCGATCAATGTAATCACGAAAAAAAGACCCCGGTCAGGATTTATAGTGGCCAAATCGGGTTTTCTCAGTCTGACTGTATTAGTTGACTTTGAGCTCCACATGCTCCTTTCTGCTACAATATAGGCATCGTCAACATCTCACTACACAAGGGATTGAGTCTACCTCCGATGTTTTCATCCTTTTCCACACATGAAAACCAGCAGGATGATGGAAAGGGATTTGCCTGTTCTCGCTGTGTGCGCCGCTTTAAACGTGCCGAGCATCTCCAGCGCCATTTTCGGACTCGTTAGTTACATCTACCACTTGAACAGGCTATGGAGGAGTGGCTGGCTGATTTTACCACAGACACGAAAGAAAGGCCCTTTACATGTCACTGTGGCTCATCATTCTCTCGGAAAGACCTTTTAAAACGCCATCGCATTATAGCCCATAGTGGCCCAGAAAGGGAAAGCCATGATATCGAGATCGCAGACAACCAGGTGCCGTGTCCGCAGCCCACAAGCCGGACATCTCAACCCCCCCAATAGTGCTCACTCCCCATCACAATGCGATGATTATCCAACACCTCATTTGACCCACAGTTTTCAAGATGAAATGATCGATACATCTGGTTTTACGGAATCCTTTGGTGATACAGGTAAACACATGGTCAAATCAATGGATTTTCATTATTGGGTCATCTCTGACGGCTAATAACTGTGCGCAGGAGCTTCTGGAGAGCTCTTTGATGACTCATTTTTACATCTTCAAGAGATTGCAACCTTTATGGACTCGGCTGGATTGCTCACAACGCATCTCAATTTTGATTCTGAGGAGATCAATCATTTATCAATAGAGCAGATTCCCGAATATCACCACAGATTGGACAGCGAGCCAGAGCTTGATCCTGATCACCAAATCGATGAACATCACTCTGGAACTCCTTTTCGATCTTGGCTCCCATCCGCTCCTTTGGGTGACTCTAGCACTGCAACCGTGAAAGACTTCCATTCACCACATCATCCCCGATCAACCAGTCCTTTTTTCAATATCTCCCAAGCGCGACATTCTCATATTGTATCTCTGCTTTCAAAATGCCAAGACAAAATTCCCACTTTCATTCTACCCTCTCGCCACGCATTAACTCGGTACCTTACTTCGTTTTGGGAAACATTTCATCCTCAAATGCCCTTTATTCACTTGCCCACAGCGAACTTCGCCGATTTTTCTCTCGAAGAGATTCTCGGCTATTCTTCTATGGGAGCACAATACAGATTTGAACATCGAGCGGCGGAAAGCTTGTTTTTTGCCGGTCAAGCATTGGTCCTGGAAAAAGTCACAAATATCAGAAACGAAGTCACCACTAACACCTCATACTTGCAAAAACCTGGAAATCCAAGCCTTCCCCCCAGCCAATGGTCTATCGATAGCCAAATTCCATTTTCGACCCCCATATCGGAGCATGGCCAGAGTTCTCCAAAAAAGGAATTGTTCCGTCAAAATACCCTAGTTGGGATCTTACGCGCATCACTAACATTAATGGCATATTCGGCCTGGGAATCATCTAGTCTAGTACAAGAGTCTATGAGACTACGAATTATAGTTATTGAATGCCTAGAAAAGCTCGGTATGCGAGAAGCCAGTATCCGCCCAACTTCTGGTACCTGGGTGGGCTGGGCAAGGGCCGAAAGTTGCCGCCGGGCGCAACTTGTTGCTTATTGTTTTGTGCACACATTAGGCCTCGCCTATAACCACCCACCTGCTATAATGGCAAGGAATATACTCCTCCTACTGCCCTGTGATTCAACAGAATGGGAATCTGCGACACAAGAAGAATGGGAATCCCGACATGCAACATCTATACCGCAGATGTCTTACAAAGAAGCTCTATCCTTGCTTTTGAGGAATCGATATAAGTCGCCTGAAAGGCCTGTTCTTACACCTCTAGGTAGCTACATGGTATTGCATGGGCTCATCCAGCATATCTATTTCCTGCGAGAGTTGTCGGAGCTCAAAGTCAGAGGTTCATCAGTGAATGGATATGAAGAGATTGAGTAAGTTTGGGGTTTCTACCTACGAATCGGGGTCACTGCGGACCAACCAAGCATAAAAATCCAAAAGAACCGCGCTACGAAATTAGACTTCAATTTGGCAAGCGACTCAAGAATCGACTCTTAACCCTCGAAATGAGACAGGACTCATATCCTTCACATCGAGCGCTCTTCTTGGAATAGCTTATATTCGTCTCCATCTTGATACTGGGCCTCATCGACAACTCGAAACACGCAACCCGGAATTGATTGCCCATTCACTCTGCAACTTACCCACGCTTCAACGCAGCCCTGTTTTGATTCCTCGCTTCTTTATGCCGTTCACGCTTTAAGCATTCCAGTCCGACTCGGAGTAGACTTCGTGGCTCGAAGCCAAGCTTTATTTTGGAGCATGAGACACGCGCTCGCTAGCTTCGAAAGTGCTGTTTTTCTGGCCAAGTGGCTAAACAGTATACGACAAATCGAGTCTTCCGAATCGCTGTCGGACAACGAACTTAGGATGATGCATTGGGTCCGACGGATTATTCACGAATACAGAACATCAGTAGACGTGGATGGATACCATACCTACTACGGCTCCTCGATCACAACGAGAGTTGATCAAATAAATCCTTCGCAGCTTGGCATTGAGACTCTACTGATATGGTCTTGGTTCTTCCGTCAAAACGTGCAGTGGCCATTCATCAACATTATGGGACACAGTCTTGAGATTTACGCCAAGATGGTACAAATTGACCTGAATGAACTTTGAATATATGTTTCCTTTAGGCACCTCTGGCTATGTATCCACCTTACCAACAAACATCTTCCCATCCCAGAATCCTGAATTGTAAACACGTTATTTCATACGCTTAGAAAATGTATTTTGTTACCAATTGGATATCATGCGTTCAGGAGATTCAACTCGTTTCGAAAATGCTAGTGCCCCTTGCCGCTTATCGGCCGACATAATAGATCAGCAGAGTGGAAAAATCTCCAAATTTCCGAATTGGGAAATATTGGAGAATTGCTCCACACGTACACGCAACTCTACCCATGCATGATAATCCGCGTTGAAAAAATTGAAATACGAATTCAGCGCTTATCGCCAGACTGTTATTACTGAGCCTTATGTAAAAATATGGTTCATCTTCTGGCAACTTTCTTGCCCTTTGTGCTTTGCCAAATCTTACATCCAGATGTCCCAAATCAAACCCCTTTGCTGAGGCTTTTCTCGGGTCTATTCTCTCGGCTTCTTTTGCCGAGCTTCGCAATGACCGTAGCATTGTTAGATTGCTCCAAAAAGCACATCATAGAGGCCCAGTAATGCTGGACCCAATAAGAGAGGGAAAAGACTGACAGACACGACATTTTGGGACCCAGGAACGCTAGGTGATGCGTAGAAGCGGGAAAGTATTGAAGTTCGGGCGCTAGTTTCAATTTTGGAATACCAATCGGCGAAGTCTTGCAAACTATATGTGATCCAATACAAGGAATTTCAAAAATTTCCCTCGCGGTTCTATTATACCAATCTGGGTCCACGGATTGTTATAACTACACTAAGGGCCATCGAGGAACTTAGATCGGAAATTCCCTCCAGCCTCCCATAGTGGACCAACTAACTCCGCAACTTGAAGAAGATACAAGTCATTGTAACGTGAACTAACAAGACTCAACCCAATAGGTAGCCCGTTTTTACCAGCAAAACCAGGGATATTGATTGCGGGAACGCCCAACATGGTCCATATTGCACATACAAACTAAGCATTCCAGTGATTAGCCAGTCATATAAACGAGGCGAATTCAACTCACGGGATCGCCAGTATTTCCAAGGCCCTTGGGAGCTTCGTCCACAGCACTTGGTACAACAATCGCATCATATTCCTCGGAAATAGCGTCCCATATTGGCCGCAGTCGTGCAATGCCGTCATATACTGCCAGTTGTTTCGCACGATCTGGCGTTCTTTCAACGATTGCAACGAGACTAGGGTCCATTTTCGCCTTTGCGAGAAGATAGTCTGCCATTTTATTGTCAGTATAAGCCACTCAATTTCATCATGTTAGTTGTCTCACTCCCTAGAAATGCAGCACGGCTTTCGCTGGCGAGGATAGTGAGATGCCACTCCTTGACATTGTCGAATTCTGCTGGTAAGTTGAGGTTGGACACGATGGCTCCTGCCCGCATTGATAGCTCTTGGGCGGCTTTCCAAGCATTGCTAGTACCGGGCCCGACGAGCGACCATTCAGGAGTCTTGCAGAAAGCGAGCTTGGTCTTTCAATAGAAAAACGACCAGTAGGCAGAGGCCGATTGATCGTCAACTGAAAATTCTCGCAAGGAGTTTAAGATCTGCTACTGAACGAGCGAAGAACCCCAGGGTATCGTTTGAGACCGAGTACTGTGACAACCCTTCCAGTGAAATAGATCCCCAGGTTGGCTATAACGTTTGTCAGTATAAGATCCTGCCCAGATAATTTGTTCTAGTGACCCTCAGGAGTGAAGTACTTTAAATGCATAGATTCCATTAAATGACCCAGGCCGGATGGTACTCCCAACGGTTTGGGTACCCAGCGCAATAGGTACCTGGTAATCACCAACCGCTGCCCCAGATCCAGAGGATGACCCACCGGGGGTGCATTCTGGATTATGAGGGTTTTTCGTATCAGATATGGTACCATCATAGCTCGCCGCGAACTCAGTAGTTGTTGTCTTCCCTAGAAACAGAGCACCTGCAGCACGGAGGGTGATAATTGAAGCAGCATCCACCATAGTAGACCCTCGGCGGCCCTGGTAGATTGGGGAATTGTAGCTCGTTGGCATATCTTCTCAGTCACATCACATTGTTAGTTTCAGTGTTCAACGTTTGACAAATTATAAGTGGAACTGGGATGAATATACCCTTAGTCAAGATCACATCTTTTACACCAATCCCACGCCGTGCAGTGGTCCCCTTTTTTCCAGGTAAGAGTGCATCAAGCCTTTTGGCCTGAAGAATAACGTATTCTGGGTCCATATATTCCCATGCCTTAAGCCCTGGAGCTAAATAACTTGAATCAATTTCATTAAAGAGAAACTATGGAGTTATCGATCAACATACCTTCAAATCTAGCCTTTCAAACAGTTCTTTTCAGTTCGGGTAACGTTCGACTGCCATATGCAGCTAGCCCAAGCGAGACTGTCTATTAGTTATTATGCATTGACGGCATTATCAGGGGCGATAGAATCAGTTTACAATAGTATACCAGAAATTTCGAACAATTTTAATCAATACCAACAGAGTAGAAATTGTTGAATAACTAAGCTCTTGACCGATACCCGTGGACGCCATGGTGGGGTAAGGGTAAGCCCACTATCGAAACGACAACTAGACTCCAAAATCCCCAAAAAATCAAATTTGTCTCTGTAATTATCTTTCCATGCCTGTCTTTGCATAGCTCCAAGTACTCTTATGTTGGGAGAAATTGAGATAAACAAGTATGAGTCACTGGTTGATTAATTAGAATATCTTTTACCAGCCGATAGCCATGGAACTAAGGCGAATACGGGAATTTGGAGTCAATCAACAGATATGGACCTCATTCTAGTCAATATTTTTTTTTCTGTCGCATAAGAACTGTCTGTGATTTACGAGAAGAGATAAAATCTTGAAGAACACAGTCTCTGAGTACCTTCAAGCTAATTTTCATAAACATCACGGAACAACATCCCATCAACAACTCCCAGCTTATCTTCATACAATGTCACCCGCCACCACTGGAAATAGTACTCCCAACTACACGGGAAAGTTTCGTTATGTCTCCAAAGACGCGAAATTGGAAGTCAATCCCAACCTGTATCATCTCCCACCAATGTCAGCTTTCAGTGACGTGCTGAATCTGCCCCTTACCGACCTTCGTCCATCCCTCCAGAACGGAGATGCATCGCCCTACAAACTGGACATCCATGGATTCACAGCTCGTCATATCCCTTCAAAGCTTCATGCTTCCCCGTACACTCGCGAAAGCTGGAATGATGCCGATCTCATCAGAGACGTCTATGCGCCTGAGGTGGAAGAATTGGTCAAAAGAGTGACCGGCTGCAAGACTGCCCTCGTTGAAGCCGCCGTTCTCAGAAATAACACGAGCTCGGAACTTGACTGTGCCCACTCAAAGGAGAAGTCAGGTGCCGACTATGTTGGTGATGACCCCGGTCCCCGTCCCCGAATGATTGGGTTTTCAGACGCAGGTGGCGCTTCACCGGCCCCAAAAGTGCATCTCGATTTTTCACCCATCGGCGCACGAACACACATTCGTCAATATCACCGTGATCTGTCACTTGCTGCTAAAGATGTAATTGAGGCTGAGAATAGTTTGCTCAAGTCTGGTGTCAAGTGGGAAGCGCTTAGAGACCACTATATCGGGGTTAAACCGGATGGTGGTATTCCTCGGTTTGCTATATTTTCCATCTGGCGGCCTCTCAAAACGGTGCGCCGCGATCCCATAGCCGTGGCATCATGTGCGACCTATCCTACATCTGATTACGTTCCTGTGGATCTTGTCCAACCTAGCGGTCGCCTCATTCCCAGTGACCTCTATCAGATCATTGATCCATCCCACCCCGAGATTGATTACACCAAACAAACTGGAGACGTTGAAAAATACACTCATTTATCGGGAAGTTATCTTTCTTATGCTCCTAGCGAGAAAGGAAGCCATGAATGGCACTTTATATCTAATCAAGAGCCCAAAGACGTTTTGTTCATTCAGCTCTTCGATAACCACATGGAAGCAAAGAACCCTTCAATCCAAAGCGATGGCACTCAAGCAAATATCCCTGTTAGTGGAGTGATCCACAGCGCCTTTGAACTTGAGGGCCAGGACGGTTACGCCGAGGCCCGTGAGAGCTTGGAAGTCAGGGTTGTCGCATTCTGGTAAATTTATACAACCCGAAATTCGCCATGAATTGCAAGTTTCCATTTTGTTGAAGAGGCTCTTATTGAAAGGACCCAGTGTAATCGCATCGATTGCTGAATATAACTAAGCCCTGAAGTCTGTTCGTTGTTCCTTAAATATCTTAGAACATTTGAAAAAATACATAAAGTATAGAAAAATACATTTTGGATATCAGTCCCATGGTTACTAGAGCTAGGACTTTGGGACTGAGATCCACCTGCCTAGGTACGTCTTTGACTACTACTAGTAGTAATGATAAGAGAATATTGAGAATCTGAGATTATTATGTCTCCGAGGGAGTGACAACATTTGAATCTTCAAGGTTAGAAGTGGACTAAAAATTAGTAAATTTACCTTGTTATTAGGTTTTCCAGAATATTCCAACATTCCAATACCGTCCGGACATCTGAAGCACTTGAGTATATCTAGGTATTAGACTGACGCGTCTTGCCACTCTGGTGCTCTTCGCAGTTGTCATCTTAGACTCGGAAGAAAAGACACACCCACCAACTTGAATTACACAACCATCCTCAAGTGCTAAAGCTCCATGCGAACAAAACTCGGAATTTTACACTCAATCTCACGAACTCTTCGAATCCGCACTTGTCATCAGCTCACCCCATTGACGACCATGACAACTGCAACTTTCAAATATATCGATCCGTCCTCTTTTGATCCTCAGGCCACTGAAAATTTCAAGAAGCCTTGGAACAAAGTGGATGGGCCTGGGTACTCCTATCAACTTACAGATCGCGAGTGCTCGGTTGAGAATGTCCGGGGCTGGGAGTCTGAGTTCTCCACAGACAATGCTGGATTTGCATATTTCAAGGCTCCTGCAAAAGAGACTGCATTCACAGATAATGAACAAATCAAAAATGGATACTACACCGAGATTCAAGAACTCCTTCGCAACAACCTACCAGGAGTAAAGAAGGTCGTTATATTCGATCATACAATCAGACGAACACGAAAAGGGTCCGTACGCAGTCCCGTTCAATTGGTCCATATAGATCAAACGCCCAAAGCAGCAGAAATGAGGCTTCGCCACCATATTCCAGAGGCCGAAGTGGAAGAGCTGTTGAACTGCCGGTATCAGATCATAAACGTCTGGCGACCAATCGAAAATCCAGCTTCAGATTTTCCTCTATCTGTTATTGATTGGCGAACCACGACTCCTTCTGATTTTGTGAAAGTCGATCTCTTATATCCAAAAAGCTTTCAAGAGCTTGGCGAGGTAGCACCAGACCCCAGTTCAGCACAATCGACCGAGGGATATGAGGTCAAAGGCGAGCAATACGCGGTGGCTCCTTCCGAAAAGCACCGTTGGTATTACTTGAAAGACATGACCCCAGATGAGGTGGTTCTGATTAAATGTTTCGATTCGCAAAGCCACAGTATGACCGATGGGAATACGTCAATCGCTCATGGGGCATGTCATTCCGCTTTCTTTGATCCACAGGCAGCACCTGGATCTCCCGGGAGACAAAGTATCGAACTTAGATGTTTAGTTTTCTATGACTGAGAAAATATATTTCTAACTTCACCCCCAAGAATCTGGCACCATTCTCCACCTGAAACCTCTCCTTTGAATCGCTTGATCTTGTAAAATATAATATCATGATCTGACGAGCCTGAGCCGTATGATCCCACACGCGTCCAAGTTGCTACTTGAAACCTTGGAAGGATCGCGGGTGACGAGCTGGGATTCTTCAAATTATGAACCCAACATATGCAATTCCCGAGCGTTTCATGCTCCACCAGCCGAGCGCCAGCTGCACATGTGAGTTCGCAAATGACACTGGCAATAAAGCAGCTTTCTGTGCAATTTGAGGCACCTTTGGGAGTCGGTACTTCCCCGCCTCCTAGCACCATCGGCTATTACATATGGGTTTAATGAATATTCAACAGGGCTTTCCTATTTGAATGAAATGTTAGAGGTGAAAAAAGCGGCATCAGGTAAATGTCTTATGAAGCTGTGTCTAAGCTTCGGACATAACCCCACATTTCGGCATCACCCGCTCAAGAGCCGACGGAGAAGTAACCTCGTAAAAGGCAAACCAAGCATCAAGCGCCTCTCGGTCGGGTTCAAACGAATAAAAATCTGGATTTGTTTACACGCCGGCAAAATTTGCCGAGAAATTAAAGCAGGTAAGTAAACTCGGGCTTGGAGATTCAATCGGGGATAGCGCTCAACGGAGAACGGGAAATTATCGGTAATTGAGCGGGGCAGAGATGCCGTGCATGCTAACGAACGCGGAGAAGGTACTAGTAACATTTGAAAAAAAGGAGTATAAATATGCACAAATAGTCGCAACTTATGTCGTTGAATGGGTGACAAACTTCTCTCTTTGTTCGAAAGACGTCTTTTGGTTGAAGATGCGGTCAGTCCTTGTCGCCAGTACTGCTGGCCTCCTTCTGGGAGGGCAGATGGCAGCTGCCTCTTTGGACTCTTATATCACGAAAGAAAGTGTCCGATCATATCAGGGAATTATGGACAATCTCGGAAATAAGGGTGTTAAAGCTCCTGGTACTGCTGCTGGATTGTTTATCGCAAGTCCCAATACTGCGAACCCCGACTGTGAGTAATAAGGCAAAAACCATGGCAGTGAACAGACGTTTTGATACTAACTCATATGTGCAGATTTTTATACTTGGACTCGTGACTCGGCTCTGACATTCAAGTGCTTGATTGACTTGCTGGACAGTGGTAGCTCTGATTTTGGACTGAACAGAGCCGAACTGGAAACCGACATTCGGAACTACGTCTCCGCACAAGCAGTGCTGCAGAATGTATCCAATCCTTCTGGTACCTTGGAAGACGGCACAGGTCTTGGTGAGCCTAAGTTCGAGGTTAACCTGAACCCCTTCACTGGCTCTTGGGGTCGCCCTCAGAGAGATGGACCGGCTCTCCGTGCGATAGCCATGATCACATACTCCAACTACTTGGTTGAGCGCGGTGAGAAATCCGACGTGGTCGACATTATATGGCCTATCATTTCAAATGACTTAGCTTATGTTGGCCAATACTGGAATGAGACCGGTTTTGACCTGTGGGAGGAGCAAGACGGATCGTCTTTCTTCACATTGGCCGTGCAGCATCGTGCTTTGGTCCAGGGAGCAGCTCTGGCAAAGACGATTGGCAAGACATGCTCTGCTTGCTCTTCTCAGGCCTCTCAAGTGCTTTGCTTCTTACAAAGCTTCTGGAACGGAGAGTACATAACCGCCAATATTAACATTGATACTACTCGGACCGGAATTGATGCAAACTCAGTTCTGGGAAGCATTCATACTTTCGATCCGGAAGCGTCGTGTGACGACTCAACATTCCAGCCATGCTCATCCAGGGCTCTTGCAAACCACAAGGTCTACGTTGATGCATTCCGTTCAATCTATAAGGTCAATGATGGTATCAAAGAAGGATCTGCTGCCAGTGTTGGCCGTTACCCGGAGGATGTTTACCAAGGGGGTAATCCTTGGTGAGTTGATTCTAACACCAAAAGAAACTCCTTTGATAGCAATCTAACAACATTCATATAGGTACCTCGCCGATCTGGCAGCCGCTGAAATGCTCTATGATGCCTTGTACCAATGGAACAAGATTGGTTCCCTTGAAGTCACTCAGACCTCCTTGGCATTCTTCAGAGACTTCGATTCCACTATCAAGGCAGGCACCTACTCATCTCGGACCAAGACCTACAAGAGCCTCACCTCTGCCATTCGCGCCTATGCAGACGGCTTTGTTGGATTGGTTGAGAAGTACACACCATCCAACGGTTCATTGGCTGAGCAATACAACCGGAACACAAGTGTCCCCTTATCGGCCAACGACTTGACCTGGTCTTTTGCCTCATTTTTGACATCTATTCAACGCCGCGTTTCAACTGTTCCTGCCTCTTGGAGTGAGAAGACTGCCAATACTGTTCCGTCCAAATGCGCCGCCTCTCCCGTAACAGGTACCTATAAGGCTGCCACCGCAACATTCCCTACCTCCACCACAGGATGTATCCCAGCAACCGATGTTGTGCCCATTACATTTTATTTGATCGAAAACACCTACTACGGAGAGAACGTCTACATGAGCGGCAACGTCAGTGCGCTTGGAAATTGGGATACAAGTGATGGATTTGCATTTGATGCGGGTCTTTATACTGAGACGGATAACCTGTGGTTTGGCAGCGTTGAGCTGATTGAAGCTGGTACTCCGTTTGAATACAAGTACTACAAGATCGAACCCAACGGTACTGTCACTTGGGAGAGTGGAGACAACAGAGTGTATGTCGTTCCCACTGGCTGCCCCATTCAGCCCAATGTGCATGATGTGTGGAGGTCGTGAGTCTGTCCAAATTTCATCAAAAGAAGACCAGACATGAGGATTCCATAATGTTTCGTTAAATTTTCTTTCAATTACTGTCAAAAGAATGTAGTATTCATCTAGTTTGGAATGATAGAAGATCAGGAGCTAAAGCCAAAGAAATAATGCACTGACTGTTGACTTTGAATACTGAATTTGCATTTAAGAAATGTCAAAAGTATCTAGTTTCTTTAAATACTTTGTGTTCTTTACAAGATGTCTCATCCACTTCTTCGACCCTCGACCTAATCTCTCTCACTGACCTTAGCGTAGTGGACACCGGCAATGCTAGTCCGAGAAGATGAAAACTTCAACTTTGGCAGTTCCTGACTCCGCGCCCGAGTCGGATATGCTCTTGTATGGTAAAGGAACTAATTAATTTTTCTATTTTGTGAATTCAGACTCACCATGAGGATGGACATTTCCATCGGACTCGGGATCGAGACGCCTCCCCGCAATTTGCCCCACAATTCTACCTCGTGTCGAGGCATTATCATCCACTCTGACGTCAAGTTCCGAATCATTTGCAACCATTTTGCACCCAGATCTTTCAAAACATCTCCGAATCTTAAAACCAACCGGGACCCGAGAGCCTCGACGCGAAGCAAACATTCCAATACGTCAGTTCTAACCAACAACCCCATATATGGCGCAAAGTGGGAAACCCTGCTCGTGACGGCGGGGAACCATGCTAGTATAAATATTTCAAGTTAGCATCCTCCGCATCATGTTGGAAATTCTCTTCTACAATTCATCCTCCTTTTCAATAAACTCTTCCTCTTCTCAAATTCCTCCAGATCTATCACCTAATATCCATCATGCCTCCCGTTGCCACTGAGAGCGTTGCTGCCGATGCAGCTACCAAGGCGGGAGCCCCCGCCTATGTCAGTACCATGCCTGCCAATGATTTCAACTGGCAAATCACACTAGGTCAAAAAGTCGTCGCCATCACAGGAGCCAACCGCGGTATCGGTCTGGGTATCGCAGAAGTCTGTCTATCCAACTCGGCCAAGAATGTCTACTCGCTGGATATGCTGGAGCCTGGGGAGGACTTCGCCGCCCTGCAAAAGCGCTTCCCCAACTTCAAGTACATTCAAACAGATGTTACCTCTGAAGAGAGTATTGAGAAGGCAATCAATCAGATCGTTGAGGAGACTGGCCGTATCGATGGAATGGTGGCCAATGCTGGCATGACAAAACATCAGCCCGCTCTGAAGTTTGAGCGTGCTGAACTGGAGAAGCTGTTTCACCTTAATGTGAGCAATCGTGGACAAGACAATGAACGAAAGATTTCTAACATCACCAGGTTTTTGGTGCCTACTTCTGTGCCCAGATCGCTGCTCGGAAGTTCATCGAGCTCGGAATCAAGGGCTCAATCGTGATGACTTCCAGTATGACATCCTACCGTCCTAATCGCGCTGCTCCCTCCGCTCCCTATGGAGCCACCAAGGCTGCTGGTAAGTTTTCAAAACATCTCCCATATTCCACGATCAGGACTCATACCGTTTCTCTCTTCCTTAGTTCGCAATATGTGCCACACCCTCGCTATGGAATGGAGCAAGCACGGCATCCGTGTAAACAGCATCTCCCCCGGTTTCGTCCGCACCGCCATGACATACTATGTTGAGACCGCGCCTGATTGGGACTTGAAAATGCAATACTATGGTGGAATGCCTCGTCTTGCGGATCCTCGTGAGCTTGGTGGTGCCTATGTGTACCTTCTGAGTGATGCTAGTTCATACACGAGTGGAATTGACATTCCGATCGCGGGTATTGTTGGTGCGTGGTAAATACTTCAGAATTAGATCACTTTTGCTAGTAGGCGTTTTGTGACATCATTTTTGTTATAGTTAAAATTTTCAATATACCAAAGTTCATCACGATTTGCCCTTTCGTTATGTGTAATATGTACAGTACCCGCATGTTAAATAAGTTTGAAACTTGAACCTCATTGGAGATTACTTTTGATTAGCACTAAGCTTTAAATGTATTATTGCAAGCTGTATTGATATTTTGAAGAAATTCTCTTGCAAGTTCAATTAATAAAGCTTGCTCCCAGTAGTATTTCATCAAATACGGTATTCGATCAAACTACCAAAGGCCCCGAAATACTAATGGCAGGTTATTAACGTATATGTACTCCACACAGTATTTGCCATCAAACACGGTATTTGGGATATATAAACGGCCGACATGGTTAAGAGCTCTCTTCCTTGTATTAGTCTTGGTTGAAATTGAATCAAATGAAAACTTCAAATGAATGAATCATTTTTCTTTACAGGTTTTGGGTATTAGCATGTATTGATGATGGTGCCTAAAGTATAGTTTGGCCCTACATGTATATACTATAAAGATACATAGTGTAGTGGGGTACCCTGTCCCCTACTACACGTACCGTGCTAAGAATTACCGTTTGGTTACATCTCTGTTTTGTCATGTTTTCAGTCCCGTCTTTGTACGTACAAGAATGCCCGTCGTTATAGTCTAGAATACACACTCCTACACATCTCTCATCCCACCCCTACGGGGTAGTCCGGCCACACCGTACATGTTGGTTGGTGTTATCCATTCATGCTAGCTGGATCGACCCGTGTATCTAGAATACACTGCCTAACGGTTCCCCTCTTCAATAGGTAGATTCAACTTGAAGTTCAAGTTTCCAAGGCTCAAGCTCTACATTCTAAGAACTTGAAGGGGACAGGATACAATACCAGCATTGATATCGAGATAAGAAGGTATTGCAAGGGTTTAACTAAAATAGACTTCAAGTTGGCGCTATTTAACTTGATTTATCGAGTTAGACGCAAGGTGTCCAGGTGCAGCTACAAGTTCCCAGGGAAGGAGGAACGAAGAAAATTAAAATAAAGCATTCAAGAATTTTCTAAAAATCCGAATTGAATTTCCTCCGCCGGTCTCCCAGGATAGGATATGGAGTCGTCCTCTCTTTCAGTATTCAAAACAACAATCTCAGTGATAGCGCAACCAAGAATATAAATGTAAAAACCAAGAATATCAATGTAAAAAAAGAAGAAAACAGAGAGGCGCAGAAGAGAAAGAAGGGTTGACCGTATACAACGTATCAATCCCTTTGAGAACTCAGGAAATTATTGAATAATCACTTGCAAGGGGCATTATCCGGCTTCACGAACCCTCTGCCCGCAAGATAAACATGCCCACAGGCAATGATAGTGTAGACCCAGTGGCCTCTCGTCCACATAAGTGTCTTCCTTGCCCCTCTTAAGATTACCCCTTCCTCCGTGCCTAGAAAAAAACGAGTTTAGACTCCGAGGAGGCACGGTGATGTGTCTGCAATAGAAATCCCAGATTGCAGGCCACAAAATCATCGTAGTTTCTCGTCCCTCGTGTAATTCTACGGTTGAACCATCGAACGGAGTATCATGGCCATCATGCCCGCTGGACCACCATCTTTTCGTGGTGCGCATGCCCGCCCTGTCAGGGTATTTCAGTAGTGTGTATGGACCTATCTCGTTGATTTTGTCCTCAAAACGGATTACTGATTCATCCCTGACCCACATCTGGACAGCAAAGTCACAGGCCTGCTCATAGCATTGACGCAGTAGTCCATCCCGACGGAAGGGGTGCTCGGTGTCTAGCTCCTTCTTGGGATCATGGTCCAGTAACATAGACGAAATGAGACTGGATCGATCCAGCACGTTACGAACCAACTGATTTACATACCTCTGCCTAATATTCCAGCTCTGTATATACTGCAGTCCCATGCCTCAACAGGCCATATAGGGTCTGTTTTTGACCTAGCAGTAGGCTCAAGATACCTGTTTATCATTTGAACTGTGGAAATATGCCAATTCTCGGTACTTAACTCATCCACTAGAGGATAAAGAAATTAGCAGATATCATAACAGACCGGTAGAATAGTATCACTAACGGAACTTACCGCGAAGAAGCTTTTGCCAATATTGATATAGCTCCTTTCCATATATAGGTGGAAGAGTCTTTAAGTATCTGTCCTAATAAGTATCTAAGTTCATATAGTAGAACGGATTCTCGACAAGACTCTGAAAGATATCCTTCATGATGACGGCCTAGGTGAATGTATGGAATCGAAAGCGTTGGTTAGGAAATGTAGCGATCAGCGAGTCACAGTCATAATAAAGGCACCAATCTCCCAAAAAGTCAAGTATAGCTTGCTTCTGCTCTGTAGTTATTCTGTTTTCGATGTCCTCTGAAGATCCACAGTAATCGTTAACCTAGCGTTCTATGCCGGAAGTTATACAAAAAGCTTTATCATCCGGCTGTTTGGGAAATATATAATCGTAATATCCCTCAAAGCTTGTGTAGGTAGAGGTAAAGTTTGGAAGTGGTAGGACTTTCTGTGGCTGAACATATAGGTCTTTTATGGTAAAGGGGTAATCCGGATGGTATATATCCTGGCGAGGAGGATGGGGTATTTTTTGCCACCCAGACCCCCGGTCTCTCCTAAAATAGCTCTCTTCTGTGTCTGAAGAGCTATCTTCGGCCACTGGAGATCGCTCTCTATATAGGTAAGTCTGACGTCAGATAGGTGGCAGTCGTTCAGATTGATTCGAAATGGGTGTCAATTGTTTCGACTTTTGCGATGACTTATCATGGTCTTTAATGGTTGAGGGAAGGGATATGTCGTTGATCAAGGAATCTATTGAGGACAAGTAACTATTCCGCTTGTATAGAACACTTGTTAGTTCATTTCATGGGATATGCACCAATCTTAGAATACCTTAGATGATCTGTCTTGATTTTCTTCTTCTGTGCCAGCTTTGACTTTCACGTACCTAATGTCTAACTCAGAACCTAATGGAACGGCATTGTCAGCCTAGATGTGATATTTAGTCTTTCCCATCCTCTGTCAAAAATGTTTGGAACAATTTCATTAAACCTACCATCTCCGTCTCTGGGCTTGGCTGCAGTTTCTTTCCTTTCGGGGTATTGCTCATTCGAGATTTCCCTCTTTGCCCATCCTGCTTCCTAGGAACAGTCACCAGAGATGGGATTGGGAAATAAATACTTTTGATAAAAACCGAAAAGGGTTGAAAAAGTCGGGAAAGAGAGAGATGCTGCACTGAGCGACAGCCCTGGAGAGCGCCTGAGACATTTGCTTAAAGATTGAATTGTTGTACGGAGGTCGGTCCCAAAAGTTCTTGCCAGAAATTATAATTTCTTTTTCTTAATAATTTACACGCTATTCTAGATATAGTAAATATCGAAATGTATACTGAAATTGAGTTGTCAACCGAAATATAAACCGAAATATGTACCGAAATATAGCACGTTACATACACTAAATATCACATATCTTCCCATCCGCTTTCGCTGTCGCTATCATTGTCGCCGTTGCTATCGCCGTCGCTGTCACTGTTCATATTATCACCTGAAATTCCACTAGGAGCTATCATTTCACCTGTTTTATCACGTCCCTCGCAGTACTCATCACCCCCTTCTAGTCTAATTACTTGCTGTATATGCCATGGGATACGCTCAATCCAAGCCTGAATTTGTGCTTGAGGTAGATCACGCCACGCAACCTCCCAAACTTTGATCCCTTCCTTACGTGATTTAGGGGCGCCCTTCTTTGTAGTATATCTTTTCATCCAAGGCCATGCAGGCTCAATCATGTTAAGATCAGGTGAATTTCCAGGCCAAAGCATACGCTGGACCCTTGCTATATCAAATATTCGTTGTTGATAATGATGCGAGTGAGCAGGGGCTTTATCTTCTTGGACCACTCTTCTCGCCGAAGTTGAGCACATTTAAGCGCAAATGGGACTAATTTAGGCCCTCGAATCACGGTATTATATCGATACCAATCGATTCCGCCTTTTGAATTTCGTGCAAGCTTTCCATTCATCTGATTCCATTTCCATTGGGGTGGTTTTTCAGGTTTGTTCCGTAGCCCTAAGCGACGTACGCCTGAATTAAGCTCCCATTCAGCACGCATAATAACTCTAATTCAGCGTTCCATTCAGCAATCTTTTCTTCTGATTCACGCTTTTCGGCAGATGTTTCAGGTACCCAGCAATGATGGACCCTTCTGATCACAAGAGAAAGCACCCCAGAACATAAATTCAGATGAGCTCTTCCAACGTTCACGAATACAGCTTCGAATGAATCGTTCTTTTGAATTTCTCCAAACTCGATATCCACCCCGACGGTGTAGTAGAACTACAGCAGTCTCATCAGTCCAAATAACATTCTTCCAGTCCTCAATAGTCTAATGTGCATGTTTTAAACACCATTCCAAGCGTTGTTTTTTTTGCCTCAGCTGCTAGGCCTGGCTTGCGTGTAGGCTTCGTCTTTCGCAGGCCAATTTTCCGTAGCACACGCCAGACTGTTGTCTTTGATATTTGAACACCTAGTATTAGTAAATATTATCAAATAACATATCAAATAACAACATACCTTCTTCACGTGCTATTTCCAATGCTAATTGCTCACATGTTTTCTCACGCCCGTAGCGATCTACACGGATTTCGGTCCCAAGTTGTGTTTTAAGCTCCTCTGTTTGCTTAGATGGGCGTCCAGAACGTAGCTTATCGGCTAACATTTCATCTGAAATATTAAGCTGTGGTTGATTCGGCTGAAAGCCTCGTTCTAACGCACGCTGCCATATAGCGTCGACCGTACGTCGTGGAATAGTAAGGTAATCGCTCACATGTCTAGTAGTCCACCCTAGGTTCTTTAGGGCTACTATAATAGCACGTTGCCCAATATCTGTCTTCATCTCTGGATAAAAAGATAATAACCTGAGAAGAATGAGGATTAAATCTGCGGGGTAGTTAACGCTGCGTGTTCCATAGCAGCCGAATTACCCTAGGCAATATTTAGACTAGTATTTAACACGGTGATACACCCTACATACAGCGAGCTATACACCCTAGGTACAGGGGCAGTAATTTATTAAGAAAAAGAAATTATAATTTCTGGCAAGAACTTTTGGGATCGACCTCCGTATGCCATCATTTACGACCAAGATCAGAGCAGCTGGGGTTTTCTTTCATTTCTTTTTGGTTTTGAAATAGACTAGGTGGCGTTCAAAGGGTTCTTTGTGGTCAAAGGATTCGTGAGAAACAAACGCCCTTACTCCCGGAGAAACCCGTGTCTCGTTTGTTGAAAATCACCAGCTAGAGATAGGCCTAGAATTGAAGGGGCGGTGTGTTAAATCACTCAATCTTACACACTATTGCATCCACAGACGAAGTACTCTTCCCAATATTAGAGGGATCTACATAAAAACCGATATGAACCCCTGTAAATTTTGGATGTGGGAAGCCCAACACGTCAAACATTCAGAGACAGTCGTATTCGGGATTTTGCAGGCTGTCGGGATCCACATATCCATACACCGCCCTATGAACCAGATAATTTAGAACGGGGTAATGAGAACTGAAAATCTAACAGAGAAAACCCTATCGATTACATACAAATTCTAGGTCAAGCCGTAAAGCTTGATCGATGAAAGCACATTTCTAGGAATGTCTCTATTTTCCTCCACTATTCCTTTGATGAGAATCCGAAGCTATGGACTGAGCCAGGTCATCTATACGCAAGCACTTTAAGTTGGGAATTTGGATGAAAGCATTATGAGACACTAGACTAGAATGGGCAGCCCCCGTGAAACATGGCAAGCATGACCTCTGAGTAGAGACCACTTCCAGGTCTACAAGATCTCGAATCTCGGATAGAGTGAATCAAATTTGCCTCCTCAAAATAAGGAAAGGATCATTGAAACACATTTCAAGAGTTATGCAAACAAGGATGAGTTCCAAGGTTGACACTATATGGTAAGCTCATAGAAACCAATAGAATATTATCCCTAGACATAAGGATCCCTGCCGTTTTTTAGGCAGCATATAGTGAAGTTTTCATAATGTCGGTGAACATTTGACAGCTTCAAATGCGATAACACTCATGGCCTGAGTCAACCTTTGAAAATGTCGCGGAAACCGACAGTGGCGGGAAATGACAGATGACTGGGGCTGATTGTTCCTGGGCTCCTCATTGATTCAATTACACGGTTGAGACGAGACTTCTCGTTTCTCACAGGTCGATGATAAGAGCTACCCTTGGACTAGCGAGGTAGAAACCCCTTGACCTATCAGTCATAAAAAGAAGGGAATTCCCCAAACTATTCTTGTCAACTACAATTCTTCTCGACCATTGTTAAAGAGGATCGAATCTACACTTGCAGACAACCCTCAACCATCGCAGAAAGTCAGTTCTCACAAACTATTATTCATCATACCTACACCCAAGTATGATATTGTGGTCGGAGTTGACTTTGGCACCACGGCCTCTGGTGAGTTATAACCTCCAAGAAAAAGTGGTTACTTTGCGAGCATTCTAATAAAGGCTTACAGCCATTGGCTACTATAGCATTTTGCTCGATCACCCCTATTATCGTCCTAGGTTAATCAAATAACTCTGGAGAGGGACTCTTGACGAAAAGATTCCAAGCGTTCTTGCTTATATCCAAGACAACCCTAATCTTCAGGAGAACAAGTGGGGATTTCCTGCTCTGGAAGAACCTAATATGATCTCTTGGTTCAAGCTGTTTTTGGATGATGATCTTGAGATCGAGATCAAGAGCTGGAAAGCGGAGGCGATAAGGTTTGGCAGGTTCTTGAGGAATTATGTCTCTTCCAAGAGGGAGATCCTTAATTGATATAATCTCAGATTATCTAGGCGCTCTCCAGGCCAGGATCTGGGACCATCTAAAGGGAGAATTTACCAATACGAAGAAGAGTCTGGAGACAAGCACCATCAAATAATGTTTTACCATACCAGGGTACTGGTCCAAAGAAGCCAGGCAGGATATGCTTTTTGCTATCGAACAGTGGGTTTTAGATCAAGGGAGTGTGATGATATCTACCTACTTATAGAAGCGGATGCTGCTATTGTCTTTGCTTTATTAAGCTTGTAAGATTATACAGGAACCTTACCTCTTAAGGTATGTTATACTCTTATTATTTTAGTTTGGATTTAAAGACTGATAAGGTTTTAAAGACTGGAGACGGAGTTCTAGTCTACGACTGTGGGGGAGGAACAGTTGTTAGTTACCCTTCATAAGCTTGATTTTATTTTGTTTATATCTAATGTTGCTATCTAGGATATTGTGAGTTTTGTGATCTCAAAGTATAATCCTCTTATATACGATAAGCTTGCTCCAGGTTCAGGTATGGTCTTACTTCTAGTATCCCTGAGATAGAATTAAACATAGGCTGATTAAATATTAAAGGGAAAATATGCGGTTCCATTTCGGTGGACAGGGAGTTTTACAAACTTATGTAAAAAAGATTTAGTGTTGTCTTTTCTAGCTTACCATGGTATGTGATTGGGCTCATAAGCAAATTCATACAGGATTTCAAGGAAGTTAAAGGTGCGTTTACTGGAAATGGAAATGTGATTTTCCAACTCCCCCTTGAAATGAAAGTGTCGTAACCCTTAAACCCAGAGTGGTATGATCAAAGCACAGGACATGTGATGCTATCCAGGTAATAAACCTCACATACTCCCCAGGTCCATGTATCATTAGGGAGATACTGAAGTCAACACAATCAGTGCCGATCTTCTTAAGTTATTCCAACCCTCTGTCAGTACAATCATCAATTGCTTGACTAGCCATATGAATGAAGCCAATGGTATAAAAAGAGAAGCACAAGCCATTAAAGTATGTGAGCTTACAGAGAAAGATGGTATTTGGAATGGGTATTTGGAATGTACTGACGAATTTTAGAAAATTCTGCTTGTCGGAGGATTTTCTCTGTCGCCTTTCCTTCAAAGCGAGATCACACGTGTATTTCTCGATATGACCATCATCACAGACGCCAAAATACGTATGTGTGCATTTATATCCTCTTAATTTTGGCCAGTATTCTTCTAACAAGTCTTTATCAGATTGACGGCTGTCGCCCAGGGTGCGATCGCATGGGGTAGTGGCAAAGTTGAGCTACGAAGCATGCTTAGTCCGTGCCACTTTGGGTTCTCAACCGTGAGCCCAGTCAATCTTCCCCTTCCCATAAGCTCACATTCGGGCTCTGCTTTCCAGAATGGTCCGATTGACTGGCTCATGAAAAAGGTAGCATTTCCGTGATTCCCGAACCGTTCCAAATTACCCGTGTCATGGAAATTCGAACTAATCACGCCTTTATTCAGGGAGTTTGCTTGCAAATGGATGTAATAATCCAAGGCGGAGGTACTTTAATCCACCAAGAGGGAGAGTCCCACATGAAAGTCATCGACATTTTTGGCTCAGGCAGAGCTGATCCCCCCCACCAGGGTGTGTGAGCGAGGTATGTTAATAAAATATAATCTGTTTGCCAAATTAACTCTCAGAAGCTAACCCATGAGCTCCCTGACAGATTCCTCGAAGATTAGCACCCTGGCAATCGACATTTCGGGGATAGACTTCTCCCACTGCGAGCGCCGCGAAGGAGGCGGACCCTGTTCCTGGAAGGTTAATTACATGATAACTGCTCGTTTGGGAGACACCAATGGTACTATCCACTTTGATGTCTACTGGGAGAGGATCCATCTGATAAATTGGAAATTCAAGCCTGGTTTCATTCGGGTTTGATTCTGATAGAGATCGTGGGAATAGAATGTATCTTCCAACTTCCGCCACAAATTTTCGACGAAGAATGTTCCCAGGAGCTGCAACTACCTGTAAATATACTTTGATATTCATTGGCAAGATGTATACAGTCATTCTCGAAATCGGCTTGACCAGTGTACTCTTCGACTCTCTTTCTCGGCCCCACTGCCAAGGCCCTAGCGTCCATTATTTATTGAGCCCACACCATTAAGTTGCGGTCCGGTGTGATCTCCCCGAGCTTGCACGATGACTTTTAACTTTTTGAAGTGCGAGGCCCCTCAGCTTGATGCATCCAGCCCAATAGATGCTCTGCGCTAAAGTCTTGGCTGCGGGGCCAAGAAAGACAGTCGAACAGTGTACTAACCTAAGTATTATGTGTTACGCTTAATATGGATTAGGGGTCCTTGGCATTAGAGTTCGAGAAAGAGTCAAAGAGTATAAGTGGTGACACCGGTTTCCGGAAGCACTGTACAAGCGGCATCTCAAGTTAGACGTTTTCGCTTTTAATCAAAAATTGGTTGTTTGAGTTCCGAAGAAGTTAGCCAAAGAATAGTTGCTATTCATGGGGAACATGCCAAAGTCATGAATTTAGTTGAGTCGTCGACTGGTAAGTCGTCAAGGAGGGTTTAGATTGAACGATGTTGACCCGACTAGGTTACCGCTTCTTTGACAAGGTTTCTAATGTGGAAGAAACACTAAAGTGCTGAGCTCTGTTGTAAATTATGCTTCCGGCCAGAAATGTCTATCTATACCAAGGCAGAGAATTTTCTTGACTTATCATTAAAACACTACGCAGCGAGGTGATCAACAGTCAAAGTGGGTCCATTGGTAGGGCGCGTTGTCAACATGCAGATTTCAGAGGATGAGTTCGTTTGGCAAACGACTAGGCCCCGAGATTAAAAAAAAATCAGAAATAGTGAATATACCACATTACCAGGATTGCATATCTTCGTCAGTATGATGCAAGATTAGTGGCCATATCAGCAGGATGGTCGCTGTGGAGCACAGCACCGTAATTTTACTTTATGCACCATTCAGAGTAACTTTAGTCATACAGTCGTTCTCGAAATCGGCTTGACCAGTATACTCCAACTATCTTTCTCTGCCTCACTGCCAAGCCTTTAGCGCAGAATATCGATTGGGCTGGATGCATCAAGCTGAGGGGCCTCGCAGTTCAAAAAGTTAAAAGTCATCGTGCAAGCTCGGGGAGATCACACCGGACCGCAACTTAATGGGGTGGGCTTAATAAATCATGGACACTAAGGCCTTGACGGTGGGGCCAAGAAAGATAGTCAAAGAGAGTACTAGTCAAGCCGATTTCGAGAATGACTGTAGTGAATGTCTCTCTTGCAGACATTACACGACCCGGCCCTTGCGCGTAGGATCTAGCTTTTTGGGCCATCATAATTTGTGATGTAACACTCCCAGATCTGAGCCTGGGAGAGCCTGAAAGTCTGGGAAATAAAGCTTGTATGTATATCAGGAGAATAGACGCCACAGCTGGGCCATTTGGGTAGCTAGTCCGAACAAGTGGTAAGTAAAATGTTGGCGGTACTGAACAGTATCCCCTTTTACGCCAAATGGGGTTTAAACTCCTTGAAGCTCATCGTGTACTTTGACCCTACCACAAGGCAGAGCTTATACGTCAAGGAAGCCAGCTACAATATTGCCTTCTTTCAACTACTTCCAACATTGCGCACAATGAGTGGAACTAGGCGTAGTACATGCAACGGCTGTAGTTCTGATTTCTTGTCGGTATTAAAATGAGATCTCCTATTGTTCTGAATCTCGTTCTAGCTAGAATATACTATTTTCAAGACTGGCTATCTTTTGTGTACCGGAGGAATAAGCTTTATACACGAATATTGGCTAGCATTGATAAAGCTCCTGAAATTTGCCATCAATTTTACTTTTGGGAATGACGGCTAGGGCAGAGAGGACTAAATTAAAGGGTGGAGCTTCAGTATCATACGGCCTGCAAGAATGACAATAGGCTTACCGGTCGTACCTTACTATTTGAGATCACTGATGTTAATGTGATATACAAGAAGGTCTTCCGAAGCGATTAGATGAGTAATTCTGCAAAATCAGCATATTGTGTTTCTTATCTAGAATATTGTATATGAGGAATTTCTAGTACCTAACTCTGGTCCATGGTGTGTTTTCAACTATCTCCATCGGAGATAAATATAATGACAAGCCAAATTCCAAATTAAAATAACAGAAAGGCATAAATAGCGTCCGTCGGCATACTTATTTCTGGCGCGACGAATGACACGCTCCAAACGCGTGCTGGCTAGCTCGCAACTGGTGGACGTCAGATCTGTATGCCCGAAGATCCTGCTCTCAGCAAAGCCATCATCCACCAATATGTGTCAGTGTGTTGGTGCAAACAGCGTCGATACCACCAGCATCATACACATGTAGAGGATAAGGCAGACCACTTGAGGGGTCGAACTCTGCTAGGTCCACCCGCCGATTAAACGCACTATGCGAGATCTGGCTGTAAATAGGCGACTGTGATAATGTGGGACGGTCTGTATATTAGACATTCAGATTGGCACGAAGCCTCTCTTGGCAATTAAAAGACTCCTTGTTCGGATCGTGAGGTTGCACTTAGAACATTACTTTTCAAAATCCAGCTTCTGCTGTTTTCTCTCAACGAGGATGACTTGAGTGCTGAGGAAGAATCCCCTTCCACTGAATCAGTAGGTATGTGGGCCTTGATAGGGGTTCCTTAGTTTGAGACCCGTTAACAGTGTGAACAGAATACGGAACAACTGCAACAATAATTTTCTCAATATTAGGGAAACCATATTGTCGCTGGTGGGGACTTTCCTCCATTCGAATGTCAAGAATGGTTTCGATGGGACCTGTGATTTTAGGAATTCCTGCAAGATTTTGAGAGCCTTCCCATACTGGTTCCCCTACTTTAAAAACAATACCCTTAGGGAAATTATTTTCGTAAATTATTCGCTGCTGTTATGTCTTAGTACTACATCTGTACCAGGCGTTTGCGACCCTGAAAGGCCTAACTCATATTTCAGGTCCCGACTCGGAGTTCTTGACATCCAAAGGTTTCGCTGATTGCACTTGTTGAGACTAACAGGATTCTTCTGGCGAGAATGGCGTGACACCGGACTTGAGAGAAAAAAATGCAAATCTGTCCACTGGAGAATCATCCACTTTTTTTGGGCGGAAACGGGATGAGGAATGAATGAAGGAAAGAATTTGGTAAACTTCTCGCTGAACTAGGGTAACGGGTTAAATAACAGGTGTGACATCAAAAGGCCTTGAAGCTGAAGAAGCCTGTTCTCATCCTCGGAGGATCATTCCTCCTTAAGATATAATTTAGTGTACTCGGCTTTCTAGGATTTTGTCTCTATTCTATCCGGGCTCCACTTCCTTCTCCGAGAAATCGGATTGTCTATCTGCGGAGGCTACTGGTCTTTTGGAATAGATACGAACTATTGGTGAGAACATCAGATAGACTCTCCATATTGGTAGGAATCAAGTATTCAGCCCCCAAGAGTCTAAGAAATTGAAGGAGACCATCATTGGGGATCGTGTTAACCCATTGAGTGATTTAGTTTCCCAGTGGTTGATCAAAAATAGCTAACGCATTCTGGAAAAAGGAGCTCTCTCCCTGGGTGTCTATTAGAGATTATATCTATGTGAGATCAACACGTCATGATACGTACCTTAGGTCCAGGTAGATCTTTATATGGGCTGGAATATTGCCGACCGAAGACTCTCCATCCAAGAGCTATTATACAATAAGTTCCCCAAGTACCGCATAGCCATGTGGCGAAGGGCCCTACTGACTCTAAACCAACACCAGACAGACGACACCTAAGCCAAGTGATAGCCGCCCAAGATGACAGACTTATCACCAGTGTAGATCGAGGCGATATCTCGATTGGAAGATTGAATATACGTTGCTTAAGTTGTCTTATGGCAGGAGGTGAGTGTGATAGCTGCGGGTGGAAGGTATCCCAAGGAAGCAAGGTTATCCTAACTTCACGCTCAAAAAATCACCGGGCGCTGGAACTTATTTAACAGTGGCAGCTTACCCTCATGAAGTAGTCGGAAATTTGATACTAGGTCCATAAGTTAGAACCAGACCCGCATTTGTGACCATTCAAAACAAGAGAGGTTGAACACTGTTATTTGAGCATAATCAATGGCTTATACGGTAATGATGGGAATGAAGATATGAAAATTTAGAAGATCAACAGCCATTGAAATATCCAGAGATTGAAAAATGAGTTTATCTATTGAAAATTAAGCTCAAAAAGCACGTTTTTCGACCGTTGAATGACAAGAGGAGACTTATTATCCTTAGTTGAGCTAAGATAAACAATTTTGATACGGAGGTTGATGGGGCAGTTGCATATTACTTGATCAACAAGCGCTTTAGCTGCAGCACAGTCAAATAGGGGTATGTTTATCCGTGCAAATTTCACCATTGGCAGATTTCACCAAGGTTGTTGGATAAGATCTGAGTTAAACAATTGTGAAATCCCATATCTTGCTGCCTTGATGTAAATCATCGTTGTGTGAAGCTCGGGCTCAATGGAATACTGGGAAACATGAGCATTTTTATACAAAAAATTTTGGTTCGCCCTGGATGTGTTGTCGCGTGAACCGTCTTCTCACGACAGGCTTAAGGCTACAGTGGCTAGCCTGAACCAACCAAGGTTAGTTATAACCTACAGCACATAATGTCAGAGCAATACCCGGGATGGAGGTGCCAAACTATTCAAATAGTATACTCCGGATCGAAATTAGATTTACAGTACCAGCTGCACACAGAGATTCTTTCTCAAACCCTTCTTCGAAACATACTAGTCTTTATCTGGACTAGCGTAAACCTGAAGTATTGTATTATATTGAAAGATTGTAATGTGACCCGATAGGCCTATCAAGGTGAAGAGGTAGTATCCTTGGGCAACGAGGTCCAAATGTTTACGGACTGCGATTATTGTGGTTGGACTGGAAATCATAGGTTATTTCTCAACTTATTGCGGCGGAGTCACCTGCTGATGAGGCTGAGTATATGCCCCTCGGTCTCGGGTGGGTTAAGTGAGTGGAGAACCATCAATCTATATTTGTTTTTATAGAAGGAAGTCTCAACTTGATAATGAATATTATTATCGTTTGCAGCCGGTATTACTAGCAACATGAGTTTCCTAGGTTCATGCGATCAACGAAAGCACTTTAAGCAAAGTTTGCGGGAAAGACGAACTGAAGATCCCAGGCCATTAGGATCTCAAAGTGAACATATTTAAATTGGTAGAGAACTGGCTATGAGATACTGTAAGAAAAAAAGGAAATCGATCTATCTCCTTCATAATGTGGACAACTCTGAGGCCCGAGTCCTTTGTTCATTCTCGGCAGCTATGGAGGGACCTATAATTCAAGAGCCACTAGGCCTTCCCACAATTGAAACATCTACGGTACTCAAAAGCTTTCCAGGTAAGCATTCAAGCTCAGTTTCTACCATTGTTAACTAATATTGAGATCCAAATCACAGAAACCATCCTTGCGAGTTTTTTCCATTTTCTTACATGTGTACCGTATCTTTATTGGAACGAGCACCTGATTTTGGTAAATATACCGGATTCTGTTAAATGTAGCTTCTGAAATTCATATGGCGAGCTATGGCATTTGTTCATTCTTAAAATCGGCTTGACTGAAACGTATGAGTACTCCCCAGAAGATTTGCGGCAAAGTCTTACGCTTCTGCAGATCAATAAATAATCGGAACGTATTAAATCTGGTAGAGCAGTAAATTGCTTTGATACTAGGTCACATGATGCAGACGTCAATCCCAGAGAATTAGGTAGACCTCGCCAAGCGTGGGTTTGGGTTGGGTTTTCAATTTCTTTACCCGCCCACGGGTAACCCCACCGCGGGTTTTGGCCTTCATAAACCCGCCCTTGGGTTCTTGGCGGGTACCCGTGGGTTACCCAAAATACCTAAAATCCTGGATAAGTCGTGCATAAAACCGATTAGTCAGTTGTTGTAATTTTGGTATTTTATTCTTGTCTCGCTTTTGGGCGTGTGTTACGTTTAAATACTGCTCACTCGTTTTCTAGAAATATATATTCCTTGCGTCGCTCCATGTTTCTTGGTACAGTCTGTCTGCATCTTGAGTGATCAATAGCCATATCGATATCTAGGAGGATTTAATGTATTCCAAACTTATTGCTCGTACCTAGTCAATCATTATAGCCTCGAAGCACTTGAAATCAGCCTTTGGAATGATCTCAATGTCCTATAATCGTACGGGTTTTGGGTTGGGTTGGGTTTTGGGTACCCGTGGGTTTACGCGACTCAAGAATAGATAGATCCAAACGCACGACGCGACTCTAGCAAAATCCACATTCAAGCACACAAGATGAAAAAATTCATTCCAGCAAAAAAGAAACCCATTCTACTTGACTGGCATGATCCACAAACATGGCGTATTCTTCTTCATCATCGCCATCAATCCATCGGGCTTTCAGCCCCCTGCTCTCCATTGAACCATCGTCCGATATTTTCTTGGACTCGGACATCCAGTCTTCTGTATAAGAATAAACCCCTCCTTCGTGTGCCTAACTGCCACGAAACTTTTCATAGGTATGCTAAGAATGCCTCTAGCTTTTCACCGAATCCCGTGAGAGCTACTACATATTCGCTTGAAGACCTCCAGTGACGCTAAGACATGTGGGACCTCAACGCGGAAAGAAATGGACTTTGTACGAGTTGCACCTGGAGAGGGAATTTTTGGGATGGTGGGAGAAAACTCAATACGGCCATAAGCTCAACGGGGACGGTCAGTCCCAAATCAAGTGGTCTACTGAGTCGCGTCACGCCGACGTTTGGAAACACTTCGACCAAGTAGCCGATATCGATTCTGGGCGCCCACGAGTCCTCTGCAAAGCCTGTCTTACTTTGCTTGATCATCCGCAGCATAAATATAATGGGACAAGTGCTATAAGTAGATACCAAAAGTCCAATTCTTGTCACAAGGGAAAGAAGAGAGGATCTTATCAAACTCTGATCGCCGATTCGTTGCAAAATCATTCCATGAGGGAGTCGCCTAATGTGTATAAGGTAACAACATTTCAACTTGAGGAGCAGTTCCTTAAAACCATCACCTGTCTTCGTTTGCCTTTTCGAATAGTAGAGAATCCTGTGTTCCAGAGACTACTTAACCTCATACACTCAGGACCTGGGACGCTGGAACTTCCGTCTGCGAAGACCCTGCGAAGACGGCTCTGTGATGTAGTTACGGCTTAACAGGAATCGTAGTTGTGTAATCTACCTGAAGCTGCTAAGGTGTCATTTGCCTTGGATTGTTGGACTAGTCTATTCCAGTAAGCATTCATGGCAATCACAGTCTTTCTCATTGACAAAGATTGGAATTACCGGGAAATGCTCCTTGGCTTTGAACCATTACACGGCCCTCACACTGGGAATAACCTTAGTAATGTCCTCTATCAGTTATTGAAGGAACGTGGACTATTATATTGTATCTTTAGCGTTACTACGGACAATATAACTAATAATAAGACCTTGATCCGAGCTTTGCAAGACAAGTTGATATCCACTGGCGTAATTGGCTCTAGGGAATCCATTGTCCGGGTTCCTTGTATGGCTTATGTGATTCAGCTTTGCTTAAAGCAACTTTTAGGGTATATTAAAGCAGCGCCTAAGAATAAAGAGGTAAAGTCTTTTTGGTCCGACAATTAAGCCATTGGGTTGAAGGACTCAGCAACCCACGGAGACGTGGCTTATACCCTGGCAAAGGTAAGTCTAAACTTTCTACGAAGGATTAAAATGAAGACGAAGTACTTATGTAGACAGATTCGATCATTTGCGATAGTTGTTACGTATCCTTAGGTCCTCACTTATCAGCCTCTTGGCTATCGCGGGATCCCGAGGTCCACCATGTTGTTGCCCGCGGGAACCTGTTATCTCCCCGCAACCTCCCAATTTGGGCAAAGGAATTCAACTTCGACATTGATCACTCACTCCATAAGAGAATTCCATATGTCGAACCGAAAAGAGGAAAAACGGGCGCAAGGCCCTCCAAAATACAATGTTGGTTGGCGACGAGTGGTGAGGAACTTTAGCCCATCGTACGTAACTGAAACCCTGCATGAATCATCCAGCGCATTACCCACTAAAGAACTATGAAAAATTCAGATGGTTCGCAGTCACAATGGGAACTGGAATTGTGTCCGTTCTGCTACAATCGATCCCGTTTTCTTCAACGGCGCTTCATTACATCTCGATCGTGTTTTTCGTGTTGAACACTGCGCTCTTTGGTCTGGCCTTTGTGACCTCGTTCTTGCGGTACACCTTATATCCAGAAATCTGGAAGGTGATGATTCAAGATCCTACTAATTCATTATTCCTGGCTACAATCCCCATGGGATTCGCGACCTTAATTGAGATGTGGGTTTTCATCTGCGTTCCGCACTGGGGTCCATGGGCTACATCCATGGCATGGGCCTTGTGGATAGTGGATGTCATCGCCGCGGCTTCGGTGACACTATCCTTGTCTTTTATACTGTACGTTTAGACCTTCCCATGATCAATTTCACGGCTGCTAATATGTGTTTGTCAGGATGTCTCAACGCCATATTACCTCATTGGAACGAATCACCGCACTTCAGTTGCTCCCAATTGCTGCCACTATTGTCGCTGCCGGTGCAGGCGCAGAGGTTGCTCATATATTGCCAAATAAGACTCATGCATTGGGCACGCTGATTGTCTCATTTGTACTCTGGGGCATGGGTACTCCCTTGGCCATTTCAGTACTTGTCATTTATTATCAGAGACTCGCAGTACACAAGCTGCCTCCACGCGAAGCGATCGTTAGCTGCTTTCTCCCCTTGGGCCCATTGGGCTTTGGTGGCTTTGGGTAAGATATATCTATAACCGCTTCTTGCCTCCTTCATTCACTTGCTGATTACTTCTAGTATTATTTACATCGGAAAGGTTGCTCGTGAGCTCTTTCAAGACACAGACATTCTTGATCCCATCGCCGGCTCTATGGCATACGTCTTGGGTGTTTTTATCTCCCTGCTTATGTGGAGTTTTGGGTTAATATGGCTCGTCTTTGCATTTGCAACGGTTCTATACAGCTCCCCGTTTCCATTCAATATGGGTTGGTGGGGATTCACATTTCCCCTTGGTGTCTACGCAGCGAATACAATGGAGTTGGGAAAGGTACTGGATCTTATGTTTTTCAAAGTTTTTGGAACGGTAAGCACATTTTGAAATTCTTCTTGTCTCGGGTTTATCGTTAACCGGAGAGCAACAGGTCCTAAGTGGTGTTGTCTTTCTACTGTGGGCATTGGTTGCATCCCGCACAGCTCTAGGGGCATGGCGTGGAGACTTATTTTATGCCCCTTGTCTACAAAATCTATCTCTCAAGGATAGTGAGACAGAGGGAGCGCGTCTTCGAGCATAGCCAACGAGGTTCGTCCCATCACGAAGCACGATTATCATGAGACAAGGGAATATGGACTTGAATTTGAGTCTGGATGTACTACTATAGCATTTATGTCCTAAGTTTGAAGCGAATCAAAGAGAATCCATGTATTCCATGGTTTAAACAAAGAGGTTTCATGGTATATTTCAATTGATTAGGATAAATCTCATACAAATGTTTTAGACTCGTAAGGGTGGAAGCCCCATCGGAGCGTCATAGAAATCCAATAGATCTTCCTCCTCTTGCTCAAGATCGAGAACATTGGTGTCAAGCTCGGATTCATCCTCTGTCAGCTTAGCGCTGATGCCTCTAGCGGCACGGCTCCGAGAAGCTGCATTTGCAGTCAGGGCTGTTGCTCCCTCTGCCTCAGAAATTTCACGCGCCTCCTCAGTTGGAAGACGGAGGGCTAGGAATCCAGCTGGGGCTCGCTCGGCACGATCCATGATCTCATTCATGTATTTACGAACCTCGTCTGCCGGTTTGACGACTCGGGTTAATGGTTCCAGAATGCGAGTATCGGCGGCATGGATGCGAAATGTGACCGCTTGCCAGTATTCCTTGAGCTTGACCTCCTTAGCCGGGGGCTCATTAGGTGTCGCGGACCCTACAGGGGCTGGAGATGACTGAGCAGGGTTGGCCGATGTCTCGGTAGCTGGTGTCCCATCTGCCGCAGTTGATGTGCCTGGTTGATTTGGCGTGGGTGTATCAGGAACACTTTTCCCTTTCTCGGCTTTCCCTTTTTTGTCCCCCTTCTTGGACTTGGATGCTCCTTTTCCTTTTGCTCGGCTAGTAGCAGTTTCGGGTACAGTCTCGATTGGGAAAGGAGTATCTGGATCAACCTTTCGTGTGATAAGGAATGATGCGATAATGGTGTTCTCGTTCGGAAGCCATTCGAGGATTGAGTGTTCAGGAAATAAGTAGCGATCTCCAGAGCCAGCATGACCGGAAGCGGAATTTCCGTATGGTGTCAAAGGAGACGTAAATTCAAAGACCACAGACTTGAAGCCTGGACGCGCAGGGGGAATGGAAGCTGCAGATGGTCGATGATATGGTGTTGCGGGGGGGATATTGCGGAGGGCGTGACTGGAGAGGGGGCTGAGAGCCATAAGCTGGCTGTGGATATGCGGGATAAGGGGGACCTGGTCGCGGTGTAGATTGCTGAGCAGCATTAAGAGGCGGGATGGCTGGCGCTGCAGTACCTTGACTTTGAGGGCCTGGGGTCGGAGTAGATGTGTTCACAGGACCGGCTGATGGAGCTGGCTGTAAAGACGTCTGTTGGGATTGTACTGATGCTCTTCCCATTGGCTCCTGTCTGACACTTGGGTCGGATGTTTGAGAAACGCTAGCTGGGTCACCTTTCGGTGCCGGTGCCGGCGCTGGGGTTTGTGGTTGAATTGGTTGGTGTGGCGGGATATCGGATTGGGGCTTAGATGAGCCGGTTGGCTGGGACGCTGGTGGTTGTTGTGAGGCATCTTTACCTGGAGTCTGTACTGATCCTGCTGGCTGCTGCGGCTTGGATGCCTTCTCCTGGGGAGAATGAGCGCTGGGGACCGGCTTAAGTTGAGTAGAATTTTGCGGGGGATGTGGTTTATTTGAGGGGGTCGGCGTTGCGGGTTGGTGGGCTTGGGGTGTGGTGGGAGCTTGAAGACGCTTTTCTTGCTGTTCCCTTGCCTTTATTATTGCATTAAGTTCGTCAATGTGTGCTTGAAAAGCACGGAGTTGCTCTTGTGATGCTTGACTCGATGCAACAACTCTCATCAGTGCTTTGAGATCAGGATCAGCAGCCGCTCGAGTAGCAAGCATCTGAATAACAGGATCAGGGCTTGGCTTTGCAGGCTGTCCAGATTGGCTTGGAGGCTGGGACCGTTGTCCAGAGGGCGTCATTGTTGACTGGTGGGGACCGCGAGGGGCAGGCGAGTAGTTTCCCTGGTAGCCTTGTTGGCGCCCAGGAGCGGCGGCAGAGTAAGGAGGTCTTCGCTGTTGGTTGGAATGATATGGCTGGTGTTGTTGGAAGTTGTTCCCAGGCCCATAGTGAACCATCCGGGCCTGTGCCTGTGGAGGAGTATACTGAATCGGCTGTGGTGCTAGAGGGTCTTTCACAGTGTACAACATTGCGTCAAATTGATGCGGGCCGATTGTAACATCACACAGTCCAACTTTAGTCATGGAGTCTTTTGGTGGGTTGAGTTTCTCGATTTGGTCGCGTTTCGTCTTCTTCGGTTTCGTGTAGTAACGGACCAGAATGCCATCACTAACCCATTTCTTCTTGGATCGTTCAAGGGCTGTAAAAAGTACCGCGCTGTAAATGATCCCGCTTGTCAGCATTCAATTCCTTCATACAGTAGTTAGCGGGCGCAAATTATCAAACCTTTCTGCAATAGACTGGTACTCTTGGTTGGACAGGTTGGTTGGCTGTCGCGCACGTCTGAACGGCAGTGCTTCCCCTTCTCTGACTCTCGAAGGCAGTGGCAGTTCGACCGGTTCAGGAGGTGCAGATGGGACTCGAGGAGTAGGGGCTTTCTTCGTCTGGGATTGGGTCGCGACCGCGTCGGAGGCTCGTTTCTTATTAGCAGACTCACGGCCGGCGCGAGGGGGGATTTTGCGTTTAGTGGCCATAATTCAAGTGCACCATTTGGTGGTGGAAGCTTTTGTCATGTCCTTCCACTTTGAAGCCCAAGGGGTTGATAGGACTTGACGGGCAGGGGAGAGTTAAAAGGGAAAAGTGTGACGCGAAGTTGTAAGATGTTGGGGCTTATCGATAAGGTGTCCAGATCTTATCGCCACAAATTGTATATTCTCTAGTAGTCAACTGGCATACAATACTACGATAACTATTCTCTTAAAGGAGGAAGAAAGATAGTCTCGTATTATAAAATCCACTCGCTTGATATTATTAAACATTCAAACCCCAAAAAGACAAAACATGACAATCTGAGGGAATAGGCCCGGAGTCGTATATTTTGAAGAACATGCATGTGTACTACTAGCACCTGGGCACAGCACGCGTGCATGATCTCCATCTCTTCTGTCAGCCATTTACTGAAGGCCAACATTTCAAGACACATAATTTCTTGGATATATCGCTTTAAAATATATCTGTCAGTTCATGGGGATCGAAATCCATCAAAAAGGAGAATAGGACCCCTCTAGTTGCTGGTTCATTTTTCCTCGCTATCGATGCGGAGAAGGGCATTCTTTTGGCGCCAAAGCACTAGTGTACAGACAGTAGAGAAGCAAAAAAGAACGCTGTTGAATTGTTAGTCTAATATCCATTGCTTGGATGAGCTTGGATAGAGCACTCACCAAAGTGCAATGCATAATCCCCAGATAGCCTTCGTTTCCACACAAATAGTTTTGGATGCCCCAATCCAGGATGAGTAGTCAATCTTTCCAGTCAAACTCTCAGTATAGCTCTCTAATTTTGAGACAAATGCATACCCTGTTGCATCTGTGTCATTCAGATTAGAGAGCGATGAGCAATTGAGATATGACAATGGCTTCCCCATGACCACGCTCACGACGATCAAGCCTATCAGTATGAGGAAGTCCGCAGCAGCAGAAGGAAGGAATGGTAGAATGTCATCCATATACAGGATTTGACTGATGATACAGAATATGACCGCAACACAAGCCTAAATGTAGAGTTAGACTGGCCATTCGATCTCAAGACACGCAAAGTTGAGGCATACCACAACGAGTGCTCCAATCAGGATGCTTGGAGGTGTGTCACTCTCTCCCAAGATCAATGATATGAACTTGGCATCAATTCCAATGATTGCAATGAGCGAACATGCCTGAAAGAGGCGAGCAAGCTGGAATGTTGCCCCGATGGCTCCATAGCGGGGGATCATCTTGCGTAGAAAAGAGAAGTGAGTGAAGGTCGTCTAGCGTATTGTCGAGAGGGCGTATTCTATTGGAAGGAGAACAGCCAAGTTGATTTCAAAATGATTGTCGTATGTATGCCGAAACCTGTGCAAAGGATGGCAGATGTTGTCTTATTATTTAAAGGAGAGATGGGATTTATGTCGGGTTTCACAGTGAAGGGCGTTTCAACAACTATAAGCAGTGATGAAGAGAGTGCGAAGAAATCAAATTTCAGCTTGAAGTGCAATTTGAGATTGTAGAAGTAGAAAAAAGAGAACGCTGAATGAAAGTGGAGCTGGATATTGAAAGAAACGACGGCCGTGGGATCTTTCTCTTTATATCCTGTGTATCCTCAACATTGAAAGGAAGATCTATTCCTTGCAATTGATATACATCTAGACCACCTTAAATTAGCATCAGCTAAATTCTAGACTGTTATTTTAGACGCTTAATGTCGATCGCATCGCTTTTTGAAGATTTGTTGTTAGAGAATGTCTTAAAGGGATTCAAAGCACCAAACCCATCACCAATGAGAGACGTGGAATACCAAAGTGAAGCTCTTTCCAAATTTATGAGAGCTATATCTGCAAAGAAGCTCTCCAAGCTCTCTGATTCACCGAGAATGGATGGGGTCTAGATCTAGATCTGTCGATCCGCCCATGTCAAAGCCCCGTGTAAGTCTCCACCTCGGCGCCTGGAGAGACAGCCGATTTGCCCCGAGTGCTTCTGAGCCACTCGCTGGACAGGCTACTCCCGGATCTGACGCAGGCGGCTCGGAGATTTTGGTTGATGTATGAGATTGTGTTTCATCCCTGTTATTTGGCTATTTTTGCCTTCTGCAGGCGCCATGTTCTCTTTGTTGTTTTGACCCAGGAGTTTCAACAATGCATGTACCCATGAAATCTTCAACATCGCCTGTGAGTCTCTGTCAACACAGATAAAAATATCGGCACGGGAAGACGGAAATTTGCGAGGTCTCCAGCGCCTAAGACTTATTCCACCATACCCACAGAAAGATGCAGGTGGAAGGTGACTTGTGCTTCTTAGCACCAATACCAAGGAAAATCACAACCTGGACCTCGGGAGTATACAACGTGCCTGAGGGACTCGAGAAAAGTATATCAACAGTTTAGTTGTGTGCACGAAGGACTTACAGTGTTCAGCCGCGATCGAGGAGCCCAACATTATTATTCGCTGGTACTTATCTTATGCCATTCTCGAATACGATGTGCTTCATTCAGTTCTCAGCCTCCTCAGCCTACATCCGAGTCATAGGTCACAAGGGTCTCTCAGGTATCACAAGAGCCCTTAATTATTACAACATGCATAATCAGTCAAACTTATTTTAACAATGTTAGGAGGTGTGCCTTTGGAACAGCTACAGGAAAGAACATGTATGGGGGGAAGCGCGCGGAGGGGAAGTCTGCCCCGACACGTCGAGAGCTATCTACCTAGCCACCTTGGTCTGAACTATACAGACCACGTGATCTAACAAACAAAACAAATCTACCCACCAAAATTCAAGGCTGTTTAAGGCTCGTATATGAGGCGACAAATGATCATGCCTCTTGTATTCTCAAATAGACCAGATGCCGCCCGGGTGAAAAGGGCGGTGGGGGCTTGGTGCTCTAGGTGCATAATTTACGCTCTTCACGGCAAATTGATTCGTTCTAGGAGTCGGCCCGCCGCCTTCGCCCCCCTCTAGCTGCAGCGAGCTATGATGTGTCAACACATTCCAACAAATCATAATATCAAAATGGCCCAGAAGAGGGGTAGGCTCATCAGCCTCCTTCGCGCTCGTGTCCACAGCCTTAGCAGAATGCTCTTATAATCTGAATGAGACTCCCATTCGGTATTGTCGAGTCATTCTTCTCAACAGAATCTTAAGTTTTTTTTAATCTTAAGTCTCGGTTTATACTATGTCTCAAGGGTCTAACAGAGTTTATGATCCCATTCGTGTTGAGCAGTGGAGCCCAGGTATCATCCACTCCATAATTATTGGACATTTCAAACCTTGCAATACTAATGACATGCATACATTTAGACCGCCAACTTGACTCCCAGTGGAAAAAGTCTCAGGTTCAAGTCAATGATCTCAAGCTGAACAGTGCGTCAGGTTGGCCGCAATTTATTTCCCCTGAAACCAGGGTATTTACTATGTATGAATACCTTTCAGATTGATCTTCCATACCCACAGCTGGTAAATGGCTAATGTCGTCAGACGTGCGAGTCTAGTTGGGGCCCGTGACTCTAAGTCCCCAGAATATCGCGAAGCGCTGAAGAGATGTCTCTGTATGCCCGATATGTGGTTTTCGGCCAATCTCATAAACGCAAATGGATACTTTGGCTGTGAAGCCACTCGCGATGCGGAAACCAAGAGCATTACCGGATTCAGTGAGTCTACGTTTTTGAACTTCCATAAACTTCAATGTTCGAATCAATTTTAATTCAGCTAGATACTTGGTCTATGTTTGAAACGAAATTCCTTAGATCTGATATGACTTATTACTGGTCTAAAATCAAAGTATTTACAAGATGGTTACCTGCGACGAAACAAACCGCTGTTGTGTTATTTGGTCCAACCTCCGATCTGTCAACAAACTTGATCAAACCTCACTCCAACGAACTTGGAGATCCATTTTGGGTATATTCAGAAATCCTGGAAGAGGTCACCCGCCTTCAAGAGGACTCTGTATGGTCAATTCGTGACCATGTTCGACGGATCGAGAAAGAAAAAACGGAGAACGGGAAAAAGCCTCAACCAGACTACCGAAACCTGCATGACATAGCTCGTCATGCAATTCACGTCACAGAGTCTCTCGATGTCGCCGTACAGAATGTGGCTCACATCATAAGACAGCACGAACTATACGCAAGGTTGTGGACACCAACAGAGAACATGCCAGACATCCGTCATTCTGCATCTTTTCAGGATATCTCCAGTCGTTTATCATTCTTTCAAAGTCACATTGAAAGTATCCGACATCGGTCAATATCCAACCAGAAGAGACTCCAAAATGAAATCCAACTTTCATTTAACATGGTCTCTCAGCACGACACAAGTCTCACCGTCGATATTAGCGCCGCAGCTCGGTCGGACAGCGCTACTATGAAGACACTGGCATTCGTTACTTTGACTTTTCTTCCTCCCACATTCATTTCGGCAATCTTCTCTATGTCATTTTTCAATTTCGACCAGGACGGTGGCTGGAATATGTCCAACAAAATATGGATTTACTGGGTGTTTGCTATACCAATAACTCTTGGAACTGGCCTACTGTGGCAATATTGGCATAAAATCTTCCCAGAGGAGGCGACTACTACGCACTTGAGTGGTACGCATGTAGTGCAGGCGAGTAGGCGACAGAAGTCTGACCTAACGAGTTACGAGCTTGGACCTATGCCAATCTGAGGTCGTGGAATTACGATCTTTTTAGTGTCTGATTATTTTTGATTAGTGTTAGATACATGTGAAAGACAAGCGTGCCAGTCATCTCAGTAGCAGAATTTGAATTTAAACCGTGACTTGAATCTATGAACATTGAATGTAATGAATGGTAGTAATAAGATATAAGAGAAGAAAGATTAGAAAGAGTGCAACTTGAAATTATACATTACGTCGATCCGCCGGATTTTTGGAGTTCATCGAAAAGCAGGATGGTCATCAACAAGGTGTACACTGCCTCGCAACATCAACAACATCAATAAAGGAGCGACGGCCTTCCTTGCCGGATTGAAAGGCACTGAGTCTCTCCGCAGCCTCAAAGCTGTACTGCGGTCCTTGGTATTCACGTCTAGCTCTCAGTAGCCACCATAAAGCCGTCAAGGCTATCAGTCCCACAATTATGACGCTTGTGTAGTTCATGTTCTTCACTGTAGCCGGACGTTCCAGTGGGAAACAGAAGAAGACAATAGTGACCAAGATGTATAGTATTGAGGCAATGTTCACGGCCATGCCGAGTTTTTGTCCCATATAAAATGGGCCGGGGACCATATTTTGACGCCCTGACCAAACATGCGGGAGGATAGCACCGAGGTAGGATAGCGAGCTCAACACGATAAATGAGGATATTAAGGCCTGGAATGCCATCGTGCTGCCCACATAGATGCATCCCAAGCAGGTCACAAAAGCACTCATCGCTACTGTTGCGCGTACGGGGCAGTTGAGGGTTGGATGAACATGGGCAAAATAGCTGGCGAAGGGTGTCGCATTGTCCCGGGCGAGGCTCCACCACATTCGGCCACCTGTGACGAAAGTGCCAATTAAGGTCGGAAAGGTCGCGAGAAAGAGGACAGCGACTAGGCATATAGCACCAGCACTTGACCCTGTTGCTTGTCTGTAAATCTCGGCTGTTGGGAAAAAGCCGATTTCACTGGTATATACCGCGTCAAGGTCTTGGATTGAGTAGAAAAGCGCAACGAGGTAAACGAAGGATGTCGTGAATCCAGTCAACATCTGCAGCATAATTCCTTGAGGAACCTTGGATTCAGGATTGGGAACTGGAGAAGAAAAAGTCAGCTTGGCTATACAGTACTGAAGAACAGGTTTCCTGGATACCTTCTTCTGAGAGATGACTGATACAATCAGGTGTACCGACTGCAAAGGCTGCGTTCAAAAGTCCAGTCATGAAGCAAATACCATCGGACCACCCGCCTGTCTTGTTATGATATTCGGTCCAAACCAGGGCGTTACTCGCATGAGTAGTAGGCATAACGACGAGAACGAGTACAGTGACCAATAGCCCACACATTGATAAACTCAGCGCAATTCTGTTCAGCAGTGGGATAAATCGATTTCCAAAACACACAATAGCGCAACAGGTCCAGTTGACAATTTGAAAGACCACAAAAACCTGCCAAGAATTCCACTTCACGCCTGGATGATCCAGCAAGTACATAGCCACTGCCTCAGTTCCCAGCATGGAACTCATGGATGAGGCAGAGAGTAGCCAGGCACATGCATTTAAATAGCCAGTAAAGAAGCCTGCTCCACGTCCCTTATTGCGGCTAAGTACTGAGGACCAGTAGTATACTCCCCCAGCAGAGGGCATTGAAGATGCAAGCTCTGCTAAAGATGCTGAGATCGCTGTATAGAAAATGCTGACCAGAATAAGACTGTAGATAACAGCCATAGGACCTCCATTTTTAAGAGCGGCGACGATGGTTCCACCTATTGAGGCCCAAGAACTAAATTTAATGATTTTAGTAAAAAAAATCTAACAAGACCTAATCCATTACAGGCACGACTTACTTCGCAATGACAATTCCCAGGCTGGTCAGGCTCCATAGTCCAAAGTTGCGCTTTAACTCCTGCTTGTGTCCTAATGCAGCCTCGAGACGCACAACATCAATCTCGCCCTTGGTTTTTAGTGGGGTCACAATATCGCGGGGTGGATCTTGTTCAGCCATCGTGTTATCCTTTCTTGACGCTGAAGAGAGACAAAAAGTCCCTTAATGGATGATACAAATAAACAAAAGGGAGAGATGAGGGGAATGGCTTGTTGAAGAATGGAATCATCAACTGTGAAAAGCCCCCTGTAAGCGATCTGATGTATCTTCCGAGGAGCGAATCTCCGTTGCAACCTCAGTAATGTGTAAGCAAGGAGTCCACTGGGTCCATATGGCCTCCACGTGTGTTCAAATGTTCCAGGGGTTTGTGATATTATATCCGAAAGCCCTTTCTTGAGGTCAGGCCTCTCGTCTTGTTCAGGTTGTGGTTAGTGTGGATGTTTTGTTTTGTTTTGTTTTTTTTTTGAGCAGAACCACTTGAGATGTTTATTATCAAACTGGCGCATGTACCACCTAGTACTCCGTAGGCAGTATGGGGTACTCTGAATGTACCAACGCAATCTGAATGTATTTCACGATCCGACCGAGTCATTTTTTCACTAGACTCGTATTCACTTAGGCGCCAACCTCAAGTTTTCCAATACGATATCATCGATCGAAGTTACCAGTATGATGGGACTTCAAATCAGATTCCGATCATTGTCCCTTTGTGAATTTTTGTCACATGTGCATGTAAATCATAGAATGTGGAATAAATTGTGATTCTTATAAAGACGCAAGGGGTCTGCCAGAAATCTGGGAAATACAAACTGTAGGATCACTTGGTTGCCGATCAGCAGAGTACGGAGTACATATTGAAAACTTTCAACCCTGTCAACCCCGAATTGCATGTCAGATCTTTGATGTCTCAAGGGATCGACAATGAATCCATGGAATAGAGGAAACTTCAAGGTGATCAGTGTTTTACATACTCCACTAATATGATAAAAGTACCACAAGTCCATCATGATGTTCTAAGCATTGGTTCGATGTAACTTCTTTTCAACTTTTCATTGAGAACTCTCTGTTAGTCATAGTATCGGCATATTTCAATAGCTGTCTCCAAGGTTCAAGTTCAATTTTGTGATTGATCACTTTTTATTGAAACTTCAATAGCACAAGGCATCCATGCTTCCCGCGCCCCAGTGACAGTAAATACCGAGTACTCTTTACGAAGTGCATAATCGTCTGAGCCGGCTCGAGTCTCTTGGCGGATTAAATTTTACACCAACTTGAGCTTGAGGGATCAACAGATGGTATGGAGTACCTATCCAGAGAATCCGTGAACCCTGTCCTATAGTATCAGGTACTAATCAGTACTCATGTATGGCGAACTATGGATACGAGACTGTCGGCAGGGCGTTTAACTCGTATTTTTGTTGGCTCAAAGTAATCCCTGGTCCAAAGTGAGGTGAATCAAGGAGTTGAGGGCAAACTCAGAGCTGGAACTTCCAACTTAAGCTTGAAGCCTAAGCATATCAATTATCATCCAGGCAGGTAGTACCGTAGAAAAGAGCGCTGGAGAGTGTAAGAACAGAGTGTAAGAACGCGTTGACCAGTTGGGTGTCTAAACTGCCACACCCGACCGCCTTCCATAATAACATGTCAGCGCGGAAGCCTGGAGGATCCACTGCCTTATGTCGTCATTCTAGCATCCCAGTCAAATATCATATTCCATGCCCTTGAATTTCCTCATGCCAATCAATATTATTGGCCATGGGTGTCACCGGCCTCTGGACAGTAGTCCAGCCCTGTGCTCGCCCCATCAAGCTCGAAACCCTTAATAAAAAACGTCTGGCGGTCGACGCGTCTATCTGGATCTACCAGTTTCTCAAAGCAGTACGTGACAAGGAAGGCAATGCGTTACGAAATTCCCACGTCGTTGGGTTCTTCCGCCGAATCTGCAAGCTCCTATATGTTGGTATCCTCCCGGTCTTCGTCTTCGATGGCGGTGCGCCAGTTCTTAAGCGAGAAACAATCAACAGACGAAAGCGAAGACGAGAGGGCCGACGAGAGGATGCAACTCGAACTGCCGGGAAGCTGCTTGCGGTACAGATGCAAAGGATCGCTGAGGAGGAAGCCGAGACGCGAAGGCAGAATAAGAAACGAGCCCGAGAAGACGAGGAAGAGGTCACTGGGGCTCCGGTATATGTGGAAGAGGCTCTGATGACCGACAGGGAGAAGCAGCAAAACCGTAAATTCAAGAAGACAGATGCATATCACCTTCCAACCCTGGAATCATCCCTGGAAGAAATGGGGGCTCCGAATGATCCACGGATTATGTCGCAGCTTGAGTTGGAGGAGTACGCCAGACAATTCCACCAGGGTCACGATATCAACCTTTACGATTTTTCCAACATCGACTTCGATAGTCCCTTCTTTCTGAGCTTGCCAGCTACTGATCGGTACAATATCCTGAATGCGGCCAGACTGAGGAGTAGACTCCGAATGGGATACTCCAAAGAACAACTAGATGTCATGTTTCCAAACCGTATGGATTTTTCGAGGTTTCAGATTGAGCGAGTTAAGGAACGCAATGACCTGACACAACGACTCATGAATATCAACGGCATGAATGGAGAGGAGGCATTTTACATGTCTGGACAACGCGTGGCCGGCGAACGTGGTAGAGAATACATTCTTGTTAAGGACAGCCAAAATGCGGGCGGTTGGGTTCTTGGTGTGGTGGGGAATAAACGTGAAGGTGAAGAGGATAAGCCAATTGACGTGGATAAAATTGGTATTACAGAAGTACTTTCAGAACACGATTCGGATGAAGATTCGGATCAGTTCGAAGATGTCCCTATCGAAGGACTCAATCGCTTGCCTAAGCTTCCGTTCCTTCAAGCTGGAGTCTTTGACTCATCGCTCTCACAGCCGGCCGTGTCTTATGGGATGAACGTCACCTCACAAAAGTCACCGGAAGGAGATATTGAAGATGATGCGCTCTTTGTTCCTGCCAACGAAGACCTACAACTACGGAATACAAATATCCAGGAGGACTTGGAAACAGAAGATGATGATGATCTCCGGAGAGCGATAGCATTATCGATGCAGATTGATGAAAGCGAAGATTACGATATACCCGATATTCCGATCAACCGACCAATGGATCCCCAAATATCATCTGAGATTATGCCAGATTTTCCAGATTTTCCAGATTTCCCACTGGATGAAAGCGATGACGATGCGATGGACTTTACCGCTGCAGTGGCACAGACCAAGGTTGTTCAAAAGCCTCAGCCCGCATCCCACTCATTCGATGGTCCGCTACCCTTTGCATCAATAAAACTCACAAAGGCTCCAAATCCCAATGAAAAGGCCGGCGATGAGGGAAATGCAGGTGGATTCGTGAAAGACGCTCCGTCAAAGTCAAAGAAGGCAGAGCCTCTTCCTCCTTGGTTTTTCGAAGGGAAAATAAAGCAACGCTTTATGGAGGAACCGAATTTTGAGGAGTTTAGTAGAGATAAAGAGGAGGAAACAGAGCCTGACCATCTGTTTCTGTCCAACCGTCGTCCTCCAGAGATCATTGATGTTGATGACATACCCGATGAGAAACAACCTATCGACTTGGATGAACATGGCAAGAAGGCGGCTGATATACCCGAAGTTTTGACTGTCGATGAGCTGCAACCCGTATCTCATATCATCGACATCTCGACCTCTGTCGATGCCCGGCCCCAGCAATTTGAAAGTCCGACCTTAGATCAAAATACAGAAATCGACACTGGAGACCACTCCTCCATCGTATCCTCCCCCGAGCCGGAGTTTGAAGATGTTCTACCTGAAACTATCGTACAAGTACCCGAAATCATTGAACCAACTAGTACCATGATGACTACTCAGTACACCGAATCTCAGGAGCAGAGTCTGGCCCATGAACCAAATTTGGAAGACACTTTCGACATGAGTGACCCTGAAGAGGAAGAGCTTATGCAACAACTTGCTGAGGAAACCGAAGAGCATGCCCGATTTGCACAGGCCTTGAATTCAGCGGTAGCGGCCCAGACCACACAAGATTACGACCAAGAGCTCAGGCAGCTGCGTAGTCAACAACAGAAAGATCGGCGTGATGCTGATGAAGTGACTCAAATCATGATCAATGAGTGTCAACAGCTACTCAAACTATTCGGGCTTCCCTATATCACAGCCCCTATGGAGGCTGAAGCACAATGCGCGGAACTGGTATCCCTGGGCCTTGTCGACGGTATTGTCACCGATGATAGTGACACGTTCCTATTTGGCGGTACTCGAGTCTACAAGAACATGTTCAATCAAAGCAAATATGTGGAGTGCTACCTAATGTCAGATTTCGAAAAGGAATATTCTCTGCACCGCCAGAAACTCATCAGTTTTGCTCATCTACTGGGTAGTGATTATACAGAGGGTATTTCCGGCATTGGTCCCGTGACGGCACTGGAAATAGTGACGGAGTTCTCCAGTCTCGCTGAGTTTCGTGACTGGTGGACACAGATTCAAATGGGTGTCAATAATCCAGATGATACCCACCTCGCCTTCCGAAAGAAATTTCGAAAGAAGGCATCGAAAATATTTTTACCCCCAGGATTTCCTGATGAGCGGGTCGAAAACGCTTATCTCGAACCTGAAGTTGATTCTGATCCTTCGCAGTTCCAATGGGGTGTGCCAGACCTCCATGGTCTGAGACATTTCTTGATGGTGACGATCGGGTGGAGCCAGGAGCGTACCGATGAGGTTCTAGTGCCAGTGATTCGAGATATGAATCGGAGACAGGATGAAGGCACTCAGTCCAACATCACCCAATTTATGCAAGGTCCTCAAGGTGCAGGCGCATTTGCACCCCGAGTCCGTAGCACTGGCAAGAGTCGCATGGAAAAGGCGTTTGGTCGACTTCAGCATCAAGCTCAAATCTCCCGTGGTTCACATAATGCAGATAACCAAGCGAGCAATGCGGCGAACTCCGCTCAATGATGGGCTATTCATCCCATAAACTTAGAGTTAATAAATACAGCCTTGTTGCCTCGCGTCACGTCTCCACTGGGTTATGCGTAGTGGGTCTTAACCTGATAATATCGTACAATATTATCAAATTAGTCCTGTCTTTCCAACCTTTTGATCTTACGAAGTAGATAGGCACAGATATTGTACTTTTTAGCATATAACTGAGTCTTCAAATACGTACATCGTTCTCCCAGTTGCTATGCCCATAAGAGTACGGATATCTGAACAGCCCAGTACGAGATTAGTGAAAGTCAATTGCCTTTAGATCCACCGAATGTCAAACACCGGCCCGGTTTCTCCAAGTTTTAGATCCTCATATCGGTGGGCCGAATGCCCGCTGTCCAGTCGTATCATGGAGCCTGGGAGATCAGCACCGCACTAAGATACTTAAAGTATGTCTCAATTTACGTCTGCCTTGATTTGCGCTTAGTTATGGAGATATTCCACACCCAAGAGTTCTATCTCCACAATAATCGCTCCAATTTTCTCCTTTGGGCACTTTGGTGGATCTTGAGTGACCTACCGGCCCGGCTGGGCGGGGGATTAATCCCCAGGAATAGAGTAACCCCGCCTTGATAGAGCTCCGTTGATAGAGGAGTGATACCAAAGATCACCATTGTACATAAGATCTACTAATTACAGTATTGTATCTACTATCCCGAGGTCATGAGCTTAGAACTAAATGTGAAATATTTTCCCTCATCATCTAAATCAATTCTCACTTCGCGAATTCTAATATTTTGGTTTCAAGTTTCTCTCTCATTTTCCTTAGCGAACCATGTCTGACCCACACTCTACCAATCCAAGCGCTACTCCACGTAAGAAACAAGATGAGGACATATCAAGAGCGGATCCAAGAAATGATGGAGATATTGGTGCAGAAGAGAAACAAGTTGCGGGGGAAATGAGCCAGCTCCCTGATCTTCAGCGAAGGCTCAAAAGCCGCCATTTAGCTATGATAGCAATTGGTAAGTTCTATCTTCCATCTCCAGGGCTGCCAGGACACTATGTGATAGAGCTTGGGGACTTGAGTCTAATGAAAAGAACAGGCGGCACTATAGGCACCGGTCTATTCATAGGAAGTGGAACCGCAATTGCTGATGCAGGGCCCGTTGGTGCTCTTATCGCTTACATATTCGTTGGGTCGATCGTATACTCCGTGATGGTGTCGCTTGGAGAGATTGCAACTTTCTTGCCTATTGCAGGAGCATTTACTTCATATGCAACACGCTTCGTCGATCCCAGCCTTGGCTTTGCCATGGGTTGGATCTACTGGTTCTCATGGGCATCAACATTTGCACTCGAATTGACCGCCACCGGATTGATAATTGAATTTTGGGAGGAGTCGATTCCAATTGCGATATTCATTGGGGTCTTCTGGGTGATCATCATTCTGCTGAATATGATGCCTGTTAGTTACTATGGAGAGACAGAGTTTTGGCTGGCGAGTGTTAAGGTGGGTGATATCTCTTCTGATTCCAAGTTGCTTTGACGTGCACAAGGTGTTCGTGTCCGTCTTACAACTGTAATGGTTGAATATTGGGTCTGCGAAGTATGACCCATCAGGGCTTCACTTTGAAAATATCTCTCAATCGAGGTCGAAGCCAAGAAGGATGTTATATAGCAAATATAAGCTAACAAAACAACATCTAGGTCATCACAGTCATTGGATTCATGATCTTCGCGATTTGCATGAACACCGGTGTTGGTCAGGAGGGTTATATTGGATTTCGCTACTGGGTAAACCCAGGGCCATTCAATGCCTACCTACTCACAAATCCCAGCCAAGATAACCTGGCAAAGTTCCTAGGATTCTGGGCCGTTCTCATCAAGGCTGGGTTTGCGTACCAAGGCACGGAGCTTGTGGGAATCGCAGCAGGAGAGACTGAAAACCCGCGGAAAACAATCCCATCCGCCATCCGAAAATCATTCTATCGAATCATCTTCTTCTTCATTTTCACTATCTTTTTCATCGGCATCGCCGTGCCATCAACAGATGACCGTCTTACTGGAAGTGAGGGCAACGATGCAAGCGCAAGCAATGGTAACTCATCGCCCTTCGTTATTGCTGCCCGTCGAGCCGGTGTGACCGTTTTGCCTTCAATAATCAACGCTGTTCTGCTGACGGTGGTCCTATCTGCGGCCAACTCGAACGTTTACAGCGGAAGCAGAATTCTGGTTGGCCTCGCTTCTGAGGGATTTGCTCCTCGGTTCTTCATCAAAACCACGAAATGGGGTGTTCCCTATTTTAGTGTAGCCTTCACAGCCCTGTTCGGTCTATTGGGATTCCTCAATGTCTCGACTGCCGGAAGCACTGTGTTTAACTGGTTAATGCAAATTGCTGGCCTCGCAGGCTTCCTGACTTGGACCTCTTTGATAATTTGCCATCTAGGGTTCATGAACGCCCTTCAGGCTCGTGGCATCTTCCGAGACTCTCTGCCTTATAAAGCACCCTGGCAGCCGTATCTTTCGTGGTATGGAGTTTCCTTCAACGTCCTGATCATCCTCACTCAAGGCTTCACTTCCTTCGTGCCAAGCTTTAGCGTCACGGATTTTTTTATCGACTATTTGAGTCTGATGCTCTTTGCGTTGCTATACTTTGGACACAAGATTATTGTACGACCGAGCTTTGTGCGGCCGATCGAGGCGGATATTGATACTGGAAGACTCGAGTTTGATTAATGAAGTTCATTTATAATGAAACTACTGGGAGAAGTAGGTAGCGATCTAATTAGTCTCTTAGTAATGGCATGATCATCATTCAATTGTCTTTTTGTTTTAATAAAACAGAGGCGAAAATGAGTTGTAAAAAGTAAATGGCTGATTATCGGAAGATCTTGGGAGGAGAGCTTGGTATTCATCGAAATGATACTTCCATTCGACGACGTATTCTACCAAACATGCATCTATCAAGCAAATTAGCATCATTGCCACACTCATATCAGTGGATCATTAATAGGAAAAATGCAGTGAGAGATCTCCTCAGGTATTTTCAGTTTTCAAGGGTCGTCATTCCAGTCCCAGACAAACCGCCTTATCTGCCGCGGTGCTTCATGTCCCTCAGCCAACATCAGACATCGAAATCCACCTACATCAACACCATACACGCCACGTCCATTCAAATTATCATGTAGGAATCGAAAGGTTCCTCGCCTAGACTCGACTGGTTCAAATTCATTCTCCGACCTTCCACTCCTCGTGCAGTTCAGAGTCCGAAAACTCCCATCACCCCACGTATAGACCGCCGCCATTAGTTCCGATCAGTCCTCATGGAGACAAAGCAGACCCGGAACTCCAGAAGACGGCCTTACATAGCCCATCACCGATACTGATCAGAATGGGCCATATACTGATATGCACATGAATACACCCAAGATCCACTACAATTTAACTCCGCTCCCACAATCACGGAGAAAGAGCCAGTTTGTAGTATCTCAATAAAGAGAAAGCTATCAGCGATGGGCCACATACTGATATGCACATGGATACACCCAAGATCCACAACATTCTAAATCCTCTCCCACAATCACAGAGAAAGAGCTAGTTTGTAGTGCCTCAATAAAGAGAAGTCATGATCCTCAGACTCGATCTTCAGCCTTTCGACCATGGACCTGCAGTAATCGAGTAGTTGGGGAACGAATTATGGGGTTTGAACACATCCTCGCAGATTGTGTACGCGCGATAAACGCAGTCGAACCAATTCTACCGGACAGCCAAGCTTGGTAAATAATTTGAATGGACCTGGGTCTATGAGTCGATGCATCGGAGAGAATTCGACGGTCCAACATTGGCTAAGCGATCGGAGTACCTTCGGTGTGAATCGGGTCTTGGATTGTCGGGTCTTTGAACGGTCTGACCTTTTACCAGGTTGACATCATGGGAGACGCGACGCGCGACGCGGGTGCCGGTTGATGGGAAGGGAACGAGGGTAGGAATTGGAGTTGGCTAATTCGACGTACCTAATTGGTCAAATATCTGGCAAATTGATAAATCAAAGAAAGGAAAGCGAGAGAAGGATAAGGTCGTGCGTTGTGTCAAAGATCAGGTTTGATTGTTGATATGGTGCACGTGCCAAGTTATGGGTTCAGGCCAATTCAGGCCACCAACGCATTTTCCCACTTCATTCGCTCTTCCCCCTCACCACGGTCCATGGGCAGTCTGATATCCTAGCTCTTATTTTTATTCCTAGCTTTTTCTTGTATCGCAGTTCGACCATTATTTTTATACCATCTGCCGTGACTATGTGTTTTGACCTGCCAATTCTTCTTCGGGACGTATAGTTGGATATATAAGGGGAGGATAGCATATGGACATCTGAATTGCGCTACAGCCTTGAGGAGATTGGTGTCGACATGGGTGCTTATGTCCCCACCTTTACTTACTTTCCTTGCCGGAGGCCACAATAAGGGTCTTGCACGCGTTGGGCGCCTTGCATGGTCTAATTCGCAACCGAGCTCAAAGATAACGCAACCAACTGAGAGGATCTCTACAGAAACTGGATAAGTGGATCATGGTTGCGCCACCCAAACATTTTGCACCATTGGTTGTGTCAGGAAAAATCTCCTGGAACACGATTGTACAGATCAGGATTGACAAGACTGCCAGGTGTACTTTAATCGATGCCACGAGGTTAAACTCATGCAAAGCGCTTGAAGTGTCCTGGTTTCATGCTTGAAGCATTGCCAGGTCCTCTTGGAAACGGCCAATATTAAATCTCAGAGGGCGGATCAATCGAACCATGATCTGAAACTTGGAAGTCTGAATTAAATTTCTCTTTGCCAAAAGATTGCGGGGAACATCACTATACCGGTCTAGCACTGGATGATACAATCACGCGAGAGATCACCTCAACTCGGTTATAGACTTTTCCCTTCAATCAGCAAGATCTCGCCCCTCCTAACGCTTTGACAGACACCACTCCAGGGGCAATACATGATATGCAATTTGAAGTCACCTGGTATCGGTTAAAATTGATAGGAGAAAGATTTCTACGATTTATATTCGAAGCATTTGCTAAGACGAAGCCAGAGTCCCTGACTTGGCATTGGATGCCTTATCTCCTTATCAAACTGCCAAGGCTATTATAGTATATCTCCAATTTAGTGCGACAAAATACAAGAACGCTAGGGAAACTAATGCTTCGAACTGCCGGAGTAAGTTATCACCCCCCGGTGTGGTGTGACCGTGCACAGATGTACAACTTCTAAGAATGTTCTTCTATCGGCTCAATCTCCTGAATTATCACGATAAGTTCCGAAAAACACGCCTCCATCGGGCTGTGAATAGATTAGTGTGGATTTGGTTACATTATGATCAAAGAATCAAAGATTCGCCATAAGTTGGCTGCATAACGCCAACGAATGGCGAGGGACGGATAACAAGTAGTGTCTGGCGCTAAGCTTGCACTAAATTGCGGGTGTGCGATATCAGCCATTCAGATAGGAGATATCATGATAATGAGGATAATGTACCACCAGCTGACGACAACTACCCTTCATCTGTCGTCTATTCACGACGGAATCCGTGTTAATGCGCCTTACCCATATGAACTATGGCTGTCGCCGCCGCGGCAAGCATTTAATATAATGCTGGTCGTTCCTCCCTTTCTGATCCCTCGGTCTATCTACGATAAATCCCACTGAGGATACTTCAATCCTAGTCAATCTGTTTATCATAAGTCCATACCTAACTGATCTCCGAGTCTGCTTTGGTCATGGCTGATACCGACTTCAATCCTGTGTTGGAGGAGAAGACACCCGACATTGATCATTTGAAGACAACTCAAATGACCGAGAATGAAATCGAGGTCGACTCAACAGAAGAAGAGTTCCCTCTCCCTACTGAAGAAGAAGAAAATACGCTGCGTAAGGTGGCAGGAACATTGCCATTGGTAGCCTATTCACTCTGCTTGGTTGAATTCGCTGAGCGTGCTTCTTATTACGGAGCAGAGACGGTTTATTCTAATTTCATTGAGTTTCCACTTCCAGCAGGTACGCTATATCTCTTTTGCTGTTTGAAAATACCCTATTTTCTCCAGTTCATCCTTACTGATCGATCAATCCTAGGTGGTAATGGCGCAGGTGCCCCTCCCAGAGGGACGGAAGAGACAGCCGGAGCCTTGGGTATGGGTCTCCAAGCAAGTGATGCCCTGGTCCTCCTGTTCACTTTCCTTGCATACATTGTTCCGATCTTTGGAGGTTGGTGGGCCGATGTCCATGTCGGTCGCTACAGGGCCATTGTTGTCGGTGTCCTCATCTGCGGAGTTGCGCATATCATTCAGATCATCGGTGCCATCCCCAAGTTTCTCCAGGAAGGCAAATCCCACTCTGCACCGCCATTCATCCTCGGCCTTCTTATCCTTGCGTTTGGTGCTGGAGTCTTCAAGCCGAATATTGCACCCACCATCCTGGATCAAAATCCACACAAGAAGGCTTACGTGAAAACGTTGAAGTCTGGTGAGAGAGTTATCGTTGATCCGAATCTGACAGCCACGAGAATCATGCTACTGTTCTATGGCTTTGTTAATGCCGGCGCCTTTTACGAGCTGGCAACCACCTACGCTGAAAAATATGTTGGATACTGGCTGGTCTTTCTGCTAGCCGGAGCTATCTATTTCATGCTTCCCGTTTTCCTTTGGGCTGTTTATAATAAAACAAAGAAGCAGCCTCCCAATGGAGGAAAAGAGATCAACCAGGCATTCCAAATTACAGTGGCGGCCGTCCGTCAGAGCAAAGGTCAGGTTTGGCGTAAGGACTTCTGGGAAGCTGTTAAACCAACGAGTCTCAAAGCGAAGGGAGTCGATGTCGAGTGGACTTCTGGATTCGTAGATAAAGTTTCGAAGACTATGGGTATGTTTTGCATCTCTTTTCTCCTAGTTTTTTCAAGTCCAGCGCCATCAGTTATATCTCCCTTAACTAACACGAATAACACTAGCTGCATGCGACGTATTCTGGTTTATCCCAATTTGGGTCCTCAACGACGGCGGTATTGGTTCTGTTTCAACCAACCAAGGTGCATCCATGGTTACAGACGGGGCACCGAACGATCTCCTCAGCAACTTCAATCCCATCACAATTATCGTTGCCGTTCCTATCTTGACGTATGTCATCTACCCGATACTCGAGCGCCGAAAGATCAAATTCGGTCCCATCTCTCGCATGACCTTCGGATTTTTCTTGGCCATTCTATCAGGCATTGCCGGTACTCTGGTGCAATGGAAGGTTTATCAGATGTCGCCATGTGGTTCCTACGCTTCCTCATGTGATGGAGTTGCACCAATTAGTATTTGGTGGCAAGTTGTGAATACGGCTCTTGGAGCCTTGAGTGAGTGCTTTGTCAACGTCACTGCCTACGAGCTCGCCTATGCCAGATCACCAAAGAGTATGAAGGGCCTTGTCATGGCCATCTTCTTGTTCATGAATGCGCTGTCGAGCGCTATCGGAGAGATCCTGGTTCCAGTGACCAAGGACCCTTACCTTATCTGGATTTGGGGTGCTCCTACAGTGGCTTTAGCACTCCAGACAGTTATCTTCTGGTTCCGATTCAAGCACATGAATGATGAGAATTACATTGCAGACAATGTTGATGACTCCTGGGAGGAGGTTGAGCGAAGTGAAACCATCGCCATTGCCAACGGGAAGGAGTCTAAGGTTTGATGAATGAAGTGCTCTAGTGATGAGATTAATACGAGTCTGGTTCACTTAAAGTGGCCTGTTCTTATGATACGACTTAGACCGAGTCCGCTATGACATGGAAATGTAATTTATTCAATGCATGAAATTCCAAATGATCTGTCCTCCATAATTCAAGGTTTCCCATGAATTGTAGACTTAAGCAATCTCCTCGCAGGTTGGCTTGTCATCGGATTGCTCAAGAGCCTCCAGCTTATAACTATTCACTGCTTGTGTAGGAATATCCTGGTTTGGATCTTCTTGATCCCAGCTTTTATTGAGGCTCTCCAGCGGCATGATGGCTAGGACCATGACAAGGAAAAATATGACCTATGAGTATGGGAATTAGTACATATACATCGCAGCAGCTGGAGAGTCTTCACTTACTACACCCACAACGCCCATCTGAGTTCGTGCGTAATCTGGCATTCCACTGCTCGTACGAAACCTTTCACCAAGTGCAGTCTCGATTGATGGGGCGCATGATGAAACCTTTAGATTGGAAGCGATTATCTGTCAGCCTGGTTGCCCAAAAATGCGATCCAATGATACCTACAGCATTTCCAATATTGTATGCAACTCCAGTAAAGGCGGCACGAATTCCAGGGTGAGGACAAAGCTGCTGGAGCAAGTTGCCCAGGTTTCCAATTGCCGCTCCATAGAAGAATTGAAGCCAAAAAGCACCGATTGCTAGAAGGCCCCATGAGTTAGGCAAAGTCCACAGTGGGAGAAAATGGAGCACACAAAAGGCCGGCTCCAGCAGCCACCCATTTGGGATTGATACGGTGGGAAAAGAAACCTCCGAAAATTCCTCCCAGAATTCCACCGATCTGCAAGATGCATGTCACCCAAGTCTCTTGACGAATGTTGAGTCCACGTTGTGTGACAAGGAATGTGGGGTATAGATCCATAGTCCCGTGGCCCATTGTGGCAAGGCAAGATGATAACAAGCAAGCATACACGAAAGGCTTCCAGTGGTATCGAAGAACATATCTCAGTTTCTTAACGAAAGACAAGTTACCGCCAACGGCTCCGCGCTCGTCAGCAGCATCATTTCCAGTGCTGCTCTGTGCCATAACGACGGAGTGGGTTGGTGTTATCAAATGCAGGACAATGACAGGCGCTGTCAAGCCACCACAAAGCCAAAATAGAGGGCGCCATCCGTATGGATCTGTATGGAAATTCATCTGTCAGCTCTTGTTCGTAAAGACCTTGAAATTGAAATTTCAGACTCACTCATTGCCAAATGAAATCCTGAGGCAAGCAGATATCCGGCAGAGAATCCTTGTTGGGTGAATCCAGCAACGACACCTCGTGCCTTCTCAGGGACCGACTCCAAGACAGTGGACATCACCAGGCCGTAAGTACCACCGTATGCGATTCCTGGAAATTGGAGATATTAGCAGAACGCGCCTTCATTTGAATTTGTATAGCTAGCAGGGACATCTGGATATTACCAAATAGCAAACGGCAGGCGATCAACTGCGGGAATGTTTTGATAAACCCGGTCGCAATGGTAAACCCACACATCAAGACCAGATTAATAACAAGAGGTATCTTGCGTCCATATTGATCTGATAATATACCAAATATAACAGCACCTAGCGCTCTTGAAATCATCGTCACCGTATTCGCAGTGGATATATCCGTTTGAGGAGTATCCAGGTATGTTGCCACTGTACTTAGGACGAAAGGCAAAGTATAATATTGTAATGATCCCAATGTCCAACAGGCCCATCCTGTCAGCCAAGCCAGAGCCTGGACGGGCTTCATTCGCAAAGTCGAAGCGAACTCTGAGGGTATGCTAAGTAATTTTGAAAAGTCCATGGTGTTGATTGTCGAGGGATTGGTACTCGGCCAAAATTGAGATTATCAGCCCTGGAGTGAAAGTCACTGGTAGAAGTTTGATGGAAATCAACGAACGGTGTTTTCAATGAATACTATTATATTTCTAGCTTCTATGCCCCTCCATCGTATCTAGTAGGCGGAGATAATAAGGGCGCGTCTTGGCACGTGGAAATGATACAGTCTGGGGAAAGGCGGGGATGCGGAGCTGGTAATCCGGGGTAAGGTAGATGGAACGAGAGGCTCCGAAAAGGACGCGAGAGCTAATATCACAAGGTGATAGTTAGCGTTAACTCAATAAAAGAGCATAGCTCGGCAGAGATTATACGCAATCTTTCTCTGCTGGCATATTAGTGACTCAATATTCGAGATCATTTGAATCAGGACATCTAGGCAGGCAGCAATTCGAAGTTTTCAAGCTTTGAGCCTTTCATTTTGGTTTCTTGCATCTGATATTTTATTTTCGAAGCACTCATGGTTGAGTCTTCGGATTGCCAAGAGTTGAAAGGGACTTGGGACGAAATGCACGTATGTGGAGAAAAGATCCAATCTTAGTCCCAAATTGAAACAACAAAGATCACATGTGCATGAATGATGGACTCAACAGTATTCACTGATATCATTTTTCTCACCGCGCCGTATTACTGTGGGGACCTCGTAGAGACAATATGGGGGTATCATCCCCTCACACGGGCGACAATGTTCCGTCTGGCCCTTGCAAGGCAACATCAGGACGAACTCAAGCCGGGGCCATATTCCTAGATAATAACCAAAATCATGATTTGTATGACTCCGTCCCAGTAAGTATTGATATAAAAGGTTGGTTTAGTTCACCAGTAGAGCTTGCATAAATCGACTTTGTGATCAACATCATACTACCTTAAAGGTATTACCATAAATCACCAGCATAAAATGGCTGAGCTTGTGCCAGAAGGCGGTTGGGACACCCACATCCATGTCTTTGATCCCAAAAAGTTCCCCTATGCCGTACCACGGTCTTACACACCCCAGTCCGCTCAGATTGTGGAATACCCCACTTCAACAACGGGATGTAAGAATATCGTGATCGTTCAGGCCTCAATGCAAGGCGTTTCCCCAGCCCCATTGCTTGATGCACTTGCCCAGCAAATTGAAATGGACGGATACAATCTCCGTGGGCTCACCACTATCGACCCTGCTCTAATCACCGATGCCGAATTGGATGCACTCCATGCAGCTGGCGTGCGTGGTGCTCGGCTGCATGAAATGTCCTGGGGTCATGGGAAGCAGAACAATGCCGATGTCATTGCAAAGAAGATCGATGCGCTGGCTCAACGTTTAGCTCGACTCGGATGGGCAATCGGGGTTTTCTGCCCTGTTGGCGCCTGGGCTGCTATGGCTGACATGATTCGTGCTATGGACCCACGGATCAAGATGGTCGCAGATCATTTCGGAGGAACATTCCCTGGAGAGGAAGACTCTCCAGCCTTTGCAACTTTCCTCGAGTTAGTGCGAGAGAAGAAGGTCTGGGTCAAGGTTTCAGGGTTTGAACGTCTATACCATGGACATCTCGCTGAGATGGAGGCTATTGAACCGATAGCAAAGGCAGTCATTGAAGCTGGACCGGATCAAATTGTGTTTGGTACAGACTGGCCGCATACTCAGCTGGGAGTTACGCGAAAAGGTAAAACTGATCACCAGAGATTGAAGGAAGTCGAGGGATTTCGCACTGTCAATGATGATGTGCATATTCGAAAGCTTCGTGAATGGATCCCTAGCGATGTGGTTTGGAATAAACTATGGGTGGAGAATCCGAACCGACTGTTCTTTTAATTTTCTTCACTTTAGATACACTTGAGCCCGAGTTTGGGGCTTGATGATTCCAACTTGAAGGTTGACAAAACCAATCAATTGAAACATGAAGTTTGCAGGCTACGCTCAGTTTTAGAACTGCCCAAGTGATACCTTGTAATATGCAAACCATTTCAAATGTTTCAATGAATTAGTATTTCAAGTTCAGCAGTACGGGTGGCTACCTGAAGTCAAACAAGTATACATAGGGTGACAAAAGTATTGGGACACTTCCCGCAATTTCCAACCACGTGAAAAATCGTAAACCTCTACCCATCCCTACCATGGTTCAACCACGTCAATTTGGATCGGAAATTGATCCGAATCGAACCGAACATGGCGAATTATCTGAGAAGCTACGTGCAGCGATCGTGTACGCAGCGAAGAAGGGCGTTCCTAAGGCTCAGATTGCCCGTGATATTGGATGCAGCCGAAGTACAGTCTATAGAACAATCAATCACTTTCAAACCTATCACACACTTCAATCCCTTCCCCGAGGTGGCCGACCGAAAAAGCTTACTTTATCAGCTATTCGATATATCTATCGGATTATTCGCAAATTCCCTACAATCTCTTGGAAAGAGCTTATTCAAGAAGTTCCAACTAACGTTTCAAAACGTACCATTTAACGGGCTTTAAAGCATTGCCATATCCGAAAATGGGCATCCAAGAAGCGAATTTGGTTAAAGCCAAAAGATGCAAAGCTTCGTCGGAGATGGATTTTATCCTGGGAAAAAGACTTGATCTAGATCATACTATTTTTTCTGATGAATGCTCAGTCCAACAAAAATCGAATTCACATATCCAATATGTCTTTCGTCTTAAAAATGAGTAATATTACCCCTAATTTGTGAATCTCCAAAACCATGGAAAACAAATTTCACAAATGATTTGGGGTTCTGTCTGGATTGGAGGAAGATCAGATCTAGTTATTATAAAAAAACAACTAGGTAAAGGGTTTAACGCTAAAGCCTACATTAAAACTCTTAAAGTTAGTCTTCTCCCAATTCATAATAAGGATTTAATCTTCCAACAAGATAATGCACCAATTCATACAGCAAAGTTGACGAAAGAATGGATTCAGGATCAGAATATCCACATAATGGATTGGCCACCACATTCACCTGATCTCAACCCAATTGAACCAGTCTGGTTTCTATTGAAAAAGAAATTGCAAGAGCTTTATCCCGAACTCTCTAAGGAGGGAAAATCTCAAATGGATTGGGCCCAGTTTCGAACAGCTGAGCTATTCTTAAGGCGTGGCGGGCGATTGACCAGGCTGTTATTGATAGAATTATTGAATCTCTACCACGCAGAATCGCCGCTGTTAAAAAGGCTAAGGCTGGTATACAAAATATTGATTATAATCAATATTCCTAAGATGTATTTTAAAAAATATTACTTAATTAATTATGAGTGGGCTGGGACCCTACTTTTTACAAGACTGAATCTTTAGGCGGGGAAAATTAGAGTGTCCCAGTACTTTTGTCACCCTATGTACATTCGCGCCGTCAACTGATCAATTCGACTTTGGAACCCTTGAGTAACCTTGAAGTTCAATATTTACCTAGGTACCAGTACATAAATAGTAGAGTTTCACACTCGCACCTTGGAATCATGATTTGTACCAGGTTGCCAGTGAGCAATAGATAGTATATTAAATCTAGCATGACACCGGCATTTGAAGAAACTTGAGCTTGAAAGCCTCACTGGGCACATGTGCATAAACCATCTCTCTCAATGCATCAGGAATCTTCAAATATTCATCCCAATATCTCCCATGGATAAATAGGATTAAATCATCCCGTATTCGTGGGTAAATGACCCAATTAGTTAGTTATGAATTTCTGCCTGAGATATAGGGTGTCGATCCCCCTCCCGAGGTCTCTCAACTCTTTATGGGGAAATCAACTACGCCGCAATCATTACTCTCGGTGGCTACCTTGATAGTTCACAGAGAAGGACTATTAATCCCGGCATACCTCTCATTATGACCCCCCTCGCATCGTCCGTCCCCTAACAAGGCTCAACAATCCAGATCTAGTCGTGCATGCCAATTTTGTCGCGCCCGGAAGATCAAATGCGACACCGTTAAGCCAAGCTGCGGCTCATGCCAGACGCATGGACGCCGTTGTATTTATGTTATTGAGCCACCGAAACAAAGGTATTCTAATTTGCTTCAAGTGTATTCAAAATTTACTGACACAACTTTCAGACCTTCACGCGCATTGATTAATGAAGCCAACCGTCAAAAGAATGTGTTGGAGGGCGTTCTTTTGGCGTTGAAGAATGCAGAACCCGGAGACCGTGATGGACTACTCAGTTGTTTATCAATCAAAAACGGGGCCATTGATCTTACGCAAGTTCAAATACCGGATCGTTGGCAAATTTCCAATCCTCCAACTACTGCCAGTGAAGAGCCGCCTGACTCAAGTTCGGATGATGAGGATTACGACCCAACGCCATTCCTATCGCGAGATGAAGGCGGTGCGCTGGGGGCATTTGGTCCGTCTTCTACATTTCATATGGGCAGTCCCATTAGCCAGGCAGAATCGCCGGACATGAAGAATAGATCAGAAGTTGATCGCCATCGATTGATTGCAAATGCCGCCCTGCAGCGGCAGAAAGAATTCGACTTACTTCATCGGCCTTCTATAGCAGGTATTCCATCTGACTTAGCGATTCATCTATTGGATCTTCATTGGAACCGACAACATCATACGTTTCTGCTCACTTACCGTCCAGCATTTATGAGGGATCTGGTGCAGGGGGGGCCCCTACTGCTCTGAATTCCTAGTCAATGCAGTATTTGCATGTTCAAGCAAGTTCTCGGAGCGACTTGAAGTTCGAACTGACCCTACACGACCGGAGACTGCTGGAAAACTCTTTTTTGATCGTTGCGACCAATTGCTAGCTGAAAGATCACTTCTCACCCATTCAAGCATTCCTACCGTTGCCGGACTCCTTATGTTGGGAAGTTCATTTAATGCCCGGGGTCAAATATCCAAAGGCTGGCTGTATACTGGGTACGCTCTGCGCATGGTATACGACCTCGGGCTGCATTTGGACTGTAAAGAGGTTGCCGGCAGCGCCGAAGATGTCGAGATCCGTCGGCGACTGTTCTGGGGTGCTTTTATCTGCGACAAATTACAGAGCTTATATTTTGGACGACCTTTTACTATTCAGCTTCGCGATGCTCATGTCTCGCGCGACTTCATGGATACATTCGAAGAGAACGAACTATGGACACCTTATGTCGACCCTCAAATTCCCAACACTGATGTGATGTGCTCTCCATCTCCAACGCGAATCTATTCAGTCTCGGTATTCCAGCATCTATGTTCACTATCTAAGATTATGACCATTATCATTGATCGATTTTACGTTGTCGGCGCTAGCGGCGATATGGCAAGGAAGCACCTTGACATCATTGATCAGCGTTTGATCACATGGTACCGCAAACTTCCATCAAACCTGCGATTCGAGCCCTGGGCAGAGAACGAACAGGCCACTGCAACAGCCGCAGCACCGAACACTATCATTCTCCTGACTACTTTCAACGCCTTGACAATCCTCCTTCATCGACCGTTTATTATTACTGGCCATCTTCAATCCACTGATAGCCCGGCCCATTCATGGGAACGATGCATTACCGCTGCTCGGAATATAACCAGTCTGGCTTTGACATATCGGTCTGCTTATTCCTTGCGTAGGGCTAATTATATGCTCAGCTACGCAGTCTATGTTGCATGCACAATACATGCAAGGAATCCTACAATAAAAGAATCCACTCGTCGAAGAGATCCTTCATCTGCTTTGACTGTATGCTTGCACTGTCTGGACGAGCTTGCCGTCCCTAATTGTGGAGTATCCGCCCCAGCGAAAATTATTCGACGCTTAATGGAGGCCAATAATATCCCTCCTGACTTAGGTGAGAAGCATTTTTCATTGTTTCTCAGATAGACCGATAAACTAACCAGGATCCTTCCTAGATCATGAAATCAACGTCCCCCAGAACATGGATGTCAATCTGGATTTCCAATCTTTCGCCACGCTGGACTTCACTCCCGGTCCCACTGATGACAATGCGCAATTCTCTATTTTCCCAGAATTTACCCAAGACTTGGATCTATTGTTTGGGTTTATGAATGAACCTATGGCATCACCTTCGACGGTTCTGGCTGATCTAAACCCTCCCGGTGACCAAGCAATATAACAGCTTCATACGAAATTTGACTATAACGAAACATAATGCTCAGATCTCTCAATGAGAAACGTGTTAACAACTCCGTCTCCGCAATTCTTACCATCCCCACTTAAATGATGTATACTCGTGTTTGGTAATTCTCAAAGTATGAATGGATATCGATGGTCTCCCCCGCTCCACTCTACCCCACAACGGAGGATGTCAGTCCGTCATTCGGGTATGTTTCGGAATGTGATGCGCCGTTAGCGGCAAAGAACGAAGTACAACGGATCGATCTGCAAACCTTGGAAGGTTCCAAGCTTTGCGGGGATACTTAAGTCAAGAGCTTCATATTCCCCTTGCATCAAATATCTCAAGTCCGGTTCTTTGCACTACAATACTTCACCTCTACATTGTCAATTGCACCTGGGCACCAATTACGTCAATAGTCAATGCAATATGAGGGCTGTCTCTGTGAGAAATGGCAAGGGAGATGCCGATGCACTTTTCGTTGACCCAAACGGTTAGCTTATCCAAACTTATGCATATACGATCTCTTTATCTCGATTGCTCTTTGTCACAGTAGAATTGCAGCCGCTAATGGATGTCCAGTTCCGGATCCCATACTCGGACCCGGAAAGATTCTTGTTGAGATCCATTCTTTTGGACTGAACAGAATGGATATTATGCAAAGAGAAGATCGGTATCCGTACCCTTTACTTCCCGAATCGGGCACTATTATGGGCGTGGAGTTTAGTGGCATTGTAGAAGGAAAAGGCGACGACCGTAAGTCCTAGCACCTCATTTTGTCACCGAATTCCCATCAGATAACCTTATACTCTTATTAGGTTCGGACAGATTTTCACTCGGAGACCGAGTTTTCGGACTCGCATACGGTGGAGCTGTAAGAACTATGCGCTTTCCCCATTTGCAGAGCAACGAACAGTAATCTAATTCAAATTATGCTTCAACCAGTACGCGGAAAGGATCGTGGTATCTGAGAAGATGCTGATGCACTTGCCTTCAAATCTCTCCTTTCTGGAAGCTGCTGGCATTCCTGAGGTGACCATCCAATTCTCCTGCACTTGATCATATCCACGGAGTAACACTGACTTGTCTCAGACATTCTTCACTGCAATCCAAGCAATATTCCTCGTTGGAGATCTGAAACCTGGCCAGACAGTTCTTATCCACGCAGGGGCATCTGGAGTTGGACAGTCTGCCATTCAACTAGCCAAGGTGGGAGGTGCCTCTAAAATCTTTACCACAGCAGGAAGTGAAGAAAAGTGCGATCTTTGCAAGTCATTGGGCGCTGATGTAGCAGTCAACTACCGATCTGGAGATGACTTCGCTGAGACTGTTGAGCGCGAGACTAATGGTCGAGGAGTAGATTTGATTGTGGATCTTGTGGGTCGGAATTACTTCCATCAAAACATGAAGTCTGCCGCCATGGACTCTAGAATGGTGATTGTTGCCGCTATGAGTGGGAGCAAAGTGGATGATTTTGATATCCGTTCTTTGATGAACAAACGGATCTGGCTTATGGCTACGACTCTTCGCACTCGTGATGCTACGTACCAGGGCCAGGTACGCGATACTTTCCTGGAAAAGGTTATGCCACACTTAGTCAGTGGTGAAATCAAGGTCACAGTCGATAAGGTCTATTCGTGGAATGAAGTATCAGAAGCTCATAAACGGTTGGAATCGAACGTGAATGCTGGGAAGATCATTTGCACGATTGATTGAGAGGTCTGTGTCTGAGTCGCCGAATGATACTGAGCTCAGGCTGTGAAATACTAGGCTAGAATTACAATGTCGAAGCGCATCATCAAGAGTCATTATTCTATACAATGGTCTATTTTCCTTCATTTGCCAAGTTTGAGTATATACAATGAAATTAGTCTGGAATGGACTCGACTTGTATCTGAGTCTAGGCCATGGACCAGAAATCAAACAAGATGAACAGTGTAAGATAGTACAGAGAATCGCTTAAAGGGTATAATAAGTGGCCATTTCCTCTTGAAACCAATTATAAGAGTAATAGAGTTGCTCCGCCATTTGAGGATCGATCATTGGCATGGTTCCGCTACCATCGACCAGGAGAACATCGTCGAGAATAGGGGCCAGCGGGACCGAAGGTGCTGGTGGTGGAGCAAGTGAAATTGAGGAATGCGGAGGTATCAGAGGCTGAGTCTGCTGTTGCTGGTGCTGCTGGTGCTGACGTTGTTGTTGCTCCATTTGCTGCTGTTGATAGACCATTTGGCTGAAAACAGTGGTACTTTGATGGCGAAACGTATCTGCAAGACGGTCCACCCCAGGCCGTCGCTTGCCAAACTCTTCTAACAGAACCACGACGGCCTGGATCCCCCGGCGCATCATCTGCGCATCAGGAGTCCATGGCGCAGGCCGGGACTCACGTAACGAGCGGGCGTTTTGCTCTAGACACCACAGGATAGTGATGCCTGCGAAGTAGACTTGGCTCAGAGTTAACCAGATCCATTTCAACTTCCCCACCGAATAACTGTCCCAATATGACCGGATCACTTGTATGCTAGAATCACCACAACTGACGATGCTGGTGATGTCTGGAGTTGGATTTCGTGGGCTAGGACGATACATGAGAAGAATCGTCGTATAGTATAAATAATCGTAGTATGACGTGGAATACAGGAGCGCTGATGGATAGACTGGAGCTCTCATTCGCCAGTCATCTACCTCACGGCGAAATTGATCAAGAGTTGCAGCAACTTCATGCGAAGGTGGGCGCGGGAGACCATTATACACTATTTCGTTGGTTTTAGTAAACAAAATATTCACCATACGCTAGGGGGGTTCATGAGAGAAAGGCTTACAGTATCGGTAGATGCGCGAAAATATCCGGCGGAGACGAATGACCTGTAATGGAATGGTCATCGCACTACTACCTGGTGCTTCAGTTCCATCCTCGTTCAGCTCCCGTGGAAGAGTCACAGTAATGTCATCGTCCGGGATCCCCAGAGGTCGACCGAGAGTGCTCGCGATCAAGCGATCAAGATTGTACAGACTCCAAAAGGCCCGCTTGGACATTTCCTCCTCCGCCACGCTCGTATATGATCGAGCCTTGTGAAGACCCAAGCTAATCGCCAGGCGCATTGTAGTACCCAGGACATGCCAAATACTCGGGCCTGCCGTAGCAAACATAGTATAGAGTGCCAGGCCCAACAAGGCCCGAACAGCCGGTAGATCTTCGTTCTGCAAGGCCATTGGGAGAGTCACCTGACTCGCATGATAGAATTCCACAGCCTGTGTCGGATCCGCAGAGCTCATCAAGAGGGAGGTAGCAATGGTGATATGATAGGCGTGATGGACTTCAGGTGACAGCTCGCCGCCTGAATAAATGTGCCGTAGGTGAAGCATGAATTCCAGTCGCGATATAAAGGGGTATTGATAGCCTATACTGTCAAAATATTGCCCGGCAACTTGTTCAGCTTCCTCTCGAGATGCCAGCCTTAACACACGCGGTGCAGTAGAGGGACGCGCCACAGAGGGCCGGCGATGCTCCAACTGATCACGAAATATTTCGCCCACATTTGGTAGCTCAGTTCCCACCCCCGTCGATGACTCTGAGCCCGTCGGCACGGTGGTCCCTGGGGATCTCCCACTGCCGACCGGACTGTGCATCGACGGGGCAGCGGCACGACTCCCAGTCGCGATCATGGCCGGGACCTGATACCAAAAATCAGGATCCCCTTCCCCATCAACGGGGGTACCAGTGGCCAGATCCGCAACCGAGATGCCTGACCTCCTGCGCACGATTTCCTCTAACCATTGTACGCGTTTTTGTAGATTTTCCAACTGATCGCGGGGTACGGAGGTGTTGGCGACTTGGGGACCGGGGGGCGGGATGGTACATCGGACTCCGGCACGAGAACAAGCGGAACAGTTCGGATATCGAAAGTCGCACTTTTTCTTCCGCTTACGACAGAAGTCGCAGGCCGTCGACACCCGTTTACTGCGTGAAGCTGGAGTGGATGCGATAAGGTCGGCCGACGCGGATGCGGGCTCAATGGGGGCCTGCAGAGTGGATTGTGACCAAGCTGCCGGGGCAGATCCTACCGAATCCAACCGGAATTTGCCCAGCTGGTCACGAAAGTCCTTGTTACCGGAGCTGTTCATGGCGGCACGATCCGTCCATCTCAGCCACCCAGGATTCACATGCAGGGTTGTGGGTGAAAGAAGAAGAAGGGAAGAGGTAAAAGGGAAGTGGGGACGGAGTGGAATCAGACTCCGGATTTGTTACATTTTGCGGGTTGTGATCCATTTTGTCTTATTTGTTCTATTTGTTCCTTTCGCTTACGGGTTGCCGATCTCCGTTAGTAGCCCTGAGATGTCCTTGTGCCTGCAGTATTGCAGTTGATTAACATTTGAATGTTATATTAACTTGAACTTGGCAGTAGCACTACTGGTAATGCTTAGTAGATCCATACTCCGAACCAGTGGATCTATATGGAATCTGGTATATACAAATTAGTTGAGATGAAAGTGATCATTGCTACCAGTTGACTAGGATATTATTTATTGGTCCAAGTATGTTTATAGCACTAGTAGATACTATGCCCAGGTGTCTAATGATACTAAAGATAGGGGTGCAACTGTGGGGAAGAGACGCCACTCAGGGTCCAAGTCACCAAGTGTGCCTGAAAACCTTCAAGCCTTTGAATACTACATCAGCCACTTGAAACAAGAGCTCAAATCCACTTTCACTCATTATCAAGTGGAATTTCAACTCTAAAAGAACTCTATTTGCAATATATTCATTCCATTTGAAGCATTTCGAAACTTCCAAGCCTCTCAAGTGGGTCATGATCGTCTACATTCAATACCCTAACGAGCTTTCCAAGGTTTGATGCCTCGTATCTTTCTCTACTCTTTAGCCCCCAAACCAAGCAGAGACGTATCATTGAGAAATGTGATAGTCACTTTGATCTAATTGGAGAAACTGGAGCTTCATACATTTATTACCCCCAGAAAGATGGGAAGAGACAAGAGATAAATAGTCTCATTCTGTTCTTGGTCATCTATCCACTGCTCATCTCGGCTATTTACTATACCTCGGCTCTCAAACACTGCTATTATGAAGTCCACAGCTGTCTCTCTTTTTTCTCGCCGCATGCGCTTTTCACGCAAATCCATTGGAACCTCGCTCCAGTGGCGTGCAAGGCTTCGACATCTCCAGCTACCAAGATAGCGTGGACTTTTCAGGAGCCTATGGAGCAGGTGCAAGATTCGTTATGATCAAGGTCAGGCTTACTACCTAACTCTATCCCTTCTTCCTCAAGTTGATGCACTTATTGATGAGCCTGGCATAGGCAACGGAAGGCACAACGTATATCGATTCATCTTTCTCGAGCCACTATGACGAGGCGACCAGTGCTGGCTTCATCTGTGGTGGCTACCACTTCGCTCACCCCGACTCTAGCACCGGTGCAACACAAGCAGAGTACTTTTTGGCTCACGGAGGAGGCTGGACAAATGACGGGATCACATTGCCTGGTATGCTGGATATCGAATATAACCCATCCGGTTCCACTTGCTATGGACTGAGTGCCTCGGCTATGGTTTCCTGGATTCAGGATTTTGGAGAAACTTATCAGAGCAAGACTGGTCGTTATCCTATGATCTATACCACCGCTGACTGGTGGAGTACCTGTACTGGAGATAGCACCGCTTTTAGCGAAGATTATCCTTTGGTGCTGGCTCAGTACAGCAGCTCAATCAGCACTGTTCCCGGTGGTTGGGTTTATCAAAGCTTCTGGCAGAACGCGGACTCGTACACCTATGGTGGTGATTCTGATCTGTGGAATGGCGATGAGGACTCTTTACAGACTTTTGCGAAGGGGTCTTGAGTTCAATGCATATTACTAGTAGTTGCAAGGACATGTATGTTTTTCTTGCTGTTAAAGTTTCAAAGTTTCAAATGTGAGTTCCAGGTGATATTTTTCGTTAAATCAAGACTATCTATATCACAATGGTGGCACACAATTTAAAATCACGATATAACGCATAACTCAATTTCGATATCAATCTATCTGTTTCATCTCATAATCTGTCCAGTTGAGAGTAAATGTAAGTGTCAATAATGTTTATTGGTCATGAGATAAACCCCTCACCGACTCGGATAAGATAGCGTCAAGTTGTCTACTCTGTACAACACACCTCATCCAGACCACTTCACCCAATTCCACACTTTCAACTGCGCGAGTTTCTCATAATGGAGGAAATGAAACATAATTCCACTCAAATACCCGGTCTACCCTTGGCCTTCCATGGGACTGTGATTCACTCCAAAAAGCTCGACAAGCTCGAGATACTGGAAAACTGCTTTCTGCTCGTGAACAACTCCGGTCAAATCCAGGCTTTACAGGCTGATGTTGATCCCGACCAGATCAATTCTATGATTTCAGCTCTTGGTTATGCCCCTGATGTGTTTCCCGTGAAGTACCTGCAGCGGGGCCAGTTCCTTTGCCCAGGATTCGTGGATACTCATAACCATGCCCCTCAATTCGCTCAACGCGGCGTTGGCCGCGGAATATCGTTAATGGATTGGCTAAATGAAGTCACTTTTGCACATGAGGCTAAATTCGCTGACATTGAATACGCCAAAACCATGTATGCTCGGTGCGTTACTGGGTTCCTTCAACAGGGTATCACAACGGCCTCTTACTATGCATCCCTGCATGGCCTAGCAACGAAAATACTAGCGGATATATGTCTTGATAAAGGTCAACGTGCACTCGTTGGCAAATGCAATATGAATAGAAATTCGCCTGATTGGTATAGGGATTCCTCGGTCCAGGAATCTCTTCACCAAACTCGGGAAGTGATTCAACATATCCAGCAGATCGACCCAGAAAGCAAACTTGTCCAACCGGTCATTACACCCAGATTTGCAATTTCATGCGAGTCGGAGCTTCTGCAAGGCTTGGGAGTCATCGCGGAAGAACATCCCGAACTACCGATTCAAACGCATTTTAACGAAGCCCGACAAGAGATCGACTTCACGCTGCAACTCTTTCCTGAATACCGCACTGAGACTGAACTCTATAAGAGTTTCGGTCTGTTGAACGACCGCTCAATTCTGGCCCATTGCATCTACTTGAAAGATGAGGAGATTGAGGAGATTCGACAACTTCGTTGTGGTGTGGCGCATTGTCCGATCTCAAATACTACCATGGACGCATTCATGGTAGCACCGATTCGCGAATATTTGAGACACGGTATCAAGGTGGGCTTGGGAACGGATTCCGGTGGTGGTCATTCTGCCTCCATGTTGGAGATTATGCGGCAGGCGTTTGTCGTTTCGATTGCACGGCAAGAGGCGACTAAGGGCCAAGATCAAGCTTTATCATTAGCTGAGGGATTTTACCTTGCTACTCTTGGTGGAGCTCAAGTATGCGGGCTGGATGCCAAAGTCGGAAATTTTGCTACAGGCAAGGAGTTTGATGCCCTTGAGATTCATACTATTGAAATTGAGGGACGAGGAGTCATGACACCTGTGGAGGAGGAAGATACGATCCCCGTGATCTTTGAAAAGTGGGTTATGACAGGGGATGACAGGAATATTGCAAAGGTCTATGTCAGGGGCCGCTCAGTCAAAGCTTGATCATCAATCACTGGCAATTTAGTTGATATGTCATGCTGTTCAGTGATTTTAACCAGAGAATGTTACCACAGTAGCCCCAAGCAGACTTCGCATTTATTTTTAGTACACATGTAGCATCTGTGACAGATATGAAGGAGAACATCGCTGCCAAACTCCATCCCCGTTTCGCAATGCTTCCAGGGCTTTTAGGATACTTTCTGTTTAGTTGGTGCGTTGTATTAAATGATATCAATTGATTAATATGCCCGGAAATGAGTGCAGACCACTGATAGATAAGAGTCATGAGATCTGTCTATAAAATGAAATCTTTGTACATGGCATGGCGTTAAAACGTAGGGCAAGCCAGCTGCCTCAGATTAAAAGAGTTACTGTGCGAAGGTGACCGGCATCAATGCCAAGTCCCCTTTTCTGGACCGAAATAGCCTCTGGCAGGAAGGGCCTTGTATGGTGTGCCTTCAGCATCAGCAGTGTTAGTATATACGGTATTACCCCACCAGCTGAGCGAGCCAGCTGGGAGAGTAATGCAGAAAAATATAATCACAGTCGAGACCGCAACACCGCAATCAAGCGCGGCAGACAATACATAGTCTAAAGAAAAGTCAGCATTGGGGTTGACTGAAAAAGGCGGCCTGATAAGCCCGGGACAACGAACTATACTTGGACCACCATGCGGGTTTTCGGCGACGGAGGAAGCCGTTGAAGATGACATTAATCACCCACCAGGATGAGAAGCTGACACCTGTGGCAGGAGGAACCAGGCTCATCGCACCGAAAGCTACTGGCCAGGAGATGTAGTTTGCAGCTTTCCATCGACGGCCCAGAAGATAGGTAGCGACCACGACCACTGGTCCGACCAAGAAAAACCACAGTAAATTGCTATAAATCTGACCAGGAGAAAACAGGCGAGCAGGGCCAATGACACCTATTATATTGTTAGCGATGGATCTTGATTCAAGAAATTGTTGATTTGCAGCATGAGCTTATGAAAAGGTGGAATCATACCCCATATCAGAGATGATGAATAGGTCACTCGCCCATGAGGGCATGAAAAGTTACCATCAGCGTCAGCCGTGCAAATCCCGTCGATTCGAGTGATCATGAACACTGTCACCCCGCATTGAACAATGGCCCCAACCAATGTGGCTAGTCCCTGTGCTGCAAACAAAATACGGGGTGGAATGTGAAGATAATGCGCCAATTTCATATCGGCAACAAATCTATCAACGTCAATCAGGGAGTCGTAAATGGAGACTCGAAAAGTAAAAACTTACTCAAGTCCCTGTTCAACCGCGACGTATCCATAAAACTTGAACATCATATTTGCTATCGGCTGTCCCAGGAAAGCATAGCCACCGAGGAATTCTGTAAACAGATTCATCTGGTTGCTACTGATATTCGTCAAGGCCTTGATAATACCCACCGGGATGAAATAAATCACCGGTAGCAAAAATGCCACCAGTACCGCCCAGGCGGGCAGACCAGTGTGCCAGACGTCATTTGTCACAATACTCAAGACAAACATTAGGATGGTCACGCTAGCAAACCACCACCAAGGAACTCCCTTGTACGCTGACATGAGTCGTGCATGAACATCGGATTTGCTTGTTCCTTTCCACTGGTTCCACATGTCCTTGCCATGATACAGTCCAGTGTGGAAAAATATACCCGTCAGGTTTGCGAATGCTACTCCAAACGTGATCGCATACCCTGCGGGCAAAAACAGTGGCGAGTAATCCCGAAAAGCCGCTTGGTTCACTGTTCCATCTCTATTCATAATACGCGTAGTATTATAGTCATGCCCTGTGTTGTCAAACGTGTTGGAGTTGAGAAGCGGCAGGTATGCAGAGTACCAAGTGTTTGTGTAGTAGAGAATAGGGCAAATTAACCAGAAAAAGATGGCAAAGGAGCCCATGACATTGGCACCGGCCCAAAAGGGCACGAGGAGCGGGCTTTGGTTGGCATAGACAACCTGCGCCCAGTCAAAAGTCAACACAGACATTCCGAGGCCTGTTTCTTGGCCGAATAGTTGGTTGACCACAACATTGGATGGCACGATCCAGCAAATGAAGCTGAAGGTACTGAGGCCGGTGAACAGATAGCCAGGAGCAAAATACCAGATGGCCCCACCGACGAAGACAATGAGAAAGAATTTCAGACGGCTGATCCGCCAACCATCTGCGAGCTTGTTCTCTTGGGAATGAAGGGTTGTTAGCAGAGCCGCATTGGACAAGACTTGTGGCCAAAGCATTGATGCGGGAGTGACCAGCCAGCGAGCGGCCATGCCAGCAAGGCCGAATCCAAACATCTGTGTGGTTATACACAGCAACACCTCGAAACCTCCATGGGATGGCAGGTTATAGAATTTGACAATCGCCTCAATGATCTGGGTCGCAGCAGCAGATCCAAGGGAGACATTGGCCATTATGGTAATCAGACCATGCTCCTTCATATTAAAGTGGCGATCGGGATTAAACACGCCGAGTGGCACCCATTTGGCCCAGGCACAGCCCACCGGAAAGGACAATAATTGCGCTACCAACGAACTTATCGTGACACTTGGTTGTCGCAAACTGAAGAATTGATTTAAGCCGCTGCCTATCTGGTGTTGGCGTCCGCGTCAGCAAAGCACTTCCAGAGTATATCATAGCATCCGCGAGGAACTTGTAAATTGGCTCACAATTGTAAACAGAAGGCCGATCGTCCACATCCGAATGGTGTTCACGGGGAGGGAAACATCGTCAACTGGCTTGATAACAGCGCGGACCTCCGGGAAGGGTGAATCATCCGCATCGTAAGGTAGGATTTCTTCGGCATCGCGATCGCAGAGAATGGAGATTTCATCGCTGGCATCATCAGGAGGGGTTCCCTAGAGATGGATCTAGTCAATATCGGTTGATTCTTGGAATACAACGCGATTCACCAAACATTCTCATGTAAGTAGATCTCGGCCGTTGTGCATGAGACTAAACCCCATCGTGGAGCCCCCCTAGAGCGAAACAAATGCGCTACGGGCCGCCAAGGGAATCAACTCTTAATTTGAGTGGGGGAATTTTTTGAAAGGGAAAGTTGGAAGGTGGATTTCCACTCACTTGGGACCAGGATTGTCGATACTTCTCCTGATCGGTCACATCTTCCATGGCGGGCAGATCCGACCGGTCCCCCCTAAGGGAGTGTAGCGTGCAGGGTCAACAGAACCCAATCACCTCTTTAATACCAAATCATAGATCGAAGATAGAGAAAGAGAACATTACAGTTCCAATGGGGGGTAGTGGAGAGACGCGCTTTCACCCGAATGAGTTGCAAGGATGATAAAGGAGGAAAACTCGAGTGTTTGTCATGGCGTCATGGATATGGAAAGCCTGAGCCGAGATCCTTCCCCTTTTTTCTCCATCCACACTAATATTGAAAGAATTGCGAAAAAAAGATCCTTGAATTCTAAAGATCGATATCGCTGAATATTCTAATGTTCACTTTGTCCATATCTTCACATTTTCTCACTTCATAACATCGTAAGATCCTGGCATTTAAGTATGGCGGAATGAGCCGCCATTGTTGCTGATTGTGTCTTATTCATCGGCTCGGAGCGCTATCAACGATGAACGCGCGTGGATCATGAAGCAAAAAAAAGTTCATTGTGAGGAGATTGCATCCCATCCCCACTACTTGCATACGTATGCATCGGTCCAAGTTGAAATGGAAGATTGAAGTTATGCGAGGGTAGATGAGAATATATGAGAAAAGTAAACAACCTCGGAACCACAATCTCAACCTCTCCCTTCTTCAAGTTTCCCCTATCTATTTGACCATTCAAATTCAGCTTCAGCAAATTCAACCCCCATATCTCAGTCATGGGCGGGCATGGTTTCAACGAGGCAAATCTGCCCTTTCCCCAACGGCCCATTGTCATCTTGGGAGCCGGTGTTATAGGATGTGCAACAGCCCGTCAACTACTACAACTTGGCTTCTCCGTGAAATTAGTCGCGGAGTTTTTACCAGGAGATCAAGATATTAACTATGCATCAGCATGGGCAGGAGCAGCATGGCATGCTGCTGGTGGAATTACTCCGGATCAGCGATATATCCAAGCCATCACACACCGAATCCTACTCCAGATGGCCAAGAATCCCGAATCGGGTGTCAGTCTTGTCGATGCTCGAGAGTATCTAGAACAAAAGCCAGCGGCGGATTCTGCTATCTGGGGCAGGACCGTGCTTTCAAAGGTAGTGAAAGATTGACCTTGTGTTTCTCCCGGATTTCTTTATGATCACCAAGCTAACCTCCAGTAACCTTGATATAGTTTCGCGAGATGGATCAGGGTGAATACCCCGAAGAGTTCCAATCCGCTTGGGCCTATGAAACTTTAGTTGTAGATCCCACCCGACACATGCCATACCTGCGAGATGTAATCATACGTCTTGGCGGACAATTTGTTCGGCAGCGAGTTCAATCACTTCAAGAGGTCTTCGATATATTCCCCGAATCCCGAATCTTGATCAATGCGAGTGGATTAGGCAGCAAAACTTTGACAGATGTCATGGATCATAACTGCTATCCTGAACGAGGACAAAATGTATTCCTCCGAACTGATCAATCTCACACGATGTACTTTCGGAATGGCCAGGAATATACATACGTCATTCCTCGTCCTTTATCAGGAGGTGTTGTGCTAGGAGGTGTCAAACAGCAGGGTGATTTGTATGTAAGACTCGCATGCAATCATTCTCCGTCCATTGAAAATGCCATGCTTATGTTGTCCCGCACTAACTTTTTCACCAGATCTCCCGATGTCGATCTTGACATTATGAAAGATGAGATTGCACGGGCTCATCGACTCGCTCCTGAAATAGTTCCCGAGCACCCTTCGGAGGAAGATATCAGCCATATTATTGGGATTCGGTCCTCGAGACGAGGTGGATTCCGTCTTGACGCGGAGAAGCGCGGAGATCAGACAATTCTGTCAGCCTATGGATTTGGTGGCGGTGGATACTCTTTTTCTTATGGAATTGCCGATGCGTTGGTGAAAATGGTAGAGAATTCTGAGCGAGAGGGAGTGATCCCAACACTTTGAGTGCTCGAATTTGAATATATAATATTAGTCTGGACCCTGAATGATTGACTTCAAAATTAAGGTCAACTGGTTGATCATAGCCCTGCCAGGGAGTGGCACGTCACTGCCCAGCCTAGGTGGTCAACATTGAATGTTATGCATATCTCAATGATCTGTTCTACTATATTAATCTGATTAGCCTGAACTTCTTGCATGAACCGGTTCTTTCAAATAAATCTACAGTCTAGACTCACAATATCAAATATCAAATATGTAAACCATCTTCCCACGTGTTCGTGGGTCCATCAGTCGGTTCTGTTCCCCGCCGGACAAATTTGCCGTCCACTAGAACACCCTTTAAGCCTAGACATCCCGAAGCCCATTTCAGGTTTTCCAGGTTTTCAGCTTTGTTTTGCCTCCCAAATCCCGGCAACAGGTTTTTGATTCGCTCTATTTTGGTTCCCTTACTTCTATTTGTAAGAGAAAAAACAGGACGATATAGCCGGGGTCACGTGTTATCGTGAGGTCGTGCGCCTAGTCCATTCTTTTGATTTCTAGCAATCTCCACATCGGAAGGAACTTCCTCAGAATGAGTCTCATCGATGATTAAAAAGGGATTAGATCATTTGAATTCACGGCTCCTATCGTGGGGTGTGATAGAATGGTGTTAGGCATGGACCAGCAGATGCTCCACTTGAATCTTGAGGATCATCGGCCCGTCAATTATGCAACCCTGATGACGCCGCCGGAAGAGCGTGATCTGAACCCACCAGCTCATGAGTTGAAGCAATCATCTACGAAAAAATCAAACAATGAAAATGATCGATGGGCTTTGATTTACCGACATACCCCCACTCCGACAATTATCCTGGATGGCTCGTTGACAGTGGTGGAAACATCCGAAAGTCACCAGAAATTATTCAATCATACACGAGAGCATATTTTGGGAACGAGTATCTATGAGCTACCATCAGCAATCGTGCCCGCACCGAATATCGCATCTCTAAGTGGTGCTTTGGGGGCGGCGATCGCAACCCGAAAGGCTCAGGTGATCCACCAAGTCCGCATTCCGGGCCAGGTGCACGCGTTAAGAGTAACACCAATTTTTGACAAGGATGAGTTGATATACGTGCTACTGGAAGCGCACGAGCAGAAGCAGGATGTTCAAGGATCTAAAATACATGAACACACCTATCTGAATGAGACGTACAAAATCTTAATCGATACTGTCCGGGATTATGCGATTTTCATGCTCGATGCGCGGGGTCACATCGCGACCTGGAACTCCGGCGCAGCTATTCTGAAAGGTTATACCAGTGAGGAAATTATCGGCCAGCATTTTTCATTATTTTACGGAAAGGAGGATCGCCAGGCGAACAAGCCAGGACGGGAGCTTGAAGTATGTTTGCGGGAAGGAAAGGTAGAAGATGAAGGTTGGCGTTATCGAAAGGATGGAGGGCGGTTCTGGGCAAATGTGATGATTACTGCCATCTACCAATCTGGCCGACATGTCGGATTTGTAAAGGTGACCCGGGATCTAACAGAGCGCAAAGCAGCGGAGGCACGCTTGATTGATGCTTTCGAGGAGTCCTCCAAGATTAAGGCCGATTTCCTCGCTAACATGTCGCATGAATTACGAACTCCGATGAATGGCATGTTTTTGGCCTTGAGCATGTTGACAGGGTCTCCTTTGAACGAAGATCAGCGGGAATATGCCTCGATTCTTGAAGATTCAGCCTCAATTCTCCTGCAACTTATCAATGACGTGTTGGATTACTCAAAATTATCATCCGGTTCCTTTTCTCTCACCACCGATGTCTTGAATGTACCCAGTGTGATCAGTGCGGTTGTTCGAAATTGTCGCCCTGCCATAAAGACCGGAGTCGTTCTCAAAACGTCAATCACCCCGAATTTCCCTCAGAATATGAGGGGAGACCCCTTGCGCTTCCGTCAAGTTCTACAGAATCTCGTGGGCAATGCCGTGAAGTTCACAGAGGATGGTTACATCCATATCGACGCATCTTATTCGAAAGATCCCCTCGATCCCCGGTCTTACGTTATCTCGGTCAAGGTCACGGATTCGGGCATTGGAATTCCAGAGAACGCGGTCAATACTCTATTCACTCCTTTTACAAGATTCGCGGACTCGGCAACGAAACGATATCAAGGAACCGGCTTGGGATTGTCCATCTGTAAAAGTTTGGCCGAACTCATGGATGGTGCGGTCGGGTTTCATTCAAATCCAGATGGCCCTGGGAGTGTGTTCTGGATGTCTACCAAAACGATTGATTCGCCAATCACGCAAACAAGAGAGTTAAAACCGGTGAAACCTCCAACTGAAGACGCTACAGAGCGCCTCAAGAAGATCGCGTCTCAGAAACAAATTCTCCTAGTCGAAGACAACAAAGTGAATCAAACAATTATGCTTAAGCTACTTGGAACGCTTGGGTTCGAGCGCGTGGAGGCAGCATGGGATGGCGCCGAGGCTGTTCGCATGGTGAAGCAAAAGCCACTTGCTTACAATGTTATTCTCATGGACATCAATATGCCTGTCATGAATGGAATGGTGGCTACTGAGAAGATTCGGCAAATGAATGTCGATGTCCCGATTATCGCTTTAACTGGAAATGCTCTAAAGGGCGATGCCGAAACATACTTAGCAAAGGGCATGGATGACTATATTGCAAAACCACTGCACCGGCAACAGTTGGTGGACTTGCTTTGGAAGTGGTGCGGGTCATAACACCCCAAGTCTGTGGCTATCTCATGTTCTCTGCCACGTCAATCAGATACCTACCCAGAGCCAACAGATGTTGATTGACACATTCAATATCCGACCACGCCGACCAGGGCCCTGTACACTGGCATGCCAACCAGCCCCCTTGCGGTGTATCAATAATTCGAGGAATTGGAAGAAACCCCGAGCTGCGATATATAATGCTATCCGCTATCTCTCCTCACTGTATACTTCGCTGGTTCAAGTTGAAGTTTCAATGTTCTGATTTTCTCCGCACAGGCCAATTTCAGAATTGATGATCGCTCTAACGCCAAGACAATTCTTGGGCGAGGCAGAACCTTCTCTATGCTTGTTGGCGCGGAGTGACTTTTTGGTCACATCTCTATTCTGTCGTAATTTCCTCGCAAATAGGGAGTGATTTGCCTTTTCCGAACTTGGAGCCAATCTTTGGGGTTTCATTCCATCAAGGCAGTTTGGCCGAGTGGTCTAAGGCGATTGACTAGAACCGGATAACAATTTATCCGATCGATATCAATTCTCTTCGGAGGCGGCGGTTCAAATCCGCCAGCTGTCGATTCTTTTTTTTCTTTTCTTTTTTTTCCGGCCCTTCTTGTGTTTTTAATTTTCTCTTTTCTTTCTTGGCAAAAATCATAAATCTTCGACTTGGAGCTCTGAACCCCATCTCAAAGCAGGCGTCAGCATGCATCCATGAATGAGACTAATATACTGTCCATGAACACTCTGCCAGCTCCCCGCTTCCCGCTTCGCAAGAACTAGATACTTATGGCGGAAGGTTTTGTTTACAGAACTTGTAGCAATGCGGACATTACATCCTTTACTATGTTTGTGGCTTGCCTGTATCCCCCGGATAAACAATTCTAATTCTAGGCGGCCGCTTCCCGAGGTCCTTATCCCTGAAACTGGGATAGCGTATTTCGGTCATCCATCTACGGAGTAGATTGAAATCCTCCATTCTCACAGCACACACAATCAAGTATGTAAAGCAAGAAAAGCGGAGCAAATGAAAAGCAGGGACAAATGAGTTTAGTCAACTGGTTCTGCAATTTCCAAGTTTGCGGGATTCTACGGCGTATCATTTTGACCTATACTCGTGCTGCAAGTAGATTTGCTCAATTTGAAGGAATTACCCTGCCACGCGCACAATCGGTCTTTCTCCGATCTACAATTCCTCTCTTCAAATGTTCATACTTTAGAAGTGCGGGGAAGGGTCTTTCAGGGGCATATCATGATCGTCATTCCATGGCATCATTGGTTAGATGTATACGGCTCCTGAACCCTAAGATGAAATGCTCGAGAAGGGTCTGCCTAATGGGGCATAACCATCCCCCACTTTCACCCTCATTGGAGTTGAGAGTCCCTGTTTCTTATGCTTCGTGCATATCATTTGAGGAATGAGTTTGTGCCTGTCTTTATTTTGTAGTTGGGGTAAATCTAGTTTCCTTGCTTTCAAAGCCTCCCAAGGTCTCTTCACATGGTGTATACGCCTCCCGAGGTCATATCAGCGAATGCCCAGGTGCCGAATACAACTTAGATAAAAACCAATTCAACTCAAAAATATCACGATGATAATAATCAAATTTTCAGCCGAAAAAGATTTGAAATTCATATCAATCCAGGGGAATTCCTAGTATACCTTAGCTGCCTCATACTACTCCATATAGATATCTTCAGGTTCTTATCAACTCCGTACTTCGCACATATTGATGTGCTCCAGTTTCAAGGTTGCCATGTTAGTTTAAAGTCGCCGAGAATTGTGTGCCCTCTCGGCACCTGGGCAGCTATGCTTCACATGATCCACCATTATCATTAATCGTCGAATCTAACTTGGTCTATCACCTGAGAGGTTTCGGCATTTGACAAATGATTCGGGGAAAGAGAATAACGGGGTTTAAGGTTGAGAAGAACTATCATCCGCACTGTTCTCTTATTCCATACTATCACCTCATCACCTTCATTCAAGGCCCAAGAATTGTGGATCTACCTCAATCTTTCATAGCCAGTTGCGCTTCAAACTCACCGAATTAGCTAGCTTTGTTCGGAGTAAATGCCCCGTTCGCGACCCTCTTTCCATGACGATCGCAGTTCCACGACGAGGCAGAATCTCAAAATAAGTTCAGCGCCGTCTAGTTCTCTCGCTGCGCAGGCCCCCTCGTTACATGGAGATTTTCCCTGATCTGGGCGGTTTTAGGGAAATGAACTCAAAGGATTGTTAAGCGCTCCGTACAAGGGTGGGTCATGCAGAGTAACATAAAGTCCGCAAGATTTCCAGTAGCTACGCTTTGATATTGTTTTCTTTTCTCCATGGGATGAATTGGAGAATTTATCCATCTACAAATTCACTATGAAAATCTCTTGCCTTTTATTGGGAGCTGCTGCAGCTGGCGTCATAGCTGCTCCTGCGCCTGCTCCTCATGATCTCAAATTGCATGAACGGCGTGATTTCATCCCAACCTCCTGGTCTGAAGAGAGACGACTGGATGCTTCTACCTCACTACCAGTTCGGATTGGATTGGTCCAATCTAACTTAGACTATGGCCATGAGCTTCTGATGCAAATGTATGACCCATCTCTAATTGTGATCCTGTGAATACAGCTGATCAATAATTTTAGGTCCAACCCAGCGTCAAGTCGATATGGAAAGCATATGACTGAATCCGAAATTCATGACCTGTTTGCTCCGAGTCAAGAACGAGTAGACAATGTTCGCTATTGGCTGGAGTCATCTGGAATTGCCAGTCACCGTATCTCTCAATCCACCAATAAACAATGGATACAGTTTGACGCGGATGCCGACGAGCTCGAGCGACTGCTTCGTACTGAATACTACATTTATTCCCATGCTAAGACTGGTCGATCACATGTAGCATGTCGCGAGTAAGTTGAAAAAGCACATTGAAACTTATTCCATACAAGACTCTGACAACTGACACAATGATCCAGGTATCACGTTCCTCATTCAGTGAGCGATGATATCGACTACATCACTCCCGGTATCGCCCTTCGCGAAGTTTCAAATGTCCGACAATCTCAAAATGATATTCAAAAACGCTCTGGAGATGGGATACTACCAATCTTGGGCCCGCTCCTGATATCTATTGAGGAACTTTTGGACAACGTGGCTCAGCTTTGCGATGTCGCCATCACGCCCCAATGTATTAAAGGTGATTCATCAATGAGCTAGCTCCACTTTCTGGACAGGCACTTACATTTCAATAGAAATGTATCATATATCCGATGGTACAAAATCTGCAAAAGGCAATGAGCTGGGCATCTTCGAGAGTATTGGAGATGTCTATGCTCAAGAAGATCTGAACCTTTTCTTCACAGCACTTGCAAGGTAGTATTCATCCCCCACAAGCCCATTGAACATATTGACATGAAATGCTAATGCGATGCCAGTAAAATCCCGAGTGGAACTCATCCAACCTTAAAAGCTATCGATGGTGCCAAAGCACCGACCACGTTGGCAAACGCTGGTGCTGAATCCGACCTCGACTTCCAAATCTCATACCCGATTATCTGGCCACAAAATTGTATCCTCTTCCAAACAGATGATATGGTATACGAGGATAACTATACGTTCCGTGGCTTCTTGAACACCTTCCTAGACGCTATCGATGGCTCATATTGCAATGAAACCTCCCCACTGGATCCATCATACCCCGATCCCCAGGCAGGTGGATACAAAGGATCCTTACAATGCGGCGTTTACAACCCACCAAACGTTGTATCGATTTCATATGGTAGTGCTGAGGCGAATCTACCCATTGCTTACCAACGCCGCCAATGTAACGAGTTCATGAAGCTGGGCATGCGAGGTGTTTCTGTCGTGGTCGCTTCGGGTGATTCCGGCGTAGCTGGACGCGATGGTGACCCTACGCCCAGTAACTGCTTGGGCACAAATGGCAAGGTGTTCGCACCCGAGTTCCCGGCATCTTGTCCTTACATGACTACCGTCGGAGCTACATATCTGCCACAAGGAGCCAAGGTTCAGGATCATCAAGAGGTCGCCGTCTCACGGTTCGGATCAGGTGGTGGTTTCAGCAATATCTATGAACGCCCTAGCTGGCAGTCGCAGGCCGTGACGGATTATTTTGCAAAGGCCAAGCTGACTTACCCATATTATGAGAGCGTCAATAATAATAGCTTTGGTGCCAATGGCGGTATTTATAACCGAATTGGCCGTGGTTATCCTGATGTCTCTGCCGTGGGTGATAATATTGTTATCTACAACAAGGGTCTCCCTATCTCTATTGGCGGGACTTCAGCTTCAGCACCTGTATTTGCTTCAATTCTTACTCGGATCAACGAAGAAAGACTTGCTGTAGGCAAGCCTACTGTCGGCTTTGTCAACCCGATCTTATACCAGAACCCTGGCGCATTTTTTGATGTCACCTCAGGTAGTAACTCTGGCTGTGGTACTACTGGTTTCCATGCAGCCGTAGGCTGGGATCCAGTGACCGGACTTGGTACTCCTAACTATCCTGCGCTCTTAAAGGCATTCATGAGTTAATGAGTGGTGATGGGTTTAGAAGACTATATTGGTCATAGATAGAATCCGAGTTCGACATCTCTCCCGATAGAGTGGATATAATACATTGGATTCCTTCTCCGTGTCTCTCAGGTTCTTCTGCCAGTGGATCATACAATGTATATTGACTAGTACCAGCCATAATCGATCGGCAGCTTGAAGATATCATCAATTCATTATATTCGAGGTTAACACATGATGGGTATATGGGTGCATAGTATATGAAGTAAATAAGTCAAGAGATGGCCTGTCAGTAAAACACTCCAAGATCGTCGTCACACCACAAAGAATGATAGATCGGGTGTTCATTCTGTTCCTTGCAGATAACTGGAGGTGCTCTCTCACTCGGAATTAAGTGGACGCTGATGTGTGCCGTGCACGGGTCCCCCATCCAACTCGTAGTATTCCCGAACAGGACTCGCGGGATATGCGGCCTCATGTATTGAGCGACTGTCTAGTAAAGCGGGAGATGGCCCCAACGGCTTGCTAGGCAAGACCTTGGCCGGCTCATAAGACGGAACAGCTTGGTATTCAGGTTGAACCGGCATCTGTTTCTCTACCATCGGTGGCACAGAGGCAGATGTCTGTGCGTTCCGTCGTTGACGTCTTCGTCGCCGCCATACAAGCCACACGATGACCAAGACGACAATAACTCCAATGATAACACCAATCCCAATCCCGGCTTTGTCGCCTGCACTAAGGGAGGAACCACCACCAGAGCAGGAATATCCACCACGGTACACATCTTCGGATTTCAAGCTATTCAATGCTTTGCAGGACATAGATTTACCTCGAATCGTCGTCTGGCCGCTCACTTGATTGAGGGAGGGCAATGATATTCTATATGAAACCATACACGGTCAATCTCATTGTCACTTTGTTCTTCTGATGGGGATATAATACTCACGAGTGAAAAGATCCAGTCAGCGTCAGCTGTCCTTTGACTTCCTTCAAATCAAGAAACTCCAATTTTGTCAAGTCCTTGTTGCCGGTGACCGTAATATCGGAAGAAACAGTGGTTAAAGAATTCATTGATAAATTGGTGAGCGAGTCCAGATTTTCTATCGTTAAACCTCCATTTATGGTCTCTAGATCTGGCGCGGCGAGGGTGGTGAGATCTGAAATCCCGTCTGCCGTAAATGATCCCTTGACTTCCGTGATATTATAAAGGATGATGCTTCCGCTGCCTGCAGACGAGATAGTGATACTGCCATCGATAGTATCGCAGCCAGCCAATGCATCCGCGTCGCTTTGGTCGGCGATTGTTGCGCTGCTCGAACCTGGAGAGTTGGTCAGCCATAATGGTCCCTTGAGCGGTAAATGGTAGTAGTATAGTCCACTACGTAATAACCTTGGATGTGGATGGACGTACAAGAATCCGAATTTGCAACAACTGTTTGCCACGCCGTGGCCAGCACGAAGAGATATGAACAAAGCATCGGGGGCAATATAAACCCTCTCTCTTTGCTTAAGGAGTCAAAATCTCTCTAGAGTTATCTTCCAAGCGCGAGGAGTCCTCCACTCCAAATATAAACAGAGTCAAGAATCATTCTCCTCTCATCGAGGCGGAGTCAAGCTTTTCATCATTCCTGCATTGCACTAAAATCTCCATGTGCCTTGTCGGCCCACTGGTGCTAGTCGGATGAGTGGAGCCTAAGTGATTGGGTGGATATAATAAGTAAAGAGAACAGAGATTTTGATCTATCGAATGGCAAGATTGGTGCTTGCTCACGGAGGAAACGGACATTTCCTCCGTTAACATACCATGGGAGCTCCACTATAGGTCGGATTAGGTTACTTCATTGGGTGATCCCGGAACAGCAATCTTGTTTGAACCAGCTTCGTGAATTGACTAGTGTCATGATCAGGTCGCTCCGCTGTTCTATTTTTTGCGCTGGCGTCCATACGGTAAATAGCGTAGGCAGACAGATTCCACTTGCATGCGAGCTCCACAAACCGGCAGCCGAGATTACCACCGATTTGAGATCGACTTGGAGACTTTGGACTTGACCGCACTGTGCACATCATGTTTGCGCGAAAGAGACGACCTGAATATTTAGCAAGTTCATTGTGAGATTTTCGACTAGTTGGATTATGCCAAGGTTCAAATGTTACATACTCATGTTCATCTGTTTCCAGTTATTGATGTTTTCCCCCTTGAAAGCTAGCGCAGACATGCCACTGACACCTGAGGCATAAAATTATCGGATATTATATGATCCGAGCCGAGACATCATATCTGGGGAAGCAGTGATATCCAGTTGTCGATCACCTCAAGTGCTTGCACATGTGCTAGGCAACTCCAATTAATCAGTCAACTGGTGGAAACCTTGATGGTTTCGCTATTCATCTTGGAACTACACGAGCTTAACATTTGAAAGTTGCAAATCCCAGTGTATTTTACGAAAAATCGAAGGGGCTGACCAGAACCTAGATGCCAACTTGAACATGAAAAAAAGGAGAAAAAAATACCACAGCCATATTCTTGCAGAATGATGGAAAGAGCAGCAACAGCAACACCTCTTTCGACGCCTCCATTGGGACAGAATATTGAATGATTCTGACATCTGGAATTTGCATATCTCCATATATACTCATTATAAACAACTCTGTCTTCCCTCAAGCACTTGTCCTGGAGCACTTCAAGTTCAAGGTGAGACCTAGCCTCAAGCATCGAACCCTCACAAAGGCCTTTCAAATCTCTGCTCCTCGTCTGGAACTTTTCCCTTGATAAACGTCGATATCTCGGCTGGGTGCACAACATTCACAAGCACCATCGTGGCCAGCATCAAGAATGCGTCGAATGCATAGGACACCCATTCATTCTGCATTAGATACCCATCGGAGCTTTGGAAAAACTCTGCTAGTCGAAAGATCGATCGTATGAAAATCATCATACTACACGCGTAGATGATCATCATATGTTTCTGCCACGGTGTTGCCCACCTCCTTGTGCTCCCACTCTTATTGAACCGCATATGAAAAATGGCCGCGGTAATGACGAATAAGCCAAAGAATAAGATCTGTACAAGAACACCGAACTTCATAAAATCCTCACCCGTCTCAAGAGCAGAGGCGGTTTGTTTTGAGAGCATGGCGGCGCCTGGGAATTTCCAGATGTCGCCGTTAGTATTTCATAGGCAGGAGGGGAATGAGAATGCTCACCAATGAATTGGATCACAAATGACGCGATATCTCCAACAACAAAGATTTTTGTAAGCCATGTGCGTCGGATCAGGGAGTAATTATTACCATCTGTCATGATCATAATGCGACCTAGCTCCATATAAATGCTAGCCGCAAGTAAAGCCGGCGCTACCAAAATGAAGATATAGGCTATCAACATTGGCCCCATGGTATAGTTAGGATATTGAGTAGACGAATAGGCTCGCTAGATATTATCTGTCAGCACAAAGTTTTTCGAATACCATGCCCTCACATGTGCATGGTGCAGCCTGGATATTGAGTATTTACCGCGACATATCCAATGCATTCAACTGTCAGGTCTCACATTAGCTAAACATTCTGAGAATTCTGTTCTTGACTATATGTCACTCACGAAAACCTCCAATAACAAATGTCACAAGGAACCAACAACGAGTTTTTATAAGTTGAAATAGATGAAATGCCGTTGTTATTGCAAAGAGAATAGCGAAGACCACTGCGGCTGGAATTGATGGCCGATAATCGTATAGTCCCAGGTACTTGACGGTGACCATATTGATCCACGACTCGTAGCAATACCAGTTGGCAGACGCCCAGCTGTAGGTATGGCTCAAATTAACTTGAAGTCACTCTGTAAAGAACGACTGAGATGAGAGCTCGAGTGCTTCAGTAGATAAAAGAATGACAAGCGTTTTGGCCTTGCTAATATGCAGGATTTATTAACGGGTACTATGCGCGAGTCCTATCCATTTATTTAAGTGAAGAAATCCCCGACTCTCAGTCAAAAATGCCCGCTAAATTCCCGATTCTCCCCTGATTTCGAGGCTTAGCCCAAGGTCCAGCTCAGCTGGCGCCTATATAAATGTAGAAATTGAGATTTTAGCATTGAAATGTGGAGCATTTAATACTCCAGTCGGAATTCGGAATCCCGTGTTGCGACTAGTGAGCGTTCTGAACTTGAACCTTTTTACTCCGTAGACGAATCGTTTCCCCTATTAGGACACTGTGGGTCTCGAGTTTACGGAATAGTGAGGTTCCGTGCACTTGAGTCGGCTTATCAAGACTCCGAGATTGTAAGACTCTTCCGAAACGAGATCAGTTGAGGTTTTTTGTATGTATTTATCTCATGTTTGCTCAACTGGTCGAGGTCATTAATGATGGCAATCTACACCATAATTCAATAGGAAGTTGAGCGGCTCTCAATCATTTGAACTATGCGAATATTTTGGGGCAACTTGAATGAGATTTGAAAAGGCTAGGACTCGGGATTTACTATATTCTAATGTAGAATATGATGTGCACTACTAAAAAGAAGATACATAGGGGCTCGCAAGCCTCGCAAGCCTCGCAACGTTATGACAAAACACGATCTATTCATCTATAATAAATTTACATAGTTCAGTAGGCCCAATCACTGTGCAGGTTTTGCCTATATGTGGGGTTTTATTAGCCAATAATGGCCGATAACTATTGAAAACACACCATCTCCGCTTACTCATCATCTAATCGAGTGATCGATAATAATAATAAAAAAAAATCCGAGTGTCAAAATCTTCCTTCGCTATTGCAAAAATTTGCCTACACAGAGTGGAGAACAGAATTATCTCAGTTCATCCAGTCGGCAAAGACATTCTTCAAGTTTTGGGCCTTGAACCTTCCGGACATGATGTTATGTACTAGCGTGCTAGGCCATAAATCACACTAATGACGTACTAGATCCAGCTGGGCTAACTCAGTCCATTGTTGCTCAAGTTCTTGCTTGATCCACGACGTGCGCCATCCCAATACCTTTTCAACCCTCCCTAGAAAGCGCAGGGCGCCCTGTTGTTCTGAAGTATGTCGGAGGCAATATCCAACTACAAAAGTCAACTTAATGTCCAGGTGATATAATAGCAAATTGCAGACTGGGGTTCAACGAACAGCGATGTAGAAGATGACAGGCCATGAAATATGCATTTTGCACACTTTCATTGGACCAAGATAGTCCTATGACAATGACAAGGTGCGTTGCGATGGTTCTCTATAACTCTTTTATTAGTGACACACGGCCAAAAAGCGAGTAATGAGCTCATACCTCTGTCATTCGCCGACTTCGAGTTAGCTCATAATCATTGTTGGGTTGTGAGTGAGGATCGGAAAGAGAAAGAAAGATACATGCTGCATGATAGTACTGCATGCCAACAACTATATGATTGTCAATATCTCTCATTCATTTGACAATATCGGAATGGAGGGTGACAAACCAGCTGGAGCTGACATCATCCATATTTCAGGAAAGGGTCGATCGACAGCAATATTTGGGGCTTGATATCTTAAAGGCTGCCAGGTTGTAGGCATGGACTGGTGCCAGTCTTCAATGGACTTGGCACTATGACGCCAAGTAGATATATCGACTAGTGCTCCGGGTCCATCCCGACAATGTTGAATAATTTGTGCGCAATGAAAGATGATCATATTAGCGACGGCTGCATCGTCAGTGCGTTGGAACATCGTCGAGCACTGATAATTTTCCAGATTCAATTGTAGAGGCTGATACTGTACAACCGATGCATAGATCGCCTGTCGTAAGAATTGCCAGCTCACGGCTTCTGCGAGCCCATCAGAGGATGCAGAGCGAGACATCAGGTTAATCAGGCGATTCGATCCAAGTAAATGGAACTTTTCATCTGTATTATTTTCCAATTCTTCACATATCCTCAGAATAACAACTGTGACCAATAAGTTCTCGTTATATGCATTCTCTGGTTGGTCCAATACTGGGATCAGCAGCTCTAGGCATTCTCCGTGGTAGGAGGATGCTTCCAAGTCACTGTTTCCAGTTAATATGGCGTCATGCCGAGCAGCAAGAGCCATTAGTGCCTTCAGAATCATAGGAACCTGTAGAGCCCTTTGAGGTACTATGGTACTAAAATGAGACTGAGGATCACATATATCTGCCTAAATGTACTTTGCACATTAGTTAGAAATCTCACATAGGGACGACACTTGGGGTTCTGACCCAAGGCGCAATCTTCTGAATGAAGCATCGCATTAAGGATGCTTCTCGGTATGATATGGTAGATCTTTTATCTGACTGAGATGAGAAGGGACTATCACTGGTCGAGATTCGCGGTGATCTAGAAATCTGCAAAGGAGAGTGCATAGTTGGGCGATTTTCAAAACCACCTGCACACTCAGCAGACTGGTTGATATGTGGCAAGTAAGGTGGCGTCAAAGAAGTGTGTCTGCTCAATTCAAATTCCCCGCCTTCACTTGATCCATCGGCCTCAAGGACAAAAGTCACTGGCAAGAGTAAATAATGATGAGTTCTGCCCAGTACTGGGTAAGCTGATGGGGAAAGTCTTACCTAGCTTCGAAGAAACATCTACCCAGACCTGATCTTCACCCCAGTTGAAGTCAAAGCGAGCAGTAGTGCCTTTTTCCTTCTGATATACATGGTGAACGGCTTTAAATTGGAAGCGTGGATCAAGGTGACAGGCACGACCTAGACGAGTACAAGGAGCACAAGCCGGCGCTCCTGGAGGGATGGTACAACGAATGTGGCGATGACGGCACCGCTCGCAGCCTTTACCAACTCTCATGAAGGCCACATTGAGTACAAGGAATCAAGATATTTGCTTGCTGTTTCGAAGTTCGAACTACCCCAGGCCTTTCCCCGCATATGCTGACTCATGTGTTGTCAGACTACAAGGTCTAATGCAGTAGGCGGTCGCAATGGGACGTATCAACAGGTCTGATTCTCTCATAACACTAATTTTACACGAATAAGCGTCTGCTGAGACCGTATATCACGTGACTAATCATGTGATCCATTCTGGTTCGGCCAATCAGAATCACGGATTTAATCGTGTTAAAACCGTCCCAATTGGGCCTAGTTTATCACGTTATTTTGGCTGACATGTGTTTTGGTGCCTCAGGTACAAACCCCAGTTGGCTGTGAGGATGATTCCTCTCTAAAAGTGCACATCCCTTCCCACTTGATCGCCTTTGTTCTGCAATCGAAGTGCTCAAAACTAGGGGCCATATTCTCATCAAATATGGCTATGATATAGGCCTCGTTTCGAGTTTTCAACAACTGGGCAAAATTCTGGCTCTTCCTTTGTGACATTCCATAGTTATACTATCTTTCAAGCTCTATTTTACTTCCTCATCTAACCACTAGTACTACTAGTACATAGTGGCTGGCCTACCACCGGCACTGAGGTGCGTAGATGAGTAGGTGCTAACCAGCCACATATGCATCTGTAGATACTAACTGAGTAGGGCGTACTACTACTAGTAAGAACATTTGAATGCGGGTATGGTTCCAGGCTAACACGGATCTCCGAGTCGTCATCGTCATGATATTTTATACGTTATGACATGAAAAGGCAAGGTGTCTGTAGCGTTACCTCTTCCACTGGACTGGTTGGCTCAAAACTCCAACTCTTCAACCTCCATGCCACAATCCACACACGTCTTGACAGGCATACCAGTCTCTGGATTATCCACTGGTCGGCCCCATTGGTGTACATGTTTCCGGCTGGTACTGAGATCATCACCGAATTCTCCACCAGCACCGCCCTGTCGGTTACGCCGGTGTGCCTCCACTCGCGTACGCTTTTTCAGATCTTGCAGTTTAGTTTTGAACTTGGCTTCGCGTCGCCGTTTCTTGTCGCTCTCGCGTCTTTCAAATTCAGCATCCAATGCTTCTGAAGACCCCCACTTCCTATCAGAGAATGCATATTCTTCGACCTGGAAGCGAAGAAATAGCATCATGTTATTCCAGGTTGACTTGTGTGGGTTGGGTCGTTCAAGATGGGGAAGTAATTCTTCATCTCGAAGCTCAGCTAGTAGCATGTTAGAAAGGCCCTGTAAACGCATCCACTGAATTTTCAAATCACTTACGGTCTGTCAAAAGATAATCCTCCTTTGCCTCTGTTTTAGTTAATAAACTATACTTCTCTGGAAATTTTTCCTTGCACGCATTACAAATACGACACTTAAGCTCCTCTTCCCACTTCCAATCAATCTCGAGGCTGCCACATTCACGGCATAATTTTTGCTTGCTCTTGTCTTCCAGAACACTCAGTCCTGGCTCAAAGGGTCCTTGGCGATTTCGTCGTAGAGATTCCATTAATTGCTGACGTTCCCATTCCTTCTGTGTCATATTGGCTGGCTTTTGAGGGGTCTTGTCATGCGAGGCATGCAATGCCTTATTAAATGGATCGTCTTCATGAGTCAGGAACCCTCCCTTGGTATCGGTCATACTACTGAAATCATAGTCGACATAGGATGTGAGGTTTCGCGCAGGCTTTATCGCATCAAGTGGGCGATCAGACGAGCCCGTGTTTGAGCGTGCATCGCGTATTGATGAAGGGTTCGACCCAGTCATAGAGTTGAATGAGCGCTTGACTCCTTGTGTTGATGCCGGGCGGCTTGTAGGAGGCCCTTTGGCAAGTTCTGCTTCGCGTTGCTCCCGTAGAGCTTTGGCTTTCATACGATTTTCTTCCTATGAACGCGTCGTGTCAACTTAAGAGGTCGTCGAGATGAAGGGCATTTCGCTCCAGGGCTACACCGAGTACCTACGATCTTTCTCTTCTGCTCAGGCGTAATGGGGCCACGGGGGAGTTGCCCCGGCCCAGCAGCTCTCTCCCGTGGAGGAGTTGAAGGCATTTCTGATGACATGATGAGTATATGCTTTTCTCAAGGTTAAGCCTTTAACATGACGGAAATAGAGGATATTGAGAACTTTCCAAGGTTTGAAGGTTTGTAAGATTCATATGCGGCCGCGGACATGTCTGCACGTGACTGTAGCCGATGACGTCACAGTGTATGGATTCCATGAAGTATACAAGTATACACACAGAGCACCGATAAAGCTATGAAGGACTAAATGATATTTTGGTCTATCAACCCTTGGATTTCGATTTCTGAAAGTCCCATGTCCTTCAAAACCGTCCTTGTATGCTCTCCTAGCTTGGGTGGTGCCGACAAAATTTGAGGCGCTGTTTCACTGAATTTAACAGGGTTCCCTAGATTTGAGATTAATGGAGAACCACTTTCTTTCACCAAACAAATCACTAACCTAGAAGCTTAAGCTCACCACAGGAAAGGGCATCAAATGGCAAAGTCTGTACCATTCTCCTGGCTGCTGTTTGTGGGTGGGAAAATACTGAATCAATGGAGTTGATCGGCCCATAGGGCATTCCACTCCCTTCCAGTCTTCTCATCCATTCGGTTGTTGGCTTGGAAATGAGAATTTCACTGAGAGTTGCAGTTAGCTCTTTTCGATTCTTCAATCGAGAATTGTTGTCAGCAAAACGAGCATCTGTCGCCAGATCTGTGCGGCCCAGCAATTTGCACAGTACTTGGAACTGTCGGTTATTTGTAGCACCAAAGACTAGGTACGAATCCTTCGTTTTGAAAGCCTGATATGGAACTATACTTGGGTGTGCAGTTCCCCAACGTTGAGCGACCTCCCCAGCATTCAGCCATGACATCGCCACATTGGACAGCAAGGCCACCTGGGTTTCAAATAATGAGGCATCGATTTTCTGCCCTTTCCCAGTCTTTTCGCGGGAGAACAAAGCAGCCATGATGGCGCCATGAAGATACAATCCAGTGCTCATGTCGGTCATTCCGAGTCCTGGGCGTGTGGGCTGTCCGTCTCTCTCCCCAGTGATGTGTAACATCCCTGCCTCAGCAGCAACAATAGCATCGTAACCTGCTCGCTTGGCGTATGGGCCACTTGCACCATAACCTGTATGTGCCACCTTTCAGTCATCAAGAACATCAACATCAACTCTAATTTGGAGACTGACCAGAAACGCTAGCATGAATTATTAATGGGTTGAACTTCCGAAGAGATTCGTACCCAATCCCGAGTTCGTCCATCTTCCCGGGCACAAAGTTATCAACCCTGGAATAGTCAGAATTCTTCATGCCTATTACCAAAAGGTAATATGGAACTGCAAAGAGGCAATCATAGAATGAATCTATGATTACAGACTCACACTACGTCTGCTTCTTTCACAAGACGAAACAAAACATCACATCCTGTCTGCTGTTTTAGATTAAGGGTCATCGACCGCTTATTCCGATTGATTGTACAGAAATAAGCCGAGATATCTTTTTGTGTCGACTTCCAAATTTTCTTTTCCGCGGCCGTTCGCCATAGTCGAGTATCATCCTAAGAAGGTTAAACAGGTCCTCCAATATCTTTGCTATTTCGATTTCAAACTTACTCCTCCTTTGGGGTTCTCAATCTTGAGGACGTCGGCACCATAATCAGCAAGAATCTGTGTGCAGAATGGACCCTGCAAACGATTTAACTTGTCAGCATAGACAGACTCGGAATATTCCCGTCTCAGAACTCCGTACAGCTAGAACTCTCGTCAGGTCAATGACTTTAACTCCATGCAAAGGACCGTGTCCTTGGGCTGCGGTATGGTTCCTGCGCAGGCCCAAGCATCTGTCGAAAGTAGATGGCAACAGCTGTCGGGCACTCTTTGAAATACTTAAGGTGGCCAATTTGATCATGATGTGTAACTATAGAGCAAGATGAGTTATGGGTGTGAAATATGAAATTCACTAGTAGGAAGCTCTCATAATAATAGTTTTCTGTTTATTCGGCCTTACCCCCGCATAGCCGAGTCCGGAGTCCCCCAACATTAGAAGTCCCCTCTTCCTTGTTTAAATGCCGCGGTTTCTCCGAGACCATTATAACCTGAGAAAGGCGACAAGAGGGTCTTCCGGTACATTTCCATCAGAATCTCAAGCTTGATCTGGCGCGTAGTGTGCACATGTGTTTTCCATACTCGTTTGGCTGGTCTTTCCATCCATTTCCAAGGTTATCAATGTTTACTGTGACCTGTGGAACTTCGAGAATGGACATGTGCGTGTGTTCGAGATGTCCATTTTATTAAACGTGCTATATCGAGAAGACGAAATTTAATATAACAAAGGTTAAGGTAAATAGTACGGAGTAGAGAGTCAGCCATTCAAGGAAACAGAGTTCCCATAAATTTGAGTGACAGGCTTCCCTTGTAATATCTCTGCCCTGCCTGGCCTAGCGGCTTAGAGCGGTCGGCGACCCAGACTCGACGGGGACAAAGGTACTGAAATTAGGTATGCCGGGCCTAGTTTCAGTGGCAGAGAAAATACCTGCGGGCGGGAGGGCATCTAGCTACGGCTAGGGATAATGACTTTTTTTTCAATTTTTTATTTTTTTTTACCTATTATACTTCTAGCTTTTCATTTTCCATTCAAACTTTCAAATCCTCAAAATAAAGATAATTGATGGAGATAGAAGAGATTATGTGCTGGGGATGAATGTGTCAAGTGAGGCCACCGGGGCTGCCCACGCATTTCTGATTTTGAAGCTCCTGGGTTCGATCCCTGACCTTGCTGGATTTAAGATTTCTTTTTTTCTTTTCTCTTTGTTTTCTTGTTCAATATGACTTTGGAAGTCCTAGAACTTGCTCCGCAACGTAATTCATGATCATTTCACGACTCACCGGGGCGATACGTGGAATGAAGACCTCTCGAAGATAACGTTCAACATGATACTCTTTGGCATATCCCATTCCTCCATGAGCAAGAATTGCTCTTTCGCAAGCTTCAAATGCAGCCTCAGCTGCTAGATATTTCCCAGCATTTGCATACTCTCCGCCTGTATACCCTTGATCGTAGAGCCGGGCGGCTTGATAGATCATCAAGCGCGCTGCCTCCAGCTTCATCCAGCTGTCAGCAAGTGGATGTTGGATACCTTGGTTCTTGCCAATTAGACGACCAAAAACCTCACGTTCTTGGGCATATAGTGCAGCTCGTCGAATAGCTGCAAATCCGAGTCCAAGAGCTTCAGCTCCGATGAGAATTCTTTCAGCATTCATCCCATGTAGAATCATTCGGAATCCGTCGTCTTCCATTCCTATCCGGTCGTAGATTGGCACTTTCCAGTTATCAAAGAATAGCGTATTGGTATCCACGGCGGCTCGTCCCATTTTTGCAATCTCAGTGATCTGCACTTGAGGTACCTGCAAATCGGTGTAGAAGAGGGATAGTCCTTGTGTAGGTTTTTGAACTTGGTCGCGTGGTGTCGTACGCACAAGAATCAAAATCTTCTGCGCTTGCTGGGCTGTTGAAATCCATATTTTCTGTCCAGATAGAGTATATTCATCGCCTGACCGTCGCGCAGTAGATTGAAGCTTGAGTGTGTCGAGACCAGTGTTAGGTTCAGTAACACCGAAACACGCCCGTTCACGACCAGCAATCAGCGGGGGCAGCCATCTCTCTCGCTGTTCATCACTTCCAAATTTTGCCACAGGCTCTAAGCCAAATATGTTCATATGAACAGACGAGGCCCCCGTCATTCCAGCCCCGGACTCCGAAATAGTTTGCATCATCACTGCAGCCTCAGATATCCCCAGCTCAGAGCCGCCATAGCGCTGGGGTAAACAAATTCCCAACCACCCCTGATGGGCTAGTGCGTCATAAAGCTCCTTTGGAAATTGATGAGAGCTATTCACCTGAGCCCAATATTCATCTGGGAAATCCGAGCATATTTTTGCAATTGATTCTCGTACCATTCGCTGGGACTCGGACAAGTCTGGGTCTTGACTCTGAAGGAACTCGGTGGCGCGTGCATGTAACTTTCTCGGTCGCTGAAATGGATAGGTTGGGAGTCTTGAATAAGATGGCCACCACAATGTGGTTTGTCTTCGTGTTGTCTCTAAGTAGATTAATATGAATATCACCTCCTGCCACTTTCAAGGTTTCAAGTCAGTCACTATCACTTACCAGGGTCACCAACCTTGATAATTGCGAGTAAGAAGCCATTAGATGCGTTGGAGGACTATTGCCCACCAAGTCATTTCCAAGATTGTGGATTCCGGTTGTGCTCTATGGATATAGTATGCCAGTGTAGAGTTCTGTATTTTGCGGGGATTGAAATGCGGGGTGGCCGATTAACGCCGAGTATGGGGTAATGACGATGTTGAAAATACCAGGCTCCTCTTCACGAATGCAGTGTATTATTTGGCCAAGATACTTAGTGAATTCATGTATATTCAGAAATTATTGGTGCCATTTTTACTTACTAGCTACATATTATTGTCATAGTGGTGGTTTTAAGTGAGACAAGCATGAAATTACACTCCGAACCGCTATGCTCAGTTCAATTTGAACCTCACCAAGATCCAAGTCATCTTACATCTTACATCTCATATAGCCGACTGGCTTACCGAGACTTTCTACTAGGGGATCCATCACTTTCTGATTATTCCATCCTAATTTGCATTCCTGTTCTCAGCTCGGCTGTATATCGATCGTGGAAGTGAGGGGGGCCACAACACTTACCTCGGACCCCTCGGCTACTATTATCACTTATTGGCCGCGATTTTTCCTGGAATATCCCTGGTTCTTCTATCCAAATAATTGTCGGCACATGATATCAATTTCAATTCAAATATGGCTTCGCAACATTCATCAAATCAGGCGTACGTCCTTGGCGTGGGCCTGACTCAATTTCTCAAGCCACGGCGTACCCGGGAGTATCCCGAGCTTGGATACGAGGCCGGAGTCAAGGCAATGATCGATGCTGAGATTGATTATGACGATGTGCAGACCGGGATTGGCTGCTATTGTTATGGCGATACAACAGCATCTCAGCGCATCTTTTACCAGTTCGGCATGACGGGAATCCCGATATACAACACCAACAATGCCTGTGCTACAGGATCAACCGGGCTCCACCTGGCTCGCAGAATGATACAAGGTGGTCTAGTTGACTGTATACTGGTGATCGGATTTGAGCAAATGCGTCCAGGGTCCATCAAGAGTGTCTGGGATGATCGCCCTAGTCCCTTGGGGCCCTCGACAACGATGATGGAGGACACATACGGGAAGCACAATGCGCCACGAAATGCGCAGTATTTTGGAAATGCCGGGCAAGAGTACATGGACAAGTGAGTCACTTCTCTCTGCAATACCGGGATCGGTGGTCTTAACCCTTGACATAGATTCGGTGCCACGGCGAAGGATTATGCCGAAATAGCGCGAATCTCTCACGAGCATTCTCAACGCAACCCTTATGCCCAGTTTCGCACACCCTACTCTCTGGATGAGATTCTCAATTCAACTCCAGTGTATGGACCTCTGACCAAGCTCCAGTGCTCGCCAACCAGTGATGGAGCAGGCGCTGCGGTAATTGTTTCACAGTGCTTCCTAGATGCTCGCCCCGATCTCAAATCCCAGGCAATCCTTATAGCAGGTCAGCAGCTGATGACCGATGGACCTGAAGTATATTCCCGAAGTGCAATTGATCTTGTCGGAATCGATATGTCAAGAGAAGCAGCTCGCCTCGCCATGAAGGAAGCTCAAGTTGAAGCTAAGGATATTAAAGTATGCGAGCTTCATGACTGCTTTTCCACCAATGAGCTACTGCTTCTAGATGCATTGGAATTCTCAGAGCCAGGCAAGGCCCATGAGATGGTTCGTCGAGGTGATATTACCTATGGCGGTCGTGGCCCGGTTATAAATCCTTCGGGAGGGTTAATCTCCAAGGGACATCCCCTTGGGGCAACTGGGCTTGCCCAATGTGCGGAGCTTACTTGGCAGCTTCGTGGCTGGGCAAATAACCGCCTTGTTCAAAATTCAGACGTGGCTTTGCAGCATAACTTAGGACTTGGAGGTGCAGTCGTTGTCACTATCTACAGGAGAGCAGATGGGCAACCAAACCACGTAGTGTCTAATGATGATGTGGAAAAGGTTTCTGGGCTGGGATATAATCCTGCTGTTGAGGCTCGTTATATCACTCCAGAGGATGGGGAACGTGTTCGCAGCAAGACAAAGCGCCAGGACTATGTTTTACAGGATACTGCCGGAAAGCTTCGAGCTCGTATGTAATCGCTGAGACAAATCCCCCTCCTCCCCCCGCAGGAGAGATTGTCTGAGATATTTTTATCCATCAGAGCCTAATGATTTTTAAGAAATTTAACCATGCCATTATTTCAAGTTACTCTTTTTCCAATCACTAGATCATTTCCTGGCTGAAGCGCAAAGATCAGATGTCTATATTAGTGCCTCAGAGCTGCAGTCCTATTTGACCGTTTGAACTTCCATTGATAGATAGTTTTACGATAATTCTTTACCTTGGGATTCTTCTTCACTACCATTTCCAGAGACTTCGAGTTCCACAATGCACCTCGCCACTTATTTCATTCTATTCTCACTGGCACACCGTATTGCAGCATTATCTATTCTCAAAAATCCTCTCCAAGTTGCCAAGAAAGAATATGACTTTATTATCGTGGGTGGTGGACTGACTGGTCTCACAGCTGCGGCTAGATTGACCAAAAATAAAGACATCACCGTACTGGTGATTGAAAGTGGTTTCTTCCAGTCTACTCGGGGTCCTATCGTTGAGAGTGTCACCGGTTTTGGTCAAGGCTTTGGGACTTCACTTGATCATAGCTTCCAGACTGTGTCGCTAGATATCAATGGGCGCCCATTGATCATCCATTCAGGAAACGGTTTAGGTGGATCAACATTGATCAACGGCGCCTCATATACCAGTCCGGCAAAAATCCAAATTGACTCTTGGGAATCCCATCTCGGAAACAGAGGATGGAATTGGAAAAATCTTTCCTCTTACATACGTGAGATGGAGCATGCCCACCATCCATCTCGCAAGCAAATTGAAGCCGGTCACTTCTTTGACCCTCATTGTCATGGAGATAACGGTGCAATACATGTTAGTGTTAGAGATGATGGGTCCCAGTACTCCCCTATTATTCCATCATTTATGAAAATGATGGCTCGGCATGGTGTTTCCACACAAAAGGATCTAAGCTGCGGTGATCCTCGCGGAGTATCGATGTTCCTCAACACTATCCATGAGAACCAAACTCGGTCAGATGCAGCGAGGGAGCTACTACTTCCTATTATTGATCGACAAAACTTATGGATCCTTGTTGGTCAGCGTGTCGGAAAGGTCTTAATTGATGAAAAGAGCTCATCCTATCGCGCAAAGGGAGTTGACTTTGGCACTGATGGTGAACAATTTGAGGTTTTTGCCAAACACGAGGTTATCTTAGCCGCTGGTGCTCTTGTCAGTCCTCTTATCTTAGAATACTCTGGAATAGGAGTCAAGTCTATTTTAGAAACCGCAAAGGTTGACCAGATCATTGATCTTCCAGTTGGGCAAAATCTTCAAGATCAGACAACTACTGCTCTCTCAACCCTCATACACTCAAGAGGTGGAGGTCAAGGACAGGCTATCTATTTTGCGACCTGGAATGAGATATTCAAAGGTTCTTCTCTCACTACTGCTCGTGGACTACTAGACTCCCAACTGGATCAATGGGCTCGAGATGCAGTATCAAATGGTGGATTTGGCAATACCACGGCTCTAAAAGTCCAGATGGAGATGTACCGTGACTGGGTCTTGAAGCACAACGTGGCATATGCAGAGATATTCATGGACGTGAGCCCAAAGTCATTGGGATATTCGGCTTGGATTCTACTTCCCTTCACCAGAGGCTATATCCACATCTTGGATAGTGATCCATATCTTTGGAAGGTCGCCCTCAATCCAAGATACCTAGAGAACGACCTGGATAGATATGCGCAAGCGGCTGCATCTCAGCTTGTACGAAATCTTACCAAAGACTCATCTATCCGGCATTACATTCAGGAAGAGAGATTCCCTGGATCTACAGTTCCCCAGAATGCGACAGTCGATGACTGGGTGTCACACGTCACTCGGAATTTCCAGCCCAACTATCACGCTATTGGAACCTGCTCAATGATGGCAAAGGAGCTCGGTGGTGTAGTAGATCCTTTCGGTCGAGTCTACGGCATTCCGAATCTTCGCATTATTGACGCTTCTATTGTGCCCACTCAAGTTTCCGCACATACATCCGCATTGCTATACGGAATGGCGGTTAAGCTGTCAGACTTTATTCTTGCTGATTATTCCGAGTCACATTCTGTCCAGAAAGATTGATCTTTCAATTTTGTTTTTCTTTCAAGCCAATTTCATTTGCCCTTATGTAGCCAATACCTATCTCACAAATTCAATTCAGAACCTTGGAATATATTTGGGACGACTTCAAGTTCAAGTTATGTAGGGGTTTAATCCGATTAATGAAGCACACTAAACTTCACACCTGAGCACCTCAGGCTATTTCAAAATAATTCCTGAGCCCCTGGATTCTCATGAATGAATATTGTATTTCATATGTACTTTGAATCTATTTTATTGAAAATTTTCCCAGGCGATGAAACAATAAGTGTTCTAAGACTCCCGGGATACGTAGGTTTATGGTTCAATCAACACGGCTTGCATTAATATCAAGTATATTTCATTGATCATGAGTCTTCGTAATTCAAGGTCGAGTCGTTATTCTGAAGCCTTTTCCATTGCGACATCCCGGATGGAGCTTTTGTTTTACCTCCCCGAGCTTCTCTTGTACTGAATGCACCTTGCGCTTGGTCAAAGTGTATCCCTCGATTCCGGCCAGAACGGCATAAGACTTGCTGATAGAGATCCGTGACAGGTCGACTCCTCGCTCTTGTAGAGAGTGATGAAAAGCTCGGAAGTTGGCAACATGGGGTCGATAGTGGCCACTTGATTGGGTTAGAATAAATTGCCTTATGTGCGGGATGAGAGTTCTGCTCTTAATTTTGAACTCACCTCAGTGGAGCCAGGCTTCTTAGCTGACCATGTCGGATCTTGAGCATCCCAGCTGCGGCAATACGACCACCTCTAAGAAAAGACGAATGTTGAAAAGCACCGGGCTCCTTTATTCCAATGTAAATTCGAAATGATGTGTCGGCAACCTATTCATCACAGCTATTGTCAGAAGCCACATAACTAGAGATATAAATGAATACTCACAAAAATCCACATCCCGTCTTTTACAGAGAGGCTGCTGGCAAAGTGATCATAGATTGCCTCTGGCTTGATATAAGAAAACTTCTTGACGGCCTTATCGAGCTCATAGTCTTCCTGTGTGGATAGCTGAGCCTCGCCATTGCTTTCCCTATCTGGAGGCGTTTCAGGGGAGAGAGAAGATGCTGAGGATGTCTCAGATTCAAATCCAGATCCAGAACTTTCGGCGATTGAGTTGCCTTGAAATGTGGGGGTCTCATCATCGATCCGTACCACTCCGTGGAGGCTGTCCTTGAAGCGTTTACTGTCTGTCTCCACAAGGTCATTATTCTTCGCCCATCGGAACAAGCCGTCATCGTCTATCTTGACCATATAGTTCCAACGTTCTTCGGGAGTCAGATATCGTACTTCCTGTTTCTCAAGCCTTTGTCTCGGACGATGCGGAAGGTCCAAGTCTTTTCCTTCGCCATGATCGAGCCAGTAGAAGAAGTTCTCGTTCGATGGAGAGTTCTTCCACACGGTATGATAAGCCCGGAGGTTACTACCATGGCGGTGTTTCGCGTCGACCATCTCCAAGAAATATTGTAGATCTATCATCTTTGGTGATCCTTTTCTGAAAGGCTGGAGTCTTCTAGATGGCTTCTCTTCAGGTTGTGTACTGGAGTCTGCCAGTCGATTATCATCCCCACCGGCTCTAATCGCAACGTTAACGGCTCGTTGCCAGTTCTTGCGAGCAGGACTTGTATCATTGTCATCGCTTTCGTCAAATCTTATTCCACTCTCTTCATCGGATTTTTGAGCTTTATCTCTGCGATTCTGGGCGATAAAAATGGTTGTCAGTCGGATTGCAGAGCTTCTTCAACTAGAAATTGCTCACCTCGAGCTCTCTTGTAGACGCTGCAACTCCGCAACCTTGAATTTCTCGCCGAGTTCGGTAGCCACGGTACACTCTCTTTTTCGCTTTTTATTAGCACTCAAATCCTAAATTCCATTCTCTCACACTTGTCTTACCTGAATTGTGCGCGCAGCCTTGTCTTCGAGGCCCACGTAGGCTGTGACGTCATCAAGGGTCCCCTCCATACTTTTGTTGTTTTTGGCTTGGAGATCGAATATAAAGAGCTGCGTTTGGTTTCGACAAACTAGTTGTATGCGATGGTCTATATTCCTTTCGAATCAAACAAATTTTTCTAATTTGGAACCCAGGAACAACCTTGGAAGAAACATGGATGCGCGAGTTGGCCCGGGGAAGTGACCCACATTCGGTCATGGTTGTGATCGATAAGATAAGAGATAAGCGATAATAATGCTGAGTCATTTTTCTTGCCTCAGGCATCAGTATCGATGCTCAGGCCATCAAACCAGTTGACTATTCAGCTGTGAATTAGCGGCCGAACTGTCGGCCAGATCACTATCCAGCGGTGCCAAAGCCCCTAGAGTGGGTTTGGCCATTTGCTCCCAAGGTTGGGAGGACCTTGTGAGTGCGTTTTGCATGGTCTAATATATAATACGGTTAATCTATTCCCAAGTCACTTTATGGAATTCTGAATGTCTCTCTCCATCTTGGGCTTGGATTTGAGATGAGCTATTGAACCTTCAAGTTCCGAGGTTTGCATGGTTTCGAGCTCATATCTCGCTACATAGGATCCCAAGGTTTAATCCTCTAATTGCCTTCTGAATCAGTCAGGATAACAACCAGCGATTGAACTTCAAGTAATTTACGAGATAATATTACTCGATCATTGAAGATATCCGCCCTTCGTTGCAATGTTGGTAATGTTGCAACCACACGGAGGTTCGGGTCGCCTCCCGTTGGAGTTCAAGCGATCCCTCCCCCTCATGAAATGTCAACCAGTCGGCGTATCTCCCTAGTCGCCGCAGGATATTCTTGCCGCTTCGAGAAACCCCACCACGGAGTACGATCACGTCAAAGCCGGGTATGGGCGGGACCTATCTATACGCGACCGGGGTCTCGGGAAGTTAAGCCGTCCATGTTCTCCCCTCATGAGGAGAAAGATGGGGCTATTGAGGAGGCCGGTCCACACCTGGGCATTCTTGTCAAACTCCATCAGATCTATGCTACTAGTAATATCACGAAATCTGAAACCGTCACCTGGGATATATAACGTCCTGAACACGCTGGTCGCTGATTTCATACAAAATATCCGCAAATTCATTTTCACAAGACATAGTTCGATATGACACCCTCTTTACACCCTCTTATCGACAATGGTATCGCCAAGGGCGATCCTGCCTTCCCAGGTGGCAGTCTTCGCTGCCAATGCTCATCCAATCAAGTGATCGTGACATTGAAGAGCAATGTTGCGCACAATCACGCTTGCGGTTGTTCCAAGTGCTGGAAGCCCTCCGGTGCCCTATTCTCAGTTGTGGGCGTTGTACCTCGAGACCAGGTTCAAGTCACCGCCAACGAGTCGAAGCTTCAAGTGTATGTGCTAATCAAATCCAATGCCAGTTGGGCCCGCTCAAAATTGCTAACACTTCTATAGGGTCGACCCCTCGGCTGTCATTCTTCGCCACGCATGCAAGGAATGCGGTACCCACCTGTTCGGTCGTATCGAGCGCGAGCACGCCTTCCACGGACTGGACTTTGTGCACGTTGAATTATCGGATCAGAAGGGCTGGCAGGAACCACAATTCGCGGGATTTATCTCATCAATTATTGAACAGGGTTTTAACCCTAGTGGAATGGATGAGGTGCGGGCAAAATTCAAGTCAGCAGGATTGGAGACCTATGATGCCCTTTCTCCTCCACTCATGGATCTGATTGCTACATTTACTGCGAAGAAATCCGGCGTGAAATTTGCAAACCTGTGATGAGTATCCAAATACTTTTCTGAGACTCGGATTTGCGCTGAAAACCTTGGAATAGTTCTCAGGCTGTTAAGTATGTCCGAGTCATTAGTGCCACGTAGCATAGAAGCACTTGAAGTATCAATGACTTAAATTAAAATCTTCAACCTTGGAAATTCTAGAGAATCAATAATGCCATCAATTTTTCGGCACTCAGTACATCAGGCATTTGGGAGCATCATGATACTACATACATCAATTGATCAAGCAGCTCTTCTACCAGTACCTAGTCCACCTGGGCGTAATATCAAATTCAACTCAAACAAAACAACTTGAAAACATTCAAAACTTCCAAGGTTGGAACTTTTCAATGCCAAATTACTAGTACTAGTATTGATTGGAGGCTTCGTTTCAAACAATACGAATAATACGTCCACTGCCTGAGTGGTGCACATGTGTGTCGGAGTCAAGACTCGTACCCAATTGAACTTGAACATGTTTAAGTAATAAATATTCAATAACCTTGGAATTTTTGATGATTCACCTCTACCTTGGAGACGATCAGTCAATAAAGTATACGGTGCACTGAATGGCTTCATCCTGGATTGAATGGATTGGAGGATTTCTCAAATCTCAGACATATGAGCTTGTTAAATCACAACATTTGAAAGGCAATTGCCAATGGCAGTTATAGAGCTTTTGAATTGTTTTTCCTCTTGTCAATTTGTGTAGTATCTTATCTCTTTTTCATCACAAAATTCGGGGGAAAACCGGGGTAGAATGCCTTATCTCGAGGATATGGAAACCTGTTGCATGGTTTCATTTCTAAGTGAGACTCATTATACTTCTTGCATTAAGTAGCTCTATTTCCTAATTATTCTCCTAGGCTATATCGGGTGTTATTGTTAGTCAGGAGCTTATATCAAAACGAACATGTCGGTTATTGGTCTAGACTATCTTTACTAGTTTTACTTTCAAACAGAAATTATAGTTCCCTTCATCACCATATTATTCTATAAAAGCTAAACACCTTTTTAGCATGTTTGATTTTTCTCATCTGATATATCATAGATAGATTACTTAACTCTCACTTCTGACTCATGATGTTTGCTTCCAACTTCGTCTCATCTTTTCAACGTCGACCATCACGTGCACCATCCAAATCTAATTCACATTCACTCATAGACTCGCTTCACTGTATTCTTATGGTATTAACTGACTCCTGCCTGATCTCTGAAAAAGATATTCCCATTATAAATTCTTCTTATTCTCTTCCTCTCCTCCTCATTTCTTCCTTAACTTCATCCACCATCCCAGAAAGCTGTAAGTTCCTTTCAACTACTTCCTGATCTTGTAGCTTGTGAACCAAGGCCCACTATTTGGGACACAGATAGAATACCTCCTTCTGACCATTCTTCACATCTCACAGAAAGCACTGCGGATTCAACCAACATGGATTCCCAGAGGTCTGTCCCCAATGACATGGGGGAGGCACTGGAGAATCCTCCCCACTACATCGCCGAATTCTATAAATTCTGCGATGATATCAAAAATTGTGCCTCGATGGCCCCAAAGTCAGGGGTGCCGACCGAATATTTGCTCAGCATCGTGTCATATGCCAAAAGGGTCGTTGATTGTCTGATCGATAAGAATGCGGCCGCTTCTTATGGTACTCGTGAAAACTCGACTATCCTCAGCAAGGTCAAAATATTTGGCTACAATTTTGTTGATGATTCCCCTGACTTTGACTTTGACTACGACGATTCAATGAGCACTGACGAAAGTGCCAATGGTGACAGTGATTATGAGGTTGACCAGGAAGAGCTCAATAGCTTGAAGATTAAAGTCAATGAGAAGATGAACCTCGAGTGGAATGATATTTTGAGCAATGATGATGAGTCTCCTGGTGCTCAGAACCCTCTTCCCAACACCGTTTCTCAACCCTCTCACCATGCCGCTCTCAATACCTCTCAGAGTGCTGAAGTCACCAATATGGAAAAGCCAAAGAATCCCGTGGAGCAGGTTGGCATAAAAAGTGAACCCGACACTGCCACCAACGAGCAAAGTTCCGTTCCTGAAGCCCGAGAGTCTTCCATTTCAATTCCTGCGACAACATTCACTATTCGGTGGAGAAATTCCGCTTCGCCGTTCAAATTGTGGCATAAAGTCTACATAGGAAGCATTCCCATGGGCTCTCGAACTCGTTTTCTCTCTCGAGTCATGACCTGTATCAGAACTGCGATTCTCGCGATCCATAACCCGATGTTGGATTCTCTTGCCATTACTGCCCTCGATGTGAATGCCGGCACAGGGGATGTCAGAGTCCACACCCGTTCCCAGCTAGATCGAAATCTGCTTCTTCAAACTTCCAGTTCTTGGCTTCCGTATGTCGATCGAGGCCATCTTGCTCAAGTTTGGTCCTCTCAAAGCTCCGAGGAAGTCCAGCATATCGATGAAGCTCAACCTCAGAACACGGATCAGTCCCACGGCGCACCACGTGTCCTAGCTCCGGCAATTGAATTCGATCTCTAAAATTCTGGAAGCTTGCACAGCTCAAGATGTCAGAAGGGAAAAGTTAGGAAAAAGAAATTTTCTGGCCGCCCAGCTCCCTGAAAACTGACGGATGACTTGCATAACAATGGTCTTGAATCTTGATTTGCCCGTTTCATCACACGTGTGAGGTTCAAAATCTGGTGGAAACAACCCTTGGATTATCTATTTTTGGCCTTTTCATTTGAGAAAATGGCAGTGATTTAGAAAAACAGAAAAATAAAAAAAATAAGTCGAGGCCTCGCCGCGTTTTCTTGTGGTTGAGATTTCCCTCTTCAAATCTTCCCTGAATACCCAGTTTCCTTGCCTACGTACATCTCACGAGTAATCTTTATCTCTCATTTCATTTTACTAAATTGCGGGTTATGTCTGCGCTTCTTCATTCTTAGGCCATAATTCCATCTTCAAATATATGTATGCTTAATAGCTATGGGCCGAGTGGCGGTATCTGCTTACTATTAGACGTCAAGGCGGTCATACCTCCGGACCATGCCTGGCTCAACTGAACATTGATCATCATGAAGCCTTTAGTAGATTGAGAACATAAGTCTGTCTTAGAGCCCAGAGAAAATACTAGTAGATGTGTGGGTGCATCAAGGGGGATTTCCGAATGCGGTAATGATGGTAGATTCAACATTCCTCACTATCAAAAGTTCCCACCTACTACAAGGGGTCCTGTGAGTCTGCACCTCTCCAAATCAGACCGCCCTGTGATACAATAGATATGCCATTTAGTTTTTCTTTTTTTCTTCAATAGTGTTGGCTGTTCGATGTTCATGTGTACGCTCTATGGATATTGATGTCGGTTGTCACCAGGCACTCAGGAACCGGAACCTCAACTGCATGCGGAATACAAAGCATCCGGATCTATCCGTGGAATGTAGTATTCAACCAATCCAATATTCAGGTACTGCTGATCAATTGACCATTTGGGGCTCTGCTACATAACCACCGCCTGTCATAATACCCTATTGTCAAGACCTGAAACCTGGATCTGACGTTGCCTTCCCGTCTGCACCTCACGTCTGCATTCATGCAACTTACATCATCACCGTAGTACTTGAGTCTTGATCCGGGATCACTGTGCACAGGAAGACGTGGTATCAATAGAATTAGATCTAATGGTTTCAAATCCTCGAATATAATATGAATGTTGGACATCCAAGTGTTGTCTATTGGATTCTTGCAATCTGTAGAGATATTCCTTAATCTTCATATAGGTACTCATTATGACAAACTGGATTCTTGGAGACCGGTTTGATACCGTGTACCCTCACAAGGGCTCTATCAAAGCTCTGTGGGAGACAAAGTGGAAATTCTGCGTGAGTACGAGCTACATTTGAAGACCTGCCAAAAAAGAGAAACACCAAATTACTTACAAAGTCTTAAATTCAAGTCCTCCAAATCAATTTACCCCTTTCACGATGGAGAGTTCGAGGATTTTGAGCCAATCTTCGAGAGCTTAATTGCCGTGAGTCTTTATGCTCTATCATACAAATGTATACATGCTGATCAGACCAGAACAACATCAACGACCCTTTCACGGACGCATACACGAACAACTTCTCCCCAGTTGTCGACAAACTCGAGGAAGAGGCAACCAACGCCCTCAACAACGGCCACCCGGATCGCGCCTCTGATCTCTTCCGCCGTGCAGCAGTGGTCCTCCGTATCTCCCGCTTTCCCTACGTCAGCCCAACAACCCGGCCCGACAATGCAGTCAAGCGTGCGGCCTTCGATCGCCAGAAGGATCTTTACCTGAAGGCTGCTTCTCTCTGGAAGCCAGCTCTCAAGGAAGTTGTCATCCCGCACACCCGTCGCTCCGGTAATGATGGCACCAGCATCCCTCTGTACATCCGTGTTCCAGAGGAGGCTAGCGCCTCGCACCCCGTCCCTGTCGTTCTTCTGATGACAGGACTTGATGGTTACAGACCTGATAACAGTCAGCGTACTCATGAGATAATTAATCGCGGCTGGGGAGTTGTTATCTGTGAGATTCCCGGAACAGCGGACTGTCCTGCTGATCCCGCGGACCCAGAGTCAGCAGACCGACTCTGGACTGCTGTGCTTGATTTTATGGCTCAGCAGCCGGAGTTCGACATGGGTCATGTTGCTGCTTGGGGCCTGAGTGCTGGTGGTTTCTATGCCATCCGGGCAGCTTGCACCCACAGGGACTTCTTGGTAGGCTCTGTGGCACATGGTCCAGGCTCGCATCATTTCCTTAGCCCTGAATGGTTGGCTAAGGTAAACGATCACGAGTATCCATTTACGTAAGTCCTCGCGTTGGTTTTGATTAAATAATATATCCGAGTACGACATTGGCTAACATGGAAATAAAGCATCACGGATTGCTGGGCTGAGAAGTACGGCTACGCTACTACAGAGGACTTTATCCAAAACTCTCAGAAGAAGTTCTCTCTGGTTGAGACCGGTGTTGTCGACCAGCCTAACTGCCGCCTCCTCTTGCTGAATGTTAGTTTCTCCCCTTTCGTGCCTTCTCAGAGAACCCATAGCATTCTAACAATTCTCTTTAGGGTGTTGACGATGGTGTTGTTCCCATTGAAGACTCACTTGTTCTTTTCAACCACGGCAGCCCCAAGGAAGGACGATTCTTCGAGGGTACAGTGCACATGGGATACCCGCACAGTTTGCCCGTCGCTTATACCTGGCTGGAGAGTGTGCTATCCCCTAACGCCACTGAAGTCAAGAACTAAGTAGACCCGTAAGGGTCGTTCAATCATTGTCACTGGTTGATTTTCTTTTTTAGCTATTGCTCTTTACCAAGAATGGACCCCGTTTTCAAATTTATTCATGGTGCAGTGAAACAATGTTGAAGAATAGGTCAGCGTAGATAGTCAACCTTGGAAGTAAATATGAAATTCAACCAATTACTATACTCCGTACCAGTTGGCTAATCCTGATAAACGGTCTCTTCAATATGGACCAATCATATCGAAAATATTTTATTCTTGAGCCAATTGAATTTCAAATTCCACAAAGAAACCCCACCACGCCATTCTCAACTTGGACCCCGATATTAGCGGAAATGAGTCAAATCTCACTCCCTGAGGGGTTGGAATGTATTTTCCAAGACTCGGAGTCATTCACAACTCACCTATATGAGACTCTCAAGATACTTCCAAAATTTGAAACTTCCCAAGCAAATTCCTCTCCACAGATCGCCCACAATGGCCTATCAAATCGAATATGCCGCTGAGCAGGATGCCCCAGAACTAGGCCTCATTAATAATGACAGCTTTCACGCGCGCGCGATACTTCCCGCCATGTTTCCCGAGAGCAGCCAACCCACTCTCCGTGCCTACAAGGCCGTCCATGTTATGAAGCACCTAGCCAATCCCGAGACCCACGTACTCAAGGCGACAGACCCCACGAGCGGAGCCATTGTTGGGTATGGGCGTTGGCATGTCCCCGCTGTTCTGGGCGTTACTCCGAATGTGCCCGGGCTAAGTGAGCAAGCCCAAACCTATGCCAAGGATCCTATAGCCTTTGCGCCGGAGCCTATGAATCGGGAAGTCAATACTGCATTTCGAGCGTTGTTGGAGGAGGGACGGAAGCGTCATACTACTGAGCGGGATATGAGTAGGTCTAATCAATTATTTTGGGTATCTTGTCTTGATCTTATACTGATCATTTAGTGCTTGATTTGTTGGCTACATTGCCCAGTTGCCAAGGTCGTGGTGTGGGGACGGCGCTTCTCCTTTGGGGCACAGAGTTGGCAGATAAGTTGCAAGCTCGAATCTACCTCGAATCTACTCCAGAAGGCTATCCACTCTATCTCAAGTACGGATGGAAGAAGATCGATGAAGCTACATTAGATTTGGATCAACTGAATAGTCATGGGAAAGATACTTTTGTGTTAATGATGCGAGATCCCCAACCAGTTTCCTAGTTGGATGACTATAGATCAGATACCTCGGTCGACGCATTTCTTTGCGTAATAAATCACTGTTCTACTTTCACCATTCTCACTCCAATGCGTAGTAGAGTTTAATCACAAGCTTTCAAGCTATCTATCTAAGTCTTGGCTCATAAAAACGATCTGGGAAAGGTTTCAATCTCGGGGGATCAAGCTCCGTCTCTTCCATCAAGGTACTAGGAGTATGTTGTCATGCGGCGTCCGAGTCTACATGTAACCTGCAGCCTCGGCTCTACTCATGCTAAAATTTTGTTTATCTTCAAGTTCAGCTTAGTAGTCTGAGTGTGGTATGAAATTGAACATTGAAGCCTTGGAGTATTGTTAATCAGAGAAGCTCTTTGTAGTCCCCCTCTACTCCGTACATACCCCGCATATACTACAAGGACTTGCATTTGAGGCTAATCCCGAGGCATGCTGTGCATCAATTGATTTAAACCTGGTCTAATACATATTAAATGATGGACTATTTTTTTTACTAGTTGACAACATTTGAATGACTATGGCGTATCGGCTAAGCTCTTAAGCCCGGAAAGTGAAGCTCCGTCTCAGTGTGGGGAATTGGCGGGGTTCAAACCTCCTCCATCATATACAAAAAGCAGAACTACGAAGTATCTGGTGCTAATAACATTTGAACACTCACACCATGCCAAACCTCAAATTCGCTATTCTAGACGATTACCAGGGCATTGCGCCCCCGTACTTCGCCCATCTGGAATCTCGCATTGATATCACCAGTTTCCCCGAGACCCTTGATCCGCGCGATCCCGTTCAGCACGATGCTCTGATTCAACGCCTCCTACCTTTTGATGTCATCCTCGCTATGCGAGAGCGAACTCCGTTCGCTGCAAACACAATTAACGCGCTTCCAAACCTCAAACTCCTTCTCACTACCGGTCTCCGAAACCTCTCCCTCGACTTGCAAGCCTTTTCCGATCGCGGCGTCCCTGTCGCAGGCACTGAGGGCCGTCCTCCTGGTGTGAATAGTACAGTACAGCATACCTGGGCACTGATTCTCGCATCAGCGCGGAATGTAGCACGGGACGACGCGGCAGTTAAGCGGGGAGGATGGCAAGGATCACTGGGAGTGAGTTTATCGGGAAGAAAATTAGCGCTTCTGGGATTGGGAAAACTCGGGTCCCAAGTTGGCAAGATTGGTATTCAGTCCTTTGGGATGGAGGTTATTGCCTGGTCGGCCAACTTGACTCAGGAGAAAGCGGACGAGCAGGCTCAAGCACAGGGTTTACCCGCGGGCAGCTTCGTGGTAGCGGGGTCCAAGTCGGAGTTCTTCGCGCAAGCTGACTTTGTCAGTGTGCACAATGTTCTCTCTGAACGAAGTCGCGGTATTGTGGGTACTGCTGAGTTGGCGACTATGAAATCCACGGCTATCATTATTAATACCTCGCGTGGACCCTTGATTGATGAGACCGCGTTGCTGGACGCCTTGAATGCGGGACAGATTCGCGGCGCTGCGCTGGATGTCTATGATCCGGAACCACTGCCAGTGGATAGCCCTTGGCGCACTACCGCGTGGGGTCAAGATGGACGTAGCGAAGTACTTCTGACTCCTCACATGGGATATGGAGAGGAAGACTTGCTCCGAGGATGGTATAAAGAGGTTTCGGAGAACTTGGAGCGATGGTTGGATGGAGAGACCTTGTTGCGCAAGTTGAATTGAATATAGAATTTTTTTTTCTCAATTTATCAATCTCTCGATTTGTCCAATTTTCTAGATCTCCGTTTCTCCCTTTGTCCTGAAATTCGGCATCACTCACATGCAACGGATGTTTTCCCGTTTGTAGCAATGAAGTTTCACCGAGGTGATGCCAGGACTCGGAATAATCACGATCAGCCGCTAGTCGACTAGTCTAATAGATGTCTAACACAATTTCCGTGGAGCCTAAATGTTAATCGGTACTAGTTCCTGTTAGTTACGTGTAAGAATGTATGATTTCAAACCTCGGTATACGAGATTCTTGGTATTCTTGGTGAAACTCTTGACTCCACATCCATCTTTCCCTCGGATGAAAGGGAAATGATTTCATAGAACTTGAGTGTTGTAATTATATAAACTCTAAGGTTCCTCTCTAACATTACTCCAACTAAAGCTCCCAATTTCGGTTGATATCAAGCATCATCTCCCTCCCTTGATCCAATGGCCCCTTCCGCCGATCCTATCCCCGCGGTTCCTCCCCACAATGAACTGCCACCTCCGTCACATCCCGACAGACTACACGTCAATCGCAGCCCCAAAGCCTTCGGAAGCGGCGCATACTCACTAATTGACCTCCCCGCTGGCGCTCTATTCGCTAAGATCAACACGGCCACTCCAGGCAAAAAAGCCTACACAACTGTGCAAACGGGTGCAGATACCCACATTGAACTGAATTCGGATCTTGTCTATTGCAATCACTCATGCTCACCCTCGGTGGTATTCGATATGGCTCGCATGGAAGTTCGCGTGGTGGATGAACGACCATTGAAGAAAGGAGATGCTTTAACATTCTTCTATCCCAGTACGGAATGGGATATGGACCAGCCGTTTCAATGTACATGTGGAGCGGAGGAGTGCCGAGGGTGGATCACTGGAGCCAAAGTGATGCCATTGGAAATTCTGGATGAACATTGGTTGAGTCCTCATATTGCTAGTTTGCTGCAAGAGCGGAAGTGAGGATTATTTGAATGAGCACTCGAGTGGACAAGATATGAGGCTTGAAGATACCAGGAGGGTCTTGTGTTAGAGGCAATTTTCTAGATGATAGAGAAATAGACGTGACATTTGAGATAATATTGACGAAACAAATTGCCAGTGATATGTAGATGAGAAACAGGTACGCCATGTTTATTGCAAAACAGGAACAGGAATGAAGCAAAATCAATGCGTAGATGAGTAAATAAGTGACAGGACTCAAGAGCCTCCACCAGCACCTCCAATGACCGCACTTTGAATTACCCGACGTCGATCAATCTCACGCTTAAGCATGACAAGGCAAGTCGCAACGACAACACACTCGTCAAGTTGCAGGGCCTGCAACGCCGAATTATCAATCTGCAACTCTCCTCCATTGCCTGCAGCACATTTAGATGTCCCAGGTGTTCGAGTATCAGTGCTGCGAACAAGCTGTGCAACACGACGATCGTCTTGAGAGTCATTATCCTTCTCTTTGTTATCTGAACTTGAAAGCGCTCGCAAAACAATCAAATTCGACTTCTTCCCTTTGGCATTCTTCTCCTTCGCATATGACCATTCATATGCCGTACCTGTTGACATGGAGAAGCGTGCAGAGCGTGAAGTCCATTTACCGGTTATCTTCACCTGTTCAGCCAAAACACTGGATGTTTGTAACAAACAAAGCACAGGGTCTCGGTTCGGGCCGAAGAAGTAATCAGTTCGAATCAAGTTGCCACGCTTTGGGTGTGAGAGAACACTATTGCCAGACCAACGCCGAGCACGAGTCGAAACATAACTTATGCTGCCGTCAATATTTGTGATTGATATTTCGGTTTGGCTAGACGGGAGTGGAAGGCGAAAGGCACGGATTCCCTGAGCATCGATATTCAAAATTCGATAAGGATAGAACGAGCCCGAGTCATGTAGTGTACAAAGCGTACTAGAACTACTAGCAGACAGTGAGGTATGGACTTCTTTAGGGTCGAGTTGGGTAGTGGTTGTAGTAATGGTTGTGAGAGACATAGTTTATTTGAGAATGATATTCTTGATATTGAGTGACTTTTGGGATTTCCTGGCGATTGATGGAGTTCTTATACCCGTGAGGTCATAATGGTTCTTGACCCCGGATACGAGAGTTGCCTCATTGGGAAGAACGGGTACTAGATCCACGGAACTGTCGATCCCACATTCTAATGAATTTTGGGTTGTGATGAGCCTCGTATCCGATCTGAAGAGGCTGTGTAATGGGTCCTAGCGATTGACTTGATGTGCTCCGGCTTATTCCTGCTCATATTTCTCTCCGTCGAGTATTGACACCAATGACAGACTGCGGTTGGCTGGGAGAGAAAACCCCACCACTTCTCTGATGCCAACCTCCATTTTGCGCCAGCTTAAACAGTCGATCGTCCTTGTTCTTGAGAGATATTTGACCACTTCATAGCACCAGATAAGGCCGTCAAACCCACTTCGACTAAAATCTATGTGGTAAAAATAGACTCGGAGGATAACTTTTCGTAGTTTATTCATCTACTGAACCTTCCCGATCACCGCGCACGAGTGTATGCCTGTATCCAACTCAAAGTCAGGGACCTCGACAACTTCAACCTGCCATAGCTCACGAAATGCACCAGTGGTGGTTGAGGGACATCGCTTGATCTCGAATTTCGTACCCGGCATCTGTCCCGCTTCTTTTCCAGTCATCCTGGCTTCGATTTCGCTTTTGGAGGCCACTATCAGAGCATAATGGGTTGTGTTGGGTCGACCCGGCTGTTCATAACGGGCCAGGAGCAGGCGTGGCTTGTTACGCCTTTTCAATCGACTGAGCGCAGACTGGATAAATTTCATCATTTTGGGGAATGTAGATAAAGAAGGCAAGAAAAAGGGTACAAACTGAATTTTTTAGAAGAAAGTTTCGATAGAGAAACACGAATAGAAGAGAGAGATGAGTAACAACACGCCTAAGCACAAGGCCTCACTTCGTGGTCTACCTTCCACCGCGAGAGCCCTGGAGAAGGCATGACTCAAATCACCCCGGCGATGTCAACATCATATGCATCATATGTATTACTTCTTAGCGTTTCTCTTTGATTCCTTAGCCCATTGCTTATCGTCTTCAGCAGACTTCTTTGGTTCGCGGCGTCGGCTTTCTATCCATCTCATATGCACTCTTTACTCGCGCTTTGCTGCAAATGTTGATAAGCGATATGCCCAGGTGTCAACATCAAACATTTGACAAACTCTTAATTAGATCTCACTTGAAGCCTCTCTAGGCACTTGGGTATCTATCACTCATTTTCCTGAAGTTGGAATCAATTTTCGAGCAACGGTACTATACTAAAGTGCTAGTTTTGTGCATGTGAGGAAGGGTTCAGGATCATCTCAAGTGCTTCACCTCAAGCACTATGTACACGGGGAAGCAAACTTCCAAGGTTCGTGCTCCCACTACATAGCAGTCTGGTCTGGTACCTAAGGTAATAGCACCACTCAAACTGGCACCTGGGCAGTTCTAGCAGTATTTGTCTTGTCACATGTGTAAGGTTCAAAAATGTTCGCAAACCCGGGCCATTCAAGTTCAACTTGAATTCGACATCTGGAACTTGAAGTTGAGCATGATGCCAGTGGACTTCGACCTCCAGGGCTTGGACTCGGAACTTGAAGTTGCGGACTTCAAATTTATTGATCAGCACTTGCGATGTCGCATGTATATATCCTACCACTTCCGAGCCGTTCAAGTTTTTGTGAACGCCACTGATGGAAATCGATCGCAAGATCATCAGTCTGGACTCAGATTATTTTCCAGGAGAATGGTGTTCCAGACAATGAATAAAAGCCTACCAATGACTTCAAATTTTGTGGTAAGAGGCATCGCCACCCCGCATGTGTGGTGTTGAACATAGGCAGGGCTAAGCTGACTAACAATTGGATGAATTATGTTTTTGGTCCACAGTGTCTTAAATCAAGTTGTCTGATATCTACTGGGCTTGTGGTTTAGTGGTATAATACTCCCTTAGCATGGGAGTGGTCCGGGGTTCGATTCCCCGCGAGTCCATTTTTTTTGTCGATTCTTGCTCCACCCAATTGATCAAGAACCATATTTCTTTTTAGTTTTATATTTTTAAATCAATGAATTCAATCTGATCCTGCTAAACTTTCAAGTTGGAAGTTGAGAGCCCGAGTATCAATCGTACTCCTATTCTCCTCCCAAGGTCCCTTGAGAATTCTATCATTGAAAATTTGAATCACCTATCATCGGTTCAAGTTCTCTCATCAATGTGCTTTCTCTCTATGTTTATGTACTAGTCATTTCCAATTCATACCCCACTGGGTAGATAAACATCCCAGTCATCTATCTAAAACATCTATGAACGTATATTCACATGTGCATGTCACAGTTCACCAACTTTAGACGCGGGCCCAGATATCCGAACCTGTCAAAATAGTGCTCAGCACCATTGTCACACCCAACACAAGATCTCCCGTGGGCATCCAATTCAACAGCTCCGCAGGAAGCAACAAGTCACAACTATCAGTCACGATTCGCTTCACAAGAGCCGGGGTGTTAGAAGTGCGAGGAGCCGGTGCGGCAACCTTCTCCTCATTCTTCTCCTTCTTGCCATTCTTAGTCTGAGGCTTCTTCGCTGGCTCTGTAGCTGCTGAGAAGAAGATGCCATATATAGACCCAGCAATGGAGAATGATAAAGCATAGAACCAAAAGGTGTTGGCTTCACGCATAACGCGTGCCTCCCAGGGTACCGTATAAACACCCATAGCATGCAACTGATTTATTAAGGATCCCGTGAGCCATTGAAGATCCAGATTAATAGAATAAGGGAGCACATACAATTGTTAAATCCTCCAAGACGAAATAGAGACCGAAGCAGGTCCATTTGGCAAGCTCTAGCCACCCAGCCACAGATCCAACCCCACCATTGGTAAGCAGGGTAGACACTCGTTGAAACGAGTCCAAGAAGCCGAAAAAGCGAAAGAATCGTCGAGCTGTTCGTTATTAGATATGGATCTACTATAATTATGCAGGGGTAGCTACTTACTCAAAGCCAATTGCAGTTTAGCAGCTGTCAACCGCACGGCCGTGCTACCGACGGTAAAGACTGCGGCTATTTGCGCGATAGATTGGATTAAACGGAGAATCTTCTCCAGACCAGCGCCATTATTGACGAAACGAGTAAGGTGTTGCATTTTCAAATGAGTCAAAAAACAAAATATTTACAAGGGAAGAAACGAAAGACAAAAAAGACGGTGTGTTGATGGACCCGGGGGTAAATCACCTAATCGCTAACACTTCCCTAGATTGGACCTCGGAGTAATCAACGTCCACGGGTTCTTCAGGGTTCCCGACTCCATAATAATGCTTATTCAGCCTCCACTTTCTGGGGACTTTAAGTAAAAAAAAAATTGGAGAATATAAGATACAGAGTCTTTATTTATGGAATGAGCTATACCGCTAATAATTACCACCAATAAGGGGGTTCACGAAAGCGACATCATACGTTACTGCCCAGGTGTGGGTCAGTCAACAGGGATCAGGGTCTAAAGTTAATCTGATATGAATATCAAGCAGCATGAAGATGGAAAGATAAATATGAGCCCCTGACATGATTTGCAGGTGGCCTAACCAATGGCTGGTGTATTATGCTATTCACAGCAGTTGAAAATAGGTCTATCGTCCCTTACCACCGGAGATATCCTGTCCCAATCGGTATCCACCAACCTTCTCCCACTCAACCTTCTGGCGGGTGATGGGGAGCTGACGTCGCAAGCCCTTGAACGCCCCCTCGGCCATGGTGACAAATGCTCGGTTTAGCTCCTCTTGGTAGTCACGCTCGGCTCCGGCAATACGCGAGATGATTGACTCGGCAGAGACCGATGACACGGAGAGGTTGATTGGCTTGGTAGTGTTGAGGGAAACATTGCCATCCTCATAGTAGTGCACGTCGACGTGGATCTTTCCAGTCACGGTGGTGGAGGAGGAGGAGACGGGAACTTGGTAAATGGCACGGAAACGACCGTTCCTAGAGAAAGCAAATATTAGCACAACGCCTTCGAAAGTATATCAGATTTAGACACCAACCAGAAGTTGTTAGGGGAGTAGCGGTTTGCAACCAAGAGGATTGCGACAGCAGAGTCGTCTTCAATTGGGTAGACACCGTATGAACAGTTGGAGTAATGCTCACGGGCGTGATTGCCCAGGGACTTGAGCAAGGATTTACTAAATGAATGTAAGTAAGACCGCAAATCCTATCATAGATAATGATCAGGGGGTTCCAATGCTCACATCAGGTCGGCATTCTGAGATTCCAATGGGAACGATTGCGCCGCAGAGGCAGTCTAAAGCACCGAATGTGAGTTTTTGTACAGGTTGAATAAACCATCCATGCAGGCCTACCTGTGCAGTGTGATCGACTTCAAAAGAAGTCTGGTTCTCCGAGTCAAAGTAGCGATTGCCCTCGACCTTGTTAAATTCACTGACAATAACCTATCCTCAACATCAGCATTTCCGCCCCAATTCTCAAATGGCAGTGACCTGTGCCACCTCTTGACTTGAGCCCGGTAGTTTCACTGTAGTCAACTGGCTCTCATTGTATCGTTCGAATGCGGGTAGGAGCGAAGGAATAATATCGTCGCCCTCGGTCAGCGCTTGGACATCTATCGGCAACGGAGATTCAGCATCAATGCATGGAGGTATTAGGCGCGCGGGGGATCACAGCCCCATTTTGAATCGGGCAGATGGAAGCGAAGAGGGTGAAATTACCAGCAACAACGTCGGAGAGCTGTTCAGCAAGTTTCCACGGTTAGTTATTTAGCAACACGGAGTGGAGGGGCACGGAGTTACTCGGTCCCTGACAGGAAGTAAAGATACGTACTTCACCCGGTGGGGCTCCTTCAATGAAGGCAGATGCAAGCTCAATAGTAGAGGCCATGACGAAAATACAGCAAGCTCGAACGACGATGGAGAGATTGGGGAGAGGGTGTGTTTATGATTATGATTGTGATTGCGGAGGTCAAGAGCTCGGGGCGGGGACCCGCACGTGGTTCCGCCTTCAACCATAACAAGTAGATCGGGAGCTAAATAGAGCAGATACAGGGTCAATTTAATGGAAAGATTTTAATATCATTATGCATTATTCTGCATGTTCATAACGAGACATCCCACAGATGAGTTAATTAGATAGAATGTGGACTAGAATAAAAAGAGTGTGTATCTGCGCTTCGGATGCCCCAAACGCCTTGTCATAGAACAAAATGATATCCAGTCCATTGGCGCCATAATCAGCGCTAAGTCACAAAGAAATACCTGAACTCCGTGAAAAACCAAAGAAATGAAAAAAAGATGACGCCGAGTCTATTCAATGCTCATGTTCATGAATCCATCGCTGGCCTCAGTCATACCCTGTAGACCCACTCGTTTCGTGGTGCCGCTATGAGGTGTATGAGGTGGATTCTGAGGCGTGGTACGGTTTCCACTCTCCGTGCTAGGTCGCTCTGAGAATGGAGCACCAAGTTTAGATGGTGGACCCCAGATATTGGGGCCAATGTCAACCACAGTGGACGTATGGGTTAGCACCGGGCTGCTTTGAGCACTCACACTAGGTGAGACAGCTCGGCGCTTGAAAAGATTAGGATCGAAATCATCCTCACGGCGTCGCTTCCGACGAAGTTCGCCCATGGCGGACATTCCCGGTGCATGCGGAGTTGACGAGCGGGAGCGTGGCTTGGAGTCGGCAGTAGTTGATCCGATTGTAGTGGATGGAGTCATGTCCATCAAAATATCATCATCATGTACGGATGAAGCGCCCTGACGCACTGGAGGTGGGGTACGATAGCGGCCATCGAATGAGTTCCAAAAATCAACACCTCCTGAATTGCGACTGGCTTGTTTGCTGAAACTACTGGATGAGTGCGGCTCTTCAGGAATAGAATCAGCCTCGGGCAGTGCATCGGGTGGCTGGTCTGGCTGCAGAGAAGAGAAAGTCCCAAGTGTTGGAGATGTCTCAGGTTCGGTATCGCGGACTTGTCGAATAACCTCAGCTTCACGCTTGATATCACTGTCGACGGGCTTGCCCTCTTCCATCAAAGCGGCACGAATCCGAGCAAATGTCTTAGTTTTCGGCTAAAGGAAAAGGGTTAGAATCAGACCATTAAAAGCCAATTATTTGGGATGTAAATTACCAGTAGACTTCCTCGTCGGGTAACTGCACGACGTATTACCCAAGGTCCACCATCTGAATGAGATCCACCTGTAGGACTTCCAGCTCGCACTGCAAGACTCTCACCATCATCACTCAGATCAGAAAGACGAAGATCCCTTGTGCCCAGACTCAAGCTTTCTCGTCGTGTGGAGATAGATTGCCGGTGGGCGAAATAACCTCCAGTCGGATTCTCCACACTCTTCATCACTGGAGGCGAATGGGGACCAGGGCTGGGTTTAGAGCTGTTACCACTAGCGCTGCTGGAGCTATGTCGACTCCTGCCTTTTCGGAACCGTGCTCGTTGGAAACTCATGAGGCTAGCCGTTGCCTGAGAATAGCCGCCCATCCAATCATTTCCAGGGCTCTGAATGTTGCCCGTCGTAAAGGGACTCGGTCCGCTGGCCATTCGTGTGGCCTGGGGTGTGTTGAGCATCACGTCGTCACGGTCACCCATGATGGCATCGTCGTCGTCTTCACTGCTACTGGTATCAGATTCCAGCATGTTGACGCTCGAGACAGAGCTCGAAATAGCCGTTCGATCCGCGGGGCCAGAGGTTGAGAATAGTGGAACGGAAGTAGAACCGAGAGATCCGCGCCGTTGAGGTATGATCATACCACGACCTCCGATTGTGGGCGACGAGTCGGGCGAGGACTCAGCGAGGGTAGAGTGGTGGAGGTTGGTGCACGCTCGCGAGAAGTCGAGGCCACGAGAGCGTCGGGGAAGAACAGATCCAGGTGAACCATAGATCTGAGAAGAGTCGAGTTTCGGTGAAAGCGGGGTACGAGAGAGTGAAGGGGAGGCGGTAGCCTTTGAGGAGAGATTCAAGGATAAATTGGGATGGTGAATGTTCGAGCGATTGGGCGTAGCCGGTAATCTAGGGAGCGCGCTATCATCCTTGCTCGGTGGACGACTTAGGTCCCCTGTCGATGGTTGTGTGCTTGGGCTGATAGTAGGTTTTGATGCGTCTGACAAAGAGCGTGATTTGGGAGACCGCGACACAGGGTCCGGCGCGGACGATTCTGGGTTCAATTGCTGGCTTAATTTGCTCTCAAATGGATGAGCCGATGCACTTCGCTCGAGTCCTGGAGGTCTGATATGAGACATTCTCCAGGGATTATGATCATCAGAGTAGAACTTCACAAGATATGGCCGACATTATTGGTATTGGAGAAGAGAGGAATACAGTCGCGCGTGAAGTTATCGCGACGATCATCGGCTAAACCGAAAGCGGAGTCGCCCCTCAGTGACGATAGGAACATACTTGCCCAGGTGGTTCAGATGAATAGAACTATGCTTATAGAATGAGATTTATTTGATATAGGATCTATACTTGATAAATTCTATCATATATGAAGGAATTATTATACTTGCCAATCAAAAATGAAGAGGATGCAGGATGTCTTACAGTAAAAGGGTCTCGGACTATCATTTCTTATCCATGTCCCGCCTAACACGATTGCAAGGTTAAGTACCAAACTACATACAGTATAGTATCGTAGACAAGATCCCCCATAATGACTTCAAGTTTCCATGCAATTTATCACTGATAAAAATAATGTCTCTGTTTTATTCGATTCTGGTGTACTCATTTCACCGTATACAACTTGAAATTAAGAAGAAATCTGTTAGAAAGGGTTGTATAGTACAAAGTGTTCATTGAGCACCGGGCCCAGAAAGGACTCGGAAGTACATGTGCAACTCGAAGTTTGAATAGTATTTGAATCAATATTGATACAGTCAGAATCAGGCCAGACTCATAGCATCACTAACTGGTACCACATACCACTCCCAGTCGTTCAGTCCCTTTATCTGTGGTGCTTTAAGTAGATCCTGGTCCCGAGCCTGCCAAACTTGAACAATTACCGCTCGAGTCCGGGCAATATTAGAAATAGTGGACTCGGCCATCGCTGATAGGGCACGCAGGATGATAGACCTGCCAGATACTGTGCCATCGGGGGAAGACCAGAGCTCGTCATGCGATGGATCGAGCTCAACAGCTGCCACAAAGAGAGGCCATGTCACGCTGGCTAAAGATCCGCGATCTAACTGCTCCGACAATAATCGAAGAATTTGATGCACATATTCAACCACTAACGGTGTCGTAGGACTGGCCCCATATAGCCCACAGTGTAGGTAAAGTAGAGCAGCGAGCCGTTTAGCTTCTGCAGCGGATGCCAGTGCGTCATCTTCATCGCCATCGTCTCCAACTTCTTGAACTAGATGCTCGAGTTGGTGCTCAATGGATTTAGCTTCAAGGTAGAAGGTATCTCGAACAGAATCGGAGTCAAGGTGTCTTCGCGCTCGGCTCATATCGGTAATCGTTGAAAGAATAGAGACCAACTCAGGGCTACAGCCCATCCACAGATCTATACTGCGATCATCCGCTTTCCAATAATCGCTTCCAAATAGCACCTCTTTAGCACAAGCGGTCCGTCCCATGACATCTTGGAAAGCAAAGAAATGCTCCGCAAAGGCAGAAGCAGGTTCGAGTAGGCTTGATTCCTCAGGGAATGCAAGTGCACGTTGTCTTCTTAGCCTAATAAGATCTTTAGCGCCCTTCAGATGTATCGTCCATTGTTGATCGCATTTATCTGTAATCTCGTAAAGGCAGAGCATCATCATGATCACCAAAACTTCGGGATCTGCGCTGCACATTGACGAGCCTTCGTGCGAAAGACGACGGCGAAGATCCCTTAATGTCTCAGACTTCAAACGAAGACTAACAGGAGCATACGATGGATCAGCTCGAGCCCTATGACATGCACCTAGTGCTTGAATGGCCTTGAATAGCGTAGGCGAAGCGGATACACTGAAAGGTAGAATCACAGAAGCAAAGGGAGAAGACATAGTCGAACTGGCGCTTGTACGAGGACAGACTTGTTGAAGGTAATAGTCAAGAAGTTCCCCATGTCCGACCTGTGAAGCTTGCGGGAATAAGGATAGAGCTGGCATAGGATTAAAGCGAAAAGTGGTCATGAGAGCCGGATTATTCGTAACATTACGAAAGACAAGGGAAACCTCGCTCTGTTCGTTCGAGATAACATCCACATCGCTAGGGTTCTCATATGTTCCCACTCCACTATTGATGAATGCCCACTGTTGGATCTGTGGTAGGAGACACCACTGGCGCAATTCATTTGGTGAGAGTCCTGTAGAATAAGGAGATGCAGCTCCAGAAGTAGATCCATCTGATTTAGCTTTATTCCAAACTCCTGCTCTTCCGAAAGCCGCGCCACGGCTGACGAACTCAGACTCCCATTTAAGCACGAGGTTGGTGGTGCACGTCAATCCTTTCTCCCAGCAGCGTGTGCAGATTGGCTTTTTGGTGTCACATCGTACTCGACTAGCTCGGCATTCTTGACAGCCGCTACGAGACCGGGTTTTCACCGGTCCCGTACGGTCGGCGGCTTTTCTGCGCGGCATTCAATGTCTCAGTGGGGAATGTTACATGGACTCGGCTGAGGGACGAGTCAAACGTCCACCAGGAGGATGAATTTATCACAAGATCATTCAATTTGAGAAGGACCGCACGTTGAACAGGTCCATGTCCAGGTGAACTTGAGACTCGAGAGTTGTAAGCACTTAAGGCGAAGTTGAGGTGAGAGAAACGGGACCCCGCGTGGCGATAAGAACCCTGGAACTTATCGAATTGGCCACGCCGAGAAATATTGGATCCTGGAAATGCTGAACTATTCAAGCTCAAGACAAGTCAGTTGAGATGGGATGAGTTCCTTCTTGACGGTCTATGCATGGGATCCCCTAAGGTACAATTGAAGCGCTAGGGATTGGTACTGTTGTCTACAAACTTCAGTCTCTATACTTCTAAGATTGCAATGCACCGATAGAGATGAATAAAGTCTTTTCACATTTCATAAATCTGTTCATGCATCACTAAACTCTGTACAAAGACACACCCGGTCAACGGGATGGGGCGGTTTCCTCCAACTGGAATACTTCCTCTGAAACGTGCTCGTCGCGTGGGATAAACGGCTGTGTTACGCCTTGCTCTTCATCACCTAGCCTTCCAAATCCTTCCCGGCCAATGAGATCGGTTTTGTCATAGGGGACATCACAGTGAACCGATCGTAGTGGTCCATAGTAGCGGCGGTAGGAAAACCAAGCTACCAACATGCCGAGGAGTCCACCACATGTTACATCATACACATCATGACGATAGTCAGCCAGGCGAGATAAGGCGACTAGCAGAGCGCACAGAAGTGGTAAGAATGCAACCAGACAGCGGCCCAGATCTGTCCGAGGTCGAAATACATGCATCTGACCAGACAAAAATCTATAACAATCAATTAGCACAGAATTACATATTGATTAGGACGACCAGTGGTACTGGGGTCTTTAAGATGGCAGAATTTCGCTTACAGAGTGAAGTAGCCCATTCCAGCAAAGGAAAAGCTGCTGTGGCCACTAGGGAAACTGCGCCATCCTTCATGGAGAAGTTCTTGACTGGTCTGTTTACAGACTGTCCACGTGAGAAGTATATTATCTGGTGTGCCCCGACCAGGCTGACAGCGGGCCAACAGATCAGGGCGTGGCCTACCCACCGCATTCTTAATAATATCGGTCAAGACTGAAGTGAGGATGAGCGATACAAGGAGTCCGAGTATGGTGGCCTGTGTCTGCTGCACTCCGGGGCGCGTAATCGCAGACCATGCGAGGATGATTCCAAAGGGTATTATGCCGGAATAGATCACTGAGAAAACTAATGGAATGATGAGTATCGCTTGGCGCAAGATAGGTACGTCTAGAAAGTCATACTGAGAGGGACTCGCTCATGGGCAGCCATTGGGTATTGGATAGACTTGTTATCGAGGGAAAACATGCGGTGGAAAGGTGTCACAAATAGTTGAATCTAATGGAATAAGGACGTTAGTAAATGCCAATGCGAGAAGAAAAGATCAATAGAGAAGATACCAAGATCCATATTGTCACCAAAAATCCCAATGCGATATAGTCACCCGCATAGGTTCGTTGATAGAACCGAGCAAAGGCGCCTCCAAGCCCAGCACGTTGAAGCATTGGACTTGAACTCCCATTTCCAGAGCCAACACGAGGCATCTTGGATAAGACAGGTGAAAAGGGACGGAGTTCAGGGGGGGTCTTCCTTTTCACCAAACTTCATTGAGAATGTTCATTTCGGGGGGGGGGGTGGGGCGGAGAGTCGGCGTAATGCAGACCCACTTTCTCTCCGGCCGCGTTCCTTGTCTAAGTTGTCTCTTTACTACTCCAATTCTTAGCTAACGAAGACCACGAACCCCACGCAACCCACGAAGGTCCAGCTTTCCGAACTCGTCTCTCAGTCAAAGCTTCAAATCCTCGATAATATGGCTGATCCAAACCAACAACGCGTCACTGCAGCCTTTGCGCCGCCCCCGCCATTATGGAAATACTTCACACGTGAGAATCTTGACAAGCTAGAGGAGATCAAGAAGGCTTCGACAAAGGAGGATGAACGACCAAAAAGTGATAAGCAATGGACACCACAAGAACTTCGAGCACTGGAAATACCCCAAGAGCTTCGTTTCCTTGTCCCGCCAGAGACACCAACATCGGAATACTCAGTGTTTGGTGAATTACAAAGCGTGAGTCGGGCCCGACCTCGAATTATCATATGGAGATAGGATATTAACCTGAAACTGTACAGCTTTCTACAGTATTACCTTCCTTGAAAGAGCAAGGCATTGAACAGCTCTATCCAGAACCTACCGCAGACACCCAAGACCCTTCAAAACCTCAACCCTTGAACCATGCCTACTACCTGCTGAAGATCAGCAAGTCTCTCCTCCTGAACTTCCTCGAGTTTGTTGGAATTCTGTCAGTCTCCCCAGAGCAATTCGAACCGAAAGTTGAAGACATGCGCAATATGTTCATCAACGCGCATCACCTCCTCAATCTATACCGCCCACACCAAGCCCGCGAATCACTCATCATGATGATGGAGGAACAACTAGAGCGCACAAGAAACGAAATCAAACAAATGGATAAGGTCAAGGCCGATATTCAAAGTGCCCTGGAAGAATTGCAATCCAGTGACAACCGTGACAGCTCAACAGAGCGCCAAGAGAGTGAACACGGGCAGTCAGAGTCGAATTTACAAAGGGCTGAGAACTCACAAATACTGTGGAACCTTCTTGACAGTGAGATTTGAGATAAAAATGCATTTAAACTATCAATCTTTAATGCGAATATTGGATTGAACCACTTCATTCCAGTGGAAATTACCCGACCCTTGACTATTTGTCGCTCCAGGTTTTCAGCATGTTTGACTACAGATCGAGTTTTGTTAATAGATACCCCAATTATGATCAATAGACACAATATGGTCTAATCAGGTTCAACTTTTCAGCCTCATAGTTGTAGATGTTGATTCTCATCATGGTAACTAGTAGCCACGCTGCAGCAGTACTGACAACGCCCAGTCAATGCTTTTGCCTGGTTCAGTATCAGAGGTAATATTGATTACTATAATTTACCAGTGACTCGGGAAACCCAGGCTTAAAAGAACCAGATGAAACTTGAAATAGCTCGATTCTAACTCTATACTAGTACATATACGCATACTGCTCACCTGTGTCCGACCCCATATATCCCATGATCCGGGTATTTCCAGTAGTACTCCAATTTGAAAGGTTCGCTCCAAAGATCCCACCAAAACGATTGACCAAGATTCGAGATGTCATCAGGGATTCACCACCGAGCCAGCACTCTGTTCCCTCCACGCCTTGTCGATAGCACATTCCGCCAGCCGTTTCAACTCAATGACGAAGTCAGCTACCATTCTAAGATGAACGATTTCATTATTGGGACGTTTCCGTGGGAAGATGCGTTCCATCATTTTCGTCGCCACTTGGAGACGATCTAAATCGTCCCGGGAGCGAGGGTCTAACGGACTAGAGAGAATGCTGCAGAAGATACTGAGCAGTGCAGACATAGGATAAAACACCAATGTCCTGGGGATTCAGTTAGAACTAGGAGATGGCGATTAGAATGTATAGTGGAAACGTACCAGAAAACTCCCTCAACAAGGACATGTTCCGCGGCTTCGAGGTAACAGAGTGTTGAGCGACTTGCCTCAACTGATAGAGCAAGACTTGTGTTGATACCCTCCAACATCCCACTTCCTTCCCTCCATGCTTTACATCGACTGCTTGCGGAGTGGATCAGGGATATGCAGAAGTAGTAATTAAGACGCAGCATAACAGAATGCATGCTGACTTTTGGATCAGAGGCCTCAGGTGAGAAAGACATGGTAGGGCGCCATTGAAGAGGGATAGACATTCTCCATTCCTCTAGCTCGAAATCCAATTCTCGAATCGACTTTAGAAGATCGGCATCGGACTTTTGCATCGCACTCACAGAATATAGCGCGCTGTGTGTTCGGGATTTAATAATGCTTAAACGCAAGTCAAAAGGGAAACTGGGTTGTGAAGAAGATAGACTCGTGTCTTCGGGATCTAAAAACGCATGGTCCACATAACCTGGTGGGAGAGTCAAATCGCAGTTTTCATCTGCAATTGTAGGTGGCTGTCCCGTGCGAAGTGATACATCTTTATCCATAGTGTAGCAAATCCAAAAGAGATTGCGCAGATGGTTTTGTATCCTGTGGCCTCGTTCACGTAGCGAGTAAGCTCCACCATTGAGCAAATTACCGCCAAGCATAAATAGTAGACGGGCTGCTATTGAGCCAAAGTAGTTCGTAGCCCGCATATTCCCTGATGAGACCTCATATAGAGTCTGGAGAAATTCCAAAATGATCAAATTAGCATGGGACCCGTTCAAGAATACGAATAGACAGACAAACCATCATAATAACAGCCTGTACACCCTCCATGCTGGCAGGCTCTTGAAGAACCTGTGACAATAAAAACTGAGCCTTGGAAGCCAAGGTCTCATGGTCTATATCAAGCGATGTATAATCTGCAATGGGGAGGACGCCTTTGATAGGCGGGAGACGGGCAGCAAACGCCAAAAAGGCAATGATGCATGCTCTAGTACTCGCTTGGCCGAATTTAAAGCTGGACTGAGGTTGTTGATATGCTTCCTTAATAGTCACCGCAAATAGTTCATCATCCACAACTGGAAAAATGCGTCGCATTATAGCCGTGTTTTTATACCCCTCGAAAAAGGATTCCACGTGTTGTCGCGGTGGCAATTCAAATACTCGATGATTATGATTGCGCAAATTCATCAAAATGGCGTTGGAGCCGTGACCTCGCTCCTTCTCCCATGGTGCCCTCGCTGGACTAAGCTTATCACTGGAAATGGTCTGTCCAGTACGAGACTGGATCCATTCTTGGCCCTCCGGGACGAGGAATGGAATTCCTGTGAGTAAACTGATACCGCCCAGCTCTCTTCCTGCAAAATGAACGCCTATAGTGGACGAAATAAAAGGCTGATTGCTGGTATGAGTACTGGTGCTGTTACTGGGTGAGTTACTCGCAACACTGTCACTTGTACTGACTGGCAAGAGGTGAGAGTAATCTCCTGCTTCTAATTCGAATGAGATGAAGTCCAAATCCAAAATTGACCAGATTGAGAAGACTTACCGGCATTTGACTTATGCATAATATTCTCCGCCAGAAGCTGTTCAATGCGACTAATTCGATCTGATAAATGTGAGTTTTTGGTGCGACTACTTCAATGGTATTAGTTCGCTATAAAATATCCCATTCCCGTGCTTCAGGATATAAGCTCACTGGATATCTCCTTCTGTTTTCCGTTTCCGTTGCACTACTCGATTAAATGTGCATGGTAGGTTATGGTGGCTACACCAATTACATTGTGGAACTGCCGCGTCACATTTGATCTGGTGGGGTTAGTACATGTACCGAAAATCCTAAAGAGACCACATCAAATTTTTCGCCTTACCTTGCGCTTATAGCAGGAATCACACGCACGTGCAGTGCGCCTGCGCGGCTCATCTGGTTGATTCATGGAGTTGAGGAGTTTGGGAGATTGTAGATCATTCATCATCATATTATGGCGTCGCCGAGGGCCACTCTGACGCTGAGTCAGCGGAATCTAGGCATCCATGGATGCCCAGGTGAGAATTGATAGCAATTAAACTACACATCGCTTACGCGTTTCAGTGTTAGTTGGTAGATTGAAAAGAACTAAATTTCAAAGTAAAAGACCCAAGATTGACCGAGTAAACATGAACCAAAAAGGGACCGAAACGCCTTGGCCGGCTCTTGCAATAACTCCATGTCTTTCGCTGATTCAGGACCTTGGGATCATCCATGCAGTATAATCCATTGGGCACAGAAATAAAAGAAAAATTAACATCAAAAACACACAGACAAGAAATGCTCAATATCCATCAGAATCGTAATCATCGTAATCCCCATTAACCAGCAATGAGCGGTAGCCACGCGAAGCAAGGTTAGCTTCCAACCCTCCATCAGAAGCCGGGTCAAAGTATCCTATTGTTGATTAGTTTTGGCACAAAAACATAAGAAAACCTCAAACGGATGACATACCTCCGCCACCAAAGTAGCTGAGAGCCACTGGAAGAAATACGAGAGCATGGATGGCTGCGAAAACAACCAGCGCTAGCCAGACACGGAAGTAGTAGATTTCAAAGATCTTACTTCGAGTGAAAGCGAGCACACATACACCCAACAGCTTGGTCACCGTGATACCACTGAAGACACTTGCACCCACGTTGACCATCGCCGTCCAAGCTCGAGCATCCTTGCCACGGAGCTTGACTGGTGCATTTTCCAGAAGAGTTCGCGAGGGGAACATGAATGCCCGTGCAATATGAGCGCAAAACTCCACGCTGATGCCAACGCAGATGACTAAATTCACCAAGGAAACTGCGTTCAAGGAGACGCCAGCGACTGCCATGGCGCCAATGATGTCCACTACGGTCATGACCACGGTGGTCGTGATGACAGCACCAGTGGCAATGGATCCGAGGATGGCAGAAGTCAGAACAAAGATGATAGCCACCGCGGATCCCAAGAGGGTGCCCGTTAATTGAACGATGGAGACATATTGATCGAAGAAGATATAAAACTTGGAATAGGGGAATATGTCAATGCCATGTTCCTCAGAAAGGCCATCCGAAATGCGACGAGCTGCCACGTAGGCTTGAATGAAGTCATCCTGGCTTTTCAGGGGAGTGTGACTGGTACGGAAGTGGCTGGCATTGATCATAGTGTGTTCTCCATCAATCACAACAGCATTGCTGTAGGGTGCTCTCCCACCAAGAGGACAAGAGGCGTCCGTAGGCGCATCGATCCATTTTTGAGCATATTGGATAAACTCCTGTCCTGTTGGCATTCCGGAAAGAGTCAAATTCCATGCAGGCTCCCGATCCTCGAAGCAAATCTTTCCATCTTCTTTACAGCAATCCTGTTGTGGGTTTAGCCAGTAGAAGAAGTCATCAATCCAGCTTGCAGCAGACCCAGTAAGATAGGAGACATCCGGACGCTTAGATTCCTGTTCCAGTACAAACGGCAAAGAGAATTCTTCGCAGGTTGTGAATCGCCCGCAAAGCTGTTGTTGATGAGACCGCTCTGTCATGTTGACATCTCGAGTGACGAAATATACAGGCGGTCCTGTGCGGAAATAATCGTCGAGGTCGTCGAAGTAAGAGATGAGATATGAATCACTAGGGAGTGCGATGCGCTGGTCTAACCCAATAGGAACCTCGGGGATCAAGGCCAGACCAGCTGTCAGGAGACCAAGGAAAATAATCACGACGGCTGCTTTTACGCGCTGATCGAGGATAAAAGGTGCATATACACGACGGATGAAGCTCTGTAAAGCGCTCTCCGCTTCCTGCTCGTCGTAAATTTGTGCATCAGATAGGCCGGACGAGTTGGGTTTTCGTACCGTCAGACATGGAAGACAGTCCGCACGAAGGTTTTGTACTCGTCGTTGATTGAGAGCAAGTACCGCGATAAACATAGTCATTTGAAGAATGGCGTTGATGAAGACCGCTCCAGCTGCATACGCAGCGAAATTCTTGACCGCAGGCATACCGACGAAAACACCCAGTGCAAAAGCCACCGTCTCCGTCAGGGCAGACAGAAAAACACTCGGACCAATCCTACCCACTGCACGAGCAACTCGCTCATCAATCTCATCGTCTGGGTGACTGAAATTGACCCGCTCGAATTCATGCACAATTAAAAAGATATTGTCCACGCCGACAGCCAGAACCAAAAACGGAATAACTTCGGCGATGATCAGCGTCACCTTGATGCCAGCCGCAGAGAACAATCCCACCGAAGCGGAGACCGACATCAAGACGATCAAAATTCCAGCAATGCCAAGTGTGAACTTCGATTGCACCAGGGCGTTGGCAGGGTTGGTCAAAAGCGACTTCCATGTGACGGTGACCGAGCCTAGAGCCAGGGACACGTAAAGGAACATGGCCAAGTAACTTATCACAACGATCTTGGCATCGGTATTGGTGGACTTATTAAGCTCTTGTTCCAAGCTGACCTCCGCGTTGAAGGAGACCCGAAGCCCACGCTCTGCAGCCTCCTCCCTGACAACGTCGAATATACGACGGAAGCTGTTCTCCCAGTCGATGGCCCTCTCCTCGCCCTCGGTGCATTGGGCGAAGTTATTGACAACCCAAGTGACAACTAGAGCCTTGGCATCCAGAACACTATCAGAGTCATCATATCCGCCAAGGACCATTTCTGGCTTCAAAGGCTGTGAGAAATCAGGGAGGCAACTGACGTCTCCAGGCGATTTAGTGCAGTGGACGAGTCGGTCTTGCCAGGTATCGGGGTCAAGGTTAAACACAGACCCACCAAAGTATCCAGTCAAAGACTGAACCACACAAGCATCGCCCGTGGGCTTAAAGCAGACATCGTCCAGGTTCAAGCCTTCATTCAGGGAGATCATGCGCCGTACACGCGATTCAACGTCAAACCACCAAACCAGTGTGTCATAATCTAGAACTGGACCGGTTTCATTGACCAGAAAAGCCTGTTCAGCTCGGTAAAAAGGACCAAAGTTCTCATCAAAGTACGACTTTTCCTGTGCGGCTGCCGATGAAGGGCTCACCCAAAGCCGAACTGGGTCAGTCTCAACAGTGAACCGTAGCCAACCCAAGCTCAGCAATATCGCTGCTATGACGCTAGAGGTAATTGTAATACCTGGGAAGCGTGCACATGCACCGCCAACGTGATAGAAGATATTTGACAACAGTGTGTTTGGCTTATAGACACCCTGAGGGTGTTCCATGTACCCTCCGCGGTGCACAACCTCCCCTTCATCCTCCTCATCACTTGGAGCAGGGTCCTGAAGGAGTCGGACTCGTTCAGGTTTGCGGAAGCGGCGTTCCTTGAAGGTAACGTAGCTAGCGAGCCCCATAACCAGAAGCAAAAAGGCAGCATAGATGATGATTACAGCGAAGGAGAGGCAAGGCAGTAGCCCCACATGGCAAGCACCATGGACAGATACCGCAGGGAGTTCAGGGCACACATCGGGGCAATCAACGCAGGAGCAGCGGAATGACGGGTCTGGGTCATTGCATGCCTTCGGGTTGATAGACACAGCCTCCATGCCCTCATCGTCCGACGAACGAGGCTCAGTGAGGTAATTGATCTGGAAGGGGCTCCCAAACAGTTTCTTGTCGCCCAAGAACTTCATGAACTGGGTGTAATCCTTTGCACCTCCACCAATGAAGTCGATGGCTTTACCCCCGGATGCACCATTTTTGACGTTCTTGCAGCTGTCAAAGAACCCACCCTGGTACTCCTCCGACCAAACATTATCCAACTCGGTCACAAGCTTCTTGCCGGAGGTACTCTTTTCAGTCTTGGTGACATTGATGAATAAGGATTGATCTGGTGAACAGGTAAAAGTGCAGAACGTATTGAAAAAGTTCTCGCGACAGGCAGGACAGGATGCAATAATACCTTCAGCAAGGTGCAAATTACTCGAGAGTGCATCGATCTACAATCGGGATTCAAATTAGTATTCTTTCTCTCTCCGAAATAGTTATTGGTATCCTATGTATGGGCCCTCTTACCTGTTCATCACGACAACACACAGGGCCTTCCTTCCACTTTGGTCCGCACAGATTCACCAGCTTCTGTCGCACCGAATCCTCCGGTTGATGAGCTAGGTCATTATCTGGACAAGGGAGTTCTCCTCCAAAGAAAGACTGCTTTCCACATTGCCCACGAATCGCACAGCGTCCCTTCTCGTGTATTGCGGTTTCACCCTGAGCGCCCACTAGCGATGGGTGAAAGGCAAAGGAGCTCAGCCCAATAATCGTAGTAACAAAAACTAAAGACCGCATAGTGCCGTGTGGAGGAAGCTAGATGATAAGAGATAGTTTCCTGCTATCGTCCCATAAGCAGCACTATATCCTCGTCACAGTCGCAAGGTACCCAGGGCCATGAGCTATTTCCGTACAATGCAAGCTCAATTTCCGGGCGCGATGATGAAATTAGGAAACCAACGAAGTAAAGAAGTGATCAAGAAGCCATCAGAAAGCTTCAAAGTACAAGGCTAAGAATCAAGTGGTGGAGTCAAGGGGTGGGGAAGAGAAGGTCAAGAGAAGAGGGAAGCATGACGTGCACGGAGAAAGAAGAACCGGGCGGGTACCACTTCGGCCCCGCACGGCATCCGCATCATAACAAGTACTCGGCAAGTACTCCGTATCTTCAGAACTGAAACCACTAACGTCAGGCACACACCGCGGTCCAAGTTTGAGGGGGGTTGGCATGACCACGGCCCAAGCCTGTCATCTATTGAGCTAGAAGCTTGGCCTGCATATCCTAGTATGCAAGCATGATCTGGCCCAAGACCATTTGACAAGAGAGATCCGGTCGCTCCTACTAGGTAGTGGAGTGGTTGAATTAGACAGCTCGATCGAGTCACTTATGAGATAAATGGCTTTCACAGGATATTAGTCTGATTTACTGGTGACACTGGTAGTCAACGGTGTTATGCACCAAGTAATAACCCGCACGATATTGTTACCTTTCCCAGGATCATTCTATCATAATGTTCTAACAGCTTCAGATAATATTAGAAAACAGATGGCCACAATATTTAACTAGTGCATACTATGCCTATTGTTCAATACTACAAAAATCTACAAGTATGGCGAATCCACAAATTGACACATTAAGGTCCAGATGGATTGATTGAGATCATTTCGTGACGATAAACTCCATATGAAAGCATGGCTCTATAACACAGAAACTCCGAGGTGCGAAATACAAAGCATGGCTTTATCTGCATCGCCGATCGAGTTAGCGATGAGGAACATCATGTCCAAAAGAAGCAGGAAATCAGAGAGAGAAAAGGAAAAGAAGACCAGGAGATAGCCGGTTAAATACAGCTTCGCACGTAGAGGGTATCATCTTATTTCGAGGGATATCATGGCCAAATTTAGTAGCCCTCCTCTTCACCCTGCTGATAAATATGACGGGTTCGAGTAGGATCTTTGCGCATTTGTTGGCCTGAACCGGTGAAGCCCACTATAATGAGAAAACAAGCCAAGATTAGCATCAACAATATCAACACATAATATGACTCCAAGAAGATCTCTTACCTCGTGCATTGACACCCTCGCCAGTACGGAACATGCTCTCTTTCTTGCCGAACTTGCCCTTACTTTTGGCAGCAAAGTCCTGCCATTTGTTTTTGCCCGCCTCTAATTCCTTAGTAGCTTTCACCTTACGGGGCACTTTGGCAGGTCGAGCCGGTCCATCAGTAGCCTTGCTGGGTTCCTGCTTGGCCTGATTCGCCAAAGCCGGGTTGATATCAGCCGCTGCAGAGATCACATTGGGATGTGCGGGCGGTGCGGGTGAGGGCGACGCTGAACTGTGTGAGGTTCCATCAGCCTTGCGCTTGCGAGATTCATTGCCAGAGACCGGGCGGATGTCCTTGGCCGTCAGATTCTCCACGGTAGCGTAAGATTTAAACGACACCAGGTACACAGGGTTGCTGGATGATCCAGTAATTGAGGTGATACGAGCAGGGTAAAAAGAGTTATCGCCTGAGACCCAGCGAGCGAGAACGATATCATTCACAGAGAATGTTGCGGGTGTTGGTGGAACGTCATCGGTAGCGTCTGTGACTGGCTTCCGAGAGCCAGAGTCCTTGGACCATGTCTCTTGGGTTGATCGGGATTGGGACTGTGATACGGCGGGTGCAGCTGGTTTGAGTTCGGCGATTGCAGTTTCGGTAAGGGTTATGAGTTCTTCGAGTTCAGTTTTAAGACTCTGCAGCTCTGTATTATCGGGATCTACCTGCAAGCTAGACTGGACTGTTTCAAGCTATAACGAGGGTGGAATTAGTCGGATAGGCCATTGAGCGATGAGATGTGGCGGGCTTTTTTTTTCTTACCTGAAGCTTGAATTCTTTGACCTCTGTCTCCAAGGAGGCAACGTCTGACATGGCGGCTGATTTGAATTATGCGAGTCACAAAAGAGAAGATCTGTGATAAGAAAAAGAAATAAAGAAAAAAGCAAGTTCAAAGGTATATGGCGAATAATTGAATGGTATCCTACGGGAGGTTTTTTGGTGGTTTGCGGTGATGTTTCCAACTCATGATCAGGTGACCTTAGGCTGCTCTTTTACATACAGGTTTGCTACTATGTGTGCAGAGAAGTATATGATGGAGTATGAAATTCAGACTTGAAACTAAATTGAAGTTGATAAAACTATAATGATCCTGGATACATCAATGTAAGGTTATTACAGTAGTAATGCATATGAGATCCTCCATATAGATACTTATTAAGGCTGTGTTCTGGCTGACGTACAATCATTGAAATGTTGGAGTAAAATGATTGATAAGCGATCAGGTCACATTTCATAAATGGTAAAGATCGACAGTAGAAGGTTAGTAGAAGCTAGAAGAAGCCCTCCTTCTTGACGGGGGTTACCTTTATCTTTAGCCCAATTTGCTTATAGATGCAGACAGTGCAATATGAATTGCAAGTTTATCTAAATCATGATCGAAATTACTTCTGAAACCTCGGTAAGGACTCGGACTCGGAGGTCAAACCTTGACCGGAAACGGGAATCGTACTTTGCCACACAGATCATATAGCCTGATCCTGATCCTATGAACATTTGAAGGATTCTAGTAGAGCCCAGACCCTAGATTAAGGCTACCAGGCTACCATATGGTATACGAGATGAGTCACCATAGTGTTTTGTTGGGAATGTTAGGGATCTGGGGAAGCTTCCAGTAAGGTGAGAGAGGAGTGAGTGAAGTTGAACCTTTTCATTTAGTTTTGGTTGAGGTTGAAATGAGATTCTATCGTATATAATAGTGAAATAGAGCAACATCTTCCCTCTAGCAGAGTCAATCAGTCATATAAGTAATGAGTGAATACTCCGTAGTTTTAACTCTGAAAGAGAACTTGGAAAGAGATCGAACTGGATTTCTAAGCAATGGTCCCCGCGCATTCCTGATTGGCCGTCGATCATCATTCGGGCCAATGGTGCCGCCGCCCACCGCGATCTCCTCATCTTTCTTTCTCTCTCCTCCGAGCCTATCCTCTCTCTGGTGCTCAGATCTTGACAAAAAAAAAGGCGGAGATCAAAAAAAAGTGGGAGCCTCAGGCCCCGCATCATTCTTGCAACTTTCAATTCAATTATTCTTAGTTCCTTTTTTCCTCTCTTTTGCCCCCCATCTCTAGAACTTTACCCCCCCCACCTCCCACGTCAGCACAAAATTCAAGCTACTTACCCTCCCCTGTTAACTCAGTCCTGGGTGATCAGTTGTCTTCTGGTCTCCCAGAAACTGTCATTTAATTTTCCATTCGATTTTCTGCGGGCGATAAGCCCGGTTGAGCAGTCTCGACATCATCGAGCACTATCTCTATCAATCCCCTTACCTTAAACATCCCCGCTGTGTAACGCCACCCCGCCTATCGTGTCCTCAATTCAGCATCATGGGTGACTACGACCATCTCTACCAGCAGGGACTCTACAACCTGTCCCCTGATCAGCAAGATCTTCTGCTGGCCGCTCTCTCCTCCAACAACCCTGCCGGCAAGCAACTCAACCACACTCCACAGCCCAAGCTCGAGCATAGCCCTGATCACACCTCTTCAAATGGCATGAGTGCCCCTCCCTCGGGCGGATTTGAAAACCCTCAGTCTGCTTTCAATGCTTTTGGCTTTAGCAACGATGACAGTCCGTTCCTTGATTTTACCCCGGACGTCGATTTCGAATTCACTGGATCCGCGGATCTAATTGGTGATCTTCCCGGGGATGACTCTCTCCATGATTATGAAGCAGGAGAGAAGCGAAAATCAATGGATGGTGCATCTGATGGCGAGGTGGAAGAGACAGGAAAGAAGCGACGAGAGAGTGAGGCCAAGAAGCCTGGTCGGAAGCCACTAACCTCGGAACCCACGACTGTAGGCACATCTTTGGAGAACGAGTTGTTGAGTATTCAGAATGACTAACTAGCTACAGAAACGCAAGGCCCAAAACCGAGCTGCTCAGCGGGCATTCCGAGAGCGAAAGGAGAAGCACCTGAAGGATTTGGAGACCAAAGTGGATGAGCTGCAGAAGTCCTCGGATACCGCTAACCAACAAAATGGAGTGCTACGGGCCCAAGTCGAAAGGCTCCAGACTGAACTTCGTGAATACCGGAAGCGACTCTCATGGATGACCACTGGGAATGGTATCTCCGCAATTAGTGCCATTCCAAGTGCTCACTCTCAGGGAGCGTTGGGTTTGCAGAACAACGAGTTTCTGTTCGACTTCCCCAAATTTGGCGACCTGCCTGGCTCGCATCTGTTCAACGGACAAAACAAACCCGATCAGTCAAAACCCAGGAACAACCTGCCCCGGGCTCCTGGTGTTCCCGGTGTTCTGAGTCGGGAGAACTTGCAGGGTCTCATTGGGGCCCCCTTCGGCTCATCTAACTCCAAGTCCACATCCACCAATTCCACATCTAGCACCCCTACTGCGACCGCTAGTACTAAGCCAACTACATCAAAGGGAACACCTAATAGCACCGCATCGATCAAGACACCATACCCCAATTTCAAGTCGTCGACGGTGCCAAATCACGAGAACTCCACATCGGATTCGCCATCATCCTCGTCCGATTCACATCAGAGCCAGATGCTCTCATCAAGTGGAACTTCACCTGAACCGAGCTTGAACTCGCCAGACGCAAAACACAATGAGTCTGGTTGCAATGTACATGGCTCTGTCCACGGTGAGGAATCCTTCTGCGCAAAACTTGGCATGGCCTGTGGCAACATCAATAACCCCATCCCAGCTGTACGGGATCAACAGGCCAAACCCAACAACGCCCCCAGCGAGCAACAACCCGCCGACGAGGATTCTCTTGGATTGGAATGGTTGGCTCAGCAAAACGGGGGTCAATTCGACCCTGTGCTATTTGGAGACTGGCGTGAGCCACAAGATGCGGTGCTTTCTCAGGACTTTGGCACTTTCTTCAACGACGCATTCCCCTTGCCAGATCTTGGTAGCCCATCGCATAACTTGAGCGAAGCAGCTCATCCACAACCACAACCCAAGAAGGACCTCATTGCTCAGATCGATAGCAGATTAGAGGAAGAGGTGGTTCCAGGTGAGGATAAGGCACAGATGCTTTCATGCACAAAGATCTGGTATGTTGCAATATATTTTCGAAATGTTTCTGAATCATAACTAATGAAAATTCCTTGTAGGGATCGTCTGCAATCCATGGAGAAGTTCCGAAATGGCGAAATTGATGTCGATAACCTGTGTTCCGAGCTGCGGACTAAAGCTCGCTGTTCAGAGGGTGGTGTGGTTGTGAATCAAAGGGATGTCGACGATATCATGGGCCGCGCCAAATAGTCCCTCATTTAAGATGGATTTAATTGACATTCCATTGCCCAATGATTTTACTCACGACTTATGTTCAAATTGTACTACGTTATTTCTACTCATACCCACCATCGAATCATTTGAAAACAATACGGCGTCATGAACACGGCCAGGAGAGAATTGAGAGGCAACACAGCAACACCGCGAATAATGCCCTCATTTTCTTCGTTTTCTTGAATTTCATTTCTTATTTCTGGCGGCCTCGTCTTTCTTTCACGTTCTCCTCTTATCTTTTCCACATGCAATTTTCTTTCTCTTTTCTTCATTGAATCTTGAGTGATTCGTAGTTTTGTTTTTCCAATACCTCTTTTCTTATTCTTCTCAGCCTGGCGAATGTGAGACACCGGGTCTGTCTTATGGGTGGTCGGTTTCTTGTCTCAGTCCTTCCTTCAATAGTTTGCCAGGTTTTCTAGAGCTAATTTCGACATGTAAGAACATGGGATCTGGCGACGAGATAGTTCTCTGGGACGGCTTGCGCTCCTTACCTTTATCTGCCATTAACATCTGTACACAATCTTATCAGTTACACAATGTTCTTGGATTCTCTTCACTTAAGGTACTAGTAGCCTCTATCAAATATTCAAAATTCCTATGCTTCATATACCACTACTAAGGAATCTCATACTCACCACGAACTAAGCACCTCATTACTACTAAGTAGTGATAGTAGTTGTACTCGGAATATTTACGACTAGTGAGTACGATAGAGCATAAATCATAGATCGAAGCTGTAAGGGTATCGATGTTGGTCTCTTCGAGGAAGAAAAAAACTAAAGTACAATGAAAAAGATGCCCCATGAGGCGAACAAGGGCATCAAAGGTAGCATGGGGTAGACTTAAGAACTCTCTTTTTGGGGCTTTTTGTTTTTTCTTCCTGTTTCTGGGACTCGGAGATTGCTTGCATCTTCCACAGCTTTTGCTTGTTGCAAAAAACCGTGGACTTTCTTCCTAGCACTCTGGCTCCTCCAAAGTCCGTACATCGACTTTCCTAGGTGCTTAGAAACGGAATCACGCTGCGAGCCTATCACCTGTAGAACCGAGTACGAGATAAGTGCCATCTCACTAGGACGAAAACTGGGCAAAGCAGAGATATGGGGAATTTGGAAAGTGTTTCTCAAGAAAAAATAAAGAGGAAATGAAAAATAAAGACACATAAGAATTAGAATGTGGGAGGGGGAAATCAAGCGTGGGGGGAACATGAAAAAGTGGCATGGTGAAAATAGGTGCCTCAAATGGAAGGATGCTTTCATCGTGGAGAATAAAAAGAAATAAAAGAATATTCGCTCAACGATTAAGCATCTCCAGATGCGGCAGGCTTATCACCGGAGGGAGTTGAAGCAGGGGAGTCGTTAGATGCGCCTCCCTTGTAACCTCCGCGACCACCACCACGTCCACGGGTACGGTCACCACGTCCACGTCCGCGACCACTAAATCCACCCCGGCGAGCTCCCTCGCTATCACTGGCACTCTGGTAGTTGGAGCGAGGGCCGGAGGTACCACCGCCGCGGCTGCTGCTTTGCCAGGTACCAGCATTGCCCTGTCCACGAGAACGGTCCTCGAAGAACTTGAACTGGGGCTTGCGAGTCTGACCTCCAACTGAGGGCTTCTTGTTCTCAATAGACTGGCGGTCAAGTACTGCCTTTGCATCTTCCACAGTGAGGAAGGTCACAGTGTGATTGAACTTGCCGTACTTCTCGATCTTCTCGAGCTTGAGGATGTCTTCTTCAGAAAGCAAGTCACGCGCGGCCTGTTCGTTGTCGACACCTGCAAGGAAGAGCACATTGCTTGGCTTCTTCTCGGCAGTACGAGGAGCGGGGGAATCACCGGTCTTCTCCGACTGGATAGAGCCATTGAGATCAGCTGCAGCCTTCTCCTCAACAGCTGGCTGAGTCGCGGGCGGAACTGAAACCTGAGGGCTAGGGGCCTTGGGGATAACGGGAATTGGGGAACCTCGAGCAGTCTGGGTCTTAGGCTGACCTTGCTGCTGGCCAGAGACAGGAGCCCGAGCAGGTGGGGCCTGGCCAAACTGAGGAGTAACAGAAGGGCGACCAGCACCAGTTGGGGCAGGCGAAGCAGTAGTGGCGGGCATACCACCAGAGACAGCCTGGGGACCACCGCCTACAGCAGGCTTGCCGCTACGGTGAGCGAAGTTGAAACCCTGTGCGCGCATCTCGGTCGCAATTCGTCCACCCTCGATCTCAAGAACCAAGTAACCGAAGGCGGCATCGGCCAAGTTGAAGTTCCACATGTTCTTAAAGGCGCTCTCATCGACCTGACCGGCGGCATTGCCAGCAGCAACTGGGCCACCGAACGGATTACCACCGTTGGCGATAGATGGCATCTTGTTGACCACGTCGAGAGCATTGTCCAACAGAGTCTTCTGAGCCTCATTCGAAGAGATGGCCGACTCAACCTCACCACGAACAGTTTCCCAGACATCGGTGAAAGAGGCCTTGGAGGCAGCAAGCTTGCCACGGTAGTGATCCAGTGAAGGGTTGACGGAGAACTCGTTGTAAGAGGAGCCGTAGCGGAAGTGAAGACCGGCAGAAATAGAGAAATCAGCCTTGAGTGTGACAGAGAGCTGGTTCAGCATACCCTCGCGGGCAGGGGAGGCGTGAGTAACGAAGACACGAGTCTCCGATGGGTCGTAGACTCGGTTGGCGGTATCAATCAACTCGCCCATCTGCAGAAGTGTAGTCCACATAGTTCCCTGGCCACCGGCAATGGTTGTCTTTCCTTCGCCGTTATCAAAAAGCTTGTGCATAACCACAGCACCACCCAGACCGAGCAGACGCAGCTTCACACCGCCAATGTCCAGCAGTCGTGAGTTGGCTTCATCAATAATGTGCAGCTTGTCAACCTTGTATTCTCCAGATCGGAACTTCTCCAGCACGCGAACATCCTCGCAGGCACCCCAAACTGTGTAAACTGGTACGTCGAGAGTAATGCGCTTGTCAAGGAGCATGGGAAGCTCGGAGAGAGGCAGTTGGTCCGGAGTGAAACGTTGCTTAATGGACTGCTGAGGGGGAACTTGCGCAATAGTACGCTTCACGTTCTCAGGCAAAAGAGGGGAGTATTGGGCCACGTGCTTCAAAGTCCTGCATTTAAGAGACCATATTAGCTGAGTTCACTGGGCCTCAACTTTGGCAACCCCGACGAGGAAACAACGGCAAACACGTTGTCTTGCGTTGGGCATCAAAGACGCCTGACAAACAGCAGGGAGCTTGAAGTTTACACTTACTTGTCCGCAATGCGCTCCAAAGAAGTATCGTCATAGAAACCAAAGTCTCCAGTGTGGATAATGTGGTCAGCGCGAGCCTGTTTGGCAAGCTCATTTAGAGACTTCAGGTTTCCTATCAACAAGTCAATTAAAATGTCTTCGCATTGAATCATTTTTCACTGGGGCGTACCTCGGACGTCGGCAATACACAGGATCCGGGTAGGCCCATTCTGAATCACTCTGCCATTGTTAGGGAGGAGCGGCGTGGCTCCGGGCGCCGGAGCTGCCTGAGGCGCACCGTTGGAAAGAGCGTAGCCTTGGGGAGCAAAGCCGTGAGGGCGGGGCTAGATAGAGAAGACGCGCTGTTAGTTCAAAGTACTTTATTGCAGGCTTAAGGTATGATGGTTTGAGAGCTCCGCAATATTGAAAGTTGACAAGTCCGCGGCCATGAGGGGAGATGGGATTTGAGGGGTGAGCAACTTACAGAAGCCATGAGGTGGGGGGGCGGGTTCAAAAGGTCGGGGGAAGGATCTCTGGGACCGAGAGAGATGAAAAGGGAGAAAGGGAAAGGAAAGAAATAAGGAATTTGGAGACAGTCGAAGGTCGAGAGGAGGATCAGATTCACTGCGCATGAGTGAAGCAACAGGCGTGACGATGGCTTAGGTAAGCCACCCCTGTCCGCCCACAACAGTATCCCTTTTTAGGCAGCTCAACCATATGACTATCTGGGATCAAGATCGGTGTTTGCTTGGGGGAAGTGATAAGAGATGAGGGTGAATGAAAGTTCAACGAGAATTGTAAAACTTTGATCGACTGAAGCTCCAAGAAATATTTCGAGGTTGAAGTTGAAAGGTTGACGATGAGCCAGACGACCGCCTCACTTCGACTATCAAGACAACGCTGATAGACTTATTTTCTATCAAGGCTACTATTACAAATTTCCCTTCTTGAAAGATCACAATACTCAATTCATATAACTCAATTCATATAACTCTTACATTCATGATAGTATGTCAGTCCTAGCTAGTACCTGCTCTGATGTTTCCTGCCCACTGACAGCCTGAGGTAGCACTGCATATAATCAAACTGAAATATTGAATCGTCACTACTACATGAGCAACACCCTCAATTTAGTAAGAATTGCCGGTATAAAGTGAGCTCAATATCTTCAATAATTGAGCATTCTATTTCAACACTAGAGTTATTGAGACCTGTGCATATTAGTACAATTAATTTTCAATATGGCAGTTCCAGGTTTCATCACGAATCTCACTCTGGTTGCTGATGTTCGAATAAATCAGTTTCAACCTATGTCTACTAGTTTGGCTGTCACTTCAGGTACATCATGGAAACCTTCAATGGTGGGATATGCTAGGTTAGGTGTTGGCTCATCTAAATGATATCATGAAACAGTTATTTACAGCATGATAAGGTGATACTAGCCTCCACACTTGCATTCCCCACATAGTTAACTTGAACCTGCGCCTACTTCACAGCTCACTGCTATGATCTTTGACCATGTGCATCTTGCTCGGTCTCCGGCCTGGCTTGTGTGTAGTAGACAATGAGGTGATAGAAGCAGGACCATTCAAGGCTAAAATGGCAAAATGACCACCAACAGTTGGCCGCGCTCGACACAGAACTGGCTTGCCGGGCTCTCTACCACGAGAAGATGTAGCAACATAACGATCAGAGAATGGCCAGTTATGCTTCCCATTGGTCATGAATGCCCATAGATCATCAACAAATTCATCTCTGGTCGCTTGATCAAATGTACCAGCTAACCACATGTTCCAATCTGACTTGGCCCAGTCTTGCCGGTTGTCAAGTGGAACGCCATATTCTCCTCGAACAGAGCTCGAGAAGAAGTCGTTACTCATTTTATATGCCTCTTGAGGGAATGTGTCCAGCCCCAGCAGGAGATCGGGGTAGATGTTGTACGGAGTCTTCCATGAGTCTGGGAAATCGGGGTATTCGAGTACAAAGTGGGTCTGATCCTTATCAGTGCCTAGACCCTGGGTGAAGAACAGATCGGCATGCTCATCGCCGACGCGAGAGTAATAATCGATGCCGCTCAACTTGCCGAAGGCTTTGATTCCAACAGCTGCCTTGATAGCCAGGTTGGTCTCGTTTGGTAGAGGGCCGGCAGCATCATTGGAAGAAAGTTGATTCGCAATATTGATGCTGTTGTCCACAAGGTAGTCCGCATATTTCTGGAAGATATACAAGTACTGGTCAGTCCAGTTTGTGTCCCCGGTGGCTTGTGCATAGGCAAGAGCCAGGATCAGGAGATTTCCACATTCCTCGATGGGCATAGGCTCAGCCTTTTGATCATCATGGCCAATGGCATTTGGGTAAGAAGAGCCCAGGTCATGGATGGTGTATGGGAGGTGCCAGCGACCGGCATCGAGGTACTTCATCACTGGTTCGAGCAACAAGCGAATCCAATCAGGATCTAGAACCCAGTATATAGGGAACGCTGGCATTATAATGTCAATGGTGTTGACATTACCATCACTGGAAAGTTCCTTGATGAAGGCTAATACTTCATCCGTATCGAGAGATTCATTAGGGATTGTCAGATCAATTCCTCCGTACGCCTGACGAGTTGATAAAGCAAGGATATCTGCATATTTAGAACCGGCTGAAGCAGTTCCAAATGTCTTCAACTCTCGATCGAAGTCTAAGGACTCCCAGAAAGCATCCTCATAGTCGTCCAAAAAGAATGAGACCGCTTCGTGTGTAGTCGGATACTCTGCGCGATAGTAGCCGGTGTAAGCCTCTCCTAGATAGTTGATGGCTTCTTTTCTTTCATATCCCACGGCAAAGTTGACTGATGCGCCACCGACAACCGTTCCTAGATCGTGTGCCAGAGCAATGACACCCCCAGAAAACCAGGTCGACTCTTCGCTTGACAGGTCGCCCCCTTCCGCAAAATATTTTCGAACAGTTTGTCGATCTCCCGCAAGGGCTGAAAGAGAGCTAACATTCTCTGGTCGAGAAGCCAGAATTACCTGTCCCCAAAGTGCCATATCATTCCCTTCTGCGTAGCGAGCTGCTTCTTCCACCGAAAGAAAATGTAAGGCGAGATCATCATGTTGTTCAAAGACTTGCACAGCACTATGCTCTCGGCCTGCCCATCTTCCATCAATATCCGAGTAAATTTGAATATCATCTCCATATGATCTTGTCACCTGGACAGTCAAATAGCCTAGTAGCGACCTTTGTTAGCTCAAACGAACATCTTTGTCAAAAAGGGATAGCCTTACTGAAAGGAAGCGACTGGCGCAAATAGTTAGAGGGAGAAACGGGCGAAAAGAAATCCAGCGTCAAAGATACAGGTCCAGCTGTGAGATCGAAGAGGGAATGGGTCGCCGTGAACTCCGCACGGTGCACTGTTGCAGGAAGAATCCCGCTGGTCTCTAAATCGGGAACACCCATCAAACTAAATGCCTGACCATTGACACGTACAATAACCGACCACCCAAGTTCCTGGCCTGCCCAGAATTGTGAATCAGAATATGGTAGTCGTTCGATACGATCGCTCGGCATCCATGTCGATAAATAGGGATTGCGAACTGCGAGCGGGTACGAGGGAGGCAAGACAGGGTGATGGGTAAGACTTCGGTCGTTGCCACCAAACCACCAAAAGGCCGATGCACAGAGCGATCCAAAACCCAGAGTATTCTGTAGATTAAAGCGCATTTTAATTAAGTGTGCTTCGTGGTTTTGAAGCTCAACAATTTGTTATTGTCACTAAGCGCACCAGGCGCTCAAGGAACCCTTCCAGCACAACTATAAGGTAAATTTAAACAGAACAAGAAAGCCAAATGAAATATCTGCCAGAGAATATGAGTGATTTGGAAGGGAAAAAGAACTGAGGATTTGAGAGCGCTAACAGAAAGAATGTCTCCCCCTTCAAGTTGGGGAAGGCTTCGACGATCATAGGACTGTCGTCATCGGGGAATGGGGAAAGTCCCCACGCTTATATCACATCATCCTGGAGCAGTTGATCGCGATGCATGATTGTCTAGTCTCAAACAAGTAGAGTGGAGATCATTCCACCAACCCCAGGTCATAGGATGAAGTCTGCGACAATCCCATCCTCTGATCTGCGGGGCTGCAATGTAAGACGGCTGAAAGGCCAATGCACTTGAGTCGTGGCTATGGTGCAGTCGGGTCCTTGCATCTACACATGTGCACATGAGAAGCTGAATATTTCAAGCTCTCATAGTGTAAGAGCTAATAGATTCTATAATAAGCCTTTATTGTTCTATTGACTATATAGTAGCGATAACTTGAACGAGAAAAATATTCCAAATATTTGATCACAGCTGCGCCTTCTCGATGCGTCGTCCAATTTCATCAAAGTGAAGCTGTTTGCCAGTCACAAGCGCCTCTTGCAAATAAGCTCCAATCTCGACTGCTTTCACTGCATTACTCAACTTCATAGGAAGTGGTGTGTTGTCAAGACAAGCCGCAGTGAAGTCATTGGCCTCCTGTACAAAGGCAGGGCCGAAGCGACCCATAAAATTCGGGGGCACCTCGCGTGTGATGCCACCAGAGTGGTAGTAGTTGACAAAGTTGCACTGAGGGTTGTTATTCACAGCCAGCTTGCCCTCGGTTCCAATGATCTCCGTGGTATCCTCTTGTCCATGGGCCATCATACGTGAACAATAGTAATAGGCGATCTTGCCATTTTGGAACTCGACAATTCCAACAGCGTTATCATAGTCCTTGTGCTTCTTCAACTCGGGCTGAACTGCTGTAATACCATGTGCAGAGATGCTCTTGGGAATTATGTCGTCCCCAAAGAACCACAGGGTAAGATCGATATCATGCACAGCCATATCAACAAAAACACCACCAGACCATGCAGCGTACTCAACAAAGAAACCTGATGGGTCGAGCTTATCACAGGTCTGGCTTCGAATGATAGAGGGTCTTCCAATGAGTCCTTGTTCAACCTTATTATGGGCCTCTCGGTATGACTCGTCGAAGCGTCGGGAGAAGCCACACATCACCTTCAGATGAGGCTTCTTCTTTGCGGCTGCGACAACGGCTTTGCACTATTTAAATCATCAGTTATTAGTGAAACTGTTTTTCCAACGAGGGTAGCTTCAATACTTACCACATCGATATTGATTGAGAGAGGCTTCTCGCACAGAACATGCAAATCCGCGTCAATAGCTTTAATGGTTTCTTCTGCGTGAACCGAGGTCGCAGTTCCAATAGCCACAGCTTGAAGACCTGGGTGCTTGAGCATCTCATCGTAATTGTCGTACAAAGTGACTCCATGGGGTTCCAAGTTCACTCTTCCCCACGCAATCTCGGTTGGGTCGGGGGTAAAGGCTGCGACGAGCTCGGCGCGAGGGGTACGTTGGAGGAAGTTCATGGCGTGGAACTTGCCAACACGACCAAGACCGGCCATACCAACTTGAAGCTTTTGAACTCCCATCTTGCGTGCGGTTGGTCTGTGTTTGTTGAAGTAGAGAAAGGAAAACGATGTTCTTGAGCTTCTGACTCCATTTGGGGCTTGTTGAGGGGGTTCAAATAGTTCAAAGTAGACCTGCAATCGTTGTATAATGATTTTATTTGTTTCCTGCTCTTAAAAATAAAGGCAAGTGTCTCCTTGTTGCTGAGAAAGTGGATGGTGTACTCCGCATATGCATCTTGGATTGACCGGAGAGAATTACTTGATCCACCCAAAGTGGTGCTGTAATCCGAGTCCCCGCTAAGCTCCAGTAAATAGATCATGACCTGCTGATTAGACTTGGTCTGTAAGTCATGCAGATATCAGGGTTGCGGATCGTTCAATCTTAGCCTTGGAAGGGTGGCGATATGCTATTATTCCAAAGTTAGATATCTTCAATTGATGGTTATATGCGACACCAACTACTCCCGACCGTGTAAATCGGACCGCATTGGCTTCTCCCCCATCTCACAACATCAATTCTTTATGGAATCATTTGAAATAATTGATTCTAGCTATGGAGAAGTCTATTCATATTTCTTAGAAATTCTAGTAAAAAAATAATCGCTCTACATCAAATGGTGAGGTTCCCAAAAAGCATTGCCGGCGTACTACATCCATCGTGATTTACTACATTCATCGTGATTCGTGATTCGCATGAACGAATACTTGTCTCAAACAACTGCCAAAAGCGCTTTTCGTTCACTACAATGACTTCACCAACCTTGCCATTCTCAACACTAATTTCAATTGATAATACCATTAAGTTGGAGTGGAACCCCAGGTTCTGATTGACCCCGGAATTGCGGGGAAGCACTCCGCACGGAGTGACCTCCCTCTAATCTGTGAAACAGTAATTCTCTCCGCTTCAAATATGCATATTTCAATATGTCTGCACAACCAAAGAGAAGCCGACTTGCGACAGGATGGTGAGTTTGGATGTTAAATAGGTCATTTTTGGGTACTAGTACTGATAGACAGCAGTCAGCGGTGTCGGGGTGAGCTTAACAACCTTGAACCTCGGAGAGTTGGACTTGAGGTTTGACATGCTAACTTGAAGTTTACGGATCAACAGCTCGTCATTTGAAATGTTTGTCATCCCCTGGTATAGAAAGTTCCATTACGTTATCTAACAAGCCCTTCCAGGTGATGTTAGTTCTCAAGTCTGTCAGCACTGCCTTAGCGCTGGAGCTCAATGTGATCGAACCACAATTCGATTTCGGAGTGGTCTCGCACTTCCGAAGAGCCCCAATGCTGCATTTCCTGACCAGAAAGACTGGCCTCGGATTCATGGGAAAGGTACCAAATCTTTTAAGTTCCTTGTCATACTGGCAGAAAACTGAATAATATTATAGTCCGCTTCCACGATGAGACCCCGAAGATTGTCAGCCAATATGTTGGCTCTCTAGAGGCCGACTTCTGCTGGATTGATCAGGTGGAGAAGAGTCCTCTTCCAGAGAATCAGCCCATTGCTCAAGTTCACACACCAGAGCTCCCACAAACACGTCTGGAAGATGCCGAAAATAATAGCCTGAGCCAACTACCTTACGATCCACTAGATGTCTCACCATCCAGCGTCTCCTTCTATTCTACAACGTCTCACAGATCACGAGCCAGCTCAAAACCGTTCCAACCCTATACTGTGAGAGAATCAATATTGATAAGAAATTTCGTTGAGAACATGGCTTTATGGGTATGTACACAACTCTCCGCAAGAAGAATTGTTGAATTGCTGACAAGTTTATGGAGGCCGACATCACCGATCCGCATCGGCATTTTGAGATCGATGTTCCTATAAGAGCATTCCACGAGCCTGTCCTACGCAACGCAATTTTTGCATTTTCATCACGACATTTAAACAGACAAACCGCGAATGACTCAACAGATGCGTTGCAATACCACAACCTCTGTGTGCAGATCCTCATCCCAGCACTCTCTGATCCAGAGGAACATATAACAGAGGATATTCTAGCTGCAGTGGCCATTTTAAGACAGCATGAGGAGATGGATGGTTCGTTTTCGAATTCTTATTTATTCCCACATCAGTTTAAGTTAGGAGACCCCAGCTAATGACACCTCAGGCGAGGATAATCAATTCCATCTGACAGGAACAACCCATATTCTGAATACTGTTTCAACATTCGGCTCATCTGGTGGTCTCGGGGAGGCGGCTGCTTGGCTTTGTCTACGTCAAGATATTTACGTATCTCTGACAACCCAACAGCCACTTCGAACAAACTTGGAAAACTTTCACGACTCGGATATCTTTCATCGAGAGGATGATTTTGCATGGTCAAGTAGGATGGTATTTCTCCTTGCCAAGGTGCTCCAAACTGCTTTCCTTGATTCTTCGACGGTGAGTCTGATCAACGAAGAAGTCGAGGAATGGTTTCGGTCGAAGCCTGAATCCTTTGAGCCGGTCCGAATAGTTCCGAGTGACTTAGAGGTTGGTTACCGGTTTCCAATTATTTGGATGCTATTACCTGTTCATGGTAAGTGAAATGAAAAAAAATATTATTATCTTTTGAGGGTGCTGAGATTCACGTTGACAAAACTAGTCATTGGTCTGCAATATTATCATATCGCCAAAATCGTCCTAGCTTTATCTGAATCTTCTCAGCCATCATCTACATATGAGAGTCTGCGACATTCCAGAATAATTGAAGTAAGCCATATATGCCTTTCTTGACTTCAATTTGAGTGATTACTTGTATCTGACCTTAGAATAGAAAAATGTTCGACACCACCTTCTTACAATATTAGGCCTGGCACAATCAAACCCTCGAGCCGAGAACACATTATTCACTGCTAGACATAGTCTAGTTGCATGTGAGTTTCATTTCATAAAATGCAAGAGAACATGAACTGACCACCTATAAGGGGGTTGGATGCTACGGTATTCTAGCGATCAAACTGCTGCAGAGTCCCTTCTACGAGATATGCATTCAAGGACGGGATGGAATATGGATAGTCTGGTTCAGACATTGCGTGAACAGTGGCAAGACGAAGCAGGCTTGAATTGATATTTGAACCCTCACACCCTTGCAATAGTCCTCTAGTCTTTCCAACATTATGAACTTATGAATACAGTCAAGTATCAGCGTAAATAAACTACATCTCTGAAAAACTACGCCCGGTATCTGTAGGCAGAGTAGCCTCTTGGAGCTCCCCATTCCAATGTATCCGACTCAAATATTCTTTTTGGCATATTGAGAATTGTATCTGGGGACGACGCAACCATTGCCGAATAACTCTGGTAGATGCATGCTAGTAAAGTAAGCAATGTCAGCCATTGTCAATCAAACCCACTTATTCCAAGCTCAAATTCTTATGGACTTGCATCACTTACCGGCAGGAATCACGATCCAGAAAGCATTGAGGAATACAAAGTATCCCCAGTAATAATATGGCTCAGGTCTGGAGTAAGATCTCCCATGATAATAGTCTTGCATAATGCTTGTTGCATAGTATAGAACATCACCATAGAGCTGGCCCATGGAGACCAGTATTTGAGTTGGATGGCGATGAGGAGAATCCACTATAATCATCCATGCAATCAAGTAAGATAGTGGTCCCCAAGTAAACTGTTCGGCAATTAGAAATTTGACCTTGGAAAATTGAAACTCATTTCTGGGAACACTTACAGCTGTGATTGTCTCCATACAAAGCACAAATGGCTCCATGGTCATGTATCGAGAATCAGCTTGCGCATACTCTTTCCATAGCTGGCCACCAAGATCCTGCATCTTGGGCATTGTCTTATGATTGTACACAAAATATCCTTCGAGGAGGAAGTGTATACATCCAGCTAGGGGATATCATTAGCTATACCCTGTATAATCTTCCAGGCGGTATCAACTTACTGAAGATAAACCACCCGACTAGAAATTTGTCTTGACTGGGTATAGTCGACTGACGCCATTTGAGTAGAAGGGAAGTTAGGATAATGACGGCAGCTGTGGCCAGTGCGAAGAAACTCAGAAGAAAGGAGACGCCTAAGGTATTGGCGACGTAATCAACCGGGTTCATATCAGGGGGATAGAAAGGATGGACAGGCGTTTCTACCGTTTCGGCAGGGGATATAAAGCCCGAAAACAAAGATCTCTTGATTATCTCCATTGTTTTTTGGTTGTAAGTGAAGAAAATGAAAGGGGTTGTTGAGTAGGACTCGAGACTAAAGGCTAAAGGCTAAAGTACACAATAAGAAGGGGCTAACGAGGTAAGCCACGACTATGATCTGTTCAAATGTTTCTACAAGTAGATAAACAAAGAGCTTAGGTGACAATATAATCAGTACCTAGGTACCTTCTTTGTCCTAATGGCCCAATAATGTTGGAGCCCGACGTAAGCATCCTGGTGGCCCCATCGGGTTGACTGTCATCCGAATCCCTTGAGGCTCCTGGACCCCATACTAGGCCCCTGAAACAATCATCGAGGCCACTCAGATTTATCCTATTAATATTAATATTAATTATTCATTTCTTCTCAATCAAATTATAGTATTAAGTTTTTTGGTGGATACTAGTAATATTAATCTCACAGACTCACAGTAGTTGCAGCCCACTATAGTCGACCTGATAGACAACCAGTTGGAAGTAGTTAAGATAACCTTAGAAGAATTTTGTAGAACATTGAGGTATCGTTTTCAAGTTTGATTTAAAATTGTCAAAATTAAATCAGGATTGCCTATTGAAAATGTCAATTGTAGATCAAGTTTCATCCACGATAAGCACAATCCCCGCGGATGCGACAGAAAACTTGAACCCCACGTCGATACACTCAAGGGCTGGGCATCATTTATAAGATTCTATTAAGTCAAGCACTAGTAAATGTGAAACGATCGAAGTGAATGTTTAGAGTTTCCTTCGTGTCAAATAAACGAAAACGTCCATGACATGTCAAAATACGAGAAACCCAAATACTCTATTGGATAACCCCAACCAAGGTAGAGTTCCATGGTCTCCAGAGTGTATGGACAACGAATAAATGCAAGAGTTCAAGGCCAGACGCACTTGGCCCATACTTGGCACTCGTTCTCCCAAGCTAAGCCACAGTGCATTATAAAAGGACTGTCAATCGATCGCCCAGTCAATCTGAGACCTATAATGAGTATTTATTAGACGTAAAGCTTCGTCATGTCAGAAGAAACTGCATATCCCCACTTGTACAATGGTGGTTGCCACTGTGGAAAAGTGCGCTATACTGCGCACCTCTCGTCACCTGTACAAGAGCAGGTTTCCCATACATGCAATTGTATACATTCTTCTCTGCATCCATATGCTCGGTTGTCAGCCAGTGGCGGCAACCCGTGGAAGAGTCATTGATAACTGAATGTACCTTATTTAGGCTCAATCTGTACCATCAACGGATACATCCTGGTATATGTTCAAAAGGACCAGATCACATTTCATGAAGAAGATGGTGCTGTAAAGGTTTGGGGCATTTTTTCTCCCACCTCTTGAGTTTCGCTCCCGTATTGATGTGAGTCGTCTGTTACAGGAGTACCGTTTCGGAACCCGCAAATATCCTCATCATTTTTGCACCAACTGTGGGACAAGTGTGTATGCTCGTTCTGATGTAGGGGAATATGAGGCGATCGTCGCTGTCAACGTGAGTCCTATTTCATCGAGTACTGTGATCTCCTTAGTTGACATGGTCTCAGGGACGAACTCTGAAAGATGTCGATATCAGCACGTTGATGATTGAAAAACTTGACGGGAAAAAGATTCAAGTACCCTAGATAGCCCAGGGGAATTAAATGAAGTGGGAAGATATCTCTCACAGACTTTGGTCACTAGCGAGTTTAAAATTGCTAGTTGCTGTGATTTCATGTGCGCAGAACCGTGACTGGTCAACCAGTTGTGTATATGCAGCTGATATCTCATACGGCAGATTTAATAACAATGATTAGCTCAGAACTGCCAGGTGAGGGGACAACCCCTCGGGGTCATTTAACATACCGATCGGCGTAGAAGACACAACAACTTCGATAGTCCAAACATTCACATGAGTGAGAATGGTAGTAGATCAAATCAACTGATCATTTGACAAAAGATATTCATCACTCACCAATAACCTCTCGATCGATCAACTGTTACCCTCTCGGCGCATTCCCCCACCTTTGACCCCGCCGTATCAGAATGACCGAGATCAGCGCAATCCCTGCTAAGCTCAATGTCGCGATAGTAGGCGGCGGAATCGCCGGGCTAGCTGCAGCTGCCTTCCTGAGAAGACATCGACAGTACAATGTGAAGGTTTACGAACTTCGTGGTGCAGATTGGGAGGAATCATCCGCGGCACTAGGCCTCCAAACTAATGGAACGTCCATAGTGGAACAACTTGGAATCACCAGGGAGGAGATTCGCGGCGTAACAGGTGCCGGATATCGAACGTATAATCTTCGAGAAGAACATATGAGTAAAGGTCTAGTAACTGTTCACCCAGATGGGGAGACCGGATTCTGGTTTGTGCATCGACAAGATTTAAAGGATGCGCTCTTGCATCGAGTAACGAGTGAAAATGGGGACGGCAAGCCTGTTGAAGTGATATATGATAGTCGTATCGTGGACATTGATCCAGAAGCTGGGGTTTTGAAGTTTGCCGATCGACCACCTGTAGAGGTTGACCTGATTATTGGTGAGTTGACCTAGTCATCCGATTAAGACACGAATAATAACTTGAACTTCTGTGATTATTAGGCGCGGATGGTATTCACTCAAAAGTGCGCGAGTTCGCTATCCCACCATCGCATCCAGAGCCAGCTCTGTGTGGGCTTTGTGTATACCGATTCGTCGTTCCAATGGATACCCTCAGAGATGCTGATGGCAAAATGCCGAACACTCTCACTCTTGACGATGGAAGCTGTGTGGTGATCATTGCTGCAGGTGATGAAGGAAACCGAAGCATGGTCATTTATCCTTGTCGCGAATTGGAGTTGATGAACTTCGTCTGCGGCGTTCCAGACACAAGTTCTAGAGTCCTAGCTCAGATAAAGTCACCTGGCAGCCATCAGAGCTTGGTAAATGATATGCTGGAGGAATTCCACGATTTCCCTGGCTGGATCCTGCAAATAATTAGGTAAGTCATTGACTCAATTTGAGATGGAGTTTCTCATCCGGGTTTAACAAGCTCAGGCGCACCACCTTAATCGAGCCTTTCCCAGTGGTCGATCAAGAGCCTTTACCAACCTATGTTAAAGGTCGAACCATGTTGATCGGAGATGCAGCGCACGCCATGTCCCCATATCAAGCCCAGGCAACGAACCAGGCCCTCGAAGACGTAGAGGGGTTAAATGTGCTTCTTGCAGATGCCTCCAGTCGAGACAGTATCCCCCGGGTTCTGGAGTTATGGGATAGTATTCGTCGTCCGCACGCATCGGCAGTGCAGAGTGATTCGCGAGACTCACAGGCAAAACTTTCGACAACCCAATCTAGCGCTGCTTTCCTACAATTCAAGCCATATGTTAGTATGAAAGAAGCACTTGCACAGAGTTAAAGAGCAATAGAATTCTCCAGGCCCAATAGCATACTCCAACAACAACACGGCAACATTTGAATACAATGTTCTAACAGGTTTCAAGAAAAAGTGAAGCAAGAATGACTAGTTAGAACTTGGTGTCGCCAGTCAACGTAAATCTACTGGCCTAAGGTGGTCTTTTTTCGAGAGAGCTAAAGCGAGAAGGGCTTACTAGTAGGTTCTCAAGGTGGAATTTTTCATGAATTTGAGAATATGACTGAAAATTTAAGCGTTGAAAAGAGTAGGTATTTGTTTTGGTTGTCGCTACTGCGACGTCTAGTGAATATGGTACAAGAAAGTGTCAAGACCTCAAGATCTAGCTTCGGAACAATTTCAATCCACCTTCTTCACGGTCACTCTCCCCGTCACTAGCACTGTCGTCATCTTCACCAAGCAGGCCACTCGCAGACCGGCCCAGTAAGGACGCAAAGAATTCCTCCCGAGCCCGTCCGGTCCAAACACCTCGGTCCTCTGGAGCCATGAAATTCTGAAGCTTCTCGTGAACAGTGAAACGCATCTTGCGACCTTTAGAGGCACGGGTATCGATGTCTCGCTTAACTTTGTCGTTACGCATACCAGTAATAGGGTGAATCGGCAGGCGAGTTGGCAGCTGGTGGAGAGTGTCCATACCACCAGTCATTGCATCAGACGAGGACATACGCTGCTCGACGAGATCACGAAGTAGAGATTGGTAAAAGACCGTATCATCGTAAACGGGCTCAACGGCGGTGGGTGAGTCGGCGCCATTGGACTGACGGGCGCGTTTGGAGGAGCGATCACCAAGCTCAGTGGCAACATGGGCATCAAGGACAGCAGTGATAGTTTGCTGGCCAGAGGCAGAGCCAAGCAGCTTGCCTCGGGCATTGGGGAGGGAGCTCGAACCTCCTCGGACTTTGGAAGACCATTTGTCAAGGTTGGCCCGACGGTGAATCAGCGCCTTAGACTCCAGTTCAGCCATACGTTCCCAGAGTAGGTCAGACTTAATGCCCGGTGTGATGGGCGAAGGTCGCTTCCGCTTCTTGCTACCATCTTTGGCGTGAGCATCAGCAAGGACGTTGCGGAGCTCTTCCAGGGTTGACCAGAGAGCGAGAGCTGCGGACTCGGCTGATTTGATCGCATCTTCATTTGCCTCGCCCTGTTCAGATTCGTTACTTTCCTCTCCACTCACAACCAAGGCAGAAATATCATTTATCGAGCCAAGTCCCTTCTGCAACTTGATACGTGTGTTCAACAACGCATCAAAAGTGCTTCTTTGATCCTTGACAGCCTTTCCCTTGGAAGCATCTGCCTTCGCAGCTTGAGAGATTGTCGCTGCAATAGTTTTCTGATCAGAGGCCATCAACCGTCGCAGCTCCTCCCGATCCTCTGAGACAGGTCCAGACTCTGTTGGTCTGGCACTCTTGCTACTGCGCTTTTTGGCAGGCACGTTATCTTCCTCGTCGCTTTCCTCGTCGCTCTCCATATCATTCTCTTCATCGTCTTCGTCATCGCTCTCCTCCTCATCGGCACTATCAAATTCCAACTCTTCTTCTTCTTCTTCTTCAGAGAACATGTCTGAGTCGGAGTCTGTCGGAGGCTGCCGTTGGGCCTTGATGGAGGCCTTGTCCTTCTTGGCCATATTCTTCTGTTGTGACCGGGCCCGCGAACCAGCCTTGCCTGTTGAGCCTGCCTTTACCGATTCGTCATCAGATTGCTGGTCATCGGCGCTGTCCTCAGTTCCGTCCTCGGCGGAGACGGCGCCTGAGTCGTCCGAGTCGCCATCCGACATCTCTTCATCGTCGGAGCGTGCCGCAAATGGATCATGATCGCTATCGTCGTCAAGGGCGTCTCTGCTAACGCGTGTGCCGGCATACTGTTTTCCCAATTCAACAGCCTCTTGCTTTCGAAGTTTTCCCTTGCTATTTTATGTCAGTATTCTCAGATATCTCCTAAATTTTGAGGAGATTTATCATACCCGACAGCCTGGTAGTGCTCTCGTCCTGCATCCACATCTAAGGTTTTTCCATCCTCCTCGTCGCTAGATTGACCATCACGCTCAAGATCCTCGGGATCAAAGTCTTTTATCCAGTTAGCGCAAAGTCCAATTTGAGGGATTAAATTAAGAGAAAGCCTTTTATGACATACCCTTAGGAGTAGGATCTTCCAAATCTGCCAGCTGGTCAGCCAGCGAACGAACTTTCCCAGGCGCCATGGTGTATGAGCTTGGAGAAGATCTAACCTGCGACTTTTTTTCTGTTTTTCCGTTATCGGGAGAAACTATCCTCATCTAGACTAGCGTTTATGTGGACCAGGCGGTGTACCTGGGCGGTCACATCAAGTCGGCAGAAACATTAATATCTGTCCCAGCGACTTGCTTCCTTTCGTTTATATGTTCATATACAAATTCATTGAATTATTCAATGATCATGGCATTTGCTAACGCTTTCCGATTGCCAGTCATAGACTGTGGTACTTTGTGTAGAAGAAACTTCACATCATCCAGCCGAGCACTTTCGCATGATAATCCTTTGGTAAGTAGCCACCCAAGACCTACATATGCTATGCATACTTCATGCTCGATTAACTGCCTGTGTTTATTTTTTGTCACTCTTCTCCTTCTTTACAAAGAGCTTCAATTGTTAGATTTGTATCTAACCTGCACTAGGGCCTTCCGCGCTCCGGCACACCACCAACATTTCGAAGCCGGCGTGGGTTACCGGAGAAGCGCAAGATTCGAGATGTTAAAAAAATTGTTGCAGTTTCTTCAGCAAAAGGAGGTGTAGGGAAATCGACAGTTGCCGGTATGTGGCATGAGTAGTGCTCCTCTATTGAAGTGTAGACCAATCAAAAGCTAAACTAAGTGATCTGGAATAGTCAACCTTGCTCTCTCATTTGCTCGTCGAGGTATTCGAACCGGTATCTTGGATGCCGATATCTTTGGCCCATCTATACCCACATTACTTAACCTCTCTGGCGAGCCTCGCCTTGATGAACGTGAGTTTAACCCATCAAATTCATATGCATTATGCAAACGCGCATTCTGACTCGGATCTCTTTGATATACAGACAACTGCTTGGTTCCGTTGACAAATTATGGCCTCAAGTCCATGTCAATGGGCTATCTTCTACCCCAAACCCAGGCTGACAGTTCAACGGGAGAGCTACCAATGGATACAACACCTATATCCTGGCGTGGATTAATGGTAACAAAAGCCATGCACCAACTTCTGCATTCCGTCTCATGGGGCCCATTGGATGTTCTCGTTCTAGACCTTCCACCAGGTACCGGCGACGTTCAATTGACTATCAACCAGGAAATTATTATCGATGGCTCAGTCATTGTCACAACTCCACAGGATATCGCTCTCCGCGATGCTGTTCGTGGTTTTGGAATGTTTCAGCGCATGGAGGTCCCTGTACTGGGTATGGTCCGCAACATGGCTTATTTCGCCTGCCCGAACTGTGGCCATCAAACAAGGATTTTCTCACATGGCGAGGGCCACAATTGTGATGACCGCGGTGTGGTAGCAGAATGCAACCGACTAGGTGTTGATTTCCTCGGAGACATTCCACTCGACGCTCGTGTGTGCGAGGATGCCGATCGTGGTATGCCGACTGTTGTGGCGGAGGAGTCAGTAGAACGAAGTGCCAGACGCGATGCCTTCCTCAAAGTTGCAGAGCAAGTAGCTCACAAGATTGGCCTGGATTGGAAGTAGAAGCTTACTTCTCACTCACATTCATTTCGTCATCTGGATCATCATGTTCGCTTGTTATCAAGCTTGTAAAATAGGTTATCTGTGGATCTACGTGCTCATCAGGACCATAGCATTTCAAAGCCAAGTGTAAAATATCACATACATTCAATACGGAGGTGCTCCCGGTGTTTCATTTTTTTCAGTTATCTTTGAGAAGTTGAATATCTTCAAGACATTATGGGGGATCTCCACCTTCTACACACAAATTCGTGGAGAGCCACAAATGCTTCCAGTTCTTTTGGTTGTTGTGTGGTGCTGAGATGTCCCCATCGATCCTCAATGAGTTCCATCATAGATCGCATGTTATAGGAGCATGAAAGTGGAAGTGAGTCTATATCTCCTGGTATAAAACGTTCAAGATGGTCATGGGCCACCTCGATCATCATGCGAGCAATAGTGTCAAGAGTGGATTGTGACTGTTCCTGAATCGCGTCATCCGGGTTATTGTAGATCGATGACCGCTTGAGTATATGCTGGTGAAGACGAATGAGAGATCTGGTGTATGTGAGCTTCAGGTTCAACATTGACTATATTATTCTTGAAAATCTCATATGCATCAGGCTCTTCAAGGTTTCATGGTCTATCAAAGATACCTGATTATGATTCCATTGGCGCCACAGGTATGTCTTTGGGAGGATTGGTTCATGAGAACGCTCAGCAATCCCCGCAATTTCCCATCTAATTTGATGAGCTCTGAGACGGGTGTTTCGTTCTCATGTGTCAGCTGTAGGACCTGGACTAATAATGATATCCCCTGGATTTGGCGCCCAAATGTTCCCACTTTGTTTGAATTTATATCACCAATTGAATTCCTTTGTTCAATGTTCTCGGAAAAATCGACTGACAATAGATCACCTGGTAATTTTGTCTCTGGATCTGGGAATTCCAGTGCTGGTTTTAGACGGTCAAGGGGGCATTCGAACAAGACAAGTCTGTGCCTCAGTGTTAGCAATGAAATGATCGTCAATTGATTTCGCTCTATGGAATGATGACAGACCTTTCCAGCATTATGATTCCCCAGTAGATGTTCTGCTCTTCAGTAGCCCTGAGTCGCAGCCTGAGGCTCACATCACTGCTACTCCTTTCGTTCAAATTGGGTTGATTGATTCCAAGAACTGAAGCCATGCGCGCACTAAGTCCAACAGAGATATATGCGGCATGGGGCTTTCCACACGCGTACTCATACGCAGTAATAAGGAGTGCGGCCTGTATAAGTCGTGACGAGGCGGTAAATTGAGCTTGAACACGGGCAAAAGACATCCTCAATTCGAGATATAAAGTCTTCGGGGCTATCATCGGTGTCGTGTTGTCATCAGGATCCTGGGGATCCAGTGTGACCAGAAGCATGGCCAATATTAGAAGAGAAAAGTCTGCTGGTGGATATTTTTCGATAAAGGTCATTGTTATATCCATCAATAGATCCCGTGATATTATCGGTAACCACCGATGAAAACTCCGGAAATACTGGTCGCAGACCTCCGAGAAGGTGTGTTCCGTTATTCGGAACACATCGCACACATCACAATGCAAGGATTCCCCGATTGTCACTGAAGAACGTGAGAATTTCTTGCTGTGAAAAACGCTTGAGTCTAATGAAAGACCAGTGGACCACAATGCATTGCTCATCAAACTGGAACGGCTCTCTACCGTCGCCCCAGGGTCCTCATATATGCACACTAACCCACGCTTGATGCAATATCCACAGCTTGGAAGGGCCTTATCGCATCCCTTCTTCCGAGTTTTGCAGATTGCACAGACTCTCGGTGCATGTTCCATGATCGTGTTGATGGGCTGGGCCCGGAATCCCGAGAGCGCCTTTGCTGGTATGCGGTCTGACTCGCACCAAACCAGCGGCAGGATGAATTTGGCCGCCGCCGCTAAGCTTCACACAAAATCACACAGGAATTTGAAAATTTAGATAACGCCATCAGCAATAGGGGCTGCATAAGTATGGAGTAGTCGTAAGTGTATGTGTCCATGGATGGATGATGGGTATGTGGGGCACGGCGGCCGCCACTATCACAATTCAGGAATGGTGTCGATCATATCGTGAAGTATGGAGAGTGTTGTTAAATGGACCATGTTATTGATCAAATATTAGCATATAAATAGTGACTTTTGAAGGAGAAAATCTTCCAAGGTTCCTCTCAAATTTCTTCCTACCATTCCTTGATTTCGATTAATCATGATACCTCTCGATCTTGAATCTGAGGCCCAGCCTATACAAGAATCCAAACCTGAGGACTTTCAGGCCTTCAAGGTTAATTTTGAGAAGGGTGATCCTAGAAATCCCAAAAACTTCAGCACCAGATACAAAATATGGATTGTCTTTCAGATGAGCTTACTCGCCATAAATGGAGCTCTGGGATCATCCATCATATCTCCAGGATCAGCACAGATTGCCGCGTATACGAATATCAGCAGTGAGCTGACATCTCTTACAGTGGCCCTGTTTGTGCTGGGATGGGCGTTTGGTCCAATGATCTGGGCATCCATTAGTGAAACCTATGGCCGTCGACTTGATATGCTTCCTGCAGTCTTCATCCTAGGGATTCTCAGTGTGGGTACTGCAGTGAGCAAGAATGCAGCAGCTATTTTCCTTACGCGATTCTTTGGTGGGATCTTTGCATCGGCACCAATCAGCAATGTACCTGCAGCTTTAGGAGATATCTTCTCTCCAGCAACAAGAGGCAATGCCATGACTTTTGTGACTCTTTGTATCACAGGTGGCCCGACTATTGGACCTATCATTGGTTCAGCCTTGACCTATAACCACCATTTAGGATGGCGCTGTAAGTATCCCCTCAAATTATCTCTTACAAAAATCAAATTAACATAGTCTTTAGGGACAGAGTACATCGAGGCCATTATCTCTTTTTCCCTCTTTACTCTATGTGTATTTTGTCTGCCAGAAACATACCCTCCAGTCCTTTTGAAGCAGAAGGCTCAACATCTACGCAGGGATACAGGAGATGGGCGCTATTGGCATCCTCATGAAAATGAAAAAATCAATATACATAACATTGTCACTAAGCATCTTGCTCGGCCACTACGGTAAGTCACTAACACTCTGAACCTAGGGAATAATACATGTTTACTGAAATTTCATTTTCGCTAGAATGCTGTTCACCGAGCTAATAGTCACAATGCTTGCTCTCTACGCCTCATTCACCTACAGCCTGATTTACCTGACCCTCGAACTATTTCCGATTGTATTCGAAGAAGATCGACATTGGAGCCCGATCATATCAACTCTCCCCTTCTTATCAATTTTAGTCGGCGTTATCTGCGCTGTGTTTTTCAATTTTGCAAATCAACCGCGCTACAAGCGGGCTGTGAAAGAAAACCAAGGAAAGGCAGTACCCGAGGCACGCCTACCACCTATTATCATTGGAGGGATTTTCTTATCCCTGGGTCTATTTTGGTTTGGTTGGACGGCAGCTCCAAAGTACCCTTGGCCATCGTCCGTCGTCGCCGCTGGTAAGAAATCCGAAACTTGACCCTTGCTATGGCGATCAGTTCCTTGCCTGACATCTAACCTACAGGTTTCATCGCGGCAGGGTTCAACATTGTTTTCCAGCAGTGTTTGAATTTCTTGGTCGATACATATGGTCCTTTTGCTGCCAGTTCAGTATTTGCGAACACGATATTTCGCTCCGTTCTAGCGTGCGCGATGCCCATTGCTGCACGACCCATGTTTGAGGGTTTGGGTCTCGGACCTGCAGCTAGTGTCTTGGGTGGAATATCTTGTTTAGCATTACCTATTCCCTTTCTGTTAATGAAATATGGGGCAGCATTGCGGAGTATATCACGATTGATCCCGGCAGAAGATACGTAACGACACATTCGTATTCTGTGCACGGCCAACACCTAGACACTGGGACCCGGACGCCGATCGGAATTGATAAGATTTATAATAATCTACATATCAATCAGTCAGAATTGTGGGTGTTTAATAGTCTCCACACAGACTATTTTGCTTTTGATAGTGAGAAGTTACTATCACGAACCTTGGAAAACGGGAGCATCTTGTCATATAAAGCTTAAAAACTGCATAGCCACAGCCTCGATCGCCAAGCTTGTGAGGCCACACGAAAGAGTTCAAATACTCGGGGAATAAGATTTGTTACCAGGATTATCAACGGGAGCTTACCCCAGAGTAGAAAATGCATGGTAACTAAATATTATTGTGGAGAACCTTGATAGAATCAACCCCCCGTGACTAAAGTATTGTGGCAAGTGTACCTCGGATCCAGGGTCCATGTACTCGTTCTATCGTGAAATTAAAGATTCCTAAAAAGACCGCCGGTAGTATGTGGAGGCGCAGTATTAGATTATCGTTAAAAAGTTGTATCTGACATCTGTGTAGTCACGGCTGATGACGGATTGGCAATCTGTCATACTTGATGCGGCATCTCGAGTACTACCATTTCCAGAAGGTGGTTAGCTGAGTTGACAATGGTCACACCAATCTAACCGGGGCTCGAGCAATTACAAGCTGCCAATTACGAGGGGTTACCTAGAATTCTGGAGGTACAGCGGGATTTGTCGTTGAGATTGGAAACATGTCCATTTTCTGCAGAAGTCTGTACAACGGGTCGCGATAAAAGGTGGAAATTATCCCGTTCCCAATTATTTAGAGAAGTCGTTTCCCCCTCAACTCCAAGCAAAAAAAAACCTTGCAAGGAATAGTCAATTCCAGAATGCGGTCAATTCTTCTGTGCTCTTGGCTGTCTTGGGCATTGGTGGTTGTGGCGCAATTTCAAAGCTTCTCTCCCCTGGGACCAAATGGACTTACTTATAGTATCCATATCCCCGAAGCCACTGCCAGTTCTGGCACAGGGCCCATCTATTTTCAGATGAATTCAACTCGCCGTATAGAATGGTTTGCCCTGGGCCAGGGAGACCGGATGGCCGGATCCAACATGTTCGTGGTGTATACCTCTGGCAATAACGTGACTGTTTCCCCACGATCCGGTGTGGGACATATCCAACCACTGTATAACCCGGCGGCCCAGATTACAGTCATGAATGGAAGTGGAGTCCATGGTTCAATGATCACAGCCAATATCAAGTGCGACACATGTATCCATTGGGGTGTCGCGAGCATGAGTCCCAATAGCTCGAGTAGTTCATGGATCTGGGGAGTTCGTTACGGAGCTCCAATCAATTCACGGAGTCTTTCAGCGAATCTCTTGGAGCACGATGTGATGGGGATTCAAAATGTCAATCTGAAAAATGCAACGGGGCAAACAAGTGACAACCCTTTTGACGACATTATCAGCACAAGCATGAATGCCAATGCAGACTATCCTTTCCCCACGTCCGAATTCCGGGCTAAAAAGATTGCTCACGCAGTGCTGATGATATTCGCATTTGTTGTCCTGTTCCCCATGGCTGCATTAGTCCTCCCTCTCTCTTCATCATCGAATGCACTCTATATTCATGGAGGGCTGCAACTTTGTGCGCTTGCGATTTCCATCACCGGTCTCGCCCTGGGCGTCTCCATGGGTCGGCAGATGCATAATTTGATTCATTATCATATGATCATTGGGATCGTGGTCATCAGCACCTTGGTTCTTTTCCAGCCGGCCATGGGTTTGCTACAGCATCGATTCTTCCGTAAGACAGGCGGCAAGGGACCCTTTGCTTATATGCACCGTTGGTTTGGGCGGATCATGATTATGCTGGGGGTGGTCAATGTGGGGCTTGGATTCAAGTTCACAGGGGTTGGAGACCCTGATGCGCCTCGAGGAGCTGTAATTGCTGTTTCAGTGATGATTGGTGTGATTGCAGTAGTTTATATTCTCTCGGTGGGATTCGTGAATAAAATGAGACGGCGACGAGCCGCGGCAGATGCGGAATAAGAGCAGTATATTAGTACATTGGGTTGATGTTGAGAGTTGCTGGGAGAGATCATATATTATGAAGATGAGAGAGATCTTGAATCGATGTTACAGTTATGTAAGTCATCGAGAATCCTTGGAACCTTGGAATAAGACACATAGTTGACTCTGAGATACAAGAATTGTTTGCATGTACTAGTTCGTCACTGTTCGTGTCTGCACTGTTTGTACTTCCCCCTGGACCCGCAACACTGTAATGCAAATTATGCAAACTCCACATCATTGCATCTATTGGCGCTTATCATCTTCTACCAACCACTCACACTTGGGCATTCATTAGTGCCCACTGTGGCTGGTTTTCGCTTTAAACCTACTGCGTAGTAGGCCTGCTTCTCTCTTGCTTCTCTCCTGAACGATGACGTCTGTCCTGCCTCGGGCCACATTGAAATCATATTCTTCCTCTTGAATCTCTTCCCCACTCCTTCCGAACTCCATACTCATGTACATGGTTACAAGATGCCATTGCATACTGTCGCATTAGGAGCAGCCTTGACTCCAACTGTTATTCAGACTCTAATTGCTCATGTGGGTCTCAATCCGGGGAGTGTCCAAGCTCTAAATCCATAGACGGGTCCTGTTATTGATTGATCCTTGCTAATGTTGAAACCCGACCGAGGGATTATAGTACCTGCACCGAAAGTCCCACCACAACAAGCCTACTGTCCATATTACATATGATGAAGGTATTCAGGTAATTCGGCAATTCATATACTACGCGTCCAAGCACCCTGTAGAGGACATTCAAGCCTTTACTCGTCAGGCTGTCCCAAGCCCACATTGGGTAAGAACCGAGTCAATTACCATTCCCGAGAACCTTGTATCGATCGCAGGGGATATACTTTGCAAGCAATTGGGTCCTAAGGGTATCGTACGAGTAGGAGGCAAGAAATGGTGGCAATGGCGTGGCCCATCAGAGGAGCTTAAGGGGGAGTGGATTGAGATGCGCAGCCATTATAACGCCAACAAGAAGATCAAAAGCCGGTGTAGCAAAATAATGCTCTATGTGCATGGGGGCGCATACTTTTTTGGGAGCGTTGACACCCATCGCTACATGCTGCAGCGTCACGCGCGCAAGCTGAAAGGTCGTGTTTTCGCTCCGCATTATCGTCTTGCGCCTCAATACCCCTTCCCCTGCGGTCTACAGGATTGCATGGCATCCTACCTTTGGCTCTTGGAAACCTATGACCCAAAGGAGATCATTCTTGCAGGAGACTCTGCAGGAGGTGGAATGGTATTGTCTATGTTGGTCATGATGAGGGATCAAGAGATTGCTCTACCAGCAGGAGCAATCCTTATCTCACCATGGGTAGACTTGACGCACTCATTTCCAAGTATCGTCGAGGATAACCCTGGCGATTATATTCCTCCTGCTGGGTTCAGATATAAACCCTCGACTGCATGGCCGCCGCCAAATGCAGATGAGCTTCTGAAGATCAAGGAGCTCTCTCACAAGAAAACAGTGACGGTCAAGGACGTTGAAGAAACTGTACCAGCCCCCAACAGCAAGTCTGAAGAGACTGCGGTTCGTGGATACACGCTACATGAACAAGTGGCGCCTGGTGCAGGGCCAGCGTATCCTGGCCAGCAAGAGAATTGCGATCCTCAGACCATACAGGGAGAGCCTGATAACATCCACGTAATCATGGAAGGAAAAACAGTTGAGATCAAGGACCAAATTCAAATGTATACCACCAATCAATTGATATCACATCCACTGGTATCCCCCGTCCTTCAGCCTTCCCTTGGTGGACTTCCACCGCTTCAGATCTTGACTGGTGGCGGTGAAATGCTGCGTGATGAGCAATTCTACATTGCTCACAAGGCTGCAAACCCCACTGCTTACCCACCGAGCGATGTGTATCTTGATGAACACGATCCAGATAGGGAAATCCTGAACAAGTATGAACCTACTTATGTGCAGTTTCAAATTTGGGACAACCTCTGCCATGTGGCACCCACGTTGAGCTTTACCAGGCCGGCTAAGTACATGTTCCGGGCAATCTCTCAGTTTGGATCTTGGGCACTTGCCCGCGCACAGGACACCGAAGTCGAGATCGTGGACGAAGAACTCCTCTCGCCAATCTCTTCTAGTGCCAGTGATAGTAGTTCGGGAGGAGCTATTCCACATCCAGGCAAACAAAGGACTGATACCGGTATGTCTTTTGTCGGAAGGGCGGGTGACCCTCTGCCATCATTTCACCAACATATGATTCGTGAACGAGTTGATAAGCGCGGACGAACCTATCCTCTTGATCCCCCATCATCTTACCCTGTTCTCGATATTCCCCCAGAACAAGTCGGGGCAGTAAATCCAGTACTCATTCGCAAATGGCTGGACTCAAAGCATGAGTGGGACGTGAAATTCGGGAAAGAAAAGCTAAAGGTCCAAAACCGCCGTATCAGAGAAATGTCCCATGGCTTCCAGGACTTCGAAGGTGAATATCCTTCACCAAGTTCCTTGGCTGCTCGTCGTGCAGCTCCAGGGGTTCTTCCCAAGCGTCACGCTAAGAAGAACTACGGCTTAATGCTTTGGAGTGGGTGGGGTAGCAAGCATGACGAACGAACCATGGAGCGTGAAAATGAGGCTTCGAAATCCGGTCGTCCCTCAACTCGTACTAGTATCGATGCCGGGCAAGCAGGCCAATGGTCTAGTCAGCCTGCGAAGAAGTCTCATCGAAGTTCATCGAAAAGAAAGTCCGCTGCTGTGAAGTCTACATCAAACGGTAACCCAGGTCTAACATGGGATGCTGCAAGTGAAAAGAAGCCAACAAGCGGAGACCGATCATCTGCAGACCCCGATTCCTCATCCGTACGTGCTGTGTCGGAAAAGAATATGGGTCCAATTTTGATACTCCCCGGCGTGGATAACCGTAAATTCACGGAAGAAAATGCCAGCACAAGGGCATTATTTCATGCAGCAGGCACACTTCCCATGACTTCTGATGCTTCTCTCCCTTATCTTCGAGGTCGACCATCATCAATTGGAGGCTCTGTGGCGGGCCGAAGTGAGTTCATGTCTGATGCTGGGGAGGACGCAAGTACCCTCGGTGGGGGCGAAGCAGTTGCCGGTGTTCCATACGATGCCGCAAGTACCCGGGCTGTGCTCTCTGCCAAAGGAGTGATTCGACCATTGAACAATGGGGATAGCGGCCGACTATCGGTTGATACTTCATCTGCGCGTCTGGCTCAAAAGGATGTGGGTGAAAATACTGGACCCGCTGCTTCCAGGCCAGAAATGCCCGACAGAGAAGAATTCAAGACTGCCAATGAGACGCTGTAAACCAGCGCGATCTATTACCATATTCAACACTATATGTTTGACTCTTTCTTTTCTGTTATTTTCATTTGTTTTGCCTATCACTCTTTGGAATCTGGTCTTCGCCTCACTACTACCCACCTTGGACATTCTATGTCAGGTCTCACTTTTCATTTGCGTCATTTTTTGGGATTTTGATCCAGGATTTCTTCCATTTGCCTTGTTTTCATTACCTTTTCTTTTTTTTCCAATATACCTAGTGCGATGGCGATATTCACGAAACTGCCACAGTCACTTGAAACTTGAAACTATTGTTATTAAAAGAGCAATCCACAATATTTTCGCATACTACATACACTGTGCTATGATCATACCGTAGTACCTACCCCGAGGACCTTGATACGTGCACATGTTTAAAGGGGGTGATTGTATAGACTAAATTTTGGAATCGACGGTCCATTTAGTATTTTTTCGGTCCATTTAACATCCGAGTCGCTCTTCGAATCCAACTGATCTCTCGGCGCCGAGAAAATGAGTATGAAGTTCGGCTCGGCGCCGAGCGAAAGATGAAGCATCCGACCATGACACTACGGAGTATTAGAGCCATGAACAATTCCAATGTTAAAAACGCAATTCAATTTATATAAACCTATTCGTATGGTTCCATCGTCTTCCCATTCTTTTTTTGATTCTCCAGAGCTCATTATGAATCCACAAGGGGAACGAACAGAGCCAGCGCGATTGTCAGAAATCAACGATAATGGTACATCACAGTCCAACCAGGAGATAAGAGACAAGATTGAAGCAGAGGAACAGGCTTTGACTGGCCCTAAGCTAGCTCTGGTTATAATTTCTCTTCTCTGTGCAATGTTTCTCGTGGCCCTGGTAAGTCATCCTGTAAGAGCAAGACGTGACATATCAATATAAACTAACCAACCGACTCAGGATCGCACAATCATAGCCACAGCTGTCCCCACCATCTCTGGTCAGTTTCATGCAGTAAAGGATATCAGCTGGTATGCCAGTGCATATCTTCTAACCAGCAGTGCCACCCAACTTTTGTGGGGCCGCATCTATACCTTCTATCCGACCAAGATCGTTTTCCTCGTTGCTGTGCTGGTCTTTGAAATCGGCTCTGCAGTATGTGGCGCTGCACCCAATTCCAAAGCTTTCATCATTGGACGAGCGATAGCGGGGATTGGATCTGCTGGTATCTTCAACGGCTCGACGGTTATCATCACTCAGATCTTGCCTTTGCATAAACGTCCACTGTTTGTGGGTTTTATGGGTTCGACATTTGGTATTGCTTCAATTGCGGGTCCACTCTTTGGAGGCACTTTTACGGATCAAGTCACTTGGCGCTGGTGTTTCTACATAAAGTAAGATCTTGATTCTAGATTAGCGACACTGTGATGGCAAAAGACTAATACCTGATCTTCTGTTTAGTCTCCCGATTGGTGGCCTCGCTTTCATCATCGCTGCCCTTTTTCTGCGAGCCCCGACTCTTGATACAACACTGAGTTTGAAACGTCAATTGATTCGACTGGACCCTTTGGGGACGGTACTGTTTCTCCCTGGCGTGGTTTGTCTTCTTCTCGCTCTGCAGTGGGGCGGAAGTACCTATGCGTGGAGAAGCGCGCGCATAATCATACTCTTCGTTTTGTCTGGTGTGCTCCTAATTAGCTTTGCATTTGTGCAAGCCTGGCGCAAAGAAGACGCAACAATCTCACCACGAATTATCAAGCAACGAAGTGTGGCATCTGGAGCTGCATATACATCATGCCTTGCAGGTGCCATGATCTCCATGCTATATGCCCTTCCATTATGGTTCCAGGGTGTCAAGGGTACCACTGCAGTGCAATCAGGAATAGACAATATACCAATGGTTCTGTCTCTGGTGGTCGCCAGCATCCTATCCGGAGCGACGGTTACTCGAACAGGATACTATGTGCCATTTATGTTCGCCTCGGCCATTTTCATGGCAATCGGCTCGGGGATGATCACCACGTTCAATTTGAACACGGGCCATTCAGCGTGGATTGGGTATCAAGTGCTTTTCGGACTTGGTCTGGGGATGGGCATGCAGCAGCCAACGATGGGTGCACAGACAGTTCTCGACAAAGCAGATGTCTCGACTGGTGTTGCGTTGATGTTTCTCTTTCAATCTCTCGGCGGTGCGGTATGGGTTGCTGTTAGCCAGACTCTATACACTGGTTACCTGACGAGCAAGTTGCAGAATATCTCAGATATTAACACGGGTGCAATCCTCAACGCTGGTGCAACGGGGCTGGCAGACATTGTACCGGCTGAAAAGCTTCATGCTGTGTTGGTGGTCTTCAACATGGCTCTCCAACGAGCTTTTATACTACCCGTGGCATTGTCATGTGCGATGATTCTACCACCACTGGGCATGGAATGGCGTAATGTGAAGGTGGAGAGCCATCTACGAGAAAATGCGACAGGTTTTAGCAAGGATGCAAAATCAGAGCCGAATCTTGAGGATCGGGAAGTTTGAATCATTCAGGTAATCTAGATAGTGCGAGCCTACCAGATCACCACCTGGGCAGTATCAAGATCAATGTGCAGTCTAGGATCACGCAAATCAATTTGTGATCCTGTCGTTCTATTGGTACGCTTATCATGGATGTTAGGCGAAAGATTTGGCGAGTAAACATCGCTTACTATGGTGGTGTCATTGTTTGCGCCAGATCAATCTCGCTTCGCCGTCTTTTCCAATCAGGAAGTGTGTGATCTTGGAGACTGCGTGATCTTGGGTGATCTTTCTGCCTTCCTCCAGGGTATAAATTAATCTCTCCTGTCTTTTTAATTCTTCTTCTTGATTTTCCCCAACTTCTCTCCACTTCCACTTTTCTGTTCCACTTGTCTTGGGCCTACTCCTCTTGGACCTTGATCCTTCACCGTGTTGCCTGATCACCAACACGTCTGAATATCTTGTCCACCCCACCTTGCCCACACAACCTTCAACTGTTGACACTTTTGACGCGTTCATCAACACATGTCATATTGACACATCCTTCAACCAACATTCACATCCATCCATGTGACGTGACCTTCATCAACTTTCATCAACAACATCCAATGTTGATACATCTTTCCATCAACAATGATAACATCCATCCATCTTGACACCTCCTTTGGTCAACATCCACATCCATGTCGATTCATGTGACACATCCTCATCAACTTTCATCAACATCCATGTTGATACATCTTTCGACATCCATCGATATGACCTTGCATCTACATGTCTGTCAACCAACATAACCTTCATCCACATGAGTGTTCAACGGCATCCTCCTTCAACAAAACTTCCATGTTGACATTACCTTGTTGTTACAACTCAACATCAACATCATGATGACTCCATCAAACAACACAATCATCCATGAACACCACACTGCCTCAAGTCTTGACAATCTTCACACACTCAATCTGTTGTTGACACGACACACTCTTCCATTCACATGCTGGTCCGATGGCTTCTTGCTTCAACTATGGGGGGGCTTCCGTGGACAACAGGTAAGGCACCCATCTATATCCTCCCTTGACCCCACCTCACTAACCTCACTTCATACAGCCGCCTTCAGGCTCCACTGGCCCGTGATCAATCAACGCCCTCCCCTCCTTCTCATCAATGCAGGTGATAGCACAGCCTGCATTGACACATAGGGGACTGGCACTTTCTGTGCTTAGCTTCTGTGGCCGTGGCGGGTTTCGCGAGAACCTCAGGACAATCGGCGCAGAGAGCTAAGGAGGAAGCAGCTATGACCGTGGCGGGTCCCGCGAGACCTCAGGACAATCGGCATAGTGGGCTTCAGGACGCACTCTTCTTCTACCTTCTACTCCTCTGCCTTCTCAGGTTCAGAGCCTCGACAATGCAGGTAGTAGCACAACCTGCAGCGCATCTACGTCGCTGGTGCTTATCTTCTGTGACCGTGGCGGGTTTCGCGAGAACCTCAGGACAATCGGCACAGAGAGCTAAGAGAGGAAGCAGTTATGACCGTGGCGGGCCCCGCGAGGCCTCAGGACAATCGGCATAGTGGGCTTCAGGATCATCTTTGCCTTCTCCTTCATCTCTCCCTCTCCCTCTCTTTTCTTTTCTTTTCTTTTCTTCTATATCGATTCATACTTCGTGTACATGCTCAAGTTCTTTTAAGACTTGGCTTTTTTGTTCATTCATTGTTTATCCTTCTCCACTTTTGGGTCTTCTTCGTTCCTCCGAGGCTTCGGAATAAACAATGCATTCTCATTCAAACCCATTTCAATATTCTTCGTAATCTTTTTAAACAATAGTAGGCTATACTGCATAGAGCTCTACCTAGAGTTGTTACCAGGACTCACTATTAATCAGTTGTACCATCAGTTCTTGAGGTCGACATGGATGGATGCCTCCAGGCTCCAGGGCTGTATCACTCCCACGGGCATCTTTCCTTAATACATTCACTCTATGATCAGGGCCCAGACCATTTTCTTATTAGGTATCATGATGCAGGAGAGAGCGCCGTCTTGGAATTAAGCAAACAATGTCCAATTAAATTACTTGGAAGAGTTATCTCCCATGATCTTCAAGTTCCCACATGTGCAGGTCCTAGGTTAATTATAAACCTCCTAATCTAGATAAAAATACGAACATCTACCAACTTGAAGTGCATCACAACAAGATGACAATCTTCTCCCCGACCCAGAATGCATACGTACTCCTAAAATAAAACAAAAAAAAACAAACTTGAAGCCGAGCTCGCAATAGAGCACGAGCCCCTTAATCGGACGGTACAGGCCGCTAACACCGATAAAATTCTACCAAGCGCGAGAAACTTGGAACTCCACAATTGCGGCTAAGTAATCATCTATAGAATCCACTGTGGATTAACAGCGGAAAAAAAGTCGAGTCTAGTTCAAGACAATGTGGAGTGCTAATTTTGAATTTTTGCTGCGGATATGTTCAGGGGATGTTCTCCGTTCCAAGTTTCTGTGGTCAAAACTTGAACCTATTGCTAGTACTTTAGTTTGTTGATAGTCAATTGATGATAGATTGTACCTGTGGCTTTAAATGTTATGGTATTTAATTTTGGCAGGTTTTTCACCAGTGATCCTGTAAGCGCTTCTGTCGCTTATTTGGAATCGGCTTCAGGTTTAAGTTATTCTGCAGAACTTTAGTGCCAGATGGTGTCAGCCTCAGTCGCGCCACCGGGGGTCAAAGCATGCAGAAATGTGACGGTGACATGAAATAAAGAAATCTCAAGTCCAGGAGTCCAGGTGGCTCAATGTGGCTTGTTTCAAATGTTGATTTTTGGGCCATTCAGGTTGAATCATTATGCACATGTGTATCATTTATTAAATTTTCTAAGGAAAGTAGTATCTAGTAGGTAGAGTAGTGGGCAGAATTGCCAGAAATAGAGTCATATACTATACAAACCTCAAGGCAGATCATCATTCAACGTAATCCAGTCTTAGCCGCTATTGCGCGCGCTTCTTTCCTCTTCCATTATCACAGAGACAGGTTCATGAGAAATTTCAATGGTGGTTTCTTGGTACACACCACCGAAATTGGACATCTCCATATCATTCTTAGCGACAATCTCCTCAGTAGAACCGTCAAAGGGACTTGAGGACTCCTTATCGCCCAATCTGCTGCGATGGAATTTGGAGCTCAGGCGCGATCCCAGCTTAAGACCCTTGCGTGGGCGAGAGCCCGCATTGGTGGTTGTGATGTTAGTTTGCCATTGAGAGTCGGTGTTGTCGTAGTTGCGATCAGTAGTACTGTACTCGGAATCGATGAGCAGGTGGCGACGGGTAAGCGTGTAAACAGCCACATCCATAGATCCCGATAGTGCCATCAAACAACCAGCGACACCAAAGTAGGTCTTTCCCGGAGAGTCACCTCGCGCGCTAGCCATACGACCTGCTGCAAGTGGCAGTGACATCACGACGTACACGAGGGGGTAGATAACCATGTATATGACGACTCGGTTCAATCGGCGCAGGGATTCTTGTTGACCACGGCGGAGCATCTTTGCTTGACTCATACGGCGGCGGAGGTGGATGAACATGAAGGCATAAATAACAATGGTGCCGAATTCGGAGAGGAAAATCCAGAAGTAGTGGCCCCAGAGGCGCTCGTTTTCGTGATCAGGGCTCAGCCAGCACTATTCGTATCAAATTGAGTCAGTCAGATATTCCCCACTATAACAATAAGCTTTGGTTCAACCAAGAAAAGCATACCCAATTCGCCTCGGAAATAACAAAGACATCCGATCCATATAGACCTATGGGGATGAATCCAATGATGAGGATGAAGACCCATAACGCAATGACGCAGTAGACGAATACGTTGAAAGGTAGTTGGCGACCGCGCATGACAACGAAGCCGGTGTGGAGGGCGATTGACAAAACGAACAGACCACTGCCAGGGTCTCCTATTTGGATCCACCAACCCTGCAAGTAGCACGCCGCCTCTCCAAAGTGCACATTACCCCGAGATGCCCAGTAGAGACTGATCATGAAGGCGATTGCCTGTTGCATATCAACCAGCAACAGGTTGTAAATCAAGACGACATATTGATTCTTAGCGAGTGAATTTTTGTAGTATCGATGCCAGAAGATGAAACGATAAGTAAGGAATGACAAGAGACCCAGAGTAGACCCTAATGAGCAGAGGGCAATGATGCCCATAGCAATAAAGAGCGATCGGTCACTTCCTTCCAAAGGAACCGTATCACGGAACTCCCATTCACGACGGGCAAGGGAGCCACCGCCGCCATCGGCGTACAGCGAACGCAAAAAATGAGTGAGTAGAACCATGATGCAGAGCTCGAGAGACTCTGGGAATGGATCTCAAAGTTTCCACAAGATGGGCCCCCCGCTTGTATATAAGAATGGATTGCAAATCCGAAAGAGCACGGCCTCAAATTCGGCCTGCACCCCTGCACTGCATCCGATGGATGATCCACTGCATTATGTACTGAGTTCAACTAGAACAGTGCGGAGCACGGAGTAGAGCGAGGGCCCTTTTTTTTGCTCCTGTTTCCACAAGCATGTCAATCCTGCAATAGTTCAGCATCTGTCATGATCATTCTTGCCGATAAGGGGCTTGTGCAAAGTTAATCCATGGTTCGCCACTGTCATAGTGGCTCATAGTCACCCAGGGGTTTGGGAAGAGGAATACAGTATACCCCATTTGGGGGGGCGTAGGATGCGGCTCCGAGTTATATGTATGGTCAAAATCACTTTAGTCATGTCGAAATTTACCCACAATTTGATCGAGGTAGGGTATAGCGCTCAGCTTCCGAAAAATTCGACGTCGATCTTCGGAGTCCACGACCGGAAAAAAAGGTGAAATAAGATTTGTCGGCGTTCGAAGACACGACGTACTTTCAAGCGCGCGTCCAGCCAGTCATATCTTTGGAATTGGGGGCTAGGTGAACGAAGAGGGTCAAATAGAGGGGCAATTCTCACATCGAGCCACTCGCTCATCAGACTAAGTGGAGATGGAGTTCGTATTGTCCCATCTCACACAAACTTAGATCATTAGCGATCGCTGATCAACGGGGAGAAAGGAGTTGTTCGCAATTTCATTCTCCGCGCTCTGGGCATGTGGAAAAACAATAGTCTGGTTTGACGTTAAGCCTCGTGGATTCAATGCTTGGCACCTGCAGAGCTCCATGCGGGAGACGAATAACAAACCCTGAACTTTGCCCAGGTGCGTATATGAGTTTTTCCCGACCACGGATACGTGTGTCCTCCGTAATCCGTGCGGAGAACGACTCCGTATAGGGGCAAAATAGGTTGTGCAGTACTCCGTACAGAAAACAAGCATTTGAATTCTGGGCTATTCCCTGGTTGAAAATTCAGGTTGTTGATCACAACTAGGTGAGGTATAAAAGGGCCGGCCTTTTCGGGACATTGAACCGGATGAGCACTGAATAGGATTTAATAATTGGTGGACAAGGTATTGTAATAGGAACAACGACCGCCGGGCGGAATTTTGGCCATCGTGATCGACCATATAGGGGGTCTGGGGCAAGGCTCGGGATTGCGTTGACCATTATTCCGCTTCGTTGATCAAGGTCGTAGCTTCTGGCCTGTGCGATGTGGAGAGTCGATCAGAGATTCCATAGCCAATTTTGTGCTCGTGTGAAGCTTCTCGCTGATTGAAAGAAGGTGAGTTGTATAGTAGACAATTGAAGATCCAAATCATGGGTAAACAAAGTACCTACCTAGGTAGTGGATGTTGTTTGGTTGTAAGTAGAAATTAACGATGAAAAGCCTTCTGGCTTATAAAGCAATAAGTTTGAGCGGAATACATGAACCGTCTCCGTGGCGCAATTGGCTAGCGCGTCTGACTGTTAATCAGGAGGTTGGAAGTTCGAGCCTTCCCGGGGACGTTCCTTTTTGTTTTATTTTTCTCGATCTTTTCTCGATTACCTACGGAGGTCGGTCCGGAAAGTTCTCGCCAGAAATTATAATTTCTTTTTCTCACACTAGGCTATATACAGTAAATATTGAAATATATCGCGTAATCAAGATGTATATAAAACGGAAATATATAGTACTGAAATATAATAACAGCTTGAAACAGTAAATATTCACATATCTTCCCATATATCGCTGTCGCTGTCGCTGTCGCTGTCGCTGTCGTTGCCGCTGCCGCTGTTATAGGCGTTATCACCTAACCCGCTAGGGGCTACTTCACCTAATTTATCACGCCCCTCACCGTATTCGTTGCCCCCTTCTAGTCTAATGACTTGCTGTATATGCCATGGTATACGTTCAATCCAAGCTTGAATTTGCGCCTGTGGTAGATCACGCCACGCAGCCTCCCATACTTTAATCCCTTCTTTACGCGATTTAGGTGCTCCTTTTCGCGTAGTGTATCTCTTCATCCAAGGCCATGCAGGTTCAATCATATTTAGATCAGGCGAATTTCCAGGCCAGATCATTCGTTGGACCCCCATTATATCAAATATTCGCTGTTGGTAGTGATGTGAATGGGCTGGTGCTTTATCCTCTTGAACTATTGTTTTCGTTCGAATTCGAGCACATTCTTGGGCGAATGGAAGTAGTTTTGGGGCTAAAATCACGGTGTTGTATCGGTACCAATCGATTCCACCTTTCGAATTGCGTGCAAGCTTTCCATTCTTCTGAGTCCATCTCCACTGAGGTTGTCTTCCAGGCTTATTGCGTAGCCCTAATCGCTGTATACCTGAATTAAGCTCCCATTCTGCACGCATAATAGGCTCTAATTCAGTATTCCATTCGGCGATTTGGTGTTCTGCTTCACGCTTTTGGGCTGTAGTTTCAGGTACCCAACAATGACAGGGGCCCTTCTGATCATAAGAAAAAGCACCCCAAAACATGAACTCAGAGGCCCCCTTCCAACGTTCTCGAATACAGCTTCGGACGAACCGCTCACTAGAAGTACGCCATACACGATATCCACCCCGACGGTGTAATAAAACAACCGCAGTTTCATCAGTCCAAATCACATTCTTCCAGTCTTCTATAGTCCAATGGGCGTGTTTTAAACACCATTCAAGACGTTGTTTTTTCTGCTCAGCGGCAAGCCCAGGCTTACGTGTAGGCTTTGTTTTTCGTAGGCCAATTTTTCGTAGTACATGCCAAACTGTTGTTTTTGATATATTAATCCCTAATTATAGAAGAAATATTAGAGGAAATAACATATCAAGTAACATATGAGATAACATATCAAATAACACACCAAGTAACACATCAAATATTATACTAAATAACATATTAAATAACACACTAAATAAAACATCAAATCTTAGAATAACTAACCTGATTCACTGCGTAGCTCTGCAGCTAGCTGTTCACATGTTTTCTCACGCCCATAGCGGTCTACACGGATTTTCGCCCCAAGTGTGGTTTTAATCTCATCTGTTTGCTTAGATGGACGCCCAGAACGTGCTTTATCAGCTAACATTTCATCTGATATATTGAATGGTCGCTGATTCGGCTGAAAACCTCGTTCGAGTGCACGGTTCCATATGTCTCCTATAGTACGCCGTGGAATATTCATAAATTCACTGATCTCCTTAGGGGTATGTCCTTGGGCCCTTAGGTGTACAATGACAGCACGTTGCGCAATATTGGTCTTCATTGTAGCTGTATAGGTGGGACAAAAGTGTAGCTGTGTAGGTGGGATAAAAGTGTGAAGGGGTGTACGGACTGTAGGCGGGGTAAAAGATAAAGATCTACGTGTCCACGGGTGTTATAAGCAATATTTAGCCTAGTACGTAACACGGCAATACATCCTATATACAGCAGGCTATACACCTGACATACAGGGCCGGTAATATATCAAGAAAAAGAAATTATAATTTCTGGCGAGAACTTTCCGGACCGACCTCCGTACATACCGAGTGAATCAACATCTTTATTTTTGGTGTTCTTTTTGGTTGATTCGGAAATACAATATCCGATTCCTGCTCAATCTGACTCGTTTCTGATTTCTGTAGTATCTAGATGCGGGAGGCCGTACCTGCAATGTTCACCCATTCCGTCCATATCCAAATGCTACCCAAGGCCATACACATAGCAACAAGAGGAATGATTGGATAAATTGAACGTATACCTGCATATGGCTGTGCAGGTGATCTACAGAATTTGGGGGCTAGAGAGTATTTTTCTCTCGTGAGAAAATCAGTCTAGACTTACTATGTCTTAGTGTATGCATCCATAGTCGTCCGTAGATCTTCCCGCAATAGGACGTCTATGCCCAGGACTGGATAGTTCCATTGCGGCAGACTCCGTTTGATGTCTAAGACCTGCACCGGATGTAGTTTGAGTACATATCCATGTGTCCAGAAATAGTATCATGATCATGATCAATCCTTGGCTAGTGTCCTGAATCATTGGCATCGTGTGGTGCTCAGGTGGTAGTAGGAACTTGAACTCCATCGTGAAAACATATAAACACAGCAGAGGTACTACACAGTGAGCATCAACACCACATTTTACTTCAACATCCAAACATTTGAACAGAAACCTTGGAACTCGAAGTCAGATTATTCATGTTGAAAGCTCGAATTTGAAATTATTATATTCAGATTGAAGGAAAATTTCAATATCACCATGAAGTCTACTACATTTATCTCCTTTGCTGTTCTGGCAGCTGCTCATCTCGCCAACGCTGCCCCGGCACCAGCAACTACACCCGCAGCCAATACTGCAACCCCACAATCCGTCTCAGTCTCCTATGACCAAAAGTATGACGTTGGAACAACATCCCTCGATACAGTTGCCTGCTCCGATGGCACCTACGGCCTCGAAACCGACGGCTTCACGACATTTAGCTCGTTGCCCAACTTCCCGCTGATCGGTGGCGCGCCCACTGTCGCCGGCTGGGATAGCCCAAACTGTGGCCAATGCTACCAGCTGACTTTCGAGTCTGACGAAGTCAGCGAGACTATCAATGTGCTGGCGGTAGATTCGGCCTCGGGTGGATTCAATATTGGTCTTACGGCTATGAACCACCTCACCGATAACCAGGCCGTTCAGCTGGGTCACGTGACAGCCACTTATGTGGCTGTTGCGAACAGTGTGTGTGGATTGGAGGATTAGACTAGATCTGGATTTCTTGGGTAAATCACTACCTAGGTACCCAAGATTGATGCATATTATGTGGGAAGTGAGGCGTGGACGGAAGCTTTTGGGGCATTCATATAGTACTATACTAGTACACGAGTCATGTCATTGGGTGGAGATCGATAGTGAGATATAATACAGAATGTGATCTTGAATGCAGGGTTGATCTATTGAAATATAATTTACATCCACTTGAAGATTTTAGTCAAGTGCTTCTAACATCTCTTCTACACGGGTAAACTTTTCTCGAGGTCTACCCTTCTGCTGACCGCGCTCACGCTCAATCGCGTCGATACGTTGCCAGTCTTCCCAGGATGTTGCCCGGAGACCACGTTGCTGTGCCACCGCTTTGATCCCATCCCAGCCCAGGCCAGTGCTTTGACCGGGAGCATTCAGTAGAGAGCCATTGTGGCTTGCCAAGTCCTGTAGAATGGTATCCACTGTAGTGAAGGCATCGGTCATAGTGGAAGCAATGACACCTGTTGGGCCTCGCTTGACCCACCCGGCACAGTACAGACCAGGCAAGTGCGCAATAAGTGACCCATCGGGGAGTGTTTGGGTCTCACCCTTCGTAATTGGACTTTTCACCCGACCAAACCCATCGTTGGGAATAACACCATGCTGCGTGTCAAAATCAATTCCCAGATCTTCAAGCCCCGGCAAGGGAAGCGACTTGTACCCAACACTGCGGAAGAAGATGCTCGAAGAGAGATTGACCTCAGCACGGTTACCATTCGAGAGGAATTTGGGTGTGACTCGCGAGCTGGGGTTGAAGGGATCGGAGGGGTCAAGTTCATTGCGAGAGAATTTTGTGTGGGAAAGACGGTAAGGATGAACGGGGGACCAGTTGAGACATTCCGGGGAGAGAAGGAAATCTAAAGACCAGGACTTGGTCGCTGTCTGTGGGTCATTAGCAGAACCCTTGGCGAGGAGTTGCATCAATCTTTTCTGAGCTCGTGGCAGCCCGTTGATGACGGAGTCGGGAGGCATAACATCGTTTCGGATCGGCTCGAACGCGAGGGAGGGCAACTGGAGCAGTTCGCGGATCTCCTTGATGGTGAAGGAAGCCTACGAATGTGGGTTAGCAATCAATATATATGGCCTCTCGTTACTTTGTTTCTCACCTGTAATGGTCCTCGGCGACCGACCACTCGCACCCTTTTAATCTTATTTTTCGACAGCGCTTCCAGAGCATGTGTAGCTATATCAGTATGCCTCAGGGAGTCTACATCCGAGAGCAGAATTCTGGCAACATCAAGAGCTACATTTCCCTGTCCGACAATCACTGCGTCCTCGCCGTTTGACAAGTCGGGGTTCAAATCCCGATGTTCAGGCAGACCGTTGTACCACCCTACAAAGGCTCGAGCCGAGTATACACTGCGTAGAGCCTGCTCTCCTGGAATACCAACTTCCTTATCCTTTGATGCGCCGTACGCGAAAAGAATTGCATCGTAGTGGGGTTTGAGGGCGGATAGCGGTAGGTCGTTGCCGAGCTCGATATTTCCGACAAAGTTGAATCGAGGGGACGTTGCAACCTCGGTGAATTTATCTTCGCAATTCTATTTGGATAGCAATGAGATTTAGTATCACGACTGAGTATTGTAAATATGCACAATGCTACAGGTTGGGTCTGTCTCAGCATACCTTAACCTCGGGATGATCCGGGGCTACTCCATATCTGGCCAATCCGAATGGCACAGGAAGCTTCTCATACATATCAACATTGACATTTTCTTGTTTGCTGAGCAGCCGCGCTGTAGCATAGAAGCCAGCAGGGCCTGAGCCTATTACGGCGACTCGGACTGGTCGGTTCTCCGAAGCAACATGGCTGTTGAATCGTCGCGAGATATGTCGGGAGGAAAGTCCCTTTACTCGTACAACTGAGCGAGAAAGATGTGCCGTGCAGTTCACACAGACAAATGTGCGGTCCAGCATAGTAGTTGAAGCTGAAAGAAGAAGCCACCGTCTTTGTAGATAGATCCAATGCTTGCAATTGCTCCAGGTCCCTACAATAGACCCTCCACTTTGGCGGTATCAATTTGCACGGCAAATTCACAGACCGCTTACCTAGTATGTGATGTGATCCACAGCCAAAAGCAGGTTTGGACTATGAGATAATACACAACTTCAGAGAAGAGCATATAGCTCGTTTAAAATATGAGAAATATAAAACTTTTCTTGAAATATTTAATGTCATAGCTTCAGCCTGATTGGACCAAAATGTCACATATGAGTACATGTAGGTCATTACTTGCATTAGATCTGCAGATCGGAGACATTGAGCCCCACGTGACCTGTTATCTGGGGCGTTGCCAGGCCAACAATCGATGTTGACCCTCTTGTTACTCCGCAGTGTCCGCACAGCCCACTCCCATCGCGCCGCATTCCATAGAGTTTCCTTTGTCAGAGCACATTCATTCCACGGTTCAATTCCATTCCTTTCCCACATTCTCATCGCCTCACGTGGTTCATCACGGGAGGCTTCCAGTCGCTATTATGGGGAGATCGGAGCCTCCATTCCTTTACGATCGTCCTGGCACGTACACCTTCAGTGGACCGACCGATCCGGTCTTTAACCCAAAGGCTGTCATGCAAGCGAGCAGGACTCCTGCATCTCCAAGACAGCAGCCCAAAGGTCCACTGGTGAATTTCAATAGACACCCAGACTCAGTATGCAATTTATAATCTCTGACCCACACTATGCACACTATTGAACTAATCAATAAATGTAGTGGGCTACCTTGGATGAAAAGAAGCCAAAATGGGAGCCAATGAACCCTCGGACAAAGTCGTGGGTGAAAGGAGTCAGATGGACACAGGTATTCTTGCGATCCATCACACTGCTTGGTGCACTTGCATCCTTATTTTGCTCCATTGTTGTTAAAGATGTCGCAACAACAGTTGTCTGGATCATCCGCGCAGGGGTAAGCCACTCAATGATGACTTTAATAACATGAGACAATATCTAACATCAAGAAAAGCCTATTGTCGCAGTTCTACACACAGTTTACGCAATTTACCATTTCTGTCACTCTCCACTAACTCGCCCTCCCGCTTCCCAAGGCAGTTATGCAGTGTTCGCCGGTGTCATGGATGTTGGATTGATCCCATTCTATGTGTACACGGCACTAATGGCCCACAGTGACTATACTGCTGATGAATATCATTGGGGAACTCTTTTTGCCAACAGTCAAATTACTGTGGATATCATCGAAGCCATGTTCATTTGCGCCGTTGTCAACTCGGGACTACACCTTGTCTCGTTCTGTCTTTCAATTTTCCTTGCCGTGGTGTTCCATAAGATTTCTCGACTCCCACCTGACATGAACCCACTGGAGGACAATTTGACTTGCCGTCCCCGCCGGAGCATCCGCTCAGAGGGGGATAAAGAGGAGAAGCACATGAGCTCGTCGACCATGAATACCTACCTCGGTGACGCTCTCATGGGAAGTCCACGCACCATTGCATTTATGCATACTCGAACCGAGTCTCTGGGTGGTGAAACGCTTCATGACTCTGTGGATATGAGCTATGATAAACGCCAATCTCAGCCCCAGATCACTGTGCAACCGGCGCATCGTCTCTCTCATTTGGAGGCATCGAGTCCCTCAAGCCCCGATACATACTTCGACCACTCTCTTCACCAGCCATATGATTTCCCTTCATCGTCAATGCCCGCCGCTGAATACCGTAACGTGCCATCACGATCACCGAATATCGTGGAACCTGGTACCCACACCCGTCAACTGGCTTCACGTACCGCTGATCGATCTAACTCCGTGAGCCCCGTGTCTGGTAACTGGGTGCAATACCCCGATCGCGAGGAATCCCCTGTCAGCGAACTTCATGCTCAGCACCAGCAGAACGACAGCATGAGCCTCCGCCAATCATCTTCAGTTTACAGTCGACGAACCGATAAATCTGCAACTTCGGCCGCAAATGGAATTCGAGACTGGTTCGCCTTCCCCCAGAGGAACGCGAATGCTCCTAGCATCCGAACTGCCATCACCGAAGATATCCGGGGTGAATACGCATCGTTAACGGAGCAGGAGTACTACGGCAATGAAGAAGACCAAAAGGAGCAGGACCTGGGAGACCAGCAGCGTTTCAATGTTTTCCCTGATCCAGAAGAACATGATCATGACAATGATGGCGAGCCCTCTGGTGATCTTCCTTTCAACCCCCCTGATGCTGAACCCACCTACACCCCAGCCCAATCAGTACGAAGCAAAAGAGAATACTGATCCTGTGCGTCGCAATGTGCTGGGTGATAACCCAAACCTGTCACAGAGCCCTAAGCCACAAGTTTACGTTCCACTTGAGACAGACGAAGCGTCCGACTATCCCCCAGTGGCGAAGAATCGATACTATGGCGACCTGGAAGCAGATGGACAGGGTGTACTTAGCACCACGCGCGATCCAAGCGTTGAGATCAAGTCCAAGCCATCAAAGCTCGTTAAGAAACAAAGCAAGAAGATGGCAGCCTATCGATCTTTGAAAAAGGATGACAGCGATGATGAGGGTTATCTCAGTACTAGTATTGTATCCTCCCCAATGCCCAACGAAGGAGATCGCAAGGGCCGTGTGGTGAGCAACTCCGGTGCAGACACCGGGATGATGGGTGGAGTTGGTACTTCCTTGTCCAATTACGGTAGTTACCTCGCCGGACTGGGAGTTGGTGTTGGAAGACGCCGTGATGTGAGTGGCAAAGTAGCTGAAGAAGGACGAGGAGGAAAGAGTGTGGAGGTTCGACCTAGCCCCAGTCCTAATCCTACTCCGAATCAGAGCCCCGGTGGCCCTGTTCGTGCAGCTGGATGGGCCCGTTTTGCGGGACTGTGAGTGGGATTAAGATACCAGGGAATTCGGGTGGATGGACGGGTAATTTGGGAGGAAACTTCTTCATGATTGTTTTAACTAGGGAATGGCGTTTACGATTTTGTGAGATTATGAATGGGATGTAGCGATATCATAGCCTTTGTTTTAGATACTTTAGTGCCGATTTGAGTCAATTGAATTGAAATGAAAACTCGATTTTACAAGTCTATCCAAGGTTGTCATGTAATACATGTGCATAGGGTATCGTACAAAATTGCAAAAGAAAATCATAAAAAAATGAGAAAGACATGATCTAGATCCTGTTGGTTAAGAGGGAACACCTTCATATTCCCAACCTTCAATGACACGCTTTCGACGTCGCGAGTTTCGCCGATTGGCATTACACTTGATGAAGACAGTCAAGGCGAAGATAGCACAAACGACGACCGAGGCAGCAGCTGCAACAATGACTGTCCTCCGTTCAAGCTGCTGTGGATCAGATGCGTATGGACAAGATGCGTCAGGTCCACCGGTAACCCAGCAAGAAGTGACATCAATCGAATTGAAATCGAGCAAGACTTCACGATAAGCAGGGTCGGTAGAGGTCGCATCTAGGATAGACGAAGACTCATCGGAAAGAAATTTATAGAGATAGGTATTTTCAAGCGCGGTGCGTGGTACAGCAAAACTTGAGCCTGGCGGGCAATGGATCGAGATATCCCAATAGTTGGCCGTTGCATTGGTCAGAGTCCACGAGTACGGAGAATTGCCTACTCGACAAGCACCGCGGCGAACGTCACTGCAGTTGGTTGAACGCCAGTGGCCTGCCAGCGTCAAATCCATAATTGCGCAGCGATCAAATGCTGGTATGCCATCTGAACCGCCACCAGTTGCTGCGCCCTGCGGCTCTCCGATTGCCCAGGCCCAACCCGAAGAAAGCGAGACATTTCGATAATAATCAATGTTGGCATCGGCACTTTGGTTAAAAAGGGTGTCGTTGAGCATCGGGGACATGCCGCAGGCTAGCATATTAGAGATAACATCTGTCATTTGCCCCATGGTGCCGTCTGTGGATTGTTCATCAGAAACAGGAATGCGACTAGTTGCCCATGACGAGTTCGCTTGGGATACAGCGGTAGCACCCAGTTCATATAAACAGCCTGAAGTCAAAGTCCCATTCTTAGAGACAGATGTTTTCACACTGTCAGTCATATAATTCAGACCGAAGATGCTGTCCTCATCTTGAGTCAGATTATAATCGGCCAGTTGCGGATCAACCGTCCCATACTCGACCAGAATTCGATCGGACCTTTTAAACTGAATGTATTTGGCGGATGGCCATCCATCTGGAGTGCTTTGTTGGCCTTCGTTGTCTTTATTAATGGTGTAATACTCCACGATGGGCATATAATCCTCGTCAACCTCATACCACGATTCGTTTAAATTACTGCGATCCTTGGCCAGTTGAGACGGAGTATATATGTAGTCTCGTAGTTCAACCCCAAAGAATGATCCCGGGCGTTCCGTCTGAGATGTTGGTAGATCATTCCCTGTTACTGCAGATGCCGGCTCCGTGGGTGCGGAATCACTGCCTGCAACATGAAGATTCAACACTAGCCAATTCATATATACTTCCAACTCAGAAGAGGTGTCTTGGAAATATCCAACGAGGACCTCTACCAATGAGTACAAATCCAGACTTTGAGTGCATCTGTATGGTCCAATCTCATAGATCATGTCACCGTAAGAGTCTTGATAACCCGTGACCATAGCATCCGCGGCATCCGTTGTTGATGTCGCCGTAGCAGTGTCAGTGTCAATAGCGGTAACTGTAGATGTCATAGACGAGCTGGTGATCGTCGACGTGTATGCCGAAACAGTCACATCAGCCCTTGCAGGGACTTCAACAGGGCAAAAGGTCCACGTCCTGCGTTCCACCGACCAATATATGTCGGCTATTAAACGTCGGTATCCGACTGAGAGCAAGTTGGATATACATTTTGCAGCCTCTTTTCTATCATAAAGGCCAGCTCCAAAGCACGCAGATGACAATGACACCGCGGGATTGGTGATGAAGTTGATTGGAATCTGTGCCGCGACATCTCGTTCACTCTACTATTGCGTCAGAGTTAAAGAATTTAGGAATTGCAAGCCCATTGCAAATATAAAGGGAAGACAGACCAATAAGACAGCCACCCAAGTTGCATTCTTAAGAGTATCAACTGAATCATAAGAGACCGACATAGCAGAGCATGATTGCCATATGAAAATGAAAGGAGAAGAAGTGCGGGTTCGTGCAGGTCGCATCACGTATCCAAGGGCGGAAACGCCGATCACCTGAGTCGATCTGGCCACATCAAAATGTTTCTCTCTTGAACTTCGCTCAGAGATCCACCACTCCATCTGGTTGATCCAAACTTGTTGTTTTCAATTTTTATTTTCTTTCTTTGATACCCTCTTATTTTGCAAACGACAAAAATAAAGCCACCTTCATCATGGCTCAACCAGGTCAACCAGGCCAACCTAGCCCCCAGCAAATGGCTGCTATGCAACAACAGTTCGCCGCTGAAGCCGCCAAACGAGGACTGACCCCCGAACAATTTGCCCAGAAGCAGCGCGAACAATTGACCGCCGATGCTGCTAAGCACGGAATGACTCCTGATCAATACGTCGCGCAGTTGCGGATGCGAGCGCTCCAGGCGCATCAGAAGCAGATGGAAGCTCAGCGACAGGCCCAAGGGTCACAACAGCCCGGATCACCAGCACAGCCAGGGCAACCACAGCAGCAGCAGCAGCAACAACAGCAACAGGGTCAAGCACAGGCTCCAAAGCCAGGACAGCAAATGCACCAGGTTCCTGTCAACGCGGGTCAACCGGCCGACCCTAAGGCCCTGGCCGTTGCCAAGTTCCTTCGTTCGCAGAACCTCAAGCCACGAACCTGTATTATGGATGGACAGCGAAAGGATATGTTCAAGGGTGAGGATATGAAATACTCTCAAGATACATAACAGAAATTATTAACGCGTCCCCGGTTATAGTCAAGCGAGCCATCCGCGCTATTGAGTCCCCCGCCTACGCCAAAGCCGCCGCAAAGAAGAACTCTCTCCTCCCACCCGTTACCGATCGCGCCTCTGCCGAGAATGTCTTCAAGCTCCTCCCACTCTCTCTTCTCGCTCTGCGAGTTAGCAAGGTGGACCCCCACGCAGGCCACAACCACGGCAAGACTAAGAACCGTGTTAAGGGTCTGTGGACCGTTAAGATCGAGCAGCACCAGGAGACAGACCCAATGATGCATTATGTCTGGTTGTGGGAGGGACCACAGTGGAAGCAGAAGGCCATGGCCGCGGCTGTGGTGGCGGGTATCTTTGCCGTTGTACTCTTCCCGCTGTGGCCCATTATGCTGCGTCAGGGAGTTTGGTATCTGAGTGTGGGCATGATGGGACTGCTTGGTCTTTTCTTCGCCATGTCTATCTTCCGATTGATTCTATTCTGCATTACTGTGTTCGCTGTGCCGCCTGGTCTATGGTTATTCCCTAACCTATTTGAGGATGTTGGGTTCTTTGACAGTTTCAAGCCCTTGTGGGGTTGGCAAGAGGTACGTTCCCCACAACTTGCATCTAAATTCCCAATTTTATGAATAGCTTCTAACAATTTTTCTGCAGAGCAAGAAGAAGAAGAGCAAGAAGGTCAAGTCCGGATCTACTGATACCCCCGCCAAAGAAATCGCACCATCAGCAACAACTACCTCTGCTGAAACAGCATCTACTCCCAGCTCTGCACCTGTGAAGCGGGATCTGACAGCACGAGTAGAGGAAGTGGAAGAGTAAACCTCACAGGGACGAAAATGTTTTTTAAACCATTGCGAGCACTTCTGGGAACTTTCCCAATTGGAATAAATCTGTGAACCTTGGGAGCTGATTTGATTCCTTATTCATTTTTCATCTGCGTATGCCCTTATCCGGTATACTCATTTCGGCCGTGGCGTTTCAATATCTTCAAACCTATGTATTGGCTATTCTGATTCTTGTGGAAATGGATTCAATTTATGCACATGTTCTAGTTTTAAGACCTTCGTAGTGGTAGTAAAAGGATGCCCACAGAAGTTTACACAGTGCCAGCACTTGAGTGCTTGCAGATTGGCTTTAAGGCCGCTGATTAGTTTCCATGAACCCGAATTCCTACAGTATCCGTATATCATACTGATGGAAGTGTCGGTATCTAGTCTGCATAGAATAAATTGATATATCCCATAATGGAAATAAGAAACACAGGTTTTATACAGACCAAGAATAATAGCGCCGGCAAATCAGAAGATTTACATACAATCCAAAGTTGTAGATTCTTTCAAAATGTTGCAAATGCAAACACCAAAAGGGGTATAAGAAAGACATGGAATAAGAAGTGAAGAGTAAAAAGGCTGAAACGAATAAGGAAAATTGAAAGGAATTGATAGACGCCATGCATGACAGGCGTTGTATGTTAAGACAATCAGATGACCAAAAAGGTGACAAAAGGAGAAGCAGGTAGAGAGCCTTGGGTGAGAAAATGGGGCCAGTCAAATCTGGGCAATAAAGAACATATGCAGGCACGGTTGCTTCGGGGTATTATATGCGGGAGATATGCATAAGAGTAGGAAAGACAGAAACGAATGAAGGGGATAACAGACTTCAAGGATCGCTTGTCGAGAATGGGAATGTAGATGAGACGTATAATAGGATCAGACAAAGCAAGAAATTGGCCAGAGAGGTAGGTATGTGGATGTGACTGAATACACAGTGCAGAAGAAGGGTTTCTTAGAGAAGTATAGAAGGTATATAGTATCCGGTAGATGAGCATGACCAGTTCGTTAGATCATTCTGAGCTGCCTGGCAGCTGTTTTTGGGCCACTTTGCGGTATGGACGTCGCAGGAGGAAGAACACTCTTTCGTCGGTCCTGTAGCTGTTCACGAACTTGATACGATTGATAAAACCGGTCCGCTGGAGCAGGAGGGCTTGTAGCCCATGGAGGCGGCGCCTGCGCAGAAATGAGTGATGGAATCTTAGGAAGCGGGCAATTGGGAGGGGGAGCAACAGGAGGTCCAAGACTGAGCCCGGGCATGCTCTTTCGGCGAGACATGTTTTGTGCATTCTGGTAATCTGACTGAGCGGTAGAGACCCTGGTTCGTAGCGTTGGCTCCAACGGGGGAAGGTTCTGCACCGCATGTAATTCATTGGTGGTATGAATACCTAGGCCAGACCGACCGACCAAGCTGAGAGGACGAGATGCCGGAGGACTGCTGTCAGAAGGGCCAGTCTGCCGGGGTACACGCGCGAATGCATTACCGCCGTGTGCTGAACGAGCCATTCTCGATAACGCATCTTCTGAGTTGGAAGGACGCAACACGCGTCGTGTGCCGTCCAGAGAAGCATATGGTTGCTCGGACGAATCTCCATAGCGCGAGCTTGTACTACTATATGTCGGGGACTGTGGGGGAGATGAGATACTGGCGAGGCTGAAATTGCTCGTACTGTCACCTCGACGGAGAACTCCCGCGACAGAGGATGGAGGAGAAGAGGCTTGTGAGATTGAAGTGCCTTGTCTTGGTGTAAACTTCTTGCTAAATGAAGGCACACTAAAGTTTGGAGCAGGAGGGGAAGCACATCGCACCAAACTTTCCGGGATACCGGATTGAACCTGATTGGGGTGAGAGGTTTCCAGACGAGTCGGTACAGGGATACCCTGGAAATGCGCGGGTTCACACCAAGATTGTCGTTTGCCCTGGCCAGAAGTAGGTGGGCTGCGAGCTAACACCGGATCCATCTCTGCCTTTGACAGTTCTTCAAGTACCCCAGCGCCACTTCCCAGAGGCGGCGAGGCAGGAAAGTTCGCCGAGCTAAATGATGAGGAGCCATCCATGCCGTGTGCAGGAGTAGTAGCTTCCATACGACCAGTGGAGACAGAACCAGCTCTCGATTCGACCGTTGAGCGATGGCCGACAGATACATACGAACTGCGCCGTGACTGCCAGGTCATGCCACCCACTGAATGGCCATCTTCTTCCTCATCTGGAGATTGGAGAGCTTGAGGTTGAAGAAACAAGCTTGAGATACGGTGGGGATCCTTCTTCACCATTTGCCGAACACTCGACTTGGATCGAAGCTGGTGAGGCGCCTCGTCATCATCGGAATGGTTTTCCGCGGCGAATTTGGGTCCACCTCGGCTTTCAATCTCAGCACGGACGGCCATCAACCATGCGATCATGGAGTCTGGATTATCAAAGACTAAAAGGAAACTGCGAGCTAATCGACGTGGATTGGATCGATGGAATCCAAATCGCGATGCGAACTTTGGCTTCGCTGGCTCTGGATGGTCTGGAACGGACTCTGCGTCTGGATTTTGAGAAACCTGCACTACCCAATGCTTTCCTGGAATTGCATCACTAGCAAATGCTACTGATTTGGGTCCCAATTGCAGCATCTTCTCCGGCAATCGATCGTGTTTCCCTTCGCCTGCATATTGGAGAAGATACCCAGCAGTGGCGAGCACATAGATCTTCTGTGTCCAATCCACCTTATTAATAGTACCTGAAAGGGTCCGAAGATGTTTTCGTTCCTTTTGCTCTTTTTTCTTGGCTTCATCTGAACCCATTTGATTCCGGCCATCCTCCACTACGGTTCTCCCAGTTGTCGCATGAAGGCGCAGAATGGACTCGGCCGACATTGCCGGCACAGTGAGTGTTTCATGTTTATACGATTGTGGGTACGCTTGGAATAAAGGTGGTGGTTTCCAGCCATATTGCTCCTTTTCCTTTGAAGATACTGGATTAGTTTCCGCGCGCCGAGGCCGAGATGTTTTTAATGTTGTTCGAGCCCGGGGTGTCGTCGGCGATGTAATCGCAGTTGGGGTTGTCGGGGTTGTGGTATTCGGACTGGTCAAACCCGGTGACAAGGGCATCTCTGAGACTGGAATTGTCTGTGTTGGGACCGGTTGGGACTCTTCGATCTCGGTCAACTTGGTATCGGGGGCTACCGCGGCAGTGCGGGATGACTTGTCGCGACTGAACAAACTGCGTAGGCTTGATTTTGAGGTTTGGCGACGTACTGGACTCTGGAGAGGAACCGGCCCCTCAGAACCATTGGTGCTAGGATAGTCTGATGGACGTGGACGTTGCACTTTGACATTGGATTTGCTGGACGCCGTGGGGTCGCCCAAGTTTGTCTTGAGTGGTGTGAGTTGATGACCACGTCGCTCGCCGAAAGACGGCGAAGCAGTCTCGGGACTCATGATATTTTCGGACATGGCGATGAGGTCCCAATTAATTGTTGGGATACTCGATCACAATTCATAGATCACTCATACTCATCGCTTTGCGGAAAAGGAGGTTCGGGACGAAGACGGTAAGGATCGACAAGTTGGAGAAAGGAGAACGTGGTGCATCTGCACGGCCGTTAAGCCTAACGTCATTGGTAAGTAGAAGGACTTTAATTCGAGGAGTTCATGAAAGGGAAAGGATGAGAAGGAAGAAAAAGGAGAAAATTGAGGATTGGGGGAAAAGTGGGGGGAGGATCTACCATTAGCAGAGTGACGAGAGGGATTTAGGTGCATAAAGAAATGTTATAGTACTACACACTAATACGAAGTGCAATCTCCCCATATACAAAGAACCTTGGAAGATGTCTTGAGTTATATCGAGTGCTCGAGTACTTAATGAAATGAAATTCAAGAAAATCAATTTAATTATATGTACATAGGTTACTAAGAGTACAAAAATCTCAGGGCTAGCAATGAATCGAGATCCAGACCCATGTACCTTTTTTTTTCTATCTCGGTTAGCGACTCTATTCCATTAACATCATAGTATTGTGGAGCACTAACGTCCGCTCCACTTCAATCCGAGCATGGAGTTTGACCTATTTTCAGTCCCGATTAGTTCTTCGGTCCACATTTAATGCCTTGACCAGATTCAACTGCCCCCATCAATCCAGCACCCTGATCACAGTGTCGAGCAAGATCGATATCCTTATGGGTAAGGCCACGCGGGCGATGCGTAGTCCAGTGGACATCAACTGAACCAATTCGCTGAAAAGAGCTATTAGCTTTTCACGAAATCTTTGTTTCCTTGCTTTTGAATCCACTTGGACCCAAAATTTAACCCAAAAAAAGAACCAGAAAACGTACCACGGTCATAGTGGGGTGATGCTTCTTCGCCGAGCTCTCGGCCGCAATAAGATTGACAAATGTCTAGAGAATGAAGAAAAAAGGGAAAAAAGAAAACCCCCCTTTAGCATGGATCTATATGTAAAAGGAACTTCAAGGTCCACGACCGGGAACTTACCACGGCTTTGAAGTAACTTTTAAAGTGAAACGTTTTTGTCATTCCCATCCCGTCATTATCCAGGGCCCAGCCTTGGGCTTGCAGGGCTGCCGTATCAGAGCTCATCTGCTGCGGGTCTTCGCCCTCCGCAAAATGCGCGAGGTTTGACGCCATTCGGGGGCACGCGGGGCCTTTCACAAGGGGTAGGAGAGTTGCGCGGTGCCATTGGGGCTGTTGGAAAGAGAGGCACTGCCTTCCGACACGAAAGAAGCGATTCATATTTGTAACGAAGTTGAGACGAAGTATAATAGCAGCTCCAGAGAGATTGAAAACAATAGTCAAACTTGAACATTCAAGTTGAACGCGTTGAAGTTTCCGAGGGCGCACAGACCACTATCTTATCGCCGAGTATCAACAGCAGAAGCCGAGAGGACAGACATCTACACAGTACTGCATAATGAAAGAAATTAATTCGAATCTCCATAGAAATCTCTATGTAATTGTAGGTTCCAGGACCATTTATTACTATATTAGTGCCAATAATTAGAGTGGAAATTACACGTGCAGTTGACGATGGACTAATCATAGAATTCGTAATAGGTATCACTAAGCCAAACAATAACATACATAAGCACCACCGTCCATAAATTCCAGTTCGACTTGGAGGAGTTGCGAAGGTCAAACATAAGGAACATAATTGAACCGGTCTGAGAAGCAACTTTCTCTCACCAAACCCACAATGAAACCTATGTGCTTGGTGATTGACTAGAATCGGACATGTCCGCCACGCCCAATAGTAGTAGTGCAACAATATCCATACAAGAGGAAGAAAACGAAAAAAATACACTGAGAAAGGAAGACAGGAGATACTCATAGATCCTTCACCTCGACCCTGATTTTGGTTGTGAATTCGTTCAAGTTGGACAGACTGATTGACTGGGTGAGTCTATCAAGACTGAGATTTTCCACTGTGTGACCATTTAGATATTCACGCTGTTGCGACGGGAGTTTGCGCGAGAGTTGGCTCGGGAGTTGATGCGAGAGCCGGGACGGCTGCCAAGGGCCTGACGAAGACGGAGATCCTGCTGAGATCGAGCGTAGGAATTGGCGCGCGATTGCTCAGGAACTTTGGACTCCCGACGATCGTGAACATGCTGAGCGATCTCATGACGAGCCTCCTCCAGCTGCTGAGCGAATGGCGAGCGCTTGCGTAGGGCCGGACCTTTCCAGTAGATGACATAGACTGCAATCACCAACACGAGCGAAATAGCAACTGTGAAAGGATAGACATATTAGTTCATATAGATCTTCAATAAAAGAAATACCAAGAGGGAGCTTACAGAGAATGGTACAGGCATATGCCACATGGTGTTCACTACCAATGTTGGTGAAGAACGGTGTAGCTGGAATTGTCAAAACACCTGCCAGGAAGTCACGCGACCATCCATTACCACCCGTAGCAGACGCGGAGTATGGACCGTAGGCACAAATCATGTAGTCAATTGTGGCCATGTAGATAGCGTAATTGGCAATACCGATAATTGCGGCAAAGATCATAGTTCCGATCCAATGACATTGGGGGAGACTGGTCCAGGCAAAGCCAATCAAACCGATAGGCAGGCAGGGTGCGGTGTACAGCAGCCACCACAGTCGAGATTCGTACTGGGCCCGTTCGTTATTTGGGTTGGCAGCACGCTCTGCAATATTGCGGCGGATAACTGGGAACCACGAGATCCATGCAATGAAGTAGCCAATCACAATTGGAATGAATGCTAGACCTTGCTGCCATGTGTTGAATCCCCACTGGCTATACACAAGCGATAAGGACTGAATGAACATGAAGATCAGCGCATCACTGAATCCGCTCAGCAGGGAGAGGGTCAAGACAATGGGCTCAGTCAAGAACATGCGGAAAGGACGGATCCAGGTCGCCACCAGCTCGTGAGGAGGGAACCGTTCTCGGAAAGACATGCCCTCAGTAGGGCCATAGATATTGGGGTTCTCCCCACTCTCTCGCATTTTCTTAGCGATACGATCCATCAAAACCGAAGTTCGGGTCTCAGGAACCACGATGAAGTGCATGATCTGGACAAAGCCACCAAAGATAAGCTGGATCCAAATATTCCAGCGCCAGGGTAGGAATGCCTCCACGAAACCACCGATCACCGGGCCCAGAACCGATCCACCGACGGATGAGAAGACAACTGCTGCTACAGCATACTGCTGTGTATCTGCTTCCCACAAGTCTGCAATCATTCCCAATGTCACTGATCCACCAGCAGATGCGAGACCACCCAAAGCACGGCCGACCATAATCGATGCGAAGTTCGGGGCAAGCGCAACTGGAAGCTGGAAGACGTTGACAAAGAAGAGGGAAGCCTGCAGGATGGGCCTGCGGCCCAGCTCCTCACTCCATGGAGCCCAGAGTTCACAGCCAAAGGCATATAGCACGAGGAAGATCATAGCACCACATCGAGCTGCCTGCATAGAAACCCCAAACTCCTCAGAAATACCAGAGAGACCGTTGGAGTAAAGAGAAGTGTTGAAGTTCATGGAGACCTGGACCAAGAAGATGACAGCGATAATCATCCACTTGCGTCTTTCGGTGAAAGAGTAACCCAGTTGATCATAGCACATATCCTCAGTGAGCACAACCCGAGGTGAAGGCGCGGTCTGCTCGAATTGATGATCACTATTATCATCTTCTAGCTTCTCATCGAACGGCGGATCAGCGACTTCATTCTGAGTAGCACTGGAGGCTTCCGATGGATGCACATCGTCTCGAGCGCCCGACTTCTCTAGATTGATAGCCATGATAGACTGGAGTATCATTGGTTAGAAGACTATGCATAGACAATGGAAGATATAGTGGGGTTGAAGAAAGTCAATGCATACCTGTGTACCTCTTCACAAACTGATTGATTTCTTTCTTCCCCTTTGATAAAGAAAAAATTGGCAAGAGAGATGGTGGGGGGTGAAGGAAGAGGGGGAAAGAAGGAAACACTATATAGCACTCTGGGCAAGATGCAACAACGCCGGAGCCCAATACAGTCAAATGCGGCAAGGACATTCCTTGGATCCGGGTTGGGGTGTGATTTAAGCCCATTTAAGCCCCCAGGTTTTTATTTTTTATTTCTTTTTACCTCCGGTTTGACTTTTCTATTTAGTTCCTATTGCATAAGATTTATTTGATTTCACTTTCTAATTTTCAATTTTATTTTATTTTTTATATTTTTTTTTCTGATAGTTGATTGCTTGATCTAGTTCTCCAGATTCCCTCTCGCTCTCCAGTTTCCTTCCGAGTGTAAAAGCGGGATGCCGATTTTACCCCATGGGCTTTTACTCCAAGTTCTCCAGGTTCCAGTTCTTCATTCCATTTGGGGTCGAAGAGAAATCATAAAAATCATTATTCTTTTGAAGAAAAATAAATAAATAGAAATAACATGAAATTAATAAACTAACAAATAAAATCACCTTTTGCCATCAGGAAAACAGCAGGGAAACAAGTGTCAATGGATGCAACTAACAACCGGCATAATGACCCCGGAAAGGGTAAGCCCCACGGCCAAAGGACAACCCGCAATTGGGTATTCGGCTCCACTTGGCCCAGGATGTGGCCGATGGCCGAATTCCATCAAGCCAGAGTATGTACTCTGTACAATATAAGTCAACGGGCTTTTTGCTCCGGAAGACTCCCGAAAAAGGCCGCTTTGGGGTGGGTCACGGATTGGCCGCTTCGGGAGTTCAAGGGAGAACAGGTTCCCCAAGATAAGACGCATGCAGTGTTACATCTCCTCAGTTCAAGAGTCGTTTAGAGAAGAAAAAGATTATATTCCGTACTCCAGTTTAGAAAAAGTGATCGGGGATGTATGTTGCCCCACGATGCAAGGAGCCAATTTTATTGGGCGAATCGTGCCCCGGGATCGCGTGGTTTTCCATTGCGGTGCTGATGAACAGTAGCTGGGTATACAAAGGGTTGCCAAAATGACGCATAAATCAACAAATGCTTATGGCACTAACAATCGAGACCGACGTAGCCGAAATCCTCCTGTCAGCAGTCTTTCTGGAGAATCTGCCCATAGAGGATTGCCAAGGTCCAAGGGACATCGATTTTAGTAGCTAGTGACGTCAAGGTATTTTGTATATCTCTCAGAAATAATGAGCGCTGCCAGTGGCCATGGTTCATTCAGGAATCAGGAGCTAGGTACTGCGCTAAAGCCGCCATGGCGCGGTCGATTACGGGCGTGGCGTTGCGGTGATCGTCATTTGAGCTAGGGCCTGGAGTCTTGTTTTAACGGGCTGCGCTTACTCTATGCGTCGTGTGGGGATAGCAGCTTTTTTTTTCGGCTTCTCAAGTGCCCCAATGCCCGAAATGGATTCCTGGTAATCCTGAGATCGACAAATGCTGGTGTCAGAGCCAGTTTTCCAGAAGGTAGAATAAGAGTCAAAGCGCCGACGTCAACCATATGAAATTGGAGTAGTCCCTTGCGGGGGAAAAAAAAACTGTGCAATAGTCTCGGCCCCCCAAGGATCCTGCATCCCCATTCTTCCCCATGGAGAAAAAAAATGGAACCCAGAAAGGAGAACAAAGTTTGGCTTCACCGAGTCACATTATCCAAGGTGGACCATAGGGTACCTGTTCCGGAAACAACCAGAATTGCAGGAACTTCCGCAACTGGAAGAGTTGCATTCTTGTCTGCACATGGGCATCTGGATCGACGAGATCGCTCTCGGGCCAAGCCACGCGAGCCTTGTGCGGTGATCTCAAGAGGTCTGTGGGAAAAACAGAACATGATTCTATCACCACTGAAGCTACTGTAGTTGTACGGGGCGCATACTGTAGCAACTGCCTCAGCTTATTGTGTTCCTGAGCTTGAACAAAGTTTGGTTGAAGCGCCACATCGTCCCACTCGGCAACACCGTAATGCCCTTGGCAATCTGGCCCGGTCCCAGGGACGAACCCGATGACAGTGGTCTATGTAAATTGATCCCTTGGTACAATTGCACTTCGGGCCCTGGGCCCTGGGCGTAGGTAAGTAGATGTCTCAGACGGTGATAGTGAGGGGAATACTTATTTTGAGTCATGCATAGAAGACATCCATTGGATGTTATGTGGGGATGATATACCCCAGATTCAAGTCCCATAACAATGCATCAGGTTACATTTCCAAAGGTACATCACCTCCATATACATCTTCCACCTGGGCAATAACGTGATTCCCAAGCGAGTGGGCCACCCAAGCGAGTGGGCCACCCAACCAAAAAATCGCGTCGCGACCGCGTTCTTTTATCTTCAACCACCCATCATGCCACCAAAACGTACTGTTTCGGCCGAAAAAAATGGTAATCAAGAGGGTCGAATCCTACTTGCTATACAGGCTATTAAAGCTGAACAAATAAGCTCTATCCGTGAAGCTGCACGCTGTTTTGATATACCTCGTACTACACTACAGCGTCGGCTCACTGGCTATACCAATCGCTCTGAGACTCGCGCCAACAGCCATAAATTAACTGAGAATGAAGAGAAATCACTTCTTCAGTGGGTGATCTCTATGGATATACGTGGAGCTGCCCCCCGGCCTGCTACTGTTCAAGAAATGGCCAATATTCTCCTCTTAGCACGTGGCCAGACCCCTTCTCAAACTGTTGGCAAAAATTGGGTCACAAACTTTGTTAAACGACATTCAGAGCTTACTACACGTTTCTCTCGACGATATAATTATGAACGTGCGAAGATGGAGGATCCAAAAGTTGTTCAAGAATGGTTTAATCTTGTTTTTCAAACAATTCAAGAGAATGGTATTCTATCAGAGGATATCTATAACTTTGATGAGACTGGATTTGCAATGGGACTTACAGCAACTGCTAAGGTTGTTACTCGTTCTCGATATTATGGTCGACGATCACTTTTACAGCCTGGAAATCGTGAATGGGTAACTGCTATTGAAACAATTAATGTATCTGGATGGGCCCTTCCACCAGTGATTATTTTCAAAGGCAAAGTTTTAATTGAAGGATGGTTTACAAACCTTCCACTTGACTGGCGATTTGAAACTAGTCCAAATGGATGGACAACTGATGAAATTGGACTTCGATGGCTTCAAAAACACTTTATTCCAGCAACAACTGAACGTACGCTTGGAAAATATCGACTTTTGATTCTTGATGGTCATGGGAGTCATTTAACTCCCCAATTTGATCAGATTTGCAAAGAGAATAATATTATTCCAATTTGCATGCCAGCTCATTCTTCACATCTTCATCAGCCACTTGATGTTGGATGTTTTGGGCCTTTAAAACGGGCCTATGGTCGGCTTGTTGAGAATCAAATGCGGCTTGGTTTTAACCATGTTGATAAATTTGATTTTCTTGAAGCCTACCCAATCGCTCGTAAAGAGGCTTTTCAAACCCAAACTATTCAAAACAGCTTTACGGCAGCTGGTTTAGTACCATTTGACCCAGATCGAGTACTTTCTAAGTTAAATATTCTTCTTCGAACACCTACACCCCCAGCTAGCCGCCCTACTAGTCGATCAAGCCAATTTTCACCTAAAACACCTCAGAATCTTATTCAGCTTCAACGGCAAGCTAGTTCAATCAAAGCTCTTCTAAAACAACGTTCAAAGAGCCCTCCAAGTCCACTCAAACAGCAAATCGATCAAGTTCTCAAGGCCTGCGAAATTCAGATGCATTCAACAGCTTTATTAGAGGTTGAAACACGCAAATTACGCGCTGCACATGAAAAGCAAAAGCAAAAGCGCAAGCGGTCTACTAGGCAGATACCTAACGAGGGTGGTATGACTGTTCAGGAGGGCCAGGAGGCTATACAGCGTGCTATACAGGTGGTTGAGGCGCCAGTGATCCCTCCCGTACCACGGCCTAGGGCGCCTTATTTACCCCCTCAGCCAGCTAGGAGAAAGCTACCGACATGTAAGAAGTGTGGAGAAGAAGGCCATCGATCAGATCACTGTGATATTTAGTTAATTATTTTAATAAATTGGCGTTCTGGTGGTAATATTTATGATTAAAACTGTAGGGTAGGCGGTGGGTGGCCCACTCGCTTGGGTGGCCCACTCGCTTGGGAATCACGTTATTGGTGCAATCGTGATGCCTGAATTATTAGGCGAAAGGGATTGACACCTCAGGCATGAATCGCACAGCGAACATCAGGTGATGGTCAGGTGCCCCGCACTTTCGGATGACTCAGCGCATCGTCGTCATGCCTCCAGTTCATCAAGCTGTCTAACCTTGTGACCATTTGAAGCCGCAACTTCTACTATTCGAATCCGGGCTCTCTCAGCGATGTGTCCAGATATAAACTCTTTACCTCCATCTCGATCACCATCGTCTTCCTCGTCCTTCCCTCACCGCAACCTCCCTTCCGGCTCCCCAGGAACTGCCCCCGCACCAATGAATCCGAGCAACACAACGTCGATCTCCCCACGACCGGGTCGACTATCGGTATCGGAAAGACGCCGGTCTACTACTGGCACGAATGTAAACCCGACCGATTCATCCAGTGCTGCTCCTGGAAATCACGGCGATAGCTCCTGGTCCGACCATCGTTCCGCCATCGGCCATGCATTGCACACAGCTAGTCCCACAAGCCATGGTGGTAGCCCAGTGTTTGCAACAGCCGATCCGCATCATCAGCGAGCACCTTCCCTAGGAGAGCTGCATCAGGAATTGGAGCAAGAGCAAGAAGCCCAAGTGGTGGGTCTTTCCCTTTTTCAGCCCAAATAACCAATGACTCGATCGGAATCTACATCCAAACCCCTTATAATAAACGTGAAAGAAGTGAGGACTAACTTGTCAATTTTGGATGGTAGAATCGATTACTACAGATGATACGCAGCCAGCAGACCCAGCTTCAGCAACTGCAACAACAGCAGTCGACGCAACCAGGAGCCAGTACTGCTATTGTCGATGAACCAAGTTCTGCATCAGAACGGTCGCCATCGTTCTCTCTTCCCATGCCACCAGCTCCCGCTCCTGGCAGTCGACTTTCCATTTCATCTGTTTCGAACCGTCGATCATCCCGACCACCCAGTCAAGCGACATCTCCAAACTTGCAACCACGGGATTCATCACGAGAATCGCACGGCACAGAAGCATTCCCAACTTTGCGTGACAGTAGCTCACGGCGTGGGAGTCGAGACGAGAGCGCGTACTACCAGGCAGAGGCCACCATGCTTAGCCGAGAGAACCAGATGCTACGACAGCGAGTACGCGAACTCGGTAAGTGCTCTAAACAGCCCCTGTCAATTTCTCCAGGATTCTGTAAAAGTTCTTGGCGGGGAGTTTCTTGAAAGCCATGAGGCTCAATCTTACTATTGGTGATGCGGTGGGGCTTTCTTGAAACGAATTTCATGCTAACTTTCACCTGTTGTAGAACGTCAGATAGGAGATTTGATAACTGCGCGACCTTCCGCTTCCCCGGCCAACGGATCGGGCGAGGCTTCAGGGCAAGCGGGGGCCGAAACGGTGGACCCGCCCGTCGTGAGATCGGCAGATGGAAAAGACTGAACCTTCGGCAATGCAGAGAACGTCGTCATCTCACTTTAGGATCAGCGGCCTGACATGGAAGACGATTGACACGACCACGGACTAAGCTTTCCCTTGTTCACCCAAAGGGTTGACAGCCCTGAGTGATAAGAGATTTCTCCAAGGCCACGAAAGCATGGATGACACAAAAATGATCTCCGAATTGCCTTCTTGCCGTACTTACTCGCTTTAGACCCATCCCCTGGCTTACATTCCCCAGCAAAGAAAATAATTTTCCTGCTTATTCCCACACCATTGGCCACGACTCAGCTAGTTGGACTAGCATGCTTGAAGGGTTGTACAGTTGTCAAGCGAGGAACTTGTCCTCGATGAATATGACTATCGAGGCATAATACAGCGAGTCAATTTTCATAATCGAGGGATTACTTTAATCAAACTTGGTATCAAGAAGCAAATTCCTCTTGCAGCATCAGATCTGGAAACTAAAGAGCCAGCTACAAGACCGTATGTAGCGCTACTTCTGTATGAATTTCAAATGGATTCGAGCATTCAACTTCAAGTTCTTTCAAATAAGTCCCTATAAGCCTTGGAAGTAGCCTGAGTCGTTCAAGTTCAAGTTTGGAATGTACTACGAGTCGTATGTGTTTATATCATGATTAAGATTACCACTAGTATTTGTTAGAGAGTATTGAGGTCTACTCCAAGTGGTACTAGTATCAGTAGTAAGGACCCTTTAATCCTTTCTTTATATGGCAAGATAGTATGGATGAAATATAATAAAAAATTGAAATAAAAATTAGATCATGACAACACGCTATACGCAGGTATCAACAGATTGCAACAAATAGCTCAACAAGAAAATTATAAAAAATGAACCATAGACCTATCTAAGGTCCGATAAAAGAAGACACCAGAAAACTCCCATGGAAAATAATACAACTTCTCGACATTGAGTTCAAAAGATCTCAGATATAATCCAAAAGATTGAAACCACATGTAATCAACCTTGAAAAAAAAGACATCGATCAAATTCAAGAAACCGGTTGCACAGGCGTAGGCTGCTCCTTGCCCTCAAGCGTTCGAGGAACTTGAACTCCAGCACGACGGAGCTCATCCATTCTAGCCATCGCAGGGCCGGTACAGATGCGACCGGTCTGCATAAGGGTGCGCAGACGTTTACGTCGAGCTTCGCCACTTCGCTCTTCGCCGCGTCCAACACCGTCATCCACCCAGTCTACACGGTGCACCTTGAAACTCATACCATCATGTCGACCATCCCATTTGCGGGACTTGATACCAAACATAACAGTGGAATCGTACTTCTCCAAGCGCGGCAGAACCAATAAAGTGATGTGAAGATCTTGATCAGGTGGAGGGAGTGGAGGCAAACGGGGTCCATCTGACTTCTCTGTTGTGGGCGGCGGGGCGTGTTGGTAGTGGTCTTTAATTTCTAGATCGAGCATGGATTCATCCACGTCGTCGCCCCATGCACCACGAATAAAGCCAGAGTGGATGGCCGCAGCGACAGGGTCAGAGTCATCGGTATAGACACCGGTGCCCCATAGTGCTCGTCTTGCGCAGATTTCCTCGCGATGGTTCTGATCGATTCGGAAACGCGGCACGCGAACGGTAAAAGTGCAGTTTTCACGATGTTCGAAACGTGGAAGAGGTTGGGGAGTGGTTGTGTAGCCAAATTTGGAACTCTCGGGAGAGGCCTTGGCTGAAGGAGTGTTGATGCGAGGGGTGTACAGTGTGGATCCCAGATGTTGGCGGGGGAGATGAGCGACGCTTGAGAGGAGAGGCTCTAGATTAACGGTGATGCGAGGTTCTCGGAGGGGAGAGAGGGTCTCAGTAGGGCGAGGAGCATGATGATGGTGATGGTGGTGGTGATGATGGTGATGACCAGCAGAAGGTTCCGCAGGAGTGGACGTGCGGCCAAAGTAACCAGTGGAGAGGGGTCGGTGGAGGCCAGCCAACGCAGCAGCTTCTTCCTCTGCCTTGTGACGGTGGTGGTGATGACTAGGAGACGTAGTCAGTACGGGTGTACTGTCGTAATGACTTCCAGATACATACTGATGGTGATGGTGATGTTGGTGAAGATGGCGAGGTCGTCGAGACCCTCGTGTAGAAAGGCCGCTCCCTTCGAGTTCCATTTGATCATCGTCTCGAGACTTTCGTGATCGCCTGGCACCCGTAGCTGATGTGGGACGAGGCAGTTTGCCATCGTCAATTTCGTCATTCACGGGACGTCCTGTGGCGTCACGCTTGAATGGACTGGAGATCAAAGGCGTCGACGGGCCACTGCCAGAAGAGACGGCCGTCACTCCGCCAACACCACTGCCAATACCAGAGAAGACTCTGCCTAACTCATTCTTGATGCTAGGCTCTCCAGATGGACCAATAAACGGGGCTTGTGCACCCTGCACAGCTTGGGGAAGTGGTGATGCGCGACCGCCCCGTTTACCATCTACGCCAACTGCAAGTAAATTGCGGTGATGCAGTAATTCATCGCTGCCCTTGCGGCGTCCTTCTTCGCCGGCTGCGGCAAGGCCAAGAAGACCTGCGCCAGCGGCAGCAGTTGTAGCTGGCATAGATCCTAAGCGTAGCGGTTGTGGTTGTTGCTTACTCAGATAGGGCGATTCGCGAGGAGAGGGCGTTGGTTGGCGATGTCCAGTGTGCAGCGAAGGCGGTTGACGACCACCCCCAGGCTGAGATCCCAAAGATTTCGTGTAACTTTGAATCGCGCCAAATCCGAAGCCGGAGGCTGATTCAGGTGCCGGAAACCGCTTACTCTCCGGAGAGGGAGGATGCGAGCGGCCATGATCCCACGCCGAAGCACTAGATTGATGTTCAAGAGGATCCCGTTCACCATAGAGTGAACTGAACCTTGACGAGGTCGCCATCTGCCCCTTTGGATCCATCGCATGAGCCGCGCGCTCCCGGTCCCGATCCCGATCCCGATCTCGATCCCGATCTCGATCTCTGTGCGAGTTCTCTTCTGGTCGGCGATCTCCAAACAGACTTCCAAAGCGAGCGTGGGGATCGAGACCTGCATATGGTGCAGAGACTCGTTGGCCCGGCTCAAATCGCTCTGCTAAGCCGCCGGCTGGGCGAGAGAGAGGACTGTATCCTGGAGGACGCGCGGGCGTCTCTGCGTTGGGTGGTTGGCTGCTGGGACGCGCGATCGGACCACTAAAACTCATGCGACGGGGCTCATTGTAAGGAGGCTCAGCAGGGGACATTTGAGGGGATGGCTGCGTCGAATGGGATTTCTCGGGGTATTGTGAGAGTGGCACGCGTGACATGGTTCCGTATTTCGATTGATCTGCACCCAGAAGACTCGATCCACCCCCCGAGCCAGATCGATAGGGCCGGCTCAGTTGCGGCCTCGAGAAAGATTGTTCGGGAGTTTGCGATCGACGGAAATCTATGGGAGATCCTCGTGTTGGGGCGGTAGGAGGGGACATTCCCGCAGCTGACGCTGAGGTCGGAGCCGAGCCAAACATCGACGATGCAGATGGCCGTGAAAACAACGAGGCTGACTCTCGTGACGGACGCTCTGCATCTGAGCCAAGCATGGCCGAAATTGACATACTGCTCCCGGGTCGATGAGGGTGGTTGGCTGGACCATCGCGAGTAAGCAGGGATGATGCGGGCGCGTTCACCGATTGCGATCGCGCAGCGTAAGAGTGCGGCGAGGAGGGAGGAGGCATTTGGCGATTACCGAAGGCCGGCGGAGCGGAGTGTTCTTGTTGTCCTACAGCATAAACATTAGCAAATTGCGGGGGGCGATTTTCGGACGATAACGAATGCAAAGATGCGATGCAAGCAATCATAGAAGTGCGTGATGGATGTTAGAAAATGGGGCCGGGCGCTTAAGGATGCATGTCGCGTCACGTTACAACGCACCACCTCACTCACCCGTGTAGACAGAGCTACCACTACTGCCCTGAGAAGCACGGCGCGCGGGATGGGAAGGCGTGTTGTTCATCGCGCCATGTAAAATCACGCAAAGAAGAACAAGAAAGTGGAATTGCAAGGACCCAAAAGCCCAGAACCCGTGACTCCGGAAGCTCGACCGCTAGACCAATTTGGGACTAGTGTATATGCCACTAATTGGGACTAGCGTTCCCGAGCAGCGGATCAGCGCCACTGGGGAATCACTAAGCATCAGGGGGGAAGAATAAACAAGAGAAGTGAGGGGAGAGGGTGATTGAGGTTAGGGGATAGATAAGAAGATGCTTAAATCAGATTCAATATACCTGAAAATAAGCAAATCTCCTTATAATACCCCTTTCTCTTCCCTCACCTATTTTAATCCTCTTCGGATATGCCTGGGAAAAGTGGAGAGACAGTTTGATCAGGAACCACGGGACAAGTCCGACCCCCCATGTTCCTGAATCCGGGGCATAGTACACGCACACACATGCAGGGGATCAAATGATAAGAAATGATGGGGAAATGAAATAAATCAATAGAAAATGAGGGCATCACCATTGGAAATGGAATAAACTTCCAAAAGACCAGATCAAACGCCAAAAAATAGACAAAAATGAATATGGAATCATCCAAGAAACCTACCTTCGCGTTGTTGACCCGCCTGTGGCTGGGAATGATTTCGGCGATGTCCATGTGGGTGATGCCTTGCTTCTAGACTCGCGTGTCGGCGGTGTTGTTGGATCTGTTGACTCCTAGATGGAGAGACATGGGCGCTGGTACTTTCTCGGAGTGGATGCGACGGTGCTGCACGCGATGCGCCCGGAGAGTAGATATTTGAGGTAGTGGCGGAATGGTCATAGCGGCTCGTGGACCGAACCTTGTCATTATTCTCCGGATGACGAGGTTCAGCTGTTGATGGTGCGGCGTAGGGTCGAGACCGGTCATCGCGTGGTTCTTGTGAGGTGCCCAGTGGTGATGGACGGGGTGGATAGGAGCTCTGGTGGAGCCGGCGGTAGTAATCCATGGTGGAAAGAGAATTCTCTCTAGTGATCGGAGATCAGAGGGAAGGAAATCCCCCAAGGATGTTGAATATAGAGGATAAGTTGATTGAATGGCGGTGGAAAAGACGTGAAGGTGAGAAGCGAGCGATGAAGGATCAGCGGTTGATCCCGAGAGCCATGACCTCTTCGGAAATCGGGCGCGCGACCGTGAGGGGTGCGGAGGAAGTGGGAGAATGCTGGGGAAACACGATATTTTAGAATTATGAGGGTTGATGATATCAAAAAATAGAGAGAAAATTATAGGAAGAGAAGTTGGATGATTGCTGGAGAAGGAATAAGTTAAGAGTTTCCATACGGAGAAAAAAACGGTGAGTGATTAGCGTGATGGGGCCAAGACTGTATCTTGCATTGGTGGAGATCGGATCACAGTGGGAATCCCGCGATAACAAACGAGTTGGATTTTGGGAAGAATATGAGTTATTGCTTTGAATGATTTTGGTCTAATTTATTATATTTTCATGATTCTATCTCAATCTCATCTGGATTCATACTCCATATTCCATACTACTCCTGATGTTATGATCCCCTCCAAATTGTCCTTGTTAGGTAGCTATATCAGGCAGCACACTAGCACATATGGATTACACCCCTTGTGACTGGTCCCTGGGTTATTCCCTGTTGAAACAGACTGATCCTCGCTTGGTGTCGGTAACTTGCCGTCTATGACGAAAATTATGCTCGGGCCACATTCTGATCGGGCCCCTGACGTGGCACACGTTGTGAGAGGAATGTGGAATTAGAAGAAATGCCATGGAATTGGAAAAGAGTTTTATTGATTCTTTATAAGAAATGTGACAAAAAATAAGCTTAATTGAAATCGATATTGGCATAGGGTATCATAGAAGCCAGAAAAACAAAACAAAAAAACTATTCATAATAGAGGAGCAACGTGGAGCATTTGAAATCATTCCGCGCACATTGGGATCAGATGATCATTCATGACAGATTCGCGGGAGATATCATCGCGTGAAGACCAGAGAATATCCGAGGATTCATTTGTACACCAGGATTCGTATATGGTCTCCCCCAGTGACAACCACGGTCACTCGACCGGGAATCAACTGTGTGCCATCCCAGGCCGTCAGATATCCCCGTTGGCGGAGAGGCTCTATTTGAGCAAGTAGAACAGAATAAATTTCATGAAGAGGAGATTGAGCGTCGAGCACAAGATAGAATGATTTGGTCACTTGTAAATCAATGTCTTGCTCAGTCGGTTCATTGCTGAACGGTGTTTGAAGGGTTTCGGATCCACCACGGGGTCGCAGGCGAGTAAGGATCGACTCGAGTCGGAATTGAAGGTCATTTTCCTCTTTGGGTGATGAAGCTGCAGGGCTCATCTGCAGGTCGTGCTCATGCAGCCAGATATCGCTGCGGAACCCATCGCATCCGGCAGCAACGGACTGCGAGAGGGCACTAGGGCGAGGATCTGAATGAGGGAACGTGCATTTCACTTGCCACTCGCGAGGGCTTAAACGGGATGTTGCTGGACGAGACAGGGCATGACCCACTATCGTTGGGATCGATTGAAGACATTGGAACGCCACACTGTATGAGGAAATGCATGTTAGCGATTCGCGATTCGGAAACAGGATTATGCTTCTCTTCCCCCCTTTCTGGTATAATCACTTACAAGCACGCGACAAGTAGACCGACAGTGCGCAATAAAAATTGCTTCCACTGTTTTTGGAAAGAGCCCAGTCCCTCAGTGATAACAGCGCCCAGACCGGGAATACACTCGGTAGGATGCGAGCGGAGCGGATGGTCGTCTAATAGCCAAGGATCGTATTCGTACCGCATGGTGTTCGACTCCAAATCGACTTCGACCTTTGGCGGCAGCTCCATTTCAAGTTTCATTTTCTTTGCAATACCCTCAGATAGACCTGAGGAACTTTACAGTTTCCACTGCCAGTGGGAGATGCAAGTTGAAGATGATGTGAGTTATGCGCGAGATGGTGCAGTACCCTCCAGCATGAAATATAGCGGTGAAGGGGCCGAGGAGTAGGCGCGAATTGATGAAACGACAGGACGATAGGATTCTCTGGGGGCCATGATGATTCAATTATATATGATGAGATCCCGGATTTTGAGATGATCTACAGAGCTCAGGAGGTGTGGAGAGCGGGTCCTATCGCGCAATTGTGGTGCAGCTGATGGTGCGTGAAGCACGCCATCAATATTGTTGATGGCGGATGTCAGCCGCTTATTTTGCGAATTGAACATTGTCAGAATCTGTTAAGTAAATGATTTAGTGATGTATATCATGATTGTATTTCGTAAATTGTTCTCGAATTCTTCAAAATTATCAACATTTGAAGTTGAAATGATGGTATAACATCTAGTAAAAGAGGAGTAGAATGAAGTGGAACCCGCACACAATTCAGCATCAAATTGACGTGTTCTCACCGCCAAGGTTGCCAAGCATCGTAGTCTCCTTCAAGGGTTCAATTTCTTCAATTTCTGATGAATTTTTGAACCCTTTCATTGGATGTGGGGGAATTTAGCACGCCTGAAATGCCCAATTTCTAATCTTGAGGAGTCTCCACTTTCTCGTTTCTGGTGCTTTCTCAGATTGACGCAATACTAGCCTTTACATTCAAATGTTGCCAAGATCAGTAGATAGCAAAGGTGCCTGCAGCATTTCAATATTGGACAAGTTGTGGAAATTGAATCTCACCATGATAGAGCGATTACTCCGTATTAGTACTCTATTTACGAGTTGTATCAATTTTCCCGAGATATAATTGGAAATGGCCCCTTTTGGAATTTAACAAGGAGAAGAGGAAAATGGAATTGTTAAATATCGAGTTCTATTGATGACCTCAAATATTCAAGTTCTCAGTCCAGATGTCGGTGTTGTTTATGCAGACTTGGTCTATGGGAGATCCATGAGGTAAACCTTGGAACTTGCACATGTGCTCACTATATGCACATGTGCTCTATTTCTTACCCACAGCCTCCACAGCCCTGGGGTGCAGATGTTCACCTGGGCACTGGACGCCTTACAGCTTGGACGCCCCTGCTTGAGGGGTATTCCCGAGAATGTTACTCTTCTGCGTCTCCAGTCTGGCTGGCGTCGTCTTGAAAAGTCGCGGTAGTTGAGTGGCCTCAAAGCTATCACCATTCACAATCATCTTGGCGATGGCTTCCGCGACCAGGAAGATTTGCGGCATGCCGTGTCCCGTAAATCCAGCCAGAATATACTGACCGTCTGAGCCAGGAACTTGACCTACATGAGGCAGTCCATCGGCGGAGTATCCCATAACTATTAAGCAAAACATGAATCAGTCCAAGCTCAAGGTTGAAAAAAAGATGGGAGGGGCTGATCAACTTACTTCCAGTCCAAACCCGGTCGGTATATGCATGACTGTTTTCCCACCCACAAAATTGCGTTGCATGTACCCATCAAAATACCGAGCTGCAGACTCTAGAACCCGACTATCATCACTCACATTATACCAATTCTTTTCGTCCTGAATAAACGTCGATCGGGCCCCACCCACCACAATACTCCCGTCTCCACGCGGAATCAGGTAGTCATAATCCCAACTGTTTAATCGGAGGGTATAGGTGCTCGTCAAGCGAGGAGCAGACGAACCAGGTGGGACTGCAATTCGACTGCAGGTGCCTCGTACAGGAACAATCTTGCCTTGATACTGAGGTGCGAGCGCGGAGGTATAGGCATTTGTCGCGAAAACGACCGCCTTAGCTGCGACCGTCCCGCGTGAAGTCTCCACTCTCCATCGGTGAGGGGAACTCGGATGAGTAGATTCTGAGACCTTCGTCACGGGGGTGTGTGTTTGTAGATTGACACCCTGTGAGACCACTTTCTCCAGAAGATGGAGGACAAACTTGTAGGCCCAAATATGGCCTGTCTCGTAGGAAAAGCAACCTACGGCGTCTTTTACCCCGGAGAACTAGTGAGACAAATTAGCATGGGAAAAGTACTGTGGATCAAAAGTAAGGTAGACTCACAGCTTCAGCATCTTTAGACTCAATGATCTCCACTTTTGTTGTCGGTTGACTCCCACCCGCAACTAGACGGTGATACCCATCCTTAAGCTTGTTGAAGTGGGCCTCCGCCAATTGCACATCCACAGCTTTAGTCACTGTATAGTCGCACTCGATCTTTTCCTTCTCGACAAAGTCTTTCACAGTGTGAACATGTCTTGCTTCAAAAGCAGCCACTTCAGCTGCAGCATCGACTCCATAATCTGCAGCCAGTGTCCCAATGAAGTTGTAAATATCGGGCTTCATGTGCCCTCCTGTTATAATGGTCAGTGAAAGTCTGGTATAAACATTGCGCTTAGAACGCTTACCATTGCGAGCGGTCGCCCCCGAACAAGCCTGACGCGCCTCTAAAATTGTAATTGAAGGGGCTTTGGAGCCCGGCTTAATCTGTTGAAGGATATGATGTGCGACCGATGACCCCGCATATCCGGCTCCAATGATGACGACGTCCGCTTGTTTAGGTAGAGTCTCGCTGGATCGATGGTTGTCTAGAGGGTGGGGATCAGTCCTCCAGAAGGGGAGTGTCGCATTTGCAACAGGAAAATTTTCTGATGCCATTTTTAATCAGTTTCACGTCTTTCAATTTGATAAACTAGTACTTCCAAGTTCAAAAGTGTTCATTTATTGATGATGTTGACTCGGAGGAGTAAATGGTGCGAGTCTTGCGACCGGTCTTCTCCACCGGCTGATCCCGCCGGGACCGGGACCGGGATCTATCAATCCTAAACAACATTACATTACAGGGATGGAATTGACCGCTGTTTCTTGTAGATCATTGATCTGGCGTTAATCCGTTCTAAAATGTGTGATATCTTGACTACCAAGGATTATGATTGGCTAGAGATTGACATGAGCAGACTACTATATTCACTAGTATTCAACTATTCAAGGGAGGAATTAAGCAACTCACACTAGTTATGCGTCAGACTAATATGATATTCCCGTCTAATGGATGAGATGATAAAACCATTGAAGCACGAATATGATTTGTAATTTGAGATAAAGGCTCTAGTTACTAGCTTGATGAGCAATAATCTTGTCTGCCATCCCAGGAAGAGTATCATCAATAACATCCATATCTCCAAACAAATCCGTCAACGCCTCCTGTTCCAGTACTGTACAATAAGCTCCCCGGAATCTATTTCAAATAATCAAAATTTGTTCAGAAATATTGGGATCATGACAATGAAGAAAAGACTCACCCAGCCCTTCGTGCAGCAGAAACATCCCACAAATGAGCAGCAGCAAACCATGGAGTCTTCCCCTCATTCTCCGCAGTCAACTGATCCAACAGAGGTCGATAAGCAGCCAAATCAGGCTTTCCAACACCAGCAGAATCACACGAAAGGAGATTCTCAGCAGGAAGCTCAACGCCAGCCTGCTTGAAATATCCACTAACACGCCCCAAGTCCGCTGCAGTAAAAGCCCAAACGGTAAACTCGGCATCACGGAGCTTCTGCACACACTCTGCAGCACCAGGTCTCATAGTGAGAGATTGATACTCATGCATAATGTATGCTAGATCCTCAGGAGAGGCAAATTCACGAGGATTCTTCACCCCTGCCATCATTCCCAGAACACGGTAGAAGAGTTTCTCAAAAACCACTCCATAGGGGAGGTATCGACCTGAGATACTCAGGTTGGTATATTCTCGTTCAGCGGTTTCCATCCATGCGGAACCGAGAAGCCAGGGCTTGACACCTTCAGCGCGTAGACGGTCGCCTAGACGACGATCAATTGCATTGAAGAGGTGATCATAGCTGACGAGTGTGCCCACGATATCGAAGACAACGTTCTTAGATGTGGCCATTTTAACGATGTAGGTAATTGGATAGATTCCAAGATTGGAGATATCCTTATCAGACTGATGGATCGGGGATTTTCTTCACAATTTATGCGTAGATGACGCGGTGAAAAAATTGAGTCATACAGTGAGTCGCTATCCTCTATTGATATAGATCAGACGTGTGGGATAGTAGGAAGATAAGAGTCATAGAAGTGGTGATTTATCTGATCTGCATAACCCCGCTCGTCATTTCCGGCGGACTTGCCGGCGGGTAGATCATAGGGTACTGTAAGAGAGATCAAGATAAACAAAAGAGGGGAGATATGCATGTCAAGGGATCAATTGATAATTGAATAAGCTATTTGGAAAGAGATATATCTGGAATGTGGAATTCCAAGCCTGTCAGTCATCGACAGTCTCCACCGCGATGGCGACAACCACTTCCATCCCAACTCAAGAAGGCCCGGGGAAATTCGATATGAAGAATGGGAAAGATGATATTATAGACATTGAAAGAACTGCAACCTCAGGAACTGAGCAGAATGGTGATTCGAAAGAGATACCCGCAGATAATACTGCAGGGTATCACAGGTCCCTCACCAGACGAAAGGTCATGATGATGACTTTTGGTGCTGGTATTGGTACAGGTCTCTGGGTTGGCACTGGACAGGCATTATACTACGGTTGGTCGATACCTTGATGAATTAAGTGAATTGAATTGAATTGTTCAATGCTGACCCTTCTTAGCTGGCCCTGGTGGATTGGCTGTGACATACACCCTTACTGCGTACGTGGACATTAAAATTCAAGTTCTCAATATATGGAATACTGACAAGGATATTAGAATGATTGTTTACGCCCAGTATAGCTCTATTGGAGAGATGATGGCATACAAACCAGTCCACGGAGGCTTCATTCGAACTTGCGCAGAATACGTAGATCCTGCCTTCGGATTTGCCATTGGTGTCAACTTCTGGTTTGCTGTGAGTGAAGAACATTTTAATCAATCAATACAATGATTTAACTTCATGCTGATTATTGAATCATTCAAGTGGGTCATGATTATTCCTGCGGAAATAACAGCAGCAGTATCTGTTTTGAAATACTGGCCGGCGACCGAGAGTATACCCTTGGCAGCATACATTACCATATTTCTTGCGGTCATAGCCCTGGCAAATGTTTTCCATGTTCGAGTCTATGGATTTATTGAGTACTTCATGTCATTTTTCAAATGTGCTGCGGTGGTCTTGATGATCTTCTTTTTGTTCATCATGACATTGGGAGGAATCCCGGCCACAAATGGGCCTATTGGATTTCGATTTTGGAAGAATCCAGGTGCCTTCAACAATGGGATGAAAGGGATTGCTAAAGCTTTTGTCCAAGCTGCATTCAGTTTTGGTGGTGGTATGCTATCATTACCATGATCAATAATTGAGGTTAAGTGATGCTGATTTTTTTTTAGGTGAGCATATCGCCGTGATTGCGGGTGAGATAGCTAACCCTCGACAAACGATCAAGAAGACCGTACGTCCAGTCTTCTGGCGCATGTTTACCTTCTTTGTTGTCAACATCTGGCTTGTGGGAATGTGTGTGCCATCAAATGACACCGATCTAGCTACTGCTAGTGGTACCCTTGGGAGTCCCTTTGTCATCGCTATCAAGACGGCCTCGGTCTACGGACTCGCAGATGCAATCAACGGATTCATTTTTCTCAGCGTGATTAGCTGTGGAATTACAAGTGTCTACGTTGCAAGTCGTAGCCTGACAGCTTTGGCTGATCTGAAGCTTATTCATCCTTTCTTTGGATGGAAAGACAAGCAGGGACGACCCTATGTCTCTCTCATTATCAGTCTTGGTATTGGAGGTGGTCTGTGTTATCTCAACTGCGACAGTATTGGCACTGTCGTGTACAATTGGTTTTCTTCCTTGGTAAGTCAGATCTTCAGTGTTGTCAAAGCTACCAGTACCTGTGGGTTCTCCGCAAGGATAAAGCTTATAAAAATGAACTAGGTGGGAATTGCGACGCTATTCAACTGGTCTGGGTGTTATATTGCCCATCTCCGATTCAGACAAGGGCTCAAGGCGCAAGGCAAAGACCTTGGAACTCTGCCCTTTAAGGGGTTCCTCACACCATACGCTCAATATTTTGCCTTAATCATTGTAGCATTTGTCTTTGGTTGTGAATTTTACTTGGCGTGCTGGCCATTTGGGGAGAAAGGCTCCGTCAAAAGCTTCTTCTCAACCTATCTTGCAGCACCATTATTTGTTTTCGACTACTGCGCATACAAGGTGAGTCTGGCAATTCCAAAGACTGGAGATCATACATAGCTGACTATATGCATAGTTTTACTTCAAAACTAAGATTGCGAAATCAAAAGAGATGGATTTCACTCCCGCTGAATATTTTGATGAAGAGGATCGCTTAAACGAGATAGCAGCTCAAGAGCAAGAGTCAACATACACTGAGAAGGAAACGTGGATCAAACGAGCCCCGTTACTTGGTCTTTGGCTAGAGGGCAAATCTTTCAAGTCATGTTTGTGGATTTAAGAAAACCTCTGGATCCAGATTAAGGTCATTAGATACCCAGTCTGAATTAAAAAGGTCATTCAAATCATGAAAATTCGAATCAAGTGTGCTCTCAGCACCAGATGTCAGGTTCGACATCGGACTAAAAGATGCTAGCTCCACTGTACTTCCAAAGCCTTTATCTTTCTTCATCGACTGAGTCCAGTCTTTGAATTTTGCATAAGCGGATTCAGAGCCCGACGGTAAAGCTGAAACTTGATTGTCTGATTCGGTATTTGACGAAAGCTGCCGAATTGCTGCTTCAATAGACTCAATGTACGATATTTCGGATTGAGAAGACGTTCCACCCGTCATTTGCCGAATGAGAATCATACCACAGTCTAGGCCACTTTGGAGTTCTGAAGACATTCCCGAATTGATAACCTGGGCTAGTATAACGAGAAGGGCTGCTCTGCACGAACTGAACTCTGTATATGAAGCGCGACATAAACCGGCGTTACTGGAGAGAGATTCTAATGTTGCGAGGATCTCCAATGCACTTTTCACGCAGTCACTGACTAGCTCGGAGCGCTGTGCCTGACTCACATTTCGAGAGCTTTGACTGGGACTCCCTTCAGAGGAGGTATCCTGGATATTGGAATTGAATATGAACGGGCGACCCATGTAAATGTATATGCTGAGGTAGCATAGCTTCAGATGACAGTTAGGGCGAAATAGAGGTCCACGGGGGTTCCAATCTCGACATTCGATGTTTGCAGGAAGCGAGTTCCACCACTGTGCTATCTTTGATTTTAATTGCATGAGCCGGGTCGAATATTCTACAAGCAATCGTCTTGGACATTTTTTAAATTGAGCACTAAATAGATAATAAAATTAGCCTAATAGCTTTCAGTTCGGAGATGGAGGCTTTCTTACAGAATTTCAGCCACATCCCCTGTCCATGATACCAGATCAATGAATGCTATCATGTTTCGAAAATTAGGAGAATCAAAAGTAGGTGAGTTCGTGGGTAGATCGGCGCTGATCTCGGATCGCGCAATTGAAGCGGGTCGTCCATGCATAATGCTCGTTCGCCTATGAAGTATTAGCCTAATTTCCCAGTTTCATTATAAACCATCAAATTACCTTTCAATGGTATAAACAGTCCAGAAAAGCCGATTCCTTAGTTCGAGAGTCCTGGTATCACAATCGTGACCAATATACCTTCTGTGCATGCCATTCTGAATTGCCATCTTCATCGCCAACCCAAAATATGTATAAGATAGACCACCAGTGGAGACTGGTAGAGCATACGTTGCTAGAAGAAGAAAAGCTTGCACGCTTTCGTACGAGGCGGCTAGAATGACATCAGGAACTAGCCTACATGCCACACGATAAAATTCAAGCCCGATGGAGTCCTCAGAGCAAGCAGCAACATCTTCGGGGATACTTGAATCGGGACGTGATTTGTGCTCCTCCATGTGGGCCATTTGCGTCCCTATTGCCAATATAGCGAAGATTGAGCATACCCACGGAATATCACCAGTGGTATATTCAGTGGCATATTTGTAACAGATAGTGAGCTTCATTTGAATCCATGATCGCTCAGCATAGAAGGAATTGACCTCTGTGTATTTGAAAAAGATCCCCACAAGAAACTCAGCAATTTGTCTCGGCGGTAGGTGTGTTATCGCTTCGGTGATGACATGAACTGAAGATTGGAGATGGGTGGCTCGCCAATATTCCTTGACCTAGACGGGACAGTTAGATAATATCACCTACTATAGGGTGTGTTCACAAACTGTTGAATCTGCTGTATTTCGATGACATCTCATGTTTCGGCGCAATTTCTCTGAAAAATTCCAGTGAGAAAACTCGCCCGAATAGACTATGCATTGTTAGCCGCGGTCAGTAAGCAGAAAATAATAGGATAAACGAACATGCGACGTCCCTGGAGACAAAATGAACATCAAAAGACTCTTCATTAACATTAAGGGAGCTTTCCATCTCCTCTGTCTCTGCAGTACATTTTGCTGCGATCCGTGCGACATTCTCCTCGTCTAGAGCAACATCTCCAAGAAAATGCCGCACGATATGTTCCAAATTCTGTTGATGGCAGCCAATTTTCCCTGGACTTCCTGGACCTTGATCAGATATATCCTGCGCTGAGAAGCTTTGTTTTCGAGGTGCGGATTGTGCAGAGAATAGGCATGGTCGATCTAATCGTTGACATCGCCAGCAGGGTTGACCACCTTCGCATTTTTCTTTTTGCTTGCGACATGTATCACAACTAGGCAAGGTCAGTTGTTATTCCAATCAGGCACATAATATTCAGCTGTAATGGTACTCACGCGAGAGAGGTGCGTCTCCTAGTGTCACTCTGGCGTCTGCGCTTAGTCGCTCGCGCTTCGCCAGTATGAAGCTCTTTTCTGATATCCACTGACATGGAGCTGAAGCTGAAAGAATCCTCCCATCAACCGAGGATGAAGGCGTGGGAATTATCGAGATAGAAGGGGAGTATCTTCAGAAGCCATAAAATTGATAGGCTATCATCCTTATCAAGAGATATAGCGACGCAACGTGCGGGGTAAACAATGAACTAGAGCCAATAATATTGTCAGTGGAGGCCGTAGTCAGCCGTGGTGAGACTCTCGAGAGATAAATACTGACTAGACTTGGCATGGTATTCAAATCGTGTGCGCTCGAGGTCTTTTGTTGATGGGGTTGTGTAAGATGGATCGTTCCGAGTCTCGGTCTGAGAACCCTGGGGGAAATGGTCTGAATGCCAGCCCTGGCACAAATAAAGAACCCGAAAGACCACAGTCTATCTATGACCAATATTTAGTCCCTAGAGATCCTTCACACCGTTCAATGGTCTTATAGGATCAACTTCAGGTGTTCTAACTACTAAATGCTATATTTATGAAAGCCACATAGTGGAATAGTACTACTATGAAAGGATATACTGCATTATCGTAGCTACAGCTGAACCATTTCCCTCTGAACCATTGGAAGACTAATAGTACAACCTTGGAAGCATTTATAAGCACTTATAGTTTAATGTGAATATCCGATCGAAGTCGTGTGCTTACTCCGACTTCCTCCGTTCTCTCATCCTTTATTCGGGTCATTCCTATTCCCCTGCACGGTTAACTGAGTCATATAGTGCTTAGCCGCATCTCGTCTTCAAACGTATTGGATTTTAACGCTCAATGAGTCATTGTAAAGTACTGTAAGTCTCTGTATTCTAGTTCTTAAACGGAAAATCAAAATTTTCTATTACAGCTTAATTTCTAGCGTTTGCCCGCAACTGGTCCCACCTAAAGTAGATCTCTAGGTCTTCAAAAGGTGTATAAATAGGACCACCAGCTTATTTTTCCTTCACAATACCTCTCAGGCCTAAGACTGCGAGCTAGAAGAGTAGGACTCCTAAAAATTAGACCGTGTTGAAGTAAGAAAAAACTTATTTTGAAGGAAATATCCAGGCTAGCTCTGGTAATCTGGTAGTTTCTTCAGGGATAGCAGACTTGTGTGGCCATTGCTCAACCCCTCCAACAAAAACAGCACTGATGTTTTCAACACCTGCTGAGAGTACCAATGTAGATACATGATCATCGAGCTTCCAGGAGGATGGTGGATCAAGCAGGACTATGTCTGCTTGCTTCTCTATTTCCAGACTGCCGACCTTTTCTGCAACTCCCAGCACTTTGGCTGCACCTAAAGTGTGCATATAAAGAACTTCGCGTCTTGTCAAGATAGAAGGATCCTGGTACTTTCCTCGGATAGAATAAAGGCCCATTCGCATATTTTCAAAAGGATCGCAACGGTCGCTGCTCGCTTCGCCATCAACATCCAATCCAATGCAAAGACCATGTTTGAGATATTCAGGAATATCTGCAATACCTGATCCAAGACGACCATTAGACATAGGGTTCCAACTCATACGCACACCAGCATGAGCAGCTTCCTTTAGTATGTATGGTGTAGGATGAAGAAAATGTCCCAATATAAGCTGCTGACCAAGGAGACTGGCAGCTCTAAGCCATGTCCACCGAGACTGCTCTGTCTCTATATCTTGTGATCTAGGGCTTTCAAGGTAATGGAGATGTCCATGTAGATTTAGCTTGTGCATAAGTTCGGCTTCCATATGAGTGGTAGAATCCTAGGATAAATGATTCCATGATTTGCAATAATGGTACCAAGATATCTCCCAGTATTATCAAAGGTAGAGGCCAAATCGAGGAACTTCTGGGTCCGAGTTAGAGCTTGCTCGTTAGACCATCTTGGAGTCACGGTCCCTACGTTGAACCCGTGGATGAAGCGAATGCCAGAGTCGAGAGCCGCAGTTAATTGAGCACGATCTGCTAGGCCATCTCGGAAATTTGGCGAGTATGTGAAATTGAATGCAGTCGTGATCCCTTTTCGTAAGTGAGAGGTTGCTCCTTGACTCGTAAGATTATAAATTTCATCGACGGTTGTTCTTGGCTGGAAAATAAATAGCCTCCGCCCACTCATTCACAGTTTTATCCGACGCGTGACCAGGAAAGCCACTTTGCCAAAAATGGCTACGTGCTGAAACAAAGCCTGGTAAAAGCCATTTCCCAGTCGCATCAATAACCCTGTCGGCATTTTGAGCTTCTTCAGCTTTGTCGTGTCCGATATAGGATATCACCCCTTCGTGTGACACCAGCACATCTGCAATAAATGGTTCTTGGTTGGAATGAACAGAGATTGCAAGAGCGTTTTTGAAAAGAAGTCGGCTCTCAGTACGGGTCATTTCAAAAGGCCATTTGATTCAAGTTCAGCAACGCAGATGATATTCTTGGACTTGCGTTGTCTGCATGCAGCTGTGTCAGCCATTTGGGACTTCAAGTTGTTAAGCGACTGGTTTTTTATCATACCATACAATATTCATAGTTCTTATGGGGTTCAACTTGGTGTTATATTAAGCATGAAATTCTCACATCTCTGTCAAGTGGTGCTGCAGAAGGAATCTGAAGGATAGTTTCTGTGGAGTATGGAAGAGTGAGTGGAGGTACATGAGAGTTCCGCTTAATATACGGCATCATACATACTAGTAATGGATTCATGCAATGGTCCTCGTATTAAATAATTTTGGAAATAATATACCTAGCCTTGTAGATAATTTACAGATCTGTCCAAGGCTGAGTTAGCGTGGTTTCGGGTACGAGTCAAGAAACAAAGCGTGTGTGCCGAGAGGGGAATCTGTTTTCGTTTCTTACTATAAACCTCGGCGTTGCCTCTCCCTCCCGTATGCCAAGATCTTCAATTCTACACCAACATGGATCGTCCTTTTGAGCCTATGCTTTTGGCTGACACCAATCAACTAACTCGATGGGAGCGTCTGTAAGTCGCATCAGTATATCCTTCCAAGATTCTATTCCAGGTTCATCTTATCAGCGATTAATAATCACACCATTATGATCATCTAGGCAGTCGATTCTCGTGTTGGCATCGTCAACCACACTAGTCTTCACAGGATGTGGAATTAACTTCACATTTGGTGTATGGTAGGAGCTTTATGACTCCATGTCGAAGCTCCCAAACACCCCTTTCACCGGAGCAACTCCCGCAGAAATTGATTTGACCGGCACATTAGCTATTGCACTGATGACAATGGGCACACCCTTCAGCACAGCATGGACAAAGCAATACTCTCCTCGAGCGGTTGTATTGTGCGGTGGAGTGATGTCCTCTGTGGCACTGATACTGGCAAGCTTCAGTCAGGCGCTTTGGCAATTCATCGTCACTCAGGGTCTCCTCCTGGGTATCGGAACCTGAATGATCTACATGCCTTCTGTGACGGTCGCTCCAACATGGTTCTCCCTTCACCGAGGTCTGGCCATGGGAGTCATCCTAGCTGGAACAGGAGTAGGAGGTGTCGTCTGGCCACTTGCTTTTCGCGGCTTGATTCAGCGCGTTGGATTCCGGAATACTCTCCGCATTACTGCCTGTATCTCCTTTGTGATGATTTGGATATCCGGGGTATTCATGAAGTGGCCTGCTAGCCAAATAACGCGCATCCAGACTGAAAATGCTGCAAGCTCCCGATCCTCGAGCTTCTTCCGGATCCCATTGGTGGACTGGTGTGTTGTACGCACATGCAAGTTTGCAGCGCATGCCTTAGGTGCCGCACTTCAGTCTGCGGCATGCTATACACCTGTGTTCTTCTTCGCATCTTGCGCTCGTACCCTCGGATACTCTACCACAGCATCAGCCAACTTCATCGCTATTTCCAACGCTGCCAATGCACTCGGGAAGATTGTTATCGGTTATGCTGCTGATCGGTTTGGGCGGCTCAACACACTCTTTCTGACGACATTGCTCTCCGCAATTTCCGTGCTGGCGCTGTGGCTTCCCTCGTCCATGTCAGCATCGCAGTCAACGGGAAGCACACTGTTCATTCTGTTCGCTATATTCTATGGAACATTTGCTACTGCTTATGTCTCATTGTTCCCCACAAGCCTGGTGGAGCTTTTCGAAGTTCAAAACTTTGTCAGTGTTAACGGCGCACTTTACATGATTCGAGGTCTTGCGACGCTTCTAGGTACACATATTGCGGGTGTCCTGATTCGAAGTAACCAGAACTAGTCGCCTGAAAGTTATGAGAACACCAGTATTATGGTCGGCATCTTGCTAGCCGCGGCTACAGTTGCAGTTTTGTGGACAAGATTTGAGGCTGTCTTTTCCATGGAAGGAGGACAAGCAAACCGTAAAAAGTGGATCATGTGAGATGCATACTGTTTGCAGTAGACTGGCCAGCAAGGCTCAATGTATGTGCTGATCGTGGATGTAAAATTAAAAGAACTCTTCACTCTTCAAAATTCAAGGCTCTTCTACATTTTGATCAGTCTCAGTAATCCGAAATCAATATAGAAAGCCATTTTGGTGCACAGTTAAAGTACTCTCAAGAGGCTTTCGCGCCACTAGGAAACACCATGGCATTTCCACATAGGCGCCTTTCTCGTACTCCTGCTCCCATCCAACCATAAGCTGCTCCAAACCTTCTCGCTTGGCGCGATCAGCCTCGTCAGTGCTTTGTGCCAGACCGGCAATGACTTCTGTCATGCCCATTAAGCAAGTTTGCATCCAGATGGGACGATGAATCTCCTGGAAATGAAGTTCATCCCAGGCAACCGGCTCGTATCCCTCAGGCTTGACCATATCGCAGTTGAGGGTAAGCCAGCTGTAAAACATTCAAATTAGTTTGAGACCAAGTCCAAGAATCGAGATTGCTTACTCGGCACAATCAGGGGGATTGAATCGCATAATGTGTGCGACTTTGAAAGTCCAAGGTGCTTCCATTCCCTCAGGGGCAACCGCTTGCACATTGAAAGCAATAGGCTCGAACCATTGGAGAATACCACCAGGCTCTAATATTAACGGTTAATTGGCTGTTATGCGTATCATATGCGAGATGTACATACTGAGTATCATTTTCAAGTTTTGCAAAAGTAGGCGGACCTTCTCTTTATCGAGCAAAGTGATCATTCATATTTTCCGTGGTATTCCACTGGGAACGGCTGGAAGGTGTTATGCTCGTAAAGGCTGACATTGGCTGGGATTGATGCAGCAAATGGATACTGAGCGTTCGAGATGTCGAATCCATCGATCTGCCAATGGGGATAGGCACGAGCCAAGCTCAATGGCCAGATTCTATTCATCGAATCAGACTACCGCGTTCATACTCTTGGTTGGCAGTAAACTTACGCTGTGCCAGTTGCGATATCTGCGACCCGCAGTGGAGTTGAGACATCAACGAGCTCCTTGGTTGACTTGTGAAGAAGCTCATTCCCCGTAAGTTGGGTCATCAAAAAGTGCTGATAGTTAAGACTATTGAGATAAAGGGGGTTAACATCACGATGGATTGGATGAGTTATTTCATTTCTTACCGAATGCTCCCTTGGAGATTCCGGTTAAAGATATAACCACTGGGGTTGTAAACGTTGAGAGACATGTTTAGAGCGCTGAAGATTAATGTGGAAACTGTTCTTGGAATGCTGTCAACAACTCTGCAGATCTATCTGGGGAATGACAGATACTTAAGCATAAATAGTCAGCAGATGCTCGGTAGAGATGTGGGGGCCAAAAATAGGGGCAATTCATAACATTTGAAGAAGTGGATACTGGCACACGTGGAATAACATCTAGACTTTGACATCCAATGAATACGTATACAAGAATGGAATTATGCACAAAATGCGGGATAAGTAGAATAATGCTGCATTAAAGAGCTAGTGGGGCTTTTTCTGTCGCCCCTAAATTTGTGCTCATTCCCGAGGTCTTTTTTGTTCCATCACAGACTTCAAGTTAGGTCTAAACAATCCGATAGACCAAAAAACATTGAATAGTAAAATGAAATACCAAAGAGTAGTCAGCTGGTATCCAGAATGTTCTTTAGATCATTCACTTTCCTTAGGTGTCTCCTCGTCTTCTATCGGGCTCAGCTCATCCTTCTTATCATCGCTAAGTGTTACATCGTTCACCCAAAAATTGCCTATGAAGCAAAGACAAATCAAGGGCACAAGACTGATAAAGACCACTCGAAATCCTGCCATCTTTGCATCTAATATCCGAGAGTGTTCTAACGAGCTCACGTCTCCAGTGCCCATGTGATCTTGTGTATCCCCAGATATCTTCAAATAAGACTTGATGACAGCTCGTTGCACTGCAGTTGAGATCGCGATACCGAAAACAGATCCTAAAGATCGTAGTAGATTGCGAGTAGATGTGGCGACTGCTCGATCTTCCTCTCTTGCAAGAGCCTGTACAGCTACCAGACCTTCAACTAGCATCAGTATTGATTTTATAACATGGGAAGCAGCTCTTACCAGGCTGATGAGTATAGCCAACACCTGCACCTTCGATAGCCAGTACCACTGCATAGACAGCAGTATGGGTACCTCGACCAAATAACACTCGAAGGCCTGCTCCACATGACCAAAGAAAAAGGCCCGTTCGTAACACTGGAGTATACCTAATGTTGAAGGTTCAAAGGTTAGATCTAGCACGAAAGATAGAGCCGATGTGACAAACCTAGCAAATCGACTCATTAAGGGTCCGGATATTGTACCCGCCAGACTTTGAGCCAAAACATAAGGCAAAGTCAGGATGGCGCTTTCAAGAGGTGAATATCCTCTGACTTCTTGAAAGAAAAGAGGCACAAAGTACTGAGTTGACTGCCAAACATAGTCATGAAGGGCACCCGTGAACAACATTATTGTTAGGGATCTTTCTTTGAACAACGCCAGGGGCATGATGGGCAGCCTAGCCCGGAATCCCTCAACCAGGATAAATGATGCAATTGAAATGACTCCAAGGGTCAGAAGGGCGATAATAAGGGGACTCATCCATAGCCAGGTACCTCCTCCAGAGCTGATTGGGATCTGTGTGCCGAATTAATCAGTTTGAGATGCAGTGAAATCAGAGGAATGAGATGGATCAGTACCAGTAAGAACACAATCCCGATTGTAGAGAGGAAGACACCACTCCAATCAATTTGTCTCACTTTACTTCGCCAGCCACCAGTAACAGGTTTTAATGGTAAGAGAAATAAGAGCAGGAACATGCATATGAACGCGAGAATAGATGGAACCCAGAAGGCCCATCGCCAGCCATCATGTCCCCTTGCAATGACACCAGCTGCGATGAATGGCCCTGTTACTGCTCCTGCTCCGATTGCGATGCTCACGAATCCTTGATATTTTCCTCGTTCTCTTAAGCTGACCAAATCGCTCACTATTATGGAAACAAGGGAACTTATACCTCCTGCACCAACTCCACTCAATGCTCGGGTCACGTATAACCATACTGGGCTTTGCGCCCATCCTGAAAGGAGATCGCCCACCATGATACACCCGAGAGATATGAGTAGCACAGGCTTTCGCCCAGAGATATCGGACACGCGACCATAGAGTGGTTGGAACGTTGTTTGTCCCAAAAGGAAGGCGGTTCCAGCCCATGTTATGGTTGTTCCCGCAGACAAGGCGTTCGAGATAGTAGGCAAGGCTGTCGTCGTCGCATTCATATCAAGATATGAGATAAAATAACAGCAGCATAGACATACATATGAAGCAATCAGACGAGAGAATGAGAGCCGTAGGGTCTGATCATGCAATTGAGTGAATCTTTCAGGTGAGAGAGACCTGCTCTCTATTTTCACGATTTCTGACCCCATTATCCAAGAAGATAGATCTATTGAGTTAGAGATTTCCAGATCTGAAGATCAAGATAAGTTTTTAGCCTAGTTAGAGTATTTGGAATTACTTCAAACTTGAAGCTTGAATTGCTCCTTCAAGCTGTCACACGAGCACTTTTCTAAACTGCAACATCGGCATTCGTAGCTCACCCGCTGTAATTCAGATCTTGCTAAGATACTATATCACAAAGAATTAGAGGCTCGGGCATTTCTACTCTATGTGTATCAGGCGGCTTCGAGCAGGTAGGGTAGTATTTGCTTTCCCAGATTAATAGCCCGAGTCTGCCGAGTTGCGAATATGGAGGAGATTGGACTCTTTCCTACCCAGTAAAGTAGAGTACGAGTCAAATCGGTGTACTCCCGAAGACTGAATTGTCCAGAATGAATTTGAATAATCAGGAGGCATCAATTATTGGAGTGTTTTATGAGTTCTCAGTAGTATAATGATGCTGCTGATTGGCGTATGTAGCGAGCTCAGTACCTACCAGTACTAGTAGTACTAACTAATACTGACCGAAATATTTGAACTTCAAGATCTAGGTATCTGACACTAGAATTAAGGGGATATTATCTACTACTAGTAGCCTGATACTATAGCTATGTGAAAATTCAAGTACATACATAAAATTATGAATAACTAGACTCCGAGTTCTTCATTGACATCCATGTTTTGATACTTCTGGCGGCTACATCCGCAACTTGAACTACAATAGAACCTTTAATGTCCATATGCAGCTTCTTTTTTCGCAGCACGGACTTGAATTGGAAAAATAAAATAAGAATGAATTCCTAATTCTACATAGTAATTCTGACATGGATATCCAACATGAATCATCATGAGAAAAAAACCTCATAATCCTGATATGGATATTCAGCCATCGTAAGAAAATAATTCAAAGCTGTCCCACCTCATAGGAATTGATCTTCAGCAGATCCTTCACAGTGATCATCAGTGAATCAGCCTCACAACCGGATTTATCTCCCAAGAGCAATTCCAAAGTAGCTCTTGCCATAGAGCTGATAGCGCGTTGCTTTGCTGCCACGTAAAACGTCATCGCTTCGGCATTCTTTCCATTCTCAAAATCCATTTTCTTTAGAACTCGTAGAAGGCTGCCGTAGTTCTGAGCATCAAGGGAAGCTCGTGCTTCTTCATTGTCGGCGAAAAGAGCTGGATTGATCTCAAGCTGGGCTTTAGCAACTTTGTGAACTCCCTTAATCTTGGCTCGCATCAAATGATTGGCATAGATGATCACGTTTGCGCCGGCATCAATCAGGGTTTGGCGTGGGGTAGTGGAGTAGGTAGTAGGAACCACTACAACAGGGATATGAGGATTCTTTGCACGGAATGCACGGATGAATTCAAGGACTTCGTCAGGGTCTTTGCTCTTGCTATGAATCATGACCGCGTCGGCACCGGCGTCCGTGTAGATTTCAGCTCGGGACAAAGCATCTGCAAGGGCGTTGCGGACGGATGCAGCGTCCTCTTCGGGATCATCCATCACAATACGGGTATTGAATGACTCGATTCTGGCAGTGATCATGATTTCAGTGCCATAGGTCTCTCTGATGAAAGTGTGGATCTTGCGGGCAAACTCATGAGGATTGGCCTGGGCCTGGGATCCATCGGCGGGCAGAAGAGAGTTGACCTTTTCGCCGGGCGCATGAAGATCTTTGTCTTCAATCACAATCATAGAGACTCCCATTGAGTTAAGAATTCGCACCAAAGCTGGAATTGAGGGAATGTCTCCTCCACTATCAGCATCAAAGGCTGCACACAGCTTACGGTCGCCTGGTGAACCCGATTTGAGGGTTGCTGCTAGCAGGGTTGCACGCAGAAGAGGGGTTATGATCTCGGTATCAGGAATCCCAAGATGGGTGGTCTGGGTTAGGCCACTGACCCATAGACCCTGGAAGCCATTTCCCTGAATCTGGAAGTTTCGAACAATATCACTCGAGACTGGATCGTGGGCTTCCATCAGGCGAATAACTCCATTGTGCTGCTTCAGAGCGGAACGGACTGAGACAGACTCGGACATATCGAAGAGTGTCTAGACAAGAAGAACGCGTCAGAATATCAAAAACGCGTCAAAAAGGACTGGGAAAAGGTAGGATATGAAAATACTTGATGGAATCAGAAGATATTCTCGAATATGGAATGAACTTCAACGAAATCGACCTCAAGTCTTGGAATCTTCCAGGTCTGTGGGGTTGAAAAAAGGTTGAGGAGTTGAGTTGTGGACGGTGATTTCTTGAGGAGAGATCTCTTTAAAAAGGCAGAGAGAATTAGGCAGGATCTATGCACGATTCACTTGGTACCTCGAAGCTATACGGATTACACGCGAAAATGTAGGTACCATTAGAGTCTTGCAACTCTTGTGCACACAACAGGCCCCCTTCCAAAGATTCATAACTTGAATGAGCTACCATATACACTTGAAGGTGTAACTGATTCGTAATTCCTGGTTCATCGCGCGCGAGTATCCTTGGTCACATCTACTTCTTCCTTCTGGATGTAACCAGGTTCATTTCTAAGATTAAGACTATGTCCATGGTTGTAGCCCCGAGGTTACCGCGGTAGATCAATACTACTATATCACGCACACAAGAGTCGCAGATATCATAAGAACGGATTTGAATGATGGTAGTACCTGATATCTCGCGTCATTTAGAAAATTTTAATAATAAATCAGTGTTTCCTCCTTCCATGCCACTTAATGACCCGGGATATAGTATGCCAACTCGGAGATTGCTTCTTCCAGTGTTTCCACCACAATTGACAAGATAATCTTCCCAATTCCTATTCTAATTGAAATAGAAATCTCTTAAGAAATCGATTATATCCAAAGTTTATTTGGTGCCTTGTGTGGTCTATGAACAGGCGTTGAACCATTAGGTGACTGTTTTCATATTTCCGCATGTGTCCACCTTCCACCACTTCCCTAACTTCTCTTACTTCTTTCTCTCTCTCACTCTTTCTTTGAGCTTCAAGCCAACGCGGAACATCTTCTGATAAGTTTTGAACATCCAAAGCAATTCAACTCAAACCCGACCGTCATATCTCAAGAACTCAATATGGGTTCCATTCCGACTGAATCCCTCTTTTCAGAGCTAGCCGACATTCCCCTCGACCCTCACTATGCCTTGAAAGAAGACTTCTCTGCTGATCCAGCCCCCAAGAAGGTGATCCTGGGATCAGGTATCTACCGCGACGGAAATGGAATGCCATGGGTACTTCCTACAGTCAAAGAAGTACGTTAATGAGCTATATAATTCCAGATGTCATCATTAACCGTTACCTCAACCATTACTAACATATCAAAAGGCTGAAGAGATTGTCGATAGCCAGGGAGATCCCGGTCGCTATGATTATCTTCAGATTGCAGGATATGCCCCCTTCTACACCGCAGCACGAGACCTGTTGTTCGGAAGCCTTGATACAAAGGTAGAAAGCATTGTCTCTGTTCAAACAGTGTCAGGAACAGGTGCTAACTCCCTCGGCGCCCGCTTCTTATCGGAATCCCTCAAGCCGTCTGCTGTTTGGCTATCGAACCCAAGTTGGGTAAACCATGCCAACATCTGGTCTTTGGTCGGAGTTGAAGTCAAATACTACCCTTACTGGAACGCCGAGAAAAGATGTTTGGACTTTGAGAATATGATCGGAACTCTGGAATCACACACCAAGCCGGGAGACGTTATCGTGCTTCACGGCTGCGCGCATAATCCAACAGGTGTTGACCCGACAAAGGACCAGTGGAAGACCATTGCGGATATTTGCCAGCGCCATGGATTATTCCCTTTCTTTGACAACGCTTAGTAAGTCCTAATAATATGATAGCCTTCCTTCAATACGCCGAGACATTACGATGAGAGTGGTATGATAACTAACAGTATCTCAATAGTCAGGGATTTGCCTCCGGTGATCTAGATGAAGATGCATGGGCATTGAGACACTTTGCGGGCCGAGAAACTATGGAGCTCGCAGCAGCACAATCCTTTTCAAAGAACATGGGGCTTTACGGTGAGCGTGTTGGGGCTCTACATATCCTCACTGCATCACCAGATGCAGCATCAAAGGTCAAAGGAAATGTTCTGCGCATCCAGCGAGGGCAGGTCTCACAGCCACCTCGGCGAGGAGCAGCATTGGCCACAACAATCCTCGCAAATGGAAAGCTGTTCCAGAAGTGGCTCCTGGACCTTCGAGAGATGAGCTCTCGTATCAAAGACATGCGAAAGGCCCTACATGAAGAATTGGGAGCTTTGGGCACGCCTGGAAATTGGGAACATATCCTAACTCAAGTAAGTATTAAATCTTTTAGATTATGAACATCTGCTGACACTTATTAGATTGGAATGTTCTCTTACACCGGGCTTAGCCCTGCGCAGGTAGAGAACCTGCGAGCTGAAAGCCACGTCTACATACTGACGTCGGGACGTATCTCAGTCCCAGGCTGTAAGCACCTCCATGCAATAATTCAGAACGTCATATACAAATGACTTCAGTCCTTATGATACATAGCTAATGTTATCAATAGTAAACCACGGAAATGTGAAGTACGTGGCAGCGGCAATCGACAAGGCCGCAAGGGAGGAACTCGCATAATCGTGAGCAAACCAACCTTCAAAGGTGGAATTTGGAGTTTTCACGAGCTTAAAGGCAAACATTTCTTATCACTAACAGCTATTAATTTGCAGCTGAATACCAATATTTTTACAAAAAAAACATCTCACATTACTCTACTAAAACCTCCCCATATAAGCCCTGGGCCTCAACTCCGCGTCAGAAAAACCTCAAGATCAAATAATCGCTTTATGTCATTTCATGTACATCATCGAATGCAATCTTAGGGTAAAAGTGTAGCATCATGAATCATAAATCGTATCTATCAATGCTAGTCTCAGGGCCCTGGGGTCTGTGCTCTTTCACTCAGACCCATAAGCCCACCTGTAATGCCATTCATGCGACGATCCAGTAAATCCTCCTCACTAGCAAGGGATGTCATGCTTCTTCCACGAGGACGTAATGCAAAAGGACTTTCTGGTGCACTATTCACTTCATCTGGGCCGATGACCTCATAGCTCTTATACTTCATCTCCAGATGCTTGAGCCGTGCCAGGAACTCGCCTCCTGTTTCAGATCTAGTCTCAAATTCATCATCGTGAGCGGTCAGTCCCGCGATTCGAGAAGATGTGAAGTGAGACTTCTTGCGTCGGTTTGCTAGGTTTGACTCAGAAAAGATATCCTCATCGGTCGAGGAGTTCATTTTGGTCATTCCAATCTCCAGTGGTTTGTCATCATCTCCAGATGACTCTCCGGTGATGCTACGATGATGGTTTCTGCGATAACTTGCTGGTATGTTCTCCTTGCTTTGCATATGTCCATTTCCTTTCATCGAAGTATTCGGTGCTGAGCTTCCAGACATCTGAAGAAGACTGTACTGAGACTCCTGTAGCTCGGATATCTCAAATAGGGTCTCTATCCATGATGCACTGCGCTTAATGTACTTCCATGCTTCGGGATAAAACCCTGCCATTTGGAGGAAGCCGTGTGATACCCCCGGAATCAAGGATACCTCGACATGATCCTTTTCTCGGAACTGCCATCGGGACTTCTCAAGCCCGAGTTCCAGTCGCTCATGGAAATACTGCAATTTTGCTTGGCGCAATCTACCTGCAAAGATAACCGTGTCGTCAACTAGTGGGTCACGTTCACCTGTGAAGATGTATGTCTTGGGAAATCGGGCAAGCAGTGCATCTGGAGCTAGCACCGGGGAGAGATAGAAATCAGTATTGAAGTCTGGCCGCTGGTGGGGGCCAATGTAGAGAATAATCATGGCTCGCATCATTTCTGGAGTGAGGATTCTGTCATGGACGTAGGAGATCATGGAGGAAACTGCCAATCGAGTCTGCAGTGGGTTTACTTCGCTATCTGCGGGCGATTTGGTATTTCCATTGAGCTCTTCACTCTTCTTCAACTTTTCACGTAGCGCTTTAGAGGTCTCTGCAGCGATATTTGTCTCCTGGTTTGTTTCTGGTTTTGGTGGTGAGAGGGATGTCAGGTTTTCAACCGAATGGCCTGGTGAGGTATATGGTGTGAGCTTGCGGTATTCATCCTGCTTCCGTTGTAGCACACTTCGGTTTGTCTGACGCGTGCTCTTATCCTGTATCAATGACATCTGCTCATCGGTCATCCAGCTTTCTACCCTCATGTTAAGGGCCGGATAAGCCAGTACCAAACCATCAGGCCGTGGTAGTCCCTCTCCACTTCGCCAATCATGTCCCATGGTCGACTGTAGAACCATCAGGACCATACTCACAGCTAAGTTGCCTCCTGCGCTTTCGCCTGTGACAACTATGCGTGGGCGGGTCTGGCCACTAAATCCAACACAGCGTCCGCGGGTGGATATGATGGTATGGTAGACATCATAGCATTCATGCAAGGCATACGGGTACGCATACTCCGGTGCTTTCTTATAATCAACGCTCAGGACTGGAACTTTCAATTGCCCGGCCCAAGAAGCCAGCTTATCTTCAGAGTTTCGGGGTCCCATTGCAACAAAGCCACCACCCGGTACATCCAAGATAATACAGGTCTGGTCTTTCAATGCGCTCAGCGGCCCATCAAAGTAAAGCCATGCACTGACGGGATCACTATGAACAGATTGCTTTGGTCGAGGAATCCGGATAGCTCGTGGGGAGTACCCTGTTAGGCGAGGGCGCATCAAACTCGCCATGGTCCATAGGTACGGCGTAGTTGCTTTGTTCCAAGAGACGCGCAAGTGCTCCAAAGTCAGCGTTGCGCGGACTCGACGCACCTTCTCGTCGGCCTGCTCCGCTGCAATCAGGTAGTAGACAGTGAATACCAAGGAGGCAATATCTCTCAGCCATTTTGGTTTGATCTTCATGGCTGTCCAGAACCCCGCATCTAACCCTGTTGCAATCCATGTTGCTCGAAAGAAGGAACGTGAATAAAGGTGTGCTAAAGGTTCTGGACATTCCAGTCCCACGATCTTCGCAAAATTCCTGCAAACATAAAGCCATAGAAAAATGACAACGGTCGTCTGCCAGGCGGTTAATTTATGAGTGAATCGGGTGGAGAGAGCTCGTAGTAGAGGGGGCCCATGTTTGTTCCCACTTTCGGTTCGTTAGTCCCGAGGTCCTAGTAGATCAAGCTGGGGTAATCATGCATACCGTAGTAAATAAATCGACCAGAACGACACCACAGCAAAGACCTGGATTTTGCGGAATCTGGTCGAGGGCCGTCCCAAGACGTGGTCTAGAAGAATTCGGTCAATATTCAGGGCTGTAGGCTGTAGTCATAGAGTTCCGATCGTACCAATCATCTCCCGAAGCGAACTATGCAGTGCTGTACAACCAGCCAGAAAGCCAAATTCAAAAATGCTCAAGTGATTTGAAAAGGAACATGGATAGATAGTCGCATATGAAGTCAAATTTGAATCTCAGAAGTTATCGGTAGAATAGGAAGAAGAACAAGAAGCGAAGATGAAAGAAGAGAATCACATGTGATTCCATGACCATCACATGCTTAGTGACGCCATCAGCTGATTCTCCTCATGTAAGCACAATTTGCATATAGCACTAGGTATACACCTGGGCATAATTATACAATAGATTATACTATATCATCTAGAACCTTGGAATATAGCAATGTGGGTAGTGTAGTACGTATAGTAAAGTGTGTGCTATGATCAGTACTCAATTGGACTGAACTTGAACAGCAAAGGGATATCATATTGAGCTAAAAGCAACTCTATCTCATGCGACAGTACTCCCTTCCTTGATTCATTTGAAACTTGCACAAAAATACCTCCAGGGTCATACTAACAAAGCCAGCAATGCAAATACCAGCCGAGTCACTGACGGTTGTAGCACCAAGGGAGAACTCACGCTCGTCTTCTGGAACACGGTCGCTAATTTCCGCAAAGGTATTGACATATACCAATCCACCCAAGAGACCTTCCCAGAAGACCACCAGGAAGACAATATAAACATTAGGAATAAAGTTGTACATGGAGTGCAGGCTGAGCAGGACCAGGTTCAGCACTTGCAATATAGAGGGGACGTAGAGCCAGTGGATGCGGAAGAACGGAGTAGAGGAACGTGAAACAAAGACTCCAGCCTGGTAGATCGCGTTATAGGCCGGGTAGAAGGAACGAAAGTCGTCGAAAGGAGTGGTATATAGAGGGAAAAGTAGGGTTGGTGCAACACCCTGGTTGATCACGTACTCGGCGATAAATACCACAAGCAGAGGGAGCATACTGAGAAGTAATATTAGCATAACAAAAAAACGCAGGCGTATCTGGAGAGCTCACAAAGGAAAAAATAGCTTTGCGAGTCGTTTCAGGTTCTTTCGCGTCTTATCCCACAAACGGGAGTCTGCATTAACCCGACCAGATTTCTGTGTATCTGCCGAAGCACCAGATGCACCGAGCAGTCCCTCCGACTCTTCACGCTCCGACTCAAGTCCATCCTCTTCGTTATCTTCCGCATTTAGCCGTTCGCCTTGTTCAGCCCGTTCCACAGCTCGGTATCTATCGATCACGGGTGTTGAAGCTTGCAACGGGTCACGCGGCAAGACAGCAAAGAAACTCACTGCCATAAGAAAGGGCAGAGCAGCAGAAGCAAAGAGAGTAACATGCACCGAAAGACCAATTGTATTGGTAGCCAACGCATAAGCCCCAGCTCCAACCAAGCCGGCTGCTCCGGTGCCACTGCTCCAAGCCGCCAAGCTGAACGGTCCGTAGAAATGGGTCAGTCCCATGAAGCTTAGCTCTCCACCACCAGCAGAGAAACTAGCCAGAACTATCCCGATGATCTTCGATGTGATTGTACCACCCTCTGTATAGCTTGGACTCAATGCCACAATGACCATGCCAACAACAGATAGGACCACGAAGACGATGACGCGGATAGAGTACGGGACCATGTGGATGAAGTATGGGGCGATCAGCTTAGTTGTAAAAGCTGGAATGATATCGGCGAGGAGGACGATTCCTTTGGGAACATCGGGACCGACCAGATCTAGAGCTGCGGAGAGTAGGATCACATAGAGGACATTGTTGATAAGACCTAGAACAAGATTTAATTAATACAGTAAACATTCAAGCTTGACTGCTATACATACCGAACAGCCAAAATGCGATACAGACCCTTGGGTCTGCACCGTTGAATGACCCCTTTAAACGGTCGGCGAAACGAGTCCAGCGTGAGGATGACGTCTCCTCGAGGGGCATGGGACTATCCCCACTAGACGCGAAGAGAGGCATTCCAAGAAGAGGAGAAAGGAGTGGCGTGAGGAATTAATAAAGTGAACTACATGAAGAACATCAGAGAGGAGAAATCAACCCGGACCATGGTCTCCGTCCGTGACGACGTAGCATGTGGTTTATCTTAATGCACACGACATCAAAAGGCTTATCACGGCCGAACAATGATGGAGTGGGTTCCACTGTCTCCACCGCCACGCGTGCTCTTCTTAACCCCGTACGAATACGAAATTGAACACAGAATTTCTATGAAGATCAGAAATATCATGACTTTTGATTCTATTCTATCATATATATCCAGTTCTATACATGGGACATCTGGGTGCATCATGATAAAGAGAAATCTGCGAAAACAACACCATGGGAAAATATACGCTCTGCGCGACAGGGAAATCAACGAAAATGGTATATATCAAACAAGCAACACATCATGGTCGACATTTAGATCGGAAGTCATGGTGATTAGGACTTAATCACAGATTCCAGTGACTGCTCCAGGATGTTGAGACCACTCTGGATTTGGTCCTCAGTGATGGTCAAAGCAGGAACAAAGCGGAGACAGCCATCACCAGCAGTGATGATGAGCATACCACGCTCACGGGCAGCGGTGATAATATCACCAGCCTTGGAGGCGATAGAGGGAGCCAGCTGCAGACCCAGGATCAGACCACGACCACGGATCTCAGCGATAGCCTCAGGGTACTTCTTCTGAAGAGCCTGGAAGCCGGCAACAAAGACCTCAGACTTCTTCTGGACGGAAGCTTGGAGCTCGGGATCAGCCAGACGGGCGACAATGTGGTAAGCGACACGGCAAGCCAGAGGGTTTCCACCGAAAGTAGTGCCGTGGTCACCAGTCTTAATGTTAGCGGCAACAGTCTTGCCGGAAACGATGGTCGCACCGATCGGGATACCGTTACCCAAGGCCTTGGCCGAGGTCAGGATATCGGGGTGGGCGGCTTCACCCGAGGCCGGGGTCAACGAAGGGTGACCGTGAGCCCAGAGGCTTCCAGTACGGGAGAGACCGCATTGGATTTCATCGAAGATCAGGACTGCGCCAACCTCGTCGCAACGCTTGCGCAGAGCGACCAGGAACTCTGGAGTAGCCATGTTGACACCACCCTCGCCCTGAATGGGCTCAACAATCACACCACAGGTCTTGTCGTCGATGAGAGTCTGCAGCTGCTCAATATCGTTGTAGTTGCCGTACTTGAAGCCCGGGAGCATGGGGGAGAAGGGAGTCTGGTACTTGGGGTTGGGAGTGGCGGACAGAGCACCCATTGTGCGGCCGTGGAAGGAGTTGTGGAACGAAACGAACTCGTGCTTAGCACCGGAGGGGTCCAAGGCACGACCGGTCTTACGGGCAAACTTGATAGCGGCCTCGTTGGCCTCGGTTCCGGAATTCGAAATGAAAACCTGCGAGGCATCACGCATGGCACCGGACTCACGGGTCAGGTTGATCAGCATCTGACTCAGAGCACCAGTCCAAGGATTGTGGTACAGGTTGGAGGCATGGATGAGGGTCTCAGCCTATGTTATTGCACAGAAAAGTCAGTCATTGTCATAAAAGAACCGCCAATTGCGACAGTAAATATCCAATTGGATCGTACCTGCTCCGCAATGATCTGAGAGATCTCCGGGTCACAGTGACCAAGCGAGTTAACCGCGATGCCCGCAGTCAAATCCAGGTACCGACGGTTCTCCATATCCCACAGATAGCAGCCCTGGCCCTTCATCATCATAGGAGCGGGGCGAACGTAAGTAGGCACCATGAAGGGAGCTCGCTCGTTAATGAATGACATTGTGACGGAGTCGGGGGAGGGATCAGGGTTAGGCACAGCAGCCTCCTTCTATATATGTTCATTAGTTTGGATTGTATCAATTGAAAGCCTAGTAGACCAGTGCTCATACCTGGACCTTCACATTCTGGGCATTGGTTGCCGCAAATCGTCGCTGGATAGGCGCAATGGAAGGGACCTGGGTTCTGCGAGGAAGACGGCGCGCGGCCACACGAAGAGCAGACATGATAGAAAGACTAAAACCGAATGAATCGTCGACTCAAAACACCGTAGAGGGGAGAAAAAGAGAGAAAACGCCTGATCGGATCACAGCAATTCCGGAATAAAAATGGCCGCGATATCGGGATCCGCAGAAACCTCGAGTTAGTCAGACCTTCTGAGTCAGGATCGGCGCCACTTTTCCCATAGGGCGTGGTGCTTCATACAACGTCACGTTTTATTCGTCGTGAAATAAATCCCTCTCATCATGGTGTCCTCATTTTCTCTGGGTCGCACACGTATTTCCCTCTCATTGAAGAGCAGAGTCGCCGTTCGACCGATATCCACTACCGCTGTGTTGCGCAACTCCAACCCCAACGGCAAGCCTGCATTCCAATTCTCAAAGGGACCCGCCCCTCCAAGCCTCCCCAAAGAAGAGCAAGAGATCTTCGAAGAACTCCAGCGCCGCTCAACTGGCGCGTTCAGCACCCCGCAGGTCAACCAGTCGCCGCAGGCTGAGATCAAGGTCAACGGCGATGGCCAGGAGCTCCATCCTGATGCGCCGCAGGGTCTGAAGCCCGAATTCGAAGGCGAGACCAACCCCAAGACTGGTGAAGTGGGTGGACCAAAGAATGAGCCTCTTCGATGGGGCTCTCAAAGTGATTGGAGTTATGGTGGTCGAGTGACGGACTTCTAAGTGGGTTGAATGGATTCACCGAACCTGGTGGATTTGCATTGATGGCGTTTGGATACACTTCTACTTCTACGCACTGAGGAGAATCTTTTGGCGATATAAATACTGTGTGCATATTGCAAAATCAATTGAACGACTATTGTGAATCATATGTGGCTACTAGTAGGTGCTGGAACTTTTATTGGAACCCTTTTCTGGTCGGGGTACATGGCCGAGTGCTCAGCTTCAACGTCTCGCTCCCTCCTGCATCCGCATTAACTCCTCCACGTACGCGTCCACCCGTGTGGCTGAGAACTTACGAGCTGGAGTCCCTCGTTCAAAGAGCAAATCAAGCTCCTTGTAAGCTCGACCTCTCGGCTCAGGTAGCCTAAAGTAAGCCCAAATCAAGCAAAACAGGCACGTACCAGCCCAGAAATATGCTGTTTTGGCTCCCCAGTCCCAGGCTGTTTCCTTCAACTGGTAATGGGTCAAGAGAGCGACAACAATCTTGCTGATATTGTGAAGGACGCGTGCCAGTACAATAGTCTTGGCTTTGAGTCGGGTCGACGATAGCTCGGAAACCAAGGAGTAGGTGACTGGGCCAATGGTGAAATCGAAGAAGAAAGTGAAGGTAATGAGAATGGCAGCTATTGACAACTTTGCAGCTTCATTGGACGCGGGTGCGAACCCCAGACTCCCAATTATGACCAGGAGTATGAACAGGGTAGCCAGGCCAAACATATGAATAGCACGACGACCAGCGACTGAAATGAGAAACCATGAGACAAATGTTCCAAAGAAGCCAAGTGTAAATTTTGCCATGGACAGCTCGAATGATTCAATAGGTGGGATTCCAGCTTGCAAACAAAAATAGGCGAAGTAGTCCATCAGATTCGATCCACACAAGGTCTGCACCATCCAAACAACACAGACTATCTCTGTTCGACGAAGATTCGTGTCTTTGAAACAATCCAGGTAGCCAGTACCTTCGACATGGGATCTCTCAAACCTGTTGGTATGCTGAATCATTACAATAGTCTCCTCAATAGTCGAAAATACGGTAATCCTTCGAGGTCAGCTGCTGTAAAGCGCGGTGTGCACCTTCTAAATTGCCATTCCGAACATACCACCATGGTGATTCTGGAGCAAACAAAAGCACCATCGCAAGTGCAGGGATCCAGACCCATTGCACACCAAATTTTATATTGTACGCCTGTTCATCAGTACTCAAGACAGAGGTACGGTTAACTCCAGCTGCCACAAATTGACCAATGACCCAGCACATATTAATGAATGTTGTGAGATAGGGGCGTAAGACAATACGGCAGACCTCTGAGGCGTAGAGTACTGGTAGTGTCTGAAAAATCCCCCATGGGATACCAGCAAGGATTTCAGCAGCAAGGAGCATCTGGATGTTGACGGCATAAAAGAACAAGAATATGATGAGGCAGATGGCCAACAAAGCCCAAGACATCGTGCGCCGGTATCCCAAGCGCTCAAACACTTGGCCGCAAATCAAAAGGCCAACGATTTCACCACAACGAGCTCCATTAGCGAGGCCCAACTGCCAGGCTGCTGAGATATTCCACTCTCCATCGGCAGCTTCTTTCCCAAACTTCTTCTTGAAAGCAGGAGAATCGTACATTGAGCCAAGAAGTGCCAAATCATATCCCTCCATGATGAGCGTCGAAGACAGAAGAATAGACCAAGCGATTGCTTTTGGGTACAGCCTTATTCCTTCGGCGAGGGTCATTGACTTCTCTTTCCGAGTGGCACTTTCATCGCGCAGCAGAGCCTCAAACCTGCCAGCCCAGGGAACATGGCCGTGAGTCGGGTCCTCCATTGGATCCGAGAGAGAAAGCTGTCAAAAAACCATGTTAAGACGATGGAGACAGAGTCAGTGTAAGGAATACAAAATCAGCTCTTGAAAGCGATCTGGAAACCGCGTTGCATGTCAATGTTGTGAGATTTCAGAGAGGCCAGGACACAGGTAGATCTCCAGGGCTTCAACAAGGAAAAATATCACGACTGAATTTGTAGATGGGTTTAAGTGGGAATCTGTCGCTCAGAGTAAATGTGGGGGATGAAGTCGCTCTTCAATGAGGTTTTATGAGGAGGGTGGAGAAGTAAAGGAAGAAAAGACCAGAAGTGAGAGATGCCCGCAATCGGTGTGAGACGCAGGACTTCAGATGATACAAGATTTCAAGGCCGAGTGTATTCTTCTCAAGATCAAAATTAGCGAAATGAAATATTTTAACTCTGTATTTTGTACTCTTTGAAATATAGAGGCGAGAATGTCTTACTGGTACTATTCATGATTCGTTCATCCTTGGATCAGCAGCCTCATAACCACTTAATAGAACTCTTAAGCTTAACGAGAGTGATTTGAAGTCTGAGGCATAATTTCAAATTCTTTCACATATTTGCAGCAGAAGTAATTATTCACAACCCTCCCAGGTCCTCCTCCAAGGTAACACCGTTGATGGTCGTGGGTTCTGCAGACACCGATACGAAAAGAATTCGAGTCCATTCTGTACTGCTGGGGTTTCGCCATGTATGCATTGTTCCTCGTTGAACGATCATTCCTCCCCGTTCAATATGACGCAGTTCCCCAGAATCCAAAATGAGTTCAACTGAACCTTCGATCACTACCCCATAGTCCACACTGAGAGCGCGATGCTCAACCGCAGTAAACCCAGGAGCGAAGTCAACCATGCGACAGACAGTACCATTTTCAACTACCATAGGTGGCCCCATCTGATTCTTTCTCATAAACTCATCGTGGTACTGCAGGTCATCCTGTATCTTGACGGGGATTTGCTGTGTCTGGTATAGGGTATAGAATGCCATTTGGCCATCTGCAAGTTGTGGATGCCATTTAACCAAGGCCGAACCTTCTGGAGGCGTGTGGAAGATAGCCTTGCGCGTAATTGGGTCATGCGTGGTTATTGTGGCTGTAACTCTAGGGAGGCTGTTGGGTATTTGATCTTGGATTGTGGGTGCTGGTGGTGCTGGTGTTGTCGATTTCGAGCTCATATTAAGTTAAGTAAGGATTCTGACTTGTAGGAAAAGGAGGTTTGAGAGTGCCGGGAGACGAATGGAGTGAGATTAAGAGGAATGTCCTGCTTTTATTCTCCTATTTTCCCCTCTTTTCACATAGTGTAATAACTTAAATGAGAATGTAAGACAACTCAGATTCAGGCAATCCATGCACTAAGGCGAGATTTGATGAAACGCATAACAAATGCCCAGGTGAGCACCTGTGAAATCCATGCCAAAAATGACAGCGCTTCACACTAAAAATGGCCGTCTGTTCACCTGTATCTTTGGTTAAGGTCTAAGGAAAAAGAATCTTTACTAAAATCAATGCCTATAATCTTGGAATGGAAGCAAGAACAACTAAACTCTAGTTAGAAAGAATGACAGAGAGAATCCACTAGTATTTTAGCGCGGTTCTATAAATACTAGTATAGTCTGAATTTTGAAATGAGTTGCCAGTGTGAACCTGAGCTTGAAGCTTACTAGTAGTACCTATTGATCTGGCCAGCTTTCTCTAGCTGCCTTAAGCCACTCTCAAATACTTTCAGTACCAAACCAGTCATGCCAGGTCTCAGAATTATCCCAAGGGTCTTCTGGGTCAGTCCAACCTGGGGTACCCCGACTATATCGAAGCTCGCGCCCAATTGGCTGACAAGAATTAAAATCGGTCAACACGGGGAGTCGCTCCTTGTCAAGAAGAATATTATCTGGTTTGATATCGTTGTGTGCAAACCCACAAGAGTGGACATGACAGATAGCAGACTTGAGGGCAGCGAGAAAGGGCTCTTCATCGATCGGAGGACCTTTTTTCGCCTGGATGTATCCCTTTAAATCTTCCCAGTGATGTTCCAATGCAAACCCAGTGATCCATCCTGAGCTAACCCGACACCCATAGTATTTAATAATCCCTGGGTGAGGGTCCTTCGACAAAGCCTGTAACGCATAGATTTCTCCAAGGAGGATAATTGGGACCGCATTAACTGCATCCTGCTCCTTATAGTCATCATAGAAGGAAAGCCATGGACGCTTAAGATAGATATGAGGGGGAATGGGGTCCAGAACCTCAGCCACTGTAATGTCGCTATGGGATGCAAGTGCTGGGTAGATATCTTCATCCGGTACCTTGGTCAGGGCCGCTGAAGTCTCAGGTAGGGAAATCTCTTGTAGTCATTTGGATAATTGACCAAAATAGGCATAATCGTCACCTCACTCTATCTTTCCAAAGGTGGCATAAAGAAATACTTCAGTCTCTGGCTCGAAAGACTCTGCGGTAAAGTCCAAGTTTAGAAGATGGGTAATCTCTGGTGCCATGGCGAGGTGTGAGCGTCACGTTCTAGTGAGGAGTATCTGGGCTTTATAACCGCTACTGTGATTCATATGCACCTAGTACATACACCTTACACATGATCTATATTGGAGGGTAATATAATAGTTAATCAAAATGACAACGCATCTGTTGCACATGTGCGCAAAGATGAGTCCTGGAGATTCCTCCAATGATACTCCAGTCTCTTTGCTGGCCCTTACATATCATTTCTTTTGTGTATGATCTAGACTCCAGACTAGGCCGTTGGATGACCAACATTGAGATTTATTTTAATCATTTGCAAATCGGACAACACATGACATATTCAATCTTGGAAGTAAATTCCCTTCTATATGTAGTACCTATAAAGTTCCAAGACACGGGCTTTTGGTGTTTATATTTAGAGTATATTTGATACGGCCTTTCTTTCTTTCTCAATTTCATGCAGAGCGACAGCTTCCTTCATCTCCTCTACCGGAGCTTCTAGGTCTGTCCACAATCGGAACTGATCGTATGCCTGAGCTAGCAATACCTCAAGGCCGGTCACAGTACTCCATCCTTTATTTCTCTGGGCTGCAGTAAGGAGAGGAGTCTGTCTAGGCTTGTAAGCCATGTCGATGCACAGACCCTCTGTTTTGAAGATGGATGAGAACTGCTCCTCGGTCGTGACATCAGCGGGAACCGTTCCGATGATGATATCAGGTAAACATGGCAAATCCTGGAGAGAGGCAAGGACAATGATATTGAATGTTTCTGCGAAGTTGGCCTTGATTTGCTCAGCATTAGCCTGTGTTCTATTGACAACATAGGTCTGCTGGAGGCCTGAGCGGTACATAGAGTACAGAGCAGCCCGTGATGCTCCACCAGCACCAATGACAAGGCCCACTTTTGGGCTTCGATCTCCCTTCATGCCCTCGGCATAATTCGTGATGATGCTGTATAGTCCAGACCAGTCTGTGTTATCCCCAATGATAACACGCTGGTTGCCGCTTGATCTGACAACAAGTGTATTGATAGCTCCGATAAGCCGTGCAGTATCGGTCTGCTCTTTACAGAACTTGTGAACATGGAGCTTGTGTGGCATAGTCACACTGGCACCACCGAATCGTTCATTGGCGATCAAACCGGCAACATCATCAATGCTCGCTGATTCTTGAATATCATAGTTGTATGGAACATTGAGGTGGCGAAATCCAGCATTGTGAATGGTGGGAGACACACTGAACGATATCCCGCACCCAAATATGTGAAAGTCTTTGGGCGACTGTGCTGCATCTGTTTCAACAACTGTTTGTGTCATGGTGGATTCTTTTTTTTCTTTTGGAAATTGAGAATAATAAGTAATAAGAGAATAGTGATCGGGAAATCCAACATGTATGCCACCCCGGGCAGTTCGATATCTAAATAGTTCTCTTTTGTTCGGTTATGAATTTAACCTATCCCAGCCGAGATCTATACTATGTGTCATACAGAGCAATCTTAGCCCTCTGGAGAATGAAATTTGAACAATTTACCTTGGCAAAGACTCCAGGCTGCATATGTGGGATTGTACTGAACCAACTTCAAAGACCCTACATATCTTCAAATGTTTATAACATTAGGTGTTATTACTGGTCACTTTGATGGATTTACTTATTCTTACTGAGCCTTGATAGTACAATGACTCAATGGCCTCGTGCTTGGTCCATGAATACCTCGAATTCCAAGCTTTCTTTTATAGTCTCTCACTAGGTATCTCTCACTTGCTCTGCATCATTGGCATGATATCAGAAAACTATTCACGAGTGGCTTATGAAAGAAGCACGTGCCTTATTGAAAGCACCTGAGGCAATTGCAACCTTCCAGTTTCAAGTAAAATGTTCGAGTACTCTTCTTCATCACCTTCCCAACATCCTTCTGGAAAACTGAAAGGTAACACTCAACCCATTTCAATCAACAGTTTCCAGCATCTTTTCACTATCGTCCCTCATCTTCTTATCTTCCCGAACCCATATTTCCCTCTTCCGAAATGGAGGCCAAACAAAAGGCCGCAAATGTGCCTGCGCCAGGAGTTGCCCGCGATGATCAGAAAATGGGCCTGATTCTCAAGAAACTCATTGGTAAGAGATATCTGATGATAAAAAGATGCGCTTTCACCAACAGTATGTATCATTGTTAGACCTCGATATCAGCTCTATCCAGGGAACCGAAGCAGAGAATGTGGACCCCAAGACTATCAACGATAGTACTCCTGACAAAAACTCCGATGAAACCTTTGACACCCTTCTTACCAAACTTCAAACTGGCATTGATATCCAGTCTCAGTCTGTCAAAACCGCCGATGCTAAGGCGAAGGCCATTAGTGACGGTATACCCTCTTCGTTCAAGACCATTGAAGATCCCACAAATGCCGTTGAATACGCCAAAGCCAATCTTGGGGATGCTGAGTTTATTCTCACCTTCATTGCTGAGGCTCTTTTCCGTGTGAACAAAACGGTCGCGGACATACCCCGTATCAAGGAGAACCTGGAATTTACCGAGAAAGTTCCCAAGGAGTACCCCGAGAAATACGGCGCGCTCATCCACAGCATTGACCAGCTAAGTGAGGATGTCCATAAGCTGAAGACTCTCTTGGCAGACACTATGACACAATTGATTGGCAACAAGGAAATCCTGATTGCAATGATCAAGAAACACCTGCCATCCTGGGAGGATAAACAGACTTCCCCAGTCAAAGATGCAAAGAGCGCTTTCGCTGCTGAGGATGAAAAGAAAGACTCAATCCAGGGCCCTGCAGTTTCCCCTATCAGGGAAGAATGAAAGGTCTAGCAAAGATGTCACATTCTTTCTAGTATGCATTGATCCAGCAAGCCATGTTCGCACGACCTTCGATTCGCGACTTTGTTTCTTACCTTTTCCTTTTTTTCACTTGCCTGCGTCTTGGTGCATTCAGAGCTGTCTTCGTTGAGATTCATTTTTTTTTCTCTACTGCAGGACTCAGTTTAACACCTGCAAGTTGTGGAGGCTCCTGAACTTGAACAGCGTTCGGTGAAAAAAAAAAAAAAAGGAGGATCCACGTTTCTGCTCTTGACTTTTCACTAGCATTCATCCATGCGTTTCCAATGTGTTCCTTTATTCAAATATTGCTAGTTTTTATCAAATTTGAATATTTTTTTTTTTTTAAAAAAAATCTTACTATGCATTCATGCTCACTAGTATGGTAAACAAAGATGCGCCACGGCCCACGGGTATCGGGTATATTCTATCCGATCGTCCTCGAAGGGCTGGTTTTAGTTTTAATAGTACTACATAGTCTACTTTTAAGGCAATGAACATAGCCCGTCGTTGCAATAGCTTAAATCCGTGGGCTCCGGCGCAAGCGTTTCTACTATACATAGTCGTCGTTCTCTCTCTCTTCAAGTTGCAGTTGTTAAACATTGTGAACACCAGTGGACTATCTCAAATTCACAACCTTTGAATCCTCCCACCAATATTTGAAAATGGCTGAACAACAAAAACCAATGACTCTTCATCTGGTCGGAGTTGGAGTCACCCATTCCATCGCCCCAAAAATGCACAACTATATTGCACAATCTCTTGGTCTCCCTTGGACATTCTATTCAACAGAGTGCGCGACATTACAGGACTTGCTTGAGCTTGGCAAAAACCCCACTACTGCTGGATTGGTGGTTACAATGCCATACAAGAATTCTGTGATGAACCAGTTGGATGAGTTGGATGAACTGGCTATCATCATTGGTGCTTGCAACAATGTCTATTACAAGAATGGCGAGACAAGACGGCTGTGTGGAACGAACACCGACTGGAGAGGAATTAAGGGCAGCCTTTTAGAGAAAGGAAACGAAGCCGAGAGACCCTCCGAGACATCGCCTGCTTCGGCCCTGATTGTCGGTGCTGGTGGTGCAAGCCGTGCAGCCGTTTACGCTCTTACGGCTCATCTCCACTGCCCCAGGATCTACGTTCTGAACCGTGACAATCAGGAAGTTCTCGACCTTATTCGTGACTCAAAACGCCTTCCCCTTGTTCCTGAGATTATCCACGTCAAAACATTGGAGCAAGCCAAAGAGCTAGACATTCCCTACTACATCGTCGGGACAGTGCCGGACTTTGAACCAACAACAGAGTCTGAGCGTACTGTGGCTTCGTTACTGGAGCATTTTCTCTCTCGACCTAACAAAGGTGTTGTCCATGACATGTGCTTCAAGCCACGAAGAACTAGAACTATCAAGTTGGCAGAGAGTTTGGGCTGGCCTTGTGTGGAGGGAACGCATGTTATCGGGTACCAGATCGAGGAGCAATGGCGTCTTTGGGCTGGAGAAGAACTTGTATCTAAGTTGGATCGTGAAGGAGCATGGAATGTCTTGATGCAGGCGGCTGAAGAAAGTACAGCGATTAACTTTTAACTTTTGGTAGTCTCATTTTTGAATAAATCCATATTTGAAGTTCAAAAGTTGAAAGTAGTACTATGATTGGGAATTCAATAGTAGTAATACCAAGTAACTCAACCTTGTTGCCAGTAAAACCTGGATTGTACTAGGAAGATTCTGGACTCGTTCAAAACCTACATGCATCTATGAAATATCAATACTCCAGCATAATAGTAATACCTACGACGTGCTTAATCTGCACTGGCAATTTCTGTACAACATAGCGGATCAAGGAATCTGGGGATACGTGGACATGATGTGGCGACTCTGGCGAGTCTTCGGTTATAGACTTATGCGTGCTTCGTCTCCGCATTTCGCTTTACCCGAAACCCATCAAGACTATAAAGTGAGTTTCTGAATATCATTTCTCGAAAGATCCAAACGGTTTCTCTAAGACTTACAACTTGCATCGAAAGCATCAAGAATGCCAGATTTCCATTCCCTCCCTGCCGGGTCTCGTCCCGCCCACGCCATCCGCAACAATGGACCTGACTCCTTAGTCCTGGAACGGGCTAAGCTCCGCGAACTTGCCGAAGGCTGGCCTTGCTATCGGTGAGTCACACAAAGGCCGACGTAATCCTATTTATATGCTGATCTGTTTAACTAGGGATGCATGTGAATGGGAGAACTTCGAGTCCATATTTCACGACGATGCCCAAGTATACACAACCTGGTCAGGCAAAGTGTCATACAAAGACTTCATCGCAGCTTCCAAGGCCGGTATGGATGAAGGCGCCTTCATCATGCACCGTTGTCATGGCGTCACAAGTGATATTACCCCCGAAGCGACGCGCGCTGTGACCAAGGTGAAGGCTACAATCACCCAGCGCTTCACTATCGACGGGTGCGAAGTTGATGCAGAGGCAGATTGTCGCTTCATTTTCTTTTTTGAGAAGGTTGATGATCGCTGGGGTGCACGATTTGTCCGACACTGGTATGAAAAGGACAAGCTTCTTCCTGTTAATCCTAACAAGATCCCTAAGATCGATGAGGAGAAGCTGTACTCTTACCCTGAGGGGTTCAAATGTCTGGCTTACTGCCAGGAACTGACGATGGGAGTTTCTGTGCTGAAGGATATGCCTGGGCATCGACGACATGTTGGCACTGTAAATGGAGAAAAGCATGACCTTCTCTATCACCAAGCGAAGGATTGGTTGGATGGAAAAGACATCAGTGTTTAAAAATTGACACCTGTATAACTTGAGGAAATGAATATTCATGATTTCAAATACCAAGCAAAAGGTGCGAAGAATAAATTCAAATGTTTAATGGTAAATCTAACGGCAAAGCTCAATGATTTATTGTTCATGATTCAACATTTGAATAAATGAGAGCTTTATTCAGGGTTCAGATCTAGTCTAGCTGCAATCTTTCCTGAAACTTCTTCCAGGCCTGGATTCCCCGAGAGGCATGCTCAACTGGAACATGATCACCCTCCTCTGCCATGGTTCTAGAAAACAACTCCATAGAAACATAGCCCTCATAACCCAATCCCGAGATGACCGCACGAGCAACATCCTCTACAGGAAGGTATGCACCGCGATCCTCCTCATACATGAATGTCCTTGCATTACGGGACCAACTCATCCTAGGAGGCTGGCCATCGACATGGAAAGGATGACCAGTAACCAAAGGTGATTCCATTCGCTCTGCATCGACGACTTGAATATAGAAGACCTTGGCCAGGTCTACCTCCTTCACCAGTTTCTCCAACGATTCTTTCAGATCGGCATCTGCATTAGGTGTTTTACCCGTTGGCGATGCAGGATCCGCCCACACTCGACCCGCGATATTGAAAGTATCCAGACACATACCAAAGTTGGGTCTATCAACCCGCTTTGTGACATCCCAAAGCTTCTCCCATGTATCAATATGGGTGCTCCAGCACAGATTCTCGTATGCAAAGCGAACAGGAGGATTCTCGGCAGCACCCATATCAGCTACCTCCCGAAGATCAGCAACAATGATGTCCAGATCATCCGTCAGCTGCTCTGCTGGTAAGAAGTTGGCAGGAATTTGAATAGTCGTGGTATGGAGTGTCTTGGCCAGACGTAACCAAAACTTCATTTTTTCGATCAATTTCGCATGTTGCTCTCGATCCTTCAGACCGTCATAGAATATGAATGGTTGTAGACCAATGATATCAAGGCCTAGTCCTTCACAAACAGACTGGGCGTGTTCTGCTGCCTTGAGTATATCCTCTGAGCTGGGAGAATCAGAGCCACTTATTTTGCGAGCAGCATATTCGAGATCCTCGTAGAAGATCTCCATGCCTTTGAAGCCGGCGCTTGCCGCTTGTTGGAGCTTATAGTCAAGGTCATGGAGCCACGCTCGGCCCAGAGAGCAGCTCATAATAACAGGTTCGTATTTCATGATGAAAGTGGTGACGGTAGATTTTGGGGAATATTTTCAATCTCAATCTTGATCTTCACTTGAAATAGGTGGTAGATCTGATGGGCATACCAAAATTAATAATTAATAATTGAATCATAGTTTAATGCGGGGGTGGATATACGGCTAAGCTCCTATCCTGATTCCAGACTCCAGATTCCAGATTCCAAGATCCATTCTACTACATGATTACAAACCATCGGTCGATCAGCTCGGCGTGAGGGGTATCATAGTTCGAAAGATTGGCGTCTTTCAATTAGAATACTCAGGAATGCATTTTGTTGATATATCAGAGGAATGACTTCATCCGAAGCTGATCCTATGAACATCTCATAGATGGCTCCACATAGACTGACTGTAGTTCAAATGCTCCAACGCAACTCTCCAAGTATGAATTGTAGATGAAGTATCTTGGATTTCGAGGTTATCAGGAAATCGAGTGAATAATCCCTAATATCTCATCATTTCTCTTCCAATGTTCCATCCTATTACTGTTGACTGAGTATAGTATCGGTTAAGTTCTATGCCGATCACATGACTTACTAGCCACGCTCATTCACGCGTCATGACTATTCGGAATGTACTACGGAGTATGTCAATGTCAATATGAATACACAGTCGTAATGTCAAGTCCACGACCATCCAAGCGGCGACGCATATACCGTGCTTGTGACCAATGCCGACGACGTAAATCAAAGTGTGATGGGGAACAACCGATATGCTCCATCTGCAGCTCCGCAGGCCGAGATTGTACCTATCAAACTGGCGGAGGCCGACGAGGACTTGCCCCTGGATATGTCCGAAGCCTGGAAATAATCCTTGGGCTTGTTTGTCAAAATGTACCCAATACCGAAGCAACAATTCATGGCATCCTGTTTGACCCACCGGGCAAGAACTTTTTTCGGAGCAGGCAGGCAAATAATGCCTTGAACGCCTGGAGGAACTCCAAGTTGTCCAAAAATGTATCTCATCTACTTTCGCCGAATGAGGACATCAATGATGATCTGGATTGGGAACCCTCGGAGGACAAAGACGAAGATGAACGCATGGATGATGAGCCAAATTCTCAACTTGAAGTCATCGAGACTGTTGAAGTCAACGAGACTACACAGTCTGCACTACCTCGGTCAGAGCAAGTACAAGCGCCTATACTTCAACAATCAAATCCGTTCAATATTCAAGTTCCAGAAAACACACCTAACTTGCTGGATTTTTACTTCACATACACGCATTGTTGGTTCCCAATTGTTGAACGTCGGGAACTACTTCGGGCTATGCACCTTGGCCCTGGGCTTGCAGCATCAGGAACGTCTTCGTCGCTGATATTGTTGTGGTCTGTCATTTTATACTCATCAATTATGAGCAATACGAACATTCCAGGTCTGCCGACTCCCGCAATAATTCAACTTTCCATCCAGCAACAAGCACTAGCCAATTGGGAAAGCCTCGAGCTAGGCCACATTCAAGCAATGCTAATGCTTACTTTAATACATATTGCCGCCAGCAATGTTTGTCTTGCGTGGAGCTTGGTCGGGCAAGCAACGAGAATGCTCTTAACATTTTCCCCGGCTGCAAAGAAGCATCGATTCACCCATACATTCAACGGAGCCGTCTTCCTAGAAAATATCCTGTCCGCCACGCTTGGAAAGACACCTGGTCTCCCACAACATGAGCAATCAAAACCAGGGCCAGTCGAGGAGGATGATGTAGATGAATGGGATGTGTGGACCGCATCTCGTGCCAGTGTCAATGGCAATCGCAAAGCTCCGGCCCCTTTGCGGGCGCTGAGCACCTTCAACGCTATCCGAAACATCATGACCTATCTCTCTCAAATTTTATCTCAGCCTGTTGATTTGATTAATACAAACGAGCTGCTTCATCAAATTACAATGCAAACCCGACCCTACCGCAAACAGGATGATGCCCATCCACCTGCCTCAATTCTACATCTAACTTCCACATTCACAATTCTTACATTGATTCGCAGAGGCGAACAAATTTTACCTGATATCGTGGAGCTGTGCATCAATAATGTTCATCTTCTTCTTGATTTACTGGATCATTACCAAGAGATCATTGGTGAAGTACGCCCATCTCCACTGGTTTACTGCTTTGCTCTCCAATGCCAATATTGTGTCAGTCTCGTCGCCGCAGCGTCAGACAGCAACGACAGAGAAAATATTAACAGACGACTTATGAACTTTTTGCAACCTATTCAATCACCCAGTGTTCAAACAAGCTCCAATCATCTTCATCAGCCCCTCGTCTCGAATTACGTAGGCCATGAAGATTTGCTTCACGGAGTGGCCGCGAATACTTCACAACCTCTTGTCAATGAATCGATCAATCTACAGGTGACTGATAATTCAGCCATGGAAATATCAATGCCTCCCCCAAGTCAGGATATCAGTACTGTTCCTGTCGGATTAGAGGGATACGATGCCTTATTTGAGGAAATAGTCTCATCCTTTCCCTCAAGCAGGCAAGTGCTTATTCTCCTTCCCTGATTTTCATGGATGTTCTCAGCTAACTATAATTTAGACAAGAGCCTGTATTTGCACATAATCTTGGTTTCTATGATGGAGACCTGGACACAGACTTCCTAGCCCATCTCCAACACCCACCGGCAAGCTGATGCTGAAGATAGCTGGCATTGGCATCTTGAGAAACCATTATGGGGCGATAGAAATGAGCATTCCTTAAAGAACTACAGCGATTTAAGACTATTCTCAACATTATCGGTTAATTTCATTACCGATCCCAACTCGGCCAAGGAATCGGACCTCGGCATGTATATAGAACTATATAAGCCTTCACAAGATACCCAATATTCGAATACTTCAGACCATTAGAAGCATCATCAAATTCTCAAGATTATTGATCCAATCGACCTCAAGCTCAGCAGCAATCCAAGTTACTTGTTCAAAATGCCTACAATCCTCCTAATCAATGGACCCAACCTCAACCTCCTGGGAACCCGCGAACCCCATCTCTATGGCTCAACAACCCTAGCCGACGTCGAAGCCAACGCTAAAAGCCTTGCAAAAACCAAGAACATCACACTAGAGGCCTTCCAATCCAACCACGAAGGCGCAATCGTCGACCGAATCCAAGAAGCTCGTGGGAATGTCGATGCGGTACTCATCAATCCCGGTGCACTGACACATACTAGTGTTGCAGTCCGCGATGCATTGCTGGGTGTTTCAATTCCGTTTATTGAGATCCATATTACCAATATCCATACTCGGGAGGCATTTAGACACCACAGCTATTTCTCCGATAAGGCAATTGCTTGTATCATTGGGTTGGGGGTTTATGGCTATGAAGCTGGAATTGAGTATGCGGCTCGCCACTTGGTTCAAAATGTTTGATGGACTGGGTTGATGAATCGGGGGAGCGATTATTAGTTGAGAACGAAGCTTGCAGTGTACCTAGACAAAATATTATTAAATCGCATATGAATGGATACTAGTGCCTATTTCCAGAGGCTCTATGTGATGGATACGAGTATGGACCATGTTATGTAAACTGGAGACGAATTAATTATCACTGAGTAAAAATAGCTCTCAGTGGCTGATCATATTCGTTTCAAATAGAAAAACAGGCTTCTAATCAAACACTCGGAAAAATCATACAATTATACATGGGTGAAATCCTCCTTCATCCCTTAGCGTCGTCGGTGCTATCAGCATTGAAATCACTGGCACTACCCCGACGAAGGGAGAGGATATTCTTATTCGCCAACTCATCAGAGGCTCGTTCAGAAGCTCGCTCAGCAGCACGCCATCGGTTAACTGCCTGTTCGACATCTTCGAACATCTCCCGCGAGTCCTGAATGATACCACCCTCATCACCGTCAGCAGACTGGGTGCTCTCGCGAGAACCACGATCATTGATCATCGGGAAATGAGGACCAAAGTCACGCTCAGGAACAGGGTTGAACATTATCGCATTGGCAAACATGCGAATGAACTCTTTCTCTAGTTGAGACGAGTTCACAATACCCTTGGAGAGGAACAAGGTCTTCCGTTTTGGGCAGCATGAGAGCATTGTTCTTAGATGAAGCTCCAACACCAGGTGCTGGAGATTCACCATCGGCTGCAGGAGTGCTGACCGCTTCTGTCGCACTGGCCACAGCCTTGCTACCTTGATGGACGGCAGACTTAATCGACTTCAGGTCCTGGGGGCGATAGATCAAGTCATGGTAGCCTGGAGCATCACGCTCACCCAGAGGCTTGGCGAAAATAGAAGCTAGCTTATGTGTAGTCACATCGTTCAAGATGGGCGCCGCTGTCCGATGGAAACCACGGGCACACATGACGTAGCGAGAATTATCGAATTTCGGGGCCTCTGGGGCAACGGACTCCTGTTCTGCTGATTCACTAGGCCCTCGCTTACGCTTTGAGCGGTTCTTAGGAGTTTGGTCATCAGGACTAGACGCCGCACCCTTCGGACGCCTTGACGTGCGGCTATCATCAGCATGGGCTGGAGATGTGTCGCGAGAAGCTGATGCTGCTGATCTGGCTTGACTTCGTGTCGAGGCGGAGCTTTCTGCACGCTTCCGGCGACTTGTGGTAGATTTTTCGATTTTGATATTTGCTGGAGGCTTGGTATCTGGTGCAGTCTGTCCTCGTCGGGTAGTCTTTTTCTCCCGGGGAGGTGAGATATTCATAGCATCAGGAGAAGGGGCTCTCTCACTGATTGGACTAACATCCTCGGGCAAAGGCCGAGGTGGCGATGCTGGAGACTCTGGAATACTGAGCCGGGGAGTTCGCTTCCATGGCGTTGAAGAACCCGGTGTATCAATGGAAAGGCGGGGCCGTGAACTTCGTGATTCAGAGAATGAGGAGATGACAACACTAGGTGTTTGTGACAGACGCGGACGACCAATAGGGACAGGCGTTTGCACTGTAGATGGGGCTGGGGCGGGGGTACTGGGGAGTGTAGAGGGGATAGAGGGTTTATGTTGAGATTGGGGGATTTGAGCGGGAGGTGGTAGGGGGTGTTTGGCAGCTGTGGCGCTGACCTGAGGGGTAGTAGTACTGGGGGAAACAGCGGAATATGGAGAATGAGGTGGCGCATCAAGCTGCCACTGCTGGAAGGTTGGCTTAGGAGCCGGGGTGACCGCCGGAGCACCTGGCTTCCCCACAGCTGGAGAAATTGCGGGGATGGGGCGTGGTGCAACCTGGGATGGATGTGTAGGTCGAGACGCAGTAGAAGGGGTCGCCGGAGCTACTGGCACTCGAGGAGCGAGTGGAGGTGGAGCCGGTGCCTGTAACGCAGGAGCAGTCTGGCCAACCAGTGATGGCGGTTGTGGTTGCGACACTGGCACTGGCGGTTGCCCGGCGGGTTGAATAGGTGTCGGTTGTGCTTCTTTCGTAGTCTGTGTAGATACGGGTGGTTTGGTCGTCGATATCTCCGTTGGTTTCACTGGTAGCATCGCAGCTGGTGGAATTGATATTGGACCGGGATGGCTGCGTCGCGGGGTTTCGACCTTGACACCCACTTCTGTCGGCTCAGTTTGCTCGGGTTTCTTCACTGGTAGAGCAGGAGAAGGCGCTTCTGCTGTGACCGGAGCCTCTGGTTTCTGTTGAAGCTGCTGCAACTGCTCGTTCATCAAATCGTACCTTCGTTCATCCTCCTTAATCTCTTTCGTCACCAGAGCTCTGTATCGCGCATACAGGTGTGACACCAGTTCCGGTACCCGGACGGCATGGCTGACTCCAGTTGATCCTCCATCTGGACGTGGACTAGAGATCTTGCGCTTCTTTGAATTACTGGGACTGTCGTGGGGGAGACCATTGGGACCTTGATTCGCATCCCGATCATACCCGTCCCGCAATAATGTTGCATACAAGTCCTCCAAAGCCTCGGGGCTCAGTCGATCGGCGCTGAAATCGGCATTGTCGCGAACTAGTTGATTGTTGCTGAGGATGCTCGAGATGGACGCAAAACTGGCCGGGCGCACATCGGAGGTCGCCAGAGACTGGAAGAAGAGCAAAGATTCAAAAGGAGTGTAGGCCGACAGAGGAGGCATTCCCCATTGCCCGCCCGGGTGGCCGTTGGAGAGAAGGGATTCAGGGATGGGGGCCACGATGGTTGGTGGAGAGAGACACTTCCCCAAGGGTGGTTCTGGCGCGCGAAGATTTTCGATCGGGCTTGGCTGGAAACGGAGTTGGTCGGTCGCGGTTAGGAGTTGGCTGGAGCGGGTATGGAGGAGATTTTGGTCGATGGCACGCGACAAGGAATTAAGGGCAGATTTTCCATAAAGGCCACCAGACCAAGGAGCAGAGATGCGGAGATAAGACCTGAAGAGGGAATAGGGTAGATTGATTAATGGTCTTCCAAGGTTGATGGCATCACGACGAGACCGTGGACAGGTTGCAGGATCGGGATTACCTGTAATTTACAGTATTGTGTATTGTGATCACATGATTATGTTGCTAGAGTCACACATTCTTGGATCACATGACCCATGCTGACTACACCTTCCGAGATTCAATGGATGAAGTATGACGCCCTCTCTGTTTGTATACATCGCATCTACTTCATCCACTTTACCTGGGCAGTTGTTGTACTGTGACCTAATGGAGTACAAGTCAAATTGTCAACCGATCACGATCTTACCTCCGCCCTATCCGATTCCTTCTACATGTATATGTATCCTGCCATCTATGGAGTCCCGTATTTCGTACATCCATGAATCCACCATCTTACTACGGAGTACTAAATTTATACCTAGAACAGTAATGAGGCAAAACTCGATCCCAATAATAATTTCAGCCCCAAGTCTTCCCCTTTTTTATGATGATTTCTGCCAAAGTATGGAGTACATATCCATCTCTTCCTGAAACTACTCCGTACATGGATTAGACTCCCCCTTGACAGATTATCGAAACCAACCTTCTTCCCCCTTTTTTTTCCATCAAGCCCACTTAAGTGGGACCCCCATTTTATAGAAGCAAGCCCCTGAAAGGAACATAAGGTCACAAGTATCAGTATCATACAGCGTATGAATATAAGCAATGTAATATTTCCAAGTCCCTAGGGGGAAATCAATACTCTGTTTGGAGTGATATTCGGTGATAATGTAGCAAAAATGTCGATATCACATACTCCTATTTCTTTCCATGACGTGAAGAGCCCCCCCCCCCCCCCCCTTGTACCTGAGTTATACATGGTATTACCATGACCGAGCTTCCCCTTGCCGGAACCACTTTGGTGCGATGTTATTATGTACGATGAATCTCAATCATTATTACACTCACTAGTGTGGGCTACGATCGTCTTTCTAGCTTTTTTCATTTTATTTTTTTCCTCTTCCTCCTCCTCTCCTCTTCCCTCCTTTTCAATATCCTCAAGCTCGTACCTTAAACTCCTAAACCCGCAGACTCAGTCCGTGCTTCAACTGATATCCATATATCTCCGGTAAGAGAGATCCCGCCCCTTTCACGTCCGTGACAACCCCCCTCCCGTTCCTTAGGGGGACTTCTTATCAGGCTTCCCGAAGTATACAAAAACCACTTCCTCCCAACTGACAACCCCTTATAGCAAACCTCGATCGTCGATCACTGTAAGAATCTTCCGGTGACTCTTGGCTGGTCCTGGTCCCCACGATCTACCCGCATACTACATCCCTTGTGCCATTCCTAATTTCTGGCGTGCCGCCCCGCCCGAGTCGCCCATACCCCACGAACAAAGAGGACATACTCTTGTTCCAACGTCGCCGCTTGAAAGAATCCAAAACTATAAGCTTCAAAGCCAACATGTCCGACACAGAGCAAGAGTGGAAGCCCAAGGGTCGACCCCAGTCGTGCGTATTCTCCAACTTGCTCCAAACGAAACCACCTCCTTTATATATGGCTGATCAAGACATGGCAGGACCATGGCACAGGCTTTCTCGAGCGCGCTGGATAGCGCTTTCATGCTGGACAGCGACGTGAACCACCTTTCTCAGACCATCGATCAGAAGTATGTATTCGTCCTAATAAACAAACATACGTCGAACTCCATATTTGCGAGCCGAACCTCGAATTTAACCCCGACAATATTTTGTTAAATAAGAATGGAATAACTAATCAAAATATACAAACAGGAAACAACAGATGATAATTCAAAGCCGAGAGCTCGAGGCCTTGCAACAGCGCATTCGCGAGGCCGAAGAGCGCCTGAAACGCCAGGCCGTCACCAACGGCGCACCACAGTCCACTCGAGGAGGACAGGCCCAGACAGCCGGTAAGGATGAGTCGTCTTGATCATCCCCCTGCCACTTTGTATTTCATTCAACAAACAAAGCTGCTGGTTCCATTTTATTCTGTTCTCTGGAGAAAGATAGCCGACAAGGAAGGCTGATGCGAACCACGTAGTTCCGTGCCAGGATTCCGAATCCCACTCTATCGATATTCACTTGCACCCGCAACAGGTTTCGCAAGAACCAACGCAGGAGGTGCAGTAGGGATTGGTAATATTGTGATGGTGCTCCGTGCGATTCGCTCTCTTCTTTCTTTGCTCTTGATCACCAGCACTACGGAAACAACGGGAGACTGAACTTTGCGAGTTTATCTTTATTGTTTGTTTATCCTTTATTCTTCGCTCTTTTGGCTCCCCTTTCTTCAATTCTGCTTTTTTTTGTTCTTGTTATACCTCTCCGAATGGACCAAGCCAGGGCCATGGTTCGGATACAATCTCCGTCCATTATCAAAATGGTTGGTTTCTGCTTGGTTCAGATCGGTCCTACCACGCCCTGGTTGGCGCGCTTCCTTTTTGTCATTTGCAGTCTCGTTCATTCTCGATTCTGTGTCTTCCTGTCTATTATTTTTGTTTTGCATATCATTTAAAGCAACCCCATCACCATTTGTATCTATCTGGGCCCCCACCGGTCTGGAGCCCCTCGTTAGCACTGCTACGGCGTAATTTGAGTTTTTTTTTTTTTTCGTCATTTTGTTCTTTTTCTTTACGACTCAAGCCTAGAGCTGTATGCCATTCTTTCAGTGAAGTTGATGAGTCGAACACCGAAGTATTCCGGGGTCAACCCCACACTTCCGAGGTTATATTAGAGCAAAACATACTGACCCCAATATCTTTTGGGGCCATTATTGACCCCTTGCATGAAAAAGGCAGCTACTTCGAGTGGATCTCGGATGCGCCGAAGAATATAACTTTGGAAATCAAAATATGATATGGTCGTGCAGGTTGATACACAGCCCTCCAGGGCTGAAGGTCTACATAGTCCCAGTTGCGGCATTGCATATCTGCTCGGGTTACTCCGTACTCCGCAATGAGTATTGAAGACATCAATGGATACATTCAGTTGCCATATCTAGTAATTCATCTTTACGGGTATTACAATTTCATGGCACTGCACGTTTCGTCTCTTGTTTCATGGTGTTTCATCTTGTGCCTTGCTACTCGTCTCAAGTTGCTGACCCCCGATGAAACACTTACAGCCGATGTCAGATAAGCCGAGTGGTTTCAATAAATTGGGCATTTAGCCCGGCTACACTCATCCGGATAGCTCCTTTGGCATGGTCCCATACCTATTAGAGGGATGAAAATTGGAATCTTCCCAGGTTAGAGCAATGAGGTAAAAAAATGTGTATTGTGCAGGTTCACAAATAATGGAAACAAATCGAAAAATGAAAGTGCCAGAGAATCCAATGGGATATCCCCTTTCTACTTTCACCAAACGCTACCGTTCATGCGGGATGACGCTATATCTAACCACATCCTCCCCACAAATCTCAAGGGTTATTTTACATTTACAAAGCATCGGTCAGAGCCTTGTTCATCTTGGCAATCTTGGAAGAGACGCTCAGGTCGATGGTGCGGTCACCGATCTCGACAATGAGGCCACCAACAAGGTCGGGGTTAACCTAAGAATCTTAGTTGCTTATTCTACCAGAAAGGACATACTCTGTTGACAGTACTAACCTTGGTGACAACCTTGAGCTTCTTGCCCTGGCTGAACTCGGACTTGGAAACGGCCTTCTCCAGACGGGAGATGGTCTTGGCATCGAGGTCCTACGTGGTCAATCGACATTAGTTCATTTAAACCAAAACCGGGATTGCATCCCAACAAAAAAACGGCAAGCACAACATACCTGAGCGCTGGTGATGTTCAGCTCGACCTCGCCGCGGTAAGCACCCATCAGGGTAGCGAACTTCTCGCAAACACCCTCAAGGGAACCGAGACGGTTGTTCTCGGCAAGGGTCTCGAGGAAGTTCTTCATGATATCGGCCTTGTCGGCACCGGCAACCTTCTGGAGCTCCTGGACGATCTGCTGCTTGTCGGCGTTGGAGAGAGTGGGGGCACCGAGGATGGTACCCAGCTTCTTGTCGGCCTTCAGGGTCTGGCCGAGGGCAGCGATAGCCTTGGCGGTCTGGTCAAGGGCAGCAGACTTGCTGGAAGCAGTGAACTGTAGGGAAGGAACAGAAAGCAATTAGACAATCGTCGTATAAAAAAGCATACACGGCATATATGCATATATGTTCCATCGTGAAAGCTTCCATTTTCGATATTGAAAACAGAGGGGGTCAACGGGAGGGGCGGCAGTGATCGCGCAGTCGCGAGGAAAAACATATATCGTGCAAGCCGGATCATGGGATAAATCGAGAGCATACCAGAGCAGTGGCGTAGGTGCCGTCAACACCGAACAGGGTAACAGGAGGGCGGACTTCCTGGGCCGGGGTGGCATAGGTGCGCAGACCCATGACGGCGGAGCGAGGCGCGGAGATCTGCTGGGCGGCACGGAGGCCGGAGCGGGCGACACGAGCGGACATCATCGTGAATTGATTGTGAGGAGAGCCTCGGAGGAGGGAGGTGACCAGGAGAGTTGAGATGGGGGTAGATGCGAGCGGCGGTCGGGTGCGTCGTGAAGGTTGAGTTGAAGGTCCGACTTCTTCCCGTATCACGTGGTGCTTGCTGAGGTAAGCGGCCCGATTTTCGCTGTTATCCGAACGGCAGATCAGACTAAGGCTCATATTTATCAGATTCATTTCTCCTTTTTCACCAGAAAGAGCTCGGAATATGAATGATAAAAGTAACGGAATTATAAAGGGTTGATCTCCAAAGATGCGGTCCTCACATTACCTGGTGTATAGTAATGCTACTATCCCAAGTCATTTTGTGCTAGTAGTCCTACCAACCCGAAGTTGAAAGCCATGGATATACTACCTCGCACAATACCAATTTAAACCGAAAGATATGCCATTATTTTAATAACTTCATAAGAGAAAAAAAGGAATACACAATCGACATGACAATATCTCGGTGCTTAATTGAAATGCCAAGATAAGTGAGCCGGGGATAAGTACATCAACTGGGTAATGTATGCTTCACGCCCAAAACGCCATAGAGACTCCTGCCTGCCTTCTCTCCACCAGAAACCCTGGTCAACAGGATAAGGTTAAATGCAAAGACGATCCTCATGCAGAAAAAAAGAAAGACCATGATTCCCGTCATACTGAAACATCGCGAGACAAGCACTCAGTCGCTACGCAACATGCTGTCCACCAAGTCGCCCAGTGGCCCCCAGTAATCCTTCCCGCTAGCCAATTTGTGTTCGTCGATAAATAAGACGTAGTGCTTGAAGCTAGTGTTAAGGTGAGGCTCAAGGCCAAGGTGCACCACTACTGGGTAATGGTGGCAGTAGACATGGGCGTATACTCGGTACAGGCGCTTGAAGATCTGACGGAGAAGACTAGGGAAGCCTTTAGGGAAAGGCATGCCTGTGATGCCATATTCAATGAGCAATGTATCTTGAGAGGGATGTGTTTATATTAGACGTACCAATTCGGCTGGGGAACATCTGCTCGTTGTCAATGTTGCCTTGCACCCAGGTCAACAAGTGCTCAATGTACTCTGGGGCAGACATCTTGGTGGGCCGCTTGAAGTGCTCTGAGTCCTGCCAGAGATATTCAAATTCATCGGTAGCCTTCATCTCGGGGCATGTCTGCGGTGAACAGAATTCGGTTAAAGATCCGTAGAGAAGGTTGATCTGGTTGTAGAAGTCGACGACTGGAATTCGAGGGTGCTGTATTAGCATGAGTGTATACCAAAGCGGGATAAAGATTTGACAGACCGTTGACGGCGAGCCATTCATTCAAATCTTCGCCCTCGGGGAGCTTCACAGCCTTGCGGAGGCTGCCGCTTCCTAGAGTGGCTTCGGCGAACTGTCTCAGCTGGTAGCTGTTGGTGCCCTTGGCGGCGGATCGTGGCTTGAAGGGGGCTCTCGTCCGCGCATTACTAGGAGGAGTCAGTCCAAAGCAACCTTGTTTAAGTGCGCGCACAGCAGGCGAAAGATAAGAAGGAGGTTCTAGAGCGGGAACATGAGAGGTACGGGTAGTCTGATAGAATGAGGGGCTCAAGCTTAAAGAGGGGGAGCGCTTCGGGGAAGATTGAGAAGCGCGAGAGGCTGTAGAGGAATGAACAGGGGTTGGAGGAGCGGGGACAGACATGGTGGTGATTAATGAAGACATCTTCAATGAGGGCAGAATCCCTTGGTGTTATTTGCGGCGGGGTGCTGATCGCGACGTGCCTACATTCCAACGTCAAAATAGTCAGCTGGTGTTCCTAGGGAATGAGATAAGACATGCCTCACCTAGTACGTCAGGTTAATGAACTTTGAAGAATTTGCGACACCAAAATTTTGAGACAACGATCGACGATGCGTGAGTAAGAGCAAGGGAAAGAAGTGCTATCGGGCTCAGCTGCCAAGTGCTCCACCACTTTGATGATAGTGGATTGGGAGATCCATGGATGCGCCGCGCGTTGCCCCAGTTACCCATGTAAACTACGTCAGGTTAATTTCTACTATAGAGATGATAGAATTGATTAATATTTGAGAAGAGCAAATTTAGTTGCGCGATAATTGTGATATGAGATTTAGGGGATTTTTATTTATTTAGTTTTAGGATGAGTAAATGGCTCTGGGCATTAAGAGTAGGTATGTACACCCGACGGATATGGGTGTATGACCTCCAAGGACTGTGTGGAGCACTGATCGAATAGTAAAAGACACTGCACACCATAAAAGATTAAAAGAAAGCCATTAAGCTATATTAACATTTTACGTGATACAAAAAATATATGCTTACATAGGACTCTATTTGTAGAAAGCTTCAGAAGTTGTAAGTAACCTTGGTAGAATTCTACTTCTAGTAGTAGACTAGTAGTATTACTCTCATAATTATCTCGCCTTTGAGTCCCTCTTATATTGATTATCCCAGTGAGCGCATTAAAAAGAGGTCCTTGAATTGAACCTATTTAAACGATCTATATCTTCTTTTCTTTCTCCAAATGTACCTTCGACCCCAGCTCGCGCGGCATCTCCCCATTCTCCGCCATCTCATTCAACACCCGCTCAGCAACCTTCATTGCATCCACACCAGCAGGAGCACCACAATAAACTGTCGCATGAAGAATAGCCTCCCGAATCTCAAGCTCACTCAGCCCATTATTCCGAGCACCCCGAATATGAACCGCCAGTTCCGGTCCGCGATTCAGAGCCATGAGCATGCCGATATTGAGCAGGCTGCGATCCCGTCGTTCTAATCCCGGGCGTGTCCAGATATTTCCCCACGCCCACTCTGTGATGAGTTCTTGGCCCGGTCGAGAGAATTCAGTCGACCCATTTTCGAGTGCTTTATTGACGTAGGATTCACCGACAACGGCCCGGCGGACTTTGAGGCCTTCTTCGAAAAGTTGATGGTGCAGGTCATTGAACTTGGGATCGGTGGACATTGTGGAAATGCTAATGAAGGGTTTCTTGATGGAAGAGTTGCTAGAGAGAAGCTCTAAAAATTGAGTGTTGTGAACTGGAGATAAATATGAATCGAAAGAAGGCACGCATCGACTGTCTACTTTCGATTGGACGCATAGCCGAGGTTATGCATGTCGTCGCCCATGACCTCATGGTTGGCGGGCACATATGGACACGGACAATGTTCCTTAACCCCACATTGATTTTAAACTAATTATTTAATAGGAAGAGTCAAAGAAACGGTTGGAAAAGCAGAAAGACCATTGATTATATTCCTCCCCGGATTCCACAAGCAGGAGAAGATACTCTCAATTATCAGCTCTTCCCAGACGATACGGATGTTGAATCAAATACTATCTCCAGAATAGAGATTCCAAGCTTGAACTTGAAAGAAAGATATAATCACAAGAGTTCTATTCCTCTCTTTGCTTCTTCTCCCCTTGCCAGTCTTCAATGCCACCAAGATAGCGAAAGACAACCCTCGAATCTAAATCCTTACATCGCACATCCTCACTGGCTCCTTCATAGATCCTCAAGCCCGCTCCACCAAGTACATTCACAGCTTCAACCTTATGAGCCATTTCAACCGCCAACGAAAAATCCTTCTTCATCAATTGGACCTTGAACCCGTTTCGATATCCGTTTGAAGAAGGTGCCTCAGGATAGACACCAGGGACAGGACAAAACCGATCACAGACGGTATTCTGAGCCGTGCCAGCCGCATAAACTTTAGCTAGGACACGGGGATCCAGCCCGGAACGCATACCCATATCCATTGCTTCGGAGCAGGCAATAGCTATGATACCGGAAAGATAATTGTTGGATAGTTTGGCGGCGAGTCCAAGAGATGGACCTCCACATGGAATGACTTGAGATCCCATTAGAGATAGTAACTCTACCAGCATCGGGAGCTCTGGATTACTTTCTTCGTCACAACCCAGATAAAAGGCGATTTTTCCTCTTTTAGCCCCAATAACCCCACCGCTGACTGGTGCGTCGTAGAATGATGTTGACGGGGAGAGGTTTGCTATATGATCTCTCACCTCGAGGAAACTGGCTGTGTCGATGGTCGAGCAATCAATGAGCAGTTTTCCTGCGATATCGCCAGAGCAAATTCCATCTTCTGAGAGGTATACTTTCTTAACATGATGTCCTTCAGGTAGCATTGTAAAGATTATTTCCTAGAGAAGTCAGAAATTGTCGAGTTTTAGATACTCTTGGACCCATGTTGACCTACTGAACGATCTGCGACATCTTTTGCATTCACGCATTGAATGACCTTATGGGGGCATTTTTCAAATAATTCTGTCATAAGTGGTGTGACAATATCAAAGACGTAGATTCTCGTGGTTGCTGGTAGCTTCTCTGTTAGATGAACTACCATCCACATCCCCATGGCCCCTAGACCAATAAAACCAACTGAGTCTATATGACCGAGACTCATTTGGTATAGTTTAGTCTTCAAAAGAATAGAAAAGACAGGTATCAGCTATTGACTAGTATTATTTCCCTAAATTGAAGTGCTTCTGAAGATGATGTCAGGTCGGGGATTCGGTGCATGGCTTACACCTGCAAGGATGTTGCCACAGCCTGAGAGAGGGGTAGGTCAATGCTCTTGGTTTTCCCGTCCCAAGACCCTGTGATTACACCGGACTGTCATTCAAGGTACATTTGTCACAAATTCTGTCATAGAAAAAGCAACATGTCAGACGAATGGTAGTGTGTGGGGCAGGAAACAGTAGTGGTGGGCAACTTGACCGCGGGGACAACATGAGAGACGAGTAGCAGGTACCATTGAATCAAGTATTAATAGCTGATAGGCAACCCTGAGGTGCTTAGAGCTATAAATAGTGATAATTCAAGAACTGAAATGACGACAAAAACCCCCACGTCATGGGCTTGAGTCTTGAGTCTATTTCCCCGCAACACTATCAAGGTCTAACGTGGAGATCCACAGATCTAGAAATAAGAAGAAACACGCAGTAAAATTGGATCAGACTAAACATCGCATTGGAAATATTGAGATGCAATCCACGAAACCTGAAGTTTATGTAAAAGTCTCTGCTCTCCAGTCAGGTCATCTCACCTTACCAGATCGATTCTTCATACATCCAGCCTCCGAAACAGCAAGAAGGACAGTCCCATCATTATCCTTCCTTATCGGACATACCAACCCCCAAACTAAGAGAATAACGAGACTTCTCTTCGATCTAGGACTACGTAACCCAACTAGCAAATATCCTATTCCCATCCAAAACCACATACAAAATCGTCAACCCTTGACCACCGAGCCAGATGTGGTACAAAGTCTAAGCAAAAGAGGTCTCTCACCATCGGATATTGACTATGTTATTTTCTCACATGTATGAGTCTCTGATCTTTCCCATGTGCAATGTTCGATATCGACTAAAATTCTAAGATACACTGGGACCATATCGGAGACCCCAAAGTATTCAATACAAGTACCTTTGTGGTTGGACCTGGAACCTTCAGTCTACTAGATGGAAGTGAATCCCGATTATGAGGAGGACATTCATTCTTCGAATCGGATCTTTTACCCCCCCCAAAGAAGATTCTACGATCCCAAGTTTCTGCCCAGCGTGGAAGGAGTATGGTATTCTCCCTCGAACGATAGACGTCTTCCATGACGGGAGTGTCTTGTTAGTTGATGCTCCTGGTCATCTTCCCGGACATTTGAATATCCTTGCACGCGTTGAGGAGAGTAAATTCGTTTATCTTGCTGGGGATGCATGTCATGATCGGCATCTTTTGAGAGGAGAGAAAAGTATATCGGAATGACTCGATGAGGGAGGTCATGTATGCTGTATTCATATTGACAAGGCAGAAGCTGAGAAGACTATTGATATGGTAAGGGGTCTGGAAGAACAGGGAGTTGAGGTTATATTTGCGCATGATATTGAATGGGAAGAGAACCCCGAGAATCGAGAAAGATTCTTTCACTGATCAAATGAAGGTCAGGATGATGTTCACCGATATGAATTATCGGCTGCTTTCTCATGCTAATTGATTTTACGACTATCATAGCCCTGGAGGTAATATGTGGAGTAGTTGACAATGAAGACAAATTACTAGTATGTATTTAAGATCTCAACGGAGCTGATAGCCTTTGACAACAGTAGGCTAAATCAGTAAGACCGTTTTCAAAATTTGACATAGACCAGACAGTAGTGCCAGGCCACAGCTTATGATAACAGAATGCAACAAACATATCCACAAGTGGATGAGGGGGAATATCTAGATCAAGTAAAAGAAGCTGCCCGCACGGCAGGCACCAAAGAGCCAGAGACATCACCTTAGATGGCGTGTCCTTGGTTTTCTTCTGGAAGGTGTTCACGGACAGTTTCACCATATACTGTCAACGGGATGGAAATTTCAAAAGATTCACAACCCAAATGCTCCATTGCAGAAAACGTTTTGCCTCGGTCATCAGAAGAGACGACCTCGAGTAATTTCGTTCCGGAGGGTCCTTGGGCATCCTCATTTAAGGCATTTGGTGTGACAAACTCAAAGCGCAGGTCCCAATCGAGTGTCACTCCACTGGTGAGAATCGTCGGGGTGGCAGCAACAGGGATAGCAGGGCTGAAAACCACACGAGTGGCATGAAGGGTATTCTCAAACAAGGACGCATGAATGCGACGCGTAGTTCTGTGTATACTTGCATTTGATCGGACAGCCAAAGTAGGGACTACTTTCTCTGATGTCTCCAACGATGCACGCACAGCATAACATGGGATGGCAGCGTTGCCGAAATCCACAGTTGCAATAATGGTTTCACCAAGTCTGTGTACAGGTCGATTCAAGACGACCACCGCAATACGTCGACCGTCGCGAGCAATCTCAAATCTGTTTGGACTTCGTCGAGATTGAACAGCTTGATTGCTGCGAAGAATAGCCATATCAATAATGTCCTTACAGGACAACACTTGGCGAGGTCCGTCATAGCTTGTCCGTCTCTCTGGAAGAGTACCAGGTGGGAAAAGAGAGTTTGAGCGTGCACGCTGTTCAAGGATCTCATCCACATAAGAGAGAAAGTCACCAGCCGAGTTCCATAACCCACTCAAACTTTGGGGTTGAGAAATAACAGGCGTATCAGGCCCAACCTTTTGGACCTTCGCTTCATCACGTAAAAGCACATAGGGAGACATCAAGTCATGCCCTAATACATCTCCTTTATCTAATGAAAAGTTAGAAGGATCAGATTAGAATGAAACAGACTTTCTTCTTACCATTCACTCCGCTGTACACACGAAAAGGAATATTGATGCGGTTGACTCGCTGGACATCGTTGGGGCCACTAGGCCGCTGTGTACCGATGACTAGATTATAAGAAATCTTAATGGCTTTCCCTTTATGACTCGCCGGGAGTCCCCTGGGAAGCGAAAAGGAGAAGGAATAGGACTGCTCTTCCCCAGGCGCCAGTCGTAGATCGACGAACAGAAGGGACTGAGGGGTGGATAGCAATGGGATCGATCGTGACGAGGCAACGCCACGCATTTCACGAAGACCATCAAGCTCATTGGTTGACAGGAAGCCATTTATGGATTCTTCAATGGCATTCCACTTCAGCGCACCCCAAAAGCCACCCCCTTTACGCGACCGATCAGAGTTAGAAGAGTTCGATCGTCCAGGAAGTCCACCTGTGCCCGCTTGACCACCAACGACACCCTTGCGTTTCACTTCGTCAAAAACAGACTGGTTGACTAGCGAGCCGTCAACTGTAAAAGATGCACTAATTTGCGCATAGCCCATCAGCAGCGCCTGGCTATCTGCGGACTTAGATGGGGCCACAACGGTCGAGAAATGTCGACCATGTCGAGGAGGAGGGGGCGCACGCGAGCCTTGCGCTGAGTAGTTCGTATATTCAGATGCCAATGTCTCCGTCGATTGATCACTAATGGAGTAAAACTCGGCGCTGCTTCTGCTACTCCCATTCACACTTGTGGCTGAGATCACTCGCGCAAGTTGCTGATGGGACGGGGGACCTAACACTGATCCATCCTTCGTGGAAACTTTCGCTGGGGATGGAATTCTGTCGGATTTTGGCGAGGGGGTTAGGGCGGGGCGAGCTTCGTTCGGGCCAGGAGGAAATTTGAAATCGAAGGACGGCAATTGGGGTCTTCTTGCAGAGCGCGGAGTCTCCTTTGCAATGGCAGGGCTGTTTATGGTGGATCCAGCACGGCTTTCACGACCAAGGTTGTTGGTATCGACCCTCAAATCACTTGGGGGAGCAGACTCGTCAGATTCTCTTAGTGGCAAGCCACGCATGGGTGCTCTAGCTGCTACACCAGGGTAATATGTTAGTTCATGGTTTTTCTTTGTTCGTAATCGCGACAAGCCCACCTTTCTTGTAAGAATCATCGTAGCTATCGTTCCTTCTAGGAGAGACTTGGAGACTCGCTGATCGCCCGTGAGCCCTGACAGGCTTATTGCGGTTATAGTGTGGCGAGGGCGAGTGATCTTGCTGACCCTCGCTATCAATGGAAAAGATAGATACAGATCGTTTATGGCTGTGGCCGGGTTGCCAGCTCCGGGGGGTAGAGGAGGGGTTGCTGGCGGGCGGGAAGCTATGAGAGGTGCCGAGCGGGGAGCTCAGGGAGGAGACAGTGCGATGGTTGGCAGGTCTTCGCGGGGATCCGATGGAGTATGAGCGGCGACCAGAGAATAGACCCTGCGATGACTTGAATCCAAAGAACGAGTCATTGTTATTGCTGCTAACATGGTTCGCGACTCGAGACGCCTTCCGCTGATGGCCCTCGCCTCCAAAGTTGGCATCAGATTGGGTCTTTGCTACATTCTTGAATGTGATAACGCATTCCACATTCTCGCCTGCAAAGATTGTTTGGTCCTTCCACTTAACGAAGACCTGGATATTCGACGGCATGGCGGCTCCGTGTCAGCATGGGGGATCGGCAGCTGTGGGCTGTAAGGCAGATCTTTAACGCCGTTGCGAGTCCAAGAAATTGACGTCGAAAGTCACAGGCGACCTAAGCGATGCGTAAATAGCAATGTCGACATTCGAGGGAGATCATGTTGAAAAGGCCATGGTAATCGACCGACGCAAGGTCGAGGTGCAGAGAGGTACGTGCCGAGGCGGAGATCAGGGAGTTGCGTGACGGCGCCTCCACAAGCTCGAGCTACGGGAGTCAAGTTTGCACCATATTGCCCATTTGAGCATTCAGTATAGCTCTATATACTAGACAACGCTCGAATTTCAGAAATTTATATGCATGTAGTTTGAATGTCTCCTTATGGCATGAATTTTAATAAGTGTAGGAATTAACATAATAGCAGCCCTGGAGACGTGGATCGTTTCAAATACATGGTATTCGTCATAGTTTCTATGGGAGAGAACGTTTGGTTTATAAGGATCAAAACGCCGGAACCATGACCAGAGAATTATTATAATACATTTTGTTTCATCTGCTAACGCGCAGGAAGGTCCAGGAATTGAAAATTCCCCAGAACAAGAAGCAGGCTTTCGCTATTGCTTGTCTTCCTTGCCTTCCTCGGGCTTATCGCCTTGCTCTTCCTTTGCATCAGAACCCTCTTGGTCCTTCTTCTTATCTTCCTGATATAACTTTCTAGAATCAGACAAAGATTGGGAGGATTTCGTCATTGGTCGAAGTCCAAGCTCGGCCATATGACTCCAGATCCTCTCATGTCTCTTTTCCCATCGTTTGCGTCGACTCTCCATCTCATCGCCAGATGGCTTCCATTTGCTCTTCAAGATGCGGCGGATTGATTCAGGTGAAACCTTGAATTCTTTGGACAGCACAGCGGTGGTGAATTTCTCAGGAGCACTTGCATGAAGCTGACGGATTCCATCCATGGCATCAGGAGACAACTTCTTTTGAGGATTCCAGCCGTCGGGGAATTTCTTGTCAAGAGCGTCTTTCTGAATTTGCCAGTGCTCAAACTTTTTTGTCTTTGGATGAAATTGATTCTTCTTGTCCGAGCTTTTGGAATATTTGCGATCGTAGGTCTTTTTTGTTGCGCCGTCGAATTTTTTGGGTTTGTTTGATGGGCGCTTGGGGGAATCGGATGAGTGTGAACTGGAATCGACAAGAGTTTCAATTATATCGTTGGAAGACTTAGTAGCAGAGCTTCCTTTTTGTTCAGGTGCTACATGTTGTTTCGGGTCGTGATAAAACGCAGTGGTCGAGCTGAATGACCTAGGTTGGTATGGTCGGCGGTGACAAGCAATTAAAGGGGAAGGGCGCTGGATTTGGGTGAAATTCGAGCGCAAGATTCCACGAAGCACTGTCGGTAGTGCTAAGCTAGCTGGAGCTGCACATTTGGAGGCCATGATGGGAGGAGTTATTGTCATGATGTAAAGGAGAACGCGCGCAGATAAAAAAGCGCAGGCAATTGACCGATAAGATAACAGAAATGTGGCCTACAATATTAGGTGTCAATCCAATCAGAGTTCCACGCGTCCCATGGTTGAATCAACGTCAACACCCATTATGTATTAGTATAGATCTCAAAGTTAGGATATTCGATGTTATTATTTAATACTATCATGTCTTCAACCCAAGTACTCCAAGTTGTAAACTCCCAAGGTTGCTCTTCTGTACTTTTCAAGTTACGAGTAGTCAACTGGTAGTACTAGCAACTTGAATTTGAAATGTGAATATATATCATCCCGAGTAGTATTGAACTTTTGATCCCAACTTTCAAGTTATCCATGTTTACTACTAGTACCTATTAGCTAGTACTAGTACGTATCTAATTTTTTTTTCTTTCACTAGTATAGACCTTTGATCCCAATGATGTAGCAAATCGAATGGAATTAAATTAGATTAAAGTATAGATAAAGGGATAATTCTACCCCTGCAGATACACATGCATCTACTACCTAGTATAGAAAATGCAAGCCTTCAAGCATGGGCTTCAGAAACTTCGAAGACTCACATAAGCTTCGTCAGTTATTGTCGAAACAGCGTATATCAATTCCGAGATATCCGAGTGGCGATCTGAGAATATTTCCCACTACGTACTAGTATGAAGAAATCTTGACCTTCTAGAATCCACGTAGTCCTCGCCCCCGGGGCGAACGATAAAAATGCCACCATAAGTTCGTTTCAGGCGACAATGATTTGTTAACCTTATCTGAATCAAGATCAAGACGTGGGGTACACTTAAAAATCTGGAAAATAGCTTGTTTCAACACGTAAATCCCCCACGATATGCCCAGGTGGCAACAATTCCTTCAGATTCAGAGTACGTGTACACTGCGCAACCTTCCAAGGTTGTGTTCGACTCGGATGTTCCCCGTGGGGGCGGTTCGTGGGAGCACGACAGATCAACGAACTATTTCCAGGCCCAGATAAGTTCAATGCATGAGCTTGTTTCAAAGCCCCAGTGCTAAAGATGGCAACATAATTGTTTTTTTTTGTTTCAAAAAAGTTCCATTTGAAGCACAGGGCAGATAAGCATCTTTGTGGTGAATGATCATCGCATGCTATGACGTACGAGTTTGAGGTTCTTGGCTTTCTTTACTTAGTCCTATCTTTAATATTGATGTCATTTAATACTTAAATGGCATCTGTCACTACAATTCCCAACTTTGAAGGAATCACTAGTAGGCCCGAAGTGCTACGCGTAAAAATTGGACACCGACGTAAGTTAGATAGTGAGTAAACCGGCTCGGGCCCGAGGGACTCATGATGCAGATAACCATCCATTTGGCATCATATACGTTACCAAATTAGGCCTTCAATGCGGAAATTCAACGAATATTGAACAAACGGCGCCCATCACAGTGCAGCCACATTGTGGGCTCGAGCGGACACATCACCTGATACCAACTTGATAGTAGTGACTCCAACTTGAAGGAGTGAATCCCTGTCGGCATTCGGAGAAGTGCTCGAGTACTCCGTGAACGGCGGCCCAGACCGTCAACAAAACCTTCATTCAGGTCACCACAGTCTCGTCTCGGCAACTATAGGGCTGGTGGCCTTAATCCCAGGAAGCCGGGGAAATGTATATTATCTTCAGAGTGACGGTCAAGGCGATCGAAGGATATTGATACGATGCCGATCACCTGGGCACTTGGCATACTATGATGAAATTGGAAATTAAAATGAATCGAATTACTTGAAGCGGAAGAACACGGGATTCCGGTGGGGGGCTGTTGACAGCAGAAAGCCTGGGGGCTTGACAAGGCTGTGGACCCTGAACAGCCGCATCGCTTGGCTTCTTCAATTGGATGATAACGGTTTAGCGTGAAGTCTGCAGGAAAAAAATAAAAAAATAAAAATCCATAAAATAAATAAAATAAACTACAAGGGTCCGTCTCACTCTGCAGGTTCCTAATGTATAGTAATGATCATCAACCAATCTTTATTCTGAGAACCCCAAATCGTGGCAAAGAATGACTCGATATCTCAAAGAACATGGAACTACTCCAGCTTGAAAATAAATTGAGATTCTGAAGTGAGATTTCTAGGGTATGAGGTGAATAATTTTACCATAATTAGAGACTTTCCTCCCCCCCACATTTGCAAGATAAGAATAGCATCAAGGGAAATAAAGTGGGACAAAATGGCGGATCAACCCTAGCACGACTGGTCATTGCCGAAGTAATTACAATACTTGGCACGTTAAGCGGCGGCTGATTTATTGGTCAGGGCTGAATAGTGGAGATGAATTTCCAATATCTGAGCGGTCGTTCATCTCCGAGTGCACCCAATTCCAAGGTTGTCGGGTACTAGTAAGAACTAGGGCTGACGAGATTATCGCGTCCACTTGGTGTTAGTGTAGTATCCCGGCGTTCACTCCTATTATAGCGTTGAATCCGAACGGACATCCCGTTCGGAAGTTCCTATGTTTTTGTAATGCTGATCTTCAATGTTGCAGCTCTCAGCTTAATCTGCTCTCCTAGGCTAGATTTGCTCAGCTAATCCATATTTTAAGTTACAATATTGAAATGAAGAAAGTTGAATTTTGTATATGCAATGTATATTTCATTCATGAATGCAGGTGTCTCGCGTGTATCAAATGCTGTATGGTTCAAATAAAGTAAAGAATGGAAAGGTTGCGCTGCAAAAATCGCTACAAAATGATGGGTGGTGATACAGGCGTAGATTCGGCTTTGGTCCACTCCACTGGAGAATACCCGACCAGCAGAGATTGTTCAGTCCAACGAAGAGCCAATCTAGTTGCCGTCTAGCCACAATGCAAAAAAAAGCCTCCGGTCGTTTAATGTTTCGTAAGACACAGAACCCGGTACAAAAAAGTTCTTTTTTCCTTCCCCATTATCCTTTTAGCCCAAAGGTGCCCGAGGATCCGCACCTCTTTCCAGCATTAATCGAACGGCTTGTCCAGACTCTTGCATGACAGCCTGATGTAAAGGTGTCCTCCCAGCGCTATCAGGAATGCGAACCATAGCTTGACCCTGTTGGTCATCCAGTAGCATGCGAATAATATCGTAATGGCCCTTTAGTACAGCCAGATGTAAAGCAGTACGGCCATTAGCATCTTGTAGAAGAGCGTTGGCTCCAGAACGAAGCAGCTCGGGAATCAACTCGATGTGACCTTCAGAGGCTGCGATGTGTAGAGGGGTTTGACCCTCGTGATTAGCGAGATCCACATCTTCGGGACAAACGGAGAGAAGAAGATGAATGATGGATAATTTGCCGAAGTGTGCCGCGAGGTGGATAGCACTGAAACCGCTGAGACCAGAGACATTCATGCGAGGATCCGAACTCATGGTGGTGGCGTCGCATCCCTCCATACCATGGAACATACCAGTGACCTGATTATCCATAAAATTCGGGTCCATGCCGCCCATCGAGAAGGAGTGAGAATCCATAGATTGAGGGGTTGAGAAGAGGCTTTCATCGGACATAAAGAGATTTTGAACCATAACGTCATCAGTGGGGGCGGCGAAGTCGAGGAAATCGGTGTTCATCTTCCAATCTTGCATCTCGTGGATATCCTTGGGCTGACTGCAGGGACTTAATAACCCAGTGAAGTTCGGTTGCGGCTGCTTCCGTTGTGATGTGTTGTTGTTCTTCATTGACACGTCGGGAGATGCACGAGCTGATAATGAGCGAGCATTTGTGTGGAGAGCAGGTGAGATTGTACGAGGCTGAGTCCAGACCAGTTCATTAGGAGAACGACGGCGTCTCTTGGTACCCTCAGGCATAGAGCCAGATGAACGAGCAGCTGAAAGGATGGTCAGTTTGAGCTCTTGACTTAGTGTGGTTAGGAGGGGAAACTCACAGTTAGACATTGTGTATGGTATCGATCCTTTTCGTCACAAAAATGCTTTGGAAGGAAGTGTCGTGTATTAAGAATATTATTGTATGAAATACCCTTTAACGCGCAGCGTGGGGTATAAAAATGTACAAGGTATAAAATAGTTATACCTTAAAAGCACTGTGAGTAAAGGAGTCGATCCTGGTATAATTTTCTGAGGGAGTGAAAAGATGCAGGCTAAGCGTAGTTATATAAGAATGAACCTCCACAAAACACACGAGCATCATCCCATTCAAGTTCTAGCTTATAGGAAGTTCAAGCAAATGAAACATAGTGGCCCCCGTGGCGAAATGCGTATTCTACAAAACTTTCGTATCAAGTGGAGCGAGATCAACGGATTTACCTCAGGCATACCGAAAAGAGTTTAAAAAGCCTAGAAATAATTGCAGTTTCTTTTAGCACCGGGGACCTTCGACACTACTGAGTGTCCGCATTTACGCCCCATTTGGACTAATGCGCCCCCAGTCCTGAACGGGTTTGAGTCGGTGAAAGACTCCTATGAAAATAGTGGAAGAGGGGCACAGGCCGCGTAAAGTGGGTTGGTTGAATCCTTCAGATATTATTCTCTGCAGAAAATACCTTCCATAGTGAAAAAAACTCGCCTGAGGATTTCATGAATCATGATCATAAGAAGTGGGTCATCTCTACAGGGGCTAGTTCCTTTTTCTTGAAGCTTTTTGGCCCCGGGGCCAATTCCTATTAGTTGAATGGAAGTGACGTTCCGAAATAACATTTGAATTCCCAGTAAAAGGGAGAACTACTCCAACTTTTCATCCCGTCTCTTTATTTAGGCCATATTTAGGCCATATTTATTTGATCCACAACACTAATACGAATGAGGTTATTGCGCGGGAAATTAGCTTATCTTTTTTTTCTCCCATTGTAGTTTAGAAGATATTCATTCATGCATAATATTAAAGAATAAGCATTGGTTGAATTGGTCAGAGAGCCTCCAAGATACACGTTGTGGGGCGCCCTAAAGAAAACCCCTGTTACTGCAGCTAAATAACATCCTGGTTTCCTGATCTGGCTGCATTGTCAGCACTATGCATCAAAACGGTCAGCATACTGAGACGTGCCGGCCACCTGTCACGATTTGATCCCCACCTCCAAAAAAAGATACGAGTGGAGAAAGTTCAAGTTTTGGCACGCTACCGTCTCAGATTCTGAAACGCAAGGAAAATTCGACGCTTCTTCTATGGAGAAAGAAAGGAACTTGATCTGCTCCAGGATCAACCTCTTGATTTTATGGAGACATATGAGTGGTGGGCACGCTAAGGAAGACGGGGTCCCCGGCTTACTCAGGCCTAATACTCCCTACTGGTACCATAGCTATGGTAATCCTGGTCGCCGGAAGATATTATCGGGCAGTAGTTTCAAGTTGCCAACAACTTTTGGGCGTCTGCATGTACAGGGATAGGTGCTTTAGCGTGGAATCTGTTGATTATCATAGGTCGATCGAAATATACTAGTAGAAGTATGCATATGAGGATCTTGAACATTGAAACTACCCCTGGCCATGCATCTGTAGGATTTACTACTAGTTCATGGCTGTAGCTAGTAACGCATTCAAGTTCCTGAATTGCATCTTGTTTTCCTATTCTGTTAAGATGAACTTCAAGTGTTCAGTTGACCGCTATGTTCTAGTATGTGGACAACATCCGAGTTCCTCAAGAGTCCTGTTTCTATATTAATACACAAAGCCACCCCCACATGTGCAATATCAGATAGAAGTTAAAAAAGTTCGAAACTTGAATCTGAGCACTTGAGTAGTTACATAGACATCTGATCTCATCAGCAATTATTAGCAGACATCAAGAATGTTTATTACTCCTATTATTTCAAAACTTGAAGTCACATTTGTCTATGTATAGCAAACCTTGGAATCAGTGTATCATGATCTCGCTCGAACCATTAGCCGAGCCGAAGTTCAAGTGCCCCTTTCAATCTGCACGCTAGTGGCCCTTCCAACCCAATACAACCGCTAGTAAATTTTGAACAAGAGGATTCAAGCTCGAAGAATAGGGCTCCTGGAGGATTCATTTTAGCCTTTTCCATTTCTTCAGTTACATCGGTATACTCCGAGTGTCTTCAATTTAATCTTTGTGAGCTAGCTCCACGCACGTGCGGATGAAATGATTGAAATACCACTGAATTCAAGTTTGTTCTAGGAGTGTTTGAAGATCTAATGTCAATAGTTCAAGCTTAACATTTTGAACGATATACCGGTGACGAAATAATGAGGTAAATGGATCAGATGTGGGTCAGATAGTGTAAACCCCTGCCCAGGTGGTAGGTATCACCTGCAGGAAACTCTAGCGCGATTATGATATCCATCATGATTGACCTAACCGGCTGGACCAAAGAAAAGGGGTAACTTCAAAAATTAAGCCCAGATATTACAAAGATGTTGGCAGTCTAAAAAAAGCTACGGAACCCTCACGGAATGAACCGTGCACCATACTAAAATCTATTTTCTTCAATAGGAAATGAAGCACTATCGCCCCCACTCCTATCTAGGCAAGAAAACAACAATTAGTCATGCAGGGATCTTCAGATGCATAGGGCGAGAACTATACTATTCTAAGTTGATAGTGAGTATCCTGTTGCTCGGTACATTAAGTAGTAAATATCAAACATTCGAATATCAACGCCTGCAAGTGGCATTTGAGCAGTCGAGCTGATATACCACTGACTACACAGTTTGTACCTCCAATGTGTGATATCATTGATGATATTGTAAACAATGCATGTGGGGAAACACCCCCAGTGGGGACCTGGGGCTGATAATCGAGCATCCATGGATCCGAGTCGCATTGTCGCATCGAAACTCCTCATTTGAAATCTACTCCAGATGTCGAATTGGGAATAGTAGCTTCAACTTGAAGCTTGTCTAATTAAAGATCCCCATGTGCAAAATTTCCACTCCCGCACGGTGATCTTCAGATTAATTCGAAATTAAAATCTATTGATAGCAATATGGACCAGGTCCACTTGCAAGTTCAAGGATGTTCTAATTTCAACATCTCCTTCGACTAGACCCACCCTGAGATCAATTCCGCTGATTGCGCGATTCATCTGAACATCCTCTTTTTCCAGAAAGATAAGACTCTCAGGTCAACAGAATTTGGACAATATCTCCCAGCGTGATAGCATCTGAGCTACCTTACACAGACACAAGTCAGTTGGAAATTTGTTTCTACACTTTCATAGTGAGGTTGCGAGATGTGCCTTGCGCAGAAAGAGATGATGCTTTTTTGCTAGCATTGAGTATGATGTTCCATCGCAAAAGTCAACTCGAGTGCTGTCAAAGAACTCACCAAACAGTATAGTAAAAAGCACGGGAAGATCAAGCTTTTCAGCATTCCTTCTTGACATACAATGATCAACGCGACCGCGTTTATCCCTTCATTGAAAGGCGGAGAGAGGATATGATCAATCAAATTACTCTCAATTATCTTTGTTTTCAGACCCTCTTTACAAAACTCAAGTGTGTATCAATTAACAGTCATTATTTTCAGACGGCCATTTTGAAGATCGGTCGATCAAAGCTTACCCTCGTCCCTCTCATTAGAAACTCACATAGAATATGATGGTACAGGAATGGAAAAATAGACTAGGTCTCCTTGTTGACCGAAGGCCATCGAGAAGTATTATCCCAAAATTAACATGAAACGATCAAGAGTCAAGACTAGTCTCACCACTAAGTCCCAACTGAAAATTTCTGGCTTCCAAGAGCTGGCAGGCATCATTACGATTTTCCCGCATGAAAGCCCAGAGTCTAGAGTCACGGCCTAAACATCTCTATCCTGACTCACGTCTCGGTGAATTGTGACTTCTTCCGTTGTCTTGATTCCAGACTCGTCAAAAATACTCCCATCATCCCCACGGCCGTTCATAGTGATTGTTTCTCCACCATAGGTGCCCGTGCTTGGTTCATCAGTGTGGTCATAGCTGGATCGGATGCGTACGAACAGGATACGAAGGGAGGGAATCGAGGCGGCGATGATGGTAAGACCGGTTTCGGCAGCGGCCCAAATAGTGATACTGGAGCAATACCCTGATTTCAAGTAAGTTTCAAGTTCATTTCCCCCAAAAATGGTATGCAAAGTCAAAAGTGAGACTTACAAGTAAAATCTTGGACTTGGGAAACATTCACAAGCTTGGAGGTTTTGATAAACGCGGCAACGGAAGCACTGGAAAATGATCGGTTAGCACTCGTTGCTTTTGCCCGAAATATAGGTGCAACTTACACAATACCCATGCTCATAGCTAGAGCAATACCGATTTTCTCTCGCTTCTTCATCTCAAGTCCCCAAAGAACAACCCAGGGGAGCAGAGCGAGTATGAAATCCATACATCCCGAATATGCTATACGAGGTCAGAATCGTATCTTTTTGTTGAAAGCAATATACTCACCACCCGCGACAAGAGCAATGGTCTCAAAGACGTTGGTCGGCCAGCACTTTGCTGTAGCCAAGAGACTAGCATCCCACAGGGCAGCAGCAGGTTGACATTGAGCCAAGTAACAGATAGCGCAGAGCCACATGATAGCGTTCATGGTGACGATAATAACCCACAGCAACGCTTTCATCCATGTCTTAGTTACAATACGCATCATGGTAAATGCAAAAGACGTCTTGCTTGCCACACAACCAATGATGATGATCACATAGCTGATGTAGACACGCTTGAGTGCTGGAGGTATAGCATCCGTGTCTTCAATAGCAAATACGTGCCGGCCAACGACCCCCATTTGGATAGCCTTGGTAATAAGGCCTGTATAAACAAAGAGCAGGGCCTTAAATTCGTGTCAGCCTACTGAGTCTCTCGTCTCTTCTGAGTACTTGGAACATACCAATGCAAAACAGATGATCGCATCATCTAATCCGAATCCTCGGCCGCTAAGACCAACTTTGCACCAAATCCGCAGTCCAACCATGATGGTGGGAAGAGTAACCAAGACCCAACATGATGCTAGAATGGTTGGGCCCTGGTTCTGGGCATCCACTGCAGCAGATCCTGAAGCCATGATGCTTCAACAGAGGTGCTGTCAATTAGGACGAAAGAGAGTAAAACGAACGGACAAGGGATACGGTAAAACGAATGTGAAGATCACCCTTGAAATCAAGTAAAAACATATGGGAGATATGAATTAAATACTCCGAGTCCGTAGCCGTGCACTTGAGCATAATGTGACCTCGCATGGATGTAAGTCCTCGAGCTGATCATCATCCAAACACTCTGAGATCTTTTCTTTACAATAAAAATCAAAGAACGCATGTGAATTATTGATAGTCATTTCCAAATCCATTCTCCAATCCTATTATGCGACCAATCAGAACACCATAGGGGATTTTGTCTCTCCTCCCTACTCCTTATGCCGCGCAGCAGTACAACCTTGCATCTTCAATTTCCCGGTAGACGGGTAACGCTTTTTACTAAAATTGAATGATCTACTGAACAAATACCCTTTGACGACCTTCTATCACAAGCATGCGATTGAGCTATCAAAGTAATCCCTGTCTATATTAGTCACACTCGAAGAAATCATGATTTTAAGCTCCAACTAGTACCAATAGTTTTTTGGGGGGACTAAGATTTGATATATCGCACATCGGCCCGTAGGAGAACGAGAGGTGATCTGCAACGGAGGAGCCGGGGTGGATGACTTGTCAGTGGTGATCACCTCCAAACAAGCAGCGAGCATATCCCGGATTCTCTTCTGATGTTCCTAAGCCTTGCATAGTGCTCGGGGTTATTCCATCACCATATGGCGTTTTACGTACATGCATTGAACAAAGGCTTATGATTGGTTCTTCATGCGTAAAAACCTGCAAGAGTTACAAGATCAGCATGGGGTCGAGTCTCAACTTTCTCCTCTCAGACTTTATACATTTCAAACCCAATTGAAGTCAATGCATATCTCAATGTTGGCGAAAAGCATCAATGTTGAAGAAAAGCAACTCGAACCAATAATGGATGGATTATCAGATTCCGTACGACCTTTCTTTTTACACATGATACATGATGATGATACCTCTCTCACCCATTGTATTATGGATAAAATCTCCGGGGTTCTCCACTTCTCTCCACTCATTGAACTCAAAAATCCCCCGGTTTGGTAGTTGTAACTTGGCATCATGCAGAAATCATGCAGAAAGATGTGATATATCACATACAACCTGATGAATTGACCAATGAGAGGATTGCTTCATAATGGTTTGAAACACTTCGGCTGTCTTCTCTCCACCTGCTCAGATAATAAATTGAAGCAAGGGAGCCAATGATACAATATGGAGATTTCCATTGTTGTGACTTATAAACCCCCTCATTTCTTTAGCGCTGCACTGCCAGTGGCAATGAAAGGCCTGGGTCTTTGCTCTACACTCTATACCCCATATAGAAACTTGGAACTGCTGACAATTTATTCAAGCTCCTGGAAACTGTGGAGTACGTGAGTCCTGCATTTACCCAAAAATGTGGTAACTCTCTCCTTGTCCGTGCGAAATCTGCAGAATAGACCTCCTGAACCCCTCTCCTTAGTGGGGCTAACGATCAGAAAGACAATGAGTGGGCGCCTCCAGGAAATAATTTCCCCCTAAGTGGAGAGAAGAGAGTAGAAATAAAGACCCATGTTCACATTGACTGGGGTCCCCCCTCTTGATCGTAGAACATAGTGTAGAGCGTGGGATTATCAACTACCATCATGATTGCGCTATCAGACTTCGCAACATATGTCGCCTTGACGGTATCAATCATTTTTGTCTCTCGGTTTCTGTGGAATTACATCCGCTCCCCATTGAAATCATTTCCTGGCCCTGCTGCGACTGGTTTCACCAATATTTGGCGGATGCGAGATGTCTATAAAGGACGTTGTGATATCACACAGAATGCGCTGCACCGCAAATATGGATCCGCCGTTCGAATGGGACCCAAAATGCTCAGTCTTTCTGATCCGAACTTGATCGGACAAGTGTATAACACTAAGAGTCCATGGCTGAAGGTAAATTGGCTTACTCCAGATGTCAAAAGTATGATCTTCAATTTCTAACATCATTCCTAGAGTGATATGTACAATGTGAATGATGTCGTTGTCTCAGGACTTCGCTTGAAGAACCTCTTCTCTACGCAGGATGAAAAGTGGCACTCGACTTTTATTCGTCCTATCAATAGTCTGTACTCTATGAGCAGAGTTCAAGAAGCTGAGCATAATGTGGATATCACCATTGAGCTCTTTCTCGAAAAGCTGCGTATCAATTTCGTCCATCCTGACAAGCTGTGTGAAATGTCAGACTGGTGTAACTTTTGTAAGTATTGAAATATCATTCAAATTATTGAGAAACTACTAATTGGATTTTAGTTGCATGGGATGCTATGAGTCAAGCCACATTCTCACAAGATTTGGGCATCCTTGAGGCTGGTAGTGACTATAAGGGATTTTTGGGAAGATCCAATCAAACACTTGACTATTTTTCTTCGGTATGCTATAAGTCGTCAAACACCCCAAAGGTGAGACGAATTAACCTCTGGCACAGATATGTCAAATCCCATTGTTGGATTTGCTCCTTGATAAGAACCCAATCATGCGCATCGGACCACCAACCTTTGTCTGGGCCAATATCTTCAGTCTAGAGAAACTCCAAGAGCGCTACCAAGAGCGCAGCAAAAACGCAGTCCCAAAGGTTGACTTTTTATCGAAGTTCCTGGAAATCAAAGAGAAGAACCCCGAGCTTGTGGATGACAACGTCGTCATTTTGTGGCTCCTCTCCAACGTTCTCGCGGGCAGCGATTCCACTGGAAGCACCATTTGCGCCACAATCTTCCACGTTCTCAAGAAACCCGCCGTCTACAAAAAGCTCTGCGCCGAACTTCGCGCAGCGAATCTCTCTTTACCCGCGAAATGGAAAGACATTCAAGGACTGGAGTACCTGGAAGCCGTCATGCGCGAGGCTATGCGCGTTCACCCCGGCGTTGGACTTATACTAGAACGCGTCGTTCCCAAGGGTGGCCTGACTCTTCCTGACGGCCGGTTTGTACCAGAGGGAACCATTGTTGGAATGAATCCGTGGGTCATTAATCGGAACGAGACAGTGTTTGGAGCCAATACGGAGGAGTTTATCCCTGAGCGCTGGTTACAGGGTTCTGAAGAGTCCGACGAGACGTATCAAGCGCGATTTAAGAAGATGAAGAGTACCGATTTTACATTTGGTGCTGGATCGCGGACTTGTTTGGGACGACACATGTCGCAGTTGGAGAGCTTTAAGCTCATTGCGACTCTGTTCAGTACCTTTGATGTGAGTGTTTCTTTCAATGCAATATGCCTGTACATTCTGGCTAATATTCTCTTTAGATGGAGCTTCCGAGCCTTGACCACCAGTGGCAGGTTACCAATTCGTGGTTTTTGCGACAGACTGATGTTCCTGTTCGCCTGATGGAGCGCCGGGACCAGGACCAGAAGGTTACTGAGATTTCTTGTCTTCTCTAAAATCTATCCTTCATGTTTTGGCCTAGTCAAGTTTTTTGTCTAGAGTCAGAGGCAAAGCCGAAAAATATTCAATTTGGAGGAACTTGAATTGCACAGTGTCTATAGCCAGAGAGTGATGATGTATATAAATTCTATCTCAAGTGCTTTTGTGAGCAAGTCAAATCTCCCGAAGTACTATATATTGTGACAGGAATATTCGAACTGGAGTACTTGAGTGTTTATCGTGATATCTGAGAGGCTGTACGCGACAGTCCGGTACGGCGGCATATTTTTGTGATTTTTTCGAAAAGAAAAAAGAAAAAGAAAACACATCGGCTATGCCGAACTTGGCGCTGGAAAGATTTTTGTATTAGCTTCTCATCCTGTAGCCATGGGCAACTGGTTTAGTATTGGAACTTACCGACAACCAAGTGCCCCCCCAGGGAGGTCTCGGTTCCCACCGGCACCGGCACCGTCGGGGCCTTCTTCTTCTTGCTTCTCTTTTTCTTTGGAGCCACTGTCGGCTCTACCGCAGACTCCTGGTTGTTCTTGCTGTTGTTGCTAACTTCAACAACAGCCGTTGGGACCGTCTATCATCATTGCGTCTCTATCTTGATATTAGCGTTCTTTCAAGACAACATAACACAATACATCGATTTGCGCAAACATTCATCAAGCATAAAACCCAGAAAATTGAATCAAGCAATTGAAAAACCGTTGCCATGTAATGCTGCAGTTATCATGGGTTCCAATGGGGATGGACTCACCTCCTGTCGCTCCCAGCGACGCTTGTCCTTCGCCCGCTTCTTCTGTCCCTTGGACTGTCCGTCTTTGGCCTGCCTCCAGACGTGATGATATTTTGTTTGAACAAAAAGGACAAACAAAACCTGCCAGACTGACATATCAAAGGTGACAACGAATTTTTGTTGTGATATGGTCGAGTTATGGCTGGAAAGATGATGGAGGAACTGATGGATAAGGATGTATGAGGATGGATGGCCTTCTTGGCCTCTGCGGCATCAGACATGGTGAGCTTGGGGTTTTGAAAAGGCTAAGAAAATCTTAAAGATTGACGAGGAAATGAGACTGAATAGTTTTGTTGTGATGTGATTGAGTTGTGGATGGAAAGATGATAGAGGAACTGATGGATGAAGATGGATGAGGATGGAACTAATTGATGAGATGGAATGTGCTACTAGCATATGGCTAAAACTTCTAAGGTTATATAGAGCTAGCTAAGAGAAAGAAAAAATAAAACTATATACTATATCAGTCTCTCTTAATTCACCTATCTCTTACTTTATCTCTTACTTTATCTATTACTTTAGCTATCTCTCAATTTAACTTGAACGACCTCTCACTTTAGTCTTATACTATACCTATGATACTTAAGATCAACCAGTGATAGTGTAAAAAATACCCAACTGGGTAATAAGTAGCTAGTTTTCTTATGACGGCCAGTGGAATTGAATTTTCCACCGTCTATATGAACCAGGCTACTTAGGTTTCTTGATAAGTAATGGCCACATATCTTCCAATCTTCTCTTTTCACCAACTCCGTCGCCGTAATTCTAGCTAACGAACCCCACGCGCTTGCACAATGAGGGAGCCGATATGTGATAAAAGAACTGTCTTTTCGGATTTTGAAGATACGGAGCACGTTGCGCTCATCGAAGAACTAATCAGACAGGGCGCTGAGCTGAAGAAGCCCCCTCGAGAGAGAGTAGGTTACTACTAATTTTGTGACTTCGACGGTCTCCGTACACTACTACAAGACTACCTCCCGTCATCCCCATCTCTACAGAGGTACGAAGCCCGGAGGAAGAAGATGGTTCCTTATTTGGAACGGGGAGCGATACCGAATTCTTCAGCATATCGCCACGATGGTATCCTAACGTCGCGTGTCTTCTAAAAATCGACTGACGTCTCGGCGTGCTCCAAGCCGCAAAACAGTCGACCAGATTGGAGATTATAGAGGATATATTGCCATTATCTGTCATTGAAATTGGGGCTTGTAGTACGACTCGTTGAAATAACATTTGAATATTCTTCCCAATGGTCTCAGCAGGGTCAAGATACCTAGAGCAGAACAAAAAAGGAACCGCCAATTTGAATTGATTATAATTCGAAGATGTTTCCCAACACTGAGAGTCTCAGGATGAGATGAGATGGTTTAGTTTGGTGTGATCTGGAGCTTTGACGTTCCTTTAGTTTGGAATCTTGGAAGTGATGTCACGGAGCTGCTCTGTTGAATGGTCCTGATACTTGAATACCAAGGGTCATGTTTCGGGCAGCCAGACCATAGTGGAAGTTTTTGCTGCGACTATCAGAAAGGAGTGATGGTGAGAAAACACTTTCAGGTTCAGGGTAAGATGGATATCTGGAGCGTCAGGGCGCATAGTCATTTGACTGTCAGAAGGACCTCGATATGCCGCCGTAGTCCTGAATGGCGGTGCAGGAAGCGGTGGCTTAAAGACAGCAAAATTATTTCTGATGGTAATTCGAAGCAAACAATGCAAACTTTCAGGAAACCTGAAAATTTAGGCCTGAATCCGTGGTTATCAGGGGTGTTTTTACGTTCGTAGGTTGAATGCTGATTTTGCCATTCAGATTTTCGTGATTTTCAGAATCTAGGCTCTGTTTCATTCTATTTGAATGATTTTTATAATAATAAAACAGTACTCATTGCGGCCCCGGGGACAATGCAGTATTCGAGGTTCCCGGTGATATGGATTGGTCCACCCAATTTCTACAAACGACCACCCGCAAAACCCGTGGGCCTTCCTTTCTTTCCTCTGCCAGGTACTGGAATGGCAGTACCCGAACAATATTGCATCGTCTAATCAAAGATACTCATTTTTCATCATGGAATCCCTTCCTCCCGAGATACTGCTATTAATCGGCCAAAACATCACTGACCGTTCATCAATTCGCGCTTTGACCGAGTGCTGCTGGCAATTCCGCCATATCTTCCAACCTCTCTATTACTCATCCATTGAAATCAAAAAATTCTCCCCTAAGTATCACATACCTCTGGTGAAGCACCTGTATCAACGTCCAGACCTCGCACGAAAGGTGTCATTCGCGAGATTTACTTGGAGCACCACCTGTGACGGGCATGATGCTGATCACAATGCCCACGAGAGTGACGAGGGAGACGAAGATCACGATTATCACTATGACCATGATGATCACTATGAGTACGATAGGGTGGAACGTTTGACTTTATCGACGATGAACTTTATTCACGACACATTGAATCTTTGGTTGCTAGATGAAAATCTAGAACATGACGACGATCCTGAAGGATGGAGGGCAGGATGGGAATTTCACCTCTTCCTCGGGTGCAGTGCAGCCTGGATCGGCCTGCTGATCGCTAAATTGACTCACGTCGAAAGACTCGAATTATGTTACCATGGCCAGTTTGATTTAATGCATCAAATGCTATCCAGAGCTGTCAAGCGACAAAATCCATTTCACTTCCGTACACCGTTTCCACTTCTACAAGAAGTCAAGCTGTCATGCAGTTACGACAACAGCTGGATTCACTCACACGATGCACTGCCGTTCTTTTATCTTCCAGCTGTCCGTGTCGTCGAAGCAGACGGCATATGTGAAACACACAATGATCCGTTATTTTCAGACAATCGATCTATTCTGGACTTTTCCGGGAATGATAAACCTGTCTCCCAAGTCAGAGCTATCAAAGTCTCACGAGCATACAACTTTGTAGATATGGAGGAATGGATCAAAGCATGCACCAAACTAGAATATCTCGAAGTTGAAGCTGAGATCACGGCTTGGGATATCTCTGAAAATTATCATTTCGATGCGCCAACTTTCCGAGAGTCCCTTCTGCTGGCCAAGGATACCCTCAAGACAATACGCTTTTCATTTGGGAAAAGACTCATCCAGGACCGCCCTGGTGTCTTCTCACCCAGGGCTTTCGATCTAAATGGCCTTGACAATATACCGTTCGGCTCATTCAAGGAATTCCACGTCCTTGAGAATCTATCGATTCGATACCGAAATCTTAGTTCCAGGACATTCGCCAACTTGCTTCCATCTTCGCTCAAGACACTTGAGATCATAGATATCAAGTCAAAGTCTTTCTCTCGGATCATGTGGAATCTTGCGCATCTTGTTGAATCTCGGGGATCCTTTCCAAATCTTAATCGGATTGTCCTAAAACATTTGGGATTCTCCGGCAAGACGCGAAATGAGGTAGATGTCGATGAAAGAAGTATTACAGGACTTGATGATCCATGGGTATCCGGGCTCGGACTTGGGGACTTGTCTATTTACTTGAAAAATACGTGCATGGATGCGGGAGTATCTATAAAGATATACTGGTCCAGGGTATTTGATTGGGGATATTTGGGTTTCTAACATAATCAATGATGTTATTTCGAGTCCCAAGAAATTAAAATTGCAATAATGGCCTCTTCCAATCAATCATAACCCACGGGCATGCCGGCCTTAAATTGATATCTCTTTCTGAGGACACCAACGATCTTTCTTCCAAGTGCCAGTGGTAGATAGAACTTGAAACATTGCATAGTACCCTGGTAGGCACCAAACTCAATATGCAATCAAGTTGATCTTTATTTATCAACTCCTGGACATGGATCAAGATGGCTCATCTGTATGAGTCCAACAGGAGCAAGAAATGGTACAGTCGTAAATAGCACACCTTACCAGTTGAAGACAGCCGGAGACTCTGAAGCCTGGAAAATGGAGGACGCCGACATGATGACCGACCCGGGCCTTAGACCGTTATTGTCCTCGAAAAGAACTTTGGAAGGGTTCAACCGTATTGCCAGGGTGATGCACGTTAGGAGATCTCGGGATATGATTTCGTCCCATTCGTTCGTGCATATGTCAGTGTTTTCCATCATGACATGAGTCATAAGAGTGGTATTTTACCTGGCGGGCCCTAGCAGCCGCAGCAAAGTGGGTTCCTGCATTTTCCGCCTTCTTCCGTCTTTCGTCCTACATTTTAATTAGCATTGTACTGGGCCAATACTGTGATATAAATAGAAGACAAGAATTGAATTGAGCACTTGAAAGGCTGTTCCCATATACTGCTACAGTTATCACAGGTTCCAAAGGGAATAGACTTACCTGGCTTCGCGCCTCGCGCTTGCGCTTCTTCCGCGCCTTTTCCTTCTGGTGCCTTTTCTTGCTTTTGGCCTTTTTGGCCTTTTTGGCCTCGGCGGCGGCGGCGGCATCTGCCATCTTAATCTAATTTTTTTTTTCAAAAAAAAAAAAGGAAGTTGACAACGAAGATTTGTTGTGATGTGGACGAGTTGTGGATAGAGAAATAATGGAGGAGCTGATGGAGGAAATGATGGAGAGATGGTGGAGGTCTGGCAGAATACCAAAGGAGGCAGAACCAGTCTATAGTTTAGACCATAGATTTACGAATAGACCCTTTTATTTATTACATCTAAACATGAGTGTTTGAATACATCCCTCTTAATTTAGCTATATCTCACTTCATCTATCCCCTACTTATAGATATCTCTCACTGTCCCTTTCCCTCTAGGTAACCCAGGAGGTAACCATGTAGGTACTGGCATACAAAGAGGTGCAGGTCATCAGTCACCTGTAGGTACCTAGATGCTACTGACTCGGACTAAGCCCTGTACTCAAGTAGATAAACATACCTGTCTGAGGGAATGTGAGTATACATGGCCAAGTAATCTCGTGCTGAGAACATAACTTTCCCAATTTCAAATGCTCGCTGATACAGTGGCAGTGCCGCGCGACGCGCGGCGTGACGACTTGTTCTACAACACACGGGGCTCATTGCGCATCACGGCGGCAGAATTGTTCAAAAATGGTCGAAGGTTGTTTTTGAGTCACTGAGAGCCTAGGTGGTACTAGTAGTATCATTGATCCATGGTTGGTTCTAACTTCTGACATTCCAATCCTAGTTCATCTCTCCGCGTCGCTTTGGATCGCGGCCTTCCTGCGACTTTTAAAATAGTATACTGGACCTCCGTTCGAATCTTGCTTCAATAAATCTATAACATACATGACCCCATTAATAAAAATTGTTATCCGCACGGCAAAAATGGCTTCGCCTGGACTTGAAAGGCGCGATGATCAAAATATCTTCTCGGAATTAGATGATCCAGAGCGACGGGCTATAGTAACCGAGCTTCTGCGTGATATTCCTACTATGAGACTAGTCTCTCGCCATGGCTTCTGGAAAATGTGGTTCCATGATGTTCCTCAGATGAAAAAAGCTTTATCCTACATGAAGCCCCGCCTGCAGTGGGATGTGGGTTGCCCGTGGAAAAAACGCGAAGAACTGGAGCAGGGACCTGAATATCCCACGACACATATTTCTTACACGCACTGCCATGAGCATGATGCGCTTGGCCTTAGTAAGAACTTCCATATATCCAGACGGTTTATTTACAACATTTGGCTGTCATGATAATAATGACCATTTACTTATAGGGGCTCCTATTCAGGCCGATAAGTGGTTCCTCCAAGCAAGCGAATTATCCATCACTAGTAGCCAACGGATAGTAAGTCTCGAGACAATTTGAATATCTCCAGGGCTGAAAAACCTTGGAACACGCCTTCATTGTTTCAAGTGTTCACATGTGCAGTCGTCTTAGGAAATATCCTTACTAATGCTTACACAACTCCAGGCAATGGAACGTGATGAAAGCCAGTGCATTTTAACCAAGAATAACTCAAATCCAGTCCTCCCGACACATATCTTTCCTTCCCGCTCGCAGCAGATAAAAAGAGGGCATATAAACAATCAATACAAGTACATATGGCTGAGACTTGAGGATGAGTTTGGGGGAAAACGAGTCCAGCGTTGGCGAAATTCAATTATGGATAGGATAGTACTATGCCAGAAGATACTTGGAGACCTAGAGGATATTGACAATGTGGATTATGCCGACCAGCCTGACAATATCATAACCCTTGGTAAGGAAGTCTGGCGGTTTTGGAAGGACGACCTATGTGTCTTCCGTCCAGTCTCTTTGAGTGAAGATAAAAAGTCTATGGAGCTTGCGTTCCACTGGCTGCCTTTACCAAAGGAGGGAACCCACCACTCTCAACTGGACCCTATAAAACTTCGATGTCATCCTTATCCCGATAGGAGAATGGGATACGATGAGGGGCCTGGGAATGGCATCCATCTGTACCATGCGGAAACAAAGCAGATGATCCGCTCTGGTTACATTTTTACTATCCACACAGAGAATCCAGAAACTCATCCGTTGCCATCAATGGAGTTGCTAGATATGCAGTGGATGCTAAAGCGTTCATCAAGGTTTCAAGGAGATCTAGTCGAATGGAGACAGTGGCCGGTCAAACAAGAGTATTATGAAAAAGTATATGAAAAGGTTAAGCCCTATTGTTGGTTATACCGTGGTAAATTATGGAGCTACCGTCATTGTACCTGGATGTACAAAGAGGACTTGGAGGTTGAAGAAGACGATGAAGAAAACAAAGCCAACAATTACCTTGCCAAAGAGCATTACCTATCTAAACATCAAGATGAGGACGGGGATGAGGATGAGGATGACTATGAGTGGTCACATGAGAGAAACCCATATTTCGAATTTACATTCCACCAAATGGATGTTACTGATGACGAGGAGGATCTAGATGACAACTCAGAAGATGAGGAAGACATGAAATTTGATAACTTCAAACAAGAGAATGCCGAAAGAGCAGCTTTGTCTTATCCGCACCATTCTGTATCCCGTCTAGCCGGCCATGTCACACTACCCAGGAGGAAATCCCTTTCAAAAAGAAAGATACAGGAAAGGAAGGGAAGATATGCTCGCCAAAAAATTGAAAATGAAGTCCACGAAGCCGAAGAGACTGGCGGTAGCTATAACCGTGGATTCCAGCCCAGTGAGAAAATGGAGCTACTTGAGAGGGAAGATGGAAAACCACAACTGGAAGAAAATGATATCGATGAAGACAGGAGTAAAGGCTGTAAGGCTCAAGCCTTGTGTGGGGCGCTTCAAATTTCGCTCTCCTTTCGCTCTTGATTTTGCATGTGTTTTCATTACGTGTGACATGGAACTTCGGAATTCACGATGGCCCCAAGGCTTGCTGAGAGGACACAAAGGCTGAGAATGAACCGCTGAGCAAATGGGAATTTATTTCGCTCCAAAAAACATATAAATTTCCCCAGGCCGTCTAGTAGGTGCAGTGATCTCGGGAGGTGCCCAGATATAGGGATGTGATGAGGTAAGGTATAGTAGACCTTAGTAGACCTCAGGCTCTTTTCCTACTTGGGTTGCAGTGGTTTTTCGGGGTTCCTCCCCGGCAGAACAGAGGGACAGAATTATGTAATTCAAATGTTTAACTATAGCTCATCCCTATGATTACCAGTTGCCTATATCCAACTATATAGCAGCTACTACATAGTAGCCTTCCCTTCCAGGTAATCATGCAGATAACCCTGTAGGTACTGACATGCAAAGAGGGGTATGTCACCAGTTACATGTACGTACTACTGACTGAGTACTTGAGTATGTGAACATGACTGTAGTGTCACGGTGTCCACTTGACCGAGATTGCTGTGCAAGCACTTCAAATGTTGAGTGCTGAGTAGATGCATTGCCCAATTTCATTGCTACATACAGGCATGAGGATTTGTGTAAACGTGACGCGGGAAGATATGGTAAATATAACATTTGCATAAGGCAGGGAATGATCCCCGATATAAACTCCAGTGTAGTGAGGAGTAACGGTGTGGCATAGCGGGCCAAGATTTGTGTCAAGAACCGTTTCGTACATGATCATGTGTATCCAGGCAAAGCAAAGCTCCCAACCTCCACAGATAAAGTCGTCGGCGCTTCAGATCTCGTTAAATGGCAAAACTAGTGGTTCGGTCACTAGCTTGCGCAACCAGGCATTAGGTATTGCTGATCGTCTGTTCATTATGACTGTTGCTGATCACTGCTGTTCAAATCGCCGCTGTGCTGGTTGCCGTTGCGATATGTGTGCTCTGACTTTCATGTTGTAGATTTAGATGGGCGTATTGTATAAATCTACGGTCTTCCCTTCAGATTGCCGTCCACCAAGTGATGGCTACCCCTCTGGCTTGCGAGGTATCACCACCTAAGGGTTTGGTGTAACTTGGCGAAGGATGGGTCTCTGTTGTGTGGAGGAAATGAGAGCGGTATTTGTCTACCTGGGCAAGGACCTTTTGATTCTAACATGAAGCCAGATTTTGGTTGGAAAAAAAGTCCAGCAGAGTTTGCCATAAGGTTGCTGTGGACATCAGGACCTTCAAGTTGAAGCCTTCCAAGAATAGATGATACCATCCAACCTGACATTATCATATACTTCATAGCCCCGGAAAAGAGGTCCAGCCGTATTTCCAGGGAGATGGACATGCTTGCCGTTCCATTTTGTTGATTCAAGATATGAAGACCATGGAGAACCTTGAAAACGAACACGACTCGACCGAGGCGCAACATCAGCTCGAGCTGCGGCTTCTGGCATTCGGGACCTGACCCTCTTTCGATCCTGCAGGTGGTTGTTTTTGCTGACATTAGGCGTATCTACCTCCCTTCCCGCCCTGGTGTTTTTTTTTTCTTTTTTTTGCTTCTTTTCAACTTTTTTTTCTCTTTTTTGGGATTTCGGTGTTTTTTGTGAAATTTCTTTTTCGGAAATAAAAAAAAAGAGAAACGAAACGGAAACCGAACAGGAAAGCTATGCCTTGGCCGGCGCTGGAATCATTTGTATCAGCTTCGCATTCTATAAACCACTTGGGCAGTTGGACAAGACAAACTTACGCTCACGGGGCTCTACCGGGTGAGAACCCGGGTAGGCCGTGGCCTTGGCCTTGTTTCGCGACCCCTTTTCCTTCGAGGTCTCTGGGCCAGCTGGCTGAACCGCTGTGGCAGACGCCTCAGCCGGGGTGGTATCCTCAGGGGGCACCGTATTGGTGCCGTGGAGAGCACCGTGGCCCCCCACCACGGCCACCACGGCCACCGCCACGAGAACCCCCATGAGGGCTACCACGACCTTGACACCTGCCACGGCGGCGAGCCTCGGCCGCTTCACGCTCCTAAATCATTCATTCATATGTCAGTACTTATCATTAAGACTTCGGCGATCATGGATCAGAGGAGTGGTATTTTACCTCACGCGCGGCGAGCGCAGCCTCGATAGCGTGCCCTACGTCTTCTGCGAACTGGCGTCTTCTTTCCTACATTACAATTAGCATCGTACTAAGTCAATACTACACAGTACATGGAAGACAGTCATTCAAGTGCTCTATTCATATGCTCTATCAATGGTACTGCGGAAGATGGTCTACTAACGTAGCACAGTAAAGCAACGCTAGCAAGAGACGCTCTGCGCAATCATCCATCAAGCATCCAGCAGAGACCCAGAACATCGAATCAAGCACTTGAAAGGCTGCTCCCATATACTGCTGCAGTTATCACGGGTTCCAATGGGGGTGGACTTACCTCCTGCTGCGCCGAACGGCGCTTATCCTTGTCGCGCTTCAGTTGGCGCTTCGTCTTCTTTGACGCTTGGCCAGACATGGTAATCTTTTTTTGAAAAGAAACACTAGAATTTTCTTAGAGATTGCTGAAAAAATGAGATTCAACAGTCTGGCGGACACCTTGTTGTGGTTGATGAAAAGCGGAAAGTACGTTTACGTGTCTACTATTTATGTCTACAGGCACAAACAACCATGGAAGTGAACACTACCTAATTAGGCAGGAACCAGAAAGTACGATGTTTGACTACAGAGCAAAAGGTGCAAACCCTGGGAGTAAAATGATTGATTCTTCAGATGAAGGCTACAGAGTGAGGTTTGACTGAATAGGCAATGACTCGAAAGTGAATGTTTGATTCTTCAGCAAAGACTGCAGACTCGAGTATTTGACTGATTGGGTCATGGCTAAGTGAGGCAGCTTATAGTTACCATGCCCAGGTTGCTCAGATGAATCATGGACACGCGTCTCCTAACTTTCTCTTTTCACCAACTCCACCATACTAGTTCACAACTTGAGACCTTCACACTCTCACTCTCTCACTCTCACGCTTTCACGCTTTCAAGATGGTAGGTGACCCCAAAACTGTATTTTCGGAGTTTGAGATGAGGAGCACCTTGCTCTCATCTCATCAAAGAACTAATCGGCCAGGACCCCGAGCTGAAGAACCTACCTCGAGACAGAGTAATTTATTACTACAATTTGAACTACGAGACCTCCCCCAGAGCAGTACAAAACCCGGAGAGAAAAGATGAATAGCCGAATCGAGTTGAATTTGACCAACATCTGTAAGTGTTACCTCCTTTTTCACTCACCTGAGTTGATCCAGAATCTGACACAGTAGAAATTAGGGGCTGGAGGTGAGCTCATGCCGAGCCTTGCACCTTGAAAGAAGAGGCGAATGGATATCCTTGGGGATCTGGTAAGTCAACCTGCTCAAATAAAAAAACGGATAAGATATTAATCGTCATCTACGCAAAGCAACGCGATCGGTCAGAATGTGTCTTGATCAAGCGCCAACAGCCAACGCTTCAGGATGCCACATCGACCCATAAAAGTTGAATGGAAGCGGCATGCGAGAGAACGCCTGGGAAACACTCGCGGACTTTTGAGGGGAATCGAATGTGAAGACGATATTGCGATCCGCCAGCAACAGCGATGAAATGGACACTGAAAAGGTCTGTAACATCTTGACGCCGGAGATACAAACCCTCAGTCCTGGGACGCCACATTGACTGGCTTCCGTCCAATATCGGTCAATTCGGACCAGACTTCGATCAAAATTGCTTTCCACTGGTTGCTGACTGATTCGGTACCGAAAGAAACTGACGGGGATAAGGAAGGAAAGATAACATTCGGTGAACGCCCTTATACCCCTGAGCAGCGACACCGATTTTCTAGGAAGTCGCCCGGAAAATGCACATCTTCCACCAATAACTCAAAACGGAGATACAATCCGGGTTTATTTTCACAGTCACAACTGATCATCCTGTGGAAAAGCCACTGCCCTCGTTTGATTTACTCGGGTTGCTATGGCATCTTACCCGCATTGCCTCAATGCTAGGCGGCGGAGAAAACGATGACAGCGATGGCGACAGTGACGACAACACGAATCCTGCTGTTCAGTTCATGGATCCATCCAAGGAACCGCCTGAAATTTCGACCACGTGGCCCTGATGGATAAATTAAGAGTCCCATATCGATCCAGATCTAAAGACTCGCCCCTATCCCAATTAAGGAGAAGGGGGTTGTGAGAGTCTTTAAGGGTGCCATCAAAACACTCATCACGAGCATCATCCGCTCATAGTGAGAACGCACCACCCAGGGCTTCACCAGCACTACGACTACGCCGGGTTTCCTCTATGGATGACTTAACTAATCAGATGCGCAATGTGAGACTTTGCTAGCAGGAAGCAACCGAAGTTACCCGCAAGGGTTGTTGACGTTTAACATCCTGCGTAGGAGAGCGACCGAAATTGTCCGTCAGGGCTTTTGACGTTTTACACCCCTACCTGCTGTATTGTGAGGTAACTGAAACTGTCCGTCAGGGCTTTTGACGGTTGACCCCACAGATATTCGGAAAACACCCCTCACACGAGGAGACTGAGTACGTCTTATGAATCCCATCCTGTAGGACGGGGTCTCCGCGAGCGGAGACCAGTAGCCATGAGTATGGACCTCTACGCGGTGCTACTGACTAGTAGCCTTTTGGTGAAGCTAGCGCATACTCAAATCGTTTTTGAATCAACCGACCTCATTTCTGAAGATAGAAAATTGTCCGGACAGCAGAATATGACCCTGAATTTTGCTTTTTTGGTACAAGCTTACCAGATAGCAATACCCTACACCAATATTTGAAGTACACCGCATGGAGATATCGCACGGATTTGTTTTTACAGTCAGGTATCCGCTCCTGGTGACTAGCAGCCATGAGTATGGGTGTCCAGCCTGAGTTAGCTGTATCCGTAGCCGAATGATTCCCTACTCCTCTGTGTACATGTGTAAGTACCCATGTCCAAGTGCCCAGTAGAAAAGAGATCTGTACCACTAATAGTATAAACCTTGAAGCTCCGTGCGTACTACTAATTCATGTTCTGTATATGCCAGTGTGTCGTACTATGCCCAGATGTAGGTACCAGTTGACCCGACCTCATAATATTAAATTGCAACGACCACGCATAATCAATGATTGTCTCTTGGTTGGAGTACTAGTAATTTGAATATTCAAAATAAGATAAAATGATACATCTATTTTCTACTTATAGGATTAATCATCTGCGTAGATCTCATAATAGACCTATATATTGGGGTACACATGATCTTGGATTTAATTGGTCTAAACTCCATCACGAACCATGACCCACAAGTTACAAGTTCATCTCAGCTTCATTTCGCCCCAACTAGATGATCAGGCTTGATTATTTATATTCAAGTTGTCATTTTATACTGGATGATTTGGTCTCTTTCTATATTAACAGCGACTTGAAGTTGAATCTCAGATTAATTCTACCATGGTTGGGAAATCTCACAAAATCCCAAGGTTCCAAGGTTGAGAATTCCTGATCGACTGGAATGATCAACACAGTTAGCGTGGAATGGAGCTCCATGTTTATGTTATTTCTTTCTTTTCCTCCCGCTTTTCTTGGGCCTCATAGCTCTCATTGAGCTTCCTCTTTCTTTCTAAATTTAACTATGGGTTTGCCTCTCCTTTCATAAACCCCCCCACCTTATCACCCACAACCTTGGAAAATCCACTCGTTCCTTTTCCGTCCGTCGATCCTTACCTTTGCGCCGGTGTGACATGTAATCACACCGGGAGCAACTTACAACATTAATCTCGATCTTTTCAAATCCCTTGCTCGGTGTGATGGCTACTACTAGCACCGCACCGCTTAGTGCCAAAAGCAAACTCGCCGGAGCTTCGCTGAAAATCACTCCTTCAAATTCCCCCGTACTCCGGCCAGGGACCCGATCGGTCAATAAATCCCCCCCACCAATCGTCACTTTCGCTTCAAACTGTCCTAGGGACAACCACTACCACCCCAAATGGATTCTCGAGTCATGATCAGAGCAAAAGCTTTGCACTATGTGCAGGCTCAGCTGCCGTACTCGCCGAGCTGGACGACGATGCCAACCTAACCCAACGATTCTTTCGAGCTCGCCCCTCAGCGACCAGTGTGAACCCGACTTCCTCCTTTTATAATCAATCGACCCCTCCTTCGACCCCAGACCCTCGCTCGCGCTCGCTTTCCCATATTCGCTCCAATCCTCACCTCAATGTACCCAATGGCTCTCCGTCTAGCGACACCGCGGACGGTGGGAGTCCACGCGCCTGGTCATCTCGTGAAAGAATCAAGGCGGTTACCAGTGTCTCATTGAGCCCGAATGGGAGATTTTTGGCGGTCGGAGAGGTTAGTTCTCTCTGATCCATGTGTCTGTCACTATCTGCATGCAAATAAGATCTAACATGGCCCAGACCGGATATAACCCTCGAGTTATGATTTTCTCTACCGCGAAAGATGCCCAACCTGACGTACCTTTGTCAATTCTCTCCGAACACACGTTTGGTGTCCGAAGCATTGCCTTTAGTCCCGACTCACAATACCTAGCGACTTTGGGTAATATGAACGATGGATTTCTCCTGATCTGGTCTATCAACCTCAAGAATGGATCAGCAAAGCTGCACTCAGCTAACAAGTGTACCTCCTTCATCCGAGATATGTGCTGGGTGGGTCAAGCGCTCGTTACCACTGGTGTGCGTCATGTCAAGGTCTGGAGACTTCCCATGTTGCGTCCAGTCTCCCCCACAAAGTCTCGATTGAATCTGGATGGAGGAGGGCCTTCACCAAACCCGGCTCCAAAGGCTCTCTCAGGGAGGAACTGTTTGCTTGGGGCTCTGGGGGACAGCACTTTTACCTGTGTATCAAGCATTTCTGATCAAGAGGCTGTGCTTGGTACCGAGTCCGGCGCAGTATGTCTTCTTGATGACCGAGAAGGGTCTCAGAAGTTGTGTTTCATAACTCAGCTCGGATTCGGTGTTAGTTCTTTGGCAATTGATTTCGACCGAGAATCCATCTGGCTAGCTGGCCGGGGGAGAAAGATGCAGCGTGTGTCATTTGAGTCCCTTCGAACTGCGCCATCGGCCGCACCAATGTCACCTGCAAGATCTTTGAAAAGCGCACCGGACAAGCAAAGCAAAGCACCTGCGATTACTTGCATGGGATCCCTTTACTCCCATCTAGTTACAGTCGAGGCAACCCGCGAAATCCACATTTATCCAATAGATTCCTTGCAAGAGGAAGGAGAGCAAGAAAATGGCCAGACTTCGATGCATGCCCATCGTGATCCAGTTCTCGGCATTCGGGGCCTCACGCAGCCCAATGAATTCGCAGCCGACTTCTTCTCCTGGTCGCGCAGCGGGTCCGTCAACTTTTGGGATTCGCGCGGTAAATGTCTCTCCTCACAGACCGTCTCACTCGAACAGGCGTCTGCTGTTGACGAGGACGTGGCAAATGAGATGAAAGTCCTTCGAGCGGCTGATAAAGGAGCCTGGTTCGTTTCTGGTGATAAATTTGGTGTCTTGAAAGTTCTCGCTGGCAAACCATGGACCCCCGTCAGCGAAGCTCGCGCTCATGGTGCTGAGATCACTGATATCGCCATATATGAATCTCCTGATTCTTGTCTGATAGCGAGCTCTGGCCGAGATCGTATGGTGCAGCTTTTTGAGAAAACCGAAGATACCCTCCAGCTGATCCAAACGATGGATGATCATGTGGGGGCAGTGGGACAGCTGCTCTTCATGGACGATGGTGAGAAACTTCTTTCAAGCTCTGCAGACCGGACAATTCACATCCGGGAGCGTGCAACCCGAGAGGAAGATGGAGCAACTTCAGTCGCATATCTCATCTCTCGAATTGTTACTCTGAAAGCATCACCCGTCTCTATGACGTTTTGCCCCGACGATTCCAATACACTATATGTATCAACAATGGATCGAAATGTGTCGAAATTCGACGTACCATCAGGACGACAGTTGCACTGCTTTCGGTCATCCGACACCGAGGCAACTGATGCTGTGATCATGGGATCATTAACAGTAACCTCTGAAATTCCGGGCCAATCTCCAAAACTTTTGCTTGGGCTTTCCAGCACTGATAAATCAATTCGTGTCTACGATCTGGAAAGGGACTGTTTGCTTACCGGGGAGTTTGGACACACTGAAGGAGTGAGTGATCTTCTACTGCTGGACCAGCCAGACGACTCAGACAAATCGATCATGAACCGCCAAGTGGTATCTGCCGGCATAGATGGCCTTCTGATGATTTGGAACTTGGCTGTACAACCTCAGCCATCTCCTGAGCTCGGACAAAGTGGCCGCGAAGACGAAGGGCCTGTAAAAGAGGTGACCGCGGCAAAGCCACCTCTACGCAAGGTGCTCTCGAGAAGCGAACTTGCCGGATTTCGACCTGAGAATCCCCTCGGCACACCAACCCCAGTTCGCGAGCTGTCCCCGACTTTGACAAGGAGAATGTCAAAACTTTCCTTGACTCCTTCAACCCTCAAGAATCAAGCAGTCACCGAAACACCATCTCCTCCGAATCGTCTTTCTCCTACTTCTTACACCCCCATTGATCAGTCTCGTCGCTCTCCTTCGCCAGTGAGCCCAAAGTCGAGACTCTATTCCAGAAAGCCCAGTAGCGTCAAGAGCACCAGTCGCCGCACGTCGCTGGACTTCAGATCACGCGGGAAGACGTCAACTCGCAGCGATTTCGGCAGCCTAGAAACCTCCACAGAGCAATTGTGTCGAACTCTGCGAGCGTATCGCAAAAAGCTCAATGGCTCCTCGCAAAACATCCAAGCTCGAAAAGATCTTGAGCGTGAACTGAGCCTTACCCTTCGAGCCGTCAATTCGCGTTCTCTCAATAGCGACGAGAGTACTGAAACCGAAACGGACAGCAGCGGCAAAGATATGGAGCGCAAGCAAAGCTTTTCATCTATTTCTTCCAGGTCTCCTCATCAACCACGCCATATGCCCTCGACTCCATCCTTGCGCAGCCGAAATCTACCAAAAGTTTCCAGAAGTCACTCTTTTGACACCACTGCTGAAGAGTAATCGTTTTTCATATTTTTCCCCTTTGCATGGAAGTGGCTGCGGCTCTTCTCATTAGCAGCTGTTACTACTCTGGCTTGAATGGTCTTGAGTATGACTTTTGCTATCATGATCATTCTCCATTTTTCCACTCTCGCTAGATTTGCATTTTCTTCCTGCCATACCTCTTATGGATTTCAAGTTCCTTTCCCCTTGCGTTTCTTTTTCTCAGTTTGCCACCTGTTATTGTCCACTCTCCCTCTCCTTGTCTTTCCATCTTAAAGGGAGGCCCTTTTATCACTTCCGTGCCCGCTGCCCGGCGGGTTTTATACTTCTGATGATACCCATATTACTCTAGCTGGCCCATGCCATGTATCCAGAGCCTACATTATTATTATTTTTTTTCAATCTCGTATTAAATCTTTTTTTTTATTTTTTATTTTTTTCGGTTAAAAATAACTTAAAACCCGCCCTACTCGGCCATAACAACGAAACAAAACAAAAAAAGCACAGACAATTTGGTTTTCTTTTTTTCTTTTTTTCCCCTCCTCTTTCTTAGACCAACCCCTCCAGCCGTCTTTTGAACAGCTGGACGAGGTTGGCCCCGTCCTCATTCTCCATCTTCTCTGCCAACTTAATGGCCTTCTCTGCCCACCGCTTGTAGTCCTCGTCCTTCTCCTCCGAGTAGAAGTCCATGGCCTGGTTGAACGAGGCCCTAGCGAGGTAGGCAAGCTCGCTAGGTGGGTACACCAAGTTATGGCAAACCGAGTGACCCTCGGTTTCCAAAGCGGCACGATGCATTTCCTGGTGTGTGGAGCTTCGAAGGTACTTTCCCTCATCGATCAACGTAAGTGCCTGGTCCAGAACGAGCTCGGCAATTTCGAGATATGAAAATGTGCCCTCTTCGGAATTGGCTCTAGCTTCCATATTGTGAGGTCTGCTTTCGAGGTCGAAATCCTCAGCCAATGAGGGCACTCGGTGAAATGCTGAGCTTCCGTCGGTACACAGCTCAAAAAGAACGTGCAAGAGGTAAGGGATAAAGTCCGTCATCCAACGAGGGAATCCTCTGCCTTCCCAGAAACCGCAGAACACACGCTAGTAAACTTTGGATTAGTCAAATTTCTCTCAGATATGACGGAGGTTATACATACTCGAATCATGTAGACCTTCATCTTTCGGGGTAGGTCCATTCTCAGGAGGAGGCTCATGACCTGTCGGCATGTATCTTCAGACTGCAAGTAACAGGACTTGAAAAGGCCTCGTGCAGCCTCGGGCCAGTCCCGTAAGAAGAAAGATGCTTCCATGTAGGCAACCCACACGTTCATCTCGGGGCTGGATCCTTCTGGATAGAGTGCCACGATTCTCTGGATTCCGAGAGAATTTTCCATGCTATTGACCAAGTTCGAAACTCGACTGTAGTGCCAGGCCTATGCGAAGTTAGATGATATTTTCCCCTTCTGTATTTGAGTAATTCGGGACAAACATACCGGCCCATAGGGCTCCGAATCATCATCAAGTCGAGCAAGGGCGGTATGTTTGGCGAGTTGGAGAAGGAAAAGTCGGCATTTGTCATGCTCTATCTGTGTCAAAGTGCCCGTGGGCACTGTTCCCAGCCAGATGGGTGCCGTACCATAAGCTCGTGAAAGCTAAGAGAGAAACAAGTCAACAGAGTTCTGGGAAGTATGTGAAGCTTTGACATACCGCAGAATAGGCGGTTTCAAGTCTGTCGCAAAGGGCAAACTTTGAGTTCTTGATTAGTATCCAACTCAGGTTGAAACACTTCTGACAAATCCATCGAACTTCGTCCGCAGTGTAATACTGCTCTTCGGGACTTGCGCCCTGTCGGAGGCGGTTCGCCGCTAAGAACTGTTAGTCGAAAGACCTCTCACGTTATATCATAGGTATGATGTGTCGTACCGATTCCAAGGTGATGAGCCATCGTGTCTGGGATGCCTTGCTCGAGATTCCCTTTCTTAATCTCAACCGACAGAACGTAAATGACGAGACTAGAACTTGATCAGTCTTGAACAGGACTTTTCCATGTTGGGAATCATGTCTTACAGTGATGACTTCTTTTCAGCAGCGCGCAAAGAAGGTGACAAACCATCATCATTTTCAATCACAAGTCGATGAACAAATGAACACATTTTGTAGATAGCCTTCATCACCTCGGAAAATCTGCCTGTGTCATGTGCTGCCATTACACAGCCCTGAAGATAATCAACTTTGTCCAGGTCATGTGTGTCGAGCGTGGGATAGATTGAGAGGTGGTTCTGACAGGCACATTCTTGTACAAATTAGCTGGATACTCACATCGATCAATAGAACCAGGGCCCACTTACCATCATCGTTGTCGATATCGCATGTATGAAGGTGGACTAAGTACTGCAACCACATAACTTTCGGGTCGAGTTCACCGGATTCAGGGTCTAGATACGGAGATATCTCCTCGATCACCTTTCGCGCAGCTTCAATGTCCATGCATTTCAGAGAAGATGACACATATTTTCTAATCTCGGATTAGCAAAAGGGCCTTCCAAATGGGCAAAGGAATATACTTCTTAGCCTGGTCTTTGTTGAAATCCGAGGCCTCAAGGAGCAGCATCGAGCTGGCATCGATCAGGAATCTGCACCATTTTTGCGCGTTGAGAAATTGACCCGTACTGAACTGTGTGTCCATTTGTTTCCAGACAAACTGTAGAGAGGGGAATTTGTAAGTCTCTTTTCCATCAAGATTCTGGGACAGGTCATCTTACTGCCATAGCCGCATGGGCTGCAGCCTGCCTCAGTGGCTTCACGCCTTTTTCATGCAAGGTTTTGGCTGCTTCAGAAATTCCTGAGACTTTGTCTTCTTCAGGTGCGCCTGATTCGGTCGCCGAGCAAGCAAAGCAGAGGAAACAATGCTCAATCAAATCATCTTCACTCTCTGCCAAACGCAGGACCAGCTCCTTGAAAGCTGAAATCTCAAATGCTCCACTGAGAGAAAGTCAGCATTCCAGAAATGGACAAAAAAAATATGAAACGTTAAAAATACCTGTCCGGTGCAGAGAGGTTGATGTAAGACATGATCCTGCGTTGATTGTTAGTACAGACACGTGGGTTCAAGGATGATGTGATGACTTACAAGTTCACTGCACTCGCCGTGAGTTCCATTGTGGTGGAGATTTGGTTCAAAACTTTTAATTTTGGTCAGTGTCTAGAAGAGCTCGAAGGGGATACTTGAAAAATAGATACCTGTGAAATATTCTTGGATGTCAGGTAACTCAGGTTTGCCCATGTCGCGGATCACATCCAGTTGTAGAAAGAGAACGGCATGTTCGGTTCCGTGATCCTATTCACAGTTAGCTCACAGGTGCACAAGAATCTTAAACCCTTGAGATCTGACCATTTTGAGGATTTTGAGATGTTCCAGAAGCTTTTCGCGTGCCTTCTCTGTCTTTACTGCCAGATATGCTCGTACTAGATAAACAATGTTAGGATCAGTTTGACAAGTTGCACTCATATGAGGGGGGAGGAAGGTGAAGGATTGGAGGCGCTCACCGAGTGTGTGTCGCAGGGTCAGACCAACGTGGGCAGGAATTTGCTCTCCTCTAGTCTTATCTTCATTGCAATCGTCAAACAAACGCACTGCTCTTTGCAACCATCTGATTTTTAATCCTTCTCCAGGAATAAAAAGTGGGTCACATGCAATTTCGTAGCAGGTCTCGATCACCATTTGGGTATTGTTAATGGATTCCGCTGGGGGTAGCTGTGAATAGTGATACTCCGCAAGGTCCGATCGACAGTCAATGCAAGACTAAGATAAGTTAGTTGCACTCCTATAGTATGGCGTAGTAAACATGAACTTACCAATTTCACACGCAGCATGCAGTACTCTGCATTAAACGATTGAAACAAGACACTGTCAACAGAAGAAGATAACAATCGCAAAGCTTCAAGTCGGCTAGCCGCAATTGTCAGGTTTCCAAGAGCCAACTTTAGTTCCAAATTTTCTAAACAAGCGTGAGTTAGGAACAACAGCAATTGGCCTAGGCAGGGAGGGAAAAGAAATACCGAGCAGAAAGCGAACCGTTGGAAACACCGCTTTGAGGACCCTAATATGTCCAGTAATAGTGTTTGAGGTTCCTCTATTGATCATAGAAGCAGCAATGCCTTGCACTAGGGAAGTTAACATCGGGTTAGATGGTCCAGACCATATCAAGCAAAGGTAATAGAACATACCTGCGCTGAGAGACTTTCGCCTGGTTTTATTACCGCCGCACTGGATTGAAGCCTCTCTACACGCATTCCATAAGTTGGTTCCTGGCTTGTCAAGCTCGGGCTGATAGTCGGTTGATGGGCTCTGTTGGACATCCTCTAGATAAGGATCAAGTCTTCTGCCCTTGAGAAGAGGAAGGATCCCATTGATGAGACCCGCTTCGATTGCGTTATCGGAGGAATTCTTAGACACTATGATCTGCCAGTCATGAATGGCCCCTATTAAGCTTGTTGTTTAGTGTTTATTTGGGGTACCTAGGCACGCGCCAACACATAACACCGCACAACAAAGATCGGTTGCTCGTACCTGCTAGTGCAGCCGCCCGGTCTGCCTTCTCCTCAGCAGAGGCCATTTCGATGATTGATAGTCGTAATAAAGGAAAAAACAGTCAAAACAACAGACTCCAAATGTCAGTTCAAAATCCTCATAAAATACGAGCGAAGGGTGCGGAGAACTGGGAGTGGAGCGAGAGACGAAGTGAGAGGAGGAGAAGTGATTGTAAGAGAAACGCGACTAGTTAAGCGAGAGCAAACTACGCTGCGAGAAATACACAAGCTCTCACTCTGCCCTATCGTATTTCCTAGTGAATTTTCTTATTTTCAGGCTACTAATTAATAGTACGGTTATTATTATGGAGGATAGGTAGTGCATAGATATATCGTATCAGGACTTCATATAGTACTACTAGTACATGCCCGGAGTGGTATAGGGGGGGAGGGGAAATACGACAGATTAGAGCTAATTGTAAAGATATTGAGTTGTATAATTGACTGCATAGGTAAGATCGATAATCTTTTATATCAGATTTATCAATTCTTTCAATAATACTTGCCAAATTGAACGGCAATTTTATACATCGTGTAGAGTACAAAGTACTTGTAAGTGGATCCTCAATGTCGATCCCGCCTCCACCGCGAACCGCTAACCGCTAACCGCTCCCGTTTGTTTGCGCTTGACGCGTACTTGTACTCTTCAACCCTTGTCATTCCCCCACATCTTTGTTGCGATTGTTTATTCCAAATCATGCCTCCAAAGCGCAAACGTTCCGGTGATGATGATGGTGAGAACGACTCTCCCAAGCAATTTGCCTACCTGAAACCGCAAATTCGTCGCGTCCCTGAGAAAACCATCAAATCAAAATGGACAACTCTACCGGAGCCGGTCCAGGAGAATGTCCGCGAGATGTTTCACGCGCTAGAGCGTCCTGTGGTTATGCGCCAGCCGAATGAGAAGAAGCGTATCGAAGCCCAGAGTGCAGTTCAAGCGGTGGTGCGAAAGTATGTTCTTTTTACCCCCAAACGCAATACAGGGCCAGCATTGATACTGATTCATTAATAGTCTAGGGAAACGACTACCACGCATGCCATTTCCTCCTATCACAAAAGACTCCAATTTTGACTACGAATCTGCGTTAGATGAACACGTACGAGACTCTTCCATGATGGCCTGACGAGCATTGCTAATGTCTACACGCAGCGCACACTTGAGGCAAACTTGGCTACGATTAAGGATAGCAGCGATCTTTTGAGAGCTGAAATTGCCAAAGAAGAGGCACTCCTGGCGAATGAGAAGAAAGCGTTACAGCAGATGGACAAGAATGCGAAGCGTGCAGAGGCCGAGCGAAAGAGACAAACGAAAAATGTAGGAGCGACCCCTGAAAATTGTACGTTCATTATCACTGATATGATTTATCTCTAGGAACATCCGGTTCTCCGACGCTTAGACGAACTACCTCAGAGCTCCAGAACTACTGAATTTGCGTTGGTAGACACGAAGCCCAGCCAGGCAACTCTTGACGAGGTATGGATTCTAAATCAAATGCGCGTCTCGAGTGTGACATGCTAACTAAAATTATAGCTTGATGTCGATCCTGAGATCCAGGGACTGATGAAGCAACTGCATGGTCACCTTCAATCCATGCAGACCAATACCGCACCGCTATCAGGGCTAAGGGACGCACTTGTTCGCTCCCAGGCGGCACTAGATCTCTTTAATGGGTCCAATGATTGAAAATAACCGGCTGAGAATCATGAGAATCTTCACTACGAGGCTGATAACCTCACCGCGAAACAGAAGCGACGAGCCTATATGTGGCAACTCTATTCCCTATGTGATCGGGTCGCAATACGAGCAGCAATCGGGGTCACAATTTCCCGTTTCCCGGCCGATCTCACATGTGAATCTTACTCGCATTGAGACGTCAGATCCGTCATCAGGACGCCGCAAAACGGCGATTCACGGGATGGCCGATCTCACAAACCCCACCTAGTGGGGTTTACATCAACCCCAGTCCATTTCTCAAAGGAGGTCCAAGCGGTTTCGGATTGATGAAGCACTGGTAACCATGTGCATTCCTAAAATGGCGACCTTGTTCAGAACACATACTGGCACCTTCGACACAGGCTAAAGAGCTAATTTATAATAGCTATGAATTTCCGAGTGACTGTTACTGTTCCTCTATACCATAGAACATAATGTTACATTGCATGTATCTTATTTAATGCTGTGTATGGATTCTGAATCATGATACAGATTTAGCATAAGATAATAAGCCCTCTGAGGGGATAATTCTTCGACAATCCATGCATAATGGATCCACAAAAACCACCAATCGCCATCATGAGAAATGACCATGAAAGTGATAAAAGTCCGCTCAAACACAAAATGGTATCTTGTTGCAAACTGAACGCCCTCTCGCCAACCTGTAGGCCATGAATCTGCCTACCCGTAAACCGCTAAATCAGACCAATAACAGATAGATAAATAAACAAACTTTTATCTTGGCATCACAAGACCATTAATGCTTTTCATGTCGGCCAGCTGACGCTGAAGAATCTCATTGCCGCGAAGAAGATCCTCTAGCCAATCTGCTGCCTGTGTAAGCATAGCACTCTTGCTGAAGCCACCGCTTCGGAGGCTAGGAACCAAGATACAAAGATCATCGAAGCCTTGACGAATAAGATTGCGTCGCTTTTGCTCAGAAAGGATATGGTTCGTTCGCTTCTGTTCCTCAGAGAGGTTTTCTCTTGGCGCCCTGCTATTGGACTGGATACTTGACTTTCTAATCGCATTGGTTGAAGCCCGTCGACCTCTGCTACTGCCGGATGTGCGCGTTTTGCGACCAATCATCTTTATTTCATCTTCATCTGAGATCGGGTCTTCTTTGATTATCTTTTGGCGTTTGCGGGGTTGTGACGTATCCTCTGAATCCAAAGCATGAATACTGGTGCGGTGGGCATGGCCGCCTGAAATATGGTCTGGGCTAGGAGCCCGGGTGTTGACCGCACTATTCTGTCGTTCAAAGCAATCGAGATGATCCAAGAGTTCTCGGGTGCGAGTCTCTTCATCAGGTTGATCTGGTGGGGCCACATAGCCCTGGTCCATAAAACTAACATCTGTGCCCCATTGCAGAGAGCGGGCCTTTCGAGAGGGATGTTGATCTGCGGGGATAGGGTCTCGAACATCAAAGAGCATTTCAGAAGTGTGATATCCTGTTGGGAGGCGGCCACGAGAAGGAGATGAGACAGCGGGTTGTTGAATAGGGGCAAGTAAGGAATTGCGCCTGGCATGGGTATTGTTAACATGAAGAGGCTGGGTTGTAAATGCTTGCTGGGCCAGCGCAGATCCAATTTCCGGCCCATTTAGGCCGCCCTGGTAAAGCATCGATGCAGCTGCATAAATATCATGCCCCGCCGTATGACCTCCTATCAAACCAGGTTTGCCAAGGCCGTGTTGCTGGAATGAAGGTTGTGACAGAGACGTTGTCGAACCCTCGAAGGTGGGAGGTAGTTCATCGGTCCAATCAAAAAGACCGGTACCCTTACTTTGTTGCGACCGAAGCCATATATCATTCGTAAAGGTATTTGCATTCATAGTCGTAAAGAAATTATCAAGCATATTGGATTCATTATCGTCAAGGAGAGAGGGACCTGGAGGTAAAGCGGGAGCTTGTTCGTAGGGAGTGTCCATGGGGGAAAGAAATGCATCTATATGTGTGATTAGAGCAGTTCATTCCCAGGCTTTTCACTTATGTCTAAAACTCACAGCCAAATGGGCCCGGTGGCGGCGAGTTGCGCCCGTTTTGGGCGACTTCCGGGACAGGGCCATTCATCCTTAGAGCTTGGTAAAAAGAAGACACGAGAGACAGGATTGGTCTGGATTAACAATAACGCGCTCTGATAATCAAGAGCTGTGTCAACCAGCACAATGTGATCATGCCTTTATGATTCTCTGAATCCCCACAATCGCTAGTATGTTTATGGTGATGGACTAGCGACTGGCAAGGTGAAAACGATGAAACAGAGAAGCGCACAAATAAAAGATACTCTCACAGAGAGACGCGACCCCAAACCGTGCAGTTCGGTGATTCCAAATGAGAGATAAACAGAAAAGCTGGGGAAGAGGAAGGTGGAGTTGATCATTATGCGCATCTCTCACTTGCCTCAATCACATGTGAATTTTCCCGGTCGCGTGACGTAATGGTATTACCAAAGTTACGAGTAAATTACGGCCAATCTCCCTGCTGACAGGGCAAATGATACCGCCGGGGTTGAATTAAGATACATGCACAATACATCAATAGTACCTTCCATATTGGTTGTTCCTTCTATCTGCACGTCGAACTATTCATGTACTTTATACCTAAGACATATCTTGCCCCATTTCATCTACAAAGATTCTTCACTTAATCTCTGGATCATAGGACCGAAATTCGGAGTTCTTCCCATTCATCAGATCACCAAAGAAAGAGAGAACACTACCAGGGACTAGGCAAGGACCACTGTTTCTCCGTGTCTTAGGATCTCATCCGCGGTCAGCTCGGCATCCTGGAGAAAAGGATCAAGAGGATCAGATCTTTCCCCCATTTGGCATTTAATCAGAGTCATTTGGACCGGCCTTCATATTGGTGTCCCCGCATAACCAAGGAATTGTTAGCGACACGGATGATCTCTCCCCATAATTTTCTGCATTGTTCACCCCTGAAATACAGTACACTTGATGACTGCGGGGATTCCTCCCTTTCAGGAACCGAGGTCTAATAACCTTTTACGACAACCAAGTTCAAGTCTTTGGACGCGTTCCCTATAAGTTATTCTCTCGTCACACAGATCCACAGTTGATCGGAGGAAGCAAGTCCAAAAAGAGAAGAAAAAATAAGAAAAGGAAAAAACAAAAGAAGAAAAAAGGAAAAAACAAAAGAAGAAAAAAAGAAAAACAAAGATCGTGCAGCTGCCATTGACGCAGGATACTACCCAATTTTTTCGCTGGTCACCTACCCTCTCTTCCCTAAAAGCTTCTGCGAGATCTAACACAGATCTCTGATTGGTGACCGTTGGACCGAATCCTACATTGCAAAGAACTCTTTGACGCGCCTGGTCCAGCCGGATAACTCCCCGGCGCCCGCAATGCTTAGTCGAGACTCTCTGCGGATCATGACATGAAGGTTCCTGACGCTATGGAACCTGCAGCCCGGCTTAGTAGCGGGAGCAGGCACTGTAGAGCCCAGATCCTCAAACCGTGAGTTCCTCCTGATTCCCCTGCTAGTGGAACCAACGATCTACTCGTTCTGAAAGAAGCCTTTTTTTTCTTTTCTTTTTTGGGGGGAAACAAGAGCAGAAAGGTTATACTTCTCAAAAAGCAGCAAGCTCTGACTTTTCTCGGTAGTATTATCCGAGCTTACGCTTTGGGATATCTTTCATCTATTACGCCCAAGATTGTATCTTATACTCGACATCTTAGAGACAAGGATCTCTCCACCAAAGAGAAATTGCAAGAGGTATGTTGCCACGGTACTAAGTTTTGAGATTTCTCTGGCTATTTGGAAAACATCTCACGTCTCTTAAGGAGATCCCTTCCTCACCATACACCAGGCACAGTCATTCTGTGGCTGTCCGAAACAAACAATTGCTGATACTACAAACCTTATAGTTAGCACAAGTTCTGGCCGGGCCTCTGCGCCTGAGCGGGTTTCCAACATTCTGTGGAGCCCTGATTGGAGGTTCGACCATCTTGCCGACCCTGCTGTACCAATTGTACGCATGGATCATAGTAGGTTCTAAGGGTCACATCCGTATCTCCCAAAAAGGTCAACGGCTGCTTCGATTTGCCGCCGTGTTTATCTCAGCGTGGTACAGCTTCCAACTTTTAAACAAAAACCGCTCAATCTCGCGGCAACAAGCCCAGACTAGAAGAGCCTCCTCCAGCCAGCATGATTCCTCCAATTCTCCAGCCAATAGTCTCGAGCGTCCGTGTCCGGAGCTGGCCGGGAAAACAATGGATCTGACCTTATTCACTGTCACGAGAGCGGCGGACGTGATAGCTTGCATGGCATGGCGCCGATGGTATCGTTACCGGAAGTCCACGAACCGCTGGACAGTCATAGAGACTTTTGCACCTGGCCTAGCGGACGCTGGTGTGTTTGCTTTGAGCGCTGCCATAGTGATGTGGGCCTGGTTCTACTCTCCCGAAAGGCTACCACGGACTTACGAGAAATGGATAGGAGGAATAGCTAAGGTGGACACTCGGTTAATCGAGGCCCTTCGTCGTGCCCGCCGCGGGGTATTTGTATATGGAAAAGATACCGGCCAAGCGCCTCTTCTTGAATCTATGTGCAAAGACTACAATTGGCCCGAGGAATGGGGAGACCCGGCTAAGACGGCCCCTATTCCATGCGAGATGGTACACATGGGCTGCGGTCCCAATTGTGAGAAGCACGCATTGTCACGTTTTGCCAAAACCTTCAAGTTTGCCTGTGCAACCTACATCCCACTGCAAATTGTCTTCCGCTTTCGGAGGATGAAGTCCCGTGCTGCACTAGGCCGTGCCATCTCCGACGCTGCCCAGTCATCAGCTTTCCTCGCCTCATTTGTGAGTCTTTTCTACTACTCGGTTTGTCTAGCCCGAACGCGGCTTGGCCCCAAAATATTCGACAAGGACACTGTCACTCCGCTAATGTGGGACTCCGGTCTTTGTGTTGGGGCTGGATGTCTCATGTGCGGTTGGAGCGTACTGGTAGAGAAAACGCGGAAGAGACAGGAGTTGGCACTCTTTGTGGCACCTCGTGCTGCGGCCACAGTGTTGCCACGGTTGTATGATAGAAAGGTATGTCCAAGCCTCGCATTGCCCAGATGAAGATGGTTACACATAGACGAGCCATGCCCCCTCTCTATTTCAAGCCTCTGAAATGGTGTGGACTGCGGCCGATTCCAGATTGTCACGCGGTGCTAATAGCTTTTCCCTTCCTGTTTCAGTATCAATACCGCGAATGCATTGCCTTTTCCATCAGTGCTGCAATCATATTTACTTGCCTCCGAGAAAACCCACGCATGATCCGAGGAGTTTTCGGTGGCATTGCGACGAGCGTGTTGAGTTAGACCAGCCGCCTGGGGAGTCCTCGTTGAGAGTGTCTCATATGTCTTATTACAACATTATTGCAAGCAAAGTGATCTTGGCACCTTACTGATCTCCTCGATGCCTCATTTCCCACTTATGTGATTTTACAGCACTTTTCCTTCTTGCATGTTATCTCACGACTGTATTATATGCATTTCTAGACACTATGACTAGGGCCTTCCAAGCTCAGCAACTTGAATTAATCATAATTTTTATATTTGAATTTTGCCCATGAGATGAATCCCTCATGTCATTGGTCCTATTCGAGTCCCCAACGATATCCAGCCTAAGATACTCTTCGTTCTTAAAATGACATGCATGCATCGGTCCAGATGTATGTAGAAACTCGAGCTATCAAGGAACCTCTTATCGATAAGACATGTCACGTGGGTTACCCGATAACCGACGCCAACCATATCCATCCGACGATGCAATGATTTCCCTTGAAATCCAAGAACCATGTTTCCACGATTGTTCCCCTCATTGGGGGCCTGCCAATTAGGAGGGCGTATTCCTCCGCGATCAATATACCTGCAGAGGGGTATATTTGCTGCAGAGAAACGATACTTCTCAAGGAATGCCTTCTTGCACCAAAAACAGCATGCTTCCTCCGCACCATTCAATACCCCCCCAATCGAAGGAGCGCAATGCTTCTACTCTGTGAGAATAATCTGAAGTTCGCCAGAACTCAAGCAAAAATGATGAAGCTCTAACATGATACCAGGTACTACACCATCAGTCTCATCCTAGGAACTGTAGCACTTGCCTACGGCTCCGTTCCCCTCTACAAAATGGTATGATCTTGATTTCGTCAATGACCTAACGTCGCAAGAAAAATTCCGTCCTAACTGTCTGAAACTTTAGATCTGTCAACAAACCGGCTGGGGAGGCCAGCCTATCCTCACCCACCGAGTTGGTGACGGCGACACAGCTGACCGCGTAACTCCAGTCACCGACTCACGCCGACTGCGCATCACATTCAACGGCTCCGTATCGGACGTCTTGCCCTGGAAGTTCACTCCACAGCAACGCGAGGTCAGAGTGTTGCCGGGAGAGACCGCACTGGCCTTCTACACCGCAACGAACAAGGGTCCCAACGACATTATTGGAGTTGCAACATACAGCGTGACACCTGGTCAAGTTGCGCCATATTTCAGCAAGATTCAATGCTTCTGTTTTGAGGAGCAGAAGCTCAATGCGGGCGAGTCGGTCGATATGCCCGTTTTCTTCTTCATCGATCCAGATTTTGCTACGGATCCCAATATGAAGGGAATTGATACTATCACATTGTCCTATACTTTCTTCAGTGAGTAACTCAGTCATTTGCTATACCATGGACTGCAGCTAATGCAAAACAGAAGCGAAATATGATGATAATGGGGTTCTGAAACCCATTGCATCATAATCTCCTTGACCACCTCAAGGATGCTAAAGGTTATCGAGTTCTACGAGGGGAAGATACCCCCCAATCAGGACAAGAAAATAAGCGACCATGATCCAACCGCTACTTCTTGTTTCCTTTTCCCATCTCATCTCCACACATATTGTGTCTGTACCATAGATTCTAGAAGTCAGGTTGAACTTCAACTCATGTACAAGAAGATCCTTCAAATGTTACAAAATATCAACGTAATTGGTTCAAAAATAACACTGAAAACCTACCCAATCGCAGGACTTCATTTGAAGTACTGTTCCAACTTGGAGTGATTTTATCTATTCTGCTCTATCTTCACTCTGGTATAACTTCCGAGTCGTCCTGCACTTGAAAGCCCTGTGAATGCTTCCTACCGCTATAAATGCAGCACCTGAGCAGAAGTAGTACCATTTTCTAGATAATTCCAGAATATTAAAATCATTCAATCCTCCCAAAAAGCATCTGTTCCCCATGAAAATGTCTTACTTAAAATGGATTCCATTGCATGTCTTGTATGTAGTGTCAAAGGCTGAATGGACAGAACGCACGGGCCACATGTTAATTGGTCGCGCGTTTTCGACGCGTCCTTTCCGCTCTCGCATTTTCCAAAGCTCATACCTACCACGATCGCTCTCATTAAGATTCAAAGTATTCAAAATTTACACAATGGCTTTGCTCGTCGATAAGTTGCGCCCAAGGTCGCTTGATAGCCTCACATATCACCCTGAGTTATCAGATCGCCTTCGATCATTGGTGAGATCTCCCTTGCACTCACAACACCCGCACTAGCTAATATTCGAGGCATTACCTATAGGCGCAAAGCGGCGACTTCCCTCATCTCCTAGTCTACGGTCCTTCAGGAGCAGGCAAGAAAACACGTATTATCGCCACACTAAAAGAGCTGTACGGCCCCGGAGTCGAGAAGATAAAAATCGACGCTCGAGTGTTCCAAACGACTAGTAACCGCAAGCTTGAATTCAATATCGTCTCATCCGTCTATCATCTTGAGATCACACCCTCAGATGTTGGCAACTATGACCGTGTCGTTGTCCAGGAACTATTGAAGGAGGTTGCTCAGACACAGCAGGTGGATCTTGCTGCAAAGCAGCGCTTCAAGGTGGTTGTGATTAACGAAGCCGACCACCTCACCCGTGATGCTCAAGCCGCCCTGCGTCGAACCATGGAAAAATACAGCCCGAATCTGCGATTGATCCTCTTGGCCAATAGCACATCTAACATCATCGCTCCAATCCGTTCTCGTACCCTGCTGGTCAGGGTTGCCGCTCCCACTGAGGAGGAGATTTGCTCGGTGCTCCGTATGGCTGCAAAGAGAGAGGGTTGGACTGAGGCTGAGGGACTGAACCAGCGGATTGCACGGGAGAGTCAACGGAATTTGCGCCGTGCCTTGCTAATGTTGGAGTCTATCTATGCACAGAAGTATGTGATGGTTTACATGAGCCTTGTTTTGGGTAATTTGAATGCTAATTTTTCATAACACCACAGTGAAAAAGTAACCGACATGACTCCAATTCCACCTCCCGACTGGGAGGCCCTTATTTCTATCACTGCAGATGAAATTCTTGCTGAACGTTCACCTGCTCGGTTATTGCAAGTCCGCGCTCGCCTCTATGATCTTCTAACCCACTGTATTCCCCCGACAACTGTTCTCAAAGTATGTTGTGAATTCTACGGTACCAATTAATATCTTCTAACTGTTGTGTGCATCAGACTTTGACTTTTATGCTTGTCGCAAAAGTCGACGATGCGCTCAAGCCTGAAGTCATCAAGTGGTCCGCCTTTTATGAGCACCGAATCAAGCTGGGAAGTGTGAGTGTTTCACCAAATAATTTCAATCATTCTGGAAGACATCGCTAATGGTGATTGCAATGTAGAAAGTTATTTTCCACCTCGAGGCTTTCGTGGCTAAGTTCATGCGTATCTATGAGAGGTTAGTCTTGAAAAGTTGAATACTCGTGACGCATATTGACTGCTCTTTAGTTTCTTGATGGGCATGATGGACTTCTAAGCTCACACTGCACGAATGATGATTTGTACACTAAAGACCAAGTTGCCAGTACTGCGACAAAAGTCAGGAATAATATCTGGCCTATGCTCGCTTCTAGGGCAAGCTTGTCTTTTTATTTTCTCTCCTGGCGTAAAAAGGTGCATTTTGGTCCATTGGAAAGTTTTGTCACGTCTTATCATTGAGTAATAAAAATCCTAAATACTATGAGCATGAATTCAACCTCCGAGTGTACTATAATGTACAACCTTACAAGACATTGCATCCATTGAATATGTCCAGGATATGGCAATCTTTAGTGATCTGTCAATGGCATGATGTAAATACTAAATTGCACATGTCCAGGTAAGAAAAGCTTCCAGACTTACCATGGTCCTACTACGTCATCACATGTGCACAAAGTCATCTTCCATATAAGAACGCTTTGCCTCCCATGGAACTTTGCAAAAGACAACGAAGATATTAAACCTGACATTGCATACTTCTGATATTCAGATTATCATAATCAAAGATGTCCGACGACCCACGACTCATTGATATGGAGCCAGGTGGAGAGAGCACTCAGTATGTATCCACATCGTTTCCCATATTCATCCCAGTTGCTCAAGTGACTAACCTCTGGACATAGGTATGAGTCGATTCGAGAATTTACAATCCCACCTGCGAAGCAAATCGGGCAACTGGGCGGTATGTTCAATGGATACCCTTAGCCATCTACAACAGTTGTTTAATCAGCCTGGAGCTGACCATAAGGCTTCCTTCTAGTCGGTGAATCGCACACCAAAAGCCAACTCAAAACCAAGCCGGTTTCCACGGATTCTCCCGCTTCAGGTGAGGAGAATGAGTTGGCACAGAAATTAGGAATGGGAATAATCAAACCCAGTCAAGGTAGGTGTAAAAAGAGATCCTTGTCTTAACTCCTAATATAACATGAAATTTGCCTAAAGACCCGCAATTACAGGTCTCAGGCATGGAAAAAGCTGACAGTAATATACAGAAGATCTTGATTTCGACAACGCAAGTGATGCAGCTGCTGCAAAGACCAGGAGACAACAGGGGTATGGGCCCGGCTCCGGGGTCGGGGGATAGTTCGGCACAGAGAGGAACCGAGTCGGAGAAACATGATGACAAAAGTGATGGGTGAGGAGGTGAATCTATTTATTGCGCGGGAGGAGAAGAGCTGGAGGAAGCACTTTGAGGCGGGTTTTGGGTTTCGTTGGTTCCGAGTGGAGGGCTTCTGCGAGCCCGCTTGAGGGACTCGAGAGTCACACCGTTACCAAGCTTGGTGATTCCGACAACTGGAGGATCGTCTTTCTTAACAAATTCCCAGAGACCTGTGATAGGGTGAGAGTTATTAGTATGTTTGATTCTCTTACAAGATAGGGCAGATTGTAGTCGGGGCAATGCAAACACTTACCAGGCAACTTGTGACCAGCCAGACGGAATGCCTCCCGGGCAACTTTCTCGTGAACATCTCCCTTCAACTCGAATACAATACGGCTGACGGGCAAACGAACAGTCCAGTAGTCGAATTTACCCTTGCCCTTACCCATACGCTGCTCATTACCCTTGGTGTAGACACCGATGTTGGCAGCCACGCGCTTGTAAAGCTTGTAATTCATTCCTCTCAATCGACGCTTAATGGTCTCCTCAGCAATTTTGAGGGCTGAAGCGGGCATTCGGCGATCGTGGTCCTTCATGCGAATACCGTAGTCTCCCCACACAACTGTTGTTCCTCGTGTTGATCCTCCAGTGGCGACATGGGGGCGACCCTTAGGCGACTTTGATCTCTCAGCAAACTTAGGAGTAAGCCAATCTTGTGTGCGAGATGTGTTGGAGAAGCATCGTGCCAATGAGAAGGTCGCTAAGGATCCCGATGACAGACCTAGAGAAATTAATGATCAGTCCATGGACAACTAAGGAGCATTGAGGAGTGGGAATTATTTCATACATGTTGGCCGAATACAGGCAGACAAAGGCCCAGTGAACATCTTGATCTGAGGGCCCATTGTGATTAAAGAGGGTGACGATTTCAACATGGTCATGGAACTTGGCGCAAGATCCAGAGGCACAATTCGATGCCGAACCACGCTAGACCGAATGGGGAAGAAGTGCTCAGCACGTGACCATCGCGTTTCTTACGTCAGCCAAATCACGTTCCCGTCGCGTCAACGTGAATCGTCGTCACATAGCTGCCTTCGCCTGCTTTCGTTCAAGATCCCCAATCTGTCGGTGTTCTGTTGACTGATACCCCGCCGCTCCATGTGATCAACAGCATTCAAAGATGCCCTCAGATATTAGAAGCTTTTTTGGTGGAAAGCCAGCTCAGAGCTCCCCTGATGCACCAAAGTCTGCGAAGAAAGAGGTAAGCCGTCAACTCTGTCTGTTTCTTCGACCATGGAATTAGTCCAAAATTCCGAGATTTTTGTACCACACGTATAGAATTTATGGCTAACTTGAACAAATTAAAAAGACTCCTTCTACTGCTAGAAAACAACGTATGGACATGTCGTCATTCAAGTGTTCGCCCTAAGTCACCTAAGTCACGGTTCTAATCATCCAGCAGGCAGCAGAAAGGTGGTAGAGGATAGCGACGACGATGAGGAAGTTGCTCCAGTCAAAAAATCAACCCCAAAGGCAAAGCCAAAGACTCAACCGTATGCCCTAAATCCATACCAATTCATCTGCTCGTCCATGATTATCCTAATCACCAACCTCTTTACAGAAAGCCCGAAGAAACAAAAACAGAACCCACTACTACCTCGGATTACTTCGCAAACTCCAGCAAGAAACGCGGTCGGCCATCCAAGAACGAACCCGCCGACCAGTCACCTGCCGAAATCGAAATTCCAGCCGTGAAGAAAGACGCTGATAAACGATCTCCTGCAAAATCTCCGGCCAAGCCTGCAGCCAAGGGAAAGGCTACGGCAAAAACTCCCACAGAGGCTCCATCAAAGGCTCCAGCAAAAGCTTCCAAGAGAGCAGCATCCAAGAAGGCCGTAATCGTCGACAGTGATGACTCTGACGAAGCTATTAGCGATGACGATGATGACTTTGACGGAGGTGACAGCAATGACGATGACGATGACGACTTCGAAGCTGCCGACAGCGAGGAAGACGAAATCCAAGAACCCGGTTCTGATGATGAAGACGACCTGGAAATAGTCGAAGTCAAACCAGCATCTTCATCTAGACGGTCACAGAAGAAGACAGCTGTTGTTGATGGAGATGATGATGTCGTGATGGATGAGCTACCTTCACCACCACCCAAGACAACTCGACCCAGCCGAAAGCGCAAGTCGGAGGCTGTAGATGAAGACATTCCGTCACGTTCCAAGGCCCAGAAGAAATCTACTTCTCCCGTTGCCAAGCGACAAAAGGCCGCCCCGAAAAGCAAAAAGGAGGAAGACGTACCTGAGAACAAGGAGATTCAAGCCATCTTTGACAGTATTCCGACTATTGAGGCCCCGCCACCACCTGGAGCTACCGGTGAGAAGGTCAAATGGCAATTTGGCCAACAGCGCAATCGCACGCCACCAGCGGGTGGATCTAAAGACATCCCTGTCGGTGCTGAAAACTGCCTGGCGGGATTGTCTTTCGTGTTCACCGGTGTCCAAGAGACCATCGGTCGTGAAGAAGGCCAGGAGCTCGTCAAACGCTATGGTGGGAGAGTTACTGGTGCCCCTAGCTCCAAAACCAGCTACGTTGTCCTAGGTAGTGAAGCGGGTCCTTCGAAGCTCAATACTATTGCTAAGCATAAACTCAAAACAATTAACGAGGATGGTCTTTTCGAGCTGATCCGCCGTTTGCCTGCCAATGGAGGTTCTGGAAAAGCCGCTGCAAACTACGAGGCGAAACAGAAAGCAGACGAAGAGAAGATGCGAAAGATGGCAGAGGAGATGGACGCTGAGGAAAAGAGAAAGAAGGAGGAAGCACAGAAGAAACAGGCGAAACAGACTTCGACTCAAGCTTCGCAACCATCTCAAGCCTCACCGGCTGCCCCTTTTAACGATCAGCTTTGGACCACCAAGTATGCCCCGACATCTACAAGCATGATCTGTGGAAACAAGGCTGCAGTTGAGAAGATTCAAAATTGGTTGCGTGACTGGCACAAGCATGCAAAGGCGAACTTCAAGCACGGTGGAAAGGATGGCAGTGGAACTTATCGCACGATCATGATTCATGGCCCACCAGGTATCGGTAAAACTACAGCCGCTCATCTGGTGGCCCAACTGGAAGGATACGACGTTGTCGAATCCAATGCCAGTGATACCAGAAGCAAGAAGTTGGTTGAGACTGGTACTCTTGGAGTTCTTGATACTACATCTCTCCAAGGTTACTTTGCCGGAGTAGGCCAACAAGTCGACAGCAAGAAGAAGAATGTTTGCCTGATCATGGACGAGGTTGATGGTATGTCCGCGGGTGATCGTGGTGGAGTCGGTGCATTGGCAGCTATTGCGAAGAAGACTAGCGTGCCACTGATTTTGATCTGTAACGAACGTCGCCTGCCCAAGATGAAGCCTTTCGACCATGTCACATTCGATGTGCCCTTCAGACGTCCTACGGTTGAACAGATCCGAGCTAGACTTCGCACTATCTGCTTCCGAGAAAAGATCAACATTCCGCCTCCTGTTCTGGACAGCCTCATCGAAGGAACGCATGCCGATATTCGTCAGGTTATCAACATGCTTTCTACTGCCAAGTTAGACCAGGAGAGCCTTGATTTCGACCAGGGAAAGCAGATGTCAAAGGCATGGGAAAAGCACATCATTCTGAAGCCTTGGGACATTGTCAGCAAGATCCTCAGTGCCCAGATGTTCTCTCCAAGCTCCACATCTTCCTTGAACGACAAAATTGAGCTCTATTTCAATGATCATGAATTTAGCTATCTGATGCTACAGGAGAATTATCTTAAGACTCGACCGACCCTTGCAGGAAGTTATCGTGACAGAGAGCAGAACCTGAAGCTCCTTGAACTAGCAGACAATGCTGCTTCAAGTATCAGTGAGGGCGACCTGGTCGATCGCATGATTCATGGAACCCAGCAGCAATGGTCACTCATGCCTACCCATGCCGTCTTCAGTTTCGTTCGACCAGCCAGCTTCCAATACGGAAATATGACTGAAAGAGCATCTTTCGCTGGCTGGCTTGGCCAGAACAGTAAACAAGGTGAGCCAAAATTATCTCAGGTCAACGAACTTCATCGTGCTAACCCTCAATCTCTCAGGAAAATTGACACGCTTTGTTAAGGAAATCCAAGGTCACATGCGCCTTCGGACTTCTGGCAACCGAGACGAGATCCGCCAACAGTACATGCCTCTTCTTTGGGACAAATCCGTTCGTCGCCTCATGGATGAAGGCAAAGAGTGTGTCGACGATGTCATTGATTTTATGGATTCCTACTTCCTCACGCGCGATGACTTCGACGCGATGATGGAATTGGGACTTGGACCAATGGATCAATCAAAGGTCAAATTGGAGACACAGACTAAAGCCACATTCACACGTCTCTACAACTCACGCTCGCACCCCTTGCCTTTTATGAAGGCTAGTCAAGTTGTCGCGCCGAAGAAGGGACCAAAGGAGAAGCCCGACATTGAGGATGCAATCGAAGAATCAGACGAAGAGGAAGTCGTTGAGGAGGCTGCTGCTGATGATGAAGAGGAGCTTGATCTTAAGAAGGACAAGTACGTCAGCCAGCCGAAGAAGAAAGCTGCAAAGGGCGCAGCTGCGAAGGGTAAAAAGGCAAAGAAAGCAACCACCGAGGATGATTTCATTGATGATGGTGACGAGAAGCCTAAGAAAGGCCGCAAACCCAAGGCTAAGGCCTAAAGAAAAATATTAATGGGCTCTGACGTCTGTCTCTTCAATTTTTGTATTATAACATACTCCGATAGTTTAACACAAGCGTATTCGAATGACCACTACTTTGTGTTTTCCCTAACCTTGAAATTCGTGTTACTCGAGTCACAGTGCTAGTAGTGTGTGGTGCACGAATTCAATTCGGGGCCATTGCAAAGCTGATGCCAGTGCACATGTGTTAAGCATTCTCATGAAAATTTTCAAACCCCTTCTAGTTATCTATCATCAAAAAGACTCGGACGAAAGAAACAAAGAAAAATCCATAGTACACTACTCCGTAGATACATGTGCTTCTAGTGCTCGATCTTGGAGCTTCGAGCAACACCTTTTCCACTTGACTGTACCCAAGCACTTCAAGTTTGATACGGTCACTTTTGATCAGAGGAATTTTCCGCTTTTACTGTAGATTCAACATTCTTCTTCCCCAAAGCATGGAGTCCTCGATGCTTCGCTGCCCAGATCTTTCCTTCTTCCTGCAATTTCGCATCATCTTCACGCTTCAGACTGGTGCCACGCACGAAGAAGACCGTAATAAAGAATGATACACAGGAAGATGTGATCATGAAGTAGTAGATATTTCGAATCCCATGAGCTTCATAGGTTAGCATATTTAGTATTTCATGGTATGGGTGCGAGCTTACTATATGCGTCAATCGCAGCTGACTTTTCAGATGCAGTGAGATCTAATACGCCAGAACTGATTCGTGTAGGATCAGAGATAATTTTTGATAGCACTGAGGAAGACACGACTGATGAGAGACTGGTTCTGGAATTTAGAAATATTAGTTCTGAAAACGAAACACCTAGGACAATTTTTCATACTCACCGAACAGTATTGTTGAGAATAGCAGAACAAACAGAAAGCGCAATGGTTCCACCTAGAAGTCGAATGAAGTTTCGAGTGGCTGTAGCGACAGCCATTTCGTTTCTTTTGACATTGGCCTGGATAGCAACAAGGTTTGTTTGCAGCGTCTGTCCAGAGCCAACTCCACTCAAAATCTGGTATCCGATTACCTTTGCAATAGATGTGTTGGACGATAAAGTGGATAGTAGGCCACAGGCAATGGACCAGATGAAAAAGCCTACCCAGATATTGACAGTGTAGTTCCCAGTCTTTGATACTAGGAAACCGGAGGTGAAGGACACAATACATTGAGTCACGACAAGTGGGAGAAGGAGAACACCGGATTTTATCGGAGAGGCGGAGTAGACAACTTGGAAGAATTGGGGCAACTAAAGAAATTTCAAGGTTAGGATGACGAAGTTGGTGAAGTGAATTATATTAAACTATGGGGCCGGGCTCACGTAGTATAGATTGGCATAAAACATGCAACCCGTGAAGAAGGCGCCGATCAAGGCACCGGAGACAGTCGAGTTCTTGAAGATATGCACTTGTACAGTAAATTAGCGATGCAAGAGGAAGGAGTGAAATGCAGAATGACATACTTGGGATGAGCGGGAGTGTTGCAAACTTCAACTCCACCAAGATGAAAAGACCGAAGAACACAATACCCAGGACCAGTGGTGCGATTACTCCGGCTGAGCTCCAGGCATACTTGGTTCCTCCCCTGAGATACAAATCAGTCTTTAAACTTCCCTAATGAGAAGCTATATTGCACCCACCATGAAATTGGCACCAAGATCAGGACAGCAGAGATGATCATAGTGATACACCCTAAGTAATCAATCTGCTTGAAGCGGGCCTTGACATTTCCCTTGACCCTCTTCAAGGGCAGAACCAACAAGACAACGAGAATTGATATGGAGGTCAAGGGAATATTGATATACTATTATCACTGTCAGTCATAAAAGTCCAACAAAGTCAGTACTTGAGTAGATGACTTACAAAGCACCATCGCCAGGTCACCTTCTCAGTGAAAAGACCACCAATGAGGGGGCCAATTGAGTTTGACAATGCAACCACAACTCCAATAACACCTTGATAGGTACCCCGTTTCTCCAGGGACACAACATCGGAGACAGTAATCATGACCGAGGTCAAGATACCACCACCACCGATTCCAGAGATTGCACCTATAAACAGGCATTAATAAAAGAAATAATGACGAGAGCAGTCTACTCACGGAACACAATAAGCATGATCATGCTTGTTGATACGGCAGATAAGATAGACCCTATCAAGAAGAATCCCATGCTACTGAGAAGAACGATCTTTCGTCCGAAGATATCCGAAAGACGACCATATAGTGGTTGACATGCAGTTGAGGTCAAAAGGTATGCGGTTCCCACCCATGACTCGATAGATGCATCGTTGAAAACACGTCCGAGAGTGGGCAGTGCAGTAGAAACACTATTTTCATATTAGTATGGCCAATATTGAATGACGGTGCAATAATGCCTTACATAGTTTGGTCGATGAGTGCACCTTGATTTCAGATTATGAGGTTAGCCAATGACTGAGTGTGGAATCTTAAGAACAGCTAACCCACAGAACAGAGCACAACTGAGACCCACAAAGACGATTAACAGTTGCTTTATAGGTAATAGATTAGTCTGATCTTGAAGTTTGCCTTTCTCATTCGCAATGGGCTCCTTAGGAGTGTCTTGTGCCTCGATTTGGCTAGGTTCATCTTCATTCTGGGTCTCTTTGACATCTAAATTGTGCGGGTCTAATGTGCTGGTGCTTGCGGGTTTGGAGGACCCTGGAACTGGAGATGAATGCCCAGTCATGATCGGAGTGGGGCGCCGAGAGCTTGAGATCGAGTGATTACTTTTATAGAAGATGGAAGGATTCAAAATAACCCGATTACCGAGGATTTGTAGATATGAAAGTGGTTGATATGGAATCTAGATAGAAGAAAGAGTAGAGATCTAAATTGCTCTGGAAGAAAAACGGTGTGTTATCAGACAGAATTTTCATTTCTCGAGAACATCGGATTAAGATCCGATCCATTGTATTCAAAGACGGAGCTCCGATCTTGATTTCACGGTTAATCGGCTTTTAATCGAATTGACAGTAACCTTGTAATCCTTGCAATCCTTGACGTCCGAGAGTCTCCACACTAGGAAATCATCGCCGAATCGGAGTTATCTTAAATCCCGGTTTCTTTCACCTGATAAACTAATCTAATCTTTACGTGGGATAAAACTAAAGTAGTATAATATCTACTGGATTTTAAAACAATAGATTGCTATAATCGGTTATCCCATAACTTCAAGTTTTATTCACTCGGGGTTTGTCATATCCTGCTTCATACAGCCCTGGAGGTTCAAACCTTGGAAGTTGGAACCACGTTCTTACCATACACGTGCATGCATATGAGCTGGCTAAAAGGAGAGAAGAAATCCCAGTTTGAACATGCATTATCTATGACTCGCGCTTCATCCAGTGCATTGATCTAGAACACTCAGATCTTCAAGTCGCTGCCGATCTCAGACTAAATCCAAACTTCAGACGGCATAGCAATCTCAGGGAATAAGATACCAATTACCCAGATGTCAGTAGCTACTATAGAGGATGACATCTGGAACTTGAACATCTGAAGGTGGGCAAACCTTGAAAGGCTAAGTTTCTAGTCTGAAGGCACCAATTAATTTTAACCCCGACTACAGTTTGGTGCATATTCAAATATTAAAATTCAAGTTCGTACAGTTGGAATAAGCCACTGGCATCTGGGTAAGCACTGGCATTGATCCAAAGGTAAAATCAAGTGTACTCACAATATATATTTGCCTGAAATCGGGACTCGAAGGTAAGCTTCAAGTTCTCAGGCTGCTTCCAATGTTCGGGCTCCGAGTCGTATGCACGAGCCGACATCTGGAGGGTCCACACTTGGATAAGACCAGTAAATATCAAGAAACAATGCCAAGATATGATCTTGATATTGGGTTAATATTCTCAAATTATTCAAATATTCGAATGGAGTTAGGTACATGTAAGCCCCATGGTTGCAGACAGTTGTGGAGACAGCGGAATACAACAGTCGTCACAAATCATGATGAGCTCTTACTCGCCAACCTCTCTGTCTGCATCCCACTGTACCCACCTCATGATTGACCAACTCAGAGTCTTTTGGCGTATCCATTTACCCCAGAAAAAGAATGGAATCCAGCAAATAAGAACACCGCCACAGATTGCAGCCATCTCTCCATAAGCAACATTATAGCCATGCTTGTCGACCCATGGGTTGGTATAGAATCCTAGCAGGAAGCCAAAAGCTGACTTGAATGCCAGCTGAGTGACGACAATCTCTCCAGCAATGGGACGATAACTGTCAATCGTGTACACAAGGGACACATTAGTTGCTTGTGTAATCGTAAAGTTAACTAGAGTAGGTTAGAATGAATTCAGGTTTCATGTGGACGGCATCTTAATACTGACTTAGGCCAATTCCAATGGTGGGAACAATCCAGTGCATCTTGTATTCGATGCCACATCCGTATAGAGCCAACGCAAGTGGGCCCGTGATAGCCCCAACCATGATAGCTGGAAGTCGCATTTCTGGTTCACGAACTCCATTATTCCGTCGTGTGAAGAAATCCGCTACCCAGTCCGAGAAGTAACCTCCGAGGAAGATACCGAAGAAGCATCCAATAATTCCCGAACAAAAGCAGAGACCAGCCTGCCACGCCTCAAACCCGTATGTGGAGGAAAATGCTGAGGAAACGTTTGAAGTAATGGCTGTGATGAATCCGATCGTCACTGACATGACGAGAGTAGCCCAGAGGACTGGCGGAAGGATCAGTAGACCGACAGGTCGAATCATCATCTGCCATAGGGATTCCTCGGTATATCTTCCATGGTATAGCTTGAGACCTTGAAGCCAGCCTCTATCCCCTTGAGCCTGCTCAGTGGAGACAACCTCTTGAATTTCAGATGTTCCTGCCTCCTCCGATTTTGTACCTCGATGAACTCTCTCACCAGATGCTGTCAGCAAGGTGATGGAATCTGTCGGAGCCAGTGTTCTGTTGTAGGCTGTCTCGGGGAAGGTTGCATAGACAACCAGAGTGATACTACCAATCAGGGAAATTGCAACGTAATAGATATAGCGCCATGGGTGATACTTGACAATAAAGCCATCCACAAGAGCGCCCGAGGCAACACCTAGGTTGAGAGAAGCGTTGTAAAGGCTAGGATAATGTCAGATGTGTACAGCGACTTAAATCTCCATGTGATACTTACGCAGTAAGCGCACCACGCTCGTGCAGGAAGAAGAGATCAGCGATAGTGATCGGAGCCAGACATTCTGCCGCACCAGATGCAAAGCCCATAAGGATTCTTGCCACAAGGAAATTCGCATATTGTGTTGCGACCGCACACCAGATCGCCGTAATTGTGTAGAGCGTAAACGAGGTCACGTAGGCAGCGCGGCGTCCGTACTTGTTGATGAAGGGCATCCAAACCAGATTACCCAAGCCCTGGAAGAGCGCCGTGCAGTTGAAGAAGTAGGCAGTTTTGGCGATTGCGCCCGAAATGCCGGTCTTTTCCCAATCAGGGAAGAAGTCCTCTGCAGTCTGTATAATCGCGAGCGTCGGACCAGCTGCAAGGAAGTTGCAAAGAACCATAGCGAGACAGACCGCGATCGCTGTGTATAGTTTGAACCATCTTGGCCTTGTAGGAATCAGTGGAACGCGTCATAAGAAGATAGTGATCAAGATGTGTTACCAATTAAGAGGGTCCTTTGGGTCGGACGATGGTGTAGGAACTAAGATGACCTCATTGGTCTCGGAATCTCGAAGGCGTAGGTGACCAAGGGTCTTGGTTTGTGCTTGGCGACCCTTCTCGTCGCGCTCGGCCTCGTAGGGCTCAACTTGCATGCGGGCCATTTCAATCAATATGTGCTGAGTAAAGGCCTTGACGATCACACCTAGCATAGGAAACCGTCATGATTTATACATCATTTACTCACTTGACGAGAGTATCCTGGCTCTATCATGCGGGGCCCCACATAATCTGGGGAAGCTTGATGAGCATTGAGGTCCACTTCCCGGGGTGGAGGCATTGACTTCGAGTTCGTCGGTTCTGGCCAATGGTGAGCTTCTTTCACATGAAAAATGACACGAGTCATGATTATTGGAATGATGCCAGGGGATTTCACTCCCAATCCAGCTTCTAGACAGCAGGGATGGTGGCCCTAATACTTCTGACTCTAGACTTTTGAGATTGTTCCACTTTGATACTGATATGAGACTCTTGGCGTCAGGCAAAGAGAATAAGAAGTGCCATATTATTGTTTCAAGCCCCTCACAGGGATCATGATTATCTAGCTGTATGCAAATCACTTGACTGATTGAGTCTTCGAGGAAGTGGAGGGCAAGTCCCGATATTGCGTGGACAAAGAACCGAATGGCGGGCGTGATTAGTTAAACTTGCATGAAAAGAAGAGTTTTAGGTTTATTGGTCTGTGCTTGAAGCCTACTCGGAGTTCTTGAGCCATTCAAGCACTGAGATGTCCAAATTGGCCCCATATAATTCCGAGCTGGTGGCCCGTCGAGGTCCAATGAAGTCAATGATCTCTCTATTTCCAAGATAATATTACATATCTTTATTATTTGAGAATGACCATTCAAATGGTCCAAATTCACTTTTGCCTTGTCCTGCCATTGCTGCTCTTCTCGGCTATTTTTCTCTCTGTTTCCTTCATGCCTTTGGAGAAGAAACTTGCCCCTGTGTCTCATGCTGCTCTGCCTCTTTCCTCCACGCAGCGGCAAATCGCCACTGTATGAGTGGACCACCTAGTGCGACAAATTGAACTGCAGCACAGATGGTAAATGTCACCCCAACCCCAACGGCATCGATTAATGGCATCACGAAACTTGTGCCTCCTGCGGCGAATAAGCAGCGTGCAAGATTGATACTAGCACTAGCAGCGGCACTTTTCTCATGATAAATATCAACAAGATAGGTCATTATGACAGACTGCATGGAAGCCACAGTCCATCCAGTAATGAAGGTGGAAATTATTGGCACGGCGATATGAACTGAGTATTGGATAGTCCAGCCGAACAGGATCAGCGACAAGCATTGAAGAACGGAGAATATGGGCACAAGTCGCAGGCGTGCCTTTTCAAGAGGGAAGTCTTCCTGCTCTAGATTTTGTGACGCTTCTGTCCCCGCCTCGATGTTCATAGCTGACTGAGCCTCGTATTTGACTTTGATCTTTCGATAGTCTAGATCCAAGATCTTACCAGTAATCAGAGTCCCAACCATCGAGCCTACGCCGTTCGCGATGAAAGTGAGACCAATCTGTATCTCACTCAAGCCGTATCGATCCTTGAATAGAGATGACATGGCGGTGATGCTCATCTGCCATACAGCATAATAAATAGCGAGGAAAACTATGATGGGAGCAGCGTGCTTGCTGACAAGAATACGAAAAGGGCCTGTAAGATTGATTCGCTTTTTTGGTGTCGAAGGAGGAGTGCGTTTCCGGTACCATTCCACCGTTGTTGTCTCTTTGTAGATATTCAATGGATATCTGGCGATCAGGCGAGATGGGACTCGACTGCCATTTGCGACCACAGACCGAAGAGTCTCCGGCAGCAGTATCAACAGTGCTATCAAGAAGACCCCACTGTAAATAACAAGAAGCCAAAATATGGCTCTCCATCCCAGCGTTCCTGCCAACGCACCTCCGATCACTGGTCCGACGGCCACCGGGACTAACAAGCCTGCTTGGAAGATGCCCATGAAGCCTCCCCGCTCAGCACGGGTAGTAATGTCACCAATGACACCTGATCCAATGGCTATTGTGCTAGCACTACCCGTGCTTTGCAAGCATCGTAACACAATTAACATCGCATAATTTTTCGCTTCTGCTAGTCCAATACATGCACCAAGGAACACGATGAAAGTGAAAGCGTATGCAATTCGACGTCCATTGACGTCAGAGACAGGTCCCCAGAGACTAGGTGCGAGACCTTGAAAAATAAGATACGATGTAACCGTAAGATCAATGAGCTCAAGAGAGACATTCATATCAGTTGCAATAGTCGGCAGCGCCGGGAAGTAAATGTTGGATGCGAAGCCGGAGACTGAATAATTAATTAAGATTCCTGTATTTTATGTGAATTTTAGACTTACATGTTGCCGCCGTAGAAATAATCACAATAATGAGCCATTTTTGTCTTTGGTCGAAGATGCTGTAAGGTGGTTCTGACGATGCTCCAGGTGGTGTTGTGGAAGTGGTAACCGCAGAATCAGGTTGTTGTTGGCTGTCGTCAGGTTTAGACATCACTGGGTATTGGGTGTATGAAAAAAATGTATGAAATATACTGAGCTAATAAATGAATGAAATAATCGAATGGTAGTATGCTCTTACGCATTTGAATCTGGAAATGGGAAGCTCATACTTTATAACCCTGGCTGAGATGAGGTATTTGGGTGGCGACCGGAGTTGAGTTCGGAGTTGAGCATATACTACCGGAGCTGAGCCTCTCAACTCCGTCACCTCCGTAATTCCAGACTATGAACATCAGATGGAACCTTGGAAGTATTTAAAGATGCAAAATAGATGCAAAATACTGGAATTAGACTTGTATTGAAAGAAAATTCAACTCTTTTCTGTTACTCTCACCTAACAGATACAGAGAATAGAAAACAGCTATGACACTTGGCAAAGATGTCCCAGACTTCGGTCAACATTTCGCCGTCCTGAATTTGGATTGGATGTCGATTCTCATAAACGCTGTTCAAGATACAGACGAAGGGAAAGCGATGATTCAAAGCTGCACTCGCTGGAATGATGCAGTTCATCAACAACAGCCACGCCCTTTGACCGTTTTCTCAACTCTCGCCTTCAACCGTGGAAAGCCCGAGGTCGACGCGAATACACCCTTCGGTCAACTGATTGCGCCATTTGGGGATTTCGAAATAGGCTCCGCAGACGTTCAAATAGACCCGAGGTTCACAATTGATGAAGAGGATATGATTCTTCACAAAACTAGATGGTCTGCGACTACTGGTAATTCGTTGGAGCAAATTTTGAAGGCGCAAGGTATCGATACCGTCATCATTGTAAGCATGCAGGAATCATATGTTTAAGAATGGCCAGAGGCTGAATGATAGAAATAGTCAGGAATGACCCTTTCGGGGGTTGTTATGAGTACTGTGTATCGATTGTTTGATCTGGACTATCACATCTATGTGATTGCGGATAACGTTATCGAGTTACCGTTTGATCAAACTTCGATATTCTCGACAGTATTGCTCGATCAACTCATCCCAAAAATGAATTTGAACGTCGTTTCTCTTGATCAAGCTTTGTCAGCGCTTGGGAGAAGCCATCAGAGGTGAAAGCTTCAGGCTTTGGATGAATTCATGACCATGAATCCTGTGTTGAGACATTTTCGGTGTCAGAAGATGTACGTACATATGTTGATGTTTTGCCTCTCATTGGGGGTATTTTAGTGGAAAGGGGTTTCAATTTTGAAAAACATTGAACGGGAGTAGCTTATCTGCACCTTATCCACCATGAGTGCAAACTGTGACCGCATAAAGCATGGTCCCAAATTCATCGATGTCTTCTAGCCAGTGATCTACTCGTCTTCTCCGTTTAGCAATACTAGGTTCATCCATATCCTCGGGTATTGGCCAAAGTTCATCGATAGTGAGTCCTTTCTCCGTCCACTCTGCTAGATGAATATTGTATTCCCTTTCCCAGATACTGCGAGTTGGTGCTTGCCATAAAGATTTACTAGCAGCAGCAGGAATGCCAGATAGCTCTGTTCCTAAGAATGTAGGAACATCTTCTTGCGCAGACAGAACGCTGTCAAAAAGATACATCACATATAACGTTCGCCGTTTGATGTCTGTCACGATCCACTCTTCCCATCTTGGACGTGTACGTTGCTGATCAGCCATACAGATGAGTCCTTGCTTGGACGAAAGATGAGCAAGGGTTTGCAGGCTCATCATTGCTGGTCGCAGGTGAGTCGTCGTGCCTGGATCAAGCCTGAAAAACAGGACTAGGCAGTAAATTAGATATGCTTGAAATGCACCCAAAAGGCAAAGATCATCGTAGCCAGTTGAGGATTCAATAATATTTTGCATCTCGCGTTGAATCATCATCATGGCAGTAGCTTCACTTCCCGGTAAAGAAGTTTCGCATATGCGAATCAAGCTTAAACATGTAGTCAGTGGCGATCCTACCGGTGATCCAGATATTTGGGTGTGGTGGATGAACGGCAGTATCCTCCGACCACGAGCTGCAATGGCTGTGTATGACTTTAGCGTGCGAAAAATGAAAGCACTGACGCCAGCCGGATATTGCTTGATATGTTGTCCAGGTACCGGGATATAGGGGTTCATCCAGCGAGTTGTGATCTCGTCAACATTGATAGGACAAAATAGATCAAGGTTTGAAAAGTCAAGTCCAGCATCTTCTGACGTTGCAGGTGTTTGATTGAGACGGTGCTCCACAGGAACCGGAGCAGTATTTGTATTCACGTTCACATACTCACGTTCGCTCATCGGTTGGGCTCTGGATATGGCGTGAGCCCACTCGTCACCTCCATGCGTAGACAATCTACTACCCGAGCTGAGAGTGAGCATATCTGGTAGAGACTCGGGACTCTGAGGATTTGCTTCACTCTGGCTTGGGGTCTGGCTTCTTGAATGAGCGACTTGAGGGTATACACATGAGATGTTGCGCTGACTGCATCTGGAACAACCTGTCGGTTTCCGGTCGCATTTTGCCTTTGCTGCTGAGCATTGTTGGCAAGCTTTCTGCCGGGAATTGGCATATCTCGTGGTCTTCATTGGACCTGCCAGTGCCAGTAGGCGCCAAGTCGGGTGAGGAGGTTCAATTTCAATTTCGAGTTCAACTTCAGTCTGAAGATATATTCCAACCTTGGAAGGTGCAAATGAGAAATACTAGTTGGACCCGCCTCCGAGTCTTCAAGTTTCAATCAGTTGAGTCAAAGTCGGAACTTAGAGTTCTAAGTTGAGTATTGAATTTCACATTTCAAGCGTGAATATCCTAGTATTTATTATTGTAAGCGATAAACCAGATAGATGAAGCAAAGATGTGCAGTAGACTTGTCCACCTGGGCAGAGTGTTGAGAGAGGAATGACTAACCACCTGGGCAACCTTGGAAGCTGCAACCAACTGGTCAACTGGGACTCCAAATATGAGGTAGTACCTTGTGGCTGGACGTCATGGAAACTATTTCAAAGATTTGTAGGTAATGACAATGATCAGCACTTTTAACTTGGAATGATTCAAACCTCAAGCATTCCAATGTTGGTATTTATAGGCTTGAATCGCTTGATAAGGATCCCTCAATTGGTGACTGGGCGGGGAAATGATCTGCGGAGAATCGCCACGATCAACTTGACTTGCCCGCCCTACACTCCGCCTTCTTGACTACTAGACGTTCCTTTGCCCCAGGCTGGTCCTGATTCTAGAGATTCACTTTCTCTCATTTGTTTCTTCTCTGAGAGCGTATGATTTCCCTTCGACTGCGCGTGCCTTCTGTGAGCATGCCATGTCAGCTCTGAAGGATCTCTGATCATTTGAGGTTTATCGCTTTACGCCGATCTCCTTCGACGAGGCTGTGCCTTTCTTCCATACTACTGCTTACTATTTCTTGCTTTGCGAAAAGAGAGATAAATAACAATGTCTCTCCTTCACAATGAAGAGTAAGTGGATCTCGAACCCCTTATCTTCCTGTCCCATGTTAGTGGGACTCTTAGTGGGACGCGCTGCTAACCTGTCTGATTAACAGCTTCACGATCTGGCAACTACGATCCTCCTATCTGTCTACAATCAAGGATGGGATCGGAGACCGCTTGATCAATGTCAATAACTCAGTCCTCAATACTCCCGGATTCCGTGCTGCTGGCTGGTCAACTGTTTCCAATGCTGGCATCGCATCCTCCCTCAAGCGCACCTACTCCCCACCGATTCCTACCACGGCTGCAGTGTCATCGGAATACTATCGACTCGCCGTCCGAGATGCCAACGCTGCACGGGATGAACTTCAGGGACTCGGCCTAGAAGATGGCGAGGATGAAGAAGGGGGAATGGTTACTGGGAAGAGTAATCTGGATCTTACAGGACGACGAGCCCAGGATCGAGCTGCGAAGAAGAAGCTTCGACGTGATCGCCAGGCCGAGGCTCAACGACAAGCGGATGCAGAGGATGATGACAGCAGTGATCTGACAGATAGTGATGACGAGGAGAATCCACGAAGGTTCGTTACTCCAAAAAAAAAGTTGCATGCAGTCCTCATACATGTCTTGTGTCTAACTTTATTTCAGGTCAACCGATCAAATCGATTTCCCCAAGATGCCCATCCGCCGCGATCGATCCGATTCCTCTCCAGTCCGTGGGGCCGAACAACGAGAGCGACCTGAGCTCATGATCACAGCGCCCTCGGCACAGAATCTTGCGAACCATTATCGGACAGGTTCCCTTGGAACATCTATGAAGGGTACTGAGGGACGAACACGGCGGGATACAACAACGAGCAGTGATTTGTCGACCGACAATGAAGTCGATGTCCCAGCATACAAGCCAGGACAAGTGCAATTCTCGACCACCAATGAAATTGTCGAGCGACCTCGCAGACGACGCGAGAGGACTGGCAGTCGAGGCGCTGACAGCATAGTCTTAGAAGACTTGCAAGAACAGGACGAGGATTCTGGAGCGGAGTCCGTTGGATCAGCTATGTCATCTGAATTCGATGCGACAGCCGGGTCTGGCTCATTGCTATTGGCAGGAATGGGTATGACTGGTACTTTGGACTCATCCTCACCTGTGGCTCTCATGCATAAACTGCCAACAAACACGGGACCTCAAAGTCACTCCCCACGAAAGTCGAAGACGGTCCCAACTCCAGAGCTGTCAGATCTTCCGCCGCCACGACCTATCAGCACCATTCAACCAATCAGTTTGTTGACTCTGCAGATCAAATCCCGTGCACCAGCCCCCAGTAACCCAGTCGAGAGGTTCATGGTACTCTCTGGGTCAGGGCAGGCCGACCCATTGTTCCTCAAGATTTATCTTCCTTTTTCGTCCGACCCAGAGGAGCCACTGGATTTACCGCTCATGCGAGACTCGAAACTTTCGGACCAGCCTGCACCTGTTACAGTCGCAGAAGCGATTGGCCTGGCCCTTTGGAAGTACTCAGAAGAGTCGCGTACTCCGTCTTTGTCACGCGAAAAGGTTACTGTGAACCGCTGGGCATTGAGAATGGTAGATGATGGCGAGGTAGAATATGACTTCCCGGCATTGGGACGTACACTTCCGATGACGGATTTCACCTCCAACAATAACCAAGCTGCGAAGGCACGTGGACGCTCACGAGGAAAGCCCTATGACGAATTTGCCTTAGTTGAGGCTTCTCAGGGCGAGTTTGAGGAGAACGAAAGACTTTATCCTCAGTATAGCGCGAGCGCTGACACGGAAGAGAGCGAGCCACCGGCCAATGCCAATCTCGGAGTGCCAGCTCCTCAAGTCGCAGTTCAGAAGAATCTCTCAACTGGGCGTCCAAACCCGATTCTCGGTCAACCGTTCCCAACAGCATTAAACAATACCTTGACGCCTGCTGACCGACCGGCGGTGCCAATCTCACATGCGACACCCCGTCTGGGGGTCTCCAAGACACTGAAAATTCGGTTCCTCAACCTTGAAGGGTCTGCACATGTCATGACTCTCAACACCTCCACCGATAGCTATATTGCAGAGATTTTAGATACTGTGTGTAAACGCTGGGGGGTTGGACAAAGGGAACTATCTTCTCAAGGTCATGGGATCAAACACAGTGGCTCCGCTTGATCGGACCGTGGAAGCGCTGGCAGTGGCAAATATCACCGACCTCGATCTTTTCAGGCGCCGTTTTGGGGCAGGCGCTGGATCACCTGGTAGCTCATCGCCGAATGCACCGCTGCAGGTGGACAACACTACTAGCAACCCTGCGACAGTCAAGAAGGGCAAGAAAGGAACCAACACGCTTCCATCGTCGACCCAGAAACAGGATCTCATTGGAGGCTATTATCGTCGCTACCACGTCTACCGCAAACAACCGATGTCATTTACTGCTTCCAACCATCGTATCTTGACATTTGATAACGACTACATGCATATCGTACCGGGGGAAACGGGCAAGACTGGTTCTGATGCGAAGACTCGGTCCATCAACTTCAATGACGTGGTCGGCTGCAAGGTCAGTCGGCGACATCCTAAGAGCTTCCGGGTTGTTGTTTTGCGTGGCAACGATGCTACCGAGCAGAAACGGTATGACTTTGAGGCTCGCAATGCTCTGGAAGCTGTGGAGATTGTGGATGAGATTAAGAAGAACATGGCGCATTATCGCATTTGAGTCTGATGCTTCTCAGGGAAGGGTTCCAAGGTTATGGCGTTGTGTATCTATGATTGCAATCAATCCAAGCATTCCAACTGTTCAAATAAACAAGGATTCAACTGTAGAGAGGCTTATTCCTGATAATGGGAATGGAGATAGAATGAATGGTTCGAGCCTTGAGCTATCTACATACAGCACTGCGACTGGTAAAAATTTGAAGAATCCTCCTAAGCCTCATTTTGGAGATTCCCTCGAGTATGCTAGAGTGTCTCAGTAAAGTCTCGATTCCAGGTTGTAAGTGGTTGGATGAAATATTCAGTGCTGCATTCTTCTATGATTTAGTCATTTCAAGTTTTCAGCAGCACTGTAGGCAAATATACGCACACTTCCCTTTTTAGGAATGATTATATCAGTTACTCAAAGAGCTTTGTGTTCTTTTCGCTGAAGCTAGAATTAATTGAACTTCTGGACTACTACACGACTTGTTTTGGACCTTGCCTGGGAAACAGATCTATGACACTAACACAGCTGGCTGGACCCAACTCCTAGTACTCTTTCTTCCATACCAATTCCCAACAAAGTATCTCATATAGAAATGAAACCACCGTTTATCTTTTAACAGAAAAAAGGTAAATCATCCCTAATTGGGGAAAGGCGTCCGTGGACCAACATTTTCTTTGCCAACCTGTGCAACCCTTGCCATCCATTGTAGGCCTTCATCGATCGCAATGGTCTCAGCGATCGCGCTGATACCTCGTGAAATTTCGAGTGAGTTGATGGTTCTTGCTGTAGTGATGCCTCAGCTTGCTAGATAACGTAGAATGCCCCCTTCAGTGCCCCGGTACTGCTCTGAACAATGGAAGCCGGTGCCCCTTCAGGCTTGGAACCGTAAGCAGCTCGGGGCTTTTTGGTGAGTCGCTTTGAGTCCTCAGTACCTGGCCGCTTTGGGCATGCCATCTTCATGTGGATATCACAACCGTCCTTTCTGGCGAAAGTCTTCTCGCAACATTCACATTGATGGGACTTTGGGCAATTCACCCGGCTGTTATGGGCCTTCTATAGCTCAGGTTTCGTAAACTTCCTCCGACAAGCAACGCACTCAAGGTTCTCTGGAACGTCCACTCTGTTCGAAGGCGTGTTCCGATTCCCAGTCAGCTTGCAGAGAAACTCCCACTCATTGGCTATCCGCTCCTTTGAAGCCTGAATTTGATCGAAGAGAGAGACAAACAGAGATGTGTCATCCTTTTTAGGTGCGATGTTGTCTTTGAAAAAGGCGCAGACCTCCGGCACATCCACGGAGTAGAATTGACGAGGATCATCAGCGTATATCACGGTGTTGATTCTCGTCGAACACTCTCAAGAAAGAATTACGCTGTGTTGTAGTTCCATCAAAGCCGTTCACGACAACCTTCAGTTTCTCCCCATCTTCCAAGGCATCAAAAGCATATCCGAGATACTCAATCACCTCCGTATCAGGGCCAAAAATTCATGGCTAGAACTGTGGACGAAGGTGTAGAACCACGGAGCCTCCTTGATAGGACCTTGCCTTCTAGTACTCCGCAAATGTGTTTTGGGCCCCCTGGCCCTTCTTGTTTTTCTTCTTTTTCTTCTCTGTTCGAGAAGCTGAGGCATGTGGGGGCGGCACATGCCATGGAAGGTGGTGGGGGTGAGGGCTGCACTGTAATATTGATTGGTGCGAAGATATTGTTTGTCTAGAAAAAGAAAGAAAGAATTAAATATTAGATGAATAGTTGAATAGTTGAATAACCTAGAATCTAACTTACACCCTGGCCATAGGTGTTAATGACCGGGCCAAGAGACCCAGACCCAGTGACCAGCACTGGGATTTGAGAGGTAGATGATGGTGGATTTGGTGGTGGAGGAGGGATGAAAGGAGTTGATGCCTCCTGAGATTGAGGCTTCAGGGCTGGGGATTCTTCCCCTGGCATTCAGGGTTACCTTTATCTAAATAAGTTAGTTATAATTTTGGTATCTAAGATCAAAGGTACTATTGTGACCCCGAATGCCACAGTCTTTGCATCTCCATCGATGCTTGCGCTGTAAGAGAAGAATTAGTATAATATTTAAAAAAAAATGGGTCTCTTACCTTCTTCTTATTTGAAATAATCATAGCATTGGATCCATGGATGCCTCATTGGATTCAGCCTCACTACTGTAAAAGTAGATACCTCAGGCTCTCCACCATCACTGGCTGGAGCTTAAGAGGGAGGGTTTTGAGGCCTTGAAGGAGACTTACATGGAGAAGATGACTCTGCTTGATTTCCTAGAAGCGAGAGCTGACTTGAAGTTGCAGATTGCGCTAAGAACCTTTTTACGTCCTCGATTGCACATAACATGTCTGACGAAGTGTAAGAGATCGCAGCAGCCTTTCTCTTGGCTTTGTTGACCGAGGCGGTCGCTTTGGGTTTCTTAAGCGTGGTGATGAGTGGTTGGAACGTTGGAGATGAAACTGTGGAGGAAGAAGTTATTAAAAAGAAGAAGTTAAGGAAGGGGAAGTTCAAAGAAGTATAAATATTAAGTAGGTTAGATTCCAAGTTCAAGAGTCAAGACCAGTGTTAAAGTAGAGGAAACTGAGAAAGAGAGAGAAATAACTATAAAGGTAAGTAAAAGGTTAAGTAAGAGGTAAGTAGTTAAAAGGTAAGTAACGTACTTCCCGGTTGATCTGGCCACCCGGTTGACCTGGCCACCCCATCGAAAATTATCTTTCAACCACCCTACCCACTTCAAACACCTACCATGCCACCAATTCGCAATATTTCGGCCGAAAAAAAGCCAATCAAGAGGGCAAGATCCTATTAGCCATTAGCGATATTCGGAATGGCCGAATCGATTCTATTCGCGCTGCAGCGAAGCTATACGCAGTACCCCGCTCAACGTTACAGACGCGTATACATGGCCAAGCCTCACGCGTTGATTTACGCCCATCACGCCTTAAGCTGACCCAATTTGAAGAGGTTTCACTTACTGAGTGGATTATCTCTATGGACTCCCGTGGAGCAGCGCCTAGGCCAGCTACTGTACGAGATATGGCCAATATTCTACTAGGTGCGCGTGGTAGCCACCCCCCACCTACAGTTGGCAAGAATTGGCCATCAACCTTTATCAATCGACGTGAAGAGATTCGGACACGAGTCTCTAGGCGATATGACTACCAGCTTGCTTTGAACGAAGACCCTAAATCAATTCAAGCATGGTTTACAACTGTACAACAAGTGATCGATGAGAATGGGATCCAACCTGAGGATATTTATAACTTTGATGAGACAGGCTTTGCGATGGGGCTTATTTCCACACAGAAGGTTGTAACACAAAAAGAATACTACGGTCGGCGATCTATTTTACAGCCTGGAAACCGTGAATGGGTAACTGCAATTGAAGCTATCTGCACAGATGGCTATTCATTACCACCATGTGTGATTTTCAAGGGAAAGGTTGCTGTTGCAAGCTGGTTCGATAACCTACCAAAAGACTGGCGATTTGAGGTCTCAGCTAATGGCTGGACCACTGATAAGATTGGTTTACGATGGCTAGAAAAGCTATTTATCCCATCAACAAATTCACGTGTCCGTGGTCGTTTTCGGCTATTGATTCTTGATGGCCATGGTAGCCATCTTACACCCCAATTTGACCGAATCTGCACTGAAAACAACATTGTCCCACTCTGTATGCCTGCACATTCATCACATCTATTACAACCACTAGATGTTGGTTGTTTTGCAGTGTTGAAACGTACATATGGTCGTTTTATAAGCGACCTTGCACGTACAGGCTATAACCATATCGACAAGCTTGATTTCTTAGCTGATTACCAGCGTGCCCGGCAAGAAGCTTTTCAACCAACTATTATTCAGAGTAGCTTCTTAGCTACTGGAATAGTACCAATTGATGCCGAAAAGGTGCTTTCTAAATTAAATATCTCTCTTCGAACACCTACACCACCAGGCAGCCGACCAAGCAGCAGATCTAGTCAATTTACACCCAAAACACCTAGAACTGTGGTTCAGCTTCAAAAGCAAGCTTCAATGCTTAAAGATCTTCTAAAACAGCGATCAAACAGCCCTCCAAGCCCGTCGAAATTGATGCTAGATCAAATCATCAAGGGACACTGTATATCGCTACATAACACTGCGCTACTAGCACAAGAAAATGCCAATTTACGTGCAGCGAATGAGAAGAAACGACAGAAGCGTACTCGATCAGCTAGGCAGATACCCTGTGAAGAGGGCTTGACTGTTGAAGAAGGCCTACAGCTACTTACGCAGGTGGACTTGCCTGTCGAAGCACCTGTGGTCGAATCACACACCCAGGTTGAACTACCTATTCAGCCGAATCAGCCAGCCAAAAAGGCTCCGCCTAGGTGTAGTGGGTGTCGAGAGGTTGGCCATCGCATCAATGTATGTAAAAATCGTATTTATAACTGAATTTATCGGTGTTGGGTTAAAATATTTGAATTTGAATTTGTCTAATGGCGATGGGTGCGCGGTCCGACCGGGAATCACGTTAAGTTAGTGGCTTCGGGCTTGTCGAGGATTGACAGGCCCTCATCGGGTTCAACCCGTTACATCATGATGTAGTTTTTCTAGTTGAAGCTCAGCCACCAAGGAAGCAAGCTCAACTTGATCTCTATTGGTTTTTTTTTCTCTTTATTTCTTTTTTTACAACACTTTATCCTATTTAATTAGAAGAGGGGAAAAGCCTCAAAGAACCCTTCAAAAAAAAAAACCCTCTTCCCCCGGCAAACCGGGGGGAGAAAATTCGAACCTACAATCCCCTGTAAATTCGGATAAATTACCGGAAACAGATGCCTTACCATTAGGGCAGCCGATCGAATTGATATCTTGCCCATTTCAGTTTTTAAGCGTGATATAATAACTAATTAAAAGAACTCTAGTTAAGTAAGAAAATTAAGATTTTATAACTTTAATATATGTATTAACATTTTTTACGTATTTTTGGATTCCTTTAATTTTAAGGTTTAATGTTTATTATGACTTTTCCAAGGCTAGGAAGGAATATAGATCCTAGTCTTTGATAACCCCTTTTAGACCTCAAAATTGAAGATTTTAGGTTGTAATTTCGAATTCAATAATACTGATATCGATTTGGCCGGCTGGCCTAATGGTAAGGCATCTGTTTCCGGTAGTTTATCTGCATTTACAGGGGATTGTAGGTTCGAATCCTGCGTCGGTCGATTTTTGTTTCTGAAACGGAAACTTTCGCCACAGAAACGCTTTTTATATGATTTTTTAGCAGAAAAAAAATATACAAAACGAAACTGAAACAACTGATCTAAAGAACCGCCTACTATATTACCTAGTTTAGTACGATAAAGATAGGATAAAGCACTGGCAGAGAGAAACCAAAAAAGACAAGAAAAGAAAACCTCGGAGGATTCGTTGCTCTGCGGGGGTTCCAGGGCCCCTGGGGCATCATAAAACCTTAAGGAAGACATATTGTTAAAGCCTACCTATACAGGAGGTCGAATTTGATTGATTCAATGTTAGATAGTAGCCGATAACTTGAACTTGATTGATCGAACTGCCACATGCAGTGACTCGGAGTAGTACTAGTAGTACATAAGATAAATATATCATGACCAGCTGTCACAGGCTGAATCCCTGAAAGAGTACAGGCCTTGCCTGTACAAAGCTCAACCATCCACGTGACCCATAACATTCCTCCTCTTCCTTGACGAATCGTGCCCGAAGTCTACTTCTTCTCCTTAAGCTTCTTTTTGTACACAGTTCGTGGTCCGAGTAGATTGAATCAAATCCGCTTCTGCCCTTCACACCAGCCTAGTACCGCACACTTTCAAATAGGTACTAATTAGTAAACTTCAAGTTTCAATAACTAGGTGCCTCATAGTCAATATTCAATCAATTTTACTTACATAGGTAGGCAAGGATATACATAGATAAAGAGAAACCAACCTTAGTACCTACAGTGAGGTCCCCCCTACTGAGTAAATAGGAAGGTGATAAATTACGTGTAATTTATGTAACAATTTAACTACATCACGTGTACGTTTGAATTTGTCGAATATGGGATTATTCAGCAATAATAGCACCCAATGGGAGCGAGGCTTCAAAAGTGTGTATGTGTGTAAATTTCTGCCATGTCTGGTCTGTAATTTAGTTAGTTACAGTGTAGGCTTACATAAGCTGGCAACGTGATCCACCAGGTCCGACAGAATTATCTAATCACACACCTTTTCATTGATGGTAGTTAGTTAAGGTTCGTGCTGCGGGTTGAACCCGATGAGGGCTTGTCAATCCTCGACAAGCCCGAAGCCACTAACTTATCCTGTAGTTACGATCGCGCCCGACCACTTACGTAATCGTACGACCCCACACGTGATCCATGGAACGACATACATTCCCCACACATGTACTATAGCTTCCTCTTCCTTAAGCATGAATGTAAACTGCATGTCGGCCTATATCGTTCTGTTTCAGTCTTTATAGAGCCCTTCACAGCCACTACAACTTTTACAGTTGTGTAAACTAAGTGTAAAAAAACCTAACTAACTAGGTAACTATCCAAGTTTATTCTACAATACATACACTATAGCATTTACATAATTTAATACCTAGTTATTTCTTCAAGTTATAGCTATATTACTAAAGGTTTAATTAGAATATTCATAAAACATCAATCTTGATACATTTTTATTACTAGTAATTCAGAAATTCATACATTCAAAGTTTTCCTAGTACTGATCAAAACTAGCCTCTAGATTCAAGTTTCAAACTCATTAAATCATCCACCAAAAATAAGTACTAGTGGAATAAGAGGTAATGAATACACATGTGCACTCCGCTATCTACAGCTTAGCAAATAGTAGTACGACCAGTAGAGTCCAATAGACGTCTAGTAGCTTTATCTTGCAATTAGAGTGTCTGTTTAGCGGAGCTTTCCACTGCCCAGGTGGCAGTGACTTGACTTTCCAAGTTTCGCTACTTCAAAGGGTACTCAGTCTGCACATATGCGCGCAGCGCTTCGCGCAGCGCTGGGACTTGTACTCCATACTAGACAACTAACTACACCGAGCTCAGGCTCTCTCTTTTCCCTATCCTCTACTTTATAATAATGCCCAGGTGGACAGATAGACCTCGTTCCTTCCGCAACTTCACACACTGGTCACAAAAAAGAGAAACTTCCCCCGGGGCGTTTCAGAAGATCGAACCTTTTTTCCAAACTTGGAAGGTGCGTCAAGTCTCTTTCCACACTTTCAATGACATGAACGGCCGTCGCCCAGCCGTGCCAAGAACACTGTGACACCAAGAACGTATGTATAATATCTGTGCCCTGGTTGGATTGATCTGTCTTAAGAATATATGAACTGACTGTGGTTGCTCTTTGGTTGAGTCATTGTCCAGTGATCCAACCCACCTGGGCAGCACTGTCAGAAGTCGAGACTAGGGTCCAAGACCCGTCCCGCAGGGGCAAATTGACACCCAAGACCTGCGGGGCTGGGGGATAAAAACCCCCCAACCCGACGGGTCGGGGGCATGGGGGAGCCCCCACAGGTTTTGGCCAGGCCCAATTCGACTTCTTTATGTATAATATATATATGTATGAGGCTCGATTAACTTATAATAATATATGTAAATCCCTCTTTATGATATTAGTAAGCTTTAAATATTTACAGTACCTAGGTAGTAATATTAAGACTTTTTAATCATGACAGTCACAAGTGGTACCCTTAAGTGCTCGGCAGCTAGTATGTATTGAGAAACTTGAATTTATACTCCGTACATGAATTCCGATAGGTACCATGCGGGAGATTTCTCAGTTTGGAAGATGTGGAAGATGTGGAAGATGTGGAAGATGTGGAAGATGTGGAAGATGTGGAAGATGATCTGGAGATATTAGTGGTTTGTAAATAGTAGTAAATAGTTTGTAAATGGTAAATAATGGTAAATGTTATAAGCTGTAGCTTATAGATGGTTTGTAGATTGAAAGATGAAGGAAAAAACCTTTGAAGAACATGAAATCTTGGAGGTTGTAAAGGAAATAATTTTGGAAGTCTTGGAGTCCTTCTGGAGGAAGGTATGAAGTATGAAGCTGTTTTTAGGGCTAGATGTGAAAATATGGGATGCAAATATCATTAAAATGGTAGTCTATGTCTTGAATGTATTAAAAGTATGATTATATTTTAGTGGTCTAAGATATAGATCTCTTTTTTATAGATATTTCTTTTAATCTAAAATTGAGAATGGAAAATATATTCTCCCTGAAAATGTTTTCTCTAAAAAATACGATAAGTATACTAAACTAGCTAAAAGACCTGAATTAACGTTCCAGAGATATCATTATAAATATACTATTTTCGAAACTGAGAATTCTCCTGTATGGTAGTATGCACATCAAGGAGACATAATCTTCACGTAGCACATGTGCGCTCTCTTCTTACCCTAGGCACCCTCAGCCTCACAATGCGACCGTACATATAACTGAGGACCTTGAACATATCAGAGTTGAATCAAGCACTGTGTTTCGTCAAGCCCATCTACACTAGTAGTTCAAAAGTCTGTGGACACTCCATATTCCAGCCCGCACCCCACCAATTTGAAAAAACCATAATAAATCGAATTTTGCTCCAAATTCCATGGAATTTTTTTGACAAATTGAATAAATTAATTCATCATGATTAATTACACTAATATTTGGTGTAATATCCCCGCACTCGGCGTACAGCTTCAACTCTGCGCGGAAACGATCGAATAAGGCTGTCTATTGTATGCTGTGGTATTATCCACCACGCTTGTCGTAAAATTGTATGGAATTTGTCCCATGCAGCTAAACTGCGACCGGTATGTCGAAAATTAGGCTTCAATTTTAGAAGCTTGAGTTTAAGTAAGCGCCAACATGGTTCAATTGGGCTGAGGTCAGGGGAATGCGGAGGCCAATCCATTGTATGAATTCTATGTTGCATTATGAACTCCTGAGAGCTCTTAGCTATATGAATCGGTGCGTTATCTTGCTAGAATATCATCTCTGGGTTATAATGGTCTAATAGGCCTTCTTATAGGGCGTCTTGATAGGAATTTACTGAAAAACCACCTCTTGGGGACTCTGGATCACATTCCATAATAATCAAATCAGATCTACCACCAATTCAAATAGCTGCCTAGACCATTTGTGCGATATCATGCCCTGAATTCATGAAATTGACTAAATCTTGGCGATACGCTTCAGATGATAGTCGAAAAACCCATTCATCACTCGAATTTGATTGTTGATGCACGGAGTATTCATCTGAGAAGATTAACCGCTCTGTCTCCTTAAAATTCCGCCATTTTCGACAGAATTGACGTCGGTGTAGAGCATCATCCTTAGTCAATGGAATTCGGCGTCGAGATTTCCACTTGCGTAATTTATATCGTCGTAATACGCGATAAATAGTGGATTTTGAGATACTAATCTCTCCAGTTGTAACCTCCGCAACTAGAGCACCCCAGCTCATACGTGGATATCGTCGACACATTCGATAAATATAGCGCTCTTCTCTAGTAGCAATCTTGCGCGGGCGACCTGAACGGGGCTTTGATTGCATATCTTTGCGTGTATTAAATCGCTTGATTGTGTTGTAAATAGTTGAACGCGCAACTTGAAAATAGCGGGCAATTTGAGTAGGTTTATCACCTAATTTATAAGCTGTAATAATCGAACTGCGCTGAACATCTGATAATTCTGCATATTTCGAACGATTTGCACTAATTGCGGTGCCAAATGCGTCCATATTGACCGAGTTGCAAATTTTTGAAGTTGCCAAGTCGGAAAATTGGTGGGGGCGGGAGAAGTGTCCACAGACTTTTGAACCAGAATGTATGTTTCATTCATTTCGTTTATTGGCCAGCTCATCTGTAGTGCATCATGCACGCCCTGGGTGATATAAGTATTGATTATTGTCAAATTTCAAAAATTTGATTATTAATTCTATCCGAGTTTTCAAGGTTGTTAATTTTGGACCAGCCCTTGGGAGGAGAGAAATGAATGTAGAAGGCAGTAGGGCCTTCTAACATGGGCACTTGGCTTTCCAATATCATTGAACTGCGAGCCCCAGCGATTTTGACAAAGCTGAGACTACTAGTGATACTAGTACATATTTGGGGAGAGGGATATGAAAGGATGGCAAAAACAACCTAGCATCCCTTGAGACAAACCGGAGGCCCACACTGTCTGGGGAAGGCTGTTCGAGAAATTCCAGTCATGTGGATTAGTCCGTTGCGGAACGAATGGTTGGAAATCTTGGCCAGGATAATTTTTCCTGAATGCTCTTTCCACAAATTGTGCCAAAATTTGGAAAGCATAATCATAATCATCCAGGTACCTGCCGGTAAGAGACCATGAGGGTTGTATATCAACGCCCACGATCTGCAGCGTACCCCCTTGCATTCACGCCCTGCAGCCATGATCGACGCCAAAATCCATCCAAACAAGCATCGGGACATTCCTTTTCAAGCTTCAAGCCACTAAGCCATCCAGGACTGCAAGCTTTTCAAGGAGAAACATTCCCCAGAGAGGGGTTGTTGACATGAACCAACAGGCGATTTATTATGCGCAGCGAGGCACAGGATCCACCCGTTCCAACCCCTGCAGCTATCTAGAATGAAGGGATCAGCGGTATAAAGTCCAGCAACCCCCCCTCATCCCTCCTTCCCTCGCATTCCGCAGACTTTCGTTCATTACCCTATCTTCTTTACCTGCTCAGCTATCCTGTGAACTGTCGCTCGCGGCGTTCATCCTGACGACCGATCCAGTACAGAACATACATCAGCACAACGAGCCGACGACATGGTGGTTAAGACTACTTACGCGCTCACGCTGTTTACAGCAGTGAGCTTAGCTGCACCTATGCAGAAGGGTGCTAACGGCGGAAGTGAGAACTTCATTGGAGCTGGCACTGCCAATGGTCAGGTCAATGATGTTGTCAAGGGCCTGTTCAAGAACTTGACCCCGCGTGATAACGATGATGGAGGCTCTTCCAAGCATGGAAACCTGATCAACGACATTCCTTTCCTCGGGCCATTACTTGGTAGCAGTAATAACCAGGAAAAGCGCTCGTTCACTGGTGACCTTGCGAACTTCCCGCTCCTGGGTGACCTTTTTGGTGGTGTAGGTGACAGTCCATTATCTGGTATACACTCATAGAGAAGCTAACGATGTAAATTTATTAGGATCAAGCCCATCCTGCCAATACGCCCTCCAAGGAGAAGGGTGCCAGATCTTATGATGACGATCTGAGCGATTTGCCTGATGTTGGGGGGACTATCTCACGAGGTAATTGTTCCATAAATCAACTTTCTGGTAATGAAAATTGTTCTGATTTGTTTTGAATAAGGGCCAAAACCATGGACAGAACGAAGGTCAGAACTACGGTCAGAATGCCGGGCAGAATTATAAGCAGAACTATGGCCAGAATTATGGGCAAAACTACGGCCAAAATGCTGGCCAAAATGCTGGACAGAATTCTGGACAAAACGAGGGAGAGAACTATGGTCAAAATGACGGTCAAAATGACGGTCAGAATGATGGTGAGAACTATGGCCAAAACTATCTCCAGAACTTTGGACAGAATCACAAGCGGGATCTTGATAGTGATCTCAGCAGCTTGCCTATCATCGGGTCGCTCTTTGGTGGAGTACGTATCTCCACTCTGATAATCATTGACTGTTACTAAGCAAAATACAGGATGACAAGGATAGCAAGAACGAGAAGGATACCAAGGACAGCAAGAATAACAATAATTCGGATGACAAGGATGGCAAGAGTCCCTCTGAAGGGAAGAAGCTCGACTCTCGTCAGTTTGAGGGTATTTGGACTTTTATTCATGGTATTACTGCTGGTGCTGTAAGTCAGAATGGCATATTTCGGTCAATTTCAAATTTACTGACCAAATATTAGTCCACAACTCAAAGCCACCGCCGCGAGTTTGAGAGCCTAAATGACGCTATCCCTAACCCCGAGCACGGAGATGGAGCATTCCGCGACGATTCTCTTCCCGATAATTTTGGTGATCTCTCAGCATCTACCTTTAGAACTGGTATGGAAGTTGCGGGCGATGTTGTTCCTCTCCCAGTTTGTTAATCTCTACTGAACTAAGAAGAGAAATAAATACTGACTTGACCATAGGTTCTGACTCGTGATATGAGTGATGATGAGGCCAAAAAGCCCGGTCAAGAAGCTCAGCCTCAGGATGCCCAGTCTGGCAAGGAAAACAAGCCAGCTAAGCCTAGCAAGTCCAGCAATCCCCTCACTGAGCTTGCCAGCGAGAGTGGCCTTGGTCAGCTCTTTGGTAACGCCCATCACGGTGTTGGATTGCTCCCGGTATGTCTTCATGAAACTTGATTTTTCTCATTATCTCTCATCGTACTAATAATTTTTAGATGAATGGACGTCGTGACACTAGCTCCATTGAGTCTCGTGCAGCTCCCATTCAGGGATCTACCTTGACTGATGTCTTGTTGCAGGGCGGTGCCCTTGGCAAGATCTCCAAGGCTCTGGCTCCTCAGCCTGCTGGTCCCCCTGGAAAGAGTGACCCCACCAAGATTGGTGATGGCAGCGGAATGGCTCCTCCCGGTGCTCCCGGCTCTCCTCCTGGCTCTGGTGCTGCTGGTCCTCATCATGGGCCTGGCTATATAGCTGAGCACAAGAAGCAGAATTGATTTATCCAATTCGCATAGTTGGTGACGCAAAGAACTGCTCAATTTTTCTTCCTTGGTGACATTTGTTTCTTTGTTCCAAATTTGTGAAGCTGTAACGACGTTCCAAGGTTGATCATAATGTAACTTCATTCTTATCTTTGATCGGCCTTCTCTTCTCTTGTTATAGGATAAAACAAATATTTTCCAACCTACAAAGTTTTAATTTACTAGTGTTTTATGAACTATCTCATTATCTTACATATTTTATTGTTTTCCAATGCTATTCTTAAAATGGCGACTCGATTTATAATGCATTTCGTCCCATAATACCTATGTGTATCAAGGTCAGGTTTTTTTTTCAAAGGACTCGAAGGGCTTGATTTCAGACAATATAGTGACTTTGTTTCCATACTTAGAGTTTGGGCTTTTATATGCCTTGAATCTAAACAATGGACCCTAAGAGGCTGTCTTTGACCTGGTTTCAGCTTATTTTTTGACATAATAAGAGTTTCAATCTTGAAATAATGACATTGACTGGATAAAGATTCGTCGAATTTCTCTTGGTGGAAAAATAGACACCTATTGTGTATACTCTTTATTCTCTGTTCTCTATGCAAAGCACTTTATGACTTGGTTCAAGCCATTGTTCAAGGTTTCACGACTGAAATATTCATCTAAATCCATTTCAAAGGTCATGCTCTAGATGGTATAAAAAGGATGTTTTATCCCCAGAAACCAGAAACATCAAATCTGCTATACATTCTCACAGCACCTAGACTCATATCAAATCTGACTCAAACATAAGACCAAAGACTCGATCTGATTTTCAATCACTCTTCTTATTCCATTTGTCAAGCTTGAACTTCACCATGGCTACAAACACCGGTTGGAACAAAATGCCCCGTGAGATCTTACTCATTATTACAGATCTTTTGGATGACTCCTCAGTTGTTAATCTCTTCCAAACTTGTAAAGGACTCAACCAAGCCTTGCAATCCGAGCGGGACAAGCGTGCTAGACAAGGATTTCTCCCACCCGCAGACAGATACATGTATGCCGAATTTTCCGAAGGCGCAACTCCTGGAATCGACCTTCCTCTCTGTGAGCTACCTATCCCTGAACGACGTCCATACCGCCAATTGTCTACGAACAAGAATATGGGATACATCATTCGCGCAATTGTACGCCACCAATATGATGCAGTTAAGTCTCTTCTTGACTTGGGTGCCAGTCCAGACTGGTACAGCCCTGACAATGAGTATATACTTTCCTATGCAGTGAAGACAGATGATATTAGCATTCTGAACCTGCTTTTGCAGCGTGCGACTGTGCATAAACTTACCCGCGCTTTGGCTCCATTTCGAGGGCGGCTCCCACTTCACTGCGCGCTTGCTATGAATAGTATGCGACTGGCACATGCTTTGATCACTGCTGGAGCAGACCTTACCTGTTCCTTTGTGGTGCGCGATATCATTGCATTTGCTAACATTGAAATCATCCGCTTGGCACTTCATAACGGAATGGTGCCTACCGTAGGCGGAGGCTTCCTTCATCGTGTTTTATCTCGAGGCAATCGTGAGATCTTTGATGTTCTATTTCCCGTGGTGATTTCCAGTGGCGTATTAAACGAGACTGATCATCATGGATGCTCCGCACTCCATGTGGCTTTAAGCCGTCCTCGCCATCTAAGCAAGTATACATCTGCAACTCTTCTTTCTGCCGGTATTGATCTTAACATTGTTAATGATGAGGGACAAACTGCATTGCATATTGCTCTAAAGAATCATCAATTTGGCCTTGCTCATGATATGATCAACGCAGGATGTCAGCTAAATGTTGTTGATAGGTATACCTCGAATGAGCTGCATCATGCTGTACAAGCTCATCTGCAGCCTTCTAAATCTCCCACCTGGAATCAGACTGAAGCTGCGAGCCTTGTGTCACTTCTTCTGGAGAAGGGTGTACAAGTCAATTTGCATGGTGATTTTGATGGTACCGATGGCATTGGTAGGCCCCATATTGATGCGAATGGTTATTTTATAACAATTTTCTATACAGAGACGCCTCTGTGGTTTGCCATTCGACATGGTAACAAGGATATGGTTCAGTCTATTCTCACTCTGGGGCCTCACCAACCAGATCTGACTATCCGGGATCAAGCTGGCCAGACACCGCTTGAGTTTGCTAGGAAGATTGGTCAACTAGAGATCGCCCGTATGTTGGAGTAGGATTTCTTGGTGCACTAACTAGAGCTTGAAGTTGGTTGAGTTTATGTTTTGATTCAATTTTTACTAGATACGCATAGACATGCACTGTGCATGCTTGAGTTATAGATATGACTGCGTATTTTAGAATATTGACGCATTATGCTTATAAAATTATTCAAGAGATCTCCTAGGTGTTCAATGGTAGAAAAATAAAAATAGATCTTGTAACTATAGTGATAATCGAGGTAGACCAGCCAATCGGCGTTTCGTTTTGAGTTCGAAAGAGCGTCATGTAACGACTCAGAGGTGGCTATGTACGTACATTATCTATTGATGTACCAATAATATTCTTTTTTCTTTCATCTCTAACAATGAAGTCTCTATGAGATACTTTAGGGGCTCCTTTTTGTCTATAATTTGACGAAAGAAGGGTTTCAAAACTAAGAATAACTTGCACATGTGGCTAAGATCAAGTTGGATAATATCAGACAAAGAATATGCTGGATGAAACATTTGAAAGTAGCCATCCATGCATATATTCTTTGATACTTGATTTTTAGTAAATAATTGATGTTTCAAGTTCAAATCTCTAAGCTCTTTTTGTCCATTTATTTTCTGAGTCTATGGCTGTCAGTGACTTCCTTCCAGTATATAAAGAGAGATTATATCTTTCCGAGTCTCAATATCATACTCCAGTATTTGAACAAACTCACCACTAACCTCCATTTGAATAACAGCCCTGTACAACCATCTGGCTCTTCCAACCTCTTTACCCGTATCCCGAGATCATCCAGATGTCTCCGAAGCGTATCAGACTCCAGGGCTTCAAATCTGCTATGGCTACTGGAACGCACTCAATTCTTTTCACCATACCACGTGAGATTCTGTTTACCATAACAAGTTTTTTGGGAGATTTATCGCTTCTGAATCTATCTCAAACATGCAAAGATTTTCAATACATCTTTCAGTCTGAACGGAACAAACGTCTCGTAAATGGATCTCTGACCCGGAAGAACGGGCGGGTCTATTTTGATTACTCGCGCCTCAAAATGGGTCTCATCCCTACATCTTCGGATGACGAGAACGAGGGATATCTGGTCCGTGCAATCAATCGTGGCCAATATGATTTCTTTACGGCTTTTCTTGATTTGTATAAGGTTCAAGACTCACTCATCCATCTATCGCTTATGAACTATGTAATAGCAATAGGAAATGACAAGATGCTAAAGCTTCTTATTGAACGAGGCAATAGTGCTGTCAAAAGCCATGATCAGCATCCAGAATCCAGTCCTTTACGTCATGCAATTTCGTGTAGATTCGGCTCTACACCTGAGATTTTGGAAATTTTGATTGCCGCTGGGGCCTTTATAGACTGTGATATTATGAGAGGGATCGTCTCGAAAGGTAGCCCTAAGGCCATACGCATGGTAGTTGAAAAAGGGATAACATTCAAAATAGACGGGGAGCTATTACATAGGACTGTTTCACGAAGTGATCCTGAGGTCCTTCTTATTCTCCTTCCTCTGATAATCTCTAGTGAGATTTTGAACGAGCGGTTTGACGGGCTCTCCGCCCTCCATCGTGCTTTGTTACATCCGACCCCACGGTGTGCCGTGCCTCTTATCAAAGCTGGTATCGACCTTGATACCTTGGATCAGAAGAACATCACTCCGTTGCATTATGCCCTGTTGGGTCGCCATTTCGATATCGCCATTGTATTGATCACTGCGGGGTGTCGGCTTAATGTTGGCACTATGTTGCGCGGTAGCGAACTACATTATGCCATACGACCTAACAGTCGCGTCCACGACTCATATGATGACTCGGATGATGATGATCAATATATGGAAGTTGAGTATATTGACTATGCCTTCGGTGACTACCACGTTGGTGGTTTCCCCGATGATGAAGACTATGAGAAGAAGAAGCCAGCTTCCTTGCTGACCGTTGTCTACCTACTGCTGGCTCATGGTGCAGATGTTGACTTACATGGTACCCATACCAATCAAGTTAATAGGAACCTTCCGGGAATCCATTTGGAAACCCCTCTGTGGCATGCAATTAAACATGGGTATAGGGATGTAGTTTGGGCGATTCTCACGATGGGATCTCATCGTCCAGATTTGACTATCACGGATCTGGCCGGTCGGACACCTCTTCAGTTTGCTAGGGAGCGTGGGAACCGACACATTATCCGTATGTTGGAGGAGTATGAGGAGTCTCCATGGATGATGCCTAGAAGTCACCACCGCGTAGCTTAAGCCCTATGGGTTGAAGTATCATGTTTTTTGTAACTTGACTTGTTATGCATGTTAGTCTGGACCAATCTAGTTTAGTTTATAAAACATTTTACCAAAAATGAGCTGAAACCAAGAGACATCCTCAGGTTTTTCTTTAGATATTGATTATCTCGGTTGTAGAACTGTAGAGCTAATTGGAGAGGTAGCAGGACGGTATGTTTTAGATCACTGGAGAATCAGACAGAATCTGGGAATGGAATCGAGATCTCACACTCAGGCGGCCGAGTATTAGAAAGAGCGATATTCAGGGATTCAACAAAGAAATAGAAAATTGAGAAGAATAAGAGAATCTTCTGAGTTTGAGTTTGGATTAGATAGTTGAGAACACGCCAGGAAGGACATCTGGATATACGCTGAAGGCGAAACTTGTTTTCGAATTGGAACTCGCATTGACCGTAGCTCACTGCATTCCACAGATAAGAGCAAGCAACCAACAAATCTGGAAACAGAGAAACAAACCAAAATCACAGAACAAATAAAAGGGAAAGGAAAGGCAGAAATGCCGAGGTCGTAAGTCATGCAACCCTAGAGGTTGCTTTAGTTCAAAGCAATCAACGAATGCTCTGGGGTATCAAAATCATAAACGTGACGAAAAGGCACGGGGGAGAGTAAAGCAAAAATGAAAGAAATCAGACTCAAGCAATGAATCCTGATATGGCTCGTATCCCGACATCATGACGAGTCAAAATCCATATCAAGATCGTCCACCTGCACAGTTGTTCCCAATGCCTCCTTTCCTTGTCGAATCATATCCTGAAGCTGCTTATTCAATCGCTGAATGCTAGCATCCTCTTCTCGCTCCTTACGTCTCAACCTTGCGGCGTGGCGCTGCATTTCTGCAGATTTGAGTCCATCTCGAGTTCTTGGGGACGCAAGAGTCGGGATACGAGATGGGGTAGACGGCCGCATCGAGGGAAGTTGTCTCGTGGGCAGTTTCGGCATAACCGCCTGGCGTCGACGCGGACTCGATGCCTGATGAAGCCGACGAGCTTTCACACATGGACTGGCATTTTCATCATCACCGAATGGATCACTCGGTTCGGTTGGGACAACTACCCAGCTGCGATCAATATCCTCGTCGGGGTATTGGCCCGGAATAGGTGTGCGAAGGATCTGGGTCTCTTTCTCTTGGGTGGTCGGTTGCCAGCTGGTATTGATTTGTGCTGGAGAGCCAGCTGCCATGTCATAGCCCTGGCCCCCACCTGCGTAGAAGCCTTTGAATGCACCCGACCAGCATAGATCGAGGACTCTTCCCACGGCGTTTATCACGGTACGGCCCCAGCCTAGACGTCTCGCAGCGGTATCTGGGGTATCCGGGGTATCGTCGGCGGTTGGTGAAGCGATACATGAGTCCCGTCGACTGCGCTTACGACTCGTTCCATATGGATCTGCGGCAACAGAGTCGACACTTGCATCGAGAGACGGTGGCAAGAAAGATTCGCGGTATCGGTTTGGACGATAGTCTAGCTCAGCAGAAAGGAAGTCCTCACTGGGCTGGCGATCGGTACGAAACAGCGGTGAAGCAGCGTGGACGGGGGGTTCGAAGTCGAATTTAGACGAGAGCTTCCCTGTATCCCGACGAGGTCGCTTACGACTCACCGACAGTGAGTAGAGTGATGAGGATGCGGATGATGAGGCTGGGACTTGGAAGAAAGAGGAATGGACACTAGAGAGGTCCAGTTTTGGTGGTGATGAAGCCTGGTGAAACACAGCAGGCATATCGGGCATTTTGTTTGATTTGATAGGAGAAATAGTAAAATTAGATTGTAAAATAGAGAAGAAAAAAAAAGTTGTGAGACAAAAAGACAAGCCTCCAAGTCTCCACTCGGTGGTTGGGAGAAACAAAAGCAAAACAAAACAGGCAAAATGAACAAAAGGAACAAAACAGACAAACATATGACATACTACACTATACATTACTCTATGTATCTTCTTCTAATGTACTTCCATATATTCAATAATTCATATCAAATTTCAACTCATCATTCTGATCATTCTCATCAAATTGATTTACAGTCTCTGACTTGTCCACTGAACTCCAGCAGCATCCAATCCCTCATCTCCATCCACCAAAACACACCAGCCTTCTCCGCCTTCTCCTCCATCACCCGCAATCACCGCCTCAAAATGACCCCTCGCATACTCTAACACTGTATCATCAAATGTACCAGGTTGCAACCAGACAGCAGGGATACCCACAGAATGGGCTTCCTGCAGAACTTGAAGGGTCACGGGTGGAGGTGTGACCACAGACAAGGATGTTTGGCTGGGTGAGGGTAATCCACTGGGCGAGGGGACAGTATCGTAAGCACGCGAGGGGAGAGAGATCTGCGTAGCTCGTGGATTCAGTGGTGTGACTGGTAAAGAGTGCTGGTGGTACCAAGCGAGAACTAGAAAGATTGTTAGTAAATCAGAATTAAGAGAATCGGGATCGCATCGTATGTACTCTTGTAGCCAAACTTCTTGGGATCATTGCTGGCACCCGCCACGGCGAAGCGCGGGGAAGAGAAGAATCGCTTGACAGCTTCCATGTTGAGGGAGAAAAAGTATTTGTAAATGAAATTTGTCAAATTTATATAAGATGACCAGGTGAAGCAGTAATGTTCCAGTTGGAGATGTCTCAATCAAGGGGAGTAATGATGTAAACCTTTGAAGAAGTAAAAGAATAAAAAGTTGGAGGCAAACGACCTCGGCACCCGCCGAACAGAGAAGAGTATTACATATTGCATTCTTTCGCTCATCTCCCTTCTCCGCCTAACCATCAATAGTTCCCACTCTTTAATTTCTCTTTCCCTTAAACCCCAACTATCCCGCGCATGCCGCCATTCATCCCCCGCAAGCGCTTCTCGTCCGAGGACCCGCCCCCGGCTAAACGCCAGGCCCAGGCCAAACCGGACAACCCTGCCAAGCCCGTTACCGATAACAATGATGTCGACTCAGATTCCAGCTCCGAGCTCAGTGATGTCCCCGAAGAGCCTGGTAGCTCATCTAAAGCAACACCAGCAGGGTTAGAAGATTCCGATGAGGAGGATGAGGACTCCGATGACGAAATTGATTGGGAAGATGCCATCGATATCAACAGCGCAACTACCCCAACGCTGGCTGCTCCAGAATACCAGGACCTAGAGCTGACGCTGGATAAAAATGAGGCCCCTATTGAGAGTCTGGTGGATCCTAAAAAAGGACCGACTAAAATTGAGCGCCAGATTCGAATCCAATCGCATTGTATGCATGTCCAGTGTCTACTCTTTCATAATGCCATTCGCAATTCATGGATCAATGATGCCAAGGTACATGAAACTCTTCTCAAGAAATTACCGGAGGGGATTCATAAAGAATTGAAGAAATGGAAGATCGCCTCTGGGTTAGAGCTACCTGAGAAGAAGCCTGAGCCACCCAAGCCAAAGAAGAAGAAAGGCAAGCAGGCACGGAAGAAGGAGGACTGGGGTGAGGACTCGGAACGGCTAGAACCTGGTCAGCCAGATATGAGTCGGGGCGATCCCATCATCATTCTACTCAAGGTGCTTGTCGCCTATTGGAGGAAACAGTTTCATATCTCAGCTCCGGGTTTGCGCAAGCATGGCTATCGCCCTGTCGCATCATTGGAAACTGTGCTTAAGGACTTTCATAAAGAAGAACACGATCCTGAGAAGCATGGAGAACGAATAGGTAACCTTGAAGAATTTCGAGAAAGGGCAACACGCATGGAGGGTTCTCGAGACGTTGGGGCTCAACTGTTTACAGCTCTACTCAGAGCTTTGGGTATCGAAACAAGGCTGGTAGCGAGTCTCCAGCCATTAGGATTTGGCTGGACCAAAGCAGAAATTTACACCCCGCCCAAAGCAAAAACAATGACAGATCAAGAGAACCCTAGTGCTGGCGCTACGCCTGCACTCGACTCGGAAAACTCAGGGTCCGAGTCTGAGGTGGAGACACCAAAGTCGAAGAAAAAGAACCCCAGCAAATACGATGCCGATCTAGTCTTCCCCATTTACTGGGCTGAAGTTGCCTCTCCCGTTACTCATGAAATTATCCCCGTCGATCCACTGGTACTATCCAATCCAATAGCACCTACCGCAGAACTTCAGGCCTCATTTGAGCCACGCGGAGCTAAGGCTGAACGCGCAAAGCAAGTCATATGCTACGTGGTCGCACACTCGAATGATGGAACCGCCAAAGACGTCACAACACGTTATCTCAAACGACGGACATGGCCTGGCAAGACGAAAGGGTTCAGAATGCCGGTAGAGAGGATCCCGATCCCCGGTCACCGCGGTCAATTCTTTGAGTTCGACTGGTTCCGAGTGGTGATGCGCGGGTATGAGAGAGCCCCGGGTAAAAGAACCGAGGCAGATAAACTTGAAGACGAAAAAGACCTCCAACGCAAACAGCCCGAGAAAAAGAAACCATCCCAAGCCACAGATACACTTCAGAGCCTTCGCACCTCAACGGAGTTCGTACTCGAGCGCTTCCTACGTCGCGAGGAAGCACTCAGACCAGGTGCGGAGACTGTACGTACTTTTGTGGCTGGCAAAGGTGCTCGAGCGAAAGAAGAGCCTGTATTCCGACGTGCAGATGTGGTAAAGTGCATGTCGGCGGAGAGTTGGCACAAAGAAGGAAGACAGATCCAGGCTGGAGCAGTACCACTTAAACGCGTGCCTATTCGGGCTGTCACTCTCATTCGTAAACGAGAAGTCGAAGAACTGCAACGCGAAACTGGCGAGAAACCTTTACAAGGACTCTATGCTCGTGATCAAACGGAGTACATCATCCCACCTCCAATTGTCGACGGCATCATTCCCAAGAATGACTATGGGAACATTGACTGCTTCGTTCCAAGTATGATTCCCCGTGGTGCTTCCCACGTGCCTTTACCGGGTACAGTCCGAATCTGCAAGAAGCTTGGGATTGACTATGCAGAGGCTGTTACTGGCTTCGAATTCGGATCCAAGATGGCAGTTCCAGTTATTCAGGGAGTGGTGATTGCGGCTGAGAATGAAGATCTACTTCGAGATGCTTGGCGTATCGAAGCCGCTGAAAAGCGTAAGCGTGAACAACTCAAAGCTGAGAAGCGGATCTTGCAGACATGGCGGAAGTTCTTGTTTGGACTGCGTATCGCAAAGCGTGTGCGTGAAGAGTATGGTGGTGGAGATCCTGCGGATGATCACCAGCGAGATACTAATAACCCCTTTGCGGCTCGGAAAAAGAAGTCGGATGACCAGGAGGAGACTGTCGATGAGGGTCATCTTCATGAGGAGTCTACCCATGATGCTTTTGATACAGGTGGAGGCTTTCTGTTACCGGGTGAGGATGACGATCAAGCGAATGATGGCTTGATCGTGGAGCATCATAAGGAAGATACAAAACAACATGTTGAAGCTTCTCATAAACTGGATGATCGAGATGATTCTGATAGATTATCACCTCCAGTTACAATATCCTCTGGCTCGAATGCTGATCAGGATGAATCTGAGCCGGATTATGTACCGCCAACACGAGGCAATACACGACGTCGTCGACGCGGATGTTGATAACTCCGAGTCGTCTCTCAATGTACTTTTTTATTCTTTTCGGACATGTATTAATAGTAATGTATGAGAATGATATGTTAAGAATATTGGACAGGCCTGATGGTTGTTGATGCCTTTAGTGATTAAGGCTGGGAAATCATCCTTTTACATGCCCAGGTGGTGACTTGGCATGATCTAAAGAAGTTGGATTCAATTTTTAGAAGATTGAACTGTCCCTAATATGGAGTATCTTCTTTCCTTTTATTTAAGTTCTTCTTATTTCTTCTTATCTCTTACTTTATCTCTTAGGTACTTTACCTCTAGGCTCCTACTTTATCTCTTACTTTACTTCTTACTTTATTTCCTCAAATTAAGAAGAAGGCTGAGTAACCTTACCTTCCGCCCTCTGAGGATATCTCCTCTACCTTGCCAAGTTAAAGTTACTACTAAGCCTGTTATAACTTAAGGACCACTGGTCCATATGTTCCCTCTCCATATCACCTTCCCTCTTTCCTATACCTACACATACATGGAGACACTCTACTTACACGGACCTTCCTTACATTTCTTGATCTCCACTGCTCCTCGTCTTTATATCCCATATGCGGACTCGCATCTTGATTTCTACTATCATCATCCTCCATCCCTTCTGACAGAACCGCCTATCATATTAACTCCTCCTCAATTTTCTCTCCTTATCAACCCCTGGGCATTTTCCAATCTCCATCCTCACTATCATCTTTTACACAAATCCCAGTACTGGTTACTAGGTCTGGATCTTTACAGCAGGTGATTAATACCTACAGGCAGGGGGTCAGTTGAATTCCATATCATCCTTCTGTCAATCCATTTAGCTAACATTGATTTCTTTTGATCTTTTCTAGACAAACAATATCTTTACACCAATTCACATTGTGGTGTAACACCTTCTTTCCCTTAACCAACTCCCCAACCAACTACATCAGCTCCCTCTTCAATATCCATCTTTACCGAGCTGATTAGTCCATCACGCATACATTTGCTCAGATGTTTCCCTATATTGGTTACCTTATAGCGGAAGCACCGCTGGAGGTGCAAGGACTGTGAAATCCAGGGTCACAGTAAGTACCTTTGCTCTTAGATGCCGAAATTATATCTAACTTATTTAGAGAAAGCTGACCCAATCTGGAAGGAGAAGAATGTGTAGAGGTAGATATAGATCTCCTCTACACAACGTTAGCAGTAAAAATGTCTAACGTTGTCCCAAGCCCCAACAATCAACCTATAGAGGTTGAATCCTCTCAGGCATCTAATGCCACAATAATTTCTGATAAGAAAAAGGTAGGGGACCTATTTTTTCTATTTTTTAATTCTATGCTAATTCTTCTCTTACAGCGCAAGCATCGATGGAGATGCAAAGACTGTGGCATTCAGGGTCATAGTAAGTACCCTTGATCTTAGATACCAAAATTATAACTAACTTATTTAGATAAAGGTGACCCCAAATGCCAGAGGACGATTCCCCAGCCTCAATCCTTCAAGGCATCCACTCCTCAAATCCCAGTACTTGTTGCTGAGTCTGGGACTCTGGATCCTTATGTGCCTGGTTATTAAAGGACAAGAAGAAGCCAATACAACGAAGGCTTTCTCCCCCTGTCCCCCTCCAACATCCGCACCACCGCCAACTGCATCAACCGTCAGTCTCCCTCGTCCTCGCCTCCGAGGTACTATCCCTCTTCCGCCAGGATAATGCACAGCCTAGGCATACCCGGGTGGTTGAGGATCCGATAGAGATTGACCGGGGGTTGATGCAGCTTTGTATCGAAGATAACGATACAGATATGGACTCGGATTAAGGAAGAATATAATTATTAAATGTTATTATTAATAATATTAATAATATTATCATTACTGCATATAGATATATCAATATATTGATTTCCAAGGAACCTATCCTAACCTGGAAGTAAATATCACCAGTTGACCGATCAAAGACCGTGTTCCCGGCGCAACCTCGAGGTCCCTGGAAGAGACATTGTCTTTTTCTTTTCACATTTTTGCCCTTTTCGCTATTCTTTCCGAGGTTTGGTGAACTATAGGCGTAAATGATATAAGTGAGGAAGGAACTTACATGGATAGAAAACACTTCCAAGGTTAGTTTAGAATCGATAACTAGTGATTATCTGATAAGAAGCTCACTTTAACTAGCTCTTATCGCCGTAGTTCCGAGATCCTCAACCTGAAACCAACATTAAACCATCAACAAAACCTCGAACCTCAAATGACAACCAACTCCACGGAAAACATGTCGGCGCTGAAAGGCGTGACCGCGCCAATACAATTTGGCTCATTTATAGTTACTCAACAAGTGAATTTCCCCGGCCCCTGACCCCCAATTCAGCCTTAACCAGCAGCATCAGTTAACATCTCTACCAGGTCTTCTTTACAACACCCCTCTCCTTCGCCCTGGTAAACCTTAAACCAATTCTTCCCGGTCATGTTCTCATCTCACCCCGACGAGTCGTCCCCCGAGTCTCAGACCTAACACCAGCCGAGACGACCGACCTATTCCTCCTCGTGCGCCGCGTAGGCCGGATGGTAGAACGGGTATATGGTGCCTCGAGCTTGAATATCGCGGTTCAGGATGGTGTTCATGCGGGACAGAGTGTGCCACATGTACATGCACATATTATCCCGCGGAAAGCGGCGGATTTGGATCATCGGGGTGGGACAGATGCCGTTTATGATATGCTTGATGGGGAAGAAGGGGATATTGGAAAGGCATTACGAGAGGAACGGGGTAAAGAGCAGAACACTGATGATTTTTCGAGGCCGAAGAGGAGGACAAGATTCCCTGCTGTGGATAATGAGGCGAGGAAACCGAGGAGTATGGAGGAGATGATCGCTGAGGCGGAGATGTTGGCGAAGGAGATGGAAGGAGAGCCGCTTGATTAGAGAAACTCTTGCTACGGCAAATGTGGGCTGAGACTTGCATATGCATGTGCTGAGTTCCTGAGATGCGTAAATAGATGAGTCTATATTGAAATGCTCAGAGTCATTGATAGATGAGATCAATAAATGCATAGAATTGACCGAAATTCAACATATGGAAGACGTGCACTGTCGTACATCATCATGCATCCTCGTAAAAACATTGCTTCTGGCTCACATCTCACTTAGTTCTGGTTCTATGGTGTATAGAACTTCGTCAATGCCCAATCCTCCCAAACCAAACCAACGCCCAATCAAACCCAAACACCCGAAACGTTCTGGGACAGGTCAAACAAAAAGTTATCAGAACGTCTATACCTATTCTGCTTTCTTGTTATATTTGGGACGCTCTTGAACAATCTGAGCAGCCCAGACCTTCATCTCAGGAAGCTGGACTCTCCCGGCGACGCCCTCAAACTCCTCCAAGTCGACGTTATGAGTACGCTCGTACTCAATAAACTGAAGCAACAGCTCCATCTTATCAACATCGTGCACAAACTGTGCCTCCAACGTCTCATTATCCTCGTATTCCTGGAATACGCGCATGATTTCCGCGCCGGAGAGTGCGCCGCCGGGGACATTCCCTAACAGGTTCTTGACGATGTACTCCATAGTGGCGGCCTCACGGCGAGCCTTCTCGGCCTTGGGGATATGGTCGTCAGCGGGGGTGATATCACCGACTAACGATTCAGCCATATCGTGGATAAGGGCCATCTTAGTACAGTGCGGGATGTTCAGCTTGGAAGCCAGCTCGGCCGGAGCAATCATCGTCATGATCGACATGCGATACATGTGGTCAGAGATGGACTCGCCATGGTCGATTCCGAATCGGCGCCAGCCTTCGCGCTTAGTGGTCTTCAACCGCTCAATAAGGTGGAAGAACGCGACGGGGGATGTGGAGTTCTCCTCTGGTGGGTGGGGGAGGGTGGACAGCACTGCGGGAATTTGTAAGAGAACAGTAATAGCGATTGATATAGCTCAAAAACATACCAGACTGTGGAGTCCAAGAAGAACCGTCGGAACCCATGGTAAATATGGTAAAATAACGAAAAGAGTGGCTTAAGGGAGAAAATGTGTAGAGACAAAAGTTGAGGCCCCGCTGGTTCCAAACTGATGCGGGCAAACAGTGCAAACGCCTATCGCATTGTTGACAATCACCGCCGGTTACAAACTAATCTCCGTCTATTCGCGACCGCGGCACCATGGCTGCTTCTACGAGGTCAGCACGGCCCAAGCCTGTGGATTGGCCGACTCCACCTCATTTAACTCTCTTTATTCGCAATTTAAAGCTACTCTGTCTAGACCAGCGCGAGGATTGGCCTGGCATTACACTCCGCTCCTTATCGCTCTCCTCTACGAACCAGCGACAACGCATCCGGTTGATAGAATGGGCTCTTTACTATCTGTTTGCTACCTTGGATCCAGATGGTACCCAAAATGTACGCGAAATTACCCAGCTTATTCTGAGAGATCACGGCTAACGGATGCCTAGAAACTTCGTCCCTTTTTCCCACCGCTAGAACCCCTACAATCCGTCAACCTCCGCGCTGCTTTTTTCCGTGCTCTGTCTGAGCTTAAAAAGAATGGCGACCTGGGCCGTGAGACAATTCTCCGCAAGACAATGCTGGATGATTGTAAGGGCGAGAAATTCGACGAGCTACTTGCTGTTTTCTCAACAACAGTTCTGCGCAAGCTACTCGCAGCATCTGTGCCAGGGACACAATGGACCGCCGCTATGAAGCTGTCTGCAGCTACCTCCATATCTCCCGGAGATTATCAAAACATATTACCGCTGATTCTCGCCCACCAAGTTTCTCTTGGTGCGACAGGGGCTCGTCACGCACGCGTACACGAAGCTTACGACCAGTTCTCGCAACTGTTGGATCGCAAGAAGACTGAGCTTGCAGAGCAGGCGAAAAAGGATCTGACACAAGACTTGAGCCAAATGCAACTCGAGCCGGAGACTTTGACACGTGAGCTTCGCGCCAATTGGTTGGGAAGTGAGGAGTGGGCTGCTACACTGGTTGATGGGGGAGCGCAGAGCAGCACGGATTCTTTCTTAGAACTTCCATTCTCCCGCGCTTGGGCTCTCGCCGCTGATTTATCTGTGGATAAACTCCGTGGGGGGGTCAAAGAAAGACCTAGTCATTGATCTCGAGGCACGAGTGCTACGGCTTCGGAACCGAGTGCGCAGGTGGCATGAGTTTAATGAGTCGCTTCGCAAAGAGCGGGATGCAAATGGGTCTGCTACCGGCCCGAAATCTAAGGAGCCCCGTCTACTGTTCCGTGATCATCAGTTTCTTACGGTGGCGAGCATTTCCAAGGCCGTACGACAGCCTACGGACCGCGGGCGGACTATGAATTCTGTGGATAGATCTTTTGTTTCGAACGTTAATGAGGCTATTGCACGTATCAATGGGAAACCTCGAAATGGATTTGGGCGTGCCGCATCAGCGTATTCTATGGAAATTGATACATCATCATCGAACTCAAAACAAGGGTCCAATTACCAAACTACAGCGCCGAGATCCCCAGACAAGATAAAGGCTTCTGTACCTCGGACAACTTCCGAGCCAATTGAACAAAGTCCAGAGCCAGAGTCTATCCAAGCTTCACCTCTCATTGTTCGTCTTTCTCCTGACCAAAGTCCAATTACCGAAGATGAACCAACCTTCGAACCCATGAAAATGAAATCCTCGACCTCGAGCTACACCCTGATCGAGCGCACTCGAAGATCCATGTCTCTTATCCCACCTCTCCCAGCACATGAAACACCTCCCCAGCACCGTCTACGGCGCGGCCCGAGAAGCTCATTTCCAGTGAACCAATTCGAGACACCCCGGAAGTCATCCGGACCCCATGGACGATCCGGCGCCTCTACCCCACAGGATAAACTCTTTGAAGACGGTGCCGAATATAACAGTGTCTTTAAATCGCGCCCGCGTGTCGCAAATAGCCCCATATCATCTCCGGCAGTACATGCTAGTCATTTGTTTGATGAAGATGAATTCGACCTGGATCAGAGTGGTGCAGGATGGGGAGACGTGGATTCTCCCTTGACTACATCCAGATACAGGTAGTTTATGACGATAATTACCCTCAATGAATAGATGAAATGCACAAATACATACAATCCCTTTCCAGTCTCGAGGACCCTTTCAAACGTTGTTTTTCAATTTCTCGGTCCGCTTGGTATCATGACTGCGGCATAATGTTGACCTTCCTATCCACCCAGCTCTTGTACTGATTAACCTCCGTTGAATATGAAGAGCAATCTTCCTGTACTTCGATAATATTGATATGCGATGGATCTTGCTTGGCCGTGGTTGCGATTGAGTTGATCTGTGCAGTTGGTAGTAAGCAAAAGCTCTGAGTAGGATGGTACTTAGGCAACCAAATCCATCGATTGATGACTTACACTTTCGGCTTTTGTAGATAGATTGACCATCTCAGTATCTTCTTCGGGTCGTGCTCGACGTCCCAGGATCCTCAATAGGAGATTGATGACTGCCTCGATGGGGCACCATACTATTTGCAGCGAGAAGAACATTTTGGTGGCTTATGTGGAGGACTCGGACGTCTGGAGTTTTAAAAAAGGGAACCTTGAAAGAGCAAGTAAACGTGGATTTGTATGAGGGGCTTCTCTATAAGACAGGGATGCGAACCTTCATCTCACTGGCAATGTTTTATTATGCGCAAGGGGCTCCTCATACCCCGGGCCCTGTAAACATTGAATCGCGGATTAGGTACTGGTAGGACAATAGATGCGCCCATCTCGCACATGTAATACCTTCGAAGGTCACGACCGGGCGGTTCTCTTGGCAGTTCAAATATTTCAAGTTCAGTGGTTCGCTGGAATATATCATGATATGTATATGCGAAATATGGAAACAACATTTGAATGGATGGATAAACATCAAGATGGATGTGTGGTGTTTGGTCTGAAGATAGTACCGCATATATATGTAAGCTGAGAGTACCTAGGTATACAACTTCAAGTTGAACATTCGAATTCCAACTACGATTGATCTCATGACGGAATACTCACGAGCATATGTAGTACTAGGTATTTATCTTTACTAGATCATGAAGTCTATTTAGAGAGAGCACTTTGAAATATTTCAAGCTTAAGGCCAAGATCTTACTTCAAATGCCTTGGAAGGTGGCACTTAGTTGGCAGACTTGTGCGCTTTTTGTCATTTCCTTAGGATCATAAAGCAAAAAGTTCAGGATTACTTTCAATACAGTTGCGTGGTTTAATGGTCATAACGTCTGATTCACATCTTCTCTTGGAGTTTGTCACTCAGAAGGTTCCCGGTTCGATCCCGGGCGCGACTACTTTTTTGTCCTGGGCTCTACGTCCTGGGCTCTACCTGGGTTAGTTGATTTTTTACTCTTTAATATAATCTTTGGATAAATCAAATAGGATATTAGTCATTAAGTCTTCTTTTTTTTTTTATCTTATATTAAAAAAATAATAATAATCTGACTAGATAAACTTACTGATCTATCAATCAGTAGGCTACTCTATACTCCATAGCTCAAGGGTCTATAACACCAAGGCTAGATAAGATAAGAGTTATCTCAGCAACAAAAAGAAACACAAAAAGATAGTCGCGCCCGGGATCGAACCGGGAACCTTCTGAGTGACAAACTCCAAGAGAAGATGTGAATCAGACGTTATGACCATTAAACCACGCAACTGATTGTTATATAATCAGTCAACGTTTAATTATATGATCCAACCAACTTTGATCTGAATATAGTATGTATAATTCTTTCATGCATTCAATGTTGCGCTTCGATATAAGCATTCACCTACCAGAGTCTTGAGCTCTCGTATTTCAGTATACTATTTCAAAATTGACATCTGGAATATTGTTGGAAATTCTTTCCGAGGGTAACCGATTGAAACAGGCCTGTTTACGATCGCACCTGGGCCGGAACTATGTACCTATGTGACCTTGCGAACACATTCGTCTGATCTACGACACAGATTAGTTATGCGACCCACCCAATTTGCTTAGATTTTATCTCCTAACTAGCCTAGATCTTAAATTCAACCTTGGAAGTTGGTTGTACAGACCTTAAGTTCCGATATAACAAGGCAGACACTGGTCTAGATCGTGCCGGCTATAACGGCACATCTAGGCAGTACTTAGTTTGCAAGGATACATGTACCTGGCCTACGAGAAGGGCTCATGGGCTGGAGATCAAACATTAAACTGGGACTTCGGAATTTCATGGAGTGCTCATCGGGGTGTTATAATGGTGAGTACCCCTGGCATGATGCAAGCATACTCCGTACTAGTAGTTTCAACATGTTATGTCAGGTGGACCTACAGGGATAACATCGATAGTTCATAAGCTAAATAGCGTAGCCCGCTGAGATATTGATCACGATTCAAAGCCGAGCTCTGTGGCGATCATTACCCTCGGCCGTTCAAACATTCCTGTTATACCGACTATGAAAGCCCGGAGCGGGGGCTTGCACCGTAACATCTAATGGAATCACAGTAATGATTCTCCTAATGTACTTACTAACTTCATGAATACTTGAGCCATAGGGCTGAGCACCAGAACAATGTATCTTATTTCAGGTTTTCAAACTTCAGACCAATGCTACTTCAACTGGAGTAAAAGTGGTTGAGGTTGGACTTGACCCTTCGGATACTAGTCTCCCCGCGATGCACAGCCTTGCCACTTGATAGTACCTACACATGCAGATATCCACTGGCATTGACTTGTGTGATCTGTTTGGCAGAGCTATAATAGATTCATGTAACAGTATGGCTCTGAAGAATCGTAACAGGGATTCTCCTTTACGTCCCAACATTTTGAACTGGCCTTATTGGATGGATATAGATTATGATAGTGCCTATACTTGCATTGCAGCTTCGGTGCTTCGGACCTGCACATCGACCGACTCGGAGCTAGTAGCCTGCAGCAATGAAATAAAAACCCCGCGCACTCACATATGCATGAAGTAGCTAAAAACTTCTTTCAAAGCGTCGGATTATTTACCTTCACTTCAAAAAGGCTGCATCAGAGTGGCACACCACCATGCTTGCTTTTACTCCATTCCTTGTCCCTATTTGTCTTGTATTTGGATTACTATGCCTGGTACGCTTACCTTTTACCCGAAAAATAGTTCTATATCATCAAAATGGGACATATTCAAATGTTTGAAATGTGACTGATATTTAAATTATACCGAAAATCTAGCGAGGGATCTACTACAGGCTCACCAACCCAGTAGCTCATCTACCAGGTCCCGAAGTCTCAAAATGGACTGATCTGGTCTACCTGTACTATTGGTTTTCTGGAAAAGTCCCATACTATGTTCACAACCTCCACGAGAGATATGGTGAGCAAGAATCTCTTTGTACCGGCAATGATACTAACACTGAAATTTCCATAGGTCCTGTTGTTCGCACAAGCACATCGCAGGTAGATATCTGCGATGTGGACGCAGCACGAGAAATCCACAAAACCAACACGCGGTTCATGAAATCCCAATTTTATGAGTTCCTAGTTGCAAAAGGCTTCCAAAGTATGTTCAACACAGCAGATCCAAAGTTCCATTCTGTTCGACGCCGTCTCCTGGCCACACCAATTTCCGACTCTTCTCTTAGTAAGATGGAGCCCTTGGTATCCAGTCGAGTCCATCTAGCCGTGGATAAGATATCCGAAGAGATGGAATCTCGGGGGGCTGCGGATGTTTTCAAATGGTGGCTATTTATGGCTTCAGATATTATCGGTGAACTGAGCTTCGGCGAGTCCTTCCGAATGCTGGAGAGTGGAGAGGTACGTTATTAATCTGCACGCCGAGCAAAAAACCAAATAATCTCACTGGAACCATCAATGTCAGAAAAACCAATATACCAAAGATCTGGAAGCGATATCAGGTCTCCAACCTATTCGAACCACATTCCCTAACATGGTAGCCATCGCGCGTTACCTTCCTCTGCCAATTTTCAGACAAGCCGGAGCAACTGCCAACAGAATGGTCACATACGCAATGCAATCAATCGACCGATACGCAAAATATCTTGAAGAGAACCCGGAGAATCCGAGACAGACCCTCTTCACAAAAGCGCTCGACGAGAAAAGTGGCATGTCCCGACAAGACATTAGACAGGAAGCGCAGGGATACATCGTTGCCGGTAGTGACACCACAGCTGTAACACTGACATACCTTGTGTACTCTGTTTGTCAAGATCCCCGCATTCAACAGTGTCTCACAGCTGAGTTGGCGACTCTCACGGAACCTATCTCGGATAAAATCCTCCGCGATCTGCCATACTTGAATAATCTTATTAATGAGACGCTACGATTACATACTGCTGTGCCTTTTGGGTTACCGCGTGCGGTGCCCATTGGAGGGGCGACTCTCAAGGATACTTTTATTCCTGGTGGAACAGTTGTGTCGACACAGTCGTACAGTCTTCATCGGGATCCGAGTATCTTTCCCGATCCTAACCGGTATTTATGTGATGATTGTCGCTATGATGAATGTGAGAAACTGACGAGTTTGAGTAGATTTTACCCTGAAAGATGGGAGAATCCGACTAAGGATATGAAGGATGCTTCTCTTCCTTTTGGTGGAGGATCGCGCAGTAAGTTAACCATATTTCGCTGTTACCTTGGACTTTATTAGCTAACCTTTCTATTTAGTTTGTATTGGTATTCATTTAGCTCGCATGGAGCTCCGGTTGGCGACAGCTCTCTTTTTCAGAAGGTTCCCGAAGGCTTTTGTGTCTTCGAATGAGGGTATGTGTGATGATGATATGATAATGAAGGCATTCTTCTTGTCAGCTCCCAAGGGACATCGATGCCTGATCCAGGTTTAAGGTATCCCTAAATCTCTGATATTTGATAGTCATTGGTGTGGTTATGTTTTATTATTATCGATATTAATACCACCATGTGATATTCTCAGGCTAATTGCATCAAATTCTAGCCTTTGTTTTTGAGAACCTCTGAATAAATGCATACATAGTCTTACTATCGTTTAGCCTAATGAACCCATGCGCCGTTCTGTAATGTCTTATTGTTATTGTCCTTAGCTCACCCGGCCTGAATGGGGGTTTCACCCCCAGATGCTATTTTAAAATTGGTTAAAAAGCTGCCCAGGTGCCCAAATATCAGTTGACCTGCTAGGCGTCCCATTAAAGCGAGGAATATCAACCTGCAACGTAAAATCACTCTTGTTCTATAACAAGTAATTCTGTAATGTTCCTGGCATAGCACTTGAGTCTGCTGACTTCTAGGAACTATCACCATCCGAGTCATTTCCCGGACGCTATAAGTCCAGTGAGCCCATTCTTTCGTACCCGGAGCCAATAGTACTCACAATTACTGTCGCATCTGAATTTCAGCTGCCAGTGGTAACTTGGAATTATTCAAACCATCTAGGCACAATACTTTATTATCCTTAGTAAATACTAAGGACCCACTTAAGGCGTCCCTTTTTGACCTGCATATGCCGGTCCGACCCATCAGTAGGTACTGGAAAGTAAGCACTAGAAAGTAAGCACTAACGAGGGTTCGGCGTTTTCTTGGCCCAGCCCCGAGATTTAGATCTAGATGATACTGTAAGCTGTAGATCTGAGGAGAGCAAGTTAGTCTTTATACTAATTTGTCGCGTCTACACATATCGCACGGATGACTCCTACGATCTCGTACAAAATTTCAAGATTGCGAAGGGGAGTGCAAGGCTATACATACATAAGGAGCGCAGGTGGTGAGCGCCCCCGGGGGCTCAAGTTTTCCTATCAGTTCCTATTTCCAGGATTAGGGGCCTCCGGTGCCAGATGCCGCTGCTTCTTAGGCGTGCCAGCTGCAGGGCTTAGCTACATGCATGTATACCATGCTCGATATGGAATAATCCGATTCTCAATGCCTCTTCCTTTACCACTTCCACCTGGTTTCTTCTAATAATAGTAGGAATATAACTAAAGACATTCTTCTCACTGAATGATACAGACCAACCAGGACATCGAACCAACCCTCGTGGACGTTCAAATGGTCCATTTTCATCTGATTCTATCCATATGTCTACTCCGTACTGAATCTGGAAAGGTCAAACTAGCAGTGCCTGTAGCTCAGACAGTTCATCTTCAAATGTTCAGAGAATAGTAGACCCTGGAGCACTTCGAAGACTATAAATCCAGCAAGAATTCCCACTACAACTGATCATTAATCCAGCAATCAACAAAAGCTTCCACAGTCAAATCAAATCAAACCTCCCATCTTTATCCATCTTTCAAATCTTTGAACAGTCAACATGATGTTCTCCAAAATCCAAGCTCTGGCCCTGATCAACTTCATTGCTCTCTCCTCCGCATACAGCTCGCCGCATTGCAATGTGGAATTCTACTCTGTCTCAGACTGCTCTGGCACTCCTGACGCTTCCTGCGTTCCAGACGACATGTCTGATACTGAGTGCACCTGGAATACCTGGGTTGGCTCAATCTACTACAGCGGCTGCGGCACCCAGGAAAGTCCTTCGTTTGTCGGCTGCAACGGAGACCCTGGTGTATGCGCTAATGCCTGGAGCATTGCAATTCCAGGTGCTTCTGCCGGCTGTGTTGAGATCGGAACTTACGATGGATTTGTTACTGTCTACGACAATAATCCTGCTGGCTGCGGTGACTGTGTTGGAACTGAAGCTTGAGTCGCTTGTCAACGTCAACAATACTGGCAGCAACCGGTGTTAGAACAGCCGCGATACTCAGACGACCTGTGTAACTCATTTAATGACTTGAATTTTGTTTATTATATGCTCGTTTGAGGTCTGGTGGAATATGAGGACGGCTAGTTGCAAATGGTGGAGCAGGGAGAGAGGAGATATGCGGTGGTTCATCTTTCCAGATGTCTATAAGCTCCGAGTCCTGTTTTCGTTTATTGTCAAGTAACCAGTTGATCTCCAAGGGTTTCAATATTGATTATTCAATGTTTATACATATGCGAAGTTTCCAGACCCAGTTGGCAGCAGTAGCACTTGAGTAGTAGGAGTATGTAGAAGAACTTATTTTAATTGTCTATGGAGGAATTGTACGTATGTGCACCATGAGAATGGGTATCTTTAATATTGGACCATAAATAATATCCTGAAGCTATGATACACGTAAAAGTTAAAAAAAAGAAGTAGAATCATTGCCATCGGACGCAGCAAGCATTAGAATATTTCCGCCATGACATAAATACACACAAAAAGGGGGTGATTAGGGTGAAAGGGTAAAAACCGAAGAAGCTCCTAGGATTCAGATTCAGCCTTGGGCTCGGATTCGGACTCGGGTTCTGGTGCTGAGGTTTCCTGCTCTTTGGATTCCTCAACAGGTGTAGGCTCAGTTTCGCCCTCCAGGGGCGCCTCGGTAACCTCGGGCTCTTCAGGTTTGGCTTCTGCGTTTTCTTCGCTCTCCTGAGCTTCAGGTTGCTCTTGTTTCTCCTCAGTTTCTGCTGGGGAGTCTTCAGTTGCTTCCTGGGTCTCAGTTTCCACCTGTTCCTGTTCCTGTTGAACAGCCTTCTGCTGCTCCTGCTCCTGCTCCTGCTCCCGTTCTTTTTCCTCGGAAGGTGGTTCACCTGTCTCAGAAGTATCTTCTCTAGATGGCTCAACAGGTTCGGCCGGAGGTGGGGTCTTGGGGCGATTCTCAACAGCAGATGGAGGGCGCGGTTCAGGGGAGTCCTTCATCACTTCACGTAGAGGACCCTGTATATGCGGAGTCTCCTCCAAATCTTCCATGCTCTCTGTGATTGTCGTGACTCGCGATCCGGTAGACGGACTGTGCTTGTGTCTTCGAGTAGTCGCTCCCGTGCTAATTGATGGGTCCATTCCCTCCACACCACTGCTGAGGAAATTCTCATTTTCCTTACGGAGAATAGTCAACCGCTTGCTGTCAACCTGTTCCTCCAACTTGGGCTGAATAGCATCGGGACCTTCTGCTTCGGGTGGAATGGTGTAATTGTCCTCTGGAATGAGGTGAAACATATCGCACACCGTCTTGAAGAAAACGTACAATCCATCATGACCCTCGACTTCCCAGAAAACATCTCGGTGCTGGAACCAGGCGTGTGCAAAAATACGGTACAGGCGACGGAAGATATTGGTCAGGTGTCTGATACTGGACTGAGGACCGCCGCCAGCCTCCGAGCCCAACGTTAAGCGGCTGGGGAAGTATTTGGACGAGGTGAGAGTATTAGTGGCCCAATCGAGAGTGTGGCAGCAGTAATCAATAGCGCAGCATGATTTAGGAGGGTCGTGCACGGCGCAAAGGTACTGCCATTCGGAGGCGCGCATCTCGGGGCAGGTCTGCGCTGAACAAGGTGGGCTCTCGGAGAAGAAAGCAATAATCAAGTTGTTCACTTTCATAGTCAGGAAGCGGCATAGTTCGTATAGCCACAGCGACCGATCGACACCCTCTGGAGGCTCGGCGAGTTGAATTGCGACCTCGCGGGTAATCGGGATTACAACGTCAGAACCTTCGGGTTTGGTGAAATGGTGGTACAAAGCTTTGAGGTGTTCCTGGAGCTGGAAAGGCGAGTCAAGCTGGAGCTGCAAGTCAGCTTGGCTGAGCTATATAATAGTGATAAGATGTAACAAACCTGCGACAGAGGAATCAATGGAGGTCCAAAGGCCATGTCAGCGGCTTTGGTCCCCGGACGGATCCTGCGCGTTGAGCCATCTTCCTCTCCAGGAGCAGCTCCGAGAAACTGCTCTCCATCTTTGCCAAAGGGCTCGCCGACAGATGGCGATTGAGGACCAATCTGGACCTCTGTGAACGGGGGCGGACTCGGGAGGCGTGGGGAGCTAGACGGGGAGACTCCCGCGGCAGTCATGGCGCGTAACTGGAATGGGGCAAATAGAAAAGATTAAGAGAGAAAGGGAGCCGCGAGATCAAAAGAGAGTAACCTAGGATGAATAAAAGAGTGAAATGGGAAGTCCGCGCCCTCGCCGATCCTTAAGAATCAAACAAAATGAGTTAAGGCCCAACTTGAGCATGGGCTTGATCGGAGCTGGAGGTGATAAGCAACAACAGATGACTGCTCCATACCCTAAGCCCTGATTTCCTATCTGGGAAACAACGTCATCCGCATCTACGATCTCTTGACCGGGTAGCTAAATTATAAAGAGTGACCGCGAGAGCAATACTGTATAAAGAGACAGCTTGTGGTTTATTTTATTCAAGAATTTGAAACTTTGACATCATCAACACCATGTCTGGCAATATTGAGGATGACGAAGCGCCTCCCGATCTGGTTGATGTGACAACAGTGCCATCAGACCCGCCTGCTTCCAGCCCTATAGAGGAGGAACCAAGTCGAGTTCCCATCACTCTTGTCACAGGTATCACGAGTCATGTACTCATTTGTTTTCCTATCCGAGACTGACGCTTTTCTAAGGATATCTGGGTGCCGGAAAAACAACCCTGTTGAACTACATTCTGAATGAGAAACATGGCAAAAAGATTGCCGTGATCATGAACGGTACGTATCACATGTGCAAGTATACAAAAAGCATATACTAACTGAAAATAGAGTTCGGTGACTGTAAGTATTCAGTCTCAACCCTGATAAACAACAATACTCATGAAGTATACAAATCTAGCATCGGACATTGAGAAGCCCTTAACTGTGAACGAGGGTGGTCAAGAAGTCACCGAATGGATGGAAGTTGGTAATGGCTGTATCTGTTGCTCCGTCAAGTAAACACACCCATTATTTCATATTAAGTTATCTACTGAAGAAACGAAAACATGTGAACAAGCACTAAAAATACACAGAGACTCGGGCGTCATGGCCCTGGAATCCTTAATGGAACGCCGTGGCACATTCGACTACATCCTCCTAGAAACAACAGGCCTCGCCGATCCCGGCAACATAGCCCCGGTATTCTGGATGGACGAAGGTCTCGGCAGTTCAATCTACCTCGACGGGATCGTAACTCTCGTCGACGCAAAGAACATTCTCCGACTCCTCGATGAGCCACTTCCCGAGGAGAAAGTCGATTCCCATAAAGAGAGTGCCAACAAACCCACTGATACCAAGGAACAGCACCAGCATAGCCATGATGGACCTGTTCTTTCAATGGCTCATATGCAGATTTCGCACGCTGATGTGATCATCCTGAACAAAACAGACCTTGTCTCGGAAACTGAGTTGGAGGGTGTTCGGAATAGGATTATGGGGATTAATAGCGTTGCTAAGATTCATGTTACGGATCATAGTCGCACACCTCAGATTGAGGGTGTTGTGCTTGATTTACATGCGTATGACCATCTTGCGAAGTTGGATTTGGATTTTGGGGCAAAGGGTCATAGTCATATGGATCCTGCTATCTCTACAGTGGCGGTTTTGACGCGACCTCTTTCTGTGGGGGTGGCTGGGAAGGTTGATGAGTGGCTGAGGGCTGTGCTTTGGGAATCGAGTTTGCCTGTGCCGTTTGGAGAGGGAGGCTCGGGGTATCCGGTTGATTTTGAGATTCATCGCCTGAAGGGCGTTTTGGTATTTGAGGATGGGTCGAGGAAGATTATTCAAGCTGTGAGAGATGTTTTCGAAATTCGGGGATGCTCCGGTCACAAGTGAGGAGGATGGAGAGAAGCTAGTGCAGTGTAAAATTGTGCTTATTGGGAGAGGGTTAACGGCTGATGTTGAACCCTGGAAGAAGAGCTTTGAAGCATTTGTATGGGGATGAGATTTCAAGTCACTAGCACAAATCTACAATTCTGGCCCCTCCAGTTTGCCTTCTACCTTACAGCTATGCAGTAGCGCACATGTAATAATTAGTGTCAGAGCTCCTGACTGAGTAGCTTTCCCAGTTCTGTTGCTACACTTGTATTGTGCTACGCCAAGGATGAAATGAGTTCAAATGATGCGCTGCAATGAATTGACAAAAAGAAAATAAGGAAGAAAATAACAATAATACAGCCCTGTAGACCCAGAGAGGGAGAAAAAAGAAAATAGGCTGAATGAAATTACATGAAAAGGCTAAAGAGAAAACAGGAGAGAACGCCCAAAAAAGACAATTAAAATCCTCCGTATAGGTATAAGGATGAAGAAAGAAGTCGAAAAAGGAATCCATAGAAAACAACAAGAAAGACGCAAGAACGCAACGAAATAAGAATGAGATGAGATAAAATCAAATCCACCAGAAGAATAGGAAAAAAAGGACTTTTTTAGACGCCGTAAGTTCGCCGGCATGCGCCGTCGGTGCAGATGCCTGGAAGTGCTAGCTTGGAACGCAACAATGACAGGAGAACTGTACAAGCGAGAAATGAAGAGGGTATCGATCGTATAGCCCCACAGGAGGGACTTGGAAATCATTTGGCGTTCATAAATCTTCCGAGTTACATAACCTTGGCCAGAAGAGAATGGTTCAAGGTTGAGAGGTTCGAGGAGCGGGCTCTAGACTCTGACTCTAGAAGCGGGGTTGATAGGGAGTTCAGATCGTAGTAGACATGAAACCGGAGTGACGGGTTCTTCAACAACCTGATTGAGTGGGAGAGGGACTGTGGAGGATGCAGTGATGTGGACGGGGCCATCTTCCACGGCTGGACTGATGGGAAGTGCGGATTGTAGTAAAGATGAAACCGAGTTGAAAGGTTCTTCGACACCATCATTGAGCGGGAGTTGGATTTTGGGGGGAGAGGAGGTGATATGGACGGGTCCATCATCAACGGCTGGGCTGATGGGGAGTGCGGATTGTAGCAGACATGAAACCGAGTTGACAGGCTCTTCAATGGTCTGATCGAGTGGGAGGTTGATGGTGGAGGATGAGGAAGTAACACGGACAGGGCCATCTTCCACAGCCGGGCTGATGGGAAGTCGTGATTCAAGAAGCGATGAAACTTTGATGATAGATTCATTCTTCATGAAAGTTTTAGAGACAGGCTTCCGAGGAAGAAGGAAATGGACGCGCTCCAGGGGTTGTTTCTTCTCAAGAGGAGGGCTGATGCAGGTGTCTGATTCAATCGGCGGTTGAACGAATCTGGCGATGTTGTCTGCGATAGCTGGGTTTATGGGGAGTCGTGATTCAAGAAGGTCGTTTCTTGAAGTCTCGGAAATAAGAATGTAACTTTCTTCCTTTAATGCAGGGTTGATCGGGAGTTGAGACTCGGAAAGAGATTCCATGAGAGTTGGAGGGTCGAGCACAGATGTCTCAGCATCATGCGGAAACGGAGAAATGGTATCTTGTGCCACTGCAGGAAATGTCCTCCGTCGAGAAATAGGGAGAGCAGGGTTGATGGGAAGAATGGAGTGGAAGAGAAAAGGCACTGCGCCTGCATGGTCATGTCTTTGAGGCTCGGATTCGTCGCCAGTCTCAACGTATTCAGATATTTGTTCATCATGCAGTGTGGGAAGCAGTGTTTTATCATCAAACGCAACAGAAGCTTTGTTATCCAGATGGCGAGAGCTGCCATTTCCACTAACAGAATCTTGATCAATTGATGGTTGCCCCAATGATGGGACGGATATTGAAGGGAAGGATTGTTGTTCTAGAGCGAGGCTATTGCGATCATTTTCGTGACTGACCCAGGATGAATGGTCTGGCAGTCTGCCGGCTCGGGGATCATATTGGGGAATATCCCACGAGGGCGCGAGGCGGTCGTCATGTTCATGATGATTTAACGTGGATGTGGAGGAATGTCGAGATAAGAAAGCTGCACCTCCATTGGAGCCCGCCAGAGTTGGGGTGGATCCCTTACCCTGGGCTGGGTGGGCCGAAAACATATGGTGAGACAGGCTATGGTCGTGGGGTTTCGAAAATTCAGGATCGAAGGGGTGAGAAACTTGGTTAAAAGCGTGGGTTATGGGTACAGGATCAACACCATTGCCCTTGGTGACGAGAGAGCGGAGGTCATGGTCGACGTTGTATCGATCCCGGCCTGCCGGGAGAGGTCGTGTGAGAAGGTCTGGTGGGAAGAAACCAAGAAGATCCTTGGCTGATAATCGGTGTCGGGGAGTTGGGCTGAGGCAGATGTCCACCACTCGACGGTAATAGTCCGGAATATCGATATCATTGCCAAATAGCAATGGACGGGGCTGTCGTTCTGGTTCATCTTCTTCCATGGCGAGAGCCCACAATGTCATACCCAGTTGGTACAGGTCCGTTTTCACTCCGATATACATAGAAATGCGCTGATTGCTCTCAATCTTTGCTGCAATCTCTGGCGGTTCCCATCCGACAGGGCATCCTCGGCGGTTGATGTCAATGATATGAGCATTGTCATCGCCATCCACCACAATATTTGACAATGTAAAGTCACCCTGCACGTAACCTGACTCGTGAATCTCACACAAGCCCTGAACAATTTGTTTCGCCCACCGTTCGCGTCTGGCGAAGGGTATCCTTCCCCTTTGATCGTACAGTAAATCCACAAGAGCACCTTGAGTCGCATAGTTGATCAAGAGTCCCTTGACCACCTCCTGTCGGTCATCGACCACAATTGCTTCCACCCGGATGACGTTTGGCGCGCCATCGAGCGCATGGAGGGCATTGATCTCGTATAAAAACTCATCCACCGTATCGGGACCTGGAATCTCCTTCTTGATATACTCGTGTCCACCCAGTCGCACTTTGTAAACAAATCCAGAGAGGTGATTTTCGAAATGTAAAAAGTTCTCCGGTACACACTGAGCACCCCGCAAGTGTCCAATACTCGAAATCGGAGGGTAGGGTATCGTCTCATTCACATCTTCGGTGACATGAACGTGTAACCGGCCATCGCGGGTCTCGACCTTCAAATTCGTCACGGTATCGTAGAATTGGATCTCCGGTAAGGATTCTCGAATTGACTCATATATCCGCGCACACTTATCCCGCTGGTATCGCAGCTCCTTCAAATCCTGCTCAAGGGAATCGGGTGGTGCTGCACGGTAATCACAAGAGATCGTCACACGTCGCCATCGGTTCGGGGTTTCTGCATATGTTACGAAGAACTTCTCCCTTTCCGAGCGATCCCGGAAGTGCATGCTCAGATTCAAAATCCATCGGTGTTCCAACTCCATCTCGAGAGTATCTGGTAGAGGATCCTTAGGGGCAGGTGTCACGTCTGGAGAAGAGTCCCAGTCCTCCGGCTCTGAATCGGTCTCAGTTTCATTTAGGATGTTTGTTTTCAGGGGGTCGTCGACCGTGGTAGCGGGCGTCGGGCCGAGCCACTGAACCTCAGGCGCGGAGAGTCGAGGGCCCACGGCGGGCGGTGGAGACCGGGTTCTTTGGGCACTCAACGGGCGACGGTCGGCTGATTGTGCACGACGATGTTCGTGGTCCTGGGGAGCAAGGTGCCCTTGTTCTGAAACTGGACGTTTAAACGTAGAAGCTTTTGGAAGCGTGACACCCACACGGCGGGAGAGTCGTCTAGTGATATTATCGTGTTTGGCACTATCGGTGGAGGAGGCTCGGTTATGATTGAGGTTGTGGGGGAATGGGAGGACATCGCGGTTCTGATTCTCCCGGGTATCTCGATCTCTATCATCTCGACCCAACCACCTTCGAAGCCCCAACCTATGCCACATACTCTGTTTCTGTGGACCCTTTTCGTCCATGGGGAGACCCAGCCGCGTTGGGCTACAGCGGTTTGCAAGGGAGATGGCCATACGGCATGCTCTGAAGCAAAAAACTCGATCACCCCGCTACCTGAAACCCCCCCATAAGAATTGAGCCCCGGGTAGAGAGGGAAGGAAGGAAGTGAGGGAAAGGACGAAAAACTCTCACTAAATTTGATAAATTAGTTTTGGAAACGTCTTGGGAATATTGGGAAAGTAAAGAGGAGGGAAAAAGCAACTAGGAAAGAGAAGAAAAAAAAAGCCTTCACCACGCACGAGCACTTTCAGATCTCTCACTCTCTCTCCTCTCTCTCTCTCTCAATATATCGGTGTGTTATGATATTGGCAAGGTCCTGGCCCCTTTTATTAAAACTGTTAATTTATTGCCCCTTCTCTTCCTCCTTTTTTTTTCTTGGCCCCCTTTGTTTTTTTTTGAATAATATTTTTTGATTTGTTCGAATTCAAGGGAGTTCTAGTAGACAGTATTGGTTCGGGTTCTTTGGGTGTGTCACACTGCAATAGAAGAGGCTGGGAATAAGTAGTTACTGGTCCGTGATAACATTGAAGGCTGGCTTATCCTAGCCTGAGGTTGAAATTTGGTGAAAATTTTCAGACGAGTCGGTCAGCGAACTGATTTTTTTTTTCTTGAAATGCGATAGTTCCAAAATACAAAAAAAAAAAACCCGAACGTTAGCGGTGGACAAGTTGTCGATCCACTGCAAGGCGTGAATGTCTCACAGCAACGCAAAAGAACAGTGCAGGGGGATTCTTTTTTATTCAAGATGAATATAATTTAGAAAAGTTGAAATCTTGAAACCGAAGAAATTCTGATTCTATGATTCATAATAATTTTTTTTTATCTTACGCACAGATCAACATGTATGAGTCTATCAAATCCAATTGCAAAGTGAGGCTGCGTTGCGGCCTGACAGTGCCTGATTAGGGGGAAAATATGATCATTATTGGTGGAAACCTGACTATACAACCTCGCATCACCTTAATTTTACATATCATTTGAAACGAGGCTTGAAGATGACGCATAGATCCTTGACCTTTGATCTAGTTCTAGATCATGATGCATGTAGTAAAAGGGGAAAATAAAATATCGTGGACAATCGTCTAATAAAACGTCAAACGCCGCATATACATGCATTAAAATCTATACTAAGAAAGTAGTATAACCAAGGTTAGTGACCTGATTTTCAACCTTAGGTTTACATGTATGCCCGAATCAAAAATTAGTATATTAAAATAGCCCATGACTCCACTTATGATTATTCTAGAAGTATAAGCCCCATAGAATTCATGTAGGCTCTCATGTAGGCAACCACGTATATCATGATGCTGATGATGCTGATGATCCCGGGTGGATAGCCCCGGGCCTTAACCACTCCAGGGCCTATAGAAGTCACTATGTACCTTATACTACTACTAGTATACTGTATGGAGTACAACCACTACACCAAATTCCTACGAACATTTCTACTAGCTACTAATATCTTGAATAAAATCATAATTTGAAACTTGAGAGTAGAGGTTGATTGCTGGCCGCTGTCTATAGGCGGTCCTCTAGGTCTGTTGTTCAGACCAAATCGCTTCTAGGCTTCTGAGCCCTATCCCTCCATACCATGGAGACGCCATGTACCCACGTAAGAAAAGAGACCAGAACAGAAAATGCAAACATTCAAAAAAAAAGAGAGAGATAAAACCATCAACTATACAAGATACACTTATATACATGTACCAACATTGCATATGAAATCTGAAACCACTTTTTAGGTGGGACTTTCATTTTACTCGTCATTACTGCGCTCACCCTCGGGCTTGCTCAGTGCCTTCTGCCAAAGTGTACGTGCTGCCTCTTGATCCAAACCGGAGAAGAGAATGTCAAACACTTCGGAGTACCAGTTGACAGGGTGACCCTCGATACCTGCTTTGATATTCTGTGATTCATCATGTTAGTTTCATTCAATCCATTGGATAGAACTCGGGAGTAATTATGACTCACCTCGGGTAACTCAAGCCAGTCAGAGGTGTTGTCGGCTGGGAAAATAATCTTGGTGGCACCAGCTCGGCGAGCGGCAACAGTCTTCTCTCGCAAACCACCAATGCGCAGAACCTTGCCGGTGACGGTCAGTTCACCAGTCATGGCAACGGTGGGGTCAAGCGAGTGGTTGAATGCCAGAGAAAGCAGGGCGCTGGCCATGGTGATACCGGCAGAAGGTCCTAATAACGAGTTGTTAGCATTTGATGAATATGGCGAAACTGAGAAGATGATCAAAACATACCATCTTTGGGAACAGCTCCCTCGGGACAGTGCAGGTGGACCTTGGCCTTCTCAAAGAAAGCATTCTCGGGGAACTGGCGCGCCATGACGGATTTGGCAAAAGAGTAGGCGATGTGTGATGACTCCTTCATGACATTTTGCAGGTTACCGGTGATCTCCAATCCTGGTCGCGATTTGTGGTTAAGGGCATTCTCTAAAATACACTCGACATAGAGCGCAGCACCACCCATGCTAGTCCAAGCAAGACCCATGGTCACACCAGGAGGGAACCTATCGTAGAGACGGTCGGCGGTGAAGACTGGGGGTCCAACATAATCTTTCAGAGTATCCTTGCCGATGCTAAGCTGTACGCTCTCCGGAACCTTGAGGGCGAGTCGGGGAGTCTCTGTTGTAGACTTCTCAGGCTCTAGGGGAGCTTCAGCAGGATCAGAGGACTCATGTTCCTTCGACTCCTCCTGTGCAGCCTTGCCCTCCTCGGTCAAAGCAGCTTCTTCGGGGAAAGCCTCTTCACCAAGATCTTGCACAATCTTAAATGCGGCCTTTCGGTAGACCTTCTCGATCTGCTTCTTCAAGTTGCGAACACCACTCTCACGACAGTACGACTTGATGAGTTCCTCGATCGCACCCTGCTCTAACTGCACATCGACATCCTTCAAACCAGTCATTTCTCGTGCAGCGGGAGCCAGGTATCGCTGAGCAATGGCCATCTTCTCATCGGCAACATAGCCGGAAAGCTCAATGAGCTCCATTCGATCCAGCAAGGGGCGAGGAATAGTATCGGTGACGTTGGCAGTGCAGACAAACAGAACCTTGGACAAGTCGACAGGGACATCCATGTAATGATCTAAGAAGGAGGAGTTTTGCTCGGGGTCAAGCAATTCCAGCAATGCAGAGGAAGGATCACCCTGGTGACCACGACCGATCTTATCAATCTCATCGATCAGGATCAGCGGGTTCTCAGTCTGGCACTTCTTAAGGGCTTGAATGATGCGTCCGGGAAGAGCACCAACGTATGTTCGTCGGTGACCCTTGATCTCCGCAACATCAGTCAGTCCACCCACGGAGAAGCGGTAGTACTGGCGGTTTAGAGCACGAGCCACGGACTTTCCGATACTGGTCTTACCCACACCAGGAGGTCCAACGAGGCAGATGATCTTTCCTTCTACAGTACCGCGAAGCTTGCCAACCGCGATGAATTCGAGAATCCGATCCTTGACATCCTTCAGACCATAATGATCTTCATCGAGAACAGAGACCGCATTCTTGATACCAAAGTTTTCCACGCTCTTCTGGCCCCAGGGGATCTGAGTCAGCCAGTCCAAGTAGTTGCGAGTAACGTTGAATTCAGAAGCTGCGGGCTCCAGGTGAGCCAGCTTGTTAATCTCCTCCTCGAACACCTTCTTAACAGCCTCGGGCATGGCAAGCTTCGCCGCCTTTTCCTTGAACTTCTCAACCAATTTGTCCTTTCCATCTGACTCAATACCCAGTTCTCTCTTGATTCCCTTCATCTGTTCCATAAGCCAATATTCTCGTTGGCGCTTCTGAATCTTGGCTTCAACGTCCTTGGTGATCTTAGACTGTAGCTGCGCATTCATCAATTCCTTCTTCAAAACAACGAGTGCTTTGGGAAGACGTTCCTCGATGTTCATTGTCTCCAGGACCTCTTGCATCTCACTGAGCTCACCGGCGGAGACTGCGGCAGCGAAATCAGCCAGCTTGGAGGGTTCGTCACTAAGGTTTCCGGGGAATTGATCGGTGTAGAAAGCCGAGATCTGGTCGCGGAACAGAGGGTTCAGGGTAGCGATCTCCTTGCACACATTCACGATTTCGCTGGTGACAGCACGGATGATGGCATTCTTCTTGTCGTAGGGCTCCTCTGCCAAATTCTCCACATTGACCAAGCTGACTGGGTATTTCTTGAGGAAGGATGTGGGTTCATAATGGTCCTTGGGTGTAGCCTCAGCGGCACCCTCCTCAAAACTAGCGACAACATCCCCGCGTTTCTCAGCCTTGTCCTCTGTCGGAGCACCCTTTGTTGTCTCGCTTGGTGGCAGCAACGAAGAGATCTTGATGCGACGGTGGGGGTAAAGAACTGCAGTAACACCACTAGCCTCCCCGCGGAGAGGGTAAGCGGCTGTAATTTGAGCGAATACACCGGTATCATAGACATCATCCAGGTTTTCAATCACATCGCCATCGGCATTATCATCTTTAAACAAGAAAGCACCAACATAGGGTTGGCCGCGCTTCATCATATCTTGAATCGCAGCTGCAACATTAGGGTCTCGGATAGTAATTGCCTTATAAAAGCCCGGGAACAGTGGGCGCTTAGCAATAGGAATAGCCATCACTTGCGGATACACATCCGGAACAGCAGGCTTTTGTAATGCTTTCTCTCCAGATCCCTTCTTCCCCTTCTTCCCGCTATCATCACTGCTGCCATTGCTGCCACCGCTGCTCGCGGAGCTAGGCTTAGAGTCGGATGAGCCACTGCTTGGAGGAATGGCAGATGGTGCTTGATCTGAATCTCCCTTTCCATCCGCTTCGGCTTCTTTCTTCGATTCCTCTTCTAGCGCACGCTGGTCCTTCTCGCTCGATGATCGGTCTTTTCTCCGGGTGGAAGTTGCCGAATCGGAAGCCTTTCGTCGGGATTCAGGAGCTCGCTGCTCCGTTTCTTTCTCCTCTTGTGATGTCTCCTCCTCTTTCTTCTGTTCTAGCTCATCGTTCGGGTCCTCTGGTATAGGCTTCTCTTTCCGTTGGATGGAGCTGGAGGAAAACGTGCGGGGAGCCGAGGGAAGGGAACGGCCGTGACGGGTCGTGATTAAAGCCGAGCGGAAAGTCGCATTATTCCTCGGTACGGTCCATAAAGACCGACGCAATAGCGCACGAGGGGTCTGGTGGAGCGCAGCTCTCCAGGGGAGGGTCTGGCCGCGGAGCATGCTATTGGAGTTTTGTCGGTAACTGGGAGAATCGGAAGGGTGGTGTTGAGAATAGGAGGGCGAAAATGGTATGAATTCGGAGCTGGAAAAGCCCGGAGCCCAGCTTCAGGGATGATTAACGAAGCTGGGAGGGTGTAAGAGAGAGGCGTGGGTGTAAGTTAAGGTCCGTCAATCGGAGGCTACTCGGCTTGCTCATGACCTGAGCAGAGCAGTGACCCACATCGGGCCGATACTTTTTCCACTCTCTTCTTACAAATCGACCAAAGTGGGCATTGGACATGTGGATGCATTTGTCGTCATCTCTCCTATAGACCAGTTGATATACATTATCGTATATGTTCTTCTCTCAATTGGCACTAATATGACAAAGACCAACAATTGATATCAGCGCAGAGATTCTACCTTATACATAGCCAAGTTCTCTCCGCATTTGATAATCCATCATCCTCTGTATTACTACCCTCTTCGATTGATGCACAATGTAGGATCTCCAAGTCTGGTTATACGAATAGTACAAGAAATTTCGTGCAGTTCAAGTTCTCTCATCATATGTTCTCAATGGGCTGCTACTAGTGCATGGTAGCTTGAATCATTTGTCGTCGCTCTACTAGCTATGATTACCACAAGGCCCGGGCCTACTACTAAGCACTTGTTTGAATCCAGCTAAACCCCAATTTGAATGAAAGACCCTCGAGGGGGTTAGATAATTCCCGAGCTTTTACCTGGGCAGCGCGCATAAAAAAGCCTTCCAAAGTTGGAACTTCGAGTTGAAAGGACCTACTATGTAGTAGAAGTCCCAGCCTGAGGCTACTATTTTGGATATATGTCATCTCGCCCACGAGTGCTATGTAAATCTTTTTAGCTCCCAATCGGTACTGATTGAGAAGATCATGGAATGACGGAAGATTACATAACTGATATTACCATCACCTTAAGCTCAATTCCCTGTGGTTGAATTCTTTAATCCTTAAATTCAGATGAATCAGATCTATAGAATCCCAGCTATCCAATGATTTCATTCCTATTTTGCGGGATCCACTTCCTCCTTCGGCCCGATGTTTTTCCACTACCAATCTCCTCGACTAGATGCTTCTACCAACGATTCCCGGAACTACCATTTAGTGTCTACTCTTATAGACCTTTTTCTTTTCTTTTTCCTGACGTCTCTCTTTATCTTATACTGCACTCTTTTGATTGTATCCTTAAACTCCGAATCCCTTCCGCCGATCCCGGCTGTCCGCCCTAACGATTCGATCAACTGCCCTAACTCTCCATGAACCCATCCGCGGCAATCCCAAAGGCCGCGGCCCTCCCCGCGCGCCTCCTTCGAGCACAGTCACAATGCTCGACTAAGACAACCTGTCGAACCGTCTCTGTATCTTCCCAAAAACGAGCCTACCATGCGGGACCTTCTGCTTCTCCCGCTAGACGGTTGCGCGAGGGTGTGTCCAGAAACAAGACCTCATCTGTGTTCCTGATCCGCGTAAGTAACTTTTTCTCTTCCCCATGCCTAATATTCTTGGGTTGAGAACTAATTGTGCCTAATTTTTTTCGAGCAGCCTTTCCACTCCACCGCTTCACTCGCAATTGCCGATCCCTACAAAGTTCTTGGTGTCGACAAAGGTGCTTCGGCTGGTGATATCAAGAAGGCATATTACGGCTTGGCTAAGAAATATCACCCGGACACCAACAAGGACGCCAACGCCAAGGACAAGTTTAACGAAGCTCAATCCGCATACGAGTTATTATCTGATGCCAAAAAGCGGGAGCAGTATGATCAGTTTGGTTCGGCCGCTTTTGATCAAAATGGTGGATTCAACCCTCATGCCGGAGGAAACCCATTCGCTGGCGCCGGGGGCTTCCATGGATTCGGTGGAGGCTTCGGAGGAGGCGGTTTCGGAGGAGGTTTTGCGAACGACATCAACTTCGAGGATCTATTCGGTGCCTTTGCCGGTGGTGCTCGTCGAGGCGCTCGGGGCCGCCGCAACCCGTTCCAGGAACAGATCCTCGTTGGAGAGGATATCGAAGTTCAAAGCAGCATCTCCTTCATGGAGTCTGCCAAGGGTACTTCTCAGGATATTGTCATCACTCCCTTAACACAGTGTGGCACTTGTAAGGGCGATGGATTGAAGTCCGGTGCTAAGCGCTCTCAGTGCAAGTCGTGCAATGGCTCCGGAACCCGCGTCCACTTCATGCAGGGCGGTTTCCAGGTCGCCGCAACTTGCGACGCTTGTGGCGGAGCTGGCATGTCCGTGCCTCGTGGGTCCGAGTGCGGTGGATGCCACGGAAATGGTGTGATTAGGGAGCGCAAGACCCTGAAGGTTGATATTCCTGCCGGTGTGGAGGATGGTATGCGGATGAGGGTTACTGGCGAAGGTGACGCACCTCCAACTGGAACCTCTGCTGCAGCCGGTGCTCGCACCCAGCGTGGTGATCTCTACGTCACTATTCGGGTTGCCCCCGATACTCGCTTCACCCGCAATGGATCCGATATTCTCTACACTGCTACTATTCCCCTCACAACCGCTTTGCTCGGTGGTGAGGTGACTATCCCGACTCTCGATAATGAAGTTAAGGTCAAGGTATCCACTGGTACCGGCACTGGTGATCGAATCACTCTGTCGGGAATGGGCATGAAGAAGTTGGGCGGTAGTCGTTCGCGCTTTAGCCCGACAGGTGACCTGAAAGTCGAGTTCAAGGTTTCCATGCCGAAGTACCTTACTGGAAATCAGCGAACAATCCTAGAGGTTCTTGCTGATGAGATGAACGACAAGACTGCTCGACGAACTATGAACTTCAGCAAAGAGAGGTAAGAATCAATATCAACCTGAACTGTTGACTGGTTCATATACTAACATTCTTCTAGCCCTCCCAGTCAATCCAACGGCGATGAAAAGAACGAAGGATTCCTGAAGTCTGTCTGGCACCGACTGATGGACAACAAGGATGGTCAGCCCACCAAGTCCGAGTCCAAGAATGCAAAGAAGAAGGATAAGAAGGATGCCAAGGACGACCAAAAGGACGAGAAGAAGTCCACCTAAACCCCCCCTGTAAATCTCTGTGTATTTCTATATCCATTTGGTGTGTATTTAATTTCTTCCCATCTCTTGGTCTTTTTTTTCTTCATAGCGCCGGCGAGATTTGGGGGATCTATCCTTGGGGAAGATTATAGGGTGGAACCATGTATTACTATGTTAGGCTGCCATGAAGCTCTCTACTTTTGTTGAAAGAAAATTATAGATAAATATTTGATTTTGTATAATAGATTGTATCATATATTCATTGATTTTTTGTTAATAAATTTCAAATTATCGCAATATTCCAGCATTTGTTGGTTCTTAAGCTTTGTGTCGTCAATACATACTCGGGCGTGTACTATTGGCGCCTAGACGCTCGTCACGACCATCACATCCCACCTCGTCACCTTCTGGCGCTCCAATCTCTTCTCACCACCCCCTTTCTCCTCTTAACTGTCCACGGGTTTCATCTGGATTGCGTTGTTTGATCCTCAACGTAATTGACTCGACTAGTTGAACCCCATAAGGCACTGTCCGCCTTACCTTTTACCCCACAGCTCGATTCCGATCTCCCCCTCAAACCGCACCGTTGAACCCCCGCTTACCACCCCCTGCTTTCGCGCTTCCCAAACCACCTCGATCTGTACATGGGAGCATTCTGCTCCTGACAACCATCGCACAATGGTTCAGTCGCCGATGCTCTCGTGTCCGCTGAAGCAGACCAATGAGATCGATTGGATTCAACCCCTCAAGGATTACATCCGGGAGACCTATGGCGAGGACCCGGAGCGCTATACTCAAGAATGCACGACCCTCAACCGCCTCCGGCAGGATATGAGAGGCGCTGGCAAGGATAGTGCTACCGGACGCGACCTATTGTATCGATACTATGGACAGCTGGAGCTCCTGGATCTCCGATTCCCCGTCGATGAGAACCATATCAAGATCTCGTTCACGTGGTATGTTGGAAGAATGATTATATTGGATTTAGCTCGCCTATTTTCAAGATGATGCTAATTTGTATGCTTACTTCTCTTTCAGGTATGATGCTTTCACCCACAAGTCTACCGCTCAATATTCTCTGGCATTCGAGAAAGCGTCCATCATCTTCAACATCTCCGCCGTCTTGTCATGCCACGCCGCCAACCAGAACCGGGCAGATGATTCCGGCCTCAAAACAGCCTATCACTCCTTCCAAGCATCTGCAGGCATGTTCACATACATAAATGAGAATTTCTTGCACGCGCCCTCCACCGATCTAAACCGGGACACTGTCAAGACCTTGATCCATATTACTCTAGCGCAGGCCCAGGAGGTGTTTCTCGAGAAACAAATAACGGATGCGAAGAAGGCTGGCTTTTTGGCGAAATTGGCAAGCCAGGCCGCTTACCTTTATTCTCAGGCGGCGGAGACTATGCAGGACTTTGTCAGCAAGAATGTATTTGACAAGGTCTGGTCGATTGTAGTCCAAGCCAAGTCGGCGCACATGACTTCCGTTGCATCTTATTATCAGGCGATCGCAGAAAACGATGCCAATGCTCATGGAACTGCCATTTCTCGTCTACAAGTTGCCGACAAGCAAGCTGTAACCGCGCTAGGATGGGCTAAATCGTTCCCTTCTTCGGCTCCTGCGACATCGAACCTGCCGGCAGAAGCCGGAGCCAACCTGGTCGAACTAATTAAGCATAATCAAGCAAATGTCCAATCCCTGCTCGCAACTCTCATTAAGGACAATGACTTCATTTACCATCAACCCGTCCCCAACGAGGCTGCGCTCTCTGCTGTTGCCAAGCTTCCGGCGGCGAAGGCGATCCCGGTCAGTGAATTATACCAGGGACAAGATATCCAGCGCATCATTGGACCGGATATTTTCCAAAAGCTGGTTCCCATGTCTGTCACGGAGACCGCCAGTTTGTATGATGAGGAGAAGGCAAAACTGATCCGTGCTGAAACTGAGAAAGTCGAGACTGCCAATGGTGAAATGGCAGCCAGCCTAGACTACTTGAAGCTTCCGGGGAGCCTCAACATCCTGAAAGGTGGAATGGATCAGGAAATGACCGTTGACGAAGAATTCCGCCGCTGGTGTTCGGAACTTGGTGGGCATAAACCATTTAACAAAGCTTTTGATGAGTTGCAGAAACGTAAAGCCGAAGTTTTGTCACAGCTGGATCAGTGCTCTAAACAATTGGACTTGGAAGAAAGTGTATGTGAGAAGATGCGCTCTAAGTACGGCGGTGATTGGAGCCAGCAACCTAGCTCTCGCTTGAATACGACACTCCGAGGAGATGTTCGCACATATCGAGATACGGTTAGTGAAGCGAGTGCCAGTGATACACAGCTCTCTGCTACTTTCCGGCAATACGAGGGAGACTTTGATCAGATGCGCTCCGCAGGAGAGACAGACGAAGCCGACATACTTTTCCAGCAAGCGTTGATCAAGGCTGGGTCTAAGCAGAATAAGGGTAAAAACGGAGCCCACAGTCCGGCCGAGGGCAGCCTTTTAGATGATGTCTATGATGAGGGGGGTGCTTCTGTTGCGGACCAAATCGCGAAGGTAGAGGACATCTTGAAGAAACTCAACCTTGTCAAGCGGGAACGGTCCCAGGTGCTTAAGGATCTCAAGGAAAAGGTAAGGCTAATATATCATACTTCTCTTCTCCGTATTATACAATACTTACTGACTGTTCCAGGTTCACACCGACGATATCTCTAACGTGTTGATTCTCAATAAGAAATCCATTGCTGGCCAAGAGAATCAACTATTTGAGGCCGAGCTGGAAAAGTTTCGGCCACACCAAAATCGTCTGCTGCAGGCAAACCATAAGCAATCATCTTTGATGAAAGAGCTGACCAAGACATACGCCGACCTTCTCCAAGATAAGCGAGTGCAATCTGAGCAGTCCAAGTACGAGGGTATTACACGCCAGAGGAACTCTGTGATTGCTCGATACAAAAAAAATATATGACGCCTTCAATGGTCTTTCTTCAGGAATTGTTCAAGCCAGAACATTCTACAAGGATATGGGAGACAACGTTGAAAGCCTACGGAAGAACGTGGAGACTTTTATCAGTAACCGTCGGTCAGAGGGTGCTCAGCTTCTGAGTCAGATTGAACGCGACAAGGCCACAGGCATTTCTGAGCAAGAAGATCGAGAACGAGAGAAGCTTCGACAGCTCATGGAGCGCTTGTCAACAGAGCCTAAGCCAGCGTCAGCCTCGCCGTCAACAGGGTCAACCCCTGCACCACCTTCCAAGGTGAAATCACCTCCTCCCCCAGTCCAAGCCGCACCATATGGAACCGGTCCATCTCCGCAGATGTCACCTCGTTACCCTCCCACTATGTCAGCCCCGCACGGTGCGCCTGTTTCACATTCCCCAGCACCATACGGACAATACATGGGCATGAGCACCACCCCGGTGCCATACACACATGGCCAGCCTTTCCAGCAAGGTGCCGCTGCCCCGCTCTCTGACGGGTACAACCCCATGGCATACCCATATAAGACTCCCGTATCTCCGCCTCCAAACCAGCAATTCTTCTCCTCAACCCCGACCCCCTACGGCTATCCCAGTGCCAGCCCTGCACCGGGTGGTACGGCTGGTACTCCGGCGCACTATATGACCCCACAGGGCTACGTTCCTCCCCCGCCTCCGCCACGCCCACAGCAAACTAACTACGCACCTGCCTCTGGGCCTTATCCTTCTGGACCAGGCGGGTATGCCCAGGCCAGACCATATGGCCATCTGAAGACTCCCTCGCAGTCTCAGTCGCAGTCTCAGTCGCAGTCCCAGCAATCTAGCGGTGGTGACCCCTGGGCCGGGCTTAACGCCTGGAAATAGGGTAACTCGCTACCTGGATCTGGATAGTGCGATGAGATTACGATCAAGGAAATCTTGGGAATAATTGCTAGGCAAAATGGAGAGGCGGGCATTTTTTTTCGGCGTTCTATTTCTTCGTTTGTTTTGTCTTTTTTGTTCAATCCCCCATGATCATGCCCGTGCTTGATATCATCTTTCGCCCGTTTACTGTCTACCATCTCAGATTCGGATTGGATTTTGCCCCTTAGTTTAGAAGCTATGTTTATGTATATGATGAAGATAGTAGCGAATATAGTATAGTAACTTGGAACTTTACCCAATGTTTGCCTTCCATGGAGCTCAAGTGCTAGTACTCCCTCAAGATGAGCAAACAAGGACTCAGCAGCTACAAACTATAGTTAGATGCTAATGCTGACTCGGAATACTTCAAGTTGAAGAATAATACCTCAGGCTACTACTGGCAAGTCACGGTATAATCAATCCTTGACTCAAATTCTAGTACATTTGAACATTGAAGCATTATCGCAACGTCAGTGGTATGATCACACTAAACTGTACAAACAGAATTAGAGAACAAGGAAATAAAACATAAAAAGGACCCTTGAATCGTCCAGATGTCCTCAGTAACGCCAATGGGTATCTTAAAAGAAAAGCTAAAACTAAGAGAGATACTTCCACTGTATCCAAGCACCTCAAGACCCATACAAGACAGACCAAACCAAGGTCCTGTCTGAACAATACTTCAACAAAGTATAATCTCGAAGCCCTCAAGTCGCCTTTTATGGCTGGAACCTCAATCGAAACTGTCTCCCCCTCCGCTCTTCACGCACGGTATACAAAAACCGCGCAATACTCTCTTGCTCCGATAACCCCGCGCTGTTGAAGTGTTTCCGCACAACAAGCGCAAACGCATCCTTGCTCACGCGATCCTGTCCGATAATTCTTCGTAGCGGGGCATCCATCTCACGTTCACTGGCACTCCCGCTCCCTGTTCCTGTCCCGGACCGACTCCCTGCTCCGGTACCTGTGCCGGCGTGTGAAGAGATTGTCATACCGCGACGGGTGGATGTTGATTGAGTTGATTGGGGGTTATTTGCGCGACGGGCTGCGAGGGCTGTTGGGGAGCGGAGGCCGACGCCTTGGGAGAGAACGATGCGGGAGTAATCGTTTGAGAAGGCGGACGGGGTGGGGAGTTTGTGGATGTGACGATAGGCGTGGAGGATTTCGAGGGGGAGGTCGGACCAGGGGACCTGATTTTGGAGGTTAGTGAGTGCGATTGAGATGATGTGATGAGATTGTGGGGGAAATCGGCAGAGTGGAGGAGAGCATTGGTGAGAAGGAATTAAGAGAATAGCTTTAGGTTTAATCCCATTCTATTTTCTTCTCATTCTCTGCGTCGCATATGTTTTGTCCTTTGTTCGGCGACTTTGAATGCAAATGCTGACGTCGCTCTCGAGACTCCGGTCTGCCCCCCTAAATCATTGGAATAGCAACATACCCGTGGTTGTTCCTCTGGCTCTGGATTGATAGGTGCACTTGTCACAGCCGCCTTCTCCTTAGCTGCCGCTGTCTTTCTGCTCTTTGGAGCAGTGGTTCTGTATTCTCGTGTACCGCTGGAAGCTTCGGACCTGGAGTCGTCCACGATTGCAGCGGTGCGCTGGCGTGGAGGTGCCATGGTGCGAACTGCGCGAAGGCTGGGGTACAAATAAAGATGCAATTCGTTCAATAATAGGGAATAATTGTCTGTTTTAGAGTACAGTGATCTGGTTGATCCGATTCAGGGTGATAAACTCGCTGAGCATTGGATTAGATTGCTGAGATTCTCCGCTTTGCAGGCGGGGAAACGCGGCAGAAATCATAATTTTCTTTTCCGCTTTTGGTGATGGACATCGGTCCGAAGGAGATTGTTCATATTCAGAGAGTAAGATGAACTTTTTCATTGTCAACTGGTACTGGTATGGTTGAATGATCATTTTCATTTTCATTTTTTAGGGTGATTTTCAAAATGTCATTGCTTCTGTATAGATTTGTTATATCCCATGATGTCATAGGGAAACGCGGTGCCAGAATTTCCTATTTGGGATCTCTTAATAGATCTCGACGCGAATTTCGACTTCTCCACGGGTCCTCTCTTGTCCACCTCTATGTACAAGGTGGACTCCGTATCAAATTTTCTCTCGGCTTCACCGCCTCACCGCTCCATGCGGAGAAGGAGAAACATTTTGAAACCTCCTCCGCAAGTCGGATGTGGACCAACGGACCACAGAGCCTTCGTTCTTCCGGGTGGGGTATTCTCCATATTCCGTAGACTCATGCCGCAATTGCCGACTAGGGTACAACACGGAGTACTGCCGGACAAAATCATCCAATCTCGCTAATAATTGTCAGGGAAAACAGAAAGCGAATATAACCTTTCCCCATGCTCTTCGGATACAAATCCAGCAAGTGAGCCGATGTCAATAACCGCCACACCGAGCCTCGGAAGTTTCTCGGCGGGGGGAAATCATCGGAAAAACCGGGATCAGAGAAAAGCCCAAAAGAAAAATACAAAAAAAAAAAAAGATGTGGAGATTGGGGAAAATAGTATTAGTCAGGATTGGAGTTTAACGGGGGTAAAAGGAAGGAAAAAATTCTCTTCGAACCAGAATCAACGGCACAGGCACGAGAACCCGAGTCGGCACGGTCAATGCCGAGTTTCAGCCCGAGTTTCTCAAGCCGGGCCCCGTTCAACACGGAATCACCAACCAGGTTTTTTTCCCTATTGAATGTTATGCGGCAAAAAGGACAAGACAAAAGTGCCACCAACGGAAAACTCCCGTGGACTTTGTTCACCGAAGCCCCCCCTTTTTGGTCTCCTTGTTACTCCGTAGAGTACTTGCTCCGATCAGAAATTTTCTGTTCCTATCTCCATACTTAGATCCTTCTCCTGATACTCCGTACTCTTTTCCAAGGAACGACATGGCAAGGCGGTCCCCGCTTGCTTGTTTAAGGATGTACACGCATCCGTACTGAGTATAGACTAAGGAGTTCGACCGAGATTGTTAATACGATCTACCACTATAACTCGCCGACCCGTGGATGAGGTTGACTCACCACGCGGAAGAAAAGGCCCCATTGCCCTTAACTTAAGCCCCCCTAGATCATCGTGGGTCCTTTAGACATACAATAGAGAAGAAAAAAAGGGAAAAAAGTCCCCGCAATCCAATTCATGTTATCCATGTGAGAATGGCACAATTGCGCACAATTCTCTTTCCCGACTTCTTCCGATGACTCCTCTTTTGTACACCAGCCCTATGGGCTGATGGTCTTGATCCTGGGTCCCGATTTTACAAGTAGGTAAAGTAGGTACGGAGTAGTTGGACCAATTCGTCCTTCGTACCTGCAGTAGGTGGATGGTCTAGCTACAGCTAGGATCGACCTAGACCTAATGTACCCGGTACTCCGTAGCTAAGCTCTAGATGTATAGAGTACAGGTTAACCCAACAATCTGGAATCAGGATCAAAGCTTCTTACCAAGTAAGTAATTTTAATATCAGGACAACTTTGCATGCAAAAATCCCACTGTCGTCATCGATTATTGTATGGGCCCTTTTTTTTCCCTTTCCCCCCCTCACCTCCAAGCCTGATACACATTTTAGCGTCCCCCATTTCCCGGAGCGTGGATTCTCCATCGAGGTAGCCGGTGTAGCCGTGTATCCGGGGGCTATCTGGAAAGGGGTGAGCTCCACGACTGTGATAGATCAGGTGATGGCGATCAGGTACGTACATTACTCCAGATGTCCGTATGGAGTAAGTAGATGAGAAGGAGTTGCTCCGTAGCGCGCGTAGCGTCGCACCTGATATCACAGGCACCTTTTCGGTACTCCGCAAAGAAACCATTTGCCTATCACCAGATCTGAACCGAGGTTTAAGCGTACATGAACTGGGGTTTAATGATACCCCATAGACGTCAACGCGATAAGAAATACCCATTTCACATGGACTACACCAAACTAGGATACCTGGAGCCCTTGCCCGCACATGTGCATGTGAAACGCCCCCAAGCTATCAAGCTAGCTCGTGGATCTATCGCAATTGGTGGGGAAATTATGGGAAAAATATGAAGTTGGAACCACGTGAAATCGATAGTGGCCAGTTATGGTCTTTGTATAGTATTTTCTAGATTCGACAAGGATGATGGCTTATTATCTTTTTTCATGCACTCCGTGTATTTTGACCCCAGGATACTCCGGACGGAGTACCCCCGTTCTCCGTATCGCATTAGGATTGGTAGATAAGCCAGAAGCGAGTACTCCGTACAGGGAAGCGAAGTAGTCCAAAGACCAACTGGTACCAGGATTGGATGGAGTCGGTAGGATCGATCCCCGATCTCCGGGATTGCCATGGATTGCCAGGGGCATTTCGTTTTTCCAGTGCAGAACCACCAACGAATTCCCAAACCTGTCAAAAGTGGGTAAAGTTACTGAATTGGAAAATATGGGGTAATCGAAACAAATAATTCACTCAAGTGGATGTGAAAAATCAATTTTTCTTATTTCTCTTCTTTCTCTTATTTATTTCTGAATTCGGCCCTCACCGAGAACTGGACACGGTGGTGGGGTTACGGAGTACAAGTCCACTTCCCTATTTTCCCTTACTGAACGAAGTACGGAGTAATGTCTATCCCCAAGTAACACGTAACACGTATACCAGTTGACTATAGATCAAATTACTCGATAGCTCAAAGTAATTCGTTATCTTGCATTGCGTCCCCGGACCTGTAATATGAGCAATCGGACTCCGGCAGGTCGGCCCCGCATGGGGTCGGTGATATCAGCGTGATGTGAGATTGCGTTGTTCATTGGGTCAGTTGTCTATTCCAGAAGCTGTGGATCGTGGATCGTCTTGGCGTTGTGCGTGGCAGTAGAGAAGTTTGGATGTGTTACTATTACCCCAGTTCGAATGTACATTAGGTAAGGATTTGGGGTCACACCGGGGACTTTTTCTCATAGTAGGTAATTTCTCTAGAGTTGGATCCAAAATGAAATAGAAAATAATGAAAAATAGAATTTCAAATAATAAAAAGAATGAAAATGGTAATTCCATTAATAATAATCATTATCGGCGTTACTATCTATCCAGTACTCCGTATGAACCAAACCTATACCCCGGATTTTTCCTCCCCGCAATCAAAGCCAAGCGCGCCAAATGTCACCCTTTCTAAGATCAAATGATACGTGGGATCCGAATGCAGCAAAAGGGGTCTAACAATTGACAGATAACAATTAGCAATAACTTCTTTTTACACCATGACTCAAGCCCCGGTGGTTTGCTTTTTTTTTGTTTGATTGGATTCGGATTATTATTATTTTGATCCTCAATCACACACAGGGCTTGTATCCGGTTCGTGTATGCCTGCGCCCCCCCGTGGCGTTCGCTTGGTGAGGTTTCAGCGCAACGCCCAGGCAGCACGATTGGAAACGGAGCGCAACGAATCCAATCCCCTGACACCCTAACCCTGTCCCACGTCAGTTTGGGGTTCGGTCTCGCTTTTACCCTCCCCTTGGTTGATTCAGCTTTGTTTAGGTTAGCTTTGTGTCGTGCCGTTTCGTTTCGTTTCGTCTCATTTCGCTTTTTTATTTTATTTTTTTTCCTCATCTTTTCTTTATTGATTCTGCTCTTGGATTTGATGTTGCTGAGGTGCGAGCACGTCATGGCTGACGTTCTCTCCGTAAGGGGTATATCCTTCAAGGGATTGGAGGACTGGATGGTTGGGTTGCTTATGGGTGATGTGTCCAGAACAATTTCAGGAAACTTGGTTAATCTCTTTGGTTCCCTGTACGCGAGGTGTAGGGCTCCTTGTCCGCCCCCAGTTCAGGTTGCAGTCTTTCCTGACCTTCCTTGTCCTGGTCTTGAATCCTGCTAGAGGTAGGTGCGGCATGAAATAACAATTCGATAACGGGATAGAAGCTCGTGACTAAAAGAAAACCTTGGATGGATGAGTTGTTCGGGGAAAACGGCAGAGTGAGAGATTGCAACATCTAAACAGACGTTGGATTCGTCCATATAAAGTTGAAATCATAATAACGGAGAACCGGCTCTTTCCTAATACAGGAGGTATAGTGTTATGAGGGAGATGATTTGCATGATCACTTCTCTTTTCTTTTCTTTATTTGAGCGCTCCAACCTCCAGGGCTCTTATCATCGTATATTTGAGTTGATTTAGCTTTCATCCAATTTTTTTTTTTGCTTTTTCTGTATAGACTTGCCTTTTAAGGTTGAATTCCTTGTATTTCGTCATCTAACCGTTCTTAGCGCCCGGCTTTATCAAGCAACCCCGGTATGGCTCCAGTCCGCAATCGACCACGCCATCAGAAATATGGAGGCCCCAACTTTCAGATTTTTTTTCCCAAAATGGCGTGATAAGAAGGACTGTGGGGAACATCACCCGCAAATTATCTCTGTGATGCGCAAATGACAAGTGCACATCAGCGATGTCGGACGTGGAGAAAAAGCCGATCACCTTATCGCGGCCACAACAACCTTCGAGTCCACCATGACGATCACTATCCCTGTAAAGTGTCTAGCTGTTTGTCATTGAATCGAATTTTCACTCTTTTTGAGTGTCCCTCATGCTTCCGTTTTAGGCCTCCTCGGCCGATCTTGGAATGTCCTTGAAGATTGCGGGGTAGGTCTGAGAAGTTGGGAGGCGACGATCACCGGGTACATCCTCCAAACTTTGACGATCGTCTCAGTTCTGAAGCACCCTTTCTGTGCAGCCTTCGAAAAAAAATTTCACTGTGGGGATTTGGGCTTGACCGCTAACCCCCAAGAAATTTGTGGTTAATCATCGGCGAGCTTGCCTAATCTCGGTGTCTACTATACCGTGTTCTTGGTTCGTTCCCCCCACGCATTACTGTCTATAGTATGTGGGTAGCGATGTCGATCACGATCGCGGGGATAATTGGATCCAACGGGAAAAACTCGAAAAAAATGATAATTTTGGAGCAAGAAATTTCTGCAATCCCACAATGGGAGATAGGTAACCACTAACCTGGCGAGATATGAATGGATATCTGAAGCTTACGGAAGTCAACTTCCGACCCTGCAAATCAGTGCATTGGAGTGGTCCCAGACCACTGGCAATCGTAAATTATATTCCCCCCAATAAGAGTGGTACCTGTATACCAGATCCCCTCTATGGAACACTCAGTGCGAACTAGACACGACTAGTGATGTATAGATAGCACCACTAGTTGCGGTAAAAACATTTAGCACAGATGTCGTCAGCTGAAACAAGCCCACAACTGCACCCCGTGTTTCATGGCGGTTCTGTACAGCTTACAGGTCAAACGTGAACCGAGCCACCCGGGCCACCTGGCAGCCCCAGGGCCTGAAGGTAGCTAGAAGCCACACTGCCCCGGGCTTCAGGGCGTCATCGGCAAAATGCGGGTAATTCTCTACCTCGCCCCGGGAGATGTATCTCCGTGCCTGGCTTGGAAAATCATTCAAGTGCGATACCACCAAACTTCCCTCCCCTGCAGATCGGGGCGCCGAATCCGGAGTTTCTCCAGAGCGATGGTGCCATTCCCCGTGGAGAGCTGGTAACCCACTTTTCGCCGTGCAGTGTGGCATATTGTACCGCATTCGGTGAGTGGGTTTTCCGCCGTGGAGCGGGTTGACACATGATTCTCCATTATGCAGTTCAAGTTTGGTTCATGTTTGGGGCTACTAGTAGTTCTGACTATGCTCTTTCTTCCAAGGTTGTCTTGGCCCCAAAAGTTGATTATACTAAATACCCGTCGGCATTTGAGCCGGCTTCAGACCTACGTACTCGTAACGAGGGAAGTATTCCGACGGAAATATGTCCACTTCGCTCTTTTATCCTATCCTATCCTATCTATGGTCGGATATAGGAAAGTCTGGGGAGAGGTAAGGGTTCCCCAGTGAAATCATCCAATGATTAATCATTATTCTGGAAAATGAATAATCTGCGGAGTGTCGGGGGAATTTCTGGTGCCGAATTCGAATTCATTAATAAAAGTATTCATGGAGTATACTCCGTTCTCTGATTAGCATACTGTAGCATGGCGTATCGCCCGAATAAAAAAAAAAGGAATTAAATAAAAAAAATTAATTTACCTAGCTGGGCGATTGCAGCATTCTTGACCCGCCCGTCGCAATTTCATGCTTAAGATCTGCCACTAAAGGTTTCCCCCTGGTGCCACGGCTGCAGGTCTCCCACCGCCCTGGATGAACAGGGGGTTCGAGTGACGAGTCGTGCTTGTACTATTTCTTATCATTCGTAGGAAACAAATAAGATTAGAACATTGAAGAGAACCATCCATATTCTGGGGACTGAATTAAAATGTGCACATGGGTGCCTAGTAGGTAGCTATGGAGTAGTATGGAGTAGTAATAAAAAATTCCTTATTTACATTGAGCAGTTTATAGATCATCGATCCAACCATATTCACGATACTCATCACATGGGTAAAGGGGAAAGCAGGGTAAGAACGGGTGCCGAGCGGGCGTATCTTTCTTTATCCCGTGGCGCGATCGTGGACCTTGGGGCGGTTATCAATTTCGCAGTACTATGAGCTCCACCCCGGGTAGACTCCGTTGATCGCTAAAACATCCAAGTTGGGGAATCTCCGGTTATCATGAACCTGTGCCACAGCTAAGTGTTCCGGAGTGTAAAAAATTGGAATTTATTTTTATTTTTATTTTGCTTTTTATGTTATTGGGGGAATAACACACACCTCTGGGGTGCGTACTACTCCTCCACCTTTTACCTCCACAGCCCCAATTTCCGACTCCAGTCTGGAGTAAGCCGGTTTATGTGGGCGTGGGCTGTGTACCCCGGGAGAATTTCTTGGAAGGCAAAAAATCATGCAGGAAGGGTAGATGACGGTGATGACTGGTATACAGAGAACTGTGCAAGGGCTGACGGGAATTTGAATCTGGTCCGGTGGGAGTTGCGGCTTTGCGGCTGCATGGTGCATCTTGGTCAATTATTGGACGATCTGCGCCTATCAGTTGTTTTATTTCCAAGCCCTGTTATTGATTTAGTTATTTTTCTTTTTTCATATTTTTATAATAATTATGATTTCTCCTGAGTATATACCCTTAAGGCCACGGACCATGGAAGATTCTGTATCTCTTTTTTCCCCAAACCCTCAACCACCCCCGGGTTTATGGAATCCGGGGCATTTCATCCGGTCTTATCAGTGAACATGATTTGCGTAACCCAGGAATGAAGAGGGTCCCTAAATAATGCTAAATAATAAAGTGGTTCTCAAAAAAAGACAACCCGGATTGTTTTCGTTCTTTTTTTTTTTGCAATGCTAAAGTATGACCTCTCCATTCGCATGACTAAATCATGCTCGAATCATGTATCATGTGTCGACATCATCGATGATCCTATCTAGCGTCACTAAAGAGGGAGATTTCATCCAACCCCAGGATTGACCCCATATTTACTTTTTTTTTCGTTCTCGTTTTTATTCTTCTACATGTGCTCTGTACATTTGTCTTAAACCTAAACGATCATCTTGTTCATAGAGATAGAATGAAGTCTAGACTGTTCTTCCCGATACCCCGAGGATCCATGCCGTAAATTGCCACTGGGCTCATGCCATCATCAGCTTGTCACATCACCAATCATGATAGTTAATCTGAGAAATGCTGGGTTGCAGGTAACCCTGGGGGGTGTAAGATAAGGCCCCATTTTTGGAAGGGCCATCTTTCTCCAGACGCGCGATAGCCGGAAGAGTATCTGTTGGCTATACGGGCCACGCACCTCCAAAGTCACGCCACACGGGGTTCTTCAGATGAGGTAATCAGGTCGGGAGTCGCCCGGACTCCACTTTTGGAGGTACGTAGGGCTCACAGATTCAGTTATTGTACGACTAATAAGTTAATGAGTTATTGTTATCTTGTATAAAGAGTACAGAGTCAACTATTCTATTTTATCTTAATTATATACGTGTGATAAGAAGAAATTAATGAGATTTTTATGAGTATATAGATTTGCCCCATTAGGCGGAAAATGAATTAATCCCCCATTCTCTCCAGGGCTTTTCTTTTCCCCCACATATCTAACCTTGTATCCGATAAGTCTTTTTCTCTTTTTCGATTTTTCTTTTTTGGGTCACTTTTTTTCCAATTTTTTTTTTCCAATTTTTATTCTAATTATTTTATTCCAATTTTTATTTTTTTTTCTATTTAAATTTTTTTCCTCTTTTTTTCCTCGATTTTTTTTTTTCACTTCCCAATCCGATCCCGACCCCTTCTCCCCGATTTCTCCCTTCCTCATTTTTCCCCTCCATTCCTCTAATTCTGCCCCCCCCTTCCCTTTCCCTTTTATTATCTACCTACTCCCCAGATCGTCGTCTCCAGATTCTCCCCTTTTTTCCCCCTCGCATTCTTCACATCATCCCTCATTCGTCTATCCTCAATTCTTCCAGGATATCCAAGACCATAAAAGCCCATAAATTAAAAAAAAAGGGTTTTTATACTTCGATCATCCTATCCCGGATCGACTCTCATTGTCTCTACTCGGGTGCAGATCAGACCATTTCTAGTTCTGACTTCCCCCCCCTGTGGTGATAAATCATTTCACCTCGGCTTTCGTCACTCGACTCTTTAAAACTGTCTTCTTCCCTCAATTCCTCGACAGGAGTTTCACATGCCACCCCCAGCTTCGTCGGTAGGTTTCTCCAATCTACTGAATCCGCAAGAAGCATCCGACCCGATCCAAATTCAACAACACTCTGAATCGGATTCCACAATGGCCTCTTCAGTCAGCCTTCTCCCACCATTGATCAAGGGTTCGCGTCCACCCACCGAGGAAGTGCGCCAGGATTTGCCGCGTCCGTATAAGTGCCCGCTTTGCGATCGTGCCTTCCACCGCCTGGAGCACCAGACTCGTCACATTCGCACCCACACCGGAGAGAAGCCTCACGCCTGCCAGTTCCCTGGCTGCACTAAGCGATTCAGCCGTTCCGATGAATTGACTCGTCATTCGCGTATTCACAACAACCCCAACTCTCGGCGCAGCAACAAGGCCCAGCACCTGGCAGCTGCTGCTTCGGCGGCCGCTAACCAGGATGTCTCCATGGTCAACGCCGCCAACATGATGCCTCCTCCCAGCAAGCCCATTACTCGCTCTGCGCCGGTTTCGCAAGTGGGTTCTCCAGATGTGTCTCCTCCTCACTCTTTCTCCAACTACGCCAACCACATGCGTTCCAACCTGGGCCCCTACTCGCGAACGACGGAGCGTGCTTCTTCAGGGATGGACATCAACTTGCTCGCAACTGCGGCTTCTCAGGTCGAAAGAGATGACCACATGGGATACCACGGATCGCGTCACCACATGTACGGCTCCCGTCATCAGAGCAGTCGTGGCTTGCCTTCTCTTTCCGCCTATGCTATCTCTCAGAACATGACCCGTTCGCATTCCACCGAAGATGATGATGCTTACGGCCAACATCGCGTCAAGCGCTCCCGCCCCAACTCTCCTAACTCTACCGCTCCATCTTCTCCTACATTTTCGCACGATTCTCTTTCTCCTACTCCCGATCACACTCCTCTGGCAACACCCGCTCACTCACCTCGTCTGCGTCCGTTGGGAGCTAATGAGTTGCATCTGCCTTCAATTCGCCACCTCTCTCTTCAGCACACCCCAGCTTTGGCCCCCATGGAGCCGCAGCCGGAGGGTCCGAATTATTACAGTCCCGTTCAGGGCCATATGGGCCCGAGTATCACCGACATTATGTCCAAACCGGATGGAACCCAGCGCAAACTGCCGGTTCCTCAGGTCCCCAAAGTTGCTGTTCAGGATATGTTAAACCCGGCCACCGGGTTTTCCTCTTATGAACTCCTCCAACAACTCCGTTGCTGGTGGTGATTTGGCAGACCGCTATTAAGGCTACCAAAATTTTGCTTCTCCATTTTTACGGCCTGCAATTTGTGTTACGTGCGCCACGAAACGAATAGACTTGTGCATTTTTTATTTTCTCATTCCTTTTTTTTTCTCTTATGTTATGCGGGCATCAAAGGTGTCGGGGTTATGCTTTTTTTTTCTTATTCTGAGGCGTCGAACCGAATATAGATGGATGGGACTCTGTGGCTGTTTTATTTCTTCCAAAATTTCTTTTATCTCCACTTTATCTTCTCCTCTCTGAGGCCTGTGGTCTCATTTACTTTCACCCTGTTCTTTACTATTAATTTGCTACCTGCTCTGCAGGAAATCAAAGATTTATTCTACTATTACTTCAATGTTCAGATATCAGTAAACACCAGCATCATACTAGTCAGCATACTTAGGTACCTAACTATGGAGCAAAAGGCTATCGGAAATTGCGACATCAGTTAATAAATCACTCAGTAATTACCCCTCCAACTTGCCTTTCCACAACCCACTGGCATATCCCGCATACCACACATGCGCATGAGAATGTTTCAATAGAAGTATAGCACTTAATTATTTAATTCAATCTATTATACCTATATGCATACTAGAGGCCTAAGCTTAAACTATTCATACCTTCTTCAGCTGCAATTAAATCCACTCAATCTACTACTGCAGAGCCCAAACATTAGCCCCGGACGCCCCCGCTCCCCCTCCAATGCTTAGCGTGAAAGAATTCAGAAAATTCCACACGATACTTCTTAGTGCGTTACTATTAATCTCTCCAGTTTACATACTGATGTCCAGCATTGCTGGTTATTGACATCTATGTCATTCAAATCCGAATCTCTCAACCGAAGTCTTGTTTTTCAGTTAGATATCATGTCTGAGTGATCTAGATCGAACCATTCTCGTAAGAACTGATCTACAGTAGGTACATATCCCACTTACGCACATACCCCTATTCTATCAATCAATCAAATCAAGCGTCTGTACCGGTACACATGCATCTGTACTGGATACTTAGTATCATTATGAGGTGACTCGACTGACTAGACCGATCTAGCCCTTTCTTTTCTGCCAGTGAATCTGTCTCCAGCTATCCCGAATTTGGACCCTAGTTACAGAGTACTACTTACTCAGTGTAAGTCACATCTATAACCCAACCTCGCTACAGTTACCAATCTGGTCTGTACAAGGTTCTCAAAGGTACCACATCGGCCCACCATCTCCAGGTACATTCCTTTGTGCAGGACTTCCCGTCCGGCCCACGTCGGCACCTACATTAGTTGTTTGTGTCGTGCATACTGACGGGAAGTTAGGGTCCTCGTCTTTTCCAGCTAGGGAGAAGATCATTGCCAACGGTTAATTTTCAAGCTGCACTAAAAGACGGTTCGGCTTTATAGTACATTGGTTGCAGGTGGGCGTCAGTGGGTATGTATACTTCCTTAATGTTCATCACAAGGAAACAACAAAAAAACAACCTTTTGGCTTGTCCCCTTCATCTGTAAGATAAGATGTACCATGTACTCTATCTCGATCCCAGATACTAAGGGGACAAAGCAAAGTCTGGACTCGTCTGACGCGATCCCAGATTTCCCCCCGTGCCGTTTGATTTATTTCCCCCGCGCTGTAGGTAGTGCGGAGCAGGTCGGAGCGTTCTCTGAGCACGAGCACGAGCACCAGCATAGTACCAGCACAGTTGCTGTGCTAGTTCAGAGTACCAAGTGGACTCTGCCCAGTCCCAAGTTCATCGGATCGTCCGAAAAACCGTGCTGACGAAATTGATCGCATAACTCGAAACGTCTTCTTGCGTCTTTTCTTTTCCCCTTTCAGAACCATTTCGGGAAAAAAAAAGCAACTGGCAATTTCCACCATTTTCCCTATATTATTTCGCATCTGCATCTGCATCTGCATCACATCACATCGTGCATATTGCATCGTGCTATCATTTTCATCCCCACCTTAGTCTCCAATATTTCTTCCGTTGGGGCGTTATCTTTCCCACCCCCTCATCTTGAACAGATGACGGATCGGCTTATTTCCCCGGCCTCGAACTCAACCTCGCACGACTCGGTTTCTACTCGTCATATTCATGTTAATACCCGAGATCGTACCCGTAACCGTAACCACCGCAAAAAGCAAAGCGAGGTGACGATCGTCCGTGGTATGCGCTCCTCTTCACCTGCCCCGCCGGGTCTATCTAGCGGGGAGTCTTCGTCTCCGTCGATCACTTCGGTGGAGACTGAGTCCACTGGTCTGGGTTTGGGACTTTCGTTCGATGTACGCGCTAGCTCAGTCTTTCAGGGTGATGGCGTTGAGCTGAGACAGCGTGATGAGAGTGCTTTGGCCTCCGTAGTTCCTGTCATGTCTGTTTCTACTTCTTTCTCTACTACTTCTGTTCCTGTTGATAGGAATAGAAGTAGGACTGGATCTGGTAGTGTTAATGGAAGTGCAAATGGGGCCGTGTTGCATCGCTCGTCGCGCGCTTCTTCATCGTCGTGGAGTGCAAATGCTGCATCGGCGGTAGTGTCGGCGGCGTCGATGAATATGACGGATCATGGAGAGCGACCGATGGGCACGGATGATAGGCTTTATACATGCTTGTTTCATATGCTGGACTGCCACGAGTCATTTGATGATGTCACGCATTGGAAAACGCATGTACTGAGTCATTTCAGGACACATTTACCGCCACGGATGGCGAGGTGTCCTCTGTGCCCGGAGGAATTTGTTGATGAGGGTGATGATGAGTCGATAATGTTGTCATCTCTGTCAATATCAGATCGCAACGACAGCACGGGTGACAGTGTTGATGGAAATGATGATCAGAAATCCCCAGCTCAGGTTCTTGAGGATTCAATACCCTCGATAGTTCTGTCTTCCCAGGATGAGGAGAGAGAAGATGTTCAACTGTCACAACCCGCCTGGATTCGTATGCTAAACCATGTTGCCACGGCCCATTACGAAACTGGAGAGACATTAGCGGGCAGTCGACCGGATTTTGAGCTCATGCGCTACCTGTATAGTAGGCGCATTATCTCCGATGCTCAATTCAAGGCTATGCAGCTTGCACCTGCACCCTCGAGTCCAGCATATCATCGCTCGCAGGATGGCGTGCGTGCTAGTATTGGATCCTCTGATGAGCCATATTGTGCACCGTATAGTCGGAGACGAGAGGAGAGAATGAGAGGAACTACAAGAGGGCTTAGTGTTGTTTGAGCTGAGCTCTGCTTTTGTCTCATCTTTGTCGAAAAAATTGGGTTGATTTCAAGCGTGGGTCTTCAACTATCTCCGCCTCGAGCAAAAATTGTGATTTGGACTTTTTGCGAATATCCCCTTTGCTTTATCTTCTGCTTCATTTCTCGCATAATCTTTGGGATCCTTATGTGAATCTTCATGCATAGCCTGTTTTGTATCATTCAAATGTTTTAGTTGTCAGACTAATAGTCTGGGAGTGGTAGCCATGTAGGTGATGATATTGCTTAGGTTGAATCTCACTAGAATTTGGAGAGATTACCCTATAAGTATCCTGTAAATTCAGAATAATGACCACATTAGATCAGAGAAGAAATGTGGAGTAGATCAGCGAAAAGAAGGTGAGCGGGATCTTATAGATCACTTCTACGGCAATCGCTAAGCAAACAAGGCAAACATGTCGGTGCCCGCATCGGGGCCTGGAGAACTTCACCAAGGTCGTAACCTGAGCTACTCACTAAGGTCAACAGATACATTCTCTTACTGACGAGAATACCTTTTCCGCCTTTATCGCCTTGAGAGAAAACCGACCCGACCTCTATTTATTTCTCGGTTACCATCAACCGCACATTATTTCCGACATTCTCGCAAACCCCACCATCCTACCCAACCCACTGCCAACATGGAGCGGTTATCTCTAAATGACAACCCTGCCAATGCGCAGCAGCAGCAGCAGCGCAATCCTCAACAGCAGCAACAGGTTCAGCAACAGAATGCCCTCGGCCCAGCCGGTCAAATGCCCACATCGGGCCCTCCACAGCTCCCCCCGCAGATGTTCACTACCGCCGCGCAACTACTGGATCTGACAGATAGTACGTTGAGAGGGAGTCCGAATGCAAGATGAACCCATTTGTTAACCATGTCGCCTTCTCTACTTTAGAGAAGCTAGTGCTTGTATTACGCGATGGCAGGAAATTGATCGGTGTATTGCGAAGCTGGGATCAATTCGGTATGGATATCGTGTCTACGGCAACTTAACACCTTTCCCTACACTCTGCTTACGCTCGCACTTTTTACAGCGAACCTTGTTCTCCAAGATACTGTCGAACGAATTTACGCCGGAAGCCTCTACGCTGATGTCCCGCGTGGGATCTTCCTCGTGCGTGGCGAGAATGTGCTCCTGTTGGGTGAAGTGGTATGTGCTATGACCTCCATTGACTACCATGGGAAATACTTGGACCAGGGCGAAATAGGGACTAACTTTATTACAGGATCTCGACCGTGAAGATGATATCCCCTCTTCCGTACGACAGGCATCATTCGAGGAAGTGTTTGAGCTCAAGAAGAAGGAGGATGCCCAGCGCAAGAACAGCGATAAGAAGCGACACAAAGAACTGTCTGCCCTGGGATTCGAACCAGAGCACAGCGGCGAGATTCTCTTTTAGAAATATCTGGCTTGCGGGTTCCCTTACTGGGCCGATATCCTCCTCTCCAACTCCCCCGGGCGCAATTGGTTAGCTATCGCCAAACTATCATTTTTGCCCCAGTGCTGGATTCGGTGGGCTCCCTTCTGTGGGCTTGTACAATAAAGTGGCGTATGAGGGCATTGAGCGCAACATGTTTTACCTTGCGCTTCGGGCTTTTTCGTTTAGGCCTAGGGTACTAAGCAGCCATTGATATGGCCATGTACCTGGGACTTGCATCTTATGATATGTTGCAATTCCATTATTCTTCTATTACCTCATTTAAGCAGATATGTCATTGGTTGCTTTGCAGTTTTAACGACTTAGTTACGGGGATCATGATCATGGATGGTGCAGAGGGAGTTCCCATTGTGTTTCAATCTAAGGTCAAAATTTTGATCTACGATGAAATAGTTCAAAATAGGATGATTTCACGTTTAAATCCAGCAATGCTATAAATTATTTATCATAATTGAAATTCAAAAATGTGATTATTCTTTGTATGGCAAATATATGGGTGATTCATAGATCCTTATCGATAACCGTGCCAAGACTCGCTGTACCTTTTTTTTTCAACGATTTTTCTCCATCACCGCCAGAACAAGTCTCCCCCGCACGCTTTTTCTCGATTTGTCGTCCACTGTCAGCATGGCGACTTTGGCGGAGAAGCTCGAGAAGATTAAGTCTCCCAAGCTGCAGAATCAGCACCACGTAAGTCTTTCTCCCGCGATCTCCGCATTTCGACTGATCCAAAAACTAATACTGATACGCCTTTGAAGACTGCGGTGGTGCTTTCTGCAGTGGAGGATACTCTTCGTGATCAAAAAGCAGATTTTTCAGCGACTGCTTACTTTGCCGCCCTCCTTGCCCTACTTTCCCAGTCCTTGTCCGCCGAGCAAGGAATCGTGAACAAGGATCTGGCAACTTCTGTCGTCTACCTGCTCGATATTACCACCGCCTTTGTTCCCGAACCAATCCTCCGTTCAAAATTCTCACAGATCCTCACCAGCCTCGCTCCTGCTCTGTCGCTCCCTGAGGTCGAAGCTCCTCTCCTCCGACCCTCCATTGGCTGTCTCGAGTCATTGCTGATTGCCCAAGATGCTCCCGCTTGGAACCTCCCACACACCGCAGTTGGCCCGCGCCGCGCGACGGCTGGTCTGCTGAGTCTCTCAGTTGACCACCGTCCTAAGGTGCGCAAGCGCGCGCAGGAGGCTTTGATTAAGGTCATTAAGGCCCCTCCTCCTAGTCCCTCGCTGGACCACCCGGCCGCTGATATGTGCGCCGAGTCTGCGATGAAGACTCTTGGAGATAGCATCCGTGCTGCCTCCAAGCAGAAGAAGGGCCGTAATGACCCCCACCGAGAGAGCCACGAGCCTTTGATTATCCACTCTTTGCAGTTGGTTAAGACTATTGCTACAGCCTCTGGTGGATGGCCCAGCAAGAAGATCGAGGCGCTGTGTGAGCTTCTGATGAACGCTTCTCGCTCCACTAACGAGTATATTACCATGGGTGCGTTCGAGGTATTCGAGGTTATCTTCGAGGGAATGGCCGATGAGTTCTCCTCTTCGAAGTTGCCTCGTCTGTTGGATGCGATCTCTGAACTCAAGCCCGCTCAGAATGACTCGCAGCTCCTGCCTCCTTGGATTGCTGTCATGTCGCGCGGTTATGATGTCTCTTCTCAGATCTCCCCCCGAGGACACATTCGAGAAGCTCCCAGAGCTTTTCCAGATGATCGCTGGATTCCTGGCTTCTCCTTCGCACAACATTCGCGTGTCGGCGTCAGAGTGTCTGATCTCTTTCTTGCACAACTGTATTCCTAAGAGTGTGATTATTGATCCCTCAGTCTATGATGAGAAGACCATGGAGAAGCTGGCTCGCGCTGCCTCCGATCTGCTGTCTGTGAAGTACCAGGCAGCTTGGATGGAGGTTTTCAATGTCTGCTCGGCCATGTTCGACTGCTACAAGTGGCGGTCCAGCCCATTCCTTGACAACATTGTGTCGACCGTTGGTGAACTGCGCACCAACGAGTCCTTCCACGGCAAGAAGGAGGCTGATGCCGTCCTTGGCAGTGCTATTGAAGCCATGGGCCCTGCTGCCGTTTTGGAGATTCTGCCATTGAACATCATTCAACAGCAGAATGGTCAACCCGGTCGCGTTTGGATGCTGCCCATTCTCCGTGACAACGTGACTAACACAAACTTGGCTCACTTCCGCTCTGAGTTTGTGCCGCTTAGTGAGGCTCTGTACCAGAAGATGACTGACTTCCAGTCCGCTGAGAAGCACGTCGAGGCCAAGATTTTCGAGACTCTGGTTCAGCAGACTTGGGGTATCCTGCCCGGATACTGCGAGCTGCCACTCGACGTGACTGAGTCATTTGACCAGAGCTTCGCTGAGCTGCTTTCCAACGTCCTCTACAAGCAGACTGAACTGCGTGTCGAGATCTGTCGCGCTCTGCAGAACCTAGTTGAGTCGAACCAGGCCATTCTGTCTGTCGAGTCCGAGGAAGATGACTTGATCCTGCAGCGCCGTATCACCAAGGCCGCTGCCGCTAAGAACATTGCCTACTTGGCTGGCTTTGCAAGCAACTTGCTGGCTGTGCTGTTCAACGTTTACAGCCAGACCCTTCCACACCACCGCGGATACATCTTGCAGTGCATTAACGCCTACTTGAGCATTACCCCTGAAAGTGTATGTTTGAGTTCCTATCTTGAAAAGTTACAATTATTTGAAATAAATACTAATCGACTTATTAGGAACTCAATGAGACTTTCACTCGTGTCACAACTATGCTCGAGGAATCTTTGGCTATGGAGCAGAACAACCCTGTCAAGCCCGATCCTTCCAACAAGATGCCACCTACCTCGCACACCCTGATCGATCTGGTCATCGCCATGTCTATTTACTTGCCACGTTCCAGCTTCTCCGGACTCTTTGCTATGGCCGCCGCTATCCTGAACGGATCTTCCCCCAATCCAGACCAGCAGCTTATCAAGAAGGCCTACAAGTTGATTCCCCGACTTGCCTCAACCGAGACTGGCAGTGCTGCTCTTCAGGAGCGCAGCAGTGAATTACAGGCTCTGATGCTTGCCACCACTGACAAGACCCCTGCCTCTGGCCGACGTGACCGTATGCTCGCTATCCACGAGTTGATCACCCACCTCCCCACCTCTGACCTGCACTTCATTCCCGCTATCATGTCCGAGGTTGTCCTGGGCTGCAAGGAGAGCAACGAGAAGGCTCGCACAGCGGCCTTTGACCTTCTTATCCACCTTTCTCGCCGTGCTACTGACGACGAGCGCAACCCTGCCGGCACAGTGATCCGCAACTCCTTAGTTTCACACATGCCCGACGACTCTCCCGATGCCCCCGCTACCATCGAAGAGTTCTTCACTATGGTCTCTGCTGGTCTCGCTGGCTCCTCCCCTCACATGGTTGCCGCCTCAGTCACTGCCCTGTCCCGCCTCTTTTTCGATTTCCACACTAAGCTTCGCCCCGAGGTCGTTACAGACCTTGTTCAGACCGTTGAGCTTTTCCTCACAAGCAACAACCGCGAGATTGTCCGCTCTGTTCTCGGCTTTGTCAAGGTTGCCGTTGTCGTTCTCCCCGATGACGCTCTGCGTCCTCGTCTCCAAACCCTTGTTCCCAACCTCATGGCTTGGAACAAGGAGCACAAGGGTCGTCTCCGCAGCAAGGTCAAGGGTATCATTGACCGTCTTGTCCGCCGCGTCGGCGCTCCTCTCATGGAGAGCCTTGTAGGTGAATCAGACCGTAAGCTGGTTGTGAACATCCGCAAGCAGCGTGAGCGCAACAAGCGCAAGAAGAAGGAGGGTGCCGCCGGCTCTGATGATGAAGATGACGATGACAAGCCTAAGGATCAGCAACCCAACAACGCCTTCGACAAGGCTGTCTACGGCTCTGATTCAGATGACTCCGACTCAGACGATGACGATGCATCTGAGATCGATGTCGACGAGGCAGGCACCACTCGCATTAAGGGTCGTGCCGGTAAGAAGAACAAGTCTCAACAGGGCAACCAGTACATTCGCGAGACTTCCCCAGAAGATAACCCTCTGGATCTGCTTGCTCCTGATGCTCTTGCCAATATCTCTACCACAAAGCCTAGTCTGCGCTTCTTGAATACCGGTCCCGGCTCAAAGAGGAAGCACGCTGCTAAGTACGATGCTGACGGCAAGCTCATTCTCGGTGATGATGCTGCCGCTGCTGCTTCTGATGATGTTGAGATGTCTGGTGCTGGTTCCTCAGGTGGTGTTAACGCTTACCTTGCTGCTGTTAGTGGACCTGATGCTGTCCGCCGCGGCCAGAAGGGTAAGGTTAAGATGGGACAAGCGAAGAGAGGTGGAGATGCCATGGATCTTGATGATGACGAAGAGGCTGCTTTGAACCAGGATATGCGTAATAAGGGCCCGCAATCTGGTCGTCGTGGTCTCGGCGCCCCCAAGACACATGGTGCATCTGGTGCTGGACGTATCGAGAAGTTCCGCTCTCCTGGTGGTGGTCGTGGCGGACCTCGTGGCGGTGGTTTCCGCGGCGGTGGTGGCCGAGGTGGTGGTCGAGATGGAGGCCGAGGGGGGGTGGTTTCCGAGGCGGCGGTGGTCGAGGTAGTGGTCGCGGTGGTGATCGAGATGGAGGCCGAGGAGGTGGTTTCCGAGGCGGCGGTGGTCGCGGTGGTGGCCGTGGTGGTGATCGAGATGGAGGTCGAGGTGGACGGGGTGGTGGTCGTGGAAGATGGTAAATTGTGGTTGAAAAGGAACATTGAACCAGTTTCGAGGTTCAAGTTCCAGTTATTTTAAGTGGTTTTTACGAAGACATTTCATAATACCCCTCGATGGCGATTCCGATTCCGTTTATGGGGGGTGTTTTTGTTGACTCAGGTTTGATTTACTCATTTTTCATTTATTCCTTTGTTTCTTATGATTTGGATACGAGCAAAAAGTTGGGACATTGCACATAGAAATTCAATATTGATTCTTATGGATGTTCTATCTGAGTAGTACCACTAGTAGCAGTGAGCATTTACTGGAAAGTGTCAAGGCATGTCAATTTAAGGCATCTACTAAAATATCAAGATAAAACGTATGCAAAGTATCGAACTCGCGGGCTCCTCGCCGATAGTATCAACTCGAAGTTGGACAGACAAGGGTGAGATTCTGTCTGAAACTTGAATCTCCAGAATTTTTGACCTCGCTGACCTACTTTAGAAGTGCCTGTGTCTCATGGTGATCTGGACCCATGACTCTCTCATATGCTGCCAGCACATTCTGGCACATGTCTTCCCACTCTCTCTGTCTGCCTTGCATGAAATAGAGAACCACAAGATTTCTGGATGCTACAAGAGTGTATTGATGATCTGGCCCGAGGGCTTTTCCATAGCCTGCCAGAGTTCGCTGGAAAACTTCTTCCGCCTCTTTCGGCTTTCCTTGATCGACGAAGAGAGCACCAAGGTTGCTAGCTGCCCCAAGAATAGATGAATATTCTGGATTGATAGCTTTCTCAGAGCAGGCTACCAGCACTCGCTGGTAAATCTCTTCTGCCTCTCTTAGTTTCCCTTGATTGGAGTAGAGATGTCCAAGGCTCAGGACTACCTTGAGAGTAGATGTGTAATCTAGACCAAGGGCTTTCTCATAACCTGCCAGAGCTCGCTGGTAAATATGTTCTGCCTCTTTCAGATTCCCTTGATCGACGTAGAGACTTCCAAGATTATGGAGTCTATTAAGGATAGATAGATAATCTTGAATGACAGGCTGCTCAAAGCAGGCTACCAGCACTCGCTGGTAAATCTCTTCTGCCTCTCTCAGCCTACCTTGACTGGAGTAGAGATTTCCAATGCTAAGGGCTACCTTGAGAGTAGATTTATGATCTAGGCCAAGGATCTTCTCCCTGCCTACCAGCGCTCGCCGGAACATCTCTTCTGCTTCTTGTAGTCTCCCTTGATTTTTATAGAAAAGACCCAAGAGATGGACTGCATGAAGAGTGGATTCATCTTCTGAACCAGGTGTTTTCTCAAAAATTGCCAGCGCTTGTTGATATGCCTTCTCTGCCTCTCTTGGCTTCCCTTGTTTTTGGTAGAGACCTTCAAGGCTAAGGACGACATTGAGAGTAGATCTGTGGTTTGGACCAAGGGTCTTCTCATAGTTTACCAGTTTCGCTTCCCTTGATCTCTTTCGAGAACCCCAAGTTCAAGTATTGTATCAAGAGTGAACAGATGTTCTGGGCCACGACTTGGATCCTTGTTATAGCCTGCCAGTGCTCGCATATACAGCTCCTCTGCCTCTTTCAGCTTTCCTTGATTGGAGTAGACCATCCCAAGGGACTTAACTGTATCAAGAGTGCGTATATTTTCTGGTCCATAAGAATTCTCCTTACCTGCCAGCGCTCGCAGTAGCATCCTCTCTGCCTCTTTCACCTTTCCTTGATGATAGTAGAGAGTCCCGAGGTTATTGAGTGTAATAAGAGTGGATCTAGATTCTGGTCCACAAATCCTCTCTATACCTGACAGCGCTTGCAGGTATGTCTCCTCTGATTTTGTAATATTTCCTTGCTTCTTGTAGAGAATCGCAAGGTTACCGACTGTCTTAAGAGTGGATATATGGTCTGGGCCATGGGCTTTCTCCTTACCTGCCAACGCTCGCTGTAACATCTCATATGCTTCTTTCAGTTTTCCTTCATCCTTGTAGAGAAGCCCAATTGCATTAAATGAATCCCAAACAGCAATATTGTTGGTGGAAAATTGGTCCATTTGTAATGATTCCTGGCTTATGCGTAAAAGATTCGCGTGTGGGATAAGCCGTTGATGCAGCTTTGTAAAGTTACCTTCCCTCCTAGTGGGAACACTGGCACCGACAGATATTATGGCTAGTTCCAAATGGTGAACTGGATTCAGGGTTCTGCGCCTCAGGCTGCTGGTAATATAGAGGCACCAATCCTGTACTACAGGGTGCATCGTATAGCTTCCTCCCTGCTGCTTCGTCTCAAGAAAAGAGAATTCGATTAAAGACTTCACGCGGGCTTTGAAAGCAAGTTCACTTGATATAGCTCTCTCGAGCCAGGCTGGCACATCGGAGCTCTTCGAAGCGTTTTCTACCAGTTCATACCAAATATCACGATTGTCGAAGTGGGCAAGTAGCAGCAGGAGCTCTGCTGCGTCTGGATCCCGATTTTGGATCTCATTGTATGAGATCATCCATGTATGTAGTATGTTGCCTTGCTGATACTGACCTCCAGGAGATGATTGTGACTGTAGGTCTGGCCATGATTGCTGGTAATATGTCAAGTACTGAGTGATACTAGTGCCGGTTTCACGCATGAATGCCGCCGCGATAACAATGGCTAATGGCAATCCATAAAGACGCCCGGCTAAGAGGATCACATCTATATGTCGGTATTAGTATGATCTTTATGATCTCTTGTCAGCATATGTTTGTCCTGTACTACATACCTGGACTGCTCTCAAGGCCCCCAGTGGTGTTATCTCCTGATAGATCAATGTTCTTCATGAAGACTTGAGCAGTATCCTCCAAACCAAGTTTACGGATTGGAAAGGGCTTTCCGAGTTCGGTGAGCATTAGGAGTCGAGAGGTGATGAGAATGGAACCATGGTCTACTGAAGGAAAGAACTTTTTAATGTCATATAGGTTCCCATCTCCAGGATCATTTGGGTCGTATTGGTCGATATTGTCGAAGACAATTAACCAGCGCGAGTTACCGTTTTTTGCTAGCCATTTTAACACTTGTCCAGCTCATTGTTCCACCCCATCACCCCCATCACTGATTGTATGGGGCTGTCCCGGTAACCGAGGCAAGATGGAACTCAAGGATTATAGGAGCATGCCTCGGTCTTTACCATTTAACCAGAAGATAGCGGTGAAATCATGCTTGTGCTCGCGAACAAAATGGACCGCCAACTGTGTTTTTCCTATCCCACCAAGTCCGTGAAGAATTGCAACTTTTTGCGTTGTGTTGATGGGGTTGAAATACTGCCATAGGTGGTCTAACTCGGCTTAACGACCCACGAAGTTCTCAATCACCGGTACAGCAATGAGATCTAGAGGGATATGAAAGAGATGAACTGATTATGTCAAAGTCCAGTTAGTAAAAAAAAAGATTGAGCTAGCGGGATCTTGAAAAAATAGGTATGGAATTCTTGGAGCTCCTAGTAGGATCTACAAGAGTATCTCGTGCTTTCGGGGTCTTCTCAATCTCCTGGATCGGAACCACCAGAAGTAGCTCTTTGGCATAGGCCGCTGCCACTGCAGCCGCAAACCCTTGCCATTCCTTATTCTTGTGAGAATCAGCATAGTCACATATGCCTCGGATGACGATACATGGGAAATCATTCATCAGCCCCGCCGCTTCCATCTCCACGCAACACACTTTTAACTCCTGAGCCATTTGGTATCGCATTTGGCCATCTTTCATTACCCGGTTCGCAGATGCAATCAGTCCATAATGAATCAGTGGTCCTTGATAGTCTCGCGAAGGCCGTGCAATGCGTTTCAATGGATCACAATCGACACATGTATCGGATTCACCATGGTCATATTCCGCTTCATATAAATAATCCTCTTGGACTGGATGGTCAAATCTTGCAGCAAGATAATGTTCTTCTGTCTTGGCATGAATATCAGACGTGAACTGCAGCACTTGGCTTTTCTTGGTGAGATGATGAGCTCGTAGGGTAGCGAGAGCGCCGAGCAAAACAATCGGGGGTTGGTTCAACATTCCCGTCCTCTGAAATCGACCGTCATGTAACGATTTCCCAAAATCGTATTGGATCACACCACCAGATGTGCCCTCCAGGCAGCTAAACACAATATCGCCTAGCCGAATGTCTACATTGCTGCTTGGTACGCCTCCACCGATGCCGACCATCAGCCCAAATCGAATGGAATGAAAGGTTGCGAGCAACCGCGTGGCGGCCACTGCAGCTGGCGCAATTCCATAGGTTGTCAAACAGGCAATAACGATGTTGTGTTCTCCAATATTTCCCAAGGTATAAGTATTCTGATAAGTAGGCGGGTTCACCAGCCTCGGATGGATTGTGTCTAACATCAGCTCCGCAGCCGCTATTTCTAGCGGCAAAGCACATATCCACCCGACCGTGTAATCGTCATGAGATAAGACAGTTCTGGCATCGGTGGCAGCCATGATGGATTCGAGTTGATAATGAAGTCCTACAAGGTTTTCTTGTGAGTGAAACGGAACTTATAGAGTTGCATCTTGGAATGAACATTTGAACAGCAAAGGTCGGGGGCGGGGTCAAGAACTTGAAGCGAGCGCTAAGCCATCACGATCTCACACCCAACTACTTCCGTACAGATGCATATGGACGTGCGCGTTACTGATTCAAGTTAAGAATAGGACCATGCACATGTGTTTGCTTCTTTTGTATCGAATCTAAGCTTCAGACCAGTACTAGTACCAGTAGGTACTACGGAGTACATGTAGTATTAATATTGTTCAATTTCCCTGATGTAACTTCGAGTTCTTCTATACATGTATCAATCCCACATATTGATATCTGAAGGCAAACTTCAAATGTTGATTTGAACATTCATGTTTGAAACCGCATACATAGGAACCTTGGAATGCAATAGCGGTTCAAGGTTCTACTAGGCACTGTCAGTGGCATGCAGTACTCGTAAAGCTCGAATAAGGCGGACTGAAAGAGTGCAGTTTTAACTTCAACTTCTGGTGCTTTGTAGGAACTTGAAAATGAGAAAAACATCGAACTTGAAGACAAAGAGGGTGTTCTTATTTCAAATATCCAGCACTTGAGCACTTGAGATGTCTAGTATAGGGCTATCATCCGGATCCATAGCGGTCTTGTCTTATCATAAGATGAATGGCATATCAAACCTAAATAGAACATTGGAATATCAACCTGAGATATACCTACTAGTAGTAACATTCAAATTGAAATATCGCCTGCTCTATCAATTGATGCTAATATTCATCCGAGTCTCTCTGTGAAATTAAGTAATTTGTATGTAATTTTTATTCAAATGTTAAAAGTTGTAGCCAACGATGTAATGGATGTACCTAGGTATTTGATAATTTTGGAGTAGGTACTACTTCAAGTTTCAATGTTTAACCAAATCTTTCACAATTACTATTACTTAAAAAATTTGAACATACGCATGTACTCAGCTTACCGGATTTGAAATGTGCGGACTGATTACTACTAGTAGGTGGCAAGAGTCCTCCAGGCTATCTGATAACCTTGGAATGCGAAAGGGCCCAAAAGTCAGCCCTGGAAGATTATATGAGCAAGTCTGTTTTGGCTCTGGGGATACTATCATGATACAACATGTATGTAACAGTCGGATACACAACGTCCGTTGCCGGATCCACCTACCCTAGTGACACTTACGGTTTATTCACCGTTGACAAAGGTAATCCCAAAAATGGACGGAGAGACTCCGGGTCTGAATGTAATCATCAATTTCTGATAAGTCATCTGGTTAAGTCATCTGGTCACAGAATCTCGGACAATAACGGTTCGGTATTTGGATTAGGTTAATGATGTGGATCGGACCTGACTGGACAGATAAGCTGACCGACAGTCATTTGTTCGCGAGTACGCGGGGGTTCGACTGGGCCCCACACCATGTAGACAGTGATACGCGACATCTGTAGATTGCTAGCTTATTGCCAGTCCCTTATCGTTGTTATCGATAATGATATTCTTCTTTCTTTGAAAAAAAGTCCTTCTTCACTCTAGGAAATAGATGAAGTTTGCAAACCTGAACATCACTTTGCTTCAATTCATCCCGAGGGTATACGGTCAACGTGGGGGATTGTGCGGGGAAAGACCGAGTCCGGGGCATTGGTGCCGCCTTGAACCTTCTTTTATTTCTACCAGAGGTCCTTAATACTCAACCACTGCTCAACCACTTCAATCAATGTCAATTCACCTGCTTGACCCATTGAGCCATGTCAACGACAACTGCACCGAGGAGGGAGCCGCCTTATCGACCGTTTCAGTGCGCTATTTGCCATTCGCGATTCAGTCGAGGCGAGAACCTGAAACGTCATACTGCGGTCCATAACCAACCCCAGGAGAGACGTATCCTCCTTTGTCCCTTATGCCCGGTAACATTTTCTCGGGCAGACCTCCGACACCGACACATGAAGAGGAAACATCCACAACATGAATCACAACAACCCTCGAAGTCGCAGCGGCATTCAAATGTCAACGAGGCTCGTCAAATATGGCCCGAGCAGACTGAAGAGAGAGGCTCATCGCAGGAGGCTGAGATCCAAACAGCGGACCTCCACTGTTCTCTGTCCTCAATGGGAGAAGGGCTTAATTCAGCTGATGATTCCCTCGCCATCGACCTCATTATTCAAAATGCGACCAGCTTAGAGCAGAACCTCCTCTTGGGAACCACCCTCTTTGATCGTCCGCAGATTTCCCATCCCCGCTTCGACTCCAGTGCCGTATCACCGCACTTTACGTACCAATCATCTCCAACTAACATCAACGCCACCCCCGACATCTCCGATACACTGCTAGTGACTGGCCTTACCCCTCCACAAGAAGCAATTTCGTTATCTCCAATTCAAATAAATCGTGGCTGCGACCTATTTTTCACACATGTCTCGCCCTTCATCCCATTCCTCCACCGGCCCACCTTTGATGCGACCCAGCTACCGGCTCAGTTGATACTTGGGATGCTTTCGCTTGGATACCAATATGGGGAGGATCCAGATAATGGCCATATGGAAGGCTCCGGTGTTAGTCTCTCATCTCGTTGCTTTCACCAGGCTCGGGTCTTGATTGCTTCTGAGGAAACCGACACGAGTGATTTCTCGTCTAGCATCACCACTGTTCAATCATACTTGTTGCTCCAAATTTGTGCCATGATGTACTTATGTGGCACCGACTCTGCTTATGGACTCAAAATGCACTCGAATATGATTTCTCTTGCTCGTGCCAGTGGAATGATGCAGCCGGAGCCACCCGGCTCTTCTGCTGCCCAAGATTTGGATTCACTGTGGCAAGACTTCGTTAAGGCCGAATCTCACAAGCGAACATCGTTTGCTGTTCATCAAATCGATGCGCTTTGGTATCAATTCTTATCGGTCCCTCGCTCCATCTCTCATTTGGAAATCAAGCACGAGCTACCGTGTCCCGATAGCCAATGGTCAGCTGCTTCGTCCGCAGAATGGGCCCATCGTCGTCTGCTAGTGAACAATTCTGGTCCTTCTGTGCGATATGCCGATGCCGTTCGTCTGTTCCTTTCCAGTGACTCAGATTTAGCTGCAATTCCCGCATTTGATCCATATGGTGCAATCAATATCGCACAATTTTTGATATCCAGTGCTCGTGAAATATCAGGTTGGTCTACAATGACCGGAATGTTGAGTATGGAGAGATTTGGATGTTTGAAAACTTCACTCGCCACTTTACTATCCTTCATCTACCCAGAAGTGGATGCGGCGGGGTCAACACACGCTGCCGTATACATGGCAACGTGGCAGACTGCTATGCTAGAACTGCAGTTGTGGTCTCCATCACACACGGGTGGTATTGTTGGGGGTACCTTGGACGCTATGCTGCATCAATCAACGGCTTTAGCGCCTTCTTATGATTTCTCAAGTGACCTTGACACTGCCAAGGCCATTGAGCCGCATGTGCAGTGGTTCCTCAGGTACTTGGATGAGACCTTGATTCCTGATGCCGAGGCCCCATGGGTTACATTGTACGCTTATAAGGCGTTTTTGAATGCTTGGCAACTTGTACGTGGCGGTGTGCCTGGCGCCATGCAAGTTGTTGGAGTGGCGGATGGTGATTTGGATGGTGCCACAAGTTGGGCACGAATGGTTTTTGACCGAAGGAGGCATTGGAAACTCGGACAACTGATCATTTCATGCTTGGATACACTTGAATCTTCCTCTGTACCCTGAACTTTTTATATTGTGCTATAACTTATGCTGTCTAGAACACACTGGTCTAGACAGCTTATATGTAAATCTACTTGAGATACTATACTATGTAGTTCCCAGGCTATTGAAAATACCTTATCATTTCAAAATTATCCTAATGTATATCAATGATCACAGGCGATTCTACATGTAGTATCAATGGATCGATTATCGATCAGTCTCAGGCTTTATGTAGTGCTACGTTTTTGATACTAGGACTTGAGCTGCACATCACCTGGGCACTGGCATGATGTGGACTCCATACATATCTCTGGTTGCCGCTTGAGAGGGGCATGGTTTCAATCAATATTGGTATTTGAAAAACTCACCGATCCTTATCAAACATTGAACTCATTATACGTTCACTCAAATCCAGATGTCAAGTTGAAGTTGAAGTTGAATTGTAGTATATTGATCAGAACTAAAATTTGCAGAAATCCATCACGCATTAACATCACAGAACGGGCCTAGACAGGAAGAACGACCTTGACTCCCATATATTCGCGCTGATGCATCACCTTGCCATCAACAATACTTTGGTGAGCACCCACCCGGTTGTTGACCGTATCCGTTGGGTCAGTGCATGTGGCGATTTGGATCTCTCTCCACTCACGGTTGGTTGGAACAAGTCGTCCTTCGTCGGTGAGTCTCTTAAACTCCTTGTAGACGCCCTGCTCTTCAACGCAGCCTTCCCTTTGGATGAGAGGCGAGTCTATTGAAAAATTAGAATAGTTCAGAGCGGTTTCGTCTTGGGGGTGCTTACCTGATGCGGGAGCCATCCGCAGGTTACCGACAGAGCTGTTGAAAAGCACCAGCGACAAACGCTCTTCATTCAGCTGGTCAACAGGTGGCTTGTATACTCTGTGTCGAGTAGCCTTGAAGTGTCCACCGGACACGATCTCCAAAGTATCGCCAATATTAATCACCAATGCGCCTGGCTTGTAAGGGACATAATACCACTTCTCATCGTGACCCCAGATCTGAAGGCAAGAAATAGGAACAGAGAAGAGTAAAGTTGTCAGGCCAAAGTCGGTGTGACCGTGCATACGGAGGCCGTTGGACGCCTCTTGGGTCTCCTTCTTCACCGGTCGGAATAATGCATGTCGAAAGTAGCCTTCACCAGTTGGACTACCGTGTGACTGTACATTATCCCAGAGATAGTCATCGGGCAGCTCAAGGACCCGAGAGAAAAGTGTGAGAAGCCGTCTGTTTACTGACTTTGTCAAATAATTGGAAAATGCCTCAATCTCGTCCATGAAGGGGTGCAAGCAGTTGGGAACCCGGTTCTCAATGTCCTCCCAGTCGGGGGTATACCAGTTAAATTGTTCGATACCATCAGCAGGGCCACGGTGACGCTGATGGAAAGAAAAGGTAAGTAATGATTTAAGCATTTTGGAAGATGATTTCTTACTTTGAACCCGTAAGGGTGCTTGTAACCCGACCAATTGCCAGTATCAGGGTGGAACAATAGGCGCTGCTTGTCCTGATCGCTGATATTTTTGTACATGTACTGTGCCAGAGAGAATTGGCGATGAAGCTATGAATACCTTGATTTAGCATTATCCACAATGGGCTTTTCACTATGATTGCTTCTCACCTGCTCTAGAGAGACACCATAATTTTCGAGAAACAAGAACCCATCGTCCCGGATAGCAACCTTCACCTGCTGGATGAGGTTCTCAACGACTGCAGGGTCCTCTGAATCCAGCAATGACAAGTCAATTGACTTCAGTTCAGCGAAGTTGTGCTTTTCCTGAGTCACTGGAGGAGGAACCCATTCTGATACGTAGGGTTTGCCCGCTAGATCTGCGGAGGGTGGGTTGAAAGGAGCTGCAGGTGCCATATTGAATCTATGAAGAACTAATGGTATTCAATGTTTAGTATTGTACAAAAAATTGCGTTCTGAATCACAGGTATTATATGTCTAAGTTGCTGTCTACTGAGACCGGTCACTGGTAGCTCAAGCCACTCGGATCGGACCATCTGCTACAATGACAAGAGGAGCCCAAAGAAGACTCTCCTCATTCGTTTTCCCCAAATACCAAGATGATCCTGATCTTGATTTGCCTCTCTGATCCTGTTATCTCGAGACTCAACCTTATCGTCCGGGGCTCCTCCTTGTGTCAGACTCAAGACCCACATGCGTATCGGTTATCTAGTGATCAGCGCGATTCAGCGGGAGCTCCTCCCTGGTGGGGCGATCAACATCTACCTGGAGCTCCTCCGGCATGCGATCGCAGTCAACACGAATATATCGGCAAATGTGAAGTAAAGAGAGGTCAATCGATTTGAAACGGATGATTTAAGCCTCCAGTTGCATCCGGTTCTTTGTCTTCAAATCACTATCTCACTCCTCTACTACCTCATTTCTCTCTCCGCTATCCATACTCCCCCTCATCACAATGTCACGCCAACTCATTTCCAGTGAAAAGTTCCCTCCTAAGCCTCATAACTGTCAGTCTTCTGGTCAAAATTAAACTGAACTTGAACTTTTACTGACCTGTTTTTTGTACTTGACAGCTCCCGCCACTAAGATTCCAGGTCTGGTTTTCTGCGCTGGTCAAACTGCCACAGGAGAAATCAAACAAGCCACAGTAAGTACAAAAATGTATTGAGTCGTGGTATGTAACAGACTAACACTGCCCTTAGCGAACTGTTCTGCAAAATTTGAAGGAAGTCTTGGAGCTTTCCGGATCATCCTTGGAGCAGGTCGTCAAGTACAATGTCTACTTGGCCGATATGAAGGATTTCGCTGCCATGAACGAAGTATACATCGACTTTCTGCCTAAGCCTATGCCTTCGAGATCCTGCCTACAGGCTGTTCCTCCCGGTGAAGGAACTGTCATTGAGATTGAATGTATCGCGCAGGCATAGAAAGGAATCATTTTTATAGACATCAATTAAATTGTACACTTTAAATTTTGATGATGAAGACTTACTCGTAGTAGTCAACACGACGGGCTAGCTCTTGTGGCCATCTATCTTTCATCTTTTTCGTGAACAACCTTGATCCAGAAGGAAGTTCAAGAACTCTTCTATCTGGATAAATTTTTCGTTACTGATTCGTCCGATCCAGTCCTCATTTACAAATCCCATCGATATGGCCGCATTCAAAAGGGGGGTTTCACCAGATTCATCCCGATCGTGCAGATTTCCCAGCAGTGGGTCGTGATCTAGTAGCTATATGCCATTGTTTGGGATGAAAAGTTGCGTCAGGAGGGCAGAGTTCTTCGAAAAGATTCGTCTGGTTACTGGAATTCGTCTGGATTTTATTTTGATAATCCGAACTCCCCCCTTTGTTACCACTTGGATTCTATAAGTGCCCAGACCCCTGGCATGATAAATGATAGTATTGTACGACCTTGAAACGACGACCTAGGCAGACTAGACATCATCTGCCGCGTCTCGTGTGGCTCTTATCGTACTCACCAACTATATAATACTATACATCTGGGGCTACACTAAGACTCGGACTATGCATGGGAAAATTCTTTCAATTGAACATAATCACTAGTACATGTCTATCCGTAAGTTATTTGCCTCCCTGCGCCACTGATACTCATGATCGTGCCACTTCCAACTCTGCGATATACCAGTTCTGGATAGCCTTTGTATCTCCAGTCATTGCTACCATGTCATACTGCTTGGCTTTTCCTTCTTTGCTCGCGGCACCGTTATTTGTCATGCGTCCACACCACTTGCCATGTTTCTTGGCCGCCGCAATGATCTTATCGACCGCGGCAATAAATTCAGGTTCATCTCCACGAGCAGGAGTGTAGCCGAGGAGGGATTGAGCGAGGTCATTAGGTCCAATGAAGAGCAGATCAACTCCAGGGATGGCGGCGATTTCCTCAACATTATCCACTCCAGCCTTGGTCTCGATCTGAAGCATGGTGATGATCGTCTCATTGGCACTTTTCATGTATTCGGGAGTTGTCAAACCGTGCCCGATTGCTGGGAAGGCAGAGCCTTGGCCACGGACACCCTGAGGAGGAAACTTGGAGGAAGCGACAACCTGTCGTGCCTCCTCTGCGTTGTTGATCTGTGGCACCATGATTCCGTGAGCCCCAGTGTCGAGGGCACGCTTGATAATGTCATGGGCAGGTCCACGGATTCGGATCACCGGGGAGACACCAAGTGATGAGATTGCAGCGACCGAGTTGTGCATCGCATCATCACCAATATGGCCATGCTCCGCATCCACGATGATTCCATCGAGACCAGTCAGCGACACAATCTGGGCCATCCGGACGGAAGGAATAGCCATAAATGTCAAGACAGGGAACTCATTGGATTTGAGCTTGTTGAGCAGCCTTAATCGTGAATTTTGGATTTCAGTTGTTTGTGGGGTAGGGTATTCCATTTTGATGGTCATTTTGACTGTATTGAAGAAAGAAATTGAGGAGGAAAGGTCAAATTAGGATGATATGAACACTGTTCTTAGGATTGAAGCTGAATGAAAATTGTGATGGCTAACGACAATGAAGGCGACTACTTATCCTCTTGAAGAACACGAAATAGGGGATTACACCTGACTGCAGCATGATCACGGTCATTGCACCCATTTCCCATACATGGTACATTGAGTTCAAGTTGACTCCAAAATGTATGTGGCTCCGCTAATGGGAGGAGGAGCCCCACTCAGTGGGAGGAGCTCAATCCCACTCTCGGATGACTCTGAGCTCCCACTCCCGTCATTAGTTTCTTGCGTGGACCCCAGGATTTCCGTCATATCGTCCATTATCTGGGGAAGTAGAATGTCATTGGCTCACTGATACTTGTCTATGCGTCTCTTCCTCCGCTTATCTCGAATCTAAACAATGGATCCACTATGAGTCGACGAATCAATCCAGTCCAATGGACGCCCTTTCATTAGTCGGCTGATACCAGAGATATCCAGACAACGAAGAGGTCAGAGTGATAGGAGATACCTCCGACCTTATTATACAGGTAGTCCTTGGGGGTTGACCCTCAAAGGACGGCCTAATCTAGCAAAATCGAAAGAGCGCCTTGCCCACTCAGAATTCTTTTTTTTTCACTTGCTCCGTTGCAATGGACGTTAAGAAAGACCCAGAACATATTGTTGACGATGATGCCCTCTCCTATGCTGAGGGTCAACTCGATGTTCCTGGTGACACAAGCAAACGACTGCCCCAATCCCTGCAAGGGCTGAGCGATGATGAGATCGCTCAGCTCAGTAGGAAGATCGTGCGAAAGATTGACCTCATCATCCTGCCGACAATCGGTATTCTATACATCTTGAATTACATCGACCGACAGAACCTTGCCTCTGCCAAGCTTCAAGGCATCACCGAAGACCTGCATATGACCACTCAGCAGTTCGCAACTGCTGTTTCGATCCTTTTCGTCGGCTATCTCCCCTTTCAGATCCCCAGCAACCTCCTTATAACAAAGATTTCGCGGCCAGGAATGTATATCTGTGCTGCAGTGGCCGTATGGGGCGCCATATCAGCTGCTACCGCTGCTGTAAACAGTTATGGTCAGCTCCTCGCGGTCAGGGCCATTCTTGGGGCCGCTGAAGCAGTGTTCTTCCCAGGTGCGATATACTTTCTCTCTGCCTGGTATACAAGGACAGAACTCGGGAAGCGTATCGCCGGCCTTTACATTGCCCAGCAAGTTGGAAATGCCTTTGGAGGTCTCTTTGCTGCAGCAATCCTACAGCTTGACGGCGTCCATGGGATTGCCGGCTGGAGGTGGCTTTTCATCATCGAGGGCAGTGCCACAGTCGGCCTTGGTATTATATGTGCTTGCATCATGCCAGAGTTCCCGCATAACTGTCGCCTGCTATCTCAAGAACAACGAGATCTTGCTGTATGGCGCATCGAGTCTGAGGCTGGTGCAGCAGAGGGTACGGAGCAGGAGTCTGTACTGAGGGGATTTGCGAAAGCCCTATCGGATCCAAAGTTGATCCTACTCATACTTTGCAACATGCTCTCTCAGGTCCAAGGATCCATTGTTAACTATTTCCCAACCCTCGTGGATTCCTTGGGGTTCTCCTCGACTATCAGTTTGCTCTTGACTGCTCCACCCTATATCCTGGCCGGTGCTGTCTATTATGTGATTATGTTTTACTCCGACCGAAAGAATACAGCTTATCCGATTATTCTGATTTGCATCGCTATATCAATCGTCATGTATGTCATCTCAATGGCTACACTAAATACCGGCGCGCGCTATTTCTCCATGGTCATGCTACCGTTTGCTTCCGTGGGACCTCAGCTGCTCCTCTTCAAGACAATCAACCTTCACCTTACACGTCCGGTTTCTAAGCGTGCAGCAGCCTCGGCTCTGGTTAATGCCATTGGAGGCACCTCCAATATTTGGGCCTCGTATTTATACTACTCGTCGCCGCACTTCTATGCAGCATTTGGAACTTTGATGGCAAGTGCTTTCTTGCTGGGGGTGACGATCACCGTCTATCGCTGGTTGGTCTTGCGCGAAAACAAGCGACTTGATTCGGGTGACCCAGCAGAGATTGCCAAGGCAATGAATGGAGGGGTCACTGATGAGATGATCCAGCTGAACTGGCGATATGAAATGTACTAGGTGGAACTTGAACAACGTATTTACTACTGGAATATAGGAACCTGCACATGTATGCAATATTAACTGAGAGCTTGAATAACTGTCCAAAGTTTTGCCAGTAAACCGCCCTGTATCAAGACTTCATGATCTCTCAAATTGTAGATTATCACTTATAACATTCTTTCATAGCTACTATTCCATACTTTGCTCAAGCTCCAAGTCATGATCTTGCTAGATTTTCCCTCTCATCTGCAGTAACCGTCTCATGGATCTCTATCCTCCTTGGGACCCGAAATGCCCAATAGAGAAAGACGGCACCAATGATGTTGAACACAATGTAAATCCACATGAGTCCAAAATTCATCCACTCATCATCTCGACTTGTTGACATCCCCGTAAGAAACTTGTCGGTCTCCGAAATGGGACAGAAGGAGCAAGCACTGGTAGCTGAGGGAACTTCGACGTATCCGCCAGCCATGTGGATGTAGCCCGCTAGGTAATCACCACAGGTACTATTCGAGGGCGGATCAAAATGGAGGAACTCTTGCTTGGAGCACACAACATGTCCACCTCCCACAGATGCAGACAGCAGACCTGATATGAGATAGTGGAATGGCGAGAGACGGTACATGAAGATCCAAAAATGGGGGAAAGCTTTCGGGCCTGCTAGTACACCACAAAACGAGATTGTCAGCGAAAAGCATAGATTTGCAATGTTTCCGGCAGTCTCTGCGGTCTCAATGGCTGAAATGGCAAGGTGGGCGAATGTGCTAGAGAACAACACAAACGTGAGGATGAAGAGCCAGACTAGTGCTCCTTTCTCATGGACCGTGTCTGTGAACTCTGCGTTACGATAGAGACCAATAGGATAATACCATGTCACGAACAACAACACTGAGCATAGTAATGACCAGGGTATTTCCACAAGAATATTTGCTAACATGAAAGCTGCCCATGAGTACGTCTTTGCTGGTCGTTCTCGAGCTTCGTAAAGTGCTCTTTGTGTCACAAATTGGGGCATAATTTGTTGAGCGAGGAGATTGAAAGTGGTTGAAAGCATGAAAAGACCAAACATCTGATTTTGTAGTCCTTGTTGAGTGTTTGGCGCCTTGAAGAAGGAGAACCCAATGAAAAGACCCTATGGAAAAGAATGTCAGCCCTCATTATGTATTGAAAGGAGAGACTCTCCTTACTGTAGCGACGATAAGACCGATCTTAGAATAAATATAACTTGGAGTCCGCCAATATTGTTTAAAAATACGGACTAGGGTCTCCCTCAATTGATTTGGAAAAGAAGCTGCGAATTCAGCATATGAATGGTGATCTTGGGTTGATGGTGTCGCAGATTGATGGGGACGATCTCTCTTCCATTCTTCAAGTTGAACACGGACTGCCTCTATCTCTGGTGACTGTCTCCATACAGCAGGCCAATTGATCTCTGTACGAGATCCCGGTGCAGCACCGATAACCTCGAGCATGTATTCAGCAGGATTTGCATCGGCTGGGCAGGGATAGCCACCATTTTTCTCAAAGTATGTCAGCAGAGTTGAAGCTGACGGTCCCATTGGTCCAAAGTAGACCGTTCTTCCACCATTATCAAGAAGAAGAAGTCGGTCAAATTGTTGTAAGAGTATTGCCGATGGCTGATGGATGGTACAGAGAATTGCTTGACCGTTGCTCTTTAACTTTTGTAGCAACATCAAAATTGACCATGAGGTTTGAGAGTCAAGACCCGATGTTGGCTCATCGAGAAATAAGAGAAGCTCGGGCTTGGCAGCAAGCTCAACGCCAATTGTGAGCCTTTTCCTTTGCTCGACGTTCAGTCCTATAGATATTATTAGCCTTAGAATTGAGTGCGCCATATCACGAACTTTCTTCCTGCTAAGGAGAGCCTACCTTCACCCGGAACTCCCACCACGGCGTCTGCATATTCATCCATCTCTAATAGCTGAATTACATCCTCAACATATCTCCTCTTCTCTAAAGGTGAAATGCATCGCGGCTGACGAAGACTTGCACTAAAATTCAGAGCCTCTCGGACAGTCGAAGTCTCCAGATGCAGGTCCAGCTGCTGTGCATATCCGGTCTTTCGTTGAAAAGAGCTGTCTCTTTTTTGTCCGTCGACCAGAATTCGTCCACTTATTACGCCTATAGTTCTGCGACTGGCCAAAACATCGAGGAGTGTAGTCTTCCCAGCTCCAGACACTCCCATGAGAGCTGGTTAAACATGATGAGCCAGATAACACTTCAAAGGAAATCAAGGGTCAACCTACCTGTCAAAGTGCCTGGCTGTACCCACCCATCAACGTGATCCAAAATACGTCGATTCTCATCCTTGATCTTGAGATCGTAGCAGACATCCTGCCATTGAAAGATCGCAGTCTGCTTCACGATTCCAGATGGCACGTCTCTTGATTCAGAATTGGAACTTTCACTGACTAGAACCTTTTCGTTACCATTTTCAAAGTCACTCACAGTCACCTGCCCATGATTTGGGGTCTTTCCTCGAGGAAAAATAGCTATTTCTCCTCTTGATTTCCTTTCAGAGATGAGATCAGTTGCAAGGACATATGTAAAGGTGAAAAATGCCCAGAACCCGAACATGATTCCAATGTTCCGCCATTTGTGTGAGTGATGGAAATCAAATGAGCCTTCGATATAGGCATCTCCATTAACCAAAATTTGGCCAGCAACAGAACCCACTGAGGAGCAAACCCGTGTTGTTGGGCTCTCATCGTAGCCAGGTCCTCGTGGCACATAATTTGAACAAGCATAATTGCGCTCATGGAACTCATTGATCATCAACGCTTCCAATCCATAAGCAATGGGATCAACATAATTAATCCAGCGTGCCCACCCATGCATGTACTCTGTCGGAATTACAAAACCAGAGTATATTACCAGAGCCAGCACGAAGATGGTGACTGGTGCAAGAGCCTGGGCCAATGTTCGTGATATGGAGGCAATGGTCCGGAACAAGCTCGACATGACCATCACCATCATGAACGAAGTGAAGAGGAAGAAGAAAAATGCTCCCGCTTCTTCTTTCAACCCAGTCATCCAGTATAGTATCAGATTGAAGCAAATAAGGTTGATGATCTTTATTGGGAGATCTGTCAACATTGAAGCAAGTGCCTCGGCAGAAGGGTGGTAAAGAGCATAGCGGGCATGTTTTTCGACGACGGGCCGCTGTGCATAAAGAGTCAAGATTTCTAACTGGCTGCTGAACGCATTAATAATGATTGCAAAGAACAGAAGAGCGCCCCTGGAGTAAAAGGAAGACGTAGTCATAGGCATCTTGAAAAAGATACTGCTAACGATCAGTACAATAGCAATATTGCTGATGACTGAAGCGATCAATAGGGTTGGGTCTGCAATAACTCGGCTATATCCCCTTCGAAGACAGATCACAATTTGTTGCCAGTAAGAGAGTGTATAGGGGGACTTTTGGCGTTGGGATCTAGCTTGCTGGAGGTCTCGAGACTTTTGAAACGCCTCGAAGTCAGGCCCATGGATTATGTGGCGACTATTGTATTGCCCAATTTCCTCCACAAGCTTGTTTCGTGTTCCACTTTCTGTCCAAGCTCTTGCAAAGTCCTCTGGTGTTCGTGGGACTTTATTTTCAAAGCCCCTTCGAACACGACGCTCACCAGGACTAGTCATGGATGTGAGGAAATCGGGCGTTGTTTGTCGCTCAGGACATTCGAATCCGATTGTCTCGAAGTAGCTCTTAGCCTCTGTGACAGGTCCAAAAAATATCTGTCTCCCTTGATACAGGATCAAAACTTTATCAAAAAGATCATAAGCAGCTTGAGGTGATTGATAAATCGCCACAACTGCGGCTGTTTGTAAGATGTCCGCACTGAGTCGCAGCGTCTTACAGAACTCAATGGCATTTGCACTGTCCAATCCACGGGTACTGTTGTCCCAGCACTGCAGAGGCGAGCCACTCAAAGCAGCTTCGGCAATACTCACACGCTTTCTCTCGCCACCGCTGACCCCTCGAACGTATTCATCTCCGACTCGTGTGTTTACTGTGTGTCGGATACCGAAGACTGCCATGATCACATCGCAAAGTTTCTTTGCATAGAATCTACGGTCCTCATTTCCTGGAATATTTCTGGGCGCTCTTGCTAGAGCAGCGAATTCGAGGGTTTTTCCGACTGTCAACATTGGCAGATGAACATCTTGCTCAGCAGTATAGATCGATTCACCCATGAATCGTGTATGCATGTCTTTGAAGCTGATACCATGGTAATTGAACTCAGAGCCCTTGTCGATGGTGATACCATGAGTTTCGCCAGCAATTGTTTTGAGTAGTGTACTACAACCCGCACCAGGAGGGCCAAGAACCATAAGAAGCTCGCCAGGGTGAATCAAAGCATCAATATTGTGTAGTATTTGCACACGCTGGTGACGATTACCAATAAAATTGGCAGTCAGGTCAAACAAAGCATACAGTAGATCCCCCACAGTACTTTGAGTGTTTGATGCAGTCCTCGAGCCTGAGACATTCAAATTTCTGAGGGTGAATCCGGCTTTTCGGGTCAGATGAGTCTTCTCATCCCGTGTGAGTCCCAGAATTCCTCTCACCCATTTCTCTGGTCGGAAGAGATGCGAGGTGGGATCTAGCTCCGGGTCATTCGAGTTGAAAGGATTTGGGTAATCCCCAGACTGCTGGGAGTGTTGACTTAATTGTCTCGCCAACAACTTGACGTCTGTGAGGTCTTGCGAGAGGCAACGTTTAGTTTCAGGGATATTGCCAACAATTGATAAGGTTTCTTGATCTTCAGAGCGTTGAATAGAGCCTTGAAGGTCAGGGGTAGATCCTGCCATCTTGTCGAGGTCGGTATTCGAAGAAAGATTCATATTGAACGCCATGATATTATTAGGAGCAAACACAACGCTGATAAGAGCTTGTTCAGTTCCTAAAGTAACCAATCGATTAGTTTGACAGAGAGTGTTCAAAGAGATCGAAATGAGTCGATTATTGAAGGTTGTGATGATGAGAATGGAAGTAAAGCGCAAGAGTTACCAACGCTGTACCTATCAGGTCACATGCAGAGGATCATTTCATTACTACATCGAGTGAAGATAGTGTGGGTTGGACAAGCCATGAAGGATTACCGGAAAGGTCAGTGCCGGTGAAATCGTGGCATCGGTTAGTTTTCATGCCGGGTTCCGTATCTATTCCAGGTGTGGTGCCGGAGATTATCATTCTAGATTGAAGATCCAAGTTACACTTAATATTGGAAGGGTCTATGAATAACCATAAGAGACCATCCCTCTTCTCTAAGTTCAAGTTACACGACTGCCATTATGGGGCTTAGCAGGATATAAAGGGTAAACGGAGATATCTTCAAGATATATTCAAGAGTCTACCTAGACATTTGATCGGTCTAGATACTCCCGAGGTCGTAGTACACGAGAATCTTCTTGGTTGCTCAGCAGACTGAACGCATGGTGCACTCAGAGCTTCCTCCCTGCTGTGCGTTGTAGGCCCTGCAGATTGTGCCACCACCTGCATGTCGAATCGGAGGAGGAGGGTGGGAAAGTGGAGCCTAGAGGTGACTAGAGGGAGAGTTTTTGTTAGCAAGTCAGTAAGAGCGCGCCAACCGCTTTAAACAAATAAGGTGCAGTCATGTCAATCAGGGTAGCAAGTCTTGAATACTACTATCAGTTGTGAGTGGAATCAAGTAGGCTGTTGACATGATTATGGCTGTATCAACGGAAGGATGGAGTGTGGAGGTGAAATGTCTTAGGGAAAAAAAAGAAAAATACAGCAACATGAGAGAAAAATTTTGATCTGCATTGTTTTCTATGCATGCTAGCTAGTTAAAGACGCCCTCAAACTTCAGTTTCTCTCCCTTTACGAATAGCACATTTTGCCTCTATAAGAGTCCCGGAGTTGATCTGCATTTTTTCTTTGAAATTTGATCTTATAGAAGTTTTCAACTCATGATCAAATGCCCTCTTCTCTCTCGCTATCTCCTCTGCCTCATTATGGACATACTTTCAATCGAGCCTCGTCATATTATCACTGCTTATTACTGCAAGCCTCAGTCGTTCCAAACAACAGTCCAGGTCTGGCCTTGAACCTCAACAGTTGCAACCTGTTCACTGAAAGCACCAGTGCACAAATCTCTCTCAAGAATGGATACTCTGTGTCCATATTGGATTCCAACAGCTGCCAGGTTCCCTGCTGCATTCAAATCCATAGCCCGAGGTACGTATCCACCTGCGGGAGCTGCTTGCACGAAATCAAGTAAACCCCCAAGATCTTTTCGGACTCTGAATGTTGAGATGGTGTCAGACGTCCCATTTGGTGGATACTGCTCTTTGGTACCATTGTATCGTTGATCAAACCGATTGCTCACGATAATATAGTTGCCATCTGGAGTGAGCTGTACCTCGGACGTAATTCCATTATCCCCAACATCTGGCTAAGGGATTCCAGGCTCAAGGGAAGAGTAGACTTTCAGTAATTTGAACTTGAGACGTTCTCGCTCTGGTAGATAGGTCACACAGTACGCTGTTATAGTCCCCGCAAGCTCGGCACCAAGATAGAAAATGTAGCTTGCAACTCCGTCGGGGAAGAGAATAGGTTCGCGTGAAAATACAGCATGGTGAGGTCCAGAGCCTTTGGCAGCGTTAAGAGACTCTCGCTTGTCCAGTAAAAGGGTTTCGTCATCGATGGCGTACACGCGTACAAGATCTGCGCCAAAGTCGGTGCCTAGTACATATTCAGCAATTGTTGTCAACTTCTTGGAAAAAATAGTATCATCGAAACTTTCATTGGACCCATGAATGAGATCTGGTTCGATCCTCTTACCTAGTAAGTATCCTCCTAGTGGGTCGGGGATTGTCTGGTGAATGTGAGGTGCGTTCTGTCGAGCCCCGGGTCCAGGATGAGCCATGATGGATGTAAAGGTCTGTAAGGGCTTAATGGTACCATTCGATGCAGTAATATCAGATGTTTGTATAGCGCTACTAAGGAAGTGCGCGACAGCGAGGCCTTTTCCATTGGCATAGAAAGTCGCAAAAGAGCCATCAAGGAGGCACTCCACACTGTCAAGCTCAACCAAACCAGTGCCATTCTTGGAGCTTGTTCGATAAGCCATAATTGATCCATTACCAGTTGTCACGCCATCAATAAGGTAGAGAATGTTATTGTGGTGATTGAAGGTCATCCATTGGGGGTTCAACGCGGGAGTCTTGAAATTCTCCACCACTGAAAGATCATATCTTGTCGCTGGGGCATATCCAGGGAAATAACCATCTTCGACATACTTCGATGACCCGGTTGAAGCAAATGAGTTCTCCGTGAGAGATAGAATTGTGATGTTCCCTTCATAATTTGCGATATAGATGAGAATGCCGTGAACAAAATTGCACAGTAGTAATATTCTCCATGTGATTGAGGTAGGCAGGCTCATTATGATCTGGACAACATTTTCCTCTGCTACGTGTCGGGTGACTGGCAGATAATGGCAGATTCAAATGTGCCAACCTTGGAATACAAGTCATTTCTTCGCTATTTATTCTAATTTCGGGATTCAAACCAACAACATTGGAAGTACTTGAGCATCCTCTGTTCAAGATATTGATTCTGAAAGTCGGGCAAAGTGGTTTAACCGTCTGCTAATCTTAAAGGCTAATATACAGAGAAAGGTCCATGGCTTACTCTTCAAATAAATGACAATAGGTAGTTGATCTGCATCCCTGCAAAGTCAATATCGCCTTTGGACACTGTGGGGAAATAGCCTCTGATCCGGGGTCGATGCATTCCCCACGGGGACTCAGACATCGAACTCCGGAGTAGATCTCCAAAATGCCAAATAGAGAATAGCTACATGATGTGGCACCCTCTGATTGGTTTTCTCATTACTCCATCGAACTGCCACCTGCCCATGTTGACATTGTATACTGTATATGTGCTCATACATGTATAAAGTCACAATGCCACTTCTAGAATAACCGGATACAAGGTCGGTTTATCTGAGTCAAAACAGACTGTTCCGGAGCTGCATGGTCAAAATCATTCAAATGCTGTAAAGTTCCGTTGCGCCAACCAGTATTACTGTCACCAGTTGACGTTGCTTGATCCATTTGTTACGTTTCCTACTGGCATGATGAAATTTACATGTAGCCAACATTTGAAGTGGGCTGAAAGGTACTGTTCGAGTTGGCACTCGCAATAAGAATCGATCTAACTTTGAATTCATAGCTCAAAGCTTTGAAATGCATGCTATGTGGCCCGAAACATTCGAAGAAGTGTGTTGGAAGTTAAATGAGTGCGGGGCTTCTACTTTTCATGCATGCAGTGAGGGGAAGCAGATTTGAGAAGTGGAGTCATAGTATACATCACCTGTCAGTAACTGCCCAGGTGGAAACCCAAGTGGGCGCCATGCACATGTGTCTCCAAACCTAGCTTTGTCCATACATAAACTGCTATATCATTCCCCTCGGACTCTTTAGTCCCATGTATTTGTGCCCAAGGCTGCCAGACCGGGCAAAATAGAGCGACGAGTTGAAGAAACTTGGAGTCAAAATGTGTACCATTTCCTTGAAATATTCAATATTTTATGAAGAGAGGAAAATAGATAATGAGTGTCTTCATACTCAGTGGAAGCCCAGGCATAGTGAACCTGATACTACAATCAATGTAGTTGTAGCGATAATATCCCCAATCTTGCACGGCTAAGTCATAGGCATGATAATATGACAGCGTCAATGCCGAGTCATTTTATTCCGCAGATTCATCCATCCGAAAGATGACCAGGAGCGGATGCATGTCTGGTTGACTTCGAAACATCATCTCCATATCTGGGTGGGCCGCCTTCCTAATCCGTAATAGTGAATTGAGTTGCGACGTATAAATAACCTTGGAACTCTATTCCATGCCACATGGTGATTTTCTATGGTTACTTCCCCCAAGGTCCTTACCCCAGATTAAGATTATGCTCCTCTGGCTTAGGCGTTTACATAGTGTTGATGGTTACTACATTGTATTGTGTAGAAGATTCAACTTGGATAAAAAGGTAACCAACCGGGTATCAAATCCACGCTCGTGAAAACATACATACACATCATACCTCCCAACCTCGGATATAATAAGCATCGAGATAATCAAAACTCCCACCAGAACATACAAGTACACCTGGGCAGCTGGGGCAAGGGCACTGCACCGCTCTCAACAAATAATAAAGGAATCAAAACACGAAAAATCCAGGCCATGCATGCTCCTGCTCCCAGACGCCGTAAGCCAATCCAATCCAATTCAAATGGAGATGTAAAACTCCTCTGCAGACTCCGCGCAAAAAGTAGATGATAAAATAATGGTGTACAAATCAGAAGCCCTCCTGTTGAACATACAAGAAAATATGGGCAGAAGAAAGGGTCAGTTCAGTGAAGGTCATTCCGCATGGTCTCTTATTGAATCATGTCGAATCAAGATGGCATCTCTGTTTTTTCGAGGAGAGATTTAGTCAGAGCAGTTCAAGGTTTGTGTTTGGCCCTGTTGCTAGATTATCTCTTCATCTCTCCTCTGTGAAGCTCGTCTTGGGGTATCTGTTTATGATAAATGGCGCGATTTGCCAAGCCATGTTCGCCACCATTTGCAGACACCCAATACAGCTGCGCGGCCATCATCACTGCGCTCTGTGCCGTCTGGGTTTCCCATCACCATGGCGAAGACCCAGAATGCGGCTGCAGTCCAGGCGAAGAGGACAATGGCAATGCTGAAGAATGGAGAGATCACAAGGACGACAATTGACATGCCGACGGAATATAGGACACTTGAATCGACGATTGCCGTGGGCTCTTCGCCGTCGGGGTCGGAATGGATCCATTGTGTAGAAGAAGATCGGTTGGATGTAGGAGGAGGCATGCAGACAAGCCGTTCGTGGATGTGGAGAGCTGGCGAGAGGATATCGCATAGTTGTGTTCGAAATGATGTCTTGCGGAGGTATGGGGAAAGAGAGCAAAGACGGAGAGGAAATATCAGGATGGCGAAGATGATGGCACAGAAGGTATATAAGCAGGCCGCGAAGGAGAAGAGTGGTACTGGAACAGAAAGCCGGAACTATAACGCGAAAAGTCATTAGCATAAGGGATCTATCATTATTCAAATTAACCAAAGGGGGCTTGACATACCAGCATAATGAGCGCATCTTCTCCCCCGTCACTAGGTGCCACTTCAAGGATATTACGCTGATTGGCGCGAGAGTGCTCGCCTGACATCAATGACGGTTGATCGGCCCAGCTGCCACGAGAACGCTCCTCCTTATGTGAAGAGCCGTTGGTAACCAAGACGGGTGTAACGGCATCCTCTCCTATTTGAGAAGCACGCCGCGATGCTTCCAGAGAATGAGCATGCGATCCCCGCGGAGCTGAGGTGCGGGGGCTCACGTCCTGGGTCATCCACTCGGCGGAGCGCAACGGGCTTGGATGGGATGGTTCGGGGTATTCTAGAGAAGGGCGGGATGGGCGAGGGGCCATTATGGGGGCAACACCGACGGGATCCTTGGCCTGGTGATAGGCAGGACTATAAGACATCTCCGGCGGCGGCATGGTTGAAAGTCCGGCGAGCTAGACGTGAAGCCGAAGGTCGTACAGGCGCACAGGTGTGTATAGAACTCACGGCATGGTCTCTCCTCAAGGGCGGCATCCACTCATACATGGGCGTAGGTGAGCAGGATCCCATCCGGGGGCGAAGGGCAAGGGCGGAAAGAGAGACTTATAGGTCGGAGGAGCAGCGGAAGGGTCAGGGAGAGCCATGGCAGCGGAGGAAACTGTACTGTTTGCAGTCGCGCTTCGCCAAGGTGCCCAGATGCCGAGCCCTTGGCATTTTGGAAAAAGGGTTGGAGCTGCATCATCCTTGATCACACTGTGTTTCGCCAACATTTTTTGGGTTATATTTTTGGTTACATTGTTTTGGAAAAGATTTCTGTATTTTTTTCCATTTCATCAACAGTATTCAAGTTCCAAATGGGAGGTTGAATGGTTCGTATTCATCATTGATCCGTTTATTTTGCTGTCGCAATGTCATCCTCGTAGGTTGGACAAGCTCTGTACCACGGTGCCGCAATAAGGTAATTTACCAATTGCCAAGACGCCAAGTCACACTTCGGATGACCAGTGTAAATACAGAATGCTGATTGATTTAAAATCCAGATTGGATCCACTACTGCGGCATCTTGGCATGTAGTAATACAGTTATACAGTATTAAATACAACCATACAACCACTTGTCTATACAGCTTAGTGCACGGTGCTATGTTCATCTACCTATGTGGTGCCCAGGTGGAGTTATAGGGTTACCGACATCTGGAGCATAAAATACACTATTTAACACTATTAGCTCCCCGCCATACATAGTACACTTGCATAATCCCTCCGAGACAAGACTACTCGTTGTCTTTTGCTTCTAGGATATTTTCCAGGTATTAAGGTGTAGAAGGATTTTTATCCCGTGGCGTGAACATCCACCTGAATGCTCATCACTTCGCTCACCCTAAAACCACATTGGGCTCTGCCCAGCATGCCCAGACGCCGAGAGATTTGGCATCTTCTTAACTTCGGAGATATGAGAAAAAATCTTCCTTTCCAAGACTGTCTGGGCAAATTCATGTTTCTCAGGATGGTTTGGTTACCGCATTCAAGTTTCAATATTTATTAGGTAAACGGCCCCCATAGTTAGGCTGGGGGTGAAGAGGAATCTGACCCTGCAGGATCCGCGGCACACAATCCTTCAATTGGACAACGCTGCATAAACTATCCGTAATATAAATACCTGAACAAATCAACATGATCACAGAGACGCAATGGGAAGATTTTTTCCAGCTTTCCAGCACTTGAGCTTCCTCATACTTCTTCCAAACACACAAAATTTGAATGACTATGTCACCGCCGTTCTGTGGAATCCCGAGTCGATCAGGGTCATGGTCTTGGCTTCTCCGCTAACCCGAGCCCCTCTAATCTCATTGACCGCACATTCGACTGACCAAGTCCATTGAGCTCTTGGTATTGACCCTGAAAAACCTCGGCGTCTCTGATGCAAACGCAAAATGTGTGGCCAGATCAGCACGCAATAGTGTTAACATTTGAATGAGAGAGCAATTTGTTTCACCTCCCCTCTCTCTCGGCTCGTGTACTGGGCGATCTCGGTCTTGGCTCTGTCAATTACAGCGCTGAACCTGCGTGAAAACTGGCCGTGTTGGCCTTGTCGCCTCGGAAATCCGTGCTTATCAAGCCCGCGTCTAGCTCATCACGCTCGGCTGAGGCCGCCGACTTGCGTATGCTCGGGCTTAGTATCCCTTTTTGCGGGTAGGTGCGGGTTTATCATGTGGCGGCCTCGGACGGAACTGGACTTCTGTTCGTTGGTCGATTGTTATTGTAATCATCACACGCTGAAAGTATGTATTCCATAGATTGATCACATTTATCTTGGAATTCCCTCGCGTTCCAGGTCCAGATGGTGAGTTGAAATTCGTCCAATGTTGTGGGTTAACTTATACAAGCCCTCAACCTTGGAAGTGTTTCCTCGTGGGGATCCCGACCGCCATCTTGATTCTACCAATAGGGTGATTTGTAAGGCGTTCGACTGGTAGCATTCCAAGGATAGTGATTGGATTGGCTCAGGTTAGTGCACTCCACGGACGATGGGCCGATTCTCAGCTGAATCAACTTGAGACGTGTTGAGTGAGGGTAGAATCTGACCACTCAAGTGCTGGCAGAATCCAAGATCCAAGAATGACATGAACCATTCGAAATGAAATAAATTTGGAAATAAAACAAAATAAAACCCACTACATAGTGCCTACTTTATAAGCATCTGAATACTCTCCTTGGATGGTAAAGAACGCGAATGACAAAAGTACCTAGATCTAGGCACCCCTCCTTTGTACAACAGTGGATACCTGTCTAATCTATGAAGTCCTTTGTATGGTCAGCATTTACATAGATCTGTAGATCCCAGATCAAACTTCAAATGTATAATCAATCAACATATGATCTGAAAAATCAAGCCTACCGAGCTGCATGCCGCAAGGGATCGACTCGAGAGCTTTGCGCCTGGACACTCAACACTACCCATGGACCGAGATAATGGCCCCCTACCTTCTGTCAGACATGCAGCCCTGGAGTACCGGGATCAGTGCCGTGAGTAGGTGCAGGATTTGAAGGATGAGTTTACAAAATCCTAGTGTAGATGCGACCTTGGGATACGTATACTCGCAGTAAATGGGATTTTCTGGACTCGTCTTCAACTACTCTCCTTCATTTGCTGACACTGAAAAATAATTAAATTAAATTTTGAATCGAGATAAAAGTCCTCTCAATGCCAGTCGTCGCAAATGTGCATCATCACAGCTTACAGGGGTGTCGCTCGAGATCGAGTAGTTTGAAACAGCGGGGGCTAGATGCGGGTCAATCTCTACGTGGAGTAGGGCTGTCACCAGGGCTGACTGTCGCGTCCCGGTTGTCCGAAAAAGCAAAGATCAAGCACGGTAGCCCGCATGGTCAAATTGGGGGCTGTTATCGAGTTTTTTCTTTCTTTTTCTTTTTGGGGCGTTGTGGTGATGTGATGTACCACACGTTTAAAAATTGGGCAGCCAAACTTGGCTATAATACTTCAAATTGAGACACCAGTTGACCTGGCAAGAAGTTTGACTGTCATGTCCAGTGCCAGTGCCAGTTCAAGACTTTCAGCTAGCCAAAGCTTGGTTCAAATCATTTCAAGTTGTTGTTTACAACTCGGAAATAATATCCCAGGAGTCTGGAAAAACTCCAGCATCCGGGCAGCGCCATTTTTTGACTGCCCCCGTTTGTTCAAGTTGCCTGAGCATCAGGGCGTTCAAATGTTCCTTCAATTGTGCAACATAACCACTGGTATATATACCCCGACCTAGATAGAGAAATTGAAGGTTATACTTCAAGTTTAACCATACATGTATGTCCTGGAATTCCGATAAAAGACTGAATTAGCACCGGGCGCCTATCATGACTGTGCATATGTGACGATAATCTGCATTTTGATACGTCTCAACTTTGAAAATGGGGTTTCCATAATTTATTGTCCAAAAGTATGCACTCAAATTGAAAAATGGGATGAAACTGAAGGCTCAAAGGTGCCAGTGTCCAGGTTAGTAGTGTCCCAGTAAGACACCTCTAGCCCACAATGCAGTATATGCCCGAGATACATCGCTCCAGACCCCTGTCTACAGAAGCCTCTTTCACTGAGCGATAGTGGCGGTTAAAAGCTCAAGGAAACAATAAAAAGACATTTTGGTGATCGAACTGAGATTTCAATTGGTAAAAATATATATTTATTCATTGATCTAGCCTACTATAGGACTCCAAGTTGGGCTGGGCAGTAAGGTGGGGATCAAGATGTGATCAGATCGATTGGCAAGCCAGCCAGGTCGCCTTATCTAGAACTGGAACCACTGGCATGCCGCTGTGGGTGATACCTATGTATATGTATTTATGTACTTTCGATCTGTGGGTCCTCTCGGATTCTGTAGCCCGGGATATCCATGAGAGGCACGATTGTACTCAGATTCAATAGTACGATCGATTAGGCTTCTTTTGCTTTTTTCTTTGCGCTTTGATTTTATTTTATTTTTTTATCTTCTTTCGGTTTGCTTTTAATGCACTAAGCTTACATTGGTAGGTGCCTGCTAGGATGCATGGCGCCAGGTACCTCATTGATATTCCCTTTTTGTTGTTGCAGGGATGCATGGATGTATATGTATCTAGCCTTTTGGTGATCTCCACGCACCAAATATTTCAACCTTTGATCCGATCTATCTTAACTTTGGAAATTGTGGGGATATGTATGATCAGACTATTTAATTAAATTTTTTTTAGCGATAAATGGCAAGTGTTCCTGCGAGATGGTTCTTTGTCAAAGGCCGTTGTACGATCCATTTAGCAGGACTGGACCGATCTGGAATTACTCTTATGATGTACCGAGGAGGTGGAACTTGAAGTGTGCACTGGCGGACATAGAAGCCGCGGACCAACCTTAGGACCAAGTCTTCTCGAACGATCTTTATTATCTGTATTTTAGACATGGATCGATATTAATTTTTCAAGTACGGCTAGGAGTACTAGTATGTACTTCTCGTTGCAAAAGGGTGACAAACGGTCGAATGTGCACGTGTGCGGGTACCTACTACATACTAGTATATTGCGACCGTAGAGACATCACCAACAATGGGAGGTCTTGCGTCTCTCACATATCCTAGTTTGCTTGGGTATGTTGCACTGTCCCACCACTGTTAAACCAGAAGCTTCAAAAAATGTTTGACCATATACATGGGCGAAACATCTTATATTCAACCTTGGAAGTATACTAGTACATACTACCTACTCAAGTACACCCAGGTGCCGTACTTCCAAGGTATTCTAGACATGAAGAGGCCCCTCAACATGGTGACCACTCCGTAGACTAAACCCAGCATAGACTAGGGCTAATAACTCCCGAGGGCTCTTAAGTAATTCCCCTCCCGGCTCCGAGGAAAGTCCCCACAGCGGGCTCAGAAACCAAGCTATGCGCGCGGCTGATGTCTGTTCGCACGAAGTGGAGTCCCCAAAATTTCCCGGATCACCCGAGGCAAAAGTCCCCCTGGATGGTGGGTAAAGATGTGGTGTTCCATCATAACATGGGATGGTCATTTTCTATGCAGGGATCCGAGGGAACGATACACCAGATCCGACCCTGGTTACGGAGATTGTGTCATGCCCAGTGGGCAGTTGGTCAGCCCTGTGCGCTGCACCTCGTACCCTTCAAAGTTCCAGGTTGGAGGCAGGGTAGAGCTTTGATGGTAGTAGTCGTAATTGGATATAATGCACGTTGGAGTTTTCAGCGACCGTGTAACCCACAATCTATTATACGCTAGAAAGTATGCACGTATGTCTGCATCAGTTGATTTTTTTTTTAAAAATTATTATTTAGTTTTCTGCTATGATAAAATTAGGATTGGGGGTGGAGCACGAGCTCCGTTTATAGGGAATTGACGTGGTCAGATCCTGCGAACCGGTCCAAGATTATTTCAAGATTTGCAACATTTGAATGTTCTCCAGGGCTCAGATCTCAGTTCTGAGTATATTATGGAATTATACCCGAGACATACTTAGGTACTTGTGGGATTAAATATTCCAGGGCTAGTTCTATGTGGGAATTTTAGTGTTTCACAAATCTACCACATTAACGGTTCGGCTAGGCCCATAGAATTTTTGGGGCAGACAAAAGGCAAAGTGGAAATGGAAAAAAGAAATAGAAGAAAAAAAAGAAAAAAAGAAAAGTAGCGTGTTGCGTATCCACGGGGAGTGGATCAATCCACCGAGTCCCAGGCTGACGACATGGCCTTTGCCGATCGAAGGTTGCTGGATGCAGCAGGGGAAGCTCAATCAGGAATCGTTTCAATAGTGGTGGATTGGATTGGAGGAAAAAGCATGAAAGGGGGTGCATTGTCACATCCCCACTTGTTGGGGCCAAGTATCAAGATCATCGTCAGAACATCCACTGGTATGCGGCAACTGAGCTCAGGCTCAAGTACTGTGGCTTTGTGGCTGAGGAATGTGGTGATGTATCAATTCCCTTATGTTGGTACCTAGGTAATATTGTATGTACTTTTAAGGATTATATCAGACTAAAAGAGATACTAGTATTTAAAAAAAAAAGAATCATTATGACGGAAGGGGCGAAATGCACTAGTGGAGGAGACTCCCGTGGTATGCAAGTCAACCCTGCAGCTATCGGAGAAAATATACATCAAAAAAAGGGAAATAAAAAAGAAAATAATATTTAAAAGAGAAAAAAAAGAAATCATAAATAATAAATAAGAAATGAGAAATGAGGAATAAATATCTAAATATACATATATAAACATGAATAAATGCACATGCATTTCCGTCACAGATCGCAGGGTCACTCGACATCTGCACGATGCCGGGTTGGGCTGGGAAAAATAGCGGAGTTGTTTCCCCCCTAATTGTAAAATTCCCTAATTCCTTTCTCTACCACAGGGATCCATGCACGGTCCAGCTAGGCCCTTGACCGGGTTAGGCTAAAGTCGGAGTGGCACGGAGAACAGTCACACTAACGCACCTTAGCACACGGGGGTGTCCACCCCGAGGGGGGAAAGACCCACTGGGGCGCCACTCGGCCTAACCGGGGGTTCGTGAATCCTAAATTATTCTTATTTTGAAATATCAGTATATAAAAGGAAACAAATTAAAGATAAACAATTTTTATGATTCAAAGAGAAGATCTAAATTTAATTAGATAAGATAATCAATGAAATAAGAAAGGATTCTTAAAATTATATAAATAAATATAGAAGAATAATAGTATAGTATGCCCCACAACGTTATGAAAGCCCAATCCACGGCATCATAACCGCCTCCAGATCGGCCCCACTACACTAGTCTGTTTTTAGACGTAAGCTCGTTTTTGGATTTCTTTTCATTTTTTCATTTTCAATTTTCCCTTTTGTGTTATTCTGTGGTGTCTGTGGTGACGGCCGATAGCTACGCAACCACTAGCGCCGCTTGGCAAATTTCACACCTTTCCTGCCAGCCCCTCGACTCTTTTCCCCTTCCCCGATTCTTTCCTACATCCTACCCAACATCTCCCCTTTCTACCCTTGATACCGCTTTTTTTGTTTCGTTTCTATTTGTCCTTCATTTTTCATTCCTTTCATTCCTCGTGTGGGATCCCTCCCCATCCCCACTTCTATCTTTTCTACTTCCCATCTACATCTACCATCAGGTGCTTGACTAAGTTGTGGGTGATCTCATCATCCATCGGCTATCTCCGCGAACTGGTGTCGCGGATCTTGTAATCTTGGTAGTTGTCGCGTTTGGTGGACATTGAGGGCAATCCGATATCGTCACTCAAGCTTGACTTGATCTCTCCATCTTCAAGATCGTCGTTTCTGAGGTTGTGGATTGCATCATTGTGTCGCAACGCGGTCGCACGCTGAGTCGCAACACGGGTCACGAGTGCACGGTCGCCTCATTCAACACATTTCACCTCATCGGACATCATGTCTCACACCCAACCCTCTCCAACCGCCGGGGTCGCTCAGCACCACGCGCACATGGCGGCTGCGGCGCACCCTCAAGTCAATGGCCATATTCCCGCAATCCCCGCACAAGGTCAAAAGGCAGTATCCCTCACCACTGCCCAGAAGATTACTGCGCTCAATGAGCAAGTGTGGTTACAAATTGGTAAGAATTGATAAATCAAATACCACCTCACGCGACGCGATTGGATTACTAACAAGGAATTTCGCGTGAATAGGAAGCTTGACCGAATTGATGGGCGATCTGGATGGCTCAATGAACGCGTACGAGCAGGCTTTGCGTCACAACCAATGGTCTGTCCCGGCAATGAATGCCATCGCCTGCATTCTCCGCACCAAGGAACAATTCCCCAAGGCGATCGAATACCTTCAAAACATCTTGAAGCTAGACCCGTCTAGCGGTGAGACCTGGGGTAGCTTGGGACATTGCCACTTGATGATGGATAATTTACAGGAGGCATACACCTCTTACCAGCAGGCTCTTTACCATCTACGTGATCCTAAGGTATGTTTTGTTTTTTATTTAAAACCCTCCCTTCTATCACGCTGGATTAAGCTTACCATCTACACAGGAACCGAAACTGTGGTACGGAATTGGAATACTCTATGATCGGTATGGGTCTCTGGATCACGCCGAAGAGGCTTTCTCCCAGGTCATGCGCATGGCGCCTGAATTTGAGAAGGCCAATGAGATTTACTTCCGTCTTGGTATAATCTACAAGCAACAGCAGAAGTTCAGCCAGAGTCTAGAGGTACGAGAACCTAAATTTTCAGAGTGATGATTCCGTTGCAAGGTTAACTGACAATCCTTAGTGCTTCAAATACATTGTCAATGACCCGCCTCGTCCTTTAACTGAGGAGGATATCTGGTTCCAAATTGGCCATGTTCACGAACAACAGAAAGATGTAAGTCAAATCTCTATTTCTGCAGTAGTTTGGCGACATGATTCTAATGATGATATCTATTGCAGTTCGATTCCGCCCAGGCTGCTTACCGCCGTGTGCTTGAACGAGACCCCAACCACGCCAAGGTCCTTCAGCAGCTCGGTTGGCTGTACCACCAACAGAGCACTAGTTACCAGAGCCAGGACAAGGCCATTGAGTTCTTGGAGAAGTCTGTCAGCGCAGACAACACTGATGCTCAAAGCTGGTACTTGCTCGGTCGCTGCTACATGTCGCAGGCCAAATACCCCAAGGCTTATGAAGCCTATCAGCAGGCCGTTTACCGTGACGGTCGCAACCCCACCTTCTGGTGCTCTATCGGTGTCCTTTACTACCAGATCAACCAGTACCGTGATGCCCTCGATGCCTATTCTCGTGCCATCCGCCTGAACCCATACATCTCTGAGGTTTGGTACGATCTGGGTACTCTCTATGAGTCGTGCAACAACCAGATTGCTGACGCTCTTGATGCCTATGGTCGTGCTGCCGACCTTGATCCAAGCAATGTTCATATTAAGGCTCGCTTGCAGCTTCTTCAGAGTCAGATGTCTGGCTCCACTCAGCAAGGTAGCGCTCCTGCACCGCAGCCACAGGACGTTCACCCTCAGGCTTACCAGCCCGGTGTTGGTGCGCCCCCAGCTCCCCAGTGGGGTGCTCCAGCTCCAGTTGGGCCACCACCCCAAGCTCCCGCTCCCCCTCGTCATGTTGCGGATTGGAACCGAAGCATCAATGATCTGCAATCTCAAGGGCCCGCTCCAACTGCTGCTCTCCCCGGTCCCCCTCCTGCCAATGGTGTTGATGCTCGTGATATCCCTCGTCTCCCTGGCGTGGCCCCCCAGGCAAGTCCTCGTCAAGAGCCAGGCCGTTCCTTCCCTGAGCCTATTCGTGGACCTCCCCCCGGGCCGTTCGCCAAAGCTTGGGGGTCCAGGTGCTTACCCTCCCCCCCCACACCCTGCCTCAGCTGGGAAATGGCGCAGCCCCTGGCCATGAGCGTGCTCCTAGTGGCGGTGCTGGTTTCAACCCTGCTCCCCGTGGTCCTCTACCTCCCACTCCTGGTGGTGCTCCTCCTCCTCCTCCGCCCGGTCCCGCTGGCGGAGCTCCCGGTCCCGCTGGCGGCCCTCTTCCCCCTTACCATAGCTCTTTTAGCCCTCGCCCTGAAATGCCTCCTATCCGCAATGAGCCTCCTTCCTCTCCTGACTCAAGATATCCTCACCAGCAGTACCATCCTGGTCCGGCTGCTCCCCCCGGCATCGCTTCTGGTGCCCCTGTACCCCCTACTGCTGAGGCTGCGGCTCAGGCTGCAGCTCACCCTGGTCGTGAAGTTCGTGAGGTCCGTGAGGTTCGTGATGAGCGTGGTGAAAAGCGCCCTGGTGATTGGGGGGGATGATATTGGTTCCATCAAAAAGCGGGACCGTCGGGACAGCCCCTCTGCTACCAGGTCTCCTGGCGTCCAGCCGCGTGGCATCTCTGAGGACCATGGTGAGGATCGTGTTCCGAAGGGCTCTTATCTCCCTTCTGGAGCTGCTCACGGCCTTTCTAATCCCGCTCCACACTCTACTACTCTGCCTGCCATTAATGCACCACCTCAAGCAGCTGGTGGCCAAACTCTGCCTCCTATGGAATCCGAGTCTCCCTCCAATGGACCTCTTCCAACCCCTTCATCGGCTAACCTTCCGGCCGATCCGGCCAATAAGGATGGAAGTCCTGAACCTCGTGCAGCTCGTGATACGAGCAAGATAAATGAAAATTACGACGATGATGGACTCGATAAGGAAGCCGATTCTCCGGTCAAGCGAAGCCCTAATGGCAGTGCTACTGGTCTTGCTCAGGTCAAAGAGGTTGCTGGCAATGGCCGCCCAGACACTCCAACAAAAATCGAATCCTCGTAAACCCGAGAAGAACAAAACAAAACTATCAGAAGAAGAAGAGATGACTCCTTCGCTGCTCATATTTCCTCGGCCTTGTCTAGGCTGCTTACTACCCTTCCCCCTCTATGTCCTTTTACCTTCTTGTCCACCTTTCCCCTTTTTCAATTGCGTGATGTATGGTATGAATGTGAATCGTGTGTTTTTTTTACTCCCCTTGACCTCCTCTCGTCGGCTAGAAGGTACTCGACCGGAGAGTGTGGCCTTGTGCCTGTATTCGTTCTCTTACTGTTACTGATGAATTTCCTCGTTTCTTTTCCCTGTGAATCTTCTATCTATGATGCAATAAGCGTCTTTATGGCAGTGAATTTAACAAATGAAGTGAAATGAAATTGTGCCCAAGTAAAAATGTAATGCAATGTGCAGTAAGGTCAATTCAACATTTGAAGTTGTGACATTGGCAATGTACTTCTATCTTCCAAGGTTGTCGGTTTGTTGGACCGTTGACTACAGGGCTAGTATGACCACCTAGACAAATGTCCGCATTCGGCATCTGCAACTTCAAATTGAAGCCATCTGCCACGGTGCTGCAATGCTCCAACTTTAGTATGTAGATTCTTACTAGCTCGCAATTGATGCCGGTGTTTCTAGGTACCCCGTACATATCAGCCAGTTTCTTGATTTCCTAGTGTGCTATTGTGTACACAATGACTCCCGAGGTTGTGGATTGGTATTCGTACGTTGACTCCCAAGATGACTCGGAACTACCAGTAGCATATCTTCGATACAATGTTTTCCATGTGCCTTGGAACCATCCAATGATGTTTTGAATGAAGGGAGAGACTCATTCGAGCCCAGAAGTATCTGAATATATGGAGTTCTATACCCGACTCGGAGTCTCATTCATGGATGAGGACTCGGACACCCGGAATATAGAAATCCGAGTTAACAGGTTCCTACACTCATCTATAACATTTGAAGGTATGTACACGACTCGGAGATCTGCATGAAAACTTGAACTTAAATCAGTCAACTGGTTGGAAGCGCGAGGGTTGAAGGCACTGACTACATTTCAGAGTCTACTATTACAAGTTCAGTCATCGGAGTGGTACATAGTATGGCAGGGGAGACGTAGCGAAATTTTAATTCATATATAACTCCAAGCAATTTATGATTATTATTTGAGTAATATGGACAATCCCAAACATTAAAGTATTGGTAACTGGGTTGGGAGAGTCGAAACTTCTCTCTTTCCCCATGCTTTGTAGTATTTGTAGTTTTGTGCGTGGGCAGATGACTTCAAGTTGGTTTAGACCACGTGCATATGGAATTTGCATTTTGAGTCGATGTCTGGTAGATTCGCCTGGTTGAGCTATGAGGTCTGACTTGAATATGGATTAATAGAGCATTAGACAATTTTGCCGAACTTGAAGAGCAAGTCTAAAGAATTGGACCGTGTAGCTTGAGACGAGTATTGATCAAAGACGGTCGGTCTTATGTGAGTACCGAGTGATTCTTTGAACTTCCAGGAATATACAGATGTCGAAGAAAGACAAGATACGGAAATTATAGTAGTGTGACTCTGGATGAAACTTGGAATGGAATGATGCTTTCAAATGTCGAGTGTATATAGAAGCAGCAAAGCATAGGTACTGGTATATGGTGCCTAAATTGCCTAAATGGGCACGGACCGAGGCCAGGACCCGTATTATATAATACAGTGGACTCTTTTCCCACGATCCCTATCACATGATCCACACGTGACCTGACCCACCTTCGCAAAATTAAGTCGCTTATCCCAATTGGGAATCCGCCTCGCTTAGGTCAGCCCACACTCGTCTAGCCTGCAAAATACACCTTTCAACACTTTTAGATCGTCACTCTACCACCTCGATACTAACGACAACAGGGTCAAGATGTGAGTCGCCCATAACACACACCATCATGTTACGATATTCTCAATTGCAATTGCTAATTTCTTTCCCAATCCAGGAGTCACCGGAAGTTCGAAGCCCCCCGCCACGGTTCGTGATCAACTTTTTCTCCTCGACAAAATTCGACATCCTCAGCGTGCGCATTTTACTAACTCAATATACAGGCTCCCTGGCCTACCTGCCGCGCAAGCGCGCTGCCCGCCACCGCGGAAAGGTCAAGAGGTGAGTTAATAATTCCTGGGATCCTTGAATGTCAAGGAATTCAAGACGAAAAATTTTGCGGCAACCCGGTATACTGATATTTGTTGTGCGCCAGCTTCCCCAAGGATGACGCCAAGAAGCCCGTCCACTTGACTGCCTCCATGGGTTACAAGGCCGGTATGACCACTGTCGTCCGTGACCTTGACCGTCCCGGTGCCAAGATGCACAAGAAGGAGATTGTTGAGGCCGCTACCGTCATTGAGACTCCTCCTGTAGGTTTCCCATTTTTTACACACCCTCGGCGAATGAACCACGCCAGAAAAAAAGAACAACCCGACAATGGATAAGAAGATGGAAATTTCTAACAAATTTTTTATAGCTCGTTGCTGTCGGTGTTGTCGGTTACATCGAGACTCCCCGTGGTCTCCGCTCTCTCACCACCGTCTGGGCTGAGCACCTGAGCGATGAGGTCAAGCGTCGCTTCTACAAGAACTGGTACAAGAGCAAGAAGAAGGCTTTCACCCGTTACGCCAAGAACCACGCCGAGGCCACCGGTGCCACCGCCCGTGAGCTCGAGCGCATCAAGAAGTACTGCACTGTCGTCCGTGTCCTTGCCCACACTCAGATCCGCAAGACCGCCGTCAAGCAGAAGAAGGCCCACCTCATGGAGATCCAGGTCAACGGTGGCTCCGTTGCCGACAAGGTTGACTTCGCCCGCAACCTCTTCGAGAAGACCATCGATATCGACAGCATCTTCGAGAAGGACGAGATGATTGATGTCATCGCCGTCACCAAGGGTCACGGTTTCTCCGGTGTCACCAGCCGTTGGGGTACCACCAAGCTTCCCCGCAAGACTCACAAGGGTCTCCGTAAGGTCGCCTGTATTGGTGCCTGGCACCCTAGCCACGTCCAGTGGACTGTTGCCCGTGCTGGTCAGGACGGTTACCACCACCGTACCTCTTGCAACCACAAGGTCTTCCGCATCGGTAAGGCCACCGATGCTGGCTCTGCCTCCACTGACTTCGATATCTCCAAGAAGCAGATCACCCCGTATGTTTTCCTCCTACCATTTTTTTTTCTGAATTCTAAACCTAACTTTACTATAGCATGGGTGGCTTTGTTCACTACGGTGAGGTCAAGAACGACTGGATCCTGCTTAAGGGTTCCGTCCCCGGTGTTAAGAAGCGTGTCATGACTCTGCGCAAGACTCTGTACCCCCAGACCAACCGCAGGGCCACTGAGAAGGTCGAGCTCAAGTGGATCGACACCTCCTCCAAGTTTGGTCACGGTGCTTTCCAGACCCCCGAGGAGAAGCGCGCCTTCCTGGGTACCCTCAAGAAGGACCTTGTTGCCGAGTAAGATGTTTCTATGTTTGGTCGGTGGTAGTGCAACGTATTTTCAAGTTCAATCAAAAAAAGCGAACAACCCTTTAACGAATGGTAGCTTGATCATTTCTCTGTAAATATGTAGTGAATTTACCTCGTCAGTATAGACCCATGAAGTTGGAAGTTGGAAGTTCATGTTCGACTTCGTTCAAATTCCCAGGTCTTGATGTGTAATATCATGCATTCACACATGCAGGTGCATTTCCAACTTCAAGGTTCGGAATTATAAAATGTTGGAAGTCACTGGCAGCCCTGGACATCTGAGGCTTTGCAATCGTCCGGGACCGTGAGTACTAGTATCATTGTCGCGACTCCGACCTCGGGAGTCCGAGTCTACAGCACTTGAGCCCTGGAGGTCAACTTCAACAACTTGAACACATGTGCATCAACTTGAATAATACACTTTTAAGGTGCTTGGAATTTCGAAATCAATTATTTATGATAGACTGTCTAGATTCTTCTTAGATCCATCAAGGTCAATCAATACCTAACTTCAAATTCAGATGGTGCATGTGGGTATTAATGTGTTGAATATCGAATCCAGCGTGTTTACTAGCATTTAATTCAATAATGTGCTCCAGGGCTAGCATGATACTATGTACCTAGATAGTATTATACATACCTACCTTGACCTTGAATACACATGTGCAGTGGTATATGCCAGGTGCCAGTGACGGTTGGGGGCGCATAAATCCATCCGTGATTATTGCAACCTTCCAAGGCTAGAAGTGACTCGGGTCGACTCGTCTGCGGAACATACATATGGGTACCGGATAGTAGACTCCGCCCAGTTATGTACAAATATCAACATTTGAATTTAACATTTTAAGGGTCTTACTAGTAGTTCTTAAAAGGATAGATATTACTCCAGGGCTTTTATTCAAGTTCAGTTAGGTGCTAATATTGAACTTGAATGTTAGCATAGTATGTTTTAAAATTCAAGCGCACAAGTTAAAAAAAAAATTTGAATACTAGTATGTGCTTTTACTACCTAGTGCCTTGTCGCATATGTAAATACTAGATGATACATATTCAGTGATATGTAGTATGATTGATGGATCTGAATACTAGTAGCCTGAGGTAGCACTTGAGTGCCTGGAGTATACGTAAATATATATTATTAGACCAAATATAATAGCTGAGACAAAGAGTTCATTATACTAGTTTAAATTATATTGTACCTAGGTAGTGAGAACACCAAAATACTACTTTCATCTCAATTATTCAAACATTCATCATGATGGATATTAGTATCATAGTTGTCCCAAGTTCAAGTTGTTGGTTTTATGCGGGTCAAGATCCATTGCGTCATCCCACTTTTTCCTCTTCACTCAAGCTTCAACAAACTTGAAACCAGATGCTCGCTCGCCCTTTAGCCACCTACGTCTCTCCCCTGAGAACTGCGCACCATCGATATTGTGCCCGTCGTCTTATTTCCTACACAAACCGCCTTCCAACTTCCCAACAGTCCATCATCAGAGCCATCCAGTTCCCCACAACATTCAAATCGCAACCAGTGACTCAACCACCCCGATTCCCCTCCTTCTCAACCTCATCCACCATCATGTCCTCCGACGATGCCTACATGGCCTTCCTAAATAAGGCAAACTCCGATTTGAACGCTGGCCAAGGCTCAGCGCAAGGGGGTGGCTCCGTGCAAACACAAGCTGTCGATACCTCGCTCAACCTCCCGGCTTCGTTGAAGAACGTCGAGGTCTACTACGTCTCAGATACAGATGAGCCCTTTGAACCGGTGCTCCTACGTTGGAAGGGTGCTGAACAGGGCGAATGGCCTAGTGCTGGTAGGTTCTCCTGTTACCCTCCTTTTCTTATCCAGAACTCACCTCCCTTCATCCTCCCTGCCCTTTCCAAGGTTCTTGGACTGGACCTCTGCTTGAGCATACCCAGGGGATTGAAATTCCCATACAAGACACTTTCCTCCTTGATAATGTGCATATGTGAAATGGATCCGCTAACTCACAACGTCCCCAGATGACTTCTCCTCCCTGGTTTCACCAAATAATGATATCTCACAGGGTGTCTCCACCCTTTCTACCTCCTCGTTCGATCCCAAGAAACAATATTCAGCCGCTATTAAGGCTGTTCGTGAGGCTGTATCGAGCGGGAGTCCCGTGGAGACGGATCTTAAGGTTTATCGTGTCGAGCTGACCAGTACAAAGCTTGAATACTTTGTGTTGGCGCTGGACTCATCGGAAGGTGGTCGAGTGGTTGGGTTACGAGCCAAGTCTGTGGAGTCATAATTCGCAGGTCGACGAGGCCAAATAGTAGAGAATGCAGTATGATCCAAGTGATTTTGCTGAGATCTTCTGTTACTGCTTGTTCTGGTATCGTGGCATTCTTGTGCATCGTAGTCCGAGTTAGGACGCGTGTTCGAGAATGACCGTTGATGACATGATTATTGAGAATAATATTATTAGTTGATATGATAGGTGTTGCTTAAGAGTGATTTTATTTGTGATGTATTAAAAATGAAAATACTGAGAGTCTGGAAGTAGTGTCTATTGTTGCGCTAGGAAGGTCGTAAGGAGGTGAATTTTGGACCTCGGGAACTACAACCAACTACAGATCAACCTCGAGCAGCCAATTTTCTACATCCATGCAGTGCCCAAGGGAAGCATCACTATTGGCTAGGGCTACAGCCTGCCGTGAAGATGCCGCCAACTCAAGATTCCAAACTAACAGCATTCACAGCTTTCCATTCCTCGCTGCCCGGGGAGGGCGCTGGGAATGTCCACCACCCTTCGATGCTCCTATCTCGAACTCAACTCGTGCAAATGCAGCCACCAAAACTGGTAGCTCACATTGGAGGTAGCTCAGATCATCGGTCTTTCAATGGAATACTGTTCATAAAACTTGGAAGTCGAATCCATAGAGGTATTATACGCCGAGTTGATGTGGTGCATCCACACCCGAGGGACATCTACACATACCACGGGTTGCCCCTAGGGAGGTTTATCATTCCGCTCCCTCGTGCAGCCAAACAACAATCCAGGTCCAATCTAGGCTCTTCTTTTCTCCCTGTGGTCTCGGTGTTCTTTTCTCTTTTGTCTACTGTATGTACGCTCTGTCTACCGGCTCGGCATCGATTTGGGACGTTGGATATCATCCAAGTGGTCCTGTCCGCTCTTTCACTTCTATTGCACTCGACGACTGTGCCTCCTGCTAACGCTACTAGGTCTTTACCGTCTTGAAGATCGGTCCAGGAGTTCGAAGAAGAAGTGGACTTTGTGGTGATCAGCGATCCCATATAGCATCCGAACTCTTATTACACCTATACACACGCCATTATATCGAAACACCTAGATGAAGAGGACAGACGTGCCGTGAACTAGTTGGTTGTCAGGAAGAGCATCAGTCAGAACATAGTCCAGCTAGTTGTGCATTCATCATCGACACATAACCGAAGGAGAAGGAAAAGGACACACAACCATACAGTCAAAAAGAGAAAATAGATTCGATGTCGGACCGGGATTCAAACTCTTCCCTGAAACCGGAAATGCCTCACATCAGACTCAATTCGGGCCGTCAAGACCCGTTCGTTGAGTCCGAGGATGGTTACGCTCCCTTGACCGGCCGCACCATACCGCGCCCTCTAACGCCCGTCTCTGCTGAGGCACCCGCTACAGTTGGTGCACAAGGTATGTCGCCGTATGGAATCACTGCGCCCGAGTCATCGGAGTTTCTGCTCCCACCGCGGCTACGACCCACGACACGCGATGACAATGAACGGTCTGGATCACCGGATAGGTGGTCAGCGGCTCGATCGAGTATCAGCTCGATGAGTCGGGATAGTCGGTTTCAGATGGATCCATTTGAGGATTCAAGGGCTCCATCAGCTCCTTCATCACGGTCCGGTAGTGATGATTATGATATGAATACACAGACTGTCTCGGAGAAGTTCAACATTACTCCGTCAGCTGGGTTGCTTCTTTTCCCAGAAGATGTTGAAAAGGATGATTACTTGCATAATCCCGATCCTATGGATCAGGAGCGTGATTGTGATATTTGCAATCGACGAGGTATCATGAATCTCGGCGGATTGGTTGTGTTAACGGTTGGAATTTTGGTACTCTTTATTGGATATCCATTGATGTAAGTCCGTATCTTGATATGGGTCAAAATGGTGTTTTACTGAGCTAACATGATCAATTCTAGTACATGGCTAGGAGGTGTTCTTCGGCCAAACCACGTTTGTCAACCTGGTGACACGCTTTGTCTGGACATTGGCGAGCGGGATCTATTGAAAAACATTCGACAAGGATTGATCGACCCTGATACACCAAAAGATGCGTATACGAAGACGGGCGCGGATGGAAAAGAGCTGAAGCTGGTGGTATGTATAATCCGATGATATGCAACATTGATTAGTTCAGTCTGACATTGGGATTAGTTCTCGGACGAGTTCAATATGCCTGGAAGAACATTCTATGATGAGGATGATCCATTCTTCCAAGCTGTGGACCTGTGGTATGGAGTCACCATGGATAAAGAGGTCAGTGTTGATTTCACTCCATGCAGTTGAACATACTAACTCTCACTAGTGGTACGACCCGGATGCAGTGACTACGAATGAGGGTGTGCTGGAAATTCGGTTCGACAATTTCAAATCTCACGATCTTTCCTACCGGTCTGGCATGCTTCAAAGCTGGAACAAAATGTGCTTCAAGGGCGGTCGTCTGGAAGCAAGTCTCTCGCTGCCGGGAGACGGACACATCCAGGGTTTCTGGCCCGGTTTTTGGGCGATGGGTAACCTTGCCCGTCCTGGCCACGCAGCCACCACAGACGGCCTCTGGCCTTACAGCTACTACGATGGCTGTGATGCCGGTATCACACCAAACCAGAGTTCCCCGGATGGAATCAACTCTCTTCCCGGCATGCGTTTGCCAGCATGTACTTGTCCCGACTCAGACCACCCCTCTCCTGGTCGTTCTCGTAGCGCTCCTGAGATCGATGTGATTGAGGGAAGTACTGCGCCGTTATATGGATACGATGGAGGACCTTTCGTTGGCAGTGCTTCGCAGAGTATGCAGGCTGCACCTTTCGATCTCTGGTATATGCCTGACTACGGTAAGTCCACAATCCACAATGGTGTGAAATGATCTATGATTTAACTTGATTTTGTGTCCAGATTTCACTGCCGTATACGATTCCCGTGTAACACAGATCAATGCTTACCGCGGAGGACCATACCAGCAAGCGATGTCAGGGCTTACAAACCTCAATCACCGCTGGTATAACGGCACCGAATACCAAATCTTCGCCTTCGAATACAACCCAGGTGACAAAGGAAATGTCACTTGGTTTGTAGGTGCCGATAAGACTTGGACGCTGGATGCTCGCGCCATCGGACCCAATGGCAACATTGGTCAGCGAGTGATTCCTCTTGAACCCATGTCTCTGGTAATGAACCTGGGTATGGCCGACAACTTTGCGCCGCAGAACCATTCTATTCGCGAGTATATGCCTGCTTATCTTCGAGTGGACTTTGTGCGCATTTACCAGGATCCGGATGATGTTAGCATTACTTGTGATCCGCCGGGTTTCGAGACGACCCAGTACATCGAGGATCACAAGCGGGCATACGAAAACCATAACCTCACTAATTGGTGAGTTTGACCCCATCCAATCTATCCATTGAGCCTCTACTAACGTTTCTACAGGGCGGATGCCGGCTACACCTGGCCTGAGAACAGCTACATGCATGGTTGCTGAGGGTATTGCGTTTGCGTCCTGCGTCGTTTTAGCGGCATTGTTTTTTTTGGCGTTCGGCGGGGTTGGGCATTCTTTCTCTTTCAATTTATCATTCTGGTGTCGCTAAACGATACCTTATATTCTATATTATTCTATTCTATTCTGACCTTCCTCATATCTCTCTCTGCCTTGCGGTGTCCTTCATGCAGAAGCTCTATCTCAGGCTCGTAGACCTTCGTTATTCTTCATCGGTATAATTTAGAAATTTGGGCAACTCTAGCTACTGAAAGATTTCAAATCTTCAATACAATTTCAGACAATTCATAGCCGCTTCAAACATTTGAATGTAATCATCTTAGATCTATGCACCTCCACCTGCAGTGCCGCCGGGCGCGGGCACAGGCTGGCTGAGTCAGCACCTCTCGACGTCCATCAACTTGAACCAAATCACAATCTAACTGCTCCTCTCTCCAATCTCATTCCGGGTTTAATATATCAACAATCCAATAAGAAGACTTATAACACCAATCCCACACGCTTTTTCTGTAAGTCTCTTCGTAAATGACACGTCAAAAGCGCTGCTGGTTTAACATTCGAAACAGATCCATGGATGTGGAGTTGATCTAACTTTGAGCCACCATATCATCTACTTATCGCCGAACCTGCGTCTCTACATCATCCGTAATTATTGAATGAGAGAGTATCTGGGATGATTATCTCGTCTCACTAGCCTACTGTCCTCGAAACCTTGAAATCTCAGGCAACCACGGCTCTTGCAACGCGCGTGGTTCTTCACCTCACTATTACCTTACCATCACAATTTCTCCTAAAATCTTGCACTACAGCCTTTTCATCTTTTCCCCCCAAAATTCGGATCATCCCAATAGTCTGATATCTCATCACCATGGCTGAAAACACACACCACAACCATAATGTCACGGGTCGAACAGTCCAAGACCCCATCGACCTCGAAGACTTGGATCTGATCAATCAATTTGAAGACACGGAAGACTCTGAATCCGATGGAGGCATGCAACTGGATGATGAACCAGCATACACAGACCCAAACCACCCCTTATTTAGCTACGATAACCAAGTACCCTTCCAAGGACTGGGTAATCGAGAGCGGGATCGTGGTGGACGTGATCGTGATGGTATGTGGATGCTTCCCTTCCACATCCCAGAATTTGAACCAATCTAATTGAATATAGAAATGGAATTCTCAGAGACAGCTCCAACACCAGGCTCCTACGCTGAAATCACCCCTCCAGATATAAACGCAATGGAGCTAAATGAGAATACCTCCTCGTTTCCACAACCACAACAGCCACCACAGCGTCCTCGTCCTCGAACCCGTCTAAGCGAAGAGGAGTACGCTGCATTGACAGTTTTAAATGACGATGAGCTACTAACTATGTATGCTCTGAATTCCCATCGTGTAAGTTTTTCAACCATTCCCTATCTCTATCTATGTTGTGCCTTGCTATGCTCTGCAAGTTGATACCGAGACAGAAGCTAACAAATCTAGACAATCCCACAAACCCGCCGTCTATTTCTCGCAAAATTCATCGCAGATGGCGACCGTGAACGAGAAGAAGAGCTCGTTGCCGCGCGCTTCGCTGTCCCCGCCTCAAAGGCTCACCTTGTCGCGGGCCTATGTGAAAATCCAGAAGCACGGGCTGAGAAAGCGATAGGGATTAATAATACGACTGCATACTTGGTTCCTGCATCGTGGGAACAGGTTATTTCTCATGATGATGATAGTTGGTGGCCACCTGGTCAAAAGAGAAAGGCTACGAGTCAGGGAAATATTGCGGTTTCTTCTAGCAGTACGCTGAGATCGAAGTCTCGGCCTTTTAGGCGGGAGAGTACTGGACCTTAGTACTACTAGTCTTTTTTGGTATCTTTGATGAAGGGTTACTATTCAAATAAGATTGAAACATAGGCTGCTGTTTGCAGTATTCCTATTGTATGTGCTCGCTAAAAAAGTAAAAGTACAAAGAACTGATCCAACCTGACCGTTTCCATCGGTCACAAAGAAGAGGGAGTTCAGCAAGAGTAAATGAAGAGTCCAGTAGGTGATGAGTAGATGAGGAGAGGTAAGTAGAGGTCGGGTGTAGAGGTAAAAGGTAGGTGAGGTGGTGATCTCCATGGACAGGTCAGGTTGGGATAGTAGTCACCCCAGTGATTTCTCTGGGGATCTTCGGGGTAGAGAAAAGGATACATATCTCGCAGAAGGATAATTAGACGCAAAATACAAGCTCCAAAGGATATGTGAGCAGATGATGAGATTACGAAAAGAGTTTTACATCTCTTCTTCTTCTCTTCGTCGCTGCTCCGCATGGAACATGCTCTCTGCATCTCCTACTTGCCTTCGTTCGGAAACTTCTCGGCTGCGGATACGGAGAGCTTGCACGTTCATGAGCGTCAGTCCTCGAGGTGGCGCGGGCTTGGGTTCCGGTTCACCGTAAAAGAAGGGGTGCAGGCGATGCGAAGTTGTGGGCCGGACCCGGCCATCTCTCATGACGGGTAGTTGTCATTGCAAGGGCTCCGAGCTCGAGGACAGACGATTCAGATGGAGGTAGACATCAGTTCCATATCTATATGAGTTAGTTTAGGCATCACTTCAAGGGGAAACTGTAATAGTGTAAAGCTTACCCTTCCATACTGATCAACTTCAAATCACCACCAAAGTATCGGGCATACAGTCGACTAATTGGTAGTCCGTATCCGAAACCAGCCATTGGTGCTTTGAAGTCGTTCTTATCAAAGTCGGGGTCGAGGTTGGGAGTCTGCTCCACAGTGGTATACATGTAGGTCCAGACGAGTGGGATCGAAGATCGGGGAATACCACCGCCCTCGTCAGAGACCTTGATGGTAATATCTTCCTTGCCCTCGGCCACAATAACCTTGGTTACGGGGAAATGCTCCCGGTCGGCTCCATGTTGCTCAACAACCGCACGAAGGGAGTTCTTGAGGGTCTCAAAGAGCATGTGGGAAAGATGACCAGGCACGTACATGAAGTTCAGGTCATCCCGGCAGACCAGCTGAACCTTAGGAGCCTCAAACAAACCGTAGTAATCCTCACAGACAAAGCGGGCGTTATCAATTGCCTCGAGCGCAATGTCCTTGACATTGGTTTTGGTGCAGATTATTCCGACGTAATGAGGGTGTTTGACGTGCGTTTGTTCCGTGAGTGCGATGTGTTGACCAATTAACATTCGTATACCAATTCGAGACATGTAGAAGCGATCCAGGAATGATTGAATAGTGGAGTCGATCTGCATGCGCTGTCGCACCCGCTTCCATTCTAGGATACCCTGGGCCACAGTAGTGACAACTCCATCGTGACGTCGTTTGATCTGTTGCAGAGTCTTGGCAAATCGTTGGTTGTAGTCATTGAGCTCGGGTGGCCACTCTGCATGATCATCGGCAGGCACAAAATAGCGGCGGCCTGATGCAGCTGCTTTTGCGTGACCATTACCATTGGCGGTGATCGGGGAAGACCGGTATTGACCTTCTTTCACACTGGGGTTCTGTGTTGCTTCGGCGAGAATCTTAGAGTGGCCACCGTTCATTCGGCCCGGTCGCAAGAGGCGGGTTTTGACTTCTTGGGTCAAAGAGGGACGAGAAAGGGTAATGATTTCCTAGTGTACCCGTGAGTCATACGATTCATGCATGAACGAAAACGAGCAGACAATAGTGATTGTTGAACAATACCAAAGTATGAATCGCAGATTAAAATGGAAGATTAGAACATACCTCGAATGATTGAGCGTACCAATCTTGGACTTTCTTAATAGAGGGCATTTCGCTCAGTCCATCGGGTAGCTCGCCTAGATCTTGCACACGATGCGCAAGACGAATTGGGAGCTCCTCAGAGAGGAATTGTGAAGCACGGAAGAGAGTTCCTGGGACATGATCAGTATTTTACTCTAGATTTGACACAAAATCTCATCTTGAGGTAGTTGTGCCTACCTGTGGAGGGGCGGTCGCCAAACTGGACCATCTGACGCAGGGAGACTCCGGTTGCGGGGAAGCTGGCATAGTGTCTGATGGTGTCCATCAGACGCTCCGACGGCTTCCACATGGTGTTTTGGGGCCAAAAGGCCGAGAGATAGTTGGGTATAGATTGCAAGTGTTGTTTCCAAAATCCGGGGAAGTGTGGAGGAATGGAAGAGAGTCGCGTGCTGGGAGAATGAGTAATGAAGTCGGGATGAGTCGTACTGCCGAGGTTGAGCCCGTTCCGACGCCGGAGGAATCTGGATGTGCCGAGTTTGCTCATATGACCTGTATTACCTGCAGAAAAGGAGAACAGGACATGTGAATTATCTCATGATTGAAGAAGATGAAGGAATCAAAGAAGGAACAATTGAAAGTAATGGTGTAATTAGATCATAGTCCGATCGGTAGATACGGCAGGCATCTGGGGCAATGGAAATGACCTTGTCCGCGGGGAAATGTGTAATTCCGGAGATTCATAGAGTAGAAGTAGCTACGTAATTGGGACTTGAAACTGCGGAGAATGCTATTTAAATGATGATAATTAGTTAATTATAGGATATTTCTATTATATTTTATATAGTATTTCACCCTATCTATCTTATAATCTCAATATACATCATCTATAACAGTAAAATGAGAAGAATGTGAAAATCTCTACTTATTGATTCTAATCTCCGTATTCGGCACATTATGTAATCGGAGCTTAATTGGCTGAATTGAATTCACCTTTAACCGGTCAATTAATCGGTTTTTGATCCCCGGATTTGCCCTTTCGTCCGAACTTCTATACTTGCACACGACACATTTAACTATAATTATAATCTTGTATTTTATTATACACCCCGAGTATTCTATTAATACATTAATCCATTGTAACTCAGGCTACTCTCCAGTATCTTATGTTATTACTATCATATGCTGTTCTACATAATTATCTCTCCGAGTAGATACCTCAGGCTGCCACCTGGGCAACATCATGATGTGCAGATGGTCGCACATCCTATGTATAAATGACTACATGAGTCACGGTACTCACAATTTGAATCTACTGGCGGATCAATTTCTTGATTATTCTCATCAATTGTTCTTATAATAATGTGGTTATATCATAAGTTCAACCATTTCTAGAATCAACATGTGAAAATCTTCCATCTAAAATCCAATCTCCCCCAAAATCATACTCAATATTGACCACTGATAAGTATTGAGGTGATGAGAGAGTTATGTGCATGCTGCATATGCACATATAGACTCTGAAGAGTCCCCAGAGTATGTATGAATTTCTCCGTCCTAGTTTATTCAGTATACCGTGATTCTATGCCCAGATACTATACCAGTGGTCTCCAGTTACATCATCTATCTCAGACTGTATCAATAAGGTCAATGCATTCGTACTTTTGTCACCACGTGAGCTAAATACTTGATTGGCAAAGACTTCAACGATTTCAAGTTAAGTTTGAATCTCCTCGGAGGATTGGTTTTGCTTTTTTTTTTCTATGATCTAGTAATATCATCTTCCAGGTACAAAAACTTACTCTATCAATGGCATTGGCATGACCTTCATGGCTTCAGATATCGATGATGCGCTTCAAGCCCCGCCGTTGGGCATTCCCCCTGCGCTGATCCACGAGGGCCCAGCAAATTAACTCCTATTTCTTCCCCGTTGTCCCGAGCTCATTCGTCGATCGTGGCCCCTCCAGTACTCGACACAGTCCATTCGGCGGATCCGCTGGAGACTCAAGATTCCCTTTTCGAGCGCTTGCTTGGTGTCAACTCTGCTGGTGGAACCTTAGGCCTCGCTTCTCTTTTGTGTGCGCAATTCACAATTTCCCTTGAATTTCTTTTCTATTCTTCTTGATTCGAATAGAAACGGAGAAAATCAAAATCCAAAACTTCTCAGCTGTCAGATCAAATCGACGCATTGTTCATTTCTCTGCCCTAAGCGCGAACGACTCGGAACAAAGCCGTGGCCCCCTCCACTTTTTCACCTGGGCCCTGATTAAATTCAAAAAAGAGGATTAAAAAAAAAGTCAAACAGAACTGATATTGATCTTGGATTATAATCCAAGAGAATCAAAGAATCAGTTTATTCATTATTCCTATTTCCAAAGCCGACAATTTATTCGTGATTTTTTTTGACTCATCTTTGGGCCAACTCATATACGGATATCTGGTCAACTGGTGTATCTATACTATAAGGGTATTATACATCATTTCCAGATACATGTCTCGCTAGGGAAAAAAAAATCCCGCCCCCATTTCAAACCTGGCAACTTGGAATCACACATTTCTTCAAGTCATCTAGAGGCATGTCTCGTCGCCGCACTTCTTACAGTGAGCCCATGAATGAGGCCATAACATACCCATACACCTCCAACCAGGACCCTCGAGCCCCTCGTCGAGGTCCGATCGAAGGTCCTGATGGTCGTCGTCTGATTCGGCGTGTCACCTGGCGTTCATCAACTTACAAGTTGATGGCCTCGTTGTGGGTGCTTGGTGTCCTTTATATTCTTTGGTTGATTCGAGATCTCTTCTATCTACCTTTCTCTCCTTCCGAATCCACCCCACCTGTCCTTGCCGAGGAATGACACTCCCCATCTTCTCCCGATCGTCCGACTCAGATTGGAACTGAAAAGGGGGAGGGAATCCTGTGGGAAAGGATACTGAAGCAATAAATTCGGATAATCCATTCCCTTGAAGAGAAAGAGAGAATGAATGATTGAGATCTCGCACGTGCGGGATCAAAAAATTAAAATTCTATGATCCAGACTCTATCGCTCGATCTCTATGCTTTGCATTGCGTGGTGTTTTCTTCCTCTCGGATTGAACTGAACTGGTGGCATGATCAGCTGTGCAAAGTACTACGTACTTCGCTCTCCACACTTATTGAAATCTGTCATTTCGAACAAGACTGAATTCGTTCCAGTGCGCTGGACTGGGCTGAGCTGAGCTGCAAAATACCCACATCGGGATCAACACGCCAATCCCCATGTTTGCCTTCAAGTCTACACCAGCCAACCGGGCTTGGTCCGCCCTAGCGCATTTCCTCATTACCCAGTTGAGATCAAAATGACCCGGACCTCTCATGTGCATGTCTTGGCCAATTATCTTATAGAGGTCTTAGGACTATCGGGCATATCCGAGTCTGTGCATCTTCTCGCTTTCTTTCATCCTTCTTTATACTCTGGTCGGCATGGTTCTCCTCGGTATGGACCATCGAATCAATTCACATGGGATTTAGATTGGGATCTGGTTTTTCTTTTTCTACATGCATTTCCAATGCATGCCATAGCGTTTCATTGCATTATAGCGTTTTCATTTCTCTCACAGATTTCATGTGGCGAGTGATTGTGCTTCTCGTTTCTTTGGTTTTTATTGGGAGGTTGTCGTCTATTTTTCCTTGCATAGCTTCTTTATCTTGCATTTACAAAAATTTCCCGATTGCATGCATGTTATCGCATGACTCGACTTGAAGTTAGATTGAAAAGATTTCAGATCATGTTGTTCCTGAATTGGACAAATCTGTTACCATCTAGGCCGGTATCGTATAAAATATCTGGAGAGGTTAGTCGTAGGAGTATCGACACACTTCGATAGAAACTAGAGATATGGAACTAAAGGTATCAATCTCATTTTCATAGCTCGTAGAACTGGCCAGTATGCACAACTCCTATCTATATCAAAACGACCCCAACATCGCTTTCAAGGGTACTGGGGGTTTCTTTTCTTTTGTTTCCCAAGTGCATTCTCGCACAATCATGGTCCTATAATTGGCATATACATATTCATCCAATTGCTTAAACGTACAGAGCATCGGTACCGGCATTGGCGATTTGCGAGGCGTAAGGCTTGAGGGCGGCGGCAACCTCGGTGGTGGTGAACTTCTCGACTTGCTGGGGAGCACGGCCGACGAAGGTGCGGGCGTCAAGGAGGGTGTCCAGCTCGGGAATTATGGGGGCGAAGAAGGGGGTACGGCGGATGCGCTCGAGGAGGTCGTTGTCCTTGCCGAGCTTCTTGACGTTGTCGGAGGCTTGGTGGGAGAGGACACCTAAGAGATGTTAGACATGCTAGGTTAATTGAGTTAATGGAGTTAGACATACGGATCTCCTCGTGAGCGTCCTGGCGGGAAAGACCCTTCTTGACACAGGCCATGATGATGTTCTCACTATAATCATTTTGTTAGATTCAAATATTTCCAAAGGTAAAGCTGGTGATTGATCAACTTACGTGGCCATGAAGGGAAGCTCGTCGTTGACACGACGCTTGATGACCTCGGGGTAGACGACGAAGCCGGAGGAGACGTTGTCTATTTATTGTTAGAAAAGATTGACAGAAAATTTGCATGATCGGGTACGAACTCAGGAGGATGAGACAAGCATCAGCGCACAGGTAGAGCTCAGGAATGCTGATACGACGGATGGCGCTGTCATCCAGAGAACGCTCGAACCACTGAGCAGAGTAGGTGTCCAAGGCGTCCTTGGGCAGGTTCTGAAGGTGACGTCCAAGGGAGCACAGACGCTCGGAACGCATGGGGTTACGCTTGTAAGCCTGCCAACAATTAGTCTCTCACCCAGAAATAAACTCATTCGATCGGTTTCTAGTACTCACCATGGCACTGCTACCAATCTGGTCCTTCTCGAAAGGCTCCTCAACCTCCTTGAGCATAGCAAGGTGACGGATGTCAATACCGATACGCTCGCAAGTAGAGCCGAAAGAGCCAAGAGCGTTGCCAACCTCGACATCGATCTTGCGAGTGTAGGTCTGACTGGAGATGATAAAGGCGGAGTTGAAGCCAGCCTTCTCAGTAACAAGCTCATCCAGTCTCTCGACCTTCTCGTGGTCACCATCGAAGATCTGGAGGAAAGAAGCCTGAGTACCGGTGGTACCCTTGACACCACGGAAACGCAGGTCATCGCGAGCGCGCTCAAGGTTACGCAGGTCCATCAGCAGGTCCTGAATCCAGAGACAGGCACGCTTGCCAACAGTGACGAGCTGAGCGGGCTGACCGTGGGTGAAACCCAGAGTGGGCAGGTCCTTGTACTGCTGGGCGAACTGGGACAGCTTGTCAACGACAACAGCCAGCTTGGGGATCAAGATGTCAAGACCATCGCGGAGCAGAATCAGATCCGCGTTGTCAGTGCAGTAGCAGGAGGTAGCACCCCAGTGGATGATACCGGCAGCGGCGGGAGCAACCAGACCGAAGGCGTGGACGTGGGCCATGACATCGTGTCTACGGCGCTTCTCCTCCTCAGCGGCAACGGCGAACTCCTCATCCTGGATGGTGGCGTGAGCCTTCATCTGCTCTAGACCCTCATCGGAAATAGGAAGTCCGAGCTCTGTATAAGCAAGACCCAGTCAATTGAATGTTTGGCTTTCCCCACGTTTTCATCCATATATTATCCGACCGATCTCGTACCTTTCTGGGACTCAGCCAGCCAGATCCAAAGCTTGCGCCAGGTCGAGAATCGCATGCGAGGGGAAAAGAGGTACTTCATCTCAGTGCCTATTCAATTGACATTGGTTAATACAATCTGTATCAATTTCTACATTTCCCGTCCCTCGAATTGGCCGGGGAGGACGGGATTGTAGGAGAGGTAGTACTTACTCGCATAGCGCGAGTTGAGGGGAGTCTGGTAAACATCGTTGCTGGCAGACATGATGTCGATACTTCACAAAAAAGCACCTGTGATATGAATTGAGTGGCAGAACCAAGAGAAGGAGCTAGTGTGCGAAGTCGGACACAATTTTATCGTACGGCTTTGGCGGGGCTTATCACGTTATCGTGAAAGGTTTTGGAAGCTTAGTGGGGGTGAAGGTCACGTGCGGACTATGTATATTTCTACATTAAATCGCATTGATATTCCGGGATTCCATTTTGCCGGAAGCAATTGACAGAGAAGAGAACAAAAGAAAATGAAGGCAATATTGAATCAGATCAAGGGGGATATGCAATAATTATGTCATTATAGAGGAGAAAACTCTTGGGAAGAAAAGTACCATATAAAGCATCTATGACGCTAGCTGGGCCAATTGCACTGACAGGTTGGATTTATCGTACTTGATGTACTTGCCACGGCCCTTATCAATTTCCACATACCGGTCATAAAACCGGGCATATAGTGGCTCAAGCACGGCCTGTAATTCGCGCCCGAGAACCGAACGCACCTCCCGTTCCAGATGGAGGGGTTTATGCCGAGCGAGCATTTCGTCAAAGCTGGCATTGAATGATTTGAATTTGTCCTTGATCGCATCCTTGTCTTTGGAGGACAGGCTTTTGACAATGGCGCTGGAATCCACAGCACCAGTGGAGCTGGGTCGTCCGGCGCGCGATGTATACTGGACATCCAAAAGGTACTGGGATGTCTCCTTCCAGGCATCCAGATAGGTAGATGTCGCACGCTTGCGGAATGTGTCAATCCGAGCGATACTGTCAGGAGCACCCAAGTAACGCGCCAGCTCCGGGCTTTGTCGAATAGACCTATCGACAATGCAAAAGACATTCGATAGGAAGACACCAAGAGCAGCTTTTGTGCGATGGAATGCTCGGCCACGAGCTTCCAAGGAGGTCATTAAAGCTTCGATCATATCCAAGATGAAGTGAGAGAAAAGAGTACCACTGTCAGGACCAACATCCAGAGGCGCGGTCCCGGCGGTGCTCGATTTTGAACGCCAATTTCCATCGCCAAGAGAGGTCAAGATAGATGCCAGTGGACCTGAGTATCCAGTTAAGGTAGCAAGGGAGTTCATGACTTCCTCAACCAACGGCACGGACCCACCGTCGGGGGGTAGGGGTACGTTGGCCGCCCTGCGTTTTGTTTCCTCGAGCAATTCAGACAGGGAAGACTTGGCAGTTTCGCGCACAGGTCTTAATGCCTCAATTAGAAGACTCTTCAACTCCGCGGCCTTGGAGTCGATCCGGTATGACATGGCCGTCACAATCTCAATGATTTCAAACGCAAGGAAGCAGTCTGTCATGAGATTCTGACGGATGTACTGGTTCATTTCTCGCAGAGTCTTAGAATATTCAGCCATTGCTGAGAGGAAAGTAGCTTGCAATGCAAGACCTTGTTGATCTGCTGGAAACAGCTGAGAAATTATATCATACTCAGTGTTGACAAATGCTTCCAATGCATTAGAGTAGATACCAATACCGTTAGTACCCTGCTTGTAAGGTCCATCTGTGGGTCTACGTTTGACGGTGTTGAGAGATGCGATTGATAGGTTCTGCAAGCTCGAGGTGAGATACGGCCCGCGCACCTCAGCATAAATCTTCATCGCAGGGTTCTCTCCTTTGTTCCGCTGTGGACCCAAGGCACATGCTGAGCTGATCGCCGCGCACAGAGGACCTAGTTGTGATAAGGGTTCTTCGGGAATTGATGGGAAGGGAAGCTCTATATAAATACCGTAATTGTTAGTATGACCAATGTGATTGGATAAATGGAACATATTGCAGGCTATACCTTTGGTGAGATAGTGCAGCGGCTCAATTGGGGTGGCATTTTGTTGCAATTCTGATCTGAGCATATCCTGCAATTGGGTACTTCCAGTGCTCAGAAGGGAGTTGAAATCTGCGATCGCGTTTTGGTTCGACTTGAGGTTCGTCGTGTTGAGGTCGACCAGCGCCTTCTCAACACGTTTCATCGCCGACAGGTATTGTGAAAGACCCCAGAACTTTGCGGTCTATATTAAATAAAATATCACGTCAGTCACACCATATTTAATCATATCTCAGTTCACTTAGCCAACATACCCAGCACGAATTATACCTTCCTCTCGCATCTTCGCATCGAGAGGCTGGCGGAGACGCTCAATGGCATCATTCACTTTATCGATATTGCTGTTGGTAGTCTGAAGAGACTGCGTATTGCTATAGATCGGCCCAATGGCTTCTTTCACAACCTTGCCGCTGGTCTCTAGACGGACCATGGATCCCTGGATCTTCTTGGTGAGGCGATTGAGCTTCTCGAGGTTCGCATAGAGTACTTCGACCTCTGCGCTTTCCTCCGCATAAGCGGTATTCCTCGGAGCCACCATGATGATCGCTCAAGAATATAAATCACGTAACTTGGTTAACGCAGGAGCTGTCATGTTCTCCCGTAGTGTGGGGTCCACGGAGGTGGTGTTCGTTGCCTGAGATAAGCTCCGAGTCCGACTCCAAGCACATTCCAGCGATAAACAAGCTAAGCCAAACTAGGGAGGTATCGGCCCGTCTATAGCTCCGTATCACATGATATGAGGTCATCCCCCGCGGTAAAGCAAGTACTCTGGAATTGATTTCTTCTAGCTTTTTTGTTGTATGCAGGTTGCCGCTCTATCTAACCCCCTCAATTGCTACAATGGGCGCTGCGAGGATGTCTCGGCTGCGCTGGACAGTTCCTCCAGCTGCCATTGCGGCATATACAGCGGGGCAATGGACGCAGCCTAGGAGGCCCCTTCGGCAGTCCCACTACTCCACACCGTCTGCGCAGTACGATGCCAATTCGAAGTCGCAAAGCTCTTCACCCAGACAATCGACCTCACAAATTGCCGAAGACCAAAATTCTGCTTGGTTCAAGATTGTGCAGAAGCTCGATGAAGTGAAACACACTGTTGGGGTTCCGGAGTGGGGGGGAGCTAGGAGAAGGCTTTACAAGCTACATTGTCCCTGATTGGGCGCGATTCCTCCCGGCAACGGCCCAGAAGCTCCAGCGAGAGCTCTCTATGGCGCCTGGATCTTTAGCAGACGATATCTGGAAGGAGGCACATGATCCTGATCTCAACCCAGAGATCTTGAGGGATGCCAAAGTACGAGTGAGTGGAGACTTGTGTGAGGAAGAGAAGGAGTTCCGACGTAAGCGTCAAAAGCATGCTGTTAAAGCATTAGCTGAATATCTGAATATCCCGGAGGAGGATATTCACCCTGAAGACGTGCCTGTCATTGCTATGTGTGGATCAGGAGGTGGCTTGCGCGCCCTAGTTGCAGGAACTGGGTCGTACTTGGCTGCACAGGAATCTGGGCTGTGGGACTGTGTGACCTATACTGCAGGAGTAAGTGGTAGCTGCTGGCTTCAGACCCTGTACAATTCTTCCATTACGGACCGGAATTTCAACAAGCTTGTTGATCATCTGAAGAGCCGGCTGGATGTACATATTGCTTTCCCACCTAAAGCTCTGAACCTCCTTACCACTGCTCCAACCAACAAGTACCTATTGAGTGGCTTTGTCGAGAAGCTTAAAGGTGACCCTGGGGCTGATTTTGGCCTTGTGGACATCTACGGACTGCTGCTCGCTGCTCGACTGATGGTCCCCCGAGGAGAGCTCGGAGTTCTGGACTCTGATCTTAAATTGTCGCAGCAGCAAGCAAACTTACTAGATGGGTCTAACCCTCTTCCAATCTACACTGCTGTTCGGCATGAAATCCCCATGATGGAAAATGAAAACGGGGAATCCTCAGTGATGCCAGAAGAAGTGATGAGGGAAGCAAACCGCGAGGCCTGGTTCCAATGGTTTGAGTTCACACCTTATGAGTTCTTTTGCGAGGAGCTAGGTGCAGGTATTCCAACATGGGCGCTGGGACGCCACTTTCAAGGTGGCAACAGTGATCTATCACGGGAGAATTTCCCCATTCCGGAACTGCGGATTCCAGGCTTGATGGGTATCTGGGGGAGTGCTTTCTGTGCAACTCTATCTCACTACTACAAAGAGATCCGTCCCTTGGTGACAGGTCTTGCAGGCTTTGGTGGAATTGATTCTCTCATCCAAGGCAAAAATAAGGACTTAATTCGAGTCCATCCTATTGACCCCGCCACTATCCCCAACTATGTGATAGGCATGAAGGGCCAACTTCCTGACTCGTGCCCTGACTCTATCTTTCAGAGTACTCATCTCCGTCTTATGGATGCTGGCATGAGCAATAACCTCCCGATTTACCCACTGCTGCGACCTGGACGGGATGTTGACATTCTAGTTGCGTTCGATGCATCTGCCGATATCAAACGCGAGAACTGGCTGTCAGTGGTGGATGGTTATGCTAAACAGCGAGGAATCAAGAGCTGGCCCGTCGGTGCTGGGTGGCCCAAAGCGAGTGACAGTCTCGAGGATACAGAGAAAGCATTGCGCGAACCACAAAATATCTCAGATGAAAAAGCGAACGAGAAGATCACCAATGCTCAAAGTCATCCTGAAAACCAGCTCGATCCCTCAAAGAAGACTAGTTCTGCTAACACTGAATCAGAGCTGGGCTATTGTAACGTATGGGTAGGGACCACAGAGGAACGGACCTCTCATGGTGAACTACCCCCATCCAAACGTCTTTTCCATCCCGATACCACTGCCGATCACTCCGAGTCGGACTTTCACCTTATGCGGCCTGACGCGGGTATCGCTGTTGTCTACTTCCCTCTTCTCCCCAATCCATCCGCGCCTCAACTTCCACCCGCTGTCAAAACACGTCCACTAGCGGCTGCCCATTCCATGAAAAATGAGGCCAAGGAGGAAGACAAGGGCCCTACTCCTCACCCTAACACTATTGATCCAGATGTGGATGACTTCTTGTCTACATGGAACTTCATATATAGCCCCGAGCAGATTGATTCTGTGGTTGGATTAGCCAAGGCTAATTTCGCCGAGGGCAACGAGCAAGTGCGTCGCGTTGTACGTGCAGTATATGAACGCCGAAAAGCCGATCGGTTGCGCCGTGAAGAAGAAGAGGCTCGCAAGAGTATGGAGGGCTTTGTACCTCTGTAAATAGTATCTCGGAGTTGGTGATGAGCGATTTATTTATCATGTACTTGGTGTCATGTCGGCTTTTATGCCTCTTTTCCTGTCACTACTATCTTAATATCGAAATCTGCATAGAGCTAGAAACTTGAATTACATACATTCCCTACATCTTGGGACTTTCCTTTTGTGAGCTATTCATTCCAGACTAATATTCGTGTATGCAGTGTCTATGATACATCATGATACGCCGCGCTTCATGCTGCCAGGTATAGATATCTGCTCCATATGCAATTGTCAATCTTTTGTCTCGTTGAAAAAAGACTGCACACCATCCGCATCTCTGTTAACCTTGACCTTTCGTCCTTTTCCCTCATCGTCTGTCACGGATCGCCCTTGGCCTTCATCATCGGTCCCAGCCACACTCACGTCTTTACTGGCATCCGTCTGCAACCGCAATCCCAGTTGCCTCTCCAGCTCCTGTACAGACGTCTCCTCTCCATGCACAGATACTATAGTCGGAACCGCAGTCGTAGTATCCGTCCCCGTCGCAGCTGGAGCATGCTCTTGTACTGGAGGCTGATTCTCTTCCAGGGGTGTCCCATCAGGTAAATCCCCATCGTGGCTCCGATGGTGCTGCTTAGAAGACTGTCCCCTCCAATCCGCAGGATGACTTTCACAAATAGGTTCCCCAGGCTTCGGTTCATTAATAGTCCGTCCAGATACAGTGGCATCTGCCGGGACGCTCTGGGTACCAGGATACCGCCATACAACCTTTAATCTCTCCAATGCACGGATCCCTTTCTTCGCACTCCCCTTAATCCCATCCATAGCTTCCCACTCCGTCTCAAAGATTCCTGAGTCGTTCTCGTGTCCGCCTTCAAAGAATGCATTAAACCATACATGTGCAACGGATGTCACCATAGTAAATCCTGTATATGATGCTTTGCTGCGTCGCTCGAAATCGATATTCACATCTGAGCCTGGCACGATGACCGGGTTCTCGGGTCGGAATATCACTGCAGATAATGTACGTGGAGCAGCTGACTTTCTCGTGAGATCAGAGGATGATAGGTCAGATTGTGAGTCCATTGGTGAGGGCACCAACGTCGTAGATAGGTTACTCTGTTGCTGGTCTTCCAAAGGTGATGTTGTTGAATCCCCGGAATCGATAACCGTTCGCTCTCGTCGATGAAATATGTGAATGAGCTTGATCTTCTTTCCTTCATCCTCATATCCCTCTACCGCTACCTTCACTCCATCTTTTAAGCCCCAGATATGTACCTCCAGGATCTCAACCGGTCGCTCCACATACTCTTTCTGTAGCTGATTCGTCCACCGGTCGACGTATCCGACATATCGTAGTTGACTTGGGATACTAACACCAGCACCAAATCCAACACGCATACGCCGTTCGGTGAATCGTTGTAGCGCGTCTTCCTTTTTCCAGCCCTTTTGACTAATCAAGTAAGAGGTGGCGATGGTCCCACTGCGTCCCTTGCCGGCTTTGCAATGTACTACGATGACTCTTTCTCCCTTATCATCTTGATCTGTTTCTTTGGTATCGTCGAGTCGGTGTAGCCAGTTTCTCATGCTACCCATTATATTCGGAATATGAGCGAAGGGAGGTGGATGATGATCTGGCCAGGGAAAATGGTGGATGCGGTTGTAGACCTCTGAATCTGGGTAGCCAGTTCCCTCAGCGCGGAACTCCCAGATACACCAGTTTGAGCCATGTTTGGAGTCGAGGAAATTGACTAGGGCGTCGAGAGGGTTGCGGTAGGCGCGTTGGGGGTAGGTTCCTGAAGGGCCGGAGGTGGCGATAACTAGGACTGGAGTTAAAACTCAAGCTTAAGTTTGACATATTTATTCCTTTCAAACATACTATTATCTGTCACATAGCATAGATCGAGATTCGCTTCTGGATGCTGTAGTCTTGGACCGGCAACGATCTGGCGGAGAATCGAAGCCTGCGGGGAAAACAGTTAGTTTGGTCCGATATGGGATAATTATTTGGATGACTACCATATTGCGAGATCTTTACTCGCCTTGTAGACAAGGTTCTATGGCATGGAATAAATTGATTCCAATAATAAAGAACAGGTATTTTCACTGGAGGATATAACCTGGAGCTGAGTGTTGTTATGATGAGGCGCAGCCGATGATGTCACTGTATGGGGAAAAGGAGATTTTGGTAGCAATTGATGTATTTGACCGTGGTAATGATTGTAGAAAATCTTGTTTTTCATTTTAAATATCATACATGAAGTCTATGACTATGTGCAACATACGATCCTTTCTGTTCTGACACAAAAGTCATCAAGGTCATAGAAAGGAGTGTCTGGAACAAGGGGGAAAGAGAAAACGCCAAAGTCATGATACCCCCAATAACGCCCATTATTAAGTCAAATCCATATCCTATACCCAATAAACCATAAAGGAATCACAGCGAGAAGATCACCAAGGGAGGAATGATCATAATTTAAGCGACACCGTAGAATTGGTCGGGGTTGATGGTGAAGTTGCCCTGGGTACGGGTCACATTGAGAGAGCCGGATTGCCAGTAGGTCTGCTCCTCATCACTTGAAGGGAAGAGGTGCCATTCGTGGGTAACTGCAACATTCCAGAGAGGGTGTTTTTGTTCGGTCACAACAGCTGTGATGTTGCCATCGTCGCAGGCAGTAATATTGGGCACAATACCCTCGCAGTGGGTCTTGAAGCCAGGAGAATTGGCAGATGCGCTGGCAGAGATATTGAATTGCCAGACTGTGCCACCAGGAGAACTGACAATATCCCAGTTGGTCACCTTCCAAGATGAGGGTTGACCCAGGACTGCAGCATTGGCTAAGCCCAAGGCAGATAGGATGACAGGGAGGGAGAATTGCATTGTAGATAGAGTTCAAGGATGATTAGAAAAAATAATATAACAGGAGAGTAATATGTGTGAATAATGTACACTGAGGTTGAAGAGGAATGTAGCGAAAGGGAGAAAGAAAGAAGAGAAGAATGAAAGACTTGATATATAGGTATGTACTGGGGGTTGGGAGAATCTCAAATCCAACCGGGAGAGAAATGACCCTTGGCACCCATGGAAACCCTTCCTCTCCTTCTCCTCTTATTGACCCACAATTGTCGATCATTCACTTTCAGGGGAGTTTCAACCCAATCGATCCATGTATCGAGTCTGGATCTCCCAACCTCTCAGTGGCTGGAATGGTTCAAATGGTTCAACTGGCTGAACTGGCCGGACGGGAGGCGCTGCACGGAGTACGGCCACTAAATCTCACTATTTGACTGGTCATGTCGGTGTCTAACATTGTACGCAAGTTTCAAGCATGTTCATCCACTATTTATAGCCCTGAGTACCAATCAAGGGTCATTGTTAAAGTGGAGTAGTGGAGCATCTCTGGGGGATCTTGGTTCAGAGCCACTCGAGTTGTTCTCTGTGCGGATAAGTGAAACGGCGACAATTCCCAGGGTTCTCTTATGGAAGATCCCCCACCGAGTTCAGCAAAATGGGAAATGATTTCTTCCTGGTTGGTATGACCGTAGAGAGAGATTTTTTTCATTTTTTGTTTCTATGGTACATTGTGGTCCAGTCAAGGCAACCTGATCATCACACCGCATCTATGCAGTAAAAAGTGGACGTCCCTTATGCATGCTTCCACGGTTGATCTCCGTTTGATCGGGTCGGAAACAAAGAAATATGCCTATGATAGCATGGACCTGCATGTCGGTCTGGCCGCGTGTCAAACTGCGGATTTCTGAGACAGTCCGATAAAAGAGACGGGCTCCCGAAGATCCGATCCTTGTTTATTCCACTCTATCCTCCGTATTCCATACTCCACACATCATGCATCATATGATGTTGAGACAGACCCATCTGATCCTGAAATTTGCACTGCCTGCTTCCGGGCAATAGCCGCATAGCGACGTTTATTCTGTCGCCGCAGTTTATTCCACGCAATGCGCTCTGCATCTGGGAGAAGTCGGCGGTAAGTTGCAGGTTTGTACCAGCGACGACCATAGCGGTTGTTAAATTGGATCCTTATACGGCGGGCCACTACGGCTTCTCTTTTTTCTGCAGCACGCTTTTCCTTAATCTTGTCCTGGATCGCAACAAGGCTTGGGTGGGTTTGGAACCGTACTGCAAACTCGTTTACAGACTTGGCGCAGAGGATAAGGATATCCCTCCGAGTCTGTTTGCTGAGGAGGGCGACCCCATTGTTCCGACGAAGGTAATCAAGCCAGTACATGTAAGCAGATCGGTAATTGCGGGCATCCAGGCAAAGTAGAATGAGAGCCTCAAAGGTGTTGGAGTCAGGCTGAATATTCATAGAAGCCATCTCTTTCACCAGGAAAACACTCTCTGGCCGGTGGTCCGCCTTTCGACATATTCGCAACAGGATGTTATAAATTCCAACATTCGCTCCTGCCGGACATAAAGTATACAACTCTTTGTAAAAGTCGAGCGCGTGGATTGCCACTGTCGAGTCAGTCCTGACAACGTGTTCGCATACCTCGAGGATTAATCGCACGGATTGGATGGGAATCGCGCGTTTGTCTGCCTTGAGATTCTTGAGTGTTTTCCATGCCTCCACAATGTCAACATTTTGTTCAACCATACGGTCGACCACCATTTTGGTTGTGATGCTATCGATCATTATCCTTTCCTCGCGCATTGTAGAGAGTAAGCTGAAGACGGCGGGAAAATCGCCAGATTTCAAATGAATCTTCAAGACATTTCGATATTCCTTCGCTCCCAGACTGTATTTTTTGGAATCAAGGAAACGAAAGGCAGCTTGAGCGAGTTGGATGTCACTGGCGTCTGACGCAATGGTCAAAACATGGCTGGTAATTTTAGACGACGGATCCAGGTACCCAAGATCGACCCTCCGTCGCCAAATATAGGACGTGAGATCATAATGCCGGTGTTCGCTCGCCATCTTCAATACATGCTCCCAAAGCTCGGGGGTCATATCATGGCCCTGCTCGACGCGGGCCTGCATCAGGCGATAAACCTCATCGAGTTCCAGAAAATCACAGAGCATGTAGACCGCCATGCTGTGAAGCCAATTTTCAATTTGGGTTCCCTTCCGCTCCATCATGGACATTTGGTCTAATGCCAACTCGAATTGATGCTCTCGTAGCAATCCCGCAACCATAAAATGCCATCCGGGGGGGACTCAGGGTCAACCATCGGTCTCGAAGTTTGTGTAAAACCTCCTGACGTATCGTGTAATCGGGGTGAACAGCAAGGGCCTAGAATTTCACGTATTAGTCTGATATCGATGTGACTTTCCAATTTGAGTGTTTCAGTTCCTCACCTTTAAAGCAGCATGGAGAGTCCCCGAGTCTGCTGTGATATGATGATCCTCCATTTCTTGTAGGAGATTTCGAACAATGTTTGGCGATCCCATCCAAGGATCACAGTTTGTGAGTATTAAAGCTTGATAGTGCCGTGTATGCGGCGGGGTCTTGCGATCCCAAATCAAGCTACGCAGAACTTGCGTCGCACTTCTGATATTAGGCTCGTTGGCCGTGACATTTCGAAGCATACTCTCTAGCATGGCATCGGATTTTTTTCTCATAACTCTCAGGGACTGTTCGATATTTCCTAATATGATGCTTGCGCCGCCTTGATCCATTGAACTCGTACGATTCTTCTGATTCTTCTGCTTCTTCTGCTTCGTCGCGGGATGAGGCGTGGTCAGGACTGGAGGTAGATCCGGGCTCGAATGTGTGGTCGGGGATAGTTTCATCGTGTCGATTATTTGTGTCTGCTTTTTCTCGATCTCGTGATTTGGGGTTGTGGGCATTGATCACCCGCCTGAGGTAGCTGCTATAACATCGTCGATGTAATGTCGGCGCAGTACCGGTCGTGGGAAGCGAGCACCGTTTGGGTATTCGTTGACGCGGTTGACTCAATACTAGCTGCTTGAATGATGGACATAAGGCGATCCATAGGCCGTCCAGCACAAATGCCTGTGGTGACATTTCGAAATGCTCCCGAGACCATGATCAACAGTACCTCGGGAGCTTTCAAGTTCTACTGTAATTGCGGCGAAGCCGATGCGGATATATCACGTGACGACAGTCGCGAATCTTGCAGCGGTTATATTGGATAGCGAATGACTCCATAAGATAAGGAAGATCATATGTAAGGGAGAGATAAAAATAAAAGCATGTAAGGTAAATCACCCTCATTATTGACTGCTCTATTATGAGTAAAACTCTAGGCGAAGCTGAACATCTATATGCCTGTAGAGTATTCAGAATACCGATAGAGTGCCTACGGGTGCGAAAATGGGATTTAATGCATAGTATTTGTGAATCGCCAATAGCCTCAGTTCCCAGTGAAAAATACAGAGCCAGATACGCCATGGCCATGCTCGACCAAACCATCAACCGGTCCACACCGAGCGACCTTACCCACTCCGTCTCTGTAGGGTATCATCTCATTCTTTTTTTGCTGTCCCTTTCAGGTATGCAAAAGGATCGGATTTTCGTCTTTTCATAGTTGTGTAGCATAGTCTTGTTCCTATTCCTTATACTCCACCGGGACCGCCACCACGGCCACGGCCACGACCACGTCCTCCACGACCACCACCGCGGCCGCGATCGCGTCCGCCGTCACGACCATGGCCGCCTCGTCGGTTTTGTGGTTGGTTCTGCTGCTGCTCCTTGACAATTTCGATGATCTCTTCGGGAACTCGGAGGTATTTGATCTATAACAGAGCGTTGGTGGATTAGCACAGGTAATGGTGGGATATTGGGATATGATAGAATTGGAGATAGGAGGTGGACGTATGAACATACGTTATTTCCACGAATGTAGACTTCTGGCAGCTTGAAGAATCGGTCACCCTCAGGGCTGGTTTGTACGACCTCGCGCAGGATCAAGTTCATCCAGTTGTCGCATGTTACGAGGTGGCCATTCAAAGTTTCGCCATTCTTGAGCTCAACCAGCATTGGGTGGCCCTGTGCGGCCGTGAGAAGGCCGAGGGGAAGCTAGCGGCCAAGAGGTCAGTACTTGCTAATAGATATCAGGCTTATTGGGCGACTTACCATTGTAGATTGCGAAGGGTATGTGACGGATGTAGGTTCTCGCTAGACGTCTGCGCAGGGATTTGGTGCAGGTATTAACAAAATAGTTTACTGCGAGAAAATTGAGGGCTGAGAGTGGGTTGATAGCGCCGATGAAAGGCCGTTGCTGTTTGGAGGGGTTGGAGAGAGCATGAGGCGCAACCGAGCTCCGCATCAGCTGCGATCCTCGGAAAAAATGATGTGCCGAGATCTAGCCTTCGTGCTCACTTAGTGTACCATGAGCAACTCAATGAAGAATAACTTTCAAGTTGAAAGGTCGGATTTTACTCATAAAAGATTTTCAAAAACTACTCGGAATAAGAATATTTGAATATTTGAAGTAAATTCAGTTGCTAGCACTTGATTGCGCTGAAACACCACAAAAAACCTGGTATACCAGAGCCAACCCTAAAATACTCCATTGCAATAGATTACATAGTTTGAGAGAACGTCTTTTTAACGTTTGAACTCATTTCGTGATTTTCAAACCTTTGGGCGCTTGGCTAACTCTGTCCGGTTGTCCGATTCGTCTTCTTCTTCATCATCGTCGTCCAGGGTGAACTTGCGCTTCTCACGGCGACCACTGCTACCAGAAGCTGCATTTTTGTCTTCTGCCTCGGGAAGACGACCCTCCAGCGCCTCTAATGTGATCTCATAACCTTCTTCCACATTCCGGACAGTATCATCCAGCTTTTCCACGCGATCAAGAAGCTCCAACTCGGTCAGCAGCTCCCGGTGTTTCTTGAACAAGCGCTGCTTGGTGAGCATTCGCCACCAATAGTAACGTCGGTCATTTTCATCATCTGCCTTGTGCTTCTTAATCAAGAGGCGCGCAAGATTTGTTCCTCCGGCTAGTCTGTGGCTCTTGGGAATCTGACTCAGGAGATACATCTCCAGGATGTGTGCAAACTGAGTAGACTCGATTTTGAAATCATTTCGAATGGTGCGCAGCTTGTCGCTGGGGATCAATGCAGAAGTCGGCACTGTGCGCTGGCGTTGTTTCTTAGAATAAGCCCCATTTGGATCGGGGTTGAGGTTCACATGGTGCTTAAGGAACTCAGGTTGCAAAAGACAGAAATCAGCCGAGTCTCTTAGGGCATCAAATTGCTCATTTGGATCCTCAACTGTTAGCTCAACAATTGTAGGATCGGCGATACAGAATGCATGGATTGTTGTGTAGAGGTGGGTTCCGTGACCAGAGCGGGCATGTGAAGGAAGGATAAGGAATTGTGCAATACGGAGCCGGGCGGGGAGTTCAGAGATCTTGATCTCTGGTTGAGGGAATTCGTCGTTTTTGATGGCGGGATTCTCAGTCCGGTCTCGCTGGTAAAGCCAGTATCGGTAGGTGGTAGCGTAACCAACAATGGAATAGCATGAAGCGGTAGGTGTCGGAGGGGTCACCTTCTCGTAGCTGTGGTTGTTAGCATTCTCATGTTCCACAAGTATATGGATTCAGATGAAGCATACACAAAGAAAACCGTCCATCGCTCCAGAGTCCACTCAGGATCATCTGTTTCTAGCGGGGTTCCGGCCTCGATAAACAAAGACACCAGAACCTGCATTCGGTCGAGGAGAAGTTTCACCGTCGGGTCCGCGAGAGAACCAGCCCAGATTTCGTAGTTTCTACCATCGACCTCATAGTCAATGACCTTTGTGCCTGGTGGCTTAAAATCCTTTGCTGAGGGGTCGTCTTGGATAGCTTTTTCGTATTCGGGCAAATCAATGAGAGCTTCTGCAGTGGGATTTATGGGTTAGCTATACTTTTGCTTCATTTGTTTCGAGGAGATTGATTCGAACCTTGCGGGACAAACGGCTTCAGCGTTCCCAGGAGATCAAGCGCAGCAGTATCGCCAACAGTTTTGAATCGTTCATCATAAGAAATGTGAACATGGGGACGGAGGTCGTGGGCCGCGAATCTCAGGCGAATGATCAACCCCTTATAACCGAAGATCTGCTCCTCATCGCCGAAGATGGAATAAGTGAATTGAGGGTGGAAGGCGGAGAGCGTCTTCGGTTTGGTGTCGCCAGGCTGCACGACGGTGACATGCACCGCATCATTGGCGTCGCAGGACCCTGGAAGATCAATCAATTAGATGGGAAGCGGGTGAGAAATAAAGGCGCGCATAACTTACAGTCGTCTTCCACGGCCATAATGGATAGATGTGTGATGGGAAGATTGCAGGGTAATCAACTTGATCGTTCCAGACTCAATTGGAAATGCGACGGATAGATGAAGGCGCGTCCAACCGCGTCAAGGCTCCCGACTAGTATTACCTAATACGGCCTAGCTTCGAGATTTGTTAAACGGACACCCCGTTACTATAAATGGAACTATACACCTGGACAAAATACATCATACTATACTCCGTACACAGAAAATGGTCCTGAAGCTACTAGTAGACTCTGATTAAGTATTTGGCAATCCTACCATACATATTTCAGGTAATTATCCTAGGAGGGAAGTAGGCAACCGCCCATGGCACTGGCACATACTACTGAAATTTTTAAGTCGGACCTATAGTATGCGGAAATGATTGGAAAAACATTCACAAGTAGAAGCATACATAGTTAATCAGTAGTAGCTTTTCTAGTCTAATCACTGGAATTGCTTACTTACAGAAGCGTGTTTCAAGTAAAAGTATTGTCATGGGAATTTTTGTCCTCTTTTCTACAATGACATGAATCAATATTATTAAAGTTAATTCTCATCGTTGTGCTCTCACGGCACGGGATTGCTTTATTCTTGGTATGAGCTCCACAGCCCGTTGGATTCCCATGCTCGAGCCAATTTCTTGGAGCTTCTGTACCACCCATTCGTGGACTTCATCTGGAGCAGCGGTAGAGCTCCCAGCAATTGTTAATGGAAATAACAACATAAAAACAATATTTAACCGAGGAACACGACTTTCTCGTTTATACGGAATCGCGCTGGCATAGGTACCCAGTTGGGAGGCAGCTCCAGCACAGGCATCCATCGCCATACGCGAAGCTGTATCGAGAGATCGCTGCCGTTGCTCAGCATCGTTTGGCAGAAAACAACCTACGGTTGCTAGTGTAGCCAAAAGGTTCAAGATAAATTCGTTAATCGCCAACCGGCCCCAGAAATAATGGTTGAGATCTCTCGATGCCCATAAATCCTTATAAAGTATGTATTTCCCATGGAAAGTGTGTTGCATGTCATCAGAGTGCTCGACAGTAAATTTCCACTTTTCGGGCAAGCCCTGTTCCCATTCCTCAAGTTCAGTATCCAAGTTTATTGCGACGAGTAGGTTCACTGCAGGATCAAATGCGGGATCATTGCGAGCGGAGTGCAGTCTCATGAAACGCACAAGAATACCGATCAGACTGAGACCTGGGATATCATCAGGGTGCGAAGATCGAATCGTATTGATATTAAAGTTCAAAATGTCTTCTGGTACATCTCCTCCGATCAGGAAGTATCTGACCATGGAGATATAGAAGTATTGCATTTGGGCGCGGGGGTCGCGAGCTTTGATTACACGCCCGAACGTGGTCTGCTTGAGCAAAGCCGCAGCTCCATCTAGATGAATTGTCCACATATCAATTTGGTTGGGATTGCAGCAGACCATCTAAAAATCAGATCAATTAACTAGTTGTTCATGCAAGGGTGGAACATAAAAGGAGTGCAAGGGGCGATATGACACACGTACCTCGTATAAACCTAACATCAATATTAACTTTAATATCAGATCCGGATTGGCTTGGTCTGGATTCTCCACAGCTTGACGGACAAGATTAATACATGACACATATTTCTCTCTTGCTACCAGCAGAAGAGAGCGATCCCGGGTGACATTCGATAATGCGGCTAATCCAATTGAGATGGCCGCATTTTGAAGGGGTAACTCCACTGTGGGAGTTCCAAGCAAATGAGAAGATGACAGAATAAAAGAGAAATCATCAATACCTGAGATCTCCGTCACAAACTGAGTGAAGAAAAAATTCAGGCCCTGATTCTCCACATTGGTGGGAACTGAGGCCGGAACAGAGATAACTAGCGATGGTTGATTGAGTTTCCAGGATAGGACTACAGTCTTCGATTGATCTCTGGTGGACCTCTTTGATGACGAGGTATGGCTTAAAGTTGAGCCTTGTGTGATTCCTTCACGCTCTGCTGATCTAGATTTCGCCAATGCAGACCGTTGGGCCGCTTTATCTGTTTCGTCACGGAACATGAAGGCCGGAATATCACGGTAGCCACCACATGTCTTCCCCGCTCTTTTGCACTGAGAGCATGTCGGCTGAATGCGATCACACTATTCCATGTAAAGCCGTTAGCTCACCTGGGTCCCGCGACGCTATTCACCAACGAGCACTCGCCTTGATACGCCTCTCCCGACAACTCTCACAATTTTTGCTTGGACGTCCATAAAATGGCATTGTTTTTGCTTTAGCTATGAAATTTCCATTTCAACTGCTCGAACCGGCTGGGTTTAAAGAGGTAAAAGAATCGTGATAATTTTGCAGTGACGACAAGTACTTGCCGTTGCGCAGCCACAACTCGAGGCTTAGCAAGCCAACATCCATGGATATAGTGGGTCATGGTAGATATTGATTGGTTATATAAGACCCACTTTCAAATATCCTCAACGCTATTCCTAATCAGGTAATTGTTTCGCCGTTTAGTACATCGACGAAGGTTCCATTGTTCCAACTTCTCTATAATCTCTTTTTTTTTTATGGATGCCTGAAACACTGAAACTTGAATCTTAGAAAATTTCCAAAGATGGAGACTCAATGGGATTATATTTAATTCAGGGGCCTTGGAGAATAAGATGAGGCTACCTATGCTCCGAGGTCCAGATGTCAGATCCGCTGTTGAACCTTGGAAGAGAAAGATCTCAGTGAAGCCAAGATGCTATTACTCTACCGAAACAATCAAGTCGGCGAATTCATTTCCTGATATAGATAGGGCTGAATACTCAAATTATGGTAGGCTTGCGCCTTTTACGCGTCGAACCTGGAAAAAGTCCAAACACTACTATTACTAGTAGATAGCTGGATTGTTATAAATCTGGACTATTCCCCTCATCATGGCTCTAACTGAAATTCCCTCCCTGTATCCTTTTTATCCAAACCGACACCGACAATATACAAGTTGATAGTATGGCACTGAAATCACGCCACGACGCGGGAACCTCCTATTACCGCTATGACCCTTCGTTGGTTGTCGCAATCGTTGCCGCTGTCCTCTACGGTATTGCATTTATTCTCACATTCATACAATGGATAAGATACAAATCATGGGTCTGGGTGGTGATGGTAATAGCATCAGCAAGTAAGTCAAGGCTTGGGGAGACAGCCATGCATACATCTGATTATCGGGCTAATTTATTTCACTCCAGTGGAGGCAATTGGTTACATTGGGAGATGCATTTCCTCACAACATGTGACTGAGAAGCCTATCTACGTTCTCCAGTTTTGTCTTATTATCCTAGCTCCGGTCTTGATGGCCGCATGTTGCTATGTCATATTCAGTCGCATCCTTTTCCTCGTTGTCCCTCAGGAATCTCGCACATTCCGCCTTTGCTGGGTACCACCTCAGTTTATCACTCCTATTTTCGTTGGATTTGATATTGTGGCTCTTCTTCTCCAGCTGAGTGGAGCTGTCATGATCTCTTCCGTCAGTGAAGGCGAGGTAAATGGAGCCGAAAAACTAAGTAAGGGCAAAGAGATCGCCCAGGCTGGCGTCATTATTCAGCTTGCGGCTTTTGGGCTCTTTTCAGTCGCAGCTGTGCGCTTCAACTTTACGTCCAAGGCATTCTCAAAACAACTTGACCAGCGATATGAAAGCGTTGGCGAGAAGGAATACTCTATTGGTGGAATTGTCAAAAGGAAACATTGGCCTGCCCTGCTGCGAGTTGTGAACTTCGCCACTCTTCTTATCTTGGTAAGCTGGCCGGCTATGGATTTAACTAAGACAATACTAATTGATATTGTGAAATTTAGGTTCGCTCCATCTACCGTCTTGTGGAGTTCTCAGAAGGGACATCCGGGTATATCAATACGCACGAATGGACGATGTATGTCTTTGATACACTGGTCATCTACCCTTGTGTTGCCCTGTTCATTTACTGGCACCCTGGGAGATATTTGCCTTATCTCGGATTTCGTCTACCCAAGGACTCCCTTTGAAATGCGAAAGGCCTGAAAATTCGTGTCTTATAATTTATGCGCCAATTCTGCTTTTTCCCTTGTTTGTGAAATGAATAATGTACGGCGTAACGCAAGTTGTTTAGTCAGAAGATGTTAAAACTAATTGAGAGGAAAGGGACACTGAATAGGACTATTATACTTTTTAGCTGCAAATTCTGTTTTTTGTTTCATGGCTAGTGAAAACAACTTCAATCTTTCAATTCTGGAATGAACTACTACTAAAATCCATACTTCTCCCACTTTTGGTTCACTTTCTGCTGAACATCAGTAGGGTAGGAACCACGAAAGAGCCTTCCTTCCAGAAAACATTATCTTCCACAAACTCAGATGGAAACATGCAGCACCGAACCACCTTGGCTTGATGACCATCAGGTTTAATCCCATGACTCACATACGGAATCAATGGAATATTACCATAATCGTGGAATAAGAACTCATTCACTTCAGGCTGGCATCGAGTAGCCTCCGCCCAAATTACATCCCGAAGGTTGGTAGGGTCAATATCTTCTTCAACAAGGAAGATCTTCGGAATGTACCATCCAGGCTTAGAGCCAAATACGTTATGACCCACTTTGTTGCTAAAGTCAGACATATTGGTCTTCATTGCTCTGAGTCCTTGTCGGTTCACTTGAAGTACGAACCATAGACAATGGGATTCGAATGGAGACCAAACCATCTGGATAGGAAGCCCGGCATTCTGACAGATATTCAGAACTTTAGCAGCCTGCATCAGGGCCCACACTGTACGGTTTTCTTCTGCTGCCCTCCCCGCTACGCAAATTGGTAAGATTGGGTCTTCTCTGTGTGTAAAGGTGTTGACCTTGAAGATAGGATTTTGTTTCGATTGTCCCGGATAGATCATGCCATGGTACTCAGCCATTGGACCCTCGGTAGCCGTTTCAGAGGTTGAAACCGTTCCTTCAAAGACAATTTCAGCATTGGCTGGAACCCTAGGATCATTCGATTCACATTTAACCACTCCAACTGGTCGTCCTGTAAGAGCCTCAATAAATCCTGCTTCATTCGTCCATTTTGGTATCGGCATCCCGCCCACCATTATCGCCGCAGGTGGTACACCGAAGCTTGAAGCCCAAGGCATATCCTCGCCCTTGTCTTTCCACATCTGCCAAATAACGCCAATATCTTGTTTGGGAATCACCGCACAAACAAGTAACCGCTTGTCGTGGATCATTCCCCGACTGACGGACCAGTTCACCCACCGGCCGTCCGGTGTTTGAACAATATGCATGCCGAATGTTTCGATGAATTTTCCGCCATCATCTTCATGGAGTAGTGGCGTTGGGAGCATATTCCAATCGATGTCATCTCCAAAGATCTTATGCTCCTTTACCGGTCCAGATGAGACTGCTTTGGGCTCGATGGGCTCATGCGTTTTGGCCGCGTTGATCTTCTGAATGATTTCTTGGCCCGTTGCATGAGAGGGTAGCCCAAATGATTTAGCGATTCGTCGAAGTCTTTGATCTGGCACTCGACTTAGGCCTACTGTTGCTCCGAGTACGCGGAGGAGACCGGTGCCACTGCGGCCTTTAATTTTCTCGAATAGAGGAGTCTTGTCCTCTGTTTCATATACTCCTTGTCCTCTGTGTCATATACTTTGCGGACTATGGCTGCGAGTTCCAGATGGGGATCAACCTCTTCAGTAATCGTGACGAGATCATTTTCGTCCTGCAGCCCTTTGACAAATTGGCGAAAGTTGTCGGCGGCGCTCGGATTCTCATTCGCCATTTGAGCAGCAAATAGATGGAATGTTGGATTGCTTTTTTCGAAACTCAAAATTGAACTTTTGGACTGATTTTCTTGTATGATGATCTGTCAGACGACTCAGATATATCATATAAATATGAACTACCGACGATCAGGGGACGTGCTTGATCTATATAGCCGCCCATCTTGCTGTTCTCCAATTTGGGGCTGCCCCGCTAACCCCGCGTGCTTCGAAGGCTGTTACATTGTGCAACAATTTTCATAGACGCACATTACACAAATGCAATATTGAATTTCACTAATTCTCATCTCAATCAAACATTGCCGAGGCATTCGTGCATATTCTTCTCGGATCAAATACCCGATTTCTCCAAATTGGAGCCGAAGTACACCTTGGGCATTCGATATAATTTACTTCACGCTTCAAGTTCAATACCTCAAATGAACACTTAAAGCCCGAAACATCAAAAATGAATCACCGGCAGCATCACACTTCTCTCCCGACTCGGCTCGAATGGATATATTCAATACTCAGGCGGGTCGGACCACACCTATTGAAGTGACCCCAGCACCACGACGACGCAGAATCATCGTTGCCCTGACAGGTGCAACTGGATCCATTTTAGGAATCCGAACATCAATAGCTCTTCGCCGCTTCAACATCGAACCCCATCTCATAATCAGCCGGTGGGCCGAAGCGACGGTCAAGTACGAGACAGACTATACAATCCCGAACATTCGTGCGTTGGCAGACCATGCCTATAGTATCCACGATATGTCTGCACCCATAGCGAGTGGGTCATTCCGAGTGGATGGAACGATAGTTGTACCGTGTAGTATGAAAACACTAGCAGCTATCAATGCGGGGATCTGTGATGATCTGATTTCTCGTGCGGCGGACGTTGTCCTGAAAGAGCGAAGGAAGCTGGTATTGGCTGTGCGCGAGACGCCGCTTAGTTCGATTCATTTGCAGAATATGCTTTCTGTCACGCAAGCCGGAGCGATCATATTTCCTCCTGTTCCGGCTTTCTATATCAAGCCGTCTTGTATCGATGATTTGGTGGATCATAGCATCGGCCGAATTTTGGACCTTTTTGATTTGAATACGGGTGACTTCGAACGATAGGAGGGATGGAAGAAAGATGGCAATAATTAGATTACTAATTTCTTCAAATGTTGCTTATATTCAAATGTTTCTGTCCAATTTTACTTTTTATTCCTAGAAGGCTTACATGTACAGACCAAACGTCATTTAGTGTCCGATAAATGTTCGCTTACAATGTTCAAATGTTACAAAGATGAATCCAAATATAAGTGACTCTATATTGGACTCAAATGCCCAATCAGAACCTTCTTTATCGTTGACATTCAATGCACAATAATGTACGTCTAGTCTTGGAGAACTGGAAGTGCTAGTATATGGGGGAAATGAGGAGATAAGATTTGGGAAGGAAACCTTGGAAGTTGGCAGAATAGTTAAATCTCGATGAATAAACGTCTAACCTGGAATGATAGGTATGGTCAATAGTGCATATTTCCATAACTTCTTGGTCAATTTAAGGAGATTGAAGGACTGAGGCCAAGCTGTTCATTCGGGTGGAGCATCGTTCCTTGTTTTATGTTGGACAACAGATTGAAGAACCAACTGCCCAACTATGAGATAGACATGGCTTGTCTCCAAGGTTACCATCATTGTATTTAGATTAATACTTGACTGAATGGCCTTCCGAGAAAATGAGTCATAAAAAGGTTCCAAGGTTATATGTAGGTTGATAGAGACCCGGAGATGGTTTGATCCGAGACCGGTACCTGACGAAGATGCGTGGGTCCGCAGTATCGAGTTACGTGCCCTTTGCCATCATCTCCGATCCTTCATTCTCCCCCTCTGATCTACCAGGATCGGAGCGCTTCTATAACAACTTAATTATTGAACATCATGATCGACTTGATCTAGATACTGAGCCTATAGTGCTAAGCTCCTGCGACAAGAACCCATTATCATGGAGGGACTCTTTACTTTGCTCGCCCTGAGCATTGTGATGGCCGTAACGTGAGTCTTGACCACAATCACCCACAGAATTTCTCTCAGAACGGGTTACTGATTCAAAATGCTCGCTACCAGATCCTTCGTTGTCGGCTCATTACCACTCGCTTTTACCCTCTCCCCGTCCCAGCTCCGATTAATCTCCTCCATTGGTATGGGAGTCCTGGTGGGGACTTCATTGATTGTTATTATACCCGAGGGTGTAGAGACCCTTTATAGCGCTAGCTATTCCGGCCAGAAAGGCCTCAGTACACGATCGACTGGTATCGATTGGCAGTCGCAAGGGCTACCCTTCGCGGCGAGATCTATACTGAACACCGACGAAGATGCCTCCGGACAAACGGACACCCCCGTCGCATTCCTATCACTAGATAACGAACCCTCCGCCTCTCTTTCAGTCCGGGACCAGCCTTCACTCAGGGGTTCTAGATTACGTGTACGCAAGGAGGAGTCGAGTGAATCTTCAAAGAAAGAGGAGGAGGAAAGCTCCCCGCATGCATGGATTGGAATTGCTCTAGTCAGTGGATTCATTTTGATGTACTTGGTTGATAAATTGCCGGAATTCGCATCGCCGACCAAGGACGAACGCATTCCCTACCATATCTCGCTTGATAATCTTGGCTCCGGGTTGAGACGCAACTCCTCGCTCAACCGCGACGGACTTTTGAATGCCGGACATTCAAGTTCGCGCCGCGGGCACAGCTTTGCTACGACTACAGGTCTAGTGATTCATGCTGCAGCCGATGGTATCGCATTGGGTGCTTCAAGCTCTGACACTGGTCTCAGCTTTATCATCTTTTTGGCTATTATGGTGCATAAAGCCCCCGCATCGTTTGGATTGACCTCAATCCTGCTCAAGCAGGGACTCTCGAGTCGGACTGCGAGGGCCCATTTGTTGATTTTCAGCTTGGCAGCCCCTGTTGGTGCTGTTGCTACTTTCCTTTTTGCACATATGATGGGATCATCCAGCGGCGACGAGACTGGTTCTCAGTGGCGTACTGGAATGCTCCTCCTCTTCTCTGGTGGTACCTTCTTGTGAGTTTGACCCTCTTCCATAGACGATTGACGTTGATTCGTATGCTAATTATGATTGACTGTAGGTATGTGGCAATGCACACAATGCAAGAGAATGGACCTGGCGCCACTAAGGTTGAATCTCCTCCCAACGGTTACAGTGATGCCCGCGATTCATCGAATGGCTCAGACAAGTCGATGAGAGACTTGATCGCGTCCGTCGTGGGTATGATTCTGCCACTGTTCTTGCAAATCGGACATGCTCATTAGACTTGTGCTACTTTCACTTTCTTTTTGTTTCCTTTTCTTTTTCCAGCGCTGTATACCATGTCCGGGATTCGACAGCGGAATTTTATACCACTGCACCCGTGGACGTCGTGTTTCTATCATCTCATCCTTTCTTTTCTGTTTCTTTTTCCCGCCCTTTTGCCATGGGATGGATATCGGAAGTATATACCCCCCTCGGCATCTGTTTGTAAGAGATTGTCTTGGATTGGACTGGAGGATACCAAATGAGTGCGAATAGAATATCATATGTATTTTTTTTGTTATCAAGTTAGGGCGGGTCATTATTGCATGTTCTCTCACGATCATGATCACATCGACGTAGCGTGACGTTGCTTGCGGATCCTATATAAGGGGGTCATCCTCCAGGTTCATCTCACGAGGATGCTCATCTTTTAATCATATAGGGTGATGACATGTTTCGTCAATCTCGTCACGCTGAATCATTTTCTTGCCCAACTGGTTCCATGGTCGACCGGGTTCGTGCCGAACGGACCCAAAGACTCGGGAAGACCATATAGATCGGAGAGATCTTGGTCGGAAGAACCTCGGGGCTCCTGGTTATAGGAATTCCGTCATTCTGCCATTCTATCATTCTTGATGGAATGTTGATTCAGATTGATCATTCATAATACTCGAACTCCGATCAAGAGTAAATCCTGGAATGAGAGGATAAGGCAGACTTGTCTCAGCCTTAAGTGGAGCATGTCCATCGATGCGTACGGAAGTGTTTCATTCGTTGAGTGGAGAAAACGGATCACGGAGAACACGGGGAAGGAAAGAGCTTGGCGGCTTTGTCAGAGTCGAGACGGTCACATCTCCCTGGAATGTCCCTTTTCTTCTTTTTTAATGAACTTGATCTTCGTTTGGGGACTGTGAACAACAGAGGGACAGAAAATTTTATTGTGAGAGAGTGAGAGTGAGAAAGTGAAAAGAGAAAAACAGGCTATATTATTTCTTGCCCCCTCAAGCCACAAACCCCCTCTTACGTTTTCCTCTCTCCCTTTCCCTCGGTCATCTCGATCTTCACATCTGATCTTCCAACCCCCCCATACCACACTCCCGGAATTCCTATGCCTACCAACGGCTTTGCAAAAATTCTGTGAATTCCAGGGTGAGGAAGTACGCGCCATGGAGTCCCAAGCCTTTGATTTAGGGGAATCACCAAGTTCCACCATGCTTGATCAGCTAGACTCACATTCCCCATCTCCGTCAAATCGCAACTCTGTCTCAAGCTTCACCAGTACCCCTGGACGATCGCTTAGTACCAATAAGAAGAATACGACTCCGATACCCGCAAACCTCCTCCCATCAGCACCCGCTTCTCCACCAACGCCCGCGCCGAGTCCCACCCCCCACCAGCGTCCGCCGGACTGGCATTCATCTGATGAGGATGAGAATGCTTTTCTATTGAACCTTCGTCTTCATTTCACTACTTTATCGAATGCCCGGAAGCAGAAATTTTTGGAGGGGATATTGGACGTATGCGACAGTCCACAGTTGAGTTTTGTCTCGAGCTATGTTGGGCCTCGTTTGCGCAAAGACCCATTTCTGGTTTTCCCAAATGAAATTTGTTTGAGAGTATGTGTTCTTTGCTTTCCTTTTCTCTTGATTTCGATGGTTCTTGCTTGGCCCCCGGGTCCGGTGTGAGTGGGGGTGAAAGATAACTGAAGCCGACAAAACTGACTTAAAATTCCCACTGCAGGTACTCTCTTTTATCGACGATCCTAAGACACTCGCGCGGGCATCGCAAGTGTCAATGCGATGGCGCGAATTACTTAATGATGATATAACATGGAAGAACCTTTGTGAGAAACACGCATACTCGGTGCGACGGATCATGGAGGATGATAGTAGCATGGAACCAGTCACTCCACGATCCGTGGACTCGAGACCAGAAACGCTTATCCCGACCGAGTTACCTCGATCGGCATCTAATGAACCCGTTGGCGAAAGACCGCCTGGACTTCCCCGCACTTTGTCGGGAGAGTGGCTTCCACCGACAAGCTTCCCCTCTCGAAGACACCGAACTCGACCTGTCTCCTACCGATCGCAGTTCAAGCAAAAGTATATGGTCGAGTCCGCTTGGAACAAAGGTGGTCGGTGCACCCAGCGTCATATCACCCCTGACCAGGGTGTTGTCACAAGCCTGCATTTGACATCCAAATATATCGTCGTCGCTTTGGATAATGCAAAGATCCATGTATACAACACCAACGGCGACAACCAGAAAACTCTCTTGGGCCACGTGATGGGGGTTTGGGCCATGGTACCGTGGGATGACATTTTGGTTAGTGGAGGGTGCGACCGAGAGGTGCGAGTATGGAACATGGCAACTGGGTGAGTTGTGTCCCGTTCCCAAGTTGGCTCTCGAAAAAAAACTAACATATTACAGTGCGGCGATCCACTTGCTTCGAGGTCACACATCAACCGTCAGGTGTTTGAAAATGTCCGATCGCAACACCGCCATTTCAGGTTCCAGAGACACTACCCTCCGTATTTGGGATCTGGCTACGGGGACATGCCGTAATGTGTTGGTTGGGCACCAAGCTAGTGTCCGATGTCTTGCAATCCATGGCGATACCGTTGTCTCGGGTAGCTACGACACCATGGCTCGGATATGGAGTATTTCTCAAGGTCGCTGCCTTCGTACTCTATCAGGCCATTTTAGTCAAATTTATGCGATAGCTTTCGATGGCCGTCGGATTGCAACGGGAAGTTTGGATACGAGTGTTCGCATCTGGGACCCACAATCTGGACAGTGTCATGCGATCTTGCAGGGTCATACCTCTTTGGTAGGCCAGCTCCAAATGCGCGGTGATACCCTAGTCACAGGTGGCTCGGATGGCTCCGTTCGTGTTTGGTCATTAACAAAGATGGCGCCCATTCACCGTCTTGCTGCTCACGATAACAGCGTCACCAGTCTTCAGTTCAATAATACTCGCATTGTGAGTGGTGGTAGTGATGGACGTGTCAAGGTCTGGAGTCTGCAGACAGGTCAGCTACTGCGAGAATTATCAACACCAGCTGAGGCCGTGTGGCGAGTTGCATTTGAAGATGAAAAGGCTGTGATCATGGCTAGTCGCTCTGGTCGAACAGTAATGGAGGTATGTCGAACCTAACCCCTGGATTCCGTTTGTCATTGCTAACTCTTACAGGTTTGGTCGTTTGCACCACCCCCTGAAGCATATGATGACAGTTTTGCCATCGAAAGTGCCTCTAGTACACCTGGCCTTGTCTCCAGAGAAGACAAGGATCTGACCGTAAATTATCGACGCCGAACCCTCTTCTCAGACCCTCCACCTGCTATCTTAAGTGATGCCGATCAGGCTATGCCCGATGCGCCATCATAAGCACATGAATTGTTTTTTGTTTGCATTTATCCTACCATCTAACGATCCTCAATATATCCCTCACTTATTCGCCTTTCCTTTTTTGATTGTGATTTGTTACCTGCCTTCTAGCATGGGATTTGGCCTCCGTCGAGCATTTTGTTTCATTTGTCTTTGTCCATTTTCAGAATGAGCCGCTGGTCTCTAGAGCACGAGTGGTAGCATATTCGGTGTTGCCTTTGTTTTCAATCATTTCTATCCTTGGTTTTTTATATCTTGGAAATTCCATTCAAGTCACTATTTTGATCTGTCATTTTGCGGAGTTTTTTTTGAATTTGGGCGCCTCTGGAGCTGGGGACGTGGATTTTGATTTTGAATATCATCCAGCTCAAGGCTTGGGCTGAATTCATTTCGGAGTATTTTGTTGGGCTCGGTTGATACCTTGGGAATGTCTTCTCATTCTTTTGCAATTCACCTTCCAGATTTATCTGCATATGCATCTTGCCATTAGTGCCAATTCAACGCTTTCGAGTCTTCTCGGCAGCATGCATTCGGAAATTGTTACCTTTGAATTAAATAGTCTTCACTTTCAAGTTACTGGAGCCTGATAAGCACGAGTGCTAGGTGGCTTGAGAACTACTTACATGATTCCAGTGTCCACCTGGGCATGTATTCAGTGATCAACTGCTGCACATCTTCAACTTGCATAGGACTACCGTACTAATATTGAGTGGCAGTGAACCATTGACAACGATTCCTTGAAATAAGAAAGACTTAACAGCACTGTGAAAGATCTCTATTATCAGAAGAAATATTATATCTAATCCAGAGATACATAATAATAGGAACACAAAATTTCCACTTCATTGTTCAAACATTGAATAATAGTACCCCTAGTATCACCGCGTGGATCCGTGCCAATTTCGTAGGACTATATCAAATCATACTCCCAGTTCTCCAGCAACTTGAATGACCAAAAATTACTCAAAGAACATTTGAAATAAGTCATTCAAGATATTCTAATTCTGGCATCGATGACAAGTACAATCCTTGAAAGGGACATTCATAGTATCCCACAAAATCTTCATTTCAAACAAAGGATCAAGAAACCCACTCGGTGCAAAAGTCATTTCAAACTGCTCATCAAGAATCCTCGCCTGTTCATCAAACCTATCAGCCTCAAAATCAATCATGAAAGTTTGGATTCTGAGTCTTCCAATCTGCGCCCCAATCAACGACAACGCTTTATCAACTGTGCCGCTAGTACCTGCTCTAAGTTTCTCTTGAACCCGGTTAATCTCTTCGAAGATAATATTGATTCGGAAGGGACCACAGCATTCAAGTCTCATTACCCATCCTGTTGCTCCGACTTCATCATGGGATAGTAATATGGATAGGAGATTGATTTTGTCCTGTTCTAGTAGTTCTGCGATTTCATAGCCGGTTTGTGAACCGGTATATGAATTTTTGCGAACGTCTAGCGCATGTTGACAAAATTGATAGGCTAGCTCTCGTCGTTTCTCGACAAAGAGAGCTTCGATGGGGTCCATATAATTTGAGTCAGGATCTATTATGATAGACTCTGGGTTGAAGTCCTCGGGAAGTTCCATTCTTGAGTCGGGGGGGACTTGTATCCATATTTTCCGTAAAAGAATGTAGTCAAATTCAAGCTATAAGATTTCTACTAGTATTCCAGTTGCCAGTAACTTGAGTCTGAGTCAATAGATTGTTCAAATTTGATGTTGCTGACCTTGAGACTCGCTGATGGTTATTGCATTGCCCTACTACTAGTAGCACTTGAGTAGTAAAGGGGATGTGAATGGTTATATGGATTTGTGGATACATGTAAATTGATGTTATGTATACTAGTACATGAAAGATCAAACGATCCTTTCAGTTGTCTTTGATGAAGGCCAGATTCTATTGAACATTTGAAGTGAGGCTCTTTCAGGACTTTCATTCATATGACATAAAGTAGCAATTAATGTCTCTTCTAAGCATACTATGACTCCGATATAGCACTTGAGGCAGGCCGATTGTTGCCGGGGATGACCAATCTTGATTTAGCACTGAGAACAAAGAGAAAAACTTCTGCGTGAAATTGTGCCTTGGTAATGGAAACTCTTAGGGTCAAACCTTGGAATTTCATTTATTACCTAGTCATTTCAGGCAAAGGTATAAAGACTCAGTAAATCCCAACTTAGAACCTATGTGTACATGTGAAGGTGTCCAAAGGATAGTATAAGATGCCGGTGGTACTAATAAAGGGAAGCTTTGGGATTTCACGGCTGGGTTTTGTCCTTTGTCTCTTTCTGGATCTTTCTTTGAAAATACTACCTAGTACATCTACATGAATATTGTTTAATAGAAAAAAAAGAAAAAAAGAAATTACTCTGGATGCTCTCAGTTCTGAGTGCTCACAAGTATCTAGACTTGGAACGAGAACAGTGCCATCAGGGCAACTGTACACTGGTCACTAAATTCCAAAAAAAAAAAAGAATTTGTTTTAATCATTCAAATTTTGAGTGTTCAACTTCAAAGGTTGAATCTTGAAATGGAATATTTGACCGAGAAACTCTGAAAAGGATCTAGTTCTTTAACTGTATAGATTCTTTCACCACTAGGACTGACGCCACAACCAGCGTAGCATAGTTTGCAAACTTTGGAGTGTACCACCTAATCAGCCACATATTATGCAAGCCACTCTGTAGCAACAATTTTCGGACTCAAATCTAGCCTTCAAATGTTGGAACATGCATATGTGCATATGTGAGGACTCGGGGATTTAAGTAGGTTGCATAGATCGACGGATCTTATCAAATCGAAAGATTAGTCGGAAATTTGATCTTCAAGTTGTGGATCTATAAAGATTCAAGAATATGAGATAAAATAAAGCATTACTCAAAGTACTATTGTTAATAAAATTTCAATGATATTCTATACTCGACTGATGGTTCTGAAAACGAGTGATCCTTTGGTCAAACTTGAAGTGAACATTTGAGACCTTTTTGCTCATGGAGAGGTCCGGAATCATTCTACTTGAGCGCTACGACTAATATTCTACTGCTTTTAAACTTTTAAACTATCATTTACTCTTAATCATCAAAACTAGTATGTTTCTTCTGAGCATAGCCCTGAGGTTTATGCATTGTATTTGGTTCAGGTCTGGGGCAGTGGCTGACTAAGGCAATCTTCTGACGCGCCCACAATCCGAGTTGAGACATTTCCAAGCTTATTTCACATCAAAATCAGATCTCATTGTCTGTACCTTGCTAAATAGCACGGCTCTTTCTAGAGGCTTTCACACATATTCATGGCCGAGACTACTTCTGCGGTCCGATCAGCCGTGTCCATCGAGCTAACACGCCGTTGACGGCATCCCGTTTGGGGAACCCACTTGGGTACAGATTCCAACCGCCACAAGCCGCCACAAGCTTTTCTTCATAACTATTGGAGCTCATATTACGGTGTTTACGGTATTTGAACAGCTGAACGATGGTGTATGGGGGCAAGCCCAGCACTGGATGTCACCTGTGCCGCAAGCGGAAGATTAAGGTACGTCTCAATGTTGCATCAGCCGCATCAGCCGCATCAGCCACATCAATATCGACTATGATTGTTTACTATGATCAAGTAGTCCAAGAAGTTTAGTCAATTGCTAAAACCATACCTAACAGTGCGATGAAGCGCGCCCTGGGTGCCGTAATTGTACCATTTATGGACGACCTTGTCCAGGTTATCGACCTACATCTGATAGCGTCTTCCGCAATGAGACCACGAAGGTTGAGCGCCAAGTGAAGAAGAGCATAGTACCTGATCCCACTTCTGCTAGTTTGACTGTGTCACAAAAATCCGAGTCACCCGGAACTCTGGACCACTATAATGGAAACTCAAGCATGAGCAATAATTCCCTGTCATTGATTAATATAGCAGATGCGTCTTGGGAAGAGCGTGCAATCTGTTATTTCTTCGACCAATTTATAAGCCCTCCCGACAAAGAAAGTGGGATGGGCCACTTGGACTATCTGCCGGGGCTATATTCCCGAATACGCCAGCACAAATCTGCCTCTTCAAGTCTGCCATGGGCTCTCGAAGCCACGGCACTCATGACTCTGGCCAATGTCTCGCAAGCCCCTCAACTAATAATTCAGGCACGTCGAGGATATGGGAGAGCTCTAAGTACCTTGCGTCGTGCTTTGGCTTCTCCAACTGAGGCCCTCAAGGATGAAACATTCGCATCAGTGGTGCTGTTGTCCCTCTTCGAGGATGTCACTGGTGAAAGAAACGGTTTATTTAGCTCTCACACAGCTGGATTTGAGTTTCTCATGAAGCTGCGAGGTGAAAGCCAGCTTAATAATTCGCAAGGTCGGAATATGTTTAGCTTTGCATACGCACATACGGTTTGGCACCCTTCTATTCCCTTTTTTTAGAGTGTCTCTCTGATAAAAAGATTTTTTAGTATGTTGAAATCCTTGCTTTGGGGGATAAACCTCGGGTTGACATGGATTTTATCATCGATCAATTTAATGGCACTGTTGATCCTGTCGAGCGGCTCATGCTTGCCACATCTAAAATCAGGAAGGTCTTCTTGGCTATGCAAACGTCATCTAGTCCACCTGATATAACAACCGTCCAAGAGTGGATTGCTGCTGGCGAAGAGTGCGAACGCGAAGTGTCCCAATGGTCTCTTCATCTTCCAGATCACTGGCTCCCCCTGATAGTCTACTCCAACCAAGGCGAACCCTTGATCACTTATAACTCTATCGCCTACTGCGTGGTCTGGAATTATCATCGTGCCGCTCGTGTGATGATACAACAACTCTTACTCAATCTTAACCATACTCTCTCCGCCATCCTCTCAAAAACAAAAGAACCCAATGGCCCCCTCATTGAGAAAGCTGCACTCGATGAGACCAAATTGCGAGCAGTTATTCAAGAAATGACCGCCGACGTTTCTCGCAGCCTCCAATTCGCAATGGCTGATGTGGATACTCTCGGTCGACCAACTGTATCCAGTGAGGCACGAAATCCAAGTCGAGCCGGTCATGTTTATGGTCTGCTTTGGCCACTCTGGTACATTGTTTCATGCGGTATGCCCACGCCTGACCAAGTGAAATTGATCTGTACTGTGTTACACCGCATTGGACATACACATGGCATTGTCTTGGCCTCGATTTTGGCACGAGAAGCTGAGAAATTACCTGTTAATGTCACCTCGAACTCCATCCAAGCTCCTCCGCCTTATTTTGGGGAGGTAGAACTTGCAGCTTTACTCAGATCTCATACATGATGCATATAATTATTTCCACCAATATTAAACATTTATTATTCTTCTACCACAGGCCATCTTTAATTCAAGTTAGAGCTCTGGATAGAAACTTGAATGGGAGAGTACTGTAACCTTGGAAGTCTCCAGGGCATAACTCGATATCCAGGTTTATCACCATTTATACTCCATACATAAAGCGGCTTGTCCGGATATCATGACGTCATGATAGAGTTCGCCCTGATTGTCGCGTGGTTCACTTTATCCCTACAAATCACTTGGATTAGATTGAATTTAGTAAGAACTTTTATATTTCGTATATCATACAAATGTACATTGCCACAGGTACTATTTCTTCTTTTAAAAAATCACATAATCCTAAAACAGGAGATATACTCCGTAGATGATCAGCGATCAAGGTGGTACTTGTACTGATAAGACCCATCTTGCCGGTCTAGCCGTTCCCGTCGTACCCCATTCATAACTGGGGGATAAGCTGTGCATTGGACGCACTGACGACATCTCCATGATCTGACCTTGTTATTTCTCACCTCTGATTTCTGTCTTTCTACTCTCCTCTCTTCAGATTGTTTACAGTCATGGCCCAGCAAGAACGCAAGCTTCCCTTTGGGAAGATCGAGCCTAACTCCGCCAAGTACTTCTATAGTTGTGCCTTTGGTGGAATTATCGGTATGAGAACTTGAATACTTTCTCCCAGGGTTCCTTCCCCCTCTTTTTAATCTCGAGAGAGTACTGACACACTCTCTTTCTCTGTCTAGCTTGTGGTATGTAAATCAACTGCCATACTATCCATTGTACTCAATTGACCCTCTAATCTATCAAGGACCCACGCATACCGCGGTAACCCCATTGGACCTTGTCAAATGCCGTCGCCAGGTCGATCCCAAGATCTATACATCAAATTTGCAGGCATGGCGCTCCATCTTTGCCAAGGAGGGTCTGCGCGGCGTATTCTTCGGCTGGTCGCCCACTTTCCTGGGTTACTCGTTCCAGGGCGCGGGGAAGTACGGGTTGTATGAATACTTCAAGAACCTCTATGGGAACCAGCTATTCCCAGACACCAATCGTACTCTGGTCTTCCTGGGTGCGAGTGCATCCGCCGAGTTCTTCGCTGATATGGCACTCTGTCCCATGGAGGCTATCAAGGTCCGCATGCAGACTACTCTACCCCCATATGCTAGCAACCTGCGTGAAGGATGGAGTCGCATTGTCGCAAAGGAAGGATTTGGAGGCCTCTACAAGGGATTGTATCCGCTGTGGGCGCGTCAGATTCCATACACCATGACCAAGTTTGCGACCTTTGAGGAGACTGTTAAGATGATCTACCAGACCATGGGCAAGCCTAAGGAGAGCTACAGCCAGTTGACTCAGACTGGTGTTAGTTTCCTTGGTGGTTACATTGCAGGTATCTTCTGTGCTGTTGTTAGCCACCCGGCTGATGTCATGGTCAGTAAATTGAATGCGGATCGGAAAGGTAAGCTTGTGTTCTGGGTTGATTCACGTGGATGAGGAAGCTAATGGTCACTGTAGCTGGTGAGGGAGCCATGACTGCCGTATCTCGAATTTATGGCAACATTGGATTCGCGGGTCTGTGGAATGGACTGCCCGTTCGTATTGTGATGCTGGGCACATTGACTGGATTCCAGTGGTTGATGTAGGTGTTTTTCTTTTCTTTTGGATATGAACGTGGCTAACCATTGAAATAGTTATGATTCCTTCAAGGTGTTCCTTGGCTTGCCGACCACTGGTGGTCACTAGACGGGACATAAAGGAGTATCTAGGCAATTAGTGATTAGTAGTGAATTGAACGTTTTATCATCAGTACATTTAAGGACTAGAAATTTGATGGGGTGAAATGAAGTGGCAGAACTACCCGTGGGCGGTACGTAGTATTGACCAATAGGAAGCCAATATAGACCTTGAAGTCTACAGAACTTCACCAAGCTAATCAATTTACGACCACCGCCTTTTATATCATGGCAGAATATCGACAAAGCGTGTAACTCCTGCGGCCGCTCCTTGTATTCCGTAACCTTCACTGGATCATATCATTCACTCCATCCTGCCGTGGAGATTTATAAATACCACCGTCCTCTTGACCACTATACATTGTTTTTTCTCTTTCTGCCACCTCCTCAGCTTCGCAACTCATCACCATCATCCCACTGGCATCCCCAGCTAGCTCCAACTCCGACAAGGCCTTGCACTATCCCAATTACTACATCAAACTACCAGATCAAACAGTCGCAACTTTGCTTTCAAGTCTTCAAGATGGAATCTCGTCCTGCACAATCTGTTCTTACCCCGAATGCCCCCAGCGTGGAACGCGCCTATAAGATCAAATGCGTCGAGCTCACAAGGCGTCTCCATGAGGTGCAGGAGCAAAACATCATCATGCGCCGACGTAATGAGAACTCAAAAAGAAGTGTTGAGAAGGCCCGCTACTTAGCATCCATCCTTCTCCATCGTCTTGGCCATGTCACTGCCATGCTTGAGGAAGCCGAGTCCAGCGCCGGAGACCCAGAATCACAAGCCCGTGTAGCCGCATTGCTATCCAATCCTACTTCATTGGGTGGCATTCCAGGAGCACCACAAACAGCAAATGGTGGATACATTGAGGATGAAACTGAGGGTAGCTCTGATGAGCAGCCACCAACTGTAAGCGAAAACACCCCCATAACCCGATTTATCTCTGTTTGGACGTATGCATTGCATTTGACCCAACTTTAGATCGAATCCCCTACCCAAGCCCTACTATGCTTATTTTGTTTCTCTTCTCTCAGCACTAATATATCGCTCGTTAGCCCGAGGAACGTCCTCTCCGAGTTAAGCGCTCCCGCAAATCCAACTTGCCCACTGGCACTGATGGCGCCGATGACGAAAAAGCTCAGGATGAAGCCGGTGAGGCGGCGGACGAAGGTAGCGGTGCCCTGCCCCGTCTGGCTCCTGCCCCGAGCCAGCAAGATTTGACCTCTTCTTTCCGTGTCCAGGCCGGTAGTAATGGTTCCGCTCACGAGGGCGAACAAACGCCACACAGCCACGATCACCGTGAAGGACATTCCGATGCTCACGGTGCCCAGGATTCGGGGACTACGCCCATGGATATGGATCCGGTCGAACCTAAGACTGAGGAATAATCATTCTGATATTTTGTTTCCTTTCTTTTCTCCCTACTTTCCCCCTCTCCATTCACAATGGTTTGTTTCGTTTTCGTTTAAAATCTGGGTCGGATGGAGTTTGCAATGCGTTTGATATGGATGGAAGGGGTTTGTTTTTTTTAACTATTTTTTTACTCTTTTTAACCTTTTTGTTGATACTATGTATCTTCGCCCTCGGTGCTTCCCGATTTCCTATTCAGCGCTTTATTCTGGCATCTCGCCCTCATTTTATGATTCACTTGTTACTACTAGATTATTCTCTTCTGTCTCTTGCTTTCTTGCCTTCAAGTTGTTTGTTGTGTAGTTTTGTCTACCGGTACTGCCAAAGGCGTGAGGATGCGATTTGCACATGTGTAGGTATGAATGGCATTGTCAATTGATATTCCGAGTACAACTGACTGAGACGTAAATCATTCAAGTAGTGTATGGTGTTCGCAAAAGAACTTGAAGCAAAGTTATGTAGCTACTAGCATTTGTAAATTAAGACCACTATCATACTAGAACCTTTGAAGCACTTCAAGTTGAGGAGTGATATTGACCGATATGGATTGAGGTATAAACATTGAAGAATGACTCGGGTTGTACATCATGATAAAGCAGCAAAGGCTTACGCCGTACCCCATTCGCTTCCAGATTCCAAACGCAATATTGAAGCTAAGTCAACGCCGGTCCCTTTAAAGAAGCAAAAAAACATGGATTAGGTAGCACATGCACCGTGATACTATTTTCACTGTACAGTGAAGACATTCAAGCGAGTGGTTGGCGTAAAGGGTTAAGATGAGATATTGCGAAATCATATAGTACCCTGAATTGAATCGCATACAGCAGAGAGAAGAATGTGATATTTTTGGTCTGAAGGCTCGATTCCGTTTCTTTCATGCAGATTGTAAATCTCATGTGGTATAAAATGCTGCGTGTATGTCTTGATTTCTCAAGATGTCCCCTTCTGCTAGTGTGAACTGATATCTGTCGTTGCCCGCAAAGTAAAGACTCAGTCAACGCCTGCGTACAGATCAACGAGAATGTTGATACCTGCGACAAGGATCTCTGCGGCAATGAGGACGATGACTGCGGTTTTCTTAGTATGGTACTCAATTCAAATCAGGCGATACAAGAGACTTACCAATCCATTCAAGATATTCGCCATGACGGTGTGTCAATTGATCTTTCAGCACGGCAAGCAAGTCCGCAATGACATCCAGTCGCTCAGTAAGTAGACTAACTCTCTGGTCCATTTCCAAGTAGCTCCGAACAGCCTGGTAAACAGGCTCCAGTTGAGGCTCCGCCCAGAAAAGCTCAGGACTATCTAGGACAGATCCTTGCAGATGGATATTGATTCGCAAGATGAATAGCTCTCCAATCTGCATGTTGATCTGTTTACGTGTCAGATTGACACTACCCGTCTGCGCAATCTGAGCCGGCAATGGAGCTGTGTCAGAAATGGTTTCGGATACCAGATCCTCAAACAGGGAGGTCTTGACAGATTGAGCAAGGGCGTGCGAGATCGCCAACTTGATCATATGATTTCGCGGATCACGGAGTGAGATAAAGTCGTTATAGATCCGGGCCTGGTACTCGCGCGCATAGTAGAAATTGAAATTCTCGACTTGGGTATCATCTGGACTCAATATTGATGACGCGAACTTTGATATGTCGGAAAGGAAGCGTGACTCTTGTGCAGGAGTCATACCCCATATGACAACTGTGCCATAGTCAAATAGAAAGATTTCGGGCATGTGGATTGTCGTATCGATATCAAATTGGTCATCGGACTGCGATGCAACGATCGCACGTTCGGGGTTTTTCGCCAGCACGAACGACGGCCTGATCGCGGAAATCAATTAAATCTTCTCTTCGGGTCTTTGTGTTGTCCTCCACTTCCACGACACTGTCCGAATATCTGCGCTCGCTAGCTCGTCGTTCATGATGCTCATTGTTGCCAGATGTCTGGAATGTTCTCACTTTCTGCTTCTCCTCATATTGATAGTCGAACCCCGAATAGACGCATTCATCATATAATTTGGGGTTCGTTCCACGGGTCTTGGCCCTGGATTTGAGGAATTTGATAACTCCCTCCAATCTATATGAGTTAGCCGTACAGTAGGCCGTTACTCGAGGAATGCGATCACGGTCGGCCTTGCCCAATCGAGCGGCATGGCTTCGTGCGGCAGGCTCTTTGATACGGGTGATTTGTGAGTAGACATCTCGGGGAAATTCTCCATCAGTCTCTTCATCCTCTTCTGTCACAGGGTCTGGGAGAAGTTTCAATTTCTGCGCCTTCTTGGTGGTACGTTGTGGGCCGATTTTCGATGCAGGAGCCGTATTCGGGGGTGTACTCAAGGGGGCACCATGGCTATTACGACGTCGTAGTTTACTGTTCAAAGCCGATAGCATTGGCTGGGTGATGTGACGAGGAGAGCCACCCTGGGCATTGATATTTTGCACTGGAGGAGAGCCGGTCTGTAGAGGACGAAAGGTAGGATCGGAGGTGGTACCGCCATAGGTACTGATTGTCGTCAGAGGGTTGAATGTCACCGACCGCGACGTCCGATTCGCCCGCGGGGACGCCGGGCTGTGGTGGTTGGGTAACAAAGGGGAATCTTCTGCAGCAGACGCCATGGCCGAGGAACAGGCGACTCCGCTTGGGGAGAAAGAATGGAATGAAGCTGGAAAATTCAACGTTGAAACTTGAAGCTTCCAAGGTCGGAGCTCCGCACGTGCATTCCCCACCTTATTAATCGCTGATCTATGTTGGAATGTCCACGCAATAGGAAGTGAAATGATGATTTATCACTGGAGTTTAAGAACAAAAAACACTTTTATAGATCAAGTGAGACATCAAATTTCAATATTGAAATCATTTTACATATTTTGTAGCTGCCAGTAGGATATCTTTTCAATATGTTCAAGTATTGGTGCTTTTCCAATATCCAAGGTATATGGGGGATACCTTAGGTGGCTTAAGAATGTCCAAACCCCAATTCAATAAAACCCTAAAATCGCTATGAATTTTTGACAAAATGATAGACAAACAGAAACTCCCAAGAGGGATATTACCGGCGCACGAACCCTGAAGAACCGCCTGCTGTTCTCCGCAAACCGTTGACCGTTCCAGTGCTTCGTTGTCTCTTCAACCAATTGTCCTTTACATTCCGGCCAGCCTTGGAAGCCTTGGGAGCCAGAGTCGGGTTTGATTTCGGTTTCGAGGATGGCGCATCCAATACTCGAATGGTAACGTCGCCCACCTGCACGTCCTTGGGCGCTTTTTCAGATTTTTCCAGGAAACGCAACTTATTTGACTTTCTTGGCATGAATGAATCCTCTGCTGGGGGAGTGGGAGGTCGAAGAACAGGCTCGGCATTCAAAATATCATCGGGCAACAATGCAGGGAGGGCACTCCGGCGTGCATCTTGTGTATTCGAATCCTGAAGAGTAGCTGTGCTCTCGGAAAGGAGATCGTCGCTAGAGGCAGTCTCCTTGGGTCTTGACTTGGCTTGCAATTTTCGGCGCACGTCTAGTTTTCTGCGTTTTTCCTTCCTCAATTGTTCCTCTCTGTGTCATGTGTTAGCAAGATGGGAACCACGAGGAAATCCCAATGCGGAAAGCTGAGTCCATACATTTGCTTCATTTTTTCCTGTTTCTTTGCTTGCTCCTTGATCTTCATGAGCTGGGCTGAGTTGTCGAAAGTCTCAGGTGCGTCATCATCGCTGTCGCTATCGTCCTCTTCGTCGTTGTTGGGGACCTGAGGAATTGCTTCAGGCTGAGCCTCGGGAATCTCGGGCTCCTCGCTACCAAATCGGAAATGATTCTTCTTTTCATTTGCGACGGCGGGTGTCTTGGAGGATTCGCCTTCTTCCTCGTCGCTCTCTGCAGCCTCTAGGCTATTACGCTTTCGTCGCTTGGTTTGCTGCTCATCGCTCGGTGCCTTTCGCTTTCCCTGCTTCTTGGTGCTTTCGGCACCCCGCGCCTCAATGGCGCTTTTGGATGCAGCCGCTGCTCGTCGAGTGGAGGAGACCATTTTCGATGTAGTTGTGTTGGAGGTATCAGCAGGATCTGCGGAATCGGATCGAGAATCGGATCGCGTGAAAAGACCCTTAGCGGCTGTAACTATGTGAGAGAACATAGAGATTTGAGAACTCAATAGAACTCGGGCCCCAAATCAAAAAAATCCGTGTGTCAAGCCGGGGCTGCAGGATACAAAAAAAATAGTTAATCGGGCTTAGGATTTCCCGAGGCGATAAGGTCATGTGATTTGTGCTGCTCGGATAAGGAATTGAACCAACTGGTCAGCATGACTACTTCCAAAGTTGTATGATCTTATGACAACCTTGGAACCAGTGAATTTTTGGTTGAATATTTTTGAGACTCTCAATAATATTAGTTCAAATTTGATGCCCAGGTGCCACAGTGCACATGTGATACGTACTAGTAACTTCATTTGAAGAATCCGGCTACTACTACTATGTACTAGTACTAGTACTAAGACTCAAACATTTGAATATATACTACATCCGAGTCCACAGCCCTGGAGTAGGTATGATTGAAAGAACCTGGAATTGAACCTTGGAATACAACCTTGGAACATTTGAACTTGAACTGCGACTTTCAAGTTCAAATGTATTCAACATTGAAATGTTCAAAAAACCTACTAGTACTTTTCTGCCAGTGCTTCAGGTTTGGATACCTCTTCCCTTCCTAAAGCCACCGTGACCTGGGTAACATCTTCTTCATCAGATGAAGAGGCTGTCAATGTCCTCTTTGCCTCCTCCCGACCTTGCAGATAACGTATTCCCAAAACCCAGAGCACTAGTACAATGCTACAAGTTATAGCAGCAGTGAAACCTGGCCGAAATCGTGGTGACTCGGCAGTACGCCAAACAGCATCATCGTACCAGATCATCATGATGTAGCAAAACATATTGGAGACGGCAATGACAAAACCTCGCATTTCATGGTCGTCTCGTATCAGGTCTGGGTACCAGGCGAAATACACGCCTGGTACGCCGTATGCAACCCAGAGCACAAAGTACGCGAAGAACCGTGCACTCAGTGGGATGGTCCAGACAAGCAAAATTACCGAACCAATGAATGTCCAAAGTTGCATGGCTGTTATGATCTGCCATCTTCGTCCCTTGAATAGTGGTGAATCTGAGAGCATTCCTGCAGCAATCTGCGCTACGACAGCCACAGCCGACTGTGCGGTTGGTAACACGTTGACCTTATAAACAGAGCGCCCTTCTGCTTTAAGCCATAGCGCAAATGTTGGTTGTTGATTCGGAGTGGCGGCTTGCACGATAAAATATCCTATCGGGAGTACCCATGTCTGCCAGTGCTGTGCGATGCGAAGAATCTTCCATCTATCCCACGTAGAAGCTCCTAGTGGAGCGAGTCCTTCTCTCTCAAGACGGCGACGAGCAAGTCGAATTTCCTCGGGCGTAAGGAAGAAGGCGCGAGTTGTTTCTGGAAAATCGGGGTTGCATACAAATCCCATCAATGCACAGGGGAGCCCTATAATACCACAAATAATGAACAGCCATTGCCAGCCCGCATAACCGAGATGTCCATTCAAACCATCGTAGGCACCGGCTTGCAGATACCCGCTGAACATGGTTGCCAATGAAGTCGTCGAATAGAATATTGTCGTTCGCTTTGCGCGCTCGCTCGCGGTATACCATGAACCGATGAGATATACAATACATGGGAAATATGCCGACTCAAAGAGTCCAACGAGAAAACGCATGGCGTATAGTTGTTCAACAGTTTTCACGGCAGAACAGCAGAATGTACAAACTGTCCAGAGGAGCTCGCAGGTAGGAATGAAAAGTGAGGGGCGAACACGAGTAACGAGGATGACGGCTGGAATTTGACCGATCACATAGCCCGCTGTAAACACATTGTCCATGTAGGTTAATTCGCTTCCGCCCATGTTTAGGGATTCTTTTATGCCTGATACGTATGCATTGTTGATATTTGCCTGTGCGAGATTCTTGCAAAAGTAACCCAGGCATGTGTAGCTCAGGAGGAAACAGTCGAGTTTAAACAAAAACCTCTTTTCCTCAGCTGGCTTGTCTGGGTCGTCCCATACATATCGTTGGATGGTGCGTAATGTTCGGACAAGTCCACTTCTGGGCTTATCGGTGACCTGCTGGGGTTCCATCATGAAAAATGATCTGATCCACAGGAATCATGAAACATGAAAGACATCTGGATAGAGTCGACTTAAAATACTAACTCAGAACGATTGATTCGTCGTGCAGTTGCTGACGCCATGGTTTCTTCCTATGGCAGGATTCTTGCACATGTGTGTAGCTATATACCCCATCAAGAAGTATATGGCACCTACAAGTACTTTGAAACACACCAAACAGCTCAGGCTGTTACAAAATAGCCGGCCGTAAGGCTCGAGGGCACAACTTGAACTTTTACATGAATCAATATATAGTACACTCTTTTTAAGGACATTGCTAATATTTTTGCGATGGATAAAACGAGACCTGGAATGATCTGAACATAGATCTCAATACTTGCCCATGGTGTTATACAATCACCGTTCAGATAAGCACTATGAGCCAAGAAACACAAAAATGCACCTCAAATACCGAAATTTCAAAATGTTGGGAATTTAGGTTTACTATTGGCTGAGAATTGTCTAACAAAGGTACTTAGGCCATGTCGTGATATGCTAGTGTAAAGAATCATTCCGAATACAGATTGCGTCAGCATGAACTTCCACTAATCATTCTTTTGGCTTCAATCATATATTCATACATAAGCGAAAAGAAATATTGATTTTTAATCCAAGGGTAATAGAAAGGACTCAGCAACTTAGAGCTTGGATGTATCAGATAAGATACTAGTAGATGGTACATCACTTCATCACTTCACTGAATGATGCCATCGACCTTCCCCTCACAATTTCACACTGATTCTCGGTCAAAAGAGGCCTGGGGCAAACCTTGGAGGGCAGCCTCGACCTAATACTTGCGAATGAAAACAAAGTTGGAACGTGTAGGGCTTGAAAGAAAAGAACGAATCTTCTAATTTTTTGAGATGAAAGCCTCCGTATATTCAGTTTTCTAGGTGCTGAAAGCCCAGATGTAGGTACTACTGGATTGATATGGACACTATATGATGTACTCAGTAGTATGTAGAGGTGGTTTGTTAGAGATGTTGGGACTTGTTTGAGTATTCAAATTCTCGCTAGAACTTTTTATCCCAAAATCATCTGAAATTCAATACAAATGTGATCTCATATCCACGGCCACCGAAGTATAAACAGTGAAGAGACTTTACCTCACTGGTTTTCATCTTTGAAGATGTGCACATACTAATAGTGACAAAGAGGCAAAAATTACAGGAAACGACCAGGCTTGGCCATCCAGTTCTCAACATAGTTGAAGCAGGTAATCACAGTATCACCAAATTCGCCAGGGTAAGACTCACACTCAGTGCAAGTATTGATTGTGTGCTCAGCACCCTCAACGAAAGCGATAGAAGTGTCATTACTACCGGCGTTGAGGTGAAGCTTCTCGGCATTCAAGTACTCATAGTGACCAGTCATTCCCATAGTAAGAAGGGGAACCTTGATACCACCAATCGCAGCAAGAGGAGCCGTCTGACTGGAAGCATAGTCAATGCCATCAAAACCATCAACCTTGATCTTGTAAGTTTCATTAACACGGATGGCAATCGTGGAGAGGAATCGACGGATAGTGGTTTTCAAGGCACCATACTCCCAGTTTTGGGAGTAGTTCTCGAAGTTCCCGGGGACACGGACGGATGGAACAATTTGAGTAGATGTGCCGTTTTTGTGAAGAAGAGGCCAGGAATATGTGGTGTGGTGTAGGTAACGAGTGTCGGTACCAAATATTAGGTTATTAGGTCCAAGGTAGAGAGCAGCGGGGATAGTAAGTGGCTCATCATCTCCGTAGGCACCGTATCCAGCTTCAATAGCAGCTAGGCGCTCTTGTGTATACTCAAGAATTCGGTTATTGCGAGCAACGGCCCCTTCCTGGAATCGTTCCACAAAAGCAGCAGTGTAATTAGACTGGGTATTATTATTAAATCCGTTCGCTGGGTTGTATGCGTTAAGTGACTGGTTCAGCTGCGAAGTATTCCTTTCATCCACGATAGCGGGATTGAAGCTAAGGAAAGCCATTGTTGAAAGACCATAGTTTGCGTCGAGCAGCATCAGACCATCAGCAGGCTCTAGGTCATTCATTGCATCGGAGCATGGGTAAATCTTTTCTGGTCCATTGCAGGCGGACGCGCCATTCTCCGCGATGTTCTGGTAAGCAGCCATCATAGCACCTCCACCGCTATGTCCCAAAATGACCACTTTCTCAATGTCGGATTGGTTACGCAACCAAACCAGACCTGTATTGACTTGAGTCATCATATCCTCAAAGTTAAGGTCTGACATGTAGCCAGATTTGCTAGCCTCGTTATTGGCACAGAATACAGTGAATCCACGCTTCGGCAGTGCGTGACAGGCAACGAAGTTGGTATAGTCCTGTTCTGCATGCATCACGTAGACACCGATACGAGCCCTATCGGTAGTGGTGTTAGGCCGATAGAGACCACCTAGAACACCGGTGTCATCGAAGTCCTTTAAGGTAGGGATGGGCATTGGAATCGTGCCATTTGAGCTTGCAAGGGCCTGTTGAGCGAAGGCTCCAACAGAGACCAGGGCAGCAGCATATCCTTTTGAGAAGAGCATATTGCCGCCGCAGTAAGGGGAATGTGTAAAGTATGGACTCGTAGGGTGGAACGGACAGAACCAGTTGATCAAACGTCAAAATGCTTCAAGTTCAAGTCGGTGGTCTTCTCAAGAAGTTGTCGAGAAAGCCCTCAGGCTTTATATTCCCACTCGGCAAATTTCATGATCGAAAAGGTCCACGTTTTTATGGTCAATCTCTCTGGTTTCCTTGGCTGCATCATGGCCTGTGGCATGCATGGTAATAGTATGCATTTTCTTGATCTGCAGATCAAGTGGGGATCAATGAAATCACTTTATGCCTCCATAGGGAAAAGAGCTGTGGGTGTCGAGCCAACCCACTCGACGACCACTATGGTACACTTCTTAAGCTCAAACTGCACTGTGATTATTGTTAGAATTGCATAGTCCCTTTTGTTGCCTCATGAAATTCTGATAAAAACCAATGGCATGATACGGGTGCAAGGCAATGGGGAGTAGGAAATTTCAAAGTATACTAGAATTATCGACTTTCTTCTCCAGAGCTCTGCAGAATCCCGAGATCGGAAACTCCGTAAAACAGCCGGTTAGGCTTCTCCACATTTTCATGCTTGAAGCAGCCGAGGGTTGGATTGTAGTTCAATACTGCAATCGGTATTTAAGACCGAATATCATGCAATGCCCGCTTCCTCGAACCACTTCTGGATTCCCCTCTTCGATTAAAGATCATCATCCCCACATGCGGAGGTTAGTACTAGTGAAGTAGTTGATGTTTGAAGTCGGAGCGATGAACGCAATTGTGGGGTTTGAGAGTAAGGACCACCTGGGAAATCCATGGACAAACAGACTGATTTCACATCCCTCCTTGCTTTCATCTAGGTTTTACTTCCCGCGGCAGAAGTGAGGTTCCTGGCATTTTAATCAGCACCTTGTTGAAATAAGTTTGGAATGCCACATCATCTTCACTGCACGGAGGCGGACGGAGAAGACCGAAGGGACTAGAAGCTCTCAACTTGAGCTCAACACTTAGTAGTTAGTACTATATGGATGGCATAGTCGCCTGATATATCGGGTGTGGTCTATCCCAATACAAGAAACTTGGATTGGAATAATGATAAACTTGGGAAAGGAAGATCTTCATATTCTTCAGTGAACTACTGCACTTTTCCCGAAACAAACCAAAAGCCAGCAGGGTATCTTAACAAAAAAATCGATCCCTCACCTAACGCCCGTGCTGAACCACTTGAAAGTGGAAAGAAGAAGAAGAAAAAGAAACAAACAACACACAACAAGGCACACCATGGCCATGTGAGAGAACGCTGAACAACCCAGAACACCACAAAAAGATGCCGTAACTCAAACAGCCACAGAGACCAACCCCTGGAAGAATTATCTGTCAACTGCTTTAAGCATAGTCGCGCTCATTCTGTTCCAGGAGGAGGTCTCCGCAGCGCTCACGTTCCTCAGTCTCTTCCTTGGCTTTGATGAAGTCGTCCTCGCCGATGTCGCTGAGCTCGTCGACAAATTTCTGGATCTCTTCCAGGTCATCACCATTGATGGCCCACATGTTCTCGCGGAGACGCTTGTTACGCTCGCGGTCCTCCTCAATGCGCTGCTCAACCTGGCGCTTATCAAGAAGCACGGGCGCACGGGTAGTGCCGTTTGCGCTGGCTGGGACGCTGCGGGGAGTAGCTGCCTTCGAAGTAGCACTGTCATCATTGATTGATTCTCCCCCAAGATCCATGAGCTCGTCTGTGTCGCGGTCCTGGAGGGCCGCATTGATCTCATCAACAGTCTCAGCGGTGAGATACTGCTTCTCCTTAAGGTTGTTAATCACGCGCTGCACGTGCTTGGCATTGGCTGCACCGGTGCCATCAGGCGGAACAGCAGCATCAATCACTCGGAAGATGTCACGTTGGATCATGCGGACATAGGTAGGGTGGTTTTCTTTGGTGGCCATATCACAGAAATGCTCAATGAAAGACATGATGTTGGCTCGGGTGTTCATGCTGTTCTGTGGGGCCTAGTGTTAGGAAAGGATTCTTTGTTGGGGAATTGGGGTTGAAAAATGTGTCCTTACGCGTTCAAGCTGCTCCAGAATGCATGAATGGAGGTCTTCATCCAAATCGCGGTACTTCAGAGCATACTGAGCTGCCTTTTGGGCGGAAGTCACTGAAGCGCTTAGGTGCTGCAGCATAGTGGTGAAGCGCATACGCACTTCAAATGGGTCGGTCATCATAGTCAGTTTGGGGAGCTCCTGTGGGATATTTCAGGATTGAAAATGATTTGAGACGAGAGGTCAAGTAAGTCCAGGTAGGCTTTTGGCCGTTTATTTTCGAGGATTTGACTGGCATAAAACTGGGCGGTGCGTAGGCGGTAAGTAGGAAGTGTGGGGAATACTCCGTACAGGGTCAGCACTTCAAGTTCAGAGCCTGTTTTTCTACCCTCTTAATGTGTTTATACTTGTCCTTGTAGTTAATAGCCTGAGAAATGTGTAGTATATTTCCAGCAACCTTGAATGAAAGGTATATTGTATAGCTAATTGATTACCGAGGCCTTAGGGGTGTACCTATGGATGTCTACAGGCTAAGCCTAATTTGGCGAAGGGTGTCCATTTAACAACGCTCAAGCACTTGTGATGAATATTAACTAACTCAAAAAAACAAACGTCTTATATTTGGAGCTAGGTTCCAAGGCTAGAGTAATTAAGACCAAATAGGAATTGAAATCTCTAATATTCGGAACGGATTATGAATCAAAACTTGTAGACTCAGATTGAAGTTGTAGTATATTCATGCACACATGTCTACCTGTATGTACGTGCAGATCCTACTAATATGTACTAGTAGTAAGTAGTAAATGGTATAGAATGCCCACTGAACGCCAGAGAAGGTACTACGAGTACTGCCAGTGGTTCAATATACAAGATACGCACAATTCAGTTGACTAATACAAATCTAAAGCGAGTCACGCCTGACAGAACTGCTCATACTGCTTCTTTCATCAGAATGTAGTAAGCCAACCCCTTCAGCGTTGTGAGACCTTTGAAACTGACGATCTCGAAGAGCCTCCTGTCGTTGGAACTCGACTCCATTCAGCACAGCCCAGACATCCTTCTTTGTCAATAGACCCTGCAAGATTCCTTTATTCGAAAATAGCACATAGCGTAAGCCAAGACGCTGGAACATTCGCAACACAATCAAAAAGCTGATATTACTGTTGAGTGTAATGGGCGTTTGATCCATCCAAGGTCGGAGATCCAATGTATCGACAGGGTCTGCGAAGGGCTGGTGAACAAATAGAACTTGTGTCTCATCTGAAAGGTTGCGGTTTGCAGGAGAGCATGAGTATTTCAATGCGAAGGAAAGTTCATTTCGAGTGATATAACCCAAGAGGGTAGGCGTTGAAGTTTCAGTGATGACGGGGAATCCACGATAACTGGTGGTAGCAAGAAGGCCCCGAAGTGAGCCAATAGTATGGCCAGTGGCAGTGATCACAGATACATCATCCACAGTGGTCATGACGCGATGAGCAGAGACATCTGGCGGGTTGGTGTCATCTCGATGATCAAGAAATGGGTATTCATTGAGTTGAATCCATGATTCGTAAATACCGCGCTTCCCGAAGATATCACCACACCATTTCGATAACATCACAGCGATCATTATGGGAATGACATATGTCAAGGCACCGGTCAGTTCAAACATGATGACAACAATTGAGAGAGTCATTCGAGTCGCACCACCGAGAGCAGATGCCGCACCGATAATGGCGTATAGACCAGGCGTTACACAAGGAATGTCAGGTTCACACTTGCTGAAGAGGAAAGCCTTGGGGTAGGCTTCCTGCCACATTCGAACAAGCATACCAAGTGCTCGTCCATATAATGCACCAATGGCAACGGACGGAAGAATGATGCCAGCAGGAATATCAAGACCGAAGGTCAAAGAAGCAAGGGCAAAGGCTAGCGCAGCCCCCACAAGCAGCATAGCAACGACTCCTAGTGATGCAGGCCCAGATACGCAGAGGCCAAATCGATCGTATGTTTCGCTGCTGCATTCTGAGAACAGTGCTTGAACTAGTTCTGAGTTTTGCGCTCTCATGAAGTGGTTTGGGAAATTGATCAATGCCGTGAGAAGAGCAACTGCGGCCACCTCTAAGACTGGTCGCGACCAGCCCCTAGTTCGCCGCCACTGAGCTATCCTGATATTCACGCGAATGAGGAAGGCCCCAAACAGACCGCCTATAATACCCAGAATAATAAATGGGATGATCTCAAAGCGGTGCCACCCTCGGGTGTAGGTGACTTGATAGAGTACAATCTTCCCCGTGCGAAAGGGATTAATGGCTTGTAGTGTCACAGCAGCGACCATAGCACAGACAAAGCTTTGCCACATGGTTTTATCTGGGAAATAATAGGACAATTGCTGTCAAAATTAGCATCATAGAAGTCCATATCGGGTTTGTGAGTTTTAGTTACCTCCAGACTGAAAAGCACACCTCCAATGGGGGCACCGAAGGCGACAGATATACCTGCTGCAGAGGCTGCGGAAAGGACCTCCCGTTTTCGGGCTGTGAAAATTAGTAAAGAGCATGGCAATTTTAAATATTGAAATGTGCTTACCTTCATTGCCATTCAAACTATTGAAGGGCTTCATGATAATATTCGCGCAACAACAGGCGACATGTACTAATGGACCTTCCTTGCCCAGCCACATTCCAGATGCAACTCCAAGACACTGGTGTTATTGTTATTAGGAATCCAAAATATTGGATATTAGTGAGTTTGACATACCAAGCCAAGAGACTTGATGGCTAGCGTCCAAGGTCCCATAAAGTGACGAATCACAGTCCCACCAAGCACAGTCTTAATCTCTGGGATTCCACTGTGGCGAGCGTATATGGCGAACTTCCGTACCAATACACATGCAATTGTTGCGAATGCCACCTGATTTCATTAGCGTGGAACAATGTGGGAGTTCGTAGTCTTAGCTTACCGAAAACATGATAAAAAACATGTATTCAATGGTAAAACGGCCGCCGATGGAAGAAGAACCAAGGGCATATCCCCATGGTGTCCAATCCTGGCATTTTGTTTGATCTGATGCAGACTCGATTAACACTTCGAAGGAGACTCGATCAGCAGCATCATGAACAACATACCATCTAGACCCCAGCAGCAAAAGCTGCGATTCAGATAAAACTTCCCTCCTCCATTACCATTCTTGCAGTATCCCGTTTTCAGGTCTCCTAGCCAGTTTGTAGCGATATCAATGGACGCGGCGATGATTCCGACAGCGATACCCGTCGCAACTAGGACGAACCAAATGTTACTGGCCTCCAAAAATCGACGAACGTGACCCAGAAAGCCTTGGCCGCTTGAGTATAACAGACGTTTCCGTTGTCGTTCCTTGGTATACTCGTAGATCCAATCGATGGCTGTAAAATCATCATACCCGACTCGTCGACCCGGTCCTTCGACATACCAATCCAAAGGGGCACCGTCCTTTGAAGTATTTGAATCACCATTCATTCCAAATGGTCTCTCTGTATCAAGTGGTGATGCATCTCCATTCTCTCCGCCTGGCGCACCCGCAAACCCAAGCCCTGTATTCGACCCGCCAGCGGTGTTCGAGAAAAGGCCCGACAAACTAAATCGTGATTGTCGCTTCTGTTGTTTCGGTTTGAAAGTGATCCTATATTATCCAGAATATAAGTATCGTCTTAATCACCGATCTCCGTGGGACTTACGGTTCGTGCAACCCCTCCGTGTCCCGATGGACATCCTGGGGTTGTGAGAGATCGGCTTCCTGATCGGGATGATCGAGGTATGATTCCGGGGAGTGACCGTCACTGCCCGCGCCTTGATCCGTCATTGACATCTTGACTCATGGATACTACTCAAAGGCAGCATCTCTTGATGTATTTTCAAGCAAGTTGGTCTCGAATTCAAGCTAAATCGGAGCAAGCTGCGGTGCTTAGTCAGAGTAGTTTAATGGGGCGGTGAGCGGAGTCGGTGGGGCTGGATTGTCGGGACGCGGCAGAACAGAAAAAAAAAAGATTAGAGTCGACTTCTCTACAACATTTACAATTTCAAAAATTTCGAACGGAGCTACCTCTGCGCAGTCGGGTCTCATAATGAATGGAAGGCCCGTCTACGAGAGGATTCTGTCCGAGTCTGAGCTGCTTGGGCAGCTCCCGGATGAACTCTCAAATCTCATTCGGTCCTCATCGGGGACTCAACAGCTCCACGCGCTTGCGATAGGCGCATTAAATACCGAATTCACAGAAAGCGTCTTTCGACTATACGAACCAATTGTAGTCGATTTGGCGGCTCGTTGGCTTCGTCCCGATATTCAAGCTAATCATGTCCATATCCTGAGTGCCTTTGCTCGGGTGCTTCCCTTTGCTCCATACCTCCGATCCTTCGCTGGTGAATTTGCTTTGTCACAGGCTGGACCTCTGTCGGCGTTGGCTGGCTCGAAGGAATTGACATTACGACAATTGGATCAGAGCAGTGTTCGAACGTTACTTCTCGCCCTCTTCCGCCTTCTTTCGTTTGACCTAGAAACATTCTCCAAAGCAGTATCGCCAATACAACTCCAATCTTTATTCCCTCACGAAGATCGCGTCATTCGATATCTTGCCGTACGATGCTTTGCCTTATACATGCATGCTGCCGATGCGGCTAGTGAGAGTATGATACGGGTTAATACTGGAAGCGATCCTATCGAAGGCGAATGGGAAGGAATTACAATTGACTATCGCCTATTGGGTCTATGGGAAGAACGTAGATGGGCAGTGCTTGGCAAGCAAATTGAAAACGCTAGATATCAGCGATCCGAGAGTGATGCCATTAGTTTGGTGGAGCGATTGCAAGATTCTCTCACTCCAAGATCAGCGGATGTGTCTGGCGTTTTGATTCCTCGCCTGAAGGATGCGCCTTCGCAGAGGTCGCCTTCATCTATTGTGAAAACCCCAGCGACCACACAGAATTTGCGCCGAATCGCACAATCATTGTTGAACTTTAAGCCTATTCTGTTGATTGGTCTGCCCAACTCGGGGAAAACTTCTCTGATCAATGATATTGCCACCATCATGGGTCAAGGAGAGTCAATGGTCACACTGCATCTCAACGAGCAAACAGATGCCAAGAGTCTTCTTGGAATGTATGCCACATCTTCCACCACAGGTTCATTTTCTTGGCAGCCGGGTGTGTTGACAAAAGCTGCGCGAGAAGGCCGCTGGGTCTTGATTGAAGACCTGGATCGTGCTCCTTCTGAAGTTCTTGGTCTCATCCTCCCAATAATTGAAAGAGGAGAGTTGACTATTGCAAGCAGAAGAGAGCGTATTAAGTGTGCTGAAGGTTTCAAGATTATTGCTACTATGAAGTCCTCTTACAACATTGCAGGTGAGGAGATTGCACCGAGCTCTTCCATGCTTGGCAGTCGACTTTGGCAGAGAGTGCAAATTTCATCTCTCCCAGTCGAAGAAATGCGTGATGTCATCTTGCAAAAGTTCCCTCTCTTGGAGTCCAGGGTTCCTGTGATCATGAATGTGTATGGTAAAGTATGCTCTGCGTTCCATGGGAGTCTCGCCATCAGAGGATCGCAGGGAAGAACACCGGGATTTCGTGATTTGATCAAGCTCTGCAGCCGCTTGCACCGTCGCCTGCAGCGCATTGGCGCGAAAACTGGCTATGAAGCTACACCCGAAGCTATCGACGATGAAATATTCCTCGATATTGTTGACGTCTTTCTGAAATACATCCCAGAGAGATCGATGCAGAGTTCTCTCGCTTCTGTCGTGGCCGAAGCCCTTGAAATAACGCCTCAGCGAGCACAGTTTTGTCTTCACGAGCGTACTCCAACCTATACGGACAAGAACAACAGCCTAGTTCTCGGTCGAGAGGTCTGCCAGAAGATCAAGGTCCCGGCTGGATCAGGATTGAAATTAGCAGCAGCGGCTTCGCGTTTCGCTTCAACAAGGTCAGCTTTGTCAATCATGGAACAAGTAGCCGCCTCAATACAAATGGCCGAGCCTGTCTTGCTTGTTGGAGAGACTGGTATTGGAAAAACCACTGTCATTCAGCAGCTTGCCACTTTGATGCGCCAAAAGCTCACGGTGGTCAACTTGTCCCAGCAAAGTGAAAGTACCGATTTGCTGGGAGGCTTCAAACCTGTCAGCATTCGCACAATGGCGATTCCAATGCTCGACGAGTTTAATCAACTTTTCGAACTGACTTTCTCTGCAAAGAAGAACCAGAAGTTTTTGTCTTCTGTCTCTAAGAGCGTTGCTTCTGCGAACTGGGTGCGCCTCGTCAATCTATGGCACGAAGCTGTGCGATTGTCAAATGGAGTATTCAAGCCCAAAGAGACAGATAATAATGATGAGCAACCAGCAAAGAAAAGAAAGCTTGACTCGCCCAAGTACCAGCACTTACGACAGCGATGGGAGAGTTTTGAGTCGCAGCTGGCTGATTTCGAAGCACAAGTGTCTCAAGGTGATGCTAAATTTGCATTTGCTTTCGTTCAAGGAAAGATTGTCAGAGCACTTCGCAATGGCGAGTGGGTTCTGTTGGATGAAGTGAACTTGGCGTCGCCAGACACACTCGAAAACGTTGCCAGTCTTCTGCATCATGGTAGCGAAGGCTCACCTTCTGTTCTTCTATCTGAAGCAGGTGATGTCGAAAGAGTCTTTGGCCACCCTGATTTCCGTATCTTTGGTGCCATGAACCCTGCAACAGATGCTGGAAAACGGGATTTGCCTCCTGGCCTGCGATCGCGTTTCACTGAGTTCTATGTTCATTCTCCAGACACTGATCTCGATGATCTCCTCGCCTTGATTCAGAAGTATCTTGGAGACTTGACTATCCGTGACCCTCGAGCTGCACCTGATCTTGCCCAATTGTATATGGCGACCAAGAAACTCAGCAATGACAATAAACTCACCGATGGCGCTGGACAACGTCCCCATTTCAGTATTCGAACACTTGTTCGCACTCTCATTTATGTTCTTGAACATGCCCACGTCTATGGCTTGCGACGAGCGATCTTTGAAGGTTTCAGCATGAGTTTCCTGACCGTATTGAGTCTGCAGTCCGAGCGAGCATTGGTTCCTCTCCTTGAAACACATATCTTCAGCAATGCGAAGAATGCTCGATCTCTTCTTGGACAGACCCCCCAGGCTCCGGCGGATGGTCATGACTATGTTCAATTCAAGCACTACTGGATGCGCCGCGGGCCTTTAGTCCCAGAGGAACAACCTCATTATATTATCACTCCTTTTATCGAAAAGAATCTCAAGAACCTTGTGAGAGCAAGCTCAACTCGTCGTTTCCCTGTCTTGCTGCAAGGCCCAACCTCTGCAGGAAAGACTAGCATGATTGAGTACTTAGCGAAGGTCTCTGGTAACAAGTTTGTGCGTATCAACAACCATGAGCACACAGATCTTCAAGAGTATCTCGGATCTTACGTTTCATCTGATGATGGCAGCTTACGCTACCAAGAAGGTGTCCTGGTGGAGGCGTTGCGCAATGGATACTGGATTGTTCTTGATGAATTGAATTTGGCTCCCTCAGATGTTCTTGAAGCATTGAACCGTCTCTTGGATGATAACCGCGAGCTCTTCATCCCCGAGACCCAAGAAGTCGTTCACCCGCACCCCAACTTCATGCTTTTTGCAACACAGAATCCTGCAGGTCTCTACGGTGGTCGAAAGGTTCTCTCTCGCGCGTTCCGAAATCGTTTCCTTGAGTTACACTTTGATGATATTCCTGAGAGTGAACTGGAGTTCATCTTGAAGGAACGGTCGCAGATCGCACCGTCATTCTGTACGCGAATCGTCTCAGTCTACCGGAAGTTGTCACTGCTACGTCAATCGAACAGACTTTTTGAGCAGAAAAACAGTTTTGCTACTCTCCGTGATCTGTTTAGATGGGCCATGCGAGATGCCGATGACAAGGAACAGCTAGCAATCAATGGATTCATGCTCCTTGGTGAACGTGTACGAAACCCTCAAGAGAAGGAGGCCGTGAAGAAGGTGATAGAAGAAGTCATGAAGGTTCGTCTTGATGAAAATGTGCTTTACAGCTCTGCGCAGTTGGACGCCAATGTTCCTGAGATGTCCGAGCTGCCTGCCGGAATTGTTTGGACCAAAGCCATGAGACGATTATTTGTCCTGGTTTCCAAAGCCCTCAAGAACAATGAGCCAGTTCTTCTTGTTGGTGAGACTGGTTGTGGTAAAACTCAGCTTTGCCAGGCCGTTGCAGAGGCTTTCCGCAGAGAACTATTCATTGTGAACGCTCATGTCAATCTTGAGACTGGCGATCTTATCGGCGCTCAAAGACCAATCCGAAACCGTGCCGCCATTGAAAAACAAATTACCGATGACCTTCAACTTGTGCTCTATGGCGACCAACCTGTGTCTGCGTCTCTTGAACAACTGAAACAGGAGCTCTCAGCCCTAGATGCGCAGCAGCTTCAAGAAAAAGATTCATCTCTTTTGCAACGAATCGAGAAGAACATCATCAGGTGCAATGCTCTATTTGAATGGTCTGATGGTAGTCTTATCACAGCGATGAAGACTGGCCAATTCTTCCTCCTTGATGAAATTTCTCTCGCTGATGACTCTGTCTTGGAACGTCTGAACAGTGTCTTGGAGCCTCATCGATCAATCCTCCTGGCAGAGAAAGGTCCCATTGATTCCATGGTAGTTGCAGATGGCGGGTTCCAATTCTTGTCTACTATGAATCCTGGCGGTGATTACGGTAAGCGAGAGCTTTCTGCTGCCCTTCGTAACCGTATGACCGAGATATGGGCCCCGCAGCTGTCCGAAGACGAAGACATTCTTCCAATTCTACAAATGAGATTGACTCTCAAGGATGAGCGAGTTGCAAGGTCAATGCTGCAATTTGCCAAATGGTTTAAGGTTACTTTCCAAAATACCTCTACTGCTTCTCTTTCCCTTCGTGATTTGCTTGCATGGGTTGATTTCGTCAACACATATGAGACCTCTGATCCTCTTTTCGCTATCATTCAAGGTGCCGCTATGGTTTTTGTCGACACGCTTGGTGCCAACCCAGCCGCTATGCTTGCGATTTCTCTAAACAATCTGGATGGAAACCGACAAAAGTGTCTTGATAAGCTGAGCGAGCTGTTCAATGTCAATGCTTCAACCATTTACTGGGAATCTTCAAGTGTCACACTTGAACCTGGAGTCTTGAAGGTTGGGCCATTCTCGCTTGCAACCACTGGAACAACGGAAGCCGACCCTCAGTTTACCATGGATGCGCCTACCACCATTGCAAACTCAGTGAGAATCGCCCGTGGTCTTCAATCGTCGAAGCCTATCCTCATGGAAGGAAGTCCTGGTGTGGGTAAGACCACCTTGGTCACTGCTCTCGCTAGGGCCCTTGGCCGACCCCTTACTCGTATCAATCTTTCGGAGCAAACGGATCTCACAGATCTCTTTGGTTCCGATGTTCCTGTCGAAGGAGGCGATGTTGGTCAATTCATGTGGCGTGATGCTCCTTTCCTGAGAGCCATGCAGCGTGGAGAGTGGGTTCTCCCTAGATGAAATGAACCTTGCTTCGCAGTCTGTCTTGGAAGGTCTCAACTCTTGTCTGGATCATCGACAACAAATCTACATTGCCGAATTGGATCAAACATTTAAACGTCACCCTGACTTTGTCTTGTTCGCTGCCCAAAACCCGCATCACCAGGGTGGTGGCAGAAAGGGTCTCCCTGCCTCATTTGTTAATCGATTCACGGTTGTCTACGCCGATAGCTTCACAGATGACGATCTCAAAAGAATTTGCTCGAAGCTCTTCCCTGGAAGCCCCTCAATTCAAACCGAGAGGCTCGTCGATTTCATCTCTGGCTTGAACAAAGCAATCGTCACTGAGCGTCGACTCGGAGCTGTCGGTGGGCCTTGGGAGCTTAACCTACGAGATATCCAACGTTGGCTCCAATTGGCGGATCGAGGTAATTTGCAGATTTCCACCAAACACTTCCTGGATATCATTATCAGCCAGCGTTTCCGTTCAGAGGAAGACCGAAAGTTGGTTGCCCAGATTTATGATTCTGTTTTCACTGGTTCCGATACTGGCTCCAAGAGCTACTTCCACAACCTTACCCCTGAGCATTTGCAGGTCGGTCTTGGAATTCTGAATCGCGATCGCGTCCTCCAGCGCTCCGTGGAGCCCTACATGAAGATCCTACCGAAAGATCTCCATATTTTGGAGTCCCTTGTTTTGTGCATTGACAACTCCTGGCCCAGCATTCTTGTCGGCGCCGCAGGATGTGGTAAAACTACTCTCATTCGAAAGCTCGCTGCTATTAATGGTGCGACTTTGGAAGAGCTTGCTTTGAGTGCGGACACCGATACCATGGATCTGATCGGTGGCTTTGAGCAAATTGATCACCGACGAGAAGTCTCTTCGTTTGTGCATGATGTTGAGATGTTCTTGCGTCAACAAATCATTCAATCATTTGCCTCCGGGGACGTTTCGGATGCTGTTGGCTCAGCTCTACAGATATGCCAGCATTTCCAAACTTCCGAGGCCTCCTTGGAAACTGTTATCTCATCGCTTTCTGATCTCTGCAAATCCTACTCGGATCCTACTCTTGAGAATTTCTTGCAGACAGCCCAAAACCTTTGGAACACGATCCAGCATTCGGATAAGATGAAGGTTGGCTTTGAATGGACTGAAGGTGTTCTCACACGAGCTGTACAAAACGGACATTGGGTGGTTCTTGACAATGCAAACCTTTGCAACCCGTCTGTTTTGGACAGACTCAACTCTCTGACAGAGCCGAATGGTACCTTGATTCTCAATGAACAACGAACTGAGGATGGATCAGCTCGCATCATTACACCTCACCCGAACTTCCGCATCTTTTTGACGATGGATCCCCGACATGGCGAGTTGTCACGAGCCATGCGCAATCGATGTGTTGAGATTTGCTTCATGTCTAACGAGGTTCAAGAGATCCCTGCTGTGCTTGGACCGACATACACCTGCGAATCATCTCTCTACAGACTGCGTCATATCTGGAACTTGAACACCGAGCTCCCAACCTCTACGTTGAGTGACTTGTTCAATGTGTGCCTGGATCACCTTTCTCCAACCGATCTTGCCTATGTTGAGAAATTGTCGGCTGCATCCCTCCCCTACACTACAGATTCTGGTCTGAATGACTTTACTTCCGGTGCTTTGGAGCGATATCAATCAATTCTTTCTGAAAAGCACGAATGGAAGCCACTTAATGCCATCGCAGGTGAGATCGTGATGGCGGGAGCATCTTTAAGCATCCAAGGCGTCTTGCAGCCCATTCACCCTTTGATCAACGAACCTCTGTTGTCAGTGACAGGAAGTGCCAATTACCGCTCAAGCCTCATAATCCTTGCCAACCTAGAAGAATTTAAGCTTGAGATTCATCGTCTCCGACAAAGTCTAGTCCGAGCAAACGATTCTGGCAAGCAACTCAAGCCAAGCCAGATGACAAGACTCGAGCGATCTTTAGCATCAAATCGCATCCAGTCATTGATGAAAGATACGACACAGCCCGTTGGGCAGTTCCTCATGGATTGTGGACAAGCTTTGTACGACTACATCCAGAGCCTAGACGAGACATGCCTTCAATCGCCAGATATCGTTGCCGCTATCCGAACCATCATTTGCTTGTGCTGGGACATTTATCGTGCCACCGATGTTGGTGAAGTCTCAGAGGGCGAGTTCCAAGTCTATCTGGAATTTGGCAGAAAGGTTTGTGCCTCTTTGCTTGCCTCCTCGCCATTGCTGGCACCTTTGGAGCTGCCCATTTCTCGCGCTTTGGCTCGTTTCCAGGCCGGCTGGGCATTGACGACTGGATTAAGCATGCAGAGAATGTGGGATGCATGGCGACATGTCACACCAGCTTCTCAAGAGCAGCTCAACTCCCTCATTGAATTGGAGAAAACTGTATCAGAGTTCACTGCACTTGCTCTGCAGACAAGAGTCGACATTTCACAGCTCAGCGCTGTTTGGCAATCCTTGATCAATGCACAGCGCTTCATTCTTCTAGAAGGAGCTGATGGAGGAGCCCTGGTACAAAGCTTGAAACAAACTGTGAATGAACTTGGTCAAGCTGTTCGACGGTCTGACTCTCCTCAATACCCTTACTTCAAGGAATCATTCGAGGCTCTTTGTCAGTACCATGATATCTCATTCAATGCCAATGAAGAGAAGAATGGATCAGAAATTCAAACTGTTCTTCCACTGCTTGCCGGTCGTCCTCCTACCTCACTCCACTCGTCAACCGCCAATAGCCCTATTCCTCAAGCTCTCAATAGGCTTGCACTATTCACCGGGTCAGGAAACTCTCTTGGCTCTCCTTTCGCTCTGGGGGGTATTCTATCTCTATCCCTACTTGATAGATTGACCTCTGTGGGTGACACGACTTTGGGCCAGATGGATCTACTCAAAGCTGAAAAACAGGCCTTGTCAAAGGCAGTGTCTTCGAGCAGTCGCCGCATCGCAGAAGATCAATTGCATAGTTTCAAGCGTGTTCTTGCTCAGCTGGCAATCGAGCTAATCCGATGCCACCAAGATCTCCTACAGCCTGAGTCATTCACAAGCTTGATCTCTGCTTTGCAGACTATTGAATGCGGGGACAATGCAAGCCACTTGGCCTCCATCCCAGTGGTTCTTGACCAGAACGTCGCGGATGATCATTTCTTCAGAGCCTTTGCGAATGATGCACTCCCAGCTCTAATGCGCTCGTTGGCTTCGGTCCCAGAAGTCACGTTGAACATCGTCAGCGTCGAGAAGATGACACGAGACCTCAGCCTTGCTGCAATTAGACTGGCAGTCATTCTGCTTCGCTTGTTTGTTCCAGACAAGGTCTTCGATCCATCTCTCGGATTGGTTGTCCAACGCAAGAGACATTATGAACGCCTCACTGAGATTAAGGAAAAGTCAGAGGCGCTTCTATCATTCGAAGCTACTTTCTCCGGTCAAACCTCCAATCTGCGTGCTGCCATTCTGCAACAGCAAACTCAAGAATTGGGATCCGCACCTCCTCCGACATCTGTTACTCGACCAAAGTTGTCCGAACTCAGCTTGCTGCAAGGTGAATTTTCTAATTTGATAAATTCAGTCCTTAATCGCAACCCTGAGCAGCTGGTTCAATCTAAAGTGGATGCATCGAAAACTCAAGAAATGGTCCAACTTATGCGGAACAACATCCAGCAACTCAGTCTGCGACTCAGTGCGCATTACAGATCTTATGACGACATTACCGTCCCTGTTGTGCGCTTTTTGCAACTTCTTGACACTGGTCTTCTGCTAAGCTCTGCCCACGAAGATGAGCTTGATGGAATTCAAGACATTCGCTACTTGAGCACCCGTACGCCCTTCTTGGGTGGGTCTGTTCATCCTGTGTTTGAGACTTCCTCTACTTCCCCCGAAGAGCTACAGCAACAGCCAAGCTCTGGCGATCTCATTGAAATGCGCCTCCATGAACTTTCAGCGCTCTGGGCTGCCAAGGATGCCGACACAAACATTCTCCAGCTGTCATCAGGCCGCGATACAATTCGCCGTGTGTTTGCTGACTTCCACCAGCTTTGGAAAACCAAGCTCAGAGAAGACCAAGAGAAAGAAGCTGAAAAGTCAGAGCTGTACCGTTATCGAGGATCGTGGGAGGACGAGGAAGAAGTCAATGAAGCAGAGCTGCATGAATTGTTCCCAACCTTTGATGAGAATGCTCCACCAAACGCAGCAGATGTTGGTCGACTCGACCCCCGTGCTACCGCTTCTCGACTCACCTCTCTGCATGCTAAGATTGTGAGCGGTCGTCAAGATGGAGATGCCCTTGCTGCATTTGTTAAGCAAACTGGTCGTCTCTTGGGTTCACTGTGGTCTAAGAACAAGACAGACTTTGCTCCGGTTGTGCCTCAAAATCATTTGCCTGCCGTCTTCCTTTTGTTGAATGACGTTGTTGGCGAGGAATCGCAAGACCGACAAAAGAACTACAACTTCTACACCGATTCCAACCTAGCTGAGGCACGCAGACTTGTCAATCTCACACTCTCTGTTCAGGCGCGATTCGTCCAAATTCAGACCGCATGGCCTGAGCATGCAGTTCTTCAGGATGTCATCACTTGCTGTTCTGAAATTCTCCAGTTCAAGCATACCGAGCCCGTTGCCAAGTTCCTCACCAAGGTCGAGAAGCTTCACTCCTACATTCACGAATGGCAGCTGGTGGCTAGTCGAGAATACTCCGCCGTTACCTTGTATGACGAGATCACAGCCATGACTGTCAGCTGGCGCCGCCTTGAACTTACCACTTGGGCCAAACTTCTGGATATCGAGAAGGAACGCTGTGAAGAGGATGTTAGTGCCTGGTGGTTTGTGGCCTACGAAGCCCTCTTAGCTGTTCCACTTCAGATGGCCCACGAGGGAGATCATGATATGAGTGAGCACATCCATGGTGTTATCTCAACATTGGAACAATTCTTTACCACTACAACCTTGGGTCAGTTCTCTCGCCGCCTCCAGCTTGTTTCCGACTTCCAGGCTCTTCTTTTGATATTCGCCAATGATTATCCCAGCTTGGTTCCTCTTGCATCCGCACTCAGCAATTTCATCTCCCACTTCCGGCCATTCGAACCTCTGGCGCACAAAATTCTTCAGGAAAAGAGATCGGCTTTGGAGAAGGATATTAAGGAACAGATCCAACTCGCTAGCTGGAAAGATACCAACATCCTTGCCCTGAAGGAAAGTGCCAGGCGATCTCATGTTAAATTGTTCAAATTGGTTCGAAAGTACCGCGCAGCTCTCTCTCAGTCCATTCAACCAGTGCTTGAGCAAGGTCTTTCTGATGTCACCGGAGAAGAGCCCGCTTTCCAACACGGTGAAAAGCTCGTGGCCAGCATTGTCTTCCCTGAGGCTCTAGCCTCTTGTCAACAAATTCAGACATGGTCCTCAAGACCCGTGCGATTCCAGAAACCCGATGGCACAGCTTCCAATATGTTGAACCTGTATTCTTCAATTCCATCCGAATTCGATATTGCCAAGGATCTTGACGAATTCACCACATCTGTCATCGAGAGTATCAATGAGTTCAAGACTCAGACTCCCAAGACTTTGACCGAAGACAACAAGGATGACGTACAGCATCTCAAGGTTCAGAAACGTCGCCTTTACGCTGAAACCTTGAAGCGTGTCTTTGAAATGGGCGTGAAGCGAAATGCAGGAAGTCAATTGATCGAAACCCAAGTGTCACTTGCTCAGGTTATTGCCACTTGTGCTGCTTTCGAGTCTGGCTCTTCAACTCCAGGCTCTCTGCTAAGTGCCGATTCTTACTTCCATCGTCTGTTGGATCTTTTGTCTCGTGCTCGCCTGGCATCCCGGAACTACTCTGATGAGCTGAGCAATGTCGAAGTTTCAAGGAGTATGGGTTCTATTGAGCACTTGCTGTTCATCATTCGACGACAGAGAGGTGTTCTTTCTCCCGCCCTCTCTAGTCTGGGATCTCTGAAGGAGATCGTCCACAAAATGGAAAGTGTCTGGACAGTTGATGCCACCTCCCTTACCCATGTCAATGCTACCTCGTCCAATGAGCGGGCTGATATGGGCAGAACCTTGGCATGGCTTATTCCTATCATTGGACTCGCGTCCGAAGTTGTCCAAGTGCATTCCAAATTCTCTGGAGTGGATTCCTCTGCCGTGTCCAAGGGACTTCTCTCAAGAAAGGCCGCCTTCGAGGAGCTGTACAAGTCCCTTACCTCCATCCCAACATTGCCGTCTGGCGTCATCACTCTCAAGGAGAAGGAGCTTATTGATAAGTCTCATGCATCACTGCATGAGATTTCATCATACATCCAGCAGATGGATGGGGATCGCCCAGATCTATCCTTTACTTTGAGACAGATCAGCAACTGGGTAGCACTTCCTGTGCGTGCCTCTTCTGGATCTGCTGACTCGAGCCATGCCCTCTCTCTTGACAAGTTCGATAAGAGTCTTCTAGCGGCAATGGACAAGATGCTCGTTGGCCTGCAGCAGCTGAAGGATGTCCCCACCTCAATTGATTTCAGTGGACTCTTGTCACGAAGTGATGAGTTCTTCTCTCGTGCATCAAGGGCTCTTCATATTGAGGAGATTGCATCAGCGCTTGGTACTGCTTTGGACCAAATGCAGTTCTTCACCATGGATACCGATCTCACACAGTCTGCTGCCCTTGTTGCTAGCATTCTGCCGATTGCCAACAGATACTATGAGATTTCCAAGGCGCTGGTTAACCGCTTCGCCACTGTTCATCGTGAGGTGTGCAAGACCTCCTACATCCTGACCAAGACTTTCACTCAAGTTGCATCAGAGGGCTTCTGTAGTCCAGCTGAAGCATCCCAAGATGAAGGCAAAGAAGGCAAGATGGAGAGCGGTACTGGTCTTGGTGATGGTGAAGGTGCGGAGGATATCAGCAAAGACATCGGCGATGATGAAGATCTCTCAGAGCTTGCGCAGCAACCACAGACAGAGGATGCTGATGAAGACATGGATGATTCAGCGGATGCTGTCAACATGGATCAAGAAGAGTTGAATGCAGAGTCTGGAGAGCATAAAGAAGAGGAGGGTGAAGATGAGGACAAGGATGAGGATGGGGATGAAGACGAAGATAATCTCGATGAGGAGGTTGGCGACGTTGACGATCTTGATGCTGGTGCTGTTGATGAGAAGCTCTGGGATGGTGCGAATGATGACCAACAAAAGGAGACAGAGAATGAAGAAGGCAAGGGTCAGGAGGAGGCAGATGAACAAGCCGCCGCCCAGGAGCAGAAGAAGGAAGCCGAGGAGGGCAAGAAGGGAGAAGAGGATGGCGAAGAGGAGGAAGATGACGAGGAGGATGAAGAAGCTCCAGATGATGAAGGTGAAGCTGTTGGTCGTGAGGATATGGAAGTCACTGATCCTCAAACCAAAGAAGAGGAGACATTGGAACTCCCCGAAGAGATGCAGCTTGACGGTGATGATATGGACGACGGTGGTGATGAAGGCGAAGATGATGGCATGGATGACCTTGATGACATGGGTCCTCTGCCTGAAGAAGAAAATGTTGAAGACAAGGACGATCAACCTGGCGACGAAGATGTAGACATGGCAGCTGACGACCAGGCCCCTGGTGAAGACGAAGAAATGGGCGAAGATGCGGATGCCAACGAAGCCGAGGCTAACGAGGAAGAGGAGGACCAAGCTGGTGGAGAGGAGCCAGAGGAGGCCGAGCAAGATGAATTCCTTGCCCAGCGTGATGAGAATGATAATGCCGCTGATGAAGTTGCCCCCAGTGAAGCTGTCACTGGCGGAGAAGGTGCCGATCAAGACCAGAATGAAGACAAGGGCGATTCCGGTAATGCTCAGCAAGACAGCGGCTCGAATGACCCAACCGCCAGTGCTGAGGAACAAAATGGTGCTGCCAAGGACAGCGAGGAAAGCAAGCGGAGTCGTGATGCCGGTGGTGCTGAAGACAGTGCTCCGAACGACCCCCAGATTCAAGCCTTCAAGAAGCTTGGAGATATCCTCGAGCAGTGGCACCGTCGCCAGAAGGAAGTCCTGAATCCATCACAGGAAGAAGAAGAATCTCAGCCTTTGCCTCAGGATACCGACATGGCGGACGCTGATTTCGAGCACCTCAAGGACGATGAAGATGAGGCTGATGCCCAAGCCCTTGGACAAGCGAATGAGGATCAGACGCAATCTCTTGACCAGAACAAAGGTGTGGAATCCGATATGAAGCCTGGCGAAAACGATATTCTTCCAGACACCGCGGAGGAACAAGATGCCATCGACAACCAACTCCAGGATCAGATGCAAATCGACTATGACAATCTCCCCACCGATGGTCAGTCTGCTGGCGCATTCATTCCCGGTGATCATACATCCCGAGACACCGCAGAAGGTGCACCGGGTGCTGAAGATATCAATCAGGAGATAGATGAAGTCGACAGCCAGCTCGCGGCTATTCATCTATCATCTTCCCTTCCCCCATTGACCCCAGAAAGTGAAGCCCGTCGCCTCTGGTCTCATTATGAGTCTGCTACAAACGACCTCTCCCTCTCCCTCACTGAACAACTGCGTCTTATTCTTGCACCGACTATGGCTACGAAACTTCGCGGTGATTTCCGCACCGGAAAGCGTCTGAACATCAAGCGTATCATTCCCTACATTGCCTCCCAGTACAAGCGTGACAAGATCTGGATGCGTCGCTCTATTCCTTCCAAGCGTAACTACCAAATCATGCTTGCTGTCGATGACAGTAAGTCCATGCTGGGAAGTGGCAGTGGTCAGCTCGCCTTTGAGACACTGGCCCTTGTTGCTAAGAGTTTGAGCATGCTTGAGGCAGGTGACTTGTGTGTTCTTGGATTCGGTGATGAGGACCACGTCCGCGTGGCTCACGAATTCGGCAAGCCCTTCTCCTCCGAGGCTGGTATGCAGGTCTTCCAACATTTCAGCTACCAACAAACAGGCACAAATGTTCGCAAGCTTATCGCTGATTCCATTGCTCTCTTCCGTGAGGCTCGCTGGAAGCGCTCCCCTGGTTCTGGATCTGCGGATCTCTGGCAACTCGAGTTGATTATTTCGGATGGTATCTGTGAAGATCATGAAACCATTCGCCGTCTTGTGCGCCAAGCTCTTGAAGAGCGCATCATGATCGTTTTCATTATTGTTGATGCGGTCAAGGGCAGCTCTATTCTTGATCTGTCGCAGGCTAGCTTTGAGGCTGATCCTGACTCTGGTGGTGAGATGAAGCTGAAGATGAAGCGCTACCTGGAAGGATTCCCCTTCCCCTACTACCTGGTCGTCAGAGATGTCCGAGAGTTACCTTCTGTTTTGGCTACTGCACTCAAGCAGTGGTTTGCCGAGGTTGTTGATGTGTCGTCTTGAATGATGTAAATAAAAAGCGATTGCAATTTTTCGGCGTTTTGTGTATATAAAAATCCTTTGGGGATTATTAGACTTTTACATTTATTTTGTTTTGATTCTCATCAAAAGTTCCTTTCAACTTGAAGTTCTTTCTCTAGAATAATTTGTTAGATGCGTCTATCATCACACTTGATATCATTACATAGTGGCCTCTCTATAGCTGCCACTACTGGCAGACGACAACATTAAAAACTCCATTTCCTACCAGTGGTATTGGCTTCACTCCTCTACAGTACCTAGTACATCAATTATGGATTTGTTTTCAGATTGAAATACTTCATTATATCGGTTGAGACAGATACTACTAGTACAATTAAACGTTCTAGTCTACTGGCTCACATACTCGCTATCCTCCTGGGTAGTCACTTCAAGGCACGGATGGAAATAGATGTATCTTGAACACACTAGAACTCCAGGGCTGATGTTTAGTCGCAATAAGAACGTGCGTTAGATTTCGTCAATTTGCCATGAAGTGTTACAAATTTTTAAAACGCAAATGACTTGGTATCACAATCGTCATGAAAAGAGAAAGACTGATGCTAAAACTACCATCCATACTTCGCACCAGCCTCTTTCTTGTTCCTCCTTCCGGTAGCGAAGCTCTCCTCCAATGCATCCTTCTGCGATACTGCTGCATTGACGAGTTGCTGCAAGCTGTGTTTTCCTGCGGTATTGATGGTACGGACAGGTTGGTGCTGTGTACCCGCCAATTCTGTTTCTGCAAGGGCTTGGTTATGGGCATATTCCTTGTCTGTATTGAACGTAAGGATGCGCGAGTCAACAGATGGTGCATTGCGGCCGAAGAGCTGGCGTCGTTCAGCCTTGGATAGATTTAGATCGTTGGCAATATTATCGAGGGATGAAGAGACGGAATTAGTGCTGGGGTAGGGGTAGGAAGCATCTGGCGTAGCGTCGGGTGCGTAGGCTGGGCCTGCCTCGGTCTCAGTAGTATATACCAGGGGCTCGTATGTCCCTGATGCAGCCGCAGGTGTTTCTGAATGGGTATCGGAGTCCACTGAGGAAAGAGAGAACAGGCTGAATTTTGGTTTTGGGGGTGGAGGTGCCGCTTTCGTGGACTGCTCTACCGCGGGCTGTGTGGCTGTGGCGAGTGTAGATAATGATGTGGATGTAGATGTAGATGTTGAAGTGCCAGTCGCCGACTTTGTCACTTTCTTCTTTTTCTGAGTTCGTCCCACTGACAGCGGTCTGAACATCATAGGGTTTCCCTTTAATTTAACCTCTCCAATCTCTGTCTTTTGAACTGCTGGTGTGTCTGGGTTGGTCGCAGTTTGCGCCAGACTACCCGCTGTCGGAATGTCCTCGTTTGCATCATCCTCCGCAAAGTTGTCGTTTGATGTAAGTCCCAGTTTGAACTCGGCATCGGCCTGGCGATCGAATCCTGGACCAGCACCAGTCTTCAGACTGAATGGCTTGCGTGTTGTGGCAATCGGGCCCTTCTTCTCTGCGGCGCGTTTTGGGGCGGGCAGCATCGAGTTAAATCCGGAGAAAGTACCTGATCCTGCACCTAGCCGCACCTTCTTACGTGCGGGTCCATCTTCGGTATCTTGGTCCGTGGAGTGTTCGGGCTTCGAGTCCGGAAGGGCGACGCGGATCTTGCGCGGGTTGCTGCGATCAACTTGAAAGCCAGCATTGACATCTGATTTCTTTGACTTGTCTGTGACTGGGACTGGGGTGGTGTCCTCAGTTTCAGAGCCCTCGGAGTCGGAATATGCTACCAGAGCCATGGTGGAGGGAATGACAGGTGATAAGGTATTGGGCTGTCGCTCTAGATGATGATGGATCAAAAGATATATTTACTGATGCCTGAGTGCCTGAGTGCCTTATTGCCTGACACATATGGTCCTGATTTATTAGGCATCAAATTGAATGCACGATGACATAATCATCTCCAAATTCGGAACGAGTCAAACAAGTCAAACACTTCAAACAGACCAAACATTCCTTAACCAAACACATTCTCCACCTCATCGACAACTTGTCCACAATGAAATCGATGGAACTGAATGGGATCGGGAATTCACTTCAAAGTCAATCTCTATCTGAGATCTGATTTATTGTCCGCATGCAGCTGAAGGTTTATCGAAGTGAATTGTCTATGAAACTCGTCCCGGCCCCGATATGCCGGGGTCTACCATGTCGTAACGTCATCGGCGTCATCCGGTTTCTCCGTGGTCCATGAACACTATTCCAGGATGTTGGTAATGGTATCATATATAGATTTACCGTTTCTGGGAGGAAAATGAACAGTATACATATAGATCGTATCAAATCATTGGAATAAAAATGAGGCATTGATCAGACTAAACTGAATAGATAGTGAAAGAGATAGTGAACAAAGAGAACCTTGGAATCGTGGGGCGTAAGCTATGTCCTGGGAAGAAATGAGGGTTTCATCGAGTGTATCAAATTCAATTCTTACGATGATGACTATAAATCAAAGTTCTGATTGCACTCGAGACAATTGAAGTATTCCAGTGAATTAAAAAAGAAAAAAAAGAAAATCAATAAAGAAATACATCCTGGTTCAAACCCAACCCCCAAATATCTTAATTCACTGGAGTTCTGGTCCCGAAAGGGAGATCAATGCGTCATTCTGGCCGCGGGTGCCCCTCCCCACTCTCCGGACTCTCCTCTTCCTTCATATGTCCTTCAGCAACCGTCCTCCATGCCGAGCTTAGGAGGCCTGTTGAAAAAGCGGCGCACAAAGGACTCGCAAACTTTGTCCAAGGAGCTGCCAACAACCACCGACCGTTCCGAACAATCTTCCTCCAACCCGGACGCTAACCCGGACAGGGCTGAAGATCAAGGCGCCTCCATGCAATCCGCCGTGACGTCGCAAGGATCTCACCATGCCCATCCCTCCAACAATGCCGCCAGCATCAACAACCTCATAAACAACCCGGACAATTCCGGCTCGAGTACTCAGCCCTCTGCTCAAAATGCCAATGCGACTCCCAATGCGCAAACTATTCGACAGGAGCGGACCACCAGGGGCAAGTACTCTCAAGAGGACTTCTTGCTGCAGCGAACCTTGGGTACTGGTAGCTTCGGACGTGTCCATTTAGTCCAATCGAAGCACAATCATCGATTCTATGCGATGAAAGTGTTGAAGAAGGCTCAAGTGGTCAAAATGAAGCAAATCGAGCATACCAACGACGAGCGACGAATGCTCAATCGCGTCCGTCATCCGTTTTTGGTCACATTATGGGGAACCTGGCAAGACTCACGAAATCTATACATGGTGATGGACTTTGTGGAGGGTGGTGAATTGTTCAGTTTGCTACGCAAGTCACAAGTGAGTGTCTCTTTTTCCTTCCCTCTTCCCCCGCCTCTTTTTTCTTTCCCGGGAGGGATCTGCAACGATGTCCACAAATGCTCCAAGCTCGTATTCTGACCCCCCTACTCTTATCTTCAGCGGTTTCCAAACCCAGTTGCGAAATTTTATGCTGCAGAAGTTACTTTAGCTTTGGAATACCTGCACCATCACCAGATCATCTATCGAGATCTTAAGCCCGAGAATCTTCTCCTGGATCGCCATGGTCACTTGAAGATTACAGACTTTGGTTTCGCTAAGGATGTGCCGGATATCACCTGGACCCTGTGTGGAACTCCAGACTATCTCGCCCCGGAAGTCGTTTCCTCGAAGGGATACAACAAATCTGTGGACTGGTAAGGTCTTCTCGAGCATTGGTTTCTTAACTTCCTTTCTAATTACTGATCATACAGGTGGTCATTGGGCATTCTTATTTTCGAGATGCTATGTGGTTTCACTCCATTCTGGGATAGCGGGTCCCCAGTCAAGATCTATGAAAACATCTTGCGTGGCAAGGTCAAATACCCGCCATATCTGCATGACGATGCAGTCGATTTGCTCTCGCAGTTGATCACTGCTGATCTTACTAAGCGTCTGGGTAACCTGCACGGTGGTCCACAAGATGTCAAGAACCATGCCTGGTTTGCAGAGGTCACTTGGGACCGACTGGAGCGCAAGGATATCGATGCGCCCTACATTCCTCCCATCCGCGGTGGACAGGGAGATGCAAGCCAATACGACAAATATCCCGAAGAGACGGAACACTATGGAATTGAGGGCGAGGATGCGTATGTTCTACTCTCGTGTCTTTTCCCCCTTGTCTGCTCACCTTACTAACTCATACTTAGCTACGGTCATCTTTTCCCCGATTTCTGAGTGCCTGTATGAAGAATTTTAACGAGATATGAAAAACCTGCACTCCACTGCGTAGGATCAGATAGGCACCGGCGCGCGAGTTGAAATCGCCGAGGAAAAGCAAGACTCGGAGTGAGACGATCACCATATGTCGCCTGGCTAAGGCGTGGGATGGGTTATGGATATACTATTCAATTTTCAGCAATTGCAATCGACTTTCTTTTTTTGCCTGTTTGCTATGTATTTGAAAGTACTCGAGTCACGGTCCACGGGATGGATTCGAAACCTTGGAATGTCCAACCTTGGAACTCGAGCGTTATTACAATCTCTATAATGTAACTTGAAGACTCGAACTCGAACTTGAAACGAGTAATTGATCTCAATGTACAAAAAAATATAGTGGGATTATTTCGCTAACCATCTATTCCGGCTAGACCCCATAAACCTAAGAACCATGACCGAGTAATGTACACTGGCTCTCCGGCCTTTTCTTATTCGTACACAGATCTTTCCTAGATCCCCGATATCATCCACCATAGAGTGTAAATTTCACGCCGATAGATCATGTCATATTTAGATTTTTTGTGATGACATCAAACTGAAAATCGGTCTCGCTCAATAGTAAAGATCCGCGCTTTACAGGCCAGATCCGAGGGAGGCAACGACGTTGGCATCAGCGCCACCCATGCGCTTGCTCTCCACGCCGAGACGGTTGATGTAGGTACGGCTGGTGATGTTCCACATGGAGATGTACTTCTCCATACAGTTGGACAGGCAGGTGTTCTCCTGGGCGGACATGGAAGAGCCGGGGGAAGGGACGCAAGCTTGGAAGCAGTTCTCGTTGATTTTCTAAGTGAATATAGGGTTAGCATGATAATAGTAAGAAGGTAAGGTAAAAGTGAAAGTGAAAGTGAAATTGAAAGTGAGAACACCAAGACAAGGGGAATTGGTGATTAGAACTCCGACATACGTTGATCAGGGCGCGGGCGTTGGTCATGGCAGCCTCCTGCTGGACCTGCTGGACGAGAGCGACCTTGACATCGTTAGATGAGACTGAGGAGGTGCTTGATCCGCCGAGGAAAGACATTGTGAAGAATTGGGTGTTGATGGGAGTGTGTTTAATGATGAGAGGTATGATGGTATTTGAAGTTAGCAAGATCTGAGCTTCGCGATGTGGCTGATGTAGGTTTCATGCGCCACTCTATATGCCTGAAATAGTAGGCATGAACAAGGACCCAGATCAAATGAAATTAAACTAGTAGCTTGGATATGATATGATATGAGTTTTATTTTATTTTCAATCCTAAATCATCTGATTAGCAATTAGTAGCTATATGCGAAGGCACCAGGACTCGATCATTTCCCACCGTGACATCTTCAAGTTCAAGTTTAAGTTATTGTCACTGGTCCGAGTCCAGTGGATGGTATACAAAACAACATTGGAGGCAGTCAACATTTGAAGATATCATACATACTATATGATATGGCGTGATTTATTCCATATTTCCAGCTTGAAAGAGCTTGGGCTCCAGGGCTACCTAGTCAGTCATTTCTTAACTAAATTTGAACATAAACATGTGCCCACGAGTTGGGGAAATGATCCCATGGGGTAACGATGTGTGGGTCCAGTGTAACTAATGAAGTATGGAGTAGACTAGTAGTATGGAGAGTAGAGGTGAAGCTTATCTGTTACAGGCTACAGTCGGATATTCAACTCGGACTCCGGAGACAAAGATAAAAAATACATCTCATTCAAACCAATAATATTAAGGCGATACCGCCATACTATTGATGGCTGATTCAAGACGGCAAGGAGGTCATGGCGCAGCCAATCATCTCATACAGTCACAACTGACGCCAATCGTGATGATCAGTGTATCATTCACCAGCCCCGCATTCTCGAGGACCTTGCGATCTATCTTCTTCTCCTTCTTTATCTTCCTGGGATCTCTAAATCTGGAGAGAGATAGCAACTTGAACACTTTCACCTCAACACCTCACATCTCTTAAATCTGGATATCCAAAATGGGTACCACTTACTCTAAGCCAGAGCCCTTTAACGAGAAGGCTTCTCTATCGAAGGGAAACATCACGAAGACCAACCATACCATTGATGAAGATGAGAGCCCTCGTGAGTTCATGCATTTCATTCCTCAATGCTTTTACCGCTTGAAATTGACAGAAAGTAGCTCCTCCCCCGTACCCAACTCGGGAAAGAGCCCGTTTATTGTCTCTCACAGACGTAGAGGACTGGAATGAGACTCTTCTGAGCGATCCAAAGGTTGGAAAATCCTAAATTTACCATGTCGAAATGCCCAAGCTGACTTGAAAATAGAATCGTCTGGCGATTTCTGGCTTTGCTGGCCAGTCATGGGAGCCCATTCTCGCCAACCGAAAGGCCCTAAGATATGACCAGCACATCTTCAATCTGACTATCCCAGAGGAAGGGACACCGATCACAAATCAGCGATCATCTGGACGCTGCTGGCTATTTGCCTCAACAAATGTCTTCCGCGTACCGCTCATCAAGGCATACCAGCTTCGCCAGTTCGAGCTCAGCCAAGCTTACCTATTTTACTGGGATAAAATCGAGAAGGCGAATTATTTCTTTGAACAAATCATCGCCACAGCCGACGAGGATCTATCTAGTCGCCTTGTGCAGAAACTACTGCAGGACCCAGTCACCGACGGCGGACAGTGGGATATGGTCGCCAATCTGGTCCATAAATATGGATTAGTTCCTCACACGCTCTATCCCGATGCCTTCCATGCGCAGAATAGCTCAAGAATGAATTGGCTACTTACTGCCAAACTACGTGAACAAGCATTGGCCTTGCGCATGTTAGCAGCCAGAAGAGATGACCACGCAGCCTATTTGATGGCTACCAGCAAAGATAAATTCCTTAAGGAAATCCACTCACTTGTCACTCTCTTACTGGGACCCCCGCCTAGTCCGGATAAGGAATTTGTTTGGCAATTCTATGATGCCAACGGTGCTGCGCGAGAGGTGCGTCAGACTCCAGTCGAGTTTGGCAAACAGGCATTCCAATCCCAGACTCGCATACTCTCTCGAAGTCCTGCTGCTTCTCCCGGTCGGTATTTCAGTCTTGTTAATGACCCGCGAAATGAGTACAATCGACTGCTTACAGTTGATAAACTCGGCAATGTCTTGGAGGGTCAACCTTTGACATATGTCAATGTGGAAATGCCCGTCCTTAAAAAGGCGGTTATTGCTATGCTCAAGGCTGGACACCCTGTCTTCTTCGGGTGCGATGTTGGCAAGTCCTCAGATCGTATCCTTGGAGTCATGGATGCTGATATTGCTGATCTTACTCTTGGATTCAATATCTCCTTGGGGATGAATAAGGCGGAGAGACTTGCCAGTGGTGAGTCTGCAATGACTCATGCCATGGTCATCACAGCGGTACATATTGAGAATGATGAGCCAGTTCGATGGCGTGTGGAGAACTCATGGGGCGAGACTGCGGGAGATAAGGGTTGGTTCGTGATGACGGATAAGTGGATGGATGAGTATACATTCCAGGCTGTCGTGGACTCGAACTTTGTGCCTGCCGATGTACGCGCCATTCTTACACAAACCCCTCATGTTTTGCCTCGATGGGATCCCATGGGTGTTTTGGCTTAGAAGGGTTTTGTTTTGCGAACATTGATAATGAATTTATTGAAGCATCAGAATAACATCAATTCATCCGGATATCGATTTTAGATGGGCCTTGGTAAATATCATTTATAATCTTGAAAACCTCCAGGGCTGTAGCCTCAAGGTTGCTCCGGTGGACATCAGCGCGAAACAGCAAACTAGGATACACACTACTATACATGCACTAGCAGGGGTCTACTATCGACTAGTGGATGTAGCGGCTGCCTAAAGGCATTGACCTCACCTGGCTAATCCTATGTTGAAAGCACTACGGACATCGACTTATCCTCTTTAGCATCACAGAATCTGTCCCCGGATATATGTGAAGACTCTGATTTCACCGTTCGCCTTTACTTACACTCAAGATGGATGGAAAACTACCATCCGTACCTTCTGCACCCCCAGAACCCCAATCCATCTTGCGCAAATATCCACGGTTCTTCTTCTGGATACAAACCTTTGATAACTTATTACTTCTAATAATAATCGGACTCTACTGGTACTGGCACTGGAATCGCAATCCCTTTGAAAGAGAAGCCCCGCGCCCAACTGTGACAACAATCTTACCAGAAGAACAACCCGAAGAACGGGACACGGCGGCCGAGTTTCAGGTTTCTTGCATCCCATATAACGAGACTACGATCGTCAATATCATCAGTGATATCTATCGCACCTATTTACAGCTAAATTATCTTTCAGATTGGGAGGTCTCCTGGGCCCCAGAGGGAGGCCATCCCATCAATGAGGCTCTCTGCGAAGAGCTTCACATAGACCCAGTTGTGATCTCGCTGATGAAACGACTACCATATGTGCGATTCTCAGGAATATCAAACGATATAGAATTCATATACCCATATTCCAGAGCATACGTGTATCTTGAGGATTATGAGATTCGAGTCGGTCGCGATCCGGATTTCGTTGGCTTTGATGAGCCGCGGACAGATGTTCTTCTTCCCCAGGAGATTGCTTTGACTTGTTCGATGGATGAGGGTATCCAGAATCAAAAGAAAGTGAGTTAGATTCATCGGGCACACAAATGATATTTGTTAACACATCTTAGATGCGATTCGAGTATGGAGCTTTAGCGAGTCTCCTCCTGATGGCTCGGATGATTATCGATCTTATTATCCTCATCACGCATCAACATGGCTTTCATCATATCTTCAACAACTTCGATCACTTGATTTCATCCCAAGTATGACGAGATATCATCGGAGTTTATACCATAAGGCATATCGTGATGAAGTAAGTGATCTTGAGTTATAAGCAGATTTGGTTCAAGATTGACATGCAATATAGTATCCCAAGATGAAGAAGATTCTTCAAGAGCAATATGGTTGGCCGTATAACTTCCAGGAAGCTGAGTGGAAGACTGTTTCGCAGGTTACCTGGCAGCGGATTCACCGTAATGATCCCACTTATGAGATTGGCAGAGAGGATGAGTTTGAGCCGGATGTATTGAAGGGAGGCAAATGTGATGATGATTTCTATCTTTGGCACTATAAGACTGGTTGAATTTGAAGTTAGCTAGTCTAACTTGTGCCAGTGCTAGTGAGATACTAGTACTAGTGCGGTGCGCTCTTTCACTAGATCTTTATTACCCCTTACTATAGGTACTTCTACGACCACTGGCAGCTGACAATTTCAATTCAAGTTCCAGTATATCAATTGATGTATTATGCGCATGTCAACTTCAAGTTCAAGTTGAAATTACTTCTCTACTGGTAGTACCAACTTAAAATTTATACTACTATATAGTACCTACTAAAGAGGGGAACCGTGAGGCAGTGTATTCGAGATACACGGGTCGATCCAGCTAGACTGAAAGAACAACACCAACCAACAAAGACAATGTGTCCGGACTACCCGTAGGGTGTGTATTGTCTTCTAGTATCGAACGCCAATCTTGTACGTACAATAACACAACATAACATAACGTAAGGAATGAACAATACCGAAATATCATACCCGTACGGTACGTGTAGTAGGGGACAGGGTACCCCACTACACTAACTAGTTATAGCCCGCCGTCCATTGTCCAAATTGAGATTTGCGACTTGTTGACTGTCTGGCGATTCTCCCTCGCAAACTTCTTTTGCCTCTTTCAGCTTCCCTTGATCTTTGGAGAGAATGCCAAGGTTGTTAATGGTATCAAGAGTGTATGTATGATCTGGACCGAGGGCCTTCTTATAGCCTGTCAGTGCTCGCTGGTACATCTCTTCTGCCTTATTCAGCTTCCCTTGTTTAAAGTAGAGATTACCAAAGTTGTTCACTATATCAAGAGTGGGAGTATGATCTGGACTGAGGGCTTTCTCATAGCCTGCCAGTGCTCGCTGGTACATCTCTTCCGCCTCTTTTAACTTCCCTTGATGTTTGTAGACATTGCCAAGATTGCCGACTGTACTAAGAGTGGATGTTGCCAACATCAGTGGTCCCATCTGTAGATAGATAGTTCGGACCACCATGTTGTTGATATCCAGCTCTCAGTTCGTAGTTTCCTTCCTTCCCTCACGCTTCACCAGATATCGTTCCTTGCCTTCCTAGTTTGCGCCCTTTCTAGTAGCCAGCCGTGTCGAATTGCCAAAAAGCGATATAGTCGGGGGCTTCCTTCATGCCAACGCTGTCTTGTAGGTAGGGCTCCAAAGATGTGCTGTTATAAGACAGGCCGTCCAAACTCGCAACCTCCACTGCCGAGGCTAGTATCATCAAATCCAGAAGAGCAGGCCAATAGGTCAACGAATTACATCAATTTGAATTCCGTGGATGCCCACAGTCCTCAAAAGATTGTCCCCCTCACAGCTTTGAATGGAAATCAAACTGACGACGTCGATGTGGACGCTCAACCCTCTGTTCCCCTACTACCACGGCATATTCCAAGATGGAACTCTCGGTGGGTCAAGCCCGTCCTCATCACTATGGGTTGATGCACGCTTCTAATTAACATACTCAGGTATCCCTTCCACCTCCATTACAACATCCGATTCTTGATCCCAACATGGCTGGGAGTGAGGGGCCGCACCCTCCATTTCACCAACTTTTGTTGGTATTGAACTATCTCTTTGTCTGTGTAATGCTTCCTCGTGATGAGGGTGCCATGTGGTGCATTATCTACCGCCACTCTGCTGACTGGGAAAAGCATTCGTCTTACAATACAACGGACTTTTACCGTGGCTACTCAGTACACGTGATACTTTGATCCAAGCCCATTCTTTATACACTGTATCTGTAGCCGATATAGAGTCGCGAATCCGATAGCTCCTTTTCATTTTAGGGAGATATATATCACCTGGCTCAAGCTTTCTACAAGCATCCTTCCAAAGCAAGGTGTATCTATATCGGCCGTTTGGAGTAAGAGCGAGCATAGCATTAATATGCCTCGCCTTCTTAGGAATACAGCCAGAAGACATGCGAGATTACGAGTCCAAATACACATGGCTGTATGGTAAACAATTTTACTCGTTAATGGCCTCCAGATTGAACCACTCGCCTTTATTAGAAACCCATATCTGCGTTTCTTAGTTAGAGGCCATGGTACACAGACTCCACCAAGCCTTACATTCAGAGGAAGTTCATGTGGCCCTTACAAGACCCCAAAGGATCTGCCTCGACAAGGATTCTAGCATCGAGGAGTATTATCGGCAGGCATTCCTCTCGTTGTATCTAGGATTGCTGCCCAAAATTTACCAGCTCCTCCAAGAGCCTGTATTGACTGCAGAAGTACCCGTATACCATTTGGCTCATCTCTGTGCCGAGGCTTTCCAGAAAGCGCTATCCATGGAGGCTCTTGAAGGCATGTTCACAAGTATCCCGGAGATTTTGGACTCAAAAGCCGATAGAACTGTGGTTATTGAAATGTTCCACGTCAGACTGCTCCAGCAACTGAAGCAATTGAATTCGGGTAAGTCGTTATCTGTGAATTGAATCTTCATACAAGCTAATACCCATTGGTCTCCAGAAAATCCCTATCATATCATGGTATTTCACGTTTCTCCCTCACAAAGTTTATATAAGGGTGCAAGCCGAAGCTGCATGCCTGAAATGGAGCCCCATCTGATTCCATTCGGTGAAAATGGATTTCACATACTGTAAGAACCTTGTGATACAATCTGTCATGGAGATACAACACGCTGTCTGGGTGATTATTGTTTCATGTGGCGTGGCATTCTCGGAAGGATTTCAAAGCTTACTTGGGAGCCTCCCTTAATCAATAATACCTTGGAATATGTATATCGAACTAATTCAACTGATGATTAAGTCATTCTTGACGTTGGTTTTTGTTATCTATGATTTGGTCTCAAGGAGCCTCCAAAGTAGAGAATTCAACGAAAGCATGAAGCCTGGAGGCCTAGTGCATATATTCTTTAAAGAGAGGTACCTATACTGGCTAGAAGCTCTTAGCTTGCTGTCTAGTTATTCCTGAGGGGGTCAAAGCGATGGAAAGACTTGAGTCTTGCTCCGTGAGTTCTGTTTATTTATCTACCCTAGATCCGGGACTTGCTAACAAGAAACAGAGGAATATTGAATCACAGGAGCTATACAGGCTTATCAACGATGCTCGCCGCTTCATCCTGTCACAGAAGGGTTCTATCCAAATTGCTCCATTGCAAGCATATGCCTCTGCTCTCGTGTTCAGCCCTTCCAGTAGACTTCTCCAAAACCCAATTTGGGTCCAAGGTATGGACCCAAGACCCAACCCACCTGGGTCTTGGGTCCAGCACCTAAAAACCCAACCCAACCCAAGACCCAAGCTGGGTTCCCAATGGGTACCCAGAAAAACCCAATTTTGCATAGAAAAGAGGTCTTGGCGTACATAACTCTGCTCAGTCATCAATTTAAAATACTGTTTTTTACATGTGTTTTGCATTTGTTTTGGTTTTTCTATTAGAATCTTTATATCTTTACATGTAGCTATAGGGAATTTTAAATATCTATCTTAGAGATAGATGTTAAAAAGTAAGGTTTTATATTAATTACTAGTAATAATAATAGACTTCTCATTTGAACATAGTATTTGTATATAGTAGGAAAAAATGTTACAAAAATGTTATAAATAGCTTGAAGAAATATATATTTACATGTTGTGGAGGTAGTAGATCTTTTCAGGGCATGCACTTAAAAGATCTACTTTTTTATTTTAAGCTAATTTAGTGTTTCTTCATATCAAATGGAAGCTTAAGTTCTATATTTTACTATAATTTTTATTAAATTAGAGAAGATAGTCTATATAAAATAGAGGACTAAACTAAAGAAGCCTGGGTAAAATTTTTTGGAAGATTTTTGACGGAATTGGGGTGGGATTGGGTAATCCTTGGGTTTTCTTGGGTTTTCTTGGGTTTAAAATTCAATATTATTTATTAAGATGTATATGTGCTTATTAAATGTATTAGAATTTATTATTTCTGATCTTTAATCTGCTGTATTTCCTACCTAGTCCTTACACTCATCATCCTTTTTCATTATTCTTGTTTACCTAATGTCTCAAAGCCAATATTCTGGTTTCCAATCATCTGTCTACCCATCATCGACAACTTATGATGGAGAAGAGTTAGAGACCACTATTCTTCTTTTTTTTTTAACTATCTCTAACTATCTCATTATCTAACTACCTAATAGCCAGACCATACTATCAAGCTTTGATGATCACACATTCCTCCAACCAGACATACCTCCTCCTCCTCTACCCTTTACCCGTGTTGGACCCGACCGAAGAAAAGCCTATTTCCTCTACAATATGGTAGAGCATACTGAGTGGGTTGAGTGGTGGCTGCAAACTGATTATGGGAGAAAAGTAAGATCAACTGGGACACAGCCCGCCAGGCCCCAATTTGGAATAACTTCCATCAGGTTGCCCAAATTGCAGATGGTGCACCAAAGGTCATGTGTAAGCGGTGTAATAAGGTTCTTGAGCATGCTCACTCTGCCTGTCAAAATGGCTACCAAGGCACATCAACCATGGCTAAGCACCTAAAAACTACAAGCTGCCGAAACTCTGTAAGGCAGAGGGAGAAGATTACTGGTTTTCTTGGAAGCAAGGTATGTTTTAATAGAGATGGTGTGCAGATATGCACCACCCTCAGAATCCGAGATCAGAGGTAAAGCGTGTATATTCCAAGCCGAGGTTTGGTCATTAAACATCAGGTCAAGCATTGCTATTATTTGATGAGTAACTTTGATACATTGCATATGAGTGGATCGGGCAGACAAGACTCGGACATCACTTACACTTTCCGAAATAACCAAAAGTTCCGTCGTTCTGCTGGAGAATTTGCGCCGGTTGCATAATTGCTGGATCAATCAGCTGTGGAGTTATATTGAATCCAGTTGGCTCATTCGTCAGGGCGCTTCAGTAAAGTTGGTTGGACGAATAGGGATTTCGCACGGGCGCAGGTAGACGGAACGGATCTTCGGGGGCGGAATTGATAGATTCGTCGATGTTTGGCACTTGACTCTGATATGGGTCTTGGGTAAATTGATGACTCAGGGTGTTATGGGCGAGCTAAACAAGGAAGCAATCCTATCGGCATCTCCAGAGGGTTCAAGAGCGCTATTCATCTCGCGATTAGTAATGACTTTGAATAGTTCAACAAGAAGCTCTTCGGTTTGCTTTGCCGTGCGATCCTTGTCTTGCATGGCTCTGCAGGTCTGGATAATCCTCAGAACCCCATTCTTAGCTTCCTGTGCAGAGAGACTCATTGGCTGAATCGGGTGTACAAGACATAGGATCACTCTGGCGGTAAAGAAATGGAAGTAGATAAAAGAGATGGAGAATTGGTTCTGAAACAGGTGCACAGAGAATTGAAACATTCGGTATGCAGCTATGACAGCAACGTGAAGCGATCTCTGCACCGAGGTGACCATAAAGCTCGACCAAAGAGTGGTACTGATCCTAGATTCTAACAATGGCTGATGAACGAGCATCAAGGTACCATCGTAGATAATTTGTAGGGCAGCCGCCTGTAAAATCAGGACTTTTCCATTTTCGATGGTTTTGGCAGGCAAGTCCTTCAAAGATTGATCAAATTGTTTCCATCGATCATTTGCCATCCACATTTCCAAGTTGTACAAAGAGGGTATTTCCTTATGCCACTGCTTACACAGTCAATGGTGTTGGCCTTGTACGTTCCTTGTGTCAGGAACCCAGAATCTGCGCCCAACTTTGTCAGGACAGGTGAAGGAGGCTTTGTTCCAGAAGTTGGACTCTCAGAGCTTCGGTGCCACCGCTGGTGCAGCCGGTGTTCAAATCAGACAGATTGGGCAGAACCTTCAGCCCATCGACCTTTCTGTACAGGAAAATGTGGATAAACTCTCAGTTCATTTGACTCGGTGGATGAAGAGGCAAGAGAAGGACGCTGAGGCTTGTCAATTCCCTACACTGAATAATTATTCCTTGAGATACGATGCCACAGTTGTCTATTAGATGGTCTCAGGATTTCCATGATCGGCCATGATAGACACTGATATGATGAATCTATGCTTGGAGTTTTGAGGAATACGAAATACAAGGGCTTAATTAAATTCGTCTATCCTGCTATCCCATGACTTTCTGTAGTCGTCATTGTGCACATATCCAAGGTCATGTTCTGGATTGAAATATAGAGATCGCTCAGCAGTAGCCGCCTTTTCGGCCATCCAGTCCCGTAGCCTGCTAATATCACGGCAGGTATGCAAGACATCGAAATTTCCAACTTCAGAATTCACACTGTCAAAGTACATCGCAGGGACCGGTGTCAGATCCATGTGGCATTGAATACTTTGACGTATGTGGTTGAGACAATGGTCTGAAAAGAGGAGGTTTTTAGATCGAGGTTCTGTTGGAGGAGGGCAGGGAAATAGGTAAAACACATACCACCATGTATTCTGTCTCCACGAGGTAAATTGACTAAACTGGTATTATAGTAGTACTCACTATCTAGAAGCTTTCGAACATAATTCTGGAACCCAGGGTCAGCCATTTTTCAATCCAATTCATGAAAACGAGAATGTTGCTGACCACACAATGCAAAGTATGAAGAACATCTGGTCTGCACACCCTTCCCATTAGCCGTTACCAGGTTCAGATTATTGAGCATGCGAGATTTACTAACCCGACATTTGTATGATATACAAGAGGTTCCAATGAATCTCGATTCAATCCTTCCGACTCTTGGGCAGTCGTGCCGACTTGAAAGTGCTCTATATCAAGATGTTAGATAGGTAAACAGATTGCTTCAACTCCTAGACCCACAAACGTGAAGTACTCACCTCCGATAAGTTCATGCCACGCTTGATCCACCTCTTGGCTAGGCTCTCCAAAATATCGCACACCATCTTGACCCAAGTCAATATAAAGGTGACCAGTATCATTGTAACTCAATGTTCCACTAAATCGAACTTTCGTGATGCTTATAGCTGACCGAAACGGCTCTTTGAAGAAGTGAGATAGTCAGTGGGAAATGGTACTCCCTTCTCGTTAAGAATAACAAAGGTCTGGCGAACTAACCGAACTCCGTCCCAAATCCAACTTCGTATGTGTCCCTGTGGACTTTTATATGCCCGAATATTTGAAGTCCCAGAAGAATGCAAGTTGAGAAGATCCAAGGGAGGGGATATAGAAAGAAACGGACGCGTCCACTCCTTTTCCTACTGTATGTATTGGTTTCCTCCAAAAGCTCTGCATTGAGAAGCTTTTGGTACCCAGAAGACATAGTTTAACATGAGTTCAATGTTGGTACTAGCAAAGAGACTATCCCAAAGGGAACCGTATGAGGAGCGATATATAAGTTCTGTTGATCGTCTAGTACACTGTGGGTGTACAACACATAAAGATTCTAATATCGAGTGACTAACATAAGAACCCAACTTACATAAATTACGTGATCCATCTACGCATGACCTCAAAGGTCCATGACTCGTTAGTGTGAGTGTCGAAATATGACGTAAGTCTCGGAACTACTAGTATTTGAATATTCTCATACATACTATATACGTAAAAAAATATTTGACTATCCTCAATCTTCATTCAGGGAATCCTAGGTAGTCACAAGCGGGTTTTCCTCCAGGGCTGTGCCGCTTTTTCCGTATATAACCTTGGGAGGAAGGCGAGCTTGAAATATCACTAGTTGTCTCTTATTCCTTTTTGAAGAAAATAACCACAAGATTCTAATCCACTCCAAGGATAATGCATTTCTTCAAGATCTTCGTTGCCACCCTTGCAACCACGGCAAACATTGCTATAGCGGCCCCTGTAAGTGGTGTCGCCGAACTCGAGGCGCGGAATCCAGAACCACAAGATCGTGATGGCAAAATCTATTCGAACAAGATAAGTAAGATCCAGAATGTGCTTCGTCCCAGTTTTACAAACTGTTAACACAAATTCTAGAGCGAGAGCCACAGGATCGCGATGGCAAAATTTATTCGAACAAGATAAGTAAGATCCAGGAATGTGCTTCGCCCTAGTTTGACAAACTGCTAACACAAATTCTAGAGCGAGAGCCAACCAGGTCTACCCGAGATTGGACGATGGATTTGTATTAGGAAACGGGCTGCTCGGCGTGTGGTCTGTGCGCCACGTGGATTATGCTTGCAGAGGTTGAAGTTGGCGGGATGATGCTAAGGGAAACAATGGACTTCGATATCCTTCTTTTGATGGGCGAGTGTATCTGGTGATCTGTCTGCTGCCTGATGGTCGAGGACAGAAGGCAATTATTGTCGAAGTGCTCTAGGCCAAGATACATAGGTAGAATAATGAATTCTACCCAGTGCCACACTAGATAGGAAGCAGTAATGACATCTGATTTGTTCAAACTTGAAGGAGCCGTTTCGATGACCGATCTTGCTTGGCCTACGCCTCTAAGTTATCAATCTCTCTTCCGATGTTTTCTCTGGCCCTGCAAGACATATGTATCTAGGTGACTATTTACCTCTAGAGCTGCCTCTATCTGTTCTAGTTAATTTTGAACCATGTAATTGTAGTATTTCTGTCTTATAAATCTTCTGCTGGTGGGAGTTCAGGCAGAAATACGTAAAATCAGGCATCTATTCAGGCAAATGTCCTGAATCTATTGATTTGAACCCCTCGCACATATACCCATGCGTACTTATAGAGTCATAGAGTCCTAGTCTCATATTCCGTTTCTTTAATGCGATTTCGTCTGTTAATAGTTAGGACTATGGGTTCCATATCCCTGGACTTTGTTTATTGATCATAATTATTAAGCCACTCAATTACGTGGTAACTTTCTAAGACTTGCCCTGGATGCTTTTGATGGCTTACTATTCTCACATAAATAGCGAGGGTCAGTTATGTGAGAAAATTATGCGTAGGGTTGGAGTCGGTGGTAGACCTAACGATTTTCTACCTGAGCTAACTAATCACCATGAACAACACAATTCATATTTGTTAAAATAACTGCTCAGGTGCACGGATCCAAACTCTTCCTAATTAAGGTGTTCGTTCATATGATATACGCTCGGAACCACCGCCTTTTTGGAGACTTGAGAATCTTGCGAAATTGGTTATTACAGTCTGGATTTTTGTTCCAAACAGCCTAACCTCGATGAACGCAAAAATAGCAAAATTCTAGAAGAGGAACCTGTCCTGGACGAAACTGGAAGAATCCATTGGATAGATGATGAACAGAAAACATCACACTCTTGTTTTTCCACCTATCGTCGCTCCAAACCATACTCTACTCTACTATCTCCAGGGCTGGACATCAGTTAAAACCAGTCTTAGTATTAGCCTAATCCACTATGAATATACTTCCATTTACGACCAGTTCCTCCTCACTATGGTCTGAGCGCCTTTTGATTGCCTATTCATGAATAGATTCAAAGTTCCTACAGGTGTGCATAGTATCAAGCCGTAAAATGAGTTTATCACCAGTCAAAGTCCATTCCATCGGGGTCAGATCGGCGTGGCATTGAATGGCTTGACGTAAATGATTGATACAGTGGCCTTCTTTCTATTAGTGAGAATCCAAGTAATATTACATCTTGGCAATAACCAACCTATATGATGCTCACGCGGTGGGTCATTTGGATCGTTGAAGATAACGTTATAATAGTTGGGATATAGTGCTTGACGGAGGCGATTCTTTTCTGTGACTTAACAATTTTGAAACTTAAAGGCTTGCAGGGTCGATTCCTAGAACTCAGCAAACAATGTAGAGAAGGAGATACTTCGAGCCTTTTTTATCAGTTAGTCTTGTATCTCGAGCCTTGACGCTGAGTTGGAATCAATATCTCACCCAGTAAAATAATTTCCTGTGTCAGGCCATTGGAATGTTCTGCCATGAAGGTGGTCAGCCTCATGGCCCTCAAGGTCTATATCTAGACCTTGAATCTCGATTAGTAATTCTCTCATTTTACCTCCAGACGTAGAACTAACCTGATAGAAGATGCGCCCAAGCCTCGTCGATTTCCCGCGAGGGAGATCCGACGTATCTAGGGGTTGTTTGTTCCATGTCATAGTCCCCGTTCTCTGTCATGGTGACTCCACCAGTAAAATGAGATTTTGTTAGCTCTATTTTCGATTTCACCGAGTCTGCCCGTATTTGGTAGCTATCGCTGCAGAAATGATGCCCATTCAATATGTACTGCTGTTACCTAAATCTGAATCGAATCCATATTCGTAAGACTGAGGGCATTTATAGCCACTGACGAAGCCGACACCAACAATGAAAACGTTCAGCCCAACAGAAAATGCCAAGACAAAATTCATGAAACTTCTTTTCTTAGTTGGCCTAACAGGCTGTCGGATTCTGCATCGCCCTGTTCCTCTTGCTCGAGCATCATAATTATTCGGATTCTTTGCTTTGTTAAAAATACTTCAAAATCATTTAACAGAGAGATAGAAATAAAGTAACATTCAGAACCAACTCGAGAAGAATAGTATAAGATTATTCGATAGCCAATATCTATAGCAACGCTAAGTTTGTGCAAAAATACCTTGAATGACGGACTCCCGCCCATGGATTCTTACGTAAAGATAGTAATCCTGCCCAGGTGAAAGAAGTACCTAGTAGGTACTTTCTACGAACTTTGACCTCCTATCATATTATCGCATAATCGTACCTTTGCGAGGTGCATAGAGTTCTGGATTACGTGAATGCGAAAGTCTATCGTAAATTAATGACCCAATTACCCAAGTTAGGAAATTTTGTGCATTTATTCGAAGAAATCTCTAGTGATCTACATAGTAATCGGAAATATAGGTAAATCATGCTACTTACGTGGGAATTTTTTCTGTGTACCAGGTATCTCTGGTTTCTCAAGATAGTATCAACCCCATGAGTCTCAAACCTTCCAAGGTTGATATTATGAACTTGTTGAAGCATGATCAATATTCTTTACACAACACACACCTAACTCATGCTACCAAAAGACCCCATTATGCTTTCCGAAAACGAGTGCGATGCATTCCTGAAAGAATACCAAGATTCTACGAAAGACGAACTCATCAACCCGTCAGTCGTGAAGAAAAGATATCGCCTTTTCCGGGCTGCTCAACAGTGGTTCGAGAGCAGATATAGATCAATTCCATATTTCTCTCACCTCCTCGTGTTTTTGATTACGTCCATGATTTGGGGAAGCTCTATTCCTTTCTTCATCCTTTCATCCTCACACAGTCACAAGTCGGTTGAACGAGTCGGTCATTCTATGAAGGATGCGCCCTTTTTTTCCGGAGCCAAGTACTCGCATTGCGGAAGATCAGTTGCAGAGGCGAGGGCCTTGGGCTGTCAATACGACATCCTCAGTAACCATTGGGTGCCAGGAAGATGCATGGATCAGAGCGCTGTGGTAGAATATCAATCAGATGAATCATGGTATGGATATGCCGACGAGAATCGGACAGAAATTTTGAGTATAGATGCTATGTCAGAAATGTTGTTCTACTACACCAACACACGAGATCATATTATTCATTGTGCAATGTTGTGGAGGAAGCAATACAGGGCATTTGCGGAGGGTCGGAGTACGTATGATTCCATAATCGCAGACTCTGGGCATACATATCATTGCTCTGAATATTTGATCAACATGACCACTTGGGGGATCGACTTTAGGACTATTCCAATCAAAGTGTTCGTGGGATATGCTGGTTGTTACGACAAAGGCGACATTACGGATTAACGAGTCCCTTCACATGTTGGGTAGCTCAAATGTATTAGAACTTCACCAAATTTCCATACCTTTATGCTGAGTCTATGTATACATGTATGCACTAGCTTGGTGGACTCTTGAAGAATGAATAAATTCCTCGTTCTATTCTCATAACGCGGAAATTGAATCTATGATATGAGAATAGAGCGATTGATAGCTGATCTAGTAGTATCAACCAGAATGGGAACATTGAAAGCTTTAGCCATTTATGACTTCGTTGATTGAGAAACGTGAGATATGCTTGTTGCGGAAGTCGGAGTCAAGCCAGACCGAGTTCCTTGAAGAATGCCTCTCTGCTTGGTTCACGACCTAAGAACTCAGTCAGGGTCTTCATTCCATCCTGGCTGTCACCCTTCTCAAGAACCAGGTGTCGATATCTTCGGCCTTCTTTAGCGTTGAGAGGGTCAGGCTTGAATGCCGTGTAGAAAATATCAAGGGCATATACCTCTGACCTTTAAAAATGTGTTAGTTAAAGATCTATACTCTTCAGGCAAGGTTTTCTTACCATAGATAACTATAGAAGCCCGCATCATACGTGCCCATCCAGTGTGGAATATTTGCCTCGCCGTGGCCCCATCCATGACCCTGACCTAGTGTCTCAGGACCATCAGTCAGTCTGATTGCCTTTCGCAGGCTATTAAACTTCGATGAGATATCCAAATCTATGATCTCTTGGTGAGTTGTAGGTGTATGGATTTTCATATCAAAAACACTCAGAAATATCTGCCACAGGTGATATAGTCCCTTTTTCCAGTTACGGGATTGGATAAGTCCTGTAATCATCTCGTCCGGGATTTGGTCGGAGGGCCTTGACTTGGGTTGGCGTTCTTGTTTTCCTAGACAGGAGCTTTCTGTTGATAGGGTTAAGTAGTGTCGACTCAGAGATTTTAACTGTGACGGTATCCAGCACCAGTTCTCAAGCATTTGGCTAGGCGCTTCTGCAAAGTCTTCCGTTGATTTTGTACCATGAAAGGTTGAGTAAGTAGTCTTTGCTACAAGGTCATGGATACTGTGTCCTAGTTCATGAAATATCATTACAACATCATCATGTCTTAGAAGACTGGGTTTTCCAGGACTAGGCTTCGGGAACTGGCATAATAAAGCTGTGGAGGGATAGGAGCGTGTCTCGTCTTGTTGAGTAAAGCCCTATATGTCATCAGCTCTGAACGAAGCTATCAATGTGAAAGGTGGAATAGCATTATGAAGCCACCCAGAGATTTAGGACCATATTTTCTTCATCAGGCAGAAGCTAGGATAAGAGATAATACGTACCGGCTGCAGATTCCAGTTCGATGGATTTGGATATTTACCGACTCGCGAGAACAGGTCCATATAGAGGTAGCCAACGAATCCACTGCCTAGGTCTTCATCGTCCCAAACATTGAAAACCATGACATCCTCATGCCAAACAATGTCACTACCTTTTTCGACAACCATTTCTTTAAAAACAAGACCAAACAACTTCTCGAAAATCCCCAGCATATTTTGGACTGTGGTTTGCAAAGGGAAATACTCTGCAATCTTCTCCTGGTCAATTGACAATTCGTTTTGATTCATTAGTCGAGTGTAGAATGAATGGTCCCAGAGATAAAAGCCGTTGAAGGGTTTTCCACGAGACTCCAAATCTGCCTTTTTCAACTGCTTTTGCTCGGCAAGCTCCTTTTGACCACTGCTCGTTAACTTGGACCACAAGTTATCCAAGAAAACCTCCACCGTCTCAGAGTCTTGGGCCATCTTCTTCTCTATTCTAAAGGATGCGTGATTTGAATATCCAAGCAGCCGAGCAGCTTCATCGCGAAGCACCACAGCCTCTTTAAGAATTTCCGCATTCCGTGGGCATTTATTTTCATTGGCAATAAAGATTTTCTTTCGGGTTTCTTCGGTCTTTGCATTTCTCAGTGCCATGGAAATATCGGCTGCTTTGAAACTTAACCAAACCTTGCCCAAATGATTCTCATCTGTTTTTCTATTCTGTAAGGTGGAGATAAATTCCACAGGTACTCCATCCAATTCCTGCAGGGTAAGCCAGAGACCCCCATTTTCGCTGTTAAGATTCTTTTTGTAATCGATTTTCAGTTGACTGAGATGTTTCTGGATTTCTTTGAAGCGATCCCGCTGGGATTTAGGCAGTCCCAATCCATTTCGGTAATAATCTTTGTATTTCTTCTCTAACAGTCGATATGATTCCGGATCCAGTTCTTCAAGGTTGCTTTTGTGGAAAACCGACTTGACTAGGTCGTATAGGTCTTCCCGAGTCTCTGTCTCAAGAACAAATTCATTGAAAAGCTTCTCAGCCTCCGCTGATGCATCGCGTAGTTCTGGGTCTGTCGACACAGACTGATAGAATTTGAGAACTTCAAATCCAACTGCCAATGAATTTTCATCGTTTGCGAGTGGTAGCAGAACGTTTGCAAAAGTTGCGCCCTCTAGCGGCACATGTGCCACAAGCTCATCTTTCGCCTTTCGAGAGCGCTCTATCAGATGCCTAGCCTTGCTGAGAATCGTCGACGGTGTGTCACTGAATCTTGGGGGCGCTTGAGGTGGCCCTTGCAGCCTGTTTGATGACATTGTCGTATCTGATGGTGCGTTAAGATGTTGGAATTCCTAGGAGGGAAAAAGGGAACTGAAGAAGGGAGCATGGGCAGAAGAAGGGGAAGAGAGGGCGCCAGCGAGGTGAGAGATACTCCTAAGGGTATCAGGTGACTACGTGACTACGGTGGTCCGATCTCCCACAGCAATAAAGCAGACAAAGAGAAGAGCCAGGGTACTACTCCTAGGTACCCCTAGTATGGTAGTGGTTAGATCACTACATGATACTCCGTACATGCCCAAGTGTGAATGGAACCAGCGCGGCTGACGTGGCCTTCGCATTAGTGTCCACGGGTAGTGCCCTGTTGGGGAACTCTCCATACGTATGATACCTGTTGTTACGTTTTTTTCAAGGTTGCTTTTCCAGCCCTGGAGAGGTCTTATGTCATGTTCCGTAATTGTAAATACAATATTGCCACCTCCAGGGTTGCCCAGGTCGGCAGTTCTTACCGTTTCGGAATACACACTCCTAGAACTGGGGATGATTTCTGCAACCTTGGAAGTGCACGCTTACGGGTCATCTCGGTGTCCAATGTAGTAAATGGGTGGTTGTGGCGCGGCCCATTGAAGCTAAATCGATTCATGCATCTTTAGCGTGCACAGCTTAGAGCGTTCCCCTCTTCACTAGTTTTCATAGTATGCGAGGCCAATCATGCTGCCAGAAAGGAAATACTACATTTCGCCGAAGGATTACAACACAATGGATGATCTCCTGTGAACTGATTGGTTATGGGGATTGCCATGGCGTAGTACACTACTAGTTATAGATAAGTGATTATGTATGCACCTTATCAACCTTCAAACCTGTCCAATGAATTATGGGCCTTCCAAAGTTCAAGATAAGCAGTCTTAGAGCTACATCGGCGTAATGAGGTATGTTTCAAGGGAGAATTATGCCTAAAAAAGCACTATTCATGCCTAGGTGATATTACCAGAAATGCCCCATAAGGGGTCCCTTTTTAGTGGCTTAATGGTTCAAACCCCACATGCTTAGTATGACAATCCTACTACCCTAGTGACCCTTAAGACTAGCACCCGTGGACCGTCACTTCTATGGGTTACTGATTTACTGCCTTGCTCATTAGTCTCTCTTTATCTACGGATATTATATCATCCCTGAGTAAGTCTGGGTGTAATACTCGTAACGAACGATTAGTATACACGGATTATCACATAAGCTAGCTGAAAATTCAGAATAATGAGTTCAAATGTTAGAATACGGACCAAGAGGGAACAATTGCGCTGCTCAACGACGTCTGTGCATGTGCCCCATCTGGCAGCACGTTGACAGTATCTTACGTTATATCCTTGTTTAGCCTAGTAGATCCATCAAACCTTGTCTACATACTATCCTCTCCTGGCTATAATTCATCCATGACATGCCAGTTGAATGTTTATCTGCTTTCTTGGTCTACTTGGGAGCCTCTGTTGTGGGGTTTTATGACATTTGTTAAGAGACTAGAGAAAGATCCCGTCATCTCTCAAGTCACGGTGCTGGTATGTTGATCATTCTTCAAAGGATTTGGAGTCGAATTCTCTAATTATATGTGCAGCTTCGAGAGGATTTGGCTACTATTTTACCTGTGCACGCTTGACTTCTGGAAGTATTTCTGGAAATATGTTCTTGAGATGGAAACTGTCATACAGCAGGCTTGGGTCAGGCAATGTCGACAACGACTTAGGTCAAACTTCAGTTGCCAGTGCTGAGGAACATAATGAAGCCGGGCGGGGTCAAGACCTACTAGTATTTCCGGCGCCTAGAAAAGGAAATATGGCCTTGGTTATTGCTACAGCTTGCGGAATCGCCATATTGGCGTTCATCGTTCTCTTGACACATGCGCACCTAAATGCGAAGTTGCGCAATAATGTCCACCAAGTTTTTCCATGCGGAAATTCATCTGCACAAGCGAGGGCACGTGGTTGCTCATTCGACCAATTGATGTGGTCGTGGTATCCTAAGCACTGCCCACATTACGCAAACGATGAATATCTCAACTTTCAAGACTGGAAATTTTACTCTGATCCTTATACAAAGGAGGTTGTTGATAAGAACAATTGGACCAAAGCATTAGACAACGAAATATCGGTATACGGTGAACGAGGAGAACACTTGACCCATTGCGTTTTCATGTTCCTTAGTCTGGCACAAATCCTGCATGGTGGTGGAAAGTATACGCAGCGCTACCTAGACTATCCGCATATGGAGCATTGCGCTAAGACTCTTCTACAAGCTCTTCAAAAGGATGATGTTCACTGGCATGATATTGAAACCCTTGCAGGCCGTGTCGTTTATGATCTGGACTGTTCAAAATAACATCATCCTATCCACCATCAAAGAAATTTCACATAGGTGTTCCTCGATTTAGTATGAAAACAATAGCAATCGCTTTTATCCTGATACCAGAAATTCATTCCCAAATATTCATCGATGGTAGGTATTTCTCCATATCAAAAACACTGGCATATATCAGACAAATTCTGTTCAGCGCGCAACATTTGACTCTATGCCTCAATATCAGCCCCATGGGAGAGGAGAAGGCTTGTCAGAGATAACGATCCGCACTCCACGGCTAAATGCAATGCAACCTCCCCGTATGAGTCCCTCATATTAACATCAATGGATGCCTCTAAAAGCAGCTTTGTAACATTCTCATTATCACTCTGGACTGCTGAGAATAATGCAGTTCGTCCTAAAGAGTCCTTGACATTTAAGTCTATCTTACCCGCAAGCAAAATACGGACCAGAGGCTCATCTTCACTTTCCACGGCCAGATGCAGTGCAGTTTTCCCGTTGCCGTCTTGTTTCCCAACATTTGCTCCTCGTTCTAAAAGAAGACGAGTAATCGATTCATTTCCCGAGCAAATTGCACGGTGGAGTGCGGTCTGGTCCCCATTCTGTTTGGTTCCTGGGCTGGGCAGCCCAGGTAGGACGGGTTCGCTCTGAATAAACTAAAAGTTATTAATATTCATATCGTCGAGGTTTGATGATATGGTTTTTTCAACTACCTTGTTTTTTAGACTGTCAATCTGTGAGCCTGGCAGACTCAAAGGAGTGAAGCTCGCGTTTGTGGTCACGGTTTCATTATATGGGAAAGACCAAAACTCGTCATTTTTGGGAGGTTCATGAGTGATTGCTAATTCGCTATTGTTCACCAGGCATTGTCCAACGGCTTCCTCTAGAGCTCGAAGACGTTGCTTTTGATTGTATCCTTCGTAAATTTGTTAGTCATTCTCTAGCTAACCTGGTGAACGGGGTTGTCTCACTGTAGGTACGCTGGGCAATACGGTTCTGATTCCGTTTTCGCTCTTTTGGATCTTCGGGTCTTGTGCTGCTCACTTGGCAGTGTTGTGGAGTTACAACCTTGTCGCTAACCACGTTATTCATGTTGTCACTGGCTGGACCGACCATATGCAGAAGTAAGGCTCTATTCAAGTTCGACCAATTTTCAACTCTTGAAAACGAGACAGTAGTTTCATCCCTTTGATTGAAGGCAAACCCCTGGTCTTATAAAGATGGACTCCAGGGCTATCCCCGCCTTTTTGCATCTCCCAGTGGACTAGCACCTATTAGATACTATGAATATGTTTCACGCGAGCATACTAGCATATTCTAGTAGAAAAAACGCATACTCGGTTGACGAGGTCCATTGCCTACTTCCAGGAACAGGTGGTATTGTCATACGCGGTTCTGTGTATTGTGTCCCGACCTCAGGAGGTCATGATGTTCCAACCTTGGTTCTCCAAGGCTGTTCTTACCGCCTCCAGGGCTTACTATAAAATATAAGTAGCCCCTCTGCTATAGTTCTGATTCTGACTGAATACACACACCTTCTCCTCTCTCTTGGCCCTATGGGTTCTTCCTGGCGTCTGCTACGCTAGAGTGCAGTGGTGGTTTGGTCCCGAGGTCCGTTGTGCTAGATCGACCCGTAACCCGCTGAATGTACAGCTGAGCGCCCGGCGGGCGTTCCCACTGGTTGGGAAGATATGCCAGCATAACCATAACAACAACAACGTACGCGTCAGGTCACATCCGTGCACGAATAACTAAGTTATTTTAATTTAATTGAGTTTACCAGACGCCCTGATACGCTAATCAAGCTTATCACTAACCAGTGTTTATTCTAAGAAAGTGACGAGCAGGCAACCTCAAGTGCTGCCATGCATCTAACCGGATTGAGTAATCACTGCCATGCGGAGCACTACTAGTTGGACACCCCAAAAATGCTAAAAGGACACCCATCACCCAATTAGGCCTAGCTTATGCACTCCCATACATATCTCACTGCCCAGGTAATTAATCCGCCACGCCGATGTACCATCCATCCACGGGCGGGAATCCTTACCATCTATAAAGTACAATATAACAACTAAGCCTTAAGTTATATGGTTCTCCTGTAGTGTATTCTCAAGAACAGCCTCTATTTTATAAATATAGAGAGTGTTTTCTCCTACTAGAAAGGGACTAGGGTGATTAAGTAACTTGAAATAAGAGAAGCAAGATCTACAAAACTAGTAAAGGCATTCCAACAGTACCATAATTAGTAGGTAAAGTAGAAGTAAGTAACCTTTCCAAGGTTAAGTAAGAGGCTTAGGAATGAGGTCAGAAATCAGGCTTTATAAAAGAAGACAAAATAGTAACCTTGGAAGTAAAGTATTAGCAATAGCACAGTATAAGGCCCCAAGGGCTTAGTACAAAGTAGAAGTACAGAGTAGACAGTAAGTGGTCGGACTTATGTAGTACATCGGCGTGGTGGATTAATTACCTTAGCCAGCGAGCTGGGTCCTGAAGTGTATAAACTAAGCCTAATTGGGTGATGGGTGTCCTTTTAGCATTTTTGGGTGTCCGACTAGCATGGCTCGCCATGCGGGAAGACTCTGGAAACGGTGTAATTCTAATAGCACTTTCCAATATCGTCCATTTTACCCGATTTATTATGTCCCCGTACGCGAGTGCTGGCCCTGGAGGGTCACATGGTATAATTTATAAAACAGAAATACAATAACGGTATTTGAAATTTCAGGTGGTATCTTTCCAACCTTACGGAGTAGAAGGCTCGACATTGTAAGATTAACATCTCGCCGCGGGTGCTGATGTAATCTTTGGATTGATGCGAATAATTCGAAGAACCAGCGCTCGCTCACGTCCTATGAAAGCTTTGTACGGCGCCATTTTCCATGAAGTGATTTACTGTCATTGCGAGAAGCATCTTAATCTAGAGTAGGTATATTGAACGGTACTAGTAGTATACGCGCAACCGAGTTCATCTGCAATCTGGCTAGATTTTTGACCTGCTTCCGAACATTCTTCACCCATATATATGGACTCAACCCCTTATTGGATGCAATACTTCCACAAATTGGCCTTAAAGGCGTGCGATGAGGCATTTGGAATAGCTTTTAATAATCAAAGCCCGGATGAAATTAGGATTGCGAAGTGGTTGACGCGATAAGATTAGTATATTACCGAACCTTGGAACTTTTGCGCTTTGACAACGAAAACGGGGCATAAAACGGAAGCCCCACTAACCCAGATGGGGCCACTGTGAGCGGTATCACTATCTCGCTCCCCGTGTGGCGTGGGCATCTGCAAGTGACTATGTAGGCTGTCCGCAGCCGTTAGATAACCAGCCGTGTCGTACAGGCGGTAACATTTGCGGAGGCGCATGGCTCAGAACTGCGGGCACATGTAGAACAGAAAGCTCGCTACACTATTTCATATTATATTTCACCCTGGTGGGCCACTTATTCCATTACTATCGAGAGATGGATGTAGCTTACGTGGGTTCTACTACCCACAGATAAACCGATAAGGGTTTTGGCAGCGTTGTCTAGATACTAGTTCTGAATCCGAGATGGGATATTACTTTGGTGTACCTAGATATGGCTCATCACTTGACTCGGATTTTTCATTTCATATCTCCCACGGCCAAGTACCTTGCTCTCGCAAGACTTAGTCGAAGTACAGAAAGTCTTATTCAATGAGCTCAAGGGCTCAGAGTCAGACTTCGCTTAGTTTCGTCAAGATGGACTCATGGAGCGGACACCTGGGCGTTAGAGAGATGCGAATAGAAATTAGAGTAACATCTATTCAAAGCAGTGTCTAAACTAATCCCACAAGACATTCGAAATTCCCAAAGCTCCATGAATTGAACTTCCTCCCTCTAAGGAAGAACGAAACCTTGCTGCATTCTCTTCCCAGCGTTCCGGATCCGCGGAATCTCGATTATTTGCCCAAACTTTCAATGACTCGTAATCTCGGCAGGTATGATCCACTTCAAAGTCTGGTATAAATCTATTTCCATTTGTCGTCCATATGATCGGTGAAAGGGTCATGTCCCCGGTACACATCAGACTCTGTCTAAGGCTCTCAATGCAATGGTCTAAGGCAGGTTAATGAATTCTGTATGGATTGAGGGTTCCAGAGGCAGCCAACATACCTAAATGAGGTGGCCATACTGTCATATTCTTCTCCGGGGTGTAGTAGTCCAAACGCAAAGATTGGCGTATCATGTTCTTGTTTTAGGGGGAAAAATGAGTTTTCTTGACCCTTCATCTCAAATTCGATTGTAGAGACTTGGACTTACTAGACAATGTAGATCATGGAATACAGTGATCCTTAATACTTGTTAGTGACACGTCTTTTTTAGTTTCTAATGAAGACAACATCTGAACGATGGGGTCGTTTACTCGGCCATGTACAAACCACTAGCAGGATCCAAGTATAAGCCTCCTCCTAGTAATTCAGCTTCCTCTTCGGATACGAAAATGTTGACCGCTGCACATGTGAGTTGTTAACTTCCGATGAGCCTCGTTCTATATATCATTAATCAAGGCTGTAATAGCATGACTTGCCTCCGATAAGATCTTTCCAGGCAGCATCAATTTCGGGACTCGGTTCCCCGACATATTCGGGTCCATTTTGGTTGACAGGGCGATAAAGTTCGTGTGCCTCGTTATACTTTAGTGCGGCAGTAAAACGTACTATTTGAGAGGTCGCGGGAAGTTCCCTTGTTATAGGCTCTTGTAACAATTGGTTAATCAAACTTGGTTTTTGAATAAAAAAGAACATCAATCTGCACATGTGGCAGACATACCAATCTCTGTAGGTGCCCAAAAGTATTTTGGAATACAGGGTTCCGATCTCAATCCCAGACTGGCTGTTAATAAAACAGAAAGTATGGAACATAAAACCCAAGGTATTATGATTGCATAATAACGATAGTTTCTTGCTGGCTTCTCCAGATTCTCCTGTGTTGGACGAAATTCTGTAAGAAGAAGCTCTTCTGACTCTCGAACATATTCGTCACTTGATTTGGTGAATTTGGCCATGCTAAGTTAATGATTCCTCTCCAAAGTAAAGTGATTGTTTCAGGCAAGAAAACATGCTTGTGAGATTTCCGCAAATAATCTGGGGCGGGTTAGTATAGAACAGGCTTGGAGTCTATCAATTGATCCATGCATGGATGGTTATATCTCGTAAGCCGAGGTTATAGATGAGATCACATCACCCGGAAATTACATAGCTCAGATTTCTCCAAAAACGCCAATTCACTCGCGCCATTCTAAAGATTCAATTTTTGAAGTCTTTAACCAACCTTGGAATACCTAAGTTCAGATATCCCAGTCTGAGGCCCTCATCCATTCACATTCATTTAGGCCAACATTCTTGTGCACATGTGTAGTCAATTCTTATTCCGGGTCCACTTTAATTTCCTCAAACGTCATTTGATGCTTAACTAAATATATTTATCCTTCAAAACTGATCAAATTTGGAAATTTCTGAATATGCCGCCATGTCAGGTAGAACCTTAGTTGGCAGCCTGCCGTACCAACGTTTTCAGACCCTAACCACCGGCCATCGTCACAATACTAAGAAAGACTTCTTAAAGACCTTAGACTTAGCACAGCTCAAAGCTATATCCAAATACGGCTAGTATATTTGCTCATAGCGGCGGCTCAATAAAACTTTTTTTTTTCGTTCACCGAGCCCTTTGGACCACTCTAGAAAGGGTTGGACTAATGCGACCTGTAGGCTCTCGTAAGCCATGATTAGATCACATGTAATTAATTACATTTGAAATATAATGAAATCGACCATTCAATAATTCCAGGCTTTTCCATCTTATAAATGAATGCTTCACTCAGCTCTAGGGCCTAACTAAAAAATTGCAAGCTGGAATTACGTCAGCTTCTATGGATTGACATCGGGCACCTGCTACATACCAACCTTCAATGTTGGAACCTAATCTCATTGTACATACTTATTAAAGATAGTTTATCTGGATACTACTAGCTATCCCCAAGTGCAGGCATGGCCGAGTACAAGAAGATCCCCGGAGAGGACTCACAATCCAGCGATAACGACTCTGTTGTCGCTGAACAATGGACCAAATACGATCACCTCCGAAATTTTGGCGTCAGGACCGTGATTTTCATTCTCCTTGTGCAGATTATAACGTATCTCGCGATTGTTCTGCTCCTAGCATGGATCCTCAAAAATCAAACCTCATACCACAACTTGGACGGCAACGATCTAGAGAATACCGGTATCAATCAAGCTCGCACAGATATAACATCTTGCGGAAGTACCCCTGCTGAAGCCATCGCGGCTCATTGTTTCTTCGACCTTTTCTCATTTGGATGGACCCCACCAGAATGTACGGACTTGCAACTTTACAATGAGAGCCTGACGACTTTGAAGTCTCAGCTAGAAGGCTCTCCAGCATTCTACACCCTTTCCAGTTCCAGCTCCCCGCTTCCACTGGGGTCTTCAAAGTACACTATGCTGCCTTTTTCCGCAATAGAAAACTATGCGCTAGGCACAGCATCCTCTACAGATTCTGAGCTCCTCATGAATGGCAAAGAGGTGTTCGCAACATGGGAATACTATCTAGTTTCATGCACATATGGATGGCAAAAGGTGCAAAGAGCAGCGATGAGAAATTGGCCATTGGAGGAGTGGTCTGCGAGCTATTCATTAGCAGCACATTGCGGGCCTGATTTATTGACAAGACAAAAGCGAGAAAGTGAGAGTATCGTGTCACGACATACACCTTGGTATCCAAGATGTGGGTTAGAAGCAAAGGACCTGAGGAGGGAGATTGCAGATATAATCTAGCGACTCGGAGGGTTATATGCTCAATCTTGCAAGGCTCAACATTTCAAGTTATACATGCGCAGATTACGATTTTATGCCCATGTGTAAAGCAACATTTGAACTAAATATTCGGGGTCAACCCTTGGGATATTTCCAAGGTTAACATTCATCCACTGCATGTGAATATAGGTAACATCAATTGATACATCGAGTGATCATTTGACCATTCAAAATGTTGGAATTTGAACCTTGGAAGTGGGTAGAAAATCTAGCAAGCTTGTACATACATACGTGCGTGAACTTGAACCCTTGGAACCTTTAAAGGAACTTGAAGCAAAATGCGACAGACAACTCAGGCTTTAGATGACTTCCATTTATATACCTATATACATGTGCAAGCTAGTTCTACTCGTTTCCCTTGGTCCCAAATCTATACATCTCTTCTGCCGTCAACCCGCAAGAACCAAAAAGAAGGTTGGCGGTCGTACCGGATGTTTCATTTCGGTGGGTTTTGTCTTTTTGCAACAGTTTATGAGAGCAGTGATACGAGTGCTCAAATTCAGAAAGCTTCTTATCCAGAGGCCGCTCGTTGGCAAGGGCTCGAATCAGCCTGCGCCATTCGTATGTGCAATGTAAATCATGAAACTGACCAGATGTTGGACGAAGGTCGATATATGTTCCTGTAAGAACCTCGGCGGCCGTTACAGGAGTATAGTCCATCATTCTCCAATCAGTCTCATGGCTATGGGCACGGAAGAATTCGTCATGCAGCTCCTTGTCCCAGCATGGCTTGGGGTACCATGCGTAGGAAAACATGTCAAAACGACAATCTAATGCTTTGGCCTCAGCTGGAGTTGAGCCGCAGTGAAGGATGTTTGCTGGAGCAACTGGAGGAGAAACCAGATAGGCGTGGGCTGGCAGTAGACAAAAGACAACCAATGTCAAGGCCCCGTAAGTCATTTTTGTGGAATATGACCGGGAATTCGCTATTTCCCGCGTGTAGAATTGGTGGTCTTATTCATTGACAGTGAAAGATCACAATCAGACTCGATTTAATCAACTTAACAAGGACTGTAAATGTATTATACTCATTTTCGTAATATTTGAGAATTACGTTATGAAGAAGTCAGTTTGTCTTGTAGTACGTAAGTGAACGCATGTACATGAGGGGTAGCTGAGAAGAAATGAGCGGAGCTAAGTGTTTCTGGATCCCAAGTGCTCCAGACTAGATGGAAGTCCTAATTTGAAAATCGAAAACAGGAATCGCCAGCAGAAATCCAATACTCAGTTAGGTTTTGGGATCCCAATAAGTCTACATAAGCCAGGGCTGTCAGTGCTCACCTCATGACTGTGATTTTCCATACCTATATTAGCGTTGAAGGTATCCAAGAGGTAGCCAGCAAATTATATATTTTAAGCAAAGGCATATCAGCTAAGAATTACCCAAAAATGTAGCAATCCTATGATCCATCCACTGGGTGTCTTCTGCATTCCCACCACCTCCTCCCATATGTCCCCAATTGGAAGGGATAACAGCGAGTTCTCCATTCTTCAAAAACTGCAATTCCCTCTCACTGGCTTTCCATGTAAAATATTGGTCCGTTTGACAAGGCATGAGAAGGATCCTTGCAGTCAAGGCACGTAAAGTATCCTCAAGACTCATATCGCCATTGCTAGTAAGGCTCAGATCAGATCGCTGCCACATTCTAAGAATAACCAGCAGATCGTCAGGATGCTAATTATCATAGCCCTTGGCTCCAGCCTCAGCCCATTCATGGAGAGTTTCAAAGCCCCATTTTTGGAACAGCTTTTCTTCAAACTATTCAGCGCTTGTCAACCGTGTTGAATATACTCTCCCAAAAGTATATAGGCCCTTTACTGGCGTAATATTCTGAGCTTATAGCGCTTTGTCATTATAGTTGACGGAGTTTAAGAGAGCGGCCTTTGGTCCTTCCAGGAACTAATAATTGTGAAGACTTGTTCGAGCCGATGAGCATATAATCACCGCATTTCGTATCATCTGAGGATACATAGCAGTCCAATGATATGCGCATTGTCCACCCATAGAGAATCCCACAACAACATCCACCGAGGGAATTTTTAGATTTTCCGTGATCAACTTATGCTGAGCGTGAACACAGTCTCGGTAATCAAGGGTCTCGGGAAAATCCGCTGTATTGGAAGGACTTGCGGATTCGCCATTGCCTAGAAGTGCAATCATAATCACTCGGTGGTCTTTCAACACTACATTCATGAAATTGAGAGTGCCGTTTATTCTTCCACGGAAGTATGTGGAACCAGTGTAATCTTCTCTCCGCTGGGATTGAACTCCCTGTATGCAATTCGAACAGTTGGAAGGGTCGCACCGCTCTGGAAAGTGAAGACTTTCAGCTCCACGTATTTGATTCCAGTATCGTTGTAGGAGGAAGCCATGGCGGAATGCAAAAGCAAAAATTAATTATGAGACAAAATGTTGTTGAAATTTGAAAGGTTTGAACATTTAAAGGCCCAGAGCCTTGTGGTACAATAGAGTAAGCCACTGTGGGCCGTCGGAGATTCCGCTCGGAGTCCATTATGACGCGAAACCAATTTGGACTAGCGTTATCATGGGCAACTCATTTATTCATTTATTCATTTATGACTCATTTGCCTTTAACGGATTGGTCTCTGGAGCTTCAAGTAAGAGTATACAGGACCCAAATTGGTGTTAACATTGGGTTTAGTTTGATTCGATTTTCGGTGTTTCCAAACGTCTCATGGATAGGACAGTGTTCAGATAACTCATCAAGGTTTCAATTCAAGTGGATTTTTTAAGGCAACATTGCTGGGTAACTATTTGCCTGGTATAGCTGAGCACCTTGAATAGGTCATCATAACAATACTAGTACTGCAGTCTCCTATGCATTTAATCCTAGTAAAAAAATAGATTCGTCAACTGTTAGCAGTTTTGTGGCGACCTGGCGTGATCGCCGCCTTGTCTTCTGTTAGATACCTCCAGGGCTCATATGCTTGTTTTCTTTTTCGCAGTAAAATTACAGAATGGAACACCACCAGGCCTGGCTGCGCCTTTCCCTTTCATCTTTAGCTTTTTGTTTCGGGGCTTCCAACTCTTTGTCTTGCGCTTTTAAGGTTTCGAGTTCTTTCTGCAGCAATTCTTTTTCCGATTTAAGTGAGTCCACTTGCTTGCTGAGTTGATAATTCTCATTTTCAAGGATCTTATGCTGTTGCTTCATGTGCTGGATCTCCTTAAAGTGTTGATTTTGAATGGTTTCGGGGCAAGATGCAGGCGCTGATGACGGTTCGACCTCCTTTCCCTGATCCGTGAGAGGCTTCACTGCTTGACTGGTTGGCTGTTCCGGGCAGTTGGTGCTCACACGGTCTGCATGGTTGGCCCCAGTCTTTCCATCTGATTCCGTAATTTGACTTGTGCCAAAGTTCCAAATTCTGATAGTTCCATCATCGTGACCAGAAACCAAGAGTTGACTTTTGACATCGGGTGAGAAAGCCAGTGATTTAACCAGCTTCCGATTTTTATTCATCAAAAGGCTTTCCAGCGTTTTCCTGTGGCAATATCCCATAGTGTAATAGTCCCGTTGTCAGCCAGAAGAAAAATGAAAACAATTGATTTTCCCAGGGCCGGCTGGAAGAACTGTGATTATATTGCCAGTGCTCACATCCCAAATATTGATAGTCTTGTCGTGAGAGCTGAATGCTAGCAGCCGACCGTTGTGTAAAAAACCCATAGTTCTGACCAGACCAGACTGGTGTGATCTATAATTCGGGTATAGTCCATCTATGCTCGTATCCCAAATTTTCACTGTCTTGTCGCGTGAGCCCGACGCTATAATGCTAGACGCCCTTTGCAACCACCTCGCCGAAAAGCCTGGCCTATTTGTCAAAGAGATGGCACTCTTTCTTTGGGAGGAGTTCCGGGTGCAGCCTGGCTGGATAAAAAAGAAAGCCTAGCAAAAAGCAAAGGAACAAAATCCTCAGCTACGGGATTTCTACCAGTAACGTGATTCCCGGTCTAACGGGTCACCCCACCCAAAATCGCGTCTTTCAATCATCCTACCCAATTCAAACACCTACCATGCCGCCAGCTCGCAATATTTCGGCCGAAAAAAATGCCAACCCAGAGGGCAAGATCTTATTAGCCCTTGACAATATTCAAAACGGCCGAATCAAGTCTATTCGCGCAGCCACAAAGCTTTATGGAATACCCTACACTACACTACACGCGCGTTTGGCTGGAAGGCTTCCACGCGTTGATTCTCATCGTTCTTGCTCTAAATTAACACAGTTAGAAGAGGACGCACTTGTTGAATGGATTATCTCTATGGATACACGTGGCGCAGCGCCTAGGCTGTCTACTATGCGAGAAATGGCTAATATCCTACTGGCTACACGCGGTAGCCACCCCCCACCTACAGCCAGCAAGAACTGGCCATCAACATTTATCAATCGACGTGATGAGATTCAAACACGTGTCTCTAAGCGATATGACTACCAACGTGCTCTAAATGAAGACCCTAAATCAATTCAAGCATAGTTTACAACTGTACAACAAGTTATCGATGGGAACGGGATCCAACCTGAAGATATCTATAACTTTGATGAGATAGGCTTTGCGATAGGCCTTATTTCAACATAGACGGTTGTTACACGACAAGAATACTATGGCCGGCGCACTATTTACAGCCTGGAAACCGTGAATAGGTAACGGCAATTAAAGCTATCTATGCAGATGGCTTAGCCATTCATTATCGCCTTGTGTGATTTTTAAGGGAAAGATTGCTGTTACTAGTTGGTTTAATAACCTACCAAAAACTAGCGACTCGAGGTCTTAGCTAATAGCTAGACTACTAATGAGATTAATTTACAATAGCTAAAAAAAGCTATTTGTTCCATTAACAAATTCATATATCCATGGTCGATTTCGGCTATTAATACTTGATAGCCATGGTAGCCATCTTATGCCTCAATTTAACCGTCTCTACTTAGCGAATAATATTATCCCACTCCATATACCAGCATATTCATCACATCTATTATAACCACAAGGTATTGGTTATTTTATAGTGTTAAAACGTACATATAGTTGTTTTATAAGCAACCTTACACGTATAGGCTATAACTATATCAACAAGCTTGATTTCTTAGCTGATTTCCAACGCACACATGTTGAGGCTTTTCAGCAAAATACTATCCAGAACAGCTTTTTAGCTACTGGTTTAGTACCGATAAATGCTAAAAAGGTTCTTTCTAAGTTAAATATTTTTCTACGAACACCTACACCACCAAACAGCCGACCAAGCAGCAGATCTAGTCAATTTACACCCAAAACACCTAGAACTATGATTCAGCTACAGAAGCAAGCTTTGATGCTTAAAGATCTTCTAAAACAGCGATCAAATAGCCCTCCAAGCCCATCAAAATTGATGCTAGATCAAATCATCAAGGGACACTATATATCGCTGCATAACACTGCACTACTAGCACAAGGAAACGCCAATTTACGTGCTACAAATGAGAAGAAACGACAGAAGCGCAGTCGATCAGCTAGGCAGGTGCCATGTGAAGAGGGTTTGACTGTTGAAGAAGGCCTACAGCTACTCACGCAGCGAGAATTGCCAGTGGAAGCACCTACAGTCGAACCACACACCCAGGTTGAATTGCCTATTCAGCCGAGTCAGCCAGCCCCTAGGGCTCAGCCTAGGTGTAGTGGATGTCGAGAGGTTGGAAATTAGATTAATGTATGTAAAAATCGTTATATTTAGTTGAATTAATTGGCGTTGGGTTAAAATATTTGATGTTTAATTTTTCTAGTGGGGGAGAGTGGCCGAGACGGCCGTGGATTACGTTAGCTCCAATGCCAGGTGGCTACATACATCCGAGGCTCGCCTTGTAAAGCGTCTTGTTAGATCAGATTGCTGACCAATAAAATAAATAGACTTAAGTCTTACCTTTGATCTAATTCAATTATGGCAACCGTTCTAGTTGTCGGAGCTACTGGAAATATCGGCGTCTCAGCTGTCACCGCTGCCTTACGATCCAAGCACAATGTCTTGGCCATTGTTCGCAACCAAAACTCCGCGGATAAGCTTGTGAAGCACATTGGTTCATCAAAGGGGATCACATTTGTGGAAGCCAATGTTCTTTCTGATAAGGGAGTAAAGGGAGTCGTCGATCAAGTCCGAGCTGGCAAGCTACCCGCTTTTCAGCACGTATTCTCCAGCGGTAAGTTCAAGTTCATAAGACCTGACAAACACTTGAATGTTCACTAATATTGTTTAGTTGGCGGGGAGTACGCGACTACTCCACTTCAAGACATTTCCACTGCTCAGCTACGAAGGAACTTTAATACTTCCTTCGAAGCAAATTTTTGTCAGTCGCTCAAATCTCCATCACCTCATATCTCTCTAACAACCTTTTTTTTCTAGTCGCTTATCGGGATACCATTGGCTATCTTCTCGAGCAAAAGAATCCTGACAGTACATGGACCATCTGCACTGGGGCATCAGGCGATGACGCAACTCGCCCAATGCCAGCTATGACACAAGGTGCCTTATATCCCCTGACCAAGGCCGCAGCCCGGGAGAATAACTCGACGAACATCCGTTTCAATGAAATTTATCTTGGCTTCCGAGTTGAGGTTGATGAGGATGCCGTGCAGCATGGCGTGACCAAAGCATCGGACTTTGCAAATGTGTATGAAATGGTCCTTGCTAATCCCGAGGTCCGTGGCTCGCGTGTTCGGGTTGAAGGTCTTGGTGATCTCAAGGAGTTAAAATACGAGAAGAAATTTTAGTCTTACTCTTTATGGTGTGATGGAATGGGGCACCTGCCAGTGGGCACATGGAGTCTGAATCTACATATCATATGTTATTTTCAAATAACCTTTTGAATGAGTTCAAATGTTAATCCTTCAACTTCCAAGGCTGAACTTCCGGTCTCATTCGGAGTCCGGAATATACTAGTCTGTAGTATTACTACGGAGTAGTCCGACTCGGAGTTATAATCCATTGCCCAGGCGGGCATACTATGCACATACTCAAGTGCTATCTCAAGTTATGGATCTCTCGGAAGTTAGCCATCCGAGACCCTGGTAAATTCGAATATTAATAATATAAAATGTGGGAACTGGACAGGATTTAGGATTTTAATCTAATACTAGATAACTATAGCTTAACTCCGCAATTTTAACAATTCGAAGTTATTTTTAAATCCCACGGGCCCAAGTGCCCAAGTGCCAGGTGTGTACTCCAGAATTTTAGGGTTTCTTTGCTCCGATGAGATAAATATTTAAAAAAAAGATATTTTAGACCAATCGGCACACGGCAGCCTGATAAAGTACTGTGTTTGTACTCCGTACTAGTAGTAGTACTAGTAGTACTAGCACTTGAGTAGTACTCGACTGTCACTACAATAGACATTGACCTACGATCTCGACTCTCGAAGTGGTTTGACAAACTCGAGAGAAATCCCTATTCAAATTGATGAGCACCTACCTGGTATGTATGCACATGTGCCCATCAACTCTGTTCGGTTCCAAGGTTCAAGGCTGAAATCCTACTCGGCACATCCTACTAGCCTGGAGTAAGGCCACGCTAATGCAAGCCCATGCAAACTATGAATTCAGGGGCTTCAAGTTTGAAACTTGAACTCCGGATCCCACCAGTGCCCATTCTCCTGGGATTAAATCCTGGTCGTATTGAGATCATGCGTTGACCAGGAGATAACGAATAACGAAGAAAACTTGAATTTGGTCATACACCCCAGGCTGGTAACTTGAAGACGATCACTGAGTAAATCATGATGCAAGACCCATAGAACACCCGTTCTTACACTAATTCTTTTCTATTTTCATAAGAACATGAACCCCGTATCATGATGTGGGGTGCAGTTGACTACCATATAAGGCTCAAGGTTGTGCCGATCAATGTAAACATTGGCAGTTGATCGTCGTTTCAACAGCCCAAGGTAGTAACTTAGGACGTTTTAAAGTCATCGGGTTTTAAAAAGAGGACCCGCTTCTCGAATGCGAAATCGAAGCTCATCTCCCATTCTTGCCACCAAAGAGTCGATCAGTGTCGATCGGATAGTAAGATGTGGAGTTGTCGGCTCGTAAATCGTTTAGAATGCGCAAACGCGGCAATTCATCCACATGAGGTAACCTATGACAAGGCTCAGACAAGGCTCAAAGAGTACTAAAATGTCTGTGCCATCTCACCGTAAGACAAGCTTCCAGGTTAGAGGCTCAGATTACTAAAAATACGTGGCGGAGATTAACTACGACCTGCATTAAAGGCTTTTTCACGGCTTTTCACGGCGTCTGATTGGGCGCTCAACGCCAACTTTTGTCACTTGTGGTGACTCGGCCCCCTCCGTATTCAGCCCCCAGCTACGAAATACGCTATACGATACAACTTTAGCCACCAAATGAGTTGGTTGTATACCCAATCTATCGTTTCTCGCGTCTAAAAGGGTCTAAAATAGGCCACCCCTGTTCAGGTATTTAAGAACAACACATTATTCCACTTCTTGAATAATCTCTTTATAGCCGCCAACTTCAAGTTTCAAATCTTCTGGAAAGATATACTATTCTATACTACCTACTACTATTCTATTTATTATTTTTTATCTTAAAATATCTCAATCTCAACATTCATCACAAAGGTAAGGACTATTCCTGAATTTAAACTTCGATTACCTATATTAACATTAAACAGTTTTCAATATGCCTGGACCTGTCGAGTTACCTGATACTAGTACATCATCCGGCAAAGGTGGATCAGATGGATACCAGGGACAAGTACCACGCGCGCGTCCTCGACCTCGAAAGAACTCCACTAAGTCTGTCAAAGACACGAAAATGATGATGCCAAGAATCTCCCGAGTACTCCGTCCACAGAATCATCCTCTCAAGGGAATGCGAGCAAGAGTGCAAGGAAAATCATTATACGTCGACGATGAGGAGTTTGTGGAGGCTGTTCAGGTCATGAACGGTTGGGGAAAACAAGACCCAGAAACCATTCAAGCGATGGAGCACCGTGCTGTGGAATTCCACGAACAAGAGAAATTCGACGAAGCGGAGGAGATCGAGTTACAAGTCATCTATCTCAAGCGCGAAACATACGGACCTGAACATCCTCACACTCTCATCGCCATGCGAAACCTCGCTGCAACATACTTCATGCAAGGAAAATACCGCGAGGCCGAAGAAATGGGTGCCAATGTTGTGAAGTTGGGACGAGTTGCACTTGGTAACACTGATCCCGATATGATTCTCGCCTTGATCAACCTTGCAGCCACATACTGTGCACGAAAGAACTATGACGCAGCTGAGAAGATCGGCTATGAGGTGGTCAATCTCGGTCGTGATTTCCTTGGTGGAAACCACCCAGACACTATTCTTGCCATGACAAACCTTTCGTTGGTGTTATTCCAACAAAAGAAGTATAATGAGGCCGGTGTCGTTGGAGTGGAAGCTGTTTACCGTGGACGATCAGTGCTCGGTGAAGATCACCCACAAACAATCAAGGCCATGGGTAACCTCGCTGCGACTTATTACGAACAAAAGAGATATGAGGATTCAGAGGGACTGGGTCTCGAAACTATTCAACTGGGAAGATCCGTTCTTGGTAAAGAGCATCCATATACTCTTCTCTCCATGTTGAGTCTGACCAAGACCTACGTCGCCCAAGGGAGATTTGACGAGGCCCGACAGATTCAGGCCAAGGTTGTCAGACTGCGACAGGAGCTACTGGGAGATGATCACCCCGATACCATCGTTGCCATTCAAGCTCTCGTTGAGACGAATGCGAAGCAAAAGCAACAGATGGCCCGGAAGCCCAAGCGGTTCTCATTCAAGTGGCGTCCTCAATTCCAGCTGCATCGACGTCAGCAGACCGTGAATTAAATCAGAACAGCATGAGAAGGTTAAACAGCTGGTCTGAAAAATGGTGTGGCACATTCTTTGAACATTTCATTTGTATACTTCATACCTCTTTTGAGAAGAGTGTCTCTCTGCGAGTCAGCGACTTTATGGTAAATACCTGGGGAGTTTGTCATTTTTGGGGAGTTATATCATGATTGGCGTTTCAAGTTTATCTATTGCATAGTATAGACCATTTCATTATAATCTGAAGAAATTTCCATAAAATTCAAATGTTTTTTTCCCACATAAGAACACCTATGGCATATGTACAAGTCACTAGTAGTAAATAATAACTAGTTAGTATAGTATGTATGGCCTTATAGATCCCGTGTGGCTGAAGAGTTCGCTGCGCCACATTTTGCATAGTGGACACCTTAACATTCAACTGTACACAGTCCCTTCCAACAGCTTTCTTTTCCACCACAAACCCTCGGCTTTCGCTCTCTCGCTCCGCTCTTCGCCGGTTTAGTTTATTTCTTATTTTCTGTTTTATCTCTGGGTTCTCGGGTCCTGGCGACACCGCAGACCCATTCATTCCACCCCTGGTCTCTCCTTGAGCTGCCCCCCCCCCAGTTGGGCCATACTTTAACAAACATGCGTTTCCCGATCTTTTCCTCCCTCCTATGCCTTGCTGGCCTTTTATCCGCACCTGTTAAGGCTGAAGATGAATCCTACATCAAAAACATTCCGGTATGTTTGTTGACACTCCGCATCTGGAGATTCGAGACGGTACTGACATCATGGCCTTTATAGCTCCGAACCCACACTCTTACCTCGGTATGATTGCCCCTCCAGTTGTCGCTACTGGACTCTTTGATCCAGTAGATCAGAAACTCGATTCGCCCGAACCGTACACGGGAAACACCTTTGTTGACACTTGCGACAGCCATACCTTGATTCGGATTTCCAAAGCCGCTGGTTCGACTTCGGAGGAGATACGCTGATCCGTGCTGACAAGTATGATTATACCTTTATAATGCTATATATGGCAGGCTTTTCATGTGCAATAGCTGATCATTGTGCAGATACATTCGTCTTACGGCCGACCGGGCCTCGCAGCAAGGATGGATCTTCTCCCGCGTTCCCTTGACTGCGACCAACTGGCAGGTGAGCAGCCCTAGCCGCGTACTGGATTGAAGAATTGGCGCGCAATCAGCAAATAGATCATTGTTGACATATTCACCCCACTACAGATTGAGTTGGAATTCGAGATTCACGGTGCTGGAACCCTGCACGGCGATGGCTTTGCCCTCTGGCTCACCAAGCAGCGTGCCACTCAAGGCCCTGTTTTCGGATCCACGGACAAGTTCGAGGGTCTTGGTATTTTCTTCGATACTTACAAGAACAACCGTCCCGGTGTTACTTTCCCTTACGTCATGGCCATGATGGGTGATGGTGAGACTAGCTACGACCAGGCGCATGACGGAAAGGGTACTGAGCTCGCAGGATGTTCTGTAAGTTTTACCTCCTACGTACAGTTTATGTGTGGGCTTTATTCCTCGATTTTTACCTAACATGGAATCTCTCAGGCTCGTGGTCTCCGTAACGCTCCCGTCCCTACCAAGGCTCGTCTTACTTACTTCCAGGATAAGTCCCTCAGTCTCGAACTTCAGTACAAGACCGAGGACTCCTGGGTTGAGTGCTTCAATCTCAATGCGGAGGACCACAACATCGCTATTCCTTCTGTCGCTTACTTGGGTCTCTCCGCCGAGACTGGCGAGCTGAGCGACAACCATGACATCGTCTCTATCAAGGTTGATAACTTGTACACTGTTGGCCGTAACAACGGCGGTGGTAGCCGTGGCTCGGATATTTCTCGTGGCCGTGGCCGTAGCGGTACTGTCAAGTCCAAGAAGCAGAAGAGCAGCTGGACTTGGTTCCTTTTCAAGACTGTTATGTTCTTTGGTGCTATTGTTGGTGCTTACTTCGGATGGACTGTCTACCGTACCAAGTCTCGGTCGTCACGCTTCTAAGCTTTGGAGTTAGAGGCTAGCTGTGAAGCTTGGAATCATATCAACATGTTCTCCTTCCTTTGCTTGTTCTTAAAATATGCGCGTCCCGGTGTGCAGCTAGCTTTCGAACGAATTGGTCTTGCATAGCATGTTTGTGTTTGGTTTAATGTGTTGAACTACCATAGGCAGCTTTTCTTTTACGAATCCAGTCATGATTAGTCTGTCAAAACTTGGAAGTATTCTGAAAAATCTTTGAATATGGGTATCATTGTAACAAAACGCTATTAAACATGAAATCCTACTAGTAATCATACAGGATAGTATGAGCCTGAGTCCAGGTCTTCAAAACAATTACTCTCCTCTCAGCCCGTTCGTCCATTCCTCTCATTCCACATCGCATCCACAATCTGAAATACCTCAGTTACACTGCGCAGCACAACATCATCAATCCCCAATCCACTGTATCGATGCTGAATCTTATCGGGATGCCATCTCACTCGCTCCGTCTTAAGAATAATCAATAAATCCGTAGAAGCAGGCGCATGCCTCATAAACTCCCGAACCGAGTCCGACGTAACATCCTGTCTCTTCCCAGAAAGAACAGGCCAAAAGAGTAAATTGCGCAGCGGCTTCGAAGTCGGCGTCGATGTCGAATCCTGATCCTTAGATCCCGAGCCAGCACTAACAACCTTCGCGATCTCCTCCCAACGCGCAAGATAAGTCTCCCAGGCCACTTCCCACTTCTTTCTAGCCTTACGCTCGGCTCCACGTCGTAAACTATCGTCCATCGCGCGATTAAATTCCATGCGCTCACGATCACGCACGTAGGTTGACTCCTCACGAACTTTCTTTCGTCGTTTTTCGGCACGCATTCGTTCTTGTTCTTCGAGCATTCCGTCTCGTGTGCGCTCCCACATTCGGGCGCGGACATACGCTGCGTATTCTTCTTCGTCCATTTGTTCTAGTTCCCCAGTTGCTCCTTCGACTTGAGGGACGGCGAATGTGTGTATTGGTTGGCCATAGACTCCTTGCCAGTATTCGGCTCCTTCGTCATCGCCCATTGCGTCGAAGAGGGATTCACGGAATGCAGCGTTTGGAGAGAGCGTTCGAGTGGGGTGCTCGTTGAGGTTTGGTTGATGGTGGGTTTTTGTGGATCGGTGACTTGGGCGCTTTTTGTAAGAGCGTTCTTTCGATTGATCGACTGGGCTATGCGATCTTTTGGGGTTTCGGTCTGAGGAGGAGTGTCTTGAACGCGAGCTTTTGCTGCTCTTGAAACGGAATTTGCCTTTGCGGGTTTGGTTGTAGTCGTCTTCCTTTGATGTTGACATGTTTTCCCTCTGAGATGAGGATGTGGTGCCCTCCATGTTCTCCATGCTAGAGAGTTTCTTATACTGGGATATGATTCCCTGGCATGAAGATCTAGAGGTGAAGTGATTGTATGAAACTAGAAAGTCCTGGGCAGGTGCGATGATGTCTTAGTCAGTGTTCTTATCTTATCGCGATCTATATCAGCGTCAACAAAGTAAGGTTGAAGATTGAAGAATAAATTCCATGCCATTATATACAAAACTCCATAATTCCAATTCCCTATTCAATATCCTCAAACCCAGAATCAAGTGGCGCTCCTTCAACCCAATTCAAAATCGTTTGACTAAACAACTCCGGTACCAGTATATGCCACGCATGTCTAATCCCATAATGCACCACAACCCGACTCCCACTTTCTTTCCCCCCAACCACCATCTCAAACAGCTTCTTCGAGCTCTCAGGCTTATCTCTCGCAATCCAACTATCCTTGGAGCCCGCACAAATAACCAAAGACTTCACCGGGATCTCCCCAAGCACCCTCGGCTGGAAGATTACCCGCGCAACCTCCGCAATCAACCCATACGACGCCTCCCCATTAAGCACCTGCGTCACCTCCTTCGAGGGACCCTGCGCAAAATTAATCAAGTGGTGTAAGACGTAGCTTGCTGGCACAAGTAGCGAAACCAGGTAGCGCGATCGCGGGATGGTATTGTATCCAGCTGCAATTATAGATACGATTGTACCCGGAGCGGCTTGTTCGGCGGTGCAGGCAGTTATATGTGCGCCTAGACTTAGTCCTACCACATGGGCGCGACCATTTTTGCCGTACTTTGTGATGAGGTTTATGATCAATTTGGCGGAGTACTCGACTGTGAAAGGTTGGATGGAGATTGAGTTTCCGTGCGAGGGTAGATCGGGTGCGAGGATGTGATAATCTTTTTCGATTAGGGCTGGGATCACTTCTCTCCATTCGATGCTGCTTCCGCAGGCACCATGGATTAGGAGTATTGTTTCTTTGCCGGTTGGATTGTGCACTTGGTAAAAGAGCTCTGGTGGTGGTTCAAGTTGGGCCTCGGTGGGCTTGGGTGGAGTGGAGGCTGTCATGAGTAGTTTTGTGGAGGATATGTAGGAGTCATGAGCAGAGTAAACAGGGAAGGTTCAATTTGCTGATATTCAGGAGATCTCAAAACTTTTAAATAAGGACCTGGAGCACTTGAGTAAGCACTGGCACGGGTTGTGGTGAGATTGGGGCCAAATTGACTTACTAGCATGATTCTCTAAGGACTTAGGCTTGGACTCCGGAGGAGAGTAGATAATCTATATACAGAATTAAAGATTTTAAGAACTTGAAATTTAGCATCATACTTACATGTGGATACTAGTAGTTCAATGCTAGTACTAGTCCCTAGTAGTACTACCATGTCCACTAGAACCTTTTAGTATAATTATCTTTTATTAATAATACTATATATCTCAATTAACTAATTATGATTATAGGTAAAAGAAGTTAAGAGTCAACTGCTATTACTAGTATCAAGTTTAAGTTAATAAATTAAGAGTGGATGGATTAGTTTAGAAGTATTCAAAAATATGACCTGGTGTTATGTGCCTGGGAATTCTGGCGTTGATATCGTTTCTCAATTATAGGGGTAAAATCAGGAGTTCAGATAACCATCCGCATTGTAGTAGCTCAGCGGGCTATCGTGTCTGTCCCAATGTGATTTGACTATGATACCATAAGTCTGGTTTGCTGGGACTGAGGGTTGTCAAGTAGCATCAGCGAGCGTGAGACTTGCCTAAATGGAACACCACCGTGAGAAAGCATGCAGCGGACTAAGTAAAAGACTTTTGCGGAGTCTTTTTCTTTTTGCTCTTTCTTTTGATATTACTTTTATATTTTTATCTATTTTATTAGATTTTTTATGATTTTTTGAAAGTTGAAGCTTTCATCGTCTTCTCATTTTGATGCCTCACTTGGCACAAGCATCGTGAAATTGAGAAGTCCCTGGTTCGATCCCTGCCCTCTGCGTTTCTTTTTTATTTCCCCTCTTGGTAGCTCTTCTCATGATACCTTGCATATTTGAATGAACCACTCCACCTTCAAGTTCTTATAATAAGTCACTCCGAGTCTGAGTGACATTAATATAGAGATCCAGATACTGAGACAGTATCTTATACTAAATTTTCTCTTATAGCGTAGGGATCAATGGAGATGCAAAGATTGTGGACTCTGAGAGGTGGTTAGGTACAGCGTCAGCACTTAGTTACTGTTAATTTTTAAGCTACTAGAACCTCGGATGTATAAGTTTAGTAAGAATTATCCTAAAAAGCTCCAGATTACTTTTGTCCAGATGTGGAAAATGAGAAGCATCGCTAGGCATAGCCCAGGTTATCTTATATTCAGTCATAAATCATAAATTCAACTTAGAGCCTGTCTTAAGCTCTACGTATCGAATCCTTATCCATTCTAGCCGAGTTCCTCGTAGAATGAATCTCCCAATCCGAAGTAATTTTGATCTGTCCATGACACCACTCAGATAATTTCTTCGCCATGGGAGGTTGTCTAACTGAGACTAAGGGAATCTCAGGCTCCTCCATCTGGGTACCGGATAGAACTGTCGTTTTGTAATACCCGGAAGCTCTATAGCCGTAGGTAGTCATACTATCTGATGGAGATAGGAAGATGGCTGTGCCGAATATTCTGTGGATGGCTGGTGGTATGATCGGTAGACAGGCGACGATAACGCCAAGTAGAGGCACGACGCATGATAAGAGAGAATTTCGTGCGGAGGTATAGAGGGTGTCGTTTATGTTGAGTTCGGAGTATGTTTTTATGCGGATCAATGTTGTGGCGATGATACTATACGAGATGGTTAAAAGGGTTCCAAGTTTGTGTAGATGACCGTGTGCAAGTACTCACATAAATCCCAAGAGGTATATCCCACCCACTGCTACTTTCCTAGGAGTGGGGAGTTGCGAATGAAAGAGAATTGGAATTGGTAGACACAGGATGAATGCCTCAACAATTCCTTCGCTCACTGTCGAGCTTAGATGTAGCTGTTTTGTGTTGCCACAGTGACCAGCTGTATCGGAGAGCCATGCCTTTTTGACTGGAGTGCAGGAGAATGTCGTAGCAAAGAAGCTTCCAATCCAGAAAGCGGAGCATATACCAATCGTTGTATAGGTCAACAATACAATTATTCGATGCTGGAACTGGCGGAGGTAGTAGTGAAGGATAGACAGTTGAATCAATGCAAGAGCTGTAATCCATAAGAGCTCGCCGGCAAATGTGATCTGGATGATGTCAGGGATCTCTGGCAAATAATCATTAGCAGGGTAATAGAACCTACCTTGCGAAACCGAATCAAGATATCATCACCTCCAAGCTTTGCAACATCTTCAGTGTGAAGTCCCAGTCCACAGAGCAATACAAGAAGTAGCTCTGCTATGTAGCGACCTAGGGCGACAATCTAAGATCATATCATCAGTACCTCTGATATCAAGTCTATACTTCAATCACTGGCCACACCAAACGCAAAGATCTTACCAAAGCAACCAAGACGAGCCAGTCAGTCCATTCCCATGAAACGCCCAATAATCGCCTCGACCACAACCGCAAGGCAACAGCAATTACCCCACCTGTGAGTAAAACCGACTGAACCGCAAGATCCGCCTTGCCTAGCCAGTTATGGCTGAGGGTATGGACGAGAGCCCCGGATGAAGGCGACATGAGAACCAGAGTAAATAGTAAGTTCTCAGATATTGTGCGACATGATCATAGATATACTCGGAAGAAAACGTTTGACTGGATCTTGCACCTAGACCAAGAGGGACTCGGAGCCGACTCAGAGGTGCGCGGGGCCACGCATTAAAGTACGTAGACTAGATCAACTAGTCCCCAGGGGGTGGGGTGCGTGTAATGAGCGCAAACCGGGTAAACCCTGCGTCAGAGATGAGAGACATTTCAAGAATGTCCGGGGAGATATTGTAGAGAAGGGTCAAGATCGGCAATTGGAAAGGTGATTCGACGTGCGATGATATCAAAATAGGATATATTTGGGGAGTTAATCTACACCACCTGGGCATGCGCAGGAATTGAACGGTCCAAGGAGTCTCATTGGTCAAATGACAGGTTTTCCAGAAGAATAATCTCGGGTCTTCATTCGAATGTTGTGTTGGCTGCCGCACGGTTTCCCGCGTCAGACTCCACTTGGTTCTGGTCGAGTACTCTATCTCATACATGCGCGTTTCATGATCTCACACCGACCCTTGTGGGGACTCGCGATTGTCTCATTGTTATCCAGTTAGATCGGCTACCTGCATGCTTGCCGATAGTCGAGACCGATTCAAATTCCGTCCTAGTCTGTGAGTGGGGATTGGGCTTAGCTCAGGCTGAATCTTGAGTTTCACGCCGACGAGAGATGTCTGAGCAGCGTGGTAATGCCGGAGTCGAAGATCATGGCGCTTAAAGATCACATCTTGTTTGGGTACCCTATACGACGACCTGAAACATGAAACAGATACTCCGTGGTTGATATCATATTTCATGTTTGAAAGTGAGGCTGTTCGGATTACCCGTAATCTTGTTCCGGGGGGCATCAGAAAAGTCTCCAGGATTTCAGCTGTCGGCAAGAAGATGCTGCATCCTAATTATGCCGACATGCGAGGCTCCATGGCATGACCTGGCAGCCTTAAAACGTTGAAAAACGATCAACTAGATCCACAGTGTGATCCACATGTGCTAAAGGGGTTATTATGGAGCCAGAGTTGAAGAAGTGCACATGTGATACTTGTTGTCCTCGGATCATAGCATCAGCATTTGAGCACCAGGATTCATGATGTAACCTGCAATATGCGAAAAATCCCACATGGCTTGACGATCATTTGAAGGATCAACGGAATTGTTGACGGGAGAAAGGCTTGTCACGGGCAGTGCCGTGCTTTTGATTAAAGTCCCGCCCAAGGAATGCCACAACAGACGCTAAAGATTAGGGCGATATCAGCAATGCATGCTCAGGACGGAGATTGGATCGCATCCTCCAGTTGTAATTTGACTGCTGTAATTTGAATGCTCGGGCGAAATCATAATAATTAAAATTGGACTGATATTTTTGGTCATCTAACTCATAAGCTATATATCCTTGTCCGCCTCTGATACTGTCCCCCTGATTATAGACATAATTTCATGTCATAGTTAGTTCTGATCTAGAATCGAGCACTGTTGCCCAGATGATCCTCTTAGGTGCTCTTCTTCTGAGCTTCCCGCTCGGCCTTGCGCAGAGCACGCTTGCGAATAGACTCGTGCATAGACTTGTTCTGAGAAAGGACGAACTTGTTCATGGGCGCCATCATAGTGGTCAGGAACCAAGCCATAAGACCGTGACTCCAGTAAGGAGACGAGCTGTAAGCGTAGGTTGACGAACCACCACGACGACCAATCTTGGAGAGGACGGCGCGGACGAAAGCGCGAGGAGTAGGAATAGAGGCCGAAGCACGACGGACCTTGGACATGGCGGAGGTAATCAGGTAAGCGTGGACGAGCTCGACATCGATACCGTGAGGAGCCAGCTCAGCACCGAGAGCGGTAGACCACTGCTGCAGGAAAGCCTTGCTGCCGGAGTAGGTGGCCAGCAGAGGAGTAGGGAGCAGACCGCCGAAGGAGCCCATAGTGAGAACCAGACCACGGCGGCGCTGGATCATGCCGGGGACAACAAGTTGTGTAACGCGCAGGGTACCGGTGCAGTTGATAGTGATGATGTTGTTCATTTCGTAGGCAGGAGTCTGGGCGAAAGGAACGGGGATGGAGTGGCTCTGGCCGACATTGTTGATAAGGATGGACACGTCGAGACCGGAAACCAGCTCGTTCAGCGCGGCGTAGTCCTCATCGGCATTCTGCGCGAAGTCCATAGCCAGGGTCTTGGTTTGGACCTTGGGGTACTGCTTTGTAATTTCCTCTCCCAGTGCGACAAGCTTTGACTCGGTTCGTGACACGAGAACGACGTTGAACTTGGCCTTTGCAAGCTGCAGCGCGAACTCCTTACCCAGGCCATCGGAGGCACCGGTAACGACAGCCCAACTACCAGGGGGACCGAAGGAACGCAACTATAGAAGACAATGATTAGCGCATATCAAAATTGGATTAGAGAATATACATACCGGCTTTCCTGGAAGGACGAACAGGCTCAGAATTACCCGCAAGAAGCTCCAGACCTTACAGGCGACAACCAGTCCACCGGTTACAAGGAGCGACAAGGCACAGATAGTCGGCAAGCCCGGGGACAAATGGGTTGGCCATTGTGAAAGACATTCAATATGCTTTGAGAGATCCATTGTGTGATGTTGAGGGGTTGGAGGGGAATAGGAGGAATAAACACAAGTAGAAAAAATGTCAATGCAGCTTGTTGGGGGAAGATCAACGCCAAGAATCAACCCCAATCAACATCCTCGGTCTCTTCACTTTCATAAGACACCTCACCTTAAATATACCACATATACGCGATGGATCAAGTACTGTCTTATTTGCCCCCTTTCGAGGGTTTGCTCCCCAAGTGGCTTCTATTCGTAATTTCTACCTGACTCCCCTCTACGCGAACCCCTACTTACCAACAAATAAACAGGTCTCCGCCGTATCCGCCATCAACAGTCTGCAGGCCTACACTTCCGCCAACTATACCACCCTCCTCTACACTAATGGCTCAGTTCCATGTGAGCCACTCTCCGGTCGTATCTTCGGTACCTGGACCTTCCTTTCAGCCGTGATCCGCATGACTGCCGCATACAACATTACCACACCCGCCGTGTATGATCTTGCGATCTGGACCTACGCAATTGCTCTGACTCACTTCACTGGAGAACTGATTGTCGGAAACGCGTCGCTGAAGGGCCGCTTCATCAGCCCGTTGATTGTGGCCTCGTCATCGATTGCTTGGATGTTGATGCAGCGCAGAGAGTACCTGGGCCTGTAGGCTCGCAAAAAGGGGGTGCTGAAAGCAAAGGATAACCTAGGATATCTGATGGAATGGCATAAAGCGGAATTCTATTGTCGTATCCGAATTTTGGGTGCAAAGTCGAAACTTCTGTCGAGGATTTATAAGGATCCAAGAATCACTTAATTTACAAAACGCCTGAAAAGATACCCACTGTCTTCATATCAAGCTTGATTCTACAAACTACCATGATCCCATCTTTCAACGGGATTCTAATGCAAAATGACTTTCCCAATATTCATATCCACTCTACTCCATCTTCTTGCGGTACAGCTCACCACCGCAGCCGCGTAACCGAGCAGCAGCCTGCTCAGGTGTGATATCACGCTGGGGCTCCGCCATAAGCTCGTACCTATGAAACGTTAGCTCTGCGGAGAATTAAAGGTATATAGAGAGAAGACATACCCAACAAGGAACTTGCGCACAGTAGCACTACGCAGAAGTGGCGGGTAGAAGTGAAGGTGTAGATAAGATGCCTCGATCTCCTCAGCAGTACCATCAAGCGGCGCCTGGTGAATACCCATGCTGTATGGGAAATGAGTCTCGAAAAGGTTATCATAGCGACGAGTGGTCTCGGCAATCGCCTCCGCTAGGAGAGTCTTATCCGACTCACTCAGATCGACCAGCGCACGCTTGTGCGTACGGCTGACAATCATAGTCTCAAAGGGCCAAGTCGCCCACCAGGGACAAACTACAACGAACGCTTCATTCTCGAAGACAATACGCTCTCCCTTGCGACTCTCCAGCGCGGCATAATCCTCCAACAAGTGGGCACCGCCGTGTTCCTGACGGTATCGGCGCAATTGCTCTAGCTCAGCAGCGGGTTCCTCGGGCAAGGTGCTAGTCGTCCAGACCTGACCATGGGGGTGAGGATTGGAGCAACCCATAGCAGCGCCCTTATTCTCAAAGATTTGCATATAGCGGTACTGCTCCTTGGGCTTGGTGACATTTGAGTGTGATGCAGCGGGCGCAATGTGAGTGGGCGGGGCATTCTGAGCCAGAGGTGAGGTGGGCGACAAATGCGCGGTATAGATCTCTGTCCAGGCATTAATGACCGGAACAATTTCGATAGGAGCCAAGTCGGCTAGGGTGAGGTTGTGAGCCGCTGAGAAGGTCAGGACGTAGCATTTTCCGGTCACTGGCTCGGCCTTGAGGAAACGCGATTCGAGTTCTGGGGATGGTCAGCTACCCCACACGGTCAAGGGAAATTTGCTTTTTTTCGCCGATCTTACCATCATCCTGGCTAGCATCATATGCAGCCTGTTCTTCTTTCACAGCGCTATAGTCGTTGACAAAGACAAAAGTGCTCTCGTACTTGGGATTGACGTCACCCTGGGCGCGCTGGTTTCCGGGGCACAGGTAGCACTTAGGATCGTATGAGGGCAGTGTAGTTTTTGAGGGGCTTTCCTGTGCTCCTCTGTCGATGCAAGGGAAATTTTTCCGTTAGCGATTTGCAATATGCAAACTTGTTGCACAATGATTCCAGAGAAAGCACATACTGCCAAGGGCGCTTGGTTCGGTGGGGAGAAACCAGAATATGAGAACCGCGCAAAGGGTTATATCTCCGATGAGAGATATCGTCAAGAACGTTCTCCATTTCAAAATTGACGAAGAGTACCTTGTGGGAATTGACAAAATTTTGCAAAGGGAGCGAAGACAGTTACATATATAAGAGGAGAAAAAGCCCCGCCACAATTTGATTATATTGGGGCTCGGGAAAGGGTCAATGACCGGCGGGGTGGACGCGGGGTCTCCGGAGTGCTTCAGAATACTTCAATACCTACATAAATCGATCATCATGCTCATTTTGCATACAATATGCATATGGATGTGATCGCTACAGTGATGCGATCAACATATGAATATACTCAATTCATATAGATGGATTGGGTTTGTATCTGCTTCCCTTTTTGTTTGTGTACATGCATGTCAATCCTAATTTAGTGATGTTACCTTGAATTTCGGTGAGCCGTTATAGGAATCGTTCGGGATCCCGGACTCGGGGAACTGGGGTTTAATCTGGTTTAATCCCACTTTAATATGGAATTTCATGCAGGCACACAAATGTGGAGATGACATCCTATTTGAATATCCAGTTCACTCAAAATTTTCACTTCGGGTTTTTAGTATTCACTAAGATCTGAGCATGGCCTTAGATGTGATCAAATTATTACTAGTAGGTCCTTTTAAGGGGTCTCACGAGTCATAACAAGCTGAGTGAACATCAATTGATCCTTACCTAGGCTTATACATGCTACTCATACCTTGGAACGGTTTATGAATCACAGGTACAATATTTGAAGTAAAGCCTTCAGCACTTGAGTGATCAATAAATCAGTAACACCTTGTATATTTAAAGCTCACTTCTCCATCGTACATCCCTTACGTTGTAAAGAAATATGACTAAATTTCAATTCTACTCTGCTAGTATGGCAGAGAAATAGAGTAAAGCAGGTATGAAATAGATGCCTCTGGGTACGTACAGCTATATTTCAAACTTTCCAAGGTTATCACTGCCACCCACCTACTTGATATGATTTCAAGAGTCAGCATTTACTAACAGATAGACTGGAAATGGTCAGGTTCCAGTATAGCGGTCTTTAGGTCACCCTTGAAGAGACGGACACCCAGGTGCCTAATGCGCATACCAACTCCACACCTACAGCTGGAATGATTACTCAAGTTCTCCAGCAATTAGTTCTACGAGTTCCTTCAAACTATTAAGGACTACCTCGAGAGCAAGCCTAATCACACCAAAAAGTCAGACTACAATTGATCTTGGAATTGTACCTAGGTGCACGGGTGGGTATCTGCCTTACTAACCGTCCTATATAAATTAAGGACTGACATGATATATACTAGTGTTTCCAAGAACCCGGAATGATATCTTATATCAATGACCTTCGAAACGGAAGAGAGGTCGTGGTTGACCATATGTACCTCCGACTCTTACAAATGATATTCCCCTGGGAGGAAAGATACCTGCATGGAAGAGAAGACTACCTCCCAACTTCCAAAAAAATCAGACGCCACATTCAAAATATTGTCAATTATCGTGGAAAATTCTCACCAAAAAACCATCATTATTGGAAGTGGATTGTCTTTACCCATATTTGGATCATGGGGCTTTCAAGTTCTCACTGGTGGATAGGCAGTATGCCTGCATTTTCTTTTCTTTGTGATATTTCTAACAAGACTTTGGTAACAGATTAGAAGCATTTCGTTCAACTACGACCCAATTGCAGAAAGGCCTTCCGATTGCCCACTGGGTTTACACACAATCAGTCATTGATCTCCTATTATGCAAAGCTACCAGGAGTTACATCCCCGGTTGGAACACCCCGTGTAGGTTGGCTGGGGGTAGTTATAAAGACTTTCTTGATGGCCAGCAACTTGAAGTCTTGGTAACGGGCTTTAACATCATCACAGGCATTAAATCAAGCGATCAGGAAATGAACGATTCAGAGAAGTGCAAGTAGCGCTCGCAGAGGGCTTGCATTATTTGTGGGGTATCGCAGCATATCTCTAATACCCGCAAAAAGACTATGGTCATTGAATGCAAGCGATCAACATTTGAACAAGAAGCGACCAACCACCGACAGCAAGATCATGGTCAGGGGTAGCACTCCAACTCATCAATTGATCGATCTTTGCAAAAATGAAAATCGTGATCAACGGACTCTTCCTCCCTCGCAGAATTCGCCTGTCTTTACAGCTGTTGCAATTGGGACGCATGCAAAGTTCGCCGAATTCCAGCTGAATGTGGCTGCCCACCAGTGTGAAGTCGAAATGCTAGTAGTACTGGTAGTAGATGGGAACGGCTCAAGTAGTTGTAACAACCAAGTTGTAATATACTATACTATTCACAGCGTGGCGCAATGAAAGTGCATTGTACTAGTATACCAAAGCCAGAACCTTTGAAGATAGAAGCCCTGGAGAGAAGATCAAAAAATTCACAACTCAATCCTAGAATGAGTCTGACTAGAGTAAAACTGTTTAGTGAGCCTGTACTCAATAATCCTAATAAACATTAAAGGCAGTATCTAATTAGGGCAGTCTAACCCTGAGGATGCACAATATGCCCAACTGGTAAATGTAGTGCACTAAATCGAGCCATCTACATATCTGCCACGTTACACCGCTTTGGCACCCATGGAAGGGGTTGGCCAGCCTTGGAAAGCGGTCTAGCATGGCAGATATTGTGCAGTGGGTCATGACGTCATGTCCTGAGGCTTATCGAACCCTTATCGATAACATCGATAACTTATTTACTTGAGCCTACCTAGTTCATCTTCACATTGTGCCATCGAGCCTTTCCATCATCCTCAAAATTCTCCTGCAATCTAGCTGTGCCCTGCTAATCAATATGGCTTCCAAGAAATCCAAGAAGTCCAAGGCTTGCACAACTTCCTTGCGCAATGATGGGAACTGGCGCACCTTATTTGATCTTCCAGCTGAGGTAAGAATCAACATTGAAGAGAGATCTATCAGCTGAGACTGACTCTGGCAATAGCTTATCGATATCATCTTCAAAGAGTTCTCAGTTAAGACCTTGGTGGTCATCACTCGCGTTTGTCGCGCCATCCAGATGAAGGCTCTCGAAATCCTTGAACGACGTCTACATACCCTTCTCCGCCATGAGTACCAGGATGTGTTTCTACGTCTGGGCTGGTACACCCCCATGAAACGCGTAAAGAAGCTCATCACTTGGGAGTATAACAAAATGGTATCCCTAAGTGATGGAGATCCTCACAACACTGATAAGGACCGCAAACCTCCCCTGCCCAGCGTGGACAAGTTCTCAATTTTCGGTCTCGGAGGCTTTAACGGAGATCCATGGTTTGATGCTGGTAGGAAATTGCGGTGTTATGATGAAGATGACTGGTTTGAATGTTGCAATACTAATATGAATGGGGATGCAGAAGATGATATCAATATCACAGAGAATGTGTCGCTAGACTGGAACGAGGACTTCGTTCAGTTCCGTCTGAGAATGTATCTGGAAGAGCGATCTGGAAGGTCCAAGCCCCACAAGATCGAGAATAAGATGATCCGGATCCATCGCGACTGGCTGGACCAGTGGGATGAGAAGGGGAAGCATGTCGACCACCCGAATGAGTATCGACTCATGGAGCATTTGGTCTGGTTCGACGATAAGAAAACCATCGGCTTGCAGCTCGCAGTTGAACGAAAGAAAGCCAGTGATGGCCATGGAACTGATGTGTATCATGTATATCTTGGAAGTGAGTAATAATCTTCAAGATTACCAGGTAGACATGATACTAACGTTTCGTCAGATATATGGCTGCGCACGTTCAGATTGCTCTTGGAAGATGAGGCTGCAGAGAAAGGCTTCGAGAAAAAGAAGAAGTAGGGCGGTGCTACCATTCTCGCTGCCAGCTGAGCACTGAATGGTGAAGGGGAAGAATACTCAGGCTCGGAATTTGAGCCTTGACGAATCATGACAGTGAGCAAAGCAGGCCTCACATCTATTAATATCTTTACATGGATAGCTGGATATCTCCAAGAATATGAATACCAGTGATGACCCGGAGACTGACTCAGAATTTTCATTACTGATACCTACTAGGCAAATATAGAAAGATATCAGACATACCCCTGATAATAAAACATGAATGGACCAATCGACTAATAGAGAATTGTATCTATTCAGATCAATTGATCGTGGTATTGCGTATTCATTCACGATCCCGATTTGTATAGTGCCGATCCCTAGCTGTCTCCACTATCTATTAGGGAAAATCTAGACTGACACTCATCTTCATCACCTGCAGTACAATATGCCCAGACATTCTTAAATATTTGAAGAATTCTTGACGAATGAAAGACGTGAATACGCGACATGAACTCGAAGAATACTACATAGTTCGGGAAGCCGTTGCATTGAATGGGCGCTCGGGCCGATACCATGGATAAACGTTACAGACATAATTCGAGTCTCCACTGAAAATTTCATAACTCGAATCCACTCGCTTGCAGTCGGCACCCGGTGCCGAATTCTGGAATACATTATACGCTTACGAACCAATGATAACACCGGCTTCGATATGTCTGGTAACGGCTCTAACTACACTAGGAAGATGCCTCGGTTGCCGGTTATCGAAGTGGGTCATGGTCATTGATTTCGAGATTATTCATTCTCGTCCTGGTTGTGGCGATGATAGCTTTTTGTCTCTATTTTTTTTTCTTCTTTGCTTTAGTTTCATCTCTCACCCGAAAGACTGATCTGCATTGAAACGCCCCTGTGTGGAATGTGGACTTGATTGATCTTCATAACACCAGATCTAGATCTTGATATCCAGGTCCATAGGGCAAAGCTACAGAATCATGTCAGTTCCGGGTTCTGAGGGTGAGCTCCCCTCGCTACCTACCAGTATTCCTTTCTGGCGTCTGGTCTTTGACCAAAAGGTCATCACCGAAGAAGTCGCTCGATTTCCCTATTCAGGTTCCGGCACTGAAGATGATCCCTACGCTGTTAGCTGGCTACCGCGCGATCCTCGCAACCCCATGAACTTCAGCAGTTTCAAGAAATGGTTCATCACATTCCTCGTCTCGTTTATTACGCTCGCAGTCGCCTTGGTATCATCCGCATATTCCGGTGGCATAAGTCAGATTGTTGAGCACTTCCGCGTGTCAGAAGAGGTCGCTATCCTCGGAGTGTCACTCTTCGTTCTAGGATTTGCTATTGGACCACTATTCTGGGCACCGCTCAGTGAGATTTTTGGTCGTCGCCATATCTTTACTATCACTTATGCTTTTTTGACTGCGTTCAATGCCGGCGCCGCAGGTGCTCAGAATATGCAAACGTTGATCATTCTTCGGTTCTTAGCCGGCTGCTTCGGTTCCTCACCCTTTGGAAATGCAGGTGGTACCATCGCCGATATGTTCCCTGCCTCCCAACGCGGTATCGCCATTAGCTTTTTCGCCGCCGCACCTTTCCTTGGTCCAACCATCGGTCCTATCATTGGAGGCTTCCTTGCTTCTGGTGCTGGGTGGCGCTGGGTTGAGGGATTCCTGGCTATATTCTCTGGAGTCTTATGGCTATGCGTTATCTTCCTCCTGCCCGAAACATACGCACCAGTACTCCTCCGTCGACGAGCCGCAAAGCTATCTGAGATGACTGGAAAAGTATATCGCAGCAAGCTTGATATTGAGCGCGGACCTACACCAATGGGAAAGACAATCACAACTGCCTTATCGCGTCCTTGGATCCTGTTGTTCCGAGAGCCGATCGTGTTCTTATTCTCTATTTACATGGCGATCATCTATGGTACCCTCTACATGCTCTTCGCCGCCTACCCAATCGTGTTCCAGGAAGTCCGTGGTTGGAGTGAGGGCATTGGTGGCCTTGCTTTCTTAGGAATCTTAGTCGGCATGGTTGTCGCCGTTATGTACACCTTCCCAGAGAACATGCGATACCAAAAGAAATGCAGCCAAACAACCGATCGCCTCGCACCTGAGGTACGACTTCCGCCTAGTATGGTAGGAGGTGTTGCACTTCCAATCGGATTATTCTGGTTTGCCTGGACAAACTCACCAAGCATCCACTGGATGGTATCTATCGCTGCAGGTGCTCCATTCGGATTTGGAATGGTACTTGTTTTCCTCAGTGTTTTCAACTACCTCATTGATTCATATACTATCTATGCCGCCTCGGTTCTAGCTGCAAATGCGGCACTGCGCTCCCTCTTCGGCATGGCTTTCCCATTGTTCACTACATACATGTATGCCAACCTTGGTATCCACTGGGCGTCATCTATTCCTGCATTCCTTTCGCTTGCATGCGTGCCATTCCCTTTCATTTTCTACAAGTACGGAGCCCAGATTCGCCAGCGTTGCACCTTTGCCGCTGAAGCGGATGCCTTTATGCGCCGCCTTGCCGAGAAGAACCAGCAGCAGACTCGACCAGTACCGGCCGAAGAGAAGGAGACAGAGATCTCGGATCCAGAGACAGCTGTTGTGGACGATGTCAGTGATAGTGAGAGTGTGTCAACTGTGCCTTCACGCATCAGCATCGGTCGCCGTGCATCTCGTGCATCACGGAGTTCTCGACACTCTGGACGATCAATGCATCGTGTCCCCACTGCGACACAATACGAAGAGAATCCTTATGATTTGGATTTAGTTAATACCCGACAGTCGGCTATCAGTGGACATCGGGAGGATTGAGAGATATACCCACATAGCGTCGATTTGACAGACCCAGGCTCATCTGGGACATCTTTGTTTGTCTGAGCTCATACATACTGCACAGATCTTATGTATAATCATAATTCAAAAGTTTATAATGTTTCAATGGACCATGTCAAAGTCATAGAAATGCTTCAGTAACTACACAATTCCCCACCAGTTGCACAGGAGATGAGCATTGGTCTAAACAGGCACCTGGGTAGTACCACACGAAATTCTAAAAATCCATCAAATTGCCTTGACTTCAACAATATGCGAGTTTTCAATTATATTCAAGCTATGGAGGTTTAATCTCTATTCATCTAATGTCAATTTGTTCATGGAGGTAGGAACTTGACTTTGATTTTAAGTATCGTTTGTATTGTGTCCCCGTACAAAAGATACTTGTGAAATTGCAGGTTTATACCCGCTCGGGCGGGCTTACCCACACGCAACGGGGTGGAAGTGGAAAAAGCATAGTTACTGATACTTCAAGTTTAACAAACTGAATATCGTGGATTCATACTTGAAAACTATACATAATACGATACTTGATCTCTCTAATTTCAAAGTACTTTCTAGAAAATACCACCTGTTAAATTTGAAGGTTCCTAAACAATCTCCTGTTTATTTTGGGCTATTCCCGCCTGTCCAGGTACACCCCCTGGTATCTCGCCAAACCAACCCCAACATTCAGACCAAAGCAACGAATACACAGTCCAATAAGAACAAGATCGCACAGAATACATAACCTAAACCTGCCAGAATTTAGAAGGGATAAACGTCTTTCCATCGGTCCACACCATCCACCACTATTCCCTAAGAGGGAATCCCGATTCCCTTTCGGGCATCCACAGCGGGAGAGCGCTTTGCCCTTCGAATTTGCAACTCCCACCATCATTCAAACCTTTCACGTCTGGGCCCTGCGCCGCAGTGGAGAATTAAAAAGATCTCGTAGATCTTGTGGACACTTTATTTAAGATTTAAAAGCTGTCAGTTGAAATCTGGAGTTGAGAGTGGGTCCTCTGGGGAAAGCTCTGGACTTCACCTCTTTCATCATGGGTATCAGGATGGCACTTAGTACTAGCTCACTAGTAATTTGGGACATGGGAGAAATCTCCCCCTTCCCTATACAAATTCTACCCTCCATACTCATGAAACAGATAAATCAACACTAGTAATTATGTGTGGCCATGTAAATGATTACGATGAAGTATAAGTTGAACCCAGGAAACACGCTGCATTATCGAATGATATGGAAAGGTATCTATTGATCCCACAGGAAGATAAATCAAAGCTTTTACTTCCCAACAGGCTCATGAATATAGAAAAAAACAAATTTGTAAGACAGCCCAGAGAAACAGAGATTTAATAACATGAACAAGAAAGATGTCATCGAATAGCCTTCACTTATTGCGCACCATTAGACTTGGATTTTTGAATAGCACGACGGGCACGAACACCATCGGCCAGGTCATTCATGACATCCACAGTCATCTCCCAGTTGATACAGGCATCAGTGATACTAACACCCTTAAGCAGGTGAGCAGGACCCTCAGGAGGAACCTTCTGGTTACCCTCGTAGATGTTGGACTCAATCATAACACCAATGATACCAGTCTCACCCTCACGAAGCTGATCAGCGACCTCCTTAGCGACAAGAGGCTGGTTGAGGTGGTTCTTCTTGGAGTTACCGTGGGAACAGTCAACCATAAGAACCTCGCGCTGCTTCTTACCACGCAAAGCCTCGCGCGCACCACGAATACTCTCACGGTCGTAGTTTGTGCCCTTGTTTCCACCACGCAGAATCACGAAACCATGCTCGTTACCAGCAGTCTTGGTAATAGCCGCAAGACCCTGCTTGGTAACACCAAGGAAGCGGTGAGGATGCGCCGCAGCACCGATGGCATCAATAGCGACAGTGAGGTTTCCGTCGGTACCGTTCTTGTAGCCAATGGGAAAAGAGAGACCAGAGGCCAGCTCACGGTGGAGCTGGGACTCGGTGGTGCGGGCGCCAATAGCGCCGAGGGAGATCAGGTCAGCCAGGTACTGGGGGAGATGGTATCGAGCATTTCGCTAGCGATGGGAAGACCGGTGGAGGTAAGATCGACGTAGAGTTTACGGGAGACGCGCAGACCCTTGTTAATCTGGAAGGACTCGTCAAGGTCAGGATCGTTGATCAGACCCTTCCAGCCGACGGTTGTGCGGGGCTTTTCCAGGTAGGCGCGCATGATAATACACAGATCCTTGGAGACCTTGTCGTTGAGCTCCTTTAAGCGACGAGCGTACTCCAAAGCGGTATCTGGGTCATGAATGGAGCAAGGACCGACGACGACCAGTAAACGGTCGTCGCGCTGCTCAATGATCTCGATGGCTTCATTGCGGCCGGAGCGAACTGTCTTCAAAGCACGTTCGGGCTAGAATTTCCAGTTAGTTTCTGTTGTGAATTTTTGTTTAACTATTTTTTGACGTGGTGGGGAGGGGCGTCGTGGCCTCAATTGGCGGGGTCTTTTTTCTTCTTTGGAATGAACAAAAAAAATGACTCACCACAGGGATCTCAGTCTGCAAGTACTGGGGTGGCAGGAGAGGATCGTATCCAAGGACTAAATATTACCGAGTAATAATCAGTATACTGATCAATTGGAATTGAAGAGTTTTGCGCTTTCAGTTGCTTCAATTGAGTACTTACCACGAGTGTCCTCGTTCACTTCGGTAGTCTTGACGAGAGGCATGATGAATGTGGGGGAACCAATAGAAAGAATTACAATTGAACTGTTGTGATTCAAGCGAGTTAGCGATGAAAGAATTGAGATTGATAGGAATTGAGTGGACCTTTTAGATGTACCTGAAATCAGGGGAAGAAAAAAAGGGAAGAGTTGATCAAGAGAGAGAACCTTGGAAATGGAGAGATATTTACTTGTGGACTCGGACCCCGTTTAAAAAAAAAGAGGGAACGGTGAAAAGTGGAGATTCGATGATTCACAGGGATGACTGTACACAATGACATCCATCGGACATGTCTACTGCAGATTTCTCCAGTGGCTCTTTTTGGACTGACTCAGAGTACACCTGGGCACTAACTAGACCATTTTTTGACCATTTAAGTTAGTTTCTTTATTCTTTCATCTCCTCGCATCCTCGCATCGGAGTCCTGCATCGGGTCAGATCTAGTTCGGGGTTACGACCAATCACTTATAGCATTGGACTAGTCTGTCCCACCGTGAGATCCTCAATTCCAATGATTTGCGCATGTGGGTGTTACTATATTTGACTAGAGGGTATTGACATGACTAGAAGGTAATTAGGGAATTTCAAGTTTCGGTGATGTGAATGCTTGGATCTGGTGGGTTGGAGATCAGCGCCACTATGAATTTGGGCGGTGATGAGGGTCCATTATGTAATCCCATAGAATTCATAGAGTAATAAATAACAAATAAAATAATAAAATATAGCACTAGGTCAATTTTAGGTATGATAGTGAGATATAAGAAAATAAAATTCAAGTGATTTAATATAACATTCAGACCAAGAATGAAAATTTCCCCTGCAAACTACTTAGTATGTAAATGTTTGTTCTCATTCACTGCTGCTTGGTCATCTTCCATGACGGAGCCTCCGGGGCAATCATGACGGTAACTGCCGAGCTCTCTCACTCCATCAAAATTTGAGCTCCCCTTGCTTCCAAGGTTCCCTCCCTTCATGACCATACAAGTTCCTTGCACCAGAGCAATCGGCTCTCAGTTAGTCTCTGCGCTGTAGTCATGTTTGGGGTCAAGCGGCCTCGGGATGAGGACCTGGAGTCCGAGCTGGACATCCAGCGCAAGGTACGCTCGTGAAGCCTCGTCATGGAGCTAGCTCCTGGTCTGCAGCGAACTAGCTAACAACCACAAAAGGCTCAAAAGTGTAGCCCCGCATGGAATCTACCCTCATTTCCTACCCAGCCTTCCCACTTCCGCCAGTCTTTTCCTCTTCAACCCCCCATCTTGACCCCCGTGAACTCCTGCGACGAGGATGAATATTTCAGTGCCGCGAAACCAAATCTGTCGCCCTCGAATGGCATTACAGAGTACCACTTACGAAATGAATGGAACCCAGTCGGCTCTACGACCAATCATGCCACGGTGAAGCCACTCGCAGCTCTGCAAGGCAGTTGGCCTTGGCCAGACAACGGCAACAGCAACCATACTCAAGCCTCGCTGCCAGCTATTTCTCACCATGAATTCAATCGATCGCTCCGTATCAATGAAAATCCTACTACACATACTTTGCACCCCCACCTTCCGACCGCAATGCCTCTCTCAGATGCAGTCATGAAAGACACGAACTCGATGGAATATGCAGGACATGCGACAGAAGAACATTACTTCATACCAGCTACACTTCCGAGTCCAATCAGCGACAATGACGATGTCACTATGGGTAGCTCTCCCCCCAAGCGAAGCAGGACAGGTATCATACACGCGCCCTTCTCCCCGACCCACGACCGTCCCCGAAATCCCCCTGGCCTGCCCTGTGTCTCCACGACATGAAAATGAAGCCATATTAATTGCCCAGGCTCAGCCGCAAAAGAAACCGACACTTGTTATGGGATACCGCGCCAGCTGTGAAAAATGCCGAAACAAGGTCCCAGGGCACTACAGCCATCTCATTCTCTAGTCAACTCACATATCTCCCTTCAGGTAGTCATTCCAGCTCTCATCTCAGCTGATACTACCTCTTCGTGTATACTATTATCTATTTTCTACTATTGCTGATGCACGTGATGTCTACAGCATGATTCCCCCGGCGTTAGGTTTCCAAGGCTCAGATGGGAAGGAGTTTCATGATATCACACATGGGTTTCGGATTTTGACTTCCTATCCATGATTTGCGACTTTTCTTTTCTCCTTTACGAGATAATATGATGATAATAAAATTGATTTCAACTGGCTTTCCGCTCCAAACACTAGAGGAACTTGCACGTCTAAGTAGACAGAAGTATGCCTCGCATGCCTGCGGAAGGGCGGTAGTGGAAAAGCCGCGCCATTTGAAACGTACTCCAAGGTTTGAAATAGACACAGACAAGTGCAGGCCGTACGTTGGACTAGCGTATAGTCTGCTTACTCCGAAGACGACTCGATGAACATTGTCACAGCCATACTATTCACTCGCTTCATCGGCATACCTATAGGTAGATCCCGATACCTAACTTATCCGATCCGACTGGATGACAAAGCACCCGAAAGTTCACCTGGTATTTGGGATTTTATTCTAGCATCTAAATAGTACTGGAAGTATGATAGTAGAAGGCAAATGTCAGTACCGGACTAAAATAAATTCTTAAATGATCTGGAATATCCATGGAAGACGATATTCTAGAAGGTGGCTAACCTCATGAGTTCACTTGGAAGTTGGAACATCCAATCCATTCTCAGATTGAGCCCCACATGGATGAGCGCTTAGCCGATCTCCATTGCCGGTTGACGGTACTGGTCGGCCTCACTGCATCCGACCCCGGAATTTCACCCGGCATTTCCCTTAAGAATCTCTTGCCTCGGACATGTTGGGGAATTTTTGGGGCTATTGCTTCTTTCTTCTTCAACCTCCACTCTCGCAGCCATTGCACTGTAATTAGAAATTCAGTGTTGCTACCCCAGATCAGATAACAAGATCTCGTGGCTGCATCCCCGCAAACTACAAATAAATTTTTAGACCGAAGCCAAAGAAAAAGAATCTCTCACAATGGCTTCTCCAATTCCCCGCGGTCTCAAGCAGGTCCTACAGAAGGGTCCCAACGACATTGTCATCCTCTCCTCCCTGCGTACCGCCGTCACCCGCGCCAAGAAGGGTGGTTTCAAGGATGCCTACCCTGAGGAGCTGCTCGCCAACGTCCTCCGCGCCACATTGAAGGCCAACCCCAACCTGGACCCTGCCCTGATCGACGATGTGACCATTGGTTCCGTCCTGCAAGAGCTTGGTGGTGCTAAGGCCGGTCGTATGGCTCAGATCCACGCCGGATTCCCTACCTCCGTGTCCTTCAACACTATCAACCGTCAATGCTCTTCCGGTCTGGCCGCTATCACCGCTGTCGGTTACGGTATCCGTGCCGGTGCCCTGAACGTCGGTGTCGGTGGTGGTATGGAGCACATGACCCGTAACTACGGATCTCGCGCTATCCCTACTGTCCTTTGGCCCGAGCTAAAGGAGTCTTACTCCCAGGATGCCCAGGACTGCATCATGCCCATGGGTCTCACCTCCGAGAACGTCGCTGAGCGTTACGGAATCACCCGCCGTGATCAAGACATTTTTGCTGCTGCTTCTCACGCCAAGGCCTCCGCTGCCCAGAAGGCCGGTCGCTTCGACTCCGAGATCGTTCCCGTTACCACCAAGTTCTACGACCCCGAGAACCCTGATGCCCCTCCTAAGGAGATCACCGTTACCCAGGATGACGGTATCCGCCACAACATCTCCGCTGAGAAGATGGGTACTCTCAAGCCCGCTTTCAAGGCCGATGGTGCTAGCACTGCCGGTAACAGCTCCCAGGTTAGCGATGGTGCCGCCGCCGCTCTGTTGATGCGCCGTTCCACCGCCGAGGAGCTCGGTCTCTCCGGCTCTATCAAGGGTCGCTGGGTCGCTACCGCTGTTGCTGGTTGTGCTCCCGATGAGATGGGTGTTGGTCCTGCTGTCGCTATCCCCAAGCTGCTTCAGCAGGTTGGCTTGACCGTTGCTGATGTTGGTGTCTGGGAGATCAACGAGGCTTTCGCCTCCCAGGCTCTGTACAGTGTCCGCAAGCTCGGCATTGACGAGGCTAAGGTTAACCCCAACGGTGGTGCCATTGCTATCGGTCACCCTCTCGGTGCTACCGGTGCTCGCCAGCTGGCTGATCTCCTCCCTGAGTTGGAGCGCAGCGGCCAGGACATTGGTGTTGTCAGCATGTGCATTGGTACCGGTATGGGTATGGCCGGTATGTTCGTTCGCGAGTAAGCGAATGAAACAAAAACAAAATACAACCGTTATCACGGACATACATAAACTTGTACTGGTACAAATTTTGATGTACGGACGTTTTTGGTAATTTGGTTCTGTTATATTATGATATCAGCGAGGCATGTGTATATACAATTTCGCATAAAATGATGCTTTTTTACATTTCAACTTGAACTACTCTTTCTCTCCAAGTATTTTTCTTTTTCCGAGTCTTTACAAGAGAAGATGAAGTATTCATAGTACATGTACTAGTACTTTGGATTACTTTTGGACTCTCAGACCTATAGTCGTGTAACTGTGTGACCTCTGCCCAGAGGTCAACATCATAGCTTCAAAATGTTCGTAGTTCTGGTGTGAACAGGTACAAACCTAGCACTTGATGTGTCTATCTGGTACATTCCCTAGTAATCCGGTGGAAACACAGTCACTGCAGACTAGGGCTTTTGAACTCATCGGGCTGTTCTCGTGCCCTGAATGAGGGGTGCAAGATCCTTGTCTTCTCCTGGATGGCCTAAACCTGTATCTTCTACCTAGTCTTTGAAATACTCTTCTGATAATGTTGTTCCCAGATTGAGATGAACACTTCTTCCAGGAAATCGAAGGCTGTGTAATGGATCCAGGGTTTCTGTCTCTTTCGTCTAAAATATCACATCTGTGGATATCACTACCTAGTACGTAGGACTCTAAGCCACTGCAGATCATAACAATCGGAAAGCCAGGTACTTACTGTTCGTCATGATGCTTTCATTGCACCATGACGATCATGCTATCTATACAAGTTGACTAGGACTGCAGGGGTCTCAGACGTTATCATGATATAGGGTGTGATATTCCATCCTCGCAATGCAGAGTTACTAGTATGGTTGCCCATTCGAAAAGCTACTAACCTAGCAGTTCCTAGAAGTAAGATGTTGTAAGCCCAGACACCAGGGTCAGAGATAGATAACTTTCATGAACATTTCATCCTATATAATGACCTGAGAATTCAGATCATAACCTCACAAAGGCAAACAGCACTGCTCATCAGATTTCCTCATATTCAATCTCATATTATATTGAAACAATGTTAAGTCTCCTCCCTTTTCTAGGACTTATGGTGAGCCTCAGTGCCACCAGCACTACAGAACAGCAAGCACAAACCAATCTCCAAGCCATTCAACAACGAGACAACTTCCCTCCACCGCGCGAAACAAACCAACACACCCACGATCCTTCTATTCTATTTGTGGACAGTACATACTACCTCTACCATATCGGCCCGAACATCAACATTTCGACAGCCCCCTCAATGGACGGCCCATGGACATACGCCGGTCCCGTCCTAAGTGGACCCAGCGTCATCCCCAAACCACAAGATAACCTAACCTGGCCCTGGGCACCGAGCGCGATAGAACGAGACGGCAAATTCTACTGCTACTACTGCGTAAGTAACGCCGGATCTCGGGATAGCGCCATTGGCGTCGCGACATCTTCTTCGCCGGGTCCAGGGGCTGGTACGATCATGGCGCTGTAATCGAAACCGAGACTGGAGAGGGTTCTGATATTCCGCCATTTACTATCTCCAATGCCATTGACCCTGACCCGTTTATTACGGATGATGGGGTAGCTTATTTGAATTATGGAAGTTATTGGACAGGTATCTATCAGGTTCCGTTGAGAGATGATATGCTTGCTCCGAAGAGTAGTATTGATCTTGATACGAGGCATTTGATCGGACCAGGAGATGGAGGTACAAGCCAGCTTGAGGGTTCGTTCTTATCGTACAATAATGGGTTTTATTATTTGTGGTTTAGTCAAGGGGCTTGTTGTGATTATGATCCGAATAATTTGCCTGCTCCCGGACAAGAGTGAGTATACTTATTTCTTCTGGCTTGAGTTTCCCACCTTCACTGATATTACGTTTACTTTATTCTAGATACAGCATCCGTGTTGGACGTTCTGACAATCTTCGTGGTCCCTTCTTTGATAAGTCTGGCAAAGACTTAGTTTCCGGCGGTGGTGAGCTTGTATACGGCTCGAACGGAAACGCATATGCGCCAGGCGGCCAAGGTGTGGTGTTTGATGGTGAGAATGATATACTTTACTATCATTACTGTAAGTTTGACATTCATCTTAGTGAACGTGTACTGCTGGATTCGCACCATGATATGCTGATATGAGAACAGTGGATAAAACCAGAGGATGGGAATTCTGGGTAAGTTCATACCAGACACTTTTACTGCTTATGACTATTCAAATGTTCAAGGACATTATCAACACCAGCCAAAATTTGTGGATTGAAGTTCTATGATACGTGCAATTTGTCTAACCTTTGGTTTGTAGGATACTTGGCTTGGGTATAACCCATTAGAATATTCGGATGGATGGCCCGTTGCAATGCCATGAGGGCTGTCAACTGGTTGATTGGACATTAAGACTGGGCTGTATGGAGCAAACAAGGGCATTAATGAAGGACTTGGAGATTCTTACGGGATTTATCAAATACTTTGATTATGTGTTAATCAGATGGACTTAAAGTTGAGGTTAGAGCGAACTAACTAGTCCGCCGATATAGTACTAGGTAGTTCAAGTTTGAGATCAGCATTTCATCTCAACACTTACTAGTCAAAACTTGGAGGGTTGATTTATGATTTCGGGACCAAGGACGCTTCACTCTGTTCCCGAAAAGAATTATACAAATAACCTTGGAAATGTCTACTATCTTTGACTTCCCAGAGAACAACTAGTATACACAAAAGCGGCGATGGTTCATACCGAAACGGGACGGAAAGGATCACCTCCAGGGCTGGGTATTCTGGAGTAATTCAGTATAAACCTAAGCTGTAACTAATAATGAGTTATAAGAATCGAAAGTCATAAGAAAAGAATTAACATCTTTCATCGACAAATTCCTATCATTCAGACAAAAAATAAAAAGATAAATTGTCAGTTCGAATTGTTGATTGCTTATACAAAATGCCAAGACTGACACGTGACTCAGGATTTGTTTCGCCGCGCAAAAGTTCCCCAGCATGGAGAAGACATCAAGAACATCTACACCACAATCATGCGCCCAGCCGTACGTCTTCCCCTCCGGGAGGCATTCTATGTCTGCTCAAACTGCAGACAAGAGACTCTTCCCCGAATCTCCCCGATTGCCCGCCAATTCCGCCGCTATGCCTCGTCCGAGCAATCCTCGAGCTTCCTTGACCGGACTCGTCGCCGACTCTGGAGCGAGAAGCCCCCCCGGTGCAGAGGACCCTTACTCCGGATCCTCACAGATGAACCGTGCGGCCGAAGAACACGATGGTGGCCTTCAGGCCGGATCCAGCGAAGGAGCCGACCTGGCGGTGGGTGATAATTATGAACAGGCCGATACCTGGAAGGGTCTGGACGTGATTGGATTCGTCAAGGAGAATGAGTGGTTAGAGCAGGGCTCTGACGCGGAGGCTGATAAGTATACTCGGTATGTTTTTGCTACTCCCTACTTTTTGCGAGTTACTCTGGGTCCCGCGTTTGCGCATCCAGGGTAGAGAAATTAAACGGGGTTGCTAATCAATTGCTTGGGTTTTGTAGTTATGACGCCGATGTCAAGCCTCGAAAATTGCCTTTCGCTTCTCACCAGGCCGCTGTCGAGATTGCCATCATGCAGTTGCTCGGCAAGCCCTTGGATAGCATCTGCGAGGTCGGAACACACAACCATACTGTTCAGCAGTTGATCGATGCTTGTACATTTGTGGATGCTGAGTCTGGAACTGCTTTGCGCTTCCCCAAACAGAAGACTCTGGAAGCGCTGGTTTTCGTTTTCAACCAGATTGGAGGAAAGACCGAAGTTCAGGTCGAGTCACCAGAGAAGCTCATTATCGAGAAATCAGTGGAAGGAACTTCCCATTCTCTCTCTCTGACCGATCCTGCAGTCAAGTTTGCCGTTCGTGTCCCTAATACCCCCTGCATTCTACTGAGTTTGTACTAATTGTTGGTTTTTAGTTTGCTAAGCGGTTATCCCAACTCCTGGGCCGTCGGATCCCCGACCAGGTCATCAGCTCAGCCAATTCCTCTGCAGACTTGGTAGCTGGTCTCAGCACCAAGCTCAAGGAGAAGCCCATTAATGTCGTGAAGAAGCTGGCTAAGTTTGAGAAGGCCGGCTACCTGCCCCCCTAACCTTAAGTTCACTTCCAAGCGCCTGACCAAGGCCGACCATGATGAGGATGTTGGTCGCAAGAAGTCTATCATCGCTGAGCTCCACCGCAGAAATCTGATTCTGGAGAAGGATGAGCACAGGCCTTCTGGTCTTCACTGATTTATGCTTTTCCGCGAGAGAGCATCTCAGGAAGATATTTGTGTTGTTTAAGCCTGCGCTCTGTTGTAAAACTATTTGCATCTGGGGTATGCGAGATGGGAAAATCATGGCTTCCCTGGGCGAACTAGGCCTTGTGATATCAGGACATATTTGTGTATATTAGAATAAATTCTTTGGTTCAATTGCATTTTGATTTATTTTTGGTTAAATATGGATTTTGTAGTTCGAGATGTACACCAATTGAATGTAGCAAGTCTCATCATATGCGTCATTAGTATTGAAGGAACAGGAATGGAAGACTCGCAAACTCCAAAGACTCCTAGAAACGACATATGCAGGTCAAAAGGGAGAGAATCATCTCCGAGCAGAAGCCGGAATGGTAAACCCTCTTGTCATAAAGTCACCAGTCTTCTTCCCGTCCTCCTTTTTCGTGAACAGACTGTCAAGATTCTCATTGAGGCCCGCTACTTTCCGTCGCTTGTTTTTCTCATCCTGTTCATCCCGAACGCGCGCAGCGATCTTTGCCGCAGCAGCATTCTTGATACTGCTTCCAGGCGTAGGTGTCGAAGTATTGCTCCGGTTAATAGGTCCGGAGGCAGACTTGGTTGCATCCGCAGTGGCGTTGACCGCAGCATTTTCTGTTGCAGCATGCTTCTTGCGCTTTTTAGATCCGGGAGCTTTCTTGAGGGAATGGGTAAGACTCTGCTCTGCAAGCTTCTGGCCTCGGGCAATAAGGCGTTGCTTATCTGCTTCCTTGGTCGGTAATATGGAAATAATGTTATCTTCAGTGTAGGGCTGATCACACTGTATGAGGAAACCAGAAGATTAGTATCAAGAATACTTTTTTGGTGAAATTGAGCTATGCCAAAGACTTACCTGTAAACATTTATCGCCCTTCAGTTGACGAATAGCCTCCTCTGCAAAGACATGACCACATGGCACTAGATATACAGACTTCACGCTGGGACCGAGCGGTTTCGCAGTGATAGGACAGATCCAGCCTTCGCGGCGCTCATGACGATGCGCATTGATCTTATCAGACGGGTGCTCCGTCAACTCTGTGTCGATCTCAAAGTGCAGCTCCACCACATCCCGAAGAGACTTCACACGCCCGCACAAGATCTCCTCGCAGTCAGACTTGGAGCTGATGCCCTCGCCGTCGTCGCCGGGAATCAGGAACTGAATGACAGCATCCTTGTTGTATAGATTGCCGACAGAATCGGAGACAATTGGTCGGGCAAGCGCTTTGTGTGAGAGGAGGCAGGTAGTCCAGGCGTGTTCTTGCTGTTCGCGCTGGACTTCTTTTACTTGCGCCGTACTCGGGGCGCGCGCGGCTTCTTTGACGAGCTCACGGCGGGTTGGGATACTTTGAACAGTCAGCTTTTGTACAAAAGTTTCTCCAAATAGCAAGGCCATTCATATTATAAATATCAAAACTCACCTTCCACCGTCATTACCCATGTTGCACGAAACTGTTGAAAGATGCGCAAGTACAGATTAAAGTGATTGCCACTGCGATAAAGACTCGCTCAGAGATAGCGTGCTGACTCAGCGCCGATTAGATTCCAAGGTTGGCCGGGGATATCAACAGCTGGCCGGAAGCTCTCCACACTTATCGTTTCTAGCTCAATGCCTTAAACATGAGACTTCCTCAGTCGCTTATTCTGTTGGCGGTGGCTGGCACCTCCGCGCGAGCGAGCATTGACAAGGTTGCTCGTCCTCGAGGTGTCGCCCCAGAATGTGAGTGTTTACATCCCATATCCCCACCCCCGGACGAGGTGTCCACACAGCCCGGTGGACATCAATGGCGGGCTATACATGGATTTCTCCACGTCAATCAACGTTATGTATACTGATTACTGTGTATTTTAGTTGCCAAATTCTACCAAGACACCGAATCCTTCACCTGTATCTCCAATCCCGCTGTAAAGATCCCAGTCTCGGCGGTTAACGATGACTTCTGCGATTGCCCCGATGGCAGTGACGAGCCCGGAACGGCTGCCTGCTCGCATCTCTCACAGAATTCCCCGCTCACAGTAGCTGATCGGCCCGGACACAGCGATATAGACTTGACGCTCTCGCTACCGGGGTTCTACTGTAAGAACAAGGGTCACAGGCCATCTTTCGTACCCTTTCAACGTGTCAATGATGGTATCTGTGATTACGAGCTATGCTGTGATGGTAGTGACGAGTGGGCCCATGCCGGCGGTACTAAGTGTGAGGACCGATGCAAGGAGATTGGAAAGAAGTGGCGCAAAGAGGAGGAGCAGCGCCAAAAGGCTATGACTGCGGCTTTGAAGAAGAAGAAGGAGCTTGTTGCTGAAGCCGGCAAGCAGCAGAAAGACATTGAGAATAACATTGCTCGATTTTCAGTTGAAGTCAAGGATGCAGAGGCCAAGGTAGCGGGTCTCGAGACTGCTTTGAAGATTGTTGAAGAGCAGGAGCGTAAGGTTGTTCGTACCAAGGGCAAGGGTAAGGTGAATGCTCTTGCTGGAGTTGCGAAGGGTCGTGTGCAAGAATTGCGTGAGAGCATCGTAGAGCTTCGTCAACAGCGAGACGAGACTCGTCAGCGCATGAAGGAGCTCGAGGAGATCTTGTCTACTTTCAAGGTCGAATACAACCCTAACTTCAACGACGAGGGTGTCAAGCGTGCCGTGCGCAGCTGGGAAGACTATGCTGCTCGTGAACTCGGTGATGTTATCAATGATGCCAAGGAGCGTGACTTGGATGAGATTGTCAAGGTTGATGGTAAAGACTCTGGTGTTGACTGGGAGCACTGGGAGAATGAAGAGGACGGCTGTGCCGACTCTGATCTCAGGTATGAATTCTTTTTGAATCTGGCTCAAAGCCTGGGCATTGTGAGCTAACAAATTTGTCCGCAGTCTACAAAATAGCGGCTTATCTCCCACCATCCCTTGTCGCGTTTCTTGAGGAACAGGTTCTTTCTGTTCGCTCCTACTTGGAAGATAACGGATTCTTGGCCAAGTCTAGCGGTGATTCGGTCTCAGAATCTAGGGCTGTGACTGATGCACGAGACGCGCTCAAGTCCGCTCAGGATTCCCTCAAAAACTTGAACAACAAGCTCAATGACCAGCAGTCCGATCTTGAGAAGGATTATGGCACTGCTGGAATCTTCCGTGCACTAAGAGGTCAATGCATTGATAAAGACGCTGGAGAGTACAAGTATGAGCACTGCTTCTTGGACTCTACCAAGCAGATCCAAAAGAAGGGTGGATCAGTTACGTCTATGGGCAAGTTCACGCAGATTACGACTACCAGGGTCGAAGAGCTCAGTGAGACTGGAGAGATCATCACTATCGAAAAGGTTGCTCTCGAGTATGAGCGTGGCCAGTCCTGCTGGAATGGACCCAGCCGGTCCACTAAGGTTATCCTACAATGTGGTGAGCAAAATGAAATTCTGAAGGTCGCCGAGGACGAAAAATGCGTATACTCGATGCATGTCACCACCCCAGCTGTCTGTTCTGGAGGACAACAGGGCGCATCTAGCTCCAAGGATGAGCTATAAAGCTGGCTGTAAGATTTCATCTGTCATCACATACATCTGATCATTTATTTCCATCTCAAGTTTCGTCTCTTCTCCAACATGGGGCTTTTGAGCTCCAACCTACATTTATTAGAGGTTATTGTCCAAGTAAGTTCTAGTGAGCTGTTATGTCCCCGTGTATAACTTTTCGACGGCTTTGTTTCAATTAAATGTAAACATCTGTACTCTGGCAGCCCGTTATCAACCCACCACTGGCAGGAAACATTTGTACATGTGACTAATGATCTGCATCAGGTTCTCCCATCGGAATGATAACTTGACGTGGGCTTCTTATTATCCTACCGCTATTCTACATTTCTACAAGAAGATTCTTGGTGAGGCAAGTCTCTTTGATTCATATATGAATGTACGGCAAAGGCCCACTGTAGACAGAACTTGAAATACACGAGGTCAGAAGACATCTAGACCTATTAAACTTGAACTCATCCCCATCCAAAAGACTCCATGTCCTAAAACAGACATCGATAGAAAGCTGAAAGCATCTCGACCATGATAACGTAACACATCACCGACACCTCTGTGGAGGGTCACCAGACTACAGCTCTAGTTCGAGAGCAGCGGAAGTCCGGGCCTGGTATGCGTTGTCGAGGTGTTGGAGGAGGACAGCGGTGGAGAGGGCGCGTTTAATGGCTTAGTGCTGGTCGGATGATCAGAACTCCAACTACTTCGCAACATAGAAAGCATCATTATGAAACGGTGGACTTACCTTGCAGCTTCCGCAAGAGCAAGACTTGCAGTCACCGGAGCAGCAGTTGCAGGAGCAGGGAGACATGTTGATAGATGTATTGATGGATAAACCACACAAAGTTGTTATAGAGAGAATGTGAAGTGTATTTGGCTTGACTTTGAAGAGCTTGTGAATGAATCAAAAAAGGAAGAGAGGGATGGGATATGAGGCTGGCTTTATACTTGAGATTTTTCTCATCTGATTCCGTTCAAAGGAAGCTCCTCCGTATTCCGGGTAAGTCAACTAAATCTCATTTGTCAAGAATTCCTTAGGGAATTGATCTTTCGATCTTCAAACCCAATACCATCAAATAGCCCTATCGGAGCATCCACGTTCATGTGCAGGAGGCAAATCCCATCGCGTGGTCGAGTCAAATGGACCCAGTATGCAATATTGGAGCCCTGGAGGGCAATGCGTAGACAACGTAGTGTCTCCCCCCCCTCATCAACTCCACTTCCATCACTTCCATCTCCGAGTCCTATCCTAGTTAGTACTCACGCGCTTTCCGCTCATTGCCAGCAGGGCAACTCTAACGCTTCATCCAATGACCAGATTCTTGTCTAGCAAGTCCCACCAATAATGACGGCTGTCATTTCGGAGGTGGAGATGCTGTGCTCCGATCTGTTTTCTTCTTGTGGGGTCTTGCATGTTGTTGCCTCTACCATCTGACGATCGTGGATGGTTGCTTTTCTTTACTGTATTTACTCGTATTCCCCTCACCTATCCCATTAATTCTGTTAGCTTATGGGGGTTGAGATGGAATACCATTGGATAGAAGAGGCACTGACATTTGGTCACTTGAATTACTTTTTCTTCATACGTGGGGAGAGCTTGCTCAAGGTTCTTGTGCGCACTGTCCACTGAGTTCATAGTTACATGGTCAATCTATATGATGACTTGATATTGAGCAAGGAGACTCGGACTAGTTCTCTGTTTTCCCTGTAGCATTGGAGAATTGTTTTTTATGCTGGAACTAGTAAAATCATGATTTTCAAAAGTAGTATTATGACTGTGGAGCTCCAAGTCCGAAATTATGTACTTGGCATTATTCCAAGTTGCGAAGCTAGACATAGACGGTAGTTTCTTGTCGACTAGGGCGGATAATACGATTCTGCAGCTATTTGCTTATACCCGAGACTCAATTCCTTAATCATACCATGACTTGGATCATGATGAAAATGTTTCAGGCCCTGAAAATAGCTCAACTAATTACTTCCAAGGATTTTGCGTAATTTCCCTAAACCGTCATCGTGGTTCTCGGGGAGGATCTCTATGCGGGCATTACCTCATATGCCTGCAAGTCATATTACACCCAGTGGGTTTTGTTTTACGACAAAACGAATTTTCTGGCGCTATAAGCGGTACAGGACCGAATTCCTGGCGAGGCAGCCTATAAGGAGGCTGATCTTGGGGCAACTTGGGGACCTTGGGGGACATGGGAGGGGCGTGATTAGGCCTCATTGGTAGAGGTTGGGCTGATATTGTGAGTTGCGTATTCCAAGATACACTGAAGTGGAGCCAAAGGCTCTTTGTTTGATCTCTATTTGACATTCCTAGGGAGCATGTTGACTCTCCAGGTGCGAGTGAGAGAGTATAGCAAAAAGCTCATATAGACGTTGAGTATCAAGACGAAAATCTTTGACGAGAAGGCCCAGAGGCAGATTTTCGGATCAGCGGGACGACTATTGGAGATCGACACGTAGTAGCAAGGAAAATGCTTCAGGTTTGCTAACATCATACCAATACGCTGTCTGTATTGGGTTCGTCGTATTTGGAGCTTCATCTTCGCACGGATGCAAGACTGTAACCGACAGGCTGTTCCCGGCCCACAGCAGGCCGGTAAATACCTTCAAGTGATGGTACCAAGGAAAATTCAAAGGCCGAGAAAAGTCAGAAAGTGGACTGTCTTATCCTGCATGAAACTTGAAGCTCCAACGGACCATATCATACCCTGTTTAGTGTCACGGACCCTTCCGACATGCATCATGTAGGATTATAATTGGCCGCAAGATGATCTTGGAGACCAAAATTGCCCAGAAACTAGCCGATGGCCCCATTCTCAGTGTTGTCGAAGTCGATGGGATCTTCCTGGCTTGCCTCGTAAACACATAGCGACGATGGATGGCTGTGCCGGAATGAGCTCGGTAAGCTCCAGCCGCGCAAGCCGAAAGAAATCCGGTTGTAAAGGGTGGAGCATTTAAAGTGGCAGGGATGCAAGAGACAAGGTTAGGAAGCGGTTTGAGGTGTCTGTGGGTACTAGAGCTGGGGCCTTTGCTCGGTGTAGGAATGTGTCTGCTGTTCACTGGCTCATCCAGTTCCCCAACAAGGCAGCTGAGTTCCGAGGGGGTCTACGTCAGGAGTCACTTCAGACTGCCAGAATACTATGGACAGGATAAAACCGTGGGAGAGCTTTGAAAGTGGCGATACTGGTCATTATACAGATCTTTTGATGCACTGTAGATAAGCTCATCACATCCACTAAGCTTAAATGACCCAACAATTGGGTGCGATGCCCACAAGGTACTTGGTGAAAAAGAATAAAAGTGCTTGAGCCAGCGCTCAATTTCAATAATTGACTAGAAATCAACTAAGAATTTTCGGTGCAATGAACACAGCCCCCGCATATCAAATCCCTTCAAGTTTGTATAACCATCCCCAACTTGGGCAAAAACATCATCTCTCCAAGTCCACTTCAGTTGTATTCGAAACTGAGGCCGCAAGTAATCAAATTAAAAGGGTCGTCACTGTAAGGCTGGGCTCCTCCTCTCACTTGCACCAGAGCATAATAATTTGTTTACTTCTGTAAGCAGAGGGATTAGCATAGGTACTGCAATGATCAAAGGTATTTATTTCACCACATACAGGGCACTGGCAGCCACCGGCGGGGCAAGCACAAGAACTACCGCAGCTGCAGGTGTGGTCGGGACCTGTATCAGCAGTCAGTATCACAATAATAAAGTAGCGAAATATTGATGGAATACGAAGGTGGCAGTTGGTTAACCCCGCCATAACCCCGCTCCAGATTAGTGACATTACACTTCTAGTTCCCTCGGGCCACGAATCAAGTTGGAGATAAGAGTAACTTACCCATTTTGAATGAATTTGGTTGTTATTTGGAAATGAGAACGTTAGTTCAGTGGTAGATAGTAACTCGAGGTGGTTGGTGATGGTGGTAAAGAAAAGAGATGAAGCCGAGCCTTTTATAATGAGGGGTCCCCGTGACTTCCCGGACTACGACTCTATGATTTCTGAATTCTCACTCATCATAACTTGAACACATTTGGTTGGGGAGACATTTTCCTTGTACGAGCACATTTCTGCAGTCTGTACCCCGCCTGAGCACATATCTGACGCAGCTTGCTGTTTGTGAAACTAGGAGGGGTCCACGGGTTGATCTGATAGATTTGACCAAAGGGCGCTATACTACACAGTTCAAGTTGAAAGTAATCATTTACAGTGTTGGTAAATTGGATTGATTTTTACTTGAATTTGAGAGACTCGTTCAATAAATACTAGTACCTCGAGTGCTTCTGGCCTGGAGGCTATTTGTAAACCCGTATGCGTGTATCGCCATCACTAAGATCACAGTTCTATCCTAATCTGAAGGATATTGTACAAAAAAGATAATAGCTGAGCAGAGCATCCATGTAGGATTGGAGTAAAGTAAAAACATGGATTTGCTGGTCTGAGAATCTAGTATCTGTTTCTATGGAGACTTGAAAGTTAAAACTCTTTAAGACACGGGTTTCCCATTTATGATAATTGGGTATCTCTTGAGCACTACTAAAAGAGAAAACCAATATTTGCAAGGCTGCATGGCTAAATCAGTTTCTTGTCTGTGTAGAGGTGTGGCACTATCAGTCCATCTGGATTCCTTCACCGATCATGCCCAACTCCAGCTTTGTCATTGTAACAGCTGTCGCTCGGTGACTGGACTTCTTTGCACATCCTATTACCTCATGCAACATGAACCCACTCCTGTGGGTCACCTCCAAGAATATCAAGAGTCCCCTCATGTCAGCCGCTTCTTTTGTAGAACATGCGGTGTCCATGCTTTTTTCAAGGCAGGAGATAACTTCTTCGTTGCATCTGGACTATTAGCAGCTGAGGATGTTCCTCCTGTGAAATCGATCCAGCATTGGAAGGTGGATGCGGATGGAGGTGAGCGAATTTCTCCCTGGAGAGACCATAAATATCGGCTGCCGACTAAATGCCCTCGGTGAACCAGGAAGCAAGAATGTTATCGACATACCAGCCAAATCGATACAACCATCTCAGTATGGACTGGATGCTCAATGCCACTGTGGTGGGATTAAATTCCACCTGACTCGTCCCAACGCATCATCTTTCAGAGCATCGTCCCCGTGGCCTGATTTGTTAGTTCCGTACCATTCCGACTCTGCAGAGAATCCAGGCAATATCAAATGGTGGCTGCAAGGCGACAACACCAGCGACAACACCAAATATCTAGCTGGAACTTGTGCCTGTCCTTCTTGCCGACTGGCCAGCGGCTTTCCAATTCAGACATGGGCCTTCGTACCCAAGTCAAACATATTGCAATCTGATGGCTTGCAATTGAGATTCAGCGAAGGAACAATGAGGCAATATCCCAGCTCTCCAGGGGTATATCGGGAATTCTGCGGGCGATGCGGGGCAACAGCTTTCTGGCACAATGATGAGCGGCCAGCGTTGATCGATGTGAGCGTAGGATTGCTTCGGGGGAACAACGCACTGGCACAAGACTGGTTTGAATGGGCCACAGGGAGAGTAAGCTTCTCAGAAATGGCAATACAAAGGGATCTGGTGCATCTTCTAGAACAAGGATTATATCAGAGTGCGCGTTGTGATGTTTAGGCACTTGCCATGAATCTAACATCCCACACCGCCTTCTGTATACACCGCCTACCATATATGATATTTCGCGAAATGATGTGCGCGCCTGAATAATATGATCTTTTTTTCCCACCCTCACTCTTTCCTTCATCATCACAATTTCCTTCAACTTCACAACGTGTTTTCTGGCGTCTTTCCTTTAGTAATTGGCCCAGAATATCCAAAGTGTTCTTGCTTTCTCGTGTTTTCTGCATTTCGCTCGCGATATTCCCAAGTATTCGGTACCTCTGTCGCATTCGATAATCTTCCCGGGAACCCGACTGACGAATATCCTCCCCGATCCATCACTGCCAAATTCCATCGCCTAGGCCACCCTCCATACCCCGCAGTGTCAAATTGAAGACCGATTTTTCCCTGAACCATGGCTCCTCCTTTCCAATTCCGAGGGAATGGAGGACCCAACCGGTCTGGAGATCGAGGTAGACGGCCGCCTAGAGAGCAACATAAGTTTACTTTTCGCGCTCCTCGCTTGCTTTCCGAACGTCCACTCTTAGTGTCTAAGCGAGAGACAACCCCTGAGCAGTTGCAGGCAGAGAATGGAGAGAAGCCTGCTCTGAAGTTTGCCTCTCTTGACGCTCTGAGTGACAGTGAAGAAGCTGAAATGGAGTTCTCTGATGATTCAGATGAAGATGCACGTCCCCGCAAGAAGCGTAACATCGGGTCTGGTCTTGGACCTGATGGCCTGGTCCTTGCAGTTCCAACAGCTGAACCTCCCAAACCCAAGTGGTCCAACCCAGATCCGTACACCGCACTACCACCGCCCGACGAAAGTCACAAGAGGGTAGACGTCATCCAGCTTATTCGCAAAGCTAGACTTGCCAACGTTACCAACAAGACACAGAGCAAGGCTGTTGTTGCCAACGAGGATTTTATCTCACTTGGGATGTCCACGGAGAACAAAAATGATGACAGGCAGCAGCAGCAGCAGCAGAAAGCTCCCGCGGATGCACCAAGAGGCCCCCGGGGTCTGCCACCAGGGGCTGACTCGAGAGCTCCTCCATATGTGCCAAACGGTCCCATGGGTCTGGAAGTTCGGGGAACGGCGACAAAACGTACGCGTGATGATGAGCCAAAGGGCATTTCGCCGAGACAAGGAAAGCCCAAAATCAAGTTCAATCGGGATGGTTCTATTCATCAGGAGTGGCGCCCAAGACCTGGTCAAAACTGCACTCCTTGGTTAGAGTCGGTTACACGGGCCTCAGGCCCGAGCGTGTGGTTTGTCTATTCTCTTATCCCCTCTCGGCAATATATACTAATGGTTGTCTCAGGTTTCACAATGAATGTATCGCTTATTACAAATGGGTTAGACCAGAGATGTTTGAAGATCTCGTACGAGCCGATTTAATCAACCGTTTGGCGGCTGGCTTTGAAAGACGTTATGGTAAGGTGCAGCTGCGTCCATTTGGCTCCTTCGCATCGGGCCTTTACCTTCCAGTGGCAGATATCGATTTGGTGCTCCTCTCCCCCCAATTCCGACAGACAGGCCGCAAGTTTTATGGTGTGAGAAAGGGTCAAATCTATGCATTTTCTGCTCACTTACGAGACATGCAAATTGCTGTTCCTGGATCCATTGAGACTATTGCTCATGCCAGAGTGCCTATTTTGAAGTTTATTGACAAGTTGACGGGCCTCCGGGTGGATCTGTCTTTCGACAATGACAGTGGTATTCTTGCCAATGAGACCTTCAATGTTTGGAAGAGCCAGTTTCCAGTGATGCCAGTCGTTGTTTCTGTCATCAAGCAGTTTTTACTCATCCGTGGACTGAACGAGGTGGCTACAGGAGGTCTGGGTGGATTTTCTATCACTTGCCTTGTGGTGAGTGTTCTTCAACACCTTCCGGACACATTTCAGCAGAACGTGGGTCATGTTTTGCTTCATTTCTTCGACTTTTATGGCAACGTCTTCGATTACCGAAGAACTGGTATCCGGTTGAATCCAGCTGGCTTCGTGAATAAGGTGAGTTATCAATCCCCGGCTATACATCGGACCATGAATTTGGGGCTCATAAAATGTAATCGCAGACGTTTGAAAGCAGAGATCGTCTCATGATTGAAGATCCTAACAACCCTGACAATGACATCTCGGGTGGGACAAAGGAGATTCCACTTATTTTCCACACCTTCAAACAAGCCCACCGTGCTTTGAGGGACATCATGCTCCGGTACCACACTCTGCCACCTGGCACCAGCATCTTGGAGAAAATCATCGCAGCCAACTTTGACGAGTATGATGAGCAACGATTCCAGCTGTTTGAAGTGTTTCAAAACGCAACTCAGTTTGATAAATACCGCCTTGCTCCACCGCCTCCCCCGACTGAAGCTCCACCAAGTATTCCACCACCGCCTCCTGGAGCCTACTAGATCTTCAATAGGTCTAATATGATCATGTGACCAGGTCACATAAATCGCAAAAAAGATGAAAAAAGAAAAAAAAACTCCCAAAAAAGAGGAAATGAAGAAAGACACATCTGGATCTTCTCGTATCCCACATGATTAAAACGAATCTTTACTCCTCAGTCCTTCCTTTTGATTCGTTTGAGATACCCCTTTTCGTTCTGCACGGAGATGGAGATGGGAGCAGGGCGTTATGTGGGTGATGGCTGCTTTTAGTTATTTATTTTTCTTTTCAATCCAGACACCTAGTCTTTCCTCATGTTCTCTCTCCAGGGCTGCCACTGACAATTGTGACAAGCTTGAAACTTAACTAACAGCGCTATGAAGTGGCATTTTCACTCTAGGTGATCGTTCTTTTCGCGGTTTCGATTCGGTTATCTCGGTGCCTCGTTTGGTGCCTCGTTTCTCTTCTCGATCCACTTCCTATGCACTACGGACCACGCACCGAGGTATAACCCGGCCCCGACTGACCTGATCGACCGTGATAGGACCACTATCATTCTGTACAAGGTATTTCTCTATGTTAGCGATTCAATGAAACCACTCACAACCTGCGTGATTGTACATCTGGTGCATAACCCGGTATTGTGTTTTATGATCTCGGACAATGGCCAACCTTTCCCATGCCTCCTTTCTCATCAAGAAATCGCTATACGTGTGTTCTTGGAGAGGATTAGAGCTGGAGAAGATCTGGCCAAAGGTATCGTCCCAAGTCTTGTGGAGAATTCCCTTAAAGTTCATACCGTTTGCTGAAATTTGTGATGCGATGTGCTAACTGAGTATCAGACAATCCCAAGCTTATGACTATTTGCATGATTTAGAATGCTTCTCTTTGGACCATTGTTCGGCATTGCGTGCGAGGTGATCATGTACTCAGGCTCCAAGCCCCCAAGGCTCGCTAATTGCTTTGAAATTTCAAGTTTCGAATTGGTGCTGTGAAAAGTCTTGAGATCCTGAACTGCAAGAAGTCGGTCAAGTTGGTCGAACCATGAAATGTATACATATCCCATTACGAGCAAAAACTGAACAAATGAATTGAAATCTTCAACTTTCGTATATTCATGAATCAAAATGTCATCAGATATATAAGGCCCTTTAGGCAATTTGGTTCTCTGCATCCAGCGGGGGCGTAAGCAAGGCATCTCCTTCAATGCTCCTTGACTCAACAACTGGAAGATTTGTTTTCCCTTGGGCCTCTTCCGCAGAAATCCTCTGCAAAGTAGCAAGGTGTTCCTCAGACAGACAATTTTGAAAGTCTGCCCCAGGACTAGCCCATACGTAATCCACCCATTCAGGGCCCAGAATATCTCTGATCTCCTTGGCCAACTGCAGGATACTAGCCTGGCGCTCCTGAGACCATGCGCGATCCGTGACAAGACCCTCAGAGGGAGTAGGCAGATTAGCCACAGAAGAAACAGCACCAGTATCCGCATCCACAGGCGTACAAGGACCAGCAGATTGAATCCTAGCCTCAAGATCCTCATCCTCATCCTCCTCATTCCAGTTCTCCAGACCATCCAAAATACTCTGCCAAACGCGTAGTGTCTCATCCAGCTCTGCAAAGTTACTCACGCCCATCACACTGACACCCAGCTTCTTCCCAGTCCCAATATTAGCAACAGATAAGAAGCCCGGATCCGCATCCGCTGTCCTAGCTAACGGCGCACCCAAACCGCCAGCCTTCGCACCAGCCCTTAACCATGTTTCCAAGGCAAATCGAATCGCCACAACCTCCAATTTCTCCCCATACTTCGTGGCACAGTCCGCCGCCTCCTGAATAGCACGACGTAACGCATCCGGCGCAGGATGAAAATCGCCCATCGAACCAATCGGCACACCATCACGACGAAGTAATCCCATACCCAGTGGCGAGGCATTCGGGACAACATCCACACCGGCAGCGAGTAAACGCGGCAAGGCAAGCGAGCGAAGCCGTGTATTCTGCAGCGTGAAGTTCGCATAGGACATAACGATATCAAGTGGTTCACCCGTTTCACCAAGGATCATTTCAGAAAGATCACTTAAAACATCAACGGGGTAACCTGAGATACCAACATAGTGAAGAATTCCCTCCTCATCGCGAAGGCGACGGAGTTCACGAACAGCAGTGAGGACCTCGGACGGGGAGACGAATTCCACATCGTGGCAGTAAACTACATCTAGGTACGATGTATGTAGACGGTTCAGACTGCGACGAACACTATGTCTTATCCATGCTGGAGAGTAATCAAATGAGGAAGAGGCGATGCGACCGACTTTTGTGAGGAGGTGGTAGGTGTTTCGTGGGAAGTGGGATTGCACATAATCTGTGGCTAGGGCGCGACCAAGTAGTTCTTCGGCAGGGCCGTAGTAAGGGGATGTATCGAAGGCGCGGATACCGCTAGATAGTGCGCGCTGGACTAGTTCGGTGGTTGGGAGGGCATATGGGTCTGCATTATACTGCGAGTTGAAGGTTGCTGTGCCCATTACCAGCGGGGGAAGGGCTGCCGACAGCGGGGTGGAGGGTCGCATTGCTATAACGTCTTTTGGATTTGGTATATATAGAAGAAGTTGGAATATGGTTGACCGTGTTTATATCTCGTTAATTGAGATAGAAGGCTGAGGTTGGGTATAAGAGAAGAGTCCCTCAAAAAGATGATTTAGAGGGCTTCACCTGGCGTACGCAGCGCAGAGTGGGACTCTTTTTCCCTTATCCGTGAGAAATTCCCCCGGCTCCGCCGAATCGGGATGGCGCCATGGTGGGTATACATTGGCTCCATTATATTTGAGAGGAGCCTATGGTAATCCAACGTGCCAGGGTGGTTGATCGAGATGCGCTAGTGTAACTTGGTTGCGCAGGAAGTCCATTTGGGTTTCTTGTATGTTCCTGGTAAATTATAGGTTTGGTGCTCAGTCGGCGGTGGCAAAATCCTCATTCAACAAGATCAACATTACAGTTTAGTCTTATAAGTGATATAAAATGATAATTGAAACAAGTGATGTTTTTGGAAATGTGCAAGTATACAGTTATAGTACATGATGCTTTCGAATCAGAGTGGAGAAAGGGGATAGGGTGGTATACACAGAAGACCCGGAGGCCAAAGGGAGAGATCGGGTGTATCACTCCAAAGTGTTAGGAGAAGATTGATCCCTACACAAGGGACAAGAACACCCAGAACAGGATCGAATCCCCCAGTCTAATTAGGGAGAGAACAAGTGTCTCTCCCAGAAAACCCAAACGCCATGCTATGCCAAATCAAGAAAGTCGAGCGGACTCCGAAATTCTCCTCGATGAAGATGAAGATGGAGAAGAAAGATACTCGGGAAGTCGACACTACCGCCAGGTAGAATGTCGTATAGGTGTCTTAAGACCGAGGATGGCAGGAGCCAGGATTGTGTCCTCCAGCGCGTTCACTTCACCGATCCTTGTAGACCTTAGGCTTCCAACCGTCCTGCAATTCCTTCTCACTGGCTGCCTTGCGTTCAACCTCCCGCAACTCCATCTCTATCCGTTCGCGTGCGCGCAGAATTTTGCTCTGCAGGTAGAAGCTACCACCCTTCTGAGGGTCGTTCAGGTCGAAGAGCTTCTTGAATCGTTCCATAACATGTTCGACACTGGTTTCGCCGGCGGCGGGGGGCTTGACGTTGAGGATCTTGCAGGCCTCGTCGATGTTGATGCTGGAGCCAGCGAAACCACCGGCGGCCTTCTTAGCGCCAGCGTGTTTGCCGGATGCTTGGGCTTGCTTGTAGGCCTCGGCGAAGGCACGGCCGAAGACCCGGGCTCCGGTGACGACGACTTGAGTAACAATGCGGTGAGCCTAGAGGGAAGTAATTAGAAAATTTTGGATTCAAATATTTATCTCATTTGTAAGAGGAATCAAGGGTAAATAATTACCATGTCGAAGACTTAGGGGACCAAATGCGTAGATCACAAGGAGGTGACGGAGAAAGAAGAAGGGAAAATTTCGGCGGCGCGTGTTTTAGCGTCGGCCCGGGATGGATCTATGCTTGAAGACCATAGTATAGGTAATATAAATAAAGAATATTTTATTATTCAGACTCAGATTCTCCTAAAATCAGTTGATATGAATTTAGATTCTAGGTTCATATATATTTTAATACCTTTGGAACTTCCCTCTATGCATAATTGTACACGCTTGTTATGTCTAACTTAATGACAGTCACATGTCCCCGAACTCCCCCCCGCAGATCCAAGTTGATCCGAAACGAACCTCACTCAAAGCTATAAGAACGATGGATGCCTGCCTGATCGGCGGCATGTGCACCTTCTTTATGAAGCCTTCATAATTGGATGGCAGCTCTCGGTATGTTGACTATTCTGGTTGCCTGAATCATGAATCTTCCCAAGCTATATACCCTCTGTTTTTGTGTGCTCATGCTCATGCGACAGAAGATCTCCCGTGGATAGATTCCATGGCCCCCTCTACTCCCCAGGACCATGGCCATCCTGACTCTCAACCACCTACCGTCGCTGCTTTCGCTCCCTCCACCATCGCCGGCTCAGCTTTAACCTCACGACACCGCTCCAGCGTCATCGTGCATCGCAAGTCACCTTTGTTGGTGGCTACGCCACCTTCCATCACCCGGGCTCTAGCCTACTCACATCCTTTCCTCCTACCTCTCAACAAATTTGTGGGCTTAGTAACATGGACCACTGGAGACCCATGGCAGAGCTTCCTGCTGGTAGCCACCTTCTGGGCGGTGGTGTTGTACAGTGAGGCCATCATTCTCTGGGCTGGCCCCATACTTGTTGTGGTTGGGCTGATCCTGGGTATGTATGGCCGGCGATACTCACCTTTATCATCTACGAGCTCAACGGGCGAGAAACACGAACGTAAACCCTCAGCGGATACCACTACCCGCCATCAAAAGAGCCTGGATGATATTCTTGAGACGCTACGAACCTTCACAACCCGGTGTAATATTCTTCTAGAACCTCTGCTTGACCTGACCGATTTTCTATCAACACAGCGAACGGCAACGTCAGCCACTACCAGACCGGCACTAACAGCGTTGTTCCTTCGCATTCTCTTGGTAACTCCAATTTGGGTTGCCTTGACACTACCACCATTCTACCTGATTACCACGCGTCGTGTGGTTATAATTGTCGGCACGGTCATTCTCACCTACCACTCACGATCTGCGCGAGTCTCACGTGTTATTTTGTGGAGGTCTCGTCTAGTGCGCCGACTCTGTGGTATAATCACTGGACTATCTGTCGCTGATGGTCCAAATAATACTACCAAAATGCAAAGTCAGGGCACGGGATTGAATATCTCCACGAAACGACGTCGAGGCTCGGGCGGTGTTCGCTTCACATTTGTTGTATACGAAAATCAACGGCGTTGGCTCGGAATCGGATGGACATACTCTCTATTCCCAGCGGAGCGGGCTGCCTGGACAGATGAGCACTTGAACACCGTTCCAGCCAAGGACACATTCGAGCTCCCTGACGTGCGGACTGGAGATGCCAAATGGCGATGGGTAGAAGGAAGTGAATGGCGCGTTGAGGGTGCAGATCCGAATAGCAAGTTGGATTCAAAAGCATCCAACGGGACTGGCGAGGGATGGATTTACTATGATAATAAGGTATGCATTCCGTCTCCTCCGAGAATTCATCATAATTAACAAAACCTTTAGTGGAACGACGGACGCCGCGGGCAAGACGGCTGGGATAGATACACACGTCGACGGAAATGGTACCGCGATGCGGAACTAGTTGATATCGAGCCTGATGGATCCAACGCCTCCCAAGAAACCGTCTCCACACTCACCCAAGCACTTGAAAAAGAAAAGCAGAACAAGGAGACAGGGCATGAGGAGAAAGATACCGAAGTAGATGAGCTCAATCTCTCCCCTACAACCCCACTGAAAAACCGACGTCGACGCTGGTTCAGCAGTAAAGACAAGACGAAAAGTGCTAGCAGTGAGGGATCGCCTTCTGTTGATGCTGACACTGGTCGCTCTACTGGAGCAAATGTTGATGGTGCCGGGAGTATACGGAGTTCGTCTTCACGACCCCTCAGTATCAAAGATTCTCGCCGGTCATCACAGTACAATATCCGAGAAGGAAGCTTGGCGAAAAGTGAAAGCTCCAGTATGCGCGAGAAAGAATTAGCTAACTCACGGGATCATCATGATCGATGGTCCACTCGAGCGGCGGATGGAACAGAGAGGGTAGAACGTGAATTTGGATTAAGCGATGATGTGAACATGGGTCTGAGTTGACTATCTCTCTCGCTTTTTGAGTGAGTGTCAGTCTTGGTTCTAGAAACGAATTTTATTTTCTTGCTTTCTCTTGCTTCCCTTTGGAAGCGGTTGCCTATTGCTACTCTAGGGCTAGTGTTTTGCTGCGAAGGGTTGCCTTGATATTTCAAATACCCCTAATTGAATTCAAGTCGGTACATCGGTACATCAAGGTCTCTCTATATACAATATAAAACCGCGCTCAAATATTAAAACTCTAAGATTTGTACAAAATTGTGAAGGTGAGTGTGGCATGGACAAGCCGGAAGTGAAGCTCCGGAAACACAGTGGAGCTCCTAGCAAAGACTAGTAGAGACGTAAGGATTATGCGAGGATCACATCCCATTGCAACTCCTCCGAGATGTCCTGCCAGTGAGTATTCTGGGCAGCTTCGCGGTAACTGGGAATATCAATTCCACCCGAGATCTCACTGAGAGCGTTAGCATCTTTCCTTGCCCACAAAATACCAAGTAGTTCCTTTGCCCGCCTGACGTTCCCAATTCCAAAATTGTGCTGCAGTTTATTCAGAGAATTTATGATCAATTCTCGGTGAACAAATACCTCGCTCTCAGCGCCCGCAATAAAAAGCGGGAAAGTGAGTGCCGAGTACTCGCAATGATCATCCAAGGGAAACATCTCTACGCGTGCAAGGCAGCGATGGACTGCAGTTGCTTTAGGAGTGGAAATGAGAGGAGCCCATTCTGTGAGGTACGGAATATTCCCGGGATCCCCATGTTCTGTCCTGGTGTAACGACTTGATTTCATACTCATTCGCTCCAGAATAGAGTGAAGGTAGATGAATGCTGCGTCGCGGAAACATTCAGCCACTAGTTGCAAGCGGGTGAGAGATGCGATTGTGAGGCCTTTGGGGATGATCACTGGAAAAGAGTCGTGAGACCATGTGCATAGAGATTCGTTTCTAACAGTTGGGGTTAGTCAGATGGCCGCAGTGTGAGTTTAGATGAAGTTAGAGCTTACATGGAGGCTATTGCCAATCGTAGAGATAACATGTCGTCATGTAAAGAGGGAAGTTCGGCAATTTTCGCACAAAGATTGAGCAATTCTTCAGTGTATCCAATGTAGATATCCAATCTTGGAGTACCGAGCTGCGTATCTGCCGGATGAGCATCTGCAGCAGTGATACGCTTGCGGTTACTGATTCGGGCCATGTTATAGGCATAGAGAAATCTAAAAACATGTCAATAGAGTAATCTCTTCGTTAAATAGAACCCAGGAAACATACAGTCCCCTTAGAAAGTGAGCGGCGTCTTGCTCCATCGAACGCAGGCCACCACGGCTGGTAATTACCCGTTGAAGTGCGTTGAGATGCACGACCCATTGCTTCACGCTACCTCGTACGATTTCATATTTGCACAGTAGACCCACAGCTATCATTTCGTTGTCTGAAAGGTGCTCTGGTGAGGATTTAACCAGTACTGATCGCAGCTCATTCAGAGTTTGGCCATAGTAGTTTGCCGAGGCGGTTTGAGCACTAAATCCCTGCGAGCGATTTGCAAGGTGAAGTGCAGACATTGCGCAAACAGCCTTCATGAGAAGCGGAGATGACATCGCGCGAGGGATCAGCAGTGATCTAAGAGGGTTGTCCTCGCTTTCGAGGTTGGCCAGAAGCCTTGAGCCATACTCAACGTGATATTGAATGTAGTGTGATTCGGTATTGGATAAATGTGGGACATAATTTCGTGGTCGCGGGACAACTGCCAATGAATCTGGGGAGACCATGACCTGTTGAATACTTTCATCGGTTTGGTTTCGGTTATCCTCCGAGGACTGATTTGGTAGCGATGAAGGGACAGATCCACTAGGGGAACTAGACACAATGGATGGTGGTGTGTCTAGGGATCCGTCGGAATGGTATGGTGACGGCGATGGTGACAATAGATGCGAAAGGTTCGTCTTATTCCTCCGTCGTGGTCTCACGAATTCCGTCGAGGCATCTTGCTGGAAAGTTTGTGTTGATGGGCCTAACGGTTCTACCCAAAGAGACCCATAGCCCTCACAGACACGACCCTGTTTTATACAATTATTGCAACTGAGAAATTGTCAACCGAATATTCAAATTGAAATGCTCAGAATCGCATATACCTCGGTTTGGCCTTATCACAGCCTTTGCGACGCTTCTTACAAGTCAGACAACCTGAGCGAGTCCATGCAGTACCTGTCTGCCGAGTTCGGACTTTCTTCTGAACTGGAGTGGTCACGGAAGGCGCCGATAGTGGCTGGACCCAACCGGTATCAATGACTTTAGTAGTAAAAGTAGTCATTATTGATAGGATTAAAGATCAACGAGGACTCTTCCCCGCGAATTGATACGAATTGATAGGAGATCTGGAGGGGCTGCCCTTTCCTAATCGGGGCAATCTCGCGCCACACGTGACTCTTATCTTTTTCTTGTGGGGAAATTTTCATCTGAATTAAATCTGAATTAAATCAGAATAAAATGAATAAAATGGGAGTGAAAGGCGTAAAGATATACTAAATATGGTTAGTATATGAGATCTATGACCCAGAATATGATGGTCAATTTAATCCACAATGACAAGGATCTTAGATCTTAAATGGCGGTCTCCAGTTCTTCTCTCTAATACAAATCCATGCAACATTGTTCACATCGCTCCACAATCATCCACACCACCTTTCCATATTAGGAAAGTCCATCCATGAGTTGCAGCCGCCCGATAAGAAGATCGCGAGATACTTAAATTCACCGTGATCTTCCCCCTCACTGGAACTTCAATTGAATCATCCTCATCTGAGCCTCCGATAATTTTACTTCTTTACCTCTTTGCTTCGGCTCGCTATCATTAGCAGAAATCATCTTCTCCCCTCCAGATCACTTCTATTCAACGATGGTGACCGTGTCACACCACCCATTTGATCCTATCACACCGGAGGAGATCAAGCTTGCTGTGCGCATTTTAGAGGCTACCTTCCCCGGGGTTCCTCTGCGCTACAAGCGGATTGATGTGAATGAACCTATCAAGAAAGATGTCCTACCATATATCGAAGCCGAACGGTTGCGCCGACCACTGCCCAAACCGCCAGCACGTCTGCTCTATACCCTGTTCCACCGGCAGGACAGTGGTGCATTCCATAAGGCTATTTTGAATGCTGATACACGCAGTGTTGTCTATGCGAAGGAGCTTCCGCGTGAGGTCCAGGTAAGCACCACCACCTGAGAATTTTCGTCTTTCATTTTTTTTATTTTATTTTTTTTGGCTTGTCAAAATGGCGCTGTTTCCTTGGTTCTGACGAATTTACCTTCTAGGGACCCATCGATATTGATGAGATCAGCGAAATTGAAGAAATGTGCATGAAGCACCCTGCTGTCCTGGCAGAGATCGAGAAATTGCAATTGCCTCCCGGGGTGACGGTCTGCAATGATCCCTGGATGTACGGCACTGATAATGAGAAGGAAACACGGCGACTCTTCCAGTGCTTCATGTACCTGGTTTCCGTAGACCACCCACAACACAACCATTACTCGCTACCGTGCAAATTCTCCCCCGTTTTCGATGGCCTTACCCATGAGCTTGTCCGAATGGATTATCTTCCTGGTGCTTCTGGGTTTGATACTCAAGAGACACAACCCTGGAAGCCCGTCAAAGCAATTCAATACGCCCACGACATTCTCGATGAGCCCATTCGCAAAGATCTCAAGCCCTATATTGTGCAACAGCCCGAGGGTCCATCTTACACCGCTGACGGCAACTCTGTTTATTGGCAGAAATGGCGTTTCCGGGTCGGTTTCAATATCCGAGAAGGTCTTGTGATTTATAATATTACATATGACAACCGAAATGTGTTCTATCGTTTGTCAGTTTCAGAGATGACGGTGCCATACGGAGGTAAGAAATTACGGCTTAAAATAAATCATCCTAGTTGGCTCACAGTTTTCTAAGATCCTCGGGCGCCTTATCACCGAAAGCAGGCTTTTGATGTTGGTGACACAGGCTTCGGTATGAATGCTAACCAATTATCACTTGGATGCGACTGCCTTGGACACATCAAATATTTTGATGGCTTCCGGAATGACTGCAAGGGCAACTCAGTGCATTTGAAAAATATCATCTGCATGCACGAACAAGACAACGGGCTGCAACACAAGCACACGAACTATCGGTCTGGCGCTGCCACTGTTGTGCGTAACAGACAACTGGTCCTTCAGATGATCTGTACAGTTGCCAACTATGAATATATTTTTGCATACATCTTTGATCAGGCTGGCAATATCGAGTTAGAAATCCGTGCTACCGGAATTCTCTCTACTGTGCCGTTTGACAATGAGAATGGCCAGACTGTCCCATGGGGAACCAACGTGGGCCCAGGTGTGATGGCTCCCTTCCATCAGCATATGTTCTCTTTCCGTATCGATCCCGCTATTGACGGATTCAAGAACACGGTGTACTACGAAGATAGTGTTCCCATGCCCGAGGATGAGAACAATCCTTGGATGGTTGGCTATACCACAGAGCCTACCGTGATGAACACCTCCGGCTGGGCGAACACCAGTGTCGACCGTCACCGTGTTTTCAAAATTCGCAATGATAATATCACGAACCCAGTCACCTATAAGCCAGTCTCATACAAGCTACAAACCGTTCCGAGCCAGATGTTATTGGTTGGCAAAAGCTCGCTGGGTTATCGCCGGGCCGAATTCGCTAGCAAGCCTATTTGGGTCACTAAGTACCAGGACGATGAACTGTACGCTGCAGGTGAATTTACCAACCAGAGCCGACGGGCTGAGGGAGTTGAGACTTGGATTCAACGTAAGGACAGTACCGAGAACGAGGACGTCGTTCTGTGGCACAGTAAGTTTACCAATATTTATTTATTTGTCGCTTTTCAAGTATCTAACGTGCAACAGCTTTCGGCCTCACCCATAATCCCCGCATCGAGGACTTCCCTGTCATGCCCATGGAGCGCGTCAGTGTGATGCTGAAGCCTGATGGGTTCTTCACTAAGAACCCAGCCCTGGACGTGCCCCAGTCCGCTCAGGCCTTTAACAAATCCACCCTCCACCCGGAGGCGGTTCAAAGCGCTTGCTGTGCTGGTACATCATTGAACAAAGCCAAGCTTTACAAGCGACTGGATTAAATTAAGCCCGTCATTCTTTCATATACCCCTTTTTGATTATTTTGGTTTTTTCTTCATTTACATTTTGGCATATAATCGCTTCAATTGATCTATTTTTGAGCGTTAATTACTCGTCGACCATAAAACTCATGTTCCTTCCATTTTATGATTATTAGTATCTATCCTTTCGAACACAACATTGGAAGCGATACTTACGAATAACACCTAGAAGTCGTAATAATACTTCTTTATATGTACCCGGATGTTTCCAGACTCGGAGTACTCAGGCTATTCACAACATTTGAACCTTGGCTCGGATTCGGAGCCTCTGACCTGTTGATAACAAAGGTCCACCTCAATTTGTGGAATGAAAAAAGCCTCCCTGGCATATGTGACCTCCCATTTAGATTCAAGCTGGAACAGCATGGTGATTTGCGGGGTCAAATACTGCTAAAACCTGAATAGATCATCGATTCTCGGTATGAATTGGTCCGGTAATGTGAAGTTGTTGACAAACTCTATACGCAACGTTGCATTGAGCGGCACAGACCGACTCTGGCACTTCACCTTTACTCCGGAAAATGTATACATAAATAAAGGTATCTATTTTGTCAGGTTCAAAGCCATATCGCATGCTATATCAAAAATGGCTGCGTGCAAGTTTCTGTGGGGTGTGTTGTTTGCAATCCTCCCTGCATATACCGTCTCTGGTGCCGCTGTCTCCAACTCCAAGTCACACGAAAGAGATCTTCAGAATAATAGCTGGCACAGATATATTCGATCGCCAAGTAGTGACCTCGTCAAGCCTCAAAGCATTCCCTCCGCCAACATCACTGGAAATGTTACCAATCCCAATGGGTTGTTGACTGCTGATAGTCCACCTACAATTTTGACTCGCAAGGAAGAAGATACCGATATTCCTTCTCTTGTCATTGATTTCGGTCAGAATGTTGTTGGCATCGTTTCAATCAACTTCGCTGGGTCATACAATTCATCCGAAGGATTTCCAGGACTGAAGCTGGCCTTCTCGGAGACTCAGCAATATCTGACCAATGTCAGTGACTTTACTAGATCTGATAACATGGGTGCAGTAAGTTTGAAAGGCTCTCCTGGATACCTGTTATTCTACTAACGCCACCTTTCAGGGCCAAAAACTTACAAATGGAACTGACCAGGTAAGAGGATATACCGAAACTCCTGGGAAAACATGCTCACTCGGTATTTAAATGTTGGCAGATTGCTGTCGCAAATGAGCCTTATACCTGGAAAGACCACGCTGGCTGCTAATACGACACCAAAGTATGCTCAGACGGTCTTCATGGTTTCCGCTACATGAGAATTTGGCTCGACGCTGTTGAAGGCGACGCTCCTTATACTCAAGCATATGGAGCCGTGTCAATATCGAGCATTGAACTAAAATGGTCTGCATACCTGGGAACGCCTGATACTTACACCGGATGGTTTGAATGTTCCGACGAGGATCTCACTCAATGGTGGTATGATAGTGTCTACACCACCGACATGGATACCTATACATTCCTTGCCAATGAAACAGATCCTCGAAACTCAGCATCGCCCACTCTGCAAGGGAAGGAGGTTATCTTTGATGGTGCTAAGCGAGATAGAGATCCCTATGTGGGTGACCTGGTTGTGGCAGCTCTCACCTCATACCTATCGCACGATAATCCGGATGCAACTCGCAATATTCTCGCTGATTTGGCTGATCATCAACGTTCGGATGGGTGGATACCACCTGCCAGCATGTGAGTACCTTTTTTGAGTATAGCCATGAAGTTATCATTTGTTTTTGTTTTCCTGACACTTATGCCAGAAACAACTACACGCTTGATTTATATGACTATCCTATGTGGTGGGTCATATGCACAGCAGATCTAGTTATGTACACTGGCGATACAGACTTTGCTACCAAGTATTACGACGTGATGAAAAAGACACTCGACAATTACTACGGGCAAACCCTCACGTCAAACGGTGGCCTTCTCAACAAGACAAACGGGTACGGTGACTACGCTTTTCTTCCTCGATCGGGCGTCATTACCTATTATAATGCGCTGTACATTCACGCCCTTCAATCAGCAGCTCAGCTCGCCAATATTCTCAACCACCCCGAAGACAGTCGCATCTGGACCTCTCGAGCGTCCGCAGTCAGTGACAAGCTCCTCGCCCGCAACTGGGATTCTGCTGTTGGGGCATTCTTTGATGGAGGTCCATGCCCCAACGATGCAGCAGATACAATCTGCAACGTCCATGCACAAGATGGAAATGGCCTAGCAGTATTATCTGGATCGGTCAATTCCTCTTTAGCCAACAGTGCCCTCGACTACTACGGTAACGCTGCATCTCGGCCTTACGGAAACGCCTTCTACGATAATGACCTTCTATCAGAAGGGTTTTCCGAGCGCGTATATGCATTTATCTCATACTTTGAGCTTGCAGCACGCTTTGCCATACCAGGAGCATCGGGCTCAGCTATCGAGGAAATCAAAAGATTGTACGGCTGGATGTCTACTCACGATCCGGAGGTGACATTCTGGGAAGGAATCGGTGCCAACGGATCACCTTACGAGGAAGGATTCACTTCCATGGCTCATGGGTGGTCTACAGGTATCGTTCCACTTATGAGTAATTATATGCTTGGCGTAAGGCCCACCGGTCCTGGATTTAAGACCTGGCAAATTTGTCCTGTTGTTGATGCAGGTGATCTTACTTGGGCTCGCGGAGAGGTCGGGACCCCACAGGGTCCTATTCAGGTTTCCTGGAGCAAAAGTGACAATGGGACTTTTGAGATCCATATCGAAGCACCGGAGGATTCAAGTGGCGTTGTTTGTGTGCCCACCACTGGATTCAACAGTACTCGGGTCTTGATGGATGGGAAGCAAGTGAGACAGACAGCGAATGCTTCAATTCTTGGTCCAATCGCAACTTCTGGTGATGGGTATGAGTTGGTTCAAACCGGTGGTGGCTCTCATACTATTGTGGTTGGAGTATAGGTTACAGCGAGATATGTCAGTGGCACATTTGGGTAGTAGCTGGCAGCCTGGGATCTGTATGTGAACCCGAACCGCCAAGATTCATTCAGTACTCCCCACATAGTATATTTGCTTTCGTCACGGATAGTAGTCAACTGGTAGCACCTACATGCAGCTTCCCGCGTTAGTTCTTAAGCCCCCTCGTATAATACTCGACTCAGGGACACCACCACTGACACGTTCCGGTGAAATCGGAGTCAGGTGGCTGTGGTATTGTCAGCCCTGAGTCAGATTGATCGTGCACTTCTTTCGAGATCTTGGCAACCATTACTTGCCTAAGTGCTTATCCAGCTAAGCCTCAATGTGGTTAGGCTTAATGTGCCAAACTTGAACCCCTGTTTCTTGGCTTAAATGTCTCAAGTGATTGGTATAGTGTCGTAAATAAAAGCTATGTATACGAAGAGTGCTTGAGCTTCCAAATAAGAGCTAGAAGGTCAAATTGCCTGTCTCGTAATATGAATTGAATTCGAGATATTCTGTCATGAGACTAGTTAGACAAAAAAAGTTAGTGAGTCGCTTTACAAGTCTTCAAATGTTGAATAATCGAAATTTGAAATGTTGAATAATCAAGACTTGAAATGTACTAGTATCGTCGGATCTCGCGAGTCGCTTATGTAGGGTAGCACATGCCCCGCATATCAAATCCTGCATGATCATTGAACTAGATCCTGCCATAAGCAAGGTCTTGTACCAGATTAGGATAAGGCCACAAGATTCCCGAATAGCCAATCCGCAGTTTTTAGCGTTGGTACCTGAGTTGTTTTTGATGTTAATAAAATCCAATTTCAAGTCAATTCATTGCTCTGTTTGCGGTCTCGCTTCTATGCCCAGGTGTGCTTGAGCTTAGAGAATCACCTCGATACTGTTGAAGTAAACTATCCGAACGGAATCTTCTCCATGGCCTCCATGCTGCAGAATATTCTGGCTATTAACAATCTATTATTTTGGTATATGAAGTATCTTCCATGGTGAGCTGACTGGCTTGCGGCTTGCAGAGTGTCCATTATTGATCCACCTATTTCCAAGGTTGCTATTTACGGTAATCCCTGATGAGACTCCTGAATGACTGCAGTAGAGAGAAGTCCATCGTCTCAAACCAATCCCCCAATCTGGGACTGTCATAGGTCTGCTCAGTCTACTTTCCTCTTTGGGGCAGCTGCCCGAACCTTTGATACAGGTTGTGCTCGGCAAATCTTGCCTGCCACTGAGAATTCAAGCCTTCAAACCAGAGTTCAATGTGATTGTCACCACAGGAATGGGGTCTGAAACCATGTTCAACTGCTGATGAGAAGATCAAAAGTCCGTTACAGAAGTCGGAACTTCAGTTGGCCAGAAAGAACATAAATAGGACCCAATTCCACCCGATATCTAGTTCAGATCTCCAGCCCAACTCCTCAATTCATCAATTCATCTGATATCTTCTTCCCAATATTCCAATTTTCAATATGAAGTTCACAGGCTCTATCCTTTTGACTGCTGCTGCCCTTGCAGGCCATGCCAGTGCCTTCTATGGTCAAATGGCCGCCTCTGCCTATGAAGAGAACGAGGGCGGTATTTTCCAGATCATCTATCTGACCGACTACAACACCGGCTCGACTTACTCGGGTACTCTGTACGGAGGCTTCAATGATTGCACTAGCTCTGAATGCACTGTTGAGTAAGTCTACATAGTATGATAAGTACACTTTGAGGATGGGACTGACATTGAGAATAGCTTCTATGAAACCAGTGCTGGTGGCTATGACTTCCCTGCTCTGATGTGGCGTACTAGCGACGGATGCCACAACATTGACTTTGAGGGTGCTTTTGATGCTGGTCATGGTTACTGCTGTGGCTCGCTGCCATGTGACTTCAGCACCTAAGTGACTAAGTTACGGTGGAAGCAAAGGCTTGTGCCTTTCCCAGTTCGGTCTTTTGTCTGAACGCTGTGATGATTTGTGATGATTGATATTGTATGGCTGGTAGCTAGGCCATATCTGCATGGAATCATTTTATGTCGGTTTCCTATACTGTAGGCCACCCATAAGATTCATAAAAAGCCCAATTGTAGCAGCATAGCCCACAGCCCAATGTCCGTCACTAGACCTCGCCGCCAAAATGGTGTAGAAATGCAAGGGCCTTTAAAGATGCATTTTCCGGAACTGTTTGAGTTTTCTCATACCAAGCCTTGAGATAAGCAGTGTGGTCACCATACAGCCACCCACAAGCCATCCAAATGCATAGGGAATCTCTTCCAGGTAGTTGATAACATTCATACCGATAAGACCGGCCACAAACGTCGATGCCGCGAATCCTAACATCCAAATCTCCAGTTGGGCTTCAAATATCATAATCTGGTTTCGCCGGATGTCCAGAATCGACTGAGTCACTCTAGCTGTACGATAGACTTCGCCAACAAGAGCGCTGGCAGACTCCGCAATCGCGTCGGCATTCTTGTAGTAAGCCTCCAAGAGATATTCGACTTCTTGATGATCTTCAATAGCATGTGGGTTCCCAGCTTCTCGATCTGAGAGATACATGAGAGCAAGATCTTCGTCATTATTAAGCAGCTCTTGTAGAGCTGAGCGGACTTGACGAGCATGTTGTTCAACCATATTCAGTCGCTTTGCATGTTCCAATAGCTCACGCAGGGCCAAGTGAACCGAATCTTCCCGTTTTGATTCCGGCAGACGCTTCTCAACCTCTCCTTGAAGAATGAAGTGCTCAGCCTCAAGTATCGCTGTGACAGATGCAAGAGCAGCGTCAACAACGCGTAGTTCAAAAGGAAGGCTTGGCGTAAATCCGGATGCTTGCTCGACTTGTATTCTGCTCTGTAAATTATGTTCAAAAACGTCCTGCGTCTTGACACCATCATGATCTCCCTCGGAGTCGACAAGAAATACAAGCACACGATCCGATTGGATGAGAAGACGGAGGGTAAATATACTGAGAAATATTGTAGAAGGGCGGACCAAGATATGCGGAATACCCTCGGACCTCAAATCGGCGTTCCGCAGCTCCCGGCCATCCACTCCGTATTGCTGAGCGATTTCTGCTTTCGTGAGACGAGTCTTGTGGAATACATTCGAGCCATCTGCATTGAAGAGCGCACATCGTAACTCAGTAGAGTCATTCATACGACTTCGCGATAGGGCGATGGAGTGGTCAAACACTTGCTGTTTGAACGTGATTTGTCGATCAATCTCATCAGGGGGTCGGATCTCATGGTCGAAATTGAGTCTTCGACTCGATGTAGTGACCGGTCGGCCTGATCTCAATGGAATCTCGCTATTGGTGAAGTGGTTCGTTCGAAGACCGCGGACATGTTGGAATCCCCAGTGTATTGAGTTGGAGGAACATGGTGCTATCTTCGTGAATGAGAGCAACCTCGGCACCAGGGGTATCAATCGTTCACGCATTGTCATTCCACCTCCACCGGCGCATTCTAAGGAAGTTATACTAGAAAAAAAGAATGAGCACTCACAAACTCGAGGATCCCTGCAAGATACACGTGTAATGCACGTGAAGATAAGGGGGCCAAACAATGACGTCACGACGCATTCTACAAGAATGACAAATAGGATGAAGAATGAAGTTGAGATGAAATTTGAAGATACTGAGCAATTAGCTGTTATTAAAAAGGAGCGCATCAGATCTTTCTTTCTTCAATCACATAAGAATTGGTATTTTATTTGGACTAACTATGCCGATTTGTTCATTTCGACTATCAACATACATCATTAGTGGAGTATGCGGGGTATAGTAACTTGAAGATCCAATAACATCATTCACGGAGTTATTATCAGTCATTTTGGTATCATAACTCCACTGGGCAGCCATGGAGCCATGGTGGAAAAGTGCTGACTGTACATAGTTGTGCCTTCCAAGGTTTCCGTCCCTTGATCAGACCATTCCATCATCAGATCGACTTCCTTATCTCACTGAGCCCTCTTGATTCGATATTTTGTTCAAGGCTCAACCCAAGTATCGAGCTGCACGAATAAGTCGCGATGACGGGACTACCGGTACCTCGCAGCTATGCAACTGCTGCTATGGACTACATGGGAGGGCGCTATCTCGGGATGGGCCCGGAGAAATGCAGCTACACAAGCCAGTCCGTCGAGATTCCGATGCGGGATGATATCAAACTTGCTGCCGAATTCTACAATCCATCACTACCCAGTGGACATGCACCCGCCGGTTTGATTATGATACAGTGTTGCTATGGACGAGGCGGGGGAATCACTTTTTTCAATGCCCGTTCCTTCGCTGCACGTGGATACCAGGCTCTCTTCGTTAGTACACGTGGTACCTTTGGCTCCGGGGGAACCTTTGATCCCCATGTACACGAAGAGAACGATAGTCAGGATATTGTGAAATGGATGCGGCTTCAGACCTGGTATCCAGGCACATTTGCTACGTTGGGTGCATCGTATCTCGGCTATAGCCAGTGGGCACTCTTCCGCAACCCTCCTGAGGATTGTGTTGCTGCAATTATCCCTGTTGGCCCTCATGACCAAGCGTGGCATGTATGGGGCACTGGGTCATTCCGACTCGATCGCGCGTCCTGGAGTGACACCATGTCGCGTCCAGAAGAAGAACGTGGAAGCTTTCTCTCTCGACTGACGAATCTACCTGGTTTCAGCTTCCTACGATCTTCGGAGCTAGATGACGCAGTAGAAGGCTTACCCTTAGAAGCAAGTTTACGTAGATATTTCAAGGACAGAGCTCCTTGGATTTTTGACTACTTGGCGAACCCGAATGTCGACGAACCATACTGGGAAAAGAAACGACATGAAGTCTCCCTGGAACAAGTCGACATCCCTATTTTGTTGATTGGCGGCTGGTATGATACATTCACGACACAGACGATTCATCAGTACAAGCATTTATTTAACAGAGGTGTGGATGTCAACCTTGTTATCGGTCCCTGGACACATGTCCATGGCTCTGGCCTCCACTCAATGCCAGAGATCATGGGATTTCTCGCCCAGAATCTAGCCAAGAGTGGGGAATACAGCAGGAGTCCGGCTCGAATCTTTGTCACCGGAACTGAGAAATGGTATTCACTACCCACATGGCCTCCAGAAACATCCCCCAAGTTTCTTTACCTACAAGAGGACAATGGCATTGGGGCAGAACAGCCTGCAGAAGAAGCCATCCCAGCTTCTTTTAGTTTCGATCCTCTACATCCCACCCCTAGTATTGGTGGCAATCAAATGACCAGTGGAGGAAGAGTCGACGACAGTGAATATGGCAGCAGGACCGATGTTTTAACCTTTACCAGCGAACCTCTTATAGAGAGTCTTGAAATCATGGGAGCTCCTTCTGTGCATCTGGCGCATTACAGTGACCCGCCCTTTGCAGATTTGTTTATCCGGCTTAGCGAGGTTGATTGTCATGGCACTTCTCACAATATCACTGAGATGTACCAAGCTCTTGACCCAGATCGCGACAGTTCCAAGATCCTGCAGCTCAATCTTCAAGACTGCGCTCATCAATTCCGACCAGGAACATGCATTCGACTTGTTATTGCTGGTGGCTCATTCCCCATGTATGCCCGAAGCTTGGGAACTGAGGAAAGTCGCGTGCGTAGTGATGAGGCGGTTCCACAGAAGCATACCATTCTAATTGCGAACGGGGTTTCCCAGGTTATTTTCCCTATAGCTACCGATCCTTTGTCCACTATTTAATTCCTCCATGATTCATTCCCGCCAAAGCGCATGAACCGTTATTTAATGTCTTGCTTTTCACGTTTTGCAGGAAGTCCACCAAGTACTACTAATGGAATAATAATTAATATACTTCAGATGTACTTTTTCGATTCTAGTCTGCCTTCTAGTTCTGGTACTGATCAAACATTCCAATGTTTGAGCAATTATACAAGTAGCTGCCAATTTTGATAGAAAGAACCTAGCAAAAGCCTTGGGATCATGTTGAGTAGTAGTGCCGTATTTTTCAGTTGTGAAAGCCTGAATATGAGCAAGAGTACTGCCTCAGTCTAATGCAATCAATGTAGTGGTTCGGATCAAAAGCTGAATACCAAGGTCCGTCTTACCTCTTTCTGTCATAGAAATGAGTAATCAAAATTCATGTAGAGGGAAACGGATTTCTTTTTCAAAGTAATCTAGACACTCTTCGATCTCATGCCCTCTTTATTGTGAATGTTGTCTATCTGGCTGATTCAATACTCTCAAAATCTTCATTTCTGACGTGGATCATGTTTCTTTTCAAGTAAATCCCAAACTAGGAATTCCAAAGCTAATTTCAGCATTCAGGAATTAAGAATAGTTAAGAAAAACAATTGAGATGAGTAAAAAGTGAAACTTCTAGACTGACAAGACTGGAAAAAGTATTGTGGGACTAATCAGCTCACCAAAATGGGAGAGAAGGATGCTTATCACCCCAATTACATATGGAAGAAGAGTTAAGTCATCTTTCGAATGCAACAGTTGCATCATAGCTCAATGTTGACTAGTGAAAAGAAAACACGGTGGAAAATTGAGCCGAATTAGCCCTAACTCCGGGAAAAGAATAAAAGGAACAGTTCTCCCCAAATCTTACTCCTCAACTACTCCGCACTTTCATACTCCTCATCCTTTCCCACCCAACCCGAGAATGTCACGTCTCCCAGCTGAGCTTTTGGCCAAGTATCCCTCTCTCGGAAAATTCGATGATAATGATGACGAGATCGAGTCCCATGATGGTCGTGAGACCGTTCTCCTGAAATACATCTACTCTCACCCCTCACTGGATGAGCTCCGCGGCTCACCGGAAGCCATCTGTGCCATCATGGATGAATTTGCCGCCAAAGAAGATTTCCTAATTAATATTGGAAGTGACAAGGGGAAGAAGGTGCATGATATGATTAAAGAGAGGAAACCTTCAGTTCTGGTTGAGCTTGGTGGATATGTGGGATACTCTGCGATCTCGTTTGGAGATGCTATGCGCCAGGCAGCTGGACCGGGAGAAAATGTCCGTCTATGGAGTCTCGAATATGATCCGCTTATTGCATCCATCGCAATGAACTTGATTGACCTCGCTGGTCTGAGTGACGTTGTCAAGGTTGTTGTGGGTTCTGCTGCGGATTCGTTGAAGAGGCTTCACGCAGAGGGAAAGCTTACCAATATTGATTTCTTATTCCTGGATCATGTGGAGGATCTCTACTTGTCTGATTTCCAGGTCTGTGAGGAGCTCAAGCTTCTCCGTTCTGGTGCGTTGGTCGTGGCAGATAATGTGGTCCGACCTGGTGCTCCAGAATATCGTGAACATATTCGTCAGCATCCTGGAGTGGAAAGCTGGGGTGTAAAGGGGATGATTATGCCAGGCGAGTTTGAGGTATGTCCGATTCTGCACCTCCAGTCTCTATTATTAGAATATTGCTAATGATGGTGTCCTTAGGATGAACTCGAAGTGACACGGATTAAATAAACACAGGCGGGAGTATTACGATCTTACTCGATAATCAAGTGTGAAAGTCCTGTCTTTTGATGCACATGTGCGAACTTGAAAGTTTTTGTTTTCATTTTCGATCTGGATGTGGATCACAGCTATACTATACATTTTGACTTCCATCCACAGACTCAGATGCGCATGGGGGAACTAAATAGACTTCAAAATCAATGTCAATCTAGGAGAAGCACCAACAGCTGCCCTCTTCATCCATGCCTGCCAGGTGCAAGGTCATTATTTTTTCTTGGACAGCTTGAAGCGTGACTGTATTTCAGGTGATCTAGTACAGATGTTTCATTCTTTTACCCAAATATAGCTTCATGTTTGAAAATGTTTCTTACAGCCTATGTAAGTAATATCGGAACATTTTGAAGAGCCCAACCACTGGCAGCGGTCATGCATATGTAGATTCTTACTAGACATAATATTAAGGGTAAAAACGTGAGTTTTGTTTCCATACCACAGTGAAAACATCCCGGTTAGTGACCATAGCCCTGGAGATTGTTCAGGTGCTGGGAGAGGGTGTTACTGGCTTTCAGAACATTTGAAGCTGGATGCATTGTTCTTGCAGTTCTCTGACATAAAGAGAAGCCTGGTATGGCCCATCATTTTTTGCAAGGATGGAAAATAAAATAAAAAGCGCTCGTGGCTAGGATTGAACCGGAGGCTTTGAAATTTGGTGCGCATCAGAGGGAGTGGTAAGATGCTGTGAATAACCTCACTTGATATACATACCCAGTACCAACCCTCTATATCTCACTCATTCTTGGTTATTTTTGATTTCTGAAAAGACAAAACGAAAGAGCGAGTCTGAAAGTAGTATAGATAAAAGTATCAAAAAATTTAAAAATTTCTTGTCCCCTGCCGTAGCAGGATTCCCGCCCACCCTCTGGTGTTAACTCAGCTATTAATCAAAGCCAGACCTTCCTGATCAATACCTCTGTCCTCCCACCCTCCAAGGTAAGTCAGAGACCGCTGACCACTAGGCCAGCAGGGCTGAGTTTTCTGACCTTTCTTCCCTGAATTAAACTATATAGGATCTCTGCCTCCCCCATAATATCCATCACATGCCGCTGCCTCATCTGCACGCACAAACAGTACTAAAATAATTGATTGTTACCCTGTAAATAAAATCCAGATTGATTGTAAACTCTTATATGTTCAATGCTCCAAGGCCGATTCTATTAAGTAGTGGTATCTGAGACTATTATTATTATACACTTTTTATCATTAATCCAAGTCCGTCATAAAGAATTCTGTATCCTGATAGCATCGAGCTCTTGTAAGCGCCGATTCTCATCATCGAGTCTTGCTCGTAACTGTGTGATGTGTTCAACCGCAAGCTCCATCACATCAGCCTTGGTCTGTTCCTTTGGCGCAGCCTTTGCCTTTTCCTTCGCGCTTGCTGAAGCATCAATAGGTTGTGTAGGAAATTTCTCCTTAAAAAGCGCTTCAGGAATCAGAGATTCCAATTCCTTGATAGCATTGTTCAGTCTGTTTCGACGATTTTGCTCTGCAAGCTTGTGATAGGCGCGCTTGTCTGTTGCAAGTTCTGCTACAGGCTTTCCTGGTTGCTTTACTGCACTTGATGTACCATCTGGATTCAATGCCAATGGAGATCCAATAGCTGGTTCATATGGAGAACCGGAATAGGGAACTAAGAAAACTGTAAGTGATCTATAGATGAATAAATGTGGTAATAACTCTGATTCACTTACCATTTTCATGGATTGTAGGCGCAGATGGCATGAGTTTAGGTAGTAGGTGCATCGGGGTCATAGGGCGTAAGCTTGATCGTCGCCGAGAAGATGGGGCCTTGACAGATAGCTTGGCTTTAGCGGCTGAAGACGCCAAGCTTGATGCAGATGCTGGGAGAAAGTGTTTTCCAGGGCTGAGATTCTCTGGAATCTCGGAAGTCGGACTCCTCGGAGTTGAAAATGGGCTTGCAGGAGAACTTGCAGCTACAGAGTTGTCTAATGCGGGTACTTGCGGAGAAGACACGGACTCCGATGATGAAATCCATTCATCAAATGGGTTCATGAAGGAGGGCCCAGCTGACTCTAATGGCATTTGAGAAACACTGTTTTGTCTCGCATTTTTCTCTTGAATGGAGTTTGTGTCATCTTGGTCAAGAGAATACCAGGTGTTCTTGGCAGCATCCAGTTCCATCTCATTAGGCATGTGAAGTGAGCATTTCTAATGTGTGTTAGTTGGCTGTGGGAATCAATGAGCTCAGATTGTGTTTGATTTACCTGTTGATCAATTATTGAAGCCCAGAGGGCCTCAAAATCATCATCCTTTTCTGTGCACTAAAAACATTGTTAGTTCAACTTCAGGTAGCTGGAGGTAGGCACTGGCAAGTTGATGTACCTGAACATTATTGACGGCATCCCATAGTGCGGAATGCCCATCATCTCCATTGATCCATTGAAAATCCGAACAAGGATTCTCTAGTGATGCCATATTATCATATGTGTAAATATCCATCATGATGATTGAGGATTTTTAGAACACAGTGGGTGAGTGAAGGGTCTGTGGACGCGGATTAAAAGAAAAGACTCAGAGGAAGGCTTGGCTTCCATTCGTAATTCCTTTATAAAAATGTATTCAACATTAAGTGGACACATTCTACGGTTCGCCTTTTCCTTTCAGGTAATAGGTCTAGACTAGAGAGACGTTCAACCAAGGGCCTTACGGAGTAGTGGGCACTGTTACTCCGGACATCGGTTATCAAAAGAAAGGTGTCCCACATTGTGGTCCACATACAAACTGGGGGCCATCACCCGTTAACAGAGTGGTGGAGTAATGCGAAATTAATCTACAAGCGACACGGGCCGACTTATGTAGGAAGGACGATCCCGATTCCGAGTACCCTGATTAAATGAATCAGGCTAGGTCAAGCTAGTATGATTAAAGGAATTCCTCACATGCACAAATATGATTTCAAATACAATTTTCGTAAGGCTAGAAAAGAAGAATTAAAGAATTAAGCGGAGTCCATTCGTTTAGAGAAGTTTCCCGAATAGTTTACCGGGATTTTATCGTCCGGAAAACAACGTGCATTGATTTCCGCAGAAATTAATAGATATAATAATCATTATATTTTACTAGTAAATGAGCGATTCATGTTTCTCGCTAGAGAGCTCTAGTGGGTTAGCGGTTGACTCTCTTCCGCGTATTCAAAATGTTTTAGCGTCCTTCGTGGAGGTCAAATAAGGGCGTGAGGCTTGAAACAATAAGGGGATAGGAAACTCAAACTAAACTTGAACAAGTTACCCGAGGTCAGAATTCAGGTTTAACGCTTCTAACCTGAAAGAAGAAGGTGGTCACGCACACAATTGACTGTTTCGTTATGGCACACTAGTCTGTAGCCTAGTTTGATCGGCGCCAATGTAGTGGCGCTACTCCTACGCAACCCCCGTCGATGCATGCATACGCAGCAGGATGCTCGGTTCAATTCCGGTTCTCCGTCTATCGGAGTGTCAAATTGAAAGTACTCACCTCTCTCTACACATATGGGAAAGAAATTAGAATGCTCTGGATCTACATGGATAGAATGTACATCATTTACGTAAATGAGACCCTTGGAGGATCCCTAAGGAAGCCACCCGGATTAATATAAGCCTCTTTCCAAGCTTTAACATAGAGCTTCAACAAGTTTTCATCCAGTCAAAAGTGACACATTAGACGGGAGTTGAACAATTCTGTTTAGTAAAAATCATATGCCGTGGGAGGGGATTAAACGGTACTAACCGCGGGTCCGCTAGACTCCATTCAACTCCAGTCCAACTCCAGTCCAACTCCACTTATAGAAGCGTGTTCCAATGAAGATTCTTTTTGGCCCCTTAGACATGATCCACCATTCGCCACTTATTAACCACTAAGCTTTCAATATGACACCCCGTGGCATCTACAATGATCCTCATTGATTGCGGATTGGAAACATTAGCGGGAGATTGTAATGCGCGGAATTAACATATGGGTCCCGACCCGATCGTGATGTCCATGCACATGCAACATTGACTCGTTTACAGATGTACATCAGTTTACGGAGCTACATGCGAAGTAAATCTCGCCCGGTTCCGTGAACGCCACTAGCTTCATCCTTTTTCGTGGCTTTTCCTTTTTTTACATACTTTTTCACTTTTTTTATAAAATAAAAAATGACTAGGAATAATAAGCAGCCAATGCCCTGACCTCCGATTGGTTCCGGTTCAAATGAACTCGTACATCTCTGCCTGAGTTTAGCCGACAGGGCTGCCTAATGTCATTTTATTACCTCAACTTTGCTATTTTCTGAATAGTTTCTAGGGTCTAGAAGAACTAGAGGACATTCTTTTGCCCTCGGCACGAGACCTCCTACAGAAATAGTTGTAGTGATCTTTTGATATCTAACTCTATAGGGTTTAGTATCCAGCAGAGGGAACACACTGCATTCGAGTGGAGCGAGCTGAAAACTAATACTATGGAGACAATTCCCTGGGCATTAGAATTTCCAAATTAATACTATCCATTGCGATCGAGTGAAGGGCGCCACCGATGATTCCTTTTGTGCACATGTGCGTCTGCAGATGTTGAGTCCGCCAAGGTACATTTTCTTTTTGGAAATTTGAACCTCCACTGGCATCCCATGTGCACTGAAACTCGTCACTTGCTTCAGCACTTGACTGTACAATCACAGACCAAAACAAATGAGTGAATCGGACCCAGACATATGGCCGAGTATATGCCTTTCAGCCGCCCTCGTGCTCATTGGTGGGGCATTTGCAGGTCTGACAATTGCGTTTATGACTCAGGACGACATCAATTTACGAGTTATTGCCTCCTCCGGTGATGCCGCCGACCGAATAAACGCACGAAAAGTTATCGGTCTTCTCGATCGAGGAAAACATTGGATCCTCGTCACACTTCTACTCGGAAATTGCATCGCGAGTGAAGCTCTTCCTGTCATCCTAGACCCTATCCTCCACGGTGGACTATCAGCAGTTCTCGGAAGCACAGTCCTCATCGTCATATTCAGCGAGATCATACCACAATCAATATGCGCTCGTCACTCCCTCAAAATCGGCGCATATATGGTGCCCTGTGCATCATTCTTCATGCACATAATGGGACCAGTCTCCTGGCCCATTGGCAAGTTGCTCGATAAAATTGTCGGTGACAGTCATGCCACGGGATATAAGAGATCAGAACTGAAAACTCTTTTCTCTCTTCACAAATCAATGGGAAAACCGGAAGATCGTCTAAACCCGGACGAAGTCAAGGTTGTTCATGGTGCACTTGGATTGGTAGACAAAACAGTCACCAGTATCATGACACCTATAAGAGATGTGTTTTCAATCTCCGCGGACAAAGTTCTGAATGAACGCACAATCCACCAAATCAGAGTCAAAGGATATTCTCGGATCCTCGTGCACGCACCGAGAAACCAGATGGAAATCCTCGGTGTACTGCTGACGAAGCAGTTGATAAAATACAAACCAAGATCATGTCGACGAGTCTACGACTTCGACTGGACTCCGATTCCAGTGATACACGCCAAGACAACGTGTCTAAACATGTTAAAGATTTTCCAAGAAAGAAAGTACCAAATGGTGCTTGTCGGACAAAAGGAAAAAGGGATAATGCTCGGAATCGTGACTCGAGAAGATCTGATCGAGGAGTTAATCGGAGAAGAGATTCTGGACGAATGCGACAATCAAGATTTCAACGAGAAGATAATTATCCGACAACGGAAACGTTTAACAACACGACCAACAGTTCGGACGGTGGTCCAAAAACATCAAATCGTCGCTGTCTCAGCTCCGGAGGGAGAACTTCTTCCATTGTGGGTGAAGTCGAATTTCAGTCCGAACTATGGTTCTGTGGATTATTTCAACACCGCAAGCAAGTGGAAGTATATCCAAAATTATCTTCCGAATTCTCGTACGAAAACTTGGCAGGAGATTGAGCTTGGTACTACATATGAGTCTAAACTAGAGGCTCAAGTTTGAAATTCATGTACCTCAAGTTCAAGGCCACGGTTCAACCATGGCAGTGCTGCATAATCTCAGGCTATCAAGCGCTGGTCGCTGGGCATACAACGACATCTGCGCACTTTCAGTGCCTTCAAGTTGAATGGAGCAAATCCATGGCCAATGGCATTTTTTCAATTTCTCTGATTCATCCTCTCTCAATCCGATAATCCTTAATGTCAGCTGGCTGACCGGGAATTTCGTGACTCAAAACATCAGGGCTACAGAGAAGCCAGCTGAGGCGGCGAAGGTCATGCTTCACGATGTATCATGACAGGCCAACCTAGTCTCATCTGGAGACTTTGCAAAAAAGCTTTGCAGATTCGACGTCAACCTTGGGCATGGTTTAATGTATAGACTTGCATGTTTGATATGACCTCAATACCCTAATAATCAAAAGGCCAAGCCATTCATGAACAGTACTGATACAAGGGGACTTCATTATGCCTCCATTGGAGTCTATTTACAAGTTCAATTCATACTCGTAACATGCGTATCTGGGTAAAGATGATCCGCGTTACAGGATCATGCCTCAGTTCCATATTAATTCAGAACCCAGTAGGTTCAGTGTAGCCCATGAAGATTAAGTTGATTCACGAGCCAGATTAGCGAGCGCGCAGGTCATAGGTAATTTACAGATCCTTCTTGACGATATGCGCCTTGGGCAGGGTGCCGTTAGCACGGTCAATAGCAGCCTGGCGAGCACCAGCAAGACCAAACTGGGACTGGATACCCTCAACACGGTGTGTAGAGTTGATGTTCTTAACAAGGGTCAGTTGCCAGCAAGTGGCACCACCTTGGCGAGAAGTGATAGTAGAAGCAGCAAGGAAGTACTCCCAGATACGGAACCAGCGCTTGCCATACTTCGCCTCAACCTTGTCTTGGTTACCCATCCAGTTCCGGTACCAACGCCAAAGGGTCGCAGAATAGTGAACACCGATAGTGTCAATACCCTTAATCTCAAACCCAGCACCCTCAAGACGGTCGACAACAAATCCGAGAGGAGTGGAAGCATCGGCGCCGGGGAAGATGTACTTGTTCATGAACAGACCCCAAATCAGATCCTCGTACTGCCAGGACTTACGGAGACCAGCAATCTGGAGGAAGAAAACACCATCATCGTCAAGCATATCGTAGACCTGGTTCAAAAATGTGGAAAAGTGGCGAACACCAACGTGCTCAGCCATCTCGAGACAGGTAATCTTCTGGTAACCACCCTCAACACGAGGAGTATCGCGGTAATCGGTGCAAACGATACGACTCTGAGACTCCTCAATACCAGCTTTGCGGAGACCATTGTTACCCCATGCAGTCTGGTTGCGACCAAGCGTGATACCAGTGACGTGGGCACCATAGTGAACGGAAGCGTATTTGGCGAGGGTACCCCAACCACAACCAAGATCAAGAAGCCTATCGCCAGGCTGCACACCAATCTTCTCACAGACAACGGCCAGCTTATTGTCTTGTAATTCCTCGAGAGTTTCTTCTTTGTTGACGTCGCCAATGATACCGGAGGTATAGATCATGCGGGGGCCGAGGAACCATGCATAGAAGTCGTCACCGCGGTCGTAGTGATCACGAACCTGCTCCTCGTCTAACAGACATTGAGAGTTAGTCATATATCGACAGGTATTAACAACGAGGGAGAGATATAGCTTACCCTGGGAACGAGTGTGCAACAGTAGCTCAGGAATGAAACCAAAAAGGAAGTGCTTGAACAGGCCCATGGTGAACTTGAAGTTGGCCCAATCATGGCGATACTCCAATGCCTCCAAAGCATCAATCTTAAAGTCAACCTCACCATTGAAGTACTTCTCGTAGAAGACTTCCATGGGGATCTTGCTCTTGCCGTTGTAGGTGGCCTTGTCACGCTCGCTGTGGAAGTTCAGGTAGTACTCCACAGGGCGGCCACAGTACTTGGCCTTCTCGGTCTTGCGGGGTGAAATTGAAGATGACACAGTCCAGAAAGCCATTAGAACAGGAACAGTAGTGAAGATCGCAAAGAAGATGGTGGTATAGAACCCTCCGCTGACTTGGCGAGCAAGCCACCAGGGTACCATCACAACAAGCGCAATCATCAAACCATTGGAGAAGCTGTCACTTCCAGGAGAGTCTGCAGGAACGGGGGCATTTTTGATAGCAGGGTACTATGAATCATGCATAATTAGAACAAGCTTATCGAAGGCCTAGAATCAAGCCTGCATACTCCGTAGAGCTAATGTAGATAGCTGCTTACCAAGGTGGTTCGCACGCCGCAGTCAAAGGCTGGCTTGGTCGGCTCAGGGGCGTCCGGGGTTTGTATGAAGTCGAAGTCCGCAGTGGACTCCGGGTGAATAGTCGTCATGACGGTAAAACGTCCAAGTAAGAGGTATGAGGGTGTGAAAAGGAGAGCCTCTGATGTAAATAATGTGGCAGTTCCAGGGGCGGTGAACTTATTAAAGTGGGTATATGATCCGTGCGTCCTGGGGCTTAGAGGGACTACGTATACAGCTTACAGTAGCTTCACAGTAGCTTCATGCTAATTGTTCCTGCTATTCCAGTTATTTGAACTATTTAGGGAGTATACGCAGTCCAATGTCGCAAAGAACTTCCAAGGTTGAAGGTAGGTCTAGCAATTCAAGCCAAGTGGGCAACCATTGCAATTTACACAGCCACGCTTATTTGTGCGGCCTCGGCTTTGTTAAGAGAGATCTTCAAGAAAGTGGGGATGTATGAAACAGTGTGATCCGCGGTCGAGCGAAGTCATTCAATTCCCATAGGATACGCCAATAATGATCCTTCCAGAGAGCCCAACCTTTCCAAGGTCCCCCATTGCACCAATCCAGTTCCATGAAAGTAATGCACATAAAAACATCCGAGAAGTCATTCAGTAGTGGTGATAAGAATCCATAACTAACAAGCAGTAATAGTATCCAAAATAAAAATGCATTTACAGGGTGAGTTGGAAGTTGTCTGCCTCTTCATCCTCCGTAAAGGTAGGGAGGCACTCATCAAGTTCTTGTCCAGGGTTCTCTTCTGTGTCAAAGCAACCGGCAGCCTTGCACCGACTCCACATCTCAGATCCCAAAGGCGGGATCCCATAAAGCTGCAGATAGGTTTCAGGAGAGAGAGTCGCTGCGCTTCGCTCCGATGCCGTTGCTTCACGCAAGGTGGAGGAAATAGTCCGTCCCTTTGAGTAACCAAGAGTGGTATTGGAGGTCGCCGCCGCTGCAGTCTGGCGCATAGATGACGGGTTGGATGGAACTCTGGTCTTCTTTTTGGGCATCAGTAAAGTTGACGCCATACTTGGCTTGGCTGCCGATGCAACTCTAATTGGGGCAGATCGAGTCTTGGGCGCAGATAGGGCTGCCGCTGCCTCACGAGATCGAATAGTAGAGATGTTCCGGGCGGGTCTAGAGCTGGGGGATGCGGCTCGCGATCTGGTAGTTGGCGTCTGTAATGCCCGAACCGGTACATTGATGATCTCATTCTCGCTAGGCTCCTCGAAGCTAACGCTGTCGAGTTGTTTCATGATCATATCATTAACCATCTGGTCAAGCTTGAGAGAATCCTCCTGGAACTTGCGCTGCTTCTTCGTCAAGCCATCTTTATCCACCTCCTGTCTTCCATAGATGCGCTCCAAGCCAAGGGCGCGGTTTCGAGGCCTGAATTGAGGGTAGGTAGTGTCATACGCGATATCGTCAGGAAGATCCGGAAGAGCTGTATTCTATTAGCTTATTGCCTACTGATAGTATAATGACAGTCCTACCTCTGGGCTTGGGCGGCATGTACTCGATGTCCGGCACATCATCTTGAGGAACATCAACATGAACCTTCGTCTGGGATTGTTGCGTCACGGGGGAGGCCTTCTTGATCTTTTGGGTCGATGCTTTCCGGTTGGTTTTTTCCGGTTTCAAGGTTCCTTCAAACGGTCCTGGAGTTTGGAGTCCCTTGGCCTTAAGGTTGGTTGTCTTGTTACCCAAGGGAGCACGGCTTTTCGTTTCTGCGGATACATCTGGTTAGCTCCATGTCCGTTCTCCGTACATTCTCCCATCTGAACATCATTTGTATATATTTTGGACTGTAATCCACGTACCCATTGGGGTCACGAATGCCTCCTTGCCAGGTTTTCCAATCTCCAATCGATTTCCATTGCCCTTCACAGTCTGCTTTCCGAACGCGATGGTATTGTTTTCGTCATTGAGGCGTACCTTTCGACCTGGGGTTTTCGGAGCTAGCTGCTTCAATCCCTGGTTCAAGGGTTTGTTGGCAGCAACGGTCTGATGAGTATTCACCAGGTTTTCCTGGTCACGAAGAGCCAGCATGGCTAATGGTGATAGTGGGTACTCATGCACTTGAAAAGACGGTGAATTGCAGAGATGGTTCGAGTTCTAGATGGGTTCCAAGGTTGTTGTCGGGAAGCGGTTGCCCGTGGAGACGCGCTGATCTTAGTCCCGTGATTGGTTAAGCGGTGAGAGCGGGGACTGGTTTTTGTGTACGGTACCAATGGTACCAGCGTAAACTCCCGTAATAGCCTGGAGTTAACAATGGCAGAAAGTGTGTGCCTGAGCAGCCTGACCACCTGGTAACATCTTGTACATAAGTCAGCTGGCTATATTCTTCCTTCTTCCAAACCTCCACACCCCAACAAACCATCATCCCAAACTTGCTTCGCTGAGCGATAGCCGTCTTCTTTTCAATCTTACATATTACTTCTTTTTCAAATATTCCAAAATGGATCGTATCAAGGAGGTGAGTCTCCCCTCTCTGGCGGGGTAGCTTGACAGCTGCCTCCTTTCCCCTCCCCCCCGTCTGCATATCGGCCGCAGCACACCCACCTTAATTTTTTTTCTAGCCAACCAAACTAATTCTAATCTCATCTGCAAACAGCGCATGAACAACCTCCGCATCGAGGCAGATGAGGCCCACGAGAAGAATGAGGAGCTGAACACCAAGATCAAGACCCTGGAGCAAGAGAACCTGTCCAAGGAGCAGGAAATCACATCTCTCAACCACCGAAACGCCCTTCTCGAGGAGGAAGTTGAGAAGCTGGAGGGCTCCGTTAAGGATGCCAAGGATGCTGCCAACCAAAGCGTCCAGCACGATACCCAGAACGAGGCTCTCCAGCGCCGGGTGCAGCTCCTCGAGGAGGAGGCTGAGGAGAGCGAGAAGACCCTGCGCGAGACCAACGAGAAGTATGATTTACATTCTAAATCTACCTTATCCGAGTCATCTAACATATCATTTTCTTTTATTAGGCTCCGTCAAACCGATGTTAAGGCCGGCCACTTCGAGCGCAAGGTCCAAGCTCTTGAGACTGAGCGTGATCAGTGGGAGTCCAAGTACGAGGAGATGTCAAAGAAGTACAACGAGCTGCAGAAGGAGCTGCACGAGCTCGAGGTCTCCATCAGCAACGTTTAAGCAGGATTCCCTGGGTTATTAGTATCGGATGTCAGAATAGAGAACAAGACGGGTGTGTTGGGTTGGATGCAGGCTTTCTTCCCCTCGTTCCAACTACTTTTTTTTTCTTCCTTTTTCCATAATGTGACCTGTTGTGTTACTTGCCCCCTCTAACATGCTAGAAGACAGTGTCTTCTAGCAACTTATGCCATGTTCACTACGGTGCCCCCTGTTGCGCGAATCGATTGCCTTCTTTGTAGCCAATATTTTCGTGAATCATAGAAATTTTATATTGACAAGCAGGGCTTTGAAAGAAACAAGATAAAAAATAAAACCCCAAGTATTCCCCAGGGCTAGATAACATGGTATCAATTGCATCCGCCGTAAATATAACCAAAAACAGGAAGACCAATCCCTCCTCACTGCTCTCTCCGAGCCTTGGCCTTTTTCGATTTTGTAAGTCGTTGCTTGGCCTGAGTGAGCTTGCGATCGGCTTTGCTCTCGTATCGGAATTGCTTCTTCTTCTTCTTTGGCATGTCTGACGCACGTTTCCAGACCTTCTTCGCAGGCTTTTTCTCTGCCTCTTCTGTTTCGGCGGAGGGCTTTTCTGTAGATTTCTCCTCCTCATCTTCTGTGTCGTCTTGATGCACTGCCTTTCGAAGACCCTCTCGAGATGCGTCCATTTCCTCGACCGTCACAGTGGTGTACTTGTCTTCGTCGATGTATTCGGCTTCGTAATCAACCGCTGGAGGCTCCTCAATGCCCTCCCATTCTTCTTCATTCCCGTCCTCGGATTCATTTTCACTATCCTCGCCATTCTCTACTTTCATTTGCTTGAGCTGTCGCTTGTGCTCCTCCATTGCTCGGTTGAATTCAGCAGCTCGTTCTTCGCGAAGCTAGAAAGAAGTCATGTTAGCGAATATTTTCAATCCCTCTTAGATAAAAAATTTCCTCATACCCTTTTCCGATCTTGTCGCTTCTCCTCACGCGCCCTGTTCTCTGCTACCTCTTGCGCATGCTTCATGCGCTGCACCTTGCGCTTGTGGAACCCAGTCAAGTATTCCTCGCGAGCATCGGAGTCGAAGGTGACCTCTTCGACTTTGGGAGCCAACTTGCGTTTTTTCGGATAAAGTCCCATGGCGACGAAAATAAAGTGTAAAATCTGCAAGACAACAAACAGAAGCCTTAAATTGTATTTGCGGTATCGTAGACCGATCAAACCAGAGAAGAAAAAAAGTGGGATCTAAAAAGCTCAAGGCGGGCCGGAGTCGTCGACCGCCTCGGAGGCCAAGTCGGGACCTCCTGCTGGCAACATCATCCTCCCCGAAAACCACCTCCAGCCAAACACAATGCATCTGAGCAGATTCGGGCTGCTCGCCCTTGGGGCAGCTGCAGTCGATGCTTTTCGCGACACTTCCCCCTTTTTCATGGCCTCGACTTCGGAGTATGTTACCTACCAACTCGAGGGAGCTTCAGCCAGCTAATCTGTTCCGTTAGGGTCCTGATGAACTCCGCATACATTAAGAGTGGCGCCTCGGTTTACGATGAGATTTCCTCAGCTCTTAGTACTTGCCCATCGGATTACTACGTTGTCGTGTCCCAACCCGGTGTGCATAGCTCCGACTTCTCGACTCGCAAGTCTGCACCCCGCCTAGGTGCAAAGATGCTGGGCAAGGACAAATCAATCCGATCCAAGATGAGCGTCAACGAGGTAGCTGGACTGCTCGACGTTAAGCAGATCAAGACCTTGCTGTTGGATAACTGCAAGGCGCAGACCACTGCTATTGACGGTTCCTGTGAGTAGTCTTGATGGACCAATCTGGGTCTCCCCATAGTCTAGTACAATCCGAAGGAGCTGGAGCTGACATGGACAATGATGTAAAAGCCGGATCTTACCCCTCCTACTTTGAGCCCGGTCCTCAGGTTATCGATGTCGAATTCCCCATGCTTTCACTTGGATCGGACCGCGCCCGACAGCTTTCTGAAAATGGTATGTGATTTGACTCGCGATAAGTCATCCTCAAAGGTCTGCTCGGATCTAATTTTTCATAGATGGCCTCCTTTCCGATATCATTGACCGTATTCCTTCCGTTTCCAAGTATACCGTTCTTTATATCACTTCACCTCGGGAGTTCCCTGAGAGCGACTCTGTCGTATACGAGTCCTCCCACGAATTCAACCAGGACGGCCTCCACATGGACCTCAAGCGTGACTACTCCTCCCACTCATCTTACTCTAGCTCGTCTGCCTCGGCAGACCGTCATCAATCTTTGTTCGATGAGTACCAATACTTCACTCCTGGTTCGTATCCACCTGGCTGGTTATATGGTACCCAAGTACTAACCATTTCGCAGGTATCTTCATGGGTCTGATAGCCTCATTTTTCTTCCTCCTCATTTTGTACATTGGAATCAGTGCCCTGTCTAGCCTCCAGGTCTCCTACGCTGCTTTTGAGAAAGATACCTCCTCTGCTGCTCAGAAGAAGCAACAGTAATTGAATGACGCTATTGTTTGCAGGATGTTGATTAGTGGTTCCTGCCTTGCTCGGTGCATGTTACAATTGAATGTTTCTTTATAAATTTCACTTTAGGGGGCACTATTCTTTCACTTTACTGTATGATATATCACAATGCTATTTCTGGTAGAATTTAAGGTATCATGTGACACATCGGCCTGGGGCGCCTTCGTTTAGCGGAGGGGACTTGGCGCCTCTTTTGTCTCTCGCTTAGACCAAGAAGTTCTCTCTTTCTTCTGTTCTCTCTAGATTTCCAGACCTTCGTTGTTCTCTTTAAGAAAAAAGAAACTGCCATTCGTTTAAACTGAAGATCTCAATGGGTTGGACCCTTATGCAGAGAGTCTGCTAGCTTCTCCAGCGTCGATCCCCTGAATCGCGCAGGATATCGCATCAGCTGAATTTATCTGCGAAGACAGAAAGATCAGTCGAGTATTCCTCACCGGAGCACTACAAACGGTCTCGAAGGCATTTTACCTGCACTTGAGTCGCAATATTGAATATTGTCTTCCCTGACACTCAGTCTACATATTCTCCGCTTACCCCGAACCGACCCGCTGTGGAGAAGTTGATCAATCTCATTGTTTACTGGGCGACCGACACGCCATGCGTCTTCTACCACGAAGGCTTGGGAAAGCCCAACCAAATCTCCTCATATTTTTCTTTCTTTTTCTGATTGCTATTGCTGGTGTCTCTGCGGAGCCAGCGGATGCCACTACCGACGCCCAGACCACCGACGATCGCTCCACCACTGATAGCACCCCTAGCGTGACCGATACCACCACTACATCAACGTCTCAATCCACATCTTCTACCTCGAAGTCGACCACTTCAAGCACAACATCGTCCTCGTCGTCGTCGACGACGACATCCACTACCATGGACTCGACCAGTACAACGTCGACGACATCCTCTACTACCTCCTCTACCACCTCCGGCAGTACCACAACATCATCCGTTTCCACAACAACGACATCAACATCATCGTCGGCCACCTCCACCACGAATGTGATTGTCACTGTTCCCCCCACTGCTGGAGCCCCTTACCTGCAGACATCAAATACACCAGAGGGAACGGTTTTCATTGTCGTTGGTGCCATCTTGGGCTTTATTGGACTGGCCATTCTAGCCTGGCGGGGAATAGTGGCATGGTCAGTGAATCGCTCAGTACGACGTGCAGCTATGGCACAATCTGCGGAATCAAAACGCCTGCTACGTGGTAGTCGAAAGAAGCGATCCCCAAGTCACCCGACTGCGCCTGCCATGGACGTTTCCCTCGACAAGCTCGGCACAGCAACTCGTGCTAGCTATAAGCCCTCTCGACGAGGCCCTAGCGATGGCAGCGGGTTATTCTACTCGCCAACTGCTGGCGGTGGCGCTGCTGGATCGCATAATAGTTTGAACAGCGGCCAAGGCAACCGTAACTCGAGTTATCTTCCTGCCGGCTTCTATCCTACGCCTGGTAGCTCTACGCCGGTTCGAGAACAAGGCAGCCATCATGCGGCTCCCGGATACCCTCCCAGCTCTCCGTCCCTGCCACCTACGGGTGCCTACCATGAGCCATCTCATAACTCACGGCACTCGTACATGGGTGCGTCGAATAGCTCTTTGAACTTGAGCCAGGCTCCTGGGGGCCGCGCACCAAGTGCATACTTGGAGGACTTGTTCGAACATCATTCGTCGCCTCGAGATAGTGATCCTGGTCGTAGGTAATGTATTGCGGGACTGTTGGTTTACGTATACTGTACGACAGGGATGGCACTCGTTGGGTTCTCCACACGACATTTTGAGCTTCAGCTTTGATTTCATTTCAGTGTGCTATATTTGGCAACCCTTATTTATGATTCTATTTCCTTTTACTTTTGTGACCTGGCGTTTCACAAGAGCCTGTTCCATTTGGCGCCTGAGATTTCCATTTACGATGTCAATAGCAGTTTCTTTTCTTTGTGAATTTTTAAGTGAATTTGGTCTGTAGGTGACACTGCATGCCAGTGATGGTCAAAGACAGAAAATACTAGTATTTAATTATATTGTTGCCTTCCAAGATTTAAATGCGATGAGAAGCATTCCAGAGATTCAAGTTTTCAATAGAAAGCAATCGAATATTGATAGTAGTATATTAATTATGAGTATTTTCGATCAGAAAGTGACCGTCGCGGTCTGATCTCTGCACTTTCATCCGATTGGAGCTGGATTCGAAAAACCCTAACGTGTGGATATACATGTTACTAAGTAGCATTCATGAAGGCCCAACCCCAGCCAAATGCCTAAGTAAGTAATTACGAGATCAATTCCAGGAGATTGCTAATGGAAACAGTGGCTTCAAAATTGAATTTTGAGTAGTTTTCATATCTGCATGTATGGATATGGGGTTCCTGTGTTCGATATGGCGCAAACAGAGGCTTGGACAAAATCTTGGAAGCGATACAAATAGATGAATGCACCTCGAGACTATCACTGGCACAGCCTCATATGAGTGTAATGACGGCTATTCTCAGTGCGATGCTTAATCAAGGCTTCATATAAACCAGTTGAGTAGCCAATGCATCTATATGTGTAACATATGATTCCAACTTGTTCCATCTCAAGATACAGTGGCGCAGTCTTCAGACACGGTTTTGATTGTTCGGGTTTGAGAGATGCTAGCCTATAGTGCTGGTAATTATGAAAGAATGATCAACTGTGAATTGTATTTGTTATTGCCAGTGCCGCTCGAGGCATATTGATAGGTCCTAGCGAAGGGCTTGGACATCTTAATAGGACGTCGTATAGGTCTGGTGGAGTTAACACTGGAGCGCTACACGTAGCGTCTGAATCTTGAAATGGCGATGACGGTGTATGCCCCATTTCAATAACACCGGTCATGTTATGGGTCATAAATCCAGGTGTCAGTGATTGGTACACTAATGAGTCCATATGTGCAGAGGTCTCCATGTGATGATTAAGGCAACGTGGCAGATCATTAAGTACGTAAGTATCCCGCATGAGTCATTTAAGATGATATTCCTCCCATCTTCCTAGTGAGGAAAAGTATCTGGAACCCAGGAGGCAACAATGGATCGCCAGTCCACCTCAGTCACCCGATGCCTAGGGCTGAACAGCCCTGATTATGTACATAGTATTAAGATAGCGGCGTGGCAAGATGCAAGACATATAAAGGGTCCAAATAGGGAGCTGAAGCTATTGGGCATATGTCAGTCAGCCTTGGCCATACTCTAGAATAAAGACTGGATAGTTTCTCCAGGTCGCTCAAGGCTGCCCAAGTATGCCTTTTTCGGAGATCAATTGATGCATGAAGTTATATTTGAGGCTAGTAGAATGCATGCACATGCAGATGAGTCCATGAAAATGAGCCTTGGAGGTCTTTTAGACCAATAGCATAAATGAAAGTCTGGATTTAGGATCCGACGACACATGCATAGGTCAAAGATTTAGTCCTTGAGCCTCAACTTGAAGCCACATAGGTACCTAATGTCCCTTCCCAGCCCGTATAATTACCATGATTGACTCCATAGAGAATATCATGGAATGCTTAGGGCAGAAAATGTGGAGACATTATTGACGTGTGCTAATTCAAAATTGAAATGACGCTGGTCAGATGCCCTGGATAGTCTAGGTTCGAAGAATTCAATATAAGGAGCCAACACCAAATCCGTCTTAGGTCAATACAGCTAAAGTTCGGACTTTTGCTTATCGATACTATGTGGTTTGTTGGCCCAAATCCTGCCTGGATATTGATGTGGTCGCGACATTTGGAAGCTCGGAAAACCATCGCCTGTTATGATTATAGCATCATGGCTCAAGTGCTGAGCCACTCGAGCGAAATAAAAAATAAGTTACCGACGGCGTCTGACACTTCTCTTGCTAGATTTACGGCACAGAGCTAACTGAGGCTAAGGGCCAATGGTTTTTGGGTGGTAAACCTTTACAAGCGCTGTGCTGCGTGGGATAGGCGTTTCAGTGTGCATTGCCACTATGATCCTAGGCTTTTTTCAGGCACTTGAGCGATCAAAAGATACACATCAATGTAGAACCTCACATTTATCCTCAGTTTACAGATAGTAGAGACCCTTCTATTTTGTTTTCATGTTCTCTTCTATCAGTAAAACGGATCTATTGCACGGAATGTGCCTTTGTACACTGTAACCGCAGTTAAGCGCCAGGACTGAGAAACTTGAACACTCCTTCAAATGTTAGCGCCCACGGGCACAGTCATGAGATAATTAAATCAAACAGTACTGACACATCTAGGGGCCTAAATTATTGTAACAATGCACTTTTCGCATTCTTACAATACCATGGCTATTGTTGGGGAACCGTGGCGAGGGTTTAGTATTTAAACTTGGACATATTGCCCAACCTGAGCTCCAGGGCTGAATCCAACTCATGCCTTACTACTAGAGATCTCACTCTTATATCCCTACTAGTACTTTACTTCTCAGAGAACCAAGTCTTAAATCATTCTTCATTTCTTTCAAGTCTCACAAGTCTTTGAGCTCATGGCACCGTACAATATGTTGAACGAAGGCACACCAGGCCCTAATTTGAGGCAATCATTGGATGCCATCGCTGTCCACGATCAGCAGAAGGATCTTCTCATTCAGGTGAGTTGAAACCGAAGACGCTTATCTTCTCTGTTCAAATTCACAGTCGGAACAACTATTTAACATTCGAAACTGTCCAGGAAGCCTTGCAAAGTCTTGAGGCCTACAAGCAGCAAGTGATGAGCCTCACTACGGAGTTGGATGATACGAAGAAGTCTCGTCTCTGGCTCCAGGAGAAGGTTGAGCAGCTGGTGCAAGAGACTGTTGATTTTGAGAATATCGTGAGTAACCTATCCAGCTTTTTGTCTTTTTTTAGTCTGAATAATGGGCTATGGTGAACTCAAACTTACTCTTCTCTTTCATCCAGTCTCGAAATAAGTTTGTCGTGGTACTGGTAGATGGAGATGGTGCTATCTTCTCAAGAGAACTCCTGGAAAATCCCAAGGTTGGTGCCAACGAAGCAGCACGCAGGCTCATCCAGAATGTGAAGGCATCGCTACGAGATGATGGCTTGGACACGGATGTCGCCATTCTTGTTCGCATCTTTGCCAATTTGAACGATCTCGGTAAAATGCTTTCCTTAACCAATACCATCCACACTCGAGGGGATCTGAATACATTTGCCGAGCTATTCACTGTCAGTCGGGGCGAATTTGACTTTATCAACGTTGGCTATGGCAAGGAGAATGCGGATTCTAAGATACGATGTAAGTTACACATGACTTCAAACTAATTCATGCCAATAGCTGACCTCGAGTCTCCATGGTAGACATGCTGGACCATTACTACAACAACTTTCAATGTCAACAAATCTTTTTCATCGGATGCCATGACACTGGATACATCAACGAGCTCCAGAGATATACCAATGAACCCAACCGGATCGTGTTGGTCGAGACAACTCCCGCACCAGCAGCATTCTCAACGATGCTTCCCTTCGCCATCAAGCGATTTGACAATGTCTTTCGCTCGACCTCGCTTACTAGCACCGAAGTAGCCTCAAATGGAAATGGAGGTAGAAATAACTCACCAGAACGACTCATACCCACTCAAATAGCACTGATAAATACATCTCCATATTCAACTTCAGTTCGGCCAGTCCCAGTCCAAACCCCCAATCCATACCTCATGGTACCTGAACACCGAAACGACCGAACACCCTCCCCAACCTACAAATCAATCGCAAACACGCACCTCTCCATCGCACAACCCCAACCTCAACCTCAACCACACCCACAACAAATGGCCAAAATAATCCACTCCGGCAACGGCGGCGTCTCAGTCCAGTATTCATCTCCAGCGAACGGCACTATAACCTATGCCACAGCCTGTGGAACGGGCGAATACGGAAACATATACATAAAACCGGGAGCACCATTGCGAACTATCGAATACAATCACGCAGGACAGCGCATCGACAAAGCAAACAAGAAACCTGCCGACCAGCCCGCCTTCGTTACATACTTCAAAAAGCTCCAAGGAATCAAAGGTTTCTGCAACTACCAGTACTTACTGGGAACTTGTCGACGGGGTGATCAATGTACAAATGAACATGATCTGCCTCTTACCGAGAGGGAATTAGCGGTTCATCGGTATCGAGCTCGACTGGGACTGTGTGCAAATGGGTCGACCTGTAGCGACTTCAATTGCTTTTTTAGCCATCATTGTCCTTATGTGCCGAATTGTACCAGTCCTGACTGTAGGTTCAGCTTGCATATTTCTGGGAAGGATTTGGAGGTTCGGTATGTGATTTTTCTTTTCACTCCTTATCATCGTGGAATTTATACTGATTTTGAGCAGAGAGAGATGGACGGAAGGGAAGGGATTCCCGGATATTCTTCGAGAAGCTTAACTGGATCTCAGATTGAGATGAGATTGTTCAAGTATTTGATTTGAGATTTATATAACCAGGTTGATTCAAACAAATTGCAATCTTCAACCTTGGAACCTGCACATGTGCTTCTGAGCATCATTTTACGGAATTTTCAGCTGGACGGTTCAAGTTGACTATGAGTCCTGTTTAGTTATTGTTATTTGTCGAAAGAGGCTAATTTGTTTACCTTTCGTCCAAATTTAGTATTCAGATATGAGATTTTAACATTTAGAATGCGTATCTCAGGTGTCCTTTCAACTTAAACTACTAGTAGTACAAGCCCATAAAGTCTCAGTGAGAATCTCAGAAGTAATCAGGACATCGAAATATCATGTTCACTGAATGCATAATGTACATGCTAGGCTGAAGACCCAGCAACCTCAGATATCAAAATAACAAAACAGAACAAGGTGAAGGGAAAATATGTACAAAGGCTGGGCAAATGCATACTATCTAGCCTGATTCAGGCCAGAAGATAAAAATGAAAAAGAAGCCACAAAAAAACCAGAACCCAAACTATGCTGGCCAGTTCCCCAAACACCTGGCCTATTCAGACCCAAAGAAACACAAGACAGACTCGAGGCAAGCCTGAACTCGGTAAAGATATCCCGAAACAAGATAGAAACGGAAACAGCGCCGGATAGGCGTGTGGTGTTGCAACATGAGTGACATGAAAAGGGAAAGGTAGAAGGTCAATTAAGAAATGCGCTTCCGTACACCGAGGAAGATTATGTATCCGGGTCTCATGTCTATGATTGTTTTAAACGGCAATGAGGAAATGGGTGAGGAGAATTTCGAAGACCGAAACACGAGGAGGGAGAAAAAGAGGAGCAATGAGTGCTCAAGGGCGACCGCTAATCAAATTGTGTTCTGTGTCTCATACTCATACCAGATGGAACTGGCGGGTGGATGGTGAATTAAAAATGCGATGGTGAGAGAATGGAAAAAATTTTAAAGTGCGTATGTCAAATAAGCAAAATTAATCTGCGAATTTGCGGCCAACCAGATTAAGGCTAACCTCATTGTCGCCCAGCATGATTCCGTTGCGGGTTCGGACTGTGCGAATTGATGGTGGTTAGCTATTGAAATGTAGTGGGGAACCCGAGATACGGGACCATGGGTTATGGGCTGTAGCGGCGGGTGATTGTGTCCAGGTACAACGTACAGTGTTCAGCCTCGACGCGGAAAAACACCCACATCCAGCGGCGTGCGATTTCAAGGGCCATGAGTAAAAATAGACCACTTTCGGTTTCTGGGAGCCATGAGAGTCCCGGCAGCACGCGCCACAGCCATGAGAAACGGAGGGCAAAGTCTGCCGCGATGACGTAGTGGTACAATCGATCGGAAGAAAACTGTCGATCTCGGCGAAGCCCGTAAGGATGTTCCAAACTGAGTCGTTCGGGAGAGAAAAGCGTCAAGTCCCAATCCTTGACCACGTCCCACCAGAAAGAATAACCTGAGTTGATACAAGAAAAGACGAATCTGTTGTTGTTAGATATGACCGGGCAGACATAATAAAACATGGAATGGAAGATCTTACAGCAGATGCATGATAGTCATCTCACTGAAGCCGTGGAATTCCAGTGGGTTGTAATTTCGGAGCTTCGCATTTAACCAGATGACTGGAAATGCGGTGGCATATTTTAAAGCGTTTGCCAAGTGTTGATTTCCCTTGTTAGATTCTGCTCGAGAGGACGACCGTCGAGAACGGAAGTACTCCGTCAAACATTGGCGAAGTCGAATTGTAAAGGGGACTGCCACGATAATTGGCACAATGTAATCCTGGCCGCATGCGCGATTTGGCTTCGAAGTGGCCGAGATGTCGTCTGTGAAAAACATGCAAAAGCTGATATAGATGTCTCCCAGAACACGAGCATAACTTGTCAAGGCATCGGCCAGTAGAATATCAGCGAACTTTCCATCTTTGGCGTCTGCCAACCCTCCGATGAGGACCCGTTTGAATGTGAGGAGGAAGCGAATCCGACCACGGCGGGCCGCCCGATTTAACGGCCAGATGAGGATCAGGAGGAGGATGACAAAAACCGACTGCGGGATGTAATCCAAGCGTTCGACCAGCTCGCGGGAGTGGTGCGTAGCGATCCAGAAAACGATGAGCCAGATAGATAGGGGAATAGTGAAGATAGTGGCTAAGCGATACGCAGCAATATGGTGTGGCCTTTCGGAGGGGGTAGGGACTGGATATCGAACGAGAGATGGAACATCCTAAGTTTGAGCAGTGAGTACTTCAGCTTCTTTCAGACATGGTTCATGTCGAGTGAGGGACCGCCACTTACAATGTTGGCCTTGGCCAGGTAATGTAAATTGAAAGCCCATCCCCAGAAACCTGCGGACCGATTTAGCCATATTGACCTTTCCGATCCACGTCCAAGCAGTGCTTACCGGCAACCAAAAGGGCTGCTATACGAATAGGGAAAGGGAAGACAATCCCAAAAGCATCCAATTGCGCGTGTTGATCCGGACCCATTATTCCATGGATCAGGGGTGTGGAGAGGTGAAAGATGATCGATTTGGTAAGAGTTCTGTAGTCAAGAACATGAAAGCCCCCCAAAAAAGCAAAGACGAAGCGCACAAATCAAACCACCAAGAAAAGAATGACTGGGGGTGAGCTTTAGGGATGAAGTAAAAGGGAACTTTTCCCCGGCCGGTTTGGGAGAATAGTAGTATGTAAGCACGTTACAGACGAGACGAAAATACGCGCCCGCAGTGGGCTTCTTTGTACTGTGGATACTCTACCTTGGAGGGTCACGTTGGTCGGATTGGTAGAATTATTCCATGAAGAGGAGTCCATCCAGTCCATTCGTGTCAGGGATGACGAAGATCTTGTTAGATCGGCAATCAAGGGGCGCTTCCGTGGCTTCTTCTTAACCCACTCGCATTGGGATGATGGCATGGTGATCGTTGCATCCACTTCTTTTTTTTCCAATTGATGAAATCTAGTTTGGGAAGCCCTGGAGTACAAGATTGAATTGAAGTGGAATCAGGGGTGTTTTTATTTTTCAATATTACCCTTGTACAATATGAACCCACTATAATTAGCATCAAGGAGATTTAACAGAGACATTTGAACGGTCTGGACCACCACGGAACCCCTATGGAGCCACAATGATTGTACGGAGTTGGTAACCGTGTATTAGTGTATTGCATATAGTGTCTCCAGGGCTCTAGGACCCCAGTGCTGCCCGGGTGGTTGACGACACTACCAAAGTGAGAGCCCTGAAGTGGACCCTGGAAGTAGTCGGACGCCATGAGGACTTGGCATCTGGGCATCACAGTCTCCGGTAGAACCGAAGTTCAATAGTGAAAAATACTATACATGATACAATACAGCACGTGATATACATGTGTTTTATGACTAATCTGGGTCACCTGACCCTCCAGGGACCGAGGCTCGAGAGATTCGGGGAAACCGCGACTCCGGGGAAAGCACCACTCGATCTTCATTCTACTTTCTATACGGAGTACTCCATGTGTCAATGACCTTCCAGATCTTTCCATAGATTCTTTCTATTTTCCACCGAACAAGTCAACGACATACTTTAGAGGGATCTCCTATCCACTGCACAATCCAATTATGGCCGAGGACGACCCCCATCTCTCACTTCCAACTCCGGAGAGTACACTCGGCTCCCCATCTCATTTCTACCCATTCGCAACCTCCCCAGACATCATCCGATCCCACGAGAAAGATGTCTTCCTCACCGCAGGACTCATCCAACAAGCTCAAACTATCATCCGCTCTTTAAAAGGCGCCCGCTTTGCACACACCTATTCCGACGCGATCAAGCACCTCACCGAACTCCTCTACCTCTCCCTGACAACTGCAATCGGAAATCGCACTCTCGGCGAGGAATACTGTGATCTCGTCCAATTAGAAGATGACTCGCTCCGTCTTCCAGCCATCACACGGCGTGTCGGGTACATTCTCAGTAGTATCCTCGTACCCTGGTGGTTACAGCGACTACTTCCAGCCCTCCGACAACGGGTTCGGAACAAGCTTGAAAGAAGCATTGCGCGGCAACAGATCAAGGCTGCGCAACAACAACTTCCCAATCTGATGAAGTCGAATAGCGTTAATAATAATAAGCGGGACAACCCGTTTTTCACCAAATTGCGGATCCAGCAGTATCTGCTTGATCATTTGGATTCCATTACCTCGCTGTCGCCTATCTATGCGCTTAGCATTGCGACATTCTATTTCACGGGCTCATACTACCACCTCTCGAAGCGCATTTGGAAGCTTCGATATGTCTTCACGAAAAAGATTAATGAGAATGAGCAACGTATTGGATATGAGGTATTGGGTGTTTTGATGGTTCTTCAGATTGCTGTGCAGGGTTTCCTGCATGTGAGGAAGATAGGCGAGAGTATGAATTATGTGGAGAATGAGGTTGGAACAGAAGCTAGTAGTACGGGCGCGTCATCTGAAGGTGGTGCTCTTATTGCTTCTATCCAGAATCCGGTTTCTATGCCATTGTTGTCTGCCTCGGCTCCGAGATACGATCTGGAAGAGGATCCCAGTGCAGTTGCATGGATCCCAGAGGGCCAACAGCGGAAGTGTACATTGTGTCTGGAGGCATTCAAGGATCCGAGTGTGACAACTTGTGGACATGTGTTTTGTTGGATCTGTGTGAGGGATTGGGTGCGTGAGAAACCAGAGTGCCCCTTTGTCGACAAGAGGTACTCTTGTCTAAGATCCTACCTCTGCGAGGATAATCCGATACATATACCATGACTCGATTTAGTTCTACATGGGAAGATTTGGTTGCATATATGTATATACTTGATTTCGATGATCATATACCCCGATTTTGTGTCTTATGATGTCTCCAAGCCTGCCAGTGCGAGTCATACCTTGAACCCACTACGTGTGCAGGCACCACTAGTACTATTACATTCAGTATGCAGACACTACTAGTACTAGTAGCACCGTAAGTTCGGGGCGTGAGTATTATATAGTAGCTCCATTCTCTACTAGTATGTAAGAAGAACCCGAGAGTCTGCCATGTGAGAATGAGATATAGTTGAAGAGTATGTATGATGATTCATGGCGAAACTAGTATGGACTGTGATCAGAGTACACGGAACTGATATCTATGCATGCAATGAGATCATATGGGGAAATAGAACGAAAATCGTTTGGAAAGGAGTGTGAAGTAAGAAAGGGGGAAGGGGGCGTTAAGGCTTGTCGGTGTCGACATCATCAGCCGACTCGGGAATCACGAGCTCAGAGGCCAAAAGGGTGGCATCCTCAACGGTGGCCGGTTCTCCATGAGGAAGAACAATCGGCAAATTGAGTTCAGCATGCGCAGGGCGAGGTGGCATAGGGTTCATGGCAAGTCGTTTCTGCTCCATGATATTGAACAAGCAGATACAAGAGTATGGATCAGTAGCAGCATCTATCACCCGATTAGTAAATTTCTTTCGTCTGAGGTTTCGGTATTGACTCACATTGGACTTGTTGGTAGTTTAAGGGACGAGTCCAATCACTACAGCGCACATCCTCGATTTTCTCCAGAGGCAATCCCAGATGCTCCTCAACTTGGTCGCTAAGACGGACGAGTCTCTTATGGACAAGTCTCGGATCAGTCAACCCATACTTGACTAATCTGTACAAGTGACTAAGTTCGAAGATGGACTTCGTATCGACACCGAGAAACTTTCGTAGACGAGTCGTGTCTCCCTTGATAGATACGCCGACTTTCGTGATATCTGGAGATTCCAGGATCTTCTTCAATGAGGGCGCAATAAAGTCTTGCGGAGTGGTTGCTGGCCTGAAAAGAGAAATTTGGAAAAGTGCAATGCGCTCCTCGTTTGCAATTTGGATAAGGAGAAACATTGTTTCGAATACCCTCACGTGCAGTGGCCTGTGCTTTCCACTCCATGTCGAAGCCAATGACTTTGCTATCAAGGAAGAGTTGAGCAACTTCTTCGGTGTTTTCCAAAGAGCGGCAGTAGTGGACAATCAATTTCTCTCCAGAAGGAGCCCGTTGAGCACTGTGAGTCCAAAACAATGGAGCAGTGGGAACCTTGGATTTAATCTCTATGGCGACCTCTCCTGCTGGGCGAATTCTCAATGGCAGAGCCTTCTCGCTGGCGTACTTCTGACTTTCATCGTGATTTGTTGTCTGAACAGCGTTTGAAAAAGTGCTGTACGGTCTGCTGCCACTAGGCTGCCCTGGTTCAGGCTTACTGACGAATCCAGAAACAACAGGTCGCTTGATTGCACCAGAGCCTAATGCAGCCCTCCCCTCCCTCTTTTTCCTGGACGCAACAACAAAATCCCTCCATGGGAATTGCTGGGAATGTGATTTGCTGGAATTTGTCGTCATTTCCGACTTCCCCCAACGGCGTTGTGATTTTGTTGACTGCTGAGGTTGCGGTTTCTGCTGAAGTAACCGCCGCGACTGCCCCTTGCTTAGGAGAATTGAACGTTTCAGAGCCTTAGAAGGACGCGCCAGAAGCATACGCTGAATTTCCAGCACACGAAGCTCTTCGTGAGTGCGTTTTGCCCAAGGCGCGTCCGGTTGTGTTTCTAGAGACTTGTCGGTATCCGCTAAAGCGTTCTCTGGCGTTTTCTCTGGCGGAGTAGTGAAATTGCTGGAGGCTAAAGCGCTCTCTGGCGTTTTCTCTGGTGGAGTAGTGAAACTGTTGGAGGCTTCCTTGATCCCAAATTTCCTTGTAAACAGAGGAAGCAGAGGACGTTTAACCTCGATGGCATTTGGTACTCTTTCCCGCATTCTTTTGTGTCTGGACTCTGACTGGGGGGGCAGAGTCTATCTCAGACACAAAACTTTCCATCCTAAGCCATATGTAGCTCTTGCTCATTTCGTGATAAGGTGTGGACATCTCCCCAGATTCTGTGACAGTGCCCTCGTATGGAATCAAGTTCAACCTTCTTGCGACCCACGCCTTAAATGACACGAATGCAATCATTTCCACCCAGTGGTTGAAACGACGCTTGCTCTGACTCACCGGGTTCGGAGCGACAAAAAGGCCTCGCTCTTGGATATCACTCGGCTCGCCCAGCCGGTGCAGCTTCTTCTCAATTTGTAGTCGAAGCCAATTGATGTTCTTGTACTCGGAAAGCTCGAAACTGAAAGCATTTCGGGTTTCAGTGTACTTTGCGTTTAACTCTTTAAGACTATATTTGACATGTCTGAGCGTTTCCGGGTTTGTATCAGGGAACAGTGGGCCAAATGCGCTCAAAGGGCCCTCGACAGCTTTGATCAACAGAGTCATCTCCTCCTGTAGCCACCAATCCATAACGATTTTCGTTTCAAATGGGGCCATGACATCAAGCTGCCGCCAAGCTATATCTAGCTCGGCACTGTTGGTCAGCCTAGTGCCTCCAGTCCGTCTGCTCAGGTAGACATCCGTCAGGTGCTTTTTGATCATCTTCCGACGGAGAAGGAGCGCCTTTTCTTGTGCGGGTTTCAATAACGGGCCAAGCATGAGATACCTAGCTACCTCGAGAGGGGTTATATCATAAAATTGGCCCGACCGAGTGACGTTTGAGAAATCTTTAGGACTCCAAAGATGAGCATCCTTGAATGAACTCTCAGCTACACTGCGCTCCTTCCATGTAGAACGGTAATCATGTGCAGTCCATCCAAGTTTTTGTCTACTTTGCTCGAAACGCAGTCGAAAGTCCTCGAATCGACAGCCAGGCTCACTAGGTATTTCTGTGTCCAGGTATTGGAGTCCAATGAGACTTTGTATAACATCAGCCGAACCAAGCGAGACCGACTGGCCTTTCGCTTGTAGGCCGCTGTACATTCGGGTGTGCTTATCAGTTTCAGCCAATAGATGGTCGATCTTGGCTCTTGCCGACCTTCGAGGCTTGAAGTAGTCTCTTTCAAGCTCATCTTCCACCCGAGAAGCCTCGATCTGCAAAGATTTGATTCTTGTCGTAGTGAACTCAGAATGCAAGCGGATAACATTGTTTTCGATTTTGGAAACGGTCTTCGTCCACATAGGAGTTCTGTCATAGACCACTTTGCAATACTCATGTTCAATCTGCCAGCAGTCGGCCAGACTGCAGTCAATTAAGTTTTGGATGCGATCTAAGCGGTCGTTCGAGAAACTTTGTATGTCAGCTGATATTTCCCAGCTGGTGGCAATGATTCCCTCGAGATGGGTTCTAAGGTTATTGTATGCTGAATCAAGAATCTCCTGCAAGCCTTGGGATAGCTTAGGAAGTCGCTCAATTTTTGCTCCGACGTCACGAGCTGCTTCTCTAATCTCAGAAATTTCCTGCTCAACTTTGAGAATAAATTCTTCCGGAGAGAGTTGGGGGTCGGTAAGTTCCCAAGGTAGTGCTGGTTGACCGGGCTTCCTGCGCTTAGGAGGTTTGGGTTTCGGTGTTCGAGACATGATGAGAGTCTTCATGTTCATTGAGGATGGTGTAGCAGGTAGTGGAGGCCGTCTCGTCGGCCTCACGACCGGCCTCGTGATTTTTTGCGGTTTATGCTCTTCATTTTCCTCTACCTCTACCTCTAATCGAATATGGGACGCAGGAGTAGTTGAAAAGGAATGTATTTGATCCACAGATCCTAAACGACATCTGTGGATGACTCGTGGTTGAACGGCTTCGGTGTGAGGGGTCCCACGAGTGAGCGTGCGGAGAAGGCCACTAGTGTTGGATTAGCACGCTGGAAATCGGGTAAGGTTGGAATTGAAGCTTCGACAGGGAGTATGTACCTCTGCAAGCCCATACTCTCTCTTCGGGAACCTCCACTAGTATTTGCGGACACATTGCGACCGGAGGTTGGGACCAAGACTGAAGACCTCAAGCCCGCTGTAAGGTTCAACCGAGTTCGCATATTGTGCCGCAATCATAGTGGGGGCCCATGTACAACACCTAAAAACCGACTAGGAAACTATTGCCAATCCATGTGAAGTACCGTGTTGTTCTCTGCTCAGAACGAAAATAAGTAGAAATAGTAAGAGGGAAAGTCGAGTCAACAATGCAATTGGAGTTCACTGATGAAACAGAGCAATGAAAGTCCGGGGCAACACGCTAATCCTAATTGGGGATGGTGTCCTCGGGACGGATAAAATCAAGTTTCCGAAATCCAAAGATCAACTGAAAGAGAGAGAGACTTGGTATATCTCTACTCACGTTGACATATTCAATCTGTGCAAGAAATTGCCTCCTTACTGAATTTCCGTGATACTTTAACATATTACTACCATATTTATCACCATGGCCTCTCAACTTCTTCCTCTGGGTATATTCCGATCCTCCACCTCCTTGGTACCCCCACTAACATTTTGATAGAGCTTATTGACAAGTGTGTTGGCTCCCGTATCTGGGTTGTCATGAAGGGTGACAAGGGTCAGTCAAATTTTCCGAGATATCATTTTTGTAGTAAGCTTCTAACACGCGAAAAGAGTTCTCGGGTACCCTTCTCGGATTCGACGACTACGTCAGTAAGTGTTATTCTATGTTTCCATATCAAACAACAGCAGTCTAATTTCGAACCTAGACATGGTCTTGGAAGATGTCACTGAGTTGTGAGTATCACTTTACATTGCATCGGAAACTATACCCTGCCAAATTTTGACAGCGTAGATGATTGTTGAAATTGGCCGTGGGCTTATTCTCACCATTCCCATGCTTCATCTGTCACTTCTTTGCCAGTCTAACAATTCAACAGCGACTACACCGGTGCTCAGACCAAGCTTCCCAAACTTTTACTGAACGGAAACAACATTTGCATGGTAAGAGATCTATCCAACACCTCGAGCTCCAGATGTCATAATTAACATATGACCCAGTTAATCCCCGGTGGAGAAGGCCCGACATCTAGCTAAGCACATTGCTAGCTAGCTTGCAGAATGATGAGAAGAAGAAAAAACCTCTTTTGTGTTATGATACCGAATGCAACGACCTGAAAGTCCAATAGACAGACTTAATTTTCATATTTTTTGAAGGCCACTTTGCCAGTCATCTTATCTTGCCTTATCAGGCCCCCATCCTTGTGCACTCTAGAGGCTATACCGAATACTCACTGGCCTGAAAATGGAGCATTGTGAATGGTCCTCCGCACGGGAGCACAATTAACGCATTGAACCAGAATTGCGCAACGAGAGTCCAATCGAGTGTCTTTTCTACAATTCTGCAGGGGGCCTATCCCCGCACCAATCACCAATCTCGAGAATACGCAAGCGACTAGTCTCGACTGATAAGCCTACGCCACAGGATAAGTCGAAGATAGAGACACCGTTCGCCCTCCCCTTATCACAGCCCAATCGCAGCGACCCCTGGCGATTCCTGACGTGCTCGCGGCTTCCCCTGGTGATCCTCGTGGCCATTCCCCATAACTCTATCGGCAAGAGACTATGTGGATATTGTGCATGGTTGCACATTAGTTCCTGGGGTAGTTCAGTGCCACGCGCAGATCCTCCGGTGCTGAACTGCAGCATATTTAGACGTCGTTCCATCGACCCCGTACTTCTCCACACAAACAACCCCCTAAGCTTTTCTGGTGGAGCACCCGTTGTAGGCCATTCTCCAACTGAATCTGGGTTTGGATTAGTCAGTACATTTTCTAGTGAAAATAGAGGAGTAAGTTTGCAGTTTTCTGCATTATTATAGTCTGGGATGCAGTTAAAATGGTTTAAACAAAAGCCAGTCCAATCAACTTCGACTGTTGAATGATATTGCAGAGCACATGGGTAGTAACCAGAATTAGATATCGCAAGCTTGGCGATGCAAGTCATCTAAAACAAATTATTCTCCTTCTTGGCATAAAGACATCTGAAAGGAATAGGAGTAAACTTGAACTGAGCTAAATTAAACACAACATTTGAACATGCGATCGAAGAAACCTCCGACGCCCCGACATCAACCCACTCAACTCCACCCAAGTCACAAGCGAAGCGTGCGTAGGCAGCTATGCAAGAAGATTTACTAAAAACAGGAGATAAATGGCCGTGCGACAAGGCAATAAAAGTTCCATTTCCCCAGACTGACGGGCGCGATGTGGAAACTGTTAGGTAACACTTTCGTATCCCCGCATTCTAACCAGAGAGTTAAATGATGGACAAACAACTCTAAAATAACTGGCTGTTTCTAAGAGCTCATTTCCAGTTACATGTGTCTCGAATAAAACCTTGGAATTTGAAGGAGCTGGAGAAGGAATCCTGGACTGCATGTTAGGAGTTTTTAGCGGTCGGCTCGGGTCTCCTGATTTACACTGAAGGCGAAATCGGACATCACACGACCCTGGAGTATACTAAGTAAAGAGTACTCCGTTCTGAGCTACCAGTATTATCTCAGCGCACACGAGGTGCTTATTTTCAGCACTTCAAGTCTGACGATGGAACAGTCTCGCCAGTCTTGGATAGCTCGACTGATGCATCTCTGCGGCGTAATCCGTATCCAGACTTAAGCCATGAGATTATGGTAGCCAAGAACTAGATCAACGTGGCCACCTCAGCCCGATGCTACGGTGGCTGTCCGACAAGGAGCTTTAGCCAGTGATGATGCGTCTAAAAACGCCATCAGCTGCCGTGGCGGGATGATGAGCATTGTGCGAGGTAGGGAAGCCAAGAAATAATCCTCACACTTGGGGGCCGGGATCATGCAAAGCTCCGAATGATTCTTCAATGAAGATAAACTGCCTATCTACGATGGTTATGATGACAGGGTGAAATTATTGCATGTCATCTAATCTCTCTATCTTAATTATGGGGACTTTTGATAAAAACTAGGTCCGCATTTACGGAGCATTCCCGTAGACTCCACCGTTATCAGTTCCACCGTCTTCGCACATGTGCAGCAATCCAGCCCCGAGATTAATCGTAAGATCCACTTATTATCCTATGGATCGTAACGCCCCAAGCCCGAATGCCCGATCTTGTTCAACGGGCCTTCGAGGCTTGGCCACTATACCAGAAAAAGGCTATGAGCCTTTCTCAGAAACATAGAGAAATATGAGAGCCTATGAGATACCTCTCATTCCACATGGCCCCTGCACTTGGTCCGGGGACTCCGTATACAAACCTTGACAGAATGACTACCCTGCACTGCCATCGAATGATCATTCGGAGAATAGACATTACATCTTGTGATACCCTTCAAATCCCCTGGTTCAGCATTGGTTCTCCCGCGCTTCTATGCATATCAGTGGCAGACCGCCATCCAGCCACCCGACCAGCCAAACAAATCAGAATAGTGTTCAAGGCACAGAGTTTCATGGTTTCATTCGTGTTGGGGTTGCCTCGGGATGAGAGTCCTCGGTGATCCCGAGGTATAAAGCATACTCCTATTCTGAGAGTTGTGCACTATGAACGCCGAACCTACAGAGCCAGCCTCAGTGGAGTCTATCTGAAGCTCAAGTCTCATGTTTCTTTAATACTATCCAAGACACTAGACCCTGTGACCCAAAGCGCATCATAAGAACGGGAGCCCGTCGGGAAGCCTTCCCATAGGCGAAAACAGGGATCTTGGCTGGGCTTCTTCCCTCTTCAGCAGCCACGGATATCCTTGTCTTTCATCCGTACTTGGAAAAAAGCTGATATTCCTAGACCTCTCTGAAGGTGAAATCCAATTTCTTGGCATAGCCCCCCTTTTAACCTGGCTTATCACTACTTCCGAGGTGATGGTTCTTATTTGGTAATGATCGTCTATCTTGAGTGCGGAGAGAGAAACAGATTGGGGCCAAGTGGGTCATGGATTCTTGTCTTGCTGGATCAACCAAGGAAGCTTGGTTTGGATATTGGATTTGATCCTTAATAAAGAAATCAGAAAGGAAATCCATGTGCTAAGTCACGGATATTCAAGGGTATTGCCCATGTGGATATGTACTAGAACCTTAGAAGTAAGCAACACAGTAAACCCCCGAGATATCCCAAGGTTCAAGGTCAGCAAATGCAGTTAGCCATATACAGTGGGATCGTCCCGTTGACAGATTCAAGTTTAGCTAAATCACGCAGGTGATAAGTGGCGTTTGGCACCCCACCACCTAGGATGAAACATAGCGTTTTCTGAAATAGTATTTTTTTATTATGAAATTCTACTTTGGATTTCAAATGTGAGATATCCCAAATTTTGAATATCTGGGGTACCCGTTTGCGGTCATTCCCGAGTAGCCACAGTGGTCAACATGATCATCTCGATAGTAATATCCTTCGAAGCTGGAAAAAAAAACAATAAAAATAATAAAAAACCGAAAAACCGAAAAAAGTAAATTAAAATATTGGAGAATATGAATTTCTCCAATAAAAAGAATATCCATGACTCGGGGAGTCGGGGGTAAAACTCTCCTATACCTAAATCCCAGTAGGACTAGGCGACATTTAGTACCTTTTCTTTTGGTCTAAGCGCAGAGTTAAATGTAGAGAGTAAAAGAGAGGCTATTTCTCAAAGGGTCCCACTAGTGGCGCAAACAGATAGATGGATTTTTGCGTGAGAGAAATACCTAATGCTTATTGTCCTTCGGCCCATATTCCAATCTCTGTCGTTTAAAATCAACTCCTCTCCCCTCCCGAAAGTCACTTCGTATATGAGCGGTACCTCTTTCAACTTTCTTTCTCTCTCCTTACTCGAGCCCTTTCAAAGTTACCAAAAATAACTTTGAATATTAACTCGCCACATCTCCCCACCCTTGAAAGCACTTCCCATCTGGCGTGAAATCAAAGAATATTCGCAAATATGGAGGGCGAGAAGAAGCTCGAGGCGGAGCAGAGTACGGTGCAGACAGGCGCTGAGACCTTACCTACATATGGAGACTCACACCCAACCCAAGCTGGTTTGGGTCGACAAATAATCGACAGTTTCAAACGGGACCCTAACGCTCATATCATTTCTCAGCGCGAACATGGAGCCGATGGCTCGGGATTTGATCTCGAGACTGCAGCTCAGAATGTCGCTCACTCGCCCCTTCAGCGTAAATTGCAAGGTCGGCATCTTCAGATGATCGCTATTGGTGGCTCAATTGGTACGACTCAATATATCCTCGCAATGTATCTCCAAGGGCTATCCCCACTAACAATCGATAATAGGTACTGGTTTATTCGTCGGTTCAGGTACAGTTCTCGCAGCAGGCGGACCGGCCGCAGTCGTTATCGCTTATGTTTTGATTGGAATCATGCTGTACACCACCGTACATGCATTGGGTGAAATGGCTGTTCTGTTCCCTGTTTCTGGATCTTTCGCCCACTATTCTACTCGTTTCTTGGACCCTGCTTGGGGCTTTGCTATGGGTTGGAACTATGCGCTTCAATGGCTTATCGTCTTGCCATTAGAAATCGTTGCTGCTGCAATCACAATTGACTACTGGAGTCCAGGAATTTCAAATGCCGCATGGGTCATCATATTTTGGGTGGTGATCGTCGCGATCAACCTGTTTGGTGTGCGCGGTTATGGTGAAGCGGAGTTTGTCTTTGCAGCGATCAAGGTTGTCGCTGTCCTTGGCTTTATGTATGTGCCCGCCTCCACGACTATCACACAGGATACAGTGACTGTATTTTTATCTGGCTCGTGATACTAATGTCGTCTCTAGCATTCTCGGCATTGTTATCAACTGCGGTGGTGGTCCTCAGGGAGGCTATATCGGTGGCAAATACTGGCATGATCCCGGTGCTTTCAACAATGGCTTCAAGGGTGTCTGCAGTGTCTTCGTCAATGCTGCCTTTGCTTTCGCTGGAACCGAACTGGTTGGTTTGGCTGCTGCTGAGACAGCGAACCCTCGCAAGTCTCTCCCAACGGCCATCAAGCAGGTGTTCTGGCGTATTGCGCTGTTCTATGTGGTCTCCCTCACCATCGTTGGTCTCCTGGTCAAGTATACCGATAAGCGTCTCGTCACCGGCGCCTCCTCGGCCGATGCCCACGCCTCTCCCTTCGTTATCGCCATCGAGAATGCCGGAATTTCCGGTCTGCCCTCCGTTATGAACGTCGTGATCATGATCGCAGTCTTGTCCGTTGGAAACTCCTCCGTCTACGGATCCTCGCGTACCCTTGCCGCCCTCGCTGAGCAGGGCCAAGCCCCCGGGTTCCTCGGCTACATCGATCGCAAGGGACGTCCTATCTGGGCTATTCTCGTCGCATCTGGGCTTGGTCTGCTTTGCTTCCTTGCCGCGTCGAGTAAGGAGACCCAGGCATTCGAATGGATGATGGCCATTTCAGGTCTTTCTTCTATCTTCACCTGGGGCTCTGTCTGTCTCTGCCATATTCGATTCCGCCAGGCCTGGAAGAAGCAGGGCCACACTCTCGATGAGTTAGCCTTCCGCTCTCAGCCTGGTGTCCTCGGATCTTGGATCGGTTTCCTCTTCAACTGCCTGGTTCTGATTGCTCAATTCTGGGTCGGCTTTGCTCCAGTTGGCTATGCATCAATGTCAACCAAGGCCCTCGTGGAGAACTTCTTCTCGGTTTACCTTGCCACTCCTGTTGTTCTGGCCTTCTATATCCCATACAAGTTCTGGTACCGCACTAAAGTTGTCCGCTCACACGAGGCAGATCTAGTGACTGGTCGTCGTGACCTTGATATTCAGGACCTGATTGAAGAGGAGAAGGCAGAACGTAAACAATGGCCTGTCTGGAAGAAGGTTTACAAGTTTTTCTGCTAAACATGTTAATGAGCGCACAAGATTGTTCATTCAGTTTGATGCTTTTGTTTCCTCGAGTTATACCTTTAATTCCCTGATCTCGCCCGAAATTTCTCTGAGTCTGATTACGGATTAGGATTTAGTAACGACAGATACCATAATGACCTCTCAATGGGACATTTGAAGATTATGAGAATTCAGGCCTTACATGAAGAATGCGTAACATAATTTGGGTGCTTATTTTGGCTGTCAGATCTCTATCCTCAAGCTTCGAATATTCTGGTTGTCCTCAGCCCTACACATGTGGACCTCGGGACATCCGCATGGGCTTTGGGCTTTGGGCTACTACACATGCCCCGGTGTAGTACAGTTCCTGAAGACCTTTGGCACTACCTAGGTACTGATAATAAGTATCTGGTTGAGAAACATAGTAATGTCTCCAGGTAAATATTCCAAAGTTCGGTAAAAGCCACCTCAGCTGGGCACCTACGTACACCATAGAGATCTGCAATTCTCTTAAGCATTTGAGTCAAAAGCCCGGTATTGGGCGGTACGGTATGGTAACATTGGGGTCAAAGTGGCTGAGTACGTATGCCTGAACAGTCGGGTGTCAAGGGCCTTCAACAACATTGCACAATGTGTGACTCGGATCGGAGTCAGAGCAAATTCTGTTCTGATGAAAAAGAATCGTAATCGTATTCTCGTTTAAAAGAGGTGAATCATCAATTCCAAGATTTATCCGAACTAGAAATAGAACTAAGACTCGCAATCTTAATCCTCGAAAAGATTTTCGAGAATTCCCAAAAATAGTACATGTTCCATATAGTGTGGTGGAGCCACAGGCCATCTGGTGTACTCAGCTGTACTCGTAATATTACCAACGCTCTCCACGAATTTCATCAACAATCAGGCATCTCTGCTAAACATAATTCAACCCCCTTTTCATTGTCCCTTCATTTCACTTTTGCTGTTAAGTCGGCCGCTTCCAATTTGCTCTTCGCCTGGTTTGGCTGCTGTTCGCTCCTTTTGATCCCCTTCGCCCTCGCCGCACCTTGGCGCTTACCTGCCGCGCGCTCTGCATTCCCCGGGGAAGATCCCATCCGCCTCTCAAGCATCAATTCTGCCCAACAGTTAGCGCAACGTCACCAGCATATAACAGGCGTGCGATTTCAGTTCTCTCTCCATCATTCTTTCCACTTTGAACAGTTGTACTTGATTGCTGGTTTCCCCGTCCCGGAGGAGGCTCAACCCGGGCCCGCCCAGATTGACCCCATTCCTTGTGCTTTGCGCCATCACGATCTTTTTACCTGAATTCTCACGCTGTTTCTACGATCGTTCTATTAGCCTTCCTTAATCCGACGTTTATCCGTTTGCCGATTTCCTCCTAAACAATCTCCTTGACAACGCAAGACGTCATTCCTGCAGGCCACGCCGTCGAAATGCCTGGTTTCGCCGACTCATTCTGGACACCCGACTACGCCACGGGCCTCGGGGTCCTGTATGGGAAGTTGCAGCAGGGTGTCGTGGAGAACAAGCAGATTCTGGCCATAGCGTCTATGCGGGCAGATGCGGAGGAGCAATATGGCCTCCGCATGGGAGATATTGCGCCAAGTGTTGATCGGTTGAGTGCCGCGGGTTTCGGCAAAGACGATGGTGCAAGTGTAAGAAAGGTAAATGGAATATTCTACTAGAATCCCATTTTGATTGATCGGAGACTGACGAACTTGCTTAATCTCTAGGCATACGAAGGTGTTCGCACCGAGATGATCGAGGCCTCCAGGAATCACCAGAAGATCGCCAACAACATCCGTGAACTTGTCGTGGCTCCTTTCCGTCGCTGGGGCGATCAGCACGAATACCGCGTGCAAACGTCTCACGACAATCTGCAGGGTCGGATCAAGGAACACTCGAAGCAGGTTGAGCTGGTCAAAAAGCTTCGGAGTCACTACTTCAACAAGTGCCGGGTGGTAGAGGATCTGGAGGAGGAGAACAAGCTTGCTTTCCAGGACCCCGATACTAGCCCCAAGATTAAGCCAACACCGAAGATCGTTCTTCCCACCGAGGAAGAGGAGGAGGAGGAAGAGCCTGTCGAACTGGGAGATCGCATTTTCGCCCCGGAGGATATGAAAAAGCTGTTGTTCCACATGCTGAACAATATCAGACTCGGGGAGGCTAAGGTGCCTATTATCGGTACATACCAGAACGTCTCTACGGGTGCAGACATTGTCGCGTATGTTCAGACTTACATGAACGCTTCGACTCTTTCCCAGGCGGAACGTATTGGACAGGATCTGGTGGACTCCGGCTTTTTGCGTCTCGTTGGAAACATGGGTAGTGTCTTTGCCAACTCCTCGAAGATGAACTACCAGTGGCGCTCCAGGGTCTTCCAGATTACCGGTATTCCGGAGAAGAAGAAGCCTTTGATGCGAGTGACCTCTGCGGCATCGAGCGAAGATGGGAACGATTCGCCCATTTCATCGGTGTCGGAGATGATCGCTGGCTGGAATCCTCTCAACAACCCTTACCCCAATGAGACTCCAGCAGAGAAGTTGCGCAGAGAAGCAATTGAGGCCGACGAGCGCTACAAGGGCGCTGTGCGGAAGCTCGATCAAATTCGCTGCCGTCTTGAGGAAGATGTCATTGACAACTTGCGCTTTATGGAGCAGTGTGAACTGGATCGTCTCAAGGCTATCAAGGCTGTGGTCCTCGACTTTTCGGGTGCCATCAGCAACGTTATTCCTAACCTCCAGAGCACCGTCGATAATATGATGCTGTACCAGGAGACTATTCAGCCGTTGGGCGATTTGAGATACCTGCTGGAGAACTACCGTACAGGTGGCTTTGTTCCACGTGTACAGGCCTACGAGAACTATTATGGCTCAGTCGAAGGTATGCATAACTAAACTAGTTTGACAGACTTGGAACACAAAGTGGCTAACTGTACTTCAGAACAAAACTTTGGTGTTGATCTTGAAGCTAGAGCTCGGGTCGACCGCAAACGTGTTCCAATTTTGGTTACAACCCTTCTGACCTATCTGGACAACCGTAAGTCTGCCCTGGCTAGATCTACAGGCCCCCAAACAGCTTGAAACTGACTGCTGGTTATAGGCTACCCTGAGCTTGAGGGTGACGAGGCCCGTCGCGCCATTTGGCTGCACAACCCTAAGTTGACTCACACACACCAGCTACGCAGCGCTCTGAACAACAGCAAAACGGACTATCTTGAAATCCTTCCCAAGTTTGAAATACCCACCGTTGCTAGCGTTTTGAAATTGTACCTTCTTGAATTGCCAGGTTCGTCTCTTACCCATGTTAAAGGTCCTTGCAATATCACTCTAACCATACACAGACTCTCTTGTTTCTTCGCAAGTTTACGAGATCGTCAAAACAATCTACTCGACCACTGCTCACGAGACCACGGAAGAGGGACGAATCAAGGTCCTGCAAAGTACTCTTGGACAACTTCGTCTCGTCAACATTGCTACGCTTGATGCCATCATGACCCATTTCACACGCCTGATTGACTTGACTTCAGCTGATGAACAGTACATTACCGCTCTCGCACAGGTCATGTCGCCATGCATTCTGCGACCTCGTGTCGAGAGCAGTCTCACTATGGATGAGCGTCACAGTTACCGCCTCATCCGTGATCTATTCGCTCACAAAGATACCATCTTTGGTGAGCTGAAGCGCCAAACCAGCGCTATGGGCAGCATTTCCTCCAGCCGCCCGAGGGCGATCAGCAGCGATGAGAGCAATCGTCGTGCCGCCATGGAGGCTCGTCAGCGTGCCATTGTTAACCGTAGCCGAGCTACCAGCCCGACCGGGCGTTCACGGCACCGTCGTGACCGCTCCAGCGGTGCATCCGAGAACGGACGATTCCCCATCAACGTTACCAGCCCTGCCGAGCGCCGAACCACCGGCCGTGGCATCAGTCTCGATGTTCCTACCGCTAGCAGCTCCCCGACTAACTCTGAGCATACCCCGACTGTGAATACCAACATCACCGACGTTGCAACCAACGGAACAACCGAGTCACCGGCTTCGGCGGCTGTGACTAGTGCCACCACACTCTCCTCAGGACTCTCGTCGGGTTCTGACAGCCCCCCTCCGCCTCCGGAGACCGTCGAAGATGACTCTCCTACTCCCACACCCACGCCAGCCCTCACATCTACCGAATTTGAAAAGCGCAGCTCTATCCCCCGCTCTGCAGGTGCTCGGTACACCCGCAAGCCGGGTCTGGGAAGTCTTTCTAGCTTCCCTACCGGGTCCGCCGTCGGCGCCACAGGCACTGATAGCAACCGCAGCAGCATCGTGGAGAGCGAGCCTAAGGGCGTAACTCTGGAAGACAAGCCCATGGATGATTAAAATGATGCAACCCCCAGTTTTGAAGAGAGGACGATAAGTCTCGAAGGTCTTGTATAGACAGCGCACAGCCTTCGAGGTATTTTTTTATGTTTTCTATTCCATTCCATTATTGAAATTCCCTTGTTCCTTTTAAGACTTTGATTTGCCATCGTCATGCCCTTTAAATGCATGCATGCATACATACCCTCCTCTTTCCTGCCTTCTTGTGTGCGACTTCAATGTTGTCAAATACCAAAGTAACCCCTTTGGTCTTCTTTTCTCATGTTCAATCTTTTTCTTCTGTTCTTCATGTTTTTATGCATCTCTTTTGTACCGCTCCCTTGGTTTTGTAACCTTGTATGTATACTTGATTCTTCTCTTGCATATGTACGAATTCTGACAAGTGAATACTTTCAATTCTTTACCCACGCATATCCGGCAGTGTATGATTCGAGACTTCTGTAGTACTCTTGTATCGGTAAACCTAAACATTTTAGTTTGATCTGTCTGATCTAGCGTGCTCCTCTCTCTCTGTTACTCTAACTTGAAACATTTAATCCGAATACTACTACTCCGTATTACATAGTACATGTTGGCATATCTTGCGGGGAAGCCATGGAATATCGGCAAGAGTCCGAGTCTGGCAGGATTTCTTGTACTAACAAGTCTCATTCAAGTTTCAGTTTCATTTGTGGGGACATACTCCGCATTCTTAAGTTTGCGGGGAAATCAGACGAGACAATAGATCGGCTTAGAAGGCTCATGATGACCTGACAAGTCGTGAAGCTGTACTCATCTCCGGCTTTACATCATTCTCATATTCTCCGTCAGCACATCGATATTCCCATCTTATAAGTTTCAAGCTACTATCGACTAGCTCAATATCGGAAGGATATGGACGATACCATGGATTTCGAGAAACCTATTCATCTAGAAGAATTGGACTCGGATGAGATCAGTACTCCTCCCACACCAGATCTTAACCGGTGAGAACCCCGGATTCCCAGAATATTCAACCAAAGCGACTGTATTGACGCAATTCGTTCAATAGAATATACAGAAAAGTCGACAGGCGCATACTGCCTTTCGTAGCTTTGACTTATCTACTATGCTATCTAGATCGATCAAATATAGGTATGAATTGCTCTCCATTCCAGGCAGAATCTCCTGTAGAACACGAACTTGAATTGATCTGAAACAGGAAACGCGAAAGTTCTAAACTCAGATGCATCGGATGATCTGATGCACTCGATTGGAATGACAGACCAGCAATACCGCGTCGCATTGATGCTATTCCTAGTTGCATACTCCATATTCGAGGCACCAAGTAATCTCGCCATGAAGATCTTTTCACCACCAGTGTAAGTCAAAATCTACCTTATTCTCTCTATCAGGGCTTCAGATATCATTCAAATGTTACTATGATTCGTGAATGAAATTTTTAACTGACTGTGATGAATAATAGGTGGCTAGGGTTTCTAGTAGCATCTTTCGGAGCCCTATGTGCCGGTATTGGGGGATCAAAAAATGTTCAAACACTCATGGCCCTCCGCTTCTTACTTGGGGCTGCAGAAGCAGGTACTTTTCCTGGTATGATTTTTTATCTTAGTTTCTGGTATGGGCCCCGAGAGCGCGCAATCCGAATTGCAGTTTTCTTGTGCAGTGCGACACTGGCTGGTGCTTTTGGTGGTATGTAGTTTCCAGGTTGTGATACTAAATCGACATCTGGACGTTCCTCAACCTGAGAAATACTAACACACGACTAGGTGCCATTGCTTACGGTGTTGGACATATGAATCAAGTCGGTGGCTTGAATGCGTGGCGATGGCTTTTCATTCTTGAAGGCTTACCATGTATCCTCGTCGCTATTGCGATCTTCTTTTTTCTACCCAGTTACCCAGAGAACGCAAAATGGTTAACAGATGAAGAAAAGGAGATTTTACGTTCCTCATTTGGAGAGAATATTCCTCGAGGGTAAGTGAAATCATTCAACATTGATCCCTGTGGCCCACTCCCATACTAAATGCTCAACTTGAAACTAACATCTTTCACTCACTTAGAGAAGACAAGCTTAGTTGGCAAGACGCCAAAGAAACCCTCCAAGAACCCCGTCTTTGGCTCCATTACCTAACTTATCTCTGTATGGGTATTGGTGTTTCCTCTCTTTCACTCTTCGCGCCTACGATCGTCGAGGGCATCGGGTATACGGGTCTCACTGCACAACTATTTACCATCCCACCCTACGCCTGTGCGTATGTGGTCACCCTCTGCGCGGCGTATGCGTCTGATAGATATATGTGTCGAGGACTTATTGCGGCTGGATTCTGCCTTCTGGGAGTGATTACATTTTTGATTCCAGGTATAACACCCGTTCAAGTTGATACTAGTAATAGTATGTGCTAACTGTATATCCTCAGCTTGTGTCTCCACCCCATCCCTTCATCTCCGCTATGCCATGCTCGTCCTCTGCACATGCTCGGTCTTTGGGTCCCTTCCGTCTCTCTGCGCATGGGTTTCTGATAATGTTCGCACAACAACCGCCGGTTCCATCGCCAGTGGATTGAATGTTGCATTCTCTGGCCCAGGGCAGATTATCGGGGTGTGGATTTATGAAAGTCAACAGGCACCGAGATACCAGCTTGGTCATGCGGTTAACGCGGCGAGTCAGTTTGTAGGAATGGTTTTGGCATTGGGATTGTGGTTACATTATCGCAGGTTAAATTCTAGACTTGGACCGGGGGAGACAAGATGGATTGCTTGAGTATAGGTAGTGGTAGTGGTATATACTCAGTACTGAGAACTTGAAGGCTTTTATTAGTAGGACAAGGATTTTTTTTTTCTCTTTTGCTTGACATTTTCATATGTTTATGGGCTTTGCGGTCAACAGGACAGCCTTCCAAGGTTGTAATTCTAATACTGGTCCAGATGTCAGTGAACAAAAGAAAAACAAAAGAAAATCATAAAAATAGCGCTAAATATGCCCAATTCGAATTCAACTCCAGAAATGCGATGCGGTGGTGTACATGATAAAAATGTGTCTCGATAGGGCTCCGATGATGCAAAATGGGTAATGATAAATGATGATATGAATGCCAATGCAGGAATGGGAATGTTGTCAGAAAGCGAAAAGGTGGATGAAACCAAGTTACAATCCATCACCGCGTAGTAGGCGTCGCAGAATCCCTTCACCTGGACCAGCGATTTGACTTTCGATTTCAGATTGGGAGACAAAACACACAAGACCCTGTTCACCCATGGCCTTTTGCGGGGTTGAAGTCACGCTGCCAGACTTGGACGGTGTGCGTCGAACATCAGAACCCCCAGCGACGGTACCACCACGGCCGCGACCTTGGTATTCGCCTACCAAGCCCATCGTTTCCAAGTTGCTGAGAACATCCTTGAACTCGGTTGCAGTGAGAGGGTGAAGGATGTTATCATTTCGGCAAAGCGTACAATATGTGTCAAATGCTTGCTTGACGGTGGGAGGAGAGGAACGAGATTTGGAAGGTGTGCTGTGAATATCCATTTCCCGACGCTTGCGTTCGAGTGCAATCAAGGAGCAAATAGCAGCTTTCTGTTGCAGGTTGATATTCTTCAGTCTTTGAACAGTACCCTGACCAAAAGCCGATGTAGTGATTCTGGCGATGTGCGCAATGCTTGCGCGAGGTGCTGTTACTGGGGTATAGCTGGACATAGTAGGACGCGAGTCATTCTCTGACTTTGAAGCAGCAAGATTTTTGTTTTCAAGAAGGACGGGCAGGTCCGACTCGGCAGCAGCTTGCTGGTCCAGTTTCGCAATTGTTTCCTGCTCAATAACATCAATTGCGCGCTTGATCAACTCAAACGCCTTGCGAAGATCACCCGTCTGAGAGGCAACCTTTTTCGCACAAAGTTGAATTGCTGCAGGTTGCAGAAAAGGCACAAGCTTCGGGTCAGACTCTGCTCCTGCAGGGAGGAGTGATCGAAGACGAGCAGTGATGACACCTGCAATCGAAGCAGCATTGTATGGTAGGAATGGTAGAAGTCTGGGTTTCAGGTTCTTTGCTTTTAATTGGGGGAGAGATCGATCCGTCAAATCCAAAGCATTCGCGATACCGATAAGAACCAGGGCGGACTTGTCGTGCAAGGACCACTCAAACAAGGATTGTAGCACACCGGAATCACCCTGGAGTAAATGATCCATTTCATCCAAACTGACCAAGAACAGACCTTTCTGCTTGGATGGTATGAAGAGCTCCTTTAGTCGATCCGTCTCACTCTTCTTGAACACTTCCGATTCAGCGCAAAAGTCTTGGATGAGCTTACTATACACATCCCGCGCGTTGCGCATACTGACGCAATTGACATGAGACACTTTGACATTGGTGAGATCCATATCTTGACACACTTCGTTGACCATTGCGCTCTTTCCGGTTCCCGGGGGCCCACTGATGTATAAACAGCCACCCTTTTTAGACTGGACACAATCCTCAATAAAAGTCGACACTTTCTCTCGCTCGGAATCTCGACCAACAAGTCGCCCAGAGGTGGCGCCTCGCGCAAAAAGCTGTCGGGCCTGGGAGTACACTGTCTGAAACGTGGTTGGAGTGGCACTTGGACGAGGGGTTGGAGGTAGATCGGCATGTCGGGGAGTCCGCGGAGTGACGGTTCTAGCTCCTACCTGTACACGATGACGGGGAGTGACTGGAGATGTTTGAAGCGCATCTCTGAATCGAGCCTTCTGTGGTGTCTTAAATTCAATAGGGGCTGGGTTGTCAAGCTTTTTGGGGATTTCAAGCTTTTCAGATTCCTCGACTTTCACAGGTTTCTCATCTAAAAAAGTCACATATTAGTTGCTATTCTTCCATCTTAAATTTCAATTTCTTTCGGCTTACCCTCAACAAGTTTCGAGGTGCGAAAATGGGATTTAATCTTGACTGGACACTCACCATCATCCTCGCGCAGTGTGTGCTTAGAAGCGGCCTTATCGGAGGTCTTATTGTTCGCTTCATTTTCCTGATCCAGCTCCTGCTCTACATTTTCCTTTTTGGCGGCGAGTCGAGTTGAGCGGGTTCGACGTGGGAGAATAGGAACAGCAACCTCGTCATGAACTCGGGGTGCGGCAGTTCGGCGTCTGCTGGCAGTGCGCACGGGAAGCGCTATCAATAAAGTCAGTGAATAATTTCAAGGAAAGTGCAAGATGATATGTACCTTCCGCCTCCACTCCCCGAGTGCGCTTTCCAAGAATCGTAGCTGCCATTATTGTGAAGAGGAAGATGGAATGGTTGGGAAGCGCCTTCTCTGCATGAGTTAACGAGATAAGTCTTGGAAGTGGCCAGAGCGCGTCCGACGCGTCCTCACGCGTGGACCCATGAACATTCCCTTTAAACCCAATCCGGTAAGGTTAAAAATTAGGGTTGACCATAAAGACCAATTCCGTGGAATAGTCACGTGCTTTGCATCATAGGTCTTGCTCACCTGCCGTATCAGCTGGGCTTATGGCTCAAGGCTTCCTTTAGAGTACGTCACGGATTATCAACTTGTTTGTCTATGGAATTGCAAATGACTTCCTAGGTAGCTATAAAAGGTGTTTCCTGCAACCTTCAATTCATCTGAATGTTATCTTCTACATTTGTTTATCGATACCCGCGCGGGGTACCTATAGTATCGAGTCCCCTCGGTTTGCAGCTGTTTGCACCAATTACTTCTCCACATTCAACTGCTTAACAATTCCGAGCTCTCATTATTCCTTTCATTTGACTACTGTCAATTTACTCCCCTTCCCACCTCTCTTAATCTCTTAATTTTTTCCTTGAACTTTCATTACCACCATGGATGACAACGCGGTGGCTCAGTTCACCGAGATCACCGGCTCGACGCCTGAGCTGGCAACACAGTACCTGCAGCTTACCGATTTCAATATTGAGCAGGCTATGCAACTATTCTTCGAGAATGGAGGTGCTTCTTTGACTGAGGAACTTCCACGACCATCCCGTCCCTCCGGATACCAAGATGAATCGGGCGTTGTCCACATTGATTCTGATACCGATGATGACGATAACCTAACCGATTCTACACAAGCCGCTGCGGGCGCAACCTTCGAAGACGATGCTGCCATGGCCCGTCGTCTCCAGGAGGAGGCATATGGAGTGGGAGGCGCACCCGATGATGATGGTGTGCGGGCGCCTATGGCACGCACAACTGAAACGTTGGTGGGGCCTGAGGCGGATTTCGACGATGACATGCACGCCAATATTCTGGGCCAGTTACGTGGTCGGCGAAGTGCCGGTTGGTGATCCCTCCGAGACCGTTCTCTAGAAACTAAAGCTAATCATGAACATCTTTTAGGTCGACCCGGTATCTTCAATCAACAAGACACTTCGTCAATATGGACCGGGGGATCGGCGACCCACCAACAAGAATTATCGCGAGCCACAGGTGGCGCTTCAGATGCTTCATCCAAATCCAATATGCTCGCAGAAATGTACCGCCCTCCGTTCGAGATCATGTCTCGACTGTCATGGGATCTGGCTCGTGATGAAGGTCGAGAAAACGAGAAGTGGCTTCTGGTCAACATTCAAGACCAGTCGATCTTTGACTGCCAAGTCCTAAATCGAGACCTCTGGAAGGATAAGAGTGTTCAGGAAACCATCAGAGAACATTTTGTCTTCCTCCAATTCTCCAAGGACGACCCTCGAGCTTCGCCATATCTTCAATATTATTTCCAGGGCAGCGATGTCTCCGATAATTACCCTCACATTGCTATTGTCGATCCTCGAACTGGTGAAAAGGTCAAGTCCTGGTCCGGACAACCTGTAGTCAAGGCTCCGGAGTTTCTCATGCAGCTCCATGAGTTCCTCGATCGCTACAGCCTGAACCTCAACGTGCGCAATCCTGTAGCGAAGCGGAAAACAGACAAGCCAGAGAAAACTGTGGAGGCCATGACAGAGGAAGAAATGATGGAGATGGCCATGAGAAACAGTCTTGGTGAAGCGGCAACCTCGGGTCCTAAGCTGGATGATCCAGATGAGTTGACTCGCAGCACGGGCGATGTCAAAGGCAAAGGCAGAGCAGCTGATGCCGAGGACGAGGAAATGGATGAAACAGAAGCTGTTGAAGAGACTGGAGACTCTCGATTTAACGCCATCCCCAATGACAGGCCGCACACAGAGCCTGCCGCTGACCCAGCTACAACCACCCGCATTCAATTCCGTCATCCGGCTGGCCGTGTTATTCGACGTTTTGCCCTGTCGGACCCAGTTCAACGAATCTACGAATGGCTCAAGGCGGAACCCCCTGTTGAGGGCAAGGCTGGTGTTGACTTTGAGCTGAACTCCCTGGGAACAAACTTAATAGAATCTCTGGAGACCAGCATTGAGAGTGCCGGACTGAAGAATGGTACTGTCAACATTGGCTACCTCGAGGAATAGTTGTGGCTTGGAGATGTTTTCTGTTCTTGATTGGTCAGGATGGGGTATTGTTGTGCTCTTTGAAGAAGGGGTCTTCCTTTGAGAAAGCCATTGTTTTACTCCATGCAAGGAGCCGCAGAGAGTTTGGTGGCCAAGGTTACGATTTCAACAAAGAGAAGTCAATCGGATAGATTCAATAATCCTTGCATCTTGCTTCCGAGTCTTAGAATCTACGTGATATGAATATACCAGCAGTTCTTTTGAAGTTGATTTTGGTCTACTACTGTAGTATGGGTTTATACTATGTAGTACCTAGAGTAAACTCCTGTATAGATCAGGCACCGCCCTAGATAAGATCCCCTGTCACCGCCCGGCAAAAAGTGCCCCCGCGTTGATAAACAGACGAAAGGGCTTCATCCCCTCCGAAAGCATTCTCGTGATTTCTTTTATAAGATCGTCATCTGTATATTTTACTAGATCGCATGACTGTTCACAACTGATGTTCATCCTATGTTTAAATTGGAGGGTCTATATACCCAATTAGAACTCACTACAACCTCTTTCCATCTTTGTTGACATTACCGGAGCACTGTTATTGGTAAGTTTAACCCGTTCAAGCACTGGGCCAATATGGCCAAAAAGAACCATTCCTTGCTAACTTTTCTTCTATTTTGTGACTTCAGAAGGTAGCAGCATACTGGTACATAAATCATCATCTTGTCACTTGCTCCTCCAACCTTCATACCAACCACATCACCCACCAGTCTTATCTACAACGCCAATCCGTTCGTGCCCCGATCCTATCCTGCGTTCTATTTGATTTATTTTATGATCATATCAATATCTTTCGAGACCATCTGTTAATAAGTGCAGGGATCCTCAACGCATGAATTCAGACCTTTCCCTCAGATCCAGATAGGCCGCCAATATGTCTGGTCCCATCGACCCAGAAACGATCTACACCAAGCAAACCTGCATTGGTATGGATTGAAACCCCTGATATTATTTATTCATTTGCTTACGGTAAACCTTCTCTATAGGTGGTGGAAGTTTCGGCAGGGTCTATAAAGGGTAAGTTGCGCGGTTTCCCAGACTCAAGGCACATTGGCAACTCCATACTGACTGATATGTCCTATCTTAGAGTTGATAAGAGAACCGGAGAATCCGTGGCCATCAAGATCATCGATGTTGAAAATGCCGAAGACGAAGTTGACGACATCATCAAGGAGATTGCGATTCTGTCTGAGCTAAAGTCCCCATATGTGACCAAATACCATGGCTCATACCTGAAGGGCTCGAACTTGTGGATTATTATGGAATTTTGCTCTGGTGGCAGCTGCCATGGCTTGCTACGCCCCGGTGTAATTCATGAAGAGTACATTGCCATCATCCTTCGAGAGCTTTTGCGAGGATTGGACTATCTTCATGGCGATCAAAAGTTACACCGAGATATTAAAGGTATGATTGTACCCCTTCATGATGAATCATTCTTCGGGAAAAGAGCTAACATGGATACAGCTGCGAACATTCTCTTGAGCGCAAGTGGCCAAGTCAAATTGGCAGATTTTGGAGTCTCGGGTCAATTATCGGCAACAATGACCAAGAAGAATACATTCGTAGGAACTCCTTTTTGGATGGCGCCAGAAGTCATCAAGCAATCCGGCTACGACTACAAAGCAGATATCTGGTCTTTGGGCATCACAGCGATTGAATTGGCATGTGGAGATCCTCCGTACGCCGATATCCACCCTATGAAAGTGCTGTTTTTGATTCCTAAAAACCCACCTCCCACGCTTAATGGCAATTTCAGCAAGCCTTTCAAACAATTCGTTGAATTATGCCTGCGCAGGGATCCCAAGGAGCGACCTTCTGCCAAGGAGTTACTGGAACATCCTTTTGTTAAGCGTGCGAAGAGGACCACATACTTGACAGAGCTCATTGAACGTGCAGAGCGCTGGCAGGCCACACATCGTGGTAATGGAGATGACGATGATGATTACGATGAGCCCTATGAGGAGTTTGAACAGAGACCAGAGGAACATGAGGATCTTTGGGACTTCGGTACTGTTCGACCCGTAGGACGAGCAGGTGCAGCACCACTACATCCCCTGAAAGACTCAGGTACCAATTCTCGCTCGCAGGATAGTGAAGAGTGGGATTTAGTAGATGACACCAAACAACCCCCTTTGTCCCAACCTCTCCCTTCTCGACCACAGCGTGTACCTCCAACTGAAGTTTCTCCGACCAAAAAACACCTTCTCCCCGCACCACCCTCGCCTTTAAAGCAAACGGCTGCACAGCCATCAAACATTTCACGTCAACCACGCCCTGCCCCCACTTCTTACACTTCATATGAGGAGAATTCCCCATCCAGATACAACGACCGGTACACACGAGCCATGATGGATTACGCGAGTGGAGGTCATGTTGACACTCCACCCCAAGCACAATCCCCCGCGCCTGAACCCAACAACGCCAGGCGTGAACAATCTCCAGTTTCCAGAAAACCAACCCCGGCTCAACGTCCTCCACCTGAGGTCAGCGCCAGCCCCGCTCAACCTCGTTCCGCCCCGATCGCAGCCGCTCAAAAGGCACAAGAGACAGCGTCGCAGTATGCCGTTCCCTCCCCAGGTCTGAAGTCAAAGCTGGCGCCAAAATACGATGCGCGTCGTCAACACACCCCAACTGCTGTCCCTCGTACCAACGACCAACCGAGGCAAACTTCAAATGGCTCAGGCGAGAACGATCACACGACTACTGCTTATGGTTCTGTTATTGTTCCTGCTCTTCGTGCAGCTATGAATCGACGCGGCCGTAGCCTTGCTCGCCTCGACCCGGCAAAAAACACAAGCAACGGACACCCCACTCCTGAGCAGGAGCAGCAATGGGAGCGAAGCGTGCGTGTTCACAGAGCTATGGATCATATCACCGAAGAGCTATCTCGGGGCTTCGCAAATCTTCATCAATGGGATATGGAAGACCCAGTCCAGATGGGCGGCGGTGTCAATGCCGTTCTCGATACTTTCCTGGAGGAAGTACTGGTACGCCTCCAAGCTGATAGGCCTACTTCCACTTGAATCTTCAATTCTACACAAATCTGTCGTTTTGAGAAATTTTTTAAGCTTTACGACTTGATGTTTTCTACAGGCGCCCCGGTCATGGTGATGGATGGCACTTTTTAACGCGATTTTTATCCTTTCTTTCCGTACGCGAATGGTTTTTCCCCCGTTTGCCTTCGATTCAACTATGTTGTTCTTGATATGCAGCTGGCCAAGCATGTCAACTACTTCTGATATTTCAGATGATATTCTGTACTGCGCTTTCTCATGTTTCTTGCAAAAGATGGCTGGTACATTTTGTATTGTGGTTTCTTGTCTAAGGTTTCTTTTCCGATTACATTCTCTGCCCATGTACCATCAATAAAAAATGAACCCAGTTCTTCAAATTGATACCCTTTTACTTATAAGTAGGCTAGATGACAATACAGGCAAGTCAAGAAGTGACCTCGGGAGTTCATTGTAGTGAACTTTGTATGGAAAAACTGAGTCTCGGAAGATTTCTGTTATCACTCAATATCATAACCTACTAGTACATGTGCATATGGTATGGTCCCAAATAAGAGCAACAACCCCAGATATGCAGTATGCATCCAGATGTCAAGGCCTATCTGGGTTATAACAGGTACTTCAAGTTGAACCTCAGTCATACCCACGTTGCCCAAAGACATCTGGAGTCAAGCGCTTGCTTAACCGCTGGTAAACTCCAGGACTTGGAACAAGAAGATTGACTTGATGCGTGGGACGAAGTGTATCATATGAGAATTCGAAGAGCTTTGTGCATAGTAGCAATGAACGGGGTATCTCAGACCGTGGAAAGAAAAAATTTATGCCCAGATGTCAACCAAGTACTCAGCATCACTGAGAAGCTTTGTAATTCGTATCTGGCATACTAATCGCAACCTCATCCAGCAGGCCTGAAAAGCCAATCCGTCTCAGGTGTTGGAATCAAGTAATTCGTAATATTGAACTCGTTCGCATTTGAGCTGTTCCCATCCACGACAGAACCCGTACCAGTAATTCCATGTATAGACATTGGATTCTGTACCGAGTCCGCCATATCTAGGTGTGTTGCAGCGCTAGCAGGATCCGGGGCCCGAGCCGGCGGTACTCGAGGTACATTAAAGAAACCGAAGACATCAAGGTACTCCAGTTCATTTGGTGCAAGGTTCCTGGGTACAAGCGTAGCCGACGGTCGTCGGTTAGGATCGTTTCCAGAGTTACTCATTGAAGATGGTGATTCTCGTGGTTGGCGGGAGATAAGGAAATCGAGATCAAATGCACAGCGGCGCATATCTGCGAGGATCTTCACTGTAGATGGAGTTGATCTTTCACCGTCCATAGCGACGGATTGCTGGTATTCGCCATACTCGTCCAGAACGCGTTGGAGAATATTGCTGTAGCGTTCTGCGACTTTCCAGTGATGGCCCATTCGGGATAGTGTGTCAACGAAGAATATTATATCTGAGCTAACTGTGTGCGCGATTGTGGATCCGTGAACGAGTAACAGACGGGCAGATACCCAGAGGGTAAAAGCGAACGGTGGACCAAGTTTGTCGAGTATGTTGTTCTCAACTACGAATCGGGTAACGGAGAGGATATTGTCGACTGCGAGTAAACATCGCTGGCTAGCACTGTATGATGGGGTGAATATTGGTGATCGAGTTGTCGGATATGCAGCGGAAGAGTGAAGACGAATGACGGCGCTAATTTATCGGTTAGATGTGAGTTGATTTAAGTAAGCATCATATGTCTGAGTTAAAAGACTTACGTTTGATACGTAGCATGGAGCTGAACCCAATCATTGTGCAGAGCCCGACTCTGTTTTGTGCCGTTGAACAGACGTGATGAATTCTCATAGGCATATTCCGCAGGCAAGTTGAAATCCCATGTAGTCAGCTCATTATCAAGCTTTCGATAGGTCGCTTGCCATTCCTCGACATCGGAGAGAGATCCAATATCCACAGGGCGTTTAAGAAACACGTGGATACGGGAAAGAATTCCCAAAATCTCCATATATAGACCAAATGACCCCACATTCTCCGCGTGACTCAAATAGTCAGCACGTTCAACGGAGTAGTGAAATCGCCTGGTTTCCACTGGCTGATTCTTCACAAAAAATTCATCCTTACATGGAAGTTTTCGGTCAATGTCTTTGTCATCCAGCGCAAAGTTGAATGCAGTGGCTATAGTTGAATATCGATCCAACAGATATACCATCCAGAATAGACGCCGTCTACTCTCGTCCTCAATCCATGTGTCTGCCTCGGGTAATGTGACAGCTCTGAGGGTGTAGATTGAGGGATAGACAGGGGCAATGAGGGAAGATTTGGATTCAACAGCCAACCCAAGCTGAACGACTGATCTGGTAATCAGAGCCAATAGTTTCCAACCAGGTGGACCATTAGATGAGCCAACTAAGTCCAGTGCTAAGATAACCAGGGCCTGAAGAGCCTTAACAGAAGAGTTTTCCAGGCCATATAGAAGCACCTTCTGTTTTGAAGAGTCATGATACCGTTTTCGGTTTTGTTCAGTCAGTCGACTGTCAGTGGAGAAACGTAACGTGGTTACAACAATAGCATATAGAACCATGCGATCTGCTTCTTCCAATGGGGACGGACCGAAGAATGTGTCCAATGTGGAACGACGATGAAGAATAGGACACCACGAGTTAACGTGCTCGAAATATAAATCGACAAGAGCATAAAGTAGATCGTATGGCGGTAAATCGAGGTTTGGATCCGTCAGCGACTGCTCTTGATTTGCAAAAATGCTGACTGGAATGTTCAAGGAAGATTCATTCCCTGAAAAATCATTGTGTCCGTTCTGCACCTGTGACAGAGAGCTTATCACTGATGCGGTAGCTCCATTTGATAGAGCATGAGCAACAATGTTCTTGGCTGATGTATCTGATGGACTTGTGATCGAAACATCGGCATGGCGGGCAGGGAGGGCGACAGAAGAGTTTGGATCGTTGAAATAGAGAGCCGTGCGAGGACTGGGACCGTGAACCGCAGATGGTTCGGACGGGGAACTGTAGGATATCGATCCTCCATGATGAGGAATTTGAGGTCGGCTTTGCAAGATATGCATCTCGATAAGCCTTGCTTGTGCTTGTATGACCTCCTCCAGTCGGTCTATACAGCAAATTAGACTCGAACTCAATGACCAGGGCACAGTACACTCACCCAGTCGATGCTCTAGCTCTTTACCGTACCCGGCTCGCAGGCCGGGCTTTTTTCGCTCTTTGTACTCGCATAGTTGGCCATTGCGAACACACCAGCCACAGCTTGGCTGTATGCGATCTAAATGACAGGATGTAAATTAGCTTTTAAACTCGACTTCCCGGGTTGGATCATGCCATTGCATACCACACTTGACTTTTCTTTGCTTACAAAGCTCACAGCTTTGAAAACTCGTTAGTAAATAAGATCATCCTGGTTTATAATTTCATAGCCTGAACCAAAGGGCTTAGTGTGTCCCACTCAAATACATACGAGACGGTAAGAGGCCGCTTCCGTTTCAGAGCGCGCCCATTCCCAGAGCCATTGCCGACGGGATCGTTATCAGAGTCAGCGCCGGATGAGTATTCTAACGGACTCTGATCTCTATCTTGATCTTCAGAGCCCTGATTGGCAGGGGTGAAGTGCTGCGTGGAAGGTGCAGGGTTCGGCATTTTGCTATAGCGAAACTAGCGTCCTATCGGGACCATGATGCACTAAGGCTAGAGAGTCTAGATGTGACACCCAGCTTGGTATCCGCAGAGAGCTGGGCCGAGCTCAATCTCGCGGTGATTATCCAATAGATTATGGGAATTCCGAGGGAGAGAAGGGAAAAAAAAGGAAAGTGAAGATTTGGGGTTGTCGGGGCAGAAAACCGGGGCACCCCGCGTTTCTCCACTTTTCGGTTGTGACCACATGCTTTTTTGGTATGATTTATGTAATATGGCTGATAGATTGGGTAGATTTATCCTATATATTGATATCTGTCGTATTTAAGCATTTTAATGGGGTTGGTCTCTCTGGACAGAGTGCGCTTGGTCCTTCACCGATGGAGCCGAGTGCCATCAGCCCAGAGATTGTGCAGAAATGAGATACTTGACCCCGGGACTACGCTAACAATACAGATGAGATGCATAATCCATTGAACGTGATTGGAAACTTGAAGATCAAGTAGGGATCAAATTTCCAAATGACGCCATATCGGAGATTACAAGCTGTTTTATTCGCATATTCCCCTTATGCAAAGACCTGCAAGAGTCTCTGTTCAGTCACTGCAGTGTGTTCCTCTCGGGCTATCATTACCCCGACCCCAGATTTACAAAAATACAATATAGTGGTTAAAACATTGTAGCTCATAAGGGGAATTAAATCATAATATAGATTATGAATAAACATGTTTTCTATTACTGCATCATCAAGATGAACCTAGTATCGAGGTACCTAGTGTTCAAAGTGTTGCCCAGTAACATGCTTAACTACCTGGGAAGGAAGGTACTACTAGTACTGCCACAGTATGCCCAGGTGTGTACGGAGTACAACCCAGCCACTTCGGGCCTAGGCATGTACTATTCCCCAAATAGGCTCATATCTTGGTAACTTGAAATCCGGAGTCTGCTTCCATTCTCAATTCCAGTTACATTCAATCCAACAGCACAATTTCCAACTAAGCAAACACCAGTTGACCGCTATGATGTATTACATAATCCCGATTGGCCCACATCTGGCTTCATCAGAGTCCAGACGTGAAGGATATTGAATCAGATCAAGAATATTTGAATATTTTCAATGATGTCACGGTATGAAGAGAGTCTCGATTAGTATTAATAATCAAGTGCTTGCGAATGAGCCTGGCGTCTGCTTGTGAGAACAGTAGTCACTGGCACTAGTCATTAGAGTAATGCAATGCGATCCACCGGTATGTCCTGCTCTCAGTGATTTCGGATAGACATGTCTGATCTGCTTATATTATTCCACATGAAGAGGCTGCATGTTTAACATGTCGGCAAAAATCAAGACGATGTGATCGAGCCCGGCCGATGTGCAAGCGTTGTGTCAGCAAGGGACTGCAATGTGGCGGTTATCCCGATAAGTTTAGATTCTGTGGGATCGCTAGCCGAGGCAAATGGAAGAATCAAAACGCGCCCGTTGAGCAGCTCTTGTCATCAGCGGATAGTCAGATTCAAAACGCCTTGAGCACCTCGCCCACAGAGTCAAATACTTTGGGCAGCAATGTCCCCTCACAGACTCTCACTCCTAATGACAAGCCTGAGATTGAAAGAGTGTTGGAGTCGACAGAAACAGAAGTTCTCCTCTCACACTGTAATACTCCGATTTTGTCCTTCATATTTATGACCCTGTGGTTGACCGAATTCAGATGATCGCGTTATCTGCCCACATCAGATAGCTCAACAGGTCGAAAGTAAGAATCCGTATCGGCTTTATGTTCTATCACTGGCATATGAACAAATCGGACTATTGTACTCCGTCCTTGCACTGTCGGCCTGTCATTTGGGTCATTTGAAATTTTACAGAAATCTGTATGAAGATATCGCTGTGGACTACCGGCTCAAAGCTATCACCGAACTGGGTACTGCAATCAGAAAAGTGGGATCAGGAGACTTCAGTGCAAATGAGAGGGACGGCGTTTTTGCCACTATTCAAATTCTTCTTCTGCATGATGTTAGTACCTTAACCCTTCTCCAGGCCATCGCTGATTGTGGGTAGATTTGCGAGTCGGGAATCTCATCACAAGGGGCCCATATCTCTGGTGCTATGTCGATCTGCTCTCAGCTAATGCTAGATCAGCATTTGACTGTTTCCGACGAGCGAACGGTCTTCTTTCTGGGAAACTTGGCCTGGTAAGCCATCAATATGACTGTGCGGTGGGCATTCTCTTACCTGGACTCTGTTAGGTTGGATATTATTCGATCATTTTCTGCTTCTGGAAGGCTGTGCTTCCCCCAACCACTTCGCGAAAAACTCCTATCTTTATGTGACTTGCGCTTTGAGTCTGTGAATGGCTGTCCGCGCGAATTAGTCCTTATCATTGGAAACGTACTTGAGCAAGGCAAAGCCCATTCAACGGGTCTCATTGGTACTAATGAGTTCAAGGGGAGTTTACAAAACTCGATACAAAAGTTCTTTCTGTGGGACTCCTCTCGCTGTTTTTACCCAAACGAAGATCCTCTTTGGCTTTCTGTTGCTGAGGCGTATCGACATACTTGCATTTTACGCACACGCCGCCTACTAGATGAAATGGAACCTGCCACTAAACCTCATATACAGGAGTCAGTCAATGCTATTCTGGATTCTATCTCGAAGATCCCAGCAACCAGCCCTTTGATTGAACTTCTGGTACTCCCACTCTTCATGGCGGGTGCTGACTGTCTTTCTCTGCATTCGAGACATTATGTCCTATTAAGACTTGGAGATATTAAAGCCCGGTCGGAGTTTGGCGGTACAGCACCCCAAACAATCCTCGAAAAGGTATGGGAAGCACGGGCACAACAATCACTCCACGACAAAAGCAACATTCCGTGGATGCTCTTTGTAAGTCCGCATCGTATGCCTGGATTTGGTACTAAGGGGAATACTTGCAGCTAATCAAAGTTTACAGACACAGAATGCCGACTCAATGCATCAAGATGACTATCTGATCATCTGAATCACAAATTAGAGATTGCTACGACTTAATCTTCTGCTAGCTCAGCTTCAATGATCCCTAGATCATCACCCTCACGAATCCAGAACTTCAAAATGCGCAAGCCCGCCGACTCGAGCAGGTCGATCCAACGCTGACGAGTTCTTTCCATGCCTGAGAACCACACCATTACAGCCAGATCCGTTAGACAAGAAAGAGAACGCACATTCCGATCGGGGAAGATATATTCTTCCATGATGATTTTGGAGAATCCACGTTTCATGGCTGGTTTAAGGTAATTTAAAATGATTGTCGCTTTGTGGTCAGACCAATCGTGCAACACATGCTTGAAAAAGTATACGCGGGCACCTACACACCAGAATTTATAAGCATATCCTGTAGCAGATCTGCAAACTACTGAAGAAGTAATTATATGCAAACATACCTTGAACTGGCTGAACGTCAGTAAAGAAGTTGTATGGCACAGTCTCAATGCCAGCTTTCTCCAAATCCTGCACTCCACGAATTTCTTCAAGGACATGCGGAAGGTCCTCTAGAATGAATCTTCCGGGTATATCTGGGAACTTCTTTCTGAATGCAACCAAATCATGTCCTCGGCCAGCACCAATATCCACCAGAAATGGTGCATCTGGTTTCAGATCCGCATGATCCAAAAGCTGTTCTTGAACGGGAAACCAATCACCCCAGTCCGGTCGATTCCCCAAGTGTCCTTCCATGAAACTGTTGAATCGGGTCAAAGATTCCGGGTTTTGAGCAAGCCAGGTAAATCCGTCTATCATGATGCTATTAGTGTATTGTAGCGGCGTTAACACTGAGTCATCTGGGTTACGATAGCTGATCATTCGAAGATATTCTGGAGTTTTCTGTAATGGAGGAAGGCCTTCATTGAACCTATCTCACGGATCTCATTATTATACCTGTATAGAGTGAATTAAACAAGCCGAGAGATCGTAACTCACATCGAATCCACGATTCCAATTGCAGGCCTCAGCGTCATCTCTTTAGATAGTGCGGTGGGCAAGTATTCACCTGGGCTTGGCTCTTCAGCAAATCCACTGGCTATCAAAACCCGCAAGATACGCTCTGAGATATTTCAATATCAGTGATGATCCCATTCCAAAATTTCGTCAGCCAAACTTACCAATAAGAACAGGATCTGCTGCCTTTGGGGCTGCCAATTTGGCTAGTGGGACTGGTGAGTCTGCGACTCCCAGGACAGAGAAGATGTCCATATGATGAGCCGCCATTACAGCCATGAAAGTCACGGGCTTGAAATAAACTCATTAGCATTATGGGGCTTATATTTATCATGAAGAAATACGATTCGACTAACAGAGAAGGCTAACTTGAGGATAGCAAGTCGAGGTATTTCCAGAGCACGCGCCAGCTGTGTAGCCTTCTCCTGCGCTTCAACTCTGGAGCCATCACCATTTGTCGATTCAAACTCATCAATCAAAGCCGACGTCTCTGCAAGAAGGCTCTTAATATGTTTGATATCCATTTCGCTATCTCAGTCTCAAAATTGAGAAGATTTATATTTCAAATTGGTCTCCGGGGTTGAAAGGGTTTAAGGAACTTGAAATACAGCGCATTCTATACTACTACACGACTCGGAGGTTTGGAGTCCGCAGTTCGCCCAATTGTGGCACCACATGTGCAAGATCTTGGGCTACCTAGGTACTTCTGCCCCCAGGTGTGTATCCCAACTTATTCTTTCTATTGGAGTAAAATGGTCACTCGAGCCAGCATGCATGAATTACCCCCGCACATAATTCCGGTGATAGATGGCGGTTCTTATTAGTTCGATTTTCTGATAAGTTTGCACATGCCAAGAAGAAACTCGCGTCTTTTATAGAAATTTGAACGTATCAAAGAACTGTAATACTTGTAGTCAATGGCCAAGTATTCTAATCTTCAAACTGAACACAGGGATATCCTGCTCAAGATTAAAGAGTAGGCCAGAACTGCCGTTTGAACTGTACGTTCAAGGCGGATACATTATCCGACTTGTATCTTCCAGATTGATATCACAAGATCAGTTATTAGGATGAACATTTGAATGATCCTATCGTGGGGTGTGGAACTGGATCTCGCGTATGGGGCTTGTGCATCGTAGTACTGCTTACAGACCGGGGTAGTCGGGGTAGTCATTTGTTAGCATCAACTTTTTGATTTTTAGTGCATCATGAAAATAAATTAAGTACATTCATAGCTTTACCTATTCATTTTGCCGTGATTCAATCATAGGCCAAGGAAGATACACCACGTTGTAACAAAGTGGAGTTCTCATGATCAATTTGTGGAACTTGCGGTCAAATTGTAGAGGTTCAGGCATCAATGTAAACCTTCAGGATCTTCATTAAATGATCTGATCTATCAAATATCAGAGATTACTCGGTAGATGCCAGGGCATCTTGGCATAGGCTTGCCGGTTTCTTGCGAATATAAGTTTGCCGAACAAGATCACCCTCATGCTTGCAGATCTCCCATTCTCCAATGCCGTATTTCTCTGGCGCTCGCTTTACACCACGTCCTCCACCTCCAATGATTAGATTTCCAGGTCGGTATCTCGGATCAATTTCCATGCGATGAATAGCAGAAACATGAATCTGGGCATCATCGGGGATATCGCGTGTCTCTCCACAAGGCAAAGGCCAACGTATTGGTCTCCAAGACCCATCTGACTGAAGATCCATTCTTCGAATGGGAAGATATTCCATCAGTCGCCACGATAGCGTTGATAAGAAAGAAACGCCTCCACCATATGTGAGACAATCGTGAACAATTCCCTGATCCATGGTTTTGGCCAAGGTTGTGTTAAAGGCATCGTTCTCAACAAGTCGATCACTATTGCTGCTTGCTTTAATGCCATTTGGACCTGTGGCATCTTTGATTTCAATGGATCCATCTCCTGATACTTCGTAGCAGTTGAAGCGCTTGAGTTTCTCTTTGTCGAATTCAAGTCCTACCAGTTGTGCTTCTTTCACCATCCAAGCTAAGGGAATATGACTGAGTGGCCATTTGTCCTCTGGGTTTAGTTTCCAGCCACCACCAACATCACCATGCTGTCCTGGAAACCAGACTTCGGAAATGTCTTGCTCATCATCCTCCTCCTCTTCTGTCCCGGGAATAACCAAGTTTGGAACCTGAAGCGAGGCTCTAGAGACACCACTCTTAAGTGATATTCCATCAGGCAGAAGGTTTCTGTGTTCTGGTACCTCAGTACTGGTTTTTCGTCTCGGAGGTGGTGAAACAGCCCTGTAACGCTGTTCGTGAACAGATTCCTGCCGTGACTGACGTCGCTGATGTCTGTCCACTCCATTGGTATTCTCCGGTGTGTTCAGAATAATCTCCGGTACACTCGATTTCGCATGGTCAAGCAGATGCTTTAATCTGTGTTTATGACCTGGTAAATGAGAGGCCTCCGAAATTAAATCCTGTCTAAATTTCGCACGACGCTCATCAATGGAGACAGCATGTCGAATAACCCGAGCCGTACTATGAGCTGTGTACGGAAATCTGTTCCTCTCCATCCAAGCATTCTCAAACATCGCAACACTATTCACAGTATCGAAGAGTCCCAGAAATTTAATCCGACCAACCGGTCGACTAAACGTCTCTCGAAAAGCCTTCATGAAATTGAAAAGGCGATGTTTCTCCTCGTTATCGTGTTCCGAGGAATCCTTCCGCTGCTGCCACTTTGCGAAGGTCTTCCACGCAAACCGAATCAACTCTTCATTACCTGGTTGGAGGAGACCCACAAAGTCGAGCATCTCTGCTAAAAATCGAGCGGTATATGAGCCACGACTGAAGCCGAAGAAATAGATGTTATCGCCGGGGACATAGTATCGCATTAAGAATTTGTAGCCTCCCAAGACGTGCTCATCGAACGAGGAACCCAATGCAGCATCCATAGCTTTCTTGTATGAGGACTTGATACGCTCGAGACGTCCTCTGCTAGTAAGATTATGGGATGTCACGTAGGTTCCGATTCCCGGTTGATAGTAATGGTACTGGTGGCTTTGACTCCGGTCGAGCATCTATACAAGTGTACTATTAGTTTAGTTCATTCTGCAAAATAAACAAGCCCAAGTAAATAAAAAAATGGGAATAAGAAATTCAAAATATAAGCATACACGATAAATCTTCAAGAGATTCGTATCCGATCCATCACCAGCAAACTTATTCCCCGTACCATCAAAACACAACACAAACTGTTTCGCGGGCGGATGAGGCCCAAAAGCCTCATGTATCTTATAATGATGATCCATCCTGAATTCCAGGATTGCCAGTGCATCCCAATCGAAGATAAGATCTAATGAGATCCATGGTTCATATTAAATAGGATCGATAAACACACATGTGAAGGGGCCAGCTGAGAAGACCAAGTACAAGGGGTAAGCCGGCAGCCATGGACGCGCCTTGTGATCAAATCAACGACGAATATGAGCACACGGTTTAGTATCCGTCAGAATCCTTGGCCTGCAGATCGCTCAGCCAAGAGGATCGGAGCTGTCGATTTTCCGTCTAGGAGCTTGTTTTGCATCTCCTGGTTGGATTAGGGGTTGGTGGGTCCTGCGGCATTGACACGCTTTGCCTTTTAGTGAAGTCCCGGGAGTCAATCGGAGATTCAAGTTCTATGAAGAACTGTCCGGAGTACAGTTCATGAACATGTCCGTTGAGTAGCGGTTTTAATTTGTCTGATTTGAGTTATTGCAAAAACGTTAAATTCTTCTGTGGTTGGGTGTCTATCTCAAGGTTCCTTGCGTCTACTCGACTGTCTCATTTCCTTCTACTAGTACTCATCCTTGTATTAATTCATCAGCTATATACCTGCTGCCAAGTCACAAGCTTAGGTCAGAGGCCTCCAACACATATTTAATTTTATTATTTTTTTGGCAGTTTGCATTTTGGTGCAGTTCAACTTCAACTTCATTTCGGGGGTATCCTATTCATTTTAACACATAAGCTTCGTGCCATAACATAAAATGTCCAAAGGTATCATCTGCCTGGAATAGTAGCAGAACCAGATAATAATACATCCAAGGCTCTCCTAGCCCAACTCAAGTTCCTCCGCCCCCAAGCCTCTGCTTAGTTAGATCTCACCGCTCCTGGAGTAAGATGCATAATTTCAGCAACTTCCTCATCAATGAGAGGACCTTGATATTCCTTTCGAGCGCGAATAAGGTACCAAATTCCACTCAGAATCAGTACACCAGCAGTAACAACAATACTGTAGTTCATGGTGCTATAGTTGACAGGAGTCTGCGGAGGCCACACGCTCCAAAAAATAACGAAAAGCATATATATACAAGCATACGCATTGTTCATAGTTCCGAAGATTCCGGGAACTTTCCAAGGACCCCAAATCAGGGGCGCTTGAGCAATTTCGTATTCCATGGGGCGCCGGGCATCGGTAGATTGGTTGCGTTCGGGGCTAGAAGATGGACCTGGACTGGGGAGATCCTCTTCACCGGGCTCTTTAGGTTGCACAAGGGCTGCTGGTTTTTCCTTCATACTAGCAGGAACGCTAGTGGCTGCATCAGGGAGACTTCCATCGAGCATGGTGCCATGGGGGAGAACGTTTCCTTTGAGACGGTGGTATAAAAGAAATGCGCTTGGGAGAATATAAGTGCTGTAGAATCCAGTTACCGTTAAGGAGATGACGTCGTTGAAGGCAGTGGTGGATCCAATGTAGATAATGGATAGGGCACAGGCAAATCCGCAGACTACGGAGACAGATACGATGGGCACTTGGCTGTTCTTGTTCACACCTTTCAAGAACCGGGAAAAGGGGAGACCCTGGTCACGCGCAAAAGACCAGGTCATACGAGATGCGGTGGCAGTAATACCGATGGAGCACGCCATCGTTAATACCATGATGACTGCGGTCATGACTGACGCCCCGGCGTAGGAGTGGGTGCTGTCATAGAAGACCTGAATAAATGGGAACCCTGTGGCTGAGTTCAGTACCGATTCAACGTCACTGATGCAAAACAAAATCGTCAACATCATTGAGAATCCAAGAAGACTGTTTAAGCCCATGGCAGTGATAATAGCCTGAGGGATCACGACTGCCGCGTTGGCGACTTCTTCAGCCATGTGAACACTCGCGTCAGCTCCGACGAAGGTTGCGATATTTCCAATAAATCCCACGCAATATGAAAGGCCCTGGCTAGGCCATCCGCCTTCATTTAATGAGGTTTGAAAGACAAAGCGTGCTGATCGCTTAGGTGACATTGCCAAGAGCGTGGCTGTAATAGCAATGAAGCCGACCAAATGCAGGACAAGAATGACGATCTCAAATCGCGGGAGAGCATTTGGAACCACAACATTCATGAAGAAAGTACCGGCTACACTGGCCCAGGCCAAAAGAGTGTTTTGCCATCGCTTTTGAGCGAATTCGGGATTGTTCAAGGTGATTAATCCTTCAATCATAGTTCCCAGAAAAATGGTTTCCGTGGCGATTGTCGCAATCCAAGCTAGGCAAGTGAGCCATCCGATAAGGTAGGAGCACACTTTTTTCCAGCGCATCGGAGCCAACATGTAAACCCAGTAGTATTGTCCACCGGCAATGGGTGCCATAGAAGCCAGTTCGGCAATGACAGTATAGGTAGATAAGGTTGACAGACAGGCGATTATGTAGCCATAAAAAGCTCCAGCCGGACCACCATTCTCGAGTGATTCATAGAATAGAGTAAGAACGGTTTCCCAAGTGATCAGCTCGGCCATGGCAAAGCCGACGATCGAAAAGAAGCCGAATCGGCGTCTAAGCACCTGTTTCTTTCCCAACCGAGCCAAGGCTTGATCATCGGTCGGCTCGGAGCGAACATCATTCTTCATTTTGAAAAAGAGATTTTTGTCTTTTTTTGCTTTTCGTTTTTTACCTCGGCATCACCCAACGGAATGTACACCAGATTGTATGCACTTCCAAGTGGGGGGGAGCTAGGAGGTGGAGAGGGAAGAGAGATCGCTTATGCACGACGACACATGATAGGTCTTCCCAGATTGGATTTAGATTAGAATTGCGTGAGATCACACGAATTATCACACGAGAAAAAAGAAGAGCAGACCGGGGGGTTTTAAGTGACAGCAGCAGTTGCCGAGGTCTACATCCTCTCACTAAGACGCTTTAGTATCTTGTGCTCCACTCTTGGACCTTTCGCTTCATCGCCAATTCGGTTTAGTGGCAGCCACGGAACATCCACAATCCCACACATTAACTGAAATGCGGAGGCGGATCACACAACGGTTTTGGGGAAAGAGGAAGAATGATTTGCATCAAATCGTGAACCTATAGGGGCAGTTAAATCCTGACAGAAGGGTGGAAAATCACGACTTCCTGGGCTCCAGAGATAAACATTTGAAGAGTTGAGAGATTGAGGGATCATAAAACCGGGAACCGTATTCCCAGTTGGGTAAGGTATATGAACTCTTTGTCTTGGCTCTAGACGGTATCGGCAGTCTCCGATCCAGGGAGAATCGCGATTTAAATGTCTACAATGGGGTATTGAGTCCATAGCGACAATCATTTTTTCAATTGTGTCCTTATCAAGGGACTCTGAAGGACTCTTACTCTGGGAAGGGGAACATTTGAACATTCTTGTATATCAACCCCCACGTGAGGTTCCTGTAGATAAAAGGCATAAACAATTGATATTTCATCCCATCTACCTTCTACTACAGTGCCTTAATTTCTACAAATGACACAATTGATGCTGATTCTGATGCGAACACTGTGACAATCTGGGAATACACAGTCGTCGAATTCCATACAGTTAGGTCTACTTGTCGGAAGCTACACTACATAGGATGGGGAGAGGTTCAGAATATTTCTCAAGTTCTCCTAGAGAGAGAGATGGTGAAATGGGGGAAAGAGAAAAAAAATCGAGTGAGCACCTGGCAAGGATCGATGCCAGGACCTCTAGATTTCGCCATGCTTGTACCAGTACCAAGTGAAGCCTCAAGGTGACCCCAATTTACACCTGTAAGAGAGAGAATACTACATACTAACCTTGGAATCAAGGTCAGGGTTTAAGGCACCTGGCAATCTCATAGCTGTCCATGGATGTGGAAATCAGGTATCAACCTTGGAACCTTGGAAGAACTTCAGCTTCAGGTGAGAAACTTGAAGCGCCCCACCACAAAATGATAAACTAAATCTATACTGCATCTACTCCGTACGCGAGGGCCTTTCATATCGGATATATACTCCGGCGCCTTGTGGAGAAAAAAAAACAATCTTCAAGTTAAAATCGGAGGTGATCTACAGCCTGAGAGACCCAGGAGGCGCTATGCCGGAAATAGCACGCTCTCCAGATATCTGAAGCACTAACATTTGAACTTGAACTTGAAGGTGCTTTAAATTAATTTATCCCAATACCCCAACATTTGAATATGTACTAGCACGCATGCATCAAGACAAATTCATAAAAGCAAAGACATGAACACATGATCGAGAGGTAAGGCGACCAGGCTACCTCCAACTTGAAAGTGGACAACAACATTGAATTTTCCTGGGCAGGTCCGAGGTTTTTTCCAAGATTTCACCCTAATGTCGCCCGGGTTTCTCGTATCTGGGCACAGCCCTCCTCATTTTCTGATGTCACGTCCATTAAGAATGATACAAAAATTTGCGGGGTTGAAGCATTGTTGATTCGTATGTTGAGTATAAGCCAATCGGCGATCAGCGGTGCTCCGTCCCGTTGGCGATGCCACAATAAGACACGCAACACGCTAAGCAACATGAGATCTAGCACGCGAAAGGTAATTTGTGGTATTTTAATCTATCACCTCAGCCGTACATGGTTTTTTATCAATATAACATTTGAATACAAGATTGATCGATATCAGTAGCTCTGGTATTATCTTAACTTTGACTCATTGAGCCTCAGCCTGAGTCCTCCTGGTTCAGACAAAATAAGCCTCTGTGCAGATTAAATAATAGATTTCTTTCTTCGGACTGAATAAAACTTTCAGACTAAAAAAAGGGACAATGATCGACCAGGCACCAGTTTCAAATATCGTGGTGGCTTTTTCCAGACATCATGATGGATCAGTTCAAGTTGTTCTACCTGATATAGATAGATCGTTAAGGGTCAGACTAGACTGAGACAATTTGATTCACCTCCCTTAAAGGTGCTTTGTCACTAATCGATTTTATTCTTTGATTCCCTTGAATCCTCCTTTGGCTAATCAGTTGGCTTTGTGATCTTTGTTCATTGTCCCTCAACTAAAAATAGTTGTCTCGATATGATGTTGTTCTTGAAAGATATTAATAACTTCAATGTGGCAACTACTAGGAGTATTTGAATATAAATGAGCCTCAATTCCCGGATGATTCCCTGTATTCAGCTCCTTCTTCAGTCCTGGTAACTAACTTTCATGCAGAACATCTTTTCCTCAGAATGACGATGCAGCCTGAGTTCAATTTTCAGCTTGAGCGCTCCAGCTCGCTATCCATCTCGTCTGACTCTGACTCCGAAGCATCCGAGTTCGATTTTACATATCGCTACGGTAGGGAAGAGGCATATGGTGCTAACTGGCAACGATGGCAAACCGATGTACAAGACAAGTCATGTCCTGTCCAGAAAGCGCGAATCACCATCCGGATGCTGCGGCTGTATTTCGATGGATGGGCCACAGTTACCAAGCCTGAGCTGGTCCCACCACCGCCGCAAATTCAGGCAGTAGTTCGTGCGTACAACCTCTCTGATGACAGGAACTACAAGCAGGTTGTTATCCAGCAGAGCCATGGCACATTTTGGATCAATGACTATTACCTACTGACTGGTCCTGGAGTGGTTTTCTCTTTGAACTGCCATCGTGAGGACGGACCACATTGGTCTGAGATTGTTTCAGCCGCATATCGTCACTATCAAACTACAGGTGTGGATCTGAGGTACGTATTTCGTGTCAACGTTGTTAATCCTACAACCCTTCTTCTTATCAGTCGATTATACCGAGCCAATGGTCTTGCCTGGCCACACTCTAAACGAGTGCGCTGGAAGTATGACACTCCCGAGTACCAGGCAATCTTATCAACCCCCAATGGTCGAGGGGTCGCAGCTCTCGCTATCGGGGGCTTTAAACGAGGTACCAGGTACATTTCTGAGATCATCACCTGGACTAGTTCAAGTTCTGGACATGAGTTCCATATGCTTTTTGTCATTTCCAAGTGGCGGTCTTGACTCTCACGTTCTTTCGTCTGATATAGCTTTCATCTGATGTTGTTATCTAGTTTATGTAGTCTGATAGACAAAGAATTCCCCCAGGCCCACAATTATCTTAGTATTTCTTGGTATTTCTTGGTACTTCTTGGTATTGCTTTGTCTTGCTTGTTTTTGCTTGAGTAGCTTGAGTAAACAAGCTCTAAGTTGTGTTTCTTCTAGAATAGTAGAAAGTTGTTCTTTCAGGGGCAGTGGAGCCCCTGGAGATCGAATAACTCGATGCATCTGCAGACAATCGTTTGAATGAGAAATTCTTCAGCTGCACCCTAGTCAGATCTAATCAGAGCAATTATTCTCGGAGTTTTTCTTACGTTGTATTCTAGATTCATCGGCCTTAGTTACCAATATCTGACTTGCCTCCTCCTGGTCGTGGTTGTGAAATTATGCGGGCGCCTTATTGACGCTATTGGTCAGCGATAAGCACTCCACGTAATTTACCAACTTCATGCATGATCAAAAACAAGTCTCGTTTCAACATATACACAAATGATATGCTTGAGATTGGCTTATCAACACGCCATCTGAGCCGTCCTCGTCGTGCTATGGTCGCCTTTACAAAGGTATCAATTCGCCCCCATCCCCCCCTTATCTCGATGGTGCCCAGGTGGTGGAATGCGATACAACCTCATCTCCAAACTCGTCTTAGGCTTATCGCCACAATTTGCATTTGTACATTTACAAAGAACCATTTCAAGTTTGGGTTCCACTGGTGCCTAGTTCTATTACAAGTCAAGATCTTTTTGTACGACCGTTTGTACTCCTTACTTCTGGGTAGATGCGCTCAAGCCACACCGCAAATTCGAGACCTTATTGCGTTATAATGGCAAGCCAATGACACCACCCGTATAGCTAAGCGATGAAGCTGGGATATCACTACCATCCCGTAAGATTTTGAGCTAAATTGCCCGGTTATAGTCGGAACCACAAGGGTGTTGCGATAAGCACTAGGTAGAGACGGAGTTCATCCCTAATTGGCCACATATGTGCCCCAGACCTGCACGTCTCTCGCCAGAAAACGCTTATCTTTCATTCCTGATGGTCTGACCGCATTCCTTGGGCTCGCGTGGTCTGGGAGGGAACATTTCGAGAACTTAGCTCCGAAACATGGGGCGGGCCGTCAGACCTCGTGGTCGATCCTATATAAGTCGAAATACCCCCGAGATGCAGGGAAGGTTCCCCTTTTTTCATACCGGATCGTTTCAGTTTACTTTACTCCGGTCTTCAAAATGACTGCGTCTGATGAAGACGTCGAGAAGAAGGTGCCTTCGGCTGTTGAGCCTGCATCTGATGGGTCGGCTCCGGCATATGGAGACACCGCACACCATTCTACAGGCGATGTCGAGGAAGGCCAACATAAGTTGAAGCGAAATCTTAAAGGCCGCCACATGCAGATGATTGCTATTGGTATGGATCTGTGTCTGAGATGAAACCCGTGTCGTGTAGCTGATTCATTTCTTCAATTAGGTGGTGCTATTGGTGCTGGTCTGTGGGTCAGTACAGGAAGTGCATTGCGATCGGGAGGTCCTGGTGCTCTGGTGAGTGAACTAAATTGAGTCGTACTTTGTATGAAAACTAACAATGCGCTTTTCAAGCTTGTCTGTTATCTTATCATGGGTGGCATGATGTTGTTGACTGTCCAAGCTCTTGGAGAGATGGCTGTCGTCTACCCTGAAAATGGTGCTTTCTTCTCTTACTGTGTCCGCTTTATCAGTCCTGCTTGGTAAGTATCTCGCGTCAATCTCAAGCAATCTTACTTGCTTATTTGCTAATGAATCGTGGATTTTAGGGGTTTCGCTGTCGGTTGGGACTATGCACTCAACTGGCTCGTCATTCTTCCCTTCGAGCTGACGGCTGCCAGTCTTACCCTTAATTTTTGGCCAGCTGCCGAGAAAATAAATGTCGGTGTATGGATAACAATCTTTCTTGTTGTTCTTACAGCTATCCAAGTTTTTGGTGTTCGAGGCTACGGTGAAGGTATCGATCAACCCTTGCAATCGTTCTTATTCAAGCCAGTTACTAATGCATGCTTTTTCCTACAGTCGAGTTTGTTCTTGGTGTAATCAAAGTCGTCGCCGTCATTGGCTTCATCATTCTCGGTATTGTCATTGACTGCGGTGGTGCGCCAAAGGGCGGATACCTTGGAGCTCACTACTGGTATGATCCGGGTGCTTTCACAACCTTTTATGGATTCTGCAATGTCTTTACAGCCGCCGCTTTTGCTTTCGGTGGTACTGAAATGGCTGGTCTTGCTGCTGCTGAGGCCGCGAACCCTGCAAAGTCTCTTCCAAAGGCGTGCAAGCAAGTCTTCTGGCGTATCCTTATCTTCTACGTCCTGGGAACCTTCGTCGTCGGTCTTATTGTACCGTACAACGCGTCCTTCCTCCTTGGTGCCTCTGACTCTAGTACTAAGGACTCTCCCTTCGTCAAGTCTATTGAACAGGCCGGTATTGCCGGTCTTCCTTCCGTTATGAATGCTGTTATCACCGTCTCCGTTATCAGTGTCGCCAACTCCGCTACCTATGGATCCAGTCGCACAATTCAAGCCCTCGCCGCCCGCAAGATGGCACCTAAGTGGATGGCCTACATTGATAAGAAGGGTCGCCCAGTCTGGTCTATTGTCCTCCAGCTCCTCTTTGGTCTCCTTGCCTACCTCAACGAGGCAGCAGCTGGTGACACCATCTTCGACTGGCTTCTGGCTCTTTCCGCTGTCTCTGACTTTTTCATCTGGGGAAGTATCTGCTTTGCTCACATCCAGTTCCGCAAGGCTTGGCGTCACAATGGCCACAGCGTCAAGGATCTTGTTTACGCTGCTCCGTTTGGTGAGATTGGCAGCTGGGTAGGTGTTGCACTTAACATCCTCTGTCTTATTGCCGAGTTCTATGTGGCCGTCTATCCAAAGAGCGCGAACGCTTTCTTTCAGGCCTACCTCGCTGTTCCTATTATCATCGCTTTCTTTATCTTTTGGGTTGTTTACACCAAGTTTAACAAGGACCCTACGCTTGAGCGTGGTGCTTGGTTCATCAAGGTCAAGGATATGGATATTTACAGTGGGATGCGCGATGGTGTCCTCGATGTGGATCTTCCACCTAAGGTCGAGTACCCCACCTGGGGTGCTTATTTCAAGGCGGCTCCTATGAGAATCTTCCGCTCTATCATCTAATTGTGAATGAATGGGTATATGAGATAGTGGTGTTTTATAATTATGTGGGGAAGACAATTGTACAATTTCAATTACAAGACTCATGGTGACCATTGGCTATATAGTCATATCTAAGCATCTTGAATGCCAACATTTTCTAATGTTTGTATGTAGTTCAAATTTTCAACGTTATAGTAGTTTTAAATATCACATGGATGGCACCTGATCATTGTTTGCCTCATAAAGACAATTATCGCCATCTTCAAGTTCAATGTTTTGATTTTCCTCATCCTCTTCCTCTTCCTCTTCCTCTTTCCCAATATCCCACAAGCGCTACATATCACACAAGTATCCCCACCTTCCACTGGCATCTACCTTCAGTATGATATCGTCAACTGAAGATAACTCCAGGGGATCTGAATATTATCATTTCGATGAGAGTAACTTGACAAACCAACCATGCGACCTTCCAGATCCAGAAACCCTTGAGCTCCCACGTTTTGGTAACACGCTGTGCGGACCAGAAGACTTTGATGATTGGCTGAAAGAGCTAACGACGAACCTGAAAGAGTTGGATCTTCTCGGACTTATCGATCCAACTACCCCTCCGCCTCGTTTAAACAGCGAAGCTGGAAGACGATGGTTCTTGCTGTCGACAAAAATGACCAAGTGGCTATTACACACTACAATAGCCTCTGAGCTTCTCAACCGCTTGAACATCATGGAAAACAATATCGTTTTGCTTGACAGGCTCTTGGCGAGGGTAAAAAACGTCTTACAGATACACGGTTCTGCCTTGGATGCACTCAGACTCAAGAAATTTCACGAAAATACCGATCAAGTGGCTTTTGGTGACACAAAACGGTATGTTGAATCTTATTGGCATGAGTTCAACATTCTCAGGGATAACAACATGATGCCATCGCCATACACCAGCCTACTCGACATCTTGCAGGGGGTTCAGAAGTTAGATTGGTTCGTCAGTGCAAGCATGTACACCATGTTAGACCTGGACCTCCAGGTGTTCCAGAAGACCAACCCTACGGGAACATTTGCAGAACTGGTGGACTATGACATGTTTCAAAAATATGTCGTTATGATTCTCGAGCTACTCGTTGAGAAGGATGCCCATATCTTCAGAGGGGAGAAGTGATGCCGAGCATAGCCCGGGCCGTTCTAGCCAACAAGCCTATGATTGAATCTCGTTTCAATTCCACAAAAATGCAGTGCTAGCTTCCATTTTATCTACTTTCCATGCTCAATCAACTATTCTTTTGGAAAAATGTCCAAAATCAATAAACTCACTGAATTATTGAATTTATCATAGTCTTCATCATACACTGATATGCTTAATGTGCGCTATCTTGGAGGACTTTATGGCTGCCAGTGCGTGTAAACCTAAGTATCCCCTGCTCCGACCAGAGACTTTTGAGCTAGCATCTGGACACACTTATTTGAATCTAGAATATTATGCCATAAAAGGTGTACCAGTTTCCAAGGTTCCTTCACTACCCAAATTCGATCCTTGCTTAGTTTTTGCGCTTTTTATCAACTCTATCTCCCTTCTATCTCCCTTGCCCAAAAGTTGTCATAGAACACTCTCGCTGACAGAATTCTCAACGAAATGCCGCCATCATTTCTGGAACTTCCTGGTGAGATCCGGAACATGATATACTCCTATCTCTTTGTATCTCCGACCCCTATTGAACTCTGTCCCCACAGGCTGAGGAACGAGGAGTCCCAACACTTTCGTTTTGAGGCTCTGAATCTTCTTCGAACAAACTCCCTAGTTTGCCAAGAAGCAACTTCAATTCTTTATGGCTTCAACTGCTTCAAATTCCCTCGATCAGAATGGTCTCTGATTGAAAACTTCTTCACATCTATCAGGTTCAGCAATATATTCTTCATTCGACGTCTCATTTTCGAATCTCTCCCTTTTTTCGCCCCAGCCATATCAATACGGCATGGCGCCGATATCTTGGAGTATCTTGTCAAGATGCGCTGCGTCAATCTCAGAGCTTTGAAGATCCAGCTGTTCTGGGACAACTTGGAGCCCTCGGAGGCTGACAAAGATAAGTGCGATGCAACCTTTGACATTTGTGATGCCTACCTAGAACAATTTCAGGAACTTCGGGAATTCAGTGTTGATGTAAGGTATTTCCACGAAGATCAAGCTCCATGGCTGCTTTCTCGAGTAAGAGAATGCATTGTGAACCGCGGGTGGTCGCTAACAGAAGGACCTTTTCTTTGAGACTTCTAACCTTCTGCGTTTGATGACAATCAAAATGACCAGATAAAATCGATGGCTATTGATACGCCAGCTACAGTGACTCTGAAAAGACCAGCATCCTGAAATTTCAGAAGGGATTCAGCTATGGTTTGAAGTTTTCCATGTCTGAGACGATTATCAAACACGTCTTGCTATTTGGCAAACCTTCACACCAATTTTTCGCCATTCGACTACATTTCACGGCTATCTACTTTCTTTATCAACACAAACCAAATGCCATCATTTTTCTTGCCGAAGGCTCCTCAAATGGGTTTTTATGCTTCAGATTATTTTGATTTTCCACTTCAATATGTCGGTAAATGCAAGGGATAGGCTAAAGAGACATATAGCGAGTAGAATACAGCAAATCCGAGTCTCCTTTGAATTCCGGTGTTAAAGAGACCATATGAGTCATGTACACGGAATCCCTTAAAGACGAATGAGACAAAAACCATCATGGCGATCATGTGTGGAAAGCTTATCCAATCAAGATCGGGATCTAGTTTCCGATTCCCCGAGTGTGGGGGTGATAATGCCACTGCAGGGAAATACAAAAAGACCATGAAGGCCCACAAAGCTACCGTGGATTCACTTCTAATACAAACTCCTACAGACTCAGATTAACAATAAGATCCTCCATCATGATTGCCGGTATTGCCCACGTCAACCTCACCGTCCACCCTGGCACGCTGGATGATGCCCAGGAATTCTACAGCACAACACTCGGATTAACTCCGAGTCCTGTTCCAGAGCTTCAGAAAGGAACAATCTTATGGTACGTGATGCAAGGGCAACGCCTGCTTTGTGGCTAGATTTTGGTATGAGTTCTAAAAAGGCTTCTGGCTACAGGTTCGATATTGGCTCCAGCGGACAGCAAATTCATATCAACGAAGGTTCAACGGATCCCAAGCATAGCCGACACCCCTGCTTTAAGCTCGATACCCGTGACGAACTTGAGACACTTAAAAAGGCTATTCACGATCACCATGTCAGAGGGGGTCCATCAGCACCGATGGCTGCCGATAAACCAGGAGAAATGGACTCTGGTTAGTTTATCCAGATTTACATACGGCAGATTTACATACGGCTTGTGAATCCTCAATCATGTTTACTAATCTCATGATATCTGTAGGCACTCAAGGCAAGGAATACCCCAAGCGATTCTTCGCTCGGGATTACGCCGGAAATCTTCTCGAGTTCACTCTATAACTTTGTGACGTCTGTTTTGTCTGTTGCATGAATATCTTTGCTTTATTAGCCTAGCTTGAATTCTATTGGCCTATATTCTGTTTCTTCTCATCAATCTCCCTAAATGACTCAAATTCTGGAATGTGGGGTATGCGGGGGTACTAGGACGCAATCGCCTCCGGCTAACATTAGCCCTCCGCGTAGGATTGATCTTAATTTTTAGAATTACAGACAGCGATAAAGCCTTCATTATTAAGATAATTTATTTAGACAAGGCTCTACGAATCAGATTCGAATAAGCCAACCTAGATTGATCGCCACTGCGCGACAAGTATCCCCCACTTTTCAGTGCATGAAGACTCCCGCAGGAAGCCAACAGAGGCCAAATCCAAATTGCAGAAAGAGTACCTTGGAGATTATCTCTGTATTAAATAGCCAAAATCTTCCAAGAATATTGTTTTTTAATTTATCTCTTCTATCTTCTCCAGGATATTATTTTTTTAATCGTTTTATTAGGCGTCCAGGTCATTTCACAAATGAATTCACAGTGGTCAGCCTCGGTCCAACATGACGACTCCACCTTTTCCCCTCTTCATGACTTCATTCGCTTCGTCAACCCTTTGATGCTAAATTATAATTTTCACTGGTCCACCGAGGCATTCATACGGAAACATCCGCCCGGACGATTCGGATTCATATGCGAATACCAATCAGCAATTCAAGCCCCGTCAGCTATACGACATGGCCCCTTTCTCCTCTTTCCCCACGTTGAGGGTTCAAATACTCCACTCTTCCCACGCTTCTTACTCTTTTCAATCTTGAAGATTCAGGTCAAATTTATTATACCATATCTCAATATTTAAATTCTATTCACCAACACTCGCCATAATGACCATCCCTGAAATCCCAACGAAACAGAAGGCAGCTATCTTTGACCAACCAGGCACTATCTCAACCAAGATTGTAGAGATCGATGTCCCCGAGCCTGGTGCCGGTGAAGTTCTTATCAATCTGTTTGTGCATTTCTTCCTATGGTGATGAAAATTCAACTGATTAAGAGACAGAACTCATTCTGGCGTGTGCCACTCCGACCTTGGAATAATGAAAAACACAGTATGCTTCACAATTGTCTCCCGGTACAATTTCGCTCGATTTTTAACATATTCAGTGGTCGACACTACCTTATCCTACACAGCCAGGTCAAGTTGGAGGCCACGAGGGTGTGGGTAAGATCGTCAAGCTTGGCAGCGGCACAGAGGGAAGCGGCTTGCAAATTGGAGATCGAGTGGGCATCAAATGGGTGTCGAGCGCATGTGGAAACTGCCGTGAGTACCATCAGTGACAAAAAAGAAACCCACCTAATTTCATATTGCTTTAGTACCTTGTCAAGCAGGATCAGACGGACTATGCTTCAAGCAGAAAGTCTCCGGATACTACACACCCGGTACATTCCAACAATACGCCTTGGGCCCAGCCAACTACGTGACCAAGATTCCGGATGGACTAGACTCAGCAGAAGCAGCACCAATGCTCTGCGCGGGTGTGACCGTCTACTCAGCCCTGAAACGCAGTAACGCGAAACCCGGCCAATGGGTCGTTATTTCTGGGGCTGGTGGTGGTCTCGGACATCTAGCAGTTCAACTCGCCAGCAGAGGTATGGGCTTTCGTGTTGTCGGAATCGACCACGGGAGTAAAGAACAGCTTGTGAAGGATTCCGGCGCAGAGCACTTCGTCGATATTACCCAGTTTCCCAAGGACGACAATGGTGAAGAATTGAAGAAACACGTTAAATCGCTTACGGATGGTCTGGGTGCGCATGCAGTACTGGTAGTCACTTCATCGAATGCTGCATATGCGCAGGCTTTGCCGCTGCTGCGTTTCAATGGCACGCTTGTCTGTGTGGGAATCCCTGAACATACCCCTCAGCCAATTGCTACTGCCCTTCCTGGTAAATTTGTCAATCAACAATTCACAGTGACGGGGTCCGCGGTCGGAAATAGGAGTGAGGCTATTGAGACATTGGAGTTTGCTAAAAGGGGTATCATCAAGGTTCATTCCCGAATTGAGAAGATGGAGGCTTTGACATCTGTCTTTCAAGAAATGGCCGATGGAAATTTGCACGGTCGTGTCGTTCTTGATTTATCAAGTTAGTTATGCATGTAAGAACACGCACAGTTAGGAATCGATTAATCAGATTTGATGACTATTTCCAAAGCACCAGTTGACCTTTCTGAGTGACAGATCTGTATAGAGAAAGCCAAGACTTGTTATACGGAAGCGGCCTCGATATCTTCCAGATTTCTATACAGATCTCAAAATTATTATGCACTTTCAATACATAATATACTGTTCTCTACATATATTTTATTTTTAAATATTAAGATTATTCTTATATCTTTGTTATTTTTATATTTTTGAGAATTAATTTAGAATATCTATTTGTTTCTCTTAGAAAATAGGGGATCAATGTCAAGATCCCACTGTGAATCTAAAACTGATTCTGGTGAAGAGATCTTTGGTTGTAAGTTGGAAGGATGGCTGAAGCGGGTTCTTTCAGATCTGTATAGAGAAGGCCAAGACTTGTGGTAGAAAACCGGCTCCACTATCTTCCGGGTTTTTGAGATTCGGTCAGAAAGCTACCTACATAAGCTAGTATAACTGACTAATCAATTCTAAGGTTGTATAAAGGATTTAAATTTCCGTATTCATTTGGTTACCTCAATTAATGGAATTTAGCTAAGTAACATATTGAAAGTGCACAATGTTTCTGACCGAATCTCAATCTATTTGAGATTCGTTTTTTAACCGGAAGATAGTAAAGCCGGTTTTCTGTACCAGGTCTTGGCTTTTTCTGACCGAATCTCAAAAGAACCCGTAGGTTTCTGTACAGATCTCAAACGGATTGAGAAATGTACAGAGACCCGGAAGATAGTGGAGCCGTTTCCGACTTTCTCTGTACAGATCTGAATTCAGAACCTGATTGCCAAGCCGACACAGAAATATTGCCAAGCCGACACACGGACCCGGCAGTACTATTCACCGTGTTTCTGTGTCGGCTCAGAATCATGTTAAATTTAGTATATAAGTTGATTAAACTTGGATTATTCTAACTTGAACTTGACCATTTGAAGGTTCAAGTTGTGACTGTAGAAATGGCATATAGGCCTTAGGCTATGTGTAGGTCCATAGGTTGATAGAGATAACCAGATACATATGGAAATTTAACCTTATGATTATCCTTTTTACAGATAAGTTAGTTATACTACTCCAACCTTGGAAGGTTTTATTGAGGTTTCTGTGTCGGCTCAGAATCATGTTCTAGGCCGACACAGAAACACACCTGGGCAGGGAATAGTACTCTGTACGGGTCTGCGTGTCGGCTTGGCAAATTTTCAGTGTCGGCTCAGAAAGGTGCCCAATGAATACAGAAACCTTTGAATTTAAATACCTACATTATGCAATCGATTAGTCAGATCCTATTTTATGTAGGTTTCTGTGTCGGCTCAGAATCATATTCTGGGCCAACACAGAAATACGGTGAATAGTACTGCCGGGTTCGTGTGTCGGCTTGGCAATATGTGAACGAAGACCAGATGAGATGAAAAGAAAAAGAACATAGAAGTAATGTCGCCGCTGGAGTCGAACGCGCAAACAACCTTATATTCAAGTGCAAGATCAGATGGAAAGACAAGAAAAAAGCAAAAAGAATTGACCGACGCAGGGGTCGAACCTGCAATCTCTTGATTCGTAGTCAAGCGCCTTGCCATTGGGCCAGCCGGCCTTGTTGAAAAAATTGGAAAGATTGGCTATATCAGGCAAAAGCTTGATTTGAGCAAAATTACATAATCAGACTAATCGGTTGCCTAGGGGACTAGAAAATATCAATTTTCCTGGTATTCATCTGATGATTAACATGGTAAAATTGGGTTGATTTTATACCTAGTAATAACAGGTACCTTAATTCTATTCATCCGGTCTTTAATCGGACATTCATTAATTCCTTGGGACCTTGGGTGTAATCTTCAATGTTTGGATTTCCGTTCCCGTTGATTTCCAAGGTTTTGGAGGGGGCCACCAACATTGAATTTATTATGTCTGGCTATATATATCCCGTCGGCCTGAATTTTTCAAACTTCCAAAGTTGACCTCTGACAGTGTACAGGTGCACATGTGCGTTCTGAGTGTTTAAAACATTGGGTGCTACATTTTCCAATATAAGTCCTGGAGAACTTCTCACAATGAACCCCTGGATTTTCTTTTCCAAGCAGGGAAACTGTACTTCAAGTTTCATCCTGCATTTGAACTCGGAGTTGAGCCGTCCCATGCTGCCTTACCTATCAGGTGTTAACTTCAAGTTCTTGATTTTCTGCCAGCTTTTTGGGGAGCCTAGCGGTGAGTTCACCACCTGGGCTAACCTAAATAGGAGAATCCACGTCTGGCGCCTGACAGGCAAGGCTGCAACATTGATTGGAATGGAAGAATTACGTCGATCGCAACCAGTTGACAGCTAGGGTGTTTATACACTGGCAGTATGGCAGACGCGTCGAACTTCAAGTTCACTTCTATTGTTCAAGTTCTATCATGCTAGGAAGTATCTCAGCTGATGTAGTGGGGTATATTTACAGTCGGCTCTAGACCCCTTTTAATCTACAAAAAGCGCAAGGGCCAGCTGAACAGAAACTCACGAATCGAAAAGGTCACTGGCGGCGAGAAGCAGGTGGGGAGAGGTCTTACTGTATGGGAAACCTTGGAAGCAAACCGAACCCGCAACGGAGTACTCCATCTTTCTAATTATGATTCTCTGAACATCGAATGAGCTGAGATCATGATCCCATTCAAGGTCTCCAAATTTCCGTACAAAAATTTGTCTCAAACTTGAAATCAAGAGTCCCAATCGGCATTTTGGATTTTGTGTACGCGGCAGACCCACTTGGATTCGGAGATGCCCTAAAAACAGAGACACTATTTACAACCGGTTCATTTTGCTACCCTGGACTGCATATGGAATGATTTTATTTCATGACCGCGGGACTCAGACTTCGTCGGTGGCTTCAAGGCTGACAGAACTGTAGCACATGTGTTGTGAAATAGTATCAGACCACTGAGAGAAGCGAAGCCATGCAGGAAATTACCGAGAACCCTGAGATCTTCATCAAGTCCTATTTGGCCCCTCGCGCTACTATATCTGTCTCCACAAATAGAGATTTCCCGTCGAATCTTTCGTCCGGCAATTCCCCTTTGACCCACACTCAATTGCTTGGTACATATGTTACAGCCTTGGATGAATCCGATGTGCTCCGTACTTCGTATGGATCGCAGGAGTAACAAGGGCTGGCCCGTGACCCCGGAGCGAAACTAATTTCAGCCTCCTAGGTGTCGGTTCGAGATCCCAGAAATTCGCCCCAGGAGATATGGAAATGAATTCTGTTCATCCGTGATTTTGGAACTAACAGGTTCTCGCCCATCATGTTGGGATCTTTTCATAGCCAGCGCCATAATAGGGTGCTACGGCTTGCTGTGAATATAACCGTGATCGCTCTAGTGATACTTGGACTGCTCCAATTACTCTCCAGTGACTGTATGTTTGAAAATCTCATCTATCAATCACAGCCCCATAATTCTGGGAAACTTCCGCGGCCAGCTAATCGAAGTAGCCTCAGAAAGTATTCTTTCACACAAAACGGTTGCATCTCTCACAGTGAAAGGATCACATACAGAGCTCACGCCACTGAGCAATGACGAATTCCCAATAGCGGCCACACTGCCGCAGCCAGTAGTTGGCAAAGTATCATGATATATGGGGGTCGCTCCATATATGAGAAGGCGTTAGCATCACACTAAGAACACAGCCGCCGGAATAATCACCCACTGACCATCCTTCGCGACCCTATTATTGATAAGAGATGGAATAAATATCTTATTCTTATGACAAAGATTGTCGAAGAGCTGGAGAAACCAGAAGGTCAACGCCTGCAATGGCTTTTGTGAGATTGAACCCCGTCACAGCATATATAGAGCCCAACATCGAACTAACAAATCTGAATATCTAGTTGGTTCGACAGCGATACGGTCCTTATGAATCTGAACTTACCCTTAGAGACCTTCCTCCCTCCTTCAAATCTTCCACACGTCCATCTTCTCCTCACCCAGGATATGAACGGAATCAACAATGGGAACTTCTTCATTCGCGTACACCCATGGTCCTTCGAGCTACTCAACAGCGCACTTGCCTACCCCCGTCTATACCCGAAAGCCAACTTCCAATTTGGAGAACAGTCAGCTTTAAGCCACGTCTTAACCGAAAGCGAGTATTTCGCTCGGTCGACTGTATACTGTCCATCACGTTGGTTCAATCCATATAGGAGGTCGGAGAATGGGGAATTACCCCAGACGGAGAATTTACCCGCGCGTATGGTGGGTGGTACACCCAGGAGATCTGCTGGTTCATTTCCCAGGAACTCCTGTTGAGAAATTGGATGATGCCATGGAACCATATATTGCTATATCGGAAGAGCAACGGCCAGAATGGAACGTGCCTCTAAAGGAGACTGGTCTGATCAAAAAGACTACGTCTTTCTGGGAGAGATATAGCCTACTTTATTCTGAAGATACTACTATTTTATTTGCGGAAGAAGATGAAGATGAATATGAATAGATAGAAAGCCAATGTAATTTTGAAACATCATGATGGGTCATAGGAGAAATCACGATAAGGTGATATGGTCAACTGGTATTGTTATCTTATCTACTCAGTATGGTTGGCGCCGAGTTCCCCGCCGCATATTTTCACAAACAGCGCTTATGCATGCATAACATTAGTGGGATGAAAGTCCCCGCAAATAGCTCCGGCTAGCACTAACACGTCGAAGGTGATTGTGCATGTAATTCAATCGTTATGTATTGCCCTAGCCTATCTAAGGGTTGAATGAGCCGGATCTGACTGATTGTAAGTCGTGACATACAACATGATCTGATAGGGAAATGATGTTATTTCCCCGCTCAAATCCTAGTCCATATTAAACTGATTACTGTAGTATACACAACTACCGACTTTCATCTCACCAATCAAGCACTGCCCCTGAATCTGGGACCAATGCTTCGAGAGAGATATTGATCAGGATGAAAGTCTATATCAATACTTTCCCGCGGAAATCTCAAGCCTTGAGAGTCTTGTGGCAATTCACAACAAGGTTACCATCCATAGACTCTCCATAGACTCACCATTGCCTACTATGGAGAGATTCAAGTTATAAAAGCTTCAGTCCCCATTTATATTTTGTAGTCCAGAAATCAAGATAGTACAGAATACCTCAGTCAACCAATTTGCAATACAAATCAAGGGCAAGATGTCTCAAACATGGCAAGAGATCGCTTCGTCGAAGAGAGAGGCTCTGAGAAGTTCCATTCCTCCAGAATGGGTTATCCCCTCAGCATTTCGCCCGCCCGCCGAACAAACAGATATGTCGAAATTCATCGCTCAGTCGGGATGGTTCACTGAGCCCGAGGTTGACATTCTCTCAACTCCCGCTTCCACACTTCAACTACGCTTAGCCCAGGGCCTCATTACCTCAGAGGAAGTCACTTTGGCTTTCTGCAAAAGCGCATCTGCAGCTCAGCAGCTGGTAAGTTAAAATATGCATGAAAAAATCCTCTTGCTCATACTAGTATAGATCAACCCAGTGACAGAGATTCTCTTTGATGAGGCTCTAGCTACGGCCAAAGTCTTGGATGAGTACTTGAAGGTCAACGGGAAGCCCAAGGGACCCCTTCATGGAATTCCTATTTCCCTCAAAGATAACTTCAATATTAAAGGGAAAGATTCATGCCTGGGATTTACATCCATGGTTGGTAAGCCTGCCGAGTCCAATGGACCGATCGCTCAGCTTTTACTCGATGCTGGTGCCGTCTTGTACGTGAAGACCAATGTGCCACCCGGAATGAAACGAGCAGAGACATACAACGAGGTGTTTGGTAAAACCGTCAACCCAATGAATAGCCTTTGGGCAGTTGGTGGGTCTTCAGGAGGTGAAGGCGCTCTTATCTCCTTTGGTGGTAGTTGCCTGGGAGTGGGCAGTGATCTAGGTTTGTTTGCATCAGATGAAAGTCTCATATAGCCCACTTTCTAACTTTGAATAGGTGGTTCTTGTCGAATTCCCGCTGCATGTGGAGGTTTATTCACTCTCCGACCTTCAGTTGGACGGTGGTCTATCTCTAAGAATACTGTTTGCACTCCCGGACAAGATTCTATCCCTGCAGTGCCCGGACCGATGGCCAGGACCTTGGATGATGTGATCATGTTCAGCAAGGCATTTGCCGACCAGGCTCCATGGACCTACGACCCGCAGTGTGTTCCCCTCAAGTGGCAGGAAGTCGAGCCCAAATCTCGTCTCAAGCTGGCGGTGATGTGGAATGATGGACTTGTAGCCCCCACACCTCCCGTGCAAAGGGCCTTGGAGGGTACCGTGAAGACACTCAAAGAGGCTGGACATGAAATAATCGACTGGAAGGTCTCTGCTGAGGATATGCAAGATATGGCAGATATGTCTTTTAGCATATTCCTTGCTGATTCTGGCAACTGGCTTAAGAAGGTCTTGGAGCCTACTGGTGAGCCTGTGCCACCTGGCATGTTATGGCCCATGACAGGTAACCCAAAGACATTGATTGAGCTCCAGGAGCTTCATGTCTGGCGGGATAATGTTCGGATGAAATGGCTTCAGAAGTGGAATTCATTTGAAGGACTGGATGGTGTTTTAAGTGAGAACTCGATTTTCTAAGACATTTCTAGTTTTAAGTCTAATATCGCATAGTACCTACTTCTCCATATGGCATTCCTGAGCATGGAAAGTTCAAATATGCTAACTATACCATGCTCTGGAATTCTATTGACTACCCTGCCAGCTCGTTTCCTTCGGGCTACTATGTTGACAAGGATTTGGACAAGCCATACACTAATTATACGCCCCTTGGAAGCTTTGATAAGACGGTTCACGAAGAATGTAAGTTGTCAAGGCACGACGGGTGATTGATGATCAAGGATCGTATAAGAAATTGACTAATAATAAAACTTATCAGATAACCCTGCTGTGTGCCACGGAGCGCCAGTGAGCTTGCAGATAGTTGGCCGTCGTCTCGAGGAGGAGAAGGTATTGATGATGATGAAGATCGTGCATGAGGCTCTTTCTAAGGCTTAAGCAGTCAAGTCCTTAGGCTACAGGAGCCTATTACGACCATTTCCCCATAATGAAGTTTGACCGTCTAGGTAGTAGCTGGTTACATAGTCCTAAATGTTGCCCAGGTGAAATAAACCTTGGAATGCTTCCAAGGTTAAAGAATTAAAAAATTGCAATGTCCTTCCAAGTTTAACAAACAAAAATAATATTTAGAACATATCAGTTGGATTTCAAATACATCAAAGTAGCTCATACTACTACATACTACTAGTAGTACATGGATATGGTTTGAAATATAACTACCTAGGTACATACTAGATAGTCATCACTTATTACATGGATAGGTACATTCATAGTAATACCTAAGGTATACCTAGGTAACCTTGGAAGGGCCTATAACAGCTATATATCAATACAGCTAAAGCGGCAAGCCTATAGCCAGTAGAAAAAAAGAACACTATATCAGCTATTATCTCTCATCTCTTACTTTAGGTAGCTACCTATACCTAAAGTTCCTAGTTAAAGAAATGGGCCTACTATGCCCAGATGGGTTCCAAGGTTACTAGTTAGGTATATGACGTGTTACCCGTAGATGGTTATGGTATACGTGCCAATGTCACTTTCCTCTTTTTGGGTTGTCCGTCTCTAATGAGGCTCTTTTCTAAAGTCAAATAAATGAAAGTTTAATTTTTATTCACTATTAGTTCCGGAGGAAAACATGAGGTCTTCTGGGACGAGTTTCTTTCTTGAACCCCCATCCTTCTCTACTTACTACCAGCCTTCAAAAGTTTGTCAAACCAAGCCATAGACATAACTTCATCATGCCCGAGGAAAAGAAAACCAGAACCAAGACCTTGTCAGAAATTGCCTTTGACGGGATTTGCCGTCAATCAAGAAGCTAGAGACTAGTTCTAGCAGGGGGACCGAGAAAGCCAAAATAACAACGGCCAAGCCCTCTGACCCAATTATAATTTGCTGGGATGCAAAGCCTGATGATATTGAGGCACAAAAACTTGTCTTGCCCCAGGGAAGTGGCGCTGACGATATTGCGAGCTTTGCTAGCAAGCTTCAGCAGCTAGTGTCTGCGTGTGAGCCTGCTGGATTTGGTCAAGCCAAAAGACTGTGATGGACACTGAATACCACAGTGCAGGAGAGCTCGAGCCTCAAAGATTCGCCACGAGCTTCCACCCAGCAGATTTTGGGATTATTGACTCCATCGAGCAAATTCTTGTTCCGCAGTTGAACCTCATGAACAAGGAGTTGATTGCTATCAGACATGTTGAGCTAGAACTTTACAAGCTCAATGTGAGTTAATTTTGATCAATTGTAAAAATCAAGCTTACTGTTGCATCGCTAATCCATTCTGTTATCATATTAGATCTACTCGGGTCCCTCCGGTGTTTTCCAGAAAAATGTCGATACTCCTCGTTCCGAGAGTCAGATTGGTTCTTTGGTTGTGTGCTTACCATCTCAATTCGAGGGTGGAAACTTGATAGTCCGTCGTGATGAAAATGAAGTTGATTTTGATTGGCAACGTAAAAGTGCGGAAGCTATTCAATGGGGTGCTTTTTATTCAGATTGCGAGCATGAGATCAAGCCAATAACTCAGGGTGAACGTATTACTTTGACATATAACTTGTACGTGAGAGACCCTGTCGGCAAGAACTTGATGTTTTCCCCAATTTCTCCTCTCGATCCGACCTAGTCTCTGCTGTACGAGAATTTGAAGCTCATTCTCAGTATGCCTGGATTTATGAAACAAGGTACGTTGCGATAGGACTAACCTTGGAGTCTGGGACGAGATGATTAACATTTACAGGTGGTACTTTGGGAATATCCTGTTCTCATTCTTACCCATATACAGCGAAAAATGTCAGCGAGTTGCTTCCCGATGGCCTGAAAGGTGCTGACTTCCAGCATTACGCTGGTTTACATTCATTTGGCCTGGAGGTTGAAGTTCTCCCAGTTATAGTAGATGACGAGAGTGATGATTATAAAGGCAGTGATGATGGTGCTAGTGACGAAAGTCCGGACATTGATGAGTACTACTACCAATATGAACAAATCGGCAAACATGTGTTTGTTGGATCCCACCTGTGGAGCGAGGTCGGCGCAGACAGTTTTGATTTTGTATACGACCCGATTGGAAAGGTGAGTCGTAGTAGCTGTTTTATCATGGCAAAAACCTTCAAGTTGGAGCCCAGTCAGCTTTATCATGATACATAACCTTAGAAACCTCACTAACTCATCATGATTTATACCTAGATCACCATGAATTATTGGCCCCAACGAAAATTGAAAAAGCCTGTAACTTGGATTTCTTCGCCAATACACCTGGACAATGCACTTGCATGCCCGACAAATTACGGACACTGGCCACAAGTTGACTGGTTTTTTCATCTGTTGCCATAATAGCAACCATCCCTCCCTGGATCGGGCGCCAAATTCCTTTCGGAAACACCAATAGTCAGTGAAAGTTTGAAGGATTATGAGGGAATGGAATTCTGGTCAAAACATGCCCAGCACTTGAGGTGAGGATTGCGAGGAGCCCTTGATTTTAAAATTACTGTACGGAAGCCACGGAATCTTGGAAGCCGTGTATGTATGTGTTCGACTGAGTTACTAGCGATAACTGCCACCTGGGCAGTGATTAGCTATACTCTATATGGGCTCTGTGATACCATATGGATGCATGTATGCCTATACCTAGGTATTGCATGTTGATTACTAGGTAGCCAATTGATCGTTGTGAGAAGAAACTTGTCTCTAGTAAGAACTTGAAGAATATCTTGAATCTACCTAGGTACTAGATATGGACTCTCTTAAGACTCGGAATTTTAAGTTATAATCTTCAAGTTGGAAACTTCAACTTGAAACTTGAATGTTGAACTTAATTTATATACCTAGTATATACCCGTGGACATATCAATACTAGTAGCCACTGGCATATTGGGGGCCCCGGGCCAGGACCTAGGTAGTATGTATTTTCCGAGTCCCATAATGAATTTTAACCATCATGATACCTCAAGTGGTAGCTCAAAGGTTTACTATTATAATTATATGTAATTAGAATATTAATAATATATAAGGCTAAAGTAAGAGATAAATAAGAGATAAGTATACATGTCTATACACCTGGGCATTGATAGTCTTTTTTCTTCTTTCTAACTTGAATGATCAGTGCTATATATAGGTGAGCCCTGGAGGTTTAGATAGTAGGTATATGGCTATTTTAGTTAGAGCACTTCAAGTTGAGTGCTAAGATACCCTAGTATGTTACCTCATGCTACATATCGTAGGAAGGAAGGTATCGGAGGATGGAAGGACGTGATGGATGAATGTGCATGTGTGTCATGTGTGTAGAGAGGGAAGGTGATATCTAGAGAGAACATATGGGCCACCCCGGTGGTCCCAACTTCTGACACTACAAGTTAAAGCAAGTATATGTAGAGCTTAGATCAGGATCTAGGGTGCCTTAAAGAGATACCTAAAAATATCAGGACTCGGAGACAGGAGAATCAATGGATTTAGATGAAATTGCTCTCTGAATTGATTATTTTTACTGTCAGTGTTAAAATGAGTAAATGAATCCTAATAAAATAGCTAAAATGCAAGGTACATAAAAGTCACGGGACAGACTACCCCTCCCTCAGGCTCCAAGTCACACCTATTTTCTGATGCAAGTCATTCAAGTTTCACTCGCCTGGCGTGTTAGCTCTCATCTGCCCATCCTCGAATACGGAAGTCTCAAATCCTCCTCAGGGGTCAACTATATTGTTCAACACATCGACAGATCCCAGCATGACAGACTCATTTCTGAACGAAAAAGCCATGACGTTGCCAGATAATTTTGCGCGGGAACTTCCTGGGCTCAGGTACCAGGAAGATGGAAAAGAGAATTTCAAATCTGAACATAGCGAAATATCGCCATTTGCCAGGCCCCTGTTGAGGGAGGTTGGCCTTCCAGTATGCTCGTGGCATCCCTCTATGTGCCGCAACCAACTAGTAACATGAGTCTCTAGGAATGGAGATACACCGTATGGATGTGGCACCGCTCCTTCAAATGGGACGATTTAAATTGCTTTTTTTACATTATACCTGTCTTGAATATATCGGCTTCTGCCAGAAGTGACCCTGGAGGTCCCTTGAAGTATGGTGTCATGAGAAGGATCGATGGCAAAGTAATTGCGGAGCCGAAATTCGCAGCAATATTTGCAGTTCCTCCCACTCCTCCCACTGACAGGTACGGATTAACATAACTGATAGTGGGTATACTGTCGCTAATACTTTCCTTAGTTGAATATTCATCACTAGGTTCTGTCTTTCAGCTTTGAATCCCCCGAGTTACGTGTACTGAATCAGCCCCGCTAGAATAATCATTCAACTTTCTATGATCCCACTGCGTCTCAGAATTCATACCAATAAACACAGCACTTGAGGACCTTGGCACTGAAATAAAAGTCAGCATCAGTAGCAAGAATACGGATCATCGGCCCTGGAGCTAGTCAACTACCTTATCGCAGATGACATCTAAATTATCCATAGTACCTCCGAGTCGTTTCAGGAGGGATGCACGCTGGAGATCCATGCATGTTCTGACATATCCAATTGGTTATCACTGGCATAATAGCGGAATATTCACGGTCTGGCTCAAACCATCTGTTCACATGATCCGACTCCTGATTTAATTTTAATTAGGCGGTGATCTGCATGGATCAGTTTGTCTCAATTCCGACGCCTCAATTCACCTTCGATAACTCCCACAATGAACTGGGATTATCTAGCTGAAGACCAAAGCCAACACTATTTTGCAGCCTGGCTTCAGCTATTGATGAAAAAATCGCCTGCGTTACCACTGAAACTTGCGAAACATCATCGCCGTGAAGACGTAGACGCGACTGAGGTCTCGAAATTTAGCAATGGTGCTTACAACATCTGCTGTACCGTCACATTTGAGGATGGATTTCGTGTCATTGTTCGGTTCCCTATCCTAGGCCGAAGTCGCTTTCGCACAGAAAAGTCAAGGAATGAAGTGTTGATGATGTTATATCTTTATGATAATACAAATGTGCCTGTACCTCGAGTCCTGGGCGCTGGAAATTGGGACCTTATATGGTCATGACTTTCATCGAAGGAACCTTGATGTCTAACCGTATCGAAAGCTCACTGAGCTTAGACCCAACTATATCAGGCTCTGATATTGAGCATGCTTTTCGCGGAATGGCCCACGTCCTCCTGGAACTCTCAAAGCCTGTTTTCCCATATATCGGGGCTATCACCGAAGAGTCTTGGATGTGGAAAGTTGGAGGAAGGGCATTGTCACTCAATATGAATGAGCTTGTCAGCGTCGGAAATTTACCCCTGAAAAAAATTCTCCAATAAGGTGTTCCGTAGCGAGTATTTCCAGGAATTAGCAGAGCGGTATCTCCTTCACCTTGAATACCAGCGGAATGATGCTGTGGACGATGAACCAGATTGCCGAAAAAGATATATCGCCCGATGTCTCTTCAGGAAAATTACTCGGCAAATTCCACTCGAGGAATCCGGTCCCTTCCATCTTTACTGTGACGATCTCCGACCACCAAATGTCCTTGTTTCAGATTCTGAACCGAATATCACCATAAACAGTGTCATTGATTGGGATTATACATACACGGCGCCCGTGGAATTCACCCAAGCCGCACCCTGGTGGCTTCTTTTCGAAAGTCCGGAGGATTGGGAATCTGATCTGAATGAATTTTTACTTCGGTACATGCCTCGGCTAGAATTTTTCCTCAATATACTCCGATCCTGTGAAGACGAGCAGATCAAGATGCACACAATGGAAGAAGATCACCGACTCTCAAACAAGATGGCAGAGTCTATGGAGAATGGAAATTCCTGGTTTTGTCTTGCGGCAAGGAAGGGCTTCATGTTTGATGATATTTACTGGGCCTTTCTAGACCAGAGATATTTCGGCGAAGGGTCTCTCGAGGACAGAATCTCACTTTTATCCCAGGAAGAACTGGAAGAACTTGAGAGACTTGTTCCGTTGAAGATGCAGCAAGCGAAAGAAAATACCCTGGAAGAGCATCTATCATATGATGAGATGTAGATCTTTAGCATAGCGCTGAATTGACCCCGTTCTGAATCCATGGATTTGAATGCCCGAGATATCAGCTAGTCGGAATCGGCGATCGATCGAATGATCTTCGCATTTTGGGCACTTCCGATTCGGAAAATCGTCATATGATATCCGACCAGACCCGCTTTGCCCTGCAGAAAGTTCGAAGCCTTAATAGTCTCTCCACAAGAGACGCGCTAAAGGATCCATTTCTCAGACTAGGGCAGCGCACGGCCCAGTGAGCGAGTCAATCAGATCCACCAATTATTCATGAATATTTTGCATTATGAAAACACACAAAGATAATCCAATTTTAGGACGGAGAAGATACGGAGTACGAGTGACTAGTAGTACTGATACTGTGAAAGGATTATCCGAACCTTAGAATATAAGAGTAAATATTACAATATACATGTGTTATTTCGAATGTTTGTGTATCCATAGCAGCCATAACAAACAAGCCCATGTCAGGCTCACATGCAAACACTTGAATACTATTTGGAGGATAAAATATCAGGCTGAAGCCTCATCGCGCCTAATATCGCCTAACACCCGAGATAACTCCCGAGGTCCACTCACGCCTCGTATAACCCTGACCAAATCAAGCTTCCAGATGTCAGGATTCAATAATCATTCGCCTTGACAAATACTAATAGCCGCAGATCCAGTATTGTGGGGGTAAAGACGCAGACTCCGATCAATTCCGACAATGGCTTCGTACTACAAAGTATAAAAAAGCAACAAAGTGGACCAACAGACGCCCAAGACCCCATCAGTATATTTCCACGTGTTTTTAAGACCCAATTTTACTAGTATATTAGACGAAAGAAAAAAGAAATTACCTAAATCTCAGGAATAAGGTCTGTGCGAATAGAAAATGTAAACAAATGAAAGAGGAAAAAAAAACTCCACTATCACACTCCACCATATCTTAATATGGTATAGTGAGTTAAAGCAGGAAAAAGTAAAGCCGAAGGATGATCCACAGGATAATACGAGATACCGATTGATAAGAACATTCCAAGGTTATGATGAAAAGTTTGTGGTGAAAATGAGAAAGAGACCAAAATGACCTAAACCCAAGATCGAATTCTTCAGATCCAGTACCAAGATTGACCTCTATGTTAAATATGCCTTTATTCAGGGATCTATCATTAAATGATAACTAAATCCACTGAGTGGGTCTACCACTACGTCCATGGTCCATGGTTCCGGCATCGAATCGGGCTAATTCCACCATACATTCCTTTACTGTGACTCGTCCCGCGTCTCTTCCCGACCATGGACGTGGGGTCCCAAGCCCAGGGTGATGGGTTAACATGACGCCATGTTAACGCTGTCTGGTGATAGCCTCGTATCTATAAAGACGAAACCGGAAGTAAGTTCCATGGTGATGGTACTATAAATTAGGCAGGTCAAATATGTATGAAATCATGATCGTGATCATGGTCATATGGTGTGGCTGTGGTCTTGGCTTTCATAGTAATGACTTTAATCCGATAGATCAAGTGTTTCATGGCATCATGGTAGAAAATCTGCCAAAGATTTGAAATGAAATTTGTAAATGCATATATGACAATATCTTGAAATGCGCCGAGAAGTTCTTTTCTGCTTCTTTTCTGGTCTGGTTTTGTTTTTTGCTCTGCTCTCTTGTGTCGCGAGGACTAGAATCCAAATGCAGGGGGTATTGCGATAAATAAAAGAAAATGACCACCCATTCGTGAAAATAATAACCGTAATGCGAATCCCGTAGGATGAAATGCAAATGAAACAGTATAGGCGATTATCGACTGCGTTTCGAGTAAGAATAACCACCCGAGTTCCCTGTTGCTGGTCGCTTTTGTCCCGACCCCGTTGCCGATGAGCCAGCACCGGTAGCCCCAGCAGCCTCAATAGACCGAATAAGTGCTCCAAGTCGTAGGAGGTAGTTTTTTGGTGCGCGGTTTACTTCAATTTTGCCCAAGGTGTTGCGAAGCTCGTTTACTCGAGGGTAGAGGGCGGAGGGAGGTAGGATCTCGAGAGCGCTGAGGACGAACGCATCATCATCGGGCTTCAACTCCATATCCTCGGAGCCGATCAAGATGTGGTATAGATTGCGCTGATCTTCATCTTCGCCGTGGAAGGACTTACGTCCCCAAGTGTTTCCACCCAGAGGATCTTTATTGCGAGCCGCGATCGATTCGAGAACCAATACGAGGGCATTGGCGGCGCCTTCATAGCCATGAGAGCGAGTCGAAATGTTGTACTGGATACGAGACACAGCACGACGAAGATTCGTCACCACTTCATCGACATTCACGATGCCTCCACCTGGAGTGCTGGGGTCTGAAGGTAGCTCTCCTGTTGCACAGTATCGATCGAAGTCGGACAGTAGTCGGCGAGACTGTTCTTGGATCTTGTCGAAGTAGATTGCCGCACAAGCACCTGAGGGCATTGCCTTGCAGAGACTGCTGAAAACACTGTCATCGTGGACAGCAAGCCGGAACATAGTTGCTTCGAAGTCTCCTTGTACCACGCATTGCTCTGGGGTGAGTTTGGCCGTGGTAGCCTCAACCAAGTCGCGGCGAAAGTCTTCTGGAAGAATTTTCGGACTGAATGCTGAGAGCACATCTCGTACCTTTTCTGTGCGAGTCATGCCGTGCAGTTTCCCGTCTCCTTCGGTTTTGAGGAACTGCCAGTTTAAACGCTCTGCAACTGTCTCCAGAGGAACGTCTTTGAGAAGTTCCTCGATACGTTCAGGAACCCGAGGACGACCATTGCTGGAAAGAGCCGCCCGTGCCGTGGAAGGGTTCGAAAGGAAGCTGGAATGGAGTTGATCAAGAACCCACTACATCATCGAATCTTGTTAGTGACTCCAGGATTGTATTCCAGACGAACAGGAAATTCCTTCCTATGCCTTTTCCTCCTTGTGACATCGACAGCAAGACAAGACTTACAAAGATGTGTTGACATGCCGCCTGCGGCCGCGTTTGGAAAGTTGAACAGGTACAAGTTGTCGAATTAGATCCAATATGTACTTGAGGTCGATCCAACAGCTGGAAGTCATAACCAGAATCCGAGGCACGACAATTGACAACGTCGAACTGCGATTTCAAGCCCACCACCGCACTAGCACCCGTCTCGCCATCTAGATTACTCACATCATAAGTGATGCCAGATCGGGCAGAGATGGTGGACCGTTCGCCCCCAACCTCCTCCTCGCCACTGCTCTCCTCCTCCTCCTCCTCCTCCCCTTCGCTTTCCTCCTCCGAGGAACTCTCATCCTGACGCTCACTCTCATCATCATCGGAAGGGTCCGGCTGCCCCGCTGCGCGGGCCGTCCTACTTGACTGGGCCCGAGTTTCAGGCATGTTTTGACCGATAGACAGTCTGTGAAACTGTCTAGTCGGAGCAGACATGGTCCGATCGAAGAATGAAAAGAGAACGACAAAATAGTAGAGAATACGAAGGGGGCAAAGTGAATTCCAAATGTGTGTATTTCTCAAGTGGACTCTCCCTGATGGCAAAAGATCACAGAGTTCTTCCGACCCATGGACAGAAGCGGGTACTTATTGAACCATGGAACGATTCTCCCTGGCGCCCGCTTTAAATAATAGCACCATGGACTTGATGGATGACAAAAAATATAACTTAAGATAATTTTCGTCATGGTCCTGTGCCCTGCTCTGTTGATTTAGATGCATGATGAAGTGGGAATCTTTTTTGGGGGAAAAAAATTGGGAAAAATTCAAAATTCAAAATTCAGGGAAAAAAAAGAATAAAAAAAATAGAAAATAAAATAAAAAGGGTTCGGACCCGAAGAATATCCAGTAAAAAGAGTAGAATAGAATGATAATTTGATTAATAGAAATAAAAATCTGAATAGATCCTGGGCACAACAAGAGAATTAACCAACAGCGCTTAGACGAACAAAGAGTTCTAGCTGCGGCGAGGGGGGAGGGGAAGAGCGAAAAAAAGAGCGAGAGATTGGCTATGTACCGCAGGAGTTTGAAGGGATGATGTCTCAACAAGGCTTAACTGTTCAATGTTGGATTATGCCCTGGTAAAGTGACAATTGATCAACATCGTAACGCACAGACACTAACAGGGGACCGGGTGGAATGAAAAAGATCTGGGGTTGTGAACAGGCCTCCTTAACCAGGTTCAGGCTGATCAAATCCCGGGGATAAGATGTTGGGTGATTCATAAGGGGCCGCTGATAGTATAGAATGGCGTTAGTATGGGATAGATTCTTCCATAAAGTCCATGATCCTATATCAAGTTTAGTTTGACTTCCATCAATGATTGTTCTTGTTCAGTAGAAAACACTCTGGAATTTGCCAGCTGAGAAACCAATTCTCCATGTCTGATCCCGAATCCGAGAGGCTGGTTTAGTATGGGCGTACTCCGTAGTAGATACTGGCGAATTGGCATTGTTCCTGGTTCATGACTCAAGCAAAAAGAGAGCTAGTCCAAAGTGGTCAATGTTGATTTCGATGATAACGTCAGAGCATTGACTGTGGCATATTGGGCACAGCAAGCTCTTGGCCTGGCGATCTTATTCTTTACGCCGATTCGGCGCAGGATGCGATCGGCTCCAGCGGGGAGCAATCTCGACCTTTCCATCTGACCCGCAACTCGGTCTTTGTACCTCTGTCCTGAATTATTGGTCTTTCTTCAAGTGGTTCCAGCAGGTTAATGGCGGGGCGAGAGAAAAATGGCAAAAAAATCAGGTGTATATCATGATCGCCCGATGTAGACGGGGAAAAGCATGGGGAACCAGTCTGGGCATGACAGCCCCACACGATGGATGAACTTTGACGTGGACGTTGAGCAAGGGGATCCAGGTCGATCGATACTCATATCATGCAGTTTGACTCAGTCTTTTTTTTCCAAGATAAGAAATGGCTTACACCGTAAAAGCAATCCTAGATTCCTTGTCAAACAAGGGAGAATCCAGGGAATGCAACTTGGGACAGCCCAAGAAAAATCATAATTAAAAAAAAGAGAATTGAAAAGTCAAGGTCATAAACGCTGCATAGTTCCTTGACCAGTCGAATGATTCCAAGTAGAAAGAGTTGGTGATTCAAGAAGCCATCGTGCATAAGTTCAATGGTGGATTCCGTATCACAAAGAGAGGGGAAGTTGCTGCGCCCGAACTGTGCACAGTGACTCCACCGACGTACACTTATGATCAGTCTTGTTGATTAGCGCAGGGACACAGCGAATCCAGACACGTCTTAAGAGATGCTGTGCGGCACAGCAGGACCCGCTGGCTTGGGTATTGGGTCTGGAGATGCCCTTTGATCCCTGTAAGATGGGGTCCAAGCACTGCCATCGGAGATATCATCATATCATCGCAAACCGTTTTTGCAGTGGGTTTAAGCCCACTTGCTGCGCAACTGGGCTCAAATGTAGTTTGGCGTCTAGTGGAAACGACTGATAGCCACCAATTATTGTGGCCCGGCGCCTAAAAAAAAGGTACTTTGCACCCCCATCGCTCGAATTCGACACAGACTCAAAGGCAGTGATTTCGAGTACGTCGGTTCATGGTTCGACGAAAATGATCTGTGCATTTCCCTGAAATCAAGTGACTGATTTTGGCCACTGCATCAGATGCAGCCACATGAAGTGGCGCGATTGGATGAGTGGAGGTGCAAAAGTACCTGGAGAAGTTTAGTTGTTCGCCAAACTGCAGAATCGGCAGAACATAGAAATCCAAGGTGTTTTTCATCCAGATATCCTTAAACAACCATTATCTTTTTTTTTTTTGTAAATTTGGAATGTGTATATGTAGTTAATGATGGACAAATGATGCCGGTGGACAGATGAATAGAAAAGTGCCTTGTAAAACCTCGTGCGACAGGGAAAATTACTGCGGGAAATGTCGTTCAATATGTTACTAGTCGCATTTAGAGTGAGTTCTCCACCTCGTGCCCAGGTGCATACTAGCTACTTGAAGACTGCATATACATGTGCATCATCATGATGAAAGCGTTGGGCACTATACTATGTATCTTTGATCATAGTTAAAGATAATGCAGATCAACAAACACTTGAGAAGTAACTGGCTCATACGGAGATCAAGGTCAAAGCACGAGGGTATCGAATGATGAAACCAGGATCTGAAAATAAAATAGCTCATACAATAGAGCACATAGACACCATAAACGAGGGGTATGTGCAAATTGCAGGGGAAAGGAAATGGAAAAAAACAGTTGGAATAAACTGGGAAATCCACGGCGTCATTAATCATTGATTGGCCCTGGCAGCGTTCCGCTTTTTGGCATCCTCCAGCGCTCTGCGAAGTCTGTCCTGGTGCTCTGTCTTCAGATCAGGACTGTGAGATACTGGGGCTGGAGTTGGACTGGGAGCTACAGTAGCCGGCCGAAGGCCCAAAGGAAGTGGTGCCAAAGGCTGCAAACCGACCGGCTGGCTCATGGGACCATCGTTCTCTGCATCGGAAGACATGGGAGACGGAAATTTCGGACTCTTTGCTAGGTCCCTTATGACTCGTTCAATGGTCGCATCCAAATCCTGGGGACCTTTCTGGATACTTTGCAATTTGGATTCCAAGTCACTTTGAAGAGACAAATCCTCTTTTTTCTTTTCGGCCTCGAGTCGCTCGAAAATTTCCGGCTCTGAGTTTGCATATTGCGCCTCGGCAACAGATACAGCGTAATCGGCATCGTTGAGTGCCATTTCCGCGACTCCCGAGCATCGAAGAATCGACTCGGAATCAGCACGAAGGGACGCTGTGAAAGTGGATGTGGATTTGAGAATTTGTTCGATTTCAGAATCTGGCAGGCCAGAGCTCCGGAGGGGTTTAGGATCAAGCCGAGCGGCCTTCGAAGCAAGTTCGTCCAAGAGGCTTTGATTCATGCCTAGCCCATGAAGAATTGCATCGTCAAAGGAGTCCATGAGTCGATTGGCACGTCCATCACGGTCTTTGGCTGCCTCTAAAATGTTCCGCTTTTCCATGCGGTCAAAGTCACCGTCTAGCTTTTGAAGACTTGTCTTGTCGCCCATGAACACTAGCGGACGACGCTCAGCTCTCTTTCGGCGCCTTTCACTGTCTAGCGCGAGCTCGAGGCGTTTCTGAAACCGATCCTCGAGTTTGCCGTGAATTTCATTGACAATTTTCATGGTCATAGACGGGCTTCGTCGGTCGGAAGCATTGCTCTTGTCCTGCTGTTCGCGCTCAAGGTGACCCAAAGCTGAGTCGTACGACTTGCGAAGGGCAGAGATTTCATTTTTCAGGCGTTCATCTAAAGTATTGAACACTTCTGTCACGAACTTTTCAACCTCCTGCCGTTCTTCGTCTAATTGAGTACGGGCTTCAGTCTGCCGAAAGTCCTCTTCTAGGATGTTAATATCAGCATAGCCGATCTCCTTTCTGTTGAAGAGGGCGTCGACTTGAGCCTCTGAATCCTCTTGTCGGGCTGTACGGGCTTGATCAATTCTTTGCCGACGAACTGCAGCGGGTCGCTCCCACTCATCAATAGCTTGTTGCACATAAGATAAATTCGAAAATTTCTCAAGTTCTTTTCTGGTTGTGATGTGCCACGGGCTCTCTGACTGCTTATCCAAGGGTTTCCAGACCATTGCACGTAAGTCTTCTATGAGACTGTACGGACCCTGCCTTAAGGATTCCGGTAGCGATGTGAGTGGAGTGGTAGACCGTCGACCACTATACTTGTAAGCATTGCTCTTGTGACGGATTATGCCGAGGAATGTCTCATCGTGTTCACCCTGAGCCGCTGTCGAAAGAGTGAAAGTAGGAAGGTCGGAAGATACAGGAGGAACATTGGACATAATTCGTCCATTTGCTGATGCTTGCCGTAAATCGGAGTAAGCCTGGTATGCTGGACGGTCGAATGTCAGGTTATCGGAACCACGCTGCGGACCCTCAGTGTACTGGAACGGGGTATAAATTGGCATAGGGGGGTTCGTGGTAAGAGGGTCCAATGACTGTTTTTCTTCTGGATCAGGGACTGAAGAAAGTTGAGAACTGTGCCCCTTGGGAGCTTCTTCGGAGGACAACAATGAAAGATTGGGCTGCCACTGCGCTGATCCTCGGCGGGTCTGTTTCCTCAGGACTGGACGTCCTCCTGGACTATATTCCGAGTCACTTCCTGCACTGTCGTTTGCATCACTGTCGTCGCTGTCCCCATCATAGACTTTTGGTTTGATATTTTTGTTGATATTTTCGTTGGTGATTGAGTTGTCTTCCTCTGTCTCTACAGGAATAAGTCCAGATTCGATCGGGACTTGGGGCTCCTGAGTACTTGGAGGTGATGGATCCGGAGCCCGGGAAGTTGACTGAGGTTTCTGCTCCGTAACGGCAGGCTCGTGCTCAATATTGTAGAGAATCTCACGGAGCTTTGCCTCCTTCGACATGAACGCAGTAAAGATCTTATACCGCTCATCATCTGAGTCTGCGACTGCTTCTTTACGTAACATTGAAATGTAACGTGTTAAAGATGATTTGAACCAGGGGTCAAGATCCTCATAAGGGTCTACATTTTGAGGTGCAACTACACTAGGTGGCGCTTCTATCGGAGTTGCTGCACTTGACTTGACCACTAGGTCCTGGGAAGGAGAATGCACTGGTCTTGGAGCCTCAATGGGACCTTTGTGAGATGAAATGTCTGGACGAGGCGCAAGATCTGCAGGGTTGAGCTGAGCCGGCTTTGGTGAAGGTTCCAAGGGCTTCACCCAAGCATCAATGACATTATCAATGCTATCAGCACGCTGTGACCATGAGTCAACAGAATCAACAGAATCAACAGAATCAACAGAATCAACAGAATCAACACGGGCTGGGGGAGGTGGAGTATGGCCACCATACCCTGCCGAGGGACTAAGGGGTGAAATAGAATCTGTTCGTTGTGGAACCGAGGTCGGATACATAGAGACAGGCGTATCATGGCGAGAATTGACAGGTGATTGTGTCTGTGGCTGTGGCGGAGCAGCATAAATCACTGTGGAAGTCATAGGTGCTGCCGTCCCTGTGGGGAATACTACTGGAGGTGTTTGGACAGACTCAGTTGATGGCGGGGCAGTCTCTCTAGATGGAAACCATGGAGAGTCATCAAAATCAGCCTCTGTGGAGCCAAAGTGCTCCCATCCTGAAGGCAAGCCCGGGCCCAACGCAGATGAAAAGGTGGTAGCTGAATTGGCCCCAAATGAAGCATTGGGTGGAAATCCATATGAGCCTTGTGAAGCTGCTGGGCCGATACCTTGTGCAAGTAACGGAGGTTGAGAAGGTGTAATACTTTGCTGAATCGGTACATCTTGATGCTGGGGAATTTTAGGAGGCGGCGCAGGAACATTCGTACTGTTCTGATATTGTTGATGCTGGGATTGATTCTGGGGTGGTGGAAAATTATATGGAGGTGGAATGCTAGTAGCCGACCCTGGCTGAGCATCTGCAAATGCTTCGAAACCCTGGCTTGGGCCTGGTTGAGCATTTGTGTTCAATGAGGGAGCTTGCGCATAGGCGTATGGCTGTTCATTGGTGCTAGATGGTCGAGGCTTTGAGGCGCTTATTAGTTCTGAACACCCCCGTTTCCATACTTTCGGCTATTTCAGCTGCTTTAACTTACAGGAAGAGGTGGAGGGGCGTGGATTTCATGTTTATTGTATTGAACGCCCCATGTTCGGGAGTCTGGGTGCGGTATCGGCGACGCAGGTGATATTGGACCGTACGTTGCTGGTGTGTATGTGGCTGTTGGAGGCCGCGGCGGCGGTGGTGGTTGCGCACGCTCCGGACGGCGCGCTGGCTGTTGCCATTCCGGCTGTTGTGGAGGATCAGACTGGTTTGGCCTATACATCCCAGCGGTTGATTAGGTCCAGCTATGAGAGAGTGAAGAGAGTGTTTTGTGACTTGACAGCTCCCACGAGTGATCCATGCGCCCTCGGGATGCCCCACTGACCCAAAGCCACGCGGACAGTTTTGAGGCCTTAGCAATTAGGTGTCAAATTCAGAACTAACGTAATCGGTAAGCGAGTGGCCCATGCAAGCGAGCAGCCCAGTCCAAAACACATAGTAAATGTAGTAAATTACAACTTCATTTCTCGACCACAACAAATTAAATTTAGTTACAGCTTCTAGAGTAAGCTACTAACTATATTTCTAGTCAGACCTCGAACTGAGGAGCCATTTAAATCAGCATTCGTTGCGTTTACCAAAAATACAACGTATCTTTTATGAATTTCCTTAAAATATATATATCTAGACTCTCACACCCTGGTGTTTCCTAAAACTGTTTAAATCCATTCAGAGACATATATTCAATACTGTACTATCATATAAATCCATTCTAATTTGTTGTGGTTGAGAAATGAAAGTGCAATTTACTACATTTACTATGTGTTTTGGACTGGGCCGCTCGCTTGCATGGGCCACTCGCTTACCGATTACGTTAACTAATTTAGGCCTGTGACCTTGTACTACATGTATGATGTAGGGACATTATCTATTATCTCACCTCCAAGCTTGTCGCTATTGGGCATAGTGACACTAGTTTACGTTTAATCACTTCGAGATTCCATGGTTCAAAGTACATTATACAAAATTCGCTACAACTACAATGGCATACGACGACTTCCAAAGACTCCAGCACCTTAGCAACCGGTCACTAGGACCAACATTTGAAACCTTGCTGTGAATTCAAAAGGCAAAGATCAAGGAATAATCAGCTGACATGGATACAAATGAATATTACCAGCAAACCGGAGTCCACGAGAGAAATTTGTGGTATCTCATATTGCGGGATCACCATGGGCATGTTCTTTCATAGTCGGAGGCTAGTTCGTTGGAAACAGAGAGGCACTTGCAAATATCACTGAAACTGACTCAAAGTAATCTTTGAAACATTTCAAGACTTGTACTGAGCAACTCCGAGGTCTAAACTTGAAGTCTTCCCAGGTGGTCTCTTTCATCGAATTATGTAAAAGAATGCTATAAATGGCTCTTTCATAGATCAGCCTCAGTTATTTAATCTCAAAATAAAGCAGACTTCTCTTTATCTCATATATGAACCAAGTTTTAGAAAGGATGAAAATGTAATAACGACTAAACTGAAATCAAATAAAGCTACAGGTCACATACTAGACCTTATTGACGATTCTCTCCATTTTTCTGAAGATTTGGTATTGCAAAAGTGGCCGGCAAAACAACACCATGACTTTGGAGAAAAGAACTTTGACTGTTCCAACGGAGGACCCAAATAAGAGACCAAAGACGACATCAAAGACCCCACGAAAAATCGACAAAGCCTTCCTCCCTCTTCCACCCATAGAAGCTGTCATACCCGATCGAGGCGTCCCAAAACCTGATATCTTCGATGAAGTACCCTTAGGACCTTATGTATCAAGCGCAGATGCAAAGCTAGCCTACAAAGTTTGGAGTCTGCCAGATCAGGCTCTTGGAGAGGCATGGAAAGGAAAGGAAGACCGGCCGTATTGTGAAGACCCGACTGATAGTGTGACTCATGCATTATCACACAATGTTTACGAGCACTTGATGACCAATCCACTACTCCCCATATCGCGAGAAGATGCATCTGGCAGTTTTGAGGCCGACGGGCTAAATAGAGATTGGAATGCCTCTCTCATCATCGATGAGTTCAGAGACAGTCTTCTCCAGGAGAGTTCTATTCGTGATATCTCACTCTGGAGCAAAAAGGCCATTCGAAAACTTTTGAAAAGTCGAGATTTAACCGTTTCCGGGGATGAGCATCAGGATGACTTGATAAAACGAGCTCAGCAAGACGAGCTAGAAAAGCACTGTGGAATAGTGCCTCTGAGTGATCTTGAGCACTGGAGCATTAAACGCCCCCAGAAATACGCTGTCCAGCCCTATGGAAACGAACACATGTCAACACTTTCTATGTATACCTTCGCTATTCACCTAAGCCCCTACAACCCTACCTATTGGGTTTCTCGTGCCTACTGTCATTACCAGCAAGCATATCTTGATCTAGCTCTGGGAGATGCATACCGTGCAAAAGTCCTCTGTGATGTTCTAGTTAAAGCAAGCGAGCGAAGTCGACGAGTAGGTCTCTACCCAAAAATGTGGCATGCAATAGAGCAGCACCTCCTCGCCAAACCACGGGGAGACAATATACTGAAACCCGAGATTCAACAACTGAGAGAAAAAGGTCCAGTATATTTTATTAACTGCCTCACGAAGGCCCTCGATAACATCATAGTTTTGAGTCTAGCAGGACTAGGTTGTTGGCACGATTTAGATCCTAAATACAGCAACCTCGGCTCGACTTCCATTCTGCATACACAAGATCGAGATGGCCGAGTACCACGACTTCGAAAGGAGGTTTTAGCGATAGTGGAACAAAAACATAAGATGCAAATCAGAAATAACCTTGAGCTATTTTGGCACGAGCGTTTCACTGGACGTTTATTGGCTGATCGAGTATATCCGTATGAACCAACTGATGTGGATCTTGGTAAGCCAGATTTCGTGAAAACCATCAACCGGAATATCTTCCAGGACAAAAATGATCCTGGTGACTTTAAAAAAGTATGTCGGGTCGAAAAGCTGGAAGATTCAAGTGGTGGTCCTATTGGGGTATTCGCCAAGAGCAATATAAAAGCTGGTCAGCTAGTTTATTATGAAGAGCCAACAATACGGGGCCATCTTCGACCTCGTCGAATGGAAAGAGATGAGACAGCTGGAAAGGAAGATCCAAAATGTGATAATTGCCAGCGAGCTATGAGTCGGATCGAGAAGTTTGAATCACCATGTGCCTGTTGCCAGGATATAGGCAAGCCTAGTCCCGATGATCGAAATTTCTGCCGTCGATCGAAGGAAAAGCAGTCAGCGAGCTGTAAAGAACTTGCAAGCCAAATACATCACTTCAGCAGCTGTGGTAAAGACTGGTCATGGTTGCACAATGCTATAAGACCCATCATCAAGGAATGGAAAGGAGAGGAGTACGTACTTCAATGCAATGATGTGCATGGCACGATGCATAGTCTTCTTCTGCGGAACATATTCGAGATCACACTGCATCGTCGCGATAACAACCCTAATCTATCCCCATTGGAAATAAACGAGCTGCTTGTACTTGATGATGAGCGTGAATGCAAGAAAGGCTACTTCCCGTTCTCATACATCGGTAACATCACCGTCCCATTTGACATCCTGACATCTTTGGGCGTCGATATCTTTCGTGATTTCTCGTGCGACACGTGGGTAATTCAAAGAATCTTGCAGAAGCTTCTTATCTATGCTGTTCCCTGGGATCCAGAGCGTTGTGATCAAGCATCTGAATTTGTACCTGGAGATATAGACAAGACTCCCGAGCATCCTGACAGGCAAGATGAGAGAATCCAAGAGGGGAGGTCATTCAAAAAATGGGACCCATCGTTCATGAATTTGCACCTTTTCCCAGGACTCAGCATGTTCCGTCAAGTTGTCTCCGAGAACGCCAGCTGGGGCTATAGCACCAAAGTCCCTAACCGTGTCATGATATGGGCAATCAAAGATATAAAAAAGGGAGAGGAAATCGCCATCCGGAATCAACATCACAGTTTCGGTACATCGGAGAAGAAATTTGGTCCCACTCCCACGACGCGTATTAAGCAAGGGATCAAGTACAGTCGATCGGGCACACCTGGGGTTAAACCGACTCATAAGAGGGACTCTGAGTACGCCACAGTGGATGACATTCGACTCTCTTTTAAACGCGACGTCCCAGACTCTAATCCTGTAACTGGTTATCAGCGTGATAGAGAGACTGAGCCACGCCACTTCCCTCGTGGACATGCCCATGCCCACCCTGATGTCGAGGAGTGGTTGCAGGATCTGCTTGATCTTAAGGTAGAATCAGGAGATACGGAAACACTCACGGAAGATATCACGGAGGAAGAATGGCTGGAATTGAAACAATTGGGGTTGAAGAATTATCGAGATAAGCAGAGAGCGAATATTGATTTCCTGCGATCGGAGGTACTAAGTGAAGACCAGATGATAGATGAAGGGGCAGATCTAATTAAGCATTTCAAGCTGCCCAACGAGTCATGATGAGTTCAAGTTTGCTGCCAGTACTTTTTATTTTGTTTTCAGATTAGAATGCCTCGGATCAATTTACATATGATGATTTTTGGGGATGAGCTGGTAAGAAAAAAAAATCCATTATATGCATACAAAAACAGAACAGAACAGAGAGACTTCGAAGATTTGTAGAGTACATGAAAGGAAGCGTAAAACCAATGCCCCAGGGATTCCATTTACAATACAAGATGACCCAGGATCCAGATGCCGGACCAAACCAAAATAACCCAAGACCTAGGCAATAAATGTGGTGGGAAAGACATTCGTCATTCCCCTTTTTATATCCTACATCACTCCACGGTAGGGAGGGCCTTAGCAGGAGCGCGGACATGACGACCCGCCTTCTCCAGCTCACCAATGATACCACCACCAGACAGACTCCACTTCTCACTAACCCACTTTTCGTTCACGTTCTCACGCAGCAGGCCGCTACGGGCGAAGTACTCCATGAATCCACGGGTCTCATCGCGAGTAAGACCGCCAAGAGTCTGCAGCTCCAGAATACCTTCCTTACCAGAAGGCTTCTGGGGCTTGAAGAGGTCCAGAACACGGGTATCAGGCTTGCTGTATGGCTCTGGCTGGGGGTACTCTGGAGAAGAAGCATCGACGCCCTTTTGTTGGGCAGCCAATTGATCCAGGGCAACCTCGAGACTGTAGCTGGCGGGGCTGTTGGAGGTGGAGGTAGAGTACAAGAGCATACCACCGTTCTTGAGGGAAGAACCGCTCTGCAGGAGGGAGAGGAAGTGCTTGACGAAGACAAGGTCGTGAGCGTGGACCGGGGTGAAGTCAGAAGCACGGTACGCGCTCTCGTTCATCCAGTGCGCAAGACCGTCAACAGTCACCACCATGGGGGGGACGAGCCTGGAAGTCCTTCTCTAGACCGGGGGCGGCAGAGGTAGCGGTGAGCTCAGTCCACAGAGCCTGGAAGACGGGCCAAGACAGGGCAGCATCGGAGAATCCCATCTTCGCCAGATCCTCCAGGGTTGATGAGGGCTTCAGGCCCTTCAGAGCGGGATGTTCCTGGGAAATGCGGAGACTGGCCAGAACCTCGCGGTTGGCCTCGACGGTGCGGCTCAACAAGGCAGAGGTGGCATTGGGTTGGATATACTGTGTGGGCTTGGAGCCCTCGATGGGGGTGTAACTAGTGTCACCAGAGACAAGCTCACGGGCTGTGTTCAATAATTAGTATGGATGCATTACCACTCAACGAGGGATTGGAACTTACCGTCAGGAACAGTGATAACCACCCACTTCTTCAAGAAACCCATAGCCATAGCCTGCAGCATGTGAACGGTCTTGCCAGATCCCTTCAATCCGGTAAGAACGCGCTTGACAACCTTGCCCTTTTCAGCCTCCTCGCCATCACCAGAGATCTTTGCAATGAGACGGCCCATCTCAATGGCATCACGGCGCATGACGGTACCAGGGCGACGGAATATAGACCAACCCTGCTTAGGCTGGAAGGCTTGCACAGCTCTCAACTGATCGAGCATGGTGACGGGCAAACCAAGGACAGAGCCACGGAGACGAGCATCAATCATAGTCTCCACGGAGAGGTCCTTCATACCCTCGACTTCAAGGGCATTGGGGTTGCTAAGAACAATGCGCTTTCGCTGAGCCTTACGCTCGCCAACAGCAGGCGGACGGGCACGTTCCACGTTCTTCTTCTTCTTCCTTCGCAGTGTCTGACCCTGTCGGTACTTCACCTGTGTCAAACTACCCTTCTTCTTCACTGGATTGGCATATTGAACAGCGGTCGAATGGAAGGGGGCGCTTGTAGTTCGGGGAATAGCGGCCGACGGAGGAAGGATTGCTCGCGGTGTTGGACGAAGCCGCGAGAGGCAGCTCCAGCACCACGCGGAGGCCATTGATCAAGAACACTGGCACCAGGCGCAGTGTAGAGCAATGTGCGGTGGAATTGGAGGTGGGAGAGTGGTGAATTTGTAGACAATGGTAAAGCCGGGGAGAGAGGAGCAATAATAATTTGACTATGGGATTCCTGGTTCTCCTGATTAGGATGGCGGTGGGATTTAGCTTAGTCATATCCGGCAGAAAAGCGAACCGCCGATAACCAACTTTTTTTTTCTCGCCGGGTTGGATAAACCTCTACATACTATCAAGTGTGCTGTCATTCTCATTTATTCAAAATGACAGACGTCGAGATGGCCGGCTCCAAAGCCGAGAGACTGTATGCATTTTACTCCACTTATCAATACTCTGCACCCGCGGAAAGAGGCAAACGTCAACAATTTAAGATTGGAAACCCTAACATTGAATTTTCTTGATATTGCAGTCCCATTACAGTCGAGAAGCCCACACCCTACACTTTCGATCTGGGTAACCTTATGGTCAATGACCCTAACCCCGTCGAGCTCCCACAAGGCGAATCATTGAACGCTTCCCTGCAAGCCACCGCCCGCGACGGTGCGCAGTGTCTCCTCAACCAACTCCTGACAACATGCAACATTACCTCTTCCGCTCAGCACGGTGTGCTCCTCTCTCTGCCTGCACCAAACACCAAGCTTCCCCGCCACAAGCCCCTCCCTACCCCCAAGCCACCAACGAAGTGGGAGCTGTTCGCGCGCAAGAAGGGTATCGGCAAGTACAGCCAGAACCCCGGTGTTGCGCTTGCGGATAAGGAGAGACGCAAGAAGCTTGTATACGACGAGGCATCTGGCGAGTGGGTTCCACGATGGGGATACAAGGGCAAGAACAAAGATAAGGAGGACCAGTGGCTTGTTGAGGTTGATGAGTCTAAGTGGAAGAAGGAAGAGGAGGCCGGTGAGAAGGGAGGTAACATTCGGGGAATGTCTCGTACAGAGCGCAAGGAACGCATTAAGAGAAATGAGCGTAAGATGCGGGCAAATGACCGCCGTGCTAAGAAGCCTGGTAGCGGTTAAGCTGTTTTACCTTTCTTTCGCTGTTTGTTGCTAAGGCTTGTACATTCGAAATTTTTCATTCATGTTTTCCATGGGCGTTGGGGATTGGAGTCGGGCTTTACTACATTTATGACGGTCGATTCGGGCCATATTAAAAGCATTGTTTAGATCAATATCACCTCAAGACCCTCATACATCTAGTATTCCGAAGTTTTTTTTATCTGTTTTTTATGGATGTTCAGACCAATCTTAGTCATTTGTTATTTCATGAAAGCTAGATACTAGAATTTGGTCTTCATGGACCTGATAAGATGCCATCCCGTTGCCGCTATTGTACAGTCCTTGAGAACGCCTAACAGTGGTAGTAGTAAAAAAAAATAGAACCAGTCGGAGACAAAACAAGAAAGAGGCATGACGCAAGATGAGAGAGCCAGAGGGATATCTGAAATGACTGCATAGCATGAGAGCAAAGGGTAAAGGATAGTCGAGAGAGCGCATGAGGTGAAAAGGAAGATGATAAAAAATAAGAGATCGAGCCCGCCTTTCTCCAGTGTCAATGTACGGAGAGAGAACAAAGATATACAAACGGAAGAAGATAAATCAAGAATGATAGAGAAATCCGAATGCCGGAGACGCCAGTAGATGCACTCTGACAATGCTGGCCTGAGAACAAATGATGATAGGGAAATAAAACTTGTAAAAACTGAACACGATAAATCAAACGTATGCGAAAATCAAATCTGATTTGCTTAAACAAGAGAATATTGAAGAATCCTTTTGTATGGCATTTCAGAAAGACAAACGCGGAATCGATCAAATCGGACCAGCCGAATGAAGAAGTGAGCGACCACCCGAGCCGAAACTCGAGTGGAAGGCTTATGTGAAATGTTTCGAAAGCATAAGTGACCTAAATTTTGATCGGGGAGAGCGGTGGACCAAGTTCCGGAAGTCGAGAGATGCTTCTGGTATGAGTGGCACCAGTATTGATATCCTTTGGCCTGGCCTTCTTCCGACCACGAGATGTTTCTGGACGGGGTCGGTCCTCTTCCGCCTGTGAACTTGAGCTCGATGAGATGGCCCGTTCGTGGAGGGACGAAGGTTGAGATTTCACGGACTTGGCCTTCTCAGCTGCAACCTTCTGCTCTCGCTCGTCCATTTCCTTTTCTTTCGCAGCGTATTCCTTCTCAGTCCAGCAACCCTGCCAACAGTTCTTCCAGTCACAGACTAAGAACTGGAAGCAGAATGCATCCATTTTCATACAGGGTTGGAAACAGATGCAAAGATTGCGGTAATCCATCTTATTTTGGTCGACATAGGAGTGAAGGAGGTTCAGATGACAGGTAATGGCGAAAAGAAGGTAGTAGTTGTAAGGTGGAAGCTTAGAGAGCTCGTCTTTGAGCAATTGCGGAGCTGTTGTAGCTCCCGCACACTTTTCAGCGATCATATCTTGTGTTTTCTTGGGGAAGAGCTCCTCCGGTAATTCACGAAGCCAGGCTTTGAATAGTGATCCAATTGTGTTGATGTCGTAGAGGTCTGGAACGTCGAATAGACTGACGTCTAATTCCGTATCAAATCGTCGTTGCCAGTGCTTGACTTCTCTGCCACTGCCAGGAACTCGGTAAAGTCCTTCCTCCTCACATCCCTTGTAGTTCAGATAACTAAGGAAACCAGTTAGTTTTGACTCCCTGCATGTCGGAATAGAAAACACTTACTCAATACAGCGGTATGGAAGAGCGGGCATCCAAAATTCGGTCTTGTCTCTGCAATCCTCCAATTTCTTTGCAATGCGGGTCTTTCTTGCCTGCTCAATCAACGGTAGATTGATCACTGAGCAGACATAAGAGTCATCGGTCAACAGCTCTCGCTCGTTGGTGCTGCCACTTCGAGTAATCTTGCCGAAGAAGCCCTTGCCTGCTTTGCCCAATCGGTCTGCGGCACCACTAGATGACTGCTTCAGGTTGTTGAAGATCGCTGCTGATGCGCCAGATACCTGACTCAAAGAGCTGGATTGGACCATAGAGCCCCCGGTTTTCTGCTTGCTAATAGGAGCCAGATCGCCCGTGCGTTCCATATGAGATACTGGGGTGCGTGTCGTTCGTTCAGGGTGTGGGGCCGTCTGCGGTGGGATTTGTAGAGGTTCCTGTTTGGGTTCTTGTTTAAATTCCTCCAATTTGGCTAGGCCAGTCGAAGGGCGTCTGCCCGGCGCCCGGTGGCCGGATGATTCATCCACTCGAATAGACCGAGATCGTGTCAGGAGGTTTGCAAATCGTTTATTCTTTTTGACCGGGGCAGAGTCGGTTTCAGTACTGGCTTTCCGGTGGCCTGTTCGTTGCATCGTTCTATCGGTGGAGGCATGTTTATCTATTGAAGAACTTAGTGTTAGCCAAAGAATGCAAGGTATGAAAAGCTGGGATGAAAAGCTTACTATTTTCGGCTTCCTCTGCTTGAGCAATGATTGTGGGTAAATCGGGTGTTGACTCGGACAAAAGGCGCGCCATTGATAACCTTCGGTCTCTTGAGGTCCCCCGACTCTTCGGGGGCTCTGTAGACGTTTCGGAGCTATCTGAGCGTTGTGCTCGATGTGAAGACTTGGGCGCCTTCAGATTACCAAAGAATGACTTGGACGCCTCGCGAGAATGTTTGGGGGAGCCTTTAGGTGAAGGAAAGTATTGCGGAATGGCTGTGATACCGGGGGTGGGTGGTTCGACCTGTTCAGTCGGCCCAACGTTCAAGCCACCTGGCGAGATAGGTGATGTCGGGCTATTCGCGGTGCTATCTCCGTCCTGAGTCACTGGGCGAATGGTTGCGCCCTTGAACAGTGGTGAGTTAGAGGCCGATTTGGGCGAGCGCGGTGTCAAGGGGCTCAATCCGTCGGAACTCTGGCCACCGGGGGAGAGAGGAGAGGAAAGTTTGCCATTGTTGGAGTCGGATCTGAATGCGCTAAAGTCCAAATTGGGCACGACCGAGTGTCTAGAAGGCATGTTGGGCGCGAATGGAATTTCTTTCAGGGCTCGAAATCGAGGAAGTGGTACAGGCTCAATGTGGTGCTCGGCCTGGGGAACCGAGGATTTGTCCAGCCGTAAAGGAAAGGGCCTTATTCAGGATGAAAAAGTAAAGAGTGAGACTGCAGCTCAGAAAGATAAACAGATTCACGTGTAGACCACCAGTGATCTTACAGTGAGAGACTGTTAGGCCTTTCGTCAAACGTGTTGTCGTTGAACGTAGCGGTTGTCGAGGCGATCGTCGGGGGCGAAAGTGGAACTATCGAGGGGAGAAGGCCTAGAAAATGTCAGTCGCCAAATCATTAAGATCCACGAGAATCCAGTCTAAAAAAAGACCAGTGAAACCACTGGTGACAGATGCAGGGGGTCGGAAGTTCAAAGCCATGTCTTGTATCAACAAGGTAGTCCGAACAATGCAGAAAAGAGTTTCCTAGGGTTCGCGCGGATGGCCTCAATATGCAAAATGTCTTTAACCCACTTACCCAAATTCCCATGGTCTTCTCACACGACTCGATTTGCACGTTCACAGAGTTGTAACTCTTATCCCTCCCCCTCTTTTTGCCGGTTTGAAGATCGGCAGGATACAGGATTCGGGTAATTGGCGACTCACAACTCTTCGTATCAGAGTAGGACCAGAAAAGACCTTAAGATCTTATGCAGGTAAACGGAACAAAGGCGACAAGAAAGAGAAAGAAAAAAAAAAGTATGAAGAAATGAACGAAAATAGAAAAGAAAAATAAAATAAAATAAAATAATAATAAAAAAGTGTACTGTTATCCAGGGGGAAAATAGGACGTTGAACAACGGTACAAAGTCCCCTAACGGCCTTAGTGTAGACGTAGTGGCTTCGTTAGTTAAAGAGAGACACCGTGCACTTCCAGGTACTCCGTAATCGTTGGACTAAAAAGCACTCAGTAGTGGAGAGATAAACCACGCGCTAACCACTCCGGGAGGTTCTAGCGACTTTGAGATCTGATCAGGAGAATGTATTTGAAGATTTGAAGATGTGAAGGGGGAAACGATTGACATCCATGCATTCCACATAAAACCGATCATGCAAGGTCCAGGAGTTAGGCCAAGGAGACGCGAGTTTTTTTGGGCTACTGATGGATCTTATTTCTGTCTCTGTCTTTCTCTTTTTTTCCTTTTTTAAGAATTATGGAGTACCTCCAACGAAAGGATCCACTAGGAAGGCAAAAGATAGTCACCGGTGGATCCGGTGTTTTTGATGTATATCTGATTACTATGGAGTACGGACATAGGATTAAATGATAAGTACACACATACTACGGAGTACTACATGTGCAATATGTATAGTACCTAATGATCGAGGGGTAAATGTTATCGATTCCAAGGTTCACTCATGTAGGTATGGATCCAAGAACCAAAGATGGATGATGATGGGCATTATATCCGCAAGCTATGCCAATCAGCTATCTCCTTCCATGGATATGTCGGATGATCATTTTAATCATCATTTGCCTCAATGTATCTGAAGGATTCTGAACATCCTTGTACTTCAGAACCTCTCAAATGGGAGAGTACTGGTGTTGAAATTGGTGTTTTTGTATATTTCTTGCGGGTGCCGTGGAAGGAGATAGATTGGTGCATCTCTGAGAGATTTTGGAACCTCTTCGTTGTACGGAGTACAAGAGACATAGGACCGGAGGCTCCCCACCGCTGAATCATCGGAGCCGCTGGACCTGGCAGTTGAAGCCACGGGCGGGATGATATGCGTGCCTTACGTTGCAGTGGTGAATGGGTTGATTGGATGATCGATCGATACAGTGGGGCACAGAAGCATTGTCATTCGTGAATCTCAAGGCGGCAGTGTACCTGTCGGAGAGTCCATGGTTCTGTTGGTCTCGGATCAATGAACCAGACATGGACTAATTTTGGGAAAATCAAGGTACCCGCAGGTACATTGGCATGGAGATGCACATGCACATATTAGTATATACCCCTCAAATGTTCAACGTTTATGGGTATCTCCAACGTTATCAGGGTCACTCTGGTCAGGGGTAAAAATCCTGCTCAGCCCACCATCAACTCAAAGCCCGTTGCAGTCGTCAGACAAAACGTGTGCATGGCGCTTGAAGAGGCCCACTTTCCTTGGTGTGTTTATTGACCCGAGTTTCAGATTTTGACCACTCAGATTGTTATCCTCCCCGGAGACTGCTCCCATTGCCCCTCCATGACCATGTCACAGAATCCTGGTCATAAAGTGGAGCAATATTAACATCTTTTTAGAAACATCTCCATATCTCTCCATGGATCCAAGGTTGCACAGTGTATGATCCATAAGGAAATGCGTCAAGTTGTAAAGCCCGATATCGCCTGCGCACGTGGGATTTAGTAGTCAGCCTTGGAAGTTGCTGACCTCGAGATTGCATAGGTGTATCAGTGTATCAGTGCCAGTGGTCACTTGACTCTGGTGGTGTACATAGTAGCTATTGTACTCTGTACCCATACTACAACTGACGTTCTTGCATCCGAGCCCTAGAGCCCGAGTCCACACTAGCACATGCGCATGCATATGCATGAATTTGAATAACTTGAAACATTAAATCATATTTACCAGTTGACATAGTAAAACATGTGCCCAAAAGTCTGAGTCCCTAAGCGCTCTACTAGTACCATATGGGTAGTAAATCAACATGTGAAAATTTTGAAACACTATGCAGATAACTTCCAAGGTTAAAAACCTTGGAACTTGAAGTTAATATTTTATTAGTCAATACATGTATACTGTGAAGGTATCTCATTTGTATTTCAAGTTATATTAAAATCCGGGCATCCCTCAAGCGCTTCCGAGTTAAAAACTCAAGATGTGGCACGTGAGCGGAATTTAGTGGAGATCGATATTGGATGATAAGGATGTTGGAAAAGTTGGCAGAGAATGGGGCATATAATTCCATTTGGTTCTAATATCCTCTTCCTAGCCGAGGTCTATCATGATTTTTCCGACTTGTGTGCTGTTATATTCGAAGACACCTCGGGAGTATCCAGATGTCTCAAATAGGGGAGGATTGCTTTTCCCAGGTGCCTAGACACGCACTCCATTAATTCTGAAACATATTGAAAATTCTAGACTAGCGCTTAGAATATGTCACCTTGAGTGCACGGAGCAAGTGTTACGAGTAGTTACGAAGAAAGAAAGCCACCGAGCTCCATATTGGGATTCCTACATCCGCCGAAGGCCGAAAACGGTTTAGTCTGAAAGCCATCACGTGAACACGCACTTGGTTTAAAAATCGCGATCCCTGTTTGGACAAAGCTAAGCCCAACTGCAAGCCACATTTTCTCGCTTCGCGGGAGTTCCGTCTAGTCCCGCGGCTCTGCTTAGCTTGGTGGGCTCCAATGCATGAACTTGATGACAGCATGATCTGAACTTGTGCTATCTCTTTTGCTTCCCCGGCAATTCCGAACAAGCTTTCCCCCCGGACCTACTAACGAACCCTGAGTACCCTGACCCAATCAGGACTAACAAACCCGCTTTACTCCTACCCTCCTAAAACATGGCCCTGGTCTCTGGCCCAGGCCGGGCTGGAGGCTCCTCGCTGGACCAGGAGTTGCATACATCAAAGCATGTCGCTTACATCAAGAATCTGGACACTGTGCGTGCTATATCTCACTGTGATACCGTAGGAATTTTTGAGAAGGGACAATAGTTGACGGCGGATAATAGAGGAAAGAAGAGTTGGAGTATTGGCTGACTGAGCACCTACGACTGAATGGGGTCTACTGGGGCTTGACGGCCCTCCACTTACTCGGTAGTCCAGACGCATTATCCAGAGATGAAACCATTGATTTTGTACTATCCTGTCAAAAGGAAAATGGTGGATTTGGAGCTGCCCCTGGTCATGATGCTCACATGCTCTACACCGTCTCTGCAGTTCAGATTTTGGTCATGATCGATGCAGTTGATGAGCTTGATAAAAGAGGCCTTGGGGGCAAGCAGAAAGTGGGCTCTTGTACGGATCTCCCTGTACAATGTCACTCATAATTTTTTACCTTCCACTAACCTGAACCAACAGTCATCGCCAGTCTACAGAATCGTGAGGATGGCTCCTTCATGGGTGATGAATGGGGTGAGACCGATACTCGGTTCCTGTACGGCGCTTTCAATGCCCTGTCGCTCCTTGGTCTTATGGACCTGATTGACGTCCCCAAAGCCGTTGCCTACGTTCAAAGTTGCGAGAACTTGGATGGGGCCTATGGTCTTTTCCCTGGTGCTGAATCCCACTCCGGTCAAGTATTCACCTGCATTGGAGCCCTCTCCATTGCTGGACGCTTGGACTTGGTCAACAAAGATCGGCTGGGTGCCTGGCTCAGTGAACGCCAAATTGATAAAGGGGGCTTTAACGGTCGACCCGAAAAGCTTCCTGACTCTTGTTACACCTGGTGGGTTGGATCTAGTCTAGCGATGATTGATCGCCTACATTGGATCGATGGCAAGAAACTCGCTGGATTCGTCTTGCAATGCCAGGTTAGCACAACTCTCGATTGCTTGATGATTGAACTTCTTCACTGACCTTTTAGTAGGATCCCGAAGGTGGTGGTCTAGCTGACCGACCTGGCAATATGGTCGATGTCTACCATACCCACTTTGGCATAGCAGGGCTCAGTCTTCTTGGAATTGAAGGTTTACAGGAGATCGATCCTGTTTAGTGAGTAGCATGTGGCGTGGATTTGAACCAGTTCCTTACTAACAAAATGACAGTTGTCTTCCAAAATCAGTGATTGCTCGTGCTCTTGGAAAGTGAGGAATCCTTTACCCACCAGCTATTATCTCTGATCCCTCCTGCAATCTAATAACCCTTGATTCTTTCTCAATGGATCATGGGATACAAGGCAGGAGGAGAATAATTGTTCACTTTGACTTATTCCGCTTCATACCATCCCACAATGGCCTAAGGCTGTTAAGACATCGTGGCACATACTTGAATAGTACATAAAGAAACCAGGTAGAAACCTTACAATGAGACATCAATTTGAAACTAATTTTCTTTTTTCTCTTCAATTAAATTCAAATATCTAGCATAGCACTGACGTACATATGGAGTATAGATTTGAATGGGTGCTTTCCTCAATTGAGGTGTATAGTCGTACCTTCCTTGTCTGGGCAGCGCCCACCTTCAAGCTCAAGACAACATTAATCCTTCCCCCTTCTCCGCACCCCCCGTTGTTCATCGTTCTTTCGACCTTTCTAGTTGCACGGTACTTCTTGCTTTGGTTTCATAGTTGTCTGTTTTGTCTACTCGTATTTTGTATGTCACTTCCTTCTCGATTGGACGCACCGCTCTCGGCACAATGGACGCTGCCATGCTACAGTGCATCATCTGTCCAGGACAGCCCCGATTTAGCGATGCGTCACATCTGTTGACCCATATTGCGTCCAAGGCTCATTTATCATTTTATTTCAAGCTTCAAGTACGCAGCCACCAGGAGAGTAATGCCACCGACCTCCTGGCGGAGTACGACGATTGGTACAGCACCAACAGTCTCGCACAATTGCTATCCGACAGGATGACTTCCAAGGAGGACCGGAAGAAGAAAAGAAAGTCACAGACGAAGATCAAGACCGAACCCGATGTACAGCCTCAGCTGCCGCAGAGAAGCTCTCGGAGATTGAATCCACCCAAGGTTGAAGACCAAAGCTCGCAGGCAATCGATTCTTTCCCTGACTATCTAGATCCCCGCCTGGCAGGCTCTCCCACGAGCCAGAAACAAGACTCAAACATCCAGGAGACGTCCTTCTTTCCATCCTATATTACGCCTGCCACACCCACACCCACGGGTGCAGTTGCGGTCGCTGACATGCACGCTGAAATGCCAGTGGAGGCTCGCCTCCAGTTAGGGCTAGCATCGGCCATGGACGCTTTGACACACAATGAAGTGCATGGGCAGTTCGACGGAGGTACAGGGAATTTGTATGGTACTCTTCCTGAAACACCCAAAGCTCCTCGAGCAAGACGCAGACGGAGCGCTATGTCGTCAATGGGCCATGATATGGTGGATCCCTTCTTGGATGATTCAATGCATACGGGAGAGTCGAACAACATTGATGCTGAAAAAGAACGGGCAGATGAGATGGCAAGGCTCAAGGGCATCCTGTGGCCGGGGATGGATATATTCGACTCAGCAACCCAACAGATGCGGCGCAAGCGCAATCAGAAAAAAGACCAAAATGTACTGAAGATGATGGAGATGACGTCGCTGCAGGTAGAGCCCACTGAACTGATTTTCTCTCCCACTGGTATCCTGCGGAAGCAGCGTGTGATTTCCGGCAATGTTGAAGACGACAGCCCTCTGAAGGGAGAGACGCCGATCCCAAAGCGACGCCCGCCTCGCCCCAAAAAAGATGCACTTCGCCGAGTCGATCCCAACGTCACCCGTGCACAAGACAGGAAAGGTGGCAGAAAGACAGCTCACAACACCCGCAACCGCAGAGGACTGGATATATATGATGACCATGATGTATACGCTGGATCTCCCAGTCCTCCTCGATTAAATGGTGGCATGAAGACCAGCAAGCCTCCATACGCCAGTGATGACGGTGAGCTTGGCCTTGCTGTGCAAGCATTTTCAAAGCGACCACGCAATGGGTTCACGATCTATGCCGACGAGGTTGACCAAGCTAGCTCGAGTTTCAAAGACCAGTTTGCATATTCCAAGGTTTCACGAGATACTTTGACCCCGGCTCGTTTGCACCTGGACCGCAAGACTGATTCCGGCATTCATGGGGGAAAATTCAACCAGCTTGCTATTGACAAAGAAAACATTGAGCCCATCATGACAACTCAAGGCCGAATCGGTTTGCACGAATGGCATTCCCCGTTCCCAAGACGAAGCGACACTGACAATGTTGGCTATACACCACGATTTTATTATGAAGAGCCGATGAATGGGGATTTTGGTGCAGATGGCGAGCAGGAAAGTGCTGCGTATCGATCCAATCCTTTGCTGGCCCCAAGCTCGAAGATGGAATTTTATGACACCAGCCTGTATGGCGGTGATATCGGGATGGTTGGTTGGGGGATGTCTCCTCATGTACCATCCTCAGAAGCAACAGTCTCTGAGGAAGACCAGCACGACCTTGCCCAACTGTATCTGACCGCTCATGCGGATTAGAATGTTTGAGGGCATTTCAATTTCAAGTTCATGATCGTCACCTTGGTCAAGTATCTCATGATTTAGACTGACCATCCTGCATTTTGAGAGTTGAGAAGCATGAACACGACTGAGGTTTCAAATTTTTATCTTTCTTTGTTTTTGTTTGGCATCAAGCGAGTTGTCTTCATACTGGGGTGGATGAAGGTGGTCATGTATTTCTCCCCTGACCTTGGTCGAGGTTTTTTTCGTCATGCCCGTATGTATTATGATTATCGTTGAATATGGATACCCAGGACCTTGTTAAATTGGATAAAAATTAATTTTACTGAGGCTTTTGTAGGCATTGTATTTTCATCTCTACCTTGCAGCTTAAGCATTCCCAGATGAACCAAGCAGTGTGGTCTCACTTGCCCCCGGCCGCCGCCCGGCGTGATATCGATAGCTGACTCAGCAGCCAATTAAGGGCCGTCGCGTCCAGCACGTCCAGCACGCGTCAAGAGTGACTGATCAACTTGACTGTAATTGGGGCATAACTACGTTCTTGCATTCGAAAGACATTCCTCCAGACAAGAATTAACCTGAGAGCGATTGATCTCCCTTCGCCGGAGACAGTCGAGGCATCATGGGCACCCAATCGTCGCCACCGTCCTCCGCTCCATCTCCGTCACTCAAGCGCAAGCAGCCAACCATTTCGAGCTTCTTCACACAAAAACCTTCATCTACTCCCCAGGCTACTCCTCCTACCAATGAGCTCAAATCATCTCCTCTAAAAACATCCAAGAAAAGACCAGCATCTCCCGATCCCGAGCCAAAACCAGAACCGAAAACAGCAAATCCCATACAAGACGACGACGATGACGAAGATGATATCGTTGTTCCACCCACTAAAAGAGCTCGAACAAATCGTTCAATCCCCGATGAAACCCGGAAGCCCTTGGCGGATGCTGAACCCAGCCAGCTTTCTCAGCTGAATAGCAGCCAACGAACAGACCTCTTCAAGTTCCAGAGCTCCCAGCCCGGACCATCCAACCGCGACGAAAACACAGACGCAGAGCACAAGAAGGAGAAAGAGAAGCTTCATCAGAAATTTGTTCAAAAACTCGGTGGTGTAGATTGCATGATTGGTATCGGACGGAAGTTCACTAGTGAAGTCGCTGTTGAGGCGGAGGAAGGCGAAGAAGGCGATGCAGATGAGGAGCCTGTGCCTCCGCCGCCTAAGAAAGGGAAGGGCGCTGCTACGAAGAAAACCGGGAGCAAGCTTACGCCGATGGAGCGGCAAGTTATTGATATCAAGCGCAAGCATATGGATACCGTGCTTGTTATTGAGGTTGGATACAAGTTTCGGTTCTTTGGAGAGGATGCTCGTGTTGCGGCGAAGGAGCTAGGGATTGTGTGTATCCCGGGCAAGTTCAGATTTGATGAACGTAAGTGATATACTATGGGAATGTTTTGATTGAAGCTGTTCATTAATCTGATGGTCATTTGCAGATCCCTCTGAAGCTCATATCGGTCGGTTCGCTTCGGCTAGTATCCCCGTTCACAGATTGCATGTGCATGTCAAGCGACTCGTAACCGCTGGCCACAAGGTCGGTGTGGTCAGACAAATTGAGACAGCTGCGCTCAAGGCTGCGGGTGATAACCGCAATGCGCCATTCGTGCGCCAACTTACAAATCTTTACACAAAAGGAACCTACATCGATGATGCTGAGGGCCTTGAATCTGTTCCCGCTGCTGGGAGTTCTTCGCCGGCTACGGGGTACATGTTGTGCATTACAGAGACCAATGCCAAAGGTCATGGCAATGATGAGCGAGTCAATGTCGGTATTGTTGCTGTTCAACCCGCCACTGGTGATGTCATCTATGATGATTTCGAGGATGGGTTCATGCGAAGTGAGATTGAGACAAGACTGCTGCACATTGCGCCTTGCGAGATCGTTATTGTGGGGGAGATGTCTCGAGCTAGCGAGAAACTTGTGCAACACCTTTCCGGTAGCAAGACCAACGTCTTCGGAGATGCAGTTCGTGTTGAGCGGGTGTCGAAGAAGAAGACTGCTGCTGCTGAGGCGCATAGCCATGTTTCAAGTTTCTACGCCGGGAAGATGACAGCGACGGGCTCAGCGGAGGATGTTAAAGCAGCTAAATTACTGCAAAATGTTCTCGGATTGCCGGAGCATGTTACAATCTGTCTATCTGCTATGATCGAGCACATGACAGACTACGGCCTTGAGCACGTTTTTGATTTAACCAAATACTTCCAGCCATTCTCGGCTCGTTCACACATGCTTCTCAATGGAAACACATTGGTTAGTTTGGAGATCTACCAAAATGGTACGGATCATTCGGTAAAAGGTAGTCTGTTTTGGACTTTAGATCGGACTCAGACGCGGTTTGGACAGCGACTCTTACGACGCTGGGTTGGTCGACCTCTACTTGATAAGGCGCGGCTGGAAGAACGCACCAATGCTATTGAGGAATTGACGAACCCTGCTCGAACAGTTCCCGTGGAGCGTATCAGAGTGCTACTGGGTAAGATTAAGAGTGACCTGGAGCGAAGTTTGATTCGAATTTATTACGGAAAGGTAGGTCGATATTGATTACCATACTTTGAGTTCTCTACTGATTTCATAAAGTGCACTCGATCGGAGCTTCTTACTGTCCTGCAAACTATGCAGATGATTGCAATGGAATTTGGAGATGTCAAGTCTGCTGCTGATACAAGTTTCGACTCGTCCTTAATCAGTGAGGCTATTGCCTCCCTTCCAACAATTCAAGCAGATGTCACCCGATTTTTGGAAAAGATTAACCTCCACGCTGCCCGGACCGATGATAAGTATTCTTTCTTCCGCGAAGAAGAAGAAACAGAAGAAATTGGCGATCAAAAGCTCGGAATCGGCAGCGTTGAACACGACTTGCAAGAACACCTCAAGGTAGCCGAGGAGCGTCTGGGAAGAAAGAAAGTGGAATATGCCACAGTTTCCGGAATAGAATACCTCATCGAGATCGAAAACACATCTCTCGCAATTAAAAAGGTCCCAGCATCTTGGGTGAAGGTCAGCGGAACAAAGAAAGTCTCACGATTCCATACACCCGAAGTGATCCAACTCATACGCCAAAGAGACCAGCACAAGGAGGCATTGGCAGCAGCCTGCGACAAGGCATTCCAAGCCTTACTCTCCGAGATATCAACGCAGTACCAATTCTTCCGTGACTGTATCCAGTCCCTCGCAACACTAGACTGTCTCCTTTCCCTCGCCACAATCGCTCAGCAACCAGGCTATGTCAAACCCGAGTACACAGATCACCCTTGTCTTCACGTCGAGCAAGGTCGACACCCAATGGTCGAGCGTCTTTTAACAGATGCCTACGTCCCCAACGACACAAACCTCGATACAGACGCAACTCGCGCCCTCCTTGTCACAGGTCCAAACATGGGCGGTAAATCCAGCTACGTGCGGCAGGTAGCTCTAATCGCAATCATGGGTCAAATAGGCTCCTACGTGCCCGCCGCATCAGCACGACTCGGTCTTCTAGACGCCGTGTTTACCCGTATGGGCGCCTTCGATAATATGCTAGCCGGTGAATCAACATTCATGGTTGAGCTTTCCGAAACAGCGGATATCCTTAAACAAGCAACGCCTCGATCTCTAGTGATTCTCGATGAGTTGGGTCGTGGTACCTCAACACATGACGGCGTTGCTATCGCGCAAGCTGTACTGGATTACATGGTTCGTTCTATCCGGTCACTCACGTTATTCATTACGCATTACCAGCACCTTTCGCGGATGGTTCGTTCGTTCCCGGATCAGTCTTTACGAAATGTGCATATGCGGTTTACGGAATCGGGTGAAGAGGATGAGAATATTACGTTCTTGTACGAGGTTGCTGAAGGCGTGGCACACCGTAGTTACGGATTGAATGTGGCGCGATTGGCGAATCTGCCTTCTTCTGTGATTGAGTTGGCCAAGGAGAAGAGTTCGGAGTTGGAGGAGTCTATTAAGAGGAAGAGGTTGGCGGGGCTCGTGGGGGCTGTTGGGAAGATTGTTGATGAGAAGATGGATGCTAAGGATGATATGCTTGAGCGATTACTTGCGAGTGTTGCGCAGTTGTAGTTGACCAAGTTGGAAGTTCTGAGGTTCATTGATTGTATATTATTTGCACGGCATTGGATAGTACTGTTGTATTGTGTTAAAATAAAAATTTCGGATATCATATCAGATAAATTATTGGTGTCCTTTCAAGTTAGTACGAGGCCAGATGTCTAGCTTGATACTGGCAGCGGAGCTGTTGGTTTCATTATTTGGACAGTTCAATTGCCCCTCGATGCCATTGGCAGGTGGTTGCGTTTGGTGTCTAATAATGGACATGGACTGCACTTCTGGAGTACTAGGTAGCAGTACTAGCAGCACTCGAATTTCATGCCCTTATAGACTCGGCATTCGTGTACATCCCTACAATACTACGGCCTAGTCCGTTGACATCTAGAACCGGAAGTTTCAAATTTTTTTTTATAATTCCCAAGGTTCTTTTCAGTCGGTCAGACCTGGCTCTAATCACAGCGCTCATTTGGAGTACCACCTTGCAATGTGCCAAGGGTCAAAAAAGAAGAGAAGCACATCACAACCTCGTTTGTCGCATTGAGCCCATGCAAGCACGTCAAATGGACGTGTGTATGTAGTAAAACACCAAACCAGACCAGACCTTCCCACAAATTCCACAAACCAGCCATCGCGCAACCTCATTTCGTTTTTCTCATACAAATAGGGAATTAGATCTGTTCGTTCTCTCCATCTCTCTCTCCCGTTCGGAATTGCCCTGATCGACTTCTAGGAATTCTTTTAGAGATCTCTCCAAAAGGATTCCTTCCACCCAGATCAACACCTCAATTGGATCATCGAAGAAAAAGACGAGACTCGAGAGGTAAATTGAAACGGGCGACGCGGCGGTTGAGGTTGAGAAGGCGGGGGAGTCAAAGATACGGCGAATAAGAAAAGCGGGGACACAGTTTTGGCCGAAGAACGATCAAAGAAAACCGAGCGTGAGAAATATGCGAGAGACGAAGAGTGACGGAAGACATAGCGCGAGTGAATTGTCGTTTTTGGGGATTTTAACGGAGACGGCGAGCCTCGCGCTCAGACTCGAGCAGGCAGAGGATGTCGTCGACACGGACTGGTGGTGGAAAGATATTAGGTTAGTCTTGTTGTGCGATATTTTCGGTTGTCTGGAAAAATGAAGGCCAAGTAGAAGTATCCCATCTGTCGGTGGATCTTTAAATTCCCCCTCTTATAATGTGGTGAAACCGGCTTCCTCCGGACGTAGAATGATGTTCAAAGAAATCGATATCGCATACCTGGGCCCTTGACGTTACGGATGATGGAACGGGAGGTGTCGTCCATGAACTCGACGCGGACCTGGGTGACACCACCACGGGAGCCTAAAAACATATAAAAAGGCACAGATCAGTATTCGCTGTACTCCGAAACGTCGGGTTTTTCATTCTCCACTATGATCCTGGCGACAACGGCGGTTGAAATGTCGGCCGCGGCAGATCTCGAATTCTGACAATCTCGAATTGTTCTCGGGTGTATTGTGGGATGTAGGAGAGGTCACGTACCGGTGCGGCCGAGGACACGGGTCACCTTGACGAGCTTGACGGGCTGCTTGCTGGAATCCATTTTGAAGGACTGAGGGGTGAGCTCGGACGAGGTTGGTGAGAGTTTGGGTGGACTGGAGGAAGAGGCGGATGTGAAGATGAATTTGCCTTGTGTGGGTTAACCAAATTACGCGAGGGCTCAGGGCTGTCAACACCTTACCCGTCAGGCATCAATTGACCTTAATGGGGATGAGTCATCAGATCGACGATTGACACCTCGACACCTTAATATCCGAATATTCAGGCATCAAATCTAACCAGATTCGTCATCTCCTTCATTGGAGGCTCGAAGTCCGCGGGTTTTACTCTATACCAATTTATCCCCTTTTGTGAAACATAAAGAATTTATTGATAGGATGAGTCAGTATAGAGTATTCCTATAATAAATCACTCAATTCTATTCTTATATCGAAGTATTGCCTCCACGTGGGTGCATTCTACCATATCCTTTGCCGTACCTTGGTCTATGAGTCCCACTCGTCACCAACGAATGTACACCCAATCGCTGCCCCTCCTCCAATTTCTGCCGCAAAGAGCTCCGGTCTGCCCGCAACCACTTTAACCCTCCAAACGCCCCAAGCAATTGCCTCGAGACAGTGTATAAAGTCTCTCGATCTGCAATTGACCTGATTCTGTGATACATTTTTCTCCGATCACAATCGCATATAACCCCCTTACCTCCCAAAAAGGTTCTTTGTGCCCCGCGCCGCAATCGCCATGGATCTCGTCAACCAGTGAGTCAACCCATTAACAAGCCCTACAATTAAAAAAGCCAGTATGGTTAACTTTCAATTCAACTCTAGCCTCGAGGGAAGACTTCTCTTCGCTGTCCCTAAAAGCAAGTCCTCCCCCATCTATACATCTGAGTCCATGACTCACTCACCCGAGTTCGAGTCCGAACAAAGCAATTGCATATCAACGCCACATATAATGCGCACTCATATGAATCAGAACCAATCAACTAACTGCAAACTATAGAGGGTCGTCTCCAACAAGCAACCCTGGACCTTCTCGCCGGTTGCGATATTCAATTCCGTCGCGAAACCCGCCTCGATATCGCTCTCGTTAAGAACCTGCCCATCGCCCTGATCTTCCTTCCCGCTGCCGATATCCCCACCTTCGTCGGTGAGGGCCGTGTCGATCTTGGAATTACAGGTCGTGACCAGGTCGCTGAGCACGATGCTACACTTCCTGCCGGTGAGACCTCCGGTGTGGAAGAGATTATGGATCTTGGATTCGGTGGCTGCAAGTTGCAGGTGCAGGTTCCGGAGAAGGGAGATATCACTGAGGCGAAGCAGCTTGTTGGTCGCAACGTCGTGACCAGCTTTACTGCGCTCTCTGGGCAATTCTTTGCTGGACTGGAGGGTGTTGAGTCCGGGAAGCCGTTGAGCACTAAGATTAAGTATGTTGGTGGTAGTGTTGAGGCTGCTTGTGCGCTTGGTGTTGCTGATGGTATTGTTGATCTTGTTGGTATGTAATCCTCCTTCGCTTTTTCAGAACATGGTTTGTTGTCTAACACTTTTCTAGAATCTGGTGAGACCATGAAGGCTGCTGGTCTTAAGGCCATTGACACTGTTGTCACTAGCACCGCTGTGCTCGTCAAGTCCCGGGACTCTAGCAACGAGCTCCTGAACCTGATCACTTCCCGTATTCGTGGTGTCATCACCGCCCAGAAGTTCGTTCTGTGCCAATACAACATTCCTCGCACAGAGCTGGCTGTCGCATCCAAGATTACCCCCGGTAAGCGGGCACCTACCATCACCGCTCTCGAGGAGGAGAACTGGGTTGCTGTCAGCTCTATGGTTGAGAAGAAGCGCATTGCCACTGTTATGGATGAGTTGATCAAGGTTGGGGCTACGGATATCCTGGTCCTCAACATTGCCAACTCTCGTACCGATTAGAGTGTCTTTTCTTTCTTGTTTATTTCCTTGAGCCTTTGATTATAGCAGGGCTTTCCCATTTTCTTTTACGATTGTTTTATTTCCTATATGATATATTTTGATGACTTTGGTTTTTCTGCTGGATGTTGCAAGGACTCGGACAAAAAAAACCTAAGGTGCGGGTATATAGAGCATCCAAATATTGGGTTATATAGCGAATTTTGAAAAGGATATGACCGTTCGTACATTAATAGTACTAGTAATTCAAAGTATGGATCTAATTTGTTTTCTATACAATATTTGAAGAGGCTCCTCTCCTCCGTGTATGATACATTTATGCAATGCACGTCCGTATAGTATCCTCATCTGCACCAATTCTAACAAGCAACATCAAATCATAGCATAAGTGGTATCATGAGAAGAAAAGAAAGGTATAACCAAAAAAAGAGACGCAAATGCAAATGCAAAATTCTAAGTTCCTGAGTTGGAACTGGAAAGAAAAAGAAAAGGGGTTCGTCTTTATACCTAAGCACCAAGACCAACACCCTCTCTTCGACCACGAACAATAGCTCGTAAGCACTGTCCCACACCTTCAAGATCACCGAGAAGTCCAACGTGGCCACGGTCACTCTTCACCAATCCACCCTTGATAACTCGGTATCCAGGGGGTAACATCGCCGCCGAAGCAAGACAGACACCATCACCAGCAGCAAAGGCCAGGTCATCGTAGGCATCATTTTGCTTGATAGCATCACGCGAAATGACTCGAGCTCCGTATAATGTAGGTACACTCTTCCCGTAGATTACCGCTGCAGGTGGGTACCGATTCTCGGATTGATGGGAAGGCAGGAAATTCAGCTCTGATTTGAACTGCTTAACCTCTGCCAGTGTGCGCTGCAGGTACTCGAAGGCGACAGGTCGAGGAATCGTGCAAGCAGTGGAAGCATTGGATGTTCCAGCACTACCACGCGGGTTCTGTACTGGACCGACGATACCATCAACAGGGTTATTGATATGCTCCTGGATCTTATCGGTGGTGCTGGTTGGTGACTGGGATTCTGTAGTAGAGCAACCGTTGGTCGAGAGATCCTCGTCGGTGGTTCTGGGTGTGGGTTGGTTGCTGAAATCTATTTCCTGGATTTGGGAAGTATCGAAGTCATCGCGAGGACCCATGGAGAATCGTTTCCCGATTATAGAGAAGCGGTTTGTAGTTGGTGGTGATATGGCTGGGTTAATGCAAGGGGAGAGATGGTATGTGTCCCAGTTCCGGGCGTCAAAGAAGTCCACGCGGAATTCTTCTTTGGATTGTTTGTCGATAAAGCAGTGGCCGTCTTCTGGGAGGAGGGCATAGCTGGTGCGGAAGCTGAAATTGACCTGAGCAGTTAGGACGCGGGAGCTCAATAGGACATCGTCACCGTTGCGTAGAGGGCCAAGAATGTTGACGCAGTGCTGTGGGACACCGGCATAAACAACACCAGCGAAGAGTTCGGGACGTTGGTTGACTGCATGTCGGGTGATGAGACCGCCGAGACTGTGGGCAACTACATAAGCGCCACGCCTTTGACCAGTTTCGCTGTTGACCCGGTTCGATGGTAGTCCCTCGAGGAACTCAATCAGTCTTTGAGAAAGAAGGTCTGGACTCAATCGCCAGTCATAACCATAATCCCATACGCGAAGATCACCGCGCACGGCATTCTCGCATTTTCGTAGTCGCTTCATCAATCGCCGGCACACATCCACGGGACCAACATGAGACAGAACACCGGATGGGATGATAGTCTCCTCCATGCGCTCCTCATCCTCCCGAGTCAGACCAACCTCCAAGTCAACCTTTCGCAGGTTCAAGCCCACCTTCATAGGCACCCACAACTGGCGATGAGGTGCTTTAGCAGATCGCAAAATTGAGCCACGGTAGCCGCCCAGGATCACAATATCACCAGTCAATTCAGACATGGCCTCTTCCAACATTGGATGTGTAGACTGCGAGTTATTTCGCGGTGGAGGTGGCGGGGTCGCCGTGCGATGCGCCGAGCCATGGACACCTTTCTCCGAACTGAACGACCCTCCCAGGTCATTAAAGAAGGGTCTTGAGTTCCAATCATTACGTATATCCTGTAGATTCAACGTGGGCATACTTAGCAGCCGACTACTCGAATCTTGCAGGGAGTCTTTAATCGCCTTGAAGCGGCTGTTGACTTGCGAATGAATATTCTCATACCGCGGTCGCTGTTCCAACGAGGACGCCGTAGACGACGCACGCAAGTACAACGACTGATCCGAGGATGAGCGTCTAAGACTTGGAGGACGCTTGGCCATGCCCGTACTCGGCCGCCTCAAGAAAGAGTGTTTTACAGCGGAGCTTCCCTCCAAAGACTGCAGTTCCGGAATATGCCGCGCATCATCACCTTCATCCGAATCATGGTTAAGGTGAACTCCATTGTTAGTAGAAGTAACAGGAGACGAAAGATATCGGCGATCCAGCGACGAAGTGCGTCTCGCCCGTAGCGTAGAATTCCGCTTCAAGGATTCCTCGGTGGTCTGACTACGAGCGCGATTTTGCGCATTACCCGATCGAAACGAGAGCGAGGGACGCTTCGCCAGCGAGCCCAAATCCGGAAGGAATTTCTTGAGCTCGCCAGACCATGCTCGCGGTCTGCGGGGTAATGATGTCTTCAATAGAGACCGGGTAAAACTTGATCGTTGAGAACTACCGGAATCCTTAGGGTGCGACGCGGCGGCTGACGCAGTGCCGTCGGTGTGGGGACCGCGTGGCGTTCGGCGCTCCACAGGCAAGGAATGCGCTTTAGGATGCGCGCCCGAAGGCCTCTGAGTCGCTGGCTTGGCAGGCAAAGCCTGCTGGGCCCCCAACTCATTATTACGTGACTCCACAGATTCCGGCTCTGCCGTCAACTGCGATACGAAGAGTCCATCCTCTCCGGCTGGATCTGGAAGCCTCGTGAAATATCCGCCATGGTCCTCCAGGATTCGGTTTTTCTCTTCGGCGGGCGTGGCGCGGGCCTTCATGCGGCTCTGCGTGGGACCAATACTGACGCCGACCACGTCGCTAGCTGCGTCCTCGTCCGCATCACTGTCTGAGTGCGGGCTTGGGCCATCGCTATCAGAGCTCGAGAAGGAGGAGTACTGCGGAGAACCGGACGCGATCGCATTGCCGGAGGACTGCGATGAATATGACTCTTGCGGGTTTGGTGGGAGCGGTTGTCGCTGCGGAGCTTCAGTAAGAGGCTTGCCCTCCGTTATTGCGCCCAACGAATCAGGCTGACTGGCAAGGATTGATGCCATCGGGCGTCAAATTTTGCACAACAGGAACCAAACGACTTGAAATCTAGTAGGTTCAGGGCATGAAGGTTGTACAAAAGTAAGATGTAGTCCAAGGTTTCGCGGGTTCCTCAAATGTCCGGAAGTTCAGGAAAGCTTCCAAACCAAGAATTCAAGTTTCATGCAGGGTGATGCAGGATGATGCAAGTGAGTAGTTATAAGCTCTGATAATTGAGAAGTTATATCAAGAGTGTAGGATATAGAATCATGAAGAAAGCTGAGTGATAATGACGGAAGCAGAAGTGGTTCCACTGTACACAGCCCTTTTTCGGGTCAACCGGAAGGTAAAAAATTCTGAGCGCAAATTCCACGTGAATCGGAAGTTTTAGTGATACGGAAAAAGTGGGATTGAATAATTTTTTTTTTTAATAATCGAATAAGATGAAATCATATGGATCTGGGAGATTTCAATAGTCTGTTTGGTCCAAACTCCTTTGTTTTAATTTCGGGAGATCGCTTCAATTTCCAAAATGGATCGGCCCCCATCTATGAACGCTATGACAAGGAAAGCTCTGAGAAAATGGTCAAGCTTTTTTCCAAATTAAAGAAGATATTACCAAGAACCTTGCAAAGATGGGGACATTCATGACTCGGACGCCCAATCATGCCCGATTGAATTGCCAACTCCATTTGTAATATGGTGCATATTCAATGCCACGTCAGTCGTCATAGCGCCGAACTGTACTATGCATGCTCGTCAATGTTCGCCGTTTGAATCAATTTTAATCTCTACTCGGAGATCTGACATAAGACGCTAGTACTCGATGACACTTCGACCTTGAAGTTGACCTCGGGAACTTGAACCACGCTATGGAGCACCGACTCGCGTACATGTTCATTCCCCACCGCGGCTGAACGGGGCCGTCAGCCCTGGAGTCCTAAAATAACTGGAAATCATTTCGCAATTCCAGGCACCTGGTTGAAAGGATTAGGCTGGAATCAACCAAGATAAGAACCTTGGAAGAGAGGGGTAAATCAAGCTTCATCCTTAAACTTGAACGAGCTAGGTGCGCGAGAACCGGAGTGCATATGTCCCAAGGTGGGACATGCATCATGCCCAGATGGAGTTAAGGATACTCCGAATCGTATTCGTAAATCTCTCCAGGATATATAAACAAGCACCTGTGGCTCCACCTTCAGGCCTGGGCACGGCTCCATGAACCACTGGCACTCAGGCTGCACATCCGAGTCTGAGCGTGAATTCTTGTATGTACCAGCATTTTCTATTTGAGCCTCAACAAGTAGTTTTCATAAGCGTGGGAAAATTGGACGTTCGGTCGCATATTCTCTAGAATGAAATCGTCAGATCTGCATTAGCACGCCAGGTCACGGTGATCAGTGGTTTTGTATCTTGCTCTGAAACAACTTGAAGAGTAGTCTTCATCTCTTCCCCAGTTCAGCGCAATGTGAAGCGAGTCGGATTTTTTCAGGTGCGCTGGAACTCAACTGATTATTTATATTCCCACAAGAAAAAAGATATAGAAAGCTTCCCAAGGTTGTCATGATGTAACTAGGCAATCGGAGTTCACCGCCTGATTAATCAGGCAGGGTAAGGCGTTGTGCCATGGACCAGCTGCAGCTAACTCAAGCTTCCTTCGTAAATCGTCTGAAAGTCATAAATGCGGGAACGACTCGGATTCAGGTAAATCTGCTGCCGAGAAAGCCCAGGAAACTACCGACAAGATTTCCTATAGGACAATGGAGAGGGCAAGTCAAGATAAGGGACTTGTTGAAGACTCAGAAAAATATGTTGGAGAAAATCAAGAAAAGTTGAAGTTCTCGAGATTCGGGAGAAAAATGTTGCAATGGGATCTACTGTCGACTGCCCATGAACTGTTGAGTGATGAGTGGCTCAACAGTCCTTAGTATGCTTGACTTCAAGTTTATTTACAGTGAGGAAGTGTTAGCCAAGGATTCAAGAACGAGGCTACTATATAACCAATACATTATAATCTTTCATTCAAAAAAGCTCTGTGCATATAGAACTAGCTAATACCTAACCTCACATTCTCTGATTCTGATCTAGTATAGACTCAACCTTGTGATAGCCCTTCAGCCCCGGGGCGCCGGGGCTAGTTCACTCTCGTTGACTAGGCAAGTCCTCACCAAACTCTTTGGACTTGAATTCCTGTTCACCCCGACGCGAGATCTCCTCATTCCACTCCGCACTTTCATGAGATCCGAATGCTCGATCAACAGTGGCGTTAAGCGCTCCTCGTAGGGTCTCTCCGGCGCCCTATGACAATTAGCCTCTACTCTCTTGAAAGTTATACACATGGACTGTGTTTACGAGTCACTCACATGAATCTTAGCCGCAACCCCATTAATACCCTTCCCAATATCCTCACTAGCCCGATTGGACCGAAACGCCTTCTGCGACTTTTCCATCTCCTTCTCCATCTGCACACGTTCGGCCGTACTGGGCGCATGATTAATTCGATCATCGCCAGCTGGGGCATCAAATCCCTTAGTCGGCGTAATGGGCCGATGACTTGGTTCTTGGGATTTACTCCCTCCAGTTTTGTACCCGGCACCGGTGGAAGAGTTGAACCGGGTTGTGGCGGGATCATACTGATTTCGCTGGTCTTGAAGGAAGGTTGGGACACCGGGGGCACCGGTTGAAGAACCGGAGCGCATGGGTTTATGTGTGTCGCTCATTTTGGGAGAATATATATATGGGATGAGTATGTTCAAATTGAGTCGAGCGAAGAATTTTGATTAATTGATGATGTTAAGCTCATTTATACTGTCATTTGGTCTGATGCGGCGACGTTCGTGACGTCATGCTGAACGCAGACTAATCTGGGGGAAAATTAGTAACCAGTTGATACTAAAATTGTGAAAAGTTATTAGGCATTATTTGGAAGTCAAGACTTACTATTAACCTTGCAGGTTACACAATGCACCACAATGGGGTCAGGGTCTTATTCTTTAGGTGATGAGCATATCTGAGCCGAGGTCTGATAGATCACAGCCCTGGAGTGGAGCAATCTTCCTAATCTGGGGTTGCTCCGAATCTTTTAACATTTCAAAGACCCTTTCAACCCCAGCTTCTTTACCCCCTTTAATTCCTACGACTTCTTTTTTACACAGCAAACACATTCTACTACTGAATCAAGTGACAAAATGTCTTACAAACAAATACTCTACAACAAGGCCCCTAAGTCAGCCATCGATCCTACCCTCAACTCCGGTACCTTTCGAGTCAACACTGTGCCTCGGCCCTCCAATGTCCCAGCCGATAAGATCCTCGTGCGCGTGCACTACCTCTCCCTCGATCCTGCCATGCGCCAATGGCTCACAGCCAAGCGCTCATATATCGCGCCCGTCGAACTAGGCGCCGTCATGCGCGGACAAGGCATCGCACAAGTGATCGAAGTAGGCACCGAGCTCTCCTCCAAGTTCAAGACTGGTGAATGGGTTGTTGCATACTCTGGCTGGCAAGAATATGCCCTGCTAGGCGCGAAAGAGGTGGAAAAGGTATCCATTCCTACTGGTGGACGACCAACAGACGCCATGTCCGTGCTTGGTATGACTGGATTGACCGCTTATTTTGGTATGATGGAGATCGGACAACCAAAAACAGGCGATACAGTTGTTGTTTCTGGGGCTGCGGGAGCTACAGGAAGCATTGCGGGACAGATTGCGAAGATCAAGGGTGCGAAGCGGGTGGTTGGATTAGCGGGCAGCGCCGAGAAGTGTGAGTTCCTTGTTAAGGAGCTTGGATTTGACGCTGCGATCAATTATAAGGATCCGCAATGGAAGAAGCAGTTGAAGGAGGCAACTCCTGAATACATTGATGTCTTCTTTGATAATACCGGTGGTGAGATCTTGGATGTTTGTCTTGCTCGTGCGGCTCGGGATTCGCGGTTCGTGATCTGTGGTGCCATCAGTCAGTATAATGTGGCGAAACCGCAGGGACCAACGAGCTTCATGATGGTGATTGTGAGTTTCTATCTTGGTTTATACTGTATAATCATGTCTAATCAGAGATACAGTCGCAACGCGTCACGATCAAGGGATTTATCGTTTTTGACTATGCTAAGAAGTATGCATCTGCATTGCAAGAGCTGGCCTCGTGGCTTTCGCAGGGTAAACTCAAGCGCAAGGAACATATTGTGAGGGGGGGATTGGAGCGAGCTCCACAGGCTCTTGTTGATCTATATGCTGGGGTGAATACGGGCAAGATGATGGTTGAGGTCGCCCCGACCAGCGAGGCACTGGGACCTAAGGCTAAGCTATAGGTCTTTGACTCTGAGTCAATGTATGTTTTTTTCGGATTCATCAATGTGGATAGATAACAATATGATAGAGCTTTGCTCAATGAACACCCCACTAGAGTTTAAACATTGCCATTTATCGTCTAATACCGGGGCATCCAAGGTTATTGATCAGACGGAAAGTGTCAGCTCCGAGTCCCTTTTGAGATTTCATTCATGGACCAGTGAATTTGAACCAAACTTAGAATCATGGGCAGCACCGAAGCATTTATAGGTTGATTTCCAAGGTTTAAACGGATGACTGGATAGCTCTCATGTTGTTTGTTCTTCCCTCCATACCATATCCACACCTCTTTTCCTCCACCCAGTGCAGGTTTCTCAGTTCTCCATGGCTTCAATATCCGATTTACCGCTTGAGCTTCTACTCTTCATAGCTCGATTCTCAGATTACGAATACGATATCTGCGCGCTATCACAAACCAATCGCCGACTCCATTTCCTTCTTAGTCCCGAAGTTTACCGCCGCCTACGCGAAACTCCAAACCCAGCCCTTGAATGGGCCGCAGAGAATGGGAAGAAAGACTGCGTTCGCAGGCTACTAGATGCCGGAGTCCCACCTGATATGAACCACATCAGGAATGCGAAACCCATAATACTTGCGTCCGTTCATGGATATACCGATGTGGTAAAGTGCTTCATACAGAATGGTGTCGATCCAAACTCAATGACGCTTCTCGGTCCAAAATATCTTGAACCTCCACCCGATAAGCAGAAATATTCTACTCTCATAAACCCTTTGGGTGCTGCCTGCGGAGGTGATCATGAACAAGTCGTTCAATTGTTAATAGATCACGGGGTAGAAGCGCAGCCTTCTTCAGACCCGTTTGAAACGAAGCAACACTTGTGTTTGGCAACAAGCAATGAAAATCTACCCATCGTGAGAATACTTCTTGATCACGGCGCTGATCCGACTATCAAGGACCTGAGAGGCTTCAATGCACTGGAATATGCTGCGTGCCTGGATCTGGAGTTCACATTGCTGCTTCTTGAACGAATTCCAATCGATCATTTACTCCGAGACTACAGACTACCAAGAGGGCCTGTTCAATATGCTTGGAGGACTGGTAATATTCCAGTTCTGAAATTCTGGCTGGATTTAACCTTAAAACATCTGAACAAGCTCGGTCGAGAGTTTTTCTACCATTTCGTGAAGGAGCCGGACTTGTACCAGGATCAGCCTGCAACAAAGCTTTTCCTCTCATCCATCGATATGGACAGTATACTGCAGGAAGTTCCTAATAGCCAAGCCAATATTCCCGATGTCAATTTTGAACTTGGGAGTATTTCTAAAGTTCTACCTGACTTTGCAAGAAAAGTGCTTGAGAAAAATACTCTCGACCAGGCAATGAATGATGAAATATTTCGGGATGCTGCTATGCATGGGCGCATACATGTCATGAATGTTCCGACTGCGCATCGGGTGAATGGTGAGAAATACCATCGAGAGCCAATAGGGTTGTATCGCCTAGATTATTTGTGGCCAAGCGAGCCGGGAGCCATAGCGTCAGTGAAATGGCTTGTTGAAAACGATACTGGGCCTTACGAGATCCATAGCGAAAATGCTCTGAGAGTTCTGCTTTGTGTAGGGGATACGGCGATGCTGCGCAAATTCCTTGACACATGGGATATCTCAGAAGAAACGAAGCTGAGGAAGATCTCAGATTCAATTTATCTGGCTATACAAAGAGAGGCCAATACTATGTTCTATTTCTGTTTGGAACTTGGCGTCAAGCTGAATCCTCGGGATTCTTCGCATTACGAAGCATTCAAAGAATCGGTTAGGATTGGCGCAATAACTATTATAAAGCATTTCTGGATGCAGGATTCGATGTTAACAGGGAACATCATTCTTCCCATGACCTTGAATATCCAATGTGGCATAGTAAGCCTCGCCACGATTACAGCACTTTGTATCATGCGTTCTCTGAAGATGACATCGAGATATCCATCAAGACGGCGACCTTTCTACTGGAGCACGGGGCAGACTTGGAGCAAAACCCGGCGCCCTGGAGTTTTAATAAGTTCGAGAACACTCATGCGTTGGCCGAGGAGAAACAGAGAACATGTCTTCTTCATCTTATCCAAAAGAGCGAAGAAGAGGCGAGGAACGCAATGATCTGCCAAGGAGTCAAGTGTCTATTGGAACACGGAGCGGATCCTTTCTCTACAACAATGGCAGGTGAGACGGCTCTTGATTTGGCCGTCGAGGAGGACTTCCTTTCGGTGACAAAAGTAATACTTGATTTTTTTGACGCGACTGACATGCTATTTGATAAGATCAAGAACATGGTATGGGAGAGTATGAACTATGGGTTCGATATGGGTAAGAAATACAGTGAAACAGCTCGGCTTTTGTATCGCTATTACTGGCGGCGAACACATGCTGTCCCAAGCTAGCCAGTTTTAGTATTAGGGATTTGATTTTTCTCTCTTAAGGGCTTGCTGAGACTTCAATGTTTGTTCAATTTCTCGTGAAACAGTCATCGTAGAAGGATGAGCAGTAGCAGGCTAATTACCGTAGGAGAGAATGAAACAGTTTAGATAAGAACCATTAAAACATGAATGCATCATTCAAGCCTGTTCCAATCTAATGAAGATAAAACTATCTTAATATCCCATATCTCCAGCCTCACATACTGATACACGACTTATCCATTCCGACTGCAACATCTGCTTTGTAGTGATCCGTTTCCTTGAGAGAGGATGCAGCATTGCATAAATAGCATTTCGCCGCCTCTAAAAGACCATTAATATTAGCCAGTGACCCCAGAAACATTAAAGTTTCATGATAAGATGAAGTGAAAAAAACATACCATTCCAAGCGCTTCAATAGGCGGATACCCATCCTCCGAACGACGACAGTGGAGATACTCCAAGTACCGTGGATCCTCCCGATGGGGCCTCGCACTCCGCCAAATCAAACGTCCCATAACCATAGTCAAGTAGATAATAGCCGTAGCCCAAACATCAGCAGGACGGGGATCATGGTCATCATCTTCATGCGACTGATCCTCTCGTTGTAATGAAACATGAGACCGAGCCTGAAACCCTTCTGGTGGGATATAAGGAAGACTCATACCGGGAAACGAAGCAGTCGAACTCGCCACTTCACCCGAACTACGTGGTAACGTAGTATTATTTGTACGCGATGAACCGAATAACCATGGAAGTGAAAATGACCACGGTGCCGAGGATGAAGGGTGAGAATGAGAGCGTGGACGGAAGGATTCCTCTTGTTCTGTAGGACTTGCGCATTCTGTCCAGAGACGACGGATATGTCCGTCGCCGAACCCGGCAAGCTTTACTGCGCCGTGTTCTGTTAGGAGAATGGTTTCGAGACGGATGTCACGGTGGGCTACTTCGTGTTCGTGGAGGAAGGAGAGAGCGCGGAGGATTTGTGTCATAATGCAATCTGCTTCGTTTGTTGGGATTGGTGCTCCTGAGCGGGAAATAAGTTCGTGGAGGTCGCCACCTGCACAGAATGGTACCACCAGACAGAGTTCCGAGCGCTCATTGTAGAGGAGGTCTGTTATTGGGAGAATATTTGGATGATCGGGATGTAGATCGGAGATGGAGGTAACGGAGCAATGTAATGATGAGGTTTGAGAGAGCGGATTTGATGTGTCGAGAATGTTATATCGGTAGACCTTGATGGCGACGAGTTGTTTTGATTTCGAGCTAGGGATAGAAGTCTTGATTTGGTGAAGACGGACGGTGCTATTGGTGCCATAGTGCAGGATCTCCAGACAACGGCCGTATCTCTCGGAAAACGGAATATACGACTCTGGGGTTGGGGGCTTGCTGGAGTCTGTTGTTCCCAGGGTCTCTGACCTCATCAATGGTTGTTGATCTGTCGAGACTGGTGCTAGACTAGGCCGGTGCTCATTCCTAAAAACAGGCCAGCCGCGCTTTGTGCCGCTTTGACTGGCCTCATGGGACTCTGGAGACCACTTTGCGTGTGTCACATAGTGATGATGGGTAACTTGTTCGGGTCGGTGCACGGCGACTGCTGTCCAGGCGTCTGAATGACGACGTTCGGTCTTCATAGACAGCTATTTCGATAAAAAAAAGCAATAGAAAGTTTAAGCAGATCAAAAGAAAAGAAAAGGAAGAATCCGAGGATGATATTGAGCTAATAAAAAAGAGAAATAAAAAGACCACAGCAAAGTTTGCGATGGCTTGCACGACGCGATCCCCATGAGACGGGCGGGTTTTTATAGATATTTCCCCCTTGATAGCGGTGTATCGTCACCTTAATTCCCACGTTTTACAAACTACATGGACCATTCGGAGTAAAAGAATAGAAGATAGGGGACACAAATAGAAAAAATAAAATAAAAATAAAAATAAAATGACATATCTGCATGCATCTCATAGTCAACGGTCAACCTTGGGAATACTGTACCAAAGGGACATGGATTGACAGGAGTGATAGGGCAGATAGTCATACTGGGGGACAAATACTGCGATTGGATATGGCAAACCGCTCACGCTGATCCTATTTTCTCATTAGATGACCCGGTGGCTGAGAGAATTTTTTTCACCACACTATTCAATACTAGTACTTCGTATTGTGAACAAAAAAAATTGAAAACGTGGGAAAAAATTGATTAATGTGAAAAATTGGGGGCCTAGAGAGTTGTACCGAATGTAGTTCGGGAGATCCAAAAGATCTATGGTAAAGAAAAAATCGCGCATGCTTGACCCGGGGATCGTTCACCATCAGCTTCACTAGAACCACCACGCTTGCGGGGTGGCTATGCTAAACCGAAATTACATGCGCCATTTCTTGTTTGGTCACTATGATGATAATTTTTTTTCTTCTCTTTTTACTATCGGTTCTTAATTCCCAAGGAACAAAGAACGTGAATCCGAGGGAAAGTCTTAGGGCTGGATGAGTCTAATCTAGTTCCTGTATCGTAATAGATATACCAGGGTAATTTATGATTGGTCAGGGGAAGATTTAAGGGGTAATATTACTGTCATACTCTGTATATCGTAATAAAGAGCTTGTCATCTTCCCGTTTGCTCCACATCATATCCTTCTTCTATTGCTCATGGTGTATACTCCACACAATTACTCTTTACTTCATTAATGTGAGCGATTTCCTTGTTAGTAGGCGGGTACGGACTATTTTGTACCTTATTCCACTATATTCCACTATGAGTTCCCCGTACCTAGCCACACATATGCGTGTATTTTGATTTTTCCTTTTCCCGGTGAATTGGTGCTAGTATAACCCGCATGGCGCATATCACAAAATCCCTCTTGGTCCCTCGTGGCTAATGTCACTCGCGTGGCTCCGCTTGCGTAGCTGACACGAGGTTTCTATTATTCAATTTTTTTTCTTGCTTTTTCCCCTCGTAGATTCTCGTTTCGCCTTCCTGTTTCAACAGGTGGTAGCCATCCAAGCAAGATCTGGCAACTAGATCTGGCTTAGTTCATACTAAAGGTCGACCCTACATAAGGCCAGGGTCGCACACACCAACTTTTTTTTTCTCACTCTATCTTCCTTCCAAGTTTTCTAAGTGCTCTTCTTTCGGTTTTCTTGCTGTGGCCTGTCCTAGGTGCTTGGCTGTCTTCTTTCTACCTTCCTCCCATCGTCCTTCCCCTCCCGAGACAGCGACCACCATGGAGTCAAATCCACCCCACGGCAAGCCCGACATTGATGTCGAGGCCAATGATGATACTGTCAGAGATGATAGTGATCGCACTGGACGTATGCGCATTACTTTCGAAGATTCATCGGCCACCGATGTGGAAGGAATGCGCTCTATCTACCAGCCGAGCCAGCAGCTTGGACGTACCCGTTCCCTGAGTCGGGATACTATCCACAGCAACCGCAGTGGTGTCCAGTCTACAACTTCGCCAAATGCTGGTATTCCAATTGAATTCCGCACACTCTCCATTCAGATTTCGGAATCTCAAACTCGTCCTAAGGAGATTATCGCCGATCCGCCCAGGGAAAAGCTCCCCAACCAAGATTACTTTGAAACCCTGGACTTCCATACAATCCCCCAAGATAAAGTCCTCCAGGAGTTCAACGTTGATCCGCGATTCGGTCTGAGCGCGGAGTCTGCAGCAACTCGTCTGCAACGAGATGGTCGCAATGTCATCGCGCACCATCGCGAGAATTATTTCAAAAAGATCTTTTTCTATGTGTTTGGTGGCTTCTGCTCTGTTCTATGGGTTGGTGTGGTTATTTTCTTCATCTGCTGGAAACCGCTCAGCAACCCGCCTTCTCCTACCAATCTCGCTATGGCTATCTTGATTATTATCGTCATCACACTGCAGGCCAGTTTCTCGGCATTTCAAGATTGGTCGACGAAACGAGTCATGAATTCTATCTTGAGTCTACTCCCCTCGGAAGCTCTTGTCTTGCGCGATGGAAAACAGATTCGTCTACCTGCCACTGAGCTGGTAACTGGTGACATCGTCCAGATCAGCGTGGGAAACAAGGTGCCGGCTGACATGCGACTTCTCACAACCTCTGGGGATGTGCGATTTGATCGTGCAATCCTCACTGGCGAGTCTGATGAGATTGATGGCGCTACCGACTCTACCGATGCGAACTTCCTTGAAACTCGCAATATCGCTATGATGGGAACTCTGGTCACCAACGGCAATGCTACTGGTGTTGTGGTGCTTACTGGTGCTAGCTCGGTCATGGGTCGTATTGCCAAAATGACTGCCGGTGTCAAGCAGAAGCCCACTCTGATCCAGAAGGAAATCAATCGTTTTGTCACCATCATTGTTGTAATGACTGTCATTCTCGCCTTGCTTATCCTGTTTACTTGGCTTGGATGGCTGCGCAAGGACCACCCGGGCTATATGAGCGTTGTGGCTATGCTGAACAACGTTATGGGATGTGTGGTCGCCTTTATTCCAGAAGGTGTCCCTGTTGGTGTTGCTCTGACGCTGATGATGATTGCCCGTCGCATGAAGCAGACAAACATTCTCCCTAAGGGATTGGCGACTGTTGAGACCTTGGGATGTGTGAATGTGATCTGCTCGGACAAGACTGGAACACTCACACAGAACCGCATGTTTGTGAAGTCACTCGGCATGGTTGACTGGGAGTATAGCATTGAGGATTTGGTTCCTGGCATGGAGTCTTCCGACGGCCTGCGCACTCTTCTCCGTGCATCTGTCCTTTGCAATGATGCTACATTTGACCCGGAGACCCTGTGCCTGCCTATCCATGAGCGTTCCGTCAATGGCAATGCCACTGATGCCGCGGTGCTACGACTTGCTGACAGCGTTGGTGCTGCCTCTCCAAAGAACCTCGAGCCTTATGAGCGTGTGCACCAGATTCCCTTCAACTCCAAGAACAAGTGGATGCTCACCATGCACGAAGACCCTGATCTCTCCAGCGGATATATGATTTATGTCAAGGGTGCTCCAGATGTTCTTCTGGATCGCTGTTCCACCTACTGGTCCGCCGTTGACAATGCAATTCGTCCTCTGGATACCCACGCCCGCCAAAAGCTTTCTGACTTCCAGGCCAAGCTTTCCCGTCGCGCCGAGCGTGTGATTATTCTCTGCCAGCGCCGCTACGTCCCAACTCACCCCCTTGGGTCCAACGGTTTCAGCGATGAGATTTTGGAATCAGGAGCACAGGATCTCACTGTTCTTGGAATTTTCGGTATCATCGATCCGCCACGACCAGAGACAGCCCAGACTGTCGCAGCATGCAGACGTGCAGGAATCCGCTTTTTCATGGTCACTGGTGACTTCGGGTTAACTGCTGCGGCAATTGCTCGTGACATTGGCATCTATGATGGCGAGAATGAGCCAGACAATATCGAAGATCTTCGCGATGGCTTCTGCTCTGACAAGTCACAACGTTCCCGTCGTAGCCTGCTTCTCGAGGGTGGCAGTCTCTCCTCATTGACGCAGGAAGAGTGGTCTATTGTTTGTGACTATGAAGAAATTGTCTTCGCTCGTACCAGTCCCGAGCAGAAGCTGCGCATTGTATCTGAGCTCCAAGCCAAGGGTAACTATGTCGCTGTTACAGGAGATGGAGTCAACGATGCCCCTGCTCTCCGTGCTGCCGATGTGGGTGTAGCCATTGGCTCTGGTAGTGACGTTGCCATCGAAGCCGCCGACCTGGTCCTCCTTGATCGATTCGATTCCATCGTCGAAGCTATTCGTCTTGGTCGTCTTGTCTTTCAGAACCTTCAAAAGGTCATCGCTTATCTGCTCCCTGCTGGTAGTTGGTCTGAGATCTGGCCTGTGATCATGAACGTGTTCTTCGGTTGTCCTTCCCCCCTTAGCTCCTTCCTGATGATCATCATCTGTGTGTTCACCGATCTTTTCCTTTCTCTTTCCCTCATTATGGAGAAAGAAGAGTTCGACTTGCTCAGTATCCCTCCTCGCAATCCTCGCAAGGACCACCTTATCAACCTCCGCATCTATGGCCAGTCGTACCTCTTCGTCGGTGTGATGGAAACATTCAGTGCCCATGCCATGTTCTTTGTGTACATGTGGAAGGCCGCTGGAATCCCATTCCACGATCTAATCTTCGCATTCGAGAAATACACCGACGGATTCCACGGATACACTACTGAAGAGCTGAACCACTTCAACTACGTTGGTCAATGCGTTTACTTTGTCACATTGGTGATCATGCAATGGGGCAACATTCTTTCCGTGCGCAGTAAGCGCATGTCCCTTCTCCAGGCTGATCCCATTCGTCCTGCTCGTCGCAATCCCTGGCTTCCACTCGCTATGCTGGTTTCTCTTGTCATTGCTATCTTCGTGACTGAGGTCCCTGGTATCCAGAATCTGTTTGAAACTGCTTCTGTGCCTATTGAGTATTGGTTTATTCCTCTTGGTCTGGCACTTGGTGTCCTTGTTATGGATGAGCTGCGCAAGGTGCTTGTTAGATTGTTCCCTAAGGGACCGGTTGCTTGGGTTTCTTGGTAAGACCGAGAATGGAATGAGCGACTCATTCATAGAGGGGTGGCTCTCTAGCTTTATGTCATAAAATAAGGGTGGCTTTGTGATTCGGTGTTATGGTGTCATTTATGTTGCATATATTAGTTTACGTTTGATGTTCTAGCGAAATATCCTCTGATTCAGATATTCAAATTGAGCTTTCATTGATGTTTTTTACTTCACCTGTTTCTCATAATCGTAAATCTGAATCTTCAAATGTTTGCTGGGTAATGCTTTGATGCTAATTCTCCACTAGCATGAGACTTCCAAGGCTCAAACTTTGGTATACGAGACCGGAATGAGTTAAGAGGCTCAGGCTATATAGTATTTATGAACCTTCAATGTTTGAAGATAGCCTGATGGATGAAGTTTTAATTATTATTTAGACTATGACTCTATCAGTACATACGATTCAAGCTTGAATTTACTTATCTATCCATTATGTCAAACACTGGCAGCTCGCTTGTTAGATTAACTACACATGTTTTATTTCAAGTTGGACTTCCCCGTCAGATTCTTATATACCCAGATGCCACTGATCGTGATGGTTGTTTCACTTGTCTGTCCTTACCAACACATACTACCCACTGGCAGGTGCTTGTATATTCATTTATTAAACTATTTCCACGACTTTCACCTCGGATTCCAGCGTCGGGATCAATTTTCCGAACAGAGTCACGAGATTTTAAATTAAGTCTTCGAGACTATAAATACGAGATATTTTCTTCTTATCCTTCTTCATCTTCTTTCTTCATCTCTCCTCTCTGACATTGCTCAAACCTTTGAGCAAAACCGGAGCCTTGCGACAGCTAACCTTGTAGCAATTCTCGCATCACGACTCAGCCTATGGGGTATCTTCAACCGGTTGATGACCATCATCAACATTTCAACTGTCTACTCTGTTCTGGAGACCTTGGGTAAGCATAATTTCAACCTCGCGTATACGCATTCCTTGGCAAGGGACAGACACTTTGATCGCCCGACACAAAGCCAGAAAGAGTCTCATCAAAACCTATTTTTGAAATCTCTTTGGCTGAGTGCTCGGTTCTTTCTATCAAGGAAAAGCTCATGCTACGGCATTATGGCCACCACCTGGCAATATCCATCAGCCTTGGACTGGTTTTCTGTATTCTTTCCCAGTCCCCAGACTATTTAACCTCTCGCGTTTGCAAGTTTCTTCCTTTATAGTATATCTTCAAGTTCTGACCACCACTGGCAGGCCATAGACTTCATGTCAACAATGACAGGATTCTTTTTACCCAAATGCTCCTGGCTCTAAGGCCAAGGCCGATCATGATCCTCCGCAATTGCCTGGCAGCAAGCGCGAATTGGACCAAGCTGAAGCTAAGCCAATCAAGCACTTTCACCACTCGTGAGGATTATGGGGATGCTTTTCAGCTTTGAATTATCGCTCAAAGCCTTTGTCACTCTTTTATGACAAAAATGAAGCCGCCGACGCTATGGTGGCGAGCCAGCAAACAGAAGAGCTGAATGGGGCTGGGGTCTCTTTGTCACTCCAAGCTGGAGACAGCAAATAATCCGACGAATCGTCGATTATTTGAATACTGCCTCTACAAGCGTCCAGGAGATTCTAACGCCTCGATCAATCAACGTTCGTGGTGGCTAAAGAAACTCCTGGTGGATGAGTACTCCGCGAACAAGAAGCTATGGCTACACGCCCAAACCCACATGCAAGTGTCTCTTAAGGCTTTGCGCGGGCTGACACATAGCTCATCTTGTCACATCAATACTCCCACTATAAAATGGTAGTATTTCAGCCCGATCCACAGGCAGGTACCTTTCCATGCTTTTTGAAGCCTATTGCTAACTCTTTACTAGGCTCTTCTTTTCTCTTGTCCTGAAGCTTAAGGAAGGTATCAACAGCCTCTACAAGATCCTCCTAAAACCAAGGATACTCTTATAAGGAGAGATAGAGCGCCATGACTTCCTGAGAGATCATTGTCTTGAGAAGGGAGATAATATTGCTGAGGTCTTGATTGGGGCCTATAAAGGCTACTAAGGCTCTTGTGATTCAACATCGCAGTGCTCATGATCATGATCCTTTTTTCCTTTTCCAGGATGGACGCATTGTGATTCAACCTATACGTCTATCTCGTGGGCATGAACCACTCACGACCAGGGATGAAGCGAGAGCGCTGCAAGTAAGTCTCTTAAAGCATCTGGCCAGTTCAATACTCTGCACCATGGAGGTATGTTGTATCAACAGCTCCTGGTGGATCAGTATTCCAGAAGAGCCTGAACTTTGACGATCTTGCGAGCGCGATATCTGAATACTGTGACAGTATCACTACCAGAATACTCATAACGGACTGCAAGTTCAACTCGTATGACTAACTCCAATCCCACAAACTCTTGAATACCTCGGCCCCTGCTCAGCCCAACTGCGGCAGCAACCCCAGGCATTCAGCGTCCCCATTGCAACGCCGTCAGACCTGAAGCCTTGCACACCCAAGCCCCCGGTCTAAGGGATGGATGTCTAGTGAATATCTTCAGGCTTTAATCAAGGAGGCAAAGTGCATCTACTGCAAAGAAAAGGGGCATATCCTGGAGACTTGCAGGTTGCTCAACCTGGCCCGCTCATGTTGGTGGTTTCTCTTGGATTAGAGATAGAGAACGTTGAAGGAATTGTGGGAACAAACTTGCCACGGCATTAAGCTCCGCTTGGAAACAGCCTACAACCCACAGACCGACGGACGGTCCGAAGATACAGCTCGACAAATAAACCAACTCTCCGAGCCATCGTCTAAGTATACATTCGATCTCCCCTGGTCAAAGAGTTCCTGAAGGGAAAGAAGATTTCTTCTTTAAATGAACTTCAAGTGAGGAAATCGTCATGTAATTCAAGCTTTACTCAATAGACAAAGTCTGTTGCTCCATCCTCTATGGCAAAACTGGAGTGGCCATCGTCTATCGCTTTCGAACCAACAAGTCGACAAAAAGTTTCCTTACAGACATGAGGCAACCGACAGACTCGTCAGATCAGCCACAAACGCTGCGATTGGTATAGGAGCTGGTTCATACTCTCTCCAAAAATCTTCAATCAAATACACTGGAGTTGGCAATAAGCTAACCTCGCCGTCCTCCTTCGATGGCAGTCCACGTTTTATGTGGAAGATCTGCCGGAATCCCCCTATGACACGGATCGCCGAATGGTGACAGTGATTGTTTTAGCCTGACTTGAATATTCCAAGATCACTCACCAAACAAAGCCGCTACCGTCAAGATTCCTAAATCTCGCATGGGGTAGAATGTGCTGGCGCCGACTATACGAGAGAAAAGGTCTATAACATCAGAACTGCACCTGGGAAAATCGACTACTGAAGAATGCGCCAAATTTATCTGCTGCAACAACATCTTCGCAGAAACAGGCGTGACGGAGAAAAGACAAAGAGACAAGGGAAAAATCTTGAGTCTCTATAAGTGACACCTTAACGTGCAACGGACAGAAGAGCCGGATGGTATCGCTATACAAGCTGAGCACAGAGGGCAGCAGTATAGGAATGCGAAATTGGGTCTAATCAGAGGAGACGGAGGACTCCAAAATGCAATTGCAAGCTTGATGGATAAGGCAGGAAACACCTACCCTAAGCCGAGTGCCTCTCGCATACACATCATCAATGGAACACTGGAAAGAGTTGGATATTGGTAGACTGAGTATTGAGTGTCCACACTGCGATTCCTTACACTGGAACCGAGAGGTACAATCTCCAGAGAACCCAGCACCTGGCAGGTTTCTTCAAGTGTTGTTACTTTGGGGGGGGTAAAACCACCACCAATACCAGATCCACCAGCAGAGATCATCCATCTATTCACCAGTAGCGACAGCGAAGCCAAACGACTTCGACGTAACATTCAAGTGCTAAACGAGTGTCTGGTATCTCTATGTGGTGTCAAAAGTGATCGAAATCCTCACAATCACCACTGGACCATTTCAAGTTCAGACCTCATTTCAAGTTCAGACTATCCAGGACTCAAAAACATGGTGCAAATCCAATCCAACCTGTTTTTGGAAAGTCAATCTACGAGCGTTTATCTCCACGGTATCCTCTAGTGATGCCTTGTCTGGATGAAAAACTAGATGAGATGAGATTTGAGGGAAAGAAAAAGATATTCGCTCAGATTGCGAAGCTCCTAAAGGGACTTCAAGTTAACCTGCTTCTATTACCCAGTTCGGTGGACTGACCTTTGATGACAATGGGAATATTGTTAGCACTCCAATGAGCAACACCAGTACCGGACCTTGGACTTCCTATGAAGCATCATGTGAAGCACGACTTAAGCAAGCGCTCGGAGAAGCTGATGAGAATACTTACATCCAGGGCTTGGCCTTGAACGAGATACCGCCCCGACATTGAAGACGTGTGGTGTTTGTTTACCAGAAATACGCCGATTCCCGTGTATCCATGAGCGACGGTTGCTAAGCTATTATCCGGAGCCTACGGGTTTTGATAACGCAAATTTTGTTTCGCACAAAAGCCCATCGCGAGGACTACCAGTCGTTGTCATGCTGAACGGAAAACCCTGGATCCCAGTATACGGGAGGTATTACGCTCTAACCGGTCGTCATCCAGATGTTGAGACAAGCCATGCACCATCCTGGCTATTGAATAGAAAAGCTGTGTCATACTATAGTCGGGTTGATGCCGTGCCTCGACTTTGGCTCTGCCTGACAATACCATCAATCCATCATGAATGCTGCCGTCGTATACAACTTCGAGAATTTGACCGATAAGCAGCAAGACTATTTCCGGAGCGCAAAAGACGACCAATCATCTTGCCTCTTACTCATCTTCTTCTTTCTCTCTCAGATGAATTATCCTTCGTCGAATCAAGGCTACAGAAGCTATTATGAAGTCTTCCTCGATGTGTTTTCTTCGATTTGTACGGATAACCCTCACGAAAATTCATCAGAAAGGAAGAATAATTACAACTCCCAATAGCATACCAAGCATAGAAACCAAAAGAACAAGTCCCAGGTCACGGTCCCAAACACTGCTCCATCCAAGTCTCATAGCAGCATTAGATGTAGCTGTAGCATCTGTCAAATCCGCCTCTTTATGAACAAGGATAACCATAGGCGCCATCGTAACACCAATATAACTAGTTGCTTCCTCAGTGCCAGTGGCAGTGACAGCCGTAAAAGTCGTGGAGATAATTGATGTAATAGGTGAGGTAGCGATCAAACTCTCGACCTCACCGACAACAGTCACACCATCGAACCAGTATGTCGCGCTAACCTGTGTTAGGTCTCCTTCCGGAAAATATCGTAGACACCCTGTTGAGGGGGTATAGGATGGTAGTGTAGCGTAGCAGCCTATATCCGTCTGACCGGTCATAGAACTGATTCAGTTAGTAAAACCATACAAATCATCAAGTATTATCTTCGCCTAGCGAAGCAAATCTATACCGTGATATAAGAGGGCTTACCTAGGACAACAAAGTGCAGCAGTCTCCCCATCCGCAAGAACCTGCATAAGCAGATTCGCCTCATCAGGGAAAGCACCAGGAATAGAGGTCGGTATAGGCGTAGTATAGTAATTAAAAGCACCATTCGAAGAAATCGAATCCCCATCTCTGACCGCAGCGCCTACGGTCTTCCAACCAGAGGGACAATACAATCCCGGCGAGAAATACGACACCTGCAAATAATCATTCGCACTCACCTGTGTCGCTGTAGGCGAAGGCGCTGAGCCTTCAGGGAAACAGCTCCATGAGGGCTCAGGGTTTGAGGGATCGATTGAGCAGTTTGTATCCCAAAAAATGCCAGTAGGGAAGTCTGTAAGCCCTATTCCTGTTCTGCCCAGAGTACTGCAGCTTGAGGGTGCGGTGAAAGTTGTTGTTAGAGGACCGAGATTCGAGAAGGTCATCTGGGAGAGAACTGATACTGAAGGCATTTCGAATGACCAGTGGAATTGCTCGTAATTGTTGTTGATAGGTAGTAATGGGAGAAAATAAATCTGTAAAGATTTTCCGGAATTTGTCCCATATTAATACTCATGAGCACCGTGACCCGGACCCTGAAATAGACCCTGCATCCTCCGCATTAAAGACTCGAAGCGACATGGCTGCGGGGGCCTAATCAGTACTACTGGAGATTTTGCGCCAATCAAGCAATTGGTGGCTTGAGCTCGATCGAATCCGAGTCCCTGAAAGTGCCTGAATCTGGATAGCTCATCTCGTGACAACGAGCCTGGTGGTTTTGCGTTCAGCCGATTGGTCTTTAAAGTTGTTCTGGGGCTTAGCTTAGTGTTCAAAGGATTTCGCTGGGACCTTTCAGGAATGGTATGAGACGGATTATTTTGCTGCATGAGATACTCAGCCCTTGAGTAGAGGTAGAGTACAAGGTGGCAGTGCATGCACATGTGATGATATTCAAGTCTTCAAGGGCTATGCATGTCAGGATGGAATCCGGGGTTGAAATGGTGGAGGCTTAAGCGGATAAGCATTCAGAGCGCTCGGATTCAACCGAGACCATATGATTATGGGTCATACTCATGGACTCTAATTAGACTAGTATTTTAGACTAATGTAACCAGTGTGCTCAGTGTAAGCATTATGTAAAGTGCCTCGATTGCTACTACCGCTACCAACAAAATGCATTCAAGACATGAGATAAAAATACAGTGAGAGAAGAAAAGAGAAGGATGGAACAAGACTGATGGAAAGACGAAAAAGTGTGAAGCGAATGATATAGAGACGGGCCATGTAATAGACAATATCGGCGTGAGTGCGCCGCGGCCACTCGTCATTAATTAACAGCATACAGACGAATGAAATTTATGCTGACACACTCTTTGGGTATTCAAGATTTAATGAACGGTATCAGTGAGAATCCACTGTGCAAATGCAGATGCAGATGCAGAGAAGAAAGGAGAGAATTGGGGCGTAGAAAAAAAGAGTGTGGTGACCATGATCGTATGAAGTGTTGATTAAGTGCATTGTTCATTGCTGTCGGACCTTTCCAGCTTCCCGTACTGCGGCTATGAACCCATCTTCGTTGCCTGCAGCGGTCAAGATCCAGTAATCAGCTACACCGGGGTTGTCCAGCTGACCACCACCAAATCCGGACGCGGCAGGGGCACTGTGTCGATCCTTTGGCTTTTGATTATTTGCGCCAGTGTGGCGAGGACCCCAGCCTAGGATGTTGCGTACAGAGAGACGGCTTTGATCGTCTGCTTGGTGGAAAGAGAAGAGTTGTGCCTGAAGGCAACCTAGGACTGCAACGGCCGAGCGGATCATGATACGATCACCCTCGAAAACCCAACAATCCCAGACCCGTGAGATGCGTTCGAGGTCGAGACCATTGGTGAGAAGAGTGCGGAAGATGGGCTCCCATATTTCTTCATCCGATAGTTGGAGTGTCTCTTGGAGATGCTTCGCGAGGCGGGGGAACTTGTAGCGAAGAGTCTCATTCGCCAGAGCGTACGTACGCGCCATGGCACCACGATCCCAGGTGAGAAAAGCGACTGGGAGCGGACGATTCAGGGCATTGGCCATGGCAACAAACGCAGAGCTTGGGGTCGGGAACTGAAGAACAAGTAAAGCAGCGATGGTCTAGGAACTCGTTAGTAAAATACTAGATAAAAGTAAATTAAGCATTTCAACTCACATGAAGACCATGAATGTATCCCACATCACTACGGTACATGCAATATGCTTGCAGAACATCGATGAGAGTTTCGCGCAATGGCCCATTCTCCTGGAAAAGATTCAAGTCCGGGAATGCCTTCGTTGCATCTGCTTCAATCGAATCAAAGCATTCAAGCATGCGCTTATTATTTTCACTGGGCTCTGTCTCGGTCTTAGACCGCAAGTCCTTTGCCCGCTTCAATGCTTTTGTGAATGAATCATCGCTCAAGGACAACTCATTACCAAGAGCACGCCGCCACATAGCGCCTCGGCTGCGAGCAGGAATGCCACGCCACCAGAGTTCTCGGGTGCGAGGTTCAAGTAGGACTTTATCCCAATTGGGGCTAACATATTCATCCCAAATATTTTGAAGTGTATCCCGAGTTGTATCCTTTTCACACTGAGCCGATGCAGCCCGCGCAACTCTCTTCTTTTCTATAATAGTTGTCAGTGGGTTTTTATCCTGCAAAGAGAAGAGAAGGTTTGCTTACCGGCCTCCTTCGCTTGTGCCATCATCTGCTTGTATTCCCTCAAGTGCTTCTTCTCCTCTTTCTGGTCCTTAGGTGGCAACCAACTAGGGCGTGTCCGAGTGAGAACCTTCTCCTTCTCTTTACTAATAGGCAAAGGATCGATCATGGTATTAGACTTCTGCAGAGGAGGCAGCTCGATATTTTCGCGCGACGGGCGTGGAGACTCTGAGCTCGACTTCCGTGACGTGCCATTCTGCACCGCATTTTCTCGTTCTCGACCAGTCTCATCCGCATGATACTCCAATGCCTCCGTAATAATCCTTGCTTCCTCTGATAGGTCAGACAAAAAGCTGTTATAAGAGTACGTGCGGGGATTCCGGGGTGAAAGTTGTCCACGCTCAGGTCCAGCAGAGCTTGATCTTTGCGGTGCTCGTCTCATGCGGGCAGCTTTGGATGCATTGGATGTCGATGGCACCGGTGCCTTTTCTGAAACTTCATGGGATATCGGTAGCGGTCGCCGAGCTGGACTGCGGCCACCGGGACTTGTGCTTCGAGACGGTGGGCGATCGTGAGTGGGCCGTGGGGAGATAGGGATATTCCACAGACTAGCATCGTCGGGAAGTTCGTCATCGGAGTCATGATATTCCTCTTCCAAATCTTTAATGCTTTTGCGATTAGGCTGCCATGCTTGTTTCTGAGTGGGTGTGCGGGCAGATAACGGCGAGAGGGCCAAGCTAGTAGTACTGGAGACGGACCGGCTCGAGGTTGGTCGTAATGGGGATATTGATCGTGACCGGCGGGGTAAAGAGGGAGTCAGATTGGCCGAATTGACAGTGCTGGCCGAGCCTCTCCTGTCTTTCCGGTTGGGAGAGCGTGCGGACAAAGAACCCGCTGACTGTGGGGTGCGGACAGAGCCATTGATCTGATTATTTATCGGCGGAGGTAGAGGACTTCGTTTCCGAGGCTTTGGAGTCGCCGTCAAATCGCGCGTTGTGGCCGCTGGAGTCTTATTTGGCAGTCTGGGTGCAGGAGATCGACCGGTCAAGCCGGGTCGACCATAAGGGGTGGCAGAGGGATCGGCAATCTGGAGGTCCGAATCATCCTCGAGACCAATCTCCTCGAAGTTGGAGATATCGGTAAAGATGCTTTCTGGACCATCGATCTGGGAGGAATGGAAGGAGGATGATTTGGAGGACTTGGACCCGGACAATTCGGGCGGGGAATTGGGCGTCGAGCAAATGGTGGTCATGGTCGCATGTACTTTGCAGTTCAAATATTATCTCCACCAAGTCCCATCTGTATACACCGGAGAATTGAGATTTGTCGTAATTTGGAAGGGGGATTTTCAGATCGCACGCAAGGCTCTTTCTTTCGGAGGGGGTAGATGTTTTCCGGAGGGGGTTGTGCAGGGTGGTTCCAGACACACGATCCAAACACACCAAAAAAACGAGAGAAGATAAGACCAATTCGATCAACGGAGGATGTTCAAAGAAGGGAAATGCTGGAAAAAAGCAATAAAAAAAAGTAGAATAGGTAGAAAATGCAGGCTCAGCCGCAACCTGATGAATACCAGATCAGGGGATCAGGATTCGGGGAAATGTAGAGGGAAGGTCCGGGATCAGGAGAGATTAGTGGCCACGCAAAAGAGTTAATAAGAGGTAATATAAGAGTACTTAGAAGAAAAGAAAAAGAAAACGAGAGGATCCAAACAGGCAAAAGAGTTTCTAAATGAGTGTCGCGATGAACATTTGCAAGATGAAAACGAAAGCGGAGCCTCAGGCAATACCGCACTCGGCATATTAGCTACTTACCGCCGGGTCCGAGATTAGTTAGTAGTAAATACTAGTAAGTTAAGCAACTACAGTAGTAATAAACAAGTTAATTTTAATGAATTATTCCTTTATTTCGCTTATTCTATACTCTGTGGATGAATTCCTAGATGTAATCAAGCTCATATATTCTTATGAACCTCTTTTATCCTGAAAACTTCATGTTTGGAGTACTCTAGGGAGTCTAGGCTACTATGTACATGAGCATTTCTGTCACCGCCCTTCCAAGATTATATGGAATGGTCCAGCCTTTTTTACATAAGACTATGTGAGACATTGGAGATCTGGATTGTGTGCATATAATAACAAGAGCAGGTTAAACAGTATTCTCTATGAGATAGAGTTATTCCTTGAAATCAAGTTCTGTGTACGGAGTACTCCATACAGAGACCTGAAAGTGCACGAGTTGTAACCCTTCTAGCCCGAAAAAAAGAACATTTTGAACCGGATACTTCGGAGATACTTGACCACTCCTAATATCCACTATAATTTCCACTTGTACTTCTCAAGTATTCAGTACTGTTTTCAGTCCCTTACCCCTGAATCAGGCAAGTATCGACACCTTTTCACATTTATCCACTTAAATGTTCTAAATTTTCCCTTAAATTGGAGCTCAGATCGATATCCCCTGAACTCCCAGGGACCATGATCATTCCACCCACTCGGGCCCTAATCCATTAAGAACAGTTCCGCGGTCTGTCTACTGGTCAGCTGTGGGCGACATTCTAATTCGATGAAAACAGTTCGAATTGAAATATGGTCCGATCCATCGGGCAGAGAACCAGGGTTCATTCACGTTACCAGGGAAATGTAAATAAAATTAAACTACGGAGTACACATTTGGGCAGCACTCCAGGCTGAAGTTGATAATTAATACTCCGGATCTAATATTAAAAAAATTGTACTAGTATTAAACAGAATAAAATTAAAATCTCCATTCTGTAAAAAAAGCATTCCCCGTCTTAACAACTTGTTGGAACCGGAGGGCTTCCGCATTTGACGTGGGCCGTGATTCCCTTCCTAATGTATCCAACCACTTCAACACAGCTGCATACCGAGTTTGTTTGCGGTTCAACACAAACCGAAATGCCGCAGCAGCCACAAACTGAATATGGCGCAGCTGAACAAAACATGACACGGGTGCCGAAGTTGAACATCGTCGAACATGGATAACAGTGAAAGTCTGACGAATCAGATCATGGATGGTTTGCGTGATGATAGATGTTGTAGGGTGGTTACGACCACGGAGAGATCTCATGTATCGGTACATTTTCATAGCGGCCGTGATGAAACTGGTATGCAAATTTACAAGAACCACAGCACGGGAATTATGCGCATCGTCGAGATACATCGGGTGGATTTGAAGACGGAATGGTCCGAGTACCTTGCGACGGAATACTCGTCCGGCATTATGACTTGTCTCAACGGTTAATGTATCTGATATTGTCGCCGCTGCAGAATCACCGCCTTCTAAGAGGCGATTGTGGTCGCGATTGATTTCTAGCGTGTGCGTGTCGATGAGCATACCGCAGTATGGGAAAAGTGAGGATCCCTCCAGTCGAGGAATGTGAGTTCCGTTTACTGCGGCGGTGAAATTTGCTAAACTCTTGGTTGAGTTGACTGACACGCCGTAGGATGGTAGTCCAGGGATCATCACTTGGAGGAATTCCATGGCTTGGTTCACGTCTGTTGTGACGAGTAGAAAGTCGTCGACAAGTCGTAGAAGTACGGAGTCATCGGGGCGCAGGAAGCCTAGCTTTTCCTCTTCGAGTTGGGCGTAGAAAAAGTTGCAAAGGAGATTGGATAGAACGGATCCTTGTGGAATACCACTCCGTTGACGGAGGTATGTCTTGCCCATCTTGACAAGGTTGTTGCGCACATGCTCGTGAAGAAGGTCAAGAAGATCATCGGCGCTCTGGAGTTTTTGATTAATGGTGTCAATGTAAACTGTCTTTGCTTTTCCGCCTTGCGCCTCCTCAGACTTGATTTTTGATATGGCCTGCTGCTTCAGAATTGGCGCTGCACGTCCAACGTATTTGCGCATCGGTTTACCTCGTGCGTCGAAGGCAGATGGAGTCATTTCCACATGTTTGGCGACGTGATAGGTAGCTTCTGACACCAGCTCTTCTATCAACTCCAAGAGTGGTTTCTGGGGGATGGTATCGAAACATCCTTGGATATCCAGCTTCACAAAGAATAGCTGAGGCAGACGACTGGGTTTAGGTCCAGAGATACGCGCCATCAACTTTTTCTTAAAGTCGCGCAATCGAAGATGAATATCTCCAACAAATTGTAGTGATGAGCCAAACTTCTCCGGCGCTCGTTTCCGCTCATACGAAAGCATGTCCTTGATCGGATTGAGACTGGAGTTGATACTTGCTGCAAGGTAAGTTCCCTTTTTCCCGCCCCGAAATTCCTTCAGTGTTCGTCTTCGTAGGTTGAGAATCGGCCGGATACCCGTGGACTTGGGAAGCAGGCGCAAAGAGCCAAACCCGAGGGACCGTCGTGCGAGCAGAGTCTGAGCTCGACTTGTTTCGATTTCTTCGAACATTTTCTTCTTCAGATCCGCCAATGGTTGCTTGGTTAGACGTTGCCATACATCATGGCGGAAGTAGAAGAGACGGTTGCGATGCGTCTGAGACTCGGTTACGTAGAAGTTTGCTCGAACGAGAGGAATGAGTATTGAGTCGAAGATGTAATACACGAATTCATGAAGTATCTCCGTGCGTTTCTTGAAATCAGAAAGTGCCATTTTGGCCTTGGTTTTGCCGGTCGAATCACAAAGGTTTGGGGAGGCAAGCCAGGAAATACTGGCAACCTTCAACCCTTTGCAGACCTCGTGCAAACTAAGACTCTCAAATCGACGCAGTTTGATGAAGGAGTCCACGTGCTTCATTATGATGCTCCGGTTGAGCACACCATCTGGACCTTCACCAAAGAACTTGGGAGGAATCAACTTCAATAAAACGGCTCGACAGAAGGCTGACACTGAAGAAGCTGGGGTGGCGTGGTCGGTGAGGGTAACCTTGGGTTCCTGTACTCGACTCTCAGCTCCCAGTTTATTCACTTTGGGATCGATGGGCTTTGATTCAGGCGACTTCATCTGCAGTTGAGTGATCATATTTCCACTAGATGAATCAATATGGTTTTTATCTTGACTGCCGGTGGGTGATACCACCGTTTCAAGTTTCCACGGTCCATTTGACTATCACTGTTAGATTATGCACCATGGAAGCATTATTGTCTGGGTTCGCTCACCTCGGTGGGACAGTAGTGTTTCAGTAATTCATGATATGAGCATCTAGAATGACGGACTCGAAGCCTTTGAGTCAGGTCTGTGGCTAGCCCTCGAAGCCGTTTGGGGGTCTTTCTATCCTTGTCATCGGCAAAGATCTCATCTTCACGACGCGCATTACCAGTGCTTGTAAATTGTTCATTGGCGTCTTCAGGAGGGATAAACACATTACGAAGACTGAATTGACGTGGAAACATGTACATTGTCACATGAATGGTTTGCGCTGCCGAATTCAAGTCTTCAAACCGGTTGAGAACGTCTATGGCGGTCAGTATAGTGCACAGCTGACACTAAACGTGAGAAGAAATCAAACTTACGGTTCTTGCCCAGGCCAACGAGCAGTTTCCCGTTTGACCAAGATGCATGTCTACTATAGAGCATACTTCGTCGCAGAAAGATAATGCTGTTGGGACGACGAGCCTCACTTGAGCGATTATCTCGTTTGCTCTTTTGGGAGGCTTCTACAGCTGTGGCTGGCTCCTTGGGCCTAGCGCCGGATTCATGAACGATTTCAAGAGTTGAGATTGGAAGACCTGTTATCCGAGTCAGCGTTAAACCAGATGAAATAAATGAGAGACTTTGATGATACCACTCAATTGGTAGTAGCTACCCTTGTGGGCATTTATGGGTGCAAATATTCCACAGTCAAACAGCAGTCGCAGCATGATTTCATCCCCATTCTGGCCCAATAGACTCAAGACTTCCGTCCATGGTGATTCCTTCAGAGTAGAAACATTCTCATTTGGAAATTGAACCACGACTCCGGGAATATTACTTTTGATGGCATTATTTCCCATAAAAGGACGTTGGAATCCATGAGTCAGAACATGTTCCGGCTTTTTATGACGTTTGAACAACTGACCGATCACAAAATCGACTACCTAGACATTCCATGCATTAGCCGTTTGAAATACAGTTGACTCCGATTCCCTTGCATTTGCATATTCATACTTCGGATTGAGGAGAGGTCGGCCCCGTGTCAGTGCTGACCAGGACCGACCGCGATTGGGACTGGGTTGAGGCCCGATATTCTTTCTGGCGCTCAGATTGGACAGTTGGTGATGATTCCTTTAGGACTCCTATTAAAGTGGTGTCAAGCAGATCTACCAATGGTTGGATATTACTGCGATCGGATGAGGAGCGCAAGGATGTGATGCGTCTTCGCCGTAGTTTAGAGGTAGTGGGTAGCTGGTTCAAGAGGTATTGTCGTAGTGAGAGAACTTGACGGTAATACAGGGAAATCACCGGGTGTGTTGTGTGGCTGTCTTGCGCAATGGGGTAGGAGGATTTGAAACGACCTGTGGTGATACTGGTCTGCGACGCGGGCTTGTGCTCGGTCTTCCGGGATCTCTTTCTATTTTTGCCCATGATGAATTGGAGGAGGAATAGGGAGAATATTAATTATGATTTGTTCAAGTTTACATCATGATGGGTCAAGCACTGGAGAATCTGAAGAACTTGGGGTAGATGACACGCGGTTTGACGCGTTCCCGCGGGAGTACATAATGCACACTACTAGTGCAGCTCACACTATGGGATGAACAACATTGAACCTTGGAAGTGACATATCAACTATTATATTTTACATGTCTAATAACTTTCTGTCAATAAGATTCTTTTCCTAATTAGGAGCGGGAGGACTTTGAAGTCTTCAGTTTTAGGCAGACTTGGTAGTAGTAACTAGTTCAAGTTTCAGTGTTATATATAGTAGCTTACGCCCCCAGTACTATGAGATCGGGGCTATACTAAGTGGGTATCAATTACTCCTTTAATAGGAAGATTCTTCTATTCATCTTATCTTAGTTTCAGTTTTTACTCCTATTACACTACATACTACCTAGTACTCCATGAACACCTGAAAATAGACAACCACTGGCATTTGAACTATTAGTACATAATATTCAAGTTCAATAACACTTAATATTAATGTTCATCGGAAATGAGCACAAAGCGATCCATGGATCTCAAAGTCTAGAACTTCAAAGCCGAAGAATTAGATAATTGCGTCTCCACTGCGTCAGTTCCATGTTTATGACTATGATGATCACTGGCCACATGCACGTGTGTGGTTCTGTTCCTGAATTCTTGTTCTTGCACATGTGTTCTTGTTCTTGGGGGCAAGGAGTAAATATCCTATTATATTCCAGGCTACTACTACTAGTACTACTGCTATAAGGCATCGATCCATATACCCCATGGCCTTGAACAAAGGTGATTCCCCAATTCCTTACCCTCCGGATCTTCCTTTTATTCTCTGAATTGAATCTTCCAATCTGGCCCGCTACTCCCGCCCCCATTATCGTCCGTGCTTCATACTAAAACGCTGTGTCCACAATCCCTCGGCCCTCTCATTCGTCATCGCCTTTCTTTGCTCTTCCGATCTTCCTCCTTCTTCTTACCACGCGAGTCCCTCAAAGAACCTTTTTTTCTCTCTAAGCTTCCGACAGAGAGACTTAAGTGATCTATCCCTCCTAAAATTTGACATCTATCAAATTCTTGGGTCTTGAATATGATGCTGAATGGGGGTGAATCACCCCGGGATTGCTTTGTAGTCTGAGTCAACTCACCTTGTGATAAACCTGGTTGGGCGACTATACAACCCATCCCCGGAACAACGCATCGTCTCCTCTAAAAAAAGAAAAAAAAGAGGACCAGAAGAAGAAAGAAAATTAATCCAAAAAAAGGAAAAATAAAAAAAAAGTCCCAACTTTGAAGGTACTTCCGACACTAGCCCCGTCCACGTCGGGTTGAGGCATGCAAAAGATGCCTGGCAGCGTCGAACAACCTTCTGGTATCCGGAACCCCCAGCCGTCTCCGTTTGGGCAACAATCGTCTACTCCTCTTTATGGCCAATCCGGATCCGATGCTCACAGTTCCTCATCATCCTTTGAGGTCTCACCGATCACACCTTTCCCCCCCCTCTACGGCTTTGGCCAACACCACGTATCCTTCCCGCCGATCGGGCCTCGAGTCACTTCGTTCCGCATCGTCAACACACTTACCGTCTGGCGGTCAAACCGATGACCTGAATGGGCGAGACTCGCCCGATCCTGATGACTTTTATCGACAAACAGGACCTTTGTCAGCACCACTCAAAGCGGGTTTTGGTGATGTGTTAGGCGCAAGGCACAATATGGCCACGGCTCCTTCCCTAAATGACAGAGTCTCGGCGAGTCCTGCAAACGCTTTAACATTAGACCCTGTGCGCACCAGACGCCCAATTCCTCCTCGTTCGGTATCGGATTCACCAGGAGCTGGTTCTCTATCAGTCCGTCCTTCTATGAGATCTCGAACTCGACAACCTTCCTTTAAAGAACTCGTCAATAAGTTCAATAACAATTCCGACGAAGTCCTTCCTCTACCCGCCGTATCTCGTTCCACATCACGCACTGCAAGTCCAACAGGTAGTGATCACGGTTCAGATCTCTCCAATCCTCTGTACAGGCGTCGTCCATTGCCGTTACACCACGAAGAACCTTTTGAGAGTAGTTGGAATACAAACAACCCCAGACTCCAGCTGGAACTTGCGCCTTCACCGTCCTCCCCCCAGATTGAACAGCTGCATAGGAGGTCGACAGACATTGTACCTCCACCACTCCATCAACGAGTCTCTGATTCACATCCTCGAAGACCGTTGTTTGGTGAATTGTTGACCTTGAATACACAGCTGGATAACTCGGGATTGGCGATTCCGGCACATTTAAGACGCCGAGGCTCTGACGGGAGCATAGCCAGTCCAAACCCGGCCTTTTTAGACCTGGGAAATCCAGCTACTCCCTTTCGAACACCACTCACTCCGACGGCGTGGTACCTCGGGCACGCCAATTCTCTCGAGGCGGTACAGCCAGGTGTGAACAGGAGTATTGTTCACCGCAGATCTCGCAGTGACTTTGCGAGCCCTAGCGAATCCCTTGCCGATCCGTGGAATCCCGACATGGCGGTCTCAGTTCCCTTGCAGCAAGGGAAACCCGGTGACGGGTCTCCCACCAGCCCGAATTCCAGATCCCGCATTCCGATCTCCTCGCACCGCCGCAACTCTGGTTCCGGCTCGGAGCCTCAGTCACCAACCGCCAATCTTACTTTTAGCGGCCGATCCAGTACGATTCCATTGGCGCCGAAGGGGACGAGCCGCCTTCCTAAACCGTCAAGTCCAACTCGTGTCACAGAAGATGCTGCCCCTTCATTTGCAATGACAGCTCGTGGGCGCCGCGATGTGGCCAGTGGCCGAACCCGTCACTCAGTATCCGATCGAAGTCAGCTTCTCCAGGCTTACGTATCCGCTCCTCCTCCAAAGAAATCACCACCCTTGCGAAGCTCAAGACCTCGACAGACAGTTTCCGTTGCTGGACCGCCGGGAGGATCGACACCACGATCGCCAGATATTGGGAGAAGGCTATCATCTTTGCAAAAAGTAGCCGATCGCAATACTGATCGCAGCCACCGCCGACCTCGTCAATTGCCTGAGCTGAGCAACGTGGATTTGGAAACTCGTCGACAACGTATCCAGCAAGCGTTCAATCGAACTGTTCAAGAGAATGAACGAAAAGAGGAGGAGGCAGCTGAGCTTCGACGTCGGACACGCGTGGACTTAGTAGCACCCGAGGGTCTCCCCGAGGACGAGGACGACGACGAGGATCAAACCGAAACACCAAGCACAACAACCAACCATATTCCATTACCATCAGAAATGGCTACCACCGTTGCGACATTGACAGAAGTGCCCGTTGTGGACGGCAAGGAGCCTCGTACCGTACCCCAACTCCATTTGAATACCGATGTATTTTCAGAGAATAACCCTCACACCACAATGGATTCCCCAACGCTCGGACTCCCAAATGGTGCCAGCCCGCGAACCTTGTCAAATGGTGTGGAAGGATTGAGGGTACCCGACAGTCCTGCGCCAAATTCGGCGAGCTCTGATCATACGCATTTCGATCTGGAGCCGCAGACTCATATAATCACTCGAAAGCCTAGTGCAGCTGAAGCCCACCGCAGTTTGTTAACCCAAATTATGCAGATCCGGGAATCAAGTTCCAGCAGTGAAGACGAGTGCGATGAACAAGACTGTAGCTTATCTGAGACCGAAGAAGACGACAAGGACTCTGTCCAAGTTATGATACGTGGGCAAACCTATTTCCGGACGTCAAGCAGTGTCAATGCCGAAGAAGCCCAAACAGCTTTAAGACACGCACAGCCTGTCGCCGGAAACCCACCTGATAATAGATGGAGCATGAGTTCCTGGTCGTCCTCTGTCCATAACCAAGAGTCTTCCAATGACGATCAATGCGATGAAGAGGACAGTGGAGATGATTTGATACTACAAAGACCCACTCCCTCCAAGGAGGAAACACCGAGCGAGTCTTGTTCAGCAGTTTCAACGCGACCGGCATCCTTTGCAGATGATGAGCATGAAGGTGGCCCTGTCCAGGATCTGGGAGTGACAGGACCATCAACCATGGAAACGGCGCAGTTCAACGCTGCCAGCTTCTTTGCTACGCCCCCAAGCCTGGCAAAGAAAGGAAAATGGGACTCACGTCGGGCGACTCAGCTATATCTCGAGCAACTGACCCAAGGCAGGACAGCTGATCTTGGTCTTGCCGCGACTATGGCTAGTCCTAGGTACCCACCGGTGCGCCCATCGCCTGGTCCATCCTCAATGCCACGGGGGCCGGCTACTCTGCGTCCGCCAGAGCATATTCCTCGACCAATGGAAAGTCGACGTCAGGATATGCGGGTCCCCTCCATGTTGGTGGAGGACCCAGAAGAGAGCCTGGCAGATGAGCCGGTCGTGGTGCCTAGAATACAAGATCCTCGAGTGAATGCCATTCGCCAGTCAAATGCTGCCAGTTTGGTTGGTCCCGATGACTGGGAAGATGCCTCACCATCCATCATGGACTGGATGTCAGTTGCTGCTGAGGATGGAGGACTGACACCGGCTCAAGAAAGAACGGATTTCATAAACGAGGGTATGTTTAGTTCAAGCTTAAGCTGGGGGTTTTTAATGATGTTGACATGATAAATACAGGCCTCGGCTTATCTGGCACACAAACCTCACCTCAACCTCAAGCCACACCACATGATCCGCTCACAGCAACGAATAATGCTCACATTCAACCTCAGCTCATGCAACAAGATCAACATCTTGCATCTAGCGAGAGGGAGAGCAGCGAAGATTCCACACTGCGGCATACTCCTGACTATGGCCAATCTGAGAAAGCAGCAAATTCTTCTGTCACCTCTCTAACTCCGTCCGCTGAGCACCCGCCAAAACCATCGCCCTCGCCAGAGCAGCGCCGTTTGAAGCAAAGACGCCACGTCATCAAAGAACTTGTCGACACCGAGTATACTTTTACTCGTGACATGAGAGTCGTGGAAGATATCTACAAGGGGACCTCGGGATCCTGCCTAGATCTCTCTCCTGAAGACGTGAGAACTCTCTTTGGAAACTCTGCCGAGATTGTCCAATTCTCGCAGAGCTTCCAGGATTCACTTAAGCAAGCTTCGAGAAGTGTCTACGTTATGCCAAAGTCCCAGCGTTGGAGCAGCAAACGTGGTAATAACCGTCCCGCTGCCCCAGCCGATGACGAAGAACAGGCCACATCAGGTGCTGGTATTTCAGATCAGGACAAGGATTGTGCCACTCTCATTGGCGAGGCGTTTGTCGTGCACATTCCTCAGATGGAAAAGGTGTATGCTGAGTACCTGAAGAACTATGAAGCTGCCACCCAAAAGCTTCAAACTCTGCAGCGAAACCCGAAGGTGGAGATTTGGCTGAAGGAATGTCGAGATTGGGCGGCGGATCTGACCACGGCCTGGAACTTGGATGCGTTGCTCATCAAGCCTATGCAGCGATTCCTCAAGTATCCTCTTCTTCTAAGTCAATTGCTAGATGCAACTCTAGATGACCACCCGGATTACATCCAGCTCGTGAATGCTCGGACGGAACTGACCGCAATTTCTGTCCGGATCAACGATATGAAAAAGCGTGCCGATGTCGTGGGAAAGGTTGTTGGCCGGAAGCGCAACCAGTCTGACGTGCGAGCTGGTCTGTCGAAAGCCTTCGGGCGTCGTACAGAAAAGTTTCGCCAGCAGGTTGGAGTGTCCGAGGTGTTTGAGGACAAAGACTATGATCTTCTGTACCAGAACTTTGGCAGCGCATTCTTCCACTTGCAATTGGTTATGCGCGATGTTCAGAACTACACTCTCGAAACCTCAACCTACATGCGCCAACTTAATGAGTTCATTCTTTCCATCGAAGCCGTGATGAATGTAACGCCATCTAACTACCCCGAGCTGGAGAGCAAGTGGCGCCAATTCAAAGCTGCGATGAAGGACTGCACGGTTGTGCTGTTACCTGAACATGTAAGCAATACTCCATCACCACCACCACATTACTATTATACACCGCAGGTGATCTAATTACTTTTCCATTCAGCTTTCGACTGTTTCTGATACTATCATTCAGCCAATGGTCATTCTGCTCAAGCTTCATGAAGGGCCTCAGCGACTAATGAAGAAACGTGAGAAGCGTTTGCTTGATTATACTCGCTACAAGGCTCTTCAGGCTCGTGGTGATAAACCTGACAAGAAAACTATTGAGCAGGGTGAGCAGTTCATTGCGCTGAATGATACATTGAAGGAGGAACTTCCCAAGCTCTACGATCTAACTTCAAAGTTGATGGAAGCTTGTCTTATGCGTCTTGCTCAATCACAGACAACCTGGTGGGGCTTGATGCAGAAGAAAATCCAGCCTCACGTGGATATCTTCCCAGACGGCTTCAAGGATGTGATTCCAGAATGGACTAGTGACTGGACATTTGCTGAAGCCCAGCTTTATTCCCTCGGCATTTGCAATGGGTCCTTCCGCGCTGAATCTTCCAATATGACCAACTTCAATACGCCGCAGCAAGGAGGCGGGGTTAGCTCTCCTCGTCAGGCTTCCATTAGTTCAGCTCGCCGAACCTCCACCGCCAACAGCTCTACCCACAGAAAGTCTATTGCAGAAGACTCACCGAAGGTTTCACAAGATTTTGGCGGTGTCAGTGTGCTCTTCCAATCACCTCGTGTGGATAGTTCATCTACCGCCAGCCGTCACCGATCCGGGTCAACCTTTTCTGGACGCGGACCTCTTGATTCTCCGAACACCTCGCGTAACTTACAACATGCGACCGAGGCTCAACCTCAACCTCAACCCCATAATCAACCTCCTCCGTCATCCAGTTCAAGTGCCGCTGGGGCTCAGCAACCAAACAGCGTAGAGTCGTTCCCTAATCTGCTGCCAGCGCTCAGCATAGAAGGCCCTTTTCTTGCTGATATCCTTAAAGCCACGGGCAATGATTCATCAGTGAACTCGTCAAGATACTCGGGGTTCTTTTCATCCGCAATGCCCATGTCTGACAATCCAAACGAATCCGAATCACCTCGGGAATTCGATACACATGGTAGAGAGCCACAGGCGCTATTCACCGCTGCGAGTCTATACGAGTTCAACATTGATCGAGCCCGGCGCGAGGCAGGATACCCTTATTTGACCTATGTTGCTGGAGAGATCTTTGACATCATCGGAGAGAAAGGAGAGCTGTGGCTTGCTCGCAATCAAGACGACTCGACCCATCAAATTGGATGGATTTGGAACAAGCACTTCGCCAAGCTGTCGACATAATTGTTTTTTTTCTCTCTATCTTGATTCCAGATAGAGCGAGAGAGAGAAAAGATCCAAGACGATACTTCCATTTTATGTCCGGTTTCTATCTCGCTTTCGCGTTGTCCTTATATCCACTGGCTGGGCTGGGCCTCATACTCGAAAGATAGACTACCGGTTTATGACATTGTTTTCATCTGTGCCTATTCAGCGTGATTTGACATACTATTTTTACAATTTTCTACCCTTTTGTTGTTTCATATTTTTAGCCTGTCCTCATGATTCACTTCTGACAATTTCCTTTTTATGATATGATGGATATTTCCTGGGGCCCTTGAATGTACCTTTAGATACCCTTTATTATTGATGAATATTTGGCAAAAATTCCTTTTTGTAAAGATTTAATTCTAAAGTGATAACTTACACCTTCATGAGAGAAATTGAATATAGAATTCGCCTCATGACGACGGTGTACATAGCACGAAACTCCCTTTAGCCTCCACGTGACTTCCATGTGACACCAGCCCAACATCCATCCCGAAATGACCACAGGGATTCGGTCCTCCGGTGCCTGGTTCTCTTGCAAATCTGTAACAATCCAGAGCAATGTCCTTCCCTTGACTTCTCTTCAACATCCGTAGCCACCTGGTCTAAGCACCACCCACAACCCGAGCCCACCCCCCCCCACCACCAGACTTGAGCTTAAGCCCTTTCATCTCAGCTTTTATTCTCATCCTTATTATACCTCTATCTCGTCGCGACCAGTCCTGCCATTACCACGATTATACATACATAAAGGCCAACGCCACTTCTTCTTCTCCGCCACCGTAAGGCTGACGACGGCCACACTCTCCGAACGTGCCGTCCAATCCGGAGTGCTATCCGAGTGTCTCCACTCGAAGTGCAGAACTGGGGAGAAACGCGAATCTAGTCTTGGCTTGCCCCATCATCCGTTACCGAACTGACTGAACGAGCGCAACGATCGAACCGTTTTACTGATACCCTACACCTACAGTCTTATCCCACTTCTTGATCCTTGCTTCGCTGTAGAGTCGAGGCTTGAGCGCTCGAGAAACCTTGCGCGACGATCATCCGTTAAACCCATCGTATCAGATCGCATTGGTTCTGTTCGCATCGGATTGGGTTCGCTTGCCTAGCTAGTATCATTAGCTGGTAACTTGCGACGATACCTCGGTTCTTCGAGGTCTTCAGAGTTTGCATATAGTCGGTTCCAAGTGGGCTGAGTGATCTTATATCATGTTGGACGGATTGCAGAAGAGGATGCGGGGGAGGCTTGGGGATATGGTTAGTTTACCCCTTTCTGTTTGATATTTTGGATTGAGTGCTAATTAGTTTAGTTGATGCCGGATGATGCATTCTTGAGTTGTGAGTTGGACTTAGAGTGGCAACTTGGTTAGCTTGGGGATGCGCTAACTAGTAGGTTTTGCGCTGCAGACTACGATGTTCGACGTATGTTTTCCCCCTCATTACGATACTTGATCAGTGATTGACTGGATACAGTGACGCGGGAGGATATGCAGAATCTCAAGAACGATTGGCTCAATGATAATGTGAGTATTCCTTGGGAATACAACAGCTGGAGCAAAGCTAATTGATTAACAGCTTATCTCATTTTGGCAAGAGTGAGTTACTCAAACTACTAAACGCAGATACAGGAATATACTGATTACCCAGATACCTCGAACACGAATTCTTAACCAAGTACAAATCCTCGCACATAGTTCTCCTCAGACCTAGCATGTCCTTTATGCTCGCTCAAACCCGCGATCCACGAACCCTCCGCGAAGCCCTTCCCGATTTCACACAAGCCACACACGTCTTCCTCCCAATCAACGATTGTCGCAACGTCACACAAGCAGAAGGTGGCACACATTGGTCCCTACTCCTTATCTCCATCGTTGATCGAATCGCTTTCCACTATGACTCGTTATACCAAGGAAACCACTGGGAAGCCGCGGACGTGACCCGGAAATTCGGCTGGCTTCTCAACCTGCCGATTCGATTCCTGCATCTGCAAGATTCGCCACAGCAGGATGGTGGTAGTGACTGTGGTGTATTCGTTTGTCTCAATATGCGATACCTGCTTCTTAAGCGGTTACTTCAGGCTAGCTCACACGAGAAAGTGAGTATGAGTCTTGGTGGACGGAAGGTCGATGCACCAGCAGGGCGTAAGGAAATGACGAAGATAATTGAGGGATTCCGGAAAGAAGGGGAGCGACGACGATCGTAAGTCTATACTAACTCATATGATTGGGAGTTTTATACTTACTACCTTAGGACAAGTATGAGTCGAAGTCCAATGGGCAAGAAATCTAGGAGCCCACCACGCATTGAATGATCGTTTCATGTTTATGAGTTGATGCCTTTACCTTTGTGGATACATTTTCTTCTTTTCTACATACGAGAAAACAGATAATTACCGCATGACTTGCACATGTGTATGAGCGTTTAGTTCAAGTTGAGCTAACATAAGGTCTTGTGCTTACATACTTCAACTATGCTCCAGCTGAAGAGCTGTTTTATACGTTTTCACGAGTTATATTCAAACCTTGCAACTAGGTGTTGGCATTCAAATGTTATGAATTTTATGAATTTCTTCTAATTTCAAGTTTCTCTCGCTACAACCTTGGAATATCGTCGCACGAAGTCGAAATATCCAGTCAATAACACTTATAACCTGCCACATGTCATGAATGCACATATGATATCATAACTTGAAATATGAGTCAGTGATAGTAATCGTATTCAGAACCCAATTCATAAAGTACGTGCCCAAAGTACGATCATGATTCAAGTGTAATTGAGGCTCTAGTTCGGAATCCACATAATTATACCCACAAACTTGAAACCCAAACAAAACATACTTAACCTTGAAACATTCGAACTTGAACCCATGGATATTATATCCAGATCCCCACAAAGCAGGTAGGTAGTACCAGCTCCAAGGAGCGGGAATCAGATCTACAGCCAAGACGCCGGTCAGACCCAAAGGGTCAAACATGCATCAGATTACAGAAACAGGGGGCCTAGCGGAAGAAAGGAAAACCAGATTTTGTTGCGCTTAAGCGTCATAGTCTGGATTGATAGGTCAGTTAGTGAGTTCAGGCGCGAGAAGTGCATTTGTGCGTTCCGGGGTAGGCTGACTTGCATTAATTAATGGCGGTGGGGGATCGAACCAAGATGGTGGGAATAAAACAGAGATGGTGGGACGATGAGATCTTAAGCACTTGAAGTCTTAAGATTTACTCATATGAAATCGGTCATACCATGACTCCTTTCAAGCATTTACAGATTATTGGAGGCTCCGAGGCCCAGGAACAAACCCTGGATGTTTTGATCGGGTTGAAGCCTTGGTTACAAGGAAATGCCAAAGTGGGAGATGCGGATGAGAATGGGATTATTCAGATCTGGACAGATCAGATTGATCAAGCGACTTTGGGGATTCGTCGATTAATTTATGAGGGTGTGAGTACAGCCCATATGGATCAATAGTACCTCAGGCTACAAGTACAGCTGCTAACTTGAATCCATAGTGTGCCCAGTACGCACTTATACATACAACACGAGCAGCTGAAACACCTCAGAATCTTCCATATGCACTATATACCGCTTTACAAGTTGATGAATCACCTGCCGTGGATGAAGTGGTGTTAAGTACTGGACAATCCATCTGGGTTGAAGAACCAGCACTTCTGGGTCGGGACATGATATTCTTAATTGTCCAACCTATTTACCCAACACGAATGCATCTGAAGGGAACTCGAAGTGAAATCTTGGATACCTGTTTTGACGAGGATGAGATTACGTTAGATGTGCGAAGAATGGCACATGATATCCGATGGTATCGAAGTATTGTGCGAAGCAACAAACTGGACTATGTCTGTCCGTCATGCAAGAAGGGGTATCATGAGCGATTTCAACTGGCGGAACATTTTAAGAAGAGTACGGATTCGGAAGTGGATAATGAGAGACATAGTAAGTTGCGCATGATTAAGAGGAATGGGGATTGGAAGACGTTTGTGCAGGGAATGGAGGAGTCGTTAGGTCCTATTCAGGCTCAGACGTTGAGAGATGGGACTGCATGTTTTGAGGAGGATTTTTTGAGGCAGATCAGCTATAAGGCTTATTGTGATGGAACTCAGAGAAAAGGTATGTTTTGCACGTTTCTTTGGACACTGTTTGTTTATGCTAATCAAATCTAGATTCAGGGTATCAAAAACATGCATTTGGGTCACAAGTATTGGAGGGCTGGGCCTCTGTTATAACGCCCGAGAGGAAGGACAGTAAGTACCAGTTACTCCCCCGTGATGTGCTATATTACGATGAATTAATGGTGTAATCAGAATCTATTTCTCGCAGTCAGGCATCCACCGTGCGAACTCGGTGCTCCTAATGGGATCTGTGTCTACGAATCCACGATTATATGAGTATGGCTGGCATTTTCTTTTGGCATGAGTAAAAGTTCAAGTTTCTAGCTATTTTCCAAGTTTCTATTTTCTTAATTCTACATATGGACTTGAAAACCTCCTGTACTGTTCACTTCCAAGGTTTGATACAAACACCCGAGCAGTTAACTAGCCATGGCGGTTAGTAGATTAGTATAAGAAAGCCGTAGTCTTTTATACCACCCATCGGTCCCAAGTTGAGAGGAATCAATGGTATCTTTTGGGGCGCTATGTCAGCCGAGACTCGAGTTCATCATACTAAATATAGCCTCCACCCCGGGCCATAACCTTAGAAAATCTGAGCGGCCGATGAAGTGCCAGTGGAAATATTCTCCTGTTTTACCCGGGTTCCTGCGTCAGATATCAGACACGGGTCGCTGGTTCTACGTTAGTTTGCCAAGATGAGATGAATGAGACCTCGTCTAGATGAATAGCGCACTGTATTGAGTTGAGTATTCAGGCGCTTAGGTGGTTGTGTGGCTGTGTCATGCTGGATAAGGTGTGATAGCCAAGTGATGAGCAGGAAGAAACAAATGATTCAAGCCTCCCAAGTTGGAAATCGTTCAGCTGACTTGAGCACTGGCCTTTCGATATTAAAGTTCTAGATCAGATTCTTAATACTTTATTATCTTTTAATCTGACCTGATATTGGAATCATCTAGACGAGGCTCCATACATTCCTCGTCTAAGGCAGCGGCAACTAGTAATTTCTGATGCTATTGAGAAGAGCGCTAGAGGTCATGTTCAGCCCCTTGATATAGGCTGGTATACACAGAATCTTGGAAGTGGAGAAGATTCTGAGAGGAAATCGTAACTTGAAATAGATCAGACCGTCAAAGGTTCAACTTGAAGTTTCTACTATGCAGAAACCCTAAAACACGCAATGCTAGCAAACGCCCAGACACCCAACTATGGGGAAAACAGACAAAAAGGCCACAGATAAACATTTGAAACAAAACAGACATCGAACTGAATAACCCCATCAACAAAAGCAAACCCGTAAATGTAAATATATCAAGTGCAACAGGATATACCAAACGAATAACCCCCGGTCAACCAAACCAGCTGACAATCCAAATCTATACAGGTCATGAAGTGTAAATGCGGCAATAAGCCAGAAGATGTGTGAGGGTGAAAAGTGAGAGTGCAGAGAGGGTATGTGGCGCCAAATCAAAGATAATCGAAATTGATAAGCTTGAGTGTGCAACCATCACCATCGAACAATCAGGAAACGCTCAGCGTGTGAGGGGATGTGAGGTGCGAACAAGCGATATAAGCAGAGAGGAAGGAAAGAGAGTAGTGAATAGCTGTACAACTTTCAAGTCCAAATGAAAATTATGAAGTCTCCATGGTTTAAGGTGGAGTCGGGGTCTGTCCCAGCTCAGCAGGATGACGTGCCTTCTCACGACTACGCATGTACATAGCTTCTGTGGGGGGAGTCAGTGCCCGAGCCTGGAATAGGCCGTGGGACACTGTTCTGCTGTTGTGAGACGATCTCGCGAGCATAGAACTCCACAAGCATGGTGCCATAAGCCTCGAGTTCCTCGACTGGAATGGCGAGGCGAAAGTCGTTTAGAAGGAGGAATTGAAGTTCTAGATGGTTGAGCTCCACTAGTGGAAGTCCACCAACCTGCATAGGGATAATAGTCAGCAAAATGCATATCATACTTGCCAAGACTTCTAGGGAACCACCACACATACCTTTGCATATCTGGAGTTTGTGTAGAAAACATCAGAAAAGAATTTACTTGCGCAGGTCACACCTGCGATGACCAGGCGGTGGATATTAAAACTATCCACGACGAAAAAGTGGGAGAGATTTTCATCTTCTCCTTGTGGGTATAATGCTGGTGAAATGGAGGAATTTAGGTTCGGGTCCTGTGCGGTCATACCGGCAGAGGATGGAGGGGTGACTATTGCAGAATCTTGTCTTGTTCGGTCGGCCGATGTATCCATTGTATCAGAGGAAGAGCTTGAATGATCGCCCACTGTTGATTCATAGTGATGGGTGGGTGCGTGGAATTGTCCCCGGTTCACCAGATCCGTCATCCGATCGAAATAGACCAACAGACTCAGGAAAACCTCATATGTCGTAGGGCAATATTTGTGAATTCGAGTAAGGTAACTCAGAATGGTGATGCTGGGAACGTTCTTTCCATGGAAAGCGAGAACACTCGTAGCTTGGGGGCTCAGATTGGTAGTCCCTTCCGGCGGCGGAATATGACGATGAACATGTTCATGGTGCATATCATTGGTTGTAGTGATCTTGGTGAGCAGCCCGGCGACCATTTCAATGATGTCGCCGACAGGCATGGAGCTGATTTCAAACTGCCGTTGCGATCCATATCCGGCCTGTGATCTGTGCGGGGGAGCCAGGAATTCTTCACTGGCGAGAGACTGAATGTGGGAAAGACTGCGAACGCGAATACGGCTAGGGGAGTTGGCCTCAGAACCACCTAATGATTGCATGGATCGATGGGTGGGTTGTAGACGCGGCGAGTCCGGCGACTGAGTGTAGGGTGGCGCGGTCATGTTGGGCCGAGTGACATGGCTGTGTGAATCTTGCGGGGTCTCAGAGGCAGAATAGACAGAATGATCGGACGGAAGGGCATAGTTGGAGGTCATGGATGGCGGATGGATGGTTGTGTGGGAGTAAGAGGACTCGTTGGCAGGAAGAGCAGATATGGGTGGCGGGGCGGTAGTCGAGGTGGGGGTCGTGTTGGAGCTGGATCTAGAGCGGCCCTCGGATTCGTAAAAATGAGTTGAATCGCGAGAATCTCGAGAATTACCGAACATCTTGTCGTGAGGCACGTGGTCTGCTAGAATGGATCCCATCGCCTGTTAGTTTTTTTCGATGTGGATTTCTTGCTTTGATGGTTTTGTGGTTGTGCTGAAGTTGAGGTTCTTTGCGGGATTTCTCGTTTTCCCTGGTCTGTTAACACGGTCAGCTCTATATTGGAACCATGGATTTGATTCCATCGGTTTGATATTCAAGAGCAATGAGGGGGAAAGAAGAAGATAAAGAAGAATCAGGAGAGATAAAAGAGACTGGTTTTTGGCGTACGTACATGTCGATGACGAAGGTCCCGGGGATAAACCAGACAACCAGACAATCAGACAAGGGCCAGAACACGCAGATCTCAACTGATTAAACTGAGATCTGAACCATTGTAGGTGAAATCAAAGGAATCTCTTTATTTTGAAGTGATCAAACTAATGCAAGTTGGAAGTTCAATGGGTAGAGAGAAAGAGGAAGGAGAGGAGAAAGGGGTTTAATCGAGGAACATGAATATCAGTATCTTGACAGTGAATTCAAGTTACTCTATAAAAGGTATAAGAATTAAGGGTCTCTTTTTTCTTACTTTAGAGTCCCGATTTTGACTATATAAAGACGGTGAATCTTGGACGAATGATAGTGCAATATCAGTACCCGTGGTCATTAAATTGCAAGTGGATAATCAGTGGATTTGATTGGATCTGTATATTGATCAAATCTCATTCTTCAATATTCATCTTATACTAGTACTTAAGTATACCTGAGTACCTGAGTACTTGAGTACTATTTAGTAGTAACATTTGAAGGAGTACACTATACATTCATTCCAACCTTGGTTGTTTCTATGATGTAATATACCTTCAAATGCTTCAATCTTCATTACCGAGGTCTAACCCATGTCAGGTCTTTATCTACTCATATATTCCTCATATACTAGTATCACTAGTATCCCAAATGGTCCTTCCGGTGGAGAGATCCAGCTGACTACAGGAACACGTTTCACCGGGCAAAGAAGGGGGAAAAAAGAAAAGAAGACATATGGCGATATCATGAAATTCCATTCGCATCTCATCCCCCCACTAGGTATTAGTACACATTTAATTTGTCACTCCAGGCCCAGTGTAGCCATTGTCTGGCAGGTACAAGTGCCGCACGGCGCCCTTCTTAGTCAGAACCACCATACGAATCACACCACCGGAGCTACCATCCCATTTGATCGCCTCTTGCAGGGCACTGCGCACAAATTCAATACCTTCTTCCTCTGTCATCTGCTCACGCCAGTGTGCATCGGTATATCCGTAGATGTAGGTCGAGCCAGATCCACCAATTGCAAACGACTGCTTGTGTAGGGATCCTCCCAAAGGTATCGAGTACACCTGACCTCCGTGTCGAGGATCATATCCTGCAAGAATGATACCCGCACTGCAATAATTAGCCTGAAATTCCCACAAATGGGTTGACTGGCTCCCAATGATGACCATCACCAAGCTACCAACTCACCTCAGCATATCCTTGTTCTCATAGCACAATTCCTGGAAAAGCGACGCAGCAACCTGGGTGCTAGGTGCCTCGTTGTTGACCACACCGTACATGTTCAGATGGTAGGAGACGATATCCGCAACGGCTTGGGTGTCGGCGGCGGAGCCCGATCGGCAACACCAGATGGTGTCGTGCACTTGTGTCAATTTGTCCGTCACTCGGTTGGCAATGTACGCTCCGGTAGTTGTTCGACTATCAGCGCCCAGAATGACACCGTCCTTGAAGTTGATTGCCATGCTGTTGATGTGTTAAAACCGTTATGTGGGGATGGTAGGTAAGCTTCAGGTCGTCACTCACATCGAGGTTCCCAAGCTAGAGAGAGACTGGTTAGTACTTCTTCTTGGATACATGGATATGTAGTATGATATTCAGAACTTACTTGACCTCTCCACTCTTCAGGTGGTTCATGTCGACATGGATGCCATCTGGATGACGATGGATTAGCTCTGGTTGACCGATGACGATGGGTGCACCTTACCTTCACCCAGCATGCCAGATACACCATGTCCAACCATTTTGATTGTTGAGTTATGAAATTTTGCAAGAGAAATGCTGCGGCGAATGATTAAATAAGAAGGGCCAGGGAGATTGAGAGGTGCAAAGGTGGAGATAGTTGATGTCTTATTGAAGCTCTAAGGCAGAAGCTCACGCGTCCCAGCTCGGGCTCGGGCGGTGAAGACGGCGGCACTCCATCACCTTCTGTATCTGTACCTTGTTACTGTAGCACGCCCTGTCCTAATACAAATACAGGATATTGAAGTCAAGATAATTATTGATAAAGTACAAACTACCTTGGAAGCACCGGAGGAGTGTGAAGGTCTTTTTGTCAACCATAATGCATATGGTTGACTAGACAAACATTCCGAGTCAGACCGACTATATTAATATTGAACACTTCCAGTCTCCGAGTCCTAAGCCAGTTAACAGCTCATCAACTGAGATCCTCAAACCCTTCAAAATTTTGCTCCCTTGCCTCCGAGTCCTATGAATGAAAATACTGTGCCAACAATCTCATATATGCCACATATTTGTTCAGAATGAACCTTCTAACCCTCTCAAATGTTGGTAGCCCTTAAGATACTAATAACCAACTGCTACACTGAAAGAAATACAGGATGCGAAAGGTCTATGTCTCCATAGGATGGGAGGCGCAGAATTTTGGAGATGAACGCACTAGCATCAAATGTGCTGAAAGTTGGGCCAATACTAGCTCAAATGAGAGAAGCGGAGGCACTCTCTCTTCTAAGAGAACGGATGACAGTCCCCGTTCCTGAAGTGTTCAATGCTTATACAATCGCTGATTACGGATATATTTTGATGTCGAAAAATCTCGGGTGTCTCTGCAACGATTCTGGAAACTTGAATCTTTAACTCGAGATTCCAAGATTTCTATCATTCAACAGCTGGAAGGCTTTACTCAGGAATAGCGCCAGATTGAAGGGCCTCTCTATGGGTCCGTTGATGATGGTTCATCGAAATGAAAAAAACCCGGAACTACGGGTCTTTTTCGACAAGAAACGAATTAAATCACGGGTGTTAGAGTCTTTGCGTTAATCTAGACCAAATGCGCAGCTGACCGAAAGAGCCCTGGAGGTGAGACTCTAGTGGAGAGATTTTATATCCACCATACCTGACACCAATGAGTATGAATTTTGGGTTGAAGTCAATCAATCCATGCCGGATCATACTGGGATCTGATATGTGTTGCCAGTCAAGTTTCTGGCTTGAAACTTATGAACTTTTTGTGCAGCAAGTTGGTCGAGCGTTTTTACCTTCACTTTTGCCTTCTATCGGTATCCATGTACTGTTATAGATAGAGACTCGCGAACCCCCAAATTCAACTTAACCATCTAAAGCATCTCATTAGTACTAAATAAAGCAGTTTTATCAGTTACCATTATTATGTGGTGGGCTTGATGTGTCTATGTCTTGTATTGGCTGTGCCTAGCCCACGTCAGGTATCAGTCCAGCCCTCGTCTACACTGAGTCTTGTCTTTACCCTTGAGTGAGCACTACTGCCAGGTGTGACCCTTATCCATCGACCGATCCACCTATTTCCATCGCACTGCCAGGTACTATCAACAGCTTCTTCTTCTTCTTCTTCTTCTTACTTCATTCAGACATTCAGTGGACCGATACTCTCTGCATTTCTCTTCTACGTTTCTGGATTCGTTCTGTCACCCTAAAATGGAATCACGTTTGCCCTTCGATGATGTTGCCTGGGAAAAGAGCGACGAGATCGAACAATCCTGGGTAGAATTTCTCTCCTACGAAGACATTTTCGATGAGATTGAACTTTTTCTCGCTGCACACTATCACCCTCGTCAGTGTGCCGATTTCAAACTATTTCGGATAGGCGGTATCAATGCTACCTTTCTCATGACGTTCACTGATACCAATATTGGTGACGCCATTTTACGTTTCCCAATACCTGGCATTGCTCTGTTTCCCGAAGAAAAAGTTCGAAATGAGGTCTCTATCATGCAATTCATCACGGAGAAAACTTCAGACACGATGCCGATTCCCGTTCCTAGGATTTCTCGCTGGGGAAAGAGAACCGAGAGTCCCGCAAAGTTGGGTCCCTTCATAATCATGGGCTATATCGAGCATGAGAGAAGCATGTCCGATGTTCTCGAGACGCCGGGACCTCATCAACAAAATCGCTTAGAACTAAACCCGAATATTAGTGTAACAAAGCTGAAGTCTCTCTATAGAGAATTAGCCAACATTGTCTTTTCCTTATCCACACTATCTGCGAGTCGGATTGGGTCTCTGAAACAGACTGGCCGATCAGTGTGGGAAGCGGCCTACCGACCACTTTCCCTGTCAATGAACGAAATTGTGCGAGTAGGGACGCTACCCCGATCGAAACTCCCCACTGCGAATTACGACAAGACGTCTTTGTATTTTGAAGCCCTAGCGGAGCTGCACATTTCACACCTCAAATACCAAAGGAACGATGCTATAGACTCAGCCGACGACTGCCGGCGCAAGTTTGTCGCCAGGTTTCTATTTCGGAAGCTTATTCGAGATCCAGAGCTAAGGGAAAAATGGATGTCTCCGAGTTATGAGAATGGCCCCTTTCCAGTTTGGTGTGATGACTTTCGGCCACAAAATGTCTTGGTCGACAAAGCTGACAAAGTCGTTGGGGTGGTGGATTGGGAGTTTACATACGCTGCCCCAGTTCAATTTTCTCATGCTCCGCCCTGGTGGCTTCTTCTTGACAAGCCAGAATATTGGGCCAAGGGCCTTGATGACTGGTGCACAGAATATGAAAGACGGCTTCCGGTATTTCTTCAGGCAATGAGGGATTGCGAAGAGGTTGTATTCCAGACTCGAAACGAACGACTCGAGGAAAGCCAGCGACTTTCTAGTCGGATGCGAGATAGTTGGGAGAGTGGAGACTTTTGGATCATGTATGCTGCAAGGAACAACTTTGCCTTTGACGCTATCTATTGGAACAAGATTGATCGCCGATTCTTCGGGCCCACTGGATATGTCGATGACGACAATATTTGCGATGTATGGAAGAAAAGACTTGATCTCTTGGAACCTGAAGAAAAGAAGACCATGGAAAAATATGTTGATCGAAAGCTTAAGGAGACCGAGACACGGCCTCTCTGTTGGGACCCAGATCAGTACACCTTAGAATTCATGGCAAAGGTGGATCAAGACTCCGATGATGCTTGATTGCTCCTTGTTGGATAATTTAGGACAGGTTTTCGAGTCCTGATTTAGCACGTGGATTTAGAGGAACATTTGGGGTGGATTCTCAGGTAGCTAGCTTTCAGGTTCAATTCAACATTTGAATGGTGTTCCTTAGAAAGTTCGATTTTTGGGTAGAGATAAGCAAAACCCTCGCGTCGCGGCACTAGTACTTGGCTGGCAACTTTGTATTATGGATCTGGCGCAGGTGATTTCCGGTCATCGACTCTTTCCATTCATTCTCCCATTGAGTATGGTCGGCCATGATTTCTCAATAGAAAAGACCATGACTTCCCTGGAAAGATCACACATAATCATGGCCTTTCCATTATGTGACTTCACTCTGTGACAGTTAAAGGGCGGTGAGATAGGCGGTGAATATTTACAGCAAAATAAGTATTGGTATTGGCCTTACGTGGTCGTTATCGTCCCCCGTAGTCAATAAATGCACGGAGCAACTTGAAACTGATACGGAGTGGGTCTATGTGGCTAGGAGCTGTACACTCGCCAGCCCCCGCAAATCACTCAAACTTGAACCAAACAACTCCTCCAGTTGCAATACTGAGAAAGTTGTTTCAGTTCGGCCTTCTATCTTTGCAGTCTTTTGTTTCATTCGAGTCCCAGAACCCACTTCTATCAGCATGTCTGAATCACCGCCGCCTCCATCCTGGAACATTGGCACTATGGCCAACAGTGCTATAAACTTCCTTCGTTTACCAGTTTTGGCATCATCTGGTCTAGCTGTCGTTGCCAGCGGAATCCTCTACTTTAAGCAAAAGTAGGCCATTGTCCCTGAAACAAGACTCGAAAAATTCCTCGAGCTAACTAGGCTCCAGTGAAGCGATTTACCCCCGCAGTGTCCCTGCCGATGCGCGAACCAATGTGCCGAGTCCCAGTCAATTCAAAATCACAGAATTTGAAGATCTCCAACTCCCAACTCCGGATGGAGAAACGCTTCACGCATACTTCCTACCCCAGCCTACAGGCCGGGTCAAGCGCAACTTGACCATCATAATGTTTCACGGGAATGCTGGTAACATTGGCCATCGAGTTCCTATCGCCAAAGCGCTTCAGGATACGTTGAAGTGTAATGTTATGTTGCTGGAATATCGAGGATACGGGAAATCCACCGGTACCCCGGATGAAGTGGGCCTGAAGATCGACGCCCAGACCGGCTTGGACTATCTGCTCCAACGCCCCGATACGAAAGATACCAAGCTTGTCGCATATGGTCAGAGCTTAGGTGGTTCTGTTGCGATCAATCTCGTTAATACCAACCAAAATAAGTTCGCTGGACTGATCTTGGAAAACACTTTCCTTAGTATTCGCAAGTTGATTCCTGTGTAAGTTTTCTCATCATACTCACCTTGACGAGCAAGGAAGACTAACACGACTACAGACTCGTTCCTCCAGCTCGTTACCTCGCACGTTTCTGCCATCAGACCTGGCAAAGCGAGGACTGGCTTCCCAATATCAAAAGTGTTCCCATCCTGTTCTTAAGTGGACTCCAGGATGAACTCGTGCCGTACGTTGATCCATTGGATCGCATTTGACATTGTACTGATTTTCTTCTAGGCCCTCGCACATGGCAGGATTATTTTCTCTTTGCCAGTCGGAGACTAAGATCTGGCGCACACTGCCCCACGGCGCTCATAATGACTCGGTGGCTGAGCCAGGCTACTTCGACCACATCCACGGCTTCATTTCCGAAGAGGTAATGGATTAAGATAATCGCATCTGCCACTGGTTATCTGAACAACCCGGATTTTACGCCTACCTAGTCCGATTATGATTATTCCCCATCAGACCAACCATGATACCCACTCTCACGATGGATGAACGAGAGTTTTTGTATTTGATTCTGTTCAGCGGCTTTAGGACTTGCTTTGTGTTATCTATGGAGGGGCATGGCACTCAGCAGACCCCTTCGCCAACTAAATAGCCGTGATACTCGATTGATCTTCTGTGCTTGTCGTCGAGGCTACTTCTTTTTTATCTTCTTGTGACTACTACTTTGCTTGTATCGCCTCTTTATCCTCGGCGGGTACTTCGGATTCGGATTCTTGCTCGTCTTGCTATCATGTACATCAGGGCATAGCCTCAACCTGCAGTATTGCAAATTTCGTACACTACTCTCTCATGGGATCTATTTCATATCTTATTCGTATATAAAGCTAGACCATTCAGTACCTTGCATGTCTGCATATCTATTTGTCAGCAGATGATCGGCAGGTCCACTGGCAGCATGTCGCACATGTTAGTACTTATATCTCTGATTCATCCCCCAAACTTGAAGTTTCACCTGAATTTGAATACTCGTCCGGTAGTATGGCATTCATCCAAAAAGAATTCACCACCACACCACCCCTCCCAACGGGAGATACATCCCAGGACAACAGCCCATGGACACTCCTCAGTCCAGGAATCTGGGAACTTCACCTAAACGGCTCAAACGAGCACAAATCCGTTCTTCAATGGTGGGAACCAAATACAGAAACTAGTTCCGAGCGCATATCACACTCTTTCATCGAGGAGGTATGTTTCTTGAAGGGAGGGTTGGAGGATCTATACCTCTCTGAGGCGTGGGGTGTCGGAGCTTATGCCTTTCGGTTGCCGGGGATGCTGCATGGGCCTTATAAGGCTTCTAAGGATGGGTGTTTGATGATTGTTAAGGTTTTGCCTGCTGTTGGCAACGAAGGTGGGATGCCGTGATGGGACATAAAGACTCAAGAGTCATTGAAAGGGTCTGATATATAAGGGGGCAATGATGTTAGTGCATACTGGGAATGAGAGAGATAAGAGGACTTGAGCAGATCAATAGGGATTGCAAATTGGGCCACCAGATCGATGGATGCTACAAGTAGATCTTAATAATCCAAGTACAAAAACGCAGGGGGCTGCTAAGACCCGGTTAAGCTTATTTGAAGCCCCACAGGTATTCATCCCATGTTTGGACGTCAGTGGTTAGGCCAGAAGGTCCTCAAATGAGTACCGAGTTACCCTCCACTAGGAAATTAAAAAAAAGAAAAATAAATGTAAAGATTGAAAGTTTTTATTTCGCCAGTATCATACGTCATGGCAAGCAAGGCCGATAATCCATGTTTTAATCGACTATATCTTCACTGGCTTCAGGAATCTCACCAGCATTCACCTCAGCCTCAGCTGATTCTGATGGCTCAACCGCTTCAGAAGTTTCAGTCTGCTCTTGAAGACCAGAGACAGACTCCTCCAGTCCCTGCTCAATCTCCTGGAGAACACCTTCCTGCTCTCGCTCAACTTCCTCCTCCTTTTCCTCCGCCTCTTCCCAATCATCCACCACCTCAATAGGCTGGGTCTTCAACGAATTGCCAGCACCAATACCCGAACGAAGCACCAACCGCTCCTTCTTAGATCCCTCCTGGAATGCTTCTCCAGAAAGTGCCGAAAATATCGTCCGACTACCAAATGGATTCTGAACAGGGGTACTACTCCTAGTACTAGGCCCACTGTTCTCACCGGGCTTCTTAGCTCGAGAGGCAACTTGCGCCCAGCCATCTCCACTTACACCAGACTCTGCTTTCGCGGCGTTACGCGCGGCTTTAGCTTCTAGTGCGGCGAGACGCTGTACTTCGCGCTCCTTAGTACGTTCGCGTTCGCGGAACTTGACACACGCGCGGACACTCATGCCGCCAATACCGATAGCGGAGAGGGTACCAAGGCCAAAAACTGGAGGTGTCCAGGTTAAAGGTTTCAGGACGAAAACGTGACGGTGTGGTTCTGGGTCGTGGCTTTCTGTGACGAAGCCCCAGTCTGTGGCTAGAGAATGGGTAAATGCACGGAGGGTGGATTTAGCGGGTTGGAAGCGGGTAGATCGATTTGAAGGATCGATTGCTAGCGAGTGCAAGGTTGACTCGTATGTCTGGAGAGTCGATAATGAGACGCTGGATGCAAGTTTGATATATTGGTCCAGAGTCTCGGCTGAGTATGGGAGATTGTTGGCAGAGAAAGCTTGCACGGTTGTCGATTGGTTGATGTCGATGCCAAGGGCAGATGCAAGAGAGCGATTCCGCTCCAGGCGGCCGCACTCATCGTCACAGGTTAGAGGTGTAAGTACAGGTAGACGTTCTGGCTGTTGGAGCTGGCCCTTGGAGGTGACAGCTTTGGCGGCATTGCACTTTCGTTGCTGACGCAGTCGTCCACAGCCACACGTTGCTGTGCTCATGGAAGGGCAGGGTGTCTTCTCTGGGCAGGGATATGGTGCATGGCAAGAATCAGAGCATGGGTGACCACACAAAGATTTACTTTTTCCGCAGGCCTGCTGACAAGGCTTATTGGCATCTTCACATTCTCCGGGTCGATGACAATCCTTCTTGCAGAAGTGAGAACCACATTTGAGTGGCGCTCCACAAACCTGTCCGCAACGTGAATCTGTAAGCCAGCAGGGCACATTTTTCATCACCCGCTTGCCACACAAACACTCTTTCTCTGTCAGGAAAGGACACTTTGGACATGACTCTTCATCGACGTGGCAATTATGCGCTGTCTGAGGATGACCACATGGCTTTGGGCGTTCACAAGGGAAAGAACATGGCGGAGGTTGAGTTCCACATGGCTGTGGTGGGTACAGTATTGATCGTCCGCAGTTGCATGCAACTTCCTCGAAAATAGCCTCGCGACAAGTATTACAGGCACCTTTGTGGCAAAGCTCAGGACATGTGTGTTTCCCACATTTCAACAATCGACCACAAATACGAGTACATATGTGCTCAGCTTCGATATCCTCGTCAGAAGGGCGGAGATGACCCTTCAACTTGCGACGCAGGGCCTGCCGCTCTATGGCCTTCTGTTCTCCAGGGCAGCATCTTTCAGAGCACGCATGGCGACCACAATGCAGTGTAGCTTTACACGTGCGGAAGCATTGAGGATGCTGTACATCGCCTTGATGGCAAATACTCATTGATGTGCTACGGCCGCATCGACAATCAACAGGCACATGGCGCAAACAAGCTCCGCATGGGCCGGTATGGCAGATTTGGTCACAGGAATGACCACATGCAAGCATCTTACCACAGGATTCCTGGCAGTGGGGGATTGTGTCCTCACACGAAGTTCGAGGGGAGTAACCAGAAATGTCTGTCAGTTTGGTTTTACCGCATGGGCACCGAATAACAACATCTGGCGACCTTGGGCAATGGGCGGGATTAAAATCTTGAGGATGGCAGTTCTTTTGGCATGAATGAAGCCCACAATCAAATGATCGGCCACAAGTGTCATTGCAACTGAAACAACCTGTCCATTCTTCTTCGACTCCATCACGAGTTGTTTGGCTGTCCATTTCCTCCTCCTTCGAGCTACACAGCATTTCCGTATCTACTTTTCCACAGTAGCAACGAGCCTCAAGCTTGACTTCACAAGCTCCACACAGCCCTTCATGACATGGAAGAGGGCAGGTATGCTCACCGCAAGGCAACAAGTCACCGCATATTTCTCCACAGCTCCATCCTTGCTCATAATCTGTGTCTTGACATCTTTTTGCGCTAGAGTTTCTCCCACAAAAACAATCCTGGGTTGGACCCATAGCGGTACAAGGAGCACATGGACCAGCGTGACAGGTTTTATCGCAGGGATGGGGGCAGCCTTTGCGGACTCGGGAACATGTCTGACCACATGAATGAGGAGGAAGACCAGGGAAGGGTCTAGGATCAACCTCCTTCTCACACCAACAAGTGTAAGTGGTTGGGAAATTCTCGTGAGAAAGATTGCAACCAGGGCATCGCCAGGCACGAGTGGGCGCAGGGCCTTCGCCACCATCTGGTTCGCGATTGTTATTCTGCGCAGCCGCGCCTTCATTCGTGGACCACTTTTTGATGCAGCTCATGTGGAAGACAGTCCAACATAACTCGCAGGACCAGACCTTGGATCTTCGTCCAAGTTCACTTGTGCAAATGGGACATTCGTATAAATTGTGGGCAATATCTTCATGAATGCGGGTCGTAATATCGTCTGCTATTGATTTTGTCGTGACCTTTGGCGGCTTCGGTGGTCCTTTAGGTTTCGTTTTCCCCTTTCCCTTGGATGCGGATTGTGTAGACTCTACAGGTCGCGGTGCTCCTGGTACAAAATCCGGTACATCAGCTCGGAGACCTGGCTCATCCTCCCCGGCGATTTCCAGATTTTGATTGGAAAACTCTTGGCCTTCCTTCGTTAATCGAGCTCCAAATCCTCGAGCCCGCATTCCACGGGACTGAGGTTGAGTTGGTTGTCCAGAAGATTCTCCAATATCCGTCGACGCTTGCTGTGTGCCATTACCACGGCCTCTTCGGGGTCTGGGTGCCTTCCCTTCACGATTTCCTCTCCGCTGACGAGATTGGCCATTTGATCTGCCGGAGTCTGGCGCAACATCCTGCTGTATCTCCGGCGTCTGTAATGATGGCTGAGCTTCCGCTGGTTGTGTTTGTATATTTTGACGACCTTCGCGGTTTGCGGGGCCCCTCCCACGGCGTCGATTGCGGGAACGAGGGGCAGTCGGTGGAGTTTGAACTGGTACGGAATCGGACATGGCCTGCGTGACCAGTAGTGTCTGACTTGGCACAGACGATATGCTCATATATGGGTGGGCTTGTGAGGAATTCGAACCAACAATTGACAAAGTAATGTTGGGTGACTACTGCGGGGAACTGGCGAGCTCTTTAAATCGCGATGAGTGGGATTTGGATGAGGTAAAATTCAAACAATATAATAAGGGTAAGCAACGCAAAATGCAGAAGAGGAAAATATAGCACCCTCAGAAAAGCAAGCAGCATTTAACAGGCGATGAACCTATCTGGAAAGCTCCGACAAAAACCTCAAACGGCAGTATAAGGCGGAGCATTTGGCGGTGAAGTGGTGGCGGCGTGAGTCAATGGGAGTCGCAGTGACTCAATGCATAGTGGAGTCGGTCCACCAAACCCGAGTCAGGGTAAATTCGAAATACGCAGTTACGCAGTTAAATGCACAACGTTTGATCCTGATTGATTTGATATCCCATCAATCAGTGGAAATTGCAGACTGGGCCCTATTCCGACTCTAGACGATATCCACTACGGAGTACTCCGTAGACAACTTGAAGGCGCGAGGGCCGCCATGGCTCACCACCCGGCGCGATGATAAGACAGAACTCATGATAATCTTGGCATACTCAGCCCTAAGGATTCGAAATGTTCACTGGAACCTTGGAAATATGGGATCATACTACATAAAACAAATATGCGCAAGCTGGAAACCGAGGGTAGACTTTTCACTATCAGTTCATCTGCATTCTTCAGCTGGTCTATGTCCAAATGCTGTTTATATCATGATTTTAGCGGTCACCTGCCAGTGGCTACTGGCTTATCGTGAATTCCAAGGCCCTATGTAGTCTTGAAGCTTCAGCACGCAGATATAGGAGTCCAAAATTTGAAGGGCCTGAAAGAACAAATGACCTAGTGATCGAAACTGATAATGACCTGGACTCCGCATACTTCCCGGGGCCGTACAGCTGATTCTATGGTCAGACAGTCAATTTAGTAAAAGCTAACGTTTATCAGACCAAATAATGATTTATTACAGTTCGATCCCTGCGTCGCTCGCGCATATTTTGTTTTGCATTTTAAGCACATGTGTGGATATTCAATCGCCATGTCTTCGAGTTATTCCAACCTCTCCGAAATCATTAACCTTGGAATTGCGTTGGCTAGCTGAGATAATCGACTGGCTCCCAAATTCTTTCATTCAATCCTATTATTTGAGTTCAAAATGTACGTAAGTAGATTCGATGATCATCCACAATTCGATTCATAATGGATATGAGCTGTCGGCAGCTCAATTCAAGTTCCAGGCTCATGGAGATCCATGACTCAAGAGCCCACTGGAATCCCTCATATCTCAACTCGCCGGTAGTGGTCGGTCTCCAGACGGCTTCCACCTTGACGCGATGGAAATAAATTTTCTTTCCAGCCGTAATAGCCACCCAGATTACAGGTTGGTACCATACAACACGAGTTGCAGAGCAATGGATTCTTTGCCTTTCTTCTGACTTCCATACTTGATTATGCATATACAAGCGCTGCATAGCCCAGAGAACTTGGGTATTTGCCAGTTCATCAATTCTTTCGCCTTCACGAAAACAGGCCACAGCGAGAATGATGCCGGATTCTGCGGGTAAACTTGAATGCCATTCATCGCGGAGCCAGCTGCCCACACAAAGTTCTGGACTCCGACCCATGTCATCATCTTGACGAGGAAGACACTGATAGACTCAGAAATCATCCAGAGAGTGAAAAAGTCATGCCAGAATCGAGTATGGTTGAAATTTCCCCCGACCTGGTCTTGGTTTGCTGAGCCTTCTGAGGAAATGGATGAGGCGAGGATGAGCTCGCTTGTGGGGAGGATACCGAGGATATCGATAGAATGGGAGTTCATCCAGGGGGCAAAATAATGCTGCCAGAATTGAGTCCGGTCGAAATTTCCCCAATCTTGGTCTTGGTCTTTTAAGTCTTTTGGGAAAATAGAGGAGGCGCGGTTGATCTTCTTTGTGGAGGGGGGGGGGTTTCCGTACCACGGCGTCTGATTTTGATAAACTCGCTCACAGCGACTGAGATCCGAAGAAACGCTCATGTCTACTATCTAAAATTCATTGCTGTTAGTACTGGAGCAGGCTTTTTCCTCATATGAGTCCACAAGATACTGACCGATTTGAGTATTATGGAATGATCCGGTCTGGTGAGTTTCTCGAACGGGGAGAAGATATGGGCCTTTATACTTCAGAGAATTGAATAGGTTTCGAGAACTGTCTCGTCCCAATCCCGATTGATTCCTTTCCTTTGCTACGCATTTGGATGCCTGGCGGGGTCCCATTCATTTTTTCTTTTCTTTTTGTGTGATACAATTGGTCCAGAGAATGGCTCGATTTCACCTCCAGGGCTTGTCTATGAGATCAACTTCTAGACGCCAACCAACGCAAAGATACCTAATCAAGGACCATAGGTAGTTCAAGTTGGGTGTAAATTTGGGGCTAATTGAAAAACCTATATTGGATTTGTATGCAGATCACTAATTTTGGCGGAAAATGCGCTACCTTGCGTGTCAAGACAGTCGGAAATCGTCTGTTCCAGCCGCACCGAGCCACATTATGCTCCATACAAGCTGGACTAAAAAAGGCTGAAATGAAGAGGCTGCCTAGCAAACACACGTCATATCTGTCTCCGTTGCCGCAGATTAATGACAGGATGGCTGAGTCGTAATTCTGAAGACTAAGGAAAGCCCTACATGCGGCGCTTGGTTACCTGCCCCTGTTATCGCCAGACAAGTATCAGGCACTTTGACAAACAGGGGGAAAAACTAGAAATCCCTGTAGAAAAGGCTGGAATATTATCACCAGTCCCGGCCTATCATTCAATTTTCCAATAGTTCATCTGAGACTGCCCGAGGAATCAAATGGGTTTCAGTATAGTTCAGGGCTCCTATAATACCTCACTCCCACGAATGAAATCCGTTCTAAATGATAGGCACTGGGTCAGAGAGCCATAAGCAGACGTGTTGAGGCTTTTTCAAAGGTACCACCGGCATTCCTCTTCGCTGCCCACATTGTACCCTTAGTTGATTCAGTTATAGTTGATCTGATGGTTCTGTTGGAAGACCTCCTAGGTGCTATCTGCTCAGTCACCCCTGGTAGCGTGGCTTATACATATTACCTAGGTAGTTGGTTTCCTAATTTGCCAAAGGGTGGTAATTTGACAACGCTTCAAAATCTCCCCTTTTCTCCAGATTCTGTTCGCTAAGCACAAGGCACCAGCAGTGCAGTGGATATAATAACGAAATGTCAAAGCCCTCAGTAAATACACGTGGACCTGTAGTATTTGCCCTAGATCAATTGAAGCGTGGGGCATTAATACGCTGGGTGATTTAGTTATTAATAGGAAGCAATTTAAGAGGCGAAGCATATGGTTTGGTATGCCATCGTTCATCTAGCATCATGTTGGTGAAATATTGAGACCAGACCAGACCAGAACTTATTCCTAATATCCCAATTGGAACTGCTCAGACTTCAATCTGTGAATGTGCTATTCCAACGTACCTTCCACCATTTGTCTACGTTTCCTCAGCCAGACTGCAGCACGAAGAGGGAAAGAGGCAAGTGACGTGGAGGAAGATCTAATAAGGGAACGTGGCTCTTGTGGATTTGAGTCTTGGATTTAGTGACATATTGATGCATGTCGTGTATTCTCGCTCCAATCTGGTCAGGCATCTTTAGAATGTTTGAAAGTGTCTCCGATGAGTTCAGCCTTGGAAAACTGTCTGATCGGTTGATGTCAGCCTCGAGGCTCTAGCCTATGGGTCATCTCACTACAGATGGATCGATTTTATCTGTGACGTGCCAGTTGTCTCACTTCAGTGTCTGCCTCCGCCACTTTTCTCATTCTTCCAAGTTCCCAATCTCCAGTTTCAAGCCCAAGTGACTTTCAAGATTTGAGGACAGTCATTTGGAAAGGAATCTCAGTCGCGTCATGCAATCTCATGAAGCCCCCGGCCCGCCTGGTGACAAGAAAGAAGATGAGAAGGACGACCAGAAGGAAAACAAAATGGAGGACCGTTTGCGAGAAATGTGGGCAAAAGTCCTTCAACAGCCCATTCACACACTTGAAGCAAGTTCGAATTTTTTCCTATCTGGAGGCGACTCTCTATTGGCAATACACCTAGGTGCTCTAGCTCACGAAAATCTCTGGCACTTGACCTTCCAGGATGTATACACTCATCCGATCTTAAGCGACATGGCCCAAATGGTCCGCCCTCTGAAAAAGCTACCCCTCGAGTCAGACCCAAAGCCTCAGCTTGAAATCCCAAACCCGGTTAGGTCCTTGATTGCAAAGGAAGTCAAAGTTGACAGCAATGTAATCCAGTTCATATGCCCTGCTAGTGCAACCCAAGAGGGCTTCATAGCCCTTGCTGCAACTAATGGTGACGCGCACATCATCCGATACACATTCATCGTTCCGCGTGAGGTCGATCTCCCTCAACTCAAAGAATCCTGGCGACGCGTTGTGAAGGCTCATCAGATCTTACGAACGCGTTTTTACCACACGGCGACCGGAATGTATCAGGTTGTGCTGAATGATGACTTTCATTGGGAGACACAAGATATAGAGAGTTCTACCTCTATCAAAGATAAGATCAACAATGACTTTCATAATTTGAATGGTCCACTGAGCCGCTTCTATTTGCTGACCCATGATGACAATTCTCATCTGTTGGTATGGGCTGTCAGTCGCGCGTTGACTGACGATTGTACAAGCTCTCAAATCTTTGCAGAAGTCCATGCGGCGTATGTACATAATTCTGAAATACCTCCAGAGCGGCCTTTTAGTGTGTTCACCCAGGCAGATGGCACCATGCCTTTTGAGAAGATCAGTTACTTCTGGAAAGAACAGTTAAATCGTGGAACAGTTGTCGAATATCCAGTCTTACCATTTTCACAGTTTCAACCCATTACAAGTTCGCAACTCTTGGACCAATTTTGTGTTTCCTGCCCTTTGGCTCCGTCCCAGTATACCTTCGCTTTGAGGGTCCGAGCCGCGTGGGCAATTACCGTTAGCGAAGTCACACAGTACCGCCATGTACTTTTCGGCCTTAGCTTGGGTGGTCGTAATGGATTTCACAACGTGGCCGGTCCAACAGCGACGACTGTTCCTCTTCGTATTCTCGTCAAGCCAGACCAGCCTCTTACTGAGTTCCTAGGGATTCTCCAGCAACAAGCCCTGGATATGATGCCGTATGAACACACTGGAATGAATTGCATTGCAAAAATTGGGGCTTCCTGCCCTCGATCATACTCTTACAAGGTTCAGAATTTGCTCATCGTTCAAGTTCCCCAAGATGTAAAATCACGCCCCCAAGCGGGCAATACGGGATGGATCTATCCAAACAGAACTGATACAGTTTGGCCATATGCGCTCGTTGTTCATGTCCGACCTGAAGTTGCAGCGGTGGAGATTTTGATGGAATACGATGACAAAGTTTTTAACAAAGAGGAGATACAAGGCCTCATGACCCTTTTCTCACTCATTCTCTTACGAATTCTCGGAGGTCCAGAGAGTCAAACTGTCGGTGAGATACTTACTGGGCTATCACCTCCCACCAAGGGAACAGAACCTTGCCAAGATGGCAGAATGATTGAGTATTGCGGTCGCTCCTTCGATGCTACAAAAATCGAAAATCAGATAGCAGATATCATTGGAATTGATCAGTCTTCATGCTATGTGAAGCTTCTCCAGCTCGGCAAGGAGGCGAATGATGTTGTTTTGAGCACATTTATTGACACATGCAGCAGCGACGCTGATGGCTTCGCGCAATATGTCTCAATACTGGAGGCTGAGCTCGGCAAACATCTTCCTACTCATATGACTCCAGGACTCTACCTTCCATTTCCAATTGTCCACGAGCTATCACCTCACCAGCGACAGCTCATCAACTCAAAATATTCACAGAAAACAACATTCAACTCTTCATCCTCATTTGTCATGTCTTCCATTGGATGCCTCACCCTTGCAGAAGATATACTCATTGACTGCTGGGAGCAGGTTCTCGGTATTAAAATCGTCTCCTTAGATGCAAATTTTGTTTCGTTAGGTGGTGATTCAATCAAGGCTGTACGGCTAACCCATGCTGCTCGAGTAGCCAACCTGCAATTATCAGTCAATACTGTTCTCCGGAAGCCAGTGTTGAGGCACATGGCTGTAGCTGCATCAATCATTGAAATGACACCCAATAGAGAAAACGCCTTATCAACAGCATGTGATCTCAGTGCACTCAAAGAATCGAAGTCCTTTCTTGTCGACACAGGTGAATGCAATTCACAGGCGATATTTCCCGTCACTCCGTACCAAAATTCAACATTTTCCGATTCTTTGCGTAATTCAGGAAGCTGTGTGCTACAAAGTCTATACAGACTCTACTCCGAATTTGATGTCAAGAAATTTGAGCGGGCCTGGAATCGGGTCTGTGTCGAATTCCCTAGCTTGCGGACCACATTAGTTCACGCCAAAAATGGTAGCTTGCTTCAAGTCATTTCCAGTGAAGTGACAAAGCCCGAGAAACTTCAATTTGCAAACCTCGATGACCTCAAAAATCACATGAAACATATCCTTCCTACAGTGACCCAGCTTGATGCTTGCTTAAGCCAAATCATCCTAGCTGACGTTGGACCGCAAAAAGAACTAGAAAGGTACATGGTGTTGTCCATACACCAAGCCATTTTCGATGCTCACACCCTAGTGCGAATCCACAAAGCTCTCATACAGGCATACCATGATGATGGCATTCTAACCCACTCTGTCGCACTTGGAGAGTATGTTACCTTCCTTGATAGCCAAAACACCGCCATGGCATCAAGATATTGGAGGCACTATCTCAAAGGCGCAGAGGCAACAATCTTCCCTCCCTATCCATCCCGTGATTACATTACCCATCCAGATCAGGAACATAAAGTTATTTTACGACTTCGACAATCTCCAATTCAGACAATCACAATTCCAACCGTCATCCGGGCTGCATGGGGAATACTCTTAACAACCCTCACTCGCACCCGCGACGCAACCTACTGCGAGCTAGACAGTGGCCGCACAGCCAAAAAAGACAACATAGAGCATTACGCAGGTCCGACCTCAAACTTAATCCCCATCCGAGTCAAAGTCGAAAGCAAGCTGAATTTGACGATCCGAAACTTCCTGGGTGAGATCCAAATCCAAACTTCGAGAATGAGACCCTACACAGGACTGGGGCTTGAAACGATCGCATCCTTCCTACCGGAAAATTTCAAGCTCTTTGATTTCCACAGCTTGCTTGTTATTCACAATGATACTGGAAAGGAGAAGGTGCCGGAGAAGGATATTCCCATGCGTGCTATGAGCAGTTCTATGAAATTGGATGGTTGTCTTGGACTTATGTTACAATGTGTTATTACGACTGGGGGAGTGTGTATGAATATTCGATGGGATGAGATGTTGATCTCCAACAGTCTCATTGAGATCTTATGTTTAAGAATGGAGTTCTTGTTACGGGCTATGGTTGAGGGGAATCCACTTGTCACTGTGGAGGAGCTTCGAGGGAAGTGTTGTTCCTTGTGAAATGTTATCTCAAGTTGATGTTAAAGTTGTTTTGATTTTTTGAAAAGTGTACGAGTACATGAGTATGTAGAGAAATTCATTACTCTATTCATATTCCAATGTTGGAATCACATGTGCAAGTAATTCAAGTTTTGAGCCCTGTTAAACGGACAACCCAGTTACTGGATAAAGCACACCCTGTGTCCTGAACATTTCGAATAGGGTTAACTTCAACTGGCGCATGCATACTAATTACTTGAAAATTTTGGTGGCTGTGACACCCGTGGATGTGTAGGGCGAACTAGGCCTTCAGCACTTGGAGGTTTTCATTTAACAAATCTCCAAGTTAGGCCTCTTCATTCATGAAACGGTTGAACCCGGAGAGTAACCAGTTGAACTAAAGCACATTCTATTTTTGGTTGAAACAACTGTCAAGAAGACTCGGTGTTTCAAAATTGAAACTACACTGTGAAACATCGTACAACTAATCATTAACTTGATAGATGGCCTGAAACATGTCATTTTATCACGATGCAATTTTGGCAATCGAATGAACGAATCCGATAGTAAAACCAGATCCCATAAATTTAGAACGAGTAGAGCAGTGTGGCAATAAAAGCGCTATGCAGAAAACCAAACCCATTTTCAGTCCGTGAAAGTGAAACGAAAAGACACCAAATTATCTCCGAGAAAAGAAAACTAAGAACTGTCGTGTTGTAATTCCTCCCAAAGTAACCTTTCCTTAAGCAAAAACGACGATCTCGCCGCGGTCATTGCGTCTTAACCGCAACGCACGCCAGAGATCCTTCTCATCCTCACTGCGACATTCATGATTAGCATGACTCCTTCTATTATCACGGCTACGGTCAGCAACATACCCATCTGTGAAATCGCGGTGGAAGCGCTTCAAGGCCTTGTGCACCGAGCAGCCGCGTTCAGTGTCGCGGGAAACGAGAGACAGGAAATGTCCCGCCAGTTCACGCGGCATAACGTCCTCTGCGCGGGCCGGGGGCTTGGATTGTCTGTAAACAGTGACCTCGTGGTTGTCGTGGTGTGGGTCGTCATCAGTTTGCTTGAGACGGCGAGAAGGTCGGTCACCGTCAGTAGGGTTGGAGCTCTTGCGCTTCGATTTGCGGCTTTCACCGAGGTTATCCGACGCGGTACGGGTGCGGTGGGATTTCTTCTTGCGCACTTCGAGTTGGACATCACCACTGGAGTCGCTGCCACGGCGAGAGCGAACAACTGGGCGAGAACCTTGGTCACTGCTGGCAGAGATAACAGATCCGGTGCCGCCGAACATGGAAGAGACCAGACGCTCAGCCCGGTTCTTGATAGTGATGCCCAAGCCGGGATCACCGTTGCCATGGGCTTCCTTCCCATTTCGCTTGCTACGCTTGATGGGGAGGAGGCATCTTGGTAGCCACGGGAACCATGAGCCGGGGTATCGTCAAGTTCGTGCGAAGGCGAGCGCATCATACGGTTCAAGCCGCCGGTAAGGCCAGAGTGGTTGAGAATCGGGGTTCCGGCGTTGTTGATAACACTCGATGGGGCATCCATCATATCAGTGTCGATATCCTGCTGAGGACTGTTAAAGGTTTCCTCTTGGCCACGCTTGCGCTTCTTCTCGCTGACAGAGCCAGGTGCGCGCTTTTCCTCCTTGCGGCGATCCTTCTTTTTCTTAGGTGCCGGAGTAACAAACTCTGTCGAATCATTAGGCACATTGCTAGGATACATGGATGGGGGAATAGGGTCGGCGCCATATGAAAAGCCGTTCTCCTCGTAGGCAATATCGTAATTACCTTCATCGTCGGACTTGGCATCCAGCTTAGCCAGAGAGGTGCTGGCCTTGAACAGAGACGGGGCCTCCTTGACCATGGACATCTGCTCCTTGGGAGGGGCCAGAGAGGTCTTGGACGCATTGGGGGTCTCCTCAGTGACAAGGTAATCAAAGACATTGACATCCTTGCCACTGTTTTTCAGGGCCTCGGCCGTGGGCTTAGACTCGACCACAGGTGGGGGCGTGGGTGCTGGTGGGGGCGGCGCATCAACGGATTTCACAATGACATTGTCAGACTCGGAGGCGGACTCCACTCGAGGTTGCTGGTTGCGCGCATTGGCATTGGCCTTTGCATTTGCGTTCTTGTTGTTCTGGCCCTTCTTTTGACCCTTGGCGGGTTTCTCCTTGTACAGCGCACCTTGATACTTTTGTTCCTCGGACATGCACGACTAGAGGGAAATCAATGTCAGCGCATACACATCGAGTAACACAAAAATGAAACAAAAGACATCGATGCTCCCCGGAGTGAAGCTCTGGAGGATATGCCCCTTGCGACATGTGATAACCCATGTTGGAATGGGTTGCGCATGAATCGAATGGGGCCCAGGATAATGCGACAACTAGGGCAATGAACAGAAGGGAAAAAAATAAACACGAACCGTATGGGCTCTGTACTCAGTGCCATAGAAATGGACCATACAGTCAATGCAAGTGTAGGACGCGCCTCGGCATTGACCGCGGTGAGGGTCGAGCTTCTTTTTCGTGAGGACATCTCCACACGCCTGCGTGACACCGTCAGTAAGCTTCTTCAGTATCCTGTGATCCCTTCGCGCGGGGACCATTGGCAATGCGACATCGAATAAATCTCACGCACCTCGCAGGAAAAGGACACCATGATGTATATGACCCCACTAGGGACGTCTCAAGCGCCGGCGCAGAGTAAGTTTCAAGTCGTGAAGTATGGATCAATGTAAGAAGTCAAGGGAGTAGAAAAGGATTCTAGAATAGATTCGAACTTTGGGATCGAATAATTCCAGGAAAGGGAGAAAGTGAGAAGAAGAAGAGTATCCCTTGGTAGGAAAGGACGTGCAGATTGCGCCTTCCTGGTAATTGCTCTTTCTCTTTTTTTCCCTTTTTTTCCCTTTTTTTTGCGCGTCGAGGGAGGCGCGTGGATTGGCGCTAGTCCAAATATGGGCAGAACGCTAGACTGTATTAGGGAATTCTTATCCTTATCGATAAGAGATAAGTCGCAGTTGATAAGAGTTGATAAGATCCACTCTGTTATAGTGAGAAAGAGACTGGATGAAACAAGAATTATAAGGCCTGGATTCCAAGATCATAGTATATATGCATCAGATTCAGACTCGAACTTTCTCACCCCTGACTTCAATATTCCCATGAGTCCGGGGTACCCGGTACCATAAAGCCAAAATCAAAGCAACAACCCCCCCTTCCCGCCGTACGGTTTCATAGTCGCGCCTGAACGCGACATCGAGAGAGGCTAAGAAACACTAGACCCCGAGTGGGATCCCCGTGCACCCCAGCCGATCGTGATCGCATGGTTGGTTCACTTGTCAAGGGGCCTTGTCAGGAGACCAGTCATTTTCATTTGTTATCAGCTGAAGGCACTGACATTCTAGTGATCCGTTCAACCCCTCCTACTAGTCATCCTGGGCCCCACCTATTTTTGGCAAGAAAGTCTGATCAGGTTCCCTAGCTGACATGAACATTTGAACCATGCATTCCGTATGTTGTGGTTGGAATATTGCAAGTGAAGAACTGCCCAGGTGGTTCCAACGCATATCCTGGACCGTCTGATTGTTGCATTGTACCCTACTCTAGTACTCCATAGTTCATGCATGATTACTATGCCTGGATATTCGATCTCTATTTTCTTTGCAACGGTGTTTGATTTTTATTTTTATTGTTTATTTTGCATGGGATCCTGTCATCATAGCGATTTCCTATGCAGCTAAACATTAGGCCTACAGGATTCGCCCTCTATCACGAGGATGCAACATGACATCCATCGCTACGCTAGATCGTCACCTACCATCCTGCAAGATAACAAGAGTCAAAACAAAGGAGAAAAACAGACTTTTGTCTTTGCTTAGTGCTTCCCACGTCCGAGTCGGAAATTATCTAGAGACAACGGTGTACGGGTAGACTCCACGCTAAGTCTAGACATGAGGGTCATGCGCCTCTGACAGACCTGGGATCACCGGATCGGGGACATCCTGGCCGCGCGAGCAGTCCGGTCATGCACCGTGGGGAGACCCGGCGATCGGCAGTCTGAATCCCTGTTCGCCATGATTCTTTCCCTGCGCCCACACTGCTCGGGTATAGATACTCGAGATCCTCGATGTCTCTACGTCAGATATACTAAGGTGGGCATGGATTACCGATCTTCGCGGGGATCGTGGCCTCCGAGTCGGACTTTTGAACGTTTATCATGCAGGAAGGGTATATATAAGAATATCATCAAAGCGCAATATGTACAGTACGGTAAGAGACCAGCTCCATCGAATGCTGAAAGAGGGGGCGGCATTTAGTATAGACGCCATGCAAGATCGACGATTGTCGCAGCAGTATTTTTTTCCCATCCCCAGGGAAGGTGTTATTAAAACTTCAGCAGTATCATGTTCATCCACGAGTGGTTCTAATTCGTTCAATCAGTAAGACATTCAATCCACACTAGCGCATCCACCAACCGGATAATCAGCGGGACACTAACGCTTCTTTGGAGATTTCCACAGCCAGGTGATCGTGCGCATCCGAGGTACTAGTTTGCGCATTGGTAGCCGAGCGCCCATCCTCACTTTCAGAACGGTCCTCGCCACCTTCCGTCTTCTCCTCCTCGTCGGCACAGCCGCAATCGTAGAAGGATCCTAGATTGTTACAATCGAACTCGGGTTTCTCGAGCATCGCATTGACCTCGTTATGAATAAAGCATGCCCATCCCGCCGCAGCCTTCCGTGAGGATACCTGTGGCGGATATTTGCTCAAATGTTGTTGGAAGTGTTCAGCGCATTCGCCGCTGTTGCATTGTTAGCCCCTCATTTCACTTCATGTCACACGGGCGTGGCGAAGAGAGTAGTAAAGCTCCCTATATAAAGCGGGAGGACGTAGAATATGATCGTACCAAGGATAGAGACGCGCAAAAAGATGGATGTATGAACGTAAGGCGTCTTGTTCGTCTTGTGTAGGCTTTTCGGGAAATCGCGCCATGACGGTGTGGAAGTACTTCCATGTTGCGCGACCGAGCTCAGCTCTAGAAAGAGGAATGGCCACAGGCCCATCGGTCAGCATGACTTCAAGACAGATAGTAGTTACGCGCTGATTGGTGCCCTTTCTTACTTTACTGTTTCGTTCCCAAGCTTCGGCATTACCACTGCCCCTTTCAGTAAGTCCTCTTGGATGGTGATCCCCGGTGCCGGCGTCGTAACATGGGTAATGTGCCCAGGGGCTCGGACGGCAGGACTAGGCGGGCCTTGTGGACGAACGAATAGGAAGAAGACGAGACATATCGAGAGAGCGACGCTGATGAAGATCCGTGTGATCTGCCGGTTGGCCATACTGGGTGGAGGGATGGAGGATTGCGCGAGAAGGGATAAAACGTCACAACAACCAGCTTTAAGGACAAAACAGGGAGTTCCCTGACTGGAGAAGCGATTAAAGGGTTCACTTTAGGGATTTGCAGAAAGATAGGAGTAAAATGAACCGAAAAGCTTCAAGAGAATTGATTCCACGTGTCGGCTTAGTCATGGGTGGCAGATCGAGATTCTTTATTCCTTTATTTGTTCATCCATGGGTGGTCTGATCTACTTTTAGATCAATTCAACTGGATAGCATTGAATTATCATTCCTCTGTACTAATACTGCGATTGGAATTATACAATTGTCTCATACCCCGACTATTGTTCCCGTCGATCATCTTTCTCCGGTTTTAAGAACATCCAGACCCACATCGGATATGCTCCGTAAACTAAGAAGGGCCCGAGTGGTAGTTCGTCAGAGTTCAACAGACCGCCACAACCGGGCATCTTTATTGGATCCTTCCATGCACATAATTGACCGATTCTCATTCCACATTCATGCACGCTGCATCTCATTTTGAACAACCGAGTCGTTCAGACTAGGAGGCAAATCCTCCTTGCTTGTGCCCCAGTCACTCTCTTGGTCCCCAAGCGTCAATTCGAGCGTCATACCCTGAGTGAAAAACTCGTGACCAATCCAATTCTTCGTGTAAGGTTGGCCATTCAGCTTAGCACTTTGAATGTAGATATTTTTGTAAGTGGGATCGAAATTGACGTTGCGAATCGTGGCTGTCTTGTTGGTCTCGGGATGGGTGACATCAATCGCCTCAAAGAAGGGCGGAATGATGAGGTACACATTTTGGCCAGGATTGGGGAATAAGCCTATCATGCTCCAGGCGAGGAATGAACCCATTGCGCCCGAGTCATCGTTTCCAGGAAGACCATTATCGGACGCGTTAAAAGTCCTTGGAATATAGCTGTGAGCGCGTTCGGCGGACAAGGCGGGTCGGCCGGCATAGTGGTATTCATATACCGTCAAGAAGACAGGTTCATTGCTGATATCAGCCAGTCCCGACTCATGGAAATAGTCTAATCGCGATACGAATGAATCCGGTCCGCCTAGAATTTCAATCAGGCTTGCCATATCGTGAGGCACATAACTAAGAAGAACGGTTAGCGACATGCGTTTGATAGCACTGGCGCAGACATACAATTGATACTCCCAAATACTTGATTCGAATGTCTCAGAGGGATTGGAAGTCAGAGAACACCAAGAAGCGAGGGCACTACAGGCAATTGGATCCTGAAATCCCCAAGTGCCATTGAGATACTTGGGCTGGAAGAAACCCGTGAAACCAGTGTCAGTTCCATTCTCAAGAAGCGACTTCTGATCGGACTTGAACAGATTCTTCCAGTTGTTAGAGCGCGAGAGATAAGTGGTATACTCCTGTTTCCCGAGACCCTTGCCCACAACTGAGACGCCATGGTCATTGTAAGCGTACTCCACTGTTCGCGAAATGCTGCGTGAGTTGGTCCCAAATCCCAAATAGTCAAAGTCCAGATATGGGATATAATTCAGGCGCTTCCAGCTCTGGAGCCCACCTCGACCCTCGTAGGACCATTCAAGTGGTTCATTCTCCGCATCATTGACCATGGCTTTATATGCCAGCTCCCAATCAATTCCAGTCAGATTCTTAACAAACGCATCAGCGATCACGACGTCTGCGTTCGAGCCGCCCTGAGTCCATCCTTTGCAAAGACTCATACGACAGTCTGGAAGCCATCCTTCATGCTTGAATGTGTCAAGTAAACTGCGAACCATCCTTGACTGGGCCTGTGGATCCAGGATTGTGAGGAATGGATGTTGCGCTCGGAATGCATCCCAGAGACAATAGAATGAATCAAAGTACGGCTCATCGCTCTCCCACAACGGATTCTCGCCAGTCATGTCCTGAGGCGAGAGCATGGTGCGATAAATCCCACTCCAGAACGCACTCAGCATATCATCACTTGCTCCTCCGGCAGTGACTTTGATCGGACTAAGCTTTTCTCTCCAAGCATCCTCCGCAATAGTTTGCAAGCGCTCAAAGTCATCGACTGGATCAGGGACTTCCGATTCGGCATTTGAGCATGCTTGATCAGAGCTGATAAAGCTGACACCAACTCTGGCCGTTACAACGCCGTCATCTGGCCTATCAAAGCTCATATACCCGCCTGCCTGGAGGTAAAAGTTATTGAAACCTCGAGTGGCAAACAGTTCCTTGGGTTCAGGGCCCGCTCGATTATTCACCCAGATTCCACCATCACGAACCGTAGCCCTGGCAAAATCAGCACAGAAATAAGTCTGATAATACCCAGCCCCGAAGCTAGGAAGAAACGTGCCATTCCCCTTAATACGGCCCGAGTCTGAATCGATGCTAATACTCGCATTTTGGCGACTATCCCACAAATCCGTAAGATCAACTCCAATCAAGGGATTCAAATCCTCTCCATCCAGAGTCTTACTCTCAGGAAACGTAAAACGATACAGGGCTGCCCGCCTCGAAGCTGTCATCTCCGCCCGAATTCCATTCTCCAGCTTCAGCACAAAATACCCGGGACGTGCTGTAACCGAGTCGTTGACATAGTGCACTGCGCGGGCCGATTTAAGGAACTTGCAATTATCAACCACGTTGTCGGGACAATATTGCGGGAATAAAGGGAACTGTCCCATAGAAGGGTTTCCTCCAGTACCACTGTCGTGCATATGGGAGAACCCGGTGACATTGCTTCCGTCTGCAGAGAAACCACCTGTGTTTTGGCCATCTACGTCTGCGACGGGCTTTGCGAGGCCATAAGGCAGACTTGCGCCGGCGAAGACGTTCCCGCCGCTTGTCGACCCAATGAGTGGGTTAACATAGTGCAGATCATCTCTTGTTGCTAACGCTGGATCCAAGAGCCGTAAGATTGTTATGCATGTTAAAAGGAGGCTGGCCTGCAGGCAAGGCATGATTTTCGACGAGGTCCTTCAGTGGTTGTTGATGTGGAATGTGTGTTGAACCACGCACCTGCCAAGTTTCTTGAAGAGTGCTGGAATTTCATTTTGTTTTCTTAAAGTAAAAGGAAACAGCAAAGTCCTCTTTTGGAATTCCCCATTTTAGATTGCAGCGTCACATTATTGTTGATGATCGGCATCCGGAGCATCCCTGCAGCGTTAGTGTGGGATGCAAGGGCCTTGAGGTTGCGGGGGTTAGGTTTATCTACTCTATACAATTGTGGAGTGTGGGAGACAATGTTACTTCAAAAATTGCGGACAAGACATGCAGCGGCAAAATATGCATTCTATTATATGTCTCAAAGATATCTGTAAAAAAGATTTTGATGGCGAAATGATGCGGCCAAAATGTTCTTTGTATGTACAGAATGGGGGAAAGTCGTCACCCGCATTCCAAATCACCCGGGGGCACTGCTACAGCCTGGGAGAGAGATGCAGAGCTAAATAAAAAAGAAGAAACAAAGAAAGGAGAGTAAAATGGTGTCTTCCCACGAATTTCACAAAGTAAGAAGATACCGTCTCACTCTTAGTAGGCAGAGCTCGAGCCAGACTAATTGAAAGCCATCACGCCCTTATTTTGCTTCTTGCCAACGTCATAATTCTTCCACATTGCCACCGCTGGAATAAGCAAAACCAGTAGGCAGGTAGAAGCAATGCAGTTCATCTTTTGGGAGTATGACCAGGCATAAATGACCGCATCACGGAGTGGAGAGCCGAGGGGGTAGGTACTTTGAAGAGCAATGCCCCCGGTGTAGATCTGTGTCGCATTGGCCTTCAGATCGTCGGGCAGATGGTCTCTGAGAGCTTCCACGAAGACATTGTTGTAGATTGCCGCACAGACAGCATATCCAAGAGCTCCACCGAGGTTAGAAAACAGCCCAATCAGGGCCAGCATGATTGGAGTGCCCTCGCGACCACCGCTAGCCATCACAGCCATATCCTCACCGATCACCATGGTACCACCGGCAACAGCAATGAATATCTGAGACATAATCAAATACCCAATACCATGATCTCCTCCACGGAAGTATATCATCAATCCAGATCCGAGAATCATCAGCGGAGCACCGAAAAACAAGCAGATGTACTTAAATCGTCGACACCACCAGATCAGCAAACCGAGGATCGGAGACCAAGCGCAAGAACCGATGTTGTAGATCTGGTTAACATAGCCCGTCAAAGTTGAATTGAGATTCCAAGTAATCGAGACGAAGTTGAAAAAGTACTGATCCCATAGATAGAAACTGAAGTAAAGGATAGCGGAGCAAGCGCATGCGCCGATAATGGTAGGCTGTCGCAGAAGCTCGTAGCGAACAAAATGGGTACGAGCACCCCATCTCTCCCATGCTGCAAAAACGAATAACATGCAAACTCCGATGATCACCATTGCGATAAAGCTAGCACTTTTGTACTGCGTACGGCCATATTGAGCTAGGCTGAATGGTAAAAGAAACAGGACCCATGCGGACATGAGTAAGAACGCACCAATCACTAGATAATATTAGCTTGAATATAATTTCATAAGAGTTTTGGCTCTCACCATCGAATTCATGAATGTAGTGGATGATTGACTGGAGTGTTGTGCGTCCACTTGATCGACGATCCCAGACCCCCATTTTAATTGCTTTCCTCTCGTAGAACTTGAAAACGATTGCCAAGGGGCAAAATACAAACGGTTGAATTATGCAAAACATTCCATAACCCCATCGCCATCCCGAATTTTCACGGATCGATGTGGCAGCGAGGGGACCCGTGAATGCAGTGCATATGAATGGAGTTGAAGCAAATGCAAAGGCAAAGGCCCGAGATCGCATTCCAGATGTGTCGGCAACAAAGATATCCAAGATCAGATAGATGCAGTAGTATCCAATCCAGTAAAGCACATATCCGGCTGCAAATGCAGTGGCACCATTACTCGCTGCCAAAATTATCATGCCGATGACGTAAATCGTAGTGGAAAAAAGCAGGGCCTCGGCACGACCCCAAAGTTGTAAGGTCTTCGCCAATGGCAGTTTGAGAACTCCACCGATTATCGTCGCAAGAATGTATGAGGTAGAAACCTGAGGTGCCATTGAGAAATCCGAAAAAACATAGTTGATAAGATTGCTACCGATGGATGAGTGCAATGCCAGCATGAAAAAGCAAACCCATATCCTAATATGTCATCCGTTAGTAGTTGCAGCATGCACAAAGTTTGGTGATATTCAGACATACCAAGCGTAGATCATGAAGACAACTGGTCGACTCCAGACAAGAGCTGCTGCTTCAGCCTTTTGCTGGCCCAAAGCAGCTTGATCCGTTACATGGTTGGGGTTGAAATCGGCTTCTTTCTCGTCATCGTCAATACCGTTGATTCCGTAGGAAGAGCCCCCATTTTGATTTTCAGTACTCTCACTCTCTGCATTCAGAGAGCTTTCTTGGGTCATATCGGCAGATGTAGTATCCGCATGGGCATTCTTGCTCTCGTGGCCGGTGGTTTGAGGGTTGGTCAAGGTGCGTGTGAGCCTGCCATCTTCATCGCGACCACGAATGGCCTCAAAGACGCCCATTTTGGCGGGATCTAACTATGAGAGAAGTAAATCCACTTCGTGGTCAGTATCCAGAAAGATTCTTGGCGACGAGTCGGAGTGAGAAGGATGTTGGATGAGTTCGAGAGATAGATAAGACGGATTCAAAAACTGAGAAAAGGAGCGTAGGCGAGGGCACGTGGGAGCTACTACATGGCCTGCACTACACCCCGCCTGGACGGGTGAGCAGAGTAATAGTAGGTATCTGTTACTAGCTGATGAGTTAGTACAAGTCACAGATACGACGACGAGTTAACCCTGGATCAGATAAAGAGCGAGCGCCATCAGATAACATGCAATTGGCCAATCACATACCAATACTTGAGCCCCACTCAATCGGATAAGCAGAGACTTCGTTATCTGATTGGTCTATCAAAATGGCTAGTCCATGATAGGCTAGCGCTATAATATATCCAGGGTAAACCATTGTGACCCTGCCCAATGCGGCATTCCGTTTGCAGGGGATACTCAGGGCAGCCGAAAGTCTATGATGGTTGATGATGTTCCTTCAACATTTGAAGTCCTTTTTTAAGAATATAGACGGCACATTGTGCAGGTTCGTGATTCTCCGACCCCTGTCAAGTGGCAATGTTCAAAAGCGCGTCTTTTGTATATGCACGTGTCACCATAGTCAAGAAAACCCTAGTATACACTAATCTGTACTACTAGCATCAATCCTAACATTATTTAATTTTCCGACAGAAAGATTCGGAAGATTTCAAGCTCGAACATTATCCAACTTGGGAAGCCTTAATGAGTGTTAGTCGAATATGTACTCCGTAGGTACCGGTGGATCACTGACACTTGAGCCTGTCCATGGTGAGATACCCATTAGCAGATACTAGGTAGACACTACTAGGTACTACCTAGCCCTGAAGGTCTTTGTCCATTACATTTAATGCTAGATCCATACTACTACCTAATAGCATTCGAATAGCTGAGCCTTTACCATGATGAAAGACATCAATGAAGTAACAATTAAATATTTCGATCATCATCACGATGCATGCTCTGGAGGTAAATAGTACTACTAGAACGCTCAGTTTCTACTAGTAGTACCCATTTCCCATTTTCAAATCCATTTTTTTTTTTTAAAAAAAAAACAAAAAAACCTGGGCAGTCCAGCTACGGGACTCGGAATTCTATGAGTCTACTTACTGTTCCTCTATGTGGACTCGGAAGCTCTTCTAGCCTCCGCCGTGGCGCTAAATAGAGCTTGTGCTATCCGATAGGCATATCTCAGGTGGAGCATGGATCTCGGTCACTACGTCAACCCCGGATCCAGCCTGGCTTATACATGTATTAATACTCTTTCAAATGCTTATAGCAAATCGAATTTTGTCCCAAATAAGTAGATCGGGCTGATTTTCACCTAAACCCGAAAATTGTGATTAAGTAATACTATCGATGATCGGAACCCCGGCGCCCAGGCGGGCCACCTCGCACATTTCAGCCCCCAACCTAGAACGGCCCCCACTTGGGCAATTTGTTGACTAGGAGCTTGAACAGCAGATGATGAAAAAAAAATGGCTGATCCTTTGTTTCCTCCTTCACACTCACAGCTCTCATTATGCCGGAAAAGAGAACCCAGAACCCCTTTGAGGATCTTGATCACCAAGAGGCCTCTGGTCAACGAACCGCACCTCCTGATGAGGAACTTCCGCAATATACACCCCCTTCGGACGCCCGACATGCCCCTCTACAGGGTAAAATAAGAGAAACCCCAACGCCTGCCAGTGAAGCCTCTAGAGAACTCGAACCTAGCGGGCCTTCAGGGCATAATTCCCCTCAGCCTCCTAGTCAAGGAGGCTACTATCCACCGGTCGCATCCGGGAACCAATACCCCCCCGCAAGGTGCCCCCCCAGTATGGACAATATGGTCCCGCTCAGGGTGAACCTTACCCGCCGCAACAACAACCACAATATGGCTACCCACCACCCGGGCCCCAATACCCTCAGCAAGGTGCACCACAGTATGGTCAATATGGCCCCGCTCAGGGTGAACCTTACCCGCCGCAACAGGGTCCGCCGTATGGCTACCCACCCGGACCCGGAGGATATCCCCATCAGGATGGGATGCAACAATATGGCGGCTATCCTCCAGCTGGGCCAGGAGATATGTACCCACCACAAGGAGGAATGCCGGGTATGATGCCAGGTATGATGCCGGTAGATCCATCAATGTTGAACCCCAACCGTCCGGTCGCAATTCCCCAGGTCGGCATGGAGAAGGAGTCGCCGTTTTTGCGTGCTTACGCTCCATACCTGATGAAGTACCGTGTGCCCAAGGAAATGTTCCTAGCATTCCTCGATAAGCTCAACGCCGCGATGAAGAGCAGTCCGCCGATGCAAGTGCTTGACTTGACTGGCGGTGTTCTCCAGAGTGTACCTATCTTGTTTCCTCTCCACTGGCTGGGCTCTATAGTCAGCGGTGCCGCAAACAAGGGAAGCCAAGGGCTTACAAAAAGTCGCGCGGACTCCGTTGTTAAACAGGCGAATAAGGAAATGTTTGGTCCGCTCGGATTGAAGGTTGAAATTGCTCGCTTGAAGGCTCTTGCTCGGGTGGCCAAAATTCCTATCCTCGACTCCGACGGCAGAGTCAACACCAAGGCACCTGTCATTCAACAGCTCGGTGAATTCACTCTGCATGGAACAGAGGTTGAAGATGAGGCCAACTTCCAGCGACAGCGAGTCGAATTGTTCCGTCCCTGGATTGCTGATCTGGAGATTGATTCTGACAATCCTCTCAAGAAGAACAAGTCTAGATTGACAAGGTACAATAAGTCAGTGAAGAATTATTACGAAGGGGCCAGGGATTTAGCCAAGACTGACCCTGATCTCTACAAATCGCTCTGGCTTGTCATTCGAGAGATTGATTCTACAAACCCCAACTAGGTTGACCAGGGAGCTTTGAGCGATAACATGTTCTCCTGGTAAACTAGTGATGGGTTAACTAGACTGGGATATGAGTGCTGCCGAGAACCGATAATTATGCGAGCGACAGCGTAAGCTCTTGAGGAGTCAAGAACGTACAAATCACGATGATGACGGCGATGTTGGTTACTTGCAGATAATAAAATCATATAAACTAGATTACACAACATTTCATACATTAGATGAACATTCAAATGTTGATTCATTGACTGTTCAATGCAAAGAATACTATACCATCTCAAATCTAACACTGACCTTTCAGTCTATTCCTCAAAAGGTGGGAATTGACTCATTACCTCCTCAGCCTTATGACATTCATCTGTCAGAACCCGACGGCGCAATTCATCACGTATGTGAATCCCACACTCAAATGGCTGCGGCCGAATATTAAATCCTTGCGTATACGCAAATGTATCGTATTTCCTGTTCGAGCCATCCGTTTTTTGAACTGGAGTAAACCGAAAGGCCCACAATAGACGTGCCAGGGCAATGAACAGCGAGTTCTGAGCTAATCCAGCCCCAGGACAAATACGTCGTCCCCATCCAAAAGAGCTATGGCCCTCCTTTGCCGGATGCTGTTTTTCAGGTGAGAGTTCAAAAATATCCTCATTAGACAGCTTTGGCAAATAAGAGAGTTTATGTTGGTTGACACTTAAGAATCGCAGAGGGTTGAATCGATGCGGATTGGGATAGTACCTCGGGTTGAGATTTATCGCCCATGAATTGGAAAGGATAGTCGTACCGGCCGGTATGTTGTAGCCTTTGTAAGTGTCTGCGGCAGAGTTTGCATGTGGTGTGCCTCCAAGTACTGCGACAGGACGAATTCGGAGTGTTTCTTGACAGAGAGCTTTGAGATATGGCAGATTGACCTCATCATCAAATGTCGGGAGGCGTTCAGATCCAACAATATGATCTAGCTCCTTGTGTGCAATTTCTTGAACTTCTGAATTTGTAACAAGCATCAGAATCGCAGTACATAAGGTGCTAGCAGTTGTGTCGCTCCCAGCACCAAAAAGTGAAGCAGGTACGAAAGAAAAGTCTCTTTCACTCAATTGACCGAAGCTAGCTGGGTCCGCTTCTCGTGCAGTGAGAAGGAGCTTAGACAGTGAGTCCGGGACACTGGAGAGTGTTTTTGCTATACGAATGTCCTCTTTCACTGCGTTCAGGAGACGCATATTGACGGCGGCTTCTTCTTTTCCACGACGCTGAATCTCCGCTTTCCAAGGTGCAAAGATATTGGGCATGTATTTCATACATGGAAATGTTTCAGTGAGGTATCTGCCTGGAACATTTAAGGATGCGGAATATTGCATAAATTCCAGTCTTTGTCGAATGATATTAGAATCCATGGAGTCAATCCTGTGTCCGTATGCAATGCTAAATACAACGCTGGCCGCAAATCGATCGATGAGGCCTTCGTAAGAGCTGACATCGGTGAGAAGAGCACCACATAATCGATTAGCCTCAGCTTCCTGAACAGGCTTGTATAATTTGAGAGCAGAAGGATTCAGTGCTTGATGCAGCATTCTTCGTCGTATTTGCCACTCCTTGCCATATGGTTGGACTAGTATCCCGGCATTGTCCCAGTAGAGCTCACCCATGACTACAAAACGAGGTCGAGAGCTGAAGTTCTTACTTCGTTTTTCCAACAGCTCCATGGCAATCTTTGGGTCTGATATGATGATGGTTGGTCGACGCCCAATCCAAAGTGTGAAGATTGGACCGTAGGTGTGAGACCATTTTTCGAATTGGATCCACGGAGAAGACTTGGGTATGGTGTATTTGTTTCCGAGGAAGGGGAGAGGTGTTGGACCTGGTGGAAGACGCATCCAGAGAAAGCAGTCATGAAGCAAAATTAATGATAATGGGAAGATAAAAATGAAAATGCATGAATAATATGACCATTTTGGTTGCAGGTCTGGATGCTCCAAGCCTAGCGCTCCAGAGGCGCCCTCAAGAAGTCTCATTAGGAATGATGAACCTGCCATATTGTGGATTTGAGTGCCGAGTATTGCTTTAGTTGATCTTAATCATCTTCGTGCCTGTTCAAGTTCCAAGGTTCAGTTGATGTTTTATTCTAACCTTCTGAGACTGTCCTTTTACCAAGGCTATCGGCACTGGCAGCAAACAAGGCCCCACAACTCCACATTTTAGAGGATTTGACTCTTTTGCGGGGAAATCTACTTCGGATGAATTTCGGCATTCAAAAATCATCTCGAAATGCCGCGACCAAGAAGCTTGATGACATTTGTGCCTAGTCTTATATATGGTCTGTCTCGCACGGAAGAAATTTGAAAGCACTAAAATGGACTCGCGCCGAAAGTCCGGAATAACTGCTTGACATACACTGAGCTGCCATTACTGACGCAAGCGAGAAATAAAATTCGGTTTATACCATTTCGACCTCTTCCTCTTCGGAACAAAAACCGGATTCCCATTGACAATGAACCCATGACGAGACCGTCCGACATGCTCTAAGAGCTCATCCCTATCCTCAAAATCCTGCCAACATACTTGACAGACTGGCCCAAATTCCTGTTCTCCATCTGAGTCTTCGAAGTGCTCGAAGGGCTTAAAACTTGTGTCAGGTTTCTCCGTGATGGGAGAATCAATTTCGTCGTAGTTCTCTTCATTATGATGCGATGCCGGGGATGCCACATTTCCATTCAAACTGCCCACCTCGCACTTACAGCTTAATGCGTCGTTATCAGGCTCGTCATCAGGCTCGTTATCGGATGAATCATATTCTTCCTCTGAGTCATATTCCCCTGCTTCACTCATATCGTGATTGAACTGGTCAAGTTGCATTTGTTGATGTTCAATCTGATTGTATAGTTCTCTAAGCTGCCGCTTCAACTTGTCGACATTTTGATCACGCTGGTCTTCGATCATATCTCGGTGTTGACTTCGTCGTTGTTCCATCATTCGATTCATTTCTTCGCTCATTTCCTCCCGATGCTTGGCAAATTCGCTTTGTTGTTTTAGGATTTGCTCCTCTAGTTCCTGAATTTTCCACTCGTGAATCCTCTCCATGCTGATCTTCAGCTCCTGGATCTCTAAGTCTCTCTTTTGGAGCTCCTTAGCCTGTCTATCTTGATCCTTTTGGAGGAGATCGCGGATTTCCTGATCCTTTTCCTCTCGAATCTCCCGTGCTGTGTTATTCAACTCTTGTTGCATTTTGTCTCTTTCCTTCTGCAACTCACTCTGGAGTTCTTGGCCGGCAGATGTCTGGTCCAGATCTTTGCCTGAATCAACCATTTCGGTTTGAATTGCCAATTTTATCTCATTTGGTGGCTCATTTGTCGCATCAATCGGGATGAAATTCTTTATGGCAGCCATAGCAGAGTCTTCGGTATTCAAATGTCTCTGAACGCGGGCACCCTGCTTGACAAAATATCCCCAAAACTCGTCCTTGTCCTCCAAGGCCTTTTCTCGGGCATCACCTTCAGTCGGATCGACCTTTTCCCAAAAGGTGCTGAGGAATATCACGTTCTTGATCCCGTCGGGACCACACAGCTTCTTGAACATGATAAGATTTCGGTAGGCACATCCACCAATTCGGTTATCAGAGATGCGATGCAGGTATAAAATACCGCCCAAGCGAATGCTCTCTTTGTAGGTCTTTGTCAACCAGGCGGCGATGTCTTTGAGGATGTCTGTATCTTTGCGATTTGTGTCATCGAAGCCAGGAGTATCCACAAGATAGACATTGATGTGAGATTCAAGATTTTTGCACAGGTATACCTGAACCTCTTGTGTGCCTGTATTCAAAAATCAGGATTTCTCTATTTTGTACAATCACCCTAATTGAAGCCAAACTTACAAGATTGCAGAGCTCCTGGATCACTTATGGCAACCTTGGTATCTGTGCAATGCGATATGAAGGTGCTCTTCCCAGCTCCTGTCATTCCCATCACTGCGATGTATAATGCCCGTTCATTATCTCGACTTGGCTCACTAGAGCCTTCGCCATGAACAGCGGTCTGAGAAACATGAGGCGTCATCATGATATTTGCGAATTTTAATTTGAGATAAGAGACAAGTAAGAGACAAGTAAGAGACAAGTAAGAGACAAGTAAGAGACAAGTAAGAGACAAGTAAGAGACAAGTAAGAGACAAGTAAGAGATAAGTAAGTGATAATTGCTTCATATATGATGCCTGGAAGTTAGGTTAGAATGGATTTAAGATAAATATAGACCGACTAAGGCCTATTTGTAAGTATTATCAGAGCTTCGGAGGGGAATTTTGCTTGATTCCAGTTTTGTTGATATGCCCCCTAGTACCTGGGCAGTGCATCAAATGCTACATCTATGATGTTCTCATTCGAATGGGACAAGCTATCCTTGAGCGGGTCAAATTTCAAGTGCTTAATGTTAACATTTGAAGTCTCACGTCAGATGGACTTTCCTAATTCAACTTATTCCAATGTTGATCAATATATCGGTGTCCCTCTGGCGCACTATTCCTCAGTCTCGTTGGTGGCTATCATCACGCCCCTTTTCTCATTTAGAGTGCTTTTCAGCCCAATCTGCATATTGATACTATTTGAAGTGTCATACCATAGACTAGAATAGTTGACCTATCAGAATGCATCTATCGCCGCAGTGTGGCTGCAGCTATGGCGGGTCCCGGGCCTCGGCCCCCTCTGACCTAGGCTTTCCCCATCATGCAAGGCCCACACAGAGCACCCGTGTGATCAACAACGAGATATTACCGTGAACTGAAGAAAATCGCCAACTCGGCGTACTTTGAAGCCCTATTGGTGGTTCTAAGGCTTCGCCCCATTTCTCAACTTTAGCGCGCTTTTCCGTTTCATCAGCACACTCTCGTTTCTGGAACGTTCGTCAGATATTTGGCCTGCTACGAGTTTTTGCCCCTTCCTCTTGGGCTTGGGTGCTAGAATGCACTTGTTGTGGCTGCGGCTGCCGCGGGACCCCTTCCCCAAGTCATCGCTCGAGCCACAGCCCTTATGATCTATTTTTTGCTCGTCTTGTGTGAGGCCAAAGCACACCACCATGATGACCACAGCCGAGTGTATGCGCTATCTGCGGAGAGACAGAGTACTGGTCTGCTGTGGATATACATATACTATGATGAGCCCTGTGCCGAACAAACACCCGAAGACTTTCAAGTTCTTGGGATGATCACGGCTCTGACTCATTCAAGTTTTATATTTTCATTCGATCTCATTCAAGTTCGAGTTTATCATTGGCACACCGTCAAGATTACTTCAACATTGAAGTTTCCAGCTTAAGATGGATGATATAAATCAAGAAATGACACAGTACGCTATCTACCTCCAGGGTTACCTACTTTCTCTGTTTTCTTTGCTAATATTTTGTAGAATTCCCGATGTCTCGGAGGCTGTTGCGATACTTGTGATGGGTGTCACCGGTGTCGGGAAAAGCAGATTCATATCGAAGCTCACAGGAAGTGATGCAGGTATTGGCGATGGCTTGACATCGTGTGAGTACAGCGCGAACCTTGGAAGCTCCGAGTCCATTGTTGACCATCCATTTCGAATGGAATCCCTAACGCATAGTTTAGATACAAAGGGTGTTGAGTTCCACAGTATGATGATCAAAAACAAACTTGTGTATTTGGTCGATACGCCCGGCTTCAATGACACTTATCGTTCGGATTTTGAGATCTTTTCCGAAATTGCTTTTATTTTATCGCAAATCCATCGACAAGGAATGAAGACGGCAGGTATTCTATATTTACATCGTATCTCCGACAACAGGGTTTCAGGATCAACTCTGAGAAACTTAAATCTTTTGGAATCGATGTGTGGTTTGGATGCTGCTCCACGGATGTTTCTAGTCACCACCATGTGGGACTCAACAAAGGAGGAGACCTACGAGGCAACACTTCGAGAGTTGAGCCTGTTGAGTACAAGGCAGTTTTGGGGACGGTTCTCTGAAAAAGGCAGCCAAGCAAAGCGATGGCGTGGTAATGAGGGGTCTGCTCTATCAATTGTCGATGAATTGATTTCCTCAGGGGAGGAGGGAGATTTCAGTCCCTTTATAATTCAAGGTGAACTCATTGACGAAGAAAGACCCCTCAAAGAGACAACCGCTGGACTTGAACTTATGTCGGAGTATAAAGCTGCTGAGAATAAATTGTTGGAAGAAATACACTCACTTGAGTCGAACGAGTCAAACTCTCAGCCTGACGCCAACAGCAGTCTTCTGGAGCTTAGAGAGGGGATCAGGAGAATGAGAGATGCGCAGCAAAATCTGAAAGTATCCACTCGCCGCCTATTTGCTGAGAAGGAGAATTCTTATAGGCAAGTGCTTTCAATAATGAGTGATGAGAGACGGAAGCTTTCTGTTGAGCTCCGAGAACAAAAGAGAAGATACCAGAGATTGCAAGAGGAGATGAGAAGCGATGATGAGCTACGTGCCGAGCATGACCTTTTTTGGAGGCGGAGAAGAGCAGAGCTTGAGCATGAGGCGCGATGCGGCCGTGGCAGGAGAGACAGCATCGAAAAGGAATGCCAAAGAATCACAGAGAAAGAATTGCTCTTCAATGAGCAGCTGAGTGAATTCCAGTCTGAACACGAGAACGATGTGTCAGAGGTGTCGTATATCGTGGAGAAAACGAGAAAAAGAGACGTGGTGAAACGAAATCTGCTCCAATTCTTCGGTGTTTTAGCTGGAGTTAGCCTCACCACTGCTGGCTCTGTGACGGGGCTAATTCCTCTGGCTGGAGCTGGGATTGGATTGACACTTAGTAGTGCCAGTATGATAAATCTGTCCCGGAAGGCCGAATATCAAGGGCCATATGGGAATCATCATGCCTCGTTCGTATCTAGCACTTCTACGGCGGCTTTGGCCGGAGCTCAACTTTCAAGTCTTTTTTGAAAGCCAATACTAGTTAGTATGGAAAGGTTCATGTCTACTAAGATTATGCTATTGTTCATTCCACATTCCACATGTCATTTTCCTATCACTTCCTTTCAGATCATGAAGTCCATGGGTAGGGGTGATTGTCCTAGCTAGTGGTATGCTAGTACCAGTTGACCAATTGAAGTCTACCACTAATAGGTTTTAGTCCTAGGACTAGTATACAATTGATAGCTACTAGTATAGCCATTTTGACTTTGACGATAGCGTTCGACTTTCGAGTCTTTTCTTTCTGACTACTCCGAGGTTTCATAATAGAATTAGCTGGCATCTTGTCCTTGTTTCTCTACCTTTAGATCGCCCATTGACCTTCAGCCACGGGTTCTTACACATTTGATAGCCGAGGTAGCCCCTGGAAGTGTTGATCACCTTTTCCAAGGTTCGAAGGGCCAGGGGTTGAAAAGTGGGTTACTAAGCACAGGGCCCGGTGCAGATCGTTCCCCCACAGCAGAGGCTGGGGAAGTATCAAATGAGTTTTATCCTTCTCCTGAGGCTAAGGCCATGACACGGGCATTCTGCGTGCGCTATTAAAACGTGGAATACCATATTTGTGTGTTGCGGGATGAATTTCGGATCATGATGCCATCGCGCCGGAGCCACACCAAGTCCCGCAAGGGCTGCCTTGAGTGCAAGAGAAGGCATGTTAAGGTGAGCGCACATGCAGGCAATGTTTACGCTTCAAAGGACAAGAAATAAAGAACACCACGTTTATCAATTTTGCTGGAGCTAAGCGATTCTCTCCATGGCTATAAAATTGACATGCCCCGAGTGACAGCTGACACAATTCACAGTGCGATGAGGAGCTCCCCAAATGCACTCTGTGCAAAAGGCGCAAACTAGAATGCAGCTACCCACCTGATCCCGACAATCCAGACTCGCCCAGTACAATGGACGGCTCCAAGGCTGGGGCACGCACCCCAGGGAGCGACCGGTCAATGCCAACCCGCATGGTGGAAATGCGGCTTTGGCATCAATTCTTGACATCGACTTATCTCACCTTGTCCCGAGATGGGCTATCTGCATACCATCTCTCTATAACTATTCCTCAGATGGCAATCGCACATCCTTACTTACTGGAAAGTATCCTGGCATTGACAGCGCTTCATCTGGCCTCGGTTGAAACTGGTAACTGCCAGACCTGGTTAGAAGCAGCGATGCGGTACCAAAGCCAGGCTTGCGCTGGGTTGAGTAAAGTCATCCCAGAGATCACACAAGACCAGTATGGTCCTGCTTTTGTGGCATCCGTATTCATCATGCTATACGCTCAAGGGTTCCCCGTGATATCTCCCGATAGTTCCGCTGTGGATGGTCTTGAGAAAGTGATGGAAGTTCGGAGATTGATATCAGGATGTGCCATGTTGTTTGAAAAGATTACGGAGCTCGGCATTGAGGGCGAGCTTGAGGGCTGGCTTTCCTCGCCTGATACAGAAGAAATTCTTGAATCAAGACCACAAAATGGGTAACATGAGACTCTAGGGCATCCAATACTCAATGAAAAGACTAACAATTGCTTAGATATGCACCGGTCGAGGACACTGAAAAGCTATTCGATTTACACAAGTAAGTTCCACTTGAAGCGACCGGCAGAGATAATTGTGTCTAATCGAAGTAGAAAAATCATGAGCTCTCTCGATCAACTGGGATCAACTATTGAAGCCGATACGTCGCCAAACCGAACAATGTTCAAGTCTACTTGGCAATTTTTGCATCAAGCGATCGTACCTTGGCCGAAGATTGGCGGGCATGGTGGAGTTATCGCATGGCCACTTTTCATCAGCGATAGATTTATCTCATTGGTACGAGGTGGCGACTGGCTAGCTCGTATTCTATTCTTGCATTATGCCAGCGCCATGCGTCTCATGTGTAATAGATGGTATGTTCGAGATTGGGGCCGGCGACTCGTCCTTGCAATTATACAACCACTGGAAGAGATACCTGCCATGTGGATAGATACTATCTCCTGGATGAAAGGGGATACTGACACCAAACAGACGGCCCTACCTGTTAGGTAACATGTATATCAAAATATATTAATGCAAAATTTTGAAGCCATTATCAATGAGCTGATACATTACCTTGCATACTGTTTACCTGCCAGGGGTGGTCACGAGACAAACAATGATCTTGATTATAGGACGAAAGATCTTTGTGCACTCTAGATGGTATAAATATTGTTTTATATCTCAAAATAATCATTGCTTTTACCGCTATCGGTAGATTGTAGCTATGCCCAGAAGAAATAACCTAGCAAAATCGGAATTTAAAGTGCAAAGAATGCACATGTGAGGGAGATTTGATGTGCGTGATAAGGGATGCAACAGTGCTCAAATGTGACCAGTGAGACACGACTCCAATCCGTGGACACCGATAAAGCTTACCAATACGGTGATCAGTTCCCGATATCGCGCCATAGAATCAAGTTCAGGAACATAATTCGTGGTGGGTACTGATTTGCAAAGAGTTTATCCCTCGTGACCATGACAGATCCGAGTCCCTTTAATAATCCCCTTCCCGATCGAAACTTGATAAACTGATCGATTTGGGACCTAAATACGATGCGCGAAGAGAAGACTGGATATACTACTGGGCTTGATGCCAGTGCGGAGAAGCAGGTAACCACTCCCTTCAAACGTTGTTATCTTGTCCCGCACACCGCCACATAGTCTAATCAGTGTGCATTCAAAGTTGAAGTTGCCCCTGCAGATAAGTTTTGATACAGAGAGGAATGCTCTCCAACATGATTATTCTTGGCGGGACAAGATTGTGAAACCCTATCGACGGATTAGCCTTGGACTTTTTGGCTTGTTATTGGCATTGCTTTTGGTGATACAGCTACGTAAAGTCATAAACACACCACAAAAGTCGGTTTTATTGAAATATGAAGATGGTTCTGGGTTATATCGGAATATTGGACCAGGAAAGCTGGGAGCTGTTGCGAGTGAGAGTGCTATTTGTTCTCAACATGGTATAGATATGCTCAAGATGGGCGGCAATGCTGCTGATGCTGTAAGTACTTCGAGCATTTTCCATCACAACAGACACTCGATGATCCATATGTCCTGCTGGTTTTTTTCTCTCATCCCAAAATCCTAACCCATGTTTATAGCTTGTTGCTACTCAGCTCTGCGCTGGGGTGATTGGTGAGCTGGCATCCGAATATCCCTTCAGTGAAAATGATATCATACTAATTATGAGCTGCAGGAATGTATCATAGCGGCATTGGAGGAGGAAGCTTTATGATAGTCAGGGCTCCAGATGGATCCTATGAGTTTATAGACTCGAGAGAGACCGCCCCAGCAGCGGCCTTTGAAGACATGTTTAAGAATGACTCGGATGCCGCAGTCTATGGAGGCTTGGCAAGGTAGGTCGACTTATTTTTTCTTGTACGAGCTCTATTGACAAGCTCGATCCAGCGGCGTGCCTGGCGAAATACGTGGATTGGACTATCTGCATAAAAAGTATGGCTCACTCCCATGGTCAACAGTCCTCCAACCTGCCATCCGTGTTGCTCGCGAGGGCTTCCCAGTTGGTAAAGACTTGGTTAGATATATGAATGCTGCTGTTCAAATTGGCTCGGGAGAGGACTTCCTGTCAAAAGATCCAGATTTCGCCGTAGATTTTGCGCCCAACGGGACTCGACTGGGATTAGGAGATACCATTACTCGAAAGCGACTAGCAGATACTTTTGAAACGATTGCAGAACAAGGTCCGGATGCTTTCTACTCTGGTCCAATTGCTGAGACAATGATCAATGCAGTGCAAAGGGCAAATGGAACAATGGTATTGGAAGATCTGGCAAACTATAAGATCGCTGTCCGAAACACATCAAAGATTAATTATCGTGGATATACAGTGACAGGCGCAACAGCACCCTCGAGTGGTAGTGTTGTATTGAGCATTCTGAAGATTTTGGAGACATACCCGGATTTCTTCAGTTCTGAGAACTCTGTGAACCTTAGTACACATCGCATGGATGAGGCGATTCGATTCGGATATGGTCAGGTGAGTTTATCGACGAGGGAATCTGGAATTTCATCTATTGACCAAGTTGATAGCGCACTGAACTGGGTGACCCGGACTTCGTCCCGGGATGGCAGATTACGAACGCGATTTACTGAAACAATCGACTGTTGATGCGATTCGACAAAAAATATCTGACGCTCACACATTAGACGTGTCCGCATATGACCCATCTGGCACCGAGAGTTTAGACACGTGAGTCTCCGAAATATGATCCCTCGAATACAATAGACTCATACATTCCAGTCCAGGTACATCTCACATCGTCTCAGCCGACCACTCTGGGCTTGCCATCTCTTCAATAAGCACCATAAATTTACTCTTCGGAAGTCATGTTATGGTCCCAGAGACAGGCATCATTATGAACAATGAAATGGATGGTAAGTGAGATAGTTCAAAGCCATATTCGGAGCAGGCTCTGATATGTTTCCAGATTTTTCGATCCCGGGCTCATCCAATTCATTTGGCTATGTCCCCTCTGAGAGCAACTTCATTCGACCAGGGAAGCGACCTATGTCATCTATGACACCTGTGATTGTCACTCGACCTGATGGGAAGGTCTTTTTGATAGCTGGCAGTGCGGGCGGAAGTCGGATCATCACAGCAACCCTCCAAAGTGTTATCAACTCGATCGATCGTGGCCTAGCGGCAGCTGAGGCTTTAGCAGAGCCTCGCCTACACGATCAACTCATTCCTAATCAGGTGACATTCGAATATAGCTTTGATAACTCAACTGTTTCATTCATGGAAGAGCGGGGCCACAATGTCACTTGGATTGCAACAGCCCAGAGCAGTGCTCAGCTCATTCGAGTCCTTCCCAATGGTACATTTGATGCTGCTGGTGAGCCTCGCCAGTTGAATGCGGCTGGATATTCTATATAGATTGAATCGAATCTTGAAATTTTAGAATTTGAAGGTGTTCACCTGGGCAATGGAAGAAGTTAGTACAGGGATGTAATCCGCGATAAGATAGATCCAGTCGATCTATCACAACTGATGGTCCGTGCACGATGTGGAATTGGAACTCCGCGTTTTTTCAAATATTTTTAGACACACCCCTATTGCTATTGCTGTTGTTTGCAAATTAGGACAACTGTGGTCCTTGAATTTAGCCCTTTGCACTCCTAGCCCTCGTTTACCTCGAAATTTCATTCAACGCTGTTGCTACCTAAATCCACTCCGCATTTACTCTCACCCTCCCCCACGCGCCTTAACCACCCGCGTCTCTACCATGTCAAGGTGACTGTGCTTGCTGAGGGAGTTACAATGGACTCCACGGATAAAGTTGCGGTGGTTGTTCCACCTCCAAGCCAGGACCCTTCTACATACAAGCCATTCCCCGAAGAGGTCGAACGCATCGTCGATGAGATATTGTCAGAAGAAGCAAGCCTAGAGTCCTCCAGAGATGATGATTGGAACTTGACTAGTACTTCCGTCAGCGGCGAAAGTTCCTCGGGGCTACTCTCTTCTGCCATTGCAGGTTCAAGTTCACAGAAAGGAAAAACTCCTCCCAGGCCATTCTACTCTACGACTACGTCTACATCGAAGACCCGAAAACAAACCAACCCATCCTCGCAGCGACGTTCACGAGCAGCCAGAAGAACTATAACGGTGGTAAATATGGCTAGTGATAGTGAAGATGAGGATGTCTCCAGCAAGGGCGGTGATGATCCAGCGGAGGAAAACGACGTAACTAGCGTTATGGAGTACAACAATGACTATGTCGACTCGAATGCCGCAAGCCTGGCCAACGTTCCTACTCTGCCAACCCCGATACAGCCAGAAGTTTCGGAGAAACAGGATGACCAGATGAGCATTATTGATGGTGACGGTGCCGAAGAGCATGTTATATTTTCATCAGTGAGCGAACCAGCGCAATTGGAACTTCTTACCTTCATTGGTGGTCACCAGTTCATGCTGGAATCGGTTCAACCAGTGAGGAAATCTGCTAGACTTCAGTTCACCAGAGAAGTTCGAGATAAAGCACTGTCCGCTGGGATGCCTGATGAAGCGATATATGGCTTGATACACTACGTGCGCCGGCTCTACCTGGAATTCGCTGGCGTTGAGGCCGAGAAGCTCATTGACTTCGCGGACGATATCCCCTTTGGATTAGAAATTGACGATGAAGTCGAAGCTGGATCTTCAAAGGGAAAACGCAAGAGGAGCCCGAAGAGCCTGGAAAAATGCGAGGAGAAGGTCAAAAAGCGAAAGAAGAGCAAGAAACGGATCTCGAAGGAGTTGGATGTTTCCTCGCAGCCCTTGGTCGAAGCTGAGACGCACAACGAAGAACTGAGCACGGAGATCGTCCTACATAGCCCGGTCAAGACAGAGCAAAGTGTTGCAAATCAGCTGCCACGGAATGACGAGGAATCTGATGAGGGGCAGGTCATGATTCCTGAATCGCCCGTACCTGCTTCGACCGCACCGCTCCGAGAAGATCATACAAACAACGACGCCCCGGACATAATTGACTTGACTTTGTCAGACAATGAAAAGCCTGACACGTCTGATTCCCATGATCGATGCAGTACCTGTTATGGCACCTCGCCAGAGCCTGATTGGTTAGATGATCATATGGAAATTGATGCAACAGCAGCCGAAGAAAAAGGCAAAGATGAGGATACTCGTGATGCGAATGACGAGGGTCCGGACGTTTCTCAACAACATGATTCTCAACATGTCTCTGAAAATGAGGAAATCCCTGAAGCATCTTCCGCCTCTCCACTCCAGTTGAGCGTTGAAACAAGCAGAAGGCCTATACCAGAGCGAGAATCAGAGGTGTTGCAGTCTATATCCGGGGTTGAGCCTGCGCAGATACCTTCACCGGAGCCTGCTGAACAGAAGTGTTCTTCCAACGAGGCTCAGCCCAAGGCCGGTTCACCTCAAGCCCACGAGGTTGAGCTTCAACTGAGTTCTGATCCTCTGCCGGAGACTGTTAGAAATAATGAAAGCCCTTCGAAGACAGCCCAGGCTAAGCCTAGTTCATCTCAACCTCCTCCAAGATCCAGCCCTAGCCTTGAGCCCGTTCAAACTACCCAACCGGAGCCCACTACAAAAAACCAGAAGCGCCGTTCAAAGGAAGTTCAACCTAAGGCTTCCTCATCTCAACTTCCCAATCTCGAACCAACACAGCATTCTCACCCCGAGAACTCAGCCCAGGCTGAACCTAGTTCGCCTCAACCGCCTCCAAGACCCAGCTCTAGCCTTGAGCCAGTTCAAAGTGCCCAGTCTGAGCTCACTACGAAAAATCAGAAGCCCCACGCTGAGGCTTCCTCATCTCGGCTTCCAAATATTGAACCAACACATAATACTCAGCCTGACTTCACCCAGAAGGGGTTGAATTCACCTTTGCAGGATCCGTCGCCACCCCCTCATACCGATCCTCAATGGGATGCAGTGTCCGCAAGTGGCTCTTCGCGGGGTTCAACAGCTCCTGACAAGAAAAAAGCGAAGAATCAGCGCAGGCGAAGTAATAGAAGGCGCAATCGGGTCAAACGAAAATCTGAAGTTGCTTTTGAACCAACTGAGAGATCAGGAACACCTCCGCAATCTCCTACTGGCGCTGAACTACCAGCTACTCCGGTTTCCCAGCCCTCCAAAACAAACAATCGACATTATCTTCATGAGGCTTTATCCCCAGACCCAAAAGAATGGGACGTGGATTTTTGATAACCAGTGATTCGCCAGGGGCGACCCCCCAGTGATGAGGTGATGTCAAAATACTTCAAATTAGTGCCTCCTGCCAACAATCCCCCGGACTCCCAACCTGTACCCCTTTCCTTGGATGACGTCTCTACTTCTCAGAAAATCTCCAAAAATACTGAAAATTTCGGTTTACCTCTTTACTGTCTGTCCTCAGATTCAGACTCATCACTGAGTGATGTTCCTAGTGACTTTGAACTAGAATACACAAGATCTGTGTCGCTCCCAAGCGGTGAAAACACTCCATCTTGTGGTACCCCAGTCAAAAACACTATCACTTCCACGTCGAAGGGCTCTAGATCAACTCGCCCAAAATTGCCTAAAACATCACGATACTTCGTTCAGGAACCTCGGGAGCCTCCTTCATGTCTCCCATTTGCTTCCATCAATGCGCCAGCGTTTGGTCTTATCCAGGAGCAGCTTGCTCACGACCCGTTTAAGCTCCTTATTGCAACCATTTTCTTGAACAGAACTCGTGGCGGAGTGGCGCTACCGGTGTTATTTCAAGTTTTTGACCGGTATCCCACTATTGATGCCATGGCCACGGCAGACGAAGAGGAATTTGTCGCAATGATTCATTGCCTGGGATTTCAAAACCAGCGTGCCCAAAAGTGCATCTTGTTGGCACAAACCTGGCTAACCAATCCACCAATGAAAAACAAACGTTATCGGAAGATGCATTACCCCAACAAGTTGGACGGCCGGGATCTTCGTCCAGATGAGTGTGTTGATGATGAAGACCCGCGCTCGGCATGGGAAATTGCACACTTATCTGGAGTTGGTGCCTACTCCCTCGACAGTTGGCGTATTTTCTGTCGTGATGAACTGCGTGGTTTGGCTACCGACTGGAAAGGTGCCGGACCGACTAGCCCAGGGTTTGTTCCCGAATGGAAATCGGTTCTCCCGTACGATAAAGAGCTCCGTGCTTATCTTACGTGGATGTGGTTGAAGGAAGGTTGGGAATGGGATCGTCATACGGGAGATCTCAACCCAGCCAGTGAGGAATTGCTCAACGCCGCCCAAGTAGGAGGAGTGGCCCATGAAGAGAATGGGAATTGGGTACTGGAAACATCCCCTGTCAAAGTGGCCAACGGCTTACATGGAGACGATTGAATATTTACCTGGACTCCCTATGCTTATTGGATTTTCTATTCTTGTTGCACCATGATACCCCATAGATCCGAGCATTGTTAAATGGACACCCTCTGACAAATTAGGCTTAGCCTGTACACATCCATACCTACATGCATGCATCAAGGCCCCTCGGTAGTCAATCAGCTACAAAATGTACCTGTATTATAAACGAGGTTTCTAAGGCTACTACTTAAAAGGACAAGCACTTGAGTGGAGTAGTAGGTCCTGAGGTAGGTACCCACTGGCATAATGTACTTATAGTAAACACAGGTGCATAAGAGGATGGACAACCGGGCTCTGATAGAGAAAGGGAAAGGTATAACTTCCAAGGTGATAGAGCAGCTAGCCTACCCCTTTAGATACGCCTCTCTGTATCATCTAGATACTCGTGTAGGTACCTATAGATACCACTGGCATACATGGAGGAGTAGGTAACCATTTACCAACTTGAATAGGTACCTAGGATCATACGACTAGGTAACAATCCAACTGAGTATGTAAAACTAAGTGCTTGATTAAGCCTCAGGCTTATTGCGATATGGGGTATCCATTTAACAGAGCTTCATAGCCAAGTACATAGTAATATTCCAATCTCCTTGCTATATCGCCCCATGTAGCGCAGTGCTAGGACTTGTCTGCTAGCTGCTACATACACCTCCAGGACTACGACCTGCGTAGCAACAACATGACCCTTTGATACATCAATATGTGTAACGGTGTAAGGGAGGTGTATAGACTAGGCCCAATCAGGCGAAGAGTGCCCACCTGGGCATCTAACATCCATGGATCGCTCATAGATTCGTCTAGAGCATGAACTTGCATGGATCTCTTAATTTGAGACTATTCCATTCATGCTACGTAGAGACTCGATATTCTCCGAATCTACTAGACTTTCATTATGTTCCCCTTCTATTTTTCATTTGTCCATCCTACTTTAGCTTAGGCTTCCATGCATCTCTCCACGTCAGTTCAGCGGGGCCTGGTCTTCACCGCATTAGAACCTTCTCGTTTCTCCACCTCTCATCCTTCATACTTGCATGGTGCCTGCACATTAGTCTCATTGTTTTATCTCAGAGAAGAACTTGAATACCATTTATTTTGTCCCTTTCACTTTAACCTTTTCACTTTATACTTGGAAATGCCGGGGTGTTTTCTGCCGTGCGATCAATGCAAGCCCTGAGCCTTTTACCCCCGGCTTCCCATCAACCAGTGAGAATTCTCCTAAGCGCCAGGCATCACAGAAAAGACGCGCTAGACAGGCTGGACTCTCTCGTGCTCTTGCGGGAGATACAAAAATAGCAATCTAGCCTTTCCCCTCACAAGGACTTTCCCCTTCACCCAACCTGAGGGTTTATTAAAGCACAGACAAGATAAACGGAGCCCGATGAACCAGCGGGCCCCAGGGATTGAAGGGATCCACCTTGTGCGGCTGCTGCGAGTGCGCTGGAGCCAGCCATGTTTTTTCCGGTGAGACCAAACGCCGCCCAAAAGCCCAAATCTACCAAGCACTGGAAGCAACGTCCCAAACGTTCCTCCCAGCTCTCTCAGGTACGGTCCACATCAACCAAGGAACCCGAACCCGAGCCAGAAGAAACCACGGCTCGCTCCTCCACCTCCGCCTCGACTTCGCACAGTGAACCCCCACGTCGGTCCTCGATGCCAGGCCTCGACGCTGCCAGCCGGTCGGGGACTGCCTCTTTCCTCGAATCGAGGACAAGTCTACCGTATCCGAATTTCTCCAAGGCCCATAGCAAAGAGGATGTTCGCAAAAATAATATCCCTACCCCGGACCCGACCGACCTAACAGAGCAAGCGGACGATGGGAAGGAAAATGGACCGACTCAGCACCATGCTGAGAACCACCATGCCCCGCCCAGTCCACCGTTGACCGGTCTTGACCAGCCTTCTTCTCGCAAGGGCACGCCAGTAGAGGAGCTGGATGAAAAGGACAAAAACTTGGAGAAGCCAAAAACGAAGAAAACAAACATCAAGATTCGAACGGAAGTGAATCGGTCATCGTCCAGCCTTCGATCTAGAAAGGATGACAAGAAGGATGACGGCAGCAGCCGACCCAGCAAAACAGTGCGGGCTGAAACCCCCAAGTCTAAGAGCTCTCGAACAGAAAAGACTGAAAAAACCGAGAAGGTCGAGAAGGAGTCATCGCCCCGCACCAGCCATAGGTCTTCGAAGCCCAAGACGTCCTCGGAGGAGAAAAGGCTGCCCAAGCGATCGAGTCGATCTACTATGTCACCATCGCGATCTAACGTGACTGTTCAAATCATTGATGATGCCTCATTGAATGGATCAGATGCTACTTCCATTGCCCCCAACCAGCAATATGTCCCGACTCGAAAGAGCTCCACCCCACCCGTCAAACCCCCATCGCGCACTCAGAACCACTCACGCATGTCCCATCACCACAGCCCTAGTGATGAATCCATTGAATACGGCAAACATGTTCCCTCCGGCGCAGCTTTCGGTGCTCCTCCGCCTCCTCCTCCCCCGCCGGTCGTCCCTGTCACGATCCCACGAGTCGACTACTTGCTTCAACATGGCGGTCTGGAGAATAAAATCGCACGCACACTTCTAGGTGGACCACATCAATCCGACCCTTTCGCTCAGTCGGCCACTCAGCCCCAGCAAATCGCCGCCAGGTTATTCAGTCCATACAACAGCCTGCTCGATGATTACTCAAAGGTGATGAGCAAGAGCGGATCTCTTGCGGTGGCAACAGGATATCGCTCTGTTGCGCGCCGCCTTCTAGACCGTCTTGAGGCTGTCTTTGCGCGTGACATTTCTTCGGAACCCTGCAATTGTGTTATCTGCGAACAAAACGGGCAAGAGGAACGTCCGTCTGGAGTTAGCTGGGGGGGAGGTTTTGGAGCTGGTGTCTGGTCGTGGCGAGCTTCCTATGTGGCCTCCATTCGTGATGGCGCCCACTACAGTTGACTCTGGTTTGGCGGCCGAGGAGCACATTCCGATGCAAAAGCTGGATGTTGATGTTCCAGAGGAATACCGTGAACACTTCATTCGTCAATCTCGTAAAACTAAAGTTGCCGTCGACAAATGGCTTTCGGAGCAGAATGACCAGGCCAGCAGTGCCCCCGAGGAAGTGGATGACGAGACCCTTACTTTCGCCATGTTGACCCATCTCGAGTCCTTCCAGCGCTCGGTATTTTGCGCCCTACTCGGTCTGACCGCTTCAACTCCTGTTCCAAAATCCGGTGACGATAATGAGCGACCCAAACCATCCTCACTCGCCTCGTCATCCTCGGCTATTCAAAGACTGTACCGCCTTGCATCGCTCCCCCGTGACCCTGAAACAGCCATGTTCATGCTCAACAACCCCGGACTGCACCATGTCCTGGCAACCCTGTCCGCTATCAGTGACGATGAATGGGAAATTCTGATATCTGGCCGCTTTGATGGCTTCCTTCGCAGCGGTGCTGAAGATGCAACGCATTCCACCAACCAACGCTACAGCGGCAGTCGTTCCAACACTCCCTTCAGTCCCCCAAGTCGCGGACCAACGCCAAGCTACATGGATGGCAGCTTCCGACCTAACGGCCAACCCAACGGAGGCCCTTCATCACCCGCATCTCATGGTGGTCCCATTGCTTTGGATGAAGAAACCGAAATCGCTGCCCTAGCCGAAATCGAGCGAGATATTTTCCTTGGCATGGAAGCACTTGAAGATGCCTTCGAAGCCTTGCATCTCAAAGCCGAGGTCGTCCGACGTGCCCTTCGTGAACGTGGTGCCGGTCTATCAGTCGCCAGCCAAGGCCGACGTGGCTCCTTCGTGGAAGCACGCCTAGGCACGCCATTCTCTGCCGTCGGCGGCTGGGACAGCGGCGATGATGAATTCCTCGACGATGACCGAGGCTCCCTCGCGCCAGACGACTCAGCTAGCAACATCAGCTCCAACCGACGTCGTCGACCCAAGCGACGCACCGAGCGACGCACACCAGCACCTGTCGAGGAAGAAGATGAAGAGGATGACTCACCTGTTGGTCGTCGCGACCGCAACCCTCGGCGTCGCTGAACGGATCTTGAATTTCGGTCTTAAAATTTTAGCGGGAGGACTTCAAGGATTTCATGCAAGATGGATATATTGTTACATCCGGCGCTCCTGATTGATGAACTGATGATACCCACTCCCCATGCCCCCATTTTCATACGTTTGCCGGATTTTCTCAGCTCTGGCCCTGCTGTTCATTTTCTTATCACACATTCTATGATCGTGCTTTTTATGATTGATGATGAATGCCACAAGCCGTATCTATTTTTTATACATGATATCCATATCTACTTCTATATCCATCCCTTCTCCGTAAATCATGCCAGTGGCCAGTGTGAATTATCTGATCTCTGGATATACCCACTAATAGTAGTACTGAACTCTTAGTACATTCGCATCATGATACATCCAAGGCTAAGTTTAGGTACTATATGACCGTGGACCTCGGGATCTTTAGGCAATCCGGCTTCTATCCAAGAGGGGACTGTCACTTAGGCGAACGAAGTCGATGTGTAATACCTCCTCGAAGGTCATATTCGACATACCAATAGCGTGCCCATAAGTTGTGGATCCAAGTCCGGGGCCCCGGGGGCTTAATTGAACTAGGCAGTTCGCAAAAATCGCCACTTAATCACTAGTGTGCAATCCTTCATCAACTCTGAGTACAGTTTGTGGAAATGAGGGTATTCCCCCAATTATTCCGGGGTAAATTGCACGTCTCGGTGCTTTTGTACAATATTTGGAATATCCTCGCCTGTCGCCCCAGGACGCCGATCGCTGACAGGATCTGATTTCACTATGGGGCTGATTCTACTTTCGTCTGTCCTTGAGTTTAGTTGAATGTTTGCATTCATTGTTGTCTTAGTGATTTTCAGGGGAAAGACCAGTAGTCACGCGATAGTCTCGGGCTCATCAACCCCTGATATTGCCAGTGGAGATGAGGGTTGTTGATGTCCCATTTTTCTACAAATCGACCAATTTCCAGGCATGAGATAACATTTGAAGACAGAGAAGATATTGATGGTCCAAAAATGTGTCACTGGCATGAATCGTCTAATTTTCTAGAAAAAGGCGTGCAGAGTCTCAATATTCCCGGCATGATCCACACCATCAGTTCGTGAAGAAGTCCATGCTCCCTTCGAAAAGTCTTGAGCTTGAGTGCCAGTGGTATCCTCATCTTGGACAAACTTCTATGGCATTCAAAGGTTCATATAATTTGAATTCAAGAACAGCCAGCATTTTCATCTAAAGTCGACAACAAACTTCATACTATCAGTTGAGAATCACTATGACACACCTATCAATGTTAACAATTGTCAATCAGGAAAAAGTTAAAAGTTTATGATCTACGGTTTCTTCTGCATTCAAATAGTAAGCTTGCCCGCTATGACTGTGGGTATCAAGATCATTTAGCCTATCAATCAGTCGATCGGTCTAGTATCTACCATCAATCTGTCTCAGATTCTAGTGGGATGGCACCTGGGGGTAAACCCAAGATTTCGTCTAGGCAAGATTTTGTTATCCATGACAAGGACATGGCATGTGCACTGTGCATCTCCCATTTTGGTCAATGATGCTAACTTTACTCTTGATATACTAAGAATATACCTGATTTCTTGCATGGTGGCTGTTGCTTGGCCTCTAAACCTTGGTCAATAACGGTCACATCTCCAACGGCTCTCCGATTAAGTTGAATATCATGGTTCTAGATTATTCATTGATATCTTAACAGATATCTGCATGGGCTCAGTCCGAGTCAGTAGCATCTAAAGGTGACTGATGACCGACCCATCTTTGTATGTAGGTACCTACAGGGTTACCTACAGGGTTATCTGGAAGGGAAGGTTAGCTGTTGTATTGTTGGATATAGGCAACCGGTAGCCCTAGGACCAAGCTGCAGGCTATTCTCAGGTACCTACCAAGACAGGCGGCGAGTAAAAGTGCAGGAGCCAAGTAGTAAAAGAGGTCTATCTACTCTACCAATAGAACTTCTAAATGAAAACTTTTCAGGCTAAATTCCACACTACTTATCTTAGTGAGGCTGGTTTCAGTAATACCCTGTGAATATGACCGAAATCACGAGGATAATTCAGATCGGCGGTCGCAGTGGAGTATCCTAACGGCATCAGGCAGGTGAAGGAGATCCAGGGTTTGACCTTCAAGTTTGGCTCTGGGGTTAGAACCATGGATTTGGATGATTTAAGTTCTAATTCACGGCTTGTATCAATATTTGTTAGAATCTAATAACCCCTTTTCATGCACTGATCTGGCTAATCTTTTGAATCGAAGTTGAATCTGAAAATTGGGTGTCATTGTTCAGTTTATCTCGGGTGGTGCCGCTAACCCCCCTAGGACCCCCTCATACCGGGGCCCGGTTGCCTTATTATCTTATTATAGGGGCTTATAGGTGCGAAGCATAGAATATTCGGGGAGCACATTCCATTCTCCTCAGAAGTGCACGTTAGAACACTTGAGAACCTTCCAAGGTTGAATACTATGTAACTTCTGACACACTTTGTACATTAAGGATCACCTAGTAAGCAATCCTTCCAATGGTTATGCTCCACGATCGCTGCTAGCGGCTCTCAAATGAAACGGCGTCATTGTATAACCATCCTTTGAGATGCCCAGGTAGTTCTCTTGATCCTTAGTGATCCACAGAAAGCTCTAGCATTAAATCAGTCCTCGGCACTTGGCCACCATGTGCCCTTGGTTATTGCGGGTCGGAACTGAATAACACATGGAATGTTAGTGAAAAGTCCCGAGGGGATGCTCTGTTGAGCCGTGTTGACACTCGTTGTCTCTGGTTGATCTACGCCACATTGCTTGTTGGGAGAAGCCTTCTAACCTTAACACCCAAAGAGAGTGAAAACTTCGAATGTTCTCCTCATCAAGTCATCTGAGTCTTGAATTTGTTTTTCTGAAAAGCACCATCTGTACTGGTGCTTGAATTTCAGATTCTTTTATGAGAATTCTCTGTCTCAGTGAAAAAAAAGCAATTCGCACCGGTTTGGAGAGCCGGAACTCCATCTCATGGGTCTGCCGTGCTTGGCGGTATTGATAGTGGATCAAAGGCATTGTCCGCCAATTATACCAATGCCCAGATCAATATTACACGGCGAACTATGTAAGATCGACACTTTGTATCTAGAATCTGACGATTCTGACCTGACCGAGACTCGAATACACTTCTAGCGGGTCATTCTTGCGGGGTTCCATTCATTCACCATACTCATTGCGGTCGTACTCCGAGTCCATTTCACGGAATTGACGATCAAAGACTCTAGCTCCAACATGATGGAGCGGATGATGAACGGTGATTCTTGGCTTCATACTAAAATTCGAATAGTAAGAGACGCGTTTATGGAGCAATCATATGCATCAAGTGCGATATGTACTGCTAGTAATTGTTATTACCACCAAATGCACTTGCGCGGCGAAACTAGTCCGTGTCTTCCGCTAGTGTTCCAGAAGTCCGCCCCTGAATCAACTTGACAGGGCTCAAAGGCCAACGCGGACTATGAATGGCTGGACCCCGAGGCGTTTTCCACGCGGGCGCGGAGAGAAGGTTTGTGGCGCTATGCTCTGCATCTCCGGCTTTCAGGAACTAACGACTTCCCCGAAAATTGAGAGGCAATGGTGCATTATCAACCTTTCAGCTCCAATACTACTGTCCCCAATTAGCAATTATACTCCGTGCTGATACTCCGTGCTGATACTCCGTTGATCTTGGTGGATACGGACCAAACTCTCATTTCAACCATTCCATTGTTCATAGCAGAAACTTCATACACTCTCCACTTCGACCCCTGTCCGAAGAGGGGTCATGGTCGCTGTGGATCCAAATGTACAATGGAGCTTGTCTGAATGGTATTCTAAACTTACAGATGGATCCCAACGGAGATGATCCCTGGAAAAGTCCTCTATTTTATGGATTATAGCGACATGACGGCGACGCTCAAGCACGGTCATGGACCTCCTTAACCTATTGACTTTAGAGTTTCATGTGCCCGGCATGTTCTCCATGTGGATTTTATCATTTTATCCATCTTGCATCTGGACCCTACACACGTTTAATAATCTTGGGCCACGCCATCAGTTGCTTGCTTAATCTACTTTTTTCCCTTTCATTTGCCTGTCATATTATTGGTGGGCCAGGCCACAATTCTTGCACAGTAAAAATCATTTGCAATTTATCAGTCCCTGTTTCTTAATATTTTCACCAACCAGAGACTCGACGTCACCTTCCAAGCGTTGAAACATTACGGTGAACTCCACTCTTTTTTCTCATGTCTGTCGCATAGAGACATTTTCCAATCCTTACCTTATCGCACCCTGTTGCAATGTCTGCCCTCGTCCTGCTCAGTATTCTGCAGGCAAGCAATGGCCAATCCGAACATTCAGAAAACTCTCTTGCTCCTCGTTTGACCAGCAATGTACTCCTGGATATCGACCCGTTACCAGACGTCCAGCGGAGGGGTCTCATTGCTGTGACTGTCATGGCATTTCTATCCTTTATCGCCACAGGCACACTACTAGCATTCATCACATTTCGTCTCATCTTTTGGCGTGGCTCATACACCAGATACATCGGTTACAATCAGTACATCATTCTCATTTACAATCTGGTACTAGCAGATTTTCAACAATCATTAGCCTTTTTGATTTGTCTCCAGTGGATTGTCACAAACAAGATTAAATCCGGCACTGCAGGATGTTTTCTCCAAGGACTATGGTTACAAATTGGAGATCCGGGAAGTGGTCTTTTCGTGCTCGCCATCGCCATCCATACTTTCCTTCTCGTTGTCTGGGGTCGCAAGATGTCATACAAAGTCTTCGTCGGGTTCGTTTGCGGTGTCTGGGTATTTATCGCCATTATCGTTATCGCTCCTCTTGCAAGATATGGCGCCGATGTTTTCGTCCCAGCAGGCGCATGGTGCTGGATTAATGAGGACTACGAAGCAATGCGCCTTTGGACTCATTATATCTGGATCTTCTTCGCTGAGTTTGGTACCGTCTGTCTCTATGCTGTGATGTACTTTCAGCTCCGTCGACAAATTGCCTCATCCTCTATTCTCGGTAATAGCCAGCTGGAGAGCTTGAAACGTCTCCGAAGAGTCGTTGGTTACATGACCATTTATCCAATTGTCTACATCATTCTCTCTCTACCCTTAGCGGCTGGACGTATGGCTACCGCGAACGGCCACAATCCGTCTCTCACTTTTTTCTGCTGCGCTGGTAAGTTTCATACCGGTCATATATACTAGGTTGGAAAGAGAAATCTCAGAAAACTAACATTTCTCAAGGTGCCATCATTACTAGCTCCGGTCTAGTCGACGTCATTCTCTACACTCTCACCCGCCGAAACCTCATCATCGATTCCGAACCTAGTCACGATCGCTCTTACAATAAATTCGCAAGTAGCAAAGGACGCCGTGGCGACACTCACCTTACAACCATTACTGCCGAGCCCAAATCGAAGAAGCTGGGTCTCGCCGACACCACTATACATGAGCGCGATGGCTCAACGGATAACATCGTTCAAGCCGGTGTTGAGATGAACGATCTTGGAAAGGTGTATCAAGAAACCACAATCGAAATCACAACGGAGCCCGCATACGTATCGGAGGAGTCAAGTGAGCGCTCCAGCAAAGATGACGAGTTCTCAGACGCCACACCAAATCGTATGTGGAGGCGATGATGATTTGATGATTGTATTTCATGAATTGGTCTTCATTTCTATGGGTTCTGTTCTTTTACTCATGCTCGTGCCACCTCCTTACTTTATGCACCTTAATTCCTGGTCACTTTCTTTACTCTTATGACTTTCTCATGTCGCTCAGGACGCCTTCATTTTTATTACCTGGAGAGGTTTTTTCCTATTCATTCTACTATTATTCCCCTTATCTGACATCTGGAGGCTTGAGGGTCGGATTTCTCTCATTCTTTGTATATATTTCAAAAGAGTTTGGAGAAGAGGAAGCTTCTCTTCAAACATTTTCTATACCACGAGTTGAAATCTGGAGATTCATAAATACTATATACTTCAAGGTCACTGAAAAATAAAAGCTACCAATTTTGTGGGAGCAAGTGTGTATATCGAATGCTTCTCATTCCAGGTTAAACTCCGTCCAAATACCGAAGCATGAGATGGGCCGAGATCTGTATACTTCCGAGTCACGGAATATTAAGACGGGGATTGAATATTCACATGCTGGTTGCACAGATCGTGGCGATAAATTTGGCATGGAGTCTGGAAGCTCGAAAATTGAAGCTGCTGTATATGAGAACTGATTATTCAAGTTATGTGCAGCTCATCCTATGATTCCTAGTCTAGAAATCCAGCTATCCTAATTCAACATGAGCCACGACTTTCAGCTGAGTGTCTACCTCGGCATCGTTTTCCTCATCTGGTCTGTATACGTATGTGCTTACACTATTCGATTATGGATTTCTTTGAAGAGATGAATGGATATTTACTGACTATTAATCTCTTTCAGTTCATCGTCAAAATACTCAGGTCTCCTCTGCGTCGTATTCCTGGACCTTTCTCCTCCAAATTCACTCGACTACCCTTACAACTCGCAACATCACGCGGAGCTCAGCTCTATTATATTCATCGCTTACACCAAACATATGGCCATATCGTTCGAATCTCGCCAAATGAAGTCTCAGTCTCTTCCATGGCCGATATCAGAGAGATACATCGCATTGGATCCGGCTTTTTGAAGACAGAGTGGTATGATGTGTTTACACGAGGTCTCATCGGTGTGTTCAATATGAGAGATCCAAAGGAACATGCCCAACGGCGGAAACTTTTCGCACGTCCGTTTTCCAAATCGGCTCTTCGAACTTCATGGGAACCTGTCGTGAAAGATAAAGCCCAGCTCGCTATCTCTCAGATTCAGAATGAAATTGCCGCAAATGGTATCTGCGATTTCCTTAAGTGGGCGACATTCCTGGCTACTGATATCAGTAGTCATCTTATGTTTGGAGATTCGTTTGACATGTTGCAGAAGGGAAAGGTGAGGAATATCAATAACTCGTTTGATCTTCCTGCTGGAACCGATACTAGCTGTCGTTGATAGAAAAACGAATACATTCGTATCCTAGAAGCATATACCCAAGGGTCCGGCATAATGATGGAGGTCCCTTTTGCTAAATGGATCCTACCTTACATTCCCCTCCGATCATTTCGCGAAATGTTCTCAGGTGATGAAATCCTACTCCAGCATGGTCGAGAATCGGTAGCATACAGTCGAAAGCACAGCGAGTCCTGTCGAAATATTTTCTCCGGCCTTGTTTATGAGTCTGAGAAAGACGACGTCTCCCTCAGCGATACCGACGTAGCGATGGAAGCATCAAGCCTCATCATTGCAGGCTCCGACACAACTGCTATCACGCTTACGTATCTGATTTGGGCGGTCTTGTCGCGGCCAGAACTACGATCTGATCTAGAGACTGAACTTGCTACTTTAGGGGAAAACTGGAATGAAAGTCGACTCGAAGCACTTCCTCTACTAAACGCAATAATCACTGAGACACTGAGACTGTATGGCGCAGCTCCGGGCTTGCTGCCTCGTACTGTTCCTGAAGGTGGTGTTTCATTCTCGGGGTATTATATTCCTGCGGGTATGATCGTGGGCACTCAGAGTTGGACAGTCCATCGCGATCCTCTCCTGTTCCCAGATCCCGAAAAGTTTGAGCCTGAGAGATGGCTGCCGGGACCAAAAGAGACATCTGAAGCGGGTCGAATGGCCCTCTCGCCTTTTGGGTCTGGATCACGCACTTGTCTGGGAATTCATCTTTCGTGGATGGAACTACGACTCATCGCAGCCGAGTTCTTTCTTCGATGTGGGAATGTGAAACTGGCACCCAGTGTGACTGAAGAGAGTATGAAGCCGAAGCATTTCTTCCTAATTGCACCTTCAGCGCACACATGTGAGATAGTAAGTACTTGATCACTGGAACTGATTTTCAGCTTGAACTATATGATTAATTCATGAGTGATATTCACGATTGCCGCCTGGAAAAATTGAAGTTATAATTCAGATGAAGTCAAAAATTTTCGAAAATAAACTCGCTCAAATCCATCTTCAGTCCGTCTTCCAGTCTCCAGGAATCCCATCTTCGGATACATCGTAAGGTTTTCATACATTTTCACATTCGTATAAAGCGTCAGCGCGGTACAGCCTTGGCATCTTGCAGCCTCTTCCGCGCAGTCTAGTAGAACTCGACCATACCCACGACCTTGAGACGTAGGATCCACGACAATGTTGTCAATTTCGATAGAATCAGTGGTGCGATTAACACCAAGCACAATTGAGCCAACAGTTTCCTTCATCTCGTTTTGTAAGACAAAAACGTCGTGTGTTTGGATCATCGTTTCATAATCGGCAGTCATAGGAGCTGGAGGCTTTCCAATGCGCTCAATATACTTTGAGTATGAAGCATCTACCATTGCTTTAATGGCGGGGACATGTTCCGATGATGCTCTGACTATGGTAAGACCGGGTCGGGAAGCTTGGGTTGGGTCAATCATTCCGAGTTCGGGTGTATGGATGAGAAATGAGTTTGTGTAGTCGATCTATGTTCCAAATGTCTGATGAAGTGTGTGTGTGTGTGTGTGTGTGTGAGTATGAATGGCTTCAATTTGCAGAGAGGTGTGTGGTGATATAAAAAGGACCTGGATGATCCCCGCTGACCTCGGGCAAGCCGCTAGGGTGAGTCACGACCCCGAGGTCACAACTTGAACCGAGAGAAAGCTCTATAAAAAACTGAAAAAAGTCAAAAGAAAAATATCATCAAATTCCTAAATCAGTCTGAAGTTCATTCTGGTTTCACAAATTCATTCCTCAGTTTCATCATCAAATTTTCATCATTATGAAATCCACGGCTTTGTCAGACGGCGATCAAGCAGGAGGAAGAGCAGCTTTCCCAGCCTTCCACTTTCCACCAGTCCACATCCACTCAGAGATGCCACTGACGTGCTCACCCTTCTGGAAGTAAACCCTCATTTCGAGGTTCTTCTCACTGCCCCAGGAAATCGCAGTAACCTCACTACCAGGGATGCAATTTACCTCCATCTTCCCCTCATGCCACCGACCATCGAATTTCACTTCTTGCATGCTTCCTGCAATGGCATAGAAGACGCTGATGCCAATCCTTTCATGGCCCAAGAGATAGCTGGTACATGCCACCGCGGCTCTTGGGGGTACATGGTGAGAGGCCGATACCTTGAACGATCCATCATACCAGCCTCTTTCCTGGTCCCAGCATTTCTCTTTCAAAACATGATCTGGATCTTGGAAATACACCCTGATTTCTACTTAGCAAATATTTCTTTTTCAATGTTGAATGAGATACTGACCGAAGTCTCATGTGAGAGGTTTTGAAGCTCGTGCACGCAATTGCGGAACCAGGCATCGCAGGTCCCAAGTTTTGCATCTTCTTCCACTCGGAGCCCTCTAAACACTCATGTTAGTCAATGCTAATCGCGAGAGAAAAAAAGAGTGAAGCCTTACCACTCCAGCCAAACTCCTGGATGGTATTATCCGGCAATTGACAGTAAACTCTCACAGTATTGTTTACGCCCTGAAGGAAACAAGCATCCATTCTGGCATACGGCGCCACGTGGAAGTTCAATTTGCTCATCTCCCCTTCATGCCAGCCCTTGGATGAAATGTAGACAACCTCTTTCATGACGTTGTCATTTGCCAGGTAGTAAAGCCGGATCTGAGATGGATTAATATTTTTCTACTCAGCCTACCATTTCGGCCGGTGTACTCACATTCTCCAGTCCGACAGATGCAACGGCAATGGGCGAGCAGATCTTTGCCTGAGCAACGATGTTCTTCTCGGTGCCATTTGACCACTCGCGCTCATACATAGCCTCACGAACTTTGCCGAGCACATCTTGCATGTAGACTCGCAGGTGGGCCTCCGAGTTACAAGCTCCGATGGTGGTCCCTAATCCATGTTAGAATATGCTTAATGGAGCTCCTGGCTCGCTGGGTTTCATACTGAAGAAGATATCTTGAGCCGCGTTAGTCTCCATATTGCTATGCTGAGTCCTACACAGTCAGTCAGGCTAATGATTTCAAACTTGAGGGAGAAAGTTTTTAAGTACTTGATTTCGCTTTAAGCTGTTCGAGTTTCTGGATGGCTCGATGGAATGAAATTTCAGGATGGAGGAATTTGTTGACGATCGGCCGCTTTTTATATCCTACCCACAGACGCAGGCGTGAGGCTCGTCGTGACCACATACGCAGGCAGGAAGCGGGCAACCCCCGCCATCTGTGCACCCATATCAAAACATTCCATACGTCTCTGTAGAACTGTACATTGGTCCTGTAGTTTATGTATACTCATTTTCATCTGGATTCATGGACTCTTTGACCCCATCAGCAACTCAATTGCAGGCGTGGCCCACTCAATCGAAGACAAGCTTGTACAATCCGAATATCCCGGTCTCTAACTACACGACCTTCCATTTTTGCCATCAATTGATGATTCCTAGTACATATGCAACCAGTGTTCCCGGTATCTAGAAGTGTTAAAATGTCCTCAGAGTCGTTACTTATTCTCTTATACTCGGATGGATGTTCACGGGTTCAGACAGCTATTTCTTAACATGCTGGATATTCTCCAAATGCCCAAGGCGATACAACTTGAAATTGCTGTATTAAAAGTAACTCGTCTCATCTTCGATCTTATCTCATAGCTAACTAGTCATCCCAATTTAGGCTGCGTGATACTGACCACAAGGAGAACACGTGATCCTGAAGCTATAGTATTTAGTGTTGTTTACTTGTCAATCCTCAAGTATCGGAGCTAGCAACGAGTAAATTTCGTTCCATCTCCCTGGTTGTGGGCCGTGAGGCGGATTGCTAGGCTTTCTTCAGATGGGTGCGGGAATTTTATACATTTCCAGAGGAGCCGATTTGCATCTATGGGACGAATCAACTTGGCAATTCGGATATCTGAACCAATTTGGATGCCGCATTATAACTATCTAGCTAGTTAGACAGGCTCAAGAATTACAGTGCTATTGTTGAGCATAATACATAGCTCAAAGGCTTCGATCCAATGGAAGAATCATGTCCACAAGCCTCAGCAATCGAGTCACCTGGGCACTCATCACAACATTCAAGTTTGAACTTAGGTTCCAGTTCCAGCATTTGAAATATTCAGAGGCCGGCACCAGGAGACACCTGAGCCTTGAGTTTATGTAGTATAAGCAGTTAATATACATAGGCTTACATGCCCAAAGTCCTCTATCGTTCTGATACTAGTACAAAGTGGCGCACATTATTATTGGAGACTTTTACGTGTAATTACTATTCGATTCTCAAGGTATTTTCTACTAGTAGTTAGTATTAGCTACATAGATTCACGTCTCATATCTCAGGCTGCTCTGTTTTTATGTCCTCTTCCCAGTTTCTAGCCTTCAGATCATGCGTTAGCAGTCTGAGATGAAACACCTATGCAGGCAGCGAGGTACCGAGTGTACGGTATTGTCCTAGGGCTCATTTAGATAGACTTAAATTTTATCACGGCGTTTATCCAAGATTGGAACTCCGAGTCGGCACGCGACCGTGGTAGTTCTATATCTTAATAGCTGAGACACTCAGAGGTGTATGCTCTACATAGGGTAGGAAGTCAAGTTTTGAAGGACTTGCCAAGGAACTGTACTAGTAGCTCTTCTCGGAACTCACAACATCTGAAGTCTGTTTACCACGTACCTCAATAATTGTCTCATTCAATTTGAATCAATCAATGTCATGGTTTCACTGTAGAGCTACACACGACGTGCAATTTCAAGAAAGACCCGACCTTTGAATCAAAAAGGTGTCTTGCAAAAGCGGGTATTAAAATGACTAGAATATGCGCTATTAGCTAACTATTACTCATTTGATTAAGGAGCATGGCCAAACTGCAGCTTCATGTCTAGGATGAGACATTTAGCGCCGACGGGGAAAGGGTGTAGAGAAGTCGTATCTGACGTCAGGGCGCTAGGAGTGCATTCAAATTATCTGCTGCAGTTGAGAAACAATGCATGTCTCAACCGGATAACCACGCATTGAAGACGTGTCACCCCAATAAAGAAAATAAGTCCGTGATGTACTCCGTACTGCGGTGTCGCTGTGTAGCATGACTCTATGCATTGGGTTTGATCAAGATAAGCTTCAAGGTCTTATTCCATCTACAGGGGTAAAAGACGGTCAATGAAGAAAATATTATCCGATTAAAAACATTCGGATAATTCAATCTCAATTTCATAATTCGGACCTCGGGGTCATTATTAAGAGAGAGTTCCTGGGAATAAAATTAGACGCATCCAACTGAGGTGTTCGCCAAGTGAGTCAGTAAACAACCTGCAACTATTTTTGATGAACGATCACCTCATACATCTCGTTTAGCTAACTCGTGCCACAGATAAATTAATGGAGACCAAACCGGACATCAAATTTTAAAATGTTGCAAGGGGTCGACTCTAGCTTACCAGCGGACAACGACAAACCTCATCGACACTAGCCATCCCTTGATATTTCACCCCGATTTCGAAGTTAACCAAGGTCAATGCGATGTTAGCACGCCTGACTCTTTGGAACAAGGAGCTTTGATGTCCTTGAGCTTGCAATCCAGCAAATCCTCTCGGCATTAAGTTGATCATGCGGATCAGGGGTTTCGCCTAGACGCACATCAGTGGACCTGAGCGACTCAGATATTCCCGTCGGCCAATCACGGGATCGGGCGTCAGGAATGCAAATTTATTTTGACACTCAGTTATGTGCTCAAAGCTCATCTGAACAAGCAAAGCAATGTTATTTAAGACGCTTTGTCCCAAATTGCGAAAAGGGTAGGTCATCTCGTGCTAGCATACCTTAATCATGTTGTTCTCAGTCCGTCTTCTTGCTCCTGCGCTTACCGCATCTCTTCTATCAGACCTCACCGTGGCCGATGATGCACAATCAAGAGCGGAAACCGCTTTGAATGCTCTTCAAGAATGGTATAACTCGACGAGTGGAATCTGGGATACTGCCGGCTGGTGGAATGGTGCCAATTGCATGACTGTAATTGCAGATCTGGCCGCTCTAGATTCATCCGTGATGGAAACCGCTGAATATGTCTTCAATAACACATTTAATGTCGCTCCGGCAGTATCGAACCCGAATCCCGGCCCGGAGATAAAAACTACTCCTAGCTCTAAGCGGGACTTCCTTGGGTCTCGGGCCAATAATGCTGTCAATTCATCTGTATGGCTCGATTCCGCCTATGACGACGACGCATGGTGGGCCCTTGCATGGATTGCTGCATACGATGTCACCGAAGAGAACACATATCTGGAATTGGCTGAGGGAATATTTGAAAGCCTTGTAAGAGCATATTCTCCCAACATTCAGCAGTATATTATCTTGTAGCCCTTACTGATTACTTTATAGACCAAGGCTTGGGGTACTCGTTGTGGTGGTGGGGGCCTCCCATGGAACCCAACAAGTTCATATGTGAATGCGATTACAAACGAGCTGTTCCTGTCAACAGCAGCCCATTTGGCCAATCGCGTGCCCTCTCAAAAAGATTATTATGTCGACTGGGCACAAAAGGAGTGGAACTGGTTTTTAAGCCAAGGCTTTATTGGCTCGAACAACACGATCAACGATGGGTTATTGGATGATTGCCAAAATAATGGAGCTACTGTGTAAGTGGTCAATTCTGCAGCTTGTTTATAAGGCTTGTTCTAATGAATTTAATTCAGCTGGTCCTACAACCAGGGTGTTGTTCTTGGTGGACTTGTAGAACTTAACAAGGCCGCACCAAACGACACCTACCTCGAGTCAGCCAACACAATTGCCAAGGCTGCGATTGCAACATTGGCCGACTCAAATGGAGTACTCCATGACTTTTGCGAGCCAAACTGTGAGCCGGATGGTACTCAGTTTAAGGGTATCTTCATTCGGAATCTACAGATGCTGCAACAGGTATCGCCGAGTGACACATACACCCGAGTAATCAGCAACTCTGCCAACAGTATTTGGGAAAACGACAGGAACTCGCAAAATGGGTTTGGTGTCGTGTGGTCCGGGCCAGTGGAGAATACTGTGGATGCCTCTACACACAGCTCAGCAATTGATGCGCTGGTTGCCGCCATGTCTATCTAATGATTTTATTCTTTTAATGACTTGCATTTGAATATGAGATATACGCACATATGGAGTTCAAATTTACATCTTTTTAAATGCTTCATCATTCTCGTTTTCTATATCATTTTTCTCCACTTCCTCTGGCTCCTTTATCGAGAAAAGATATCTTTACTACGCTCAATTTCGAGGGACCCTAGTCCACCACGCCCGACACTGATAGCTGATCCCTGTTTGGTAGTTGGACGTTTCCAAGGTTTGCATTTGGGCTACTAGTGTGGAAAACAGTGCTCATCGGTACGTCCCTTCGGGAATGTCAAGCTCTAAGAAGGTTGTGTAGAAACCAATGCCAGGCTCGTCAATTCCAGTCTTCACCGGATGTGAAATCAGCCAGCTAGAACTAGGTGGCTTGACAAACGATATACCAGTTCAGCCAAGCTGTGTCATCGTACAAGCTATTGATCTCACAAGTATTAGTGACGGCGGAATATACCGAAGTAGCAGAACGATTATTAGCCCTCCTAACCGGAGCATATAATTCAATGCTCATTGCAATTCAGGTCTTCGGGCGGCGATAAAAAGTTGCCGATCGGCTCATCCGCTTCAACTTCCATTGGCAATAGTTGTATGCTTTATTGCCAAAGCAAGTATACCCGGAGTCCCGCAGTACGAAATATGCGGCGATCCGGCTGGGCCCGCCACTGTATCACCAAGGTCGATCTTTTTGGCCTGATTGTTATTCCTTTTCCCTCCACCATAGTTGGATTTCCAAGCTGACGAGGGAAAGCAAGCGCATATGTCTCGTCCATCCCGCCATACAGGATCGACACACGTGTTGATCCGGCACCCCGAGCCCAAGTCAATATTTCAGCTAAGAAGTCGATCGAATTTATGTCGTCTAGATCGTAATCCGTGACATCAAATTTAGAATCGCAGCCATTAAGGCTTCGACTGCCATCAAGCTGAATCATAGTAACGTTTCCAGCACTATTCGGTACCGAGATCGTGTAAGAGTCTGTCTTATCTCTAGAGCCAGCTCGATGAATTGAAGCTAACCATATGCAGATAGCACATAGGCCTTTCTCAAATCCAAGCATGAGACCAATGTCTGGGCTTTCGTCCCGATCGCGAGTAATCCAATGGTTACTCGAAGCAGATTGAGCAAGCCCTTTGAGGTCACTTCCCAGTTCTTGTGATTGATATCAAGAAGGAATGGGATCTGAAGCTCAAGTAAGGAGATCGAATAATAGTCCGTCTGTTCAGTTGGACGAAGCTCAGAGAATGAGTCTTTCAAAGTCTCAGCCAGGGGATGTATCATGGAACCATTATCGGCAGCATTGAGGACCAAATGATATTGAGATAGAGCACTGGGTGCCAAGCTTTTGTCGACTGCGGTCGACACAATCACACTCAAGCTATGATGGCTTCATGGGAGATCCTGTAAGCAGACATTGGTTCCATCAAACCCGGCTTGCCCAAGTTGGTTGTCCCATCGCTCTTTCAAGAGTAGCGGGCTCCCTGGTACTGGGCTTGAAGTTGTGCCTCATCTCAGTTGAATCCATCTTCCGAAGGACATCTTGGAGGTAAGTAATATACTCGAAAAAACTAAGAAACTCAAGGAGGCCGGCTCTAGTCGCGCTGATAGTGTGAGTTCCAGCGTACGCCCGAGTCAGAAGACGGCACATTCGGCTGTCTAGATTCAGAGTCATCATTTAGGACAGTTGTTGGCCAGTTTCCGAAATGACGGGGATTCTACGCTCTTTTGGACCCCAAAAAGGTGGACCTCCAGAGTTGGGGGCCGTGAAATGAGTCTTCGGCTGTGGACGAAGTACTTGGGCGCCCGCACTCAGTGCCACTTCCGGTGCCACTTCCGCGCAATATGTGGGGTTTCTTATGCTAGTCCGGGGCATTGGATTTCCTTTGTTTGCAATTATCCCTTAGTTATCTGAGCATTTGTATTGCAAAAAAGGGAACGTTATCGATCATTGCCTAATATTATACCAACCGCGGTTTCAGTTTCCCAATTTCAGGAAATCTCCATGAAATCAGCAGACGGAACCTATTATTTGACAACTCCAGGCTGAAGTTTTGATCCTCATGCGAACATCCCCATAGGGACCATAGTGCGAGCCTCTCGAGGACTAACCTTGAAACGATCGGGGTGGCCAGCTTCCGAAGTCCCGCCCCTATTTACTAGCCCCACGCCCCCGATGGAGATACTAGAGATCAAGCTCCTAAGCGCCTTCATTCTTCCCTCGTCAACTCATTTCAAAATTTGAGCTTCCTTTACCAGTTGATCCCCCGACTGAGGCAGCGTTACTAAACATTACCACCTTTTCAACGACCATGTCGTTTGTTCACACCACTCTGTACACTGCTTATACGCTGCTCACTCTCCCGGCACGTTTGTTGACATGGTGGTTGTACTATATCCCCAAGTCCAACCGTCCCAATCCGAACTGGTCCTGGAGGACAACTGTGACTCTTCAAGTGATCATCTTAGTGTTCCGATACCGAACAGCTATAAGGTACCGTACTCCTAAATCTTTGGAGCCAGGCCCAGATGGAGACCGGTTTATTGTGATGAACCCACAGTCGACCATCGCCGATGCCAACTTGAAAACTGAATCAGCGGTCTATCAAGGCACGCTGACCTCCGTGCCACTGGTCAAACCTGAGCCCATTGGCGCAGTCTGGTACCCAAATACACCTGCCCAGCCCCCCGCGCAGACTGATTATCCATTTCCACCCCAGTGCCTATGTGCTCTTTGGTCCACGACCTGGGGACGGAACCGGCTGGGGACCCACAACATTCAGTGAAAGCTCGGGATGGCCGATTCTTTCAGTTCAATATCGGCTCTCGCTGGATGCAGATAAAACCTTCCCCGCTGCCATCCAGGATGGAATCACAGCTTATATATACGCGCTAGAGACCCTCAAGATTCCCCCTTCCCAGATCGTGCTCTCTGGAGAGTCTGCGGGAGGCAATCTTATCTTGGCCATGCTACAATACATCACAGAGGAGAATCCTGCCATCCCTCTTCCTCGATGCGCTCTGTTGTGGTCGCCCTGGGTTGACATGACTCAACGCGCTCTCAATGATATGGTCAAACACCGTAACTATAATAGCGACTACATCAAACACGACCTTGGAGTATGGGCTGTAAGTAGCTATATTCCTCCTGGTTGGGCGGACGACCATCCATACTTGTCACCACTTGCAAGTGATCATGTCTTGAAATTGAGTATTCCGCTTTTCATCGAAGTAGGCACCTCGGAGGTGCTTTACGATGACATTGTGCAATTCGCCCTTAATATGAAAAAGAATGGCACGGAAGTGGAGTTACGTGAAGCTCTTCATGGTGTTCATTCGACTTTTGGAATTGCTGATAATTTGGGTATGCCCGAAGTTGCGATAGAGGGCCATAAACAAGCTGCCAAATTCATCGCGAGAGCGGGAGAAGAACTTGAATGAAAGAGCGCATGTATCTACCTCAGTCCAACGCAACCTGACGTTGAGTTATGCAATATGATCTTATACTAGTAGTCAAACCTTGCAACGAAACTTGTTCCGCCAATTCTGTACTGTGGGTGTGTCTTCGTCTTTAGGTCCATCATTCCCCACGATATTCCCGGCGATCCCGGCATTGATTGCCCTGCAAAAGTTTGTATGCCTAACAAATAGCTGAATTATATGAGAGAAAGCTTCAAGATATGGTTTTGGTTCGATCATTGACTCGAATGAGGTTTATCAGGCTAAATCATTCCTGTAAGCCTTATCTGAACATTCAGGCAATGTATTAAGGTTTGATACTTATAGTCCCTTTTCATACAACCATTTCCTCCGACCTCTTCCTTACATCAATCATAACAAAAAACCCCAGTGAGGATAAAAGAGGAATTTTCACAATTTCATGTATTCTACGCGTTCTCTATTACTGACCAGTCATAGAGCGCTAACCAATTTTGACTTGTTCCATTATGGTTACTTGCCTCCTTCCATGACATCATGTCTGCATAAATCACTTCCCCTCTCTTTCCCTTCACTCAAAGCCCAATTTTATTCTTACAAATCCCAGGTAATAAACTGAGACGGTTATCTGAGCTCTACAATATGGCCTCACATATGAAGCCACTCGTTTTACATGCTCACGCTCACGCGAGCGGGCCAAACCCAGTCAAGATCGCCATCGCATTGGAGGCACTGAAGGTGCCATATGTCGTGAAGCCATGGAATTTCGGCGATGACCCAGAGACAGGTGTCAAGGGCGCTGAATTTCTGAAAATCAACGAGAACGGTCGTGTCCCAGCACTTGAGGACCCAACTACAGGTGTTACTGCGTGGGAATCCGGGGCGTGTATGAATTATCTTCGCCGAGTCTATGACCCTGGCAACACTATCGGGCCTCCAGGCTCCTCTGCTCAAGACCTCGTCGATTTTGAGAAATGGGAATACTTCCTCTTGACAACCCTGGGTCCAATGACTGGCCAATTGAATTGGTTCAAGTGAGTACATGTCTCTGTCTGGAAATGAAATCTTTGTTGCTAACCTTTTAAGGCATTTCAATTCTCAGAGAAACGACAATGCTCAGCAGAGATATGTTGCCCAGACCTATCGCTGCTACGATGTCCTTGAAGGACAGTTGCAGAAGTCGGATGGAACAAGTATCCTGCCTACTCGGGTTACGACTGTCGATTTTCATTTCGAGCCTTGGGTCAGAGGGCACACATTTGCGGGTCTCTCCTTAGAGAACTATCCCATGATTCATAAATGGCTTGGTTTGATGGGAGCTCGTGAGGATGTCCAGGAGGCCTATGCAAAAATCCGTAATAGTACCAACATTGTAAAGTCAGCTTGAAGTCTCATTCCAAGGTTCTGATCGTATATATACTCAATGAAAAGTTACTTCGCATTCTTCGAGTTTGGAGGTATTTATGGATGCCATTGACTTTCGGTTTTATGTCACAGGTTTCACTTCCGAGTCGATCCCGTCAATAAATTCGCGGGGACAGTGACGAGATACTGTAAAATAGCCTTCCCCTCATGGGATCTGCCTGGCATTTTCCCACCTCGAACGTTCACCTGAATTGCCTGGTGCATCATTTGAGGTTCGCTAATGACATGATCTCTCTGATGTCTCCATTCAACAAAATCCTCTTCCTTAGATCCATTCTTCAAATGTTTATTAGTTTCCTTCTGCTCTTGAACAGTAACGAATGATAGAGGATTTCTTCCTGTCGCTTCATTGGAAGGAGGGTAATCGTGCCCAACATACAGCCGCGTCTCAGGCGGGAGATTCAATAATCCCTGCGAAGACTTCCATAAAGTCCTCGCATCTCCCCTGAAAAATCACAGCGTGCAGTTCCAACATCAGGATTGAAAAGACTATCCCCAACGAACACATTCGGTCCAATTTTGTATCCTCCGTGATCTGCCGTGTGGCCTGGTAGATACATCGCGACACCGGTTAACTCACCAACACGAAACGTCTCATCCGGGTGGAAAAGATGATCGAAGGAGTTTTCCAACTCTTCCTTGGGAATGTTGTATTTGTGAGCGAACATCTTCTGCACGATGGTCACGTTCTCGCCAGCGCAAATCGGTGCGTGTGGTTGGCCTCTTGCCCAAAGTGTAGACTGTATATAGTATGCCGCTGATAGGTGGTCCGCGTGGATGTGTGTTTCAAGGAGGTATGCAACGGCATATTCCTGCGTGGTAACGATGTCCAAAAGGGATTCGGCGGATTCGGTGGTGACTCTGAACTGCGCTAGGTCGAAGTCAAGGACAGGATCTATGATCACACAGGCCCTTGTTATGGGGCATGCTACGACATATTGCCAGGAGCATGTTGTTGGCTCGAATACCGGATGGATTATCGGGTCCATAGTAGCGGGGTGTGCAAGGTTGAATTAAGAGTAATTCATCTTTCTGTAAATAAGAATTGCCATTTGGTAGTTCCAAGGTTCCAATATTGTACGTTGCTCACATTACGTATTTATAGGTAAGCCGATCCATCCGAGTCCGCTCTTGCCCTTCTGGGACATCTGGACGTTTCAACTCCTCCAACTATAATTTCACGACACTCTAATGATATGACGCCAATTTGTGTCATTGGAAAATAACCTTCTCCAACTTAGCTCATCGACTTGAAACCTTGTACGTGCAACTTGAAATTACCATTGCAAAGAAGACCTAGAGGATGGTCGGATTTACTGAAAGCACTGAGCTTCCATGCAGGTTTCAATCTTCCAGTGACGGAACAGCACCAGGCAATAGAAGGAGACTCAATGACGAGAGAGTCACCCTGGCCATGATGCTCAACCCCTTTGCAATGTTTGGGATGCCCAATACCACCTTTTATGGCGCCCGGGCGAGAATGTAAACCTGCTCATCTCTAGATGTCGTTCGATGCGCTTCAACACAGCTTTTGATGACGCAGATCGTTAAGAAGCGATGTGGACTGCCCTTCTCTCTGGACTCACTGGTGAAGCCCACGAATTCGCAAACACCCTGGACGACGAAGTAATCGGCAATTTCGATCTGTTGGGCAAAGCCCTTGCGGACCGGTTTCCTTGCATCAAGCCACAGGAGGAAGGGTTCTCTGTGACTATGGCTCACATTCATACCTTGAAGCAGAACAACAAGACTCTCGACGAGTATTATCGGGAGGGTCAACGCGTTCGTGCCACCGTGAAGACTGAGCACTAATGGCTATCTAGCCACTGTGTGGAGTCGAGGGATTAAAGACCAGATCACGGCCAACTGTGTGCTTACCTACCTTCGCATACTGGCCAAGACCAAAGAAGATACCTTGGAAGCCGCTATGGATCATGCTTTATACATCCAAAACGTCCCGCGCCAGGGTTACGACAAGCCAGAGCCACAGTCGGACTATGCGAAGCTCGCCACAGCAATCGAGAGGATGACGTCGCTAATGGAAAGATGGGAACGCTTGGGTCTATGGGCTTAACGCAACATTGCAGCTGGACATATGAAGAGTCAATTCCAATGCTAGTTGGTTCATCTATAGTTAGGTTCGGGTTTCCAATGTTATGCAACATTATTTCCAGTATGGTAATACGAAATGAACTTGAATTTGCAAACTTGAAGGCGAGAAGTCTGTCGCGGTCTTCCAAGGCTAACCGTTGTCGAAGCACGACTGGCAACCAATACTAGTAAATCGTAAGTTCAGCAGTAGCACAAATGACATTCTGGTTATAGAATAATAGTTTCAGATCGAAACCATCTCATGTACAATGCAACAATTGTTGCTATCAAGTTAAAATACTAAGGATTGTTAAAAAGAAATTCTTCACTTCGTGGTAGATTATTACCGCCGCACATTCAATGCCTTGGTAAAGAAAAATAGGAAAAACAGGCTACTAGATGGTACTCATCCGTTGTACTTTTATCTTCCAATGAACTTGCAAGAGATTTGGAAAAGGAACCAATTTCTATCCTGGGGCAATGGCGAGCCAGGAAAAAAGCTCTAAGTGTCTCAAATCGAATCCCAAAAAAACCTCCTCTGTAGATACATAAAAGTAATTGCTCGGCATTTTGTCGTCTCTTAATTCTTTTTTTCACGCATACAGAGTGAGGACGAGGAAGGCCTCATCAGTAAGCGTGATTTGGACGTTTGAAAAATTGACCGGAGCACTGAGATTTGAGAACGCTTTAGTTGAAAAAAGCGGTGTTGGGCGATTGACTTTCGAAAGATTCAACGCTGATAGATGAATGGTTATCATCATCTCCATCGCTGTGGTCAGCAGGTGCAACCCATTGAGCAACATTGAGGTCAAGGGTGTGTGCACGCTGATTGAAGCGGCATTGCCAACTTTTGACAGCCTTACAATTAGGCTTCTGGCAAACATGACCCATGTAGCACTTCAGGGATCGGCAAGCCCCAGCCCGAGAGCAAGGGTGTTGCAAAAGTATGTACCGAAGTACATCGATGACAGTATTGGAGACATCTCCATGGTCATACTGACAGCTCATGTCACCACATTGGCCGGAGAGATGATAGCTGTTACAGACTTTGCGCTCTTTGGCACGTCGATGATAGGCGTCCATCGCGTCTGGGGATGGGTGAGGGCAATAGGTATCCAGACGATCGCCATCTTTATTGATGGGAATAAAATCCTCAGACTTCAGGCTGTGGGGCGGCAAGGTAGAAAAGAGGAATTCCTGTGAGCGACCCACTACCGGCGAAGCAGACCATAATTGTTTGGGCGATGGCGACTCCGGGTGGTCTGCTGGCCGAGAAAGCTGTTGATTTGGCATGACGTGCTGCTTGTTGCAGCCGTGGCCAAATTTGCAAATTCCCTAGGAAGGGTGTTAGAATATATTGGTCAAACAACCACACCGAAGACAGTTTACCTTTTGGAAATGCTTGCAGATCGGCTTATTGCCATTCACTGTATTGACGACGACCTTGGTATTGATGGTCTGAGCCGGCACAGTGGGCTTTGTGGTAGCTAGAGGTGTAGACATGAATACCGAGGGTAATTCCCTGATTGGTAGGCCGAGGTCTTCGAACTCTCGGTGGAATGAGGCCGACTTAATGAGAGTGATCCTGTCGCCTCTTCCGCGGTAGGGAGTGAGTAAAGATCCAAATCCAGAATCATGGCAACCTGCGAAATAGATGTGACGGCATTGGTTGAGATCCACAAACAATCGGAACATCTCTGTTATATCGGTTAGCATGACTAGAACATACTTCACTTCAGGTGTGGGACACTTGACATACCTCTGATTTTGAAGTCGCTTCCCTCTTTCTTTTCAGCGGCATCGACAAAATCAAAGAGATCCTGAGCTCGGGTAAAGGCTGAAGTAAATGGGGACAGCGAGCGAGCTTCATGTCCAACCAATCCAGCGCGAGCGAGGACTTTAGATAATCCGAGGATGTTGGCATAGACACGGACCATGATTCGACATTGATCTGCCTGCATTCCCATGGTTGAATGCATCAACTCCCTAACCGAGTCGCTTAATTCACGGGCGGCATTAATGCCACCCTCACTTCCAGCCTTTAAGAAATGTTCCTTGAACTAAATTGCATTGTTAGCTCCAATGGGGCCTGAAGAGATAAGTGGGTATTAAGCTCACAAGGTATCCATCTCCATCAACAAGCACTAGCACGAATGGGTTTCGGTCCTAGCCGTTACAGTCAGTGACTTTTCCTAGAACGTTTAGGCCGCCCGCTAGCTTACCTGACCCCGAGCCTGTCTCTTGTACTTCTCGCGGCCTTCCTTGACTTCCTCATAATCGCTTTTCAGGGAGCTGTAGTCTTCGAGCAAGTTTTTGAACTGATTCAGCAGGTCTTGCAAATTTTCATTGTGGCGTTGATTTTCTTGAGAGATTGATGCTAAGTGGGTGTTTAGGGAATCTATATCAGATTCCCTCAGCATCTTGAATGAGTGAACGGGAAGGCGGACGCCTGTCCCATAAAGAAGAAGAGGTCGAATGTCCCAATGTGCATGCAAATATGGATCAAGGAAAGGCTAGAGAAGCTTCAAAAATCTGCGAAAACCGATGAAGTGGGAATGTTGACGGGTGAGTGGGGGGAAAGTAACGGAAAACAAAGTTGGAGCTTGTGTTGGCAGAAGCGGTCAAACAGTGGGGTGACAACTGAGCTATCACCTGACTGGCTACTTACATGCAGCTTCGCATGCCCGACGTGGTCTCTCTCCTCTATTCAACCTATGATGATCTAGACCATCAGTTCTGAGTTTCAAATTATTTGTCAGATTTGCCTGCACTGCAATTCCAGGTCTCGTTGGAAACTCTTCGGCCCCGAAAGAATGACGGGATCTTTCGCAACACAACAAATTCCTCTCACGCGTGAGATGGATCGATTGAAGCTTACAACTACTCAAGTACCATGAATTCCGGCGTTTGCCGCCTTTGATACCATATTGGACTTGCCAGCTTTCGTTCAGACATTTTTTTCCCGCGATTTAAGTCAAAGCTGATTGTAGGAATCCTCTCCTCTTCCTCCTTCAACCGAACCGACATGTCACTTCTAGAGCCAGACATGAAGCAAAGACTCGATCCAGACTCCGGAACTCCATCTACTGCGAGCAATTTTACCTCCCGGTTTCCTTACAACGCGTTTGCATATCCATTTGGCGTCCATGTAAAGTGGATGGACGCCTGAACTTGTCAGACAATCAATACCCACGAGGCTGACGCGTTGATCGTGTCATGGTATCCTGAGCAGCATCGTCGCTGGCTTTTATGCTGGCACTTTGTCCTGTGTTAACTCGAAGGCGACAGTCATTTGCTCGGGACAAAGCCTGCACGGCATGAAAAACCAGTCGTCAGTGGCATTTGAAACTTCAGTTTTGACTTTATAAGTCAAGACGGTCCATCTTACCAGCCACACGTCGGCCCTTGCTTGATAGTGACACAGGCGGGCGCCACGCGATTAGATTCCGGGGATGTCAGGGGCGTACTCAGGTACCTCTGGACTGTGGCATCGATAGTTAACGGGTAACACAGATCCATGTCCCCATCTAGTACCGCTCTGGTGATATGTGGCGGCGGCGTGGCGCTCTACCCTATGCCATGTTTCCCTATGGTGGCTTTTAGACAATCCCATGAATCAAGGATATTCCTTCGAGTTGAACAATCGAAAGTGGATTGCAAGTGCAATACTATATAGTAACTGGAAGCCCTGGAGTCCAGATCTATACTAACTAGGTAGTATTACATCGTGACTGATGGGAACTTGGAATTGATGCATCTCTATAAGCTATACAATTATACTACAGGGCTGCTAACAGACAGAAGACAGTATCTATTTCAACTACATGTGCATTTGAAAAGAAAACCTCCGGATCTAATGTCACGGAATGGGCAAATTTTACTTGGGCATGATTTTAATCTAAATCTACTGGCTTTATTACACTAGTAAAACTAATGTCATATTTTCAAATTTATTTCATGTATGGTAGAGAAAGAAAATGAGTGTACTCGAGTTGACAAGCTCATAGTCGGTTCCTGGTTGTTGCTCCCTCAGGCTTCAAGTTAAGAGAGAGGTCGGCGCACATTCAAATACCGCCAGTAGCTTAGCTGGAAAGCTCCTAGGGTACACCTAGGCATGCCGCATGCCTGACTCGGAGGTACATATAGTCCTTAAGAACTTGAAAGTGTCGAGTCTGCTTTAATACTAGTTTTTTTAACATTTCCTTTTCTATTTGTACATTTACTTCACGAGTAGAGAATCCAATTATTCTCTCTTTTTGTACTCAGGATATTTCATTTGCCATCATCTTTTCTATAAAAAAAAAGAAATCGAAGTTCAAGTTCCTCTCACATGGCGATGCTTCGAGCATACTAGTAAACGGGTCTCGGGATCTAGGCCCTCCAGATGTCTAAATTTCTTTTCTTCTCTTCTTTTTTTCTGTTTCCTTACACGTTTAGGTAAACAACTGATCATCTAAATTGCTGCTTATCATCCACTAGCACAGTTTCGCGTCTCTTGGAATCTCACCCTGATCATATCTTGTTAAGTGAGTTGCACACGATCATCAATAGATGGTTACACAACTTATGGTCGTGAAACAATCCTCACCGACACACTTGAACATCTCAGGATATCGAACGTTGTTCATATCTGACGAGACAAATGAAATGCAGTATTCCGGAAATTATATCCCCTCCGTCACCAAAAGTGCGCGTTGTTCCCCATGGGGAATTGAGGTTCTACTGCTCCGAGCGGCTAGTCTCCATCTGGTATGCAGGATGCGCGATACGATGACTGGGAAGGTCGAACTCATGTGAAAAGGTCAATGATCGACAACCGATACATTTCTACTACGATCTGCATTAATTCTGGATTCAAACCTACCGTGGTTGTGCGGCTGCATAATTGCCTCGGTTGCGTGGAATCTCCACTTATGAATCGTCATTGATCTTCCGAGTATAAACAATCGGCCCCCCGGTACGACCTGACACTATTTCCTGAGAAAGTTTCATTCTTGGTGTTTCTTTCCCCACCGTAATCATGAGAGCCATCCTATTCTCGTTGAGCGCATCCGTGTTCTACATGATCTGGTATTTCTCTCACGCCAGCGGATTACATGATTTAGCACAGAAAGCTGTCGCATCGGGCAAGCTCCCTGGACTCGATGAGGCCCTGCGCACTGTCTATACCGGAGTTGAGCCTATCGACAAATTGCTCACACTCTTAACTGTGTTTTTCTACCCGGCTATGGACGGACAAGATTCGACACTTTTGCTCCATAGTATCGGATTCTCAGGCACCTTTGCAGCAGCTTGGACGCTGATTGTACTGGAGTCATGGAGAAAGGGAAACTCGGGCACTGTCGCAGCTTAGTATGTCATTATATGGAACCCTTCTTCCGCGATCAATTCCTGTAATTGGAATCGAAAGCTGACGCAGTACCTAGTCCAATGGTTTTCGGTCTTTTAGCGCAGGTCCTTACTTCGCCTTCGCGACTCCCTTGCTTTGCGCTCTCCAATTAGGATGCTCTGTCACTGTGCGCCGACCTCACGCAGATAATATCCGTGTCCCTCGCGCTGTGCTAGCTGTTATACCAACTGTCTTTGTGATCGGCTTCCTAGTCCCATCTAACTTGATGGTCCTTCCTGCCCCTGAAATCATCTCTGTGGATTGGAAACAGATTGCAATTTCGGCATGGCACCCATGGCCAGCATATGTGTCAATCCTTACAACAGTGTCGTACTATGTGATAGGCCCGCTGTTCTCGAATAATCACCGGGCCTCTATGTCCAGTCTGCGATGGGTGTATGCATCGGCATTTATTCATACAGCTGTCAGTCATTTGGCGACCCTGACTCTTTCCTTGACTACTGTTCTGGCACCTGCACTTCTCGAGGACAAATATATCGATGCTCTTCATCCCTCGAAGGTGTATTCTTTCCCTGTTCCTTGGTCTGGATTGAAAGTCAACACTGTACCAGAAGGCGTGCACGTATTCCTCCGCTGGGATTATATGATTGGTTCTGCGGGCATTCTACTCTGGGCCTTGAAGCTTCATATTGTCGCCCAGAGGCAGGTCGTGGGTGGTGTCTCTTGGGCGAGTCTTCTTTTCAAAATCGGAGTTTTGTCATTGTTTAGTGGACCGGCTGGTGCTGCGGTGGAATTAATGTGGGAGCGAGATGAATTGATCTTTCGTGAGACTGGGAGCTCCAGACAGGTCACTACAGCTAAGAAGTCATCCTAAGCTTCGGGTGTTGAAGTACTTCTACTTCAGTGGTCCAAGAAAATTGTTGAAACATTATGAAAACAAGATGAGCACGAATAACCTCAAAAACTCTATCCACAAATGTTGCTACATACAATATCTAGATTTCTGCTCTTTCATATTTCGGGAAATCGATTTAGTTCACAGAGTTTCAGAGAGCATCTGGTCCACGATATGATAGATCTCCTTCACATAAGCCTCGGTATTGTCGTTGCCTAAAGTTCCAATGGCGCACATATCATTCATGGCATAGCCGATAGTCATGCGGCGTTCACGATCCATGATAATAATAGAGCCACCCCAGCCACCCCAATAGCAGATATCACCCTCTGGAATCCACGAGCGAGTTCGTGAATCCGCCAGTGCCACACCAAGTCCAAAGCGAACATGTTCAAAGATAATCTGATCGATTCCATTGGTTTGCTCTTCGAAAAGCTTGTCAATGGTGCTGGGTTTCACCATAGGGATATTCTCTACGGTACCACCGAGTGAGACCATGGAGCCAATTCGAGCCAACCCACGTGCATTGCAGAATCCATTGCTTGCAGGGATAACGGCCTTTCTGAATCCCGATGTCGTTGTCAGTTCGGCTGGAAGAGGACTGCCGATAATCGCGCGAGTAGTAATGCTATTCGGATCGAGATTTTCGAACGGCAATGGCGGTGGGGGCAGAGTATCTACCGAATGTGACCATTGGTCCTCCGTCAATCCATAGGTGAAATCAGCGCCTAGGGGGCGAGTGATTTCCTCTGCGACAAACTGCTCTATCAGTTTCCCAGTCACTCGACGGATAGTCTCGCCGACAAGGTGACCCTGGGTTATAAGGTGATACCCACTTCCCTCGCCAGGGGTCCACCAAGGAGTCTGATTTGCAAGTCTCTCAGTGGCATCCTTCCAGTCGTAGACATCCTCGCTGGTGATAGGTGCCTCCCACGCTGGAAGTCCCGCCGCATGGCTGAGGACGTGTGACACTTTGATATTGTCCTTCCCATTGATAGCGAACTCTGGCCAGTATTTCGCGGCATTCTCATTGGGGTCTAGGAGACCGCGATCAATAAGAATCAAAGCTGCCAAATTTGTGATAACCTTGGAGCAAGACCAAACGGGAGCCACTGTGTCTTTTCCCCAGGGGCGCGTTTTTGCCTTGTCGGCATAACCACCCCATAAATCCAAAACACTCTTTCCATCTATGTCGACATAGAGAGAGGCTCCCAGTTCAGCGCCCGAAGAAAGGCGTTGATTCAGTAGATCGCGAACAGAATCGAATGCGGGGTCATATGTGCCATGGACCTCTGCCATTGTGGGTCTGCTGATGCTGGTGTTGGAATCGCAAAGGAATGAATGGTATATACCTTCTAATTGAACTGAGACAGGCCGGTCCAATGCTTTTATAGGGAGAAGTTGAAATAGGTAAGAGAATTCGAGATTAGGCGCCCATGATTTCATGTTTCAGGCAGAAAAGATCTTTCATATACTAGGACTATTCAGGGGTGGACTGCGATGATCCTCCGGCTAGTTCTTTCAAGTTTCTTTGTTCTACTACTAGTGTACTTGGATGGACTCAGGTGATCATTCGGAAGGGTGAGGTACTGTCCTTTAAAGCCCGAGGCGATATCGGGAATAATTCTACGTGCAGTGACGTGAATAAGTCTTTAGTTCTTGGTATCTCATCCTATTCAAAGCATTGACTCCAGAATAGTGAGAATTTTCCAGAGAAATGATACTGAGCTCATGGCCATAGCCAGACGAAGGGTTGGGACATTTCCAAGGTTGTCACTGCCTGACCTTAAGCCACATGTGCCTACACAAAAATGCCTCAGGCTGCACAAAGAAATACTGCACAGAAAAATATGCTTTTCTCATTTTACCCTTACACTGGTAGGCTTAATTAATGAGTTATTATGTGCCATATTAATTGAAACTGGCAGATTGTGGTTGCCCGGATCTACCGGCGGTTATAAGCTTCAATGACGCCGTAGACAATGGTTCAACCCCAAAAATGATATATGAGCACACCAAGTAATAAAAACCGAGATTTCCGGTCCTTCAAACTCCTATCGATGCAATTCTTGACTATTTCAACTTCAACTTCAATACTATAATATTTGAGCAAAGAACACAATATTACCTCCTGCAGATAACCATTGACTCCAGCTCACCATGGAGCCGTCCAGCTCCCCTGCCCATGAATCGAATAATTTAAGCCCAGATGACTCTGGAAGTGATGATCTCGGTACTATCGTTGCAGAAAGTAATCGCGCTTCGTCCGGATACGAGGCAGTCGGCGCAGAAACACTCAGTCGTCGACCTACAAACCTCAACGACGTCGAACTCGAGCGCATAAACACCTATCGACTACAGCATAAGTCCACCGTCGGATCCGGAATCGGCATTGTCCCCCGTGAAAAATGGCTTCCAATGGGCGCTGGAAAACCATACCCTCCCGATCTTCCCGATCCAGAGCAATTTGTGGTGGAATTCACGGGCGCCGATGATCCCTTGCATCCGCAAAACTGGTCCACGAATAAAAAAGTCACTATTGCAGTCGTACTGGCCTATACAACCTTTGTCGCGTCTTTCTCAAGTGCTATCTACTCCTCGGCTGTGACTGCTATTAGTCCCAGGTTTCACATTAGCACTGAAGTTGCAGCCCTTGGTATCACGCTCTATGTCTTGGGATTTGCTTCTGGACCTACCGTATGGGCACCTGCTAGTGAACTTATCGGGAGGAAATGGCCAATCACTATTGGGATCTTCGGGTTCTCGCTATTTACGGTCGCGACGGCCACGAGCAAGGACGTCCAGACACTTATGCTGACTCGTTTCTTTGCGGGCTTCTTTGCAGCGAGTCCCATTGCTATCGTACCTGCAGCCTATGCTGACATGTTCAATAACCAAACACGTGGTGTTGCTATCGCGATGTTTGCAATGGCGGTCTTTGTAGGGCCCTTTGCGTCTCCATTCATTGGGGGCTTTATTACTATGTCTTATCTTGGCTGGAGGTGGACCATGTATATCGCTAGTATCATGGGGTTCCTGGCAACTGGGCTTTGTCTCTTATTCTTTCCAGAAACATACGCTCCCGCCATTCTGGTTGAGAAGGCAGTCACTCTTCGAAGACAGACGCACAATTGGGGTATTCGTGCGAGACAAGAGCAGGTTGAACTTGATCTCAATGAACTAATAACAACTAATTTTAGCAGACCTTTTCGAATGCTTTTCACCGAACCAATTGTGTTTTTGGTGAGTTGCTCTATGATAAAATACGGAAGTTCCTTTCTAATCAACACTAGATATCGCTTTGGATGAGTTTTGTGTATGGCTTGATGTATGCCCTTCTGAGCGCATACCCAGTCGTATTTCAAGAAGTCCACGGCATGAACCTTGGAGTCGGCAGTCTTCCGTTCATCGGATTGATCATTGGCGAATTGCTAGCAGGTGCATATATCATGTTTGACCAAAGGTCCTATTCGAAGAAACTGGCTGCAAATAACAACATACCTGTTCCTGAATGGCGTCTTCCACCATGCATTCTGGGAGGAATATGCTTCACCCTTGGACTTTTCTGGTTTGGATGGACAGGTTGGACTAAGTCAATTCATTGGATGGCTCCGACAGCAAGTGGAGTGATGACTGGATTTGGGATCTATGTGATCTTCCTCCAGTGCTTCAACTATTTGATTGACTCATATTTGTCATTGTATGTCACCGTGAGATGACGAGATTTTGAGTTCCAGACTGCTAACAGTATATCCAGAGCCGCATCGGTATTTGCTGCTAACACCATCATTCGATCGGCTGTCGGGGCATCATTTCCACTTTTCTCAAAACAAATGTTTGTCAATTTGGGTGTTCAATGGGCTGGTACCCTTCTAGGCTGTCTTGCATTGATCATGGTCCCAATTCCCCTGGCATTTATGAGGTACGGGCCTTCTTTAAGACAGCGATCAAACTTCGCACCTGATACGAGTCGACGCCCTTCCGTAGCCGTTGAAAAAGATTCACGCTCAAGTGTATAAATAGATATTCTATAGTTTTTTGAGAGTTATTCTTATCTATACAGTCAATTAATTTGCATGCTGCATATCAAATGCATATCCGTTTTGCCGGCCCGATCGGCTTGTTCCGACTCCAGGTCTATCAGGTTGGACCCTGTAAATCCCCCCCATTGGACCCTGATAAATCAGCAGAGATGACATTACTTGGCATATTTGCAGTAAGATGCCTAGAATTCTGAGTGGATCATGCTTCTTGTGTGCTTCAACTTCAACATCGAGCATGATATTGTCACAACATTACCATAAGTTGCTTTTTCAATTCTACAGTAACTTCAGCTGTCAATTTTTAGTAAATTCACGTTGAAAAGACCCACCATAGGTTGCCGAGCGGAGGTCCATGGAAATTTATCAGTCGGCAACCAGCCAATTCCTCGGCAGCAAGACAACCCAACCGCCAAGGCTGCCAAGGGCCTCGGGGCGGAGGATAGGTAGAAATTCGACCAGTAGATGTGCGTCTAAGAGCCTTATCAGAAGAGATTTGTTGGCGGAGGGACCGGATGGAATTTTCTTTTCTTCGATGGGCACAGGGTGACTCTTCTCGAGCATTTAACTGCTTGACTAGGGCCTTCAATACAGTGTTCGACACCGACAGGACATAAATCTTGTCCGTGTTCAGTATAGACTTCTCAGGACTTGAACCTGTATATCTTGAAAGATGGGTTTCAAATCATGGATCCATGACACAAACCTACGGGTTGCCCGTAGCCCCGTGGGGAGATGGTTTCGCCTCGAGAACTCGGGCCATGTGAGTACATGCTCCTAGAAACACGAGATTCGAATTTTTGACAGAAATTCAAATAGCCCAAAGAACGGAAATGCAGTTTCTTCTTTACAGAACTGCGTGCAGGTCTAGCAACCTTTTTCGCAATGGCATATATCATCTCCGTCAACAGTAACATCACATCTGAGACAGGCGGAACATGTATCTGTCCAGCAGAGAGCATGGAAGATCACTGCGCCACGAATACCGAATATCTCCTCTGCGTGCAAGAAGTGAAACGTGACCTGGTAACCGCAACAGCCGCCATCGCCGCACTCTCTACGTTCTGCATGGGACTTTTCGCCAATCTTCCCATCGCACTTGCGCCCGGTATGGGACTGAATGCATATTTCGCGTATACGGTTGTAGGTGTACACGGTGCTGGTATGATCCCATATCGAGTCGCATTAACAGCCGTCTTCGTCGAAGGATGGGTATTCTTCGGATTGACGTTGATTGGTATGCGACAATGGCTAGCACGCGCACTTCCAGCATCGATAAAACTTGCGACTGGGTGTGGTATTGGATTATATCTCGCGTTGATTGGATTAACGTATAGTGCCGGTATTGGATTAGTGCAAGGTGCAACCGATACACCCATCGAATTGGCAGGATGTGTGAACGCGCCGCAGTATCTAGATCCCGACACGGGTCTTTGTTTGAATAGCGAGAAGATGCGAAGCGCGACTATGTGGGTCGGTATCTTTTGTGGGGGGGATTCTGACTGCGCTATTGATGATGTATCGCGTCAAGGGTGCAGTTATCATTGGAATCTTGCTCGTCTCTATAATCTCATGGCCTCGAACAACACCTGTGACATACTTCCCTTATACGGACCTCGGCACCAGTATGTTCGACTTCTTCAAGCAGGTCGTGACCTTTCATCCTATCAAGCATTTGCTGGTTGCGCAGGATTGGGATATATCTGGACACGGAAGCCAGTTCGGACTCGCATTCATCACCTTTTTGTATGTTGATATCTTGGATACAACGGGTACCATGTACTCGATGGCTCGGTTTGCCGGTGCGATTGACGAGCGCACACAAGACTTTGAAGGAAGCGCTGCTGCCTATGTGAGTGAACCATCCCCATCCAAATCAGTTCTTGCCCAAAGCTAACGCCTCCCAGATGGTTGACGCAATTTCCATATCGATCGGTTCTCTACTTGGAAGTCCACCCGTAACAGCCTTCGTGGAATCAGGAGCCGGAATCTCAGAAGGAGGGAAAACAGGCCTCACTTCCTGTATGACAGGGATTGCATTTTTCATCTCAGTTTTCTTCGCACCGATATTTGCTTCGATTCCGCCTTGGGCAACGGGATGCACACTCGTAATTGTGGGCGCTTTGATGGCTAAGGCAGCGGCAGATATTAACTGGCGGTATTACGGTGATGCTATTCCGGCGTTCTTGACGATTGCGATTATGCCATTCACGTATAGTATTGCGTATGGACTTATTGCCGGTATTCTGAGCTATACTATACTCAACGGAACGGCTTGGATTCTTGAAAAGGCTAGTGGCGGTCGCATTGTTCCTCCTAATAGGGATGAGTCGGATCCGTGGTCGTGGAAGGTTCCTGGGGGTATGTTTCCGCCGTGGGTGAAGCGTGCTGCTAAGGGTCAGAAGGATTTTTGGAGAAGGGATGAAGAGAATCTCGGGTCTGATTCACCCGAATCTCTTGCTTCCGTACAGCAGGATCATCTGACCATCGGAAAGCGTGAGTCAAATATAAATCTATAGTGGGTCCTATGAGGTGGGATATCGTAAGGATTTCATCATGATGTAATTGTTTTCATTGAGCATTATAGTAATTTTGATACTACAGATTGGTTCAAATAGTATAAACAGACGCAAGCTTCAATGATCTTACTGGCATTCAGGCCACTCCATGTTTTTAAAGCCATTTTCATTCATCAGGTATCAGTACTAGTAAGCAAAGCAAGGGAATATGGAAGTTAATAGACGTGTCCATGCTCGTTGTTACTAAAAATCAGTAGCCAGTACTTGGTTTATTGAGCTGGGTGAGACGATAAAGATATGGCCAGAGTCGATTTTCAATTCTTGCTCGAATATCAGATCTGGTCTCAAGCCTGGCATCATAATATGCAGGTGACGTGGATGCCAACAAGTTACTCCGTAAGGAATCTGCTTATAATGTCCCTAATTGGTTAATAAAATCGATTAACAGGCTAAAACACCACAAAGCTAATATCAAGCCTGGTGTGAAATGGCTGCAGGGAAGTGACGAGTCTGACAACAGCCAGACCGATCAAACCACCATGCGTAAATGTGCTCACGCCTTGGGAAGACGGATATTCAGTAAGTGTGGGTCAGCAAACTCTGCAATCGGGTCATCCGAGAGCTGATAGGGGCCTCGGCAGAGGCCGTGGGATCCGAAAACACAGGAGACCGGAATGGAGAACCAAAATAGAGAGGAATGGAGAAGAGCAAACTGTGATTCCCACGTAATATCAATGGGGAGCCCGGGGAAAGATCCCGAAACTCCAGACCACTCCTCCAGCGACTTGCTGTTTATGGTTTAGCAAGCGGGCCATTGACTGGTTCAGAAACGGAAGACGCAGAATGGGAGGCGAAGATCCGGCAACGGGCCAATCGGATGTGCATTAATGCTGCTCGAGAAAGCGGTCGAATAATCGACATGTATCGGGATGAGTGGAGTTTCGATCGAATGCCCCCTATCAATGTTCACCGTATCACAGTTTCAATGTTTACACTGCTGCAAGACATGGAGGAGGCTGCGAGTCGAGAAGCATTTGTGAGCTTGAGTGTGGCTGCTAAGGGGTTTGCCAATCGTTGGCCGCTGGGAAAAGCAATGCTACGGTTAGTCCAGGTCACAGCAAAACAGATGGAAGTCAAACTTCCTCAGGAGACGGATGCTCTATTTACCGATTTTGAGAGAAGAATCTGGAGCCCAGAGGATCGCAAAACTCTGAGTAGCCAATACCCCAACTTTGCCCATTCCATGAAACGCGGTCAGATCGATGAGGTCGAGATGGATGCATTCCTAGCCAGGTTTGATGATTTGTATATCGAGGAGGAGAGATCGGAATCATCTCTTGCAGGATCTGATGATGAAACAGAGGACTCCGGCTCAAGGAAGGATCTGGAAATCGGAATTGCGACGTCAAGTGGGACTGAACAGGAGGAGGGATGAGAAAAGACTGGTTCCCATTGCCGAAATAGGCTTGCTCATAGTTCCCCCATGAGAACACCACATAGGTCTTCAAAACAGAGTTGCATATCAGTGGCTCTAATCAACCGACATTACCTGAGTTTATGAGAGGGGAATTTGTTGTGTGATGTAGCTTTGGGCAAGGGTAAATTCAGTGGTAAATACGGAACGCCACATACGGCGACCATACAAGAACTATGGGGCCTCCGGAAGTGTTTTCCACCAAGATAACAACCTTGGATTGATTCATGTCCTCAAACATGGCCAAGATAGCTCTGTGCGAGCAGCGAGAGACGACTTCAGACACGCACCAGACTGAAATCGATCTCAGAAGCACCAAGCGACATCAATATACGGGTGGCATATCTCAAAGCATCAGTTTCATGGGGAGTGGAGATCATGCGATGAAAGATGCTTGTTCTGTGTAAGAAAATTCTTCATTACTCCTGATTGATATCAGCTGCATAAGGCTATGCCTTCAGGCCGACAAAGAACAAAAGAAATATCACTGAATCCAACAAAGGCATCATCATTTGCCTTCTGCAGTGGCACACAACGCCGAGCCCACAATCAACAAAGAAATACTGTGAAGGGTATCTTGCCCGAACATGAAAAGCAAAATTTTGACTGCAACTCTCAACCGTTGCTCGGCAAGTTACCGGATCTGAAGAAATGCTTTGCATGTCTCCGTCGTCAACGTGGAGCCATCATCCACACTTGGAGGCACAGAAGCCTTTCCCAACTTAGTCCTCTGTGGTCTCGAACTGCTGCTTCTCAGCCTGCTTTCGTAGCACCCAACGGTAGATGAAAAGCGAGACAATTCCCAATGCGACGAGGAAGGCAATGCAAAAGACGAGAATCACACCGGGGTTTCGGCTTGCAAAGTTCTTTCTTTTTGCCAGAACATTAAGGCGTGCGTTGGCGTCTTGGAACGAATCGATGAACTTGGTGGGCGCCATTTTGATGCGATGAATCCACCAGTAGGGATTTTGAAAGACGAATGGGGTATGGCGACAGCTAGCACCGAGGTTAGCCCAATTCCAGTTTGGGACACCACTGTCTAGGTGGCTATCCAATGTTAAAATAGGTAGAACAACCTACCAAAGGACCTTTTTTGAGACCGGACAGTCAAGTCGCGTGAACGCCGATTCAGCGTTGGTCTAACTTGAGAAAGGATTGTTATCAGAATCTCATGTCGCGACGCGTAGGTGGAAAATCGCGTTGCGGGGTATTTTCAAGTGTGTTCAGCAAGTGCGATATGCAAGAACGATTCCAGAAATCATGGAACTGTTTCACAGGCACGAGTGCCAGATATGAGCAAGATGGGGAAGGTACGTACCTGAGTATCTTTGTCACACAGAACAGTGTTGGGAGTGAAGATGGAGATAGAAATCGATATGGAGATCGAACTGACGTATTGTTGGGAGACGAAGGCAGAATACCTATGGTAGGAAGACTCGATGTTTATCGCGGCAGTTGCCTGGTTCTACCTCAAGAGTCACTCCAAACGTTAATCTTCAGGCGATATTTGTTGGACGGCAATTGAACCTTCGGCATCAGTCGGACCAGCAGTACCATCAATGATGCCCACCAGGATTCATTACCAACTCTACTATGTCTCTTTCTGTTCCTGAAAATCAGCTGAATAGTTAATTTCATTGGTGGCCATAGACGATTCAACCATGGATGATTATTATTCACAAAGGTACCAGGCCAGTCAAAGACGTCAGAACGGGTAGCCCACTCTATACTAGTACAAGCTTTCCCCCAATATCTGCAGCTTTAATCCTTAATATGTTTATCGCTTCAAGACGCATGGCTGATTTCTTTGTTTTTTAGATGAATTTGAAGCACTTGTGTAGGATGCGACCGAGTTTTGGGAAAATACAACATCTCATTCCGCCCGAATGCGTCATCAGAATCAACACAGTGCATTTCTTATATAGCTTCATTATAACCCGGTCGGGAAATTCCTTGCATTAAGTAAGAGTACTTTTAATATCGTTTTATCCTATCATTTCAAAAAGCCGACCGTGGCGTCTTGAATTTTTTTGGCCTGGTAATCGTGAATCAAGCATAGACCTAGCCAACCTCTTCTTTCACTACAGACATCTTTTACTACAATCCAGGGGTGAATAGAAGTTAACCATTCAAGTTCGCCTATAAACAGATACACATAATAGTCTTATAAATTAGCCGATTATACCGATTGATAGCTCTCCACAGAGCTAACTCTGTTGCTAGTATAACGCCGCACGAAGCACGGTGTTAGGACTTGTGCGTCCATTCAAAACCAAATATTTGGAAAGAACACAACTTGAAGCAGTGTTATCTCTCACTAGCAGCTGCATAGGCCTCTTCAACGGAGACCTTCGAACATCTTCAAGATTTCCTGGATCGAAATTAAGGTTCTCTTACGACTTGCTAGGCCACTAGATATAAACCAACTTTGATCAGAGAGTAAGTTCATCAAGCCCAGCCATAGAGACTGCCAGTTCAAGGAATCATGATCCTCCTCTTTTATTAGATCCATCTCAAACAAGAAATAACGATAGGGCTGTAGTCGGCATCGCCAAAAAGACTCCGAAATATCAAGTTTAAAGACAAGTAACACATTACGCATATCCTACACATCGAACTCGGTGAACTCAATAGGGCAGATAATGTCCAGTACCAGGAGGCATATCTTAAGTGGGAATGGAAGTGTTTTGAGGCGAGAGCATGACGAATTCAGCCTTTGTGTCCGAGCCAAGTCGATCACATTCTGAACTTCTGGTACAAGCCAAGAGCCACGGTGGATATCACAACCAAAGGCGTATTTTTCGTATTTCGCGTATACAACATTATTGAGCTGGGGTGCCTGGAAGAAGGCATCCATGTCAAACAAATTCCATGTCCGAAGTGCTTTTTCTGGTTGCATGTATGTATGCTCATGCCAATAATGTCTCGCAGACTGGAGAAAGATACCAAGCTCCTGCTTAGTTACTGGTTTTCCTAGAAGATGGCCAAAGATTTTCCAGCACTGCGCATGAAAAACATACCCAAAATTAATATCATCATTTTTCTGTGCTTGTCTTGATGCTGCAGGCCAAAATTGTATGAGCTGGGCGTCATTGCGCTGGGGCTTATCTGCTGAACCACAAATTCGAGCAATATTTTTATCTCTTGGAATGAAATTAGGCACTAAGCCAAGACGATGCGGAAGTGAACCAATTCCAGTGAGATGCCAATTTGAGGAAGACGAAAAGTTGACCACTAGGTTATTTCAAATATTAGCTCATACACATACGTGTAAAGATGATCTGGAGTCATCCAAGTCCCTGCAAAACACCTGGGCAGATATGCAGAGACCATGGCTTGGGCTTACCTGCTCGATAGTAGCAGGATGCTAACCAGGGAAGTTCCACGAAATCTGCATTCTCAACTTCATCCGATGGCACGAAGACATGCTTGGAGGCTGACTTCTTTTTGAGATACTGAAAGGCAGGCTCTTGGAGAACATCCCTTGATGCTTCAGAGAATGTTGCGCCCTCTGTCTGGATTACTCGTACGCCGCAGAGAATGCATGGTTCTCTCTCGTTCACCTCCCTCACTGTATTTTGTATGAGTCTGGGCGACACGTTGGAGCTAATTAGAACGAAGTCGGCTCAAGCCTTTAGGTTAAGTGATAGGCAATATATTGATTCCGGAACAAAAATTTGAACCGAGTGAGATGCCAGATAGTAGCGAAAGAATGACTTTGGAACCTACAAAAGTAGTTTCAAATAAAGGTTGAGAAAGCATTTGAGTGACGTAACCTTGAAGCTCGAATGCATCCAGATGTATCATGTCAGTGTGAGGTCTATATTCAACTCCGAGTCAGAACTTTATTTTCTCTCACTTTTGAAGGGTTGGGTAATAGTCAGCATTTTTGACTCACCGGTGATATTCTCGATACAGTTTATATGAATGTTTCCGAGTCATACACGTTCTCTGGAAATCGGTAGCCGTTTTAAGTGAACTTGGATAAGGCTTAACCATGGAGACTCATCTCTGAGTGTGAACGTGAGCTTGCGTTGAGATGTAAATCGAGAAACGGTATGAATGATACGTATCAACCTTGGAACTCTTCATGAATTAGGTGTTACAGAACTCAGAGCCAGATCCTCAGATCTTCGCACCTGTATTATGAAATTTCATCCTCTGAATCACATCTATGCCCAGGTGTTGAGGCTTCTGGGAGCTCCACTGATCACCTTTGGTCGCCTCATTCTAAGAGTAATGAAGGGTCACTCGAGGAAAGTTGTGAACTAAATAATGAAAATTTCATATCGCCCAGGTATCCGGCTATTCCTCCAGAGGTAGTGTGCCTTGACACAGAATCCGAATAGACCCAGATCGCGTGCGCATCCATCTAGTGGAAGGCCTTTAACACTAGTATGGACTGACTATACCTACTAACATCTCCATGTCTTCCAAGGTTTACAAATATTAAGTGGGGCCGGTGACATGAAAGATAATATGAAAAAATGAAAATAGCAAAAAGAAATGCTCACATCCGGATTTGAACCGGAGACTTCATGATTGACTTGACATATCTTTTTTAAAGGATACCTGGGTCGTACTAGTCATGCGCTCTACCAACTGAGCTATGCGAGCTATATGAAACAAAACCACACATTTGATATGATAGTCCAAATGTTTTATTAGCGTGTATCGAGGGTTTTGGTTGAAACCTTGGAAGTGTTTCGCTTTGTCTTGACTACGGAGTAGACCTTTGCAAATGGGTCTCCCGCAGCAAAATCTTTGTCCCGCATACCGTCCCGCAAAATCCCGTCCCATCACAAGCGGGATTTCCTGGGATTTCCTGGGATTTTGCGGGAGTCCCAATGGGACGGGATCCTGACCCATTTGCAAAGGTCTAGTCTTGACTGTCGGCTCCTATCCAAATCTTTTCAAGCGTAAATTACTGCCCAGGTGACTCTGCCATGCCTTTTTTTCACGTGATCCTTGAATTCTTTTCCAAGGATTTCCCTGTCTTGAAATCACTGTCTCACGGCCTTGGGGAATGTCAGAAGGGATGGAGGACGTGATGGAAGAGATGTGTGCATGTGTGTGATATTTGTAAGAGAGAGGGAAGGTGATATCTATAGGGTTACCTACATGGTTAGCTGGAGGTTTATCTGGAAGGGAAGATTAGTAGCTGTTATATTGTTGGATATAGGCAACTAGTAGCCCGAGGGATAAGCTGCACATGTGTAGGTTCTCAGGTGCTCCTCAGATATCATTACAGGCAGTAAAAGTGCAGGACCCTACCTAAGTAGTAAAAGAGCTCTACTCTAGGATCTAAAGCCCCCGGGGCCTGCCCAGGTGGGTTTATCACGTATCCCTTCACTTATTAAGTAAGCTGACTCTATGGACCTATTCATGCGAATCACGCCCATACGGTTGTTCAGCTGTCACTCATGAGTAATAACTTAATTCACAGTAAGGTAGTCTCCGATACACTTTTCTTTTTAAGCTCGGCCTCTCGTATTCGGGCGAGGTGCGCCAATAACAAGCCACAGAACGCCGCCCAGAGCCCTGCCAAGAAAATATAACTTTCCAAATGCTGAAATATAGTACAGATGAGAATGATGATCACAATTAACTACTGCGAGCCAAGACTATATGCACCTGTCCCATCTCTCTTCTCACCTACTGTAACATTGAAGAGTCAGTTTGGATTAAACTCAGGGTCCAACCACCCGTTGATCAATTCCTCTTAATAGTAGTGATCGACATATCAAAGAGATCCAAAGCGTAGCATACTCATCTTGGCTCTTGCCCAATGTAGCCTTTATTTAGAAGCGAGGCTCAGTGGAATACGAGATTCTGTATCGCATATTAGTCCGAGTTCTTGTGAAAGTCATGGCAGCCATGGGAGTCTTGGGATATAGGCACAGGGCCCGCACATTACCTTTTCTCAGTCCCATCATTCATTCCCAGGTTCTTCTTCTCTTGCATTCAAGTCAACTCGCCATAATGAAACGACTTTTGTACATCTCTACTGCTTTTCTGATACCCCTCGTACATGGGTGGACTTTTCTGTACACGAATTCCTCCGGCCAATCGACAATTCTGGAAGAAACCGGCAAATTGAACTGCACCAAAATTCAACTAGCAGAAGACAAGTTGTTTACTTGGGATCCCAAGAAGAGAGATCTCTGTATCTCGATATACTACGATGAATCCTGCGATAACAGAGGAGGAATTTCATGTCCCTTTTGGAAGAAGAACGCAAGCACCAATTTTGGTAGCATCGCCGTTTTCACAAATAATGAAGCCGCAAGTGCCTCAGTATCGACCATGACCATGACATCAACAGCCTCAACTTCCAGCAGCAGTTCCAGCTCCACCACCGATTTATCCAATTCCACTACTTCTGTCGTCTCTTTCACCTCTCCCGTTACCCCGACCTCATCAACCGCCGCACCTGCAGCTGCAAGCGATGGGACAAGTTCAACGAAATCTGATTCTGGCTTATCGGGAGGCGCCATAGCTGGTATTGTGATTGGCGCTATTGCCGGTGTCCTAATAATTGCTGCGTTGTCCTTTTTCTTCCGTCGAAGGAATCGAAAGAACGCCACTCTGGCAAACCAGCAAAGTGGCTCTATGCCTCAAGCTCCGTATGGCCGTCCGATTCCGGGTACAGCGACATCTTTCGCGGCTACATCACCCTCCACAACCCATCCTGCTGAAAAGGAGTCCTTTTCGTCGAGCGGTATCCCAACCCGCCCCCCGCCTGGGTCTACTATGTCTGAATTATCTGGGCACACTCGACCGGTTGAGTTGGTTAATACTCCGATCAGTGAGCTGGATGCCCAACCACAACAAAAGATATCTTATCCTCGACCGCTGAACTGAACGGGGGTTTCAAGATTTTCATTTGGAGCTGAAATATTGCGCGAATAATATATTGGAGTTTTTGATGTTGGGGGTCTTGTTTTGCATCATGATATACTTTAACTCGAGTGCTGATTTCACATATTTCTCTGTGAGGCCGGGGACCTTTCGATTATCTGCAACTGTCACGGTGGGCTTATATAAAATAAGTCAAAATTGAAGAGGCTCACAATCACTCATCAATTCATCCCAAAAGTCATCACCAAGCATAAAGTCTTTGAAAAGGTCAAAGTTTGGTGATACAGCCTGCAGGCCAGATGGAGAAAGCCCGGGTCTAGTATTCTGCCACCATTTTTGGATAAATTTAATTTCCCCCATGGATCGACAAATGATAAAATTATCCTGGCCTGACAGCCAACCTGCATAGTCATTGGTATCCTTTAGAAATTGTATAAGTTTCTCAATGAATGCACCGAAGTCATATGTATCTCGGGCCATCTGTGGATCCCAGCCTTCACATTGCAGGTTAGAGAGTCGGGCAAATATAAGGATGACGTGTGTTGATTGATCCAATCAAGAGTATGGTATTCTGGACACCTCTTCTGGGAGCAGTTGGAAGAAGGTTTCGAAGAAGGCTTTGATATTTTGAAGAAGATTCCAGAGCACGTCGATTCTCTCATTTGTTGATGATGGGAGGTTCCAGAATGAATGGTTTAGCCCATTCTCATGAATCAGGATCTCAACGGCATAGCGTTGGATAAGAAGAAGTTCTGCGAAGACATGTCAATCACTAGCAATTGAATGTAAGGGGCACGACGCAAGCTTACTATTATTCTCCACATCCACGGGGGAACTGATAGATTGTGCGCGGAATTCCTTGCGCAAGGTCTTCAAGTGGAGTGCAACAAGAGCGTGCTGGAATCGTCGGGCTCATCTGAACGCATTGGTTCGGCGACCCTTTCCGCGAATTGTTGGGTATGAATCATTCGAGCTAGTAACATATCTCCTTCACATTTATTGGAAGCCAGAAGTGCCTGTAGCTGTTGGTCCGTATAATTCGAGTACTTGAGTGCGGGGATTCTTCGAAACGTCGCGGAGGCTCTGTCTTGTTTAGCGGTGGTCAGAGGTCAAGGGGTAACGGAGGACAAACATTGACGATACAAAAAAGCAACCAAGAAGAGCTCGCCTTTCATCGCTCGTCAGTACTCTGGATTTTGCCAGACATTCTTTGGCGTTCTGAGGCTATCGAACATAAGTTTCCTTCGATCAATCCCATGGGTCGGCTTGTTGAAGCCTAAATCGGCGAGGAGTGCGATTGCCAGCTGAAGGAGGTTGGTCATTTGAGAAACAGAACCTAGGTGAAGATGGTACCTTAATTTAGCCAGCAAAGTTAGTATTTCCCTACACTTAATTTTTTGGCATGTTGTACAAGTACCGTGACGTACCAAGCGATATGTATGAGAAGCCCTTGCAGTACATCCAATGAACGTTCTTCGTCCACTAGCAAGCGTTTACAACTTCTTCCGTCAATTTAGTCCCAAATTGATGCTGAAATGAGCGGTCTTTATAGGAAGTAACCATAGCCATGGCTTTGAAGAGGAATGGCCTTTCGGCATACAGCTTTGCGGGCGGGATATCTGGAATGGCAACAAATGGGAAGTGTGGAGCCATCTCAGCTCGATAACGGACAACACAGGAGCCCATGTCATTCTCACTGACTTGCAAAGGCTGCATATGTGATCGGTAGGGATCATTATTCAACAGCATTGAGCTAGTCGGGAGCATAACATCTCTTCCATGCTCACTCGACGAGCCCGGGGACGGCTCCTGGCTAACGGCCTGGCCCACATGAAATGGGTCTGACGGGTGGGTCTGTTGTTGTTGTTGTTGTTGTTTTATCTCCAGTTCTTTCATCAGGCTTTCAACTTTATGCTCAAGCCGTGCGAAGCGTCTAGTGCATAGCATTAGTGTGGGAACCCCCACGAATCAAATGAGGGCTACATACGACCTCGGCAGTGGCGCTCGGCGCTCACCTAGCAGCTGCGAAAAACAATCCTTATTCAATTTCGCGCACCTTGAATCATGTCAGTGTTTAATGATTGGTTACCGCATATTAATTCCGATGCTGCGTAGCATCTAGGCCAACGCTTCACTCCTGGTCATCGGGGACACCCACCGTTCACAAGGAACTCCTGATACGCTATTAGCACATTTTACTTTGGCCTTGGCGCATGGGCGACATGCTGTAGCCTGAGACCTGGAGTTTCTGGCTTGAGGAACCGTTGTTTGTCCGTACATTCTTGCGTTCCTAGGATAGCCTTGGCCCTTGCGCGCTCAGACGCTGCCCAGGTGGACAGCTGAGGAAATAGAAGTGGATCATCGGAAGCTACGGAGATCGGGCGCGGAGCCGGAACAACTTCATGCACATTTGTCGATTATTCAATGATCTTATTGGATTTCTTCCCTGATTTTATGCACAAACAATTAGATATATTACTAGTACTATTCTTTTCTAAAGAGATTTCATCGCACTGGAAGAACTTTCTAGATTGGTCTAAAGTGAGTGCCAAGTGGAGATGTTTGTTCGGTTTGCAATATAGATGCAAACAAATCAAAACAAACAGCACCCAACTGGTCAATCATAGGCCGTTTCATCTTATCATTTTATACTTTCATCTTATCATTTTATACTTCTATTATGCCTTCAATTAAGTGGCTCAATTCTTGTTCATAGCTTTGAATGTTGGGATTGAAACTGTGAGTCACTGGATTCCAATGAGGTTCCTGAAAACAAAATATAATTTCAACGTGACGTTCAACTTGAAGTTGGATTCGGAGAAATAAAATAAGACTGCCGGTTTCCGATTAATATAGATCCATTTAAGTTCAAGTTTCACCTCGAACTTGTGATTTCATAACACAGAAACTTAGTTAACTGACTAATAATTGAGATCAATAATAACGTAATCCACAAGCGAGTCGGACACCTTACCCCATTAGAAATCTCTAAATTCAAATATTTCAACCCAACACGAATAAATTCAGTTATAAATACGATTTTTACATACATTAATCCGATGGCCAACCTCTCGACACCCACTACACCTTGGTGGAGCCTTAGGACGTGGCTGACTAGGCTGATTAGGCGTGTCAGCCTGTGTGTCTGGTCCGATACCAGCAGCTCTATCCATCGATTCTAGCTGCCGGGCTAGCTGTAAGCCCTCTTCGACTGTTAGGTCCTGATCACATAGTATTTGCCTAGCTGATCGACTGTTCTCCTGCCGTTTCTTCTTACTAGCACGTAAATTGGCGTTTTCTTGTGCTAGTAACGCAGTATTCTGTAGCGCTATACAGTGGCCCTTGATAATTTGATCTAATATCAATTTCGATGGGCTTGGAGGGCTGTTTGATCGCTGTTTGAGAAGATCTTCAAGCATTGAAGCTTGTTTCTGTAGCTGAACCACAATGCTAGGTGTTTGGGGTGTAAATTCACTAGATCTGCGGCTTGGTCGGCTAGCTGGTGGTGTAGGTGTTCGAAGAGAAATATTCAGCTTAGAAAGCACCCTTTCTGCATCAATTGGCACTAATCCAGTAGCTAGAAAGCTGTTCTGAATAGTAGTAGGTTGAAAAGCTTCAAACCGGGCGCGTTGATAATCAGCTAAGAAATCAAGCTTGTCGATATGGTTATAGCCTGTACGCGCGAGATCACTTATAAAGCGACCATAGGCACGTTTTAATACCGCAAAACAGCCAACATCTAATGGCTGTAATAGATGTGATGAATGTGCAGGCATACAGAGTGGGATAATATTGTTTTCAGTGCAGATTCGGTCAAATTGGGGTGTAAGGTGACTTCCATGGCCATCAAGAATCAATAGCCGAAATCGACCACGGACACGTGAATTTGTTGATGGGATAAATAGCTTTTCTAGCCAACGTAGGCCAATCTCATCAGTAGTCCAACCATTATTTGAGACCTCAAATCGCCAGTCTTGTGGTAAGCCATCAAACCAGCTTGCTATAGCAACCTTGGCTTTGAAAATCACACATGGTGGAAGTAAATAGCCATCTGCACAGATTGATTCAATTACAGTAACCCATTCACGGTTTCCAGGCTGTAAGATAGCTCGCCGACCGTAGTATTCTTGCCGAGTAACAACCTTTTGTGCTGAAATAAGGCCCATTGCAAAGCCTGTCTCATTGAAGTTATAAATATCCTCTGGTTGGATACCATTCTCATCAATAACACACTGTACGGTGGTAAACCACTCTCGTAGGGACTTAGGGTCTTCGTTTAGGGCACGTTGGTAATCATAACGTCTTGAGAAGCGTGTACGGAGCTCATCATGACGTTTAACAAAATTTGAAGACCAATTAACACCAACAGTAGGTGGAGGGTAGTGACCACGTGCAGCCAGGAGAATATTAGCCATTTCTCTTATAGTAGATAGCCTAGGCGCTGCACCACGCATATCCATAGAGATCACCCACTCAGTAAGCGAATCCTCTTCTAGCTGAGTCAATTTATGGCTGTTTGGGCGCTTATCAACGCGTGCTTGGGTGCCATTCACGCGATCGGCTAAGGTTGAGCGTGGTATTTCGTATAGCTTCGCTGCAGCGCGAATAGAATCAATTCGGCCATTTTGAATATCGTCAAGGGCTAATAAGATCTTGCCCTCTTGATTGGCATTGTTTTTGGCCGAAATATTGCGAATTGGTGGCATGGTGGGTGTTTGAATAAGGTAGGGTGGTATAAAGACGCGATTTTTGGTGGGGTGTCCGACTCGCTTGTGTGTCCGGCTCGCTTGTGGATTACGTTATCATATAACTAGTAGTTACGGATTACTAGTCAAATACTATGCCTATTTGTCACGTGCAAACATACCCTTTGTGGGAGCTATGATATTACTCCAACGGCTCACTCTGATATCAGTATCACATTTGAATCAGAGAGCTATCATATTATTATCCCAAATGTTCTAATTTCTGTTTCAAACATCTAGACTGACGCTTTCATGGTCAAATTCCTTCCCAGGTGGGTGTTGTAAGGGTCAGTTATTCCTATTATTACCAATTATTACTACTAATTCAACATACCGCGGTAACTTGGCAGTGGCGTTCTCATCTCCCAATATAGCCAATGGTGAGTTCTGCCAAGGATATGAGGAATTTAAAATGGCGGGTGACTTGAAGACACTCCGAGGAGATCGGTCGGATACGAAGTTTGGGAGTTGAAGCTCGTTGAGAGCATCATGCGGTGGTCATTATTTTTAGTCTTAGGTTAACTCGCACTCAACAGTCGATAGACCTGACTTTGTAGAATGGACCATCTAGGATCCCCCGAATCTATTCCAATTTTCCAAGTTATTGTTTTATGTATTATGAAGTGCATATTGAATGTCTGATCAGATGCAACCAAGCAATTTGAAGCACTGTACCGGTGAGATGAACCCGGAACAACAGGGATAGTGATCCTAGACAATACACTCGGCCCGATATGCAACTAGAAAAAACAATATAACTTCCACATACAACTCAGTTCAAACTGCTAAGAGATCCTGGTATAATGTGGGGAAGGACCCGTGGAGAATTCAGCACGGAACGATGCTCCGCGCTAACAAGGGGGCATTTTATTGGCGCTGAACCAACCCCAGAAATGAAGGATTAACAGGGCTGAAAGAGTGGATAGAATGGGGCCATTGAACTCCACTGTAAGCTCCTAATGGCTAACAGTGAAGAAATGGAAGACCCTTGGAATGAGTGAAAGGACCCGAAGCCGGGGGCGTAGACACAAATAGGATACATTGCATGATTGGACCGTATGTGTTAATGTCTCTATTAAGCCTAGCTGAGAGCTTTTGTGATCCTGCATCTGACCAATAGAATTCTCAAGTGGCTTGATTCACCGTCCTTTTCTAGATAATTCATTATGGGGTAGGTCCGAGTTGAGAGTATAGCTCAAGTTCTTTGTCACAGGAGGATCATAAACGGACTACAAGTCCGATATGCCAATATCAAGTCCTGAACCCTTTTGGACCAAGACAAAGGACTCGCTCCAAAATGTTGGAGGACAAGCCGATTCCCATCAGGAAACGGAGCTACTTGTAAGCGCCACCGCTTCGGGTCGTGTATTGTTACCGGGCTCATGATTCTATGGTCACAAGGAAATCAGCCTCTGGGGAAGCGCATGGTTAGCGTTGATGTTGGAATTCAATTTAATAACATTCCTTACAAGCGTTCATTCGGCTGGCGCCCCCAAGTCGCATGTTATAAGAATCTCAAACCGTCCCACTTTGGGATAGATTTGCAGTGCGTCGCATCTGAGCCTTTTTCGGTCTTCCTGGGAATAGCTGTCAGGTTTTCGAAATTCGCTAGTACGCAGGTACCAATTTTCAATATGTCGGATGCTAAGCATGAGGAGGTGCATGGGGTCTCCTCTGCGGTAGAGGATACTCCGCAGGTCATTGCTGGGTATGGAGAAACTACCAAGCGTGAGGGTGCTAAGACTGTGGAAGTTCGCAATGTAAGTCTAAATGACAATTGTGGTTCCTAAGCTGCCTGTTATAAAATTGTGTATGAAGCTCATATATTTTAGGCCGAGCTTTTTGCTGCTCTTAAGGAAACGGAAATTCGGACGTGGAGCAAAACCTCCATTCATCTTTATTGTGAGTTTTCCTTTTCATCGCATTTGCAAAATTATTTCAGTCTCATACTGATTATTCAACACAGTCTGTATCTTCGTTTCCTTCCTTTGCGCATGTGCCAACGGGTATGATGGTATGTCAATTCGAAAATCATTCTATCCTGTAAACGACAATGACACCTGTACTAAATTAATATTTAGGATCCTTGATGAGTTCCATTGAATCGATGAAACACTATCAGGATGTGTTCCACACAGGATTGACTGGCACCAAGGTTTCCGTTGTCACATCCCTATACACGGTGTACGTGGTTTTTGTTCAAAACAGCAATGAGTAAATTGAACTAATATCGTCTCTTTTCTTCTAGAGGATCTATCGTCATCACCCCCGTCAGTGCCGTTATCTCGGATAAGCTTGGTCGACGCAAGTGTATGTTCGTTGGTGCCTGGATCATTATTATCGGGTCTATCGTGATCGCCACATCGATGACACTAGCTCAATTTGTGGTCGGACGATTCTTGCTCGGAGTTGGAATTCAAGTTATGGTCGTTTCGGCTCCTGCATACGCTGTGGAAATTTCTCCTCCTCACTGGCGTGGTCGTGCTGTGGGTAAGTGGCAGAAAGATTGAATTCTATTCATTGACGTTTCCCTCGTCCTTAACTCAGCTTCCCTGGTCTCACGCAACTAACTCTCTTGGGATGCAGGTTTCTACAACTGTGGCTGGTTCGGTGGTAGTGTCCCTGCTGCAGCTATTACCTTCGGAACCAACTACATCAACTCCGACTATCAGTGGCGCATTCCGTTTATCTTGCAGTGCTTTGCATGCGTGTTGGTTATCTTCTTCGTGTGGTTCATTCCCGAGTCACCCCGATGGCTCCTCACTCAAGGAAGAGAAGAGGAGGCTATGGCATTCTTGACAAAATACCACGGAAACGGAGACCCGAATGCTCGTCTTGTTCGCTTGGAAATGGAGGAGATGAGAGAAGGTATTCGAATCGATGGTATCGATAAAAGATGGTGGGATTGTATGTGCCCTTTTCTCCAGTGATCCCTCAGTGCATGAACTTATTCTCTCTCATTCAGACCGACCATTCGTTACAACCCACAGCGGTCGTTGGCGTTTCGCTCAGGTTATCATGATTTCCGTCTTTGGACAATGGTCTGGTAACGGTCTCGGTTATTTCAACTCCACCATCTACAATGTCCTGGGATATACTTCTTCGTCAATGCAGCTACTGCTTAACCTTATCAACCAGATTGTATCGGCTATTGGAGCGGGTACTGCCGTGTGTCTGACTGATCGGATGCCGCGTCGTCCAGTACTAATTTGGGGTACTTTAGGTAAGACCAAGTTCAGATGAGCTGTCCAAGTTGTTATGGAGCTTCACTAACCTTTTCCAAAGCCTGCGCTGCCGCAATGGCCATCAATGCGGCTATCTCGATTCCTATTGCTGAGACCGGTACTATCGACCCTGCCAAAGGTCAAGCGGCTCTAGCATTCTACTACATTTTCAACGTTGTCTTCTCTTTCACCTATACTCCCCTGCAGGGTGTTATGCCCGCTGAGGCCCTGGAAACCACTACCCGTGCTAAAGGTCTTGCCCTTTCCGGGTTCATGGTTAGCACGATCAGTTTCATCAGTCAATTTGCCTCTCCAATTGGTCTCGGAAATATCTCGACCAACTACTTTTGGATTTTCGTTGGATGGGATATTTTTGAGTCAGTGTGCTGGTACTTCTTCTGGTAAGAAACCCTATTTGTGTTTTTCCCTACCACTCTTATTCCCCTGCCTCAGCTGCGAGTGCTCATCTGATATTTTTTGTGAACCAGTGTCGAGTCCCAGGGTCGTACTCTTGAAGAGCTTGAGTGGGTGTACCAGCAACCCAGCCCGGTTAAAGCATCTCTGAACTTCGATAAGGTTGTTGTGCAACAGGATGGAACTGTCACGGAGAAAATTGAAGCTGGAGCTTAGGCTAAATTGGTCATCTGCTGTTTTGTGTGTCACCTAGTACTCCTAGTAATGGGCACAAGATCGGCGGAGGATATATCGTGAACCTTGGACTCGGAGGATTCTGAGGTAGAGCTCGAAGTGTCAGGTGCCAGTGTTTCGTTGGATGAGAACCTTGGAAGTCTAATATTTTAATACCATCTCGCCCTACCTAGTAATGGTCACATTTTTCTCATCCGAAACAATGATTCTTCTCCAATTTATCCCATAGATACATTGACTGTCATTGACATCGTGGTTTGACTTACCAGTTGACACAATTAATGCTAACCTTAAAGCCACCGAGTCTGTCCATCGGGACATCACGCGAACTATTTCCTCTCAAGGTCAACGAAGACTTTTCTTCGTACTGAAATGACCCAGTTCCAACAATATCACATTCCTGAGCCCCATTGAGCCCCATTTAAATCATATACTAGTTCATCTAGTTCATCTCATACCATACAATATGAGTTGTTCTAACTAAATTCATACTAGACCGTCAAGGTACTCAAACACGTGTGGCGATCATTGGACCTGAAGTTACCCGTGAACGGTCGATCCCTCCACAAACCACTATCACCATTTTGGGAACTTTTTCTTACTTCAAGTTATTCGTGTTATGATATATAAATCTCATATACACTTTTTGTCTTTATTTCAGTTATTTCTCGACAAGTTCAAACTTGGAATTCAATTATATTGGGCTCATAGGGCTGCAGGAGTGACTAAGGTCGAGTATCCACCCAATTGGCCACTTCAAGGACCTTCTGGACCCGGCTGCCTGACCCGTGAAGTGACGTGACCTCACCGATAAGATCTCCACGCTAAAGAAAAAAAAAACTTATCTTTTTTTACAACTTGAATTGCTCATGAAAGAGAATCGACTTGCAAGATGCAGTCCATTCTGCTGCTGAGTCTCTTTGCAGGCGCCATCAAGGCCGCCCCGCTAGACCAGCAGCCACTAAAAGACCCGCATGTCGTCACAGGGGAATTCCACGACACGGACGCGCTCTTAACAGGTGCCTCAACACCTGGTTTACATGGTCGTTTTTTGCACATAACCGGTACGTGGCCCCTCGATACTACTAGGTAGGTCCGGTCGCGTCACACAATCTAATTCTTTGACTCGGACTAGATTTTCATCCCGACCGATACTATAAATACGGGGGCTCTACCGATGACGAGTCCTGCCACCACGGCAAGGGGGACGCAGAATACTTTGGGAAGGAAGGCACCGAGTGCGATTCACCGATTTCTCTGATCAACGAGACCTTTCGCTGGTTAGAACAAACCCTAAAAGATGAGATCGATTTCGTGATTTGGACTGGAGACTCGGCGCGCCACGACAACGATGAGCGCATCCCGCGAACGGAAGAAGAGATTCAAGAACTTAACCAGTTCATGGCTGGGAAATGGGTCGATTTATTCGGGACACGAAAAAACGATGAGCACGTCAATGGTGTGCCACAAGTATCTGTGCCCGTCGTGCCCACTTTCGGCAACAACGATATTGCCCCACACAATATTTTCATGAATGGGCCGAACATTTGGACAAAGAAATACGTTGATATCTGGCGTCACTTTATTCCCGAGGACCAGCGTCATAGCTTTGTCGAGGGAGGATGGTTTACATCGGAAGTCATCCCGGGTAGACTAGCCGTCATTAGTCTGAACACTATGTACTTTTTCGACTCCAATAGTGCAGTCGATGGATGTGCTGCCAAGTCGGAACCAGGATATGAGCATATGGAGTGGTTGCGAGTGCAATTGGAAATTCTTCGCACCCGCAACATGAAAGCTATCTTGATGGGTCATGTTCCTCCCGCACGGTCGGACGAAAAGACCAATTGGGATGAGACTTGTTGGCAGAAGTATACTCTGTGGGTGAATCGGTACCGTGATGTCGTGGTGGGAAGTGCCTACGGACATATGAATGTCGACCATTTTATGCTACAGGATAACCATGATGTTGATTTCGAATTCCTTGTGGAGAAAACTACTAGCGACCGAGTTGCTATTCAGTCTAAGGCAGACTATATCAACTCACTACGAGACCAATGGGCTGATCTTCCATCTCCCCTTCGGGGGTCTTCGATGATTTTGAAGACTCTTCAGTCGACGCTACGAAAAAGAAGAAGAAAAAGGACAACAAGAAAAAGAAGGACGACAAGGAGGAAGAGAAAAAGAAGAAAAAGAAGAAGCAGGAACAGAAGCGAAAGAAGTTCCTGAAGAAAATTGATGGTCCTTGGGCTGAGCGATACAGTGTATCCCTGGTCGCCCCAAGCTTGGTGCCAAATTACTTCCCTACACTACGAGTGATTGAGTACAACATCACTGGTCTATATAATACCTTTGTCGACGAAGTGCCTATGGACGCTAAGCCATTACCCATTTCCGATGATCAAGGATCCCCTTTTGAGCCACTGAAAAAGAAAAAGAAGGAGAAGAAGAAGCCTGACTTCAAGGTGCCTGACGCTCCCTCTCCAACCAGTGTACCAGGGCCAGCGTATTCCAACCAGGCTCTGACATGGCTCAGCTACACCCAATACTTTGCCAACCTCACCAAACTCAACGAGGAGTTTGAATCGGGTAGCAAAGACGCTCATATTGAGTTTGAAGTCGAATACAGTACAAATGATGATGTATATCAAATGAAGGATTTGACAGTGCGAAGCTTCTTTCAGCTGGCAGTGCGTATCGGAGAGAAAGGTGAGGCGGCTGCCACGAAGGTGAATGAAGCGTGGCGGGCATTCCTCACCCGCGCCTTTACGGGATTTTTCGATGCGAATGACTTGAACGATGATTGACGTGGATTCGATATGATTTGTTTTTGTTTTAGTTTATAGCGCTTCTGTTCATGGAAAACCTCGCATTGATTGGTTGCATGGGAGATCTTGCATTTGGTTTTCACATTCTTATCTTGAAATATCCTTATTATGTAGTATTTTTAGAAGTATATAGAAAAGGCATTATTTTTATCTGTACTAGTATCATTGTATGATGAAAATCGCACTTTTCCTATCTATTCTAGTATTCTAGCCTAGAATACTCCGTAGTGCTGACAAGACAAGGCAAGTGGGGATAAATTCCGATGTGCGATTAGTTCGACATCATTCTAGCGGTGTACTTTCCAGGTACTACTAGCCAACTAGTAATGGTACTGTTCAGATCCTGCAACTTGAAACCTCCTTGGGCATCTTTGACGATCCCTGCATCCCTGAGATTATTTGACAGGTCTCTATGACCTACCAGAATCATGATTATCTCTGACAATCTCCAGGGCTATGTTGGGTACAGAGTATTTACTTTGTTCACCTTGAGATACTTCACTCGATACACATGCCAAGTCACTAACGGCAAACACCGCCTGCCACGCTGGCAAAGTCTGTGCTCGGATGCGTTGTACCTGAAGTGCCCGAAGATCCCAGAACAATGAAATTAATACAAGCGAGGGACCAATGGCATGGTATAATTGAGGGGAATTGACAAGAATTAACGAGACACTGAGCCGCTGCCACGTAGCGCGCCTCAATTTCCTGGTATTTTCACGATATCCGAAATGGCCCGTGCATAGAACAGCGCATCGCAGGGAGGCTGGGATGTTGCCACTGGTTGGATTGGGCATTCAAATTCAAATGTTGAATTGATATAGCCCAATGGCGATTGTCTTGAAATCTGTACGGAGTACACTCTGTACAATTCATAATTAGATCATGGAGAACTTGTGATATACACTGCCCGTATGTACTGACATATCAACCAGCCCCTAATGAACTAGTAATTCCGTACAGCCCCATCTCCGTGCGTCATATCGAAGACTTCTTTAAATTTCCTTTTTCTCCCAAAAAAAAGAGTCTCGATTTTCTAGTGGAGTCAGTAATTCTTCCCGCCATATTTTCCATATTTTCCCCGCAGTGGAAATTCCAATTCGAATCCCCCTTTCGATCCCCCTACATGATGCGTCAACCCTCCCGAGTCTGCAATTCTACCGTTCCTTGCGTTGCTAGTTCGTACACTATCCGAGCATAGAGTCGCGATCGGCGTGTCTCGTTTTATTTTGGGTTGTACACGGTGGTGGATAAGTGGGGAGGAATTGGGAGTTGGAGAGCTGGAATTGAATCCATTGGTTTGTGGTACACTTGGGTTCCGGTTCCTTGGTTCTAAAGTGTAGGTGGAAAGGTAAGTATAGAGAAGTGAAGTGAGTGAAGTGAGTGCAGTCATTGCAATCAACAGTGCTGCACCTTCCAGTCAGATCTTCCAAGCTATTAAGTTCAATTGGTCTATGCGCTTGGAGCATGCTGTACGAGTTGCGTGAGGTTTGACGCTTTCGTTTGCGCGCTAGGGCTCCAGGTAAGCTTCTTAATTCTCATTTATCCCTTCATCTCTATTTTTACCTTTCGTCATTATCACCCTGGACTATTCCCATCATGCCATCAATCCATTCCTGGCCGCCCGATGATTTCCAGCTCATAGCTGACGATGTGGATCAGGAGGATAGCTCCACATCAGTGGCTTTGTGGATGGCCTCCTCCGAGGTGGACCAGAAGGCCCTGGGCAATTTCGCGGCCGCAATGGCCTTGGAAAGCCCTTTACTATCGGCCATGCTATATAAAGTACTCGGGCTATCTGTGATGTTATCAAAGAAGCTACTCCGTGCTCGACGACTCCGCCGACTAGACACCACCCGTGAAACGAAGTCGCTTCAACTCTATCATCACATCATCTGGCTCTCTCGCGAAGGACTCTTCATACTGGAAGGATATATCCTGCCAATGGTAGCACCCTACATCGAACTAAAGGTCCTATCATACAAACTCCGCGCTTCATTCTACCATATTTTCGTTCTATTCCACAATCGCCCGATTATCCACCCATCAGATCCATCTCCACCACCAAATCTCAAACGCGACTCTATATACAATCCAGACTCATTAACTGTTTTCTCACCTCTGGATCCTATCAACCAATTCCAATTCAAACCAGGTCCAGGACATCCACCCGGTCTAGCTCCCATTCACCCAACCCAACCTATCTCCTCATTCCTTCTCCCTCCACTCGACTACACCACAACCGCAACAGCATGTTTCAACCACGCCGCACTCCTAGCGGATAAATTACTCCCAGGTTCGCATCCTCTACGCTTATCAGTGAAACTGGAATACGCCGCATACCTATACGACTGTCTCCAAGACCCAATCGCCTGTCGTCGACTCGCGAAACGCGCCATCGCAGATGTATACAACGCGCAAGAAGGAATGGACGATGAAAGTTTCGAAGACGCAGCTGAGATTGTTGGCGTGCTAGGCAAAATGGTGAAACGTGGTGGCAAGCCTGGCAGCAGTACGGCTGCTAGTAGCTCCCGTGGTGGCAGGTCGTATAGCCAGAGTAGTCGCAGTCCCTCGCATCTGGATACGAGTGTCCCCACTACTGTTTCGCCGGTGCCGGTTACGAAGACCACGCCTAATCCTTCTTCTGTGGCGGTTATGGAACCTGCGGTTCCGAATGTTTCTATGATGAATCCGATTTGATGTGACCTACGTGATGCTGATGCTGATGCTTCATGGAGTTATGATAGAAAAGCCGATGATGCATGCTTGACCCTTTTACTACTTTTCGCATTTTGATACTTTTTCTTATTCTTTTGCTTTGTACATATTCGTCTATGCCTTCGATGTGTAAATATGCTCACTCCCTAATTTAGCATCCTGCATCTTGTTTCCCAGAATTTCCGGCAGTTCCATCTGAACTGAGCGTTCACGTTTAGTTGACAGAATCAATCCTAGTACTTCTTCGGGAGTACATATCCCCCAATTCCAACAAAAAATTGCATGGCCCGAGCCATAAAGTCCACAAGGTCACTCCCTATCCACGTAGGAAGGAGCTTTGTCCTCGAACTCTCCATCTCACGTAGATAACTTCCAGCAACCTAAAAAGCACAGCCTTAGTAACTCACAAACTTGACATAATGCAAAAGTCCAGAAAAGAACCCCTAAAAAGAGGAGGATGGAACTCACCAAAATACACTCCCCCTTTCTGCTCTCATCCAACGAAACATAAGCAATGGCACTAGCAACTCGTCCAGGCGTATTCTCCTCCAGCCCCTCCTCTCTCCAACGCTCCGCAAACCCAGCCGTGATCTGCGTAGGTGTTAAGAATGGCGCAATAGCGTTAACCCGAATACCCAGTTCCGCCGCTCGTGATTGAGACGCACGTAGTAAACCTAGGACTCCATGCTTAGAAGCGACGTATGCCGTGACGCCCGTCCCACCAAAGTAGCTCGATGTTGATCCGAGAAGAATAATGGATTTCGTTGTGGATGCACTGAGTGTTTGGGATGATTGTAGGTAGAAGAGGGCCAGACGAAGAGCTGTGGATGATTAGATGGAATCCATATTAGATCTATTAGATCTGATAATCATTATCAGATGAGTGAAATCTTACTATTCAACGTTCCCTTCAAATTAACATCAATGACCCTCCCACCCTCTTCATCCTCCTTTAAGTCCCCATTCTCATCAATGTCAAAATCAAGGATAGGACTCGACTCCATAATCCCTGCGTTAGCAATGACGATATCAATCTCGCCGAATCGCTGTATCCCACTTTTGAATGCAGCTGAGAGTTGGCTCCAGTCTACTATATTTGCAGGTGCGAAGATTGCACGATCGGGATATGTGAATGTGCTTATTAGCTCATTTGCAATATCCTTGAACTGAAGAAGATCTGTTAGAACGATGTTTGCGCCTTGTTGGTTGAATAATGCTGCTGTTGCAGCGCCAATGCCGCGGGCTGCGCCTGTTATTAGTACTGTTTTGTTGGATGCCGAGGCGAAGAGGGAGGGGTTTATTTCAATCGATGTCATTTTTAATGCGAATAATGAGATTCAGTCTTATTCGAGGTTTGAGTTGGAGGTTTGCAACATTTGAATGGGATGAGATGCTAGAGAGTAGACTATTTGTACCATGCGTGTCATATTATCGGTACGCCATCCCCCGATGCCGAGATGCGGAGAAGCCCTGGAGTATGCGGGGTTCTCGCCGATGATGGTAGAGACCCGGCTGACAGGGTGATTTCTACTACGCTGTGGTTTTTTATTGCTCATTCAAGTTAAGTGCAATTGTGCAGGGAATCGATTCACTGGGTATGCTATACATCTAGTTGCAAAAGACGAAATTGAGCCTAAATATGCAAGAACCATACACAATGCAATGTCGCTCAATCCTCCTTCTGACGGTCGGCCGCCTGTACTTCATTGACAGAGACCCGGGACGGGGCCCGTGAAGTCATTCTAGAATGTGTAATGCTAGCATCTGTCGTGCTAACAGCGTGGAAAGAGAAGTCCAGTTCTCCAACCAATCCTCTTACATGTCTAATCAAAGTTAGTATCATATCAGACTATCAAAGGAGCAGTCAGACTTACCGCATGAGTCGTTCGACATCCCCAACGATACAACGAGTGGAAATCTGCAAGACTGCAAAGGCAGCAAATCCTGGCTCGGCAATATGCTTGATACTCAAAATGTCTTTATCAAGTGCTTCAAGTCTCTTCGAAAAGCTGTATGGCCGGGGTGCTTTGAGATACGGGGGTAATGGTTGTCGATTCGTGATACTGGCGGACAGAAGACACAGAAGCGACGTCACTTCGTGGGTGGTGACTTTGGCAGTACCCACAAGCCGACGAAAGTCGTGCATCCAGACAGATCCCGTTTCATCTTCTTCGTCATCGCCAAGGCGCATGAGGGTATCGGATGCATATCCGAGTAAACTGAGGTAACTAACAATACTAAATGAACAATAAGATTAGCATACCAGCAGAATTAGGTGGAGTTATGACTTTTAGGAGTACGAGGACTTACTTTTCCACGCATAAGATTATAGAGTCGTATTGCTTCTTTGGAAACCTGCCTCCGACTGGCACCTCCCATTTCAGAAAACCAGAGTATGTTCGCAGTCCATTCAACATAATCATCTGCTTCGAGAAGACCTTGTGTCGTGCTTTTTCCAGCTTGCGGCCTGCGGAGCTCTTCAACGTCATATCACCTTCGTCTCCTCGCATACGAGCGGAGAGTGTCTCGTGAATTATGGAGTAATAGTTGGCCAGGAGGTACAGGGATGCTCCCAGGCTTTGCCGAAGCACAGAGTGCTCTGAAATGGGATATGGGAAGAATGTCCATATGAAAGCAACAAATATACCTCCACTCACAGCAGCAAGCCGATAGGGAGCCAGCTCATAGATTGGATAATAAGCTTGGCCATTCGAGGTTGCAACAGCTTCGCCCACCTTTCGCACCGACAACTCATATCCAATAATCATTGTTGTGGTGACTACGCTGATCAACCCGATGACCCGGAATCGGAAAAGTTTGATCGGGATATAGAAGCCGAATGACACGAAGAGAAAGAGGAAAACGATGATCCCTGGGGTCTTCTGGTCGGGAATGTACCAAATAAGAAGACTGGCTACCATGGCAATGGTTGTACCCGCAATTCGGAGCACAAAGCTAAACACACTTTGGCCAGACGTAGGTGACATACTCAGGTTTACCATGATCATGGCCCACACCAAGCGCTGCTTTGTAAAGAAGTCCTGAGTATCGTGCAAGAATGCAATAACTGCAATCGTCATTGTGGCACACGCAACCCGAAATCCGTACGTAGATTCGAACGAACGTAAGAAGCGTGGGACAATCCGGATCCTGTCACCAGCCTTTTGGAATAGGTTTGTTGGAGGTAGGTGCTCCGGGTCCTTGCGGTGCCTGTAAGCCTCTCCGAGCTCGAGAGCGCTACTTTGCGTGTGGATATCACCAAGATGATCGTCTTCATGGGATTCGGCAGCGTGAAAGAATGTCTTGGCCCACTTCCAACTACGCTTTGCACCAGGGATGATAAGTCGGTTTCGCGACAACTTGCCCTTTGCGGCAACACTGTCAGCATATTGAATAAATCCTAGAAGGGTCTGACCAGTCGAGTAAAGAAGTTGTTCCATCTAGAATAGTCATGTCAGCATCTCGGCATCGTTAAAAGTGATGAAGTGAGGACATACGTAAAGAAAGAGATACAATTGACGTCGACTTCGGTCTTGGTATGAAGCTGATGCGTTGAAGAAATCGCCTTTCAAACTTTCAACTGATGATGGATGGTCAAAAAAGTCAGTCGGCAAAGAGATACCCTTCTCCTCGGCCCAAGTTTGAAGTGCGAGTCTTTTCGCACTGCGAAATTCACTCAGTTTCTTTTCATAGTGTGCCGCAAAGCCCTTCTCACCGGGCGCGGTGTCTCCAGCCTCGGCCTCAACATCTTTTCCATCCTGCTCATTGCTGCCATTTGGTGTCATTACTGAGACTACTCGCTTGGGGCGTTTCGTAAATTGAAAAACATAAGAAGTATGCAGAAGTCCCTCATCGATTGTATGGATCATGGTTGCGAAAGGGTCATGCACCGCCCTCATGATATCATTCCAATCGCGGACAGTCCGTTGACGAACATCATCAGGGATCGGTTCGGCATTTGGATCAAGGGGTTCATTCCATCTGTTGTAGTCTGAGAGTCTTTGGAAGATATCCACAACGAAACTCAGTCCCACCACTGGAATCATAAGCTGGCGCAGATGACGGAAGATCGTCTGGATATCATCTGGTCCAAGTTTTCCAAGCGCGAATTCTCTCTTTGCGAAGGTGACGTCGCCATGAAGCTTACCATGGAGATCAGTGATCCCCCGAATTGCACCACGGATAGCTTCTGCTTCTGGACTGTAGACTTTTCCCTTTTTACCCCATTTTTCCTGAGATGAATCGTACGTTTCAGCGCGTCCAAACATATCGTCTTTCTCCAGACTTCCAAAATAGACAGCGTGGGCGCTGAGTGCCGTTCGCAGATTGCCAATATAGCTACCCATCTGCTTGAAGACCGCCTTTCGAGAGGTCATCGGAAAGATGAGCAGTGAGACGCCGCTCGACAAGGCCAGTCCAGTGAGGAATGTCTTGAGCAGCTTCAGTACAAGCGCAATTGCCGAGGTCATGCTAGTTTCCTGAGGAGCGTAAATGGAGGAGACATTGGCGAAAATCGAGTACAGTACGACGGGGAACTGGAATTGCGGGTATTTGGCCCGGAAGGTATGAGCGAGCCAGATCTGGAAGAACAGCCAGACTCCACTGACAGCCGACGCCGATGAGTTATATGCTGATGTCGTTCCCGATTCTGTATTTTTGCGTGCTTGGACGCTAGAGTACATTGTCAACAAGGCCAAACAGGATGCAATGCAGACAGCTAAAACGTCAAAGATCATCATCTGGATAAACTTGGCTCGCGGCATAATGGCAAAACCCAGGATAGAGACAATCGCAATAAGATATCCCAGCGTGGTGTACTCATCCGCTACTGATGTGGATTGGTAACTGGTTCAAATTAGCTACATGCCAAGCATATCGCGCCGAGTGCCTAGTACTCACATAGATACAGCAATTGCAGGCGCAAGTCCACCCCTAATATTTCGCAGTATTAGTGAATCATTTTTGATGTCAGGATTGAAAAGAATTGAGATAGTCTCTTATCGTACTTGATCATCAAGAAGATGGTTTGCTGGTCCAAGCCCGTCTTCACCCATATTTTCTTCACCCAGCCTCCCAGTGTCGCCTTCTCCTTCTTAGTGGCCTGGGTATCAAATCGCGAAAGATTCTGACTCATGGAGTCTTCCGAAATTCTGTCATTTTGACCAGATGCCATGTTCTCGGCTAGCGCACACGATGCGCCCGTATTGATTTTGTGATACCCGCCACAATCGAGTTCCTGCTTGATAACGCGCGGCTAGTGGTTCACTGGTATGCGTGCCCCATGGAGAAGTGTATTGCGCCGAGAGAATTGCCCGATTTGCGCTTTGGAGATTCCACGATTTTCTTTGAGGATCCAGGAACTCCAGAATTCCTCTGGATAAGGGGAAAGAGAGGTTTTGAGGGGTTGACGAACTTCCGGGTTGTGAACCACGTTTTGGTGTGGGGCCGATCCCCAGTGATGCTTTCAGACTGTGGAGATGAATGCGCCCCTAGTGAAGATTACAATAATATTTGTCCAATCTACTAGTACTACAATTAAGTCTTATATATTATGTACTCCTTTTTTCTGATCTTTTGTTACCTAGTATTATGCACGACTCATCATGATGTTTCTTGGTCGGAATTAGTGTCCTGCAGTGGAACAGACTCCATCCAATCAGAATGAATATAACGGCATTTATGTTTAAAAGAGACTTAATAAGTAGCATATATAGTAACTATGATATTCCTGGAGGTAATTGATTCTTCTTCAAGTTTTATCTCAAATTTCAACTCATAGCTTCCAGAGTGTTGCCAGTAGCCACAAGTAAACAAGTTCATATTTTACTGTGCGATGGACGGCGGTGGCCTTGAGTGCTTGATTATAGGTAGGATCCTGGAGAGAATCCCTCCAGGGCTGGAGCCTGGAGTCACTTCAAAAATGGTGAGATTCGCATGCAAGGGATATCAACTTGAAGTAGACTGGACCCGGGTCTCTAGTAGGTCAAAATTGATCCATCATGCTCCCAAAGTAGTCACTTAAATGTACTTAGGTGTCAATGGCCCCTTTTCAAGTTCTTAACATTCAAATGTTTGAACCCCCCCACATTAGCAATGGTTTACGAGTGCTTCAAAATGTCTGAAAATGCTCCATGGTTTTTTGATTCCGACATCCAGTCTTCCATTGCCACGGAAGATCTTCATGTAGGAGTATTGCCAACTTCTGACCAAGAGCCTCAGCTAAGTCTGCCATCTTAGACGGCCGTTCTAAACAACAGGCCCCTTGCCGTGATTAAGGTCGAACGGGTAGATAGACATCATCATACAGTCCGTCGTTTAAGGCTTGCCGATCCAGGTCTTCCAGAAACTATTATCGTCAAGCAGAAAAAACAGGGCTGGGATGAAGAATTTCAAAATGAGATACATGCATATACAAGACTGAAAAGCCTTCAAGGGAGCCTGATTCCAAATTTTCTCGGCCAAAGATTTTTCGATGATTGTCCTGCGATTTTTATCACTTACATCGAAGGAATGACGCTTCGTCAACTCGCTATTAAATCGAATGTCACCGAGGAGACGTTAGAAATTCAACTTACCAAAGCCTTGTTGACCGTGCATGGCTGTGGAGGAAAATACACAGATCCAAACACAGGCAATTTTCTATTTTGCAAGAATGGAAAAGTGGCGATTCTCAATCTTGAAGGAGTTGAGATCCCTACTGGTAGTGAACATAAACCTTGGGAGAAGAGTGTCAACCCATCTAGTGTCTTCTATCTGATGTGCATGTTCAGATTAGCTAGAAATCCCGACTTATGTACCTTGTGGAATGTAAAGTGTACTCGAATGGTCACTTTACTCATAATTGTGCCACATTGAACATTTGAATGAATTTTTCTGAAAGGGAATTTTGAATGACCTTTGACTTGAAACATGAAGATACACAGCGTGATAACTGTTCCGTTAATCTCAATCTTTCGGAGCCGACCTCGGCCCCTGAAATACTAGTGCATATATGTCCCACATACAAAATGACCCCTATTCCCCACCTGGACCCTTTAGGACCCTCATGCACATCATGGACATTCCGTGAGGTAAAGGGCCTCATAACGGTGTTTTCGGATCAATGACAAAGAGATCCCAGTCGCAATCGTTATGAATCACCTGCACAAAGAAACTCACCTCGAAAAACAACCCCCAGCTCTGACCAATCTCCCTGGGTAATTCGCGATCGCGCAAAATCAATGGCCGACGAAACCAATATTCCCAATGCGCCATTGGGCTCAGTCCCAAAGCGCAAACCACTCCCATATGCGACTGTAGCCCCAGATACTGAGGCAGCAGCTGATCAACCAGACCAAGCGCCCACGCCACAGAATCCAACAGACGAGAAACCATCGCCTAAGGCACCATTCTTCGGTCCTGTTCTAGCCTGGTGGGCACTACAAAAACGATCGCGCAAAGCTCTTTACATCGGTCTGGTCGTTGCTCTCCTACTCATCGCGCTGATTATCGGACTCGCAGTTGGACTCACAGTCGGCAAAAAGTAAGTCGCATAACCCCACTCATCCTTATTGGCGTACTGACCATTGCCCAGGAACTCAAAATCTAACCTTGCGCTTCCAACCACTAATGGGGGTCCCTACACCGGAGACCTCACATATTACGATCCAGGCCTCGGCGCTTGCGGCTACACGAATACTGAGTCTGACCTTATCTGCGCTGTCTCCCATATTCTCTTTGATGCTGCTTCGACAGGATCAGACCCAAATGACAATCCGCTATGTGGTCTCAAGATTCGAATCAGGCGTGATGGAGAGAGTGTGGATGTCAAGGTCGTCGATCGATGTGTTGGCTGCGCGGAGACGGATCTGGATGTTACTGAGACGGTTTTCGGGGACTTGGCGACCATTGCGCAGGGGAGAGTGACGATGGAATGGGCATGGTTGGAGACAGCGCCCGTGAGTGCTTAATGACCATGATTCCGTGCACTATCACCAGGGCAGGATCGGTGTGGAGAACAAGAATATGCAGTACCATGATACCCAAACGATACTTTGTATGAAGCGCTTGATGAATGATTTTGTGTTATGTGAATTTGATTTCCAAGGATAATCTTACAAATGAATACCCTGTTTTATTATGAGCGAAGCATCCTGAACTCTGGGACTCCACTGAGGCTCTTACATTCCCCGATCGACATCATCCCGCACCTCCCCATCTCAACTCCACATCTCTCTCAATCAATCCATTTGACCTTACCACTTCCTAAAAATGATGAGAGGTAGACACGTAGAAGCCCCTCGTCATCCCTTGGGGCTTCGCTGCGAACAAATTGCAGAATTCGAAAGACTTCTCTGGGTAGAACCAGATTACAACAAGGAGTCACCCGCCGAGTACACAGTCAAATACGACAGCGATGACTCCACCCTTATCACCGTAACAGGAAAGAAATATGGCGACAGACGAGTCCGCGAATTCCGCGATTCATCCGGTCTCCCCATGTTCGAAACACAGCGTGTTAGGCCCGCGATAAGATGGCTGAAGCCATGGCGGGTACACTTGCCCGGGAATGACGAGGATCTTGCGGAAATCAAATTAAAGTGGAAGCCCTGTGATTTCGATATCACTTTTCGCAATGTGATGGCGGAAGATGCGAAGAAAGAAGAAGATAAATTGGCCACTGTCCAAGTTCGACGCACTTCACCTGCGCTATGTACATTTGCGGTCTATGCGGAGGATCGCAAGGTCGTGGATATACGTGAAAGTGTTATCTTGAACAGAACGGTTTCAATAACGGGGAATATGACCCGAGTTAGTAGCTCGAGTCATCAACCAACGCGAGCGATAATGGATGTTCTGGTCGCAGAGGACTTTGATCTCTCGCTAGTGAGTCTGAACTGAGTTCAGTTCTGGATTTGTGCTAATGCGCAGTACCAAGGCATCACTTATTGCGATTCTTATTTGTGATCAGTATTTTCGACATACGCCGCCAACTCGATATGAAACTAATCAACGAGAAAAAAGAATAAATCCCCCGATGAGATGAATTGGGCTACTACAAATGATGACTTGAAATGTATATGATAATGGTTTGGTCTTCTTCAATTTATTCGTAAATATGAACACTATATGCTTGCAGTATTCATGTATCATTTCTCATCATGCTCACGCTCCTCAACATGCTCTGCATGGAGCACATCTTGCTTGTGGCGAGTATGTTCCACATCTGCTTGTCGCTGTAATTCGTCGATGGCACCAAAGATAAGGTCCATATCTTCCAGGGTCCTGCCCTTGGTCTCTTTGACGAAAAGAGTAACGAAGACACCCATCGCAGTACAGAAGACACCAAACATGATGAATGTTCTCCATCCGATCTTATTGATGGCACGAGGAGTGACCTCTGTGATGACGAAATTGAAGAGCCACTGTGTAGCTGCTCCGAGACCGACACCATATGAACGTAGTCGTGTTGGGAAGATCTATAATCAAGATTAACCGATGTACAAAGGAGTAGTATGATAAACAGTCTCTTACCTCTCCCAAGTAAACCCAGGGTGTGGGACCCCATGAGAAGGAATACCCAATGACATAAAGATAGATCATAGTGACCATCGCAATAGAAGCGGAGGAGACGCTGGTCGAGTCTGGGTTTGGAGGCTTTGTAGCCAACACAGCTCCAAGAATGAACATCATGATAGCCATCCAAGCAGCACCGCCCATCATAGAGCGCTTTCGACCCCAGCGATCAATTCCAACAAACAAGAAGATAGCAGTTGCCACCACCTTGACAGTTCCATAAATTCCGGTCGCAAACAGCGAAGAGTTAGTAGAGCTAATTCCAATAGATTCAAAGATCTGAGGGGCATAGTAGCCAATGCTGTTTGTTCCAGAGAACTGCTGCCAGAACATAATGAAAAAGGCCAAGAAGAAGCGGTACCGGTTACTCTTCTGAAGGCACTCCTTCCAGGTAACGCCTTCAGTAAGAAGCAACTCCTCTTCAATAGCCGCATGTATCTCAGCCATCTCCTTCTGCACCTCCTCGCTATCTTCAGGCTCATTTCGAATATACGCCAGCGAGGTAAGTGCTTCCTCACGACGACCCTGCTTCATCAGCCACCGAGGAGACTCTTTCAAGAAGAAAAGTCCAATAAGCATCAGACCACCCGGGATAAGCTGGATAGCCACCGGGGTACGCCACTGCTTCGTTCCCTCAGGAATCCGCAGCGACACACCATAGTCCAGCCAGTAGGCAAAGGTACTACCGATAACGAGGAACTCCTGGAACAAACCCGCAATACGACCTCTGTATTCGGGTGGACAGTTCTCACTCACGAAGACAGGGGTAATACTGGACATGCCACCAATACCTAGACCAGCCACAACGCGACCGGCGTAGATGAGGCCAATCTCATGGTGAGCTCCAACTTGCATTGCAGCACCAACGAGGAAGATCAAGGAGAAGATCATAAGGGAGTATCGACGACCAATGCGGTCGTTAATATAGGCTGCGAATATAGATCCGAAGAAACAGCCTGCTGTGAGAAGACTGACGACATTGGATGAGACTTGGGAGTTTTTGGCGCTCGCGAAGCCGGATGTTGAGAGTGGGAGGCCGAAATCCTTCTTGAAGCTGTCCAGTGCAAGCACTGAGCTCATTACACCGGTATCATAACCTGAGAAATGGCATTGAGTTAGTTTCTGCACTTGTGGGAACGTGGGTGTTTGTACGAACCGAAGAGGAGGGAGCCCAGGTAGGCTACCGCAGTGAGTATGTAGACTCGGTAATTCTTTAATAGTCGAGGCGCCATCTTGAAGGCGTGAGTGGAAAAATCTCACTCAAACTATTCAAAGGTATATGATCAAGTATGGCAATCGCACCAGATACGAGTATCCAGAGACGAGAAAATATTCAGGGAGGCCCCGGATGGATACTCTTTTATAATAAATCCGACTAACTACCATCCCACAATGGGCCCAGTGGAGCCAAAACCGATCGACACGGTTACTGGCTATGTAGCATAGCATATTGAGTAGTGTAGTCTGTGCCGGACATACATCAGTGGCTCACGGCGCCACCAAGCCGGGGTCAAGATAGCATGGGGCCCCATTGGGGAAAATGTAGCGGGGACGGCCGCGGGGTGAGTAGTGGAGACCATTTCTTGGCCTATTGATAATTTTTCCGTGAATCTCAGGGTCTCAATGGCTTTTTAGCGCGTTATATGGGACCATTCCATGGTCTGCGTGAATTGCTTTTCATCGGGATAGATGACACGGTCCCTCCGACTCCCTCGGCTGCCAAGAAGCTTAAATGAAGCATTTTGATTCATGGAAAAACTGTCATTTTTGTCCGTTGCAGGTCCACTTGAAGAGTTCAATATGATGTTGAAGGGTCCATAAAAGCTGCAGAAGGTCCGTTATCGTGCGTAATGTACTTTGTAGTATCTTCCAAGGTCGAATTGCTGCGTTTCAGTGAGATCACTCTCTTGGGATTCATTTCATGAAGAATTTCATTGTTGATGCTCGTTTTGACCTTCGCTTTCAAGGTTCATTTCTCAAAGACCGTCGGTGATGGAATCAAATGCCGACTCCACGCTCAGGACTCTGATCTCTGCACTGTAAAGAGCTCAACAGGATCAACTATCGGAGTTCAATCAATATCTGCCATTGGCGATCGGGTATACCGGCATTTTGAAAAGTTAATTATCTGAATGAGGATAAATCCAATGGTGGTTGGTCGTGGTTTTAGTGTCATAATGGGAGAGATCTCACACCTGGGCAGCGGCAATGAAGTTCGGTATCAAGCGAGTTGAGAACGAGGCAGTCAAAATCCAAATCCCTTCAAATGTTGGAAGTGAGAGATAGATAAACATAAACCTCTTTTACTGGAGGGTTTTATGTCCTCCAGTTGATATATTCAGATATACAATTAGCTCATTGATACTTCTATTTCTCTTTCTTATCCAATTATATGATACCTCTTCCCATACTTGGCAGCCTTTCCGCCTTTCTACTTTGTTGATTTCCTTCATCCCTTCGGTCGCGTCATACACAATGTAGCTGAAAGAGCGACCATGCCTTCTCCGAGTCTCTCTGATATCGATATCAAACGTGAGCTCAGTCGCTCGAAAGCTTCAACAATCTATGAGATCCAGCTATTTGAGAAGCCATGTGTCATGAAGCTTGTAAGTTCAATGATAACGTCCAAGGATGGTGACTGACCCGTCAGTTCCACGACAACGGCGATCCTGGATATACGAAAAAAAGGCCGAGATCTAAATCGTTTTCGCTGCGAATTAAACACGTATCACAATCTCCGTGATTCCAGCGTGTGCGATCAAGGCTTTGTTCCCGCTTTTCATGGTCATATCGATCGAGTTGATCCGTCAGCTTTTCACCCCTGGCTTAAACATTTCGCCGACGATAAACACCAACCCAGTGCGATCCTACTTGAATATCTGCCTTGTGCTGAAAAACTAAATTGTGAAAATTATTCTGAAGAGCTCTTTCGCAATGCTGTTGAGGGCATAAAACGGATCCATAACGCCTTTGTCCATCATCGTGATATCTACCCAAAGAATATACTTTTATCTGGCACAAGGATTGTTTGAGTTGATTTTGATGTTGCCACAACATTTAGCAGCATGGGCTCTTGCGAAAAGGAATATTGTGATTATGAAACCGAACTCGTCAAAAGTTTTGAAAAGCTTCTGGTTTGTACTCCGTATAGCTTCTTTACTTGAACATCATAACAATAAATAACGAAAACAACCATCAGAAAGATGACAAGAGACAGGGTCTTCCACCCAATACAAATTATTACTAAGTGACTCCTGCGTCAGTACATAAGTACTGGACCTCGTGAGGTCTTGATCCGGTCCGATTGATGGAAAGATTTGGTATCTATAACAAGCATTGATCTTGGCTCTGGTTACCTCCCACAGTGCTGAAGAAGCTGTTTGATAAAAAAAATCCAAAGAACGTAGCATCCATTGAACCTTTGAAATTCGAAAATGGGCATCTTTTTCTAAGTATGCAAGCATTTCATTACTAGCATCAAGTATCTAAACACAAATTATAACAGACTCCCTTGAGCTTCCCGGGTCATGGATATCATCATGGCCATCACTTTGGCAATCATCAGTACTCGCATGGCCCTCGGAGACATTGATTATTCGCTTTCCATCAATGGACGAGTCCCGCTTTCTCCGACCTGTGGGCGTACTAGAGCTTACCACATAGCGCGAGCTAAGTTCGTGTGTATTCCTGCTTGTGGATGGTTGACCCTTCATTGAACGCAGCAAGGATCGAATGCATGGTATAGACGCCGTGATTATCACCAAGTATGTTTCAATAAATAACCAGCGGTCGTAGCTAACTGTTGCCTTCGTTGGGTCCATATCGTATGATGCGAGCACACGGGTTTGTACCGTCTTGATAATGGCGGCGATCATCGCGCTAATAAGAGCTCTTTGTCAGTGACGGTGAAAGGTAGTATTAATATAAAGGGGAACTTACAATATTCCAAGTCCCAGCAATGCGACGAGTCCTAATTTGACCCTTAACTTCAAGTTCAGTGTCCAAAATATGACGGTTGAGAAAACAGCGAGGTAAAGATCAGTTGCTGAATTAAAGGCTATACACAATTCGGAATTGTCAGAAAGATCAAAGGTGGAAACGGTGGGCATCACTCACCTCCTTGGAAATATCCATAGTAAGCCTGCACTAGAGTACTCCAGCACTTGGCTTTGTCGGAGTGCTCCCATATAGCCGATGCATGCCCTTGACACTGAACAAAAAGAATGATGATAAACATCGAATTGACTATCAACTGAAGACCAATCAATGTCCAAAAGACCAATCTATGCCATTGCCTTGAAACGAGTAGTCCAATGATGAAGACAATGAAAGACACCCGTCCCAAGGCCCCACCTGCAAGTCCAAATGTCTGTGTAAGATAGTCAAACATGATGACCTTTGACACACTTGCATCACTCAGGTTGTCCATATTTTGACCGAATCCATAATGAATCCCGATAGTTATCATGGCTGATCCGACTGTCGCTAAACACTGAGCGATCACAGAAGTCAATTGAGAATCATCAACACGAGAAGGACCAGAAAAAGCAAAAATGCAGTCCAATCACTGCTCAATTGGTGCTTCAACTTGTCAAGGAAATGATAAAAGAGAGAGGACTTGCTAACCAGGGCGAACCCCATCAGTAGATCATCCGGCCCGAATTTCCCAATTCTTAATTTTGCAATGATCCTCAAAATCACAATCACAAAGGCGGTAGCTGTCAAGCCCCAAACATCTCTAAGAAGTTGAGGTCCATCATCATGGTCGGCCGATCCTCTGCTCGCAACAGACATTCTGTAGATATCAGTTGCCTAGCGGCATCAACACGTGGTAAGGAGAATTCCAGTCATTAGGACAAGCAACTGGCCATGAACTCCTTGTCCTGAATTATATCCTGTGCATCATATCAATTGTTATCAAGAGGAAGAAAACTGAGTCCTCTGCGTCGGAGATCTCCATTGTTGACTTATATCGATGGATGCCAGTTGACCAGTGATGTGCCAAGCCGGAGAGGATAAGGTCATCGGAGGTCTCCGTAGTGAGTCCTGAGGCACACGACAGTGATAAGAGGGAACAAGGAGGTGCTGGAAGATCGCAGGGTGTTCGTGAACCTTGATGCGGATCAATGCGGGTGGAAAGGGGCTGTGATAATAACGGAGATGGTGATTGGCGCCCGGGATCGATTTCGATATCAGGATCTCAGATATACGTGAAGTAAGCAGTGAGAATACTACAACCTCCGAGTTGAATGAGTATTCGATGTACCTCGAACTTGAAGGTGGCAGTACACATGTGAAACTGCAAATGCCAGGACTTCCAAGGTTTCAGTTTGAAGATCATCACTGGCATGATCATGATGATGCCAGTGAACCGTAGTATATATTAGTATCATCTTCGACATGCGGACACAATAATTTGGCCAACAACTTCAATCAATGAGACTCGGAGTTTACCCGATTTCTCAAATTTGGTCAGGTCAGTATTTTCAGCTGTTTTTAATTTCAGGGAGCAGATCAAAATGCTCAGCCTAAAAACTTGAGCGTGTGTTTCGAGTAATGTTCAGTGCGAACCAAATGTTTGCTTTTTCCGGGGGTTATTATACATAATTTGGAGAATTTTGACACCAGCGGGGATAGCTCAGTTGGGAGAGCGCCAGACTGAAGTCAACTTCAATCATATAATCTGGAGGTCGTGTGTTCAATCCACACTCACCGCATTTCTTTTTTTCTTTTCTAATTTTCTTTTTTCCTTCTCCCCCCTCCTTTCCCTTTTCTCTCTTCTCAGAACACCCTGTGATCTATTATTCCCTCCCCCTATTCAATTGAAATACGAACGCTTTGAATGTCATACATATTGAACCTCGGTTCCTCCTGTGTCGGAATATGCGCCTACGTTATAACATCCTCCGCGATTAATGATTGGAATTAAATTAACACACAAATTACATGCATCTGAGACTTCCAGTTCAAATGTCAATTACAAAATCGCTGAAAGTGACCTCCATATCTGGTTCCGAGCTCATTGCAAAGACACCTATCACTGATCCCGTGAAATCAAAGCCTGAGATGTCTCTGCTATCAACTGAGCCAACCATAACCCACTTATCCTTATTCGAAGTGCGATATGAGAATTCGTATAACTCTTCTGTATACCGCATCCTGAAATACACCGAGTTGCCTAATGTCTCAAGGACAAATTTTGTTGACTGGTCAATACTTTCAACCTTGTTATGAACTCGAAAGCAGATTGATGAGCTATGAGACTCGGAATGCACATCCAAAAATCGATTTTCGTCCTTGTAAAGAGTGAGGCCGGCGCTGAATTGTTGACGTTTGAGCTGATCGTCCAATTGAATGTGAACTTCCGCGGTGCCCTGCAGTTTTCGTTGTCGTAACCCCAGGAATGCCGGTGCCTCGATTAAGCTAGATAGATCTGCCGGATTGGCAACCAAAACGAGCTTGAGGCCGTCGTTACTGCTTCTGTATTGTTTTCTTGGTCCGTTTCTGATTTCCAGAAATGCGTCTTTGGGAAGCAAGGAAGGGACATCTTTCAGACCCGAGTCTGGAATGCTGGACTCCGGAATTTCGATCTCTGGCGTGATCGGAGCCAAAACTGGCCAGTCATTTGCAGTTGGCCAGCTCACTTTGGTCAGCAATAATTCTCTTCCCATTGGACAGCGTCCATCCTTCTCTCGCACACCTAGCACAGTTGCCCACCACTCTCCTTGCGCATCCTGGAAAATATCGGGGTGGCCAGTTTGCTGAAAATGTGATGTCGTTTCAGCTGATGGCAGAATAGGATTGATCTCAGCGGACTCATAAGGCCCCCATACATTCTGAGATCTTGCTGCAGAGACGAGATGGTGTTCAAAGGGTCCTCCTTCGGCAATGACCAGATAATACAGCCGACCCCTCTTATAGAGTCGTGGCCCCTCGGCGTCAACTCGAATAAAGCCCTCCCAAATGGTCTTTAGCTCTGATAACTTTTGACCGGTTACGACATCTATCTCGAATTGGTCGATGGTGGTGGAAGGCTGTACAGAGTAATCGATGACTCGGGAACCTTGAATATATGCGCGACCATCATCATCAAAGAACAAATTAGGATCGATACCATGGAAGTCAAAAAATATGGGATCACTCCATGAGTTGGACCAGATGTCTGAGGTCTGAATGATAAAGTTTCGAAATTGAACCTCTCCATTCACCCAACGAGTGTTCGTGCAAGTGATATAGAACACATCTTTATGGTGTCGTATAGTTGGAGCCCATAGACCGCCAGTGGCCACAAGAGTATGACCATCTCTATTGATCACTAACTTGGCAGCGGACTGAGCCAGGTCAAGTTGTTCGCGTCTGTTGATGGCATTTCCTATTCGAGTGATGAGAAGAGTCACCACCAAGCATGTCAGATGAACTTACCTAAATGCGACCAAGTGACCAGATATTTTGACACGTAGATCGGTATGCCAGGAAAGAAATGGAAGGACGAAGTGACTGCAAAATACAGACCACCAACCGCGCAGGCAGAGGGATCGGGAGAAAATCCCGAGATGATGGGATTGCTGATCAACTGAGGCATCGTGAAAACGCAGAAGTAGTTGAGACTATCACTATGGTGTTCACTTTCTCTATACTCACACTGGATTAATCATAGTGAATAGACGGGCTCAGGCTTTATATCATATCTCTAATTTGGTGGAACCAAAAACCCCCACTCTGGCTAGGACATCTCTATGTAACCGTATGAATATCCTGAATAACTTCCAAGGTCCTCGAATAAAATTTACCATATCGCCGCAAATGCAATTAGATGCATTTATCCGAGCAGGAAGTGATATCATCAACGACATCTGGACTGTAAGGTCATCGTCATCTCATGTTTGCACAACTTCACAGCTACCACGGGTAAAACCATCAACGAGCTAGTAGTTCCAATCAAACATCAACGTAAGGATTGAAACGAATGCGGGGAACAGCTTTCTTCCCATTTTGGACACTTTCCGAGAATTCTTATCCGATTTGCTATCTGACAGTCTAGACCCAGAACTGGCTACTCTAAATCCTAGAGCTAGATTCCCAATGTGATTGGGATCGAATCGTCTTTCAAATTCTCCATAGAAACCAGTGGCAGACAGAAGAGTGGGAAACCAGAGCTTGGGCTAGCCTAGAAAAGACCATTAATGAACCAATTTAAGCTATTAAGGCGAGAATTAAAACTATTTATCAGAATCACATAATTCAATTACCCTTTTGAGACATTTGCCGAGTGTCTAAGGATCTTTTTGTTCTATATACTAGTTTTGACCCAAAGATGAGACTGGTTCCCCTCAAACACAGAACTGGATTATCCCAGATCAAACCCCATCCAAACCTTATAGCTGTAGTTTTTGTCCAATACATATCTCCCGAGGTAAGTTGCAAGTCGGTTAATAACTGCCTTCAGCATCTTGTTCAGCCCTACCCTGCGAACAACAGATAACAGCTCTCCTTCCAATTGACATTGATAGAGTCTAATCTTGCAGTTTCAATGACCCCGGGCTTTTTCCTATTGTAGATCACAGAAACTAATATAAGGAGTAATGTTTCAATGTTTGCTCCAGTCTTCCTGTTCATAAAATTCCCTCACTTGGGCACATTGATACTGTGTCTCTTCTGTTATTTTCAATCAAAAACATATCAAAGCCACCTTGAAGACAATCAGTTCTACAAAGGATAAAGCCCACATATCACCATGATAGACAAAGAGCAGCCAGTTATTGAACGTCTGGATGATCTTCAGCTACAAGCCCAGGGGCATGAAGCTGTTATGCCCCGGCAATTTACGCTATGGTCACTGATTGCTTTTGCTATCGCTGTCTCAAGTGCCTGGTTAGCGGTTTCAAGTCTTCTAACAACTCACTTGACTTTTGCAGGACCTGTGGGAGCAACTTGGGTTCCTCTTGTGTCAGGTGTGGCTTCTATGATCATTGCTGCAGGTTTGGCGGAACTAGCCTCCGCATATCCTTCATCTAGTGGACAGTATCAGTACGTGTCACGCCACGATCCTTATCATAGCTAGTGAGTCTTCAAGCTAATTTTACTGCTGTTATTCATTTATGATCGCAGGTGAAAAGTACCGACAGGCAGCCGCATTTACAGTTGCATGGCTCAATGTCTTAGCTTGGCTATTTGGAAGTTGCTCTTCAGTCATTTATCCTGCCCAGCTCACCATGCAATTAGCACAAGTGTATAATCCGAGTTATACGCCCGAGCGGTGGCAAATCTGGCTACTATATGTAGCTTTGCTTCTTATCGGTATGGTTGTCGTCATTTATGGTCACGCCTTTATCGCCAGAGTCGAAATCATGCTATGCTGCAGCTCCTTATTGGCTGCCAGTAAGACTAAGGCGAGTGCATGGTCAGTCTTCGCAAAATGGGAAAACACTTCCGGCTGGCCCAACGGGTTTAGCTTCATGTTAGATGTTGGTCAAGGCATGGGCATGTATGAGACACTAATTCCTTCCTATCTCGGTCGTCAATACTTACATGGGGAATAGCTACACCTGTATTGATTCGGCAACTCATATTTCCGAAGAAATCCATGAACCTGGGAAACATGTTCCTCGAGCTATGGTTCTCTCCACCGGAATTGCCATTATTTGCAACGTTGCGTTCACGCTCGCAGCATTGTTCAGTACTTCATCGATTGCCGACGTTTCAGCCTCCTCATTCCCGATTTATGAAATTGGCAGAGAAGCTATTGGATCCGATGGCGCAGTCTTATTTCTCCTGATATGGCTCACTTTTACATTCTATAGCACCATCCCAGGGGTTCTACTCACCACTGGCAGACTTGTATGGGCCTTCTCAAGAGATAACGGTCTACCTTGGTCATCTTACTTCAACCGTATCAGTGAGAGATACAAGGTTCCGGTCCAGGCTCACCTTATCAGCTGTGTCTTTTGCATTCTCTATGGCCTGATCTATATCGGAAGTACGGCCGGGTTTAACGCCATTTTATCCACAACCATCGTCTTCGCTCTCCTATCGTATTCAGTACCACAGGCGCTTCTTCTGATATCAGGTCGGAGCCTCCTTCCGGAACGACACTTCAAGCTCAGAAAGTCCATCGGTACATTTGTCAATTTGTTCTCAGTGGTCTGGACCCTAGCATACTGCATCTTGCTTGCCTTTCCATTATCTTTACCCACCTCACCCATGTCAATGAGCTACGTCTCTGTCGTTCTTGTTGGTATGCTGTGCTTCATTTTTTTTCTTTGGTTTGTAGGTAAAAAGCGCAGAACTTTCAAGGGGCCTATTATTCGAATGGATATTCTTCAAGGGGTCAACAGGGCAATAGTGGATTCAGACAACTTGAAAGCGGATATCAACCTTGGAAAGGATTAAATGCATAGACAGAGGCAGTTAATGTGGCGACATGCTGTATATGATATCATGCCTAAGGTGTCAAATGACTTTCAGTGCCTTAGGCTATCTCAACTACCAGGGACAGTCCAATACTTATACTGAACCTAATTCTGTGGCGTTGACTATGTAGCACTTTGTGGCTTAAGATTATCATTCAAGATCAAAAACTGGAATTTCTGAGACATTCCTTTTGTCCAGATGGTTCTTCGTTGAGTAATAATAACTTTGGAAGCCAATATCTTCTTTCCGTAGACCTCAAGTGCTGGTAAATGGGCAGGGTATCCTGGCGCTACCAGGCATGTTTAATAGTAATGTTAGGACCAAGATTTACAGAAATTCATGACCCTCTCTGTACTTTTTGTTCTGTACACTGGTATGCAATGAGATCCCAGGGATCCAAAATTCAGGCGTATTTTTCATCCAAATATGGCAAGAGAAGAATACTCAAGTTCTATCCTTGGATCGCTCATGTGCAGTCGATTAGCGATGATCTCGCTGCAGTTGACCACAAATGTCGAATAGACTTCCAGTTGTCAGGGAACTTGCATGTCAGGATTCAACATTTGAATGGAAGACCATCCCTTTTAGTACTGTCTATCCAGCATTTGAAATTATGAGCCCAAGACCTATGGCAACCTGGAGATTCGATACATCACACGAGATTCAAGTTGCCTTGCATGTCCACTAGGTACTGAGTGACTCGGCAAATGATTCCACCTCAATGTTCCAATTCGAAATGGAAGGAGGAGTCTATCGGCATTTAAAGAGAGATCCCTCTTTATAAATGGCTGATTTACTCCGTAAACCTGTCATATACCCCGATTGCTGTCATGATACTCCATTTCGATGCCTTCATAAGACCATGGAGATTTCAGACTGCATTTGTGTAACAGCCAACATTTGAAATAGCGGTGAATGCAATGAATGTGATTACCATGCAGATTGATCAATCCACGAGACCCAAGTCGATTTTACCTATCATATTCCCAAGTAATGCATGGAATCCGATAGTCCGTGCCAATCTCAAGTCAACAGGTTTGCATGCTGGGTGACCCAACTGAAACCGATTGCAAGTTGAGCCTGTTACATAAATGTGGGTTTGTGCATATCATATCATTGGTTATAACCCCGCCAACGATAAAAACCACGCGTGGGTCTTGTCCTTGTGGATCCAAGATCTGAGGGGTCCAGAGCTTTTGATGTATTGACAACGTAGCGAGGACTCCGACGGGTAATGACGGGGTGTACGGAGGGGATGTAGCGGTATCAGAATGTAAATAGTACCTAGGTACCTATGGGAATTCTTTTTTTTTGTTTTTCTTTTCTCTCAAGTGCTCTCTGTAATTTCAACTTGACAGTGATTTTCATCCTTTCCAACCTTGGAAGGTTTAACTTTTCGATCTCACCGGTGTGACTGAAAGTACTGAAAACCAAATTCCAACCCCCTTGAAACCTTGAAACTTATTTATCATTCATTTCATTCATATAATTTGTCGAATTGGCTTTATCAACGTGGACCAAGGGGAAATATAAGGTTTATATTTCCGAGGAAACCAAAATTTTGAACATTTGAAACTTGAAAGAACATTTAGGTGAACCCAAAGTTCCAAAGGATTCCCGAGGTCTTTCCTCCTTCTTCTCCTCACACCATGACTGGGCCAAAGATGTCGCCTCATGCAGGCGCAACGTTACGATTATGGAAACAACTGCAAGAAATAAAAGACAAGAAACAAATTGTTCTTGACGGGAACAACCTTGACATTTCTTCCATTGTTGCTGTAGCCCGTCATGGCGTCAAACCCACTATCAGCACCGACGAACATATTGCAAAGCAGCTAGAACTCAGTGTGAAGACTCTCTCGGAGTACCTTTCCCATAAATATGTGGTCTACGGTGTGAACACGGGCTTCGGAGGAAGTGCCGACACAAGAACAAGCGACGTCCTTGACTTACAGGTTCATCTGCTACAACATACTCAGAGCGCAATTATCACCGATGCGGATAAGGATCCGGCAAGTAATTCCGAGCGAGAGCCTTCGCATGTTATGCCTCCTGCCTGGGTTCGCGGTGCAATTGTCGCTCGCGCTAACCAGAACCTCCGAGGTCATAGTGCAGTGAGATTATGTGTGCTTCAAAGCCTCCTTGATTTACTGCACAATGATATTACCCCCATGGTACCACTTCGGGGAACCATTTCAGCATCTGGAGATCTCATGCCCATGTCTTATATTGCTGGTGCCGTCTCTGGAAACCCCGATGTCTTTGTTCAGGTCGGAAAGGGCAAGGAGGCCAGAGTTATACCCGCTTCTAAGGCCTTGAAAGAGAGTGGTCTATCGCCGTCTGGACTTGGACCCAAAGAGGCGCTTGGTCTGATTAATGGTACTGCTCCATCCGTTGCGGTCGCAAGTTTGGTCTTGTATGATGCCCAGCAGCTCGTGCTTCTTTCCCAGATGCTGACTGCATTTGCGTCTGAGTGCATGGGAGGAAATGTGGAATGGGCGCTGCCCTTCATTCATGACGCACGGCCTCACACAGGTCAAATCGAGGCTGCGAGCAATATTCGTCGATTTTTGAATGGGTCTAAATTTGTGGATGGACTCGAGTCAAGAAAGAGAACTGGAGAGGGACTTTGGCAAGATCGATACTCTACGCGAACTGCTCCACAGTGGATTGGACCATACCTTGAGGATCTCCTTCTTGCACAGCATCAGCTTGAAGTTGAGCTCAACTCAACATCGGATAATCCTCTCATTAATTCTTCAGAATCAGGTAGCGGCGAGGTCTACTCCGGCGGAAACTTCCAGGCAGTCGTGGTTACTTCGGCCATGGATAAGACTCGCCTAGCGCTTCAAATGATCGGTCGCATGCTCTGGTCTCAAGTGAGCGAGATTATTGGTCCGAATACGAATAACGGTCTCGAGGCCAATCTCAACCCCAGTGACCATGAGAACTATACTATGAAGGGTATCGATGTCAACATGTCCGCATACATGTCCGAGTTGGCAGCCTTGGCTCATCCTGTCTCTTCCCATGTCATGTCTGCCGAGATGCACAACCAAGGTATCAACTCGCTCGCTCTAATTTCTGCTCGACGTACCATGGAAGCCGCAGACCTGGTGGCACATATGAGTGCTTGTCACATCTATGTTTCATGTCAGGCTGTTGAAATGCGTGCCAACCACATCAGATTCCTCTCAGCAATTGAAGGCCAGTTGAAGGATGTAACATCAAATGGTGCATTCCGTGACCTAGGCCTAAAGGATTCGCAGGTTGAGACACTCGCTAACCTGCTATATCCCATTATTGAATCCACCTGGTACCACTGGAATGCCAATACCTGGAAAGACCGCATCCCGCTAGTTGTCGATGTGGTAGTTGCCCCAGTCACCGATTACCTGGCTACCAGTGAACATAATTGCTTAATGTCGGCTCTCATCGCATTTAAGAAACACTTCCAGAGCATTGTACAGAGTACAGCGGGTGAAATGTTTTATCCAAGTCCCACTATTACTCCAACTGAGGTTGTCTCCCAGCTTGGTGATGGATCTGCGCAGCTATACACCTGGGTGCGCTCGAATCTCAACATACCTTTGCACTGCGGTCTGAAGGATGATCCATTGTACAACGCCCGAGAAGGTCTTTCGACAGCAGACAAGAAGACTATCGGTAGCCGAGTCAGCAGTATTTATGAGAGCTTGTTCAAGGGTGGAATGATGGATATGATTCTTAAAGGGCTGGATACTGGTCGTGTCTCTCCCCAGGTCTGTGTTTCGTGTTTTGCGCAGAAATAATGTTTTTACTAGGATTTTCGTTTATTAAAATTTCGGGAATGTGTATTTTGTTAACTAGTTTAGACAAAACCATCATTTCTCTCTACTTTAGACTGATTGACGCGTACACGATCCATCAAGTGTTTTTAGCCCCCGGGGGCCATGATCTATGTAATATTACCAAAATGTAAATTATTACAAAGAAGTCATATCTGACCAATTATAAATCAAATTTTGACGGCAGAAGATCCAATTAAAGAAGGCGGTGCTATAATTCTATGTAACATACATGTTTTGCAGGAATGAGGAGTCGTGACTCGTGAGGGGCCAAATCACCTGTTGAATCTCTAGTGTCAAGGTGCGCATCTTAAACCCCTGATGATATTTTGGATTTTCAAATGTTGAACTCTTTGAGGTCTCTTAAATACTAACATTTAAATCAAGATTGAAAAAAAAATCCAAAATTCATCGTTTTTCCTGACCCGGGCATTATGGCTTTCGCATCCATCTGCAACCTGTGGTCACAATGGTTTCCCCCAACAGCAGGTTTCACAGAAAAAGATGTCCCTTCACAAAGAGGCCGAGTGTTTATTGTCACGGGTGGTAATGCCGGAGTTGGCTTCGAGCTGTGCAAGATTTTATACGGGACTGGTGCCACTATATATATGGCATCGAGATCAAAGGTAAGCTTGGCCTCTCCAAGCCATTCTGACCCATGCACTATGCACTGACCTCGGGACTAATCTACGTTGCTTATAGGAGAAAGCCGAAGCTGCAATCCGGGCAATCATTGAAAATTCAGAGCCTTCGCCTTCTTCCGGTCAGATCAAATTTCTCCAATACGATCTGAATGACCTAAAATCAGTCAAGGCGGCAGCAGCAACATTCGCACAACAGGAATCCAAGCTCGATATTCTGTGGAACAATGCAGGGACCGGCGCTAACCTCGTGCCTGTTGGCGCAAAGACAAAACAAGGATTCGAGGCCATGATCGGAATGCACTGCATTGCACCACTTTTATTCTCTGAGCTCTTACTTCCTCAGCTCAGAGCTGCCGTCGCATCGGGGACTCCGGGCTCAACTCGCGTGATCTGGACATCTAGCTTCTTAGCGGAGGGTGGAACACCAAAAAATGGACTTGAGTTCGAGCATCTTGAGAACGGGACGACCGATCGAACGCGTAACTATGCTGTGTCTAAGTCTGGTAACTGGTTTTTGGGCCGTGAGTATGCTGAGCGACACGGAAGTGAGGGAATAGTCAGTGTTGCGCAGAACCCGGGGAATCTCAGATCGGGCGCTTATGATGGTACACCGAGTTTTCTTATGCTCTTTGTGAAACCTGTATTGCAGGACGTCAAGCTTGGGGCTTATACCGGGATTTTTGCTGGGTTGTCGTCGGATATTTCTTTGGAGAATAATGGCGCATATGTTATCCCTTGGGGTCGTATTAGACCAGATGAGGATTGTCCTCGCAAGGATATTATCAATGCTTTAACTGCTGAAGAGAAGGGTGGACTGGGCTATGGTAAGAAATTCTGGGACTGGTGTGAAGAGCAATGGAAACCGTTCTGCGAATAGATGCGATCTGTTTGCGCTGAGATAGCTAGGCGTTTCACTCAACATCGTGTACAAAAGATATTTCTTTTCATCTGAGATGCGCTATCAAAGTTGGATGGAATCCCATATACTCCACCTAGGTACGTACCACTAGTAATCGATGCTCCGACCCGCTCGCTTGGAGCAACTCCATAAATTCGAGGAACCAAGTCTTTTGCAAATTCAAAAGAGAGCGTCCATCCGCGTGGCCCTGAGAGCTGCCAAAACAAAAATCTAGTGGATTTTTGGCGATCACTTCCTCTCCAGGGCTGAATTCGATGTGCTATTTCCAGGGTTCATAGCCGCGGCTATAACACCCAAATCGAGCGAAATCGAATTGATGTTACATCATAATAATGGCCTCTTTCTAACTTTTTTTTTTTTAGGAAAGTTGAAGATGAAGTGAAGTGTGGAGTATAATCAGGAGATCTGAGGAAGAGTTCAAAAGCCGTAAAGCGAGTGATGTGCCCTGACTCTTCTTCTACTGCCTATCCCATCCTCTCTGTTGAACCCGGCAACTTGCAACTTGCAAAATACCATCCATCATGTTCTCCCTACGTACCATCGTTCTAGCAGCATTCAGCCTCATACTCACTGGAAATTGTTCCGCAATGAAAGTTCCTGGAAGCCTACTTTTGAACAGTGTCGCAGAGTCGATTGCACTGCCCATGTATACATGGTCTGCAAACGGTACCCACCAAGCAAAGGGCTATACAACCAAGCAAGCCGATGTTACCGACGTGCAAGGCCTGTATGAGGACTGTGAAAACATTAACCTGAACCGAAAACTGGCCACCAACTTCCGAAGTGACGTCCTCGGTCCTGGGGTTATTGGTTTCTTCTACAAGTGTGAGAAGATCAGCGATGATACCAACTTGTACTGGTTCACGATTAGCTCTGGGGAGAAGACGCAGATTGATCAGCTCTGTGATCCTAATCAGACGTACCCTATCGTCTATGATCAGCAGCACAATACATGGTTCATCGATGAGCCTTTTGATTGTACCCAGCGTACTTCGCCTTCGATTTCAGTCTGATGTGATATAGAAAGGTGAGATCATTGTGTCCCTGTATACTCATAATCTCATAACTATCTATAAACTAACCCCTTTCCCACAGGGATTCTATCAGTGATTATACTGAGCAGGAAGGGTGAGGAAAAAATGAGCCTGAACTCTTGTACTCTGGAGCCCATTGTGTGTTCTAGAAGCAGATACAATAATAACCAAAGAAATACATGATATACTTCAACTCGAAGAGAGGAAAATAATGAGACAGAGAAAGAATACCCCAACTCCTTCTAACCCTGGCTAGCTCGCGCTTCAGGAGCATCAAGCCCCCAATCCGTCTTCAATTTCGGGGTAAGAATTCCCGACTTTCTCAATATGTGCCCAGCAAGGTCCAGCAAAGATTCACCAGAAAGAATCTCCAAAACCTGCATATTTGCTTCCAACTCACGCGTAATCCAGTTTCGAATCTCAATAGCCACCAAAGAGTCCAGTCCATAAACGGAAATTGATACAGCAGGATCCACTTCTTCGATTGGGCGCATGAGAATACTAGAAATCTTGTGTGCCAACGCAGAAACAACGATAGCCTCAGCAGATTCGCGGGTTTGACATTGTCGAATTGCCGCTGCAGGGGATGTCTGGTCATTTGCTGCCGCCAAATCAGCTGTACCAGCACCTGCAAGTGTAGATAGACGAAGAAGATGCGAAAGCTTAGTGTCTGATACCCAAAAAGGTTGCTCAGATGCTGGTGTTGTCTTGACTCCGTCAAAACCTACGATACAATGTCCCTCGCAAGTTGCTTGCATCTCTTTTCTCATTGCGGCAGCGACAAGACCCCGGATATCTGTTGCGTCGACGGACTCGGTACCCAGCTGGGCCGCTATTTCCTCACGCTTGGAGTCATCGGAGAGGTAGCCGACACCGCGGACGATTGGGAGATCGATTGTTGTGCAAGGCACACCTGAGACCTGGGAGTATGTTGCTAATGCGGACATAAATGTACCACTAGCGGCATACGGTGACTGTCCCAGGTTTCCAACAAAGCTAGCTGCAGATGAGAGGGTGACGAAGAAGTCCAGACTTGACTTGATCTCGGGCTTCTGGAGAGTTTTCTGCAGGTTCCAGATTCCGTGAATTCTGGGCTTCATGACCGCCTCAAAGTCCTCATGGCTGAGCTTTTCGAATAAAGTGTCCTGAAGTCATCGTTAGTAATGCTCATTTGATGCTAATGTATTATTGACTTACTCGAAGAACCATGGCTCCATAGACAACACCCCGAACAGGGGGAAGCTTTTTCAACAACGGGACCATATTTTGTTCCACATGCTGTGGGCTGGAAATATCGCAGCGACAAACTTCGACAGTGATACCCTGGCATTTCAGGTCGTCAATAGTTGTTCGAGCTAGGTCAGTTGAGGCGCCGCTCCTAGAAACCATAACGATATGCTTGGCTCCTTTCTGCGGCATCCAGCTGGCAATGTCGAGACCGATACCGCTGGTACCACCAACTACAATATATGTGCCATCAGCGCGAAGAAGCTTTTCTTCATTCCTTGCAGGATGAACCTTCATTAAGTTAGTATAATTTCCAAAAAAAGCAGCCAGTAGGTTTTGCATACCTTAACCATAGCATCATTAGTCATCTCAACGACCATCTTTCCAATGACTTGACCACCCTGCAAAGCACGGAATCCATTCTCAACCTGAGAGATAGGCAGAGTAGTAATTGGCCAGCGTAAATCGGCCCTTGTCCTCGCAAAGGTGTAGAATGCCTCGCGCATCAAGCGTCTTGTCAGCTTCGGTCGCTTCTCTCTCACGATACCCAAGTCAACTGATGAGAAAGACAAATTTTTGTTGAAGTGAGCCATCTCCAACCGGGAATTCTGAGTGATGTCTCTCTTTCCAAGCTCAATGAAACGACCAAATGGAGCAACGCATTCGAATGTAGCTTGCAGGGCATCTCCACTGAGTGAATTGAGGGCAACGTCCACGCCTTCTCCATTAGTGGCAGCGAGAATACCCGCAGCGAAAGAAGTGTCACGACTAAAGAAGATTTGCTCTTCCTTTAGACCGTGTGTTTCCATCAAGAATTTCTTCTTCTCGACACTTCCGACAGTCGCATATATTTTGGCACCAATATTCTGGGCAATGATGATAGCGGCTTGTCCAACTCCGCCAGCAGCTGCGTGAATAAGAACACTTTCATCCTCAGCCAAACGGCCTAGCTCGACAAGCGAGTAGTACGCAGTACAGAAAACAGCGGGGATTGATGATGCGACTTGCCATGACATATCGGAAGGGATAACCCATGCGCAGGAAGCTGGACATCGGGTAAAGGTTGAAAGCGATCCAGGCGACATCGCACTTACACGGTCTCCCACGCTGAAATCCATTACCGCTGATCCTACTTTTGAGACAACTCCACTGCACTCCTGGCCAAGCTTGTCACCACGAAGCTGGCCCATGGCCATAAGTACGTCGCGGAAGTTCAAACCAGTGCATTGGACCCGGATCTCGATGTGATCTGCAGGGAGTGGTGCATCGCGGGAGTCATCGTCGGTAAAATGCAGCTCATCCAGCACGCGACCCTGACCAGCAGATAATCGCAGTGCACGATCTTGTTTGAATAGTTGCATCTGAGGGGGCGCGCTTGAAGTTTCCAGTTGAACACTGAGGTTGAGTTCGTGATTATCAAGGAGTCGAGGAAGACAAACGTTGCCATTGCGAACAACAAATTCCATGTCGCCTTGGTTAAGCTGAGTCTTGTGACAGAATATACCATCAAAGACATTGAGTATGTGACCAACAGCCTCGGCATCGGGCATACTCTCCTTCTCTCCCAAATCGAGGGTTGCAAACTGTACACCAGTCTCCGACCGGACCGTACGAGCCAGTCCGATGGCCATGTTGGAACCCAAAGACTGCGGATCAGATTTGGTGTGACGAACAATCCAAAACAGGCCCCTCGCGCGACTGACAAGGCTCTGAAACTCTTTGAACTGCTTCGGTGTAAGGTGAGACAGGATTGAACGGTCCATACCACCCAGGAAAATACACCATTTATCAGCAACGTCTGCTGAGTTAAGATCGGATGCTGTTGTTGGAACAACTCCGGTAATGTCTCTCAGTCCAGCTTCGAGACTCAACGAAGACACACATCCAAGAGACTCGTTGCTGATAAGAACGATGTCACCGGGATTAGTGGGCCCAGTTGTTGGCGGAGTTGCTGTTGATATAATCACACAACCAGTCTGGTAGGAAGCACCTGGATATCCTTCAACACAGATATCAACACCAGAAAAGTCATTTGCTTTCATGACCTTAGACCACCCGTCCTGAGTTAGGAGAGGGCCATCTTGACGAAGCTCTTCGCTTGCTAACCACCACCCGGGCAGGAGAGCGAATGGGAAATGTGTGGCTGTGGATTTTGTTTCTTCAATCAACAGAATTTTGCCACCAGGTTTCATGAGAGTTCGAATGTTTGCCATTGTCTCATTGATGTCAGGAGTCGCATGGAGAACATTACATGCGACTACCAAGTCATATGTACCAGCTTGGAAGCCTTGGTTCAGAGGGTCGGTCGAAACATCTAGAGTCTGATAAGTCGTGAGATGGTTCCAGCCTTCAAACTTAGCTTGAGCCTTCTCAAAGAATCCAGGTGAAATATCTGTGTAAGTGTAGTGGCCGAATCTAGGCGTGGAGCCTGGGACGTTTCCACCCAGCATTTCTAAGATTGGCAAAGTGGCACCTCCAGTTCCAGCACCAATTTCAAGAATGTTCAGATCTGGGTTCTGGTGAGCCATCTTATCAATGCAGACGGATGCATTGGCGTATGATTCACGCAGGCCATCCAGGTCCTGGTAATAATTCCCAAGCATGTCATCTTCCAACATTAGAGTAAGCGCATCTTGGGTGCCTCGAAGGATTTCAGGAAGACGCTCTCCAACGAAGCAGTTCAGTTTCCCTGCGCCGTTTGCATTTCTTGTCGTTTCAATGATCTTTGACGACATTTTGTCAACAGGGGAGGTTTGACACGTCTTTTGAGCCCATCGATAGAACTTTTGATGGTGACTCGAGAATGACGAAAATTCATTTTCAGGAACTGATTTGATCATCCGTCGAAGCCAGTGCACTGCAAGTTTTTCTAAGTGATGCATCCGCTCTCCACCCTTTCCATCGTCAACCTGAGCACGAGGGAGCTGTCTGTAAGTATCCTCAGAAAGGAACTCAAAGCACGGCTCCCAGTGAAGCTTGTAGCACATTGAAGCGGGTGCATTGTCTTTATGACCCTTGATATCGTTCGAGATAGGTGCCAAAGTAAGCCCATCGATGTCGAGAACGATGTCAGACAGATTGTCAGGGCGAGTAGCAATAATGCGATTATGTTCCGCAATACTGGCAGACTCAACACCTGAGCGAGAACCGAATAGCTGGAGTGGAGCCCCAGCACTAAGCTTGTAGTCTAGAGACAAACTAACTCGGTCAAGGTGAGATGGTACATAGGTCTGTCTCTGGCCGGGTTGACCAAATCCTCGCAGAATCCACATCATTTGACAACATAGATCAAGAGTGGCTGGATGAGCAATGAAACCCATTTCATACTCATTGGGCATTGAGGCCTTCGTGTCCGGTACACAAATTGAAGCGATTGCTCTCATGGTTGAGTCAACAGGAACTCGAATGTTCGATAGACCTCGGAATAGAGGACCGTAGTTGACCATGCCGTTGAGGATATTTTCATAGAGTACATCGGAGTCAATCGGGTTTTGACAAGCCTTCTGCATTGCTTTGATAGTTTCCGCAAGGTTTGCTTCAACGAGAGTCTTTTGACGGGAACCATCAACAGGATTCGTTTCCTTGGTTTCCTCAACCATGACAAAGCCGTTGCAGTGCTGATCCCAACCCCTTCCTTCTGTCCAGGAAAATACTTTGAACTCGTGCCAGCCGAGCATTGCTTTTCCAGGGGTCTCAGACCTGGACGGACGCAGACTAAACATTGTCTCAACGGGTGTGTTGTCAGGAATAGTGAGAGCGCGAGTGATGGATATGTCGCGAAGCTGAATATTTCCGGGCACAATGTGATGTAGCTGTGCCTGCTGAGATATTGCCTCCATTGCCATTGCCAGGAATCCGGTCATGGGGTACACATTGCTATCGTGAACTCGGTGTTGACGGATCCACGGATGATCGTCTGCACGAAGAATATTCCTCCATCGGGGCTCAAGGTCCACATTTTCTATACAAAGTGAGCCCAATAGCTCGCTTCGTGGGAACTGACGATGTAATAAATTATTTCCGAGTCGTGAGCTGAACCAATACCTTTCTGTATGGTTCCATGGATATGTTGGGAGGTTGCTCAGGACTTGCGGCGTGATGGAAGATTTGGTCGGAAAGTTGATGGCCTGAAAATTCACATTCAACCCGAGGTTGAACAAGGTGCCCGCAAGCTGCTGAGCGGCGTTGATTGCGTCTAACTTTCTGTTCAAAGTGTGTGCAAAATTCATTGGTCGACCCGGTGCGTGTGCTTTGACAATGTCTTTAACGGGGTTTCCAAGCGCTGGGTGCGGTCCGACTTCGACCAGGGTATCAATTTTGCCATTTGGCGAATCCGTTGCCAGAAGGCTTTGCATGCCCTTCACGAACTCGACGCGAGAAACCAAGTTCTCTACCCAATATGACGCACCCAGAGTACTTCCTGCGACCAGCTTGCCGTGCACGGTCGAGTGGAATGGAATGACAGATGAGCGAGGTGCGATCTTTCCTAGCAAGGCACGGTACTGTTGTGACACTTTTTGCATGTGGTGGGAGTGATAAGCAACTTCAACATGCAGCAAGCGAGTGAAAATTCCTTCTTTGTCGAGGGCTTTCTCAAGATCAGTGATGACATCTCTATCACCAGATAGGGTAATACTCGAGTCACTGTTAACACAGGCGATTACTGCTCTTTGTCCGCGCATCGCGTCCAGAATTTGCTGAATATCTCCCGCATTGGCTCCAACAGCTAGCATGGCTCCGTTGACGCTCTTATCCTTGGCTACCATATCAGCTGCAACACCTCGGCAATACGCAATTCGAACACATTCCTCGAGCGTCAGAATCTCAGCGGCATACGCAGCAGCAATTTCACCACTGGAGTGACCAACGACTGATGCAGGTTTAATGCCCCACGATGACATCAAATCCACGAGAGCCAGTTGAATTGCAGTGCAGGCCGGTTGGCTCATGTATGCTGCGGAAATTGAGCTTGCCTTCGGATCTTCCAATTGAATTTCATCTGTACAGAGTTAGAGAGATTGCATATGAGATGGAGGTGTGAAGTCTCACCGATGATGGAGAACTTTGCTCCGAGAGTTTTCAAGCACGCGTCAACATCTCGCATTGTTTTGCTGAAAACTGGATACCTGTCCAGTAATTCTTTGCCCATGCCATGCCACTGCGCACCCTGACCAGTGAAGACAAACCCAATCGTCGGCTGACCAGTGGACCGAGTTGGTTCTTTCACAGCCGCTAGGAAATCGATGAGCTCGGTATGCACAGCCGCAGGAACAGCCATTCTCCATTGGAGATGAGATCGACGCTGGCCCAGTGTATATGCCAGATTGTCCATCAGGGTGTCTGAAAACACTGGAGGATGCCGATGCAGATATGAGATAATATCATCGCCCATCCTCGCGGCTGCTTGTTTATCGGCACCAGAAACGACGTAGAGTCTCCGGGCAAAAAGATCCTCATTCTCAACTCCTTGACCTCCGTACGTAGGGCCACGCTCCAGAACAACGTGGGCGTTGGTCCCGCCAAATCCGAAGTTGTTCACGCTTGCGTAAGTCTTTCCTCGGGGCCAAGGTACGAGCTTCTTGGGTACCTATACACAATTGTTAACACATACTCTCAGTCATTATTCTTTGTCAAATCCGACTTCTTACCTTCATGTTCCACTTATCCATAGGAATTTCCTCATTTGGCTTATCATAATTACAATTCGGGAGCACAAAGCCACGCTCCAACATGAGTGTAGTCTTGATGACTGACACAACTCCACTTGATCCTTCCAAATGACCAATATTGGATTTGAGTGATCCGATAAACAAGGGATCCTTGGGTGTTCGTCCTTTGCCAAAGACTGCGTGCAATGCTCTGGCCTCCAATGGATCTCCAACCTTCGTACCGGTTCCGTGAGCTTCAACATAACCGGTCATGGCGGGGTCGATTCGTGCGGTTTTGTAAACTTCGCGCATCAATTTTTCCTGGGCCTCGCTGTTGGGCAATGTGATACCTCTTGTACGACCATCTTGATTTATACCACTGCTAACGATCACAGATCGAATAGCATCACCGGCAGCTTCGGCGTCTGCGACAGACTTTAATATAATACATCCAGCACCCTCCCCGCGTCCAAACCCAGTCGCTCTGTGGTCAAATGCATACGTTTTTCCGGTGTCGGCCAGCAGTCTGTTCCAGAAAGTGATTAATACTCATTCAGAAATTCAAACTATTCTACACTTTGGTCACATACCGAGATCGAGTCATGGAAATGAATCCTTGAGGCATTAAATTCAAGTGGCAGCCCCAGACAATAGCCATAGAGCATTCGCCATTTCGAATACTCTGACTAGCCAAATGCAGTGCCGACAAACTTGAAGAACATGCCGTGTCGACCGTGATGCTAGGGCCATGAAGATCAAAATAGTAGGAGACTCGGTTTGACTGAAGAGCGCTCGCCATTCCTGTCGCAGAGTACATTGGAACATTTTCAGCATCCAAACCATTGTTGATATCGTAATCTGGGTGAGACGCGCCCGCAAATACACCGACATTTGTTCCGGCGATGGAACTGCTCGAGATACCAGCATTTTCGAGAGCTTCATATACACATTCGAGCATAATGCGCTGTTGCGGGTCGAGAGCGCGGGCTTCCTGCAGAGTGATATTGAAGAATGGGGCATCAAATAATCCAGCATCCTCGGTCAAGAAATGAGCGCCTTGGTTGTTGAATGAGCCGGGTCGATCTGGACTTGGATGGTAGAATGATTCGGCGTTAAAGCGACTCTTTGGTACTTCGGACCAGGTACTCTTCCTTCTCGAACACATATCCCATAGATCATCGGCTGTCGACACTTGTCCTGGCAAACGACAAGACATGCCGATAATGGCCATCTTCTTTGGAACATCGCCCACCATTTTTCCTCCTCTTTGCGCTTGTTATCTGGTACAGGCGATCCCGACCCAGATGGTGCTTGAAGACGCATTATTGCAGTATCGAATTGCGAATGGCTGTAGAAATCGAATCATATATTGAGAACTGAAATGACCGTCAAAGTTGGCGATTGGCGAATACCGAGCGAAAAAATGACACTACTATCGTGAATAGAGTATGGGGAAAAGATATAAGACAAGGTATGTTCACGAAAAATCCATGAAAAAAGGATGGTTTTCTTTTGCCATGTGCGTCTAGGTGATATTATGTGATTCAAAAAAGGCAGAGGGCATGGCCATGGAGCTGGATGTTGCCCTTGCGTTGCCACCAGCTCCAGGGCTATGCGACTGCAGATCTTCTTCTAATAGTGACCTCCATACCGGAGACTTCTCGATGAATAGGGCAGGGATAGGTAAGTTTCAACGCTCATGCCTTCTGTCCTTGATGACGCACATATAGAGCTTGTTTACAGTATGACTTTCGCTTCCCTGCAGGAGTTCTCAGATGTCTCCTTCAAATGTTATTCCTGACTCGGAATTCACATGGAACGCCACTTCTCCGTATATCTTGCAGATCTATGTTTGATAATATCATCACACTGGGTTGTATGTTGACGGATGCCCGCTATAGTATCGGATCCCGCAGCCCTTGCTAACGTGAGGGTGCACGGTACATTCCAACACAGGGGCGCATTTTACTTTCCCTTTTCTCCGACCCTGGCAAGGGACAAGGGATTAATTAGCATTATCTCTTCTGCGTAAGCTTTTCTTACGCATAAGATTGTCAATAGCACATCGATTTTGCATCTTTCCTTTTCTCCAACTGCACACGAGGTCGCCTATCAATATACGCATTTATCAATATACGCATCTATTAGTAACCGCCATCATGAAATTTCTCTGTTTACCTGGAGGGTACTCCAATTCAAAGGTATGTATTTGATTTCCCTTATTTGAGAACTCATAAACTAACAAAATCATTTTAGGCGCTTCAAACACAGCTCGGTAAGCTGTTACCACCCGATATCAATTTCCAAACTAGTAGTAACCTCGAGTTGATCCAGGCCCGTTTTGTGATGCACTCAGATCCAGCAATCAAGATGTCAACTTCTTATTCACTCAGGGAACATCGCCAGTGAACCCTCCACCTGAATTCCAAGGCTTTTTCGGACCACCTCCAAACTATACATTTACCGTTGTCGACTTTCCAGAACTCGTCAAATTCAACATGAGAGATTTCCCAAGATGCGACACTCCGGAAGAAACGATTAAATATGCAGTTAAGAAAGCTGGGAATCCCACATTTTCTGCTGTTAGGGCCGCTATGAGTCGGTTGATTGATATGCTGGATGATAACCCAGACATTGAGGGCGTCATCGGATATTCCGAGGGTGCCGAAGTTGCAGCAACGCTCATCCTCGAAGAAGAAAGACAAAGGAAGGAATTTGGACGGATTTCCAGGATTAAATGTGCTATCTTTATCTGTGGCTGGCCTGCAAAGGACCCTGTCACTGGTAGACCTGTTCTTTCAGACGACTTCGATACTGAGCCCATCACTATTCCTACCTGCCATGTTGTAGGAGCCGCGGATCCATTCATTCATGGATCGATGGCACTGTATAATACATGCGATCCAGATACTGCTGATTTATTTGATCATGGAGGTGGTCATGTTATTCCTCGAAACAAGCAGACTTTGCGTGATCTCTCTGAAGTCGTCCATGATATGATTGTTTCAGTGGCCAGTTGAGGATATCATTTTTCGCTTTTTGTTCATACACGTGAGCTTCACATCTGTTTCGTGACTTTCAAGCTATTTTCATTTCTCATGTGTTGTTTAAATATACTCAAATATTCAATACCAAAAATTCCACATTTACCGTGACTCTAACAATGGTCTCCTTTCCCCATCTTCCTGATCTTCTTCCATTACATCTTGATTTGTCTCTTGTACCTGCATCTGCCCCAGACCAAATAAACTAGCAAATGAAACGAATGGCTCCACATCCATCCGAGTCAATCTACGCCACAAAGGTGCATCAGATTCATCCAAGCGCTCATACTCCGTCTGTTTCATACGCCGACGAATGCGCTTCGCCGACCAAATAATCAATGAAACAAGACCAAGCAAGGCCAATGTACTCAATATAGCAACCGTAGTTGAGAGGGCAGTCAACGTGCTGACATTACAACCGAGTGGCCGCGCTCGGAGCTCCCACCTCTCTTTCGATCCAAGGGGACAGATCTGATCCGATCCGATAGGCGCTAGTATGGGCACCCGTGCAGCATTAGGGACGCAGGTTGATGACTGTTTTTTTGAGTTAGCGATTTGGTACAATCTGACGTGTCCAACAAGGTATGGGAGCTTCGAAACACCATTCCGTGGGTTGGTATGCAAGGGAAGATAGGGGCGCACGAAACAAGATTAGAGTTGGGAATGCAGTGGCGTCGAGAAATGAAACAAGAAGGTCTGCTCTGTTGTGATTTCAGGAAGATATCACTTAAGAACAGAACTAGAGGGGACCCTTGAGAGACTTGGAGACCATCCTCGCAGGGAAATCAATAGTGGGTGATATTATGGATCTGCGCTCCAGTAAATAGAGGTCCAGGTACTTACTATTGCACACCAGCTGCAGGCTATATCCCCTGATAAGCACTCAGAGCAGGATTGACGTCGCCAACATGCGTGAAATATGGGGTCTTGGATATCCAAGGCACTAGTATTATGATTGAGAGGGTCGTGGAAAGACATATCTGATTGGATACTCGGACTCTCGAGATTCATGTAAGGTACAAAAGAGTGAATGAGAGGAGAATTTAGCAGATTTGAGTTCTCCTTACATGCAGGAGAGGGGGGTTACTGTAATACATCAAAAGTACCAGTGAAAGGGGAGGTTGGGACTGCGGGGTCATATAGTGCTCCGATACTAATAGACATCACACCATATTTTGTACTCACATTTAGACATGATCATGATCATGGTCTTATCAGGTCAATTTGAAACCACTAAAAACGGTTAGTCGCATGAATTTCGGGTTTGGGTTTCGTGCTGCAATGCATACGTCTTCCATGGAAGATTATGACCGCTACAAATCTCGTCATATCCAAGACATCTTTGGTGGTACAGGTGTATTAAACTATCATGTTTGCATGACCTCGTCATGGGTGAAAAATAGAAATTATGCAGTAACATTGAGAGTCGCCCAAAAATGCAGTTATCCATCTACAGGAAACTTGAACGATAATCGCCCACAGCATCATATTGTCATGTCATATTGTTTTGTAGAATCGAGGAATTGGAAACAGGAGGAAGGGGAAGTTTAGACAACGCGCTTGACCTATACCCAAGAATTGATTAGTATTGCTCGTTAGAATAATGAGGAATGGCCAGGACTTACCTCGAAGAAACGCTTCAACCACCACACTTGGAAAACACCCTCACCAATAACCACAGCCAGCTGGAAGATACTCCACCACTTGACACGACCGTTGGTGCTCTCAGCAGTGTTCCGGTGCACACGCTCACGCATAACAATATACCCCTGTTCATCCCTAACCTGTGCGACAGCCTCAGACAACCGACGGACTAGAATTTCAGATCATTAGCCAAGCTCTCCTAACTCGTTCGATGTACCCCCCTCATGTCCCCTCATGTCCCCTTGAGGGACAGAGAGAGAATTATTGATGATTCGGTCTTACCCTCGTTCTCCAATGGATCCTGTGTCATCTCCGACTCCGGCACGTAGACAATACCGTGAACGTTGAACGAAACTTCCTTCGAGTTGGATGTCCATCCTTCGTTGCTGAAGCAGTAGGTGTACTTTCCGTCGCCTTGTGCGGTGAACGAGTAGTCTTCGTTGGAGATGGCTTGCTTGTAGTACATGCGGTTTCTCAGGGGATCCTCGACCTAGAATTCCATCGCAGATTAGTATTTGATTATTTCTTTTATGCAGAGCGAACAGCAAATCGCTCTTTGATTCCAATCCCGCTGGTCTTGTGTTCACCCGAGCTGGACTAGGCTATCCCGCAAGACCCAGGGGTAATGAATTATGTAGTCGACGTACCCAGAAGTCAATCTCGAGGTTACCGCTGCCACCGAACTCGCGGTCGCCAACTTGGAAGGTCACGGTCATCAAGTCATCGCGGTGTAAGGACTCGTGGAAGCATTCCCGGGAGTGAGACTTGAGCTGGATGGTGTGTGCGGTCGCAGCGGAGAACCAGCCCAGCGCGGTAACTAGGAGAGTAGCGGCTGAGAAGCGCATTTTGAAAGAATGATCGGATTCCCGATGAACTTGTTTGTGGCGGATATAAGGGGAGGGGGATTTGAGGAGAGCCGGTCATCAATTGGCAATTGCGGCGTTGAACGCGAAAGGTGTCAATTGGAGACGCTCGGACCACCTTGGTAAACACCTAAGATCATAGTTGCCAGTGTGCACATACAATGACACAACCTTGGAAATATACTAGAAAGAGTAAATTAAATTCAGTTCGATACTCAGCTTGTTTAACTGCTGATTTGGGATTTCCTCCTTCTATAATCTTGAAATCAGCCTTGTGCAATCAACAGTACTAGTACTGCTGTCCCTGAGTCCTACCACTGGCTACTAGTGACTATAAATACTACTAAATATTTGAAGTGCATCTATCCTCCGAGTCCTTAAAATTTCATAAAGATCATCGATCATTCTGATAGGCATGAAACTTGAAACTGATAATTAAAATTGGAAATAACTTGAAGCACCTCATAACTTGAACATTCGAGACTCTAGTCGATACTCTTTGTATATAAATCAAAGAACTCGCCTGATGCTACCTGCCCCGTGCTACTAGTAGTACTGCTCCCCGCCAAATAAATCATGATGCAACTTCAACCTGAGTTCAACTTGGACCTAAGCAAAATACCCCAAAGAATCAATCCCAACTCTAGCATGATTAAACGAAGACCTTTCTCCAAGAAACAGGTCAAATCGAGACCAAGGAGCCGCCAAACCACGCTTCAGATTCTCACCCCAGCGCACCAAGAGCTCATCAGCGGACTTCTTCCACTGCCAAGTCTCATAAAAAGGACCCTGGACTTCAATCGAGAGGATAGGTTGGTCGGTTATCTTGAAGCTTCGTCCACCTATAGATGTCAGACTCAGCCAGACTTCACCGTTCTCGATACATTGTCGAGCATGTTGGAGGAGTTCCATGTCGGATTTTCCGACGTCGCGGACCCATATAAATTGGATGTGTACCCAGAATGTAGTACCTGATGTACCTTGACCTGAGATACTGAAATCACTCATTTTGAGAAGTTTTACAGGATTTTTTTGTCACGGTGCTTTGTGTTTTGATTGAAAACTGGGGGTTCGAGACTGTTGTCTGGAGTTTGATCTGGATGGTGAGTACTACTAATATGAGCTCTGCCTGACGGGTAGTTTAAGCCTTTTATACACAGGCCTGGACTCGAGGCTAATATAGGCATTCTTTATCTCATTGTCTTATGGATTGCATATATGCAGTTTGGAGTTCTTTGAGGCTATTCCTACAAGTTTATTGAGGAACTGAGCCCAGATGACATGTATGCTTTGTTGGGTGCGCCGGTCTCTTTGATGAGCCCCTTGTCTCAGGCTGGGTCTTTCCGAACTTGAAGGGCTTTTACATCAATGTCATGAGAATGTAATATGTTCTTTGTTGGTGACACATTGTTTCGACCCAAGCTTAAAATAATTTGGAGACATTCAAATCTTTGGACTTCAATGTGTAGCTGCAAGTTGGAATCAATTTCAGTCTATGCATGACTATATAGATCAATAAAAATAGAAATAAGCTACAAAAAGAACTCAAACATCTGAAGCTGGCGTGTGTCAAGCCGCATTTTGAACATTGAAGGTATAGAGCATAAAACTCTGAAAGTGTAATATAAGACATTGAAAGAGAGTAGTGTTGACTATGTATTAAAATGTTGGAACGATGGGACATGAAAGTAGGCGTATTTGATAGCAAATATACAAGATACCAAGAAGAGAAACCGTCCATAGGACTGGTATGGAAAGAAAGAGGAAAAATGAGGTAAAAAACACAGGGTGGTATCAATCCGAGAGAACGTTAAAAGGAACTTGAATCACAGATCTGAGTGGAGGAAATAATGTGGGGTAATTGAAAGAGTGTGCGAGGTTGAGTTGTGGATAGAGGGTAATGAAACGCTGAAGTATCAATAAAACGCGAGCATGCGGAATATCACTGGAGAGATACTGATGGGAATTTTCGAGTATAAGGATCAAAGTATAAGAAAGGGGGCATGATTTTGAATCAGTCTGACGGGAGTTAAGGATATGAAATCAAAGGAAGTGAAAGAGGAGAGTAGAACAGTAAACGGGTTGATCACTCTTCTGTATCTTCCGTCTCCTCAACGTCGTCTTCTTCGATATCAGAAGAGATCTCAGGTCCAAAGGGACCATCCTCGATAGAGCCCTTGGGTGAAGCGGAGACCATGCCACCGACGGTACTTTCGATATCGTCAGTAGCAAAAGCGTCTTCCTCGTAGTTCGCCGGCTCTGCATCATGGTCATAGCTTGACCGACGAAGAAGAGGTGGAGTCTTGGGTGGCTCAGCAATAGGAGCCTCTTGACGAAGGGAACCACGACGAGGAACAGAGTTAAATCCTCTCAATGGCCGAGTCTCCGCATGAGAACGGCTTGGACCAGCAGAATGGGGCGCGTTCTGACGAACGTTCGAGCTAGGAGGAGTCAAGAGTCCCGAGAGGAAAGCACTGGCATTGCTTGACTTGGATGGTGTCTGCTCAGATGGGTTTCCAGAGTTGTTACTCTCTCGGCCCTTGCGCCAGTTCCCCCAGGCCGCGGCTGCAGCTAGCGGTAGGGAACGTGGGGATGCGGCAATGGATTGGAGTGATGGGAGAGCAGCTCCAGATATGGTTCGTTCCCGCTCTTGCTGTTGCATCTGCAGGTTCGCCTTCAGGCGGATAGCTGCATCACGGACAGCGTGCTGGTTGAAGGAAGGCTGTGAGACAGTCTTGATGATATCCTGAAGATCATCGATGCGAACACCGAGTAGCTCGCGGAGCCAGCTAATCTCGCTATCCTTCTCCTTGATCTTATTGGGTGCATCTTTGTCAATAGACCCAACCTCTTGCTCGAGCTCCTCAATACGTGTCTCACGCTGTTGAAGTTGGTCTTGAAGAACGAAGATAGACTCCCGGAGAGCCTGCGGGGAGATCTTCTCAGGCTCGTTAGATCCCTTGTTGAAGGACATGGAAGGTGAAGAAGAGTGTCTGGGTGCGGACGTCAGAGCAGGAATGGGGCCTGAGCCAGCCTTCTGAGCGGCCTCAGCAGCTGCGCGAGCAGCAGACTGAGCGATCTGGAGCTTCTCCTCAAGATGCTGCACACGATCCTGAAGGTGCTTGGCTCGCTCGCCAGCAAGAGCTAAACGCTCCTCAGTATGCGCCTCACCACGTTGGCGATCTTCAGAAGAGTTATGCAGGGCACGGGCGTGACGCTCGCGGAGGTCATTGAGAACACGTTCGTGGGTCTTGCGTTGATCCTCAAGGGTAATCTCCCGAGACTCCTTAGCGGTGGCAAGAGCAGTAATCCTGGACTCATTGGCCTCCTCGAGGAGCAACTCGTAGCGTTCGCGCGAGGTATCAGCATCCATACGAACGTTATCGAGCTGAGTCTGCAGACGAATGATCTGTGCTTCAAGCTCAGCACGCACGATATTGACCTGGCTGTTCGAGGCTTCAATGTCGGCCTCCAGTGAGGTACGAGTACGTTGGATCTCAACACGACTGCTCTCACGAGCCTCGTTGAACTCACGCTCAAAGCGAGCCGCCTTCAGTTGCAGATCGTGGTTATCGGCACGCAAAGCTGCGATAGTCTCCTCCAACCGGGCATTTTCTTGCAGCGATTGCTCGTGGACAAACTGAATCTTGGCAGCTTCCTTGTCACGCTTCTCGGCTTCACGAACCTCTTGCTCAAGCTGTTCGCGGCGCTTAATTTCCCGAGCATGGGTGACAACGAGCTCATTGTACTTGGCAGTTTGCTCCTCCTCTCTGCGGCGGGCAGCGGCTTGCTCACGTGTGATATCAGAAGTGACTGAAACCATGTCAGACTGCAAGCGGTCGAACTTCTCAGTCAGATTCTGACGAGCGAACAGGTTGTCTTCGATGCGGGTGCGCAGGTGGTCAACAGTCTCATGCAAAGACTTGTTCTCATCCTTAGTGGTCTCCAGCTGGCGACGGAAGTGATCGCTTGAAACACGGTACTCATCCAGGGTACCCTCCAGAGTAATGTTCTTGGTGGATAGCTCAGCGATGGTGACCTTGAGAGTCTCACTCTCTTCAGTAAGAGACTCGGCGCGGAACTGCATCTTCTCAAGGTGGGGAATCTTCTCCTCCTTGAAGTGGAGGAAACGAGCCTCGGCATCTTCAGCGGCAGCACTGTGACGAGCAGCATCTTCCTCAGCGAGCTTCAGAAGAGTTTGGAGTTCGCCAACGGAGTCTTGAGCATCCCGACGCAGCTTGTATTCTTGCTCAGCACGCTCATCGGCAAGACGAAGCATGCTCTTCAGACCATCGATCTGGAGCATAAGACTATCAGCACCGATCTCTTCGGCTTCAGACAAACGAGGAGTCTGCGCAGCCAGTTGTCTACTCAGGGTCTCCTCCAGAATCTCACGCATATCACCAACAGGGTCCTGTGCGAGCTTCTTAATAGTCAGAGCCTGCAGCTCGGCGAAGCTCTCCTTAAGCTGGGCCATATCGCTGTGGCTAGAGTGATGAGCTGTGCGCTGAGGCAGATCATGTGTAACAAGAGCCTCCATGACAACGTTCTTCAACATCTCCAATTTGCGGTCGCGCATTTGGTGAGGCGAACGTTCTCTAACGGGCTCTTCATGCTCTTCATCATCATCCTCGTCATCGGCGTCACTGTCTTCAAGCTCAGCAGATGTGCTGCGAAGAACCCTTCGGCTGGCAGTACCAGAAGCGATAGAAGCAACGGAGGTCTGGATAACAGCCAGAGCACGCTCCATAGGACCAAGACGATCATCAATAGCAGAACCGACAATGTCGTTGATACGGCGATCGAAGAAGCGGTTGCGGTTGAAGAATTTCTCATCCTCACCAGAAGAGATCATATCATCCCAATCGCTGACATGGTCATTCTCCGTGATAAGCTGACGCACAGGAGAGTGGATACGAGAGATAAGGCTCTTTTGAGGTGAAAATGTAGCGTTGCTTTGTCCATCGATGTCTGAACCCAGCTTGGGAATTTGAAGCTTGTATGTCCTTTGACCACCGCCTGGGCTAGGGCTGGGTGCCTCGCTTCTGCCCTCGGCAGAGCCAAAAGCTCGCTCTTTGGTCGGTCCACCAACGGAATCAGAGATGTGTCGAGATGGAAGAGGAGTGACTTGGCGCTCGATGCCCACATCCGATCCACTCTCGTTGAGTGCATCCATGATAGCATTGAGCTCATCATCGTCAGGGGAGTCTTCAGCAGACTCACGATAGAACTCAAGCTTCTGTTCAGCAGTGAGCTCCTCTGATCCGCGGCTTTGGTGAGTAGGACGAGGCTGTGACTTGACAGCAGTTTCACTCGCGAAGCGAGAAGCCATAAGGCCGGCTTGCTGCTTCTCAACAGGCTTAGCCTCTGGCTGTTTCTCGGCGAAACTTGATGGGTCAACTGTTGCCGGTGTGAACGAGGACACAGCAGGCTTGAACTCAAATGGCTTGGCCGTGGCCGAGAGCATTGCGTTCTTATCCTTGGATTCTTGAGAAGAATGACCTGTGGGGCGTTCCTCGTCTTGGACAGAATTCTCTAGGTTTGACTCCTCGATCGGTTCTTGCTGATGGTGGGCAGGCGAAGCAGTATTCGAACGAGCAAGACCACCACCCTCGCGTTGCACATCGAACAAAGTCCAAGTATCAGCCTCGCTGTGAGGGGTACCGTGACGCTCAACGCGCTTGCTATCGGCATTTTCACCGGGGAAAGCATTCTCCTTGCCCTCAGCCGAACTTGGGAGATTGTTCGATGCTTGCGCATTGCCAGACTCACCCAATGGATGGGTCGAGATACTGTAGCGGGCCTCGCCATCTGAATGACCAACACCCTTGCGAGCACGCTTGTGACGATCCGTAGGTACTGGACGTCCATCCCCTTCATCGAATTGGTTCTCGTTATCTTCCTCTTGAATTTCATTCTCGTCCGGTCGGACAATAGGAATAGCCTTGTTCTTCTTAGCTGGCTTAGAGATCTCAGTAATATCAATATCACCAAAGATCTTTGTCCGACTCTCAGATGGCTGGGAGCTAACATTGGAGTTGAGACTAGCAGATGGGTTGAAGACAGGGGCCTCCACATTGAACGAAGCAGCCGAGAACTTGAAGCTAGACTTAGATTCTTGGTTGGCGTTATGGTGCACAGGGCCATTCGTAGCTCCAGAGCCAAAAGACGGCCCTGGCGTGAAGCCGAATCCAGGTTGGTTCATTCCTCCGAATTGGAATGCATTTTTGACAAATGGCGCAGCTGGCGATCCAAAGGAGGCTGTAGGATCGAACTCTTTTGCCTCAACATTGAAGGATGAAGTAGACAGCTTAGATTGATGACCACGGAAAGAGCCAGTGCTAGGCTTAGCCTCGTGCCAGGATCCTTGGTTAGGAACCGCGCCTCGAGTCTGCGGTGTTCCAGTAATGCTAGGGTTGGTATCAAAATCAGAACCATCGTGGGCGCCTTCATGAGCATAATGCTCGGGATAGAAGGAGTGATGCTGAGAGAAAGGATGGGACTGTTGCACGTGAGAGTTGACCTGGTGATGGCTGCCGTTTTCTCCCAAGGCCCACTGAGAGTTGAGAAGGCTTGCATGGTTCGCATTGAGATGACCCGCGTCATGTTCAGCCTCTTCGATGTGATGGTCAGGGTGATTCAAGTGGTATTCAGGATGGGCCATGTTGTCCAGACCTCTCTCGATTGTCTCACTCAGATTGTGACCATGACCACGAGGGGTAGGGTGAGCAATTTCAACGTTGGATGCATGGAAGTGACTGGGATCATTCACAGGAGTCTGAGGAGTGGGGTAAGGAGGACCATCTTCGTGATTCATAGCACCAAATCGGTCATCAAAGACGTCCTTCTCATTGTTGAATCCCGGGTGGAAGACGCCCTGGTCATGCATGGGAGAGACGGGTGATAGCATTGAGCTGAAGTTGTGAAGCCCAGTCGGACCAGTAGAAACGTTTGCTGGACGAAGATTAATCAGACTTTGGGGGGTCATAGAGCCCTGTGCAGGTGGTGTGGGTTGGTATTGGAATGGGAAACCAGGAACGTAGTTTTGTTCCATTCCATTCATGCCCAAGTAGGGAGTCTGAACACTGAACTGTGACGCAGGCGACGCCAGTGATCCGATTCCACCACTTGCAACGCCCGTCGATTGTCCGAAATGTGGAGAGAAAGGGTGAATCGAGCCAAGTGGATTGCTGACAGCGGAGCCTGTTGGGATGGGTGGTGATGCAACGAGGCCAGGGAAAGGTATTTGGGAAGGATTGATGGATCCAGACTCAGGAGAAATGGAGGGGCCTGGCTCGTCGTCCCCAAAAGAGACGCCAAGAGCTCGCAACTTCTCCTCTTGCAAGTGAGCTACATACGCATCCCAAACAGCCCTATCCGGGAAATTGATAAATGCTCTTTGACTCTTACCCTCGTCGTATGTCTCTGCTGGATCTGGATACAGGGGACGAGTCAAACCTCCAAGCTCAGTCGGACCCGCTGAATCATCCAATTCACCAACAGTGAATCCTCGCGTGTCATAGCCTTCTTCTTCCCATTTTTGCATCCGGGCTTGCACATCTGCCGGTTTCATAAGAGGGTACTCTGCTTGCTCTGTGCCTCGCTTATCATCAAAAGGCAGGTCAATTACACACGCCTTGCCCTTCCACGCCAACTTCTTTCTCCGTCTCTGAGGGGTCGAAGTCGATACTCTGTTGATCTCCGAGGCCTGCCTCTTCAATGTATCTACAATTGTTGACCCGGGTACTTCATCTTCCTGTACAAACTCATCATCTGCATTCATCGGCGGAGGCGGCAACGGCTTCTCCACGGGTGAAATCGCCTCAGCAGGAGGCTGCGAGTCTTTTGGATCTGACATGATGCTCTTGGGCGGTTCTTTATCGTATGCGAATCCCCAAAAATCCTCCTGGCGCAATGTGTCCGCGCGCTTGTGAATGGTTTGCTTTCCTTTTGAACGGGCAGCTGTCCTTTTACCAACAAAATCGGAAAGCGTGGGAGTCTTCAAAAGGTCTCTCTCTCGATTGTCGTCCTCTTAATCCAAGCCAATCGTCTGAAAGGTCGTCGGCGAGATGGGGATGCGCGGTAAAAAATGAGGGTGCTTCACTTCCAGAATCGTCGCTCAACCAATTGCTGCGTTCTGTTCTTGGCTGACCGGATAGATACTGATTGATCCAATCCTCTGTGAAGTCTCGAATCGACTTGCCTTCGCGGATTTCTTCGCGATTTCCAAGAAGATCCTCCGAATTGACGGCAACGCTCGCTCTCCGGAGCTCGGTTTGGTTGGTTATGGACTGGGCGGGGGAGCTAGCACCAGATCCTTGGTCGAGGCCGGCGTATTGACTAAGGGTCAACGATAATCTCCGAGTGCTAGGTGCTGCATACGGAGACCCCCAAGCAGTGGTGTAATAGATACTGCTTTCTGCCTTTCGATTCTCCGGGGAGGAGGCGAGAGAATCGCCTAGGCGGCGAGTATTCGGAATGAACGGGAGCTGCGGGGGTTCGAGGGTGATACTCCGCGGCGATTGATTCTGGGAGGGAGAACCAGCAGATGAGCTGGAGCTCGAATCTCCTGATGGCGGAGCGGACAGAAATACTGTCGGGGCCAGCTGCGATTGATCACGCAAGGTGCGCGAGTGGTTCGGGGAGAAGGATTGCGAAGATATTGAAATGGCGGAAGATACGGGATAACGTGGATCTATAGAGACAGCCACGATGCTATGATTAGTCTCGGATAATTTTGGATCATTCTGCTAATCTCGTTTCTTTGAGTGGAGGGAAAGGGACGGGGGTGGGAAGCAAATCGCGTGGTGACGCGGGTTGCATCTGGAGGCCCAATTGAACCCCGATGGACCAAACAAGAAAAACAATCATGGATGAAACAGTTGGGATGCATGATGCTCATACCTTCCGTGTCGACTCCTGCAGCAAGCACTTGCTTGCCGCTCCGCTTATTGTCCAGAATGTTGACGCATGGAAATCCAACGGGAATTGAAGACCACCTGGCAGAGAACGGTTGAGTATTGAACCAAGCAAAATGGAGGTTACTCGGCTATCGTGGGTTCCCCTTTTTTTTCTTTTTTTTAACCCGAGTATATGAACGGGATACTTTTTTTCTTTTTCGTAGTAATTGAAATCCTCCTTAAAAAATCGAGTACAAAAGACAAAGCGAAAGCGTAAAAGGAATATACACGAGAAAGGGGAAAGAAAAAAAAGGGCTTATGTCACGTCACGTATGTGGTACCAGGTACCTGGCTAGACTATGAAAGAAGTGGGTTGGTCAGGAGTAGTGAATACACTAGCGGATCATGGTTCATTTAACTCGATTTGAATCAATTTCCGGCACATTCTAGTTTACTGGTGACCGACTGGTGGACTTGGTGGACTTGGTGGAGGACACCCTTGCGCGCAGGTACCCCGGAGATCAATTCTAGGAAAGGATTGTCTCCTGACCGCCACTCGTACTTTGTTCTGCACCGTTATGTAATTCTGCAGTTGAGGTCCACGATGTTATTTAGTTTAATGCTCCAGAGATGTCCACATGTCATAGTTTGATCTGTTTCAGATGTTCTCCTTAGTCCAGATGTCTGATAAAGTAAACAAAGAAATATACGGTTCGTGGAGAGATTCAGGGGTAAAGATGAACCATGGTCGATGCTTGTAACCGTACCGTATCTTGACTCGATGACATAATACTCTCTCCACCAATCATCCATCTAAGTTACAACCCTGGAGTAGATCATCTATATTGGACGGAGTCAATAATACCCTGGGTAGTAAACATTTGAAGACTTGAACTCACAATAGATTCATACTTACTCTGGAATCTCAATATTCACTTCCAAGGCTGTCAAATTGTCAAGTACGACAATGCCCCTTGGTCTGTGAGCTGTATCACTACCAGTGCGACTACAAGGAACCTGCAAAGGCAAACAAGAACTTGAATTAAGTCCATATTTCCATTCGAATTGGATGTCACCGCTCGTCTGTATGCGATCACCGATATCAAGAATAAAGTCAAAATAAAAAGAAATACAGCTTGAAAGAGTTAACAGAAAGACGAGATTATCTACCAGAGTCGCATTTTTCGCGACTCGTCAACCTCGGCAAATTAATCATCAACAATTGAAAAGGATCTCTTTATCGATTCCAGCTTTAGTACTGGCAAGTGGTGTTGAACTTGGTCTGGCGGTCCGCAGTGCGTAGACCCCAGTGCTTCTCGTCCATGGCCTGGCCATTGTCACCGACACTGTTGGGCTTCCAGGACTCATCGTAAGCCTCGAAGTAGAACAGGTCAACACCCCAGGCAAGCATGCCACAGACACCAGTTTGCCAGAAAGTCTGGGCGTTGTCAGTACCAGCCTTAGCAGCCTCGTAATCAGAGCCACCATCTATAGTAGATAATCGTCAGTAAGAGTAATCGAGTAGATAGATTATAATTTAGAAATCCATACCAGTAGGCCAGCCAGTCTCGCCGTTAAGAATGCGGATCTTGTCGGAATTGGTACCAGCAACTTTCTGGATGTGCGACATAGCACCAGACATATCGTCAAAGTAAGTCTGGTAAGCCTCGTCGGCAGCGGTACCCTGCCAGTAGGCGAAAGCATTGGCGAGGACATAAGTGACCAACGGGGCAGACTCGGTGTCACGGGTGAATAGGTCATCAGCAGTACCGTCGGCGAACTTGTTCCAGCTGTCGGCAGTACCAACGGTGATGGTCTTAAACTGGTTGGCGACGAGGCCGATGTAGTTGTGCAGAGAAGGACCGGTCTGGTCACCACGGTAGAGAGTCTCAGAACCAACAGTGATAGCCTCGACGTAATCCTCGTAACCGGGAATGGCAGTCTTCAAGGCAGCGAAGTCCGCCTGGAAGGACGCATCGTTGGTGCTCAAATCACTGCTATCTTGTGCGCCGACCCTAAATAGGAATTGTGTCAGCTATATCCACGTGGTCATCGGAATGTGGGATATCGTGGGGATGATGCTTACCAGATACCCAGAACAACCTTGAAACCCTTGCTCTTGGCAGCTGGAAGAATGTTCTGAGGGGTGTCACATTCAGTACCAGAGTAAGTACGGACCAGATTTGAGAGGTCCTTCAAGTTATCAAAGTCGGCTTCATAGTCGCTAGTAGCCTTGCAAGTGCCGTCGGCATTCTTGTCACCGAGAGAGAAACCCAGAGTACCGCGAGCAGAGACCAAGGCCGGAGCAGCGGCCAGAGCCAAAGAGAGGAGACCAGCAGTACGCATGATTAAAATTGGGTACTGAGAATGAATGAACAGAGAGAAATAGAAAAGAAAGAACAATGTAAAGAATGAGTTTGATCTGGATTGATCTAATTTTCAAATGAATGGACAACCACGAAGGTCATTTGAGTCTCTTATAGGATTAAACGAGAGAAAGAGAAATGGGGGGGAATATTGGAGCCAGGGACTTGCAACATTTGGACAGGGTCCAGTGGGGCGGTCCCTGATCAAGGGGTTGGCCAATGGTCACTCTTCATCTGCACTTATTCTAAGCACTGAAACATCAGGGTCTTGGGGCTCCACTCGCGCTTTTTCAACATCATCATTACCTTCACTATGTGAGTACTATGATCAATTCTACAGATTTTCTTGATTATAATGAAAAAAATTTCAGATTCTCTCTACTATTCACTTTAGTCTCAACATCTCAGTATTAATCACGACCACCGCCAAGACTAAGCCAAGCCCGGTTAAGTCATGATGTCACAAGTCTGTGGTCCATTGTCCAGATCATAATCAACCCTGGATAAACCAGACAATCCAACAATTGGAACAATGGAGGCAAACACTTGGATGGCAACAATACCTCAATATAGCCGGTGGCTCCGGGTCTCGACCAATTGCTATCGTGGGGAGAAGGCGGAGAATGGAGCCGCCGTCAATCCCAGGGGTGGCCAACGCTTGGTTCACCCGGGTCTAGACAATTCAGGATGATCATTCTAGAATTCTCATTTTCTTCGGCGCCTCCGGTTCAATGTTACTATGTTGCCTATTATGGATATTGTCCGACCGAGTTGGGGTCGAGACTGACTGATTATCTCACCACTGCTTATATCCCGCCGGTATAGGAAGGTGTTCATGCAGTGTTGAAATTGAAGGCCAAGAGTCCTGCTAGTAGTAAAAAATCTCAAAATCAATCATTAATTCCAAGGTTTTCAAGTATCATAGTCTTGAAGTACATTGATCCTTATACTTGGACAGAACCTTGGGAATTACACTGATAGCCCGTTGGTCCATAATGTGTGGGGTAAAGGTCCCGAGGTCTATGTAGAAGTGATAGATCATCATAGATGTACTGCTAATGCTCAAGCCCTGTAGTTGAAGAACTTGAAGAATAAGTCCAATATTGAAAATAAAGCCCACTTAATCCATAGAATAATCTCATTCGGTTTGATTCTTCCGCCTTACAACAAAACCATGTTTCAATGGTCCCAAGACGCCGAACACAGCGAACAAAAAACAGCCTCATTTTCTTGCCAATCCCAAGACTCTCGAAAGTAACGGAAAGTATGTGTGACTTCATATCAACTTCATCGTGTCCTTGTTCTTTTTGAGCTGGACAATACTTCTTCTTAGATATGAGAGATCTTGTCGAGACAAATTGCCATTGTAACCGTGGAGTGATTATCGACTTGAATCACGCAGGTGGTGGGATTTGGTAGTATCGGGCCATGACTCACGCTGGAAAACCTTTCAATTTCAGGCGGAGAAGACTGCTGGAGGATGCCATTTTTTTCTGGAGACGATGAATCTTTCAGGCTTCAATCTTTGGGTATGTAGCACTAGTACCTGAGATGGTGGAAAGAAGCTCTGGTTTTGAATACAGATCAATGTATTCTCTCTCAGGGTTGAATTTAAAGTGTCAATCCAGATTTGGATATTATAATGTGTTTCAAATGTTCTGCTCACTTCTCGATGCAGGAATGCGGGTGCCTTTGTATAGTTAAGTGACATTGGGTGCAGCCGTGCAAGGGCCCGGCGATGACTCGATCCCGCTACTGAGACCGCTCCCGAACCTGTCGTCGAAGAAAAGGCAGTCGAGGCAGTCGAAGAAGAACAGAAGGTCGAGGAGCCCATTGAAGCTAGTAGTCTATAATACTAGTAGCCCCGGGCTCCATTTAAAACTCCGATATAGATATCAATGGAGTGTCCCGTGTATGAAGGTCAAAGTAAGGTGGAACTGAATGTAATGGTGCTTCAATTGAATTATTCAGAGGATGGCATGAATACATGAACATGTTCTCTCCATGTATTCTGCAGGGTGTGTTGGCATGATTCTCGAATCAGGGGGTGGCACAACTTGATAGTCGCGTTTGTAAAGCTATTTGATGAGGTCGAATCGATGAAGTGGCATCGGCGTCTGTTCATCGGCTATGGGAGCTCTACCACTGCTCTGCGCACAAGAGCTACTCCTTAGGTAGTAGGTGCCAGTGGTAGCTTAGTACCAGCCTTCCTCGAAAGTCGTCGAAAGTCGTGGAATGTTGAAGTTAAAGAATATTTTTAGCGAGGCTCAGGGGTATGCAAGCATGCATATATGGAAAAGGGATTTGAAGGATGGGCAGAGAGAGAGAGAGAGAGAGAGAGAGACTCGGAGAGAGAGAGACAGAAGAGAAAGAGGGGGACGTTGGCTATATAGTGGTGGAATAGACACGTGATAGGTCCAAGTTGGAAGGTATAGGAGCCTGAGACTATAGAAGACTTGATATTCCGTACGTGCCTAGGTGTCTTGCAGCTCTAATGCTCGCCTGTGGTATTTGTGGTGACATCTCTAAGGGCTAGCTAGAGGATAAAGCTCAGGCTATGACCACTTCGAGTTGTAAGCCTAGGGATGCTTACTAGAATACAGATCTACTCTCATTGGATGTTTTTGAAGAAATTTCTTTTGTGCTTGACCGGGCCTGCCGGCGAAGATATTATCAATTTGCCCCGTACGCCCCGTTGTCTTGGGTAGAAACTAAAATAAAAAGGAAGCCGGACAAGAACAGGCACACGGAACGCCGGGGGGAACGAAGAGGAAAGAGAAAAGAGAAAAGAAAGAAAGGCGAGTGAGGGAGGGAAGAAAAAGCAAAGCAACAGAGAGGGAGAGGCTGCCCGCAGCCAATGACCAAGAAGCCTGCCTATCACACCAGGATTTGATGATCCCGCTTGTAGAGCTCTTTAATGAGCTCAAGCTGGTAGACAGGCATTGACTTCTTGGTCATTGACTGCGGCAGGCCTACCACTGCTCTGCGCACCAGGCCCACCCCGTAAACACCCCACATGGTGACGATGCGCTCGCCAGAGTAGCGCAACATCGCCTGCAGAACCGTGATTTGTGTATCGTGCAGCTCCGCTGCTGGAACTGCCAGGATCTTCTGCATCGAGTGCCAAAACATGGTGTTTGGGAACGGGTTCCGGCGTTTGGTCTTGCCGAAGTTGCGCAGTGTCAAAGCAGCGTACCCGGCACCCAGGGCAGTCATTCTATCCAGATGCTCCTGCTCGCTGATGAAGTCACCACCAGCCTCGATGCGCCACCAACCGATAGCACTGCGGCCAACATCAGTTTCCTCGCTTCCAGTGAAACCCCAGAGTACCGGGCATACCACGCGATACTTTGCCCACAGGATGTCGGACAGAGCAATTCCCTTGTACAAGAACGCATCCATTGACCAGATTTGAGCTGCGAGGACGCCCACTGGCTCTGCATGCTGAGGCTTGATGGCCGCCTCATTGACAAGAACAGAAATCAACGATTTGGCGAGCATGTGAAGGCCGTAAATAAGCAAAGCTGGAGCCATCTGCTCAGAGCGAGCGATTTCGTCCGGAGGGAATGCGAAGAACTGGCGAACGTCCACGAGGGGTCCATTAAGCGCGATAGCCTTCTCCAGATCGACGCGAATCTGATGGATCTAGATTGACCAAAATGTCATGTCAGCGATGATGAAATCAGAAATAATAGTCATGTTGGAACCATTTACCTGTGTCTTGTTTGCTCCTTTGCCGTCACGTAACTGGCCTACGGACTTTCGAATCTGGCGACGCAAGAGACCCGCTGCTGTCTTGAAACCAGGCTGTTCATTGCCAAGCTGGCGTATCCACGCGCGGAAATCCTTGAGAGTCTTGTGCAAAGCGAGATATCGCTGATGAATTTTGAGTTCCTTGTCAGAAAGGTGGCGAGAACCGGTTTTCTGATGGTGCTCTGCGAGAGCCTTTGCTTCCGCCGCTTTCTTGGCCTTTGCGGCTTCTTCCTCCTTAGCTCGCTTTTCGGCTTGTTCTTTCTCAAGTTTTTCGAGCTCCTCCTTTCGCTGCTTCTCAAGAGCTGCCTGGCGGGCGCGTTCGGCTTCTTCTTCGGCTTTGCGCTTCGCTTCTTCTTTGGCCTGGCGCTCGGCCTCAAGACGGGCTGCCTCCTCTTGTTCGCGACGAAGCTTCTCTGCCTTCTCGCGTTCAATGCGCTCCCGTTCGAGACGAGATTCTTCTTCCTTGCGACGGCGTTCTTCTTCTTCGATGCGGTTGTGTTCTTTCAAAGTGGCCTCAGCCTCCTCGCGGACCCGGTTGTGAAATGCTTCGGCTTCGTCGAGTGCTGCAGTATGAATCGCCTCTCGCTCTTGATCGATTTGGTCCAGATGTTCAAAAAAGACCTTGCGTTCGTAGGCATGAACCTTCTTCAAATCTTCATTGAAGATGCGGACATTGTCTAGATCACGACACAGATCACGCATCAATTGCTTCGAAGGGCTGTCCAACGGGGGCACATGGATAATGCGCTTGGTCATGATGAAAAGATAAACCTTTTGGAGGATTTGTATTCAATACGAGAGAAAATTAGGCGAAGGGATTGAAGAGATCCGAAGAATGGTGGAAGTAACCGTGTGGTTGGTCACTGTGTGGATGTCGAAAAGAAAGAGTTGTGAGTTGGGCGGTAGTTGGTGGAGGAGGGAGGGAAGAAGGTGAGTGAGTTACGAGGAGGAAGAATGATTCATGTGCAAGGCCATTCTTCCGCGGCGATTGAATGACAGCGAGTGAACGACCGCTGGTAAATGGTGGTCAGGACTTGGGACCCAGCTTCCTGGTCCCCAAAGCTCCGGGTACCTTTAAGTGAATGAGCTTAGGTGGGGGCAGAGGGGTTCAAGATTCAATGAGACCGCACCTTCAAATTTTCTCAACTAGATCACAGCACTAATAAATCGAATGCAGCTGGCTCAGGGGCATTCAAAGTCAAAAGCGCTTAGGTAGTGATGCAGGTATTTCGCCTGAAGTTGTTTAGACCGTCTCCCTTCGAAGATTGGGCGCTTGCCCCGGTGATCTAACTCCGATAAGATCAAGCGTTGAGCCCACGATTTGGGCGACTCACAAGAAGGTCAATTGAAAGAATGGAAGTAAATCTTTGGGGATTTCCCTAAATTGTTTACTGTGAAGCCCTGGAACCTTGGGAGCTGCGGAATTAGCCATGGAGAAAATAAGATACGTAAATTACATGCTGAGTCAGCGGGACCCGCGATCATGGACTCAAAGTATGGTTCATTTCATCATCATGACCTGCATCATTGATGCTTAAACGCGGTTGGTGATGAGCTCTGTTAAGTAGATATTGATAAAGCTTCAATTTGATCGATTCGAGTTCTGTTAAATCTGCTTGAATATCACGGACTTGATACATTTTTGTATAGTAAAACCTTATCATATCAGTGGAAATGTAGGAAGAAGCGATTTTGTTGTACTTATAACCATGAATCATCTTCAGGTGTTGGAAGAAGTTCATGAATGTTGGGCTATGAGGGGAGGAGGTGGTAGCTAAATGGACTGCCTAACTGTCAAAGGTGGATGATCAAGAGTTATAGTCTCTCAGAGATTGCGTGCCCCATATTGCAAAACCTAGCCAGTTGTCAGGTGTCTGAATTGAGTTGACAAATTTGTTACCTAGCAAAGCTACTAGTAGTATTAAATCGAGGGGCGTAGATCTCCATCTCTCAGACCACGTGAACTGGGTTTTTTCATACCCAGTACAGCTTGTCCTCCTTAATTCAACGGGAGATTGGTTATGAATCGATTGTGACGAGCTTAAATAGCTTCAAGAGCTTGAAGGGCTGCGGGATGGAGACCCAAAGAGCGGATGATGAGGTCGGGAGCAATGGAGATCATCCAGGACATCCGCTTGGGGGAACTGATGTATTTACGAGAACGAGAACAACGTATTACCAATCACTCGGCGTGATATCAGGGCAATCAAAGGTGAAGATAGGGTAATAATACCGTCTGGATTTCACGTTATTTCCGATACATACAATAATTACCACGGCCCTTTTGCCATTCTCCCCACATCCGCTTTGTATGGATCCCATCATCACCTTTCTTCTCCTTTCCCCCTCCTCACCTCTACTTTCTTCCCCCCCTCCCCCCCAATCCTCATCTCTCTCTTCTTTCCCCATCGTTCCTTCTGATCGAATCTGTCGATGCTTGCATCGTCGGTTCTATTCTAATTATACTTGTCATTCTCTTCGAGAACGTATTCACCCGCTCACGTTTTCTGCCTTAGAATTTCCTTGAAGTAGCTCTGTTCATCCAGTCGCACTTCTTGAACAAATTCGAGTATCATACCACCCTCGGCTGAGGATCCCTCTTGATTCTTCCCACCACCACTTTTTTTTGGCCTGCTTGGTTTGACGGCGGTACGATTTAACCCCAGTTCAAATCACTCGCCAACTCGGTCCTTCCAAACCTCCTTATTCTCGAATCGAGCGAGCGTCGTCCTTTTCAGTCGATCCTTGCCTCCCGTGAATACAAATTGCATTAAGCGTGCAATTGATTCGACTACTTCTCCTCTTCGGTTCCTGCGATCTGCTTGTGTGCAGACCGCTATTGCTTCGTTGGCTTCTAGCAATTTTCCCATCCCACGTTGATAACGGAGACGTCATTTTTGGAATGCTAGGCCTCCGAGCTCGTCATTAGTCTCGATTATAGGTAAGGGTAATCCCTAGTTCCTTTTTTTTGGAAGAAAATGAATAGAAGGGGGTGGGAGAGTGAGCTCATACCCATGGACCACAATGTTTGGTTTCTCTTATTGATCCCAAAAACTTCGGCCATGGGCTTGTTTGTCCTCCCTTCCAAGGTTGTCTTGGAAGGTGCTTCGAGGTCTGAGTTCTGGCCTCCGCTCATGGACTTGAGCAAGCCATCGTAACTTCCACCTCCGCTTTATAGTGACAAGCTTCCCCCCTCCTTCCTCATTACATCGTTCCTTCAAAAATTAGTTATTCCATACATTGATCGATTTCTCGTTCTTGACTTTCCTTTACCCTGCATCCACTCTGCTTCTACTCTCCCTCCATTCGTGCTGACCTTCACTCCGTTCACTTTATAGTATCGTTCACAACATCACTCTTGTTGAAAGCTATCGTCCGCACATAAAAGACCATCCCATTCGTGGTCGGTCGGTGATCCGCATACCTCGGTTCGCTTGCCTTTAAGAGGCAACACCAGTCCCTCTTGTCGTCGGGTCCCCTCCGCCCTCTCGCATTTTACACTACAGTGATAATACTCCTTCGTCAAGGATCATGGATCAACAAAACCAGTCCGGGGTCCCTGGCCCCGCTGGGCGCAAGCTCCATATCGCTCACCGGAGAAGTCCATCTGAGCTTACCCCTCTGATGAGTATGACTCGCTTTCCATGCTTCACACTTCAGGATCCTAATGTATATCACAGTGGAACAACTCGCCATTCAACAACAGATTGAACTGCTTCAGCAGCAGCAACAGCAAATCGCTGCCACACACCAACAGTACGTGAACATGGGCCTGCTCCAGCCTCAACAGCTGGGCCAGGTCAACGCATTCTCTCCCGGTGGTTCTATGGGTGGTGTTTCTCCTCAAGTCAATGCCTTCCAGTTCCCTCAACAGCAACAAGGGCAACAGCAGCTTGGGGTGCCAATGAACCAACCGAATCATTCCCACCGTCGCAACCAGTCCGCCCTTCCTGGCCTCGCTATGGGCCCTCCTCCTGCTCCTTCTTCGGGTGCTTCTGGATATGCTGATTACAACCAGCAAGGCCACAATAATCAGAAGAATGAGAATAATGCCCATGGTCGCGGCCGTGGAGGCCCGCCTGGTGGAGGTCATCAACGTCGCCACTCTCTCGCTCTGCCCGAAGCTAAGAAGGCTGCTGAGCTTGCACAACAGAAGAGAACTGCATCCGGTTTTCAATTCCCTGCCCCTTCTCCTGGCGCCAGTGGATCGGATAACCAGCTAGCCTCGGATGATAAGCCTCAGAGCAGCACCTCGCCTGCCCCACAGGGACTTGGTCTGCAGCGTGCTGGTAACATTCGTTCGGGTGGTGGCCACGGTCGTAGTCAGTCAATGGCTATCGGCGGTAGCCGGGGTTCGCTCTCTGGTCGGGGTGCTGGTGGCTTCCAGTTCCCTGCCCCTAGCGACCAGTCTGACAACCAGCGCCGAGGCAGCCAGGCCGGTCATGCCCGCACTGGATCCCGGAACTTCGACGGCAACTGGCGTCAGCCGAATAACCAGAACCAGAGCCAGGATCAGAACAAACCTTTTGGTCAACAACAACAAGGAGGCGGTTTCCAACCTGGTCACCGCTCTCGCGGTTCTATGAATCAGTCGATGGGCTCCATCGGCCAATTTCAGTACCCTGGACAGCCTCAGCTGATTCAGCTGCCTCAGGGGCAGGTCATGATGGCCCCTCCCCAGATGTTTGGTGGCCAGCAGCTGAACCCTCTTCAGCTTGCTCAGCTTCAGGCTCTCCAGCAGCAACAGAATGGCCAAGGAATGGGTGGTCTGCAGGCCAGCCAGCATGCTCCTCCCCAGCTTTCTGTTCAACAGCAACAGCAGCAGCAGCAGCAGCAGCGCAAGACTCTGTTCACTCCTTACCTCCCCCCAAGCCAATCTGCCTGCTCTTATTAGCAACGGTCAATTAGTTGCTGGTGTGTTGCGTGTCAACAAAAAGAATCGCTCGGACGCCTACGTCACCACAAACGATTTGGATGCCGACATCTTCATCTGTGGTAGCAAGGATCGTAACCGTGCATTGGAAGGCGACTTTGTCGCAATTGAACTGCTCGATGTGGACGAGGTGTGGGCGCAGAAGAAAGAAAAGGAGGAGAAGAAGAAGCGCAAGGACATCACTGATGCCCGTTCTGGTAGCAACGCTGGTAATGACAAGCTCGGTCGATCAGACTCCAACGGTGACAGACAGGAAGTCGGTCCGGACGGAAGCATCCGCCGCCGTGGTAGTCTCCGCCAGCGTCCTACTCAGAAGAAGAACGACGACGTCGAAGTCGAAGGTCAGAGCCTCCTCCTGGTTGAAGAAGATGAGATCAGTGATGAGCAGAAACCTTTGTACGCTGGTCATGTCGTGGCTGTCATTGAGCGCATCGCGGGTCAGATGTTCTCCGGTACCCTAGGTCTCCTGCGTCCAAGCAGTCAGGCTACTAAGGAGAAGCAGGAGGCTGAACGTCAAGCCAGGGATGGTGCTCATGGACGCCACCAAGATCGTCATCAGGATAAGCCTAAGATTGTTTGGTTTAAGCCTACGGACAAGCGTGTGCCTCTGATCGCTATTCCCACCGAGCAAGCTCCACGTGACTTTGTTGAAAAGCACCAGGACTATGCTAACCGTATCTTTGTTGCCTCCATCAAGAGGTGGCCTATCACTTCTCTGCACCCCTTCGGTACCCTTGTGGAACAACTTGGCGAGATGGGTGACTTGCGCGTTGAGACTGATGCTTTGCTTCGTGACAACAACTTTGGTTCAGATGAATTCTCCGATGCCGTCACCAAAAGCATTGGCTATGAAGATTGGTCTATCGCTAAGGAAGGTGATGCCTTGGCGACACGTCGTGACTTCCGCGATGAAACCATCTTCACAATTGATCCTTCGGATACCAAGGCTCTGGAAGATGCTTTCCATGTCAAGAAGCTTGCTGATGGAAAGATTGAGATCGGTGTTCACGTGGCTGACATCGCCCACTTCGTCAAGGGCAATTCCCTGGTTGATCGTGAGGCAAAGAAGCGTGGAACTGCTGTCTACTTGATGGACCGAGTCATGAACATGCTTCCCTCCCGTGTCTCTAATGAGCTTTGCTCGCTTGTTCCTGGCGAGGATCGCTTGACCGTCAGCGTTGTTTTCAATGCCGACATGGAGACCGGTGCTGTTGACGATGACGTCTGGATTGGCAAGGGTATCATCAAGAGCGCAGGCCGTCTCAGTTACGATGAGGTCAATGCGGTGATTAACGGCAAGTCGGATAAGACTGCCGCAGGTATTTCTACTGACAACATTGCTTTGATGAATGTAAGTCACCTGTTTTCCTCCTTTTTTGGATTTGCTCTTGGTTTGAAGTGACCCTTGCTAACAAATTCTTCCTCCAAGGCCATTGCGCACAAGTTCCGCGACGCTCGATTTGGCAACCGGGTCGCTAACGTTCCTTCTTTGCGCATTCTGCAACAGCTTGATGATGAGAATGTGCCCGTGGAGCACAACATTTTCGATTCTACCCCAGCTCATGAACTCGTGGAAGAGTTCAGTCGCCAGGCCAACTACTTCGTGGCTCGCAAGCTTGCCAGTGCTATGCCTGAAAAGGCATTCCTGCGTCGCCAGCCCTCTCCCAACCCTCGTCGCCTGACATTGTTTGTGGAAAGAATGAACCGCCTGGGCTTTGGTATGGATGCTTCCAGCAGCGGTACCTTGCAGAGCACTCTCTGCAAGGTGCAGGATGTGGATCTCCGCAAGGTTAGTGCATTATCACAAGGGGTAAATGGCGCCATCGCGATAATTTTTACTGATCTGGGTAATAGGGAATGGAAACTTTGCTTGCGAAGGCCATGCAGCGTGCCAAGTACTTCGTTGGATCTGGTGTCGGCGAGGAGCCACGTCTTCATTACACTTTCAATGTGCCTGTTTACACTCATTTCACTAACCCATCTCGGCGCTACACTGATATTATTGTGCACCGCCAGCTTGAATCCATTCTCTCAGAGGGCGCGATTGAGTTCACCGATGATATTGAATCATTGACCAAGACCGCCGACCTCTGCAACAACAAGAAGGATTCTGCTCACAATGCCCAGGAGCAGAGCGTTCACATTGAGGCTTGCCGCAGCATGGACCGCAAGGTTCATGAGATTGGAGGAGATCTCATCAGCGAGGGCATTGTGCTCTGCGTCTACGAGTCCGCATTCGATGTTCTCATCCCCGAATACGGCTTTGAGAAGCGTGTGCACTGCGACCAGTTACCTCTGAAAAAGGCCGAATTCCGCAAGGAGAGCCGTGTCCTTGAGCTCTACTGGGAGAAGGGCGTTCCTTCTTCCGCCTACGTTCCTGAGGACGAACGCCCCAAGCCTGCAAACTCTCGTGCTGCTCAGGCTGCTGCTGCTGCTCGCGAGGCTGAGGCTGCTAAGGAGCGCGCTCGTGAACATGATGAGGCCATGCGCAAGCAGACTGAGACCGGTACCATGTCTGCTGATGATGTCGACGCTCTCTTCGACGACGATGACGATGTGGATGAGGTGACTGAAATGGTTGCTGGTGTGTCTCTCAACTCGGCTGACCGGTCGACCCAGAGCATGCCTCCGTCGCCCACTCGTAACGGTCACCTCCAGCAGGCACCCCACCGTACTCGGTCCGACCCGAAGATTGTCTCGAGCACCAGCGATGCGCCCGAGAGCAAGCTGACAAACAAGGAGAAGTACTTGAAGCTTTTCAAGCTGAGAGAAGAGGATGGCGAGTTCATCCAGGACGTCACCGAGATGTCCCGTGTTCCTATTATCCTGAAGACCGATCTGAGCAAGAGTCCACCGTAAGTGAACCTGGCTAACCATTCCGATTTATTTTTGATATTTTTGATGAATTTTTCACTGACCTTCATAGTTGCCTCACTGTTCGGTCCGTGAACCCCTACGCTCTGTAGGGACCTTCATAGTCTGCGGTTTTTCCTTCCTTGGGACATATTATTGCATGTCTATCCTACAGCTTCTTTGGGCGTTCTAGAACATGGCCTAAGCCTATGTTCCACGTACCTACGGACATAATCCTACCCTCCCCTACATGCAGATCGAACATATTAGTATCAGGCATTCCCTGGTATTCCGTTTTCCCTTTTATTGGTGGCTTTATATCAGACTTCATCCAACCGCCATCTTCCTGGTGTGTTTTGGTGGCCCCTTATACTTACCTCTTTTTGTTGTATGTTGCGCAGCGGTCCTCTTTTTTTTCTTGTTTGTTGTAAGCATCTTGAATCCTCTTGGAGTGTTACCTGTGTCCAGAGCTTGTTCTCGGTCCCTTTCTTGGTTCATTTCCCGTGTATCTGGTGCTTGGGACTGGAGAAATTGTGCAGTGGGGAAAGATTGATACAGCTCTATAGTTCCGGATAGTATTTCCATTAATCCAGGTATTCTACATAGCCTTTCTACCTAGTTTCTTCCAATATTCTGGTAACACTTGATATTAGTAAATTTATGAAATGGCCGCAGAAGAAGTGGTTGATCCTGTGTGGACGCTCATTTTAATGCCCATTGACTCGACTCTAGCGCGTGGTGTTACACCAGATAGCTTAAGATGAGATGTAGGGTCACGAAGAAAGGCGAATTAAACCGATTTCCTAGGAATTGCTAAAGCATATTTTCTTTGAATTTCAGGCTTGTTCCTACTTCTGCAACCTCTGGGGATGAAGGGCTCCTACTTCGGTCTTTTTTTACCCTGCATCATGATGCAATCAATACTTCCACTCCTCAATCTACGTGTGTGATCCAATCTTCCAAGACAAAGGTACTAAGAGTGTCGTAAAATAGCTGCATTAATTTACACTGAATGAGAAAAATTATAATACAAGATGAGTGAAGATTCATCCATCGATAGAAGTGCCAATGCTCAAGTACAATCCACCCTTAATTTCTTCAAATGTTTCCCAAACACCACGGTGAATGCCATAAAAGTCACAAATGATCAGATTCGTGCTTGTTTCTCTTCAGCTCCTTCAACAGTAACCACCAGAGAAGCTTTGTCATCGAGGAGGGAGACCCGAGCAGTCTGACCAGACACAATCTCACCACGGATAATTTTATCGGCCAGCCGGTTTCCAATCTCCTTGGCAATGAGACGGTTTAGTGGTCGAGCACCAAACTTGGGGTCATAACCTCGTTCACAGAGCCAATCCTTGATATCTTCGTCTACCTTCAAGGTCATGCGACGGTTATCAAGTCGGCCCTGCAATTCATTAATTCTGATATCCACGATATCTCGTAAAGCTTCGCGTGAGAGGCGCTTGAAAATGATGAACTCATCCATACGGTTCAGGAACTCGGGTGCATAGGCGTGCTGTACAACGTCCATCACGGCTTTCTTGATATCAGCCGGTACCTCAGATTCACCGGTATCCTTGTAGGCGTGTAAGGGATCACCTCCAACTAGGATATCGGCGCCCAAGTTAGAAGTCAGGACGATCAGGGTATTTCGGAAATCGACTTTGTGGCCTTGGGCATCTGTGAGGAACCCCTCATCGAGCACCTGAAGTAATAAGGCTGAGATATCTCGGTGAGCCTTTTCGAACTCATCAAATAGGAGGACGGCATATGGCTTGCGTCTGACAGCTTCGGTGAGTTGTCCCGCGTCATCGTAGCCAACGTATCCAGCAGGAGATCCAATCAAGCGACTGATAGTATGTTTCTCCTGGAATTCACTCATATCAAATCGTACGACCGCAGTCTCCGTGGAGAAAAGGAACTCGGCCATCTTCTTGCACAGCTCTGTCTTGCCTACACCAGTCGGTCCAAGGAACATGAATGATGCTAGCGGGCGGTTTTCACCACTCAGCCCAGCTCGCTGCATTCTAACAGCATTGGCGACTGCGGCGAGAGCTTCATCTTGTCCACGAACCGACTTGCGGAGTGTATCTTCCATCCGAATCAACTTCTCGACTTCGCCGGCCATCAATTTGTTGACCGGGATGCCTGTAGTCCGGGAGACCACATTACCAATATCATCAGCTGTGACAGAGTCATGGATCAGATTCTGCTTCTCGGCATCCTGCTCTGCTCCCTCCTTTGGTAATTTGCTTTCCAACTCGGGGATTTTAGAGAATCGGAGCTCTCCAGCTTTGGCAAATTCACCTTCCCGCTGTGCTTGTTCCAATTGGAATCGGGCTTGTTCCAGCTCTTCCTTGGTGCGCTTGATGCTGTCAATTTCAGCCTTTTCCTTTTCCCAAGCTTCAGTCAGCTTGCCAGCTTCGTCTTGTTTGGTCTTCAGCTCCTCCTGAAGCTTGTCTCGTCGCTCGCAACTGCTGACATCGGTCTCTTTGCGCAAAGACTCAAGCTCAATCTGAATTGTGGTGATATCGCGTTCCAACTCTCTGATGGCGTCGGGCTTCGATTCTTGTTGCAAGCGGAGGGCTGAGGCGGCCTCATCTACCAGGTCAATTGCTTTGTCGGGGAGGTAACGGTCGGTAATATAACGATTGCTGTAGGTAGCGGCAGCAACGAGAGCCCCGTCGGTGATACGAACACCATGATGCACCTCGTATTTGTTTTTAATACCACGTAAAATGGAGATTGTTGATGCGACAGATGGTTCGCCAACTAGGATGGGTTGGAAACGGCGAGCCAGCGCCACATCCTTTTCAATTATGCGGTATTCGTTTAGCGTTGTAGCACCACAGCATTGAAGTTCACCTCGAGACAACGCTGGCTTTAGCAGATTGCTTGCATCAATGCTACCTTCAGCCTTGCCAAGTCCCAGTAAAGTGTGAAGTTCATCAATGAAGAGAATGACACCACCTTGAGCGTCCTCAACTTCCTTAAGTACTGATTTGAGACGTTCTTCAAAGTCACCGCGAAACTTGGCGCCTGCAATCAGCGAACCTAGATCCAGCGAGATCACACGTTTGTTCTTGATACTCTCGGGAACATCGCCTTGAACGATTCGTTGCGCAAGACCCTCCAACACAGCAGTCTTGCCCGTACCCGCCGCACCAATCAGTACGGGATTATTCTTGGTCCGACGTGACAGCACCTGGATAGTCCGGTGAATCTCTGCATCTCTTCCAATAACAGGATCCAGCTTTCCAGCCTTTGCTTTTGCTGTCAAGTCAACACCGAATTGTTCCAGAGCAGGCTTCTCGGGCTCCCCACTCATATTCATACGGTGGGTACCGCCGGGGGGATGAGGACGTCCGTTTGCATAATGGCGTACTGAGGAAACCGGGGTGTTTCTGGTATATGGCGCAAGAAGAGAGAAGGACCTTGGGAGGAGTGAAGAGGAGCGAGGAGCTATAGAAAGTAGCTTGGTTGAAGGTCGAGGGATTCGTGGAAGACCACGAGTATGAAGAGCAAGTCTAGTAGCCATGGTGGATACAACCTATGAGATCCGGGGGAGCAAGCACGCCTAAGATGTCACCACTGCTTTAATATGTAGCTCCGAAGTATCATCGTGAGTCTTCTGGAAAGCTCCACCTAACAGTGGCGGGCAAGCTCCACCATTTGGACCAAGCTCCGTCACCACTCGCGTCACGTGCCGGGCGCCAATTTAAACGGGAAAAAAAAACCTTTTACCCCTCGGTTTCTCTCCCACTTTGTTTTCTCCTTCTTATTCCCCCTTTTATTCCCCCTTTTAATTCCACGAAATATCACATTTTCATTCACAATGGGTTTCACCGACTTCGTCTCTGAGGCTGGCCTTACTCGTAGGCATCCCCTTGGCTTTATTTTTTGAATCGTCTGAACGTTTGGACTGACACTGTTCTACAGTGGCCAACAACTACCTGGCCACCCGCAGCTACATCATTGGGTATGTGCACCTTGATTTTGCTTGAAGCTTTCTTCCTTTGCGTTGCTCTACCTGTTGGTTCCCTTTTTCTACTTTTCTGGGCTTCAATCTCCTTTTTTATTGCATGATGAGAAAAATTGGTCCGTGTTTATGAGGCGGCTTAAGACCCCGCTGTCTGACTACAAAACCATGCGAGAAATCGCGTCTCTGATCTATTGTTTGTCTTTTTTTGACTTACTATTACATTTATTATTGCAATATTTTGCATGCTACCTTGTTGTCGAACGCTCAATACTGACTGTTCTCAATAGCAACGCTCCCAGCCAGGCCGATGTTGTGAGCTTCAAGGCATTCAGCGCCGCCCCTGACGCTGCCAAGTACCCCCACGCTGCCCGCTGGTACAAGCACATTGCCTCCTACGAGGCTGAGTTCACCACTCTCCCTGGTGATGCCTCCAAGGCTTTCACCGCGTACGGCCCTGAGTCCACCGAGCTGCCCGTCAACCCCAAGGACAAGCCCGAGGAGGATGAGGATGAGGAGGACCTCTTCGGTTCCGACTCTGAGGAGGAGGATGCCGCCGTTGTTGAGGAGCGTAACAAGCGCCTCGAGGACTACAAGGCCAAGAAGGCCGCCAAGGGCCCCAAGCCCGCTGCTAAGTCCCTGGTCACCCTGGAGGTGAAGCCTTGGGGTATGTTTTCTCCGATTTTTCCCATAATACCAGATCTATTAAGCTAACCTTCTTATTACAGATGATGAGACCGACCTTGTCCAGATGGAGGCTAACGTCCGTGCCATTGAGCAGGATGGTCTCGTCTGGGGTGCTTCCAAGCTCGTCGCTGTCGGCTTCGGTATCAAGAAGCTCCAGATCAACCTGGTCGTTGAGGACGAGAAGGTCTCCACCGATGAGCTCCAGCAGCGCATTGAGGAGGATGAGGACCACGTCCAGTCCACCGACATTGCTGCCATGCAGAAGCTGTAAATGCTATACCTTACGAAGAAGAAATGGCGTGATGATGGAATACTTGATGTGTTAGGAACCCAATAGTTACGAACCTAGAATCCGAGTCCAAAAGTGACCGGCCTGATGAAAAAAATCAAAAAATTTTCATGACCACCATATATTTCCTTTCTACACTTTTTTAGAGGCTCAAATGCTGCCCAATTGATTGAACTTGAAGTTGGAAAAAATTTTCTCTCTAGTGGGGTTCGCGACAGTTAGCGGGTGTAACAGCGGGGTAGTTGTCTGCGTAGACGCCTATTGGGCCGAAAATCATTGGAGCAATTCTAACATGAGATGAATACAAACTTGAAGATATGGATATATGAGATTGAGGTGAGATCGGTAGCTAGAACGTTGGAATTGAGGTACAAGATCAATGTCATAGTTAGCATGCGGGCTGATTTAGCAATAGCAAGTGCCAAGAGCAACAACCATTGGAAGTCATGAAACACCTGACACAACTTGAAGTGCAGAACCCTTGGAATAGACGCGAGTGCACCCGCATAGCTAGGATGGGAGACCATTAAAGCTTCCAAGGTTGGGAGCTTATAATGTAGACTCAGTGTCTCGTATGAAACTATCTTGATGGTTGCCAAGGTGAGAGTGTTGCTGGCCGAGTAAGTGTGGTCCGTGGCTACTGTACCTAGCTCATCCCCAGGTGTGAGAACACATGTGCACGCAGAAAGAAACGAATCATAGAAAGCAGGTGAATCATTGATCGAGCTGATTGTGCCTTCCTTGGGTCGGCTTCCAAGGTTCTCACCTGGGCACCTGAGCAACATTTGAACCTTGGACCACTTGAAGGTTCTCCCGGCAACACGCAGATACTATCTTAGTCCTGCTAGCTAGTCCTCACATCCTCAAGTGCCAATTCTGGTCCTATGTAAGCGTTGGACTCAAAAACAGACAATTGATAAAATTTTAAGCCGAGTGTTGAACCCCTAAAGAACTCAAGTTCTTGAACCTTGAAAGGACTGGCAACATTTCAAGTTGAAGTATATATATTCATGGGATGCATGGGTACTACTAGTATGCCTGAGCCCTGGAGGCTTCAAACACAGATTACCACATGCACTGCAAATTGGAAGGCACTCCCGAAAGACTGCACACACCATCACTGGATTTTAAGGACATCATGGTAAATCAGTAAAATAACAGACCCCGTGGGGAACCAAGCTTCAAATTGATACTTGCTCAAGCTCAACCTTCCATGGTTGGAACCCTGGAAGGTGCCCAGAGAATGATTACATAATACAAACTGCGGGACCGACGCAGATCGAACGCAAGTTGACTTGGGGATACGATCCAGGGACGTCCTATTCCAAAATTTCTCGAAAGTACACTGCCTCGGCATCGATATTGCCATCTAAGATAGGTCACTGTCCATACCGCAGGAAATATCAAGTCCAGCGCTACTTCTAGCCCTTGAGCTCCGGTTAGAAAGACCGATCGAAGCCCCCCATTGACAACACCTCATCCATCACCATGAGCTTCCTCTCACGCCTGGTGACGCTCTTTGGCCTCGCTTTACTGGCTCACGCGTACGTTTTATGATGTCACATCGAATTCTACAACTTTTTCTACCATGAAACTCAATCAAACCAGCTAACGATCACGTACGATAGAGGTTACTCCGCCCACGAACACACCGTGCTTTTTAGTAATGCCAGCATCTCAGCCGTTACCACCTTGCCGCAAGATATCATCGCAGAGACCCTACTCTCCGTCCTAGTTGTATCGATCGGTTTGGTGCTGAGTGCGGAGAAGCTGAAGCCCATTAGCTGGCGCGATTGGGCCGGCCAGATTGAGCGAGATGGCGGTGCGCGGAACCCGTACGTTGGGCTGGAAGAGCGATATAGCTTTTGGGATATTCGGGTGAGTTACATTCCACCAGGAAGAGCACTGGCGTGTGATTCCTCCACATTGCATCTTTTCAGGACTACCTCGCGCGTGTTACTTGATGCGGCTATATCTGAGCCTATGAAATAAACGGAGCTAACAGGTCATTGCAGGCTAAGCGAAAGGAATTCGCGGGTTGGGTTCGCGGTCCAAACGAGGCGGTCAAGGAGTAATGGGATTTTCAAAAAAAGTGTGACACTGTTGAATGATGTGCTGCAGCGATTCGATTTTGTACATTATGCATTACCACGAGGGAGTCTTGCAATCAATTCGAATATGCCTGATTCAAGCGTTCTGTTGATGATTGTTCTAGCTTCTTGAGCCTCTCGACCCCGTACTCCGTACGCTGTCCAGAACCAATGTTAACTTTCTTCCCCCCTTTCTTATCAATATGCAGACTAAGCCTCCATGCCAAGTCCGATAAATGCATGCAATGACCCAGCATGAGCTCAGTTTCTTGCACATCTTTGACAAATAGGAAATGCAAACGAGAAAAAAGCTAGATCGCAGCCCTGCATCCGGCTCCCCAGCGCCTGGAGTCAATTGGACTGGGAGATTAGCAACGCCTCGCGGCTGCAGCCGTACAGAGGAAGAGATTATGTGGACGATCCTCGATCTGGCTAAGCCGAGAAAAACAAATGAAGGTTTAATATATGGTTGTGGATCTATCTAACAAGGATCCCGCATCGACAGACGTCGCCAAGACAATATTGTGCCGCGCAACTGGACCCTTTGTTTATTTGGATTGTTTACTCTTCCCCCTGAAGATGTTGTTGATTCCTGAGCTCTGGTCATCTAGATGAAAAGTCAATTTTGAACTCAGTCTGTAGTCCAAACGCCACACAACTTACGTACATAGACACGACAAAACATAGTACTTACCAGCTGACTTACACATTCTGTAGAACAGAAAAATAGTCATGGTCACCAGAATCATCACCAGACAATCCCGAGGTCAGTAGCTGTAATCAGCCTGTGATGTACACCCTAGTGCACAATAAAATAGATCCACCAGCCCCATGTCACTTGGACAATCTCCATCTCATGTCATGGACTAGAACAAGTAGTGCACAGCGTACGTGTCGCCTGTTGCACGGAGACAGGCTGGGCTACAGCACCGTTTCCCGCCACGTAATCAAGCTTAAAATGGTCAGTCTGGATGGGTTTTCCCTGCAGGGACTTGTTCAGATGTCAATTGTGTCAATTGCAGTTCAGGGGATACGGAGTACACATGTGCATGTGTACTGTAGAATGGGGCGCCGTACTCCGCATGGAACCCTGGATGATGGCGTGCTAGTGAGACCCTAGATTTGGGGTTGTGAGACATTAGATTGCGGAGTGGCAATACTCCGTTTATCTAGTAAATTGCAATTATCAATTTTCCATACAGTATGGGGTAATCGGATGTTGAGACCTGAAGGGGTTTAGGGGTGGGACTCCCGATCAAATCCCGTCACTCAAGTGCTGTATCAACTGACAACAATCATCCCATATGGGAAAGAGGAGTATAAAGTGCTCAGGAGAAAGAAGGTTCAAATGTTACGAACCAATGTGCGCGGAAATCAGTTCCCCTATGTAATTTGTACTTCAAGTTGGGGATATTTGAAAGAAGTAAATAAATCGGAATTTTGTTACATGTACTTTGTTTTTGTTGACTAGACAAAAATACCCTGACTCCCCGAGCGGAGGAGAGTCCGGGCACAATGACCCACTTAGTAGTCCTTTGATCTCGAGACTAGCAATAATTGATACGGGAGTTTGTTTTTCTTAACCAATATTTGGTCAATTGCATGATTCATTGTTGTTATTATCAGAATCAATATCACATTCTACCCTTGAGTGATATTCCCTCCATGCAATGAGTAATTCCTACAGATAAAGTCAAACCCCATAGACCCTGCATCTCAGTGCAAAACAACCGAGTCTGGACCCCGCAAAATAAACCACCTAGAGTCGATCTTGGTCAAAGAGAGTCCGATCAAGTGATGTCTCACATTTTCCCTTAGATGATCAGTAACTTATTCGTTTAGTTCCGCCGCTTGTCTCACCCGGAGACGCCACAACGAAACCCCCATTCCTTCACTATTTCCATTTTGCTTCATTTTTCCAATTCTTTTCTGCTCTCACCTCAGAATAGACCTCGATAGTGAGACCTTTGATCACCCATGGATCTACAAGTCATTCTTTTGAATGACTGGACAAGATGAAACAGAAATCGTAATGCTTCCACGCGGTCTGCCAAGAGCTGGTGACAGGCAAGCCTTTGGGACTTTTAGTACTTGATTTCAGTGGAGTCATGGATCCATGGATGAGTTGTCACCAGTAACTGGACGTATATACCATACTATTTTTTGTTCATTGGATGTGGTTGACTCAAGTATTTCCGTATACTCCCTTGTAGCGTGTGGTGCGTTGCAATAGGCTGAGTGGAGCTTGACGCTACTAAATGTAGGAATCCCTTTCCAGCGCTTTCTCTAACACCTCGCCTGTACTGAGCTTACGCATTGGTACTGCATAGGCAGCTAGCCGGTGCAACAGCCCAAAACTAAAATAGAATCACCGACCTTGCAGCTCTAGCATCCAGTACTATGACTGGACCAAGGATCCACATTTAACCATTTGTAGAGCGGCGTTCATTGCCAGATGTCTATAAGATAGTCGAAGGTGCCCCCGTTTGTCAGTTTACTTTAGTACTTAATAAAAACCCCCTGGAGAATATAATCTATTTCTCTCAGTTTCACACTTTCGTTTACTTTACTCTCGCTTCAAATACTCACTCCTCCACATTACCAGCCCTATCTACAGAGTATTCACATTTGAAATCCATCTCTCATTCACAATGCGTGCCTCTATCATCCTCGCTACTCTCTCGGCTTTTGCCTTGACCTCTGGTGCTGTTGCCCAGGGTACCGCTGAGAGTGTCACCTCTGTCGCTTCCGATGCGGTAAGTTAAACCATGGATAGCTAACACAGGGAAACCCATCTGATCCAGGTACTTACAGGGTAACCCCGAAACACAGTATTTGACTGAGACCAACTCCAACGGCGTCGTCACTGGTCAACCATCCGTCATTACCAGCCAGCCCGCTGCCGCCACCTCCCAGGAGGCTGCTGCCTCTATCCCTGCTGGTTTGACCTCTCCTGTGGTTACTCCCCAGACCGAGACGAGCGGTTTCTCCACCGCCACCTCCACCACTGAAACAGGAAATGTCAGCAGTGCTGCCAACACTTCTTCCGGGTCGTCCTCTACCGGCACATCCAGCAACACCGAGTCCTCCGCCTCCACCGGTACTTCCAGTTCTGGTTCCTCTGCCTCGACCACTGCCTCCACTGGCGGTGCTGGCTTTGCCTCTGCCGGTATGGGTGTTATTGCTGGTGCTGCTATCCTTGCTTTCCTGTAAAGCAGTAGCATGGTCTTTCCCCAGCTTTGTTGATTTGCCATTGATACTACCATTTCAACTGCAAGTAATTGGGAACTCGGAACATCATGGTACTTCCGGATAAATGGACATCAGATCATTATCTGAAGTCTATGATGAGGGACGTGAAAATGCTAGCAAAGTTTCATCTTTTTGTGTCTTATGTGTTCTGTTTTTTATTTAATTTTCTGGACTTTCCTTCATTCATGACGGATATAATCATGGAGGACTTCCAAGGTTGTAATCCCTTACAATCTGGGCCTCCTGGTTTTGTTTTTTTGTGAATCGGACATACCCGCGGCGCAGATCCCGTTTTTCAGTGTTTCATTCCTCCTTAAGGACCATAATTGGCATAGTAATTGGTAAATAAATGGCCCAGTGACTTTCTCGGAAATATTGTTCAATGCGATCTTGGATTGAACAAGAATCATCACTTGTTAGATGCCCATAGAGCTTGTGAAAACGTACTCGGTATACTCTAATACATTATTACGCGTGATGAGAAAATTGGGATTTCCAGATCTCCTTTCTCTCTCCCTTCAAATGTCTCATGAGTGCTTGGCCTCGAACTCCTAGGAAAGGGGCCCATGTGCAATAAGTTAGCGCTTAAGACCAGTCAATATGCACCTGTAGTATATATTGAACGCTAATCCATATTAGGAAGTGTAATAGGCAACGCGTCAGTTTGTCTTGTTTGTCTTGTTTGTCGCACAAGTCACGAAAACGCGAACGCGTCATCCTTATCTGGTCTAGTGTCAAGTATCTCAAGCTGGCCCCATAACAACCCCGTCGTTGAAGTAACCGTCTGTTTTGATCACTCTGACAACCCACACCACCCCACCAAAATGGTAAGTGTCCATATCGGTGAAATACCGGGAATCTGAGATATCACATTAAAGCGCAGAAGAACTAATGTCGCCTAGGTTTCTAATATGCGCCGGTTGGCGGCAGACCATGCCGCCCTGCACACTAAGCTACCGCCGTACTACCTCTTGCCGCCGGATGATGGTCAATTCACTGCAGCTGATGACCTATCCCAACTAAACATCCTGCTGACGGGTCCACCGGGGACACCATACTCCGAGGGTCTATGGCGATTGTCCTTGAAGATGCCACAGGATTATCCCAACAGCCCGCCTAAAGCCACTTTCCGAACCCGCATATGGCACCCCAATGTGGAGGAGTTGACTGGTGCCGTGTGCGTGGATACACTCAAGAGAGACTGGCAGTCTACACTGACACTCCGCGATGTCCTTATTGTGAGTTTGACTGGCATAATTAAAGCTAGGAATTGCATTCCGGCGACTATGCTAACCTGCCTCTAGACCATCTCTTGTCTTCTGATTCACCCCAACCCCGACTCTGCGCTCAACTCCACGGCAGGGAATCTGCTCCGAGAGGAATATGATTCCTTCGCCCACCAGGCTAAATTAATGACATCAATTCATGCCCCGATCCAGTCAGACCTCAGAGCTCTCGTGAACGAAGCGAAATCCCGTGGTGAAGATCCTAGCTCGGTGCCCCAGAAGCCAGACCACCATAATCAGCGCCCACGAAAACAACAGCGGACTCAGTCCAGCGCTTCTCGGAATACTGGTCCCCAGCCCAGTCGTCCAGAATATGTTCTTCATCCACCACGCGACATTCCCCACCCCCAGACCATTCTCGAGGATGATCAAATGCAAATAAGCGATATCGACGACGAAAACGATGACCCTGCCAGTGCAAGCAAGGAGAATAACCCCTCTTTTTCACCTGTCCCTGTGCGCATGGCGCCGTCCGTCGGAATTCGCAAAAACGCCTTTGGGAAACGACCACTGTCCGTCCTGTCGATTGTATACCCCGAAGACCCAGACACGGATATGATGCTTGTGGATCCAGAATCCGACAATGACAAGGACAGCGAGGCATCTACGACGACCAGCTTCAGCTCCTCTGACCAGAACATCGCCGCCAATATTCCTTCGTCTTCTACCACTTTTTCCCGTTACACACCCAAATCTCCCCAAATGACTCCTAATCGCAAAACTCCTAGACTCGCGCCTAGTCGACGAGCCAATACACCCACCCGCCTCCGTGAAGATGTTCCGATCTACGAAGACGTCCCAGACCGTACGTTAATAGATATCTCGCGTCGATTTGGAAGGGACGGAAAAAAGAATTGTGATGCCGTCACTGGGTCTTACGGTGTAAAGGGGTTGCGTGGCTTGCATGCGGAGAAGGTCGCACAAGCTGGGAGCCATATTGCAATTCAGTCGGGTACTGCGTACAGTGCAACGCAGTCTCTTATGTCATCCAATACGTCTCCTTTCAAGGCTTCAAAGAAGATCGTTGGTGGTGCACGGAGGGGACCGATGACGAAGACCAAGCCGCGAATTGGTGTACGACGTCTTTGAGTTATTGGGTGGTCGATACATTTTTTTTTACGTACAAATTTGTTTTCAGCACTTTTTTGGGGGACTGAACTGGCATATGGAGGGATTGCTATGTCGATTGGATGTCTCTAGATCTGTTCATTGCGAGGTGTTTGGGTTATTGGGTTATGGAAAGGGAAACATTGAGCATGGGTTGGTTGCATAACTTGGATGGGGCGCTTGTCTTGGTTAAAATTTGAACTCATCTTGCTACACTTTAGAGGAATGTACTATGTACGCTATTTCTGTTCTATTCGTTTCTGTCTCAGTTCTATAGATACCATAGTAGCTTCAAATGTTGATATTGTGATAGAGGACGTCTCTCATGAACTAGTAGCGTATAAACCTGGGAAGGTCTACCACTCGTAATATCCAAATGTCATCATATGTCTGATTCCAAGTCCAGGCGATTTTAATCCTTGGGGTCCATGCCACATTGATAACTCCTGTATGTGTGCGCCGTGCTTGGTGTATGAGAAGATACAGGGTAGAGGATCGAAAATGATGTTGAAAGATCTCAGATGATGAAGAGAAGTATCTACCCGTGTGTACGATTTGGTAAGTAGCCTTCAATCTTCTGTTAGGGAGTATACTCCTGAGTATTGGTCGTCTCTGAGTTATAGGTAGGTGTAGTATTCGTCTAATTGATTCCTGGGAACGTGACCACCTGGGCACGATTAGTCTGAACCATCTTTCATCCTTTCCTCCAACCACTTCCCAATTGCCTACATCAATTCATCCCATTCAGAATTCTTGATTAAAATTGGAGAAAGATGCCCTCCTCAAAAAGAAAAAGAACGGAAAGGGTCTTTCGCCCTCCACCTATTACCCCCTGTACCTCCAAGTCGAGGCCTGGTTTCGATTCTCATGTTACAAGCGAACCAACCACAACACAGAGAAGTTCATTCTTCCAAGCATCACCCTCAGTCACAAGACAGGAAATAACTCCATTCCGAGCAGAGACGCATCTTGAAGATGATGACTCGGACATTTTCCCTGATGATGACCTTGGCCATATCATCGTCGCTATCGACATCAAGAATCACGGGACCGTAGGATGCTCATATTATTCTGCAGAGAAAGAAACACTTTATCTACTTGAGGATAGTTCATCGGGTGGAGTGGAGATAGTTGAAGCTTGTATAGTACCATTGCCATCCAGATTGTACTCGATCACTAACTGTTCAAAGTGATTACACAGATCAAGCCTACTGTCATATTGACACCACCGAGAGTTGATATTCTCGGTATTCGAGGTCAAAAACAGAATACTGCACATGAGAGTGGTACCTTTATGACACAGCTTGAGATCTCCCCCAGATTTGGTCACTAAGCCATTCATCTTAGATTCATCATCTTATCTGCCATATCAAATTGATGTTTGTCCAACACAGGATTTCAGTATATCCAGTGCGCAGAACAGACTGGTTGCCCTCGATGTATCATCCTCTCACGAGGATCGAGTTCGTTTCTTTGTGCCCCACGACGGTCTCACAGGATCCGAGGAAGTGAATCCTGAAGAAATGGGATTCACGCTCCATGAAGGTCGACTTTTACACATATCGAGTTCTGTTGATATGGAGAATCCCGTAACAATGGGATGCGTAGGCGCTGTCCTTACCTATTTACAGAAACGAAGAGCCACAAGCACTGGTCTAGAACATCCAGATAGCTGCGGATTCCGGGTTCGAGCTTTGGAAATGTTCAGCTTGAAGGATACTATGTGAGTTCTAGTCTCTGAATAATACTCATACATGGAACTGACCACAGTCACACCAGGTGGATTAGTAGCAATGCTTTGATATCTCTTCAGATTATCCAATCCGAATCCCATCCCAACATGTTCAACCAAGGCTCTGGGAAGAAATCATCTTCCGGGAAAGAGGGACTTTCACTTTTTGGACTCTTCCGTCGATTTGCTTACACGCCTCAAGGTCGAGCATTATTGAAACAGATATTCTTCCGACCAAGTGTCAATCTTGATGTCATTCGTGAAAGACATGACTTCATCGCAGTATTCTCGCGACCGGATAATATGGCTGCGGTCGAGAAAATGGCGAAAACCTTGAAGCATATCAAGAATCTTCGACCTACGATGATCAATCTGCACAAAGGGATCAACACAGGAAGTGGGAATACAACTGGATTCAAGGCTACTGTTTGGGAAAGCTTGCTAGCTGTATGTCACTTTTGTTACATCGCGGTAGACGCGGAGCTGTGCTGACCTGGCTATAGTTTGCTTTCCACACAATGGATCTTCGTGTTTCCTTGCAAGAAATTGCCGGGGCAGAAAGGTTGAGTTTGCCAACAAAGGTTCGTCAATTATTATTTGTAAATTGAAGCCTGTTACCAAATACTGATATGAGATAGGCCCTTCGAGTATTTGAAGCAGCACCACTACTCAGACTGGGACAAATGATTCAAGAGATAGTAAGTCAGCAAGTTCATCCAAGATGATATTGGCTAACGTTTTAGGTTGACATTGACGGCTCAGACGAACAAGGAAGAGCCGTGGTCAAACAGGGTCTTGATCGAGATCTTGACCGCATGAAAGATTGCTATGACGGCTTGGGTAGTCTCCTCAAACATGTCGCCCTCGAAATCACAACCAACATCCCGCGGGATGTGGAAGTCGATTTGAACATTATCTACTTTCCTCAACTTGGGTTCAATATCGCCATTGGTCTCAATGACAAGGGAGAGCCTGGGTACTCAGGAACTCGGGAGGACTGGGAGCTGGTATTCATTACAGAAACTCGAGCTTACTTCAAAGATTTTCGCATGAGAGAGCTGGATGAGAAACTCGGCGACATTTATGGTTCGATATGCGGTAAGTCTTTCCACCAGCAAGCTACTTATTAGGGGCTCTATTCTGATAAAAATGTGTCACAGAGAAAGAAATTGAGATCATCTATGATTTGGCTCAGATAGTACTCCAATACGAGACTGTCCTAGTAGAGGCATCTGATGTCTGTGGAGAGATTGATTGGTATGTCTCCTTGTAGTATTCGAAGGCAATTCGAGGTAAGCTGACATTAGTACAGCTATCTTGCTCTTACACAGACTGCCAGCTTCTACCATCTGACTCGGCCAAGGATGACATCTGAAAACTTGATCCAGATCAAGGGTGGCAGGTAGGCTTTATACAACTGTATTGTGAGGTTTTTAAATTGATATGATCTAGACACCTGTTGCAGGAGCTGACTGTGTCCTCCTATGTTCCAAATGATACCTTGCTCATGGGTGGGACTCAAAGCTCAGAGACAACCTCGTCCACGAATGAAGCGCCCAGCATGCTCTTGCTCACTGGACCAAATTACTCGGGGAAGAGTGTCTACATGAAGCAGGTGAGAAAACAGTGTCCATCCATTCGGAACGGCTCTCACTCGTGCTATTTTAGATTGCCCTAATCGTTTATCTGGCCCAGATTGGGAGGTAAGCTGGCTGAGTACGCCAAAAAGTAAAGATAAAATTCTGAACAATGCAGCTTTGTTCCGGCAGAGAGTGCAGCGCTGGGGATCACAGACAAGATATTGACAAAAATAAACACCCAAGAGAGTGTATCAAAGGCAAGTGCCAAGCCGACGTTCTCTTTTAGATTGTTTATCCAATGTTAATTCTATTTTAGATTCAAAGCACCTTCATGAATGATCTGCAGCAGATTTCCCTTTGTCTCAAACAAGTCACTGGTCGGAGCTTGGTGCTTATTGACGAGTTCGGAAAAGGGACGAATGAAAGCGGTTCGCAATTTCCCTGCATCTAGGGCTAAAATTCCCTAGAATCCAAGCTAATCAACATAGATGGCATCGGTCTAGCTTGTGGAATATTCGAGCATTTGCTCAATCTAGAAGAACCGCCGAAGGTCCTTGGTGCCACTCATTTCCACGAGATATTCGAGAACGATTTCCTTCCCTTGCGACCGAGGCTACAACTAGGGCATATGGAGGTCAAAGTTTGCGAGGAGACCCCAGAAATAGAAGATCAGGTCACATACCTATACAAGTGAGGCTCTTCGGTTGTTTTGCAGTACAGAAAAAGCTGATGCCCAGATACGTTGAATAGCTTTCGAAAGGGGCGAAGCAACAAGAGCTTTGGTACAATGTATGTCTCTTTCATGCTTTATCTGAAAACTATTCTGTTAGTACTGACTCATTCAAGCTGTGCCGCAATCAATGGTATAGACGCTTCCATTGTGTCACGCGCAAATGAGATCGCCTCACTTGCTGCCCGAGGGGAGAACCTCATCGCCGCCTGTGCCGCCATCACCGCTGAAGAAATGCAGGCACTCCAGCACGCAGTAGGCATGCATTATGTAGGGGTCTCAAAACACTGTTGCTGACCGGCTCTTAGGACTCATTGGCAAGAAAATTCCTCGAAGTAGACCTCACAGGCACCGAGGGCTCGCAGCGGGATGCAAAATCCATTTTTGAAGATCTTTTCGAGTCAACCGACTAGGATTCGATGGGGATCTGCCCAAATTAGCTATTAATATGCCTTAAATGTCGCTGCCTTTGTTTGCGCGTCTCATTGATCATCCTTTATTGGCCCGGTTAGCCCATGATACATTGTCGATCTATACTACTAACAGCAAAGGACTTTATCTCTCTCCTCCACTCATAGTCTCCACGCTGGCGCCGCGGGGCGCTGCATGGACGAGTCTACCCCGGCTCTTCCCCGGTCAGACTTACAATGGGCAAATACGATGCGCCACCAAGGGCGAAAAGCGGTTGCGGCTGCTCGATGGTTACCACGAACTCTCTCTTTCATGCGTCCTATTTTATTCAAACCTTGAATTCCCTGATAGTGATTCAATACCAAGTTATTTCCCAACTATTTCCAGTACCAAGTACCATTTCATATCCTGTTCCCTGTTCGCCTCTCGTTTCACCTAAACCTACAGTTTAATAATTCGCTGTTCAAGGCTCCCAGTGCCCCACATGTCGCACATCTCCGACCTCGTTAAAGACGCCAAGCTGTCAACCAAGCTTGATTTGGAGTTTACAACACATACTTTTCTTGAGTCATCTTTAGTAGCTGGTCAACGACCTAGACGCCGAGAGCGAGAAGAAAAATGGACGCGGAAAAGACATCTCGGCATGGGAATTTTTGGTATGGTATGGCTAGAGGAATACATGATCGATAAAGATGCCAAATTACGGGTTGTCAAGGAGGTTCGTAGGGTCGCTCCAGGGCCCAAGCCAATAGACTACAGTCGTGAATTGGAAGCTATTGTCAAGTTTTCACAGCAAAAGGTATGCCCGCTTTTTTCTTTTCAAGTCCCTTCTCACTGTCATTTGAAAGTTGTTTTCGTGAAATGCAGCACTGACCAACCGACCACATGCATAGTTCGACGGGTGTTTTGTCAAATCCTCAGGGTGGTTCGAGACCGATGATTCGTTTTTTATTTGTACCGAATACTTCATGCTGGGTGATCTTCAAAAGTACATCTATGAGCCTTTTCCTGAGGGAGAAGCCCAGCATATCACTTTGCAATTGCTAGAAGGTCTGGATTTCATGCATAGTAATGGGTTTGCGCACTGTGATTTACGGCCTAAGGTAAACATGGCTACTCCTTAATAGCACGACGCATATTTGCTCACTATCAGATAGAACATTCTCGTCCGTTCAAAAGACCCCGAGTGGTGGGTTAAGATTGGCGATTTTGGTATCAACAAAAGAGTGATGGAGGGCTTGACGGGGCTCAAGACATTCAACGCTGCACCCACGTTTACCGCGCCCGAGTTGTATAAAGAGATTTGGGAACCAAGTTCAGCAACACATGATTCAAGCTCGAAATTTAACCCAGAGGTCGATATATGGTCTTTGGGTGTGATCTCGTACTATCTACTTGCCGGAAAACTTCCATTCTATACCCAGCATAATCTACTCGCATACTACAACAAAGAATCGACATTGCCGATGGAGTGGCTATACACTTTACAGTCTAGCGATGAAGCAGTCCAGTTCTTGAAAGACACTCTTGCACCTAGTCCCTCGGATCGCATCACTGCGGGCGACGCTCTAAATCATGACTGGCTATCAGGGTTGCCATCGAGCCCAGTTGAACCAGGCGAGCCACAGCCATTACCATCGGAAAAGTCTATACTACCATTGCAACCTCGAAGACCCAACAGCTCCCAAGATGTGATGCTTCCAGGAACAATTAACCTGACAAGCCCTCCGACGATGCTAGGTCCAGGAATGCCCTTGACCCTCCCACAGAGTCAACGGGCAAGCTATAGAACCTCCCTGAGCGAGAATTCTCAGCAAGGCACGATATCCGAGCACCAACACCATCATCATATGATGCTAACGGCGACTCAACCAAATGGAGACCATCTACCGATGCAAAGCAACATGGGAAGCCTCGGGACGGACGACATGTACAAACCAACAACAAATCCCAGCATGACACACGGTCTCAGCGCATTACATCTACTGAGTAACGTCCATCCCCTCCACCGCCCCGCAACAGAACCAGCATCAATCGAAAAATCACAATGCAGAGAATCCCAGATCGGCGAGTCCTCTTTACGTCCCACTCCTCTCCGGCAGCTCCCGCAGCTTTCAACACCGGACATGTCGATCGTCGAGTCGGTCAGTGATACACTTCCGCCGTATACTCGACGCCGATCAGACGCCGCACCGATTCCTATATCAGATCTAGACTTTATACCTCCGAGAACAGAAAGTCCATCTGATAGTCGAAGCCGGAGTAGCACAGTTGAGAGCGCGAGGGATAGTATTGAGCGACGTAGTTCGGATCGTCGGTTTTCGGATAGATTTCGTCGTGCTTCTGAGAGCATGATGCCTAAGCGACATAATCATCGGTCTGTGGATCATGGGAAGAAGAAGGATAAGGATAAGCTGAATGAGATCAGTCCGCCGATTTCTCGGTCTAGGTATACCTCTCGTCCAATTTCTACCCTTTGGCCTTGGTCAAAATGGTGAGAGGCTTGACTGACTCCTGTTAGCTCGACTACAACGAGAGACTCTGAGACTAAGAAGGCGAGTGGAAAGAAGGCTAAATCGCAGGTGGTGCAGATTCCTGGTCGTCCACAATTTGCGGAAGGGTTGCCTTTATTTCCTGTACGCGTGAAGAAGACATGAGTCAAGTGGTTTTGTCGATAAATGCGAGATGTTGGTGAGGTTGATTGCTCTAGGGCAGTCAGCCTTCCGATCATGGCTTGTCATGTAGAGATGAATTGTGACTATGGCATTTCCTGGCGCTTATTTGATTATTTAGCAGAATATTTGAAATTATTTAGAATGGAATTGAGCGTGAAAATATGACATTTAGTTGGTATATACACATCAAATCCTGTATAGGCCATGAACCACAGTAGACGCCTGGAAACAAAAATTGAACAAATCCATGAATTTTAAGTCTAGCTTCAACTTGAAAATTAAAGCTTGACACTCTTGACCAGGTTCTTCTTGATACCTGTAAGTTCACCACCATATCCACCACGGCTCTCACCACCCTTATAGATCTGTCGGATACTGCCAAGCTTCTTCTTCTTCTCCTCGAACTTCTTGCGCTTCTTGACACGCGGGTTGCGCGAATCCTTGCTACGCTTAGCCATGAGACCCTTGTTCTTCTCAATCTGGTAGGTGATAGCACGCTTTCCATCCTCTCCAACCGCTTCCTGTATCTCAACACGACCACCCAGGCGAGCAGCTTCGGCATGAGCATCAGAGCGAGCCTTCTTATCATCCTTGCGCTGCTTGCCCCGGGCCGCAATCATGTCGTAATACTCGTCATCATTCGAACCAGGCTTGCGCATTTCCTTTGCAACGCGGTGATCTTCCTCGTCGCTGTCACCACCCAACTCTTGGCCGATATCAGCTCCTTGGCGACCACGTCTCTCTGCTTCGGCGTTAAGACGGGCTTGTCGGTCCTTAAGACGTTCACGGTATGGAATATCAGCATCACCACCAGCATCGCGGCCTGCAGCGTTACGCTTGTTGGCCTTCTGAGCGATCTGAGAGGTGTAGAAGCGCAGAGAGCGCTTCTGCTTCTGCTTCTCCTCAGCCTCCCGAGCTGTGAGCGCATCCTCATCTCCGAAATCGGATTCATCGTCCTGGGTAACAGTCTTGGTCTTCTGTGTCTTGCGTTTGCGAGTAGGCTCTGTGACCAGGTCATCGAGATCAGCCAGACCCTCCTCGTTCTCCCGCAATCGGTCTGCGCGAAGAGCCTCAGCCTCAGCAGCGGCGCGTTCAGCCTTGCTCTGAGACTTCGTCTGTTTGACCTTCTTGATCTCCTTGGTCTTTGTGGGTTGTTTCTCAACCTTGGTGGATTCAGTCTTGGCCGGAGACTTCTTAATGACTTGAACGACTTCCTGAACCTCAATATCCTTGACCTTCTCCCACATTTTTCGGAATTTGACCAGAGAGCCCATAACAGGATGTTGTCGGAGTTCGACGGGGGACATAGGGACGGGATTTGAAGCGTCCTCGGAGGACGAAGCGAGAAGCATGAAGTACATGTTGATCACACCGAGGTATGTTGACAGAGCACGGAGTTTCACAATGGACACATGTGTAGGTTGAGATTCGTCTGTGTCAACTGTGGATTTCGGGGCCTTGGCTGCCTCTTTTTCTAGATCCTTGTAGGTTGATTGAAGATCGACGTAGTCTTTAGCTAAAGGCTCGAACTCTGGATACCTCGATTTCAAGATCTTTAGCTTGTCCTCGGAGGACATGTCTTCGGTGATTTCCAGCTGTGGAAGGACTTCTGTAAAGTCGCCGTCCTTTGCCTCATCCTCCTTGCCAGCATCGGCCCATTCGGACTCATCAAAACCAAAGTCCGCCTCGTCCATAGCCTGTAATTGCTTCTGTTGCAGTCGCTTGGCCTCTTTCTCCTCCTCTAGCGCATCGACTTCGGTCTCGATCTGGTCCGCATCGTAGAGATCTTTCTTTGATGTACCCCATTCTGCGATTCCATCTTCTTCCTCCGAGTCTTCTGACTTCTTCTTCTTTAAGCCCATGTCGTCGTATTCGTCATCTTCATCCTCTGACTCTTCGAGATCATCTTCGTCGACTTCATCATAGCCAAGAATCTCTTCCTCGGATTCCTCAAGTGCCTCCTCTAAAACCAAACATTAGCCAATGCTGCACCCCAAGCAACAAATAAAATAAGGTAACAAACCCTCCTCTGCAACTCTTCGGCGTCGCTTGGCCTCGGGGGCTTCGTCTAGCAGAATATGGTCGCGGCCGGCCTGGAACTCGTCTTCGGAATCTTCGAATCGCTCTTCGATGTCAAACTTGGTGCGAGCAGGGGCTTCAGCCTTTGAAGCGGGGCGACCGCCAGCCTTTCTCTTGCCCATGATTAAACAAAATTGACTTGTTCACTGGTCTGGCTACTCGGCGTTCTGGACTGCGACAAAATAATTTTTTGGGGCATTTCACACCGCCCGGGAGACACTAACCCCTGAATGGATATTTTGCCTGGTTTGCACGTATGGAAAGATGTGTACGCTCTAACTTACAGCATCCCGCAATTAAGGTATTGTAATTCTGTTCTGGCTGGTTTCAAGCTTCACATCGCACCTGCCTCAACAATTGATCAGAAAGCATCAATTCGGGCAATTGCGTAGAATCCCACCCTACCCCTCCCTCTTCTTTCTCTTCTTCTTCCTCCTTCTTCCTGATGTCTACCATATCAACCTTTATCCCCTCAACTCATATTTCCACTCCAGTACTGGGAATATCGATACTCCTCTGCTCTATCATAGCTTATACGGTTGCCAAGATGTTCGGTTTCAACCGCAAGAACGAATTCCAGGTGGAGGGCCGTGTAAGCACCAGATGACCCCCTTTTTCTCTCAACTCATCTCAGCTCATCAGCTAACTCTCCCCTCTAGACCGTGGTCATTACTGGTGGCTCTGATGGCATGGGCCGTGCTGTTGCAGGCCAGCTGGCCGGGAAAGGTGCACACGTCGTCGTAGTTGCTCGCACTGCCTCCAAGCTCGAGGCTACTGTTGAAGAACTCCGAGTTTGTTACCCTGTCTCTTCATTCATCTCTCTCATGTCCCTTTTACTGATAACCACTCTAGTCCAAAGCCCTGAACACGCTCAAGCAGCGCTTTCTGTACATCTGTGCGGATCTCACTGATGCCAACGAGTGTGATCGTGTGATCTCTGAGGTCACAGCCTGGAATGATGGCTCTGCTCCCGATGTTGTCTGGTGCTGTGCTGGCTTCTGCCACCCCGGTTTCTTCGTTGATGTGTCAATCGCCACTCAAAGGCAACAGATGGACACAGTCTACTGGACTGCCGCCAACATGGCTCATGCCACTCTCCGCAACTGGCTGGCACCCGTTCCCCCCAGTGGTCAGATGCGCAATCCTCGTCGACACCTCATCTTTACTTGCTCTACTCTTGCTTTTGTTCCCATCGCTGGTTACGGGCCTTACTCGCCTGCCAAGGCGGCCATTCGCTCCCTGTCTGACACTCTCAGCCAGGAGATTGAAATGTACAACGGTGCATACACTCAGCGCCACCGCAACACGGCTCCAGCTGCCGATGTCAAGATTCACACTGTCTTCCCCATGGGCATCCTGAGCCCTGGTTTCGACAACGAGCAGAAAATCAAGCCAGAGCTGACCAAGATGCTCGAAGAGTCCGACAAGCCCCAGACTCCCGAAGAGGTTTCACAGATTGCCATTCAAGCTTTGGAACGTGGTGAATATCTCATCACAACAATGTTTGTCGGTAATGTCATGAAGGGTACAGCACTTGGACCCAGCCCTCGCAACAACATTGTCGGTGATACTTTCATGAGCTGGCTCAGCAACTTGGTATTCCTTCAGGTCATTCCCGATCTGCGCAGCAAGGCATTCAACTGGGGCAAAACCAATGGCCTCCCTCAGCCAAATTGTGAAGAGTAGTCGTCTTATTCCTGTCCTTTCTCTGATCAATGTTTGTATTATACCCTCTGTGTTGCTCTTCCGGCTGTTCATTCATTTGGCCAGATGGGCGTCCGCCCGTTTTGTACCCTATATAACATGGGGGCACCATATTATTAGTGCGGAAATCAATACTTCATTCTTTTGATCTTCAAATTCTTCTTATTTCTTTCCAAGTAAACAATTCTCAATTTGACACGGCGATGTGTCAAGTTTCAGGGCTACACGTGGAATGCGGGCGGCGGTGACGGTGACGTAGTGGAGATCGAGTTCCCTGCCACCCCAGTTTTCTTTCATTTCTTTACTTTCCACGATGCGCTTCTCGGGGTTTCGAGTTGGCAAAGCCCTTTGAAGAGATGATTTTACTTCAGTCTCTTTGAACATAAATCTATGTCTTAAATATATTTATAGGACGAGCGCAACGAAGTATTCTTCATCTTCGCAACGCGAGACTCGATCGATCGACATCCCACCACCTAAAACCACATTTTTCCTCTGGCATTCTAAGCCCTACCAACTTATCTTCGTGATAATCCATACAAAATGGACGCCCTTTTCTCTCTTCCCGTTATATCCCTAGTCCTTATCCCCGCCATGTCCTCCTACGCAACCAGTCTAAACATCATCTTCTTCTACATGACATGGTCGACTCTCGTCCTGTCGCATTCCCCCATTCGAGTCGAATTAGCCGGTACAATCACCGTCCGCTTATTATTCTTCATACTACCATCACTCCTATTCTTCCTCTTCGATATTCTCACTCCGTCTGCGGCTGTGATCGTCAAGGCGCAGGGTGAGGCCGGTTTACCTAGCGGCAAGAAGCGCGGCATGATTCGTGCGCGTGAGCTCAAGGTCGCAGGCTGGTCGCTCTTTAATGTACTTCTGGGACTCATCTTGCAATCGGGAATCGAGTATCTGCTGGTTAAGTTACTCGGTATTCGCAGTGCGGTGAAAGTATCCATGAAGCTGCCTATGCCATGGGAGATTGGACAAGGTCTAGTCTTCGGATTATTAATTCGAGAGGTAAATCGACTTCAATTCCAGCTTTGCTTGCTTCACCGCAAGTCCCCGGCGTTTATCTGTTTTCTTTCTTTTTTTGGGTGTTGGCTTACTAACCTTCATACTATATACTTCTAGGGTCTAACATATACTATACACCGCTATGTCCTTCACAATAAAAAATCAATCCTCACACGGTCTTTAACTGAGTGGCATGAATCATGGTACCACAGCCTTCGGACTCCATTCCCTCTTACAGCGCATTATGATCATCCCATCACATGGATAATCGGTCGCTTTATCCCGAGCTTCTTACCAGCAATGCTACTACGCATGCACATGATTACCTATATCATCTTCCTATCAACCCTGTCTGTTGAAGAGACATTCGTGTACTCTGGTTATACTGTTATGCCAACAAGCTTCTTCCTTGGCGGAATTGCGCGCCGTGTAGATGAGCATCTACTTAAAAAGGGAGAAGGAAACTTTGGGCCTTGGGGCATTTTTGATTGGATTTTCAGCACAACTGTTGGGGAGTCGACTATTGAAGATGATCTTGAGGCTGAGTTTGATAGTGACGAGTTCCAGGAGAAGGTTCTGCAGGCGTTGGAGTCTTCGAAGCAGAAAATTCGTGAGGGAACTTTGCGGAGGAAGACTCGGGGACGGAAGCGTAGTTCGATTGTTGAAGAGCATTTCAATAGATAAATATCAATTTGGATAAGCTTCTGACCTTGGAAGATTCAAATTTTGTCATGGATTGGAACTGTCGACCTCCAGGGCTCGACTCGGAGATTATCTAGTTCCAACATTGAAGGTTCTATAGATCTGGGTATTTCTGGAAATGGTTTAGCGTTATTTGTTTTGATTCACACACTACCTATGATGAGGAAGGGCCAGTGCCACATGTGCAGGTGTGTTTTTATGTATGTGGGGTTCAAAAATATTGGGTGATGTTCAAGTTGTTATTTTGGAAGAGTCACGGTGCAAGCACTTCAAGTTTCAACTTGTTTATAGAGAGCCCTGGATTTCAGGTTGTGGAGAGATATATATGTGGTCCACGGGCGTGGACATCCATGGATCTGGAGTAGATAGTATATTAGACAAAAAAAGAAATCCCAGAATCAATTAAGTCGTTATCGCACAATCCCGAAGCTAAGCCTACTTTAATTAATATGGAAAAGAATTAATCCCAAATTCATTTATTGACTTTAGGACCAAACCACGGCTTGAATGCGGCTTAAATGTTTAGATTAAAGGTTACTCCGTACTTTAACCACACATGTGCAGGTACTATTACAGGAATCTCTACATTTATTATGAAGATATAAATGACACAATTTTTTGGATTGCCGCCTGAACCTGGGAATGGGAAAGTATATGTCATACTGAACATGAAAAGGAATCCAGCAGGGATGCTGGAGCGAGGTATTTTTTAATCTTTTTTTGTTTGAAGTCTTTCTTCACACCACGGCTGTTCCCTCTCTTCCCCGAGAGAGAACAAGGAAGAGAGATCATGCTGGATCGGCCGCGCGCAAGAAGGGGGGAAAGAACAGGTGTCTTGAAACAGGGACAACAACCGGATATCCGAATTAAACCGCAGAATCCTAAATAAGCATGTAGAAAACGGACTCCATATGGAGTTACATGAGTCATGAACCGCTCCCCTCCGTGAACGCGATGGGTTGCCGATTTGCAATCAAGCCGCCCCTCGTTGAAAGATGAGTCCTCCCCAACTATCTACCGAACCCGCGGCCGTCGCTATGCACTTTTTTACCACTTCATCTCGTGGGGCTTGTCACCGTTGCGGAGGCTGAAGGTGGTGCTGAGGTAGCTGCCGAGGAAGTCCTCCTTCTTGATGCTGCTGAGGATGGACTGGTCAACGGCCTTCTGGTCGGTAGCGCGGGCGCTAGCAACAACCTTCTTCTGTAAAAACACAAGACAAATTAGTATTCCGTTCGAACTCATTGCCTTTCATGATTTGTTTCGAATTCATTCTCGGATTCAGATCGAAAACGTACCTGGGGCTTCTCGCCCTGCTTGAAGAAAGCCTCCTCGGTCTTCTTCTCGGCCTTCTTCTCCTTGGTGAAGTAGTCGGGAGCGGAAACGTTCTCGAGGGCCTTCTGGTCAACGGAGGAGACGTCAACGCGCTTGGAGGTGGCGATAACGTAGCGAGCGTTAACACGGCGGAGGGGAACACCGTTGATCTTGAAGGGGCCGGTAACGAGGAGAACACCCTGGTCGAGGTGCTTGAGGAGGATGACACGCTTGCCACGGAAGCGACCAGCGAGGAGGATCAGGATGGTACCGGGCTGGAGGCTCTCGCGAACCTTGGTGGGGCGCAGAGTCTTGCGAACCTGTGAATACGAAACGAATGTTAGAAAATTCGGACTTCGAGGTTTAATTTGGCCTGCACATCGAATATGATCTGGAATTTGCGTGTGGATTTGAGATGGCGTGTCGGAATGAATGCAATGTTTATGCGCGAGTGAGACTCGTTGACTCTTTCACAGTCGCAGTCGGTTTGCCGCTTGGTTTATCAACAAATGTGTCGCTTGTGTTTTCAACACTGATCGAATTGACCGAATCGGCTCGGCATGCCTCCATCGCATTCATTCCTGGCAACCATCCAATGTCCTCCACGCTTTGTTTCCTTTTCGATTGCTTCGATGCACTTTGTAGGCCCGGGGTATACGGACCTTCTTGGGCTGAGACTCATCGTCCACGGGGTACCACTTCTGAGCCTTCTGGGCGGGGTGCGGCACAACGCGCTGACCCTTTCCAAACTGCTTCGTCTGGCCAACAGTAGCGTCCGACATCGTGGCTGCTGGGACGATGGTGTAGGTGGTTGTCGGGTTGGTGGTTGGGTGTTGGAGGTTGATGTGCGGACTCGCAAGTGGAGTCCAGTATGAGGGTTTGTGGGAAGCGCAAGCCCTATCTCACGTGATGGTTAGCCGAAACATCGATGAGTCAGCTATCGGGAACCTGAACGTTGCGGGTCTCGGTTCGGGTGGAGACTGCCCTAACATCTGTATCTCCAGATTTCGGAACATCAATCGATGCCTACTGAGTATTTCGTATCGGATTAGAATATTTATGATCGGCACCTGATTCAAATGAAATTGATATGGTTTCAACACTGTCAAATTCAGCGACAACTACGTATCCTCAGTCAAAAACACATTTTGCTGTACCTAGGTCCGTACATTTGCCACCGTGACAGAGATCACATCTATACAAGTCCCCACGCCGCGCTTGGCGTGGCACTGCTAGTAAAGCAGCGAGCATTTGAAATTGGGAGAGGTATGTCCTCAGCACGCGTTTGCTTGGCTAGATGTGTCCACATCCTCTCAATAGGCATCTTCGCATACTTAAGTACAGGGCTCAGTCCGAGTCAGTAGCATCTACAGGTGACTGATGATCTACACCTCTTTGTATGCCAGTGTCTACATGGTTACCTATATAATTACCTGGAGTGGAAGACTAGGTGCTATATAGTTGGATATATACAACTGACAACCCTACAGATATCTAAAGTGAGAGATAGCTGAAGTAAGAGATACGTAAAGTGAGGAATATCCAAAGTAGAAGTAAGATAAAACAGGAACTATACACCAATAACAACTTCGCTTTCTGAGTCTTAATGTGAACCAGACATTTGTACATCTGGATAATCTGGAATAACCCACCCACCCTTATTTTCCTGAGAGAATCGTGCCACAATCTGCGGGATTCGCAGCAGACATGCTAACCAGCCACAGAAACGCAATAAAGCAACGGCCCATTCTGACTCCGGAAGAGCAAATCGCATGAGATTGAAATTTATCTGTTGAATCTCTCCGACAAATGGCCGGAGATTTTGGTCGTAATTGGAAAAGGCCAATGGAAGATCATCGGGGTGTCGACAGATCTCCCCTGCTAAAACATAGGCCCCGATCAGAGCCCCAGTGGTTCCCATTCCACTTAAAGGCGAAGCACAATGGGCTGCATCCCCAAGAAGTACCACCCGCCCTTTAGACCATGTGTTTGTTCGAACTTGAATAATTTCCTGGCAATACCAATTCGGAGTGTTTCGCATACCGTCCAGAAACCGGTCGACTTCCCATCCAGCATCACGATATCGCTGGGCCCAGAATTCTTTTTGCTGCTCCACCGAGGCTCTGATGTTGCTGTCTTGCTCAGTGCGAGGAATAAACCAGTAGGCCATGTGCATACCCATTCCGAAACATGGATCTGGGGACTCGGGCGATAAAATAGCATTTCGAATACGCGATCCCTGGCCATCGGCACCAACAAGTATGTCAAATGTACCCAAAGAACCATCTGAGAAATGTGCAATGACTTGTTTCTCATCCTGATCAAATTTATCGACTGTTTTGCCGAAGATATACTTGACATTGTATTTCGTAGCGTCGTAGAGGATGCAAATCAGATCTCCACGCATAATCTCGTACTCTGATGTCAAAGACTGTGCACCTTTGCCGGTTCTTTTTGCCATCATGGTGCCATAAACTTTTCCCTTTGAGTCCACAAAAGCCACTCCCTCTTCATCGACAAGTTTGCTTCGGATGGCATCTATGAGACCCATCCGCTTGGCCACTTCAATGCCTTGACCACGGAGATCAACTTGGGCACCATGTGCTCTTAATACTGGGAAACGCTCAACCACTGTGACTTGGTGACCATTGCGGGCAAGCCAGAAAGCTAGTGCTGGCCCAGCACAACCTCCACCGCAGATGAGGATGTTGAGAGGCATATTATGTTCAAGGTTGTGAAGAACTCAAGGTATAGATGAACTAGGTTAAATAGATGATAGAAATTTCAAGATGATCGACTTTGAAAACATTGAAAGAAGATATGATGATGACCTGTTAATTATATACCTGTGTACTTTGTAGACAGCCTGCTGTTTGAGAGCCGGGGATTCACGGGAATCTGCGGCATTTTGATGAAACCCCAAATGCCATAAGTGTGGCAAAATAGAACAGAAAACTTGGAAGGCAGCATGACTAGGAATGAGAACTGATTTAATGTGTTTGTCTACTTCATACCAGATGATATTGAATTTGCCCTCTATTCAGGAATTGATCTAGTATGTGGATCGCAGAGATCATGACGTCCTGTTTGGACACCCGATAAGGATTCCATACGATAAGAAAATGGTGCCTCAACTTCAAGGTGTTAATCACGGTAGCCCACACGATCCCTCCGCGCAAGTCAGCTGCTCAAACACAACTGACGTATCTTGAAGCTTCTCTCCGCCGACTCTTCATTGCCTTTCAAGAAACTCCATTTCATCCACCTGGCGTGGAACTTATCTCACCAATAAATCTCTAACAATTGCTTGCTTGTATAGCAGCACTTTTTTCCGTCATGTCGATAGCTCCTCTCATCACTTTTAAAGCAGGTATCTGCGACCTCGATGTGTGTGCTCCATGCTCCTACAAACCTCATCAATTGGCCTCCATCCAATAACCCTCAAACTTTACACGTTGCAGCATGACTCTAACCTTTTCTATATAGAGCTCCTCTAGTCCTGCTACTGTGAAGCCCAAGCCTACCCCAGGCTACATCTACCTCTACTCCGAAGATGACCTCGTACACTTCTGCTGGCGACCCCGCAGCTCGCCCCTTGACGAGCCCGAGCTTGACCTCGTGATGATTCCCTCAGATGGAAGCTTTACTCCTTACCAGCCCGCCGGAAAGGATGCCACAAATGGCCGGATATTTGTACTGAAGTTCTCATCCAGCTCTCAGCGTTATTTGTTTTGGTTGCAGTCTCAGCCTCAACATGAGAGTGGTGACCTGAGCTGGTTCAGTCCTCGCGACCGAAAGCTTGGAGAGATTGTTGATGTTCTGTTGCAAGGAGAGGAGGTGGATGTGGAGCATGAGCTTGCCAGCCTGCCCCGACGACCTTTCAGCGGAGATGATGATGAGACAATGGAAGATGTAGAGGGAACAGACCATGACCCTAGCCATCACCATGGCAGCAGCAGTGGCGGTGCCGGTGCCGATGCGACCGGGGGTGACGTTCGTGAAGAAGGCCAGGAATCGCGGGAGGGCGGTGCTGATGGTGGACGAGCGTAGGTACATATCTCTACCGATTGCAATTAGGGCTATCAACATCTGACATTCTGAACTCTTTTCTTTCTTTTGCTTTTTTAGTGCTGCCACAGATTCCGATCCATCCTCAGTCGTCCAGGACTTCTTACGGTCTCTGGGTGGCCAGAGACAGTCCTCATCCCAAGATCCCGAACGCTCTTCTACAACCCTCCAAGACCTATTGACTCCTCCGACTACTTTGCCCTTTATTGAATCTGCGGATGAAATTACTGCCGATCACCTTCTGAGCTTCTTGCCGCCGGCACTGCTTCTGCTGGCCCAGGGCAATGCCGAGGCATCGGAAGCTGACACAGACCCGGAATTGGCCCAAGCGGCACTTCTTTCTCTTGATCTCAACCAGAAGAAAGATATTCTTCGCAAAGTTCTCCGCTCCCCACAGTTTATGCAAAGTTTAGCCAGTTTGACGGTAGCTCTTCGGGATGGTGGATTACCTAGTATCAGTGAAGCTCTGCAGATTCCAGTGGCCAATGGAGGGTTTATGCGTCGAGGCGGTGTACCGCTAGGTGGGGGAGATGCGGTGGAGGCGTTCTTAGATGGAGTACGACAACATGTTAAGACCAAGGATGACACTCAGATGGATACGGATTGAAATACGAATTTTGATTTTTTTTAGTTATTCAAGTTTTAACTCAAGTATTCAAGTACTTGCATTGAAATGCATATTGTTTCTCTATATTTTCAAGTTCTTCACATGCATTCTCCTAGTGTTTACATGATCCTATTTTTGGTAACATGTCCACCCCACCAGGCACCAATTTTTCTTTTTTGTATGGAGTATCTAAGTTAAGGCTTCGTCAGCACATACGAAACGCCGAGAGATATGGACTTCAGGAGAAGATGTAATTTCCCAGTAATACGGGCTCTGTGGATATACATGTATTTACTACTAGTAATTCGGAGTCCACGGATGTATTGATATACTAAGTATGCATGTGCCCTTCAGGGAGGTTCATGTGGTTCGAATGTTCCAATTAAGTGTATGTGCATTATATAGTATTTATCACTCTATTGAACTTTCTAGTGTGGATTCTATACATTGACCATAGACATGTGGAATAGATTAAATCTATATAAAAATTGTTCTAAATTATACTTGATTATATATTACATACTAATCAAGAGTAACTAAGACATTGCAGAAACTTGAATCTGGTTGTTGGGCCAATCAACTCCTTGGCGGCTGTTCCCTGTGGATTTGCGACCGGCCACTTTTGGGTCTAACACGCCTACACTAATCTGCTTGGCCCCAATTTCAGTTCCTCATGCTCCGGCAGTTTTAGGAAAATCTGGCATTTTCTTTAGTTCACTTTCATACACAGATTACAGATTGTGCCTCCTTCCCCCCCTGATACCACCTTGCCACCTCTAGTCGCGGTTCGGTCACAGCCTGCAATGTCTGATATTCGATAATCCTTAACCCTGCCGAACGATGGCGCCGAATAATTCAAACCCTGGCGATGATGATAATCCCTCGAACCAGATCCCGCTACAGGATCTGTCCAGACCCGAAAACCCCACTGATGAGCGTGGTAGAGATCGCGCCAACAGTGCGGGGGCGGGTGTGTTTTCACGACGATCCCTGATGAGGCGAGGGTCGCGGAGGCAATACCAGAGTGTCGCAGAGGAGTCGCCGGTCGACTTAGGAAGCGCAAGCAGGAATCCATTCGAATCATCCGGTCATTCTGGCGACGAAGAACCCACTCATGAGGACCTAGGAGCTCTAGCGCAAGCCATGTCGTTCGGGATCACATTTGACGCGCCGCGATTATCCCTCTCTGGCCCATCAGACCCGCACAGATTTGACGATGCCGCTTCTGACCTCGATGTTGTTCCCCTCGATAATTACCATTCCCGCGAGCCAGATAATTACGGTCCCCAGTCATATGTCGAAGACGATACCACACGCCTGACCGATTCGCGATACCTTCAACCGATAAGTGGTGCCCCTGCGTCGGAAGGGCGACCAAGTAGTGATATTGGCCTTCACTCTCTAAACTCCCGGGATGGATCGCGATTGGGAGATGACCTTCCTCATGTGGAAGACGGCTTGGGCCGGAATCGCAGTGGTACCCGGTCTCGTTCTCTATCACCGTCAGCTTCTGGCGGGGCGCTGCAGCGTGCTAGTACGATGGTGAAATCCATGTCACAACGAGTGGTCAACTTGAGTAATGAACCGGAAGTTGTGCAACAAACTATTGAAAGGGAGGAGTCTCAGAAAAATTCACGGCTGGAAGCTCCCCCAGCCCTACCTGCAATGACTGAATTTGCCCATGATTCCACCCCCAAGCTGCCACCAAGAGAGAAACGGGCATCCAGGTCGATGTGGAAATACCGAAACAATCCCTTCCGGGGCAGGTCTCTGGGAATCCTGGGACCAAATAATCCTCTTCGACTTTGGCTGTGTGATATCCTTGTTAATTCATACATGGAACCTTTTATTCTGGTATTCATTCTTATTCAAACCATCCTTTTGATCGTGGAGTCCTCGAAATCTGTCTTCGATCGCCCCGAAGCAGTGAAATGGGGAAGTTCCCGATTAGACTATGTTTTCTTTGCCATTTTCATCATTTATACCTTGGAAATTGCGGCCAAGATCTTGGTCTCGGGCTTTGTGTTCAATCCACCAGAGTATAGTACTCTGAATCGGAACCTGGGCATCAGAAAGGCGGTAATAGAGAAGAGCAAAAACCTTGTCATTCCCCATCGCGAAATGACAAAGAAAAAAGTTTCTTTCTTACAAGCCGATCCGCAGTCCTCTATCCTGCGGACTTTTACTGGGATGAACGGACTAGAGGATGCGCAATCTCAGGATGATCCGCTCCAGAAGCGCCGTGTCCGACTTGCTCATCGCGCATTTCTCCGACACTCTTTTAATCGATTGGATTTTGTGGCGCTGGTTGCCTACTGGGTCTCCTTTGCTCTCTCCTTACAGGGCGTGGAGGTAGCTCACCAACTTTACATCTTTCGCATGCTCAGCTGTCTTCGAATTCTGCGGCTTCTTTCCCTTACCAATGGTACCTCGGTTCGTTCTTATTCCCATATTCATCCGGTCTCATGGATTTCTTTTGTAGGCTGACTTAAATCTAGGTGATTCTTCGAAGTCTCAAACGAGCTGCGCCTCTTCTGGTACATGTTGCATTTCTAATTGGCTTCTTTTGGCTCCTGTTTGCTATCGTGGGTATACAAAGTTTCAAGTCCAGTCTGCGAAGAACTTGCGTTTGGATTGATCCTGAAGGCCAGGCAAACTATACTTCAAATGACGCTTATGGCACACTTCAATTCTGTGGTGGATATCTCAACGGTACAACAGGCAAAGACATGCCGTGGCTGGATGCTTCTGGTTCTCCGCAGGGCTCTTCAGCTAAAGGCTACATATGTCCCATTGGCTCCCTCTGTGTTGAAGGTACAAATCCTTACAACGGGACTGTAAGCTTTGACAATATCCTTCAGTCGCTGGAGCTGGTCTTTGTCATCATGAGTTCTAATACCTTCACCGATCTGCTCTACTATACCACCGACAGTGACTTTCTCGCCTCCGCGCTATTCTTTGCTTTCGGCCTGGTTATTTTGAGTCTGTGGCTGGTCAACTTACTCGTCGCCGTCATCACCCATTCTTTTCAAGTTATTCGTGAGGAGAGCAAACGCAGTGCCTTTGCTGTTCAAAAGATCGATAACGTTGAAGAAGACGACACCACGATGCAAAAAGTCAGTACAATCAAGTGGTTTTACGATAAAACAGAGCTGTTTTGGGTTCTTATAATCGTCTACGACCTCGTAATCCAGGCTCTGCGAAGTTCCACCATGAGCAGTGAACGGCGTCGATTCATCGACAACACAGAACTGGTCTGTACCCTCATCTTCCTTCTCGAGATCATCATTCGTTTCATATCAGATTGGCGTGTGTTTCACCGAAAGCGCCGAAACTGGTTTGATCTCCTCCTTGTTGTTGTCACTTGCATTATCCAGATACCCGTGATCAAGAACTCGGGGCGTCCTTATACTGTTATGACAATGTTCCAGATTCTTCGGGTATACCGAGTTGTTATGGCAATCCCAGTCACCAGGAAGCTTATCATGGTCGTATTTCGAAATGTCATTGGTCTGCTCAACTTGATATTCTTCCTTTTCTTGATGACATTCCTTGCTTCGATTTTCGCTACCCAGCTCTTTCGCAGCCAGATTCCTTCGGAAGATCCCGACGGAAACTCGATTGCTATTACCTTCGCTGATATCTATAACTCATTCCTGGGAATGTATCAAATCTTGTCAAGCGAGAACTGGACAACCATTCTGTACAACGTTACCGCTTACACGACTCACTTCAACACGGCTTGGATTTCGGCCTCCTTCATCATTCTATGGTTCATTGTCGCCAATTTCATCATTTTGAACATGTTCATTGCTGTCATCCAAGAAAGCTTTGATGTGTCCGAGGATGAGAAGCGTCTCCAACAGGTTCGAGCGTTCCTGGAACAGAAGCATATTGGGCAGGCCACTCAAGGAAACCTTGCCCTTTCAAAGATCCTTCGGTTGGGCCGAGACTCGGACCGCTATAAGGATCCATTAGATCATGGACCTGCCGCATTGGAAATGCTTTTGAAGGATGCGGTGGTTCGCGAGTTCTTGGATGAAGAGGATGAGAAACAATTGCAGAAAGAAGAGAGCCAGCGCCGCGAGGGCGAGATCACTGCTGAAGCGGCTGAGGCGGCTGTCGAAGCTGCAGAGGTTTCCCAGCCTGGCTTTGTCTCGCAAGCAATGGCCAAAGCGAATGCTTTGATTATGGGTCGAGAACCAAATCCATTCTACTCGAAACTCAAGTTTTCTCGGGCGTATGAGGAGTTGGATCCTAGAACCATGGCTAAAGAAGTGGTCTCCGCAGCCGAAGCACGGAAACGAGCGCAACGAGAGTATCTTATCAAGCATCCTAACTACAACAAATCGCTGTATCTTTTCCAGCCAAATAATCCCATTCGAAAGCTTTGTCAACGAATTGTCGGACCAGGGCGTGGCAACCAGCGAGTTGAAGGCGTGGATCCTTACAAGCCTGTCTGGTATACGTTCTCCGCTCTCATTTATGCAGCCATTGTGGCCATGGTGCTTCTGGCATGCATCACTACTCCTCTGTACCAGAGAGCCCATTTCAGCAATGACCGCAATTGGTTTGTTTATACCGACATGGGGTTTGCTGTCGTCTTCACCCTGGAGGCTACTATCAAGGTTATCGCTGATGGATTCTTCTGGACACCCAATGCATACTTCCGCAGTTCTTGGGGTTTCATTGATGGTATTGTATTGATCACGCTTTGGATCAACGTCGGAAGTTCATTGAAGAGAGACTTTAGTATTTCCCGACCCATCGGTGCCTTCAAAGCACTGAGAGCTCTGCGCTTGTTAAATGTCAGTGATAGTGCCAAGGATACTTTCCACTCCGTCATCATCACGGGAGGAATGAAAGTCATTGCTGCCGCAGCAGTTTCGTTGAGTTTCCTGGTCCCTTTCGCCATCTACGCTACCAATCTTTTCAGCGATCAGATGATTAGTTGCAACGATGGTGACTTCTCTGGCAACCTGACTTGGTGTGTCAATGAATACCCGAGCTCGCCCTATAATTGGGATGTTATAGCTCCCAGGGCCGCAGCTAATTCCTATTACGACTTTGACAACTTTGGTGACTCCCTTTTCATTCTCTTCCAGATTGTCTCTCAAGAAGGTTGGATCGATGTCCAGGAAAGCGCAATGAGCATTGTTGGAGCCGGTATACAACCTCAGGATAATGCTTCTCCCGCCAACGGCGTCTTTTTCGTCATATTCAACCTGCTTGGTGCAGTGTTTGTCTTGACGCTGTTTGTGTCTGTATTCATGCGTAACTACACAGAACAGACTGGTGTGGCCTTCTTGACTGCTGAACAGCGGTCCTGGTTGGAACTGCGCAAGCTTCTCCGACAAATCTCTCCATCGAAACGATCTCTCAATGAACGGAGTGCTGAATGGCAGCAGTGGTGCTACCGAATAGCAGTGAAGAAGCATGGTCGTTGGGCTCGCACTGTGACTGCGACGTTGTGTATACATCTGATTCTTTTGATGCTGGAGTTCTACCCGGAACCCAATAGATGGGAAACAGCTCGATGTAAGTTCTCTTTTTCCACGTTCGCTGATAATGGATTTCGTACTAATTTAACTTGAAGCGATCCTGTTTTTCATCTTCATGTTTGTCTACTTGGCTAATGTGGCGATCCGATTTATGGGTCTTGGATGGCATCGATTCAGTCGCAGTTCATGGGATCTCTATTCTCTTATAGCCGTGCCCGGTGCATGGATCACGACTATTCTGCATATTGCAACTTCTCAGCAGGTTGTCCTCGAGCTGAACAAGCTGTTCCTGGTCGCCATCGCCTTGCTTCTCATCCCACGGAACAATCAACTAGACCAGTTATTCAAGACTGCTGCAGCTAGTTTGCCAGTCATTGGCAATCTGTTGGCGACGTGGTTTGTGCTTTTCTTGGTATTCGGTATTGCGATGAACCAAGCTTTCGGCCTCACGAAGTTTGGAAGTAACGAGGATCACAATCTGAACTTCCGCGATGTGCCCAAGTCTCTTATTCTCCTCTTTCGATCCAGTTGTGGAGAGGGATGGAACCAAGTTATGGAGGATTTTGCCACGATGGTATCTCCTCTTTGCACGTCTGATAACGATTTCCTTGAAGATGACTGCGGTAGTGCCGCCTGGGCCCGAACTCTGTTCATTGCGTGGAACATCATCAGCATGTACATCTTTGTCTCGCTGTTTGTTTCACTTATCTTCGAAAGTTTCTCCTACGTCTATCAACGCAGCAGCGGGCTGTATGCTGTTAGTCGCGAGGAGATCCGCCGCTTCAAACAGGCCTGGTCGACATATGATCCAGATGGAACAGGATTCATCAGTAAAAAGCAATTCCCACGGTTACTTGGAGAGCTCTCTGGTGTCTTCGAGATGCGGATCTACGATGGTGAATTTACTGTTGGTGCCATTCTAGATCAGTGTCGAACGAACCCGCGCAATTCCATGGGCTCTTTCCATTCCTCGCATCATATGCGCTCGCGAGATTCTTTGAATCCGGTGATGAACTCTAGCGGAGAAAGTCTCGCGGATGAGGTTGACCTCCGAGAGTTGAATCGGATCATTAACCGTATCCCGGTGGAAACGATTCGCCAGCGACGTCAGCAACTCAACATCTTCTACGAGGAGGTTCTTGTTTCGGCCGATCCAGACCGTGGTATCTCCTTCCACCAATGTTTGATGATCCTTGCCCACTATAAAGTTATCAGTGACAGCAAGAGTCTACGTTTGGAAGAATTTCTCCGTCGCCGAGCACGTCTCCAGCGTGTGGAGGAAGCTGTTCGTCGTAACACTGTCATTGGATTCTTCGATACATTGTACTGGTCTCGACAATTCCGCCGAGCCGTCGAACGGAAGAAGAATGGCCGCATGGCTGATGTTCCTCAGTTCACCGTGCCAGAGATTTACGTTGAGGATCCTGCAGATGACTCTGGAGAGGGCGATGAGCCAATGCCATCCGGAACCATGACACCGAAAACCCAGCCTGATCTCGACGATCCATTTGCGCCTATGCTTTCTCCTTCCTCCACTTTGCACCGTCGCACCGAGTCCACCCCGACATCTCGTCGACACGATCTACCTCGCATTGATACTGCTCTAGCAAGCCGGTCGAGTGCTAGCACGCCCACCGACTGGGCTAGTATTAGTCCGTCACGCACTCCGCGCCATATGTATGGTGATCGCGGCTCATTTGATTCTGGGGATACTAATCGAGCCGGGCCGGCGGATACGGATCATTCCCGACAGAATAGCGCTATCAGCGCACAAGATGTGATGAACACGTTGGATAACTCTGCCTGGGGTGAGAGTATTCGACGAAGTTTCACACATCAACGATCGAGCGACCGATCTAATCGATCTACTCGGTCTACAGAAAAAGGTTCACCATAATGATGTTGATGTTGATGTTATGTCTCTATGAGAGACGAATATGGTTATATGAACCAGATGAACCCTTTCACTTTTCACTTTTTGATATTGGCTGAATTCTTCTTTACTCTTACTCTTACCCTTTACCCTTCTTTCTCATCATCCGCTTCCACTGTCATAATTTCCTTTTTTTTCCTTGATTCCATTTTTGCTGTACAATAAATACCCTCGATCCCATGCATCCTTGGAAGCATTTTGCATAGCAGCGGCGTGGGATTTGCCATTTCTCATTCTGATTCCCATTTCAACTTTTTTCTTACCTTTCGCCGTGGCTTCCATTATTCTTCCATGTTTAATAGAATGTGGGCCTGTACATCAAACTATAGAACCGTTTTCGATTTCGTGGTGGCTGATCCCTGTGGGTCCGAACTATTGGCATTCTTCGATATCCCCGGAATCAGCAATATTTGATGGAATTACTAGATAAGAGAACGTGATTGAACTGGAATTTAAATCCAAAATATTTTGATGTTCTCGGAGTAATCTTCTCATCTAGTAATTTATAATGATTGTACCGATTGCAGTTGAATCTAGGGTTTTCATATAATGGCATTCATCCTTCATCCGCATGCGGTGAATGGTGATATCCAATCCTTGTCTCAACTCCCTTGCAGTCAACACTCTCATAATTTGTTCTTAAATACATAATATCTAGTCTTATCCCCAGAATTCAAGTTCAACTTTTTTTTTTTTTAAAAAAAAAATAAGAATATTTCTATCCCTTCAAGACATGCTTAACTCCCATCTCCAGAGTTGAACCTCCCACATTCCATACATCTAGATCAACAAAGCAAACTACTTGAAGATGGATCATCTCCCTTCCCCATTTTCTCCTCTCAGAACACCATCGCATCATCAAAACTTGAACTTGACCGAACACCCAAGAAGCGATACATCCAGTCCTTCAAGTTCAAGAACAACCTCGCCACCAGCCTCCCCAACATCCCGTCGCAATCTAAACCCCCACCACCTATTCAACCTATCATTCCACCCGCACACGAATCCAGATGAAAGAAACCAACACGGAAACAATCATATTGGAAACTGCAACTGCAATAACGCAGTGAGCATCCTACCATGCGCGGTTCTACGGGGCCGCTCCTCAATGATGGTTCTCCGTCGTCGTCCCTCAGCTATCGATATGGCACTCAGTGAGGAGCGGTCTCGATGTGATGGGAATGCGATTGAAAGACAAGGTCTCGATATGATGGAGCCAAGGCCTGTGGATATGAATATGAATGTGAATATGAATGTTCATATCGCCCCTACATCTACCTCTATGAGTACGGATGGGGATTCTATTCGGAATTCCTCGACGGGTACTCGGTCTAGGGTGGGACGTGGAAGTGGCAGTGCGAATGGGGATTCGAGTTCGAATAGAGGGAGTGTTCATATGGCTTCGCCGAATCAGCCGCGATTTGTTATGGGAGGTATTTTTGAGGTTATGGAAGGGAGGGCTTAAGTGCTTTTTCTCTGTTTTCATGGGAGGAATTTCCTCAGGAAAGGGAGATTCAAGATGATTTCGATCGGGATTCTGTAATTTTATGTTTGATTTTGCTTTTTCGGGTCTGGATATACGAGGCGAAGATTGTATAGTTCGGGGTTACTGGATAGGAGTGATCAAGGGGTGTGATTTTGAAGGAATACTATACGGGACTTGGGGTGTACAGGACTCGAAGTTGATATCGATGCATACATATGTACTATGTACTACTATTCAGCGGCTTTATATTTTTATTTTAATAAGTTTGATACCTACTAGTGTACGCGATTTACCTCTACGAATTTCAAGTTTGGAGCACAAATGAATAGTACAAATACATGATATTTTTTACCTTAACTGACGGAACAGAAGCCTTTGGTAGATACATAAACGCGCTGTGGGTATCGTAGAATCTATCCTGTGAAGGATAGAAAAAAAAATCAAAGCAGTCTCCGTAGAGACTGAAAATGTAAATGAACAGAATCATTGCCCCAATATTCGTGGCGCCGTACTCCGTAGATGCATATGCAACCATATGAATATGAAACATCATATGGCAAACTCACAACAGACAAGCAGAGACCTGAGAATCACATCCAAACGTGGCTTGAGAGCCAAGTAAGGGGATGAGGGAGCGGCAACAGAGGTAAGAGTGGGTAAGATGAGGAAAAGTGATAGTAGTGTTGCCGCTCCCTCATAGGAGGCGCCACGATTAGGTGGCGCGCTCCTTCCCCTTAGAGCTTCGCCTGGATCGAGGCTTGGGCTCAGGTGGCTTGGGGCCCTTGATTTTGATTCTCGGCAGGAAAGTCGAGCTCGGGCCTGCCACAGCCTGCCCCTCAGGCTGAGCGACAGAATCCTTCTTAGAGGATTTCTTCTGAGAGCTCGGGCCTACAACAGCCTGAGGGGCAGGCTGGGCACCCGATTGCTTCTTGGGACCCTTCAGCCAGAGCTCACCACGGCAGTTCTTTTCACCGCAGAGACACTTGACAACGATCGGGGCTTGGGCCTTGTCGTTGCCGGTGTAGCGGGAGTTGTCGGGGTCGACCTTTGGAGCGTTTCGCTTTCTTTTTCCGAATTTGCTCTTTCTGGCCTTTCTTTTCTTGCCCTTGTTTTTCTTCGCCGGCTCAAAAGTCTCAGCTGCCAAGGGGACTGGGTTGTAGTCGAATGTCAACTCTGTCCCTGCGGGAATGTCGCGGAGAGCGAAAAACGCAAGATCATAGAGTTTATCGTCCCCATGGTGAGTGGTAGACGCCGTAACGATTTTGCAATTGGGATTGCAAGAATGATTCATGAAACGGGTCGGGGAGCCAAACTTCTGACCATCGACAACGAAGAAGTCTTCAGCTTGCGTCTGAGCCTGAGGCTCATCATCGTCGTCCAAGGTTTGCGGTTTCTCCCAGTCGAGAATGAAGAGGTAGGACATGCCTTGCTGGTTGGCTGACTCACGAGCATCGGCTTCTTTCTGGGTAATCACTTCACCTAAGTAACGATCGATGAATTGGCCCGCAACGATAGGCGAAGGGGAACGAAGTCCTATAAGGGTTAGTATATATAACTTGATTAAAGAAATTGGGAGTGATAAATACCGAAGCCACGATCACCGGTATGGAAGATCTCGAGGGGAATCTTTCGACCCGCTTGGATCACAGTATTCCAGCATTTACCCTTGCAACTGCACAGGGCATTGCATTCCACAATCTTGGAACGTCGGTTCAGAAAGCTTGGACGAAGAACAACTTTGCCGTCAATGAGCTGGTAGGTCTTGATCTTCTCATCCGTATCTTCTTCATCAAAGAGGCAATCGCAAGTCGACGGGCTGCATTGACCTGATTCACAATTGCAACCGGAATTAAAGCCTTCGTCAACACGCTCGACACCATCCAGCAAAACATAATCATTGATGAATCCAAAGCTAGAAGATAGGAAAGAGAGCTTCTCATCGTCAACATTCAACGTGACAGGGGGGCCTTGAATTTGCTGTGTCTTCTGATGCAGTCTCAGTCGCAGGAAACCCGCCGATGGAAGCTTTGGAAATTGGCTGGGAGTTTCAGATGAGATACCGAATGAAACAATCCTTCGGTCGACAGGGTCACGCTGTTTCGGATATTTCTTTCTGTTGACCATCTGTATCCATGGTGCATCGGGTCCTTTCAGGGGATAATCCTTCTCTGAGATGCCTCTGAGATCCGATATCTTGGGGTAAAAAGCTCGATCCTTTCCCTTTTTTTTCTGCGAGGGAGAAGGGACAACAACTTCAAACTCGCCCGAATTCTGAGCCTTGCGACGAGGCTTAGGAGGTGGAGTGAATGAGCGAGGATGTCTGACACTCGGATTAGGAGTGGGTGGGCGCGGAAGTCCAGCATTCGGACCTAGAGAGCGTGTACGTGAAAACCTGAGATAGATCTTTTCCTGCTTTGGGGCAGTCGAGGCGTCCGAGGGGCCTCCGGAATTCTCCGGGTCAATGCTCTTGCGCTTAGATGGGATGACTGAGGCAGGATGCGCCAGAGTCGAGACAAACGGCATATCATAATCCTCATCCTTGACCTTTGTCTGTGTCTGAGGCTGAGTCTGAGGTGAACCATAGATCCAATTAGTAAATAAACTCGATTGTAACAGCCACCAATCCATCAGACGATGTAAAGTCCGACAAGCACCAATCCAAGTGTCCAGATCAGACGTGAAAGGAAGGGAAGATTCAACGTGACTCGAAGGTAGAATCAGACAAGGGATGACAGTGCGTCTCATCTGATCTAACAAAGAGAAGGGAAAGTTGAAACAAAGAATGTGAGGAAGGAAGTATATACATAACGCTAACCCCTTTGGGATAAGAGGGCGTAGATGTATATATATACCTGGTCCTCAGCTTTCAGGGCAGATAGATAGGGATTTCAATCATCATGACTTACCAGAGGCTCAGTGTCTTGCATTTCAACATCCTCAGAATCACGAGTGAGATCGATGACCTCGATATGGGTCTTCTTAAGAGTTTCTTCCAAGGACGACATGATGATCACCAGTCACGTTCAAAAGGTGATGGTGGTGGTGATTAAAGGAAGGTGCGTCGCCCGATGGGTCAAGGACATGGGACGAGTAAACGAACACGAAGGATAAACGAGGGGGAAGGGATGGGGGAGTGAGAGATGCGCCTTGAAACACACCACAAATTTTATTGCAACTTTGAGTTACCAGAAAAAAAGAGAATGGGAAGAGATTTGAATAGCTTCGTTGTCCTTGACAAGATATTCAAGGATCACCAAAGCTAAGATTTGAGATGGGTCGAAAGAGGGAGATGGAGAGGGTGCGTGGAACGAAGAGAGTGGTGAGGATGAGGTTTGGGAGAAGGGGAAAAACAGGCAACGTGAGTGACCAGTTGTGACAACATTAACACAGTGAAATCGTAGCCTAACTGCTTTAAATTAGTCATCGATATATATAAATATTAAACTAGATGATGATATTTTTTTACCTTCAAAAATATTAAATAGAGCGTGATATGCTAAATGACACTGTGAATAGCCTCATACAAGTTGATACAACGTGTGTTGAACAGGTTTAAAGAAACCCAGAATTCGGTGATTTGGCTACCCTTAATGAGAACCGCCCAAATATCTAAGGGGGTTCAATGTGGTTAATTTTGATTAATAGACGCTGATTCGTCAATATGAGCAGTGTGAATGCAGAACCAGCAGAGTTTCGTTGGGTAAAAACCACTGTTTTAAAAGGGAGGAACTTGGGGGACTGAGTCGCGTCAAACAGATATTCGGCCCCTGATACTGTAACTTGTCTGTTATAGGTTACCTGCAGATCACGTATAGCTAACCAACAACAAGTAATTACTTATTATAGGCTAGTCAATTATCTGCTACAATGCAGATTCAATAGTCTCTGTTGTGGCGTTTTTGGAGGATCATTCATGACCTGGGAAAATTGTGGGAAGAGTGTTCAGCGGCTTCCAGCGTCACTGTGAGCGCGTATCTACCCATAAGCCAATCACCATCCTTAAACAGTGTGACTAAGCAGTATTTTATTATTCTTATTCTAGAGATATAATAAATATCTAGAATTATATATAATTAAAAATATATGCAAAAAACTGTATCTGATAATATATAATAAGCTAATTAGACGTGTTGTTTTGTTAAGTTAGAGCTGGTTGCCAGAATTTGGCAGCCACGCCTGGAGGGGCGCTAATTATAGGCGCTTTGTCAGCCACCAGCCGCCCATTTCCAGGCTGCCACAGCTGCGGCAGTGCGCCCAAAAACAGTAGGGCCATCCGCCGAGCTCTTTTTCGGGAAAATAGATTATAGGCGGCACGGTCGCTGCACATCCAAAGAACCACGGCATGTCAAAATAGCCACTCTGCTCAACACCATCCAGATTTCCTTCTAAAGAAATTAACATATTTATTTGGGCTCATATAGTCATAAAATATCTATCTGTGAATCAAATTCCACAATAAACTGGCTCCGCCGTCTTTAAATCGTGATGCAAAATATTCACCAGCCAACTGGCGAGTTGCGCGTGCGTATAGATATATGTGCGTGTGCTGTTTCTTAGCGGCACGCCTCTATTGCCGGAACCCAATGATACTTTCGGTTTTAATGTTGCTTTTTTGTTTTTGTTTTTCTTTGTTGGCCCTTTCATTCAAGTTACTAACACAAAAAATCTGCAAATTTTTGAATAATTACACCACTTGGGTGTATCCACCAGGACGACTACCATCTAGTCCCAACACATATGCACTTAAACCTTAGAAGTTTTCAGCGCGTCGGGGACAGACCAAAGGTGATGACGTCACGCAGAGGATGTCAGCTGAACAGGGGATACCAAGTTACAGGGGACTTAGGAGGAAAGGGTAAAGATAAGACCAAAAGATCAGACAACACGGATCAGATGGAATGACATACGACCAAGCTGGATCCAAACTTAGGATAGAATGGAAGGAAAGAATCAAACAAAGATACTACTGATCCCAAAAAGATTGAATTCGATGCTCAACTAACTAAGGGGTAAGATCAGGTTTTATAGAACATTAGACTAAACAGATAAACATAAAACCAAAGGTCTCAGAACATGGGATGAAAGATCCACGGAATCCGAAATGATCAAGTCTTTCATCTCATCTTGTAACCATTGATCTCAACAACGGGGTTCGGGTTGCGAATCTTCTCGGACGAGAGAAGATGATCTTTGATCTGATGGATCAGATCAAAACAATAGCCATTCATTCCGCAACAAAATGCTTGATCGCGGGATGAATTAGTCAGCACAATCTTTAGACCAAAAGAGCCACTTTTGGTCCCAGGAATTCAGGCAGAGAATCAGCCTGAATTGCTGACAGAAGTGCTACTATGTATGTAGTATCGGCGCCTATAGGACTCAAAAATATATACCACGTTCAAACATTGAAAATGTTGAAACTCGAAAATCTTTAATTTTAAAATGTGGCGGAAGGCAAGAGATTCAACTTGAAGTGTGAAGGGCAGAAGCGGACTTGATTCAATCTACTCGGACCACGAACTGTGTACTAAAAGAAGCTTAAGGAGAAGAAGTAGACTTCGGGCACGATTCGTCAAGGAAGAGGAGGAATGTTATGGGTCACGTGACAAAGTATATATATCACTTCCTGAGAACGCACAGATTGCCTTCTCTTCCTTAAGCTTAATATAAACCGTTTAAGGTCCTGCTTGCTTTGACCAAATTAGCTCCGGCCCTTCATATCTCCTATTAATATCTATAAGAGTCTGATATGGTTTGTTGTGGTTTGTTGTCGCACGACGCGTCAAAAGTTTAACCGGAGGTAAATATTTATTGACTACGGTTGTGATATTTGCCCCAAGATTACCATGTAGTTATCTTTCCTTGCTTACATCATGTTACTGTGATGATCGCACATCACCTGATGTCATTATGTTTGATTGTATATAAACTACTGTTATTCTATACTTAATCAAACATGCACTTTTACCTCCTAAGATCTCACGGTATTTGGTGAAATACCATAGTCGGTCAAATACCCAGACAAATACTAATATCGGAGAATACCATCTTTTTACAGTATTCCATACGGTATTTGGCACTAAATACGGTATTTGAGATATATGAGCGGCCGACATGGATTACTACCACTAGCACTGGCATATACATCCAGATGTCTATGTGTATACCTATGTAGGTAGTCCTACTATCTACTAGTCAAGTGCTACTAGTAGTAGTACCCAGGTGGGTGTGGCACTATGTAGTAAAACTAATATGAGCCCTATGTACATAGAGCACTTAAGGTATTCTCTTCAAGTTGAAATGTGTTACGAACTGGCTGTCAAGCAACGTGAGTATACACAAGCGTAGTGTCAATACTTACCGCAAGCCGTTATCCTGCAACTGTACCGTCGCCGTCCGGGCCTTACACGGGCTAGAGTAGGGATCCTTGCACGGTAATGCTTGAGTCAGGGGTTCGCTAGTAGGCCAGTCACGAGTGAGGTTATCACGAGTGAGCTCTTCTAACTAGTTGGGTTTGTCTTCAAGGGTTCGATTGTGATCAAAGGTAATCTGATTCGTAATCTGATTCGTAAAGTCCAATAACAATGAGTGAAATAATCGCGAAGAACTAAATCCATGATGCGGTAGAGAGCGTCCTTTATATATCCAGTCCTTCCTATCATCCTGTCCTGCTGTCAGGACAGGTCCGTTCCGTTTGAACGGACAGGATCTATTGTTGGAATAGATCCGCGGTCACGTGTCATCACGTGTCCGTATCTGGCTCCTGTTGATACCTGAAGCATCAACTGGTCCTGCGCCCATCTAGGCCGTGCGTCCATCATGGCCGGTCGTCCATACTTGGCCCGACCGCCAATTGATTGGGTCATAGCTGCTCCTGGGAGATCCCTCCGTAGTGGGTTTGTAACAAAATGATGGTAGCACTGAGTACTCAAGTAGTATACACCTTTCACCGTGACCCGCGAACTGGCACATGTGCAAGGCTGTGATTAAAAATGCCAAAACTTATTTTATTTTCATCAACAGAAACTCATGGATACATAACCCGGACAAGAAGCTATACAAACGCCAATTCCCTGCTTCACCACGCTAAAAGAGAATCGCAGAGATGCAAATTCCAAAAATAAAACAGGAGTTCAGGATATGTCTTCAACTTAATGTACAGCAAGAAGACGGACACGCTTTTCTAGAACGACAGTGTGGGGAAAATGTAAACTGAATAAGCCAAACGAGTAGAGGTAGATGCAAACCGGAATGATAGGCTAGGTAGTAGGGAGTTAACTTGAGAAGAGCCCAGTGAAGGGCCTGGGGTAGGGTAAGCCATGCAAAGATAACAACAAAGAAAAGAGGGCTTTGGATGCAATGATAAAACAGAAATATGGGACTCGAATGTGGATACATCGGATTGATGGATGGTTGTGGGAACATAACATAACAAAGAACATAATATCAATCACGTGCCAGGTAAAACCTCTATGCTGACTTTCTTCTGTAAAAGATATATGCATTGCATCAGTAGGCTCTTGGCAGGACTCAGATTATAGTCTGAGCGCGTCAAGGATCTTCTTTGCCATCTCTCGGTACTGCCACATGCCACCTGAGACCTTCTTGAACTGGATTCCGTGTAAAGAGAAAAGAGGAACCTTCACAATTAGAATCTCAAAGCGAAGCACCAAGTTCTCGCCGGTATCGCTTTGGACACGAGTCGTGGTCTCGCCAACAACGCGCTCACCAACTGCGCCGCTCTGGTGGGTTTCACGAGCGACATATTCATCGGAGGCGTCGGAGTTCGAGATGAAACTGCGATCGGGTGGACCATGTGGGCGACGGTGTAGCTTATTAGAGCCCGAGCGGTTGTCGTCACGGCTATCATCGTGACCAAGAAGGCCACCAAAACTGATACGGCGACGGTGTGATGACACTTGGCCTTGGCGGTCCGGGCTAGGAGGGTTAATGTCTATGACCTTCTCGAGGTCGATGCTCGGAGCATGTCGACAGCTAAAGCCACCCTTGATTTCAACGTAATCCACAGCCAGCTGCTTCAAAACACGGATAATATCAGCCCGAATGACGGGCAATGGCTTGCTGCTGGTGGTTGACACGCTGAAGAGACCTTTCAAGTAGACTGGCTTGGATAGATCTTCGCCTTCATTGGCACTTTCTAGTGCTGTGCCTGCGCCAGTGATATCTTCATCGGTCTCTTCTGGCACGTTAGCCTCCCGAGCTGCCTCTCGCTTGGCGCGTCGGGCCTGAATACTCTCACGCCGTGCATGGCCTAAAGACATGGTCCGCGCAGTATGTGTGCGACCGCCACTGACAGTAGTCTTCACAAAAGCCGCCTGATCCTTCTGGTTGTTGGGACCAATCTGGTCAGACCCACTGGTTGAGGGTGGTTGACGCTCGACTTCCAGAGTATCAGATTCGTTTCTCCGAGTAGCCCTGCGAGTTCGGTAGTCGGCAGAGTTGACACTTGTAGATCGGCCCAAGAACTTGCCCGGCTGTGATGTTTGTTCACCCGAGCCTGAGGCTGAGGCTGAGCCCGGTGCTGCAAGTAAATCTTGATGTTGAGTCTGACTTCCAGCAGAAGGAACGGAAGGTTGCGATGGCTCGCCCCGGCGATTCCTTCGTACGCTATATCCACGATTCATCGGGGATGCGGAGTCGGCTGGTGGTTGAACATTGAGAGTTGGTGTGTTCGGGGTGCTAACACGCTCCCGCTCAACATCGCGGCTGCGATCCTTGGTCCTGCGAGTACTGAAGCGTCGCAAAATACCAGCAGCGGTGCTTTCTTTCTTCGCAGGTGTCTCGGGTTGCATGGCATGGCCAGACGGTGAAGAGGTGTGAAGATTTTTGATACCTTCTGTAACGTCTTCCTCTCCATGTGTCCTGGCGCGAGGTCGAGAGCGTCGACCAGTGTCCCTCTCTCCCGGTACTTGGTATTGGTTGGTGTGAGCAGCTTCCGGTGGCGCCAGCTCGGGGACCGCTGTAACATCGCTGGGATGTTGACGAATGCCTAGGGCACCCGGATTGCTCTCTCCCCGCTCCCGATCCAGTTTCTCCTTGACCAGATGATAAACCGATACCAGGGGGCTATACGCGTTGAGGGGATCATTGCCCAGCTGAATTGCCTCAGCTGAAGGAGCAGAAAGCGTATCGCGACTGGCCGCGGAGTTTCGTCTTTTATAGAAGTCGAAAACACCGCGCTTTCGCTCTGATTGGCTGTTCACTGGCTGTTCACGGAAGTTGAGCCTCACAGCGTGGTGGTATTCATCCGATTCCAGCACTTTGGTCAATTGGGATGCGATATAATCTGGCGGTCCAAAATCAAAGCCTGTCATCTTCTCAATGACTTCCTGGTCTAGAGGAAGTTGCAAAGGCTCTCTATGAGGAAGAAAGTTCTCCGGGGGCGCACTGAAGTTCTTGTTCATCCATGGGTGGTTCATGATCTCAGCCAAGCTGGCACGCTGTTTAGGATCTGTGACAAGCATGCGGGAAATGATATGACGACATTCTATGAAATTCAGGTTAGTTACGAAGAAAAGGCGTAGAAAGGTACCCGATAGAACGGAAACACGTACCAGTTGTAAGGCCGGGTGGGTATTCAACCACTCCCTTCTTAATCTTTGCATGAAGCTGAGGCATGCTCTGGTCATCGAAAGGCACTTTACCGCAGACCAAGACATAGAGAACAATTCCAAAACTCCAGACGTCGACTTCCGGACCAGTATACTGTCTTGCTTGAAGCAGTTCTGGAGCTGCAAAGTACAGACTACCGCAGAAGGTTTTCAGTAGACTTCTGGGCGAAAAGAGATTGCTGAGACCAAAATCAATGATTTTGATATCACCCGTTTTGCTGATCAGAATGTTCTCAATTTTCAAGTCACGGTGGACAATGCTATTGCGGTGGCAATAATCCAGTGCGCTGGCGATCTGGCGGGCGAATTTGCGGGCTTGTTTCTCCTTCAACTTGCCATGCGAAATGATGTAGTCAAGCATTTGACCTCCGTTGACATATTCAAAAAGCATATACCAGTGATATGTAGTGCGAACTACATCGCGCATACCACAGATGTATGGATGGCTAGTAAGACTAACAATGGCGGCTTCGCGAGCTGTTCGGATTTCCTTTGAACGATCCGCTCTTTCCGATTCGCGACCGCTGCGATGTTCTTCGGTCGAGACTCTAGGAACTATTTTGACAGCAACCTGTGGCAAGGAGGAAACAATTAGAGGTTATTCAATTGGAGGAACGTGGCAAGTTAGCGCTCAAAGGGAAGTCGGAAATACTATACCTGTTCTCCAGTTTCCATATGTTTCGCCAGCTTGACTTTACCCATGCTACCAGCACCAATGGTCTTTCCCAAGGCCCATTGGCCTGTAGGTGTTGTGATCGTCGTGCGGCGTCTTGGCTGTGTTGCGGGGGCGGCTGGGGCAGTCGTAGGTTGGGTGGAATCAGCTGGTCGGTCCGCCGTAGCATTCCTCACGGTATCGAGACTCTCTCGTTGATTGCCCTGGGTCGAGGCATTGCGCTGATGTCGCCGGGTAGACTCGGCTCGAGTAGCGGTGGTCGGGCGCTCTTGTGAGCGCTCGGAAGACGGTTCACGACGGGAAGGCATCTTTTGGGCATTGGATGCTTCAAGTTCCCGACGAGCAATATTATCTAGCGCGGCGTGATTTGAGGGTGGGCGGCGATCATAGGCAGTCGCCTTTGAATGGGGATACTGCGGCTGTGGAGGGGGCTGGGAGGTGTTTGACGATCGGACCGCCACGCTGCGTGTACGATGAGGCAGATCCGACGAGGGAGGGCGATTAGAAGGACGAGATGATGTAGATTGGCTGCGAGCAACCGCCGGCGACTTCGAGGCGGATGCCGGGGCCGACATGATGACTAGAACAAGTCTAGGGTGTGATGGAAGTTGGAGCGGTCAAAGGGCGCAAGCGGGGAGACGCTGACGAAGGGCAGACACAGCCCCACGGGCTGGTGCGTCTACCCGGGGGATTCGAAAGTCAAGAAATAGGAGAAGAAACGGAGAAAGAGATAATTCAAATTCAGAGGTTCAGGCAAGACAAGAGACTCATGCAGTGAAAAAGGATGAGATGGGGGGGGGGGGAAAGAAAGGAAAGTTGAGGGGGGAAAGAGGACGAGGTGTGTTTGACAGGGGCCTCTCCGTGTTCTCTGTTCTTGTTTCTCACTATTCCGAACAGCATAAGTAACTTCCAAGGTTGCTCTAATGTTAATCACACAATTATATTAACCACATTATTGGCATTTCAACCGGGTTTCACACGGAATATGGTTTCACAGAAACTTCATTTCTTATTTCCCCCTCGAATCCCCTGAACTCATGAATATGTGGCCCCTTGAAGATATAGATAGTGTCCCATGACGTTGTCCACGTTCCCAGATCCATCGTTCGGCTATTCAGGCACCAAGTTTAGTGCCCATGGGGGATCTAGACTTGCACATGTATACCGCAGTCCATGCTTAATTCATTAATGATGGGAATAATACTCCGTATAATAGTGATAATAACTGGAATATTTTCGGGGATTGTTCAATCTCAGATCAGATGGATCAGAACATTCTCTATATTCGGTATTTGTTCTATCACATAGTGGAGATTCTACTCCAGGGTTCATATGTGACCTATACTACAGACTATCTATAACCCCAAATCACATGACTCTATAAATAGATCTGATTTTCTATTTCTATTTCTCCTTTCTTCAAATGTTCAATTCTCAAACTCATATACAGAGTCAAGGAACTCATAGTCCCGTTTAACAAGTTGCACCCTTCCATTGATGATCACACTTCTATTACTCCGCTGAGGTGGATCCCAAACAACTTCAGCCACACTCGTACGAGGACGGGAAACTCCACACCCAGTATCATCTCGATCATGAAAGAGAATAAGATCCGGATGTCCACCTTCATGAATCATAAGTCCAGAACTATGCAAAGGAAGCCCAATTGCAGCTCGAGCCCGAGTGGAAACACATTCATACAAAAGCCGGGTATCTTCCAGCGCACCAGCCTGGTAAACCCCAACCCCAACACAGGCTAGGAATAAGGGGTCTGCGGAGCCCCATGGCGTAAAAGCGTTGCCAACATTATTCACCCCCCATGACTGCATCCAAATCATATTTGCGAATCAGTTCTGGGATGTTGAGGGTACCTCGAGCTCTCTGGTGACGATTCTCCTGGCCTACCGGGGCAGCCATATATAGATCACTGCCAGGCAGACCGACAAAACTGACGGGGAGATCATACTCGTGAATGAACTGAGAGAGACGGTGCCATTCTTCGTCAGTGAGGAGTGTCAAGCGTGTGCAATGACCGAGCATCACACGCTTCTGCGTAGAACGGGTAGTCCAGCCTCGTTTTTGCAGAGTGTGCAAAACCATCCAGACCAAGGGCTCTTTGCTCGGGTCAAGGTTATAGTCTAGGGTGGAAGTCGACATGTTTATCGAGTTCTAAGGCGCGATCGATCGCCCACTCGATATTCTGCTTCGATGTTTCGACGCTGGACTCGACGTAAGGTGTTGTACCGAGGACATCGATCTGCGGATAATCCGTAAGGGCTTTCTCGATTAGGCGTCTATTTACTCCTCCATATTCACTAGAGAAAGTGGGATCTTGAGCAAAGCAGACGATCTGAATATGGCATGCCTCCTTCCATTGATCCTTGAGTGTCACGGCTGCATCTAAGCAGGTCATCTGGACAGTATGATCGACCTCCACGAAGGCTCTCATAGCTGTGGCGCCAGATGAAACGGATTCAGCTAGTAGCCACTCTCCTCTCTTGAGAAGATCGGAATATGTAAAGCTTTGCTTGGCCTTGGTGGTGAAAGATAAGGCTTCTGGGAAAGTACCAGAGCAAGGTAGTAGATGCGCATACTCGGGCGCATTATGGACGAATGCTTTATCGAGATGAATGTGTGGGTGAGTCAATGCTGGTAGAACAAGCGGCGTTTGAGTCTTATCTTCCAATGACTCGTGCGGGGTGACTGAAGCAATAGTGCCCTGAGCTGTGCAAGACTCGTAGGCGATATTGATATCCCATATTGAAGAGGACCCGGTTAGTTTGACTCCTTGGAGCGAGGTGATATTTTTGCTCAAATTAGGAGGCGGCATGGTGTAATTGAAGAAAGATCGTTTATCAATTCTTCAGGGTCCAGGTTGGTTTTCTGTTTGATTACTCCACTACGCGGGGAACTCCGAAGTGCAGATGCCGATCTGCAGGGTCAGAGATGATGTACATAGATCGCATCTCATTCTTAATTATTCAGAATTAAGGCAATAAAAAATTAGATTGAAAATAACTCCAAATCAAAATAATAGACGCTCGTGTTCGTTGACTAAAGCCACAAGCCACAATCTTCATGAGACATGGTAATGGCATTCTATTTCGCAAAGGGCCAAGTCCAGTTCCGAATGTGCTCAGGATCCACGCCATTTTCGAAAGCCTGTATCTTGCCCGAAATTCGAGCGTTGACCAGCTTCTCCCTAACGCATGACGCAGTACTACCCAAGGTGGGAATCAAGTCAATTGCATCAATGGCCAAACTGTATCGGTCGGTTCCGTTGCGCATCGCCAGCTCAAACGGAGTATCGATATTACCCTTCTCCCGGTACCCTCTCACATGTAGGTTCTGCTGACCAGGTCGCTTGTAAGTGAGTCGATGGATGAGCCACGGGTACGAGTGGAAATTGAACACAATGGGCTTATTGTCCGTGAAGATGGCCTTCCATTGGCGATCTGGCATGCCGTGGGGATGATGGATTCCAGAGATAAGTCGGAAAAGGTCCACAACATTAACAAAGCGAACCTTGAGGTCTGGTAGGTACTCTCGAAGGAGAGCTGTGGCGGCCAAGGCTTCGTGAGTTGAGACATCACCACAAGATGCCATCACAACATCCGGCTCGCTTCCTTGATCATTGCTTGCCCAGTCCCAAATCCCGAGACCCTTGGTGCAGTGTGTGATAGCTTCATCCATATTCAGGAATTGGATATGATCCTGTTTGTCTGCAACAATGACATTCACATAATTGACGCTACGCAAACAGTGATCCATGACAGAGAGCAGAGTATTCCCATCAGGTGGGAGGTAGATACGGACCACCTCGGGGCTTTTGTTGGCTACCACATCCAGGAACCCGGGATCTTGGTGAGTAAAGCCATTGTGGTCCTGTCTCCAAACAGTGGCTGTAATAAGAATATTGAGAGAGGCAACTTTAGCACGCCATTCGACGTCAAGACACTTCTCAATCCACTTGCAGTGCTGATTGACCATAGAGTCAATGACATGAACGAAAGGCTCGTAGCTGTTGATTAAGCCGTGGCGACCAGACAGAATGTACCCCTCTAACCAGCCCTCGCAAGTATGCTCGCTGAGTATCTCCATAACACGGCCAAAAGGGGAGAGATTGCCTCCATTGCTATCTTCTTCAAAGTATTCTGCCATCCATACTTTCTGGCCCGCCTTATAGACTTCAGCTAGTTTGTTCGACTCTGTCTCGTCGGGCCCAAAGAGACGGAATGTGGACATGTTCTTAGCGACGATATCACGCAGGAACTTGGCCATGTTGGCCATTCCTCCTGCAATAGATTTACCGGGTACAATGTCTTTGATTGAATAGTTTCGGAAGTCATTCATTAGCAGCGGCTTACGCAAGAGACCACCGTTACCGACGGGGTTGGCGCTCATGCGTGAATTTCCTTTGGGAGCGAGCTCTTTGAGTTCCGCAATAAGTTTGCCGTCTTCGCCGAAGAGAGTCTCTGGCTTGTATCCTTTCATCCAATCTTCAAGGACCTTGAGATGTCCAGGGTTGGTAAGAACATCGGTGATGGGGATCTGATGAGCACGCCAGAACCCCTCGAGTAGTTTTCCATCGATTTCCCTGGGCGCAGTCCAGCCCTTTGGAGTACGAAGAACGATCATTGGCCAACGAGGACGGAATGGCACATTTGATGACCGAGCTTTCTGCTGGTACTCTCTAATCTCTGTCACGCATTTTTCGAGAGTAACCGCCATAGCCTGATGCATACTGTCCAGATCACTGCCCTCTACAAAATATGGTTTCCAGCCATAACCAACCATCAATGCGGTCAGCTCCTCGTGACTGATACGTGCAAGTACCGTGGGGTTATTGATCTTGTATCCATTCAGATGGAGGACAGGTAGAACCGCGCCATCGGTGATTGGGTTCAAAAACTTGGTACTGTGCCAGCTTGTTGCCAGCGGTCCCGTTTCAGACTCTCCGTCACCAACCATTGTTAAGGTGATGAGGTCTGGGTTATCGAATACGGTTCCAAAGGCATGGGAAATGGAATATCCAAGCTCACCACCCTCGTGGATGCTGCCGGGAGTCTCGGGCGTAGCATGACTTCCGATTCCACCAGGAAACGAGAACTGTTTGAAGAACCTCTGCATTCCTTCCACATCTTCACTCTTATCAGGGTATACCTCTGAGTAGACCCCCTCTAGATACGACTGAGAGATGATGCCTGGAGCACCATGGCCAGGACCCGAAACAAAAAGCACATCCAGGTCGTATTTCTTGATTAGACGGTTCATGTGGATCCAAGTAAAGGATTGACCAGCGTCTGATCCCCAGTGGCCCAAGAGTCGGGCTTTAAGGTGCTCCTTCTTCAGTGGTTCCTTCAGAAGAGGATTCTCGCGCAGGTAGAGCATACCCAGACAAAGGTACAAGCTAGCGTGGAAGTATGCGCTCATCCTGCGAACCTCTTCGGATTCCAGGCATTTCCCGGAAACTGTTGAGCGTGCTTGTCCATAGGCAGAGATACTTTGACTCTGATCTTGTTTTGATTGGGTAGACATATTGATAGATGAAGCTTTAAATGAAAGATATCTTGAATAGAAGTCGTGTTATCGTAAGGGATTGTGAGGACCGGGTGGAGGTGGAAGGTTGGAAAGAGCTGGATATTAAAGAAGAGCACTGGAAGAAGGTATCCAAGCTATCTTTCAAGGGTCCTGATGCAAAAGTCCGGCAAAATCCTGCTTTTATGAAATTTATGAAAGGCAATTGCAAACGAGTACTAATGCTTGTCGAGTGGCCTGATTCTTGCATGTGTAGTGATTGATGTCCGGGCCGGGAACAATCAATGACGTGTAGGCCGTTAATGAGCGCACCACTACGAACCCATGTCTCCCCACATTTTCATCATGACATCGATGTTAGGAGCTATTTAGGTCGCTTAAAATAACCGAGCTATTTCTGTTGGATAATCTTGAACTGGGGTTAATCATCAATTGTGGGCATATCGGAGAAATCCAAGTAATTGCAATATCAAAAGTACGACCTCGGGAGTACGGCCTTGATTATCTAGGAAACAGGGTAGGTCACTACGGACTTTAAGGTAATCTATTGAGCTCCAACATTGAAATGAAAAGGATTATTTCCAGGCAGAGAATTTTAACGACATGTGGATAAATTCGTGATACCGGGGGGATTAGGCTTACAGGCGTACAGCAGTGGGTGATACTACTTGATACCCATGCTATCTGTATAACCAGCCCACGTTTTCTTCTCTGGGGCTAGATCTTTAAATGGACCCAATGGACCCATATAGTTGCATGTCTCCACTGATGATCATTTTAGGAGAGGAAATCTTAGCCGCTTACTCAATCCTGCGTCAACTTCAACTTGTATGTTGGTTGTCTATATAGTTTAGTTGAGGGGAGAAAGGTCAGAAAACTCAGCCCTGCTGCCCAAGTGGTCAGCGGTCTCTCACTTACCTTGGCGGGTGGGAGGACAGAGATATTGATCAGGAAGGTCTGGCCCTGGTCAATAGCTGAGTTAACACCAGAGGGTGGGCGGGAATCCTGCTACGGCAGGGGACAAGAACATTTTTTTTTTAATTTTTGATATTCTTATCTGTACTACTTTCAGACTCGCTCTTTCCATTCATTCTTTCATGTTTCAAAAAATAGCCAAGAATGAGTGAGATATAGAGGGTGTTGTGGTGGTGCTGGGTGTATCAAGTGAGGCTATTCACAGCATCTCACCACTCCCTCTGATGCACACCAGATTTCAGAAGTCCCCGGTTCAATTCCAGCTGTTGACAACATTTTAATTCTTTCTGAACACTTGAAGAGTTTCCCACTATGATTTCTACCTACTATCCAAGACTTGCCAGTGTCAACCACATCACCGACAATATTGTTTGTCAACCTGGACAATTCAGTAACCATCTCAAAGCCATAGGATTTTTGATCTGTTTCCGGATCCCAAGCTGTTACTCATAGGGACAAAATGCGGTGGCTAAATCGAAACAAAAACTGAGAGTTTCTCTATACGTGGGCGATCTCCCCTGGCATGCAACTAAGCATCGGCTACCACCTGGGCAAGTGGTCCATGGCACAAAAGAGCCTGATATTCTCCATAATAACAAAGCACAATTAGACTATCGCGCAGGACAATTTGATCGGGTGCATATGTTGCAGTAAAAGCAACCCCCGGGGCCAGCCCTGTTGATTGAATTGTTTGGCCCCCACGGCCCCATTTGCGCAGATCAGGGGACGCCCGCAGCCCACCCCTTGGCAGATCTTCAAATCGCTAACCTTGACCTATTACCGCTAGGAATTTCAAACGCGTTCTCTCAAGTGGCTTATGGTTCCAAAATGTCCTTTCTTGCGGATATGCGCCTGGCTGGTGGCAGTGCCGTGCTACAGAACCTGATTCCCACAATACTCCTTGTCACAACACCGAAGCGATCGATTCTTCGTTTCCTCGCAATTCCGTGCATGATATGGATTGCCAGTCAAAATGTACGACAAATGAATCCATTCTGTCAAACATACGTGTTCCTCTTGGGCCCTGTCTTTCAGTGTGTTCCTCAAGCCCTCAATCTGCTATTGATCAATCCGCTTGATGCAGCCGACCTCACCCGCGAGAATCCCACGCGCACAAAGACCCTGATAGGGCGTTTTTGGTATGCGGCGGAATTGATGCTCTTTCCACGGGGTCTCAGGAACCCCTCGACAAGTCAGAGGTATTCCATCGCATCCGAAATATTACTGCAAGGGTGGGGCATTTTCTTGCTCTCGCGGTGTCTTTTTATTGCGCCAGTCTCTTATTCTAGCATGGCAATATGCCCTCTTTGATTTGATCCAATTTTCTGGCCACCAACAGGTTGCGATATCATCCTCTAATGTCATTTTCACATATCCTGAGTGGAATCTATCTCTTGAAAAGTGGATTGAGCGTATTATGACAAATGGAATTTCATGGCTTGTTATCGGGCGCATATGCGCAGATTCCCGCTATCGTTTAGCCTCGATCATTTTTGTTGGATCAGGACTGTATTCTCCTGCAGACTGGGTGCCGATGTATGGAAGAATGGCAGAATCATACACTTTGAAGAATCTCTGGGGGTAAGATACTCTTGACTTACTCCACGATCAACTTGGAAAATGCAATCTGACTCAATTTATAGAACATTTTGGCATCAAATGGTCCGCCAACCACTCTCAGCAATGAGTAATTGGATCACAAGGGATATACTACAGCTTCCCAAAGGATCAATTCTAGAAAGCAGCATGAATATCTTCGTCGTGTTCCTTCAATCAGGACTATTGCATCTGTTCATTGATATCGCAGCTGGTATCCCTGCAGAATATTCTGGCTCGTTGCCATTCTTCACCAGCTTTACTGTGGGGATTATTATTGAGCAAGCCGTTCAGAACCTTTATTACTGGATCAAGGGACCTGGTGCAAAGGAATATGCGATCTGGAAACGAGTCGTGGGTTATATGTGGGTTCTTCTGTGGGTAGGCATTCCATCAACCTGGTGGATCCACCCAAACATGCAGAATACTCCCCCGCACAAACTGAGTATGGTTCCATTTAGCTTCTCGGACCACATTGGATCTCAAACAGTGACGGCGTTTGCTGCTATTAGTGGGATGATTGTGTTCTTTGGGCTTGGAGGTGAAGTCTGAACATATTAGACTTTGGACTAATTACTTAGTATTTGGTCTAAAGTTGAAGATCCTTCAGCCCTATGAAATTAAAAGTTTCAGATCAAATGTTTATACAGATGGATGTACGTCAGATTAGAATGTCTATCGACCCACTACTATTATGCACTATTATGTAGCGATAGCGGATCCTAAAGTATTGATACTAGTGAAGATCTACTACTAGTACCAAATTCAATATCAAATTGAGAAATTGAGAATTGATATCCAGAGTCATAATTTCAGACTCCATTCCATCCTAAATCTTGCGGAAAATTCTTTCTGTTGATTCTTGGACACAATGACGCGTTGTGGAGACTTGGCGCACACAGCCGCACAGACGAAAAAAAAAAACCCTGAAGGAAACCTTGCACGCGACCATTAAGGGGGCTTATAAGACCAGTCATATTCCCCTGTTTTTCTTCCATTTTTCAACTTTTCCATATTTAATAAATTTCCTTTTTTGAACCTAGGAATTCTCTCCAAGTCACAATGTGGCTCCTAGCATATCTAGCCTATCTCCGTCTAAAAATTGGCGCCATCATCCTTAGGACCCTAATCAGATTACTCTCAGGAGGATGGATTGCCAACCCTGACACAATTCATCATCTCCCTTCTCGGGATCCTCAACGCAGAATCAAAGTCCATGTTTATCGACCTCCACTAAAGAAATCACGCTCACGCTCAGGCCCAGGCCCCGTCTTGATCAATTTCCACGGGAGCGGGTTTGTCATCCCAGCCCATGGCAGTGACGATGAGTTCTGTCGAGAAATGAGCCAACGCGCCAATTACACTGTTTTAGATGTTCAATATCGACTATCTCCTGAGAATCCCTTTCCTGCTGCAGTCCATGACACTGAAGATGTCTTGAAATGGGTCTTGCAGCAACCAGCCTTATTCGATCTTTCCCGAGTAGCAGTCTCAGGCTTCAGTGCGGGTGGGACTCTCGCTCTCGTGGCTGCTTCGACTTTATTCCCTAAGGGAACATTCCGATCTGTGATGACTTTTTATCCGAGTACAGAGGGTCATCTTGATCCCGCGTCGTTGATTGCGCCTGAAGCCGGTGGTCGTCCTATCCCTGTTTCGACTATGCGGCTTTTTGCTAGCTGCTATATTCAAACAGAAGTCGATTCACAAGATCCGAGGCTGATTCCTAGTTTTGCTGACACGGCACTTTTCCCAAAGAATGCACTTGTTATTACAGCAGGTTATGATACTTTGGCTGCTGAAGGGGAGAGATTTGCCAAACAACTGAAAAAGGATACGCGTCGTCACGTGGTCTACAGGCGGATGGCGAGGTGTAATCATGGTTGGGATAAAAAGGCCAGAATTGGGACTCATGAATGGGAGCAGAAGACTCAGGCTTATGATTTGGCTGCTGAGATGCTTCGTCTTTAGTTCTTTTTTATTGTCTGCTGACGAAGATGAAATCTGGATATCTGGATGATCTTATCTTCTTTCATAACTATAGGGCATATCTGGAGAGCGACATATGGGGACAGGCGTTATTTTGTACACATCTGCATTTGAATTTTGAACATAGCATCTGACTTGAGTTGAACTAAAAGAATTGATTTCCAACATTTTCTGCTTCAAAATTTGCGAACCTATGTACTAGCCGTCTAGATCATAGTAGATAGTGTTTGGATCTCAAAGTAATACTTATTTACCCTGGATAACTTATGTAGGAAAAAGATCATCATGATGGATTGCCTGCTCACCACGTATATCTACGTGATGAAAACATCCGAAGGCTTATATTATATTATACAGTACCTGACACTATCATAAATTTGATGTATTGGCACTGGCCTGAGACGTCTCAAATGGAAAACTTGAATGCGGGGCATCGGGTGTTCTTCCAAGATACGGAGCCGCATAAATAGCATTCCAATGAGGCCGAATCATTTCAAGTTCCTGGCCCTGTGGTGTTTCAAACCACAGAACACTCTTCATGTGGGCCAGAACGTCGTCAAAGCTGCCCAACTGCAAGGAAGCAGATATAATTTGTGCTCTCTCAACAAACCATTGATGATGTGATGTCCCCACAGAACTCATTAGGCCAACTGTTATAAGCCAGACATCTAGCGAGTCATACAGACGAGGTGTTGACTCGAGCTGTTTGAAATATTCTATGAAACGGATGACCATCGTATTCATAATGACTGCGTGAGAGTAATAGGTGGGCCCTTGAATAAGGAGCATGTATATAATAATTGCGTAGCGGAGAGATTCGGTAATTGGTGATGTCGGGAGGTGTATTGATGTCGGAGAAGAGAGTAAAAGACGGTGGATAACAAAACAAGTGAGGTCGTGAAGTTGCGTTGATGTAATAGGTATTCGTTGTGTTCGATGTAAGATGCTGCGGAGGCGTATGAAGACATTCCAGACAGCATAGTCGACTTCAATATCTTTTAGCCCAGATAAATCATCAAGAGCCGTTGGGTCTAATTGCCATTCTGGGATGCAAGGTATGCCATCTCCAAATCCCACATCATCTTGAGTATTGAATTGGGGATGGCCCATTATAAGCATTGATACCCTGCGAAAGATGATTAACTTAGTCACATGCAGCGCTGAAGATCAAAGGCTACTTACCAGCTAACCATTCGTGCAGTAAGAGGGCTGGTCTGCCTCACTGAATTTATACCACCTCTCAAGTCAACCAGCTTTTTGACTCCATCAACATGCATTTTGCTGATATCAATATTTCCCTTGCCAAACTAAAAGAAATTATTGTTAGTCAAATGTCCAGCAGAGAAAATACTGCAGGGTGGGGTAATGTCAAGGGACTATCTTACCTCAATGGCCGCTAAAGTGATGACAGAATTCATGGTTCCATCTTGTACGGCCATGGAAGAGTTCTCTACTTTACGTCGTAGTAAAGAAACAGAATCTGCCATCAAAATTTCTGAAGATTGGAAGCCTTTTTGTGCCAATAACTCCTCGTCAAGACAAGCTGTCTGTAGTGAGACATGAAACAGCGCCGGATCACCAAGGGCAAGGGGCCACCAGGATATTAAGAATGGGTTTGAAGTCGAGCTCAGATCGAGTGGATAATATTGAAATGCGATTTTGTGAAGAACTACATCCGTCAGCTACGATGTCATAAGTGTAATCCGTTGATCCTATACATACAGCTATATATGAGACGTTGAACCTGTTCCCTGGGAAGTCTTGTTTGTGGATATGAGTCAAAAGGGTCTGGAGATCCAAATCTGCACTGTGATAACGAGCCCGATAAATCAACAGGTTTTGTTAAAGCGTTCTTTTCTGAACCGGGTGCTACCGGTGCGGCCCAAGGCTGGTTCGCATAGTCGCATTGGATTTGGCGCTTTGCGCAGCGGGAGCAGCGCGGAGTTCGAAGATCGCAGCTAATTTTGGACTTGGAACAGGCGGCACATGATCTCCGAAGGGTTTGGCGCATCTTGGGGGAGAAAATCAAGATCCGGCGCGTTCTGTGAAAGTTGAACAATTATTCCAGGAGGAAGAGTGCCGGTGGGGACAGCCCATCGCCAGACCCCACACCGCCTTTGGGGCTAGAAAGATCTCATAATTTATGTACATATTTTTATTGATCCAATTATGAATATGTGATATCTAATGATTTAAATTCATTTAGAGAGACTTGCGATTTATCCCTTGAAGAATACTCCATAGTGTGCGTTGTCAAGATAAGTAGTGATACCCAAGGGTAAAGCGGATGAAAGCATGGCGAGAATAATGTTTGATTATCAATGGTACCGTAAGTCATAAGAATGAACTAACCGATTTTTCCAGGAGAAATGTTTTCAATCTCGGCATTTCCGGCATGCATTAGTACAAACATCAGTGTATGCCTCTTTAAACCGAGTCGATCCCCCGCTATATCGTGCCATGCAGTGTTCTCAATTAGGACTAGACCCCGAATCCATTCTCTGCCCTAACCTGAATAGGACTAGACCCCGTGGTCGATGTATATGGAGTAAACAGGGTATTAAGGACAACACTGAGCATCTTGATTGGACTCATTGACAATCTTACGACTCATTTTAACAATTGTAGATGGACTGACTGCTGGGGCATAGGGGCTATTTAAGATTAATTCATGGACTCGGTATTGAACTAGCCAGTGGGTCAAACATCCCGTCTCGAACAGCCTGTTATCTACACAACGAGAACCGACTGCAATTTTGAGCAAATCTATTGGATGAAAGATAATCTTGTCTCATAAATTACAGTGAAAGTAGTTCCTAGAATTGCCTGGTCCACTCGCGAGGCTAGTAAGAGGTGATCCTGTTTCCCTTTAAAAGAGTGGTGTTCCTCTGTTTTGCTTTCCAGGAGTTACGGCTAGAGATTTTCCCTAACATCCCAACCGCCATCATGAATGTCGAACTAATACAGAACTTTACGTCCTTGAGTCAAAGTAACTTTTCTCCATCTTCACTCTTCGGAGTCAAGTCTCAAGGAGCCCTGCCCGAGCTGCTTGCTAGTCGACCCGTCTGGCAGTATGTTGTCACTTTCTTGCTAGGATTGGTGATCTATGACCAGGGTAAGTTGATTCGGGCGTTTATTTAGAAATAGTATCTGCTCTTATTCACTGACAACACATCCTTGGAGTCATGTACATTAAGCGCAAGGGCTCCATAGCTGGGCCCTCATTCAAGATTCCTCTTATTGGCCCCTTCCTCCAGGCCCTTCATCCGAATTTCAACGAGTATCTCGCACAATGGGCAAGTGGACCACTTAGCTGTGTGTCCGTCTTTCACAAGTGTGTCTCTTTTGCCTCTCACATACACTGGAAATTCTAAATTCTTACCAATGTTAGATTTGTTGTCCTGGCTTCCGATCGAGACCTTGCACACAAGGTGTTCAAGTCGCCTACATACGCCGAGCCTTGTCTAGTCCCTATTGCGAAAGATATTTTGGGTCACAAGTCATGGGTGTTCCTTTCAGGAAAAGCTCATACTGAGTATCGGAGAGGACTGACTCCCCTATTCACCAACCGCGCCTTGGCTACCTACCTTCCCATCCAGGAGAAAGTATTCGCCGACTACTTTAACAAATTTGTTTCTGCAAGTGAAGCGAATGGAGGGAAAGCGATGGAATTTATGTCTTTATTTCGTGAGATCAACTGTGCAATCTCATGCCGCACCTTCTTTGGAGACTACATCTCGCAGGATGCAGTCAAGAAGATCGCTGACGATTTTTACCTTGCGACTGCTGCTCTTGAGCTAGTCAATGTCCCACTCTCAATCTACGTTCCATTCACTAAGCCATGGCGTGGAAAGCGAACTGCTGATGCTGTTCACGTCGAGTTTGCCAAATGCGCAGCCAAGTCCAAAGCTAACATGGCCGCTGGAGCAACACCTACATGTATCGTGGATCATTGGGTCCTACACATGATGGAGTCTAAGCGATATGAAGAGAGAATCGCTGCTGGAGAGACAAACGTCAATAAGCCAACAAATCTCATCCGCGATTTCACGAACGAAGAGATCGGGGAGACCTTGTTTACTTTCCTCTTTGCGTCTCAGGATGCCTCCAGCAGTGCCACAACCTGGCTATTCCAAATCCTCGCACAGCGGCCCGATGTTCTGGATCGACTACGAGAGGAGAATCTCAATGCACGGAATGGAGATAAAACAAAGTCTTGCGATCTCGCCATGTTGGAATCTTTGACATATACCAATGCTGTTATCAAGGAGCTTCTCCGCCACCGACCCCCAGTGATTTTTGTTCCTTACCTAGCCAAGAAGGATTTCCCTGTTACGCCGGATTACACTGTTCCTAAAGGATCGATGATCATCCCATCTTGCTATCCCGCCCTCCATGACCCTGAAGTATACCCAGAGCCTGATGTGTTCAATCCCGATCGCTGGATCACAGGTGATGCCGAGTCCAAAACTAAGAACTGGCTCGTTTTTGGTGCAGGTTCGCATGATTGTCTTGCAAGAAGATATGTTCCAATGTCAATGGCTGCTATGATTGGAAAAGCAGCTTTGGAGCTTGACTGGACGCATCACGCTACTGATAAATCGGAAGAGATCAGAGTATTCGCGACGCTTTTTCCAATGGTAAGTCGACCGCTCTCCGCTGTATGTGACTTCGATGACTGATATGCTAAAATTGATGTAGGATGGCGCGCAACTAGTTTTTAAGAAACGGTCATAGAATTCACTGGCTTGCAAATGTGACACCATGTATTAAGATTTTACCTTTTATGAGCCTATAATAATCACTCGCGTTGTTTGAAGCTTTTTGACCTGCTTTAGGCTGATGGAAATAATGAAGATTCTTCAAACAAAATCAGTGATCATTTCTATTGACAAGCCCAAGATTATCCTCCAGAAAACCCTTTTTCTACCCAATTTACGGACCTGCAGATTCGGTGTTTGATATGAACGCCGAAAATGTTAATTTGTCTTTTGATTTCCACACATTCCCCGGACCATCCCTTGACGATTACAAATTTCAGTCGAATCAATCCGATTTTAACCAACCCACTAAGCCTCAAATTGCATAGAACGATTGATAATTATCCCGCTTCCGAAAATCTATACTAAAATCTCGGCATCCGAAACCTCCCGCGAGCTGTCAGAGAACTCACAGTCATCGGCGACCCACTTAGTACCTAATGCGTACCAAACGCCGAAGACTTTAAACCTTCTAGAGCGTACATAATAACCTCCAAATTTCTACTCGCGTATTAATTTACAATAGTATCAAGCACTACCGCACACATAACACATCTCAAAGAGATCATAGTGCTTCGTTGAGGGCCCTGCTATGACTCTCATGAAGTTCTATCCGAAAGCCCGTCAGCAGCGACTGAGCATCAACCATCCATCGGTTCGGCCACTTCGGTTGGCCGTGCTTAAAGCTGCCGGTATCAATCTTCTTCTTCTACAAATCCTTTTTCTCGGCCTTTTCTGTTACATTTTTGGATCTCTTTTCCAGCAAACAACGCGCATCGACCACATCAATATTCTTTTTGTCGACTATGATGGAGGCGCAATAGGGTCAGCTGTTCGCAGTGCCTATGAGAACCTCAAAAGCTCGGGATTTCCAACTTTAATCGAGCGGTCAACTGATGCCTACCCTAATTCTGGCCTCACGGTCGATGCTGTTTGCGATATCAAATACTGGGCAGCCTTATACACCTCATCCAATGCATCCGAACATCTAATATCTGCACTTGCGGGTGGCTCAGCTGCGTCATCATACAATACGAGCGATGTCCTCACGATGGTTTGGAATGAAGCGCGATATTCAACCGTCGTTGACTCCGCTGTTTCCCTAAGTTTGACCGAACTAGCTGAAACTGCACGTGTTGCCTACATGGAGGCGGGTGGAAAACAGTTGATTCAATCGCTGAATACTTCTGACTCGTCAGCTATCTCTATATTCTCTGATCCCTGGACCTTGAGTTCAATCGATCTACAGCCAACAACCCAGGGATCTAGATTGATCTACAATACACTGGTTATCATCTTGATTCTGATTCAGGAATTCTTTTTCCTTGGAACCATCAATGGTCTTTACCAGCAGTTTCAACTTTACACAGCTGTCTCGCCCCATCGAATCGTCGTTGTGCGTCAGATGATGTCTGTTTTGTACACCTTCATCGGGTCTCTATGTACTGCAGGTGGTATCTGGGCATTCCGACATGGCTGGGCGGTCAATGGGAACCAATTCGTGCTCACCTGGATGGTCCTCTGGCTTTTCGCACACCTGAACTTCCTCACCCTCGACGTCTTCACTATTTGGCTCCCTCCTCCATATGTACCCATGGCGCTCATAGCATGGGTCGTACTCAACGTCACCTCGATTCTACTCCCATTCGAATTATCACCCGGGTTTTACCAAGTCGGATATGCGCTACCAGCCCATAGTGTTTTCCAGGTTTTGATCGATATTTGGTCTGGGGGGTGTAATCCGCAGCTAAATTATGCCCTACCGGTGATGTTCGCTGTCGAGATCATTAGTCTCGTTCTTAGCTCTATCGGGGTGTATCGACGCGCTCATTATGCGATTATCAAGAAGGAGATGGACGAAAAGTCTTGTCAAGATCGCGTCGAGGCTGCGATCAATGAACGGCTGGATCGCCTACCAGAAATGGAAGAGGCAGGGCAAGAGGATTTGGAAAGCGAAATCTCAGAGAATGGGTTGGAAGAGCCGAATACATTACAAAGACGTGCAACTGTGGCAACTCTTGAGGATCAAGAAGAGATTGCGAATATCATTCGACGAGAGCTCTCACGTCCTGAGAGGACCCTCACCAGTCGTGAGAACACGGGGCCATCATTTTCTTTGCCGTTTAAAATTTGAAGCAATAATCTATGTCAGACTCACCCATTTCAGTATTTAGCATTTTTTTCTTAATAAATTATATTTCTTTTCTTCCCTAGTGAGCCTGAAATATAAATAGATTATTTTTTAAATTAAAATTACTATTCTTAAGTTGAGAGTAAGTGGTAGTAAAGTCTCGAAGCCAGAGGAGATGGTGATGGGTGCCTGGAAATTATGGCCTTGATATGGTTTCTCAGTTATAGGGGTATAATTGGGGGTTCTGGTAACCATCCGCATCGTAGTAGCTCAGCGGGCTATCGTCTCTGTCCCGATGTGATTTGACACTATGATACCATAAGACTAGAATGCTGGGACTGAGGGTTGTTAAGTAGCATCAACGAGCGTGAGACTTGCCTAAGTGGAACACCACCGTGAGAAAGCATGCAGCGGACTATGTGAAAGACTTCTGCGGAGCCTTTTTCTTTTTGCTCTTTCTGTTGATATTAATTTTATATTTTTATCTATTTTATTGGATTTATTATGATTTTTTGAAAGTTGAGGCTGTCATCATCTTGCTCATTTTGATGCCTCACTTAACGCTTTCATCGCGATATCAAAAGTGCCAGGTTCGATCCCTGCCCTCTCCGTTTCCTTTTTTCCTTTTCCCACAAGATGCTCTCTCTGGCAATACACTGAGTTAGGATCTACACAGAGAGCGATATCATCTCATAGTACTACCTAGTAATTATTCCGATTCTATTCATAATGTTTATAGGTCTTAACAAGGCCAAATCAAGTAAAGATGTGTTAACAAGCGATAGAAGAGGGTGTACAAGATTATTTGGGTTTTATCATTCAATATTTATAAACATCTAAGTTACATGCCCCTGTCTTTCAGTCACACGCCATCAACCCAGCCAGCTGGATATCCATCAAGAAGTATGCCTCTCTCATGACAGGGAATACAGCACCTTAGTTTCCAACGCAACACCACTCAACTCCTCAAGGCTACTTTCGCCGGACTCAGGGATAACGACAAAACAGGCGGCGCTTTGATCGATAAACAGATAACCCACTCATTTTGAGATACCTGCCGTTTCTTCCACGCCGACCTCGTCATATCCCCAAGCCGAATTGCAATATCAAACCCATTATTTGCCACGCTCCTCATAACAGATTGCGTCCACTCAAATTTCTCGTGATAACCATTATCGGCATAACTCATGCATATCACGCCGATTATATACAACAGAATACGTACACATGTGGACTTCAAATTCTCCTCTGGACAGTAGGACATGACACGAGCTATTCTATCCGCGTACAGACCCAGAAGCTTTTGCTTCTGAGCTTTTGAAGTAGCTGCATGCAGGTCTTGCACAGCGACAGATCATTTTTGACATAGGTCGGATCGCGATATTATACAGGCATAGACCCTGTTGCGAAACTCGGGTATCGCGGCTCTGCTTTCCGAGAAATAAACATGCTAGTGCCGAGATAGCCTTATCCACCATTTCCCCCTTGTGTGGGAGACCCGCAATTCCCGATGTGAGATATTGTCTCAGATTGTACTGCGAGTCTGGCGTGCCCAGGGGAAACGTGGATTGCGTGTATGACGGGAAAATATGCTTACGAAAAATCGGTCCAGTTGGCACGTCTTCTGGTAGGACCAGCAGTTTCAAGTTGGGGGCGACATAATGCGATTCGGCTTTCGATGACTTCCTTGGCGCTCGTCTCGGCAGACTATGTATGTACGCTCGCGCATTCTTTCAAAGCGGGTGCTCGGTAGGCCGGATCAGTGTGGGCGGAGTCGATCGATTGACTATCCTCCGGCAGATCGGCCTGTGTCATCAAATGGATATAGCAGATGAACATATCGGTTTATCAAATCAAATAGTACATTGATGGAATAGCGGTCTGAGGGAGTTGAGAGGCCTACCGATCAAATCATCGATCTTCACCTCTCCCAACAGCTACTTATCAGATGAGTTCACAGTCAAATGGGTGAAAATCTTCGATTTACTCACTGCACGCCGTGTTGATCTTCGATGCGCTTACATCTCATTTGGCGGTGCCGAAGCTGTGCTCCAAGCAACACTGGAGCAAACTTGAGGCGGAGCTGGTGCTCTCAAAATGTGATCAAACTTGGCTAGCCTTAGAGAGGATGAAGAATAAGTCACGGTGTGGTGGATGAGGCATGAGAAAGGCAGGATCTTCATGCGTTCCAGTGGGAGAGAGCTACTACTACTAGAACCCGAGATCAATTGGTCTCCAAGTCTGCAGTTTCAGTCTTATATGTACCTGAATATCGAACCTTGGAAGTATACAAGAACTGGAGGTCCAATCACAACTCAAACATTTGAAGATACTTTGCCAAATTCAAATATGTGATTCTGATCCATTTCAAGGTTCTGACTTGCAGATGTTCCCTCGGAATGAAGGGTATGTACCTAGGTAGTAATAGGTCACATTTAATAATAGAGACGCGATGGATTGGGTCAACTGGCGTCTTGAACTTGAACAAATGTAGATACCCCCCCCGCGGATGAAGTATACAGAATACTGAAAATGTACTTTGGACAATATCAATCTGTAGATAAGTGGGGCTCATCAATAAATATGGGTCCATGATGAACCTGCAAATTCAACTTGAAGTTATGTATAGCTGCTCACGCGGTGCTAAAGTTGGAAAATCTGAAAACCTTTGAATGCTCCACTCAACTGCTAGCAGATTTGGGATACTGTCTACGGATTTATGTGCTCCGTAGTGCGACACATAACCGTGTTTCAGTGAAAGTCCCCCTTCAACTCGTATATCGGAGGAAGATCGGAGCACAGTACACCTGAGTCAGCTGCGGCTATGATCTTCCCATCTTGCACACCGAGTTCCCCAACGCGCGACACGTCCCAACTTGAAGTTGTGGAGATGATGATGATTTTTTTTATGGTTACTAAGTATCTCGTTCCACCATGTCTTTATTTTTCTCATCTTATAGGAGTATCATTTCTTGATGAATCGGGTTGGCCAAATTAGGACAAGCCGATTATTGTACATGCAGGATCCCGTACCTCATGACCATCAGAGAGAAGTTAGGTTGATAATCAAGTAAATCTATGCAGGCCGAGAACGGCATGTAGCTTTTTTAACCTATATACCCGCCTTATAAGCAGGGTAATGAAAATACTGGAATCGGCTAATTCTCTGATGCCGGAGCAGCGTCCTCCGAGCGGTTCCCGGTGTAGACCCTGTGGACATCACTTAAACGGTTGGGAAATTCGGCTATCAGTAATTTCATTTCTTTTTTTCATGGTCTCATGACGTTTTTGTTCAATAATTTTTCCGTCTTACTGTCGTAAAGTAAAATGAGAGATGAATAAGTTCTAAGTTGAGATTGAACTTGGCTCGTGCATTTGATGCCCCTCGCTGAGTCATTAGATTCTTTTCCCCAGAAGAGAGGTCCAAGAGACCCTTTTTATATGCAATTACCTTGGAAAATCATTGAAAATAGCTGCTCAATGATGTAATGGCGTAATCTAGACTAGAATAGAAGAGAGCATGTTGTCAAGGATAACTTGTCAATTGGCCGTGCGTAAGTTTTTTATGTTCTAAATCTTCCCCGGCTGTTATTCTAGCTGCGCCAATACTGAAAAGTAACCAAAACCAAAAGTAACCAGTGCCCGGACTGCAGCGGCGGTGCCCCACCACAGACATCATACCCCACCAACAAATACGTCCCCCTCCTCTTCTTCTCTCCCCTTTCCCTCTCTCCATCTTTCCTAAATCATTTTTGAAAGAGTATGCTATTACCTGTTCTTGGTTACTTCCCCTCAGTTACTGATCATTCTTTCTAGAATCTGCCATCATGGGTTACACTGATTTGGACAAGTTGGCAATCAACACCATCCGTGTTCTCGCGGTAAGTTACCTTCAGCTTGCCATGACGCTAGATTGGTTTCTGAGGTCTCAATTGAGAAGCGTAGCTTCTCACTGAACCCGGAGATCACTGATTGCATCGCAATTTATCTGCTCCGTCGAGTTCATAGCTAATATTGTGCCTTTAGGTTGATGCTACCTCCAAGGCCAACTCCGGTCACCCCGGTGCCCCTATGGGTATGGCCCCTGTGGCCCACGTTCTGTTCAACAAGTTCATGAACTTCAACCCCAAGAACCCCGACTGGGTCAACCGTGATCGTTTCGTCCTCTCGTAAGTCATTCTACCGACCCATTCACCCCCAACGGGTTTCCTACCTAGCGCCTGGAGCTACTGCAATTGAGCAGAATCAGCCAGTTAACACCATTGATAGTAACGGCCACGGCTGCATGCTCCAGTACGCTCTTCTGCACTTGTTCGGCTACAAGCTCTCTCTGGATGACCTGAAGAACTTCCGTGTAAGTTTTGAGTTTGTACAACCAAGAAAAAAAAAGTATCCGTGCTGATTTCCTCTAGCAACTCGACAGCATCACACCCGGTCACCCCGAGGCCCACGACACCCCCGGTATTGAAGTCACCACTGGTCCTCTGGGTCAGGGTTTCTCCAACGCCGTCGGTCTGGCCATTGCTCAGGCTCACTCCGGTGGTGTCTTCAACAAGCCCGGCTTCGAGCTGTTCAACAACTACACCTACACTTTCTTCGGTGATGGCTGCGCTATGGAGGGTATTGCCAGCGAGGCTGCCTCCATGGCTGGTCACTTGAAGCTCGGCAACCTGATTGCCATCTACGACGACAACCACATTTCCATTGGTAAGTTTTGATGGTCAAATTCTTCAGCTAGGCAAACGAGTACCCTGTGAGACTAACCCATGAAAACAGACGGTGACACCAAGTGCGCCTTCACTGAGGACGTTATGCAGCGTTTCGAGTCATATGGCTGGCACACCGAGTGGGTCAAGGACGGTGACAATGACCTCCAGGCCATCGAGGATGCTATCCGCAAGTGTCAGCAGGTTACTGACAAGCCCTCCGTTATCAAGCTTACTACTACTATTGGCTTCGGCTCCAAGCTGGCTGGTACCGGCGGTGTCCACGGCAACCCCCTCAAGGCTGACGATGCTCAGCACGTTAAGCAGCTCTTCGGTTTCGACCCCAACCAGAGCTTCGTTGTCCCCCAGCAGGTCTACGACCTCTACAACCAGCACGCCGCTGAGGGTGCTGCCAAGGAGCAGGTTTGGGACCAGCTCTTCCAGAAGTACCAGGAGGCTTTCCCCAAGGAGGGTGCCGACCTGGCCCGTCGTCTTGCTGGCAAGCTTCCTGAGGGCTGGGAGAAGAGCCTCCCCACCTACACTTCCTCCGACCCCGCTGTTGCTTCCCGTAAGCTCTCCGAGGCTGTCCTGGAGAAGATTCACGATGTCATTCCTGAGCTGCTGTCTGGCTCCGCTGATCTCACTGGCTCCAACAACACACGCTGGAAGAACGCTGTTGACTTCCAGCCCCCTCAGTACGGCATTGGTGAGTGGTCTGGCCGCTACCTCCGCTACGGTGTGCGTGAGCACGCCATGGCTGCCGTCATGAACGGTCTGGCCGCCTACGGCACTGTCATCCCTGCCGGTGGTACTTTCCTGAACTTCGTTTCTTATGCTGCCGGTGCCCTCCGTCTCTCCGCTCTGTCCCGCGTCCGTGTTATTCACATTGCTACCCACGACTCCATTGGTCTGGGTGAGGACGGTCCTACCCACCAGCCTATTGAGACCCTGGCTCACTTCCGTGCCCTGCCTAACTGCATGGTCTGGCGCCCTGCTGACGGTAACGAGACCAGCGCTGCCTACTACTCTGCCCTGACTGCCAAGCACACTCCATCCATTCTGGCTCTGACCCGCCAGAACCTGCCCCAGCTGGAGAACTCTACCATTGAGCGCGCTCTCAAGGGTGCCTACGTTGCCGTTGAGAACCCCAACGCTGCTGTTACCATCATCTCCACTGGTTCCGAGGTCGGCATTTGTATCGAGGCTGCCACCTACCTCCAGGAGAAGCACGGCATTGCTGCCCGTATTGTCTCCGTTCCTTGCTTCGAGGTCTTCGATGCTCAGGACAAGGCCTACCGCCTGTCTGTCCTGCCCGACGGTATCCCCGTCCTGTCCGTCGAGGCCCTCACCACCATGGGTTGGGAGCGTTACGCTCACGAGCAGTTCGGTCTCAACCGCTTCGGTGCCTCCGGCCCTTACAAGCAGGTTTACGCCGTAAGTTTGATCTGCCCTTTTGTCTTTTATGAATCTCCATTAACAATTTTTAGAAATTCGAGTTCACTCCTGAGGGCATCAGCAAGCGTGCTATTGCCACCATTGATTTCTACAAGGGCCACACCGTGCGCTCTCCTATTAACCGTGCCTTCCAGCAGATCCTGTAAGGAACGACGATATGCGTCAAAATGTTACGAATTTTTAGTTAAGAGGCGACAGCCCTTAGACACAATACTTAAGAATGAAATAGAGCGATGTCTGTCAACGAATCAAGCTCGCGAGTACATGTTCATGAATATAAGTGTAGATGAATACCTACTAGTAAATCATACTCATAAAACATTTCTTCTGCATCTCAACAACTCCTTTCAACATAACCTCCTTTTTCTGACGCGATTCAGGCGAAGCAGAAGGACCATATGCTGCCTCCGATTGCTTCACAACAGTTCCCCTCCAAGCCTCATCAGTCGCATCATCCCCATCAATCGAAACATCCACCTGACCCAATCCACTCCAAACCCCCTTCATGGTCGGAGCCAGCTTCTGCAAGAAAGCCCCAATACCACCCTCCCCACCTCCAGCATGATAACTCTCAAACACTCCACTACCCGCCCACCTTGGACCTAGACTAGCCATAACCAAGGTATCAAGATCTTCCACAGAAACAACCCCTTCCCCAACAAGGTAACAAGCTTCTCGCAATAATGCAAACGCAAGTCTATTACCCACGAATCCCTCAATCTCCTTATGTAAAACAACAGGTCTATAGTACCCGCCTTCATTAGATTCAGGACCAGGAGCATCCCCAAAATAAGACCGAGCAAACTCCACCCTCTCGGTAAGAGTCTCCGGTCCAGGGACAATCTCAATCAAAGGCATGATATGTGGTGGATTGAATGGGTGCGCAACTAGGAGGCGTTCTTTGATATCAGGTTCACAGAGAGAACCTTGAAGACTTGCGGCGATACCGGAAGAGCTACTCCATAAATGGGCGTTGATATCCGCGTAAAGAGAGACTTCTTTCCAGAGAGCTTGTTTGGAAGTTTTTATCTCCGGGGATTGTTCTTGGATTATATTTGCGGACTGTACCGCTTCTTGGATTGTTTTTGCGACGGTGAGACGGCTTGTTGAGAGGAGGTTGGTTATGATATCTGGCACTTTTGTAGGTTCTGATGGGCTGGAAGTGCTATTGTCGGTGGGAATTTGGGGTCTATTTAGGTAGGCGGGTAAGGTTGTTTGGACTTCGGCTTCGAAGTTGGGTCTTGGGTCGTAGATTGTTACTTTCGTGTCGGGGCGTCGGAGGTGGAGTGCTGCCATTGAGAGGCCGATTGTGCCGCCGCCTAGGAGGGCGATGTGGTGTTTGTATATAGACATGATTTATGAGTTTCATAGGACGGTGGTGATCGATCTGGGATTAAATGTAGGGAAGTGCTAGGTTGAAGTTGTAGATAGTGTACTCGTGGTGGGTAAGACCGTAAGTTCAAAGTTGGGGTTAATGCGGGGATGTCGGAAACAAGACCGAGGTATAGAAAGCATTCTGGTATCCACCTATTACTCCTTTAACATACACATGAACAGTGAAGCATATTCTGAATTGAAACCACATCCCATATATCCATTCAAGATTCAACATGATTAGCGAAAAAAAGAAAAAAAAAGGAAAGGGAAAAACAAACAAGCATTCCTATCCAAGTCCTGAAAATTCTAGAGTCGAATCAAGCATTGATGTGTCTAGTGTCTCGGTGGGACCTGGTAAGAATGGCTTCTTGTTGGATCGGATTGCTGTAAATAAGAACCAGAGACGTGACCCACTGCTCGCTGGTGCGCTTGTAGAGTATCTGCACGACCGTATCGTTTGCCACAGGATGTAAAGGGGCATTCGAAGGATCCAGGATGAAGATGTGTTGCCTTTATATGACGCCAAAGGGAAAGGAGTTGTGAGAAGCCATGTCTGTCAGTACATCCTGACCATAAGCAATGATACATTCCATCCTCGTCCGGTCTGATTAGAAGTGTTAGCAAGTCTAAATTATAAATGATTGATAGATATGGATCGACACGGGGAACATATACTGAGTGATGTTATAGTAAGCTTCATCCTCAGTGTAGTGTGGGCTTGGGTGAGAGAAACCAGACTCAGTCGCAGTTGTTTTGGTCCATAGATCCAAAGGGCACAGTGCTCTATTGGCACTATGATATCTAGACTGGGATGGACCAGGTACCTCAGTCAGAGAATAATCATACTCTGAGGAGGGGTCAGTTGTAAAGGCATTGTTGAATAAGGTTCTCTCAATACCCCTAAGAGCAGCAGGTGCATATTGAATCGGCGAGTCCAAGGCAAAGCTTGTCTTGTTGTGATCGAATTGCATGACGGGACAGTGATTGAATTTGGCGTCAAGGGTAGGCCGAACAGGGGGAGTAATAGGCGTGCAAGAGAGATGATGGCTCAATGCGTCGGTCTGAGTGGGAGGAGGAAGCATCATTGGCAATGATTGAGTCTCCTGGTTCGATCATATTTGTCGTTTTGCTGAATGTTGCGACGAGGTACATACGGGTTGTACCTACGAGTATAGGGTAACATTTTTAAATTACTCACAAGTAGCACCGTGACTATAGTAGTACTTGAGGAACAATTCGTGAATAGCGAAATTCCTCATTATCAGTCGAGTATTATCAAGGCTATGGAGGCTCTTTTATATTCAAGTGCTACTATAGTAAGTTTGAATGAGCTGTGCTACTAAGTACGTGTTTTCGCCACGCCACGCGCTTCCCCTTCCCCTTCCCCTTCCCAGGTTCTGTGCCACATTCAGACTGCTGAAACATGGGATGAGCACCGTATGTTCACTCCTGATGCCCCAGTTCAACATATTTAACATATGACTATTGGCTCGCAGCAGGTAATGTCTCAATTTCATAAGCTTTGGTCTGTCAACCTAGCTATTGATTGCGGCTCCGGGTCAGGCTGAACGAATACGTTTCTTGTCTATTCCCTGTGTATTCAGCTGAGGCTGTTACGCCGGAACTCGAATATTGGATGCATGAAAATGCAGGTCTACTATTTGGCTACTGACAAGGCCAATAGCATTGATGCATTTGCATGGTTGCCTCAGAATGATAAAACGTCTACCTCCACGTGGGCTCAGATCCGAGTCATTCAAGTTCATGATGGAATATTGAAAATTTGAAGACATGACTCCAGCCTCTGGTGAATATTTAGTATGTACTTATCAAATACTCTATCAAATACTCCGCCTAGGTGGAAGCACAGGTCCAGCCGTGCGGATGAACATCTGAAGGGGCGCCTACATACTAACTTCAAACTGAATGCCAGTAGTACATGGATTGATGGATGTACCTACAGGCTATGGATGCAGTACATGTAGTACATAGCTGAACCAAGTAGTAATTGGTGTTAGAAACATTGAATACGCTATGTAGATCCATGGATATAATCCATAATTTCAATATTCATGTTGAATTAGTATGTATACTAATTCAAAGCCAGTCGTTATTACAAAACCACTACGAAGCACAAGAATATCCAGAACGAGTTCATTCATCATGATATAATTCATAATTCCTCCATACTTTTATCATCCCATCGTGCTAATCCCATGCTATAGAAAAGAAAAGATTTAATCCACAGACTAAACCACTTAAGCAAGGGCCTTGCGAGCGAAGTTGGGCAGCACAAAGCTGGCACGGTGGATGTCGGCATTGTAGTAGCGGCAGTGACGCTCCTCCTCCTCGCGAGTCCAGGAGCGAAGGGGCTCCTTGACGTTGCGGGTGGCGTCCTTGCAGCAGACCATGAAGCCGATCTGGCCGGAGGGGTAGGTGGGGATGGTGGTGTAGGCGTACTCGGCGACAGGGAAGACCTCGCTGCAGGACTTCTTGAGGTCGGCGATCAGGGGAAGGTGAAGCCATTGGTTCTCAGCTGTTGGAGTAAAGCACAGCCCCGCAAAACCGAGCCCGTAAAGCGGGTTGGTTGCGGTGTAGTGCGGAAAATGTTAGCCAATATTCTTTTGATTTTGTCTTCGTAACCAAGATTTGGTTCGAATGTCTCAATTGAGGAAAGAAAATAAAACACAAGAAAAACAGTGAAGGGGAGGGAGACATAGTTAGAAAAAAAAGAGATACAGAAAAAAATGATACAAAGGAGAGAGAGAGTAAGTGGATCAAGAATAAAAGACAAATGAGACAAATGAAAGGCGACGAACAACCTTGGGTGGTGATGACACCTCCGTCACGCAGGGCATCGCGGAGAAGCTCAAAGTAAGGCTTCTGGAAAAGGCTCTCGGCAGGGCCCTCGGGGTCAGAGCTGTCAGTGATGATAACATCGAACTCGTTCTTGTGGCTCTTGAGGAACTCAAAGCCATCACCGACGTGGGTCTTAGCGTTGGGGTGCTGGAAGCCGATGCTCATGCCAGGAAGGTACTTCTTGGAGACACGGATGACGGCCTCATCGATGTCACACAGGACGGCCTCCTCGACAGTCTCGTGCTTGACAACCTCACGGAGGACACCACCGTCACCGCCACCAATGACAAGAACCTTCTTGGGGTTAGGGTGAGAGTTCATGGCCAGGTGGGTGATCATCTCCTGGTAGGAGAACTCATCACGCTCGGTGCACTGGATAACGTTGTCCAGGACGAGGACAGTGCCGTAGTCGCTGCTCTCGAAAACCAAGACATCCTGGTACTTGGACTTCTCGTGGTGCAGGATCTGGTTAACCTTGAGGTTCATAGCCTGACCGGGCCACATGCCGGACTGCTCGGAGAACCAGCCATCTATAGGTAAGAGGTGGGGTTAGCGTGATGGAAATTCATCGGGATGTGTCAATTGAGGGGCAAGGTGGGATGAGTATGGCGGGGTATCGGGAACAGAAAAAGAGGGAGAATAAGATACCCTGAATGGTAGGGTGAGTGATGTCGCTCATTGTGAAAGGTAGAGAAAGACGAGTTGAAATTGAGAAAGGTCTGAGTGAACGAAAAGGAAGAAGAAGAGAACGAAGCATACGAGGAAGAAAAGTTAATGGCGGAAGTTTGGCTGTTTTGGGCGAATTTTCACTGTTTGCAAGTGGGGACTTTGAGCCACCAACTATCAACCATTAAGGGAAACTATACACTATCAGCCAAGAGATTAATCGGGATTTTACATAAACTAAATTCAATTGAGTTGATAATTATGTTGATATGGGTTGATTTATAAGATTATATAGAAGTTGATGGGTTTGGATCTTACTAGTAAGCTGGTCCCTTAGCTCTAAGCTACAGTATGGAGTTCATGGGTCTAAATTAAGGGATTTTAAGCCAATGAGCCAATGATGATCCCCCAAATGACGCTGACTCGGATCACCCACCACCATATTTAGATCAAAGTCATATAATACTCTATATTTACTAGATATGAATAAACAAAAATCTTTAAAGGTCTTAAGACATAGGAAAACCAATTATGGTCGATTGCTTTCTAGTTTACTGTACAATTGATACAGCCACGCAGCGCATGGGCGTGTGCACTCCGGTATAACCCCAAACGTGAAAAGATAATAGATAAAATGACATGCAATTCCAATTCCTTGATTAGAAGAGCATTTACTCATCACTGCCACTCTCAAGCAGACGACCGGGCTTGGAGTTCAGGTACTCGTTGCTATAAGGAGACACCCGTCAGTAAAAGGCTCAGATCGGATATTGAATCTTCTTAAGGGCTAGATCTTACCGCTCAACAGCCCAGTTCATGGCGGCGTAGGCAACAACGAAGGGAGGAACAACGTAGAGAACCTGGTGGCGGAAACGACGGAAGGTGTTGAAGATGGCAGCGTTGAAAGCACCGGCGAAGGGGCGCTGACGGTTAGGGGAGAGGGCGTAAGTGGCAATGCGCTGGGGGGTAGGGCAACCTATAGATAGGTGATATATTAGTATTTTTGTCCTCCTGTCGTAGTTCCATATCTCAATGATTCATCGCAGCCGTTTGTTGTCGAGAATTGATGATCCCAAGTGGTCGTGGGATGTCCGGCGTGCGGCATTCGGAAGTTCAAGGCATATCGTCCACGTACCAAATTTACCCCAGCTGCCAATGTAGCTGTAATGAAATTGTCAGCATATCGATTCAGTTCGTATACAAGAACCAATTGAAGACTGAGAGGAAGCAACTGTCTCATGCACTCCTCGGGTAATCCAATCTCGCGGGTGCGACCGGACACCTTCCCCCAACCTTCAATAGACAACGGGACGGGATAAAACTCACTGGCCGGTCTTAGGATCAGCGGAGTGACCACCCATTGTGACAGAATAAACTGAAAGAAATAAGTTAGGGTATAGAGAGGGGAGAGGAAAGTTGATCAGGACAGGGCAAGGGAAGGGAAAAGACGATCGAAGTTCGGGAACGAGGTTGGCCCAGTCCACGCTAAACCCAATTGGGAGGGAAAAGCCCGACATCATCAACTACACTGTTTCTTGAACGACCTCGACTCCATCCATCCCCTCAATCTTCCACACACAACCATGGCCAACGCCCTCTACAATCTTTACCGACTGGCGGGTCCCGCCGCAGCCGGTGTTCTGCTGTTCAACGCGTCCATCTACGATGTCAAGGGTGGAACACGAGCCGTCATCTTCGATCGGTTGTCTGGTGTGCAGGAGCAGGTCGTCAATGAGGGAACACACTTCTTGATCCCATGGTTGCAGCGGGCAATCGTCTACGATGTGCGCACAAAGCCTCGCAACATCTCCACAACAACCGGTTCCAAGGATCTTCAGATGGTCAGCTTGACGCTGCGCGTGCTGCACCGTCCGGAAGTGCCGAGACTGCCGCAAATCTACCAGGTAAGAACAAGCTCAGCATCTCAGTGCTACTCCATTCAGCCAGATATCCTAGAAGCTAACCCATTTACTTTTTCTTATTGATAGTCCTACGGTACCGATTACGATGAGCGTGTTCTCCCCTCCATTGGAAACGAAGTCCTCAAAGCTATCGTCGCCCAGTTCGACGCCGCCGAGCTCATCACCCAGCGTGAAGCCGTCTCCAACCGTATTCGCACAGATCTTCTTAAGCGTGCTGCGCAGTTTAACATCGCCCTGGAGGACGTCTCCATCACCCACATGACCTTCGGAAAGGAGTTCACCCGTGCCGTCGAGCAGAAGCAGATCGCCCAACAGGATGCCGAGCGGGCACGATTCATCGTTGAGCGTGCTGAGCAGGAGCGTCAGGCTAGCGTTATCCGTGCGGAGGGTGAGGCCGAGTCTGCCGATATCATTTCCAAGGCTGTTGCCAAGGCCGGAAGTGGCCTGATCGAGATTCGTCGTATCGAAGCTAGCCGCGAGATTGCTCAGACTCTTTCCAGCAACCCCAATGTCACATATCTGCCTGGTGGTGAGGGTAAGGACGGTGGTAAGAGCACTAGCCTCTTGCTTGGATTGCGGAATTAAGAGAAGTTTGGAAGGATATGAGATCGGGAGTGTTTGAGGCCCCGGTCTCGGATTTTTTTTGTATCATTTAATCGCATGCCGTGTTTGATGCGCCAGCTCGGCAATGCTTGATCCCATGGCGCGAACTTGATGGCGAAACGTTGTCTAGTTCTTTTTTTTCTGACCTGTAGCAATACGAATACCTCTACTCCATATCGGAACTTGCTCCCAAATGCCATAAATTCATTAAATATTCAATGTACTTTTCTCCCATGCTATATGTATATGTTTCTTTTAAATCCGCTGGTATATATGAAGTTGGAACCGCATATCCTCCAACCCAGCACCCTCACCAACTTCATACCGCAACCGTGCTGCCTCTCGTCTCCACCACTTGGAGTCCTGTGTATAAACTCTCTCCCATTTACCCCCAGCCACAGAGGTGAGCGCATGATCCAACAAAAACTTCATTGGATACTTCCTCTCCTGTGCCTCGCCCTCTTTGTTCTTACCAAGTTTGACACTGGAGTAACTTCCAGGGCTATCAACAACGAGTAAAATAGCACCAGGGGAGAGAATCTCCGTCAAACGAAGCAAAAAGCCCGTGGCCTTGGGCATGGAGGTAGAGAAAAGCTCATTGAGCGTGAACATGAGCGTAACCAGGAGAGAGGAAGACTCTTGGGCAGTTTCACCAAGAACAACATCCTTCAACTCCTGCTCACCAAGAGCGAGCAGATCAGCCCGACGAAACGAAACGTCCAAAGCTTCACTTCGCGCCAAAAGAGGAGGCTTATGTCTCGATGTAAGAGGGAATGGTACATCGTTCGAGATGATCGTCTTCGACAACCTCTCGACAACGCTAGACCAATCCGCAATATCAACAGCAGCGACGGAAAGGCTTCTGGATGATGACTGACTCTGTGTCTCTACTTCCGTAGTAGTCTTCTCAGCATCATTGATCTGATCTTCGCCCTCTCCAGATTCGATCTTTGCATCCGAAAGAGATACTTCTGCAGTACTCTTACTTAACGAATCCATATCAATTCCATCCAATCCCAAATCTCTCCACACACCAGCCAGAGCAACAATCTCCGCACCAGCACCACCACCAAGACAAACAACTCTTGTGTTGGAAATTTCCTCCATCTTACAAAGGGGTTTTACGCTGGATTCATCTCCATTACGCATCCAACCGAGCACACCCTTGAATATTCCCGCATATCCCAATGCTCGTGATGCACTCCATCGCAGCGCATAAGCGCGTAACAGGTCGCTATCAGCGTCTGTAAACGCGGCATCGAAGTCTCGCTGGTAAAGATGAGATTTAATCGTCTGAATCAGGGACTTGATGTCGAGTGGTGCGGGTTCCTCGGAGTCGGCGGCACCATCGGTAGCAGGGATTGAGGATTGGGTGGGTTTGGATTGAGTGAGAAGAGCGGTCTTAAAGACATCGAGGAGGAGTTGCTGGAGAGAGAGTGGAATAGGGGTTGAGAAGTCGATTGGACTGTCTGCATCTTGGGATGGAGTTTGGGGTTGGGGTTGCGATTCGGTAGGTTGTTTGCGTTCAGGTTGTTTTTGACGGGGACGTTGTTGAGGTTTGGATTTGGGTCTATCGAATGTATCCCGATCAGCTCGACGATTCCCTTGTCGAAAGCCTGGCATTTTTGTGTTTTATATTTGAAAAAATATATGAGATGAAAATTATGGATTTAGGATCCTTATGCGGGGCATTGGATGAAACCAACTTTTTTTAGGCTTATCGTAGCTTATCTAAAATCAAATTGCCACGCCAATAGATACACGCCCACTCCAACTATTGCATAAGAAATAAGGAAACTTTGGAAGGAAAGTGTGCGTATGAAAAAATGACCCAGAATGAAGGGTTGAAAATAGTATTCCGAGGCCATCAACCTCAATAAATGGAAGAAGAATAAGGCAAAAAAGAGATGGTCCAAAGAGAGGACAACGATCGTAGAGAAAATCAAGCCGGGTGTTAATCACACCGGTACATAAACGATAGACAGCAGAAGCGACAGTTCATCGTACTCAGACATAGACTGACCGTCGTCTGGGAGTAAAGAAATTCGTAATGTAGTCTCAAGGGAGACTGAGAAATAAAGATGAAAAAGGTAAAATGACCGCCGAACGAACAGCAGGAAGTATGACAAGTTAAAAAGAACAACAAAAAAATCCACACGAAGAGAATGAGAAGGGAAAGAAGAGCCCGGAGTCAAATATGTACATTCCGGTTAAAGAAAGAGAAGCTTCAAGCGATATGAGCGATAAAAGGGGGAAGAAAAGATGCGATGGGAAGAAGATGGATATCGCTATGCCGAGATATGTGCGCCATGAAATCAAAAGTCAAATGCATGAAGATCCTAGATTGGACTTATACCGGCCGTTCAGGGATGGACGGCTCGGTGATAGTCCTCTCCTTGTCTTTACCTTTCCAGAAATGCATCAGGCGACTGATGCGACGACTCTTTTTCTTGGAGTTGTCGTAGCCTTCTCCTGGAGGCTTCTCTTCCTGGTGGAGTTTGCTTCGCTCCGAATGCTGGCCACCGACCAACTTGGACAAGCTAGCCAGGCTAGACCTTTTGGAAGAGTTTGCCTGGCTGCTACGACGGTTCACAGCTGCCGAGAAAGATGCAGCTCGGTCAGTTGAAAGACGACCGCGAGGGAAGAATGTCGCAGAGAATCGGTGGGCAGTGGTCATGGTGGATGCGCTGCTAGTCAAAGATGGAACATCTTCCACTGAGGCATATGGATAATCAGAAGGCAGATGGTGGTAAGAATGACTTGAGAAGTTGCGATCAGAGAATCGTGGCCCATCTGGCGACGGGAATGAAGATTCCGAGGGCGAAACACCGGCTGAAAGTGAAAAAGGCGGGATGCTGGGCAGTAGCTGGTTGGGGGACGTAGATGGTCGCTTATCAACAGCCAGGTAGCGAGGGGACATATCGGGACTGGGAGGGTCCAGTTGTTTGGGGCCAATATCCTCCGACTGGAAATTCTCTGAGGAGTCGCGGGGCGGCACAGAGAATGGTGCAGAGAACGGGTTATCGAGGTGTTGAATAGAATCAGTGGTGTCATGTTCAATAGCAATAGGAGCTTCCTCCGTATTGACAGATTCTTCAGTCGACTGGATTCCAAGACCCTCGGGCTGTGGTTCAGGCGCTCCGGTTAGTGTTTCGACACTATTGGCGCTCTTGATAGACTCTGTTGACTTCTCAACATCTGCAGGGGCTTGAGGTTGAGGTTGAGTGACAGGGATTTCAACTGGAGTCTCGAAAGGAGGCGCTCGCTCATTCCTGGGGGACTGGTTCGCAGCCAAAAATTCATCCTCTTCTTCCTCATCAAAAACATCTGGAGTTTCCGACCCATTTCCTCCCAAACGGATTGCAGTGAGGATGCTGCGATCAAAGGGCTGCATGACTGGAGCACTTTCAGTGCGACGGTGGTACCGCATCTCCGGACCAACAAACTCGCCTCGTCGGCCACCGCTGTACATGCGCTGTGTTGCCACGGTAAATTTGCTCAGGTTTCCCCGAGAAGGCCGCATATCAGGGGTATTGAATGGACCAAGAGCAGCATCAAGATCAATGATGGGACTGCTGAGGACATCATCCTGTGCTGTTTGCTCATAGAAGCTTCTCGGCTTCCACGATGTCTCAAGAGAAGGAACGGGAGGAATAAGGCGATCATCTTGTCCCTTATCGGCATCTGACACAGGTCCTTCGGGATTTGTAGGCGTTCGGATCACCAGAACGTCGTCATTATCAAAATCGACCTCCATAACCGAGCCAGCCTCCGAATTGGTGCGTGTAAGAGTTGGAGGTGTCAAGGCAGGCGGCAGCTTTCGTGCCTTCTCCTTGCACTTCTCCTTCGCTGGAACTTCAAGATTTTCACCTTCATGCTTATCATGGCGCTTTCCCTTGCGAGTCAGGATGGCACCAGCCCACGAACGGACACGCTTCTGCTTCTTTTTGGATTTAGATGACTTCTTAGGTGAAGAGCTGTCGTACTCATGGTCGATGTCAATCGACGCTTCGGATCCATCATCAGAGTAAGTGCCAGAAGGTCGAGAAGTGTCGGTCGAGTGAGCATCGTCACCTTCGTGGGTCGCGTTTGCTAGCGTAGCAGTAACATCTGCAACTGATTTGCTCTTACCCGAGCGAGGATGCCCCGTTGACTTGGAGCGTTTGACATTAGGCACATCCGGTGTGTTCTGGGCTTGCATGAAATCGAAAGCTAAAGACGCATCCGCAGTCTTCGGTCGAGGCTTCGATTTGCGATGGTGTGGCGATCTCGTCTCTGCTGGGGGTGTTGGAATCTGCGGGTGTTGGAATTGAGCAGTTGCAGGGCTTTCAGGCGTCTCGTGAAAGACTGCAGAGACAGGTCGGCCGTTATCGAGATTATCGTTAATCGGAGCCGATTCGAGATGAATGGAAGCGGGAATTGGTGGAACTGGTGGAATAGAAGACGAAGGCGGAAATTGAGGAGATGCAGGAGGTGTTGGACGACCGAGACTTCCAGCTGAGTAGGAAAGTGGTCTAGAGATATCTTCACGTCCCTTATCTAACAATGGATCACCCGGCGTATTTGGCGCACTCCCGGCCCCTGGGTTGGTCGCAAGAGCTTTTTGAATGGCGAGCATATCGACTCCGGAAACTGCTTGAGAGCGACGATGAGCATGATGGCGTCGTCCTGGACCTCTTGGGGGACCAGGTGTTGGAGCACTCGGCTGTGTCGAAGTCGTCGGTTCTTCCCGCTTATCCGCATCCCCTGATGCTGGTGTCACCAACTGATTATCCCCAACAAATTCACTCGGTCGTCGACGATGTCCACCTGGTCGGCTTGGTACATGTGCTGGCGGTGTTGGTTGTAAAGACTGATCGGCTCCCGGGTTAAACGAAAAGGCCGGCAAAGCCGGAGGCGTTCGGCGTTCTGTCTCTGCCGGGCTGGAGACTGAAGCATCCGGATCTCGAGCCGGGAACACAAATGGTGGGTTTGGCAACGGAGGCATTGTCAGACGACGGTTATGCTCCGGATCGGCAAGCGCTGAATCGAAATGTTGAGGAAACCCCGGACGAGATTGCGGGGGGAAAGAAATCGAAGCCATCAATGCTGCGCAAGAAAAGATATCCGACAGAAAAAAAAGATAAAAAAATTGAAGTTAAAAAAAGGACCACAAGAAAGGAAGAATCAAGTCAAAAAGATCCAGGACAAAGAGACCCCCAGACTGTCTTAACTTCCCTGAAGTGAAGAGACAGTCGCAAAGAATCTGGAGGTCAGTCTTAACAACCTCGAACAAAGATCATTTGAATCTTCCGCACCAGGCAGAATCGAAGTCGGGGAAAGTTGAAAAAAAGTTGGAGGTGATGGCGCAGAAAAGGGTCTCAAGGATGAGAATAAGGAGCGGACGGCCACGACGAAGGCCAGGGAGGAGTGAGGGAGAAGGAGAGTCGTTGAAAAGATGGGCAAAGAGAGGAATAACAACAGGAGAAGAGGGGAGAGGTTAAGCCGGGTGTACTGTAACCATACGGTAATTACCCGTTGCATCCGAACCGCGGACCAATTAACTTAGAAGGGTTAAGGGAGAGATTACTTCGAATTGTTCATTTACTTATTGAGAAATCAAATAATGGAATTGAGATAAGAAGAATGTGTGGAATCATGATTGAGGATATAATCTAAATTTTATCTTAATTCCCCCAAAATCTACCATAGATACGGGGGTGTGCTTAAACCAGGGCAAAATAGGGCGACCAGGGTGGAAATCTCCCTTGACTCGGCTGGAAAGGACTAATATCCCCATGACCCGTCAGTTTTTATGAGTACAACCTCAGATACAAAAAGAAAGTTTTCTTTCATGCAGATGGAGATTAGTCCAGAAGAGTGCCTTTTTACTTTACCTAGGTACCTTACTGTATGTTTGATTTCTTCATAGAATATAGGGGATTTTCAGACCCTGGAAGAACCAAGAAACCCTCCCCTACTGTGGAATTATGGAGCCAATCTCAGATCGAAAATCAAATCCTTCAACCATTCGGGATGATCGGGAGTAGTGAACGTCATGACTTTGGTTGCCACCAGGTTACGAGAGTAGTTCGTGGGGCCCGGAACGGTGCCTGTTACAGGCATCAAGAGGATCCTGGGGTCTCAAGGCCGCACCAATGAATGAACGTATTCATCCGGAGAAAAAGTGGGCTTGCAGGCACCAATGAGTCTAAAGCCAGGATCACTTGGCAAGCAAATTTCGCTTGACTCGAGTGGGTCTATGGTGCCTCGCCACGCTGGGGGAGAACTGCAAGTCAAAAGGAGACAGATTGCGTGGTCGTATCCAAAATCTACACTAAAACCTGCAAGAGTCAACTGGCGGATATTTAGTATAGACCAATGATCTTCTTCAACTTCTGAACTACCTAATTTAGTCAAATACTTGTTTAATTTTGCTAATTACATACTCATTACACGCAGATCTTGATCATCTTGATCATCTTACTCCGTACTTCATACTCCATACATAAAATGTCTTTCTCAACATTGAACAATTACAGACCCAACTATGGAGTCAAAAGTGGAGGACACCGCTGTCCGGGAGATTGCTTTAATCCACCCCGTGGGTCTTGGCGCAATGAGATCGGATATAAATAGTGAATTAATGGAATAGCGCGAGGTCGAAGCGGTCTATTGGTCCAGGGATGACGCGGGTGCTAAGACCAAAAGTACCCAGCTGAACATGTTAAGACTTGGAACTTCTCCTGGCGTGCGCAGGGTAATTGAAACACCTCTTTTCCCGAGGTCTCGTTTCTCTTAACCCCTAGCGTCAATTTCATATCGAGACCCAATCAGCGGGCCGTCTTGCATGCAAAGTGCATGTGGATTCGTCCGTTCGAAAAGGTGCACGCGTGGGGCTGATCGTCATGATGCCAATTGGGGCGGCAACGGGGGTGATCCAGGTTGCAGTTTATAAATCAATTCAATAGATTGATCCAAACGCCGGGGTCTGTATGGTTTAAAAATGCATCGAGTTACATTGCTCTTCCGTCAGACTTCAACTTCCGCCATAACCTTGGAGATCACGTTGGGTTGCAATAGGTACTCCGAAGTACCTTTTTTTTGACAGGCGAATAAGCCACATTCAGATCGGAAGTTCCGGAGCCTGAAATTGTCAATACAAGGACTCCGTACGCGTATGGCAGGCGTGGATTGTGATTCGCGGCCAATAGTGCAATCGCCACTCCAAATAAGCCCGCAGAACGGCCTCGTCATACATTTTGACCATGGCTAAACACCGTAATAAAACACATCCGTGTATGGAGAACGGAGTGCGAAGTTATTCGTGGCCGAGATGCCAATCGGTCTATCTTTCTCGCCCCGGTTTAGTTTTTTGGTCATCTCTCCTTGGTTCCTCTCTTCCGTTCCTCTCTTCCGAGATGCCGAGAGCCCTAAAAGAGTAGTTCCCATGGCACATCTGGGGCCATGACCAAGTGGAGAAGGGAGAAGTGGACCGTACTGTCCAAGTAAAAGACTGCGCGGTCGCAACCGCCAACAAGGTGAACCAAGTTTTTGGGACTCTGAGGGATCCAGGGACCATAACTCCTGATATCAAATATGGCGCAGTTAATCCCTGTTAAATCCCTGTTCAGTTCCAATAATTGAGTCAGGTATTGGAAGGGTTCGGGTTCGTGAATAAACTCTCGGGCTCCCCGAGCATTTCAGTCAACTGGTGGAACCTCTCGTGGTTTTCGGAATGTGAAAATGGGAAACGTTGAAGTTTATTCATCATGATGTCGCACTTGAGGTCGTTAGTTCTCGGGTCCGTACTTCCACCCCTTGCGCCCAGCTGAATATTATCTCCAAGACCAAATTCATATTCCTATTTACCGTAATGTGACAGGATCACATTAAGACATCGGGAGAACCATTGAAATATTCAAGTTCAATATTCTGGTTGTATGAACCGGAACCCCAGGTTGGTATTGTATCTTCAAGTTGAGCATTCAAGTGCAGAACTTCACTCAAGATACTGATCAACTTGAAGCATTCAAGTTGGAGAAGCGAATCATGATAGCATCATGATCGTGACATAGTAAAGTCGAATGCGACATAGAATAAATATTCTGCAGATGAATCCGAGTCACTGTCAGATCCTTGTGTAGATCCACAGGAAATCAGGATTTAAGAATATTCAACGTAGCATGAGACCTCGAGCATAAGCATGAAGATCGTATCCATCCAGAGCCTCCTCTCCACTGCTCTTCGTGGTCCCTGCAGATTGTGCCGCCACCTGCATGTAGTCTGTTGTGTGTTGCATGGAACCTTGATGTAATTGGAGCCTCCTTATGTGCGGTGTGAACCCTGCAGGTTGTGCCACGGCTTGCACTGTTAAGAAGGGGAAGAGAGGGGTGGGAGGAAAATTAATCAGATCATGAGGGAATGCCAGTGGTTATTTAGAAGCTGCCTTGATACCAGAGCCTGGGTAGTGATTGAACGCGTCGAGCATATCAAGGTAATACCTAGAAGCCTTGACACGGGTCATTGACATTTACTCATTGTGAGGTTTTGTCAATAGATAGAAATGTGAGGAGAAGAGGAAAGTAAATCAAAACTCTGAGTTCTTGGTATTGTGTAGACAACTCCGTAGAGAGTATACTACTAGGTTCAACTTAATATGTTCGCTGAATGTCCCAATAGAACATTGAATGCCTCAGCCATCAAAAATTCTCAAAGTCTAGGACAGCACTCCCCGGAGATTTCTGCTTCTACACCTCTCTTCTCCTCAACCAACACACTTTGATTATTCACCTGCGTACTAACCGCCACATCAAGCGCCGGATTACCAGAAAAGAAATTCACCGGCTTAAGCGAAACCATCATCTTCTCCACCGGCATGACAGGCCAATCCTCCACACGAGGATTATGGGTCGTGCCAAACGTATGCCAAACGACCAGATCTTCATTACGCACACTCAGAGGCTCAGTACGATCCCGAATCCAAGACGCAATGCCTTCCCCACCGAGCGACTGCATTGTGTGCTCTCCGGCACTGTATAGCTCTCCATCATGGTACCGCGTTACCCAAATAGCGTGTTCGGCGGATTCAGAGGGCTTGAAATGGTAGGAAGATGGGTGCGCCAATATCATCTGTGAAGGTTGCGGAACGAGTTTGTATCCGACAGGTCCACCGGTTACTCCATTCAGGACATGCTCGTTCACGATTTTGAATACCCTTCCTTTAGCAATGCCGAGGTCGAGTGGGGATTCAGTTTTGACGATCGAGCGGGTAGTTGTATATCCTATCCCGAAGGGGTTGTGTACGGCTGGGTCGTTTATTGGCATCGCATGAGATTCTTCTACCATCAGAGAGTTCTTGTGCCCGTCTATTGCGGGATCGATTCGTAGACTGAAGAGGTGTTGGTGATATGGTGCCATCACACCAGGTGCAACGAGGGTTCCGTATGGGACGTTTTGATCAAGGTTAATAGGAGCTGTTGAGAGAATACCGGTGGCTCGAACTTCGTAGTTGATGGAGGCGTCCTGAGTAAACTGGAATGCGAAGATATACTCATAGTTGCCGACGGTGATCATGGTTTGCAGGAATAGAACTCGTGAGCGAGTCACAACGGCATTGTTCGTGCGGAAGTTGGTATGTTTCCAGAGGATACCGTCGTCGATCTCGTGGCAACAGACGACACTTGGAAGAATTATGGGATCACCATTGATGTTCTGGTGGTATCCATCAAAATACTTGATGTGTCCTAAACAGTCACAGCCTTAAACCGTTTATTAGCACAGGTCGCTCTTATGACTCTTTGAATTTGAATTCTCTTGATGATATAAGGTTGAAACGACTCACCAAGCTTCAGATTATTGGCATTGACGCCCGCACCGTTACTCCCCAGATCAAAGGCAGCTTTGCGTGGATACGGCGCGCGACTATCTCCATAAGGCACAAACATCTCAGAGAGAGCCAGGCGATAAAACAGGCTTCGACCATCATAGGTGATATCGTGCAGAGTCAATCCCTCTCGCTATGCACAATTAGCTTGCGACTACACAGTCTTTAGTCGATTCTCAGATGCAGGTACTCATAAAATTAAACCCGACTCTCAACCGCCATTTCTCCCAGGTAAGTAGATTCCCATCAGTTTGGAAAGAAGAACCATCAGGCTGAACAACCTGGTAGGGCTTGGTTGTCGTTCGTCGTTCTGTAACCAGGTCAGGATGGTACTCGCTTGAGCCATGTATTTTCCTCCGGTCGAAAGGCTTTATTTTAGCTGCATCGTCAGCAGCTAGACTCATGCGATCATTCTCGCCGAGTGGTAAAGACAAAACTCGCTTCACTCGGCGGTCACCTCGCATTTCCACACAGATATCCAAAGGATAGGCATAGTGGTTAGAGTCAACGTGGGTGCTCAGACTCATGTAGAGGTAACACTGGTCATATTGATCAGTAGGATTTAAAAAGGCAATCTGAGTGATGATGACGAACCATGATTATTCTTTCGGACATGTCGTTCATTCCATCTGTTCCAAACGTCCAACACTCAACATTCACAGCGGCATTTTCCGGTAACTCCAAAAGTTTTATCATAGCTTGAACCTCGGGTGCGGCCAGACAGGCTTTCTCCATGGCTCTCATTTTTGTATTATATTGGTAAGAGTGATGCCCTTGGAGCTCATTCTCATGGATGATTTCCAATCTATTCAAGTCCACGTGTAATGCCCGGAGATCGCTTAGGCCGTTCAAATTGATATGAACTAACGCCGTTCGCCGTGGGGGAGAAGCCCCAGGCTTCTTTGCGTGTTCAGCTTCCAGGAATGGAATCATCTCAGTCTTGGCTGGTTCGAAAAGAGTCACTACTCGGAAGGCTATATCATCGTTTGGGAATGCATCTTTGACACAATGAGCAGCCTGGAAGAGTCAATTCACCGTATACAATTATTGGCTTCAGTGCTAGAATGTAGTAAGATCATGTACCTGCGAGATCTCTGCCGGAGATAATGGGTCAAAAGGATGAGGTTGCCTTCGTGCCATAATGTGGCAATTGCCTTCAACCTTGAAAGTTGTAACTGTATCTATGGGGCCCAGCTAAAATGGAATACTTCAGAATCTATCAGGACCAATTTAGGAACATGTGATGCTCTAACAAACAGAAACAAGATGAAAGGATGAATATCGGTATATCGGATAGGCACACTGATATCCCAAATGATAAGGGATGGGTGCCTGAAACCAAGTTGCGGACTTTGTACCGCTGTGCGGGGAGAATAACGGGAAAGGACCCGCGCTGGCCAAAACAAGTTTCAAAGCTGCCCGGGGTCTTAGATGCCAGTGGGTGTATAGCTGTACAAGAAACGACAAACACGAAAGATCGCTAAAATTAAACAAACAAAAAAACTTCAAGGCAATGGCGATATGGTATATCGCCAGATGATTGTCATCTATTCGTCACTTTCTGATTCGACTTGATCATTCTCAAGATGTTTCCTCCGTTCCTCTGCGAGCTCGCGATATGTGCTCCAGCTCAATAGGAAGAATGCAACCATGATAAGGATGCCTCCTACGATAGCTGCAAAGGAGAGTGGTTGTCCAGTGCGGAACCAGTCGACTATTGCGACAAGGAAAATGGTCAGAAGCGCAGCAACTGACGAGAGAACCGGGGAAGTAAGTGAGATGAGAACCAAGAAAGATCCAGAGAATGCTGGGTCAGAGTAAGCATAATATCCAATTGTTTCGAAGTGCACGACAAACTTACTGGCATTGGCACATATGGAGATCAGGAGCATCCAGGCCGCCTCGCCGGTAGGGAACCGGAATGTCTCCCAGCCCAGATAGTGCAAAATAGGAATCGGAATCCATAGAACTGTTAAAGTAAATGCACCAATCAGGCTGCCAAAAGTGTTGGCGAAGATTGTACCGCGGCCAGGACTTGTGCCCTCTGGAGGGCAAGCATATCGTTTGTATAAAACCTCATAGAGTCCGTAAAGGATGCTACCAACGCCAATGACAATATTACCCAATAATCGACTTTGAGTTTCACCATCTTCTTTCGCGGTGCCACCTTTTGACACTTTCTTATCTGGTCGGTCACCATATGCCACGACCAACACACCGATGATTGCCACACCGACAGCAAAGACCTTGTCAAGACGTAGTTTCTCTTTCAGAATAGGAATTGAGAACGCGTATGCAAAGAAAGCAGAGCAGTTGTAAATCGCTGTCAAATCGCTGGCTGTCGTCAAATTAACAGCCACGTACCACGACCCACCAGCGACTGTCAGTGCACTGGTCACAAAAGCAGTCGTCTTCAACATATATGGAACTGCTGAATGTTGATAGCCACGAGAGGCGAGATGAACGTCTTGGGTTTCTACCATCTGGGCAGTACTTCGGAGCAGGGAGACATGACGTCGCCAAAATGCTTCCCATGAAAGCTTGCGTTTCTGGATTCGGAGGATAAGCAACTGGACCGGCCAGAGCAATATCCACGAGCCGTGGGTAATATAGCTGCATATTGGAGGAAATATAATAAGCCATTACAAGTCCGAGTAAATGATAAGAGTGAAAAGAAGTGGCTGAGGGATCAAAGGGACTAGATCTCGGGTACAACGTTTAATGGCCATGGCTCCAAACTTACAGCATGCAATACGGCTTATCCCAATGCAACTCATGCTGGATATACACGGCAGTCTCCGTCTGAATGACAAAGCTAGCCAAGCTTAGTAACAAAAAGCCCGAGGCAATCAAGTATTTCTTGCGGGTTGCTTGGGCGGCATCGTTTTCCGGGCTTTTACTCCGAATGGTAGGGCGGCGGGTGTGGTGCAACATGGGACGGTCCTCTGCATCAACATTATCGTAACTTGACCTTGATGGGCGGCCATGTTGGTCATCTTTGAGTAAAGGTTGTTGCGAGCGGCCATCCGTTGGGCGGTGCAATGGGGGACGGTTAACAGTCATTTCGTCGTCCGAATCCTGGGAAAGACGCCCGGCGTCCGATACTGCGTGCACCCGCGACTCTTCAAGTTCAAGGTTATCCGGAGCCACAATTGCGTTGGCTTGGTACTCGATGTAGGTTTATTGTGGCACTGGGGTATGATTTGAGTATCCCGAGATCACTCAGCTCACCCTTGTTTCAAAACGATAACAGATAAAAACCAATGCACAGTAGAGAGAGTAAAGAGATATTCAGCCCATCCAATAAGTGCTGACTATGAATGAGTTGTCTGAAGTAAGGAAGTTCTAATCTCAAGTGCCTTCACTTGTGAAGGATATCGACCCAAAATTGGAGTCGCAAGCGACCGAAGGACTGGTGTTGTTGAATGCGGCAGCGGCCACGTAGATTGTACGAGCAGGGTACAGGGGTTGGGACCACATGGAGGGGCAACGGATTAAAAAGCGCTTGCAAACGCGAAACCTAGGTCAAATTTGGTCCAACACAGTTAAGACGGAATCGGGGAATTTGTTGAAGAACGAGGCAAGCACAAGATTAACCCTGAGGAATGGACGCCTTCGTCATGGCTCTGGATTGCCTAGTCCGTTTTAGGAATGTGGCTTATGTGATGTCGTCCCTGACACTCGCTAAACTATATTGGGACTAGCGCGATCGTCTCAGGTGGCCTAACGGGATGACCAAAATAGCACCTGATTAAGCACCTGATAACTTGATAAGTGCCCAGGTCCCATGTGGGTCTATGGCATCAATCCCGCACAGGGAATGGATGCCAGGTGGTAGGCTATGATGATCTAGTTCAGAGAGTCCCAATTATTGGAAATTCCATCGTACGGTAATCAGTACAGGGCCAATATGCATAATCTTGTGCAACAAAGTTAACTAGCCATAGATATTACATACACCATTTCAGGTAATTCCAACCTTGGAACCTGGGAAGTTTATCATGATCTTGGCAATGCACGTGTTTCTAATATGGGATGAAAACCTTGGGATATATATTATTTTATTCAAATGGGAAGAAACATCATGATTGGGAGCGACCATTTTTCGGTTTCAAGTTTCTCCTCCTATTACTACTACCACTATCAGCCTGAGCAACTCGAACTTGAAGATATATCATGATATTATACCAATATTCTATGATCATAACCGCCTCTAGTTTTATTTCACGCTTCTTCGCCTAAGCCTTGGGCTTAAAGAGAGAATCGTGAGTGTTGTATGTGTATTTCAAATCCAAGTGCCAGTAATTTGCAGAATAAGGCTTCGCAACCATCCAAGCCTGGTCGAGTGCCTCCACAACTTCCTCTGGAAGAGGTCCCTTCAGCACGTCCCGAATGTTAGTCTCCAGCTGTGAGAAGCTGCTCACACCGAGGAGGATGCCGTCACGTCCGCCATTGCCGAAATCAAGGGCCGAGTGATGGTGAACCCAGCGGAGTGCAGTTTCAACCATTGTCAAACCGTGTTTTATAACGACAGGTTCGATGATGCTAAGAGCCTCAAAGGTTGAATCCTGGAAGTAGCGGCCGCGGTAAAGGACTCCCGTGGAACTGTGTTCACCAAAGCGTCCATCAGCGGGGAGATCCTTGGTCTTGTATTTTCCGGATAGCAATCCACCGGCCAATGGGTTGTAGATAACAATGTCGAGACCGTAGCGACGACAGGCGTGGACCAATTCGGTCTCGATGTTGCGGGCTATCAACAGAAATTGTTAGGTATGTTCTTGATATATGGTAGTAGTTGAGGTTTTACATACTGATGGCATTGTACATAGCTTGGAAGATTGTAGGACGAACCCAGCCTCGCTCGGCACAGAGTGTCACAATCTCAGCTAGTTCAAATGCTGTGAAATTGCTCAGGCCGAGGTTGATAAATTTGCCCTCCTTGTGCAGCTTGTTGACCTCTTCCAGAGTCTCCGAGAAAGGAACAGAGCGATCGGGTGCATGCAGGTAGAAAATATCCACCTGGTCGGTGTTCAATTCCTTGAGGGACTTCTCGAAGTTCTCACGCAGGATAGCTGGCTTATGGAAGCCTGGTGATTTGGGGTACCATTTTGTAGCAATCGTCAAACCACGCTCTTTCCAGCCAGTCTTCGCTGTCCACGCTTCTTGCTCACCACCAACATAAATACGAGCTGTGTCAATCTCATTGAAGCCTTGCTGTTGGAAATAGTCCAAGCACTTCTTGTACTCATCGAGGGAGGTGATTCGGGCGCCTTTATCCGGGTTAGGACCAAAGGTCATCAGCCCAAGGATCAGGCGAGGTAAGGGATTCTGTGCAATGAGAGGCATTGTGGCTTGTCAAAATTGGTTGTCGGGTAGCAGAATGAGGTTCGAATTGGAGAAGCGCGGGGGAGGGGTTGCGGAGTGAGCCGATTGTAGATAACGGCGGGAGCCATTAATCAATCTTCTTCTTGCCGGACCCGACCGCAGCGTCAGAGTGGGCTCTACATATTTCGTATTTTAAAGAGTTCACTTTCAAATATTTTGGTCCAGCTACTAGAACAACGCCAGGAAGTCACGATGGCAACGTCCACACCCAGCAAGAGTCCTAGCCGAATTTTGGTTATCAACCCCAATACCTCCACACATATGACGGATGGCCTCAAGCCGATATTGAATCAGCTCAACTATACCGATGTACAATTCGAATACTTTACAGCGCCGAACAGACCGGTCACTGTAGATGGACACACATATCAGCCAATTGAAAGCATCAATTCAGGCGAAGAGTCCGCCCAATCAGCCCTCAATTGCTGGTCTGTCATTGATGAAATACCGCACTTTGATGCGTTTTTGGTGGCATGCTACTCAGCTCACCCATTAGTGGGGGTACTGCGCCATCATATTCAAGAATTTGAGGCAAAAAATCCAGGATCGCCAAAGAAATACGTCACGGGTATTTTCGAAGCTAGTGTCACTGCATCCTTATCTTTGGTCAGCGCGTTCGATTTTGTGACACTCGGAGACCTACACAAGGAGCAGGTTAAGGAGTCCTTTGGTATTGTGACTACTGGTAGTGTCTGGAAAGAGGAGCTTAGCAAAGCCGTTTCCAAGATGCTGGGCGACACCCAAGGCTCTTCGCGCTTTGCTGGGGTCGAAACGACTGGATTGACAGCCGTGGAGCTTCATACAACAGAGCCCGCAGAAGTGAAACAACGTATCACTGATGCTACTAAGAGGTTGCTTCAGAACTCGGCCACTCCTGTTGGTGCTATCTGCATGGGCTGTGCAGGCATGGCAGGGATGGAAGAGGCGGTTCGACAAGGCTGTATAGAGGCATATGGAGAAACAAAGGCCAATCGAGTAAGGATTGTCGATGGTGTTGTTGCAGGAGTTGGAGCGCTGGCGTCAATGTGCAAAGCGAATTTTTGATCCCAGACATGTTTCACGTCTGAAACTCCAAGCGCTGCTGTTTCTGGATCCAGGTACATAATAGCATTATACAATACGATATCTAAGAATTTGCATTGGTAAATACATACCTTTACCAAGCCCTTGGCTACCTATCTTACCAACTAGTAACTACAATAAAATAGATTTAAAAAAAAGACCTGGTCAGCTGCAAACATTGGAAGTGCCAAAGTGGTGCCCTGTTGATGTCCAACGTAATTGGTGCCTGAGGCGACAGCTATCCCGGCCAAAAAGTTCCCCGCAACAACGCGAGACACGCGTGAACCAACTTTCTCCCGACGGTATCATAGGACCACAATGCCTAGGTAGGTACTTCAAAGTTACAAGAAAGACATTTTCAAGGTTCTTTAAACTGACTTTGAGGTGAAATTAGGGAAATCATCACCATCCAAGCTGGCCAGTGCGGCAACAATGGTACGTGCCTCTCCGCAGCTCTCGACCGATCCCCACCACCGCGACCTATCGACTGGGCATACACTATAAGAGGAGAATGAAGGGTCTGAGTCAAGCTTTGGAATGAGAGTTACTGATCTCATTTACAGTCGGTAGCCAGTTCTGGCAGCAACTATGCCTGGAGCATGGAATCAGCCACGATGGTAATCTCGAGGAATTTGCGACTGAAGGAGGTGACCGCAAGGATGTTTTCTTCTATCAGGTAGGCTACTGGAATTTGAAGCTTCCTTCTTTCGCAATGTACTTGGCGTCTTTGAAGAGCCATGCTAACAAGGTCTCTATAGAGTGACGATACTAGATACATCCCTCGAGCTATTCTTCTCGATTTAGAGCCTAGAGTACGGTCTCTTCCCTTGCGTTAAAAATAATCTCAGAACTATACGACATAGACAGATGCTAAATTGGATACTGATTTTCCAATAGGTTCTTCATGGCATCCAATCCGGCCCTTACAAGAATATCTACAACCCCGAGAACTTTTTTGTCGGAGAAAATGGTGTTGGTGCTGGTAACAACTGGGGTGCAGGTTATGCGGCAGGAGAGGGTGTCCAAGAGGAAATCTTCGACATGATTGATCGAGAGGCAGATGGAAGTGATTCACTAGAGGTTGGTATAATCACCTTGCGCAAGCGCAGACTTGATGGCAGACAGGCTCACCATTACCACAGGGTTTCATGCTATTACATTCGATTGCAGGAGGAACCGGCTCCGGTCTAGGAAGTTTCCTGCTGGAACGAATGAATGATCGCTTCCCCAAGAAGCTGATTCAGACATACTCCGTGTTCTCGGATTCCAATGACGTGGTCGTCAACCCTTATAACAGTTTGCTCACGCTGCGTCGATTGACTCAAGATGCCGACTCTGTGGTAAGAACGCATTATCAAACGTACGCATGCATATTTACTGAATTCTCGGCAGGTTGTCTTGGATAATCTCGCCCTTGCAAGCATTGTTGCGGACCGACTCCATGTGCAAAAGCCCAACTATGATCAGACTAACCAGCTTGTAAGTTTTCAACTGATCGTACTATGTGAATTCTCGGCTGACTTTGTAGGTCTCCACGGTCATGTCGGCCTCCACCACAACTCTCCGATACCCGGGATACATGCACAATGATCTAGCAGGAATCATCGCTTCGTTGATCCCAACACCACGCACCCACTTCCTCGTCACTTCATACACACCATTCACCGGAGATAATATCGAGCAAGCAAAGACTGTGCGCAAGACTACTGTTCTGGATGTTATGCGCCGTCTTCTCCAGCCGAAGAACCGCATGGTCTCAATCAACCCTAGCAAGTCGAGTTGCTATATGAGTATTCTCAACATCATTCAGGGTGAAGCAGACCCTACAGACGTGCACAAGTCCCTTCTTCGTATTCGTGAACGTCGCCTCGCTTCATTTATTCCCTGGGGTCCTGCCAGTATCCAAGTTGCACTGACCAAGAAATCACCCTACTTGCAACATACAAACCGTGTCAGTGGCTTGATGTTAGCAAACCATACTTCCGTGGCAACACTTTTCAAGCGAATTATCCAGCAATATGATCCTCTGCGTAAGCGCAATGCATTCATTCAGCAATACGAGAAGGAAGCGCCCTTCGCTGATGGACTGGGCGAATTCGACGAAGCCCGCGCAGTGGTCATGGATCTCATTCGTGAGTATGAAGCCGCCGAACGCGAGGATTATCTGGACCCAGAAGCCGGAAAAGAAAACCAAGTTGGAGCATGAGAGCACAGGAATGATTTTTTATTGGTTTTATTTTTAATTTTTTGTTCTTGCTGTTTTATTCTCATTGCTTCGGCAGGATATCGGTCGTCGGGCGCATACTTTGGGCGCCTTGGTAGTCATGGTCATGGGCTGCGGCGTTTCTCCATGTTATTATTTTCAATATTTCCCCCAAATTTCATATTTTTCTCTCAACCTTAGTATCATAGACTAGTCATGTACCTCTTTTCTACCTTGCCAACACATTTGAAATGCGCCTTAGACACGTAACAGATCACCGAAATATGGATTCCGGAAGATCCGCAGTTGCAACGGGCCGGGCTTTGCAGCGGTGGAGATATGCAGCTGTAAGCCGGATTCCCCTAAAAGAGAACAATGAATATGAGTGAGGGACTGTTCGATGTGTGATAGATCATGAAATTCAATATGCGGAGAACAGAGTGCATGACATTAGGTAGGTAATCAAGTTGGTAATTACCAACTCAAGGCAAGGTAACAAGGAAGTAAACTCCACAATCCATTGGGACACGATAGATCAGGTTGGGAGTGAAAGGGGGCATAAAGCGCTAAAATGGATCAACTAATAGTCGACGTGATATGTTCTCCGTATGTAGTACGGAGTTACTATGTAGTATACTAGTATTATGCTAGTACTAGTAAGGAGTAGACTTTTTACTACGTGGACGATTCTAGTTCCCGGGTTAAGTACTAGCTCCCCGCAGATCATGGTGCCTCATTTCAGGCGCATTGGCCAAGGAGACTGGTCCAATTTTCCCCATGGACACCTCATGGGCGGGCCATAGCTCTTGCATGAGGGGCCTGTGTCCCACCCTATCGGTGGCTTGGATAGGCTCGGGAGGGTCACCTCGTGAAAGAGTTAGTTCCCACTCCCATTCCCCTACATCAGTGGCTCCCCTACATCAGTGGCTATGCCTTGAGTTCTGATGAACGCCGGTTTTTTTCTTTTCTCTTTTGCCACTACGTTGGTGGGTGGCGTGGAGTGCCATGGAACTTAGAGAAAGATTGGGGGCATTTTCCCCTCGGGTGAACAGGAACACAAAAATTGGTAAACGAGTTCATGTTCATGTTGGAGCCGCGATTATTAATTCCCGTACATTCCTCATTCCCGGTTCTGATGAACAATTTCATGTAATCAAGAGGTACCCGTGGATATAGGTTATCCGTGGACGGCGAACATGACAAAAAAGGGAGAGAAAAAAATGGCGAGTTGGACCACGTGATGGCAATGCTAATCGGTCAGGTGAATGGGGGATTCGTGGTTCGCAATGACCCTCCTTATTCCAGTCTAGTCATTTTTCTTTACTCTTTCAGGTCTTATGCTTATCATAGAAGTAAATGGATGACTTTGGGTGGAGACTGAGGGACCCATGTACATACCGAGTAGAGAGTATGTTGGGTTTGAAGGCTACCTTTTTTTATTATTATTTTACTTCAGCAAACGGAATACTTGGAGATGTATTAGCCGCTAAGGCATTCGCACGGACATTCCCGATCATTGGACCTGATCAGCCTTAAAGGGCAACTATTTTGGCTCGCGTGCGAGAAAGGCGCAGGAGGCGCAATAAGGGGCCTCCTATGTACCATGTGCATCGGGTGCAGTAGGTTGTACTATAGGGGGGGTAAAAGAGATTGGGGGGGGTTAACCCATAGATTACCCATTGACCCATAATAGTGCCCATAGATAGGGTGATACCCAAGACAAATCACCGGGTCGTCACCCTATACCATATCCGTAAGGGTCAATTTATTCACCTGAACAACTTGAAATAGGTTAGAAGTACTCCATACATTAGAAGACATGTTAGGGGGAAAAATAGGGTATTCCGAACCCAGAGTATTGGAGTTTCAGAGCGCCACGACATCTTCAAGATTCCAAAAAATTCACCAACAATTTGGAAACAATAAAAAAAAAAAATTAAAGAAAAATTCAAAAATTCAAAAATTAAAGGGGATAAAACATTAATAGTATCCCCAACATAGTTTAGGGGAAGTTGAACGGGGGTGGCTTTACCGTATTAAAGAATGGAGCCTATCGAACCTTCTCGGACCCGCTCGCCTCCAGACTGATTCCGTCACTCTCCACGCCTCAAACTGACTCAGCGTCATGTTTGACTTTCCTTCTTTTTCTCCCGTCCGTTCCGATCATTCCTATATAATACGTGGCCGCCCCTAAAGATCTTCTTTTCCCCTTTCTATTCCATTCTCGTTTCCATTCTCGTTTCCATCCTCAACCCCTAAAGAGTTACCCCAAAACTCGAAATCTATTTTCCAACCCTTCCCCAGACGAACCTCCTCTTTCACCAATCTTCACAAACTCGATTGCCCTAATTCCGATCTCGGGGTCCCAATCCACTGCGTTCAGCATTTCTTTAAGCCGCCCTCGCCTTTCTAAACTCTTTAACCGCCCATCTCTACAACCCCGGCGCTTATCTCAAACAATCCCGTGATCGTACCAGGTTACCTAGGGAACCCCCTTCGACCTCCTTTAAACAATCTACGCAAACGAACCCTCTACAAGTCCTTCCCATCAGACTCAATACAATTCATCATGCCTCCCCGCAAGCCACGGTGCAACTTTAAGGAGTGCAAGGAGGCGGCCCAGCGTATCGTTGGCGATTGCAGCTTCTGTCACGGTCACTTCTGCTCAAAGCATCGCATGCTCGAAGCACACTCCTGCTCCGGACTGGAAGACTGTAAGAAGGAATCTCATGCCCGGAACGCCGATAAGCTGAATAGCGAGCGGACAGTGGTTGTTAAGGGTGTATGAGGGGATGAGTCGATGACACAGACTACTCCACTTAATATCCACTTTCAGCAATTCCTCTCCAGGAATCCTCAGAGATCCTGGAACCTCGTTTCTTTCTTTATACTCTTATCGAAAGGGAACCCGGTGATTTGTGTTGCCAATTCAACCGGTTGAATCTTTAGCGCCGGTGTTAATGCTTGTTTCTACCTATCCTCATACATGGATTAGGTACACTATTTTCTTGTTCCCTTGTTCTTGGGGTGTTCTCATTGATTTTGTTACGGCTACGGCCTGACTGACCCTACTCTCCGCTGAGCTCGACTCTGCGCTGGGTTCGGTTTCCTTATTGCGGGTTGGGCTTCATTTACATGGCGTTATCATTTATTTTACTATCTATCATCTTTCCTCGGTTGCTTGGGGGGGACTTTGGTTTTGCATTCACCTTATGGTATCGGTTTACCTTTTGGTTTATTTCGGGGCTGCTACATAGAGATCCCGTGGGACTCGCATGGGCATGATATTTTCCAGTTTTAGCCTTGATTTATTTTTTTGGATCTATATGGATATACCACTTCTTTTCCAATTTGGTTTTTGATATGATACATGAGTAGGAATTAACATCGTAGAAAAGAAAAATAGGACTCGGCTTGAATTAACCCGGTCCAATCTTAGGCCTGTGATAAAATGATTAGCTTATATTAAAAAATATCATAAGACGGTAAAGCACATACATATCATGGTGCTCGCTTAGTCGACTGAGATACTGATTGAGCTCTTCCACGCGTTCTTTGTGAGTCTTGATACCATCACGTGCAAGACGGTCATGCAACTAGAAAATGTTAGTTTCCATAAGCAGAGCAAATATAATCAGTAGAAAGAAATTATATCCACGTACCCTCTTCTTTCGCATCTCCTCATACTTCTTTTCCGTTTCCGTCTTGCCCGACGGTCCAGCCTCAGGCACCCCAGCATCAGGATCAGCACTCAAAGAATCATCACGGGTAGCCTGGCACTTAGACTCCGAGTCTTCAGCCCGAGTACTCGAGTCACGGCTTTCAGCTCCGGCCTCTGCATCAAGATCCTTCTTTTTGCTGCTCTTCTTCTTCTTCTTCTTCTCTACCCGTCCATCACTCACTTTACTCCCCTTGAGCTTCAGCTTCCCACCCCCGCCAGTGGAGTAGTCCTCTGGCGCCATGAGTGGGGGTCTTTGATTAAGTCAAATGAGAAGCGTGGGATGATTGCGTCGTGCGCGATGCGGAGTAAGAGGGGAATACAAGGTTCAGGCTTCAGTTGGGTCTCAAGCCCCTTGATGATTATGTGCAATAGTGCTAAGTACCTGTGGTAAGGCGTAAATGTAACCGGTACTTTGTTTCTTTCTTTGGAAATTTGGGTTGTCGGGGTTAAATTCTTTGGAGGAAATTAGTGAGCTTCTTTTGGACTTGGGAGATGTGAAGTTGGGTTTAGGGCGGTGGGCCAATTAGCGGGTGTAATGTGGGGCCGATTGTCTCTTTTTTGGGATTCCCAGTAACCTTGGAAGAGTGATAAGACAGTACATATTAGACAAAGGAGGGAATATTAAGACAAATAACCTGGGCATAGAATCTCGCGATAAAGGCACCTTACATTAGTAAGCATTCAAAAAGTATTCACAACCTGAAGACAACTGCAATGTTGATATCAGATCGCGACACTAGGATATTCAAGGTTGTATAGCTCTATCTTCTACTTAGTGCTTCTATGGGAAATTTATTGATAGTAGTCTCATATCGGCTCATAATTCAACACTTCATTGGCAGTGAATTCATTTTCTATTTTCATACGACTTTTAATCAAATGGGATCGGACGCAATCCAGTGCCACCCATGCGCTTACGCATCTCAGCACCAGCGGCAATTGTGCTGGGGACCTTGATACCACAGCAGTCTCCGAAATAATCTGTATGATTGCCATGGCCCTTACCACCAGCCTGGTCCTCATGGGAATGGTCACCCATACATCTCATCGCATCAGTTAAGTTCTCCACAGCATCATCGCCCATGCCCTCTGCAGCAGGCAAAAGGCTTCCGAACAAGAAGTGTTGCATAATAGGGAGCTTGCCTAAGACTTCCTTGACAAACATCTTCTTCATACCACTTTCAATCTTGAACCAATTCTTCGCGCCTGAGATGTCGTCCAGCATAGGACTATGCCAGCGTAATCCCTTCACAGTCTTGACGCTATCCACCCACCGTACTTGATCCAGGTAGAGATATTTGTCTCCCTCTTCGTCAAGTACAACTGAGTTGTGAATGCTGAGTGGGGTAATGTATGGGTGATCGACGAGCTGGCTAGCACCAAACAAAAACGGCAAGAAATGGTAGTCATCTAGACCCCAAACACCGTGGGAACCCGCAGGCTCTAGATAGTATGTTGATTGGATATCTCGCATCAGATACAGATATTCAACAAAGACCTGCAGAGCCAGAGCTTGGAAAGTGGCGTTTGTGGCGGGCAGTAGACCGAGCTGGTACAGACTCAACAGCCACATCATAAAGTTCAGCTCATGACCTGAGCCATAGTCTAGTCGGTCTCGCGATCCGAGCGAGTTGATAAGATATGTGGAGCATTCGTCAATGGCGGAATTATCAGTTACACTAAAATGAATATTATTAGTCTTGGCTTCCGCGGGAATATCCAGATGAGCATACCCAAGAATATCAGTATGCCATGTCAAGCTTTGTGTTGCAACATCGTCGAAGAAGGCGCGGAATGCAGGATTTCCAAATCGTGAACCACCTTGGTCTAGAGCTGGGTTCTTCTCAACAAGTGATCGGAGCTGTCCCACAACGCTAAGTAACTTTGAGATCGGATCGGAACCAGGAGTTGTTTGGTTAGAAGGCTCGCGAGGGGGAGCTTGACGGCCCTTTACTGAATCGGATAGACGAAAGATGAAGGCTAGAACTAGTTTGTAGGTGGAGGAGGACTGGAACAAATCATGGTCCTTTGGAGAGAGAATGCGACGGGTGGGATGTGTGTACTGATGGTGGGCGGAGAGATCTGGCGGCGAAGGCAAGGGAGGGGCGGTTGGGGTATCGCGAGACGCGGCGGTTTGAGATCGGCGGTTGTTTGACCGTAACTCTGATAATTTCTTGGAAAGATCAACCTTTCCACTAGGGGACGCCATTATCTCTGAGTAATAACTTTGACGAACAACCTTAGAATGATTGTTGGATGATCAATGGAGGAAGCCGAAGCTGTCTAAGTGGAGCACAATATTGATATCTGACCGCCGAGGGGCTATTTGGCAGAAACACCATACCGCCTACTACAATCAGATCTAGTATGACGCCATATGGAGTTAGCGTGGTGGAGCATGTGATCTTCCCCGGAGGAACAAGTGATCGACCGATCATTTTCACAGCTCAGTCACATTATGGAAGGCCACATGATGCATGGCTCAATGAGGAAATAAGCCCAAAGACTCAACCCCTTCTGAACCACCTGTGAATGTGTGAAGAAGCCCAAAAATCAAATCCTCAACGATAACGACGTCTCGGCTCGTAAACAACATTCTTCTTTGCTTTTTGATCCCCACGAAAGCCCCCAAAACAGTACCTGGCGTCTTCCTGCTGCACACACCTCTCTTTACAGCCTTTTCATTGGACAGATACCCAAAGTAACCGGTCAGGGGGCAAGCACGCCATCATGAATATATTTGAGCCACCGGCGTCGACTCCGACAGGTGCCCACAATGATCGTGAGGCTAGAGATATCGACTCTGCTTCGTCCCGCTCACCCACTCATGTAGAGTCTGCCCTGTCATCTTCAATCAGCAGCAGCCGGTCCCACTCTAGCTTTTCCTCTCGAAATTATCCCCGGAATCAGCCGTCCCAGCAATCACAGCACCCCTTCACGGAGAATACCCCTATCAACGGCGCCAGCGGACCATCGCGTGGTTATCAGGCCACCGAGACGCCACATTCCACAGGCGAAAATGAGGCGTCTGTTAAGGGCAATCCCAACGATGGTCTAGGCACCGATAATATTCCGGGCCACAATGGCCAGAACGGCCAGAATGATTATCCCGAGCAAGAAGAGGAACACCGGCGATCCTGGCTCGGCCGGTTTGTGGACCAATACGGTGCTCTTGAACTTGAGAACAAGGGTAGTGTTGCACGAGACCACCTAGCATTGGGTAAATATGCCTTTTCTTGATGATTTATACTCCGAGAATTTCCTCGCTAATTGCGGCTACTAGAACGAACATTCCTGGCGTGGATGCGTACTTCCCTGGCCTTTGCCTCTATTGGTATCGCCGTTACCCAATTATTCCGACTTAACACTGCCGCACAATCTACAAATGTCAACAAATCAGATACCGCCCCTACAACACATTCCTCCTCCCTACTTGATATTTTCGTTATGTCTTCCTCGGAGCAGGACATGTCAAAACTACGCAGTGTAGGAAAACCACTTGGCTCGACCTTCATCGGTGTGGCTATTTTGATTTTGTTTGTTGGCTTTCACCGCTACTTCGAGAGTCAATATTGGATTGTTCGAGGAAAGTTCCCTGCTAGTCGAGGCAGTGTGGCTCTGACAGCTTTCATCGCTGGTTCATTGATTATTGCGGCGTTAGCAGTGATATTGGCTGTTTCACCAAATGCATATGAGTCATAATCATGGCACATGATTCTGGGTTTCGGCGTTAATTTTTCAATCTTATGGCTGGTTTGGTTGGTTTACTCATTATGACTTGAATAAGCACCTGGGCAGGAACTTTAACACCCTCCGAGAGTGATCAAGTTCTGGGGCTCCTGGGGCACTGCACATATCATGATGTCCCATTGAATGGGGAAAATTTCGGTTATTTGGACCAGTACTATTTACTACGTACACGAAATATCAAACACACATTGTATTTTAAAATGCAGATATTACACTTAGTGCTGGCCTCTTCCAGTTTGATGTCCTCTGTCCACATGTTTAACTTGAAGTTTGCGGTTTCTCGTGCACCTCTAGCTACACATGTGGATTCAAATGTTGGAAGCCTGTAACGGTAATGAACTTGAATCCGATGGTCCCTCTAAGATGATCAAGATCAATTTCAACATTTTCAAACCTGATTTTATTATATAAACCCGTTGAGAACATCCATACATTGATCTACACAGGGACTTCGGGAGGGACCCCAGTTTAATTAAAAATAGAACACTCCCTCTATCCACTATAAGTCCCATATAGCCAATCACTTCAAGTTCAAGTTCAAGTTCAAGTTATCGCGTACATGGCTTCATTTTCGAAATAGTGCAAGAGACCTCAACTTGAAGTGAACCGTATTCTATCTATAGCAACAGATATGATCTGCTAGTATGGGCATAATGTTTATGAATGTTTCTTTCTTTTCTGTCAACAGCCCCAGATCCACCCGCACCAGACCAGTCTAGGCACAATAAGAGGAGGCAGTGAAGCACGGAAACAAGATTGATGGGAAGGATATCGACAAGATGGATAGTCGGAGAAAAAGAACAGGAGACAGGGTAGAGGAGACGAGACTCGGCTTGCAAATCATGCAGGAAGAGTGGAAAGCAAAAGGAAAAACACAGTAAGATAATAACCCAAAGTGAACAACCGCCTAAATACAATCGCTTATCGAGGGCCGAGTTTTGCCAGGGCACGAGCTCCCTGTTCCTCCCACTCCTGCTTGGATACCCACATGTCCTCCTTATCGGCAATCTATGATTCTGTGTTAGCCATGAAATATGATACGGTGGAGGGAGGTGGCTTACCAAGTTGGCGAGGACGGCACCACCCAGGAAAACCATATGTCTTCGTCGAGGAGGATCCTCGATGCGGACCTTGAATTTCTGTAATACGATTAGCTTTGAATTAAGAGGAAACAACAATGCAGGTGGACGTACGTTAAGACGCTCTGGGTTTCCGCCCAGAACACGGGTCAGCCAGAGCTGCTTGATCTCCTTCTCCAATCGAGAAGGCAAACCAGGGTACATGCTGCTACCACCACTGAGAACAATGGCCTTGTATAAGCTGGATCGAACATCAACATCGGTGCCTTGAATTGTGTTGAAGACCAATTCAGCCATGCCGGGTTGGTCAACGTCAACCAAGTGAGGCTGGAAAAGACATTCCGCAGCCTCGAATCGCTCGCTACCGACACGGATCACTCGACCATCGGGAAGGGTGTAAGACTCGACAAGAACGGTGGTATCCTCGGAAAGCTTTTTGTCCAGCTCGAGGTCGTAGGAAACGTAACACAGCTTCTCCTTGATCTGACGGACGGTCTCGAAATCGGCAGTACGGTTCAGCGCGTATCCGCGGCGGAGAAGAAGAGCAATCAAGTTGCGGGTAACATCACGACCAGCAACATCCAACCGGCGGATGTGGTGGTTGAGCACGGTTGACTCGTAAACGGGGATGACGTGGGTCACACCGTCACCGGAGTCCACGACCACACCACTGCTCAAACCCTGGGCATACAGTGCCAGCACCGCCTGAATTGCCACATAAACACCTCCGAAATTGTATCCCTCCAGCATAACCTCGGCCATCTGCTCGCGGTTCTTCAGCGGGTTCATCGGCGGCTCGGTGAGGAGGATCTTGCGACCCGTGGGGTCGATGTTCAACTTTTCGTAAAAGGTGTAGTTCCAGAGATGTTGCATGTCATCCCATTTCTTAACGATACCATTTTCCATCTATTTCAGACCCAATCGGGCCATATAAATTAACAAACACGAACCCAACATGTCTGGCGCTGTTGCCTTCCGCGGAGAGAGAGGGGGCGGGGAGATTAAGAAACGGTGAGGAGCGGGGGATTCTCATCTAGCAGCGACATACCGGGTAGCTGATTTGAAGCATCGATCGGGCAGCAGCAGCTTCCTCTCCGCACATGATATCCTTCACGACGATGTCCCCAGCTTGCTCTTCTGTTCGCAAGATGGGCCGCCCCACTATGGAGGGAAACTGATGCTCTGGGAAGTTCTGGTGTATCGGTTCGAATCAATATGAGGTCTAATTAGGAGCTAGGATTGTGCGACATACCTGACCAGCATATCCAACCTTGAGGAAACCGGTTCCTCCGTCGAGGACTGCGGACTGTTAGCTCGGAGCTGGGGGACAACACGGTCGCCTTGGGGTGAGGGCACACATACCAATGGGCATGTCCGCCATGATGAAGGGAATGGAGTTCTCTGTATGGATCGGGTTAAGCTCTATGCAGGGAGTTCCCGGGAGAAGGGAATTGGAGATGTGGAGGTGGGGAGAGAGGAGACGGGGAGTCGAGAGTACACATTATTGAAGTTGGCGGCGCCGTCATCATCGTTATTTACGTGACAATACCATACTTCAACCTCTCCCCGCAAAACTGCCAAACTGAGGGGAATAGATGTACAACGACGTAATGAGTTATTATTATTTTAGATATTGATATTGCGAGTGAAATCAACTTGATGGCGTACTTACAATTGAAAACTGACAAGAGAGGAAATATTCATTGCAATGAGCTCAAACTGAACTTATAACTGCTGTTTTGATTGTCAACTGGTAGCCAGGGCAGTTGAAGTAAAATGCATGATGGTCTCCTAACAAATTAGATTATGCATAGTCCATAGTCTTCTGATTTTGCTCAAGCTCTATACCAGAATAAAGAGGTGAGTAGAATTCCTTGCTTTACCTCTCCGCTGAATACAAGAACTAATGGTTTGTGCGCATGTGTCTTATGTCTTTGATATGGATTTGACTGGGGCCAGGGAAATAGTATTTAATTACTATATGTTTCTTCTAGAAGAACATGAAGGAAATATGAAGCCGTAATCTTGAATACTTACTTGAAGTTGTATCATCCATGCATAATGGCTACTATCTCTAACCACAGGTGACTTCCAAGGTTGAAGTAATGATGATTATGCAGCTGACGCTAAGCCAATCGCTTCGGAGGTACAGATTGGGCTAGTAACCTACATACAACATTTAGTCTAGATTCACACTTTCACACTATGTTCAGCTGAGTTTTCTCCTCTCCCGATTCCTCCTTCCACTTCAAAGTTGACCCAGTATATAGGGTGCAAGAGTACTCTGGATGGAAAGCTGAGGTCAGATGTCCTCTTCAAATTGTTCCAATTCTAAAAATGGCCTCAGTCTTTCCGCAGCGCGTAAACTTGAACCCGATTGCAACCCCGGTGAATCAAGAGGCTCTCGAGCTGGGAAAAGACGATCACCAGCAGTCTCACTCTGTACCAGTGACTTCACAAACTTCTGCAGACCCTCACTCAAATACTCAACAACTTGAATATTCTGAGATACTACAATGGCATCGATCTCATATGTATATACAGAGAGGCTATGATGATATCGAAATGGCATCTGAAGAGAATCTTAGGATTCCACCACCAAGAGAAGCCAGTATTACGAATGATCATACCTCTGAGGATGGTACGGGGGAACAAAAACATGAGACACATCCGATGCCCACGTTTCCGGTAGAAGCCATCCGGGAAAACTTGAAAGAACCGGCAATTAAAAGATTCTTGAAATACGTACGGGGAATTTTCAGTCCTAAAAGAGTACTTCCATTGATCGTGACCTATACGGCGGAGTTTTACAAAGAGAAGGAGATGGTGGACGCAATACTACAATCAGCCCAAGTGACACTTCCAGATGATGATCGAGCCAAGGTGAACACCCATCTCGGAATTCTATCACAACATGCACCGGCAGAATGGATTGATTCGCTGTATCGACATAATTTGCTCTATTCAAGAGCTAAACTATACCAGCTGGTCCTTGAACTTCGTCCTACGGTTCACCCGGATGGTCCTGCTGCCTCTGGACAGGAAGAATCTGGAAGCTTTAACAGAATGAAGGATATCAAACAAGCCCTTGCAGACTACTGTAAGTATGATCGCCTTCGGTATGTCATGATCAATTACCAATAACTACATTTAAACAGCGAATGCTATGGACACCTTCAAAGCATTCCGCAAGGAACCTGGCGAGATCAGGAGTGATCAGTATATAATGACTCTTGCCGGGATGTTGACCGAACTCGACAAGAAAAGAGGCCAAACCAAACTTGAAGAAACGCATCAGCTTTCTACATCTAGGGATAAAATACAGCAAGAAGAAACTGCACAACAGCCCTCAAACGATATAGCCGTCTTCGAGGCTCAGATCGCAAACCTTCTTGTCAACGGAGCTAAGTTCAGCAGTGCTGGGGTACGAACCGAAGAGGAATCTAAAGCCAGACTAGACTTTCTCAGTCGCTTAGTGATGGCTCTGTTTGGAGGAGCGGCACTCATAGTACCGATGCTTATCATGACTCTTCATCCTTCCAAATTAAACAGTTTGCTCACGACCTCGCTATTCGTGGTTGGCGTCGCGGTAATTTTGGCCTGGTTTATGAAGGATGCTGCGCCTAAGGATATTCTTGGGGCAACTGCTGCCTATGCAGCTGTTCTGGTGGTCTTCGTTGGGACAGGCTGATTGCCCAGGTGTACATCTGTCTAATTATTTTTCTTTTCCAAATATACATCAAAATTTGAAAAGAAAACTTCAATACTACTGGTATGCTCATTCAAGTTCCCCACTTCGGTGATGGTGGCACCAGTAGATACATAAATCATAGTAGTATTATTTAAGATCAAAGGAGAAAATAAACACATAACGTATTCAATCCATTGAATCTCATGTTTTCTTATTTTAGTATCTAGATTTGAAAGTTGAGTTATCTCGTAAAGCACGATCCCTGCTAATTAAGTCGGAAGTATTATCTCCGGCGGCTATTTCAAGGGGGGACCTGCTTCAGCTACTTGTTCAACATTCAACTTACGGCTTTCTACTACTGGGAATGTCAACGTTTATAGGAAGGACTGGGAGGGCACTCTCTCGTCTCAAACTATCTCCAAATATTGCACCAAAATCCCGCTGTGGCTGTCCTTGGACAAGAGCCTTGACATCAGGTCCTCCTTACCTCCCCCCGCGACAATTCCCAACATCAGGATTTGTGAAAGTCGATCCTGCAGAGAAGGTCGAAGAAGAAACACTTCCCTTTTATGTTGCAGATAAATACTACCCGGTGATAATGGGTGAGGTCTTCGCATCTAGGTACCAGGTCGTTTCCAAACTTGGTTATGGAACGTCATCTACCACTTGGCTTTGCCGCGACCTCCAGTAAGCATTACTGATCAGTATAGTGATATGCATAATATTTCCAACAGACTCCAGCGACCACGGATTTAATACTTTGAAAATCTGTGCTTATGATCAAAAACCAATACAAGAGATGGCAGTCTCTGATCGCCTAAAAAACGCCAGTGATCACTCTGGAAAGAGCTTAGTTCGCCTTATTCTTGAATCATTTCAAATCACCGGTCCTCACAGAAAACACACCTGCTTAATCTACCAGCCTCTAGGCGTGAGTTTTACTGAGCTTTGAAGCTTATGCCCTGACAACAGGATACCAGAAGACATGCTCCGAAAAAGCATTCAACTCGCTTTGATATCTTTGGCTTTCACGCATCAAAATGATGTTGTGCATACTGGTAAGGTCTATTAAGCATTCATTTGAACACTTCTAGCTAAGGCTATCTAGACATCTCCACAAACATCATACTTCAAGGAATCAAAGACACCTCCATTCTCTGTCAGATTGAAGACGATGAACTAACAAGGCCAATTGCGAGGAAAATTCTTGATGACCGTGAGATTTATTTCTCTCGGCTAGTGCCTCTCAGCGCAGGACTACCTGTTCTTTCTGACTTTGGAGAGGCTAGGATTGGAGCGACGAAGCAAAAAGGCGATATAATGCCAGGGATTTATCGGGCTCCAGAAGTGATTCTGGATATGGAATGGGATAATCGTGTTGATATCTGGTCCATTGGTGTCATGGTCAGTTAAGCTTACTTTATTTTCCCCTAGTTTTTCTATTCTGACATATGTTTGGGCCTTGGATATGGCCATGAACGGCCACCTCTTTTTCGCCAAAAAAGACTGACGCCTCAATGATGAACAGCATTTGGCAGAAATGGTATCACTTATGGGGCCTCCGCCTCTAGAGTTTCTCCAGAGAAGTGTGAAATCCCTCAGTTATTGGGATACCGAAGCTATTTATGTCCATCTATTTCCCTACTTGTTGATATTTCTTATGGAAGAATAGGGAACTGGAAAGGGTCTATACCCATACCAGAACAGTCATTCGAAATGAGAGCACAGCGATATCATGGTGACAACAAAGAGCTTTTTGTACAGTTTCCGAAGCGAATCATGTGCTGGCTTCCTGAGGCGCGACCCTCTGCAGAGAAACTGGCGTATGATGAGTTTCTCATGCAGCCAATACAGACTCGGACCCGATCATCTCATTCAAGTTGATTGTATACTATTCTTGGGGAAGTAGGTCATCAAACTTCAGCGGAGATGGCATACTAAAGATAATCGCAAGGATTGCCAGTGGTAAATAATTATTTATTATAATCAATGATTTTGAGTAAATAATAAGTACCCACCGGCAAGATCTGATCGGCCCGATTCAACTTTGAAAGGTTGTCTCCAGATATCTTTCATAGATCCCTTCGGTCGCCTATCGGCCGACTCCGATTCCCTCGGGAAACGGAACGCGCTCCACAGACCTCATCGAAAGAACAACGTCGTTATAACACAGCACTACCAACAAAGCAATTGATCATTTAAAAGAAAACAAGCAGCGTTCTTTACAAAAGTGATTGCACCAATTCTGTCAGCCTTAAACTAATAATCGCGGAATCGAATCTTGAAGTCACATCCAATCGCATAAGACCGCAATACAAGAGCACGATGACTCAAATTGGCTGGGTAAATAGCTTTAAATTAAGCATAATTTCTCTCCCTAACAAGTTCCAGGATGATAAATAACACACGTCTAGTATGGTCTCGGCTCCATGGGCCTCGCCATGGCCAGTAACCTACAGCGACACCTCGCCCCTAGAAAGGCATTGAGTCTGCTGTACTCGAACCGCACAATGTCGCGTGGTGCACCACTACAGGCACTTGGTGGTGTTCCCGAAGCTAGCTTTGATAAGCTTGTATCTCGCTGTGGAGTGATTTTCACCATGGTAAGTAATATCCATACAGATAGCATGGCTTTCGTATGGGAATACTAAGGATATTCCTCAGGTTGCGAACGACTCTGTCTTGCAGAAACTTATCTCTTCTGCTATTGAATCGGGCCATCCACTTAAAGACAAGATCTTTGTTGATTGCTCAACTGTTCACCCCGATACTGTGAGCTCTGCGGTTGCACAGCTCAAGGCGCCAGGTGCGTCTTTTGTATCGGCACCTGTATTTGGAGGCAATCCTATTGCTGTGGATGGGAAGTTGGTTTTTGCGATCGGAGGTCCGAAGAGTGCCACTGAAGTGGTGAAGCCCCTTATTCAGGATGTCATGGGTCGCAAGGTTATTGAGTGTGGTGATGATGCTACGAAGTCTTCGCTTCTGAAGATTGCTGGGTAGGTTACTATGCCTCTGATCGATATCATTATATTGTGGAGTCACTAATGCTGGTATAGTAATATCGTGACTGTGAACATGATGGAGGCCGTTGGCGAGGCCCAGGTCTTTGCTGAGAAGACTGGATTGGGAACTGGCCCCATGGAAGAGCTAATTGGAGAGGCATTTGGTCCTGTAGCTGGTGGATACTCGAAGAGGTAAGTTATTCAACATGGGCATATTGCGAGAAGTGTTCGAACATTATTCTGATCATATACAGGTTGACTACTGGTGCCTATGCACCACCCTTGGACTCACGACCTGGATTTGGTGTATCTCTGGCCATCAAGGATGCAAAGCACGCCATGGCTATGGCACAGGAGCGAGGTGTTCAGCTTCCTGGACTGGAGATTTCTCGCGAGAACATGGAAGCTGCCCGGGAGTACGGAGGCGAATGCCTTGACAGCAGCTCTATGTATGGAATCCTGCGACAGAAAGCTGGGTTGGAGTTTTGGAATGAGAAGAGCCGGAAGGCTTAGATTGTAATAAGGTTGATCTTGTGCCACTATATCCAAATCAATTTAGTTTATTTAAATGGTTCTTCCATCAAGTTGTCTTCGGCCTCTCGAGGCATTGTCCCTCTCTCATTTCAAGTTGCATAATGGTAATTTCCCCATAGTCTTGTACTGGGTAGCCAGAATCGGCCCCGAGACTCGGAGATCTTTCAATTCAGTCAAGCCGTCTTTCGCTGCGCATTGTAATTAAATCTTTACTGTAGAAACCCCACAATCTGAATATCTGCCTCCTGTGATGTGAACCAAAGAAAAGTTTGAGGGGGTAAAAGAAAAATCTTGAAGTGATTCTATGTGTAGAATAGGTGAGAAAAAAATATAAAAAAAGAAGAGTCCTGGATGGTTCCGCTCCAAGCACCCAAGCAGGCTGAAAAATGAAGAGAAATAAGAGAAGGATGACAAGAAGAGATGACCAACACCGGCAGCCCAACGCTCAAGTTCGCACAAACTAGCAAAGATATCTACCAAGACCAGCTTGATCGAAGCAACTGTAGGATATAGGCTACAGAGAATGAGGAGTAGCGCTTTCCTGGTTCAGTGCCGGTCTGATCCGGGTCGTGTCTACCAGGTTAGGATAGCACTCTGCAAATAGCGGACCTAACGACCAATTGTTGAGGTTGCGCATATGACGCTCGAATACCGGATTGATGAGCAATTCTTCGGAGTCTCCGGCGGATAATAAGCAATCGGTGGGCTCGTATGGCCAATTGACGGATAGGCCCCGTGTAAAGGGAATGGTCCAATTATCGAATGGGTAGTCTTGGTGACATGAGGCCAAATGATCTCGCATACGTGGCCAAGGGAGATAATCCATCCATGCTGGATGCGGTTGGAGTAACTGGCTTGTTCCTGGAGCGAGCCACTCTGGTAGCCGGTCATAATTCTCCTGGGTGGGATAGATCTGCCACCGCATAAGGAGGAACATAGTGTATAATACAGCGACTTGTTCTGGAAGTGATGAAATATCCGGGAATGTGCATAGGATATCCGTGAAGACCTTTGATACAGGATGCGAGTTGACGCTTTTCTCGGGATTAAGCAAGGAAGAAACACTCGGGTATGGGGGTCCGACAAGCTTCTGACGGGGAATTCCTTGTGCGGCTTCGCGCTGTCTGGAATTGAGAAAGTCCATGAGAACGCTATCCAATGGACAAGTTGGGGCAGTGTTCATAATAGGCGTAGCGAATGTGGGCGTCAGTTGTTCAGATGGGTAACTGGAGGGTTGAAGGTATAGAGGGGAAGAGGGTGTTGTTGGATGGGAGGTGCGAAAGTTCTCCGGACTAAGACGACGGAGACGATCCACCTTGGGAACATTTTGGGAGGGGTCTAATAGGAAATTGAAGCCGAGTCGTTCCTCCATTCCGAAATCTAGACCATGAGCGATATTTTGGGAGAGGGCTACTCGGTATGAGGACCCCGGAAGGCCACCATTTGAACTGTTGCGACGACTTCCACCGATCGGTGCTGAATGTGTCGGAGACGGGGTATCGATACTACCAATTGACTCGGCATACGGCTTGTCCGACGACATCAGGTGGGCATTGGGGGTGAGGTGTTCGGCAGCATCAGGATACGGGGAGGTATGAGAAAGTTGCGGGGCCGACTTTGGTTGGGTTGAGAAAGTAGGTAATTCTATTTTTTTTTCGACATCAGTCTAATATATAACTTGGTATAGGACGATATGTTTATTGTGACTGACCTGATACCTCCGGCTTTGCGAGTAAAGGCTGGATGATATCCATTGCCGCCTTTAGTCCCTGCCGGAGCTCTCGATTCTCCGCCTTGACTCGTTCATTGTGATGCAAGGCCGCCTGAAGATCAAGAAAGGGTTTCTGTGACGACAAATCTCTCACTTGTTGCTCCAATGCCTCGATGTGTGTTTTGGTACGTTCGCGTATCGCGCGTTGAGCCTGGCGGTCATTGGCACGCTTTTTGGCTAGTTGGTCCGGGGTAAGGTTGGCTACACCCCGTGCGGATGCGCTATTGAGCTTGCGTTTTCGTCCAGCAGTCGTTACAGGTCCATTAATATCGTTGGGATCCACGGGGAACGGATCAGGGCCGAGAGATGCGGAGCGCGAAGGGATAGGTGAGTCCTCGGCCTTTGCGACGGGGGTGGTATGCGAGATCTCAACCCTGGTCTCGATAAGCGGCGCATAGTCGCGCAATTCGGACGGGACGTTGTTGGCCATGGCCTCACACACGTCTATAGAAGTTGTTTTAATCCATCAAAGTGAAATGAATTCTCAAAAGAAAAGAAAAAAAGGCAACAAGGCACTCGAGTCAGTTGCACACTCTGCAGGTAGGGAGACTGAGTGGGTCGTGTGGGAGAATCCCAAGATCTTGGTAACGACTAACGAGTTGGGTTCGGGACCAGCGGGGAGACCCGTTGAACATTTAGCGAAATGACTAGTTCTTCTATATATAAGACTTTGTTTTTCTTCTTCATTGTTTTCATTGTTTTCAATGTTTATGACTTAATATGGTCATAAGCTTATACTCTAAGGAGTTAGTATCATGATCTACAAGCACTATACACGCGGCAAAGCTCCACTCGTGCAAGATATCATGGCAATCAGCCGATCCTGTAACTCCATTGGTCCTAAAATACCAGACTATATGAAATAGTGGTGCTGGGCAAGAAATTTTTCTAAATATATTAAAGGGGAACCTGGGAAAGTCCAGATCCTCCCCTCGAATATATCACACAGACAGAAACAGAAAACAAGCATGTACAAAGTTGATGAAACCGTGGCAAGGGATATGCAAGAGAAAATGAAGAGAAGGTAAAGCAGAGAATGGTCATGTCGATCGTGTGTACAAGAGTGTTGGGGTTTCCAATGCAACCAAGGAAAAAGCCACAAGCCTCCCGGCCAGCAGACAAAAGAATGAGAAAAAGAAAAGAAAAGAGTAAATAAAACATCGAAGGGGTGAGGGCTAGACCCCAGGTTATTGGAGCATGTGGCCCATTTTGGAGATCTATTGTAAACGACAATCGTTAGTGGCCAAGAAAATAAGCACAACGGTATTAGGCAGACAAACCTTGGTCCTCAAGTAGCCTTCAATCTCTGAACTCTTAATCCCTCGTTCTCCACCGGTACGCCATGCCAATGGGATCATAGGAACTCTTTCCTTAACCAGGACTTCGCGGTTGGGTCCCTCGATGGCCCGTACTTTATCCGGATTGTTGGTGAGCAAGCGAACACCATCTGGGTTTTCATCTGCACCACAGCCCAGATCTTGCAACATGGCTGTTGCCAATCCATAGCTGCGAGCATCGGCCGGGTGTCGGAGGAGAAGGTTTGCTTCCACAGTATCGGATCCAAGATCTTGCAGGTTATATGCCTTTAACTTCTCTCCGAGTCCAATTCCTCGACCTTCTTGTCGTAAATAGATAATAACACCTCCTGTCGAATGTGATTTCAGAGACTGTGCTTCTGCAGGTGCATCAGATGCGAGGTCCTCCACAGGGAAAGACATCAATCGTGCAGCCTCATCCAATTGCTCACCGCAATCACACCGAGCCGACCAAGCCGTTTCTCCAGTGTAACATTCAGAGTGGATGCGAACCAGTGGGGGCTCGACATGGCGATTCGCTGATGACTGTGCGTCTGTCTTCTCATCATCGAACCAGCTGCTAGTTCTGCCAGGGTGTAGCTTCCCCACATATGCGCCTCGAATCATGCGATCCATCTCAGTCTCGCCTGGCCGTACACGGTCAAGGCTGCGGCTACGAATATTGTTTCCAAACACAATGGCCAAATGCTCTTTATTATCCAAATCATTTAGGTAGAGGTGCAGGAACATTTCCGCGCCATTCGTGGTCGGGATACGCGCCCGGACGACACATTCAATCTGGGGCAATTGTTGAAGAAGCTTAGGAGCTTTCGTATGTTCAGTTGACTTCTGGAGATTGGCCCCTTGGTTATAGTGGAGTATTTGAGTCGGGTTTAGGTCGAGATTTAATGTACCGCCGGGGGTCGCAGGTGGGGTGAATGCAGGCGACAGCAATGAATCTGGTAGCGCTGGTGTCTGCTGACCAGTCGCAGTGCCACTCTCTTGAGTCGCATTGTCATGTAGGCCGTCTAGTTGACTTGGAAGGGGGGTTGACTGCGGGGTGAGTTTGGGAGAAGCGTGGGCCGGTAGATTCGCCATTGCGGGCGGTTGAAGGTAGAAATGCGCGGAGGGGGTTGCGTTGTTGAAAGATCAATTCCACGGCGCAAATTATTAGAGCCCAGGGGTATATAGAAGTAATCGAATAAATTTTTTCCTCCTGTATGAGAATTCCAGAATCAATGGCGTCAATTAACTACCGCCACGGAGACCGGTCGGTCCTCGGGGCCCTCGGCATGAGGGGGCTGACTCACCATAGTGGAGCGCGTTGTCAGTGCTTACTCTAGCAGCTTCCATCGCTTAGTGACCGATAAGATAAGATGATAAGATAAATGATAAGCGCGGGCGTTTACACCAACTGTACTCAAACATCCCTGTCAATTTGTTTTACATCCTTGGTGTTCTCGAGTTAAAGATACCAGAATCAGACTAATATCATAGGGTTGATCTTCTAGTGCGAAGTGTCCATAATTTTGAGTATTTCCAACTCCAGATTTGGGATCGTCTGATTGAGCCGGTCCCCACTATCCTCAGTCTCATACATGGGACGCCATAATGATGAGCATTGTCATGTATGAGGACTATGGACTCATACCGTAATTTCCATATGCAATGCGGTAATCTTGAGAAAGGTCATTTCCAAGGTTTCTGTGGTCACGCCTGTATAATATCCAGCACTGTTTGCTGAAGAGGCCTCTCGTTTGAGACCTAGTATGAAATCTACTAGTATACAGCATCAACATCTGAGGTTTATGGATCCTCTGCTATCATTTAATTGCCACCTCATTTCGCATATGGGAGTTTTGGATTGAAAAAAGTGATCATTAGTTGGACAAAGGTGTACAGTTGGCCCACTTACCCCACATCTGGGGTACGGATACGTGGACGGTGCCGGATAGATGCAGCAACGACCCCAAAAACTATACCCCCTCTCAACTCTTCATCTCAACTCAAAAATTCGAGAAATACAAGGACTCCAAAAACATGCCATCTGACGACCACCCTAACAAACAAAGGCTGATCAACCGGGCCCGAGAATTCCTAGCCGAGGTCGAGGAGTTGTAAGCTTCCCATGCATGGAGAATTGCACAAAGAACAATACTAACCCATATCTCAGAACTCCTGGAAAAGAGCTTGAAGAAAGGTTAAATCGCGAATATGGTCCAGGGAACGCCTACTATGAGGACTTTTGCACCTTAATTCGCCAAGGAATATCAAATAATGAAGGCTGGCTAGCAACAGACGAAGTCGACGGTCCAAAGTATCGCCGCAGTAGGATTTGTTCGCCCTCTGAATTGACTCGCTATTTTAGCATCACTGCTGTCTATATGGATAGCCAGGAGGTCTATCGTGGCCAGTATCACCTACACCCATACGGTGAGATCAACTGTGTGGTTCAAATCGACTCGTCGGCTGAGTTGATGGGGATGTCTGGCTGGCAGGGAGCAGGTTGGACATCACCAGCTGCGGGAACCCATCATTATCCGGAGGTTCATGGGGGTGCTTTGGTTGCTTTGTTTTTTCTACCTGCTGGCCGTATCTCGTACAACAGAGCGCAACCGGGAGATGCGCAGCCGATTACTATTTAAAAATTGAAGCTGGGAGTGCTCATTAATCGCGGTGTTGATTTCAAGTCTGTACGTGTAGCTCAGGCATTATATGGTTTTTTGGAATTGCCACATACGTTTTCATCGATCTGACGGTCCTCCAAGCCATTTATCTTGAAAGACTGTGATTGCGAACTTGAACTGTCGCTTGATTTCCAGTACACTGAAAGAATTCGAAACGTTCTGGAATCAACCGCAATAGAATGATATGAAAGCTTGAAAGAACATCGAAACTTGTTTGCAATTTTTGAAAACATCAGCATTCAATTGGAATCGACCACCGAAAATAGTTGGGTTCATAGCGGCCTCATAAATTCGCCCTGATCATGGTGACCGGTCAACCAGAATTAAGAAAGACCAGGTGTATCTGCCACCCGATAGATCAACTTCTGGTCACTTGTCTTTCCATTCCTCAATAGCTGTAAGCCATCTCCAACAGACGCCAGTCCATTGGGTAGCACCTGATACGGATAGCCACTCATCTTCCCTCAGCAAGCCATTTGCTCACAAGACGAAGTAAAGCATAAGCAAAATCCACATCCTCTTCGCATTTCTGATCGCAGAACGGTGTAGACTGACCATGCACTGCTCCGAAGAATGTAGCTCCAACTTCGATGCCAGCGGGGATAGAAGTATTTTCCGGCCGAGGTAGATAAACTGATATCCGACTACCCTGTGGCTCCAAAACCTTCACGAGGTGATGCCAGCTTGCACGATTATTGACAGCATTAACGGCGTGATAGCATTTCTCACCCGCCAAGGCGGCTCGGAGGCCAGTAATGCATACCTGCGAATGAAATATTTGGCGGTAGGAGGAAACATGTGTTGACAGGTGCTATGGCATATTCGGCATAGTAAGTTCCATTCGCAGTCTGCATTGGATCCCCGGTGGCAACGCGATCGCCTGCGCGAAACTCGTAGACTTCAGTGCAGATACTCTCAACGATACCGGACATTTCATTCCCTTGATGTATTTCTTTGTGGAGAATCAAGTGGTCAGGAGCTTTCCAGTCTCGTGGGTTACTAGTGCAGTAGATCACTTTGATGAGAACCTCATGAGGTCCAGGCTGGGGGGATCGGGACATCTTCAATGTCGCAGCGAAGAGGATGGGCACGAACAACCAGAGATTTCATGTTGATGTCTAGTTATTGCCCAAATGTTGAGGTATTGCTACTAAGTACCTAGTACTAGTAGTAATCTGGGAATCGGAGGACGTTTGATAGTATGGATGCGGTGTAGATTGTTTGAGTTCAAAATAATCCTTTCTTTTAAATATTTCAGAAAGAAAGCCCAGATTTTATAGAAGTGGCGAATGATTTCCAACCAGAATTAAATCATGCTGTTCTTTGGAACATTGGAATATTTCCAAGTGCAGCCCTGAGGACTCAATCGGGCGATTTCCGATTTACCACGTCTCGCTGACTCTGGCAGTGCACATGTACATGTGCGACATCTGAAGCTCTGTAATTTTTGACTTGATGTCCATCTGCCCAGGTGCCCAGGTGGCACTTCAGCCCTTACCTAGGTTAGTCGATTCTACGCGTGAAATAAAATGCCACAGCTTCGCACGCAGCCTAGGCGACACCTGGAATGTAAAGAAGAGATTGAAAAAGTAATAAGATAAAAAGGACATAGTATATTTATTGCCTATCCCAGAATAAGCCCAAGACAAGATGCCCTGGACCTCGGGGATCTGCCAAACTCCAAAGAAGCGCCTCGCTAAAGGGTATCACATCATATCGGATCATAGAATCTTCAGGCCAACCAGGCTACTTGTTCGGAATATCCAATACATAGCGCCGATCAACTTCCATCTCCTTATCATCTTCTTCACCTTCAAACTTCAGACGGTACACGTCCTTCTTCGAGCCCATTACTTCGGCCCGATAGAAAGTCGTTGTATCGGGATATCTCGCGAGAACCTGTTTGCCAACCGCGAATGAGGGCAAGGTGCCACTCACTTGCGGGATTGGGATGAGTGACGAAGCGGTGGTCTTGTAAACTGCACCTTGCTCGCCATTTTCATTTGGTTCTGGGTCCTGAACATCGTACCAACTGTAGTAAAAGGTGTCAGTTATTATAAAAAGTTGAAATGATTGAGCGAGAAAACTGGGAACAAACCGTTTCTTGTGTCCATCACCAGAGATATTCTTGATGATGCATTGTATTCCCTCTCCTTCAACTCCCTGTTTATTTTTGTTATGCTTAAAGACCACCTGAGCTCCCACAACAAGGTGACCGCTGCGTTCTGCGACGGTCCCTTTAGTGCCCTCAGATCCTTCCTCAATCTTGACTGCAACTCCATCATTACGGCCCTCACGTGCCTGGGTGCTGGACACACTAGTACTGCGCGGAGGTGCGCCCTTGGAGCGGCTGGACTTGTCCACCCCAGATGCACTCGGCGAATCGGTCGCCGAGCTCTCCATATCCGATCGCTTCTTTCTAGACTTTGAGAGCGCGGATGATCGATTCGGTGGAGCTTCAGCCTCGGAAGCTTTCCTCAACGCCGTAAGGAGCTCTAGGTTCTTGATTACATCGCATGGTTCATCCATCATGATGGAGCGTTCCTCCTCGCTGAGTTTTTGGCTTTGGCGTAGCCATGTATCGAGTTGATCATGCTCCGTCATTGTCGGTTCTAGGGTTGAGAAGCCTGGCTTTTAGTTTATATGGTACTTCGAAAGTGGATCTATTCCCCAGCACGCGTCACGTCCCCTGCGGGGTTGATGCACAAGCATCCATGGAGCTTTGTAGTACCATATGGGCGGGGTAGAAGAAGAACTGGAACTCACTGTTGCCATCACGAGTAATTTTATCAACCAGGGTCTTGATCTGTACTGAGATAGATGCTTGCTGGTCAAACTTCTCCTTGGATTTTCGAATGTCCTGGCATATTCGGGTCCAGAGCTCCATCTCCTCATTGTTGCCTAGTCCATTGTCTCTAGGCCGAGGTCTATTACGGGACATGATGTAATATTATAGAGAGGACGTCGATATATTAAGGGTTGAGAATAGCCCTTGAGTGAATTGTAGGAGCATAGGAGAGTTTGGGGTAGCTGGGGTTTGGGGATTCAAGATTCCCAGTGATAAGCAAGGCGGTCGGAGTAACCGCGCGCTTATGGACGCGTTTGAATAATGACAAACGCATAGCCCTAGGTAGTATGAAGGCGATAGTTATCCATAGTATATGGTCAATAACATTTGAATGTAATTGTGAGCATTTTGAGTCTTCAATCCCGGAGATATCATTCGAGTATAGAGCGTTGAGTGTACGGAGTACTAAAGGTCTAACAAATCCTGAGCCCCTCAACTCCAAGTACTCGTATTCTGGGCTACTTCAAGTTGAAGGGTGAACACCGTGACAGTTTGGATATAACACATTTAAAACTTCTAATAAAACTTCTAATTCCAGCCTTTAACTATTATTGTACCCCTAGGCGACATTCTTTGAATCTGTATGTCAAGATCTTCTTGTCGTTCTAGCTAACTCTTAAACGGAACTATAGTAACCAGTTGACGTTTGCGGAAATTGCCCAGGAACCATTTCAGCTGAACTCTCTCAGACATTCCCCGATTTCCAGAAGCAGCAATAAATTCGGACATTACCGTGTACCATTTCATTGTTTCATCCCGTCATAAAAACATAAAAAGAGGAGACGTACCCTTGGTGACAGCTCACCGAGAGTCTTGGCGGCGTGGAGATCCTATTACAAAATCAATCCATCTTACTCTTTTCAACAACCACCTTCACAATGCAGATTCCATTGCTTCGTTTACAATGCGGTATGTTAATACATAGAATGCGTCAAATCATTTGCTAACTCTCCTTAGGCGTCAACAGTTACGACTGGGGTAAGCTCCAATCGATTCAAATTCAATATGCCCCGCACTAAACTCCGTCATAGGCAAGGTTGGCGAGACGTCTGCTGCAGCCCGTTATGCGGCCACGACTGCAGCACCAGAATTTTTGATTGAGGCTGAGAAACCTTACGCTGAGGTGAGTAAGCCTTGTCCAAGAATTTCTCGGTAGCTAGTCGCTAATAAGCTATGCTATTCTAGCTATGGATGGGTACCCACCCCTCTCTGCCTTCGAAAGATGTCGAAACCCAGCGTACCCTCCTCGACCTTGTCCAAGATAACCAAGCATTGCTGTCATCGGAGATCAGTGAACGCTATGCGGCTCGACTCCCTTTCCTCTTCAAGGTGCTCTCTATCCGTAAAGCACTGAGCATCCAGGCCCACCCCAATAAGAAGCTTGCTGAGCAGCTGCATGCGCGGGACTCAAAGAACTACCCCGGTATGTCAGGATGCTCTGATTGAGACTATTTTGAATACTAATCTCGGAACTTGAATTTCTATCTAGATGACAACCACAAGCCCGAGATGACCATTGCCATTACACCGTTCGAGGGACTCTGTGGGTTCCGCCCACTCGCCGAGATCGTACACTTCCTGCAAGCAATCAAGCCTCTTCGCGACTTAATTGGAGAAAACGTGACAAGCGAGTTTGAGACGACTGTACAAGGAAATGAAAACTCCGAGGATGATGCTGTGGTGCAGCGCAACAAAGACGCCTTGCGCGTCCTGTTCAGCTCCCTAATGGAGTCATCTTCCGAGAAGATCGAAGCCGCATCAAAGGACCTGGTCGCATTGGCAGAGAGCTCATCAGCGACCTTCGGTACATTGTCCGGAGAGGTTGAGACCAATCCGAGCAACCCTGAAGAATTAGCCTCCATCATCCAGCGACTCGATGGACAATTCCCCAACGACATTGGTCTGTTTGTTTTCTTCTTCCTTAACTTTATCAAGCTAGAGCCCGGTGAGGCGATGTTCTTGAAGGCCGATGACATTCACGCCTACGTGTCTGGAGACATCATTGAATGCATGGCATCATCCGACAATGTCGTTCGTGCAGGATTCACCCCCTAAGTTCAAGGACGTGGACACTCTGACCAAGATGTTGACGTACTCGTACGCCCCTATCGAGGAGCAGAAGCTCCGTCCTGTGGACTATCCCTACACAGTCTTCAATGCGACAGCTTACTCAAGTGCTTCATCATCTTTGCTGTACGACCCTCCCATCGAGGAGTTTAGTGTGGTCAAGACCGATCTGAACCGGACTGGCGCCAAGGCAACCTTTGACCCGATTGTCGGACCTAGCATCTTGATCTGTACCTGTGGCAAGGGCACGATTTCTGTGGGCCCTAAGACTGAGGAGGTACAGGAGGGCAATGTCTTCTTCATCGGGGCAGACGCAGAGTGTGTGATCGTGAACTCTGGAAGTGGAGAGGGCGAGGAGAATGTCTTTACAACATACAAGGCATTCTGTGAACTGGACGGTGAGAACTAGGCCAATCAATAATGGGCTACCAGTTCTAATTCTCAATAGCTTCTCTTGGCCGAGCGAATCTGTGATATGGAAATGTCCCAGTATACGCGTTTAGGATGGAAATTCGGAGTCGAATATAATGCATGATGATTGAACACCTATCATAGACTGATAAAATAGGAGGTCAATTCAAGTTGATGCCTTTAATCTGTAAAATTTCTTTAACCCGTCGGTACGGTATTCTTCTCAAATCAATCGTCCCAAGGTGTGTGCCCTTTGAAACAGCCTCCAAGACATAGATATCCCCAATGGAATAGTCGGAAATACCGTAAACGTATATTTTTCCTTGGAGTATAGGAAAGTAACGGCCGTTTAAGATGGATGCGGGGTGGGACTGGGACCTCGGCAACTCGGATGTCGCTATGGGACGCAAGTGCTGGATAGATAGCTCCATTGAGTTGAATACATACCTTGATGAGAGCAGCTTTAAACTCAGGCAGTACGTACAAGTAGTCACTGCGCTCGGGTTTGCCAATGGTAATGTATAGAGATTCGTCCATTTTTAGCTTGAACTCTCAGCCGTAAAGTCCAAGTTTAGTTCCAAGTCTGGTTGAAGATGAACAAAATATAAATGATATCATGCGGTGGTGAAGGGTCTTTGTAAATGAACTTGAAGATGAAATATTCAAGTTGTGGTCTTTATTAAGGTCGAAATCCCATCCTGGATCCTGCTATATAGTATTATCATCTTATTGTTGTGATTGGTGATATCTTCAATTCGAAAGTCCGGGGTATTCATCCTGAATCATTCATGAAGGATCCGCGGCCCCACAAGGATTGTATATGCCGAGGCTGGACCCTTGAAGCAATTAAGTAGATGTAAAGCGGGGATTCGGCAGAGTATACAGTTGGGGTTAACCTGCCTATTTACGTCTCCTTGCTTAATCTTCTCTTCCAGCGTTACCCAAAAATCTCCGAACATTGTTTACACAAAATGGCTACCTTCAAGCGAGTCGATGTTCCCGAGCTGACTTTGCAGGAGAAAGCCGATATCCCCTTCCTGAAGGTTGGCCTCCTTGTTAGATTGCTGTACACTGCACTCACGGGCGTGTTTCGGAGTAAATTGTACCCAAAGAATTTCCGGCATCATCTTCTCACTACGCTGTATCGAACTTCACCATTCTCGGCTCGACAACACCAGTACGTTGAAAACTTGCAAAGCTTGAAGTATAAGCCTGAACAGAATAATTGACTTGGCTCTTACTTAACAGGCACATAAACCTGTCAGCTCCAGAAGTCTATGAATTGTGCATGAAGAACAGAGGTCTTGAACCAGAAGGCCTCTCACTTCCTCATAATGCAGACGGCTACTGGATTGGCAATAAGAATGCGAAGAAAGTATTAGTTTACTATCATGGTTCGTTCATCCGCCTATCTAAGATAGGAGTGGATAGCATATACTAACCTGAATATACAAAAAACAGGTGGCGGCTTTGCTATGGCACCACTTCCATCGCATATGAATTTCTTCATTGATCTCATCCAAGTCCTCAATGATCATGGAAACGATATCGCCGTGTTCTTCCTTCGTTATACATTAACACCACACGCCAAATACCCAACCCAGCTTCGCCAAGCTGTCGAAGCTCTGCGCTACATTCTCAACGAAACAGGCCGATCCCCAGCTGATGTCGTCCTCGGTGGAGATTCAGCTGGTGGCAACTTGGCTATGTCGACCCTGCTACACCTATCACATCCACACCCTGAGATTGAGCCACTCATACTGGAAACACCGCTGGCAGGTGCTTTCGGGTTTGCGCCCTGGGTGAATTTCAATACCAGAGACTGGCCGTCCATGACAGAGAATAAATATAGGGATGTATGTACGGCTGGTGGGCTGGATGTTTGGTCTGGAATGTATCTGGATGGACGGGAAGGAGATAATTGGAGTGAGCCTAGTAGAGCTCCAGCTGAGTGGTGGGCAGATGCAAAGACGGAGCATATTTTGTTGCTGGTTGGTTCGAATGAGATTCTATTTTCACCAATTGAGGCTTTCGCGAAGAAGGTTAAGGTATGTGATGATCTTTCAATGAGAACTCTTGTTTCCCCTTGACTAATATTCTTATAGGCTGTGTTCCCTGCGACAACTTTTCTTGTTGGGGAGGATGAGACTCATGATGCTCATCTGTATGTCGATGCGGGAGTTAAAGAGGGAACACAGACAGGGAACGAGTTACGACGATGGGTGGCTGCTCGCCTGTAATCTGGAAGCTTCAAGTGATCCTCTCGGGCTTCAAATGATCATCGCAAAATCATATTACTGGGCTACTAAATGTAAACTTGCCGAAGGCATCATACTACCTAGGTAGTAACACAGTGCTCACTATGGACTAGCGATGATGTAGTCTATTGGATAGCCCTCGATCACAAACAACAACTTTATTGGAGCTCAGAGACTCAGCTCTTAATTACTATAATGTCATATTGTTTGATTCAATCACAAATGCAGGAAGATGAAAACACATGTTTTCCGCACTAAGCAGAAGTCGTATCAACTCATAATAAACCAGGATAGCCAAGCATCCCAGCTCTAAAGAACAGGCTTCACAAAAAACAAAGCAATGTATTTTTTGCAAGACTCCACCAACGCTCTCGGGATATCCGTCCCTATATCTTATGTTATCTTAGGAAGACACCTTAGGTGCGTACTTGGCCGCAGCAGTGTCGAAAAGGGCACTCTTCTCTTCGATATCGGTAAGCAGCGCGTGTGAGGGCTGGGCCTGTTGGAGCCGGCTACAATGTAGAGTTAGTATACAAGTCAGAATAGCAAGTGCGGATAAAGGCGCTACATACGATTCCAGATCCGCAGTCGGCTTCCCTGACAGCACGTTCAGCACAATTGTGTTGGCAATCAGCTCGGCATCCTCAGGGTACTTCTCCATTGCGGTAGTGAGGGCGGCCTCAGCCTCAGGCAGACGGCCAAGGTGAATCTCGGCGACAGCTTGGCCAACGATAGACAAGGCGGCAGCGGTGCTAGGGGCGGAGGCGAGTTCCTCGTAAACGTAGAAGGCGGACTGGTACTGTTCACCACCCTATTAAAGAAATAAGAGTCAATTGGTCAGTTCTGCAAAGGAAAATGGCAGGCGATGTTTCTGGTTGTTACTTACAACTCTCAGGCCAAGCCATGACTCGGCCAAGTTAACCAGCAGTGAGTCCTGAGCCCAGCGCTTAGCAGCTTGCACCTCCTTGAGCGCAAGATCGGAGCGGTTCTGTTGGAGTTGGATTTGGACAATCAATGCGACACTGAACCAAAGCTATTAGTATGACCCAGGGGTATAATGCGCTGAGCATGCGACGGGTTTACTCACGCCTCGAGGTTACCCTGGTGCTTCGATAGCAGGGACAGCGCTTCTTCGCTTTGCTCCTGAGCCTGAAGCACAGTAGCGGCGAGAACCTCCACGGTAGCATTCTCGGGATAGTTCTCGGCGAGGTCCTGGGCCAGCTGGAGAGCGTCGTCGGCCTTGCCGGTGACCTGCAGGGCCAGGGCCTTGACGGCGGCGAGATCAGGGGTGTCCTCTTCAGTCGAAACGGCGGCAAGGACCTCGTCAGTCTGTCCAAGGGCAATCCGAGAACGGAGCTTGAGCACACGAGCTGGGAGCTGGTTCTCGGGGAAAGGGAGGCGGTCTCGAAGTCGATCACCTCTTGGTATTGACCAGAGTGGAAGGCATTGTGGATGTTGAGGAGCTCTATAGAGAGGATGAGTGAGCGTCGACGATACACCGAGGAGCATGTTAAGCTTACCGCCCTCTGCTGAAAAGGGATCCATTTTATTGAGTAGTGGGGGTTTAACAACTGGGGTTTATGCGGGAGCGGTGTTGATGTTCATGGACTGGAACGGGCATGCTGGCGTTTAATGCGGGAGAGGAAGGTCGGCCGAGGGCAAGTGGGCCGACCGCCTTTGTATAGTAGGATGAGTATGACGATGTATAGCTCTGAATTTTGATATATTGAGAACTTGAATATACAATGAATTAAACACAGAGAAACCTCCAAGTTTCATAATTCAAAAATGTATGGTATCTTTTACAACTTGGACCAAATATGGTCTGGGCCTACCACAGCCCTGAGTACTATGCCGAGCACTCTAGTAGTACTATAGAACTCCCAAGAGCCATATATTAGAGTCTGGGTATTCTGGTAGAAAATTGGATCCTGGCTCAAAATTATCCAATGGTTTATTAAACTCAAATCAACCTTGGAAGGTATATGAGCTATCAAAATGGTACTTGTGTGACTGCTACGAGTCCTCCTCCGCAATCTGTTTCTCTAGAAGCCCCAAGAGCACACCCTGTACATCCTCTCGGCCCATGTAAACTTCCACAATTCTCAGACCTTTTCCTTGCTGAAATCGATCAATAGCAAGTACACTTTCAAGCTCACTATGAGTACTGGCAGTGAAGCAATTTTCAGTCGCATGCTTTTCATCAGCACCGAAGAACTGAAGAGCATATCTATGCCTCCAAACTGCGATGTCATTGTAGCCTTGCTTCCGCCCATGAATCGCACGCTCAATAGTATAGCCATCATTATTAATGACAAAAATGATGACATTCAAGTTCTCTTTGATGATAGTACTGATTTCTTGAACGCTCATCTGGAGACTTCCGTCTCCGATAAACAAAATAGCACGATGGGTTTCCGGTTCGACCTCCGACTTTGCAAGTGCCGCTCCAAGTATTGCAGGAAGCATATAACCAATTGAGAGCCATTTTTACTGCTCCGAACAACCGTGAAGCCGATGGAAGTTTGAAATGGCGTCCCCCGTGGGATGCAGTTCCCGTTTCTGTGAGGATCAGGTCGCCTGTACGAAACAGACGGTTCGCAAAGCGCCAAGAGCTTTTTTGGATAAGCGGACCCTGAGGATCATGATCTACCTGATCGCTCGCGGCAGGTGATCGAGGGGGGCCCTCGACTTTCGGGATGCGCTTGACGTCAAGGGCTTCAAGTAGTCTCGTCAAGAAACCATTGGAGATATCTCGGTGCATCTTGTCGCTAATTTGAACGATATTTTTTGAGATAGAAATGGTCACAAATTCTGGTGGAATCAACGAGAAACCTGCAGTGTCGGTGTCGGTGTGATGGGGTCCCAAGGAGATTATCAAATCCGCACTCCCAAAATAAGTCTTGTAGATGTCACTTCCCAGGGATCCAGTATAGTTGCCATACAAATTTGGAAGCTCCCCATCAACAATATCTTTTCCAAAAATGGTAGTCCAAGTTGGCCAGCCAGTCGCCGTGATGAGGTCGTTCACCTGTTGAACGATACCCAGAGCCCGACATTCTCCATCAACTAGAATAAGCGGTTGTCTTTGCAGAGTAAATCCGGTTCAGGACTGGTTGAACTGGTTCATTCTCCGGGATAAAATCTTCTGAAATGCAGAGCGGTGTCTTCAAACCGGTAGCCCTCACACCAACGTCTGCCATATCATCTGGAACCTCGATGTAAACTGGCTGACTGTGTATCATCGCCTGCTTGAGCACTTCATCAATCTGTTCAGGAACAGTTTGAGAATCGATCAAATTCGTCTGAGCCCTAGTCACATGAGAGGCAATAGTCGCAAAATGACGGTAGTCACCATCAGCGAGAGTATGATGAAGTTTGGCGCGCTTTTCTTGATCAGAGCGCGAGGGTGTTCCAACAATGTGAATCACGGGGGACTTCAGTAAAAGCGCCGGCAATTCCATTGATTGCTGATAGTCTACCAGCTCCGAATGTTGTGATGAGGGCTGAGAATCCGTTTATACGAGCGTATCCATCAGCGGCGTAGGCAGCATTCAGCTCATTGCAGTTGCCAACCCAGTGTAGCCCGGCTGGCTCAACAAAGTCGAGTAAACGAAGGTTGTAATCTCCTCGTACTCCGAATACTGATCGAATGCCGAGCCGATGGAGTCTGGTGAAGAGGTACTCGGAAAGTTTGACAGTAGCTGGGACTTGTGTGATAGTCATGGTGTCAGCTGATTGCTTATAACGATAACGATAATGACTTCCGAGGTCGGAGACTCAGAAATGAAAATGAGAGGGGAATGATTTGAAATGCAAGTTCCTGCACATGGACGCTCGTTTATTTATAGTGACTCTTATCGCGCGCACTTTTCCTTATAGAGTGTGGTGTATATTCCGCGCTGCGGTCTATACTCCGGTCCGATCACTCCGCATCATCTGGGTGTTGGGAAACCCCACAGAGCCACAATAGCCGTATGCGCATTCTTGTTATGTCAATGAAACGCATAAAGCTCCTCATCTTAAGTGGATATATCGTCATATTAAGTGGAGCTATGGAGCACTATGGGTGCAGCGTTCGGACAGAAGTGAGTTGTCTCCGATCACGCCGGTGAATCTCTCCGTTGGAACTAGAAGACCTGGGCAGCTTTCGTGGCATTATAAATTCCTCAAAGATGACGGCTTTACAGAATTTGAAATATTTGTGAGATAAAGACTCCGAATTGATCACTTGGGCTATGTTTTCAATATCCATCTCTGATATAAAGGCCCCTCGGGCCGGTTCTGCACCTTTACCGGTCACAGTTGCACCCTCAACATCGGCAAATTGTTTCAAATGAATACAGACTTATACGAAGCCATCTTCCAAAAACCTCGAACCCCACTTTAGTGTCGAAAGCCAAGCCTTTGGTGGCTCAGCATTGAAGAAATCCTCCAGTGTGGCAAGTACAGGGTCCAAAAGAATGATTCCCCTCGGAACCGGCAGACCAAGTCCAGAATACTATCCCTGGATTCGCTCGGTTTTCAAGGATGAGTTGCTCAGCTTGAATCAAAGCAATTTGATACCTATTCGGAGGCCATTACGAAGGAAACGAATCCACCTGCTGCGAATGGTCACCATCAGCTAGCCCTCCAGGTCTCTACCAAGCATGACGACGGCTACAATTTGGCGCTTGCTTTGAATTATGGCCATGCTGTTGGATAACCACACTTGCTTCGATTCATCACCGAGCATGTCGAGCTGGTTCATAACCCGTCTTACTCTAATTGGGATACTTGCCTTACCGCAGGCACGACTTCAGCCCTGGAAATTGCCTTCCGCATCTTCTGCAACAGAGGCGATATAGTCTTATCAGAAAAATACACATATCCTGGAACCATCAAAGCTATCAATCTGGTCGGAGCGCAGATGCAAGCTGTGGATCTAGATAAAGCGGGTGCAAGTGCCATATATCTCAAAGAAATCCTGGACAAATGGGACATTTCCCGGGGACCGAAACCTACAGTCTTTTACACTATCCCCTGTGGTCAGAATCCTACCGACACCACTCAATCACTCAAGAGACGGCAACAAATTCTTGAAGTCGCTGAAGAGCATGTTTTGATCATCATCGAGGACGATCCATACTATTTCCTTCGGCCAGGATTATGCTCAACGGGAGCGGACTCCGATATCTCGGCAGATGGTGTCCCTTCATACCTTTTCCTGGACACATTCGGGCGTGTAGTACGATTGGATTCTACATCCAAGATTCTGGCACCTGGTCTTCGTGCTGGCTGGGTTACAGCCAATGCCAGTATTATTGAAAAGTTCCTTGCCTATCAAGAGGTCAGCACTGTGGCAGTGAGCGAGCCTGTACAAATGATGCTTTACATATTACTTGATGACAACTGGGGCCATACAGGCTTCTTCTCTTGGCTCGACTTCCTGTCCCAGCAATACCGGATTCGCCGAGACCTCATGCTGGAGGCTTGTAGTAAGTATCTCCCACAAGATATTTGTACCTGGGTGCCACCTGACTATGGGATGTTTCTCTGGTTGGAATTGGATTGGAGAAAACACCCTCAATTCAAGGATGGCCTGTCGTGTGGGAGCTTGAGTCTGAACCTACTCGAGATTGAGAATAATATACTACAACTGGCTTTGGAAGATGGTGTTCAGGTCACAAAGGGTTCTCTCTTTCGCTGTTCAAAGAAACCTATAGAGGAATTACATTTTCGGATGACCTTCGCAGCTGCTTCTGAACAGGATTTGACTCAAGGTGTTAGAATCTTTGCAGGTTCTATAAGGAAGGAATTTACTATCTATTAAAGGATGAAACAAGACTAGTCATCTATCATCTATCTTCCTTTCCACGACACAGCTTATGAGATATAATTTATGCGATGATTTCATATATTCGATGATTTTTTCAACTTGGAGAGCTTGAAGAACTTGAATGAGAGCATCATTTGAATGTCTTATGATTTCTTGAATAGGTACATGTTTGAGCCCCAGATATCGCCCGCCAGGTGAAGTCATCCGAGCCATTGATCCACTCCCTCAAAAGTACTTTCCAGTGGATATCATGTTGTACTCTGAGTCAGATATCATGGATGTGCTATGGTTCGTGCCCCAGTAGTCGACTTGCGGAGGTATGGGCCGATTGTGGGCCAAGCATGAGAAATATTTAGTTTCTTCTCCCTTGCCACACGTGCAGGTCTGCCTGTGCGTTGAGCCCATAGAAATGAGATCAAGAAGCGAAAATATAAGAATCTCCGCCTGGGTCGATGATCGTCCAAAAAAGTAAGTTCCTTCCCATCAATAACCTCTAGCTACATCAGAATAGGCTATTCTGATCTGGGCGTTTTACTTTGGGCTCGCTAACGGGATAGTACTTACAGCAAAATGAACCTTGGAATGATCGTCAGTTGTACAACAAGTTGAAATTCGTTAAAAACATGAAAAGAAGACAAGACCTCTGGACACCACCACCCCCTCAAACCAACTTGGAAACCCCATCAATTATACAGAATTGAATTTGATATTCAACTGTGAATACATGAAATGAAAAAAGTAATTCAAGAAAAGTCAGTATACATAAAGAAAGAAAGAGACAAAAGAGAGAAAAGAAAAGAAAACACCTTCCTAAAACTTCCCCCCCAGCCATGGATCGACAAATTTCAACCCCATAGGTGACCAATTGTCGGAACCTCGCGGCGAGACGTTTCCTTCTTGTCTCGTCTGACATCTCCCCTGACGCCGTATTGGAGATGCTTGATACAGAGACAGTAGTTGCATCGAAGTCGGGACTCGGATGCAATCTGTACTGGTTTTCCCCAGCAGAGGGAGTAAGCGAACTTGAGTCAATCAAGTCCGGATTAAAGGAACCCTGATTGCGGGTTTGTAAATGAGTTTCAAACAGAGTGTTCTGTGAACTCTGCTTGGGGTAAGGAGGAACGGCCTCGAGTTGGAGAGGGTAAGAGCCTCACCCTCAAATGTTGTTTCGTCGGAATCAGACAATTCAGTGTCCTCGTTTTTAATGTTGTCAACGGGGACAGGCTCGTATTTATTCGTCTGAATCATGAAGATTGTATTTTCGACCCACATGTAAAAGGGAAAACAGTTTGATCGGCGGCCTAGTTTTTTCAGGTTTCGACGAGTCAACATTTTAGGCTCAGTGAATCGGACTAGAGGAGCCCCTAAGGCGTTGTGGACTTTGAAGGTCCGTGGGTCAATCAATACCTTGTCCCCAAACATGGCATCAAGCCAGTTAGGTGTTTCCGGGGACGAGGGATAGTAGACAGGATTGGAAACAGACACCATTGTATAAACATGTGATTAATGGATGATGTGAGCTTGTTTGTGGTAGGTCTCAGTAGTTGAAGTATTATCAGTGAGTGGTGGTTGAAAAAGAAGGAAGAAAGAAGTGAGGGTGGTCAGGACAAGCCCATATACAGTCCCCATCATGATCTACTAAACCCGTATGGGGCTATCATCAGATCTCCAGATGTATACTAGTAGGCCTCAATTGAGCCATTCAAGAATATCACTAAGCCCATTTGGTATCTGATACATTGAACATTCACTTTTCAAACGTTTGTATCCTTGGTTGTTAACCCTAAGTTAAGGGCCGCGGAAGATGGAACTAAGCTTAATTTGGCTCTGCCCTGGATGAATTAAGCATGAACTTAACCATTTGAAGGTAGCGGAGGGCCAGATAAAAAGCCGACATCAAAAATAGCTCTAGACTCCTTTCAATTTCATTTCATATTCAAATAGATTTTGTCAGATCAACTTGATGTTGATTAATCAATGGTCTTCTAATCCTGACTGAATAAGCTCATTTAAGGTTTTTTAGGTTTCGAGTCAGCATGGACAACTTGAAATTACATCATATAGCAATATGTAATAATGAAATCATACTCTTATCTGAACCTGAGATTTGATATGAAATAATATTGTCAAGCTACTACATTTGGACGTGAAAATCATGGCATTTGGTTTCAAGTTTGTGACTCGGAGAAGCCAAGAAAGCTCGCATACATCATCTCATCTCTATCGGCACAGAATAAGTACAGTTTGAATGTGTGCTGTCCGAAAGCATCTCATGAGTCCCAAGGTCACTAAATAGATCGTATTGCCCTCTGTGACAGCTCCGGCCTGTTGTAGCTTGATGAAGAACGTGTATCATATGGTTCACCGGGACGATATGTCTGATGATGACGGTGTGAGATTTGTACATAGAATTGGCGGGCTTGGAGTATCCAAATTATGCCAGCAGCCTCTTGCGCAACAGAAGGCATCCGTCTCGAGGCCTTGCTCAAGGACACATAGCTCGGATAGATGTCAAAAAATTGCAGGCTGGTTTCAGCATGAGAGCAACGGATAGTGTATCCTATGCAGGTCTTCTGTCGAGGCTTTCACTTCTATTCTGCATCGGCCCTTGTCAGAATTTTGATCACTTCTGTTCTCCTAAGCTTCATTTTCGTCTGAATCCCATTTAGTTTCAGATGTTTCACCACATAAACAAGTCAGAGGTTCATCATGGGATAAAAGCATCTCCCCAGAGATATGACTGTTTATTAAAACGCTCCCAATTTAGAATAATACAACGCAGATATTAGTGAGTCTAAGCAGCACTTAGGAAAGATGAGTCTCAAAAACAAGAGTCATTAGTACCTCGGTACTTTTCATCGAAGCCAGCCCATACGGCAGGCAGATTCACAGCCGCTTTTGTGTCATGATCATCAATCATTCAGAACAACTTCTTCACCTTGTCCTCTCGGTCTTCGTCCTTTCCCCATCGATCTTCCCACAAATGCGGCGGAACATATTGCCAACCCATAGGAGCCCCCATGCCCCACTGATCCTTCATTTCTTTCAAAGTCACAGGGCGAACCAGCTCGTAAAGCTCCACGATAGGGTATCCGTACTTCGACTGCTTCAATCCGGCATTGAAATCTTCATTACCGATCCCGAATGGCTCAATTGGCACAGAGCCAGGGGTATGGCGTGTGGACTCTGGGATAACCGCGACATGTCTGACAATGCCTAAGTATAAGTGGGAGAAGTAAAGAAATAGTGAGCGCGTAAAGTGGCCAGGAAATACATACGTAATAGAAGCTCGACCCTTGCCACCATCGCCCGTTTCATAAAACCACAATCGTGTAACCCCATCGCGTAGTCGGTACTTGCGGTATTCGTGATTCTTTTGTCGGCTGGCAATATTGGCCATGTGCACAGGCTTGATGGCCATCAACACATCTGTCTTGTCATTTTCGGACGCGCTTGAGCTAGACGAGTTCGCGTTTGACTTGGATTTGGCTGGCGATTGCTTCTTGGCTACTCGATTCGCGTTATTGGATGTTGTGAGCACGGAGCTTCGCGTAAAGGCGTCTTTCAGGGTGGTCTGTGTGAGCGAGGGCTTGGGTGGAGAGCGCGTAGGTGCCATTTTGAGGTGAGGTAAACAAATAGTATTCGAAAAGCTTGAGATTGAGAAAGGAGAAATATTATGGTGTGGTGGAAAACCGATGTGGTGACAATGGATGTGAGTCGTGACGCGCCGCGCGCCGCTAAGTCCTTCCGCTCCCGTAAATTGGTCGGGGCTCCCGGGGCCTGATGTAGTGTAACTAGGCGATCTGAGTAACTACACGATCTACACCTCTTTTCGACTCTATGGCAATCTCAAAAACAAAGATTCAACACTTCTGCTATTCCTGATAGCTGTCATTTATCGTACATCTCTCATTATTCATTGAAATTTCCTTTTTTTTTCTCCCAGTAAACCAACCCCCTGGCCTAGTGACCAGGTCAAGAGCACCTGGGCACCATGGATCAGACGCTCCTCGGAATATCAATTCCATCTTTCACCGTCAATGATAATACCACGCAAATATTCAATCGAGAAGGCTCTGAATAATTTCTTCGGATCATCCATCCACTCGGTCACCTCTCTCCACAGTCTTCCTAGTCCCTTGGTCCCGTTATCGCCAAAATATTCCTTCATCTGTGCATAGCTGCAGAGCGAATCGGTTCCAAGAAGCTTCATTGCCTGATACCCGTCCTTGCGAACATACAAAGACTTGGATAGCTTCGCCCCACTCCAATCCATAATCAATGGAGCATACAAGATATGGGGAGTGCGTGGTATTCCTAGGCCTCCTGTAGACTTGTAGGCCCAATCTGCCAGGGGTCGGTAAAGGAACGTCTCTTGATACATGCCAGCGTAGTCGGCACCCGTCACGCGCACATGGTGTGTCTCGGTATCCATTAACTGACTCATGCTGCGGAGGAGATTACGCGCCGGGGCGTTTGCTTCTAGACGGGCAAGGTCTGCTGGATTGTCAGTGCTGATGTAATGAGGCCCATGAGTTGGACAGTGGAAAGTAATGATCCAGTCATTATCATCGCCGGCTTCCATATTGTCGTCGTCGAATTTCATAAGGGGACTGTATTCATTATTAACTCCATGTTTCTCCGCCAATCTGCAGTCTGGAACAGGGCAAGCCGCACGAAGAGCCACTGTGCCGTACTTGGGAGAAAGTTGTTTTCCCAGAGTCCGACGGCATTCCGCGAAGTAACGGATGAGCTCAGGCATGTAAGGACCAGAGAAGAATTGCGACTGGTAAGATGTTGTGAAGGGAATATCGGCCCAGGCTGACAGGAAATGCATGACTTGATAATAATCTGGAAGGTTTACTGCAAGGGCTCCATTGACGTCTCTGTATGCCGTTTGGTATTTGACACCGTTGACTTTCTTATCATAACCATTCACTGGTGCAGTGTCGACAAAGGTAATCTGGACTGAGACAGGGGGCATTCTACGACCACTGCGAGCCTCCTTTTCAAGCAGTCTGCGACGGATCTCTCGAGCAACTGCGAAGGCATAGCAAAAGACGATGAGTGTGCCAACGTGAGGGGAATTATTGGGTTGCGCTCCAGCATGAATGATGATTGGCCGAGTTATAGTGCCATCAAAATGCGCACGATGTCGCGCATCCTCTCGAGTCAGTGAGTGAATCTCATCATCTTTGAGCGCTGTCAGAAGTGGACCCACGAGATCTTTCTCAAAGGCATAAGAGCCACCTCCAAGCGGGTCATGCACTTGACCATCGTGGAAAGTCGCAAAAACTCTATCATCGCGTGATAGAGTAGGGACCAGATTTTGAATTGCGGATAGGATCTCTCTATGTTCTTCTGCCTGGAGCTGTCGAGAGCCTGAGAAGGGCTGACCGGGAAGAAGCGGGGAAAGCAAGCTGACGAGCTCTTGCACTGCGTCAGCACGTGAGCTAGCGGAGCAGACATTGGGCAGAGGTTCATCATGGTGGGGGTATTTGCCCTGCCAGGCCGTACCAGGGACATAAGCCATGATGAACCTTGGTATTTGATTTGAAGCGATTCGCAGGGTGAAAATCTCGATGAGGGAAAGCTTGAAAGGAAAGAAACATTTGGGGATGGTGACATGAAATGAAGAGAAGAGATCAGATCTCAAAGTGAGAGTAAACAATACTCAGCTGAAAAAGCAACGAGGCGACAACGACGTAGCAATAGGCCCCACTTGGTACTTGATCAGCCCGTCCCTTCTGTTCGTCACTTACGTTTGCTTATTTTTTTTCTCTTCATTTTAATGACCTTAAATAACTCAAATTTTAGTATATACTACCATAGAGTTCACCCTCAACTTGAAGTTTCACTGTTGGTTTTGGCGCATATAGAGAAGATAATGCGTATGCGTATGTTGATCATCATCTTGCAGATAAAGTCATTTCGATCACACTAGTTAGTGTAGGTATAAAAACACACTGGCAGATCTGTAATCTTCGGTGAATACATTTGGCATGTAATCATTCAAGTTTGAATACATGCTTCAACTACAAGTTTGAGTCACCAATGAAGGATTCAAGTTATGAGCCCCAAGGAAGTAGGTATGTATGGATATTTCTCTCCTCTTAGTCTATCATTCAGATACCGATGACGGCACAGATCATGGCTGAATCTGTGAATCTCCACTAGTGGATCTTATCTGAGTCCACAATTAGGTAAAGAGATCTGATGGTGGTTTGGAGTTAACTGATCTCGGAGTCACTGTGTGGGGGCCATAAGCACTTGTAACAAGATATCAAAGTCAGAAACTTATTTAGACTTGTTCAAGTCAAAGGTTGATAAATGAAGGCACAGTAGATGACCTTATACTATATAAGCATGCAGTAGCTGACCAGCGTGGCTCAAACTTGAAGATGAGCCCGACATGCTCCGAAATGCCCCACAGGACAGCTCCTCTTCATACACGGCCTCAGTGTGTACCAATATAGACATGGGGATAGAAATGACCACATTTCACTTTGGGTGTCTTAACAGATAAGAGTCCATCCTTAAAAGTGTTAGGTGATAACTGAGGCTTGAATCTTGGAAGAGGCCAACCTTGGGAGTGCGCGGTAGCACTCTCCACAATCGGGAGGGTGGATCGGTGTTATGCGACTGGTGGAGACTCTGAGAGTACATACTGTAGTCTGTAGCTGGATGCTGTTGATCCCCATGGTCGATTCCTTCACAACTGAAGACCAGGTTCGGTGATTTAACCTTGGAAGTCATGCAGGTGCTGACTTTAACAAGAAAGCTTGCTCTTCAGCCTCATTGTGCACGGTGCTTGAAACCCATGCAGGCATTGAGGGATAAAATTTCAAGTTTGCTTTAGCCACAGGTGTGGACAGATGTAAGAGTCGAGTTTGAACTCGGTCGGTGAAGAAAGAGGAAGCTACCACAAAAAGCTTTGGGAGAGAAGAGATGACAATAGCCCTTTTAATATGGTAAATCAATTAGATAGTCTGGAAAACCTTACCAGGATTAATCTAGTAGCTGATGGTTGCTTTTGCGCTAAAAAAATAACCCGGCGCTGGAATAGGCACACTGTTAGTGGTACATGTCAAGGATAAAATGTCCTGGTCACTGTTTGATCACATATCATCTTCGATCACTCCTCCTCTTTCTTCTTTCTTCCCCTCCTTCCCCCATGTCCTACACCCGCTTCTCCTCGCGAAAAGCAACCGCAATCATCGCTACTATTGGCGTGATTGGGATTATCGCCGCTAGGAGAATCTCGTACAACAAGGAAGCTCTTGCTGAATCGACAATTCCCTGTGAAACAATGACCACTGTTCGTCCGGCCATGGGCCTTGGTGCAAGAATGGGCTTCCTCACTCTACGCCTGGAGAGCTCTCACCAGGTGAACGACAATACAAAGCGCCTTCTCTTCCAGCTTCCAGATCCGAATTTCAACGCAGGACTGGGCTTGACTTGTAAGTTTCTCGGCACTTTGCAGGTTTTCTTGATCGACCTGCGCATATGAGATTTATTTGATCTCTCTTCCAACGGTATTTACAAACTATCCATCGAGTCGCATAGCTGATCCACTCTCTAGCTTTCATTCTGATATTCCATAAGCCCGCCAGCGGCTGGCTTCCGGTGATTCGACCCTACACCCCGATCAATAACTTCAGTAAGTGTTCGAATACAAGATTCCAACTTCATCATCTACACTCAGACTACTGACCACTTTCTCATCCAGATGAGCTCGGCTACATTGAGCTTCTGGTGAAGAAGTACCCCAACGGACCCGCAAGCTCGCACCTGCACTCCCTCAAACCGGGCGACACTTTGAGCGTTCGAGCACCCATGACCAGCTTCAAATGGAAACCAAATGAATTCGAGTCAGTCAACCTCATCGCAGGTGGTGCTGGTATTACCCCAATCTTCCAGCTGATCCAAGGAATCTTGAACAACCCCGAAGACCGAACCAAGATCAAGCTGATCTTCGGTGTCAACACGGATAAAGACCTGGTCTTGAAGGAGGAACTGGATGCTTTCGAGCGAGGATTCCCTGGTCGTTTGAAGGCCGTTTACGCGATCTCGAACCCGGCTGATGGATCGCCTTTCTACAAGGGTAAGGTTACGAAGGAGTTGTTGCAGAGAGAATTGGTCGGTGCCAAGGATGGGAAGGCGATGAAAATCTTCCTCTGTGGACCACCGTCCATGGAGGCGTTCATCTTTGGCAAGAAGGGATGGTTCTCTAACCAGAAGGGTGCTTTGGAGGAACTTGGTTACTCCTCTGGCCAAATCTTCAAGTTCTGATGCGTTTCATACGCTTCTTCGTTTGCTTTCAGGTTCGCCAATTTGATATCCCCACTCTCGAAATATGTTCACTCTTAAAATATGATTAATATTTTAAAATCCCATGGAGACTGAATAGTAGATACTAGTGGGCTGGGTCTTCCGCGGACATAGCATTGTGTTCAAGTTTAAGAGAGGCGAGTCTCTTTGAAAGGCTGGAAGTAGTATTTCATGGTTCAAGTGTAGGTCTTGGACACATAAAATGTGTAAGATAATTCCAAGGCCGAGTTAGTTCCCTACCCAGATTGGTGATTTTCGCAAGTCATTGACCCTTCGAGGAGGATTACTGAGGAGGTATTGAATAGGTGCTTCGGGCGGTCATTTTTTGAATAGGGGTATTCAACCTGCACATTGGTACCTTGTACCCAAGTTTGGAAGATCCCCGCAACAAACATCACCCCTCCATCCCTCGTCTACAGCCGATTCTCTCTGACTACCATGAGTTGGATATCGCAACTGTCAGTGAGGAATTCCTTGTTGACCTTTGTCATCGGACAGAGAAGGAAGTGGGCAGAATCGACAGAGAAGAGTACCGGCCCCGAGTCGTCAGAATCTCCGAACATATCGCCGTCAAGTATGGCTGTGGGGTGACGGCCCCCGAAGCAGCCACACAAGATTTCGCATATCGCATGGCTGATCCCCGCATTGTCCATATCCCACGCGTATACCGATATATTCAAGTGGATTCAGAAGGGTTAAGATCCAAAGGGTACATCTTCATGGAATATATTCCAGGCAAAAGCTTATCTGATGTGGACATCGAATCCGACGCCAACATTGTGGTTCGCTTGGCCAAGGTAATTCTACACCTCAGTGAAATCAAGGGAGACACGACGCCCGGCCCATTTGGTGGCGGCAGGCCACAGGGCTATATCTGGGGTGATGATGGTGCGAAAACTGAATTTCACTCACTTGAGGAGATGAATGTCTACATGGACAAGCGTCTGGCGAGACGTTACGATACCATCGACCTAACGCCTTATCCCCTCGTATTATGTCATTTGGATATGTGTCGAAGAAATGTCATCCTCGAGGAAGATAATAAGTCGCTGTGTCCTGTGGACTGGGCTTATGCTGGCCTTTATCCCCGGCTTTTCGAGTTTGCAATGATTCCTTGCACATTTCCGTATGATGAAGCGTTTGAGAAACCATTTATGCAAGAACTGGAGATATTGATGAATTTTACCGCCGAAGAAAAGCAATTCATGACATTGGTCCGATGTGTCCGTGCTGCAAATCTGAGGTGGATATTGTAAGGGAAATGAATCGACCTTTCATTTGCTACTCCTACTAACAAAGTGATGCAGTGACGACTTGCCTCGGATTGATTTGAAAACTTTGGTGACGAAGCCTGGGGAAATTATTGAACCGAACGAACCGGAACTGGTTTACAAGTCCGTATACTATCCTGTTAGATCACCTTAGATAACTCCGAATGTTATGAACCAAGATTATTCTACAAATTGGAGAAGACAGTGGGCTTAATGGAGCAAATCTCATTCATTTGATAATCCTTAGACATCGCACACAACTGCTGTTAATATAGTATTCCATATCTATCATAATGGTCATCGTTTTCTTACTATGACGATCCCATAGAGCCCGCAAACTCATGCAGAATACGACGTAATCTCTCCTTCTCTAGCTCACCACCAAAGATCATATCTATAGATTTCTGACAAATCTTCATCAACCCAGCCCGATTAACACCAAAGTGCTCCGCAGCAAGCAGATATTCATTGGAGACAGGGCTACAAAAGAAGCCCACGTCATCAGTCTGCAACAAAATGAAATAAATCAGTCAGCCTTCAATACCACCCAAGAAAGACCAAAACAAGAAATCTAACGAATCAACTTACGCATAAAGCAATCGGACATTCCTCATGTCTCCAGTACCCGAAATGATGATCCAAAAAGCCACCCTCAATCAATTTCGCATGAACATTACAAGACATGCATAATTCCAGCCCAAGCCCCCTCTTCACAATCTCCGCCTTGATATCATCAGGCACATGAATAACATGACCCAACCGATCAGGCGAGAATGAAAGCAGAGTCTGTAGTTCCTCGCGCGTACCCGAGGTAGGTGTCTCGGCAAAGTGCAGTGTTAGACCAAGACCATGGCTCTTTGCATATGCGAATGCATCCCGATAAATCGAGACATTGCCCTGTGTCGGATTCCCGCATAAATCCACACCGACAACCCCGCGGTGTTTATTCGCGATGGCGAGGTCGATGATCTCGTTTGCTTGGGCTTGGGTTGTGTTACCGCGGTCCAAGGCTAGAATGAGGAAGACGGATAGGTCTTTGTTTTGGGGATTTGAATTGAATGCTGAGATCGTGTCTAGGACTGTATTAAGGTATTCTTCTTTGGTTATTTTGGATGATGGTGATGTGCGTGGGATAGTACGCAACTCCAGGTATCGGACTCCATCGTTAAGGAAATCCTCTAGCACGGAGTTTGTGGCGTATGCGAGACTTTCAAGATCATCACAGAGTTGGTATATCAGTTTAGAGAATACTTGGAAGAATCTAGATATAGTTAGTGATGTGTTGATTGGGGTTCAATTGTTTTGATTGAGTTACTTGCGTTTGAAGCGTATAGTCCACTTTCCCTGGTGGCATCAACACTAGAGGATCCTCGATTGGGAAACAGGGATCCTTAGCTCGCTTGCGTTCCCATATCTCGTGGAGACATTGGCGGCTGATACTCCCGCTGAGATGGGCATGTAGCTAAAGTGGGGTCAAGAAGCTCTCAGTCTAACTGTTTTGCGCAAACACATGGGACAGAAAAGTAAGTTGAGTCGTTGTACCTCTACCTTTGGCAGCGCCTTCGTAAAGCTGCTGGTGACTGGTTCAGCTGGATCCATATCTTGGAATCAACTCGTATCGCTAGGGAACTTGGTGAAATGAAAGGTAAAATGGAGTTAAGTGGGGGCAAACTCGGATCCGATCAGATATGCATTCTCTAATCCCTTATCAGAGATTATAATCCAAAAAATAAGGACCCTGATTTTTGCACCAAAAATAAAAAGAGCCATCTCTAGCCTATCTCTGGCTTACATCGGTATTCGTGTTAAAAAATTATTAAAAAAACCATTTGAACTTGACATCCTAATTCTTGGTTAAAAATCATGAATAACTTGAATCTGACAACCCCAAATCCCCCACAAGTTATAACCACGGATCCAATTTCGTATGGGAAATCCGGGTTAACCGCGCTTTTACATTTGAACCTGACTCGCGCAAGACTTGGTAGCGAGAGCCGCGTAGGGTAAAAGGTCTCAGATGAGAACATTTGAATCAAAGACATTGTTTAGGTAAAAGTCTTCGCCTTGGACCCCAGGCATTGATCCTGATTCCTGAACTCTATCATGGGACTAACATGTATTTTTCGATGCCTGGGTTATTCTCAACATTTTGAACATCCAATTTCCATTCAAATGTTTCTGTTTTATTTACCGGAGGCTCCGAAGGCAACTTGAACCAGCCGCAATCTTAATCCGTGATTTGCGTGTGCTGTTTCGTATAAATTGAGCCTCGGGATGCAATTGCCATAAAAGTGGAGAAAAATGACCAAGCCAGAGATTATAGTTACAACTTACGAGGGCCCCGAAAATCTGGAGAAATACTGTAAATTCATTCCAGGGTTTGAAACATCGTAAAACAACCTTTGATTCAGGTAATTCATCCCAGAATAGGGGGCAGATACTAGTATTATCTCTACAACCTTAGAAGAATAAGTCCAGGTAATGTAAGTGACGACCCGACTCAACGGTTTCCTCGTTTCAAGATATGCGAACACAAGCCGAGATGCATGCATATTGAATTGAACAGATACTAAGAATAGCGATCGGGATCAAATTGCCGAAGCTCAACAGCCCTGTAATTAGGCCAAGCAAACCGGTACGAGCATTCCCCTCGGCATTACCGTAAGCTTCTCGCACTGAGAACTCGAAAAAGACAGATCCACCATACTTGATACATCACTAGACCCCGGGTGTATCCTGTTGGTTCAAAATGATTCAAGCGAAGGTCTCATTGCCAAGGCTTAGAAGCTGAGTTCCAAGGTTTTTCCCACTGTTAACGGTCTGAGGGCCGACCGTGCCGTGCCGTCTTAGGGCGGAAATTCAAGGAATTTGTCCATGGTGAGCAGGGAACAACAAGGCAGCCCTACTATCTTTCCAGCCTCTCCAGGATTCTTGGGTAGGACGATCGGTGTGGGATCGGGTCCCGATGGTCAGAGTGTGTAGTTCCTGCACGTAAGAAATGTCAAAACAGGGCGGAGTCTTTTCTCTGGCAATCTAGAAGCCACGTTGTCCACCGCGGGATCCCTAGTGGATGTGGGACTGGTTTAGGTATCTTGGGTGGAATCGTTTTGTTTCATTTTATTCTAGATTATTCGGTTGTTCAGCCCGGAGCCGCGCGAGGGGGTCGTGGATACAGGATGTTTTCTCCGGTACATAGCTTTTTGCTCAGGTGATGTTGCTGGTCTGGAATAAACAAGTTAGACACTCATCTTAAACTGGATATGAATAATGCAAACTCTATACTTCGATTTTATTGTCTCAAGTGCTGGTTTCGAGTTGCCGCGATATGCCGTGCTGGTCCTCAAATTGAAACGGCGGAGTTTCTAGATGTGCGCAAGTTTGAGAATGAATCAAGATGAAGCTCAAGGACTAGACCAGTCTGTCAGAATAATGATTTTCAATCCATTTTTGCTCTTATTGAATCAGAAGTGTAGTATGAGCAACAGACTCAACATGAACTTGGAGGTCTTTGATAATGTGTGGACGCCACATGTGCATACTATCGTTCCGCTTACTGGCTCAGACCTCCTGAGCCCCCCCGCATTGATCAGTATAAACATATCAAGGCTTGATATTGTCAGTGCTCTATGGATCACCAAAGTACTAGACATGATGCAAATGATCATTGACGAAAGTACGGAGTACGGGGAGAGCTTCCTCAACTTCAGCCCAGACATCTACGCCACGTCGTCGACCGGCATTCAATATGTCTGATGAGATCAGACGACCTTCCTAGAGAGGAGAAGGTCGAATCTGCAATAGCTTGATCCTCACGAGCCCGCCCCGAAACCTTGAGTCTAGCGTCTCCTAGTGTCTCCCCGAGAAGGTTGACAGCCCGTTGTACTTGCGCAATCTCGGAGTGTACATCAAAAACATAGTACCAAGGCGAAGGTCATGCGACCACCCGAAACAAAGTTTCCACGAGTTGAAAAGGTATCCGGTAGCTTTTTTGCAACGAAGTAGCTAAAGAACCCCATGTAAAATGCCGGAATCTCTCGGAGACCAAAAAAAAACTGTCGTTCCCGTGCAGATATTCGCAAAAGAGGAGGTAAAAGTAACCATACCCGAGAGAGCCAGAAGGAGAAAAAAAAGCTTTCGTTAGCGCTGAGAATAGCCTCCGTAGCGAATAAACGTCATTTCAAATGAGACAGGGAGGGCGTCGTAAATTCAGGTGACACATCGTCTGTCGGCGCGAACCATCTCTTCTCCTGCCTTCATGTTACACCAACTGTCTGGGACGGGAATAGGGACATGGAGTCGCATGGTGTAAGTGATGAGTCTTTCGAAAATTTCGATTTGGACCAGGCTGTTCAGCCACGCGATATTATTCGATAGGCACCTGGATTTCCTTCCAACGGAGAGACAGAGAATCGGGCAACTGCATACCTCCTACATGGAGGGCCCGAGGATGACAGATTCATCCTCTTGCATGAGGGCTGATAAGTACCAGGTGGGGGTGAAATATAATCTGGGAAGATATTCAGCATCGAAGACGCATCGAAGAATCCAACGGGGGGCTGTATTCGAGAAGTGCACATGTGGCTGCATGTTAAGACAAAGTCGGGATTGTCTGAGCCGTGTTATCCAGTGTTATGTGTTGTGTATGTACACCGATTCCAAGTTATTTGTTTTTTTTCCATCTGTATTATTCAAAATATTTTCTGTCTCTTCTTTTCATTTATGATTTACCCAAGGTAGGTTGGGCTCGGACAACATGCAGCAACATCAGGGATACTTTTTAGTGGATTGATTAGACCAAGAATTACCTAGATACAATACAACACCGAAATTCACCGATACTTCGTTTTCTATTCTTTATTTTTCAGGAGAGAATAAAGTTGCCCGATATGTGTCACTTAGTCGAATTTTACTTTACGATAAAAACTAGAAAAGAAACCGAGAAAAGCAATATAGATTCAACATTTGAAGTTCTCGACCATGTTCAGATAGGTCAAAAATAGGTACGGAGTACGGCAAAGGTGAATCAACCGTGCCCCCAAATTGAGGCGCAACGTTCCATGCTGCCGGGACTGACAGGAATAACAGGTCATATTTACTATAGGGATCAAATCGATGCTAAGACCTCTTTAGTAAGTGCCCTGTCGGATCATCGACGGATCCATTCTCCTGGAACATTTTGAAAAAAAAAAAAGTTCATTCCTCAAGATTCAGTGTAAAACTCTGATGAAATCGGGGTAAAGTTCAAAACTTCATTAAGTTCAATAGGAATGAGAGATTCATCCCCTTCTCTCCTGAAGATCACAACTCAAATTCTTTTTGATGATTTGAGGGTTTGAATTGACATGTCTCCGTACTTCCCGTACTCTGTGGCAAAAGTCGGCCACCCCTGAAGGTTCAACGGTGAATGGTTGACTATAGATCCCCTGGCTCCTATTAGCTTGATAGCTAAGTGTCATTATTGGACATGCGAGGTTGCGGAGTACCGGGCGATCCCAAGTACCTGGTCAGGTCAATACAAGTGAAAAACCGTAATTATTTAGAAACCTGAGACTCCCTTTGTAATATTACCGTAACCTATTCAGAGCCCTGGAGGTTGACGTTTAGCTACGTCGATGACCAGCGCCTTCGTGATGTCATTGGAATCCAATCAACCTCATTTAGGCATGAACATGAGTAATAAGATAACGGCGTCAAATGTTTTAGATATTGGGCAATGATTCATTACTACAAACGAATTTTTTTTTTGGTTTCCCTAGCCTGAGCGTCTAGGTAAAACTCGGGCACTATTTTCAAACATTAGGCTTAAATCCTCCGGAAGCAGACATCAGCTGAGTCCTCGCAGAATTAGAACAAAGGGAAAGGACAAATCTCGGTTTCCAATAATTGGGATAATTAATTTCATGTTTCTTTCTTGGCGATAGCTCATGTCATAGGGCAGAGTCCATAAAAAGCGGGGGTGTATCTAGGGCTGCTGATCGTAGCAAGGAGCGACTGCGAGATTGGTATTACATGCGCATCACGGAGCAGGGTTCCTCTGTTACTCCTAGCCTTTTTTTCTTTCACTTTACGGAGTATCCCGGTCACGTCTGTGATTGTGATGATTGTCTCGTCGAATTGGAGAGTGGAGACTCAAATCTTTCTTTTTTGTTCCTCCAATTCATCTAATGCTCCGTACTAGCAATTTGCCACTGATCACCCCCTGAAAGAAAGAAAAAAAAGAAAGAGATCCATCTCCCCCTTTTCCCACTTAGGTTGTGCCCTAGAAAATAGATTGAGGATACAATTTGCATGGTTTCTTCTAACTAACCCAAATCAGGGTAAGAATACGTAGACAATTGTCTGGGGCTCCCCATATGCAAGTACGATGTGGAATTGGTTTGTAATTATGGTGCCCACTAACTCCAAGGGCTAGAGATAACTAGCACGTCAATGATGACGCCCTTCATACGTGTACAGACAAGAATGTAAAAATGTAAAATACAAGAGAAGAACAACCCTGTCAACCTACCTAGTGGGTCTGACGGTTCACGAAAGCGCAACGTTAAGCCCTGGAGCCCCTCTTCAAGCCAATGGAAGAAACCAAGAACCTTGGAAGGAATCATTCCTCAGACATGTTCCAACTAAACCAAAATAGGGTAAGGTACCCTCTAAAACCTATAATATATTCAAAATTCTCTTAATTTAATATCCTTTTTATTCCTTTATTCTTTTATTTCGGGGACTATTTTAAGATCATGATTGGTTTCTCCCCGTCACCGCCGTCAGGTCACGAGAACAAATATTGAATCCGAGGAGATATCGAGGCAACGAGTTAAGATGAAGGGTCAAAGTGAGAAACAAGAATTCAAACTTCCAAGAAACAAAAAGTAAATGAATAAATAAACACAAAAAAAGGAGATTATTATCTCGTACTTCGTAGTTCTCAATTAAACCCAGACCCCTCTTTTCCCGTGATCTTCATGATTGTCGCCTCGGTTGTTTTTTTTTTGCCCACGAGCCCCGCTATACATACTGAAGTAACTGAACTACAAACAGACAATTGGGAAGCGGTCTGAAAAAAGCTCTGACCTCAACGCGAGCACGCGAGATTAAACATTGCCCGATGGCCGCATATTCAGATCATCCCTGTCCAGGTGCTCGGGGCCACCTATTCTAACTGGTCGACAAATTTGGAAATTGCAAAGATGACGAGATGTCATGATGCTTCCCTGATAACGTGGCGTTGTATCGCATCTGCACCGTCAAGACATCAATCCATTTTATCTCCTGATCTTATCGACCGGGATAGTCAAGCCGCCACAACCGCTTGTCTATGATAGCGCACGGATCTATGATGACCCCCAAACGAAAAAGGTGGATGTTATGGTTTACGAAACGCCAATCCATGAGTCATCATCGTCATATTCCTCGGCAGGAGCAGCCTTGATAATAGAGGAAAACGAGGGGGGAAAGAAATAACAAAAAAAGAAAGAAGAATCATAGCGAATCGTGTTCCCTCGTTTGGAGACATCATCCTGGAGTCGCGTCTTCTTCCGAGGGACCGCGTAGCTCGGGCGTTTCCCGGGTGTCATAATGTCAACGTGTGCTAGGCCGAGGGATAACGATTGGCACAGATTGATTCCCTGCTGGCTGGTCGCGCTAGGTAATTTCGCCTTACAATGGAGCCCGCAGCGAGGATCAGATCAATGACGGGTCATCGAGACGGACCCATTATGAGCGTGATGACCTCTTCACCTGGGCAAAGCGGTAAAGCGGGATGCAAGAGACAAAGGACAGATGCAGAAATTCGAAATGAGAATAAGTTAATGTTCGAAATCAGGGAATGAGGCATCCCTTGGCCAGCGCATCGAATCCCGTAGCGCGGGGTTGAACCCCGCGCGCACTGTATACGCCGCTATCAGAAAAGGGTGCATAGCGCGGCTTGACTTTGACGCATTTCGGGATCGTGCTTAGTCTCACTAATCACTAATCGACGTGTAATGTTGCTCATGGTGCAGCAGGACCGCAGGTACGGGTCAAATGTATGATCTTCCTCATGTGATTAATAGAAGTGCATCGAGGTCAACTAGTAGGAAATAGACCCCGATGTTCCTACATTGAAAAGGCGCTTGTAGGTTTCAAATGACTACAGGAGTACAGACCGCTCATTTTTTGAATCTATGCGGTCAAGGTTAACTAAAGAATAATCTTGATAACTCCACATAAGAACCAAAAAGGGAGAATCAGAAATACAAAAGAGACAAAAAAATAAACATTGTAAATAAATAAATACAGACTAAAATCAACCTTGGAAGTCTCCTCCACTAAGACGGTTCGTCAAAGAACGGGCTTCGAAATACCCGACGATCAGGCTCTCGCCGGTACAATGCGGGGATCCACCAAGCTCCATATGCACCGCCCAACCGTTTCACTGCCACTCTCCAGCCTCACATGGTTCTTCAAGCACGAAATTCTTGTTCTTGTTTTCTTTGGTCACTTTCGGTCCCGAGAAAATGACGGTGTATGTCTCTTTCTATCATTATACTCTTTGTCCTGCAAATCTCCCCCAAGCCAAGCAGGGTAGGACTTGTCGGACCACTTGGCCCCTCCTTTTCTTTCCCATTTTCCCCACTTACTAGTAGTCTTGGTCGAATAGGAGGGAATAATGATGTGCATCGTGATCGACCTGTGGCACACACCCTTCATGGATTTCTTTCTCCTGTATCATCCGTGGTAGCCTGTTGGGCAGAGATAGGGGCCCGAAAGTTGAACAGAAACCTCACCTATTGTCATGATGATAAGATAAAAATCCTGTAAATAAAATAAAATAAACAATAAAAAAAAGAGATAAAATTAGAAAGGGATGGCAAGGTTCATTCAAGTTATGAAGGCCTCCGAGATCAAAACGCAGAGGCAAGAATCCGAGGGCTCCGCATACTCTTCCCCCAGGGACCACTGTGTCGGTGCCATACATCAAGGTACAACATGACGGCGATGTGGGCCACACGGTATGGTATTCCACTATTGTATGGAGTATAGGATATGGAGACATTGGAGATATGGAGCTAGGGGATGGTCTCACAAGTAACATTGAAGAAATGAAGTCAAAAGGTACCCGTGGACGGAGTAAAAAAAAGAAAATAGAGAAAATTACAAAAAGTAAATCTCACTATGTACTCTGTACTCCATACTAATTTACAATGACTGAAAAACATGTTAAATGTGGGGGAACTGGAGCCCGGTAAGCGTAGTGTTCAGACTATGGAAGTCTGAATGGAAGAAACAAAGTAGAATGTCCATAAGGGATCCGATCCACTTAGTACAGAAATCCTCCGGTGATACCGTCTATCCCTTTTTTTGACAATTCTTTTTTATTCTGTATGCCTCTCTCCGACAAGTACAACTGGGCATCAGACATAGCACCTGAAAGTACTTCATAGAAAGGTTGCCCCTTGTCTCCTTCGGCGGGAAGTCGTCATTGTGCTGGCAACTTGGATTCTTTTTTAAAGAATTTTTCTTTTGCTTTTCAACGTATCTGAAACACTGATCGGCCCCCCGTTTGACCGATAACATTCCCCAGGAATCGTAGGGATCGGCCAATGGAACCCATGCATTGAGATCTACCGGGGTTGGTTTTGGCGTATAGTCATTCCACATCGTCATCCCATCTCCTACCCAAGCTGGGTTCACTACAGTATGATAGGATCAATTTTTTGAAGGGTGGGTTGGGGCACTTTGCAGAGTCGTACTGTACCTGGGTACCTAATTATTTGAAAATAAAATAAAATAAATAGTAAATGGCTTGGATTATTTTGATTATCAACCTTAGGCCGTTACTATGAGTTGTTCATTGTATACCTCCGGCGCATAGACTATTTATTTGTTTGCTCCCGTGCTCTTTAGATTCTTTTCTTTTTCTTAATCTTCGCCCCCAGTTTAATCCCTGCGCCTAATATACTGGTTTTATTTCTCTGATGCATTTATAAGCCTCATCCTAGGCTATAGATAGAAGAGGAGGAAAGCACCCACCTGTCAGGCATATATTGGAATTCTTTTTTTTTCTTTTTCCAGTTTCTACTTTTATATTCCAAACTATTTCCATCTCATATCTCCTATATCCCCTGAGAGAGATCACATATTGCAATATACCTACTACTTTAGTGGGTATATCACCGGAAACAGCTATTTTGGAACTTGAACAATTTTGAAACCTTGGAAATTAAATACGGTTTCTGTATTACTGACCCACCGGTGATACAATACCCCTGTGTACACCTCATACGTCTCGTACTCACGGTAAGTACCAGTACTCCGTACCCACTCCAGCTTCAATTCCAAGCGGAATCACTGGGATCGAATCATGGATTTCAATTATTTTTCCCTTGTTCCTGACACCCCCTTCTTCAATCTCCTGATCACTCTCATATTTCCAGGATAACGCTGGACTTGTCCAGTTTCTTTCTTGGTTGCTCATTATCTCCACAACTGCAGAAGTTCCCACCGCGCGTATACCCTTGGTTACTACCACGTAACCGTGCAGAACCCGGGATCACCTCACCCTCCCACCTCCAATTATTTTGAGACCAAAAAAAAAAAAAGATTTCGTATAAAATCCCGAAAACCAGACCGAAACCAAAATCCAACATCAGCAATTCAACTCAGCTCGGCCCCTTCGCCGATTATCTTGCGTTTCCTCTTTCGACGTCCTGCAGTGACTGCGTTGGCAGTGTCGCAATACCCGCTTTCCCCAATCGCATTCGCCCTCAACTTGCGCCGCATAGAAAGAGAGTGGAAAAAAAGTACTCTCCTCCTCTAGCACGGCTGCTCCCATAACCGGTTGCATTGCTAGCTTCAAATCGCTATCCAATCGAAAAGTCGAGCTACTACGAAAGTAGGTCATCATCCCTGGCAAAAAATCTATTTTTTTGTTAAATTTTTTTTTTCTCGCCATACAGCTCACGCACCACCTTCCGAACACGCGACTACTTCTCTCTTGGGGCTCTTCTTGATCGCCGGGATTTAACCCGCATATGCGCAACCTGTGTCTTGCGTGGTCAACCCTCCTCTACGAGCACACGGTCCATTGCCCCTCCCTGGTTCGTCCGTTGCGCGATCAATTGGTTCATATCGCAACCGTTCACCCCTCTTGCGTGCAGCACAGCTTTCCCCACGCAAGCCCGGCAGATCGACAGAAAGAGGGGTCGCATTGGTTATCGTTAGGATATTACAGGGATTCAGCTGGCGCCCCCAAATAAGACAGGCACAGCTTCGGACCGGAACCTTGGCCTCGAAGATCACACCCCAAGTCTGATCCCCTCCTTCGCCTGGGGTGACGTCTGTCGTGGTTAGCGTCGGTCGAGCTCTTTTCCGTCTTTGCTTTTTTTTGTCCCATTCCCTTTTCGTCTGAGAGATCGACCGTTGCACGGGGCCGGTGCCCTCTGCAATTGTTATCAGGGACCTGTGCCCGTTCGTTATCCGTCACCACTTTTCTTGATTCTGTCGGCTTTTCCCCGTGAGGCGCTCTCCGGCAGGGCTCTCCGAATTGAAATCCAGCCAGGTCAAGATGCAGAGTTCAAGAACAGGATCTCTCTGCTGAGGAACGTGGCTGAACCATCATATCTTACTTTCTTACTGTGTCCGGCTATTCTTTTTTTTTTTGCTTTTTATTTTTTTATTTCCTTGGCTCGGATTCATTTCCAAGCTTAGCTTTGGCGACTTCTTTTTTAAAGGCTGGCTGGTCCCCTACCCTGATACCAAGTACCCAATTCAAAGTCCAGGCGACTCAAAAATTGGTGTGGTTGAAGGTCAAAGAAAAGAAACCCCGTTCACACTCTGGTCGACAGCTGCGCTGTCGCGTCACAACAAACAGTCATCATGGCCTACACTACAGCGACCTCACCGCCGTCTTTTGATGCAGAAACCCAAGCTAGCCTAAAGCTTACTACCTCTCTCCCCCGATCCAACTCTTTACATCATGTCGTTACTTCGTTGCCATCGGGGTCGACGCACTCTGGCGCACCGTCATTCACCTCATCTCCGACATCCACTCCCGCATCTGCCTACCCTGCGCCGGGCACACCGAATGGCTTCACTCCTGCCGGTACTCCTCTACAACCACCCAGCGAGGGTCCACGCGGTCGAAACTTTGAATATTCTCTACAAATTCCAGCTCCTTTGGAGCTTGGTGAGTCCATGATGGCAATTCCTAGCAACACAAACTCTGCCAATTCCAATGATTGGACAGCACCAAGCTCCAAGGGGGCTGGCTTGATGCGCCGCATCTCCCGCGGTGCAGCCAACAAACTTACCCGAAGAAGACAGTCTGCCTCCCAGAATGACAAACGAGACAGGAGCTCCGGTCCTGTTATAATGCGCCGGCGCAGTGACAGCAAGACTGGTCCTCAACCTGTTCGAGACAATGCTTTGGACTCAAGCAACGAAGATGATGTCAGTGAAGCTTTGGATGCTTTGGGTCCATGGGCTGGCTCCGAACCGTCAAGCTTGCGCAGCGAAAGTCGAATGTCTTCTGCTCGTGATATCAGTGCGGGTACTATGTCGACTCCTCCAGCTGCTATTGCCGTCATTGCACCCAAAGTGGACTCCGCGCTGCAGCGTGGAACAATCTTGACAAAGGTCACCAAGAAGCGCCGTAAGCAGGTCCGATTCTTCCTGGATTTGGATGCTGCCAAGGTCTTCTGGGATCTTTCTAATCCTGCGAAACGGTTCTATATCGACGATATCAAGGAAATCCGCGTTGGTGCTGATGCGAGGAACTACCGCGAGGAACATCAGGTTCCTGAAGATATGGAACGCCGCTGGTTTACCATTGTGATTGCGGACGTCGATCGTTTCAAGGGTCGAGCAGTCAAGACTCTCCACCTTATCGCACCCAATGACCGTGTCCTTGAATTATGGACCACCACTTTAGAGCACATTGCTCGTTACCGTATTGGTCTTATGGCTGGCATGGCTGCTTCTGCACAAAGCGAGACTGTGATTCAGGCTCACTGGCAACGTGAAATGTCACGGCTGTTCCCACAGGGCTTCCGAGCTGGAGAGGAACAATGTCTTGACTTTTCCGCAGTCGAGAGTGTTTGCCGCAGCTTGCACATCAATTGTTCCAAGAATATGCTCCGAGCACAATTTACCAAGGCAGATGCGGGACGCAGTGGCAAACTGAACTATACAGAGTTCAAAGACTTCCTTGCACGCCTTAAGGAACGCAAAGATGTCAAGGAAGTCTACAAAAGTGGCTCTGCGGAACTGAAAAACGGCATGACTCAGGATGAATTCCTTGATTTTCTTCGCGATGTGCAGAAGGAGGATGTGGACTCCGATCGTGCTCACTGGATTGCCTTGTTTGACAAGTTCGTTCGCAAGTCCAGGGCTCGGGGCTCTGATGCGTCAGAGATTTGTCCACCAGAACCGCGAATGAACCTTGACACATTTGCTTCTTATCTCACTTGTTCAAGTAACGGTATATATGCATCTCGCGCTCCTCAATCGCGTTTTGACAGACCATTGAACGAGTATTTTATCTCCAGTTCTCACAATACATACTTGCTCGGCCGCCAGGTTGCTGGAGCTTCTAGCACAGAGGCTTACATCAGTGCTCTCCAGCAGGGCTGCCGATGTGTGGAGATTGACTGCTGGGATGGTGCTGATGGACGTCCAATCGTGTCTCACGGACGTACCATGACTACCAGTGTGCTGTTTGCCGACTGTATTACTGTGATCAATCGCTATGCTTTCATCTCATGCGACTTCCCTCTCATCCTTTCTTTAGAGGTGCACTGCAATCCAGAGCAACAGCTGGCCATGGTTAAGATTATGAAGGAAACTTTCAAAGAACAACTTGTCCAGGAGCCTTTGATGACCAACTACTTCGTTCTTCCGTCGCCTGAAGAGCTTAAGGGCCGTATCCTGGTCAAAGTCAAGACATGTGATGAAACTCACAATGATCCTCGCGTTGATTCTATCAGCACTGTTGGCACCCATGGTCGTAAGCGAAGCTCCAGCTCTCCATTTGTTCGCCCAACACCCCCAATGGATTCCCTGAGTGGACTTCCGTCTTTCTCAAGCCCACCAACAATTGCAGGCGGTGCGGTGGATGGCATTGGACCCTTAATCTCTCAAGACAGACGTTCACTCACAGCAACAAGCATGAGCAGTGCAACCGAAGACAGCGATAGTGCGATGCCGTCCATTCACAGCGAAAAGAAAAAGAAGCGGCGTCAAAAGAGCAAGATCACAAAGCCTCTTTCTGATCTCGGTGTCTACACTCGTGGCTACAAGTGGCACAGCTTTAGTTCCCCAGAGAGCCGCAAGTATAACCACATTTACTCTTTCGCCGAGCGATCATTCGAAAGCATCTGTCAGAATCATGACAACAAAGTTGCGCTGGAAACACACAATCAGAAATACCTGACCAGAGTATACCCTTCCGGCTTCCGACTCCGCTCGTCTAACTTCGATCCAAACAAGTTCTGGCGCCGTGGTGTTCAGATGGCGGCTTTGAATTGGCAGACCTACGATATCGGGATGCAAATGAACCAAGCCATGTTTGCCGCTGGAACTGACCGCACTGGCTATATCCTTAAGCCTGAAAGCCTTCGACTGCCTGCTCCTGACAACGGAAACCAGAAGCGCAAGACAGAAAGGAGACTGGTTCGATTCTCTGTCGATGTCATCTCTGCTCAGCAGCTTCCCCGACCTCGCACAATCGGCCCTGAAGATAACATCAATCCTTACGTCGAGATGGAGATCTTCAGCGCTGATGACCGTGGTCAGAGCTTAGCATTTGGTGAAGGTGGCATGGATGCTTCTGCGCGCAATGGAATGTCTGGCATCGGATTTCCGCATCGCCGTCGCACGAAGATCGAGCAGAGCAATGGTTATAGCCCCGTTTTCAACGATCGCTTCAAGCTGTCTCTGGAGACCAAATATCCCGACTTGGTGTTTGTGCGCTGGACTGTCTGGAGCTCTTTGGATGGTCGCAGTGCGGGCAACAACAACAGTGTGCAGTTGGCTACTTTTACTGCCAAGCTTACCAGTTTGTCCCAGGGTTACCGATACCTTCCATTGTACGATGGCAAGGGCGATCAGTACCTGTTCTCAACCTTGTTCTGCCGGATCTCCAAGGAGGAACCTATTCCTGTTCAACGTCTGGACTTGGAAGAACTTCGTGCTGAGCGCATGGGTATTCTACGTCAGATCGGACAGACTGTCTTCAAACGTTCCTCATCTACCGACCGCGAGAAGGATCAATCTCAAGATCGGAGTGATCCTACCAGTCCGGAGGACAGAGATGGCTCTCCAATTCTTACACCGACCATATCTACTACATCCACCTCATCCTTTGTGCCTTAACAACGGGGCACTCCTCCACACAAACTTCGCTCCTGACTTCTCAGGCCAACTACTCCTCCCTTTCTCCACCTCAACATCCTCTACATACACTCCAGACACTCTCCTGCATTGGATGATATCCCCTCATCTCTACCTGTTACTATTATCACCAGAAGTTTTGTTACTGTTGCTATTACCCTGTCACAGCGATACCCCCCCTGTTTTGCCTGTTGTGTGTGTACCATTCATCATTTTTGTATCAGCTCTGGAAGGCCTTTTTTTCTTTTTATCTTGACAGGGTATTTTCATGTTCTTCTTTGTCTGTGTCTTTTTTTGCGTCTCATTTTCGGGCATGGGAATCTTATCTGGTTTTCACGGTTTCGGCGGAACAGCCACTTCAACCATCGCATTTGTGGGAGTCAAACACTGGGAAAGACATCGTGGCTGGTTCACCGGAGCATCCATCGAATCACATCGTTCACATTTGGCATTTTACGGCATTGAATCGGGTCATGGGGATCTGAATTCCATTAGCATTTCATATCGATTCGAACATGGGAATCGAGGCGCCGTATCTTGTATGGTTTTTTGCTTTTTTTGCTTTTGTTTTCTGTTTATCTCAGGGACTCCTTTTAATCCCACTTTTGACTTATATTCATTCACTTTTATCATGTCCTCTGTTCTATGAAACGGAGATACTGGGTACTATAAGGGACTTGCAATATCTAGTCTCAGATAGGTGCAGAATATAACTATATATCACCTACTGTCCTTCTTTAACTCCCAAGTACTACATCATTTGTCCAAAATAAAATCACCTAGCATTCAATAGATCATAATGACACTACTAGTGTACTGCCAGTGGCACCTTGGCAGTGGGTCGCCTGGGGCGGACGCCTGCAGCCCTGGAGGTGTGCATCGCTTTGAGCTTGAAGTTCACCTGGCAATGTTCATTTAGAATTTTGTAACGGATTGCTCAGATAGTCACCTGAACAATTTTCATGGTCAAATTTTCATCAGACTATACCAGCATGACAACTTGAAGCAATTTCGTCCTGGTTCCATTACTCCGAGTCCTTGTAAGAAATTATGTTTGGAATTTCAAGAAAATAATCTCGGCTATGAGGTAGTACCTCGAGTAGCATCACATCCTTGGAAGTACGTGGGTGTCATACAGCAAGCACAGAAATGAGCCGAAATCTGTATTTCATCCCAAGAGTCTTCAGTTTGTGGCTTGACTTGACAAATGGAACCCGATGAATTTGGGATCACTGGCGTGAAGAATGGCCCAATATGATCGCGGATGCTCAATGCTGTACTAGTAGATACGCTTGAATCCTTTTCAGCTCGGGCTTATATTATGCAATAGGATAATTTCCATAGACCGCATTTGTTTAAGCTCAAATTTAGCTTTTTTTGATCCGTGGTAAGTGATGTTGAACTTATCTAGTTTTAGTTAGCCTTAGATAGTTTATCTGATCGTAGACCCAGAGATTATTGAAACTTGAAATCCAGTTTTGTCTGATGGGAAGAATGTTCCTTTCCGTCTTTTGTAAATAATAAAGAAACGAATAGAGCTCTTGATCATCCATTCAAAAAATTCATCTATAATTGACTGTGAAGAGTGGAAAAGAAGACTCGGAGCAATTCCCACTGTCGTAAAATGTTCCGCTCATTCCGAGTCGAATTTCTAGTATAAAAAAGATTCGAGAAATCTGGTGCAAAATAATGGACTTACCCTACCATACCAATTAGGGACAATTCTTTTCCAAGTTTGCCAAATTAGTAGCGGAGACTTTCTTGATCTTGAAGACCGAAATCAAGGCTAGGCAGGTTCAGGAAGAGAACCACTTGAATTTTAGACCTATTCATCTTCCTTGAACCCAGAGAAAGTTTCCATTAGTCTCCTACTATTCCCTTTTTTCAACCTCCTTAATCAAGCCATCAGAAATTGGGCTTTTATCTTATTTCTTCACCCTTTTCTCCCGTGCTATTATTGTCTACTAGACACCTCAATATGCGTTTCTTTAACATAAAGCGTTTTCTCCCGGTTCTCTTCCTGCTGTCATGCATGGTTTGGGCGCATCAACACGGTGGAACCACCTTTATCACCGTTGCTGAGCTCGCCTCCGTTAGTACTGAGTACCGGGCTGAAGCCTCAGCCATATCTATAGAGCCATCGGTCCTATCGACAGCTGATACTCCATCAGACACCACGACTATTACCTCTTCCTCATCTTCAACCCCATCTACCTTCTCCACATCTACCAAGACATCCATTTACTCAGCTGACTTAGCCTTGCCAACTTATCCCTGGGGAGGCTCGTACGAAGACAAAGTTCTGTACAGTCATAACATTCACCGAGTCAACCACACAGTGTCGAACCTAGTGTGGAATGACACTCTATCAGGTGCAGCCTATTACTGGGCAACAAAATGCATTTTCCAGCATAACACGTAAGTCTCAATCCTGCAAGTCCATGATCAAGCTACTAACTCCACTCTAGTTCTGGCTTCGGTCAAAACCTAGCTGCCAGCGCCCCAGACGCAACTATTTCTCAACATATCTCTGGCTTATGGTACAACAATGAGGAGGGATACTACGCGTCTTCCTACGGGCAGGCCAACCCTCCTGGTGGCCCGGTCACTGGACATTTTACACAAGTCGTTTGGAAAGGAACGAAGACCGTAGGGTGTGCGACTATTGATTGTAGGGATGAACCTTTGGGAATGTGGTATACTGTCTGTAACTATTATCCACCCGGTGCGTATACCTTGTGGCTTCAAATGTTTGGTTGAAAAGTGGTACTGACTTTTATTTTCTTAGGAAATTGGGGTGGGCAATATGCCCAAAATGTCTTGAGACCTATTGGGAATCCTTATGTAGGAGATAACTCGGATTTTATCACGCATGATTCTTGGTAAATGGTGGAAACATTAATTGTTGATTCCAAGTTTTGTGACTACTAGTATTTTCGACTGCGCTTGAATTGGCCTTTACTTTTCTGAAATTTGAACTTCATACTAAACACCCTCTACCTCCCACTACTACCCATTATAAATCGGATAGAACTTGCTTCAAGTTGTAGTCAATACATGTCGGAAGCCCCTAACATGGGTACTTCAGGTCTGAAAGTAATAAAATTCAAATATCATCTAATCATCAAGCTTGTCGAAAAAGTATCTCGACTTATATACCGAGTCCAGCTCTTGCCACATGGCATGCTGTCCATGGACTCGTGTAATGAGGGTATCCGTATCAATCCTCAACATTAATGTACTAAATCAACAATCCCAAACAAAATTCATAAAACGCCCAAAGCCTGTAAAGTGGTATAAAAATCAAAGCTTCTTAGGAGAGCTGGCAGCGCTTGGCCCTTTTTGATCATCCGACGGAGAAATTGATCGTCGTCCATTATAACCAGTAACGTGCTCCACATCGATCTCCTCTCCGTATGCAACGGCAAAGTCTTCGATCTCATCAATATCCACCTCATTCCATGTATCACTGGTGGCTGGTATCGGGAAAACAGTGCAAAGAAGCCAGTACATGCCGCCCGATACAATGACACCGGAGAAATAGTTGATGTTGTAGATGTACTGTGCGCCCATTGGAACCTCGGGACCCCCGACTTCACCGACGAAGCCGACAATGTTCATTAAAATTCCGGAAAAGTATGAGGCGTACGCACGCCAAGAGAAACCATAGGTGTAGTAGTATGGGTCTGTTTTGCTGGCGCTGTACAGTGCTTTGATGTCTAGGTAGCCGCGACGAACAATATAGTAATCGGCAATCATGGGTCCTGCGATGGCAGAGAGGAATAGCGAGTATGCGGAGAGGTAGTCGGTGAATTGATTAGAAGATGCAACGAGATTCCACTGTGTATTTTGTTAGATACTTTATTCCAAGGCTCTTAGTTTGTAACAAGGCAAGTTATGGAAGACATACCGGGCACATCGCCAAACTGATAGCGGCACAGATGTAACTTCCACGTCGAATGTTCAGGTATCGGGGTAATAACGCAGTCAAATCTGTTCCAGCAGAGACTGAATTGGCGCAAATGTTGGTTCCAAGCTGGGCCAATGTAAAGCCAAGAGCGATGATGAAAATGCCGAAGCGCTGACCAGAGCTGGCGCCATCCAAAAACATGTCTAGCAAAGTAAGAGGACTCCACACCTCTGTTCCATAGATGACGGATGCAGATGAAGTCACAATAATACCAATGAACGAGGTAATGCCAAAACCGATGGGAATCGTGAGAAGCTGGGACCACAGGGCATCCTTAGGCTTGCGGGCGAATCGAGAAAAGTCAGGGTCGTTCATGATGAGAGCGGCGAAGTTGCCAATGCATGACATGATACCCTTGACAATTTGCCAAGCCAATGCACTTCCGTGAATAGTGTTGGGCTGGTGGATGATCGGTCCAATGCCGTGAGCTCTGGAGATGGCCCAGGCAAAGAATGCAATTGCAGCAATGGGCGAGTAGTACGCCTTGACAGTGAACAAATGACGAATCTGGTGGACAGGGAACCACAATGCTGGAAGGGATCCAAGCCAAAAGAGAAGGAAACTGACGAAGCCCTGGGTTGTGACGCCAGCACCAGGAGACATTGTGTTAGGTAGGTTTCGATAGCTGGGCCAGATGGCTGATATCATCACAGTCACACACTCGCCTAGTAAAGATATTAGAAAGTGGCTTTGCATCATTTAAAAAAAGACAATCTCATACCTCCAATGTAACCTTGCACTCCATACCAGATGATAGCCATCACAACACGATTAATAATTGGCCAGAACGAACCCCAAATTCCAAAGGATGCTCGGACTGTGACTGGGAACGAAGTGTGATAGACAGCACCGATGCGACCGGTCAAGCAGACAAAACCCGCTGCGATAAAATATCCAATCCAGACACAAATCCATGCCTGCCACCATGAAAGACCAGCGACGATCATTGATGATGAGATCATCCATGTATTCTGGATATCCGAGGTTAGATATATTTTATCATTTCAATATCATCCCAAGCGCTCGTAGACTCACAATATTTAGTGAATCGGCAATCCAAAATGCAACATAGTTCAACCAGCTCCATCGGCGGCGTTCAGGCTCAACTAGAGGAAAAGAAAAAGGTCGATTAGCTCAATTTGCTCACGAAAAACCGCAGAAGCTTGGGTTGACAAGAATATTGGCGACCGCAAGGGAAAGTCCCATAGTAAATATGCACATGTGGGATAGAATAAATAATGGCAAGGCGCCAACTTGAAGTATCTTCAAAAGTAGAGTGTAACTTGAACACCAGTCGCACTAAAATCCAACAGGCTATTTCTTACCTGGTCGCAAATCATCATTCGTTAACATCAACTCAGCATTGGTAAGACCCGGTTCATGATGAACGGTCAATTTATCAAGAACCCAATGTAACTTTTCCATGATGTCAAATTGCGCTTCAGCAATGCTAAAATCAAGAAAGGAACAAGACAAAAAAGAGTCGCAACCCAGGACGGGAACCTGGGGTAGCAAGTTATAAAAGGAATCAAGTAAATATATTTGAAAAAGGATGAAATTTATGGCGAGTTCGAGGTCGTTTGAAAGGAGAATATCCAGCTATGATATAACGAGTCCCGTGGAAAAAGACGATATCATCATCCGAGCATGGATGTCCGGATCCTGTGTCGCATCCTTGCCCACAGCCATGGTGCGATAACAGTATTCTGCTACTGGTCCATCGGGATGATCAGCATAAGCTTGGATCCGCCATGAGCGATATCATTCCCCAGGTTGACCTGTGGCAGGGGGTTTGAGCACCAAATGGCCACCATGGGCGCCGCCTATCATTTTCCATTACTCTGATTGCTTGAGTTGGTCGAGTAAGACAAGACGTTATCAATGATAAGCGGGTGCATACGGGAACTCCACTTTCTCCGCAAGCAGCGAAGTCTCTCGGTGATTGGTTAGAATCGGTATCTAATCATGGGGGAAAGGAATATGAGAAAAGGGCTAAGAGATTGGCGTAAAAGTGGATTTTATGGTGACTCGATGCCATCGAGTAATGGGTTTAATCTTGGTGGAGTCACGTGCTGTGCAGATAGCTTACTCTCACGTCCATCAACATTGGAATAGATATGGATGAATAAGAGTTTGTACTAAAAAAATATTCTGGAAAACGAAAATCAATTAATTCATTCCGAGATTCAGTTCCTGATCATCCCATATCCGACTCTAGATTGAATCAATCCAAGTTTTTCTACGGATATATCTACACTCTCCGGGAACACCACCTGCATCACGTTGGAAGATCAATTCCATTGAACAACAAAATAAGGCTGAAAAGACCAAGAACATTTGAGAAGAAAAAAAAAGGGCTCTCAATACTGCTGGAGACACATGAACTGTTGAACCAGAATACTGGAAACCGATCTAGGATTTTTTTTATTTCTCTCTAGCCAACCCCGGTACCGATCTCCCGCCTTCTGTACAGAATATCGTACACCTGTGGATATTGATATCCATGGCACTAATTTATCGGCGCAGAGCCTGAGTGATGGGGGAATCACCGCGACGGAAGGAAGCTAGATGATCAGTTAGCTAATCTGGAGAGAAAGGTAAGGGTGCAAGCTTCTCAGGACTGAAGCTGTCAATGCCACCGCCAATTTCAATCGTTGTCGAACTTATGGCAAGGGTTCGGATGCTGAGCAATATCCCAATCGGAATCCGAAGGAGATAATACCCATCATCTCAACAGCTGACAGCTCCAGTCCATTGAAGGGAAACTGAATGGAAGAAAAAAACAACAAAGCTGGGTAGAGGTAAACATACAGTCAGCCTCCTCCCAGGCACGACCAGCACCGAAACCAAGACCAACCCAAGCGGGCCAAGCTCTACGCTTGAAGAGGAGCACTGAGAAGACAACACCGAAAGAAAGGCCGAGGGAAGACTTGATGATCATGGAGGAAATGGCACGGTCCCACTATGTTATTTGTCGATCATATATTAGCCAATGGTATTCAATGTTGAAGCTTCGGATACACCGCAATTTCCCCTTGTGCAGTAAATATTGAAATAATTGCATAGGATGCATGTTTGTCGGGCAGAAATCTATACCTTCTCGTTGAGCAGAGCTTCACTGACGGGCTTGGTGGCCCGCGCGACCGGCCGGGACTCGCTGGAATCAGCCATTGTGACGGATCTGGAGGAGCATAGGTGTTAGCACGGTATAATAATAGTCGCAATCAATCCCATAGCTTACGTAGAATTAATATGGAGGCAAAAAGGAGAGTAGATGGGGTCGAATTAAGAAGAGTGCAAGGAGCCGGGAGTTGACGAGGAAGTTCGGGTCAAAGGCGGTCGGGAGTTTCACCGCGGTTTTTTTTTCCCGTTGGGTATCGCTTTTTTGCTTCTTGAGTAATTCGAAACCCCTCTTGTCGACTATCGCTCTGGTTTTCCACGATGCCTTTACTCGTGGAGGTAAGCTTGAAATTTGTGGATTCTTGTATTTCCTTTATCTTCTAAGCTAATGGTGTGGGTTTTCAGCGCCCGCGTTCATCGCAAGAGGCGCTCCTCCGCCTCGAAAAAGGCAGCGCTTCTCCGAGTACTCAACTTCACGAAGCGGCACAAATTCTCGGATTGGACCTATCGCTGTGTGGGAGTCATCCGGAGACTCACCGGGATGAGAACATTCAAAGTAAAGCTACTCCGAAGGAGGAGTGGGTGCTACGATGGTTGTTGAAAAAACTACGAGCCGGGAAGAACTATCGAGTGGACCCTTCTTCGTTTTTGCTTCTGCGACAGCTTATCGATCTGATTTCACCGAAGAATTTGGCGGCGATTTTGAAGGACAACAAGTTTTTGCCTACAATGTGCGAGACGATTGCCGATTTGGAGACCGACATCTATGCGACAGTAGGCAGTGGGTTATCGATTTCGAGCTTCGGTTCGGAATCTAGTCATACGCTGTCTGGCTCCTCTATCCAAGATGAACAAACTGGGATTCAGGGAATCAAACGGAAGAGAGACAGCGCAGAGAACGATCCGGATGCTATGGATATTGATAGTCCGCCACAGGACCCCGCATCATGCTTCCTTACATTCATTCGTGTACTGGATTGTTTGCACGGGGTTGTAACATTGGCTCAACGAACTATCGGAACCGACGAGGTTGCAAACTCTCATCTTAAATTGGTCTTACGAGGAGATCCCGACGCAGTCGCTTTGTCACTTGGTAGGGCATTCCAACTGGCCGCCATAGCCACCGCCCAATTTACTCAAGCCGGCAGAACCACCGACGTCCAACATTTGGTGTATGTATTCCCAGCTATGTTGGAGCTATGGGAGTCGAGATCTTTTTGCCGCGATGACACAGACAACAAGACAAGCAACGAATGTTTTGCGAACTCTTGTTTGTCCCACGCCCTCCGATTGCAATTTTGTCTGCGGAATATCAACCTTGATACCGATGAAAGGGCTTATCTACTCCATGCGATAGAGCGAATCATTGCTCTTCATGTGCTGCTTCCCGTGCGCACAGATTTCTTTGAACGAGGTGGATCTGGAATTGATTACTCACACGACGAGCCCGATTGGAGCGCAGTCAAGCCGGTGACAGATGCACTTCGACCAATCATTCGCGAGCAATCTAGCATTCAGGGTGGATCTGACGGCTCTAATGTGCCCTTTCATTCACTTTGGCGGTCCATTGAGCTTCTCCCGGAGCTGTTCGATAATGCCGTCCGAGCTGTCCCAAGAGATGACTTCAGAAGGCAGACTCGCGAAGCTCCTTGGTTGGAAACTCTCTTCGTTGCAGTGGCTGAGCTGGCTTACTCTACTGCAAAGGACGATGAGCCCGATAACTTTACTCCTCGGTTTGTTTCAGTACTGGAGCAGCTCCTTCGAGTAGCTCTCGAACGGAATGTCGGCTTATCCCTCCACACCGTCCTCACACACGCACGTTATACTGGTCTTCTTGAGGAAGGCTTAGAGCAGGTTGAGTGGGCCATCACCGCCTTGGTGATTAGCCTTGGTGTTGATGTCTTCTTACCCAATTCGGGATTGCGGGACACTCGCAAATTTTTAGACGCCTTGCTAGACAAGATCATGCTTCAGTGGCGTCACGATGCTGCCAACTCATCTGAAACGTATCAAGTCATTAAACATGACATCGTACTGCCCTTATTGCGAGGGTTTGCAACTGCCAGAGACTTGCCTACTTTCTTGGAGGTATGGCAAAGCCAGCTTGTCATTTTAGAAAAAGCCCGAGCCCAGAATGGCACTTTGCCATTGTTTTCCGTTTGGGAAGACGATGACTTATGCAACGCATATAGCGAGGTTATACGTACCTCTCTTATTGGGACAACCTTATCAACCTTTATTCAAGCTACCGCGGTTGAGATTAGAGCTGACGATGGCAAAATTTCGGATTTGCCGGAGTCGTACGCAAAGTTTGTGGTCGTTGAAGCCAGCTCTCGCGGAAGGTCATGGGATTTCATCAATGCTGAGAAGACCTTGGCGCAGTTTTTCGATGTGATAGAAGCTACTCTCTCCTCGAAGCAAAGTATTCATTGGCGTTGGCGCTTATGGCGATTTGTGCGAAATGTTCTACGAAATAACTTGCACGCACCCGACAATTCTGTCACCCAGACGGCACGATCTCTAATCGTGGCCGCTTCCAAGAGAATTCATCGCAACCACAAGAACCTGACCAAGGCACCTCTTGCCTCACTAGAGTCTTGGGAGGCATACAGGTTTGCCTTGGTTTCCATCAAAGGACAGCCGAGCGAGGAACAGCGTGATGCCTTCATTGCCCTTTCAAAGGACATCATAAGCCTCGTCACTTCTATTTCTCGTGAAGATGCCCAAAAATCGATGGAAGGCCCCTGGAATGGACGGGTAGACACCTTGAATTCTCCAACTATTCTTGCCCTGGCTTATATACTGGCACTTGTCAGGGTACCAGATGTCTGGGAGCTTATCGCGAGTGAAGACCGATCACGCCTCTTCCAGCACCTTCTTTCCTTGGCCGCTGCTCAGTACCATTCATCATCATTACCTCTGGAGGCCGTGGCAGATGACGCCCGGTTCTTGCAAGCATGGGCAAGCATTGTATGCCACGAGTATCTGCTCAATGTACCATGTCTTGTGCCCGATGTTGCCCTCCTTCTTAACAAGAATATCGAACAAGACTCTTCGGATCGTCGATTGTACATCGAGAGCTTGCAGAGAATTCCAACCCCCCTCATCACTCGTGGTCTGAGAACCTCTCTCCTGAACAAGCTTCAGGATGTTCTCGTCCCGCAGGATACCACTTCGGAAGTCACTGCCGGGGTCTTGACTATGATGGCTAAGTTGGCAGCCATGCCTAAGTGTGATGCGAATGTGACTAGTGACTGGGAGCCAATTTGGACTACAGCCCGAGCTATCACTCTTCAAGGCACTGAACTTGACCTTCAAATAATGAAGTCATTCCGAAGCCTGCATCGTGCTATCATTGCCAAATTGCTGCTGGTTTCAAATGACGATCGTGATGGTTTATTCAAGAAGTTGTTTGCAAGAGTCTCAAAGCAGGCCTCTAAGTTGAGACAAATTGATCGTGACTCTATGGTCTGTTTCCTCCTGCGCCTATCCTTATCCGAGCTCTGGGTGCATCGCACCAAACTGAACAAGGCTTTCTCTGAAGATGAGCTGGCTACTTGTCGCCAAAATGTGTTTAACTTGGTGCTCGCGGATATGAAGTCTGTCAAGGACCAATGCCGAAAACATCAGTTGGAAGAGACAGTAACTCTCATCAAGACCATCGATGCCTTGGAGGACTTTGAGGATTTGGCATTAAATAACATTGAAGTCGAGAAATTCTTGTCAAAGATTGAGCATTATATGGCCATGTCAGTTGACTCGGCTCCATCCCGGTTGATTCGTCGTCGTCTTTTGGCAACCAAAGGATCAGAGAATAGCATAACCGAACCGGTTCTGCGATGTGCTGAAACTCTTACTCTCCAATCGCTCTATGCGGAAGACCAGCAGCTTTTTATCCGGGCCACTACAGAGCGCTTCCGCTCCATGACAGTTGGCAGAATCACCCAGGCAATTCGTGAAGTTCGGGAGCTTGGCTTCACTGGCCAAAATGCGGCATACCGAATCCTTGTCGTCTATCTCGCCATCATCTCACTGCCAGCAGTGGAGGACAAAGAAAGTGAAGTTGCCTGCGAATTATCTCTCCTTTGCACAGCTCTGGCCGATGCCATTGTGCACGGTACCTCAATTGAGCAGTTCTGCTTTGCAGTAGAGAGCCTCACATTGTTGCTCCGAGTACACACCCGCACCCTCGCGCAATGCAACATTGACACTATCCTGGCCGCCATTGCGACCTGCGCCTCCAAGGTCGGCCCGCGTATCTCGCCTGAGTATGCCTCGACAATTTATACTCGTCTCTGTCGCCTAATGGGTATTGTTCTCGGTCTCCAGCGTTTGAAGGTCAACGGTCGTTTCCATCTTGTCGTCAAGGCCATGCAGCGCCTCCTTGGTTGCCTTTTCGCGCGCTCACGCAAACGCTCCCGCTCTGCTCACATCCAAAACTCCCTCTCCCAGCCTTTCTGGCTCGCTCCACTGGAGGCATCGCACACATCTTCCTACACTCGTCTGCTTACTACGCTGAGTGATCCCACTGTGTCTGCTGTGCTCCGGCCTCAGCCCGGTGCATCCCGTGATGCTTTGAACGACGAGACTAAGAAAGCGAAGCGCATTGCTGGTCAGCATCTACAGTACGTCATCATGGAATACGCGCAATACTCCTTGCGTGGATCCCTGTTGCCGGCTGTTAAGGCTGCATTGATGCCAGGCTTGTATGCGGCCTTGGATGTGATGTCGAAGGAATCGCTGCGTGCACTGAACGCCGGGCTCGATGTCTCTAGTCGGGCTGTTTTCAAGTCTCTTTATGATGACTATGTCAAGTTCGGAAAGTGGAATAAGGCTTGATTGTATTTTCTCTGCCTTGTGTGTCTTTTTTCGCTCCGTTCTCTATTGTTTTCTTTTTTTGAATCTCGCATAGATGGTGTGTTTATCTTTTTTACTTGGAGGGGTTTTCATCGCATTTTCTGTACAACACTTCTTACTCCTCGGACTTATGATATCCCCGAATGCATATGAATATCCTGAAATTATAAACAACTCGTCAAACGAGTTTTCGAAACCAATAGTGTGGTTCAATGTTCTCCTGCACAATAAGCCGTCTACCAACTGCGGGTCTAGTTTCAAACACCACAGGCATTATCAACAAAATATTCAGCACAGATTATCCCGACGGATTGTCCCGAGGTCGGCGAGGCTGATAAAGCACTTGGCTAGGTCTAGCTGTTAGCAACCTTGGAAGTGGGGCGAAGTGCGTGCTCAAAGCTTACTACTATTATATTAGTCTATACTAGGTACATTGGTTAATTGGTAAACTTGGAAGTGCGAGATTCCACTAGATTACTTAGCGTAGTCCGACGAGTCCTTCTTGAATCCAGCCTCGTCCCTAGTCCACGTAATGTACTAATGCACTAATGCACTGACACACTAATCTCGCGCCGAATCTTCCTTCATCCCGCATCTCCACCTCTTAGGATTTACGTCCAGTCCCTAATTCGCCCATGATGGTATCTATCGAAAATGTACAGCAAAGCCCGAACACTGTTGGCAGGAATGAGTCTCGGCCCCCACATCCCCCCAAAAAATACCTGTGGGTACCAGTGAACCTGAAAGACCCAAAGCTACAAAATGAGGCGAGTTTTGGACGCACACAGTCATTCCTCAAGTCTGAAGGACATCGTCTGCGCAAGGCCAAACAACTTGAGAAGTTGAGAGCATCCATTCGGTCTTTGCCAGCCCAATCAAGTAAGCTTTACGCTACGGATCAAGAGCGAGAGTTTAATGACACGCGTCAGAGCAAGAGCGACCAGGCTGGATTGGTGGTCCAAGTTGATCAAGCCTTTGGGATTGGTGTCCAAGTGGCCTTTCCTTCATTCAGTATCCCGACAAGTACCAGTTTAGACTTCTATCTCAAATACTGTGTGTCTCTCTTCGATGCTGAGATCAGGCTTGAACCTGAAGGGGCATTCCATCTACCTAATGAGGTGCATACTTTTCTAATACTAGTACATAACAGATGAAGTACATACATCTAGAGCGTGTTTCCCACTCTGCTCTTCGCATATGACAACGCTATGCACTCAAGCATCAAAAGATCTCCCAGCACTGATGCTGGTTCTACTGGCGTCTGCTGCGTCATCAAGAGCTGCAAGCCTCCTCCCTAGAAGCGATTCTGTAATGGAAGTGAAACAGCTCATGCAGGATTCCTTAAAAATGAGAGCTCAAGCAATCAAGTCATTACAAGTGGAATTCAATGGAGGCTTGGGATCAGATAAAGAGGCGCTACTCTTGACTGTTGCTCTCCTTCTTGGCTTAGAGGTTTGTCCATGAATGAATCTGACCTTTGGATTATCAGCTAAGTTTTGGAGGCCGCAGAAGGCAACTTGAAAGCCGCTATGGCACATGCTAATGGCCTGAAAATGATGGTCGCGATGCTAGAGCAGTTAGAAGATACCGGTGCTGTCAGCCACTGGCACGATATACACTCCCTCATGCACTTGTATGTGCCACATACAATCTGAAGACAGTTTAAACGTTTCCATACTAATATAATCTACAGTGCTGATGTTATGCTCGGAATGATTTCCGATTCCCCTGCTCTCTTTTATGCTACCCCGGAGTGGGAAAGAAGAGCCATAGCCAATTTCACCCCACCAATGATGGACGAATATTTGACCGGACCTCCTAGTATTCTAGGGATGGCATTTTTCACCTCACCCTGGACTGATACTATACCTGCTGAATTGAAGGACATCATTCAGTCACTCCAAAAGCTCATTCCCCACCATGAGCGAAGCCTTCGTCTAGGAAATCTCTCAAGCATAATAGAGAATGACTTCCTAATAATGCTGGCTCGGCAACTGTTGATAGTGCCTTTGAACATTCGCTTGGATCCTTTCCAAGAAACCATTCGGTTCTCGATCTTCATCTACTTCGTGACCCGTCTCTGGTCGTTTGGTAAGAAGCCTTGTACCGTCAATCTTGTTCGGAGGCTCCGTAGAAGCCTTGATGGATGTCTGGACCACTTCCAAAGCTCAGCCCCGGGTCTTCTTTTTTGGATCTTCTTCATGAGTTCCCTTGCAAGTCATGGAAGTGTGGAATTCGTGTGGGCTGCGCATGGGCTTAGGGAATGTGCAGGCTCTTTGTGTATCTCGGAATGGAGTGAGGCGCTGAGAATTTTAGAAACTTTTCTTTTCTTCCCGAGAAAGGGCGATGTTGCAAGAGATATATGGGTTAAGGCACAAAGCATCGAAAGGAATAGTATCCTAACTGGAGGTGGGAAATTCTACCCAGGTCTCTAACATGGATGTTGTGCAATCGATGAGCGGGCGGGCAAAGGCTTGTTGATAGGAAGAAATGTGACAAGGCTTTTTTTGCCTAAATCAACCTGTTCTCAAATGGATCCTGATATCAGGATCCCATCTGCAAAAATTGGGTATTTGATCGATGGACAGAGACCCCGCTAGCCCACCCGTGGACCTCCGAGTCCTTTTAGTGCAAAAACCCAGCCTTTCAAGTTCTTCAGTCTGAGTGGATCTCCTAGTAAGGCCTTGGTTTCGTGACTAACCGCTTTAGAGGATTGTTTAGCCCTTAACGATTGGCCGTTATTTTTTCATTCAATTACACCAGCCCCCAATGCTGAGATATTGAGGCTAACCTTTTTTGGAAGAAACAGCGCCAGATATGATTGATCAGGCTTTGATATACTCCACCTAGATCATCGGGCCAGCCTCATACTTGTCTAAAAGTTTCAGCCACTAACTAAGGTCTTGGTCTCTGAGTCGTCACAAATGGGCTATTTGCTTTACTTTCGAATGTCACGGTCTCATTAGCCTCGGAGTTTGAGCCTTTCACGGATATGGCCCGGAAGAGCTATTCGTGCGCTGGTAATTCTTATTTAAAGGAGGATAGTCGTCGTTGAAAAAGAAAGAGGATTGTGATAGAAAGAAAGAATAGCACCTAAAATTTCTTCCTTCAGGCCCAGCTCAACATGACTCAAACGACCCGACCTTTCAAAGTGATTATCTCAGGTGGAGGAGTTGCAGGTCTTAGTCTGGCATTAATGCTGGAAAAGGTTGGACTGGATTATGTTCTTCTAGAAGCCTACTCTGAAATCGTTTCCAACAAATCCGGCACGGGAATCGTTATGCTTCCTAATGGAAATCGCATCTTGGACCAGCTCGGCTGCTATGAGAGTCTTGTTCATCTGGCAGGAAACCCTATTGAAAGTGTCAGCTTCAAAGACCCCAGCGGAGAACTCTTGTCGTATACAGAAGGATGGCAAAAGAGAGCCTCAGAAAGGTTTGTCCAGAATACTTGATTGATATCCTCCATGGCGAAAGGTTTGGCTTGCTAACTATAACAAATAGGTATGGATATATGGCGCTCTGGTGTGACCGGGGTACGGTATTGCAGGCCATGTATGACCAGATAGAGGACAAATCGAAAATCTTGGTGGACAAGAAGGTCGATGTCATTCAACAGACAGACAGCGAAGTTGAAGTGACCACAGCGGATGGATCTGTTTACCGTGGTGATATCATCGTTGGGGCAGATGGGGTTCATTCTCGCGTCAGGCAAGAGATAGCTCACCATGCCTCAAAGATGGGTCTTGGTGAAGAATACACAGCAGAAAGTGGTGAGTTTTCAGCTTCTGTTGGCTTGAAAGCACTTCTAATCATCTTGACTACCTAGAAGTTCCTTCCACTTACTCATGCCTGTTTGGTATATCAGGCAAGATGGAAGGACTACCAGAGGCCACCCTTGACTACGTACTCAACAAAAAGTTCTCTTATATTATTGGAACTGGGCCTGCGAATCGTACCTATTGGGGCTTGATGAAAAACCTCGGTCAGACATTTCATGGTAGCGAAATACCTCGCTTCGGTGAGAAGGACAAGGAAGAAATGATTAAGGAACATTGGAACGATAAAATTGCCCCAGGTGTCTCTGTATCGGACCTATACAACAACCGACTACGTCCACTATTCATGGCCCCAATGCGCGAATACACATACAAGAGATGGCATTCGGGCCGAATGATGATGATTGGAGACGCGGCTCACCAGGTATGAAATCAAAATATCAGACTCACCATCCCATACAATTTCACTAAACAGTTCTATAGATGACTGTTATCATTGGCCAAGGTGGAAACCAGGCTGTTGAAGACGCAGCAGCGCTGACCAATCACTTGGTATCAGCGTTATCTTCCTCAACAACAGAACGCTTGTCGTATGAAGAGATACAACGTGTCTTTGAGGGTTACCAGCAAGCTCGCTTTGATCGAGTGAGTCGCATGGTTGAGCTTTCTCACCAGCGGCAGCTCATGGATTCGTTAGACACACCAGAGTTGGAGGAAATAATGTTGCATAAGTTCCCAGCGACGCTTCCGGGATCCGTGGTGCAAAGATGGGATCAAACATTTGAGCCAGCGGCGTGTCTCTATAACCTTCCAGTGCCTGCAAGGGCTAAGGAGTTTCGCTGGGTGAATGAGCCAAAGGACTCGGAGTCAAAGGACAGCTGAGATACTACCTACCGAGCGTCTGGCTCCAGGGCTTTGGCCAATTTCGCTAGTATGATTATTCAAACTAATCGTCAACGGATTTTGTTTGAGCATCGTTAACTCGTGATGAAAATGGTGGCTGATGCTTCAAGTTGATGGATCATTTTGAATGAATCTAGTAGCGGTTTTCATTTGCTGCGGACAGGGTCTTGAATATATTTGCGTTTTTCTAATTTATATTTTTCAAGTTGTTATCCACTCATTGAATGTTGTACCACTCGACGCGTTGGATTACGCGTCCAACATAATCGAAATTGAATATTAAATGGTTCAAATATCAGGTTGAGCTCAATAAGCTGGTGACGGGGAATAATGCACAAATCGATGCGGAATAGCGAATTTGTATTCTAGCTATAATCTAGAATATAGCTATCTAGGTGGGGGTATCATTGTCATTTCATAAATCATGAACGAAGAAAAAAAGTCGGAGAAAGAAGACGAAGAGAGGAGATATAATGGGGCTGAAAAGCCCGGGAAATGAGACTGAAAATAAGAGGCCAGCGCAGATGTATCAAATCATAGATGTCTCGAACTTTCGCGGGCTACAACATGATACTGACATGTTCTCAAATGTAGGAATGCGAGAAGATTGAGCATCAGTTGAAGTAAGATGATTTCCATGAAGGACTTGGTGATTGGCGCCATTGAGGACGGATTGTTCGGGTAGAGGTGCTTCCAGAGGCACGCCGTTGTGTCCGCTATGTGTGAGACAGCCGACACAACTACAATCGTTACCGCATTGGCAGCTGCCTGTGACGTCGGAGCACGCTGACGGTATTCCAACGGGATACTCCAGAGTATAGTACTCTGAGGGATGCATCAACTGCTGGTTCAGTTGATGGCCTGCCGGTAGAGGGGAGGAGTAGCCACTCGGCATGGCTGAATTGGGATTGGAGTATGGGTCGAAGGAATTGTGGTGCATAGCACTGTCCATAGAAGGTGTCTGCTGCATAAAGAAGTTCAAGGGAGTCGGAGCAGTGGTACTGGGGTAAGAATGGGGTTGGTAGGATTTTGCAAAGCCGTCAGGGCTGCGTTCATCGTCATCGAAGGTCATCATAACACCCATTTCCTGAACGTGCTGTCGAGTGGTATTGTTGAATGGATGGGCTGCGCAGCCTAAGCACTGGCATTCATCGCCACATTTACAATCATGGCAAGGGTCACCGACAGGTGTTGTTGCATGAGCATAGCCGTTGTGAGCAGCACTGGGAAATGAAGCCATGGGAGCTTGAGATATCCCAAGTCCATTCATCAAATTTGAATACTGGGCAGAAGATGCATTCGCCGAGTAGTTGTCCATATTATGGAAATAGGGTGAAGACTGGTGTTCCTGTATCCCGAAAGATGGCATGTACGATGCTTGTGTAGAAGGACTTGAATTTTGCCATGAGTTCTGGGGCAACGAAACATTCATGTATGACATATCGTTCCATGTAGTAGGCTGCTTGGTCCTCGGCTGCTGTGTCTCCATATGACTAGATACCGCTGACACACTGGACTTTTTACCACAACAAGACCCACCACTAGGAGCTGTGGGTATAGGTGGTTTTGAAGAACAGCAACTCGCAGCATTACCTGACTGTGGCATTCCGTTGCTTTCCTGTGCATGTGCAGGTGCAGATGCATAGGAAGACTTCCGGTGAGGCGAATGATTGCCGTTTAGAACGGGTTGATGAGGAGGCAGGCCTGTCATAAAAGGAGATGTCCCGTCCTCTTGTTTGACATGCTCGGGCATAGCTTCTAGAGCCTTGACAATGTTTTCGGGTGCCGCATGAATATGGCTTTGTCTTCTTCCTGATTTTTGGATTTTGCCCAGCGCGGGCGATGCGACTGGAAGCATGGGGGTTGGGGTAGGTTGATCTGAATCGCTGGGACTCGCGGGTACTTTGTAGAGAGGTCGGCATAGACAAGTCGAACCTAAATATAGCCATGGTCAATGCGATTCTGGTGAAGTAAAAATTGAGTTCGGTTTACCTTTTGGAATCCGGACCATGAATGCATAGGTCTTCTGGCAACTGCAAGTGCCTTTGGGATGAGGACATTTGGCCAAGGGTCGCCCAGCCTTCGGAACTTTCATCATCAATCGGTCGAAATGTTGACATTTTGACGAGCGGTGACCACGAATGCATGGCTCACTAGAATTGCGATTGTTAGTTGTTGGTTGTTTGACAAGATCTGATTGAAGCAAATCTCACCAAGACCATTTGGCACCCTCTTCGTCGAGAGGCATTGTTGCAAAACGAGTCTGTATGGTTCAGATCGGAGGTGAAATGAGCGTAAGATGACGAGATATGCGTCGGAGAGTCGCTAGTTCCGTGTCACCGGCGCAGGGTAGTGGGGTTATCGATACCCGACTCAAAAGTAATGGGCTCTAAGGAGATCGGAGTTGGTTCAAAGAGTGGAGTAGTGATATTATCACCCCAAAATGGTTCCTATTTGTCGTCCAATGTGTTTAGATGTCGAGCGGGGTTGCTGAAATCAAAAAGGCGCGGCCGGCAAATCTTTGGACGAGTCCCGAGCGGAACAGACCGGTTGGGTCGGGGGCATCAGTGACGACAACTCGACGAGAGGTGTAGAAGGTTGGATCCACGAGTCTTAATTCTAGGGTCCCAGAATCCAAAGGTGGAAAGTCTCGAGGATATCATGTATTCAAAAGGACCCAAGTTGTAGTCAGGAACAAGACGAGAACAGATGAATGTGATCTTGATGCGGGGAGCATGCTGACTCATCCCCCTTGGACTCGCCGCGGCCAAATGTTTGAGCTTCAGTACATTATTGTCTTAAGCAGTCTAACTCGGACAACATGGCAACTGCGCCAAACGAGGGGGCTCAGCCCTCAAATAATTTACGGTCTTTCCTTACTGTACCTCCTACTATTAAGCGCCTCTTTGACAAGTTCCCTTTGACCACCTACCCTGCAAACGATCTTCCGCAACGTTCTCCGTCCCGGCGACACGATAACCAATTGTTCGTCTTCAGCGATCCCACGAATGCGCGTCGAGGTCGCCCTTCATACAATCCGCAATGTCTTAAATGGCAGGTTCGTGACCATCTCAATGAATTTATGGGTATTTCCGATGTATTCATACTGTCCCATTCTAGGCGTATCTGAAATTCGTCGGCATTGACTTTGAAATCACTCCTTCCAATAACCATGCATCGCCAACCGGCGCCTTGCCCTTTCTCCTCCCAGCTGTTCCTGCCTCTGGTGCCTCGAATGCCATTCCCTCCCATAAGCTCCAAAAATGGGCCATTGAACAGGTCCATTGTGAGGAAGAACAGCAACTACATCTCCGTTTCGAGGTTTATGCCTCTTTGATTGACAGCCGGATACGCAATGCCTGGGTACGTGATTGGAGATAACTATCAGGCGCACTTAATACGATACCGGGTTACTAATATTGCATTCTCTCGCAGCTTTATATGCTATACCTGGATAGCGAGAACTTCGACGCTGTCGCCCGCCGACTCTATGTTGTTCCCTCCACCACAAATTCACTTGTCCGCGCAGCTTTGGGACTCGATCTTCAGAAGGCTGCACGCGATGAGCTTCTGAAGACATCAAACTATATTGATGTCCCAGATCTGGAGGCTAACGCCGGGGACGCGTTTGCAGCGCTGTCTGCCTTGCTGGGCGAGGACGACCACTTCTTCGGACGGCCAGATCCCGGCCTCTTCGATGCTAGTGTATTCGCCTACACCCATCTTATCCTGGACGAAGGAATGGGATGGAAGCAGAACCGACTCGCACAGCTCCTTCGGGAAAACATCAATCTTGTACAACACCGGGAAAGACTCTTGCGATTTTTCTAGACTTGTTTTATTATTTAACCATGTACTCAATATCCAGCGACAAAAAGTCAACTCCAACTTGAAATAATCTTATCTGATCAGTGACAGGGTGCACCTCAGATCTGTCTTATTGCTTCTTATTTTTTAGTTTCTATCACACCTTGCTAAAACATACTCCAAACCATACTTGGATCCCAATCCATTTGGTCGCCCGCACCCCCAATATCCCACTCAATTCCTCATCTACCGTCCTCTCAAGAACCTCTCCACCGCCACATTCTTCCTCAAGAGGCTCAACCTGGAATCCCGCTTCAGCAGCTGCAGCTAGCACGTCCGCAATTGAGTGACAATAACTCGTAGGCCGAATCTTAACTCCAGTTCCCGGATCCGTAAACCCAGCCTGGCTAAGTGACCCCATCTGCGCATGCATATTTGTAACGAGAAAGTAAGCCCCGGGTCTCATAATCGCAGAGGCAGCTTTGAAGAATGCTTTCAGTGGGATATGCTCCAAGACCAGCGTGGATATGACACCAACAGCACCATCTTGCAGGGATTCCGGTAACTGACTCTTATCTGAGATTGTTTGTAAGAGATTCAAGGTTCCCAGTGACACGGTGGTGCTGTTAAGTTCGCGAGTAGCTGACTGTATCGCTGTTCGCGCAACCTCCAACATCCCTGCTGAAGCATCTACGCCGATGACTTCAACCGATGGTCTGTGCGTGACCTGTGTACTTGTTTTCTGGTTCTTTTCGCACGCGGATACAGCCTCCAATAGTTGAATCGTGTTTCTGCCAGTCCCGCATCCCAGATCGACTAGCTTGAATGGATCTGTTCCGTGGAAGCGGGCATTCACACGATTCAAGAATTGGGGAAGTAGGGTCCGCATCTCAATCGTGTCAAGTCGCTGGAGAAAGTTCCCATCGGTGTCGTAGATCTATAGAAAATTAGCTGTCGGATTCGTTCAAGTTTGCACTGTGCAGAAGAAAGATGGATTCTTCCGAGTCGGGGCTGCCCAGGTGCTGATACTAGTACATACATACCTCGGCCCATTTATCGTACGCATCTACTGTGTCGATATACTCGATCGATTGAGCATTTGAACTTGAAGAAGCCTGGGACGGCTGTTCCTTTAACATGTCTTGAATCGTTTTCGTCATTTTGTTTTTGGGATGTTGCTTCCAGTACTCCGTATTCAATGTGGACTTGGCAAAACTTCAAGAATTCTCAAATTTAACCTTGACTCACTCTTGTCTGCCGATACTATGACTCAAAATCGTATACGAACTTGAAGTCTTAGAACGCCGCCTTGTGCCGATGATAGCCTATCACTGATGCACTAGAGATATCTGTGGATCCCAGACTAATCCTAATGAAACATTATGGATGTGCTGGAACCATGTAAAATATCAAGTTGGCATTCGAGGTTGGAACATTTGAATAGTTCATTTCAAAATTAGATATGAAAGGACTAGCTATACTGTCTACACATGCATGCGCACACTACAACGTGGAGTCTCCGAGTCAGATGCATGAAAGAGGCAAACAACTTGAAGGAAATACTTCTACGTAGAGTATGAAGAAAAGAATATACTACATGATGATTGTGAGATCAGAGTCTGAATTATACAGTTTCATAGTATTGGTGGAGTGCTATCTAGCATAGTCCCAAGTTCGTACACAATCATGTCGCCATCAGAAACATAAGGAAAAGAGGCACAAGGCCTTCTTGGAAAGAGGTCGACACAATTCCATCAGACAGGTATGAAAAACAAGAAACCACAAAATCCAGCAAAAGAACGAAAAAAAGTGAAAAGGGAAAAGGTCCCGGGGAAAACGGCGAAAATCGAAGAATCATCTGTGTGAAGGCGTCTGTCGAGTCGAAATCAAAATCCAGGATTTCGGAGATAACGTCAGTCTTTAACCACACCGTGCCAGACGGGACGTAAAGCTCGTGAAAAGAATCGAACAAAAATTGGAACAGGCTTGAAGAGAAGAAGAAAAAGGGCTCAAGAAGAGGAAGAAGAGACGAAAGCGAGAGATAAGAAGAGAAAAAAAAATCCAAACCACATCCATGCGGCCGTCGCGGGTCATTCTGTTAAACAGGCTGTTCATCATCGCCATGAGTATTCATTCAGTACACTGTGGCTCCGAACGGAGCCGTTTCTTTCAAATCCTCCACCAAATCCTCCACGTTATTGAGATAGCGACCCAAAAGTGCCTGCTTTTCGTCGGTAGTCCTTGTATCACGAATCGTCTTGCCCGCACCCGAAGTATGTGAGCTTTGCGACATGGGTCGCGATGGAAGCTTGCTTGGACTGCGCTGCAAACCGGGCGGTGGGCTTGGGCTAGCGGAGCCGCGGGCGCTAGGTCCCAGGATAGGTGTCTCGGGCATGAGATAAAAGTACAAGAACTCTACCAATTTCAGCTTGACTTCACGGGATGTGGCGCGCTGCTTGAATAGAGATGTAACGGTGAGAAGACCATCTAGGTCCTCGAAGGTACGTGTGTTGGCGGGGCAGTCCAGTAGGGCTGCGACGAGGGTGAGGAGAGTGGCGGATTGAATTGCAGGACAATTGATTGGGTCGAGGAGGTCGAGAAGGAGATTCATGTATATTTCGCGGTTGAAGAGAGTCCGTGAAGGTGGGTGGAGGAGTAGAGCGCCTTGGATGAGGTCAAGGGTACAAACGATGAGCATGTCGTTAGTGCCATTGCTGCCGCGACCGAGTAGATGTTCCAGACAGGAAACTAGGCGCATTGCAACTAGATTTTATTTTTGTTAGTGGGGTTTTTTTCTTTTTCTTCATGAAAACGGTGTCGCATAAAGTGTGATAAATAACAATAACAAAAACATTGAAAATTAGAGTAAAAATCATCATGGCTCCACCATGATATTGATATAAAACGATCTAAAACGTACCATTCCATTGAAATCCATCTTGAAGTTTGAAAAACTCTCGAAACGCCGGATCGTCTCGTAGTTCGGATAATGCCTTGGGTACTGGTGGTGTCTCTGTAGCCAAATATGACCTTCTCCGATCCGATGTGGATTTCGTTTTAGAAAGACAGATTTGGGCCAAGAGACCCTCCACCTGTCGCAAGCCCTTGCGGATCTTGCTAGGTTCGTAGGAAGAGAGATAATCGAAAGAGTGAGCCAGTAGATTCTCCATGAGGTTGATATTTTGTGATGAGGAAATTGGTAGAGAATAAACAAAGTAAGAAAATAAGTAAAGAAGAAAGGAAAGACCGGTGTAGAAAAAAGAGGCTCAGCTCTAAAAAAGGAAAAAACAAAGGGCTCAGCTGAACCGCATATTCAGAAAATCGGGTCTCAGGTCAGGGTTGGCCCGTGTTCTACGAGACGATGAGGTCAATCGGGCCGTGGTGCAGGTAAATAAAGTAAATAAAAGGTCGTTGCCCCGGACGACCCACTATATCCCACTATATTCCACATATATCTACCCCCTCGAGGGATACGGTACGGACTAAGTTAGCTGATCTTCTGGCGTCAATCGAAGGTTATTTTCTGACATCTCATACAAAAACCGGTTTCCCGATCTGGGGTTGTTCCATTCTTGTTTTTACTTAGCGTCTAGACATTCATCTACGTAGACTCAACGTAGTTCATTCTAGACATCTGAATACTATCCTGAATTCGGCGTCCTTGCAGGGCTCAACAATATTTATCCCCTTAGTATTGTTCGCCGCCAGGTTCATTCAATCTTTCTCCTACTTAACATTGTTCTCCGCACTTGCTGCATTCTAACTGTCAAAATGTGACATCCCAGCCCCATCACACTTGTGATATCTTTGTTTGTGCTGATACGCGCCCATGGATCGGCGTCGCAGCAACCAAACTCAGCCCCGAGGTTTTCCCCAATCGGGTGGCTGACTCATCCATGATTCGACCACATGGAACTTCTCAAGGTCGGTTGGAGTTGTGAATTCGAAGTGAATAGCTTCTTCCCCGCTCCAGAGGTCAAATAATGGGACTTTCAAAGAGGCTCCAGGAAATATAAGAAGCTGGTGAGACAGCATGATTTGGATCTTCACTGGTGCCTAGACGGGCCATCTTTCTTCTTGACAATTGTCCCTTCCTCCCCTCCAAAGCTACCAAACCCACCTTGGCCCCTCGCCTAAAGTCCAGATCTCCTTGCTTTTACAACCACATTTTTCAAACAAACAAGCCACACGATGAGTTCCAACCTGAACTTAGAGCCTCCAAGCCCTATCCCTCCTCGAACAAGCTCCGCAAATGCTCCTACAAGCCCAACAAGCCCATCCGCGCATCGGCATCGGCTCTCCGTCGCAGGCGGGGAACCCTCCCCGAAAATCAGGCACCGCCGCAACAAGTCCAGCGTGGATGGCACCAAACACAAAGATGGGCAGTGGTCTGAGAAAAACGAGGAGATCGTGATGGGTCCCTATGACTATCTTCAGTCACACCCCGGCAAGGATGTGCGTCGCCTATTGATCGATGGCTTTGACTCTTGGCTCCAGGTGCCAGCAGAGAGTCTGGAGATCATCACCAAGGTGGTAGCCATGCTGCACACGGCATCGTTACTGTTAGTCGCTCCTTACCTACCCGCTAACAATGCACTGCGACTTCCCAGAACTGGATTCACTGACATGTATCTCCCCCCACACAGGATCGATGATGTCGAAGATAGCTCCGTCCTCCGTCGCGGTATCCCAGTCGCCCACAATATCTTCGGCACTGCGCAGACCATCAACTCAGCCAACTACGTCTATTTCCTGGCTCTGCAGGAGGTCCAGAAACTGAATAACCCGGCCGCGATCGACATTTTCGTGAAGGAGCTCTTGAATCTTCATCGCGGTCAGGGGATGGACCTCTTCTGGCGTGATACGTTGACTTGCCCGACGCAGGATGAGTATCTCGAAATGGTGGGAAACAAGACAGGTGGATTGTTCCGGCTTGCGGTGAAGTTGATGCAAGCAGAAAGTGCAACGGGTAAGGACTGTGTTAGCCTTGTGAATGTCATGGGCCTGATCTTTCAGATCTGTGACGACTACTTGAATCTTTCCAATACGACCTACACCGAGAACAAGGGTCTATGCGAGGACCTGACTGAGGGCAAATTTTCTTTTCCCATTATTCATAGTATTCGTTCGAATCCCGGGAGTCACCAGCTTATCAGTATCTTGAAGCAGAAGACGACTGATGAGGAAGTAAAGCGTTATGCCGTGCAGTACATGAAGAGCACTGGGAGCTTCGAGCATTGTCAAGTTGTGGTGCGGGAGCTGCGAGACCGAGCCTTATCCCTGATCGACGAGATCGATGCTACACCCAATATCAATGGTGCTGGGAATGGAAATAAGGTACGAGCGGTTTTGATGAATATTGTGAAATCCACCCTTGGGGAGGAGAACCCGCAATGAGCTTGCTGTGGTGAGTAGAGAGATCTGGTCATCTGTTTGATAATACCCCAAAGTTTTCGGTTTTTTTTTCTTTTTTCTTCGCATGTCTTCGAGTCTTCTCGCTATCTCGAGCCATGTGATGTTACGATACCACGATCATACCAGTCCTCCTATTCCTGTCACTATCCAGAATGATTGCACATGCACTTTGATGTACTCAAAATGAATACTAGTAGTTGTTCACATTCATATTTAACTGTGAAAAACAAGTCGTAGGGTACATATATCCCATTGTCATGTTATTAACATAATTAAATCCCAACACATGGTGTGGAAATTAAACCAAATTACCAAAATCTACAATAGATGTGTAGAAATTATATCCGAACCAAGACACCAAAAGCTCAAGCCAAAACAAACCCTTTACATCATAACACAGCAAGCCTTCTCCAGTTTCTGCAAAAGCTTCGGCACCACCTCGTTGACCACCTGCTCCATCTCGTCTTGCTGCTGAGGTTGTTGCTGTTGCTGGTGCTGTTGCTGGTATCCACCAGAGTAAGGCTGCTGCTGCTGCTGCTGACCAGGGTACTGCTGGTGTGGTGCCTGGTGCTGCGGGTATTGAGGCATAACCGCCTCGCCACCAGTCAAGTTGACATACATACGACCAGCATTCTCCTCAGTCGCATACTGGAGACCAAGTTCCTGACAAACCTGCTCCACGCGAGGCTTGATCTTCTGCACATGGTTTGCGGAGTGGTTACCCTTACCCACGATCCTAAATCCAAGTTAGTTTTGTCCACCAGTAAAAGTAAGCTGCAAATTATGCATGCAATACTTGAGAGAACAACATACACATGCAAATGATCCTGTCCATGCGCCTTCGCATACTTAATCCGCTCCTCAAGAATCTCCTCCGCCTCCTCAACAAATTGACCATGCAGATCAATAGTATCAGCAGCTACGCGTCCCTCAGCGTTATTCTCACGGAAAATAAACTCCGACGCCTGCTTGTTATACTCCTCCATCTTCCGACCATGCGCCTTCCCTTCCTCGGAAAGCTGCTTGGCGCGCGCTCCATCACCGCTTGAGTATGCTTCTTTGGACTGTAGGATCCCAGTATTAGCGAATTGATGCGATGTAGTATAAGGGAAATCGTGCGGCTGGATGAGGAGAATATCATACCCTCGAGAAGCATGAACCGCGCTTGGAGGCTTCCTGGCGCGCCAGATCGCGGAGGCGGTCGTACTCCGCCTCTGCGTCGCTGCTCTGCTCGTGGTTAAAGGCTGTGAAAGGTAATAGAAATTAGTTCCAAAGATTCGATTTTCTGGTGCAATTGGATTTATGAACGTACCACGAGGGCCTAGGTGGGACATTTCGTGAGACATGGTGATGGACAGTGTTCAATGGAGGTTCAAGTTCAAGTTGGCAGGGTCCTGGGAACATTTAAAGTGGAGATAACAGGGGAACCCGAAAAATCCAAATCAGATCGATCTGATCGTTCCATGGATTTGGTATTGAAGTACCATGGTAAGTTTACGTATTATAAAGGTACGGATTTATAGCACTAAATTGGAGAAACTAACGCTGAGTTACCACTAACTTACTAGTACGTAGTACGGATACTCATTCAGTCTTAATTTTCATCTCGTCTGATAATGTCATTTTGGTCCCAATATCACCCCATTCCATACCAATATTCGAATCTTGAAAGAATGTTACAGACTAGGAGGATTCAAAGCATTATTACCGGCGGGTCAAACTATTGAACCAGTTCACCCATGGGTCTGTGTACATTATCGACTTGTCCCAAAGCCGTGGTCTTGGTGCGGTTATAGTGTCGACGCTATTGCCACCCCACTTCCGCTGATTCCAATCCTTTAACATTACTAGTGCGTAGTACGGAGTACAGAGTATCGTCAAACTTCAGAGGCACAAATATTGGATGACTTCAAATTATCAACAATCCAAATAAAACTCCTAGTTATATCTCTATTAACACGTATAGGCTGTGTCGAAATATTGAAACCCACTTCCAAATCGAATCTTGAACTACCAGATGGCAGAAAATGTGCATGATCAGACCGGTAGTATCACAAGTCCCAAAATTCCTTAATCAGCATATCAAATTCTTCAAATGATATTTACTGCGTATAACTTATCCCAAAGAAAATAATGTTATTCGGCCTCATACTTATACCCTCAATCCACTTAAACCTGATCTCTAATCCCACGCCTGGTATCGCAATCGCCACCGATCATAATATCGAACAAGGCATAGTCTGTTGAAAGCTTAGCAAAAAGCTATAGTATCGTGCACAGAGGAACAAGGGCAGCACCCAAGGTTGCTATGCCTCCTGCTGCGGTTGCCCATTGTTGGATCGTGTCTAGGTTGATCTTGGGGGACTTCAGTGGATTGAAGACAAAGAAAAGGGGATACTCTTACCCTTCTTCTGCTCAATTTCTCCTGTTCATAATTCGCCTCCGCCATCTTCTGTCGTAGCTCTTGAAGTTCCAGTCTCAACTGTTGATCTGGAATTCCGGGATATCTCTTTAACTCTTCAATCTCCGCTTTCAGAGCCTCGACTTGTTCTCGTAAATCCAGTCCGAGTTGTCGTCCAGCGGATGTCGCAGCTAATCGTCCATCATTCTGGACAAGCTCTTGTTGCATTTGAAGAACTACTGGTCCGCTGTTCTTGGCTAGTACCATTCTGATAATTTTTCGAGCTGACTCGTAATTGTTGTCATGGCGGACTGTTGTTGCTCCATTCGCTACCATCCCACCCCAGAAATCGGCTTCTCTTCGTCGTTCTTCGACTCGTTGGGTGCCAATAGAATCGTTTCCGAGGTCGCTCCACATCGTGGTAGCGATGATTACCTTCGAGAATGCCTTTGCGCCGCAGACCTTCTCAAATAACCGGTTTCTCTTCCTTTCACTACCTTGAACTCGGTTGCCATTGATCGGCTGTAGGAGAATGATACCAGATAGTAGTTGACCTTGAGCATATGTAGCCGCCAAGTGCGTAGCAATAAGCTCTAGGATATCACCATCTGTTCTTGTGGTATCATCGAACCCCGGGGTATCAATGAGAACAACGCGCTTGCCGTCAATCTCAAGACGGGATGAAGAAATCTCTTGAGTGCCTTCCCAAGTGTTAGCCGGGTCTGTAAATTGTGGTTGAATCAAAGACAAATATCTGCAAGAATATTGCGAACTCACATGATGCTAGGCCATGACCTATTCTCAGATCATTCCGACCAGTAGCCTTGGAGATGAATGTGGTTTTCCCAGCACCAGTAACCCCCAGAACTGCAATGAGTATATCCGCCATATTGAACGTGGGATAACCTTGGAAGTTAATGTTCGGCAGGAAAATAAAAATTTAGTCTTAAAGACAAGGCCAGCCTGGTATGTTCAGTATGAATGACATGGCGGCACAGGGTTAATAAAGATAGAAAAAGAACAACTATCTTCCTCTTCGTACTGCTCCTCCACTCGATTTCAAAGTTGCTCGTATCGAGGGTTCACGGCTGTGGCTGAGGCTGAGAGACCCTTTCACCCGGGTAATCAGGATCGAGCGGGGTAATAATGCCCTGCATCACACCATATCAATATGTTTTTTAGCTTGATTCAGTTATCAAACATGAAGTCTTTCACACGAGGCAGGCTTTTTGCCGGAGGTTTGTCCAATCTCATGCAGACACGACAAGTAGAGTTCTCGCTCCCCTCTCATTTCCTGCATCCGAGCAGTGACAAGGCGATTTTGTGAGGCTGAGCCTTCGCATCACTCGCATGCAGCCTGAATGAGGTGTCTGATTGCCCGGGTAAAGATCATCGGTGGGAGTACCCGGGTGCCTCTCGTATCAATCTGCTTGAAGCTCAATCTAGGCAGATATACCAGGATCTAAGCCTCATTACACCAATGAGCTACCCAATCTTCAGCCGACGCGACATCCAAACTCTTTTTCATGTTAATGGAGTCCATCCTTCAATTATCATTGGTCTCCTACGTCATGTGGATTGTGATCACTTTATCCAACTATTTGCCTGTCAGCGACCCAGCTGAAGCTAAGCCACGAGGAGCCGCTCTTATATGGGGCATTTGACCACCCCAAAGCACTGAGAAATATTGAAGATCTGAAGGTATCCATCTCCAAATCTTCTTACACCATGGTAACTCATACCGGGAAAATGGACCCTCAACAGGAGCGTAGAATAGAGAATCGGGCCCCTCGGCGACAAGACGATCAAGACCTAGTCATTCGAGAGCCAGGTTCCCGACTAGAGGGGAATCCTGACCCAGGTCAAAGGTCAACGGTTTCAGTTCCTCGACGAGAGGGGAGTTCAACTCCAAGTCAACTCTCGACGGTTTCAGCTCCCCAACGAGAGAGGAATCCGGATCCAAGTCAACGGTCTACAGTTCCAAGAGAAGAGGTACCAGAGCCTCAAGTGAAACCGTCAAGGCCCCCACCTAGAAAAAGAGTCGCAATTTTAGTCATGGGTGGCACTGGAACAGGCAAGTCCTCTTTTATTGCAGAGGTGACTGGGGAACGGGTGCAAATTGGACACGATCTACATTCTTGTAAGTCTTCTTGACCACCGGAATGAGTATTAGATCTCATACTTTCCATCAGGTACCGCAGAATGCACAAGCTGGGAGTGTCGTCTTGACGATCAAACGACCGTGACTCTCGTCGATACCCCGGGGTTCAACGATACTAACCGTCTGGACCTCGAGATTCTGAAATCAATCACCACATACCTCACGTACCTACAAGAAGCAGATATACAGCTGGCGGGAATTATCTATATGCAACGAATCACCGATAGGAGGATGACTGGTGCCTCTTTTCTGAACTTGCAGATGTTCCAGGCGTTCTGCGGAGAGAAATACTTTCCGCAAGTGGTGCTTGTCACTACTATGTGGAACACGATCCGAGATAATAATACAGCTCAACAGGAACTGCTATCCAGAGAGAGGGAGTTGGCGACGACGCCCGAGTTCTGGGGAGACATGATTGCCCGTGGTGCAAAAGTGAAACAGTTTTACGGTGACAGAGCCTCAGGGCTCGATATTGTTCACTTGCTTTACCAACAAGAGCACACCCGACGGCCCCGTATGATGAAGCAGTTAGACCAGGGGTTCATGCTACCTGATACCTCGGCTGGACAGGTCATGACGGCTGAGATCATAAAACAAGAGAAGAGGAGAGAGAAAGAAGAAAGAGAAGAGAGGGAGGAGATAGAAGCAGAGCGGTTAAGTCGGCGGCAAGAGTTTGCACCTAGCTCTCGATCATCACGGTCTACAGCACGATTTCATAATCAGAGACAGCCACCAACGTTCTCAGCTAGAGGATCACAGGCAGAGGGAGTTGACCGACGCCTCGGACCGCAAGACCCAAATATTGATGCTTTAGAAGCAGCTCGGGTTGTATATTCAAATTACTACTCGGGCTGGCCCTTCACTGGCAGGTTTGGACCATCATGAGGGTGAGGAATTGGTCTATCCATGATGCATGTAGCTAGTACTAGAAGTCTTTGGAATCAATGGATGCCTGCAAACCGCTGCCTGTAGTCCAATGAAATTGAATAGTCTGTGATGATGTGGACCTTTTAATCCAACTTGAAGTCGGTAATCGTGATGAGCCACAAAGGTGGGCCGATCTAGCAAAGGAAGAACTTACTATGGAAGACCTCTGCTAGTGGCCACTGATAGCGCAAAGACTCATATCATACCAGTTGACATTCGGATTATTCATACTGGAACTGGTGCCACGTGGGAATTTGGAAATCTCCCAAGCAGGGTTGAATAACCTTGAAAATGGATGCGTTGCGAAGACAGGGTGCTGCGAATGCGCGTGTCTATGTACTGCACATTTGCGCTTACCTCTTCACCGGCATAATCCCAGCTTCATCACCTTCAAGTTCACTTTGTACCTAGGTACAAATGTGCGTATTAGTCTGCATCTGTTAGAGCTATGACGAACATGTTTGTCTCCACCACTAGGTAGCATAAAAAACTCCAAAACTCCATACTCTGTCTACCATCAATACATGCCCACGGACTCAAACTAGGACTCTGCCCCTAATACCCCGTATAATCTAAAAGAGACCCAATATATTGGTCTCATACCCACCGGCACAACTCCATCCTGGTCAAGTGTGGAGCAAAAGAAGTTAGTTTGAAGATCTTGGCTAGTAGGGACTAGAGTAGATTTGGAGAGAAGCGGAATGGTTAATACGGACATTTGGGCATTTGAAGAGTTTGATTTGTTGTTAGAGCTCCGGAGAAAAAGAATTGGGGTGGAGCGCTATCAAAGTTTGTATAATATTAGGATGGAGTAAGCAGTATAGGCAATAAGAATTCTCCTACGGAATATAATGTCAACTGGTAGCTTTTAAGTATTGAATCTTATACTAGTTAGTTAGTACTATGTATGATGTAAACAACCTTGGAAGACAACTTTTCCTAGAGAGGAAAATAACTTCCTATTCTGGTAATTATGTTGTCAGGTCTAAATTCTTAGTCCGTACGAGTACTACGACCGTATATCCCGTATTATTCCTTTAAGATAAAAACATTCACTCTAAAAAGATCATACGAAATACTACCTAGGTATCACTATCTTTACATCCATGAACTACTAGGTATTAGTTCCAAACTCAACTATCGCATCTCATTTTCAAGATTTCTCATCTTCAAGAACCTTATACAATGTTAGGGGGCACACGCGGCAAAGAACGCCTAGAAACACTAGCAAGTGGGTCAGGGAACAATAGCGTGGGAAAGGAGCAAGACAAAAAAAATTCCAGAAATTCCATTCTCAGGGGCCCATGACCCATGTGGATGCTCTTTTCCACCATGTGGGTTCCTGATTATCCCGGCGCCGACCCGCTAAAGTGATTGGAAGGATTTTTTGCCATGTTGTCATCCAGACATTAGGGCTCACCCACCATGCATAAGAGACGGCATGTAAAGTATTTACAAAGGGGGGCAAAAAAAAAAAACTTGTCAGCCCATGCTGCAACTACCGTGACATACAATGGACCGGGGTTTTGAGTGTGCGGGTTTGCGCCCCCCCTCTCTCTCTTTCTTTCTTATCCCCGGTCAGATCGGCAGGTGGAGTTCAAGTTTGGGGTCCTATTTCAAGGCAGAGTTCAACACATGTGCAGTAGCTGAGCATTGGCAGACTAGATATGCACCTTTATGTATCATCCGAGTTTCAACGTCACAACCGAGGAGGGTCTTACTAGCACTAGAATATAGGAGTTATTTTTATAATGTTTACTCAGTAAAGTTAGGATTGATTACGTAGTATTCCAACTTCAAATGATTCAAGTCTGCAGTTGAAGATACATTCAAACATTTAAATGTTTTATCCTATACCTAGTTTTCTTAATGATTATTTTTTGTCCCCTCTTCCTTACCGTCGGGGCTGTCCGTCTGACGTCTGTCAGTGTAACTGTGAGACTCTTCTTTCAGCGATGTTCCAGGCTGAGGCAATACGTAGGGCACCACAACGGTCAGCAACCCGGAGTAGTAAGGTCGCCGGGGTCCACGGGGGAGGATTGAAGAGGATCGGCAAAAGTTCTTCAGAGTTGTTGCAGATGAAAAAAAAGTCGCCCCATTGTATCAAGAAGTACGGACTTCGTACTCCGTACCCAGGTACCCGGAATACTTGGATTATATCGGACAATAATACTCCCCACAACATTGATCTGCATTGGATATGAATATGGATTGTTTTGGTACTTTGTAGTTGTAACATATGAATAAATCTCTTTTTCAACCAATTTGATTAGAATATGATTCTTTGTTTCCAAGTATGACCTTGTCTGAAGATGACGATACCTAATTTTGGCCCCCCGAATATATGCACAGCATGGCTAAACAAACCAAATAGGGGGCAGAAAAGTTGATCATTGGGGCTCGTGCTAAGTGAAATAGGTGAAAGTGGTTAATGTGGAGAACATTACCTAGGTAATAAACCAATTAAATTTCATAGAAACAAGACCGCTGTTCTGGTCGAAACTACTATTTAACCAATCATCATTCACTATTGACTCAACTTCAACCTTTTGGAAGCTATTTAGGGGATCCAGTATTGTAATCATCGTAATAATACATAACTCCCCTTTCCCTGCTGAAACTTCCCAATTTCCCCCCCTCCCCCTTACCTTAATCCTCTACGGCTTCAATCTTGCTCCTTTTCTTTCTTTCCAAGGGACTTCAATTCCTGTAGGTCTTCCCTCTTCCTTTACCCCCTCAGATCTCTCGTGGTTCTCGTTCCTCTTCGTTTCAACCCTTGCATATCCTTCACGATTGCTATCCTGAAACGTCGGTCCTCGGCGACTTGTACTACCTTCTTGCCACCCCGTCCATCCTAAAACGCGACCCGAGAAAAAAAAAGTTGGAGAGAAGGACAGACAACAAAAGGAGTCGAGAGAAAGTTTGCTAATCCAGTTGTTCCTGCACCAGCCCTTGTGAATCCGCGACATCCTACACGTCGATCGCCTCGCACGAACCATCGCGATCGTTTCTTTTCTTTTTCCTTTTTTTTCGATAATCAAAAGTCGCACACGAGACCGTCATCATGGGTTGTGGAATGAGTACTGAGGATAAGGAGGGGAAGGCCCGCAATGAGGAGATTGAGAACCAGCTCAAGCGCGACAAGATGATGCAACGCAACGAGATCAAGATGCTTCTTCTCGGTACGACATCCTCAATTACCGCGTTTACGATTCAATATGATTCAACAGATGGACTAATGGTCTTCGTATAGGTGCTGGAGAGTCTGGCAAGTCGACAATTCTGAAGCAGATGAAGCTCATCCACGAGGGCGGTTACTCGCGCGACGAACGGGAATCTTTCAAGGAGATCATTTACAGCAACACAGTGCAATCGATGCGTGTTATCCTGGAGGCTATGGAGTCACTTGAGCTTCCCCTGGAGGATGCCCGCAACGAGTACCACGTTCAGACTATTTTCATGCAGCCCGCTCAGATCGAAGGTGACAGCATCCCGCCTGAGGTTGGCAACGCCATCGGTGCTCTCTGGCGCGATACCGGAGTTCAGGAGTGCTTCAAGCGCTCTCGTGAATACCAGCTGAACGACTCCGCCAAATAGTGAGTGATTTATCTTCCGCCAATGGTGAGGGGGGTCAAAGCAAATATTCTAACCTTTTAACAGCTACTTCGATGCCATTGACCGCATCGCTCAACCCGACTACCTTCCCACCGACCAGGATGTTCTCCGCTCCCGTGTCAAGACTACCGGTATCACCGAGACCACCTTTATCATCGGCGATCTGACCTACCGCATGTTCGACGTCGGTGGTCAGCGTTCCGAGCGAAAGAAGTGGATTCACTGTTTCGAGAACGTCACCACCATTCTCTTCCTGGTCGCCATCTCCGAGTACGATCAGCTCCTGTTTGAGGACGAGACTGTCAACCGTATGCAAGAAGCTTTGACTCTGTTCGACTCCATTTGCAACTCCCGGTGGTTCGTCAAGACCTCTATCATTCTCTTCCTCAACAAGATCGACCGTTTCAAGGAGAAGCTGCCCGTCAGCCCCATGAAGAACTACTTCCCCGATTACGAAGGTGGTGCTGATTACGCCGCTGCCTGCGATTACATTCTCAACCGCTTCGTGTCTTTGAACCAGGCCGAGCAGAAGCAGATCTACACCCACTTCACCTGCGCCACCGACACTACCCAGATCCGATTCGTCATGGCCGCTGTCAACGGTAAGCCTCTTTATTTACCCCCTGTCGTCCCCACTATCGGAAACTTCCGATTATATCCGGACATACCAGAAAACTAACTCTTCTTAGATATCATCATCCAAGAGAACTTGCGCCTCTGCGGTTTGATCTAATGAACTTTGCCATTCCCCGAGTGTCAAAATTAGATCGCATGTGTTTTGTTTCCTTCCGGCTCTCCCATCAAATCTAACCATGATTTGATCTAAAAGCCCTGTCTCCAAGAATTCCGGCGTTAACATCTATTCCGCATATGCTTTTCCTGCTCCCTTTTCTTTTCCTTTCTTGTGTGTCTTCTAATTGCGGTCTTCTCTGACACGATCTTTAGCCGGTTTATTCTCCTACTCTGAAAGACGTGGAGCAGGGCCCCTTTTCCTTGTTTCTTTTCAACATCTTTCTTTTCCTTTTTTTTTCTTTTCTCATTTCTCATTTTCCCCCTTGTCTCTGATTTGAACGCTGGATATCCTGCTTGGTTGCCCCCTCCATTTTTTATTATTTCTTTTTTTTGTTTCCTCTCCCATTTGTGTCTTGTATGTAACCATACCGTCTCACCCCTTCAGTATCCTCCGTGTCGCGTCCGGTGGAGGCATTGCGCAACCATATGGGCTACAGATACAGGGAACTGACAGCGGATTCTCATGTCTCTTCTCATGTGTCATGCCAGGTCGGTCGTTGGGTTATAGTCAGTTAAGAATTGAATCATCGGGTTCCCGACCTACAACATTACATGACATAGCAATTTCTAAGCTTTTTATTGACTATAAGATTGAACTAATATGGATACTTGGCAATGAACATTTGGATTCTAAGGTAAACATTCAGGGTATCTCAACTAAACCAGGAAACCAACCAACACCTTCCGCCTCGTGCCTCAAAAAGAATATGCAAAATGCAATGCAATGCTTAAACTTAAGCTTAAGCTTAGAACCTCAATTTAGGTCCCACATAAACAATCAAAATCGCAACAATCCACAACCCAAAGATCCAAGCATATAACATCATTCTCCCCCACCACCCCTTGCCCTCAGACATCTTCCTTATCATACCCATCCGCTTCCCAGCCGCCTCCATCGTCGCCGTGGTTTTATCCATCCCCGTCACAGCACGATCAAGCACCGACTGTTCATTTTCCAGCGTTGCCTGGAAAGACTGTGACGAGGCCTTAAGTTGACCAGCAAGCGACAAGAGCGAGCTAGTAAGATCCTCTTGTTCGAGTCTGTGGGAGCTAAGTGCTTGTTCGGTTGTGTTGAGTTTGGAGTTGGGATTTGCATTGCTTCCTGATGCTTTGGCCGTGCTGGTATTATTTGACTCTGGAGATTGATTCGCTGTGGATCTGTTTCGGAGTGTGGAGGTTGGGGTTGAGGTTGGTGGTAAGGTTGATGTAGGGGATACTGTCGTTGTGGGTGCGGATGCAGGTACAGATGCAGGTACGGATGTTACTGTCGCGGGTTTTGTGGTAGTGATATCCCGCTTCTCTTCTAGGGACTGAGTTTGCGATCCCTTTGTTGATGGTGTGACTTTCTCCATTGTGACTGGCTTGCTGAATAGATCGTCCCATTCCCCGCTTTCGGTATCGATATCATTTTCCTCGGTTCGTGAACTCTCCTCGTCTAGGACGATTTGCATTCGCTTGAGGAGATTTCTGTCGCGTGCTATCTCGGCTTGTGCTTCATGTCGGTGTTCCGGAGACTTTAGTTGTGAAAGGGAACGCTCCAGCTGCGAGAGGAGGGTGCGTGCGTAGTCGACATTCTGGAGGTGGTTGTTAGCTTGTATTCTGTATTCATCTCGAATAACGGACCAAAAAGAGCCATCGGGCCATTTTTGGTATGATTCAGCATATAATGAGGATCCTACCTTTGTGATTCGCATGCGCTGGAACTCGGACCCGTGCAATGTGCGGAGTTCGGAGCCTGGAGATAGAAGATTATGCTCGAGGCGGGTGAAGAGACGAGCGGTATTGAGGAGGGTGAGATCTGGGGAATCCCCCGTGGAAGGAAAGGCAGTTACAGCCATGGTGTAGAGGCGGAGTTTAAGTTGTGAACTGTCAAGGAAGAGTAGATATCAACAGAGTTGAGATCTGGACAGACCGATGTCATTGCTGACTCAGAATCACGGGACTATCCAATGGATGGAGATAATCTACTGAGTACACAATCTATATTTACCAACTCACTTTAGACCAAAACCACTTTCCAACATCACATATGCAGTGTATCTCTCTCTCTCAAATGAATGAATCCAATGCTATACCGATTGATCATATTCCAAATCATAAAGCTACATGAATATGTATAAAAGAAGCAAAGAAAACAACCTTGGAATAAATCAAATATCCTCCTCGCCAAATCACACAAACAAAAAGAAAAACAAAAACAAAAACAAAACACATGAATCCAAATCCACATTAATTGTACTCAACAATCAATCTCCGAAAGGTTCTCGCTCCATCATCATCTTTCTCAAACATAGTCTGCGCCGTCTCATTCCGCTTCTGCACCGGACCATGAGTATCCGATTTCGGTGTCTCCGGTGAAGACAAAGGCGAAGAAGGAGGCGAAGAAGATGCATTCTGCAACTGCATTTGTTCTCTAATTCTAGCAGCCACCGCCCCGCTACTAGGGAAATGACCACCGTGAGATAGTGGCCTCAGGACATCAACTGCAGAAGCAGGGGGTGGCGAGTCAGAGTTTGCCAGGCCTTTTTCCATGGTGGAGGCGATATTCCAGCTCCACGCGGCCGGGTTCTTTGTTTCCGTTGAGCCCGAACTGGTCTTGGGATATCCCTGCAGGCCGAAGCCGGCGTGTTTGATGTATGCGATTGCCACCAATAATCCCAAGCAGATTAGAAGTATGGCGCCCACTGGCAGGCTGACGGATGTACGCCACCAATTTGGATCCGGGAATTGAAATTGCTTTTCAATTTTTGGTTTGTCGAGTCTCACTGGCAGGGTTTGATAGCTTTGTGGCTTTGTGAGCATGACGTCCCGGTGCACTGGGCTCTTCCCTTCCCTGGGTCTTGTATATCCCGATATAGTTTAAGGGATATTTGACATGGAGATTTCGAGTTCTTTGTTGCATGCCAATATGTAGTAGATTTGATGTTGTTGTAGTATTCAATATCTTTGAGTAGTCGGTTATCTGTGTCCCAAGTATGACTCGGAATAGGATTCAGATCAGGTGTAAATGGGGCCAAACATCTACACTGAATATGACCGTGGGGTCAAGTAGAAATGGAAAAGAAGTCGATTTTATTTTCAAAAAACCATGGAACTACAGGGGTTCTGGGGCCATAATATACGACAAGAATAGTGGGTGGCCTTGGAGACTTGGAGACCAAACATGATCGACGGCGAATTTAAAGAGACAAAAGGAAATGATGGCGGGGCTCTAATGACCCTCTCATGACCCGAGCTTTCTTTTGAGGCGTTAGAAATCTGGATCTATCTATACACTGAGGGTTCGCACTATGATCCCCGAAGCAATGTGACACAATAGTTCGCAGGGAAGTATATGATCCTTAAATTGGTTTCTACTTCACCTTTCTATGATTGATCATAAACTTAAATTCTGTTCTTTTTTCATCATTTGCCTAATACTAAATAATCATGTACGACGTCCAAAAGGTCTCCTCGGACAGCCGATGTTATTGTATTTCGCCCCACTGAGACTTTCCCTATGCCTCTACCTAGGTAGGGTATGAACAAAGCAGGGAAAAAAGCAAAAATAAAATGAAAATAAAATAAAATTCATAGAATTATGATGAAATCAAAATAGGATAAAAACGGGATGAGAGTTCCATCCTACTATTCCCTCACATTTAATAATAACTAATTATGTTCACACAGTTCAAAGGACGTAAAAAGTGGGTAAAAGAACATTTGAACCACCAGTTGAACCACACTAAATCACAAGTTCCAGCTACGCACGAGCCAGCCACGATCTCACATTCAGCTGCCGCTTCCAGGCGCCACTGACAGGAGACCTAGGATCTGCGCTCTAGCCAAAAATTCCCAAAAGAAAAAAAAAGGCGGGAAGCGAGAAACACAATTCAATTTGCATATTCAATTTACACCATAAAGAGATCTCCACCTGACCAGCATCATCCTTCCACAAAAACCATAAACTTGAACCAGAGAGCTGGTTTGCGGAGAAAAAAAAAAGTTCATGTCGATCATTTGAACTTTCAAGGAATCTTTGATCTCGGTACCATCGATTCAATGTGGCTATCCTCTCAGCATTCAAATCATGTACAGTGAACTCCGATCCAGATCCCGATCTCACTCTACTCAGCTACTCCGTACTCCATACTAGATTTAGGGTCTCCAGATGTCGCGCTAACCCTGCTCATATTAACGAATCAGGGGTATCCAATCTGAGCTCGGCTATCATGCTTTTGTTTTTTTTTTTTTGACTTTGTATTCGCCCCAGAGCCACGGATCCCCGCGAGAGATCGCCGACATCTTCAATCTCTATGCGCTAAAGAGGACATGCATGACAAATTTTTGTATCACTTTGCAGATAAATGAGAGCATAAACTAAAATAGTCGATCATCGGGAAGAAGTAAATTCCAGTTCAAGTTAGGAGTTGTGTACTTTAGTCTCAGGCCGGCCCTGGGGGGACTAGCAGTATCATCGCATATACATCCCAGACTGTCCTAGTGCCAGTGTTCAAGTTGAGACCCGTGGACTACTCATATTTCATATTCATCCCAATTTGAATTATGAAAGAGCATTTGCAATATCAATTCTAAAAAGAAACTCAACGATTCTATCTAAAGTTTGGCCGTGACACCCTTCAGCTCAGCCTGGGCTTGATCACGCAGCACTTTCCGTAGGATCTTCCCGGATGGATTCTTAGGGATAGTGTCGAGGAACACCACCCCGCCTGTAATCCGCTTTGTGGCGGAGACCTTCCCGTCCATAAATCGCACGATCTCCTCACTGGTGGCAGATTGTTCCGGTTTTAGGACGACATATGCGCGAGGTCGTTCATCGTTGTCCCTATTTGTTGTTAGTCTCAATATAAGACCATCGAATCGATAACTCAGATAACCCAGAACTTTGGAACTTGAATGCAATAAAAATGCAAAGGGCATAATGATGGCAATGTCAAAATGACAAGGTAAAAAGAAATTAACTCAAATAATGATAATACCCACATTGTCACGCCAATCACCGCGACATCTGCAATGGCCGCGTGCTCTAGTAGTAATGCCTCTAGTTCCGCGGGGGCCACTTGATTTCCTTTGACCTTGATCAATTCCTGCAGAATTTGTCAGTGCTTTTTTATTTCTTTTCTTTTTGACCCCTCTGAACCCCCACTTAGTAGCTCTTAGTGAGTTCTTATTACTGGTCTGGAGATTATGACACACCTTCATCCGGTCCACAACATGGATCTTGCCATGATCATCCACATAAGCGATATCCCCCGTCCGTAACCACCCATCAGCTGTCTTAGTCTCTTGAGTGGCTTTCGCATTCCGCCAGTATCCCTTCATGACATTTGGTCCACGGACCCACATCTCTCCTCGTTTCTCCCGTGCCAGGATCTCGGTTATGCCATCCTCCGCCATGAGCTTGACTTCACAGTTGGCATTAGGTTCTCCCACTGCTGCACTATCACTTTTCTCGCACGGATGCCATCCCATCACGGAACAAGTGGTTCTAAATCTATATTAGCTTTTTTATCATTTCTTACCTACATATTTCTCGCCCCCGCTCTCCGGCCCCCGAGAAAAGCAATATATATCATACACTGGCACATGGCACAGGGTAAGAAGATCATGAGGATGATTGCAGAGGGGAAAAGAAAAGAAAAGAAAAGAAAACTTACTCGGTCATCCCCCATCCCTGCCTAATATTAACAAGCCCAGGTGGCCACAACTTCTCCGCTTCAACACAAACCTCTCTCCCCAAAGGTGCAGCACCACTGCCAATAGACAAGATACTACTCAAATCATAGTTTTTAACAATAGGATGTTTCGCAAGCAGAACAACAATGGGCGGAACAAGATGCAGATCCGTAATTCGGAATCTCTGTATACACTCCAACATCTGCACAAGATCAAACTTCGGCAAAATATAAACCGGCGTCCCATGCTCCATCGCTGCTGCAATATAGATATTCTGCGCCATAGCATGATACATGGGTAAAAAGCATAACCAGCGCATATTCGGTCTCCGGGTTTTATAATCCGGGTGTAGTTTGGGCATGTACGCAAACTGCAGCATGTTGGACACGTAGTTCTTATGCGTAATCTCCACACCCTTGGGTCGGCCCGTTGTTCCACTGGAATAATTCAGTACAAGGGTTCGATCTGCGAGTTCTGTCGTGGAGAGATCGTCCCAGATAAATCCTTCTCCATCTTCTGCCGAGGCGACGAGATCACCCCAGTACGGACATCCTTTTTGAGGGTTTCGATTTCCGTCGAAGAGAGCGCTATCAAAGACGTAGACGTTCTCTTGTGAGAGTCCGGCTTGTTTTGCTGCTTCGAGACCTGTATCTAGACTGGCTGTTGCGCAGAGGAGGTATTTTGCACCGCTATCTTGTAGCTGGTAGGCGAGTTCCCGGGCAACGTAGGTTGGGTTTGCAGCAGTAAAGATTCCACCGGCCATGATAATGCCCAGAAAGGCGACAGGGAAGAAGAGGTCATTTCCCGAGAAGAGGAGAACACGATCGCCTGGTTTAAGGCCTGATTTGAGGAGACCGAAGGCGAATCGTTGACACCAGAGACGGAAATCATGGGGACTGAAGTAGTGCGTATCCGGACGTTTTGCATCGATGAAGCATTTTGTGGTTTTGGATAGTGGTCCCGTAGGGGATTTCACCAGGATCGTGGCTAGATTGGCGTTTGGAATGTCGATGTTCCACCGGGATTTGTAAGGCATTGTGCTTCAGAAACTGAAAATGCGGGGAATTTCTATATACAATACGGAGAAGATGGGGATAAATGGATGTTTGCTTTGTTCTTTAAGTATCAAGTATACTGCTAGTGGGAGTACAACAGGGAGGAGAAAAGAGAGGGATTCGATCACATTCCCCGCTAAATTACTTATATATGGCTTTCACGGAATAATTTGAAGATACCAGCCCCTAGGAATTCAGGAGTAGGCTATACAGACCTGGTTTTGTGGTCTATGACTCCATTGATTGGCCCCTTTCCCCACATAAATCGCATAAATCGGTTATGAAATGCGGGGGATCCGAGGCAGCTTCTTAGTATGACCTCGGATCAAGCTGAATGGGGTTTAAACCGCGGAAGTGGACCTCATAGAATTCGAATTTTGTTTGCGCAAGAACTTTGGGCTGGGTTTCAAAGCCTTAGATGAATACTGCAGCTGTTCGGAATATAATTTTGTTGTCGATCTCAGGCTCGGAAGAATTATGAGGTATAGCATAGATGTGAGCTACTAGTAGAGACCTCTAGCTGTGATCAGGGGAAGTATGATGAACATTTGAACAATTCAAGTGTTAATGTAGGCCTTTCCAACTTGAACATTGATTGGTTTATGAAATTTGAATGAGGTCCATCTCTGGGTATCGTTCCATATTTGATCAAATCCATTCATGATGCAGGCCTCTTTAGGCCTCTTTTATTACTCGGTTTTCTGTGATTTTTTTCTGCCACCGCTTGTCATAAACAGAAACCCAAGGGTTGCCTTCGCCTACATACGCTGGCACACTGGCAGCTTATCCTTACATACTAAGGGAGGCTGCCACTGGCAGTTACCTATATCCGACTTGAAATATGTATGTAGCAGCTAGTAGCCTTTATTCCCCTCCAGGTAACCCCGTAGGTACTTACATACAAAGAGGTGTAGGTCACCAGTCACCTGTAGATGCTACTGACTGCCACTGGCAGTGAGCCCTGTTCCGAGTCTTAGTATGTGGGAACATTTGCGCCTGGAAATCCTAGTAGATCAATTTCCAGGGCTTCGGCACTTTCAACATTTGAAGGTCCACGGGTACTAGTAGAATACTGGTGGTGGATTTAAATTTGAGTGTCGATTTAGGTCAACTTGAAACTTAAATTACCATTTAAAATGCAGAAAAAATGAAGACAATCTTGACAGTGTCCAGGGCGCGAAAACATATAAATATCTTATTTCAACCCGCAAAGTTGTGTTCTACTACCTACATCACCACCGGTACCCAACCCAGAATGCATGGCAATAAAAAAATTGAAATATCAAAAAAATCGTAGAAGGCTATCAAACAAACATGATTATCATGAATCCTCATCTCCACCAAGACAGGTCAATGCCGCATTCAGTTCCGCCACAACCTTCTCCTCTAACCTGTTTTGCGAAGTAGAGCCCGCAGCTTCTGGCTTCTGGCGGGACCACTCAGCTTCTTTATCGGTCGTTGGGGCAATGCGAGCCCGGAGGGCTGAGCGACGGCTGAGCAGGGTCTCGATGTCATCCTTGACCTGAGCCTTGTCCCACTTGAACTCCTGGATCGACTGAGGATCCAAACCAGCACTGGGGCCTGCCTCACGGAACCCATCCAGGATGTATGAGATCAAGGCAAGGGAATATGCCTCGGAAGCCATGCTCAGACTGATCCACTGGGATGAGGGACTAGAAGTGGCACCGGCGTGCGGGGATGAGAAAACATCTGCCGCGCGGGTCAGCTGTCCTTCAAATTGATTGAGGAACGCAGCGACCTCTGGTGCAACCCGGACAACGTTGAAGAGGAGATTCAAGCATAAAGGTAAGAAACCAGCAGTCCAGATGCTGTGCAGTCGTGGCACCGGGTCGAAGGGGCCAAAGCCCTTGGGCTGACGAAGGAGATTGGTCAGGCGGCATGTTGACAATTTCATCAAGACTGCTTCCACAGCAATATGTTCAGCTAGCATGGGCACAGTTGACATCTTGACAAGAATGGACAAACTGAGATCACCGTAGACTGGGTCGCCATCCAGTAGAAGCTGATCTGCCCAAGAGAACAGAGTAGTGGCATGGCGAGCGGTATCATTGTCCTGAATGTGGTATGTGATGTACTCGTAGAGACGGCCGTCCTTCTTCGACACATGCAGCGCAGTCTGTAGGATAGCGATAATAAGACCGAAATCCCTGGGCGTACATTTCTCGGGCTGTTCATGCAAGTATGTAGTGAGTGACTTAAAACCCTGCGCGACGATGGTTTTGACAATTTCCACCACGACCGTCAAATCGGAAGGAACAGCCTTGTTTTGAGCCACAGAAGGTGCAACAGAGGAGCCTCCTAGGTGAAATTGAAGAGCCAAAAACAGAATATTGAGCAGAGAACGGTAATACTCGGTGTCATCACTGATCAGAGCATCTTCATAGGTCGAGTGCCGAGAAAGCAAAGCATTCCATGTGACCTCCAGCATGGCGAATACTTCAGAGCCATGAGACCCCACCTGTACTAATCGTTGAAGGAGGGCCTGTGCAAAGTCTACCCGCGTTTGTTGGATGACGTCGAAGATACTTTCTGAGGGCACGCCACGACTGTTAGCTTCAAGGCACTTCTGTGTGACTACAGCCATTGATTTTTGAACTTCACGGTCTGGCATGAAATCGGCACAATGCTCAATGGCAAAGAATTTCCAGCTGTTGAGAAGGGTCTGGATGCATTGTCAGTTAAATCTATACGTTGTTTCTTACTGGTTAAAAAACAGGGGCTTACCACTTGTGCTTCAACGAGCGAGAGGTTGATGTTGGCTCGTTCAAACTCCTCAAAGAAGCCTTGACCACGGGTTCCTGCCCAAGCAAAGTCGTAGGACAATACTCTTTGTCCCATGTCCAAGTCATAATAGTAGTCCCTTCCTAATGTGCGGGTTTCGAGTGATGTCCTCTTGAAGTCGATAATTTTGCAGCCGTCGTATCGTTTCTCAAAATTCTTTTTAAGATTTCCATGCAGAGAAGAATTGTAAGCTGACACCTCCACAGCGTCTTTGGCGTACCACTGGACAAGTGGAATAAGGGTCTTGACGAAGCTTCGGTCATTCGTTTCCTTCGCAGAATGCAAGTAAACGGCGCAGACATCTGCAACAACAGCGGCAATTCGCGTTACAAAGATTTGATCTTTCACTGGCAGAGATGAGATCTTCAATTTGGAGACATAATTGACGATGCTGGTGAGGAATTGAGAATGATTCTTCAACTGTGGAGTGGCCCATGGCCAATTTTCTTGAGCACGCGAGACAAATTCAAGCAACTCCAAGGCCACCTCGGGGTCTTCCTGTTCAATATGGGCAAGTTTATCCAGGGCAATTTGCAGGAATGGCGCGCCTCTCATGCTTGGATCTCCAGATTTGCTGGACTTTTTCAAGGTTTGACGCGGAGATGCGCCAGTGAGAATGAAGACGGCCAGCCACTGCTGACGCTTGCTGACAAAAGTTGACAGCAACCGCCAAATTGATAGCAACAAGGTATGTCCACCTAGGGGCTTATCGAATTGTGATAGAACATCAAGGAACAAGCAAGATGACTCGGCTCCTAGATGACCGACGAGAGATGGAGGTTCGCTTTCTGGATTTGAAGCAGCACTGGATATAAGAACATCAAGTAGCGAGACTACTGGCAGCTTGGACGAATCCGACGATGCATACAGTTTGACCAAGACAGGGGCAGCCTTGAAAAGCTGCTCTTCCAAAAGCGAGCCTGGCAGACTTGCAAGTCGAGATGCCCGTACAAGCTTCACACAAAGATTCAATGCAGAGACGACCTGGCGCTCAAGCAATACAAGATAACGGAGATGAAGGGTAGACGGGGCCTGTAAGCCCTCGGAAATTAACCTGAGCAGCGGGTTGAAAGGCAGATCAGCGGCCGAGCGCGGCCGAAGCATGTCCAGGATGTATGTCGCGGAGGCGGAAAAGACACCGGTAATCTTAGATTCCAGCTTTGCGTTGTCGTTAATTCCGTAGGCATAGTGCAGAATCTGGGCAAAAGTGCTTGCTAACTTCGCGTTGATCTCGAATCGTTGCTCTGGGAGATTGAATCGCCAATTCCCATTGCTGTTGAAGACATCTACCAATGTACGAGTGAAATTCAACAGAATAGTTCTCATAACATGAGATGGGATGCCAGCACTCCAGTCAGTCACAATTGTCGATTTTCCTGCAACACTGCCTGGGCTTCGCCTTAAAACTGCTCGAGATCCTGCATCATTGACAGCGGCATTCAGTAGATCTACACAACCGAGGAGGAATGAATACTCCCCAGAGGGCATTTCTGCTGCTGAGATGATAGCTGTCATCATTCCGCCCTTGCCGTCAGATCCAACAAGGCTACTGCGGCTGAAGAATGGCCAAACACGACAAGGGAGGATCTTCAATAATTGCTGGATGAACCGAAGGCAAGCCATAATTGGATCCAATGCTCTGGCTGGGTCACCTTGGGATCCAATGTTTTGTAAGTTTCTCTCAAAGATGTCGAAAATAACGGTGATGATATCTCCCTGTCGAGACAATCCATCACTGGCCATTTCAAGGATTCTCTTGGCGTTTGTTCCTGGAGAATCATTGCTACGAATATCTTGAGCGTTGCCAATAAGATCCGCCAACAGGCCAATAATTTCTGCACCAGTCTCGGTATCCCATCCAGCGGAGTATCCACCACTCTCACTCCACTCTTCCAGCCAACTTCCCAAATAGCTCAAACATGAATATTGGTACTGCCACATGATGACCGCTGGCTTGTTTTCCGAAACCACTTGACCAACCGTAGAAGCTGGGATCTCAGATGAACCTCTAATGATCAAAGCACTACTCATTTCGACGTCGGGGATGCGATTGCGAGTGGCTGCTTTAAACATGGGCAGAGTTTGGCGGAGTGAAACAAAATTGGCATTTTCATCTTCTCGAATGGTTTCGTATCCGTGGAATTGATCCGGAACGACTTGAGTAAATGTATCCATTCTATCCAGATCTTCAAATATGCGTGGCAAGCCTTCTTCATTGATAGACTGCTTGCTGATCAAAGCACGACAGAGTTTCAGAAACGGAAGGGTTTCGTATGGAAATCGGGATTTTGCGATGCCAAATACATGTTCCATCAAAGTATTGTCGTTAATGAAAACAGAACTCAAATCGTTTGCAGCCCCGAGCAGTAAGTCTGCCGGCTTCAGCAAAGGCGTCTTGGAAGCGCCAGTGATGATAGCCAGCACTGATTCCACAATATCTTCGGAATAGTCGTAAACAAGGACTGCAACGCGAATAATGTCGAGAAGCGCAAGGCGCATCCATTGGTATGTCAAGCCATCGTCAATCGCTGATACTGGTCCAACATTGACAGCCAAACTGACTATCGTACTCAGAGCTGGCTCCTTGTTTTCGCTTGTCAATTTGAATACCGCTTCATCGACGGAGTGCTTGGGTGTTCGAGCACAATCGATGAGTTCTTCATAGATAGTGGGTTCTGAACCCCCAGACATGCGTGCACTATTGTCGTTTGACTGGAAAGAATCTACCGCATTATGGAATTGCTCCATTTCCCTGGCATTTCGATCATCGACAGCTAGCTCTTGAATGGAGTATAGAACCAAGCCCCATGACAAGGCTGCAGGCCCCGCTGCTGCGAATTTGCTTGCCCCTTCAAGGAAGATCTCGTTGATTTGCGAAATCTTGTCCTTGCAAAGAAAATAAGGGTTTTTCTCGGCGGGAAAGGTTGTGGGCTGCGATCTGTTTGTGATAGAGGAAAAGGCAAGGTGCAATTTCAGGAAAGCCAAGGTTGTAAGGGAGACAAAGGCTTCAAGTGGCAACATCACTTCTTTAGGCTCCATGCAAAACTGTTGGTTCACAAAGTTAGTAAAGAGAGGCTTCCAGGTACTCAAAGTCCGCTGGAGAATTTATCGTTGCTTACCACTTGTAGTTTGCTCAAGAAGCCGTGTTCGGCCATTAAATCAAGCCAGGACAGCAGGAGATCACCAGATGGAACCTCAGCAGATGCATGAAGCTGATGGAACATAAGTTGCAGAATTTGAAGGATTTCTTCGACGAGAGCAGTCCTCCAGGCAATTTCGGTCTCTTCATTGCTTTCATCTGTGCTCAACCAACCGCCCTGCCCCTTTAAATCTTCCAGGCGATTGCGAATTCCAGTCATGCATTCCTCGAGAAATTTACTCAAGGCATTTCCAGTCGACTTCTCTTTGAAAAGTGAAAGCCCCACTGCGCACAATGCAACTCTTCTCTCTGCATCCTTCTTTACAGAGCTAGATTTCTCTGGCGCACTGTGTAGAGACAGCGCCAATAGTTTGCGAAATGTTTTCACAATATGACTCCGTTCCGATAAGAAAAGATGACGCAGTCGCAAGCGTCGGTTTTTTTCCGAGTCAAAAGATGTGCCTTGGTCATTACCAGCGACTTGTTTGAGGATATTGGCCAAATTCGAACTTGCAACAGAAGCACTGAAATTGTCGATCCCAGTTGCGCTCTGCACACTTGTCACCTCCTCATTTGAGAACCTTGATTTCAGACGTGCCGCAGGTCGAGTTTGCCATTCAAGAACGGTGATCCGCAAGGCTGTAATTTCATCCACTCCTGCTTTTTGGCTAAGCCATTCCGCGTCTGATTTGATTTCGTTTAGATCGAATGTTTTGGAATTGGTCTCCACGTGAATTGCCGCTGTTTTGGATTCGAATTCGGATTTAGACTTCGCGGAAGGACTAGTGAAGGGGTTTAGGCTTTGCGACAGCAACTGAATACTCTCGGGGTGTGAAAGAAAAGCCGCGACATGACCGTCATCATCAGCATGACCTTCAGGGTCATTAGCGTAGAGAAAGACTCTTTCCCAGGACCTATATAAAAGGTAATAATAAACATTGTCAGCAAGTTCACCGGATTTGACATTGTAGGCAGTGAAAAGACATACAAGAGCTGAGCAGCCCCAGCAAAGCACTTGTCCAGGGACGGGAAATAGGCCTCCGGAATGGGAGCCATTTGGCCAGACAATTAGATCATCCTAGGATTGCACCAGACCAGAAATGAGCCCCTAGATTAGGGAGTGTAGAATGGTGAAGGTGAAAGAAATTGGTAGGAGTTGGGGAAGTGATGTTTTGGGCTGAAGGTGATATAGCTCGCGGGAGCTTTTTACAAATTATTCAGGCTCGAAGGTCGCGCCGGCGGTCAACAATCGACATTTCCTATCTGGGACTAGTGTTAGGCGGTGAACAGTGAATCATCCATCCAATCTTTTGTGTCACAGCAAATGGAAATGACTCTTAAACATTTACCATATCAATTGATCTGGTTCTTGATTTGGTGAAATAGGTGGGTAATTTAAATTCATATTAACTCTTGATATACATAGTTATTTTTCTGACTTTTTCTTTATTTTAGATCTTGTATCACCATGGCGGACCTAGTCGATCATTCCCCCCACCATCCCACCAGAGCTGCCCGCTTGAACAGTGCCTCCAATGTTATTCTCATTGATAACTATGATTCATTCACTTGGAACGTGTATCAATATTTGGTACTAGAGGGTGCCACAGTCACTGTCTTTCGCAACGATGAAGTCACAGTGGAGGACTTGGCTGCCAAGAACCCTACTCAACTAGTGATCAGTCCTGGTCCTGGTCACCCCGAGACCGATGCTGGTATCAGTAATGCTGCTATTCAGTACTTCAAGGGAAAAATTCCTATCTTTGGTGTCTGTATGGGACAGCAGTGTATCATTAATTCTTTCGGCGGCAAGGTGGATGTCACGGGTGAAATTCTACACGGCAAGACCTCGGTCTTGAAGCATGATAGCAAAGGCGTCTACCAAGGACTGCCTGCTGCTTTCTCTATCACTCGCTACCACTCGCTTGCAGGAACAAATTCGACTGTCCCGGATTCGTTGGAGGTAACATCCTGGGCGGAGCTCGAGAATGGCAGTGGAACTGTCATTATGGGAATCCGCCACAAGGAGTTCACCATTGAAGGAGTGCAATTCCACCCGGAAAGTATTTTGACTGAGTATGGTCGTGCCATGTTTGGAAATTTCCTCAGACTTACCTCTGGAACTTGGACTGGTGCCAAGCAAGGTGCAACCTCTGCCGCCAAGTCGATTCCTGTTGTGGACAAGAAGCTGTCAATTTTAGACAAGATTTATGCTCATCGCCGGAATGCTGTTGCTGAGCAAAAGAAGATCCCAGCATTGCGCCCGGAAGCTCTTCAGGCTGCTTATGATCTGAACATTGCCCCTCCACAGATCTCATTCCCTGAACGCCTGAGACAATCCGACTACCCCCTGTCTCTGATGGCAGAGATCAAGCGTGCTTCCCCTTCAAAGGGTATTATTTCAGCAGACGTGTGCGCACCTGCTCAGGCTCGGGACTATGCTAAGGCGGGTGCTAGTGTCATTTCGGTGCTGACAGAACCGGAATGGTTCAAAGGAACTATTGATGACCTGCGAGCTGTGCGACAGAGCTTTGAGGGACTTACCAACCGTCCTGCCATTCTGAGAAAGGAATTTGTCTTTGACGAGTATCAGATTCTGGAAGCCCGACTGGCTGGTGCTGATACCATCCTACTGATTGTGAAGATGCTCAGTGTAGAGCTTCTTACAAGACTGTACCATTACTCCCGTAGTCTTGGAATGGAGCCTCTGGTTGAAGTCAACACCCCAGAGGAGATGAAGATTGCTGTTGATCTGGGTTCTGAGGTCATTGGTGTTAACAACCGCGATTTGACGAGTTTCGAAGTCGATTTGGGCACTACAAGCCGTCTGATGGACCAGGTCCCAGAAAGCACCATTGTGTGTGCTCTCAGTGGGATTACGGGGCCTAAAGATGTTGAGGCGTATAAGAAGGAGGGTGTTAAGGCAATTCTTGTTGGAGAGGCTTTGATGCGGGCACCAGACACCTCTGCCTTTGTGGCACAGCTTCTGGGAGGTCCTTCCGTACAGACACAAACTTCAGCTTCTCCCTTGGTTAAAATCTGCGGCACTAGGTCTGCTGAGGCCGCCCAGGCTGCTATTGAAGCTGGCGCTGATTTAATTGGAATTATCCAAGTCTCTGGGCGGTCAAGGACTGTTTCTGATGACATTGCTCTTCGCATCTCGCAGGCGGTTAAGTCAACGCCACGACCCGCTGCCACAACAGACAAAACAGAGCTGTTTTCATCAAAGACAAGTGCTAGTGAGTGGTTTGACAATTCCACTGCAATCCTGCGACACCCCGCTAGGGCACTTCTTGTGGGTGTGTTCATGAACCAGCCTTTGTCCTATGTCCTTGCTCAACAACAAAAGTTGGGGCTTGATGTTGTGCAGCTACATGGCTCTGAGCCATTAGAATGGGCTAGTCTGATTCCTGTGCCTGTTATTCGCAAATTCGCCCCTGGAGATATTGGTATTGCTCGCCGTGCGTACCATACTCTTCCACTGCTTGATTCTGGTGCCGGTGGCTCTGGCCAGCTTTTGGAAGAGACTGGTGTTCAGAAGGTCCTCAATAGCGACGATGGACTTCGGGTCATTCTTGCCGGAGGGTTAACCGCAGAGAATGTTGTCGATGTTGTGAAGAAGCTTGGGAAATCGGGAACTAAGGTGGTTGGATTAGACACCAGCTCTGGAGTGGAAACCAATGGTGCGCAGGATTTGAACAAGATTCGAGCTTTTGTTACAGCCGCCAAGAGCATTCGACAATGATTTTCCCGCATTTTCGTTATGATTATTTCCTGGTAGACATTTCGGGTCTATGAGTGACTTCTTTTCTCACTCTTTCTAACTTTCTTCCTTTTTCTATTATTCATTCACAATATTACCATGGATATCATTTCCTGACTTCCTACTTCTACATCTCCGTTTACCTGCCTTCTGCAAGTAAACTTAATCACCAACCTGCACTTCTACGTTGATTTCAGGCAGCCTTACGTGTAAGAGGCATTTTACAACACCCTTTTTACTCTTACTCTTGTTTTTATCCCCAGGCTAAACCATTCGGACGTCTTTTGCTCCTTACTACTCTTGGTCAACGCGTCGTTGATCTATCCAGCTCAACTATCACCACCTGCCCTTTCTCTACCCCATCTTTCCTATCCCGATCCTAGCCCTCCCGAAATGCCGAATACTTTTAAGGGTGTTGTCGTTGCCGTCGCTGGGAAATTTGAAGACGGTGATAAATTCCCTGGTTGGCTTCGTTACCACGGTGGAGAGTTGATCAAGAAGGTCGACTCGAGCGTTACACACCTCATTGCATCTGAGGACGCCTACAGGAAGAATATTGAAGCGGGTATGTCCTCGAATCTTTATTCCTGGAGAGTCATAAATGGGAGTTCTTGAGGTTCTGGCTAATACGCATCTTTCAATGATTTCTAGTCCAGCTGGCCAAGGAATTGGGTACTGTTAGTATCATCCACTCCGACTGGCTTTATGAATCACTGCAAGAAAAAAACCGCCGACCAAGACCAGTGGTTTCGTACCTTTGGGAAAATCTTTTACAACTGGAAATAAGACCTCGGAAGAGGCAGCGACAGGCACAGTCGCCAGTGACCCCTTCCAAGACCACCAAGACCCCCAAGACCCCCAAGACCCCCAAGCGCAATAAAATGCTCAGTGAACTTTAACCCTTCTCTCTGTGTGAATTCAATATGTACACTGCTCAGTTGCTAATGCTTTCCCTTATCCAGAGGACCCATTTGTCAAGAAGAGACCCACTAAGGGCCAAAAGCCTGCCTTACCTAGTAGGTCCAATCTCTCCCTCCCGGTCCAATATCTATCAGTGAAGGTAAAAAGACTAATTCGAGAATCTCAGCAACAAACAAGCCTTATGTTGATGAAGAGAGCAAAGAGACTTGGGATGTATCACTGCATCGGACTCGCGAAAATGGCAAAAGCGAGAAATTGCGACTAGCGGTAAGTTCAATGTCATACTAGACAAAACAACGCATACTAATCAATGTTAAAAGATCTTCCAATCTTCGAAAGAGCCATACACCTATGCAACATTCGTGAAGTACACCCGGGTTGGCAAGTCGAATATTTCCCGTATTGCGCCTGCGAAGTGCACCCTGGCAGTTGCCCAAAAGGCATTCAAGGACTTTTTCGCACTTCAGGCAGGATTGCAGTGGGACAAAAAGATGGAATGCGCAATGGTCTCACCTAAGAAAGACAGCGAGGGAAATGCGTTGCCTCCTCACGAAGGATGGTATCATATGCAAAGCGGAAGAAGTATTCTCTCCGCTTACATGAATGAGCCAATGTCTTCATCGAGCATCCCTGACGACGCTTCTACGGTGGAACAACCAACATTTTCCGGGGCGCAATTTGACCCGGGAGACTCCATGCCATTCGAGGACGAGAGCGGTTTTGATGGTGATATTGACACCACCGACCATTCTGATCTCCGCAATGAGACGCAGATTGAGCGAAATGATCTAAAGTCACCATCATCCCAGGGCGCTGTGACTGATGTCACTGAAGCTCATGCTGACGAAGGCTCCCTTGTTGTCAACAAGGATGCTTCGTTTCAGCAGCTGTCTATTGAATAAGTTGATCCAGAGATTGAACTCACTCTTGAGAATTATGGAGATTGTTAGTTGAAATAGGGCGGCTTTTCAATACTGCAAGTTCAAGTTGGAGTCTTAATCGAGTGCAAGTGCAGACTCGGATTGGGGGAAAGCAGGACTCATGAACCAGATGCCAAAAAAACTCCCAGAAAAACCAAAAAAAACCCTCTAGTGAGGTGTAATAACAATTTGATTTTTCTCTTTTCTTTTATCCTTTCGAGTTCGTAGGCAGTCTTGCAAAGTATAGTTTAGGGTTTTGATGCCCCCATATCATCCATTTGAACAGGGTATTGGAGTAAAATAATAAAAAGAAATTGATGGACAAATAAGTTGGCAGAGAGTGCCTTTTAGTAAATCGTCAACCCCCCCATTACGCCGAGAATATAACCAAAATTTTGCCAAGAAAAAAAAACATAGTCCATATGCCATAAAAGAAAACTTCACGCCTTCGGCCGACACCATGATGCAAATTGACCCAATCACAGGTAATCCTTCTTCCGGCTGGTTCTCGTATACTGAGTAAGAGCCCATTCAACATCACCTGAACTTCCCTTTTCGAGTGTGCCACCCCGAATCTCGAACAGACGCATAGTCATGCGCGGGCCAACCTCGGCAAGCTCGACATCTCGGTATCCTGTCTTGACAAAGACATGGTGACGGACTTCGATGCTATCTTCCTTATTGACAAAAGTCACGACACGGTTACCAACCTTGCCGGTCTCACGGGGAGGGAACAGATGCTTGAGGATCTGAACAACACGAAGACCCAGCTTGGACTTAAATCCCTCGAAGACTAAATGCGGGTAGCTCTCTGAGACGGTGCCACGAGCGGCGTTCGGGATATCGGCCCGGAGAACGACATTGTGCAAAGAGAAACTAGCGGTTGGACCGTGAGGAAGGTGGGAAACGGTGAGAGCAGTGGGAGTACCACGGTGTTCGTGCAGCAGGATCATATCGGTCAGAGAGGCAGAGGTTGCGCTTGAGACGAGATCGGGCAAAACAAGGTTACCACGGTTAAGGCGAATGGCAGTTGGAAGAAGCAGACGGATTTCCTTCGCAAAGGCTCCCAGACGAGCAGAGGGCGAACGAGAAGTGGTGACCAGTGGGCGAGGATCGATAACACCGGATGTTAAAGCATATTCGTCATCAATGTCGATCTCGTCTTCTTTTGACTCATCATACTTGAAATCCTCCCGAAGTGTCTTGTCATTTGCAATTGAGGGATCTGAGGGGCTTTCCAGAAGCCAGAGAGGCCTTGAGTTGAGCTCTCTTTTCGGCGATGGAGGCATCGCGGAGGAGCAGGGCTCTCCTGTAAAGGTAATCGCGGCGCTCACGGGCTTGACGGCGCTATTAAAATATTTCAGTCAATATCTCCATAATAAAATTGTGAACCAAATAAGACAATTACCAGCATTTTGTGAAAGTGTGGAAGAGATATGTAAAGTCTTTCCTTGATAGGAAGCGGGCAACTTTTTTTTTTCCTGCTAAACTCCGGGGCTGCGTCTTTGGTCAGAAACCCCCACCCTAGTGGGATCCCACTGATAGAGAATCCGGATCGCAGATTGCGGAGAGAGGCTTTTCGTTTGACCTAAACCTCTTCCACTCTCTTTGGCTGTTTGTGTGACAGAGAGAGTTGGGCTGTGAGTCGTTCTCCTGGTTCTGTATTCCTGTCTCAGCTGACGTTCCTTCCATTAGATCTTCTTCCCCCGTTCGTTTGCCCCTCAGGCACACACCTGCGGGCTTCTTAGGAAACCGCCCTGGAATGACCGATTGCCCTCTACGCTCATTTGAATTACGATCTTACCATCCCTTTCTATTTTCTGCAACGCGTACGGTGTTTTTCTCACCTTCCCTTGATTTCTTCTTTCAGTTGAACTTGAACGCTATTCTTTTATCCACTTAAAGGAAGCCGCAAAATGGACAACCCCTCAGGATTGGCCGATGATGCTTCGGTGGTTGCGGATTTAGATGATCATACGACCGATAATTTGGGAAGACCGAGACCGCGCCGACATGACGACGAAGATGACGGGTCCGATATCTTGGAAGATGATGACTTGGAGAGCACTGTAGGTGGCCCGGTTAATGGAAACCACAGGGGCCAGGGATATGCTGAGGAGGAGAAAGAGTTGCCCGCTCATGCTTGCGCATACTGCGGTATTCATAATCCGAGCAGTGTGGTGAAGTGTCTCTCCTGTAACAAGTGGTTCTGCAGCGCTCGTGGAAATACCTCTTCCTCTCACATTGTCAACCATCTCGTCAGAGCTCGTCACAAGGAGGTTCAGCTGCACCCCGCTTCATCTCTTGGTGATACCATCTTGGAATGCTATAACTGTGGTACAAAGAACGTTTTCCTCCTTGGTTTTATTCCCGCGAAATCGGACACCGTCGTGGTGCTTTTGTGCCGACAGCCGTGTGCGGCCATGCCTTCTTCCAAAGACATGAACTGGGATACATCGCGTTGGCAGCCACTCATTGAGGACCGCTCATTTTTGCCATGGCTTGTGGGTGCTCCTACCGACCAAGAACAGCTCCGGGCTCGTCACCTTAGCCCTCAGCTGATCGCGAAGCTCGAGGAGATGTGGAAAGAGAATTCCAATGCCACTTTGCAGGATCTAGAGAAAGCCACGGCTGTCGATGACGAGCCAGCACCCGTTCTTCTTCGTTATGATGATGCCTTTCAATACCAAAATATCTTTGGACCCCTTGTAAAAATCGAGGCTGATTACGATCGGAAATTGAAAGAGTCTCAATCACAGGATGGGCTTATCGTGCGGTGGGACTTAGGTCTCAACAATAAACATCTCGCAAGTTTCATTCTTCCTAAGCTGGAGCTTGGTGATGTTAAGTTGGCCGTAGGTGATGAGATGCGGTTGAAGTACACTGGTGAACTTCGCTCCAAGTGGGAGGGCGTGGGTTATGTCATGAAGATCCCGAACAACCAGTCTGATGAGGTTACTATTGAGTTGCGCTCCAAGGGTGACCACAAGTCTGTCCCTACAGAATGCACGCACAACTTCACTGCAGACTACGTTTGGAAATCTACTTCTTTCGACCGTATGCAGCTCGCCATGAAGACCTTTGCGGTGGATGAGATGAGTGTCTCCGGCTACATCTTCCACCGTCTCCTTGGTCATGAGGTTGCAGCAGCTCCCATGAAGACTCAAATCCCTAAGAAATTCAGTGTTCCTGGCTTGCCTGACCTGAATGGCAGTCAGATCAATGCTGTCAAGAGTGTACTTCAAAGGCCCCTCAGCCTGATTCAAGGTCCCCCAGGAACAGGTAAAACCGTGACCTCGGCTACAATTATCTACCATCTTGCCAAAATCAATGGTGGCCAGGTCCTGGTTTGTGCTCCTTCCAACGTTGCGGTCGACCAACTCTGTGAGCGTATCCACCTGACTGGCCTCAAGACTGTTCGAGTAACTGCCAAGTCTCGAGAGGATGTGGAATCCCCCGTTGGATTCCTTTCCTTGCATGAGCAAGTTCGCATGAATGATAGCAACGTCGAATTAGCCAAGCTTAATCAGCTGAAGGCAGAACTTGGCGAGCTGTCCAGCCAGGATGAGAAGCGCCTGAAGCAGTTGACACGTGCAGCCGAGCGCGAGATCTTGACCAATGCGGATGTTATCTGCTGCACTTGTGTTGGTGCAGGTGATCCACGTCTCGCCAAGTTCAAATTCCGAACTGTTCTTATTGACGAATCCACTCAATCTGCGGAGCCTGAGTGCATGATTCCCTTGGTTCTTGGCTGCAAGCAGGTTGTGCTTGTTGGTGATCATCAGCAGCTGGGACCAGTTATCATGAACAAGAAGGCTGCCAAGGCTGGTCTCAATCAGTCGCTTTTTGAACGACTTGTCATCCTGGGCTGCTCTCCAATCCGTCTGAACGTGCAGTACCGTATGCACCCTTGTCTTTCCGAGTTCCCCTCGAATATGTTTTACGAAGGATCCTTGCAGAACGGTATCACTATTGCAGACCGTCTTCGCCGCGATGTCGACTTCCCATGGCCCATGATGGATGACCCCATGATGTTCTGGTCTAACCTTGGCAATGAGGAGATTTCAGCATCTGGAACCTCGTACCTGAATCGCACGGAAGCCACTAATGTTGAAAAGATTGTCACTCGCTTCTTCAAGGCTGGTGTGCAGCCTACGGGTATCGGTATCATTACTCCGTACGAGGGTCAGCGAAGCTACATTGTCAGTTCCATGCAGGCAAACGGCACCTTCAAGAAGGAACACTACAAGGAAATTGAAGTTGCGTCCGTGGACGCGTTCCAGGGCCGTGAAAAGGACTACATCATTCTCTCTTGTGTGCGTTCCAACGACCACCAGGGTATCGGTTTCTTGAGTGATCCTCGCCGTCTTAACGTTGCCCTTACCCGAGCTCGATACGGTCTTGTCATCCTCGGTAACCCTAAGGTGCTTTCCAAACATCCTCTATGGAATTGCCTTCTCCAGCACTTCAAGGAACGCCACTGTCTTGTGGAAGGACCTCTATCTAACCTGCAAGAGTCCCTGATTCAGTTCAGCCGTCCGAAGCAAGCCTACCGTGGTCCTCAACGATTCCAGATGAATTTCAACCAAGCATCCAATGCCAACAACAATGGCGCCATGAACGGCCGCAATGGACATCGTGTTGACTTCCAAGACTCAGGTTCCATGGTTGGGTACATTCCTGACGATGTTTCTTCTGTTCATTCATCTGCCCTTGGCGGTGGCGGTGGTGGAGTTGGGCTTCCTTCTGGATATCCACCCATGTTCCAGAACTTCCAGGATTCCTGGCCTTCTCTCTCCGGTGGTCGTCGTCCTAATGGCGGCCGTGCTAAGGGTGCTCCAAGTGTTGCTGGTGAATCTGTTGCTGCTACCGAATCTGATGTTACCGGAAGCATTATTGATGGACGTAGCGTTGACCAGGGTGGTGTGAGTCTCACTGGCTTGAGCATCAACGACATGAACAAGCAGCCTAGCCTTAGCCAGTCTGATCGTCTGAAGCGTTACGTGGAGTCCGGTGGCCGCGAACCCTACCGCGCAGGAGTCCCCGATAGTGGCAGCATCTTTGGTGGCAGTTCTGCTAGCATTCGCGTCACTCGTGGTGTTCCCGGTCAACACTTGCATGACGATGATGACGCCCGCAGTGTTTCCACTGCCTTTGCTAGCCAGATCGGCGGTAACTACGACTGAGTGGGAATTCATACGGCCAATGCATGCCAGAGCAGCCTCTGTTAGGCTCGCCCTCTCTCTCGTAAACGGGAAAGCAGAATTTCGCACGAAATGTAAGGGGGGTTCTTTCCAACAAAGTTTTACCCGCCCATTTCCTTCCATGCCGATCGGGACATCTGATTACCGAAGCTGGGGCCAATGTTTCTCCTCTTCGAATCCATCAATTCCCACGAACTGCCTATCTACATCGACTGATTGTTCGATCACGATGGAGCCTGTTCTCTTGGTCTCCGAGCTTGTCACCCGTGCCGTTTCTTGCCTTTCACACGGCTACAAATGGACTGAGACAACCTAGCGATGCTTTCGACGCCTTCCTTGTCCAGGTCCTCCTTCTCAAGAGGTATCAGCTGGTTGTCATTTTTCCAGCCCAGGTCACTCCGGTCAGAGGTTCTTGAGCGGCTTTGAGGGTATCGGCCCGCTTGGGCTCGATTCCTCTTAGCGGTCTTTCTCTATTAGAAATGTTAGCTCTTACCTTGTTGCTTTGAACAATCGAGACCACCCCATGCCCATTTTTACCTTGCTCTCGTAAATCGTAGGTTGTAAGTAAGCAGCTTAAGCATGTATGTGGTGATCAACATGTATTCCTTTCCAATTGCTGTAAATTTGTGGCGAGTTGGGGCGTTAAGCTCACCTGGGCAACTTTGGAAGTTGCTGCTTGTAATGTAATCACCATACAAGTCCTCACGCCGCGGTCTTATACCCCGGTAGCAGCGAGCGATTGAAATCGGGAAAAGTATGTCCTGGGCACGCGAATGCTTGGCCAGGAAGCTTGGTCAATTGGACATACTGCCCAGTGTATCAACTTAATCAGATTTAACTCGAGTCATATCTACACATTCAAGTACTCACTAAGTAGTATCTACAGGTGACAGGGGATCTACTCTATGTGTGTAAGTACCTACAGGAGTAGCCAAATGGGTAGCTAAAGGGGAAGGTTAGATGCTATATGAGTTGCATACAGGAACCTGGTAGCTGTTGGCTGATTCTGCCCCTTTTATCTGGCATCACCAAGCTCCTCCCGCATCTCTCTTACACTATCTGAATTGATAATACGGCGTACATTACTCTGCGTCAATCTCTACAAGAAGTCACTTCTATACGCACACGTCGATGAACACACTCGTGCTGAGGCTATCAATATCTACTGGAGGCTGGGACACCAATATGTCGCGATCTCCCACATGAAGGCGTCGTGAGAGGCGTTCCCGCCCACGCGAGGAATGCTGGATACCAGATTCCAGAGATCGGCTGAAGAACTTTCTAAACGCACCAATTGCAAAGTCGCACAAGACAGAAGAATCCGAACTGGGGAAAAGAAACCAGCCTTCCAATTCTTAGCATTTCTAAAGAGCCAATCTATATAAAGAGATGAGCCAGGGAGGTGGAGTAAATGTCCATCACAATCTACTTCATCCTCCGAGTCGGAGCCTTCAATCCGATATTCAGATACTATTCTCAATTGCGTGCTCTGAATTGACTTCATTAGTCTTTCACTTTTCCATTCAAAATGCACATCACCCAAATTTTCGGAATCTGTCTAGTCGCCCTGGCTAGTACCACGGTGGCGAGGCCCCATCTAGCGGGTCCCTACCATGGACAGCGGATCGCCATCGAAGTCCCCACCAATTCGACACAGAATGCGACCACAACGGGGACACGAGCCACTGCTCCTCTGTCAACTGCTAGTATTCTTGCACAACCAAAGAGCGGAACTCGAATTCATGTCTCTCATGGACTGAATTCGGTGCAGAAGGCGACTCAAGGGAGCAATCATTGTAATGAGTTGTGTTCGTTGGAATCGCAGACATGTACTATTGCAGTACCAGATGATGATAAGTTTTGGTAAGTGCGCCTGATAGGGATTCTTTCCTTTTTCAGATTGTTTAGAACGTGTTTGCTAATTTGAACAATAACATAGCTGGCAAACATATACCCGGTGCATTAAGAAGTGCCGGCCGGATAACTTCCAAAAATAGTTCTAGTACAAAAGTACGAGAGCTGAGATGAACCGACAACTTGAAAATATCCCGAAAGCTCAGAGATAGAAATTTGCTTTTTTGATTTGATTTATGAGCGTGAGCATTTAGATTACTGTACTTTATAATAACTGCAGGCTATACATGAGGGCATTGAATACATTGATTTATCATACTATGAATTGAAATAGAGCACGTGCATGAGATAGTTAAGACTAAGCTAATCAGGATATTCAATGTTCCATAGTAATTGTAACTCGTAATTAGTGCATCAAGTAGTTATCGTGAATGATCCGGTAGTATACGTCATTGAAGTAGGAACAATACTACTTGGAAGAGATCGGCCAAAATGACTTGAGAAATCTCTTACTATGTTAGTCACCTTGGCACAATGTTCCGACATCGTCTTGTACTCAACAATAAAATGATTGAATCGGAATAAATAGGGTAATGTTATAAGTATTATGAAGTAACCCCGGGTACTCCGTGACTATGACCTTAACTATAATAGCCACTTCACCTATAATATACAAATCGAGAGCACATGAGAGCACACGTGCTGGGCTACCACTCTGAGGGGAAGGAGTGATCGTCCCTCATTCCATATTTCATGGAAGGTACTACTTTCCCGTACACTCTAACAGCACATGTGCAGTAATTGATCCAGTACTAGACAGTTGACTGAGCACGGGACTTGGTGGAGAAGGCAACCCTGATAAGCTCTGCCCCACTCTAAAGCCAGCAAATGCCCGTTGCTCCCTGGGGCACGAGTTCCCCCTTTGTACCAATCATCGTCCTTAATTACAACTCGTGGGCTCTGCTAAGCACGCGACACTCCAGATAATTATACTACCATAGAAACCCCAGAAAGAGACTGAGAGAGGAGAGAAGACCCGTATATATTAACTCCCTTATTGAATTTTCCTCCCCCCTTTCCCAGGCTTCCCCCCTCTTATAGAGATCATTCATTCTAATCAGTCCTTGTCCCCTATATACTCCAAAATGTCTCGTACACGATTCCCACCTACTCCTGCTATGTCAGGAGAATTCGTTATTAAAGACAAACCCATCGATACCACAGATTCCTTCGCTCTACCTCCAGCGGCTCTAAGCCCCTCCAAGCAGGATATCTCCAGTCGACGATCATCTCGATCAGATCCAACATATGTCCCAGCATCTCCAACATCCCCGAATCTCATGGCTCGAAACAAAGCCCCACAACAGTCTCGGTCGGGTACAGCCTCAAAACGTCCCCTAGAGGACTTTGATCTACCCCCACCACCAACCCGAACACGCAAGATCATTCAGATGAAGCCCAAGTCACAACCTGCGGCCAAGTCACCGGCAAAGCCCAAAGAAACCACAAAGCCTTCAGCTGGTCAGACATCACCGGAATCAGTCAATAAGGATGGTGCTGCTTCGAAGAAGAAGCAGCCCAGTGCTACAAGTGCCGCGGGTCGTAAAATCGCTCGTAAGACCGCTCACAGTCTAATTGAGCGACGACGACGGTCGAAGATGAATGAGGAGTTTGGAACATTGAAGGATATGATTCCTGCCTGTAGAGGGCAGGAGATGCATAAATTGGCTATTCTTCAGGTACGCGACGTCCTCTAAACCAAAACATATCCCTCTAATTGACTGCACCGGACAATATCACTAACATTCTCGGATATATTAGGCCAGTATTGACTATGTCAACTACTTAGAGCGATGCATATCAGACCTCAAAACGGCAGGCACAACCCGAAACACTGCACCACCTTCCCCGACATCCCCGGAGTTCCTTGCCACAGCCACAGAGGAGTCAGTTCCACAGATGCCTCAAAGACCGCCTTCCTCAGCCTATTCCTACTCCACCTCTACATCACCGGAGCTCATGCCCGGCAGTGCAATGATCTCTGATACCTCCCCCTCCTTCTCTCCTCGCACACGAATGCCCTCAGTTCATACTCTGCCTGATCTTGCATCTACTCTGCCTAGCCCGGCATTGGGTCCCATACATCAGTCTATGGACAAGCTCCATGAACTCCAGGGGATTGATCATGAGGCTTCTGCTGCTTTGCTCATGCTTACGCGGGATCGAAGGGGCACGGCTGACTCTATCAATGAGCATTTTGCCAGTGCATCTCTTGTTCCTCCTCAAGATGATAGATCAGGCGTTGAGGGTCAACGGCGGAAGGGAATGAGTGTGCGGGATCTGCTCATTTCATGATAGACGACTTAATATTCTTCGATGCGTTGATCTTCCATTTTTGTTAAATAAATTTTTCAAGTTGGGAGTCCCGGTTGGGTTGGCGAGGTTATTTTTGAGCGTTCTAATACTTGGATCTGTTCTTTTCTGGATCCTGCATTGTGTGGTCCTCTGGTTTTGTATATGATGTTTTAAGATAATACCGGACTGGAAGGTCTTAGATGTCCATGTTCATGCAACGGACTTAAAATCCATTCAAATTGACACACTCCTATCATTAATCCCATTGTCTATCATAAGTTAATCCATACTCATTCTATTCAACTGAAGTACGGAGTATAGTTCTCTCCAATAGTTACCCCGGTTCTTTAACCCACAGACCCACCGGATCTCCATAGCCGCTCGGCATCGGCAATTGATCAAACTCCGATTCTCCGACCTGAATCTCCGCCCGACATCCAACGTCAGTCGCACACAGACCCACGCAAATTGGAAATACAGTATATGATCGGAAAATTTAAATCCCTTCTGATTGATGGAGGTCCGACGTTATAATGTAGAGCGATCTTGTATACGCTGTCACGAGCGTAAAGTCGGCTGTGACAAGGGCAACCCATGCAGCAAATGCGTGCGCCTGAATGTTCCATGCCAATACCCGGGCCCAAAGCGAGTGAAGCGCCGAGCGCCGAAGTCTAGTGTGACTGATATGACAGCACGGCTGGATCAACTCGAACGATCTATTGCTGCACTTGCGGGACAGGCCCAATCTCCTGATTCTCCTCAGCCAAGCCACTCGCCGCCCCAGATCACCTCGGATGTGGAGCGCGCTTCCGAACCCGATGCTGGGCCTAGCACTAGTGCAGTACAAGTAAGTCGTTCATCTACGACTGCTTTGACCGCAAACCACGGGTTCCTGGCGAAGAACGGAAGCTACGTTGATGAACCCCTTCTTTCTCGCGTGCTAGAGAAAGAACATGAGCTTCAATCTGCGATGGGTTCGCCAAGTACTCATAGCAATGCTGCGATGAAACCGGTGTCCATGAAATTGGATGGAATTATTACCAACCCCCAACTTCATCAGTTGGATTTACAGGCTCTACTCCCGAGTAGGTGGCAGGCTACTCAACTCTGGGAGACGTTTTTGAGTCGTGTGGATCCGGTGGTTAAATGCATTCATATCCCAACAGTCAAGCCTAGGATATTTGCGGCCATCAGTCGACCTGATTCGGTGCCGCCCGATGTGCATTGTCTTCTCTTTGCTATATTCTTTGGTGCGGCTACTACCATGTGCTCTGATGACCCAGGGAATGAGAAGATTCGCGCGGATCTGCGTCGATATCAACAGGGTATCGAGCTTGCCATGTACCAGTCCTCGTTCTTGGACTCACCGACTGTGAAATCGCTCCAGGCTATGGCAATCTACCTGGTATGTATTATGACCTGCTGTTGATATTTCATATCGGATGTTTTAATACTAACACCGTTGGATCAGACCTGCCTACGATGTAACAACAGTAGCCGATCAGGATTCACTTTACGTGGTCTAGCAATCAGAGCCGCACAATCAATCGGTCTTCACCGAGACGGCAAGCACTTCAAACTCCCACCCTTAGAATGCGAAATTCGTCGCCGATTATGGTGGATCCTATACACAACCGACGCCCGGATGGCCGAGGACCACGGCATCACGATCGCAGAACAAGGTTACCGCAGCGACACCGAGCTTCCCGCTAACATCGACGACCAAAACCTATTTAAAACCGCCACCGAGCCTATCTCATCTCAGCCTCGCTGGACAGAAATGACATTCCAGCTCATAATTGCCGAAGTGAACAAATCATGGTACGAAGTCGGCCAAGCAACCACCAAATCGCATGACTCTTCTGATCAAGAACAACTCCTCAATGAACTAAAAACAAATCTCTATGAAAAATATATCCAGCATGGTGACCTCGACATCCCAATCCAGCGAATGGGAATGATGCTCAGCGAAGTCCTAGTCTCAAAAAGAGAAGTCCACCTTCGCCAAAAGATCCTGCACGCACAAGGTGTAAACTCCGCATCAGTGGGTAGCACAGAAGCAACGAGAGAATTACTCCGAATGGCCTCCAACGCTCTCAATCTTGGACTAAAGATGTATCAAGATGAACTCCTACACGGATTCCGCTGGTTATCATGTACATATACGCAGTTCCATTTACTGACGTATATACTTTGGCATCTCTGCGTACATCCCACAGATCCACATGTGGATGAAGCGTGGCATAATGTGAATATGCATTTCGAGCTCGTGGAGCACGATCCATCGTGGCCGGATCCAGGTGCTAAGTGGCCCATGTTAGTCCAGTTGAGGGCGAAGGCATTAAGAATTCGGAATGCGCATGTGCAACCTGTGCAGTCGATGACTGAGACTGGGATTGCTCATCGTGATGGCCCTTCGGTGGGCTTTGTGGATGATGCGATACAGGGACTTGAGATTCCGTTGGATATTGAGGATTTGGATCTAAATTGGTCTGAATTTTTTCCTGATTGGAACTATATGGCGGAAAGTATTTCTTTTATGGGTCAAGAGGGGTAGAATGTGATGCATCAAGGTATACTAGACTTTTTTGGAGTAGATATCTGCAGTTCAGCCGTGGAGTCTGTACTAATGCGACCTATCAAATCCTAATCTCAAATATAAACAATGACAAATGTCCGATATTATCTCAAATTGAGATTTGACAGGTCTAAAATTAAAAAAAGCAACATTGTACTCCCTAGACGCGTAAATAACCGGCGCCCACACACGGAGTATTAGTACGCGTTGAGCCATTTAAGAATTGAACTCCCTCCCATAACAACCCACCTCAGCAAGAAATCAATTTTCAACTTCACAGATCAGAAACAAGCAAAATGATCGACGATTTCACTCTCTTCAATGCAATCGACATCGTCCCGGAGAAAGTGCTCCGTGAGCTTTGCAAATCCATGTGCAAAGAAGTTCCCGAAGCGAGGATTCATTTAGAAAAGTAAGTCTTAGTGGAGAAGATCACCATTCTATCCGATAATGATGAGAACTTTGATGATTCCGACGCAGAGAATTACTCACATGATGAGACCTGGAAGGACGAGGCCTATGCATTCGAAGAGAGATACTCTGATGAGTCCGACTTGGAAGATGACTCTGAGAAACCATCCATCTCAGAGACCAACACTTCCAATACCAAGATGGCAGTTCCTCATTACGCTTTATGTCAGAATTGCGAAAAGGAGTTCGAGACTGATAAGAATTCCAGCACCGCTTGTCGGTATCATCCAAGTACGTAAATAACGCGTTTTCTATGGAAATATTTGAATGGTACCTGATTCATTTTAGGACGCTCGGAGCCTACAGATGAGATGTATGTGGATACGTGGGGAGCAGAGCAATATGAATTTGAGATTGATTCTGAAGCAATGAGGGAGGATTTTCCGGAGAATTTCGAGTTTACATGCTGTAGTGCGACCTTGAAGGATAATCCACATGGGTGCGGGGTCGGTTTGCACATTGATGGATCTGCTCAGCGTGATAAGACGGCGAAGAGGGCTCGTTTAAATTGAGATAGTCTTGAGTATCTGCGCATTGATGCGGTGATATTTAGTCGGTAGTTGTGTCAAAACGTAGATTCCAAATCGAACCTGACGGAATATGACGAATCTTTTGCTTTTTGTTCAAGTTAAGAGTTGACAGGTCTAAAATGGGAAAAGCAACTGTCAATAACTGAAGGCCGTCCGCATAGATGTACGCGTTCAAGAATGACTGGCATTTAAGAACTCTACCTTCCCCCTTCAAATGTTCTGACTTAGGCCACACCACCAACCCACCCCAGCAAGAATTCCATTGTTCCAAATCACCCCCAAAAAGCAAAATGATCGACAATTTACCTCTACTCACTGCAGTTGACACCGTACCGGAGAAAGTATTCCGAGAGGTTTTCAAATCCATTTGCAAAGATGTACCTGAAGCGAGGATGCAAGCAGACAAGCACTTGTTAGTGGAGAAGATCACCAGTCTCCAGTCTGAGCATTGCTCTAGTAAAGACGGATCACCTTCGAATGCCGATGCGTCAAAGATCAAGTACAAAGTTCCTCGATACATGTTTTGTCAAAACTGTAGTAAGGACTTCGCGACGAACGAGAACTCTAGTACCGCTTGTCGGTATCATCCTGGTAAGAGAACCTCGAACTTCACGTTTATTTACTATATGGACACCGCTGAGTATCTTGATTCTGCAGAGCCTTCTCAGCCCTCGGAGAAATTTCATGAGGAAATCGAGATTGACGATCATCCCTATGGTTCCGATAGCTATAGGGAGGATATGCCGGAGTATTTTGAGTTCCCTTGCTGCAAGAATACTTTGGATATTGATCCTCATGGATGCAAATATGATTGGCATGTCGAGCAGCCTATTTGTATTGAGAATGTGCCTGCGCGGAAGAAGGCTCGTGTTAATTAAGATGATGGTATTGATCGTGCACTTGCTGGGCGCTGATGCGGTGATGTATAGCTGCTGCTTAAGGAATAATAGCTAGATTTTAATCAAAACTAGTGGAAACTTGAAGTTCAAGTTATCATCACCGGGGCACTCTTGAGTTTTGATTATATCTTTAGATAATATCATATTCTCCAGTAGATAACAGAGTATGAAAATCCGACTTGGAGTCAACTGGTCTATAAGTAACTCCCCGATGTCGGAATACTAGACCTGATAAATAACGTACTCCTTCACTATTCCAACAGCGGATTTCAATAGTATCAGTTTTCTATTACCATCAATTTTTTCCATATGGATCAAGATAGATCGATAAATATAAGTATCAATAAGTTTGTTGAATATCAGGAACTGAAATGTAGTTTGTTCCTCTTGGGTGGGGACTACCCAACTACACACCGCGACGCGAATGCGTTTCCCCAATAACTTGAACTTCAAGTCCTCTCAACCGCAGTATCAACTCACTTCTCCAAGAAAATCCAATTACATACTCCATACTGAAATCGACGCAATATGGCCAAGAATTCAGCCCTAAATCTTGCGATCGACATCGTCTCAGACGAAGTTCTCCGTGAAGTTTTCAAATCAATTTGCAAAGATGTACCCGAAGCCAAGGTACAAGCAGAAAAGTATTTGCTAGCGAAAAATCCCCCAAAAGCCCCAGAGGTCCAGTCTGGCTCTCACAATCAAGATGAATCATCTTCAAAAACCAAGGTTATTGCTCCTCGCTACGCGGTCTGTCAGAATTGTGGGGAGGACTTCGCGACAAACGAGAACTCTAGTACCGCTTGTCAGTACCATCCTGGTAAGAGAACCTCGAAATTAAGCGTTCATTTATTATGTGGACACTGCTGAAAGTCTTGATTCTGCAGAACCTTCTCAGGCCTTGAAGACCCTTTGGGAAGACCTTAAAAATATCGGCGAAACATATCATCCCTCTGATTTAGATCGCTATAGGGAAGATATCCCGCAATCCTTTGTGTTTCCTTGCTGCAGGGAGAATTTGAATGCTAACCCGCCCGGGTGCGAGTTTGATTGGCATGTTGAGGGAACTGCTGATCAAGTTAAACGCGGGCATGTGGTTAAGAAAGCTCGGAAATACCCATCATCCACTATTTGTTTTTTAAGTTAGGCTGGATTTTGGTACATATGTTTGATCCAATGGCTGTTCATATTATGTGTCTTATATCTGAGCGATAAGTGGTTGTCATGAATTTCAGACCCATTGGATGGCTTCCAGTTAAAATATTTATTAATCTATGACATTAGGAGTACACCCGACTATTAGTAAGTCATCACCAGCAGGACTGAGAATTAAACACCTGTACAATCTAAAACTTGGCCTTCAAGTCAAATCCAGTGTGAACGAAGCGAGCGGCCATCACCCACAGACTTCCAGCCAGCAAGAATATGCCAGCAAAAATCTTCATGCCTGTATATGATCCGTTCTCATGCTGCAAGATGGCACCTGCGATGGGATTCGCAGTCAGACCACCAATAGACGAAAAGAGGAAGAGTAATCCAGTTCGATAACCGATCTCCGGGAAAGGCGAGATCTTGACCACCAGTGCATTAGCCAGAGAGACGTAAGCCCCCGAGGCAAATCCAAAGGTGCAAGCAAAAACAATGATCGCGGCGTTACTCGTAGCTGGAACCCATAGAGCAAGAACGAGGATGCCGGCAAGCAAGCAGGCAACAACGAGAATATTGTAGTGACCGAGCTTGTCGGAGGAGATGCCAGCCAAAATACGGCCAAATAAACTGCAACGCATGAGCTAATGGACATGGAAAAAGGGGAAACAGTGATTTAACTTACCTTGCTGCATTGAGCATGGCAACGAGGTAGTTTGCCAAGTAGGTACTCATACCAGCCTCCATTGCCTCAACAACCAGATAATTGATCGGGACAAAGATGCCGAATGTTAAGCACAAGAATCCACCGATCACGAGGAGCATCTTTATCTCACGGAAGGGTTTCAGCAGGGTTTCCTTGGACATAGTGCGTGGCTTTGGAGGTACCCGAGATCGAACAGTGAGATTAGCAACTACCAAGAGAGCGAGAATCATAAAGGCGGCAGTTCGCATCGTCCAGCCATACCCAACCTTGTCCATTAACTTGCTCACCATGATAGGAAAGATCACACCGCCGAGACTGGAACCTGTAGCAACGATACCATACGCAGCACCACGCTTCTTGTTGAACCAGCTAGGAATTGAAGTCATCGATGGCTGGAAGATCGCACATGTACCCATGGCGCTGCAGACACCTTGGGAGAGAAGAACCTGGTAATATTCCTTGGAGATGGATGCCATCATGAGTCCAAAGACGTGCAAGAATGAACCACCGAGAATAAGGTAGCGAGGACCAAATTTGTCATAGAGCTGACCAACAATTGGTCCCTAATTATTCTATTAGCGCACTTTAGATCAAAATCGGATAAACCTGAACATACCATGGCAAACATGAAGAAGATCTGAAGAGAAGGAATCCAGGCAATAGTACTTGAAGAGTACTGGCTCAATAGTTCAGTTTCATAGTAACTTTGAAATACTCCAACGCCTATTTCTGATTAGCAGCGCGTTTCAAAGATTCACAGATGAGAAAATTCAGATGCTCAGGCTTGAACTTACTATTGATCCAACCAAAGGTACAGAACAAGGAGCACCATGCACCCAGAGCAACTAACCAGGCTGTAAGACCTCCATCGGGTGCGGCATCCTGGGTCCACTCTGCTTTAGGGGTCTCCTTCTCGATGGATTTGCACTCGTGCTCGGAGCTTGGGAGCGGGAGTGCAGACTTTGAGTCAGCCACACTCATTTTGAAGAAAACAAATAGACCTGAGACTGAGCTGTGAGGAACTTGAGACTCTCAAAAGGGGTATCTACGAGCTTAGAAGAGAGAAATGGTTTTTATTAAGGATGCATAGGTATGAAGGTTGCTTTCGGTGATTTCGGCATTCTGAACAGCCGCACCGAGGATGTGAATGTCCGAAGCATAAGCCTCAACATTGATCTGGCCAAGTGGATACGGCCCCTGGGACTCGTCGGATTTAGCAATATTAGCAGGGGCTTGAGGTCAGCCTTTCTGTATGTATGCCTAGATACTGGATTTCCCCCGGCAGATTTTGGTTTCTCTTTCCGGATTAGTGCTCACCCTCTTGCCGCTTTTGCTCAGTGAGTAGATCTAGGCACGGCTTCCTGCTCACTGATCGGCTCACTGAGCCTTACGTAAGCGCAGGCGCAGGCTCAGTGAGCGGATCAGTCAGCTCAGCCCCGACTCACTGAGCCTGCTCCCAGTCCTGTGGTTCACCCACCAATCGCACCATAAAGGGCCAACGGTATGAGTTAGCCACCTAAATAAAATGCTCGGCGCTAGTGCAAATGAGTGGACCTACTTAGAAATCAATCTCCCATCTAGAAAGAGATGGCCTGGTGCACATGGCCATGGCATTTCACATTTTGTGTTTCATCGTAAGTACTAAGGATTAGCAGCGCGAGATCAGGATTTCTGGCCTATCAGATTCTATGTAAATTTTGCTCCTAGGAGCCACTCGCCTCGACTCAATTACTTTTTGGGGCTTTCTAGCCCTAGGAAGTTAATTGCGTATTACAGTAGCTCATCAGAGGCCAATTTCTATCATCTTCATCTCCCAAGAGCCAAGAGTGGAGATGATCTAAATTCCGATTGAGCCTTCTATCTTAAACAATACTTATGATAGAGAATTTTTTTTTTCTTCGTGCAGTTTGTTACTGTTAGATCACGTGGTCTGTATAGTTCAGACCAAGGTGGCTAGGTAGATAGCTCTCGACGTGTCGGGGCAGACTTCCCCTCCGCGCGCTTCCCCCCATACGTGTTCTTTCCTGTAGCTGTTCCATAGGCACACCTCTTAATAGTTACTATCAGAATACGAGGAGGCCCCACTGGCGCATGTGTCAAGAAAGTGCCCAGGTGGTAGTCAATGAAACCTAGAGTAATATGAAGAAGCCTATGTAGGGTGCGGGATTTTTAGAGTCAACGAAATCCATGGATACAGTTCTTTTATCTCTCAGCAAAAATTCCGTCCCCCAGTTTATTTCTGTTTTTCTCTTCCTCTCTCACTTCTACATCCATCTCCAACATTATAACACCCACACTATTACAATACACATTGTGTGCTCATCAATCACTCTGAATGGCTGATCCTCGCTCTATGAGCTCTCTCGTCTCCATTGTTTCCTCAATCCCAGGAGCACCAGCTGGGCTTCAATTATCTCAAGAGACACATCTACCTTAATTTGATTATTTTCCAGAAAAGGAGGCTTGAAACCACTTGCAATGTGGCATATATTTGATCCAACATCAAACAGCATTTGTCTTTTGAGTTAAAATGTATAATTCAGGCCTATCTTCAGGCGTGAGATGGAGGGAACAGCTAATACGCAACGAGTAGACAGTGTCAAGACTGTTGAGGATGGTGCTACTACTGTAATGGAAAACGAAGATTGCTTGGGCTACAGGGCCAAGGCAAGTCCAAGACTGATGGACCGTTGGCTCGATGCAACTGTCAGGTGAGCTGGCTCTGCATCTATGTTTCTACTCATCATTGCGGGTTTATTGACCTGGGCATTGATGGGAATTGCTTATGGAGATTCCGACATCTGGGAAGCTGCAATGTCGGATGTCTAGGCCATTCTGTGTTATGTATTCAAATCCCTCTTGATGTATCAGCTGATCCGTGAATACTCCGATCAGCGCGAGGCTATGCTTGAAATTAGGTCTCGATGTGCCAGTCATCGCCGTATGATCGTTATTGTCAAGAAGAATTTAGGGCTGGAGAGAATTTGTCTTATCGCCAAAAAGTGTAACGACCAGCCTCTGGAATCGCTGGACTATGCTTTGCATACCTAGAGTCTCTTTTCTTGATGTCACCTCTGCTAAGATATTTGGATATATTGTGATGGTGGGTCTGTATTGGATCTGTATCTTTGTGTAGTTAGGCTTTGGCCATTACTGGCGCTCTCTACCGCATCATGTGTTAGTATAGCGCTGATAAATAGGGTGGGAACATTTTTGCTGTGTCTTTAGCTGGTATGAATCTCTTCCTGGCTAACTTGAGGCTGGTTTTATAAAACATGAAATTACTCTTTGTTCTTCATAGTGTCTCCACATTTCCAGAGCTAATATATTATCTTTTTAAAGGAAAGCTAGTGGACCTATATTTGTAAATGGTGTTACCGCGATGGCCAGATCTGGCCCTTGCATAAACATGACTTTGCTTTTCTTTTTTGATTCTTTTTAGCGGATAGAGATGCGTTTTCATTCTTTTTCCGGCCGTACCAGTTTGTATATGGCCACATTGTCAGCATTTGACTGGATACTGAGAGCCCGAATCTGACAGAAAATCAAAGTTGGTGAAATATAACTGGGTTTATTTTTGGTCATTGAAGTACATCACCATAGACCTGGCAATTTCTAATATTTGCATAAGCAAAGTCATCACATTTGAGACTGAATAAGAATTTTATCTAACATTCTGAATGATACGGCATTCTAGAGTTCTGAATCGAGGCTAGAGTATTAGGGGTGATATGTTGATGATTAGCTCTCAGAAGACTGTATTTTTGTTAGTGATCTCATCTTAGTAGGTAGTGCAGATCAAATGTACAGATATAAAAGACAAAAACATACAACAGCATGTCTAAGGTGGTGGTCACCTAGCGCCCACGATTTAGGAGTGGGCGGCTCGCCGCTCTATTCAGCCCTCTTTAGGGCAATCCGGGCGGATCTTCACCCAAATGTTCAGCCTTTGAATCACAACGTACCTTCTCGCATATTGTGTAAGTAGTAGCCGCCCTTCTTTCTTTTTTGTTTCTCCCTTTCCATTTTTCTTTCCTTTTTTTTATTCCACAATCCCACTATTCTTCCATCTTTCAAAGCTTACGTGACCGCCAAGACAGGATGCGTGCTAAGCGTGACCCAACGTTGAAATTCCTGAATTATGTTGTGAACTTTAAGGAGCACACCAACAGCAAAATACACGGTTGGGACTACCATAAATTGACTTAGGTTATAGTGAGAAATTGCTTTCATTCGATACGTGAGCAGCGTCTCTCCTAGTAGGAATGTCCGTCATTATTGAAACTAATGTCCTTAGGTTTCTCAACTTGCATCTACAGGCTGTTGATCCCCTAGATATCTAAACGTACTGGGTATTCATAGAGTGGATCGGAATAGGGACGGATAGTCAGATTGAGAAACGGCTTATAGATTTACGTAGATATACTTTAAATGTGACCTGTGGTTTACAGACCAGGCGGAATGGCAGGCTCATTATCAAGAATATCTTAATAATACAAACGACTTGCTACGCTGTGATCCCCTGATATTTCGGTATGCACCTACATGTATATAGCCAGGACTCTATTTATTCTGCCTAGGCACCAAAAAGAAACCGTCAAAAAGAATGGTTTAATTTATAGTCTCACGAGTATTCCCAGATAGGCCCAAGAGCATGCATGGATCTTTTCCGCAAATATAGAGCTTCAGATCCTTCACAGTAGTCGGTCCATCCAGGGGAATAAGAAGGTCGCCAGTTCAAAACCATAGCAAAGGATGTCACAATTAGAACTGCTAATTTCGATAGCCCACCCGACTCAACAGGTCCTTTCGTCCTGGGGAGTAATTGTTTTTGAGGCATGGTAGTGCATTATCAATGATGGTGTAGAATTCTTAAAGAGAGACCTTGCGGATACACCGAGGACTGAATATTCTGTGCTCTCCGCTGCCCAATTTTCAGTACTGAAAAGGGTTGTGGACAATAAGTTCCATTTGGGATGGCAACTAGTTGGATTGCCCACAGGACTGGTCCGATAATTTTGAATTACCTCACAGTTGATTGGGGCCCAAATGAAAACAGAAATGAATTAAGGAGGGACATAAGAGACAAACGCATTTGAGCAAACATGGGCAAAGCTTGGATGATTCTATAAAGTCTCGAAGTGACGTGCATGCTGGATGGCCCATTACTGAAAAGAGAGCGAAGACAAAGAAGAGATTCAATAGTCTAGATTTGTGTTCCTTAGGCAATTGATGACCCGCCTGGCCTGACAGCGCCACCTGGCTTACCAGAAGTAGCTCTCCACATAGTCGTGTAATTGCTGTAGGTCGATAGCTCGGTGTCGCTGTCTGGATATTGAACTATGCCTTTCATTGCGAAGATCTTTGTTCTAGGAAGCCGTGACATATCGATAAGACTTGTTCTTGGAGTGTCCCCAGAGTCCTTGACATAATGTACGAAATCAGCCAGGAGAAAGAGGTGGGGGAGGTTGGGGATCTAAAGGTATGGAGGAGACGTGCTATGGCTTACCTCAATTGCAATAACTGCTCTCCAGGTTAGATTTGTCTCAAGATAAGTCTCCACTTCCTCTGGTTCCATTGTGCGGAAATCCGGTTTGCCAGGATCTTTGGCCAAGTCCAATATCGCCTTCGTGATTGGGATTTGTGCGGTAGATAATACCCCTTCTCTCTTTTGTTCAAGGCAATTGTGGCACTGTACAGTATTTCTAGTTCCCTCTAGAGTACTGCTGAAGGTGAACATACTGCCAATGTAGGTTTCAGGTCGAGCAAAGGACTCCACCTCGCTTGGTGGTATGCCGAGAAAGAAGCGAATGTAGTAGGATGCTCCATCTAACGCGTATCTATCCATAACAGTAAGTTCAACCGCAGTGTTCGGAAGATCCTCAACTTCGGATTTAAGTAGATGTGGTATTACCGGTCATATTCGACGTTAATCGTATAGTCATTCTCTCTCCCGATTATATCAGAAGCACGTTGAATCTCTCGACGTAAGGTACCATACTTCTCGTTGATTTTCATCCGGAGAACTGAGAGGTCATCCTGAACATCCATCTGTCGGTCGCTAGTGGCGCCAGGAGTGAGGGCGAACAGTCTAGCAGATCCTACTGGTGAGACTTGAACTGATAAATCGTCGTAATTATATTTGAGACTGGTTTTCCAGTCTCTACATTCATCGGAGCTCCATGACGCGCCTGTCGTATCTCGATGGAAAGGATCAAGCTTTGCTGCTCCGATTCCTGTCGTAGGGCTATACCACATAGCTGGGTGGAGCGTTTGAAATATCGCCGCCAGACGATCTATATTGCTGTACGATGTTAGAATGAGTTGTTTGGAAGAAGATATGCATACCAATGATGGAACCAAAAGATAGGGTCAAAAGCAGCAACTGAAGGATCGGCCATGTGCCCGAGTCTTCCATTACCACCTCCGGTTGCTCCCTATTACACATTAGTCAGGTCCTGAAGAGAATCGGGGCTGCGCTTGCAAACTGCCCATATATGGAACTAACGTGAATGACATTGTGGACGAACTCCAACGACAAGTAATCATTATTTGTGTCTGCGTGGAACTTTGTTGACTCAAATGATTCCCAGGAGCTGAAGTTGGTAGCGAATAATCTGTAGACCTCGTCTTCAATTGTTGTTATCCCAGACCCTCCCTGTATAGCTTTATTGGCATCATTCCAATTATTGATGCCATTCATCCATCTAGCTGCAGGCTTCGTAAGGTCGATACCCCACCTGCTGGTTGCAATTGCCTTGTCCCACTGGTAAACATGAGCCATTTGTTTTCAAACTGCTTTTACGCGTTAGGTCCACTTACCGGGGTTCCAACAAGGCTAAACTCGCCCATCTTTTTATCACCCATAGCGACACCAGTAGGGTTGGCGAATCTCGAAAGCGGATTAATAATATTCACCATTGTAGGAGGATCATCGTTAACAATGTCCAAAATATCGATCCGCTCCTTAGTGAAGATCTGTGGTAATCCGTAATCGTTTATGTATGCCTGCTTTGAAGCCCAATCCCAGTAGGGCAGGCGCCATTCCTTCGCTGCGTCTTTCCATAGTCCCCTTTTGTTTTCAGGAATATCTCTCACGATGATAGTCAACATGGTATCGTAAATTCGTTGCTATGGATATAAATGTCATTCGCAATTTTCACAGACTTTTGGGGATAAGTTACAAACCTCAAATAGTGCCAGGTATGGACGGTGCCAAGTGACAAAGGTCTCCTTGTTATGTGCACACCACCAACCAGTCAAGCCAGGAGGGTTGCCAACTCCATCCCAGCTTACATCAGGGTTGCCGTGAATGCCTTGTCAACGTAGGAAATTTAGTAGGACTTTCTCTTTAAGGCTCAACTAGAGACACAAACCTGCGATTCGATAATATGAAAGCCGATCCTGAGTTGGAGATAATTTCTGGAACTCGGTAAGAGCTCTCATGAACAGAGAGACTTGGCGCGAATTGTTCGGGTCATTTATCCAGGCCGTGACCTCTTTCCGAGATGGGGGATTTGGGTGTTCTGTAGGCAATGGAATGCCTTGGATTGCATAAGTTGCCTGCGCCATCCTGCAATTTCTTTAGTGAGCGTTGATGGTCGATAGTATATTTCGTGACTGCCATATTCAAATAGAAGGGAGAGGACAAAAAGCAGAAGGGGATCCTTCTGTTTATAATTAACGTAATGAGCAATATGCGCATTTGAGTGCGTTCGGGCTATACAGAAGTAGTGGCTTGCACTGGTAGTTTGGCTAGAACCTGGCAGGCCCATCTCAACTACGGGTTGTTCATTTTTGCAAGATATGACATGATAATGGCAGTAAGAGTGATGGAATTACTCGTCATACATTGTCAGTGAGTAATGCCTACCAGGAATTAATGGCGGAAGCAAAATCCGATAGTAGCCAGTATTTCTGGACTAGTCCGCTCCAATTTTACAAGTCTGCGGTAACTGGTACTAGTAGCAGCCCGGATGGAGACTGTAATTATTAAAATGGCTGCGAATTCTCATCCACTGAAGCTCAATTAGGGTTTGATCCAGGGTCTGATGTGTAGTGGTTACTCGCCGTAGGATACCGGAACCATCGGAAATAGGCGACAGCAACTAAATCAAGGCTTATGAACTTATTATCTATTTCATAGTACCAGAATTATTGAGAAGGACATACTAGCCTGTATAGACGTTTATAGGGCGAATGAGACTCCTGACCTCGCAATTCGATCAATCTGATCGGGTGAGACAATGGGGACGATGGCCTAGCAGTAGGCGTCAAAGATATAATGAATACCAAAGCTACTAGTACGCATGGCTCACTTGACCAGTAGATCGCTACTAGTGTATCCTAGATATTCACATGTGCCTACTCCAAGTCAATATGGCTCTCAACTATATAAAGGTCATCTGTCGTAGTGCTTCGACTCTTCTGCCGTTGCTATCCTGCGAGGTGCTGGTGCCCTTATTTTTGGTTCATTGGCTCATAAGTTTACCCCCAAGATTGGAGGTATCTAATCGTCTGCTTCGCATATGTGCGGGCACATGCAAGATGACCACGACAGACTTCACCGTGACTAATTCAGGGCCAGAAACCACTAATCCTCGTGATCCGAACCGCACCCCAGGGGGATCCTCATGCGGTTCTGCTGCTGCTGTAGCCGACTTCCAAGTCCCTATTAGCTTTGGGGCACAGACTGGTGGCAGTGTCATTTGCCCAGCATCTTACACCGGGGTCCTCGCCATGAAACCAACTTACAATGCAATTTCGCTTGAAGGGCAGAATTCTTCTGCCCCAAGTTTCGATATATTTAGCCTTTTGCCAGAAGTGCGGAGTATCTGCAGCTGCCAACAGATATTTTTGCTCTTAAAGACGATGAGCTTCCTCTACAAGAAGATATATAAATTAACTAAGTCTTGGTTGTTTGGATTAGGACTCCTATATAGTCTTAGGCAGGATTAACTACTATTATAGCTATAGAATAAGCTATGGTAATTCTTTAGAACTTAGGTGCCAGGGTTGAGGGAATTGACTTACTCTCTGAGGTTTTGGATGCCAGAAACCTTAGGCAAATCCAGAAACTTATCACTAATGCCGAGGCCCAGGAGTCCTTTCTTAGGGAATACCGAGTCTGTAAAGCAAAATTGTCTCCTAAGAACATTATCGAAAGGATTCCCAATCGTACACACGGAAATCTGTTGAAAGCCTCTGACACATATCGCGTTAGCTGATGGGAGAATCGCTTATGGCTTTGAACGCATCGCTGAGCTTGCCGAGGAAGGTAACAGTGAGGATGATGCCGCCGAACTCAAGGCATTAAAAATGCTGGTAAGATTCTCCATCGTAAAGATTCGTGGAATTAAACTAACTCTTCTCTTCAGACACCTTTACGTATTGGGACGTGGGTGAGTGAAATCAGAATTGCCAAGCTCTCGTAGAATGGCCGATTGGTCTCCTAATACAATCTTCTCTAGGTGCATGCTTATCCCAATGCGACTGGTCCACAGGGTCCTGCGTGGATCCGGTGGATTTGATGCATTGATCCACGCGGTAGGGTTATAATAATTCTCGCTACTGGCGTTTCTTGTGTCTTGCTTTGACAGGAAAGACAGAACCAGCACTTGAGGGCCCCTTAGATCGTACAGTGGTTATATCTTGGATAAGCTCCAAGGTTCTTTCAAGTTATCATCTCCCCCAGGACGAATTGGAAATGCCATAATATATATCCATCAGTTCAAGTTGTGGCAGTATTTGATCCATCAATTAATATCATGATGGATGTATTTGGCTAGTATCATGTATCTAGTTGTCTCGAAATCCAGTCAGTCATACATTGCATAATTTACTATTACTCAGAAGTGGCATCCTTTGATTGGCCTTGGAGGAGGTATTACTGGGAGTTTTAACAGCCACATTGAAAGGAGAATGAAGTGCTACCATAAAGGTTTCAATGCTAGGTGATTCACCTTCGTTGTTACGGGCCCGGGGGCTGGGCTGGCGAGACTCGGACCTAGACCTGGCTAGGACCCGCGGGTGAACCTGAGGTTCAACAAACATAACAAACATGTTAAAAACGTGACTTGGTGTCAATTGCATAAATGTAGAAACAGGCTATATTTTCACGTATCTATAAAACAAAAATTTATTACTGTATGGCCTTATAGGAGGATTTGATGTATATTATGAATTTAGCTTTGAATTAGGGTTTCAAGTTTCAATTATCAACAATTTATATAATATCTAGAGTACAGTGTCTGGTTATGGTTCTAAAGAGTTAAGAGTCAATTCATTAATCTATGTATATGTCACGGTGTGACCCGATAGGGTCAGTGAGGACCTGCCAAGACTGATAAGGAAGATGTCGGTGACAGAACACGGGTGCAGAACTAGCCCAATTGGGTTAGTTCAAACCACTATTGAATGGAGAGCTCTGATTGGTCGAACCAGAATGGATCACATGACCGATCAGGTGATCTCCAGGCAGAATTTATGTGCGTAATTATCAGAATGAGAAAACCAGACCTGTTGATACATCCCATTGCGACCGCCTACTGCATTAAACATTGTAGTCTGTCATGGTTCTCGTGTTTCCCGTTGGGTCGAGCCTGTGGTCTGACCGCCAACTGATTGGGTCGTAGTTGCTCCTGGGAGATCCCCTCGTAGTGGGTCCGTAACACAACCCTTGGGGCCCCAATTGGGTCGCAAACATAACAACCAGAACAAGTGTAAATAATTGGTTGACTTCGTGATTAAATATGCCAAGACCTCTTTTTTATGCAAAATTGGGTAGAATTGGGGGCCCATTGGGGCCCCAAGAAAACCCAATGGGTTGGGTTGGGTCTTGGGTCCTGAAGAAGTCTACTTAGATATTAATATACTAACTTTATTATACTTTTACTATCTGAATTCTAATAAATTTAATTTACGAACAAGCCTACTTAAAACTCTTAAGACTTAGGGCAGGAGCCCGGAAAATTGAGCAGCCTGATATATACACTTTTACCTAGCACCTAAGTTAAAGAGCAAGCTGGGTTTTACCGATACCACCTAGTCTGGATAGGGCTAGCTTTTTAGTATTCCCTAGGATAAACAGCTTTTATTTAAGCTTATCCAGCGTTGTTTTACAATCAGTAAAGTAACGGTTTTCCAGGGATGGAATCACATAGTGGATAGCAGACTGATCACCTTAGAGAGAATTAGTACATCTCATATAGCACTTAGGGCTTCTATTGAATTACAAGGCTTAGTGTTTGTTTTGTTTGTTCCTTTTTTAGGCAGGTGGAAGTGGTTTGTGACTAAGTCGTTGTTCACGCCGATCTGAAACCCCGAATTGAAACTCAAACGACATTTCGGCCGCCATGTTGCGATGCTCGTCACTCGCCACGGGGATCGATCTTATTCTTTCAATCGGCATGTGGCATAAGCTGCAGCTGCTGCTGCCACTTCCGTGAAAACGGGGCTGAGTGGGCAGAAAAATGAATATATTCCTTGGTTTTGAAAGTGTCCCTAGGCTATGGACAGTAAGTCGGGGAGGGGTTAACGAGGATGGTTGCGACGGTAAAGACGCTTTACAATCAGCCCAAGGATCATGTGCGTTGCTATTGGCCGTTAAGTTCTGATTCCGTAGTAGGACATCCAAACAATCAGCAGCCTGTGAAGCGGGGCTCAGGAAACTCGATATGTAACACAGATTCTAGGTCACCGGTGGTTTTATGCAGCTCCTCTCTTTCTTTCCTTGGTAAAAATCTTGTCCTGATATCCTGTTAATATCAGATTATCCATCCTTTTCATCTTTGAAATATATCTGTCTAAATGATCTTAAAAAATTTCATTTAGCTAACAGAGTGTTCAAAAGATCAAAACAAGTGCTTGCTCGCTGTAGCTACTTGATCATTTTCACTTAAGGCAGCTGTAGTGATTGATACCAGCCCAACGTAAATTATCAATCACTGTGAATAGACTTATTATTCTTTTTGACTTATGAATTCCAGCATTAGAGCCTGGAAAGATGTACTGGCAGGCAGGATAAATAAGCCTCTCATCAGGGTCATTTTGTAACATCTTGTGGATCTAGAAAGGCCTTAAAATATCATTAAAGGAATCAACGATATCATAGCCTTAACCCAATGCGAAAAACGCAATACGGAATGCATTTTGAATCAACTTCAACGGTATGGACGTCTGGAAATAAGTAGGAATCAGTTCTTGAGCACTCCATCTACCTCTAAATAGGTTCCAAAAGGTGTAAGCCTAACTCAGAGCTAATGGCTACTTCTCGGCTCAAGATAATTGATCTGGATCCTTATCAATTCGTTTGTCACGATTCATAAGTGGATTTGAATTTTACTTAGTCACTTCTACATCTCTACTGTGCTATCACACCTTGGGGATAAGGAGCACTTATGAGTTAGTGCATCTTTGAGTCATATGCCAGTCGGTCATTACTGTGTTGGGTGATCATATGCGAATCCATGCTATTTTGTCGAGGAAGCTTTACAGATCTCTCTTTTTTTGGCGAAAATGTAGCCTAAGTGGTCATGGGTATGATGATCTGCATGGTCCACGAACCACTGAGATCAAATCGAATGTTTAGACGTGGACAAGTACGACTTAAGGAGTTATCTAGGCTGGTTAGGTACGGTGTTTCAAGGTTTCTTTAACTTGAAGAGCTAAGTTAGTATGTACCAGACGTGCCGCCGCGCTGGAGCGCGGCGGGTAGGGGACCTCTTTATACTTTGCGGCCTTAGATATTTCAGCCAAGGGGGATATCAATAATACATATGTTTGTTCAAAGGCTAGCTATGAGCCTCCTATAGGTCTTTTCGAATATCTTTCTAACCATCTTTTCAATTACCACAAGTGAAACTCTTCTCAGTAGACTGAAAAAGCGGCAGGGATTGCTGCGATTAGTCACAGAACCTAGGGGTGCCCAAGTGGTAAATGGCTGGGACTGTCGGCCTGGAATAATACTCAAGTGCTCGGACTTCAAATGTTCAGATGGGGTACAGAGTATAAAGACCTTCGGATCCTTAGTTAAGTTTCTAAGTTTGTTGGAAGCTGGCATGGTAGTACTAGTACTTCCATATCATGTAGCCAACATTTTAAAGTATTGAAAACTGGGACGGTGGAATCAACCTTGAGAGCTCAAATGTTCTGTCCTGAGGTCTTCCAACACCAGGTGGAGACGTGTAGGAACTGGGATCTGCAATAATCCAGGGGCCAGGGGTACATAATATGGGTATGACATAATATGGCATCGAATTCGAGCTCATTCAATCATGACGGTCGGCCTTGGAATAGGAGAAAATAGCGGAAGCATGCCAACCATTTTCCGGTCCACCAGGTATGACGAGCGGAATATTCGGCCCAAGGGATATCCAGGAGGCCCATTTTGCCAACATTGAGGCTAACGACACGATCAAAGACTCGTTCAAGCCCATCATTGACGGTTCCAAATTACAAGTTACGGAGAGCCAGACTATTGGAAGTAAAACGGCCCGTCAAATGCCAGCAAACGGTGCTTGTACTTTACCTCTTGAATCGGCACACCCGCGATAATTTATAAACAAATAAAAGACTCCATCTCGTTTCTTCTCATGCTCAATTAAAAACATTCCTCGCTTTGCCTCGGTTAGTGATCTGTTCCGCTTCATTCATCTTTCGTCAATATCTTTTAAAGCCTCCAGGAACCTGGGCATTGGGTATAGAAATTAGCTTTACGTGTCGCGTGAGTGATGCCAGTGAAAATTCAAGATAGAACTGGAAGAAACAACCTACTGAAGCGACTTTGCCTCTGGTAGTCAATATACTGTTGAGAGTTAGCAGTCAGCCTTGCTCGGGCAGATTAAATACGCCATAATTGTGACTCCCAACGAACAGAGAATTTGATCTTGTCCGCCGCGGCCTTCAAATCCTGCGACATGCGTTCATGCCACCCTGGCTTGGAAGACTCCTCAGGAGGACTCCTCAGAAGGCTCCTCGGCCGTACCGGCCATGCCGACCTTTTTTCGTACCCTGGGCCGCCGTGAGAAGACCTCGTAATCGTCGATCGAGCCGTCTTCTATATGTCTAGAGATATCAAGCGCTGTATGTCCCCACAAATTTTTCATGTTATCGCGGGCGCCACCTTTAATCAAAAGCTTCGTGACTTCCTCGTTGCCGGATATAGCAGCTGCCATCAGTGGGGTTGAACCACGCCTGTTCCTGGAATTAACATTGGCGCCGCGGTCGAGAAGAAGTGGCACCATTTCTTTGTGGCCCGCCAGAGCAGCGAGGAACAGGGGGCTTGACTCCTTGTGGCCTTTGCTTTCCACCGGTTCGCCGTCATCGAGAAGGAGTCGCACGACTGGCTCGAGGCTTGCCCATACGGAGGGAGGAATTGAATCCTCTTCGTCTTTAGACTCCTCTTTGGACACCTCTTTGGACTCTTCTTCGCACTCTTCTTCGGATTCGTATTCCGATTTGGCAAAGTTCATATAATTATCAAAGACCATGTCCATCTCTTCGTCATCTCCAAGAATGTTATCGTGATAATATGAGCCACCGTGAGGACTGGCAGCCCAGTGTATCGCTTTGCGACCTGAGGTGGCTTGAAGGTCTTTCTTTGCGCCAGCTTCAAGGAGAAGCTGCACAATTTCCGCATGTCCAAACACGGCAGCATGCATAAGCGGTGTACGCCAGATCTTGTCACGCGAGTCGACGTTAGCACCGGCATTAATGAGCAGTCGCACAATCTTTTTAAACCCGTAGCGAGCAGCGACAGAGATAGAAGGCAAGTGAAATTCGTCTTCGACGCTTGCAAACTCCATATTTGCCTTCGCTTTAAGTAGGAGCTCGACGATGTGGACGAACCCTTCCTCGCAGGCATGGGCAAGCGGGGATTGCCCCTGGTGGTCTCTCATATCGACACTGGCTCCGGCTTCGAGTAGAAGCTCCACCACCGCCGTGCGCCTGCGCTTGACAGCGAAGAAGAGTGGCGTTTGCTTTCTTCGGTCCCTCTCGTCGTACCGAGCGCCGGCTTCTAGCAGCATCCGCACCACCACTTTGTGCCCTCTCACAGCCGCCATGATCAGAGGGGTTGCTCCGGACCTGACTTTCGGGTTTATGTGAGCCCCAGCATCGAGTGACAGCCGGGAGGCCGTTACGTGTCCGAAATAGACAGAGAAATGTAGAGGTGTCCAGGAATCTGGTCCGTCGGCGTTGACGACCGCGTTCTTCTCGAGTAGAATGCGCAACACAACGGGATAGTATTTTTGGGCAGCCCAGTGCATGGGGGTCCAGGGTCTGTTGGGCTGAGCGCCACGGACCCGGAGAGCAGCTAGAGGTTTGGTGGTGCTACTGATGGAGCTTCTGCCGCTCATTCCGGTCAGACTGCTATAGCCCTCAAGCTCACACTATCATCGATGTCCGCGTCCGAGCCCGAGGACGGGACGAATTTTGAGGACGAGTCAGAGTCCAAGGATTCTTCATCTTTGCTTCCTGGATAAACATCCCAATCAATGTATGTATGATCGTCATATTCGATCGGCCAATCGGAGCTCGAGCTCGCATCCAGGAGCCACCGAGCGGTGTGTTCCAGATTGTGCTCCACTGCAAACTGTAACGGTATCCATCTTTTGCGTGTTGACTGCACATAATCGTGGCCGATGCTCCCAATCAAGAGCTTCGACAGCCGTCGTTCCTGATTGACGGCTTTGCAGTGCAGGGGTGTCCAGAATTTTGCCTTCCCGGTGACCTTGGGGCTATATTTGGCGTGAAGGAGCTCTATTGCCTGGGAATGGCTGTTGGTTTCTGCAAAGGTGAATGGGGTCCAGTTGAAATTGTCATTAGCCACCATGTTAGCACCCGCCACCCGCAGGATCTAGATCAGTGCGGAGTCTCCGCGCATGGCCGCGAGATGGAGTGGGGTTCATCCGACTCTGGTATCTCTGGCATCGATTTTTGCACCGCAATGGATGAGCAATGTCACGATATCTTGGTTACCGTTGTCGATGGCACAGTGCAGTGGCGTCCAGCCGAAAATGTCACCCCTAGCATCGACATTCACCCCGGTCAACATTTCAACCACGGTAAAATGTCCGTTGATGGCCGCGAAATGCAGAGGTGCAAGACCGTTGTTGCCTTTCATGTCTACAAGATATTGATTCCTGAGCGCTTCCACAATAAGTGCAAACCCTATCTGTGCTGCCATGTGCAAAGCTGTATTCCCCTCCTTATTCTTGGTGGTTTGCCCGATTCGGTCCTTCAACATCTGTATCACCAACACTGAGCCTCCCCATGCGGCGTAATGCAATGCTGTCTGCCCTTGATCGCACTGACCACTGTGATCAATTCCACAGTAGAGCAGGTTGTGGACGATCTTCCTGTGCCCCCGTTCTGCAGCGAGGTGTAATGGTCGTCGCCCGAGTTTATCTGGTACCTCAAGAATATCCTCTTCCAGGTAGTTGAGGAATGCCTGATAGTCGCCCGCCCAGATTGCTCGCTGGAACATTTCGGCACGATCAGCTCTACTGAGCTGCGAATTCGAGGCGTGAGCCTGAGTCAACAGTTCTATACCATGGCTATCATCTGTCTCTTTCTGTGTGGCGCGCAGATGCGACTCCGTTTCATCCTGGAAACTCGAGATTGTGACGATATCTTCCACCTGCTGGTAGTCTTTGCTCCATTCCGAATGGAAATATACGGCTCCAATGTATTGATAGCAGCCAACCTCTTTTGTCTTTGGAATAATAAGGCTCTTCTGATGGAACTGGACCTGTACTAAGCCAGGAAAAGGCACTGCTGGGTGTCCAATAGGGCATGTTGAAGCTGTCGCCGGATCAGTGGATGGGTACTATCCCACCAAATGTGATTGTTGACTGAAGGCTGAAAAGTAATTACCCGCCACCATCCTTGGACATGGCCGTTCTCGCAGATAGTCAACAAGGGCTCGGCGGGGTCCAACGGGAGACCGGAAAACTTGGCCGGGCACCAGGTAAACGTAGTCGACATGGTGATTGCGCTGTGAAAGAGATGTCCAGGGGCGATCCTCCCGAGCTTTCGCACAATACTTTTGAATATCTCTTGCTGTCGCTCTTGTACAGGAACACCCACTAGCCAAGCTGAGATGACCGCCACGTCCTTTGGCCAAGACGTATAGCGGGAACTCAGCACGGTTAATAGGTCGTTTAATGTGGTAATATTTCCCCGGAGATTCTGAATCAGCAATGAGGCCTCTCTAAGCGCGCAATCGGACTCATCCACCTTAGCGAGGATCTCTTCATGTAGATCCTTGATGACAGGGCCCCAGCGTCCTCTGAAGATAATCTTAACCTTCCGGGACTTCATTAATTCGAGCGCCGTCCAACCTCGACCGAACCAAGGCGACATGATGGTTCCAAAGCACGCGGTACGCAGGTCCCACAGCCAATTCCGCAGGAAACAATCATGGACAAGGGTGATGCGGGCATTTTCGTAGTTGTTCTGCATCTTCCTTATCGCTTTGGTACTTGGTACGGGCAGCCTTCTCTCGCGGAATCGAGATCGTATCCCACCAGATGCCATCGTAGTGGAACTTCCTTGCAATGTTTTCGAAAAGCTCATAGAGACACTCGTTGACCGAGCCGTCCTTCCAAGCTCCAGCCCCCGTGCCGTCCGACCAGACGTGTGAAATCGCCATGTATGGCAGATAAGACGGCAGAATAGTCTCTCCGCTCAACGCCCAGGCTGTCGGCCTCTCCCTGATCGCCGCTTTGTACAACACATCTCGTGGAAAGGAGACTGGCATAGAGGTGCACCGGACCTCATTGTCGCATTCGTGCCGCTGCTGAATGAACATTTGAATACTTGCTTTTATGCGGGGCTAAGAGTAGTTGTCACGTCGTCACATTCAACGATATAAGGGCGCGGCCCTTTTTGGGGGTTCTCAGCCCCTCAATCTCCTGACTACGGAGTGCGCGCTTTCGCCCCCAATCTCCAGAGGTGCGAAGAACGTCTATGAGGCATATGAGAGAATTCTAATAAATCGAAGACCACCCAATGGTTCGTCGGGCCTTAAACATCATATTCATAGCAGAAAGGCCACCTACTCTTTCTGAAATAAACATTGCATTAGCTATTAATAACAAAGCTAAGTCTATATAACCTTGATCTAGAGGAAGAAGAGGACTTTAAGTTATACTTAAGAACTTGGTATAGACTTTTTGTTTCAGTCTATCATGAAATAGTTCATTTTCTTTATCAAACCGCCTAAGAATTTTTATTCGCGTGTGCGTCACCGCCTATATGAGAGGAAGTGCCAGATTAGGGTGGCACCTAGTACTGAGAAGCACACTTCCATCTCAACCACCCTAGGCATTAACATCAGCTTCCCTCTCAAACAATATCTATATACTGCTCAATCACAATGAACTTGAGCCGTATCGATCACAGCCATATCACCAATCCCCTGTGCCTCCGGATTTTTGATCTCATCAATCTGACCCTGCCAGTCATCAAGGGCAGTCAGATTTCGGACATATCGGAAGAACCGGTGACGACTGTACTGCGAGCCCGATTTGGTATTGGAAAACTCTGTTTTATAGCTTGACCGTTTTTGTTTCGAACTGCTCTTTCACTTTAATGACATTTCCTCCACCAAGAAAGTCGATGGAATTCGTGTCTAGGCTACAATCGGATGCGGTTCCTTAAAAAATCCATGATGCGTTAATACTCTCGCACTCCGATATCGTGTCTAAAGATAATGACGCAGTAGCTTTTATAATTTAGTCAAGTGAATGAAATTAATCCTTGTGCAAACTTCCCATGAATAATATTCAGTGCTGGGCGTACGGTGACTGCAGTCTCTATCTGCGCAATGCCAACTATAACATCTTGGAATAACCCTAGACTACTCAAGCAAGATTCTGCTCCTACAGTAATAGTCCTACTAGAGTAAATTATCGAGAATATGCGTAATTTCTATATGCGCGACTTGGGAAGATGTGATATTGCGAAGTAGAAATCAATCGATCTGACTATTTAGAGTCTAAGAAGAACCACGGGGCTTCATATTGACCAGGAGTCATTCAACTTCTTATGTGGACATTGATTTAAATCTTCAGAATTCTGTCATGGTTCTCATGCAAAGGTCCTTTGATTCTGGGCCAGGCGGCAGGTGGAGCTTTTCCATCATAGAAACCATGAGACCACAGTCGTCGCCCTCTATATATTTCCTTATCTCCAGGTAATCTTCAATAAAGGCGAAGGCTTCCTCGCGTGAGGATAATCTTTGGTGACGAGAGCGGGGATGATTGTGCACTTGAGCCTCCACGTCATTCCTGTGATGGTGATTAGCATGAAGAGTAAAACGGAAATCTCCAAGAAGGATAGAAACCTACAGATATTGAGAATGAATTGATTCGCCTTCTCTGCCATTTGCCACAGCATATACTGGTTTGGACTGAGCTTGGAATGGTTTTTTTTCAGGCCCAACAAGATGGATATCCGATCTTTCATGTCCGTTTTCAACGAGGTAGTTCAGCGCTTCTTGCAAAGTTCGGAAGCCTTTGTGCTTTTTACCTTTGAAATCATTGGTCAATGCGTCAGCGATAGCCCTGTAAATAAAATTAGAATCTCGTAGCAAATCTTAGGTATATGCCAGGGATTCACTACCATGATTGAGTTATGATGCCTGAAATATGCCCGCGAGCGACTGCGTGGTATTCTTTTGCTCTGTGTTTTGGCATCCTTGATCAGTAGATAGTTCACAACAAAAATGTTTGTCCAAATAATCGGCGCAATATTTACAGATTTCATAAATAAGAAAAGATTTGCCAAATATATAACCTGGGACTGGGTTAACGGCGTTTGCAGGCCACGTCAGCTGGCTGGATGTGGAGGCAGGAGGCGCACTGCTGCATCCTTTGCCTATCATGTCAGCAGCTGCGGCAGTATGACGCCTTCAAAGGTTTTTTTACCAAGCAGCAGTGCCCCTTCTCCACTCTATCCACAAATTGAAACTGCTTTATCATCCCTCATCTTGCTTGATGTGCTCGCTTGACCAAGTAGCTCTTTCGCTCGATAGGTAAATGGAAAATTCATTGATGGGGCTCAATGTAAAAACTCTTTGATTAAATATAAATGTTTTCTTATCCAAAGAATCCTAAATGACGGGCTTCTGTCCAATTCCCAGCTGAAGAGCCATGGAGGCAGAACGTTTCCCTGCTCTCTCAAAAAGTTTCTCCGCATAAGATCTAAACATTTGGTATTGGGCCCCAGTGCCCCATTCCAGAGAACTAGAATAGCAGTTCTCAATTAGTAATAACCAGAGGTAGCCAGCATGGCTAAGACGCCTTTATTTAATTCACAAATCGGGTTCAACTTAATATGATAAATATTTTGAAAGCTGGGCTTAGAACATGAGAGTCGTACCTTGAACCCGTTCAGGTGAGTGACAAATTGGAGAGAGCTGAATGCCAATCCCATGATCAGACCTCGGGAGGTAATAAGTATGTTTGTAATGGAGGTCGGAATCAGCTCAGATTGTGCGATCAATGAGTCGATCCCCTACATGAGCGAAACTAGGCTGCATTACTATGCATCAATTTGCGTCTCCTTAAAGCCCAGTCTGAGAAAATTTATATATTACAATCACATACCAGCCCTAGATCGGCATAGAATACGGAAGACTGCCCAAAAATTATGCAAAGTCGCTCACACTGGCACTGTGCATCATACAACCTAATTCTTATCTGCCTAATATTACACCTGAAGATCAGTTTGTCGAGAGTTTGGCTGACCCTTCGATGCAGAACTTAATATCATAAATTTTGTATGTTGTATATATGATTTCCACATCCTTCAAAGTAGGCTCCTCGAGGAAACGCGTAGCCATGAACTGCAGGAAATGAATAAGAGCTGACTTTCTGAGGTTATTCTTTGGTCAAGGTCAAAACCAAATATGTTCGCAAAACAGTTCTTGACATCAAATTTCCACCCCACCAGTCACTGAATCATCATCACTCTCAGCATCTTCACTGCCCTCATTGCCAAATGAAACAACACTTCCAGGATGGAAAGCTGGATCTACTAGGGGTGGTCTATTGCTAAGCTTGTCCCTGTGTTGAATTTGGAGTGTGCGTAGTAGCTCTGCAAGGGAAATATCATTGGTGAATGAGCTAGGATCGGATGCAATCTCAATAATTGTTGAGAAGCCCCCCCGCTGTGGAGTCCGCGTAGCCCATTCACCTACCGACTTTGAGTGCAATATCGTTCTTCAAATGCAACCGGACCGTGTCAATCATGCGAGGCAGAATATCAATTTGATGTTGAAAAGGTATGGCAGCATTCAAAGTATCCGCGCGGATATCCGGAATTCGCCAATTTAGATAGAGCTTTTGGTGGGAAGGGGGGGGGGGGGGGCTCGCGTAGCCTCCGGGATGGAAAGAGATGAATAGATGACAGAGATAGCATGCCGGTTTGCTGCATCCAATATACCTGTCCTGTTCAAAATGATCGAGGACCAAAAGTTCCACGTGCACGCGTGTTCTGCGTTTACAGAGATCCTTGGACAGGATCCTGTCCAGTTCGGGACCAGAGTAGATTCCTTGTAACTGTTGCAAAAACATATCCCGCTTGCTAGATTCAGAGAACATACAGTTGCTAATTTCCTTTATTTTACAGGTATGTGCCACAAGAGTGATTCGCTTCTCCGGTGATCCGCTGATCGTTTCGATGAGAAAGCCCCGGGATAGCTCAGAATATAGTGCAATGGTGGCCTCTATCAGACGTTTGCACTGAGCCACATGCTTCCCCAGCTTGAAGAGTTGCTCAAGCTTATGGGATTGCTCGAGGTTCCCCGGGTGGCTATGCAAGGCCTTGAAAATTCCCCGGTCCTTGTAGCTGTTGAAAGCCAAGACTGGCATGTCGCATTCCTGCAGTGGTATCCCATCTTTCGATAAGTGTGCTGCAAACCAGTTGAGAAGTCTGATAATACTTTCGTCATCTGTTCATGATGGTAAAGCTGGATTAGTTATGATGTAAAATCATACTTGTTCTTTCTGCAAACAGTGCTGCGTACCTTTTAATCCAGGTTCATTGCTCAGCCGTTCTACTAACGAGGAGACAGCTTTGTTCACTTGCTGATAGTATTAAAAGATTCTGGGGCATTGAGAGACAGCACATGGTCAGCCAAGACCTTCATGACCTTTTGGCCCTCTGTCTTGACCAGACTAATGCTATGATTCTTGATGACCCATGAAAGAATCACAAGAACAACATTCTTCAAAAAGATGACAACGTCCCTATCAATGCCACCATTGGCAGCCAGAAACACCACTATCGCGTCAGGAGTGTCTTCCAAGGCTGCCGCAGTGACGTACTCAGGTTCTTTTCGATATGCACATATATAAGCGATGGCGTCCACAAAATTTTGATAGCACCTTGGGCCAGTCGACCCCAGGTCCTCATGGGATACCTCACCTGGTTTGATCCAATCCCTTCGAACCTCACCCAGAGAATGAAGCAAGTATAAAGGCTCATAGAGCAGTCGAAGTCTCCTAGGTTGATGCGAAGCCTCCAAAGCTTCTTCTTTCATCTCGTTTGAATCAAGAGAGGACCCAGAAAGAAGAAATAAGGAATAATACTCTGGATTATCCGTAACCTTGCCTGCTACAAGCTCAATCTATATGCCATAGAAAGTAACTCTTCATTCTGTTGTTTATCATTTCTGACTCACTGCACCGGAGTGATTCATTGCGAGCCTTGTTCAGGATCGCTGCCTCAGCTAATCACCATTTCTGTTTCCCTCTCATTCCTATATTATCCCCCATTCTTTTTACTGATCTCTACTCCTCATCTTCCATTGCAACAAATCAGCATCCCTGTCTCTGTGGTTAATTCAATCGGCATATGACAATTCTCATCCAAGCCAAGTAATATTACCCGGACGAGTGTCCAATAATGTACATGACCTTGTTACGCATGAACTTTTTCTTGCTACAGTAGTCAAGGAATAAGGCCGTCGGGCTGAAATTCACACTTCTCTGACAATATATGGTACGGCTTATCTTACCCTGCAAACTAACACACCTACGAGAGTATGACACGTCACGGCCAAATTGGCTTTCGCATATGATTTCATAAAATATTAAACCGGGCAGTTGATATCTTGTGGCAGAGCCTGAAATGAGTCACAGTTAAGTGAATTCCAATCTGCACTTCGGTGCATCGTGATGTACGAATTATTTTTAAAACGGACGTGTTAATATCCATCGCCAAAACTTATCCATTCTTCGGTTTTGTAATCTATGGGACTCCTTTAATACCACCCGAAGCACCAAGATGACCAATTTGCCAAATAATAACACAATCCACCGGCTGCGACGGTAGGCACAATGGCCATCTCTTCATCAGCATCTAATCTGACGCTATATTATACAAAGACCTTCTCATAGGTTTACTTGTCTGTTGTATATCGGTGATCTCATCTCTTACAGGATCTGGAGTATCGTGTAATGAGATTGAGGTCAATCAACTCCTTCTATCATCTCTAGTCGGCTTTTGGACTCACACAGACGCAGGACTATTTTAATCGTGCGTTCGAAGAATTCGATTGGAATGGAATCATGGGCCCTCTCGGTGTCTGTGAACCCTTCTCTTCTTTGAGAGCCATTGGGGAAGAAAGAAATGCCCGAGATCGTAGTTACTCTAATAGGGCAGAACTACAGAGTTTCTCTTGAGCCACAAAAATTTGCGCTCCTATGGGGCCTTACAGATATATTTTCTCCAAATACTTCCGGAGAACCCCAAGATAGGAACGACGGCACGTCGGCCATGGGAGCGCCTCACTCAGTTCCTTCCAGTTTAGTTCACCTGGAGCCTAGACGACATATAGGACACGCAGTTGTTCTCCATCGGTATACTTCTATGCTACATGAGAGGGTCCAGAGAGAACATAGAAGGTTTCAAAGAATTCAAGAGGAGACAATCACACTTGATCCGCCTTTATTCGGAGTCACGGTCCAATATGGAGATATTACCGGCTCTGGTTGGGCTGGGACAAAGCGAGAAGCAGCACATTTGGCCGCTCGGGACATCTACCGCTAATTAAATGAAAATTTTTGAATAAATTATTAAGACACTATCAATGGCTTAAAATTGGCACAGAGTTCATTCACTGAAAGAAAGAGCGCGGTTGGGCTAATATGTGACAATGTGGGTAGTCATGAGCCTTGTGGGAAATTTACTAGCCAAGTATCAAAGCCTAGATAGATTATTTCGCACCCTCCGACGGGTGCATCCTGAAACACTCTTGTCAGATAAGAAAACAATTTTGAATTTTCATTGGAAAGCAGGTTTTTTTTAGAGCACGGATGGTTCATCCTCCATAATGCTACGTTTTTCGTTTCCCCATACCCTCTCTGTCACCCCATCCTCTCCTTTTTGTTGATCTGAAATTTCGACTACCTGCAAAATAGCCCCAAGTAATGGGGAGGAACAGCTGGTTCGAGAGCGAGCGTATCAATTGGAGATGCTTCGAGCCAGTGCCCAGCAAAACATAATTGTGGCGGTAAGAAGGAGGCAAGGTTCCAAGAAAATGTTCAAACTGAGACTCTGACTGAATCGTTTTAGATGGGTACCGGTACAGGAAAGACGCTGATGTTTGTTTCACTACAAGGGCTGTCATCTCTTTTCCAACCCATTGACGATTACCTCAGAGCAATACTTCGGATCCGGGAAGAATTGAACATGAATTCAAATAAGGTAATCATTTTTTTCCATTTGCCCCTCTTTTGGGTACATTTAGCAGTGGTCTGATGGTGGGGGTTGAAGAATCTATATGTAGCTTATATGGTTCTTATGCCCTACTGTCGCGTTGTGTGAGCAACAAATCGAGGTTCTTCGATCCCATCTTCCTTCAGGCCGCCCTTGGTCATTTACAGGTAGGGATCAAGTCGACCACTGGGGAGAGAAGGCTGTGGGATTCCGCTCTAGCCGGTATGCGAGTCGCAGTCCCAACCCACCAGGTCCTCCTTGATGTCTTTACCCACGGGTTCATGAAACTGGATCAACTCTCACTACTCGTGTTCGATGAAGGTTAGTTAGAATGGGCAATGTCTGGGCTGTTGAGAAACTTAGTAAATCTTCCAATTAGCTCATCATTGTACAAAAAATAGCCCGGCAAACAGAATCATGAAGAATTTCTACCATCCCTACAAACAAAAAGTCCCCAACACCTTACCTCGCATCTTGGGTCTGTCTGCTTCTCCTGTCAATCCAGATGTTTCAAGTTTTGAGTATGTCTGTTACTGAGAGGGAGACAGAATAAAACTCGCTGACTGCCTACATAAAAGAAAGCTTGAGATAAATCTCGATAGCAGGTGCATGGCCCCAGTCAGACACTACCAGGAGCTATTGAACTTACCAATCATCCTAAGATATGCATCTGTCATTTTTCTGATAATGATGAATTACGCAATACAACAGAACCCTGGCTTTTGAAGATAATTCGTGACATGGCTGATTTGACAGATAAATACCATCTTATTTCGAGGACCTCGCAGCTTCGCCAGTTTATTCGAACGTCGGAAACTCTGTATCATGAGCTCGGGAGCTGAGCTGCGGCTGGGTACATGTACACCTCGATCATACACTTCAAAGAGCACCAACGCGAGCATGCTGAAACGGATTGGTCTGCTAGCACTGCCAAAGACTTCACCATGCAGATTCTGTGCGACCTTGGCTGCCTGGAGCGGCCTCGATTGCCTATCATGCCCACTGATCTCTCCCCCAAATGCCAGCATTTGCTGCAAATTCTGTCCCGGCTGATTGAACATGAATTCCACGGGCTGATATTTGTGGCCCAAAGAGCGACGGTGGTGATTCTCAAATCACTGATCGAGTGCTATTCCGATACAAAAGACAAGATACGCTGTGGGGGTTTTGTCGGCATGTCGAACATTCAGAGCCGGACTAATCTTGGAAATTGGCACGGTGATATCCGCAGCCAGGAAGACACACTAGCAAAGTTCTGGGCGAAAGAACTGGATCTGATCATCACGACCAATGCATTGGAAGAGGGAATAGATATAACAGCATGCAATACCGTCATCAGTTTCGACCGTTCTCTTAGTCTTAGGTCCTTTTTCCAAAGACGCGGACGGGCGCGCCAAGGGCAATCCACCTTCATCATCTTCGTGGGTAACACGCAGGAAGAGGGAGAGTTGAGGAAGCTTATAAAAATAGAAGACGGGCTGATGAAAACATACCGAGATGATACAAGAGCTGTCTCCAATTCTCCATTTGAGGAAGCATCTTGCTTCTCATCAGAAGTGAAAAGCACGGGTATGCATAACTGCCCTGAGGGACCAAAAGAGAACATATAATTCTTACTAATCTACGATAGTGCTGAAATGAACATGTCGGATGCTCCAAGTCATTTAAACATTTTCTGTTAAATGTTACCGAAACAACCATATGTCATCAACCGGCCCCTATACCACCATGAGGAGAGCCCCGATGGCCAGATGCGAGCCATAGTAATATTACCCAGTGTCCTCCACCCGTACCTGCAAGAAACAAAAAGCTTACAGTGGTGGCCTAGCAGGAAGCTAGCGAATGCCGACGCTGCACTGCAAGCATACAAGGCCCTACTGGCGGCAGGCCTGGTAAATGACTATCTACTGCCGACAAATCCCAGCAAAATTTTCAATCCGGGCTTGTCTGCTTCGAAGGCCATTCATATTGTACTTGAGCCAGTCAATCCTTGGGCTAAGTTGGCTGCTCGATGGAATACCCGTGACTTAGCCTTGTACTCCCACCGTTTGCAGGTCCAACATCCACGAAGGGAAAGTCTCGAGTCTATGATGAACATCCCCTTGCAATACAGAGACAAATCCAGTTTCCCCTGTTTTCGAATGACAACACAAAGACGAGGGTCTGCCTGTGGCCAGGCTTGCTAATCGCCACTGACAATCGAATTATTACGTTATACCGTCAAGTCACGCACCTGATCCTCCAGTCTGTACATGGGCACTTGCTAAAACCTGAACTTCGCCTGGATTTCGTGGCGCTTTTTGTCCCAGATGCTGCGCCAGCTGCGATCGAAACATTCTTGGAGGCAAACACTGGCAGGCTTCGCCAAGATGATGCTTTAAAGACTGCAGAACGCACAAGGCCACCAGGACTTCTTCGTGGTCCAAAATTGTCTCTCTTCCCGTGGATCATGGATTCCTGGCCTTCGGGTCCCTCATACAGCACTGAAGACCTCCGGGGAGGAGTGCAGCCGCTGCCACGACGGCGAAACTTTCTTCCTCCCTGCCCGTCCAGAGCATTAAAGCTGGGATATTCGGCGCCAAGCCACGAAGCACAAAATAAGTGTTTTGAGGACCAGCATCTCACTATGGATCGGCTGCCTTTTACATGGGCGCAGGCCGCTCTCTATATCCCTAGTATTACCCATGAGATTAGTGTCTGTATGGTCGCTGAACACCTGCAGGAGAAATTGTTATTGGACGTGACGTTCCGCAGTTTGGATCTCCTTTCACTGGCCATTCGACCAACCTGCTCTGAGAGGCCTGCTCGATTCTGGTCTCTGGCTTTTATGGGGGCAACGTTTCCGGAATATATCATCAACTGAGAGCCAGATGCCTGAGTCCTTGCAGGTTGACTTCGAATGTTCGCGGCAATGGTACGAGAGTTGCACGAAGACGGCAAATGTATCAAATTAACGCACGCGCGTGCGACATTTTTGCACGGCGGACTCCTTATGTAACAGCATTTTGGGCAGAGGTGCACTAATAGCAAATCTAATCGCTGTCAAACACCGTTAGAGGTAGCCCGGGTGGCAATCATATTATCTAGGGCGTTCTCATCCGGTCCTATCCAGCTTCTCATCTCATCTATTGCGTACTCACCCAGGTCGCACGGCGCACATATGCTAAAACAGCAATACACCATTCCTCGACCAGGCTAGACGATAGAAATGACTATGTAGGACTAGCTAAGCACGCGTGGCTTAAGTATGGCTGAGCGGACGGGAAGCCCTACTCTCCACATCCTGTGGTCGTATGTGCTAGAGATGGGATCAATTTGGAATATATTTAGCACTAAATGGCCATCAGGCTAAAAAGATTGGACACGATGGGCACATTTATTTTAATCCACTTCTGTATATTGAAGAATAAGCATTGAACCCCCCCTTAATGACATTGAAATTCAAGTTCATACACATCATCCATTACTACATACCTGATTGATTGATTATCCCCATAAATCAATTCTAGGAAATAGCTAACATCACTTTTTCCTAAATTCATCGGTGTTCAGAATTTTCACGCCTCAATGTCATGTGCAGCCTAGTACAGCCATCTTGTCTTGCTTAATCCAATCTCGGGTCTCATGGCGTATACGTATGCTGAATATGCTTGGGCTTGGACGCCCTTACCGATATCCTGGTCCTGGTCCTGGATAAATCCATGTATCTGATCGCGACCAGAAAAGAAAGGGGGAAGAAAAATATAAAATATCAGCCAAGAAAATGGTTTGAATCACACACCTCTTTCTGATGGGTTCGCAGTAGGCTATCTATGCATCTTGTGCGTCCATGATGTCAGCCATGCCGTTTTAACGCGGTTGTTCTCGGTCGCCGGCTGCATATGCAGGGCCCGGATGCTTTGTTTTGCGGGGAATCAATCATCATACTCGTGATGCTTCCACTTTCGTAATTTTCTATTGTTACCCCGTGTCGGTGAGCTGTGCTGTTTGGTCTCGTGGGTTATGATGTTATGGGGAATGCTGCCAAGATGTCGTGTTTGGATTGGGTTGAAGGATGGGTTCATTGCGATGAGATACGATGGGAATGGTATCACGATCTATCTTCGGTGGTCTTTGCTTACTGGGTCTCTGACTGTCTGCATACACCGACATTCGTAGCCTCAAGACTGAGGTGTAGATCTTGGAGTGTGTAGCAACTCGAACTTGAACTCCGTCACACCTCGGCAAATCTACAGGCCACGAGGTTTGAGTCATGCTTATCAGATCTATACATGAACGCTATCTATCCATATACCATGATTGTCTTGCATGGTTTCACATATGCAATATTGCCGCTATGGCCTGAATTATCTACTGAAAAGTGCACTTCCTTAGTGCTCCAATTCCCATTGCTTGGATATCGACCGGACTGTTTGTTCCATGAAACTCAGCTGGAGTGTCGAGATTACTTTCGTTCGTGTCATAGAACTGACCCTAGCCGTTTTACAGCCCGTAGGTACAATGGAGAGGCGCCCTGAGTGTCCTTGAACTAGTGGTTCGGTCACCTAGTCCTACCTATAGGCAATTGTACATACAAACAGGTGGATAGGCAGAGTATGTCGAAGTATGCTTGTGATCCAGCCCTGTGATTGTGTTGAAGGGCCAGTTTCTGCAGGCTCTCACCGCCCCTTCCGTAGACTTGACAGACCCTCAGCTCTCTGTTTCTTCCTCTCCCCCATGCCCTTTCCTTCCTCCAGTTTTCAGTCCAGTTTTGGCCTTCAACAGATTGTCTCAGTAACCAACAGGGTAGGCCCGTGATGGGTAACCCGCGGGTTGTGTCAGGTCTCCTACTGGGACCTTATGTTGGTCTATAGATGATATAGCCTTCGACGAAGCATCTATCTCATAGTAAACTAGAGTGTTATGCAGGCAAAACATTTCAGCGCCGGATACCCCAGGTGCCAGCGCCTAGATTAATACGTCAAGCGTAACTGCCTTATAAAACAAACATTAGAAAAAACAACCTGATGAAGAAAGATATCGACTAATTACAGCCATATCAGAAACGCCAATTTCTATAAACACTTGTCTGTCTATTGAAGAGACTCCCGCGCACCTCTGAAAGGTAGGATAGCGACTCTCAACCAATGAACACCTTACACTGCTAAAGTTAGTCATTAAGTAGCTGCCGTTTATGAAAACAATTTAGTTGGCCCCCATTCGCTCAACAGCCCTCTTGAAACTTTGAATGACTGGTGAAGTCGTTATTGCGGCATGCGCCTTCTACGTTAGGTAGCACGACGATCGGTAGTTAGGAGACTGAATGGCATATTAGTTTGACAAAGACTGCATTGGCTTCGTTTGTTTGAAAGTGAAGTTCTTACATACTCGAGTTCTGGGTTGACCTCGTACTGGCCCTGGTAGTTTTCTCTTTCTGGTGGTTGGGAGGTGAAACATTTCGACTACATTGTCCGCGCCTTTGGGTCTATGGTAAAGGACACCCGGTGGACCGGACTGGGCAGCAGCGAGAACTGGGAGCCACCGTAGGTGGAGGACTCCCCGAAAGAGTTCGAGCGGACATCCTCGGCAGTGACCGTCTCCCGGGAGGAGATGCGAGCGGACACGGGATCGGAAGAAGTCTCATTGTAGCCGGCAGCTTGCGAGTTAAGGTGTTGGCTCGGCGGCGGCGGCGCGCTTCGCTGCTGCCGTCGAAGCTTCTCCATGGGCAACTCCGCCAGATATCCAGCGGTCGTGGCGAGGAAGGGCTCTTGGGTCTGGGCGCCCCTCTTGTTGTTGGCGACAGCAGATGTTACGGCACGCCCAATGGTTTGGAATAGAATAGTCCCGGGAAGGGTGACGAGGTTCGTACCGATCTCGTAGGTGACTGCCTGCGCGATCTTCCCTGTGACGCTGCCCGCCGCTCCAGCCAAGGCTTTCCCGGCTCCCCCAACGGCGTGACCGGCCACGCCCCCGGCAGCCCCAATGAAAGCATCCGAGGCGATACTTTTGAGCGTGGGCGTTGTCCCCGTCGCCAGGTCGTAGGCGACTCCAACGCCGACATTCACGGCGGCCCCGATCGCCATGCCAGCGACTAATCCAACCCCTCCCGTGAAGACGGCAATGCCGACGGCAACGCTCACACCAACCAAGATTTGAATGAAGCTTCGCCAGCTGAAGTGGCCGCTCGGATCAGCCCGGTTGATTGGGTTCCCCAAACAATAGGCGTACGGGTTGATTTCGCCCGAGGTAAATGGGCTCCAGGCGTCCGGCTGTAGGAAGATCTTCAGACTTGGGTTGTACACCCGATAACCGGTCCCGAGATGATACCACCCGGTGACTGGGTCTCGCCATTGTGCGTTGAAGCCAACGGTCGCGCCGTCAGAACTGAAGCCGTAGGGCGTGTACGCTTGGTCGTGAACCTGTCCGCTATCCCGCGTGTCCAGCCAGGTGCTAACCGAGTGGTGGGCATCGGACGCCCAGAGCTGGGTAGTCACCTCAGTCCCCTGCTGCTGGACTGTCCCCCAGTATATGTTTCCGTCCGAGATGAAGCTGGTCTGATGGTCCCCCTTGGTCACGGCGATCAATGAGCCCCCGCGGTAAGAAAACTCGGTGTCCGGCTCATTGGGGATCGACTGACGGACCAGCCGGTCCGTGGCATCATACCCGTACTCGCAGAGGAGCTGGTTCTGGCTATCATATACCACGGACAGGAACCTTGACGCATTGTAGACCAGTGTCCGCCCGTGCTCGTCGCGCGTCATACATCCGTTCTCGTCATACTCGAGGTTGACGGCCGCCGCGTCATTGGAGTGAGTGTTGTAGATACTGATCAGCTGTGTCGGATCCTCAGCACTGTACGTGTAGACCTGTGTATTATCGCTGCCATCCGCGAATATGGTCTGGATCTGGGCGAGGCCATTATAATCGTTGAACGTGAAGCGCTGCCGGCGAAGGGCGCGGCCTTGCTCATCTACCGGGGGCTGTGTGCCCTGGCACTGATAGTCCACTAACCGGCTTAAACTGTCATACTCAAAGGCTTCCTGCCGCACCAGAGTGCCCTTGTCATCGCGTCGATCGCGTGTGGTGACCAGCCCCGTGGCCCCATAGGACTGAGTGGTCTGGAATATGAGCGCGGCCTCCGTCCAGAACTTCCGGTGAATTTCGCGGCCGAACTCGTCATACTCGATATTGGTCGTCAGGGTCACCCTTGATGACTATCCTCGGCCACCGTTGTGATGACGCGGTCGGCCTGATCATAGCTGAACCTGGTCGTGAGCGTGCCGACCTTAATTTCTTGTCGCCGGCCCGACGCATCGTACTGGATCGTATGCTGTTTTCCGTGGACATCGGTATACTCTTGTAGCTTGCCAGCCTGTGAGTACACGTACTCCAAGGCGCGAGTCCCATCTGCGGTCTGGATAGTCTCCTTAGACAGCAAATGGGATGGGTAGTAGCTGAGGCGGGCCGCGGCGAGCGAACTCCCCAGCTGCAAAATCGAGCCGGTTTGCTTGTCGTACTCGTATGACTCGGTGCCATCGCTGGTGATCCTTCCTGTCAACGCATAGTCCAAGGACGGCTCATACGTGCGTTCAGAGCGCCCTCCCTTCGGAGTGATAACTTGGGCCGGGACAGGGGCGACACCTTCATAGGTATTGCTGGTGGTGCGGCCGCCAACAGTGGTGCGGAGCGGCCGCTCCAATCCATCGAACGACTGCGTGCTGAAGCCCGACGAGCCCTGGAGATCGATGGCCACTGGCAAGGCTGCAGTGCTCTCAGCCGCATACTGGGTCACGATCGCGTGGCCATCGGGCCATGTGGTCTTGACCACGCGATCGAAGCTATCGTAGCTATATTGCGTGGCACGGCCCAGGCCATCCGTCATCTGGCAGCGGCGTCCTAGTCCATCATAGGCATATTCGATGGTACATTCGACGCTTCCGTCGCGCCGCACGAGAGCTTCGGAGCTCGGGGTCTGAAACGTGTTGAGTTGGGACCGCGTTTGGCCTTCGCCCTCATTCCCTACGGTCTGGGTCAAGGCAATGGGGTCTGTCACGGAGAGGTGCGCTGCTCCGCCGTTCTTCGTGACTTTATAGAGCTCGCCCCAGTCATCGTACTCAAGGGAGCGCGTCGTTCGTAGGCTTGTGGGCGTTCCGTTGGCGCGCAGCCAGTCGATGTCTACCTCTTCGATACACTGATCGAGGGCGTTATACCGGCGCTCCTGCACGACGCGGAATGTCCCGGTGTAAGTTTGATGTTGGTCCCAGACGGCATCATCGTCCTGAGATTCCACGCGGACTACGCGATCCATGCCATCGGTGAAGTATCGCGTCTGCACTCCCTTACTGTCGGTCACCGTGACTTGCCACCCAACGGCGTCCTCCAGGACCGCGTATTCGTGCTGCTTTCGGGCCTCGAAGGCGGTGCCGGGGGCGGTGATGGTATGGGTTACCCGACCGATCGCATCGTGCTGATGGGTGGTCTCAGTGCCGGCCTGGTTCTTGGTTGCGAGGGTCAATCCGGATATAAGGGAGGAGGTGGTTTCCTCCTGCGTGGTCTGGCCGTCGAAGCTGGTGGTTGTAATGGTCTCGGTCAATTCTGTCGAGCCCCAATGGCGGTACTCGAACTGATATATCGTCGTCGGCTGGTTAAAGACGCGGGTGAGTTGCTGCTGTCGTCGGCCATGATCCGCGGACTCTGGCTCGTTCACATAGGTGTATTCCGTGATCGTGAGGGGTTGGCTCCCCTCCTCACGGGTCAGCCGTTGGTCACTGGCCACGAAATAGTCGGCTGGGGCCGCGGTGGCGGTGGGGAGCTTGAGATATGTGTAGCTATGGGCGCGGGTGGGGGTCGGAAAGCCACTGGAAGCCGGGATCACGGTCTCGAGTTTGACATGTTGCTGGAATCCGTGGGGACAAGGCGGGCAGAGAACCTGACCGGATGAGTCCACCTCGCCGGCGGCAGGATAGTATTCACGGGTGGTTGTGACCCCACTCGGGGGGGGGTCTCGCTAGTCTCGTTCCCCCACTCGTCAAAGGTAAAACGGGTGGTCTCGTTCCGAGAGGCGCCAGTGGCCGTGTCCCGATAGGTGGTCTCTTGGGTCTGGGGCAACTGGTATTGGGCAGGCTGGTTCTCGAAGGCAGTATTGCTGCGGGCATAGTAGGTAGTGGTCTGGGTGAGCTGTTTGACGCCCTTCTGTTGCTGTGTACTGAGCTGCAGATGAAATTTATTGTAAACATGGCGGGTGGTGGTTCCGCCCACGACCTGGACGGTTGAGGTATACTCATAGTCGGCAGGGGTCAGGTACAGATTGTCCCCGTCGCTGGACCAGTTTCGACCTCCACCGAAGCCGAGGAAGTTGTGGTCGGAGTAAGTGTACGTAGTCTGGATAGCGGGCTGGTCATGGAAGGGCCGAGCCGTGTGGGATATCACGTGAGGGATCGTCAGGACGGGCGCTCCACTGGGTAATCGGAAGCCCGCCCGGTAGGAAATCGTCTCGGTTGCCCCAGTCGGGCTGGTGACACTAGTCAATCCCCCCCGTCTCATATACAAACTTCCAAGCCGGCGATCCCTGCAGTGGCAGGCGCAGCTCTGCCAGTTGGCCATTCCGCCGCATCAGCGTGAATGTTGCGGCCTCAGCGGTCCCCGGTCCGCGGGTGACGGTGGTGATCTGCGTGCTGTCATTGTAGACAATTTCCACCAGATCCTGCGAGCCGGCCTGAATCTTGCTGAGCCGGGGCTGGGTGCCCGAAAACACCCATGAGAGCTGCAGCGAGTGGCCATTGGCACCGTAGATTTCGATGGGTACACTAACAGAGGTCCGATTGTTGAAGTTGGAGAGTAATTCCACTTGGCCGGACTTGAGGGTAACGCGGTAGCTGGTGGTGCTCGTCTTCTGGAACCGGAAACTCTGAAGCTTCTGGTCCGTCACCAGCACGGAGCTGGTGCTCTCTTGGACCTTATAATTCTCCCCTGTCGACAGAATCAGGGTCCGCGATGGCTGATCATACGAGGAGAGGCCACCAAAAGACCAGCCCCGTCCCAGGCCGACATCATCGCCTCCTAGGGGATTGAAGTGGAGGGAAAGGTTCAATGGGGGACTGTTGCGAACCCCGGCCGGCACCTCATAGAGGGAAAGGATGCAGTTGTATTGGCCGGTGCGAGGGTCGACTCCTTTCTCGACGTAAGAGTTGAAATTGAAGCCCTGGGAATATATCATTCTGGTTGATGGGAATTTGGATACAAGGGAAGTTTTGAATGACCACCAGTCTCCGGGCTTGTGGATGATCTTATAACCTCTTCCCTCTGCTCTTCCCCCTCCTCTTCCTTTCCCTTGGGTAATGGCTCCATCAAATAATCACGCCAGAGGAGATAGTTGCATCATTTCAGTTGGCCAGGAAATGGCATTGTCACATTCAGCTGTCAATCCCTGTTCACCTGCAAGTGAACCCACAGACCCACCATTAGCGTCCAATGAATCTCAGTCGGAGCTGGCAAGGATCGAGACTGACTCCTCATTCAGAGGAACGCTACACAAGATTCAATGTTTCATTGGTTAGCGCCGTGAGAAAACTCCATCTGCATTCTATTCTGCATGAAGGCAGCGCCCGGTGGCGAGCTGCACGACACTCATGTAGGATCGGACCGGCGCCCGCTCGACCGAGATTCCCAAATTGACGGAGGACAGGACAGGAAAGGTCTGGATGGATTGCGATATTGTATGACATGACGTGTATATCTACCCCCGCTCCAGCCCATTGCACTTCAGCTCCTCCCTTGCCATGCCTCATGGGTCTTTTTTATACACACCCTTAACTTATCCTCAATCTATCCTGATCCCCACTACCACATCCACCATCATGTCAGTAGTAACGTGGGAAGTCGTCTCCTTTGCCGTGCAGACTACCACGAGCGATCGGGTGACCGACCGGCTTTTTGCCAATGGCAATATGCAGGTTCCGGTGATCGTCACCATCAGGGCCATCAATTCAGCGACAGGGGCCACCCATCTGTTGAGCGCGGCCCAGCTCCAGGAAATCGAGTTGATAGACTATTTTTCCGGGGCGGTACTCACAGCACCCTGGTCGTCTTCTCGGACTCCAAATGACTTCGCCCACACGGTGGCCGGCACCAATGACCCCGTCGTTGAACAACCCACTTCGGACATCCCTCAATCCGTCCAGTTATATGTCACCTCCACCAGAATCGAGAACCGAGTCATTGGCGCACGGCTCACTCGAGCCGATAGTCCTACCGTGTGGTCCACAAATAGCCCACTCTTTAACTCCTCGGTCACTCTGACGGCAATCCAGCCAGTGATTTATACCACCAGCAACATCACCGTGGGAGACAAGCAGACAGTGGCCACAGGAAACTGGACCTGGTCCTACGCGATCAATGTTTTTGTGACTGAGCACCGGAGAGACTGGCGGCAAGAGAACTACTTTGTCACCTCGAACGTCCATCCGATCTTGAAAGCCGATCTGCACAACTTTAACACCGACACCACTTTGACTAACGCCTTTTCCATGGGGTGGAACCGGTTCGACCTCAACCTTTTCTACTTTTGGAACCCCGGCCACCAGTTTTCGAAACAGGTGGGACAGTTCAATCGCCATCAATCGCTCATACCGGATGCTGAAACTCCCAACCTTATGTTGCACGTGTGGACGCGAGACGCAACAGCCACGGTCCAAGTCAATCAGCAACGCAATGCGTTGTGCCTCACTCATATGATATTCCACAACGATGATAATTGGGGGCCCGGGTTTAGCAGCTGGAACTATAACGCATGGGTCCGGCTGTACGACACGTTTGGAAACTACGGCGACTTCGACGTCAAGGTCCGGACGAGCACGGGAGAGGACGGGACGACAGAACTGACCCCCTATCTCCAAAACAGAAACATCGCGAACTTGAATGATCCCGACTCCAAGCTGTGAGGGTGTAGGGCGCGTCGGGGGTGTTATGGATATAGCCAGGCAGACGTGGTTCATATTGCATCGCCACGTCGTGTCTCTCTCTCCTTTCTCCTTCCCTGTCAGCTTCGTTATTTTCGTTGAATGCACGCGTTCTGATATCATCTATCTGTTGCGTATCGGCTAGTAACAGGGGCCGAATGCAAACGCTCGTTAGAAGAAAGATCTGGTCGTTCGCACATTGGACTGTGGTCTTTCCCTTTTTCCCCCTATTTCATCTGCCCCTGAGGCTGTCAGGCTGAAGAGCTCGATGGTTCAACCATACTAGCTAGAGCCTCGCGAAGACCGATTGGCTCCTAGTTTTATAATCTAAGTCTATTATAGTCTTGTAGTAACCAGCCCTGGAGATAATTACTGTATATTATATTAAATGAATAAATTGCTATTCGAAATGGACTTTCTAATAAGGAAATCTACTTATAGCTACCGGGGCCGGGACATGATGCATACCCAGGAACATTGTAAACTTTTGCCAGACCTACTTCTAAGCAAAAAGGGGGTTAGTGACGCTGCCTCCGCAGTATCCCAGCCATCAGTGCTGTCTCTCGATCTTTATTGATCACTCACCGAGCTATAGAGAATCAAATTCATCTTGAAATTCCCCAGTTTCCTCCCGGTACTAGCAGCGGAGCTCTTCGATGATTTTAATATCAGTTTTTGAAGAAAACTGGCGAGTGCGTCTGATACATCAAGAGATTCAGTGTTGAATCGTCGGAAAAGTAATGCCAGCTTCAAAATTGTGCCTGACTGAAGCCCGTCCAAGGCCGAGTCCACGAAGTTCCTGACAAGAGTTTGTTTATTCCGCCTTAGCCAAAAATCTTGATCTTTCTGTTCATCGGGGCTTGCAATTTATATAAAATGCGAGTATTACGGTGGGTCCTCTCACCCCGCTCTCACCCCGTTCTCATCTCAAGTGCTCTCTCACCCCCAGTCTCCAGAATTCTCACCCATATCACCCTCACTCACCCTAACACAAAACACGGTGCTGCTTTAAAGGCTAGGGCTCTTTGAAAATTGACCGCGTTTAGTATGTGGCTTAAGTACGGCTGAGCGGACGGGAAGCCCTGTTCTCCACACCCTGTGGTCGTATGTACAAGAATGAACATGAAAACGAAATATATTTCAAGTTTGAATTTTGCAAGACATTCACATATGACGTACCTTCAATTCCGTGACAGGATTTGTCCGGATCAACTGACTAGTAAATCGCGTAGGACTGTGAAACTCGTCTATCTCTTCCGCTTATGAATCGTCCGGCGGCTGATATATCATTTAGTTCAATATCCATCACGTTCACCATACCAGGAACGTTACCCGTACTTACCACTACCTAGAGCTGATGTGTTTCTCAATGGAAGCAGCATCAGAGAATTCTTGTTGCTAAAGGCCTTCGCAATAGTGGCCTTGGAGAGATCGAGTCCAACTTCAATTTCCTTTTCATGAGACGCTGGTATTGGAGGCAGAAATGTCTGATTTCTACCATTTCCGCTGCAACTTGAAGCTTTCCCACATCTGTAAGGAAACTATTTTGGGCATTTATATATATATATAAGTAGTTTCGCCTCCCAGAAAATAGATGTAAACATCATGCGCAATGCGTTGAGACGTAGCTCGTCCACTTTGGACTTAATTCCAGTTTCCAAGGTTGAGCTTTATTGGAGAATTCTGTCAAAAAATCCATTTTCAATGTAATTGCCTCCTGAGTATCTCGACCGGAAACCTGTTGGCTCATTTCATCTCATAATCTCAGTCCAGGAAAGATGTGGATTGCGACAGGTATTTGATAAACTCTGGAGCTATGGATGAAGCTAACGTGAGAACATTTGAAAGATGTCAAAATTGAAAAAAGTTCTCATTTCAACCACAAATGTTTGAACAATCTGAGACTCGGAGGTCAATTTATATATTTGAGATTCGACCATTTCAACATTTGCTTCACATTGTAAAAACTAAGGAAACGGAGTATCTCATGGTTTTATCCCGGCATTTGGCTGCATAGAAAGGCAAGGTTCGACCTGAGTTATCCACCTCAAGCATCCCCCCCCCCCATTCCACTTTTGAGGAACATGCGGCACATTTCCTTTTGCTCAGAATTGACGGCCCAAACGAATGGCGTCCAACGAGATGTGCCTTTTGTTCTCAAATCTGCCCCTGCGCTCATCAAGAGTCTGGCTGGGCTGGTGTTGGGGTTCTGCGCTGCCCAAGACAAAGGTGTTCTACCACAAAAATCCCTTGACTCGAGGTGAGCACCACATTCTAATAGGACGTTAATTGCTTGCATTTCCTCGTCCCGCTCGGCTTGAGAGACTGCACATGATAATGGTGTGCGGTCGGAAGAGTCTTTTGACTCCAGGGTTGCGTTTGGTGAAAGAAGTAGCTGGATGGTAGCGGCTTGTCGGGCCCCGGCAGCCCATGAAAGCAGCGTTCGGTTGTTGTTGTCTGGGCACTCTACATCACCATTCCTCTGTAAAATTAGACTGAGAAGAGATTCATTGCCATTGCCTGCTGCCCACGAGCTTAGAGTGCAGCCATTCTCGTCTCGGACCCGGGGATTTGCTCCACACTATAGGAGGAACTGGACTGTCTCTTCGACATCACAAGGTATCGGACCAGGGGCAGTCATCCCACGGAAACTTTGTCCTCCGAGGTTTCCGCTGTAGACATATGACACGCCTCGCAGGTCTTCCTTCCTTCTTTCCTCACGCCGCCGTCGCTCGCACTTTGTCCTTCCTGCACAATGTGAAAGCCACCCTAAGAAATTATCCTTCTTTCCAGATAGCTTTGAAACCACCGTTTGCTCATTTTTAGCTATTTGGGCTGCTGGTATAGGATCGTGATAGGCTCGAGAGTCTACCCGCGCTCCTTTACTGACAAGGAAGTGAACACATTCCCCATTTTCTGTAGCAACCGCGAGATAAAGCGCAGTATCGATCCAATCTCCATCGGAGTATGAATCAGGCCACGATTCCATGAGTAGCTCCGCAACTTCAAAGTGGCCTGACTTGGCAGCAAACATGAATGGCGTCAGACCCAAATTATCGCTCCTTGATCTGCAATTAGCACGAAGTTTGAGCAGCAGTTCAACAGCGTCAATTCGGCCCCTTTCTGCAGCTCGAGATAGAGGATTTCGATTCAAAGCGTCGTGAATATTGATATCCGTGCCAGATTCAACAAGAATGTTCATCATTTCGACCTGACCCTTTTCAGCAGCCCACGAAAAAGCCGTTCGGCCCAAAATATCACGAGCATCAACATCCGCTCCCATCTGGATCAAGATTCTGTCTGCTCCTTGGTGTCCATTGTCCGCAGCTTCGAATATCGCGGTCTGATATGATGACTCGTGGCGCATTTCTGAGTCGGCACCATGATCAAGTAGGACCTTAATCGTCTCTTCATGGCCATTGCCTGCCGCTAGGGTCAAAGGCGACATGTTCAATTTGAGGCCAGAGTTGTACCAGTTTTTTGGTCCATTGACATTAGCCTTGGGACCATCAAGTAGCCCTCTCACGGTGGTTTCCTCGCCGTCGCACGCCACGCGCTGAAGAGCATTGAGTGGGGTTTTATCCATAGCGTCTACATTACCACCCCGATCAGCAAGCAGACTGGCAGTTTCGAAATGTCCTTGCTTTTCAGCCCATGCCGGAGGCTCCCATCCTTGTTTATCATTGGCATGAACTGGGAACCCTTCCTGCAAGAGCAGGGCAGCTACCCCTTTGTGGCCACTTCCCGCAGCCCAAGATAGAGGACAGCGCCCTGAGTTATCCGGTGAGTCTTTCGCATCGTGACTATTATATTGAAGAATTAGTCGGACCACGTGTTCATGACCTCGTCCCGCTGCAAATGATATGGGCGTTCCGCATTCGTCCTTTATGTCACAATCTGCACCATCCTCTTGAAGAAACTCGACAACTAAAACAGCGCCCTCTTGTGAGGCATATGACAATGATGTTTGGCCTTGACTATCTGCCTTATCTATATCAACACCCCTGCTAAAAAGAAGTCTTGCCATGTCATAGTATCCGCGCTGCGCCGCGCGTATCAACACTGTTTGCGTTAAACTATGCTGCTTATCCAGTAGAACGCCCTTGGACAGCATGAACTCAACAACAGAGCACGGCTATTTTCAGCAGCCTGTAACAAGGAGACCCATCCTATATGATCGTGTATTTCTGGATCGGCACCATGATCTAATAACAACTGAATCGCGGTTTCAGTTCCACGGCTGGCTGCCCACGATAAAGGGGTTTTCCCAGAGGAGTCCGGAGAGTCTATTTTGGCATGCCACTCAAGCAGGAGCTTCTTGGTGTCAGTTGAATGTTGCGATGCCCAAGAAAGGGGTGTGCGATTGAAAATGTCTTTTGACTCTATCAAGGCACCACAGTCCAGGAGAAATGCCGAAGTTCTTTCTGATATTTCGGCGGCCCAGGATAATGGTGTATGACCCGTCTTATCTGATGATTCAATTGTAGCGCCCTTTTCAATTAGTAGACAGGTTACTTCATGGTGACCATTTCCTGCGGCCCATGATAAAGGCGTTCGGCCAGCTTCATCAGCAACCTCAGAGTCGCTACCCGCACTAAGCAAGATTCTCGCGGTTTCGACATATCCATTTTGGCTAGCCCAAGATAATGGGGTTTGACCGGCAGTATTAGGAAGATTGACCTCGGGATCATGCTGCAAAATTTGTCTAAGGACATCTCCTAGGCCATTTCCAGCGGCCCATGAAAGTGCAGTTCGGCCTGAGTCGTCTTTTGAATCAACTACGAAGCCTCGCTCTATAAGATATCTCGCAGCTTTTTGCTTGCCACTGCTTGCCGCCCAAGACAGGGGCGTCCGGCCTGTACCGTCTTTATACTCCAGATCTTTGTGAAGATCCATCGCTGTATCTGAGCTTGAACTGTCTTCCAACAGAATCTCCAATATAGTTGTGTTCCCTCGTGAGGCAGCTAGATGAATAGGTTGTAGCCCCAGCGCATCGCGGACGCTTTTATCTGCCTGGGCCTTGATTAGTGCTCGTACAACTGGTGGATGACCTCTCCAAGCTGCGTAATGTAATGGTGTCCATGAGTGCCCGTCCTGGAAATTCAGATCCGCCCCTTCCCGTGCTAACTGCCATATACTGTCTTCATTGCCAACTAGCACAGCTAGAATCATTGTGCGCTGATCATCATCTTGGGTCACTCTCTCGGGGTTGTCTGGCGATGAGGGACGCTTCATAGTGTCATTCCAAGTCCCAATTGTTGTTAAGGTAGTCTCTCCGTTCCAGTTGGAGCCCAACTCATGGTCTGTCAGTGGCGGCTGGTAATGAACAGCTCCTATGTATTGGTAACAGTGTATACCCGGCGTCTTTTTGACTAACAGTGCCCTCTCAATCTTTGAGCTGCGGAAACTAGGTTCAACTAGAAGGACATAGCCTTCCAAGGTTTGAAGTCCGAGTCGTATCCGTGGAGCTGTAAGGGGATGAATACCACCGGTCTTGTGGCTGGTAGAGGGACAGTCAAGCTGCTAGTACAGAGTACTATACTATACGACCTAGAGGTTTTGGTAATATAATTATAATATCTAAAGAATATCAATAGATTATTCATAGCGATATCTACGAGTATACCATAAGTTGGGCAGCAGTGCGCAATGTTCTTGGTTATTATACGGTCGAATGAACTTATGGCCACGGTATAGCCGTATGGGCAGACGCCTGGTGAGAAGTAGGAGTTTGGATGCCACCCTGGCGGCATGCAGTCTGATATATTTCCATTTCCAAGGGTGAAGTCAGTCAGTGTCCCGGTTGGATTGGCAGTGTTTGGTATAGTTTTAGAGTATAAGAAGCACTGAACGTTCGGCGTGAAAATAGTTGTCAATGGGAAAGCCGATGTTCCGGTGGCAGACATTTTGCAATTTAAGAATCAGAATTCAGTTGCGACATCTGGATGATAGGCCCCCTCTTATTAAACAAACAGGATTGCCTTGGACCCTGCCCCGCACTCCAATTTGAGCCTCATGTACTCTGTAGTTTGTAAATTGTATCTGAGCTTGGACCCTCTACGCAAACTTTACCTCCCTTGCGATCCTTGTGCCTGGTCTTTCCTATTAATAAGGGGCCAACCAATATCTTTTTATCTATACTAATTATGCAGGGTATTAATTAGCTATCTACCTCTGGGTAGTTAGTATGTTCTTGGTGTGAATAGTTAACGTAATTCCCGGTCTCGCCGTACACCCGGTCTCACCGTACACCCTATCAATAATCGCGTCCATCTACCTACCTACCTACTTCAAACATCTGCCATGCCACCAATTCGCTCTGAATCTCGGCAAAAATTAGCCAATCAAGAGAGGAAGATCTTATTGGCCCTGGAAGATTAAAAAATCACCGTATCACCTCTCTTCGCGCAGCAGCGAAGCTCTATAACATACCCCATACAACGCTAGCCGACCGCGTAAATGGCGTACAAGCACGCGTTGATCAACGCCTATCTAGCTACAAATTGACTCGGCTTGAAGAAGATTCGCTTATTGAATGGATTATTTCTATGGATCCCCGTGGAGCTGCGCCTAGGCCAGCTACTGTACGAGAAATGGCCAATATTCTACTAGCTGCACGCGGAAGCCACCCCCCCCCCACCTACAGTCGGCAAGAATTGGCCATCAACCTTTATAAACCGACGTGAAGAGATTCGGACACGTTTCTCTAGGCAATATGACTACCAACGTGCCCTAAACGAAGACCCTGAATCAATTCAAGCATGGTTTACAACTGTGCAACAAGTTATTGATAAGAATGGGATCCAACCTGAAGATATCTATACCTTTGATGAGACAGGCTTTGCAATGGGTCTTATTTCAGCACAGAAGGTTGTAACACGACAAGAATACTACGGTCGGCGATCTATTTTACAACCTGGAAACCGTGAATGGGTAACGGCAATTGAAGCTATCTGTGCAGATGGTTATTCATTACCACCATGTGTGATTTTTAAGGCAAAGGTTGCTATTGCTAGCTGGTTTGATAATCTTCCAAAAGATTGGCGATTCGAGGTCTCAGCTAAAGGCTGAACTACTGATTGGATTGGTTTACGATGGCTAGAAAAGCTATTTATCCCATCAACAAATTCACGTGTCCGTGGTCGATTTCGGTTGTTAATTCTTGATGGCCATGGTAGCCATCTTACACCTCAATTTGACCGAATCTGCTCAGAGAATGATATTATCCCACTCTGCATGCCACCACACTCATCACATCTTTTACAACCATTAGATGTTGGTTGTTTTGCTGTATTAAAACGTACATATGGTCGTTTTATAAGCGACCTTGCACGTACAGGCTATAACCATATCGACAAGCTTGATTTCTTAACTGATTTCCAACGTGCGCGTGTTGAGGCTTTTCAGCCGAAGACTATCCAAAATAGCTTTTTACCTACTGGTTTAGTACCAATTAACGCTGAAAGAGTTCTTTCTAAATTGAATATTTCTCTTCGAACACCTACACCACCAGGTAGCCGACCAAGCAGCAGATCTAGTCAATTTACACCCAAAACACCTAGAACTGTGGTTCAGCTACAGAAGCAAGCTTCAATGCTAAAAGATCTTCTAAAACAGCGATCGAATAGCCCTCCAAGCCCGTCGAAATTGATGCTAGATCAAATCATCAAGGGACACTGTATATCGCTACACAACACTGCGCTACTAGCACAAGAAAACGCCAATTTACGTGCTACAAATGAGAAGAAACGACAAAACCGCAGTTAATCAGCTAGGCAGACACCCTGTGAAGAGGGTTTGACTGTTGAAGAAGGCCTACAGCTACTTACGCAGGTGGACTTGCCTGTTGAAGCACCTATGGTCGAATCACACACCCAGGTTGAACTACCTGTTCAGCCGAATCAGCCAGCCCCTAGGGCTCAGCCTAGGTGTAGTGGATGTCGAGAGGTTGGACATAAGATCAATGTATGTAAAAATCGTATTTATAACTGAATTTATTCGTGTTGGGTTGAAATATTTGAATTTAAAAAATTCTAGTGAGGTAGGCTGGCCAGGTCAACCGGGTGGCCAGGTCAACCGGGTGGCCAGGTCAACCGGGAATCAGGTTAGTTATAACTACCTAAAGAACATAAAACAATAAGGCGGCTTTTAAACAATTTCTGGTGAAATGGTCCCATATTTGACTGGGTAATCTAATTCTGAATTAGAAAGGAGATATGAGGTACTGGCTTGTGATCACACGATTGTCAAGCGGCGTTTATAAAATTAGACTTCACTGAGATGTCCTTGGGCTTATCTGCTACAGGGTATAGCCTTGTATTAGACACCTACCTAGGGAGCTTTTAGCCTTTAGGAACATATTTTAAGATTATTCTTTTTTGCTTTTTAGCTTAACATTTTGAGGCCTCTGCTGTTATAGGGGATGGCGTTTTTATAAATTCTAAAAATAGAGCCTGCTGTTGTAGACCTCGGGAGGATAGTTCGGCCATTGCTGATCTGTGGCTTGTAGCCTTTTCGGACACTCACTCAAGACAGCTATTCCCTTATTCACCTGGAGTCCGGAATTGGTTTGAAGATGCCATAACCTATGATATCCTTGATCACCCTTTTAAGCGTTGTATGAAGATCATAGATATCGAATCCAAAAATAGTAGTAATAGTGAGCCGCCAATAGTAGCATATGCGAAATGGGACTTCTCTTTACCTAAGGAGCGGGGACTGTGTGACGGTACTACCTACTGTGGTATGATGGTATTCCGAGTCCTAATGAATGGTGTGAGGCTTTTGTGGCTAGAGGAGAGAGCAATAGAAGATGTGTTATGGATAATATAAACGTTGGAAATATAGTATCTACATATATGTTGTGTGTTCTTTCTAAGGTTGTAGGCTGTTGCTTAAACATGTCTCACCTGGGCAGGTGTACAGGTTATCCGTGCAGGGTCAACACCAACAGCGGACGTCTTATCATGACTGAAGTCAATCATTCCAGCCCTTCTTTAATCCCCTCCTCTCATCAAAAAGCTCAATGCCCAAACTCACATGTGCATCTTCTCCTGCAACGCTTCCCGAGGAGCCCCCATGACAGATATTCTTCGATTTCTGCTTCCTAAGCTGCCAAGTAGAACTTCTTATGCCAGTCTCTAACATCGGGTACCCTCTGAGCCGATACACGGAACCGCATTTAATACTCGCCGGGTTTCTGTGTCGGCTCAGAACATGTTTCTGAGCCGCATCTACACCTGTCTAAGGTGACTGTATAAGGCAAAGGCGGTCAGGGGCGGAGAAATCTTTACGTACTCGGAGAGAATATCCCAAAACGTACTCGCCGAGTACTCGGCGTTTTCCAAGGTTGTAAATTACCGGACTTCTGTCAATGTTCGACTGAACTTTGAAAGGCTTTAAGCTATCGTCTTACTTTGGGATTGAGGCGGTATTAAAGCCACACTACCAGTGTGTATTGAGTAGCGCTCTGAGATTGAGTATAAAGATAAAGGATATATATATACTCTACTCCAGGGCTATCCTACTATGTTAAATGGAATAAGCACACATCAATCAAGAAACTCCTCCTTCGGTGCTACATACCCAAAAAGGGGTACATTTATTGGTCGAAAGGGCATAAGCTAAAGATAATAGTAGTGATAGTTGTGCATTCATCAATAGCGTTTGTCACCCGGGCCGCGGCATTCAGGTGAAGGGGCCTGCAAGGACAGCAGAGGAAAGTAGCAATGGAATTGTCCCAACGAATGACAAAAAATGAAGCCAAAAAGACAAAAACATACAACAGCCATATCTAAGGTTGTGGTCACCTAGCGCCCACGATCCTGTCGTGGGTGGCTCGCCGCTCTATTCAGCCCTCTTTAGGGGAATCCGGGCGGATCTTCACCCACCTGAATATTCTTCACCCAAATGTTCAGCCTTTGAATCACAACGTACCTTCTCGCATTTTGTGTAAGCAGTAGCCGCCCTTCTTTCTTTCTTGTTTCTTCCTTTGTATTTTTCTTTTCTTTTTTTTATTCTATAATCCCACTATTCTTCTATCTTTTAAAGCTTACGTGACCGCCAAGATAGGACCTGTGCTAAGTATGACCCAACGTTAAAATTCCTAAATTATGTTGTGAACTTTAAGGAGCACACCAACAGCAAAATACACAATTAGGACTACCATAAACTGACTTAGGTTATAGTAAGAAATTGCTTTTATTCGATATGTAAGTAGCGTCTCTCCTGGTAGG